ACACGCGAGTACGAGAGCAAAGCCGGTGGGCCAAAGGGGCCTGTGCTTCCAGGCATCGGCTCACATGTGATCGTTTCTCCACCTTCTCTACGCTACGGAGTATTGCTAGCTCTCTAGAATTTGCGATACGGATTCGTGTCAAAGTCAGCATGCGCGAGAGCTGTACATAATAATTAGTATTTTAAGAGATTATAAGATGCTGCAACGAGCGCGCCTTGCATCTCACCCCGTTTGCCCCCCGGTCGGCGGTTATGCAAATGCAACGGCAAAGCCAAGGTGCAGCCGAACCACGAGCCGCTGGCATCCTTCAACCTCACAGACACGCTACTGTGCTGCACAGGTGGGTACGTGTACGAGAGTACATGCGTACGTCGTACATAGTAGGGGCTAATAGTAGGACGACCAGAAGGGCCAGCCAGAGAAAGCCGGCCCAATCGCACGAGAGCACGCCTCACGGTGTCTCCGGCCGTTCTTTTTCAGCAATATGCATATGGAAAGAGAGCCAGCCGGTCGCTCAGCCAGGTCCTTTCAGCATAAGTGCTTGGACAGGGCAGGAACAGTGCATATGCGCCTTCTATGGTACCCATCCTGGAGCTCTGCTGCTGCTCCGGGGAAGCTGCATTGTCGGGTTGGCCCCAGAAGAGGGCGACGTGCTCCATAGGACCGATGCTGGCCTGCGATACATGGTAGATTCGTCCTGGGCACTCGGTCTCGGAGCAGGAAGCGTGAGAAAGAGGTCCCTGCACGGGTCGCCAAACCCGGTCGCTCTCTCAGGAAGATATGGTCCGTCTCTATTGGCAGGAAGCCGGAAGGACGAGCCCACCTGACCAGCCACGCCCACAAAAACGTGGATATTCATGGCAAATCAGGTTCTCAGCATGGAGGGCTAGATCTTGCGCTGCTGGCTCGGCTGCATTTTTGCTGCCTCCCTGTGCTAGCATGCTGGCACACGCGTGTTGAGGGACGTACTGCAGACGGGAGACCGAGCAACATGTATGGAAGCCCGAATCGAAGAGCCGAAGAAACAGAGAGGCACCGGTGCCGGTAGGACAGACGCACAGAAGCACGGGTGCGTAACAGGAAGAGACATGGGTCTGGTGAGAGGGCAAGAATGCAGGCGAAGAAGGAATGTGTGAAAAAAAGAGGGAAAAAGGGGAAACCGACGCGATCAAGAGCTGCCGTCTGTTTGCTGCGGTGTATCGATGGGGTGTGTGTACGTGTATGCGATGGGGCCAAACTAACGAGGCTGGGGAGAGGATTCGTATGTACATACGGAGTACAGAGTACGGAGTAGTAAGATGTTTTTTCCCGACACAAGAGCGGCAGAGAACGAAACAAGGGGGGCGGCTGAGCAGGAGGACAGACGAAGAGGAAGGGAAGCCCTTTCGCGCCCCCCCTACGGATTTACGTCTCCCTCGTGGTCGATCAGGAGCCAATTCGATGGTTAGGACCGATATTGAGGGGTGATGCGTTGTTTACTTGCTTTCTTTTTTCTGCACTGAACGAGGTCGGAGTGTCACAGCAAATCTCGCCTGCTCCGATCCGATAACGGGTTGGCACGCAATGGCGTTTATTACGGGGCCCAACTGTGTTGCTCGTGGTATCTTACGACGACTGCGAGCATTCCTCCAGGGGCGTTTTCGTCGTCTCTAGTATGTATCTTGCTCGTAGGATCGGCCGCGCGAGCGAGAAACAGAAACAGCCAGCTGAGCCCTAATTGCCTAAATGCCTAAATGCTTAATTGCCTAAATTTCTCCAACTAACAACGGCCGGCCTGTCCGCCATGCTGCCAACCCATTTTATGTATGTATGCAACAGGGACGTCCGGAAGGAACATCCGCGCGCGCGTCCATTCTGCCTCTTGCTCCGTACAGAATATCATCAGTTTTTCTTCTTTGATGTTGGCCTCTTCCATCATTTCCCTTGTTTCTCCCTTTGCATTGGTGTGACCGTGGTCCAACCAGTGGGCCCGAGCTGGCTGGCACCGAAAAGCAAACCTTTCTCTGGCCCGGAACAAGGTACTATGTAAGCAGCATGTACAGAGAAGCTTCCCGTATGCACGGTATTTGCGTCTTGCCATTTGCCAATTGCCAATTGCCCGTTGCCTGTTGCCCGTTGCCAATTGCTATCTGGTCATCACGTTACGTACCGCACATACTTGCTCGCACCTTCCCGCAGCGTGCCTGATCTAGCAACGGCCAACAAGCTCTTTCCTCGAAAACTCCAACTTATGCGAGATATTCCATACACAGTAGCCAGCCGTCTTCCGTCCTTTTGCCGCCCGCTCGTTATTGTGGTGCATAGGCTATACCATTACACGTAAGATACGGAGTACTCGTACGGAGTAGTCCAGCCACCGCTTCTCCACCAGCCCGACAAGTGGTCCATCCCCATTTTTTTCGATCAGCACCGGCCACCATTACATACATGGTAGAAAGTTGTGCGCGCAAACAGCTGCTTGGCCTCTGGACGGCAGGGAGCAATTATGGCGCCTTCCCTCGTGAGCTGCACGTTGCTGCGTACTTCTCGAACGATACTTCGGCGTGCCGAGCGCAGCTTCCGTCCACCCCTCGCTGCACTCGCTCTATCCCCCGCCCGGTCCCTTTCCCCTTCTCTTTCCCTTCCTTCCTTTCTCGCCGTCGCCGTCCTCATCGTGGCCTCCACTTTCCCCCGTAGCTAGGATCACCCCCTCTTTTGTTTCTTGGTGCAACCTTGCCGTGTGCACGCCGCCCTCCACCACAATCCTACATAGTACTGAGCCGGCCGCCCACAGAACAGAAACTGCCCTCTTGGCCTTTTTTGCCTCTTGCCCTCCTGGCTCTCGATCCACCGTCTTCTGCCATGCGCCTTTCTGCCACCGCTCTGTCTTTAACAAACCGGCCCAGACAAGCCAAACAGGCGAAACAAAGCCTCTTCCGATCCTCCTAACTGGTTATACCGCCCTCTGTTACTCTACCCTCCCTCCATCTCCCACACCCTCCCCCCCTGCAAGGACCAGGTCTACGAGGTAGTAACCCTGCCCCCCATATCCATACAGACCCTGGCCAGCCAGCCCACCTCTCCCCCCTCTTCTTTCTTCCACCGCCGTTGGACACTCAACTATCATCCACCCCAACCTGCCTTTCCGCTCCCCTGTCACACGTCTACGGAGAGGAGGAGAAAAAGACACGAAAAGATGCCCCCTCCCCCAAACCGAAAGCTCCACCGACCAGACGCCAAAACTATCCCTACATAGTAAAGCTGCTGGGCTGTTGTTAAGATACCTCCACTGGCTAACTAACTTGGCAATGGGGGACTCCTACGACGTACCTTGGCGGATTTGCTACATAGTATGTAAGATTCATCTGCGCGCGATACAGCACTATTTCCTCAGCAAAGCCGAAACGGAGACAGAAACAACGGCACTGGAAAAGCAAACAAAAAAGATTGAAAAAAAGAAAAAAAAAAGACAGGGTGCCACCTGGAATAAATTAAATGCACAATAAAAAGAGAGCACAATACAGAATCTCAGAGGCAGAGAAACTCGTGCGACCTTGTGCTTGCTTCTCTTGGGATATTCCTCGCTCCTTCTCGCCCGTGTCTGCCTCAATCTTCCTTCTCTCCCCTCTCTCTCTTCTCTTTCTCTTTCTCTTTCTCGCTGCCCTCTGCTCCATATCTGCACAGGTTGTTTCTCTCCCGCCCCAATCCCCCCCGCCCATCTACGAACAGACACGCCACCTGCAGCAACTGTACACTATACGGAGTACTCCTACACAACGACACCCTTGCTCCATCTTTAGTTGTACTAGCAGACCGGGGGGTTGGTCTCTTGTCTGTTCGCCGCTCTGATCGACCTACCTTACTCCCGTACTTTCACTTAACTTTCTTTTACCTGCCTCCCTCTTCTACTCGCCGCCTTCTGCTCTACCAAAGCCAAAGCCTTCTTTTCCCTTTCCCCTTCTTCCAACCACCCGTCTGTCTACACACTCCCTTCTTTCCCCCTCCCTTTCTCCTTCTTACCTTTAACTTCTTCTGCTTGCTCCCCCTTCCCCTACCTCCCCTCCCCCACTCCGTCGAGACGTCCGCCGACCTCTTCGTTTTTCCTATAGCCTCTCTCTCTCGATCCTGGTACGTTTTGTGTGCACATACCACCCCACCACTCGCTCGTCCAAGTTTCCTTCCTCCATTGTGTTGTGACTCCTAGTCTGGCGACCTTTCTGTGTCTTACTCTTGTCACCACCTTCACTCACTGAACATCCCCAACCCCATTGCCGCCCCTGGCTTTCATGGTGGCCGTGTCGTTGACTTCGATTTCAGCAGACGAGCTTAGAGCTTAGAGACATTGGTCTTGGTGCTTCTGCCCCGTTCCCCCTCCCCTCCGAGAAAGACGAGACTCCCAGAGCATTGAAAGAAAAAGGTCCGAAGTGCCAATCCCAGACCAGAACACTGAACGAAAACGACGCAGCGGTGCCCTCTGCATATTTTGGCTTGTCAGCTTTTCAATGTTCAGATTTTTCTTGGGTTTTGTTATCTGCAAACTTTGCTTGCATATTTTCACGCCTTGCATATAACGAAGCAACGAAGACGACGACTACGACGATTCCAAGCACTTTCAGAAGCTGCACGCAATCAACGTCCCTCTCCCCTTGGAAAACAAAAAATAAACACTTTGCCTCCGGATCTACACCCCAAGTACCCTGGTCCTCTGGTCTTCCTGGTCGATTTTTTTTTGTCAAAAGCCACCAATTTGTCTCTTTTTGTCCACTCCAGACAGCCGACGGCGTAATTGCAACTTCGTGCCTCTCCTTGGGTTTTCACTCTCCCAATTTGGATCTCGTCAACCGTCTTTTTCAGACCTTCTCTCTCTGTACTCCACCAGTTTCGCCCAGCGGCTACGACTCCTCCAGGACCAGGAGCACTCCGTAACCCTGGATCTCCCGTCGATATCCCAAGTCCAGACCCTTACCCCCCCAAACATACCACCAGACTTAATCCACGCTGTTGGACAGCGACCGTCGTACATGAACGAGCGACTGCCTTCCCTGCCTTTGCCAACACCCGCCCTGCAGGCATATTCGTCGGGCACGGCCTCACCGCGGGTTAGTTCTATAGCATCGTCTACGAGCTCCAACGCGGACTCGCAGTCATCCTATACCTCGGTTGCCTCGTCCCTCGGGCCCAAGACGCCGCCCTCCCTCCTTTCGGTCTCCGGGATTAGCACCGGTCACCTCGGCTCGAACGCCATACACACACCTCTAGTTCAGCCAAACATTGCTGGGTACGAACAATATCAAGCAATGAATCAAGGAGCAGCAGAGATGTACTACCAGCAGTCGCACATGCCGAGTGGCCCGGCGCCTCCGCCTCCGCCTGTCAGCTCTGGTGCGCTCGGTCAGTACAACCCGCACCAGCAGCCACCGATGATGCAGTCGGGTCATGCTCAGTATGGTAGTCCGTCTCCGTACGGCCAGTACGGCTATACCAATGGCCTGACCTCCCCCCCGACCGGTGCCCCGAACGTGTCCAACGGCCTAGGCCCGAATCCCCATGTTCTGCCACTCCCGGGTGTTGCTGCGCAACAGGGTATGCAGGCCAACTACTCGGGCTTTGATACAAGCGGCCAGTTCGCCCCTCCAGGCATGAAGCCCCGTGTTACTGCGACCTTGTGGGAAGACGAAGGCAGTCTCTGTTTCCAGGTGGAAGCCCGAGGAATCTGCGTGGCTCGCCGTGAAGGTAAGCTCCAGCGATTTTCCCGTTTCCTGTTGCTTTTGCTGACCCGACACAAACAGACAACCACATGATCAATGGAACGAAATTGCTGAACGTAGCTGGCATGACCCGTGGCCGTCGTGATGGCATTCTCAAGAGCGAGAAGGTGCGTCATGTGGTCAAGATCGGTCCCATGCATCTGAAGGGCGTATGGTATGTGGCCTCCTGTCTTTCCGTGTACCCGTTTTTGTGAAGACGTCTGGCTCACTCGACCAGGATCCCGTTTGACCGTGCACTGGATTTCGCCAACAAGGAGAAGATCACCGAACTGCTCTTCCCCCTGTTTGTCCACAACATTGCTGCTCTTCTGTACCACCCGACCAACCAGAGCCGGACGAACCAGGTAATGGCTGCGGCTGAGCGCCGGAAGCAGGAACAGAGCCAGCAGATGCGCAATGGCCAACCACAACCATCCGGCCTGCCGTCTCTGCAGCACCACCAGACCATGGCACTTCCCGGCCCGCAGCCGACTCTTCCGTCCCACAACATTGCCACGCCTGGCCGCCCGCAGCTCGACCGGGCGCACACGTTCCCCACGCCGCCGACCAGCGCATCGGGCGTGATGGGTGGGAGCATGAACTCGTCCGAACCGTTTCAGTGGGCGCAGCAGGGCGTGAACGGAGCACAAGGTACAAATCCAATGTCAGTCGATACGAGCCTAAGCAACGCACGCTCAATGCCTGCCACTCCAGCTACGACGCCTCCCGGACCACCGCTGCAGACCATGCAACCGTACCCGCCGTCGACCCAGTCATACGACAACTCGCGCTCTCTCTACAACACGCAGGCAAACGCACCACCTCCGCACCAGCAGCAGCATCAGCACCAGCACCAGCAGCACACCCCTCAGCAGCATCCCCAGCATCCCCAGCACCCGCAGACCTATGCGCTTGCTCCCCAGAGCAGCAGCCCGCAAGACCGCACGCTTTACAGTCACAGTGCTGCTGCTGCCGCTGCCGCTGCTGCCGGCGGCTATGTCAAGAGCGAGATTCCACCGCCGACGAACCGCTCCTCGGTGGGTGGGCCGTCTGGAAATGAGCCGGTTGACCAGAAGTCGTCCAACGGCATGCTCCAGCACCACGCCGAACAGGCCTCGCAGTCGGTCGGCCACGCCGTCGCTGAGGACGAGCACGAGCACGAGGCCGAATACACGCATAACAGCACGGCGTATGACACCGGCCGCGCGCAGTACAATTACGGACCACCTCAGGTAGCTCCGCTGCCCAGCGACCACCACCCCCATATGTCGCCTGAGCTGACGGCTTCTGCCAACCACCAGACCAACTCCGGACGCTCGACGCCCCGCAGCGCTGCTGCTTCCCAGGCTTACTATGCCCAGCCCGGGTACAACACGCCGCCCCGTGTCGGCTCGACCGCTGCGGCTACACAAGCTTCGAGCAGCCTGTACAATGTGGTCACGAACGACCGGACCAGCTCCAATGGCGGCGCGTCCAATGATGGGTATGCCCCTTCGGCCGACATGGGCAGTTCTCTGCAGAATGGCTATGGCAACCCTATCATGAACGGCGCCTCGACCGGGATGAAACGGGGACGCGATGACGAGGATGACAGGGTCATGGACCTCAAGCGCCGGAAGACGCTTCTCGACTCTTCGATGCCGGCAGTGTATGATGCCACTATGAACCGAGCAGCGCCCATTGCGACTCAACAACGTCACAGATAAGGGTAGACAATCGGCAACCGGCAACGTCCTTGGGCGACTCTTCACGACACGAAACGTTGGATGACTCCCATTATATTTCTACGATCTCCCGACAACATCTGATGATCGATGCTTATGAAACCATACCGAATGGCCATGGCCGTTCTGATCTACGCAGCGAGAATTTCTTTTTCCTTCTGTTATATTTTTCTTTTTCTATGCTCTCTTCTCGGCACACCTGGGTTGCATCTGGGCACCACGGATGTCGAAGATCATGAGTCAGCAAATGACTCGAAGTGATAATGACCAAAACCCCGAAGACACGTCGAAATACTGTTGCCGCCTATTTTTCACGATCTCATTTTCAATGTTTACTTTCTTTGGTTGACATGGGACCCTCACCATAAGCCAGCGCCCCTCTGCGGGGATGACAAAACGACGTTCTTTCCCAACGAACTTGCACAATTTTATGTTCTCCTTCGCTTCGGGCTCTGTTGTCACTGTGCTGCATTCGAGCAGAATACGCTTTAGCATCTTGCAGCGATGGTCTTCTCGCGCATGCACTGACGACATGGCCTAGTTCTCCTCCCCTCGATATGCCTGAACATGGTGTAAATGCCTGATGACTTGACGCCCCCCATCGCATGGAAGGACTTAATTCTTACAGACCTCGCGCTTCTTTTTATCTTTTATGCTCCCTTTTGGTTATTGTTTCCTCTTCTTACGTGGCCAGATAAACGTGTGTATGGGACATGGGGAAAGACTTTGGAAGATATGTGGCTGTGCCTGTGATGTAATTCAGGCAAGGCTGCGGGACAAAACGTTATGACAAAAAAGAGAAACACAAATTCACGCAGCTGCTTGCATTTTACTTGTTGCCTGTGGCCCGCATTCGTCAGCCAGTGGTTCTTTGCATTGCTCGTCTGCTTTCAGTTTATTTCTCGTCTGTCTCCCCAGGTGCATGGAGAGGATACACAAAATGGGAAGAGGTGTTGGATTTGGTGGACAGCCTGCGCTTTGGCGGCTGGTTTTCGCATCCCAGTGTCGGGCGTTGATTTCACGGCCGAGGGCTGGAAGGTAGCGGGTGTCTCCTTTGCTTCATGACGTGTCTCGAGGCTGGCCGGAGCGTGCAGCAGTTGCAGCGGCTGTACGCTGTGTGTTATATTGTCACAGACTTTCCCCGATGTCCTGTACGGTTGTTGTTTATGCGTCCAAAATCTACGACTAACGAGTTTCTTTACTGAAGAGGGCGCCGGGCAGTCTCATTGTTGGGTGAGGTGGAAGCGTGCTTGATTGGAGGACGGCGGAGCAAGCGGGTGTCGGCCGGATATGGCCAGAGTTGCGCTGATCAGATTTGCTTATTATTGGTTCATTTATGCTACGACCTCACGATTGTTCTATTGTTTCTCGGCTACGAAAATAAAAATAGTATCACAGTTAGGAGACAGTTTAATAAGGGGTGTGCGAGTACTCTGTAGTCAGCAATCGGGGGGCGGCTGTGGGTCACGTGACCTCCCAGTTACCCTAGCAACAATTCCGTTTCTGGTCTAGAGCGAAACACAGAAAACGTGGGGCCTACCCTCATTGCGTGAGGGTAGTGGGACACAGATGACCCTGCCGTAATATCACTATCGTTCCTATGGCATGCTGGGTGCTGCTATTTTTCCACGCCTCTACACCGCAACGCCGCGCTTTGTTTCCTTTTGTTTCTCCCTGCACGTTCTACCGAGCAATTGCATGATAGGCGATAACGCGGTTGTTTACCCGTAGACAGCCCTATTGCTCGTTCTCGACGGACGACAGACCGACAAAGACGCCTCTCTCGCTCTCTTTCATGGCCACAGTGCTGTCAGCAGGGCCAAACGCGACACTCAGTGCAGTACTCTCCACTTCCCGACCCACGCGCGTTCTGTGCCGACGCCCTTTGCGGCCTCCCCCACAGCGGCGAGGATAAGGACGACGACGACAACAACAAGGACGATGGGCAGTGCAGACGGCAGTGCAGACGGTAGTTCACCGTTTGTCAACTCGGTGATGGATTCGGCAACGAAAAGGAACAGCCAAGAGGGCGGCAGCAGCAGTAGCAGCAGCAGTCAGGGGGATATGGCGACAGCAGGGCTAAAGTCGGCTTCTTCCCCCACCCAAACTCCACCATCTGCGGTTCCTGCAGCGATGGTGGCCAAACCGGCTCGGCCGACATCGCGCATCATGTCTGGCAGCGAGCTGTCGCCGCTGAAGATTCTGCAAGGGCGGGTGACGGGATCGGCGGCGAGCAGCAGTCCGGGGTCGCCGGAGGGAACGGCAGAGAGCCACAGAGACGGATGGGGCAAGTCGTCGGTGGCATCTGTAGCGTCTGTATCGTCGGCGACGTCAGCAGCGTCACCAGAGTCATCGGCATCACAGTCGGCAGGGGGGCGGGCACATCGATCATCGTCGACGTCGTCGGCCAAGATGCTGCCGCCACCACTGCCGCTGGGGCGAACACCACGCAAACTCACGTCGCCGGACAAGCGGTTCCCGGTCAAGATCAGCGTGCCGTCGTCTGCGGCGACATCGGGCTCGGCGGCGGGGACGCCGGTGACCACAGCATCGCCACAGCAGCAGGCGCAGCCGCTGCACGGACAGCGGCTGAGTCTGGACGAGGCAATCGAGCTGAACGAGGGCTTGAAGCAGGCGATTGAAATATTCGATGATGACGGAAGCGGGGCGGACGAGCTGTTTGACGACGTCGGCGACATGGTGGAAGGACACACAGCGGCCGAAGAAGGGACGGGTGCAGACGACACGATGACGAGCACGTTCAGCACGTTTTCGGCAGTGGGAAACGTGGCTCAGACGCAGAGCAAGGCGAGCCGAAATGACAGCTACGACAGCAACGGCAGTTATGGAAGCTACGGTAGTTGCGGCAGCAGCGGCGGTGGTGGCAGTCCGAACCGAACGACGGCAAACGGAAGTCTGTCGCCGATGCGGACGCCTCGAGCCAGCGGCCCCAATGCGGTTCCATCTCGAACGGCACACTATGAGTCGGGTTCCACGACGACGAGCCTGCTGATGGACTTTACGGAGCAGATGCGACATGCACAGTACAGCCACCAGGGCCACAGTCATGGGCAGGTGACTTCGACGCCGCACCGGAAGAGTCTGGTCAACCTGCTGGACTTTGAGATGCCGCCGCTGCCGACACCTCGCAGCATTCCTTCGGTGACGCCACGGGAGCTGGAGGGTCTCAAGTCGAAATTTCTGTCGGAGATCAGCGGACTGAAGGCGACGCTGAGCGGCAAGGAGGCCGAAGTGCTGGCGCTGAAGACGGCAGTGGGCGATGCGGAGAAGCGGGTGGGCGAGAGCATGGAGCAGCTGCGCGAGGAGCAGCTGCTGCGGCAACAGAACGGCGAGGAGAAGGACATGTGGGAGCGACGAGGACGGGAGATGGAGGAAGTGCTGCGCAAGGTGAAGGCGGAGATTGTGATGGGACAACGGGAGCGGGAAGAGCTGGAGGCCAAGGTGGACGAGTCGGAGAAGCGACGAGAGGCAGCAGAGATGATGGCACAGGAGGCGGAAACGAAGATGGCAGTGATGCGGGCAGGCCGAGCGACAGCGGAGAACGAGAGCCACAAGACGCGGAGTCCGGGCGGCAACGGAGGCGGATCGTCGGGAGGGACGGCGTCGTCATCGCAGCGCGAGGTGGAAATCGCGGTGGAGCGAGTAGCCCGCGAGCTTCATGCGGCCTACAAGGCGAAACACGAGAACAAGGTGGCAGCGCTGAAGAAAAGCTACGAGGCGCGATGGGAGAAGCGAGTGCGGGAGGTGGAGACAGCGGCCGAGGCGCTGGCACGCGAGAACGAGACGCTGCGGATGGGCCGAGATGCACGGATGTCGCGACTGGAACCGGGTGAAGAAGAGCGGCGACAGAAGGAAGAGGAAGAGCAGCGACGACGACAGCGAGAGGCACGTGATGCGGCACAGATCAAGGAGCTGGGTGCCGAAGTCGACAAGCTGGAGGCGGTGGTACGGACGGTCAAGGCGGACAACGCGGAACTGCGGACGCTGCTGGAACAGGAGCGGATTGAGAAGGGCGAGCTGGTGATGCTGGCCGAAGAGATGATGTCGATGCAGCAGCAGAGTTTTGTTGGGGCGAGTCCGAGTGGGAATGGGAGTGTGAGTGCGGGTGCGGGTGGGAATGCCAGCGCGAGTGCCAGTGTGAGTGCCAGTGCGAGCATGACGCGCAGTATGAGTCCGGTTGTGCGGGAGAGCCAGCCACGGATCGCTCCGAGGACGCCGACGACGACGAGGACGGTGACCCGGACAGCAGCTCCGGGCTCGAGCTCGGTTGCACGCAGTCGGAGCACGAGGCAACAGCCACAGCACCAGCCACAGCACCAGCCACAGCGAGAAGACCGACCGGACCGTCACGACCGTCCGGGCAGCCTCGGCAGCCTCGGCATGACGACGCCCAAGCAGGCGCGGCCGCTGAGCATGCATGGAACCGGACGGGTGTCAGGGTTGAAGCCACCGAGCAGCTCGTCGATCGCGACGGGGGGCGGCGTGGCCAGCCGGATCGGCCGGATCGGCCATGACCGCAAGCAGAGCGGAGCGGCAACACCGGGTGCTGTCGGAGGGCTTCCGCGGCCGGGCAGCGGCATGAGCGTGCGCAGCAACGGCGGACTGCTGAGCTCGATCGAGAAGATGGGCGGTTATCGGGGACGGGTGGAGTAGGACAAGTGTTGGGAGTGTCGTGTCAGTGTCGTGTCCGAGTGTTGGTGTAACTTTCATCCTTTTTCTTCCTTTCGTCTTCGGAAACATCTATTCATACCCTTCTCGTCTTTCTACTCCTCTCTCGTCTTTCATACCCTTCGTCTCTCCATATCCTCTCATCCTCTCATCCTCTTATCCTCCTTCCCCCTTACGATGAAACGATTTACGCGACAGCTCAGGACGGAGAATGTTAGCCAGGGTTCGGTGACTAAGCAGGAGGAAGGACCGTTTGTTTTGTGTTTGTGTTTTGGTTCTTTTTGCAAGGGTTTCTTGTATCATCAGACGGACAGATGTAGTGAGAGTGACAAGTAATGTACAAGTCTTTCTAGCGGCCTGTCTGGGATCCGTGACTACAGCAACGGCAGCGGCTCGTGCTTAAAGTAGCGCTTGCCGTCGCCATATTGGCTGGCGGCCTGGCCGGTGCCGCGCAGCTTGTACTTGTAGATGGTGAGACCCTCGAGGCCGACAGGCCCGCGCGAGTGGATCTTGTTGGTGCTGATGCCGACTTCGGTGCCGAAGCCATAGCGCATGCCGTCAGCAAAGCGCGTGGACGCGTTCCAGTAGACGCCAGCCGAATCGACAGCGGCCATGAAATGCTCGGCGTTCTCGCTGGAACGACTGAGAATGGCGTCCGTGTGGTGCGAGCCGTGCTCGTTGATGTGGACGATGGCGGCGGTGAGCGACGGAACCGTCCGGACGGCGAGGTCGAGCGAGAGGAACTCGGTGTCAAAGTCAGCCGCAACAGCAGGCCGAAGGAGCGACGTCTTCGTCTGGCCGTTGCCGTCTGCAGTCACGGCAGCAGAGGCCGCCTTGAGCGTGGCCTCGTCACAGTGCAGAGTAACACCGGCCGCGAGCAGAGCGACCACGATGGCAGCAAAGGCCGGCTTCTCGACAGCATCGGCATGAACGAGCAGCGTCTCGACGCTGTTGCAGGCAGCTGGATAGCCGGTCTTGGCGTCAAGCAGCACAGCAGCCGCCATGGCAGCATCCGGTGGCGAGCACAGGCCGATGTCCAGAAAGACGGAGCAGATCCCGTCAGCATGGCCGAGCACTGGAATGCGCGTCCCAGCCTTGATCGAACGCACCAGCTCGTTGCTCCCACGCGGAACCACGAGATCGATGTCACGATCCAACGCCAGCAGCTCGGCCACGACGTCGCGCCGCGTCACCAGCTGCACCGCTGCCGACGGCACTGCTGATTCCTTCTGCAGCAGCGCTGTCGACAGTGCCGCCGCCATCGCCAACATCGTCCGCGTCGACTCCTTGCCACCCTTGAGCAGGGCTGCGTTGCCCGACTTGACGGCCAGTGCTGCAATGTTGGCCAGCACCTCCGGACGCGCCTCAAAAATCACCAGCAGCACACCGATCGGACACGACACCCGCTCCAGCTCGAGCCCGTCGTCCAGCCGCGTGCGGATCGTCACAATGCCGACTGCTTCCTGTCAGTCCGGCTTCTTTGTCTCTGTACGCCTCTCAAGCAAACTCACGAGGATCTGGCAATGCTCGCACGTCCAGGATGCCTTGTAGCATGTCCTCCCACTTTCCTTTGCGGCCCAAATCCAGACGCGACACCAGAGATGGGTTTAGCCGTCCGGCCGCTGCCTCTTGCTCTGCTGCTGCCAGATCGGCCGCATTGGCCTCCAGGATCGTCTCGCGTGCTGCCGTCAGCGCCGAGTGCATCGCCGTCAGCGCCGAGTTGCGCTCGTCTGCCGACAGCGTCGCTAGAATATGCGACGCCGTCTTGGCCGCGCGTGCCGCCTCGGCTGGCCCTGCGTCTGTGAGCGACATTGCTTCTGCTGATCGAGTAGAAGACGAGTTCTGACTGGCCGTGTAAACTCCCTTTCGCTTTCCGGATTCGGTCACGCAAAATGTTGCTCGATGTATGACTCATCGGCCAGCGCTTCGGTTCAACCTTTTTCCATCGCGATTTGCTTAGAGTAAAATACATACTCCGTACCCCGCCAAAGCTTAGGATTTGCCCTCGGCTTCCCCAGAATGCAGCCCCATAGCGCCAGACTGTGCAGTCCTCATCTCAAGGAGTAGTCGTCTTTCCCATTGGCGTGCTTTACAGAAACGGCAGTCCTGCAACAGCTCTCCGTCGACATGCATGCACGCTTTCGCATCCTCGATACGTCCTGTGACTCGCCAAGTCCAGACGTCGTGTATTGGTGGCTCACGACCTTGACTCCGTGCGCAATGACACTGTGGAGGCTAGCAGCTAATGCGGAGGTGTCCTAGGTCTAACCTTGTTAGGTATGTCGTATCTTGACATGCAGCTGTTGGAATGTCCCGGGGTCGGCTGCGGCTTTCCGCTCTCCTGCGGCTTCTTTTCGCTGCTTTCTCGTCTTCTCGCTGCCTTCTTTCGGCTTCCATGTTTGCCTTCCCCTTCTCCTTGTCTGGACGTAGAAACTGGAAGTGGAAGACAAGAGCATGTAGATCGCCAGGTTTGAGATCGTAGGCATAGGCTGGTTGTAGATTCTGGTTTGATGCCAACAAGCTGCCCGTTCTGATCCATCGCTTATTGTCTTGTTCGGGTAGTTGAGTCGACTAGACCGATCTCGGCTCCGCGATTGCTGTCCGTCTTGTTCCCTGCCAGTCCCCCTTGTCTCCTCTCTGCTGCCGCCTCCACCTCACACTCTTTTCTTTTCTACTTGCGAATCGCTTCTTGCCCTCGGAGATTTCACTTACACCGAGCTTTGTGGAATAGGCCACCAGATCCCCCAGGAATTATCCCGGACGACAACAATGGCCGAGGAGGCGAGCAGCCAGGCCCGAGACCAGGCCGGCCGCAGTCGCCACGATGCCAACGCCAACGATAGCTCCGATCCACCGGACGAAAAGACGGCTGTCGCTCAAATTGGCGATGGGACGGGCGACAACACCGACGATGAGCAGCCCGAAGACGACGACATGCCGCCGCTGGCTGAGGAACCCAGCGCCGGCCTGCAGGCGGTCGATATCCAGCGCATGCAAGCCCAGTCATGCAGAGCGTCGACCCTGTCGCGGGTGCCCACCATTGTGCCGCGATCAAAGCGGCGCGGCTTGTTTGGCAGGTTAGCCGTGCTGCCCGAAGTCGAGCGGCCGTTTGAATACCCGAACCAGACCAAGTGGCTGATCACGCTGGTCGTCTCGCTGTCAGCTGCCGCCGGTCCCATGGGCTCGTCCATCTTCTATCGTGAGTGAGGCCCCAGCTGTCACCCGAATGTCGCCTGCTGACAATACAGCTGCTCTGTCCGAGCTGGCGGCCGACCTCAACGTCACGACCACGCTCGCGAACTTGACCGTGGCCATGTACATGCTTGCCATGTCCATCTTTCCGCTGTGGTGGTCGTCCTTTTCCGAGACGTTTGGTCGCCGCACCATCTACATCGTCTCCTTCACCCTCTTTGTCGTTTTCGCCATCCTGTGTGCCATCAGCCACAGCATCGGCATGCTCATCGTCATGCGCGTTCTCTCCGGCGGCGCCTCCGCCTCCGTCCAGGCTGTCGGTGCCGGCACCCTGGCTGACATCTGGCAGCCACACGAGCGAGGCCGCGCCATGGGCATCTTCTATCTGGGCCCGCTGACCGGCCCGCTGCTGGCCCCCATCATTGGCGGAGCCCTCGCCGAGGCCTGGGGCTGGCAGAGCACCATGTGGTTCCTGGCCATCTTTGGCGGCCTGAGCCTGATCATGCTCTTCTTCTGCCTGCCCGAGACGCTGTCCAAGAGCCGCAATGCTGGTCGTGGCACTGCTGTGGCTGCTGCTCCTCTGCCTGGCATGGCAGAGTCTGCTGCGGCTGCCAGCCCCCTCACCCGCGTGGCAACGTCCCAGTCGGTGCGCGTGCACACCCATCGGGTCGCCGCCTTTCTCCAGCACGCCTTTGTGCACCCGTTGTCGGTGCTGCTGTACCTGCGCTTCCCGCCCATCATCCTGACCGTCGTGTACGGCTCCGTCACCTTTGGCGCCCTCTTCATCCTCAACGTTTGTCTGCAGTCGGCCTACGGCCACCAGCCATATGGCTTCAGCGAGATCATCGTCGGCCTGCTGTACATCCCCGGCAGCCTGGGCTATATCTTGGCTGCCATGGTCGGTGGCCGCTGGATCGACATGATCATGGCACGTGAGGCGCGGCGTGCCGGCCGCTATGACGCCGACGGCCAGCTGCAGTATCTGCCCGAGGACCGGATGCGGGAGAACGCCTGGCTGGCTGCGAGCCTCTTTCCCGCTGCTCTCATCTGGTTCGGCTGGACGGTGCAGCACGGTGTTTTCTGGGTCGCGCCCGCCGTTGCCAACTTCATCTTCGGCTTCGGCAGCATGCTCGTCTTCGGTGTCGTCACCACCATGCTGACCGAGTTTATGCCCCGACGCAGCTCCGGTGGCATCGCGCTCAACAACTTTCTGCGTAACATCTTCTCGTGCGTCGGCGTCATCGTGGCCCAGCCGTTGATCGACGCCATGGGCTACGGCTGGCTGTGCACCATGGTGGCGCTGTTGAGCTGGGTCATCGGTAACGCCTGCATCTGGGCCCTGCGGCGGTACAGTCAGAAGTGGCGAGTCGAGATGGATGCAAAGCTCAACAAGCTGTCGTAAAAGGGAGGATACGAGAAAGGGAAAAAGATAGGTTCGATATCAGGAAAGTGGCTGAAAGAAGAGGGGGCCAGATCGGGAAGGGGCTTTCTTCGTCGCCGCTTGCTCCTTCTATACTATGTATTTATGCACATATACCACTGCCGTCTTTTCAGAGCTGTACGATGATAATATATTTATGACAGCATGCCTTCTTTCAACCCTCACTCACGCCTTGCTCGGTGCCAGCAGCTTGCTCACGTCGTCCAGGCTGATGTTACCGCCGCTGATGACGAGCCCGACATCCCAGCCGGCCGCACCACCCTCTTGCTCCGCCCGTCGCCGGAAGTCTTCGTTGTACAGCGCCACCGCCAGCGGAACGGCCGAGCTTGGCTCGACCACGACCTTGAGCCGCTCCAGCAGCAGCCGCAGGGCGGCGCGGATCTGGTCCTCGCTGACCGTGTAGACGCCGTGCACGCCCTGGCCCTTGGGGTCCTGGTGAGCGCCCGTCAGGACCTGCCAGTTGTGCTGGCCGACCGGCGTGCGTAGGCCGTCGGCAATCGTCAGCGTCTTGACGCTCTCGATGCGTCTATTCTGCGCCAGTCCACGCGCGCAGTCGTCTGCACCGTCCAGCGACGGCTCTGCGCCAAACACGCGCACGCCCGTTCCCTCGGCCGACAGCACGACGCCAGCCAGCAGGCCGCCTCCTCCGACGGGCGCAATCATGGCATCGAGACCAGCCGAAGCCGATGCCGAAGCCGATGCCGAAGCCGAGGTCGGAGCCCGCAGAAAGGCCGTGGGATGGGCCCCGATGCCGGTGCCGGTCGTCGACGATGTTGTGCCCTCCGCCTTGGCCGCAGCCACCTGCTCCTGCAGCTCCAGCCCGACGGTGCCCTGTCCCAGAATGATGTCCGGATGGTCGTATGGCGGCACCATGCGCGCGCCCGTCTCAGCGATCACATCGGTGGCCACGGCCTCGCGCTCGGCCGCCGTCGACCCGCTGAAGATCACGTTGGCCCCGTAGCCACGCGTGGCCGCAACCTTGGGAGGTGCCGATATGCTCGGCATCACAATGTGTGCAGGCATGCCGGCCGTGCGGGCTGCCAGCGCCAGCGCCTGTGCATGATTACCTAAGAGGACACCGTCAGCAGTCGGCCAGACGAAGAAACGAGCCAGAGGAGAGAAGCCCAACCAGAGCTATGTGTGACTACGCCCTTGGACACGCCGCCGCTCTCAACAAAGCCCGGCTCGCGCTTGAGCCGCTCGATTGCGTGGAAGGCTCCGCGTGCCTTGAAGGCGCCGATGCGCTGCATATTTTCGCATTTGAACCAGAGCCGCAGCGTCGGGCGAGCAGGCCGGTAGTCTGCCGTCGCCCACAGCGTGCTGGCCAGCTCTTCTGGCGTGCGAGGCGTCGAGGCGAGCGCATCGAGCGTGTTGTTGGTCAAAACGGGCGTGCGGTGGACAAAAGGACGGATCAGAGCGTGGGCATCGACGACGGAAGCCCGCGTCAATGGCGGACATGTCGAGAGGTCAGCCATCGCAGCAATGGGTGAGAAAGAGGGTGTATGTGTGATCACAACAAAGTGGGGGTGGGGACATGATAGGAGAAAGCAGTCATACGGAAAAAGATAGTGTAATAAGAGTGCAAGACGTGGTTCAAAAGCCAGCTTCATCGCCAGACTGGCCAGGTTGCATATTCACTGCTTCTATCGTCGCAAAAATACAAGTGCCAATTCGCCTTGGCCATCCTATGTCCAGGTCCCAACAGAGCCGGGATTCCTACAGCATCAGAGGCCTATCCCAATCCAGTTTTCCCATTTGTGCAAAACGACCCGGTTCCAACCCCTTGTCCGCCTACTTCTGGTTCTCCGGGCGCAGAGAGCGGACGGCCTTGCCGGCACGCCAGATCTCCAGGTTGCGGATCTCCTCCATCTCAGCCTCGTACTTCTCGCGGTAGTCAGGCTGGCTGTTGTACTCCAGCGACCGCTTCGTCTCGCTGCCATCGTGCACCGAATCGTACAGGCTGTTGAACACCGGCTTCAGGGCATCCTTGAAGCGGGGCGACCAGTCGATGGCGCCACGCCGCGCCGTCGTCGAGCACGCCTCGTACATCCAGTCCATGCCGTTGGCACCGATCAGCGGGTACAGGCTCTGCGTCGCCTCCTCGACCGTCTCGTTGAACGCCTCCGACGGGCTGTGGCCACGCTCACGCAGCACCTCGTACTGTGCCAGGAACATGCCGTGGATACCGCCCATCAGGCAGCCGCGCTCGCCGTACAGGTCCGAGAACACCTCCTTCTCAAACGTCGTCTTGTACAGGTAGCCCGAGCCGATCGCCACACCCATCGCCTGCGCCTTCTCCTCGGCCTTGCCCGTCACGTCCTGGTAGACGGCAAACGACGAGTTGATGCCGCGGCCCTCGCGGAAGAGCGATCGCACCGTCCGTCCAGAGCCCTTGGGCGCGACCAGGATCACATCAATGTCCGTCGGCACGTCCACCTTGGTCAGGTCCTTGAACACGGGCGAGAAGCCGTGCGAGAAGTACAGGGTCTGCTGAGTCAGCATCATATCTACTAAGTAAAAATAAAGAAAGAGAGAGCGAAAAACCCACCTTGCCCTTGGTCAGCTGCGGCTTGATGGCCGGCCACGTCTCCGACTGTGCGGCGTCGCTGAGCAGGTTCATGACAATGGTGCCGCGGCTGATGGCCTCGTCGACCTCAAACAGATTCTTGCCCTCGACCCAGCCGTCCTGAAGAGCATCCTTCCACGACTTGCCGTTCTTGCGCACGCCAATGATGACGTTGAGGCCGTTGTCGCGGAGGTTGAGGCCCTGGCCGTGGCCCTGCGAGCCGTAGCCAATCAGGGCGAACGTGTCGTCCTTGAAGTACTCCTACAAACGACATCATAGTCAGCACACTGTAACATTCACCCACTTGCTCCAGATCCTGCACCGTATCCCGCTAAACTCGCCCCACCTCTCTCGCCTTGTAGAGCAGTAACTCACCAGAAGCTTCTCACGAGGCCAGTCGGCACGCTCTGAAAATAAACATCAGCCTATGTATCAACACTGCCAGAGAGATCCGGATAAAAACCCACCCCACACCTGCTCCTTGGAGCCGGCAAAGTCAATGGTCTTGACACCACGGACCTGCTGCTGGGCAGTCATGGTCGACGTAGCAGCCTTCACGGCAGCCTTCGCACGGACCAGGCCTGCAGCAGCCACAAAGGTGCGGCGCTGAGCAGCAGCAGCCGGAGCTGCCAGCTGGCGGGCCATTGGCGTCCGCAGAGCCTTAGAGAATCCACGAGAAGCCATTGTATAGATATGTGTGAAGAGATGTTTCCGACTTTGTCTAAAGAAAAGAGAGAGTTCAGGATGGTTTGAGCAGGTGCAAAAAGAGATTCGGTCTGGGCGGGTGCATCAATATATTCTCTCTTTCTAGTGTCCCTCTTCGATTTTTTGTCTGACTCAATTGGTGCGGGGAGACTTGCACAACTCCGTAGGGCCAGCTCCATTTTGTGTGATCTGTGCCTTCCCATTCGCCCCGACCTCGGGGGCTGGACCGCCATAGTGGGGCTGCTAAACAAGTCGACGTCGCTACTGAAAGATCGCTATACGATAGTTACTCCGTAATACAGCATTGCTCCATACGGCCACGCAGCATGACTCTATTTGTTCTCACCGTGCCATGCAAGAGACCGTTTCATCGTACGAGAACGGAGAGTGTACTAAAGAATATTATCATATAGGTTGCTTCCACAGACAGTTATATGCCCGTCGAAAAAGCCACCCGCAATAAATAACCAGCCCAAGGACTCCTCAATATGCCTCCAATATCCTCGCTCACTGCCATTAAGAGCCTTATGCTGCCACTTCTCCCTCTTGTCTATCCTATACATGTCATATTTCACGCTCTGAGAACCGCCCATCTGCGATGCCTCTTCTCCTCCTATGCATGCCAAGTACGCTCGCAACGTACCGCCTTGTAGTGCCTCGGCACATTTATATATACGGAATGCACTCACTCCGCGTGCACAGTTGCTCATTTGATTGTTACTTTGTCATAGACGGTGCCGCGTACCGACCCTCCCGCCATCGAGTTCCGCACGTTCCTCTTGAAGTTCTCTCGGTGCGATCGTAGGTCTTCGGCCGCCTCTTTGTTTAGGGGATCCGACGCATTCGGCTCAAGGAACAGAAACTTTAAGCTAGAGTAAGCGGGAATCACACAGTGAGATACACAGAAACGCATGTAGTTGTCTCACCTGTAAACCAACAATCACTGCATTGAGATTGAGCACAGGTTTCCAGTCCTCACGCAGGATGTTCAAGCACACTTTGCCCATCAGATCGATATTTGGGTGGTAGATCTTCTGCTGGCACTCGACCTTGGGCGGCTCGTGAGGGAAGTTCTGGTTGATGCGAAAGTCGAAGTTGAAGCGACCACCGCGGTACATTCCCTCGTCAGGCTCGATAGTCAATACAAAGTTCAGAATGTCGTCTGGGTCGGGGAAGTCAATGCGCATCGTGTTTCCAAGTGAAAGCTCGGAGAGATCTGGAGAAATCAGTGACTGAAGAAGACCCGAGTTTCTTGGCATATCATCACTGCATCATACCTTTTTGTATCCGCAGCTGCGCTGCTGTTACTTTCTTCTTCTTGCCACCGGCTGCCGCTCCCTCTGCATTCTCAGCCTTCTGCTGCTCCTTTTTCTGCAGACAGGCGATGTCAGTAGTTTGTAAGGTACTTAAGTCCGCTTCCATAGGCACCTGCAGCACATGCAGCAGCATAACTTACCATAGACCAGATTTTCAGCATCTTGGCTGTGTGTGCCTGGACTCGAACCGTGCTTCTATATACACAAACGAGGGGACAATAGGTGCGAGAGATCAAAAGGACGCGTCGTGGTCCTTTGGTAGCGCGGACCGTTCGGAGAGTTGGCAGAAACTAGGACGAGCAATATGTCGTACCACGTTTGACAGAAACGTCAGTTTCTCGGAGGAAGCAGGCCGGCGATGAGAAAAGGTTCCCAAATTCGAAGGATAAGGTGTAGCCTTATCATTCGACCCTTTGACTTAAAGCGACCGCAGTACCGGAGGAAGAGCAGTGATAGACTCGAGCGTGCTGAGAAATGGGCCGGCGGTAAGCTGAATTTATCTTCTCCTGCCTCTTTGCGGACTCGCTTCTCTGTCGCGCTCGGTCGTTTCGGTAATAGCGCAGTAAATTATTGTAGCAGTGAATGTGACATAAAAGGGCTTAACAACTGGAAGGTATCTCGCTTGGTGTGTCGTGGAGGCGATGGGACTTGTCAAATAGAAGTAGTCGGATCTTGATACGGCAGTACAACTACGGAGTAGGCTTCGCTTCATCAGGCCGACAGCAGCGGGGCAGATTCATCCCACCGAGATGGTGCCCAAGCTAAGGGCCAATTAGACGGGGCAAATAGGCTGATGGCAGACTCGGAACATCGATTGACCGAAGACAAGGGGATATCGCTTGATTAGAAGACATAATAAACGACTGACTAGCTGTGAGGATACAAAAACAAAAATGGGAAACAATCAATGACTTGAGACGATCAAAAACAAGAATGCCCGAAAAACGGACGGACGAACGCCAGATTCCATGCCAATTTGCACTTTCTGGCAACCTGTTTGCAACAAATATGGCCTTGAACCACCTGACACAGCCAGTATATCGTTTGTATAGAACTCGGACAAATCAAAACACTCAGGTAGCCAGAGATCCCAACTTTTTTGTCGTCGCCTCCAATAGCGATTGGACTGCAATTCCCACCCGTTCGGCTTGTTGGACGTCTTGAGCTAGATTTGCATACCGAACATATTGGAGAAGCAGGTTTCCGATTACCGTCGAGCAATACAGCACATGAGGCCGGTCTTGCCGAGGAACACGAGGAAACCGATGAAGCGAAACGTAGACAGTGCAGCAGTAGCGAAAAGCAAGAATCTGAAGAACCAAGCAGTACGGGCCGTGGTAGTACTCTGTTCAAAAGAAAAAAAAAGATTAGCAAAGTGCCCGACAAAGCAAACATAAAGGATGAAACGTACGGAAGGACCAAGATTGTCGAAGTTCGAGCTCGTAATAACAACGGCCAATAGGCAGTTGGAAAAGAGCCACAAGATGACCACCATCGTCCGGAAAGACTTGTATGAGTCCTGAATGTCCTTGACCTCCACCTCCTCCTCAGTTTTGGGCGGTTCAAGGGCACGTTTCACCGTGGACTCGAACTGCTTGTCGATATCCTCCTGCGGCTTGTCAATTTCTTCAACCACCACTTCATCCTTTTCACCCTTTGTGATTTGTGCAGAAGGAAGTGCCTCTTGCTTGTCCGAACCCTTCGTACCCCACGATACATCGTGCCAGTTGTTGAAAGCATAAACCATCAGGATGTTGATGTATGAGGTCATAAGAATCATGTACTGGGGGAAGGAGTGGAACATGTGCCAGGGGTCAAGGTATAGGAAGGAAGCAATGAAGTAGATGCCGTAAATCGTGAAGAGAGCCAGAATGATGACACCGGCTGCACCAGCATTCGTACCGAACACACTAGCAAAAAAGTCGTGGATATTGTCTGTGTCGATCTGTTCGCTGACCGGCGTCTGCAGAGCTCGCACTACCAGGTAGACGGAAAGAACCAAGATATAGGCCTGAATGATACCAAAGACGGCAAATGATGCGATGTATGCATACTTCGAGCCCTTCGGCCGATTACCCAGAGCCAGAATGAATTGCAGAATAACAAAAGCCAAGTAGATATACTTCAAGATGAAGTTGATGATAGGAGTTGCCGTGTCACCAAATGGCCAACCGTGGTGCTTCGTTGTCGTGTCAGGTTCACCAACGAGATTCATGATGACAGACGTCGTGAGCCAGTAAGAAGAAAGCGAGAACCAGGAGAAGACAAGGTTGGCGAAATTGTATAGCAGTTGGACGTGGAAGAAGAACATGCGAACGATGTTGTGCCCACTTTTGTAAAATCGACCGAAGTGTATAGCAGAGTACAAGCTGGCTGCGAAGGAACCGTTAAGCCAACGACGACGCTGGCTGATGAACTCGGGGGCGCCCTCTGGCACATCAGTTTCACCCTTGGCGGCCTTGATGTAGGAAAGATGCCACTTTTGACCAGCCTTGGCAACCAATTCGAAACAGAGAATACGATCCTCGGCCAAAAACATGTTCTTCTTGAAAATGTTCATGCCCTCGATACCCTTCTTGCCAAGAATAGCAGATAGCGTGTGGTCACCGTGGAAGTACTGGTCGAGTGGACGACCCATAATCGCACGGAAGCGGTAGGCCGAAAAGGCACCAGGCAGCACACTGACGTAGCCAAAAGCACTCTCAAGGGGCTTGTCCAGAATATTGGAAATCTTGTACTCGAAGTTCTGGATGGCCACGAGAGGATTGAAGAGTTTGCGACCGTTCTTGCCCAACATGGCGTGAATCTCACCACAGGCACCACCTAGATCCTTGTCGTTGTAAAATCCCTCCCAGAGGGCAAGCAGCGACGTCGGACTGGGCTTAGTACCAGCATCGAGCAGAATACACACCTCGGGGTTCAGGATGCGACCAAAAGCATTAAAGAGCCAGCGGTGAGAGTTAATCTTCTTGCTGTTCTTTTGCTTCAAACAGAAGATGAACTGGACGGGCGGCAATGTATTTTTGCTGTCACCGACAGGACGAATCAACTGTTGTGATGGCGTCACGGACAACTGTGTGGTGTACTCAAAGATGTGAGCGACAGTTTCCTGGCCATCAACATCCTGCTTGATGACACCATCCTGGTAGATGCCAACGGTAGCCAGGACGTCCAACACGCTCTTGTCGGTGTTGTTGAGACCATCAAAGACAAGACAGACAACAATTTTCTGCCACGCAGGTCCACCCTTGTTCCAGAAAGTGGACTTCTTCAAGTTGACAATTTCACGAATGTTCTGCATGACACCGTGCAGAGTACGAGACACTAGCACCTTGTCCTCGTTGTAGTAGGTAATGGCAACAAGCAGCTCTGTGTGGCGGTTGTACATGCGCGGGCGCAAGTCATAACCGTTCTTGAGAGTGAAATCGTTCGGATCACAAGTAGCAGCGGTGTATCGCATCTTGTAGAACTCGTCGTGGTTCGCTTCATTCTCGATATACTCTGGTTGAACCGAGTTGCGGATGGCGCTAGGGACGGGATACTCAATGCTCAGGACAGAGCCCTGGACAAGCTTGACCTTACGCGTCGGGTAGCGTTTGAGGCCACCGCCAGCAGCCTGCTTTTGACGCCGGTAGAAGCTGTCGTCTGGGTCGCCAGCCACCGAAATGGCCGACTGGGGTCGTTGAATGCCGAAGCCACCGTAGGGGTCTTGCTCTGGCCGGTAGGCGCTACTGGACATACCAGTGTCATTCTGGAAGGGGGATGGGGCATGCGGGAAGGCTCCCGAAGCACCACGAACGGTGGTACTAGCACCAGGAGTGTAGGACTCGGTCAAGCTGTAGGTCGACTCCGGCCGGATGGCAGGCACGCCGGCACTCAAGTGATCGTGGTCATATGGCGACGTGCCCTGGTTTAAGAGGGCGTGTTGTGACTCGTCGGGTTCATCTGTTGGTGGCAGGTGATACTGTAATGCGTTCACAAAGCGTCAGCATGCTGAGCTTTATGTGGTTATGAGAAGCCGGTGTGGCTCTTACCTGGCTCCCTGACGGCAGATCCTGCAAATCGTGGCCACCGTAATCCTCGCCATCATGGCCGTGGTACGCCATCGTTGCAATGAAGTCAGTGGCGATTAGGCTGATGGAATGTGCAATGAGCGACCAGGAGGGCAAACAGGTTGTTCGTGATGTTGATGAAGAATGAAGAATGGCAGCCCAGAATTACTAACTGGCTACGTGCCGTTATTTGACGGTTGGTGGAAAGGGGGAGGGGGCAAAGCAGGGGGTTGGAGTCTTGGTTTCTTCGTTTGGGCCAGTTGTGGAGGCGCCACAGTAGGGATCCGTGTCGGTAAAGCTTCGCCAGAATAGAGACTCCGCCGAGAAACAGAGTTGGGCGCGACTAGAGCAAAGCTTGCCGGTGCTCAACGGCTTTTGTCAATAACAAAATGGTAGCACGTTCAACCAGGAACCGGTGTTTTGTTCTGCAGCATCTGGTGCAGAGTGCGATCGGGTGAAGATAAAAGAAGCAGAAATCAAGGTTCCAAAAGGCGGAGCGGATCCAAGACGGGACAAGGGGAAGAAAAGGAGGACATTGGAGCTGGCAGCTGGACGGGTATGAAAAAAGCAGAAAATGTTACCTAGACGTACTGCTGTGGCGGAGTCCACATGTGCATTTGCAGCAAGGCTTGTGCTAAATTTAGGGGGGCAGGCCTCCGCCCTTTCAAACTTTGCAGAATGAATGCTGACGGCCAAATTGGGTTAACACCTGATCCAACTCCGTACACTACATAGTACATAGCATTTTACAAATGTCTGTCTCCTTTCGAAAGAAGAATTTTAGAGAACAGCGCCCAGGCTAGTCTGCTTCCTTCGCGCCTACTCCGTACGAATCCGCCCACAAAGTCTGCCTTATAACCCCTAAAGCCGGCCAACAGCTATATTACGTGATCCGAAGGATCGAAAAAATAACAGGTCGAGTCGCAATCTCTACGTTTGAATATGATATGTTTACTGGTTACTCCGTAACTGAATCCTAAACACGTACGGAGTATTTACACTATGACTACAGTTTCGGTCCACGACTGATTGTGCCACAGTGTGCTCTGTGTGAGCGCTGTACATAGTATGCAGTGTATGCTGTATATGTACTCCGTAAGATACGAGCAATTTTGCCCCGTGCGCGGGCTTGCAAAGATACATCGTAATACGTACTTCGGCCTCGTATAATGTGTACTTTACGTGTAGTGTCACCGTATCTGAAACCCCTTTTGTTGGTGGCGTGTCGAACGGTCCCCTTTTAATATTCCGGGCTTTGTTTCAATTTTGCCGGGCCTCTTAACAGTTTCGACCTATTGCGCCACATGCTTGGGCTCGTGGCTGTGTGCCAGCACAATACGTCGTAGTCAGATACGAAGAACAACTCGCGACCGAGTTGTCTCTTCGGCCGAGCACATTATGTAAGATAATTCTGCTTGCCACGCATGTACTCCGTATGTATCTTATTTGGTTCAATCTTGCCTCTAATAGGGAATATTTCGTCAGATAATTTCGAGTGCTGTGATATGGCGCCTTTTGATTCGTCGCGTTTTTGCTCCGACCAGACAAGATTTCCCACCTTGTGGATAAACGATAAAAATAGAATTAGCGTACTACTATGTCTTTATTAGGAAGGTTCTGTGGCGGTGCAGTTGGCATGAATGTTAAGCTTTCTGATAAGATACGACGAAGAGGCATATGTACTCCGTACTCCGTACGGAGTATCTTACATATGTGTTCGTATGGAGTACGGAGTACGGAGTACATGCGGAGTACGAAGTAAGATAGCAATACACAACAGTAATCAAGCAAAATACGGAGCAGGTTTGCGTACAAATCCAAGTGTACAAGTGTGTGTTTATGTACCAGCCATACCGGGCATATTTAAGCAAGCGTGAGAAAGACATGTCACTACTTCGTACTCCGTACTAAAGAACCCTTCAATAATGAGTACGAAGGACGTCGTACATATAGTTGCAGATGATCCGTGATAAGCTCTCCCGGCACTACTTAACACGTACGTAGCTGCCTCCTCGCTTGAGCATCCAAATCTCGCCTGCGCTCTTATTTCGGAGTTAAGTATTTCCTACCGCCCATCTTCTCTGTTTCCGTCACTGAGTGTAGTACAGCACATGCCTGGATGCGAACATCATACCTTCATCCAACGGGAGGAGCGAAAAGATGGCACCCCCCCTTAGCTGTGATATAGTGACACATTTGTGGAACTATGGTAGGTGATTAACTAAGAGATCTCTTTTTGAGTTATAAGTTACAGTCAATCAAGACGCTCCCGCGATGAAATATTACGTGCAGGATGCAATGGTTGGTATCAATGATTATCGTCCTACTCCGTACTTTCGACTTAATCTCGGCCTATTTTAGGCTAACCAACGACAAGCACTATCGATAATCCGGGTTTATGAGCAAACACTGTATACTCCGTATACAGTTATCATACACCGGATTATCACCATGGATCAACCATTCGGAATGATACAGGTGAGATCCATCAACACGATGTGAAAATCGATGTTACGATTTCAGAACCCTCCTCGCTGGCCCCTTTAATGCCAGACCTAGCGCTCTTTTATTTATTTCTGGGGCGGCTGTAATATCCGCACCTGGCTGCACGTCAACACTGATTGACGGCCATCTCACAACGATCACGTTCGACTTCCGCGGTAGGAGTGGTTCAACAGGACCCGATGCCGCCGATGCCTACGGAGCACACCATACAGGCTCTTGCTGGGGACGTACAGACCGTGATACCGAGCTCGGACAGCATGGCCCTATAGGTACCGGCGGAGTCGTGCTGATCGGCCTCTCCATGGGCGCCAAGGTGGCCCCTATGGTGGTGGCACGCTCGCATAACACCGTCCGTGGAATTGTCCTCGTCAGCCCGGCTCCAGCAAGGAGCCAACTAATTTTGGGGCAATCAATGTTCCGACCGAGTCTTCCCAATGTGGCAAACCCCTGCGTGCTGTTGTCGTCGAGGATCGCTCAGGGGAAAGCAGAATGGCCCGAGCGGCGTGACCTGCCAATGCTGGAACGGCATTGATCGCCGCCGTCACGTCTTCCACCATTGCAAAGCCTACGGAGTACTGTCCCTCGCCCGCGTGAAGGCCAATGTGTTCGACTGCTTCCTGGTGCACGGCTAGTAAACCTGTCAGTTGCCGGTTATCTGTCGCCTCTGGATGTGCTGGAAGCAGTGGTCAAGTACGGAGTATAAACTTTGCTTTGTCGATGAGCTATCGAGGTTAGTATCCGAATTAGCAAGGGTCATTTTTTGTTTGTGGCATGGATTCCCCTTAAGAGGCACACGCAGATTAAGAGCCAGCATGCCAGTTGAAACACAACAGCCATTGTGAGACGGACAGTCGGTGATTTTAGCATCCTGTTTCACGAAAGTAGCAAACTCCCAAGGGCGCGTCTTGCTTTGAATAAATCAGTAAAACTCGCACAAGTGCAAGTACAGCGGTGCAAACTCGTACGGCATGCTATTCGGGACTACGGGGAATTTGGAGAGTTCTGCGAAGCAAATATCCCGATTCGAAGCTGATTTATTGCAATCTGCTGTCTTATACTTGTCGATCCCCAAGCCTGTTTAGGCAATGCAACCTAGACGGGCAAAGCTGTCGAAACTACATAGTACGGAGTACGACGTACGGCGTATTTTTACTATCAATAGTGCAGAGGGTCAAATCAAGAGATCCGTTCTCTTGGCCTTCACGGAGTATACTGCAGCCTGGACCACGTTAAGATTTACCCTGTCTTCCGCCGTTGTGTAATGCGATATGATACGCAAACTCACAAGATACATACGGAGTAGGTACGGCGTACTATGTACACGGATCGTTTGCAGACCTCCGCAAGGCTATGAATGATCAACAAAGTGTATCGAGTTGTTGCCATCGCTGATAATCAAGCGGCTACGGAAGATACAAACAGGGGTTCGTCATGTGCCTCGCATACACGATCAGATACGAGTACGGAGTATCTTACGGAGTACATGATGCATATTTATCTTGCCACAGTAATAAGTGATCCTTACACAATTTTAGCTCATGAATGTTTAATCGTCAGCGATGAACTGAACAAAATATTACTTAGACACACACTTCCATGGATAGTAATTTAATATGGGGCACCTGGCCCAAGTCCGTCCACTAGACCCTGGGCAACGCATCCTCCTGTGTGTTGGTGTTTCGCTAAGAGGCCGAGGCTTCCTTCATAATTTATCCGACACCCAGTGCACACGCTGCTTTTTGCCTGTCCACGTTATTTCCCTTTCCCCTGGTCTAGTGGGACTAACCCCATTGCGGTGCCTCATCCCTACCTTTCAGCCAACTGATTCGCCCTGCTCCCCTTGACGGAGCCCCTTGGGAAGTTTAATTCCCTCATTCTCTAACAGGGAACGCAACCATTTTCTGGCGTGTAAGCGCATAGGACATCGGTTTCTGCTAGTGATCGAAGTACCGGTCGCACACGCATTGGCCATTAGCGTGTGGACGGCTCGGTTTTCAACTCGTTTTCTTCATACTCGTACTCTCTCCATCCCTTTCGCCAACCTGCCAGCCGTTCTCGATCGTCTCTGCTTCTTGATGACCGATCCACTCGCTCCGCAAATCTTCAGAGCAATCGTATCCTTCGCTTTCTCTTGATTGTCCCTCTCTCCCACAAAGCATCGCATCCATCAACAACGCTTACGACAACACATCTCCCCCCATTTCCATTCTTGGCCGGCTTTGTATCCCCGGAGGACATTCGCCAGTATCAGCCGATGTTGGTGATGCCCTGCTAAGCCTGCCATCGGCTTCCATTCCAGCAATTCGCAATTTCGATCTTTACCCAGAGCTAGTCTCACTTTCCATTCGTTTCAAGCAGTTTCTGACGTTCTTTGTGCTCATTTTCGTCTGCGCGTCTTTGTCTTCCGCATATCCCTCAGATCGCTCGCGCTTTGGATTCGACGGCTTCCTGTAATAGTTTCTTTCGACTCCGCTTTCTTCCTTCACCAGCGACAATAAATATTTCAACGGGCTTTATCATCTCTGCAAATTTGTAAGATATATCGCTGGAGGATATCACGCCACCTGGATAATCGGCTGGAATCGATTATCTTTTGAAGGACCATAACGTGCGGTCTTCATTAGCGCGTGGTTTATACCGCTACTGCAAACCTCGTCTCTATACAACGTCACGATGCCTGCCCATCCGATCTACAGAAGCCCGGCTTCCGCACTTCAAGAAGCACAAGCAGCAGGTTGGTCTTACCGAGACGGGATACATTTCCGTATATCGAAGAACGTTGCTGCTAACTGTCCACTACAGAAGTAATGAATCGCCTCCTCCCAAGAAGTGACTGCGTCACTTGCCCGGACTCTACACCGCAGTGTCCGACGTGTCCATCCGGACAAAGTTGTCAGGTCACCGTACCCCTGACTTGTACAGAGTGCCCAAGCAGCTACTGTGCTGCCGATGTTACGTCGACAACGACGGCGAAATCTGACACCAAGGACAAACCCAAGACTGGCGCCATCGCTGGCGGGGTGGTTGGTGGTGTCGTTGTAATCGCCGTGTTGGCCTACTTGGTTTGGAGATTTTGTGTTAAGCCCAAGAGACAGCAGTATGCCACGAAGGAACATGTCGAAGCGAATGCCGACCAGGTCAACGGGGATGGCTCATTCAACACCCGCCGGGCCCAGAGATCATCAACACACACAGTGCACTCGATCGCGTCTACTGTCCTCACTCGAGCGTCGAACATCATACAAATCGCATATATTCCTGGCGTCATGAACCGGGCATCGCCGTCGTCTCCTGCAGTTCTTGTTCCGCCAGTTCCACCAATCCCCATCGCCATTTCGGGCGCATCACAGACAAATGGCCCTGCCGGACATGAACAACATTTCTTCGTGCCTGGCGACTTGCGCGATTCTACGTACTCCGGCTTCTCCGGATTTAGCGATCGGACTTCGTTTGCTCGAACTTCATATGCGCCACGGTCTAGCATTGCCTCAACGATTTACGGAAAGAATGCCGTTATCGTTGCGCCACCACAGACCGGCATGAGAGCGAAACCAACGGTGGTTAATCTGAAGTCGCCGAACGGCTTGGCGCCACCCGTCCCGCATGTTGATTACGAGAAATACAACAGCAGCAACAGTAGTCTACGGCCGAGCAGTGCCGCTAACAGCACATTTAGTGTCGGCTCTACCTTTCTCAGCAACGCCAGCGCAGCGCAACCAGTCCGACCCGTTGTGGTTCGTGTGGGGACTACGCAGAAGAGGTCTCTGTTGAGCCAGAACACGTCGGCATTCACGGACTCGAGCTCCGTCTCTGACATTGATAGTGTCCTGATTTCCCCAGTCGGCGAGAAAGCGCCATCTTCCGCCGCTGGCGTTAGTCGTGAGTCGACTGCCATTACCCTCATCGAGGACTCTCCGACGCCCGATCAAGGTCCATTCTCCGACCCGCCAGCACATTCCGCTGATCAAAGAGAAAGCGGGTTCATCTCCATAGCCGAGGAATCCACGATGCAAGCATCTCCAAAGGATGCACCGAGGTCAACGGAGCGCAGAGAAAGTCCTTTCAGTGACGAGCATGCGACCCATGACAGCTGATGCCATCATACCTTTTTCATTATTTTGACGAGTCCCCCTTTTGTTTCGATCCGGGCCTGTACATTTGTGATTTCCATTTGAAGTTTTAACATGGATCGCCTTTTCCCCCAAATTTCAAACAAAAATAACATGAAAAAGAAGGTTATACCCGGTGACGATGAGTACCTTTTGGAAGAACATTTGGGGTTGGATCTGTCTGGGTGGTTGATGTCTTTTGTCCTATGTTTTTATCTTCAATTCTATCATCCCTCTTTTCTTTTTTACGGGACACATGACACTTCCTTTGACAATGTAGAGCCGTTATTGTGGCATTCTCTGCAGTTTCGGTACATTATTTCTTTACTGTGTACGCCATGTATGGTTTATATAAGATCAAGCTAAATACAGTCCACGGATCTCATGTCGATGATAAACGTTTTGGAATCTTTCGGCACACCGTCAAATGCTGTAGCCGATTGTTTTACTCCGTACTCCGTAGAGGAAGAATCAATACGTACTCCGTACGCGCGAGCCGTCTTGTGGGTCGGGTGATGCAGGGATTGGTCGCCACAATGGCTGATATCGGGTTTCCATGTCCCGTGCACTTTCTGCTCACCCAACAGCGAGAGAAAGTGCCATTGCTTGGTGATGTGGTCAGTATGCCTGCCCGGACCGTGACGCTTTGATACATAGTATATTATCTGAGCCTAATAAGGAACTGACAGGGTGTAAGCCGAAATGACAAAGCTGTTGATTAGCGGCGGATATAAAGCGCTCTCCTATTTCAACATGCCTCTACGAGAGGTATCTTACATCCTCTCCTGCTTCGCTTTCATCCAAGTGCTTGGGTTCCCGGGATTCCGCACATAAATTAAAAGTTCTCTTCCTTGAAAGCCTCGACTGGCCTGATCAGCTCTACGACGTAGAGCATGATTTGGTCGTGCGTGGGAGGATAATTACCAAGCCCCTTGTAGAGAATTGGGGGCGGTGTGTGGGGTGGGCGAGATAAAGAGGTTGGGATGAATTTGCTTTATTGGCTCACCGCCCTCTACAAGTATACCCTTCATGGCTTCAGTTGTCCCTATCCTATCTTCTTTTGTTTCGGCCTCCCGCACTCGGAAGGTCCTGGGAATTTACAAAAAATGACATGGGTTTTGTCGGGCGGTCCGACCGAGGCAAGCTTTGCAGGCATTCTGGCCGTGCTTAATTTTCCCAACCACTTCACGCTATATACAAGTACGGCAGTGTGCATAGTATTTACATGGACGCCTGGCTTGATGCGTTGTCTGTGCGGTATATATTGTTAGGTGCTCGGAGGTTCCGTAGTAAGATAGAAGAAACATGACAGCGGCAGGTGAAATGCAGCCCGCTACAGAGATAGGAGACCCCGGGGCTGGAGATCCCCGTCATCCAACTGCAAAGACGTTTGGAAATAAATTGCCCATCCACATCTGCCAACGCGATATTAGCTATGCACGCGGCTGTCTGCCTCTCTCCAAGATAGAGGATCTGTTACACAACTAACGAGCAAAGCAAATAGTAAGGCTGCGTCAAAGTGGAGCGGAAGACAAAAGCGACAGTACATATTGGTAGTATCCTTGACCTGGATGTAATCTGGTCAAATATCAAAGAAACTGCGAATGTTACGAGTATCTGTGAATTATCATTCAAGATTGTCGCACAGTTTGATCCCCCGCGACAAAGTCCACTCTGCCGATTTCCCTGACTGGCCAGCCGTTTCATTTGGTGGGACGGTGGCGCGGAGATCCACATGGAGAGATTTTCGCAGGGCGACGGCAAGCGGTCCTGCCCACCATCAGGATCGAGTTGGGGGCTGGAGGACTTCAGCGTACAGTGCGCGCACTACTAGAAGACTGTCGCATGTTGGCAACCGCTGCTTCGAACGGCGTCCTTACGACATATATGCAAGAATGGCCAACGAAGGCTGTTTTCGGACTATCTCTCGTACAGGTTGATCCATTACCAGGTCAGCCGCTCACCTTTGAACTTGGCAGCGGCTCTTTCTCGACGCAATGCACAGTACATGTCACTGGACATACACTATTATCTGGCGGCAGCGTTTAGAGACCTCATACACAAGCAGCATCGGGCAAATAAAAGGCTAAGGACCGAACCCCACTCTGCACGCTACGGTACAAGCTACCACGTAGCTGCTTGCACGAACGAAAAGATGGGCATACTCGTACATGCATGTACGTGTTGCTATGCTCCATGCATATGTGCACGGACCATTTTACCTTCCACCTGTTCGGCTGTCGAGCATCTCTGGTCATGCCGACCCATTCTAGCACTCTCTCTGCATTTACGAGATGGCTTCTAGTCCAAGCAGGGACCTGGTTTAGCTGTTTCGATATACTGGCATCTGCCTATAACGGAGTAGTCGCGCGTGTGGAAGTGCATCTTGCCTTTACGCGCAGCAGGACAACATAAGCACGCGGTATCCTGTATGGAGTACATATGCAGGCCGCAATAGCTGGGACGGAGCAATCCCACGCAAGCAACGTGCTCGCCTGGCCTTTGAAAGGACTCGAGGCGCCAGGCCAGCGAAAGCGCGATTGGCCAAGGCCCAGCCGTCGTTTCCCGCCCAGCCATCGTTTCCCGCCCAGCCATTTTATGTTCGCAGAGATGGGCTTTGCCGCCCCGAGTGCGTGCACTCGTACGAAGTAGTCGTATGCAAATTATCCCAGGTCGCCTTCTCAATCGCAGAGTGTTTTCTCCGCGGAGCATACGGGGCACACTGTGTCGAACGGACTCTTGCCTGCTCTCGCCGCCTTGCCTGCCGACTTCTGGGCCTTCGTACACAGTACCCTGCTCAGAATGGTCGCAGACCAGCTGTGGTGGGTTCTGTCGCATCTCACGGTTCGTCCTCCGGCTGGCTCCTTGTTGTGCGCTAGGCTGGTGGTACTATGTAGAGACTGGCAGTTTTCGCCGTGCCCACCGCACTGCATCGAGATGCTCCACGGTGCTGTAGGGAGGGGAGCTCTGCTGCAGGCTAGCGCCCCACCCCCCTGGCTCCTACCAAACAACCATGCCCGCCACCTGAGAGATACAAGGCATGCTGCTGACTGGCTGCGTCCAAACAGCCGACTTTGCCATTCTTTGCATTGCCCGCCTCAATAATTCGTTTAATTCAATTTATGGGGTGTGTGAAAAAGACGCCGGACGGAACAGCGGCCGAAAATCACGTCGCAGTCACAGTACGAGTATATCCTCCCATCACGCTTGGGTGTCCCCTGTACTGGTATCATCTTCCTCTCGCAGCGTTGCTCTCATAGAGAGGGACCTGCTCAGACCCGCTTGCCGACGTCTCCTCCCTCCCTATAACTCAAGCCGCCTAAACCGTAAAGAGAATAAAAAGAAAAGACAGAAGAAAGGAGAAAAAAAGACGTCGGGGACCCCTTCCACTACACTCTCCCTCTCCATCCACCCTCTGCTACTTTTCCAGCTGCGCACCATCTCCGTCTTCTCTTCCGCCCTTCTATCTGCCTTTTCGTGCTTCGTACTCTTTCCAGATACGTCTTTTCGCTTCGTCTGTCTGGCGAAATCCGACTTTATCGCCTTACCCCGCCCGCCCCTTCACTTCCTCCTATACCATTCGTCTCTTCTCTGTAGTAGGACGGGAGTTGTCAGCGTTATACCTCGATACTAGCATCACTTGCAGCCTCCATCTCTCGCCGGCCTTCGCAACTCCGGACAGAGAGGTCAACACAAGCACTAACATCCACAATATACCCTACAACGACAAGCCCCGTCAGCAGCCAACGTCGCCAATCGCACAGTCCCCCGCCAATCCCCAGCCGACAAACCTCCTCTTTGACCGTCTTGCCTCTCCCCTCTTGCTCGTGGCGACTTTTCCACGTCCCGCCCATATCTCCTCCTTACGACCTTCAGCGTCTTGACTGTCTCCCAGCTTTGTCACACTCGTTGCCGTCCCCGAGAAAACAAAGTCAAGCCGCATTGCGACATTTCCGCTGGCTACCTCTCCTTGCTAGCCTAAACCTACCTAGCTAGCTACGAGTACTAACGGTACTATCTCTAATCTCCCGTTTCTCGACTTCCACCGCCGGCCAACCGTCTGCTCAACGATCCCTCTGCTGGAACTGTCTCATTTGAGCTGCCCCACAGACTCTTCCTCTTCCTTTCCACTCTTGCACCCCCCCTCCTCCTATTCTTGTCAAGCTGCCTCAACACATCCTCATTGTCTTCTCTACGCCACTTTCAATCGGACGCCGAACGATAACACTAGCAACTGCTACCCTTCAGATCCGACAAACGAGTCCGTGGTCGCGCGGCGACTCCCTTTCACGGTACAAAATGGCGAGCAAGATGGTGCTGTACAAGTTGGTGGTGCTTGGTGACGGTGGTGTGGGGAAAACAGCTTTGACAATCCAATTGTGCTTGCAGCACTTCGTCGAGACGGTAGGTTCTGCTTCAAAGCCGTGTTTTCTCGGATCTTCCCAGTTTCGTCAAGCCTCCCCCCACCTTCGTGTCTTCCGTTCAGAAGCAAGAACACTTCCGGCATCCAATCACAATCTTGTACTGCCTAGTTATCCCTCTATTATCACCCATCGCTGCATGTCTTTTACTCATCCTGACCTCGTGTCAGGGGTATTGCTTTCACGATGCTTAAGGACCTTCATTGCTTTGCTCCTCTACCCTTCTGCCATCTGTTCTTCCCCCCGTATCTACAAGCATACACATATGCCTTCCCTATTCGAGGACATGTCGTCTAACTCGTTTATAGTACGACCCGACCATCGAAGACTCGTACCGCAAACAGGTCGTCATAGATAACCAGGCTTGCATGCTAGAAGTATTGGACACGGCAGGCCAGGAGGAGTACACAGCTTTGCGCGACCAGTGGATTCGAGACGGAGAGGGCTTTGTCCTAGTCTACAGCATCTCATCACGGTCGTCTTTTTCCCGCATCAAACGGTTCCACCATCAGATCCAACGAGTGAAAGAGTCCACGGCCTCGTCGCCATCATTCCCTGGTTCGCCACTGTCCGCCATGAACCCGCAGGCACCCGTGCCTGTCATGCTGGTTGGCAATAAGAGCGATCGTGTGACCGAACGCGAAGTTTCGACGCAGGAAGGTCATGCCCTCGCTCGCGAACTGGGCTGTGAGTTTGTTGAAGCATCAGCTAAGAACTGCATCAATGTGGAGAAGGCCTTTTACGATGTTGTGCGCATCTTGCGCCAGCAGCGCCAACAGGCCGCGCGCCCACCACCTCCTACTGGTAGCAACCGCCGACCGCAAGGTAGCGAGAGCAGCTCTCGGCGGTCTGACTCGGACCGTTACCGAAGAAAACCCGGCAACCGGTGTGTCATCTTATAAATGGGCATCCTGGACGTGATCACCGTATTCAGGGCGGAGACGTGCTCTTGGTGCTACGCTCTCTTTCGCTGTCATTGGCCTCTCCTCGCTTTTTGTCTCAATACCGACATCTTTCTCTGGAAGATGCTTCGCTAGTCGCGGATCCTGATCCATGACCGAGATGCTGCTGGTTATACCCTCCCGCTCCTCAAGCCTCGAAGCAAACGTCTCTACCGAAGCATTTCAAATGCATGCAAACCGCACATGATATATTACACGAGAATTTCTCGTCACGATTTGACGACTGCGCACGCCAGGCAATACACGGACAATATCCCTTTTTAGAGGGTTTTTATTTAAAAGGAGGAACAATGTTGTCGATTGTCTGGCTAGCTTTTACTATATCGACTGGGGTTTTTATACTTTTATCATTCCTTATCTACGCTCTTTGCCTTCTGCATACTGCTTTTCTTCGTGGACGGCCACGCCACACTCTCTTTTATATTTTGTGTCCTGGAGCCTTCCTTATCGCCTGTTGTGGGATAAAACACGTCTGGATTGACGTAAACACGCACTCCATATTGTTTCAACGAGCAGAGCATGGTAAGCTCTTCATCCTGGCGCACGGCGTATAAAAAGAGCAACATGATGAAAATAAAGATGGACGGCCACAGGTATGAACGCCACACGGCAACAGGGTTAGTACTGATCTACCGGGTCTACGCTCATTTTGACGATAGAAAAACTGCAGGCTCTGCTTCTTCGGGGGAGATGGAAGGAGACGGCAGGGCGGACTGAAGTTTTGGAGTCTGGTCTTGACACTCTACCTAGTCTGAGGTGTGTCTGAAAGAATATATCTAATTGTTGTTGTCCGTAAGAACGGTTGCATCCGCTGTTTGCTATTGTCTTGTCTTCTGTCATTGCTGTCAATGTGCTGAGGACAACCGGCTGAATGGCTCACATAGAGGTGCTTCCGATATACCGCCTGCCTTTGTTCCAAATTATCATGTATTGTCTCGCCCCAGATGATCATAGGCCTGTGCCTCTTTGAGTGGATATGTATCTTACTTCGTATTGGTCATTTTTGAGACTCTCCGTGCGTACTGGACTACACAGGAATAGGCTTGCATTAACTTCTATAGAGAGAAACCTAATCCGCGAAGGGTGGTATATTATTTGATATATATCTAGCGTCTGCTTCGCATTTTGTTGTAATACTTCACTCTTAGCTGTTCGTTATAGGTACGTTTCGTTGCCTCATACGCCAGTAACCAATAAGACACTGCTGAACAGAGCTAGAGTGGGTCATTTATTGCCGCCTCACGCTAAAGAGCGATCCCCCCTTTGGGACGGACACTCGTAGCAAAACGCGACTGGCTTGTCCAGATCGCGAACGAACGTTAATGGCCACTTTTACTTCACTGGACGGCATAGAGCAATAACCTCATCCACTTCATCTTTTCTGTATGTTTTCTGGCGACCTTCCTGTCTTCACTCTTTCTCTACACTTGGTACTCTCCTTTAATACGGTGCACTGCCTCATCAATACCCCACATTTCTCTTGAAATACACTCTTTTTGCGGGATGGATGCGCCCTGATTTTTGCATTTCTTACGGAGTACGGGTCTCATGGTACGATATTGTCTGCGAGACAACGACAGCTTTCAGTCCCGAAGACAAGACGACAACAAGGTCTTCCGGCAACACTGACCGAGCAACAGCAGCACTCGAAAACAGCCATGGCAGGCGTCCTGCGCTTCCGTTTCCTGGCAATTGCCATGGTGTTCCACTTGGTCTACATATTCTCTATTTTCGACATTTATTTTGTCAGCCCCGTTGTCTCTGGCATGCGACTTTTCCAGCCCGAGAGGCCTGCCGCCGCCAAAGCTCCAGCTGATCGCCTCGTCCTGTTTGTCGGTAGGCGCTTTTGAGCCCAGACATCCCTCGTTTTCAAGAGCTTTTGTTCCTTGCTCACAATTTTGTCTAGGCGATGGCTTGCGCGCCGACAAGGCGCTCCAGTCACATCCTGAGCCGTATCCGGAAACGAAAGAGGACTTGATCCCACGACCGCTTGCGCCTTTCCTGCGTTCCAGAATCCTCGAGCACGGAACTTTTGGGGTGTCACATACGCGTGTGCCCACCGAGTCGCGACCGGGCCACGTTGCCCTCATCGCTGGTCTATACGAAGATGTCTCGGCAGTCACCACTGGCTGGAAGCTCAACCCAGTTCATTTTGACAGCGTCTTCAACCGCAGTCGCCACACATGGAGCTGGGGTAGTCCGGACATTCTGCCTATGTTTGAACTGGGCGCCATCCCTGGCAGGGTTGATGCCTTCTCATATGCGGCCGAAGACGAGGACTTCTCGCAAGACGCCACACACCTTGACTACTGGGTTTTCGACCATGTCAAGGAGCTTTTTGCTGAGGCTCGCACCAACGAGACTCTGGCTGCCAGCCTACACCAGGACAAGATCGTGTTCTTCTTGCATCTGCTGGGCCTAGACACTACGGGCCATGCATACCGTCCCTATTCCAAGGAGTACCTGAACAACATCAAGGTGGTGGACAAAGGTGTCGAAGAGATAACCGAGCTGATTGAAAGCTTTTACGGCGATGACCGCACAGCATTTGTATTCACGGCTGATCATGGCATGAGTGACTGGGGCAGTCACGGCGATGGCCATCCAAACAACACGCGCACGCCACTGATTGCCTGGGGCTCGGGCGTTGCTGAGCCTCAGTTGTATCCAGCATATGTGGCGACCAAAGGCATGTTTGAGACGAAGGCGGGTGTCAAATCAAAGAGTGGCACCGGCATGGCGCCAGGCCATGACGAGTACTCGTCTGACTGGAACCTTGATCATGTGCGCCGCATTGATGTGGAGCAGGCTGATGTGGCCGCTTTGATGGCTTACCTGGCTGGACTTGAGTTTCCGGCCAATTCGGTAGGCGAGCTTCCTCTCGATTACGTGGCTGCCAGCCTCGAGGAGAAGGCGCGCGCCGCATTACTCAACGTGCGAGGCGTCTTGGAGATGTACCGCGTCAAAGAGGAGAAGAAAAGCGCATCACAGCTGCGATTTCGGCCCTTCCAGCCCCTGAGTGACAGTGTGGGTGATACAGAGGGATTGTCGGCTGAGCACCGCATGGCAGATATTGATGGACTGATTAGCACCGGCCATTATGAGGAAGCTGTCGAGGAGGCAGCGGCTTTGTTCAAGATTGCCTTGTCTGGTCTGCGGTACCTGCAGACGTACGACTGGCTTTTCCTGCGTGCGCTCATCACTGTTGGCTACCTGGGCTGGATCGCCTATGCATTGACCACTGTTGTGGATTTACATGTATTGGACGAGAAGACAAGGCCGCAAGCATCGCGGAACTTGGCCGGAGCCATCATCTTCTCGGCAGTTCTCTTTGCAATGTATGCGTCTTTTGCAGCCTCAAAGTCGCCACTGTCGTATTACGCCTACGCATTCTTTCCTGTCTTCTTTTGGGAGGAAGTCTATGCCCGGCGAGACAGTCTTGTGGCGGGACGCAAGCAGCTATTTGGACACTTCAACAGTGGCGCCCACTTCGTCTCACTCCTCATTAATGTAACGCTGTACATTGCCGTTATCGTTTTCTTGGTAAGCCAAAGGCATGATTCTTCTGCTTCTCTGGACGTGAGCTGACATCCCGAAAGGCTCTAGGATACATACACCGTGACATCTTCACGGCCCTTTTTGTGATTGGCGCCTTTTGGCCTGCCGTGTACGGACTCCCATTCCTACGCCAACACTTCGCTATGGCTGGCTTGTGGTCCTCTTCGTGTCTGGCCATGAGCACATTTACGCTCCTTCCCGCCATGAAGGTGGAGAACATTGAGCTTATGTGAGTTCGAGCCCAGCTGATGGAGTTGTTGTTAGTGTGTGTGCCCAAAAACTGACCGATGGTTCTCGCTTTCTCTCAGTCTGCTGGGTGGTTCTCTCATGGTAGCTGTTGGCATCCTCTATCTCGTGTTTGAAGATGTGATCCTAGCCGACTTCGCGGCAGCGACGGAGGCAAGGTCAGCGTCGTCTGTTGCTGCAAAGAGTCCTGTCGTGCGAGTCCTGTTGGGTGCCCAGGTTGGATTGATTATTTTATCGATGTGGGTGACGCGGTCGAGCGCCCTTTCTCTACAGGCCAAGGCAGGCCTTCCTCGGGGCAACCAGGTGGTTGGATGGCTTATTCTGGTCATGTCCTTGGTCGTGATGCCTATGGCACACAGCGCCGAACCGAACCGCAACTACCTGCACCGTCTAATGGTGATATTCTTGACTTTTGCGCCCACATTCGTCATTCTAACCATTTCCTACGAGGGCCTATTTTACCTGGCGTTCAGTGCAGTCCTGGTGGCATGGGCGCGTATGGAGCACGCAGTCCATATCTTCTCAACCCGACCGTTGCTAGCAACACCAAAGGCCAATGGGTCAGGCAAACCGGTGGCAGCAAGCATAACGACAACGGATAGGACAACGGCACCCTACAGGCCGCTCACACTTGCGGATACTCGGGTAGCCTTATTCTTCTTTGTGCTGCTTCAGGCTGCCTTTTTCAGCACTGGCAATGTGGCCTCTATCTCGTCTTTCAGCCTGGACAGTGTGTACCGGCTGATCCCTGTGTTTGATCCGTTCTCACAAGGGGCGCTACTGGTGGTAAAGCTGTTGGTTCCATTTGCACTCATATCGGCCAATCTCGGAATCCTCAACAAGCAGCTTGGCGTGGCACCATCAGCCTTGTTTATGACGGTCATGGCAATCAGTGATATCCTGACGCTCTATTTCTTCTGGGTTGTCAAGGATGAAGGGTCATGGCTCGAGATCGGCTCCACCATCACGCACTTTGCTGTCGCCAGTCTGCTCTGTGTCTTTGTGGCGGGACTGGAGGGTGTCAGCGCGCTCTTTATTGCGGGCGTGGAGGTAAATGATACGATTCTAAAGCCAGCAAACACAGTAGTAAAGTCGGCATCTGCACGGCCGTCGACCAACGGTCAGTCGCACACGCCAAAGGTGTCAGGAAATAAATAAAAAACAGCAGGGGAGCATGGAAGGCCAGCGTCCTTTGATAGCTATCTCAGCTTGTGTGTATGCCTGATGGAAGAGCTGGTAAAGCACAAGTCTGTTCTTACGGCGTATACGCATGCATATGAAAACACTGAGGGAGGGCAAGCATGTCCATGACAAGTCTACGAAGATAATAAAGTAATGAAACAAAAACAAAATTATAATACATTGTATACGCTCGTCATTCTGGTCTACCAGTGGGATGGATATCTGGATAGTTCATTAGTGCTGCTAGGCTGATTTCGCGCGGCTATTCTTACTCATAAAGGCAGGATGGTGTTTTGTCTATTGCCCGAAAGAATTCGACTATGCCTGGTAAGGTGTACTCGGCAGTCAAATCGATGGCATTAGCAAATGTATTATCTGCACTGCGTACGGCACTGCATACGGCAAAGAACAACTTGGTTTTGACAATCAATTGCAAAGAAAAGTTGGAATTTCAAGCAGGAGAGAAGTATAACACTGTAAATCGCTCAGATTGGCAGCTGTAGCGACGCGCAGACTGCCTTACAACAAAACATGGAGATACAGCTGACGTCTGGCGGCCTTGCGCTAGTTCTTCGGGGTTAGGTAATATCTTATGTGGCGCCTTATGACGGCGAGTCTTGCATTAAAGCGGAAAGGCTGCCTTGCTCCTTCGTTCCTTTAATTCTGCCCGCTATGAGCAATTGTTCCGCCTTCATCGCCGCCCCCTCCAAATACGGTACTCTCTGCTCCATTTCATTTCCCATCCTAACTGTCGACATCACCCTGTCACCTTCAACGCGCAAACGGTCCACACGGCAACGCAAGCCGTTGGCCACCCCTCGTGAATTATTCTTTTCTGTATTGCCGTTTTTCCCTTGCCTTTTCTGGTGATTCCCTGCCGGCGAACTTGGAACGCCTAACGCGAGGGGCTCTCCCAACATCACCTTGTGTTGCCTGCTTTTGCCATCAAGAAAGGTCCGACTTTCCCACAAGGCCACGCGGTCCGTGTGCTTCTATTCACTTCTCAGCCTTCCCCGAGCTTGCATACAGATGATCGTTCCACCCACGACGACGATCACGACAGTCTACATGCTCTCGTGCCTGACTTAAATCGGAACCAACGTATTCTCAGCCGCTTTTGAGCCACACAACCACCGCCTAATATCATCGCTCGCTCGATCAGAGCCAGCGACCATCAGCGAACCCGTTCGACTGTCGCCATACAGCCATCCAAGCTGCTTGTGTCGCCTTGTTGCTCCCCCCACCGAGCCATCTCGACACAGCTGGCTTCATTGACCCTGCAGCTATACGCGTTATCGATTTGAACACAGTTAACACCAAACACTGCGCTCGTCGTTTCGGAGTTGTCTATCAAGATGCCGCCCGCCATTGCCCGGCCGGGCACTACGATGCTCATGCCGCAACCAAACCAAGACGACATTAATGCTACGTGAGTCCACGACGGCGAAGCCTTCACGACCATAGCTATGCGGTCTTCTGTGTGATTCTCACGGAAGTGCTGACATTTTGATGTGTAGGTGGGCGTATCTACAACAAGGCGTCAACAGCATCATGGTTAACATAGATGGAGGAATGACTATGGAGACGGTACGTTCTTGGCCTGCATTCGCAATTTCCTGCTGCCGAATTTTGACTGACGGATTCCTCCCAGTATATGGGGACATATACGTGAGCAGCTTGATTCTCTTCCTACATTATCGCATTCTGTACCAATATCTGACCTCGACTAGGGCTATTCACAACTTTTGTACTTCCCAGAAAGCGGTCGGGCTTCACCAGTCGTCTTCTATAGCGTCTGTTGCGCACAGAGGAGGTAAGCCATATCCTCATTAGCTTGTGTGGCCCCTGTTATGCAGACCAGTAACTGACTATGTCTTTGTATAGCACATCTGCTTGGAGAAGATTTGTACGAGAAATTGACTGATTACCTCACTGGGCATCTCGAAGGTCTCCGCGAAGAGGCGTCTCACCATGGCGGCGAAGCGCTTCTCGCTTTCTACATACGCGAATGGGATCGATACACTGTCGCCGCGAAGTACATACACCATCTTTTCCGGTACCTGAACCGTCACTGGGTAAAGCGTGAAATGGATGAGGGCAAGAGGAATGTGTACGATGTCTACACGTTGCATCTTGTTCAATGGCGCAGCATCCTTTTTGACAAGATCTCCGTTCAAGTCATGAACGCTGTGCTGAAGCTTGTCGAACGACAGAGAAACGGCGAGACGATCGAGTACCTGCAGATCAAACAGGTGCTTGACTCGATGGTTTCTCTTGGCCTGGACGACAGCGACTCCAGCAAAACCACACTGGACACATACCGGTACCATTTCGAGCGGCCGTTCTTAGATGCCACCCAGAAATACTACCAGGACGAGAGCAGCCGATTTGTGGCAGAGAATCCGGTTGTCGAATACATGAAAAAGGCAGAGATTCGGTTGCAAGAGGAGGAGCAGCGCGTGCAGATGTACCTTCACCCAGACATAGCAATACCGCTGAAGCGGTGCTGCAACCAGGCGCTCATCGCGGACCACTCAGCCCTTCTGCGGGACGAGTTCCAGTTTTTGCTGAACAACGACCGCGAAGAGGACATGGCACGAATGTACAATCTTCTGTCTCGGATACCCGAAGGATTGGACCCGCTGAGGACACGTTTCGAAGCTCACGTTCGTAATGCTGGTTTGGCCGCCGTGGCCAAGGTGGCTGCGGACACGGAGAAGCTAGACCCCAAGGTGTATGTCGACGCGCTGCTCGAGACGCACACACAATACCAAGGCTTGGTCAAGCGCGCTTTCAACGACGAGCCAGAGTTCACACGCTCTCTCGATAACGCGTGCCGCGAGTTTGTGAACCGCAACGATGTCTGCAAGGCGGGTTCGAACAAGTCTCCAGAGCTCCTGGCCAAATACGCCGATATGCTGCTGAAGAAAAGCGGGACTGGCGTCGAAGAGTCCGAGTTGGAGGTCACCCTTACCCAGATCATGACCGTTTTCAAGTACATTGAAGACAAGGATGTGTTCCAGAAGTTCTACTCGCGAATGCTGGCTCGCCGCCTGGTGCACACCAGCACCTCGTCAGACGATGCAGAGACGAGCATGATCAGCAAGCTGAAGGAGGCGTGTGGCTTTGAGTACACCAACAAGCTGCAGCGCATGTTTCAGGACATGCAAATTTCCAAGGATCTAAATGCCGGGTTTAAGGAGCACGTGCAGGTCATGGACGGTTCCTCCCTAGACGGCCAATACTCCATTCTAGGCACGGGCTTCTGGCCGCTGTCCCCCCCCACCACGACGTTCAGCCCGCCAGCGGAGGTGCAGAACGACTGCGACAAGTTTACGCGGTACTACAAGAACAAGCACGAAGGCCGCAAGCTGACCTGGTTGTGGCAGCTGTGCAAGGGCGAGCTGAAGACGAGCTACTGCAAGAACAGCAAAACGCCGTATACATTCCAGGTCTCGGCGTACCAGATGGCCATCCTGATGCTGTTCAACGACAAGGATAAGTACACATACGAGGAAATTGTGTCGGCAACGCAGCTGAACAGCGAATCTCTCGACCCGAGTCTTTCCATCATCCTCAAGGCCAAGGTACTCCTTGCATCCCCGGCAGACGGCGACAAGGTCGGGCCTGGCAAGACTTTCAGCCTTAATTATGACTTCCGCAACAAGAAGATCCGTATCAACCTTAATGTCGGCGTCAAGTCGGAGCAGCGACAAGAAGAGGCCGAGACGAACAAGACGATAGAAGAGGACCGGAAACTGTTGCTCCAGGTACGTTTGTTCCTTTGTGCCGACCACACATTGACTCCAGCCTGCTGACATGCAATCTCGATAGTCTGCTATTGTCCGTATCATGAAGGCTCGGAAACGCATGAAGCATGCGCAGCTCGTTAGCGAGACTATCACGCAGATCAAAGGCCGATTCTTGCCCAAGGTCGCGGACATCAAGAAGTGTATTGAGATCCTGCTGGACAAGGAATATCTCGAACGGCTAGACGACGACGAGCTAGGGTACCTTGCCTGAAGGCGAGGCCGCAAGCGCTTCAACGGGACATGCGATTTTCTGATGGGCACTTGCTGTTCACTCCTCTTTGCTGCATGGCCCTGTCTTCCTGTCACTGGTAACCGCACTTACATATACCGCGGTCTTGTCTATCCGTATGAGTAGAAGCATTGATGTGGCAAGCGAAAAAGGCAAAAAGTCTTAACTCAATGTCACTGTATGTATGACCTTATCGATAACCCTCATTATTCTCGTGTGTATGCCAGCCTAACTTTTCATGAGAACAATCAACAGATTTGGCTGTCGGATGCTGGTGGTCAGAGTATATAAAATAGATTGGTGAAGAGAATACGATTGTTGTTGGCATCACGATTGCGAAATGCGCTACTGTACGGAGTAGTGAAGTAGCGCGAGAAATGCACTAATGCGACTTATGCGAGGGCAGGGGAAATGTGGGTCTGGGAAAGAGCAGCTGTATCTTACTCGTAGGCTGGTTGAAAAATTCACAGCTTCAAGGCATTGGCGGTTGAATCCTGCACAGCGGCCAGGGCATCATTACCACCCTTGTCGTTTTCTTTTCTACCGCCGTTTGGGTCGAATGTGTATTCGTTTTTTCCCTGTGTGTTCTCGCTGCACAAGTGAAACTGTCATCAGAGGTAGCTTTTTGCACAGGCGCGTTTGTCGTTGATCCAGCTGGATGAGACATCCGAGGCTTACGACTCTGTGCAGTGCCTACGGAAGTCTCACTCGACCCAGACTCCCGTTCTCTTCGACTATCCTGACAAAGGGCGCCACAGCGCTCTGGAGCACAGGAGTAGCCAGTGCATCGACGCAATACTTTCTTCTGGGCGCATCTGTGCGATTCAGCTCATCTGCAGCTTCGACTGCGGCTCAGTCCCGAGTTACGGCGGCGATGAACGGTACAGCAGGAGCAGCGGCTCTGGGCAAGCGGAAGACAGCGCATCCCAGCGACGGCGACCGGCCGTCTAAATTACAGCGGTCTCTGAACGGCGGGACAGCAGACGAGGCAGGCGACAGCGACGACGTGCCCAACGACGACGCGATGCTGGACGGCGAGGAGGCGAGCGGGGCCGAGGAAGACAGCCTTGGCAGCGAAGACGGCTTCGAAGACAGCGAGGCGCTGGACGGCAGCAGCGGCCGGGCAGCAAAGCGGCATGGTCACGGCCACAACAAGCAGCAGCAGCAGCAGCAGCAGCTGCCACTGCTCGGATCAGCGCCACCGCCGGTGGTTCTCGCGTCGGGCGCGGCCGAGTCAGCCGAGTGGCAGGAGACGATCCAGCGGGTGGTGTGCAATGTGGTATCGATCCGGTTCTGCATGACGTGCTCGTTTGATACGGAACCGGCCCTGACCAGCGAGGCGACCGGCTTTGTTGTCGATGCCGAGAGAGGGTGTGTTTGTGTTCCGGTTGTCTTGGCTAACGCACTGGCTAATCGATGTGTAGATACATCTTGACAAATCGACACGTTGTCGGGTCCGGGCCGTTCTGGGGCTACTGCATCTTCGACAACCACGAGGAGGTGGACGCGTATCCGGTGTACCGCGACCCTGTGCACGACTTCGGCATCTTGAAGTTTGACCCGAAGGCGATCAAGTACATGCCTATTCAGGCTCTGAAGCTGTGTCCCGACCTAGCCAAAGGTGTGTTTGTGGTTCTGTTCCCGGTCTGACGAAATGTAGCTGACCTGTTCGTGTTAGTGGGTGTGGAAATTCGAGTGGTGGGAAACGATGCGGGCGAGAAGCTCAGCATTCTTTCGGGCGTCATCAGCCGTCTCGACCGCAACGCGCCGGAATATGGGGACGGATACTGCGACTTCAACACGAGCTACTACCAGGCTAGCGCGGCGGCCAGCGGCGGAAGCTCCGGCAGTCCCGTAGTTAACATCGACGGCAATGCAGTGGCGCTACAGGCAGGCGGACGAGCGGACGGAGCATCGACGGATTACTTCTTGCCGCTGGACCGGCCGCTGCGGGCACTGCGTTGCCTGCAGGAGGGCAAGGCGATTGCGCGCGGCGACATTCAGTGCCAGTTTCTGCTGAAACCGTTTGACGAGTGCCGGCGGCTGGGGCTGTCGGCAGACTGCGAGGCAGAGATGCGAGCGGCCTTTCCGACGGAGACGAACATGCTGGTGGCAGAGATCATCCTTCCGTCAGGGCCATCGCACGGCAAGATTGAAGAGGGCGACGTGCTGGTGCGGGTGAACGGCGAGCTGATCACGCAGTTTGTGCGACTGGACGCGATCATGGACTCGCATGTGGACCAGACGGTGCGACTGGAGCTACAGCGCGGCGGCTCGACGGTGTTGGTGGACGTGACGGTGGGCGACCTGCACAAGATCACACCGGACCGGTTCGTGTCGGTAGCAGGCGGCAGCTTCCACAACCTGTCGTACCAGCAGGCGCGGCTGTACGGGGTAGCATGCAAGGGCGTGTACGTGTCGGAGGCGTCGGGATCGTTCCGGTTCGACAGCAGCGACAACGGGTGGCTGGTGCAGTCGATCGACCACAAGAAGGTGACGGACCTGGACGAGTTTGTGGAGGCGATCCGGACAGTCCCGGACAAGTCACGGGTGGTGGTGACGTACCAGCACCTGCGCGACCTGCACACAAAGCACACGACGATCATCTACGTGGACCGGCACTGGTCGTCCAAGATCCGGCTGGCAGTGCGCAACGACACTACGGGACTGTGGGACTTTAGCGACCTGGGCGACGCGCTGCCGGCGGTGGCACCGGTACGACGGACGGCATCGTTCATCCAGCTGAAGCACATGCCACACACAGCAGTGGCAGACCTGGTGCGCAGCTTCGTGCACGTCAACTGCTACATGCCGCTCAAGCTGGACGGGTTCCCGAAGAACCGCAAGTGGGGGATGGGGCTGGTGATCGACGCGGCCAAGGGACTGGTGGTGATCTCACGGGCAATTGTGCCATACGATCTATGCGACATCACGGTGACGATTGCGGACTCGATCGTGGTGGAGGGCCGGGTGGTGTTCCTGCACCCGCTGCAGAACTACGCGATCATCCAGTACGACCCGGCACTGGTGGACGCGCCAGTGATGAGCGCACGGCTGAGCAGCGAGGAGCTCTCGCAAGGCGCAGCGACCAACTTCATTGGGTACAACCGGATCGGACGGATTGTGCACGCGGCAACGACGGTGACAGAGGTGTTTGCAGTGGCCATTCCGGCGAACCCAGGCGCACCACGATACCGTGCAGTCAACGTGGACGCGATCACGGTGGACACCAGCCTCAGCGGCCAGTGTGGCAGTGGCGTGCTGGCAGCAGACGATGGAACGGTGCGAGCGCTGTGGCTGACGTATCTGGGCGAGCGGTCGCCAGCGACACATCGGGACGAGGAGTACCACCTGGGCCTGGCGACGCCGACGCTGCTGCCGGTCATCGAGCAGATCCAGCGTGGCGTGGTGCCGCGACTGCGCATGCTGCCGGTCGAGGTGCGGTCGATTCAGATGTCGCAGGCCCGGCTGATGGGCGTGTCGGAGGAGGTGATCAGCAAGGTGTCGCTGGCCAACACGGCGCAGCACCAGCTGTTCATGGTGACGAAGCGCACGTTCGAGCGGGCGGTCGAGCATGCGGCCGACAGCGGTCTGCTCGAGGGCGATATTCTGCTCTCGCTCAACGGCCGTCTGATCACGCGGATCGCCGAGCTGGACGTCATGTACAACCACGACCATCTGGACGCCGTCATCGTGCGCGATTGCGCCGAGATCAATCTGCGTCTGGCCACCGTCGCTGCCGACGACCACGAGACCGACCGGGCTGTCTCCTTCTGCGGTGCCGTCCTGCATCGCCCGCATCACGGCGTGCGCCAGCAGATCAGCAAGCTCTTCAGCGAGGTCTACGTCTCGGCGCGCACCCGTGGCTCGCCGGCTGCCCAGTATGGCCTGGCCCCGACCAACTTTATCACACACGTGAACGGAGAGCCGACACCGGATCTGAACGCCTTCCTGGCTGCGGTCGTGAAGATTCCGGACAATACATGTGAGTGGATGAATTTTTTGTGTATTTTTTGTGTATTTTTCATATATTTCAAACCCCACTTACTAACGTCACTTGTCCAGACTTCCGCCTCAAGGCTGTCACCTTTGACAGCATGCCGTGGGTCGTCACCATGAAGAAGAATGAACACTACTTTCCCACGGTCGAGTGGATCAAGGACACCGCCGCGCCCTGTGGCTGGCGCCGCGTCACGTACGAGGGCGGCGGCAAGGCCGTCGAGGGCGAACCGTCCGAGGGCGTCGTGGTGCCGATTATCGAAGACACCGGCGACATTGCGGCTGAGTAATATTCCGGCGTCGGGACACGGCGAACACACTTTGGGAAGGGAACTGGGCCATACTGGGAAGACTGGACGGGGCATCAGAAAGAAAATTACATCGTTCTATAGACATATTGGTAACCTGTAAGACGCGAATGTCTTTCTGTCGTATTGTCGTATTGTTGTACTTTCTGTCTCGTCTATCACGTGACATCGCGCAAATCAAACCCAGAAGCACGGACCTGCGGCCACGGCAATCACAATCAAAACAAACCGCAAATCGCATGCTATCCGTCATCTTTGTTCTCTCTTCATTTTTCCACCACTTTCATTTCGACAGGGTGCCCATCGCCAACCGCGCCTCGATCCCGACTAGCCATTCCACTTCGTCCGAGTCCACGAAGTTCTGCTGTCTTTCCCTCCGAACCGTGTATATTGTTTTCTCTCTAACCTTCGCCTTCTCTTGGTTCTCGTTTTTTTTTCTTTTTTTTTTTCCCTTTCCTTGTTCGACACGTCTTCTGTCGCCCACCATGGCAATGAGAGGACCGCGTCACCCCATCGGGGCAGCGCCCTGGATCGTGGAGGAGCGCACGACGGCGCTGCACATTGCCCAATCTGAGACCGAGGAGTTCTCTTTCTCGGTCAAGAACGAGATGGACTGGCTGAACGAGCACATGGCCGAGATCTTTTCCGAAAACCCAATGTTTGTCGGCCGACAGTCTCGCGACGCACCCGTTCTCCATGCTGACACGTGCTGCAGAAGCGTCGCCGAGATCTTCAAGACCCCCGGAAAGCTGCGTGGAAAGACACCACGGACAGCACGAACAGTAACCAGGGGGGACATCCGAGCAGTACGCGCCCTTTCTCCTCGACCCCTCGTCCTGCATCGCGCAGACACCCCGTACTGACATCACAGCCTCTGACGGACGTCTTTCTGTCCACGCCCAAGGGCCCGCCAAACCCGTTTGCCATCTCCAAGCTCACCGGGATCCAGCAGCAGCAGCGCCGGAACTCGCCCACATTCAGGGTCGCCGAGGACCGGCCAACCGGCTCAAGCCCCAGTCCGCGTGTGAGCCCGGCAAAGGTCCGGCCTTCCGCAAAAACGCCGTCGTCCGTCTTCCGCAAAAACACCTTCCACAGCGCCCAGAAGGCATCCGCGTGTGCAAGAAAACCAGAGCCGGCATCGTCGCTCGGAGACTCGGGATATCATGGAAGCCAGGACATGACCGACCAGGACGATGACGACGTGGATGTCGATGTCGATGTAGATGTCGATACTGACGATCTTGCCATGTCCAGCACAAGACCGATCTTGCAGCCGACGCGTCAGGCTGCTTCAGGACCAAAGGCCATCAACGTCCCGACCAGCACCACACCAGCAGCACGAACACCGATACAACCGAGCACAACACCTCTGCTGTTGTCGCCCGACGAAGCTCGTGGCCGCCGCAGTCCCACGCAGCCGGACCACTCGTTCCACTCCGCGAAAGAAGAGCCCACCGAAGATATGCTACCGCAGGCTGCCGCGTCATCCGGCAGCATCACAGTCTCTTCGTCTCCCTTTGTCCCGGTGAAGTCCCCCTCTCCGGCTCGTGCCACGATGGCGATGTCACCACAGCGAAAGCCGGCACCACCGCCAATGCAATTGCAGGACCAGCAAGAGCAGCAAGAGCAGCAGGAACCGTCTTCCCCTCTGGAATCCACCACACCGGCGTTTCCGCCACCCCAAGAGCTCTTGACTGCTATGGGGCAACTACCTGCCGACGATCCGTTGCTGGCTCCATCAGCACCCACCTCTCCCCTGGTGACGCCTTCAAAGACGCAAGGCCATGTTGCCATGGAAGACGAGATGGACGTCAATGAACCAGAGGAAGACATGGAAGAGGAAGTCGAGGTGAAAGCGGAAGCGGAAGCAGAAGACGAGCAGAAGGTGGAAGCATCACAATCTCCAGACTTTGACACAAGTCCTGTCCGCCCGGTCGTTCGAAAGAGCAGCCTGAACTTCGCGTCTCTGCCGGCACGAGAACCGTTCACATCGAATAAGAGCATTGGCGGTGCTGCCCGACCGTCACGCACAAGTCACACTGACACAGCCAGAGCTGGCTACTACAACCGTGTCACAGGCGGCAAGAGTCTCGGCAATGCGCAACCAGCAGAACGGGAAGACGGAGAGAACAACGACCACGACGAGCTGGATGCCGACGATGTCTTCTCTTCTCATGACGCTATGCAGGCCGACGAGGATGCTACGTCTGACAACAAGACATACACACAGCGTCTGCAGGACCGGATCAGCATGTTGGGCAAATCTCAGGCGAGCGGCCCACGGCCCTCCAAGTCGCTGGCTAACCATCTTCCGGGCGCAACGCAGACCATGCTGTCCGCCTTGGCACAGCCGCAAAGATCGCAGCCCTCTGCCACGTTGTCATCTCCGAAGAAAATCACGAGCCCGGTCCTGGCGCCTGGCGCTTTCCCGGAAGAGGTCGACGAGGACTGGATCATGCCCCCCCCGGATACTGCTATAACCAGTCCCCGGCTAAACATGCCGGAAACCTTTGCTTCTGCGGACACAGACGAAGAGCAGGATTTACCAGACAGCCAACCGGACTTTGTTCTTCCTAAGCAGCGTCAAAGTGCCGTGGCGGCTGCGTCACCCTTGAAGACAAAAGTCATGGCCCTGCGCGAAAACAGTCCCCGCGTCAATGGGCACATGAAGTCAGCGTCCGTCCCGTCCTTGTCGCTGTTTGCTCCCGACTTGATGGCTGCGCGATTGCCTTACCCGACCGACGTCTCTGGCACCGGGCTGTCGGTTGTGACCGACCTGAGAGACCTGCCGTCTTCACCGACAAAGTCACCTTCCCGCGCATTCCGTGACAGTCCTCTCAGGCAGGTTAAGAGCAAGCTTACCTCGATCATCAAGGGCTCCAAAGGGCTGCTTGCCAGCAGTGCGGCACTGAGTGCCGAGGGTAAATCGTCGCTTCTGTCTCCTTCCACGCTGCGGCTCGGCATGAACCTGGCGCCCTCAACAGAGTCCCTGGCTCTACGCCACGGCAGCGTGAGCGTGGACCTTGGCTACCCTGACCTTTCTCGGCAAATTGCAGCTGCCAAACTGCTTTTTGAAGGCGACTATAACGCAGAACAAGCTGCCACCTCTGCTGAGCCGGAGTCTCCGGTACGCGTCAGTCCGACTCGTCCCAACATCCGCAAGACCCGGGCTTCAACGGAGCGGGAGCGTCGCGAACAGAAAATCCGGGAAAAGGAGGAGAAGGAGACCCTGCGAATGGAAGACCGCTTTGAGAAGCTGGAGAAGGAACGCGAAAAGGAACGCGAGAAAGCGCGAATCTTTAGCGAAGAGAAGGCGGCACAGCAGGAGCAGCTTCAAAAGCAGGCGCAGCTGCAGCAGTCGGCACAAAATGACGACGACGAGCTGAACGCAGACGACTACACGCAGCGGCAGCCTGCTGTCCAGGACCAGCAAAAGCCGGCAAGCTCTCCGTCTCGCGCTCCTGCGAAGCCGGCAAAGCCCAGTCCACGAAAGGCCAAGACGCAACATCTGGAGCCTGATGCAGATACGGAAGATCCATCTCAAAACACGCGCCCTCATGCCCATAGCACAGTCCTGGCAAACGCATCCGTCCCTCGGTCAGCCCAGGCCAAGCGCACGATCCGGCGTCCTATCAAGCCTACAAAGGAAGCGCCCTCGAAAGCCAAGCAGGCGCCGACTGTCATCCGCGTCAACACATCCAGCTCGCAGCAGCAGTCACAGTTCCACCCGTCGAACAGCGCGCTTGCTGCAACGCCGCATGAAACTCTCACGGGGCCGCAGCAGTCGCAGTCGCAGTCGCAGTCGCAGTCGCAATCGCAATCGCATCAGCTCAAGAGCAAGGCTAGCGCGGCGTCGCTGCACACGAAACCGTCCCTGCAGAGCCTCAAGAGCTCGGTGTCCAGCACCGGCCGGCCCAAAGCATTGGACCTCGCAGCACGGCGGAAAGAGCAAGAGGAGCGAGAGGCGCAGCGCAAGCGTGACTACAAGGCAGAGCTGGAGAGGAAGAGGGCAGCCAACCAGGAGCAGGAAGAACAGCGGCGGCTCGACCAACAAAAGGAGCGGGAGGCCGAGATGGCCCGGAAGGCAGCAGCGGCAGCACAACTGAGACAGGCAGCCATCGAGAAGGCCAAGCAGACACGAGCACCGCCGCCAGCACCGCGAACACAGCTACCGAGCGGGCCGTCAGACTATGGGCGAAGCGAGACCGCCGGTCAGCAGCCATCGCGACCGCAATCTCGACTGGCCACGGCAACCTCGGGGCATCGTTCTCAGGACGAGGCACATCGGCCGGTGAATGCGGCTCTTTCCAACGCAGGCAAGTCCCTGTCGAAACGGCCATTGCCTGCCACGGATCACACCCAGGCCCACGGCAGATCTGTGACGGCCAACAGTGGCAATGCTGCGGCATACCAGGCCAAGGAGGCCAAGAGAATTCGGCTGAGCGAGGAGTTCGACGAGGATGAGCTCGAAATGGGAGGCCATATCCCGCGTGTGTCCAGCATCAAGGGACCGCCAGTCCGGCCTTCGGGAGTGTTCAAAAAGGTATGTGCTGATTCTCTTGAGAGGTGAAGAACACCGGCTGACAAGACAGGATTTGCCAAACAAGTCACTATATGGAAACGGATATGCAACAGCACCGTCGACGGCCAACATATCGCGCGACCTCTTCAAGACGACGGTGACATCGCAGCACAACCACCAGATGCGGGCTGGCCACCCGCTGGACATGGCACAGGTTTCCAAAGCGACAATCTCGTTTGCACCAAACACCAATGCAGTAGTTTCAGCTTCGGCATCTGCTGCTTCAGCTTCAGCTGCATCCAACCCCCACAAGACGCCTGCACGACCGGCTGGCGTGCCACTGACAAGCAAGTCTACGGCAAAGTCGGTTGCACGGTCGTCACCTCGCTATCCCAACGGCGATGGCATCGAACTGCCCGAGATCCAGACGGACGACGAGGACAGCGACGAGGATAGCAATGTCAACGTAGCACCATGGGCAGACTCGCCCGATCTCCGGAGAGCCTTGATGCAACAGGAGACGATGGACCCGATGCAGGTGTTTGGGCCGCCGCGGCCACTGAACATGGAGGAGGTGTTCAGCAAGAGCAAAGACAGGTGGAACAAGTTCCGTGCGCGGACCAGCAGTGCCAACTGGAGCGGCACAGACCGTCTGACGGAGGATGACATTAGGAAGGATCTTGCCGCACGCGACAAGATACGGCGTGAGGGAGGATGGACCTACGAGCTGAACAAGGATATGATGTAAGCGATGGCTGTGTTTGGGGGGAAAAGGGCATGTTTTGGGGGACAACAACGAGCATTGGGGCAAGGTATATTGCTACTGCAGGCATAAGAGGAGAGGAGGCCGCTGGACTGTTTTGAATCTGCCCAGTTGGGCACGGCGTTTGTATAGTTGTATGAATAGGGCATGGTTTTGGCGAGAGATGGAGAGAGGACCCGGAAACAGAACGCTTGAAGATAAACGTATGGGTGTAGAGCACAGCCCGATTGCACTTTATGGCTCATGAAATAGCCTCATATCCAGCCGCATTCAGCTGCACCTACGTCATTAGGCTGTGTGGCGTTGCCATGACAGTGGGTGGGGCTTTCAAGACAAAAAGATAGAACATGTGGAAGTTGTGGGAGTTGGGCAGAACACTATTACAGCAAGATATTACAACATTGTGCTTGTAGTGGTGCCAACGACTGTCACGAGCAAAGATGCACGAAAGAGGCAGCCACACGAACACTGGCCGGGCATTGTTTTTTTTTCGGCCTAGTTTATAGGCCAAGGCAACCCTGTTTTTTTCTAGACTTTGACAGGCTCCGCCTCCCTCACATGCACACGCGCCAAGGTGAGCTTGCACGGCGCCAGAAATAACCGCAAAAGGAAGAGGGAGGAAACCGGGCTGGGATCCTTACGGCGTGTCCTGCTTACGTTCCCCTCGTTGCGTCCCGTCAACCGCTTTTTAGAGGCACCCCTGCCAAAGACGACCGACCGCACGCGGACGACGACGAGAACCAAGACCGATTGTTTTTCCAGCACAGCAACCAGACGAAGAATCTACTGCGACTCTGAGCCCCCCCCCCCCCCTCGCACCAGTTCGGCTGACGAAATTACGCAGAGCCTAGAAGGGCTGTGGAGTGGAGGGCTTGAGTGGAGAGAACCAGAGAAGACGAGAGAGGTCAGAAATGCCTGCTGTTTTCCTTGCTGCTCAAAAGTCCGCCTCTCATCTACGGAGGAGTACAGCCTCTCCAATCCGTGTCACACGTTTCCCTCATTCCCGGTGACGCAGCTGAGTGGACGCGCACCTGTTCCCTCCATAGCACAGTCGATATGCGTCTCCTTCTGTCTCATGTCTTTTGCTCTGCCGTTCTCACTTGCTGACACTGCTGTTTCCCCCCCCCGCGCCAGATAGTCTTTCGTCTCAGCAGCCAACTCCCTTTGTCGTTCACTTCTGGCTCACCTGTTGCATCTGAACAGAAGCAAACAAAAATCGCCCACCAAGTCATTTCATGTTGGCAACACTATCATTCCCACCCTCCCCTACGACCGCTCTGCTGCAACAAGAAGACGACGTCGCAAAACAGCCACAAGTCAACGAATAACAAGACGACTGGGGGAATATACCTGAGCTGTGTCTGCCACCTTTGCTGCTGTGCCAGCCGTTGCCAAAATGTCCAAGACAGACTTCAACAGAGATTACTATGCCGACCTGGAGCTGCCTCCGACTGCAGACATTAATGACATCAAGAAACAGTTCCGCAGATTGGGTCAGTCTCCATTTCTATTTCCCTTGGCTATCTCGTGCCAGCTCCCCTGCTGATATCAGAGTGTAGCGATGAAGTACCATCCCGATCGCAACCCTGGCAAAGAAACCGAAGTCAACGCAAAGTTTCAGACCATCCAGGCGGCACATGAGATTCTGTCGAATCCTGATCAGAAAATACGGTACGATGCCCACCGCAACCGGAAGTCGGCCAGCCGCTTCCCGACCGGCTCGGGTGTCCGAGGAAACCCGTGGCAGGATGTCGCAGGCCAATATCCGACACCGCCTAGACGACCAGGTCAGCCACCCACTTCGGCCTTTCGCGGGTACGGCACCTCCTCAGTGCCACGAAACCCCCCACCGGCTTCCGCAGGGGCGTCTGCGCACCGATACTCGACCTTTAACCAGCCGCCAACGGCCAAGGCGAGCCGGGACAGTGGCGAGACGCACTACCAAGCTTGGAAGAACATGCGCCCGAGTCCAAAGCCGACAAAGACAGGCCAAAGCGCCAGTGCTGCATACGCCGGTCCTGATGCCCGGGCTCATGGGTTCGGAAACAGGCCAGCTCCCACAGCGGCTTCTAATCCGTCTGCGTCCTCCTCCATGCCCCCACCGCCACCGCGTACAACATCTCAGAAGCAAAAGGCCGATGCTTCTTTTGGATCGCGCAGGCCGACGGGCTTCTTTCCCCGGTCTCCCATGGGTGACGAGCCTCCGGCGCCAAATACAAGCAACTATTTCACAGGCCGCAACCACAGCTCCAGCTATGAAGAGAGGACCGCTCGCCAGGGAGGCCAGTCCGGCCGGACTACGCCAACACGAAGCCAGCGTAAAGAGGATTCTCGCTCGGCCGACATCTCAGAAGATGCTTATTTTGATACCCGCCAGAGCACACCCTATCAGACCCACGGTGGTGAGAAGTTCAACCCGTTTGACGGTGTGCCGTTCCCCGATCTGAGCCGGACCAGGAGTCAACGAGGGCCCATGGCACAGGACAAACCATCGTCCCGGCGTCGAAGCTCCAGCCTGCCTGACGAGTCTGACGGTACGGGGAGGGCGAGCGCAAAAGGGTCTGCCTGGAGTACGGCAGAGACCCCGGGCCGTGACAACGCTGGTAGTTCTGGTAGTTCCGAGACTAGCTCTAGTTCCGGAACAAGAACCGGAGCTCGAACAAGAACCGGCCCTGCACTTCGACACAAATTCTCATCATCGTCTACTCCCATGCCTCAGTTTGACATGCATTACCGAATGCGACAGGAAGAGGATGAGCCCCCCACGACGCCAATTGCGAAAGCGGCACGGGAAAATCAACACGAGACTCCTGGTGCGTGACTGTGCTTGTCTGCACAACATTCATATCGTTGTTTGGATACTAACGTGGCTGGTCATGTCTTGCAGCCGACACACCGGGTCGAGCTCCTGCATCTGCGACAGATGGCCCAATATTGTACGCAGCACCACATCCAAAACCACATCCTCCTCCGGCCACTATCACCCCTCTGAAGCCCCCCCCTCCAGCCAGAGTGGCTGGCGGAAAAAGCGCTGGAGTTCAGCAGCAAACACAACCACCAGAGGACACCCCCATTGCTTCCAAAATGGAGAAGTCACCATCCGAACTGAGAGCGCCGCACTCAAGGGCGTTTCCAAGTGGAGATGCGGACAGCACGGGGATCTCGGATTTCGAAAGCAAACAGTTTGAGATCTTGAGAAAGCTTGTCTGCAAAGTCGAAATCTTCGATCCCCACGCGCACTCTTCCCAGGCACCAGACAATATGGACGAGGATGCTCAGCATAAAAGAAGAAGACGGCAAAGGTTGCCAGACGGCTACAGCCTGTCGTCGATCAGCCATGCTGACCCAATCGCTTACTCTAGTTCCAAGTTTTCCTTCGATGGCCAGACGCCGGACCCTGCATCGCCCATGACACCCAGCCAGGCACCGCGCCACACGGGGCGTTTTATGAGCAGCAGCGCCGAGGGCATCAACACCCGCTTTGTTGCGGAAGAACAGGCGAATGCGGCGTGGAAGTTCAGCGCCGGCAGCTCTGACAGTGGGTCGGGCGACTACTTGTCTTCGCGAATTCGCCGTTCTCAGTCTGGCAGCCGTGTTGGCCGCCAGTCTCAGTCACCAGGCAAAGATTTCACCGTTCTAGGCGCAGGCTCTGTTCCCTCGCCTTCGAAGGCGCCTCCGCAGACACCTCCGCGACCACCGCGCCCTCCGCTTGCGGCGACCGAGACACAGGACACTCAGACAAGTGGAGGTGTCGAGGAGAGCGGCGGATTCAATCCGGAGAAGTGGACCGAGAAGATTGGGTTGGAGCATTTTGCTCCTCAGGTGCCTCGCAAGGCTACGCCCACACAATTCTCCATGCGTCCTAACAAAAAGCCGCGGCCTGTGCGGTCAGCGACCAGGACCTTTGTGGTGGACGAGAGTGATGATTCTACTGCCGCAGGAAGTGACACAGAGCAGGGCAAGTCATCACAGCCCACAGAAGCTCCCGACGGCGAGTTCGGCAACGGCGAGAGGTTTGCTAGCCCTGTTGCCATGGAGATTGACTCACCTGGGCCGACAGCTATTCCCGAACGGACTGACAGCCCCAAGGAGAGCACCACGAGCCAAGTGAATGGCTCGACGAACGGCTCGACGAATGGTTCCACGAACGTCTCCACAAACGGCTCGGCAAACGGTTCAGCAAGCCCTGGAGAAGCACAGGCGACTGGGGTGCGAAACATTCCGGTCGAGCCGTCACGGCCGGAATGGAGGGCTGGCGACGTCAAGAAGGCAGCTGTCGATGCAGCAGCCACTGGCACCACAGTGGGCGGCTCAGAAGACTCGGAGGAGTTTCTCATCAGCCTCGCCGACATGAAGAAGGTGGAGCCTTTCGCCGAAACAAAGGTCGGTGCTACAGGTAGCGGGCTGGGGTCTTTGAATGACCTGCGGACAACTCTGCCATTTGAAAGCAAATGTTCGGCCAAGCTACCGATCAAGAAGGCAGATCGAAAGGAGTCTATCAGCCTCCCCAAGGCGCCGACAGCACCACACCCACCGCCTGCGCTGGCTGTTCCCGGGCTGCAGCCGTCAGGCGGAGCGTGGGAGTTGTATGTGGTGGAGTTTCGCCACTATATGCAGGCGTGGGCCGAGTTCAACAACCTCTACGTGGACCATTTTCTGGCTCGGCGTCATGCCATTGAGAAGCAGCGGCGCGAGGGCAACTTTGCCTGGCTGACAACGATGGGTGACGATGGCATCACGGAGTACCTGGGCTGGATGGGCCAAGACGCCGAGATCCGATCGGTGTGGTCTGAGTCGTGTACAGAACACGAGCGGGCCGTCCGCCAGTTTATGGCATTCCGGAACCGAATGAAGTGATATCTGTACCTGTTTTCTACAGTTTATATTTTGTCTGTCGCGGTTGCGCGCTTCGGTGTTCCTGTTGTGGCAGAAGGATACCCTCGCCTTTGGTTTGGCTTCGGGGGACCAGGGCTGGGATGGCTGCAGTTAGGGCGGTGTCATGCGGGAAGCATAGGAAGCATAGGAAGCATAGGAAGCATAGGTTTCATATGCTGGTTGTGTTCGTGAAGATATGATGATAGATATCCCGGTCATGTGATCTATTGTGGAGTTCGGTCCCGAATTTGGGAACTGCAGCCCTGTAGGCGGTCGTTGGCCTGTCTTTCTCGTAGAGGTTGCAAGGGCTTCGCCATCCCTGATTGCACGGGCGCAGATGGCCGAAAAGGGAAACTCGAAAACAGGGGCGTCTTCTCGAACCTGCCTTGCCAACCTGCGATGGCAGTGGGAGAATGATGCGGGGGCCACTATAAAGAAAGAGGAAGGCCATGGGAGGATTGACAAGCTTTCCGGGTGGTGCAGTGGCCATGTGTTTGTGCTGTTCTTCTCGGGATGAAATTGTACGACTACGGAGTAGTCGTATACAGCATACATTCCAAAGTGCGCAGCTGGCCGCTTCCTGTCACTTTTGTCGACACTGTCTGCACTGCCCAGATGGAGCATTCTGCGACAGCAAAGGCATAAAGGACCTCTGGCAATCTGCTCCCTGGCCGCGGATCACAGCGGGCGGCCCCTTAACTCGTTTTGTGGGGGGTAATTATCACAAGGACAAGTACGACGTACGGAATACGGAATACGAGTATGTAAGAACGAGTTTGGTCGACACAATCAACGACATGCCCCTTCATCTCTCTGAAGGCAGAAGGAACGGTCACGCTCTCATGGGCAGAGAGGGAGAAAGGCAGCTTGACGCGCCCATTGGCGAGTCTCTGTGATGGGCTCTTGTTGGCGTGATTCCTGGCGGCCAATGAGTCTTTTGGATTGTTGCTTTCGTGGGGGCCACTTTTTCTGTGCCGTGCCTCATGCGCCTCTCATATCACTCGTACTCCGTATATCTGGTCCGAAACTGGTTTGGATGCTGACAGCCAGGCGTCCCCCTTTTACCACGTCGCACTCTCTATGTAAGCTGACAGGCCCTCCGAAGTGCCGGTTTCAGGAAAGGCAAGATGCAGGGCGCGTTGCAAGAGAGCTATGCACGATTGGGTCCTGGGCCTCTGTTTCGAATACGGCCAGACACGTGGAGGGCAGCCACAAAAAACACGGCAGCAAATGGCTATCTGAGATCGGGCGATTAAATTGACGAGTCGTCAGGGGTGGTACTGGACGCAGATGAGCCACTTTGCCCACCAGCTTGCCATCGTCTCCATGAACGGAAGGATGAAACAATGGCGGCAATAGTGGTCGCGCTGGCAATGCGCAGGCGCAGCTAGCATTTCGTGAACGAGGCACAGTCATAGCAAAGCGTAATCGACTGTCTATGCATCTTACAATCTTGCTCAACGGAGCGTATCGTACTTGTCGAACCGGCGCCATTTCTGTCAGGACTGCAAATTGCTTCGAGAGGCATTGACCGCATGTCTTGGGGCAATCCTATGTAGAGCACGCACAGATGCCATATCCGCTAGGCGGTGATTCGCCTAGGCTATCGGACCCACATGACAGGGTCGCCATGTGCGTTGCACCATTCTGTCTTTGGCCGGTTGAGGCAGGCGTCTGCGGGCCTTGCGCTAGCCTTGCTAGCAGAGCAGATATTCTCTGCGCCGAGCCCGCTAGCGCAGCGGCTTTCTGCATGGCAGCGTGCTATAATCAGAGCAGCTGCCCTTCTGAGCTAAAGTTGGCTGGCTATGCTGTAGCGCCGTTTTCGGTTATTGCGCCACCTGTGTTGTGCTGTCACTGGCGAGTGCTCCTTACAGAGTACTCCGTACGATGCACCGTTCCTGACATCCTGGCAATCGCTTATTAGCTGTATCTCAAGCGGCTCTTGCTTCTACGAGCACGTATTAACCCTGTCCTGTGCTGCTTGGCCTTGCCTGCCAGATGTCGCCTTCTACGGGCTCGGTCTCGCTGTGCCGAGGCGAGCCGTTCTCAAACTTAATGGCAGATCTGCACGGCAGGTCACCCTGGCTTCTTTCCTCATTTGTAAGCTTACGGTGTACGACGTATGCAGCCAACGCTCTCCCACTTTTGTAATACTACGGCTTGCCAAACGCAACCGTACCATCTCATCGCTACCCTCCCATTCGCTCGTCCCCGGTAGCGCTTGCTCGGCGTATCGTCTCCTTCCTTTTCATCGCGCTCTTTATGGCGTATGTATCTTATGTACTTTGTATCTCATGACGACTTAGACGTCCTGACTGTGACTCCTCAACAAACTTCCTTCCCCTTCCATCCACAGGCTGCCCTGCTGTCTCGTCCTACTCCTCTCCTTTACCACACTCTGCTGTCTCGTCTTCTGTCAGCGGCGGCCACGCTGCACCCAGTCCATTCCATCCACCGTCATCACGCTCTCAATTCTCTTCTCTACGGATATTATTTTAAATTCCTCCTAGCCCGTTCTGTTGTGACCCCCCACCCCCCTACCCCTAAACGCAACCTCAAGCCGGTGCACCCACACACCCACTCCGCGCCTCATTCCCTTCAACGTACGGAGTATAGCTTCCCCATATTAGCTTCTTCAGGCCCCTGGCCGCATAGGATCGACTACTCGTAAATAAGGGCCCCCAGGCTTGGCTTGTCATCTGTCCTCTGTGCCGCCTATCGTCGCTCATCATATCGCTTCCGGCCCAACCATTCGTCGGCTCACTCATGTCCTCACGTTCTCGAACGCTCACATCCCATCCCGCGTCCCTTCATCTCTTCCGCCTCTTTATAATCTCCTCCAGCGTCTTCCTACCCGTCTGTGTACGAACACGATCGTCGTTCTCCCCGCAACACTCGGACTGCTTATCTCCCTTTCTCTCTCGCTGCACGGACGTCGCCTGCCTTTTTTCGCTTCTGTAGACGCTTTCCCCTAGCTCTTCCGCGTCGGGCTTTGCTCGGTTGTTTCCTCGTCCAAGCCGCCATGTGAGTATTGACGTCTTGCATCCCTTTTTGTCTTGCTTCGCCTATTGTCTTGTATTTCGCGCTTCGTTATCTCTCTCCCGTGCTCGCTTGTCCGTTCACCTTCCCGCCTTCCATTTTGCATTTCCGTCTCCAATTTCCCTCGCCGTCACGTCGCCTTACGAGTACTCCGTACGAAATGCAGGCCTGTCGTCCTTGAGCCGTCCCGTCTGTTCATTTCCTCTGCTGTGCTACTTGCGTTTCCACCAAAAAAAGGATCCCGCCCCCATTATTATTCGAAAGAGACAACACGGCCGGGGACGGAATAATATAACAGACGATAAGAGCTAACCTTGCCAGCCTATATCTCCGCCATCTCAGGCCCTGTCTTTTTCGACGGCGCATTGGGCTTTTCAGCCTCTCTTATCGCTAATTCCCGTCCTAGCCTGCTACGCGTGCTGTTCCTCATTCTAGGCGCACGTCCCGCCTATCCGACATCTCTTTGTCGCACCACGCTACATTGCCCTTGGCCGTGTCTTCGCTCGCGGTTTGGCTGGCTCTGTTTTTTCTAACTCTCATCAACTGCTTATACTCGGCGCAGCCTCTTTCAATTTTCCTCGTCCTCAGTTCTCGCCTCGGCCAAATTGCCGTTTGCCATAACAGAATCTTGGCTGAGACTTTCCGCCCAACCCGTTTATCCTCCGCAATCTGACACTTCACTACTTGCTTTTTCTGGAAACTCCCCCATCTTCTCCTTGCCTTTCCGGAACCCAGCATCCCCAAAAAGGAAAACACCGGCCACAAACATAGCAACGATCTCAGCTCGACGCCGCCCCTCCTCTCCATCTTCGTTCACGTCTGTTCGGAACGACGCGCGAGTCGCTCCCGATGGGAAGTTGCTCCGTATAGTGTGGGGTTACACCGCAAGCATTCGTCGCCCCCCAAAGAGCGCCTCGCCCAGTGTCGCAATCGAAGGATCTCCCCGATTCGATAAACCGAGGGTATCGATTGGAGAGCTGAACGCACAATCCGGCAACGGAAGGGTCGTCGCGCGAGCCGATCAAAACGCTCTTAAACTACAGTCCGGCTACATTAATGTTCGTCATGGGGGCTTGCATGAGCTCGACGAGTGAGGCGGTGGAGCAGAAGAAGAGAAGCCAGAAGATCGACAAGGACTTGGAAGAGGACTCGAAGCGGCTACGACGAGAATGCAAAATTCTACTCCTCGGTATGCATATCCTCCATTGTCAAGTTGTTCCGAGCAGGTTGGGTGCTGACCCGTTGGCTCTGTACAGGCTCCGGCGAGTCGGGCAAATCAACGATTGTCAAGCAGATGAAGATCATCCACCTCAAGGGCTACTCAGAAGACGAGCTTTACAGCTATCGGGCGACCGTGTTCAAGAACCTCCTCGAGTGTGCCAAGTCCGTGATCAACGCCATGCGTGAATTCAACATCGAGCCCCAGACAGAAAACATCCAAGCCTACTGCGTCTTCTTGCTCGACTATTCTATCGAGTCTGGTCCCCAACCACACATCGACCCCAAGGTCGGCGATGCGGTTCGGGCGATTTGGGACGATCCCGTACGCGAGCAGCTCATGGAGCGGCAAACCGAGTTCTACCTCATGGATTCGGCAGAATAGTACGTGTCACGCGCAGTCTTCGGTGACGAGGGAACACATGCTAACCCGCCCTAACACAGCTTTTTCCAAGAGGCCATGCGGATCGTTCGCCCCGACTACACGCCCAATGAGATGGACGTCCTCCGCGCAAGAACAAAGACAACCGGCATCTACGAGACCCGCTTCCAGATGGGCCAGTTGAGCATACAGTATGTGGCGATACAACTCTCCTCGAGCTCGCCCCTTGTCCATCCAGTACTAATAATGCTTGTACAGTATGTTCGACGTCGGCGGCCAGAGGAGCGAGCGCAAGAAGTGGATTCACTGCTTCGAAAATGTCACATCCATCATATTCTGCGTCGCTCTGAGCGAGTACGATCAGGTGCTGCTGGAGGAGAGCAGCCAAAACCGCATGATGGAGAGCCTGCTGTTATTCGACTCGGTGGTCAATTCCAGGTGGTTCATGCGTACGAGCATTATCCTCTTCCTCAACAAGGTCGACATCTTCAAGCAGAAGCTGGCTCGCTCGCCGCTGGGGAACTACTTCCCCGACTACTCGGGCGGCAATGATGTCAACAAGGCCGCAAAGTACCTGCTTTGGCGGTTCAACCAGGTCAACCGAGCCCACTTGAACCTATACCCACAGTAAGTCCTCGTCACTCTGTCTCCGTCCTCTCGGCCGAAACATGACAGCCTGATTAACAAGTGCAGCTTGACCCAAGCGACGGACACGTCCAACATCCGCCTTGTATTTGCTGCCGTCAAAGAGACCATCCTCAACAACGCCCTGAAAGACTCTGGCATTTTGTGAGGTCTCCCTCATCTTATGACAGAACACAAGACACTACCAAACAACTACACCACCGATTTTATCACGCTTTGGCCTACGGGACGACTACAGCACTAACAATCTTGCCTTTAATCAGACCATTATGAACGGCGTTGTCAGGACAGAGGGAATGCTTTGCTTTGGATTTCAGAACTGCGTGGAGTTTTCTGCGAAACCGGTTGTGCCAGGATGCTCAACTTTTGGAGGGGTGCATACTCTTTATATCTTTTGCCGATTCCTTTTCCTTTCCCTTTTCTTTTCCTTTCTGGCCGCCGTATTTCAAGGTATTGAAACCAGGACAGGCCGAGCGACTTGGTCCATGAACAGATGTTATGTGTATGTAATATGAACCTTGGCGGGGTCCGTCGGTGGTTGGGATAGGGGCGGAGAGCTGCAGCTCGTTGGTGGGTTGGATTCTGTCCTGGTGTTTGGATGCCTCTGCATTATATTCTACTGGCTAGACGAGGAGGACAAGATTCCACAGGTGGCGCCCGAGAGTGATGTCTGTCTCTTCTGACGATGCCACCAGAAAGAGAAGCAAAATCTAATTAAACGATTTATGACAAGCGAAAACAGGCAAAACGGCGTTCGCCGCGGCCGCTATGGCTCTAGACGCCAATCGCTATCGTCGCTGCGGTTTTCCTGAATTGATTTGCCAGACACTAAGTGGGTATTTTGCTTCTGTGTGTGGATCTTGGGGTGGTCGCTGCGGATATTCCAAAATACAACGTGCGATGACCGCGTCTCCTTCGATGTGCAAGACCCAACCCGAATTCGAATCCCAGTCCCTGCCGTCTATCTCTGCGTTTTCCGTGGCATGTTTCTCGGACACGCAGACGCCATGTCAATTGTTGACCGCCCAGCACATACATACGTCGTACTTCGGTGGGATCGTTAAAAGCGGCGATCTGCTGCCGGCGGCCCACCAGAGCTTCGAAAGTGCACGGGCCTTTTCTTCTTGGAAGCAAGATACTTGCAGCTGGACATACGAGTAATGGGACACAACGTGCAGCGAGTGCTTGACGAGACGGCTTGCGTACTTTCGACTTTAACACCGTGTCTTTCCAAAGAAGATCCGCTGGCTGCCAAGCTGTTCTGAGAGGCGGCCAGAGAAAGACTGACAATCGTGCAAAAAGAGCGCCTTTGGCACCGGCAGCGGTGGTGAGGCACATTCCCAGCTACGAACGAGACCTTAGCTGCATTCCCGCTGCTTGCAGAATCGCGTGTTTGGGGAGGGTTTTTTGGCAATTCCGCGACCCCCGGGGAAAGACCTTCTATCCGGCGTCTCTTGGCTTCCTCTGTGGCGTGCTGCCCTCGTCTCAGCAGCTTTGCTACCCCGCCCCCGCCGTACAGTCGCGCCTTCTACGTCGTATGGATAGCTAACAGCACAGTTGCCTGCAGCTTGCTCGTCCTTTGTATGTCCCATTGTGCTACGTATTTTACATACTCCGTAGTATAAATCGTAAGATACTAGCTGTCTAGCAGGTGGGGCGAGCAGACATCCCGCCTGCTAGAGCTTGACAATGATGTACTTCCTGCCAGACTGGGATTCATCTAAGCTCCAGTCATGGCAGCCACGCCAATCGCCGCCGCTGTTCCCCTCCTCTTTGCTTTGCTAGTTTTGGTCGCTTAATCAACGTTGTTCGTATAAGGACCGCTTGTTTTCTCCTCCCAAGCTGCTTTCTCATTTCTGCCCATTACCTCTATTCGGCTTCTCGTCCTTCCGTCTAGTGCGTTATATATACTAGTCTTGATATCCAGCCATCTTCTATCCGCCGTATCCGTTGCTTCCATCTCTGAGGGCTGCTCCGTTTCTCCTCGTCCTTTCGGTACTTGTTTTGGATAGCTTTCGTTTTCTACCTCCTCACTCTGTCATCCCATCTTTCTCCTTTATCCATCTACTGCCGCTTCTCCTTCTACCCCCAATCATGGCTTCTGAGCGTCTGCCTACCCGCGAGCGGCGACCGTCAGTGGGCGCTCCTCTCGTCGATATCCAGGGCAGTGTTGGTCCGACTGGCGTCACTCGGCCCAAGCATCGCCGCACCTTCACCGGTTTTGGTGCCCAAGAGATCAAGAGCGTCGAGGGTAGCGTCTCTCAAACTTCCTATTCCTAGCCGTGTTTGTTTGCGCATTGCTGACTCCCTGTGTGATGGAACAGCCTCAATCCCAGAGCCTTTGCGTGCGGCTTGGCTGAAGCACCAGGTCAGCGGCTTCAACACCAAAGATGAGTTTGAGACTGAGCTGGTCCGCCATGTCGAGACTACGCTAGCCCGCAGTTTATTCAACTGTGACGAGGCCGCTGCCTATTCTGCTACCAGTCTGGCCTTCCGTGACCGCCTGATCATCGACTGGAACCGAACCCAGCAGCGCCAGGCCTTTGCCGACACCAAGCGCGTTTACTATCTCAGTCTCGAGTTCCTCATGGGCCGTGCCCTCGACAATGCCATGCTCAACATTGGCCGAAAGGACGTTGCCAAGGGTAAGCTGACCACGCTTCTTGACTGCCGGGTTCCAATGCTGACAGAGTAGCCGGTCTCGCTGATCTGGGCTTCCGCATCGAGGATGTCATCAAGCAGGAACAAGATGCCGCCTTGGGCAACGGCGGTTTGGGTCGTCTGGCCGCCTGCTTCCTCGACAGTCTAGCCTCCCTCAATTACCCAGCCTGGGGCTACGGTCTTCGCTACCGCTATGGTATCTTCAAGCAGGAAATCATCGACGGCTACCAGGTCGAGGTGCCTGACTACTGGCTCGACTTCAACCCATGGGAGTTCCCCCGCCACGACGTCACAGTCGATGTAAGCCTTCTCCCGACAACACCCATCCAGGAAGACTGGACAAGAGCTGACCGCTTTTATTTTGCAGATCCAATTCTACGGCCACGTCAACAAGACCACCGACGGGTCAGGCAAGGTGACGGCCCATTGGGAGGGTGGCGACACGGTTCGTGCGGTCGCGTATGATGTGCCTATTGCTGGCTTTGATACACCCTCTACCAACAACTTGCGCCTGTGGTCCAGCAAAGCGGCGAGCGGCGAGTTTGACTTCCAGAAATTCAACAACGGCGAGTACGAGAGCTCCGTCGCCGACCAGCAGCGCGCCGAGACCATCAGCGCCGTGCTGTACCCCAACGACAACCTCGAACGGGGCAAGGAGCTGCGCCTTAAGCAGCAGTACTTCTGGGTGGCCGCCTCACTCTACGACATCGTGCGCCGCTTCAAGAAGTCCAAGCGCGCGTGGCGCGAGTTCCCTGACCAGGTGGCTATTCAGCTGAACGACACACACCCGACGCTGGCGATCGTCGAGCTGCAGCGTATCCTCATCGACATTGAGGGCCTCGACTGGGACGATGCCTGGAACATCGTGACACACACGTTTGGCTACACCAACCACACGGTGCTTCCGGAGGCTCTGGAGAAGTGGTCTGTCGGCCTCTTCCAGCACCTGCTGCCACGCCATCTCCAGATCATCTACGACATCAACCTCTTCTTCCTGCAGCTGGTGGAGCGCAAGTTTCCCAAAGACCGCGATATCTTGCGCCGTGTTTCCATCATTGAGGAGGCCCAGACCAAGATGGTGCGCATGGCCCATCTGGCCATTGTCGGCTCCCACAAGGTCAACGGTGTGGCCGAGCTGCACTCGGACCTGATCCGCACCACCATCTTCAAGGACTTCGTCGCCGTCTACGGGCCCGACAAGTTCATCAACGTGACCAACGGTATCACCCCACGCCGCTGGCTCCACCAGGCCAATCCTGAGTTATCCGCGTTGATTGCGAGCAAGATCGGTGCGTCCGACGCCTTCCTCAAGGACCTGACCCTGCTCAGCAAGATCGAGGCGTTTGTCGATGACAAGGCCTTCCAGAAGTCTTGGGCCCAGGTCAAGCTCAACAACAAGAAGCGCCTGGCCGATTACATCAAGGAGTCGACCGGCGTCGTGGTGAACCCGACAGCCCTCTTTGACGTGCAGGTCAAGCGGATCCACGAATACAAGCGCCAGCAGCTAAACATCTTTGGTGTCATCCACCGCTACCTGACACTCAAGGCTATGACGCCTGAGGAGCGCAAGAAGGTGCTGCCCCGTGTGTCCATATTTGGCGGCAAAGCTGCTCCGGGCTACTGGATGGCCAAGCAGATCATCCACCTGATCAACAATGTCGGCAGTGTGGTGAACAACGACGCCGATATTGGCGATGCTCTGAAGGTGCTTTTCCTCGAGGACTATAATGTCAGCAAGGCTGAAATCATCACCCCGGCTTCAGACCTCAGCGAGCACATCTCCACCGCTGGTACTGAGTGAGTATTCGCCCTACCTTCTACCTGTTGCCCCGCGACGTACACTGCACATTTGCTTACAATACAATTTTCTGGCAGGGCTTCGGGCACGAGCAACATGAAGTTTGTGCTGAACGGAGGCCTCATCATCGGTACCTGCGACGGCGCCAACGTAAGTGTCCAGTTTCCATTGTGTAATGCCGAGAGCGACGTGTCCTAATTGGTCAGATTGAAATCACGCGGGAGATTGGAGAAGAAAACATCTTCCTGTTTGGTAACCTTGCCGAGGACGTCGAGGACATTCGTCACGCTCACACTTTCGGGGAGCACAAGATCGATCCTACGCTGGAGAAGGTGTTTGAAGCCATTGAGAAGGGCACATTTGGCAATGCGCAAGACTTCTCTGGCATGATCTCTGCAGTGCGGGAACACGGCGACTACTACCTGGTGTCGGACGACTTCAACAGCTACCTCGAGACACAGCAGCTCGTGGATAAATCATACGAAGACCAGGAGAGCTGGGTCAAGAAGTCGATCCTCAGCGTCGCACGCATGGGCTTTTTCAGCAGCGATCGCTGCATCAACGAATATGCTGAGGAGATCTGGAACATCGAGCCGCTGGCCGTCGATGCATCGGTGGGCCTGAGCAAGGGTGAGCTGTAGAAGCTCTGGGAGCTCTTTTGGAGAAATGTTGGACACTAGACATTTGTGTGTGGACAAGCCGACATTGGATGCCAGTAGATGGACACCTCCTCTGGTGACATTATGCGATGACAACATCAAAATATAATTTAAGGCGTCTCTACACATCTGCGATTCTATCGGCGGGCAAAACCTCAATGAGGCGACATTGCATGAGGACACTCTGGGCGATTCTGTCAAGGGTCGAAATAGCGTAAAAACATGAGCAAATGCGCAGAAACAGCGGTTTGGGATATCGGCCCTCCCCTGTTGCCGAAATGCGCTTTGCCAGATATGAAACAATCACACCTTGCAGACTCGGGCCACCGACGTCACCTGAATCTCTGTGACCAAGAAACAAGAGCCAGGGCCTCACAGCTGCGCGGTTGCACCCGGAGATATTTCTCCTGGCACCAGGCTGCCCTGCCGATTCTTATCTGAGGCGTGTCTCCTGCCGGCAAGGGCCATTTTCGAGACTATTACGAGAAGAGCAGACACAGTGATGACGAGAGCGATGTTGCGGCCAAGATATCTTACACCTCAGTGGAACAGGACCAAGACGAAAAAGGCTAGGTGTTGTCGCAATGTGTACAAAGCGTAAAAAGGGACCGGATCGAGTGTTCCTATAGGATGGCAGGAATGCGTGGCCCATTGCAAACGGATGGGCTGGAATCGGGGGGGGGGAAAAGAAATCACAGAGCGGTGGAATGGTTGCAGCACAGGAGCTTTGCTGCACATGGCACGCATCCGTGGCTAGGGAGCTTGCCTGACCGTTCTTCCCCCCCTATGGTCCCATTAGCACCTTCCCAGGCCAAGTCGGACTCGATTCGATCCGCAGCTGTTACCCTCTCTAGGGCGGGGCTGGAGGTCTTTTCTTATGCGCCCCCCCGCATCGGCTGAAGATATACGAGTAGTAATCGCCCATGCCGGCAGAAAGCCCTTTTCCTGCTTCTGTTTCGCCTCCGACAAAAATCATCCTCGCCAACTCTTTCCACGAGCCTTCTGCACGGCGAAGAGAGCCGCCCGAAGCAGATTATCCGTACGGCCCCGAAGACGACCGGACAGGTAACAAAAGCAGTTGTTTTAGCCTGCCAAACCACACAGCATCAGGGTGAAAGTGCTACCGTCACCACCGTTTTAGCCTTCCCGTCTATTCTTTTTGTCCCTCGTTCAGTCCGCCGCAGGCAGAGCGACAACCACAGCCATGGCCGAGTTTATCCGCACGCAAATATTCGGGACCACGTTCGAGATCACGTCTCGGTGGGTGACCCCATTTTCCTGTCGGCGCCGTTGCCAGCAGCTAAAAGGCCGCGGCGCTGTTTCTGCAACGCTTCTTCCTGGTACACTAACGGCTTCTTCTTGCTTGCTCAGATACTCGGATCTCCAGCCGGTCGGCATGGGCGCATTCGGCCTTGTATGGTGCGTTCAACTCCTAGAGGTCAGGACTGATCGCCACTACGAAAGGCTGCTAATCTGTCAATGTCCATGTTGCAGCTCCGCCCGTGACCAGCTCACGAACCAGAATGTCGCAATCAAAAAGATCATGAAGCCTTTCAGCACACCCGTCCTGGCTAAACGCACGTTCAGAGAGCTGAAGCTGCTCAAGCATCTGCGACACGAGAACGTATGGTTTCTTTCCACCGTTCTGTATTTGCGTCTTGCTGGACCCCATCTGACTTGACCCTGTCCGCAGGTCATTTCGCTATCGGACATCTTCATATCGCCCCTGGAGGACATGTACGTGTTTTCTTCTCTCTGCCATGCGGCCCGCTCGTGTACTAAGACTTGTCTGCTCTCTAGCTATTTCGTCACAGAATTGCTGGGAACCGACCTGCACAGGCTTCTGACGTCACGGCCTCTCGAGAAGCAGTTCATCCAGTATTTCCTATACCAGATCATGCGCGGCCTGAAATACGTCCACTCGGCCGGCGTGGTGCACAGAGATCTGAAGCCGAGCAACATCCTGGTGAACGAGAACTGCGACCTGAAGATCTGCGACTTTGGCCTCGCTCGCATCCAGGACCCGCAGATGACGGGATATGTATCGACGCGCTACTACCGCGCGCCGGAGATCATGCTCACGTGGCAAAAGTACGATGTTGAGGTCGATATCTGGAGTGCTGGCTGCATCTTCGCGGAGATGCTGGACGGCAAGCCGCTCTTCCCCGGCAAGGACCACGTCAACCAGTTTTCCATCATCACCGAGCTTCTCGGCACGCCGCCAGATGACGTAATCAACACGATTGCTAGTGAGAATGTAAGTGTGCCGCGTATGGGGTTGGAGAGAGCAGGGCATGACTGACGGGGCTGGTGGCAGACGCTGCGATTTGTCAAGTCGCTCCCCAAGCGCGAACGACAATCGCTGAGAGACCGGTTCAAGAACGCAGAAGACCCAGGTGAGCACCGTGCCCAATTTCACTCGTTTGGTCTGCGATAGCCGTCTAACAGGTCATCTGCCAGCCATCGACGTGCTGGAGAAGATGCTGGTGTTCGATCCAAAGAAGCGAATAACAGCAACGGAAGCCTTGTTACATGAGTATCTGGCGCCCTACCACGACCCAACGGACGAGCCGGTGGCCGAGGAGAAGTTTGATTGGAGCTTTAACGATGCAGACCTCCCTGTCGATTCGTGGAAGATTATGATGTATGCCGAATTTGTTCCTCCGGTAGCCGCTTCTGTATCCGTGGCTGACGTGACGTCTAGGTACTCGGAGATTTTGGACTACCATAACATTGAGACGACCGAGCCAGTAGTTACCTAAAGAGAAGACGAACCAGCAGAGCAAGCTGGGGACTGGCGTGCAAGTCACAGGGCAGACGCAAGAAGATTCCCGCACGTGACCTCTGCGCTTTCTTGTGTACGATGTCTTTTGGAGGCAGCCCTTGAGCGCCTAGACTAGAGGCCTTCCTTTTCTTCACTTTACTTTTTATTCCCCTTTCTCCAATTTGCATGCCGGGGCGTCTTTTCAGGCTTGCTTTCGGGCGAAGGACACGCTGGATAATCGAGAGGCAAGCGAGACAGCTAGGTTTAAAGAAAACGAATATAAACATGGTTAAACGGCAAGAGTCAGATGCCGTTTTCATGCAGTGCTGACGTGGGACCTCAAATAAACAAGGGAGCAAGCGATCCGCAGTGTTGCTCGGCATAAGAGCCGGTTAGTGGCTGACTGCTGTACGTCGATACTCCAGTGAAGCTGCACTAACACGTGTCTAGCGCGATATCAGTATCGTCTACTCTATCGAACCCGCAACTGGCCATAACACATGGTCGCCCCTCCTCACCTCCATTGCCTTGTTCTCGTTCCCTTCTACGATCGGTATAGCAGAGTTGCGGCATCCTGTCGGCGATGCTGTACTGGCTGCACCGGGAATTTCGCCAAGCCTCTTCTCAGCTGTTCTTGTCCGGACGTGGACCCAGTATTTTTCCACATCTGCCGACGCTAATTGGACGGCATTGTGATTAGGAATTGTATTCCTTCCTCTGTCCAGAACTGTCAACTTGCCCACATCTCCTCTGCTTCGACCTCGTCGTCGTCGTCGTCGTTGCCGTGCCGCCCCCGCGTCCCATTACCGTCATCATCGCCCGAAAACGCGACATAAACAGGCCTACCAGCTCACGGGGACGGCCTGACCATCGAAGCTCTACTGCGTGAACGGTCCGCTGCCGACTCGACTCGAGCCCGACTCGATTCTTCCTTTCACCGAAAGGTGACTACAAGAAAGGCGACAGACCGAGACGAGCTCTCCACCGACGGGCCACGGACACAGCGATGGACGCCGAACACGATGGACCGGCCAAGGCATCTGTACCGCCGCCGCTCGTGCTCGACGAAGCTGGCTGGGCCGATCAAGTCAGAGCTGTCGATCCACCGCTTCTGTCGGCCAGGACTGTGCCGCCGACACCCATGACGCCCAGGACGCCGTCCGGTCGGCCTGTTGGCTTCACGCCGCTGATCTGCGTGGTCGACTTTCACCACGCCCGCGGGCCCGAGGTCGAGATGTGGTTCGGCGCCGATGAAGACCATCCTGACCCGGCTGTGCAGTACGACTGGCCGTTGCTCCCGTTCATGGCTTTGAGCGACGGTGCCCACGCATCGACGGAGGACTTTTCATACTTTACGCTGCTGCGGCCAACCAATGACGGCGGGGCCACCACTCCGTCAGCCCTAGATGCCCCGACTGCTCCAGCTACTCCGGCTGCCTCGGCCACCTCTCTCTTTGGCATCTCGTGCACGCGCCAGATCGACGCGACGCTGCTGCGAAACCGGCCGCCCGAGGTGACACGCTCGACCGTCCAAAAGGCGGTCGTGGTCATTACCGACAGTCCGCAGTTCTTTGGCATGTTGCGCGAGCGGCTCAGCATTGTGACGACGGCCTGGTTCGACCAGCGTGACTTCACCGACGTCGACATCCTGCGGCGCTTCCAGGAAGCCCTGGCCGAGGAGAAGGCGCGCGGCGGCCTGGGGCCGGGAGGCGAGGACGAAGACCGCGACCAGTACCTGGGCATGAGCCTGCGCGAACTGGTGCACGAGTTCCGCTGGCAGACGCTTGTGCTGCTCAAGTGCTGTCTCCTGCAGCCAAAGGTGTGTTTTCCTGTTTTTCTGGGGGGGGGGGGTTTGGATGTGGATGGCCTAGCCGCGCGACTGCTGCTAACACGTCTACTAGATGCTCTTTTTCGGATCTCGCTGCGAGCGTCTCTGCATGATGCAGTTCTCGCTCATCTCCCTGATACCCGGGCTGCTGCGCAACCTGCAGGACTGTGCCAGCCCCGAGCTAGACAGCTATGCCCGCAGGATGAAGCAGCCGACCAGCCTGCGGACGAGCGACCGCAACTCGCTGCTGGCCTACATGGGCCTCCCGCTGCAGATCTTCGGCAAGGGCAGTCTGTTTGGGCCGTACACGCCGCTGCAGCAGCTGGACGTGCTGGCGGACTTTGGCACCAAGTCATACGTCGTCGGCAGCACCAACTCGCTACTGCTGCAGCAGCGGGACCGCTACAGCGACATCCTGGTCAACCTGGACGAGATGACGGTCAACGTGACGTCTACGTCGCTGCGGACGGCCCTGCAGCTGTCAGTGCCAGACCGACGCTGGATCGACTTTATCACGCAGGAAGTGAACGACACCTGGGACGAGTCGAACCCGGGACGGCCGAAGACGATGGGCTACGTCGGCAGCGAGGAATTTATCCGGCTGCAGTTTGAGGAGTACCTGCTGTCGCTGATCTCGTCGGTCAAGTACCATAACTACATTACGAGCATCAACAGCCGCACCGGGCGGCCCAACCTGCCGCCGCTTCCGCACATCGAGGGCGATCCGTCGTCAGACTTTGGCAACGACTTTATCGAGTACTGGTCGCGCACCGGCAACTACCAGCTGTGGCAGGCTAACACCGACTCGCACCTGTTTGAGTTTGTCGAGCCGAGGCATCCGTGTGCCGGCGGACTGTCGGTCGACGACGTGCAGCGCCGCATTGCCCAGCAGGTCCAGGACATGCACCTAGACGAGCGCTTTGCCCAGGGACGCGAGGTGATTGGGCGAAATCTGGCAGCCGGACGCGAGAAGGCATCGACCATGTTTAACAAGTTTTATGCCGACATGGAGACGATGCGCGAGGCCCAGCGGAAACGGGCGGAAGAGGCGAAGTTGCAGCAGGCCCAAGAATCTGGCGAGGTGTATGCGAACGGGGCGGGCGACTATGTCGGATCGGATGCGCTCGCGCAGACGATCAGCAACCACAGCTCGTCGACGGTGCTGACGGGTGGCGACGCCTACAAGACGCCGCCGACGGCACAGTCGGTCGGCGGGCGAGCCACGGCGTACATGAGCAGCTGGGCTTCGTGGGCGGGCGAGAAGCGCAAGGCAGCCGGCTGGGGGAGTCGGCTGTCGGGCACAGGCAGTATAACGAGTATCGGCAGCAGCACGGGCGGCAATGGGGCGGCCGGCAGCTGGAGCCTGCTGGGGAACGGGGCCAACCGTCGTGGCAACCGCAGCACGATGAGCAGCATGACGTCGGATGCGTCGTCGGAACGCGGCGTCCTGGTGGCGACGAACGGCAGCGACATCCAGAGTCCGCGCATGTCGGTGTCGTCGTTTGCGACAGGCTTCAGCGAGGTCAACGAATCCGCACCCCTGACAACGGCACCGGGAGGCACGACCATCCGATCGGTGCCGCAGAGATTCTTTCACGAGGCCGGGCCGGACAAGGATGTCCTCAAAGAAGAGGACGTTGGCCGAGTGGAGGAAGAAGACGAAGACGAGGACGACGAGGACGAGGACGAGGACAAGGACAAGGACGACGGGAAGGACGGGACCAAAGAGGACGCGAACAGCAGCTTGCCGAAAGACGACCTGCCAGCAAAGGCTGCCGTCGTCGAACAGACGCAGCCAGCAGACGAGACGGGCGTGAAGGCTATGGCAGGCTTTGGAAGCAAGGTCAAGCTGCTGCCGTGACAGGACAGGTCGGCACCAAATGTTTTTCTCTGGATAGAAGCGGCACGATCCCCATTAATACGCACACATACACATAAAGGACACTATACCCATAGCATTGAATAAGGCATGGAGAGAAAGAAAGAGAGGCAGTGCAGTCGGTGGATCACGTGAACTGACAGAGCAAAATCTGCGGCTGCGGGGAAGAGCAGAGGGCGCTTGCCGTTTTCGATAAGATCACTAAATTGCAGCTGCCAAACGAAGAGGCAAGATGGACAATTGATGCTGCACCCGACACTCGACTCTGTGCTGCGACCAGTTCTGTGTAGGAGCTTGCACCGGTCCTTCGGCGCCGTTTATATGAAGAGGAGGCTGAGCCGGGGATTCGGAGACAGCGCGTGTGCAGGCGAGCAGGCAAAGAGGCAGCGGCCACAGACGGCGGACAAGACGGCGATGGAGCTGAAGATTGAGCTGACAGAGCGGGAGAAGCGGCTGGAGCGTCTGCTGCTGGACGTGGCAGCGTTTGTGGACGGGGGTGCAGACCGACAGGGGACGCAGCCGCTGGTGCTGCGATGGGCGGGCGGCTGGGTGCGCGACCGGCTGCTGGGGCGCGAGAGCCACGACATCGACACGGCAATCGACACGATGACGGGCTTTGCGTTTGCGCTCAAGATGCAGGAGTTTTGCGGGATGGCAGCGAACGCGGCGCGCCACGGCATGGAGCCACGCGACCTGGGCAGCCTGCACAAGGTGGAGGCGAACCCGGACAAGAGCAAGCACCTGGAGACGGCGACGGTGCGAATCTTTGATATGGAGGTAGACTTTGTCAACCTGCGACGCGAGACCTATACGGCTGAGAGCCGCAATCCTCTGGTCGAGTTCGGCACGCCCGAGGAGGACGCGCTGCGCCGCGATGCCACCGTCAACGCGCTCTTCTACAACCTCAACTGCGGCACGGTCGAGGACTTCACCGGTGGCGTCGCCGACATGGAGGCCCGCCTGATCCGGACTCCGCTGCAGCCGCTGCAGACATTCACCGACGACCCGCTGCGCGTCCTGCGGCTGGTCCGGTTTGCTAGCCGTCTGCAGTTCCGCATCGACCCGGCTGCCGAGGCCGTCATGGCCGACCCGAGCGTGCTGCAGGCGCTGCAGCAGAAGATCAGCCGAGAGCGAGTGGGAACGGAGGTGGAAAAGATGTTAAAGGGTGAGTGTGGGAGATATTGTGTTGGGAACGAGAGAGAGAGAGAGAGAGAGAGAGAGACTGACATCCCAGGAAATCACCCCCGCGATTCACTCCAACTGATCGACCGACTCGGCCTCTACCACGCCATCTTCACGGATCCAGCACATGCAGACGCCCCCAAGCCGCGGCTGGACGGATGGACGGCCACGTACGAGACGCTCAATCACCTGGCCGCGACCACGACACCCGGATCGGTCTACGACGTGCTCGTGCGCACGGAGGAGGCGCAGTACTTTGCCTGGGTCCTCGCGGCTGCCGTGCCGTGGGACCAGGTGTCGGAGCAGGGTGTCGGAGCAGCATCAGCGGCCAGCAGCAGCAGCAGCTCGAAGCAGCGGCTGCCATTGGCCACGCTGGCCCTCCGCGAGGGCATACGGGCGCCGAACAAGCTGAGCGACGTGATCACGGGAGCACATCGTCACCGCGCCGACATTCTAGCGCTCAAGCAGGCCGTCTGCGATGGGGCGCCATGCATGCGCGAGCGCGATCGCTTTGGCATGGCCATCCGGACGTGGGAGGCGCGTGGCAGCAACTGGAAGCTGCAGGTGCTGTACGCGCTGCTGTTCGAGGTCCTGACGCTGGCCACGAAGCAGGCAGAGGGAGCCGGCACGGCGGCCGCGTGGACGGCCGAGCGCGACGCCCTGCTGTGCGGCTGGCAGGCCTTTCTCGACCACCTGCAGGAGCTCGACGTGCTGGACGCGCCGCACATCAAGCGGCTGCTCGACGGAAAGCAGGTGGCGGCCGCGCTGGCCGTCCGGCCGGGCAAATGGATGGCGGCTGCCATGGACATCTGCATGGCCTGGCAGCTGCGCCATCCCGGCGAGACCGATCCGGCTGGGGCGATTGAAGAGGTGCGCCGACGCAAGGACGAGATTGGGTTGAGCTGAAGTACGGAGGCAGAATAGAAGACCAGGCGCGCCTAAAGCGGTGGGCACTCGCCCTTCATTAGTGGACCATGAGCTATAGCATGCCCGTAGCAGTGCTTCAATGCAACTCAGCACGACACAGGCTAACAGAACCCCCCGCTGCCGAACAACGCGCCTTCCCCACTGCACCGCTGGTGGAACCACTGCCAGACTGCATGATAATAGGCCGGCGGCGGAAGGAGCGACCTCATGCACCGACTGCCCCATACCTTTTCCAGATAGCGCAACCAGCTCGCTCTTGTCCGCATCCTCTCGCAATCCCACATGCTTCTTCCCTCTTCTCTCCTCCATCTGCTTCTTTGCCGGAGCCTGACGGATCCCGGTTCCTCACAGAGACAGCCTCTCAGACGAGTCCACGCGCTTGAAACGGGCCTTTTCCGGCTGCTTGCTTTTGTTCTAGCACCGGCTAGCCCTCTCGGAATCTGGGCACTGTCCACCCCTGGTCAGACCTGTATGATTGTTGGCAACCCAAGAAGCACTACCGCGCTCTTTTCCTCCATCCTCTCTCGGTTTTCTTCTTCACGGGGTCTGCATCCCACTTCCCTCCCTCCCCCAGACGACCGAGGATGAGGTGCAGCAGCATTTATTGACGTTGATGGTCTTTTTTCTTTTTTCCTTCTCTTTTCTTTCTTGCGACGGCCCCTCTCTCATTTCAACCGGCCCTCCCATCCTCGACCCATCGACCCATCGGCCCATCGACCCATCCCGACGGCCATCCCTTCGGTTCTCGTCGACGACAGAAAAGTACATCCTGTTTCATCCTGCCCCTCCTCTCCAGCGATGGCCGCGTCGGCCGCGTCGGCTGCGAGCCGGTTGGACAGTGCCAGCACGTGGCACAACTGGACGATATGGACAGCCCAACGACTACCTTTTCTGAACATGACCCGCCTGGCTCCTTCGCTCGACGACCTCGTCTCGGCAGGGCCCCGGATGGCCGTGAAGCTCGGCCGTCTCGTCGACGGCCTCGGCGGCTTCCAACAGCGCGTCATTCCAGAGGCCACCGAGGCTGCCGGAAACATGGTCTTCCAGGCCGTCTCTTCTCTGCAAACAACCGGCACGCTGGCGACTGAGGCTGCTGCTGGCTTTGCGAGTGCTGCTGCCGGCGCTGCTGCTGGTGCTGCTGCCGGTGTTGCTGCTGCTTCTTCTGCTGGCGTCGATGCTGGTGCTGGTGCTGGTGCTGGTGCTGGTGCTGGTGCTGGTGCTGCTGGTGTTGCTGCCGAGACCGCCAGCGAGCAGCTTCTTTCCGGCACGCTCTCTGCTTCGGCTGCTCTCCTGTCCACCGAAAGCGCCCGAGGACTGGGCAGCCTGTTCAACTACGCCACGAGCAAATGGGCCCTCTGCTGTGTCGCCACGGCCATCATCCTCAACCGAACCTACATCTTTGCGGCAACACGTCGCCGTGTCCGCCTTCCCTTCACGATCCGCTTCTTGCTGCGCATCTTGCCCATCCTGTCGTTCCTCATGCAGGCACGCCGGCTCCTGCAGTCCATCCAATGCCAGACATCGCCCGACTTTGCCCAGCTGCGGTGGGGAGATCCAACCAAGCACTCGGACCTGCTGTTCGCCGAAAGCAGCCCGCTGCTGCACAGCCTGAGCTCGCACCTGCTCTTCGGATCGTCCGACGAAGCGTCTTGCATCGCCGCCCGCATGATGCCCAGCGAGCAGTACCCCAAAATCGCCGACCTGCGCGGCTCTCTCCCGCTGCTCTGGCCGCTCTTCGTCTCCTTCTGTGTCAGCCACTTCATCGAGACGCTTTCCTGTGCGGTTCAGGGACGCCCGGTAGCTGCCGAGACCGGCATTACCCTGTTTGAGCACTCGCTCGCCTTTGCCGAGGCAGACGCCGCTATGAGCAGCCAGGTTGGCTTGAGCTCGTTTGTCACATCCTTCATGGCCGCGGCCCAATCGTCGCCCGTCGTTGTTCTCGCACATGCTTCGGCCGCTGCGGCAGACGACACCACCGTCTCCATCAGCCGGTCCGCGATCCTCAGCAAAGTCAACACGCCGCCAGAAGTTCTGCTGCTGGCTTTCCTGTCGGCCATGAGCCACGTGACGAGTCACATCCTCGGGGTGCTCAACCTGCAGGCCAAATTCCGCCTGTTCAGCACTGGCTTCTGGGCGCTCTGTTTCATGAGCAGCATCGTCTGGAGTGCCCTCACCTTCTCACTCGACGACCTTTCTGGCCAGAGCCTCCTGCGCTTCCCCACCGTGGCCATTGTGGGATTCATTCCGCACTTGCTCGTTCTCATCGGCATCCTCATCTGCTGCTTCATATACGGCTCGGCTCTGCTGCTTGCGGCCGTGTCGCAGGAGCCGGACGCCACAAATGGCAACGGCAACGAGAATCTATCCTTCCGGGAGCGCCTTTCCCACGCGCACGCAAACATGCAGGCCAACCAGCCGACAGTCAACCTCCGCATCGGCGTGGAGATGGACTTTTACACGGCACTGCTCCGCGTCGGCTTCGACGCCATAAGCATGGCAAGCGAGGCGGTGTATCTGAACGAGGACCGCCGTGTCAACCTCCGGCTGCAGACCTGGCTAGAGGACGAGAGATACAACGAGTTGCAGGAGCTGCGCAGTCGGTGGCTGGTCTCCGACCTTCCGGGGTCGCGGTACGATGTCATGGGCGCAACGGGTCTCGTTCCCGCCACCGGTGTGAACCCGACGTCTTTTGTGACGAGCGGGTTTGCTCGCGAGCGGACTGCCCGGAAAGCGGTGTCTGGGAAGGCGAACGAGCGAGTGCGACCGATCCGGACTGGAATTGGCGCCTCGGAGCGCAGCGGGCGTTGGGTGATGGCGGTGGAGTATCTGATCCACGTCGGCAGGCTTGTACTCTCGTTGTCGGCGGTGTACCTGTGTCGGTGCCTGGGCTGGATCGGTATCCGGAGCCAGCCTCGCTGGCTGCGCCGATTCGTACAGCGACGAAAGGGCGGGCGTGGCGCCGAGGGAGGGCCAGAAGGCAGCGTGGACGGCTCAGAGGAGGACGAGCTGGTCAAGGAGTGGCTGGACAACAGCAAGATTGAGAGCGTGCGGATCCACCGGAGCAGCCAGGTGGACGTGGAGCACGAGGTGCGGCAGCGGGTTACCGGCGGCATGGCGGACATTTCGGGCTCGACGCGGCGAGAAGAGCGCGAGATCGACAGCCGGCTGTACCAGTGGTGGCTCAAGGGCGGCTGGTGGGGAGAGACGGATGCGAGCGGCGACTACGAACCCAGCATTGCTGCAGACGAAGACGCCAGCAGCGTGATCTCTGCGTTTGAGGAAATCGAGGGCGAATCTGGATGGGAGTCAGCCGGCGACGACGACGACGACTACTACGGCGGCCTTGGACAGCGAACACCGACGCAGCAATCACCGATGGCATCCGGCGAGAATACACCGGCCGGAGACCTGCAGATGGAGATGCCGGAGCTGGCGAGGCTGCTGGACCCGCGCAGCCCGGAAGAACGGGCAGAGGCCCAGGCGCTTGCGGCACATCTGAAGAGTGACGGGATCATGACGCGGTCTGCGTTTGCACAGTTCCGACATCGCCAACGAGCTGAGCTGCTGGCGACATCACGGTTCAGCGGAGCGGCTCAACGGCTGGCAGCCTTTCGGCCGGGCGTGCGGCTTTCGCCTGAAGAGGAGGCACAGCTGCTGGAAGAACTGCTGATCTCGCGACGAGCAGCAGCCCGAGAGGACGACGATTTTGGAGCTGACAACACATCGGCCTCGTGGGCCACCGGAGCTGCCGGCCTGGGCCCCGATGGGCCGCAGTGTGTGGTGTGCCAGAGTGCTCCTCGGACGATCATTGTGTGGCCGTGCCGCTGCCTCAGTCTCTGCGATGATTGCCGTGTATCCCTGGCCATGAACAACTTTGACAAGTGTGTCTGCTGTCGGAGAGAAGTGCTCAGCTTTAGCCGCATCTATGTGCCCTAAGAGTGCTTCTGCTATGTTCCCTTGTTTTGAGTACTCGGCCGTTGTTTGTTTCCTTTATATGATGCTGCTTGCTTTTACCATCTACTCTTGTCTACGGCGTGCATTCACTGCGCAGCATTTTGCATCATATAGAGTATGGGTATCACTGGTTTTATTATTTTCAGCGCTGCTACGGCTGTCATATAGCAGCCCACTCCAGAGTGAAAGTGCGTACGCCACTGCAGGCTGTTTCATTATCATTGTCATCATCACCATCAACACTGCTACCGGGCGGCTTCCAGCCCCCAATAAGCAGGCCCTTCTTCACGCCGGTCGCTAGCCGTCCGGTGCCTACAAGGTCCAGCAGCGCGATCGGCTCGTCCCAGCCGTAGGTTGTGGCCACAAAGTGCGCGTGATACCGGAACGGATCGCCCGGATAGATGCTCAGATCGCCACCGAAGCGCAGCCCAGGCGTGGCAAAATAGCCACGGTTGGCAAGATGGGCACGCATCGCATAGGAGGAAGAAGCTGCGGCTGCAGCGGGCATTTCGAAAGGCATTCGTGGCATGGACAGCCGCTTTGTCTCGTCCGGCTCGCAGCAGCCCACAAGTCCCAGAGAGGCGGTCGGCGTGATGCGAACCAGAGGGTTACTCCGGATGCCGACAGCCTGTTCTGCCGTGGCAGAACTCTGCTTCTCCTTACCGGCTCTGTCGCCATTTCTTTCACACGCCGCTCTCGCCCGCGCCTCGACAGACCGCTTCTGCCGCTCAGCAACCTCTGCATCTGCGGCAGCCTGGACGATCAAGCGATGGCTCTCGACAGTCTCAAGGTAGCGCTGTCGCACGACCGGGCTCGTCAGGCCGGCGAGGTGGTCAGCCCAGTCGTCAGCGACATAAGCAGTCTGCTGGTCCTGGACGAGCCACTGGACTTCGTCGGGTGCCAGTTCGAGCGGCAGGCCACTGAAGACGCCCTGGTTGGGGGCCTGCGGCGTGATGCCGACGAGGACAGAGCAGATACCGTTCTGGCGGCGCAGACGCGCGACATCGGCGACGTCGAACACGAGGTAGCGGCCGCCAATCTTGGCGATGCGGATCTTGGCAGAGCTTGGCGACACGACCGCCATGGAGCGGTCGGTAGTTGCCGGGAGCAGCTCCATCGTCCCTGACGAAAAGCAAGGAGGGGGAAAGAGGACGGGCCCGCCTGAGTGTACCTAAATCAAGAAAAAAAGCACATTGCGTTAGCGGATGTCTCTCTATCTTGCGAGCTGTGCAGCTCTGGTGTGGAAGTGTGAAGAAATGAAGGAAGCAAGAAAAGTCCGTGTCATAGGTTTTGAATTGATTTAGTTCTCAGCATGAGTTTTGCTCAGGGGATTGACAGATAGTATAAATGAGTTGTAATCATATGGAGCTTTGTCTTGTATCATCGCGTATGGGCAAGAAACGGGTAGAAGAGGGGTTATCAACTTACGAAAGTCAGATCATTGCCTTGGAAGAAACGAAGAAAGAAGCTCCAAGTTGAATTTTGCTCGTGTTTTTTTTTATTTATTGTCGATGGTTTTTTCCGTAGACCCACTTTTGGAGAAGAAATAGTGGCAGAATCCCAAGGCGGTGAAAGGCGGGCTTGTTCAAAACTCGATGCCTTCTTTCGTAGAGCTGGCCGGGGCAGACTTGTCGTTGTGGTTGCCGTCGTCGACGGGCGGCAGGCTGTAGGGGGCGATCTCGAGGCCCCTGGAGGCGCTCATGCTGAAGCAAAAGTTTTCGCGCAGGGCCCTGCCCTGGGGGCTGGCGCCGGCGCCTCCGGTCTCGGAGTAGACCTGCAGCTTGTGGACGCGGAACCAGCCCTGCATCTTGTCGGCGGGCGACGTGGGCGTGTTGCTGGCGGCAGCTGAGGCGGCGGACGGCCGTCCAGGCGGCAGGGGGACGAGCTCGACGACGTTGTCGCAGACTCTTTCCAGCTGGCGGACGCTGTAGTCGGCGCGGTCGTAGAGCGAGGTCGAGAGCGACAGCATGACGGTCAGGCGGCGGCCGTGCTCGCGCAGGAGGCTGCGCAGGCCGAGCAGCAGGCTGAGGATGTAGGGGGCGCTCCAGCCGTCCATGGCGTAGAGGGTGGGCGACAGAAAGGCCGGCAGGACGACGCGGTGCACGGCCGACGGCGGCGTGGCCTCGAGGCTGGCCCGCACACTGGCCAGAAAGGCGCGGAGCGGCGAGTGTACCGGTTCGGGCGTGCGTGACGGCAGAAGCGGATTCGGCAGCGGGAACGGGTGCAGCGTGCCCTTGATGTCAGCGGGCCCGAGACGTCTGCTAGGGTCGAGGGTGTGGCAAAAGGGGGTGATGTTGGTGGTGGTAATTGGACCTGTTGGTGTTAGAAGGAGAAGAAGAGGAGAGAATCAGAGAAGAGAAGGAAAAACACTCACCAGCAGGAGACCTGCCGGCTCCAGGACGAGCAGACAGTCCCTCGTAGCGCCAGGCGATCTTCATCCTGTCTGCGTCGGGCACCGGTTTCCTGGATGACGACGTGGACGCGATGCCGGGCAGCTCGGCCTCCCAGCCGTGGCCGAAGCCGAGAACATGAACGTGATGACCTTGGACGAGGCCCTCGGCGGCAAAAGCCCGCAGCAGGACGCCGGCAAAGTCGGTCGTGCCCTGTTCTTGGACCAGGAGCGAGTGACCAAGCAGGAGGCCACCGTAGCCAGCCAACAAGACATCCAACGATGCCGTCCCCGTCGACGTGATGGGCCGCCCGTCAAACGGCGACGGCCGCGCTCCGCCGCCGAGAGCCGCCACCGGTGCTGCCGTCCTCCGGCCACGGATACCAGCCCGCGTCTGTCTCTCCTGCTCCAGGAGCAGGCGCAGCTGCTGCTTGACCGGTGCCAGCTCGGCCCGTCTCGCAGCCGACAGCTCGACCGGTGAGGAGACCGTCCAGGTCGACACGTCGGGTAGGTGCCGCTGCTCCTTCTTCTGCTCCTGTTCCTGCTCCTGCTGTGGAATCACAATCTGTGCTCGCCGCACTGGTGCACCCCGTGCTGCTTGCAATGCTGCTGTCGGCATGCTCCTCTGCTCCTGCGGCTGTGCTGCGGCCGGGCTCCCCCCCGAAGACCCCGCCGACAGGACGACGTTGCGCTTGCGAAATGACATGTCTGAGCCTCTGTACCTGTCGATATCGATTGCGTTGTTGCTGGATTCTGTGCTCTGCCGATTTTTTCACGTCTGCTTAGTCCCACCATCGGCCAATCAGGTGCTACAGCGGCCAATCCAGACCAGCACCTGCTCCTGCGCGCCTTGTGAGCAGCCTCTGTAAATTTGCGCTGGCCGTTCTCTCATGGCTCTGGTATGCCCCCTTCTCGCGTCCACATACTGACTAGATCAGCTCTGCAACCGAAACGGCAGGGCTTGTCTGAAGTAGGACCATGGTCACGTGACCGGTTCTTTACAGGATAGCCCCACCATCGACGGACACCTGTAAGAGGCCAAAAATATTTTTCTGCCAATTCCCCCAGCCGAAGGACAACAACTGCTCGGCCGGCCTCTCTGTGTTCGTTTCCCGTCTCACCCTTCCTCGCCCCTTTTTCGCTTTCAAGATGTCAGGAGCCGCGGGTGACAGCCAGCTGTTCGAGGACAGCTTCACGATCACAAACGTGGACCAGTCCAAGTATGATCAGGTGGCGCGCATCTACGGGACGTCGGCGGACGCGCAGACGGTGATCAGCCTGGACATCAACACGGAGCTGTTTCCGTGCGTGACGGGCGAGAACCTGACGGTGGTGCTGGCGACGACGCTGTCGCTAGACGGATCGCGGGACGACGACAAGGGCTGGCGCGACCTGACGAAGCCGGGAGCCGCTGGCGCCGGCGACACGAGCCTGGCCGACATGTACGACTATGTGTGCCACGGCAAGATCTACAAGTTTGAGGACGGCGAGGACGGCCAGACGATGTGCGTGGGTGGTGGTTTTTGATCTTGACTGCGGGTGTTTCCCCAGGGATATTGCTGACGTAATCAATTATAGTAAGGCCTACATCTCGTTTGGCGGCCTGCTGATGTCCTTGGCAGGGCCCTTCAAGAAGCTGACGCCGCTGCGGGTGGACTACACCTATCTTCTGGTGAAGAAATAGGGAGGGAAGGGCAAAACGGGAGTGGTACGGCGTCTGGCGTCTGGCGATTTGCGGTTTCAGAGAATAGAGAACGAGCTAGCAGTTGTGCTGCGACAGCATCCCATGGACCGGTCCAACGTGAACGTGACGAGATGGTGTCTGTCTTTCAAGCATGCTGGTGCGGGCCAGGGAAGGGGAGGACGCGATGCAGACGGGCGACGATAGCGTCGTAGTCGGGTTCGTCGTCGCGAGTGAGGAGGCCGTGGCGCAGCAGAAAGTCGATCATGACGACGGCGCAATTGGGTTTGTAGAGGCCGCGAGCAAGCTGGTCACGGACCTCAGCGACAGAGCAGAGGGCAAACGACTCGACCTCGCCGTCCTTGGGCAAGGGGATGATATCTTTGTCTGAGTCGTCGTGGCCAGAAGAGGGAGCCGGCAGCAGCAGGTCGTAAACCCACTGGCACTCGGGATAGACGTAGGCGCAGCCGGGATCGACGCCGGCGCGCTCGTCAGGCACAGACACGTACGTGATGGTGCCGACGGCTCGGCTGTTTTGGCGGACGACGCGTTCGGGCAGCGAGGCTTCTTCGTCGGCCTCGCGCACGAGGCACTCAAACGGGTCTTCGCCGGTCATCAGGCCGCCGGCGACGGTGTTGTCGAGCATGCCGGGATACGTGGACTTGTCGGCGGCCCGCTTGGGGACCCAGATGCGAAGATCCGTCTGGTCGTCGTCCACGTAGGCCGTCATGTGTACGCCGTAGCGAGCGGCCCCGAAGAGCCCGACGGCCGCCCGCTCCAGACTGAGCAGCAGCCGGCCGTCGCGGCCGTACACCGGCCACAGCTCGTCGCGCCAGCCGCGCAGCAGCCGGAACGCGTCGGCCGCCCGCCAGTGTGCACACAGAGCAGCCATCGCCCGCGTGCGGCCCTCCACATCCGCATGGCCGGCCAGCAGTCGATGCAGCGGCACCGTGCCCGTAGCTGCTGCCACGGCTGCCACGTCCACGTCGGTCGCCAGCCCCAACGACGCCAGCTCGACCGGTCGCACCGCCGCCAGCGCCGCCAGCACGCTGTGCTGCATGTAGCCGATGGCATACGGCCGCTCGTCGTCGCTGTCGGCCCATTCAACCGTGTATAGCGATGCCATGGCGGCTGCGTGACGCGCCGGGTCCCTGGCCGCATCCGGGAAGCTGAGGCCGTCACGGTCAGCAGAGGCCAGACGGCAAAGACGGGGACCAACTCACGCGTCCAGCGCCTCGATGAGATCCATGTTCTTGAACGCCATGATTGATGATTGGCAACGGATCAGGAAATCAGACGATGGGAAGTTTGGCAGAGCAACAACGACAAAGGAGGAAGGGGGATTCGGTAAACGCGGACTAAGTCCCCAGCATCGTTCTTTCCGTCGTGCTACCGATGTTGGCGTAGCGCCGACACAGCAGTTTTTTCCCCGCCAAGCCGTTTAGCTCTGCCTTGCCTCATCGGAAGCTTGAATCGACAGCTGCCTCTTGCTGCATCACATCGACTGCACAACCGGAAATCGGACGTGAAGAGAGCCTGAAGAGTAGCTTCTAGAAGAATCGACCGGCTGTCACGTCTGACCCACTCCCGTCCAATTTCGCGGAGCATCTGCATCGAGCATCGGATCATTGAAGCCATCAGTCTCTGATCACCAGATTCTCATCGTGCGCTTCCTCGACACTGTCTCTGCTTCTTCTTGTCCCTCACATCCCCCATCACGTCCATGTCCCAGCCGCTCTTTGGCATCGTTCCTGCCGGCCTGCCGGTCCTCACCTCGCCCTCCGAGACGCCTTCGCCCGGCTCCTTTGTCTACACCATCGTCTCGCCTCCCAACGCAAAACCCTTCAGCCACGTGGTCGTCTTTCTGCTTCCGGGCGTTCAGCTGCCTCCTGCCACCGCCGCCGCCATCTACCTGGTCACCCCGCCCGTCGACTCGACCCAGACCGTCCCCTCGCTGCGCTTCCTCGGTGGCATCGGCCCCGGAAAAGAATCCGCCATCTTCAAGATCGCCGGCACATCCACCAACACTCCTACTGTCCTCGGCATCAGTGTCGAGGACGCAGCCGGCGTCGCTGCCCGCATCGATGACATTCGCCCCGAAAAGCTGCTGCCACCCCCCTCAGCTGCTTCTTCGTCAACGTCCTCTCCCCCCTCCACCCTCCTCCTCGCCCAGCGCATCGGCCAGAACGCCTTCAACTTCCTCGCCAGCTACAGCGCCCGGATCCCCGGCAGCTCCTCTTCCGAAGAGGTCATCCCCATGCGTGCCTTCGAGGAGTGGTGGCGCAAGTTCGAAGGCCGCGTCCGCAGCGACCCGACCTTCCTGGAACGGCCAATGGACTGATCACGTGCTTGCACTCATGTATTCTATTGTATAAGAGCCAATGTCAACGCCAGTTCCTGCTTTGTACACCATCGCATTGTCCTAGTCTTCGTGCAGCGCCGCCATCATTGGGCTCTTCAGCCGTGTTGGACTGCCTGCCCGACTCTTCGGCACCAACCTCTCACGGCTCTCCGTCCTCACCACCAGTCCACTTCGGTCCAGCCCTGAGAACATCCGCACGTCCTCGAACCCGTCCACGCCGATCCGTGGTGTCGCCAGCCCTGATGTCCGTGCCAGCTGTGATCTTCCCGATCCCGGTCCCGACCCATCGCTACCGTCTGAGATCTCGCTCTCGTCTGCCTCCAGCTCGCCCAGCTCCAGCTGCTCCATGCCACCTTCCTCCAAAACCCGCTCGTAATCTCGCGATTGTCGTTGGCCGAACAGCTTGCCCGCCAGACTCGACAACAACCGCCCTCCTGGTCCTCGTGGCCGCCGCGTCCACGATCCGAACCAGCTCGACAGCCGTGTCCGCTTCTCCTTCTTCCGCAGCAGAGACACCACAACAGCCACCACCAGCACAAACACCACCAGCCCCGGCGACACCGACCGCTTCTGTGTTGTGTCGGCCAGGCTGCCTCCAGCCTGAGGCCGCTCCCACGTTGAGCCCGCATACGAAAAGTCCGCCGGCGTGCTGTCGTCCTGCACGTTGCTTCCAAAGCCTACCGCCAGATCCTCCTTGCCGTCCCCCTTGTACGGCTGCACTTGTCCGGCCGCATACAGCAGCATCCGGCCCAGCGTCCAGCTGACCTCCACGCTGTCGATCTTGTCCACCGGCCGGAATGGTGTCGCAAACCCCTGCTCTTTGGCTCCCTCCAGCGCCTCGTGCGATACGTTGATCCCCGGCAGCTTCTCCAGTCCCACCCGCGGAATCCCGATGCCCTCGTGCAGCACGTTGATCACCCACGATGCCTTGAAACACGCCTGCTGTGCGTCTTGCAGCGTTCGTGTCGTGTCCGACTGCTTCTGCTTCTGCTTCTCCTCGATGTCCGTCTGGATCTGGCTCCAGTCCTGGTCACAGAACTCGAGCACGTTGTGCTGGTACGTGCTGAAGTCGTATGCCTGGTCTCCCTTCTCGCCAAAGAAGCCGTGCGTCGAGTGGTAATACTCCGACACCCCGATAAAGTGGTTGACGTTGAAGTCGATACTCGGCACCGAGTCGTGAATCAGACACGGGTGCGACCCATCGCCACACGTCTTGTCCTGGGCCAGCAGCGGCTTCGTCGCCGTGAGACAGCCGGCAAAGTCGCCGGCGCCCACCAGCGTCGGCCCCTCGAGCGTCGTCTGCAATCCCTTGGGCATGCACGGGTCCGAGATATCGCCCTCGGCACTGCTGCTCTGCCGCACAAGCTCTGCCACGTAGGACTCTCGAGCCTTGTTGACCCCAAATCCGAGCCATGTGGCCGTGAACACCCGGTGCTCCGCCAGCCGGCCATCAAGTGTGCGCAGACGCACCAGCTTTAGGTCGTCTGCGTGTTGTGCCGCCTCCGTGCTGTTGGGCGCAAAGGCGATCTGCGCCGACGCGCCACCCATGTCCAGGAACCCGTACGTGTGGTGGTCCTGGCCGTGTGCGTGCTGCTCGGGGTGGTCGAAGCCGCCGAGAAGGTAGTTCGCCGCGATCCATCCAAACAGTCCCTCCGTCTCGCCCGAGATCACCTGTATGTTCTGCGTGCAGTCGGGAAGCGAGAACTGCGTGTTCTGTCGCAGGTATGCACACGACTCGCGCAGAACCGCGTTCTGCTGCTGCTGTGGGAGGAACCGCATGCCGGCTGTCGCCATCAGGAAGATGGGCGTGTCCGCAACCATCTCGGCTGGGACCACGTCGAGGGCATAGTCGATGAGCCCCTTCAGGTGGTCGGCACCAACCGTGCTGGCCTTGTCGCCAAACGTCGAGATCCCCGGTCGGATCTTCTTAGTCCACTTCGTCTTGATCTTCGGCAGGCTGTGCAGCTCGTCTGTCGTCGCGTCCTTTGTCGCCCGGAGGTGGTCGATCCAGCGATACACATGCACCCGACTGCCCGAGGAACCGGCGTCAATAATGACACCATATCGCCCTGGAGAGAAGCGAGGACGGCGTGTCAGCATCAGGTCACCAGGCATGCCATCAGAGACCGGCTCCACCCAACGTACATTTCTTCCCCATGAGGAATAACACCCTTTCAATACAACGAGGGAAACAGGGTCACCAATCGTGTTTGTTGGCTTAAAGCCCACGATCTCGTCGAATGGCCGTGGCGTTGTCGGAACGGCTCCCAGGAGCGAGAGAAGCAAGCGAATGGTTCGAAAGAAGGAGAATGCTTTTCGATTGGCGACGTCACCGGTCGGCTACAGAAGCGGACACAGTTCGAGTAACGAATTGAAGGATATCGGCGTAGATGGTGTCCACTGTGCATTCTGACTAGAGGAGACCGAGTTCGAAGATGCGCAGAAACGAAGGTAGGATCTAGCGAATGTCAAGAAACACAACACAAAGATTACAAAGGAAAGCGAGCCACAAAGAGCACGACACAACAGTCGAGCATGAAAAGGCCGTCGTTTGTGAAAGATGGCGATAAGGAGAGTTTAGAAGCTTACGGTTCATCTATGCACTAATCCCAAACCGGACTGGCATGTGCACTAGCGACTGCAGCGGACTGCCTGCTATTTCTGGAACACGAGCTGCTGCATACAACGCCATTATGGCAAACAAGTTTCTGCGCGACATGTGCCTCGACAGTTGAACCACATGTATCCGCCCTGGCTATTGTGGATGCAACTGGTCATCATGGATCGATATCTTGGTTCGATTAAATATCAAGTGCAAGCTCAACTATGGAAACGAAAAGCAGTTTCAAGTAAAACGACTGCCAAACACGAACTGACTTATACGAACAGGACGAGGCTGGGACATACACACTCTGAGCCGGAACTTACTGTGCAGTCTCTGCCACGTCTGCAGCCTGTATTGCGGCTGCCCTCGCTGCCGCCTCCCTGGCCTCTTGGAGGATGTTGGCTGTCGTTGACGAGGACGCGAGGGAAACGGGAGTGGTTAGTCCCGAGGTGCCAGCGCCGTCTCTGAGCTGCACGGCGTACCATCGGAGCAGCTCGTTGTCCTCCTCTGTCTGCTTGAGGTGACGCTTCAGGCAGCCGATGGCGCGAAGCGAGTCCTGCAGGTGTTCCTGAAGCTGCGCGTGTATTTCTAGGATGGCGCCATGTGCTTGCCAACTCTCGAGGCACTTGCCCAGAAATGCTTCCAGCTGGCCCGGCTGGCGCCAGTCCATACCTTGGCCTTGGCCCCGGTCCGAGACCATGCAGGCGGCCAGCTGGTCGAGCAGATCGCCGACGTTGGTCGCCTCGTCGCCCAACTCGTCCTCGTCGCCGTCGATCGGCAGGCGCCGCGTCCGGCTCTTAGCCAGCTGCGTGTGCGAGTGGGCGGCTTGCATGTAGACCTCGTGGGCCTTTCGCTGTATGTCTACGATCCACTGCACTCTTCGCGTGCCCTCGGTCTTGCGGCGGACGTCAGCATCAGGACACCGAAAGTCCACGTGGTTGGCCACAAAGCTGGTCGACGACGAGGGGGTCAGCCTGTACTCACCCTGTCCGAGGCTGTGCTCGGAGGAAACCGGACGGCCAGCGTCGGTGGCATTGATGCGTTTAGCTTCCATGTTGGGAATAAAAGAAAAAAATAGAGAAAATAGAGAGAATAGGATGGATTATGGGAAAAGAAGCAGAGGGACTGGATACAGAAAGACTACAAGATGGAGATGTGAAGCAGGTCTATAGGACGAGCATGGGACTTCATATACGTCTGCTTTCTTCATGCTGTCGTTTGACAACATTGTTCATGGACTGATACACCGTTTGCCTGAGGGCATTTCCCCTGCATGCACATTGAGGCACAATGGTCAATGTTCTTGTTCACAGAGATCGGGATGGCAGTCCAATACGCTGCGGAGCTGGAGCTGCGATACACGGACATCGATCGCAGCGAGCTTCCAGCCGCGTTAGCTCTCTTTGTTCTCTTTGTGCTCCAGCAGCTGTATGGACAGCTAATGGACAGCTGCACACAAGATGACGTCATCCGGCAGACGCCAGACGCCATGCAGAGCAGAGACCTGCCGCAGTCTGGGCAGGAAGAAAACAAAAGGAAAGAGCAAAGAATGCGGCTGCCTGGCAGCGATTGGTTCTCTGTCGGGTGCCTCCGCCCGCCCAACGCTCGGCGTTTTGCCCGTCGAACCGCTTCAGCCGTGCTAAGCCGTGAGCTTAGTGTCGGGCTGCGTCATGCTGTCGGCCATTGCTGATGGGGTTCCTCTGTCTTATAATAACCTGCCGTAGCTCTCCTTCCAGACGCCCCTTCTCACTCTTCTTCTTCAACTTCTCACTTCCGTCCAGCCATCCACTAACGCCCTCTTCCAACATCATGCCTTCGTACATTGTGAGCAGCTCCTGTCTGACAAGCAATCGCCCGTTTCTTGCGTTTCTAACAATCCATTTCTCCACAGATCACCTGCAGGCCAGACGCCTCCAAGGAAGAGGTGGCTGCGTGAGTCCACCTTTCTGTCCTGTCCTCTATTCCACCTCATCATTCGACTGACTGTCGTCTACAGCGCCAAGAAGACTGCCGTCGAGCAGGGTGGCACCATCGGCCACGAATACGAACTGCTCAAGGGTTTCTCGTACGTATTCTCGAGAACAGCCATCTAGCTATCCTGATATCTGACCCGCCACAGTGTCAGCTTTCCCGACGGAACTGTCAACACCTTGTCTCAGCACCCAAGCATCGCGTCTGTCGATGCCGATCAGGTCGTCAGCACGCAGTAGACGCTGCCTCTTGACGACTCGCCATAGAAACGGGAATTGCACATTTTCAAGCTCCCAATTCTAAAATAGATCATCTGTCTTCTGTAACTGCCAACCTGTTGGACTGTTCCTCTCGCCGTGACGTGGTGCTGTGTGTACCTGATTACCCCTCCGTCGCTCTTGCAGCGTCCGATCGCCCGAGTTCTGACCCCACTTTGTGCGCTGTCACATGTACCCATAGCCGGCATGCTGTATTACCTAAGAATAGTACGTGCTGGGGAAACAGAGGGGCAGACGTGAAACGAACGAATCAGACAGCCGGAAATCCAAGACGGCTCTTTGTTCCACCTCGAACAGCTTCTCATCCTTCGTGTCTTTCTTCTCTGCTTCTGACTCACGCACCTCCGTAGCTGTGCCAAGCACTCAGCACATCGCGATGCCGCCATGAGATGCCTCGTTCGGCCATTGAGGGCTGTTCAGCCCACGGCCACCTTTGTGTCGAAACGCCATTGTTCTCGCCCTTGCCTTCGTTCTCCCCATCTTCGACTATCGCTTTCTACTGCTCCCCATCATGAACACGCCCGCGAACATCAGCCACCACCACCACCACCACCACCACCGCATCCAATATCGCACGGCAAAGAGCCGCCACCGCTGCGCGACCAGGACATCTCCCGTCTTGCTGAGGAGCCGGTGCACCAGCTGCGTCTGGCCGATCTGGTCAAGTATGTCGAGCTAGAGAGCCTCGCCGAAAGACGACGACCAAATGACTGACTGCACCCACAGACACGGATGGCCCCCTCTCAGCGAAGAGGCCCTGCTGCAGAGCGCCAACTTCTCGCTCGAACTGATTCCCATCCGCCTCGCTCGTCGGCTGCAGGCCCTGCGCAGTCTGCCCTACATCGTCGTGTCCAATCCGCACGTCCGGCAGATCTACGGTAACTATCGCCATAGCCTGCGCTCGCTGCTGCCGCTGTGGCGTCGTCGTGCCGAGGGCGCCGTCGCGACGCTCGATGACGAGATCGCCTTCACCGAGTCCCTCGCCGATCTCGTTGCCACCCACCAGAACACCATCCCCTTTCTCGCCCAGGGCTTCCTCGAATGCCGCAAGTACATCTCGCCTGCTCACGTGACCGCCTTTCTCGACGAGCATCTGCGCGCTCGCATCGGCACCCGTCTCATCGCCGAGCAGCACATCGCCCTGCACCTCAGCAGCCGACCTTTTGAGCGGAAGAGCGACACCGGCCCCTCGCCTGCCGCCTCGTCTCTCGACAGCGCCCCCACCGGACAGCCGCCGCCGTCGTACATCGGCATCATCGACACGCAGCTGCGGCCGGCCCAGACCATTGACAGCTGTGCCGGCTTTGTCGCCGACATCTGTGAGCTCAACTACGGCGTCCGGCCCGAGTGGCGCATCGACGGCGAGCCCGGCACCACCTTTGCCTACGTGCCCATGCATCTTGAGTACATTGTCACCGAGCTGCTCAAAAACGCTTTTCGTGCCGTCGTCGAGGGCAACATGTCGCGCGAGCCCATTGTCATCACCATTGCGCCCGAACCGCCGAACCGCCTCCGCCCAGAGCGACCGCTGGGACCGGACAATGACGGTATCATCGGCGACGGCAACAGCCCTGCCGCCATACTGCCGCTCGACGAAAATGCGCCTGGCGTGACTATCCGCATCCGCGACCGCGGCGGCGGTATTAGTCCCGAAGTGCTGCCCAACATCTGGTCATACTCTTTCACGACCTTCTCCGACGCCGCCCAGGCCTCGACTGATGACGGCGGCTTCGGCTCCGACGGACTTGACATCATCTCGTCCGCCAACAACGGCGGCAGCTCCATTGCCGGCCTCGGCTACGGATTGCCGCTCAGCCGGGCATATGCAGAGTTTTTCGGCGGCGGCATCGACGTCCAGAGTCTGTACGGTTGGGGTACCGATGTCTATTTACGGCTAAAGGGTGTTGGAAGCATCGGGTGAGTTTTCTTTCATATGCATCACCTGCCCATTTTATTCGTTCCTGATGACGGATAATGTCCTGACAGGGACAGCAACAAGTGAGTAGATGAAACCCAGAGCATTGTGCTGGTGAAACATGGTCAGGCGGAAGGGTTATGGGCGTTTGGGAACTATGTTTCGATGTTACGAGGGCATTTGTAAAACTCGTCACAAGGAGTACTCGAATGAAACGGCCGCTTGCCTTTTTTTCCTCATGCTGTGCCTGATATACGTTTGTATCTTCATACTTGCTTGCTTCTCAACGATAAATGGGATTTTCCTGTTTATCTCCCATAGACACTTCGTATGTTTCTTGCACACAGCAACAATAGTATTTTCACAAACCCTCGTACATCCTTAATAATTCCACCTGGCAGCCTCGGTTTTCTCGTACATGTCAGTAGCCCTCTAAAAAATTAAGTGGATAACGACACAAATGCACATTCTCCTGGCTATGAATATACTTCTAAAGGCTATGCATTGCCACAAGGCACGGATACAGAACAAGAGCTCATTGATTTCAAGTTCCAGTAACCAAAGGGGAAAATCAGCATAGTATACTAAGCAGAACACGTAACGCAATCGCAAACAATCAAGAAACGCCACCATGAACGCATGTGTCAATATTTGCGCGCTCCATAGTTTCCCCGTGGAAAATAAAGAAATGCTGTGCACGAGATTACGCAGTGCTTATATCGTTGTCCTCCCACCAGATGTAAGATAGTATTAAAAGAAAATATCAAGAGGCCAGAAGCCCACAAGAGCAGCCCGCAAGAACAGCCGACTGTATCACATGTTTGCCAGCTCGTTGTCGATCTGGCGATCCATAAAGGTCCGCCGTTCGCCGGAGAGCTCTGTCTGCAGCCGCTGCTCGACGAGAGCACGCACTTGCTTCTTGGTGACCGTGTCGAGGTCGACCTCGCGCAGGACACCCTGGATGGCTTCGATGATCATGCCGTCGTCGGGACCGCTGGTGCTACGCTGGAAGTCAAACGACAGTGCCGACTGACGTCCATCGCCCATCCGTGAACCATTGCCGTTCAGAGCAAGGCTGGTGGTGCTGCGCAGGCCGGCATACCCGTTGAGACCCGGAGACTGCAGGTTGCCCGACGATCGGGCGCCATTAACGTCCAGATACGGGCTGGCCATGCGCGGGACTCCGGTACCCATGCTGGCCATGGACTGGCGGTGCATGGGGTGATCGGCGTACTGCATGGTGCCCATCGTGGAGGTGCGGCCGTGAAGCCCGGGCGAGAGCTGCTGTCCATACTGTCCAGCCTGGGGCGGCATGAAGGTGCTACCGCGAGTACCCAGGCCGGCCAGGACTGATGGCTGGCGTATGGACGAGTATACTGACTTCATGTCGTCCATCTCGTACATGCCCTCGTCGTACATGCCTTCGGGGCCACCCATGGCCTTCTCTCCGTGAGGACCACCGCGGCGGCCTGGCAGGTTGTTCGCCATAGCATAGTCATCCCAGCGCTGTAGCGGGATCGAGCGTGTGTCGAAGCCCTCCTCGTCGACGGCCACCAGCTGGCGCTTGCCCGTCTCGCCAATGACGATACGCGTGTTACCCCAGCTGAAGTTGTCTTGATTCCAGAACGAGTAGACCGGCAGGACAAACGAATAGATGGGGAAGGCCAGGAGGTAGATAAACATCCAGCCCACGTGCTGCCACTGTCGCTTGAGGATGAAGATGATCGCTTGCAGACCGTAGACGGCCGCCAGGATGATGATGGAGAGGATCGGGAGGGAGCCGTGGTTGTGGACCACGTTGTAAATGAGGTAGACGAGATATACAACCGTTGCCGGGAGAATGACGGTGCCGAAAAGGTCCATGAACACCACAAAGCGCATGCTGAACAGACAGAAGCCGCACATTTCCTCGATGAACATCAGCTCCACAAGGTTGTGGATGGTCGAGTTGATCCACCGACGCCGCTGCGAGAGAAGAACACTCCACGTCTCAGGCGCCGCCGTCGAGCAGTACGCAGCCGGGAGGAACTTGTACTTCATTTGCGGAAAGTGCTTGGTCATCAGCGTAGTTAGGAACCGATCCTCGCCTAGCGATAGCAGGTTCTTCTTGTGCAACGTGTCCACGATACAGTCGCTGTATTCACGGATGACATCGCTAGAGATAATAAGCGGCTTGCCACGGTCGGCCGTGCGGAGACGATACATGGTAAAGCTAGAATAGTTAGCACGGCTTTCGCAAACAGGAGCAAAAAAAGCCGGAACAAAAACTTACCAACCAGGAAGACACGTAACACTGCCAAAGAGAGACTCAAATGCCTTGGCCAAGTGGTGAGAGATAAAGTACTCGTACACCTGGATCATGGTCCACCAGGACTGATTCTCGTTCTGCAGACTAGTCTCACCGCAGATGCCGGCAATCTTGGCGTCGTTGGCACACGCAGCAACCAGGCGGTTTAGAGAGTCCTCGCGCACAGATGTGTCGGCGTCCACCATCAGAATATATTCGTACAGTTCTGGGTCCACGCCGATGACGTTGTTGATCTGGTGGAAGATTTCCAGCTCCAGCGGGTTCATCGGCGCACGGTGGTGGACGCGATTCAGGAAGCTCATGACCAAAATCTGCGAGTCTCGCTTACCACGGTTGCCGGGCTTGGTCTTGGCCTTCTCCGACTCCTTGCCGACCTTGACGATGACAAGATACGGCACAACGTTGCCCTCAAACTCGTAGAGACCCGAGTACACCTTGCCGTAGTTCAGCTGCTCACTGCCGGTGCCCACAGATTTGAAGGGCAGTGCAGGTGGGTCTACCTTGGGATCAACACCCAGAATGTCGAGGACGATCTTGGGCGTCGGGCGGTCGTTGCCAGCGCCAACAATGACGCCGTCACAGATAACGCAGATCAGCTTTCGCTTGTTGTCATACTGCAGCGCGGTGAGAGAATCGAGCGACGTGCGGAGCGAGTCCTCGCCTTCCGTGTAGGCCGGCACCTGGCAGATGACAAATTTGTCTTGCGGAGACGGCCGCCGCTTTGAGCCAAACTGCAGGGCAGACAGGAACTTGACCAGAATCACAATACACAGAAGGACAGTGAAGGCGAGCAAAATGTACCCGTTCACCTGGCACCGTGCACTATACCGGAAGTCGGGCTTGCCAACATAGAAGTTGTTCTTGATGCACGTGATACTGTTGGTGATGCTCGCCAATTCCGTCGCGTTGTTTTGCGCCTTCTTGATGAGCGTGTTCCACGTTGAGGTGATATCAGTACCCGGGGCGCTTTCCACGGCGTCGGTCAGGTCGGAGTTGAGGAATTTGTACGTTGCCAAATCATCCATCATCGACAGGGTGTAGAAGTAGTTGCCTAAATCGTAGACCAATCCATCGTATATGACCCATTCGTGGTTTTGTTCTATTCCCTCGTTCTTGATCTTGTTCTTGCTCCACACAATGTCACCGTGATAGTACTGCTCGATCTTGGGTAGAAACACATCCGTGTACCATGTGTCGCTGTAGAGCGCACTGCTCGTTACAGCCTGTCGAGAGCCAGACGTGTGGTCGGCTTCCGGATTGTCGTCAGTCGCGTTGAACTGGAGATACAGCGTCTCATCCGTCACCAGTCCTTGGCAGGACAAGGTCAGAGGGGGCGCAAAGTACTGGTCGAGAACGAGGCCGGACAGGGGTGTCATGAGCGCCGAAGTCACTTCACGCGCTGTGATATCACTGTGCTGGACGCGCCAAAACTTGGATATGTCGTATACCTTGCCGTGGATGCCGACCCAGAAGTCGTAGTTGCCTTGATGCGTAGCCAGCTGCGTCTCCGTCCAGGCCTTGGAGTAGTTCGGGCAGAGCAGCCGTCCAAATGCGACAATCCAGAACACGACGATTGCATTGATCAGGGCGATGATGGCACAAAGCACAAACTTCTCCCGCCATGCCATGCGCACATCCGGCCGCTTCATCCGACCAACATAGCGCAGCAGCGGTGACGGAATCCAAAAAGTCAAGGTCCACACAACGGTCACCCAGACACGGCGGCTAGTTGAGATCGGCTGCGACGTGATCTCCTTGCCTTCAGTGAGTTCCGCGTCCAGGCCGATGAACTCGCCATCGTTGTTGTAGTAGAACTTGTTCATGTCGTCACCCTTGGTGCCCAAACCATAGTCGCCCTTAAAGACGTTCTTGCTGTTGCGTTTGCTGTCTCCGCCTACAGCGCTACCGCCCATGACAGACGGTGCTATACCGCCAGGCATGCCATGAGCACCAGCCATTGGATTTTGCGCAAACCCAAGCGTGCCCTGGCTCATGTTTCGCTGGTGGTCTAGCAGTTGATCCCGGCTGCCGCTTGCGGCACCCTCGCCCATATATGGCTGCTGTGGGAAGAAACCGCTGCCGTTGTTGGCGGCATATCCCGACTCCATGCCTGGAACACCAAGCGAGTTGCCGAAACTACCGCTGGATGGCATGCCTGCTTCCGGCTTCAGATCCAGCATGCTTTCGGCATCCCACCAGGCGCTCTCGCGCATCCAGATGCGCTCGGTACCAACGACCACCTCGCCGTTGCTCCATCCGCGCTCCAGTACCCAGCTCTCGATTCCGTCACGACCGTCCCGGCAGCCCAGAGGGGCGTAGCGCTGGACGAACTCGTCATGGTCAAAGTCGGCCGTGAAGTCTAAATTCTTGTTGCGCCGATTGGCCCATTCTGGCAGACGCCACGCACGTAACTGGCGTGACACGGTGCCGGCAGACCACGCCGAGTTCACCGAAGGCAAGGCTGCAATGTTGGCCGGGGAGTCGTCAGTGGGGTGGATGCAGAGATGGTACCAAACGCGGTTGGTGAGAAGCATGTTTGCGAGGTCCAGACGGCCTGCGCGGCCGAGATTGACGCCTTCTCCCTCCACGGGAACTAAAAGGCTCTTGAGAAAGCCATCTGCGTCAGAAGCGTGGGACAATTTCTCGAGCAGCTCTTCGCGCTTCTCAAGCAGATGGCTGCGCTCCCGACCAGCCGGGCCGCTCATGATGCCTAGGTCAGGCCCGACCTCGCTCACGGCGTTCTCCATCTCACGCAGCACAGAGCTGCCGGCAGCCGTCACGTCAACGCCATCCTCCTTCATCTCCGAGTTGATGCCGGTGGTATCGTCAAAGACACTGCGCATAGAGATCGCCTTACCCAGCATGGGATCCGGAATCTCGAGAACTGTGATGCAAACCGTGTCTCCGTTGTCGTCCGTGTTGGGTGTGTGGACACCGCCGGCGCTTTCGCTCGAGTCATCGGCATCTCGCGTACGACTCATCTGTGCAGAAATGGCCGTGTTTGCCTTGGAGATAACCCAATCGACCAGGGCCTCATACAAGGCGCCGATGAATGTTCTGCGATCCTCGGTAGAGCAGCCGCGAACCAGGACCTCTGGCTCCACACCAAGCAGCCCGCTGACATCTTCGCAAACCTCCTCTAGCACGTCGCCATCAACGTCGTAGTCGAGTGTGTTTCCCAGCTTTAAAAGGCCAGCCAGGATGGAGATGAGGTTGCGGTGAGCAGAGCCCTTGATGCCGATCTCTTTCAAGGCAGCACGGAAGTCATCAGCAGCTGCTGCATCGTCAGCCGTTGGCAGGTACGAAGGAGGTCCGTAGTTGCCTGAACGGGCAAGGAGCGAGTAGGCTGGAGCTGCCTTCAGGCCAAGAAATTCTCTCTCGGCCGGTGTGGAAGCTGACGTGAGCAGATAATAGAACACGTCGAAGGCACGATAACCTGCCTCTGCGGGAACATTTAGGAGGCCCTTGATGGTGTCGATGCCGCCCTGGGAGAGAGCCAGAGAGGCTGCTGTCAAGTTGCCGGCAAGGTTGAGGGTCAGTGTCACACCGAGAGCAGTCTGTCGGGGTGTTGACGGATTGTATGGCGTGACACAGCGTATGAACGGCTGCAGGGCTTCGAGAGATTTGAACAGAGACGTGGGGAGTGAAAGCGGAAGGGTGGACAGGAAGGGTGCGAGAAGTGATGGAGATGACGTGTGGAGAGATGTCAAGATGATGCAACCGTCCTCGGCACGACGCCGGGCATGTTCCCAAGCCCGTAAGGCGAGCGAGCCATCGACAGTCCCGCCAGGTTGTCCGCTGTGACCCGACTGGGAGGCGGTCAGCCAGGTGTTGACGACGACGCTGGTACCGGCATCGAGAAGGTACGGCGTGGATGAGAGGTAGATGTTGTGAATAGCGTTAAGTAGTGTTGTCGTTGAGACCTGGGAAGATTGCTGCCCAGCACCACGAGGCCCCATGGACTCCGAGTTCATGGAGTACATGGACATGTGGTTGCCGGCCATGATGGACAATCTTTAATCGAATCTACGGGAGAAGTTCGAATGGGATGCCCGAGTGGGTTGACGCTGGGAAGCCCAGGTCGGGAGTGTTTGCCGATGGCTTCTGGTCCAGGGTCCGATCTTGTTTATGGCTTCGTTGTAGTAGATCGGAAGGTCAAGAAGAGGCGGGAGGTGGCGAGAGAAGAGCTTCGGTACAGGAAGGCGTTTCAAGAGGAATGTATGTGTCTCTAAACAAACGCGTTTTATCGTTAACGCTGGACAAAACAAAAAATGAGGTATGCGATATGCTGCCGTACAGTGGGAGAGAAACGAGAGTATGTGGAAAAGAAGTCTCAGCAGCCAACGAGCGAAGAAAGACAACCGACACAGCGAGTGACGACGGCTGACGAGAAGATGGCAGAAATGAGGCAGAAGGGAAGACAAAAAAGCAAGCAGGCTATTGCGGAGTTCGGAAACGTCAACAGGGGGGGGCAGAAAACGAGAACCTCTGTGGAGGTCGCTGCGACTACGACGTATTCTCGTAAGGTCTAGCTGTACACGAGCAGTTTGGGACAGCCGGGTATCACTACGAAATGGGTAGCCATTTTTAAGGGGCTGAGCATCCCATCACACACCCGCTACAGGGGCACAGTTGGGATTCGGATATTAGCACGGAGTGACAGGACTTAGAGGTCGATCGCGGCCTTGTTTCCGGGGCATTAAAAAAAATAAACAACAACAAAAGGGGATTGGATAAAAAGAGCCTGATAATCCATTGCAATGGCGGCTAGTTCGAGCAAGCCGGACGGAGTAGTAAGTAGCGCTGACGATCCACTTATAGGGGGCAACTCTCCACGACAGTTTGCTTTTAGCCTTCATCCGAAGCTGGACAGGCCTGTTGGAGCCTCATGTGGCTAGACCAGCATTTTTTTTTTGTGCGAGGCGGAATTGCAAACTCCGCAAGATCCGCCAGGCCCATGTTGCTACTATATATACACTGTCCGTACTCCGTACTCGTACGAAGTACTCTTGTACCATGTAGCGGAGAGTCCGTACAGGAGGCCGGAAAAAAATCTCGATCGAGACCGGCAACCTCCCGGTACTATGTAGGGGCGGGTGCATAAGCATGGCGATCAAGTTGTGTTACAACCACCGGCCTCCAAGTCCACGAGCTCGGGCGTTGCATTGGGCGAATGACGCATACACGTTCTCTACGACGTAAGAGGAGAATCAGGGTATAGATATGGAGCCCAGCTCGTAAAAGGACACAATACGAGGTTCTGCAAGTATGGTCCCACTCTTTCACAGAACTGAGTTCTCGTATGTGAATGAAGGACGGACCTACGTCGTACGGCGTACTCGCATGTGGGCTGAAATAGTGGCATACTCCGTCCGCAGCCAGGTCTAGCCTAGCATAGGAGCCAGGTCCTGCTCGGAGGCAGCGCACAGTGCAAATACGGCATAGAAGCTAGGAGACTATTGGGGATCTCACTTGTCTAGCCGGTATTATTTTTAGCTACTGCTCGTTTAGCACTAGATGTCGTTCTACGAGTACGAGTAGAGGCGGGTTGGAATGTGCTGTATCTCGTCTCACCTGCTTATCCTTCCGTGGCTTTGACCAGACAGTGAGGGAGCTGTCTGCATGTACACACGTGCTGTGTGTACATTATATAAACGATGCCTTTATAGTGGCGGTGCCGATTGTTTGCCTGCTTCCCGAGCCTGTTATGTTGTTGAACAAGTACAACATCTCCATTTTCGTAGAACGCGCGATCCAACGGCCAGAACGGACCAACGGCTGCTGAGGAATACCGCAGGCTCTGTCCCGACAGGTTGAAAAGTGGCCACCTCATGACTACGGCGAAACAATGCGGACAGATTTCCCAGAACCATGTATCTTACTCGTATCAGCTGATAGAATCACCGAAGCCTGTGTGGAATTTATTTTCCCGTACTCCGTAAGTAAAATAAGGAAGAGAAGAAAATATTCCCAAAGAAGCAAGGCCAGCAAATGTCAGCTGAGCCGCTATTTGGACTATTATTTAGACTTCACCACTCGTCTGAATTACACTTCTGCCAGAAATCTCTCTTGTGAAAAATACATTCAGTACTCTGTACGGCGGACTACGGACTACGGAGTAGAACGAAGGCGAACAAGGGTCAGCCCATTGAATCACGGTGCATTAAAAGAGGACGGGCTACAGGAAGTCCCCCACATGGGCCCCCCTTTTCCAACAGGCATGATGAGCGTGCTTCCAGTGGCGTCTGTGTTGTCCAGCGTACGAGTACAAGCTACGCGAATGGGCGGCCCAATGGTTCACAGTGCGGCAGCGCGGGAGGGTATCTCGATACGAGCATCTAAATTCCTGACACAGGAGGCCAACGCTGGGACGAAATGGATTATTGTTCGCCCGGCCATGCTTGCTGCAAGAAATACTCTGTGTCCCTTGAAAGGCCCAAAGCGTATGTGCAAAAAATAGACCGTACGGAGTAGAGAGAAAATGGCGAAAATAAAAATCCTACCCCTGCATTGGCTGAAGCTGATCCATGCACGTTCCGGGGCTCACGCGCCGGTGGGGGACTTATGGCCTGTCTAGTGGGAATGGAGACGTGCGTTTCTGCTTTTCTTCTTTTTTTTTTTTTTTTAACTCTGCCGCCTTCCATGCCGCCTAGCACAAAACGTTCTGAGCAAATCACAGAACATGTCACGGCGTCGCTCTATGAGTATGATACTACATAGATTGTAATATCTTACATCGTATATGTACGAGAACTCGTATCCATGCCTTCATAAATTACAACACATGCCGGTATTTGGTACTGAATGGCCGTATCTCTCATCTGGAGACGATCGGAATAAGTCACAAAGGCCAATCTAATGGAAGGTGTGGCAGCAAAACTAGAAGCACGGAGGAATGAGCATTTCCAATGTTTCTCTCTGTTTGGTCTGCGAAACACTAAGCCAGATCGCAAAGGATCGACAGGTCGAGTACGGAGCATTCGGCCACGGAAGAGGAATCTCAGAATAGCCAGATAATGCCATGCAAGATACATAATCAACAGTGGGCTAAAAACAGCCCGCCTGGTGCCTCGTATTGGCCCCTCAACTTCGTATGGCGCTGTCAAGTGTAGTGGGCAGTGCTGCTCGCCTACGATTGGACCTACCGCTACAGCCCCCTGAAAGGGCGAAAGGCCAGCCAAAGCTGGCAGCCTGTGCACCACGGGGAAGGCGCGCTCCCCAACCGTGGCGCTATCCCCCCCTTCGTTCTCCCCTGGAACGGTGAACAATAGCTCGTACCGTACGGAGTACAGTACGAGCTATTCCTATGGACCCCCCAGTACTCGTAGCGTTACGGGGCACTGTCCGCGAAGTAGTCTGCCCGGTCACTCTTTCCCTTCACTTCTCCCCCCCGGCTACTACAACCTCAGCGCCTTCCTTGCGTTTGCTTCTTCCCGTGTCGCCTTTCCCCATCCCTCGTTATTTCCTTTTGACTGATTCTGGGGTTCTTGTTTGGCTTCGTTCGTCCTTTTCTCTCGGTCCAGGTGCTTTTGCCTTGTCCACCTGTCCACAGTCAACACTCGTTTCTCACGTTCGTTTCGCCCAATTCTGCGAACAGCGGTCCTCCATCGACGGACGAAGATCCCAAGAGGCGGTGATAGACAGCCGCGAGAACAGGTGCATTTGCGCCCATCGACCCATATCCTATTTTTTCCAGTCCTTCCATCGCCCAACCGTTGACTAGCTCTTTCGTCTCTCGCCGGTCATTCGGCCGTGTCCTCTCGCTTCGTCGCCATGAGCCTCAACCCTCTCGGCGGCGGCGGCACTGGCAGCGGCGGTGCTCATACGCAGCCGTCGCTACCGTCGTTGCCAGCCCATCTCCAGTCGGATACACATCTAACTGCACACCTCGCCAGCCGCTTCCATGTCTCGCTGCCAACAGCCCGCCTCTCATCCCATGCATTGATTTCTCTGAACACATACTCGTCCTCAACCGCCGGTGCTGATGGAGGAAAAGAAGGCAGCGCCTCAGCTGGCGCTGAAGACATGGCAGAGCGTGCATACATCCGTCTCGGCCATCGTTCTGAAAACCAGGCCATACTGTTCCTGTAAGTTCCCAAGAAACCTTGTCTTGCTGCCCGGTGGTTGATATACTAATGCAATCTCTTCGCCCAGTGGTGAGTCTGGCTCTGGCAAGAGCACCATTCGCTCTCACATTCTCGCGGCCCTTTTGCGCAAGTCGAGCACGCCGCTATCCAACAAAGTCTCTTTGGCCGCCTATGTCTTTGATACTCTGACAACCACCAAAACGGCCACTACTCCAACTGCCTCCAAGGCTGGCCTCTTCTACGAGTTACAATACGATACATCATCCAGCACCAACCCGTTGCTGCTGGGTGCCAAACTGCTAGATCACCGACTGGAACGTAGCCGCATAGCTGATGTTCCCACGGGCGAACGTAACTTCCACATTCTGTACTACCTCCTCGCCGGCACGAGCGCCGCAGAAAAGAACCATCTAGGCCTCGAAGATGCTCACACTGGTGCTCAGCAGCGCTGGAAGTATCTTGGCCATCCGACCCAGCTCAAGGTCGGGATCAACGATGCTGAGGGCTTCCAGCTGTTCAAGACCGCTCTGCGCAAGCTGGAGTTCCCCCGGACTGAAATTGCAGAGATTTGCCAGATTCTCGCTGGTATTCTTCACATCGGGCAGCTAGAGTTCGATACCACGTCTAGCACCAGCGTCATGGGCAATGATAGTGGTGGATTTTCCCACGAGGGTTCCCAGACTGTCATCACAGTCAAGAACAAGGATGTGCTGGCCATTATTGCCGCATTTCTCGGTGTCAGTTCACAGGACCTGCAGGCTACTCTCGGCTACAAAACCAAGATGATTCACAAGGAACGGGTCACTGTCATGCTTGACACCGTTGGTGCTCGCAGCAACGCCGATGAACTCGCCCGGACGTTGTACTCGCTTCTTGTTGCTTATGTCATTGAAAAGATCAACCAGAAGATCTGTGCTCCTGAGGAGGCCATTGCAAACACCGTCTCCATTATCGATTTTCCCGGCTTCGCACAGCAGACGTCCACTGGGTCCGCTCTTGACCAGTTGCTCAACAACGCGGCCACTGAGTCGCTGTACAACCTGACGTTGCAGAACTTCTTCGACCGGAAGGCTGACATGCTAGAGACCGAAGAAGTTAGTGTTGCCGCCACAAGCTACTTCGATAACTCAGATGCCGTAAAGGGCCTTTTGAAGCCTGGGAATGGCTTGCTGAGCATCCTGGATGACCAGACACGGCGCCACCGCACCGATATGCAGTTGCTAGATAGTCTTCGCAAGCGCTTCGAAGGCAAGAACCCAGCGATCGCGGTGAGCTCTGCTACCGCCAAACTGCCTGGCAGCAACTTCCTGACCGAGAACACATCGGCAACATTCACCGTCAAGCACTTTGCCGGCGAGGTTGAGTACCCTGTGAGGGGTCTGATAGAAGAAAACGGCGAGGTGATCTCTGGCGATTTGCTCAACCTCATCAACTCGACCAAGAGCGAATTTGTCGCCCGTCTCTTTGGCCAGGAAGCCCTGCAGACCATTGTTCACCCACAGGAGCGGTCTACGGTCATGCAGGCATCTGTCAGCTCCAAGCCCATGCGCACGCCAAGCGTCATGTCGCGCAAGGGTCGTGGAGCCCCTCGGCGCCGACAAGAAGCTGCACTGCGGCAGAAGGAATCTCTCGATGACATTGCCAGCGAAGCCGGTGCCCCTGCTGCCTCAGAGTCACGTCGCGGAGCGCCACGCGCCCCTTCCGAACAAGGTGCCTCTGGCCAGTTTCTGGCCTCTCTAGACAATGTCACCAAGTCATTCACGGGTCCCAACACAAATGCTTACTTTGTGTTCTGTCTTAAGCCGAACGACAGACGTATCGCCAACCAGTTCGACAGCAAGTGTGTTCGCGCACAGGTGCAAACTTTTGGAATTGCCGAGATCAGCCAGCGGCTGCGCTCGGCTGATTTTAGCTTGTTCCTACCCTTTGGCGAATTCCTGGGTCTTGCCAGTTCCGATATGCTACTGGTCGGCAGTGAGCGTGAGAAGGCCGAGGGTGTCATCGAGGAGAAGCGGTGGCCGAGCAATGAGGTCCAGGTCGGAGCCACAGGTGTCTTCATCAGCGAGCGTTGTTGGATGGAGATAGCTCAGCTTGAGACCGGCTTAATGTCTGCTCGTTACGGTGTGCCCTCTGATGCCGGTGACGGCTCGAGCGCTGATCCATTTGGCGCTTCAAAGGAGCACCTGATCTCTTCATCCAACACTCCTTCCGCCATCGGTGGAGACAAAAACCGTGCTGGCTACTTTGGCAGCAACGACATCGACGCACGGTCCGAGGCCGGGGCGTCTGCCTTTGGTGCTGGCGACATGTTCAAGAATCTGGACACCCGCGAACAGATGGCTGAGCGTGGCAATGAAAAGACCATGGAGGAGGTGGAAGAGTTCAAGGACTCGCCTTCACGAAAGCGCTGGGTTGCCATGGTCTATATGCTGACCTTTTTCGTTCCCGATTTTCTCATCCGCATCATTGGTCGCATGCCGCGGAAGGATGTACGCCAGGCTTGGCGTGAGAAGCTTGCTATCAACATGCTCATTTGGTTTAGCTGCTGCCTTGCAGCCTTCATCCTGGTGGTTTTCCCTCTCATCATTTGCCCGACCCAACATGTCTTCAGCGCGTCGGAGCTGGCCAACCACAATGGCAAGAAATCACACGCGTACGTTGCCATCAGAGGGCAGGTTTTCGATCTCACTGCTTTCCAGCCGACGCATTATCCCACCTACCTCTCCTCGAAGCTGCTCCTCAATTATGGTGGCAAAGATATTACCGCCTTGTTCCCCGTCCAGGTGTCCGCCTTGTGCGAGGGTGTGAGTGGTACTGGAATCAACCCGGAGGTCACACTGGATTTCACCAACACAAACTACACGGATTCCAGCACAACTACCAGCACGGACTACAACGCCCAGTACCACGATTTCCGCTATTTCCAAAATGATACCCGTGACGACTGGTTCTCGGAGCAGATGATCATGCTTCGTTCCAACTACAAAAAGGGCAACGTCGGTTACACAGCAAAGTATGTGGGAACCCTGGCGAAGAAGTCCAAGTCCATTGGCATTCTTAGCGGTCGCATCTATGACTTGACCAACTACGTCGCTGGCGGCCGACAGCTCCTCACGAAAGCCGGGGATACGATCACGGGCACGTCCAGCGATCTCAACTTTATGAGCCAGCTCGTTGTAGATCTGTTCCAGCAGAAGTCTGGTAAAGATATCACGAAGTACTGGAACGCCCTGTCTTTGACAAACGTGCAAAAGTCACAGATGAAGCTCTGTCTGGACAACCTGTTCTACGTGGGCGATGTCGACACGCGAAACTCGACCCGCTGCAAGTTTGCAACGTACTTCACGCTGGCGATTTCGATCGTCCTTTGCTCTGTCATTTTCTTCAAGTTTGCCGCCGCGCTGCAGTTCGGCTCGAGAAACATGCCTGAGAACCTCGACAAGTTCATCATGATCCAGATCCCTGCGTACACGGAAGACGAGGACTCGCTGCATCGTGCCATTGACTCGGTGGCGCGCATGCGCTACGACGACAAGCGCAAGCTGTTGTGTATCCTCTGCGACGGCATGATCATCGGTCAGGGCAACGACCGACCAACACCGCGTATTGTGCTCGACATTTTGGGCGTGTCCGACACTGTCGACCCAGAGCCGCTCAGCTTCGAGTCGCTAGGCGAGGGCCAGAAGCAACACAACATGGGCAAAGTCTATTCGGGTCTGTACGAAGTCCAGGGCCACATCGTTCCCTTCCTGGTCATTGTCAAGGTTGGCAAGCCGTCCGAAGTGTCTCGGCCGGGCAACCGTGGCAAGCGTGACTCGCAGATGATCCTGATGCGCTTCCTCAACCGCGTGCACTACAACCTGTCTATGAGCCCGCTCGAGCTGGAGATGTACCACCAAATCCGCAACATTATCGGAGTGAATCCTACGTTTTACGAGTTTATGCTGCAGATTGATGCCGATACCGTTGTCGCGCCCGATTCGGCCTCGCGTTTTGTCTCGTCCTTTATCAACGACACGAACCTGATTGCCGTCTGTGGTGAAACGGCTCTGACGAATGCAAAGTCCTCGTTTGTCACTATGATCCAGGTGTACGAGTACTACATCTCGCACAATCTGTCAAAGGCGTTCGAATCCCTGTTCGGCTCTGTTACCTGTCTTCCCGGCTGTTTCTCCATGTACCGCATCCGTGCTGCCGAGAGTGGCAAGCCCCTGTTCGTGTCTCGGGAAATTGTGGAGAGCTACTCGACCATCCGTGTCGATACGCTGCACATGAAGAATCTGCTGCACCTCGGTGAAGATCGGTATCTGACGACGCTGCTGCTCAAGTACCACGGCAAGTACAAGACGAAATACATCCAGAGCGCCCATGCCTGGACCATCGCGCCGGACTCCTGGCAGGTGTTCCTGTCACAGCGTCGACGCTGGATCAACTCAACCGTGCACAACCTGATGGAACTGATGCCCATGTCACAACTCTGCGGCTTCTGCTGTTTCTCGATGCGCTTTGTCGTCTTTATCGATCTTCTGTCGACGCTTATCCAGCCGGTCACCCTCGCGTACATCGTCTACCTGATTGTTGAGGTCGTCACGAAGAGGACAGTGGTACCCATCACGGCCTTCATCTTGCTCGGTGCAATCTATGGTCTGCAGGCTGCCATTTTCATCCTTCACCGCAAGTGGGAAATGATTGGCTGGATGGTTATGTACATTGTGGCCATTCCCGTCTTCACATTCGCCCTACCGCTGTACTCCTTCTGGAACATGGACGACTTCAACTGGGGCAACACCCGTGTGGTGGCTGGTGAGAAGGGCAACAAGATTGTCATTTCGGATGAGGGCAAGTTCGACCCGTCGACAATTCCGCGCAAAAAGTGGGAAGAGTACCAGGCCGAGCTCTGGGATGCGCAGACAGCCCACGACGACGCACACTCCGAGATCTCGGGATACTCGTATGCCACCAAGCAGGGCGGCCTGGCGGTCCACACCATGCCCATGTCTGAGTACGGCTACGCATCGCGGCCTGGTTCGACCACCGGCTACGCGATGCACGACAAGACGGCAGGGGGTGCAAGCCGCATGAGCTTTGCGATGACCGAGCAACCAGGCAACCGTATGAGCCAGTTTGGCGGGAGCCAGTTCTTCGCCGGCTCCGAAATGGAAATGGCCAATCTAGCAGGCCTGCCTAGCGACGACGCACTGCTGGCCGAGATCCGTGAGATCCTGCGGACGGCTGACCTGATGACGATCACGAAGAAGGCAATCAAGCAGGAGCTTGAGCGGCGGTTTGGCGTCGCCCTCGACGCACGGCGTGCCTACATCAACAGCGGTATGTCTGAGTTCCTATCTTCCCGAGCTGTGGCTGCCAGGCTCTGAAGCAATGACTGACTTTCTCGATTTTAGCAACGGAGGCACTCCTCTCTGGCCAGCTGTAACGGCAGAATTCAAGTCGTCGACGTTCTCTTCTTTATGCGCCTGGATCTCTGTTGCATATACTTTCATACCTAATTTTTGTGTGTTGACGCTGCCGTTGCTGTTGTTGCATACGCCGGGGCTCAGGAAAGAAGCCTCTTCTATTTGACAAATTGCTGCTTTGCATAACTACTTGGGGAATTGCTCGGTTTTGCGATGGCTGCAGATAAGACACGGCAGGCTCTCGATTTATTTATATCACATGATCGTGTGCACATGATCTGGGCTCTGTTATAGTGCTTTTCCGCCTTACTCTTGCCTGCTCTCGACTGGAATTTGTTCTTTTCTTTTGGCTGCAGATAGCGTGGATAACTGGTTGAAAAAACAAACAATATGTTCAATTCTGTCGTGGCAGTATCTTGCTTCCTAGAATTTCAACCTATGCTACTGCACGCATTAGTTCCGCATCTACAGCTTTCCAGAGGCCTTGACGGCAGGCACCTCTTCGTCCAACGGGAAGATATCCGGCTTCGGGCCCAAGGGCGTAATGCTGAAGGGATTGATCTGGGTGTGACTCTTAGTGTAGTGGCTCTTGATGTGCAAGAAGTCGGTCGAGTCCTTGAAGGCGGACACGTTCCAGTACAGGTTGCGCATCCACTTGTGCAGGTGCGGGTAACCGGAGCGGATGTCGGCCAAGTTGCATTTGAAGTGTTGGACATAGACGGGCTGGAGAGTTTGATTAGTAAGCAGATGACAAAGCGATGGCAAGCCAGGAAAACGGAAGTCTCACGTCGAAGCGGACGATGGTAGCAAACAGCCGGATGTCAACTTCGGTCATGGTCTTGCCGAACCAGTATGGCCCGTTGGCGGTATTTCCGGCCAGATGCTTTTCGGCGCGGTCCAGGGCGTCGAAGACGAGGACGACGTTGCGCTCGTAGGCCGCCTGGGTCGTGGCAAAGCCGCTCTTGTAGACGCCGTTGTTGATGTTGTCATACTGCCACGCGTTGGCGGCCTCGATCTCGCTGTGGAGAGCCTCAGGATAGAGGTCAATGTTCCTGTACTTGGGCTCCAGCAGGTCGTTAAAGGCGCTGTTGAAGATGCGTAGGATCTCGCTGCTCTCGTTGTTGACCACGCGCTTCTGCTTCTTGTCGTAGAGCACCGGGACGGTCACGCGGCCGGTATAGTCCTCGGCCGACTCAATGTACACCTGGCGAAGATGGGTGAAATCCTCGTGGCCCGGGACTGGGTCGGGCTCGACGTGCTCGCCAGGGGCGTCTTGGTCTTCTGCCGTGGCAAACCGCCAGCCTGGGGGTATGGCAGTCAGAAGAAGAATGAGGAGGGGGATATAACGATTGAAGGGAGAGAAGCTCGGCCCGAAGACTCTACTCACCACCTTCGGCAAGCTTCCAGTGCACAACCGTGACGGAGACAATGTCTTCTAGGCCTTTGAGCTTGCGGGCGATCAGCGTGCGGGTGGCCTGCGTGCTTTCCGTCAGCAGACGTCGATGAGACGGAGAGATCTAGAGAGAAGGATGCCTTACCCAGGGACATGCCGTGCTGACGTAGAGGTGGTACCGATCCTTCTCGACCGGAAACTGAACTGCACCGCCCTCCTCGGACGGACGGCCGATCCAGTCGCGGAACGAGCTCGTCTGGCGCTTAAACTCGCCCGACTTGTCCTTGGGGTCGACCCAGTCTGTGATCTTGAAGCTCCGGGCTGCCTAGAAAGACGGGAAAGAGGGACTGGTGAGCTGCCGGTCGGGACACGAAACCACAGACATCACGGCGCCATGGAAGAACATCATCTCACCATTTTGGCTGGAGAGTTCCAGGCCGCTTGGCGGACGGCAGAGTAACGGAAGCTGGAGAGGGTACTGCTGTGGAAGCTTCTTTGGCTCGGTTCTCTCGCAGTGGGGCTGCAGAGGGCGATGACGATGCTGCTGATGCGGGTGTGGGCAATTGCAGGACGGACAGCGACGAGGTGCATTCGAAAGGAAACCAATCGTATCACTGAGATACTGTACAGGTGGGGTTAAAGCTGTGCATGAACAGGGAAACAGAAAGGGCAACGGTCTTTATATGGTCAAGTATCCAAGCTAAGATCTCGCATAGCACGTAGGCCCAGATCTCTGTTCTGTCTCTTCGAAGTGTCCATTCTTTGAGCTTTTCCAGTCATCGATTACTACATAGTGACAAATGTTGGTAAAGAGCTACTGTATTACTATCCTTTCTAGCTCTCGTCGCTTCCCCACCTCTCGCTATGTCGTCCTTACAAGAGCTTGACAAATGGTGACGTAAGTGGGGACGCCCGTTCCAGCCCCGATACCGACCCCGCCGAGTTCCGTACAGCATCACATGACCAGACTGCGTCCGTAACCCGTGGCGTTTCTATGCTAGAGGTCTTTGCAGCGGCCGGCTAACAGAGCACCTCAATGTTGCTACAAACTTGACCACACTCCAATCGGTCGGGAATTATCAAGAACTATCAATAGAGTCTTAATGAGCGGAGTAGAGCCTAGAAAAGTCTATGGCGGGACGGGCTGAAGCCACCCATCGCCTTCCCCCCGTATCTGTACTCTTCGCAGCTTTGAATTCTCCCAACAAAGTTCGTACCAATACCAATGAAAATGCAATGCCGAATTTGTAAGTTGCCTTGTCATGTTCAGTTTACCGGACCTTGACCTTGATGTAAGGTACTTCCACGTCCTCTTCGTTGATGTCTTCGGCCACCACCTCGAAAATAACCTCCTTCTGGTGCTCCGGGATCGGCTTCTTCGAGATCGTCTCTACCAGCTTACTCAGCTTCATACCGTACCGGTCCTTGAGCTTGGCCGGTGGAAAAAATGACGCGTACAGCAGGCTGACTCCCGAGCTCAGCATTGAGATGGTCAGGCCACGCTTCTCGAAGTCGTCGAGCAGCTCCTGCAAAGTTACATCCGGAAGCTCGAACCGATCCCAGATCTTGTCCAGCTTGACCTTGCCATCCGGGCCCTGGTACTCCATCTTAGGGCTGTTGATTGGCTCGCTAAAGGTGAAAAGCGGCAGAGCCAGGTTGATGAATCCGTTCTTGTACTGCTCAATGTCCGTCTTTCCATCCACGACCTTGTACAGCTCCAAGATCACCAGTCCCGTAACAAGTGCCGTCGTCGTCGCAATGGCCGGAATGATCTTACCCGCAATGAATTTGGTCTTGTGCCGGTCTGCTGTCTCAATCTTGTAGTTCTCCGCTCTCAGATTGCTGGCAGCCGTGATAAAGTCAATGTGAAAGTTCGTGTCGTCGTCCTTCTCAAACTCGACAGGCGCCAGCTTGAAGCCGGCCAGTGAGCTCGGCGCCGGGAGTGACTCAACAAGCCTCTTTAGGTAGGTCTCATCGTCAAATGCGCCTGCGTTCGGATCCTGTAGGATTGTCAGCTCTTGTTCTGATTGTGTCTCTGTGTCGGTTGCCACGTACCGGGTCCTTGTCGTCAGCCTGAATCTTAACACTTGGGTCGGGCGAAAAATTGGGAACGATAACGTTGTCCAGCGCAGAAAGGTAGTCGGTCTTGCTCTTGCCCTGCACATTTATGTTGTAGTTGAAAGCATGTAGGTTTGCGGCGGCAACAATAAAGGTGTAGTGCGTCGGGTTGGAAGGGTCAAACCTGATCGGATCGGGAGCTCGCTTCGGGCCGGACCAGAACGGTGTGCCAGTCGACGAGACGGAGTCCTTGGGAAAGGTGTACAGCAGCTGTTGAATGGCATTGTTGTATTGCTTTTCAAAGAGCATACGCGCCCAGCTGACGCAGTCCTCAAAAGTGAGTGCCCGATCGGTCTTGAGATAGTCGCGCAGCGTCTCCAGCGTGCCCACTTCGTTGCCCGACTGCTTGAGAGTTGTCTCAATGTAATTGGGCTGCGTCAAATACAGGTTGACTGTCTCGGCCGTCTTGACGAAGTTGGTATCGAACATCTCGCGCGCCCAGGCGATAGTGTGCTCGATCTTGTTCGGGAAACTGCGCAACGTGCACATGGGGAACGACTGCTCAGGCGGATCCTGCGACCACGAGTAGGATTCGGTTATGTTCGGCAGCACCACTTGTGTGTTGCCCTTGGTCCCCAGAGTGCCGCTCTCGAGAAGTGGCTTGCGGAACAGCACGCACCGCCGGTCAACGTAGGTACGTGCCTCAACATTGTCCAGGGCGTTGGTTACACCATCTAGGCCCTCCCAGAAGCTTTCGCCAAAAATTTCCTCTGTCTCGGGGCTCACACGCTCACGAAGACACTCGATGTGACCCACCAGGTCTGGGTTCATCAACTGCACTGCCTTGGCTGCCGTGTCGCTCTTCATCTGGCCCACGTCCTTTGGCCTAAACAAGAACTGTCGATTGAGGTTGCTCTTCTCGATAGAGTCCATGTCCGTGACAATGATCTTTCCCTTCGGACCAGAACCAAGGCCGATCATAGCCCAGTTCTTCAGCATCTCACAACCGATGGCACCAGCACCGACAAGGAACTGCTTGATGTTGGACAGCTTCTCCTGAAACGGACGACCGAATACGGCAATCTGACCGTCGTAGCGTGAACCCAGCGGCTTGCACAGCTCCTCGGATCGCTCAAAGTTGCTGGGCAGAGACTCAAGAGAGTCAAAGTACAGCCATTGCTTAATCGGGTGGAACTTGCCCGAAACAGCCTTTAGCACCTCTTGCGCGATAATGCCGCCGAAAAAGGCAGCGATGGGGTTGAGATCCCCCATCGCCTGGTAGCTAAGCTCAGTCAAGAGCTTCTCGTCAATCTCGACATCAATTCCCTCCTGCTGGGCGAAGCTGCGTGCCGAGCTGACCACAACGGTGGCATCCTCGGCATTGCAAGGTCGCGGCAGGCGGTTGTGGGTCTGAACAAAAGCGTGGAGTGCCTGAAAGCCGATGTGCAGCTGCTGCGGACGATCAAACTTGGCAAAGTCGGTCATAATAAACTCCGGGGTTTTGATAGCGGCCGAGATGCTCTGGAAGTCGATGTGCTTGGGCATCTTGACCTGCTGGTAAAGGCCTCCGCTCTTGTACTTGCCCAATGTGCTAACATCACCAATGGAGAATGTGTATGGGCCTTTGACCGTGATCTTCCTTGGCTCGCCGCCGTTGAGCGCTTCCAAACCCTCGACTTCGGAAAATGTCACGTAATCACCATCCTCTAAGCCATGGCGCGTTTCGTCGAGGGCTGACACAAGGCCATCATCGTCGATGTCTGCCACAATGCCATTGAGAGGGTTCTCGCCGGTAGAGTCGACGACAGTGAACTTGGAGCCGAAGTCGCAAAAAAGGGTACCAAACAGGCCAAAGGTGTCCGCGACAATAACATAGATGCCCTTCTCGTGGCAGTAATCGCCCACGGCAATCTGGATATTGAGAGGGGTGTTGGTCAGGACAACGACTTGGAACTTGTCAAATTGTGACAGGTTCTCGGCGAGGCTGTCGTCGAGGAGAAGTCAGTCTCTTTGTCTCATAAATCCACGCCAGCATTCAACACACAGCAATATCCAGCCGTATTACGCACCTCGCAGAGTCGTGGATGGTAACGGGAGTGTAGGCGTTGAGCTCAGCGACGCGGGGAGCGGTAACCTTGTCGCGAGGATTGCCGACGTCTTCAGGCCGGAGGAAGAATTGGGAGGAAAGGTCCGCAATCGCGACAGGGGCAGGGTCATAGAGCGTGAGACTCTTGACTCCAGCAAGAGCGATGTTTTTGGCGATCTCAACACCGAGTCCCTTGAGTCCGACGATAAGAACGTTAGATGCGCTCATCCGTTTCATGGCGTCATGGCCGAGTACGTAGAGTTGGCGGCTGTAGAGCGACTCGTCGATGCCGTCGTTGCCGACGACGACAGACTCATCGACCTGCATCCGGGTGACCAGGTCGACTTCGGGTAGCTTTGTGTCCTGGATAAAGCGAGCGTCAGTTTGCCTCGGCCCAAAACTACTAGGTCATCATCAACCGGGGAGAGAAGTCAGGGCTGGAAGCTTACCCCCATTTTGGGTTTTGTAGAGATTGGCAAGCTGCCGGACGACAGCTTTCGCTTCCCCAGCTTGAAGATGGATGAAGATGCAGGAGGGCAACTGTCTAGAGAGAGGCGTTGTTGCTGGATAGCAGCTGCTCGAGAATGATTGCGAATGAGAAAGGAAGAGCTCAACCCCACCAGCAGACGACAGTGTTTTGGGTTGCGGGGTCGGCTAGAGGTACAACGTGAAGCTGAGGACGAAGGGGAAATAACAGCTGTGGATGGTTTCTCAAGCTCAAGAGAAGAGTACGGATAACGTAGCAGCACGGGTCTTGTGAATTATGGAGATCAATCGGATTTGTAAGAAGAAGATCCCGTTCTTGTTCCTTCTTCCTGAGCAAAGCGATCATAGCAGGCAAGCTCAAACAGGCAGCAATGGCCAGCACCCATAGCCAAGACCCCCGCAAAAAAGCCGCCACCGTGGCCCCTCCACTGCTGTTTCCCTCTATTTCTGTCTGCCACAGTAATCAGCTCTGCCAGGGCAGGAGACGGATTACGAATGGTCTGCGGCCTGCCCCACCATCACACATGGAAAAGCCTGCAATATCGCGTAAAAGAAACGCTTTGCGTTTGATAGAGTGCGGCAGAAAACAGCCCTACGTGTGACCGACCAACTGAATGGATGGCAAGGCCTTTCCTTCTGAAGATATACTCAGCCTTCGTTGGAGGCCCCCGAGCACGTGAAATTGGCTTTTGAGCTTCAATTCGATTGACCCACCTTTGCGATAGGTTGGCGCATCCAATATTATAGACATTATATCTTACGTCGGCAAGTTTCACCAGAAAAGGGAGGAAAGCGGGCCGAGGTTGAGCAGACGATGTATCACCCGTCTTCTTCTGTATGTACTGCGTAAGCTTCAAGGAAAAGTAAGGCGTTTGCAAGGTCCACTTTGTTTGCAACGCTCTTCACGACCGGAACAGCTTTTGCCGTCCGGAAGATGCAAAACGGCGCTTTTGCTCCTGACTACGCACAGTATAATGTTGCACAGAACACTCTAAGGGGTAGGCAATCAGGTCTATTCGTCTGCTACCGTTCCAGCTATTCGTGCCAGGCTTGTCTGTTACCAAAGGCCAGACAAGCAACACCACATAATCCTCACACCCATTGCCCCCGTCAACGACACTGCCAGTTTCATGCATGTGCCTGTTCTGCTGGGGTGGCGTGTTCGTGATATGCTCCAGTTTCCCACTTGCCTATGCGCCCGGTCCCGAATAGGAGAGGTGAAATTGCGCCTACTGGATCTTCTTCAGGTGGACATCGCTGCAATGCAGGGTTAGCAGCAGGTCGCAGTCAGACAGAACGCGCCGGATACATACAAGATAAGGTCCGCGTTGGGCGGGATGTGACCCGTGAAGCCCCTAAGTACACAAATTTTGTTAGTGGCCCGTCCTACCATTCCTTTCCTTCTGGGGTTGGCTAAATAAAAATGGTGTTGTGCCAATCTTACCGTGTGCCATAGCCAAAGTCGCTGCGAGGAAAGAGTCAGTTTCTGTGCGTCTGCGGGAATTTTCAGAATGGAGTGTCAGAAGGGCAAAATGGGTTACCTCGAGATGTCCAGGGTGGCCTTCTCGCCGACCTTCATCTGCATAACGCCCTCATCCCAGCCTGCAATGTCAGCATGGTCAGTCTGCAATTGCAACTCTGCATTGTACAATCAAAGCGCCTGTCCTCTTACCCTTGATGACCTGGCCGACACCAATGGAGGTGACAAAGTCGCCACGGCCGACAGAGCTGTCGAACTGCTTGCCCTTGTTCCCAGGCTTGGAGGTGTCCTTCAGAAAGCCGGTGTACTCAATAGTGACGCGCTGGCCCACGCCTGGGCTGGGGCCACTGCCCTCCTGGTGCGTAGTCTTGGTGACACCCATTTTGCTGATAAAACGTTTGTGAGTACTGAAGAGGCCCAAAGAGGACACAATTAGGAGAGGTCGTCCACCGCATGCACCAGCTTTAGGAGAGAAGCTCAGCCCAACTTACAAGATAGATCTGGAGTAGGCTGGTAGTCGAAAGGTGCTTGGCTGGTCGAGAGAAGATGGGGAAGGAAACTTATAGCACGGGCAGAGGGGCAGAGGGGGAGCTACCAAGTATATATATAAGTCCGAGGTGTGTGTGGGTGTGCTCACGCTTGTAGGTCCCGGTCTGAAATCAAGAAGCAGGCTAGAGGCACGGGTTTTGTTCTACGGAGTAATAGACAAGGATGAATAAAAAATAGGCGGCGGAAGCCACAGAAGCAAGTCGTAACCGAGGGAGAAGTAAGGAACAGGATGGAGACCAGAGTGGGTCCTTTAGTTTTGCGGGCTGCAACGGACTGACACCTGCTCGCAATAAAAAAGAGCGGTAGGGAGTGATAGCAAGGTCGGGTTGCTACATGTGCGAAAAGGCAATACCGAAGACGGATAAGCGAGCATGTTGCAGGTAGCACCTTCTGTCAGCCTTTGCCAGTTTGCTTTTTTTTGCATGTCGAGGCCGAGTCCCGCCCGACGAAGAGCTCCTTCCCAATTGCGAGCGGGGCTGTGGAGCTAATGATGTGATGGAGGGAAGAGGGGTGTGGGGTTTAACAGCTGAAGAAAAACGTGACAGCTACGGAGTACTACATAGGCAGCTAAGAGCAAGATACAATGCATCTCAGCAGCAGTCAAGCGAGGGAGAAGAAGGCCGTAAAAGAGCAGATGTCTCATCTGGCTCCCTCTCCACCTGGCCCCGGCTCTTCCGTCGCCTGCCAAGCAATGCAGGCTCAGACAAGCAACGAGCCAGATCCACCTGCACCGGGGCGCGGGATAATGGTATCCACGGTCAGGATGATTTCTTTGGGGGCAGAGCACGGAGACAGGTGAAATAGCTTGCTTCGTATGGCCGTTGTCTCCGAACGTGCTACATACGTGGGCTGCCGTGACCCACCACTGCACCAAAGCTGTCTGCGGGACCTCGATCGCCTTGCTAGACCGGGCATCAGTCTCAGGGCTTAAATCAAATGACGGTATCAGTCACTTGTGGCATCTTACAGTTTGGGCGTTAGGGGTGACGTGTGTGGAGGCCACTCGCTCCTTTCACTCCGTTCCCTGTATTCCCTTGTGCTCAGCCTGTCCTGCGGCTGTGTCCACCAGGCGCGGGCACACTGGCGAATGCAGATCTGCGAGATGTGTAATATGAACCAGACCTGGGAGAGTCCACTGTCTGGCATTGGTTGCCATCCCGCAGTACATATACCTACCGCTGGCATGTCTGCCCCCCCAAGCTATCGGCCGTGTGTGGTATGGCTCTACCGAGCTTCGAATGCCTCGTCCGCTGTGGTAGCTGCATGGTGCATGACGAAGAGGGGGGAATGTCCGGCGATTCCTGGTCAGCCGCAGCTTGCCACGTCTCCTATTCATTGTCTTTGCGCCTGGGGCTGGAAAGGGGAGCCGAGCAGAGAGACATACATGGAGACTAAAGTGTAAGCACGAAGCAGCTCGAAGCGAAGATGCAAGATGATGTGGGCTGTTTTGCAGATAGGATGGCTCAAGAGGGTAAACGAAAACAGCCAGTCAGAGGCAACCACAAGCTGGGGCAGAAAGAAGACCCAGAGTAACCTCTCCGTATGTAGTTGCACTCGGCCGATTTCTCCCAGTCTGTGCAATGTCTAGGACCCTGGTCCCTGAATCTTCTTTGCGGCTTGTCACATCTCAGCGGATCTCTCCCCGCAACAGCTATACGTACGGAAGGCCCATAACTCCGACCGTCTTTCAGCTGTGAAGAGGCAATGCGCAGTTGCCTTTGAGAGAGAGTTGTGGGGCTTATGATCAAGATCGGAATACCTGCTCGTCGCCTACACGATCGCCTTGAGTGGCAGGACATCCTCGCTGATGATCTCTTGTCGGAGACCCTGTCAAGTCGGTAGGCAACGTCAGCGGTCCAATAGATCCGTACTTGACTGTGAAGCTTGGCGTCATGTCTCGACGCTGGTTCTTGTACACTTTCAGGCCCAACAGTCCTGTGCAGTGATACTGCGCCCAAGGTGCATTGTGCTGCGTCGTTCTTGCCAGGGGCTGAAGAGCATTCCAAATAGTGAGTGGGGCATATCATGCTCGAGAGAGAAAGAAGAGCGTCGGAGGTCACGCTTCGACGTCAGAGCGACAGCCTGCATACGGCCCACCATACTAAAAAAAGTGTGCATATTTTTTTTACGCCGAGCCCAGCAAAGACTTCAGCGCAGACTGCAGCAGGCTCTTTGGGGGTCGGGAAGGGAAGGTTGTCGAGCCAGGAGCGGCATGGCCAACGTTTCTTTTTCGTTGGCCGACAGAGACGGGGACAAAAGAAAGCTTAACGAGACAGTGCTAGGCCGAAGAGGAGAGAGGGTGAAAAATGCCTCGCAATGCAGCTTGACCAACGAGGCATGATCACATACGGAATATGATCGCTGCATTTCCGGTCCCAGTATCTGCAAGTTGCAATCAGGCATGCCGAGTTACGCCCAAGGGAAAGAAGACCATGCCAGACCTTTGTGCTGTGGCCTCGACTGTTTGGGATGCCTCGCCCGATCCCTTACTTGCAAGCGGCAGATACTCGATTATTCACCAGCGCCGAGACGTGTGAGGAACCCGACAAGAAAGACAGCGGCACGAAATCAGCTTCGGTCCTGGTTGCTCACTCACGCTGTCTTTTTCGTGAAAAAAATGAATCCCAGCAGGCTGGTCTTGCTGGCTTGCTATGAGAGGATCCTCAATAGGCCTCGGCCGAAAGGAATGTGTTGAACACAAGACGTGTCACCATTGACAAAGCCAGCAGTCGGTGAGGTCGGTCAGGTGTCTTTCTCGCAAACGAAATTCTACAGCCGACTTTGAGGCACCACAATGCCAGCGGTCTGCAACCTGCATGCAGATGTTGCCGCACTCTCGTCCAGTGGAACGGCGGGCTCCTCGAATAGGCAAAAAGAAAAACCCCCATAACAGGCACAGCCGCCCTTGGGGCTGTTTAATACTTTGGTCAAGCATGCTGCTCTGCAGATAGGATGGGTGGTGTTTGCGAAGGTTTGTCTGCCTTTTCAAACACAACTACTTTCACGGGTACTCCGCTTGGGTGCATTGGTTAAATAGATGAGGCCGGCTGGCTTTTCTGTTGCTACGCGCACATTTCTCTTCTTGCCAGCAATGCTAAGACGACTGCCAGGGATACAAGATCACGGCGCACAGAGACGACAATAGGTCATACATGAAGCACTGTTGATAGACCAGGGTTCGAAAAAGCAAGTACCTAAAAGCTGACAAATTGGTTCCTATTGTATGAAGGGAGCTGTTTTTTCATACATATGTAGTTCAGATTCGGGCCAGATCCAGAGCCGCGAGTTGGAATGAGACTTAAAAGTTCCACCAGAGGGTAAGGTTGATGCCACATGACAGGCCAGAACCAGCCATAACTTTCTCGGAAGATTCAGACACAGATGGGCGAGGTGTGTCGGCCATCCAATTTAGACTAGACAAGGGCTTCCAGTTGCCATTACGACCATGCTCGTTAGGTCCCTTAGCTTGCGTGATGTTATGAAAGCTTCTAGTGTATATCAACGACACGAAAACAGTCAGCTTTGCTCTACAAGGCAAGCTGGAAAAATTGCCTGACGAAGCATCGTTAGATATCTAACGACTAAGATGTATCACGAGATACCTGCTGCCCGGTACACGCTGATGCTTTCTTATGTCGTCAATAATAAGCGAGATGGATTTTGGCTGCTACCATGTCCGACAAACGAAAGCCTTCAAGATGCTGTTACGGTCTGTTATTCCGAGCACAACAAACACCCCATGAAGCTGTTGCTTCAGACCGATAGGCTAGGGCTAGGAGGTCTTTTGGTACGCTGAGCTTGATAATAGACATACTTTGACTATCTCAGGAAAGCCGAGGCCTCAGAGACAAAGATTAAATAATATAAATTGGTGCTTTTTTCGTATCAGAATAGCTGAAAATATTCATTTCTGACTATTGTTTATTGGAATCCAGAGCTTTAGTGGTATGGTCACATGGGACCCTAAGGGTTACCTGTTGGCTCACGATCACGGAAACTAATATACTCGATACAAGTCGCGAGGATATGAAGAATAGGAGAAAACAGTGTCATGAGCAGCAAAGTTGGCCAGGCTACGATAGTACATCTTACGGAATACTCAGTAATAGCAAACACAAAAACGATGCATCGGATCGAGTGTTGTTGTAAGAGAAGGGACAAGTACAAGATGGCCCATTATGACTACAAGCTAAAAATACCTTAAAGTCCAACTATCGAAGATTATGGCACTACCTACTGTATGGTGGAAGCATGCAGGCCGTCAGACCTGCTGGGTTGAGATCAGTGCTTTCTTCACTGTACGAAGGAAGCAACTAAGAAAGTGAAGGACTCCTCCACAAATCCACGACATTTACACAAGCGGCTCTGTTGCATTGACGAATAATACCATGGCACAAAAAAATGTAAATGTTCCAATGGCTTTCATCTGGGTCGAGGAGACAAACCGGACTTGTTGTTCGCATATCGGATTTCTTCTTTCGCTTCGTGATAGCCGAACAGAAGATGGTACCGCGGTACAAACCAATTTCATCAGTCACATCATTATTACGAACAGCCTTATCTACACAGATGAGAGACTACTCCTACACTGACATGCCAGTGAATCTGATTTCGTCTTTTCGGGGACTAAATGGGGAGTGGAGCTGAAACAAGCTGTGAAAATGATGCAAGGCCTAGACAAGAGGAAGAGGCCCCGCTTGAAGTACCCGAAGAGCTTCATCCGTCATTGCTTGCCCAGAAAACCTAGTACTCACGAAGTACGTGGCAGGCGAAAACTCTAATCGGCAACTGGAATGTGCTCGGGAAGTTAAAGGACTGGCAGATGGGCCATGAAAACAAGCAAAATCAAACAAAAATGGGCTTGTTAGGGGAAGGAAGAAAAAGAAACGTTGGTACGCCATAGATAGGCATAGTGTCTTACTCCGTAGGATGCTTTGTATTTTACATACATAATATTGACTCCGTAACCACCTTGAAATACGAAGTACAGAGCAATGCTCGTCCCATACATTTGCAAGCCAGTCGAAGAAGCTGAGAGATGGAAGATGTGCCACTTGAAGGCTGGCCCCTTCACTTCCATATTTCCCGGCATGCAACCAAAATGTCAGTAAAATGCCTTGTAACTACCCCATTGAATATGAAGATGAAGGGGCTGTTGAATTGTCGGGTTTTTACTCTTATAGTTCAATTTGCGTGTAAGTTGAATACCCCTCAACAAAAAGCTATTGCAAAGAAAGAAGGATTGCAGTACCACGTGCTCGCCAGCTGGACGTTATTTTTCACACAGCCCTTCTAACTAATCCATCTGTACGGCGTGCTTCTGCGCAAGGTCCGTGTTTCAAGCTATGCACCCTTTTTTTTTTTGTTCTTCAATACCTACGGAGTACTCCGTATTCCGTACAGATACGAAGTATTTTAGTTCGGTACAAGTCGACTCGACCGTATAAGTACGGGGAAAACACCGTGTTACCCTACGGCCGGACGACCTCGTGCTTACTCCGTACGAGTTAGCGAGACGGTCACACGCCACTTTCTGTTGGCGGGAGGAGATTGCACCTAACGGCTACCTAGTCAGGGGCACGGTAGATAATAAGGACTGGCGCGCCAAGTGCTATAATAAAAATGGCACGAGGCGAGCACACAGTGCTAATATAAATCATGCGCGTTTTTCGAACTAATCCTTGCCACCTTCCTCTGTACGAATCCGTAGATAGTGTGGCTATGCATCCCGCGGACCCGGAGAGAAGACCATCCGGTTGTCGTTCCTTCATCGAATCTTTACTTGTGAAATTATTATGAGAGCACGGAGTAACAACAGCTGAATGCATCCTTCCACACTCACCGCCGAGGCGTATCTTACGACGTATGCTACGGGAACATAGAGTCGCAATCTCGGGTTTATCCAGTGTGAACAGATGCGAAAGGTCCGGAGGGCTGCAATATCGGAACCCCATTCGTAGGGGTATTTACTATGTATGTACTCGTAATATATCTTGCTCGTACGGAGTACGGAGTACAATAATGTTTTTTTTCGCCCTCGGGGATGTGAAAAGCAGCAGCCTCCCGGAGCTAAAATAAGATGCAAAGCCGGGTGCCTTATTTCATTGGACAGCTCCGCATTGGCCTTTCCGGCGATGCAACATACAAGAATCTTACGAGTATGGAGGGTGGTATCGATACTACGACGTAGTGTAAGATACACGGCGACCGATTTTGGGAAAGTGTTCAGCATATCCCCCTTTCCTTGAGATAAATCTAGCGAGTGTATCGTGCATAGCAGGCCTGCCCTTTTGAAACGAGTCTTTGCCCTTTTTGACAGCACTATTAGTATCTTATATTACGATTCCCTACTTTGTATGCCGATGGAGTTAGGCTCAGGAAAAGGGCATTTGTGTACTTGTATTCTGTACGAAGTAAAGTACATCGTAGGTATCTTACCTATACAAACTAGGGTATAGAAACTCTGACAGGCACAGTTGATGTGCAGCCAATCATGGCATTTTTCTCAGTGAGGTACGACGTACCTGGATTAGCCCCGCCGCTCTATTGTGAGTGGGCAAAATCTGGACGCCTGCCCCTGTAATGTATGGGAACCCACTGTTATACAGCCTAAGGAGTGCCTCATTTGTTCCGTAAGAGACATCATGTACAGAGTGCTGTCAGCGCAGACGAAAGCACCCCGAGGTAGCCTCCTGAGTCCCACCAAGTCCCCTCTTGTGCTCGGTACGACAGATGTATGAGTACTCGCACAAGTATTGTAAGAGTATAGGGTGACAATGCCTGTACAGGTACATGTACTTCACAGATGCCCTTGGACTAAATTCTCTTGGCGGCTAATTTCATATCCCACCGGCGTTCGTATGCTGACAGTGCAAAGTAGAGGGTGACGTGGTCTGTGTACGGAGTAATATGGCTAATATGAGATACGAGAGGAGTACATGCTGGGTCCGCCAAAGTGTATCGGTGTATCTTACTATGTATGGCGTGCCTGCCAAACCATATCCGTACGGGCACTGTACTTTTCTGGCAATGATCTGGGGGCCTCCCAAATCGCGCTAACAGGACCGCTACAGACGTCTCCCGCTCCCTAAAGATACTACGCGCAACGGCTTATGAGAAACACGGGGGGAAACACGAAGTTGAGGAATGAAGGGAGGTTTCTGGACCCCTTCGGACGCGTCAATTCGTCATGGAACACGCCCCTTCCCGAGCGCAGGCTAAGGTGCGCATGGAACACAAGGCGAAATACGAAAAACGAAAAACGAAAAGCGAAAAAAAAAAAAAAAAAAGTCGAGGCGCAGAAGAGGGACAGGGACACGCAAGCATCCCTCGCGGGTGCAAGTATTCGCGGTGTGCGTTCCTGCCCCTCGTATCCGAACTCTGTACAATGTATCTACCCCGTAAACTGCTCGTCTCGTGCACTGATGAATGTGGCCTGTGTGCTCTTTCCTTTCGCAAAACAACGCTTGGCTCTTGGCTTTCTGATCGCAGCCCGCTCTCACTGCCACACATTGTCCCCTTAGTTCGGGCTCTTCCCTTCGTGCTAATCCCTATTCGTGCCTGTTTCCTACCACGCGTGGGTCTGATTTTCACTGGCTTGTGTCTTTCTCTACCCCCTGCACTATTATCCCTGCTTGGTCTCCTCGGCCAGCAGCCAGCCAGCGCTCTTCGTCTGTTCACGTCCTTCTTTTTGTCCTGCCTTCCCTCCTCTTTCCCCTTCCCCTTGCCTCTCTTTTGCCGTCCACCTCCAACCCGACCTCGACAATCTTCTTTCTTCGACGACGTCGTCCCTTGCCAACGACCGTTACGACCGACTCGGAGCCTATAGTGTCATTTTCTCGCTGTCTCCTCGCGTCCCACACTCTTTCTGCTCTTCCTTTGGGATACATGACCTCCGGAGGTCTACCACCGAAGCGATTGCCTGTCTCTCTTTCAGAACCAAAGACATCCATACAGTCGCAGACGCGGACTCGGATAGCGATCCCACCTATCGTCAAAATATAATTGGCAGCGGAACGCGCATTTGCCAGCCACCCTCATTTTTGGAATTCTGTTTTTGATCCTCTTGCTTCTCTCGCACCGTCACTCTTTTATCTATATTTTGAACCCAGTATCAGATGGGGCCCTGCTGTTACATACGCCTCTATCAAAAAAACCACTAGAAACTTGTGAGTTCAATGCCTGCTAGCCGACGTTCCCATTCCGGTGTGCGGAAAAATTGTCGAGGGGTCGCAAAGAGGACACGCGAGATGAGCAACACGCCAGGAGAGAGGGCCAGTGCGAAAGACTGGGGCTGCTTAGGATGCGATGCCTTTATGCCCTCGTCCATATGACTTGGACTGGTCCAAATCCGGACATCTCTGACAGTTCTTTCGCAACCTACGGGCAGATTTTCTTTCAGGCGGTTCACTGTTGGTTCGACCTGATCGCTAACTCACTGCCAAGATCACACTTGTTGACAATACAATTTGTCAAGTCCACTCGTTCTACAATTGTTCTGGAAACCGTGAGTGGCCTTCCTTACGGTCTTCTGCCTACAAGCTTGCAGCATCGTCGACTCTGACATTCGCGTGCAAACGGTATCGACCCCTCCCACGCAATACGAGCTGACATGGTTGGATCGACTGTAGAGACAATCCTCACTCATTTACATACTCTCGCTTAACTTGCGAACATCCATTCGCTTTCACGTCTTGAATGATATCAGTTTAAACATCTGCTCTGATTCACGAAGGACGAAAAACACAAACGCGATTGAACTAGGAACAATAACCCGAATACTATATAAGCACTAATCATGCGCACCGGCTCGTTCTGGATCGCCGCCTTGGCGGCCGCTTCATCGGTCGGCGCCGTTGATGAAAATGGCCGGCCACGGATATATTTCCCCAGACATGTCAAACGATCCTACGTCAATGCAACAAGCACACAGCCGAGCCCTCACCCGGCACCGCCAACGACTCTCGGTCCTCAGAGCACGACCCTTTTTCCGGCGTCGACCGATTCCGACAGCGTGCTCACCACGTCCTTCACAGACAGCTCAAGCAGGGCGGATAGCTCGAGCAGCGCAGACAGCTCGAATGATCCGGATAGTTTTAGCAGCTCGAGTTCTCCGGGGACTACCAAGCGGCAGACAACGTCGGACATTTTCTCCCTGGGACAGAGCTCTATATCGCTCGAAGCCAGCACTGACAGCGTGAGCTCGCACTCCTTAACCGGCTCTCGTATTCCGGGCTCCTTCGTACGGTCGACCGAGATCACGAAGTCTGGCAGCAGCGGCATCATTGTTGTTGTGGAAACCAGCACCGTTGTCGTGCCACCTACCACGTCCACCACATCTACCAGCACCGGCCCAAGGAGCTCGTCTACCGCAACGACGACGGCGTCTACCAGTGGTACCTCGTCCAGCGCAGACGGCACTTTGGCAGCGACCAAGGCTACGACTGGTACAACTGATTCGGCGTCAGATGCGTCCACGGCGACGGGATCGACAAGGGCGACCACATCCAAGACTACCTCTGCTTCGACTGATTCGGCGTCGGATGCGTCCACAGCGGCGGCGTCGACAAAGACGACCACGGCTAAGACTGCTACGACGGGCTCGACATCAGGTACGACTACAGCCAAGACTGGCCCGACTGTCTCGGCATCGGACGCGTCGACGGCGTCAACGGTTAAGACTTCCGCAACGGATTCGGCATCAGATGCTTCATCGGCGGCGACGTCGGCGCAAACGTCGAAGAAGACGACTGCAGCCAAGACATTGACCACAGCCTTGACGACGGGTGCGGCTACATCAGCGAATGTGTCTTCGGTAGAGCCAACATCAGGAGCTGCATCGTCGGCAGAGCCTACGTCGGCAGAAGCCACATCGGGAGCTGCATCATCGGCAGAGCCCACATCGGCAGAGTCCACATCAGCAGAACCCACATCAGCAGCTGCATCGTCGGTAGAGCCTACGTCGGCAGAAGCCACATCGGCGGAGACAACATCGAAGAAATCGACGAAATCGACAAAATCGACAAAATCGACCGCCACCAAGACGAAGGGGACAGAATCAGGGGCCTCTACCGAGGTGTCCTCGTCCCCAGAATCGGCAGCATCGTCTGCGGCACCGTCGTCTGCTCCGGAGGCTGTGTCTTCGACAGCACCATCCGTGGCTACTACCAGTGGAAGAAAGACATATAGCGGCACTGTGTCGGCGACAGCGACTACTGACGCTGCATCGACAACTGCCTTTACAATTGGATCTGCAATCCTTTCAGGAACGGCCCCAAGAACCTCCGTGGGCACTGCAGTGTCGTCGGCAGGGCTTGGGTCAGCTTCCATTGCTCCCAGCAGCGTGCTTAGCTCCTCGGGTATTGTTGTCTACCCCGGCACTGCTGGCACGAAGACGACCTCCGCGGCGTCTTCCTCCGCAACCGACCCCCTGGCCGGGCTTACGTCTCTTCTGGGCATCAGCGCCACTGTCAACGGGACGATTGCTGACCCTCTGACGACGGCGGCGCCTTCAAGCGCTGCGGCAAGTGCGATTGTGTCTGGCTCTGGTTATTCGTCCTACCTTCCGACGACGGCGGCAACCGAGTCTGCAAATGCCACTGGCGCAGCAAGCACTGTTGCTGCGACCACTGATGCAGCCAGCAGCAGCATCCCGTTGTCCGGGTACTCTGGCGCCGGCACTGGCACTGGTGCTTCCGCTCTTCCACCGACGGCGATTGTGTCGGCCGTTTCGTCTTCTGTGCTTGCTTCCGTGTTGCCGACCGGCTCTCTGTCGCAGTCGGCAACCGGAACCGGTATTCCGTTGAGCACGAACACTACGGCGAGCTCGGTCATCCCGGCGTCTACGGGCACTGCGGTTTCGGTCGGGACGTCGTCTAGACTTACTGCATCGCAGACTGCGAACGGCACCGAATCCGTTGCGCCCACGACGTCTTCCGCCTCTCTGACTGCCTCCCCGGCGCCCATCACGGTGCTGCCGACGGTGTCGACCAACAGCACATCGGTAGCAGGCAATACGACGATCCCTATCGTCGTGCCTATCTCCACGTCTGCACCTGTGTCCGCATCTGCATTTGCATCCGGGTCAGCATCAGCATCAGCATCAGCATCAGGATTTGTATCTGTATCGGCTTCCGCGTCTGGGTCTGGGACTGCGCCTGCGTTTGTGACTTCGTCTGCGCCTGTGACTCTGTCCACACCTCCGGCGGTTGGATCGACAACGGTGATGGCAAGCGTGGGGTCCAGCGTTACGCCGGCTGCCCAGCCTCCCTCCAGCTCCCAGGCGGCAGCCGAGACGTGGCTGCCGACGACAATCATTGTGCAGCCGTCACCGACGTTCCAGAGCTCGATGAGCGCGACGACTACGGCAACGGGCATCCCGACTGGGCTTCCCAAAGCCATCACGCCAAACACAGACAGCGGCTCGAAGCCGGTGGACACGACAGAGATCCAAATTGCGTTCACGTACGGCCTGAACTATGCGTTCGTGGCCGTGACGCCCAAGGCCGCAGCTCAGGTTCTCTCGGTCCTGCCGGGGATCCTGTCGTACCAGGCCGGCTTCGACCAGAACATGACGGTTGTGCAGCGCCTGGTTCCGTACGACACGACGGAACAGCTGGGCTACGTGACGATGCTTGCCATCTGCACGTACCCGACGAGCCTGGTGAACCAGCTGCGCCTGGACATGCACATTCCCACGGCGCCGATCTGGCAGAACCCTGACGGACTGGCGTACAACATGTCGCAGGAGATCAACACGGCCATCGACATCCTGATGGGCTCGACGCTGGACTACACACCGAGCGACACGACGGGCAGCTCGACGGCGTCGTCGACGTCCAACTCGAACGACGCATTCGGCAATGCTAACGGCAACAGCCAGTCGTCATCGCAGCGGGGCACAACGGCCGGCATTGCTGTGGGCGCGGTGTTTGTGTCGGCTGCGTACGGAACGGCCATGTTTGTGATTGCACGGCGGTACAAGCGCAAGAGGCAGTCGCTGCACCAGCGCAGCAGCTCTGTGGGAACGCCCTCGGATATGCGACAGACGGGCAGCCCTGCCCTGATGGGCGGCGCGCTTCTGAGCCGGGACTTCACGTCGACATATGGCGGCGTGGCAGGCGCAGCAGCAGGCACAGCAGCAGGCGGCCGTAACAGCCACGGAAGTGGACGAAGCAACATGAACAACTCTGCACGCACGGCTTACATCTCGGCGCCGGTGGCGGCGGAGAACTCGCTCGGCTGGAACTAGAGCCACGTCTGAGCCGGGCTTCTTTCTTTACCAATGTCTTCTGTTCCCGTTTCTTCTCTGTCACCAAATGTCACCATGCTCGTTTTTTTTATATATATGCTTCGATACCCTTCGGGAGGTCCATATTTTGGCCGGCTGTACTTTGATCTTTCTTTTGCATATTCTAAGCCGGCCCTGTGGCTGGTGGAAGATGCCCGTTTCACGACATGCACGGGATCGGCCGGCTTTATAGAGCAGCTGCCCAACCAACCGTTTCTTTTTGTCTTGCTTTTGCCATTCTTGTGCCAGGCTGCCCTGGCGTGCGCCATGCCTGGCTACTTTTTTATTTCTCTTCTTCTCTTCCTCTTTAGTACATAGACTTTTTGGCCCTTCGTTTTTCCTGGAGAACGGTGCGGATGCCGGATGGCATCTCACCTGTCATACTCTATTTGGACATTCTCTTGAAGGGGTGGGAAGAAATGTCTGTTTTATTTTTCTTACATCCGGTGCAGCCATAATATGCTTCTTTTTCGATTTTGGAAGTGAAAAGGACAGCCAGAATCCTCGTCTGGGGGACTGCGGAGAATGAGTAAAGGGTGGTGTTAGATGGGATGGGAAGGAACGGACTTGGAGCGAGGCAGCCGGCGGAGACAGATGGTCTTACCATGTTGTATTTTGTATCCCTAGCTTTTTCTAGTATTGGAGCGACCAAGACATTTCAACGGCCTGGTGTAAATTACTCGGTGATCCCCAGGCTTTCGGGCCCACTATAATGGTCGGCATGGCGTTCCTGCCATTTTGGATTAGCAGCCAATTTCCGTCTTCTTTCAGGGGACAATTGCTTGTATTACGTAGGAGAGACATACTGTCATCCAATGCGAGTGTCATTGTCCTTTTGTTCTGCTCATCTTTTTGTTGTTCCTATTTGTGGTGAGCTCGGGGCCAACCTGCAATAGCATGAACGCCTATTGACGCGAGAGTGAGAGAGAGACGCGACAAGCTCTGGTAGGGCGCGTATAGCTCTCTTCATTGCCTAATCGGCCTTCTTGGCGCGACTACGATACCACGACACGACACAACCGGCCATCTCTTGGCCACTCATGGGCGCCGCCTTTCTCGATGCCGGGGCCGGCAGCGGCTCGACCTGGCCAGCGAGGCCGAGAGCGGTGGGAGCGGTGGGAGCGGTGAGCTCGGACGACTTGTCGGACTCGCAGTCGTCGACACGGCTGCTGACTCCAGACGGCAGCGACGAAAAGGACGAGGCCGATGTCGATGAAGAGGAAGAAGAAGATGGCCGGGTACATGTCGAGCTGCAGCGTCTGCACCAGACTCGGCGACGGCGCCCGTCATCGGGTCGCCACGGCCGGCTAGCCTATACGGCCGAGGAGGAACGAGCAGTTGTACGCAAGTTTGACCGTCGACTAGTCTTGTTTGTGGCCTTGCTCTACATGCTGAGCTTTCTGGACCGATCGAGTGCGTTGTTCTCACGTTTCCTTCCTCTGTCCTGTTTACTTTTTCCTCTCTCACACACGTTCAGACATTGGTAACGCTCGCATCGCCGGCATGGACGACGACCTCCAGACGACACCCCCTCGCGACAGCTGGTACGCCTGGTGTCTGACGGCCTTTTACGCGGCCTACATCGCGTTTGAGTGGATGGCCCTGCTGTGGCACGTCCTGCCGGCTCACGTCTATGTGGCCGCGCTCGTGCTTGGCTGGGGTCTCGCGGCCTCGCTCCAGGCCGTCGCCACGTCCTATCCCGGCCTTATTGTCTTGCGCCTTTTCCTTGGCATCGGCGAGGCTGGTTTTGCCGGCATTCCCCTCTACCTCGCACGCTTCTTCCGCCGCGACGAGCTGGCCCTGCGGATGGCCGTCTTCATCGCCGCCGCCCCGCTGGCTACCACCTTTGCTGCCGCCCTGGCCTGGGCCATTCTGGCGCTGGCTCGCCGCGTCGCCAGTCCGATTGCCCCGTGGCGACTGCTCTTCCTGATCGAGGGCTTTCCGTCCGTCCTGGCTGCTGTTGCCGCCTGGCGCATCCTCCCCGACGCTCCGGACCGCGCTCGCTACCTGACCCGACACGAACGACGGCTGGCACGGGCACGACTGGACGATGGCAACAGCGAGGACGACACCGGGAACAGATCGGACAAAGAGCAGCCTCCTACGACAACATGGCTCTCCTCGCTCGCCGTTCTCGCCGACCCCGTCGCCTGGATCACGGCTGCCATGTTCTTCCTCGCCAACATGGCCTACAGCTCGCTGCCGGTCTTCCTGCCGACCATCCTGGCGGCCATGGGTCACGACCCCGTCACGGCGCAGGCCATGTCGGCGCCGCCCTACCTGGCCGCCTTTGTCGTCGTGCTCGCCACCGCTCACACGTCCGACCGGATCCGTTCCCGCAGCCCGCTGCTCATCGCCCACGCCCTCGCCTCGGCTGCTGGCTATGCCGCTCTCTCGCTGCGTGGCACCCCCAACGCCTTGCGCTACGCTGCCGTCTATCCGGCCGCCGTCGGCTTCTTTAACGTCGTCGTCCTGCTCATCACCTGGAACCTCAACAACCAGCCCGGCCAGCGGCGCCAGGGCTGCGCCTTTGCCCTCTTCCAGGTCGTCGGCCAGTGCGGTCCCCTCGTCGGCACCCGCCTCTACCCCGACGCCGACCGGCCGCTCTTCCTGCGTGGCATGCGCACTATGGCCGGCGCCATGCTCGCTGTTGCTGCGCTGGCTGTCGTCCTCCGTCTGGTCCTGCGCCGGCGCAACCGCATGCTAGACGTCGTCGCGGCCACGGCAGACGACATGGCCGAGATGCAGCTGCGCAACGACAACGATGACGATGATGACGAGACCGAGAGAGGAGCTTACGACACGGAGGAGGAAGAGGAAGATCTCGTTGGCGAGACACTTCAACAACGGCGACATCAGAAGCACACTAGGATCTGCAAGTCGCGCGTCCAGGTTCCGTTTCGATATATGCTTTGATGCAGAAGAAGAACAGGCAGTAATAGTTTCAGCAGCGGAACGGCATCTGGACCGAGTCTCGTGGTATGACAGAACTATACGATATGGTTCAATACATCTGGTCTCGCAAAACTCTTTCTGCGCAAACCACAACCCGACAAAATAGCTTGCTAGCAGGACCGGACCAGCCGCCTTCCTGCGTGTCTTCCATCTTGTTCTCAACTTTTTTCCTACACCCCCAATATTCCTTCGCTTCGCCAGGCCGGGACATGCAATGGGCTGGCGACTCTCCTCGCACACCATCCTCCCAGCCCGATGTCCTTCCGTCTCTCCCCGAGCTGAAGGTTGGTCGCCCTCTTCTTCCTCAGACGTCTGGAAGGACGGCTTGTCGACGACGAGCTGATTTGCCGCAGCTGCGTAAGAGCCGCAGAGGCCGAATGGGATACCAGCTCATCGAGAACGTCCATGGGAGCAGGTGCGTCTGAATTGAAGGCCGACCGGCCAACGCTTTCTTCCACTTGTTCAAATATCTCCATGCAAAACGCTGTATTGAGACCGACCACTGAATCCATCACCGCACATGTTGTTGCTAGACTGCTTTGTCTTATCAGAACCGATGTGCCAAGACACATTTCTTTGGCCGCATTGCGTGTCGGGAAAGCCCCCGACGGGTAAATCATTTCAGCTTTTGGAGCGACTGGCTGTTCTGTTGGCTCCGGCGTCTGGCACTCGGAAGCGGGGGGGTCTGTGGTGAAAGACAGACGCGATCTAATCTTTGCTGCAAAAGGCAGTTTGAACGAAGTTCCGTGACTGGGGACTGTCGAAGTTGATGTTCCCAGCACGAAAAAGCGCGTGTCTTCTGACGAACAAGTTGAGGCTGTGCTCCGATCGCGTTGTCGACTGTGGCGACTCTGCTCCGAGGCGTTCCGTCTCGCTGGAAGGGCTCCTGTCAGATATGACCAGTCTGAGACAGTTCTTGGTCGATGCGATTGGCCGCGGTCTTGGCCAACAGCCGCCGGAGAGGCGCTGGTCTGGAGCGACGATTCCGGACTGTCACCCTTACCACTGTCGCTGCCAGGACGTGCTTCTGTCGACTAGGTAGAAGGTGATCGGCTCAACGGGGGCACGGGATAAAAGAGAGAGCCGAGCCCGGAGTGACGCGGATTGACCAGCATCGGCAGCATATCCAGTCGCTTATCCTGGGTCGTGCTTCGCGTTTCGTCACCCGCTGATGTGTTGCCGCCACTTCTCCTGCAGGGGGGTGCGTGGAGCCGTGCCAGGTCTCGACGGTAGGCCTCTTCCGCCTAGAAATCAAGGGGACAGCGCAAGACTTTGTGGCCCCTTGGCGACATTTTGACGGCGAACAAGTTATCGAAGGAACTGACTTATTGATGAGGCCAGAGCCGATATATGCTATCATGTAATCGAGTATTCGAAAGGATTGGATAAGACAAAAGTACTGCTAAGGGAAAAATATATATATATACTGCCGTCGAAGGGGTGATGCAAGAGAGGCGGTGGTTGCAAGGGAAACCTAGCTTGAAAGAGCGAGAGAATGTCTTGTCCGGATTTTACAATCTGTCTTACAATACGAGGCGCAATGCTCCTTCCCGACAAACAGAAACAGGGCTTTCTTGCACTAATATCCCATCGTCGCTGCATTCTAGGCAACATTCTTCAGAATTCAAGCGCCTCGCGATGATCCCTTTTCTGTCGTCGCACGCGCCCCATGCAGTTTCGTGTGTGCGTTTCATATAACACGTCCCTGCCAGGGAAAGGTATCTTACACACCGTTCCACCGAAAAATACAATGCAGAAGAGGCCAGAGGGCAGAAACAGGCCCGCCAACCGTCTTTCTTTGCTTATGCCACCACGGCAATGCCCACCGACTTGGCCTGGAATATGATGGACCGGCAGAGGCTCTCGAGAGAGGATCCCGACAGCCGCGGCTCGCTCTGCTTGATCTTGGCAATCTCATAGATGTGCTTGAGGCTGACCGTGCCGACCGTCTCCTTGCCCGGGCTATGGGCACCACGGCGCTTGCCTCCCTTGCCCTCGGGCACCTCGGCCGTGTTCAGCAGCAGCCAGGATGTGTGCGGCGTCCGCACGTCAAAGTAGAACGACCGATCGGGCCGGACAATGACACGAACGGGGAGCGGGGTGCCGGGGTTGATGTGTGCGGTGCGCGCATTGAATTCCTGGACAGTCAGAGGAGAAGACGGCAGCGGGAAAGAAGACGTAGACAGACCTTGCAAAAATCCATCGACTTGATACCCTTGCTACCGAGAGCCGGACCAACCGGCGGGCTGGGGCTGGCCTGGCCGGCACCCACAATGAGCTTGACCATCTGGTCGACGCCGCCTGCGGCGGCACGCTTGGACATGACGGAAGAGCAGGCGAGAGGTCAGACAGCGAGGGCACGATCGCGTTGTCAGGTCTCGCCTAGAAGGCCGTGAGAAACGCTGGAAAAATTCGAGTTGGGAGCTTCAGCCACAGCCGAGAAGCCACAGCAGCTTTCCCCCCAGCAATAGTGTGCGATGGTGGGTTGTCCGGTCATCACGTGGAACGCTAGTACGGGAAGCCGCTCATTAAAAAAGAAGTCGACCTACTAATTAGCCGTTGTAAGGTTGCCGTTGAGGGCTTTGCAGCCCGCCTGCAGCGAGACCGCGCTGCATTCGGTCATAAAAATGGGGGCGGGCGCTGACTGACCCCGCTGCTAAAGGCAATAATATAGGCAGCGAGCACATAACCTTGTTGCAACCCACAATCGTGACGTCTAGTAACCGCCCTTGCCTTGCCTTTTCCACCATTCCGCTCTCGCTCTTCCCTGCACACACTTTTTTCTAGCAGCACACGAGCATGCGGTGAACGAAGTCAGCCCTGCATCTTCTACTGCACCTACTGCACCCTATCCTCCCTTCCGTCTTGTCCTCCTCTCCTGCACTCGACCTGTTACTCGCTTTCGTAGCTGCTCCGGCTTCTTCTTCTTCTGCCTCGATCTGCCTCCTTTTTCCACCAACCCCGCCTCCAGATTGCCCATCATGTTCAGCTGGGCCAAGCAGACGTTAGTTCTTCCCTATCTCTCGTCGACAGCGTGCTGCCGTCCTATCCGTGTCCGTGCCTGAATCAGCCTAACAAATGCTGCAGACTCGCCCATGTGGCCGGCACCCAGGAGCCTATTTATGGCTCGACAGCCGTCAAGTCCGTGGCCGGGGAGACCAAGGAGACGCCTTACACGGAGACCACACGGGAGCACCTGAAGTGGACGGCGATGGAATCGACCTGTGTCGAGACCCAGGTATTCTACTTCACATCCGACAGCGGTCCCACTGCGTTTGTCCAGGTGATCTACAACAACATCTCGTACGCCAGCCTCTCCTGTCTTGCACTCCCTAAACGGTCTAGCTAACAGACATCAGGGGCATCCGCACCACGTGCCAGTTCAACACCAAGATCTTCTACCCTGGCGAGACCAACAAGAAGACGCTCTGGAGTTCTACCCCGCTCAGGGACCACGAGTTTAGCGAAGACATGACATCCTTTTATGCCACGGACTGCGCCGTCGAGCTGTCCGAGGACGGCGAGTCGTACTCGATCAAGTCGCTCAACGACGACCGTGCCATTGTCAATCTGACTGTCAAGCGCACCGCGCCCGGTTTCCAGGCCGGAAAGACCGGCCGCTCTCTGTTTGGCACCGACCTTGACGACCCCTGGGGCTCCATGCGCCACGTCTTCTGGCCACGCTGCGTTGCCTCTGGTTCCATCACGACCACGGAGGACGGCCCGCTCAGCTTTGACGGCTACCGCGGCCTCTTCATCCACGCCCTGCAGGGCATGAAGCCACACCACCTGGCGTCCCGCTGGAACTTTGCCAATTTCCAGAGCAAGGAGTACTCGGCCGTGCTGATGGAGTTTACGACACCACCGTCGTACGGCTCTACCGTCATCACCGTCGGCGGCATTGCGCGCGACGGCGAGATCATCATCGCCGGCACCGATCAGACGACCACGCACCTGGCCGTTAAGGAGGACTCGGAGAACGACTGGCCCGAGCCGACGCAGATCCGCTTTACCTGGTCTGGCACGGCTAAGGACGGCAGCAAGGTTGATGCCGTGGTGGAGGGCGCCCTGGAGGAGAGACTGGACCGCATAGACGTCATGGCCGAGGTCCCAGGGTTCGTCAAGAAGATTGCTGGCAGCGTGGCCGGCACGAAGCCATACATCTACCAGGTACGTTTGGCGAGACCCACAGACCCAGAGGCCCAGATTCTCCGATTGCTGACAAAAACAGTACTACCCGCACAAGGCGCCGATTGCGCTGAAGCTGAAGCAGGGCGACCAGACAGAGATCACGGAGCCAGGACGGCTGTTTTGCGAGGCGACGTTCATCTCGTAGATGATATGTCTTGCCCATAGACGGTGCTTTTTGCCGTCCTCGAAATTCTTTCCCGTTGGGGGCTACTTATTCTTATTTTTATTCATTCATTTTTTTTTCTCGGAGGACTTTTTTGACCTATCCCCGAGCATTCCGTCGTCTTTGGGTAACAATGCCTTTTGGCATACCCCTGCCTGCCCTTTGCCTCTTGTTCCGAACACGTCCGGCACTGTTGCAGAGCCCCTCCCCTTACCCAAGAAATGCACCTTTCGGCCCCTCTCACACGCCTGCACTACCTTTTTCTGCACCACAATTTGCATGGCACGTCGCGCCGTCGTGGCAGAAGACGCATAGCGGAAATAGACGACGAACATATGTAATTTTAATACCTTGGAAAGAGACGTAGCTTTAATGGAGATATTTTTTACTTCATTTCGTTGAGTTTGAACCCACTCTGCATTTCGTAGTCGAAATTTGGAAGTTAGTCTGTAAGCGCCTGCCAATTGGCAAGTAAGGTACTCCGTATGTATGTAGTACTCCGTACGTAACAACTGTATATATGGTAAAATATATGGGTATCTGAATATGGTAGTATGGTAAATAAAGGATATCACAAGAAAAAACCAACCAAAACGACATCAACGCTGCTGCCTCGGCACGCAATCCACCGCCTATTTCCATTATCTGTTCCTTTTCTCCAGCGTCGTCTGTTACCGCTTCCGCTTGCTGCCGTCCATATCGGCCTGTACCTTCTCCAGCGTCTGTATGGCCAACCGCCCATTGGCCCGGAACGGACCGTTGTAAAGCCCAGGCAGCACCAGGCTGCTGTTGGCATGCTCCTTGGCAAAGCCCACGACGGCATCCTTACCGCAGCGCTCCCATGTCACCCGCACGGCCTCTGCCAGCAGGTCACCACCGATGCCCCGCCGACGGTAGCGCAGCTTCGTGGTCCAGGCTCGGATGACGCCGTGGCCACCCTTCAAATGGTGAGCATTGCCGCTGCTGCTGTTGTTGCTGCTGCGCGTCTTCTTCCGCGAGGCGGGGACAGGGTCCGTCGAAGCCGCCGCCATCGATGAAACGGCCTGGCTGGGCGCGGACGGTTCCATGTGTAGGACGAGTGCGCCGATCATCTCCTCGCCGTAGCGTGCACCAATGACGGTGTCTTCGGCGGCGACCTGGCTGCCACCAGTGTTGCCTTGCAGCCAGTCCCAGCCGAGAGCCTCGGCAATATATATGTATTTTGAGCTCCAGAAGCGGATGCCCAGCAGATAGGTCATGGTGATGCCCGAGAGAAGGGTCATCTGCGTGCCGAGGTCGCGGTGTGCGGTCAGCTGGTATGCGATACCCAGCGCCACTGCGAAGCCGGTCAAGTTCAGTGGGTGAAAGACAAGGCTGCGGGACGCTACCTGGCGCTGCTGAGCGATGCTGTCGGTGACGAGCTTCAGGGCGTCGACCTTGTCGGCGCGCGTGGTCAGGATGCCGAGCGACAACGGTGGAATGTCATCCAGGCTCGTGGCGGCGGCAGTGGTGAACCCCCGAGAGGACTTGGCGGCTCCGGCGCTGCCAGAGATGTCATTCTTGCTTCTGACATCCTTCCCCACAACGGCTGGCAATGAGATGTGTTTTGTCGGCTCCATGAGTGGGGTGCTGAAGGCGGAAGCCATTTCGGTAGGTGGTATGGCAAGATTCGCTCGTAGGAACGTGAAAAAAGCTATAGTTGGGCGTTAGGAAGAGGTATATACAAGAGGCGGGCGAAAGAAGGCAAATCTCTGAGGTAAGAACGAGTGAAAGCAAGTGAAAGCGAGTGAAGGTGAGAATTTGGAAAGAGAGGACGAGATCTGCTGAGGAAGGCTGTTCCCCAATCGATTGAGTCTTTTGCTGCTTGAATGTAGTCAATGTATCAGATGTAGGCAGGTGAGGTGTGAGAAAAAAGCGGTTTATATACGCCGAGAGGCCACGCGACCGGAACCTCTTGGCGGGAAAAAGAAACAGCAACAAAAAAAGACACCAGCAGAGAAGGAAAAGGAAGGATTCTTACCAGCACTGGTCTTGAGCGCTGGCATAGCGTTGAGTCTGTCGACCAGCGAGCTTGGGTGGCAGGCCGTCAAGTCAAGCTCCATGACAGCCATGTGGTGCAAAGCGTCGGTCTCATTGGCTGAAAGAATGGTGGGCTTCTGTGGCAGGAGCGAGAGCAGGGTAAATGGCGGGATCCGGCCTATAAAGGCGCTGGAGTTAATGGACATCGGCTGAGAAAACAGCATTAACGGGGCTGGACTAGGGTGGATTGGGGAGGAGAGAGGGATGTCACGAGGCAGGAGAATAATGGCAAGAGGTAAAAGTTATTAAACAAATACAAGGGTCAAGCAAGAGATCGAGCTAGATCGCAAGAGGGCGGCCAGAGGGAAGCGATTGGGTTTTTGTGGTCAGATAGAAGGCTAAAGGAAACGACAAGACCGACGGGACGGAGTGACCGGGGCCTAGACAGGGTATATATGGAACGCGGACGAGGCAGTCATGACATCCAGGGCCATGGGAAGCGATAGGACGGGATAGATGGGGAGGGTGGTGAGGGGCGAGCGTGCACACGCGATAATGGGCCAAGGTGGCGGTATCAAGGCCGTCCTGCGGTTCTTCTGGCCTGTTGGGCGCCGTGGGAAAGCGGCGTTGCAGTAGGACGATAAGAAGGGCCGGGTCTGGATCCAGACCAATAGAGCAGAGAGCAAAAGCAATACTGGAGTGGACCGTGGGCGACGAAGGGGGGCAAGAAGGGAAGCCACGAGTAAGATACATACGGAGAGAAGGGCCAAGAACGACTGGGGGCAAGCGCCGTTGCGCGAAACGCTGACGAGGCATGCATGCGGGATGGAGCAGGAGCGGCCGGACGGATCAGACAGGGCTCCGGTGCATGGGAGTGTGAGCGTGGGTGGGATCGCGTAGCGAGCCTAACGGACGGTGGTGAGTTGGTGGTGAGCTGCAGCGGCTGTTGGGGTGGGTTGTGGAAGGTTGTGGTGGGTTATGGTGGGCTGTGGTGGGCTGCAAGGCCTGTAAAGCTTGTGGGCGGGTGTGGGCTGCAGTGCGGTGCGTGCTCGTTGGTGAGCTGATCAGCCTTTCTGGTCGAGCTTCTCCGGCCTGGCCGACGGATGGCGAGACAAGGAAGCCGGGTTTCTGCTTGGCAATAACTCGTCACGGCCCATCGCCCAAACGCAGGTTTTAACTTAACGCGCAAGTGTGTAGACGTCGTATCGGCTGCGGCGCCTGGAAACCGCTCTCTCTTTGGCTGGAGCGGTCTGGTCTGCGAGTGGATGGATAGCGCTGGGCGCGCGCCCTTGCTTCCATGGCGCCCGTTAGGCCAAATGGGGCGAGAAAGCCGAGCCTTGATCGACGGCAGGCGGAAGATAGGAGAGCGGACGACGGACGTTGCCAGACGGACACGCAATATGGTCCTCACTGGTGCGTCAGATACGTCGTACTCTTGTGGGATCCTAAACCGCCGAAACATGCTCGTTTCGCCAGATTTGTCCCGCTGGTGGGCTGCCCCGTTTACGAGCAAGAGACGACGGAGTACAAGGACGGAGTAGTGTCGTAAGATACGTGTGCCTGCACGGAGTATCCCCGCTCGTTTCTCCGTTTTCGTTCTTTGCTTTCGGTGCGGCAGTAAGCAGACTCGCAGCTGTGCTTGTATATGAGTGCATACGACTACGAGCCAACAAAAACAATGCACAATACCAAGACAACCAGCAAGATAAGCGACAGCCGGCCTGCAGTCTTGCAGAGCCGGCAAGCGCGAAGCACAAGACTACTTCAGCCTGCCTCGCCTTGCCCCGAATCTGCCTAGCGCCCCTTTGTCCCACCGCCTGCAAATGATTGGCCTGCTGCTCCCCAAGGCAGACTCTGAAAGGACCGCTGCTCGCCTGCTGACTCATTGCTTAACCGACACTGGGCTCCGGAGGGCTGAGAGGCAGCCAATCCCGTGCTTACATACGGAGTAGTGCGTGCTATGAACCTAGCCTGCAACCGTCTCCCCCAAAGTCCTACGCAATCCCGTGGCTCTCAAGCATTCAGACCGAGTCCTAAGACCTTGCCAGCCGTTGAGCGTGTGTGCCTGTTGTCGATGCCACTGCCTTCGTACGAGTAGGACCCCAACTTTCAGCTCTCTCCTCCGCCTTCCGCCTCCGCGCTCCCCTTGCTCGTGTTTCCGCTGCGCCCTCCTTCGTTATAGGGCGATTTATCAATTAGCTTGCTTTTGGCCAGAGCAATGGCGGCCGGATTGGCGAGTGACAATCGATAAAACACAAAGAGAAGGAAGGAGCTTTCCGCGACGACCTTCTTTCTTCATTGAGCCCTGCCTCATCCCCCCATCAGCTTGCTTTCCCAGCCAATCTGCACATTCTCGTTGCCTCAGTATTGTCATCTCCATTTCACCCAGACACGCCCGTTTTCGCCCCACGATCGCCGCCGCCGCCATGGAGCCAAAGAAATTTGCCTCCGTGTTGGAGGACGACGTTTTGTCCCTCTCGGGCCGCGATGGCGTCTCCCTCCCGCTCTTTCGGCCACAGTCCCCCACTCCGTCTGGTCGCTTCACCCTCCGTCGAAGCATTCAGTCCAACCGCTCGTCCTTCTCTGCAGCCTCCTCCCACTGCTCTGCTTCTCTAGACCCCGCCGCCCTCATGTCTTGTGTGTGAGTAGCGCGGTCACCGCCCGTACGATGTCTGCTGTGCCGAGTGAGCGAGCCTAACGCCTTTTTTCCTTAGAACCCGCGAGACGTCCAAGGACGACTGCGGAACCGATCGCTTCGTCGTCTGGGCCGCCGTCAAGCGGAACACCTCTGACCGCATGACCGACCGCGAGCGGCTCGAGTGTCCGCTCCTCCGCTGCACCCTCCGCTTCCCGGATCATGAGTCCATGCTTCGCCATCTGGTCAGCTGTGAGCACCTCTCGTCCTGCGAGTACTGGTGCTACGATCACATGCGCATCGAGCGCTTTGACGACAGCCGCTGCAGAAAGTGCCTCGGCCATGCTTCCAAGCGGCGTAAGATGTTGTCCATGGCCAAACACTTCTTCACCGCCATCGGCCACACCAAGGGAAAAAGCATAGCTGGCGATCCTTTTCCCTCGTCGCCATCTTTTCTGTCGACATCCGTATCGGACTTTGGCTGCGACTGCATAAGTAGAAATGGCAGCAGCCACCACAGCCACAGTCACCGTGATGACGACCGCAGCAGGCGCAACAGCAGCTGCCACCGCGCCGGTGGTCCGTCTGCTACTTCTGCAACCTCGACCTCTTCATCGTCATCGTCCGCCTCCTATCCGCCTTCATTTTCATTCTTTGGCCCTCCGCCGCCGGACTGCGAGGCCATCAACGGAAACAACCATGCGGAGCTACCTACTACCAGCGAGCTTCCCGTGGAGATCGACTCCAGAGAGCTTGCCCAGATCCCGCGGCAGTTTCTCTTCGAGCCCATCCCTGTTGGGCCAACGGCAGCTGGCTCTCCAGATCCTGTATCTGTCAGTCCTGTTGCTTCGTTGCCCGCAGTCGAGACCCAACCAAGCTCTATCAATCCCCAGGATCTGCTACTTCCAGAGCTTGAGTCTATGAACTGGGAATCGAATGAGGTTGCGATGCCGTCTATATCTGCCGTTATTGACAACTCTGGCATCTCGGCCTCTTTCCCGTCTTTTTTGGACGTACAGGAAAGCAACGAAATGCCGTATTCCGATGACGTTGCTGGCGGCTCACGGCCCCTCCTCCAGCTCCATATACAACAAAGCCACGATGGCATATTGGGCCAACTGTCTTGTGGAGCACAGCCGCCGTCTCAGCGGGCGGTGCGTCCGTCTGCAGCCCCGGCGCCGCGCAGTAAGAATTTGTCACCGAGCTCCTCGGTTCGGTCGACAACGAGCACAACAAGCACCACGAGCGCCTTGAGCGCCATGAGCGACATGAGCGCCGCAAGCTACTCGTCCGCCGCAACGACGGTGAGCCTCATTAGTAATGTAGGCTCTCTTGTCTCACCCATCTCCGACTGCAGCTACGGCTCCAACCAGTGGCCGACTGACCTGGAGACCGGTCAAACGTCGCCAATGTCCAACTTCAACGACTTGTTTTCCGACGACCTGTTTGCTGGTGCCGAAGAGACAATTAGCACAGACGTCTGTGAAGAGTTGAGCCTCTTGACGGATGACTCGTTTCTGCTCGACGTGGATATCGGGGCCGAGACGGAGTTGCCTAAAAGCTCTGGCTCAGCTCCTCTACTGTTCGACTTTGAAGCCCCATTGCCATCAGCAAGGCCACAAGCAGGACCAACTGAGCCCTGTATCACGGCCACTTCTTCAACCAATGTTGAGGCCAATACGAGCACAGGAATTTCCGAGATCGAAGCATTTGTGGCTACCGCATGGTATCTACTGCTGACGCACATCACAACATCGGCCACTAAGCTCCGAAGAATGGGCATGAGCAACAGGCTAGCCACCCTCCTGCGGCAGACGTCACCCGTAGATATTGCCAAAACCGGCATGCAGACTTTGCGGACGGCCCTGATCTCTGGAGACGAAAACACGACCCCCTTCGCCACCCTCTGCTTCCTTCATGCCATTTACGCTTTTTCGCTTATCACGTACGGGCCAGAGGCAGCATCACGTTCAGACGAGCTCTTTACCCAAGCGCTTGTATATTCTCGAAACTTTACCGGCCCAGATCGCGACAGTTACCTGCAGATTATCACTGTGATCTGGCAGCCTAGCAACACGTCGTTAGCCGTGCTGGCCCAACACATCCAGTCGCCCTTATTTGACCTGGGGAAAAACGCCTCTGCGCCTAGCAGTGGATTGGCTATTGACAACCCTGTTATTGCCACTGCCAAGGCATACCTGGATGGTAAGTGATCGCTCGTCCTCCCACCTTTGCCTTGACTAATATTTTGGCATAGATTTGGAGGCTTCTGTGATCATGGGTCCTACCTCTCCGTCGGAAGTTCATACCTCATCTCTGCTAGAGAAACACACGAAACACCTGGGTGCAGAGAACTCGGCAGACTTCATTTCCTCTGCGAGCGCAGTTCTGAAAACGCTTATCCGGGAATTTCCCAGAGTTGACGGCAGGACGCGTGACTTCAATGAGATTGGCCGACGGGTGGCAACCGGTTCACTAAGAAGTGTCCGGAAGTTTGAATTGGGGCTGTACCAGGCAGGAAAGGTGAGCTCATGGAGACTGCTGAAATTCATACACGATCTGGGCTGACATCGCTGGTCTCAACCAGGCTTCTCTTGGCTGCTCTGCCACATTCTTTGACCTGTTTGTCCCTCGGCTTAGACGCCTTTGTGACCATATCTACGCCATCCATACGTCTGCGGGCAACCAGCGTCTGGCATATTACGAAGCAAGCACATTACTGGTACTGACAATTTTCGAAGAGATGGACAATGGCCTGGGGCGAAACGGCCTGCCAGCAGACGAACGCTTATACGGAACGTTGTCCCCGATTGCCATGGCCAAGGTCGGCGACAAAACGCAACTGCTGCTCCCTTTCACAGGTCTCTCGGAAAATAATATTTCCCTTCTCAGCACGACGCAGCCCTACACAGCGGCTGTAGCCGGAAGTCCGACACCGTCAACGATGGAAGTGGAGTTTTCAGGAGCAGAAGAGGCACCGTCGGCAGAGACGCCTGCCGGCCAGAAAGTTGAAGTCGAATCCGACGCTTGCTGTCAGATATGCAGCTATCGACCCAAGGGTGATCCGCAGTGGTTTCGCGGGTCCATGAACAAGCACATGAAGACGAAGCATTCGGGGGAGGTGATTTATAAATGTCCCTATCCCAACTGCAACAGCCAGTATCGCAATCGGCTAGACAATCTGCAACAGCACCAGAGGGAGAAGAACCATTTTGTTGGTAGTGAGCAGGTAGTAAAGAAGGCCCGACGCCAGAGTCAGACGGAACAGACAGACAGCATCAGCGAGCAGGGATCGAGTGATGGGACGGGCGCGACGAGACGGCCAAGCAAGAGGAAGAAGTTGTCAGACTGAGAGCGGGGCCTGAGATTGGGATTGGCAGGGCTGGGAAAAAGAAGGTTTTATTCGCGAGGCATCAGCCGATAATCTATACCCCATTGTCATTTATCTTTTCTGTACATACATCTTTACATATTAGCGGCATGGCGTTGGGGATCGATCCACTGGAATCGAGCTTCTCTGGAGAAGGAAGGATCTCCTCCAAAGCCATGTGATGCGTCATACTGTGCTTGAAGAAATTGCTAGTTGCCCCGCACCTGCCAGATGCTCAGGGAGTCTTAGCTCTTATTTCCAGCGCCTGTCGCACCTGCCTCGCACACCCAATTTCGCCGTATAACGTGACACGTAAACTCTCCGACTCTTTGTCCAGGCGTTGCAGAGTAGAGACACAGATCCAAAGGGTCATAGGGACGGAAACAGAGACAAAACCATGGCTCAGCAAGCTACACCGTGCTCGGACAGAGCGAAGGCAGCAGGCAGCAGCCTGCCTTGGATCACGGTGCTGGGCTCGCTCAACATGGATCTGGTGTCGTACGTGTCACACCATCCGCAGCCGGGCGAGACGATGATGTCGTCGGCCTTCGCCACATCACCGGGCGGCAAGGGAGCAAATCAGGCGGTAGCCTGTGCGAAGCTGTCGCGGCGGCGGAATGCCGCGAACACGGCGGAGTGGAACGACACGGCATCAATGGCGACGGCGCACGTGGCGATGGTGGGCGCAGTAGGCGACGACGCCAACGGGGCGACGCTGCGGGCGAACCTGGCACGACACGGCGTCGACGTGCAGGGCGTACAGACGGTGGCGGGTCAGACGACGGGCGTGGCCGTGATCGTGGTGGATGAGCCGACGGGTCAGAACCGCATCATCCTGTCACCGGGGGCCAACTATGCGATTCCATGGCGGGCCGACCTGATTCTGCCGCAGCAAACGCAGCTGCTGATTCTTCAGCTGGAGATCCCGCTCGAGCAGGTCGAGCAGGCGCTCACAGCCGCCCGGACGGCCGACATCCCGGTGCTCTTCAACCCGGCGCCGGCGCCGGCTACGGAAGAGACGCGGGCCAAGCTGGAGGCGGCCTTCAGCACGCTCGACGACAAGGAACGACCGACTGGTCGGGCTGGGCTCGCCCACCTCGTGCTCAACGAGACCGAGACGGCTGCGCTGGCCGTCGGCTGCACCGTGTCGGACCTCGACACGACCGACGGCCTCGCGCGCGCGGCACGCTACTTTCTCGACCGTGGCGTCGAGAACGTCGTGATGACGCTCGGCGGCCGCGGCGTCTACTACGCCTCACGCACGGCCGGCGGACCCGGAGAGCTGCTGCCGCCCGAGCCCGTGGCACATGTGGTCGACACCACCGGTGCCGGCGACACGTTTGCCGGGCAGTACGCGCTGGAGGTGGTGCATGCGGCAGCAGAAGGAAAGCCGTTTGACTGCGCCGCAGCCGTGCGGCGGTCCAACAAGGCGGCAGCAAAGACGGTGCAGCGGAGAGGCGCCCAGGATTCGATCCCGTGGCGGGACGAGGTCGAATGAGACGGCTATTCACGAGCAGACCTAACGGTGGGCCAAAAACGGAGCATATGACAGCCATTCCATAATTATTGTGTGTTCTCAAGCAGGACGAACGGCATTGTGATTTGCTTCTTGGCCCCTCTTTCTACGGGTTCACGTATTGTGGTTCCATGTCTCCGTTTCCGTCCAAGTAATGGACCGGAAGCTTGTTCACGTCAACGCCGTGAAGCACGCGGGTGTTGATGTTTCGCTCGTCGCGGCATTCTTCACGACCCGTGCGGGCAGTCTCGGAGCGGGCTACCACAGGAAGCGCAGCCTCCTCTTCGAGAGTGTACTCAACGCCAATATTGAAGAGATGGACACCGCAAGTGCGGCAGAAGCTCTTGCGGTCGACGTGATTGGCAAAGCTGTAGTGCGTCAAATTGTCTTCGCCCTGGACGGCAGATTGGTCTTTCGTGGGATAGATCCAGATATAACCGCCCTGCTACAGGTCAACAATGCAATCATGTCCTATTTGCGTTGGTTTGGGAGAGAATTTACTCGGATGCAGATACTACAGTTGCAGTCAACAATGTGGCCTATCTTGCCTGTCGGATCGAGAGTCTCCAGCGGCTTGGAGCGCAGAGACATGCGCACCGCACCGCAGTGGCAGCTGCCATGGTAGATCTTGGACGGCTCATCGCCCACGGGGCCGCCAGCTGGCTCGGGGCCAATGTAGTCGGGCTCGACATAGGCAGGCGGAAGAGAGGCGCCATCGAATCTTGAACGTGCTTAGTCAGCAGGCTGACATCAGCACACGAAGGCGACAGTGCTCACGGTATCATCTTCAATGTCGTTCGGACAGCCGCAGATGCAGGCATAAGCACGGCAGGACTGGATCCCGATGATAGGCACTCGGGCGCGTCTGCCAACGGGCGTACGAGTACGGAGTACCTTTCTTCCATGACTCATTGCCCCGCACGCCGACACGTCCTCGACACGCAGTCAGCTGACTCGGCGACGTGCGTAAGTGCATCTGCCTAGGTCTGAAAGCGAGATGGCGCTTCCGGTAACCGAGGAAAAGACAGGAAACGAGCCAAAAGCATGAGTGGAGACACGACCATCTAGTCCGGCGCAGGTTCCAGAAAGAAACTTGGAAGCACGGGGGGTTTTCGAGGGGCCTTACTGAGCCCGTAGCATCTGGCATGTAAGACAGAAGAGAAGCCGGCTACATTCCACAATGGTCGCCGGTAAGACACGACGACACCGTCCTACGAGCAGCGATGAGAGACGATACAAGAAGGAGAGTCGTGCGGTACGTGTATCGTATCGTCCTCGTAGATACGCATGCACAAATCAGCGGAGTGCGCCGTCCGTCACCGCTTGTTTTTCTCTTGGCGTTGGCGTGGGGGTTCCCGTGTGCGAATATGGACATCTGCCCTATTGCCGTCTGTCCACAGGGACGAGAATTCCGCTCGTGCACGCGCCACTTGTTTCCGAGCGCCGGGCGGCAGGCAAAGCGGAAACCAGCCTGAGGCACTGGCAACCGGCGTGACAGCAGGAAACGAGTGTTCTGCAGCCCGGCAAACCTCTTCTCGTCACCTGGTCCCAACCAGTTGTCTCGCAGGGTTGCAGCCAGGCTTCTCCAGCCCCTTCGCCGGGCAAGACAGACGCTGCCGCTTGCAGGCAAGCACAACAGGGAAGAGAAGGCACACCGGCGAAAGCCCTGCATTCGGGCTTGCATCTGCACCCCGCAAGAACCTGCGACAAAACCCGTATCAGATGTTCACTTACCCGGACAGTACCAGGGTGAGATTTACACACACCCGGGCCGGCCTGCCCTCCATGTCGTGTCCTGTTACCTAATCAGAATGTCCAGATGCTCATATATTCCAAGTAGAACAGTGTCAAACACAGCCTGGCCTTCTAGGCCCTCTAGGTCGTCGTATATAAGCAGCTTTGTCTCCGTAATTCCTCATAGCGGTCATCGGTGTCGTTGGAGATGACGTACTATGTGGACTGAAGTACCTGTCCCACAGCGCAGTCGTCGCTTCCTCGCCCCCCAAAAGGAATGTTCCACTGAGAAGGTAGGCACAACCCACGCTGCGGCTCCACTCTACTACACCTGCTGCTCAGCACCCCGCAAATGCGACAGCTCGTTTGACATCCCCAAGAAGTACGGAGTACTGACACATAGGCTTGGTCTTCTCGCTGCAGATTCGGCTTCCCCTTTGCATAGCAGCTCCTACACACGTGCCCCCGTTGTTTGTACACGTACATGTGTTTTCAGCCTGCCCAAATCCCCAAGAACGACCAAGCCGGCCTCCACCCACTCCGACCCTCTCTCCGGACGAAGGTTAATTAGCGAAGATGGGGCACCGGAAGCACAGCCAGGCAGTCGGTGTGGCAGCCGATCAACACAAGGACGACAATCGGAAGCTTGGTCCAACGAACAGGTGCACCTTCTATCCCGAACCGGTGTTCCACGCACAGGACAGCCAGCTCTGGAGTTCATCGCCGGACTAATACGTTGCTGGCGCGTTGCTTTGATTTGCAGGTCGGGGAATTGGCCACCGCTCAGTAACGAGACCCCCCCCCCCCTTGGTTTACCCTTATTGGTCTAGTGCACGATACTAGGTCTCCGTTCAAACGTGCACATCGCCCGTCTTAGCGGTCTCTAGCATGTATCTTCTGGATGGGGATACCAGGTTACGAAGTCCAGCTCGGCTTGCGTACTTCCCTTCTTAGAAGTCGGGGTGTTTCCCTTCTCCACATGCACACGTCTGATCCGACCAAACCGGCCTGCTCTCGTCGGGGTATGATACTGTACTCGGGACTTTGGCAATATAAAATAGCTGCAGCTGCAGTCTACTCAAACGTCTCTATCCAAGCTATTGACCCCCCTCCCCTTATCAGTACCCTAAACAGAGCTTAACTTAGAATACACAAGTCGTCATTATGCCTCCGTCGGCCGAGCCGTTGGTATCGTCTGATTCGGACAGTGCTGCCCATCACCTCCTGTCCATGTCGCTTGCCAGCAAGGCTGCCGCCCTTCATGTCGAGGCCAACCGTCATGTCGATATCATTGACATCCGACGCGGCGAGCTAGAGATCAATCTCAAGCAGGAGATTTTCTCCTCATTCAGTCCCGAGGACGGTCCCCGAGCACTGCCCACGCTGCTTCTCTACGACGAGAAGGGCTTACAGCTGTTTGAACAGGTGAGGCTCACTTGCAAGCACCATTTGCTGCACAGCCCATCCCGTCCTTGTTCTATGACCAATCCGCTTGTCCTGCTGACCACCTTCTGCAACCGCAGATCACATTCCTGGAGCAATACTACCTCACCAACTATGAGGCTGCCATTCTTGAGGCTTCGGCCGCGAGCATAGCCGCAAAGATTCCACAGGGCGCCATGGTCCTCGAGCTAGGCAGCGGGTGCGTTGTTGCTCGTGATGCCATCCCAGCACCCCTTCGCAAACGGGATCCTTGCACTGACAGCATCAAACAGAAATCTCCGGAAAGTGAGCTTGCTTTTGCGGGCTTTTGAAGCGGTCGGCAAAAAGGTGGAATACTATGCCCTGGACCTCTCGCGTCGTGAGCTGGAGCGTACGCTCGCCCAGCTGCCGAAGTTCGAACACGTCACCTGTCATGGCCTGCTCGGCACGTATGATGATGGGCGTGAGTGGCTGAAGTCGCCCTCTGTCCTTTACCGCCAGAAGTGCATCCTCTCGCTCGGATCCAGCATCGGTAAGGCGCACCTATACGAGCTGACTATGAGGGCGGCCGTCTGGAACGGGATCAGTCACTCTTGTATTTTTTCAGTGTGTTGACTCTACGGACAGGAAACTTCCAGCCGAATGAGGCCGCCGAGTTCCTCCGCAGCTTTGCAGATGTGCTACAGATGGGAGATGCCATGCTCATCGGACTCGACAGCTGTACCGACCCGCGCAAAATCTAGTGAGTCTTGCCTGCTCGTATTGGCCTTTGCCGTGGTTTTTATCTGGGCGCTGGGCTGACTTATCATGTTATTAGCCACGCATACAATGGTCAGTGAATCGTATCTAACACGAGACCGCTTGTGCTTGCTGTATTTGGTAGGGCTAACAATATGATTCGCAGACAACCAAGGAACCACCCACAGGTATGGGATATGCTCTGACCACTCACAGCAGGAACTGCTATATATGATGTATGGCTGACACGACGAACCAGATTCATCCTGAACGGCCTTGCCCACGCTAACGAAATACTGGGCGAGGAGGCTTTTCAGCCGTCGGAATGGCATGTCATCGGCGAGTATGTGCATGACGCCCGGGGCGGTTACCACCAGGCATTCGTCTCGCCGATCCACACGACTGTGGTTCTGGGAGAAACTGTCAGGGCCTATGAGCGAATCAAGTTCGAGGAGAGCTGGAAGTATGCCGATGACGAGGTGAAAGCGCTGTGGCAGGCGGCCGGCTTGGTCGAGTCCTGCCGATGGGAACATAGCAACAAGGAATATGGTAAGATGATCACGCAACTTTTCTCCAGCACCCTCTTCCCCGGAACCTATTACCGGAATCGGCGCCGGCGCCGGCAAACAAAGAGCACTGAACAGTTTCAGACCACCTATTTGCCGTTTCGACTTCCTCCCACGTTTTTACACAACCACCTACACCGTCACTTTCCCCACCACACCATCTTGTTACACTTCACCCCACGCTTTCTCACGTTGGGGGTGCCCCTCGTCGCCGGGTCCTGTGACTTGGCTTCCAGTGGAGTCGCACCCCAGACAAATGCCAGCTTCGACATGCTTCTAGTTCTTGCGTTTTGCATGTACCCAAAGCCGCCTAGCTGCATCTGTTTCCCCCGTTCACGCTTGTCCCTGTCGGTCCCTGCGCGCCCGAAATGCATTCTCTTCTCTTAATGCCGCTGCATCGCTGCAAGACTGGCGCGATGACATATGAGGCGGGAAAAGCTGCTTGCCCGGGCCGTTGGTATACTTATGGGTCAATCATGCCAGTCGAGCAGGCACGGCTTTGGTCCGGGTCCTCTTGTTTTAATTGGCGTTATTGCCCTCCCCTGGACATGTTCGCCCTAGCTAACTTCCAAAGGAATTCACATGCTCTCCAAACAGAAGATGTCTTTCAGCCTGCTCCCGTCCATTTACGCCAAGACGGCGCTTCCGTCGCTGGAAGACTGGGAGGCTACCTGGGCGGCCTGGGATACGGTGACCCGGCGCATGCTTCCCGATGAGGGGCTGCTTGACAAGCCAATCAAGCTGAGAAATGCTTGCATTTTCTACCTCGGCCACAGTCCAACCTTCCTTGACATCCAGCTGAACAAAACGATCGGAGGGACCCCGACAGAACCCGCAAGCTATGCGTCCATCTTCGAGCGAGGCATTGACCCGGATGTCGACAATCCGGAGCTGTGCCACTCCCATTCCGAGATCCCAGACGAGTGGCCTCCGCTGAACGATATCCTTGCCTACCAGAGCCGAGTTCGGGAGAGACTCCGGGGTATATATGGGCCCGGCAATGGAAGCAACCCCAGCCACGCACACATCCCACGTCCTGTAGCCCAAGCTATCTGGGCTGGGTTCGAGCACGATCTCATGCATCTTGAGACTCTGCTCTACATGATGCTGCAGAGCGACAAAACGCTTCCTCCGCCGAACGTGCCGAGGCCGGACTTTGCAGAGCTGGCTGAAAAGGCGCATGCAGCCCGGGTCCCGAACCAGTGGTTCAATGTGCCAGCGCAGGACATCTCCATTGGCCTGGACGATCCCGAAAATGGAACGGAACTGACGCGCCATTTTGGCTGGTGGGTGTCTCCTGATAATTACGTACAATCATGCTATGGACTAACAGGGCCTCCAGGGACAACGAGAAGCCTGTCCGTCGAATCCATGTCGGTGCCTTCCAAGCCAAGGGAAGGTCGATCACGAACGAAGAGGTGTGTACCGGCAGCCATTTCGTCAGCAGACGAGTTGTTCTGACAGGGTTTTAGTATGCGCAATATGTTTTTAGCAACCATATTACGAGTCTTCCTACGTCTTGGACAGAGACTACAGGGTCCCAAAAGACAAATGGGCACACGAATGGACACGCCAACGGTCATGCGAACGGACACACAAACGGACACCAAATTGGACAAGTGAACGGCGCAGGTCAGTCGGCTGCTACGCTGCCACTGCCGGCCTCATTCTTGCAAGGAATGGCTGTCCGGACGGTGTTTGGCCCGGTGCCTCTCGAGCTTGCCCTGGACTGGCCTGTGTTTGCGTCGTATGACGAGCTGTCAGCCTGTGCGGCGTGGATGGGTGGCCGCATTCCGACGTTTGAGGAGGCACGCAGCATCTACGAACACGTGGATAGATTGCGCAAGAAGAAGGAGAAGAATCAGAACAGCAGTCGTGCCGTTCCGGCGGTGAATGGGTGAGTTGATCACTTTTGCTGGTCCTATTAGGTCTTTCATCCATGCTGACTAATCAAAGACACCTCTCTCTCAATGGTGTGAAGGAGACACCGCCGCAGGCAGCAAACGGCAACGGTGGTGCCGGCGCCTCGTCCGACTCGCTCTTCATCGACCTGGAAGGCGCCAACGTTGGCCTGAAGCACTGGCACCCGATGCCGGTGACAGCCAACGGGGGGAGGCTTGGGGGACAGAGCGAGATGGGTGGAGTGTGGGAGTGGACCAGCTCGCCGCTGCACCGCCATGCTGGATTCGAGCCGATGAAGCTGTATCCGGCATACACGGCAGACTTCTTTGACGGAAAGCATAACATTGTGCTGGGCGGATCGTGGGCAACGCACCCTCGCCTTGCTGGACGGAAGTCATTGTAAGTTGATCGTTTCCCGCGAAGAAAAGATGGAGGCTAACAGGCCAGTGTCAACTGGTTCCAGCGAAACTACCTCTACGCCTGGGTAGGTGCTCGGCTGGTTCGGGATGTGTAAAGTGGCAGAGGAATTCTCGTCTGATGGTACTGCTCATGGGTAAGGGGAAAGGAAGTCGGTCAAAGGAAAAAAACTGGCTTTGGGTCGGGTATGCATTTTATTGGACGCTTTTTTGTATTCCTTTCCTATTTTGGCTTATTTTGGTTCTGTTCCAAGCATATGACTGCTTGTCCCGCGAGAACAGATTTGACCTCCTGCCACTCTCTCTTTAAACAGCAGCAAGATCCGCTCCGGTTTCCTTTGTCCGCGGCTGTGGTCTCTGTAGACCAGCCAGCTTACGGGTTGATTTGCTTTTTGTCTTTTGCCCTTTAGTTTGCAATTACTACATATGTATGAATTTGACCACGACAAAACGAGCAGTTCAGCGAGCGGTGGGTTCAAAGTGATATGCGGTGAAGGCGAGATTTGAGGGCAGACTTGGTGCAGAATGCGCTCTCTGGTGGCGATCATGTGTGCCCAATTCTGTTAGGCCGGCTTCTGTGCCGTGCTAGTTGTGCCTAGTAGGCGACGATGCGGTAGGATCCAGACGGCTGTATTATGCCGTTCTCGGTGATGAAGTTTGTGACGAGAGTAGGGGGCTGTACAGTCAGTAAAACAGCAGGCGAGGAGGATACAGGAGGGGGCGGTTGCTTACGGTGACGTCGACCTGACTGCAGAAGGGCAGCAGGGGTTTTGCGGGCGGCTGGCTGGCGACACGAGCAGGAACAGGTCTAGGAGAGGAGCCGTCTGGGGCGAAGAAGGCCTGCTGGACGTTGATGCGGGAGAGGTCGCGGTTGTTGAGCAGCAGTTTGCGGACGAACTTGTGGGTCTCAACGAGGACGAAGAAATTGCGCTTGGGCTTGGCGGCATCAGCAAGGACGGCAAGCTGGAAGGTGCCGATGCGAGAGACGACTTTGCCGTCGTGGGTGACAGCCTCGGCGCCGACGAAGACAGAGCGGACGGCGTAGGCCTCGAGGGCATAGGCGACAGCACTGGGGTCGATCTCAATAACGGGTATGTGGTGGCTGCGCAGGACGGTCATGTGACGTTCAGACTCTTGACGTGAGCGTTCGTCGACGACATAGAGGACGGTGAAGGGGGCGGATGTGGGTTCGGGTGCCGTCGGAAAAGGCCATTCATCGGGTGAGGCGGCCGGAAGTCCAGATTGGCGAGCGGTCAGACGCTCAGCGGCCTTGAGCAGAAGGGCTTGAACGGCACGCGAGCCACCAGCAGTGAGGACGACGTGGCCGGATTCGACGAGACGACAGCCACGATCAGCGATGCGGTGACGGGCCTCTTTGGCGCGCTGGACAAAGAGCTGGCTGTTGTCGAGCAGGTGCTGACGGATCTTGTCGAAGCTGTCGAGGCCGCCGATGCTGCTGGTGGTGCTGGCGGTCATGTTGATGGGAGCAGCGCTCGGCTGGCGCATGGACATGCTGAGGAAGCCGGTGAACATGCGGGTTCCGGCTTCGATGGGCAGCGAGTTGGGGACGGCAGCGTGCAGTCGCAGCACCTGTGTCTCGCTGATCTCGTACGTCTCCATGGCTGTGGACGACGGGGTGTGACGGAGCACCTCGATGAGCGCCTCGATGGCCGCAATGGGCCGCGTCAGGTCGGCGTCCTCGGCGAGCAGCCGATGGTATGTGGCGACGATACTGATGATTTGTCAGCAGAGCTCATAGAAACGGCATCTTTTGTCACTCACTCAAACTCGTCCGGCGCTGCGTCTACAGACGACCCCTCGCCCCCCGCCGGCTGTGCCAGCACCGGTCCGCTCTCTGGCACGATCATGGCGACACTGTAAAATCTCTGGGCCGAGAAGGGCGGCAGGACGGGACGACACGGCAGGAAGAGCATGCAACTGTCAGCCAGCTGTGCACAGTGGTCCTGTCCCACAGCACCGGAAGCAGGGGGGCAGGATGTCGGGTCAGATGTCGGCGAAGCAGCAGCTGTCACGGCGACAGAAGGCGGGTGGGGAGGCGGCAGCTGCGGTGTGCTGGATCGTCTCGTCGAACAGGCGGGCTTGGTGCAGACAGAAGCCGTCAGGATGACTCGATTCGGCGACCAGCAAAAAAGCGACGATGCGGTGCGAAGACTGGCCGCTGCTCTGCCGCTGCTCACCGCCCAGGCTGCGAGGAGGGGTAGTTTCCCTTGGACAGTAGTAGGCCTGCAAGCAGCTCTTGCCCGAAGCAGAAAGGCGTGCGTTTGTCAGCTGGCCCAAAACGGTCCTCTCTCGGACATCTGGACATCTGGAATTTGGACATCTGGGATCTCTGGCCGCATCGCTTTCCCCTCACGACGCGAGACGCTGCCGGAGCCGATTTTGTTTCTTGTACACCACCGCCTCCTGCACACCTCCGCACGCCGAGTCATGGCCGCCATCATCGATCCGACGACGGGCCAGCCGCTGCCAGCCGACGCCATCCAGCGGCTGCTCTTTGTGGCGCCCAAGGTGCACGTCTACCAGATTCCGCCGCTGACGTCGACCAAGGGCTACGCGGCGGCCGCCTGGACGACCGATCCGCAGCGCCACATCTTTACGGCCCGGTTGCGCGTGCTCGAGACGGGCACGGACGCAGACGAGGCCGAGGGCGAAGGTGAAGCGGCGAGCGACCTCCCGGAAAAAGTCCGTGTCGATATCGTGCTCGAGGACCCGTCGTCGGGCCAGCTCTTTGCCGCTGCACCCTACACCGCTGCTGACGTTGTCGAGGCCGCCCTCGACAGCGCTCGCTTCTACGCCCTGCGCGTCCAGGACCCCCAGGGCCGTCGGGCCATGCTCGGGCTCGGCTTCGAAGAACGCCCCGAATCGTTTGACTTTAGCGTCACGCTGCAGGAAGCCCGCAAGACGATCGGACTCGAACGCACGGCCGATGCTGCCGTTCGCGCTTCTGCTGGTCGTCGTGCTGCCGCTGCCGGCTCCGCCCAACAGCCGTCCGACGAGGACGCGGCCGCTCGCCGCGACTACAGCCTCAAGGACGGCGAGACCATCACCGTCAACCTCAGCAGCTCCAAGTTTGGCCGTCGTGCCAACACCAGCAGCAACAGCAGCAACAGCAACTCCGCTGCCTCCAGCCCCAGCCCTGGAGGCTTCTCTCTCCCTCCTCCGCCACCACCACCACCGGCTGTCTCTTCCGTCTCCTCCTCTGCCGCTTCGTCCTTCTCCCTGCCGCCACCCCCATCTGCCAATCGCCGTGCCAGTGCTCGTCGCTCCGTCGGCGATCCCAACTTTCTCAGCGGCTTCAACCTGCAGCAACAGCACCAGCTGCATCTACAACAACAACAGCAGCAGCAGCAGAAACAGACTGCTGCCGATCTTGGCTTCGATGACGGCCAGAACGACGAGTTTGCTTAAATGCCCGAGAAATCGAACATGTTGGCACCTAATAATCCGTCTAGAAAGTCTGTAAATAAATTCACTGCCGCATACCAACCCTTTTTGGCCCGTCTTCAACGGCGCTTGTGCAGGATCACATCATAAGCCAATCAGATACCTACATAGTCTCCTAATACTGAACAGTCTGTGTATCTACTCCCATGCCTCCTCATACGTTGTCGTCTGGCCAGACCGACCGCCGTGGCGGCAGGCTCATACGCTTCTGCTTAGTCTGCGAAGAGTCCGTAGCCATGCTCCAAGACCCTCTCCTGACCCTGACCTGTTTGTGCGCATCTTGCTCTTCTGCCGATTGACACGCTTCCTCGTCCACCTTGCCGTCATCCAACGTCGATTCAGACCCAACCGAGAGTCTTGCCCTATCCGCCGAAAGTCCAGAGCTTTCCGTATCCAACATCTTACGCGGCCGAAAAATCGGTGCCAAGGGACTGATTGCGCTGCCCGACAGCGGTGAAAGAGCATCGGCGTTGATCTGTGCCTGCTCCTGGGCCATTTGCTGCTGCTGCTGCTGCTGCTGCTGCTGCAGGTACTGAAGATGGACAAGTCGATTGCGTCGCTGCATCTCCGACCGTACCTCGACCAGGCGTCCGTTGATCAGGCGTTCCTGTTGCTCCGCATCCGCAATCTTGCTCTGCACGAACCCGACTTCTTTGCGCAGCTTCCGAGCTTCGCCTGCACTCTGCTGCACTTGCTGCTGCGTCTGTACGCTGCACAACGTTCCCAGAAGTGCTTGGATCCGCGCATCCTGTCGCTGAAGGCTGGCCAGCAGATACTGGTGTTCGTTGCACACTTCGTCGAAAGGCCTTAGATCGACGTTGAGCTGCCGCCATCCTGTCTGTCTCGCTGTCTTGGCTAATGGCGTCTTGGGGCTGTCGACACCTGGCTGATCGTTCGTGCCCATCGTGCCGGCTTTAAAGGGATGGCCGGTGCCTGTTTCGGTTGTATCTGCACTCTGCCATGGAAAGAAAGACGTAAAATTTCCGTAAGATGGCGTGCATCAATGGGCCTATATGACCACTGCACCGTCCGTCAAAGAACAACGCTGCCCGCCATACTTTACACCACCAGAATGTGCCCTGCTCCCGCATTGGGAGCTGCGTATTGAAGGTCGTGTGTTGTTGGCTGGTGCAAACAAAGCCTCTAGACGCCTCGGCCCACGAAGGGATACATTGTGGCGCTTCGACTAAGCGCCAACCGACATGGCAGCTGAAACAAGTGCTGGAAAGTAGAGGCCAACTTCTTTACCATCCCGCTCCTCCATGGCTTGTTCGTTTGTTCGCGCTGGCATCACGGGGACCTCGGAACAGGTGTGTCCCTTGCGTTGGCACAACCTCTTTTCCTGACTGCACAAAGAGCACGCCATGCAAGTTCTGACGCCTCAGAGATTGAACCCATAGTGCCTTGGTGGGTCGCAGAAACGCCAGAGCCCAGCCTTCTCAGCAGCCTTCCGAACGGCAGACACTTCTTTGTCCGTCACCGCGCGGTTGATATCCGCGTATCGGACCTTGCTAGAGCCTTCGTCGTCGTCGGCATTGCCGCCCTGAGACTTCCCTGCCCGCTTTGGCTTTCCCACATACGCATCCGGGTGGTACTGCTCCATGATGTTGACAAACACGTCTCGAGACAGCTCCTCGGCCAGCCACTGCATGATCGTCGCGCCCTCCTCCTCGAGGCCGGGCATCACCAGGTGGCGCACAAGAACACCCTTCTTGGCGATGCCGTCAGGCGTGAAGCAGAGGTCGCCGACCTGCGCATGCATCGCCTTGATGCTCTCGCGAGCCGTCGCCGCGTAGTCGTCTGCCTTGAGGAGCCGGCGCGACGTCGTCGGCTCCCACACCTTGAAGTCGGGCAGGTACATGTCTACGAGCCCATCGAGAAGCTCAAGCGACGCAAGGGAGTCGTAGGCCGACGTGTTGTATATGATCGGTAGCGTGAGTCCGTTGGTGCGCGCGTGGAGAAGCGCGAGGGCCACCTGCGGCACCACGTGCTCGGGTGTGATGAGGTTGATGTTGTGGACGCTGCCGACTTCCTGCAGCTTGAGAAACCAGTCGGCCAGCTCTTCGGGCGTGAGATCCATGCCGTTCCGTTGGTGGCTGATGTCGTGGTTCTGACAGAACGAGCAGCGAAGATTGCACATGCTATCGGACAACACGTCTTAGCCAACTGCAGGATACGAGGAAAGATATATCCTACCTGAAGAAGACGCTTCCGCTGCCATTGTGCCCCTGGACACACGGCTCTGTCCGGCGGGTGGGTATCAGTGTCGTAGTCACACCGGCTGACGACATGTGCCTTACCTTCGCCGAAATGCGGCGCAATCACATTGACCTTGGCCGTGTCACCGCCAATCAGACACATGCCCGTGGTCTCGTACCGGTTGACGCCACAGAGACGCGGGCAGAGGTTGCAGTTGCGCAGGTGGCCATATGCCCGTGAGCGCTTCTTGGACGCTTCGATCTCCGACAGCGTCAAGAAGCGTGGGATGTAGTCGTCGACCAGAAATGGCGGTGCCAGATGGAGGCTCCTCTCACGCGAGCGCCATCGCAAGGGGGCCACAGCCAGAGGGCGATGTCGGCCGAGCCCAGGTGGAGAGCGACACCAGCTGACAAGCCTCATCGTGGAAGCTAGAAGCTTTGGAAGCAGACGCAAGCAATTGTAATGAGAATACAAGATACCACGAATAGAGAATTGGACTTCCCAAAGCAGCCACTAGAATCAGGCGAATTACACACTGCGTTTGCGCCTAATCGAGCAGCTGCGAGCGCTGCCTGATGGGGTAAGAGGCAGGTATGACCTGCACTGCCGCACTGCTATACCTGCAGACCCTCCCTGCTGTACGGAGCATTAGATCGCAGATCGCTAGCACTCTGTGGTTCAGTGCTTCCCAGCTCCCAGCAGCCAGACTCGTAAGATCGCACATGTTGGCTCGAGGCGGGCCCAACCAATGATAATTCCGTCTGCGCGTTATATCTCGTCTTCCGGTCTGGCCGGCTGTGACCGACTCGGTCTGGCGCCTCACTTCCGATCGGTCCGAAGCTTCTGTCGACTGTCGAGACTCACGTTATCATGGCCGTCTATTAAAGCCGCCAGAGCCTCTGCTAGAATTCCGACCTGCTGCCCCTCCTGCCGAGGACCCACGCGATACCTACATCGCCTCGCTCGTCGCCCCTTCCGTTTTGTATCCGCGGGTACTTTTACCTGCCCCGCTACCGGTCATCAATGCCAACTAGCTCTCTAGCAAACTTTCCTCTTTCTGCCCTTTTTTCCTGCTCTGCTCTGCTCTGCTCTGCTCTACTCTAATGGTTCCAGGCGGCGGTCATCAGCGGTCGTCGTGCTGAGTGTACGCCTTTCCCCTTTCCTTCTGTCTTTGTGGACTACCGCATTTTTTCCCCATCTCGTCACTCGCAACAACCCCATTCAACTTTTCGTCTTACCCGTTCTCTGGTTTCCACCTTGGCCCTTTTTCCAATTGATCCTGCCCGCCACCCTTTTTCACCCCTTTGCCTCCTCTGTCCTATTTGGATTTCAACCCGTCTCTCTCGCAAACCGCCATCTTCACTGCTGCCAGCCTCCCGATAGCAACATCGCCATATCCTGGACCTGTCCAAACTCCTGCGACCATTCTGGCCAAAATGGAAGTCGGCACGGATGATAAACAGCCCGAAGGTAAATCCACAGCCTATCATCGCTGACGTGAGCGCGCGCAAACAGCGGCTCCTACAGCGGCTCCTACATACCCCACCCCCCCCCCCCTCCTTCCCTCCCCCTGTCTTCCCTCCAAATCAACGTTCTTGATAAACAAGACGGGTGCCAAAAGAGAAATCCCAGAACAGCAGAGACTTGCGACAAACACTGGTGCCGTCCGTACTACAGACAACTAACAGTCACCGCGCGTATGGCAGCTGTGAATCCACTAGAAATCCATCCCGAATCCCCCTCCGATGCTCCCGGTGCAGAGGAAGAGCCAAAGTCTAGCCCCTCCGTTCGATTTCAGTCCAAGGTACAAGAGATTGGCCCTGTGGAGCTGTTGCCCGAAACAGATCAGACTAGGGAGGATGAGCAGGGTTCCTATGGCCACAATGCAAGTGGCTCAGAAGGCGTGACCCAGGAACAGATACGTGCTCTTACCAACTCGATGCGCACTGCCCACCTGCAAGGCCTCCGAATAGCCAACTTCTCTTACGAGCCGTTCTCCCTCCCGGCGTCAAGGGTAAGCAAGATACACAGCTGGCCTTTAGCCTAAGATCTGCCCAGAAGCTGTCTCGGCCTTCATCGGATGTGGGATGGGTCCCTGCTAACCACTTTCAGACTACATCCCACGATGACGGGTCATCACACCACACCACCCGCCAACACACTCCGATCTCGACCACAGGTCCCCATTCACCAATGCTCGGCGCCAAGGGCCACGACATGCAGTCGCCTCCACTAACGCCCCTGGGCAGCGCCCATGTCGACGGAGAAGCCAGGTCTCCCAGGTTGTCAGGTCTACATCACGGCTCCGCATCTCCGCAGGCGGCGACACGGGAAGCCTCGCCCGCCAGAATGGCCCTGGCCGCACAACGGCCACAACGGCCGGCGTCTTCCGACGACATCGCGCGCCGCCCAGCATCCTCGTCAGGAGCGCATGACCACCCGCTAGCCGGCAATCACCGGAATGGCTTGTTCAGCATCGGCCCAACCACCAGCGGCTCTGGTGGCCCTTCCGGTGGATCACTGCCAGTGTCACGGGAATCAAGCGCTTCCGAACGGTCTGCCTCGCAGTACTATTCGCGTCCCTTCACGCCTTCTGGTGACGCCAATGATCCGTACGCTGCCAACAAGCGCCATCCTCAGAACAAGATCGAGCCTCGCTTTGTTTTCTCGCGACTGTCGAGAAGGAAGGATCACTCGCCGACCGCTTCTTCCATCTCTCTTTCCAAGTACAAGGATGAGAAACGTCACTCAGGCTTCTTTAACAATCACCACCACCACAGGTCGGACACCGGCGATACCGTCCAGGCCGATGAAGGCTCCGCTTCATCGCTGCACAGTCGCCAGGGTTCCATGTCCGATCTCAAGCGTTTCTTCAAACTCGGCCCGTCTCACCATCACAAGATCAAGCGAGCTGTGTCACCAGCTCTGTCCATCCGCTCTGCTCGCTCCTCAAGGGCCACGGACAATGCTGGTTCAAGATCAAACGTGCAAATGCCTTTTGCCGACGACTCGCTGTCGTCCAAATACGGAAAGCTTGGTAAAGTCCTCGGCGCCGGCGCCGGCGGATCCGTCCGCCTCATGAAGCGAAGCGAAGACAGCACCGTTTTTGCCGTGAAGGAGTTTCGCGCGCGCCATACCTATGAATCCGAGAAAGAGTATGTCAAGAAGCTGACTGCCGAATACTGCATCGGCTCGTCTCTCCACCATGGCAACATCATTGAGACTCTCGACATCATCAGTGAAAAGGGGAAATGGTATGAAGTTATGGAGTATGCGCCCTACGATTTGTTCGCCATTGTCATGTCTGGCCGCATGTCCCGTCCTGAGATTGCCTGCTGTTTCTTACAGATCCTGAGCGGTGTGACCTACCTGCACAGCATGGGATTGGCCCATCGGGATCTGAAGCTAGACAACGTCGTCGTCAGCGAACACGGCATTATGAAAATTATTGATTTTGGCAGCGCTCATGTGTACCAATATCCGTTTGAAAATGGCGTTGTCATGGCGTCAGGTTAGTAGCATTTGTCTTACCGTCTTTCCCCGCTCTACAAGAAGTACATATCTGACCACCGGGCAGGTATTGTGGGTTCCGATCCTTACCTGGCGCCTGAAGTCTATGACGACCGGAAGTATGACCCAACAGCAGTTGACATCTGGTCGCTTGCTATCATATACTGCTGCATGACACTCCGCCGATTTCCGTGGAAGGTTCCGCGCACGACTGACAATTCCTACAAGCTGTTTGCTGCGGATCCGACTCCAGGCCATGATCCCATGCGGTTGGGCGATCAGCGAAACAGAAGTTCAAATGACACTCCTCGATCAGAAGATGAAAAGAAAGTCAAGGAAGCGAAAGCAGACGGTGTGGAAAAGGACGTCAAGGAAGCCAGAGTCGGCAAAGATGACAAGGCCACGAAAGACGACAAAAATGGAAAAAATGGCCAGGCCGCTCGCCCAAGTTCCGACAGCAAGGATGGCAAGGACGAAAAGAGCGAAAAAGACGATAAGAAAGAGACTGGCATTGACAAAGCTGGCGACAAATCCGGCGACAAGCCCGCCGAGAAGAAGGAAGTCATCAAAGGCCCGTGGCGGATTTTACGCCTTCTTCCCCGTGAAAGTCGGCACGTCATCGGTGGCATGCTGAAAATCGACCCCAAGGACAGGATAAAGATGGGCGAAATTCTCAAGGACCCGTGGGTCTGTAACACGGTTATCTGCCTCCAGACTCAGCCAGGAAAAGTGATTCGAGCAAACACACACACACACGTCCTCGAAGCACCCGCGCCAGCTATGAAGTAGCTGCTGGTCTGGCTACTTAAATTCGGTGCTTTTTCCACATCACCGGTCTAACCTACTTGTGCTGTAGTATTCAATAGAGCGTGTAGTATCTTGGATGTAGTTTGCCTTTCTGGTTTTGATTTCCTTCTACATAGTACCTATGATTTCATTTTGGGGGGCAGGGGGGGATGGTTTAGGCATAAGGATAGGATGGGTTGCCTCTAGGAGTGTTGTAGGTTTGGAATGGCCTTGATAGATTACGGCATACAGAAGGGGCGACCTATAAACAGGCTTCTGCAATAAGTGCTGTGGCCCTCGGCTATTATTCCCATTTATGCGGGGAGAACCGTCGCGAGGCCGAGTTTTGGTGAACCCAATGAAATGGCAGAAGCGGTTCCGGAAAATCCGTCAGACCGACGCCAGAAAAAATTGGACCCGTTTGTCGGTTGTTTCTAGATGCTCTTAGAAGCTCTTGGATTTTCTCACTTAACGTGCAAAATCCTTCCTTTCCGGCGCAAGCTCTCCTCCAATTGAACTGTTGCCGATTGCTCAGCAGACCGATTCCCGTAACCGCTACCCGTCCAAACTCCCATTTAACAACTCCCAGCTTCGTCAAAATGGTGAGTGCATTTGATTTGTCATGTGTCGCTGGGGACGATATGTGCCTGGCGCACGCCCCAGATGAGCAGATAGACAGGAGCATATCTGACACAACTTTTTCCCGCACTACCAGGCCAGCTCTATCCGCTCTATCAAGTCGCTTGTTCCCCTTCTCGACCGGGTTCTGGTCCAGCGCGTGAAGGCCGAGGCCAAGACCGCTAGCGGCATCTTCCTGCCCGAGTCCAGCGTCAAGGACCTGAACGAGGCTCGCGTGCTGGCAGTCGGCCCGGGTGCGCTCGATAAGGAAGGCAAGCGGACACCAATGGGTGTCTCGGCCGGCGACAAGGTGTTGATCCCCCAGTTCGGCGGCAGCCCGGTCAAAGTCGGCGAGGACGAGTACCACCTCTTCCGCGACAGCGAGTAAGTATTTGCCGGCAACATCTGACAAGGAGACCTATATTGGTGACTGACTGAATCCTCTAGCATCCTGGCTAAGATCAACGAGTAAAGCCTCGGCAGGTCGACGTGTTGCGATTAGAAGAGAAAAAGACTTCTACCGAAGAAGAAAATTAAAATATATATTTACACATTTTCATGAGACACGAGGATCATTGCCTTTTACTGGCGGGAGGAGAAAAGGCCTGATCGGTGTCTCGCTGACGCGAAACAATACTAATGCTTCCAAGACGTCAAGATGACTAAATGGAAAAGACCAAATGACTAGCATGGTTGACAAGCGACAGCACAGCGAGACACGGCTCTCTGTTTGGGGGAGCGGAAGCATAGGCAATATGGGGCTGCTACTTTTGAATGAATCTTTGTTTGGGTAGACAGCTACAAGGCTCGCCAAGGCGTTAAAAAGCAAAGGTACATTATAGAATAATCTCCACTCAGCCCATAAGATATGGCTCCAATAGAATCTGCCATCGACAAGAAAAACCGCAAGCAAAGCCTTCCGGTGCAAGGTCGAGTCTTCGGCTGTCTCATCTTTCATCACATTTCAATTTACCCCGTCTCGTTTTCTCGTCGTTTTCTCGTCAGCTCAGTCTTGCTTCAGCCTACCGCTGCCAAACGAGCAATATGCTGCTGTTGGATGGCGCATGACCTGACAGAAAACTAGCCAAGTGACTGTCCGTTCTTTAGGTTTAGGCGAAGATGGTTGGATCCAGCTGGTTGACCGTGGACCTTGAACGTGAGTACTCAGACCGGAGGTCCGCCTTTCTTAAAGGAACTACCTCGCAGGAGTGGCTGTACCGAGTAAATATACTTGAAACTTATCCTTCAGGGCCGCATGGCAGGTGAAATAACTGATCACAACAGAACCAAGGGAAATGTGTGTGACAAGTCATGGCGAGTAATATAATCATTGGCAAGACCAACTCGAAAACTTGCTTCTTCTAGTAGGAAAAAAACGCGACTTGGAGTTAAAGTAAAAAAATAATGTACGAACTATGCATCTCGTCTGGTTGAAAGAAAGCTAGATAGGCCCAAAGTTTTTAATGTATGCTGACACTTCGCTGGCTTTTTATTGAGGATGCCTTCTACCACATAACGTGGAAGTTTTCTTGCATCACCTTCCGATTGCTCTCGGCCTATCTTTTAGCCTTTCCGCCTTCATTTGTTTACACCCATGAACAGGTGAGCGAAATCTGACAAAAAAGATATGAAGTACCCAGCTTCTCATTGATAAAACCAGACACTGCTGTACTGCTTTACTTTGCCACCACCGACAAAGCTGCCGGGTTGCAACGCCTTCACAATGATGCTGGCACATAACTTTATGGCTACACTTGTGTTTACCTTTGCGGCTGCCACCAGTGCCCACACTACTTTCACGGCCCTCTTCGTAAATGGCGTCAACCAAGGTGATGGCACTTGCGTCCGCCAGCCAAAGGATCCTCAGACGTCGACTTTCCCACTACGGGATCTGACCAGCACTGATATGATTTGTGGTAGGTTCTCCAACCAGCTGTTGACTAATGATTTCGCGAGAAGTATGACCAGTCTGACAGTCTTTTTTCAGGCAGAGACGGGCTTGCTTCTGTCAGCTTCACCTGTACCGTTCCGGCCGGCGCCACGCTGACCTTTGAGTTTCGCGAGAACCCCGACGGATCCAAACCGGGTACCATCGACCCATCCCACAAAGGGCCTTGTGCCGTATATATGAAACAGATGGCCAGCATGGGCACGATTCTATCCACGCCTACCGACGGTTGGTTCAAGATCTGGGAGCAGGGCTACAGCGCCGACACGAGTCAGTGGTGCACCGAGAAGCTCATCAAATCCAACGGCCTGCTCTCTGTTGCACTGCCACCTGATATCCCAGATGGCAGCTACCTTGTGCGGCCACAGCTTCTGGCGCTGCATGAGGCACAGGTCAGCGACCCGCAGTTCTACGTTGGCTGTGCGCAGATTTTTGTCACCGGCAGCAGCGGCAGCGGGGATCTATACGGAACAATTCCCGAAGGATACGAGGCCACAATCCCCGGCTATGTCAAAGCAGGAGATCCTTCCGTGACGTTTGATATATACGAGCTCATGTTCCCTTACCAGGTTCCGGGGCCGTCGGTGTATTTTCCCACGGAACGCTCTGACAGGGGCAACTCTGCTGCTTCTGCTGCCTTGGTAAAGGCGGTTCTCAGTTCAGGCGACCTCGCCGTGTCCCGCAAAGCCAATGTCGCGTTTGTGCCCCAAAGCTGCCTCATCAAGAACGCTAACTGGTGCGGCGTCGAGGTTTCCACCTACTCCACGGAAAGCGGCTGCTGGGACGCCTCAGCCGACTGCTTCCACCAGGAGGGGGTCTGCTATGAATCAGCACCACCTTCAGGCCACGCCAATTGTGACGTGTGGGACAAAAAGTGCTTGGAGATACAGGCTGCTTGTGCGGCTGGGAACTTTGATGGACCACCCAACACGGGTCGTAGGCTGCAGCAGGTAGAGGCGGTCGTTCCTGGAGCCATCCCGTCGCCCGATACTGGTTTCGCGACTCCACCGGCTAGTGCTGGTATTGGAAGTAGACGGCAGTCGAAGAGATCGTCTCGAATTTAGCCTGGAGAGGTTGAATAAGTCGAAACTGCTTGTACAAGTGGTATCGTAAGATCACGTGACTTGAAAGCATTGCAGAGACCTATACGCCCACCGTGAAATTAATAAAATCACGCAATTTCTAAGGACCAATCACAGTTGACGTTCTCCTCTAAGTTTGCCCTTTAAAGGTCAGGGTGCCGCCGCCCAACTCTGCCTTTACACCTCATCTCTTCATTTCGGCGGCTTGCTTGCTGCTGAGGACGAGTATCGGCTGTTTCCAGGCTTGGTTTTGAGCCGCCGGTGCCGAGGAAGCACAGCAGGACAACGAGCACATACGCTTTAGCCTATCCAGATCGCATACACATAAAGCACGGAAATCGCACACGAGCTCGGCAGATCAATAGGTTTGACTCTTTCTATTCTTTACCCAACCACACAGCACCAGTCAACGTTTGTTGGCGGTTGCTATCCGGTGTCACTATTCTACTTCTTTGGTTCTTATATCCCAATAATTTCCTGCTTCTTGTTGTCATCCAGTCATCATTGTTTAGTACGTTGGTGTCTATTCCTTAAGAAGTTTCCCATACGCGGTGTAGTATCCGCATTTCTCGACGTGGCTGCTCTTGCTCGTCTTCTCATTGAAGATGTTGCAGCCTCCCTTTGCTACGTTTGGTGGAGTGTACACTACATGAGTTCATGTCAGTTGTCATATCCACTTCATATCTCCTGTGACGAGACACTCACGATGAAGCGACACAGCGAAGTCGCTGCCTTTGTTCCACATCCTGTGAACACCAAGCTCGTCGGCCATATAGGCGACAGCGTTCTCCGAGTATGTCTTCTCAGAGGTGACATTCATGGGTCCTTCCTGGCCGTCTTCAGGGAATCTATAACGCGTCTCGGTGAGGTTGCCGTGCAAGATCTTCATGAGGCAGTGGGCATTGCCATGGTCATGGATCGGGCTACCTTTGCCTGGCGACCACACGAGCACAAGCTGTGTTGCGATGTGTTATTATTTGTGCGGACTACAATGACGAACCGAGTGGTTCGTTTGAAGTTAAAGACAGGAAGGGTAGACAATAAGACATACTAGGTTACTCTTTCCATTACCCTCATCAACAAGGTTGCGGGTGTAGCCACGACTGGCATCGCCAAAGTTGTACGGCATCCATCCCTTTTCTTTTGCATCATACTTCTCCATCAGGCGAGTGAGGTGTCCGACATCAATATCGTCCGACGTCAGGCCTGATGATGGCCCCAAAGCATGCTTCAATCCCAGAATGAGGGTATCGAACCGATACTTATCATCGACGCACGCCATATGGGGTGACGACGACACCACGAGACCGTTGGGCATTGCCGAGATAACGCTGGTGGCCATTGTTTTGAATTTCTGTCTAGCTGTCGGGGGAAACGAAACACGATTGATTGAAAGGATGCTTCGACTGGCAAAGGATGTTGGGATTATGATGATATTCTATGGATGCTTGCTGGCGATGATGAGTGTGGTTCGATGGACAATGGAATGGAGAGAAAAGGGGGATGGAGTCAAATGAAAGAAGACTCGTGTCCTGTCGACTCGCTGGCGGGGAGGGGATCGGATGTCGGGCGATAGCGGATGTTGCGGTCATTCCTGTTTCGGGGCACCAACCTCGCATCAGGCGCAGCGGCAAGAAGTTCCTCCAGTGTCTTTGCGCCTAGGAAGAGGCGGTGTCAGATGTGCACCCTTTTGGCCGGCGGTGGGCTCCGGGCTCGTGTAGGTGGTTCAGCTGTTACTCCGTACTGTGTCTTGGCCAGTCACGTTTATGCGTCCGATCTCGGTTGTGGGCTGCCGGCTGCAAATGTAGAAGAGCACAGTAAAAGGATAGTGTGCAGCGTTATCTCAATTTGCAGGTCTGGTTTATCTGAACGGCCGACTTCGAATTCGCAGTCTGTCCGGCGCATTATGCAAAACTTGCGACTGAATATTGGCTACAGTGGCGGCGGTATGCTACCGAAAGACAGCGCAAGAAGAATACTAAAAGACTTAACTTGCTCATATAGCGAGCGCATCCGTATGAAAAGATGGTTGCCAGAAGTTAGGCCCGAAAATTGGACTCCGTAAGATAACTGGGAATGACAGGCACTAGCAAAATTTGGACGGCGCTGGAATTGTTTGTGGCAAGATTGGAGACTAATGTCTCCACCTAATTCGTTACACCGTGTAAGTAATTTTTTTTGCCGATAACCTTGTCGGCGACGGCACCGAGAGCCGCTTCAGACAGGGGTTTGCAACTACTGGTCGGCATCGAAGCATGAATCATAACCGGCTCTCGTTATTATGCCTTTTATTCAAGCCGTGACTCGAATTCGAAGCGCTCTTCATTTTAGTTATAAAGGGACCCGTCCGTAGACAATGGCTGACTGGAAGCTCACATGTACAGAGTAAGATCCATTCTACGGAGTAGTTCTTGCCATTTCTCTTAGCACGTGATTTCAAGTCATGGCGACAACCATCACCATGTCACAACTTACACCAGCAGGCATGGCCACGGAGGGCAAACTCGCCCCGATGTGCCCATCGGGGGACCAGCTGCAGAGCGACAGCCAGCCCGACACCAATCAAACAAGTAGCCAGACAACGGTCCAGCCCTGCAGACCATGTAAAAACAATACCGGCTGGCGACGCATTATCCGCAACTTCACTCCATCGTACGGCAGCTTCCTATTTTCGCGTTTCGTTTGTCTTGTCATCTGACCTGATCCCAGCTGGTTTTCCGTCAATATGGGCACTGGGATTGTGTCCATCTTACTGCACAATTTGCCTTACAGCACAGAGTGGATGCGATACATTTCCATTGCCATCTTCGCCCTCAACATTAGCTTGTTTTCCGTCTTCATGACCATCACAATGGCACGGTATATACTGTACCCAGAGATCTGGGCCGTCATGATCAAACATCCGGCCCAGTCGCTCTTTCTGGGATGCATACCGATGGGCTTTGCTAGTACGCATTACCTCCCACCGAACACGCCTGGGATTTGCGCGTGCTGACTTATCTCAGCTATTATCAACATGCTTGTCTTTGTCTGTGCTCGCTGGGGCAACTGGGCCATATATCTGGCCTGGGGCCTCTGGTGGGTGGACGTGGCCATGTCCTGCGTCACCAGCCTGACGATTCCGTTCATCATGTAAGATCCCGGCCGCTCAGCCCGTGGTGCTCTCGCTGGCTCACAAAAACGAAACACAGGGTCCGTCTCCACAAGAACCAGCTGTCCAACATGACCGCTGCCCTACTGCTTCCCGTCGTGCCCGTCATTGTCGCCGCAGCGTCGGGCGGCATCGTGGCCGAGGTTCTTCCCAACGACAACCATGCTGTGATCACCCTCGTGGTTTCGTACATCATCTGGGGGCTGGGCCAGGCCTTCTCTTTTCTCATCATGTCTATCTATTTCCTGCGCTTGCAAGTTCACGACCTGCCACCCCGCGAGGCCATTGTGTCTGTGTTTTTGCCCATCGGGCCGCTCGGTCAGGGCGGCTTCGCCATTCAGCAGCTCGGCAAGGTGGCCATTGGCCTGCTCCCCGTCACCGGTGCCTTCAACGGTGTCAGTATACCGACCGGCAGCAGCAGTGCCATGGCAGCCAGCGCCATGAACGGTGGCGTTGTCCTGTACATGGTAGGCATTCTGTGCGCCTTTGTCATGTGGGGAGCCGCCTTGGGCTGGCTTGCCTTTGCCATCTTCGCCATCTCGACTACCAGGTCGTTTCCCTTCAACATGGGCTGGTGGGGTTTCACCTTTCCGTTAGGAGTGTTCACCACATGTACTGGTCTGATGGCCACCGAACTTTCGAGTATATTTCTCAAAGTCCTGACCGAGGTAAGACAAACAACAACACAGACATACAATGGATCCCTGCGCAGCCTGCTGACTCCGAGTCGTTCTTTGTTAGATCTTCTCTATCTTGATTTTGTGTCTCTGGGCTGTCATCGCTGCTAAGACTGTCCTCTTGGCTCTAACCGGCGACATGTTTTATGCCCCCTGTTTGAAAGACTTGAGTTCCGGGACGGTGACAAATGCGGAGGAGAAGACAGCATAGACTGCCGACGCAGAGGGGTATAAAAGAAAAGAGGACGTTTAGAAATTCAGCATTGATGAGAGCTATGATTTGTTTTGTATATCCAATATAGATAAGGCAGCTTAAAGCCCATACTAAAGTTCTGCTCAGGTTACTGCAGATGGCCTATTATAGGGTCTCAATCGCCCATTCAGCCGACGCTGGCCCTAATAATTCATTCTCACAATATGGGTCGCGCCTGCCTTGCGCTGTGGGTTGGGGCTAAACTGCCACGGCTAACGAATGAGGGGCTCGTCAAATCGCATTGCGAAATCCCCACTCATTAGAAAAAACCATTACAGCTTCACGTCGAAGGCAGTCGACGACACTGAAGCTGGGATCGACAAGCAGCTATGGCCTCGACCGTGCGGGCCTCCAGCCCAGTTCTGCGCGATTTCGCAGACGGTAAGGTACTTGGCAACGCCCACGGAAAACACACTTGACTGACTGTGTCCAGGAGCCACTGACATATGGCATCACTACCGTATTCCAATCATCCTTTCCACATTTGCCATCTTGGTTTCCCTGCGCATATATTTCTTCTTTACGGACAAAGGTGATGATCATAAGGAAGGTCTACTTGTCTTCCCCAAGATCTACAACGCAGATGATGCGACAGACAAATCAAAAGTAGACGACAGAGCCGAGAAAGCGCCAGCAACAGTGATTGCCGAAGTAAGCAGCCTAGGAGACGAAAAGAGAGGCAATGCTGCTCTGGTATCCACAGAAAAGCCTGCAAGTAGGTCGGCGACAACGGCAGCTGGGCCGCGAAGAATCAAGGGCGAGTTGCCTGTTGGGCGTGGCCGGGCAGAGAACGGCGTAGCAACCGCTCGCTCGTCTATAATACAATCCGTTATCTTCTTTTCTTCCCTGACCGGGGCTACGGCCAAAATTGTCCAAGACTATGCTACAAAGCTGGGCGAATCTCTAGAGTCTCACGAGAAAAGCAAGGGCACTACCTTTGCGGCTCCCCAAGTCTTGGATCTGGCTGAGGTGGACTACGACGAGTACTTTATCACACCGCCGACTCTCACGAAAACAGCCGATGGCGAGGGCGATGGCTCAGCAGCCGACTTCTTCTACCTCTTCCTCATTCCAAGCTACAACATCGATTCGATCAACGATACGTTCCTCGAACATCTCAAGGAGACACACCACGACTTCCGCATTGATACAGCACCTCTGACGCCTCTGATCGGCTACTCTGTCTTCGGCTTTGGCGACAAGGAGGGCTGGCCCACGGAGGAGGAAGGCTTTTGCACCCAGGCCAAGGAGATTGACAAGTGGATGGCCAAGCTGTCGGGTCGCAAGCGAGCCTTCCCGCTGGGCTTTGGTGACAGCAAGTCCGATGCGATGGTGCGGCTGGCCGAGTGGTCAGACGGTGTTGTGGAAGTGCTTGATATATTTTCGCAAACCGGTAGTCTGGGCGAAGGCGTACCTGGCTCGGGCGATCCTACCGAAAGCGACGATGAAGAGGCTGACGACGAGGATGCGGAGTATGAAGACGATGAGGTGCTCTTCAGCGAGGACGCGGCTCGAAGTGCAAACGTAAACCGCCTCAAGAAGACGGGTATCATCGACGACGTCGAGGATCTGGGCCGGATCCTGCAAGAGTCCCAGGAAGACAGCAAGGCGAGCACAACGCCGGCACCGATTGCTGTTGACTTCACCTCTTACGATGGCACCGGAAAGGGCCCACGTCGTGCAGGACGTGGGACCAAAGCGGCGCCGGCACCGACGATTGTGCGGGAGATGGTGGCCAAGGACTCTCCCACGTACAAGTCCTTGACGAAGCAGGGGTACGCAGTGGTGGGGTCGCACTCTGGGGTCAAGATTTGTCGGTGGACCAAGTCGGCGCTGCGTGGCCGTGGATCGTGCTACAAGTATTCGTTCTACGGCATCCACTCGCACCAGTGCATGGAGACGACGCCATCGTTGTCGTGTTCCAACAAGTGCGTTTTCTGTTGGCGTCACGGCACCAACCCGGTGGGCACGTCGTGGCGGTGGGTGGTCGACCCGCCCGATCTCATCTTCAACGGGGTCAAGGCCAACCACTACCAGAAGATCAGGACTCTGCGCGGCGTGCCTGGCGTGCGTGCCGAGCGGTTTGCCGAGGCGATGCGCATCCGGCACTGCGCGCTGTCGCTGGTGGGCGAGCCGATCTTCTACCCGCACATCAACGAGTTCTTGGGCATGCTCCACAGCGAAGACATCTCATCCTTTCTGGTGTGCAACGCGCAGCACCCGGACCAGCTGGCAGCGCTGCACCACGTTACGCAGCTGTACGTGTCGATCGACGCGGCCAACCGGGACTCGCTGCGCAAGATCGATCGGCCGCTGCACCGCGACTTCTGGGAGCGGTTCCAGCGCTGCCTGGAGATTCTGCGCGAGAAGCGCTTTCGCCAGCGGACGGTGTTCCGGCTGACGTTGGTCAAGGGCTTCAACATCGAGGACGAGGTGCGTGGCTATGCGGATCTGGTAGAGAAGGCGCTGCCGTGCTTCATCGAGATCAAGGGGGTCACGTACTGCGGCACATCCACGTCTGCCGGTGTCGGGCTGACGATGGCCAACGTGCCGTTCTACCACGAGGTGTGCGACTTTGTGGTGGCCCTGGACAAGGAGCTGCGGGACCGGGGACTGGCGTACGGACTGGCGGCCGAGCACGCGCACAGCTGCTGTGTGCTGATTGCGAGCGAGCGCTTCCGGGTGGACGGGCGGTGGCACACGCTGATCGACTACGACAAGTTTTTTGCGCTGCTGCGCGAGAAGGGACCAGACGGCGACTTCTCGCCCGAAGACTACATGGGCGAGGCAACACCGGAATGGGCCAACTGGGGTCAAGGCGGCTTTGACCCGCGTGACCAACGGGTGGATCGCAAGGGTCGTCCAATCATGGCGAACTAGCAGTTACAAGGATCTGGATGGGATGGACAGGAATCAAGAAGCTGGCGTCCCGATTGGATGGAGGGGTGCTCGCACGAGAGACACAATTTTGGGTAGATACCACGATGGTCAAGTGAAAAGCGATTTGATCCTGTAAATTTCTCCTTCCAGAATACCCGCTTCCATGCACCCTGGGTTGACCAACTGTGTTCTTGGGTTGAGATAGAAAAGAAGAAAAGAAAGACATCCATGTCTGCAGCGAGAGGCCCGGCAGAACACATGTCGCAAAGAGGAAGTGCAGCGACCTAATCCTTTGCTCGGTCGCAATACAACTTTATTTGTCGTCAAGACGCAGAATGGAGAGAGAGTGGGGTTGGTGAGGCGGCTTCCAACGGGACGCCGGCCATCGAGACGGATTTTCGTGTAGAGAAATACAGGGGTGGGGGCCATGAGGCCGGGAAGAGAGGAAGGGGAGGCCGAGAGCTTTAGTCGAGGCTCGCTTGTGGCGGGAATAGGTCGTTGACCCCGAGAGACGGCTGCGGGGCCATGTCGCGGATGCTGAGCTCGGCATCGAAGGCGATCATCTCGGCGAGGATGTCGAGGATGGGCTGGCAACAAAGAAGAGTGAGTCAGCAGGCGTCCAGCAGCGAAATAAAAGCATTCTCTCTCTCACCTTGGATACGGTCTGGTCATAGATGCGTATCAGATCGCCAGGCGTTGGGTAGACCTTGAGGGCCTTGTAGAAGTGGAGGGCAGACTCGATCGATTTGGTCGCTTTGAGGCTGTCAGTATCAATCTTGCATTGGGACGGAGAAGATGAATTGAGCTCACGGTCAGTACCCAGAGTCTCGCCCTTGGACACCTGGTCCAGGAAGAAGGCCTCCTTGTCCTCGACGCTGGTGGGAAAGCCCTCGGCCTTGGCCAGGTCGACGGCCAGCTTGATGACCTCGCGCTGCTTGGCGGTTTCCTTGTGAGCCATCTCCTTTTCAGCCCGGGCCTGCTGCCGCTCGTTTCTCCGGAGCACCCGGCGGAACTCGGGCTGCGACCGTCGGCGGTGGTCAAAGTAGAGGGCGTAAGCTGCAGCGGGTTAGCGGTCGAGAAGAGCGAAGCTGCAGGTGGAGATATGGCTCACCAACAAGGCCGGTTGCGACAGCCGCAATCGAGGCAGTGGTGAGTGATGTTGGCGGCATGGCTGCGGCAGAGCGGAGGAAGGAAAGCCCAAGGGCGAGAACTAGATCAATCCAATGGCCGGAGCAAGATCACACGAGGGCGCCCGGAAAGAAAATCGAACAGAGGGGGTTGCTTTGGCTGTGGTAGTGGTGAGAGATGGGGGAAAATTTTGTCGCGCCGCCGATCGCAAGCCGGTCTTCGTCGCTGGTCCGTGGTCTGGCTGTGAGCGGGCACCAATGACTCGATTGGAGCTGGCTGTCTGTCCTGTCTCGGCCAACGTGTTTGTGCAGTTGTCGTGCCGGTTGCGTAGTGCGTATTTTTTTTTCTCTCCGTCGCCCGTCGTCGCTGCGAGTCGAACATACCACTAGGCGAATTGCCAATGAATTTTTTTTTCAGTGGTCTCCCGCCAGCGACAGAGGCGCTGCGGCTGGCGGGCCTGGGCGGTTAGCCAATCAGTGAGCAGTGCGGGGCCTTTGCGGTAGCATGTGTTGAAGTGTCACGTGATCCTTCCTAGGAATAGGGAGGTCGGAGCTGGCAGCTCCCGATCGAGTTTCATGCTGCAGGTCGAGCGACCTCCAGGGCAGCAGCACGTATCCACCACGCTTTCGAGCAGAAGACAGTGCCGCGTTAGGATAGCGGCTAGCGGCGACACATCAGCACACAGCATGTCGGAGGACAGACTCAAGATCTCGCTGCGCAGCGGCACCAAGCGGAAGACGAGGCCAGTCATCAGCGCCCCGAGACAGATATCGGCACCGATCATCAACAATGGCCCACCGGACAGTGTTTCGCGGCTGGCGGGAGGAGCAGGGTCACGGCCGGCAGCCGATGCGCAGGTGGCAGCACGGCCGAGGCCACAGCCGCAGTCAGGAGGAAAGGTGTGTTTTTATTCGGTGTTTGTTTTGGGTTTCCCATGATGGAAGAGCTCTGACGCAGAACAGACGTCGGACCTGGTGAAACGGCGGTACTCGACACGGTTCAACGACATGCCCGGTCACGAGTTTGCCCCTCCGGTGCCGTCGCTGCCGTCGTTTGACCGATACGAGTCGTCGACCCGAGACCGACGGCAGGGCGGCAACGGGCTGCCAGCATCACGCGGGCGCGATGACCGAGGACTGCGCAGCCGCGGCGATGGCGGTGGGAGCGGACCTGGCGGGTTTCCAGGCGGGTTTCCAGGCGGCGGCAGCAGCGCGCCGATTCCGGTAGACGTGAAGGCGCTGCGCGACCCGAAGTTGGCGGCAGACCAATACGTGGCAAACATGTTGAGCGACGCGTCGGAAGAGGAGATCCGGCGATACGAGGAGGCGTTGCGCAATCTGCGAGCTCGAGCTTCGGCCGACCTGCAACAGAACATCTACCAAAACCGGTCACAGTTCATCAAGATCAGCAAGGAGGCCGAGAAGCTCAAGGGAGAGATGCGGACGCTTCGGAACCTGATGGCCGATCTGAAGACGAACACAACGGCGTTGCGATCGGCCTCGTCGGCCAGCAAAGGTGCAGACGGGATGGCAGGCAGCAGCGGTGTCAACGGCGTCGGACTGAGCGGCACAGGGTTCGCGACCGGGCTCAGCAAGCGTGATAAGCGTAGCTCGGTGGCGGATCGATCGGCGTTGTGGAACGCGCAGATGCAGACGCTGTACAAGACGGTCGAGGGATCGCAAAAGTTCCTGCCCATGTCGATGGGCCGCCACGTGGTGCAGAACGCGGGCCAATGGATCGAGCTGGACAACGCGACATACAAATCGCGGAGGGCAATGCAGATATTTTTGCTCAACGACCACCTGCTGGTGGCCTCGCGCAAGAAGCGCAAGGTCGAGGGTCCGGGCAGCGGAGGCACCGGACCGATGCTAAAGCTGGTGGCCGACCGCTGCTGGCCGCTGCTGGACATTGAGGTAGTCGACATGGCCGGCTCGGGCGAGTCGGCAACGGGCACCATCACAAGCACAGGAGGCGGCGGCACAAACGACAGCGGAGGCGGCAACAGTGGCGGCGGCAACGGCAGCGGAAGCGGCAATGGCGGTGGCACGAACAGCAACAATAACGCGACCAGCTCTGGACGGTCGCGGCTGGCTGACGCGATCATGGTGCGTGGCGTGGGACAGGAGACGGTGATCTACCGGACGGAAAAGGGCGAGGACCCCGAGAAGGCGGCGCTGCTGCAGAACATCCGCAAGGTGGTGGAGGAGCTGCGGCGCAACATTCAGTCGGAGATGGAGGCCAACAACCGGGCCAAGGAGACGATCAACTACTTTGCATCACGCGATCCAGGACTGCTGCAAAAGGCCGACCTGCTGGAGACGCTGTCAGACATCAAGGACATGCTGATCGAGGTGGACGGGAAGCAGCAGAACCTGCGATGGGTGGAGAGCCAGATGGACGAGCTGGACATTGACATTGCACTGCAGCAGTTTGAGCCGTCGGTGGCGCGAGTGGAAAAGATCCAGGCGCTGGCACGCGGATTGAAGAGCAACGCGGTGGCCCAGGACTTTATCGAGTTCAAGGTGGAGGAACGATCAGCACGGCTGGCGGCGCTGCTGATCCGCGAGCTGGTCGACACGCACAGCCAGCAGCGCAAGACGCAGCGCAACGTGTCGTGGCTGACGCGACTTGGCTTTGAGGATCGCGCGCGGGAAGCCTATCTGGAGGCGCGCAGCGGCACCATCCAGAAGCGGGCGCGCCAGTGCATCTTCCAGGGCGACCTGCACCTGTATATCTGGGAGCTCTCGTTTGTCTGCTTCAGCGTCATCCGCAACACCGTCGCCTGCTTCCAGAGCTGCTTTCCGCCGGCTGTCATGAGCGCCTGCGTCAAGTGGGCCAAGGAGGAGGTCGAGGCCTTTAATCGCATCCTGGCCCGCCAGCTGAGCAGCACCGAGCGCGGCGGTGACGTGTGGCAGCGCTGCATGGACCAGGCCCGCGAGCACGCCAAGATGCTGGCCGACGTCAGCCTCGACTTTCGCAACCTGGTCGGCCAGGGTCTGGAGTGAGGGTGAAGGTGAGGTTGATACGAATACTCTGTTGTGCTGCAACACGCTCTTGTTCTCCTTTCTGCTTTATGGCGCTTCTCCTTCTGTCTAGCATAATGACCTGCAAAATGACATGTTGTACGTTCTAGAAGACATGCTCACAGTGCGAATCGTCCATACGAGCCCATACACACCGTGCAGGCACACTAAGCTTGCCAATTACATATACCCCGCCTAAAATGTACTTATCAAGCGCACGGGGGGACGCTGGGACCACTGAGACGGGCTGCAGCCAACACACAATTCCGCGCTTGTTTTCCCGCTTCCCCCTCGTCCCCGGTTTCCCTTGCTTCACCACATCAATTGGAGCCAAAACATCGACAGCCACAAAAGCTTTTGTTGCCCTCGCAGCATCACGCAGCGACCGACGAGCGCCCGCCCGCCCTTCTTTCTCCCTTTTTTTGCGTCTTTCCATCGGCGACCCCGATTTTCGTTCGTCGCCACGCCAGCACCCCGCGATAGATAAACAAGGGCTCGACCCCATCCCATCTCTGGCCAGATCAAAACAGGAGACCGCATCGCCGGGCACGCCCCTTGATCTGCTTCGTCATCACACCCGGCCACCCATCCGGCCGTGCTCGTCTCTCTCTGGTCTCGCCCAAGACCGTTCGATACGCTGATCCCCGCGCGCTGTGTCGCCATAGCATGGATACGAACATGGAAGACGTCGGTCGCGGTCCTGCAGATTTAATGCCTCCCCCGGTTCTCGAACCCACAACCGTCCCGACAGTAGATGGCTGGATCGAAAGCTTGATGAGCTGCAAGCAGCTGAGCGAGCTCGATGTCCAGAGGCTGTGCGAAAAGGTGCGTTTCGGCGGCGCGGCTGCACACGCGATACGTGTCGCGACAGACGTGGAGCTGACACTGTGATTTTGTGCTTTTGACCTAGGCACGCGAAGTGCTTCAGGACGAGTCCAACGTACAGCCGGTGGTATGTCTTTTCCGTCCCTCTCTTCCGCTCCTGTCCCGCCCCGTGTTGTGATGGCCCTTCTCACCCATGTCGCGCCTCTTGCCACAGAAATGCCCGGTCACCGTCTGCGGCGACATCCATGGACAGTTCCACGACCTGATGGAGCTGTTCAAGATCGGTGGCCCGAACCCGGACACGAACTACCTCTTTATGGGAGACTACGTCGACCGCGGCTACTACTCGGTCGAGACCGTCACCCTGTTGGTGGCGCTCAAGATCCGCTATCCGCAACGCATCACCATCCTGCGAGGCAACCATGAGTCCCGCCAGATCACGCAGGTGTACGGCTTCTACGACGAGTGCCTCCGCAAGTATGGCAATGCCAACGTGTGGAAGTACTTTACCGACCTCTTCGACTACCTCCCCCTCACCGCCCTCATCGACAACCAGATCTTCTGCCTCCACGGCGGACTGTCCCCCAGCATCGATACGCTCGATAACATCAGGGCCCTCGACCGCATCCAGGAAGTGCCGCACGAGGGACCCATGTGTGACCTGCTGTGGTCCGACCCTGACGACCGCTGTGGCTGGGGCATATCGCCCCGTGGTGCCGGCTACACCTTTGGCCAGGACATCTCTGAAGCTTTCAACCACAACAACGGCCTGACGCTCATCGCACGTGCCCATCAGCTGGTCATGGAGGGCTACAACTGGTCTCAGGATAGAAACGTGGTGACAATCTTCTCGGGTGCGTACTCGAGACACGGCTGCACAAGTCGAAACGACAGGATTCTGCTAACTTTGCTCAGCACCAAATTACTGCTACCGCTGTGGCAACCAAGCAGCCATCATGGAGATCGACGAGCACCTCAAGTACACATTGTCAGTACTCTCGGTTCCCTGCCTAGACAGGTCTGCTTGCTGACCCATTTTTCTTCGCAGCCTACAATTCGACCCTTGCCCTCGAGCAGGCGAGCCTATGGTCTCCAGACGTAAGTCCTCGCCTTGCACGTGCACACGGACCGGAACCACGAGTCTAACCCGTCGCAGGTACTCCGGACTACTTCCTGTAGAAGTGCCTAGAAAGGGGGTTTGGACCTGTGTTTGTTTATATGCCCGTCTTTCACGGTGGTGGGAGTGCTCATACTTAGACGTCTCATGCTACAGCTGCACGGATAATGTTACTCGAGACCAGCGAACTCATACTGGACGATTGCCCATACCTGCTGTGCACGTGCTTGTAGTAGAGTGTGGTATCTATTAGTAACAATTGACCGTAGGACGAACTACGATCCCCCGTCTTCTATGCCGGTATAACAAGTCTTTTAGATAGTACAGTGTAAGTTGAGCTGAATCTCCTGCCAGCCACACCTAACAAGACGCCAGGCGGCCAGCGCCTTGACAAGAAAGACATGCGAGCCTGTAATTATACGGCTTGGCCCTCCTTTTCCAGCTGCAGCTCTCTTGCTACCTGAGCGTCCCAGTCTTGGGCCCGCTGCTCCATGTCGCGGCCGGATGCCGACGGCTCAGTGTCGGAGCCAAAGACATCAGCCTCGGTGTTGATGAGGTCGACCAACGAGCGTTTACGAGACAGACCATCGGGGCCTGCGGCCACAGAGCCCAGGTCGCGATCTGAAGAGTCGGCGCTGTAGTGGCCAGGGCCGGAGGATCCGTTGGGGACGTGGAAGCGGCGGTCGAAGCGGCTGATTGTGTACGTATAGACGACAATAATCTCGATGACAAAATTGAAGCAGTAGTAGCAGGCCTTGCTGTGGTACCAGGCCGGGCTAGAGCGCGGGCGGGGGTCGTAAGCGATGCCGCAGCGGAAGCCAGCACCGAGGGCCAGCAGGAAGCTGGTGAAGACGAGCAGGCGGACCTTTGTGGCGAGCCGGCCGCGGCCAAAGTTTTCGACAGGGCCATGGTGCGGCGGCCGCGGCGGGACGGCGAGGGTGAGCAGCATGGCGGGCATGGGCAGAAAGGCCAGGAAGGCGTAGTAGGTGCTGCCGACGAGCTGGACGTCACGTTCCATCCGGTGGGCATTGGCGCTGAGCGTGAAGAAGGAGTGAACGGTGACGATGATGAGCATGATGAGGCAGGCGGGGATGGAGGCGATCAGGCCACGGAAGAGCACCGTGACGGGGCGGCTCCAGCCCAGACGTGGACGATAGGCACGGACGAGACGCTGGGTGAAGAGCAGGTTGATGATGAAGAGTATGATCACGCCGGCGAGCGTGAAGATGCTGGCCGCAATGGCGATGCTGACGTTGGTCGGACGCGTCGCCCACACGATGCGCATCACCAGCGCGACGATGCGCATCATGCAGAAGCCAAAGGTCATGGCCGAGAAGAGAAACCTGTGGTCGCGCCGCCGGTTGATCTGGAAGATGGTCATGTTGGTGGCCGCCCCGACGGCGAAGAAGAGAAGCAGCACCGCGCAGATCGCAATGTCGACCTTGGGCGTCGGCAGCCCGCCGAGCCCGGCTTGGGTCGATGCATACGGCGGATGCAGCTGGCCTGGTCAGCGGGATGCACAAACACGGACACGTCTCGATCCTCTGGCAACGCACCGTTGTGTGGGCCGACATCCTGAAGCTATTCCCAAAAGTCACACTGCAGAGAGTGCCGCTTTTTGTAGCCGTATTCCGTATTCCTGAGTACTCTGTAACGCTTATATTGATAAATATATAAACTATATGTTGTTTGCAGGATTACCGTCGTATGATATTTATCGGCCGTCTGCTGTCGTCTGCTCGTGAAAGACAACGCTGGCAGAGATGGTCCAGCTGCATCTTATCTGCTGGAAGAGCCCTGCCTAATATACACAGTAGCCCATTGGCCTAATCATCTGAAAAGGAAACCGCGAGGGAGTTGTCTCAGCCATAAGACGGACCAACACGCCCAACGGCGTTTAGCAAAGAATACTTTGTGCAAAAGTCGGCAAATTCGCCATCATGGAGCAAAACCGGAGTTTGCAATCAAACATCATCGGGGCTAGGCCATTTAACTCCATACAGCAACTAGCCGCTCCAACCAGCGAAGGGCATTGCCGTACCCAAACAGTCCTGCACCGTCAGTTCAGGTCGGGGGGCGAGTCGCCGATGACCTTCGAGCCACGCTTAGTCATGCGGCTTCGCGCGTAAGCCACACGCGTCGCCGCACCTGAAGGCTCTGTCGATCTGGTGACGCTTTTGTCGGGTCATCTCTGCGTCCTGTAAGCAGTCTATACTCCGTACAGCCGTCTGGCTCACATGAGGGCGCCCTCAATTATTGTGGCTCCTGTACTCGGTAATGCCTGTACTTATGTACGGAGTAGCTCCTAGGCAACGTAATGCAGTTTACAGGTGCGATCAACACCTCATACTAGCTCCTTGAGTGCAGTGACGTCGACTCGCGTGCTTTGTAAGTCGGAAATTCGGACTTATAGCATTGATCGTGCTTGATAATGGCGAGGTCTCTTCGTAAGCAATAGCTGTGGCTTGCCAATATTGAAACGCTTGCTTGATCTAGCGCTTCTTATTGTCTGTATCACATTTTCAGAATTACCTATAGCACGCATGAATGATCGACCTTGCTCACGAATGGTAAAACAGAGCTGCACGTTCTCTGACATAGCCTACCAAGGCGCTCATAATAAACGTAGGATGCGTCCTTCAGATGCTCAGTTTTGGCATCTTAACCGTCGTGTTATGATAATATATGGACGTATGGACAAACAGCTGCATTGTAGACGCCATTAATGACATGCTCGCAACAGAAAGTAAGCATCACCATATAACAGCCGTACGGTATCCTTTGCTTTAAAAATGACCCTATCTGATATACTTTTTACAACACATGGCGAAGTGCGTGTAAACTAGGAAGGCAGATCAATCGTATGCAGTATGCAATAACCAAGGAGGATTACGGCCAATAGCGGTGGAATCCGAAGAGGAGTTTGGGCGCGTGTTCATATAGCAAACAGCCGACGGCATGGTAACCACTGCTTGATGGGTTGAAAGTGGCCATGGTTGAAGGATACACGGACAGCTGTTTTATGTTCCTGATTTTGAGTAACACTAGATGACGGGAACTGCAATGCCTCCGTGCTTATATCTGGTGCCACAACCGGTTTTGGTGTAATATATGTATCTAATGTTTCCTCCTGCAGTGTCATTGCTTCTCCCGCGATATCGACAAGCACTGGTTATAGCTCGCTTCAATTTTAGCGAATTCACATCTTGGTGGGCATTGGCTGTAAGTTGCCGTGCTAGCATCTATACGGAACATCGCATAAACACAAAGTTGTCTGCCGGCTTTTAAGCCGCAACGACATGGTGCTACCTAAGGCCTGCCTGCTAGGTTGGCTGTCCAGTCACGCGTCGTTCCCAGCGAGAACAGGGACAACAACACGGGCGGCTGGCCAAACGCCGAGTAGTTGGATCACGGCAGCATGTGCTGCCCAATGATTCTGTTTTTAGGTTTGCATGCGGCGGTAGAAATATACCATCCCTCATTTCGTTCCATCTCAGACGAGGCATCCAACGACAGCGTGTATATTCACCCCTTGCCGATCCCTACTCTGGAGCGTATCGCACCCGTTTGTTATTAGACACATACGGAGAACTCCGTACGTTGCAGTGAATACAGAGTAGACCCAGGCAAGATGTTGCGTCCAGGACTGACCGACAATGGTATCCAACGCATTGTTGTTTCCGAGAGAGGGATTACAGATACGGAGTACACGAAGTAAGATATGTACTCCGTACGTACTTCTACGTCGTACATTGACACGGAAAGGCCGGGACGAGAGCACGTCAATAGCGCGCAGGTGGGAAGCTTGTCAATTCAGCCTTGCTCCTGTGTGGATTGCGCCCTCTCTAAAGAGTACTTCAGCGAGCTTCTAGGCCTTGTTACCGGCATATTAATATCAGGTACTCGTATCGTACTCCGTACGGAGTACGTCGTATGTAGCTTGGACACGCACGGACAGCTGTGTAGCAACCATATCTTACTGGTAGATAGTATCCTACGAACATGGAGCGAGGAAATCAACCGGAACCGTCCTACCAACTTTCAGGGGCTGCGTAATTTGCACGCTGAAGACGTGAATCTTCTTCCACTGAACACGCTCTCTTTACAGACGCATTTGGCGCCAGGCGAGGATCAATTTGAAAAGAAAAGAAAAGAAAGCGGAAAAAGATAAAAGAAAAAGAAAGAAGACGGGGATAAAGCAAAACAAAAAACAGAGCGCCCTACGGAGTACCCAAGCACAATTCGTCAGAATGAGTGAAGCTCATTTCCGGCCAGCCAACCAGAGTCACCATAGCTGCCCGAAGGACCACAAATCATCTTACGTCAGGGTAGACAGGCTCTGTTTGATGGTCATCCCTCGCCTCTTTCCCATGCATTGGCCCAGTTTAGGCCTGGTTCTGGCGTGTCCCAAATCGATCTAACGGCGCGCAACAGTGGAGTCAGAAGCTAAGACCAAGCCTAAATGGGACGTACGAAGCCACAACGACGAGTTGTACGACGAGGCTTTTTGGGGAGGCTTCTCGGGCGAGCAAACAACCATCATCTTGTGAAGTAAACATGCACGCAAGCACTCAAATAAGCAGATCTGGGCCTGTTTCCACCTTCTTCTGGAGCCGGCCAGTCACAGACTTGCATCGTCTCCAGTAAGAGTGTCCACCCGGAGATTATTTTACCAAAAGTGAGCCCTTGCCGAAGTGGGATGCAGGCCAAAGCACACAGTCAGTGCAACGTAGAAAACAACGGCACGGACGCACAATGTTTGACAGTGGGAGACAACGCACCAAAAACAAGTAGGAAATCAGCAGACACAAAAGTATAGTGGAGGACTTCGTGGTGGCTGGTAGGGCATCAATATTACATAGCATACGCCGTACTCCGTACAAGTGCTCGTATCTGGCAACAGCTTCTGGGGCAATAGTGCCCAAATAGCGCACGAAAGCACAATAAACGGACTAAGCCGATAATCACTTTATCCGCTCTTGGCTACCTTTTCCGCTGATGCGTGAAAATAAGTACTTGCGAATTACTTCGTGCCCGTGGTTGCTTTGTGCGCTGTGCGATCGTAGTCATAGCTATCCAAGGTCGGACGATTGCTGGCAGCCCTTTGCAGGCAGCAGGGGATGCGGCTCAGATACTCCTGCTGTCATGCATGTCTGGCATAACCCGTGGAAGGCATTACGAGGAACAGGAACGGCTGGACAGAGGCGCTCGACCAGTATTGCTTGCTATTGCTCTAGAAGATCTTAAGATATGTAAGATATATCTTAGTATCATACATAGTACAAACATCTGCGACATGTCGGACATGCGCTTGGGAGCTCTACCAGCCCTTCTGAAATTTAAGTGGGTGGTCGAAGCTCCAAACTCGGGGCGCAGCAAAAACATATGTAGATGGAGAAAAGTGCCGCTGTGAGTGGGCTTGGGTGCAGCACTTGCAACGCCTGCTCAATTGTTCCTGAGCATCCCCCCGACTATTATCTTTTCCTTATATGGACTAGCGTTTGGACGAGTACAGCTACAGCCCCTGCTTTGCCCTGACTACGGAGTACTTGTACGAGTATCTTGCATGTACTCGTACTCCGGTACTGAGACGGGGTCCTGCGTGGCTGTTGTCCGTCGCATCGCGCCTTCCTGCCTCTGTTCCTGCACCGTTCCTTCCTTGCGTACTCACCCTCACCTGTCTTGCAGACAGACCGCTCTGTTTGTCTCCTGTCATTCGCTTTCGGGAGCCATCGTACACTCTTTTATTTCTCTCACCTTGTTTGCTCTTCACCTTTCGGCCAGGAAGACCGTATCGTCAGGCCTTTTTTCGCCTGTCGTCTTTAATAGTTTTTGTAGTCATCCCAGTTCCGCTTTCTTCGGCCGATTTTGACGCATGCCCACACCCCCTTTTCCACAGCGAAGTGCCACCGGATTGCAGTCATATTACTGGATAGATCGGCCACGAACGACCGCGACTACGACTATCTCCAGCCTCTCGTTTTTTCTCGCAATTGCCGCTCGTCTTTCGTCTCTGCACCCGGTGTCGCTGCGACTGCACCGCCTTCACGACAACGTGCATTGATCCGGTCCAAAGGTCGACCGCCTCAGGCACGAGAGCGTGAGTACCATCTTGCACGCAGTCCACAAAGTCCACCCCGAATCCCCTTTCACTCCAAATCGCTTGCGCTCCGGTGGATTTTTTCTTCACTAGCTCAGCCCAACAGCTTCTTCCTACACCTATCTCGAGCTTCGTTAGATTCGTGACCGGTGCTATCTGACAACCCACTGACGCTGTCCAGGCTGTCGGTGCAAGTCGTTGACGACTTCAAGCCAATTCACCTTACCGAAGACTTGCCGACGCGCTTGCCGGTCGTCAAAGCATCAGCACACCGCCCAGTTCCCATAATAGCAACCATGCAGGCACTGGTGCTGTAGGATTAAAAAACAGAAGCTGTCTCAAAAATTTCACCTCACCGCTGGCATACGCGACTTGGTCACGCCTAAAACAACAAAAGAAGTTGTACTTCTGCTTCCGTGGAGCATCTTCGCCTGACCCACCGTAACGACAGGCATTTCGGGAGCCGACCGCCACAATGACAGGTTGTATTTCGCTCGAGGGCTCGACGGAGTGTCCCGCATTTTCGTCATCGTCCATTTCTACCACTGCTAGCCAGGACTAGTAAGTGCTCTGCCGTGCCGACTTGATATGTCTATCCAGCTGACGTTTCAAAGTAATTTCCTCCAATATGTCTCGGACAGAGCCGGCTTCGACTCGGCTCTCGCCTCATATGTGCAGACAAGCTATGTTCAACAACAGTACGGACTCCCAAACACTAAACACTCCTTGTTCAGGACAAGAACTGACTCTCCGTCCAGATTCCAGGAGCGCCTCGGTTGCCATGGTATCGATCTCACGAATACCAGCAATCTCTATCCCCGATTTCTCAAGTCAACCATCTGCAGCAGTCTTGTCCAGGCCTCAGTATCGGCTTGCAACCTGACTTCCGCAAAATCTCGCCCGCTCTGCGCAGACTCATGTGTACGTACCCTATGTGGCGCTTATTGCTCTGCTTGCACTAACATTTGTCCAGGCCGAGTTTGCCGAGAGCGAAGCCTACATTCTGGCCGATAGTGCCCTCTGCTACAATACAACGTCGGACGCACAGCAATTGATACGAGCGGACTTTACGACCTGCGCACTTCCAGACGATTCACTCTCCACGGCACAATGCATCTCCGGCACTGACAACGAGCCGGACAACTGCGGTTATGGCAATAGTACTATTGGGTTGTGCTCATACTGCTCGTCTGGCGGTATTAACTCCACCGACACGTGCTGTTACTCAGCCAATGCGTCAAGTAGATGCGCCGATGTTATCCTTCCCACCATTACCACGACGATGACATTTGCTACCGTGACCGCATCGGCTACCACAACCGCAAGTGGCAGCTCTACGGGGCCGGAGCATAGTGTCCACAAAGGCCTTTCCGGTGGTGCTATTGCTGGAATTGCTATTGGATCTGTTGTAGGAGTTGCCTTGTTGGCGTTCCTGGCGTTCCTGGCCCTTGCGATTCTGAGACGGAGACGGAGCGGGAGTCAAGACGGGAGCGTTTTCAACCAACCATCGCCTGCTAGGAGGGGGGCTACCATGTCCCAAATTGGAGCGCACTCGTCCCACGGAGCCCAGCGGCCATTCGACGTGCTTCCTGGTGGCCGTATTGCGAGGATGTCGGCTTTGGAAAGCCGTGATGAACGCAATTCGCCCACGCCTCCGGAACGAGGAGTGCCATCTGCGGCTGCGTTGTCTGCTGGTGCTGCTGCAGGCTACTCGACACGCAGCAGCAGGCGACATGGTGACGACCGCTCGTCGTCTGACGGCTTCCTCGACAGCCCGGATTCGGGGGTCCGAAGAGGCGTCTTGCGACCACCACCGACTATGCGGAGGACTGGGTCTCTTTCGAGCAACTCCGTTCTCGCCGGCGAAGACCCGCAATCTCCTTCCAGCACTGGCGGGATGTCCTCACCACACGCCTTGACCAGCCAGCAGTCGGAGCAGTTGCCTTTCTTCAAGGACTATTACTCACAGGACGATATCCACCCCGGCGACCGCGTTTCTGTTCTATGGGCCTATCAGCCACGGGCAGCAGACGAGTTCACGCTGGATCGTGGCGACATGCTCAAGGTTGTCGGCATCTGGGATGACGGCTGGGCCACAGGTGTGATCGCTGATGAACGTGCCGAGGACTGGGAAGCCCGGAAACAGGCCCAGCGAGATAGCGGGGTGTCCAACACATCAGGCCGCGGCCGGGAGATATCGCCGGCTGTCAGCGGCGAGATCAAGGCGTTCCCTCTGGTCTGTGTCTGCCTTCCCGAGCACTGGCGAAAGACGATTGAAGGTGACGGATCGACTGAAACTGGTTCGAGTGGGAACCAGGGTATTTATGGACCCTGAGACTACCCGAAAGGGCCTTGACGAAGAACGAAATGCTTCTCAAGTTTTGTATAATGTCTCACGAAAATTGCTTGCGTTCCCCAGTTTGATATCCTCAGTTCGGAGTTTGGCGCCTCCCTGTTCTTTCCCAGCCTTCTATCTTTCCCCTTTCCATTCGCCGAGCTCTCTTTTGATGACGCCTGTACCTGTTTACAGGACTCCCGAGAACTTGCAAACAGCCTTTGCAGCTCACTTTGACCCCCCTCTCATGGTGATCTTTTTCATATTGATGGCCTAGCTACTGCATATAACCATTATTCTAGCTTTAGATTTTTGCATTCTCGCCACGACAAAGCTTAATACCACTTTTTTTCATAACCGATTGATACTGTACAACGCCCTTATCTTAGAGCTGACTCTGTGTCTTGTATGTAATTTAGGTCGAGATATTTCCGAGGCTGTTTAGGCTTGGCTTAGCGCTTTTTTGAAAACGTGAACGGAAATGTAACTGCATTGATGCTGGAGGACGTTCACCTCAATAGTGCTCAATCTCTTCCTGTGCATCCGTCAAACGCTCATAGCGGAAACTTACTGATTCCCTGCATCTCCTCAATATCATTTCACAAGCTAAGGCCTACCCGTTCGAATGTGCCTACTCTACTCTGCTCGTGGTGGCAGTCTTGTGTTGAAGCGGGAGAAAGCCAGGATGGTTCTGGCCTTGTTGTCTATATGATGCTGAAGCTCTTCTTGCTGGACGGTGTACTGATTTTTCGCTGGCCTTTTATAGCCAGGAGTGACCTTGGTCTTTACGAAACTAAGTGCGTCAAGTTCTTTGCTTGCGAACTTACGTGCAGACTCGACCAGAAGTGAGGTGCCTTGATCTAGCGTCTCTGATTAGCCGGCTCCTTACTATCGCTTGCGATTCAAGGTCTACGTTCGGCAACACCATATGTTTACTTGCAGTGCAAGATTGGGAAATCTTTCTTCGTAGATTACGTCTAGTAGTACTTGAAGTGGCATGCGCCAGCGTCGATGTTGATTGCCTACACATCACTGCATCTCGTCCCGGAAAACCCGGACTTGCGTCTGGCCGTCATCGTCGATCCAGGCTCGAAACATGCCGCCGCAGTTGCAGTCCTGGATGATGGAGCTGCGCACCTCGAGCACGGCGCCGTCGCGCTTGTCACGCACGACGACGCTCTCGATGCCGATCAGACCGCCTTCGCCCTCGCCCGTGCGGCCCCAGCGATCGCCTGCGCTCTCCTGCAGCAAGCCGCCGGGACCGGCCACAGCAGAAAGCGCCTCTGCTGACGAGACTGGCCGGAACCGGGCCATGGCGGCCACTGTGTGCGCGGCGCTCACACGCAGAAAAGAGTCGCCATTGCCCGTGCCTGAGAGAGCGAGGGACCGTGTCGTCGTGGATACTGCTGCTGCTGTTGAAGAGGAAGAACGAGCCAGAGAGCTGTACTGGAACGAGATGGGCATGGGAATCGGAAGGCAGTCGGCCAGCAGGCTGCGCAACGCTCCAGACAGCTCCACAATCGGTCGGGCAGTAGCAGCAGCTGTGGGATCGCCAGCCTCCGACCAGGTCTCAGCCCAGGATCCGGCACCGACAACGGGCGTGTCGCCAACCCGTCCCGTCAGCTTGTTCGTCAGGCCGCCCGTAGTTGTGGCGCAGCACACCACGCCGTCCTCGTCCAGAGCAACTGCGCCACAAGTGCCCTGGGGCAGATACTCGTCCGCTGACCAGCTGGCAGTGGCAGCCGATACACAGCCGGCCTTCAGGGCCTTTTGCTGCTCCTTCTCCCGCTCCAGAGCACGAACATGCTCGTCCCAGCGGGTCTGCGTGAAGAAATACGAAGGCTCGACCAGCGGCAAGCCGTAGCGCTCTGCCAGAGCCTCAGCGGTCGCGCCGTAGATCTGCGTGTGGCCCTGGGCACTGGGCGCATCAATGCTGCCGTGGCTTCTGCTGCTGTTCCCCAACGATGGAACCGATGCATCGCGTCCGCCCAGATCGACATCGCCGTGCTCTAGCATCCGACGTGCCAGCAGAATCGGGTTCTTGACCCGCCGTAGTCCCATGACGCCGACTCCTCGCTTTGCCCGTCCTCGCGATACCATCACGCTGGCTTCCAGCTCGTTGATGCCGTCGCGCGTAAAAACGGCTCCATGTCCGCTGTTGAAGAGCGAGTTGTCCTCGAAAAGCACCACCGCAAACGTCGCCGATTCCAGCGCCGATGGCCGCCGGCTGTTGCCGTTCTTCGCTGCGATCTCCGTCATCATGTACGATCTGCTGCGGGAGATCTGTCGCCACATCCGGTGTTAGCAAGCTGTCACTGTTTGCATGTTGGAGAGGCGGATAGGCCTACAATCTCCGTCAGCGCTGATCTGTATGCCCGGTATCTCTCCGGCGTCATCGTCGCGCGTGAAATGTTGCCAGCTCCGCCATGGATGATGAGCCGCGGCTCAGTCCGCACGCTGTTGTCCCTTTTGCACTCCATCATCTTGCAATTGACTGCTATGTTCTGTGACGTGATTTAAAGACGCAAAGACGAGCTGCGAAAGCTTATCGACGCCGAAATCCGTATGTAGACAAAGTAATGAGGGGCGCTGTAACCTAGGACACGGCTGATGTGTTATGTATTTACTGGGCCACGCCCTGCTTGAAAAGAGCATGTTGTCGTCAAAATATGTCAATACAGACGTTGCACTGTTACATTACAATATTGGTATTGAACCACGAACTTGAAAATGAAAGTGGCACGGATTTGTGGATGGATATGTCGGTATCTTGGCTTGAAAAACGTCAATTTGCAAGCACACGCACTGTCGATATTTACATTCGCAACTTTCATTCGACCAACTTTTCGCATCCTCTTGACCGATTTTCCGCTTTCAGTTCCAGACCATTTGCCACATTTATTATCAGGATATTGTTTTCATCTGTCAGTATTGTAGTACCACACGCACACGGTCAGGAAACTCACTTTTGTCATGACATAACCACTCGCGCATCGAGCCACGAAAACTTTGTCCTGTTTCCCTTCATCAGCGAAAATGCTGAGTGATGAGGTCCAATAATATGCGACGTTCTATGACGTTCTATTGTCTATAAAAACCCCCCGGTGCTTAACTCCCCCGGAATCCAAACCCCCAGAATTCGAACCCCCAGTCCCAACTCAGATTTCTTGATTTCGCTTTGTTTTATTCATCATTGCCAAGGCTCCGAATATGCATATATCATCATGAAGAAGGAGTTCTCACCTTCAAGTGCCGTTCCCAGATTTTGTGCCGGTCAGTGGGCTCTTCTTGTTCATACTGGGGGCTCTTCTGAGTTGGAATCTTGTCGAGGATTTGGAGTCCCTCTCTAGTTTCTGGTTTAGCCTTCGCAACCTTGCCGTTGATGCCTTGTTAGCATTGGAGTTAGTCTCCAGAAAATAGCAAGACGGTTAAACATCGCCTGTGATGAAAACCATATACTTGACGCTGCTGATTGTGGCCTTCGGGCACGTTGACAGTGCGCAATGGTACTGAGGCAATCTTGAACAAGCATATTAGAGAGCGTGCTGGCAAGGAACGTTGTATGTTCTGAGTGCATCTGGAAGACAACATATAGAAAGAGGGACAGAGAGGTAAGCGGAATAGACAAGACAATGAATATGAAGAAACAGAAACTCAAGATTCGGGTAATTGAGACTTTTTATGAGCTTTCCATACAAACACGATTGCAATAAGACAGCAAGACGACTCATGACCGTTGGCAGGAGCATTCTTTGAGGGTCTCAAAAATAGCAAGTACGACGACGGTAGCAGAACCTTGATGGCTCATAAACATCAGAAATTGAAGCCATATGAGAAGATAATTGCTTTTTCCATCTTGCCTGTTTGTTGCAGATATAAATATGCGAAAGGACGGAGCTAGGAGACGTGGTTTTGGTTTATATGCGGATATTGCTCCAACATGACTTCCCTTTGTAGCTCTTTCTTACACATATTGCTCGTCGTAGCTTCCTATATAAGCATATCTCATGGTAAGGAAACGGTGGTACAGGATTATTCCTTCCATTCTTTGTTATGATCTTGTTCTTGCCTCAGAGCATGCTTCTCGTTAAGAGTCCCCTCAAATCATAATTTGCGATATTGGGAACAAAGTATGGTTTTCCTGCAGGGAAGCATTGAGAGCGTCGCGTGCAACATCCCTCTACCTGCCTTTTAAGTTGCTCCTGTCTCCTGCGCTCTCGATCAACATATTCCGTGTCTTGCTACATGAGAGTGGCAGAATCCTTTGGTCCATGACGAAACAAAACATCAACACATCATTGCTTATCATGCAACGCTTCTCACCACTGTATTTTCAGATGTACTCAACATGGAAAGTCTTAGAACCAAAATGCCAAGTCATTGTATGTGTCTTTCTGATTTATCAGTATCTTAATATGTACATTTGAATTTCGTTATCTGCCTATATACACAACCCAAAGTATTTCTGACGCGGCAGTGCGACAGGGTGGGGTTCATTTATGCTTCAACACAACTATGTGCGCTTACTTGGCCGTCCATGTGATTTGGAGTTCCACGGCCTGGGATTCCGTGTACACGGTTCCCTGGGTCGAACCACTGGGCAGTGCCTTAGCATAAAAAGTTGACGCACTGTTGTAGGTCAAGTGTTGGCCGTCATAGCCAAATGTGCTGGCAGTGACGGACGACGCGCAAGAGAGCGAGGAATCACTCAGCACGGCACATGGGCCCTTGCTAGTTTTCAGGGTGAACGTGAGACCATCAGAGCTCGCCGTGGCCGTGTAGGTAGCCGGTGCGCTGCCTGAGCGGTACCAGGTGCCACTGGAAATGAGGAAGCCACCAGTCGAGGAGCTTGACGTCGTCACATAGAGATTACCCTGGCCAGAAAGCGCCGAGGACGCCCCGGCTGTGGGAGACACACCGGATGTGGGAGTCGAGGCGGCAGGGGTGGTGGGAGTGGCGGTGCCGGACTTTGGGAGGTACTTGATGCCAGTTGATGGACAGGTCGACTTGGAGCCTATGGGGTCAACAGGCACGAATGTACCCGTCTGGATGTTGCCGCGGACATTGTAGTGGTACCACAGCTCGTTGAACGTGCTGCCATCGCAGTTAATGATGACGTTGTGGCCGAACTTGGCGCTGAGAGCCTTCTGGATGGCGGCCAGCGTGTACGTGGCCGTGGTCGAGGGGACAATGCCGGCGTCTGAAAGCCATTCGTAAGACGGGAGCGTCTTGAACAGGGCCACCGCACTCTCGAAGAAATCGACGACCTCCTGGTGAGGCTCGTAGTCATCGTAACACGTGGGATCCAGGCTGCTGATGCAGGTGCCGTGCTTGTTGTATTCGTGTTCCCAGAAGCTCTCGTCGTTTCCCTTGTAGTCTTTCCAGTACGTCTGCATATACTCCAACGTGCTCGGGGAAGCTGCCCGGAGAATGGCAGTGATGTTGGTCACTTCTCTGGATGTGTCGCAGAACTGGTCGTAGGTCCCATCGCAGTTGTCTGGCCTGCATCGACATTAGAATCAGGAAAACACAGCAAGAGCACAGCTCTGGCGGGCTTCTTACCAAAGGCCATGGACAGTCCACGAATTCGAAGGGCCTGCAGAAGGGTCTGTATCCCAGAACTGCGTCTGCAGCAGGTCGCCACCGGGATAGTTGACACAGCAGGTGTCTGCGGCTGTCGTGTTATGGCAGCTGAGTGGCAGGCTGGCCGTAGGGCACGAAACAACCGTTCCAGCAACAGCAGAGCCGATAGCCAGAGCGGCCTCTAGGAGCAGGATTGTTGAAGCCATCTTGTCTTGGAGATTGAGTGGAGGGATAAAGTCTGAGTGCCCGTCAACAAGGAGTGGGAGCGCTTCCTCTTATAGCTCAAAAGGATCCCTTTTCTTCGCAATCGTGAGATACACGAACAATTAACCAGGGATTGCAAACTGAGTCGCTGTTGTATTCAGAGAACAAGCTTGTAGAAACCTTGCCCGATCACAGAAAAGCGGTTCTTGGCCGTCGTCCTTGGCGGCTTCTTGGTACCTTCCTTTTTGGCTCATTTGCACCGAAAGCGGCCCTACTTGAGTAATCCAGTATTGTTATCCAACTTCCGGCACAATCACAGGGCACACAAAATTACATACTCGAATGCTCGAATGCTCATAGCCAATAAAGGCAATCTCGTTTGCGCAAACACTCATTCATGACCAGTATTCTCACGTACAAGAAGCCTGGAGTCCTCTCGGTCCACTTAAAGGACAAGATACAGACCGATGATCTATCAGGAGTGGTGTCATGAGTGGCGCACGCACTGTGTCGATTCCAGAGGGATCGTCGTCCCATGAGGGAGACCGGAGACATCTTATTGGACAGCGTATTTGACGGTGCAGATCCGCCACATATCCACCCTGCTTTGGTTGGTTCGGCATCGCTCTCACCTAACCTTAACCTTATCATCCACTTGTTTAACACCAACCAAAAAGGGCAGGTCTGCAGGCGGACCCAAGAGCCCTGGCAGTTGTGGCGATCTGTATGCCTTCTTGCGGAAGGTAAGAGTTCGGAGCTCTGTGCATTTGCATAAACTGCCCTGGACAATTTCCATTGACCAATTATGGAAATACCGTATTCGAAGATGCTTCCTGCGGCCTAGTTTTGAGATTACGCCCTGCAGGACTATCAAGACGTGACATAAGTGCATTTACTAATGCGAAAGACATGTAGCCATCTGAACGGGTAGGGCGGAAGCGGCCGGGCAGTCTGAACTGTACTGCCTTAGTTTCCTCGGAGTAAATTGTGTTCACAAGTCCTGAGACATCAGATCGTATGTAGTTTAAGCACAGCACAGCTGCGTTTGTCTAATCTACTGCTGCAGCTGTCCTAACATTGTCCGTGAGCATCTCTTGAAGACATGGCCATGGTCCACACGCACGCATAGCAAAGTGACCTCTTTTTTGTCGAGCTGCTTGTTTTTGTTCATCTTGCAGCAGCTTATGGGTTACAAGTACCGCTGACCAAAGTGCAAATAAACCTCTCATTAGACCACTGTTAGCCGAACTCAGATGATGTTGGGCCAACTGTGGCCACAAGTGCTACTTCTTCAGCCGAGATCAGAGGCGCTTATATCCAACAAGAGTGTTTGTGACAAATGGGCTTTATTAATCGAAACAAGCTTGAGCCATATGCGGAGGCTAAGGCAGTGTACGTCTATTATATTCGCATTTTGCGTGGCGCGCTCAAGCGGGAAAAACCTAGGACAATTTCAGCGACCTCGGAACGCCGTTGTGTTAAGCGGGCAGCATTTATGTATTCTGTGAGAATTCTCTGCCCGAACAATAGACGCCGACTTGTCTTTGTCTGCTGTTGGACCTTCTAGCATGTATTTAAGAGGATGCATCCGATAAGAATGACGACGTGAGACGCCCGAGCCTCTATAGCAGCCGAAAAGCTTTGGCATGATGAAGAGAGACATGATTACCATACGGTTGGTATTAAGAAAAAGGTAAACGCCGTAGGTTTGGAGTCGTTATGATTAGATGCTACATGCCCTTATAATTGTGACAGGCTTGTGAGACAGTTGTGCTCTAGGCAACGGTCTATCCTAAATAAAGAGAGAACCGGGGCATGCTTCTTGCGATAGAAGTGAAAAGCAGCCTTAGACGTTAGCTTGCAGGCAGTCGCTTCCCAAGTAACTATGACCACAGCCCTGTCGGCGAAGGTTACTTAAGACCGAGAGCCATCGTACCATTGGCCGGATGAGGTGCACCGCTTGAACTCTGGCTCCTTGTTACATATGACGCGTATAATTATGCGCGTGTTGGAGCATAAGCGAGAGAGGAGAGGTGATAAAATGGGGCAATGTGGAGTCTTGGATCACCTGCATGCGATGCAGCTAGTGCGTGTCCGTTAATAGCGAACTGGGCGTGATAAATTGGGTGTAGAGGGCATACTAGTGTTTAGCTGCGGTGCTAGTATGGATGTTAGACTTGAGGCGAAGAGGATGACTTATTTTGTAATTCTAGCACTGGAGTTATGTTCATTGAAGCTCACAGAACCGGTACGCTCTCCTTTGTATACTTTGCGGCTTATGATTCGTGATAATAGCGATATAAAAAGCTAGATATTGACTATAAATATGTATTAAACATGGATCTGTTCGTCTATGCATCCCGATCTGTAATATTGTTCTCGAACAGAATGGTTGCTTCACAAAGGAGAAATGGTTCAAGCCTGCATATACTACAAAAGTAGCAGACATCATGGAGACGTAAATATCATTGCAAAAGCCTTGTGCGAATTTGGACCATTTCGCCTTCCGAATCGCTCGAGTCGGAAGAGTGAGACTGAAAAGCTATTGTGGCGACTATAACCTAAGGGGATATCTAAAGCTGACAGCTTTGTTGAAAAACACGGTGTTCATGAGTTCTTGCGGTAGTTGTTAAACTCCCCTATCCACTGCTCCGAGGATGTTCGAGTTCGTCGGCGTCAGACGCGACCGGGAAAAGGATGGGACAGAACTACAGGAGATGCTACGCCGTTACTGCTCACCCCTCTAGTAAAACCTAGTCCTATAACTTCATTGTCAGATCGAATCTCCCCTACATGATTTTCGTAATATTCAGCGATGCTGTGCGGAGGGTATACTGTACACTGCCATCACCTTATCAACACTTTTATTTAATGTCTGCCCACACGCTGGATGCCTCAGCTCATTTAGGGCTATTTCTGCCGATTTGACGGATCTTTTGTTGTTTGTAAACGCTTCGGGTAGCGCCAGGCATACTTAATATTGAGCGCCTATAATGCCGTGCAGTTGGAGATGGATGAAACTGTCCAACTTATCTTGCAATCGCCTGCAGACTGCAAAATGTGATACGCAGAGTCGCTCGCTTTGATTACGCCTGGGCCACGCGCGTAATAATGCCGGTCGCGGCTATGGCATTGAGTCCGTGCTTTGGTTGCCACCATTGGTGTTGGCAGAAAGAAGACTTCACGTCTGCGTACAGTTCCGCGATATGAAGCCGGACACTCTCGAAACGATCACGGAGGCAATGTTAGTTGAATCCAATTGGCTTCTATAGACAACCCAAATCGTCGACACATTACCATGCCGCTTTTAACTTGGGAAATAATCAAGGGAACTTTTGATAGAATATAAAACGACATTTATACGCTCCTTGAATGCAATTGGATGATTATTGTGGCTGTTGCTGTCGTCTCTGTTGTGGCCGCCAAAGTTGTAGGAACACTGACAATGAGTGCGCCGTCTGTAAGCAGCGGCGAGTCGGTAGCGGCGATAGACACGCTGGTTTTCAGTTTCGCGGCTAGGGAAGCACATCTTACAGCCGACTATGCCGTACGGCCTATTTTCAGTTCTATAAGCACCGTAGTATGGCAGTGCATATAGGTATAATCATCGTCCGGTTCCTGTATACTGCTAATATAAGAAACCGAAGCTTCGACATTACAGAGGTTGTTATAAGATGCTTGTTGAAGGCTGCAAACAGCCACCTTCAAGGCCGTGGCGGCTGTTGTCTTGGCTCGAAACACAATCTGTGCTTCCCGCTCTGGTGACCAGGAAATGCGTTGTTTGTTCCTGATGTTCCCCTGCTTATGCTGTTCAGTTGATCCACCAGTTTCGAATAGAATGATCGGAGCTTTTAAAGTACACTCGTGTCGTTTCTTTGTCATCATTTGAAGTCTTTCTAGAGCTGCAAGGTAAGGCTGATTTGCCGTTGGGCGATGCCGAGTAGCTGTCCTCATCGACAAGATTTTGTTGTTGTTCTGTCTATTGTTGTACTGAAAAGCAAATGTAGGCAGTTTAGGAACAAAGGTTAAATGAATAATCGAGTGGCATACAACAGAGAAACAAAAGACTAAGTTTATTGTGCCAAGGAAAAGTTGGAGTAAGCAACTAGTCGACAGTTTAGTACATGTTTATAACTTGATAGAGCTGAAAACACCCCTTCGAAATTCCTTAAACGCGTTAGCTATTAACCGCTTTCCACGCTATCGGTATATCTATGGAACCAGGCTGTATGCCCTTTGCTTTAGCGGTACGGGTTACACACGATCTCCAACTCAAAGGTTACAGCGACGCTTCTCCGGTTGGCAACCTTCCTTTGCGCCGCTCGATAGTATATTTTTTGTCTTTGTGACCAGAGGACCACTCCTTTGGAAATCCTTTGTTACAACTCTATCTTAGAGGCCAGAAGCATTAGTTTCCCCATTGGCCGTGCCTAGTCCAGACAAAAAAGCTTAAACTAGACATCGACAACAGCCTCTGGTTCCTGGTTCACTTCACGATCCGATTATCGCCTGGTTTGGACATGGTTATATGTAGCTAGTTGCTCGTTTTAAAGGCTTGCTAATTGGCGGACATCCTGTCTTTGTACTCCGAAGCACGCCAGCCACTAAGAAGCGCTTTCTAGCTGTATTACGTACACATAAAGTTCCCCGCCAAATATAATAGCATGTTCGCCGGAAGAGGGGTTGCTGCCGAACGTTGTTGGTTTCAAGCCATCGCACATCCCAAGCCTTGCTTTTTGCACTCGACCATTCCGAAATGACTGCAATGAGCCGGTCATCTAGTAGCGGCAGAGCTACACCCACTACCGACAATGACTCTAACGACGACATAGCGAGAAAACCAAGAGTCAAACGACATGCTCCTACGGCCTTGAATTACTTGAACACGATACTCCTTTTTGCCATAGTCGTCCTCTTAAGCGGCTTACTGTGTGAAAAGTATTTGTCTACTCGTGGTAGCATTTTCGACTGTTTCAGGCCACCTACGGAGTCACACCAAGAGCCCCCCATTACGGAAAGAAAGCCAAATCAAGATCCAGACTCCGAGAATTTTGGAACGTTAACGGTAACTCGTCGGGCTGTTCCTGACGTTGGCGACGTGTTCCTCATTGTCGAGAAATCGCGAAATCGCTTTTTAGCGTTCGAAGACGGCAATTTGCGCCTCTATCATATGAGCATGAGGGACTCGAAGTACATCTCAAGACGCTGGCGGTGGCAATGCACCGAAAAGGATGGCTTCAAAGGATTCAAAAACGTGGCCGGGGGAGGTTATTTTGGGCGAGACCTTTTTTGGAAGTTCTCTGCCGACGCTCCTCATCACAAAGAATGGGAGTATTTCACGCCTGTCAAATCTAGAGATGGCTACTACTGGATAATGGCCCTACACTGGTCTAAGCACTTTTATGTGTCAGCCAAACCTGACGGCAACGGGGTATTTGCAGACAAAGACAAGCAGACGCTGTGGGAATTTGTCAAGATTCATCAGTAGGCGCGCAGGAGTGAGTCCAAGCTTTCAAACGGACGCCCATGACAGTTGATTTTGGAGATTTTTCATAGTTACGGAATAGAGAGTCCAGGTTAAGAAACCGGAATGGGGGTTAAATGCTTTTTTGCTTACGATCGTTGCCTGCCTTGGTCAGCTCTTGTTGGCCGTCTGAGTCACGTGCCCGTATTTCCATTATCTTATCGCCTCGAACATAGCGATGACCTGCTACACCGCGTAAACCAAAGAGTAACTCACTCAAGATCGGGCAACGACGACGACGACGCATTATCATATGCAAAACCTTGACCGGCTGTGACTTTGTTAGCCAGATCTCCGCGATATGCTCTTCGCTCTACGGTTCTGCGACAGCTCCGCCAGCTACTCGCTCCCACGTCGTTCCGCCCACCGGATTTCGGTGACTGCGCGTTAAGAGAGGCCCATCCAGCCAGAATCAAGGCGACACCATGGGCCAGGGATACTCGGTCACGACGCCGTCTGCGGGGTCGGCCGGTATCGACGTGCCAGAGCTCGGAGACCTAGTCTACGAGAAATCACTGGGCAGCGCGCGGTTTATGAAGAGCATCCGGGCGCGACATCACGATGGCATCGCCCTGGTCAAGGTTCTTGTGAAGCCGTACACGCCGATGGCGCTGGCCAGCTACCGCGACAAGATTCTGCGTGCGCATTTCCACGTGTCCTGCTGCTTCTGCGTGATCTTGGCTGCTGACCATCTCCATCAGGCGAACGACGGATCCTGGCCAACGTGCCAAACGCGCTGGGGTATCAGCGCATAGTCGAGACGGAGACGAACGGGTACCTGGTGCGACAATTCCTGTACAACTCGCTCTACGACCGGCTGAGCACGCGCCCATTTCTCGAAGACATCGAGAAGAAGTGGCTGGCTTTCCAGCTGCTCTGTGCTCTGCGAGACTGCCACGCCCGCAATGTGTACCACGGCGACATCAAGACGGAGAACGTGCTGGTGACGTCGTGGAACTGGCTGTACGTATCGGACTTTTCGGCGTCCTTCAAGCCGGTACTGCTGCCGGACGACAACCCGGCGGACTTTTCGTATTTCTTCGACACGTCAGGCCGTCGCACCTGCTACTTAGCACCCGAGCGATTTGTGCCAGCTGCGGTGGCAGCCGAGGCAGCTCTGGGCAGCGATGAGTATGACGGCGATGAGGGTCGCAGTAGTCGCAGCAGCCGCGGCAGTCGCAACACCACGTCGTCAGCTCGGCCAACCCGCATCACGGGGGCGATGGATGTGTTTGGGGCGGGCTGCGTGATTGCAGAGCTCGTGCTGGAGGCCCCGATCTTCAGCCTGAGCCAGCTTTTCCGGTATCGTCGCGGCGAGTACGACCCGGCGATATCGCACCTCAGCCGGATGCCGGACCGGGACTTTGCGGAGATGATTGGGCACATGATCCAGCTGGACCCGGAGGCACGGTTATCGGCGGAAGAGTATTTGGAGCGATACCGCGGGACGGTGTTTCCAGACTACTTCTACAGCTTCCTGCACCAGTACATGGAGGTGATCACGGATCCATCGGGCCAATTCGCTGGGTCGGGAGCGACGCGCAACCTGGGCGAGGCAGACGAGCGGATTGACCGGGTGTTTTACGACTTTGACAAGATCTCGTACTTCCTGGGCTTTCAGGACGTGCAGGGCGTGGCAGAGAAGGGGCCGTCGGGGCGGGCTCCCCGACCTCCACGGCTGGGGCTGGGACTGCTGCCAGTGCGGCTCAGCATCCCGACCAAAGAGCACGACGTGTGTTTGGGGGCGCAACCGACTACGGACAACGGGGCGCTGATCTTCCTGACGCTGATCGTGGCGTCGATCCGAAACACGGCGCGGTCGGCATCGCGCATCCGGGGGTGCGACGTGCTGCTGGCATTTGCAGAGCGGCTGAGCGACGAGGCTCGGCTGGACCGGGTGCTCCCATACCTGATGGCGCTGCTGACGGACCGGTCAGACATGGTGGTGGTGGCGGCGGTGCGGTCGATCACGCAGCTGCTGGGGCTGGTGCGGACGGTCAGCCCGGTGAACGCACACGTGTTCCTGGAGTACATCCTGCCGCGGATGCAGGTAACCATCCTCAAGGGCAGCATGGGCAGTGGCCTACGGGAGGCGAGTCCGGTAGTGCGGGCGACATACGCAGCATGTCTGGGCTCGCTGGCGACGATTGCGAGCCATTTCTTAGAGATGGCGGCCAAGGCAGACCGGATGGCGGGAGCAAGCTCGGAGGCGGACGGGGATGGCAAGCTGGGGACCGGAGTAGACGGCAGCGACAACAGCGGCAGCGGCAGCGGCGATGTGGCCGGGGTCACTCTGGACGGGCTGTTTGACGCGGCACAGAGAGACCTGTTTGAGATGTTTGAGCAGCACACCAAGGCGCTGATCGAGGACGCAGACCCGTATGTGCGACGGGCCTTTGTGACGTCGGTGCCGGAGCTGTGTCTCTTCTTCGGGGCGGCAGACGCGAACGAGATTATCGTGACGCACCTCAACACGTATCTCAACGACCGGGACTGGATGCTGCGGTGTGCCTTCTTCGACACGATCGTGGGGGTAGCGACGTTTTTGGGCAGCGTCAGCCTGGAAGAGCTGATGCTGCCGCTGATGATCCAGAGCCTGACAGACCCGGAAGAACACGTGGTGCAGGCGGTGCTGCAGGCGCTGGCCGAGCTGGCCGAGATCGGGCTGTTCTCGAAGCCGATGGTGTGGGAGCTGGTGGAGATGGTGGCACGGTTCACGATGCACCCAAACATCTGGATCCGGGAGGCAGCAGCGCGGTTTTTATCGGCGGCGACACGGTTTCTGTCGGCAGCGCAGGTGCGGTGCATGTTCATGCCGCTGGTGGCGCCGTATCTGAAGCCAGGACTGTCGGGCCTCAGCTGCTCGGAGCTAGACCTGCTGGACCAGCTGCAGCGGCCGCTCTCACGGGCGGTGTTTGAGCAGGCACTGGCTTGGGCGACGAAGACGGACCGGGGGCTCTTCTGGAAGCCGCTGCAGAAGCTGCGGGGATTTCCGTTCGGCATGTCGTCGGGGGCTTCAGGGAGAGCACGAGAGGCGATTCCGCGGACGCTGGCCCGGATGGCCCGCAACGACGAGGACGAGCAGTGGATCGGACGGCTGCGCAACCTAGGGCTGACGGCCGAGGACGAGTTCAAGCTGATGGCGCTGCGGGAGTTTGTGTGGCGTCTGGGCCGGCTGAAGCTGCACGAAGCAGCCAGCAGCAGCCAGGCCGAACTGGCGAACAACAGCAGCAACATCAACGGTAGTGGGAGTGGCAGCAGCAACAGTCCCAACCTCAACAGCATAGTGGCACTGCGCAGCCTGGGAATCGCAGTGCTGACGGTGCTCTTTGACGACGAGCCGCAGAAGCAGATGCGGGCAGCCGGACTGGCGAGCAGCCTGGTAGCAGCGACGGCGACGGCCATGGGACTTGATGGCGGTGCGCCACGGTCGATCGAGGACGCGCTGCAGGATGCATCCATGACGATCGACGACCCGATCTCGCGGCGACGCCGGGCAGCACTGAACGTGCACCGATCACGACTGAGCAGCCAGAGGGACAGCAGGTCGGCAGTGCAGGGAGGCATCCTTGCCGGAGAGGCAGGCGAGACCGGAGAGATGGGAGAGACGAGAGAGACGAGAGAGACGAGAGAGACGAGAGAGACGAGAGAGACAGAAACGGCAAGACCAGGGTCTCCGGCATCGACAGCCGCAGACGATGCATCAATGTCGAGCAGACGCAGCAAATCAATACTACAACAGCGATCGAGCGCAATGAGCCTGCTCAACCGGCGAGAAAGCGTCAAGTCGGGGGCCGAGACGGCGACGACGGAGACGAATGCGTTTGGCCAGGTGGAAGGTCGATCGGCGCTGATCAGCGACATCCCGACCCGATCGCCGGCACCATCAGACGACGACAGCCTGACCAGCGGCACGGCCATGGCCGATGCAGCCGAGGCGAGATACAGGGCTCATCACACGTATGCTGGCAGCGACCCAAACGTTCTGAGGATGCTGGATGCCATGTACCACGAGAACTACCCACACGACGTGGCCGAGTTCAGCCCAATGGTAGCACCGGTGTCGAGGAGGAAGATGGCAGCAGCAGCAGCAGCAGCAGCAGCGACAGCATCAGGTAGTGGTGGTGGAGGCATTGGCAGCGGGCTGCGACGATTTGGGGGTGGCGGAAGCGCAAACGGTCACGGAAACGGAAACGATGGCAGAAACGGCAGCAGCAGCCAGACAGACGTCTGGCGGCCAGCAGGACAAATGGTGGCAACGTTTTCGGAACACACAGGCGCCATCAATCGGGTGGTGGTCTCGCCCGACCATGCCTTCTTCCTCACGGGCGGCGACGACGGCACCGTGCGCGTATGGGACACACAGAGGCTGGAGCGCAACATCTCGCACCGGTCGCGACAGGTGTACCGGCATTCTGGCGGTGGTCGTGTGTTGGCGCTCTGCTTCATCGAGAACACGCACTGCTTTGTCAGCTGTGCGAGCGACGGCAGTGTGCACGTGATCAAGGTGGATCACGTGCCGGGATCATCTTCGTCGAACAGCAACGGCAACGGCAACGGCAACGGCAGCGGCAGCAGCAACAACGGCGGCGGCGGGATGCCGCGGTACAACCGGCTGCGTCCACTGCGCGAGTACCAGCTGCCACGCGATGAGTGGGCGGTGTGGTGCGAGCACTTCAAGCAGGAGGCGAGCTCGGTGCTGGTGCTGGCGACGAACCGATCGCGGGTGCTGGGCATCGACCTGCGCACGATGACGTTGCTGTTTGCGCTGGCGAACCCGGTGCACCACGGGACGCCGACGTGCTTTGCGGTGGACCGGCGACGCAACTGGCTGGTGGTGGCGACATCGCATGGCGTGCTGGACCTATGGGACCTGCGTTTCAAGATGCGGCTCAAGGGCTGGGGCGTGCCGGGAGGTGCGCCCATCTATCGGCTGGCCATTCACCCGTCCAAGGGCCGGGGCAAGTGGCTGTGCGTAGCCGGCGGGACGGGGCACGGCGAGGTGACGGTGTGGGACCTGGAGAAGACGCTGTGTCGAGAGGTGTATCGGGTGGGAGGAGGTGGACCGATGAATGGGAATGGAAATGGGAATGGAATCAGCACCAACGGTACTAACGGAAGCAACGGCACTGCTGCCAACAGAGAGAACCTCATCAGGGGCTACGAGCCGTGGGATGTCGACGAGGACCGACCCGAAAGCATGCTGGGCCGGTTTGCCACGAGCCTGGACCCGGCATCGGTGGGAACCGGAAACGGAGAGGCCGGAGGCAGCAGCAACAGCAGCAGCATCAGTCCCGGTGTGCTCGGCGGTGGCGACAAAGGTGTGCGGGCCATGGTGGTGGGCTCGGCGACGTCGGACGACACGCGCGACGTGCGCCACGCTTTCATCGTCACAGGTGGCAGCGACAAGAAGCTGCGCTTCTGGGACCTTTCGCGCGTCGAGAACAGCGTCGTGTACAGCGGCCTGCTGCCAGACGAGCCGCGTCCGACCTTTTCGTCCCTGCAGGTGACGACAGCCATGACGGTCAGCACGGAGCGGCTGCCGCGGAGCGACGGCGGTGTCGTCGGCCTGTCACAGACGAAGAAGGGAGCCAAGCGGTCGGCCAGCGGTGGAGCCAACGGCAGCGGAACCAACAGCAACAGCAATGGCAACGGCAGCAGCAGCAGCAGCGTGCGCCCGTCACGGTCTACCGTCATTGCCATGCAGCAGCAGCAGCTGTTGCGCAGCCATCTGGACGCAATCCTGGATGCGGCGCTGCTGGAGAGCCCGTACACGGCAACGGTGTCAGTAGACCGAATGGGGGTGATTTTTGTGTTTTCGTAGGGAGGACGGAGTCGGAGGACGGAGGAGTCTGTATGCGTTCAATGTATGCGTGTATGCAAGTATGTGATATAGAACTTATACAGTATAATTCACCCTTATACGACTATGCAGTATAACATACCTGATAACCATACCATTTAGCCGTAGTGGAGTGTGTCTCGGAAAGAGGGCCGGCACGAACTGGTCGCCCAGTTTTAGCCGGTGACAGCTCGCACAAGAGCCACCGTCCGACCGTGCGGCCAGTTCGTGGCCGCGCCGGACTGGCTTCTTCCATCTGCGACCGCCCTGCGACCGACCTGCGACTGGCGGAAAGAGGAATACGAGCGCGTCGACTTGTGCTTTATTTGATTTATGATCGGTAACCAGAAGTCGGACCCGCCACACACACACGACAGCCGGCCAGCCAGAACGGCCCCCAAAGCGAATGGATGGATGGCCGGATACGTTTGTCCACTCTGTCGGGTCGCCCTCTGTCTCACTCCGAGTGTGTCGGGCTGGTCCTGGTGACTGGTTGTTGGTTTCTGGTTTTCTGGTTTTCGGTTTTCGGTTTTCGGTTTTCGGTTTTTGGTTTTTGGTTTTTGGTTTTTGGTTTCTAGTTCTCTGGTTTGGGGCCCGCTTTCCTCCCCTTGACCTCTCGGAACGGTCGCTTCCGCCTCCCTAGACGAGTGCCAGCAGCAGCAGCGACGCGGATGGCTGGCCGGAAATCCCACTGTTCTCTCCTTGCCGTCGCACTGCGCGCCATCGCGCCATCGTCTCGCAGAAAGCACCACACGCCCCCCCTCCTCCCCGGGAAGAGGGAGGGGGCGTTTCGTCTTACTATTTGGTATTAATACTCCGTAGCAGTCTGCCAGCAGAACGACATGTACGGAGTAAGATACCATGTACACCAGCTGCCCGCCTCGCATGAGCCAACTTGCTCTTTCTGGGTTGCAACACCGACACTCTGTCACCCGACCCCACCTTGTCCTTCCTTTTTCCTTTTTTCCCTTTTCCTTTATTCTTTTTTCCCTAATTCTTTCTTTCTTTCTTTAGCCTTTTCTTCTTCTTCCTGTCTTCTCTTCCCTTTCTGCTCGTTTTGTTTCCTTCTTTTCTTCTTTCTTTCTTCCCCTGCTCTCCCTCCGCCCTCCCCCCCTGGTCAAATCCCGTTTCCTTCCTCCTTCTCAGTCGACCGATGGAGACTACTCGTACAAGCGCTGCAGCACGGCAGAGATAAAGCCAGTAGGAACCACTCTGCTGGCACCACCCGTGCCGGCTAACGGCTGCTTGGCCTGTCTGTCCCAGTCCACAGGGTCCGCAAAAACCGACGCCTGCAACGCTCCTTTACCAAGGACAGCTCCGTCCAGAGTACGAGTACCTCGCTTCCAGCCAGCCATTCAAGGCCTTTGACTTCTGGCCCCATTTATTTCGGCCCTTGTTGGATCCGTTCTTTTTCCCACGTCCGCTTTCATTTTGGGCAGGAGCGGAAACCGCAAAGACTCCCTCGTCCCTTCCCTGCGCCCCGGCTCCTGCATTCATGACTACCCTTGTCCCAGGTACTTTAAACAAGTACTTTCCCCGGCACCTGGCCCAAGTACTCCGTACCTTGTCCAAGTAGTCCCTTCCCAGCGCAGGTAAGCTGCTGCTGCTGCTGCATCGTACCTGCCATTGTGCTTCCTCGTAACTGCCTACAAAGGGAGCCCCAGATCGGCCTGGCTGCCCTCCGTCTTCCTGCTTGGCTTCCTCTCCGCTCCTGCCTTCTCGCCCATCCACTTATGGGGTCGGTTTTTCATATAACCATAAATCCTCATCCTCACTTCTCACTTCTCGCTCTCTACACTTCTCGCTCTCTACACTTCTCTCCGTCCTTTTCACCCTCACCATCTTCGTCGCCCTCACCCTCATCCTCGCCATCGCCTGCCATCGCCAGCCCTCGCCCGCCACGCCATGGCCGACTTGGACGACTCGTCCGACTTCATAGAGCCAGCATCCGATAATGTTTCTCTCCGCACCGAAGAGCTCGCTACCGTTACCTCTGACTACGAGCCCACCCTGAACGAATCCTTGGTGGGCTCGCTCACATCCAGCGTATACGCTCACGTATACGAGAATGGGCGGTGCGTTTGTGTCACTCTCCCCCTGTACAGCATGCGGCTCTAACCCTTCTTCTCGCTCGCCTAGCCGCTACCACATGTATAAGCAAGGCCTGTATCCCTTGCCCAACGACGACGGCGAATATGGCCGTGAGAGCATCCGCCATGCCCTCTTCCTGGACCTGCTCTCGGGCAGGCTCCATCTCGCCCCCATTGGAGACAGTCCGCAGAAAATCATGGATATCGGCACCGGCTTTGGCGATTGGTCCATCGAGAGTACGTAGAGCTTGGACGTGATCCAACAGCGAGTGCGAACGTCCGCAGAGGTAATGAGAGACCCAGACTGAGAACTGAGAGCTAAATCGCCACCTTCGGAACACTTACAGTGGGCGACAAATATCCCAGCGCAAGAGTCATCGGCCTCGACCTCTCTCCGATTCAGCCCGTGTGGGTGCCGCCCAACGTGGAATTTGTCGTCGAGGACGCCGAGGAGGACCAGTGGATTCACGGCAACGATTTCGACTTCATCCACTTCCGCGTCGCAGCCGTTGTCCTCAAAGACCCCATCCGCGTGGCCGCCACTGCATTTGAGTAAGTCGGCCTGGGAAGATGCAGCTTGGACAGCAATACTGACGGCCGGAACAGCAACCTGAAGCCGGGCGGCTGGATCGAATTCCAGGAAATTCTCCCTCGTGTCGGCTGCAACGACAGCACCATGCCCGACGACTACGCCATGCAACGCTATTATCACACCGTCTGCGACATCATGGCCCGCAAGTACGGCTGGGATGCCTTCGTCGCCGAGCGGCTGCCTGTCGAGCTTGAGCGCATTGGTTTCGTCAATATCCAGCGCAAAGTCTACCACGTGCCCATCGGCTTCTGGCCCAAGGACAAGAAGCGCATGCACCACGCCTTTCTGTACCGCGAAGTCGTGAACGATACGATGCCTGCCCTGCGTGCCAAACCGCTGGTCGGAAACGACGTTGGCTTAACGCCCGACGAGATCGACAGCCTCTTCGCCGACACCCGCGCCGCACTCTGCCTTAAGCGTGTCCACGCCTACGTTCCCTTCCACTTCGTCTGGGCCCAGAAACCGCAGCGCATGAGGTAACGCGGCAGCGGAGCATCAACTGGCGCTTCCAGACCGATCATTCACCGGCCACATCACCGGGCCATATCAGCATGCCCAGGCCTGCCACACCGCAGGCTAGGGCCCATGTGTGACAGCAAAGTGCCGAGCCAGCGCCAGTTAGTGGCTGGCGGCCAAGCAGATGTCTGCATGCCTGCTGTCGGTCTTGCCGAGACCAATCAGTATGCAAAGCGTGATGACTGCATGTGTGTCTGCGTGTGTGCTGACCACTGCAGCCGGATTCTCTCGCCGGCTTACAAGCCACCAAGCAGAGATTTATCCGTGATTCACAAGACTTTCAACTCAAAGCCGTGACCAGCCACCGAGAAAGCCCGGGAGCCAGTTGCTGCCACGTGACTCGGACAGACGAACTAGAGTACTATTGCAAATAAAGCGTGACCGGGAAACAGAAACTCCAACTTGTTCGTGCCACGAATATCTACGGCTTGCGGCCGTATGTGACATACATGTCAAAGTACGTATGGAAATTCCTGTTGCAAAGCTCGGCTCGGGCCTCTTCAGCAAATGCCCTGACCTCATCGAGGCTCCAGCCGAGAAACCGAGTGAATAGGGCCAGTGACATGGTCTCGATTCCGCCATGGAAGTTCTCAAACACCCAAGCTCCCAACTGCTTGAGGCTTGGGTCTCTGGGCCACGGCCCGATGGGCCACTTGTATGGGACTCGGACGATGTCGACAAACCCAGCCTCTCTCATCAGCTCGGCCGCCTTTCCACAAGTGTCCAGGAGATAGCCAGACTTTCGGCTAGCCTCCAACATCAGATCGCTCCATCTCCTCATAGCACTGTCGCTGGGGAGAGAACCATCGGCACACTGAAGGGGAAAGTCAATGTCCTGAATCTCGACCCATCCCTCCGACTTCAAAAAACTGCCGGTAAACATCAGCGTTGCGTGTCTTCACTTGTATGGGTGTCAGACTTACTGGAACGCCTGATAGTAAAAGTTTGACCAGTCTCGGAAAGCACCCGTCATCATTGAAACATGGATGTAATCGTACTTGAAGCTAAAGGTCCACGGCTCCTCCAGATCATCAATCTGGAATTGGACATTAGGGGGAACGCTACAGCATATCAGCAGACAGACATGGGGCAGATAGATAAAGCAACTGACTAGTACTCCTGAACAGGTGCTAGATCAATTCCAACGATCTTGTTTGTGTTAGTATACTGAGAACAAAGGTGAAATAACAGGACGGTGAGACGAGCCTCTGCTTCGGGATGGGCTTCGGCTGCATTTCGGTGGTTAGTGTCACGTTGAAGAATTATACAATACACGCCAATTTAAACCCACCAAAATCTATGGCCCAGTCACCTGTCGATCAAGGTCAGTTCGCTGCTAATGCAAAAGGGCTTGAAAGGGTCTGTAACATACCGCGGCCACAGCCCACATCAAGCACTCTGTGCAGATTCCTGAAGGGAGCGAAGGCATGCGCGCCGAAGGTAGCGAGACACAAATGGTACTGGTATTCTATAAAAGAGGTTAAACGCTTGAACATGGGTTCTGAAAAGAGCATTTACCGGCTGACCTTGGCGCTGCAGCTCTTCCTACACCCATGGACATGGTCAGCTTCATGTGTCTTGTGTGTGGCCTCGGGAAAGCTCCACATACTCACCTCGTCCGTTGGCAGAACATATTTGCCGTCCTTGAACCCGTGGTACTTGCGCCCATTCTCCTCACAATGTCTGGCGAGACTAGAGCGCAGGGAAGCAGTAGACGAGTAAAGCGAAATATTCTTATATTGAAGAAAACAGCGAGTCAGTCTTCACAAGCTGGCTCTGTAAAGTACGGTATGCGTACATCTCCGAGGGCTGAGTCAGCATCTGAGCGTCCATCCTGTTCAGACAGTAAGTATTATATCGCGGCTGTGAATAGAGCAAACATCGGACAATATACTCACGTCGTCACTGTCAGGATCAATGTTGTGGTTATCAGCGAGGTCGTTTTCGTCCATGACAGAAGATCTGTTCAGCAACGTGATAGACCAGCCAAGATATATAGCAAACAGCAGCGGCTGCTTTTCCTTGCATGAACGCTTCCAAGCAAGGGGGCCTATCATAGAATCAAAAACGTCCCAGAGACTTGCAGAGTATCCAGACGTTGTGGAGGAACAAAGAGGCTCGAGGAAAGTAGCAGTTGTGTTGATGCGGACGTGGTGTAGACGCTTTGAGATGGGAATTCGTCGCAATTTATGTTTCCAAGATCTGGACATCACACAAGACGCCTGCAGGCAGTTATCTTTCATAGCGACAAAGCCGGTGCGTCACAAAAGGTGGCAAAAGGCTCGTGATCGAAGAGCCAGATGGTTGGCTTGGTTGAGGGAGTAAGACCTTGCTCGGGCAGCCGCATAAGTGCTTGTACGAGCAACAGCAGCAGGAGAGAGCCAAGACGAGTTATCAAATTCGGGAATCATAAATTGCAGGGAATACTGATGTCCAGCCAGGCAGCCAATATGTAGACCAGCATAGGTGCATGGAAGCGATAGGCCATACGGTACTGGGCAGTTGCACAAAGACCGTAATGGCGAAGCCCATTTAACCCCGGGCTAAGGACCTGTAGCGATGATGACACCATTATCTCTGTTGGGCGCATGGTGCCTGAGAGCAATGCCTCCGGCCCCTTTGTCTTTGTTAGTGCGAGAGAAGACGGAAGTGGTAGCACGAGGCGGCAGCACAAAAAGAGGCGACTTTCTAATGAGAAAAAGCGGTTGGAGTTAGCCAGGCAGCTGCATGCCACACATCAGAGCACATGTTGCGCGACTAGGCACAGGGTCTGTATGCAAATGCGAGTCATCGTCTCCAAGTTCTCTGTCATGGTGAGATGTGACACCCGTAAAGAGGCCAGAATCGGCGATGGGATAGAGAAGTACCGTGACGAAGTGACAGACAGAGACTATGAGAGAGGAGAGAAAGGAGAGAAAGCAGGAGTGCCGTGATTTTCAGAGGCACACGCTTTACGCTTTCTGTCGAGGCCACGGAGTGAATTTTGCAAGTTTTCCGGCTATTAGGCCGAATACAAGGCGCTGTTGGCCACACAACAAAAACAGGCCTGGTCCACGTTGCACGACGCATATTCGTAGGAGCGACATGTGTTCCTTCCCGTAATATGAACCGTTGTAGGGAAGGACGGGGTTTGTATTGAGTAGACGAGGTGGGAACTCGTTTTGGCTTTTTTTTATTCGTCTCGGCATCCTCCAATGATACCATCAGAGTCGCTTTCCCGCGGCTGAAGGCAGCTCGCATCCGACGCCGGTGAGATCCTTGCTTTATCAGCACGCTGTGATGACAGGGGGGTCAAGACGAGAATTGTGCATCCCAAATGAGCGAGAAGGCGGGAGATGATCCGCGGAGGAAAAGCAGCAGCGACAGAGTGGACACTAAATGAGCCGCAGCCGGTCAGCAAAAGCTATACACCCTCCTCTTTTGCTGTGTCTTTTTTCTTCATGCTTTCTGACAGTCGCGATCACTAATGCAGCGAATCAAGTCGAGCTAGCACGCCGTTGTGATGCGGGCAGTCCTTGAACCATAGGTCGCCCCTTTCCACCATCTTCCTCAGCCCTATCACGAGTCACCGCAGTTGCCCCCCCTGCTGTGGTGGGAGTGAGTGCTCGTCGGAAGAGGACAGCGGACTGCATGCCGGTGTCTGTTTAAACCGTGTCCTGCCTGTGCTCAGACGGCTCGCAGGCTGGAGTCGGGCACCATTCTCGTGCTCACCCGTGTCGAGGTGACCCCAGCCTACAAGTCCCTATATTATGGTGCTTGTCCCTCGCAGGCTGCTGTCGGCCGAGGATTTTCTCGCTTCCCGGCTCACGCTGACTCGTTTCTCCCGTCATCTTTCTTCACGGCCGTGTGTGTCTTCTTGCCTCTGGCTGTTTCTCTGGCTCTCGCTTTCTGTCTCGTTCGTACTCTCCTATCGGCTGGTACCACCACAACTCTCAGTTTACCTTGGGCCCGTATAGGTCTGCGTGTCGTTTCGTCACAACTAAACATGGCCCTACAAGCCATATTTTGGCTTGCCGACTCGGCCTGTGTGCCGGGTGCCCTGGTCCTGGGCGTGGCCATCGTCATATACACAGCAGTGGCCTGGTTTGCATCGTGGGCCCGCCTCAAGCATATCCCTGGGCCGCCTGGTGTCGGTCTCAGCAAGTGGTGGCTGCTGCGTAACAGTCTGCATGGATCCCTGTATCTGGCCAACATGGACGCATGCAAGACTTATGGCAAGTGCAGAGCTGTCGATGGCCGTGTGGTTTGTGTTGCCCGCGTGTATTAACATTGTTGTTCTCGTCCAAGGCCATCTTGTTCGCATCGGCCCCAATCAGCTGGTCACCGATGACCCGGACGTGCTACGGCATATATGGGCTGTGCGCTCGCCGTACAAGAAGGGTCCGTTCTATGAGGCGGTCCGGTTCAATCCCGAGCGGGACAACCTGGTCTCGCTGCGCGATGACCGGGCACATGGGACGCTGCGGGCGAAGATGGCAGCAGGAGTGCGTTGTCTCTCTCGACCAGTACTGGGCAGGCGGTTGCTGACAGAAGACTCACAGTACGCGGGGAAGGAGAACGAAAGCCTCGAGTCCTCGATCGACCGGGAGATTCTAGCGTTTGTGGACCTCCTTGAGCGCAAGTATATCTCGACGAAGACGGATTTCCGGCCGGTCGATCTGGCCCACAAGGCTCAATACCTCACGCTGGATGTCATCACAGCGCTTGCATTTGGGAAGCGGCTGGGATTTTCGGAGCAGGACCGGGACCTATACTCGTACATCAAGATGACAGAGGAGAACATGCCAGTGATGATGTTGATGACTATCTTTCCGCAGCTGGCCCATTTGATGCAGTCTCGGCTGTTCCGGTGGATGATGCCGTCGGAAAGGGATCGGGTGGGCTTTGGGGCGTTCATTGCGTGAGTTCTTCCGGGGCTTTGTTTCTTCTTCTTCTTCTTCACTGACGTCTGACACAGTGTGGCCAAGGAGATCGTCAGCGAGAGGCTGGCGTCGGACAATCCTTACCAAAAGGACATGCTAGGGTCGTTTCTAGCGCATGGGCTGACGCGCGAGGAGGCCGAGGGCGAGACGTTGCTGCAGATCATAGCAGGCTCAGACACGACAGCGACAGCGATTCGGTCGACGATGCTGCATCTGATGTCGTCGCCGCGGTCCTACCACCGACTGGCCACAGAAGTGCGTGAAGCATCGGCTCAGGGCCGGATCTCATCGCCCATCACGTATGCCGAGGCGCGGGCAATGCTATATCTGCAGGCGGTGATCCAGGAGGGTCTACGCATCAACCCGCCGGTGGTGGGTACAATGGATGTGGTGGTGCCAGAAGGGGGCGACGTGCTCTGTGGGCTGCGGGTCCCAGCGGGCGCGGAGGTGGGCTGCTCCATGTTCAGCCTGCAGCGACAGACAGCCATCTTCGGGGCAGATGCAGACGTCTTTCGGCCGGAGCGCTGGCTCGAGGCAGACGAGGACGTGCTCAAGGAGATGGCTAGCACGTGGTCGCTGATCTTCCGGTATGGCAAGTGGCGGTGCCTCGGCAAGGACGTTGCACTTCTGGAGCTGAATAAGGTGTTTGTCGAGGTAGGTTCTATGATCTTTGTGATCTGTGTGCTTTGTGTGCATCGTGTCGTTCTTTTCCTTGCTGACAAAATAGCTGTTGCGGAGGTACGACTTTACGCTGGTCAATCCAGCAAAGCCGTGGGACTCGACCAATGCGGGCATCTTCATCCAGTCGAATATGTATACCAAAGTTACCCGGGTCGAATCGGTGAATGTCTGAAGAGTGAAGGTCCAGGGTTTTAATATTCCGATCTGAGGTGAACACATAGGCAGCAGTTTAGAAAGAACACACAAGTACTTTCCTAGTTGGGCATGTAATATCTTGCTACATACAGTAGGCGCGACGCAGTATAAACCTAGAGATCTTGCCATATATACGTAATCCTAGTGCATAAACAGCCGCACAAATACAGCACTATTCGCCGGCGATCCGCTAAAAATCAGGCGACCATGATCTCTCACGAGTCTCACGACGGAATGGCTGATCGACAAGAACAGAAAGACAGCAGTCCGCACGAGGCTCTGTGCCGGCTGAGTATTTCAGCCGCACGACAGATTGCGTCTGATTGCAGCGGGACGGGAGAAGGGGATGCTAGGCTGCGTGAGTGCGGCGCGCCGTTGGTGCAGCTGCTAGGTCGACAGGCTCAGCAGGTCTTGAGGTTCGCAGAGGGGAGGACAGAAGAGGACGATGTCAAGGCGATGGGGCTGGTCTCGCGGCGGCTGGCCGACCTGGTGGCCGTGGCGCACGGGCGCTTCTATGCCTTTGTGCCGAGCGACGTTCCGGCCTGCTGGCGACAGCTCTACACAGACGCGAGCATCCTGCAGTTTGCGCAGCGATGGTCGCAGCTGGCGCGGGACGCAGACGCAGACGCAGACGCGACCATCGGCTCCAGTCTGGATCGTCTGGTGCGGCCTCTGGACATGGCGCTGATCCTGGCAGGCGGAGCCGGGCCGCGTGGTCGAGGTCGAGGCTGGATCCACGCGGCCCTGGACGCACTTCAAGGCGTGTGGGAGGCGGGGGAGGGAAGAAGCCAAACCCGAGACTGGACTGCGTGTCCGACCTTTGCTGGTCCGGCCGTGTCTGTCCCGCCGGTCAGCCGGCCGGTAGAGCGTCGGGGCCGGCTCGGGCTCGCGGGCTTTCAGGCGTATGTGGACGGCAGTCGCCGTCGCAGCGAGGGACCACAGCCATTGGTTATGACCGGCCTGACAGACCACTGGCCGGCACGCCGACCGGTCGACGGCCGGCCCTGGACGGTGCCGGCATATCTGCGATGGCGCACGTTGAACGGCCGGCGACTGGTGCCGGTCGAGATCGGCCGCAGCTACGTGGACGCGGGCTGGCGACAGGCTGTGGTGCCGCTGGCAGACGTCCTGACAGGGCTCTGCTCTCCAGAGAGAGACGCCGACGACGCCGGCCCTGTGTATCTGGCCCAGCACGCACTCTTTACCCAGATGCCGCGGCTGCGCGACGACATCTGCGTGCCGGATGAGTGCTATGCCACAATGGGCGACACCGACGACATCGACGACATCGACGACATCGACGATGCGCAGGAACCGCTCGTGCACGCCTGGCTTGGACCGGCCGGCACCATTACACCCCTGCACACAGACCCGCACCACAACCTGCTCGCTCAGGTGGTCGGTCGCAAATACGTGCGGCTGTACGGACCGGCACAGACAGCCGCGCTGCGGCCGCGCGGCTGCGAAGGCGGCGTCGATATGGGCAATACCAGCAGCCTGGACGTGGGCGTGGAGGAGGGCTGGGATTTGAGTGGTGGTGGTGGTGGTGGTGATGGTGATGGTGATGACTTTGATAGTGGTGCCAGTGACCACTATAAATCAGACCCCACTTTCCATCAGATCCCCTATGTCGACTGCATCCTCGAGCCTGGCGACACGCTGTACATTCCGCGCGGCTGGTGGCACTACGTGCGCGGACTGACCGTCAGCTTCAGTGTCAGCTTCTGGTGGGACTGATGGCTGCCGTTGCTGTTGACCGTTCCTGGCTATCAATGTTCCTCTCTCTTTTACATCACTGTCACCAAACGAAGCTCTTGTTGAAACTTTTGAATGAATTGCCCTCAGAAGGCGTCAATAGCCAAGGCAGAAAGACAAAAGACAGAACAAACAAACAGCCCTTCAGAAGCTGGACAGCACGAGGTCGGAAACACTTTCGTTCCTCACACTTCAACACCACAACACCTTAAACGTTCCCTCCTCCCTTCATCTTCACCCCTCACCATTCCATCGCCTTCAACGGCTCTCCCCGATTCGTCGTTGCCACCGGCACTGCCTTGGCCAACAGACGGCCGTTGCGGCCACGCTTCAGGTACGCCCGGCCATCCAGCCAAGGCGTCTCCAGCGTCATCTTGCGCTCAAACGCGGCAATCTTGTCGTCCATCTGCATGGTCAGGCCAATGTCGTCCAGTCCGTTGACCAGACAGTGCTTGCGGAACTCCTCCACGTCAAAGCCGCAGATCGTCTTGCCCTCGGCATCGCGGATCTCCTGCTTCGGCAGGTCGATTTCGATCTCCCGTCCAGCACGACCCTCGGCCGCGATCGCCTCCAGCTTGGCCGCGTCTGCGATTGGGATCATCAGCATCCCGTTCTTGAACGAGTTGTTGAAGAAAATGTCCGCAAACGACGGCGCGATCACGCTGCGGATCCCAAAGTCGTTGAGCGCCCACGGCGCGTGTTCACGCGAGCTGCCACACCCAAAGTTGCCGCCCGTCACCACCAGAATCTTGGCTTGCCGGAACGGCTCCCGGTTCAGCTCAAAGTCCGGGTTGTCGCTGCCGTCCGCCAGGTATCGCCAGTCGTTGAACAGCGCCTTGCCTAGGCCTGTCCGCTTGATCGTCTTGAGGAACTGCTTCGGGATGATCGCGTCCGTGTCCACGTTTGTCCGCTCCATCACCGCCGCGATGCCCCGGTGCACCACAAATTTTGGCAGTCCGCCTACAGCTCCATGTCCGGCCACCGCCGAGTTGACGTGTGGTGAAATGTCCTGCGGCTGGTCTGCAATCGCCTCCTTCTCCTCGTCGTCCTCTTCCACTCGCTCGTCCACGTGGGCCTTGCCGCTGCTTGTCGTCGTCGTCGTCGGCTCCGGATCCGGCCGCGCCCGGAACGCACCCACATGCGGGCTGTCCGTGTATGTCGTCAGCTTGCGCACGTCCGTCAGTTTGCCCACGATGCCGGCTGCGGCTGCCATCACCGGACTCATCAGGTGCGTCCGGCCGCCGGCGCCCTGCCGACCCTCAAAGTTGCGGTTGCTCGTGCTGGCACAACGCTCCTGTGGCGACAGGATGTCCGGATTCATGCCCAGACACATGCTGCAGCCCGCCTCGCGCCACTCGAAGCCCGCCTCCGTGAAGATCTTGTCCAGGCCCTCCTGCTCGGCCTGCGTCTTGACCAGTCCCGATCCCGGCACCACCATCGCCCGCTTCACGTTGACTGCAATCTTGCGACCGCGCACCACCGCTGCAGCTGCCCGCAGATCCTCGATCCGTGAGTTTGTGCAAGACCCGATAAACACCTTGTCGATCGGGATCTCCTCCATCGGCGTGCCCGCTGTCAGGCCCATGTAATCGAGCATCCGCCGCGCCGCCGTCTTCTTCGCCTCGTCCGCAAACGACTCTGGGTCCGGCACCCGCCCCGTGATCGGTACCACGGCCTCTGGGCTCGTGCCCCATGACACCGTCGGGATGATGTCCTTGGCGTCCACAAACACGTCAATGTCGTATGTTGCCGCAGCGTCCGACTGCAGCTGCTTCCAGTACGCCACCGCCCGCTTCCACTCGTCTGAGCCGTACGGTGGTGCCAACGGCCGTCCCTTGAGATACTCAAACGTGATCTCGTCTGGTGCCACCATGCCGGCCCTCGCACCACCCTCGATCGACATGTTGCAGATCGACATGCGTGCCTCCATGCTGAGGCTGCGGATCACCGACCCACAGAACTCGATCACACAGCCAGTGCCGCCAGCCGTGCCAATCAGCCCAATCACGTGCAGCACCACGTCCTTCGACGTCACGCCTGGCGCCAGCTCACCGTCCACCTGCACTCGCATGTTCTTGCTGCGCTTCGTGATCAGGCACTGCGTCGCCAGCACGTGCTCCACCTCGCTCGTCCCGATGCCAAACGCCAGCGCGCCAAACGCCCCGTGCGTCGACGTGTGGCTGTCGCCGCAGACCACTGTCGTGCCCGGCAGCGTGAAGCCCTGCTCCGGCCCAATCACGTGCACGATACCCTGCCGCTTGTCGCCCAGCCCAAAGTACGTCACCCCAAAGTCCCGCACGTTCTCCTCCAGCGTGACGCACTGCGTCCGCGAGTCATCCTCCTGGATGAAGCTGGCAATGTCTTTGAGCGTCTTTCGCGAGACCGTCGGGATGTTCTGCCAAAGACACGTGAGCATGCTGCCGCCATCGGCGAGAATACCTGCCATCCGTAACTCACATGATCCGTCGTCGCAAGGGTGCAGTCCGGCCTCCGGACCTTGCGGTCTGCGTTCTTCAGGCCCTCAAAAGCTTGCTAGTATGGGGAGAAAGGTGGGTGTCAGCAATGCATAATGTGACAGCCCAACTCAGGTACGGCTGCAGTCTGTGTGGTTCCTGGACGTTTCCCTGGCGCGCAGCCGTTTTCGGACCGGTAACGATCCACACCAAAATAAAGCTCAGATAAGGCACAGCTGAGCTGAGCCAGTCGAGAGAGGAAGACCTACCGGTGAGGTGACCTCATGCACGAGATGCCGGTCTGCACAAATTCACGTCAGCCGGTGTCGTCAAAGATGAGGGGGCACCTCAGCTCTTACCAATGTACAAAAGCACCGTACCGTCCAGCTTCTGGTCCACAATGTGGTCGGCCAGAACCTTGTCGTACAGCGTTTGGGGGGTACCGTCAATGGAAGGCATCGTGACGGTTGCTCAATGGAAGAGATTGTCTAAGTCGTCGAAAAGGAGAGAGGACAGACAGATGTCAACCGTGGGAGAGATTGGGTGAGGCCAGAGAAAAAGCGAGAAAAGGATGGGTCTAGGAAGGGAAGAGAAAGAAAAGGAAGAGGAAAAAGGACTCGGAGCTTTTGTGAGGTGAAAAGAAGCGCTCCAGTGCGAAATGGGGCAAAAACGGTGACTCTACCACAAAGCCGCCTGCACACTTTCTTGAATAGGATCTCCCGTCTGTTTTAAGGCAGCAGAAGGAGGATTTCGCAATTGGATAAATTGCCCGGCATCACAAATCAGACCGACTCATCGCTTGCCTCCTCCTCTTCATAACAGCTTTTTTCATGCTTTTCACGCTTTTCAGCCAGGCTTCGCCCGCCGATGATCGGAGCGAGTGGACCTGTCCGGTCGACGGAATGTTCTACTTGGGGAGCCCTCGCTCATTTTTTCTTTATTTTGCTACGGACTAAAAACGCGGGGTTAGTTGTGGCGGCTGCCATTAGAATTGCCCACCGCAGATTGGCTGTTTCCCGCTCTGCCCTCGTCCTCGCCTCCGTCATTGCCCTTTCCAGGTGGACCAAGGTGGATGTCTCCTTCCCAGCCTCCGGGAAAGTAAGATTCCAACGGCTCAGTCCACCGCTCTTGCCCAGCTCCTTCCTCTCTGAGCCCTCGGCCTTGCCCTTCTGCTCCGAGGACTCGACCTTGCGATGGGACGGGGATATGTATGTCCTATGGCACGTGACACTGCCTAGTGGACGATCATCGCCAAGAAAGCGGAGATAGCCACCATTAAACCCAGATCGCAATCGTCTTGTGTGGCAGTCTTCTCACAAGCAAACTTCTCCGCCCGCAACAAATTGTGGCGCGACTGCATGCACAATCCAAGGAACCTCTCATGCTCTTCGTCTTATCCCACGCTCTCATACACTTTCACGCCTTTGCACACCGCAACCGCGGTATCGGCTGGGCCCCACTAAGCATATCAATTAAGTAACAGAAAACGCTGCAGCCAAACATTTTGACTGGCCCATGTGTGACGCTTGCGCGCAGCTGCTGTCGGAGATATAGTAACGATAAACCACTATCGTGTCATTGGCTGCTTGTCCGTGTCGTACTGATTGTGTACAACACAATCCTGAGACCACGGCCGAGCGATCATCGGACGAGCTGGAGAACGATTCAAGAGGCACAGCGAAAGACGCTGCACAAGCAGCTTACATGTTGGAAACAATACAGCTTAGTACCTACTACAGCCTCTTGGGCTTTTGAAGAGATGACTCCCCATAACAGACCGTTCAATCGTAAATATGCTCTCCCAGGTGCAATTAGCTGTCTCGCACGTTGAGCAACCGCCTGGTATCTCAATCTAGCCTCAACAGCAATCTGCTCATCTCTTCCATCTGTCGTCAAGGCCGTGTTGTACCAAGTCCAATTCTCGATTCTGCCCTTAAGGATCTCCGATGTCGCCTCTCTCGGCGGATAGGTTCGGCAGACACAAGGACTGGCTCGGGTGACACCACGGCCGCTGACTTGCATGAACACAGCCCGTTGCTTCCGCCGCCGTCTTCCGTGTCATGCCCGCCATAGTTAGTGCTGTCTGGGTCCCTGGTCGGCTTGCGGCTGTCATACACGGTCGGCCTCCCGAGAGAGGCGTTGACACCGTCATTGCCTGAATCCGCGCATGTGGTAGCGCCTTGCGCAGAACCTTCCCGCTTCTCATCCTCGTCATCGTCACCTGCCTTGACGATGTAGTAGCGGCGGTGAGTGTTCCTAGAGGGTGTTCTTCTAAATTCGGCCAGAAGTTCGGTCTTGGATTCATTAGGAAAGACGTCAATCCAGGCCTCTTGCTTCTGCGTTTCATCTTCGCTTGCAGTTCTTGCTCGGCAACCTTCAGGCTTTCTTTTGCGTTGACTTCTCCGCCTAGAGCCGCTGAGTATCTCGGTGATTGGTTCTGATCGAATCCAGTAGTGGTGATGATGGGTGTGTAAACATACGGTGTGCTGGCCTCCTGTTTCTGTTGTGCTGGGCCGGCATGCGTCTTTGGTACGTTTTGCTCTACTTCCACTACGTCCAATCGTGCAGGTGGCTGGCCCATCTTCTCCACGTGCAACGTCTCCAGCCGTACCAGGCTCGCCTGCGTGATGTTTTCGTTGATCGTGGTCTCCTGCGATTTCTTGGCATTTCTCTGAGCTCGGCTGTGCTTGCTTTGTATTACGGTGAGTTGGTGTAGCTGTGGTAAGTGCGGCGGGTTGTATCGCCCCATCATTGCGCAAGGAAAGTGTCCGCTCAATCTCAGACTGCCGCAATGGCTTTGTATAGCCTGTAAAAAAAGTTAATAGGTGGCTGGAACGTTCACAATGACAACTTTCCTCAGTGTCCTATGTGCCTCTTTGCGACAGACAGACATACCTGCTGAACTAGAGCTTTTAGCTGGACAAGACACGCTTCTGCTACGAGATCCAGTCGAAGTCTGCACTGTTTCTTGCCAATGCACATGACCTTCTAGGACAAGCCGTGTTTCCACTGTGTCCTGAACATTGGATGCTGTTGAAGGAAGAGGGCCGGTTGCTTTACAAGGAACATTGCTTTGGCCCAGCTCTTTTCTCCGAATTTTGAAACTGCGTGGTTGCGAATGTGGCACGGAAGAAGACTCGATACGGTTCGTGTTTCCAAGAATCTCGCGGCTGACTTCGTCTCCTTGCTCTATTCGATGTGGTACGTCAGATGATCGATACTCGTTTGCACACAGCGTAAACTGTACATCGGCTTGCTCATAGGATGGAGGTGTGCGTATTATTGTGCCGGAAGAGGTCCTGCTAATATCATCATTTTTAAGGTCTGGGAGCTTGTCGAGCGTAGAGCTCCTCGATTGGAGAATGGGGCTGAGCTTCGGCTCTGCCACCGATGACCACTGGCTGGTTTCTTTACGCCACATGATATGGCATTGTTCTGCTTTGGCAAGCTCTTTCAATTTCTCACGTCTGCTTTCCCTGTGCTCTGCTTCTGCAGGCTCGTTTCCGGCGACGTTTCTAGAGTTCTGGTAAGAGTTCGTAGTAACGCCATCCTCTAGAGCCGAACTCATCTGCGGCTGTGAACCATTCTCGGCTCCTGTGCTGATTGTGCTGGTGGTGGGTGTCAAGACGTCCAAGGTTCCTGTATTCGGATTCACACCTTGCACTCCAAGGAAGTCTCCACTTGCTTTTAGGCTCCGTCGTTGGCGACGGGAAGCCCGTTTTGACAAGACGGTATCTTGGTCCTGATAAATGTCTTCTTTGGTAGAGCAAATGGCATTTGGACAAGGAGCCTGCAATTTATATGACAAGCAGTCCTCTAATTTTGCTACTTGTTCGCCTTTATGAGAGGATATTTTTCTTGCAGTAACAGCTCTATGTCTTGGCCTTCGTATATTAGACGCGTGAGCAGTGTCTTGAGATCGTGGCGGCGGAAGTGGAAGTGGTTTCGAAGCGGTTATTCTTGCATCAGCAGGTAACGCATGTCTAAAGCCCAGTGATCTCAAAGCAGGACATCCCCTTTTAGTGCGGCCAATAAGTACGGTGCGCAGCCTCTCTTCGGCAGCTTTCTTGCTGTGGATGGACGCTGTTTCTATCCCTAATGACTGCTCTTTGCCTCCCTCGCCCTCCTAGGTACTGTAAGGCCGAATAGTTCCTCCCCGCTCTGGTTTGTTGCTAGGAAAAAATTTCGTGATAAAGTCAACAACAGGTGATACCCGCTTCCGCTTTTTGTCTGAAATGGCATCTAGCTGGCTGGACATGCTATTGGCTGGTTATCGCATTCTTGCCCAATGCTTGAATAGGTGCGATTCTTGAGTAGAGCGCGTCGTGCGACTTGATTGTTAGTCTTCCATCTGTTGTATGGACCCTAAGGACCCATTGGGTATATCACAGTACTACTTGGTCGGGGAAGTACCCTCGGAGGCGGAGAGTTTATGTCTGCGGTATAAGTGGAACAGATATATCTTGGATGAGAATGACTGTAGAGCCGATATTGATTCTGGCAATGATGCAATTTAGGAGGAAGACGAAAGCCAATTCATGTATTTGGGCAATAATAGCAGATGTCGGAAGAAAAGGCTCGAGAAAAAGCTATTTCCCTGATTCACAATACACACAGACGAAATAAGAAGGAGCAACGAAATCAATTTAGTAGTTGTATGCTTATGTGGACACGAGATAAACAAACACCGGAGACTGCCCAAAACGCCATGCTCTCAAACCAAAACAATGGTGCCGCAATATTCCAAGGCAAAAGCGAAAACGAAAAAACCACCGACTGTAACTAAAATAAACATTATGTTGAAGGGCTATGTAAAGGCTTAGCACCGTGACGGAAATCTCTCATACTTATAAGAAGTCGGCCGTGCCCTCGCAAAAGGATTGACCGATGCAGTAGATTGGCCTATGGACCGGAAAGGCGTCTTCTCGTCATTTGCTGGCCGTGCCCTATCCTCTTTGAGTGGGCTAGACCGCCGCTGCGCCCTCTCTGCTGCGTCACGCTGTTCGATGGCAGCAAGCTCTCGAGAGTTTCGTGGTGAAAAGCAGCTGGTTGGAGTAGTTACGTCGTTCAAGCTGGTAGCTTTCTTCAGTGGCGAGTTGACATGGCTATACACGCCAAGACTTCCGCCAAAATTGGTGCTTGTGCCAGTTGAGGCTGTTGGTAGGCGAGAGCTGTTTGCGGCCGCACTCGAGTTCTTGATCGTGCTCACCGCGGAGGCAGGAGTCGGCGCCATTGATGTTGTAGCAGAGTAGCTGGGCGTCACGACAGAGGGCATGCTTTGACGGGGTTGAGAGATGCTGCCATACGAAGGAGTAAATGCGTCTGAATGTCTGATTGCTTTGTTGACTGGCGTAAACAAACGTGGAGCCGCTGCAATGCTCGACTGACGGCCAGCAGAAATTCCATAATCTGGGTCGACATGTCTGACATAATTCTGGTTCGGGTGGGTTTGGAAGCTCCGGCGGATAAGAGTTGTCGGCGTGCCGATTTCGACCGGAATTTGCTCGGTCTTGCTGCCGGCACCAGCGCTGAGGATGTCGTTCATAGTCACCTGGGTGCCCACGTCCCTGACGATAGGATGAAGCTGTGGCCGCACAAATTTTTCGTCGTACTCGTGGAAAACCTCCTTCTGTATAATCGCGGCGTCCTTTTGCCGCTGATCGTTCCTTGACTGCATCAGCGTCATGATGGCCGAGAGGCCCACCTGCAGGACGAGACATTTGAACACGGTGACGCTCGGCCGTGACTCGAGCGGATCGAGCGGCAGCTCAAACAGATACACGAGAACATGGAGAGGGCTGAAAAACGACAGAAAAGCAAGTGATGCAGGGCGTGGATCCCATATAGCCAGCTCCCATACATCGCGGCTGCTGTCCGGGTGGGAACGCGATTCGGCACTTTCGAAGCTCAGAAGGTCGGATAGGAGTCGGAAGGGTGACGAGGAGGACGGCGAGGACTGCACACGCACCCGGTGTGCCGAAGGTGTGCCTGGAGCCTTGTCTATGCTAGCTTCGAAGAGACGGTAATGGCGCTTGCGGGAGAAGACGAAAACGGCATTTGCGACAGAAAGAGTAAATCCGGTCCACACGAGCATTTGTACCTGTGGGACAAGTTCCAATATCAGCCAAACACCCTCCTACATGCTTGAAGTAGAAGTCGCTGGGAACGTCCCGTTGTCACTCACCAGATACGAAAACCAGCCATGGCTTGATGCATCGCCGAAAACGTCGTCATCCGCGCTGTTGGATGGACCCAAGTTTGCTCTAGCCAGCAAAAAAAGAAAGTTGGCAACCAGACCAGCCTGTGTTCCAACCGTCTGGGAGTCAAGCTCTCGTGTTTCGATCTCTTCAGAGAGCCACAAGAGAAAGTCCCAGGGGTTGATGGCAGCCGCGATGCGCTGCATCAACGGCTGACGACGAACGAGACGAGGCATCTTATCTGGACGAGAAAAGAACAAAAAGAGCCAAATAGGTCCTTGCTGTAGTTTTGCGATTCTTGCAGATTAAACCTGCAACTTATACCATGCTCACGGATATCAGTGTTCGGCAGCTCGAGTGAATTTACTGCTGTTGAGGGTCAAAATTTGCGATGGTCAACTCGGGGCAAAATATCTTGCTGTTGTTTACGGAGTACAAAGACAAGACGCTTGCGAAATAGCGCAGGTGCATATGCTTACATAAGCTAGCGGCTGAAGGCATGGGGTGTCAGTTGAAGTACTCCGTACCCTCCATAGGCGATGATTGCGGGGCTATAGCGGGAGCCAATAATCGGCGGCAGGCGGTGAGCTATTAACCCGCCATTGCAGGTCCAAACCTCACTTCAACTAGGCACACTTCACTCCGTCACAGAGGGGACTGAGAAACAGCAGCCATGACAACCACCCAGGCGGACTACAAGGACAGGCAGTTCCTAGCTGTCATTGGGGACGAGGTGAGCGGTCTGAAGCCACCGTTTCGGTGATCGAGCCTGTCGCTAATGTTCGCATATGGCTTAGGACTCAGTGACTGGGCTGCTTCTCGCAGGCATTGGCGTAGGTGCCCCGTACTGCATCCTGTACAATTACTTCTGTGGGCTTACCATGCATTTGTATGCGACAGCATGTAACACCGGGGGCCGACCAGCAGAAGAACTTCCTCGTTGTCGACAGCAAGACGGACAATGCGGCCATTGAGGCAGCTTTCGAACGATTCTCCACCGAGCGCAAGGACATTGGGATTATCCTGATCAACCAACATGTGCGTGGCAACCGTCAATGACGATGAAAATGCTGTCGCTTTATCTGCGGAGACTGACATTCGGTGCAGATTGCCGACCGGATACGGCACCGGATTGACACATACACCGCGGCTTTCCCGACAGTACTCGAAATCCCTAGCAAAGACCACCCGTACGACCCAGAGAAGGACAGCGTGTTGCGGCGTGTGAGGCGGCTGTTTGGCGAGTAGTGTGCTACCGGCCGCTATCTTCCCACGGAAGGGTAGATATATAATCGATGCGTTTGACGCCAACTGTATGGACATGTAACCCGACAGAAGGAGCTACAGACGATACTGGCTTGTGTTTTCTTTAAGGCATATGTCAGATAAATGAAGTGAGGCTGGAATTTATATTTGATACAATATATGTCTTCGCGCAATACTGCCCCATTATTGCAAACCAATTCTGCAGACAAGCTTAAATGTACAGAGCAAAGCACAAAGCATACCGGCAAACAAGCAAATAGCAAAACTGAGAAACAAGGTGGATAGAAACTATGCAGGGCGCCAAGAGAGCAGCCGCTGAAGGCCACGGCAAGATGCGTTGATTACTGCATCATAGCAGGGCAGGCGCTGCACCAAGTGCTACCGTTTAAACACGCCGACAACAGGAGAAAGCAATAACGTCGCTCTTGCCAGATAATCTTTAACCCTCGTGATCATCTACAAATCGCCAAGCTCCGCTTTGGAAGCGCTGTCCTTTCGATTGAAGACAACCGTAGCGGTCAGGCACGTGATGGGCTTGTCATCGGCCGTAAACACATCGGCCAGGACTGTGTACTTTCCCTATAAGAGTACATGGGTTAGCCGTCTGAGGAGTAAAAACTGAAGTTGGGTAACAAAAAGGGACACGGTTAGAGTTTCTTCTTACAGGAGGGATCTCGTTGGGCAAGTCGACCGACTTGGTGATGGAAAGAAGACCCTTCTCAATAGGGCACTCGAGGTCGACTTCCCCAATCTGCTCGCACAGATCTGCCGTAGTGCTGATGAGACGAATCAGGCCGTACTTGACCTGCAGGAGGACATATGCACCTTCTGTGATCGTTTCAGAGACGGTGCCAGAGGCGGTGATAACGAGAGTTTGGCCACTAGATACTGTCAATCAAAGGTACAGGTCGTGAGATTGGAAACCACATGATGAGGGCCTAACTTACGCTTCGGGTGGGTTGGGCGCCAGGTCAACTTTGTGGATAGTAAGGACATCCTTGCTGTGGTCCTGAGGACAGAGTTCGAGCGGCGAGCGGCCAGGAATCTTGAGATCCTCGTTGCTGGTAGCATCGTTGCCACCGAAGAAACTCAGACCTGCCGAAGCAGTCGAGAGGAGGGCGACGAATACTGCTGCCGTTTTCATAGTGCCGTTTGTTTGAGAATGTTGGAGAAATTGAGTCGAGAATCTGTCAGCGATCGAATGTTTGACCGGCGATAAAGACGGCTCAAAGGAATGGCTTGTTTATCAAAGTGTGGTTATAAAAAGAGAGTTCACAGCTTGAGTAATATACCCTTTGGGGCTCTCGACTGCTGGTTAGATCGTGAGAGAAGTCAGCCAGCGATAACGGGAAGGCAGAAAGGCGGTTGAGCGAACTGAAAGGTGGTTGGCGTCATGAGGGCAGAGCATTGCGCTATGATTGGCCGAAACAATACCCACTATAAACGCACTCAAACCCACAAAATTACGGGTACTTTTAGGTTCACCATTATTGAGTCATCTCGAATTCAATGAATGAGCTTTCTTTTCGATCGCAGCCATATTACGGGGCTACGCGCCTGCCTCTGGTTTCAGCAGATCGGCAAATAGAGCCCAGAGATGACGTAGAGGCGCATCTCTGATATGGATTCCATACACGCTCAAGGCAAGGGGTTGACGTTGTTTTGCGTGCTTATAAAATCGCGCCAAGTACGAAGATTCGAGCTAGTATTCAGGAGGCCATAATCCGTACTTCTCTACTACTCCGGTAAGCTGCAAGAGCACTGCGATGTTCGTTGTGCATATTCTTGGATTCCTCACTAGTTTAGCGTGCAGGTAGAAAAAGGCTATCTCCGCAGCGCCAGAGATAGGCGGAATAAACACCCATTGTATCTTAGTATAGCGAGGCAGCGGCCCAAAACACAATGCTGCTTCAATTTTGCCTGATAGGGTAAAGCGCATAGGCAAGTTACCCAACGGTTGTGTGAACACAACGAACAGAGAGGCGCAGTGTACGGAGTACTTGTACTTGTACTCGTACATTCCCGGCATCGAGAAATTAAAGCTGTGACGACGGAGATTCTGGCCTCACACTCAAGCGCCACAATCGGTCTCCGACGCCACACAGAGACCAAGCCAGTTCTCACACGGCGTACGGAGTTGAAGCTAGGGCGACGCGAACGGAGATTATGACGAGAGATGGCGTTGTGCAAGCAAAGAGCCTTGTTGCGTACGTACGAGAATGTAGCTGACAAACATCGAAAATGCCTGTCGCTTCGTAAGGTCAATCTGCCGGTCTCATTTGCCTCCCGTGCGTAATGCACCTCACGTTCCCCGGCGTTCTCGCGCTTTTTCTGGTCGGCTCTTGCTTGATACGCTCTTGTCGGGATCAGCCCCTGCAGGCCCCAGAACGGCCGAAGGAAGGACAGTATTCGCGTACATAGTAGGTCAGATATGGATGAGACGTCATATTGTCACTGGCCGGTGCGCTAAGCCAAGTGAAATACAGAGGAGGGGCGTGTAAGATAGTTACACGACGCTGTCCCGGAGTACCGATACCTACCCCGTCACTTTGGTTGGTTGTCCCACGGCTTCTCACCGCTTCTGTCATGCACAGGGAGTCGCACAATTGTGCCATGCCATTCAGGCAGCAAAGTGGGAGGCAAAATCATCTCGGACGGCAGTCTCCAGCCCTCTTTATTTTTTGGACCACGTTCTTTTTTCTTTTCTCCAGAACATCCTATGATCATCAACCACCTTCCCAACAGTCAATACCAGACCCCTATGCAGCCAGATGCGCTCGATTATTTGCGAGGCCGCATTAACTCATGGGAATATCGTAAAGCCATGGCGGAAAATAACAAAAAAGGGCAGCCATGACTACCAGGTTTGTCTGTGTACGCTCACTCTCTCTTTATTGTTTACATCTCACCCTAACTGCCGTCGAGAGTCTCGACGGCTAAACTCGCCGCTCTGCTTACCCTTTTTCTGGCGGGGGTCCTTTCCTGCCTCAGGCAGCAGCAGCATGCTCACATCCACCTACAATGTACTGGTACAAGGTATCGGGCTATCTTACCACTGATTTTCTTTCGTACAGTGAATCGACAGGATTGGGGCAGGAGCAAGCGCGCCGGAGCCACGCTAGCCCAGAAATTCTGCTCTTCTTTCTTTTCCATCTGTCTTTTTTCCTAATTTTGGGGGGGGGGGGCTTGGTGACTGCCTATTGGCCTCTTCTCCTTCTCCCCCCCCCGGACACAACACGCTTCTGCTGCTGCTCTCTTTTGCTTTCCTCCCCCCCCGAAGTACTCGTAGTCGAACTTTGTCCTCTCGCCCCCTCCCCCGTTCTTCTTTCCATACACGCCTCGGCCGCCCTTTCCTTCTTACTCCCCTCCACCTCTCTTTTCTTCTCCCTTTCTCATCCAACTCTTGTTCCTTTTCTCCCAACCTTTCGTCGCCCTCTGCCTCTTCAAATCCAATTCGCTTTACGTCTTTTCGTCCAATTTTGTCCAACCCACTTTGCGACTGAAAGACACGAAAAAACCCGGACCATTTTTGAAGCACCTCGTTCGAATCTTTCTCGGCTTCCTCGATCTTTGCCCTCGACGGCCTCGAGTTTCCTATCGAAGGCCTTGCCCGACTGCCACCAGCTCCGACTTTACGACTGCTGGTTCCAAATCGCGTCGGCTTGTTTCGTTTCTCGGCGCTCGGCCTTCTTTTCGTCTTGGCCCCAAGACATCGCGACAGTACGGGGAATACGCCATTTTCTTTTGTCTCGCCTTCTGCGACAACTGCTATTTTATCAGTCGCTGCTCTCGGTTGTCTACATCCGATACACCAACACATAGACAGAAGTCTATTTTTTATCTTGTTCGCGTATCGCGTTTCCGCCGTTAACAATCCTTCCTACCGTCGACGCCTTCCACGAACCTAGTTTCGTTTTTTAAGAGGCTGCTCCGCCTATTTGCATCACGCGCCCTTTCGATACATTTCTGTCGAGAGTGAATACTTTGGTTATTCCCTTGCCCTCCAACAGGTCATCCCGTCTGGCCGACACCTTTGAACACCCAGACAGAAAGCGACTGGAGACTGCTTCGATCGGATAATATCGTTTTAGGCCTCACCTGTCTATGGACTTGCGCCCGCCTAGTCATGACACAACCACTGAGAAGATAATTTCAGCCTCTCTTTACGCTCTCGGCGCCCTCCCCCTCAGTGAGGTCTTTACTATATTATGACAGAAAAGCTTCATCCGCCGTCGACACAGACCGCGACCCCTACCCAGAGCCTTCCATCTTATAAACCCTCTTCGCCACGGGTTCCCTCTGTCGCCATCCCATCCGCATCTTCCGCCTTCCCCTCTCCCTCCTCCGCAGCCGCCGTCATCGACAATGTTATTGCCGTTGCCAACGAACCTATCTCCCCATTCCAAAACACGGCTATCGCAAAGGCGGAGTTGGCTGCAGAGGAGGAGCCGTACACAATAAAATGCATATGTGGTTATCAGGGCGATGACGGAAACACAATTTACTGCGAAATCTGCGATTCGTGGCAGCACATCGAGTGTTTCTACCCTAACAATAGCGAGGAAGCAACGCGTGAGGAATTTTCACACGCATGCCACGACTGCAAGCCTCGTCCGCTTGATCAAAGGCACGCGGTCGCATACCAACGGCAACGACTTGGTGCTGCCACGGCAGAGGCAGTCGGAAGCACGAAGTCGAAACGGCCTCCTTCAAAAAGCCACAGCCAAAGCCACAAGAAAAAGCCGAAGCCGACAGATGTACAATTGAGTGGACATGGATTGTCTACTAGCGACGTCTCGAAGCATCCTCATTCCACCCTCGATCACCCTCACCTGGCACATCCTCCTACGAAGAAGACGAAAAGCTCGCACAAATCAAGTCACTCAATGAGCGGATCGCATCCGAAAAGAAGTCCTTCATATAGTGCATCGCGAACAAACTGTCAGAATACTCACCCGCTGAGCCCGGCAACTACGCCACCAGATCTGCCAGATGGTGTGGAGATACACAACTATTCCAGCGACTTTCTTTCGCTTTGTAACGAGCAGAACACTGCGCAAATTGTGCAGACAAACTCGTTTCTGACCTTGGCAGTTTCGAACATGACGTCTATTTGGCTTCGAGAACCTGATCGGATGCTGAAAGAGACCGGCCACGACTACAGCGAAATCTTCCACGAATCTCCTTCTAGCAGCGAGTCAATGAACCGGCCGCCCAAGGTCGAGGTCAAGAAGCGCGTCATGGACCAAGACCCAGTTGTCCGTTGGAGCTATCTAGCTGCGTCAGAGGCTGTCGATAAGGACGTCCGGCTTCTGGAGCTCAATGGCGAGGTTGGCTTTCAAAAAGACTACTGTTCTGTACCAATGAATCGATACGAAGAGCTCTCCTGTCCACTTCCTTTCGTTTTCTTCCATCCGCTCCTTCCGTTGTACATTGACACCCGGAGGGAAGGGTCCCTGGCACGATATGTGAGACGAAGTTGCCGACCCAATGCTGTATTGGATACATTTTTGTCAGGCGGGTCCGAATACCATTTCTGGCTTCTGAGCGATCGGCAGATAGAAGCCGATGAGCAAATCACCATTCCCTGGGACTTCCGGCTTCCACGCGAGGCTAGATTTCGGATGCTTCGCATCCTTGGACTAGGGGAGGAAGACAACAGCGTGCTGGACGACGTGGATGAAGATGAATACAGCAGCATTGCTCGGTGGGTGCACCAGATATTATCTGAATATGGCGGCTGCGCGTGCGACTTAGGGGCGGACTGTGCATTTGCTCGATTTCACCGAAATTACGGCAGCAGGTTACACCAAACACAAAACGGACACAGTGGCAACGGGGGCCACCATAAGAAAAAGGCCGCGCGCAAGCCGAAACCCCATGCGTTGTCGCCAACAAGCACCGGTCATGCAACGAACAGTCGTGCTGCTAGCGAGGGCCACCTGGACGATTTCGCTGAAAACGACAAGGCATCAACATCGTCGCGCAGCAAACCTCCTAGTCGAGATATGACGCCCGCTCCACGCCAGGGGTCCTTCGACACATTGGGTATATTGACGGAGCCGACCGACCGAGACAAGAGGAAGGTAGCGATGGTAGAAGTCTCGTTCCGGCGTTTGGAGCAGCAGCCGCCAAAGAAGAAAAAGCGATTGTCTGATGGCGGTGTTTCGGAGAAATCGACCTCTAGTCACAGTAAGTCGAAATCGAAAAGCTCACCGGCGAGCAGCTCGGCGGTGCTTCCATCAGCCGATGGCGGCCACACAGACCTTGCAAACGGCTCCAATGGGCGGTATTACACCGATGCAGGAACATCACAGAACAAGGTCGATTTGCCGGCTGGTGCTGGATCGCCTCAACCAAAGACTGGATCCGCACACGCCTTTGCACCTATGTTGTCAGCTCGGAGTACCACACCTACGAACTCACGGCATACTTCGGTTGTCCCTCCGTCGACCTACTGTGATGCTAGTGTGCAAACAGATACCACAACAGGCGAGTGGTATAGCGAGAAAGCTGCTACACCACGTCCGAGGCGGAGGGTCATTTCACTCTCACGACGCCTACTAAGCTATCGACACCGTTTGCGGCCTGAAGGCAGCGGCGAAGTGAAACAGGGACAACAGCAACTGGCGGCTTCCTCAGCCGCAAACACTGACGGTTGCGATAAAGGCCAGCCATCAGAGGCGGATGTGGCTGCAACGGAAACAGAGTCATTATGCAGTGCGCAGACAGACGATGTTCCTATGACAGACGCAGCCGGCCATGCTGATGGTCCCGAAGCCGAGTCGCCAGCCCGGTCGTCTTTGGCGACCGCGACACAATTGGCAAGCTCGAATGCTGTCAAAGACGACGCTTTGGTCAAAATTCCACCGAGGAAAGCACCCGATCTCCGAGTGCAGATGCCGCAGGTGCCGGCTTTCAGCGACGCCATTGCCTCGAGCTCAATATCAGTAGCGACGCCCGTGTATAGCTCGTCGAAGGCGCAGTCGCCATTGAGTGCAGCGAGTGCGAGTCCGTTCGGCTCGTTAGCCGTCAACGGGGCGGCCCTGGCAACGCCTAGCCCTGTTAAGAAGAAGATGAGCCTGAGCGACTACACCAAGAGTCGCAAGGCTGCGGGTGGCCGTCCGTTGGTGGGAACGTCTTTGAAGCCGTCGATATCAGGTGCGGAAGAACCAAAGTCTGCTACGAGTGCGGATGGCATGGGCCTGGGCGACTCGCCGGCGGTCGGCGAGAAGCCGGGTGATGCTTCCTCGGCGGCGATGACGGTGGTGGCAACGCTCGTGGCTGGCTCAGAGTGAAGCGCTCTCGGGAAGGGACGAAAGGCAGAAAGGGAATGATTTGGGACACTGCACATATCAGGTCACCCTGTGTACGGTTTCATTGCGAGCTTTGTTTATGACAAGAACTTTTCAGGACTTCCGGACGACGCTTCGGAACCGTTGCGTTGACATGATCGAGAGCCGAGGGAAAAGTAGGGGTGGAGCCTGCCATGGTTTTCGGGAAAAGGGGTGGGATTGGCACATGGGATTGTATTTGGCTCAAAACAAAAGGCACGAGATTAAGAAATCGCCTCTGCCGAAATTTGTCTTGTCTCTCGCCGCGTTTTGTATTATTGGGGAAAGGTGGACGATCGGCCCATTGGCTCATGCGAAGACGTCATGTTTTATACCACATTTATTATTATTTTTATAAATTACATCACCACGCGACTGCATGGTGTATGTGTCTATGGAAATGAGAGAGTCAAATGTCTGCGCAGTGAATGTTCTGTCGGAGCCAGCCGGCAAATGTGGTGGGTGCTAGACCGGCCCCCAGTTGTCTTCCTTAAAGATGAGACGGGCCAGCCGGTGACGCACAAAGAGGCCGAGAAGGCCGACGACAGTCTGTACGCCGGTGACCTCGAGCGCAAGGCGGTCCTCGCGCATGGGGCCACGCCAGACAAGCCAGAGGTTGAGCAAAGTGAGATTGGAGGTCTCCTGGATTTGGCCGGTGGTGGGATCCTCGACGAGGCGGAGAAGGTGCAGGCGAGCCAGCAGGCGGAGGGTGGCAGCAACAGGGGCTTTGGGCTGGCGATCAGGGGACCAGACAGTGACAGAGGGCTCGAGCAGGGTGGTGCGAGCATTGAAGCGCGGCATGCGGTGGCGGGGACAGGGGACGAGGCCGAAAATCTGGGGCGCAGAGTAGGCAAAGTTGGCGATCTGGGGGAGGAGCAGCAGAATGAGGGTCTTGGAGAAGTGGCCGAGGATGCTGACGACGACAAAGACCATACCGGCAAAGTAGCAGTAGGTGTCACCGACGAAGACGCGTGCGGGATACCAGTTGTGGGCGAGCAGAGCGAGAGAGACGCCGAGAAAGGGCAGGAGGAAGTAGAGGCTGAAGAGATGGCTGTCGGTGGCCGGATGGGGATATGGTTCGGCGAGGAGGTAGAGGCCGTCATTGAGGATGAGCAGGGCGGCGATGACGACGGATTGGGCGACCTCGATGCCGTTGATGCCGGCGAGGATGTTGATGCTGTTGGGGGAGAAGATGGCGACGGCGGTCATGTAGAGGTAGTAGAGGGGGCCGAGGTTGACGAGGTCGCCGAGATAGGGCTGCAGGGCGGTGGGGACGACGACGGAGGTGACGCCAAAGTCGGTAAAGTAGACGACGAGGAGGGGGATGGCGGCGAAGGCGGGAATGAAGAACTTGTGTCGCCAGCGGATGTCGAAGAGGTCGTCACCGATGCCAAGGAGTGTGATGGACTGGAGGGAGATGATGGCCGAGAGGAAGGAGGAGAGCTGAGGGTTAGCAGGGGGGAGAAGAAAGAGAAAGAAAGAAAGACAAACGAGAGAAAAAGAGACAGGAGAGAAGAGTGACGAAGGCACATACCTTGGAGTGTGGAAAGAGGTGTAGCAAACGGCCGCGTTGCACATGGGTGGCCGACAGGACGACGTCGCGATTGCCTCCACCGCTGGTAGCCGCCACAATGTCTTTATAAAAGGGCACAGGGATGAAGACGATGATGGCCAGCAGGTAGACGATGGCACAGACGGCACCCATGCACTCCGGCAGCACGCGGCGGTGCGTTTTGTTGAGGTCGGCGCCGCGGATGCCAGCGGCCACAAACGTCGGCCCCAGCCAGCGGATCATGGCATACGATGCGGCAAAGGCGATGCCGCTCAGCGCCAGCGACGCCGTCAGAGGCGCCCCATCCGACCGCCGCACCGTGTTGGCCAGCACAGCCGCACAAGCAGCCACAAAGGCCAGCAGCGACCAGGTCTCGGCGTGCGAGAGCGCGCTGGGGATGCCGGCTGCGAGGGCCTGGTTGATCGACTTTGTGTCAATGGGGGTGGTAGTGGTGGTGGTGCCAGTGCTGCTTGTGCTCTGTGTGTTGCTGGCTGCAGACACGGAAGAGCCGACCGGCCGGGTCGAGGATGAGGCCATGTCGACGAAACGAGACCAGAGAGACAAAAGAGACAAAAGAACAAAAGCTCGTGAAGCGCAAAGCTCAGCGCAAACGCAGCTCAAACGCACCTCCCACTCGCGTATTCGTTCGGCCGCCTGTACACAGCCATTCGCTGTTGTCGGAAACAAAAGAGAAAAGAAGCACCGAAGGCCAGTCCAGGACGAGCGTCTCGACGTGTACGGTAAAGGCGAAGACGCGGAAGCAGAGGAGGGGTGTAAGAGGAGGACGATGTTGGAAAATGACACCCTGGCGGGAAAAAGGTGGTGGATACTCTTGGGCGGAGACCTCTTGCCTGTACAGGGATCCGCCGTGCCTGGCCCGCTCCTGATTGGCTGTAGAGATAGGTTCCTGCAGCCTCCCGAGCTGGCAAGAGCGCTGACGAGAAGGAGCGTTGGTAGCGCGGGGTAGCTTCCTGATAGGTCTTTTCTTTTCGTTCTTCATGCCATCAAACAGAAAGCTTGACACCAACATCAGCAACAAAGCGGCATCTTTACGTAGAGCCGGGGCTTCGCACTATTTCCAACGACTGGGTTCTCCGCACAGAAACAAGACTAAGGCAGTAAGCGCTAGACGTGCTGTGTGTGCCGTGAAGACGGTGATATTTGGGTGCCCTCGGATAATGAACCGTTCGGGATGTTGGAGGGGGGCGGGAAGGACAAGAGATGGTGGAAGGACAACCGAAAATGAAAGCGACAAGGAACGAGAACGGTCCGACTGACATCTCTGCTTCTCTTGGCAGTCCTGTGAAGCCATGCCAGATCAGTGCAGCCTGCTTCGTTCTCGCCTTTATCTGACTCTTTCCTCTGTGCTTTACTTTCTTCTGCTGTCTGTTTTTAAACAGCTCTCTTTGGAACATTTGCCCTCATATCACATAGTCGGCCTTTTTGTTCCCTGTCTTCCTCAACATGGTGTCGATGGACGAAAAAGAGGCTTCTGAGACTGATGCTGTTACGATCACGATTGCCACAGCCTCTGTGGGTCTCCCTCTGACCTGGAAGACTGTGATCTGGCCAAACAGAAAGACCAGCACCAGCACACGGACCGACGTCTGTCCACGGCGCTCTCACGCATCGCCAGCAACACCAGCTCCGCCATCCGCTTCCACCAGCTACATGAGCAAGAACAGTGCGGACGATCCAGCCCTGCCGCTCAATTTTCCGTCCCACAAGAAGTGGCTGATCATCTTCCTGCTGGCCAGCATGACATTCATGACGCCTTTCGCCTCGTCCATCCTCGCTCCGTCCATCGGCTTCATGGACAGCGAGTTTGGCAATGACAGCCTCACCATGGGGTCGCTCGCCGTGAGCATTTATCTCTTGTGCGTCCAAGAGAATGCTCCGATCATCTGTCTGGATGCTGACAGGCTCGCACACCACACAGGGGCTATGCCGTCGGACCACTGTGTTTGTCTTCTCTCGGTCTCTAGCTGCCGGCTCTTCTGGCTGACCTTTGCCCTCTGCAGTTCTCGCCGGGCAGTCCGAGATCTACGGCCGCCACGTCGTCCTCGTCAGCTCCAACATCTTCTTCTGCGTCTGACAGACCGGCTGTGCCCTGGCCCCATCGCTTGGGGCTCTCATCGGCTTCCGCTTTCTCTCTGGAATCGGTGGCAGTGCCTGCTTGACTCTGGGTGGCGGCTACGTTAGCGACCTGGTAAGATTGGATGTTGAAGAGAGAGGCCAGGCTCTATCGGTGTGGACGGTTGGCCCGCTGTGAGAACGAGAAGCACACCCCCTCATCCGCTCTGCTCAGGCTGACTGTAGCACAGTATTGGTCCCACGATCGGTCCCCTCGTCGGCGCCTGGCTTGGCCAGACGATAGGGTGGCGCTGGAGCTTCTGGATCGTGCTGATTCCCAGGACCCTCAACACGATAGTGATTGCCATGTTCAGCTGCGAGACCAGCGACCGAATCATCATCCAGAACAAGCTCAGGCGGCTGTCCAAGCAGCTCGGGCGGACGGATTTGCGCAGCTGCTACGAGGACCTTGATGCGGTGCCAGTGCCACGAAAGACGATCCTGGCACACGGACTCATGCGGCCGCTGAAGATGCTTTGTCTGTCGCCGACCATTTTCATTCTGTCGCTGTACATTGCGTTTGCCTACGGCGTGCTGTACCTGCTCTTCAACACCATTCCCAAGGTCTTCCAGGACGGCTATGGCTGGAGCATCGGCATCACCGGACTCGTGTATATTCCGCTCGACCTCGGGTATGTGGTCCCTCTTCTGTGCAGGCGGCAGCGCTGACGGCAGAAGCTACGTCTTGGGCCTCTTTGTGTTCGCCCACATGTCGGACCGCACAGTGCTGCGGCTGAACAGGAAGAACAACGGCGTGTTTGAGCCGGAGATGCGCCTTGTCGACTGCATCTACTTTGCCTGCTGTCTGCCCGTCACTTTTTTCTGGTACGGCTGGTCGGCCAGCTACCGTGTTCATGTGAGCTGCTCTCCGTCCGTTTCTGCAGGCCTCCTTTCTGATGCAGACAGTGGATCGTGCCTGTTCTGGGCCTGTTTCCGTACGGGTTTGCGATGCTGGGCATCTGGCAGCCGCTGCAGGCGTACATGATCGACTCGAATGGCTACTATGCGGCCAGCGGGATGGCGGCCTTTACGGTGCTGCGGTCCGTTGTCGCGGCGTTTCTGCCGCTGGCCGGGCCCAGCATGTACGAGACGCTCGGTCTGGGCTGGGGCAATAGTCTACTGGGTTTTATCTGTGTGATTCTGATTCCGGTGCCTTTGTTGATGTATCGACATGGCAAGGCACTGCGTCAGAAATTTCCACTGAAGCTTGCGTAGGGGCTTATAGGGGGTACGCAGTATTTATAGGCAAATATAGGCAGTTATTGGCAAATACAGTTCAGATTGCAGGGTTACAGGAGTATATAGTTGGCACTCTATTGTGGTTGCTCTTTGTAGCTATCGTCTGTCTCATCTCTTCGTCTCGTCTCTTCTGCCTCTCCGTCCCACTCTTCGTTCTTGTCCCCTCTCCTCCGTCGTTCTCTCTCCACCTACTCCTTGCTCCTTCCCCTCCACCCTATAATTTGCTCCTCGACTGAGGCGTCGTCAAGGGATCGTACGTCTCGCGCGACAACACATCCTCGGGAACACCATTCGGGTGGCTCGTCAGCGAACGGATGTCGACCAGATCGGGACCAAGATCGCGGATGGCTGGAGCGCCGAGCAGGCGCATATCCATCTCGAGCTCGTCCTTAAGCAGGGCCATGGCACGACTGACGCCGTCGACGCCGTAAGCCGACATGGCGTACAGAAAGGGACGGCCGATGCCGACGCCACGAGCGCCGAGACAGAGAGCCTTGAGAATGTCGGTGGCACGGCGCAGACCGCCGTCAATGTAGATCTCCAGCCGGTTCTCCAGTCCGCGAGCACGCAGAGCCGGCATGACCTCGGCCAGGACCTCGAGGCTGGAGCGCGCAAAGTCGAGCTGACGGCCGCCGTGATTCGAGAGCACGACGCCGTCGACAAGACCCGTCTCGGCCGCCCGAATCACATCCTCGGCCCGCTGCACGCCCTTGAGCACGATGGGCAGCCGCGTGACGGTGCGGAACCATGGCAGGTCGTCCCAGCAGAGACTCGGGTCGATGAAGCTGCTGATGGCCCGGGCTGCTCCCTGTGTCGTGTCCGTCTGCTCGCCCTCCTGCTGCTGCACCGCACTGCCACCGTCACCCAGCGCCGCTGCCTTGGCCCGCATATCCTTCTCGCGGCGACCCAGCTGCGGCGCATCCACCGTGATGAAGAGCCCGCGACAGCCCCGACGCTCGGCGTGCTCGATGATTCGCCGCGTGATCGCCCGGTCTCGGTTGACGTACAGCTGCAGCCACTGGGGCGGTGGACTGGCCCCTGACGACGCCATCGTATCGGCCACATCCACAATCTCGTCAAACGAACACGATGCCAGCGTCGGGATCATCTGCACCACCCCGTGTCGTCCGGCCGCTCGCGTCAGCACCGTCTCGCCCTCCGGGTGACCCAAACGGCCCAGTGCCGTCGCCGTCACGTAGAACGGCGCCGTCACCCGGCTGCCCAGCATCGTCGTCGACAGATCCACGCGTGCCACGTCCACCAGAACCCGTGGCCGGAACCACACCCGCTGGAATGCTGCCCGGTTCTCTCGCAGCGAAATCTCGTCGTCTGCTGCGCTCGAGTAATATGCCCATGCTCCTCGCTTCATCACCCGTCGCGCCACCGCCTCAAAGTCTAGCAGGTTGTAACAGCTGTCTAGTGCCGGCATCGTCTCGCGGGCTGTCGCCACCACTGCATCTTCTGCTGCTTCGGCCTCCTCTTCTGGCGTCCGCACCCGTGTCTTCTCCGCCGCTGCCACCGCTTCCATGTCCGCCACAGGACCCAGGTGCTTCGATTGGTCCAGGTACTTGTCCAACGTGTCGGGCGGGTGCACCGGGTCAAACGCTGCCGTCGCGTCCCGTCCGGCGTACTTGAGAATGATCTTCTCGCCGCCCGGATGCTCTGGCAGAAACTCCGTCACGTCATATGCTCGCCCGTGTACAATCACCCAGCACGACTCCCGGCTCGTGTGCTTGCCCACTTCTGCTGCTGTCGGTGCCATCTTGGTGTTTGTTGTCCTGTCGTCGTTGTTGTTGTTCCAAGTTCGACGATGGGGCTGGCTCGATTCTCGAATGAATGGTAAATCGCCCGTCTGCAATTGGGCCTGCTCCATGCTTATAAGCTGCACCTGCTCTTCCCCATTCTCCCTTTGTGGGGAGGCCCCATCCATCGGTTCAGGCTCGGCTTTCCTCTTGCGGGGTACTAGACTCCCTGTGGGCCCCACCTATTATGTCCATTGGTGCGTCTTGCTCGGCTGCTCGGAAACCCTTCGGCTCAGGCCACTCAATACGGCCAGATAACAGAACATGAGCATGTACATAGAAGGGGTATAGTACTATAGATACAGCAACGGAGAAGCCAAAATAAGTCGCCCAATTTGTCGTGTGCCACCAAGATCTATGCCAAAACCCAGATAACAATAACAAAATCAATGTGTGCCGATGGCCTCCTACCTACTCGATGACGTGGACGAGCTGGCCACACTGCCCGGTCGCCGTAGCGACCCACTGCTGTTTCCACCATTGCTGTTGGTCAGCGAGTTATTCCCGCGGAATCGGGACATGAAGAAGCCGCCGGCGCCCAGGCTGCTGCCACCTATCGCGCTGATCTTCTCGCGGCTGGACACGCTGCCCTTATCGCTGCCGCCCACCTCCTTCAGTGAGTTCGGCTCGATGTGTGACTGTGGGAAGTACCCCCATTTGCCGCGCGAGTTGGTGCCCGCCCAACACCAGTGAGCAGGACTGGCATCTGAAAAGGATTAGTAAGCAGATTAGGTAAGGAACACCGCACAAGACTTCGCTTACATGCAACATTGGTAATCGTCTCGTTCTTGTCGAGACGAAGCCACTCGCTGCCGCGATACGCGCTGCCCGTAGCCCACTTCCACCGTGTCACCACCCGCATCGAGCTCGTGCCTTGCGTCCGGATCTCGCTCTTGGACGGCGTGTCTAGCCGGACCATGTCCGCCGGAAACGCTGCCCGCATGTTATCATACCAGCCCACGCCCCATTCGCCCTTGTACTTGACCGGGAACTCGATCCCGACCAGCTTGGCTCCCACTGGAAATTGGTGTGGCCACGTGTCGTCAGGCGGCCGCCGCAGCGAGCCGTGCATCTTTCGGAACGTCTCCACCGCTTTGCCCGTCGGCAGCTGTGACAGCTCCGGCCGGATGCCCTCCAGCTCCGAGTTCACCGCCGGCATCGAGAAGTGTAGGTCGTAGTTGTTCTGCACCTCCGGTGGCCGGTCTAGCCCGTCCACAACTGTGATCCCCGGCACATCAGGCAGCGGCCGCGGATGCCGTGCCAGGTGCTTGAACAGCTGACCCTGGCTGAAGAACACCGTCGCGTCGCTCTGCTCTATCGTCCGTCCCTCCTGCATGCAGAACAGGCACGCATACAGCGGCGCGTCGATCTGCTTCGCCGGCAGGTGGCTCTTGGACAGAAACCGGAGCCGGAATCCGATTCCCTGCATCCTGTAATTTGCGTCGGGCGCGTTGTTGCGGTCTCTGTCGACCTCCGTCCACTGCAGCTCGTAGAGGCAGTGCGAACACTTGGCCGCAAAACTGCCGACACCGCTATACGACTGTAGAGAGAGCAATTGTGTCAGTATTGCAAGTGCTGAGGGAAGACCGAGAAGGAAAAGAGCAACCGACCAGCTTCTGCACCCGACGAACGCCAGCAGCCCCACGCTGAACCTCCTTGGCACCTTCGCAGAATCCCTTGAGCAGGTGGAACGAGCTGCCGGGCCCGATGTTGCAGTCGGCAGGCCGAGGCGCAACAAAGGCCTCGCTGGCCTCGCGCAAACTAGTCGGTAATTCCACAGGGATGAGACCAGAGTCAATGGCCACCACCGGATTGATAGGCTCCAGGCCCGGCTGTTCCGACACCCGTTCTGGAACCTGTCCCGGAGCCTGTCCCGGAGCCTGTCCCGGAGCCTGTCCCGGCAACAGCGGCAGGCTCCTTTCCGGCGCAGGAGAGGCGGCCACGGTCGGAGACGAGCTGAGCCGGCTCTCTGACCCGAATGAGGACGCAAAATTGGGCACGAGCCCACCACCGGGAGACCCGGGGCTGAATGGCTCTGTGCCCGACTCGCGTGTCCGACCGGGCTCATCCATGTATGAGGATATGCTGAAGATGGATCCGTTGGTCGTGCTGGCCGTCGTGGCCGTCGTGGCCGTCGTCATGGTGCTGTACCTTGACTGGCGCTGTGCTGCTGGCGGAAAGACCAACAGAGGCGCATGTGGTGATTGGGGCTGCCGAGATGACAGTGGCCGCATCTCGGCAGCCGCAAAGTCCTGGGGCAGGTGCAACGTGACGGTTCGGGGGGACGTACTGACTGACGGCGCATACTTGCGTTCGCTCTCGTCGACCTGTGCCTGCCAGATGTCGACCGCATCGTCCATGAGCTGCACGTCCGACTTCATCGAATATGCTGCCAGCGAGGGGATGCCTATCTGGGGTGGCGGAGGTAGTGGTGACGAGGCCAGCAGGCTCTTTGGGCTCTGGGCAGACGACGACAGATCCGGCAGCGTCGGCGAGTCGGGTCGTGTGGAAACGCGTCGCCGCCGCTCGACCACCACTAGGGCCTCTTTTCCGGCAAAGTCCCAGCCGTGTTGCCCGCCAGTCGTCTCGTCCTCTTCTCCCTCGGGGATGGTGTCCACCGGCCGCTGGCCCAGCTGCCACGGATTGGTATTCGGCTCGGGGGGGACGATCTCCGGGATGGGAGACGGTGGACTCGATAGCGGCGGTGGTGGTGGAGGAAATGAGGGCGGCAAAGACCGGGTGGCCGTTCGTGGTGCCCGACCGCCGTTGTAGCCGAGGTCCGGTCCGCTCTGTGAGCCCATCACGGGCAGATCGTCGCCATACTGCGTCTGGGAAGGCCCAGACTGAAATGAGTCCATGGTGTTTCGTCGCGAAACCACGGGACCGTCGACAAACGGCTCGCCGCTGCTGGGATGAGGACTCGGTGCAACCACGCTGTCCAGGTTGCTGGCGAAGCTGCTTCTCGCGCCGATGCTGTCCGTGTGCGAGACGACAGACGGAAAGAGCGGACCAAGAGGCGACGCCACGGGTGCCTCCAGCTTCATGCGCTTCAGGATGGACGTGACACGCAGCGTGGTCTGCTGGGCTAGCTTGCCCAGATCCTTGTATCTTTCGCTGTCAAAGGTGTCAACGGTGGTGTAGTCATCAAAGACGTAGACAAGCTCGGTCAGGGCAAAGATGTGCTCGGCAATTCCATCTGGGGCGCGGGCAGACAGAATGGTCAATTAGCAAACGAAGAGGAGGTCTGACACGCCACCGAAACTCACCATGATCCTTCAGGGCCGAGACAAAGTTGATGCCGTACAGGCTGAGCTGGCGTCGAGCAATGGGCTCAATGGTCTTGCGGGCACGCTCGGCCTCTTTGACGAGGCCATGCGCAGCCCGGGACATGTCCTCGTGGCCGCCGTCGTCGGCATTATCGATGGCAATCCTGGCCTTCTCGAGGATCTCGAGAAAGGAACTGAGAAGCAGGTCTTCGACCTCCTCATCCATGGCGGGCAGAAGAGGAGGGCGGCAGGCCGGAAATCAAGTGGATGCGACGTTGCGGTAGCAGAGCCAACAGAGCCAGCAGAAGAGGCGACACGAGACGAAACGAGAGGCCGGGGTGGAAATAGAGGAAGAGAAAAGAGAAACGGAAATAGGAACAGGAATAGTGACAAGATGGGGGGGGGGGAGTGCTGAGACGCAGGCAGGACAGCCGTGCGGTTGGAGTTTTTGTGGATTCTCGAGCACCAGGGGTGGGGGGGGGTCAGAGAGACGACGAAGGATCGGGGGGGCGGATAAGGGAACCCAGCGAAGTCGCCGCCTAGGTGGTGATGCACGGATTGCGATGAATGGTGGAAATGATGGTAGCGAAGGCGAACCGATGCAAAGGTTAGTTTCTACGGAGTACAAGACCCGAGCTCAGACCAACGGCCGACGGCGTGCGTCGTGCAAACGTAGAAGGAAAGACAGAAGCAATAGAACGGACAGAAGAGGCAGGCGCGATGGTGGGGAGGCCAGTTTGGCGTCAAAAATGGCGAGGCAGCTGCGCTAGACAACGGGAGATCAACCCACAACGGACGCAATGGAAAGAGCGCATGAGATAGGCACGGCAGGAGCGACGAGGGCGAGGTTGAAATTGAGTTTGGGGTTGCAGTCGCAGTTGTCTCGTCCTGGTTGCAGCGTCATTTGTCGTTTCGTCGTCGCAGTGCCCTGTTCGAGACTCGCATTCCTCGTACAAAGTAAGAATGCCCGATGCGCCCAGGCAGAACAGCACGCGACCCTGAAGCCAGAAGGGGGGGACAGAGAGACGGGCCAGCAAGGCGAAAACAGCTAATAACGGGGCGCTGCTTTTCTCTCTACGACTCTTTGGCTATGGCGTCGGACCGCCTACGGAGAAGCGACTGGCAGAGAGAGGACGGAGAGATAGCGAAATAAGACTGCGCTTCTGCGAGATAATTGCGCCCCGCTGAATCTCCACCCAGGCTCGAGTAGCCAGCCCCTCTCTTGCTGCCAATTATGCGGTGTCTCGCGCGCCAGCGCTCTCCTGCCTACGAGTCCTCAAACATGCATGTGAGATACAGTAGCATGGCCCTGTCCAATAGGCTGTTCAATCGGGGCTGCGGACCATGCGAGAACAGAAGGTAAGGAAGCGAAAGGGGGCTACCGGCAGCCGATGCCAGGCGCCAGTGTCTGACTACCCGGGACCAAAGTGGCTGGTGCAGATGAGACAGAGTGGCCTCTTTCGAACCAGAGATGAAAACCGGAAACAGGAGAATCCATCCGAGCCGTCCCTGCTGCTCAGCCTCCTGCAGGACTTCCCCGATGCATCACCGGGTCAGACCGATTGCACAGAGGGATCCCTGATGACGCACAATTCCAAGCCCGCGGGAAGTTAGGTACATAGATGTCATTGCATGCTCCGTATACTGTCTGCCAAGCCGTGCTACTGGCTAGCCTGCCGGCTTATTGTCGCCTTGAACCTCGGGAACGTCGCCAGCGGTCGACAAAGGAAAATGCCCCGTCTGCAGGCACACCGAAGCCACTCTCGGATTGATCAGTCCGGCGTTGAAACCCTGTCCCTTGCAGTACGTCGTATGTACTCCGTAAGATACACAGGCCTGTCCAAAGCGCAGATCCGCCGCAGCTAAATACCCAAACCCAAAAGACGGCCAATTTCTCCGACTGTCCCCCCAAAGCTCCCTCCAACCAACATCCTAGACTTGTCTAGGCTTTCCCCGGCTGGCCCTACGACATCGTGTTTTTAGGCGTCGACGTCGGCTACAGGCGACGTCGACCAGATTAACTGTTGCTAGCATGGCCGCTAATATAGCGTGGCCTAGCGGTAAGGCAGAGCAGTAATCTAAACGTTCAAGATACCTCCGAAATCAAGCCCCGGCCAATCTGGATCGTCTCAGAGGCACCACGCTGGCGAAGCCAAAACCTGTATTGCCCCCAGCACCTGTGTCAGTTGACCCATTTCAAGCAGTTCCTTTTTCTCTTGGGTTTTTTTTTCTGTCACCAGACTTACAATGCTTCCGGAGAGCCTTGGCTCTGGATCGAAGTCTGGCGAAGGTCCTCCTCCAAAACGTCGCGCGTGATTGCCGGACTGTTCGACGCGACCGGGCTGAGCTGCGCTTCCGCCTCGGCCTCAGCCACACCCAGGGACTCGGCGAGCACGTTCTTGCGGAGGGCAAAGCGCTCGGCGCGCTCTTTTTGCAGGCCGGGGCTGTCCATCTTATCGACGACGTAGCGCACAACCAGCTGCACGACCAGATACAGGTGCTCGGCCACGAGGATGCTGAGCAGCAGCGCCCAGCCGCGGATGTTCCAGGGCTCGCCGTCGGGGCCGTGGGGGTCCGATCGGAAGAGGTAGACCACCGCGGCGCTGGTCAAGCTGCCGAGCCACGACAAAAAGCCCAAGGGCGCCAGCCAGGGTCCGATGGAGTCTGCTCGCCAGGGAATGGGCCGCTGGCTGCCGATGGCGATCTTCATGGCGTCCGATCGAGCCTCGACCCAGTTGTTGATGAGGAACGAGCAGGCCGTGAGCGGCCAGATGGCCGAGAACAGTGCCAGGTAGCCAAACTGCACCACCATTTCGCGGTAGTCGATCGTGACGTCGTACACGCCCAGCTCGGCTTCGTTGCGCACGCGCTCGAGGAAGGCGGACTCTTCCGGCGCGTCCTTCTCGTGGACGACACCCTGGCCGCTGCGCGACGTCATCTCCTCCTTGACCACCTTGAACACCCGGCGCTTGGCGTACGGCACGACGGCCTCGAGGAGAAAGTTGACCACCTGGGCCGTCACGGTGAAGTAGATGACCTGCTTCGTCAGGCGGTCTGGGTTGATCTGGAAGCTCGGCGGCGGCAGCGACGTCACCTGCACCTCGGCGGCCGTCTCGGTCTTGTTGTCGCCGGTCAGGCGCTGCGCCGTGATCTGGAACACATCCAGGTACGGCACGAGGACCTTGCCAAAGGGCACGTAGACAAAGGCGGTCAGGAAGATGGGCAGGTAGGACGTGATGAAGTTGATGACAAAGATCTTTTGCACAAGGCCGGCCTGGTGAGCTGCACGTCGTCACTGTCAGCAGGCGAAAGAAGGTCTAAGCAGGCTAAATGGGAGGCTGTCCATACTGTCTTGCGTGGCGTAGTTTTCCAGCACGGTCAGTCTCTCGGCCACCTTGGAAAGCACACCGGTAAGGACGGGCATAAGGCCGGTCAGGAGGATAGTAGGCAAGAAGGTCTAGAGGTTAGGAGATGTTGACAGAGCGTAGGAGGAGGCAGCCTACCAGATACTGCTTGAAAGGCCCGCTGTAGACCTCGGTGATGAAGATCTCAATGGCAAAGCAAAGGGCGATCAGGCTGCCGAGTGCGGCGACGCATGCAAGGGCAAAGGGCACCTGCAGCAGCTGGTGGGAGAGACGGCGGAAGGGCGAGTAGATCTTGACGGACTCGCCGGTGACGGGGTCCTTGGCCTCGCGGTCGAAGCGGAACTGAGGCCGAGGCAGCTGGATCTGCGAGACGCCACGGACGCCCCACTGAACGGCCAGGTCGACCTCCTTCTTCTTCCAGTACTCAAAGAAGACGACGGACCAGAGGCAGTTGACGACGGCATAGAACCAAGAAAACTGGCCGAAGAGCAGCCAGGCGCCGAAGCCAAAGGCGGCGGGAAAGAGCAGAAAGGCAAAGTAGCTCTGAAGAAAGGCAAAGTAAAAGGCAACGCGCTCGCCAAACTTGTCACGAATGCTGTCGAGGTCGGTTGCATCGAGCATGTACTTGGTGCCCCACTGCTTGATCCAGGCGCGGTTGAAGGCGTGGTCGTGCAGGGGGAAGAGACCGGCAACAAAGCGATGCGGGTTGCTGCCACCAGCGAGAGCGTCACTTCCGGGCGGCGTGATGCCGGCGCCGCCTTCGCTCCGGGACCGGGTCAGCAGTAAGTAGATCAGGCGGAGACGCTCGGCCTCGCTGATGGGCTCGTCAGCAAAGTAGGCGGCCAGGTCGACGTCGCGGCCGCCCTGGGTTTTGCGGCTGGGCGGCGCCTGAGTGCGAATGCCGTATAGCCAGTCCTGCAGCCGCGAGCGGTAGACTTGCGTGCGCAGCAGACCGGCCGAGGCCAGCCTGGTGAACACGAGCAGCGAGCCCTTGTCGGCACCGGCACGCACCTCGGTGGCAAAGCCGGCCGCCGCCAGTGCTTCGATCAGCTGCACAAATGCCGCCTCGGCCTCGTTGCGCTCCTTTTCGGGGACGAGGAAGTGGATGACGTAGTCGACGCTGGAGGTCAGAAGAGACTGGAAGAGCGAGGTGCAGACAGGGACACAACAACTCACCCATAGTTGCTGTTGGTATCAGAGCCACTCTCGTGGGCCTGGGTGTTGCTTGCCGTCGCCATTGAGGGACACGTGTCAGCTGTCGGGAAGGCAAAAGGTAAAAAGACGGTCTATCTGCTCGATGCCATTGAGGTGCGGCAAAGAACGAGAGCAGGACCAGACAGCTTCCCTTGGGTCGTCTGGACCGAGTAGAAATGCGAAGAGCGGTAGGAGGTCGTAGGGGGGAGAGGGTGCTGGGACCAGATAGGGACGTGTTGTGAAAAAGAAGGGAAGAGATGAGAAAGGAGGTTGATATGCTTGCACGCAAAGCTCTACGACGTATGTCTCTGACCGTCAACGTCAGCAGCCCCTCCTAGCAAGGGCAGAAAAAAGCCAGGCAGGCGCTACGTGCCATTTTCAGCTGCTCCTTCCCACCCCGAGGTGGGTTTGGTGGTCTGTGCGCAGCGCGAGCGAGATGCGGGAAAAAGGCTTGGCGATCGGAGCGTAGGCATGCAACCAATCAGGACGCTGCATTGTGACGCGATGACTAAGGTGATCTGAGTGTCGACAGTACATATGCACGATTGACATACACATATCGACACACACATAGCAACATTGTCGCTCGTCCCCATGTCATCGCTTCTCGTGCGCCTTGGGCTATCGCGGGCTGGACCCTGGGAACCGCCCAGCGTGCTGGACCGACTGCTGGCGTCGCCGGTGCGCGCAGTCGCCTATTTTCTGTGGCGAGCAATGACAGCAATGCAGAGTTGGATGAGAACGAGAACGAGAACAAGAAAGACAGAAACGAACTCGAGCTCGACATCAGCCCCCCTTCGTGTCGTCTGCATCGCCGACACGCACGACCTCTTTCCGGCTCATGTGCCTCCCGGCGACCTGCTCATCCACGCCGGTGACCTCACCAACAGCGGCTCGCCGGCCGATCTGCAGCTCATGCTCGACTGGCTCACCGCCCAGCCACATCGCCACAAGGTTGTCGTCGCCGGCAACCATGACGCTTGGATGGATCCGGTCGCTCGTGTGGCTGCTGGGCTCACGTCGCCTTTGCCGCCCGATCCCGTCTTCGCCACCAACGTCCACTACCTCCAACACCGCTCTGTCGTCCTCGATTTTGCTGCCGGCCGCCGGCTCACCGTCTTTGGCGCCCCCGACATTCCCGTCTGCGGACCGGCCTCGTTTGCGTATGCCATCCCTCTGAGCTCCCGTCGCTCCCACCATGCTCACTCTCACAGCTTCCAGTACGATCCGGACACCCCTCCCTGGAAGGATGCCATCCCCGCCGACATTGACATCCTCGTTACTCATGCCCCCCCTGTAAGGCTTTGTGTCCCGGCCCCGTTGACTCCATCCACCTCTGATCTTTGACCTGCAGCGCCATCACTGCGATCTCGAGCTCGGCTGCCCCGGCCTCCTCCGTGAGCTCTGGCGCGTCCGCCCTGCTCTGCACGTGTTTGGTCACGTGCACTGGGGAGCCGGCCGTGAAGTCCTTCACTGGGACGCCAGCCAGCAGGCCTACGAATCGCTCATGGGCGAGGCTTCGCCATCGTCGTGGCTGGCCTGTCTGCGCCTGCTGCTTTCCGGCGTCCTGTCATCGGCTGCTGCTCTAGCCTGGCCGTCTATGACGATAGACTGCCCAACAACCGTGCTGATCAACGCTGCTCAGATGTATGGCGACACCGGCCGTCTGCGCAACGATGTGCAGGTCATTGATCTGTGACTGGGCCTCATCATTGCGTCTGTTCTATTCTCGCTTCTTGGCTTTGGCTCTGGGAGAGACCTCCGCCATTACGTGCTTCTCTTCCTTCTCACCCACCAATCCCAAACGCCAGTGTAAATGTGCAGCATAAATGATTACAAACGCCGCCCAAGAATGCTCTCTCTGTCTCTCTTCTCTCTCATACCATCAGCCGCCGTAGCCCTTCGGTCCCTCCCAAAATGCGCCGTCCCGTCACTGCGCACCGGCCAACACCGCTTTCCCACCGGCCGGCCTTATCGGCCACAAAGGCCTCCTGTTTGTCGTGCTGGCCGGACACCCATTTGTGGATGCAGATGTAGCAGTACACCACGCCCGTCTGGCAGGCCGTCGGCGTCGTAATTGTGTCGCCGCAGATCGGACACAGCCTCGAGTCCGTCGGCACCGCCACCGTGAATATGGGCAGCAGCGACGGCTTCGCAATCGGCGCCGTGCGTGCCAAGTATTCCTCATCGTCAGCTTCGGTCTCGTGCTCGCTCGAGTCCTGTGGCGCCAGCCGCGACTCTTTCTTGAGAATCCCCTTGCGCCCAGCCGCCCCGGCGCCGTTGCTGCTGCTACTGCTGGCACTGCCACCGCCGCTGCTGCTGCTCCTTCTCTGGCCGTCGGCTGCTACAAGACCGGTCGCCATGGGTGCCGGCAGGTCCAGGCTGGCTGCTGCTTTGAGCGACAACTGCTTGGCAAAGTCGGACGCGTGCCACCACTCAAGGAACTTGAGCGCAAAGATGCTCGTCGGCAACACCAGCGACAGCCCCGAGAGCAGGCGAGCACTCGCCGACGACGCAGATGCCGTCGCCGACTTCCCGCTCTCCATCTCGTCAATGGCCCGGTAGTCAGCCCCGGTCATGCGCCGCACACGCGTGCGTGCCAACCACAGCAGCGGACTCGCGTACGGCGTGCCGTCAAACAGGTACGCCAACTGGAACGCCAGCGTGGCAAAGCCGTAGGCCGCATGCACGCTCGGATACACGTTGCGCAGAAACCAGCGCGCCGCGTGTCGCAGCCGCTCACGCATCGTCGCGTTGGTCGGCAGCTGCTGGTATGCCACGCCCAACCGCGCCCGAGGCGCGTCCACCTCGTACGCCTCGTCCAGCTTGCGCTTGATGTACGGCACGCCCACCAGAACGGCTAGGTTTCGCCACAGGTCTCCCGACATTGCCGTCTTCGCGGCCGAAGAGCTGCCCAGCTGCAGCACTTCCCGCACCACAGACGGCGCCCCGGCCGCTGCTCGCAGCACCGTCCCATCGCCGCCTTCCACTGCTCGCTCCCGCTTCAGGCCGTAAAAGTGCTCCGTAAATGTGCCGCCGCGTGTTCGCAGATAGTAGTGCTCCACTACCAGCATCGCCACCGCGTACAGCTCATCAAACGAGTTGAGCGCCCGCAGCAGGTACCGTGGGTATCGCTGCGTCGCCACCGTCAGCAGGTAACGCAGCGTCGGCGGCAGAAGCCCGTTCAGCTGCTGCTCCGAGAGCAGCTCGAACAGCGACGGCTTCTGCTCGTCCACCGCAGCCCCTGATGCAAATTCCATCGTGTCTGGCTAGGGGAAACGGGACGCGTTCGTCGGCACACCTTTGCTCGCTGTCGCTCGCGTTGTTGTCTGTGCAGTCGGTTTTTTACTTTCGCTTTCGTTCGCTTTCGTTCGCTGTCGTTCGCTTTGCTCGCTAACCGCTCACATCGACCATCGTCCCGATGGCTGTTGCAGATGGCGGTCGTGACTTTGGGGCAAAACAGGAAGGGACGCGGCTGAAATGATGCGCCAGCCGCCGCGTCTGTGGCTGAAATGAAATGCCGAGGCAAACCCCATGCTAGCTCGGCTTACACTGTCCCCCGCACCCACTTTAGCACATAACAGTATTACTTCGCAGAGCTATAAGCACTTTCCAATGCGACAATCCTGTCGCTTCTGATGGAAATGCCTTCAATGCAGATTTGCTCGTCTATTGTCAATTGCATCTCGTTGCAACGGTCTACAGCTTCCCCATCACCATGACTGATCCATATACTACGCGCATACAGCAAATGCTGGACTTTGCCAAGCACGCTGATAAGGCCGGCTTCAAAGTGCTTCCAGCCAGACAGTCCTCTTCAAACGCGTCCTATCACTGACTTCCCACAGGACTACATGTCGTCTTTCATCCACCACATCGACCTAGTGTCAGTCGACGCCGACTCGCCCACTCACCACGTCCGTCCCCGCGTCGTCCTCGGCTACACCGTCCGACCAGAGCACTGCAACTCCATGGGCAACATGCACGGCGGTGCCGTTGCCACCTTTTTCGACTTTGCAACCAGTCTCGCCCAGGCAGCTCCCAGGCCCATCGCAAAGCTTGGAAGCGATGATAACGAAGATCCCATCGCCGCCTCGTGGCAGAATCTCGGCGTCAGCCGCACCCTGGCCGTCACATACGTACGCCCAACCCCCTGCGATACCGACGTCCTCTTCGACTGCGAAGTTGTCCACACCGGCCGCACGATGTCTAGCCTTCGCGGTGTCATGCGCAGGCGCAGCGATGGCGCCGTGCTCGCCACATGTGAACACGGCAAGGTCCAGACATACCTCCCACGCAGCAGCCTGTAATCACGACCGAAAAATGCCCAGAGCCGCTCACGTTTTCGTCTTTGAGGTCGCATCTTAGTCCGTATCGTCTTCGCCCTCGCCTTCGTCTTGGTACTCTTCGTCTTCGTCCTCGTCATAAAAATTGTTGGCGACAGCAAAGTGATGGTGGTCGATGCTGATGACAATGCTGATGTTGATGTCGGTGGGACCTGCCAGGAAATAGGGAAACGTCTCCAATCTTGAATCATCGCCCTTCAAAGGTTCTTTCTCGTGGAGTTTCCAAAAGGCTGTCGGTCCGCTACAACAACACATGTCAGACTAAGGCAAACGAAGAAGATGTCGTGCCGAGAACATACCATGGTCCCTGTATTTCATAGTTGGCATCAAACCAATTGCCAACAACTCCTCGTCCTGACCTCACCCCGCCCAACTGGAGGCTCTCACTGCGCCAACGTTCCTGTCCTTCGACTATGTAAAAGGTTGTCCAGTGCACCTCGCCATGCTTTGTCATGCGGCACGTTCCTAGTGACGCAAATTTCTATTAGAATCTAGAGGCAAGCTTGTTCAAAATATTGCTAGAGTTGGATAGACTCCGGAGTAGAAGCTTCTTATCTCACCTCGCAGATTGGAGTTAGCATTGTCATCCCATGGGTTGTCCATGGAATGAGACATCCCTTCAAAATGTACGATAGGGTAGTCCGGGTGACCGTATTCGTCAGGCGGGTCGATTTTTGTGACATGTAGCTTCATGATTACCAGACGTGCTTCTTCTTCTTCGTTTAAAGGCCTTCGCGGCCTGTCTGCCGGGAGAGCGTTCTCGTCCGGGAAGTTAAAGTGGAAGAAATCACGGTAATCAAGAAAGCAGATAATCTATACGGGCCAGTCAGCCTTCTGCCATCTCACAGACAGTACAGACAACGTGTAGAGGGAAACATACTCTCATCCAGGTTCCCGTCACATTGTAGGGGTCTTGGAGGTCCAGCGGCTCGATCTCTCGGGGAGTGATACTGACGTCCCGACGGATGGGCACGTAGCTCCGTGGCCAGGCGCCTCCGAACGAGTGGTTCCAAACCTCCGAAATAACGGGAAATTTCATCAGCCCTTTTGCCACGGCGTTATGTCGCAGCGCAATGAGAATGGCTTCTATTTTTTCCCAATCACCACGCCCCGAGCCGTCAGCCATGAAAGGTCCCCAACCTGTATTACGAGTGTATGACCGAATGTCATAGACTTTAGATGCAGCATGGGGGTATGTGTCAAAATCGACAAAATCGTCCTGGTATTGCTGTATCATGGTACCGTAGAGGCAGTGCAGCTCGGCACTCATCTGTTGTTCTTCAACGGGTGCTTGAGGAAAATGCAGTCGCATTCTCCAGTCTCGCCCATTCTCGAACAGAAACGATCTGCACATGAAGGCACGCTCGTTCGACTTGGAGCCGAGAAGCTCGGCCAGGATCTTCGCGTTCCGGAAGGTCCGGTGTGCAAACAGCGTGTCAGCACTGCCAGGCTGGATCTGAGCTGAATGGCTGAGGATTCGCGTCACCGTCGCGTGGACAAACGGTAACTCGGATTTCTGTGCCGAGTACGGTATATTAGTATAGTAAGATGTCAAAACGGGTGCATCAGGCTTTGAGTAGATATGCTTCGGCAAGGCGCGCATAGCTACTCTATTAAGCAGGGGTCTTTTCGGCTTATACCTTTTCTGGATTTGGGCTGGCACATATTGCTTTGAGACGCAGATAGTCTCGCAATTCACGAATCCAGTCCAAATCTTTGGTAGGAGGCTCGTCCTGTCCGCAGATATTAGGTATCACGAGCATAGCAGCATAGCCGACACACCGGCAGCGTGAGACATGGACGCACAAAGTGGGAACAGTAGACAGAGCGGCAGAGAGCATTGTTGTCGTGAACAAAATCACGACCCCAGCGGTTGACTAGGCCGAGAGAGACGAGGTCATCAGGGCTGCAAGAGCTGAAAATGGCATGGATGATCTCGGGGGGGAGCTGCGTCAAAACGGCCATCTTGAGGGGCCGATAGGCAGATAGAGCGGTGGTTGGGAGGTGTTTAGCACCAAACAGGTGGACGAAAGAGTCGGGACGTGATATCATCAGTACTGAGTAGAAGGTTCTGGGAACTATCGGGCCTCTTCGGCAGAGCACGTCATCGTCTGGCAAGCTCAGGAAATAGAGCCCGTCCCGTGCATGTGTGGACAGGACATAAAATTAACACCGGCTAGAAAGAAGAGGCCGTAGACCTAGAAAAGGACCAGAACTTGATCAGATTCACAACGACGGTCAAAGTTAGAATACAAGAACAAGGCAGCATTTACGTAAATGAGGCAAAGCCCGAAGAGAGCGGGGAAGTTACAGTGAGGGGCAGCCCCTATTAAACGACGAGTTAGGAAACCATGTAATAAGATACCATCTCGACCATTCGTCCCTTCTGTAAACAGCAGTCCGAGACAATCTTATCGCAAGAAATGGAGCAATTCACCACAGTCGCTGTCAGATAGGCCTGTGTCAACTCGAACAGAGGTTATGCAAATGGCCTCTGCAAATACTACGCCGTACACTCCCGGTCGCAGCTTACCAATGCTGCATGTGGGAGGAACACAGGCTGTACCATTAGAAACTCTCCACATATTGCGGCCCCATCCTAGACGGCAGCAAACCAAGGCGGAAGTGACTTGTCACCGTTTCGAAAGACGTTTATTTCGTTCTATACGAAATGACAGTTTTGTCCCCCACCTGTACCGTTGCGAAATAGAGACACATTACGAGAATTCGTACCCAGACTCTATACGTAGACCCCCCACGCGCGGCATTCCGTGCTACCAGGCATTATAGGCTTTTCCATCGCGAAGCTAAGACTGCTGCAGGGGCATTGATAGCTGCTGTCCCCAGAAAAAGAGCATGACGGAACGACGACCCATACCTGTAGTACATAGTACGAGTAGGGCCAAAACCAGCCGGTAATAACCTGTCTGGGAGCATATTATGTGCCTTGGACGAGCCACGCCAATAACAGGCCACTTTTGCGCCCTTTTCCCTCGGTCACTACATAGGTTCTGTCACAAGTCACATCCGAGCATAGGGCACAGGCCACCACTACCACACCACCTATCCGGTCCCTTGCCCCGAACGTATGCGGCCTTGAATCAGCAAGAGTGGGCTCCCGAGAGGACTGTGTCCGAAATACTGTGCCAGGGACGGCAAGCACGCATACGAATACTCGCAAGATCACGAAATTTTTAAAATTGGGAAAAAATACGAGGCAGATTAGCAGGAAGATACGGAGTACAAGAGACCAACTCATCGTAGTATCTTGCCGTTGTCGACAGCAAAACAAGCATACCCCTGTCACTTCCTGCAACTGTTAAATCGGGTCAGATCAGACGAAAGCCAATAGGATGAGTTTCAAATTTTGACAAAGCCTCATTGAGCATCTTTTGCCGATGTTACAGAGAGCTGGACACTTCTTGTCCAGTGTACTCCGTACATGTTATCGCGTCCCTGATGGAACTCGGGGGTATATACATAGGTATCGTACATTCAGACATATTGACAGAGCATCTTAAAAAACACAAACTGCCAATATTGACTTGTTATTTCTGAGCCAACCACCTGCTTGCGCGCACGCAAATAATGACCGTATGCCCACAATGTCCATAATGTCCAAATACAAGAAAGCGTCCCCGGTCATTATACACCAAAAAATACATTCGAATATACCGTTCCTCCCATGTTGCGCCACCTCCTTTTAGAAGTTGTCGCGTATGTGTCTGTTTGCAAACGGCCAGCCTGCCGAGGTCGATGATGCCAAGAAGGGGAAAAAATAACAAATAGGTTGAAGCGAAAAAGTATCAAAACAAAGATGCTTTAGCAAATGCGTAGCGTATGCGGAAAAATGGGGGCAAAATGAAAAGAGGAACTAAATTCTGCGCCGTCGGTCATACTTGCTGCCCGACATTCAGCTGGATGCAGTTCCCCAACAACGTAGCACCTTCGTGCAGAAGCTCCCACCGAGTGTTGTTAAAGGTGTCCCTGAGCACGAGCAACAGGGCACTATTCTGGTTGAGCCCCCTCTTGGTCTTGAGATCTTCCGGCGACGTGATGCTGCCACAACGGTGCAAATACTCCCGCATCAATTGCACCTGCTCCTGTCGTGTTTTCGGTAAGACCACGCCAGTGCTTGGTCCCTCCAAGGCATAGCCATAACACCACACAACGAGGGCGGCAAAGTAGAGAACCCATGGCCGGTTCAACAGGAAGTCGTCGCGGGCCGAATAGGTCTCGCTGTCGGACTGGTTGTATTCGTTTGTAAGCGGGCTGTTGCCCTCATTGCGTAGCAGTACCGAACACAGAAACTGCAGGGCGTAGTACGTCGCGTCACGGGCCTTGGCCGACGGCGCCCACAAGTCCTTCATCCGCCGCTGCGCACTGTTGAGGTCCTGCGAGCCGATCGCCCGTCCGAGCAGGCGCTTTGCCCGTGCGTAGATCTGCAGGTCGACTACGTCCACATGCATGGCCATGTGCGCGAGATGGTGCAGCACCACGCGGCTCTCGAACACGGCGTTGATCTCGGTCTGACTGTTCGTCGGGTCATACGAATAGGGGTCGACGCCGCCATCGGTTCGGCGGAAGGACTTGTCATAGTCGGCCTTCCACGAGTCGAAAGCCCGAGTCAACGTGCCGCGCCACTTGTCGCGTCCGCCCAAAGCCTGCGACCCGCCCAGCGAGTTCACTTGCAGATCTCGCTGGTGCATGTGCCAGCTGATGCTGAGCAGCCCCGACATCAAAATGGTGCGACCGAAAGAGTTTGTCTTCACTTCAACGCCACTCAGTGTTCGTTTGAGACCCTCTAGGAACGAAATGGGTTTGACCTCTTCTGACGCCAGCTGCGCTTCGATTCGACCGACCTCGGCGCCGTTCGTGGCCATCCATAGCTTTTCGTCACAAGGAAGTGGCAGGCGCATCTCGTGGGCCACCATCACAGTGGAGTGGCCGAACATGGTGGCATGGATCGAGTCGATAACAAAGGCGGCAAAGGCAGTGCGCCGAGTTGCCTCGTTCGTGATCCAGTTGTTCCACCAGTGGTCCGCCGTGTGCGCCACGCCGGACGTCGAGGACTGTCGCGACCCACGGTCCTTGTCGCCGTTGCGCAAGTTTGGGGGCGACTCGACCGCTGACCTCCCAATCAGCGACCGGCCACGACGCATGAGGGTGATGGTGGTGGCATGGTGGATGTGGGCACGCTCGTGCAACTCCCGTGTCGAGTACATCTTCTCATACAGCTCGAGCAAGAGGAGTGTTTGAAATACCCAGAGCTTGGCCGGAGGGCGAAAATTGGGGTCCATGAAAAGCTCCCATCGCAAGTGGGATGCCAGAAAGTTGGAGAGCTCGGCACCAGCTTTAATAGTCTTCTGGCCATGCGCCTTGTCCAGACATGCTGCACCGATCGTTATCATGGAGAGAAGTAGCAAATTTGGCGTCAGATCGGGTGAGAACGTCGGTTTGTGCAAGATGGGCAGTTGGTCGCTGAAATGGAGCCAGTAGGACACAATGTATGCCTGCATCATTTTGCGGCTGAGCATGTGGGAATCGTCACTGCGGTCGCCTTCTAGTATCATCTCCTTGCGCCGCGCAATGGGCGACTGGCCGCTATCTTGGAAACGATCCCTGATCAGCTCGAACAACTCCAAACTCTTCTCGTCGGAGATGACCGATTCGGGCAGATTTTGGTCCAGCAGATTGGTCACAGACATGACCTGCTGCGGCGCTGTCGGAAAGTAGCCCATTTGAGCCGCTTCTGAACCATAATAGGGTACGCTGTACTGGTTTTGAACCTCGGCATAGCTGGAGGAGCTTGGTCAGCAAATTACCGCGTCACCACGGCAGGCTATGAACAAGGAGCATGCGTACTTCGGATAGACCACTGTGCCCATGGGCGAGCCTTCCTGTGATGAGGCGTTGAACAGGTAGGTCATAAAATCCTCTGGTAGCCCAACATACGGCGACTTCTGCAGAACCGATTCGCTGCCAAACATCGGCATAGTGTTGGGCATCGAGAGCTGATCCAGTGCCATCATCTCGCTGCCAGCCTGAGAAGCGCTTGCATCATACTCGGTTGTTTCTGCCATGTATCCCATAGCTGGAGCAGTTGTTGGCACGCTGGCCTCACGAGTGACACCAGCGGCTTGTGTAGACGCAAAGTTTGACGGTGGCAAGCTGAAGGGTGGGAAATTTTGGGGCTGCACAAATACAGAGGTCTGTGGAGTTCCGGCCATTGCTTGGCCTTTGAGGCCTTGTTGGGCCGGAATTGGTGACATGACACCGTACGGATCAACGCTGGCCTGAATAGACGAGCGTTGGGGGCTAGATGGGGGCTGGTAAGTCGCGTGTGATCGCTGGCGGTCGACAGACTGTCCGTATGATACGACAGAGGGGTCCTGAGATCCGTAGTCGAGGCCGTTAGTTGTGGGGACGCCGTTCGAGTACATGCCCGGCGGTGTGTTTGAGATGGGTATATACGGCATGGGGGTCGAGTTTCCACCGCCGATCTTGTTGTATCCAGTGCCAGGTCGGTTCCTATCGGGAGACATGGATCCACGTGCGGCAAACGTGGGCCGCGAGTCCTGGATGGGCGAGGTCTGGCTTGTCAAAGTATCCTTCCGATTTAGTGACGAGCCCTTGGCAGTATGGCGATCCCGGTGACGGTTGCAAAGGTCCAGGCGAACAAAATGGCGTTCACAGCCGGGATAATCGCACATGTAGATCTGCTTGGGCGTGTGGTTCAGCTGGTGACGATGTCTGGCCGAGGCTAGTCAGAAGAAGAACGGGGAAGGGATTTGCAGCACGAGCATGGAAGCAAATGGAAGAGTCAAGAGAGAAACAAGGAGAACATCGAGGCAGCGAAGCAACGAGGATAAGCGTACAGATGCTCAGCTCTTGAATAGCTCTTTCCACAACCGTTGTGAGGGCATTCGAACTTCTTGTCGAGGCCCTTGCGGCTTCTTCGCCTCTTGCGCGAAGGCCCGCCGTCAGAGTTCGAAGAGTTTTCGCCATTGGGATCGCCGTCACCGCCGGCGTCGTCGCCCAAGCCGTCGCTGTTGCTGTCCTTATCCTGCGAGCGGCTGCGTGGACGACCCCGGTCTAGCTCCTCTTCGGTCTTGACGTGGGGAGGAGTCGGCTCTTGCAGAGTGGTAGTCATGCTTGCTCCTGGCTTGGACTGCGACACGACAAGGTGAGACTGTTTGGCGTCACCCGAATAGCGTGGGGGAGGTGTTAAGATGGACCTCATAATCTCTCTCCGTCTGGGCGCACAGGCAGAGGATGAGAGCTGTCAGCGGCAGTAGGCACGGAGCCCAGACGAGACAAGGAAAAGTGATATGGCGAACCGTCCGGCTGGAACGAGCAGTCGGGCCGGTGCACAAGGCGGTAGGGTTGGAGATATATGAATAGAGACAATCTGCTCGGTTACACGGCAGGAGTGAGATGTGAGATGTGGGATGTTCTTCGACAACTCTGGAGAACAAGGTTGCTGTTGACGAGTGAGAGGTACGTGAAACAGGAGGGTTCAAGGCGCAGGCGACGAGGTAGGCAGGCGCAGCGGTGGTGATGCAAGAGGCAGTGAATTGGCCAAACGCATGGTTATCGTTTTTTTTTTTCAAAAACAGCCCTCTCCCAAGCTGATTGAAGGAGGGTCACGGGAACATGACTAGTTGTCTGAGCTTGGGGGTTCGCCAGTCGAATTGGTAAACCGAAGAGGAAATAGAGGAGGGCGTGGGGTAGGAAGAGAGAAGAGAGGTGAATGGGTATAAAGAAAAGAAAGGAAGGGGGGGCGAACGGTAGAAGACGAGTATAGGAGAAAGCACCGGTAAAAGCAAAGAGATAGAGGCAAAGTGGAGAGACGGAAAGAGAGGGTGGACAAAAGTCACACTATCGTTCCTGGGATCGAGTGTAAGGGTATAGGAACACGGATTGCGCCAATAGTAGCACTATGTAGTGCGGGTCAGAGATGAGAAGAAAAGGGAAGATAAAAGAAGGGGAGTGGTAATACGGAGAGCGGGAGGACGGGAGAGAGTGAAAAGATGGGTGGTGGTTGATATGTTATGCGGTGCCGCCCGTTGCGGCAAAATCAGAGCAGAGCAGAGCAGAGGAAGACGAGGCCAGCAGACCACCATAATTGGCAATGGAAGGCGGGCTGCAACTAGCTCGTAGGGACTGCTCGTAGAAATACCGGGGGGTGTGGTAGAGAGGGGGTGAAGGACAGGATTTGGAGAGTAAATATTAAGGATTCCCACCTAAAAAAAGCGAGTTGGGTGGTTGTGTGTGGCTGATGGGCCAGTGTGCACCACTACTTAGCGGAAGGAAGGCGACTGCGCAAAGACGGGCAAGAGCAGACGAGGATGGGAAAGATGCGGAGATGCGCAAGAGGAGAAGAGAGGAAGGGGCGCCTCAAACAAGGGGAGCGAGGGAATTAAGCCGGCAGCAAGTGCAGAGGCCTGAACAGGGGGTGCGGCAGGTAGTCACTGCCCTTGCAAGATCCTCGTAGAATACGAATGTGAACAGCAAAAGGCACTTGCTGTGCTCGTACGGAGCACGAAAAGCTGGAAAGAGCACCCCGGCGCCTCCGCCCGAGCCGTTGCGACGCATAATTCGCACAGTGCGTGCTCTGTTCACTCCGCTAGCGGGCGGGCAAACGTGTGTTGGGGGATCAGTTTCAGAGGTCTGATTGGCTGCGAAGTCAAAATGGGGTATCAGGGCCGGGAGGAGGGACAGGGGCCTGAAGAGGAAGGGAAGCTCCGAAGTGACAGGGGAGCGTGTGCGAAATGCGATGTTGATCTACGAGTACGAGTATTTTATTCTGTCTCGTAAGATATTCTGTGGTAAACGGGACCGGGTGACGAGGAGGCAGAAAAGAAGAATGCGGATGTCAAATCGGCCATCCAAAAATGCAAGGCACAGGCAGAAGAGGAAAGAGGAGGGAGGGTGAGAGCCATCAGGATCTTGCGAATTACAAGGTATCTTACTCCGTACGGAGCACGGAGTACATACGACGTATTATGTACGGAGTACGATTCTCTGTGCGAGCGTGGGCAGACAAAAAGGTGGGGAGCAGGCATGCAGACAGGACGTTGTGTGCTCTGGGGGAAGAGGCCGTAATTGGCATCGCCGCTATTGACGGGTGTTGAGGAGTGGGCCGAGACGGAGAAACTACGTGCGGGAGGCTGTTGAGTGGGACGAGCGACAGCGGGCACCATACGGCATCTTCAGGCGGAATTCCAGAAGAGGAAGAGGCCTAGAAGCTGGAAGACTGAGGTCTTTAGCAAGCCCTATGGAAAATACAGGGCAGATGACAGCGCGGCGAGGCGCTAAGGAGTGAGGGGGAGATAGCGAAAGGAACGGCAGAGAGAGGAAGACTATACAAGTAAAGAAGCAGCAATGCCGGAATAAGAGAAGCAGAGGACTGAAGGAACATGGCCAAAATCAGTCGAGGGACCCTGAGAAGAAGTTGACAACGGTCTGAGATGCACGCAATCTGCGTCTGGGGCTGTCTGGGGTGTTCGCAGAAGACATTTGTCCGTTAGAAAGGGAAAGAGAGGAGATACCGGCTGTGGGTCCGACGGGTCAGTCGCTGCCTGGGCTGGAGGATCCGCTAAGAAGGACGGGATCAAATAAGTGGGCAGGCGGGAAGGCCACAGGCAGGGGCGACCGAGGACGTTCTGTCTGCTGGAGAAATCGGCCGCACGTTTCTGAGCTTACAAGAGTATGTACATATGTACTATTACGCTTTGCATAGGCACTCCTTTCCGACCGCATTTCCGAGATTCCGCTTCCACAAACGACTGCACCTTAAGATACTTGTGCAGCAACACACCCTGGCGCACCACGCTCTGTCTGTGCTGCCGTCTGGCCAGTCTTTCATGGGCCGCGCTAGCCGGGTTCTTGTTCGTCTGCATGGCGTAATCACGAGCACTCCCCTCTCCTTCCGCGTACGATGCGACCTTTCGGGACTACTCTGGCGAGGATGATATGTTCCGTCACTGATAAGATGATGTACGAGCATTACGAGTATTGCTCCGTTATCCGGCCAGGCCTTGCGAGACTGGGGAAACCCATACTCCGTAGACCGATACCAGCCGGTCACCCCATATAGAGAGCGTGGCACGACTGTCTAAGCCGCCAAAACCCAGTTAGTGAAATTAACGACAAACTCGACAGGGTAGAATCATGGGTGCGGCCAGACGACGCCCCCCTTCCCATTATCATTGTGTACGACATACTCCGTACGAAGACCCGACCTGCATGGCCAATGGAACAAAAACGACCAAAGCGGCGCTGCCCATGTCTGAAGTTCCCCTCCCATAAAAGCCTCTTTTCGGTGGAGCCCATTAACGAACGATGCGATGATGTGAGACAACAACGAAGTGTGAGACGCCCAAGGACATTGTTTTTGAAGGACGGGTGCCCACCCGACGCGGACTCGACCGTTTCCATCGTATTACTTTTCCCATATCTGCGCCATTTGCCCCTGACAGCGGAGGCAGCGACGAACTTCCAGATTCAGTATTCGCCCCGAGGGAGGCCAAACTAAAGAACACGAAAGAACAAAAGAACAAAATCGAAGGTAATTAGAGCGCGACCCCCATTCCGTCGGACCCTGCTTCCGGATTAGCTCTTGGCTATGAAGGCCTCATTCGCGTCCACCATTTTTTGTCCTTGCCCTTTTCCTGCCTCTTTTATCGCTCAAGACGGGTGGAGGCTCACCTAGCATCCTACTCGCAAGCCGCTTCTGCTGCAGCGAAGCCGTCCGTCCTCATTGGCCGTCTGCCTCGAGCGAGCTCCATCCATGCCTCTAGGTAATGCAAGGCACACCCTGCTCAGCGCGTGGAGGCGGAGGGAGAGAGGTCCCGTACTCCGTACTTGCTGCATTTTGGTACTCACAAAGGACCCTGCAAGATACCTGTAGCGCGCATTTCGCCAGCGCATCAGCGCATCAGCATACCCACGCTCCCGACTGCGTGATGTTGCAGCTCGGCGGGTAAGATATCTCACGCAAGCGCAGTGCTATACTCGTTTGGACCTGCCCTGCTTCCCCAGGTGGACGGATGTGCTCCGTGGTGGGCGACGACCCCGGTCTTCCCCCATATTTGTCAGGCAAGGAAAGACAGATCCGTTTCTTCGATACACGGGGTAATGCACAAAGGTGGTGGTGCTCGCACTCCGTCCTCGCAGAACAAGCAATGAACAGCCATCTCCGCGGGGGTAAGCCCGCATACCCACTATAATAGCCCGCTATATTATTGGTTCCCGCATTGCCTGCCGAACCAGCATGACAGACCTGCTCCCCAATTTTCGTGGCACACGTTGACAGTGCCATTCGGAGGGATTGCCGGTGGGCGTACGACATATGTATGTGCGATTGGGGGATTATGTTGGTCCCGGTATCCTTTAAGCTTTCGTCGCCAACCGTGGCCGGGCGAGACTGAAGCTCACCCGCCCCGAAGTGGATGATAAGCGTGACTTGTCATTGGGGCTAGAGACTCAGCTTATGAAGTAAGAATATGAGAAAGTACGAGACGAAAGGATAACACCCCACGCCACCGTTTGCCTTTCCACAATGAGGTGATTTTGTCATGGGGCCCTTGTCACCCCTTGCGTTGAGCAGAGGTCGTGGGGCTTGACGAGGCGAAATGCTGCGGTTCAGCTGCGGCACAAGCGACACACGGGATAAGCAGCGGAACAGGAGGAGTCTGCCCCAAGATCTGCTGTCGGTGAGCCAGCAGGAGGCTGTCACGCACATCCCTGTTCACACCCTTTCGTGTTGTCGCTAGCCTCTTCCAGACTGACGAGATGTTGGTTGCGAGGCAGCAGCGGCGAAGCATTTTGAGCTGCCAACACAGTAACACAGTGCTATACCGGCACAGTGTTGGATGTGGCATGCATGTTGTAGCATCTTTACGGAGTCCGGATTAACTTCGGCCACCCCAGCAAGTGGCCGGTTGGCTCTTTGCGCGCTTGAGTACGAGCACCGAGCGCGGGGCTTGTAAGTATCTTACAAGTACGAGTACATAGCTTGGAGAGGGCTGCCTTCCACCTGGACGGGATCGCGGGGGTCATGAACGAGAGCTAGGGTTTAGCTATTTTCTAGCGAGGGGGGGGAGGGGGGCTTTTTGTTGGAGTTGGCATTGGACAGATGCTATGGGGAAGAGGACGCCTCGCCGAGTTTTGACAAGAGGGGAGGGGACAAACAGATGCACCTGATCAAGAAGATGCATTATGATTTGAGAGTGCTTTGCGTGCGGGACAAAGTCAGAGGTTTGATTATCAAGTCCGTTCTGTTTCCGTACATCGGCAACGGCAGTTGACACAAAGACATGCAAAGTGAAGAGACCACATCGTCAGATGACAGGTGAGCCTCTCTTGTGGATGTGCTGGTATCTTACCACGCCAACTTGTCCGAGTGGCAGATCATGTCTGCTCTTTTCTTTGGCTGTCATCATAGTCGCACACGCGAGCCCGTCTGCACAAGGGGCACTGGACAAAAAGCTTTCGCGTCGCATGGCTGGCCAGGCAATATGAGATTGGCTGTTCGCTCTCATCTCTGGCCTCCGGTCGTCTTGGAGCTACGTGGCAGTGGCGGGATCGTGTCCGGGAAACATGCTACGCAAGGCCGCGGCGAACGTGGTTTTCCGAGAGAGACGCCCGCAGCTCACGACATCTACGATACAAGCGTACTCGTACTCGTGGCTAGAGCAGACAAAACGGAGCATGCTCCCACACGGCTCCACTGCTCGCAGGATGGGAAAACGGAGCGCCACGATCGATTCTGTGCTGCAATCGTAAGACACAAAGAGGCTGTCTGGATGAGAACAGCCTGAGGCCCGCGCGCGACTGAGGACTCAGCCACAGTGACTAAGCAAGATGCTTTAGGCTGAACGCGACATCGGCGCGGCGGTCGTCACAGACAAGCATTAGCTAATTTGAGTTGCCTATTTAGTATTTTAATTTATTCGAATTAATAATGGATTATTTCTAAAGAGAAATAACCGTGCGAGAGCTAACAGAAGGAGGCCCCACTCGAGCGCCTGCGCCAAAGCCTTCTCTTTTCTCTCTCCTGCCCTGTTCTGCCCCCTCGAATCTGCTGTTTCTCTTCCCTGTGGCTTCATTGCCCGTCTCCGATCATTCGCTCACGCACTCCGGCTCCGACCGGGCCCAATTTATCCTTAACCTCGCGAGAATTGCGTCCGCAGGCAGATTTCAGCAACACGCTGAGCGGCAGCCTCCTGCAGCCGTCTGTTGATCGGCGCCTCTTTTCTCTTCTTCGATAGACTCCTTGCCGACCGACAAAGCGACCTCCGACCTTCCTACTCCTTTTTACCTTCCTCTCTCTGCAAAAACAAGCATGGCCCCGGCGAAGCAGCGCTCGGGCGCCGACGACCACAAGGCAGACGCAGCAGCGTCCAAGGAGAAGAACGGGCACAGCCACGCAAACGGGGGCGGATTCCACGCCCCGACAAATGGCAAGTCACGTCGAGCTGCCAACTCCAATACGGCGACGGCAGCATCGACAGCGGCGGCAGCGGCAGCGGCAGCAGCGACAGCAGCAGCAGAGCAGCAGCAGCTGGCCAGTACCCTGAACGGGCCTGCAGATGTCGGATTGAACGTGCCATCACCGCCTACTGTGAGTACTTGGCCCTCTCAAGACAGAGCAAGCAAGGGCAGGGATGTGCGGCTGACGGGTGCGTCTCGCGAGCAGATCCAATGGATGGAGTTTGAACGGGACGTGCTGCACGCGTACGTCCGCACGTACCAGATCGAGTCGCCCAGCGCATTTTCCAACGACCTGCACCGGTGGATGCTCTCACAGCCAGGAAGCATCGGGCTGCAGTCGCCGACGATGCGACGCCACAAGGCGCTGCGGCGGCAGAGCAAGGCGCAGCTGGCCAGCACGACGCGGAAACACTCGAACAACCTGGGGGTGCAGGAGAACGACGTGATTGTCGACTTCCTACACAAGGTGCAGAACCACGAGGTTGTGCGGTTGCGTCGGCTGAGGAGAAACGGGTCGAACTCGCGTGGACGTGAGGGTTAGCCGAGCAGCATGAGGCAACCTTGTCGTTTTTGTTTTCCCATCTTTCTTTTCTTCTTTTCTTTTCTTCTTTTTTCTTTCTTTTTTTCACTTTCTTTTCCTTTTTCTTTCTCCTTCACACGGCGTTTGGGATCGGGAACAACAGTGTGCGACAGACACGCTTGAGATTTGGCGCTTCGGTATATGTGCTGCTGCTGGGAAGGACAAATAGATTGGGAAATGGCTTCCCGGCCGGCGGCGAGGCACGGCCTTGACGGAGATTGAGTACTGATACCATGGTAGAGAGCAAGTTCAAAAGATTCGCCCCTTTATAAGGAAATCCTCTTGCGCCGTTCTAGAAAGTTCGTGAAGGCTCGGCAATTGGCGGGAAGGCTGGCCTGACTGTTTTAAGCCGAGGATGCGTAGCGTGGCTGCCTGAGGCAGAAATAGTAGCGGCGGGCGGCAGGTGGATTCCCAGCCAACGACAGTGCAGCAAAAAAAAGACTGTCGAAAAAAAAGGCCAATCCATGAGATTCGGCGGGCTCGTGCGAATTTGAATCTGCTTCCTGATGCGTCACACACTCACAACCGCAAAATGAACGCCAGCCTCTTCTCCAAGGCATCTATCTCAGCACGGCCGCTGGCGCCGATGTTGCAGCTGTGCCGGGGATCCAGACAGAAGCTGCGGCTCTCGTCGACGTCACAGTCTTCTGCGGCCGCATCAATATGCACAGGCCGACGAGCAGGCTATAGCTCGGCAGCGTTTGGCAACGTGCGGTCGGGCTCGCGCACATGCGCAGTCTCGGGTGCACGGCCCCGGCCGACTGTAGCACGCCGGGTAGGCTTTCACTTTGCACCTTTGTTCCCCTTTGTTCCCCTTTGTTCCCCTTCGTCTGCTGACAGCGTCTGCACAAGAGTTTCCACGCGACAGGTCGATCGATGGCGGCGCCAAAGGACCCGTACAAGGTGCTCGGGGTAGAGAAGAGCGCAACGGCGTCAGATGTCAAGAAGGCATACTACGGGCTGGCCAAGAAATTTCACCCAGACACGAACAAGGACCCGACGGCCAAGGAGCGGTTTGCCGAGGTGCAGACGGCATACGAGATCCTATCGGACCCCAAGAAGCGCGAGCAGTACGACCAGTTCGGGGCAGCCGGGGTTGACCCGAACGCGGCGGGCGGCATGGGCGGCGACCCATTTGGCGGCGGTGGCAACCCATTCGCAGGCTTCGGCGGCGGCGGTGGTGGTGGGCAGGGCGGTTTCGGAGCCAACTTCAACTTTGAGGATCTGTTTCAGGCCTTCACGGGACAGGGCGGAGCGGGCAACCCGTTTGGGCGGCGAGGTGGAGCAGCAGGCGGCGGTGGAGGTGGAGGCGGACGCAATCCGTTTCAGCAAGAGATCCTAGTGGGCGACAACATCGAGATTCAGACGAGTATCAGCTTCCTGGAGGCGGCACGGGGGGTGACCAAGTCGATCAAGACGACGCCGCTGCTGCCGTGCAAGCCGTGTGGTGGCAGCGGGCTAAAGCCGGGGACGAAGCGCAGCGGCTGCACTTCGTGCAACGGCACGGGCACGCGGGTGCACTTTGTGCAGGGCGGCTTCCAGATGGCATCGACGTGCGGTGCCTGTGGCGGTTCGGGATCAACGATTTCGCGGGGGTCGGCGTGCCGAACGTGTGGCGGCGATGGTGCGGTGCGAGAGCGCCAGACGATTGCAGTCGACATTCCAGGCGGCGTGGAAGACGGTATGCGGCTGCGGGTGGACGGCCAGGGTGATGCAGCACTGACAGGACGGACAGCTGGGCCCAGTGGCAGCGAGGCAGCACGCGGTGTGCGCGGCGACCTGTATGTGTTTGTGCACGTGGCCGCCGATCCCAAGTTCAGCCGGTCCGGAGCCGACATTCTGCACATGGCCACGGTGCCGCTGACGACGGCCGTTCTTGGCGGCGAGGTCACGGTGCCGACGCTCGACGGCGAGGTCAAAGTGCGTGTGGCCACGGGCACCAGCACCGGTGATCGCATCACGCTCAGCGGCATGGGCATGAAGAAGCTTGGCAGCCGGCGACCTGCATCGGGTGATCTGCGTGTTGAGTTCCGTGTCGCCATGCCCAAGCATCTCACCGCCAACCAGCGTACCATTCTCGAGATGCTCGCCGACGAGATGGATGACAAGACGGCCAAGCGCGTCATGAATCTGCATCGCTCTGGCCCGACCGGTTCCGAGAACCCAGACGGCTCCCACGAGAACGAGAGCTTCCTCCGGTCCATCTGGCATAACCTGACCAACCATCCGGCTCACGGGACCAGCAGCAGCACGGACAGTACCGGCAGTTCTGGCTCTGGCCCCAAGACTGACGACTCCAAGGCCCAGGACCAGAAAAAGACATCTGGCCCCGATTCGACATGAACTCTCTCCCTTCCTGACCATCTAGACCACCATATACTTCTTGCCTTGTTTTTATCTCCCATCTTTCTTGCATACCGGCGGTGTTTACAAAAGGCGGTTGGGGAGCCGGCGGGACTTCTCCTTGTATCATGTATTAGACGAACAAACTCTTGCGACAGTGGAGGACAGACGGCCATCACCGCTCCCATGCAATAAAATGCAGTGTCACGTGTCATTATTGTTCACTGTGCTCTTGACTTTATCCAAATGATGACGTAATATTTTGAGAAAACTGATCCAAAACTTAACTCCCTCCGTCACCCGTACATGGGCGTGAAGCCAGCATTGTAGCTGCCATAGTCGCCCTGCATGAACATGTTCCAGTCCAAGTTTCCCAGATCCATCATTTCGGGCATGTTTGTTCCCATGCCGGGCATCAGGCCGTCAAAAACGTTGCTGCTGGCCAGTCCCGGAGGTCCCGGCTGGGAAGTTGTTCCGGGGAACATTGGCGTCGGACCTTGCTGTTGATGTAGCTGTCGGTGTTGTGTTTGTTGTGTTTGTTGCTGCTGTTGCTGCTGCTCCTGTTGGTGCTGCTGTTGATGCCGTTGATGCAACTGCTGTTGCTGCTGAGACTGAAGGGACGAAGACGTCTCGGCCATGACGACCTCATCATCACCCATAGATCCGGCACTGTTGCTGCTACCTCCCATCGAAGGCAGTGGCTGCTGCTGCTGCTGCTGCTGATGCGATTCTGGTCCCGTCGTCTTGGGCACCAGCTGCTGCAGCAGACGGATAAACGTGGGAACGGGAGGAGCACGACGGCCCTGCTGCAGTTCGGCCGTCTCGTGGGCATCCCAGGCCTTGATAAAGAGGCCGCCAAAGGTGACATGGACGGGACTGCGCGGGTTCCGGACCAGGCCGCGACGATCGTGGTTCTCGCAGATGGCCGCCCAGGCTCGTTCGGCCAGGTCGCCGGACCGCAGCCGCGTGCGCAGCTCCATGACGATAAACATGTAGGCCGGGAAGGGGAAGTGCATGCACGTGTACCAGGAAAAGCCGCGCAGACTGTCGGCGCTCTGCATCACGTTGTCGTACTCCACCATGTGGATGGCCTCGACAAAGAGTGCATCGCGTTCCGTATCGTCCACGGCTGGTCCTGCTGGAGGTCCAGATGGTCCGGGTGGTCCCATGCTTCCCATCGGGCCTCCCATCATGGCTCCCATCGAGCCCATGCCTCCAGGACCACCTCCGGGGACACCCGTTCGGTTCAAAAACTGGACGATGCGCATTTTGCACAGGGCCTGGCGCGTCATCATGAGGGTGAAGAACTGCAGCGGAATCTCGGGGTCGCACGCCTTGAGGTAGGTGCTCTCCATGTAGCTGCAGAAGCTGTCGGGGTCACTGGGCAGCGTTTGGTTGGCCATGTGCGTCACCACGTCGGGCGAGTTGGGGTTGGGCGAGAAGTGGAACTTGCGTGTAGCTGTCGTGGCCGTGCTCGCTGATGCTGATGCGCTACCCGGCGTGCCAGAGCTGCCGGGACTGGTGACGCTGGCGTTTGGCGTGACGCCAGGACCAGTTCTGCTGCTGCTTCCACCGCCACCTCCCGCCATACACATCTCGACACGCGTCAGACAGAAGAGCATCTCGGTCGGACCGGCATTCGACATCGGCGCTTCCTTGGCATGCTGATGCAGGTCCGAGTCGTTGATGTTGAGCGGGAAGCGGGTGTCAGTCACGCCGGCCGACAGAGCCGTGACGACAGAGCCGGTGATCTCGGCGATGCGCTTGTCTAGGGCCACAATCTGCCACCACAACCGCCGCCGCATCTCCGCCTCAAAGGGTGGCAGGCGGAAGTGGGTGCCGTCACGGTGGAGGCCCAGCCGCTGGGCTATGCGCACGGCTATGCCGATCAGGCAGAAGAGAGAGCGTGGGTCGACATACTGGCGCACGCAGAGCTGCGATTGTTGGTAGGTTGGCAACGCTAGTGGAGTCAGACTTACAAGATAGAGGAAGTACGCCTGCAGCACCGCCAAGTCCGGGCTGCGCATGAAGCCGGCGTTGATCAACGCCTGCTGCGATGCCCGGTGAAAGCGTGCGAGCAGTCGGGTTCGGTCCTCGCTAAACGTCGCCTGCACGTCCTCGTCGCTCATCGACGTCACTGCCACAAAGTAGATGCTAAACATGAGCGCCTCCAGTGCCCGCGGGATCCGGCCCACATTGGCCCCCGCCTCGATGATCTGTGCCTGCAGCGTCGGTGTGTGCGTCACCTTGAGCAGCGGGTTGACGTTGGTCAGGTAGATCTGCCACAGCTGGAAGATCTGCATCCCGGCCGGATGGCTATCCGTCACCCGACAGGCCGTCCCGCCCACCACAAAGGGAAAGCCATCCTGGTGCTGGTTGTCAAACATGCTGTCGAACGCGTGGTGAATCGTCGTCGAGCCCTCCACGTCGTCGTCTGACGAGTCGCGTAGTCCCCCGTCGTCCTGCGCCCGGTAGTCTTTGTAGCCGCTGGACCCCGGCGATGTCTTGAGGCCCACCAGCTCGTTCTGTAGCTCGTCCACCTCGTCGAGCGAGGCCCCTCGTGCTGTCGCTGCCGCTGCTGCTGCCGCTGCCACGGCCGAGGCCGACATGGGGTCGAACCTGACGCCGTGCTGGCTCAGCAGCGACTCATACTTGCGCAGCCGCTCCACCAGCTCGCGCTCGTGCGGCTTTTTCTTGCGCCGTCGCGGCGGTTGCGGTGGCACTACCCGGCACTCCACCTGCGCCTTGACGCAGTTGGCACACGGCTTGTTCTTGTCGCACCGCACCTTGCGCTGCTGGCAGAGCACGCACGAGTGGCCCCGCGTCAGCTTCATCGCCAACGCGTCTGCTGCCAGGGCCGAAGACAATATCGGTAGCCCCGTCCCTTGTCCACCCGTCATCGACGAGATGGACATGGCTGGCGGCTGCAACTGCTGTTGGCGCTGTTGTGGTGGAGGTGCCGCGGCCTGAGATGCAGGTGGTGGGCCAGACGCCGATGACGACCGCGAAGTCGACATTGGTAAGGGTGGACCGGCCATAGACCCGGTCAGGCCTGCCGTGGCCGTGGCAGAGACGGGGAGAGAAGGTCGTCGTGACAAAGAGGATATCTCAGGATGAAGTATGTGTGGAGGTCCAGAGGCCATTGTGTTCAGAAAGAGTGCCACAGAGGCTCCAGCAAAGACGGTATCACCAGCTCGTGCTGAGACAGATAGCCCACTAGCAGGCTGGAAGACGTCCCCAAATTAGCTCAGGCTCTCTTCCGGATCCGACAGCCGTCACGAGAGGATCGGCCATTTCTAACAAGCCAGAGAGCGGTGGCAGGAGAGGGCAGAGAAAGTGGTAGCCTCTGAACGTGCGAGAGCGATCACAAAAGACCAGGAAGACAAACGGTAATTTATTAACAGCCGCCAGGTGGAGGGGGGTCACATTAGAAGAGGAGGGTGTACTACGGCCGGCACTGTCTTGGGGTATTCCTCTCTTCGTCCAAGTGTCTGCGTACCTGTGTTGTGCTTGCTCGTCCGCGGCAGCGAGTGACCGACGCTCAAGGTTGACGCAACACGCACAGGAGGAATAGATAGAATGATAAGCAGGCAATGGGCTAAGTGAGTAATAATGGTCATGTGGATTTGAAACGGCTAAGAGGGCGGTGCTCGCCGGCACAGATCATAGATGGCAGGTCGGAGGTTCGGAAGGAGTGGCCCGTTATCTGGAAGTCAACGCTCGATCTGTCATAGGACAAGGTCACGACCAGACACAACGGCATGAAAAGCACCGATCCTAGACAGTCACAGACGGCAGTAGCAGACACTCTTTGCGTGCACAATACTGTGCACCGTAACCAACCACACGGAACGACTTGGACGGAACTAAGAACCGAGACAGATGTGTAAGGGTGGAGTGGGGGGTGGAAGAAGAACAGTGGAGGTGTGAGAAGGGATGTATGTCTAATGAAGTAGTTTGCACAGAAAGGCCCAAACCTTGATTTGCAGGTCGTTGTTCGAGGCCCGTCCCTGGTTGTGTCAGCCATTCTGTAAGATACACAACACTGGGAACAGGCTTATGGGTGGCCCAGTAGTCAAGTGGAGCTCCGAGGAGCACCAGAACGGAAAGCAGACGAGAGAGACGGAAAGAGAGAGGATCAAGAATTCGAAGCAGGACGAGAGCAACAACGGGATCGGCACATACAGGCACCTTCTTTTCGTCGCTGACCGGAGACTGCAGAGGGCCTGCGAAGCCCGGAGTCGAAGCTAATTCCCTCTTTTGCTCAGATGCACCGGCACGCTGTCAGCGCGTGCGTGTCTAGTCTTTGTGACCGGTCCTGCGTTTAGGATGTGTCTTGGTGACAGACGCCGTCGGCTGCCAACTGCATTTTGGAGAGGAGGTGGCCGGGTAAATTCGGTCCCGAACACCGGTTTCACGCCCCGATCGTTCTTTCCCATATCCACCAATCGCACCTGCTCTCCCGTTGTTGGCGCGACCTTGTCTTGTCTTGCTGACCGCGGATCTTACAGTCAACGCCCTTGTGCACCGCAGGCTACGGATGCGCTAGTCCCATAGCGGAATAGACTAGCTCCGGCTATTTACGGACCCGATGGGGAAGTTGACTTTATATACGGGTACTCTCACGACAGCTGTTAGTCAATCTTGTCTGGCTCGACGCCTGTATTTTCCTGATACCCACGGCTCGTTCACTTGCCGCTTGTACACCTGCCCATGTCCGCACAAAGTAGTCACTCCAGAATAACGGTCTACCTTTTTCGACATTTCTGTCCCGAGTCGTGGCAATAGTCGGCCCAATACCAGCCCATCAACACGTCTTGAGCAGAGTTCTGCCTCTAACACGTTGGACAAGTCGTCTGAACTCGCATGACAATGCACAAATATAATATACGACCAGGCGTCACAACCATAATTATGAACCCCGAGATCACCGTCAAGACCGATGGCTGTCGGCTAGCCTAGTCGCCAGCAACCCGCCAATTCTCACTCTTTCTTTTTTCGGTTCCATCTGATCTGCCATGCCCGGTGGCCTCATTTCGACCCTCTCGTCTTTCCTGCCATGTCTTTTCGTTTAAGTTGTTCAGCTTGCTTGCAACTGTCACTTGTCGGAAATCGGTCGACACGACTTGATTCAGCCGGCGGTGGGTTTTGCCATGCTGCTTCAAATGGTATATAGGTTGGTATACCCATTCATGCCAGTTCGGTTCTCCCTCCTTGTCTGAATGTCTCTCTCTCATGCAAGAAACAGCAGTCCGATTCGAAACCGTTCTTCTGACTGCTCCCTTTACTCTTTGTATCTTTTTCCTCCACTCTTTCTCTCTGTTCCCTCGCCATTTCTGGCACGTCTACCTTTGCTTTCTTTTCTCTTGTCATATTACATCTTACCTACTCCTCCATCGATTCAATCCCTGGGGCGTACTTAACTCTACATATGACGTCTTGAGAACGAAGTTTCGTTAATGCAGTGTCCCACCGATCGGCAATACCCTCTTCGTCTTTCTGCTGTACTACATCCTCTCTGAGGCTCAACACGCCTCACATCTCACTCCGTGCTACGAGTCGTCCTTCCGTCAGCGAAGATGGGAGCCAAAGGCCCCTCTCCATCTGATGTCTCCCTTACTACCGATGTCAAACGCCCAGAGCCCGACCAGACACTCCGTGAGCCTGCGGATGCGGAAAAGCTAGCACCAGTAGCAACAGAGCAGAATGGTCCGCCGCCAAACGACCTCTTCCAGCCCAAGAGCATCAAGTTCTGGATGATCCTGCTGTGCAACTTTCTTGCCCTCTTCCTCGTGGCTCTTGATCGCACCATTGTCGCCACAGCTGTGCCTCAGATCTCAGATGACTTCAACAGCCTTGGAGACATAGGCTGGTTTGCCTCGGCCTACATGTTGACAACATCGGCATCTCAGCTTCTCTTTGGGCGCATCTACCGGTTTTACCCAATGAAATGGTGAGTTTGAGACATGTTCCTTTTATCGGCAACTTCTTCGGACTCCCCCACCTCTTGCCGATACTCACACCGACAGGACATTTCTCACCTGCGTCGTCGTATTCGAGATTGGGTCCGCAATATGCGGTGCTGCGCCCGGCTCGACTGTCTTTATTGTGGGACGCGCTATCGCCGGCGTCGCGTCGGCGGGCATCTTCTCGGGCTGCATGTTAATCATGATCCCCATGATTCCCCTACACAAACGACCGATGTTCCCAGGGGCCTCTTCGGTATGGTGTTTGGCATCGCCTCCGTCGTGGGCCCGCTTGTTGGAGGCGCCTTTACCAGTTCCGTCACCTGGAGATGGTGCTTTTACATCAACCTTCCTATCGGCGGCTTCACGCTGCTATTCATGTGCTTTTTCTGGAACCCGCCGGCACAAACGTATCTCCCGGCACCGCTCTGGACCCACGTCAAGCGGCTTGACCCTCTCGGCACGCTGTTCTTTTTGCCCGGCATAGTCTGCCTGCTGTTGGCCCTGCAGTGGGGCGGCTCCAAATACGCATGGAGCAGCTGGCGTGTCATCCCGCTGTTCCTGCTCTTCGGTGCGCTCATGCTGGCCTTTACTGTCGTGCAGATCATGCTTCCTGAAACAGCCACGCTGCCTGGACGTGTCATCACACAGCGAAGCGTGCTCGCGGGTGCTTCTTTCACCTTCTTTCTGTCGGCCTCCATGCTGACGTTGGTGTACTTCATCCCGCTATGGTGTAAGTGAATATGGCGCTTGGACGAGCTTCTCATTCTCACCTGCTGACCAGCCAAAAACAGTCCAGACAACCAAGAACGCAACAGCACTCGAGTCTGGAATCGATACCATTCCGCTAGTATTGAGCCTCGTCGTGTCAAGCATCATGTCTGGCATCGCCACACAGAAAATCGGCTACTATGTTCCATCGATGCTGCTGGCACCCTGTATCATGTCCGTTGGCCAGGGGCTCATGAGCACGTTCACGCCCTCGACCCGCTCGTCTCACTGGATCGCCTTTGAGTTTATCTCTGGCTTCGGCCTCGGTCTCGGTATGCAGATTGGAAACCTGGCCGCCCAGACCGTTTTACCGCCTGCAGATATACCGACCGGCGTGGCTATCATGTTCTTCGTGCAGCAGCTGGGCGGTTCCATCTTCACCTCTGTTGGAGAGACCATCCTGAGCAACCTCTTGGTATCGAAGCTTGGAGGCATCCCGGGTCTCGATATGGCCTCAATCGTCAACGGTGGCGCCACCGAAATAGCCAAGGTGGTGCCAGCGGAGTACCTCCCCGCTGTTGTTGAAGCATACAACTATGCGACCACGCGAATCTTCCTGATGGGCATGGGCCTCGCCTTCTGTGCACTCATCTCAGGCTTCTTCATGGAGTGGCGCAGCATCAAGAAGCCTCCTGGTTCTCTGGGCGGTCCTCCCACCGGTCCTTCTAAAAATCCTGCGGAGAAAAGCTCTGGAGTGCTCAAATCGCTACAAATTCCAAGTGCACCAGACCTTCCGGCTAAGCTAAGACGACTTCAGCCCGAAACATCAGACACGAAACTCATCGCTCCACCCCCTGCGTACTCCAGGTCAGACTTGTCGGTAGTGGCTAGGTCGTCCATATTATCCCAGGCGACGGCAGTGGGCAGTGACTGCCCAACACCCACCAAAACTTTGAGGGACTCATCCTACTCACCTTCAGTGGTCGGAGGAGGCCCTCCGGTCAGTCTTCAGATTATCAGGGTACGACTGCAAGAGGAGGAAAAGTTGCGACAGGCGAGAAGAGAATCGGAGCCTGGCTTCGAGAGCCCTCGGCGAAACTCGGCACGACTGTCCAGGACCCTCAGGAGAAGCAGCTCGTCGACAGAACGATATACATTCGCTTAAGCCGGCCAGTTTCATGTGCATTCGAAGCTGAGTTTGTATGCGCTCAGCTCTTTGTTGTTCATTTTGGAAAGCATACTCTCCTTTCTATCACCCCTTTAGCGACTGCAGGCGTTTTGGAAAGATTCGGAAGAGGTGGAGGGGCAAAATCTTGTGATGCTTCCTTATGTTCAATTCTCTGTGTCGATACATGCATTTTGGTGAACTGTTTTGCTTACGTGAGACGAGGAAGGAGCAGCTCAGAGGCAGACAAATAGAGAAGGCGCAATGAGGCGGTACTGTACTTCGTACCTTCGCGAAACAAGATATTACTGGTTATGTATATATTATCCGTACTGATTCTTACGGCATTGCATAGTTGCTTGTTAGCCTGGGTTTCCGGCAAAGTAGCGATGCCTATGCCTGAGCAGCAGCATCTAGACAGATAAAGCACCCGAAAATGATAACAGCAACACGCACAGAAAGCAGCATCTAGACTCTACGAATGAAACGAAGCGCAGCCAACGCTAAGGATAAGGCTAACCTCGAAAAAAGATATGCTTCGCTTCAATGATGCAAGAAAATATGCAGAGGCCAAAAGAGGCGGATGCTCTCACGTTTTCCAAAGCTGCCTCACACCAGCTCCCACGCACAAATGCCAACAAAAGTAACTTTGTGACGGCCTAAGCTCGCACGGAAGTCTGCCATGGAGGCACCACGCATGTCCTGGCCATCTCGCGTGGCGTAGGCGAAGCACGTAAGCTTGGTCCCGGGTGGGCCCAGACGGCTTCGCGGAATGTCAGCCCACCAGTGCAGAGGGCTGTCGTAGCGCACCTCGACCATCTCTTCGGAGCGGCCGTCGGCGCCGCCGTTCTTAATTTTGATGAACATTTGGTACGGCTGCAGGCCGCGGCCGTTGGTCTCCAGCTTCCAGTGCGGACACGTTCGGCCAAAATAGAAGTGAACGAGATCGTCGCCGGAGCTGCCACGACTGACATTGCTGACGTGAATTTGCAGGCTCGACGGCTGAACGGAGTCGGGGTCGATGAACTGGTCTTCCTTCCCGTTGGTGTACAGGACCACAGGCGGCTCGGCCGACCTCTCCACCACGTACTCAGCCCACGAGATCGCACATCCATCGGCGCGGAAGAAGCAGCTGCGGTCTGCCGGGAAATGGCGCTCGCCAAACTTGTCGTTGCTCATGGTGAACATATCCGGCGCAAAACACTTCTCGTAGCGCTCTGCCCGCTGCTCGCTGATATTGCCGGCGCCCCAGCACGCATCCAACAGCTTCCACTCGCCACCATCAATCCGCACTGCATTCCACGCATGACCTGTCGGATTGGGCGGTGGCACTGGCTGGCCTGGCTTGACCAGGTTGAAGCCAAAGCCCTTGCCATGGCCCGTCACCACGCGCACCTCCAATCCTGCCGCCCGCGCTATCGCCTCGTAGATCTTGGCGTAGCCCTCGCACACCGCCTTGCCTGAGAAGATCTGCTCGGTAATGCTCTGTCCTCGCGGAATGCATCCGCTAAAGAAACCATCCACGTCGTATGCCACGTTGTGGTGGCACCATGTGAAGATGGCCCGCGCCTTGTCCGTCTGCGACGAAAACGGGTCGCAGAGATGGCGTGCCAGGTAGTTCACTGTGCCTTGTCGTGGCAGCCGCTCCAGCGGATAGCGTGCCGCCAAGTCGTCAGGCCCAGAGAAGTCCCGGCAGAGCAGACACTCGTCGTCATCGCCCTTCATGGCGTAGTTTCCTGAGCCCGGAGCCGCTGCACTGCTGCGCCCACCACCTCTGACGACAGCATCGATCTGGGCCCGAGAAGGGCGGGAAGCCATGGGCAATGGCGGCGGCGTGTCATCATCCCCATCGTCATTCTTGTGGTTGGCCCTGTCGCTCCATCTTCCGATAGCTGCCTTGCTCGAGCTAAAGCCCTGGGAAATTGCCGACCGGACGGTCGACTGCCGTGACGGCAGAGTCGGCGGCGACGGTTCTTGGGCCCTGTCTGTTTGCCGACGTGCTGGTAGCACCGGTGGCTGGGTCTCGCCGTCTCTGACTGTCGACCGGCGAGCTGGCAGAGGAGGCGGCTTGGAGGCATCGCCCGGTCCTGGCCGTGGACGAGGCGGCAGGCGTGGATGTGCCCCATCAGAAGCGTCCGACGCTTGTCTGGACCCCGCGCCAGGCCGCATTGGAAGAGCCGGTGGCCCTGTCGTCGTCGACACGGCTTGTCGTTCTGCAGCTTCATGTCTAGCAGCCCACTCAGCCTCTTCTCTCTCGACAGCCTCCTTCTCTGTCGCGGCACGATCTGCAGCCTCCCGCTCTCTCTTGCTGGGAGGCAACGGCGGCAGCTTGGTCGTTCCGAAAGCTGGTGGCAATTTTCGTAGGCCGCTTCCAGAAGAGCCATGGCTCGTCGCAGACGATACCCGACTCAGGGCAAGAGACGCTGTTGCTGTCGAGGCAGTCGAGACGACGGAGTCCGATGACGGGCGGCGACCGCCGGCAGCCAGCAGCTTCACGTTCTGGTTCGAAGGGAGGCGCCGAGGCAAACTGGGCGGCTGGCTATGTTGTGAAGACGTAGCGCGTTTGGGCTGTGTTGGCTGACGAACGGGAAGTGGAGGGCGAACTGGCTCGTCGGCAGTACGGGCTACAGTTTGCACTTTGGGGGCTGCAGCTGGCGGAGGAGGAGGCGGGGGCCGTTTTCCATGTGCTGCCAAGGCCGAAGAGGCTGGTCGAGGAGGCGGACTTGCAGACGCAACGGTCGAGGATGAGCTGAAGCTCTTCTGCTTGTTGAGAGCAGCGATTCGTTCGGCCAGCGTTGAAAATTGGGGCTCCTCGACTTCAGCCATGATGACAGGCCGGCTGGCTGACTTGGGAGGGGGTAAGACGAGCAAGGCGGACTAGTTGCAGACGGCAGGAGAGGTTAAGAAAAAAGCCAACGATTGAGGATGAGACGAGGAGGAACACGAAGTACAGTAGCTGGCTTACGGCTTACGAGTACGAGTAACACGTGCTAGTCAGCGCCCTCTAGCGCTGTGGATCAGGCTCAGCCACTAAATCTTATTAGTCATAGGGCTATCCGTTCCTGAAACAGTTCTTCGAGTACGAGTGCTACATAGTTACGGAGTATATTTACGAGAATTGGCTGAAACAATGTATTTATCTTACTATGTACCCCGTAGATAGATAAACTGTCCATTTGTGTATAGTGAGATAATATGATAATGAAATAAAAAAGTACGGGCGAGATACGATTCAACAACAAACATGCTCTGCTCCAACTGCGAGGCAGTCGTTCGCTTGCGCCACGATTGCCCTGCATATTTGCCCTGCTTCTGGGAGGCTGATCCAATTGACGATCCGATGGCACTTTTCGCATTCCGCATTCCGCCTCCCACTTCACCATGCCTTCTTAGGCATATCTAGAGCGCTATGAGGACGTCTTATAGCTGAGATTCAGGGTGGGGGGATGATCTTTTTAGGGCCCCACGCCTGTACTCCGTACGGAGTATATTTCAAGTACGGAATACTCTCTCATACAGCCAACTGCCTAGTGGGGCCGCCCACTAATACCACGCCAATCTACGACGTATAGTACATACCCCAGGCTGCTAGCTTGCAGGTGTGGGGCGCCAATCGTCGGTTCTACCCTGTAACTGTCGTCCAGCCTGGTGCAAACCAAAGTCACGCCTTCCTTCTCGGCACACTCGTGACGCCTGGGAGGACGACTGACGGCAAACGAAAAGTGCAGGAAGCCTCCGGTCTCCTGCATCCTTCAGTCCACCAACTACATGCACGTCTATTTGTGCTCACCACTTGCATCCCTGCTTTGTCTGGACCTTGCTATCACAGCTGCTTATCCATCGACCCCGCCTACGCGCCCAGTAGGACAAAAGCTGGCTCTTCCCTCGTCATCCTCCTCCTAGAAGTATCTCCACCAAAGCTAAAGGTACACGAGGAAGAAGACTGCGACTACGGGCTCCTTATACTTGCTCCCAGACGACTCGCCTTGGCCTGTTCGCATCTCCGTATCACGACCGCAACCATGGCCGCAGCCAGACCTGTACAGGAGCAGAGCTCCCAGGCCCGACGCCTCACCATCCTCGATCTTCCCGAGGAGACTCACAGGGAGATCTTCAACCACGTGTGTGACCTTTGCGGCCTCTTGCCTTTGTCTACGTCCCTTGCCATCATCATCGAGGCTTCTTTGAGCTCACATTTTTCCAGTGCAACATGTCCGAGCTCGTCTGTCTGGCCCTTGTGTCCAAGCACTTTCATCACATCGCTTCCGAGATTATGTACCGCACCCTCCATTTCTCTCTCCCATACCATGGCGGTAAGCTGTGCGAAGACACCCTGGCTGCTTGCCTCAACACCCTCACCACCAGCGAGTACAACTACGCACGTCACCTCCGAGAGCTCTTCATCGATGCTTCCTATGGAACCGGCCCCGAAGCCGACAGGACCATCGCACCATACGTCTATTCTGAGAGCTGTGGAAAATTCCTGAATACCCTTCTTCTCTTAACCCTCCGCAAGACCAAGGGTCTGGAGAAGTTCTAGTGAGCTGTCTTCCATCTATCACCCCTCTCCGAGTACCTACAGTCTGACACATAGCAGCTGGGATGTCCGGATAGAACTGGGCCGACCGGTTTTCAGAGTGCTGCACCAGATCCACACACTCTCCGACGTCCAGATCCGCCTCCAAAAGGGCCCGTCGATACACGAGAGTACGCCATTGCTTCCGCTAAGCCATTCTTCCTCCTTGTCAACATTTGTGCCACACTCCACGTCGACCGGCATGCCAATAGAGTCTATCATCCATCTGCCCTCATTTCAACACATGCCGTTTCAGCCACCTCATCCCAACACCTTTGTGCCTATCACGACAGCTTCGGCATTCTACAATCCCTTTACGCCTGCACCCTCTCCAATTTCTGCTCAGCTGAAGACACAGTCTCGTCCCAGCAAAGTGCCGAAGCGAGGACTCTCACGGGCCGAGCCGCCCACCATATCTGGTTTCAAGAATCTCAAAGTTCTCTCTGTTCTCGACATCGACGCCCTCGACGTCATCACCGAGATCAAACCTTGCTTGCGAAACTCGGCCGGGACTATCATTGAGCTCAGTCTATCTTTTTCTGAAGCTCTGGCTTCCAAGGCACGCAAGCCGCCGCCCGATACCGACTCGGAAGAATCAGACTTCGATGACATTGAATTTAACGTTCCCCTAAGTACTACACTGGCCGATGCTGAACCTGCTACCACGAACCAGGCGCATGCATCATCGAAGCTCCTGTATGCGCAGGAGGAAAAGTATAGGCAGGATTCTGCCTTGAGCAGGATATTCGACCTGGAGCCGTTCCTCCTTCGACAGCAGCCAAAGCAGCCGAAAGTCAGCGCGAATGGCAGTGCATCTAATGCAAGCTTGGCTTCCGACTCAAATAACAGCAGGGTTGAGTTTGCGAACGCTGTCCGCGATATGACAGTGCAGCTTTTAAATAGCACCGTCAGTGGAAGCAACATTGGGGATCATTCAAAGATGCTGGATACAATCGAATCTGCCGCCAAGAAATACATAGATTCGGAAGATGCTAAGAGCGCCCAAGAAAAGAAGGGTGATCAAGTCAAGGAGCACGGCCAGAGCAAGAAAGGAAACGCTCTGAACACCACCGACACGATCGTCTCAGAGTCCGGCCTTGACGGCTCTGCAGCAGATGAGAGCGACAAGGAAGTAAGCCTTTTCAGAGACGGAGACACGGTCACCAAGCTCAAAAGTAAGGGTGCAGACGTCAGCCCGGAGGACATTGACGTCGAGGAACCGGAGGGCCAACTTGTTCTCGAGGAAGGTTCATGCGACAGGGATCTGGAAGACTCAAGCGACAAGGAAGCCGATCCAGAGCTGCCGACCGATTCTGTATTAGCATCTGCATCTGCTTCCGGACAGGCTCAAAGTAGCCCACAAGGCCAATCTAGCACTTGGGGTGGCCAGCAAGATCCTTTGGCGGAACCAATAAGCGATGACAGCATAAACAAATTGGCGGCCGATATCTCTGCCCAGAAAGCTAACTTAAAAGCCTTGCTGGACAGACTGGCAACATTGGAGAAACGGGCACTTACTTCACGGAAAGGGCTCGAGGCCATGTACAGTATGCGAGACGATGTTGAGCCGCAAGTTCTGCTGGAAATGGAGAGGCGAGAACAAGCCTTGCACAAAGACATTCAGCGTCTCTTCCAAGAGACACGAACAGTTGCGGCCGAAGTGCGGGACATTGAGGCTAGCAAGCCTGCATCAAAGACAGGTCGTGAGACGCCTCAGGAGGCTTCTGCTGCCGAGACTCCTGATGCTGCCAACTCAGCGCAAGCACACAGTAATCGTCGACTCGTCGACAAGTATGTGCGGTCCACGCGCGGTATAGTGTTGGAGGAACTCAATCTAAGCCTCATTCCTGTCACGGCATCGGTGTTGTCCAAGGCCATTGATCTGCACACGCTGGTGCGCATTACCCTGCTCAACGTCGGACCACAGGCGCCTATCTGGTCGCTCTTCTCCAGAGAGAACAGGTCGCGGCCGCTGGCGCTGCGATCGATCTTTACCGACAATGTGTCAACGGTCTTTCTGGTTTTTGTCGCACAGCTCGAAGAGGTGCATACGTTGCTCTTGCTGGAGCGAGATGCAAACCACAAGCCCGAGAGCCTGGCGCCCAAGACAACGACCACGATCAGCGATATCCGGCACATTGTTCTGAAGAAACACGCCCGTCACCTGAAGAAGCTCATGATCAAGAATGCCGCCAGCCAAGACTGGGATGTGGACGAGGCGACGATAAAGCTCCTGGGCCGACGTGCACGGAATCTCGCAGAGCTGGCTGTCAGCATGAAAATGCAAACGATTGTAAGGCCTCTCTCTACGTCCTGAGTGTTTACTTTAGCTGACTTGGCTGTCATAGCACGATCTCATACTACAGCTGCCCAACTTTATGGGGCTTGTGGCTCTCAATATCATCCGGTTACGGAATGATGATACGTGCGTGTGGGTGACACAGGAGATCAAACGGTTCATACTCGACACCGTTGCGCACTACCCGCATCTCATACTGGAGTGGCTGGCCATCGACAACAACTTGTCTGTAGAGCGCATCATGCGTGTCAGCCCGAAGAAGATGGTCGAGGCCAAAAAACAGAAGAAGATGAAGAAAGCAGGACAGTCCAAGGGCAAAGAGAAGGCGACGAACACCCAATGGTCCGGCTCTTTCGAGACCAATGGGTTCTCAAAGGGCAGCGCAGCAAGCAAGATCTACGACAACAGCGACGATAGCGACAGCAGCAGCAGCGATGGCAGCGCCCCGTACAAACAAGCCAAGCTTCAGCTGGAACACTGCCATGTCGATGACACCTGGGACATTTCGATATTTGACAGGGTGGTCAGAGTCGGCCGGCTGTAGATAAAGATGGTCAAAGACAGTGACAGGAGCACGCCGATCAAGCGTTCAAGCGTACTTATTCTTGTCTGGTATTTACTTTTATTTGAATTTAAACTTCTAGCTAAGTCTCTGTATATTTATCTGAAGCTTTGGACCTCAAGCATGGTGGTTTAATCGTAGAATGCCCAGGTGCACAGCAAATCCAGCGGCTGGCCTCAGCGCCTCTGTGAGCAGCAGCTCGGGGACACGCCAAACCTGGAAGGCCGCATGGAAGTCGTCCAGCCAAGCGGTCAGCACATCGGGCTCCCGCAGCTGCTGAGCTACGATACAGAGAGTCGGCGGCAATGGCAGAGAGTCGGCATCACGCAAACGGCAGGCATCCACGCACGTCTGGACGAGAGGCGCTACGAGGGCGTCGTTATAGATGCAGTCACAGGCGAGGACAGCGTCGAAGGAGGCGTCTGCAGCAGGCATACGGCTGGGATGGTTCTGACCGTGATGATTGTGGTGAGCGTGATGGTTGCGGTGATGGTGTTGGTGATGAACGTTGTCGATGCTAGAGGACACGTCCTGGGACGGCAGTAGAAGGGAAGCCGACACGACGTCGGTCTCCCAGTCCAGGGGATGGAAGTAGAGAGAGGAGGCGACAGCCGAGTTGGCGTCCAGGTTCCGCTGCACCAGCTTGGCCACGTATGGCTGGTCGGTCAGGACGTAGCGGCCGACCGAATTGCTGCTGGCTGGGGCCACGATGGCGGCAGCAGTCTTTCTTGTTCTTTTCCCGCTGGCCTTTCGAGCCGACACGACCGTGCTGCTGCTAGACCCCGTCATGACCAGGCCGATGACGGCAGAGATGCCACAGCCGAGCTCGAGCACGGCCGACTGAGCGCCCAGCAGCGATGTGCGGAAGAGAAAATTATCGGGTCTGGCCAGCCACTCGGCGACGGCCGGTGTGATCTTCCAGAGGACGGCGCCGGTGGTGCCGCCAGGACGACTCGAGGTCAGGACGGCGGGCGACTGGTGCACGACGAGATCGCGACCGGCGACGGAGAGGTCGAGCTCGGCGACATGGGGGTCGACGAAGCCGAGATTCTGAGCGGCTGGCCGATCGAGGGCAAAGAGGAGGAAGGTTTCTGAACACACACACACACACACGGTCAGAGGGGTGCTGCTGCCACCATGGAGAGGGAGAAGCCGGGGCGAGCGGCACCTTCATCGGGGTCTTGTACTTCTGGGCCCAGGAGAGCGGTGAGCTGTTCTGACAGCAGCATCGCCATCAAAGAGCCGTGTTCGTGTCCCTCCTCTCCCCAGGCGGCAATCACAAGTTGTGCATGCTCTTGACGACACAGGCGGCCAAATGAGACGTGCAGGAGGATTCGCAGTGCTGACGCGAACGGCTAAACCCAGCCTTTCTCGAAGCATGAGCCCAAAAAGGGCAAATGTGAAGCTGGAAGTGGGGCCAATTGGGCGGAATCAACGATTAGGCTATCGATACTGCGTAGTACGAGTACTTCGGACTCCGTACTCGTACAGTGTGCTCGGTAGGATGTAGCGGCCGCAGCCTCTGACACATCGTGGCAATGTCGAGAAGCTGCTGCTGGCCAGTTCGCCTGACAAACCGCGAGATAAGATACATAGAACGTGCAAGCTGCTGAGTCAGAAAGCTCGGCCGAGAGGGTCAGGCGCAACGACTGGGTTCGGCTGCCAGGGCGAGCCGATCGCTCGGCTACAGCTACAAAGGCTCCGAACACCAATTTCGCCTCATGAGAAGGCCCCTGAACGGAGCTTCCAGCTGTCCGATCGGGCCTCGCCATTCGCTGGCAGCCCGTACGCGTTTTCCGGCTGTGCTCCACGCCAGCCGCAGCCATATCGCTAATGGGAGACAGCGCTAGCTAAAACCCCAATTTTTCTCCCTCCCCAACAGAGGATACAAGATGTGGTAGCAATACCTCGGGTCCTTGTGCCTGACAGTTTGGTCGTCCGAGGCCGACAGGCAGCTCCCAGTTAATTCTGAAATAAACAATGATCATTAGGACAATAGCGCCACGCGACTGCACATCCGAGAGGGTGGTGCAGCTACTTTGGTGCTTGGTCGGGTGGCATGGCAAAGTACACAAATTCTCCCCAACAAAAAAACCAGCGAAAAAAAGTCGAAGAAAGGACGCGCCCCTCTCTGCGCCTCCCCTAAGCCAATCCGGTATTATCGTTGTTCACATTGGCCCACTTCACGACCTGGCCGCATGCCCTGTTTGACGATCCCAGCGTTACATACCTTGCCAGCCGTCTCTCCTGGACCGCGATGCTGTGCTCCTGGCGCGCATCTGACAGTGCAGACCGAGATGCGCGAGACGTGGACTGGATGTTCACTGCGCTTTTCGTGCACGAGTACGAGCACAGCACATCTCGCTATCCTCGTGATGTGCACTCTACCAGTTTCCAAAGACTTTGAAAAGCGCAAGAGCGACCGGCCGATGGATATGTGACGCTTCTTGTCTTGCGTCCGTGACCAGAGATACACTTATACGAGTACTGGAAGCAACAAGTACAGCTTATTACGTCGACCCCCAGTTAACCCCTTCCTCTTTCCCGATTAGACGCTAGCGCCTGCTTCTCCGCACATTTTGTTGGGCCAGCCTATTCTGTTCTGGTGACAACCATACATAGTAGCTCTGCGCTTCGTCATAGCAAAGGCTTGGAAGAAAGAAGAGAAGAATCGCACGAACCGAAATAAGATACTTGTAAAATGCAGACGGAAGGGTAAAAATGCATTGTCTCCACCTCCTGGAGGCAAGCTCTTCCATGTACGGAGTACCACCGTGCTGACTGGTTGTCTGCTCTATACTGCCTGCCCGCTTTTGCCTTCGTGTTCCCCCTCGTGCCTTCCTTCCTATCCGGCGGCCAGATCTATATGCCCCGTTTCTCGGCTGCCTCTGCTGTGCCTTCTCTCGCTGCTGCTCGACTCTTCTCCTCCCCATCTCTCATTTCTCATCCCTCGTCTCCTCTTCCGTCCTTTGTCCTTTCGTTATTGTCGTTTGCACCTGAGCATCCCCCCTTTCAGTGTATCCATATCCTGGTTGCAACCCACCTCTTTACTCCGTACTTCTTCGCTCTGCTCGTTTCTTCGGCTGTTTCGCATATCCTCTTTGCGACCCTCCTGCTACCCCTGGCAACTGATCCACACTCTTATCAGCTTGCCCCATCTCTCAAGCAAGCTCTCCTGGACCTGAGCATTGTACACGCTTCCATCCTCATTTCTCTTCATTTCTCTTCCTCCCCCCAAGCCTTCACTTGCTTCGCACGCCCCGCTTCGCCTCCCGTCAGCTTCATCATCAGCTCCTCACCAGCTCCACCTGCCGCAGAGCCACAGAGCCTCTTCAGAAGCGCCCAACCGCGTCAGCGCTGGGCACAAGGTTCTCCAGAGGAGCCGTGAACAAGACCCCGAATCAAAATGACCATCCAGATATTGGAGCCGCGCATCACGGCCCGGCCGCCGTATACCGTCGAGGTTCCCGGCCAAAAAGACATCCCTGGCGAGACGAAGGTCCGCCGGCATCCGCAGTCCGTCCCTGAGCTCATTAGCAAACCAGCCGAGAACATCTCGACTCTGTTTGAGCTCGTCACGGTCTCGGTTGAGAAGTATGGCAACGCCAACATCATGGGCTCGCGCCGCCTGCTGCGCACCCATCAGGAGACGAAGAAGGTCAAGAAGATGATCGACGGCGAGGAGCGCGAGGTCGACAAACAGTGGACCTACTTCGAGTTGAGTGCCTACGAATACATCACTTACAACGAGTACCTGCGTCGCATCCTGCAGATTGGAGCTGGCCTCCGCAAGCTCGGCTTGGCATCTGGCGATCGCGTTCACGTCTTCGCCGCCACCAGCGCGAACTGGCTCTCTATCGCCCACGGCGCTTGCACCCAGTCCATCTCCATCGTTACCGCCTACGACACCCTTGGCCAGGAAGGTCTCCGTCATTCCATGGTCGCCACCCGTGCAAAGGCCGTCTTCCTCGACCCCCATCTTCTGCCCACCCTCGGCAACGTGCTTGCCGATGCTTCCGAGATCCGCCACGTTATCTGGAATGACCAGCACCAGGTCAAGCAGGAACATATTGACAAGCTTGTCAAGGCGTTCCCCCACATCACCGTCCTCAGTCACAGCGATCTCATCAAGCTCGGCGATGAGAGCCCCGTCGACCCTGTGCCGCCAAACGCTGATGACCTCTGCTGCATCATGTACACATCGGGCTCGACCGGCACCCCGAAGGGCGTTCCGCTGACGCACAAGGCTGTCGTCGCTGCAGGTTTGTGCCTTTTAAATCCTGCTACAATGCTCTACCCTTTGCTAACAGAACCCACAGTCGCCGGTGTTAGCGTCGTTGTGCAGGCATACGTTGGCCCGGGCGACGGCCTGCTAACTTATCTTCCGCTGGCGCACATCCTCGAGTTCGTCTTCGAGAATGCGTCCATCTTCTGGGGCTCGACAATGGGCTATGGCAACCCCAAAACTCTGTCCGACACATCAGTGCGCAACTGCAGTGGTGACATCAAGGAGTTCCGACCAACCGTCCTCGTCGGCGTCCCGGCCGTGTGGGAAATGGTCAAGAAGGGCATTGTCTCCAAGGTCAGCGCTGGCAGCCCGATAGTACGCTCTCTTTTCTGGGGCGCCATGTGGGCGAAGACCAACCTCATGCACCTGGGCCTGCCCGGCTCCGGCGTCTTGGATGCTGTTGTCTTCAAGAAGATCAAGGAGGCGACAGGTGGCCGCATGAAGCTTTGCCTGAACGGCGGTGGTCCGGTGGCCAAGGACACGCAGCGCTTTATTTCCATGTCTATCTGCCCAATGATCAGTGGCTACGGTCTGACCGAGACCACCGCCATGGGCGTGCTGCAGAACCCTGCTGAGTGGACTACCGATGCTCTGGGCGCCATGCCAGCGTCTGTAGAGGCCAAGCTGGTAGATTTCGCCGATGCTGGCTATCACGCCACCAACAAGCCGAACCCCCAGGGCGAGGTGTGGCTGCGCGGACCCAGTGTCACGAGCGGCTACTACGAAAACCAGGAGCTGACCGAGGAGGCTATCACTCCTGACGGCTGGTTCAAGACGGGCGACATTGGCGAGTTTCTACCCAACGGCCACCTGAAGCTGATCGACCGCAAGAAGAACCTGATCAAGACGCTGAACGGCGAATACATTGCACTCGAGAAGCTGGAATCGGTCTACCGGTCGGCCCAGGTTGTGGCAAACATCTGCTGCTATGCCGACGATTCGAAGGCGAAGCCCATTGCTATTATTGTGCCTGCCGAGCCGGCGCTGAAGAAGCTGGCCGAGACAATTGGTGTGCAGGGACAGAACGTTGAGGAGCTCGTGCACAGCAAGAAGCTGCAGACGGCAGTTCTGAAGGAGATGCAGGCAGCTGGCCGGCAGGGAGGGCTTTCGGGCATAGAGATCATCGATGGCGTTGTCCTGTCGGATGAGGAGTGGACCCCACAGAACGTAAGTGACAGAAAGATATACCAACTGATGAGCCGGACAGTCTGCTAACGGGTATTCTACAGGGTTTGGTGACGGCAGCACAGAAGCTGAACCGGCGCGACATTTTGAAGAAGTACCGCACGGAAGTGGACAGTGCTTATGCTATGGCAGCTTCTAGCTAGAGCAGTACATATATTAAGTGGACGATGATATGAGTTGTATTGGCTAGCGATAGGTAGCCGCTTTTCTTTTTGGCTCTTGGTCCTGCGAACTTGTGATATTTTTCGAGTTTCCTTTTTGACTGTTCACAGCTTTTTCGCATTTTTTATTCCCTTGGCTGTTATGCGTTTCTGGGTCTGGACTTGGCATGGATCTATGTTTCTTTCCCTTTTGTGTATTCTGCATAGTGAGTTGGTACTTTAGAACGGCGGGCAAATGGAACGGCGCGCCAAGAATCACAATGACACGAGCCCGCGTGCGTAACTCGGAGTTCCGTGCCATACACTGGTCTGTGAACACGGCGCCGACAAAGAGCGAGACGAGTCGGCCTCGGCCTCTGCGAGTAGATTTCTTGGGCTATATTCTGTCCGGGTGTGTCCGGCAGAGCGATGCCCTTCAGCAGCTATGGGAAAGACGTGTGTGACATAAGAGACTTTGTACAAAGGTTATGCATTGTCCGAGATGGGGTTGGAGATGCGCCTGGGGACAAACAAGGACAAGATGGAGAGCCCAGAAAACAGGCGTCACGGATACGGAGAGCTATAAGAGACATACACAGCCGAAAGAAGACCAGGGAAGAACAGAGCAGAAGAGAAGGCGCAGAAAGCCAGACGACGCCAAGGAGAGTCCGATACTAGACCAGTCCATCGTAAAGCGACAGAGCGGACACGATGGTCTCGTCGCGCTTGCTGCCCTCCTTGAACTCGCTTATGTCGAGGCTGCCGTTCTCGTCTTTGTCCATCATGCGAAAAATCTTCTTGACCCGCTTCTCGGGCGTGTCTTCGTCCTCGGGCAGCTTGACCATGGAGCCGACCTGGAACAACAGGGTCAGTGGGTGGAGGCGAACAAAAAGCAGCGGACAAGAAGAGAGCGCAACACACCATTTTGTAGATGGCCTCGACGATCTTGAGCATCTCGTCGTAGCTGATCTTGCCGTCGCCGTCTATGTCGTACAGCTGGAAGGCCCAGTCAAGCTTGTCCTCCATCTTGCCGCGGCTCGTAACGCTCAGCGCACAGATAAACTCCTTGAACTCTATGGTGCCAGACTTATCGCTGTCGAAGACATTGAAGACGTAGTCGGCGAAACTCGACGGGTCGCCAAAGGGGAAGAATTGGCGGTAGATCTTTTGGAACTCATCCTTGGTGAGCATGCCGGACGGGCAGTCTTTCAGGAAGCCTGTCGAGCAGAAGGCGACCGCGTTAGGGGGGGCTCAACAACAGCAGCCGTGGTGACAGGAGAAGGGAGTGACGTACCCTTGTACCATTGCTGCAGCTCCTTCTTGTCAAAGTGTGTCGACTTTTGCAGCTCCGACAGCTGCTCCTGCGATAGCTTGGACTGACTGGAAGCGGGAGTAGGTCAGCACGATAGCGACAGGCAGAAAAAAGAGTTCCGGCTCCTTGTCTTGGCAACAGCAGACTCACGATTTGCCCATATCAACGGAACAATTCGCACGACTGGCTCGCGAGGCGTGCTTCTTCTCCGCCCGTGCAGTGTTCTTCCAGTTGAACGTCTTGCAGGCGGTGGTGTCGGTCCGGGTTCGTCAGGGGATTGGCTATGCGCCGAGCGCCAGGTGGACGATTCGGTAAGCGCCGGTGAGCAGGAGAAAAACCCGATCGCTGCAGACGGGCGGATGACAGGGGGTAAAAGGGTCGAGTAGGCGCAGGTCGGGAGGAGGTGAAGAGACGGTGCAGCACGATCCCTTGCGCACGCACAGTCTATATGCGAGATTGCTCACGAGGAAAATAGGCGGCCGGAATTGGGCGCCGGGAGTTGCGTTGATTCTCGAGCGAGCGATACTATACCAGGAAGGGAGGGAGGGGGGAAAGGGGAAAAGGCGATGGGGTCTCGGAAGGGGGGATGAAGGAATTACGACCGACTATTAGGTTCGCCAATCGATGGAGGAGGGGTGCGAAACAGCAGGGAGGGGGTGCACTACTCTTCCTTGGAGGGGTGCTTGGCGAGACAGCGCTGGCAAAAGAGGGCCTCCAGAGCGGGCAGCCATAGGTGGCAAGGCGCTGGAGAAGCCCTGGAGTCTGGCTGCTGGCGGCCTCTAACTACGGGCGTCTCTGCATAATTTGCATGGCAGCTGCGCGCCCAACAGGCGGTGACCGGCCAGCGTGGATCGCAGGGCGGCTCCGAGCGAGGCTAATGGCTGCGTCTGTCGTGCCAAAGAGGGAGAAAGAGGAGAATAGGAGAAAGGGGGCGTGCTCGTTTCTTATCGTTGTCCGGGTCCCTCGCTGGCCGGCCACCGTGCTGCTGCTCGTACGAATGCGATGCTTGGTCATCGTGCTTGCTTTTGCTGTCGTTTTCACTCACGGACGGGGCGGTCGCTTTGAATGGCGTCGTTCGCTTCGCGTGTGTGGCTGTGTTGGATAAGACAAGGTGCAGAGGGCGACGCCAAGGACGAGTCTCCTTCCCACACGCCGAACCGAAGAAGGGTTCTTACATAGTGTAGTCTGGTGTTCCTGGGAAAGTGGGGCCCCTGGGTGCAATGTGGGCTTCAGCCTCGCAGGGCTGTGTCGAGGCTGACGCAGTCGCTCTGAGATGGACGGACGGGGAGTGTGGCCATGGCCTGGCCACCGGCTAGACGTCTTCTCGAGGTTGGCCCATCTGCGTGGTGGACTGCGGGACAAACGCCCGGTTGAGGCTGTTGTTGCATGTGCTGGCAAAAGGCCTGATACGAGGACTGTCCATTGCGAGCGAGGCTCGTGGTCTGTCATATATCCTGCACTCTCTTCACCAGAATCACAGGGAAGAAGGACATGCCATAGTCATGCTGCCTGCGGACGGGATGCTCCCAGACACGATGCATGGCTGTTGCCAGTGCTTTTCCCAAAAAGACGGAACCACGCCCGAAAATGAGGTGTGCTGAGAGATGACCGGGCCTGTCTCGGGCACCCATGATGTACCATCATCATCTGCCTTGGATCTCGTATGTGGATACACTTCCCTTGTCGTTCGTGTCCTATGACACATATCTCGATGTTTATTGAGAACCGCCCGATGCACGCCATGCATGCTTAGTCAGCGAGTGCGGAACACGAGTCTTCGGCACGGCAATAGCCCATTGTTTCGTTCGTAGACGGTCTTCCCTGCCTACATTACCACATAAAACAAGTTGTGTTCCAGACAGCAACAGTAATACTTCATACAGGTGATTGCTTCTAGGTATAGTGGGGCTGCCGATCGTGTGGGGCAGCCATCGGACGTGGGACAGCATGTATCTGGCTTGTAATACAGTATAGACATGATTCATATTTACCCTGAAACGGCAGCTACGATGCTACAAACAATGCAACAAACAATGCAAGCAGGCAAGAAGACAAACCGGCAAAAGCAGCAGGACCATTGAACCGCCCCTTCCCTCAGCCGACCACCGCCTTCATGCTCAGACTCTCGAGAAATCCGCTGAGATCCTCCTTCTTCACCTCCACCACGCAATGCTCAAAGCTGTCGATGCGCACGCGCGCACTCGTCTCTGCCACGACATCCTGGAAGGCCGTTCCAAAGCGATTCAGCCCAAAGCTCTTGCTGTCTGCCTGGTCCAGCGCCAGCCCGGAGTCCGAGTCCGAGTCCGAGTCCGTTTCCGATCCCTCCGATTCGTCGCCTTCGTCTTCGTCTTCGTCTTCGTCGTCTTCGTCTTCGACATCGTCGTTGGCCTCTTTGTTCTCGTTTTCTTTTTTCCGCCTCGTCCTTGCCTCTTCCCGCTGCGCCCGTCGTGCCTCGCGCCTCTCCTCCCGTTGCTTCGTCTTGGCTGCCCGCTCCTCCTGCTTTTTCTGCACCGCTTGTCGTCCTTGTGCCAACATATCCGGTCCTCCACCTCCTCCCGTTCCCACCACCACATATACTCCTCGCTTCTCGTTTAGCGACGCCACCACCAGCGGCGTTCCTCGACCTCCGTGTGCCAGCCGCCCGGTCGCGTCCTTTTCCTGCTCTGCCAGCGCCTCTCCCACCCACAGCGCCAGTTTTGTCAGAGCTCCCGGATGGTTGAACACGCCCACGTCCGGACCTTCTTTCACGATACACATCCGGAATGCGTGCAAGTGTGTGATCTGCTTCTTCTTGATCAGCGCTGACCCGGTGTTGAAGATCGCCCGGTGCAGAAACTTGGCGGTCGGCAGGCCCTCCTTGAGCGACTCGATACTGTCGGTAGGTCAGCAATAAGTCCAACCATCAATGGCATCAAGCATCACCAACCTCTCTAGCGCATCATACGCCTCCCAGAATCGCGGCACCCACTCCTCAGACGGGTCCTCTTCTCCGGACAACATCGCCATGTCATCGTCCGATGTCCCAGGACCGCCATCAGACGATGATTTTCCCGACGACCCCATCGCGACTGTCGTCGTCGCCGCCGTTGGGCTCTTGCCCACCTCCAGCAGCGCGCCAATTACCACGGCCACATCCTGTGCACTAAGCGTCGCTCGCCATCCCCAACTGCGCACAAAGCCCCAGCCGTCTTTGCCCGCCCGCCCCGGTCCTTGCCGTCTGTGTCGATGGTCGGCACCATCCCGTCCAAGTTGTACAGCGACGCGTACTTGAGCAGCTTCACCCGTAGCTCCCGCTTCAGCATCATGTCCATGTGCGCGTAGCTCTGTCGGCACTGCACCAGGCTGACGCCCATCTTGGCAAACAGCTTGTGCAGCCGCTTCAGTCCGGTCTCGCTCCACATCTTGAGTCGCGAGAATAGATATGGCGAGTGCAGCATGCTGTCGTACAGGCTCCAGTGCCGGATCAGCAGAAACTTGGGCTCGGGCGACAGCCGGATGCTCGTGTCTTCCGGGCTGCGTGCCGTCGTCGGAATGACACCTGCTGACTCTGGCGATCCCATCCGTCCGCCTCCTGGCCCTCCTGCACCACTGCTACCGCTGTTACCACCCCCTCCTCCGCTACCGGCCTCTGGTGGATTCAACCGCCGCACCTCGTCGCGCAGAAGCTGTCGTATCCGTGCGCCTCGCATGCCCATCCATCCTGCCGTTGGCATGCTCTCGGCCCCATGCACTTTCACGGCCACACCGGCAGACGACCGGCCGTACAGCTCCATCGATGTCACCCCCACAATGGTAAGCCACAGCAGGTCGTTGTCCTCACGTCCCAGCTCTGACGCTAGCGAGTATGCCATTGACGAGATCGGTTCCGAGTACGAGGCTCCCTTGCGATAGTACTTGCGCAGCACGGCCTCGTTGCGCGCCCTCAGCTGCAGAAGGCGGCGTCGAAGTGTGCGTGCGGATGGCGCCTTCTTCGTCTGCCGCACCGGCAGCTTCAGTTGCGGGGCTTCGGTGGGATCGACATCGTTTCTTGGCGGCGGGCCTCGTAGCACGAGCAGTGGCCGTGATTTTGGACGTGCTGGTAGTGCGATCGGACTCGACTGCACGCATGTTAGCGGAGAAGGGAAAGCCTTCATCTCCGGCAAGACATACCGAGTTGCTCCTTCTTCTCTGTGCCGGGCGGTTGTCGTCCTCGCTGTCCGGCTCGTCGTCATGGTCCGACAGAGACTTGCGCTTCTGTCCAGCGCGTGCTGCTGGCTCTGCCTCCCCGTCTGCGCTCTCAACATCCTCTTCGACGTCACCGTCTTCGCCGCTCTCGGTGTCGCTGGCTCCCAAGTCTGGGTCGTCTCCGTCCTCGTCGACCTCAGGCATGTCTGCCAGAGCCAGATATGCATCCCTCTCCGCGTCGAGATCATCCTCGACGTCGCCGTCGTCAAAGACCACGAGGCCGCCCTTGCCTGGCTTGTAGGCGCGCTCAACGCGGCCACCCTTGACGCCAGGAGGCGCCCGGGAGCTCGCCGTGTCGTCCAGGCCCTCGATTGCAGGCTCAAGCGGAAACCCGCCAAAGACGTTGTTCAAATTCCACGGCCGATGGGCATCCAAGATCCAGACCTCGACGCCACCATAGGCGAGGTCGCCGCCGGCCGACTGCTCGTCGTCTGTCTCCAGGCCAAAGAATGTAGCCAGGTCCACGGTGCCGCCGACGCCGAGACATATCACGACACCACCGTTGCCACCGCGTGTCTGCATCATGGGAGCCACAAGCTCGCGGCCGACACGGGCCAGATCCGCATAGCCGGCCACAGGTTGGATCTTGTGCGGTATGTAGTCATGCTTGAGCAGGCTCGTGAGGACCCGGCAGGCACAGAGGGCGTCAGGTTCGAGAGCCACCAGTAGTAGCACGGGTGGAGAGAGTGGGTGGCACGTATTTTGCAGATGCAGATACAGCTTTGAGATCAGTGAGCGTGGCAGATACATGTTGTCGAAGGGGACGCGGGACGCATGGGTGACGGGCGGAGGCGAGAGGCGTCTTGGGAGGTTCCTTGACTGCGTCGGGCAGGCTGCTGGCCGGCTGAGCCCCCAAGGGCAACGGCTATCGGAAGAGGGAAAAACAGTTGTGGTAAGATAGGAAGGGCAGAGGGACTGCGTAATTGGGACTGCTCTCGGAAACGCTATACTCTTCCAATAGCAATACAGAAAGCAAGATCCAATAGAAGAAACTGCACAAATGCCCAGACGCTCGGAAAAATAAGAAAAAAGCGAATGCGTAGTATGGTGCGTGAGGTGACCGGCAGGACAATATTTAGAGTGGTGCGTGGTAAATCGCCAAAAAGCATTTATTATGGCGACGCGATTCTGCGCCATCGAGACGCGACGGGTGAAGACCCACAGCGTCCCTTTTGCGAGGCCTTGCACCAATCCTCGCCGCGAAAAGTGGGGTTTGGCTACAGGCACTTAAAGAGCTGCCAAATGGCGTTAAATGGGCGTTCCCTTGAACACCTCCACTGCAGAGACCGCTGAAGAACGATCTCCTTTGCGCCACGATTTGGATCAGCCTTTAAGATGGCTTCTGGGATTGATCTCTGGAGAGCTATGTGGCGTTATCAAGGACGGAAAAAGGGTTCTTAGACTGACGCGGCCTGTCGTCCATCGTCGACGGTTGAGATAGCCGTTTTCGCTTCTTGTTTGATCTTTTCCTTCGTGTCCCGGGCAGGAAGTCAATTGGGCTTGGCAGTCCGGCCATTTCAGAGATCAGGTCTAGTGCCCCAGACTCGCGCAGCCTTGCAGGGAGGTATTGAAGAGTCCGGAGTGAAGGGTACTCCTCAAGAGGGGTTACAAGGGACAGCAGTTCCCGCAGCTCTGACAGTCCAGACGTCGCCTGTTTCCAGTGCTTCTCTCCCGCGTCCTGGCCGACAAACTCTACTAGCTGTCGTAGAATCCGCAGCGAGTACAGCGTGCCCATAATCTGGGCGATCCAATGCGCGGCATTCCACGACGGCCGCTGCAGGATTCCGTCTGCCGGTGTCTCCTTGCAGAGCACTGTCAAGCAAACTGATTCTTTTGCCTGTTCTCGGGACCACTCAATGTCCTGGAACGAAGACAGTACGATCCACCATAGAGACGGCTCTTGGACCCGTGTCTGAATTTGGCGCAATATTGACGTCAGCCTGCCGACAGCCTCAGTGATCTCGAGGGCAGACGGCAGCTGGAGCTGACCTCCTAACGAGGCCATCGAAGCCATTCGCGTATACTCGCGAACTGCCAATATTCTTCGGCCTGCTACAGCTTGAAGTAGTCCGTATGCGCATTGACGAAGAGGTGCACTAATCTCCCATGAACTAGCCCGCGTCCAAGACTCCAACATTTGAGGGACAAATATCAGAATGCTGTCGTCCGGTGTACTATCGGTAGACCTTGGACGGCCACCACTAACCCCAGCTTCACAGCCGGGTGGCAAAAGACATTGCAGGACATATTCCGACATCCTCGGATCGAGGCCGTTTAGGTTGTATTGCCTGGCAGAGTCCACCAGAAGGCCTGGCGTATCGTACTGCTCCAGAAATTTCACATACTCTTCCGGATATCGGGTTACGGCCACTTGCTGTCTCGCTCGCTCGATGAGTCCGTTAATCGATAGATGTGGATCCATGAATAGCTCAAAGGCAAAGGCCTGCATGCCGTTCAGAGGACTGAGGGCCAGTCTGGACCGGATCATAGTCGGCGAAAATACCGGAACAACCAGACCCTGTGGCCCACCGGCCTCTGGTCTCCGTAGGTCGATGTCCCGGAAGAAGACGACGTTGCCATCCGGACCCAGGTCATGCACAAGCAGATCTGAGTCAGATGTGATGACGGTGCCACGTCCATTGGTCCGCACGTGCTGAGCGCAGAACGTGTCTGCCTCTCCTGGTACCAACCTGGTCATCGGTCCGTACACGGGAGAGCGGCGAAGGGCGTCCAGAACAGCAGGGACCACAAACGCCGGCGCTGGCAGCCGACCGATCGTCCGGCATGCGCCCGTCTCATAGCCGGGCATCTCACGCTGGTACGATACGAAGATATCCTTCAGCTGCATGGATGTGCGGTAGGTCCGCTCCAACCGCGTGGGCCGTTTTGCCCGAGGAAGGTAGCCATCAAAAAACAAGGCCGATCTGGAACAGGCAATCGGCGTGTTAGCTAATCGGCAGGAATTTCCGCGGCAACAGCACAATGAAGCCATACATTGTGTTTCCACGGCCGCGCAGTTCGTCCAACCACACCAACGCTGCCTGGCCCAGCTGGCTGCTCGTCGCCTGGTCAAACGTATGGCTCAACGCTGCGGCTGGCTGGGGGACTGCTTGGCAGAGACTCGCTGCATGGTATGCGAGAGCCGGGCCATCAATAACGACCTGCTCTGCTTCCAATGGTCGCCGGTCGCCGTACGGCGTCAAGGTTGCCAGCAGCTTCGGGACGCCCATATTGCAACCGTGCAACAGCGACGTGCGCGAGCGTGCACTTTATCTGGAGCCTGAACGTGTTTCTTGTGATGACCTTGTTAATAGCCAGAATGCACTTGAACTGAAGCTGGACGGAGTGAAGTTGTGTTGGCCCCACTTTTGTATATTACTCATTCATTTTGTGTCTGTCAAAAACGTCAGCCAGTCTTTGATTGGTAGCTTTGCCGAAGGAAGCCAGACAAGTCCCGAAGATCGGCCACGTGAGCCCCGCAAAAAAATACGGAATAGATGAGCGCCTCCGGAGTATTTTAGACTCGAATTTTTTTCATTCCCAACTTCTCCACCGTCCTACTTCCTTTCTTTTGTGCAGAGAGTGGGAGAAAAAAAGTTGATCGACAATACCGGTGTCCTTCAATTCTTCTCTCCCACATCCTCTCCCTCTGCCTGGCATGAGGAACACGCACATCTTCGCGGGCACAAGCTGCCCCGCACTCACGAACCAGATCTGTGGGAATCTGGGCATGGCAAAGGGCGAGGCCGAACTCACCCAGTTCTCCAATGTCAGTTCTGCTGTCTTGAGACACCGCGGCTAGCGTCAGAGGGACTTGGACGCTGATACTCGTGTTCATCTTCCAGGGCGAAACCAGTGTGCGCATCCTGACGAGCGTCAGAGAGAAGGATGTCTTTATCGTCCAGTCCGGCAGTCCCAGGACGAACGACACGCTGATGGAACTGCTTATCATGGTCTCTGCTTGCAAGGGAGGCTCAGCAAGCAAGGTCACAGGTTAGTCGAGCTGGTGCGCTTCTACTCGCCGTTCCCGCGCTGACAGTAGCCTGATCACAGCCGTGATGCCCTACTTCCCCTACTCTCGTCAGTCGAAGAAGAAGTCACATCGGGGTGCAGTGACAGCACGGATGATTGCCAACTTGTTGGATGTAGCTGGTGTCAAGCACGTCATTACCGTTGACCTGCATGCCTCCCAGATGCAGGGATTCTTCCAGTGCACTGTGGACAACCTGCATGCCGAGCCGCTGATCGCGCGCTGGATCCGGCACAACATTCCCGAGTGGAAAGAATCGGTTGTGGTGTCGAAGAACGCGGGTGGCACAAAACGGGTGACCTCACTGGCGGACGCGTTGAAGCTGAACTTTGGCATGGTGACGACGGACAAGCGGAGGTGGAACAACATGACGGCGAGCATGATCCTTCACCAGTCGGAGGGCGGCCCGCACACACCGGCAGCCATTGCGAACTTCCGGGCGCTCCCCAGCCACACGCGGGTGCTTTCGGCGGGCTTGAACGGAATTACCCACTCGTCGGAGGCTTCGAGCTCGAGAGGACCGGCGCCAACCAGCGCTCCTCGGAGCGATGCAGCGTCGGTGGCATCGACCAGCGAGTCCACGAAAACCGAGGGTCCATTCGAGGAGCAAGACGGCAAGTTGCAGAGTCAAGAGAATGCGGAGTACAACGATAGGCGTGCGCGTGAAGTCACGCACGCACGCTTCATCCAAGGCCGCATTGTGCCGGACGACTTCCCATCACCAGCTCTCTCGGCCACGGGGAGCGTGGCTGAAGACGACCCGATGACGATGTCTCACGTGTCGTCGTTCTTCCAGCCGGAGTCGCACGCTCTCGGCGGCTCGGGCGACGAAGGCGAGTCCAGCTCGGACGAGGAGGCGGAGGCGAGCACACACCCGCCTATCGAGCGCATGGTGACGCTGGTGGGCGACGTGCGCGACCGGACGGTGCTCATCGTCGACGACATGATCGACAAGCCGACGTCCTGGATTGCTGCGGCCGAAACGGTGGTTAAGAAAGGCGGCGCACGGAAGGTGTACTGCATCGCCACGCACGGCGTCTTTGGCGGGGACTGTCTTAAGCAGTTGCAGGCTTGCGAGTGCATCACCGGAATCATCGTCACCAACAGCTATCCGATCCGCGAGAATTATGGACACAGCACGAGCAAGCTGGTCGTCCTCGACCTCTCTTTTCTTCTGGCTGAGGCCATCCGGCGCAACCATTATGGCGAGTCGATGTCTCCCCTGTTTCAGCACGTTGCAGACTAGGTGGGTGGTGCGGCCGAGCTGCAGACGTACCTGTCGGCTTTCCGTTACGACATGATCAATACTACGAGCTTTTCTTTGCATGTTTTTGCTTCCATTTTTATTCGCTTTTCGCCCGAGGCCAGTCGCCGCGATCAACGAGGACGGCAGCGCAGGTACGATTCCAGGCACCGGAGTTTGGGCGAAGCTACAGACGAGCTTTCGTGGTTATCATGGGTTTACATCGGATTTTGGCACTCTTCCCCACGGATCTGTTTGCTTATGGCGTCAGACGGATGACAGGCGGTCTAAACGGATACCTTTACAGATGATATGCTTTCTGTTCAATTTACACATCAACAGCTCGTAGTGTCCTGTTTGCATTGTGCACGAGAAATCACCAGCGTTGCTGCCTCAGGGCAGCACGGACTCGATGTCTTCCCAGATCGAGTTCGTAACGGACCGTTGGAAGAACAAGACGTCCTTTTGGACGATCGATCTATGAAGGCCTTCCGCTTCGGCGTTCTGCCAACCCTCTTCGGAGTGGCATGGGCGGCGGGCAAGAGAACTCATCGGACATGCAAGGCGTAGTGCAGTATATTGGCAGCTTAGTACTCCGTATTGGTATATAATGCAAGCATTTGAAGTACAACCTACTCCGTACAACGTACGAAATGCCTGATAAGTGATAAGACGATGCTTACTAAGCAAACAACATATTTTGTAGCTCTTAAACAGACGTCAACAGCCAAGCTCACAAGACAAGACACGACTCAGCAGCAGTACCAAAGGTGTCTTTCCCGACCAGACCGGCCACGATGTCGGGCGACTTGAACTCATACATTGCGTCGCGCTATCTTGTTGCGGAAACGAAGCCGTCGAAGAAGCGGAAGAGAAAGCAGAGAGGACTTGCGGGCGACGGCCTCTTGATCACAGATGATGACGAATCCGGCTGGACGAAAGGGAGGGGCGGAGGCGATGGGGACGACGACGGGATGGGGGGCCTGGGTCCAGGTGCAGCGACAGTAGCGGGCACGTCAGTCGAGTTTCGCAAGACGAAGAAGAACAACTGGAAGTCGTTAGGGGGCGACAGTGGCTCGATGACGACGAAGACGACGACGACGACAGCGAAAGAGAGTCATGGTCGAAGAGCGGGCAGCGACGAAGAGGCAGCGGCAGCAGCAGCGGCAGACGCGATCATATCGGCAGCAGCAGCGGACACAGAGGCAGCGCTGGCCGCAGAGGACGAGGCGCCGGTGATGATGAGCGACGGGACGCACGCGGGCCTGCAGTCAGCGGCGACGGTGACGGCGCAGCTGGAGCGACGACGGCGCGAGGAGCGAGAGCAGTACGAGGCAGAGCGGCGGGAGCGACGGGCACGACGACGAGAGAAGCGGGCGGCCAGCGGCAAAGAAGACGACGACCGGTCCGAAGGCGAAGAAGAGGTGGTGTATCGCGACGCGACCGGCCGACGGGTCGACGTCGCGATGCGGCGACAGCAGGTGCGGCAGGCGGTACAGGCGGCCGAGCAGAAGGAGCGAGCAGCCAAGGACGCGCTTCGAGGCGACGTGCAGCGCGAGGAGGCACGACAACGCCGCGAGATGCTCGAAGAGGCCGCCCTGATGCCGGTAGCACGCGGCGTCGACGACGAGGAGATGAACCGCGAGCTCAAGAGCCAGATGCGCTGGAACGACCCGATGGCGCAGTTTCTGCAGCGAGAGGAGCCGACGGCGGCAGCAGCGGCCATCTCTGCGACAAGAGGAGCAGCTGGCGAATCGTCTCGGAACAGGTCCAATCGGCCGGTCTACAAGGGCCCGGCAACACCAAATCGCTACGGCATCCGGCCAGGCTATCGGTGGGATGGAGTCGACCGCGGCAACGGGTTCGAGGCAGAGCGGTTCAAGGCAATCAACCGACGCGAACGGAACAAGGGATTGGAATATGCCTGGCAGATGGACGCGTGAAGAGCTGAGAGGGAGGTAGCCGGACATGAACGAGAACAGCTGGAGGGAGAAAGCTGACTGACCAAGAAGGATTTCAATGCTAGACACTTCAACTAGGCCCATTGCTCAGACTGCCATCTGCTCTAAATAATGACAAATACCCACCCAAAAGATCTACCCTCACTCCTTCGACACTCTGGCCCGCAGAAGCTTGTCCTCGCCAAAGACGGCATTGTCCTTGACCAGCTTGATCCAGTCCTTACGGTTCATCTGGTTCGGCCCATCGCCCACACGGTTTCCAAACATCCGAAGCAGGCCGCTAACCGTGATGCCTTCGGGCACAGAAAGAAGCATGCTGATGATCTCGGCCGCATCCACCTTGCCGCCATTCGGCGACGCTGCACGCGACGGCAACGAGCCCCCGATCGGCGATCGCGGTCTTCCTGCCAGCTGCCCTTGCGACGCCGTGTTCACGTTCGTATTCGCAATCGCGTTGGGGCTCGAGGCCCGTGATCCCGTCGGCGTGTTGATCGCGCCCCCCGACTTCTTCACAAATTTGATCCGGTTCTTGCCACCGGTCGTCCCATCCGACATCTCGCCAGCTGTCCCCTCACCATCGCTCAAGGCTCCGCCCTTCACCAGCGACCGCGGCTGGCCTGTCATCGGCGTCGTCGACCGGCTTGGCCGCACCGATCCCATCGCGTGCTTCTTCACCTTCTTGCGCGTCGACTCGTTCCCGCTCGATTCTGACAGGTTCGGCGATCCCGGCCGCTTCAACGACTTGCTCTTCTTCGCCCCCTCGCCCACCTTCGCTTCCACCGTCCTGTGCTTGCCCGATGGCGTCGTGCTTCCCTTTGGCGTCCCGCCCGTCGTCCCGGCCTTTTCTTTTTCCTTTTCCTTTTCTTTCTCCTTCTCCTTCTCCTTCGCTTCCGCCTTAGCCTTGGACTCTTCGTCTTTCTTCTCGCTGTCCGCCTCGTCGTCCTCATCGTCGCTCTGTGTCCCTCGTGTTAGTGACTGTCAATCGTAAAGCACAAACGCCAGGGCTCAGGCACAAACCGAGAGATCCAAAAAATCCTCCTTCTCAGAGTTCGTGTCCGAGTCCACATATTCTAGGTACTCCAGGTGGTCCTCCCGCTTGGCCAGTGCCTTGCGGAGGTGCTTGCCAAGCTGTCGCGTCTTCTTTTCCACCTTGTCCTCTTCCTCTGCCTTGTCTACCTCCTTCTCGTCCGCGTCGCCAAACAGATTCGCCCCAAGATGGTTACGCCGCAGACGCTCTCGCGTCACCTTGGAGTCCTCGTCATTGTCCGGCTCCAAGTTGATATTCTCGTCGTCGTCCTGGAACTCATCTCCCTCCATGTCGATGTCGTCGTGTTCCATCTTCTCCGACCGCGGTGCCGATCGGAAAGTACTGCTCTCCTGCTTGACGCGAGACCGTCCGCCAATCGTCCTCCTGGTCTCCTCCAGCTCGTCCTCCTGCTTCCGCTTCTCCGTGTCGCGCATCGCCCACCGACTGGCGCTCATCTTCTTGCTCATGATCTCCTCCGCCTGCTCGATCGAGTAGGCCTGGAAAGGCGGCTTCGGCGTGAACCGATAGAACTTCTCCAGCGGCACCATCCGGAATGCCGACCCGCTGATCACCAGCGCAACATTTGCCTCTGACAGAGCCGAAATGTACGACCCCACCCACACGTTTTTCCCGTCTGCATCCTCCAGGTGCCACGGAAGCGCCTCTTCGTACCGGATCTCTGACTCCTTCTTCTGCTCCGCCGTGTTCTTTGGAAAGTAGAACTGGAACTGCTTTTCCTTCTTCTGGTTCGGTGGCGGCTTCTTCGCGTTGGCTTCCTTTGCAACAGGCGCAATTTGCGCCAGATCTACCTGCCGCTGTGCTTCGCGATCCGCACGCTGTTGAGCAGCCTTCTCGGCTTCCGTCTCGTCCACCGTGGCCGCCGCTGCCGGCGCCTCTTGTTCCTTGACCGCACGCCCTGGCGCCGGCTGCCGTGGGTCTCGACGGTGCAACGACACCGGCCGCGTAAAGTCGTCTTGGTTCGTAGGATCGATCTCGCCCTCGGCATCCCCGCCCTTTCCCCCCTTAGCAAATCGCATCACATGGTAGCGGATGCCTTCTCTCAGTGCCCGTTTCGTCGTCACAACCGGAAAGTCGCGGTATGCCGTTGTTGGGGCCGGGTCTGTCCATCCGCCGTTGAGGCTGCGCTGTGCTTCAAACGACACCTTCTTCGCCTCGTCTTCCGTGTTGCTCAGATTCACCGTCCGCGCTTCCGACGGGAGGCTCAACGACGTCACCCCATTTCGGATCGCCCCCGAGAGAACGCTCGTGTTGCGAACCGAAGGAGGCCTCTGCAGCGGCTTTTTTCGGGCCACCAGCGGGTCGACAACCCGCTTCCGTCGCAGCATCGGGTTTGGCGGTCCTTTGCGCGGTGTCTGTGCCGAGTTTGGTGGCCGGGCTGCGCCGTTGGCCTGGCTAGCCTGTCCGGTCGGATTCGCGCTCATCGTGACGGAGGATAAACACGCTGTTTGCACGTCGAGGAAAGCAGGCAATGCCCTTGACGCTTGCTTCCGAGTAATCGCCACGCAACAGAGCGACGCGCTGCCGACCGATGAGAGCAGAGGATGGTACTGTCAAAGTACCGACAGCTGCGATGTGGATGGCCGGATAAAGCCTGTTGAACGCGCACTGAAAGAGCAAAGTTCAAACAAGTCGCTTTGCGGACCTAAATCATGACGAGCAGCATAGTGGGGCTTTCTAGCATAGCTGACCAATCGCACGCTGTGGTGTACAGTCAGTGCTTTGTATCCAGAAGTATCTAGAGCTGGAGCTTGGTGCACTTTCTATTGTAGGCCCACACCATCTACTTTGAGCTACATACCTACTGCTGCAGCTAGTTAGTTAATCCGCAAACAGAAACCAGACGACTCACCTCGAAGCGGCAACCACGAGCTGCGCGAGGAAAGACCTGCCAACAACTGTTGGGCCCAGCGCGTTTGGCCAACAAAGCACAAAAAACTTCGACAGAACACAGCGCAACAATCGCAGAACACCTCTTCCAGCTCTGCCCACCAACAGAGCTGAATGCTGCAGACCCAATCTTTATGTTGGTCCCCTTCCAAGTCTGATCACTCTCGGCGACGCTATTGAAGGTAAGGGTTGTCAAGACCAGCCAATCGCTCAAAGCTCGTAGTCTGTTCTCGGGCCACGACCTCAGTCTTTGAAGTTGCCGACAAAGAAGCTAACTCTCCACCAGAAGGGCCATCTGCTGTCAAATCCATGGCTAGTTGCTACAACTCAAACTCTGCATTGCCATGTTTCACCAGCAACAGAACGGAGGGGGTGGAGGGAATGGCGTGCCGAATGCGCAGCTCGAAGACCGTCTCCGAAATCTGATACTGGCCAACAATGAAGCCACGCAGGTTCCCTCCGCTGCTTCTTCCACCGGTGCAAGCCTTGCCCCTCCTCTGGAGCATGGCGAGCCAGCTTCAACGGACACTGCCAAACCTGGCCAGCCCTCGGTTTCTCCACGGTTTGCGCGAAAGCGGCCAAACCAAGCTCAGCGTAGGCAAATGTCCGCGCAGCTCTCAGTTCCTGTTGCCTGGCAGTCTACTTCTTCCCATCCTGTTGGGGGTTATGCCAACACGCCGCCATACGGCCAACATCAGTCCCATCCCCGTCACCAGCACAACAACCTGAACAGCCAGAGTGGCTACCAGCATACATATCAACGCCCTCAGTCTGCCACCATACGTCCGTCACAGTACGGCAATGGCCACATGACATCGACAGGGTTTCCTGCTGGCGAAAATGCGTATCCTTCTCAGCCTCGTCACCAACAGTCGCAGTCGTACCAAGGGCCCGTGACGTATGAGGACCCGTATAACTGGAGGTCTCACCAGCCGGTCGCTTCCTCGTTCAACAATCCATCGTCGAGAAACTCACGACCTCCTCACAATCCGAATGGTCGCCTGTACCACGCCAAGCCCGAAGACGTCGAGGCACAGTCCACTTTGCTGGAGAGCCTCTGTGAGCAGATCCTCGCTTCTGCAGAGATCGAGCCGGCCGAAATCCAGGAAAAAGAGAACTTCCGTGCACACATCGAGCTCCTGTGCCAGGATGCTCTTGCCAAATATGAGCATGAGGTCAACTGCAGAGCCGATTTTGCTCCTCTCAGCGTGCGGCTGAAATGCTTTGGCAGTTTAGCGTCCGGTTTTGCAACCAAAGCATCGGACATGGATCTTGCTATTATCTCGCCTCTGTCTGTTCCTCAGCCGGATTCCTCTGAATCGCCCATCCCTCGACTCATCGAAAAGGCTTTCTTGGAAGCTGGTCTGGGAGCACGGCTTCTCTCTCGGACACGCGTTCCGATCATCAAGCTATGCGAGAGTCCACCCGAGCAGCTGCGTATTGACCTGCTCGACGAGCGTGCAAAATGGGAGAAAGGAGTGCTTCCTGAGCATGACGACCTAGACGCCGATGATGATGCGGTAGAAGATTCTGAGCCTTCCACGGCCCGCGCCGGTGATCATTCTGCCGGGGACGGCAAGCCAAAGCATGCCCACAAGGAATCAGACCTGGACGACGAGCACCATGGTGAGGGTAGGTATGGTCAGAGTCTTGGCGGTCTCAAGCAGCCGGCCAGCCAGAGCCTGGGCAACTACTACGCCACAGCGAAACGCCTTCTGAGGAAAATAGGAGGGCGCGACATCACGCACTCAACTGCTCGAGAGTTTGCCGAAAAGGACCTGAAAATCTTAACCGACGTTTGTCATGCGTTTGTGTCCGGCCTCGCGGACGAAAACCTAAAGGGTCGTCTCTGGGAAACCAGGTCCTTGGCAACGTCCGACACGCCTTCGCAGCTTAATTACCGCTCGCTGTACGGCGTGTACATGCAGGTAGAGGGTGAACGGCTGGCGATGTTGTGGGACTCGCGCGAGATTCACGAGAAAGATGCTCACCAAGAGGACGATGCCTGCAACAGGATTCGAGCCTGGAAGGAGCTTCAAAACAAGCCTGGGTTTGGCGTCGATCTACTTACGTACAACAAGGAGCTACAGGTAGCCGTTGAGAGTCTGAAGAGAATTGCGTCTCTTCAAATCATCACGCTGGAGCAGGGCCAGTTTGAGCCGGCTGCTCAGTACTACGACAGGACCAACAAGCTGCTTCTACACATTGGGGGCAGGGATACCAGTGCCCCTAGCAATGCCGTCCTGCCATTGATTATCCGCCACTACGTATCTGGAATTTCGAATGCCGACATCCGGGAACAGGTGCAAGAATTTTCCCAGTCTATGGACAAGCCCAGCTTGCGAGTCGTGGCGAGAAGACACAAGAGCCTACAGCTTGCGGTTGAGTTCGAGAGGGCCATTGGGAAAGGCTACTACGATGCCAGCAGCACAGAAGACATTGAGGCGTATATCAGCGTGCTTCGGATGCCTCTGCAGAAGTGTGATCTACCCGGTCGTCGGTTCGACTATCTGATTCCTCGAAACTCGGATACGGCGGCAATTATCTCGCGGGCAGGTCTGCTAGCCGACCCGTCTAAACTGGCGCCAAACCAGCCACGCGACCCCTATCGCGACCGACTTGAGTTTCCCAAGACCGGGACGGGTGTGCAATGCGACATCAACTTCTCGGCACATCTCGCACTCCAGAACACTCTGCTTCTTCGCTGCTATTCGCATACGGACACCCGGGTGCGGCCCATGATTCTGTTTGTGAAACACTGGGCGAAAATACGAGGCATCAACACGCCGTACCGTGGGACGCTTAGCAGCTACGGCTACGTGTTGATGGTGCTTCACTACTTGGTGAACATTGCGCAGCCTTTTGTTTGCCCCAATCTGCAGCAGCTTGCCAAGCCGGTCCCGGAAGGCCTCTCGGCCGACGAGATAGAGGACACCGTGACGTGTCGAGGGCACGACGTGCGTTTCTGGCGCGATGAGGAGGAAATCAAAGGTCTGGCCATGAGCAACATGCTGAACCAGAACAAGGATTCTGTCGGACACTTGCTGCGTGGGTTCTTCGAATACTATGCGCAGAACAACTTCATGAGCACGGTCCCGTGCCGTGGCTTTGACTGGGGCCGAGACGTGCTGAGCCTTCGCACGCCGAGCGGCCTGCGGTCAAAGCAGGACAAGGGCTGGACGGGGGCCAGGACGGTGCTCGAGGTACGGGACCAAGCAGCGATGCCTCCATCTGCCGCTGATCAGCCGCCGACCATTTCATCACAGGTTGATAGTATGGCGAGTGTTGCTGGGTCTGGAGGCGATCAGCAACCGCTTCAGTCATCCTCCGAAGCGAAAGCGGGACAGACAGCCTCGACCAGGAGTCCCAAGATGGCCAAGGCAGTCGAGATGAAAGAGGTGAAGCACCGGTACCTGTTCGCCATTGAGGACCCTTTTGAGCACGACCACAATGTGGCTCGCACGGTGACTCACAGCGGCATTGTAGCGATCCGGGACGAGTTCCGGCGAGCGTGGCGGATTATCAAGAACCTGGGCAAGATGGCCGACGAGAATCTGTTGGAGGACGTGACGGACAACAAGGCGAAGGAACGCGATCACTTTGCGGAACTGCTGAACGACATCCACGGACCAGAGCTGTCTCTGCACTAGCGAGTTGAAGGACGCATGCACATTGTACGATAAGGTAGACGTGGGATGGGAACGTGGGCTCACGAACAAGGACCAATGGCTGCATGGCTATACGAACGTGGTTCGGAAAAGTTGAACGGAATGGACAGGGCATCGAGTAGCCGTGGACGGATTTATGTATGTGGAGATGTTATTACGAACAAATGCAGGCGTGTCAGACGACAAAGGCGTATCAGCAGTGCGGAATGCAGAATGCAAACTTGACGCGTCGGTATCAGTCAACAGGCTGTGTTTCTGTTGTGCTCAACGGGTGCCGGCGACGAGCTAATGCAACTACTCCAGCCTAAGGAATCTGGGATTGTGACTGTTGTGCCGCAGCAAGATAAAGCAGGCCGTCGATCGATCTGGCTGATAAGGATGGCGTCAGACGGCGGCTTGACTCTTCGGGATGCTTTCGGCGTTGGCAAAGGAAACGAAGCATGACGCCATGCAGGGCTGTTGTGCTGTTGTGACCAAAATAGATCGCAGCGGATGAAGCGCGCCAAAAACAGAGGGAAGACGGGGGGGGGTGTTGGCCGTCCTTTGTTCTCAGAGAGGCTGCACGACTTGCGCCACGGGCTTTGAAAACACAGGAGAGACAGTTTGCTCTCCCTTTATGGCTGCCTCCAATCTGCCTATGACAGGGAAGCCTAGGGAAGCCTAGGAAAGGCTGGATGACCGGGGCGATAAGGCTTCCGCAGCAGAACAGCTTGATGATGCGTCGCAGCTTCCGCTTTGGGCCGTCCGGCTGGCTGCGGCGCAGCAGGTCGTAAGACAGGGTGAGACAGCAGAGTCGCGCCTGCCATGCGGAAGGGCGAGCGAGCGAGCGAGTGACGAGGCAGCTGCTGGTTGCATGCAGAGACGTATCAGATGATGGCGGGCTCTATCCAGCGTCAGCCTGACCGGAGCAATACTATGTAACTTACTCGTAGTACATCTTACAGGCTCTCGTGCAGCACATCCCCCCACGACCCGCCCCCGGACAAGTGACCTCTGGAGGCGGAGGGGCGTGTCTGCTGGACGGGACAGTTCAGTGCTGTGTACTACTCCGTATTATGTATGCGTCCTATTAAAGACCCTGTACCACATCTTGGCTTGTGCACGCAGTGATCATCGCAGATATCGGCAACAAAGGCTAAACACGCGCTGGACGTCTCGTCGATTCATCAGCAGCCTCGCTCTCGTTCGCTTTCCAACAGACCGCTCCGATTCGCCCCCTTTCTGTCTCTCGGTCACAAAGAAACGGCCCTGTCGCGCGATCCTTTCCGGCAACAGCGCGCTCGTGTAGACATCCTTACATACTGTACATACCCCCCTATCGCTTATCGCTTATCAGCCAGCCGTATTGGCCCCCGCATCAGCGCCAAATCACTGCCGACGGCAATGGTCATTCGTCACTTCCCCCTGATAGCTCGAGTCATCCGGTCGCCGGGAAAGTAACTCATACATAGCAGCAACTGTCAAAGCCAGCCAGGTTCCTACACCTCCAAGCCTCCCCTAAAACGCCCTTTGCCGAAACGCCAACTGCTGGGATGGTTTAATTGCTTTGTTTTGTTCCCTTCCTCTGTGGCCGAAAACCCCGTGAATCACCCCTGTTACTCCCGACCTTATAATAACTTGCACAACTCCCTTCCCCTGACTTTGCTTCTCTTCCTCTTGCTTCCAGAATCATCCAGACTGCCTAGAAGCTGTTGCCGACCTTCCAATCCATCATCTGTTCACCGACTCGTGCTTTGCCTGACTTCCTTCATCGCCACGTCCTACCGTCGTCGTCCTTGTCGTCCTTGTCGTCTTCATCGTGCCATTACCAACCCTAGAGAAAGGCATCCCCCCCCCCCCCCCCCCGACCGTATAGAACCATTGCACACCGGCACTCGCCCGTTCGCCTCTCCATCTGTCCTCTTCTCGTCACCTTCCCCTAACATCATCCGTATCCCACTAAACACATCTGCCATGGCTGCCTTCGAAACCTTCCCCGTCCAGTTCGAGCGCGACCTCCGCAGCGCACATAAAGACCACAAGCGACAAAAGGATGCTGCCACCAAATGGGCTTACGGCAGCCGCGCACTTCCCGGTAACCGGGTGGATGCGTTCACCGACGAAGTCTTTGATGGCACAGGAGCCAAGGCAACCAAGTTCCGACCTCGCCACAAGTGGTCCGATATGTAAGCATGCAATCACTGTCGCTGTCTGTCGTCGGACAACATGTCTGCAGTTGCTGATCTGTCCTTTTCGTTCCCTGCAGACGCCACAGCTCGGTCAAGCCGAATCCCAACATCGTCAAGTACAGCCGCAATAGTGCCAACTGGCTGCTGCCAGCCTCTCGCGTCCGCGTCAGCACAAATGCCTATCAGGAGATCAGGGACGCGTCCCGATCCGATCTGATCTGGTCGCCGACACAGCGGTCAGCAAAGAGCTTCGGCATCACCGTCAACTCCTCAATCTCCCCAGATGTCGGCTGCAGCAGCGGCTTCCTGTATAGCTTCGACAACACCGACTCGCCGCCGCCCGTCATGACGCTCGACCTCTTTGTCAAGCCCAACGTCCGGGCCACCGAGATGCTGGTCGAGAAGGAATATGAGGTGATTGATCGCAACGGCGATTCCCTCAAAGGCCGCAAGGCCCGCCAGGTCTTGCGCAAAGCCGCCGCTTCCGGTGCATCCCGCACTGCTCCTGTCGCTGCTACTCCCAACCTCATTGAGGTCGTCGACGAGGAAGACTTTGAGCTAGTCTAAGTCGCGAATAGTAATCGGGGATCGCGGCCTCTCTCGTCGTCTTACCTCTCCTCTCATCTTCGTTATCTTCAATCTTTCTCATCAGCCATGGCCCTTGTTCTTTGGTGGCTTTTTGGAGTTTAGGGTGCGAGCTTTGGTGGATAAGTCGAGCAGACGCAGACCCCAGTCTGTTGCGAGTGTTTTCGGCGGGCGTAGACCATGATCTATCTCCTGTCGTTCTCTTCCCAGATACTTCATGTGTCATGAATCATGCCTAGACGGAACGCAAGCGATTCTGTCTGTTGGTGGCAGAGTTTCGTGTCCGGTCCAATTTCGATTGTTTGTTTGGGTATTGGCCTTTTGGGCCATAAACTTTGCGAAGGCGGGCTGCACTGAACGCTGCATTCGCCAGAAGACACATGTCTCCCTTTCTTCCCTGAACCAGATCCTCGGGAGACATACTGTTCTCTCAGAGGCTGGGATTGATAAACCATCCTATCTGGGTGCAGATAATGTTTCTTAATAGTTTATTGCTGCGTCACTTGATCGCAGCAGACAATAGCGCTTGCATAAAATAATACCGCATTCCGCATGGATGCTTCCATTCGCAGCCCATTAGACGGTTTCTCTTGAGAAGGGTGAGAAGAAAAATTTTGCACTGCAAGGAGGAGAAAGAATATTTGGTGCGAAATGGGTAAAGTACTATTCGCTTATATACATATATGGCATCAATATCCTCACATGCACCCCGCCACAATGGACTACACGTTGGATTAAGTCATAAGTAATCTATCATCAATGGTATCTCGCATAGAAGATCCGCCAGTCCGTCATGGCGCCGGCAAGGCTCGTCGCCGCTGCTGCTCCTGCCATGCACGGCGGCAGACGGCCTTCATGACGCGCTGTGGCGCCATGCGGCCAGTCATCAGCTCAAAGGACTCGATGGCCATCTCACTAACAATCTCCAGTCCGTCAACGACGACCCAGGCGGGCGACGCGGAGTCGCCGAGGGCCTGCATCTGTGCCACAAGAGGCGTGACCAGGTGTTCGTACGCGAGCTATACGAGGTCAGCATGCAATATGCAATATGCAATAAACAGAAAAATGAGCGTCGGCATCGCCATCAGCTTTCTCACCTCCACCACGACGCCGCCCGTCGGACTGGTCAGCCACTGCTTCGGCATGCGGAAGTCGGCCTTGGGGCTGCCGTCCGAGTTGACGGCCGGCACACACGACACAACCATGGTCGGCGGCTGGTATTCTGGCGGCCACGGATCGTCGACAGAGTTGAGCACGTGACATATTTGGCGATGCGCCTTGTCGCTGCTGCCGTTCGCAGCAGCGCCTGCGCCGGCCAGCGCCAGTCCCTGGGCCCAGTCGTCAAAGTGGCGGGCCACGTCAAGGGCGTGCTGGCGGGTGCGGTTGTAGATAAAAATGTGGCGACAGCCCAGCTGGATGAGGGCGTAGATGGCGGCTCGCGCCATGCCGCCGGCGCCGATGACGAGGCCGGTGGTACGGGAAGGCTGGACGACGTTGCGCGGGCTGATGGCGCGCTGCAGACAAATGTAGATGGAGCGCCAGTCGGTGTTGTCGCCGTAGAATTCGCTGCAGGAACCGCCGCGATTGCGGGCGTTTGCGTGGTCAAGCACGGCGGCCGAACGGCCACGCAGCGGTAGGATGACGTTGACGGCGCCCAAGGCGGCGGCATGCTGGCTCTGCAGCTTAACGTACGGTAGGATGGCAACCTTGAAGGGTGCAGCCAGCGTGGCGCCGCCAAAGGTCGTGTTGGCACGGGTGCCGAGGCTGAGGAAGAGCCGGTTGAGCTCGTCGAGCGTAGAGCACTGGGCGGCCCGAAATGTGTGCCACAGGCCGGCAAAGGCAAAGGCAGCCGTGTTGACAGCCGGTGTGATGGAGTAGTCGATGTGCGAGCCAACGGTGAAGAAGTCGAGGGCGTCCAGACGCCGCTCGCGGAACATGTAGCTGAACAACGAAGCCATCGTGGTGACGGTGGCAAGATGATCACCGTGGCCAACCGAGCTGGGGTGCTTAACGGGCACGAAGATCCGATTTCGGCTCGGTGTGCACATGCCGAGGATAGAGTAGTCAAAAGCCACCAGCAGCGGCTTGGGATCGGGCACCAGGACGTCCAGCCGTGCCGTGAAGTCGGCCGAGGACCCGGACGGCTCGCCACCACTTCCGCCGCCACGATTGAAGCGCACAATGCGCACGATACTGCAGCCGAGGGCCATGGCACGCTCGTAATTGTGCAGATGCACGTCAGATGACCACGGCGGCGCCTCCAGGCCGGGAAACCAGAAGTTGCCCATGACGGCTGTGCGGCCACGCTGGGCTAGAATGCGCTGCACCAGCTCGTCGCTGCGCTGCAGGTCCAGGCTGATGTACTCGACGTTAAGTCGCAGGCCCAGCTCCAGCAGCTCGGCGTCCATGTGGTCTCGCTCAGCCAGCGTCCTGTCGCGTTCGCCCCGCGGCTTCTCCTCCACGTGGAAGATGATGGGCATGGCCAGCTTGCGGCGGATTAAAGCCACCTGGCGGGCCACCAGGTTGAACAGGTCGTCGGGCCACCGGTCGATGATGAGCTCCACGCAGTCGCCACACGCCTCGTAGTCCTCCCACTCGAGGTCCATGACCAGCAGGTACGACAGCCGCAGCCGTAGCGCGAACGAGTGGCTGCGGAATTCGGGTGGCACTGCGTTCAGCGAAAACGGGCTCTCGGCCCATTGTCTCTGCCATGTTTGACCCTGCAGGAGGTCGAGGAAGCGGGTGAAGTCTTCTTTGACGCAGAGCAGCCGCGACACCGAGTGGCGCTCCGGGCTGTTTCTGCCGCTGCTGACTCCTGTTGACAGTTTCTGGTTCTGGTTCTGATGCTCACCTGACTCAATCAGGTTGTAGTACTCTAGGTTAGAGCACCGCCGGTGGCTCTCGTCAGCTCGCAGCAGCTGGTCAGCGTCAGCGGCGTCGAGAAACCGCAGGACCTGCTCGCGCTCACGATGCACGTAAATGACCGGGTGCGAAGCGCAATACCGGCGTAGAGCCTCCTGGGCCTCACCCGTTAGGCTGCTCATCCCGCACTCGATGATGCAGCGCCGGCTGTTGGCCTCCAGCATCTGCTTGAACACCTCGGCGCTGCGCCGCACAAACACCTCCCGTCCGTGTCGGCTGAGGTATTCGGCACGCGTCTCACCCGTTGCCTGTCCAAAATAGTGGTCTTCGGTCACGAGGCGACGCCGCAGATGCAGCGCTCCGATAAAGCCCAGCGACCGCTTGCCCGCCCCGCGACAGCCGACCAGCACGATGGACGCGTCCGGGTCAAAACGGTGCCTTCCTGGTCCTGTCGGCAGCATCGCCCCAGCAGCAGCCGGTGCTGTCGCCGAGGAGTTCGACTCGGCCCTCGTCTTCGCCGTCATGGCCGCCTGCTGATGGCAGCTGGCCGATTCTGTCCTTCTTGCGCCGAGTGGGGCAGTGGTCAGGATGACTGTCTCGTCCCAGTCTCTGCAGTCTCCCTGCAGTCTCCCTGCAGTCTCCCTGCAGTCTCCCTGCTGTCGTTTTGCAATCTCTCGGCAGTCCTGCTATGTCGTCTCTTCTTCTCTCCCCAGGTTGTTGTGGGACGGCAAATTGCGCGCTCTATTAGTCGGGCCACATCGATGCCTGCGAGCTTCCTGGCGACGAACAGACCTCTGACTGCTTCTGTTTCCTCGTTTGTTCTCCTCGCGGCCTGGAACACATGCGCGTCGCATCACGCCTGGCACCAGTATGTTGACCGTCTCCAAGAAGCGCCCGCTCCAAAAATCAAAATAGGGCTTTAAGCAACGAAGAGCAACAGCAGCAATATGCTTTCGGCAGCTGCGAACCGTAATACTCTGCGGGTTATCTAGATTAACCCCGACACTACATACCGGCAAGAGCGACCGGCCCCCACCCGTCGCTCCTCTGCCGGCCAATTGGGGAAGTCGGCAAAACTCCAAAGAGGGGCTGACTAATTTTCGGGCCACCCATCGGGGCCTATCCAATGAGACACACCACGGAACGCTTCCATTCTCCACTTGACGAACCACCCGCATTTCTGCCAGGACGACATTGTCAACACGCGGAGCCAGCTGCAAAGGGACGAGGACAACTGAGCGCGGCCCGAAAGTACGCACACCGTGCGCGCAGACCTCTACCACGTGCCTGCGGAACCAGTCGACGTCAGATGCCCAGACACCACAGTCGTGACCGGCTAGGAACGTCTGCCAGCTCGATTGAGGGCTGTCGAGGCATGCGGTGGACGAGATAGTGTGCTGCCGTTGTCAGCGCGTCACTCGTCGAAACTAGGCCTGCCCTTCCGGATGAGGTCTTGGCTGTGCCAATCCCCCGACCATGGACCGGCACGATCCATATTCTGTTGTGGATGAGCTGCTGCCGCACAGTGAGTCTACTGAAGGGTCGAATGCAAATCCCCGGAAGAGGAAGAAGAGCTCGCGAGCGTGAGTCCTGTCATTCTGCCTCCGACGTCCCCGTCTGGAACCGAACCGGTTGCTCATTCGTTCCTGACCGCCTGCTAGATGCGACTTTTGCCACACCAACCACCAGCCGTGCGACGTGAGTATGAAGCCATTCTGTTCTGTCCAGGGCCGGCTCGCCGGGGCTGACTGTGATGCCAGAATGCAAAGCCAAGATGCAGCTACTGTCTGCGGCATGGCAAGTCCTGTCTCTACCTGCGCCCGCAGAAGAAGCGAGGCCCGGCACAGGGCTACCGGAGCGCGCTCCACACCATGCGTGAGAGTGCAGCCGCATGGGGCGCTGCCCTGACCCTGATCCCCAGCCTGGGTCCCGTTGTCGAGGGCTACCTGAAGCAGCCCGAGGGCAAGCGTCTCGTCCGAGCCATCCGGGACCCCCAGCAGCAGGAGTTCTTCATCCAAGCCTGGCAGCAGAGCACCGTCTTCAAGACCTTTTTCGGCGACGAAGCCGGCTCCGAGGCCGGTGATGATGCCAGCCTCTGCAACACAGCCGCTGTCGGCGCCGACGAAAATGCTGCTGTTAACGGCCTTGGCACAATCCCTCTGGCACGGCCCAAATTTACGGCAGAAAAGATTATAGTGGCCGGACACGGACAGAGACCGAGATCAGCATCAGCAGGGTTGCCCGTAAAATCAGATGCCGCTGCCGGAGAGCTATATCCACAACCTGCTTCAGTGTATTCGGAGCTGGCGTCAGAAGCCTTCTCCGTGCACGAGCAGAGTATATTAGAACTCGAACCGGAGCCTATTCTCACTCATCGGGCGCAGCAGCAACAGCAGCAACAGAGCGTTACACAGGCGCCGTTGCCTTTGCATGACGATGACGACAGGCAGTTGTCCAACAGCAGCTTTTCCGAGTTTGGGCTGGGTCCCATGTCCTTCTCAGACATTGTCGCCCGTGATGCGGCACGGTCGTGCGTACCTTCTCCTATGCTGTGTGTCTCTATGCGCGATCATGGCAGCTAACTCGGCCACAGATCGAACAGCTTCTCCCAGACGTTGGGCTCGCTGGGATTTGCGCCAGACGAGACGTTCAACGACTTCTTGGCTATTAGTTATAACCCGGACCCAGTGGCCGAACCCGCCGACGCTGATCCGCTGCTCGGCAGTGAGATGGACCAGAAGACCTATTATGAGCTACTCATGGGCAGGCAGTTTACATGAGTGGCCTGGGTGTTTGAATTGGTATATAGCAGTGGTGTATATCCTCGGCTGCCACATGTACTAGAAGGTGCGAAGGGGGCATATCACGGAAAACGAATACCGAAAGATCTAGGCGAATATTTAGATACCCTTTAAGAAGAGCACATGTATTCACTGTTCCGAGGGTCGGGCCAAATGTAAAGCTTGGCCAGACCTGCAGTGAAATTATAAATACGGGCTTAGCGAGATACAATACTAGTTGCTGTGACTCAGGACAAAATATCCACTAGTCCGTACATCTTATATGACAGCCCACCTTATACCAAGTTCGCATCGTCGACATATGAGACAAGAGACCAGTGCTCAGCATCTCAGCAACACAACATGGCACAGGATCGCCAGCTCATCAGCTCTGGCTCAGCCTTTGAGGCCCAGATCGGCTACTCACGTGCCGTCGTCTCTGGCGACTGGGTCTTTATTTCGGGTTGTACTGGGTGAGCATCTTTCTTGTCCACTTTCTTTCCCGTAGCAGGACGCCACGGATGGCTGACCAGGTCTGCTGCTATGCAGCTACGACTACGCCACCGGCGAGCTGCGCACGGGAGCCGCCGACCAGGCCGACCAGGCGCTGCGCAACATTGCCGCCGCGCTCGCCCAGGTTGGTCCGGATGTCGAGCACGAGCCGGTGACGATGGCCGACGTCGTGCGCGTGCGCTATATTCTGCCCGACCGCAACCTGTTCGCCCAGACCTGGCCGGTGCTGCAGCAATGGTTCGGCGGCGAGAGAGGCGCCCGTCCGGCAGCCACGATGATGCAGGCCGGCCTGCTGGAGGAGGCCATGCTGATCGAGGTGGAGGTGACGGCGCGGCGGCCGAAGAAGATCAGCGACGGGCTGAATCAGCGTGCTGACGTGTCGGATCCGCCCCTGTAAGCTGATGCAGGTGTCTCGCAACCAGCATATGCACAACGCACTTGTACTAAGATACAAATCTTACCTCCAAATTCCCACAGCGCTCCTCTCGGGGACCTCGCAAGGGTGCCATTGGAACAGGGGAAGTGCGGGTCCCCGTCGTTACAAAGCCACTGTTATCGATCGGCGACCTCGAGCAGAAACTGGTCCTATTGTGCATGGGTATAGTGGCGAAAGCGCCGGTGGTCTATAATATACAGCAGAAAGCATGCCCTTCTCCGCCCATCCAGCACGTTCGTCGTTCAATATATCATAGTCAGGGAAGATAATGAAGGGGATGGTGTAAAACTACAGCCAGTACAGAGTAGACTACAGTAGTAGGGCCGCAATGCCGCCCCCCAAAAAGGCCGATCCGATGGTGATGAAGCTTGGCAGAGACATCAACGACATGCCGCTGATGCCGTGACCAGACGTGCAGCCGCCGGCGATGCGCGAACCCAACGCCATGGCGAAGCCGCCCATGACAGCAGCAGAGGGCGAGATAGACAGTGAGGCAGACGAGGTTGCATTATGCGCAACAAGGGCTGGGAAGAGAGTGACAGTAGTACGGCTGCCGGCCGCGATGCCCAGCGCAAAGAGGAAAGAGTTGACGGCGGGTTTCTTCGTGCTGTCACCGCTAGTGGCCCACTTCAACCAGTCGCCAAAGTCCTCGTAGACAGCGGACACGCCTAGAGTCGTCTTGCGCACGGCCACAGAAATCAGCTGTGCGAGACCGATCAACAAGCCGCCGACAACGGGCGACAGAGTAGCGTATGAGCCGGGGCCATAGACGACAGCCGTGCCCCCGACCACAGTAGCCAGCAGGGCTTCGTACACAGCGAGTGTCACGCCTGTCGAGACGCCGAGGAGGGCAGGAACAGAGATGGGAAGGCCTTCTTCAGACACAGATGCCGTGCCAGCAGCAGTGGCCGTCTTCTTCTTCCGCTCTACACGCTCCTTCAGCTTTCGGGCCAGACGAGGCCGCAAAATGACGGCCCAGACGGCACCGCCGACAAAACCGCCGGCCAGTGCGAAGTAGCCCGAGCGAATATTGAGGGCAGACTGAGACAGCACGGTTCCTGGACAGGAGCCAGACAGAGCCATGCCAACGCCAAGGATGAGGCCACCGACGATGTTGCCGTCAAAGGGGGCGAACCAGCCACGGGTGGCGTACTGGCGAGGCTTTAAGCTGGCGTGGCCGACCGTGTTGGCGGCAGAGTTGACGAGGGCGCTGGCGGCAGTGGCCGTCAGAAAGGCCTGCAGCATGTGGTAATTCTCCCATTTGAGCTGGCCGAGAATGACAGCAGGCTGATCGACGCCAGAAGCAGTGAGGGCCGCGCCAAAGGCAGCACCGGTGATGATGGTAGCGGCCATGAGCGGCGGTTTGCGGTTTTGATTGTTTCTTCTGGTCTCTGGTGTCGTGGTGAATGGAAGCTGTGAGAGTAGAATGGATGGTGGAAAGGAGGGATGTAGGAATCACAAAATACCGAACGAGAGGGGGGAAAGGGTGGAAAAGAGCGAGGAGCGGGAGGAAAGACCGGACAGCGTCGTTCTTGCCGCTTTGAAAGATGATACGACGAGACGGAGAAACAGAGCACAGATTAAAAAAGCTAGAGACCAACGAGACGATAATCTTCCACCACCCACAGACATGTCCTTATATACACCGAAATATTGAGCATCCGATGTCTGGATGGACGGCGACGTTTGGCCTCCCTTGTAGACAGGCCATTGCCGGCGACCTACGGAGCAGAGCTGGCAGCCAAGTATCCACGACGCCAAGTCGCATCGAAGGCGCTGCCCTAATGGTAGGTGTGGGGGGAGGAGTCGAAAGATTTTGCATATGCTCACAGCACTAGCTAATGAGAGCATCTAGCTCAGAATTGTGCGATTCGGGATCCGTCCACATGCGCGGCAGACCAAGAAGCTAGATAGACAGATGGTGTGAAGAGGAAATAGGAGAACCAAAAGGTCGCCGGTTGATGGATGGCATGCTGGACAGCTCACCGACCGGTCGGGATTGTGGCGCATTGCAAGCATGTATAGCATGTGTAATAAGACGAGACTGTTCGGCGACCATCTAGTCTGCGAGACAGAAAGTCCCCACAATGTAACAAGGTATTCCGTACGGAGTACTCCGTACTCCAGAGACCTTGTTGGTTTTCGGCTCTTCACGACAGGTTCCGCGCTGTCTTTCTTCCTTGGGACAAGAGAACCCAGCAACCGGCAAGTTCAAGTTTCAGCCTTAGCCGGGGGGTGTGTTGGCAACCGACCTCTGGACAAGGATGCCGTGCATACACTGCACATCTATTCGTACTCCATCGTCATCCCCGAGACATTTGATGCATTGGAATATGTCGTAAGCCGTGTCAAAGTCTATCGAATGGGAGGCTTGGACCGGATGAGCGCGCAGCTGGCCAGTAGGCGGTACACCGTACATCCTAGTACGACGACCACGAGATCTCAAGCAAATATTGAACATATGCAGCAAGATACAGTTACAGCCGGCAAGGCTGACGAGACTATGAGGCCAAATCTAAGTTCACATCACCGTGCTGTATATTAGTCAGTAAGTCCAGCTCCCAGTACCGAGGTAGTGGGGAATGCGGGGGTATAGCAGCGTATGGGCTCCTCCTTCCCATTGTATAATACTGGCTGACGTCCAAGACAGACCCGCGGCAAGAGTCTCTGGTGGCTGCCGAATGCGGACTGCTGGCCAGTGACTTCACTTTGCAATTAGGCCAACCACACGAACAGTCTTCTCGTCTCTACCTGTTTGCAAAGTCTGTACGGAAGACGATGGCTCATTCGCTCACAGTGAAGCAGGTGGCCGGCAAACCAGGCCAGGTCTACTACCCGTGAGATTTTTCTCTCTCCATGTCTTTCACTCTCTGTCACACACACACACACGATCTACACCAGTTACTGACCGAGACAGCCTGCAGCTCAACGAAATAGCCCGACCGACGCCGGGTCCGGGCGAGCTGCTGGTGCGCATGCGGGCGGTGGCGCTGAACCATCGCGACCTGTTTATCCGCCAGCACCTGTACCCGGGCATCTCGTTTGAGCACCCCCTTCTGGCCGACGGCTACGGTATCGTCGAGGAGGTTGGGCCGGGCTGCCGGCGGCGCGACGTGGCCATTGTCGGCACGGGCGTTGTGCTGGCGCCCATCCGGCATTGGGACTCGGACCCGGACGGGCCTGAAGACGAGGCTCGCTTCACGGCCTTGGGCGCCGCCGTGGGCACGCCTGCCGGCACGGCCATCGACTACCTCTGCGTGCCGGAGGACGATCTGGAGGCGGCGCCGCCGCACCTGACGGCAGCTGAGGCGGCAGCCCTGCCGCTGGTTGGGCTGACGGCCTGGCGGGCTCTCGTGACGAAGAGCGGCATCGACCGGCCGACCGGCCACCATCGCCACGGACAAGGCCCTCGCAACGTGCTCGTCACGGGCATCGGCGGCGGCGTGGCCATGGTGGCGGCCCAGCTGGCCATCGCGCACGACTGCCGCGTGTTTGTGACGTCGGGCGACGTCGCTAAGCTGGCACGGGCACGCGACGAGCTCGGGGCCAGCGGCGGCGTCTCGTATCGCGATGCCGATTGGGACCGCCAACTGCTGAGTCAGCTGCCCACAACCGCGCCACTCTTTGATGTCGTCGTCGACGGCGCCGGCGGCGACATTGTCCGGCGTGCTAGCCGGCTGCTGCGGCCCGGTGGCATCATCGCGTCGTACGGCATGACTGTCGGCCCTCGGCTCGACTGGACCATGCAGGCTGTCCTGCACAACATCGACCTCAAGGGCTGCACCATGGGCTCGCGCGCCGAGTTCCGCGCCCTCGTCGCCTTTGTGCGCCAGCACCACATCCGTCCTGTCGTCAGCCGCGTCGTCCACGGTGGCCTCTCGCTCGCAAACCTGCCCGCCATCGACGGCCTCTTTGACGACATGAAGGCCGGCCGCCAGTTCGGCAAGCTCGTGCTGCAGTTTGATGAGCCGGCTGATGGATTAGCTGACGGACAGGCCGACCAGGCAGACTCGCCGTCCAAGCTCTAAATATGGAAAATGCACAGGAGATAAAAAAAACGCTATAATTGAGTAATACCAGCTTGTTGTAGCTGACAAATATCCCTCGGATCCATACCGAATCAATACCACGTACATGTCCTCGCCATTTTCTACTCCTCGGCCGCCTCCTCCGTCCTCCGCTTCTTCTTCTTGCGCTTCTTGGCATCGCCCTCCTCGGGCGGCACAAAGTCCTTTTCCCGCTCGCGCTTCTTGTCCTCCTTCTTCTGGTGGGCCTTCTCCTGGCGCTCGGTCTCGGTGGCCCGCTTCTTGGCTTCCTTGCTGAGGAAGTACTCGCCCGTCTCGATCTGCAGGTCGACCTTGCTCTTCTCGGGCGCCGGTGGGAAGGCTGTGTACGGCTTGGCCGCCTTGTCGGTGACTTTGAGCGGCACGCGCCGCTTGCTCAGCGTGCGCTTCTTGAAGTTGGGCAGAAACCGGTCCCAGCTCTCGGTGGCCAGCTGCGGGTCCTTGGCCAGCTCGCGCTTGACCATCAGCTCCTTGATCATGTAGATCGGATGCACGTTGGCCATGCAGTCCTCCACCACTCGGCGCACGTCCTTGAGCCCGCGGAACGGCCCCATCACCGCCACCGTACCGCCCTGAACCAGAATGTATGTCTCCGTCAGGATCTCCAGTGCCTTGAGCGTCGATCCGCCTGGCCCCAGAATCCGCTGCCGCCGCTTCACGAACCGCTCCTTGTTGCGCACCAGACTGCGGATCTTGATAATGTCCGCCGCCACGCCCTCCTCCAGCACCCGCAGCGCCTGTGGTGCCGGCACAGACCGCGACAGCAGTCGGATCAGGTCCCGTGCGTTCAGGATCGCCGCCGGGTCGTACGTACGCCGGGTCGTCTTGACCGTCATCGTACCTGTCACTAGGTCTAGCTCGCATGCAATGCCGTGCTTCTGCAGCGCCCGCGTAACGCCCGGCCACGCCTCCCGCAGGTACACTTCGCGGTACTTGGGGAACAGCGTCGAGAACGACGATTCCTCCAGAAAGCTGCCGCCCACATTGTCCTCCGGCTTGAATGGTTCCACCTTCCACTTGTCAATGTCGTCCGTGTCCCACGGCTTGTCCTTTTCGTGGCTTGACGGCATTGTCGCTGTCTTGGACCGTAAAAGGCTGGACTTTGTGATGGTCGAAGATACCGAGTACAACAACAGAACCGAATGATCGGTGCAAATGCAATGGGGAGTGCTAATAGAAAGTCTCGTAATGAGGTTCAACAGAAGAAAAAAAAGCTGCACCGGAAAATCTCGATAAGATAGCCAGCTCCAGCTTTTTTCGATTTTCAAAACTTAAAAAGTAGGCCGAAAATAAAAAGGAAAATCCAGAGCCCCATTGTAACGTTCAGCCAATCAACGCCCCGTCGCGCTATGCTCTCATGAACCTAATGAACACGTAACAACCGCGATACGGAATATTACTGGCACCATTGATAAGGCATAGTGCGAGCAGACAGAGATCTGAAAGCCTTGCAAATACATTACATGCACATGGCAAAGTGCCTTGCGGCCTGGGGCGCGTGTAGCCGCAAGGCTGCACGGAGTACATAGTACGACCAATTGCTGCATTAACTTAGGTAATTGCAGGAAAATTTTCGTAGCGGATCTTACGATGAGGTCTGAGGCCCGGGGCAAGTGCCATACACCTGTAGAAGGCCTACTTTGGCGTACAACACGCTCCGCGCCTTCTTTTTCAGCCTCCTATCTTTTTTTCGTTTTCTTTCTCAAAAACGTGTCTGCACGTCTTCGAAAGAGCAACCGTTTGTTTTCCTCCATGCTATCTCATACCCTCGCCTCACCCTCATCTCGGATTTGTGGAGTCAGCCTGCCAATCTTACCCTCAGCACCACCCGCTGCAACTTCACCCAGGGGGGCCAGACCAGTTTAAGCATCGCGCTGTTGCCTTCCGGCTTTGCCGTCTACTTGCTTCGTCAATCACGTCTGCTGTCCTCGAAACCAAACGTCACTACTCCCACATTCCAACGAACCGGTTCTCCCGATCGACGATTTCTGCAGAAGTTAAAATCGATTACATAAGATACCATATTTCGCATTTACTTTACACATCTTACATATCTACGACGTACCGGCAACTCAGACCCCCCTACACCCCCCTTGATATACCCCGGACTTGACTGGGTCGACGACGCAAGCGCTCACAGCTCCATTTGGCTGTTTGCGCACCGTGCTGTCTGCTGCAGCACACCCAGGCCCGCCCTACAACACGCTGGCTCCCGCCGCCATTTCGTTCCTCCCGCCGCCTATGTCCCAGTTGTCGCTGGCAGCTCTCCCCGATCCCAACCTCAATCTTGCCCCGCTACGAATGATGGTGGACGACGGTGTCCACGGACTATCGGCGCCGGCGCCACTGGAGCCCATCTCCCGGCCGAGCTCGGCCTCGACACAGGCATCGCTCGCCCAGCTGCCGGGCATCTCCTCTCTCGCCATGGGCGCCGGCATGTCTGGCCGGAGCTCTCCACAGCCAAAGTAAGACACCCATCGCCACATGATCACAGGAGCTCTGACACCCTTCACAGACCATCGACAATGGCAATGTCCACGGCTCTGGCAGGACTATCGGCCCTGCATTCCAGCACGTCGTCGCCGGCCGCCACATCTACCGGCGGTTCGGCTGGCAATCTGGTGAGTTTTAGAAAGAAATGGGGAACCTCGAAAGCGCGCATGCAACTGGCACCGGCTCCCGTCTCCTGTGCCTGTCTCTCCCTCTCGTCTTGTTGTGACCGGGCAATCGGCGCGATGCGAATTAGCCCTGCTAGCGTCCGGTGGTCAGCTTCGTGTACCGCTCCATGCTCCTACGAGTTGCTCAGTACGGCGTAGTTGGGCGACGATCCGTGCTTACTGCAGCCAATCCTGATACAGCAAAAGCGAGCAATCAGAAGGCGCCGTCCTAATTCCACCCCTCCCATCCTTCCTTATCAATTCTTATGTACACAGTCCCACATTTCCCATCCCCCCGAATTAAAACTGTCCAAACCACAGCAAATGTGTAATCTCATATCGGCACAACGATAAAGGTTTTTTTTGACCTCCTTATCATCTGGCCGACATCAACTCCACCGCCCCCCCTTCTTATCCTTCGCATTCTCCATTGAGATTCACAAATTCCTATCACCCTCCGACAGATTGCACAATCAGGCTCCCCCAGAGACGACCCGGGACCGCTCAGGAAGATGGCAACCATGGCTAACCATGATCGCGAAACCACGCAGCCAATATGTCAAAACTGCGCGACTTCGACCACACCGTTATGGCGGCGCGACGAGATGGGCTCCGTGCTGTGCAATGCCTGCGGACTCTTTCTCAAGCTGCACGGCCGCCCGCGTCCCATCTCCCTGAAGACCGACGTGATCAAGAGCCGCAACCGAGTGAAGACGTCGATGCGACCTGACCTGGCCATGAAGAAGAAGGTTCGCGAACCCCCTTTCGTCTTTGCGTTTCGGTGTCCTTATCTTCCTCTTATCCTCTTATCTGAGCCAGCCTGCTAACACGACCGTCGGTCCGCAGAACGCAGCCGCCGTCGCTGCCGCTGCTGCCGGCGTTGATCAGAACGGCGTGGTAGACTTGCAAAGCCAGGCTTACGCTGCCACGGCCGCGCTCACAGCGCGGCGGGTATCGCAGAAGCCAGCCAACGGCCATCTCGACGGAGAGCACTCACTGGGCAGCGCGGCCTCGGGAATGTACACGCACACGTCGTCGGGAGGCTACCCGATGCTGGACGACGGACAATACCAGAGCCAACACCTGCAGCCGTTTGGCGCGTCCGGAACGTCGCCCAGTCGTGCTGTGTCGCCTTTGAATGGCGACCGCATGGATCCGCAGAACCAGGACCAGCTCCTAGCCGCAAACTCGAGCCTGAAGACCCGCGTGGCTGAGTTGGAGGTCATTAACGACTTTATCCAGCGCCGGCTGGGCCACTACGAGCCGCCCTATGGGACAGGTCAGGACGGCCAGGACGCAAACCACCAGGCTATCGAGGCGCAGCTGCGATCACAGGTCGAGCTGCTGACGCAGTCGGAGACACAGCTGCGCTCGCAGCTCGAAGAGAGCCACCGGCGGGAGAACATGCTGAAGCGGCGCCTCGACGAATTAGAGCTCGAGCTGACCGAGTCAAAAAATGCCCTCGGCGCCTACGAGAGCGGACGGATCAAACGGCCGCGTCTCTCATCGCCGGTAGCCGACGTACCCGCCGACGCATTGGTAGAAGCGACGACAGCAGACGTTTGCGCAAACACGAAAGGCACGATTGAGGACGCTAGCCTGACCAAGGACATTGATGTCAACAATGATGTCAGCAACGGTGCCAACAACGATATCGGCAACGATGACAATAAAGCAGTTGTTTTTCCCGAAGAGGCAGACAAGAAGATGGCAGATAGCGACGAGATTGCGGCGATCGAAGCGACTAAGGACGTGCCAAACGGCGCCTCTGGGGACGAGGCCACCGTCACAATGCAGACAGCGAAGCAAGCCTTGGAAGAGACTTCCCAACTGTCAGAAGCGATAAGGCCGAGCTCACCCAAGCCATGACCTCGACTTTTGCCAGAAACCTGCTGCGGGCACAAACTATGATACCACGACAACATCCTCCCGAAGCGCCCTTATTTCCTTTCTATTTCCGCTTATTCAACTTGCTGCCCCCCATGTTCCTCTTGCCTTTGCGTCCAGCACCTCACAAAAACTCAGAGTATGGGAGTACGGGTCGATTCTGCTTGCACTGCGAGTGCTCGTAATGATCTGCTTTACTTTGCATTATCACAGGCGGCTTCTATCGTAGGGATTGGAGCAAAAGAAAAAAAGAAAAAAAAGAAAAAGAAAGAGAGAGAACCGAGAACCGAGAACTGAGATAGGGAAGCAACCTGGTTTAATCAAACGTGTCTCGGCAAAAGAACAGACAGGAAAAGAAACACATATGTGTGTTTAATTGGGATGGTGTTGGTACTGGGAAAGCGAAACTGTGTTTGGCTTGGAGAACGGAAGGAGCGGTCTTTCAGAGAGTACTCAATCAAAAGGGGAGATTGTCGCAGCTGGGATCGACAACGATGGCCCAGCTGCCACTGTTGCCATGCATCTGGCTATTCATTGTTAGTCTGCATTTTTTTTCTTCTACGGGACGGAAGAACCAGTCTTGGCGTCGTTATGCTTATATATATCCGCAAAACACAAGTGTATACACATCCTCAATCTGGTCTTTGGGGGGGTGTTTACGTAAATCACACATGCAGATGCTACATGATGACATTGCAGACTGCCAAACAATTGCCAAGTGCACCTTCACTAGTCATCGTCAGATAGGCTGAAAAAAAACAGACTATTGTTCCTTGGAGTTTCTTAGTCCGGATCGTATCCATCCTTCCTATCTGGCGTCGTCATTTGTCGATGCCGTATATCGTCCTTGGAAGGCGCTGTGCTCTTGATTGTCCGAGTTCGCGTCGCTTCACTTCTATCTCCGCTTCCCGGCTGTCACATTCGATCGTTCCCTTACTCCTCCTCAGCCTCGACGTACTTGTAACGGATGTCCTTCCATTGCCGCTAAAGCCCGAAGTTAGCCAACAGGGACCGAAAGCGCGCAATTGGGGGGTAGAAGGGGAGGGTTCATACGCCGCGGTTGATGTTGTCCCAGACCTTGTTCAGGCCGATGTCGAAGAACCTAGATGCGGAAGAAGACGGCATTAGCCTCCCTGTTTAGGATTCCTGATTGGCGGTAAGCCCAGAGGCCGACGAAATTCTCACGATTGGAAGACAAATGCAGAGCCGAAGACGACCGTAAGCATCGAGTAGTTCTTCCGAAAGAAGATGCTGTAGGCAGAGCGCGGCTGTGTTAGAAGAGAAGCACGAAAACGGCAGGACGGCGCGCATTGAGCAGGACTACGAGGCCTATCCGAGAAGAGCGACTGGCCATCAGTCAGGGAAGGGGAACTTGCTTGTAGAGGGGGCCCGTAGCAGCCTATATCGACACGAAGGGGGGGAGAGTCAGCAAGATGAGATCACTGAAAGGAAGAGTAGCGCCCCGAATCCGGGATGAGCAATGGGAGGAGGGAGCGCACCATTGTGACGAATCTGTCTCGGTGAGCGGTTACGGTGGTTATCTTTGTGTCGGGGGTGTACGGTCGACGGAACTGGATGTCGCGAGTGGTCTCGAAGTTCAGTCGGGGTTGCGGGTTTTTGCGTGGCTCGATCTTTTTTTCGGAAACTCTCGTCAATTGGAGGCTTTGCTTTTCTGGGCTAACCAACTAACTACCGACGCCTGATTGGCTCAAACTGGTTCGCCGCACTTTCCGAGTCACAGTGTCGACATACCTGTAGCCATATATTCGTACTGTCCGTTACACACAACGTCACCTGTCTCTGAACTCCAATATTTGAACTTCAATGATAACTTCGGTGACTACGACAAGTATGCAATAAGTACACTTTTCTGCCTTACATGCGCCAAAAGGTGATATGATCTTTCCAAATGTTGCTATTTCTTACGCCATGTTCCGGAATATCCTGCACGGTATCTTGTTAGCGGCTGTGGCGAAGATAGGTCACTCGCCTTCCAGGCCTCCAGTCGGGCCTACGGCCATAGCCATGGAAGATGAGGTAAGTGCGTCAATCCGGCTTGATGTTTCGTAGAGTCCAGGTCGGCACCGGATTTCCGTCTATCACAGAATCACGGGTCCATTCACTGATTATGATGGGGACGACTAAAATAGCATGTTTGTGTCTAATTTCTGTTTGGCCTTACATGTCCTCTTAGCACCTTGGGGCTGTATCAAAGAGGGAGGCCGTACAATAATTGGAGCACCTCCCCGTGATGGGACTGGCTTTAGTTCTCTGCGTTGTTTTATGGTGTGCTTCAAGCAAGGCAGAAGTCATCGACAGGCATTTCCATGTCGATCGTCGTCGATCGCCCCGGCGCGCATAGAATTGCATGCGGATGAGGTTTCAGTTAAGTTGATAATGGCAATGACGATGGTAATGACGATAGTAATAGGACACATTATCATGATAAGATACTTGAAACGGTAGCTTCGACCGTGTGGCACACTTGCCTAATGCCTGCAATTGGGCCTTCACCTTCCTTTTCTGGGACTGATCGCTCTCCTGGTGGGGATCCTCTTGCCTCCCCGGCGTCCTCGTTGTTTATGTCGTGACGTACGCAGCATCATACGGCGTGACGTACTCCTTACAAAGCTGTACGAGTACTTAAATCATTGCCCTCATCCTGCCTGATCGAAACCATATACCTAATCATCCTTATCATCTGTCTATCGTTACTCCAAGAGAACTATCCTACTCAGCATGCAGTCCATCTTCCAAGTCCAGCGGCAGGTGAGGGCAGACCTTGGCCTGGAGAAGGTTCGCGTCATTCTCAACAAAAACTACAAAGCAAACGGCACAAAGTCCTATGTCCATCTCTTGAACCGGTACGGCTTTCAGCCGACCAAGCCTGGCCCTTACCGTCACGTCAACCGCGTTCACCAGCGCGGGCTTCGTGTAACCGACATTACGAAAGTACATAAGCCAGTTGGTGGCCGTGTTCATCTCGAGAAGGTGCTCGCTAAGCACTCGGCAACAGGAGATGGGAACACACAGGCCGGCGAAGTGACTGCAGAGGATCAGCAGAATGATTCCATGTACCTGTGCGAAGTCGAAATCGGCACCCCTTCGCAAAAGCTCATGCTTGATTTCGACACAGGCTCATCCGATCTCTGGGTCTTCTCCACAGAGCTCTCTGCAGACGTACAAAAGGGGCACGCAGTCTTTGATTCGTCAAAGTCAACGACGTTCAAAACGTCCAGCGGCCTAACTTGGCAGATTGAGTATGGTGACGGGAGCTCTGCGTCGGGTGACGTGGGCACCGACGTGGTTACCGTTGGTGGCCTTGTCATCAAGAACCAGTCTGTAGAACTTGCGAAGACCTTGGCGGCACAATTTTCACAAGGTACTGGAGATGGACTGCTTGGTTTAGCTTGGCCATCGATCAACACGATCAAATCGGGTTATTCGTCCGACCCACAGCCCACTCCTGTTGCCAACATGATATCCGAAGGTGTTGTGCCCAAGGAAGCCCAGCTGTTCACCTCGTGCTTTTATGGCGAGCGTGACAACCAGGAGTCTTTCTACACATTCGGCTACATTGACGAGGACCTTGTCAAGGCTTCTGGTGCAGAAATTGCCTGGACCAGCATTGACAACAGTCAGGGTTTCTGGATGTTCCCGTCGACCTCTGCATCTATCAATGGCCAATCTATCACACTTTCCAACAACACAGCTATTGCTGACACCGGCACCACTCTTGCACTGGTGTCTGATGAGGTTTGTGAGGCGCTGTACAAAGCCATTCCGAATTCCAAATACGATGAGAAGCAACAGGGCTACCTGATCCCCAAAACCACGACGATAGACCAGCTTCCGACCGTTTCTATTACTGTTGGTGACAACAAATTCGTCGTTCAAAAAGAGGACCTTATCTTTACCCAGGCAGATGATACTCACTGGTATGGAGGCATCCAATCTCGTGGGAGCAACACATTTGACATTCTCGGGGATGTGTTTCTAAAGTCAATCTATGCTGTGAGTTCTCTGCAAGTTCGCATAAGTCAAGAGACAACTAACTGACGATGTGACTTCAGATTTGGGACCAAGGCAATGTCCGCTTTGGGGCTGTTCCCAAGATCCAGAAGACACAGACTTTGGACCCTGGATCGAGCACGTGAGGGCCATATGTTCCTAGAGCGTTGCGTTTCCGTACTGCCGATGTTACATTGAAAGGGGTAGTCTTGCATGAGTACATGATAGCCTCCGCCTGAATCCATTAGATAAGACTGAGCCTTGACCTGCGCGCGCACCACGCATGCAGTCAGGACCCCAGTCAATCAACCTAAAATACGAAATATCATCATAAGATACTCTGAAGGCCTTAGAGCTTACTGTGATACGTGCAGTTGGTCCGAACGTAGCTTACATATTACAGGGATCACCTCACTAAAACTGGTAAGATACAGCGCGCAGTCAATGGCGCGTTACAGGCTTAGAGGTGCAAGGAGTAGAAGCCACAACTCATTGGTGGGGAGATCGACAACATACGGAGTACGGAGCACGAGTACGGAGCAATACGGAGTATCCGTACTGATCGTCGGTTTCGAGGTGATAGTTGCTACGGAGTACTCCGTACGCATGCATGAAAGCACCTCACATCGTATGCAGCGTATGACGTGGCATCCTTTTGGATACTACACGGAGTACGGAGTGAACAAAGCCACTTTACGGCTGCGAATTGAGAACTATCTTTTTGCCCTCATCTTCGGCTGTGTCAACAGGACCAGCTAAATCCCCGCCCGCTTTTGCGAACGGAAGGTGCGACGATCGCCAGGTAAGTAAGCCCGATTGGCAAAGGGAGCCACGACTTGCTGTGACGGTTTTGTAGACCAATTATTATATTCTCCCGCAGCCCGATATGCCCATTTCAAACGTACGATACCTAAGTCCTATTGGCAATCGTTTTCAGGAAGCTTCATTTACGTGTTATCATGGATACTGGGCGAATACAATTGGTGGCGGTAGAAACAAAGCGAAACCAAGTATGGGAGTATTTCGCAGAAGCGCCGCTGTCGCTAATCGCTATACCAATGCTCCCTGTACGTCGCAAATCCCACAGACCTGGCAACGAATCATTGGCGACTTTCTTCCATTACATTCGCACCTATTAGTATGTACAGTATGACCAACATTCCTCTCGATAATACTCTGCCTATATCACTTGTCTACAAAATCTTGATTTTACCATACAGAAATCCTCGAACGCCGTTACTCAACCAGCATTCTTCACCATCAAGCACTGATGCAGCCTTGACCTCTTCCTGCACAGCAAGCCTACTATATATAAATGAGAAAGGTTATGATCAGTTGTGAAGCATGCAAATATGTCGTTCGACCAAAAACAAACTTACTGTTCAAGAGCCCATCTTCGTGTGGTCCCATCCAGACCACCACTACCAGCATCTCGGTCGTATATTGAGGGAACTGGAGGTGTTACCCAGCGGCCATGACGCCAAAAGTATACCGTACTGATGCTGCCGTCCATGATCATCCCGGATTCTGCATTGATTAAGAGCACTTCCTTCTGTTCAGGACCGGTTATTCCTGCCCGCTGACGAGCGTCATCATACATCTGTCGCCGAGTTGTCTTGTAGTGTGTATACGCAGAAGCTGCAATGCCGTCCAAATCGATCGATACCTCGTACGGCTGAGGTCCCAACTCTGACCGCAATGACCGCAACAGCGGGAACAACAACTGTGTCTCTCCCTTACCGTCGCAGGAACTAGCCATAAACCCAGGTGGTGGAAGCTGTGGCGGGACGAGCCCGACGAGCGCCGTTTCTTGTGCCGCAAATACACTGCAGTGCAACCTGCCATTCATGTTTAGGGCGACGCGGCACCGCAGAGGCCCATCGCCATTATTTAGTGTATGGCCATCAACCGAGCTCTGAAGGACGCGCTCCAGCCTTTGCAAGCCATCGTCCCCGGTGATGGTTGCTGCGGCATCCTCCCATTCCCAATGCTCTGCAGCTCGGAGAAGGCGATCCCGGTGAAAGTCCAGCATGTAAAAGGGCGAAGACTGCCTTGTATTCCATCCGCCATAGGCAAATGCCGACTTTTGAGGTAAGTCTCTCAAGGCATCATCATACCGCACAGAGCTGAACAGCTCAAAGCTGCTATCATCAGGCATTAAGAAAGCTCTGGTTGTCGACCCCCATCAGAGAGAAAGACGGTTCACCAAACAGCACCTTACGATCTCCGGCCAGTTGATACTGCTGTCCGCTGACGAATCATATGTTTATGGCCTGAGGCATTTACAACACACTAGTCGCCCAGCCAATCCGCAGGACACAGTAATTTTTTTTGTGTAGCTCCTTCCATAGCAAGCTTTTTTGTGGATGCAGCCAGACATCATCAGCGGGCAAAATCCGCGGGTAGCGAAAAGAACGAGCCACAAAATTTCCGATCCAGCCTCTGCTGTTCCTGCAACACATCAATAGCTTTACACCCACAGTAAACACGGCACTTTCTCGACCGTTTTGGAGCCAATTCCTTAAGCGCATCATATACCTAAACGTCTACTCTATCCCTTTCTACCCGCCGGACGTTGGACTCCGTCGATCATGGCTGCAAAACAGCCCCCCTTCGTTCCAGCGCCTCCGATGGCACCGGCGACGACTGCGACTGCTGTGGGCGTTTCCGGCGACTCGACATTCTGGGACCGCGTAACAAAGTGGGCCTCCGAGAACAAGACGGTCGTCTATACTGCTGCCGGTGTTGCTGTTGTTGTCACCGGCGCGGGGGTAGTATACTATCTGAATGCTCGAGTGCGTGCTCTCCATATTTATTTTTGACGACTGGCGATGCCGGCTTGATAGCGGGTGAACTCTGTGTTTCAAGCTAACACTAACTTTGAACTGCAGCCATCCGAAGGCCAGGCGGGTCACAAGCTAAGTAAGAAAGAGCGGCGGAAACGGAAAGAGGCCGAGCGGAAAGCAGCAGCCGCAGCAGAAAAGGCCATAACATCCGGGAGCGATGCCGGCTCCTCCAAACAGTCTGCGACCGCATCGGTTGCGGCTGAGGAGGAGCTACCAGAGATCACCGAGACCACCGTTCAAGTAATGGACGCCGAGGAGCGCAAGAAGATGGCACTGAGGTTGAAGGAGGCCGGCAACAAAGCTTACGGAGCGAAGAACCTCGAGGGGGCTATCGATCTTTACTCCAAGGCCATTTTATGCAAGCAGGACCCGGTATATTACTCGAACCGCGCAGCCTGCTATAGCGCATTGAGCGAGTGGGACAAGGTAGTTGAAGATACTACGGCGGCCATCAATATCGACTCCGAGTACATCAGAGCGCTGAACCGGCGCGCGAATGCCTACGACCACCTAGGCAAATACCGCGAATCGCTTCTCGACTACACAGCCAGCTGTATAATTGACGGATTCAAGAACGAAGCCAGCGCCCAGGCCGTGGAGAGACTGCTGAAGAAATTTGCCGAGACAAAGGCGAAAGAGCTGATGGAGACTCGACCAGCAAAGCTGCCGAGCCCTACCTTTGTTGGCAACTACTTGCAGAGCTTCCGAGCCAAGCCGCGTCCCGAAGGCCTCGATGATGCGGCTGATTTGGATGAGAGTACTGGCAAGGGTCAGCTGCGGTTGGGCCTGCAGTCGCTGGAGAAGAAGACGGCTGACGGGTATGAGGAGGCTTCCGCGGCATTCGAAAAGGCGCTGGAGCTTGGGGACCTGGGCGAGTATGAAGCTCTGGCCTACAACTTGCGCGGTACTTTCCTCTGTCTCCTTGGCAAGCATGAGGCGGCTTTGGCGGCTCTGACTACAAGCATCGAGTTGGACGAGACCATGACGCAGAGTTATATCAAGCGCGCCAGCATGAACCTTGAACTTGGTAAGTTTCCACGCTCATGAGAGGCCATGAAGACAATAGTGACTGACACGCATGCGTATAGGGGCGCCTGCCAAAGCGGAGGAAGATTTCGCCAAAGCTTTGACTCAGAACGACTCAGACCCAGACATCTACTACCACCGAGCCCAGCTCCACTTTATCAAGGCAGAGTTTGGTGAGGCGGCCAAGGACTACCAGAAGTCGATTGACCTTGACCGCGACTTCATCTTCTCCCACATCCAATTGGGAGTGACGCAGTACAAGCTCGGATCGATCGCCTCGTCTATGGCAACATTCCGGCGCTGCGAGAAGAACTTTGCCAAGGTTCCGGACGTGTATAACTATCACGGCGAACTGCTCCTAGACCAGACCCGGTACCAGGATGCTATCGAAAAGTTCGATAAAGCTATCGAGATGGAGAAGGAGACGAAGCCCATGAACATGAACGTGCTGCCTCTTATCAACAAGTCACTCGCTCTGTTTCAGTGGAAGCAGGACTTCTCCGAAGCCGAGAAGCTGTGCTCAAAAGCCCTGATCAGTAAGTCATCCCTACACGGCCTACGTACATACAGCTTGCTAACCGCGCGTCACTGTGTAGTCGACCCGGAGTGTGATATTGCGGTAGCCACAATGGCACAGCTCCTCCTGCAGCAGGGCAAGGTGACAGAGGCACTCAAGTACTTTGAGCGGGCATCAGACCTGGCACGGACGGAAGGCGAGCTCGTCAATGCTCTGTCGTATGCTGAAGCGACACGAACACAGATCCATGTGCAAGAGAAGTATCCGGCTCTAGCTGCCAAGCTGCAGGGTATGAGTGGCCCCGGCTTGCGTTAGGAGAAGAAGGTAGTGAGTCATCTGTGCTCTCAACGTCCAAATGGAAAAAAACTCAACCCCAGACTGTACCATTTCTGGAACACTACTCGGAGCCTCTCAAGACACGGCTGTGGACGGACGACACATAAGTAGTGGTTGCAAGGGACGCAAAGAACGATGATGATTACGATAGATGAGAGCGAAGAAAAAGGCTTGGCAAGAGGACCGGGAATGGGAAGGTGAAAGGGAGGAACAAGGTCGGATGGTCGTTTGTATAATGTGGGCAGGCAAGCCTTTTTACTCCTATCTTTCCCCTGCTGTCCCTTGTTTCGTCTGTGTCGATGTGACACCAGGTATATGTCCAGGGATAGGACAGGAACTTCTCGTACACGAGCACTCCCCACACTGTATATGAGCACTCTTTATTACATCAACTTCTCTCGTTGCCGCATCGGCTTGAGATTCACACTGCAAAATATAACAGGCATACTGCACCAAGCCACAAGTGTTGGGCCACCTTGCGATACACCCCGCGCTTAGGGAAGGACAATAATGAATTCATATATCAGAGAAGTAAGTACGAGAAGTTGGGAATAAACCGACTGGCAACACCCTGGCGCAAACTTGATTCCAACAGGCTTCGCCGCGCCTTTTGAAAGCATCTCCGCATAAAACGAAAGGAGAAGAAACATCATGGTTGTAAATGACCAAAACGTAAGACGCATAACAAAACAATTAGAATATCAACCGTTATTAGTAGTTAGACCCCACCGGTTGCAAAACAGAATTTTAATCGCCACACAACAGTAGCTGTCGGAAGGGGGAATATAGTGGCTTTTTCTTCGGTTCGGGATATAGATAGTGGGTGGACAAAGAAGAGAGTACTGGAAGAGGAGGTAGGGCGAGAAGGTGATGTGCTGCTCTACTTGTTGTTCTTGTTCAAGGCGACACCCAGACCAACACCAAGCGCAATAGCGATGATAATGAGTACGACCACCAACAGGCAGAACCACTTGAGCTTGCGTCGGTTGCGAGCAGACTTTGTGGCCTTCTCGACTTGCTTGTTGGCACTCTCGAGGTTGCCAACGGCGTTCTGCGTTTGGTCCTCGACTTGGCTGAAGACGGGGTCCTGCTGGATGACGAGGGTATCGAGGTCATTGAACAAGCCGTTCAGCTCCGTGATGGACTGTTCGATGCGCTGCAGCTCGTTGTGCCGCGCACGCACAGCCCCGAGCACAGCCGTAGCCTGGCCAGACCGGTTTGTCCGGAGCTAGAAGCACGTTAGTCACAGGATGCAATACAAGTAGGCCGATAGTAGGCACAGCCATGGGTAGGGCTTACTGCAGTCTGGAAGATGCCTTCGCTGCCCCAGTCGGCATCGGCGGCCTGCGCGACTTCTGTCTCGGTAGCTTCCGGGTTGACGATGCGGTACTGGCGGGCGATCTGCTCGCGGTAGGTTTCACGGTACTGTTTCTCCTCGTTCATGTAGCTCTGGAGCTCCTTCTTGAAGTCGTTGTTGAGCGTCTCGAATTGGCGCTTCTTGAGCGCATGCAGGCTGTCGGTCGTACGCTCGCAGTCGCGCTGCAGCAGCCGCAACTGGTTGCGGATCTGTGTGTTCTTAAGCTGCGTCTGCGCCACCAGCTGCTCCAACTGCTGTGCTGCGCCCGGCTCGTTGCCACCCAGGGCGCGCTGGTGCAGGCCGGCAATCGACTGCACGCTCGTCGTCAGGGATCGGATCTCGCCGCGCACGCTTGACACCTGCGCCAAGTATTCCTGCTGCGTCATGACGGGTGCACCGGCATTCGCTGGCTGCCCATACGGCTGCATTTCATGTTGCTCTGGCTAGACAAAGAGACAAAGGCAAGATGTTAGTCGTAGGAAAAGACAAAGCACGTCGGCGCGTAACGGCCAGTGCAGCCGAAGTCAAGACGTACCTGTCCGTAGCCATTGCCAGTCTCGGCGCCTGGTGTCTGCTCATACGGGTTTCCCTGGTATTGACTGTATTGATTTTCAGTCTCGTACGGGCTCTGGGCCTGGTAGGTGTTGTTGCTGTAAGACATGGCGAAGTTTTGGGGTTGAAGCAGCGAAGAGGTTGGTGGTCGTAGGCTCGGGCGCTGGAGGAGGAAAACAAGGTGGAATCACCTGCGGCCCGTGTGGTCAATTGCAACAAACTCGGTGTGGGCTGGCGGCAAAGGCGGAGAATCGAGACGGTAAAAAGTAACGGCAAATCCTGACGGGTGGTGTCTGGAAAGATGACAGCACGAGATGAAGATGCGTTTGCTCGCCGATGTGTCCCGCGTCGTCCGGTCACGTAAATTGGCAAAGGAAGGGAGATGAAAACAGAAGGATTTTCTTAGGACGTGAAAAGGAAATTACCCTTACGAGTAAGCTTCTCGTATATAGTCGTAAGGGGTAAAGCCGAAAACTTCCAGTGAGATAATCGCTAGGAAACACAGAAAAGGGCACTAATAATTAGAAACTCCTACTAGCAGGGCGGTTAAAGCTCAATTTAAGATTTTCAGGCGAGCAAAAGCGCTGTGCCCGGGGGTGCCGCTGGTTCTTCTACTCCGTACTCATGTGCGCCTGCAGAAAACGGACGGAGAATCCGCGTTTACGACCTGAGCTTACTGTCCGGTCCCGAACGTGGTTGAGGCCCGCTGTCAACATGTACTAGTACTTACACAGTATCAACCTGCGATAATAATACTCCTTTGGCTAAATTGGAAGGATGCGCCGCGCCTCCAAAGAGGATACTCGTACAAACGAGCGACCTGTCCCGGGCGGGCTTTTCGCTGCAGCTGCATCCTGCAAGACGAACAGTGTACTTCCGATACTGCTCCTTTTAAAGAGATAGGATTCGGTTCATCTACTGCAGAAATGCGAGTAAGGTACGGGGAGGCTGCCATTCGCCGTCCTGGCGAGGTATTAAGTCCGTATCCCGGCCATCGTCTGAGTCCTGACGAAGTGCAACCACCCCGGTTCGCTGTGGCGGTGAAACTACCGTTTTTAGCGCTCTTTCCTGTCACTTGCTCCCACCCAACTATGAGGCTGAGGGGATGGTGACGGTATGGCGAAGCCACAAATCGCAAGTCAGCCATCAAAACTGCAGTTCCACTCCTTCCTTATTATTGATCACTTCTTTTGACGGCTCGCGTATAAATGCAAAGACCGGTTTCTATTCTGCAGCCTGGCGCTTGCAGTAACATACGACATATAGGGGAGTATCCACACTTTCTTAATGTGACTGTCACCCTCATTCGATTGCCGGACCCATAATTCGCGAGATCCAGATTCTTCCTGGTCAGACGCAAATTCCAACATCCAACACTTGGTGCCAGTCTCCCGGATACGACATGGGTCGGCTTGACACACAGTCTCAGGGGGGTACCGACTTTCAGTCTCTTCCCTCCGCATTGTCGGCATCGTCACGGTCACGAGGACATGAGTTGCCCGACACCCATTTATGCCTTCCACCGCGGCGCGGCCTTCTCCAGTCTTTTATCGTTCCACCCCATCTCACCGTCCTCACAGGTAGTCCTTCTTCCGACTTGTCCGCGTGAACTGGTTCAGGTGCCACTCAACGTGGCCATCCTTATTCTCAAGCGTGCCGTTGCGAACCTCAAAGAGCTTCATCGACATCCGAGGTCCCACCTCCGACAACTCCACTTTGTCGTATGCAGTTTTTACATAAACATAGTGCCGTAACTCAATGACGTCCTCGATATTCTTGAACACTACAACCCGGTTTGATAGCTTTGTTTTGCTGGTGATGGGGTCGCGAGGCGGAAACAGGTGTTTGAGCACCTTGCAGATCCGGTTGCCCAGGCGGCTCGTGAAGCCTTCAAAGATGAGATGAGGATACGCTTCGGAGACGCTTCCGCGAATGCTGCCGGGGATATCGCCGCGCATGAGGACGTTGTGAAGCGAAAACGAGACTGTCGGGCCATGAGGCAGATGCGAGATGCTGCGGCCGTTGTCAGTGAGGTCCTCGTACATGAGATAGTTTGGTGGGAAGAGCATACACAAGTCCTGTAGGGGTACCACGATGCTCAGAAAGCAACACAATGTCCGTCAGTCCAGCCGCCTTTGCGGACCGCACACAATCATCCAAAATCATGTTGCCGCGATTTAATCGAATGGATGTCGGCAATAACAGCCGCATTTCTTTGCTGAACGCTGTCAAGCGTGTAGACGAGGACCGCGACGTCGTCACCAGCACTCGGGGGTCGACAAGGCCGCTCAACTGCGCATATTCGTCATCGAGATCCAATTGCTCATCCGCATTCAGATCTGGACGTGACTCGTCGTAGGCAAAATCTTTCCTGAGGGCTTTGTCGCTCGCAATGCTCTTTTCAAGCGGCCGACCTTGAGCGATGGCGTTCCGCAGTTTCGCGCGCTTTTCGTTAATTTCGGCTTCTTTCAAGATCATAGCCTTGCGGTAGAGATAATCTCTCCGCTGCCGAACGGTTTTGCGCTGAGTGACAATTAGCTATGCAATGCTTGCGCAAAATTTCACTGTGTCTATACGTACAAGCATCTTGATCAAACGTATGAACGAGAGTGTGTGAAATATGCAGAAAAGGTGAGGTTTGCCTTTGAAACAAAACACAGAACATAGTGCAGCAATGAAGTAAAAAAAAAAAGTTGGTCTTATCGAACGTTATCGGAGTATGAGGTCACATGATCTATACAAAGGAACGAAGAGAATCGCGCCCCGCACAAACTAAAGCACTGCTCCGATATAATAAAGTTCTGCAAGGTTAGAAGGCGAATAACCTCCATATCGCACATCCTATCGTTTGCCTCCTTCCTTTTTCCTCTTGTCTCGCTCTCTCATCTATTCTTTTTGCTTGAACGCCTCTCCTCTACAACCCGCAGGAGGCAAGGCTACTCGCGGATGATCCATAAACGCTCATTTTCGTGACGAAGATCCAGCCACAAAGCAAGGAGAAGCAGCCTGTTGCATCTCGTCGAAAGGGGGGTCCTGCCTTTCCCAGACAGCTCTCCGAAGAGACCCCCTGTGCTCCGCCATGGAAGGCGCTTTCACGCATGTGGGAAACCACTTGATATCCGACTCGGCAGCTGCCATCAAGGCTGGCGACAACGACGACCTATCCACCATCGACCCGGAAGAGAATCTCTTGTATGGCAAGTTTGGTGGCCGGGCTGGTCTAGGTGGGGCAACTCGCCGACGCCATGACGATGATGATAACGGTACAGAAGTCTACGATGACGAGGATGACGAGAGCCTGGCCAGCGTGCCGGTCGACGGTGTCCAGGGTCTGAAGCTCGGGGCTGAAGAGGAGGAGAAAGAGCTTCCAGCCCATGCCTGCGCGTGAGTTCTGGACCTGAAGCCGTCTTGGATGTGTGGTTTGCCTCCCTGTATCGTGGACGGTAATGCTGACGCGCATCTCTTCAAAAGATATTGTGGCATTCACTCCCCGGCCTCTGTGGTCAAGTGCCTGGCTTGCAACAAATGGTTCTGCAGCGCGCGCGGAAACGCAACGTCCTCCCATATTGTCAACCATCTCGTTCGTGCCCGCCACAAAGAAGTACAGCTGCACCCCCAGTCGTCGCTGGGTGACACCGTTCTCGAGTGCTACAACTGCGGTACCAAGAATGTGTTCTTGCTTGGGTTCATCCCGGCCAAATCCGATACGGTCGTGGTTCTTCTCTGCCGTCAGCCCTGTGCGGCCAGCACATCGTCCAAGGATATGAGCTGGGACATCTCGCGCTGGCAGCCGCTTATCGAGGACAGATCTTTTCTGCCCTGGCTCGTTGCTACACCTACAGACGCCGAGCAGCTCCGTGCCCGGCATCTGACGCCCCCGATGATCGCCAGACTCGAGGAGATGTGGAAGGACAATGCCAACGCCACAGTCCAGGACCTTGAACGGGCGGCCAGTGTAGACGATGACCCACAGCCGGTTCTGTTGAAATACGACGACCCGTACCACTATCAGAACATCTTTGGCCCGCTGGTGAAGATGGAATCCGACTACGACAAGAAGCTGAAGGAGGCCCAGTCGGAAGACAATCTGGTGATCCGATGGGACTACGGCTTGAACAACAAGCACCTGGCCATATTCATCCTGCCCAAGATCGAGTCGGGTGACGTCAAGCTTGCCGTCGGCGACGAGATGCGGCTGAAGTACAAGGGCGAGCTGCGTCCTCCCTGGGAGGGCGTAGGATACGTGATCAAGATCCCCAACAATCAGTCCGACGAAGTGAAACTGGAGCTCCGTAAGACGGGGAACGACAAGTCGGTACCTACCGAATGCACCCACAACTTCTCTGCGGACTATGTGTGGAAGGCCACATCTTACGATCGCATGCAGATCGCCATGAAGACGTTTGCTGTGGATGAGATGAGCGTGTCTGGGTACATATTTCACAAGCTTTTGGGCCACGAAGTCGCCGTCGCCCCGATGAAGACGTCTCTGCCTAAGAAGTTCACGGCGCCACAGCTGCCCGAGCTGAACGGCAGCCAAATCAGCGCTATCAAGGCTGTTCTGTCCACGCCTCTCAGCTTGATCCAGGGCCCTCCGGGAACCGGCAAGACGGTGACTTCGGCGACCATCATCTACCACCTGGCCAAGATGAACAACAGCCAAGTGCTTGTGTGTGCACCGTCCAACGTTGCCGTCGACCAGCTCTGTGAACGGGTCCACCGGACCGGCTTGAAGGTTGTCCGGCTGACGGCAAAATCTCGTGAGGACGTAGAGTCCTCTGTCAGCTTTTTAGCGCTTCACGAGCAGGTCCGGATGAACGACACCAACGTGGAGCTGACGCGCCTGCAGCTGCTGAAGAATGAGGTCGGCGAACTGTCGAGCTTGGACGAGAAGAAGTTCAAGCAGCTGACGAAGGCGGCCGAGAAAGAGATCCTCAACAATGCCGATGTGGTCTGCTGCACCTGCGTGGGTGCGGGCGACCCTCGGCTTGCCAAGATGAAGTTTCGCAACGTGCTGATCGACGAGTCGACGCAGTCAGCGGAGCCGGAGTGCATGATTCCTCTGGTTTTGGGCTGCAAACAGGTGGTTCTTGTCGGCGACCACAAGCAGCTCGGCCCGGTGATCATGAATAAGAAGGCAGCCAAGGCGGGCCTGAACCAATCGCTCTTTGAGCGCCTGGTCAAGCTTGGCTTTGCGCCCATCCGGCTGAACGTGCAGTATCGAATGCACCCCCATCTTGCAGCATTCCCGTCGAACATGTTTTACGAGGGATCGCTCCAGAACGGTGTCACGATCCAAGAACGTCTGCGGAAAGACGTGGACTTCCCGTGGCCGGTAGTGGATACGCCGATGATGTTTTGGTCGAACCTGGGCAACGAAGAGATCTCGGCATCGGGCACCTCGTATCTGAACCGAACAGAAGCGTCCAACGTCGAAAAGGTGGTGACCCGCTTCTTCAAGGCCGGCGTGAAGCCCGCAGACATTGGTGTGATCACTCCGTATGAGGGCCAACGCAGCTACATCGTCACGACGATGCAGAACACGGGCACATTCAAGAAGGAGAGCTACAAGGAGGTAGAGGTGGCCTCAGTCGACGCCTTCCAGGGCCGCGAGAAGGACTACATTGTGCTGTCGTGTGTGCGGTCCAACGAGAACCAAGGCATTGGTTTCTTGTCGGACCCGCGCCGACTGAACGTGGCTCTGACGCGTGCCAAGTACGGCATTGTTATTCTGGGCAACCCCAAGGTCTTGGCGAAGCACGAGCTCTGGTATCACCTGCTCGTGCATTTCAAGGACCATAAATGCCTCGTCGAAGGCCCGCTCAGCAACCTTCAGCCGTCGCTGCACCAGTTTAGCAGACCCAAGCACAGCTACCGGCCGCCACGAGCGGTGGGCAACGACGTCGTTCACAACGGACGCTTCGGACAAGGACAAGGCCAGGGCAACAACGGGATGATGCGCGACTTTGAGACCGGTTCTATCATGTCGTACATCCCCGACGATGTTTCCTCGATTCACAGCTCGGCTCTGGGAGGTGCCGGCCTAGGCTCGGCATACCCAGCGATGTTTTCCAGCTTCAGTCCTGACCAGTGGCCTGGCCTGCCGGGAGCCAGTCTCGGCGGGCGGGCCGGTGGCAAGGGTCGAAACAGGGGTATCGCCGAGAGTATTGCTGGCGAGAGCGTAGCCAACTCCGAGTTCACGGATGTGACGGCGAGCTCGAGCGTCATCGGAGGCAAGGGCGTCGGTCAGGGAGGAGCCAGCCTGGGTGCAGGGCTGCACGACGCAGTTAGCAGCGGTAGACTGGCGTCCTACAGCCAGAGCGACCGTCTGAAGCAGTACGTGGAGAGCAGCGGACGCATAGCAGCAGGCAACGGATACCGGCGGTACGACGACGACCAGCAGAGCATCAGCACGGGCTTTGCCAGCCAAATTGGAGGACCAGGCTATGACTGAGGCGCAGAAGGCGATGGCATGATAAAGGCACCAAAGCATGAAGCAGGCCCCACCAGCAGCATGCAGACGCGCCGGGTGAACTACCGGCTGTCGTCAGTGGCTGTCACCGGCAGCACTGCGGCCAATAGAGCATCCGCCAGCAACTTGGCCAGACCGGAAGCCATACTCTTTTCTTAGAGACGCCGCCTCCTCATCTGCCGAGCTTGTGCGGCAGGGATGTGCAGCTTGAGGCGTCATTGAAGCTACTCCGAAAAGGGCATCGCGGTCCACGGCTCTGCCTGGAGAGGTAGCCGGGTTTCTTGGCTGCAGCTGTCTCGAAGAGACGGCTGCTGTTGGCAAGCTAGCCGTTGCAGCGGCGTGGCACGATGGGCTAGGTTTTACCGTCGAAGATGAGGGGCTGCCCACGGCTTATGAGAGTCATACGATCTGTCTTCTGACAGAGGAAAAAACCCTGTTTTCCAGAAAGTTGCAAGTTTTGTTATTATTGATTCGTGGCGATGGAGGACGGGCAATTGCTGGTGTGATTAGTCAGCAGACAAAGGCCTAGCCAGCCGACTGGCTGATCATCTGGGAGGGAAGCACAGACGTTTATCTAAACGGCGAGTAGCGCTTTGCTTTCTGGCACCTCTACTCGCTGCAAACAGTCTGTTCTTCGTTTGCTTGATTTAGAAACGTGCTCTACATTCCTATAAACACAAGCCACACGCTCTTTTTGCAAGATTCTGTGGGCTTTTTAGTGATATAACCCGTAATTTGGAGACGCTGTCCAACTTTGGAGGGCTCTTACATGGCTGAAACCGAGGATTGAGGGGCTCACGGTCGTTCTTTCCGATTGTATCTTTACATTATAAACCCTCCATCTCAGTCCTGTCAGCTTACAAAGTCCTGTCCTTGTTTCTGTTGTCTCTTTATTTTCCGACATCAGGTCTTAGCACAGACACGCTGTGGCATCATGTCGGGCACAGATGAGCCAGTGTCGGCTGCAATTGCGGTCGCGGTGACGAAAGAGGCACCGGGAGCACCAGAGGCCCAAGACGACATCAACCCGCCAGACTTCGACGGCGCAGTGCGCACCAAAAACACGTTGCCGTCGCGGGACACGTTGCATCGCATCGCCGACCTGCCGGTGCTAGACCGCGAAGGGAAGCCACATCCGTTCAAGAGTCTGTACGCGGAGCGAGGTCGGGTGCTGATCGTGTTTGTGCGGCACTTTTTCTGCGGGGTACGTAATCCCGTCCTCGTCCTCTCGATGCCGGCTGACACGAGCATGCTGTCCGGCAGAACTGCCAAGAATACCTGCGTGTGCTTTCGGCAAGCATCACGGCGGACGCGCTGGCCAGGGCGGCGGGCGGTGCCGCTCGCATCGTCGTCGTCGGGTGCGGCGAACCGCCGCTGATCGACATGTACGCCGAGGCGGCGGCGTGTGCGTTTCCGATCTACGCAGACCCGACACGGCAGCTGTACGACGAGCTGGACATGGTCTCGACGCTGGCGCTGGGCGAGAAGCCGGCGTACATGGGCAGAACGTCGATGTGGGCGTCGATTGTGCGGTCGATCAGCCAGGGCCTGCGGCAGATCCCGCAGGGACTCGTGCTCAAGGCCGGTAACCAGCGGCAGGTCGGCGGCGAGTTCTTGTTCGAGTCGGCGGCGGACGTTGAGGTCACTTGGTGCCACCGGATGAAGACGACGCGGGACCACGCCGAGGTGGCGGAGCTGAAAAAGGTGTTGGGATTGACATAGGGATGCGGATGGATGAATAGAAGTAATGTCCGTATAAGACTATTCATACATGACCAACTAATCCCATTTTTCGTGTGGCCACGATTACTCGGTATTGCCAGTACACAATGCATTGCAAGAAATGTGTAGCGACACCTCCGATAAGTCCTCTAAAATGGAAATGACAAGCTGTACTCCGTATTACTCCGTATACTTGGGGTGTACCGAAGTAATCGGGGTTGCATGGTTTAATTCTCATCTTAACGACCTACCAGACGGAGTATACTGCTTTCATCAAGAAGATCAGGCTACATAGCAATCGATCCAGTTTTTTTCAGAGAATACAGACAACAGAATACAGACAATTACCATCGAGCCGTCACTGCAACCCGTGCTCATAGCTCGCTGGCGAATTGTAGAAAAATTTGGGGCGGTGTTTGTTACCTTGTGGCGCACTGGCAAGATATAGCGTAGTGTCCGTGCGATTGAAGCCAACCTTTGTTTGCTGGGTTTATTATGTGGACGATTATTACGAGTTGTTCGTATGCTGCGGCACTCGTTAGCAGTCGAATGGTCCGGCAAATGCCGACTAATGTAAAATAAAATACGTCATACGTGCACCTTCGGTAGTAATGGCGATTCTGTGTCTTGCTTCAGCTGCACTGACAAGAGAGGAGAGAAGTGCCACAGGCAACGGACCACTCTCTCGTGGCAACCTCTACGCCAAACCAAAAGGAGAAGGAAAAAGGCACTGGTGAGCGACAACAGGAAGCAGAGGGCGCATGAGGCGAGAGCAACATGGACCCAATGGCGTCTACCAATAGCATCAAACCAAGCAGTTGGGCACTGCCGATTCGTTTGCAGGCGGTATGCAGGCGAAAACGACCACAAACGGACCGTTTCTGCCTGGGAATCCCGTCCGCTCGGCCGTTCTCGAGTTGCGCTTCCTATAAGGTTTTATTGTTCCATCGTACTCCGTACTATCGGGCCATTCCATTGACCAGAGGAAGTGCAGCGTTGGCCCAAGATAATTTTGGGGTAGGAAGAGGCTAAGAAAACGGCTTGTGCTCCAGCGCTGCGCTTCTGTTTCCCCTCAACGATCCCCCCCAAATCACGCCCAGAACAGACAACTCCCCATCCGACATTTTTTAATTGTCAGTCCCCCTTCTTTCCTCACCTGCACCTTCTCTCCATTGTTCTTCTGTCTGTCTGTCCACATCTGCTACCCTTCTTCTTATTCTTGCATCGTACCCGGCCTCCCACCGTCGCTGCCGCTAAAACCTCTGCACTCCTTTTTTGGCCGACACCTGTTTACTTCTTCGGATCGGCGCCTGTCATCTGCCTGCTATCTTACTTTTTTTTTTCTTTTTTTCTCGTGCCGCAGGGCGGTTTAGCTACGACGACGTATCCTCGGCCACAGTGGACGCCCCTCTCCCAACCAGGCAGCTCGAAAGAACGGCAGGTGGAAAAAGGGAGACGTCGGCCAGCAAATCTCATTTCGCTCGTCCGGGAGGCTGCTATTTTCCGCCCGGTCATCAGGTTATCACCAACGGGTCCAACGTCTCCGACTAATCCCACGTCTCATCATTCCGTTGCCGCTTCCGCCCTCCGAACTCGCCGCATGATCCGACCAGGCAGAGCAACGCGTCCGAAGCCCACGCTCTTCGCCTGATCGTCTGCCAGCAGCCGTCGCAATCGACAGCACTCCAAATTGCTCAACGGCAAAAAGTCGACGAGATCGTCAGCGTCGACACGATGGCCACCGCCGCCAGTCCCGCCGGCCGTGCTCCCAATGCCACTGCCAAGAACGATGGGCCTCGACGCCGAAAGCTGATCGGCCAACGTCGGCGCGTAGATGACGACGACGGCGACGATCACGGCACATTCGATCTGGTCGACGACGACTCTCTGACCGACGCTTCGGCCGCCAGCGAGGATCGGGATGCGGCTGTAGATGATAGCGACACAAGCAACATCGACGATGCATCGCCAACCACACCGGCCACCCGCAAGGGCATCAAGAGCGGGGCGGGCCCAAAAGGTGCAGCAGTCAAGCCGGAGGGACGAAGGCCGACGGAGCCTACGGACAGTGCTGCTACACCCAGCGCTGAACATATGCTGCGCGGACTGTCGATTTCAGACAAGACGGCGACGGCCGCAAACGAGCAGCTTGACCGTGACGCCAGCGAGGCGAAGGAGAGCGGCAACGGGCCCGCAGACGCGTCCCAAGCCGAATCCGCATCACAGCCGCAGCAGCCTGCTCAACCGGTCAAGGCACCCCAGCCGCCCATCGTCTCCTCTTCTTCCGCCCAGGCCCAACGCCGCGAGACGCCCTACGAGAGACAGCGCCGCGAGCACGACCTCTACAAGCAGAAGCGGGACGAGGACCCGTCGTTTGTGCCCAACCGGGGGGCTTTCTTCATGCACGACCATCGGGGTGCTGGCCCAGCTGCCAACGGTTTCCGGCCCTTTGGTAGGGGTGGAAGAGGCCGTGGTCGGGGCGGTTACGGAGGGCTGTACGCCCCATTGCAGTATGTAATCTGTTCTGGCTGATTGCCGTCTTTTGCTGACTGAATGATCTCGACAGAGGCCATATACACAACCCGGCAGACCCGACGATCAATGCCCCGTGGGCTCACGACATGCACGACACCATTGCGGCACCGGTCATGCCGCGACTGGCGCCACCACCACGCCGTCGTTTCGATGCGAGCAGTCAGTATGGCGGAAGCCAGGCTGTGGCCCCTGCTGCGAGCATACCGACATGTCTGCCCAGTGCCGTGCCCATCAACCGGTCCATGTCGGTGGAAAAGCCGCTGGGGGTGGTGACTGTCCGGGTATTCTTCCCGCCTATGAGAGAAGCGGTGCTGTTTGAGAAGTTCAAGGTTGTGCAATACACTAAACTGCCAGATCACCGGCCACCGCTCCGACGGGACAAGGCCGTGGTCATTGATCTCCCGGGCCAGCCGAAGAGCCAGATCTTCCCGGCCGTGGACCGCTCGTTTATCTTCATTCCCCGCGCACTGCGTCCGAACCAACAGCGCATGCGCGGCAACAGGACGCGGTCTGTCATGGGCTCCATCTCCGGCTTCTCGCGACAGACCAGCATGTTTGGCGGCAGCTACTACAACGGGAGCATGTACTCGCCCAGCATCGCGCTCAGTCGGAGGTCGTCCATCACCCACGACGTTGGCCGCGACTACATCATATCTCCTGCCGGGTCAGCCATGTCCCGACCAGCCCTCCACATCGACAACGCCTCGAGACCGGTCGTGCGGCTACCGCCATCGGGTGTTCCACCTCCTGCTATGCCGATGTCGGTGCCGATGAGCGGTCTAGGCATATCCATGGGTGCAGGTGGCGGTGTTTCCGTGTCCGTGCCGCCACAGTCAGGGGCTAAATCTACCCCGCAGGCAGAACAGCAGCAGGCAGAACAACAACAACAACAACAGCAGCAGCAGCCGCAGCAGCAGCCTATACCGCCATCCCAGGTGCCAGAGGGCTCTTCGCTCAGCACCGTTCCTCCTCCACAGATCCATCCTCTACCCCAACGGCCTGCATTTCAGGAGAGCCGAGCAAGCCAGAACCTGCCTATGCACCAACCACGACCGCAGAAGGCAGTGTCGGTCGACACAATCGATCCCCAGTCGACCGGGGGCTTGGGGCCGTTCGCGCAGCAGCAGTCTCTACCCATGCCGTTCCACCAACAGGTTCCCATCCAGATGGCAAGCGGCTTTCCGCCAGGAGAGCCCCATCAACGCCACCCGTCGTATCCGTCCTACACTGCCGGCACACCGCTGTCGCAGATTCCAGAGCGCGCCATCCACGCCGCTCCCTTCCAGCCGAACATGTCTGCTCAGCCGCCGATGTATTCGCAGCCAAATGCAGCGCCGGCAGGAGCCACTTTCTATGGCAATCCTGCGGGATATCCGATGATGCAGCCGCCTCCACAACAGGGATTTTTCTACCCAACACCACCCACCTACTCCTCTACCATGGCTCCGTCGGGGGCAGCTGCGACGTTTGTACCTGGAGGAACACCGCAGGGTGCTGGGCCACCGTCTGGCCAGCCAGGCCAGCGCGATGTCGGCGGGACACCGGTCGACGTGCAGCAACAACCGGTCCCCCACCACAGCCTGGTTGCTCAGGAGGCCAACGGCATGGTGTACTACTACGATCCATCCAGCCTCCCTGGCATGTCCAACTATCCGTCGTATGTGCCGACTCCAGCTCCCCCGGGCGGCTTTGTGCCTGGCATGGGCGGAATGGTGACGCCGACTCCTGCCGATAGTTACTACTACCCGCCACAACCGGGGATGGTGTACTACCAGCAGTAAGTCTCTGTGTTGGGACGGGCTACATTCGCTTGGCTGTTTTCTGGCTGTCGTCTACCGCCGTTCATTCGTTAGAGCAGAGGGAGCAACGTTTGCAAATTCGCGTTCTTGGGCTATCATTTTCCCGGGAAAGGTTGGGAAGGAAGCAGGAACTTGGCGCATCTTTTCCACTTCCCGTTTTCAAGCTTTGTTCTCTCACCTTCTTTTTTCCTTTGAAATATCAGTTGATGATCCTTCCTAATTTTCTAACACACGAACCGCCCTGCTTCTCCACCTTGTCCCGGCAGACGCTCGTTCTGCTGTGCCTGACACGGCTTGTTACTCTTCTCTCTCTCTCTCTCTATTTCAGTCAATGTATCTACCTTACCTGTGCTGTATCCAGTGGAGGAATCCGCCCAAGAGACAATCCAATAAACAGGCAGACAGAGGTAAAGGAGAGTGTGGAGTTTGGTAGTATACATGAAAGGAGAAGAGACCAGAGCTGAGAAGAAAAGATAAGAAAGCGATAATGCTGTTTCCAGGTCTAGCTGTGTTCTTGTGGCTTCTCGTTCGTGCCTAGTCCGTACTCCGCACAGCTCGCTGAAAGCCGTAAACGGCACCTCTAGCGCTCTTGGCGAAGATGACCCCATATAATTACGGGGTAGCTTTGGAGCCATCCGACAAGGGGTCTTTTAAAATACAAGTACAGCTGCTCCAAGCCATCAACACCTGAGTCAAGATAACATTATTTACAGCTCGCGTTGCTACGAAGTACCAAGAGCGGATAGCGATGGACGACGGAACAGGAACACCTTCGCTTCCACCGGCTTTTGCGGCAGCTATGGCGGCCCCGACAGCTTGCTCTTCAACCACGTCAGCAGTGCAGGCTGCAGTTGGGGCCCCGGACTTCAGGCCTGCAGCAGCTGGTGTAGAGCCAGTAGTGACACAGCTGCATGCGCCGAGCGGACTTTGTGTCTTTTCAGGTGGTACTGCCGCTAATTCGCTGGTTGATGCGTTCCAGGCCGTGGCAACATTTTTGGGCAACGACGGGAAGAGCAACAAGACCAGATCGTGTCCGTTGGAATATATCATCCCGATTTCCGACAATGGAGGCAGCTCTTCAGAGCTGATCCGCTTCTTTGGCGGGCCCAGTAAGCAGTGTGGCCAGTGACGTCTGTTCTCTCTCAGTTGCTAACCGAGGCCTGCAGGCGTGGGCGACATACGAAGTAAGATGTGTATGAGTCTTCAGGCCCCTGAACAGGCTCGGCTGACAAGCGGACAAAGGTCGTCTAGTGCGCCTGATACCAACGGGCGATGACGGGGACGGCGACCCAGATGCCGCGGCCCTGCAGAGTGCTGCTCTCTCGGCAGCGGCCAGCTCTCGCGCTGCCCTGCGTGCCCTCATGGAGCACCGGCTCTGCACGTCGGATCCTCGAGAGGCCCGGGCGGAATGGCTCGATCTCGTCGAGGCGCGCCACGGGCTCTGGACGTCTGTTCCCGGGCCGACGCGCGAGCTCATCCGAGCGGTGCTCAACACGCTCAACCTCGAGATCGTCAAGCGGGCGCGGCCAACGTCCGTCTTCAACTTTGCCGGTGCCAGCGTGGGCAACCTCTTTCTGACCGGGGCCCGGCTCTTCTCGGGCTCCTTCGAGGCCGCCATTTATCTCCTGTCGCTGCTGTGCGGCATTCCTGACCACGTGGCCGTGGTGCCGGCTATCAGCTCCAACTTTACACATCACATTTCGGCCGGACTGGTCGATGGGACCACCATTGCCGGACAAGTCAACATCAGCCACCCGTCCGCACCGACGTCGCTGCCAGACGGAACTGTCGTGGCCCCGGTGGCGACAGCACCGACAGCGCCGACGGCGGCGACGGCCACGACGCTCAAGATGCGCGGGCGAGCTGCGACGGCCATTGACTTTGAAGACGCCACGCTACCGGGATCCCTGCCAGTGCTGCGCCGTCCACAGATTGCCTTTAGCAAAGACGACGAGGAGGACCTGCCGGCACGGATCGAGCGGGTCTGGTACATCAACCCATACGGCCACGAGATCCGGCCGCCAGCCAATCCCAAGGCGCTGGCAGCGCTGCAGCGAGCCCGTGCGATCGTCTACAGCATCGGCAGCCTATACACGAGCATCATCCCGAGTCTGGTCCTGCGGGACGTCGGCGCAGCGATCAGGGGTGATGACGGCGACCACGGCCAGCAGCACGGGCGGGCCAAGGTGCTCATCCTGAACAGCAAGCTCGACCGCGAGACGGGCCCCCAGCACGACCCGATGACGGCCGTCGACTTCGTGCGGGCCATCACGGGTGCGTGCCAGCAGAGCCAGCAGGACTTGGGCCCAGTGCAAGACGAAGACTGCCGGCGATACGTGACGCACGTGCTGCATCTAGAGGGCGGCACGAGAGGAGGCAAGACCAGCGCCGCAAGCGGCCCTCTCGTCGACGAGGCAGAGCTGGGCCGACTTGGCATCCGCTGTGTGGCTGTGCCGAACCAAGAAAGGCGCCCGAGAGGACATGGCGGCTTGGGGATGGGGCGATACGACGAGGAGGCACTTACACGGGCACTGCTAGGCGTCATCGGCGAGCAAGGAGATGGGCTGTAAGATACGAGCATAGCAGATTCCTTTCGTCAGGCTACGGCTAGAGTGAGAATACGTGACGTAGTTCGTGACGAGACACGGTCTCTGACGGCGAGGACGGTCCCGTACAAGAGTCGATGCACCGAGCGGGCCCGCCGTCGGCGCCGACTGTTGGACATGGCGATCGGCTGAGGCGATCGCAGCCGAGACGACGTGGTCAGCAGCAGGGATGTCTGCCAAGAGGCGGCTTCAAACGACTCGCCTTCCAGGCCAATGCTCGAAAAAGCTGGGGAAACCGGGAAAACCCCGGGAAGCCGTCTGTCGAAGGGTCACGCGAACGTCAAGTGAGAGACATCTTGGTTGTCTCCGCGGTACACCGAAAAGTCGGTCAGTTCGGCGATGTCGGCCAGTTTGGCCGCGTCTTAGTCACTGCTTGGCCGCCTAAGGAGCGCTGTGGCGGTTGCTTTCGGGATCATTGCACGTGAGTGCACGTGAGACAGCGTAGCCTAAAAGGCGGAGCAACACCGCCTAAAGACTAGGCTTCCCTTCGACGTATCGTACCAAGACATCGGCGACAATGCACGATATCAGGACGGATGCTTGGATGTGCACGTCTGCACATGCACGTAGGCGATCACGGCAACACACGGCTCACCTCGTGGGTTGTGCACAAGTCCCACCATGGCTTGCACTCGTCGGATGTACTATGTACGCGTACGGAGAACAAGGCGTCTGGCCCCTCCTGGTCAGGTCATGTGTGCCAGCAGGAGATGGCGCAGGTCTCGCGACGATTGGACGGCCAACAGAGCCAAGCAGCTGTCCGTCTGCCCAATGGTCCAAATGGGCAAAACCGCTAGAGCAGAAGAAGCGACAGACAAAACAGACAGTCAAACGAACAAGCAAACGAAACGGTCAAGCAGCTCGTAATAGTTCGCCTCCCACAGGCTTCCTCGCCTTCAGGCTGGCGGATGTGGTCGGCCTCTTGCCTCCCATGACGCCAGCTAAGCCGCCTCCCTGGAATGCAGTCTTACATACTCCGTACAAGTAGTACTGCTGGTGCGACCGTGCTGCGTCCGCATCTCTTTGTCTGCCCGTAGTCAGATACCATGTACAATCGTGCAATAGTGCAATGGAGCAGGGCGATTTGGCCAAGTCGAAATACGATGGGTGGCCCCACTCGGACACCTCCTGACAAATCACACAGCTCCATCCGGCCCTGGTCTATCTTTGCCTCTTTGCCGCTCGCTGACGTTGCTGTTTTCGCCGCCGAACCACATTGCGAAGCACCCGCGTCTGCCTGGTCGCTGCCGCTTCCAGGTAGGCGTGTACGACGCATAGTACGGGGCTGGTCGCTGGGAGCTGCGGTGACCTGGATGGTAGGAGACCTTGTGATCCCGCCATTCCCTCCCTGCTGTTTGACATTTAGTAATACTCCGTATGTGGAAACACTCTATGTGCTGGGAAGGTGGGGCCCGTCCGTCCACCTCGACTTCACTCTTCGCTCAGCGCTCTCCACGTTCTCCACTTTTCTTCCCATCGCTGACCAACGAGCCAACGCCTCGCTCCCCAAAAGCAACCTTATCCTGCTGCTCGCCTTTCCTTCCCTCTCTCTCTCTCCCTCCCTTCTCTTCCCTCTCTCCTCTTCGCACCCATCTCCCCCATCGATAAATAGGGAGATTTCATCACCACTCCTGCTCCCGCTGCTGGTCTTCCCATCAGACCTCCTTCTTCTGCTCCGGGCTTGCTTGTCCTGCACTACTACACACGGCTAGGCTCTCCCGCTGAAGCCCGGCTATCTGACAATACGTAAGCTGCTGCATGTTTCGTCATCTCCACTCCGGAGTGCTTGTGCTTGATGACTGGGCTGTCTTCGGCCCCCCATCTCATCGAGCGTCATCGTCGGACTTCCTCAGCGACTAATCGTGACATCACCTGCTAGGTCCGAATAGAAACCCAACTCGGCCATCATGGCGTCGGCCCCGACACCTGTGACGGGCGAAACTCCCATCACGCTCAAGATTACTCATCTGGGCGTGACAAGGAAGATCAAGCTTCCGCTGCGTGACCTCGTCGCTAGCTCTCTTGAGGGCAAGGTGCGTTTACGGGATTGTGCGTTTCTGCTTCAGGCGACAAGAACTAACACTGCTGTTAGCTCCGCGAGATGCTCCTCATCGATCCTACTGTCAAGTGCCGCTTCGAACGCTATTCCGACTCCGCCGGCACCTTTGTCGTCCTGGACCGAAATAACCAGTCGGTGTACAAGCAGCTGTACCGTGCCGCAAAGGCCAAGCAGAAGCTCAAGCTTCGTGTCATTGTGGCCGAGCCGCCGTTGCCCCCCCAGGTTATCCCCCGCCCCGTCACGATCGAGGACGTGCCTGAGGGTGCGGCTGAGCCGCTCAAGACCAAGTCGACGACTACGCCTGTCATCGTCTCGTCCAGCATGGCTCGCTCCGAAGAGGATCGCCAGCAGTGCCCTGCCATTCCTGGCCGCTTCCCGGGCGCCTGCTCGTTGGCCGAGGAGAAGTCCACTTCGTGGGCCTATGATGTCGATGCTCATCTGGCCGCCACTCTCAAGAACATGGCCCGCAGCCACGAGCTTCTCGAGCGAAACATTGCCCGTCTTGGGGCCTCTGTTGCCGAGATGGGACTGAAAACTGACACATTTGCTCCCAAGTCGTCGTCGGAGAGTGTGTCCGAGGAGACCGACGTCGCTCCCGTGCTTGCTGAAGCTTCTCCCATGGCTATCGAGGCTATTGTGGAGGCTGTTGCTGAACAGACCACCGAGGAGATCGTCGAAGAGACTGCTGAGGAGACTGCCGAGGAAACTGCCGAGGAAACTGCCGAGGAGACTGTCGAGGTTGCTATCGAGGCCCCGGCTTCTCCTGCACCTCCCCAGCCCATCCCGGTCGTCAAGTGCACACAGCGTGGCCCTGCGGCCGTATGGTCTACCTTTGACTGCTCGGCCCAGGATCAGAAGGTGTTGTCCCCAACCCTGCACAATGGCTTTTCCGTCTGCTGCAATTCCTGCGAACGCACTATCCCCGACACGCATTACCACTGTTCGACTTGCGAAGGGGGTGATTTCGATTTGTGCCCGGATTGTATCGAGCTCGGCATCACCTGCTACAACAACGAGCACTGGATGATCAAGCGCTACAAAGCCGAGGACGGTGCCCTCGTCAACAGCACGACCCAGCTGTCTCCGGCAAAGTTCAAGCGATCTGCCGAGAAGCTGGTGGACACAGCCCCTACCAAGGAGGTGAAGCCGAAGGTGTCCGCCCCGAAGCTGCCGCTGCTCCCCCAAAAGCTTCCCTTTCGCCCGGACACCTCTGCAGTCTCGAGCAAGGCTGCAGCGAACGTTGCTGCTCAGTTGGTGACTCTGTCGGAGCTCTTCGGCGAGAACGTCGGCCCGCAGATGCGCACCTGCAACAACTGCATCCAGGAGCTTCCGGAAGCCATGTTCCTTCACTGCTCCACCTGCTTCGACTTCGACCTGTGCAAGGCGTGCTTTGTCAGGGACGAGCATGGCCACCATCCCACCCATGCCTTCATTCCGGCTGTTGCGGGTACACTATTCGACAACAACGTGCGGCGTCGGCTGCCTGCGGGTCGGGGCCAGCGTCACAATGCCGTCTGCGATGGTTGTGAAAGCTTCATCACTGGTGTCCGCCACAAGTGCATGGGATGCCCTGACTGGGACTACTGTGCAGAGTGTGTCACGAAGGCCGAACTCACTCACCCTGGCCACCGCTTTATGCCCATCTACGAGCCTCTGTCTGAAGCGTACGAGCAGAGTATCGTCCAAACCGTGCACTCGGGCATCTACTGTGACGGCCCTCTGTGTTCTGGCGTCAGCCGCCATGCCCGTGCGATTGTGGGCGTGCGCTACAAGTGTGCCGTCTGCTCCGACGTGGACTTCTGCGCCAGCTGCGAGGCCAGCCCTGCAAACCACCACAACAAGACGCACCCCCTGATCAAATTCAAGACACCAGTTCGCCACGTTTCGGTTTCTACGACGGGCGAGGACGGACGTGGCCAGGAGATGCTCCCGATGGGTGATCGCTGCCCAATGTTGTCGGCCTTCGACGACCCTCACTGGTCGATGCCTGCGTCCAACGGCATCAACCTGAACAAGGTCCAGACCGTTGTGGATGTCAAGCCTACAGAAGTCGTATGCGCGGCACCCCCTATTCCGGAGAAGATTCCCGAGCCGGCTGCCGAGGTCGTTGCCGTTCAGGAGACACCGGCCGTTGAGCGAGAGGTTGTTGAGCCTTCTGCCGAGAACCTGGATGCCATGTTCGAGCGCGATATCGTTGCGGACGGCACTGTCATGCGCCCAAACCATGTGTTTGAGCAGACATGGGTGCTGCGGAACACCGGCACCGTGGCCTGGCCGGCCGGCTGCTGCGTCCGCTTTGTGAGCGGCGACTACATGGGACACGTCGACCCGAACCATCCTGCTGGCATCCAGGAGCTAGTTTCTGCCTCCGAGTCGACCATCTCGTACGAGACTGTGGCTCCGGGCGAGGAGTTCCCGTTCACCGTTCTGCTCCGCACACCTTCTCGTGTAGGCAAGGCCATCTCGTACTGGCGTCTCACATCGCGCGGCGGCATCAAGTTCGGCGACCGCCTCTGGTGTGACGTGGACGTGAAGGCGGCCGAGGAGGCCAAGACGGAAATCAAGGAGGAGGCAAAGGAGGAGGCAAAGGAGGAGTCCAAGGAGGAGTCCAAGGAGGAGTCCAAGGAGGAGCCAAAGAACGACGAGCTCACCGAGGTCACGGAGACGGCGGCCACGCTCGTGGCTGAGGTACCAGAGAAGACTTCTGACGCTCCGGCCAAGCAGTTGGAAGGCAGCCAGATGATCTTCCCCAAGCTCGAGAAAGAGTCGCCCATCTCCAGCGTCTGCATTGCGGAAGGACACGCAGAACCGGCAACGGCTCCGCATGCCAGCGACAGCTTTGACTTTGACTGGGCCGACGAGGAGTCCGAGGAAGGTTTCGTGACGGATGACGAGTACGACATTCTCGATGCATCGGACGAGGAATCCGTCGACGAGCCGCTGGAAAAGGCACACAAGAAGTAGCCGAGCAGAAGCGTGCTTGGCGGGCGTGTGGCTATGGATCAAGAGGATGATGGATTTGCTATTTAACGTCGTTCTTTGGGCCTTCTGCTTTTGATACAATCGAGTCGCGTGTTTTCTTTTGCCTGTTTTTCTGTTCCTTTTACAACTGCTACTATCCAGTTCCTACTGTTTACCCTTCCTAGAGCAATTCATATTGGCTCTCCTCTCACCCACTCAAATCGAAGTGGACACTGTCAGTCTCCAAATGTCAAACGAGATTGAACATTCCGTCGCTGTTTGTTGTCTTGGCCATCGATCTCCAGTATGTAGGTGGCCGTCGTACTGCGAGCAATTGCAAACATTATTTTTTGTACGGTATTCCTTGTTAGGTAGCAATTAAGTTCTTCCACTTAGTCGGATTGTGATGGTGTATAACATATACGTCTATTCTAACATGGTTTTCTTGCCCAGCGACGCTGTCACGGCACCTGTCCGCTGAGCGATGCTGAGGTCTTGGAACTTGAAGGGCTTGTCTGACGGAGCAGCAGCCTCTTCATTGCGTGCCGTCTTGTCCTGCCACTTTTCTTGCCTGGGCCTCTTGTGTTGGGTCTGCGGCTGTTCTGTCTGCCTCTGCTGTTGTTGTGGCAGCTGCTTCTGTGGCCGGTCCTTGCCGAACCGCTTCTTGTACCGAGCCTGATCGTCCTCGGCAAACTGCACCTTGAGGGTGCGGCCTTTGAGCATGTTGACCCACCACTTGCGCGTCCGGAACCGGGCCTCTTTTGGTTTTACCGACAGTGTCGTCGCTGTGGCGGCCGCCTCGTCTGTCTCAGTTGTCTTGTTGGCCTCGGCCGCCAGAGCCTCGGCGACAAAGTCCTCTTCTGTGTCTACGGCCTCCTTGATGCGGACAAAGCCCAAGACGGCCGAAGCGGCGGCCTCGGCCGGCGTCGGCTGCGTCCCGTCGGTGACCTCGGGCAGGCCAAACTGCACCCAGCCGTATCCCCTGCACTTTTCCGTGTTGTCGGGAAAGGTGGCCACCTTGGCCCAGGCAATGGTTCCGCACGGCGCAAAATGCCGCCGCAGGTCTTCCTCCGTCGTCTCGAAGCCGAGGTTGCCGACAAAGACCTTTGTAGCCGTAGAGCTCGCAGCACCGGCCGACGCTGCTGCTGCCGCTCCGCTTCCGTCTTTGTCTGCTGCCGTCTCGCCGTCGGCCGCGACTGCAGCCGGTTTGGCCGGCCGGCCATCAAACGACTTGCTGTCCTTGATCAGCACGCGCCGTCCGTCCAGCTCGGTCTCGGACAGAGCGGCGGCGGCGACCTGCGCCTCGTACGTGGCAAAGTCGACGTAAGCAAAGCCCTTGTTCTGGACGGCCAGGGCCACACCACCGGCCGCGCCGGCAGGCTCGGCCTCTCGGTCCCGTGGAGGCTGTCCCGGTCGACGCGACGACGTCGGCAGGTTGACGCGCGTGATGTCAGCCTCGGCAATGGTCCCGCCGGAGCTCTCGACGAGCCACTGGAACAGCTGCGTGCGCGTGACCGTAAAGGCCAGGTTGCCGATCCAGACACCAAATTGAGACCGTTCCTTGGATGGCTTGCCGTTCTTGCCGTTCTTGCCGCTCTTTCCGGCACCGTCGTCGTCGGCGGCGTCGTCCTTGCTGTCGGCGAGCGGATTCGGCCGCGGCGGCAGCGGCTTGCCCTTCTTCAGCGCACGCTTGGCCCGCTTGGACGGCGGCTCCGGCAGGCTGACGTCAACCTCGAGTTCGGGCAGATCGGTCGTGCTGGCCTTGCGCTTGCTCTTTTTTTTTGCCGGCTGGTCGTCGCCGTGGCTGGACACGTCATCGGCGACGTCTTCTACCGCTGGCGGCCGTGCCACCTCTATCTTCGTCTCTGTTTCGGTCGCCATTTGTGCACAAGAGCTGTATTGGTCAAAGGAAACGGACAAGCAAATTTGAAAGGCCTACGGAGTACAAAAAGAGTATATTTTTCGATCTAGGAATTTTTCCTTATCGGATATTGCGATAACGATAAGGCTGGCCTAGGCTGGGGGGCTCTAACTACTTTTCAGTTGGGACGGGAGTACTCCGTACTCCGTAATTACAAGGTTAGGCTAAAGTGTTTTGACTAACACTCTTTCAGGGAGGGGTACTTTGTTCTGTCTTACGATCTGTCGAGTAGACAACACATCTTGCCCGATTCAATGTCTTGGATCATCCAACAAACAAATGCTTGCTGTCTGTCAGCATGCAAACTACAATTGACGCTTCCGAGACGGTGGTGCGCTCAGTAATTGTGCGTATGAAGGATGGCCGATTTCCGTGCCTATGCTACTATTCTGTAGCGCCGCTTCTCTCTCCCTGACCGCTTCAATAGTGCACAAAGAACGTTGGCATATTACGAGTGCATAGTATAACTTTTGCACTAACGCACACGCGTGGCTTTCTTTGCCAAGAGGTGCCAGGACAACCTCGGTCTGCGGCCTCTCATTTGCTGGCTGCCCGGAGAGGCTGGTCATTCCACGTATGTCCACTCGTAAGATATATAATAATACGGAGTACGGAGTAATACACGGCACAGCTTAATTCCCTTGCCTGAGCGGCAGGCCGGCCGAATACACCCATATTACGCACCCGCTAAAATCCGCCTCTGCCCCACATCACTGGTCGAGCGCTGTCCAGTGACCACTCCAGCAAAGCACATCCACTAATCGCAGCCGCCGCATGGGCCAGCCAACATATCTGAGCGGGGGCCTCCCTTTCTTATTTTTTCTTCTCTTTCTCTCCCTCTCCTCTTCACAACATTCACGCAAATCCTCTCCCGACAATCCCAGGAGCTGCCGAGGCTCTCTGCCTGCACACCCACACGCCTGTCCGCCCAAGCCGTGTGCGCTGTCAATTCACTGCGACCGTGTCCGAGCGCCCTGCGGAATACTCATTTCCTTTGTCGTATCTATTTAGGCCGTCATCTGGACAAATCCAGTTTTCGCCATCGTCTCATATCTTCTCTTTCCAGCACCAGCATCCATAGTCCACGCCAACGGCTCTACGACATCTGTTTCTCGGTCATCGTATCTGCTACCGTTCCTCATCCAAACGTGTAGCAGACACTTGCCTCATTATTAGTTGGAAATTTCCCCGGCTGTTCGGCATCTCCGACTCGACTTCATTTCCGCACCATCTTCCAGAAGATGAACGTCTTGCTGCCTTCGCAACCCCATCTACTACCACACCAGCACGGGTCTTCTAGACTCTCTCCTTCCCGGTCCAGTATGTCTTCCCGTCCGTTTTCGTCTGCCTCCTGGTTGTCCTGTGTCCCTCGTGTCCCTAATATCTTCTAGTGTCTCCCTCTACAGCCATGGCCCCTTCCAAGAAGCGGAAAGCTGATGAAGAGTTCGGCGACGAGATGTCCGTGTCGCCCATGAGCTCTCCTGCTATCTCGAGCCGTCAACTTTCGCGCCCATCCAAGAAGGCTCGCGCCTCTGATATCACCGGCCGCTCCCTGCCTCTTCCACGGTTGCTCGAAGCTCTTAATGCCTCGCAACTACGCACCATTCTCCAAACCATCTGCGACCACCACCCCGAGATCGCACTGCAAGTCACCAACCATGCTCCACGCCCGACCGCCGCCTCTACCCTGGACCTTCTCGGCGAATACCAGCAGCGGGTGCGTAATGCTATGCCGTACGGCCACTCCAGTGCCGATTACAACTACTACCGCGTCAAGCAGCCGCTTGTGGCCCTGGTCGACGCTATCGCCGATTTCACTCGCCAGTTTTTGCCTCCCGTCGAGACCCATTCGGCTGCTTCGCTGCAGTTCTTGGATGGCGCCACAAAGATCATCCACCAGCTTCCGGATTGGGACAGCGTAGCGCATCGCCAACACAAAGAGGGTGCGTATGATGAGATATCGCGGGCTTGGGCTTTGGTTATCCAGGAGGCATCAAAACGCGGTGGTGGCTTGGCCCTCCTGTCGGAGCACTGGGATCAGATCATCGCCAAGCACAACCACCAGTCCGGCGGTCGGCTTGGTGCTGCCGTGAATGCCCTGTCCACCAATGTTGGCTGGGCTGGTGCCGCCAATAACAGCAGCGCTGGCAGCAGCGCCAGCACCAATGACCCTAACTCTATTCGGAACCAGTTGATGAACGGCACTTTTGGCTCGCCTGTACGGGTTGGCCCGTGGTAGGACGATTGGAGCCGTCAGGAAATCACAGTCTGGAAGAGGCATCACCTCATCCAATCTGTCGACTTATAACGAACCGTTACGATACGCTCGCTTCCCTCTTTCGAATTTTCAAACTTTGTCGTGTTCCGCTTTCTGTGCACTCGGTGTTTTTGTGTCAAGCGTCATTAGACTTCAGTTGAGGACAACCGGGATTCAAGTCAAGGCGGCGTTTTGCTTTTCTTTTGTCCACGTGCTTTTGGTATGCTATTGAATTACACTTTACGTTCGCCTACTCTAGTCATCATACTTTTTCTTCCATTTACGCTGGGCATCTACGTTTCATCGGGCTTTCGTTTAGCTACCCTATGTTGCGGTATGCCGTCTTCACGTATTGCATTATGAGCCTTTGTCATGACCGGAGGAAAATTGGCAATGCCGTGTCCGGGATGTGTAGAGGTAAAATTTGAGTGTACTCATTTGACTCAGCGCGACTCAAGGTAATAGTAGTGCAGCTTATCGATGACGAAACGTATAGTACTGATGGCATTGATGAAGCCGACATATAGTCATCATCCGCATGTGAGAAGTAATCCTCTTGCTCGCACGTATGACATCAAGTAAGAACGACTGAAAATATCATAATCTACGAAATACGAAGAGCCTTACTCGTAACATAGCCTACTAATTCGGGGGGTTATAGAGCAATTTCAACTGGTTTAGAGCGCTTATCCGTTAACCCACCTCTCGTACTCCCTAGATTATCGAAGTCGATATTAGCCGTGATGCCATGGCATTTAATGAGGTACCGACAAGCTGCCACTTTACATTACGAAGTATTCCGTGTCAAATTGTCTGACGCTATTCGCAACGATATCTTGTCCAGTTTATCAACAAACATTGTACTCCACCTTCCGTATTCCGTACCGAGCAACTACGTCGTACGTCGTAATTATGTTGTTATAGCACGGCACGTGCCCCGTGTGGGTGGCCCACAATTATGCTAGGCAGACATGGGGTAAAAATACAATCACGTGATAGTGCGTCGTCCACTCGCGTCTCTGGTAGTTGTTGGATACAGAACGCGTTCTGACGACAGGGCTGTACACATCTGCAGAAAGACAATCACCCCAGTCACCACCCGCAGCCTCTGCCATAGTGCTACATACGATCACCACATAGCTTTTTTCTGTTCTCCAGCTTCGGTCTTTTGTCTGCTTCTGTCTGCACGCAGATGTCCACGCCCGTCTTCGACCGAGGAGCCTTTTGAGGTGGACGGAAAAGTCACGATGCCTAAGTATGGCCTAACTCTTTTACTCGGTTGTGACTGTGAACGGTAGATTTTCTAACACGGAAAAGCCCCGGCGATCAACATACGATTGTGAAGAATCCTTTCCAGGAAGTCGCGCCACGCATGTCCGAGTATACAGCACAGGAAATTGCGACGCTGCAGAACCGATTGGAGAAGCAATTGGGCCCCGAGTACCTGTCTGCCCGTTCTGGTCCGTCTGGCCAGAAAGTTCACTATATTGCCGCTGAGAAGGTCATTGCTCTGGCCAATGAGGTGTTTGGGTTCAATGGCTGGTCTTCCTCCATCCAAACGATCCAGATCGATTTTGTCGACGAACATCCCCAGACACTTAAGATCTCCATCGGTCTATCTGTGATCGTGCGTGTCACCCTCCGCGACGGCTCCTTTCATGAGGATATTGGCTATGGCCATATCGAGAACTGCAAGGGCAAGGCGGCCGCCTTTGAAAAGGCCAAGAAAGAGGGGACGACAGATGCACTGAAGCGCGCTCTGCGCAACTTTGGCAATGTCCTCGGTAACTGCATCTATGACAAGGCCTATGTCGAAAAGGTGTCGAAGATCAAGGTGACGCCAAACAGAAAATTTGACGAGCGCGGATTGCACCGACACGCAGACTATGCCGTCAAGGTAGAGGAGCCGCCGGCAGCACCGCCAGTTTCGGCGGCAGCTGCAGTTCCCAAGGCCGAATCAGTATCTGCTTCTACTTCTGGTGGGCACCCATACCAAACGATGCACGCTGCACGAAAGCCTGTAGACCTAACTGACAAACGTGCATAGCATTCGCAATGGACCCATTCGACGAAGACCTGTTAGGAGGTAAGTCTACGCTCTTGCAACGCACAACAGTATAAGTCTAGACTCTGACACCGGCGCATAACAGACTTTGATGAGGCAGATTTTTGTGTGACTGAGGAGGGCCACCCCGACGAATTCGCAGTCCCTAATCCATCGGTCCCATCCTTGCCACCGCCCGCACAACGGTTTCAGCAGTCAAGAAGTGTCAGCCCTGTCCGCCAAATTCAACCACCACAGCGCCCAGCGGGCAATGCTAATGTCCCGCGGCCACCACAAACACCTAGGCCTAATGGCGGTGTCGGAGGAGGCCGGTCGTATCAGGCAGCCAACCAGGCAGCCAACAAGCCGCAGCCAGCTGGCCATTACCAGGCGGGAAATGCTGCACCACGGCAGAACATGAACAACGGCAGCAATAGTGGCAATGGCAACGGCAACAACAGCAAATCGGTCAAAGAGGAAGAAGGCACGCCGTGGCTATCGGCCCGGGCTATTGCCAAGGTTGGAGAGGGCGATGCTCTGGCTGCCGTTGCGCCTTCGGTTCAGGCAGGACATCTGTTCAATCCCAAAGCTGAGAGCCCATCGATTCGCAAGACTCCAGGTGTTGATCATAACAGCTCAAAGCCAATTCCGAGAGTTCTTCGCCCAGGCGGACAACAAAGCTCGACACCTACGCCCGACAGGAGCCTCGGACACAGCACCGGTGCCGGAAGCGTTGCAGTAATCACAACAGGGATTGGTACAGCAGCTGCTGCAGGGCCAGGGCGTGCCAACTTCAACCATTCGATCCCAGAGTCGGCACGCCGCATAGGGGCACCTTCAAGCACGTCCAGCCCTCTGGCCAACCGTGGCCAATTCCGGCCACCGCCCATGAAACGTGGCCCGCCGGGCGATGCAGCGGCTACACGACAGCCGTTGTCAGAGGTGACTAGCAATGTTCCTACGGAAGTTGGCGGCATAGATTATAAGAGACAGAAGCTTGCGTAACTTGTTCTCATGTGATGAAGCGATGGGGTTCTACGGGCATATTTGTCTTCATGTTCGAGATGGCCAATCATTTGTGGGCATTTGTGCAATGGCGTTTGGTTCTGGGGATTCCCTGTATGGCGATGGGTGGGCTGTTTTGGCTGGAGGAACAACGAGCAGTAATGCAGCTGAAAATAGGGGCATCTTCCCCAGGTTTTGTTCATATGTGGTTTGGTATTGACTGATCTCTGATTGGCTGTGCAGTGTCACTGTAGCCATACTCAGGTCCGATTGCCGGCGCTCGAAAAGGGCACTATAATTTTTTTTTGGCAGGTCCACCCCGCGAAATATTGCACATCAGGCTTCACGCAGTCGACAAGAGGGACATTTGTCACGAAACCAGAGGTGTCATGGGTCCAATCATGCTAGCCGGCCGCTCTGGGGCTCTGGCCAGGGTGAGTAACTTGCGATTCTGGACATGGGTCTTTTCAAGTTGGCTTTCGCTTCTGCTCGCTAACACATTCGGTCGCGTTTGTTCAGCATCTTCGGCAGCTTCCTTCTCAGCGCTCCCTTCCGGCAGGAACGCGGCGGCTTTTCTCGACGGTAAACGATGCAGCTGCACTAACGCCCGTCTACGAGCGGCTGTATAACAAATATGCAGAGGTTCGGCGGGTGCTGGGCCCGGACCGGCGCCTGACGCTGGCCGAGAAGATCCTTTACAGCCACTTGGACAACGTGGAGGAGAATCTGCTCACAAACACGGACAACGGGCGGGCGATCCGGGGACAGGCGAACCTGCTGCTCAATCCAGACCGGGCCAACATGCAGGACGCGTCGGCGCAGATGGCATTGCTGCAGTTCATGACGTGCAAGCTGCCACAGACGGCCATTCCGGCCAGCATCCACTGCGACCACCTGATCGTGGGCGAGAAGGGCGCGGACTCGGACCTGGAGGCGGGCATCGGGACCAACGGCGAAGTGTTCGACTTTCTCGAATCGGCAGCCCGCAAGTACGGCATCGACTTCTGGCCGCCGGGCGCAGGCATCATCCACCAGACGGTGCTGGAGAACTATGCGATCCCGGGCATGATGATGCTCGGGACCGACAGCCACACGCCCAATGCGGGCGGGCTGTGCACGATTGCCATTGGTGTGGGCGGCGCGGACGCGGTGGAAGCGCTTGTGGGGGCGCCGTGGGAGCTAAAGGCGCCTCGCATGCTAGGGGTGCGGCTCACGGGCCAGCTGAGCGGTTGGGTGTCGCCCAAGGACGTGATCCTGCATCTGGCCGGGCGGTTGACGGTGCGTGGTGGTACGGGCTTCGTGATCGAGTATTCGGGGCCGGGCGTGGACACGCTGAGCTGCACGGGCATGGCGACGATCTGCAACATGGGCGCAGAGGTGGGGGCGACGACATCCCTGTTCCCGTACACAGCAGCCTCGGGACGGCACCTGGTGTCGACGCGACGAGGACAGGCGGCACTGGATGCAGAGCGGCTGACGCAGTTCCGCGGCGTCAGCGGAGCATCCTTCCAGTTCGCAGCGGACGAGGGCGCCGAGTACGACGAGGTGATTGAGATTAACCTATCGGAGCTGGAGCCACACGTCAACGGTCCGTTCACGCCAGACCTGTCGATTCCGCTGTCGCAATTCGGCGAGACGGTGGTGCAGGAGCAGTGGCCGGAGAAGCTGTCGGCCGGGCTGATCGGCAGCTGCACCAACAGCTCGTACGAAGACATGACGCGGGTGGAGAGTCTGCTGAAGGCGGCAGCGGCAGCCGGATTGCAGCCGGCATCCGACTTTTACGTGACGCCGGGCAGCGAGCAGATCCGGGCGACGCTGGAGCGTGACGGCACGCTGGAGGCGATCAGCGATGCTGGCGGCGTGTTGCTGTCCAATGCATGCGGTCCCTGCATCGGGCAGTGGAAGCGGCGTGACGGGGTGGAAAAGGGAACGGCCAACGCGATCTTCACATCGTACAACCGTAACTTCCGGGGACGCAACGACGGCAACCTGCAGACAATGAACTTTTTGGCGTCGCCGGAGATCGTGACAGCACTCGCATTCGCGGGCTCGACGACGTTCAACCCGCTGACGGACGCGATCCCGACGGCAGACGGCGGCGAGTTCCGGTTTCCAGCACCACAGGGACTGGAGGGACCACCGCAGCCGTTTGACGAGGGCCGGGCAGCGTTTGCAGTGCTGTCACCGGCACCGGACGCGTCGATCGAGGTGGCGATCTCGCCATCATCGGAGCGGCTGGCAGTGCTGGAGCCGTTTGAAGCCTTCCCGGACGGCGACCTGGAAGGGCTCCGGGTGCTGGTCAAGGTGGCGGGCAAGTGCACGACGGACACGATCTCGGCAGCCGGGCCGTGGCTCAAGTACAAGGGCCATCTGCCCAACATCAGTGCCAACACGCTCAACACGGCCGTCAACGCGGCGACAGGCGAGGTCAACGTGGCCTATGACCTGGACGGCAGCCAGACGACGATCCCGGAGCTGGCGCTGCGCTGGCGCGAACGCGGACAGCCCTGGCTGGTGGTGGCCGAGCACAACTACGGCGAGGGCAGCGCACGCGAGCATGCGGCCCTGCAGCCACGCTATCTGGGCGCACGCGTCGTGGTGACCAAGTCGTTTGCCCGCATCCACGAGACGAACCTGAAGAAGCAGGGCGTCGTACCACTGACGTTTGCCAACGAGGCCGACTACGACCGCCTCGAGGCTGGCGACGAAGTGGCCACCGTCGGCCTGCACGCCATGCTGCATGCTGGCGGTAAGGGCGACGTGCAGCTGCGCGTCACCAAGGCCGCTACGGGCGAGCAGTTCCTGGTCTCGACCCGGCACGCCGTCAGCAAGGACCAGGCGGAGTTTATTTTGGCCGGCAGCGCGCTAAACATGTTGTCGAAAAGGTGAGAAGGGAGAGAGAATGAGATAAGAGGAAGACAAAAGGAGCAAGGGTGGTCGGTAAATGGGTTGGTACATATGCTTTCCTCGTACTAGGGTTTGACTTCGATTAGCGATTGAACATGCTGTCCTATCAAAACTGGACAGCCTATACGCAGCTGCCTTACGGAGTACAGAGCATCGGATCCATCAGACATTGTCACGTGATTCTTGCTCGTGTCTACGGCGTCGTCGGAGTTGTACAAGCTTGACTTGAGGTTCGAGCTGTATAAATTAGACAAGTCCAGCGCACTTGTTCCTAAATACAAAAATTGCAGAGCTTTTATCATTGCATCTTCGAGCCCTATACCTTATAGTAATCGCTCTGCAGCCTGTAGCCAGTTATTGAAAGTTGCAACATACTTGTTTTCTATACATGGACAAATTCCACGAATCGCTTAGACAATGGATGCACTCGACCAGAGCAACACGTGCGACAAAGCCGGCGGCGACGTAAAAGACGGATTGCATACTAATGTATCAAAGGTGTTAAAGCAATGCCTTCTGTTCTTCCTATACAGAAGTGAATTGTCGTTGTATAAGACCACAAACGCAACTATAGTGCTAAACGAGCAGCACGCTTTATATAGTAGTATACGCAAACCCATATCACCACTCACTGCCTTATAAGCCGAGATGCTCGGACAAAGACGTCCTTGAGTATTTGGATCAAACCGAAGCAGTGAACACAGGTCTCGCAGTTTGAAACTGAACGTTGGTATTGCAGACGATGTACTTTGCTCAGCTCTCGTACGGGAGAGCGAGAATGAAACAGAAACCGGTATATAATATCCCCGACAGATGGTCAGAGTCCCAGAACAACACTCCCTGCCGACCCGGCAGAACTGACGATGAATGACGAAAAAGGCAAGAAAATCGCAGACTAAAATATGTACACACGCCATCGCGTTGGAGACGTACAGCAGAGCAGAACGAGGCAGAAGTTTACCGTCTGCTCTCTTCTACGCCTCGGTCTGTCCTTGGCGATCTGCTCGCTGCTGCAACATCTTCCTCCGTCTCTCTTCGCCGTGCTGAGAGAACAGGCCTATGAACTTCATCCACTGCTTGTTGCTACGGACCTCTGGAGGCAGGTCCTTGTCTGACGTGGCCGAACTAGCAGCGGTCCGACCAAGGCCGATTCCAACACTGCTGTCTGCGCTCTCGTCCACATCGCAGTCGGCATTGGCAGTCCCGTTGGCGACGCTAGTGGCTGTTCCACTGGCCGTTCCCTTGGGCTTGTTGCTAGCCCAAGTGGCGGTCTTGCTTGCTACCCCATTGGTGGTGCTGCCGCTTCCACTGCCGCTTCCGCTGCTTGACAGCTCTCGCCGTCGCTGATCGGCCAAGCGCTGGGTTACCTTGCCAAAGTTGGCTTTGCGGCCACCGCGCGCTCTGATCTCCGTCTGCTTGGCATCGTGCCAGCTGGTCGGCCGTGGCCGCATCCAGTGAATCCGCGGGTCGATGTGCGCGTATATGTACGAAGGGCGGACCGAGAAGGACGTCGATGCTGCCACCGATGCCGTCACAGCAGCCCGGGCACGGGCTGCCGCCATCTCGGCCCCGGACGGCACCACCACGCCCGGTGGTGCTTCGGCCGCGCTCTCCTGGCTGTAGACGTAGGCGTCGAGTGAGAGGTGCTGCGTCAGCGGGACGTGGACCGGCCTGAGTCTCCGGGGCCGGTCGCCGCAATCGCGGTCTTGGCCCTGGCTCCGCCGATATAATGATGCGATGCACAGCGGCGTTGAGGGTATGGGGAGGCGTGCGTGTGCGAGATCGTTCAAGTCCAGGCTTGCATACTCCGATCTTTCCAGCCCAGCGCCTGTCGCTCTGTCCCGTCTTCTATACTCCACGTCCCACCAGCCTCGCAGTCCCGATCCGGTGTGTCCAGGCGCGGCTTCTCCCCCGTTCTCCTTGTCGTGTAGGCTTTTGTGGCTTGTGTGAAGTTTGCCGTTCGTCGGCGCTGCCCCCCGATTGCTGTTGTCTCTGTCTGGAACTAGACGTCCACCAGCCATCCTCCCGACGGCACCATTCTGGCTTTCTGGCGAAGCTGTCGTGGACGGATGCGCGAAGTCATCAGAACCTGGCAGCGAGCTGCTGTCGCTTTCAAACTCGTCCCTCGACCGCTTGTGCGAGATAGGAGGACGTGTACGCGCCAAACTGCCTGCAGACGGTGAAAATGCACCCTCTTTCTGAACCGTCGAGCTGGACGGCAGGAAGGGCTTGTGGACGCTGGGGGCGGTTTTTCTCCGCAAAAAAGGCAATCGCGACTGTGCTCCTATCTTGGACGCCGACGGCGACGGAGGCCCCGGAGTCGGCGCATCTGGGCCGCTGATGCGCAGGCTGCTGGTGGGCTTCTTGGGCTTCACCCCTATGCTCTGCAGGTGTTCCTGGCATAGTGGGGCTCCAGCAAAGGACGGCAATTTGCAGCTGGTAAAGGAGCAGACCGCCCCGACCGCACGGGTTTCACTGTTGCTCATAGTGCCGCTGCTGGGAGTCGGCGGCATCGCTCCTCGTGCCATTGTTTGCGCCTATTCGTCCTCTCCCTGGCTCGGAAGAGTCGCCCGGTGACCTGGCTACCGGTTAGGATGCTGCAAGAGGAAAACTCCAAAGTCATCGAGATCTGGCTGCTCACCACCCCTGTAGCGACTTGGAGTGAGCCAATCCTCGCAGAAAAGATTGTCTAGTTGGGTTGGTAGCCGCAGTCAATGAGGACATTGGAAACGGAGATGTGGCTGTATGATATACTATGTCGTGTAAAGTAAGTTGCTTTGGGGTGGCGTTAGTCTGTATCGGACCCAACCTCTCTTCTTTGTCTTAGGGGGGAGGGAGGGCGGTGTCCGTCTCAGGTCTTTTCAGTTTCTTATAATAGTCATCCTCCGGATGGCTCAACGGCTTCGCAAGAGAGCTCCCGCACCGACCGTCCATCTCGCAGAAGAGTATAGGAACAAAAGGCCAACACCCAAAGGTGTGTCCTTTCGTCAAATAAACGTTCGCGCCCCTAAATGTTTGCCACAGCCTTTGGTCTCGGTGCCGTGTGAGTGCGCAAAAGGGAAAAATACCTTTTGCGGGGCGGCAGCCGAGGCCCCAAAAAGGTGGCAGTACACAAGCATCTCAATCAGGAGACAGAGGTGTGCTCGGCACTTGATGGACAGCACTCGTCCAATTCGGGACAGGCCATGGTCGTAGGCACAGCCGGAGGTATGAGCCAGAGAGCTGGCTGACAGTGAAGGAAGCGACTAGCTAGGGCCAGCCTCCCCTTAGAACAGCCAGATTGCGAGACGGCAGGATAAGGAGCAGCTCAAGCAAAACCAGGAGAGCACAAGTTCCGTCTGACCTTTTACCAATAGTCATCATAGACGGACGTCTGGGGATATTGCAGGGAAGTGCAGGTATATAGGGTGGTGTAGCCTTGGAGGAGATGAAAGGTGGATGGAGAAATAGGCGAAATGCGACGGGAGGAAAATAATGCTGATGAAAGAGACTCGGCCGAGCACTCACTCACCTGCGCCACGCGTTTGGCCCTGAGAGGCGACTGCGCCAGAGAAAACAAAGCAGATTCTTCTGCACGTCTGTCATTGGCACCGGCGCCCTGCCGCGGTGAAAATCATGAAGACGGGCGGCCGATCTAGACGACCCAACAACAGAACAGGGGAAACAGAAGAATGAGGCCAAGGCAGCGGAGAGCCGGCTTTTCGGCACCGCGCCGCGAAGAATGTGCGTCGCGGTCTTGCTGGCCCCACGGCACGGACGATGTGGTGCTCTCGCCGACAGACGATGCCAGACACAGACGAGAGACGGAAGACGGAACGGCGTGGGCGTGCGAGGCGAGCAGTTGGCGACGTCGTCAAAAAACAAGAGACGGACGGCTGTGAATTTCACTGGTGCTTTGCGCTTGGGCGCTGAAGTGCGACCGTATCTGACTAGTCCAAAACGCTCTTGCCGTCCTCGGATTGGCTGACATAGGGGACAGATCACGTGTTCGCACGCCGGCCTTCTCCTGCCCCCTGCGGATATAGTACTCCGAGTGAGAGGTGGGTCTTCGGCTTGGGATTGTCTTCATCGCCAGCGGTTTTCGCGCCTCAGCTTGGCTCGCGTTGGGCGTCTCTACGACGACCACGTGGCGCACAAGGGGCGGTCTGTTGCTGGCACTTGACTCCTGACAGCCGACAATTAGCAACGCAGTGGGGGCAGCCCCGCGCTCGAGGCTGTGAAGTACACGGCCTCCAGTATGCTTGTCGGAGACGTATATACTCCGTGCTACTAGCATTGTCGGCATGTCAGGGTCGTCTAATACGAGCGTTCAGCATCACATGTGAATACGACCGTAGAATTGTGATGATCAGCTGTGTTTGCGGAGGAACCATTCCACGCAAAATTGATGCTTTTCGATTTTATAGCACTTTTACCCATAGATGCAAATTGACCAGGGTTGTTTACATCTCGCACCTAGAGCTGTGTCCTCCAGAATTTGCTCACTCATGCACTGCAGTGTAGCCAGGGACTACTATCTCTCAGTCCGGGACCGTATTACTCAGATCGCACGAGAACATTCCGGATTGTTCCCGAGTTGATTATACTATTTCACTTCCGATATACGACTGGCATAACCGATCTCCAAGTCTCGAATAGTTCCTATATTGAATGCGTCCGAACCCTAACTCATACAGAGTGGTTGCACCCCGAAAATGCGCCCGGAAATTTCCGGCTTCTTTGATTTAGCCGATGCTATCTCCAGCATCTGTTGGATCTTGAAATTGCGGGTGTAAAAGCAGTGCGAATCGAGTGGGAATGTAAAGGTTCAGACATACCTGTGCTTTCCCGACAGTATAAGACGATCCCCAACATTGTGGACCAGAGCTAGTAGAAAGGAGACAGAAAACAGGCGAAGGACCATGAAAAGCACAGAATTCACAGGAACAGACATCTCACTAATCACTGTAAGCTGGCGCAGACATCCACTCGCCAATCATTAATCATCGCATCAGCGTCGAGTTGTTGTGAAACCAGACGATTTGCGAAGTGGTTGTCGGGCCCGGAACAACGATATCCCGGTGACATCTTCTGCCAGAATGGGTAGGAGGGGCCACTTATCGTCAACGTCTAGTTCATTACCAGTATAACACGTTCGTGTTGCGACGCGACAACACCGCTGTCGACGAGCCTTTTGCTTCTTTGCTTACCTGCCCCATTATTCCAGCCTTCTGGCAGGGCTGTCGTCCGTTGATGGAATTCTTCAAGTCCGCGGTCGCATCGGCCATCGCCAAAGGATCGGCATTTCCTTATTCATTTGGCGACCGCGTCGATCTCGATCCATCAATATGGACCTTATACAACGGAACTCGTCGAGTACGTTCCTTGCCAGCCGTCCACTACCCAGCCGTTGTATTGTCTGGGACTTCCAGCTGACACCCACCAGGAAGACGGTTCCGACTGCAGCATCTTCTCCTTCGACATCACCGCAAATAAGGCACGTCTGCCATTGGCGCGCAATGCGCTCAAGAAGCTTCGAACCCTGCGACATCCCGGCGTGATCAAGGTGCTGGACACTTCCGAAACAGACACATACATATACATTGCAACCGAACGCATTGTTCCGCTCAGATGGCACCTGAAGCGAAAGAGCGTGAGCCCGGAAACGCTGAAATGGGGGTTGTTCAACATCGCGGTACGGACCTCTCGGCCCTTCTCCATCGACGGGGAGCGCTCCTGAACCTATACTGACAACGACCGAAGAGAACCATAAAATTCATCAATGATGAGGCATCGTCAGTTCACGGCAGTCTGAAAGTCTCGTCTGTCTTCACATCCGAAAGCGGCGAGTGGAAGCTCGGTGGCTTTGAGGTGTTGAGCAATGTCAAAGATGACGAGGCCGTTATCTATGTACGCTGCCATCTGCTAAGCCATGCTCACACTCTCTTTTCTAACACTGTCGTCTAGAATCTAGGGAGCTTGGTGCCTGACGCAGGCAGATATACACCCCCGGAGCTTGTGAGGAATGGGTGGGAGGCGATTAAGCGCTGCAACCACTCGGCCGTGGACTCTTTCAACTTCGGCATCTTGCTATACGAAGCTTTCAACAACGGCGATTACACTGGGACCGACCAGGCTGGCCAAACCAAGGGCATCCCACCCACGATGCAGACCGGCTACAAGAGGCTCGTGAACGCCAATCCCAAAGCGCGAATAACTGTTGGCAACTTCCTCGAATTAGGACAGCGAAGCGGTGCCTTTTTCGATTCGCCTCTAATCAAGTTGACGGATGGAATTGAAAACCTCGGGGTCAAGTCCGAAACAGAGCGGGAACAGTTCTTGGAGTACGAGCCAGCCCCATCTCTTGTTCCCTGCAACCTGCTGTTTCCGTGTCGCATGCTTACATGACGCAGTGACCTCAGCGATCTGACGGATGACTTCCCGGAAGACTTTTTTAAGATGAAAGTGCTTCCCGAACTCCTGAAATCGGTCGAGTTTGGTGGCGCCGGCCCCAAAGCTTTCTCCATTGTCATGAAGATCGGCACAAAGCTCTCGAATGAGGACTTTGATACAAAGATCACCCCGGTGGTCATCCGACTGTTCGGAAACCCTGACCGGGCCATTCGTGTGTGCCTGCTTGATAGCCTTCCGCTCATGATAGACCGGCTTTCGCAGCGGACTGTGAACGACAAAATATTTCCGCAAGTTGTATGTATTGCTTCTGTGCTGCTCCACGCGGTCTGCTGACATTGTCCACAGGTGAGCGGCTTCACAGATCTGGCGCCTGTCGTGCGTGAACAGACACTGAAGTCGGTTTTGGTGTTGATCACCAAGCTTTCTGAGCGCACGATCAATGGTGAGCTTCTGCGGTATCTGGCCAAGACTGCCAACGACGAACAGCCAGGCATTCGCACCAACACCACCATCTGTCTCGGAAAGATTGCCAAGAATCTCGGCACGTCGTCAAGGTCCAAGGTCCTGATCGCGGCATTTTCAAGGTCAATGCGTGACCCCTTTGTACATGCTCGCAATGCCTCGCTCATGGCTCTGGCAGCCACAACAGAGTACTTCACCCCGGATGACAGCGCGCTCCGAATATTGCCGGCTATATGTCCTCTTTTGCTCGACAAAGAGAAGCCGATCCGAGACCAGGCCTTCAAGACTATGGAGGCATTCATGCACAAAATCCAAAAGGCAGCCTCTGGCATGCCAGAGACCGCACTGCCACCACCGACGGCCACAGCCGATGGTATTGAGCGTGTGAGCACGCCACAGCCCGGCGGCCAGACAAATGGATCTGGATCCGCAGGATCCGCCGGGTCGTGGGCCGGCTGGGCCATATCGTCCTTTACCAATAAGATATCAACAGCGGCAGGCGAGATTGGGGCAGAGGGGTTGTCTGCAAACGGCGCCCCGGCAGCCAAGCCGACTCCTCCAGTCCAAGCTGCACCAATTGTATCAGCTGTAGCAGCTGCTAAACCTGCGGCCGCCCGAACATTGTCTGCCTCGGCTCTGCATCGCCAGGCGGTCAAGTCTCCGCCGACATCGGCACCTATGTCCCGAGATTCGTCGACATCCAATGTGGCAGCCGAATCATACTTTGCACAAGACGACAGCAAAGATGCCGATGCGTGGGGCTCCATGGACGACGGATTTGGCGACGAGAACGGAGCCGATGCGTGGGACTCCCCGGCGGCAGACGAAGACCCGTTTGAGCCCAAGGCACAGAAGACTACGACCACAGCAGCGAACCAAGCGGTCAGCAGCGGCAGTGGCGGTGTGCAGCCGTTCGGCGCAGATGATTCGGAGCCCGACTTTGCCGGCTGGCTTGCGGCGCAGGCGAACAAGAAGGGTACCAGCAAGCCGCTGCCAAAAGGCCTCTCGAAAACATCTGGCAACGCCAACACCAAGCGACCAACCTCGACTAGGCTGTCATCCACACCAAAGACAGCCTCAGCTCCCAAAAAGATTGACCTCAAGCCAAAAGATACAGATGATGCCGACGACTGGGGCGATGGCTGGTGAGAGAAGGGGAAAGCACTTGGTAGAGGCAGAGGCAGGGGCCTTGGTTTTCATTTGAGTGACGTATAGGGGACTTTATTAATATCAGATACATGAAAGCGGCAAGTTTGATTGGCCACGCGGCAGCATCGTCGCGACTGGGACAGCGACATGGGATACCAAGAGGGATGGGGAGAAGACGATGCATTCTTGTTTTGTCCTAATCTTTGGATATCCTCATAAGCATAGCGTTCAGTGTGCCAACTGCCCATCCTATTCAAGTAATCGCATATAAACGGTCCGTATTTGCAAATGGCATCTTTGCCTCTTCTTCCCTGCATCGGGTATCCTTCCCACACGAAAGTCAGGTGAAGTCCAGCTCTCTCTTTCTCTCTGTTTGGACGAGCCATCTCTCGCTCACGATAGGAGAAATCTCCACGTCAGCTCAGGAGTGTCCTTTAGTCTCAATTCTTAAGCGTGTACTCTGCTGCACGCTCTTCAGTCGGCCGTCTGGCGCAGTCTGGTTTGGATGGATGGAAGCCTGTCGGCTCGCCGATCGCCTCACCATCTCCCCCAACTCGTCCGGTCTCAAATGGGGCGAAAAGCAAAAGCGTGGAGATGGCAGGGCGGACAGAACGAAAGCAGGGGACAGGAGCGGCCACCACTGGCTTCTCCTTCTCGTACGGCATGACCTCCCGGGTTCCTGGTCCCTGCAGCCTATCGCGTGTCGGAGTAGTCGTTCAAGGCCACGCAAACGGCACCGCGATGGTGGCCGTTGTACTGCCGGATGACCTGCTGGCTGTGCAGCTCCCACAGGCGGGCGTAGTGGTCGGACGAGGCGGTGACCAGATAGGCCGAATCGGCGCTGAAGGCGCAGTCCCACACCCAGCGCTGGTGCTGGCTGAGCGTGGCGTTGAGCACGAGCGGCTTGGGCGTCTCGTCGGGGGCCAGCGGCGTCGTGTCCACCTCCCAGATCTTGGCCGTGTGGTCGGCGCTGCACGTAGCCAGCCGCTTGCCGTCGGGCGACAGCAAGATGCGCGTGATGAACTCCTTGTGGGCGTTGAATTGCGTGATCGGAACCGGTTTCGTTCGTTCGTACATTGGTAACATCTGCCAGATGAAGACGTTGCCCTAAGGAAAAGTCAGCCGCGCCTTCTTTCTTTCTTTCTCTTTCTCTCTCTCTTCTCGCTCCCCCCCTCCCTCTCCGATTCGCCACCATTCTCACATTGTTGTTCGCTGCGCAGAGCAGATAGCCCTCGATCCCCATAGTCACGCAGGCCACCGACACGTCCTCCTCCGGGATCAGCTCGTGTGTGCAATTGTTCTCGGACAGGTCCCACACGCGAATGCTGCCGCCGCGGTCGCAGCTAATGATCTCACCCTGGTTTGGATGGATCACCACGTCGTTGACCGGACAGCCATGACTGTACGACCGCTGGATCATGGCTGTGCGCGTGTCCCAGATCTTGACCGTGCCGTCCTCGGAGCTCGTCACCATCCATTTTCCCTCGCAGTGGAATGCCACGCCCGTCACGTTGGTCGTGTGTCCCTCAAAGACCAGAAGCGGATTCGGGTTGGTCGACTTGATGTCGAAAAGCTTGACCGTGTGGTGGCCCGCCGCCGCCAGAAACCGCTTGTCTGGCGAGATGCATAGCCGATTCACCTGCGAATCTGGGTGCTGAATGGTACGCGAGCAGATGCCCGACAGTGCCTCCCAAAACCTGTCAGCACCTCCGTCAGCCTCTGGGCTCCAGTTCGGTCTAGGGGGCGGGGGGGTGTCGGGTAGCACGCCGTCAGCGGCTGTTTCGCTGAGGCTCGAAGAACAGTCAGCCTTCTTACCGGATCGTGTGGTCGTAACCGGCTGATTTCCCGCGGTCTATTAGCTGCGTCTCTCCACAGACATCTCCCCAATTCCGGGACCTGGAAATGGCCCACCTGTGCATAGAATGACCGACATTCTGGCTTTCGTCAAATGTCCGTTCTGGTAGCAGAGGAGAACGTCGCCAGCTGTGATCGCTTGTGGCTATGGGAGGTGGGGAATTTCCAAAGCTCCCAATTACCTGCGCTGGCTGTTTGCTTAGTCATGTTTCGTGGCTTGTATATCACGTGATCACTTACACCAGCAACGCCCTGACGGAGAAAGACTAGAAAATAACGACAACAAGTTCGCGTATGCAAAAGGTAATATGGACCTGAAACGACATGTCCCCAGTCACAAGTGTGTCAGTGATCTCAGATGTTTATATGTAGCCACCCGTATCCGTATTGGCATGTTCTGGCTGCATCGCATCTGCAATCTGTGCACCTGCACAGACGGATACTGCGTAGAAGATCTCTGTATACCCTCAAGACCTACGCTGGTAATATGACAGGTCATATTTACATGATAGCCCAAATCTTACACATTTCTGACGGTTATAAAGATGGCAGCGTGGCTAGTTGGTACGCGTCACTTACACTGTAGCTACTGTTGCCTACCATGAGCATGCTTTGCCTTCGAATTCTTTTTCACCCAAAAGAACTTCGCATTACTCCGTATAGTCTCCCATTTACAATGGGTTCTTTCTAGCACGACTAGGATACATAGTCAATCACAGTTCTTCCCATTTCTCAATTCTTATAGCTATTAGGCAATACTTCAACGATTTGAATGTTGCGATTGCTGCAATCGAACTGCTAATTATTGTAGAGCGATATGTCTCAAGTACTACCTCTGTCATAATCCGAATCCCAATATTGAGAGTCATGCTGCGTACATGATGCCTCTTATCGTCTGTCACTGCCGCTTCTTTCGCAGTTTTCCCTTTCACTGCTGTGAGGTTTCCCATCTGGCGATGTTTTTTCACCGTCGCTTAGGTATCGCGATCTTCTTCTAGGCGATGGTGAGGGCAGAGTAGAGGGAGAGGGCAACGACTTTGAAGAAGGTGAAGACGTCGTGGATGAGGAGCCACTTCTGTTGTTAGAGCTGTCTACTTCCGAATTTTCTGCCTCGGTCCCTGTATCACTGTCTCTGGAAGAGGACAGGGATCGCTGGCTCTTTGAACTGCAAGGCAACGTCCTAATAGGTATAGCCGTCGAAACTTCCACCGAAGACGGCGTGGCGGATGTGTCAGAGGAGGTTGAAGCAACTGGCGTGTCGAATGAACTCTGGCTATGGGGGCAGGGAGCTTCAACATATGCGAGTCCGTGACAGTGAGGACAGCTGGGGCATCTAGTGGAGTGTCAGAAAACTATGAGGCGATCAATGCAATTTTGACACCACATACTCACTCAAGGTAGCTCCCGGAACAATACAAACACGGCTCGATTATCTGGTCGCAGCCACAACGCTTCCTTGGCCACCCGAGGACAAAATCGTCACAGAAGTGTTCGGCTGACATCCTTGCAGGGACCAACCGTCTTATCAAGAATTTCGAAAGTCGTTGGACTGTGGTTGAACTCCAGACAGGCGAGGTCGAGACGGGATTCCCCGGATATAAGTATGTGCAAACCCGATAAACAAAATAGCGCAAGGGTGCATCTGGGCCGCGATATCGTTAGTTGCTATTCCGTGTGCCACTGAACTCATGAAAGGTCGGTGGTTATTATATTTTCGTTGTGTCTGACATCTTGTCTAAGATACCTGACGGATACGAGAAAGTTTGCGCGTTCTAGAGGATCGCAGGCTGTCCCTGCAGACCGGTTTCAGCACCAAGAGTCTGCTCATATTGTCTCGTCTCAGTTTTTTTTCAGACAAAAAGGCAAGCTGCCTTGTCTCTCGGTCCATTTGACCTGCTGTTGCGTAATAAATCAGGGTTACCGCCATCTCAGCACATCAGCGAACCTGCCAAGCCCTCTTCCGACACTCATGCCATACCGACCTCTGCCTTTGTCTGTGTACATCTTTTCCCCGTCCGCCATGCTCTCACCGAGAAGTGCAAGCATTGGGAAGCACACGAAGGAGTTCCCTGGCCTCACCGCCTCCTTGTCCTAGGGTAAGCACTGGTTGCTGAAACGTTGTGGTTCATTCTGATCCCCCCGATTCCCGGCTCAGGAAAGACAGATCGACCCATTCTCCCCGGCTTTCCGCTCGCTTTCTCGTCGCACGTTTTAGATCGACACGAGCGGCGGATTGAAACTGTGGAGACTCAGTGGACTGCCTTGTCATTGTTCTCAAGGACAGCCACGGCACAATTCCACATGCTGCATCGGTGTTGGAGCTCATACAATCGATGCTCATAGCACAACATGCACCCCTTGAAGATATCGTGGCGGATACGAATAACAGTCGTGTTGCAGTTGAAGTTCCTCGGCTTCAGGAAAACGAAGCTGCAAACAAGCAGCGTACAACTTATATACGCTGTATCGACGACACCCATCTCGCGCATCGTACTCTCCTAAGCATATGAAAAACGCGGTCTACTATAGTTGTATTGTTGTATCTATCAAGTTCGCACCATGTGTTGGCCCGGGGTGCAACCATTTCACGAAAAGAAGCCTAAAGGGCATGATCATGTGCCTCGCATAGAGGCCGGAAAACAAATGGCCCAAGTGAAACCTCAGAATGCGACTGCACTTCCACATGCGAGTTCCCGAAGGCCTTGAGACTCAAACTGTCCTATGTGAAGTCGTCCCCGAATCGGACGGACGAGCCTCAGACAATTTGTTCATTTCCACGAATCCAACAGCAAGACTGCAAGTAGGGCAGATTAACTAAATAAGATAGAAGTAAGACAATACTCCGTCGAAAGTATCGCTTCACTACCACCGAGCTGTGTAGATATGCACCACTGGTACAACACCGGGTGCGCAACTTGTGCAATTACCGTTGTTTCACGTCCTTCTTCGAACACTTTTGATAGGTCTGTTTCTAAGCATCATTGTTCCAGATGTGATTCCAAGTGTTTTTCCACCATGCCTTCTTAACCTCTAGCACCCTGCAAAATGGAAAACAACTTGCAAAGTACGAAAATACATGAAGCATTTAACTGAGAGGGACTGATATCCTTGAGCAGAAAACAGAAAATTCTGTCCGCCGGCTTGTGTATTAGTAGATAGTGTCGTAAGACTTCATGAATTAAAAAAAAGGCCACAAGACTTGCTTAAAAACAAAGACGGGAGAAAAAGCCTTAATAGGCTCGAGTAACTAAAAGCGACTGATATAACATGTCGTTGAATCAACATACAAACCCCATCCGGTTGCCATCCATTGTGCCCAATCCTCCGTCCTAACGTGCCGCGCAACTTCATCCCCTGTCGGGAACGTACGATACATGACTGGGGTGCCATAGTAGAAACTATAAATCAGCGGAGAATGAGAACAAGACAGGAAATAAAGATGAGAAAGGAGATACGTCACTCGTCAGTGTTAGTCGTGGAATAACAAAGTCATGCCAACATCATCAAAGAGAGGGGGCAGTGTAAATCAGAGACCCCAGAACTACAGCACCACCCAGAGCAGCAATACCAATTTTCTCAGCAACTGCCCACATTGTCCCCTTCAATTTTCTGTTGGACTGCACAGCAGCTTCTGTGGCCTGGCGTTTAGGAGGCGACTGAATAGCCGACCCACTGTCGCCGTGAGTTCCGTTGCCCAAACTGTCCGAAGAAGATCCAGTCAGTGCACTATCCATAGCCACAGGCACATCTTCAGGTACTGCCAACATCTCGTCCACCTTGCGCTTCTTGTTGGTTGCCTCCATTTTCTTTTTAAGAGCATTGAAGACAGCCGCACTCAACATGGCGTCGCCATTCTCATCTTCGACGACGTCGACGACGTCAATAAAGCTTGCGGGCTCGTTCGGGTAGGAGCATAGGAACGCTTTGCCAGACTCGAGAAGTGCAGTAGTGGCAACGGGCTTTGAGAAATCAGAAGACGTGATGTTTGCAGATACCGGAGCATCGGGCGAGGCGTGGAGATTGTTGGGGGATGAGCGCGTTGCCAAAACAATGTCCGTGTCCATCTTTTGGTTGCTGCCACCTGCTACGTAACTGACGTGGTAGAGAGCCTCGAGGTAAGCCGAAGTCAGACTTTCCTCGACTGGCTCCATAGGGGCAACTTCAGTCGCCACGGCCTTTCCAGACGCTTCCCTGACAGGCGACGATGGCGGCGGGGATGGATTGAGAATAGAAGAGATGTTACACTTCTTCGCCACGTTGAGTAGCGCATCGTTACAGGAAACAACATGATTGTCATCGGTGTTGTTATCGGCGGCGGCCTCGCCATCCTCCATCCGATCGTCTGCCGCGTCGTGGGCTAAATACAGATTTATATTAGCACAGTAGCATGCAAAGGAGAAACAACACACATACCAATATTCTTCGAAGTTTCCTTCCTATCAGACGGGCTTGCAATCGAGGCAGACGGCGGTGTCCATAAGCCATCGGCAGGAGTAGTTTCTGGGACCCAGGTGGTAGGTCTGGTCGCTGGGGAATCAAGCAGAGAGATCTCGGAGCTCAAGAAGTCACTGCCGTCGTCGTTCATGTCATCGGCATCGTCAACGTCCATAGCATCGTCGCCGTCCAAGCCATCCTGGCTGCTGCCATCAAAGTCGTCGTCTTTTTCTTCGTCTTCTTCGCTGTCCGTCATAAAGCTGTCATCATCAGAATTGTCATTGCCTGCCAGGTCGACATGTTCATCTTCATTGTAGTCGAGCTCGATTGCGTCCGCGTCACTACTCCCAGAAACACTCCCAGCTTCGCCATAGCTCAACAAGTCGTCAGGTGACTGGTCAACTGTTTCGTCAAAAAGGCTCGCCTCCACCAGCGATGCCTCAATTACTTTCGCCGAGTCTTCGCTTGTAGTTTTGGATACAGGCAGTGCAACATCCGCGATCTCTCCGTCACTTTCTGACGATGTGTGGAGCACACTGTCCATCGCTGCATCATCCGACTGGTCGTCTTTGTCGCCAGAAGAATCTTCGAGGTTTGAATGATAGTCGCTACCTGAACAATCGCACTCGCTGCCTCCATCAGATAACTCATCAGTGGGTTCTGGTGCCCGATACGTTTTCGGCTGTGCAGTCTTAGGCCTGAAAGGTGTTAGTAGAGAAGGGTAGAGAAACACACCAGGAACACTTAAGAAGGGTAACTGACACGTTGGACGACACCATGTGGAAAATAGACTCAACAATCACCGTTGCGGGGCTAAAAACCTCTAGGCCTCGAGCAACATGGATGCCGAAGCAGACAGAGTCGCCGACTTTTAGAGAAACGGTGGACTCGTCGGACAGTGTTGTCTTGTTGACGGAGGTGCCGTGCAACGAGCCTAGATCTTTAAGATGAATTTTCTGATGAAACCCTGATTAGCTTGCTTCCCTAACGTTAATAGAACGCAACCGTTCAGGACATGACGTCCCTGAGAGACATTTAAGGCTCTGAATTGCTTACCCCTTTGTCCAAGTCCGCAGTCAACTCGGCATGTGCTCGAGACATGACGGGACTGTCGAAATAGGCATTGTTCTCGGACGGCGAAAGGCCCTTGCTGACAGTCTTCGACGACCTTCCGATCTGTACCTTCGGTTTTGATGGCGAGAAGCAAATACGTCGGATGGGGAGGGCCGACGCTTCGAGAGAGGTAGCATCGTTCTGAGCTAGGGTGATAACGACTGCCTAGAGTTAGATACAAGTTATATAAGACGATATTCCGAAGGAAAATGAGCACCTACTCGACTCATATTTGGTCGTCGCAGAAGGCTTGTCCTCCGTCGCAGCGGACATGTTGATGGTGCGGCAGGACCGGCAACAATGAGCGAACAAACAGGGTGGATGTATATAACCCACAGGAGGTCTTTCGGAGGCTGGAGGCCCAGATAAATGGCAATATGGAAGACTGAACAGGTTGGCAAGACAAGGCGAGTCAGAACGAGGGGAGAATAGACGAAGAGGAAGGGCTGGATAGCACTGGGAGTGAATGGAGTGGGGAGTGATTTGCGTCAGGCAGCAGGCTTATCGTGTTATCACAGTGTGTCTGGGCGGGGTAGGTCGCTGTAAGAGACAGTCCAGGAGGATGTTGTCAGTAAGATACAGTACGGAAACGTAAAATTACACGTACAGTAAGGGATAGAAGTGGAAAGAGGGGCCAAGTCTCCTGAGGTGAAACGTGGGAAAGAGCAAGTGCTTTCCTGCGTAAGTAGTAGATACAGAAAGGCGACGGCGGCAGGCCATCATATCTCATTGTATCTTAGTAAGTGCTTCTATTCTGCCCGACGGAGTAGCACCTGAGCCCACCTGGCTCTCATTCATTAAACACGAAGCGGACTTCGCGGAACCAGGAATGACTAATACAACCCCTCTAAAGTATCCGATAGATGCATACTCGTACTCGTACTCCGTACAGACGTGGCATTCAGACCTCAACCTCCAGCTGCTCACATCCAGTTCAACATGCTTACATGTAGATCCACCTTATGGCCTAAGATACGCAACGACCAGAATCCTTGCTCGCGCGATCTCTAGCGCTGATAAGCTACGAATACTCATAGTTACGTCTGCTGACATCATTGATCAGGAGGTCGTATGAAACCAGAATCTTTGTTGGCGGCGGCTCCGGTATGCTTTTGCCGTCAGGCCACAAAACACTTTGGCGACAAACACGTGTATGCAGCATTTCACACGTAATGCTCCGTAGCCATTCATTTGCCTACGAGTACATGCCTCTTCGTCCGCACAGCCTTTACAGAATACGAAAAACGCCATACGCATGAGAAGGACGTTACCACTAAAGTATAGCCATAGGAAAAATAGGTATACTCCGTACTCAGCATGTGCTCGTGAGACGCCCGACGTACGATGATGAAATGCATCATGTGACTTCAGGCAAGAAGGTGGGCCTCCCCACATTACGCTATATTTGTGGTGACTCCACAAGCCCTCTCCCATCTCAAGATAATACTTAGACTCGTACTAAAACAACATTCTTGGGGTTTCTTGGTTGGTTTTGCTCACCTACAGACAAGATTTCACCACCGACTTATGCGCATGTATATGGTTTTCTAGAATCCACTCGTTTTGCTACTGTCAGACTATATGTACTTATATGGTTTCGCCTCCCGAGTTGTTTTCCTTCAACATTTGCCTCTCTCGAGTTCCTACCTCTTAGATTGCGCCGAACATCCTGAGCGACGCTCACGTTCTCGAGGATTCTGGACTCGAATTTATTCACTGCTGCGAGTTATTCTAGTACAACGAAATGCACGACATGCGCAAAAAGGCTCTTAAACAGAGCACTAAGACCATATCGCGCAAAGCACGAGCGCGGCTCGATCCTTTAAACGGGCCAGGCTCTCTCTCTCCTTCTTCGTCACGAGCACAATCTCGATCTGGATCCCGTATCAACTCACGCCAAAGTTCCCGTATCAATTCCCGACAAGGCAGCCGCTATGCCTCAGAAGACGAAGATAGCCTATCCGATCCGAACTATGCTCGGATGAAGCAACTTTCTTTGGAAGATGACGATCTAGACGACGGGACAGATTCCGAAATTGAGCTAGACGACAACTCGGATACCACGGGAGAAGGCGAGCGTGGAACAGCCGCCAGCCAAAACACGCCGGAAGACACTCTTCACGCATGTATCACCCTCCTACAAGACCGCAAGCGGACCAGCTACGAGGCACGTATCAATGCACTAGAGACATACCTGCAGCTAGTCCAAGACCACTATTTGGGCAGCTGCGTTGCAGACGCACTTCCGACAGTCTTGGAGCAGTTGCTGAAGAGTATTCGTCGCAGTAATACCGACCCAGAGGAGCAGATGCTGGCACTACAGGCCTTGATAGTCACGACTCTTACATGTCCTAAAGAAGACTCCGCCAGAATCCTAGAGTCAACTTTCAGTCCGGTGAGGGCCGTCTGCAAAGCTGCTGATGTACACGAGAAAAGCAAGGTCATTGCGGTCGAAGCTCTCACAATGGTTGTGGTGTTTGGCGGCGGGACAAAGGCATCTGCCAACGAGCTGCTCAAATTTTTACTTGATATCGTCTCCTCAGATGGACAGACAGCGGAGGCCATGGATAGTGCCGGTGTGGTGACAGCTGCGTTGCGGATGTGGGCATTCGTGGCATCGTACATGATGCCGGACAACCACGACAGCGATAATGAAGACGAGGATAGCAGCGGGGACGAAGGGCCTACTAACGACATATATGATAACAGCCTGGTGGCCGAGGGTCAGACCGCACTAGAGGCGTTTATCGACCAGCTTCAAAGCACGGCGACGGAAGTCCAAATAGCTGCGAGCGAGGCAATCGGGCTGCTTTTCGAGATGTCGCGCAGATACGAAGCTGTCACAGAGGACCAGTTTGGACTACGGGAGGATCCGATAAAACTCGCAGAACAGTTGAGATACATATCTCGCGGCATTCTCCCTGATGGCCGCAGCAATACTAAATCAGCGTCGCGGCTAGACCGACGCAACCTCCGAGAGACTTTCATCAGCGTGGCCACCTCGCTGGAACTGGGCACGGGCCCAAAATACTCTACAGCAGCTCGGTCTGGGCAAAGTGCCTACAAGAGCGGGACCGGCAAATTTGTGGACGACGAAGGCGAGGGCACGACAGATAGTGGTACAGGAAAATCGGGTAGCTCAGATGTGGTTGATGCACTTGGGTACCGCATGCGGCTGCAGGTACATAACCAGTCTATCCTGATCGACTCATGGGCTCTCAGTGTGCGTGTCGACACGCTCCGCATCATGCTTGGGAGGGGACTGCACAAGCATCTGATGAAGAATCCGCTGGTGAGCGACCTGCTTCATGCAACCAGTCTTAAGCCGCTCCAGTGGGACGTCGATCGGGAGCAGAGGAAGAAGTTTAAACAGGACAAGAGAGCACGGAGGAGAAGAGGGTGATCGGACCCGCTTGGAAGGCTTGTACTTCCAGCTTTCGTAAGTACGTACAGAGTACGGAGTACTATTAGAGGGTTGGCTGTTCGTATTCTCTACAATATTTTCCACATACTCCGTAGACCCGTTCTTTTTTCGTTTGTCCTATTTCTGTCCGGTATCAATGCTTCCAAACTATCGGGAAATGCGGCATGCGGTATGCGGATGGGTAGCTTGGAATGTGCAAACGGTGCTGTTCGAAGAAGTGACAAGAAACAAGGATTCGCCCACATGGTAGACATCGGAATACTACTCGTACTTGTAGGCAAGCACACATACCTGCTGCAAGATAAGCTATCTTTTACAGTAGCGGCCCACTGGGGGGCCGGGCGTACTCGTACTGTACTACGTCGTAGGCGCTACGAGCAAGATGCCGTGCGATGGAGCGGCCTTGTCCAGCCACCCAACTTCCTTGCCTAATTTGTTGCAAAGAGGCAGTGTATCCAAGATTTATCCAATGATGGGCATGTTCGGGACAGTTTCCAGAGTATCTCACTTGCATACTGCTCGCTCGTGGCTGGAGAAGTGGAGCGATTGCAAGCAGATTGGCAGCCCATTTCTTTCCGGTTCAATGTTCGGGCTTTGATGGACGATAGGATACGTCAAAGTATACCCGAAATGAGGATTAACGAAAGACACCGAAAATAATGTTTAGTAGGCGCAAACGCTAGTGGGAGAGCGAATAGTGGTGGCTGGGAAACGGGCCCGAAGCTATTCTGTGTCACAACGGAAAAAAGCTAAGATCCATAGGAAGACGGAGCCATATGCCTGTCACGAGGGGCAACCGTGGAAAGGAGCTATTTGATTGTGCAGCCGTAGCGGGACTAGTCCCGGTTCAGCCTAGCTCTTCAGGCTAAGGAAGAGCATCCCGCACTAATCCTCAGCTGGCTGCCTCCTCTCAGCGCCAATGTCAACAAACGGGCGGGACCCGTGCACTGCTGCCCTCGACTGCTCGTAAGATGCCAACTCCCATAGTGTTCACCCTTCCCGCATTCCCCCCAAAACGGGCGGCGGGCCGTTTCCTAACATTCTTTCTCGTATCTTATTACTGCTCTGCTCTGATATCCACCAAGCTACGGTGGTTGCCCGCCTCTTTTTTTTTGTTTCTTTTTCTGTCCTTTTGCCCTTACCCTCCTCGATTCCTCCAAAATTTAATGTCTCAAGTGCTTTTGCTCTGATTTCGAGTCCGAGGTCGTCCGTCCCCTCCTTCCACGCCTTGCACTTTTGCACCCTAGCCGTCGCTCTTTCCTTGCAGTAGGGCCACCTCTCCGATCGGTCGTATCTGGGCTGCCATTGGTTAAGGGACAACAGCACCGCCAACGCATCGACAGGCAGAGGTCAAAAAGGAACCAGAAAAAGTGATATCTCTTTGCCTGCCCCCTTCTTACATATTTTTTCCGTCCGCTTGTCTTCGTACTCTGCGCTGTTTTCGCGACCTCTTGGTGGCTGTCTACCAGGTCCGCCAGAACCGGAAGACTCATCCGTGCATATACTACGCCTGCATATCCGCTCATATTGGGCTCATCGCCAGAAGCAACAGGAGAAACATAACCTGGCAAGCCACCGAATCCACCCTGCACCCTTCCGTCAGGTTGACTGCAGCTGGGGAAACGGCGCCTTATCCAGTTGCATTGATCCGTTACGGATAGACTCAGGCCGTGTCGCCTGCGTCACCGCCAAGTCCCATCTGACCTGGTCTACTCCGTACCTCCTGCTCGAAACTCGGCTGGTGCGTTGTCCTCCTCCAGTCTTTTATTTCCCACATCGCATGCTTCTGAATACCCACCGGACATTTTTTCTATCTGCTGGCTCTGTCATTGGCACCGACACTTGCTGACGCACATTGTGGACGACTAGGTGTGCTTTAATTCACTTCATTTTTTACACGTCTCAATGTCGCCCTAAAAGAAACAGCCTCCAACTCCCCCCCATCTACGTTCCCTCCTCGTCCTCTCCCCCCCGCTGGATGCTCGCCCCGTGCGACAGACTCTCCTTCTGGCATTAAGAGGCTGCAGCGACGGGCCTCACGAGGAGAGGCTACTTTGAATCAATAGGGCAACGAAGTCTGCCTATTAGCTTTCAGGGGCTCGACGCTTCTAAAGCAGAACCGGTCGGGCAGACCTGCATCCACCTCCCCTTTCCTTCTCAATCGTCCCCAAAAATCCCACCATGGGTGGCGACCCGAAAAAAAAGAAGGCCGCCATTCCCCTACCAGCACCCACAGAAACAACTGAATCGACAGTGACCACTGCGACCGACGTCACAGCGACCGATTTATCCCGTGCCACAGATGACAAATCATCCTACTCTCTGCCTGAAGACGGCACGCCTGTAACGATAAAAACTCGCGGCCACAGTAGCAACCGCTCCCAAACGTCGCTTCTCATCGAATACTACGAGGGCAGTAAGGTATCCAGCACCGACGGCATTGGGAATCGCAAACCCAGTGTCCGTGTGCGTGTCAAACAATCTGGCAGTGCCAAGAACGAGCACATTATGATATCCAAGCCGAAGTCATCCAGTAACCGCAAGGTTTCACAATCTCGTCGATCCACAAGCGGACAGAAGACAACATCATCCTCAGCCACCCGTGATATAGACATTGGTGGCAGTGCTATCAGCAGTGTCGATATCGACGATGACAAGAGCATGGACTCATACGCCTCGGCCACTGAAGAATCCAACGTCTCGCGGAACCCTATCGTGGTGGAAATTGACCGTGGCGGCAGCAGTGGGAACTATCAGCGTCAGAGGTCCCGTCGCCCAACCAGCCCGCTAATTCCCGCTGCTGCCAGCAGTCGGGGCTCTGCTTCCTACATCCATGGCACACAGTCCGAGATCTCTGGCATCTCCGCCATTCCTGCCGACAGCTTTCTGGACGGATCAAAGTCGCCCAAGCGAACTGACAGTCCTTCTCGGGCCTTTGCTGCAGCCGCCGCAGCAACTGCGGCTGCGGCTGCCGGAGCTGCTGCTGTAGAACGAAATCGAGCTGCCAGCACCAGCAGGAGTGATGTGCGAGAGCGTGTTACGTTGCCGAAGTCCTCGTCGAGAGACCGGGGCCGTGAGGGCGGCAGTGGCAAGAAGCACCGGTCAAGTAGACACACCAGCAGTGTCAACCTTGTCGAGAACGAGGACTCACCTTCGCATAGACGGTCGAGTCGCCATCGACACCACAACGAATCGGCAGTATCTGGTGCTGACTCTAGCGTGCTGTCATCAAATCTTTCACCAAACCACAACCCTTACGACCAGTATTCCGTCCGCTCTGGCGGATCCAAAACTTCGATCAACAACCCCAAGCTGCTCGAGACAGTCGAGGATGCTATTCGACGACTCATTTTACCGGAGCTGACCGCGCTGAAACGAGAACACAGTCGCAAAGATCGTCGCGGCTCCACAACGTCCACTGGTACGTCTGCCTCGAAGGAAGAATTTGACCGGCGCCGGTCAGGTGCTAGCGACAGAGCCGGGGCGGCGTCCCACACCCCTCGTGAAATAGACGCAGTTATACGGAAGGAGAACCGAGATCGAGAAGGGCGGCATGCTATGGACGATAGCCCCTCCCCTTCCGCAGGCTACGATTACGACTCAAGGGAAGAGACCGCTCATGGCACACGTTCTGTCAGCGAAACACCAAAGAAAAGCTCGGACAAACTAAAGACCGCTACAGCTGCCAGTGCAGCCGGCGCCGCTCTCGCTGCTGCCGTATTAGCGGATCACGGTGACTCGCCCTCGACCGCCAGGGAACAGCGGCGGCGACGCAGGGCCGAAGCTCGGAACCGGGGCGCTGAGAACGATGTGACACCATCGACACCGCAGCAAGGCAACTTTGATTCATACCTCAATGGACCTCAAAGTGCATCTAGTCGCTCCTTCGACGATGGCATGCAGCACGATGGCGAGAATGCACAAACCCCCGCATCCCAGTTCGGTCCCAGCGAAGCTCAGTTGCGAAATACTGAACCCAAGGAGTACTTGCGGCCACCGATGCCGTTGATGAGCGAGATTAATTCAGATGTCACGAGAGCATCTATTTTGTCCGCCGAAAGCGACCGACCTAGGTCTGCATCTGACGAGCTGCAGACCGCCCCAGTTCGAGAGGTGTCTAGGGGTATCCCCGCAATGGGGTCTGTCGGCAGTCCGGAACAGACGCCTACCAAGGTTCCTGCGCTACAAAATCTAGGTACCCAGCATTCCAACATATCTCACGGAGATTTGAAGGCTCTGCCTCGAAATGGCCTGCCTACTGCGGAATATGCAGGCGGTGACGAAAATTACGAGAACTACGGAGACGAACACGAAACCGGCCAGAACCAGCAGAGTGAGCTTCATCATGAACAGGAGCACTATCAGGGCCAGTATGCCCAGCATGGAGACGGCGAAGATTACGAGGAATATGACGAGATGGCACACTACGGAGGACAGACGTACGATGAATTCGGCAATCAGATCGTACCTGCCCCGCTCAACTACGTCCCTTACCAACCTGAGCACCGTGGCCTCAGTCCCATTCCAAGCGTGTCAGGCTATACCGAAGGCGGCACAAGCGAAGCGCATCGGGACTCGATTCATGCTGGCACGGCTGTCTCTTCGCCAGGCAAGTCACCCATGCCAGAGCGGAAGCCCCTCGCCTCGCCGAACTCCGCACGTGGCAATACCATGGGCCGCGACTTTGATCAAGACGGCAGCGCCCTTGACGGCAGCGCACTTAGCTCCAACGCTGGCTACTCGGAACTTGCGCCCACACAACTCACCGACGAAGGCAGCAACGTCTACAGAGCTGTCCAAGGAATTGGTGCGAACCCGAGATTTGTTCGCCCTCCGATCGGTGTTGAGTCGGCCGTTGCCTCCTTAGTAGACGGCTCTATGCTGGAAGGGTCAGCATTGACCGGGGGTTCTAGCGTCAACGGCGGGTATGGTCTGCTCCCAGGCGCCCGTGGATCTATGGACACGCTTGAAGAAGAGACATCGTATGATCGCGCCAACTCTCAAAGTCGCTCTGTCAAGGGCTACGGGCATGAGCTGAATAACGAAGAGGAGCCACATCGGGCCCACGAGCAGGAGGACAGTCGTGAGGTCATGGCTGCATCTCCGACTACGACAAGAACAAACCCGTCTGAATTTGCTGGCGAATATGAACTCGACCAGTATGGACGCAAGGTTCGCCGGCTGTCGCCCACTGTATCAGAAGCCGCTGCCATAACGGCTGGCGCCATCGGTCTTGTTATCCGCGCTGCGAAAGACCGTGGCCAGCAGCCACATGAGTCTACTAGGCTGGAAGAGCATGAAGGCTATCACACACACCCCGATGATTGGGCGCCGGATGGGGTTCAACGAAATCGTTCCTTCAAGGAACGGGCTCAGAGCGGACGCTACCCAGGCAATAAGCAAGCATACGTCTCTGAGCATACAGAGGAACATGATCAGCCCCGGATGAGTGCAAATGGCCTGCCTGATCTACACGATCCCATGCCAGAGATTGGCTTCGGTTACGAAGAAGACGATCTCGAAACGAACCCGTCTCTTTTATACGGTCCGACGTCCCACCATGACGAAGCCAGCTGGCGCGTTGGCGACCGGACGCCCACACAGGAGCACCATGACACAAGTACACGCAGCCTTGGTCTCGCTGAAACGCCTGCTGCGCGGGTCTCTTCTCAGCACAGCCGACAGACCAGCCAGGAACACGATGAATGGCAGCGGTCGTCTGACGACCGGAAGAGGGATACTCTGCTCACAAACCCGTACGAAGGGACAAGCCCGATTGTGAACGAGGACCTGATCAAGTCAACTCTCCCAGCTGTCGCCACAGGTGCAGGCGCGGCTGCTGGCTACAACGCCAGTGTGGACTATGCTACGGGGAGCCCTCTGGGGGCCAGATATGATGAGGGCTATGAAACTCAGGGTCCAGGCAAATCTCCAGACCTGACTGGGACCAACAAGGGCAAGGAAGTTGCCTTTCCGGATCATATGCCTGCGTCGTTTGGTGGTCAAGATGACCCGTTTTACTCGCTCAACCAGACGAGACACTTCAGCGGCCTCTCTCAAGGAATGGGAAGTCCTCTATATGATCCCGCCACTGGTGCTGGCATTGATCGCATTGAGAACAAGGATATTATCTCCCTCATGCAGCATGTATGTTCTCTGTTTCTGCACCAACCAACATTCTATCTCGTGTCGAGTTGAAGACTTTGCTGACCTATTTTAGCTGATGGTCCGGGACGCTCAACGAAGTGCCCGTGACACGGAAATCCTGGTGACACTTGTGCGTGCGGCAGCAGAGATGCGCACTTCGTTTGAGAGCGTAAAATCCCTGCTCGCTTTGCACGAAAAGGGCATCAGCAACGACTTTTCCAAGAAGCTGGCCGACAGCGAAGATGCCATCATCACGGAGGTCCTTGACCTGGGACCGAAAAAACAGTCCGCACCCACCTGGGCGGGCCCCGTCCGCTGCCTGGCAGCGGTGCGCGGTCTCTGCACGCCGCCCCTTCTCAGGCTGACATGGACGACCTGCCGACTAAGCGTCAGAACATCTTCCGCCGCGCTCTTAAGTCGTTGAACGCGAAGGGCAACAATGATCTCACCCGAATCGAGGACATGCTTAACCAGCTGTTGTTGCAGGTGGATCTGTTGAAGGCGCAAACAACCGTGGAGTCTGGGGTCATGGGCACAACTGTTTCTGGTGGCCGAGCTCCCTCTCCATACGACGACGTTGAATCGCATATGCCATACGAACACGAGCAAGACCGCGGTTACGAGCCGGAGGGTCATGCGGGCACGTCCACTGCCAGCCATGCAAGCCAGTCTGGGCACTTGTCTGTCCATTCTCGTGGCGGCCCATCGGTCACGTCCAGAAACGGTGGCTACGACCGCAAGTTTTCTGATAACCGCATCAGCACGGTCCCGGAGGCGAATGAAGATGACCTGGAGTATGGACATCAGAAGAGTATTGCCAGCCCCCGAGCCTCCACGCCCACCCATGCTCGGTATGGCAGTCCCGCGTCGTTACCTCAGATGAGTTCAGCGCTTTTAGCAACGCCTCAGCGCCAAGAAGAATCAGTGCAGCCACTCCAGCCACAGTCGCTTCCGCAGCTTCAAACGCACAACCAGGATCTGCAACAGACACCGCAAAGCGGCGACAACACACCCAGAACAGAAAAGGGAAAGAAGCACAAATCCACCGGCTCGTCAAGCTGGCTACCCAAGATCTCACGGTGGTCGGAGACAACAACATCAAGTGTCGGCCGCGTGTTCCGAGCCAGTCGTGACTCTAAGAAGGGCAATGAGGAACTGGGCTATCAAAGCGGACCATCTCGCTCTAGGTCAGACCTGGCCAGCTACGATGGTTACCACATGCCCACTGATCCCGAAGGCGAGGACAAGCTTCACGGTGGCTTTTCGGAGCAAGACCTGCACCATGACGAGTACTACCAGCCTCAGACGCTCCAAAGCGAGACTCAAGACTATGGCCTCAACGCCAACAGCACGGATGTCGTGCCGCCCGACCCGAAGTCATACATGACGCCAGAGGACCCGAAATACCATGTGCACCGCAACTCGCTGAACCTGCAGCACCCGCAGCCCAGGTCCGGACAGCCTTTGAAGGCAACACTTGAGAGTCGGGCAGAAAACTTTGACTCCCCGATGAGCCCCCGGTCAGCTGATTGGGCTGGATCGGCCACGTCGCTTCACCGATTCCCTGGCCAAAACACCAACCGGTATAGCGATAGCACTGCTACGAACGCGGCAGCAACTCCGGCCAACGTGGCCGCAAATGTGTCGCAGCAAACATACTGGGAATCGCAACGGTCCGGGAGCCGTCAGTCTCAGGGAGCTCCGCCCCGTCCACCCAAAGAGCCGCTTGACGAATCGCAGCAAGCGACTTATGTGACGGCGGCACAAGTGACATCTAGCTACACGGGCAGCCCGCGGCTTGAAAACCGCAACCTCAACAGCGCACTGGGAGTGCCGACGCGACGCCCAAGCGGCCCTCGTGCGATGACGCCGAAGAGTGAGCGGAGCATGCGAAGCTATAACGACGAGGAGGCTGCAAATGATTCGCGCAGACGGAAGAGAGGTGTGTGACTGTCAAGATCAACTGTCCATCCTCTGCTACGCGTCAACTGACTCTTTTCAGACACTTTTGGAACGGTGGCGTCTCAGGACACCGAGACCTTCTAGGTCAATGGCATGAAATGAAGCCTCCCTTGGGCCCACATAGCCCAAGTTTGATATCCCCGGTCAGGGGACTACTGGCTAGTCCTCTGAAGAGTCCAGGCCGGCGAGGCCCTGGACAGTAGCTTATTCTGGCTAAAGCGCCAGGCTCACCCTGATTTTATTTCCTTTTTTTTGTATTTTTTTTTTTTTTTTTTGGCACCGTTGGCGTTCTTGTTGTACAGATGTACTCCCCAGCCAGGGAATCAAAAGCGATAGTCAGCGTCGCTGAGGGGGGGGGATGGGCACAAAACACAGTGGTTTGATTAGGTTTTTAATCTCATTTGGTGTTGTCGACTGCCTGATTCAACGACTCGACGAATTATCAATGACAATCTCACGAAGAGTTTTTGCTTGTTTCTGTATTTTGACTGGAAAAACGGAGAGTAAAAGGTAGAGAGCGGAAGTCCAAGCCAGTATAAAAAAATCACCATAAAACGAGAACGAGCATTCTGGTCTTGACCACAAGGCAATACGAGTACACATCACTTGTCCGTGCATTTACCAGAAGCCAGCAGAAGCCAGCTAGCCGATAATAGCTCAAGGGCACCACAACGTGAAATGGCGGTCGTCTGCGGACGAATCTTCTAGTATATTATGTAAACTTTGCGTAAAAGCAAATACGCCAAGGTTTGTCATTCGTTAATTTCTGGCACATATACGGAGTACCTCTGGCGTGCTTTGCCGAGTAGTCAAGTGCATTCTGCAAATTATCGCAGGGCATAGCTTGCTATGCGAGTGATATTAACTGGCCGGCCGGCGACTGCCGCCTATGACGCAGGTTAAGGAGCTCTGCTGTGCCGTGGGTGGCCATGAGAAATCCTCTTTTCAGCATTTCAACGAGTCACGATGGCCGTTCAGCTGCCTTTGGACACTTTGGCGTGAAATATTAGGAGGAGAAAAAAAAAAAAAAGAGGGCCCTCGAATCCGGGAGTTAGGTCCACAGACACTAATTTAGGCCGGAGAATCCATCTTTCACCTCGATCCAGGCTGAGCGTTTGCGGGGAAACAGGGGCAGAAGATCAGGGGATCAGGGGATCAAGGGATCAAGGGATCAAGGGACTGCTGCTTGCGGATTTGCAATTTGGTCCAACGGTCAGCTGGGACCCGAGCAATAAAGGACATGACAAATCTCGAGCGGCGGGTTTTGGGCATAGGGGCACCTTCATTATTGCCGAGGTGAAGCTCGCACCCGGACAGCGAAAGCCTGAACGGATGATACCAACGACATGCTCATATTTCACCATCGGATCGTCATCGTCGCCATCGGCAGTGCAAGCATACGTACGATGACAGCAAGCTAGCTCCTTGCCTCTCCGGGTAGAAATTATTACTAAAATATTAGGTACGAGAAACCCCAAAACGGCGACAACAAGGCCTCGTGACACGCTAAGCCGCCCGCCATTTAGTAACTGTATGCTAATAATGGGCAACTGAGGAGGCGAGCTTTCCGTACTGGGTACCTCTAGGCTGCTGGAAAGCCACTAAGCCGCCCGCCAATACAGGTCACGAGTACAAGGATTCGCACCCCGTGGCCGGCCGTCTCAGCCGGCACGCAAATTTTTCTCCCATACTTTTCCGGGGCACAAATTGTCTTCACCTCTCGGCCCTTTGCCGTTCAGTTTGCACGCCGCGGCTCCACCAGAAAAGGGAATCTTCACGATGTTGCCATGCCGGGGGCGAGCTATGCGCTCACCCCCTCCGTGAATCCGTATCAATATGAGCACGACTTGTAGGCACAAACAGTGTACTTTGCTTGGGCGCCACCCCCCAGCCAATAATGGGTACCTTTTAGGTATCTTCTGTCTTGCTTTCCTTAATGACTCTTACATACAGTTATTCTCCTATATTAAGTCGTGCTCTCTTTCTCTTCGATCTTCTTCTCATCCCACATCACATTGTTGCCTTCAGGAAAGCCCTCAGCACAAAGACCGAATACGACTCTCCAACCCCTACAGACATCCAAGAGAACGACTTTTTATCAGAAATATATCACCAGCCTTGCCAATTACCATTCAGCATCAGACACAATGTCGTTCACTGTCACTGAGCCGCACCCAACGGTGCCCGCCAACGCCTACACTTACTCTGGACGCGGTGGCCTCGGCAACACGTTCCGGGCCCCGGCTACCACTCCGGCCGAAGGTGTGCCTACGACCCTGACCAGGATCGGCTCTGCTTCCTCATCATCCCCTGCCACCGGCACCGTCCGCTATTATGCCGGCCGCGGAGGCGCTGGGAACGCCCATCCCGTCTCACAGCGCCGCGAGCTCTCGCTGGACGACGAGTATGTCTATGCCACCGCTGTGGCCGGCGCGGCGACATCAGGCCATGTCGGCCGTGGCGGCGCCGGCAATGTGTTCTCGTCCAAGTCCCTGTCGGCCCACTTCCAGAAGCCAAAGAAGAGCAACCGGCGGAAGGAGAGCGATGCCAGCACGAGCACCAGTGGCAGCAGCGACGGAAACATCCGCAGCGGCTTCTGGTCGCGGTTTCGCTCGTGAGAGGGATCCGTCTGTTCCGAGAGTCAACACTTGATTTTGATACCAGTCTCTTGCACGCGTGTTTCGCGACAGCGCTGCTTCTTTTCACCACCAACGAATCTACGACGCAAGACGCCAAACAATATTACGACACATTTTGGGACAATGACCAGGAAAATACCACAACAAAAAGGGGAAGTTATGGACGGAGAAATAGTAATGGTTTGTGTTGGCACGGTTTCTGGCAAACTCGCCATATTACAGGGAAGCGCTGTGGGCATCATGGCCACGACTTGATTAAATAATGCCTATGAAGGAAGAAAAGGCGTTCTGGGAAATTTGCTATTTCAAAACGCTTTAAATTAATAATAAAGACAAGATACCCGCTACTCAATTTGGCAACAAGACGCATTCGAGCTTGATGGTAGATACCGTGCTTCTAAGATATATACATATATGGTCCCTTCTTGGAGGTGGACTACATAACGTCAGAGGCGGTTGATTACTAAGCGGTCCTTTTGGGAGATTCTTGCTCGTCTTACTCCGTAAAATCCGTTCACGTCAACACAGAGGAAAAGTAAGAATAGCTGGGTGGGTGTCCCCCGTTTGTATAATCCAAAGGGTATCATTGTTTGTGAGAGCAGTTCTGCGTTTATTCCTTATGTTTGACCCGCGCCACGCCATCCTGGTGATCTCCTCATAAACATACCCTGTCCCCCAGACGTCCGCCGCACCTGCTTGACGCGGTATCTCAGGAGGATACTCTGACCATATTTTGCGGCACATTGATATCTCCCTCAAGCTGTCTGCTTGCTCACGGCATCCCATCCTCACGTGAACTTTGTGTGGATAATGTCAGGGTTTTCGTGCCAGTCGTCAATGCTGACCCACATCTACGGAGACAATTAGTATGATTCGCGTGAGGGGAGAGGGAATAGAGAGAGAGAGAGAGAGAGAGAAAGAGAAAACAGAGGATTGCCGACCTTTCTGAAGGTGCTTAAACCAGCCAGGATGCTTCCACCGATCCAGGTCGTGTACTTGCGCTCTGGCGGTGCAAAGATCTTGATCCGCATGTCCTTGACGGCAATTTTGCGGATCTCATGCAGTAGCCGATCACCAAAGCCCTTGGTCAGCGTCGTCCCGCCGGACAGCACGATGTTGGCATACAGCGACTTGCGCAGGTCCAGATCCGTGCGCACAATGCCGTCGACCACCATCTGGTGCACGCCGGGGTACTCCAGTCCGATGAGCTCGGGCTCAAAGAGAATCTCGGGTGCACGGAAGCGTTCAGCGCCGACCTTCAGCTTGTTGCCATCGGGCAGGACAAACTCGGCAGTCCGTTTTGGATCCGACTTGGCCGTCATAAAGTCCTTCTCCTCCTTCTTGGGGTCGAGGGCGATGTAGCTGGTGGCCTCCTTGATGTGGCGCACGACCTCCTTCTCGGCACTGGTGTGGAAGACATAGCCACTCTTGCGCAAGAGCGTCTGCAGATACTCGGTGACGTCGCGGCCGGCCACATCGATGCGCTGGATCGAGTTAGTGATGGCGAAGCCCTCGTAGACAGGCACGGCGTGGCTGACGCCGTCGCCAGCATCCAGAACGATGCCGGTGGTGCGGCCGCTCGCGTACAGCGATAGCACTGCCTGGATGGACGTGTAGAGCGCCGGGACGTTGAAAGTTTCGAAGAGGATCTGAGCCGCAGTATCGCGGTTGCTGCGCGGATTCAACGGCGGCTCCGTCAGCAGCACGGGGTGCTCCTCGCTCAGCACCTTGAGGCCCTCGTCGTAGACGTATGCCCAGATCTTCTCCATGTCGTCCCAGTCCGTCACGATACCATGCTCCAGCGGGTAGTTGATCTTGAGCAGTCCGCGCAGCTCGGTTGCCGCCCGCGGCCCGACGAACCAGTCGCCCTCGAGCGCACCAGCCAGCACGCGCAGGTGCTTCGGCCGTCCGACAAACGACGGGAAATAGCACTTGGGCAGCTCCTCGCCCGCAAAACCTGCGCGTATCGTGCCCGAGCCATTGTCAATGACCATCGGGATGTTGTGGAGGCTTTCCGCCATTGTTGCAACTGTGGGGGGGCACTACCACCACAACATGCGGAGAGGGGTGAAGTCTCAAAAAAAGAGAAAAAGGGCTGGAGCAGGTGAGAGGCGTCGTTTCGCTGCAAGCCGACCGACTTCTCCGTGCAGCAGTCCCGAGTCTCGAGGAGGGGGCGAACGGCGGTAAAGCCCAAAAAAGCACGCACAGATCCGCTAGCCAATACGGCCACAGAGCCTGTCACTACTCAATCTGTCGGGCGGGCGTCAGAGGTCCGAATTGCTGGCCGGATGGGTGCACGTGAGGTCGTCGGGAGAGAGTGCAGGTCGGCGCCGTGGATCGCCGGTTGAACGAGTGCTTCCAAGCAATAGGAGAGCTCTACGGCCGTAGACAGCAAGTCCTCGACTATTTTGCAGGGACACAAACGCGCCAGAACTCAAGGGGCGTGCTTCCGTGTCTAGACCGCGTCTAGCTTAGCGCCTCATTAACCGCTGTCGGACCTCAATGGGAAGTGTGGCGTCCAGATGTGGCGCAGTATGCTCGCGTAACCCACCTTGCTTCAAGGCAAGGCTATGGTTCTGCATTGTCTGCGTGCTGGTAAGAGTGGTACAAACTATAATGTGAAGCTTCCATGATGTGTGCCATCTTTCCTCATATAAAATTTGCTAATATTCGAGATGAAGCTATGCGCGTGTCGATAGGGAACACGCTTTGCAAAGCACACAAAGTACTCCGTACACATCGGCTAAACGTTTAAGTGCGTGCTTCCCTTCAACAATCTGACAAATTACACGTGAGGTCTGCTGTTTTCCCGAATATCAATCCTTTATAAATTCAATCGTTGTGTTTTGATTTTATGTACAAAGGGAAAATATACAGTCGCCGAAGCGTAAGCCGTCTTTGCTAAGCCGACATGTCTGCCTCCAGGCTGAGAAATGATAAGAAACCCGCCAAAGAACGCCTCAGCCCCCCTGAGTATAGCCAAACTCCTCGATCTAAAACATATGGGCGGCCAACCATAGCGGTTTCCAGCCCCGGCTTCCGCCTGCTAGGTTTCGATTACATGCGGTCTTCGAAGATCTTGTAGCACACATACGGCCAGCCGAGAATTACTGCAGCTGTAGGGACGTATCTGGCCAGAGGAAACTAGTTAGTATGTGGCAATCCAAAGTGTCAAGGCACTGTCACGAGAGCCATATGGTTACTTACACCACCAGGTTGGTAACAGCATGCTTGGCAAGGCGACCGTAGTCGGGAGGTGCAGACTTGGTTGTGCTGGCCAACCGCCGGGTGATCATAGACGGGGCGGTCCGGCTGAAGCTGTTCAACGGAATGCGAGCAGAGCGCATGGCGGCACGAGCAATGGGAGACATTGTGGTTGATTTGGAGACGAGATGAACAAACAAGTCTTGGTGTTGAGTAGAGATTGACCGGAGGACAGGGTGGAGATGTTGATTATGATAATGATGCAAGTGATGGCTCTACGATGAACAGTGACAGGAGCTCACGTCCTCTTTATACAGGAGAATCCGGCTGAAATCCACAATATCTTACGAGAACGGGCAGGCAAGTGCCAGCACGTCCTAGCCAAAGCCGCTGCTCCGGGAACGACACGGCGAGCTGTCATCGGTCCTCCCCACGGGCCAGCTCCCATAGACCCGACCCGACATTTTGTCGTTGCCCCCATACTAAAGTACAGAGAGGCTCTCTTGCCGGGTTGGCATCATGCCACGTTGGGGCAGAAATGGGATGACAGAGGGCCAGAAAAATTCCCCGGCCAGCTAGCAGCGTCATCAGATCAGCGCTGTTTTGCACTACTGATTTAGGGCGCCTCGTGCTGGGTAACTCCTGGCGGCTGCAAAATGGAGCAGTATGGTGGCACCATTATAGACGGAAGTTAAGCTTTGTCGTGCCACCATCTAGTCGAAATCGCATGATTAGCGCGTGTCAATTGCCTATAAATCTTGCCGGGGGGTGTCATCCAATTTTGGCAGCCGGAGAGGCTGGCTGGGGTTTGGCTGTTTCTGATTGGCCGCCCCAAGACGTTCCGCCCCATATGGAGCATCGGGAGTCTCCGTATTATTGCACTTTGACATGCCCTTCTTTGTTCACGGCACTTGCCACGAGCGACAGGCCAGGAGAAAGGTCGACTTCCGGAACACATACTCTCGGCGAACGGACCAAGCTATCGTGTCTACAGCCCTGCACGATGACGGCAACTCAGGACACTTGTGGCGGTGTCGAAAACGAAGCTGTGGAAGATTCCGGTGCCAGTGCAGGGGCAAAGTAGAGCGATCGGCGATACGGAATATCATTTGTCAATGGATACTTTGGAGAATCAAGGACCACTTGCAAGGGGCGAACTCCTATCTGCGACTCACTGCGATCCTTGCTAGAATTTGCGGGTCGAGAACTTCAAATATCATCGGACTTCGAAAGATCAGAGTTACCACACGTCCTATGCTATAGACTGCTCATTCTTTTTTCGCCTCACCCTTGAAGTCCTTCGATGTCTTTTCCAAGCCTAGATACTTCCAGCAAACTGCAGACACCAGGTGTGAGAAAGCGGCTCATGAGATACAGAGATAAGGAGGATGAGCTACTTACTTGACAAGCCAAGATCGTCGCCGAAGAAGTTTTCTACCACAGCCTTTCCAGACTCCAGCTCGCCGCCATTTATGTACGAAATGGCATCAGAACCCACGGCAATGCCAATCATCGGCGGGACTGGATCGAGGATCAGATACTCTGGCGTCTTATCGAAGAGAATCTGCTGCATGCGCTGGTGTATGTTGCAGGCAGCATAGTGGGCTTGGTGTATGGCACGACCAAAGCGTTTGACGCCGGACCAGGCGACGGTGTCGCCGGCAGCGAGGGCGCTGTCGGCGTTGGGGACAGTTTCGGGAAAGAAGAGGCTGTCATGAATCAGAACATGATGGGAGGAATGAGGAGAGTGTGGACTACCTTGGCTGGATCTTGACATAACCATCCTCGTTGACAGCCTCGGTGGGCAGAAACGTTGTCGTCGGCCGGTTATTGGACAAGGCCATGATGACGTTGTTGACACGCAGAGTCTGGCCGTTGGAGAAGACCACCTCCTTCACGGCAGGCTGGCCAGCAACCGGCCGCGTCTCCTGCAGGCGATGTTCCAGGAGCACCTCGATTCCCTGCTCCTGCAGCATCTCCAGGACCTTGGCTCCCACCACCTCGTCCAGTGGCTCTGACGACAGCAGGCGTGCGCGTGAATGTGCCAGTGTTACCTTGACCTGGGGCTGGGCGAATTTGAGCTCCGCAGCCATCTCGAGACCGACAGCACCTGTGATGAGTCAGCAAGCAGAGTAGGAACAAGGGGAGAAGAGACGACGACCTACCACCACCGACAACCAGGACACCATTCTGTGCAGACGAGACGGCTTGGACGTGAGGCGTGATCTCGGCGAGATAGGAATCCTTGTCGAGCGATTGCGGCACGACGGGGAAGATGCGGCGGAGGCCCGAGGCCACAACGACAAAGTCATAGTCAAAGGTGACAGGGACACTACTGTTGGCCTGCTTGACCATGGCCTTTTTTGCTGCAAGGTCGATGTTGGTCACGCTGCCTTGCACCATTTGAATATGCGATGCATCCTGTAGAGCCGGCACATCGCCGTAGGGAACCCACGCCTTCTTGGCGTAGTCAGTAGAGGCAAACACCAGGGGCGATCCAATGACGTTGTCTGTGATCGTAGTGTGAGAAGAAGCATTGTAACAGGAGGAGGCAGACAAGGTAGCAGGGTAGGCTTGCTATCATGGGGACTCACAGAAACCATCCCGCTCGTCAACGATGGTGATATCAGTGTGGATGATTGTTTTGCAAGGGTTCTCGACACCCCAACCTCCACGTGCATCCCTACCCTGGCAAAGATCCGACAGGTTGAGGGCAGTTGCAAGGCCTGCGTATGAGCCGCCAACCACAAGAACCTTGAAGGGCGAGGCGGCGCTGTTCGGACGTACAACGGATCCCATAGTGACTGAAGAGGGGGAAGTTGAGAACAGTCTGGCCTGGCGTTCTTGACATGACAAGGAGAATTGTCGAGGCGGGAAATGGGCGTGCTTTAATAGCACACAAGGAGGATAAACGCTGCGCCGATGTGTCCCCGGCCATCTGCTTGCCGGCCCACTCACCCCTCCTACCCCTGGGTATGAGGCCGTAGCCGGATCGGGACGTGTTGTAGATATAAGAGCAGTGGACGTGTTGGCGATTGCCTTGACGACACAGGAAGAACGTACACTTGGACCGAGACCGGCCAGGAGGGCGGCTTGGACAGATGGCGACATGTCTTGTCATTGATCAGCTCGCCTGGACCAACAGCTATGTAGAGCGTAGTTGTCCAGTTTACCAAATTTCTTGCGCAAATGCTATATGTACATTATCAGATGGCCGTACATGGTCCCCAGATGGGGCTGCGCGTAATAGATGGGTCCGTCTGTAATTCCCGCGGAGCTGGCTTTTTCCCGCCAAGAAGCCCTTGCCTCCGAGCGCGGCGTAAGCTTGCTCGGCATACGAGGGTAGATGGGGGCAGAAGGGGGGGCGGCAAGTGTGCCTTTTAGTCACAGACTGACAACGACAGAGAGCACAATTCTTTTGGGGTGAAAACCCGAACCTAGCATTTCGTGCACCCGAAGAGAGTAACCATAATATGGTAGGATGGTGGACAATGGTTCTGGCTATTTCGGTAGCTTCTGGAGACGTCTTGAGGGTGTTATGCAGATTATCTTCTCCAAGCTAGCAAAAAGTCCTACACAGTAGACGCAAATAACGACAAAAAATCAGTCTGCAGCACGCCTAGGCTTGAGCATATGTGATAGAGACAGTTCAGCATGTATTGGATTTCTCGATTGTGGAGCCGAGTGTAATTGTACTTTGTATGTCCGAGTTTGAACGGGCAGTGTTGAAGTAAGATACGTATGGAGCCGGTAGATCGGCAGTCTGGTCCACTTTTAATGTTATCAGATGCCACCGGCAAATATGATTGGGGCATAGTTCTTGCGCCATCAGAAGGAGCTGCACGCAAGGCGGTGATTTTCTTTTTTTTTGCTTTTTGCGAAATTCTATTCGGGTATCAGAAGGCAGCGGATGAGAATTTGCTTAGGCCAGTTAACTCGATATTTCTATCGTCATTGTGTATTAAAGCTCTTTTCGGACTCTACGATGTCTTGCCATCCCGGATGACCTGCGTGCCTTCGGCAGGCTCCAGCAACTGCCAGCTGCACGTGATGCCCTCCTGCTTAAAGCGGGCAATGATGCGCTCTGCGATCTCGTCAAAGTGGTCGGTGGCTAGCGCCAAGATGGTTGGGCCGGCTCCCGACAGACAAACACCGAGCAGGCCGGGTTGGGTGCTCGGCGTCATGGACTCGACAATGTCGGTCAGGCCGGGGATCAGAGTCTGCCGGTAGGGCTGGTGCAGCTTGTCCTGCATGGCGAGGTAGATCAAATCAGGGTCGGGCGGCGATTGGCCGAGGGCGACGGGTAGCAAAGCTATCCTCTGCAAGTTGAAGGTCTGTAGGTTGAGTTAGGAAGATGAGGAAGAGGGGAAGAAGAGAAAAGGAAGAAAAAAAGAAGAAAGAAAGGAACAAGAAGGAGACTTACAACGTCTGCTCGTGGGTACTTTTCGGGCAGCACCTCGCGGGCTTTTGCAGTGGCGACCTCAAAGTTGGGGATGACGGCGACAGCCTTGATCGAGGGCGACCAGGGAAACTTGATGTGGTGGCCGATGCCGAGGGGAGGGTCGGGAGGCTGGGCGCCGGTGTCGATACCGCCAGCGGGGGCGGGCAGCACCTCACTGAGAGGGATCTCCTTGCGGGCGACATCCTCGGGTTTGAGCGGGTTGAGATAGGTGCCGACGAAGCCGCCGAAGAGCGCGGCGCCGACATTGTCGGGATGACGCTCAATCATGAGACAAAAGTCGAATAGGCGATCAGGGCCGAGATGGTCGAGCCGGCCGACCTGCTTGGCCAGCATGACGCCGGCAACGACGGCGGCACCCGACGAGCCCAGGCCGCGACCCAGCGGGATCGGGTTCTTGATGTGCACGTGTGTCTCGACCGGGAAGCTGCGCTGGTTGTGGCAGCGAAGCACGTAAAGCGCCACGCGTGTCACCAGGTTTGCGTCCGGGTCCAGCGGCACGCTGCCCTCGCCGTCGCCCTCGTACGTCAGCCGGCAGTTGAGCGGCTGCGTCGACGACGTCTTGGACCGGTCAATCGTGACGTGCAGCTCGAGATACAGCGACAGGGCGAGCCCGATGACGTCGAATCCGGGGCCGATGTTGGCCGAAGAGGCCGGCGTACGGATGACAAACGACTCGGCCATGGTGCTCGTTGGTCGAGGATTCTGCTTGTGTGGAAGCTGTGCAGCTGTGCAGTTGTGCTGTCGGCAAACCGAACCGTTCTACGATAGCAAAGGGGTGGTCTGCCCTTTGCGATTCGCTATGACTCCAAAATTTTCGCTTTTTTCGGCCCTTTCCTAATTATCTCACTAATTAGACTATTCACCGATCGCGGAGGTACTGTAACTTTTGGTGCGGGGCTGCAACAAACAGCCAGTCCTCGCCAAACTGGTTGCTCTGGCATGGACAGAGGCAATGGCCCATCGTATGCTATGTTACGGAGTATACGAGCGCACTTTCGCAGTCAGCTGCAACGTCTGCAATGACGCGTGACGACGTTCTGTCAGCAGCAGCAGCTGTGGCTGTTCAGTGCTGAAAGGACCGGCTTGCGAGTGCAAGTATCTTACTTCGTATGGCAAGGCATCTAACTACTCCGTATTATACAAGATGCGCTGTAGGAACTGATCCTCACGGCTTAATGCTGTCTGTGCTATATTTATCGCAGGCACACTTCTTGCTGCAAAGTAAGATATTTTCCGCCACAGAGCGAACCACATCTAAACCGTATCGGGTATAATATTTATACGAAGGGCGTCATCTGCGCCTCCTTTAGGCAACCAGCTCTACTATGGACAATGTCCGTCGTAGAGCTCTCGTGGTCGTACATAGTAATGCGACGTATTACGGAGTACTCGTACTCTACAACGTCACGCCGCCCCTCAGCTCCTCTACCCTTGGAGCTCTGCGTCTTGGCGGCTCAACAATCTGGTTGCCATAGAGAAAGCGTGATACTCGTATATACTCCGTAGCAAGTAGAGTATGCCTTGGTGGGGCGTCACTACCACGATAAATCCCTGCTGCGCCTTCCCGGCCTGAAACAGACACTTGATTTCATCGTTATTGGTCGCAAACAACAATACCCCCACATTTTGAGCGTCCTGCCCATATCTTACAACGGCTCCCAGCAACACTTTGAGTGCCAGCTGCTGCGCGCTACGCCGTAAACGAACAGGCAGCAAAAAGAGGGCACCTTTGTCGTGCCTTCCTCCCACATATGTAGTAGAGGGCCATCGTGCTGGAAGGGAATCTCGTACAAAGCTCATCTCCTCCAGCTCGGCTGCTCTATTGCGAGTACTCATTCTGACCATCTGCTGCATCTACCCGCCATCCGCCTTCCGCCCTCTGCATTCTCTGCTTACTACCCCTGCTCCCGCCTCTCAGCTTTCGCCATTTTGTCGCGACGATCATAGCGTGAAACGGTGCACCGGTCCTGCCACTGAAAACAATAGCTTGCCAAGACAACTCCTCGCTGCTTTGACTTTTCGCTCCATCCCCCCCAAAACACCACGATCTCCCCTCCATTTCGTCTCTGCAAGAGATTTTGGCAAGCGAACGAAGTAGTATATCCAAACAATCGCTGGCAAACAGAGCGTCGGCGGCAAACGAGCGCATAAAAGAAGACTACACCCCTCTAGGAAGCAACTGCAGAGTCGAGACACGTTCCAACCGGTGGCCGGCTCCCTGCATCCAGCACGGACGAAGGATATTGCCTTCATACCATCCCGTGGTTGGCAACCATCTTGCCTGTCCTTTTCGTCCTTGTCTGCGCTTGTGCCCAGCACGATCGGAACAGCAAACTGTGCCAGCGGTTATACTTTCTTCGACACCCCCCCTTTTTCCCTGACGATCCTGCATACACCCCCTTGCTCGTTCTGAACGATGGCGTACAATCGATTAGGTATGTCCCTCCAAATCACCCTGGCCCTCACCATACCCTTACTTTCCTGCTTTCCCTCTGCCTCACCTGTCCGGGCCGATCTCTTCTGCTTCGGTCGGCTCTTGATCTTGTGCTGGAAACAAGTACGCCCTGGTGTGCGCCAAAGAGATTAAAACCCGTCGCAACAAGTAGAGGCACTGGCTGTCTCTTCGTTTTTGCTCTATCCTTCTCTTTTCGTTCCTCTTCCGCCGTGCCTTTGACCTTTTCACCACAAACTTCAACCGTCCTTCCTCCAGGCTTGCGCGATTGGCACTCTCTGCTCACATCCTCATTAGCAGACGACGGTGGTTATTACGACCAGATGGACCCCCGGGCCCATCGGACGCCCTCACCAGGCAACACTATCCAGCAAGGGTATCAGCTCGATGACAATCCTCAGGGGAATTATCCCGCGGGCCATGGCCTCGATGTTCACAACCCAGCATTGAACCAGGGCCGCTTCAGCCCAGGCGACTCGCTACAAATGCAAATGGCTGTAAGTCTGGATCTGTAGTAGCTCCTTTCACGTCTTCTGTCGCTAACTTTCTTCTGCAGCACTCGGTCGACAACCTCGGTGGGGCTTATGACCCCAGGCCGCATGGCGGCGAGTATGGTGTCAACCCGGAAGAACATCACGATGCATACTACAACACGCCCTACGAGCCTGCCCAGCACGATGGCCAGGGTGCTTATGACCAGTTCGATACCGATGGCAGACCGCTTCTTCAACAGGCTGGCTCATACGAGACGCCCGGCTACGGAGAGCCTGGCTACGGCGAACCCGGTTACGAAGACCCTGTCCTTGATCGGCCCCCGCAAACGACGCCAGCACCTCAAGGCGGTGGCCTCAAGCGTTGGAAAACGGTGAAGCAGGTGCTCCTCTACCGGGGCAACTTGGTACTCGACTGCCCGGTTCCTCCCCGGCTCTTGAGCCAGCTGCCGCACGGCGAGCGCGACGAGTTTACGCACATGCGCTACTCTGCCGCCACATGTGATCCATCCAACTTCTACGAGGACAATTTCACACTCCGGCAGAAGCTTTTCAGCAAGCCACGGCACACCGAGCTGTTTATTGTGGTCACCATGTATAACGAGGACGAGATTTTGTTCGCCCGCACCATGATCGGTGTCTTGAAAAACGTCGAGTACATGTGCAAGCGCACCGAGAGCAAGACCTGGGGAAAGGATGCTTGGAAGAAAATTGTCGTTTGTGTCGTCAGTGATGGCCGTGGAAAAATTAACCCGAGAACCAGGGCTCTACTTGCCGGGATGGGTGTATACCAGGAGGGCATTGCCAAGCAGCAGGTTAACGGCAAAGATGTGACGGCGCATATCTACGAATACACTACCCAGATCGGCCTGCAGATCAAAAACAACATTGTACAGCTGGTGCCAAAACAGCAGCCTGTCCAGATGCTCTTCTGCCTCAAGGAGACGAATAAGAAAAAGATCAACTCTCACCGCTGGTTCTTCCAGGCGTTTGGCCGCGTCCTCGACCCTAACATTTGCGTTCTGATCGACGCCGGTACGCGCCCTGGAGGTAACTCCATCTACCACCTCTGGAAGGCTTTCGACCTCGAACCCATGTGCGCTGGCGCCTGCGGTGAGATCAAGGCCATGTTGGGTACTGGCGGCAGGAACCTGATAAATCCGTTGGTTGCGGCTCAAAACTTTGAGTACAAGATGAGCAACGTTCTCGACAAGCCGCTCGAGTCTGCCTTTGGCTTTATTTCTGTGCTGCCGGGTGCCTTCTCGGCCTATCGCTATGCCGCCCTGCAAAACGACAAGAACGGACAGGGCCCTCTCGAAAAGTATTTTGCCGGCGAGACGCTTCACGGCGCCAGTGCGGGCATCTTCACTTCGAACATGTACCTGGCCGAGGATCGTATCCTGTGTTTCGAGCTCGTCACTAAGCGCAACTGCCACTGGCTCCTGCAATACGTCAAGTCTGCGACAGGAGAGACGGACGTACCGGACGGCCTTTCGGAGCTAATTCTGCAGCGTCGCCGGTGGCTAAACGGCTCCTTCTTTGCTGCTCTCTATGCGATCGTCCACTTCCACCAGTTCTTTCGCTCCGATCACTCTCTTTTCCGAAAGGTTATGTTCTTTATCGAGTTTGTCTTCAACACCATTAATATGATATTCGCCTGGTTTGCCATTGGCAACTTCTTCCTCGTTTTCAAGATCCTCACATCCAGCCTTTCTGATAAGGACCTACTCGGCACAGTAGGCAATATTTTAGGCGTGGTGTTTGAATGGTTCTATGGTGGATGCCTCATCATTTGCTTCACGCTGTCCATGGGCAATCGCCCGGCTGGTTCGGGCCCATACTATATGGCTATGGCTGTCTTCTGGGCTATCATTTATGTGTAAGTGCTGTCTTTTGCCATCCATGACATCGTCTCCTGCCACACACAACGCGACGTTCTAATTGTTTGGCCTCTAGGTACCTCATGTTTGCTGCCGTATTTATTTCAGTCAAGGCTGTCCAGACTGATATTCATGATGGCCTAACCGGCTCGGAGCTCTTCTCGAACAAGGTTTTCGTCACTCTGATTCTTTCAGTCATGTCGACATACGGAGTGTGGCTGATTGCGTCTGTCATGATGTTCGACCCGTGGCACATGTTCACCTCACTAATTCAGTACTTATTGCTCACGCCTACATTCACGAATATCTTGAACGTCTACGCTTTCTGTAACACACACGATATTTCGTGGGGTACCAAGGGCGACGACAAAGCCGAGGCGCTGCCTTCAGTCAGCACCAAAGATGGCCAGGGCAAGACGGACCTGCCAGATGAAGGTGACTTGAATGCACAGTATGAGCGGGAACTACTTGCCTTTGGCGAAAAAGAGGTCAAGGTGAAAACAGAACCGACGCCAGCCCAATTGGACGAGAAACAGCAAGACTACTATCGTGGTGTGCGTACCGTCGTGGTGGTTATTTGGATCATCAGCAATTTTGCCCTCGCCGCTCTTGTCCTGAGTACCGCAGGTCTCGAAAAGATCATTTCGTCGAATTCTGCCTCCGCCGATACCAGTCGTGCGACGATCTACATGGCCGTCATTCTCTACAGTGTAGCAGCCCTGTCTGCTTTCAAATTTCTGGGCGCTCTATGGTTTTTGATAGTGCGGATGTTCCGTGGTGTATAGATGGATGGCGACCATCTCTTTTTTGGTTTTCACTATTTCTCGTTTCCCCAGCCTAGTGTATTTCTTGTTTGCCTTTCTCGTCATATCGTTGCGAAATTTCCATGTCATATGAAAACAATACCCTCAATGCATGAAAGCATGAGAAGCCCTTGGTGGCTCTGGATTTTCACTGTTCAAATCCAACACACAATTCTCCTGTCCATATTATCTACTAGGTAGCAATATCTTCTGAATTGCATAAAGAATCTTGCCTCTCCAATATGTGTCTGCAAAGGAGCCAAGGGCGGCTTCTCTGTACTCCGTGGTGCATGGTACAAACGAGTCGTTGGAATTGCCATATTTTTACATGTGAGAATCTATCTAATGGTATAAGATACTCCCAACGGCCTATAGGAAGCTCGGCCTGTCTTCGAATTGTAGCCTCGCAATTACATTTACGCAGCGCAACGCATAAGGATGGTCCCTGGCAATTCAAGTTATGCCCTGCCAACCACGAATGCAGCTCTATGGTCCAGACGTCGGCCTTGTGATACTTATTTGGTAGGCATCACTACAAAGAACTCGCATCAGGCACTAAAACAGTCTCCATCAATGCCTGCAGCACGGGAAAACGGGCTAACTAAACACAGCAGTGAGCTCCAGATGCTTTTAGGCGCTTATCTGTTGGGTATAGCCCAAAGTATCTTGCAGTATCTAAACGCCCCACTTTTGTGGTGCTCGCCTCCCCTGTCTGTCCATTCCGACTTTTAGGTCACAGGGCATTAGGACAGGCCGGCCAGCTTCAAAACGTCCCGACGCCTACCCATTTCAACTATTCCACTAGTGTGAGTCTTGTTTTCCTCCTCCCTCATTCATCACAATCACTTTTGGTCCCAGCCCAAACCACGACTCTCGTTCTGACCGCATCACACAACAACAAGCTTCCACTCCCGACATCTCAGAACGAGTCCTGGGACGAACGTGAAGCGCTGCGCAGCATTCTGCACCCTGCTTCGCCATGGGGATTTGCAGCTCCCAGTGCTGCGGAGGTAAACAGCCTTTTTATTTTTCACGGCCTCGCGATTTGCTGCCTTGCTGACATCTGAAAGGCAAATCCCGCGATGGCCTCTACGAGCCCGTCCTTGCCGATAGCGAACGTGAGGCAGTTGCAGACCTCCTTCAGTATCTCGAAAATGTTTGTCATTCCCATCTCTCGTTACTACCTTCACCGATCCGAGCTTTCAGGCCACCCAATTTCCCCTCCCGTATCTCGACGACACCACACACCACTATCACCTAGGCGAATGCATGTGCCGACGGCCTATGTACCCCATTCTCCCAAAAGTCGTTCAAGTGTGCGGCTTTCTGCACACAAGCATTGACTTAAAATACCCTGGCAGTATTGGGCTATTTTGTCTTTAGCACTACGTCACGCTTCGGTCACGATACCTATGAGAACCCACATTGGACTAACTTTGCACAGCGCAACGAAACAGACTTTTACTCGGGAGAGCCGCTGCGTGCGCTCAGCACACTTGTCTTCTCGGACAACATAGACTTGCAACGAAGTGCAAGCTTGACGTTCGCTGAAATTACAGAGAGAGGTACGGTATCAGCTGGGACCAAACGAGATCAAGAAAACCATGCTGACACCCCCAGACGTGCGAGAAGTTGAGCGGGACACTCTCGAGCCAATTCTCTTCCTTCTGCAGAGCCCCGATCTTGAAGTGCAAAGAGCGGCGAGCGCTGCTCTTGGAAACCTTGCCGTGAACAGTATGTGGACCGTCGATCGTCCCTTTGCTGCCCAATCTGTCCCACTTCGGCATCACTGACGTACTTGTCTTTCAGCTGCCAACAAGGTTCTGATTGTTGAGCTGGGCGGTCTTGGACCCTTGAAGCGCCAGATGCAATCGCCCAACGTTGAAGTCCAGTGCAACGCCGTCGGCTGCATCACCAACCTCGCCACACATGAGGACAACAAGGCAAAGATTGCTCGCTCGGGCGCCCTCGGACCCCTGACGCGTCTCGCTAAGTCGCGAGACATGCGAGTGCAGCGAAACGCCACGGGTGCTCTTCTCAACATGACTCATTCGGGTATGATATCCTTACTGCCGTCTGCCTCACCTTGCTGGGCCGCAACTTCCTAACGTTACCCTTCCAGATGAAAACCGAAAACAGCTAGTCAATGCTGGTGCTCTGCCAGTCTTGGTCCAGCTGCTCTCCTCTCCCGACGTCGATGTACAGTACTACTGCACGACAGCACTCAGCAACATTGCTGTAGATGCCACGAACCGAAGGAAGCTGGCACAGACCGAGCCGAAATTGGTCCAATCCCTCGTCAATCTGATGGACTCCTTATCGCCCAAGGTTCAATGCCAAGCCGCTCTTGCCCTGCGCAATCTTGCATCCGATGAGAAATACCAACTAGACATTGTCCGTGCCTCTGGCCTGCCGCCTCTTCTTCGTCTTCTCCAGTCCTCCTATCTGCCGCTTATTCTCTCTGCTGTCGCGTGCATACGGAACATCTCGATCCACCCCATGAATGAATCGCCTATAATTGAAGCAGGTTTCTTGCGGCCTCTGGTGGAGTTACTCGGTTCTACTGACAACGAGGAGATCCAATGCCACGCTATCTCGACTTTGCGCAACCTAGCGGCCAGCTCAGATCGGAACAAGGCTCTTGTGCTGGAGGCTGGTGCCGTACAGAAATGCAAGCAGCTGGTGCTGGATGTGCCCGTGAATGTTCAATCAGAAATGACTGCTGCCATTGCTGTTCTGGCTCTTAGCGACGAGCTCAAGATGCACCTACTTGGCCTGGGTGTATTTGATGTCCTGATACCGTTGACACAATCTTCCAGCATCGAGGTGCAAGGCAATAGCGCGGCTGCTATGGGCAATCTCTCCTCCAAGGGTGAGCCATTTTTGTTAATATTACAGTGTGTCGATACTACATGCAGTGGCTAATCTGTCTAGTTGGCGACTACTCGATGTTCATCCAATACTGGCTGAAGCCAAGCGATGGCATCCATGGATATCTGAGCAGATTTCTGGCGAGTGGTGATGCTACATTCCAGCACATAGCGATCTGGACCTTGTTGCAACTTCTCGAGTCAGAGGACAGGAAGCTCATGAACCTAATTGCCAAGTCGGACGATATTGTGGAGGTTGTTAAACAAATTGCGAAGCGTCCTATCGGGTCCGACAACGAGCTGGAAGATGACGACGAAGGAGAAGTTGTGAATCTGGCTCAGCGGTGCCTCGAGCTTCTCGGACAGAACAACCCGAAGTCCCATATCGAAGGCTGAAGGTGACGATACCTCCTTCTGTCGACTTGCAGCTCAGGCGTTTGTATCCGGGCAAATTGCCGGCCTCTCGCCTCGCTCTTGTTGCTTCTTCTGGTGACGTTCATGTCATCGAATCAACACTCCGTTTTAAACCGAACGGAATATCGCATTGGCCTATTTCTTTTTGTCTTTATGTTTGCTTCTTGTTGAGGATCCCAGGGCCAGGGATGTGGGCAAGGTGTTCTTGGCGCAGCATTCTCTGCAGTTGGAGCTATGACTTTCTTTTTTGCGTTTGTTACTGTCTGCGTTTCGTTCCGATTTTTCTCCTTTTTATGTCTTGTCGATTGCGTATTGTTCGGAGCGTGGTATTGTTCAGGGTGCCATAACACATGCTTATTTTGCAACCAGTCTCGACCAAGGTGCTGATGCTTGTGCTGAAGTCACCACCCTCCACTCTACTCGGCAACGGTATGTTGTCCATGAAACCTCCTAGTCCATCGTCTCTTTTTTCTTTTCTCTACCCACTACGATTGGAGGCGCTGGCGTGCGAAGTGCTAGCTAGTTCAATTAATGAGGAGGCGCAGCCACAAGAAACCACCAAAGCCAAGGGCTGTCTCCCGGCTGAGTAGTCACGCCTTGTTTCCTAGTAGATGTAATTAGACATTCATCATTTTCTCGCTTCTGTGTATCTGTTGTACAGAGATACGCAGGCGTGTGGATATATAGTGACAAACCTTGAATCAAATGCACTCTGTCGGTAAAGCTGCGCCTAGATACTGTTTTGATGGAACACGGTACGTGCCACTATTCCTCTTTTTTCAAAAGTTTGGACCAGTCGCGACTGTCTTTACTCGAAACTGGAGGCGAATCTCAAGCCGGTGCCGAATCTAGTGGGTTCTCTATCCACTGCCAGGTCTTGCCTATGACCTTTCCGCGTACTAGACCCAGCGGAACGGGGCCAAAAGTTCGGGAATCGCGTGAAGCAGGCAGGTTGTCGCCGACTAGAAAACAATGCCCCTGTGGAACCTTTCGGACAGTGAGCGACGTTCTAATGCACACTTCATACCAGGGCCACTGTACTCACTTGGATCATAAGGTCGCTCGTGCCTTCGGGCGAGTTCACCAACACATAATCTCCCGGCATTCCCATGACCCGCTTGACCGCCTCATCTGCTGGTTCGACAGGGATCCGATATACGACGAGGTCACCGACACGCAAATCACGGCCCCAGCGGTACCGTTTTGAGACTAGCAGCCAGTCGCCCGCAATTGAAAAGGTGGGCAGCATGCTAGGACCCGACGCTGGACCGACGCTGTAGCCATAGGTCCAGACAATATGACAGAAGGCAAGTGTCTTAGCAGTGCCAATGGCCCAGCGGCCGGGATGGCCGCGAAAGACGCGAGAAAATCTGGAAAACTGGGACATCTGTGGTATAGTATCTCATAAGTGGTAAGCAGGAGACGAAGGTTAAGCGCAGTATAGAGCATGTCCAAGAGTGATCTGATGAGATGAAGTCTCCAATTTAGAGCTTAGCCACAACAATTGTAGCGCACAGACCCCACTACTAGCGAACAAGCTGCAGAGCCTCGTAGTAGAGCCACCCGAGCTGTACCGTAAGCTCACATGCCACGCTGGCTGGTCCTTTCATTGAATTAGTATGCGTACATACAAGCGCAAAGCCATACCGTATTAGTACGACGAGGTCATCTTCCGAAGTAGACGTGGAAAAGGTGGCCAGGTTCAGCAGCTGGGGATGATCCACAGTGTGGGGTAGCACGTGACGAAAGTCGGAGTAGCTGCAAAAAATAAGTTTCCTCCTCCGCAAAAGCAAATCCACGTATGCAACGTGGAACGATCAACGCCCGGCCAGACACACAATGAAGAGTAGCCGCTGCATTTCTTCACCGGTGTCGGCGCTCGCCCGGGTGTTTCTGCCCGGGCCCGGTAATCAGGGTATATACAATGGCCCTCTCTCGGTACCACCATTTCTGGCGCCGCGCAGTTTTCAAGTCCCGGCGAGCCGGCGATATGCACATCAGCGGCCGACGATTCAACGGCCACAGACAAATGGGATATCGACGGCGCGGTCGGCTGTCAATGTCATTAGCAGCGACAACAGCAGCAGAGGGCCTGGTAGTCTGGGGCAGATGAGGCCGATTGCCAGACCCATATCTGTTTTTCGGCCGGGCAGTGGTGGCCGACAAGGCTCCAAGCCTGGTCGTCTGCCACGTGACAGAGAGATTTCCGACCGCTATGTGATTCTCCGACAGGAAGACGGGTCGCTCTCAGCACCACAGCCGACAAGTGCGATCATGGCGAGGCTGAACCCGCAGCTCGAGTCGCTGGTCATGCTGGCGTTACCACGGAAGCAGGACTCCGAGGATGCGGAGGATGTGGAAGATGGTGAGAAACGAAAGGCGGTGCCACGGTTCCCGATCTGCAAGATTGTGGATCGTGTGGCCGAGAGAAAAGCAGAGTACGAGAAAACGCGGGAGCTGCGGCGCAAGAAGACGCTGAGCAAGGAGCTCGAGCTCAACTGGGCGATCGACACGCACGACTTGGAGCACCGGATGGGCAAGCTGCGCGAATTTTTGGAGCGCGGGCTGCGCGTGGAGGTGTCAATGATGCGCAAGGGCAAGGGGAAAGGACGGCGACATGCAACGCAGGAAGAAGCGGCTGAGCTGTTGCGGCGGGTGCGAGAGACAGTGGCTACCGTTCCGGGGGCGCGCGAGACCAAGCCGATGGAGGGGGAGCTGCTGCGGGTTGCAAAGCTGGTCGTGGACGGCCCAGCCCGCAAGAAAGAGGGCAATTGAAGCTCTCGAGGGCAGTTGGTATTCCGTATATAGCTTGAATATATACGGAGTATTGCTGTAAACGGTCCTACACACGCTAAATTAGTGCGCTGTTACAGGTGCGTTACTTGCCGATTCCGCTTAGCGCCGAGCTGCTAAATGCAGCAGGACTTTGTAGTGTTGTACCGAATTTATTTTTTATTTTAGCGCGGGGCTTTCTATCCTCTTAATTGCATTTGTTTGTCTGACTCAAGCCAAAAGAGTGAACATCTCTAACTTCGACTTCTGCGCAAGCGCTCAACGACGGCCGCAAATCTGATACTTCTGTGCGCGTATTCCTCCAAGCGCCTCCTGCTTCCCAGCCCCTGACCTCTTCTCGTTTCTCATCCCGGGACGGGGGGAGGCTTAACAACGAGAGTCAGGCGAGAATTGTTGTCCAGCATGGCGACACCACAGCCGAGCGAAGGTGTGACTGCCAACAGCGAGACGCCAAAGAAGGATGTCACGGCAGAGGGAAATGCGGGCCAGAAGACTGGTGGGAAGGCACAGGCACAGAAGAGCACGGCGCCCCAGCCGACAGGAGACGCGCCAAAGAAGCCTTCGGGTGCAGAGCTGAAGGCGCAGAAACAAGCAGAGAAGGCCAAGCGGAGAGCAGCCGTGGTGGCGGCGAAGGAGGCAGGAGTGGGCGCCGTTCAGCTAAAAGCAGTACCAGGAGCGGGTGCAGCAGCAGGTGGCGGTGGCGGCGGTGGCGGCAAGGCCAAGGGAAAGCAAGGCGCAGACGCCGCAGGCAATACAGGAGGAGGTCCTGGTGTCGGAGCAGGCTCCGGAGCAGGGCCGCTGACAGGTCCGATGGCACGGCGGCCATCCGTAGCTGCGGTTGCGGCAGCGGCAGCGGTCGCTGCGGCTGCCACGGCGACGTTGGAACGCGAGAGAGAGCGCGAAAAGGATTACCGCAGCGGCATCCCCGAGTGCTTCAGCCATCTGTCGATGGCGAAGCGCATCTCAGTCTCCCAGGCACACAAGGACGTCCATCCGGCCGTGCTCGCGGTTGGTCAGCAGATGGCTACCTTTACGCTGCGTGACAGCATCGCCCGTCTGGAGGCTACACTCGTCGCATTCAAGAGGGTGTGTTGACGCCCCTGCTGAACCAATTCTGCGCTGTATATGCTAAGCTGTGCCCGATAGGTCATCCAGTCCTACAGGACACCGCCGGGCAACGCCTTCTCGCGGCACTTTGTGTCGCATGTGCTCAACCCGCAGATCGAGTACCTGACAGAATGCCGGCCAATGTGCTTTGCCATGGGCAACGGGATCCGGTTGCTCAAGGCGCGCGTGTCACAGCTGGACCTGGACTTGGACGACAAGGATGCGATCGAAGACCTGTGCGACTCCGTGGACGCTTTCATCCAGGAGCGCATACACGTCGCGGCCGTGGTCATAACGCGCGAGGCGGCCGAGATGATTGATAATGGCGATACCGTCTTGACGTACGGAGGACCCCGGTTGGTGCGGGCTGCCCTCGAAGAGGCTTGGGCCAACGGCATCCGGTTCGACCTGATCGTCGTGGACGACCCGGACGACACGGCTGCCGGCCAGGCACTGGCCAAACACTTTCGCTCGCGAAGGGATACCGAGACGGCAGCAAGTCGTCGTCCTGAGATCCACGTGACCTACAGTCACTCTCTCGACGGCCTTGACAGTCACGTGGCGCGTGCCACAAAGGTGCTGCTGGGCGTCGAGTCGGTGTTTGCCAACGGCGCACTGCTGGGGCCTGTTGGCACCTGCGACGTGGCCCAGTCGGCCTCAGCTCTGGGCTGCCCGGTCATCGCGCTGTCAGAGACGGTCAACTTTGACCGCGACCGTGTCGCTACGGATGCGCTGGCACACAACGAGATCGACCCGGATCACTGCGACAGCGACTCATTTCGGCTGCTGTTCGACACGACTCAGTCCAGCCTGGTCAGCATGCTGATCACCGAGTACGAGGAGGCCAGCGGCATGGTGCCTGCGCAGGCCATCTATTCCGTCTTGCGAAGCAAGGAGGACCTCAATTGAAGGTCTCGAGGCTGTGTAAGGGTACAAACGAAAGAACACAAAAAAGCTAGACCCGAAAAAAACTAGAATAATTGCTCCCTTGATCTTTGCTTTATATTGGGCTGTGAAATATGGGGTGCCTGTGTCGTAAGGCAGGACTCCTTGCCGTCCGCCCAGCCGTATATGTACATCTTTCCAATGCCGGAGAGCTCGTCGGCTCTCGGCCCCGCTGTCCGGACCACTTATGCCGCCACGGCCTCCTCGCGCGCTGCCCGCCGTGCCCGCTTCTCCAAGATGGACTCTTTCCGGGCGTTCAGAATGGCTGTCTGGCGGTCGTCGACCGTCTGCAACCAGTAGCCAAAGCCGGCACCGGCAGCACCGAAGACGGGGTAGGCCCACAGGGAGCTCTTGTTGAAGAAGGGGCGCATCTCGATGCCGAGCTGCCAAGCGCGGACGGCGACGCCTTTTGTGCCGTGCCCGGTTAGCAACGGAGAGAAGCCAGACGCAGTGGAGGGGGGGAGAGGTCACCCACCGAAGCCGGTCCAGAAGACGACCCGGTGAACCATTTTTTATGTTGGATGCGGTTTTATGTCTGGGTTTCGACTCGGGTTTGAGGGGCCCAATCGATTGGCTTGGCCGGGTTACGGTCGTCGAGCAGACGAACAATTTCGATCGGCTCGTGTGGGATCTGTTGTCTGGACGGGTGGCTGTCACGGACGAGAGGTCGTTCAGAGGGCACAAGGAGGGTCCTCGAGCCAACTTCGAATCTGGCGATGGGAAACCGGGAAGAAACGATTGGACGGCCGGAACGAGAGAAAATCCGAGACGAGACCTGCCCAAGCCAAGGGTGGTCGCATATTGTACATAGTAGCGCAGTCCAGTGGGTCGCTACTGCAGTACGGCCTAATTTAGTGCTCATGCATCTTTCTGGTAATTCTGACAACCACGCGACTCGACCAAAGAACGGCACATATCAATTCTCGTTCCACGGCGAGCGGACAAGTCTCTGCTGACGCTGGTCGAACTGTCCGACCTGCATCCTGCCAGCCTTATAAATCTGCGACTTCCCCGCCCAGCCCTACAGCCCAAGACCTTCGCGTCCTCTGTTCTCTCTCCTTTTCGCGTTTTCAAAGCGCCTCGAATTCTGGTTCTTCTCACCACAGCCCAATATGAGCTGTTTGTGATCTTTTAGACACACGCATACCCCCACTCTATCTGTTTCCTTGCGCGAAAATAAACCAGGTGCCCCTGGTTCATGCCGCTCGCAGCAACGATTGGGACTGCAGACGCTGCAGCCATGTCTGCGTCTGCGCCAGCGCCTGGCTCGGCTGCCGTTTCTGGGACCGAGACACCTCATCCGGTGACGGTAGCGACGAGGTCTTTCAAAGCCTCTGAGCTACCATTATCGTCCGCTGTCCGGACAGCCATCGAAGGGCTTGTGCACACGTTTAAGAAGAAGGGTGGCTACGATGCCATTCGGAAGCAGACGTGGGAGAAGTTTGAGGCTAGCGTACGTGCTTCCGCGGATGCGTGCACGCTCCATGCTCAGAGAGTGACTGACACAGATCACAGGGCTACGAAGAAAACGTGACGAAGCGCATTCTCGAGATTGCCGAGCAGGAGGTGGAGAGCAATCCGGCCCAGCTTCTGTCCTTGGACCGGGGCAAGGCTGCGGCGCTCATCGACGGTGCCCTGGACCGAGGCAGAGTCTACCAAAACGCCCAGGAGGTCATCGAGGCGCTCATTGACTCGGACGCCATCGAGTCGCATCTCCGCGAGATCCGACGGGCCGAAATTGGCGACGAAGCGGCCTCGGACGAGCTGGCGCGCGGCGCGCGTACGGACGAAGAATATGCCACGGAAACTGCCCAGCGCCGTGCTGAGCGTGAGCGGGTGCGACAGGAGCTGCGCGCAGTGGAAGAGAGCAAGCGTCGGCTGGAGCGAGAGATCCGCGAGAAAGAGGAGGCGCGACGGCGTGAAGAGGAGCGGGAAGCCCGTGAGGCCCGGCGTAAGGAGGAACGTGAAAAGGAAGAGCGGCGTGAGAAGGAGCGAGAAGAGCGACGTCGAGAGCGAGAGCGAGAGCGCGACCGGGAACGGGAACGGGAACGGGAACGCGACCGTGAGAGAGACCGCGAGCGGCGAGAACGGGACAGGGAGCGAGACCGGGATCGAGACAGAGATCGAGATCGAGACCGAGACCGAGATCGCGACAGGAGCAGAGACCGAAGGGGCCGGGACCGAGATCGAGATCGAGATCGAGATCGACGTGATAGAGACACGTCAAAGGACAGCCGGCGTCGGGAAGGCGATCACGAGGTGGCGGGCGGGAAGCCGGAAGAGCTAAAGAAGCAGCTTTCGGGCGAGGAGCTGCAGCGGCTGGAGGAGTTGGCGATGCAGGACCTCCTGCGCGAGAGCAAGGCGTCGCGAGCGGCGAAGCAGCCAGAGATGGAGATCGACGAGACGCTAGCTCCTCCACCACGCAAGGCGATGCCGGCGTCGGCGATCCAGCCGATACGGCGAATCCCACCCAAGGCTCCTGCGGACAATACAAAGGTGCAGCCAGCAGAGAGCGTGGTCAGCGGCAGCAGGCCGGAGCCAAAAGCCCAGGCCCAAATGCAGGCACCTCCGACGGAAGCGAATATTCTGATGCATGAGGGCAAAGGCGGTGTCAAAACTGCTGCAGCCGTGAAATCGTCGCCCAGAACAGAGCCAGCGGTAGTAGCGAAGGACAAGTCCGAGACGAAGCCGGCCAAAGCGACGGACGAGACGGCTAGCGGCAGTGCAAAGACGGCAAAGACGGCCACGCCCGCTCGAGAGCCGTCTCGGCATCGTGATAGAGACACGAGCCGGCACAGCAGGGCATCGGAGCGTCGACGCGGACGGCGTTCAGCATCGCCAGACCGCCGTGGGCGCAGAGATGGGCGGAGTCGATCGATCGGACGGAGACGGGACTATCGCGAACGGAGTCGAAGCGGATCGAGAGCTGGTGACCGGCGGAATGAGAGACGCAGCCGTAGCAGGGAGCACAGGGCAAGGGACAAGGAGGCAACAGGAACAGCAGCAGCAGGGATGTCTGGGATGTCAGGGAAGGTTGATCGCAAAGAGTCGACACGGCGCAGCCGGTCCCGACATGATGCTCGAGATGCGCGGAAACAGACTAGGTCTCCGTCCCGTCGACGAAGAGACTATCGGGAACGCGATCGCAGCACATCGCGGACATCCAAGCCGAAGGACCGCGAAACAGGTACAGGGGGGCCGAGCCGAGCGCGATCGAGATCACGAACAAGGCCGTCGACACGGCGGGAGGACAGGGTAGAGAAGAACGAGAAGAACGAGAAGAACGAAAAGGACCAAAAGGACCAGAGAGAGACATACCGACGGCGGTCGCATTCACGATCCCGCCAGCGCGACGAAAAACGTACGGCGACGGCTTGGGAGAGGAGCCGCTCGCGGGTGCGATCTGATCGACGCAGCCGATCGCCACGAGGAACGGCAGTGGACCGGGCAGAGCGAAAAGAGGCAGAGGCGCGAAAGAGCCGCAGCCGGTCGCCTCCTGGCGGTCCGGGGTCTCTGTCAGCGACGTCGACGACGCGGCCGCCACCAAATCTGGACCGGGACGGACTGGAGGCGTGGAAGCAGGGCGAGGTGAGGAAGCGGGAGCTGGAGGCCAAAGCATATCTGGCAGCACAGAAGGAGGCACGGGAGAAGGGGTTGCCGGTGCCGGGTGTGGACGACAGGCGGAGCACAGGCGGCGTCAGCGCGGGAGCGACGGGGACCAGTGGTGTAGCAGGTGACCGGTCGCCAGAGATGAAGCGCAAGTACGAGCCGGACGAGATTGATCGCTACGTGCCGAAAGAGCGGCGCCACATTGACCGGGCAGTTTCGGGCGGGACGGTGGACCGAGCGGTAGACCGGGCTGCAGGTCGTGATCTGCGTGACTTCCGCAACCGAGACGAGCTGACGGCTCGGCGAAGCAGCCGGTCGCGCAGTCGGAGTCCACGGCGAGAGTACCGGGATCGGGACCGGATTCGAGTTCGCGACGACAGGGACCGTGACCGAGACCGAGACTGGGACCGGGACCGACGAAGTCGACGAGAGAGAAGTCGCAGTCGAGACCACGTGAGAGAGCGAGATCGAGATCGGGATCGGGATCGTGACCGTCCTCGAGACCGAGACCGAGATCGAGATCGAAGCAGAGACCGTGATCGCGACCGGGACAGGAACCGCGACAGGGAGCGGACCCGAGACAGAGACCGGGATCACGATCGAGAACGACACCGCAGCCGCAGCCGCAGCCGAAGACGACGGAGCAGAAGCCGCTGAAGCTGGAAATGGCCTCGAGCGAAGACAGTCGAGGAGACTGACTTGCCTATCTATTGCTTGCAATTTCACCTGCGGAAGGAACGCAGGCACACATGACTGAGGAATTATATAAGCATATATCCAACGGCAGGCGAACAGGCGGACAGGCACACAACATCTATCTAGAAGTACTAATACACACCACATCCTACTTTTTCTGCTTCTTTGGCGGCGGCTGGTCGTCGTCGCCGTCTTCCGACCCAGACTCAAAGTCGTCGTCGCTCAGCTGATCGAGCTCCTGTGCTTGTTCTGGGCGTGTTAGTGTATTGAACAAGGAAAGATGAAAGACGTTTTTGCTTACTAAAGTATTTGATCGCATTGGGCCACAGATCCTCGGCCAGTGTGACAGCCAACGTGTCACCGTCGGGGAAGATGTCGAAGGGGTAGCCGTCGTCGTCGTCGTCGTCATCGTCGTCGTCGTCATCGTCATCGTCGTCATCGTCACCAGCATCGTCGTCGTTGTCGTCGCCATCGTCTTTGCCGTCATCCTTGGCGTCTTCCTTGGCGGCTCCGTGGGCCTGCGCGTTGTCTTCGCCGGCGCTCTTGGCCGCGGCCCTTTCGGCCTGACGGGCCAGCCGGGCAGCGCGCAAGTCGGCTTCGGCAGCACGGCTCTCGCTCTCGGTGATGCGACGGCCGACGTAGCCGAACCAGGCGAAGAAGCTGACGCCGCCCATAGCGGTCTTGTCGAACTTGGCGCGAAGGGCATCCTGAATCGTCTTGGTCTGGGGGTCCTTCCAGGCCTTGACGGCGAGGTCGAGCAGGCCGTCGGTGAGGTCCTTGCCCTTCTTCCAGCGAATCGGCACCGGCTCGCTGACGAGACCAGACCAAGCGGGACCATGGCCGTGGCCGTGGCTATGGCCGGGTTCGTCGTCACAGCCGCAACCGGTCGCCGGCGCCGTTCGGTGCCAAAAGCGCTTCTCCAGCACGCGATCCTCAAAGACGTCGTTGGGCGCAAAGGTGAAGCGGAACGAGAGGCTGCGCGGGTCGCCCGCACCAGCACCAGCACCACCATCCGCCACCGTCTCGAACCGGCTGACCTCGACATCCTCCAGGGCCGACAGCAGGACGTTTGAATCCAGCGGCTGGACGTACTGATCGATCTCGGGCGGCGCCTGCTCGAGAACGAGCGGCCAGAAGTGCGGGATGCGACGGAGGACCTGTGCGCGACGGTCGTACAGCGTGCGCTCCTTGGCGGCCTGGATGCAGACTGGGCGTGTTAGCAGGACAGGAAGAGAGAAGACAAGGGAAAAAGGAAAAGGAACAAGTACGCACGCAGCTCGACGTCAAAGTCTTCAAACTCAGCCTCCAGATCGTCCAGCTCTTCGTACGTGACCGATGAGATCGAAGCTTCGGGCGTGGGAGTAGTCATGGTCGGCGGTGTCAATGGGATCAATGGTCCTGATGGGAAGACAATGTGGGCTGGTGCGACGAGATATACACGAAGCTCGGCGCAATTCGATCGAGTGCTGACTTGGGGTGAAACATGAAGAGGCAAAAAGAGGGAAAGATGAGAGCTCCAGATTTAAGCTTTTTCTGCACTAGTCCGAACATGGCTTAGCACAATTGGAGATTAGAAGAAAAGGCGAGGAGGGACAAAAGAACAAAAGACTAAAAGGAAAAAGAGAGAGGAAATGAACAAGAACAAGAACAAAAAGAAATGAGTTCATGATTCAGCTGCTTTCTGCCTTCTGTCTGTCTTCCTCGGCCTGCCACAGACGAGCACCTGCATCACGCAGCAGCCGGACGTTTTCGGAGCGGCCCATCTTCTCGGCCAGGAAGAGCGGCGTGTTGTCGGCACGATTGCGGACGTGGACACTGGCACCTTGAGTGAGCAGCTCGTGCAAGACGCGGGTGTCGGGGCCGATGGCGGCGAGATGCAGGGCGGTGTTGCCGGCGTAGTCAGCGGCCTTGAGAAGCTCGTAGGGGTGCAAGCTGGCGGCGATGCTGCCGTCATCGGCGAGGAGCATGCGGCGAACAGCTTGGAGATCACCGTTGGCGATAGCGTAACCGAGAACGGCAAAGGCAGATTCTACGGCCGAGAGGCCGGGAACGCGACGCAGAGCGAGCGCACTGGTGGCGGCATCTGGGTTTTCGCGAAGCTCGTCATCCTCGTCAGAGCCACCGTAGACGCCAGGCGGATGGGTGAAGACGGGCTCAGTCAAGACGGTCATCTCGCCACGAAGCGAACGGCCCATGCGAGTCTGGATGTCGGCGACGGAGAGGCCGTCGAGGGCGAGCAGATAGGAGAGCTTGGTCAGGGCGGCCTCGGTAGTCATGTCATGGCCGAAGACGACGCCAGCACGGCTCAGGGCGGTGGCGGGAGCGTAAAGCGGGCTGACGAAGCCGTTGGTGCACTGGCTGACGTTGACGACGACGATGCCACGGAGGACGGCGTCACGGATGACGCGAGTGAGGCTGCCGTCGACACCACCGGGCGCATTGCCCATGCCAAAGGTTTCGAGGATGAGGCCGCGAAGGCCAGGGACGCGGAGGACGGAGTCGAGCATCTCGGGCATGATGCCGGGGAAGATGCGAAAGCAGGCGACGTGAGCGGTGTCGAGATAGGGAGTGACGGCGAAGCGAGCGATGCGGGTAGCACGGCGAACACGCGGCCAGGCGACATCGACGCCGAGGCTAGTGACGCGGGCGAGGGGGGTGGCATTGGGACTAGCAAAGGCCTCGAAAGCGGAGGCGGACACCTTGGTGGTGCGGTTGCCACGGAAGAGGGTGTGATGGAAGAAGAGGCAGACCTCGGGCACGACAAAGGTGCCGGCGACGATGAGCGAGCCGAGCAGATTATCGACGGCATCGCTCTGCAGCGCAAAGATGGAAGCCTGGGAGCCGGTCAGCACGACGGGCTTGCCCAGATCGGCCATCATGAACGAGAGGGCTGAGGCCGTGTAGGCGAGCGAGTCGGTGCCGTGCAGCACGACAAAGCCGTCGAAGCGGTCGTAGTTGGCGTGGATCGTCTGCGCGATCTCCGTCCAGCCGGCCGACGAGATCGAGCTCGAGTCCAGCAGCGGCGCAAATTCGAGCACGGCGTATCGGATGTGCCGGGCATACGCGCTGACGGGCGTGCGCAGGCTGGCGAGTGCGAGCGGCTGGCCGTCCTTGAGGGCCGTCAGTTGCGTCGCCGGTTGGCCGTCATTGAACGAGGGTCGTGGGGCCATGGCGCTCTCGAGGAAACCGTCCATGGGGACGAGACCGTCGGCGGACGGGCGCATGCAGATGGTGCCGCCGGTCATGATGATGAGCACGCGAGACTCGGGGTAGTCTGCGGTAGGATTCATTGTGGGGGGGGGGGGGAAGGAGAGGAGGAGGGGAGGAGAGGAGGAGAGGAGGAGAGGAGGAGAGGAGGGGAGGAGAGGAGGAGAGGATGAGAGGAGGAGAGGAGAGGAGGAGAGGAGGAGAGGAGAGGAGGAGTAGAGGAGAGGAGGGGCGGAGGAGAGGAGAGGAGGAGTAGAGGAGAGGAGGAGTAGAGGAGAGGAGGAGTAGAGGAGAGGAGAGGACGAAAGGGAAAAAAGGATAGAGTAAATGAGAGAGGAGAATAAGGATGGGACAATAAGTAGATGAGAATGGAATAATTGAAAGAAGAGACAAGCAAACGAGACACGAGAAACGATCAGTTGAATGTAATCAACAGCAGAGATGGAGTCGAAATCCAGAAGACCAAGAGACGAAGAACACAAACGACACAAAAAGATCGAAAATCACAACTCTGGCGGTCTAAGATGCAATTCCCATTACCCCATCAGAATTCGCCGTGTAAATTTGTGCTGGCAGATTGTCAAAATAAACTAATCGTCTTGTAAGTCGATAACGATAAGCCACTACTCGCCCAGATCCATCGGATCAGAGCTCTCCTTCTTGATGCTGTCTGCTTTATGGTCGTCTTCCTCTTTCTCTTCCTCTTCCTCTTTCTCTTCCTCTTCCTCTTCCTCTTCCTCTTCCTCTTCCTCTTCTTCCTCTTCTTCCTCGTCTTCCTCGTCTTCCTCGTCCACCTCTTCCACTTCCTCTTCCTCATCCTCCATTTCATCGTAATCATCATAGTCTCCCTCGTCAAAGTCTCCTTCCTCTTCCTCCTCTTCCTCCTCTTCTTCCTCTCTCCCTTCCGCCACCTCTCCCTTCCCTATCTCTCCTTCTTTTTCTGCTCTCCCCTCTTTCTCCTCCCCTCCCATCCGCGTCACATTTCGCTGCTGCTCAATCGGCACCGACACCGATGTCGCTCCCCGTTTCCGCGCCCGCTTCTGCGGCCGTCCGTGGTACGTCTTCACCGCCGTCACCGCTTCTTCTTCTGGCGTGAGCTGCAGGTCCGGCACCGGCACCTTGATCGAACGTACCCCCAGCCGCGGCGTCTCGTCCGCCACCGCCAGCGCCCCCTGGTACGCCTCGTCTGCCACGTCGCGCCCAAACCGGATCGCGATCAGCTTTGCCTTCATCATCGCCTTGGCCTTGGCCCACGTCCCCTGATGGTACCAGCCCGTGCTGACGACGTCGCATGTCGGTCGCCGTGGTGCCCTCGCCAGCATCGCCACCAGCATCGGATCCGTAATGTCGCACACCTGCCAGATCTTGCCGTCGTCACAGTAGCTGCGTCCGTCAAAGATGTGCGTGTCCTGCCGCCCGCTCGCGTGTGTCAGCGGTGTCGTCACCTGCCGCGATTCCGTGCCCGTCGGGCCCCCGTCCCCGATGCTGTGCCAGCACCCGCTCGTCCGGCTTGTCTGCTGCTGCAGCTTGAACAGCAGCGTCTGGTACCGTCCTGCATCCGGCTCCTTGCGTGGGTCGAAGCCGTACCGGATCAGCGTGTCGCGCCAAGGCCCGCCCTTGAACTGGAAGCACACGTGTGCAAAGTACGTCTTCAGCCGGTTCTCCGTGAACAGCAGCCCCATCGCCTCGCTCATGTGGTTCACCAGGCCCCGTCGTGTCCACACCGGCCGCTCCTCCACCACCCGCCGCAGCTCTGCCAGGATCGCGTTCTTGCGTCGTCCCTGCAGCGGAGGAAGCGATGGTGGCGGGCCTGCCGGCACCGGCTCGGCGTCGAACTTGAGAAAGTAGCCACCCAGCGCTGCTCCCACCGTCGAGTTGACCAGCTCCGTCGCTCCGTCGTGTGTCGGAACCTCGCGTACAAACGGGTTCTGGCTGTAAAAATACGAGAACGGCAGCGTCTGCGTCGTGAAGAAGGGCGGCGGCAGTATGTCCACGTTTGGCGGCGCCGCCACTCCTGGCGTCAGCTCGAACTCGCGGATCTTTGACACTGCTCCGTGTTAGCCTGTCGCTCGGACCGTCTGGTCGGAATGGATTAGACTCTACTTACGCTCTCCCGGGAGGATCTTCTCTGTGAACTTGGCCATGAACTGCGAGTCGTGTACAGACTGCTGGAAGTCAAACAGGCCTGCAGCCCGTGTCAGCCTTTGCTGCTGTCCGTAGATACGGCTCTGAACATGTGCCCTTACCCCTGTATCTGTGGCTGTGGTGGATCGTTCCGATCACTTCGACCGTATACTTTCCCGCGTTGTCGCGCATCTTGCGTCTCAGCATCATCCCGTCTCGCTGGCTCAGCGTCGCCCCTGCCAGACCATCACCCTGCACATTAGAGTCAGAGACGTCCTCTTCCCATGGGCCGTGGCCTCCTCTCTTTCGCTTTCTCCCCGTCCTCTTCGGCAGCGTCACGGCCACAACGACGTTGTGCGATGCTGCGTTGTGGGAGGCCAGCGCGCTCGACGACGGGTCCTCGTGCCGCAAGAAGATGGGCACCGACGCGTGCGGCCCATCTGGCTTGACAATCTGGCGAGATTAGTAACCCGGTCAGACATGTGGCATCAGGCCGGCGACCGCTCACCCTCCTGTAGTCGGCATTCAGCCCCAACGTGTCAATGCCCCGGTCGAGCGTCTTCAGCAACGCAGGATGCTCGAGCGCCGCAAGCTTCCTGGTCGGGATCCCATACGCAGGCGCGGTTTCGCCTGTGCTAGCCATCTGGATCACGAACAGTCCGCACCGAGGCTGCTGTATAACACTTCACCGAGCTGTGCCTTCTCTTCTTTTGGCTAGCTCTCACATTCAGACGAGCAACCTCACACACAGTATTCGCACTGTACACACACACTATACAATCACGAGACCGTGCGCTCCGTGCGTCTCCCACTGTGATGCGTCGCTCCTTCTACTTTCAACAGCTGCCAGCAGCAACACAGCCCATGAAGCCAGCATGCATCCCTTTCCTGAGTGCGTGCATCAGACATATGTCTAGAGTGGAGCTCGTGTTGACGATGTCGTAAACAGATAGCAAGACATACGCTTCGTCTCCAAATTCACCTCTCGCTACCAACGAGGTCTCTTCGCTCCATTCACCTCCAACCTCCACGCTCGGTCTCCACCTCCAACGCCACGGTGCATCCCATGAGACTTCCAAGTACGAGTAATATCGCATCTTGCTCGAGCAGTAAGATAACTGCATTCCACCCTGTGGTTGGCCCAGCCATCCCAATGCCGTGTCTTGCATCTTCCCTTTTCCTACCTCTGCTCGCTGATTCCTGACTTTGGTCCGTATTCATCCCTCTAGCCTGTCTACCAAATCCTGTCCTCCTGACTTGATCTCCGACGGGGGCAGCTTAGACCGCCAGATCTAGCGTGGCTTCTCTGCACAAAACGGCTCAAGCCTGCTTTTATTAGCACTTGATTGCAAGAAACCACCACTACTACCACCCAACGACTCTGCTCGCCTCTTCATCACTCCGGTCCCACGTCTCACCTTGGCCCCGCAAACAATTCCCAGGCCTTCGTCTCCCCGACCCAAACATTCCCACCACAGCTCCGGCATCCAGATACTGAAAAATAGACGCAGGAGCTGCAGACGACGGCAGAAAGGCAGAATAGCACAAAAAGACAAAAGCCACAGCCCGACACAGCCGAGCAGCAGCAGCAGACGACCAGAACGCCCGGCGAACAGAACACCCGCTCACGCCCACCACCTGTTGTGCCTCTCCGTCCCTGAGAGCAGACTGCCCCGGTGGCTGCGCCCCAAATCGATGTTCTCCAAACTCAAACTGAAGCGCGAGGTTTGTTCATCTTGATCACACTGCATCTCCCGCGTCTCTTCACGTCGCCAGTGCCTGCCTCTCGACCGCCACTTGCCATCCCCTCCTTTCTCGCTCTCTCTCCCCATATCGCCCTCTTTTTCCTCTCTGCCAAAGTCCGAAAAGCAAAACGCTCTCTCTTGCTGATCTAGCTGTCATTGCTGCTCCCCTACCTCCATCCTTGCCCTTCTTATCCCTCCCGTCCCCTGCTGCCGCTTTTCGAGCGCTCTACGTCAAAACTGGCCACTATCCTGCCAATTCCCGCCCTGCAATCATACCGCTAAACCAGACACGGCTGTGACACGAAATAAACACACACGAACGCTCTCTGCTTTCACTTCATCCCGACGCGGCAGAAACAGTCTTCGCGCACCTGCTACCGACCTGCGCCTCTCTACGCGTGCCTAGTACCGACCTATCCAGCTGTCGCGGAATTGACCCTGCCATATTCTACTGCCGTCGGACCACATCAACAGCAAGAGCCACTGCAAGATCCATCCAAAAGGCCCCCTATAACAAGCCGGCACCACAACAGTGCGCCTGACAGCAAACTTGTCGTGTACACCTTGCTTTCGCCCAATTTACTTCCCCTTGCATACTTCTCCGCTTCTCTCTTCGCTACCAACACCATCTTCTGCCATTCCCCTCAGGCATTTGCTACAATCAGCAAATCCCACCCTCAACCACCAACCCTTTTCCTACGCTCCTTGAAACTACCAAGATGAGACGGTTAAGCCAGAGAGTCAGTTTGAATGCTCTTGTTGCATTCTGGGCGCGCATTCCCCCGCGGAAGACGATGGGGTCCCACCGAGAGACGTGTTCTGATGCCCGGCTTACCACTGCTTGCTAACGTCTTATCTGTCTTGTAGCTTTCGCGAAGCAAGGATCCGAACAAGTCGTCCAAGAAAAACAAAGACTCCAAGGACGGCACCTCTTCGCCTTCGAACTCCTCGACTGCAGCGAGCCAATCCCCCGTCCTCACGCCGTCCTCCTCTACCTCTACACTCAATGACATCCGCAACAAGCCTCTGCCGCCGAGCAACACGAATCCAATCAGCGCGCTCGGTAGCATTGTCGGCATCGGCTCCAGCGACCATGGCAATGGCAGCACGCCGTCAGGGCAGGCACCGCATGCCGGAGCCCTGAATGGCGCCCAGCCAGCCGCGGCCGCTTCGGACCGCTTCAACACCATGGGTGCCACGCAGCCGGGCTCAAACGGGGGCGGCAATGCAGCTGCAGGCAACGACTCTCCTGGTCGCCTGGGACAGCTCCCACCTACCGTCATTGTTAGCCCGAGTGCGCCAGTAAGCTCTGTTCACTTGCGCGATTATTGCTTGCCTCGATCCATCCGTGCATCACTGACAGCTCGTCTAGCATGTGCCTCCGCCGGGATCCGCTGAGACGATGCCACACGATCTGGCCCCACCAAAGGCTGGCCAGAAGTCAGGGGCCTATGATCGCCTGCTGCAGTCGACACCGAAAGATGTGCCCGAAGGGATTCGGACGCCCAAGCGACAGCACTCGTCCCGCTTCGACATCTCGTCCCACCGCGAGCTGGACAAGCTGCCGGGCTTCCATGAAGTCCCGCCCAACCGCCGGCAGGACCTGTTCATGCAGAAGATCGACCAGTGCAATGTCATCTTTGACTTCAACGACGCCAGCTCCGACATGAAGTCAAAGGAGATCAAGCGTCTGGCGCTTCACGAGCTGCTCGACTATGTCGCCAACAACCGACAGGTCATCACTGAGCCAATGTACCCTCGTGTCGTGGAGATGTTCGCCAAGAACCTCTTCCGGCCTATCCCCCCGCCGGTCAACCCCCAGGGCGAGGCATTTGATCCCGAGGAGGACGAGCCTGTGCTAGAGGTCGCATGGCCCCATATCCAGGTTGTCTACGAGTTCTTCCTCCGTTTCATCGAGAGCCAGGACTTCAACACGAACATTGCCAAGGCCTACATAGATCACAGCTTTGTGCTGCAGCTGCTGGAACTCTTCGACTCAGAAGACCCCCGCGAGCGTGATTTTCTCAAGACGACCCTGCACCGAATTTATGGCAAGTTCCTCAACCTGCGGTCGTTTATCCGACGCTCGATCAACAACGTCTTCTTCCAGTTCACGTATGAGACTGAGCGCTTCAACGGCATCGCTGAGCTGCTCGAGATTCTCGGCTCGATCATCAATGGATTTGCTCTGCCGCTGAAGGAGGAGCATAAGCTATTCCTTACACGCGTCCTCCTCCCGCTCCACAAGGTCAAGAGCCTCAGCATGTACCACCCACAACTGGCGTACTGTATCGTCCAATTCCTAGAAAAGGATGCCTCACTGACTGAAGATGTTTGTCCAATGGCCCCACCGTAGACCTATCCGTGCTACTGGTATGGTTGCTAACCCGTCGCCAGGTTGTCCTTGGGCTCTTGAGATACTGGCCAAAGGTGAACAGTACCAAGGAAGTCATGTTTCTGAACGAGATCGAAGACATATTCGAGGTCATGGACCCGGCCGAGTTTGCCAAGGTGCAGGAGCCATTGTTTCATCAGCTGGCCAAGTCCGTTGCCAGCCCGCACTTCCAAGTGGCAGAGCGGGCGCTGTATTTCTGGAACAACGAGTACTTCTGCAATCTCGTGAGCGACAATGTGGAGATCATCCTGCCCATCATGTTTGCGCCTTTGTATGAGAATTCAAAGGGCCACTGGAACCGGTACGGAACCCTGTCGAGGATGATGACCTAGCATAGGTGCTAACATTGGTCGCAGAACGATCCACGGCATGGTTTACAATGCCATGAAGCTGTTTATGGAGATCAACCCACAGCTGTTTGACGACTGCTCGCACGAATATACAGAGCACCAACAGACGGCTGGCGCAAGGGAAGCGCTCCGCGAGCGCAAGTGGGCGACGATCGAGGGACAGGCGAACCAGAGGAAGCAGGCCAACGGCGCAGACAAGGCTGAGCCAGGGGCACGCCCGCAGGGAGGCGGGATGCCGCGACTAGACGAAAACGATGCCGAGGACAACCAGAAACGGCTGGACTCGCTCAAGCTACAAGACAATGACCGCAATGCCCGGCGGCCGGCAACGGTGGCGGTGCGTGAGAGACAGGACTCGACGGGATCCCTGCTGAACCAGCGGTGATAATTCTGGGGCGCTTCTTGTCCCGTCGGTCACCCAGTCACGAAAGCACGAAATAATGCCTGTGTGCGTTTGGGGCTCCCGTATGCCAGCAACATCTGGGCAGCAACCACACACGGAGCGTTGCTTCTTTTCTCACTTCTTTTAGCCCCCTTTCTTTCGCGCTGCAGATGCTACTGTCTGCGGCATTGTCGGTCAACTTGGGATATGGGTTTGCGAAGTGTAATCTTTTTCAACTCTTATTTGGTTCCTCTTTTTTTCTTCTACTTTATATACTGCCCGTGAACGGGAGATGGGGGAGGGTTGACAGTATTGATGATGCATCGTTGTGGTTATCCCTTTTCTGTATCTGCCCCCGTTTTGAAGGACCGCAGCTCGTCCAGCCTCAGTTAATCTTCAGCGACGTCGTGTCCAAAGCATGGGCTTCTGTCCAGAGCGGACACCAAATGCAGAAAAGGCAGGCAATCTGAGCAGCGCAGGACGGAGGAGCCGTTTGGCGGACATGGAAGCACTGGGCACGAAAAGAATTGTTCTTTTACGATATGAGGAAACAAAAGTACAGCCGGCAGGAATGATTCAGGTGTTGGTCTGTTCGTTGTTCAGGATTCGTCTGTGGTGACGGTATGGAGAACGTGCAGAGAGCCAAGAACAGTCGACAGGGCTGTTGGGAGAATCTGTCAGAAGTAGCAGGCAGGATAGACACATGCGAAGTTCCTTTCAGTGCAATGGTTTTGTTTTATTTTCAGGCTGCCAAATAGAACCCAACACGATGAGAAACAAGAAGGCTCGGGCCAAAGAAATCAACAGTCTCTCTCACTTTCTCTCTATGAGCTCATCATCGCTGTGCACCCCATCCTCCCTGCTGCGATGCGTAGGGGTTCGGAGGCAGCCATGGTTGAGTCTGCTGTTGCTGCTGTTGCTGCTGTTGCTGCTGTTGCTGCTGTTGCTGCTGGTGCTGCTGCAGATGTGGTGGAGGCGGTAAATGTGGAGGCCAAGGGCCCCAGGCCGCAGCCGGACCACTGTTGATGCTGCTGCTGCCTCCGGCCATTGGAGGTGGCTGGGGTACCCATGACTGTCCAACTGCCAGCATATGTGGTGGAGGAGGGGGGAAGGGGATCGGCGGCGGCCACGGGCCATTGTAGTTGGGCGGAGGCGGCGGCAGTGGTGGCATGGCAGCAAAAGTCGCTCCAGCTGCAAACGAAGCTGGCGGGAGCGGGATTGGGGGAAATGGCACGCGGCCGCTGCTGTCAAACCGCGGAGGCGGTGGCGGTGACGATGCCGACGGAACTGCTCCAGGAAACCGGTGGCTGCCGTAGACTTCTGATCGCGGCGGCGGCGAGGGCGAGTATCGATCTCTGCTTGCGTATCGGGGTGACCGAGACCGTGATCGAGACTGTGATCGAGACCTGGATCTAGATCTGAACCGAGACCTGGAACGAGACCTGTCCAGCCCGCGATGTCGATTGTGGTTGTGTCGGTGGTGGCTGTGGCTCCTAGAATACTGCTTTTGACGATGAGTGTTTCTGTTCTCATCGTCTTCGTCCACATTATCGTGGTCATTTGCAGATGGCGAATATGGGGACCGAGATGTCCGAGACCGGGACCGAGACCGGGACAAGGACCGAGACCGGTTTCTGGCAAAACGGCGATGGTCATCACGATGACGGGACGGCGAGGCTGAACGTCCATGGCCACGACTGGGGACACGCAGCCGAGATGAACTGTGGCTCCCTCCATCCTTGTTCTGCGACGTCACGCGACGTCGTTTGTAGGCCGGCACTGACGAGTCCCTGCTATCGTGGCTGCTATGGCTGTAGCTGCGACTCCGGCGGAGACGTCCCCGATGGTCGTCCATCTCCGACGGCGACGGAGGCTCTAGTTGCGACCGTTGCTGTTGCTGTTGCTGTTGCTGCGGCTGCTCCTGCGGCTGCTGTCGTCCTTGCCGTCGCGCCCTCATCTTCTGGCAAAAAGCCCGTGACCAGCCGTAGTATGTGTCGCCGTCGAGCACCTCACCGCTGAAGACGTCCAGCTCGATGTGCTCACCCATGGGGTCGATGTCGAGCCCAGCGTCGGTGGCCATCTCGCCCAGGCTGTCTTCGCCTCGGTCCGTGCCAAAGATGCGCTGCACGTCGGCCAGCAGCTTCTGAACGCTGTCGACCAGCGCCGGTACAGCCGGCCCACGTTGCATCGGCACCGGCTTTATGGCTGACGGATTCATCGGCCGGGTCGAGTTGGGCTCGAGGACGGCCAGCCAGGTGGCCGCTGGCAGGTCATACCACGGCGTAGACAGGTCGCCGTGCGCGGCTGGCAGCACATAGGGCTGTTCCTTTGGCAGGGCCGACAGCTGAGACGGCCTATTCGCGTTCGTTTGCGCCAGGCTCTGCCCTTGCTCTGACAACACAGGGCCTTCGTCGGCCGCTTCTCGCAGCTTTGTCAGTGTCTCCGGTGGAAAGTATCTTTTTTCGGACCAAAGACCAAGCAGGGCTCGGATCTTGTGCAGCTGCTTGGGTGCTTGAGCGAACGAGGCTGCGCTTCGGACGAGAAGAACGAGAGATGACCCCAAGCCACGGGCAAACACATCATTGTGATCGCGAATTGTGGTGTGGTACAGCGTATCGCTGACGATGTAGAGCAGGTGCAGCCGCCTCCGGCGATCTGACGTCTGCTTGTCCGAGCCGGGGGCCGGTATGGCTGCAGCTGCAGCTGTCGGCGCAGTGCTGAAGGAGTCGGCCAGGGTGGCCAGATACTTTCCAAGGGCCAGTGTTCGGTTTGACGATCGGGCTACATGTTGTAGAATCCATTGTTTGCAGGTCTGAGAAGAAGAGAAGAAGGAATGCACCGAAGTGGCAAAGCCCTCCGCCAGGACGGGCAATGCCAGAGAGCAGGTGAACCTTTAGCCGCAGCCCGACGATATGGAGGGGAGATGAGACGAAGAAAGAACAAGGGAAGAAACGCGTGCAGGACATGAAAGTGTGTCTCAAACCTGAACATTGCCTGGCGAGCAACGCGTCGTGGCCGAGCCCAGCAGATAGTGGAGCGTGTCAATGTCCTCGCGTGAGCACGGATCGGGGTCGGCACGGAAGAGGGCGGCCGACAGGCTGGCCTTGGCGATGGCGAGCTTCGCCGCAGCCCCAGCTGAGGCTGCCATCATGTTTGCGAAGAGCAGCCGAGGCGGGCGACGAAGGAGGCGTGGCCGAGGACAAGAGACCGGTCGAGTCTGGCGCAGACCGTGCTAATACGTTTGTGTCGTGCAGATAGGGTGTGTGCAGGTAGATGGCATTTCTTTCGGTGCCTATACGTGGAGGCGTTCGTGGTGAATGGGTTCGATGCAACAGAAACACAACGATCTTTAGACAAGCTCGTTTTTCCTACATATCACACAGGCTGAGAACAAGTGTCCTAATCAAGCTTAGCGTGTATGCACAGGTTATATGGGGCGTACTTTACGTCAGTGGCTCGAGACCAGATCTGGTTGGTCGGTCGTGGCTGCCACACTGCGAACATCGTACGATTCCAGCCCTTGCAAAACCCCAATCCTTGCTGGTCACTTGCTGTTTATTTGCATATTGTACATGAGCCCGTGCCGTTTGTGTGCGCATAAGCAAGAAAAGAAAAAAGGTATCTGGTAGAGTACAAAGGTCCGGCATGTTGCAGCTGTCGCTAGTTCTCCGACCTGTGCTCCCTCGCCTATTCCCCTCTTTGGCTCCCTGCTCTTGACTCTTTTCAGGCCGGGTCATTTTCTATCCATTGTCAGCTCTGCGGGCTTCTGCCTCAGGAGAACCTGTCGCCCTTGGTACTTCGAAACGGCACGGTACTCTCGTACTTGCTCTTCTCCAGCACCCGCTGCCCTTCGGTTGCTGGAGCGTGTCTTGTCGGCGCTGGATCCGAGCTGGATTCCTGGCTGGGCGATCCGGCCGTGTCCGTCCGCGCGGCGTCGCCATTGAAGGCCGCCGTGCGCTCGAGCGACTCGGCCATCGACTTGCGCTGCCGCTGCTCGTTGAGCCGCGCCATGCGATCAGCATTGATGCTGCGCTTGGCAAAGACGTACGCGACACCGCCGGCTGCAGGGAGAATTGGTGTTAGTGGCAAACGGTCTTGATTCTTTTTTTTCTTTGCTTCTTGTCGTTGCGCCGCGCCTGTCTGGGTTCAGAAATGCCTACCGGCGCAGAGAGAGCCCCATCCAAACCTGCTCGGCCACCGGGTTAGCAGTCGTAGACGAGTCGGCCAGGACAGACGACCAGGCCGGCAGTGTCGGCTGAAAAGACCAGGCAAGAAGCAACGTACCAGAAAGATTTAACCTGGTCATGGAAACACGGCGGGGTCAGCAATGCGAATGTCTGGCTGTGGCGCTCCCGGTTCAGCCCCGCTTCCCTGTGGCTATTCACTCACCGTGTTCATCTTGTCGTTGTGCAATGAGTTTGCCTTGGGGAGAAAGAGAAGAAAGACGGGCAGATGTCGAGCCAGAGCGAATTGTAGTGATTAAAATATGGAGCATGGAACCGATCACGTGACCCGAAGCCAACCCGGTATAAACCGATGTCGGCCGCCTTCGCCGCGAGACGGAGCGCATAGGTCATCGGAGCTGGAAGCCGGTGTTTCTGATGACTCAGAAAGGCTCAACGGGTATCAGTTTTGGGCTCAATCCAAAAGGACATCGAAACACGGTTCGGGGCCGTTGCTATACGAGGATTGCTCCGGTGGCTGCAGAACGACCGGGCGGCAGCCGGAGACGGCGCCACCGACGGTACTACCGGCAACGCGGTGGGGGCGGCAATGAGAAAAGGGGCACGGCTTCGAGCGAGATGAACAGGCTGGCATGGCCTGAGGTCGGAGGCGGTGGTTTGGTGTAATGTGATTGGATCCACACTTTAGGCAGAAGCACATCTGACAGAGGGCACGCGGACGGGCTGAGACGCTGAAGAGCAGTGGACGAGCCGTGGTCCAGACGCTGAAACGGTCCTGGTTCTGGACCGAATCCACGGGCGGCCTGCCCTGGGTCCCTGGGTCCCCTGGGTCTCTGGGCCCCCCCTTGGGGCCCCTTTATTTTTTTGATTGCCGCAGAGCACTCCGTACTCCGTACTCCTATAATACGAGGCTTACAAGGCAGTTTATTTTGGTAACAGCGCCCGGTCAGCTGACCGCCCCACTGCCAGGCAGTGCCTGCCTGCCTGCCTGCCTGCCTGCTAGGCCAGGGCGCAGTTTCCAAGGCGGTGACGTCGGGAAGAAGGCCCAGCTTCCCAGCAAGCCAGGAACAAACAAGACGGAGACGAGGACACATCCCATCCCATCCCATCGTCATCGCCATCGACCAGCCGGCATCATCAACCTCGCCCACCACTGTCGGCACCTCGCTCGCTCTGCTGGCGCACCCATCCCGACTCGGCCACGCCTGTCCCCCTCCAGCCCAGGCCGTGTTGTCTCTCTTTCCCCTCCAACCGTCCTGCAATTCACCCCCACCGCTGGCCAGCCACCCACTCTCACTACAGGACCTGCACTGACTGGCCTTTCACCGGCGAATTGCCGAATCCACTCCTCCTGCCTCCCGGCTTGGCATCTGCAACTTCTCCCCGGACTTGCGTCTGCTCCTGGGACCCACTCGATCCTCTCTCAAAACCTGTTGTCATCTATCGCCTCCCCCTCCCCCCTTTTGACAGCTGCTACAGGCGACAACCTGCGCATGGCTTCATGAAGGGAGCACTCTCCTCCTTCCCGTCCGTCTCGTCTCTCTTCTTTCTACGGTGGCATGGCAACGGTCATCTCGACAGCTCGTCTCTGCCACGCCTCCCACAATGGGCCCTCCCGATGAAAACGGGCCCGATGGCTCATCCATTGTGAGTTCTTCGTCCAAGCTACCGCCTCTCCACGGCTAACCCGGACAGAAACCGGTCTCTTCTCTGCGGGCTCGCTTCGAGAACATGAGCAAGACCACTCCCGACTCCCTTCCCAGCCAAACGACTCCGGCTTTGCCTCCGCTTCCCAGCCGCTCCATCTCGCCGGGACCCAAGCCAGAACGACTTCGCGATGCTGTTGCCACGCCGACAAAATCAAACCGGCTGTCCTACACGCCGCTCCCGAAACCGAAGCCGGCCGTCATCTCGACTGCACATTCTCAGGCCCCCGACAGCCTCAGTACTCTCAGGCCCTCCTCCGACCGCATCGGTCTGCCGCCACCGCTCAGCCCACGGCCCATCCCTCCTCCGTCTCTGCTCGTTCAGCCTCCTCAGTCTCCGCCCAAGGGACGCGCCAACCACATCGCTTCCGCGTCCAACGTCGAGCCGAGCACCTTTTTGAATCCGGACGCCGTCAAAAAAGGACCGCTGTCGCCCTCCTCGTCGCCACGTCCGTACAAAATCCCAAGCCGGCCAATCACCCCCAGCAATGCCCTGGATCTGCTCAAGTCACCACGACCATCTCCGTCACGGGCCCCGTCGCCACCGCCGCCGCGTCGCTCAGCCGAGCTGAAGCGCGAGCGTGAGCGCGAGCGAGAGAAGGACGGTGTGCATCATGCAGCATCAGCATCAACATCAGCACTAATACCAGCATTCGCATCTGCATCTGCATCTGCATCAGTACGACCAGTGCCACCTTCTATTGTGGGCCGTGCCGACAAGCCCAAGATCCCATCCCATCACATATCCTATTCCACCGTCGAGTCTGGCTCCCTGTCTGACGGCAGCAAGAGCGTCGCAGACAGCCGCTCGCCCTTTAGCAGTCCACCCAGCAGCTCAGACAGCCAGCTCGACGACCAGCCACCCTCACTCCCCATGCGGCCCCGACAACAGGTACAGATGCAGGCGCAGCAGCCTCCGCCACGACCAAAGGTGGCCGCCACAGCTCCGCGCACTTTCGAACCACCCCCGGTACACCACGCCGTGGTCAACCGACGCATGGGACGCGAGCAGGAAGCGCCTGCCAACGGGTCATCACGGGGACCAGTTTCGTCCATGGGGCCACCACCGCTGCCATCACGTCCGCAGAATAACACCGAGACGATCATGCGAAGCCACAGTTCCGTATCCTCACGGTCCCGTCCATTAATCAACACACATCACGTCGGCGGCAGCATCTCCTGCGGCATCTCCAGCGGCATCTCCAGCGGTATCAACAGCCTCGACTCATCCGGCCTGTCGTCCGCGCAGAAGAGAGTAGTCTCGAATCCAACCTCCTCGACCCAGCAATTCCACCCCCCGCCCTCGCGGGCGCGCCACGGCCGGTCCATGACGGTAGACAGGAACGGCGGCCGGGTACCAGACGACACGCGCACACCACCGTCCTCTTCGACTTCCCTGTCGACGTCGGTTTCGGCGTACGAGGGCACGGCAAGCATCCGCAGCGCCAACACAGATGGGGCTGATAGCCTGATGTCGCCGTCAACTTCGACAAGGTCGACCGAGAGCCCAGCAATCACGTTTCCTGACGCAGCCAACGTCAACCGGCGGCCGGCGTACGCTAAGCAAGGCGTGGCCGAGGTCAATGCGCGGTCGGACTGCCGGGTGTTTGACGTTTGCGGGGAGCTGGTCTGCACGACGGGTCACTTCACGCGGGTGTGGACGCTGATGGACGGCGAGCTGCTGCTGAGTCTGGCACACGGTGAGAACGTGCGGGCAACGGCGATTGCGTTCCGGCCGGGAGCACACGTAGACGACGAGGCGACACACCTGTGGATCGGCAATGCGGGTGGCGAGCTGATGGAGGTCGACCTTGCGGCACAGTGCATCGTGGCCAGCAAGCCGGGGGCGCACAACCGGCACGAGATTGTCAAGATCCACCGGCACTTCAACGAGCTCTGGACGCTGGACGACGGCGGAGCGCTCTATGTGTGGGGGCCGGACGAGGACGGCGGCGTGCCCAGCCTGGGCGGCAACCAGCACCAGTCGTATCGGGTGCCGCGTGGCCACACGTTTTCGATGGTGGTGGACGACGAGCTGTGGCACGCGGTTGGCCGAGATCTGCGGGTATTCCTGCCGACGATGGACGGCAGTGCGCAATTCCAGGTGTCGGCGCGGGCGATGTGCCTAGAGGGTGCGGGCGAGATCTGTGCGGGCACGACGCTGGTGTCGGACGACGACCGGGTGTTTTTTGGCCACGCAGACGGCAAGGTCAGCATCTACTCGCGGCGGGACTACTCGTGCGTCAGCATGGTCAGCCTGGGGTCCTACAAGGTCAACACGCTGCAGGGCGCGGGATCGTACATCTGGGCGGGCTTCAACACGGGTCGGATGTGCGTGTACAATCCGGGGAGGTCGTCTGCGGAGCCGTGGGCGGTCAAGAAGGAGTGGCAGGCGCACGAGACTCCGGTAGTCAAGCTGCTGGCCGACCGGGCGAGCGCATTCCGCACAGGACAGCTGCAGGTGGTGTCGCTAGGGGCGGACAACCTGCTGCGAATCTGGGACGGGCTGCTGCAGGACGACTGGACGGAGGAGATGATGCAGGACCGCGACCAAACGTACTGTGACTTTGACACGCTGCGCGGACAGGTGATGACGTGGAACGCAGGAGCATCGACGCCCAGCACGTTGCGATACGCGGAGGACGATGCAAGGTTCATGCAGGACTTGCTGCAGAGCAGCGAGTCGCCCGACATTCTCGTGTTCGGGTTCCAGGAGCTGGTGGACCTGGAGGACAAGACGGCGACGGCGAAGCGCTTCCTCAAGCCGAAAAAGAAGGAGGGCGCAGACCAGGAGCGGATGAGCCACCAGTACCGCGACTGGCGCGACTTTCTGGTGCGCAGCCTGGACGACTACGTGGCAGGCGAGCTGTACCACCTGCTGCAGACAGCACACATGGTCGGGCTGTTCACGTGCGTGTTTGTCAAGGCGGACTTGCGGGGACGGATCCGCGGCGTGGCGAGCACGGAGGTGAAGCGCGGCATGGGCGGACTGCACGGCAACAAGGGGGCGATCGCGGTGCGATTTCTGGTGGACGACACGTCTCTGTGCCTGGTCAACTGCCATCTGGCAGCCGGACAGTCGCAGGCGGCACACCGACACAACGACATTGCGGCGATCCTGGAGAGCGAGTCGCTGCCGGTAGAGCGAGACCTGGCGGCGCGGATCGACAACTTTGTGGGGGGTGGCGACGGCAGCATGATCCTGGACCACGAGCTGTGCGTGCTGAACGGCGACCTGAACTACCGGATCGACACGATGTCGCGCGACACGGTGGTGGCAGCAGTGCGGGCAGGCAACCTGACAAAGCTGCTGGAGCGCGACCAGCTGCTGGTGGCACGACGACGCAACGCGGCCTTCCGGCTGCGGGCCTTTGAGGAGCTGCCCATCACATTTGCGCCGACATACAAGTACGACGTCGGCACGGATACCTACGACACGAGCGAGAAGAAGCGCAGCCCGGCCTGGTGCGATCGGCTGCTCTTCCGGGGTGGTCGAGCGTCCCGTGTGCGTCAGCTGGACTACCGGCGGCACGAGGTGCGCGTCAGTGACCACCGGCCGGTGACGGGGCAGTTTGCCTTTACGGTCAAGCGGGTGGATGCGAAGCGGAGGGCCGTAGCCTGGATGGAGAGCCAGCAGCTGTTTGAGGATCACCGGGATCAGGTTCTGGATACAGAGAGGTGAGTGGAGTGGTGATGTTGTGGTTATGCTGTTGATACGCGTGACGACGAGAGCTGACAACTCAACTACAGAATGTACTACCTCACTCACGTCATCGGATACGACGAATCGACGAGCCGAGGACTAATTGACGAGCGAGCACCACGACGGACAACCCAGTGAAGCCCCAGCCGACACGGCGACTAAAGACCGATACGCGAGAAAAGACAGAGGTTGGAGACGAGAGCCGGGACGGGACTTACATGCGATGGGAAGAACCAACGTCTCGCGGGAAGGGAAAATCAAGTTAAACAAACGAATAATGGCAAACCCAAAATAATGAGTGGAGCTCCAGAGAGAAGCAGGAACAATAAAAAATGCACTGAAGCGGCCGAGACGGCACAAGGCGCGATTTGTCATCCAGCAGTCCAGCAACTCGTGCCGTAGAGAATGACCGTTTATGAACTCTGCACAGGCTGCAACAGGACTACGTTAGCCCCGACAACACCGGCATGTGGGACATACGCCAGACAATCGAGGTCGCCGAGATGGTGTCCGCAGAAGATCTCGAGGTGGGCAACAGCAGAAGAGAATAAGACTTAGTGTTGCCAAGTGATATGCTGACAAAGCAATCCCACCACGTCTTCAACGGTGGCTTCCACAACCGCATCACCTACTACCTGCTGGTGCGGCTCTACTCAGGCTTCCTGCACCCGCCACTGCAGCTACAATACGGCGTCAAGTGAGGGCAGCAGGCCATCGTGGCCTAGGTTTGTGTGCACCGATTCGGAGTCTTTTAACTTTCTCCAGCCTGTCGACTTTCGTTTCTGGGAGACCTTGATGGACAGCCTAGAAAATCAACCGTAAGTAAGCGTAGCGTCTTTATGAGCAGCGAGCAGGACAATTATGTGTATCAATATATTATCAAAACTCCGAGTATAACCCCTTTTAGGTGTGCCCTCCACACGTGTCCTTCCTGCCCAAGACGCAACTCTTACCAACTTCCGTTACTGTACAAGCAGCAGTCCACCCGGCGCGCAGTCGCTTCTCCGACTCGTCGTTGATGGCCTCTGGGTGGGAGTAGTTGCCCGCCATCTGGAAAGAGTCGCCAGTAACCACTTGGATTTCGTTGACGACTTGGGCGATGGCGGCGGCTGGGACGACAAGCATCGCAGGCTTGAAGATGGTCGGCGTGCCAGCGGCGTGCACCCGCTCCTTTTCGAGTTGCTGCATGACCAGGGCGAGGAGGTATGCTGCCGGTTTGCCTGTGCCCGTCTCGTTTGCCAGCAGTCCGCCGTGGATGGGAGTCTTGCAGAGTTGCACCAGCGTACCGGCGTCTACCACCTGGTGAGGCTTGCACACGAAGTTGGAACTTTGGCCTGCAATCTTCAGCAGCTCTGGCTGGGGGCGAACGACATACGCCAAAGATAATCCTCCGTCGTGAGGGAGGGGACGAGTTAGAGTTACTTGCTATGGAGACCGGCAGTGAAACAATTAAGACGAGAACCGGCGAGGCCAGGCCCTGAAAACCTAGAGAGCCCTTGGTGTGTTGGGTGTTACCACCCTGCTGGCTGCAGTTCCTCTCCATAGTTTCAGTCCCTTTGATCCTAATCGCATGCCATCACGTGATCCAAAGGACCGAAAGGTCGTTGATACCTGTACCGTGCCAAGCCACCTGCCAAAGCTGCTTTGTAAAGCGGGACAGCATGTTGGTTGTAAATGGGTTCGTCCTAGTGTACAGTGTAGAACCTCTAGCCAAAATGTGCCTACTGGCTGCCCGTGGATCCCAGAAAATTAAGACTAGAACGCTGAAAATGGCTGCTCGAGGACGCTGTGTCTACAATATAACAAGGATCAGTGTAAACGAGTTAAAAACATACTTATCTGCTGCATTTGTCTTCTGTACATACAGAGTACCTCACAAACAACTTAACACCTTGGTCCGATAGGACGGCATGATGCAAAGTCACGTGACTGTCGTGGCAGAAAACGATGCAAACCGTACCATTTACGGAGTACTCCGTATAAGAATCACAATATAGTGAGGGGGCCATCTGCACCGACTTCCCTGACCACAGGCCTTATGGCACCACTCTCTATATTCAGACGCGTGGGTAATCACATAGGCTCAATGAACCATTGTTGGCCATGTCGTACAGTTGCTCTACAAAGTTGTACAGAAGGTTGGTTAGAATCGTGAGCAAGAACAAAATGTTCAATCGAACACATCTCCTCACAGTCCTCAATGACAAGCATTTGTGCACACCCATGTCCTCAATTTCAAGAGCCTTACAGGTTCTCTTGTGCCAGCACCCACATCGCCACCAGGTCTGGACACTGTCGTGCCATGCGCTTTTGCGTCGAGTGGTTCGACAGCATGATTGACAGCGTGCCGTCCCGCTGGCCCAACGCCTTCATGCTCTGGTTGACGGCGACCATGCAGTCGAGGGCGGTCGGACTGACCGACGCCGCATTCTGCTGTTGCCCACCTGAAAACCAGCCAGCTCTTCCTGCGCCTCCCTTCTCACCCAGCCCGCAGCCGGTCAACAGTTCCGTGGCCCGGTTGTCAACCGTGTGCTGCACGTGACCTGGTTCGATAGCCAGCCGCACCAACCAGGCGTTTCCAAACACGCCGCGTGACGGCTGCCCGCCCCAGGAGCGGATGCGATTGACCGCCTCAGCCGCCTCGAGCGGACGGTATCCCGGCCGAGCGGCGATGCCGCGCCGCAGAGGGATTGCCGTGGTTGCGAAATGGCGGCGACGGCCCTGTTGATGGGTAGTTCCCGCAGATGATGCTGTCGTGGACATCGAGGCAGATGTGCCAGCGCCCAAGCCTGACGATGATGGTGCTCGGCGGCTGGGCTGGCCAGGGTATCCAGAGGCCCCGGAAGTCATTCCCCGGCGGGACGGCACGACAATCTGGTATCGCAGCACGAGCGTTGGCTCGTCGAAGAGAGGAGAGTTGTCGTTGTCGGCGCCATCCGCTGCGGCCTGCGAGCTCTGTTCGCTTCCATCGTGCACCGTCATGGTCACGCGCAGCCCTACAACCTCTGGGCTGGTCCCATAACAGCGGAGACTGTCTGGGTTGTAGGGCCCGATAATATGGCCGTTGACGGCCACGATGCAGCCCGTCGTCTGCGTGTGGTGGAAACGCGCGTTTTCATTGCACGAGCTCAGCTGCAGGCGCGCCCACCTCTTCTGGCTCTGGAGCTCACGCAGGTTGGCTTCGTGTTGCAGCTCAAACTCATAACCGGTCAGCGGTGGCCGGAACCCGGGTGCAGACGGCCAGGGCGGTGTTGCGCCAGAACCAGACGTGGTCGATGCAGTGGATGCAGTGGCAGCCGAGACAGTACTGGCAGCACCAGGACTCGGTTCCGATCCGCCATGGCGTCCTGTCTCGTCCTTCCTCACTTCAGGCTCTGTTTGCCGCTGTTGCTGTCTTCCTTGCGACGAGCCTTGTCCGAGGCTTCCGGTTGTCGAGGCAGCACAAGGCGGATGGATGAAATTGCCAAAGGTGCTGAGGCTTCCAAGACTTTCAGAGCTGCTGCCGGATCCCACAGGTCCCAGACTGCGGAGAGTTTGGCCCTGAATTTCATCTCTTCTTGACGCCATAAATGTCGCCCCGTCCAGCTGAGCGAGACCGTCTTGCCCGGAGATGTAGTCTCTCCGTACTGGGGTCTGACCGAATCTGGCCCGGTTGTGGAAGTCGTGGAGCTCCTGCAGAGGAGTCTTCCACTGTGTCGGAGCCGACGACGACATCAATGTGGGTGAGGTATCGAGAATTTGGCCACTTCTGTTGACATTGCTGCTGCTGCTTTGGACATGCTGTCTGTTACCAGTGCCATCAATGAGCGAGTTCATGTCCAAGAGACGGCTAGGCCAGGTCATGTCCTCTGCCTGTGACAGTAGCTTCGAGTCAGGACTGCATCTATGGGTATGACCGACAACACTGTGGCTATTTTCCTGGAAGTCCTGCGGCTCTGGAAAACGACTAAATGAAACATCCGGCAAGGGATATATAATCGGAGGCTGTGTAGCGCTGGCATGATAACTCGGCGTGTCAGGCCACATCCGAGAGTAAGTCGGGGTCCATGCAGCAGAGGCATTGCCGACATAACCTGCGAGGGTTCGTGGCGAGGATGAAGAAATGACACTTGCAAGTCTCGAGGGGCTTTGAATGTTCTCTTGATGCAGCTGTGGCTGGAAGCTTTGCAGCTGGCGGTAAACATACTCGCTGTTGGTTGCATAAGCACGGTACGGCCAGTTTTGGTCCGAGGTTTCAAGACCCTTTTGTGTTTCTTTCATTTTGAATGTACTTCTGCACTGCAGTCTGATGCATAGTACTGTTAGCGTTTCAATCTAGAGCGATGTTCATCCCAAGAGCTAGGACATAGAAGACAGACTGGATACAAAAATTTATATGCCTTGGAGACGACACTCGTGTTTCGGGTGGCAGGAAATCCCACGAGAGGCTTGATATAGCTAGCGGTGAGATAGGACTCAGACTTCCCAGAGGGTTGAAGCTGTCGGAACGTAAGGAGTAGAGAACTCAAGGTTCTCAGACCTTTAAAAGCGAGCAATTCAAGCAGTGTAGTTTCTGCGTCAAAAACCCCACGATGCCCTAGAATCAAGTGGTTTGCATCTGACGTCTAGTCGAATCAGAAAGTAATGATTTGGAAGGGAGTTGCAAGAAACAAGGACATGAAAACGAGAATTCGATCGCATTCTCTCGCCAGTTTATATGGAGCACATGTTATAGTAGAGAAGCCCCGGACATAGCAATGAAGTGAATGATATTCTTGTTACACAGACCATCAGGCTTGTCATTGAATATACTGTTCTATTCCGTTGAGTATTCTCATTGCCATTTTTGTGTAAATTTAACATGCAAAAGGCTTGTTAGTCCCGAAGCTTCTTCGTTCCACGCAGCGAGGTGAGTTAGCATTAGTCCATCAAAGAAGTAAAAGCCACCAATCCATGTTACTTCTCGAGCCTGGGATAGATGTTCTTGACACCAGAAAACTGCAATTTGGGTTTCTCGGAGACAACAGGCTAATGCTCATAGTATCATGTCAAACGGAATTGTCAAGGTGCATGTAGCTTTGTCTATGGTGAATTATGGCCCACCAGATCTGTCGGCTTTGGGGGAAATATTGTATACTACTCTTGGTCGTGTTCCTGCCTTCTTGATGGATGGCAGCTCGTACCTTCCTTGCATCACGAATATAGCTCTTGCTTGTTGTATATGATACTGGATTAATCGCATCAGGCGGCGCCTGCCTTCTCTGACAATTTGTGCTCGACCAAATACCTCAATTGATTTTGTTTTGTCCGACCTGAAATAAAGAATTTCTATTACTATTTCTAGGAAAACATCAGAAACTCTTTTTTTGTTATGCTCACCACAAACCGAATTTGATCTACAATGGCTGACTGGTCGGAAATATTTGAGAAACGCCTCTCGGCAGTGCTTGCAGAGGGCAGAGAGAGTCACGAAAGTAATAGGACAAGACTTGAGCTCGAGCTGACGCCACCACCGACAGTTGACAAAGAAACTCAGCGAGCAGCCAATAATCCGACAGCATCTTTTTTTGACTCTATTCGTAGAAACGCCCGCGCGAACAAGCATAAAGAACATGGACTCCCCAGGGAGACACAACCCACTGCATATACAACAAGTGACCCAACTTTCCACAATGCCGAGGGCCCGGCTTTAAAAAGATTGCAGGGTGATCTACAGTCCATTCTCATAAACATATCTCTTATAAGCATGCGTCTAACGTTCATTCGGAATGACTAGAGAGCTATTCCGATAGAGCAAAAAGTCTACACGACGATGCAACAAAGCATTTATCAGAGACCCAATTCGCTTTTGAAAAACAACTGCTCAGCATGGAAGATGTCGAGAATGCATTCCTCTCCTCTGTGGATAAACGACACGGCATGTTCAGCAAGCCCTTGCACGAATGGGTGGTCAAGATTCAGACACGCGAGCGGGGAGGTACCGAGATCCCAACAGAGAAAGATGAACGCGTTGTCGATCGCATTACACAAATGCGAACAGCAGCGGCCACGCTTGAGGGAGACCTCGAAAAAACATGGAAGGAGTTGGATCAGATGCACAACGAGGTGGCAAACGCGCTGCGGGCTATTTTCGATAACTGTGATGGGGGTGTCAGGCGTGATGATTATATTAGCACCGAACTGCCGCCCGGCATAATGACAAGCAACGCTGGCACTTTCGGCGGTGCTACGTACAACGAAATAATCCGGGATGCCGAGAGGGATCTGGATGCTGCCGCTGCCGATGCTATCAGAGAGATGCGGGACAATGAAAAGGTAAAAAATCCTCGCCCTTTGCTTCTTACAACAAAGCCTAACTAGAGCTAGACATATCGAAAGCTTATTCTTGCAGAGGAGTGTAAGCTTGCGCAAGCCATGCTAGCCAGACAATCCAAGTACGACTGAAGTATGAGGCAGAAGTGGGCAGTGCGATTTTGCAAGGAGCCAACGAATTTGCTGGGCCGGTGTTATAATTTGATCATGATAAGAATGAGACCTTCTATTCCTGCATTCATCCACATCAGTTCGTTTCTATCTAAATTTTAATATGTGCTATCGTGCCAAAACGCCAGCCGTGAGAATTTCAGCTCCAATAAAGAAAAGATTGCAGACACCCGCTTTTCGCCAGCCCTTTACTGCTTTTCGGTGACAACAACGCCCCATTCGTGCTCATCCTTGCCGTACATGATGTTGCCAATCCACTCCTTCAGCTTCAGTGTGTACTGACCACCCGTGCCCTCGCCCATGGGGATGTCAATGTCCTGGTCGCGGTGGAGGATTTGCGACACGGGAGTGATGAAATACTGAAGACAAGTTAGTCAGTAAGATCGAAAAACTTTTTGGCCGAGAAACGTATGAGAAGACAGAAGCTTACAGCAGTGCCTGCGGCAAAGGCCTCGAGCAAGCGACCCTCGGAGTGAGCCTCCTGGACCTCGGCGATGGTGTATTTGCGCTCAACGACGTCGACCTCGCTGCCAAGACGTTCGCGGGCCAGCTGGACGATGCTGCGACGGGTGACTCCGTCGAGGATGAGACGGTCATCGAGCGGTGCGGTGACGAGCTGTGTCCGACCGGTGTCCTTTGCCTTCCAAAGGATGAAGAAGTTGCTGGCGCCAGCCTCGGTGCAGTAGCCATCAGAGCCGTAAAGCCAGAGGACCTGGTGACAGCCCTTGGCACGAGCCTCGCTGGTGGCAAGCAGGCTGGGGCCATAGTTGGCGCCGAGCTTTGCGAAGCCGAATCCGCCAACCCAGGCGCGCACCATGTCCTCGGGGCTTGTGTTGAGGCGCATGCCACCGGGGGACGAGTCGAGGACGGGCATATAGCTGGCGGTGATGAAGAGCAAGGCCTCGCGCGGGGACTGCACACCGAGCTGTGCCTGCGTGCCAATGATGGTGGGACGCAGGTAAACGAATGAGCCGGCGGGCCAGTCGGCCGGCAGCCAGCGTGGACCGTCCACAGCCATGAGGGCGACGATCAGCTTCTCGAGCTCGGCCGGCTCGAAACCGGGCAGCGAGACGCGGACGGACGACGTCAGCATGCGGCGGGCGTTGCAGTCTGGCCGGAAGAGGCGCAGACGGCCGTCCACACCACGGTATGCCTTGAGACCCTCAAAACACTCGGTGGCATAGTGCAGGACTGAGGCCGTGGGCATCAGGCTGAGCGGCCCATACGGACGCAGCTGGGGAGCAGCCCAGCCGGTCTCAACGTTCCAGGCGACGGTGATCATGTGGTCCGTGCAGATCGTCTCGACGCCGACACAGGCGCTGCTGATGCTGGCAGGAACAGGTCGTGGACTCGAGGTCAGCTCGTAGGTCAGCTTGGAGGCATCGAGGCCCTGGACCTGCTTGCCATTCTTGACACCGACGCTTGCAACAGGAGTAGCTGAGGGTGCCATTGTGAAGTTGGGTCGTGAAGAAGTTGAAAGATGCAGAAGATGGGGAGGACAGAAAGGACGGCGAGGATGGAGGGAGGATGAGAAGCAACCAGAGTAGGAATAAGACGGAAGCGTCCTGAAGGTACAAATAAGGGAGGAAGAAGCACTAATAGTGAAGGTGTCCTGCGATTTGATATAAGCACAACTCAAAGCTTGGCCACTAATGAGTCACAAGTAAAAATTGCTGGAAACAAGAGCTGGTTCCTGGACAAACCGCTAGGGGCTTAAGACTACATATATACAAGGCTGGGTGGAGGCAAAATGACAGGAAGTAGTGGGAAAAGTTTTTTTCCTCCAAAAGGACTTTCTCGCAAAGAATTTCTTGCAATGGGCCTGTGCCTGTGCCGGGGTCACTGAAAGGGGACTATCAACACCCGCCCCAACGAGCCAATTGGCCAACCAACGCTCTGCGTCTCGTCGGATGTCATCGAAAGGGCGTTTGTCGTGACGGACGGATTGGGATCATGCAGGAGATAGCCTTTAGCGGCTTTACGCCGGCTAACCATGTGCTGATAAGGTGCGAAATGGGTATGTAGAAGAATAGGCTGCTCTCGGCTTAAACCGTCTCGTGTTAGCTGGGATGCTGCTAGACCAAGGCCGGAAGGACCTGTGAAAGGCTGAGAAGGTTCGGTGGGCTTGCAAGCTGACGAGTTCGATGCCCGATCACGGCGCCATCCGCGACATGACGAGAGCGAACCGTGACGCGCTGTCAAAGTTGTACGACTGTCCATGTCCACCCAGGCAGCCCCCTTTTTCTTATATCCCCTCCGGACCGCTGAGACTGGACATGGGAACACAGAACTGGTGCTCGAATCGACCGTTCACCTTGATTCTTAAGCCGAGCCCACCGGCATAGGCGCGGAATAGCCCCTATCGTACCGATACTAGCCGCGACTAAACGAACCAATCCCTTATTTTCAACTGGTTGCAGGCAAATCTATACGGCAAGAGCTATGACATCCACGCTCGAATCCACACTACGTACGAGTTCTCGTACACCGATATTCCGTTACTCTGGGTGAACGCTAGGCAGCTTATCTGGACGACCGAGGATGCAGTATGAGTAGTTCCGATTCCGGGGAGTTGGATCGTCGATGGGCTCCGTTGAAGACCCAAACTATGGGCCTTCGCTTTTACATTTGTGGAAAACGCCAGCCGATCAGGCCAAAAGAGCAAGCAATGAAACCCAGTCAAAATGCTACTCAATCTCACGTTGTGGCCGCTGCTGCTGCCTCCTTCTGCCGCTGTTCCTCGACCATCTTCTCCCGCCGTTTGTGTGCTTCCTCCACGTCTGACTTGGCTCCCTTGGCCCGTTGCCGAGCCTCATACCGGTCACGGCTAGCCAGGATCCGCGCAACAATCGTTTCCGCATTGACGTCGGCAAACTGGTGCGGGCCCACCTGCTGGTAGATGCCCATTGCCTTTGGCTCCGTGTATGGGTCGTACGTCAGCGGCATAAACGCCGTCGGGCCGTGGTACACGGCATCCGGTATGCCCCATGGCAGTGCTGCCAGATAGTCACGGACCGGGGTGAACGGTGCTCCAAACACCACGGCATCGACGTACTGAATCGGTTAGCAGCTGCGACAGAAGAAAGGGGAGCTGCTCGGCTAGTGCTAGCCGACGTACCTTGCATTGCAAAACGCAGAGCCCCCGCTCAAAGATGTTCATGATGGGGTAGTTGATGCCCTTCCACTCGTTGATCACCTCGTCGTCGTGCACGCCCGCCACCACATATGCCGGGGGGTAGTCTCCGGCCGCCTTGCCACGTCGCTCTGCCACCGCTTCGGGCGCGTACCAGCCGTCGGCGCGGGCGCGCTCTTCCTCGGCCTTGAGGACGCGCTGTAGAAACGCAATGTGGCCGCTGGAAAACAGGTCAAAGCCGCCATCCACGTACACCACGCGCTGTCCTATCTGCGGGCCCTTGCCAGCCACCAGCTTGGTTGGCTTGCTGGTGGGCGCTGTGGCCCGGGGATCGGCCTTCCACACCCACACTTCGGCGCCCGGGTTCTTCGCCGTCTCGTCGGTGGCATAGAGGCGAATGCGCTCGGCCATGGCCTCGCCAGTGGCCTTGCGCTCTGCGTCCGTTCCTGGGCCCTCTTTGCCGGCCAGGGCAGCCTGCAGAGAGCGAATAAAATGCGTCTTGGTGCAGAGCAGCATCCGGCCGACGAGGTCTGTGGTGGAGATGCTGGGCGTGCGCTTGACGACCTTGAAGCGCTCGGCGGCTTTGACAAACCGGTAGCAGTCCTCGCCGGAGCCGTCCGAGGTGATGTCGTCTCCGTGGACGACATACCGACAGCCAAAGTGCGAAATCCAGTCGAGTTGGGTGACGTAGGGAGCGTTGGGGACTGACCGGGTCGCCCAACGACACGCATCCACGGCGGACAGTCTGTAAGGGGCAGGGTTAGCAGCTGCGGGCCCGGGCACGTTCCACAGCCATTGAAGTAATGCTCACCTCTCCTCTAGGTTCATGACAGTTGGCCCCTTATTCTCGAGAATGGCTTCGTCCGAGTGGACGCCGATGTAGAGCTCGTCACCAAGCTGGCGCGCCTGGACAATAGCGCCGGCGTGACCTGTAGGAAGACGTCAGAAGGCTACGATTCCAATGTAGCAATCGCAGAAATACAGGGAGCAAAGCAGCGACGAACCGTGGTGGAAAAAATCGAAGCAGCCATCCACCCAAAGCCGGCCGTCGAGCAGCTCCGGTGCCGCTTCGCCGGGCGGAAGTTCCTGGTCGGCAGACGTCATAGCTGTGGCTCTTTATAGTTGGGGTGTAAGCGGTATAGATTCCCAGACTTGAAGGGAAGGCGACAGAGAGAGAAGGGGAGATTGCCGTGATGCGTTCGAGGAGTTGTGAGGGTGAAGTAGAGAGAGTGGATTTGATTGCACTGCGACTAATTATCCGTTTCTGGATGCCTATTTTTGGTTTATTTTTTTAAGATTGCACTCCAGCCAATATATAGCCAAGACTTACGTTTGACTGTCGCGCCTTCCTCGCTCAACAATCTATTACGTTGCTCGGCAATGCCTACAGCTCGACAAGAAACATATGCAGCTGCTCCCCACGAGTTGCTATGCTTTGCCCCTCTTGTCCCCCCATAGGCGCCCCACGCAAACCAATAAGCTACTTTAGCGCACCAAGGAGTTGAAGGTTGTAAATGATCTTATGCTAGTTCGCTACATACTTGTACAGGAGTCAATAGGAGGTGTGTACCCGGGCTTGCTTCATCTTAGTCCTTAGCCATGCATCCAACTCGAAGCTCGCGCCATGGTGGCTGGTTTTCATCCGTACCGGCTGTACTGAAATTCGTGTTGTGTTTTCCATTATCTCACAATCGTATATCCTCCCGTCAAGCAGTCCTCTCGCTCTCTGCACCTGAAATACACTGCCCACAAGATATAAAAAGGCGTACCAAGCGGATGCAGGCTCTCCTTGTTGTCCCTTTGATTGTTTCTGCTTCCCGTCTCTTCGTGTTGTGGTGTCCAACGTCTGCCATATCCTGTCGCCCACCAGCCGGGATGGTGTTTTACCGCTTCTTAACGCTGGGGCGCGGCTTGCACTCGTCGCCCGTGACTGGATGCAGCATGATCTTGGTCGGGTATTGTGGGCTGTTGCCCTGGTAGCCCTTGGACCAGTCGTAGGAGATGGCATAGGCGAATATGCTGCCGTCCTTGTTGAACTGGCCGGTCGTGATGCTGCCGCCCACATTCGGGTAGCCTTTGAGCCGGTGCTTGGCGTCCTTGTCCCAGAAGTGAAAGGTGCCGTCAGAGCCGACGGTCGAGAATGTGCCGTGTATCGGGTGGAAGTCAATGTCGTTGACGGTGTGGACCTGCGTGACGTTGCCCTGGGCCGGGTCGCGATGACACCGGAAGGAGAAGTTGGAGCTGGGCGGGTTAGCAGGCGGGAGAAGGAGGTCGCAAGCAGCAAGAAGTAGAGAAAACGTACACAGAGTCTTTTTCCTCGACATACTGGAAGGCACAACGGCCCTCGATACTGCCAATGGCGAAGCCAGACGCGTCATTGACGCAGCTGACCACGCGCGTCTGCCACTTAAGCGGGCTCTGCAGCGTCTTGTAAAACTTTGTGGGGTCCTTGAGGTTGACCACGTTGATGTAGCGGTCGGCAGTGCCGACGACCAGGAGATTGTCCCTGACGTCCAGCGCGTAGACGCGTTCCTGGCACTGGACAGACGCTACGGGCTGCTGCTGCCGCAGGTCCCAGTACTTGATGGTCTTGTCCCAGGAGCCCGTGACCAACATCTGCTGGCCGCCATCGACGTCAAAGAACTTGACCTTGCGGATCGGCTGGTCGTGCTGTGCCACCACCTCGTTCTTGCCCGTCTCGAGGTCGCAGAGCCGCGCCTGGTTGTCGGCACCGGCAGAGGCGACGCGCTTGCCGTCCTTGGCAAAGTGGCAGCTGAAGACCGGCGCGCTGTGTTCGTACATCAGTCGGCCCTCTGACTGGCCGCTGCCGCTGATTTCATAGATGCGCACCTTCTTGTCCCAGCTGGACACGGCCATGAAGTTCTTCGGGTCGGCCTGGTTGCTGTTGAAGGTCAGATCCGTGATGCTGTCTTCCGGCGGGTTCTGCACGATCACGTCATTTTTCAGGTCGCCGACGGTGTTGTTGGTCGTCGCGGCCGCGGCGCCAAAGAGGGTAGACATGGCGGGCAGAAGGCAGGCTCGTGAGCGTGGAAGAGCGTGAAGAAAAAGTCGGAGAGGAAGGGCGAGGCGAAAGGACGAGAATGCCGGATCCTCCCACGACCAACACCCTGCGGCTTAATCTCGAGATAACGGGGGGCAGAGAGGAGGCTGGGTTGCAGCGGCGCACACGGACTTGTTCGGCGGCGTCGTTGCAGACAGGTGTTCTGGCGGTCGTGACGTTGTCGATTCGCGAGCTGGTCCTTTTTGTAGTATTGTTTTTTTAGCGCCCTGAGACGGCCGGAATGGGGGCAGGGAGCTCAGGCTGCAGTAGGGACTGTTTGTCACGCAAGGTGGTTCACCAACACACGAGGACGCGTAGTCCAATTCCTCAGGAAACAACAGGTAGTCGCAAATATAAAGGACGATAGGAAAAGAGAGGATTTAGGCAACTCTCCGGGCTGCTCTCATCTGCCTGCAGCAGGCTTCAGGGAGGGATGAGTAATACGATATTTCGTGACAAGCTGTCATTTCACCGCCCGCGGCAGAATCCGCCCCACTGTAAACTTTTTCCGCGCCTGGTCTTAAAATGCAAATTTTACTTTTCTTAGCAGATATTCTCTTTTTCTTTTCTTCAAGTCCCCTCGCCCGACCAAATCGCTGTCGAAGCTCCAAACGGAGACGGATCACTAGTGGTTCGTCTCAAAACCGAATTAGCTTTGGGAGAAAGTCCCCGGACAGCTTTGCGTTTTCGAAAGGAAATGGAAGCGCTGCGGAAACGCGCCGCCGTAATGACATCTGCGGCTTATCCCTACCCATATGGGACATTCGTTTTTGTTGCTTTTACCCTCCTCCTCGTTTTTTTTTTTTGCCTTCCTGTCCTTAAATTTTCCACCCGCTTTCTGATTTGTCTCTCGACCAACTTGCTCTCTCGTTTTCTTTCTTCCTTTTCCCAACAGTCTCGATTTGTTCGGCTCCTTGGGTTTGAGAGGGAGTGCTCTTGCTGATTGCGGGCTACGCCCACCTGTCTCCTCTCTCTTTGCTGGGAAAGCTGCCATTGATGACTTCCTCAGTTTAGCTCCCACGGAGCTCTGCAGTGTCGTCCTGCCTTCTGTGTTTCTCTTACCTTTGCGCCCTGTGGCAGCTGGCACCTCTTATGGACGAAGATACGAGTCCGCGGTCACTGCTGTGTGGGTTGCGGGTTTTGGGTGCTGGGGGGTGAGGGCGGTGTTGTGGACTCTCGGTGTGTTGGATCTGTTTGTCGGAGGCTTCTGAGTAGCTCGGAGAGCAGGGAGGCGGGGAAGCATTGGCTTGTGGCATTGCGATCTCGACGACCTAGAGATCACTGCACGATTCTTGGCTGGGTTCTGGATGGAGGGGACGCAAAGGAGAGAGGGAGGAGTGGCATTGATGAGAGTGGAGGGAGAGGAGAGATCGGTGAGGGCTGGGACAGACGTGGGAGTTGGGGACGAGTGGCAGCAGCGGTGTTTCGGGTCTGGGGAGTGATTTCGTCCGAAACAAACAGGAATGCGATTGTTCGCCGAGGTAGCAGAAATGCTTCTTGGCGTATTACTCGATGGGGCTTATTCTTGGAGCGAGGGGGCTTCACCACAACAAATACCTCTGTCACAGGAGGGTTGGGGTCAACATGTCGGTCGTCGATCGCGAAGAGAGACGAGAGAGGCTCTGGAGGCACTCTACACTCTGAAGGAGCGAGTCCATTATGGGGCGCTTCTTTTTTCGTTTCTGGCGCTCTCGTGCGCTGTTCTTGGTCGACGATCTGGCCGACCTCATCGGTTCTTTCTGGGGGAATTTGTTGCTTACTCTGGGGGCATGTTGGGTCAGGGGGATGTGCACGAAGTTTACATGATGATTTAAAAATAGAGTCAAGCACTGATCTGGAGTATAACTCCATCATGACGACTAGCGCATAGCGCTCTTATCTGATCAAACTTCTACAACAACACATGGTTTGGTCAAGTGGCCAAGCTGATTTGGTAGAACCATCTGAAGGCTTCGTTTTAAAAGAAAGTGCTATATCTATACAAGAAAAATATATATACAAATTACAACGAGATCAAATGCTCGATCAATGCTTGCCAAACTTGCGGGGCTTTCTGTATACCAAAGTGTGCATATGCAAGGTCTCGTCCAAGCCGATTAGTATAACGGAGAGCACACGACCACGAACACGCCCGTCGTCCTCACATCAGGCCGGAGAGGACGACCCTGCCGACGTTGGCGACCTCGGTCTTGACGCCGGCGCGGCTGTGGTCCTCAAACTCCTTGACGACGTTTTGCACCAGCAGCTTGCGGATGCGGGCGTCGGCCTTTGCGAACTGCTCGGCCACGTGACCGGAGCAGTCGCGCGGCGTGGGCAGCAGGCTCAGCAAGCGGGTGTAGCAGTCGATCAGGACGTCGCACAGCGTGACAAACGTCTCGAAAAAGTCAGGATCGAAAGGCAGGCTGGGCGTCAGCAGAAAGGTGTACTCCTCGCCGGGCAGCAGGTCCGCGTTGTTGTCGTAGTGGGTGACAAAGGCCGTCGAGGCTGCCGAGGTTGAAGCTGTGCTGTTTCCGGCTCCACCGCCGATGCCGCCGGCGAGAGCCCCGTCGGTTGCCACCAGCGTCAGGGTGCTGCCGTTGACGGCGTCGGCGCCCATAGAGGCACCGTCGGGCGAGCCGATGATATAGCCGCTGCCACTTCCTCCGTTGCCTGATCCCCCCATGCCCATGGTGCCTCCTCCGCCCATGCTGCTCATGTCGCCGGACCCGGAGGCCGCACTGTTGCTCGTCCTCCGGGTCTTTGAGCTCGGCGCGGCGCGGCGGAACATCTGCGGCAGTCGGGCGGCCCGCGACAGCGAGCTTGCAGCGCTGCTGGTCCCCGTCTCCGAGTGCAGCTGCTGGTAGGCCTCGAACTCGACCAGCAGGGCGCTGAGGCTGCGCAACAGCTCCAGGGCAGACGATGAGTTGAGATCGACGACGGCCGGCAGCGAGAGCCCGAGAAGCAGGTAGTTGGTGGCGCGACGGGCGAGCCGGCGAGCCTCAAAATAGGGCATGCGGTTGAAGTCTGGCCGGTCGAAGCGAAGAGTGTTGAACCAGTAGACTCGACCTTCGTGGCTACAATTGGTTAGCAGATGTGTGTGTAATGTGTATGCATATGTCTATCACTCACGCTTTCCGTAGGTATTCTAGAGTCGAGATCCGCTTGGCAGCCATCTCCAGGATATGTTGATGCACCAGACTTGCCTCTGACGGCTGGCTGAAGACAGTGGGCAATGCGAGCTGGCCATTGGCAGAAGTTAGGCCCGAGGCCGACATCCCGTTGATTCCCAGCCCGGTGGCGCCGCCATTGGTGCCGCCAAACGACGAGCTCAACATCTTTCCAGGTACCTGAGACGGCTCGCTTCGGGGAAGCGGACTCGCAGAGAGCGCCGTAGGGGTGGCAGAGACCACGGTAGGAGTCGCCGGAATGGGTGGAGGAAGGCTGACGTCGGTGTCAATAAGCAAAGGATTTTGGTTGATGTTGTTGCTGCTGCCGCTGCTGTTGTTACTGTTGCTGTTGCTGTTGCCGTTGCCGTTGGAGAGGACGTTGCCTGTCTGGTGGAAGAGGAAGTTGACGGCCACACCGCCCGACGAGGAGGCCCGGCGTCGTGAGAAGGATGGCTTCTTGTTGAGCGAAGGACGGCGATCTTTTGTGAGGACGTGGCGGCGATGCTGCTGCTGTTCGGCGGCGCTGGGCAGCGGGACCTGTGACAGGCTGGGCGGCGACGGCGACGAGTGCTGTTCGCCGGCGCTCGTGTTGGGTCGTGAACGGGTGGCTGTTGTCGCGAGAAGGGTCGTCGTGGGCGTCGTCGCTGTCGTCGTTATGCTGGAGAACGAAGTGCCGAAGAGCGTCGAGAAAAATGGAGCCGCATTTTGCCCTGTGGGCGTGCCGCCGCCTCCACTGCTAACCTTTTGCATGGCGGGGCAGGCACGGCTTTCCCCTGACTAATTCTGGCGTGCAGAGTTCCTCCCTATCTGGGCTTCTGAGCTTCTGGACGTCTCTCTTGCTCCTTCTGGCTGCTGCACTGCTGGTTCTGCTCCTTCCTTTCGCTTCACGAGGCCAGAGACAGAGAGAGAGTAAGAGGGTGTCTTGGACGGGCTAAACCAAATGACCTGTCTCCCTGCCTGCTTACATAGTACGGAGTACTGCGCCGTGTGCCGTGTGTGTTTGGCACTAAGCCGGGAAGGAATATGGCGCATCGGGTGCACTGCTGCCTTTTTTATAAGAAATGTCTGGACAGAGTTCTCTTTCTCGACTAATGTCTACCGACGCCGCACTACGCGAGTACGAGTAGAATAACAATACAACCGGCTGAGCCTTCCAAACTGCAAGGATGTTGCGCTAGATTCGAAGATCGTCGTCCGCCCTGCAAGGCCTCGTAAACGCGCACAATTGTTACGAGAACGCTCGAGCGCGTCTGAGCCACCGGGGTCCTCCTGGTCAAAACAGCTCTGTCACAGGGCCATCTGGCGAGAATCAAATAGTTCATGGGCATTTAAAAAAAGAATCATGGACAACACGAGGTCCCCGAGCCCGTCGAAAGAAATTTGGGCCCTACTGCTGGTACTCAAACCTGCCGCTTTGCTCATGCATGCGCCCGCAGGTCGTTCTTCGCCTGCGATCAGGCCACGCCATTCGAAAACACAAGCTCTCCAAAATGAAACACGCCCGAATAACATGTGAAAACAGTGCAATCCGCTGAAATTGGTACAGCACACCCGACACGGCCGTGTCTTGGGTCCTGTCCGTCCCTTCGTTAATGTGCCACCTTTTTCTCGCCGATTACACCCTCGACGATGCCCTTCCACAGGTCTCTCAGCATGCCCGGCTCCTTGTCGGAGCTGCTGCTGGACTGTGAGTCTTCCAGCGTATGTGCAAATTTGAGCTCGGTGCCGTCCACGCCTATGCTCTCCATCTCGGCCAGCGGTGATGCCGGCGTCACGAGCTCTGGGTGCGCAGCCACGACCAGGACATGCGGCGTCGCCAGTAGTCCGTCAACGGCCTCGGGTGCGTGCCCCACGAGGCCCTCGCGGTTGGGGGCGAAGTTGTCTGGCAGGAGCGGGACGCGGATGGAGTGCAACGACGAGCTGACCGGCTCGGCGATTATAGGCATCACGGCATTGTCGATAGTACTAGTGTCGAGCCGAACGGCCTTGGGAGCCGTAGTGCGGAAGGTGAACGTTTGCATCAACGGGACGATACGGTTGCGCGACGGCACAGGTGCGGATGTCGGGCGATGAGTTGTGGTGAAGTGGCGGCTGGCCTGAAGAGCGGTGTTAGTCAGCGCAGTCCGAGTATAGTATCTGTAGTCCGCACTAGCAACTTTGGCTTACATCTTCCCGCTCGCCGTGCTCTGACCAGGCAGACGCGCTATTGACGCCGTTATGGTTGTGCGCTGCATTGACCAGGTAGGCCGGACGGGCGACAGAAGGGTTGGCCGAGAGGGAACGGGCAAGCTTGCTGATGGGTGCAGTGACTCGAGTCATGTTGGAAGATGATGGATGGGCAATGGGTGAATGAAGATGACGATGATGGATGATGGACGATGAATGGACGGCAGGTAAGGTCCTAGAACGGCAAGATACGGAGTACAAGTACTCAGAATTACGTCGTAGAAAGCCCGGAGTATAACGGGGCCGAAAGATGTGCAAGAGTCGTAAGATGTCCTGCAGGTTCCGGATGTCCGTCTTGAGGAACAGCAGACGGAACGACCGCGAGAGAGGAGGGGCGAGGAGTCACACTATATGCAAGGAAGCTTGTGGTGACGTGTGGTGATGAACCACTGAGTCTCCAGCCAATGACCGGTCCTCAGCAGGGCATCTGACAGCTCTCGCAGTAGGCCGTAACATCTTGCGGAGTGTTCGTATCTGGCAATTACACATGTCCTCTGCGCCTTCCTCCTATTAGTGGACCGACCAGGCCGAAAGAAGCGGTGAAATGCTAGGGATGTCTTTGTCTCTCTCAACAAGCAGAACGACCTAGGCAGACTCTCAACGGTTCAACGTGGGCGTATCTCGCTTGCATCTTGCGGTCGCATGAATGTAGCTTACTCCGTACTCCGTACTATCTTACCCTCCAGCAGATCTCACTGCCGGATTTACAGGCGGGGAAGCCTGCCCTCCTGTTTCCGTAGGGAATGTTCCCCAACAAAACGACCTGACCGGGCTGCTCCACCTTGCTCCACCGCCAAGTCCAAAGAAGCTGGCTGCCTTCCCATAGGCAAGACGGCGTTCTATAACATGGGGTAGCAGCCTGTTTCGGGCAGCTTTGTGCACGCGGAGGATGCACAACCACTCATCCTCGACACATGCGCCAGTGGCCAGCATTATCTCTAATCGCAGTCACCATGTCATCCTCCCTGCAGCTTTTCTCCTTCTCTTTCCTCTTTTTTACGCACCAAAATAGCGACGGACTGGTCGGATCTGCACCCAAGTAGCCTCACATTGTACTGCCTTTGGAAATGACTCGGCTATTCGGAGGGATGGGTGTAATGAGCATCTACGAGCACACAATTCCGTCTCGCAGAGCAGCTAACTGGAAATACCTGGCCCAATTCACATGTCTAGCCTCTCTTGTAAATCGGCGCAAATGACCTAGGTTACAGAGCCGGCAGGCCGTAGTAGACGACCATGGAGAGAACATGCGAATGCATCTGATTAGGCTAAACACAGGGAAATATGCGTCCAGTCTCAATCTCAGCTGCCCCAGACTGTAGCCACCGCTCGGATCGCCTTGCATTCTCCCTTGTGTCCGTCTTTCCAGCCCTGGGTCTGGCAAGCCTGCATGCGTGTGCGGATTCGCGGGTCAGCCATTTTGCCGTTCATCTCTTCTCTCGGGGAAAAGGGTTTTGCTCCCGATCTGACTGGCGCACCTTGTTGCAGTACCACGCTTCGCTGCATCCTGTACACTTCAGCAGACGCTTGGCGGCGGGTCCGGCATCTGGCGTCGTCCCGCAGGTACTGCACTGCCTGTCTTGGCCCGTTTCGTGCTGCTGCTCCCGTAGCCGAAGTCGCGATGCTGCTGCTACGACCTGGTCCAGCGCAGCCGGCATCACCTGCACCGTGTCTGCCTGGCCGGCGGGAATGCGCAGAAACGGACGTCTGGCCGCCTTGCTGTTGATCGTCTCCGGGCTACTACTGCCGTCGTCCGCGCGTGCCGCCGGGATCGTTCTTCTGGCTGCAGGAACCAGGATGGTGGTTCCTGGTCGGAAGCCAAGGCCCTCCAGGTCGAGGCCGTCGCGGTCCAGGCCGTCAAAGACGAGCGCGAATGAGTGGCCGTCGCGGTCGCTCAGCACAAGCGTCGGCTTGTTGATGGTCATGTTGTTCTTGACCTGAGCGAGGAGGGCTGGCTGGCCGGCCGTCTTCTTCTCGGTGGCCGCATCCCCATCCTCGGCTTCGGGCAGATCCAGGAATGGAGGGAAAAGCGTGCGGTCGTCGAGGTCTGGTATTCCGGACATGGCTGCAGATGCGTTTGTCCTTCGTCTTCTTTGTGCTTGCAGTGGTGATTCTGGGCCCAAGCTGCTTGTTACAATCCACAAAACGATCTGTGCTCTACGGTTTTGAAACGCCTTTGTGATGGCCTACTTTCCACTTCGTTCGCCATGCTGAAACTCACCCAACTCTTACTTTCCGGTTTCATCCCCTTCGCTACAATGACCAGCTGCTGTTTCGATTTCTCTATATACAGTTTGCTTCGAATTGCACGTCGAAGCCCCATGCTTTGAAGACCCTGTAAAATGTGCCTTACTCCTAAATTCGCTGTATTAGGCGGATTAGGCACCCTCAATAGTGTCCCGCGGCTGACCCACAAATTGACCTCACGATCGTGGGCGCTCGAGCAACGCTCCCAATGCTAGCTGCCCAAACAGACGAACCGGCTCGAAATCCTGACCATCCGAGTGGGAGTGTGCAGGGAATGAACAGCAATCATCCAGCCGTATTACAGCCTAGGGTGACTGTGCCATCAAACAGCTGCTGGCCCGGCATGTCTGTGTCGAATCAGTGTCTTTGTAGGCCCTGGAGCGCGATATTCAAATCTGCACATTGGTATTGAGCCACTGCCAAGAAAGGTCCCCTCGTTGGGCTATGGCGAGGCAGTGCCAGATAGCCTTCGGGTTGATTTCCAGCAACCATCAATCTGCAAAAAAGGGTGTATATAACATACTCCCGCCGCCATCCAAATCTCACCGACAAGTGGTCAAGTTCAAGTGCTTTGGCTCGAGTCCTCTGGCCTCGGGCCCCGCTGCGAAAATGGATCCCGGCACTGCTTTGGCCGTCATCGGGATGGCAACTAGCATTATTGGGACTTGCGTCAGGATTGTCGAGGACATCAAGGAAGCCCCGAGTGATATACAGCTGATCAGGAGCGAAGTCTCTTCGCTGAAAACAATCGTCCAAGAATTTCAAACCCCACAACTCGCTTCTATTCCTGGCCTGATCGACCACTTGCCTGCTTGTCATGACCGGCTCACTCGCCTCAGAGGCCTTCTTCCTTCCCAAACAACCACACGGCCCAAATGGGAGCGGCTAAACTGGTCGCGCAAGTCATCCCAGGCTCGCAAGCTCTTACTTGAACTATCCCAGCAAAAGACTACAATGCTCCTATCCCTCGCTAATCATTCTGCGTACGTCTGACAAGTTGCCAAAGTAGTATCTAAAACTGACGCCGCCTGTGATAGACAAGAGTTGACTACCATTTTGGCCACAGTGCAGAGACTCAAAGACAAGCAAACAGGTACGTGTTGTCCAACACTCGGTTGCAGATCCAACCAGCAAGGGGCAGAAGTAACTGTTTTATAACAGATACCGAGCGCCAAAAGATCTTCAATTGGCTAGAAAAGACCAATCCGTCAGCAAAGCACAATCAGTCCTTCGAGCTGCATGAGAAACATACTTCGGAGTGGATTCTCAGACTCCCCAAATGGGAAGACTGGCTTGATCAAACCGCATCAACCCGCTTTCTTTGGCTTTCGGGAATTCCAGGCTCTGGCAAAGCAGTCCTTACCTCGTTCCTCATCGAAGAGGTGAAATCCTTCTGCAAGACCTCAGCCCAGGGATGGGCGTACTACTACTGTCTCTTCTCCAACAACCAAAATGAAACAATCCCGTTTCTTTGCTGGATTGTCTGCCAGCTTGGCTGGCGAGCGAGATTTGTACCTCACAATATAGTGTCCCTTTACGTTGAGAGTATTGCTCCCAAAGTCCCAGATCTGGAAGATGCGCTTGAGGAAATACTAGCAACCCAACTCGATGTCGCTTTCGTTCTCATTGACGGCGTAGACGAGTCCGAGGAGCGTGAAGATCTTGTGGCGATCATCCGCTCATTGGCACAGGATGTCCGATTCGAAAAACTACGACTTCTTGCCAGCAGTCGCATGTTGCCGGATATCCAGCAAGGCTTCGGTGCCTCGTGTGTCGCCATCTCCATGTCAAATCCAGAGGTCGACAAGGACATAAGAACATACATCAAGTTGGCATTGGCGCCTAGCGAACGTCTAAATAAGTGGTATAAAAATAATCTTGTTGATGTTGAAGATGCTCTGGTTGCAGGCGCCAAGGGAATGTGAGTAAGAGTTCGATATCGTAGTTCTGTTGATCGCTAGACTGACTTGTCGACGTAGGTTCCGCTGGGCAGAATGCCAGGTGCACGCCCTCAAAGGGCTGGCTTCAAAAAGTCAGGTCGACGAAGCTTTGAAGGACCTTCCAGAAACACTCCACGACGTTTACGTCAGGATATTTTCTAAAATTCCCAAACTCAGCCGACACATTGCTCGGCAGGCGCTGTTGTGGATATGCGGCCATGATCGTCATCCGAATAATGACCTCAACATATCTATTACTACAAATATCCTTCTGTCTGCTTGTCAGTGGGATCACAAGAAAAAAACATTCGGATCGGACGCCTCGATGATAGAATTTGACCGGCTACAAGAGATCCTTGGCTGCTTGATCATTACCAGGCCCAAAATTTATAATGAAGTAAAAGAATATTTTGACGACGACGAAGACACCAGCGAAGACATAAGCATGAGCGCCGACGACCCAGATTGGAACGCGCAAACAAGTTCCAGTATGAGATTTGTTGAAGTTCGACTCGCACATTACACTGTCAAAGAATTTATCTTCTCCAGTGAAATCAGCAAAAATCAGATCTGCTCTTATTTTGCCCTTGACGACCAAAAAGCTCACATTGAATACTTCAGGCAGTGTATCGAAATCTCTATGTGTGGGGAGGTTCATATAGATGATTTTAATGATTACTACGCATTCAGCAGTCACATCAGCACATTCAGCTTGGAATTTGCCCTAAATAACTTACAATATGAGTTCGTCTTCGAATGCTGGGACGAGGTGCTCTAGTTTCTGAACCCATCATTGCCCTATTACAAGGAGAATGATAATATACGGCGGTATCTTTTTAAGAAATTCTACTTGAAAAATTTTCATACGCTGTACGACGATTCTGGAAACCCAAACGCTATTAATGCCGCGATCCTTGTCAGCCTGGCATCAGTCGATTACGGGACTTTTGAATATGTCAAAAAGTTTCTCGACGATCATGACAATCCCACTGCTATACTATTAACTCCTATTCACGTTGAAGTTGATAATTGTCCTGAATCTCCCCGCCTCCTTGATCTATCGGCTACTGTCTTCTGCCTTTTCATTACTCTTGACTCTGTTGATGCTGGCTCTCTCTTGAATTACTCTTTGAAGTATTTGTATCCAGCAGATCTGCTACTAATTGGTATCGCAAATTACTCGCATTCAGAGTATACCAGATTATATGGACTCGATATCGTGGACTCTCTTTTCAAGAAGGGAGTCGACCCCAACGGAGCGAGCAACTACGCGATGACGCCTCTGCAGCTCGCCTCCCAGCTTTGGTACCCTGGCTTGGTTAAAAAGCTTTTGGAAATGGGGGCAGATCCGGATCGAACTGGCAAGAGCGGGGGGATTTCGTTTCCTTTCTTTCCGTCAGAGTTCATTTCTTCAAGTCCACTGAAAATAGTGAGAACCTCGAGATACAAAGACTTTCGATGCGATGCCGTCAAAGCCGAGCGAGATTTATGCGAAGGGGCACTGGTACAATATGGGGCTAGGCATTTTGACTTGAGAGATACTGAGATATCTATGACAGACTAGTTGGAAATTTGATACTCCGTACACATACCCTATTAAACAGCTTTGAATAGATATGCTACACCTTCAATATTCAGATACGACCTGCAAGCATTTGTAAAGCAGTGCACCTTTTTGTGACATAGGGTATGTACCTATGCTGTATGAAGCGATCATTATAAGCAGCTTACATTATACGCCTTTCATTTTGTTAAGATGGTTTGTTAGAAGTATTTCCTTACTTATTTCAACGCTTGTGTATATGCATTTTCCTTCAACGCCAACCAGAAGCCAAAAGAAAGAGGGTGAGCAGCATCTCAGGACCCAGCCGGGCCGCCATAGCTCATAAAGACAAACGTGCTTATGATGGCGACGACGACGACGATGGTGGCAATAGCCGCACCGGCGCGGTCGGCCTTGGTGATGGGCGCAAACACCGTCGGGTTATCGTCGCTGTTGCTGCCGGCATCAGCCTTTCCCTCGCTGGTGCCGCCGGTGCCGTTGGTGACGGGCGCGGCGGCTTCGTCGATCAGCAGTGCCGACACGGCTGCCAGCACGTTCATCGTCTGGCCGACACCGACGCTGCCGTCAAAGGCGCCTGATGACCACTGAAAGCCGCACGTCCGGCCATTGTCGCCACCCGTGCACTGGGCCACGGCTGCCTGTGCCGACGTGCGCAGCGTTGCTGAGATGCGGTCGTGGACAAACGGCGCCAGCTGTCCGGTCGTCGCCAGCCAGCGATGCAGGTAGCCCTTGTAGCTCAGCATGTCCGTCGTGCAAGTCATCTTGCTCTCGCAGGCCATCTCGTACGCCACACCGCCGGGGAAGAAGAAGTTGATTGTGTGGTTGAGCAGGCCTTCGACGTGTTCCTGCCATCGGGGCTCTTCGGTCTGGGGGCGTTAGTGTATGTTTGCACGTCTCTCTCTCTCTCTCTCTCTCTTTCTCTACTTACACGGTTCCACATATAGGCGGCTCCCAGGAGCCACACGGCGCTGTTGTACGAGAACTCGGCCTTGTTGAGGTCGGTGCAGTTCGTCCCCACGTGGGCTCCGTCGTAGATTTGGTACTCGTCGCTCATCAGGCCGATATTTCGGATCCATTCAAACGTCCCCTCGGCCCAGTCGGCATACGTCTTGTTCCCAGTGTATCGTGCCAGGCGTGCACCCAGATTGAAGAAGCAGCCGTTCGCGATGCCTGCATTGTGGTCAGCATCCGGTCATCGCTGTATCGGCCACATCCGTCACTCACTGTTCTTGTAGTCGTAGCCGTTGTTGGCAAACGGGATCTGCCACCGCAGGCCGCCGCCGCACGTCGCGTCGTGGCGTCCTGGAGCAGCCTGCGTGTTGAATACGGCTTGTGCCAGGGCCAGCCACTGTGGTTTGTCGGCTGGCGGATTTGGAAAGTTGACCTCCGCTGCCAGCATCGCAGACATGCCCCAGAAGCCCTGATCATCGTTTCCCAGCGATTGTGTCACATTGGGCGGCATGTAATCGGCATGGGGACCAGTCTGGAACTGCATGGCCTTCGTGACGACGTCGTTGTGCGAGTCGTCTCCGGTCAGGTGCCAGTACTCTATCAGCGTCCCCCACATTGCTCCTGCTTCCCACCAGTAGTATGGTCCGGCCGGCGGGGGTCCGGGCAGGATTCCGGGGGTCTGGCCCAGCTCTTCGCCATGATAGTAGGTAAGGAGATCGGCCGCAAGCGTTTTTGCTGATTGTTTGATGGCATCTTGAGAAACAGGAATTAGCATCAGAACTAGACACTATGAGGAAGGTGTGTGCATCTCGCTCCTGCCTGAAGTATCATACCTGTGGAATCTAAGCTGTAGGCTGCTTGTGCCCCTGTGCTGGCTAATACTGCCGCTATTGTGGCTACTGATCTTAACGATAACATTGTGTTTATGTGTGTGAAGAATGACAGTGGTAGATACGAGGGCGCCTGGGTCAGTTATTGTAGAAAAATCATCACGAGAGAAAGATGGGTGAGTAAGAGAGCAATATGATTATTCCACAACCACCCGACTTCACAGATTAACGGAATAGGAGTTTCAACATCCAGGTACGAAAGCCTACGACCGCAGAACGAGTACGGGATTTGGGAATGTTGGTCTAGTATGCCAAGGACCAAGCCACCTTCCAGCCAAGCCCTCCCCTTTCTCGCATTTCTTTGACATCGTCCTATGTACGACATAGTGTGCACCGCAAGCCACTTGGCGGCTGTCGACTTGGCGGTCCACGCACTACGAATAGCCGAGTGACCCGGCGGCTTGTTGCTATTCACCGCAGACGCAGCAGTGCACCCAGACAACGTCTTCCTACCTGTGTGCCGTCTCCTGGCTAGTGGCGGGCCGGGACAGATGTGCACCTGCGAAAGCTACTTTGATCAGCACCCTTGTTAAGCGTAATTCCGACCCCCGTCTCACTTTCACGCGGTTCTTGGCGGCTCGCTGGGATCGTCGGCAGTCCATCAATTCTCTGGGCGTGGCTTGGCAAAAGCTGGGCAAAAGCTGGGCAAAAGCTGGGCAAAAGCTGGGCAAAGCCCGACAAAGCAGGGGATGACACGAGACGTTTGCAAATACGAAATGGGTCCGGCTTGTGCCACGGGCCTTTCTCTTCCCGTAAAACGAACGGAGGCCCCAAACGGTCCAGGCAGCCAAATTGCTCTTTTGTTGCTATTACGGTTCTCCTCGTAGCCCTTCCTTGGCAGGCCGTCATTCGTTACCAAGCGTGCCTCTCGTAAAATATCTGGCCATACGTTTCAGCCCGCGCCCTGCCTTTAAACTCCTGATCGCCCGCAACTCGCGACATTCAAGGCCTTCATTTCGCGGCAAATGGCCGGTGGGGCTTCTCTTCCCACATCACGGCACGATTGGCATGTGACAGAAGTGCCCCATATTGACGCCTGACAGAGGAGAGAAACTCTATTTCTTCTGCGAAACAACAAAGTATGCACCAAGCAATTGTCCAGAAATACGTCATGCAATACTCCGTACTCGTGATTGAGTCACTGTAATATTCATCACCATTCGATGTGGCGATTGTCGTATCTACATTGGGCAGGAAGGGGATGTTGATAGATGGCAACGCTCCTTCCTTACGTGATAAGTTCATCACATCGACGGGGATCTTCTCAATGGTAGCATAGAACAACACATTCTGTTCCATGACATTACAAGACGCCATGATTGCCATCTTACCTTTATGTCACTGGCGGGGTTGGGTTGTCAAGCACAGCCGTCCCCCACGCAACTTGCATAGGCCAATATCAGCGACCTGTTTCCCAAAATGGTGCGGCTGAACTGAAGAAAGTTCCTAGGAACAGTTTACACTTCTTCATCACATTTCGCACCAGCTTTACATCGTACTCATTTCGTTTCATCTCGCACAGCCACGACTGCCGTACATAGTACGGTACCCGTCACTTGGATACTTGACTAACAAGACACTTACGGACGCTTGTCCTAACTTGACCCTGCCGAGCATTGTCAGAGCACCCCTCAGCTTAAGACAACAAGTTTCACCGCCACAGCTGCTACTACCAGCAAGATGACCATGTACGCCGTGACAAATGGGCAGCTTGCCAGCGTCGTCAAAGCCGTGCGCCTGACGCCGGTGATCGACCATCACGCACATCCCCTTCTGAAGCCCGAGTGCGTGGGTCGGCACCCGCTGCTGTCCATAATATCTGAAGCTCACGGAGATGCTCTCGAAGACTCTGCGTCGACTTTTGCGTATCATCGTGCCGTGAAACAGCTGGCCGCCGTGCTCGGCTGCGGTTCGACGTGGAAATCGGTTGTGGCCGCCATCGAGCAGCGGCGCAGCGAGGACTACAACGCTTGGGTTTCCCAGTGCCTCCACGGTATTGAGACCGTTCTGCTCGACGACGGGCTGGACAACGAGGACGATGCTTTCCAGTATACATGGCACAACCGGTTCACACGCAGCAAATGCTACCGCATCGTGCGCATCGAAGTTGTGGCCGCTGAGATCATCAACCGTCACCTGGGTTCAGGCTACCTTGATACTACGTTTGATTCAGTGCTGGAAGAGTTCGACACCAAGATCAAGCAGGCCATTGCCGACCCGAAGGTTGCTGGCTTCAAGTCGGTCATATGCTACCGCACTGGCCTTGACATCCCAGGAGCCGTCGACCTTGGAGCCGCACGCGAGGTCTTATCCGACATAGTCTCAGACTACACTGGGCCTGGACGTCGCTTTCGTCGCCTACAGCACGCCGGACTGAGCGAACTGTTCCCGCACCGTACTGCTATACTCATCCGTGATTCTGCCGCCGGTCATAAAAAACCTATCCAGTTCCACACGGGTTTGGGGGATAACGACATCACCCTCACCAAATCATCGCCGGCCCATCTGCAAGAGTTCATCCGCACATATCCGACAGTACCTATTATACTGCTACATTCCGGCTACCCTTACATGCGCGATACGGCCTACTTAGCGGCGATGTATGCAAATGTCTACGCCGATATTGGCGAGGTTTTCCCCTTTCTCAGCCGAGATGGCCAGGAATCCGTTATTCGCGAGATTTTCGAGCTGTGCCCGGGCTCAAAGATCATGTGGAGTACGGATGGTCATTGGTTGCCGGAAACTTACCTGCTTGCAGTAACGCAGGTCCGAGAGGTGCTTGAGACGGTACGTCCTGAGATGCTTCCCCGCTCTTCTTCCCCTTTGACATGGTCTGACGATGACACTCCAGGTTCTGTGTGACAACGTGCGCAAGGGTGATATTAGCTGGCAGTCCGCGATAGACTTGACACGCGATGTTTTCTTCAGGAACGCAAACAGGCTTTATCAATTGGGCCTCAACTTTTCCGAACTGACTGATGTGGCAGGCGATGGGACTGGGCCTCAGATTCGCAAGAGCTCGGACTTGGAGATTTGGGAGGCCTTTTTGCGGGAGAACCCTCGGCCAGACTTCGTGCGCATATCATGGATTGACTACACTGCCAAACCTCGTATGAAGATGGTGCCGTTCCGCCGTTTCGACCGTCTGGTGAAAGAGGGCAAAGCACTGGATATTGGTATCGCAAAGGCATCACTCGGCATGCTTCAAAACGATGTTTGCATACCAACAGTGTCACCAACCGGCGAATATCGTCTCCATCCAGACTTGTCATCCCTGAAAACAGGACCCCTTGATGGCCACGCCAACATGTATGGCGACTTCCGCGGAAAAGATGGCTCTCCTGTTTCCTTGTGTCCACGCACGCAGCTGGCTCGCGCAGTCAACTTCGCGGCTGAAAAGGGCATTTCCCACCTCATTGGCTTTGAAATCGAATTTGTGCTCCTAAAGCGAACCGGTCCTGAAATGTCCGAGCCGATTGCCAACAAGGGCCATGCTTGGTCCTCATCGCGTTTCTTTGTGGATCCGGCAATTCCGCAGCTGCTTCGTGACATTGTGAATGATCTGGCTGCGGCTGGAATTGAAGTCGAGCAGCTGCACGCTGAGAGCGCACCCGGTCAGTTTGAACTTGTGTTGCCTGCACAGCCACCGGTCAAGGCGGTCGACGCTCTGCTGCACGCGCGGGAAACTATTTCAGCACGAGCCAATGCTGCTGGGTTCAGGTATACTCTCCACCCCAAGTATGATCCGAGAGCCTGCGGAACGGCAGCGCACATGCATTTGTCTGTCTCCACGTTAGATGGCGGTAGCGTGGAGACAAACGTATACGAACAATTCTATGCGGGCATTCTCGAGCACCTGCCTAGCATTGTTGCCTTTACATACAGCTATCCTCCCAGCTACTTGCGGATGATCGACAGCTGCTGGGCAGGTGGGCGCTGGGTGGCTTGGGGAAAGCAGAACCGCGAGACACCTCTGCGTCAAATCGAAGACAGCCATTGGGAGCTGAAGTGTATGGACGGCTTGGCCAACCCATACCTAGCAGTTACAGCGATCCTCGCTGCTGGTCTGTCTGGCATCGTCCATCGCAAGCAGCTCACCTTGCACAACTGTGTCGCTGACCCAGCCACACTGTCAGACGCCGAGCGCAGCGCGCTTGGTATTACAACAATGCTCCCAGCGAGTCTTTCGAAAGCTCTGGAAGCTCTGACCAAGGACACGACGATGGATGGTCTTCTTGGAACCGATGTTGTGCAGCGATATGTGGATGTGAAGAAAGCCGAGCTTCAATTCTTCGACCAGCTGAGCATGCAACAGCAGCACGAATGGATTGTAGAGCGGTTTTAGGGAGATGCTAAAGGATACGTCTGTGTAAGCTGGATGAAGATGTGTTGTGCATTGCGCGAGCTTACTGGCCAGTTGGAATACGGAGTACTCCGTATAGAATAAACGGTGCAATGCGAGTGATTCCGCCGCTAAGCCCAAACGGTACAGGCATAATTGGTAGTGAGGGCTCCCCTGCACGGCCCCTGAGAATAGCAGGCGCGGATTGGTCAGTGGGGTAGCGTTTTTGTGGTTGAGTTGTCCTTTCAGTAGCGGTGCATCGCGCAGGCATCTTACAGCCGCCAAATCAGCCTTCTCTTGCACCAGCGAGGACGAACAAGGCTTTTCAACGGAGAGTCCAACGAGAATAACGTGCGCGACGCTATTGATTCCGAGAAACTGCGTGACCGGACCGAACGAGGTTGTCCACGAAAGCTCTCAGCTTTGAGAGCAGCAGGCGACAAAACGAAGCAGGGACCAGTAAGGATCGACAAGGAAGGCATGCGGTAGGAGGGCGACAACAAACGAGGGAGCAAGAGAGCGAGAGCTTTACGAACGTATTAGCACTGGGCGAGACAAGCGACAGTCGATACGGAGGTTCTCCTTTCCGTCCTTGACGACATCAGCCCAGGGCAAGATGAACGGCTTCGACGGCTTCGACGAGAAGCAGGGCCTGGAAGAGGACGTGTTTGGGCCCAAGACGGGCAGCATAGTGCAGGCGTTTGACGCGTTTCGTGGGTGTCCCATTTCTCGGTGTCGGGCCCGCCACCCTCCTCTCTCGCTAACCAGACAGCCAAGGCAAAGCCGCAGTATGTGCAGCGGACGGCGGGCGGAGGCAAGTGGACGGTGGCGATGATTGTGGTGTCGCTGCTGTTATTCTGGACGGAGCTGCGGCGGTGGTGGGCGGGCTCGCAGGAGCACACGTTTGCGGTGGCCAAGGGGGTGGGCCACTCGATGCAGATCAACATGGACATTGTGGTCAAGATGCGGTGCGACGACCTGCACATCAACGTGCAAGATGCAGCAGGCGACCGAATCATGGCAGCGGCAAAGCTGCAGCGTGACGCGACGACATGGGCGCAGTGGGTAGACCACGGTGGCAACCATCGGCTCGGCCGGGACACGCAGGGCCGAATGATCACCGGCGAGGGCTGGACGACACTGCCGCACGAAGAGGGCTTCGGCGAGGAGCACGTACACGACATCGTGGCGCTGGGCCGTCGCAAGGCACGCTGGGGCAAGACGCCACGACTGCGCGGCGCTGCTCCTGACAGCTGCCGCATCTTTGGCAGCCTCGACCTGAACCGGGTGCAGGGCGACTACCACATCACCGCGCGCGGCCACGGCTACATGGAGATGGGCGATCATCTGGACCACACCTGTAAGTGTCTGTTGGGACCTTGAACAAGACGGTTTGCTGACAGCCAGCTTTCAACTTTTCCCACGTGGTCAACGAGCTCTCGTTTGGCCCGTTCTACCCGTCGCTCGTCAACCCGCTCGACCAGACGGTCAACGAGGCGACGGCAAACTTTTACCGCTTCCAGTACTTCATGTCGATCGTGCCGACGGTCTACAGTGTCGGCCACGCCGGCAGCCGTAGCGCGCGGTCGATCGTGACGAACCAGTACGCGGTGACGGAGCAGAGTGCCGAGATCGACCAGCGCGCCATTCCCGGCATCTTTTTCAAGTACGACATCGAGCCGATCCTGCTGTACATCGAGGAGTCGCGCGACGGCTTCCTGGTGTTCGTGCTCAAGATTGTCAACGTGCTGAGCGGCGCCCTGGTCGCCGGTCACTGGGGCTTCACCATCTCAGACTGGCTGCGAGAAGTGCTGAACCGACGGCGGCGACGAGTCGGAACAGACGGCGTGCTGGGGCACAAGAGAGATACGTCGGACTAGGGGGGAAAGGGTGAAAATGTGAAGGAGAGACTGTACTGTCTGTATTTTTACGCATAATGGCGTTTTGACGTGCCTGATTCATCTGGGTTGCTATAGAATTGAGTGTTTGTATTTTGTATTTTGTAGTCATTTGTCTGCTAGTTCGAAAATCATTTATATCTACAGTCTAAAATGGCGGGTCCTCACAGGCTTCCCAGGTCAGTCTGGAAGCCGGCCAGCCTCCGGGCAGTCAGCCAGAGGTCCAGCAGCTCGAGCTTAGAGCGGCCATGCAGATAGGAGAGGCAGGCAGCGAGCAGGCGGAAGCTATTCGTGGGCCAGAGCAGGGAGCCATGGGCGGCACGGATGTTGTCGAGCTGCTCGTAGAAGACAGTACGGAGACAGTACTGGGCCATAATAAGGAAGGACTGGACCGGGCCTCGGCGGGTGTGCAGACCCTCGTCGAGGCTGCGGGTGAGGTCGTTGGTCTTGAGGATGAGCAGGATGACGCGAGGGACGCGGCCGAGCAACTGGACGAGGTTGGCGAGCAGGCCCTCCTGCAGCTGGCCGCCCATCTGGTCCTTCTCGGCAGCAGTGCGGGGGCTGAGGATGGAGGCTGAGCGGAGGACGCTGATGTCACGTCCGGTGATGGCGGAGGCGAAGAGGGGGAACTGGGCCTCGTCAATGCCGGCGACGTCGTGGGCGTAGCGCTGCATGCTGTCCATGTCTCCGTCGAGGACGGCGAGCCACATGTGGGCGTAGGACCGGCGCAGGGCCAGGGGGATGTCGCGGTAGAGCCCGTGGTCGTAGAGGATGATGTCGAAGTTGGGGCGGCGGAGCACGTGATCGACGAGACCACGTGACTTGGCGCGCACGGCCAAGTTGCCGCCATGAGGATCGCAGTGCAGCGGCACGCCCTCACGGAAGATCATCTCGTTGAAGACGTGGGCGAGGGCAGCCGAGACGGCGTCACGGTCGATGCCGTGGTCGTCGAGGTAGGCGAGGTCGTCGAGCCGGTGGCCGGGCTCGCAGGCCATGACGAGGATGCGCTCACGAGCCCAGAGGACGGCGGGGACGAGGAGAGGCAGTTGTGGCTGCAGGGCGGCAAAGTGATCGCGGGTGCGGGCAGCGTTGTGGGCCTCGCGACGGAAGTCGAGCTCCTGCGGCAGCGACGCGGCCACCTCGGCCGAGAGCCACTCGAGGTCGTACTCGGGGAAGAAGCGCTTGAGCGTGGCAAACGTAAAGGCCGTCAGCGACATGTCCAGCTGCACCCACTCGGCCAGCCCGGGGTGCTGCAGCTTGACGGCCACGCGCTCGCCCGTCGACCGCAGCGTTGCCAGGTGTACCTGAGCCAGCGAGGCCGCGCCGACCGGCTCGGGCGCAAAGTCGGAAAACGTCTCCCACAGCTCGGTGCCGGTGTCGGCTCGATACATGGCCTCGATCGACGCGAGCGACGACACCGGACAGCGGTCCTGCAGCGGCACAAACGTGCTCGTCCACTCGATCGGCAGGAGGTAGTTCATGGCGCTCTGCAGAGGTCAGCACACGTGCTCGGACAGTCGAATCGTGGTCATGCACGCAAACGCACCAGATGTTGTCCCAGCTTGATAAAGATACCACCGCACTTTTCCAGCACCCGCAGCGTCCGGTCGGCACACCGCTGGTGGCATACCTTGAGCAGCCTCGTCTTGACCTCGTCGTCGTCCAGCTTGTCGCGCTGCTTCAGCGTCGTGCGATAGCTGTCCTGTCAGCTTTCTCCCACCATATCTTCACCCTACCACCCACTCACTCGTTGATGCACAGCATCAGCGCTGTAGCCACCCGTCCGGCCCGCTCGGCCGTCTCGTAACCCTGCCGGATGTCGTCCGTAAAGGCCAGCACGCCCGTTGCTGCCGCTCCGCCGCTCGCCGTCAGAATAATCGCCCGTCGTCGTCTTCGTGATGATCGCGGCAGTGTCGAGCCAGACGGTGGTGGCGGCGCTGCCGTCCGCGCGCCCAGCCCTGACGACAGCCGGAACGCCCTGCTGCCGGATCGTGCCAGCTGGCTGTTGCGACACCGAGCGCACGCCCATCCTCGGACACCGGGTGTTGGTATCATCGTCCCGGACTGCCGGCCGAAAGCGGCGGCAAAGAAGGAAAACGTCGGCTGCATCTCGGATGCAATTGGCCTGGCACAAGGACAATCAATTGACACAAAATCATCTGAGGACACCTCGATGGACCTTTTTGACTTGGCCGCTCGCTGCCGACCATTCGCCTCTAAGCCTCTTCAGTCTTTTTTTCTTCAGAGAAGCGGGGCCACTGAGGGATGCGATTCGAAACTGCTCCGTATTGTTACGACGTTGTCTGCGCCTGCACGTGACTACGCCACTCTCGCCGACGCGTCGCAAAACGCGTTTCCCCCATTAAGTCGTGCATTCCTTCCCATTCTGTCGCTAGCATCCGTCTTCAGCTCAATCCTGTCTCACAAGCTTTTCCATCTCGCCATCCCACCATCTCGCCCCTTGTCAGAATTGCACAAGTCCTCGCCCTCGACATGTTCGCTGCCGTCATGCTACCGTCCACCTTTGGCGGCAGCGCCTCCCCCATGACACCCTCCGTCATGCCACCATATCGGCCAGCCCGGCCGTCTCCTCTGTCGTCATCGCCCATCCGTGCTGCCTCTCCAACGAAGACGGCCTTTGCTCAGAACATGGACTCATCACCGGTCCTCAGCTCGCCGCCCATGCATGCCTCCTCGCCCATCCGCGCCGCGTCATCGGCGCCGGCCGTTCGGCTCTTCTCCCCCGCAGACACCCAGTCGTCTCCCGTGCAGTCGTCCTCGTCCGCTTCATTAGCATTGGCATCACCATGGCTGTCCGCTGCTACACCACAGCCACTCGGCAAAACCGCCGACAACGCAAAGACGTTCCTTCGCTTTGCATCCCGCCCAGCCAAGGCACCACCTCGCCAGAGCCGTGAGGACACCCGCCAGACTCGACGGTCTCTGTTCCTACGCAATGTACGACAGCGGGCCGGCGATCAGTCTTGGGATCGGCGCAATTGCGAACAGGAGGTAAGAATTGCCCTGTCTGCCCCTCTTCACTTGTACAGATGTCTGACCAATACGATAGATCCAAAAGCTTGAGTGGTGGTCTCTGGAGCGCGAGATTCGACAGGCCAAAGAGGCAGACTCGCTGAGCATGCTCACGGAACACGACTTTGACGACGCTGCTGAATGGACACAGCACCCATCACGTCTGACCTCCTCGTACGTGGACGACGACGATGGCTACGATCACATGGATGACGACGACGACGCAGACGAGCAGATGGCAGAGACCCTGGCCCGGGAAGAAGAGGCCGAGCTGGAGGCCATGATTGCGTCCATGGACGAGACCACGCAGCTGGCATGGGCAGCAGACAGCCAGCAATACCCACAACGACCAGCACGGTCACCATCGCCACATGGGACCAATTTCTCGGACGACGGCGAATACGACGTCCTCTTTGCGGAGCTGCTGTCGGGCCAGACCCAGGCGCCCGCTTCAGAGGATATGGACATGGCTTGAGATGTGAGACGAGAGATGTGAGACGATACTGTCATGCACAACGGAGCAGACAATTGCCATGTGGCGTTTGGTTTGGACTTGGGCTTGGGTAAGGTACATATCATAATATATAACGGGCCTATTTGGCTTTGATTCCCGATGGCTTTACTATGGCTGTGTGATATCATTGGGGGTTGCAACTCTCATCCGGTGGTGCCAGCGGGTCCTGGGCCCCCGGCATGTCGCCGACAAGGTCCGGTGGTGGCGATCCTGCGGCTTGCATCTGCAGGATGTCAGTAGTTGGGTCTCGTCGTCTCGGAGACTGGGCGTCTGTCCTCCGCCACTCACCTTCTGCATCCGGTCGACGATGTACTCGCGGTCGGCCGGGTTGGTGTCTGAGTACGTGGGCAGCTCGAATCGCGCGACAATGTCCCTGACGATGGCCTGCTGCTCCTCGTAGCGTTTGAGGTCAGCGGGCGCCGTGGCCGCCCGGTTCTGCTCCAACCAGGCGGGGAACTTGTCGCTGAGCTCCTTCATCGGCTCGTACAGGATCTCCCGGTTAGTCAGCTCCTCCATCATGCCGACCAGCATCTTGGACAGCTCGTCCTCGTTGGCCCCGCTGCCAAGCCCGCCCGACTGCATCTGCTTCATGAACTCTGTCAGCAGGTCGTCGGCGCTGTTGGTGTCTGCTGTCGCCGCCGCCGTCGCCTGCTCGCCCGAGGCCTGCATCCGCTCCATTGTGCGCCGGATGGTCTCCTGGAAGGACGCTTCTGACGCAGTCGGAGCTGCCTTCGCCTTTGCTTTTGTTTTTGATTTTGTCGCGGCTGCTGTGGCCACGCCAGCCCCTACTATTGCTGCCTCTGTCACGGCGGCTGCCGGGACCGTCTTCTCAGATGGCGCAGGCACTGCTGCTGCTGCTGCTGCTGCTGCTACGTCGTCTTCACCTGAACCTGCTGCCGCTTCGCCCAGCTCCTTGAAGAGGCTATCAAGCTGCGCCTGCATCTCCGGCTGTTGCTGCGTGTCAGCATGCACAGCGGCAACATACAAGACATAAAGGGTCGCTCACCGATGTCTGGATCTCTCCCAACAGGCCGGCCATGCCCGCCTGCAGCTGCTTGGTAAAGTCGTCGTCCTGCAGCATGTCTTGGAGGCTTGGCACGAGATCATCGTCGACCATCGGTTCTGCAGGCCGGCCAGGTGGAGGTGGGACTGCCGGTGTCTTGTGCTCAATCTTGGCTGCGGAGAAGTCGTCGAGCAGGTCTGCCGCCATGTCAGTCCAGTCCGGGCTGTCACCTCTGGGCGAAACCTACCGTCAAGGTCATCGAGGTCGTCCTCATCCGGGTCGGGAAAATCCTCGTCGTCTTCTACCGTCGCTGCAGGAAGCTGGAAGGGTGCCTTCGCGGGTGCTGTCCCGACAGCCGGTACTGTCCTTGCAGCGGCATCACCGACAGGCTGGCTTTCTGCCATGTTTCGCGATTCCTCTCGGTTGGCAGCCAGCACGCCTGGGGGGACGAGTGGCAATAGCGGAAGAACGAGGTTTGGCCGATGACGGAATATCACAAGTGGGAAAATAGCCGCACTTCAGACGAACTGTCGCTCTGGTACTTTTGGCTAGCCTACCAGCAGAAAGGACAGCTGCGAATGCGCTTTGGCAGTCGAGCAGATACGCGCAAGGGTGCGATTTGCAAATCTAAAGGCCGACAGAAGCGAGTGCTGCTGGGACGAATCGGTGCCTGGGACGTTCACTCTTGGGAAGGAGATACCGTTCGACTTGCTTTCACTGGTTCGCATGCGGAGAGAGCCTCCCCGCAAGCATACATATATCGGGCAATACCCCGCAGGCCACGAGTTGCAAGTGATTGGGTGCCCCTAAAGGCCTGGCCTGGCCACTAATCGCACCAGAGCGCCTTGTCGGGGCGTCGCCAGAGCACATGACCTTGTCTTGTCTGCCTGGCCCAGGCGCAACCAAAAAAATAGAGGCAAACCCGACATCGCCGCAAATTCACGAGTCTGCCAGAGAAGACGGTAAAACCCGCAGCTGAGAACTTTGGCGCCCATACTTGTTTCTGCAGTGAGTTTGCTCTGCCCTCCCCCTTTCCGTTGCCGCTGTAAAACGCGCCGTTTTTTGTCTTTTTCGCCACATTCCCCCGGTCTTTTTGTCTGGCTTTCTATCCTCGTCAACCATTTTGACTGCTCTGCTGCTGCTGCTGCTTTCTGACTACTGCGCGTTGCAACAGCCACGGTGCGAACGATAAAAATCTAGCTCTCTTTGCACACAGAACCCGTCCGTGCCGAATTCCGTCGACACTTCGCTCCCCTCTCTCCGCTCTCACCTCTCTGTCACCCTGCGGATCGCTCGAGGAAAACAAACTACACTCGAGACACTGGTCAGGCGGAGGCATACTGAAACTATGTCGCTCTGCCAGAACCGACTCCAGGAGGAACGGTGCGTTGTCCTGCCCCCCTCGTTCGTGGTCACGCGCGTGACACCGACGCCGTCTACCAGTTGCTCATACGGGACGCCTTGATATCTGCAGGAAGCTATGGCGCAAGGACCACCCCTTTGGCTTCTTTGCCAAGCCAGCACGTAACGCACAGGGTCTTCTGGACCTCAAGGTGTGGGAGTGCGGGATACCAGGAAAGGAGAAGACGATGTGGGAAGGCGGCATGTTCAAGCTAACGATGACGTTTCCCGACGGTAAGCATCTGCTTGCCCATCCCCCCCCCATATATCTCAATCTTTCTGACACCCTCATCTCGTGCCGCGGTTGCAGAGTACCCAACAAAACCGCCAAAGTGTGAGTTGTGAATCGTCTCCCCGCCTGCCTCCGAGACTGACTGACCCGCTATCAGGCAAATTCGTGCCTCCACTCTTCCATCCCAACGTGTATCCGTCCGGAACGATCTGCCTGTCGATCCTGAACGAAGACGAGGCGTGGAAGCCGGCGATCACGGTCAAGCAGATCGTGCTGGGCATTCAGGACCTGCTGGACGACCCGAACCCCGAATCGCCCGCCCAGGCCGAGGCGTACAACCTCTTCAAGAAGGACAAGATCGAGTACGAGAGGCGAATCCGACGGGTGGTGCGCGACAACCCGGCGCCATAGAGGCAGACGGGTCGAGGACGGAGCGCGCGTCTTTTTGCCAGACCGGATGGAGTTTGAAGGGACGTTGACATGGGACACGGGTCGGGAGGGTTTAACATAATGTCCAGGATCCGCTTCGCTTCATGCAGACGGACGGTAGCCTGCCGCCTGGCCGGCCGCTTGCTGCATCGAGTTTTGCGTCGGAGTTTACGGAGAGGCAAGTGAAGGGACGGAGGTTGTATACCACATGACTGTTATAGGATTGCGTTTACTCTTCTATGGTGAGCGTAAACCGTAAGGGCGACCGACTTGTCTGTTTTGTCGGTAGTTCACAGATGCCGGAGATAAGTGCGGTTTCAATGGCAGTCCGGTCATTTCCAATCCGAGCGACAGCTCCTTCTCGTTCGGAGCTGTTTTGTTCCTTCTGTTTGGCCCGCCTTCAAATCCTTTTTTTTCCCTGTCCTTTCTTTCTCTTGTTCTACAATCGAAGACGCATTTCGCTCACTTCATGTCGCTCCTCGTTGTGACGCCACGAGTCTCTTGCGCCATTGCCACCGCCACCATCGATGTCTTGTGTCGCTCTAGAGGTGGAATGCGCCGCGGCTCTGTTGCTCGTCGCGCGCTTACATCATCATGGACCGGTCGGACTGCCCTCCCTCTGCTAGCAAGAGAAGGATCAGAAGAGGGTGCTGCCGGTGGCGGATCAGCAGGAAGATCTGGGCGGGCGAGGAGACCGCCGCCACCACCGCCGTTTCCGGTGGTGGACTCGTGTCCGGAAGCAACGTGTACGTGCGAGGCGATGCCAGAGCTGCCGGCCGAGCTGCCAATTGACCACGAGAGCCGGCTCAACGGGCTCATCTCGGCCTACAACGAGCAGGTGATTGTGTGCACGGGCAAAGACGACTGGCCGTCGCGCATCGAGGACGACAACAGCGGCGACAATCTGGCGGCCGACCTGAAGGAGCTCTTTGGGCGGGGAGGAAAGTACAGTGATGTGAGTTTCTTCAGCCTGTTTCGACCTTTTCTCATCCTGACAGCCAGCCGTTTCACAACGTCTCCGTGCTGAACGCCTCGTTTGCGCCGTCGGTGCCGCTCGGCCGTCCGGAACTGCAGACGTCGTCGGCTTACCTGCTGCCCAGCTTTCGGTATGTGCCCTTTCTGCCGCGCGTCTCGTTTGATAGCGTCGACGCCCTGGCCAAAGGTTATTTGTTGCCCGAGCATCTGCACTCAGCCCACGCCGGCTTGCTCTCGCCTGTGCACCGTGACCGCCTGACGCGCCAGCCGGCTTACCGTCGTCTACTCTGGGGGGTCCGCGACCGCGTCGACGACGTGCTCGTGCTTGTCTGCGGCCACGGCGGCCGTGATGCTCGCTGTGGTCTCGTCGGCCCAGTGCTGCGCTCCGAATTTGAGCGCCAGCTGGCTCGCGTCGACATCACTCCGCTGCATGGACCCGTCGCCATCCCGGAAGAGGAGATGGCCGCGGCCACGGCAAACGCTTGGTCAACATCGCCGTCGTCAGAACAGAAAAAAGCCCTCGACGCACCCTTGGACGACAGCAGCAGTACCAGCAGCCGCTCAGCCTCGATCATCGCCTCCACAACGGCAAAATCACGAACCGCCCGGGTCGGTCTCATCAGTCACATCGGCGGACACAAGTTTGCCGGCAACGTCATCATCTACCTACCGCCTTCACTGCGCGCTCTCGACGGCTTCACGCCACACCCGCTGGCCGGCTACGGCGTTTGGTACGGCCGGGTTGAGCCCAAACATGTTGAGGGCCTCGTGCTCGAGACCATCCTTCGTGGCAACGTGGTCACAGATCACTTCCGCGGCGCCATCAACAGCAACCGGGACATCATCCGCTTATAGGGACTGGAGGAATGCAGTCAATGGCTGCAGGGCGTCTCTCATCAATTAAGCATCTATATAAACAAAGAACGCGCACGTTTCTATCCTACGTGCACTTACAGATATGGTATAAGCCAATTCATACCGGCGAAAGAATACAGCTGAAAAGCAAATGGCCACCGTTCTCTCCTCCTGTTCGATCTTCTCTTCTTGTCTCAGTCTCTCAAACACACATGGTGACCGTCCCGAATGCGCGGTCCTCACTGCCGCCAGTTCTTCCAGAACTGCCACCATGGATGTGACGATGCCGAGTCGCTGTCACCGTGGCTCAGCTCGCGCTTGATGCCGTGGCTCTGCTTGCGGAAGCGCCAGAAGTAGACGGGTATGCCGGCGACGGTAAAGGCGATGACGATGACCGTCTGCAGTGGCTGGGCAAAGACGGCACGACTCAACAGGAACAGGCTAACACAACAGAAGATTATGGGCGTGGAGATCCAGGCCTTGTAGGGCCGCTCTAGGTCGGGCTCTTTGACGCGCAGGATGATGAGGCTGAGGACGGTGAGGAAGTAAAAGGTGTAGCCGGCAACGCCGTAAAAGGTCAGCAGGGTACCGAACTCGCCAACCATGACGTAGATGCTGGTGAGTACGCAGTTGAGCACGAGTGCGTAGATGGGTGTGAAGAAGAGACCGGTGTCCTCGTCGGCAAGAAGACGCTCCAGCCGGGTCCGGAGCCAGCTACCGCAACCCTGAGATGCGTCCAGTCGCGACGGCGGCTGCTGCATGCGGCCACCACCGATGGCGCCGGCAGAGGCGCCGGCAAGGCCGATGCGGCCAAAGATGGCGGGAAAGTAGCCCTCGCGACCGGCGACGTAGACGAGCCGACTGCTTGTGAAAGAAGAGCTGTTGAGGGCACCGAAGCAGGAGGCACTGACGATGAGAGCAAAGACGAGGGAACCGGCCGGGCCAAAGACCTTTGCGCCAAACACGACAGCCACAGTGTTGGTGGAGTTGATGGCGTCCAGCGACAGGACGAGGAAATAGGCTACATTGGCCAGGACGTAGGAGATGATGACGAGTGGCATGGCGGTATGGATGACGCGAGGAAGATCACGGCGGGGATTGCGAAACTCGCCGACGACATAGTTGGTGTTGTCCCAGCCATCGTAGGCCCAGAGGCCAGCATAGAGGGCGAGGGCCCAGGCTGACGCATCGAGCTTGGTGTCGGCAAACCACTTGTGCGTCTTCCATTCGATATCGGGATGGCCGGAGTAGGAGTAGCCGGTGGCAGCGACGACGATGCCGGTGACGGTGACGCCGAGGAGGGCTACAAACTTGAGGAACATGAGTCCGTCGTTGACACGGGTGCCAAGACGGGTGGAGACGCAGTTCATAAAGGTGACGAGGAGGAGGCCGAGAAGGGCAACAGACTTGTTGATCCAGGGACTGGTGGCCTGGGCCTCCGCGCCGACGACGGCACGGACAAGGTACTCGCCCATGATGATGGCGATGATGGCAGCGCCGCCGGGCTTGAGGACGAGCACGGCGACCCAGGTGAAGAGGAAGCCGAAGAGCTCGCCTAGAATCTTGGCGAGATAAGCCTGGGAGCCGCCGTTGAGGGGGATAGCGCCGCCGAGTTCAGCATAGCTGCTGGCGCCGGTCCAGGCGAGCACGCCGGCGATGACCCAGACGATAAGGGCAGCACCGGGCGAGCCGACGTTGGTGTTGACGAGACTGGGCGAGGAGAAGATGCCGGAACCGATGATGATGCCGATGACAAGCGATAGCCCGTTTAGGAAGGTGAGCGTTTTGTGGCGCTCCAGCGATCCAGCGCCCAGAAGCCCGCCACCGCTGCCGCCACCGCTGCCAAGACCGCCGAGGCCACCGCGCGCATGGCCAGCCGATGAGGCCGACGCAGACATGCCGATAGGCGCGTAGCCGCCACCGATGCCGGCAGCTGAGGACGAGAGCGGGAACAGATTGGCGGCGAGGTCGAAGCTGGACGACACGGAAAGATTGCGGTTGCGTCTGCCAGAGGTCGGGACCGTGGTGGAAGCCGATGCGCCGCGATCGTTGCGCTCAGGCGACATCTTGTGCGAAGAGGACGAGGACGAGAGGCTCTGGCGCGAAGAGGCTTCGGCCTCGCTGTCGGAAGCGGCGGCTTCGTCCAGCTGGCTGGAGCTGGCCAACGACGCGAGCTCGAGCGAGTCGCGCACGTGTGCCGGCAGGCTCATGTACGGCGACGGCATTGTGATTGTATCGGGGGAGAGAGGAGACGAGAGGAGGCGAGAGGAGGCGAGAGGAGAGAGAAGAGGAAGCAGACGGAAGCGTTGCTATGGCTTGGAGAATTGCGAAATCCGTCGGAAAAAGGGAGCCCTCAGGGAGCGTCCATGGGCGGGGGCTGCCGCAGGAGGAGGGTTGCAGCCAGTAGGCACGAATAGTCAAGAGGCTGTGTGTCGAATGCAGCCGTCGAAAAGGTCGTCGAGGGCGTCAAGAGTCGTCAAGAGTCGTCTCAGAAAGGGGTCGAAATTGTCGTGAAGAACAGATCAACGGGCGAGAGAGAGGGCGAAAAAGGCAAAAGAACAAAGAATGCTAACATGCACGAGACTAGAACGAGCCGGAAAGAGAACACCGGAAAAAAAATGCAGTGAGAGAGGGCGGCCAGGGCGAGATGAGTTCGCGGTTGGGAGAGCAGGCAGAAAGGGAAATGCTTTCTTGCATTGATGCTTCCGGAAAAACTCTTCGATCCACGCCAACAGCTGTCCAGCGGTGGCTAGCGCCTGTCAACGCCGCTATAGGGGGGGTGGGAGGGAAGCTTAATTGTTTATCTACGGAGTAGGGAGATGAGGTCGGGGGTCTGTGTGCTGAAAGGAGTGCTAAATAAAGCACGCTTCATTTCTTGGGGGGTCCCATGCTTATCGCTGATAAGAGCAAAATTTGGCTGTCGGGAAGGCACGACTGGACCACGTGAAGATACCGGCTTCTTCCACATCATCAGAACGTTTGGAACATGTGCACAGCATGATTGTGTCCAATGGGAGACTCATCGGCCGCTGTCTGTCGGTGCGGGGCGTGTCGTCGACGGCGAGCAGGAGTACCGTGTTGTTGAGGGTGGCGGGTGCTGCTGTGCCGCCATCGCTGCGGGCTGGACGCCGTCTGCTGGCACGCGGATACGCCAGCGTGGAAACGGAGCCGAACCGGCGATTGGACCTCCTGGCGCTGGATCAGAAGTGGCGGGACCGGTGGGCGGCGGTGGCAGATGAGAAAACGGCTGCTGCTGCGGCTGTGCCTGGTCCATCCAAGTACGTCCTGCCCATGTTTCCCTATCCGTCAGGCAACCTGCACCTGGGTCACCTGCGGGTGTACACGATCGCGGATGCGATCGCACGATTCCATCGGCTGCAGGGCTGCGACGTGCTGCTGCCCATGGGCTTCGACTCATTTGGGCTGCCGGCCGAGAACGCGGCCCTGCAGCGGGGGATCCAGCCGGCCGCCTGGACGCGGGCCAACATTGCCAACATGAAGGCGCAGCTGGGCGTGATGAACGGCAGCTTTGACTGGTCGAGGGTGAGCTTGTCGGGTCCTCCATCTCGTCGGACTGGATGCCGTTCTGACCTCTCCAGGAACTGTCCACGTGCGAGCCCGAGTTCTACAAACACACGCAGCACATCTTCCTGATGCTGCATCAGCAGGGCCTCGCGTACCAGGCCGAGGCCGAGGTGAACTACGACCCCGTCGACCAGACCGTGCTGGCGAACGAGCAGGTTGATGCGCACGGCCGGTCATGGCGCTCGGGCGCCCTCGTCGAGAAGCGCCAGCTGCGCCAGTGGTTCCTGCGCACCTCCGCCTTCCGCGACGCCCTGCTGGACGACCTGGACGTACTGGCACGCGACGGCGCCTGGCCCGAACGCGTGCTGACTATGCAGCGCAACTGGCTGGGCCGGTCCAAGGGCGCGCTCGTGCAGTTTCCCGTCATGGGCGGAGGAGGCAGAGAGAGGCGGACGATCAACGTCTTTACCACCCGCATCGATACCCTGATGGGCGTGCAGTACGTCGCGCTGGCCGCAGCACACCCGCTGGTGCAGGAGCTTGCCGCGACCGACGCCCACCTGCAGGCCTTTCTCGACACGCTGCCAAGCCTGCCGGCCGATTCCAAGGCGGGTTTCGAGCTGACCGGTTTGCGGGCCATCAACCCGCTCGCGTTCCACGACCAGACGCCGGCGGCCACCAAGGCGTCGCTGCCGGTGTTTGTGGCACCGTACGTGCTGGGCGACTACGGCGAGGGTGCTGTGATGGGCGTGCCGGGTCACGACGAGCGCGACCACGCGTTCTGGAAGCAGCACCGGGGCGACGAAGCCGTGCGGACAGTAATTGCGGAAAAGGCCAAGAAGGCCGAGACGTCCGAAAATGCCGAAACATCCGAAAATGCCGAGCCCACCCCCTACCTCGGCCACGGCGTCATGACCGAGCATAGCGGCCCCTTCTGCGGCCGACCATCACAAGACGCGGCCGTCACGCTGCTGGCGATGCTGCAGGCGGCCGGGCTGGCTGAGCCGGCCGAGCGCTGGCGGCTGCGCGACTGGCTTGTCAGCCGGCAGCGCTACTGGGGCGCACCCATCCCGATTGTGCACTGCGACGACTGCGGCGCCGTTCCGGTGCCCGTGGCTGATCTGCCGGTGCTTCTGCCCGACGTCGACGATCACTTCTCGGCCAAGAGGCCGGGCAACCCGCTGGCCGGCGCCGCTGCCGACGACTGGGCCAACGTCGCCTGTCCAAAGTGTCGCCGGCCAGCTCGTCGCGAGACCGACACCATGGACACCTTTGTCGACTCCAGCTGGTATTACATGCGCTTTGTCGACCCTCACAACGCCGACGCACCCTTTGCGCCCGCCACCGCCGCTGTCCGTCTGCCTGTCGACATCTACATTGGCGGCATCGAGCACGCCATCCTGCACCTGCTGTACGCCCGCTTCATCTACAAGGCCCTGATGGCATCGCCGCTGGCAGAAACGGCAGACGGGCCACACGAGCCCTTTACCCGTCTCATCACCCAGGGCATGGTCCACGGCAAGACCTTTGTCGACCCAGCCACCGGCCGCTTCCTGCCGCCCAACCAGGTCGACGTGACCACCAACCCGGGCGCGCCGCGCTGCTCAGCTACCGGGGCCGCCGTCGCCGTCTCATACGAAAAGATGAGCAAGTCCAAGCACAACGGCATCGACCCGACCGACTTTATCCGGACGCATGGCGCCGATGCCACCCGCGCCCACGTGCTCTTCCAAGCCCCCGTGGCCGACGTGCTGAGCTGGGATGATGACAAGGTGACCGGCATCACCCGCTGGCTGGCCCGGTTGTACGATGTTGTCATCAAGGCAAGACGTGCTGCAGCGGACAGCGCCCCGGTCACGTGTGAACACGTGACCAAAGACCTTCTTCGCCGCTCAGACGCGCTCGCCACGACGACGACGACGACGACACAAAACCCCGATGCGCTCGCTCGCTGGGACGCTGACTCGGCCGTGTGGCGCGACCTACAGGCTACCATCAGCTCGGTCACAGCCTCGTACGAGCGCGTATACTCGCTCAACACGGTCGTGTCCGACCTCATGCGCCTGACCAACAGCCTGGCCGCCCACGAGGACGTCGCCTCGCCGTCGGTCCTGCACCACGCGCTGTCCGGCCTCGTGCGTATGCTGGCCCCTGTCGCGCCCGCCTTTGCCGAAGAGTGCTGGAGCGTGTTGGAGCCGGCTGAGAGTTCGCTCTTTGGCCGGCCCGCTGCTGAGTCATCCATATTTCCCACTCTCGACGGCTCGCTCGCTTGGTTGCAGCCGCGGCTGCTGAACTGCGCCGTCCAGATCGACGGGAAGCTGCGCTGCGCCGTTGCCATTCCCCGCCCGCCGACCGCCCTCGCTGGCGACGCCCTGCGCGACTGGCTCGTCGCCGCCATCCTGCAGACGGACGAAGGCAAGGCCAAGCTGGCCGGCGGCAGCGGTAGCGGAAATCAAAGCCGAGGCAAAAACAGCAGTCGCGACATCCGCCAGGCCAAAAAGGCCATTGTTGTCCGGGACGGAAAGCTGGTCAACTTCATGTTCTAGACACGGACGTAGTAGTATGCATATAGATGTACATCTAGAAACCACTGTAATATAGGATACACTCAGACACTCTTACACTCGTCTGCGCACAAACACAGACCGGCCATGGCCGCTGCCGCGAACTAGAACCGATCGGCCGACCACGTTGACAGTGCGGCGCTCGTTTGTTCCTGGAATGTCCGGACAGTCTGCCCAGATCTCCACGTCGGCCACGGGCCCGCCTCGGCCAGCCAGGACCGCCTCGACCACGCGCTGCGCCTGGTCCAGGCCGCCGACTTCGAGCAGCACGGAGCGTGGGTCGAGGCGGACGGCGAGGTCCAGCAGCCGGCCATAAAAGATATCCTCATGGTGGTCTTCTCGCTCGTCCCTCTCGTCCGTCGCCAACGGCACCTGCGCCAACTTCGGCTCAAAGAGACGCACTGAACGAGCTGTCTCGTGAGCGAACCCGTCTCGCGAGACGTATGGCGGGTTGCAGACAAGCACGTCGATCCGGCCGTCCGCAGCGTTGCTGGCCAGGTGCAGCCAGTCGTCGGCGAACACGTCGGCGCGGTGGAAGCTGACCGAGCTACTGTCAGTTCCGTCGCGATCCGATGGAAAGCCGAGTCGTCTGCGGTTGGCCCGCGCCAGAGCTACGGCTGCCGGAGACACATCGATGCCAACGACGCGCAGATGCTGCTGCTGCCTCAGTCGCTCGTACAGCAAGAGGGCGATGCAGCCGGTGCCCGTGCAGACGTCCAGGATGGTCGATACCGGCCCAATCTCCGGCCGCATCAGCCAATCGGCCAGAAAGAGGCTGTAGGCCTCAGGCTCGGGTCTCGGAATCAGCACGCCGCGACGGCAGAGCAGGTCCAGCGGCCCAAACGGCTGCGTGCCCAACACGTACTGCAGCGGCTCGCCGCGGCCGCGTCGCCGGCAGAGACGCTGCACGATTGCCCGGCGTGGCTGCCCGCCATCCGCCCTCGACACGGCGACATGCTGTCGGATCCAGCGAAGCTCTGCCAGCGACGACGGCAGGTCGCGGCAGGCGGGCAGCAGCAGCGTGGCACAGGGCGAGATGTGGCGGGCGCGCCAGAAGATGGACGGCGCAATCCGGGGCATGAGCCTGGTGCCTCTCACTCGTGCCTGTTGTCTTGTTGCAGCTGATCACAGCTCGATTCGGTCTACCCAGAAGAATCCCATTCGTCGACTCCAAACGGAGTTCTGCGTAAGGCTGAAACGGGCAGGTACGGGTCTGGACAACAGCCAGCCAATCACAAGGGGCCTTCTGGCCACTTTCCGCATGCACATCCTTCCATCCATGCGATGACTGACCGACCCCCTGGAAAGGAATCGTACAGCCGGCCCCTAAATGGCACCCGTAAGCCCGCTAACTGTGCTATATTTACCCAGCTCGCAAAGGCTATTCCAGGGGAAAGCGCCCCGAGACAGCCCCGTAATATCCGTGCTAGCCGCGTCGGCGCAGTGCTCAGCCGCGCAGATAGAAAAGTACAGGTGGGGGGCACCAGTCCCAATACCACCAAGGGCTTGATCGCAGACTCTACGTCGTAGGCGAATTGCCCAGAGAAGTTCGTGTTAATTCCTCGTAAGACCCGCGTAACAGGACTCGTAACGACACACCGTCGCAAGTGGGCCCTCAGGAACCTTGCTGGCTGCCTCCTTCTTGTTTCGTCAACAGGCCCCAGGAGTGGTCGAATACGACTCTTAATATCTGTTACTTCGCCCACTAAATAACCACCCATCGCCCAAGACGCCAACTCTGCAAGCTTAATCAACCAAAAGTCTTGGCAGCTCAGCCACAGTGCCAAGCTAGAAAAAAAGGGAAAAAAAGAAAGCTCCAATACGACGACGGCCATCACAAGCATCTCGGCGAGCACAGCCACATGAAACAGCGACCGGCTCGACTTGACCCCGACGACGACACCACCCGTACAACGACGACATTACGATAAACGACCCAGCACAACGGCTCGGTCAGCAGGTCGCCAACCAGGAGCCCCACGACAGCAAACGGCGCTCCCACTTCCAAGCCCGAAATAGCATGTTGGTCCGAAGCAGCCTCTCCATTCCGTCAGCCCGCTTGCAAAGCCGGTAGACAGACGTGGAAGACGAGCTGGGCCTTTGCCTCTCGAACTCGCATCTGTCCCGAGTCCCATCCTCGAGCCCGTCTGCCTGTACTGCCTCCGTCTCCTCGCCCTCTCTCCTTCGCCCCCTCTGCTTCGCCCCCTCCGTTCTCCCGCTCTTCCCTACCAACTCTTTTTCGGCCCGCAATGGCCGACACCATCAGCAGAAGCGACACCGTCGGCTCTCTGCTGGCCCACATTGCCACTGCCCTGCAGGACGCTCTGCGCATACTCATGTTTGCCGACAAACGAAGCTGGGGCCGTGGCGAGTTCGAACAGGTGCGCGTCCTCGAGGAGACCCTGGCCGAAGCCAAGCGCGACTTCCAGGCCATGGCGCCGCTCGTGAATGGCCAGTTCTATTACGAAAACGACAGGAGGAGTACGTCTGTCTGGATTGGTCTCCGTGTCTTGCCGCGGCTTGCCGCTGCCTCCTGTTCCATTCTGTCTTTCTGCTTGCTGACGGCTGCTGCTTCTTCCTCTCCTTAGCCGAATCCATAAGAGAGCTCCGAGCTCTGCGCGCACAATTCGACCGCCACGCCCAGACATTCAAGGACTGGCTCCGTACTGGCGGACCTGTCAGTCCACTATGGGCTCGCGAGACAGTGGATCTGGGTCGCCAACTGCACCGCGCGCAGTGCCGAGCCGCCCGCCGCATCTACAACGCCGAGCATGAGGATGGCGGCAGTGGTGCGCGCTGTCTGGGTGCTTTTCTGGTGTACCGCCGCCTGCGCGAACAGGAGGAACGCCGGACGCGGACGCGCAGCCGCCCACCCCTCGAGCGGGTTCCTACCTGGAAGCGTCAGCAGATGCAAATGCAGAAGCGCGAAGAGCAGCGATACGCCGGCCGTGAGCAGCTGAGCCGCGCCAGCAGCCAAGACGACGGCGATATCGAGCTGTCCGGACTTCCGCCACTGGATCCGGAGATGGACGCAAAAAAGGCGACATCTACGATCGTCGCGGAAGAGACGGCAGGCTCATCGTCGTCGTCGTCGCCGTCACCATACGGCACAAAGCCAAGGCTCAGCCTCGAAGACCTCGTGCCCGACTGCAATGCTGTCGGCACCTTTGAGCGCTTTGGCGACCAGGATGTCGTCTTTATCTGCGACTTCTGCGACGGCCACATCGTCTGGGAAGATGTCCACCGCCTGCCACATACGCGAACAAATGCCTTGTCGTATTCGGCCGATCCCTTGTCACCGTCGGAATCGGAACCACGGCTTCCCTTCACAACCCAGGACACACAGCGGCCTCCAGTAGCAGCGCCACCAAGCCCTCGCGGCCCAGACGACTACCCCCGCTGGCAGGCCACGGCCATGGCCTTGTCCAATAGAGACAAGGAGCGGACGATCGTCTTTCCCCCGTTGGCAATCGCCAACCATCTCCCACCCACAGGCGGCGACTGGGAGGCGCGGCTATGGTGCCCCTACTGCGACGAGTACATGTACTACGACAGTGCCGAGGGCGACAACACCAAGTACGCTCAGGGCGAGTTTGGCTTTCTCAGCCTCAACGCTTTCCAGGAGCATCTGGAGTGGTATCACACGGCGCTCCCGATCCCAGCCCTTCCCGTGTCCTCGAACAGCTGCGCGGTGATGTAGCGGACAAGAACATGGGGGCGTTGTAAGAATGATGTTACCAAGAGTAGCCATGACAGCGGGTGCAGGTGTTTGGGATTATCATGTGAGCGCGGCGTTGCTTCTTTGTTTGGCCTTTTGCTTCAGACACCCTTTTGCATATTTGACGGCGTTGGGCATTACCCATTTTACGGCACAATTCATCTGGGAAGTGGGGACGAGGACATCGTCAATTACGGGCCACCGCTAGACGAATACATCCTGCGTGCAACGTTAACAGTAGTAGTGGCCATGATGCCATGCATAAACGGATATTTTCCCGACTGCCTGACTGCCCGTACAAGTACTGCACAGATACAGACCAGTGGCCCTTTTGACACAGCCTGATTCCATCAAAACAAGTCTAGCCCACCGAGCTTGCCGACGACCCAAAACGCCATGTGCTAATATGAGAGAGAGGGGTTGCGAGCGTGGGTGTCCGCTCAGAAGAAGCGCCACCAGAGGAAGAAGAGGATGAAGAAGAAAAGGCCGGCAAAGGGGCCGTACTGCTTGAGCAGGAGGTCCCAGTTGATCTTGACGGCCGCGCGGCGGTACTTTTTGCTATCGTCGCGCAGACGGCTGCTGAGCTCGCCCATGCGCTCGAGGCTGTCGCCGCGGTACAGCAGGTCCTCGATGTTCTTGGTCATGACCTGGGTGACGTCGCGCAGCTCGTCGTTGAGCTTGTCAAGGTTCTGCGACGCGCGCGCGTCGCTGTACGTCTGCTTGGTGCGGCCGATGAACGTGTCAAACTCCATAAAGGCGTACGGCCGCAGTGTTGGGCTGATGCGCTGAGCGGCCGGGTATGTTGTCGCGAACTCGGCCGCGATGTCGGCCAGGTACGTGAACGCGAGCTTGCGCGGATACGCCCGGTCGCAGATGCAAAAGTACACCACCTCGTCCTGGATCAGGTAGTGGATCACGAGGTTGGCCGCCGCCTCGATCGACGCCTGCGGCTCCGCGTTGCGGTTGAGCCGCCGCAGGATCAGCTTGACCTGCGACTTGACCTCGGTAAGCGACGACTCCGTGGCATCGTCGTCGACCGACGCGCAGAGCATGAGCCCGTCGAGCCGGGCGATCTGCGTCGAGTGGATCATGGCGGTCGTGTCCGGCTCGGAATCGGTATGGAGTAGCTGGTAGCTGTCGGAATCGGTGACGTGGCTACAAAGGATCGGATGCCTTTCTTTGCGATCCGGTCGGGTGGGAAGATCAGCACGGTCTCGGCAGATCCTCGCTCTGCCTGGCTTCCTGCTCTTCTTGATATTCGGTTGCCGGGGAACGCGGCGCCAGTCGCTAGAGTCGGGTCGTTGATGCGGTGTCTTTGCCCCTTTTTGTTCCTTTGGCCGGTAGCTTCCAGTACTGTTGAGACTACTTGGTGATTGCCAGCGGAAAATATAGGCCTCGCTCCACTCCTCTTCGCAAGGCTGGCCAATCACGCCGCACCAGCACACCAGGCCACCTGTGGCTCCCTGTGGCTCATGGTACTCGCTGTAATAGCCTGGAAATGGCCTGCAATGTGACGGCATCAGCCTCGCGCCCTGGCAGATAGCTCCGATAAGATACCGATCTCCACGGGAGCCCATCAAAATACGAAGACCCAGCCGTACTCCGTACGCAACAACGGCTTCGCCATCTGACCACGCCGAAAGAGACGCCTCAGTATCTTGGATCAGCTTCTGCCTCTGGTCTGCATCGCGGCCTTGTCCATTTTCCTCCCCTTTCGGCCCTTCTAACGGCCATGTCAGCGTGAGAAAGCCCAGGCATCCTCCGATTTTTCTCACTAATGCTCATTTCCCATTCACTTTCGCCTCTCTTTCCACTGTTTGGCAATCTCAGCAAGGCCACGCCATGACATAGGGGAAGCCTCCCACCATTACCAAAAGTGCCTAAATCCAAGATGGAATTGCCGTTCACTGTGGTTGCTAGCGATGCTGCGCCTGCTCCTGGATCCGACTGCTCTTCTCCGCTATCTTCGCCCCCATCGTCTAGCCTGTTTATTGATTTCACTGATGATGTTTGTCTCCGGTCACCATCACCAGTCCATTCCTCTCCACAAAGAGCCTCAAGCTGCCATGATGACGTCCGGGCTTCCCCTCTCATCTCGCGTACAACACCTGCTGCCTACCAAGCGGAAGCAACACATGTTTCAACTGTGCCCGAAGCTTCGGAGGCCTCAGTAGAATTCAAGCTGGTAACTGGGCCGAGCACGCCAATCAGATCGCGGAGGTTTGTTGATCTTATAAATAATGAGACGACAACCCCGTCCCCGTCCAGAAATGCGCGGCCGAGGGCAGATGCTCAAGAAGAAGATGAGCTCAACGGAGGAGGCAAGTAACCACAATGCCGACAGCGAAATCTCTAGAGGTGGACGAGCCTAACTATCTTCTCAGTGGCATCCACGCCTCAGGTCGCCATCACCCGTTCTGGGAGAAAAGTGACACAGAAGCGATTGGCGCCAATCGCCATAGAGACAAGGCCAATCAAAGGATCTCCGTCGGAAACGGCGGTCGTCAAACGGCGCAAGCGAGAGGCTGCAAAGTGGCAGACAGACTTTGTTTTGTCGAGCGCAAAATCACCTCTTGGAAATTATGATATCCGGGTGAGTTCGGTGCATGCGCAACACGACAGTACCCCGAACCGAAATTAACGGCTTATTTCAGGCTCTACTATGCAACCCTAAGGCGTGGGAGGTGTTGAGCAAGGAGGAGCAAGCGGAGGTGCTGTCTCTCTTCCCCAGTAACCAACACATTATCGACCCGGATAGCGACCAGGCACGGCCTGACATTGCATCGTTGAGGAATGATGACAACTTCAGACATGACTGTGCCCGATACCAGACCGATCTACAAGGGGGCTTTCATGACAAAGCATGGCTGGCAGAAGCTTTCGAGGCCTACGAGATGCGCAAGAACGGCCATTTTGAGAATTACATCATCGATACGTTTGAGAGCGACTGGAATATTCGGCTTCCTGATGAGCACAAGCCGGACTACATGCGTGTTGCCGCTGGCAGTGATGTCGAAGCCGAGCAGCCAAACGACAGTCTTTCAGAGAGAACTGACCCAATCGGGACGGCTGATGCGAAAGAGAATGGAGCCAACGGCGAGATGAAGGATATACAATCCGATACAGGAAAAAACGGTGCAGTCAAAGTCGAAAATGGGATGGAGAGCGAGGTATATCAGAAGGATGAAACTGAAAAGGACGACACGGAAGAAACGTATGTCCACTCGGAATTTGTTGTAATGGCTTTGACACCGGATATTGTAGCACGAGAGTCTGGAAGCACAGCGACAGAGGCGGGCAAAGTATGCTAAAACAAGTAAAAAACCATCAGAGCGGCTATGTTAACAGTTACGACTTACGATGATTTTCAAGAAACACTGGAACAGGATAAAGCTAGCAGAGCTATAGTGATGCGGTTTTCATGACCAACATCACAGCTTAGACCTAAAATCACAATTGCCATCAATAAAAGCAAGGCCTCTCACAGTCGCCTTTTTGTGCCCTTGCAGAGCAGAAAGGGAAACGTGAGGGTGTCTCCTCCGTTCTCTGGCTTGCCATTTGCAAACTGGCCCGGGAAATGCTCGACCATCTTGTCCATGGTCCATTCCGGCTTCACGACCACGTCTTCGAACCCGGAGTTCCTCATCTGGCGGGCAAACAGGGCAGCGTTGATGCCGTGATGCTCGACACCAGCCATCCTGTCTTCTGGATGGAAGCGTCGGGCCTCTGGTCCAAAGTCCTCAAAGTCGGTCAGGGCAACCTGGCCACCCGGCTTGAGACAGCCGTGAAGCGTTTTCAGCAGGGCTGCATGATCGGGGATGTGGTGAAGAACCAGATGGCTCGTGATGAGGTCAAACTTGCGGCGAGGACCCGCGGAACCAGAGCCAGTCACTGTTTCCACTGCTGGCGGCAGAACTGGGTCTTCTGGATCCTCCAGAATGGCACACAGCGACGAAATGTTGGCAGCTTCGGGCGTTTCGGCCAGTCGCTGCCTCAAAACATCAATCATGCCCTGTGCTGCATCCACGGCGACGATTGAGCGCACGTACGGCGCCATCTGCAGGGCGAGCAGGCCAGTGCCGCAGCCAATTTCGAGCACGTCAATCCCATTCGTCGCCGCCGTCCCGTGCGCCTTGGCCTCGTCAAGATCAGGCCGGAGCGCGAGGATGGCCGCAAAGGCGAGACCAGCGCCGCGCACCACGTCGGGCTTCTCGTTCCATGTGGCCGCCTCACTGTTGAACCGCTCGTTTCCTGCAGACATGGTGGAATGTAGGAAGCCTGCCAAAAATGCCTGTTCAGATAGGTTCGAGATCCTTGATGCGCACTGCGGCGGAGAAAGCCACACGTGATCAACTGAAGATAGTGGGATATTGCGCTGAGGCAGCACTAGCTGACTATTCGACGCCTGTAAAGGCCCAAAAATACATAGACGAGAAAATCTTTTGACTGTGAGCGAGCATCTTCGGACACAGCACGACAATCCGGCATACGTCCTCGTATCTCTATCTTTATGGTGGATTGTCCTTTCAGGGGCCCATAGCAGAAGTGAGCCTCCACCATTGATCCGCCTGCTTGCTATGGCTTCGACGAAATCGTATACGCAGTCTGCGTACAGCGTCCTTCTGCTGCAGAAGCTTCTCAGTCTGCGCGATGGCATCAGCCCTCTCACCCTTGTTCTGGACACGCTGCAGGAGCCTGGCACAATCGTTTTGGAAGAATTCATGCTGCGGGCCAAGGTTGGTATACCACGACTGTCGGCCAAGTTATAGACTATTTGCGTGTCCTGCTTTCTGACCATTGGCCTCTGTCCATGTCCTTGCAGGCTGCTGGAACCCGCGTCGTCTATGCATCCAGCTTTATTGCCGGCCCACGCCGGTCTCCTCACATCGACGTCCTCGTGGAGCGGAGGAGGAAATCGTTGCAGGAGTTCCGTGACGACATCATAGCAAAGTGCCAGCCACCACCCCAGGAGAAACTGCCTAAAAACAGCCCACCACAGAGTAAGCATGATAGCAGGGAGACCAGTGCTGACTGCCCTGCTGACACGCCGTTCCTCCAGAGACGCTCGTCGTGGTCGACTCGCTGTGCCAGATCGCCCAGCAGGATCCGCTGTTTGTGGCGGCCTTTGTGTCGAGCCTTGTCTCGCCTACGGCCTCGGTGCTCAGCCTGTACCACGCCGACGAGGACCCAGCATCCGAGGCGGCTGCTCAGGCTCAGGGAGGCCAGGGATGGCTCACGTTTGGCAAGCCGCCACCGCTCAAGGTGCTCTGCCACCTGGCCACAGCCATTATCCGCGTGCAGGCGCTGCACGAGGAGGTGGCTCGAAAGCGCGCGCGCGACCGCTGTGAGGAGGAGCCGCGCTTCGGTTGGGCCGAGGGCGAGGGAGCCCTCTTTGGCTACACAAACAGCCGCTACAACAAGCACGACGTCCTGGTCGGCACCCTCTACACCGACAGCGTCCTTGTCGACATGGAGCTGCGGCGGCGCAGCGGTCGCGCCGTCGTCGAGCGCTTTGTCGTGACCTGGGGACAGCCGACACAGCCTGCTTTGGCGGAACCGAAGCGGACTCGGACTCAGAGCCGCTCGTCGATGCCGTGGGACCTCGGTGCTGTGCCGTGCACCAACATCACCGTCATGACCGAACATGCGCTGTTTGCTGCACCGCCCGATCCCGGCGCCGGGACCACTGCGGCGGACGGGGACGATGATGAGGCGCTGCCCGAGACTACTTTCAGCCTCGGCCTGACCGAGAAGCAGAGACGTGACAGAGAGGGCATCGTGCTGCCCTATTTCGACGCTCAGACGGATATTGGCTCTGGCGAAGGTGGCAGAATCCTGTACGAGATGGGCCGGGAAGATGACTTTGATGACGAGGAGGATGAGATATGAGAGCCAACTGGCCAGGAGCCATGCTTTCTACACATTGCGCTTGCCAGCTGAGGCTCGTAAAGTAGTTCCACATATACCACCAAATAGAGTTGCTTGATGCATAGTAACTAACAAGTGAAACAGGCGGTGTAGAACGGCAGAATGGCTGCGGGCACCACTAAAAGTATAGCGCAGATTCGACGTTCTTTGGACCTCGACGACAACTTCTACCTCAGGGAGCCGAAAAGCGGTTGACGGAACAGCCAGACCACATATCGCAATGGCCGATTCGGGCTACAAGAGGTCTTCGCGGCGACAAGATGGCGACCGTCCGCAGCAGTGGGATGATAGAGACCGCCGAAATCGTGGTCGCGGTGGAAGAGAGCGCGATCACGACAGAGAACGAGACAGGGATCGAGGACAAGATCGGGGACAGGAGCGAGACCGGGACCGGGACAGGGACAGAGACAGAGACTGGGCCAGAGACAGAGACCGGGACAGGGAGCGAAATCGCGATCGCGGAAACCGGAACCGAGAGCGGGACTCGGATCGTGACCGCGACCGTGATGGAGATCGAAATCGGCGCTATCGATCACGCTCGAGGGATCATCGCGACCGCCGACGGTCGAAGTCCCCGAGTCACGGAGCCACCGACGGAGTTGATGACAGAAGCAGTGGCTTCAAGGACCGCGATGGCGGCAGAACGAAGAAGGCCTTTGGCGGCCGCGAGACTGAGCCACCACGAGACGAGCTACTAGCAGCATCTGCGCCAAGGCAGGGCGCTCGTGACGAGACGAGAGACAAAGGTATGTGGATCTTCTGGTGAGCAGCGAGGCGCTGGAATTTTTGTTGACGTCTTGGCAGAGCGTGGCGGACATGGCCGACGTCGGTCTGCGTCGCCGCGACGCGACGCGAGCCCTCCAAACGCCAACGGCAGCAGCAGCAACAATGCTGGCCTGCCGACGCGGACGCGACCAGCAGACAAGCGACAGGAAGTGATAGCGACAGGGACGGCACCCATGTCGTTTCGCGTCGGGGCAGTTCACGATGCCGCCTACAAGGACGAAAACGACGGCGACTACGACGGCAGCCGTGACGATCGCGGCCGAGGACGCAGCCGACGGCACATCGACGGCAGCCCGATGGCCGAGGGCGACGACGATGACGACGACGACGACGACGACAACGTCCTGGTGGAGGACGACGGGACGATGGACGCGATGCAGGCGATGATGGGCTTCAGCGGCTTCAACTCGACCAAGGGAAAGAAGGTGGCGGGCAACAATGCCGGCGGCGTGCACAAGGTCAAGAAGACCGAATACCGACAGTACATGAACCGCGTGGGCGGGTTCAACCGGCCGCTGAGTCCATCGCGGTAAGAGGGAGGGAACATGTCGTGGACGGCTCTGCTTTGGGCTGTGCTCTCCCTTCATGGATCTACGTGATGAAGGCTTGCCTGCTGCATTCCATTGTACACTGGACAAAAGTGGGGCATGTACTGCACGTAATATTCAGGGAAGCCACGAAGAAATGGGAAGTCGTTGGTGATACGACATAGAAGACAGGTAGAGAGTTTCTACAAGGAGCAAAGCATGTAGGAGAGCAAGAAGCGATAAATTTGTGGCCCACTGAAAGGGCCGTTTTGAGTCTGTCTGGAGACCAAAGTGTTAATCCGGATTTATATATTTAATTAAAACGAAAGAGCCATCCTATTGATCCGCCCAGATCGCTGCCCAAGCGAAGCAGGTGTTTACCAAGAGAAAAAACACCATACAAACCGTCGCCATAATTGTTACAAGCAAACAGCCAGGCCAGGCCAATGCCAGAATGCCACTCAACTTCCCACTTTCACAGCGACATACGTAGAAAAGACGAAATCAGACGAAGATAGCATCACCCAACCGGCAGGATGTTCAGCCGCAGAGCCTGAAGCAAATATTAGATGCAGCTGCTGGGGATGAGGTTAGCGGGGAGTGGTGACAGGGGAGTTGGCGGGGGATATTTGTAATATTGGACCTGCCATTTGTCACGTGGAGTCACAATAGGGCTAGCTCGGCCCCGATTAGAGTGGGCTACGTGTGATTAGTGATGGTGCCTACGGTTTAGCTCCCTGCTAGTTCGATATTAGGTCTTAACTCTATGCCAATCTTATCCTCAATGGTGTCTTGCTGGCTGAGCTGAGTGCCGGAGGAACAGCAGCCGTGGCCCGTATTGCAACGGACCGCTAAACCGTTTTACGTGCACCATCCCACACATCTCACGCCTCGTTGTAGGGTACTTTAACAGTCTTGCAGCCGTCGCTGACGGACGCCGGACACGGACGAAGCGAGTAGGGTTAAAAATAGGAATGCAAGACAGACTCATACAAAATACAGATAAAAAACAAAAGCACATATATAAATACAGATAAAAAACAAAAGTACATATATAAACCGTCACAGAAATAGCCTCGAGATGCACAGCCCCCAGACGGCACACGCAGCCAAAAAGGGAACACAGCAGGAAGAGCCTGCAGGCCAACGTGTCTCTTGGCGCTGCCGTCATCCTCGGCCGTTGCGCGTCCCCAGGACGACTCAAGAACAAAGCAGGCTGGGTTCCGTGCTGATCTTCCCCCCAGGACGTCCGGTTGCCAATATGCTGACTCGCACTGGCCATGGCCCGACGTAGATGGTGCAGTCTGTGCTGCTTCCAGATCGTCTTGCGTCGGGTCTTGGACTCGTTGGGGCTGAGAGGGACGCGCGTATCGTCACGGTTCGTGAGTGGTCCACCATTTCCCATGTTCCACCGTCTTTATCTCTGTCCTGATGTCGCAAGCGGTCAGACTGCCGGCCTTGGGCCATATCGCCTGGCCACGGCTCGTGCGCCCGTCTGTGTCTCTGTGTCTCTGTGCCCAGTCCGCTGCCCTCTTATTTAGACTGCCCTTTCGCTCCGGTCTTCCTGCTCAACTGCCGTGTCTATGTTTGACTGATCCATGTCCAACTGTGCAGCCCAACCAGCGCACACAACATATGCGGGTATACGTCCAGGCCTGCTTTTGTTATCAATGCCCTAGGAAAACAGCCACGATATAGATCTGCCTCCGATCCTTACTTGCCCTCTTTTCTCCTCACACAATCACACATACACATGATGCTCCAACGAAGAATCCGCCCGGTTGCGGCCCTTGCCATGTGTGAGTGCGTCTGAGCAAAGCAATCTTCCGTTCCTGCTAACAGCCGACAGCAGCACTGGCCATGGCCGCTTCTGCAGCCACCGTCTCTTACTGTCCCTCGGGAGCCGACAACATCTGCTTCGCCGTTGGCGTGCCCCAATCGACTGCCAGCTCGGGCTCCGGCAATATCTACTTCAGCATCACCGCACCCACCAGCTACCAATGGGTGGCTCTCGGCACCGGCACGCAAATGTCTGGCTCCAACATCTTCCTCATCTACCAAGATGGTAGCGGCAATCTGACGCTCTCGCCGCGCCTCGGCACCAATCATGTCATGCCTACGCTCGACACGCAGAGCAATGCTGCCCAGCTAAGTCTGCTGGCTGGCAGCGGTGTGTCTGACAGCACCATGACTGCCAACATCATGTGCGCCAACTGCGAGTCCTGGGGCACCAGCAGCTCGATGTCGGTCACTAGCACTAGTTCGCCGTGGATTGCTGCCTGGAAGTCTGGTAAGTCGCTGGCCACGACCAATCAGAATGCTGCCATCTCTCAGCACGACAACACTGCGCAGTACAAGTTGGACCTCACACAGGCTGTCATCAGCACGGACAGCAACCCGTTTGTGAGCGCTGCCAGCAGTGGCAGCAGCGGATCGAGCTCTGGATCTGGCTCTGGATCTGGCTCTGACTCTGGGTCTGGGTCTGGGTCTGGCTCCAGTTCCGGCTCCAGTTCTGGCTCATCTAGCACTGGTAACACTGGAGGGTCGTCGACTGGTGGTGTCACGGCGACCTCCAGCGGCTCGTCAACCCCCTCCATCCTGATTGCTCACGCTACCATCATGAGCCTCGTCATGGTCCTGCTCTATCCGTTGGGCGCGGCTCTGATGCCCCTGCTCGGTAACTGGCTTGCCCACGGCGTCTGGCAGGGTGTCTCCTACTTGCTGATGTGGGCAGGCTTTGCCGTTGGCGTTGTAGTCGCCCGGCAACGAAATCTGGTGAGTTTCTCCGACTCACGGCTGATCCGATTGTCTTCATCACACGCTGACTATGCATCCACCAGCTCTTCGTCGGCCCTGCCCGCAACCACACCGTGATCGGCACTGTCGTTGTAGCTGCTATGGGCATCCAGCCCCTTTTGGGCTTCCTGCACCACCGCCACTTTGTCAGAAATCAGAGCCGCGGCCTGGTCAGCTATGTGCACATCTGGTGGGGTCGCCTGCTCATCATCCTCGGCATCGTCAACGGCGGACTGGGCCTCAAGCTGGCAGACGCGCCGAGATCAGCCAAGATCGGCTACTCGGTAGCCGCGGCAGTGCTTTTCCTCGCCTACGTCGGTGCCAAGGTTGTCGGGACATGCTGCCTGGCAGGGCGCCGCGAGAAGAAGAGAGATCTGGGACCGCAGTTTCGGGGAAATGGTGGGCAACGTCGCAGCCACAGCATCAGTGGTCCTGCTGATGGCATCGAGACTGCTAACACATTCCAGGGTCACGGACAAAACCAGTACCGGAAGCAACGGCAACAGCCGAGTAGAGGGAACAGTCGCCGGAGCAGCCACACACAGTCCGGCAGCAACTACTCGTCTTCTCCGATGCGTGAAACCCCGATGCCGCCGTCATCTCGTGAAGAGCGGCACTATGACTAGAAATGAAATTCCGGGTTTGTCTGGAGCCAAGTGCAAAAAAATGGATGTGAGCTCTTTTGTCAGGGCAAGGAAGGGCCTTTCCTCGTGTTAGATGTTGGATGATATGGTGGCAATGAAGAGTAATTAAAGGCCCTCAAGGACCGTCAGCTTTGTCTTTGCAGATAAAAAGTGCACAATCAAGCTTCGAGCAAACAAGTCGCTTTTACGGTAATGTATGGAGTAGGTAGTGAGAAAGCTAGGACCTCCGGTAGAGCTCCGGCATAGCTCCAGTGGAGTCCAGTAGCTATTAGCGCTCACGTGATCGGTCACGTTTCCGCATCACCGATAAAGCCGGAGACGAGGATCGTTCACCCACCAGAACGAAAAAAAACCACGCGGGACCCGGTTTTCCCATACCTGCCTCTTCCTGCTTTTCCCTAAAACCGCTTTTTCTTTTCCAATTCACGACGGAACCTGCCATCACCACACCAACCCCCTCGCCAATTATCAGAAACAGCACGTCGTCAGCGCGGCCTGCTCACCCCGACAGTCGGATTCACTTCTTTCCCACACTTCCGCCACAATGCTGCAGTCTCTATCTCGCTCTGCGGTATGTCGTTCCATTGGCCGTACCCAGGAATTGGCCAGAAAGTGGAGGAGGGGGGACCCAACCGAGCTTGTCGGCCGATCGGAGGTGGCCATTGGCAATCCGAGGACATGCGGTTTTTCTGGGTCACCCAAGGCTACGATACAGAATACTGACAGCTCTTTGTTCCTGCTGTCCAGACCGCCCGCCGGGCACTCGCCACTGCGGCGCGCTCGAGCCAGACGACGATGACGCGGACCACCGTTCAGATGCGGACGTTTATCGTGCCGACGGTGGCGCGACGGGGTAAGCGATGCGGGGGGGATGGCGATTGAGAGAGAGAGAGACGGGGAGTGAATGCGCAAAGGGCTAACGTGCCGTCTGCAGCCGACTTTGTCCAGGAGCTGTACCTCAAGGAGCTCAAGGCCTACAAGGTGCCGGCTGTGAAGCCAGAGGATGCCAAGGGCCAGGTTGCCACGTTTGCGCTGCCGAAGACGCCTGCGTCGCCCGAGGAGGCCGACCTGGCCAGCAGCCTGCAGGAGTACGAGACCATGGCCGTCGAGGTCGAGGGCCAGGAAGGCCCGGCCGACGGTTCTGCCGTCGCTGCCCCGGTCGAGGACTGGCTCGTCGAGGAGGAGGAGGAGGAGGACGCTCACCACTAAACAAGCCACAGCGCGCGCTGACGAATGACCGGACACGCGAGCCACGCTCGATGCGGAAACACCTCTCACCATGAAGATGGCAGCTGGACGACGAGCGGGGATGAAAGAGCGGCCGGAGACGAGGGGAATGAGAATAATCATCGGAGAAGACAGACACATATACCTGTCTACCTACCTGACCCGAACGTGTACAAATTTCTAAACTATTCCGAAAAAAACAAAGCTATTTCAAGACACTGATTCTGGATATTCTGGCCATTGCCTAACGGGAGCCCATACGGGATTCTCTTGTGGATATTTACCCTTGTTCCTCCTGATATTCAGTCCATTGAGGCATTCTTCTAAGCTACTCGTCATTATGTCTTCTGAAAGAGCCTATCTCATACGAGGCTGAGGTATGTCATGACGTATGCGATGGCAAGACATTTCGTGGGGAATAATACGTAATATAATAGGTAAGCTGCTATTTACTGGGGCGTTAACCTGAAACGCCTAACGACAACGCATGCTTGCCCTGCTTCGCCGCTATAGACGTGCTTCAATCTCGACCTCTTGGTATCTCGCGCTGACTGCGAGCAACTGGTCAGGTTGCAATCATGTACACAACACAGAGAAGGCAGCTGCTCCCTACGGAGTACCAATGGCTATCCAGACTGGCAACGCTCTGGTCAGCTGCAGAAGAGGGACTTGAAAACCCAACCAGAATTACAGTGCTCGACATTTCCGCGTCCCCTAGTCACCCCAAATAAAAAACGCCTGTTCCATCCAACCTGGGCTGGTTGTCACTTTTCATGTTCGGCCAGGCCCAGCAAATGCAATCCACAAATAAACCGTCCCTCTCCTCAAATGCTGCAATGCCTGGATAACAATCGCATGATATGTCGTGACTCGGGGGTAAAACAAAGGAAAACCGAATGAGCTTTTGTTGTATCTTAGGTTGAGGATCTGCGGCGTCAACGACCGTCCAGAAGGCTGTACGCAGCCTAGATGTCGAAGTGCGAGTTGCCGAACATCTGCTCATCATTGCTCCGGACAACACCGCTCATACGGTCGGACCTCCGTGGGTCAATGTCGTTGATATCATCCCAGTCAGCATCGTCTCTCCGCTCTCCGGAGCCATGTTCGGTACCGTCGTCCATGTCGTCATCTTCATTTCCAGTGTAGCTAGCCCCATAGCCGCGCATATGGTCCTCCAAAGCACTCTCGTCCACAAATGTGAAGCCCTTGAAGTTTGCCTGCATCGACGGTGACAGGGGTGTTGATGTAGCGATGCCACGTGCCAGGGCCGCAGCCCGCTCATTCAGCGACCCACTCTTGTCCATGGCGTCGGTAAAAGCAGGGTCAAAGTAAGACACATCCGTGTCAGACTTCAACTTGGGCTTGAACGGCGGCGTGATCAGCTTCTTCGAAAGAGCGCTCCAGTCGATATCGCGGAAGAAGGGGTGCTCCATAAGCTCTCTGGCATCCTTAGTGGCTCCCAGACGGTGCTTCGGGTTCCTGTTAAGCAGGCCCTTGACAAAGCTGCGGCCTTCGGCCGAGAGGGTGTCCTTCGGGAAGCGGACCTTGCCGAAAGCGATGTTCTTGTACATCTGCTGCGTATCCTCGGCATAGAACGGGCTCCAACCACAGCACATCTCAAAGACAAGTACACCGAGAGACCAGAAGTCAACCATCTTGGTATAGCCGGCCTCGTCCAGCAACACCTCCGGTGCAAGATACTCAGTGGTGCCGCAAAACGTGTTTGTCGTATCGTTCTTCGTCAAGTTCGCCTTGGACAGACCAAAGTCGCACAACGCGATATGCCCGTTGGCGTCCAAAAGGATGTTTTCTGGCTTGAGATCGCGGTAGACGATGTCGTTGTTGTGCAGATGTTCGATGGCTAGAATCAGCTCTGCAATGTAGAATTTGGCACGACTTTCCTCGAACCGACCTTCCTTCTGCAGATGCCAAAATAGTTCGCCACCAGACATGTAGTCCGTCACCAGGTACAGGTCAGACGGTGTCTGGAAAGAAAACTTGAGGCCGACGATAAATGGAGAGTCCGAGGTAGCCGTCCGTACTAGAATGTTCCGCTCCCCTACTGTGTGCGCGACCTCTTTCTTCTGTACGATCTTCTTCTTGGACAGTACCTTCATGGCGTAGATGCGCTTTGTGTCCTTCTTCCTGACCTGATACACCTGACCAAACGTTCCCTTGCCGATAAGTCTCAGGATCTCAAAGTCGTCTGGTCCGTAGTGTTTCCGGTTAGTCCTTTGGTATATAGCCTCCACATAGATCTCTCCAGTCGGAGTATTCTCAGCCACGGTGTCGGCGTGGCCCCGGAGAGGGAACCAGCCACGGACAGGCCCATCCTTCTCAGAGACATGAGCCTGGAAGTCAACGTGACCAAGAAATTCTTCTCCAGCGGGCGAATGGTCGTAAACAGATATATCGACCAACGTATCGGAGTCAACAACGTCGCTAGGACACACATTAGTAACAACCTCCACAGCGAAAGCCATATATGGATTGGAAGACAGCACAGAGTGCTATAGTAACATACAACACTGCTTCTGCATCCCACTTGGGGTTTGTCAAGGAGCGCCGGCCGGTGCGGGTCCGGAAAGTGCTGAAGTCAGTCATGCTCGTGTTGCTGCTCTGGCGGCTGCGCATGGGAATTGCCATCGGTATGCGGCCGGTATCGCTGGCCTGGCGTTGGATGGGGATGCCACCCATAGCGACGGCGGCAATGGCGGCAACGTCTTCGCCCTCAGCAGGGCGGGGGCCGCGCGAAATCAGTTCGCTCCGCTGAAAAACGGCGACGACATACGGGTCTCTGCTTCGTCGGAGGCCACGAGCCTCGGCAATTTTGATTCTGAGTCTTCCTTTCGGAGCAGGAGCCTGGGCCCCTGGCGGGGTGGGCGTAGAAGTCATGGTGCGATTGACGTCTTCAATCTCCTCTGGAATATCTGCTTCCAGCGTGGTGTTATCGCTACCGGTACCGGCGCCAGTAACGGTACCGGCATTCGCGAAAGCATCTTCCCGTGTCGGTTGTGCAGTGGAAAGCGACCGGGTAGGTGTGGATTGACCGCTCTTTTCATGTGGCACTACTGTTAGCTTCTTCAGTTGCCCAACAGAAGCAGACCGAAAGAAAGATGACAAAGCAGTTGAGTCGAAGTCTTGGAATTCTGAACGCGTTGGCGTATCTGGGGCAGTGGATGCGTGCGTATCCGGGGTATAGTGAGAAGAGGAAACTGAGGGAGAAGCTGATGGGGCAATAAAGGGAGTTGAAAAGTGACGGGCGAAAACACTCGATGGTGTCACGACGCCGGCAAGAGGTAATGAATCCGGGACATCAGATGTGCTCTTCTTGTGGCGGCTGAAGCTCCACTGTGCTTCCCATGCAGAGCTAGAAGTGTCACCGCCACCGCTGCTGGCACTGGCCTTCTTGCTGCCCTCTTCTTCGCCTTCTCCTTCTCTCCCAATTCCAGCTCCGCCTTTGGATCCAGTTGTCCCGCGCACCGACGCAGGCGGTGTTGGGTACGGATGCAATGAAGAAGCGGCAGTATCAGCGGCTTCTGTAAGTGGCGAGTGATCCAACGACCGTGTCGATGGTGGGAGTCTCTGCTGACCCATGGTTTGTTGTGGTAAAAGCGGCGGACTGTCGTCACCGGCCAGGTCCCCATGTAGTGGTAAGTCAGGGTTCATCGATAATTGTGGTGGTGGCGGTGTCGGTAACGGTATTGCTGATGCTGATGCTGACAGCTGGTGATGCGATCTGGCACACTCCGTCCCTGCCTCAGCTTGCGATTTCGGTTGTGAGACCCGCTGCCGTATTGGCTGCACTTCCAACTGTGCTTCTGGTGGCACGTCTGGTGACGCCTCGGACTGCAGCTCCGGAACCGACTTCAACTTCCGAGAAGCAGGGTGGTCCTCCTCTTGTTTGCAAAGAGGCGACGGGGAGGTAAGGGAGGTGGCAGAAGCAGTTGTGGTGTTGGCAGTGCTTGCAGTGCTTGCTGCAGTGGTGGGAATGGTGGTGGTGGTGGTGGTGCTGGAGAACGACCCCAAGTGTGCAGAAAACGTGCCTGAGAGCAGGCGTTTAAAAGAAGCAGGACGAACCTGATTGAAGTAGCTCATGATTCCCGGCAGGCGTTTGTCGTGGAGGTCCGGTTGCGGCGTAGCGACGCCAGAGCGTGGTGTGTCGTAGCCGGTGTGATCCGTGCCGTCATCATCGGCTGCGGCAGACCTGCTGCGTTCGTCAATTCCATTATTCGAAGACATTTTCGGCTAACCCGAGAAGGGACGACGACGACGCAGGGCCGGGTGGATTGAAGGGGGTGATGGTAGGCAGAGGCTCCTCTCTGCAGCTTTCAAGAATGAAAATAGGGAAAGGGAAAGGGGAAAAACCAAACTAGGGAAGCCAGACGGCGGAAATGGAAGACAAAGAGAAAATAGCTCGGAAGGGAAGGAGAGCCGGAGTCAATGAGGGGCAAAAAAAAAATCGAGAAAATGACGACTACTGAGTGGCGGAGAGGTTCCCTGAGAGGCCTAGGAAGGGGGGAACTGATTAAATGCCTAGGCCATCGTAGGCTGGCCAGTCAAGTCGAGTATCTTTATTCAACACGGCATCCGTCCGCTCGTTCGTTCGTGGTGGATGAACTAGCGGCAGACACAGTTGGCACGCTTGAGCTGAACTGGCTGGTGGCAGGTGTGCGGTAACAGGCGATCAAACTGTGGGAGCAATTATTTGTGCTTGTGCTGTGGGCCTGGCCACCAACGAGCTTGGTCTATGACGCCAGACGATAAAGGGACGGAAGAGCCGAAGTAGGAGAGGCGAGGTGAGGAGTCAGAGAGACGAGGGGAGAAATGAGGAATACGAGCTCTTGGGCAGGGAGAGAGAATGGAGGGCTATTTGGGTTGCGGGTTGAGGGGGACGTGAATCGCAGCTTCCTCATGGGCATTTACAACATATTGCACTGTTTTTGGGGGGGGCTGTGCGACTCAACGCTATTAGCAGCATGTTTGCCTGCCACACCGGTATCAGGCGTCAGACCGCAAAACTTCTGATCGGAGCGAGCCTGCCCTTGTCTCAGCAGCAGCAGCAGCTCAGCCGACTCCAGGCCATGTGGTTGGCGGACCAAAAGGTCGAGGGTGGGGGGAGAGGCGGATCGGAGTGCTCCAAGTCCACTGGAAGCTCATCCGGAGGGATCGCGCTGGCGACAATGCCAGACAAAATCCGCTAACAGAGTTTGCCCCTCTCCTTCCCAGGCGCCTTGTGGGTCTGCTCAGTCAGCGAGCCAAGGTCGACTCGACAGCAGCAGTCGGGCTCCCACGGCGATTCGGCGCAGCACGGGCTGGTCAATTGATACAGCGCATTCTTGTGACCGCTTGGTCGAGACAGGCCTGCTTTGGGCAACAGCCAGCAGCCAATACTCTGAGCACCCGTAATCAACACAACACATGGGCGCAGATGGCTCTGTAAGTGGGCTCCTCCATGGTGGCGTATCTTGTTTTGCGCCAAGTGGGCGGAGTTCTGGCCGGGTAAGAAGTGCCTGGCGGCCTAATAGTGCCAGTGAGATGCACTTAACATGGCAAAACGACGGGGAAGGGGGACAAAACGTGTCGGATTGACAAGCGCTTAGCCCGGCGCTTTCGTTGCCACTTTCGGCCAGAAGCGGCACGGCCACGCCTCATGAATTTGTGTAGGAATGGAAGCAATGAAAACGTGGGAGCTGCTGGGAAGGTAGGACAGGAAAGGCAGCAAGGCCGACTAGGTAGATACTGCCAAGGATAGCGTAGAGATAGCAAAAGGGCACAGAGAGATGCGATGCGAGATGTTTTGTTGCTTACTTGGACGACATCACGGCCTCAGTGGCCCGCCTCAGGAGATCGAAGTGGCCCGCGGACGCGCCCTGGACACCTGCTGCAGCTCCAGACATGGCGATTCTGTGCTTTAGTCGGATCGGGAATGTTTCTCTCGTTCGGCTGGGATTTCTGGTACTCGTTGCTGGTTTACATTCGCGGCCAGGACTCGACGGCAGAGAAAGCAATACACACTCGTACGCAGGGCGAAGGGCGGACAGAAGAACGAGGCAGGACGAGGGTGGGATGGAGGGGCTTCTTGCAACCTCTCGCTGCAAACGGAGTCAGATGCACCGCGACGGCGCCCGACCGCATAGGCCCGAGCTGGCTGGACGCCCCGACACCCCACTTGCTGATCTGGCCGTCTGCCTGCTTTGCTACATACGTCGTACATAGCTAGATAGTAGGATCGGTGGAGCAGCAACATCCGACACTTACTGGCCCCGGCTATTCGCAGGCGCTTCCTGCCGTGCAAGCACTCGTACTCCGTGCATTGGGCCGTTGGCCAAGTCCTGTCACATGCCCATTGTTTCGCATCTGCTTGACAGATAGCCATGTCTTGGATAAATGGTTTTTGTGGATCGCCGGGGGGCAGAAAACCAGCACCGAAGCTGGTGAACAATACCCGTAAGATACATACGGGGAGAGGCGTCTGAACAATGCGCCCTTGGCTGTTCGCAGCAGGTCTTCCTTTCCGTCGGAACATCACGGTCCCGCCAGCTTTCTCGCTCTGCTCGTAATCCGTACCTAAAAGTTGTGGGCCGCGAGAGCACATCCACTTATAGCACCCGCATTAATATGGGGATATGCCAAAGTGCTTTGAAGGCTCAATGTGTGTCATACGAGTATGTCGAGGCGAGAGCTTTCCCTCAGGGCACCCCCCGCCCTCCTCGGTCTCAGCCCGGTTATTGCTCCTTCATCATACCGGCTACTCGATCCGTTTGTAAGCAGGCTCATGATCCATGGTATTACTCGCAGCTTATTGCATGCGTTTCGTCACATGCCTTTATCGGCCAGTCATCACGTCGTCTCTCTCGCACCTTCCCCATCACCCCTTCCCTTCGCATCTTCCGACCCTCAGCCCACTGTGGAAAAGGCTTATTGCCGCTCCCGTCGCTCTTTCAATTTCTCCGCTCTCCGCTCTTGTTTGAGCCTTTAGCGCTTGCTGTCTGGGCTTGTTGTGGGGGTATTTTGCGTCATCAGCACTTGTCCGAGATAGCACCATAGCAACACTCCAAGGACCAGGGCCGCCTTTTGCGAACAGGCTGCAATGCATTGGGCACAATGTGCAACTTCTGCCGCCTGTGTGCTGTACGCGTATGTGCTGGTACTAATCATGTATTTTTGTAGATATTGGGCATCGTCCCAGCCCAGCCTGCTAAGAGGCTCTATACAAAGGCAAATTGTGTATGTTCGAGGTTGACTTGGAGATTGCATCGGGCAACTCAATGTGGCTGTTCAGTAAAGCTGAGTGCCAGTTTATGTGAGATACATTTGAAAGGGATTACAAATATTTGGTTAAAGAAACATGCGTTGGAAAAAGGCCCAAAAATTCACAACCGTAGGTACAAATCTTGCAGGATGAGCTGCTGTCGTGCAACTAGATATCCGCCTGTGACATCTCCGCTTCGGCCAGGTCCCGAGCCGAGTTCGTGGGTTGCAGTAACGGCTATTGTGGGTTAAATGGCCACTTATGACACCACCAGATTCATCTTAGATGGACGCTTCTTTCAGCCCTTCCACTTCGCCAGCCTATCCTTCGGCTCCCTCAGTTGACAGTCGCCTCCTGGGCGTCTCTGTTCGCCACCGTCTCGCGTCGTTCCCGCTGCTCCGTCAGCTCTGAATCGTACCACTTCATCATCTCCACATAGTCGGCCGTATTCATAATGTTTTCGCGGAGGTATACACGGATAGCGTCGATGGCCAGATCAGTCATGTGAGTCCGTGCCAAGCGTCGCAGAAACGGTTTGTCTGCGGCAATGGAAAAACTGTCCCGGTCACACGATATGTACTCCATGTACATGTGCGCCATAACCGCCTTGCAGCGCTCAATGCGTGCATCTTCGGCAGCCCGCTCTGCAACCTCATCGGCCTTTCGGCACCGACGGGCGGTGGAAGCCAGCCAGGCCGCCCGCCATCGGCCAACAATAACAATGCGGACCGGTGGCTTGCAATGCCTATAGGTTTCCCACTCGAGAGTAGCAGTGGCAGTTCTTGAAGCTCCGGCGGTGGTGATCGAATCAATGGTGTCCACGAGCCCATGTTTTTCGTCGTCGATGCTTTCAGCCTTAATGTAAGGCTGAGCGCCTGTTTTGAAAGCAGATTTTTTACTTCCGATATTCTTCAGAGGCACACCCTCTCCCCCAAATTGTGCTTCTTTAATATCATGACGGCCTGCTATCAAGGAGGGAGGCACTTTGATAATGACCTTTCTCTTAGCCGCAGATGGTAGTGCTGTGACAAAATCGTCCGTAGCAGGCCGTTTCTTGGAGACTCGGGCCCGCCCTGTGACAGCTCCAACGGTATGAGAAGCTCCAGAATTGGCCATTTCTGCAGTTGTTATAGGTATCGCGCGAATTGTACTGCAAAAGACATGAATTTGTGGATTTAAATAAGGCAGAATTGAAATCGACTTGTAGTTTACAAGTATATAAGGGGCGTGTGCAAGCAGTGGTTCAGTGAATATCTCGTGTATAAGGCTTGTCACCGCTTGAATATTGAAACTCTGACAAGACGAGTGACCAAGAAGCGAGTTGAAAGTATGTGGTATGTCGGATGTGGACTAAGTACTATCAAGACATTCGACGAGAAGTTGTGATAGTGGTTTGGATTGCCTGGAAGATAAGGTTATGTTCAGTAAGGGAGACAGATGAAGTTATGGGATCGAAAAGTTGTTGTTTAGAACCAGAGAGCCCGGGACTTGAACTGCGAGGACTGAAAAGAAAATGTTCAAAGTCTTCTGGCACTTGAAAGCCCATTCAGTTATAATAACAATAGCAAGTGAAAGGGTACCAGCCATCTTCTTTTCCAAGCACACTTCTCAGATTGTCCTCAGTGAGTCTGGGGTCTGGTGAGTTCCCATGTCAGTCATTCTGAAGCTTGCTTATACCGACTTATGTGGTTGAAGACCAAATATAATAGAAGCAAACTGAATGCAGTTGCGAGGCAATACTGTCCTGCTTTAACCGAATGATATCGTCCATAGTTATGATATTTCAAAGGAGGGGAAAGAAGCATCTCTGGCCAGCTTTTGCTACTTGAGATCAATCTGAGAAAGGCTTCGGCTATGGCGAGAATTCGGCCAAACGGTCTAACCATTTTAGTGTTCTAACACCCCCATGTAAGAGTCAAATTCGGCCGTACTGCGGAGCTATAGAGACGTATACACTCAGACTGTGAAGGAAAGAGTACGACGCTGATTCTCATAAAGGATTGTGTATGAGAGATACATCACTCGCAAAGGACGTAGAGTTTAGCAGCGATATCAGTAGTTCCCGGCTTCTGACAGGCTCCCATGCCGCTCTTCGGATTATTTCTATCCTCCAACACATGTCACGTTGAGCTATTCTGAAGGCGTTCCATAAGGCTCCTCAAACGCTCCTCAGTCTCCTGAGGAAATGGCCGGTTATAGATCTTGCCGATGGGTCTATCAGCAGAGAGAGGGTCACCATAGTCGGCTATTTGCAGAGTCAGAGGTTGTTGCTTATCGTTTAACGTGTCTGGCAGTAGCCTACCTATATTGAACCCCTGGTCGGCAAGGACGTCCTTGAACTTGTCGCTCTCCTCGCGGTGCTTGGGAGTATCCCAGGATGCTGGCAACTTTTTCATGCTGCTGCTGTCGTCCGCAACGCCATCGGCGGCAGTGTCCGGAGCTGGACGTCCATCAACAATATCCATTCGGTCGCCGTCCATTGCTCTGACAGAGTAAGAACAGAGTAAGCAAATTTCGTAGTCAACCCAGCTGTGAAAACGAGGCGTATGGCTGTTGTGTGTGCTTTGTAGTTGCTTAGAAGTCGTGAGTGAGGCTACACGATGTGGGGAGATCGGAAGTAGTTTATGTGCTGGCCAATCACAACGGACACGGGGAGCCCCACGTATGATTTGTCGGCGACACTAATAAAAAAATAGCATAATAGTATTGAACACAAACAGCTCACAGAACAGGGGAAGAAAAGGCGAACACGTCCTCTTGGCTGCAGCCGTAAATCCTACAAAGCCACGATTGCTCTTGCTTACTGCTGGTGCACACCATACGTCGAGCGGAAAGTGCACGGGTTTCTGAGGCCCGAGCCGAGGTTCTTCTGCGCCTTCTCCCATCTCCGCAACAATGACAAAGAAGACGGGCCCCACTGCCTGGGACGACGACTGGGAGTCCCAGGCCGACAAGGAGGATAAGGAGACGGGTGGTGCACCGCTCACGGCGGAGCCCGTGGTGCTGTCGCGTGCCGAGCGGCTGGCCAAGCACAAGGAAGAGCAGAGACGACTCTGGAAGTCTGCGTAAGTGTCGTCCCATCCCAACTCGGCTGGGCCGGCCTCCTGACCGTTGCCCATACAGAGATGAGCCAGAGGACTTTCCGTTTCTGGCCGTGTCCAGCTCGATTCCTGTCGGCGCCATAGGGATCAAGCCAGCCATGAAGGTGCTGAGCCGCAAGCCGGCGCCTCAGATGATCAAGCGGCGTGATCCGGTCACGGGCCTCGAGCAGCTGACGATACGTGACGATGCTGCGGAGGCGGCAGCGGAGGCCGAAGCAGAGGCAGCACGGAACCAGCTGACACCGGAGCAGATGCGGCAGAGGCAGCAGCGGGAGCGGGAGGAGAAGCAGCGCAAGTACGATCAGGCACGGGCCAAGATCTTTGGCGAGCCGCTGCCCAGAGGAGGAGCAGGAGCACCGGCAGCAACAGCAGCAGGAGCTTCGACGGCGACAATACCGGCAACAGCAGCCGCAACAGCGGCAGCAGCAGGGTCATCATCCGTAGCATCGTCTCGACAGGTGTCGCCTATTTCTCCGGCTGGCGGCTACGGGAACAACGGCAACCGAGGAAGAGGCAGGGGACGCGGTAATAACGGCGGTGGTGGCGGTGGATACGGGCGGCGAGCCCAGCAGGCCGGACACGCAGGCAGTGGGACGGCATCTCGAGAGCTCTTCGACCCAAGTTACCTGCCGCGGACGACGGGCCCGCATCAGAGACGGGGAGGCGGAGGTCCGGGAAACGGCGGCAGTGGCAGCGGCAGCGACATGGGCTGGTCTCCCTCACCAAGCCGGTCAGGCACGCCGCGCGACGACGACTATGTCATCCGGGCACCTCGAGGACCAGACGGCAGCGGCCGTGGGGGCTTTGGGTTTGCCAGACGCGGCAGTTGAGCAGCAGAGCAAAGGGCAACCCCCCATCCGAGAGAAGACCGAGGCGTACGAGAGAGAAAGAGAGAGAGTGAGAAAGAGGCGACAGGGAACGGGCACGAAAATAATGAGTTACTTTTTTTCTTTTCTTTTCGTCAAGGAAAAAAAGGGACAGTGGATCCGTCGGATATGTCTCTGTCTATGCTATATGCACCCAAAGCCTGGGAAAACCGTGGGAAAACGCCGTGGAAGAGGGACAAAAACAGACAAGACCGGGTCTACCAGCCACCACCAATCTTTCCGGCGAGCTGGGCGACCCTCTCGACCGTGTCAGCGCCTTTGGCAGGCTTACCGACGTCGCTCAGAACCTCTCGGTATGTGGTATAGGCCAGCCTCTGCAGGTCGATGCCGGTGATGCGAGCCCAGTGCGCCAGGGTCTCGCGCACGTACGAGGGGCTTATGCCGTCGATCTCGTCGGCCAGACGGCCGTCTGCGGCGCTGCTGTGGGTGTCATCGTCGTCGGCAGAGAGGTATGCTTCATCGATCTGAGCCAGCCACGCTCGCTGCTCTTGGGGGCCGGGTTTGGTGGTGAGACCTTTGCGGGCAACGACAATGTCGTCGTCGGCCTTGATCTGACCGCCACCGTTGGTGCAGCCGCCCGGACAGGCCATGACCTCGACGTAGGCAAAGTCGAGGCCGGCACCAGCCTTGCCGGTGGGCACTCTGCGAGCAGCGCTGCCAACGGGTCGACCACCGGGCAGACGGGACGGACGGGCAGGTCGCAGCCTGCGGACGAGGTTCTGGATGTTGCGGAAACCATAGTAGCGGGCAGCCTTGAACAGCGGCTCGTCGAGGCCCGGTGCGGTGATGGCGTACTCGACGACGTCGACGTTGCGGCCGCGGTTGGTCTGCAGCGAGGAGCCGGGGTTCTGGGCGAGGACGGACTGCAGGACAAAGTGCAGATTTCCGCCAGAGCTGCCGGCAGCGGATGTGGGCGCCGATCTTTGACGGGGTGGGAAGAGGAAACGGTCGAGGACAGCATCCGGAAAGGGCAGGCGTGATGAGGATGGCTGGCACTTGTCCTGTAGAAGCGGCGAGAGAGGCGTTTTTGGTAGACTGAAGAAATCAATGCCGCGAGACTCTGCGAGCATCAGGACCTCCTTGCTGGTGATGACGCAGTCGACGTCGCGCACACCGTGGTGGCCATGGCCGTCCTTGGAGCCGTCCCAGGCGGCATCGGTCAGCTCTTCGCGGCTGGCCTCGAGCTTCTTGTCGAAGCAGGGCATGATGGCGACGTGCCAGATGCGACCGGGTGGGATGCCGAGGGTGCGGCTGAGCGTGGTCTTGAGCAGGGTGCCGGTGAGGGCCTGGGGCGACTTGACACGTGAGAGGTGGCCGAGCACGTGGGGATGAGTCTTTTCGGCATAGCAGATCCAGCCGGGACAGGACGAGGTCAGGAGGGCTTTGGGTGGCGAGGAAGAGGTTGAGGTTGGGGGGGAGGGATGGAACTGTGCGACCTCGTCGGCACCAAGGACGAGCGTGGCCTCGCGGGCGGCGTTTGTGTCGACGACCCAAGCGAAGCCATTTCCGTTGCCGTTGCCGTGAGAGCTGGCACGCAGACCGGTCGGGCCCGAGAGCAGGTGGTCGAGCATGTGGCCGGCCTGTTGCGCAGAGACGCCGGGGCCACAGGCGGTTGCGAGGTTGGCACGGGTCTGAGGTGAGACGCTGGCGACATAGAGGAGGCGGTCGGGGTGATCGGGGTCGTCGAGGCCTTGAACGACGTATGAGGTGGATGAAGGCAACAGCTCAAGAGCCGGTCCTGCATCGAGTGCGCGCAGCAGCTCTTTGTGGCTCTGCAGGCTGACCAGCACGGCCTCAGCCGAGGTGACGCAACCGGAACAGGCCAGACAGTCGGTCAGGGAGATGGAGGCTGGCGGGGCGCCACCAGCACCAGGAAGACCATCGCGAATGACCTCGTGCTCGAGCTCGGATGCGCTGGCAGCCGGCGCTGAGGGGAGAGTCTCAACCGGCTTGATGCAGGCGACGCCGGGGCTGATGAAGTCATTGAGGTCGTCGGCGGAGAGGATGGCACTCATGGTGGAAGTGGGTGTGGGGGAAAGTGGTGGAGGAGGTGGAGAGTGGTGATGATGATCGAGTCGAGACGAGGCCGACTTGCGACATGGATAGAAGAAAGAGTCAGCACATGCTTGGACGACAAGCTGTTTCAATCACTTGACACGGCCAGTGCTTGTTGCATGCACGAAATACGGCGTAGAGATATAGGGCCAGACAACAAGGGCCGGCGCCATTGATAGACGGGGATTGAAAATCGCATTCGCAAAAAATGCACGGCTGCGAGATCGGGTGGCGATTTTGTCGTTTTTCTGTTAGCCTCTCCAGCCTGCCCAATAATGGCTGCACGCTGACTGGTCCGCCCTATTGGCTGCATGCATTGGCCGGCTTCTTGGCTCGCAGTACGCGCTATACACACAAGTAGCAAGCAACTTGGCGCAGCGGAAGCGCGCCGGGCTCATAACCCGGAGGTCCCTTGATCGAAACGAGGAGTTGCTATAATAGGCTTTTATTTTTGCCTTGTCTGTATTTTTGCACGTCGCACAAGTGTACATGCTGTTGCTCGTCGGTCAACACTGCAAGTGGATGAGAAACGTGGCTAATATGATGCGCGTCCATTCCGCAAGCAGACAGCTGCCAGGGATTTGCAACATGGCGTTTCAGCTGCCCCCCAATTCGGCAGGGGCGCAGAATAATACGCGATGTGTGAATCGCAGTTGCCGCGGCAACCACTCCATCACAGCAGCGAACAGCGCTGGACAAGACGCCCCGCCAGCTGACCAGACCGTCGTCCTATTTCTGTCCTGTCTCTCGTCAAACCTAAACACATCTGACTCTCGTTGGCATTCCAGCGTGGTCGGACTCGGAAGCCGACTCTGACAACCAAAAGAAAGCATTGTATCAGCAGACCAGGGCATCTGGCCAGAGAGTGAGAAGCAGAAAAAGAAAGAACAGACAGGAACAAAGGGAAGCAGAGAGAAACGGTAACGAAGCCGACAAAGCAGTCAACACCAGCCTGTCGTCCGCTACATCCACCGTGACCATGGCCTACATTGGCCGCCCCTTCTCGCAGCACACTCGCTTTCCCGAGAAGCCGTTTGATCCCAAGGCCGTCACGCGAGCAAGCTGGACGCCAAAGCCGGTCAAGCCCAAACAAGACGGACCATTGGTGCAGTTCAACCGCCATCCAGAGTATGTCGAGAGCGAGTGTGCGAGTGTGTTCATGACCGATGTGGAGACAGAAGCTGACAGAGCTGTGGTGCAGTGCACACGAGGTCCTCGTCGGACAGCGGCGACAGGTCCAGATGTTGAGCCGGCGAACGAAGACGGCGATCAAGGCCGTGCGGGTGGTGCAGTTAGTCTTACGCGTGCTGCAACTCCTCGGCGCCACGGGTGTGCTGGTGCTCATGATCCTGATCAGCCACCTCCCGGACCAGACGGCCTGGGTGATGCGCATCACGGCCATCGTCGTCATGGTGCACTGTGTCTACGGCATCTATCACATGGCCAAGCCAGCGGGTGCACGCCCGCCAGCCTCGTCGGCCGCATACCAGGTCTTCTCGGCCTTCTCCGACCTCTGCGTGCTGCCCATGTACGTCTACGGGCTGATGGCGGCGCGCAGCGACAGCGACGGCTGGTCGACGCTGCTGGCCAACAAGGCGGCACTGTCGAGCCTCAAGACGGCCTTTTACTACACGCTGGTCGGCGCCGGAGCCCTGCATCTCGTCACGCTCTGTGTGGCCTGCTGGCTGGGCGTCAAGTTCCGCCAGATCACCATGATGCCGCCAGACATGAACCCGCTCGAGGACAATCTGACGTCGCGCACCAAGACGGCGTTACATGCGCGCAACAAGTCGTCCGTCGTCACCATTGGCTCGCTGCAGTCGGTCGACCTGGCCAAGGAAAAGGGCTTTGTGCGGCCGCCGGCTGTGCCGTTTGCCCACACGCGCGGCAGCTCGGACGCAACCAGTGTGCGCACGCATAAGTCACGTGACTCCCGCCTTGATCTGCCCAGCCGCTACCACCAGGTGATGCCGAGCAACAGCTCCGTGCGCAGCAGCGCGACCACGCTGAAGCGGGCATCCATCGCCAGCGGCCTGCCGTCCAGTACCATTGGCCGAGGATCCTACGCTGAGATCTCGCTGCACGAGTCGTACGCGCCGCACTACAACAGCCGTCGCAGCGTCGTGACCCCCCCTGGCACGGCTCCGGACGGAAACACTACCACCAGTCCCAACGGATCGACACCGCGCCAGACCAGATTCAAGGAGAACTGGTCCGGGGCAGACACGCTCTCGGACCGCACACAGCAGCGCAACCAGGCCCTCAACACGCTGGTGCTCAACGCGTCCGGCAAGCGGCGCGACTACAACCCGGTCAACCAGAACTTTGACTTTCCCGAGTCGGACGGCGAGGTGTCGGACTCGGACACGGTCTACCAGCGGCCCATCTTTGACGATGACGACTACGGCGACACCGAAAACCGCTACGAGAGCTTCCGCTTCGAGACCACCGCGCTTAACCGGAACAACACTGGCGTCAGTAACGGCAACGACGATGACTTGCACCCGAGCCCGCTGCGGGCGAACCCAATGAAGCGGGCCAAGGGCTCCGTCACGCCGACGGTGTCGTCGATGACGTCGGCAGTCAGCAGCAGCACCAGCGGGAGCGCAGCAGAGGCAGCGAACAACAACAACGCAGTTCTGGGCGAGCTGAGCCTCAACGACCAGCGGGTCAGCGTTGTGGATGCGGCCGATCTGGGCGATGGCACACAGGGCAAGTACAGCAACGCAGAAGACGAGCCGGACGAGGCGAGCATTGGGCGGGCCTTGACGGGCAACGCGATGCCGCAGCAGCTGGCGACAGGGAAGAAGCGCTGGACATGGGCGCCGCGAAACCGTGACAGCAGCATCCAGCCCGAAAACGGCTTCTACAGCAAGCCGTACGGCAACCTCAAGGCGTTGACGCCGCCCATCATGGTGGGAAAGGACGTGTCGAACGTGCCGGCGGGGCGGCAGGTTTCTAGCGGCAACGACTACGACCTGGGCAGCGGCGTGTACAATGAGGCCGAAGGGGCGACGGCCGTGTTTGGGCGGCGTCATGTCAGCGGCAAGTTGGCCGAGGAGGGAAGGGCGGTTCGATACAGCCAGGCATAGAGAGAGAAGGAGAAGAGAGGGAGAGGAGAAAGAAGAAGCAAAAAGAGAAAGGATCACGGAGAATCATGTAATACCACGGCCGCTGGCTGGGACGGAGTTTGGGATTCTATGTTTATGTGTTTATGTATTATGTATGGTAGTCCAGAGAATGTAGGTTGATTTGCGATTCCAGGTAGTAAGCCAAGCTTAGTCAGCATCAACATCAACATCTTATCCCCTCAGCGCATTCCCTTTCTCTTCTTCAAAAAGGCAGGCCAATCGGGTCGAGGCCGTGCCTGAACGACGTCGTCTTCGTGCCAGCCCCGACCGCCGTCCCAGACCCGGCCGAGGCTGCCGAGATGGCGCATGGTCGGACGGCCGTGGGGGCAGTTCCAGGGCTTGTCCATGTGGCCCATGTGAGCGAGGACAGCCGCCATCTGGCGATGGGAGAGAGCACGGCCGACCATGATGCTGCTGCGACAGGCGCGCATGGCGAGCATGCGGCGGACCTTGGCGGGACGAGGGATGGGCGTGGACGAGAGCGAGAGCGAGAGGTCGAGGCAGTCGAGGTTGTCGGCATAAGCAGCGCCTGGATGTTCTGCCAGCAGGGCGATCAGCTCCTCCAGATCGCCGAGGTCAAAGGTGGTCTCGCGGCTGAGCGGCAGCGTCAGCAGGCGACAGCGGGCGCCGACCGGTTCGCTGCCGTCGACGACCACATCGACGACAAAGCCGTTGGCAGCCAGGACGGCGCGGCTCTCGAACACGACCTCCTCCTCGACGGCCGTCAGGGACAGACGCTTGGGCTGCACCAGGCGCTGTGACTGCAGCGTCGTCGTCGCCCGCAGCCGCTCAAAGTTGTACTTTTCGTCAGACGCGTGCTGGTCGATGATGAAGAGCTCGTCGTCGTCCAGCCGCCTCGACCTCCCTTCTTCCTCTTCTCTTCCTCCTCTCCTCACCGCCAGGATAAAGCCCAGGTTGAACTGCCCGACTACTCGCATCTGCCCAAAGTCGCTCTTGGCAATCGTCAGCGCCAGCTTCTCCTCGGCTGCCGTGGCGTTGCCTTCGTCTAGCCTGTCGTCGTCGCCGTCGTTGTCGCCAGCTGCACCCGCACCCTCAACCTCTTCTCGGCTGCCGCCCGGAAGCCGCCATCGCTGTCTCGATGTCGCCATCTTCTCTATCGCTGCCTCGCTGGCTCGCACCGTCTGCACCAGCCGCAGCGTCTCGTACCGCTTCTTCGACCCGCCGCTCTTCAGGAACAGCTGGCTGCGTCTGTCCTCTTCCGTCTCTGGACCTTCTGCTCGACGTGTGTCGACTTCCTGGTCTTGGCCGTCTTCGGGACCCTCCTGCTCGTCCTCGTCGTCCCCAATTGGTACAGCCTCACTCGATTTTTCTTGCCTGTCAGACCCAGACTGAGACATTTCATCTGGCTCCACGCCTTCCATCTGCCCAGCTTCGTCCTCTAGAGCAGCACCCATATCTTCTTCCAACTTCGCTTTCTCTTCTTCTTCTTCTTCTTCTTCTTCTTCTTCTTCTTCTTCTTCCTCTCCTTGTTCCTCCATGTCCTCCTCTTCTCCTTCCCCCTCTTCCTCCTCCCCCTCCTTTTCCACCTTCTCCGTCCTCGCCTCCTCCTCTTGCTCTTTATCATCTTCATCACCCTCGTCTTCATCATCTTCGTCGCCTTCGTTTATACCCCCCTCATCTTCTTCATCTTCCGCTCCGTTAGAACCACCCTTGCGCGCCCCTACAGATGAGAACATCTGTGTCAGAGTGCCGCCAAACGAAGGCAGTGCTTTCCTTGTCCTCGTTTTGCACTGCGTCTCCGTCGACATTGGTCTTCGCGCACCGTCGCTGCTGCCTACTTTTAGCCGCTTCGAGCTCGAAAGCACACTAGTTGACACAGTCGTGTTGCCAATAGTAACTCTGGCAAAGCTAGGAGGGCCTCGCTTCCGTGGACCGAGCTGATACACAATCTCCTCGTCATCGGAAGCATGGCCCGATCTGGGCGGCGATGAAGGTGACTGGGTTGTCCTGGACAACTTCGCCTTGGGCTGCGTCTCTTGCTCGCCAACAGCAGCGCGATCAGATTTCTCGGCCAGCGCACTCGACGGGCTGCTCGCTTGACTGGCGGCCGGCTTCCGAAAGGCCGTGATCTTCTGCGACGACAACTGCGACGTGGGCATGGTGATTTCCTGCTTCTCAAACAGCTCGATCAACGACTCGCGCAGATTGTCCAACATCTTCCCCTGGTCGTGCAGCAGAATCGTCTGCTTGTCCGGGCTGACGTTGACGTCGTAGAGATGGGTGTCCAGCTGGATGTCGGCAAAGATAAAGGGCGCCTGCGACGTGTTGTATGTCCGGTACACCTCGCCGAAGAGCTGCGCAAACTGCGGCAGTTTGCAGGGCCGTCCGTTGACAAAGAACATCTGCCTGTCTGGTGTCTGTCGGCCCTGTCCGTGAGCAGGCCGGGACACGTAGCCCTCGACCCGGATCTCCTGGATGCTGCCGCCGCCACCACCACCGTCTGCGACCGGAGACGTCCATTTGGCCCGCGCATCGCGCGTGAGCTCCAGCTCCATGGTCAGGCCGAGCTGGATCAGCGACGTCATCGTCTTGGCGCCAAAGATGTTGATCAGATTGTCGCGCGTCGTCGCGTTGCCCTTGGTCGAGAAGAGCACCACCCGCTTGCCCTTGCTGGGCTGCTGTGACACGGTGAACTTGACGCCTGTCTGGATGCAGGCGTACTGGTTCAGCAGGCTGACCACCTTACCCCATTCTCGCTTGACGTTGCGCTCGAGCTCGCGCCGTCGCACCGGCAGGTTGAAAAACAGCTTCTCCACCGTCACCGTCGTCCCCTTCTGCGCCGCCACCACGCTGGTGCCCTTGAGCCGGCCCGACGTCTCAAAGTCCAGCCGCGTGCCCTTGGGCACGTCGGCCGCCAGACAGGTCACCACGCTAAAGTGGGACAGCGCGCAGAGCGACGACAACGCCTCGCCGCGGAAGCCAAACGTCTGCAACGTGTCCAGGTCGTCATACTTGGACAGCTTGGACGTGTAGTGCTTCAGCGCGAGGCCCTCGTAGTTCTGCGTCGAGATCCCATAGCCATTGTCCTGCACCTCGACCGAGTCGAGGCCTTGGTTCTTAAACCGAACCTCTGACGTCCACACGGTCAGCGCCAAAGGGACATGTTTCGCTCTAGAGAGACGACACTTACCTATGCTCGTCGCTCCGGCATCAATGCTGTTCTCGACCAGTTCCTTGGCCACAGAGCAAAGATTGACAATCACCTGTCCCGACTGGATTCTATGAACCTGTCAAGTGCAGGACTGTCAGAACCAGACGCCTTGGAGACATCAGATGCCTTATCAAGGGCAACTCACGGCTGTTGCATCAATAGCTTTGATTGTCACTGATTCCGTCGCCATGGTCATCGCTTAGCCATGTGGAATGCTACGCCCGTTGATCAGGCTGCCGTGGACTTCTAGACGTTGATAGCAGAACGGAACCAAGGCCTAGTGCGGAAGGGGCGTCTGACACCGGCTCCGGCTGGGGAATATCCTGAGAACGCGTCGCGTTCTCCGCTTTGGCCCCGCAGGCAGAAGTACCTGCATACTCTTGTTCGTGAATATGCTTAGTCAGCACACAAAAGTACTCCATGTATCTTACTAAACCAGATGGGGTACCACGTCTTGAGACAAGCTTAACCTGAGCTTCTGCGACACAGCTGAAATTCCAGGAGAAGTTGACGTTCATCATGAGCGAGGCGAGACGAACAATTTTGGACAGGTCGACGGTAAAGACAGGCCATGTCGGGCGCAACCATGGTTGCAGCAAGGGGGCGCAAGCCAATTTTACCATACGAGCATACAGCATGGCCACTTCAAAACGGTCGGGAAAAAACTCTAGTTCGCAGTTCGAGCACACGTAAGACTTGAGGATCACAGTCGCTCAGCTCGAAAGCTTCTTTGTGCTCACCATTCTTGCCAAGAGACCCTATCACGTCATGGCTAAGCTTCTCGGTGCCCGACGACCGACAGCAGTTGTGGAGCTTTGCTCTACATAGTAGAGAAAGCCGGTGTCGTCATCGAACCACTCCGGAAGAAGCGCCCCAAACGAGTTAATGCGGCAGGAAAATAGCGCTTCCCGGTTGCGGAATGCGGCGCTGATGAACAGGCAGGATCTTCCTGTCTTGCTCTCCCTTTTACATAAGAGTCGAGTGTGAGCAAGCGGCCGAGGCTGTCCTTCCAGCTTCCAGGCCACCCGATCCTGCGGCCTGACACAAAGCTGCATGCCTTGGCAAGGCTTGAAAAGCCTTGCTCCCAACGAAACAAACAAGAGGAGCGATAGGCAGGTCCCAATTGGCGGCCGCTTGGTGTCCGGCCCGCTTGGTCTGGTCTTATCTTTGGGCTTGGCAAGAAATAGCCGCCTTCGGCAGCCCGATGCAAAGTCTTCTTTTCACTGCTGCGGCCTATGATCCATTGCAACGGCTGATCAGCATACAGGGATAAGCTCTGCTACTACCTACGTGTACTATGTACTCGTACGGAGTACCATTGTACGTCGTAGAAACCGGTATTGTTCCCACTCGTGCACGTCTGGTTTTTGTTTCATTTCTATGTTTCGACCCTCTCGCCACGTTTCGTCTACTATGCAAGCCGCCAACGGACGAAGGATTTGCCTCCTGTTCCTGCAGTTGGGGACAACAAAAGAACCGACAAGTGTACAAAAACAAACTCAGGAAGCGTACCATGTAAGAACAGGACGGGCAGCCCCGAAAAAACCGAGGCATACAAGATACATGGCAGCTCGTAAGCCGACTTGCCGATTGGGCGGCAGTTGTGGCTGGTAACGAAACTAACCAAAGAATACATAGTATGGTACAGCGTGCAGTAGTGTCAGAGCGCCGTTTCCTCTCTAACCCTTCTGGATGGGGAGTTGTTATCGCCACATTCCTTCTGTCTTTCGTCTCAAGCGGCCATCGATCGCTTTAGCGTGCGCCCATTGCTACATGGTATTCGAGCAAGCACTGACAAGAGTTTGCCACCCGCGAGAAAGAGGAGAAAGACCTGCCGCCTACTCCGTAACACTAAGATAGCTCTTTTTTTTATCTTCTCCACCGTTCGGTCCGTTTGGGTGCTTTCGATCGCCCTGGAACCAGCGCTGTAAGATACCCTGGAACAGCGCCCCACCGAGCACTACAGGGGGACCCATCGGCGGCATCTCGCTGCTGCTAATCTCCTTCCTCGACCAATCAATAATACATTTACGAGCCCTCCAACTAGCACGGCGGGCGCTGCTCGCACCTTCCCTCCCAATTTGACAGGGCCGCCAACAACCAGCCAGCCGTGCAAATCCCACTCCGTATTTCCTCCTGCGAGTGCCTCTTTTTGTTCCCATTTTTCCCCTTTGCTTTTTTTCCTGCTTTCCTTTACCCCATCCTCGCTCTCGCTCCCGTCGCTCGTCGCAGCTCCAATTCGCCCTCCACGCACACCCACGACGTCGTCGACGACAATCAGTGGCGGCGAGCCGACCGACCGTGCGCTGCAGGTCGATTTCTGGGATGCAGAAGCCTCCTTCTGGCTTCTCCGACGGTGATAACTCTCCTGTCAGGACATCCAATGCCGCCATCCCGACCTCGCCGATTCTGCCGCACAGCTCTCCGTCCCAGGCGGCGCGGTCTTCCGTGACAAACGGCCTCGAGACCCAGCAGAGCACCGGCGAATCGCGCTCGCACCCACGTCGCCAGCAAAAGTCACCCTCTCTGGCCGACCTGCCGTCCTCTTCGTCCGCGAGAAGCAGGCGATCCACCAATCTGGCGGGCGAGAAGCCTAGCGGCAAGCAGCCGCCGAGGAATGGCCTTGTCTACGCCACGCCCATAGCTCTGCCGGTCACCGCCTCATCTTCATCCTCATCTTCGTCCTCATCCTCATCCTCCACCGCTTCCTCGCCGGCATCGTCACCTCCACAGGCCTTGGCTAGCTCGAGCTACGCTACCGAGCGGATGAACGGCGACAGCAGTTATCTACACGCCCAGCCAGACGCGCTTCCGGCCTGCAGCACGGCTGCGAGCGACTGCAGTACCGGCGCTGGCACCGGCAGTGTCGTGACCAAGTACGCCGGCTGCATCACCGCCCCCAGCATCATGGACAGGTCTCCACGGTCTCGACCTGTGGCTCACAGCAAGCAGCGGTCTCGCAATCCCTGGTCTATCAGCCTCCTCCCCCTCTCCGTCTCGCTGCTGGGCGCCGTCCTGTTGGGACTGATCTTCAACTCTCTCGTCACCCGCCAGCTCGACCCCAAGGGCTGTCGCATGGCTTACATGTACCCTTCCTACACTCGCATCGCCGACTTTGATACCGAACACACCCGGTTCGCCAGCAAATACTCGCTCTACCTCTATCGCGAGGACGGCTTCGATGACAAGACCAAGGTTGGCACGCCTCTCACGCCTCGTCCGTGCTTATACGTCTGCTAACAGCTCTCCAGCTCCGGGGCATTCCCGTCCTGTTTATACCGGGAAATGCCGGCAGCTACAAGCAGGTCCGCCCCATTGCTGGCGAGGCTGCCCAGTACTTTCACAACGTCGTGCAGCACGACCAGGCGGCGTTGCGCAGTGGCGCCCGTACGCTCGACTTCTTCACGGTCGACTTCAACGACGACATAACCGCGTTCCACGGCCAGACGCTGCTCGACCAGGCCGAGTATCTGAACGAGGCCATCCGCTACATTCTCTCGCTCTATCTCGACCCGACCATTGCGTACCGCGACTCCAACCTGCCCGACCCGGCCTCGGTCATCGTTCTGGGCCACTCGATGGGCGGCATCGTGGCCCGCACGATGCTGATTATGCCCAACTACCAGTCCAGCTCGATCAACACGATCGTCACGCTCTCGGCCCCCCACGCCCGGCCTCCAGTGACGTTTGACAGCGAGATCGTCAAGATCTACGACGACATCAACGGCTACTGGCGACGGGCCTATTCGCAGAAGTGGGCCAACAACAATCCTCTGTGGCACGTGACACTCGTCTCCATTGCTGGTGGTGGTCTCGATACCGTTGTGCCATCTGACTATGCGAGCGTCGAGTCCCTCATGCCCGAGACCCACGGCTTCACCGTCTTCACCACCACCATCCCCAACGTGTGGACGAGCATGGACCACCAGGCTATCTTGTGGTGCGACCAGTTCCGCAAAGTCATTGCCCGCACCTTGTTTGACGTCATCGACGTGCACCGAGCGACGCAGACGAAGCCTCGTGCAGAGCGCATGCGCGTTTTCAAGAAGCACTTTCTCACCGGCCTGGAGGCTGTCGCCGAGAAGGACATGCCGTCCAAGGAGCACTCGACCCTCCTGACGCTCGACAACAGCTACAGCACCATCGTGGCCCAGGGCGAGCGGCTCGTGCTGCGCCGGCTGGGCAGCTCGCCACGGGCACACGCCCATCTGCTGCCCATCCCGCCGCTTGGCTCGCTCGTAGGCAAGCGCTTTACCCTGATGACCGACCAGCGCCTGGATGGCCCTGGCGATGCCGGGAAGGTCGAGGTCCTGTTCTGCAGCGCGTTCCCCCTGCAGTCGAGCCAGACGGGCGCGTTTTCTATCAAGATCGACCTGTCGTCGGCAGAAAATGCCGGGTCGACGCGGCTGGCCTGCAAGAACGCCACCCAGGATGTCATTGAGCTGCCTGCATCGCGCAGCACGTCCCGCCACCCGTTCTCGCTGGACGAGCGCGACTCGGCGCCCTTCTCCTACCTGCAGTACAACGCCGAGCAGATTGCGGGCCACCAGTTCGTGGCCGTCATCGACAGGGCAACCGTGCCTACGCCCGGCTTTGTGGTGGCCGAGTTCAGCGACAACGACAAGGCCCGCCACTCGCACGACGTCAGCTTGCGCCATCTGCTGAGCTTCGGCCTCAAGGTCCGGCTGCCGGCGAACCACGCAATGGTGACGGAGATCCGGATTCCGGCGGTGCAGTCGAGCCTCTTGGCCTACAACCTGGAGATCGAAAAGCAGTTCTGCGCCGAGGCCTCGGCCGAGCTCTTCACGCCACTCGTGCGCCAGTTCATGTCGGAGCCGTTCGAGTCCAAGTTTTACGTCAACGCCCGTCGGGCCAGCGTGAGCCTGCATGGCACTGCGCCCTACATGCCGCCAGCGCTGAAGCAGAGCGCGGCTGACGAGACAGGCCTAGGCTTCCAGCTCTGGGCAGACCCGACGTGCAACTCGAGCGTGCAGCTGAAGCTGACAGTCGACATCATGGGCAGCATGGGCAAGCTCTACATGCGCTATCGGACCGTGTTCGCGGCCTTTCCCGTTCTCGTCGTTGCCCTGGTGCTCCAGAAGCAGTTCAGGGTCTACGACGAGACGGGCGTGTTCGTCTCGTTCTCCGAGGGCCTGAACGGCTCTCTGCGGCAGTCACTCCCGCTGGTCCTGGCATCGCTGACGTTGCTGTCGCTCTCGGTCGGCAGCTCGCAGGGTGGCCCGGGCTCGACGGGCTTGATGCCCTGGCACAACGCTACGACCGCAGCCCTGGACTTTCACCAGAACGAGCTGCTCGTGGGCACGCAGGACCCGTTCTTCTGGTTTCTCACGCCGTTGATCGGCGTCATCTGTGTCGGCGTCTGCACGGCCCTCAACTATGCCGCGCTGGCCCTGACGCACATCCTCAGCATCGTCCTGAGCCTGGCGCTGTCACGGCCGGCCTGGCTGCGACACGATCAGCGCAGCACGCAGCAGACCGGCCAGGCCGACGGACAGCAGCCACAGCAACCACAGCTCCCACTCCAGCAGCTCCAGCAGCTGCAGACCCAGCTGTACTTTGCGCCGGCGTTTGCGCAGGCATCGCCGCGCAGACGCGTGGTGACGACGATGGTGCTTCTCCTGCTCGTGACGACCTTTATTCCGTATCAGTTTGCGTACCTGGTCGCCTGTCTGGTTCAGATCGCGACGACGGTGCGGGCTCTGCGGGCTGCTTCGGACCTTCGGTCCACCATCAACTACAACTTTTACAACTACGTCCACTCGATCCTCGTTCTGATGCTCTGGATCCTTCCGATCAACCTCCCCACCCTGGTCGTCTGGATCCGGAACCTGGCGGTGCACTGGCTGACGCCCTTCTCGTCGCACCACAACGTGCTTTCCATCATGCCGTTCATCGTGCTGGTGGAGACGCTGACGACAGGCAAGATGGTGCCTCGCCTGACGACTCGGCTGCGGCACGTGACCAGCATTCTTCTCTTCGGCATGGCCATCTGCTCTGCCGTCTACGGGGTGTCGTATGCGTACATGATCCACTACCTCGTCAACCTGGTCGTGTTCTGGCTGTGCATCGTACACTCGACGGGCGAGCCGGGCGCCTGGTCCGTCACCCTGATCAGCGGCATCTTTGGCGATGTTGGCCGCGACGGAAAGCAGGGCAAGGCACCATGACACAATGTTGTAATGTGTGCATTCTTTCTGACCCAGTTTTCCTTGTCTACTGCATACGGCATGCGGCATTCGCTGTTCCTTTTCTCTTTCTCTTTCTCTTTTTGGCTTTGAATCCGGATTTTTGTTACGGGGGCAGGGGTAATCTATACATCTTCCTCATCGGGGTTGGATGTTTTCTTTCTTGGCAGCCGGCGCAATGGAGTTTTTTATTGTTTGCTTCGCTCTGTGCATAGAGCCAGAAAGCAGGATGCTGGAGGCTTATGCGGTCTGCCTTTTGGACTGCGTGTGGTTGTTGTCCTCGTACTTCACCACAAGCTGTCAGCCCTGTTTTGTCCCTTTTTTTTTCTTTTTTCGTGGCGCATCTGTCTTCCCAAACACGGGAGAGTGAGAGAACGAGAGAGAGAGAGAGAATTCAGATGGCGAGCACGGCGCCCCTTGTGTATATCTGCTATTGGCTGTTTCTGTTGTCCCCGTTCGCTATGCCAGCGCAGGAGCAGCACGCCTAGGGTTATCTGTGTTCCCCTCTCTCTCGCCTTCCCGGACGAAGGACGAGGATGGATGGACAAGCGGATCGGCGACGACAGCTCTTTTAAACGTTAATATCTATTCTTCGCCTTGGGGGGCAGACCAGCCGCGGCCGGGCCTGTCTCTCCCGGGGTATAATGTTGTTGTGGGATGGGGGATTCAAAGCTTTAATCTGTGGAACCAGCGGGAGCAGGGAACGGCCATCATGCATATATGAAGGAGATGGCACGGGTTGTAAGCAGGGGCACTGGGTAGCCCCGGGCTTTGCAATGCATATGCAGTGTAGATACAGGACAGAGCAGCAGGCCGAGGAAAAAAATTCCAAGACGTCTTCCAGACCGGATGATTTATTATGCCAAGGTGAATAAAGGACTGCAAAGATCGTAGTCACATATGCGTTGCCAATCATACAAGCCGCACGCCGGACAACGACGAAAAAGAGGACAAAAGAGGCCAAAAGAGAGGAAAAGACAAAGGAAAATAGGTAAAGAAAGAAAGACCAGCTGGTGGCTGTCGGCTGTCGGCTGTCAGGGTGCCAGTTGCCAGTTGCCAGTTGCCAGTTGCCAGTTGCCAGTTGCCAGTTGCCAGTTGCCAGTTGCCAGTTGCCAGTTGCCAGTTGCCAGTTGCCAACTGCCAACTGCCACCAGCCACCTGCCATCTGCCATCTGCCACTACTTGTCTGCCATCAGCGACTGCACCACGCGGCTGTAGAACTTGGCCGCCTGCGCCCGCGGAAACGAGATCTCCTCGACCAGGTAGTCGGGCAGCCGGCTGATAAGATCAGCGTCACGGCTGGCGTCGAGCTGCGGCATATAGACAAACTGGGACTCGTTGTCGTCGTCGCCGCCGCCGTCGCGGCCATGGCTGCTGTCGTTGTCGATGCAGAGCTTGAAATGCAGACTGCCACTGCGACCGGTCTGGATGCAGTCGTACAGTTCGCGCGAGCCGTCACGCCGCGCCGAATAGACCAGCAGGCCGGTCAGGTCGCCGTACAGGTTCTCCTTGAGCTGGACGACCTGACTGGCCGCGGCTGCCGCAGCAGCAGCAGCTCGATCGGCTGCCAGACCACCGTGGCCGGCCATCTTCTTCATCGCACTGCCCGGTACTACGCCGGCCACAGCCCCAGCCGCCACGCCCTCGGCCACCGACGTGCGCGCGGCCGCCAGCTTCGTCGTCAGCGACCGCGCCTCGGCCTTGGCGTCGCCCAGCGCTGCCGTCAGCTGGTCCACACGTCCTTGCAGTTCGGCAGCTCGTGCCTCACACGCATCCCACTCGCGCTTCGCTCGCGCTCCCTCCTTGGCCAGATCCCGGTACGTAGCCAGCTCGGCCCTGAGGCTGGCGATCAGCTCGTCCGAGACTAAAGGTCAGTCGACAGGAAAGAGAGAGAAAAAAAAGATATACACTAGAAAACACTCACTCTTCACCCTCTCATCCCCCTGCCTCTTTAACCGTTCAAAGTTGCGCTCGGCCTCCTTCACGCCAACGTCGCGCAGGTTCTGGAACCGGACCTCGAGCGAGTCGTGCTTCTTGGTCAGGTCGCCAAGCCGTCGCCGTACGGCCGCGTCGCCTGATGGTTCCGACGACACAGCCACACCTTTTCCTCGCAGCGCTGACGATGGCCGCTGTGCTGGTTGGCTGCGACGCATCGGCGACTGGAAGCCGGCCTGAGACGTCGCTGGAGGCGCCTCTGTCTGTGCGTGCATCGTCGTCTCGTCGTCGGCCTTCTCGTCTATGTCCATGCTGTCTGTGAGCTGCGTTGCTTCGTCCTGGTCGTCGCCCTCTTCTGCCTCTGCTGTCTCGTCCTGCTCCATCGACTCGTCTTCCTCTTCCACCGCTGCCTTCTTCCCCGCTGCTGCTGCTTTCCTCCTGCTGGCCTTGGGCGCCTCTTTGCCTTTGTTCTCGTCCTTGTCCTTGGCAGCTTGTGCACCAGCCTTGGGCCGTCCCCGTCCGCGGTTTTTTGCTGTCTCTTCTGCTTTGGCTGATGCTGCTGTCTCTGCGTCTGTGTCTTCGCCGTCCTCTGTAGAAACTGCTGCCGCTGCTGCTGCTGCCTTGCGCCCAGTCCGTCCCCGTCCCTTGGCTTTGGCCGGTGCAACCGCCTCAGCAAGCTGCTCGTTGGTCCGGTCTGCCAGTACCTGTCGGCTGGTTGCTGCTGCCTCTTCTGCTGCCTCTGCAATCGCTGCTTCCGCTGCTGCCGCTCTCCTGCGTATCGCTGCCGCGCTCTCCTTCTTCTGTGCTGGCTTCGTGATCTTGCTGGCTGTGCTTGACGCTTTCGTTGCGGCTGCCGGCGCCTGCTGCCGGCCTTTCTTGGGTGGCATGTCGCGGATGGATGTCGTTTTCTTTGTCGCTGTAGTCGTTGATGCTTTTGCTGTTTTCGCTTTTGCTGCTGCTGCTGCTGCGGTACCTCCTCCTAGATCGTCTTCTGAGTCTGATTCGACCAAGTTCAGCAAGTTGGACGAAGCCTTTGTCCTAGCCATATGGTAGTTGAGGAACAAAAATCGCCACGGTTGTTGTGATATGCAGCCAATTTCTCGTATTGACCCGCTGGGGATCAGGGATGACAAAGTCGTACTACGACGTATGTACTTTGTACTCCGTATCGAGCGGGAAAAGGAAGACTGGATCTCGGGGAACGGTGGACGTCGTGGAACACGCGGCTGTGGAGAGAGGACGGAAGAGGGGCAGAATTGTGCAGTGATTGGCGGTGTCCTACGCGCCGGTTGTCTAGACAACTGAGAGCCTGCCAAAGACCGTGCCCAAACAACCGTGTGCACAAAACCCCACCCAGGATCACATGATTGGCTCACACGTGGCAAGGGTTTCGCCAGCCGAGTTCAGCTCAAGAGAGGAGGCAACAACTGGGCCAAAGCCAACACACATGCCAATCGACCAAAAGTGCTCACCGCGTCCACCACCGCTGTCAAGCATCATTATCAACGGCAACACGCGCAGAGCCGCTGTCACCGGACATTCCTGCCATCTGCTTTTCGAATCCGTTTGATAGGCTTTGGATTGGCTCGTCCGTCACGTCTCTCTCTTCGCTCTTCTAGTCTTTTGTTTTCTACACAGTCGTCGCCATGGGGGACCGAAAGCGTGTGGGCGACTATGTCATGGATTTTGTCCTCTTTGCCGGCATGGTGGGCTTTCCCCCCGATGGAATGCAATGCACAATGTGACAGGCCGCTGACAGCTCTTTGTGCACACACACAAGTACGGGCCACGCTCTACTTTTTGTCCAAGAACATACTCTCGTCATTTGCGACCAATCTCGATCCCGACAAGGAGAAGCACGACCAGGCGCGGCTCCGGGCACGGGCCAACATCCAGCGGCTGCTCAAGGACCAGGGCGGCGACGCCAACGAGGCGGGCGGTGATGGAGTCGGCGAAGACGGGCTGCGCGGGCTCCGGCCTGAAGACCTCGAGCTCAACGAGTACGAGAACATGATCGCGCTCGAGGTGGTGCCGCCCGGCGACATTGCGGTCGGCTTCGACGACATTGGCGGCCTCGACGAGATCATCGAGGAGCTCAAGGAGTCGGTCATCTACCCCCTGACCATGCCCCAGCTCTACTCGCACGCCGCCCCGCTGCTGGCTGCCCCGTCTGGCGTCCTCCTCTACGGACCCCCCGGCTGTGGCAAGACCATGCTGGCCAAGGCTCTGGCCCACGAGAGCGGCGCCTCCTTTATCAACCTGCACATCTCCACCCTGACGGAAAAGTGGTACGGCGACTCCAACAAGCTCGTCCGGGCCGTCTTCTCGCTGGCCCGCAAGCTGCAGCCCGCCATCATCTTCATTGACGAGATCGATGCTGTGCTGGGCACCCGTCGGAGTGGCGAGCACGAGGCCAGCGGCATGGTCAAGGCCGAGTGCGTTACTTTTCTTTTGCAGCTCCTTCAGACTCCGTCTTCATCTCCCTAACACGTCTAGATTCATGACCTTGTGGGACGGCTTGACGTCGTCCAATGCGGCCGGCGTGCCGTCACGTATCGTCGTCCTCGGCGCCACGAACCGCATGCACGAGATCGACGAGGCCATCCTGCGTCGCATGCCCAAAAAGTTTCCCGTCCCGCTGCCGGCCGCCAAGCAGCGCCTGCGCATTCTGCAGCTGGTCCTCGGCGAGACCAAGCGCGACCCCAAGTTCGACATTGATTTTGTCGCCAATGTCAGTGAAGGCCTCTCGGGCAGCGATATCAAGGAGATCTGCCGCGATGCTGCCATGATGCCCATGCGCGAGTATCTGCGCGCCCACCACGCGTCAGGCAACCCGAACTCGCAGATCAACCCGGCCGATGTCCGCGGCCTCCGCACTGACGACTTTTTCACCCACCGCAACATGGAGGAGATACAGACGCAGACCCAGGTCCTGGCCCAGACCCTGGCACAGGCCCAGGCCCAGTTTCAGGCCCAGGCTCAGGCCCAGTTTCAGGCACAGACACAGGCACAGGCACAAGCACAGGCACAGCCAAGAGAAAAGGGCACCCGCCGCCGTTCACGCCGCTCATCTGCGTCGACAAAGAAGGCAGACAAGCCGGCAGCCACGGCCAATGGAGACGGCGATGATGACGACGACGCATACGAGGACGTGGACGACGACGAGTCCCTTCAGGCTCTGACAGTAGACTGAGCCGGCTGTGTGTCTGGTATCTTGGACTCATCTCTGCTCTGCTAAATGTCGTATTTTGGATATGTTGGGAGTTTGAGGTCACGTGCAATTATTTGTATGGGAAATGGGAGCATCTGAATTGGCGTTTTTGTATGTCATCTCTTTCTGGCTTAATAGGATATGCACAAAGGCAGGTGCCACGGCTCGTCTGAGCACGCCATCTCTGCTCCAAAATTTCTAGTGCATGACGCATTTTAGCGGACTACTTTGGCCTAGCGCACGAGTGGCGCTATGAGTCAGGTATTGCATAAACAGCGGCCGGGGAAGTCTCGCCTTCGGTTGCAGTCCGTCTTCGGCATTGAGAGAATCGATTGGGATCACACAAGTCGAGCAGAATCACGAAACGGTAGTCTTCCGGGATTGCTCAACGCGCAAGAAGGCAGTGCTGTATTTGTGTGGTCATTGTATCGTCCCAACTGTCTCTGACTATCTTGACGATCTCCAGTTTTTTCAGAGTGTTTTTAGACTTCCCCTCTCCGTTTTCGCTGGTCTTCTTTCTCAACTTTCTGCCTTGTTCTCACTCAGCGTTTGTGGGTGCATCGTTTGTGGACGCCTTGCTCTGTACGCTCTCACCTCTCACCTCTCACACGCGCACGCACACGCACACACCACCGACAATGGCCGAACAACCAAGCAGCGGCCCGTCCGCCTCGACAAAGACCAAGGAGGTCGTTCGGGTCGACCAGGACGGACACGCGCTGCCGCCGACGCCGGCGCCGTCGACGCCCTCCAATGAGCGGCGGCGATACGCTCTGGCGACGGAGCTGGTGTACACGGAGACCAAGGACCAGCACGGAGCGTCGAGCATGCCGATCTACCAGTCGGCGACGTTCAAGCAGACGTCCGCAGGTGGCGGCGGAGAGTACGACTACACGCGGTCGGGCAACCCGACGCGAACGCACCTGGAGCGGCACCTGGCCAAGGTGATGGGTGCGAGCCGGACGCTGGCGGTCAGCTCAGGGATGGGAGCCCTGGACGTGATCACGCGGCTGCTGCGGCCGGGCGACGAAGTGGTGACGGGTGATGATCTCTACGGCGGCACAAACCGGCTGCTGACATACCTGGCCAAGAACCAGGGCATCACGGTGCACCACGTGGACACGACGCGGGTCGATGCGGTCGTGCCGCTGTTGTCGGCCCGGACGGCCATGGTGCTGCTAGAGACGCCGACGAACCCGCTGATCAAGATCGTGGATCTCGCGCGCATCGCGGCCGCAGCGCATGCTGCCAGCGCGGCTGCGCTCGTCGTGGTCGACAACACGATGCTGTCGCCGATGCTGGCCAACCCGCTGGACCTCGGGGCCGACATCGTGTACGAGTCCGGCACCAAGTACCTGTCGGGCCACCACGACATCATGGCTGGCGTGATCGCGGTCAACGATGCCGACCTCGGCAACCGGCTCTTCTTCACCATCAATGCCACCGGCTGCGGGCTCTCGCCCAACGACTCCTTCCTGCTGATGCGCGGCATCAAGACGCTCGCCATCCGCATGGAGCGCCAGCAGGCCAACGCCCAGCGCATCGCCGAGTTCCTCGAACACCACGGCTTCCGCGTCCGCTATCCCGGCCTCAAGTCCCACCCGCAGTACGATCTGCACTGGTCCATGGCCCGTGGCGCCGGCGCTGTCCTCTCGTTCGAGACCGGCGACCCCGCCCTGTCCGAGCGCATCGTCGAGGCCACCCGGCTCTGGGGCATCAGCGTCAGCTTCGGCTGCGTCAACAGCCTCATCAGCATGCCCTGTCAGATGAGCCACGCCAGCATCGACGCCAAGACCCGCCAGGAACGCAATATGCCCGAGGACATTATCCGTCTGTGCGTCGGCATCGAGGACGTCAACGATTTGATTGATGATCTGCAGAGAGCGGTACGTATTTTCTCTCCTTTTCTTCTTTTTTTCCTTTCTTCCCTTCTTCCCTTCTTCCCTTCTTCTCTTCTCAATTTATCCTCTTTCCTTTCTCTAACACACCCAGCTCGTCCAAGCAGGTGCCGTCAGCCTCACCCTGGATGGCTTCCACGCAAACGGAGCCGGCCAGGAGGCCACGCAGACACAATAGGCAGTGGTGGCAAGAGAGGTCACTCTCATTAGGTTTATGTGTTATTAAGTCATGGTCAATGTAGTTCATCTGGATGGGTCATATACGGTGCTCTGGGAAAACCAAAAGAACAAAGCAACGTGGTAGCGGGCGGTCGACTTTCAATATACAGCATATTAGTTGGTCTTGCATGTACTTCGTACTCTGTTGAAAATCCACCATACAAAAGGTGGTCAATTGATGGGAACTAGCAGCCGAAGACTCGTCCACAGCCATCTATATGCTAAGACTACAAAGTCGGACAAAGGAAAACGGAGCGAAGACAACTAAAGCCAACCTTCCATAAGTTCAAAGCGCTCAATGTACCCGTAAACAAAAGAAAAGTGCTTGGCAAAGCAAAAGCGGGAATTTCTACAATCCAATCCGCACCATATACACTAAAAGTCCCGGCCAGGAAGCAGGATAGGCGCCACCAGAGTCCAAACGTACAGAGAGTAGCAAACCCACGAGCTGACAATCTTGACCCAGGTAGCCCAGTTGGTTCGGCCGACAGTGGCAAAGTCGCCGTCCCTAGTCGAGTCCTCGTAGTTCATGGTGAGCAGCGTGGCAACCCAGGCGGTGGCCAAGAAGAAGATGATGTGGAACATGGTGTAGCTGTATTGCGTGCTGCTGCGCTCGTCGTCGCCGGTATGATTGCCGCCATCGTGACTGCTGTCATCATCATCGTCGTCGTCGGACAGAAGCGCATCGGCCGGCAGGCTTCCCTCGGCCACGGCACGTCGCAGGGCCTCAGCACGCATCTCCCGGCGCGACGGCTGCTGGGTGACCAGGTCGTGCGACGAGTAGCTGTCCTCGTCGTCGTCGTCTGGCAAACGGATGGCACCGTGGCCGCCGAGGCCCAGGGTGTTCGTTGCAGCCCGTGTGGTGGTCCAGGCCACGGTCAACATGGTGACGATGGCGCCGATGACGACGGACGTGGTGCGCGTGCCCTGGGCCAGCAGCAGTGGGTTGCAGTGCTTGTCGGCGGAGGTGTCCGGCTTCATCGACACGGCCGACATGGTCAGGTACGTGCAGTAGACTGCGACCATGGCAGCCTGAGCCAAGCCGGCACGCGGATTGAGCTCTTGGACGCGGGGGTGAACCGAGACGGCCGAGGCGAGGACGAGGAAGGCGAGGTTGAAGCTAATGGCGGTCTGGTTGACAGAGCAACCGCTGGCGCCGAAGAAGACGTACTGCAGCACCGTCATGACGATGGAGGCGAGGTACATGCCCAGAGTCGAGCCGACGAGCACGTAGCGCCACACGCGCGACTCGCTTTCCTCGATCTGCTGCAGGCAGTACTCAGCCCACGAGTGAGCCATGTCGACCAGCAGGATCAAGCCGAGCACGAGGAAGAGCATGGCGCAGACGAACGCGATGTAGTTGCCCCAGAAGATGAAGAAGGCATCGGGGATCAGAAAGGAGAGCACGATAAAGGCGAGCCAGGCAACGATCTTGGGGCCCCAGTAGCCGTTCTGCAGGGCCGCGCGCGGATGCTTGGACGAGGACACGCCGACGAGCAGGCCGGCAAATATGAGGTGGAAGAGCCCGAGGGCAAAATTAATGCGGTGCACGGCCAGCCAGCCGTAGCACTGACCGGTCGGACAGTTGATCTTGACGTAGTCCAGCATAAGATGTTCGAGCTTGTTGATGGCCCAGGGCGTTTCCATGATCCAGGCCAGGATCGAGTTGAGGACGAGGATGAGCGCATAGCCGATGCGCGTCGCAATGCTGGCTATGTCAGGATGCAGTTGAGTGAAGCGTGAGAGTGTGACGAGACGAGAGACATCCCACAAGACCTACCTGTTGCCGCATTTGCCACAGGCACTGCAGACCATGGAGCATGTTGCCGCACCGCAACAGCTGGCACCAAACGAGAGCAGCTGGCCGTGTTAGCGGTCTAATCGCAAGCTGGGACCAGAGAGACAAACCGTCGAGACGCTCGGCACCGCCAGGAGCGGAATCGAAAGCAAGGCACCCATGTTGGCAGCCTTGGAGAGACGTAAACAGAAGCCCAGACCGACGACCAGGACGGGGGCGGTAAGGCCGGAAAGCGGACGAAAATGGACGCAGAGGGCGCAGAAGTGGAGGGTAGTTGGTGGTTCGGAATGCACAACGGACCTGTCCGCTGTAGGTTGAAGACAAAGGAGACGAAAGAAGGCGAATTCTGCAAGATGCTGTTGCTCCGTATCTTACGTCGTCATGAGACAGCCACGCCTTGTAATGCGCCACATGTCACGTGATCGTCTGCACGTGTCGGTGTGCTTATCAGCCTGCATTGGCTCGTCCTGAAGCGGCTTGAGACAGAGCTGACTAGCGGCGCGCGCCTTCTCAATCTCGGGGAACTCCTTCATCAGAGGACAGCTGGATCGGAATCCCCAGTCCGACTGTCCATCAGCCATCCGGCGCCCAGTACAGCCCGAATTCCGCTTCTATTTCTGTCGCCGCTGCTGCGTTTTCTCGAGCTTCCTACGTCTTGCTCTCCTTTTCTGTATCATTTCCTTGTATCATTTCCTTGTATAGACTCCTATCCCTTTCCTTATCTCCACCTTCAGCGTCTCTGCACAGACATCTACGTATCAATCTTACTTGGCTCTGTGCCTGCGGCACATACATAGCGGCTGCCAAGAGCGAGACGAAGCTTATCCAGGCCTCTTGGTCTCCAACTCTCTAGATTCAATCTACCACGTCTAGACTGTAGGCGAGGCGCATCGACGTCTTCAGCCACCGCAGCGATGCATGAAGGGAAGTTACATCGAGCACGCATCGTGTCGAGCGTGGCAGCAACGGTGATTTCGCTAGCCTGTGGGACAAACGTGAGTGTTATGTGCATGTGTATGTGTGTGTGTGCCCTGCTGACCTGCTCTCCGTCCAGTATGTGTACTCGGCATGGGCGCCGCAGTTTGCCGACAAGCTGCAGCTGTCGGCGACGCAGTCGAACCTGATCGGACTCTCGGCCAACCTGGGCATGTACTCGCTCGGCGCGCCGGTCGGCATGTTTGTTGACGGCAAGGGTCCGCGGCCAGCTGTCGCCGTCGGTGCCGTGCTGCTCGGTCTCGGCTATTTTCCGCTGCAGCAGGCCTTTGTGGCCGGCGCTGGCGCCGTGCCTGCTCTCTGCTTCTTCTCCTTTCTGACCGGTCTCGGCGGCTGCATGGCCTTTGCCGCTGCCGTCAAGACGTCGGCCCTCAACTGGCCGCATCACCGTGGCACGGCCACTGCCTTCCCGCTGGCCGCCTTTGGCCTCAGCGCCTTTTTCTTCTCCGTCCTCGGCTCCATCGCCTTTACCGACAACACCGCCGCCTTTCTGTTGCTGCTCGCTCTCGGCACCGTCTGCCTCATCCTGCTCGGCTTCTGTTTCTTGCGCGTGCTGCCCCACGGCCATCCGGCCGCCGCCGCCGCTCCCTACGACGCCTTGCCCACATCCTCCCCCGACGCTATCGGCATCGACGACGACGACGATGACAGCCTCGCCGCCAAAGCCGCGTCGCGCAAAAGCCGCCGCGGGACTGCCGCCCGCAGCGAACCTGGTACGTTGCTCTACACCGACAATGGTCGCGATCTCGGTAGCAGCGAAGCCGACGCAGCAGAAGCAGCAAACGACAAGGGCACAGGCGCACGCGAGCAGAAGGCGACCACCAGCACCGGCCCTGTCACAGCCTCGGTGGCCGCCGCCCCGTCGTCTGCTGCCCTCTCGGAAGAAGATGCCGACCACGTGCCCATGGACGAGACGTCTTCTCTCATGTCGCGGACCTCTTCACTGCCCGGCGACGTTTTGGTGCAGAACAGTGTTGATATGGATCGATCCCACCGTATAGACATCCGCGGTTGGAAGCTGCTCAGCAACATCGAGTTTTGGCAGCTCTTTTCCATCATGGGCATCCTCTCTGGGATTGGCCTGATGACGATCAAGTGCGTTCTTTTGTCTTTCTTTCTCTCTTTCTCGCCCCCTCTCTAACGGCCTACAGCAATATCGGACATGATGCCAACGCGCTCTGGAAGCACTACGACAGCTCTGTGCCAGAGAGCCTGCTGGTGCAGCGGCAGCAGATGCACGTGGCCATTCTGTCCATCGGTAGCTTCGTGGGCCGTCTTTTGAGTGGTACGTCACCGACTTTTCCCTCCTGTTCCCTTTGTCTCCGCATCTACGTATCCGTGCTGAATCGGGAGCAGGCGTCGGCTCCGACTTTCTCGTCAAGCGGATGGAGGCCAGCCGGGTCTGGTGTCTGGTCATCGCGGCCAGCGTCTTCATCGTGGCCCAGCTGCTGGCCCTAACCATTGTCAATCCGCACTTCCTGGCCCTCGTGTCGAGCCTTTCGGGTCTTGGCTACGGCTTCCTCTTCGGCGTCTTTCCCTCCATTGTGGCCGAGTCGTTTGGCATCCACGGCCTGTCGCAGAACTGGGGCTTCATGACCCTGTCGCCCATCGTGTCGGGCAACGTCTTCAATCTGTTCTACGGCTCCGTCTTTGACCGGCACACCGTCACCGGGCCCGACGGTGAGCGCTCGTGTCCCGACGGCATCGAGTGCTACCGTGCTGCCTATGTTGCTACACTGGGTGCCTGCGGGCTCGGCCTCGTGGTCACGCTCCTGGTCATCCGGCACCAGTACCTGCAGCGGCTCAAGGACGCCGGCAAGCGCAGTCTGGAGGATTGAGCCCGGCACAAGCCATGCAAGCCACGACTGCGGCCTTTTGGATGTGGTTGTGGCTAACATCGGACTGATTTTTGCGTCCGCAGAAGAATCTATTTCCTTAATATTGGTTTACGTTTGGGTATTTCCTGGATTTTTTTGGATTTTTTTTTTTTTTTTTGCTTTTAGAACGGCGGATTTGGTGCAGCCAGTTTTGCAGGCGACCACGTATAGAACCTTATAGATCATATCATTATCGAGTTTGTTTTGTCGAATTGCTTACGTTACAAGGGATGGCGGCACGGCTGCGAGCTGTCAGTGGATGGCAATTGCCGGATTGGCGCTGTCAGAATGCCACTGACGTCAGCACTACATTAAATTTCTAATGATTTATGCATGTCAAAGCGGTCGTCTTGCTGCGATTAGATTGGATCAGCAGCATCTGTCTCTATGGCCCCTTTGCTCGATTGCGCCCTTCGTTTTGCTCTTCGCTTGTGCGTTTTGTGCTGCTTTTGCCTTTCCTCAATCGGCTCCGCGAATGGCCTTGACGAAAGGGCCTCTGTTTTAGTTGTCCTTTTTGCGCCAAAACCGACAAGATGGGATTAACAGCCATCGGCACAGGGCTTGGGCATGCCACTGTTGCTTCGGATGCATCGGGCCCTGTCCGGTTTATGAACCCTACGACGCGCTATGTGGCCGTTCCAAAGGTGCATGCGGGCAGCGTGGCAGCAGGGAGAAGTGGCAAGAGAGGAAAGAAGACGGCCGAACTGCCACAATGCACATCAACGGCAACACCGGCGTCTCCCAAGGTGCGACACCAGGTGTATCACATCTGGCGCAGCCGAGACAACCGCAAGGGACGACATGCCGTCGTTGTCAGCCGGGCATTTTACCTCCATAGTCTCCGTCAGCGCATCCACGATCTCGAACACGAAGAGAAGAGAGCAGCGGCAGCACGCCACGCGGCAGCTCTACGGGCCACCAGCTCGCTGCGGGAGACGCTGCGCGGCATCGGCAAGATGGCTGTGCGCTGGCCGGTGTGGGACATCTCGTTCGACATTGCCCTGTTCTTCACGCTCGGCTCTGCCATCTGGGTCATCAACGCCTTTTTCGTCTGGCTGCCGCTGCAGGCACCTGCCACCAGCTTTGCCAACGAATCGGGCACAGGCGGCGGTACGACTGCGCTGGCCGGTGGCACCGTCTTTGTCGTCGGCGCACTGCTGGGCATGCTCGAGGCTGTCAACGAGAACGACGGCGACTGCTTCGGCTGGGCCCTCGAGGAGGCCATGGCCACCGTCGGGACGAACGGCAACCCGCTGCTGCTGCTGCTGCTGCCACGTCCAGACGCCTGCCGGCACCACCAGGCGCAGCGATGGCGGCTGCTGGGCAGCAAGGCCGAAGACGACACAGCAAATGGAGCCCGTCGCCGCCAATGGTCTTGGTGCCCGTCGTGGCACGAGCTGCGCACGCACTACCTGCACGATATCGGCTTCTGGGCCTGTGCCATCCAGGTGGTGGCGGCCACGATCTTCTGGATCGCCTGCTTCACCGGCCTGCCGCCCGCCTTCGACCGGCTCTCGCTGGCGGCACAGAACGGTATCTACTGGCTGCCCCAGGTTGTCGGCGGTACCGGCTTTGTCGTCTCCAGCCTGCTCTTCATGCTGGAGACCCAGCCGTGCTGGTACCGGCCGGCTCCGGGCCTTTTGGGCTGGCACATTGGCTTCTGGAACCTGGTCGGCTCCCTCGGCTTCACGCTGTGCGGCGCCTTTGGCTTTGCGGCAACGCAGAGCGCCGACATGAACTACGCGGCCGCGCTGTCCAGCTTTATCGGGTCATGGGCATTTCTAGTATGTCGGCTTCCCATCTGCTTCTACGATATGCTAATAATGGCGTGCAGGTTGGCAGCGTGATTCAATGGTATGAAAGCCTGGACAAATATCCAGTGACAATTAAAAGCTCAATACGCGGCGAGAGCCTGGACTAGCCTAAAAGTTTGTTGCATATTCTTGTAAAGGTGTTAATCTTGTCATGCCGGGTCTGGATATACTCAGCCCCGTGTGGAATCTGATAATTTGAAATGGTCCAGAAGCAGACTGACAACAAGCCTCAAGCCTACAGCAACATTACCGACAAGATGAGATCGATCCGCACATACTCGACATGCTCATGCAACCTTGTACCGAGGCCCTGGACTGTCAAGCTGCACTGCTGCCGGTTGCCGAACTCTTACATGTGATCCATGTGATCCGTAAACATATCGGCGACCTGGTCCACGACCGCTGGCTAGTAAAATAACAGGAGCAGTCCGCAAATCTTAGAAACCACATACATCTCAACTCTGGTTCACGGCTGCGCAATCGTCCTATGTGAGCGGCCGCCCCGATCATGGTAACACTCGCATGTCATCAGCTCATTTGTGCATGTTGCGCGTATTATCCTATCTTTTACGGAGTCCAGAGGCCATGAAACAGGCCTGGCTGTACATCGTGTCCTGCGCCACAGCAAAAGCCAAACCGGAAGCGGCAGCGGGGCCTATATCAGGCCTGTATATACGTCGTAGGGCAATTGCTCAACAAGACAGGCGTGAAGGCTAACCATCTATAGTGGAAGGTGCCTATTTGTCTAGCGGCACCTGCCGCTTTCCGGACTCCCCGCCGTGCAAGGAAAACGGCTTTGCACATGCTTCGGAGGACAGCTTCAAGACAGTCTCCACATGGCCTGGCCAGCCAAATGGTCCGCAGGCGGCAAGGGAGACAGTCAGTTCGACGAGTGCTCGTACTCACTATGTAGCATCTAACGGAGCACATAGTACGAGCAAGCCGCGTCTCGCTAGTGTGAGGCAAAAAGCAGGCCAGAAATGGCGGTATATCGGCGCGAACAGGTTCCAGACCGAGGAGAACTCGTCAGTTCGCCAGACTGGCCTAGCGAGACATTCAGAGACGACATGAAGCCAGCCACAACGCCACGGGGAATTGGGCCCGGTTAAGCGCAACAGGAGGTTACACCCTTGCGTCCTCCTTGCGTGCTGCTTCGGGTTCTCGTCTCCTTCCGCCGGCGGCAAAAGGGGTCCAAAGGAGACGCTGCCTGGCCGCGGCCGACCGCGACTGTGGTACTGGGTCGCTTCTGGATCGGTACTGCGTACCTGGTAAGTAATTTACAGTGCCGGTTGGTTGTCCTGGCAGTGCAATGATTGCAAAGATTGGCAGCAGATGGAACGTCTGTGGTCACACCCGGGCTGTGTCCCACTCCGAAATTGGAACACGACGTGGCCAAGAAAAGGAAGTACGGGGTCGAAGAAGCAGAAGAAGGTGGCAGAAGAGCCTGTCAAGGCCAGAGAACATGCCACACCGTACTCACCGCTGGCCCACTCGCCATGTACCCACGGTCAGTAACCAGACGTCTGTTTTTCCGGTTGCCCAGAAAAGGGGCTAAATCGGTCGGCAGAGCACCTGCCATTGGGCACGGTGGCATGCGACGCTCTTGCTTCGATGCGATGGGAGAGGACGGAGTGCACACGCATCGCGACTAGCTGTAAGATACTACGGCGTATGTTAGATACGAAGTACCTGTCATTCTTCTTGTAGTACGGAGCACTGCAATTTGCGGAGCCTCTTGACCCGGAGACCCCCATCAAGGCTGAAAAAGCAAAGAAACATGACAGCCCCATTGTTGCAGCAGCGTTTGGATTACAGCTCACTCCAGTACGTCGTACGCCGACGGCCAAGAATATACAATGATTTCCATCACATGAAGGAGCCATACCCTGGGAAATTGCGCAGGGAGTGAGCATTTTCCAGAGTCTGTTGCTGCTGCTGTTGCTGTTGCTGTTGCCGTTGCCGTTGCTGTTGCTGCCGCTGTTACATTCGCATTTAACTTCGCGTCTGCGACTTACGAGGCCTCATTCTTCTTCTTTCCCACGCATGTTTCCTCATTCCCTTCTCCCCACATTCAGCTTCTCCGGTGCGGAGTATTATACGGAGTACGGAGCTGTACGAACATATAACTCTTACGGATACCGTTAATTCGAGACATGTAATTGGTTAATCTCGGATGTCCAAATTCGAGAGGCAAAAGTATGCAAAGCGGATCGAAGAGAAAAAGGGGGGCCACTCCCACGCAGTGCCGCGTCTATTATTTCCCACTCATATCTCTCTATCTGAAGAGGACAGGGGTCAGGAATTGTCCGTACTCACTGTTCCAGCAAAGCCTAACTTCTCTCGAAAAGGGGGACGGCGCTTTTTATGAAACGCAGTTCCGACGACCGGGATTGACAAAAAATACTGCTCTCGACGGTGCGTGCAGCCAGTGTCAGCCTTCGGGGCCTAAACAGGGTGTGCTCGGGGAGCAGGAAAAAAGACCACACCGGTCCAGGGTCGGGATGGACGGACGGGCTTCCATAGACGCGTCCTTACTCGCCAACACTCTCGTAAGATGCGACGTACATCTCAGCACACGTCTCTTACAATGGCAGCGCTCCAGTGATTGTGGCTCTCCGTCGGGGTGCATGAGCCGGCCTGGGTACCGCGCTCGGTCCTCGCCAACATGCCGACACAGATGGGGTAGTTGAGTCGAGTCGCTCGTCTCCGGCAACCCTGCTATCGAGAAGCCACTGCTCGTACTATGTATGTACGGAGTACGACGTATGTCCATAGTACGAGGCGGAATGCCCGTGCAAGTACGGATGCCAGCGCACGTACGATGAAAAAGTCGTCCAGGCAGACTGCACGGATAGCGACCAGGATGACCTGGACCTGGACCCGGACCTGAAGCTGACTGAAGCTGAAGCTGGACGTGGCGACGACGACGTATGGACCCGTATCTAGGTCATCGTGGTTACAACTGTGTCCGTACATACGACGTAGTATGTTCGGTCCCCGTTGCAAGGCACACGCGCTGCATGTGTGCTGTGCAGATGGTCGGCTGCACATCAATGTACCGGATATACGACGTGGAAGCCGTAATCGCAGAATACGATACTCGCACATAGACGCGATGTAGCCCTGGCGGCGGATTCGGTGGAGGCGTTGCGCAGCCGTGGGATGAAGAAGAGGCTGCCGTGCTCTGCAACCTTTCAGGCACAATTCTTACGACCGAGATCCCTGCTGCCGTTGGCTGCATCGCCTGACCTTTGTCGACGCGATGGACGATCAGCAGCAAGTGAAATTGCGCCTCTTGTCTCTTTCCGGATGCACTTGCCCCGTGCATTGCCTGTTTCTCACTCCAACCTCTGCAGCTTGCCCGTTTTCCACCCCAGCCCTCCTCTTTTTTTTTGCCTCTAACGTTTCAGCAACACAATCACACTAACGCTTGCCCCAAATCGAGGCTAGCATGGGATGGCTCCACCCCTGATTTTACTAGCTGATATGAGCAAGGTAGCTTACCTCTGTGCCCCTGGAAGAGAGAGCTCCGGACTACGGAACATTGTATCTTACAGTGTAGAGCAAGCCTCGTACTTGCTCGTATATGCTATTGTGATCAATGGCAAAGGCCCGCCAGGAACGGGTTGGCCCTGGCCGCGACGCCGCAAGGTGGACCGCCTACAGCACCGTGTTTCCCCATCGACCCAATCGCATGGCTTTTACGCGCTTTCCCGCCTGAGAGAGCTCTCATTTCGAACATGTCCTGTTCTCCGTATTCACAGATCTCGCCCGACGCAGTTGACAGCCGGAAGGGAGATCCCTTCCTCACGAAGAAAGACTGCTCGAACAGAGCTGAAGCCGCTAAGCCCAATACAGCTGTCTGCCATCTGCACCTTTCGACGGCGGTGCGTCTGGCGAGTGCATTGGGCCGACGGCTAGCCTGCCTAGCACGCTTGCCTGATCGGGGATTGGTCGATACGTGGCTTCCTCCCGGCTGCACGGGACGAAATCGCAATCCAATAAAACGCCATGGCCTGGGAGACTGGCAGGATGCTGCATCACGAAAAACATTTCGACGAAGAAAAGAACAGTTGCTCTGTACGGGTACGGAGCAGGAAATGAGAAGAAGAAAACCGGGCGCCACCATCTTGGAAAACGTTCCGGCGCCATGCCCCATATCCTCTCTCCCCTTCCTCGACAGCACGACCAGGGTAGGTCTATTTTCAATTTCTCTCGTCCTCTTCTCAACTCTTCTCAACTCTTTTTTCCCGTCTCGTTCTTCTCCCCGGTCGTGTCGCGTCGAGCCGGCATCACTTTCTCAACCTCAGATCCCTGTCGGCCACCCACCCCGGCCTGCTCTCCACTTTCTCATCACTCTCGCCGTTCATAAGTCCCCCCCCACCTATTATTCACCACCAGTACCTGCATACGGAGTACAACTTGGAGCACACGCCATACGACGTACAGTTCGAGGTCAACCCACCAGGCCGGTGATGGCACAGTGGAGCACTCGTCGTTGTCCTCACCCTTGTCCGCACCGCTGGCCGTTGTATCTTGTTTTCTGCTCCCGAGCCCGGGCCACCAATACACGCGCTGCAAGCTAAGCATCTCTCGGCACCCTGGCTGCCACACCCTATTTGTCCCTCATCCTGGAGAGAGAGCAGAGAGAGAGAGCAGGAGAGACAGAGCAGTTAGCCGTCCGTGTTTTGTGTCTCTCACCCTCGTGTTTCTGCCTCTTCTCCTACATTTCCCTCTCGTGTCCACCCTCGCTCATTATCCGTGCTCCGCCACTGTCTCTATTTCTCTTCTTCCTTCTTCCTCCCGAGAAGCTCTCTTTTACTTGAAGCTGCCTCGCCCGGACCTCCAGCCTTCTCACAGGCGAGCTCTCATTTTTCTCTCTTTCGTTCTTCGAGGTCATCTGGCCACCTCGTCAAGCTCACGACGCCGCCTTCCTAATACCGCTTTCTGGCTTACGAAAGTCATTTGGACATCTATTCGCAATTTAACGCGTTGCATTCGCATCAATCCTTTTCTATTTCTTCCCGCCGCTCTGCGCGCAGTTGGCTTGTCAGGACACCAACTTCTCCATTCCAACCAGCAGGCTGCGGTCGGACCAAGGCTCCGACGTCAGAACGGCCGTATCGCCTCAGCCTCTGTCGTTCAATTCGTGTCGCGCATATTAACTGGATCCCATCGATCGTATCTCACTGTCAGTGAGCTGGACGCCTTATTTGCGACTCAAACTTCCCTTTTCACGCCATAGGAGCCGTCGACCATCCGGCTCAAAGCCAATTGTCCATTTGCACGACGTTGTAGCTTAACGTTGTGTCACACACCTTGGCTACGAGCCGCCCAGTTATCTCGGCATCGAGCCGTTTTGGGTCTCGCAACATCTGGATTCGCTGATACCCTGTAAGCTATTTATTCTATATTACTTTTATTTTAAGGTGGGTAAGCCAGGCGAATTGCCGGGACCTAATCTGGTCATGTCATTATGAAAAGCTCTCTTATAAGCAAAGCTATTTCACTGCATGAAGGGGGCCCCCCTGCTAATACCCGCCAGCAGCAGCGAGGTCAAGCCCCTGATACCGAAGAAAATAAGACTCGTCTCGTTCTGCGTTACACAAACCGTGCGTCTCTGCCTTTTCCAAGAAGAAGGAGGTGTTTCTTCCTTGGACTCTTCCGGTCTCTGGTTGGCTGGTGAGTTGCCTCAGTGACACACCGTGCTCACTTGCTGCCCTTTGCCATTTTGCCCGTCCCTCTGTCTTACCTGCGGCGAGGCAGGAGAATGGCTTGAAAGAGACAGCAGAACACCTGGTAGGAACGAAATTTGCTGACGAATCGCCCGCATACTAGATATGTGCTCGCCCGCATCGCAGATCCCGGTCAAGCAGCTCAACGGCTCTGTGATTGCCAAAGTGACGCAACTAGCCACTCGCTACGGACGCTTCTGTCGCACAACCCTGTACCCAGCCCCTTTTATGCTATAAGACTCGGGGCCCCTCACGTCGGCAAACTTCCGCCGGTCTAGTGGTTTTGCTCGCTCCAACACTCTAGATATGCGTGCTTGAGTAGGTCTTTACACGGAGATTTCAGACGTGCTTGTCTGTTCCAATTCGACAAGAACGCTCAGCATGGCTGTGTGGGAAACTGATGATGAGACCGACGGGCCGATCTTGCCTGTGACAGCGGCACTACCGACGCCGGCAGACACGCCATACCGAACACGATCGCGACCGCCATCACGAACTCCATCACGAACCTCAAAGAAGTCGCGTCGATCTACCACCCCACCACGGCCTGCCACATCGCCGCCCCCGATACCCGGAACGGACAAGACAGACAAGACGGACAAGAGCTCCAAAAGGTCTTCAAGGGACCTGGCTTTCGACGACACCATCAGCATTCTCGACCCTCGCCGATTCACGCCAACTCTGCACGCCAACCTCGTCTCTGAGATTCTTTCTCTTCGTCGCGATCAGGAGGAGAAAGTCAAGATCATCGAGAGCCTGGAGGCTGCCTTGCAGACATCAAGAGAGGAGCAGGATGCACTTCAAGATGCCGTCGCTACAACTTCTAAGGAGAACCGGCAGGTTAAGCGTCAGCTGGCGCTGCTGGAAGGCGGCACGTCCACTGCTCTGAGTGAACTCACCCGCGAACGGGACGAGGCTGCAGAAACAATCAACGAAACAAAGAAGAGGCTCGAGGCAACACAGAAGCGGCTTCGACACTGCGAAGAAGACTCGGAGCAGACGCATAAGCAATGGGCCCGGGAAAAGGACGCCTGGGATGAAGAGAGACGAAAGCTGGAACGGAAAGTACACGTCGCCGACACTCGGCTAAAGGCGGTCATCGACGAGGTTGCTGCCTTCCAGGCGGCCGAGATGAACGCGACCAATGGCAACAACAGCACCGAGAGCGAGGCCGAAGAGATGGCGGCCGGCAAGGAAGCTGACAGTGCAAGCGTGCGAACCATGAGCCCTACAAGCAGCATTCGCTTCTCTGTCATGTCGGGAAAGCTGAACAGCCATTCGCTCGCCGACGAGTTAAATTTTGACGGAGACGACGACTACGAAACCGATACTGGCCGCGAGAGCGTGCTGTCAAACCACTTCCACGTTCGCAATCCCAGCCGAGACAGCCTTCTGAACCGGGCGCATCGCCGCAACCAGAGCAACGACAGTGTCCGCAGACCGGGAAGCGTGGTGCGTGGCCGTTTCCTGAACCAGTCCGTGTTGGAGCGGCTAGAGGGTGTCATAATCCGTGAGGTCGAGGAAGAGCAGCAAATTCCGGTCGCAGAAGTGCCCGTTGTGCCTGTGGTACCAAAGGTCGAATACACGGACTCGGCTGTGCAATACTCGCCGCCTCCTTCACCCAAGCTACTTCCCCAAACCCTCCTGACTATAGGGCCTATATCGGAGGTCTCCGTGGAACCGTCGGTAGAAATTCCCGTGGCCCAGACACCACCACCGATCCCAAGCCGTGCGGATCGGATATCGCTCAGCGATGCCACGTTCGAGATGCCGACTCGTGGCGAGTGGGTCGAGATCGAAGCCAACCAGCGGCGCAAGAGGGTGCACATAGCACGGACATTGACTATTGAGCCTGTGACGATGAGCAGCAGCCTGATGGTTTCTGTCGGATCGCAGACAAGTACAGAAATGCCTCTCACGCCGCCCAAAACACCAAAGTCCCCCCCGTTCGAGAGGGGACACTCGAAGACCCGGACATCACCAGGCTCTCCTGCCGAGTCTCTCAAACCGGCACAGGCGGTTCTCGTATCCGCCTCGACGCAGACAGATCCGCCGTCGCCTCCAGCAACACCGCTGGCCACGCTGTCTCCGATGGGTCTGGTTCCGCTGGGACAGATGCCTATCCCGATCATCAGTATACACCCGCCAACAAGCCGGCCGACGACACCGCACGAGCCGCTTCTTCCTCCGCTGTTCAAAGACTTTGGCTGCCAGGTGCAGCTTGCAGCGCCTTCGTCGTACACGTCGACGTCTGTGCAGACAGATGAGATCCGAGTGGACAAGCGGCTCGACCGTCTTCCCGCACATCTCCACCCGTCGGCCATCACGTCGCGGCCGTCTTCGCCGGGCGCATTTATTGTCGATCCGGCAGCAGCTGCGGTAGATGACCTGAGCAGTCCCAACCCGCCAGCTCCTGGCTACGTGCCACCGCGAAACCCCAAACGGTTAACGGCCCGCATCAGCATGGGCAACGAGCCTTCGTCTCCGCCAACGCAGATCCCGTTGTCGCCCATCTCCCTGGAGACACACGATGCCTACCCCGGGAACAACGATGATGGGCCGCTGTCCAACCAAAGGGCACCGATGCGTCGGCCCCACCGTATCAGCAGTCTGTTTGCAGGGTTCGACGCGATCAGCTCGGACGAAGCAGATGAGTTTATGGACGGCGACCTGAGTGACTTGGAGTTCCAGACGGCGCTGTCAGCACCGAAACCACAATCGGGAAGCAGCTCAACGCGCACGAACGTTAAGCGGAGCGGCGGTCTGGCCAGCGACACGACATCCCCTGAACAGCCCGTCCCGCTTCCACGGCGCAGCTCTTCTCGAAACACGACGCGGTCCAGCATGATGGGCATTGGTAGTGCGGAAACGTACGGCAGATTGCCACTGCGCGAAGCGAACCAGGACAGCCGTGATCCCGTGCTGATGCGGAGACAGTCCATCAAGGGCTCACGGCTGTCGTATGACAAGCCAAGCAGCCGGTCGAACGGGATGCGGAAGGCGGCGATGATCCAGAGCGGCATCGCTACACACCAGGGCCGGTCACGCAGTCCGAGTGTGACCGAGGTTGCCGACCCTCCGTTTCCGATTCCGACGCGAGCAAGCTCCCGGAAGCCTCCTGTCAGTGTCAGTGCGCCGAGCGACGGCCAGCGCAGTCCGACACGGGAGGCCTGGGCGCCGCGACGGACTAATAGCCGCGGCGGCAACTACCGTGCCAACAGCATCCGCAAAGTGCGGTCGGCTGCGGCAATCCCGGTCAAGCCACGGCACGGGCGGCGTGCAAGTCGGTCACCGCCGCGTCACGTGCCCTTTTCGGCCGACGACGAGGAGCCCGAGAGCCCTGGCCTGCCGCCGCTGCCGAACAACGACTTCACGGCGACGTCTCGGGCGCATTACCGCTCGCACCGGCACCAGATGTCGACAACCACAACGACGACAGACGTGACGGGCAGCAGCGGTAACCAGACGACGGGTGTGGTGGATGCGATTGCGCAGACGATGGTGGGCGAGTGGATGTACAAGTATGTGCGGCGGCGGAAGTCGTTTGGTGGTGCGGACGTGTCGAACCGCGACGACAGCAGCAATGACCGGCACAAGCGGTGGGTATGGCTGGCGCCATACGAGAGGGCGATTCTGTGGAGCAGCAAGCAGCCGTCGAACAACAGCATGCTGATGGGCAAGTCCGGACGCAAACGTAAGTGACTAACTATCTCCATCTCCATCTCTGCTTGGTCCAAGATGGCAGTCTAACATGTCTCACAGTGACGATCCAGTCGGTTCTCGACGTCAAGGACGACAACGCGCCGCCCAAGGGCTGTGCCCAGCTGTTCAACCGGTCGATCCTGATCCTGACGCCCCAGCGAGCGCTCAAGTTTACGGCCACAACGCCTGAGCGGCACTACCTCTGGCTGACATCGCTGTCGTTCCTGGCCCACTCACAGCAGGCGGTGCCGGAGAACATTGCGATGCCACTGCCCAAGACAGCGCCAGACTTTGAACTTCCGCGGCCCAAACGGCGAAACGGGATCCGAGACTCGATCCGGCTGACCAAGAGCAAGGGTGCGCTGGTGCAATCGAGCCTCGCGGGGGCTTCGATCGCAGTGCCGGCATTGCCACCACCACCACCACCGATGAGCGTGGCGTCTTCGCAGACAGATTCGATGCCACCCAGCATCCCGAGTTACCGGCCGGCTGAGTCGACGGTGTCAGCGCCGTCAGTGGCGCCGTCGATTTCGACGCACCAGCGCGACATCTCGCGAGACACGGCCGAGCCGCCAGTGATTGCACGGTACCACGACCGGTCCAACAACACGGCGATGGTTCACGGACGCAAGCGCAGCAACACGGGCGGTCACGTGCCACCACCACTGTCGTTCCGGGGCTTTTCGGGTCCGGCAGGGAGCAGTAGTAGCTACCACCAGTCGACGAACAGCACGGCCGGACAGTCGGACATCTCGCAGTCGCAGGCATCGACCAACGTGACCTGGGGCATGGTCAACGGGGCAACGGCGTTGAGCTCTCAGCGTACGTCGGAGGCATCGTCACGGCCGAGCGGGCCGGTGATGAACAACTTCTTCGACGCCATCGGGACAGTGCGCATGGAGGCATTCATCAGCCCGCTGGCGATGCCACAATTTGACGAGTATCCGGGCGAGCAGGAAGAGGTGCTGTACCGGGCACGGCGGCGCAGCAAGGACAAGCGGCGGCGTGCGAGCCGAAGCCGTCATCGTGACAGCTACACGTCGCGGGGAACTCGTGGCACCGACGACTTATATGCCGGCAGTCGTACAGGTGGTGATGAGGATTATTTCCGCGACGACCCCTTCAGAGGGTTCTAACTTGTTTTGCGTCTGTTCACCTCTCTTTGCATTCTCGGTGGGGGTTCATTCATACGAGGTTCTAAAAGGTACAGGGCGCGTACACACGCTATTTCTTGCACAGTTTCCTTGCGTTTTATTTATACCTTTCCTGCTGTTTTCTGTATGGCTGGTGAGACGGCCAACAGGGCGGTAGGCTTTTTAGCTTCTGTCCTTTTGTCTTATTTATTTCTTTGCCTTTTTTTTGTCAATTATATTCCACCCCAATCACTCCCTGAAATCTCTTTTTGTTTTGTTTTTTCTTTGTCAACGGCTCCTAGCAGCAGAGATTCCCCATTTCGTGTACAATCATGGGTTCATTCAAACGAATTTAGTATTTAGCTCCATCTTGACGGTTTTGGCAGACAAGAAGCACACTTTCTGGTGGCGCGAAACATGGCCAAATGGCAGTGACCCCGCTAGTGCACTGCGTAATAGCTACCCCACGAGCAGAAAAAAAATACTCATTCTAATACGAAGTCTTGCCTGTTAAAGAATTGCGATTGCTCTTGCCTTTTGCGCGTTCGCTCCTTCCTTTTGCCCTTGACGCGTACGTCTTCTCGCGTCTGTTTTTTGTTGTCGCTCCGTCCAGTCGTCACACTCGCTTCGTCTCTCTTGCACACCGACAAGATGGCATCGCTCGAGGACGTCCAGGCACGCCACCGCCGCGAGCTGCGCGAGCTGCAGGGCCGCGTCACCAACAAGAAGAAGAACGCCACTAAGAAGACGCGCCGGGGTGTGCTGGACGAGTGTGCCGCCCTGGAGCTGGCGCTGCACAAGAAGCAGGCTGCCGAGCTGCAAGAGCTGGAAGGAGGCAAGGACGAGGACGAGGACAAGGAGGACCAGACGGAGGAGGACCAGACGGAGGGGTCTGGTGATGTCGGCGGCGTCACCGTGCAGCTGGCCGACACGACGCTGGACGGTGAGGGAGGAGGAGCAGAAACATCAGCATCTCCATCTTCCTCCACCCAGCCAAAGAAGCGCAACCGCCAGCGGGAGCGGCTAGCTCGCCGCGCGGCCGCCCTCGAAGACGACCAGGCTGTCGCGGCCGCCGAGGCTGCCACCATGGTCGACCATGCCGCCGTCGAGCGCGCCGTCCTGGCGCCGCTGATCGGCCGCAGTGGCCGCGCCGAGCACGCCATCCGCCCCGATGGTCACTGCCTGTTTGCGGCCGTGGCCGACCAGATGGCCGAGCTGGGACGGCGCGTGAGAGCCGATGAAGAAGACGAGAAAGACGAGAAAGACGGACCGGCAGATCCCTACCGCCACGTCCGTTGGGCTGCTGCTCGCTACATGGAAGCCCATCCCGACGACTTTGCGCCGTTTCTCGTCGGCGATGACGGTCTGCCCGCTCATATCGCCCGCATACGCGATACTGCCGAGTGGGGCGGCCAGCTCGAGCTGCGCGCCCTGGCCAGCGCCTACGACGTCGACATCCACGTGCTGCACGACGGCCGCAGCGAGCTGATCCGGCCGGCCAGCGCAGACGGCCAAGGCGAGGACGGCAACCCGCAGCAGACGAGGCCAACCATCTGGCTCGTCTACTACCGCCACGGCTTCGGCCTCGGCGAACACTACAACTCGCTGCGCGCAAAGACAGAGGAACCATGACGAAGACGTTGGGAAAACACAACCCCCCCCAAAAACGTCTTCTTCGTCTCCCTTCTGTTGGCTGCCTTCTTCATCCGTCCTCGCCATCTTCTAGCCTGCTGTGATACCAAGATTCTTGCATGCTCTCCCTCAAGCTCGTACAACGAAGGCATACGGCAGCTTTAGCTCGCTCTGGTGTCCCGGACTTGTCCGCACCACATCTTTCACCGGGTGCAAAAACATGGCTGGCAGACACGACCGGCCGTTATGTCGTCCCGCGAAACCGCCCTTCACGACCCCATCCCATGGCACTGTGTGGCCCTCTGGATGATCCACGAGGACCGCCATCGAACCACCGCTCTCGCTGACGGGGCGACCACGGGCGGTCTTGAAATCAGGCCTCGGCACATACACTGCCTTTAGCCCCTGCAGCAGCGCAACGGTTACTGGAACCATCGCCAACCCGACATGGTTGCCTCACGTGCATGGTGTCCAGAAGCCTCCGGGAGAGACGACACTGCTTGAAATTGTGGCGAGAGCGTGATGAGATCGGCCTCTTCCGCTGTGCCCCATTCGTACTTGTCAATCATCGCTGAAGCTGCAGGCAGCTGTGGTCCGATAAGCCGGATGGACAGTACATCTGGGACTACCCAGACCGGCTCGTTTCCCGACTTGGCCGACACCAGCCTCTGGAAACTTGGTTCATAGTCGCCGTGGTAGTCTGGAATATAATACCGCTCGTTCCTCTCCCACAGCTCCCGTCTCGGCTGCTTCTTGGCAGATCTCGAGCTTTATATCTTTCCTGCGCCTGGTTTTCTTCACCTTTGTCAGCTAGAGCGTCGTAGTCGCCCGGGTCAGACAGGGCCGAGCTCACCCGCCAGCATCTTCACTCTCCTTCCTAAACACCTCGAGAAGATCACTCTCATTTGCCTCTGTCGTTTTATTATAGGTATGTGTCGTTAAGCAGAAAGGAAGGCGCGCTGAGTTTGAAGCCCTGCCCGAACAGGAAAGCACGGCCTTCTGTCTTGTGGCAACGCCGTTTACAAATGATTAACACTTAGAGCACAAGACCGATCCCCCAAACACAAATCATTCAACGGCAATCAACAGCAATCGTTAAGAATTAGTCTTGATTAATAGTGAGGACGAAGACTCTGTCGTTCTTCGTTATGCTGAGTACGCCACCCCTCCACTCAAACGCCTTTGCTAAGGCAGCAAACTGCGAAACAGTGCCGCCAAAACACTACCCCATCAAGAGCCAACAACATGACAAACAAGTCATGGAATACCGCAAAAATCGAAGCATGGTTTCGTCGTGAGCTGGGCTGCAGTAAAAACAGTGAAGGGTATTGAAACAAAACGCGGCAGTGAGACTGACACTACCACGACACGAAACAAAAAACAGTGCATTACAAGGAGTAGGTAATTCGTCAGTTCATCATGCCGAGACGTGTCATGCGCTTCTCCATCCTTGGGCGAGGCGCAAGACGGCCGCCGCCGTTGGGCTGACCATAATACGGCCGTGGTGGCAGACCGCCCATACCACCGGGTCCAAAGCGATGTCCCGGGCCACTTGGGAGTCCCATACCCGGAGGTCCCATACCTGGAGGTCCCATACCCGGAGGTCCCATGCCCGGACGACCAGGTGGTCCCCGAGGGGGCATAAATTTATTCCCACCGGGCTGCATCCGGTAGTTCGGGGGTGGCGGTGCCCAGGTCTGCTGGATGCGCCTCCGGGCATCGCGCTCGCAGTAGAACCTGCCAGCAACCTCGAAATAGCCGTCCCTGAGCGGGATGCGACAGTCTCCACAAACAAAGCAGGTGGGGTGATACTTCTGGTCGGTGTCATCGGCCAGGTACTGGCCTTCGATGCCACCTCCACACGTTCCGCACAGGCTGCCGTTGACTCGGTGGTAGTGCTGCTCGCAGTACGGCTTGTCATCGTGCACGTAAAACGTGGCTGAAGAGAACGACTCTGAGCATGTCGTGCACACAAAGCAGGCCTTGTGGTAGCGACCTGTCAGCCGGCCGTCCGCGCTAGACACGGACTTTCCCGTGATGGGATCACCACACGCCTTGCAGATGCCGCGAGATGGGGCGGGTGCAGTGGACTGATCCCGTGTGCGGCTGGCTTCAGGCACGCTGACTCCTTGGCCGCCATCACTGCGCTTACGCGATGCAGGTCTTTCCGCTTCTTTGTTTTCCTGTGTCAAAGGCGCGTTATTGACATCGTTGCTGCTACCCCCCATTGGCGAAGCCAGGGGGGAGCGAGGACGAGTTCGCCTTCTCGTGTCATCGTTGTTATTGCTGCTGCTGTTGTTGATGTTGTCATTGTCGCTGCTGTTGGTGCTGCCATGGGGCTCGCTCGGCCGGCGGTCAGCTGTGGGTGGCCCGGCTGGGCGTTCCTGAATGGAGAGCTGCCGGGGCTTCTCGCTGATGGCTATCGTTTCGGTGTCAGACACCATACTGCCAAAACCAGCCGGGTGACTGCTGCTATCGCTGTTGGCAGTCTTAGGCCGGTGATGGTCGGAGGCGTTGCTGGAAGTTGAAGTGTGAAAAGAAGAAGCCGAGGACGACGACGAAGCCGAGGAAGACGCCGCACCGAGAGGACTAAGGCTTGATACCGTCGACGACATGGAATCGGATGACGAGTGGTACGGGTTCCCGATGCCAAACTCGGCAGCCAAGTTGATTTGCGGCACATTGCCACTGCCGCTGCGAGTGGGCGGCCGGATGAGGCTGGTGCGCGGTGGTGGTGGCCGGGATGTGTCTGGTCCCATGAGCTGTTTCGTCGTCCGGTCGCCGGAGAAGCCGCCCAGACGCGACGGTACGCCACCACCAATGTTATTGCCATTCGGGTTGTTGAAAGGCGCGCTGTTCGACGACTGGTGTTTTCGCAGAGCAGGAGCAGACGGCGTCCGCAAGACAATGACATTGTCGTTTAGCCGTGGAAAGGTCCCGGAACGCGAGAATTGTGGCGGTTCAAAGCCGTCATGTCGAGGAAGGCCGTCATCCTGGCGCAAAGGCTCTAGACCGCCATAGCCGCCCTCATTGCGCTGCATTTGTGGGGGCAGCGCAGGGCTCGGGGCTGATGTCGCGTACTGGAAGCCGCTCGTGGGCCCACCATTGTTCGCAGTGCTGATGCTCTTGGCCTTGCTGTCGCTGCCGCCATCCCTTGAGGGTGGAGCAGTGCGTGAGCTGTTGGCTTTGGGGCTAACACCAAATGGCCCTGGGACAATGGTGCCCATGCGTTGCAGTACGTTCGCGCTCGCCTTGTTTGGACTGCTGGCAGACAGGAGAGCCTCGGGTTCGTCGTTGGCCGCCCTCAGTCCGTAGTCGTCACCAGGTCGTGACTCAAAACTGCGCATACCCATAGGCGTTCTGGGCGACGCAACTTCACTGACATTGCTGCCAGGAGTGAGCTGTCCAGGCCGGTAGAAACCATTGTCTGCGAGACTGTCAACACCACGGAAGGAAAGGTGGAAGGCCTTGCGGCATGCGTCGAAACTTACTCGCTGCTATTGTGTCGACCTGGGGGGGCAGACGTGAGCTACTTCTGGGAGCATACGGCAAAAACGGCTGTGATGGCGGAGGGGGAGACGGTTCTGGAGCTGCAGCAAAAGTTAGTCGTGAAATCATCAGGAATCGTCTCACAGACGGAGGCCAGATCACCCAACCTACGTTTTGACGGTTTCTCGCAAACGTGGTCCCCCATCATGGAAATCTCAACGTCTTGCCCACATGATGAGCATTTTATGGACGGCAAGAAGCTTGCCGGCCTGGTAGACATTGCTGATTAGGAGGCAGGACCGGATCCGCGAGGCGGTGGTGTTGAGAACATGTGCGAGCTGGCTGGCAGACTGCTGACACTACCAGAGTGACACACGACACTGGCTCGCTGCGTGCTTGTCAAGACGGCCAGGACGATGCAGACGGATGCCTTGCTGTTTGTGCTGCCGTGGTGCCGTGCTGTCGTCTTGAGTATAAGACCAGAGACAGACGGAAGCCTGGAGAGAGAGGTGTAGTCTCAGGTCTCGGCAAAACAAAGGAGCCAGGCTCGATTGTTTTATGTGACGCGATCCAGGGCGGGAAGAAAAAGAAAGCTGGAAAGACGGGGAAGAGCGTTTGAAGAATGAACGTGTTTCGAAAGGAAGGAAAGAAGGGCGAGTAAAAGAGAGAGCGAGAAAGAGAGGGAAGGGTCTGTGAGCAGTCTCCCTAGTCTGTTGTGCTGGTGCTGCGTTTTGTGTCTCGAATTGTGGGTGGGGTTGAGCCACTCGCACAGAGAGACATACAGAGTAATACAGAAGATCCTCAGCTTACAGGGGGGGAATGGCACGGATGGAGGTGCAGAGCACAGATTTCGACTACTGACAAGGGAGAGAAAGGTGGAGGAACAAGGGATAGCAGGGAGCAGGGGGGGGAGAGCTCGAGCCAAAAAGATATGGACTTTGTCAGTGGAGACGAGCCAAACGCGCTGTAAGATACCACTCGTATGAACGGAGTAGGAAGGACGAGGCTCGGGACTGCTTAGCGAGCGCGTCAGCCAAGGGCGGCCGAACAGGGCGGCAGTTCCAGCTAAGCAGGTTGAGGCCAGGAATGTGGTTTGCCACCGAGAATACAACGCGTTGCTTCCGCGCATCCGTGGAAGCATGCAGCAGAAGCCAGGGAGCGAAGCCGCCAACAGCGGACCGCAAGCCACGTTTATGCGCCCTTGTCCACTGGTCGGACTTCGGACACGCACTACTGTTCTGTACGGAGTACTTTGTAGCGCACTTTGTCCCCTCGGCATCCCCTGTTTTTTAGGGCATTCTATATACAGCACAAACCGGGATTCTAGCGGCCGGCTATGGGTTATAGCATGCTATGCTGCAGAGTAGCAGCAGGAATCTTACGAGTCAGTCCTGGCATTCCCACTTTGGAACAAGCTTCGTACGGAGCAATTACTCGCAACGGCTCTCCTGGTCTTGGCGGCCACTAATACGATGTACTACTCCGTACTCCGTATAAGCGTCCGGTCGCTTTTGTCCGCACAGCGGTGAGCGCGCATAACACACAGTAGAGCACACCGCACATTTTGCTGTACTAGCACCTTGCTGCTGTATACATGCATAGCCGTGCTCTACGATGCGCATCACGCAGCTCGCGTCTTCTGTCCTGCTCGTACGAAGTCAACACGCGACCGCTTGTCAATACGAGCGCACCCCTCTAAAATAAGGCCGAGTGCTAAAAACGGGTTTCTCCCTCCCCCTTTTTTCTTCCTTTTTCCTCCCACTCGGTGTCCCTGGCTAGACTGCTTTGAGCAGGACAACAGCCTGTGGGGGCCTTCATTTCGTGCAGCAAAGCTTGGCGGGGCCACTGCGGAACTTTCCTCCTTGGGCCTGGCTCACGCTCTGCGAAGCGGTACTGGGCGATCTTGCAGAGCTGAATTGAATGACCTGCACATTCGTGCCGTGGCTCGTCGATTTGCTCACAGACTTGCGCTGCAGCATCTACCGGGCCCAACGGGCTTTGATTCGTGCAGTTCGCGCGGTCTGTAAGATTGCCCAACATGGAGAGGCACCACAAAGCTGTCTGATCCGTGGTTCAGCGAGCTCATCGTGCTAGCCGACTGGCCCGAAGAAGGAGTCCCGGCATGATTCGGAAGAGAAGGAAATGTAGGTTGCAGGAAGAGAAGTCGGCCCACAAGTGCTGCCTTTGTTTGATTCTCTTATCCTATTATTCGTTCGTACATAGTACACATGCCCCAGGCAGCGGCAAGCGAGACGGCCGTGAGACAAGTTGTCGCTCTCCAACCACACGGACCTGTCGCATACGCGTAGCGTGCCATATCCTACTCGTGGTTACGGGTACGGGTGCGGAGTTGGATTCGATTACTCGAAAGAGAAGTGTAAGAGGTAGCGCCTCGCTGGCTGTGCTGTGCTGCGACGACAGAGGGGCCAATCAGATGGACGGAACGAGAATATGGGGCCGGCCGTTGAATTGTCCTCATTTTAAAACCCCAATGCTTCGTGCCACCATTTGTCGACGGGGTCCTGGACCAATGAGAGTCCCTCGCTAGTATAGGGTGTAATTTCAGAAATGACGCCGTCCTACTGTCATCGGCTCCGTCTACATACATAGTAGCACAAGCTGCTTCTCGAAGGACGGAAGATCGTCTAAGCGAATCCGGTTCGCCATGTTCAAGCAGCCGTTTTGCATAATTATCGGTAATATGAACAGGCTCTCCGGCCAACATTCGGGCCATGCCAGTCTATTTGCATATCGCATCGTCCTGTCTGCGCACTGACAAGACTTCTTATCGTGGGGGCGGCCTGCAATTTCCTGACTCGGTGTTTTCCAGTCTACATGGCAGATGACGATCTTCACTCATCGACCCCTATCGCTAACGTTATTGTCAGATAGCTCCATACACCCGATCCGCACGGGGCACATCCTGTATCTTACACAGTAGCATGGATACGGACAGCTAGATAGTGATGGCTGTGGGATCGACAATGGCATAAGGGCAAACAAAGCAGCCGCTAATTCGCATATCGGCGAGCTCCAGGGGTGTCTCTCGCGCTGCATGGACGCCCGAGTACTGCCCGCACAGCCAATGCCCGGCTGCCCCGCACATACACCCGGTCTTTTATGATTAGTATAATTCGAGGTCAGTGGCGACGGGGCCGTAACATGGCGGAACAATTAGACCGTTGTGGAAGAAGGACGATCAAACAGGCACGCCATCGGACAACTTGGCTTTATTGGCGGCACAGGACAGTCCGACGTCATACATAGCATCGGCATATTTGCGACATCCTCGGATGCTAGTGTATACAGGTGTGCTCCGTAGCGTGCAGGCAGTCGTGGTGCTTTCGGGCGAAGACACGACGTCGTCAGCTGCCGCTTTTGCCTGCACGGATATCCTATTCGGCCCCTCTCCAGGCCCACGTCCTAGCCCTGTCGACATGTTGGAATAAGCAGCACACTGATCTTTAACCGGTGGGGAGCCGTTCTGGCTGCAAGAACCAGCCGAGTTCGTCCGACATTACGCTGCCTTGTACTCCGTATCACTACGAGTGCTTCTTCACCGTTTTTTTTTTCACCATTACTGCTGCAGGCAACAGAATCAGTCGGTGATCGACATGTGCGATGCACAATCGCGGCACATTGACTGGTCGACCGGCTTTGTGCAGACGTGCAAGGGGGGCTCGTACCAGTCCGAGAAGGACCTGGATGGACAGCAAGCCGAGGCGGTGTCGCTCGGTATCAAGGAAAAAGCTGCATACTATTCCGTAATACCGTTCACTACCGAAAAACGCCCACAAGCTGGGGCCCCTCAAAACGCAACCCCGCCATTTTGCCCTCTACAATCCCCCTGACAGCGGGGCGCCGCAAAGGCGGTGATTGAACCAAGGTATCGGCCATCACTCTGGTCGCCTTACATAGTACTCCGTACCTCAGAACAAATAGGCCTTAAGCGACTATTGGACAACTCCTGCAGTAGCGTGCTCTGTAAAGGGTAGGAACCATTCCGTAGCCCCCCGAGTCGTGATATGGGAGCAGGCAGCAGTCCGGTCGTGCCTTCCTGGGTGGTCAGATAATAGAGATAGGCCCTGTGCGTCGTCTACGACATATATAGCCTTCGTAGTCCCCCCCCTTCCAGAAGACAGCAGACTCCTCAACCCAACCCAAACTCACTCTCTACAAGCAAAGCACCTTCAGTCTTCATCGCCGTCAAGGTCCCAACCCATCTCCCCAACACCCTTCTATCTGGATGATCGCACTCGCTCGGGTTGCGATCACAGAAAACCGTCACAACGTTTTCTAACCTACTCAACTCGTAAGATCTTTGACGATGCTTCTGCTTCTACACAATCTAATCTTCTTTCAGGGTCCATCATCCGTTCGCAGGAGCCCGTTGCACTGCCTCTCCCGGGAGTTCAGCGGACTCGATCCAGACACAATAAAGGAGCTTCTGCAACAGATACTCCTCTTCGCCGTCTCGTTTCAGCAATCCAATCAAGCTCCTGTCCACAATGGCTCCCCATGCTGAAGTGAGCACGGGCTCCGCGAATGGAGATGGACCCTCTCTCGGCCACGCCAACGGCCACACCAATGGCAGGAGCAGCGGTACTACTGCTCCTGCCGGCAATCTCTTCACTGTCAACTCCCCCAACGTCGTCTACACCGACGACACCATCCTATCCAAATATACATACCGCACTACAAGCGTTCAGTCCGGTCCTGATGGACGTTACACTGCTGTTCCCACTGAAACGGTCTATGACTTCAAGGTCGACCGGAAGGTGCCCAAGGTCGGCCTCATGGTCGTCGGCTGGGGTGGTAACAACGGCTCGACCGTCACTGCTGGTATCATTGCCAACCGTCGTGGGCTCTCGTGGGAGACTCGCGAGGGCAGTCGCTCTGCCAATTACTACGGCTCGCTCGTCATGGGCTCTACCATGAAGCTGGGCACTGACGCCACTAGCCACCGTGACGTGAACATCCCCTTCCATGACGTGCTGCCCATGGTCCACCCCAACGATCTTGTCATTGGTGGCTGGGATATCAGCAGCCTCAACCTGGCGCAGTCCATGGACCGTGCTGGCGTGCTGGAGCCTACGCTGAAGGGTCTGGTCCGCAAGGAGATGGCTGCCATGACTCCGCTTCCCAGCATCTACTATCCCGATTTCATTGCGGCCAACCAGGAAGAGCGTGCCGACAACTTGATTGCCGGCTCCAAGGCCGACTGGGCCCATGTCGAGCACATCCGCAAAGACATCCGCGACTTTAAGACGACCAACAATCTTGACAAGGTCGTTGTGCTCTGGTCGGCCAACACCGAGCGTTTTGCCGACATCACCGAGGGCGTCAACGACACCGCCGACAATCTGCTTGCGGCCATCAAGACCGGCCACGAGGAGGTCGCTCCCTCGACTGTCTTTGCCGTGGCCTCCATCCTTGAGAATGCTCCGTTCATCAACGGCTCGCCCCAGAACACGTTTGTGCCGGGCGCCATTGCCCTGGCCGAGCGCCACCACGCCTTCATTGGCGGCGATGACTTCAAGTCGGGCCAGACCAAGATGAAGTCGGCGCTGGTGGACTTTCTGATCAACGCCGGTATCCGCCTGACGTCCATTGCCAGCTACAACCATCTGGGCAACAACGACGGGATGAACCTGAGCTCCCAGCGCCAGTTCCGCTCCAAGGAGATCTCCAAGTCAAACGTGGTCGACGACATGGTTGAGGCCAATTCCGTCCTGTACAAACCCGGCGAGAAGCCCGATCATACGGTCGTCATCAAGTACATGCCTGCTGTTGGCGATAATAAGCGTGCTCTTGACGAGTACTACGCCGAGATCTTCATGGGTGGCCACCAGACGATCAGCATCTTCAACGTGTGCGAGGATTCGCTTCTAGCGTCGCCGCTCATCATCGACCTCGTGCTCATCGGTGAGATGATGACGCGCATCCAGTGGCGCGCCAACGCCACCGGCAGTGCTGATGCCGCCGAGTTCAAGAGCTTCCACAGCGTGCTCAGCGTGCTCAGCTACATGCTCAAGGCCCCCCTGACGCCACCTGGCACGCCTGTGATCAACTCGCTGGCCAAGCAGCGCGCTGCCCTGACCAACATCTTCCGCGCCTGTGTCGGCCTTGAGCCTGAGTCTGATATGACTCTCGAGCACAAGCTGTTTTGAGCGGCCGTTGCCTGAGAGAGAGCCCAGTGCTCCGTTCAATTTCGAGCACTTGGTTATGTGCTGGAAGCCTATGGCTGCTTTCTGTCCACATACGCTTCTTCTCTCGTATTTTACCTTCTCCCTTCTAACCCACGTTGTCTGTCTATATGTTTTTGGCCGGCGATCTGGGCTATTTTACCAACAGTATATTAGCCATTGAAGACAATAGCAATTGAAGACCTAGGCGAACCTAGCTTGTTCTCCTGAATCAGACGTCTCGCGTAATTTGCATAGAACGAGAGTGTCAGTGCAGCCACAAGATATAGGCCACGTCTTTCCTGTCTTTTGTGACACCACAGCCAAGGCTGCGTAATCCGTACAGACAAGGAATCGAAGCCTTTTAAGTGGTGCCAATATTACAAGGCAAAAATCGATTACAGGGTTTTCATCGGGCAATCGCCGAGCAAAGCACTAGTTCTTCTTACAGAGCACGGAGTATAGCCCAGCCTCGGGGCCCCATCCTCGGCACCCAAGACAGGAGTCCCGCTGCATGACGCTTACCAAAACGAGATAGTTCCCCTCCGTGGGGAGCAGCAGCGACCGTTTCCCCGCAAAACAGATTGTAATCTCTACCGGTTTTCTTTATCGAAGAAGCTTTTAGATAGTGCCGTGTGATGGAGCAGAGACGCGACAGTCATGCATTGGATAGGCCGGGCATACTTTTGCAGCGTAGGGCAAGAACTTTGAGAGTCACTCTACAGTCATTTGTCCGCCCAGCTTATGTCAACCTCTTTACGACCGTTTCTACAACAAAGCCTCATCACTGGTGCAGTTGCTAGCAGTTGTCCTGAGAGCTACGTAATAGCCGAGGAAACAATGAGCTGGACGCAAGAATAAGAATGAGGGGAACACACAAATGACACTGCCGGCGTACAGGATGGACGACGACGACGGACAGCACCATGTCGGCGAGCCCTTCCCCTCCTTCTCGTTCAGCCTCGGCTCCCGTATCTTGTACAGCCAAATTTGACCACCTCATCCGTTTTCTGGGCTTCCGACTGCGGGCAGTGGACCTGACGCAACCTCTTTTGCGGAGGTATATAAATAACAGCCATTTCTCCTCCCAGCTGTCAATGTAAGAAATCCCTCTGCACCACTACGTCTGCGAGACGATCCGACACTTCCTACCTCTCCTTCTAGCCCTGCCTTCTTGGATATAAGCCGCATCTGTTTCAAAAGGAGAATACAGAACACGGGTCGTTGAAGGGAAGAGGAAACGCAACTGAGAAGCATCCACGCGGGCTAGCGTAATCTCTGAGGTTTTGTTTCGTCGACAGTAGGCAGAAGAGAGACGAGCAACGGCAAAAGCCGACATCCCGGCGCATTATGACGATACAATCTCGCTGGTCGGCACCGATCGAGAAATGCTCGCTCCCCCACTGGATCTTCGGCTCGGCTTGCGGGCCGTTGTCGGACAAGAAGCTGTACATCGACCCGGAGCGGCCGGAGACGCATTTCTTGACCAAGTCGGACTACCGTCTGCTGGCGAAGCGTGTGGCGCTGGGCCTTCTCGATGCCGGTCTGCAGCGTGGCGACCGCGTGCTGCTTTTCTCGCCCAACCATCTGTGCTTTCCGCCACTCTTCCTTGGCATCCTGATGGCCGGCGGCATTTTCACGGGCGCCAACCCGTCCTATGTGCCGCGTGAGCTGGCGCACCAGTTAAGCGACTCGGGTGCCCGCTTCATGGTGACAGAGGCGGGCAGTCTGCCAACAGCCCTGGAAACGGCAAACATGGTCGGGCTGCCGGCAAGCCAGATCTATGTGCTGGACCGGTTCGAGGATACGCCGGCGAACATTGCGCAGACGAACTCGGTCCCACGGCCAACCAGCACGACAGAGAGCATCCGCAGCGGCCAGGAGAAACACGGGCTGCAGGGGGTGCATCACTGGATGGATCTCGTGGACGGCAACCTGAAGCGGGCGGAAACGTGGGAGTGGACAGAACCGGCCGACCCCGAGACAACGACCTGCTGCCTCAACTACAGCAGTGGCACGACGGGTGTGCCCAAGGGCGTCGAGATCAGCCACCACTCGTATGTGGCTAATGGCACAGGGGTTGTGGCCATGGCTAAACAGGCGCCAGATGACGAGGAGGTGCGCAAGCGGTCCATCGGCCTCTGCTTCCTGCCACTGTACCACGTCTATGGTCAGTCGTATTACGTGGCAACCTTTGCGTACAGAGAGGTGACCACATACATGATGCCCCGCTTCGACTTTGAGAAGATGCTGCAGCACATCCAGCGCTTCCGTGTCACCGGCCTGACCCTGGTACCGCCTATCGCTGTCGCTCTGAGTAAGCATCCGTTGGCTCGTCGTTACGACCTCAGCAGCATCGAAACTGTCAACTGTGGGGCCGCGCCACTGTCCAACGACTCTGCCGTGGCCGTAGAGCGGCTGTGGCCGCCTGAGCGCGGCATCGTCCTGCGCCAGGGCTGGGGCATGACTGAAGTCACCTGCACCTGTCTCGGTTGGGGCCACACAACCAAGAAGAATGGCGAGGGTCAGCCCGTCGGCGAACTGGTACCCAACTGTGCTGCTCGGCTGGTGGAGGTGCCGGAAGACGGCAGCAGCGTCAGCGGCGGGCGTCCTCCCGTCTTCATCACTGAGCCCAACCGTCCCGGCGAGCTCTGGGTGACGGGCCCTACGCTGTTGAGGAGCTACTGGCACAGGCCAGACGACACGGCTGCTACTGTCTATGTCGATCCGGCCGATGGCATTCGCTGGCTGCGCACTGGCGACATCGCCTATGTCGACCGCTATGAGCCTGGTGCCCTCTTCTTTATCGTCGACCGTCTCAAAGAACTCATCAAGGTCAAGGGCAACCAGGTCGCACCGGCCGAACTCGAGGCTCTCCTGCTGGAACGTCCCGACATCAGCGATGCTGCCGTCGTCGGCGTCCGCATCGACGGCGAGGAGCGGCCGCGTGCCTATGTCGTGCGCGTGCCTGGATCCAAGGCCACGGGCGACGAGATTGCTCGCTGGATGGCCACCCGCACCTCTCCTTTCAAACGGTTGGCTGGTGGTGTCGTGTTTGTGGACAACATCCCAAAGAACCCAGTGCGTATCTCTCGTTTGTTTCTGCTTAGTTGAATGGGCTGTCCGCCTACTAACAATCTTTTAAGTCTGGTAAGATTCTTAGAAAAATCCTCCGTGACCAAGCCGCCAAGGAACAAGTGGCAAAGCTGTGAACTGGCGAGGACTCACTCGGTGGTGCTGTTTTCGTAGAACGTTTTGGAATGCAAATCAATGGTTGGGGGAAATTCGGAGAAATAGACACATGTGCCCTTTCTTAGTGTATTATTCAATGCACCTGCTCGTGCATCGCGCCTTCTCCGACAAAACACAATTCCACACATCCGCCACGATGATTGATATGAAAAAATGATACAGAAAAGCTATAAACAAAACCAGTGTTCACAAACGCCTTACGTCCATGCGGAACAAAACCATACAAGATTATAGCAGCCCAGGGTAGACAAGGAACAAGTGCCACAGACGCATCAAAAACTAAAACTGTACGAGTCACCATATGTTAGAACGTGGAAAACTCGGCAAGCTAAGACTTGAAGAACGGCACTTACAATCTTGAGGCTGGACTTCGCCGGCAGTCGCGTGCAGTTGAGCATCGCCCGGTACTTAGTCTGGCGTGCCTGCAGCCGTCGAAATGCCTCCTGGATGTGCTTAGGTTCCACGGGCGAGCGTCCTTCGCTAGGCAAGTTGAACAGGCCTTGCGCCAACTTCCTCTTCTTGTTGCCTCGCGCCTCGTCGCCTGTGCGCTCCTTCCACAGATCTTCGTGATCCTTGATCCGAAGCGCCTCTTCCGTCAGCGTCTGCACCATTTCAAATGTCAGGAAGCCGAGGATGTCCACGATGTCGTCCGACGGCTTGCTGTCCGTCACGATCCCGAAGCCGGCCCACTCACGGAACCGCTTGCCCTTACGATACGTAAACGAGGCTTGTCGGTATTCTGACCAAGTCACGTATTCCTCTTTGGTCATCGCTTTGGTGCGCTCGTCTGCTTTGCGCAGCCGCTGCAGCGTGATGTAATTCATCTCCTCTTCTTCCTCGTCCTCTTCGTCCTCGCGCTCCGGCACCTCCTGGTTGAAAAACGACACCGGCTCCCACGGAAGGCCCAGCTTGTTCTTCTTGTTCTTCTTGGTCGCGTCATCTACCGGTGCTCCTGCCATAGGCGCTCCTACCGCGTCTTCGCCGCCGCCAATATCCACCTCGGCGCCTTTGTCATCGGAGTCCTTTACATTCTTACGTACGTCCTTCCAAGACAAGAAAGTCCGCAGGCGCGAAACCTTGGGCGCATCGTGGCGGATCTGAAATATAAGATCATTGATGGTGATCGATCGGGACCCTCGGCGGGCTGCGAGTTCTGTGCAACTACGAAGCTGGAGCGATAGTCAGCTCTGCCTGTGAAGACTCATGCGAAAATCCAGGAGAAAACTTACCAGTTCAATCACTTGCTGGCGCACAATCTCTTCGATCATACCCAATGCCTCAACAGATGGTTCGCCAGTCTCGCCACTGACATACATCATCTGCAAAAAATCTTCACGTAAGTCACTCCGAAATCTCCTCATGGCCTCCGCATCCCTTTTCACTATACGAATTGCACGGCATTGCACATTTGCTTTTGCACAAGGTGTCGGATGGGGGGTTTCCATAGTCTGAGCTGGTTTTCGGCACCTTCCACCGCTGCCAACTTTGGCAGAGCGTACGCTCTTAGAGGCAAGAGTAGAAGACAAGCTTCCAGGAGCGATGTCGGTTCTTTGAAGAATGCCCTGTCTTTCATCGCCGGTTCCCATGGCCCACCGACTCGAGTTGTAGTAAATTTGCTTGGGAGCGAAGGGGGTTTGTTGGGTAGGGCCAGGATTATCAAAATCCGCATCGATTCGACTATTCGATGCTTCATATCCTGTCGACCGGTGCATATGTAGAATGGGGAGAAAAAGATATGTAAACGAAGATGCAAGAAAATAGAGTATGCAAGAAAAAATGGCGCTGCGTTGATTTGGCTCGATGTGAAATACGGAGTACTGACGAACGTACTTCACTGTTGAATACTCTACCGTGTTGTGGAGAAGTGGAGATGCAAACAGTCCATTTCCTTTTGTAGTAACAAGAAGTTTAGGGCGGTGGTCAAGCAAGACCACTTGATGAGGATGATACCTAGGCAGAATATAGACTGGGCAACAGGAGGTCGGGAGTCACGAGTCGGGCCGACAGATGTCTCTTACTGGTCCTTTAGCAGAAAAGGTGGTAACTATGCCACCTGGAACATACATGGATAATATCAACTTCCATGGAACTCAATGTGAACAGGAGACACTCATCTTTTTCCCTGGGGCAGGTTCATGCATCTACCCGAACCAAACCCTTCCAATGCACAGCTCGTGTTCCCCGAGAGTAGACCGGAGTACTACTCCATATCCATACATGCTCCGTTAGGGGTTTGCCAAAGGTATTGCCACTGGCCAAACCACTCTTTCCCCAGGCTTGCGTCGACCCCTTGTTGCATGTCCAAATCATCTTGGAAGCTATCCCGGAACTCCCCTGCAATGGCAGTTTCGGCTATAAAAGACGAGCAAATAGAACAAAGCACAAAATTGCAAAAAAATGCGTTACTGACCTGTTGAATCTCCTGTTTGTATTTGTTCTGTTTGCCATCTTTGTCCGCCATCGTGAATGTTCTGTGGGCAGCGTTGTGCGCGGGTGTGAGGCCGAACGGCTCTGTGACCTTCAAAAATAGCTTCTGCGTCACCCAGAATAGCTGAGCGATACCAAAAAAGAGAGGCGACCCAAAACCGAGAGATGCACGCGACTGATTTGAATACGGGGAAACGAAGGTCAGCTTTCCGCAGTCGAGGTTGGCGATGAGAAATGTGGAGTACGAGGACTGGCCCGTGCACGCCAATACAAATCACGTGCACTCTCAACGTCATTACATCAGATACAACTGCAGTGCTGACTCAGCGAACTTCTAACACCAAAGGCTCAACTAGAGCGCCGAGTATTACTTTTAAGTGGTTCTCTGCCCAGTATTTCGTTTCTCTACCTTTGCACATATACACATATTCTAAATTTTGCTTCTGCCTTTTATGCGTTGTAAATTTTTGTCCATGATGTACTAATCCAATTTCCCCGCGAGCCCCAAGCAATAACATAGTGGCTTGCCAGAAGCTGCCACTCCTCTTCCTCGTCCAAGGCGTTCAGTTCGTTGATGCGGTCCTTCTCCTCTGATGGCACCCAATCCTTCCAGATCTTTTCAATAGATGCATGGCTTGCCTTATCGAGCCCTACCTGCTTGAGCAACCGCATCTCCTGTGCAGATCCGTTCTCATATACCGCCACAGTCGGCATGTGAAGGCCACGCGTAGACAAATTGGCTGCCATAGTTCGGCCGAAGGCATCATTGGGCTCGATGGGTTCGTAAATGACGACACCCAGGTCCGGAATGCGGTCAGCGAACCAGCGCAGCACTGCAAGAGCCTCGGGCACCTGGAGGTAGCAGAGGCAGCATTCAGACACGAGTAACGTAGGAATGTCTGTACGTAGTCCGGCCAACGTGGCTGAGCAGTTGTTCTCTTTCCGTTCATCTTTGGCAGCGGCTGTCGCCAGCTGGCGCAAATCGAGACCGTGGCCCCAGAGCTGATTTCCATGTCCCAGGTCTGCACGCCAACAAGTCTCGTGCATCGTTTCGCCATGTGTGCTGTCTGTGGTCATCCCTGCTGTTGTTGCTGAGGTATGAACTTCGACAACGGGGCTCGCAAGGAGGCTTCCCAAGGAGGGCACGGACTGCAATACGTTGCGCTTCCGTTCGCACACGGTTGGGAAATCAATTTCATGGTAGGAAGTATTGAAGAGTTGCGGCCCATCTCCTGAGAGCATTCGTAGGCTGCGCGTATCTGTTCCAGCACCAAGGGAGACTACCTGTCTTGGCGGACTGAAGGCTACCTGTGATATAGATGAATCGGCGCCCGAGAGAAAAGACCCGATAATCTTATCGAGGGCAGTCGTGCGGGTGTACGTGCCTGATACGAATCAGCAGCTTAGTAAGTGGCATTATCAAGAAGCGAGTGGAACAGTAAACATCTACCTCTGTTAATGATGGGTAACCGGGGGGCAGCTAGACCGCCACCGATGACGAAAAACCGTGCGAAGCGATCATCTAGCAGTCCCAGATCGACAGCACTCATCCGGGAGAGGGCGGCGTCACTGTCGGTGCTCTGGATGACCGTGTCGTGATCCATGCCGGAAGCCGGACCACCATGACCGCCATGACCGCCGTGGCCGTGCCTGTGATTGCGGCCATGTAGCCCACCTCGGCTTCCTGCATGCCGCCCACCGCGGCCAGAGCGTGGGGGCCCGCCACCTAGTCGGGATAGGAGATTTGGAATTGCAGGAGCAGACATGGGCACAGCAAATGGCGGTGCAGATGAGGTGGAGGATGTGGTGGTTCCTCTGCTGTCCAGATGCGCAGGCGGTGAGGTGGTTGCCTTACTGCCGTCCATCCTGTTTGCGCCGAGGTGCCACTGCCTCAAGTATGGATCAATAGAGCCGGAGCTTGTGAGGCAGATGCAACGTCCTCTATCGTACTATGTGCTGGTCCGGATAGCTTTGGTTGACGTGTTGTGGGGGATAATTATATGCAGATTAACTGTATAGCTAGATTAGTGGGGTGGATTTTCACATTGGTGCAGACTAAAAGCTTCGCAGAGCTATCCCTGTTGGGGCTGGCTTCCGCCACTGCCATATCCGTACGAGTACTCGTACGTGGGCGTCGCTCGCTCGCCACTGCAAACAGCAGACTCGTAGCGCTCGCATTATCTATGAATGCTAACTCATAGGAAAGCCCGGCCAACATGTCAATACAAGGGAAGAGAGCGATTGTTTGCGACCCAGCATAGACCGGGAAGAAAAGGCATGAACAATGAAACATGTTTTATATTTCCGGTTTGAAGAGCGGCTCCTTCCTGCCTAGTCCATTGCTGCTTATTGTGCATGTACGGAGTACATAGTACGGAGTCCCCCTACACCAAAGTACCCGATGGTTGCCTACGCCAAGCCCCATTTTGACGGATGCCCGGCCAAGACGAGTGAGGCAGGATCAGGTATATACCCGTCATCTGTTCGTTCTCCCGTCTCCTCTCATTTCTCTCTTTTCTTCTCTTTCCATCAAACGCCGAATTTTGGTATATATCTGGCTCAAAAAAAATCACCATCGTACTACATCCTCCAAGATGTGGTCCCACATTGCTACTGCGAGCATCTCTCTCGCAAAGCGGGTTGCAACTACTGAAGAACCGAGCGCCCCCAATTATAATCTGCCGGCTTGGGCTATCGGCCTCCTCCTGCTCGTTTTCGTCGTTTTCCTTTTTCCCTTCCTCTTTGTACGTACGGTGGGATGGCGAGAAGAAGGCTCACCTTTCATTTGCTAACCGCTGTGTGCAGACCACATATACGCTGAAGACAGTGTTCCCAGTGCTGGCCATCATCGAAAACCCCAACCCACCTTCGTATGAAGCTGTCGCCAATGACGAACACGATGACACGCCTGCGTCGACCACCCACACAGACGGAGAAGATGCCCATGACGAGACAGGGGACGCCGCTGCGGCGGTGCCTATAACTTCCAGCCTCAAGCGCACCTTTCGCATTGTCCGCTCGGCTGGCGGCATGCGCAGCAGCTTCCGGGGTCTCTACCTGGCCGTTGTTATCGCCTTCGCTGTGTCTGCTGTCAGCGGCATCGTCGGTGCCATCCCTTTCATCCCCACGTCTGTCGCTGTGCTGCTAGCAACTTTGTCTCTGGTGCAGCTGCACGTGGCTTGGGTGCATGCCGTCATTCGTACCGGGAGCACACCTAGGGCTTTCTGGCGCAATCTGCCGCCCTTCCGCCGCACCTTTGAGGCCACGAGCCTCCCGGTCTTTCTGTCGTGGGTCGCCTCTGCGATCACCATGTACATCCCGCTGCTGGTGGGCAACCTGCTGGGCCTCCCATCGTGGAGCGCCCGCACGCCGAACGTGGTGCCCGTCTTCAACGCCCACATGATCTGGAAGGTGGCCGTGGCTGGAGTCATCCAGCTCGCGCTTGTCTTCTTGCTTGTCATCCCGGCGACTGTTGTGCTTGTTCGCGTGCAGGCCAGTCTGCTGCCGCCCGACGAGGACACTATCGTGCCGTTTGACCGATCGTTTGGCGGCGCGGTCGAGCCTCTCATTGTGAGCGGTCGCGGCTATGCCACGGTCCGCGATGCTTACCGCACCTTTTCGCGTGCATCTTGGAAGCGGCTGCTTATCCTCTACACAAAAGTGTACCTGGTTTCCATCGCCTTCAACTTGCTTTTGGCAGCCGTCGTCATCCCGATTTTTGTGCTGGCAGGCAGCAAGGGCGTCAAGACACCTAGCAACTAGACAATCGAGCTGTCGTCGGACAGGCTTGACGGAATGGTCGTTCACATTGGGAAAAGCAGTACGCCAAGACGCTGCGAGAGGAGAGTAAGCTCATGGCTTTGCTTGAATGTACGTCGTATGACAGAAAAAGGAGGAATAACTATACTGGGCCCTTTTGGTCCTTCTCGTCACCTTCTTTTGCGTGTGCAGATATTCTACGTAAGTTAGGACGTCTTGGATAACAGTTCGTGGTCACTTTGCGAAACGGACATGTGGTGCAGCTAGCTGGCTGCGTCCTGCATTGCAAATTACCGATGGTCGCCTGGAAAATTGATGTTGCGTTGGTCGTGCAATACAACGTATGCTTTATGGATCTTGTGTCAAATTGTGATTTTCGTCCGACGTACTATGTATGCATTTCAACAATGCTGATCATTACCGGCCGATCCATGTTGAGATATTACCGATTACTAACATGGGAATCTTTAGCCCTGGCAGGTCGTGGGTTGCGTATGTAGGATTATGGCATTGCAAGTGATGGCATGGGTTGCGATCGGATTCCTGGCCACCCTAATAGATGTGCAAGGTAAGATACAAGTTATGAAGGTTCTGAAAACTACAGACCGGCCTTATCTTGGCCAGCATATCAACCATGTCTGCACTACGGGTAGATCGAGCGGGGAACGACGACTTACTCCGTACGGAGCAGAAGGGGAAGCGGGTTCGTGTTCATTACAAGTAAGATACGGAGTACCTGAACCATGTGCTAGATAAATGACATCCTGGATATCTGCGCTATGGCAGCTACTCCGTACGAGTGCGTGCTGCATCTACGGAGTACGGAGCAACGATTGACCTCCACCTGCCTGTGCACGTCACCTGAGAGAGTCGATTCAACGGAGTCGCAATTTCTGGCCATCTCGATCGCGTCTGTCTCGACGGACATCGAAATTAAGCACGTCCAATTGCCGACTGTGCTCGGATATTGAGGAGCACCTATGCTCTGTGCGATACATCTGCACCCGCAGAAAGGCGGCTTCGATCACGACTCGTGCACGCGCGCAGCAAAGCCAACGCGTAGAAAACGCTCATTTCGGCCCATTATCCTATTGGTGTGCCTGAAGGACGGCAACAGACCGCACGAAGATACGAGTGCTCGTATTGCATGATTGGCCAGGTGGGCCGCACCAGGGGCACGTTACCGCTATGTCCAACGACGGCTCCACCAGAGATGCACAAGAGGTCTTTGCATGCACGAATAAGCTCATTCTGGCCTGTCGCGGTTGTTATGAAATATGGGTATCTGGGCCACTGTTACTAGGCGCTTTGCTCGGCCGCAGGTGAATTTCCCCTGTGAGGCAGTAATGTTGTGACCCACTTGCCCAATTGAGATCTCATTTACTATCATCAACCTTGTCTCCTTTTGTTTTGGGCCTAGGCGCACCTTTTCCTCATCCCCTTCTTTCCCCACCGAATCCATCCATCGTGCAACGTCCTCTCCTTTCCTTTTTGCGCAACGTCTCGCCTCTTCGCTCCTTTTTCGTTTTCAGACGCTTGTCGTCGCTTTCGCTCATTGAAGAAGGCTGCTCGACCTTCCTCCCCACACTCGTTTGCCCTCCTTTCTCTTCTTTCCTGTGCTTGTGCCTTGTTTGGGTCCTGCTGTCTAGTCGCTCGTTGCATCCTCCATTATTCAAGACAGTCAGGCCGCAAAGTTTGGGAAAGGCACCTCTACAAAAGTTGCACCTTGAAATTCCCTTCCTGTCCCCTTGTCGATCATTTAGGAAGCAGTCGAGAGGCTGTACCGACCGTTTCGTCTTCTCCGTGTCCGCTATTAGTCCTCTCCACCAGGCCAATGAAGCTCACGGCATTGCAGGCTGTCCTTGGGTCGGCTCTGATTCTCGGTACGGCACAATCGGCTGTTGCTGAGATTCAGGTTGGCCACCGCGTCGCCCATCAACACTACGGAAAGCGCAGTAGCCACAACCATGGCACTGGCCATGGCGAAGGGCTGGAGCTGCGGCAATCCGAGGCGCAGCACCGCCAGCGCCAGGAGATAGAATCTTTTCCGGCCCACTCGCCGGCTGCTGCTGTTGCTGACGACGAGTCTAGCCCGGTCAAGAAGCGGGCTGTCTGCACCCTCCCGACCGACGCGGATCTGGTGTCGGTCCCAGGAGCATCCAACGGCGGCTGGGCCATTGCGCCGGATAAGCAGTGCACGGCGGGGTCGTGGTGTCCGATTGCGTGCGTGTCGGGCAAGGTGATGGCACAGTGGAAGCCGCACACCTCTTACACGTATCCGGAGTCCATGGACGGTGGGCTCTACTGTGACGAAGACGGCACGCCCAAGAAGTCGTTTGAAAGCGACCCGTACTGTGTCGACGGCACGGGAACTGTCTCTGCTGTCAACAAGTGCGGCGAGGTCATTTCGTTCTGCCAGACGGTCCTTCCGGGTGACGAGGGCATGTACATTCCCACCGATGTCAGCGGCACCACCGTTCTGGCTGTGCCGGGTCCGTCGTACTGGGCAAGCACTGCAGCACAGTAAGTCTTGGTTCTCCACTGCACAGCTTTTGCTTTTGGACTAAGAGACCGGTTGCTAACCAGTCAGCTACTACATCAACCCGCCCGGCACGTCTGGCGCCGACGGCTGCATCTGGGGAACGTCTTCCAACCCGATCGGAAACTGGGCTCCTTATGTAGCTGGTGCCAATACGGACTCGTCAGGCGAGACATATGTCAAGATCGGCTGGAACCCTATCTACACCGGCTCCGGCCTCAGCAGCACGAAGCCGACTTTTGGCCTGCGTATCGAGTGCTCTGGCTCCGGGTGCAACGGTCTGCCGTGCTCGATCGACGCTGACAACATGGACGACTTCAGCGTCTCGAGTTCCGAAGGCTCGACCGGTGCTGGCGGTGCCACTTTCTGTGTGGTCACCGTTCCCAGCGGCGGAAGCGCAAGCATTGTCGCGTTCAACCTGGGCAGCTCCTCCGGCTCTTCCGGCTCTTCTGGCTCTTCTGGCTCGTCTTCATCTTCGCCTGCGTCCTCGTCCTCGTCTTTGTCTTCGACATCGTCGTCTTCTGCTGCGATTTCTTCGGCGCCGCCGTCGTCCTCGGCCGAACCGTCATCATCGGCCCCGCCTTCGTCTTCACCTCTGGCATCATCGGCACCGCCATCAACGTCGTCATCTTTGATGTCTTCTTCGTCTTCGTCTTCATCCTCGTCGATATTATCCTCATCTTCTTCGATGATGCCATCGTCGACGCTAGTGTCGTCATCAAGTTTCTCGTCGTCGTCGTGGTCATCATTGTCATCATCGTCATCATCGTCATCGTCATCATCGTCTTCGTCTTCCACGACATCCTGGTCATCGGCCCCGATGACATCTTCAGCGCCTCCATCCTCGTCCTCGACGTATTGGTCATCGTCTTCTTCGCACTCAACAGTGTACTCAACGTCGGCGCGGAAGGCAAAATCGATCATTGCGGGCGGCATTTTCCACGAGAACGGGACGGCGACAGCAGTTGTATCTGTAGCGAGCTCGACAGTCGTGGCTACGACAACCTCCTTGACGGCCGCGACCAGCACCGAACCAGCACCAGCTTCGACAACCTCATCTAAGAACGAGGGATCAAAGCACCAAGGTGGTGCTGCTGTGGTGGGCCTGCTCGTTGCTGTTGTGGCCAGCCTTTGGCTCTGCTGAAATGGCCGAAGCTTATGGACCAGTAATTCCCTTTGTTTTTGTTTTTCTTATTCTTTCTCGGCCCGCCTATTTTCAAGCTGTCTCATCATAGGACTTTCCGCCTCTTCAACTAAAGCCATATGGATATGCCGTCTCTTTCGTTCTGATTTCAGTCTGTGACGAAGGTGTCAGGCTGGATGGTGCCTTTTCGTTTCTATACCCCCTGTTGCCATTTTTGATATATACCAATTGTTTCCGGCCTTTATTCCCCGGAAACGCAACCAGCCGAGGGGCTGGCTTAGTGTTTATTGTTTATTTCTTTATTGACGGATAGGGAGCCGACTCTGGATGTTTTCCCTACTACTTTTTCTTTACTGCTTGTTATATTTACCCTCCGAAGGGGTAGCCGGCATGAGTGCAGCCCTTTCAGTGAACGAATAGTTGGGAGGCCTTTTACACCTTGTTTTACTGGTTTGAGCTACAACGAGGTAGCGCGATTTTATGAGATAGTGTGAGGGGTGAAGCCGCAAAATGCGACGCCGAGGAGGCGCAGCGACAAGCACCAGCGAGATTGGACCGACTTCAATTCGGATGGAGATGGTGTTCGACTTATGAGGAGCCGTGTATGACGACAGACAACCGAGTATGTACGGTACGAGAATTTGCGAAGGAGTTGTGTAAGACAAAGCAGAACGTGATAGTATTGATAGTATTTTGGTAACTAGAAACGTTTATATGAAACAACGCCGTGCTGTCCTGATGTTACAGCAGCCAAACACTGTGGACTGATATGCAAAGGGTGGGGATATGGGATATGGGGCTATGGAGCCTTGACCCAGGCGGGCACACTGAGCAGATCGACGCCCTCTTCAGCAAGGCGATCTCGTAGGACCTTGGCAACGGGCGGCCAGCCAGCGAGAAGGGCGCTGCCCTTTGCCTTGGCGCCGACGACGGCAAATTTGGCTGCAGCATGGGCGACGAAGCCGTGCATGAGGCCCTGGGCGACGAGGGAGGCGACGATGCTCTCGACGTCGGCGAGGGTGACGCGGAGGTTGCCCCAGACGAGGCCTTCGCTAGGCCGCAGACGTCGAGGGCCGCCAGGGGGGGCAGCGAGGGTGCTGGAGGGGGGGTTGCGGCTGATGTTCTCGGCCGTGGTGTTGGCGACGGCACGAAGGAAGAGGGTGTTGGTGTGAGGAGGACGAGGACGAGGAGCCGGGGCGACGGGGATCCAGCCCTCGAGCTGGTGCTGGGCAAGGGTGGCAGCAGTGAGGAGGTCGGCGAGGTCGAGAGTAGGAGCAGGACGACGAGTATTATTGGAAGAGTCGGGGTCAGCAGGAGGCTGATAGGTGAGGATAAAGGTGTTGCGAGCGAGCGAGCGCCAGAGGAGGGGACGGAGGCGATAGGCGAGGGTAGCGAGGAGGCCACGGCGAAAGAGCCAGGGCTCATGCTGGCGGAGGGCAATGTGAAAGGCGACAAAGTTGCCGCGACGGACAGCGGCGACGATGGGAGCAAAGACGGGTCGAAGCAGGTCGGCAGCTTCGGGGCGGAGCAGCAGGGCGTCGGAGGGAAAGCGGCCGAGCAGCATGTTAGCGGGAATGAGGTAGGCCAGGATGAGGCGACGATGACGGAGACAGGCCGGAGGGGTCTGGCGGTAGGCGTCGTCGAGACAGAGAGCAGCGCGGGCGAAGTTGTTGTTCTCGAGGAAGAAGCGGCCGAGATAGTAGAGATAGGTGACGCGCTGCGCGGCCGGATAGAGGGCCAGTGGCGGGCCAGTAGACGCGATGTTGGTGAACATCTGAACGGCCCAGCGTGCCTTGTTGCCGGCAAAGAGTAGTTTGAGCACCAGATTGGCCAGCCGGTAGACGGCCGTCTTCTTGCCTTCCGGCCGGCTCCATCGGCTGCTTGACCGATCAATCAGACAGGTCGTGAACAGCTTCTGGATTGCGTCGGCCGTGTTTTCCATCAGCGACTTGCGCTCCTCGTCGCCGGTGCTGCCGCCGGCCGGTGCTGCCGCATTGGCGCCGGCTGGCCGCATCCGTCGCATCAGATCTGGCCGGCGATGCAGCACCATGACGAGGCGAGCTAGCGACTCGGCCACGGCCACGCCGGTCTCGAGCATGAGGGTGCCGTGTGTGGGATGGGACAGGGCCGTGGCCGCAGAACTGAGCTGTCAGAGGGAGAGAGAGAAAAGAGGAAACGAATGACAAAAAATAGGGAAAAAGAGACTCACGTTAAAAGTCCACTCAGGAGAACGTGCAAAGCCGGCAGATCGTCAAAGTCCACGCCTCGCCAGTACAGCATGTAGTCACGCACAAACGCGACCAGACCCGGCCACGGCACGCCTCCCTCGCTGCCGTCATCCTCGTCCGTCGGCAGACAACGGTCGACCAGACTGCTGACGGCGGCATCGTCACGGAAACCGACGCGGAGCTCCTGCGCCAGCGTCCAGTACTGCGGCGACGCGCCGCGGTCCACCTGCAGCCAGTCGCGCAGCGCCGCGCCGTCCTGTCGACTGACGAAGCCACGGATGCTGGTGAGGAACTGCGTCGCCAGAGACATGGTTGCGCGTGCACGGAGACGGGGACGGTGAAGCCGGCTTTGTCCTCTCGTCACGACCAAATCGAAAGTGAACGCGCAGTGGGGCCACAGCAGCCTTCAGCGCTCAAGGCCCCTGGAAGTCGCTGGAAGGCCCTATCGTCTGAACGCGCGAATCGCATTGAGCCTTACTGAAAAGACTTTGGCCTTTGCACAACTACTGACGGCTCATCGCTGAGATCAGCAATTCTTCTGATCCTCCGTACGGATAGACTGCTGTTTTGACAGCGTGTCACGTGCTCGCGCATTAAACAAAGTGGAGACCGACCTCCATAGCAACTGCCAATCACAAGCCATCTCCCGTATGGAGGCTGGCCTCTGCAGCACCTCTTTTCGCGTCTCCAAAAAATTACTTTGCACACGAGTCGACTTCCAGACGCCACACCTGCGCAAACCACCCGTGGGTGCCATCTCCACGACTGTTTCCCGGTCGTTGCCTCTGGTTGTTCATCGCCCATTCCCCTGAACATTACGCATTTGATCCGTCCGAAGCTCTGCTGCCCTTCTGCCGTGTCCGCACTCCCCCTTTTCTCCTCAACGCTTCAGGATGAGCAAACACGCAGACTTTATCGAAGGCGAGGCCGAGCTCGGCTCGGAGGAGGACGAGGAGTCCTTTGACGGCGAGGACGATGATGAGGACGATGGCAGCCGGCGCCGCACCAAGGATAGGGCTCCTCGAATCGAGGATTCCAGCGATGAAGAAGACGATGACGACGACGAAGAAGAGGCGGCCAAGGTGAGTGCGAGAGCGCGTGACACGTGTACGTGTTCGACAATGGAAGCTGACGGCCGCTCGTTCATGGCAGATTCGCGAGGGATTCATCGTCGACGAGAGCGAGGACGAGGACGAGGGCGAGGCGTCGGACCACGAGCATAAACGCAGGAAGAAGCGCCGGCGAGCTGAGCGCGAGGAAGAGGCTCAGCTGGACGAAGAGGATCTGGACCTGATTGGCGAATCGCGTCCGGACTGGGAGCGACAGGCAGCAGCGCAGGTAGGAAGAGTCCTCTTGGTGTTCTGACAGCTTCCGACCTCACAGCTGACATGCGCTCTGTAGCCCAAGTTTAAGCGTCTCAAGCGCGGCCATCGCGATGAAGCCGGCCAGCGAACCGATCGGACCGACCTCGCACAGATCTTCTCGGACGACGAGGACGAGCCGGCCGAGGACCGCTATGCCCGGCATGGCCACCGCGGGCCGGCCGACGACATGGACGACTTTATCGAGGAGGACTTCCCGGAAGACGAAGATGAACGCCTCCAGCGCCAGGAAGACATGGAAGTGGCGCGACCTCGCGAGCGCTTCATCGGCGGCGTCATCGACACGACCGGACTCGACAAGGACGCCCTGGACGACATGGACAAGATTTTTGGCGATGGCGGTGATTATGCCTGGGTGTTTGACATTGAGGACGACGAGGAGGAGCGCGGCCGCGAGGAGCAGGGCATCGAGCTTAAGGACGTGTTCGAGCCGTCCCAGCTGCAGGAAAAGCTGATGACGGACGACGACAACAAGATCCGCTACACGGACGAGCCCGAACGCTTCCAGATCGACCGGAAGCCCTTCCGCAACCTGCAGATCACGCCCGAGCAGTTCAAGGAAGAGGCCCGCTGGGTGATCAACCTGCTCTGGCCCACGAAACAGCTGTCGGCCGACCTGCACGTGCCCTTCAGCAAGGCTGTCGGCAAGGTGCTCGAGTTCTTTGTCGTCGACGACGTCGAGGTCCCGTACGTCTTCCAGCACCGCAAGGACTACCTCATCCACGCGCGCCAGCCGGCAGGTGCTGGCCACCGCGACGAGGCCGACGGCGCCGACTACGACGTCAGTGCCGAGAAGCTGCTGAACCAGGACGACCTGTGGCGCATCCTCGAGCTCGACATCAAGTTCCGCTCGCTGATCGACAAGCGCAACGCGCTTGAGCGCTCGTTTGAGAATGTGCGCCAGGCCTTTGGGCTTGAGGACAAGATGTTCGAGTCCATGGTGTCCGAGGCCGCGACGATGGAAGAGTTGCAGGACCTGCAGGACTACCTGCACTTTGAGTATGCCAGCCAGCTGAAGGACCTGGTGGCAGAGGGCAGCGCGACGCGCGAGGTCACCAAACGGCCGGGCGCCAAGGCGACGTCGATCTTTGAGCGCATCCGCAAGGCCCGTGCCTACAGCTTTGCCAAGGCCTACGGCATCAGTGCCGACCGGCTGGCCCAGAACGCCCTGCGGCTCGGCAAGAAGGTGTCGGCTGACGACGATCAGAAGCTGCCGGTCGACTTGGCTGACGGCCTGACGGACGAGACGTACGCTACGGCCGACAGCGTTATGGCGGTGGCCCGCCAGATGTATGCCGAAGAGCTGTTTACGAGCCCGCGGATGCGCAAGCTCTTCCGTGTGGCCTACTACACCAACGGCCTGGTCAGCTGCCACCGCACCGAAAAGGGGCTGCGCAAGATTGACGAGTCCCACCCGTTCTATGAGATCAAGTACCTCGTCAACCAGACGATCAGCGACCTGGCCCGACGGCCCGAAGTCTTCCTGAAGATGATGAAGGCCGAGGAGGAGGGGCTTGTGGACGTGGCGCTGACGCTGCAGAACGAGCGCGACTTCCGCCGGCAGCTGTACACGGAGTTCGCCTCAGACAACTTCAGCGACCGGGCAGACGCCTGGAACGAGGAGCGCCGCAAGGTGCTCGACCTGGCGGTGCCCAAGCTGGACCGGGTGATTGCCAAGGGGGTCAAGGACTCGCTGCGGACGGCGTGCCAGGACGAGGTGCTCAAGATCTGCCGGGACGAGTACTCGAAGCGGCTGGACCAGGCGCCGTTCAAGCCCAAGGATATGGTCCTGGGCACGTCGCCGCGCGTGCTGGCGCTGTCCAACGGCATGGGCGACCCCGGGCGCGATCCCGTCTTCTGGGCTTGGGTCGGCGAGGACGGCCGAGTGATGGAGCAGGGCAGCTTCGGCAACCTGGCGCGCAGCGACAAGGAGCGTGACGCGTTTGTCGGGCTGATCGAGCGGCGACGGCCAGACGTGATCGGCGTGAGCGGCTTCTCGGCCGACACGAACAAGCTCGTGCGCGACATCGAGGGCCTCATCAGCGAGAAGGGCCTGATGGGCCCCGAGTACGAGGACGCAGAGACGAGCGAGTACCGCAGCGACCTGCTCGAAGTGGTGGTGGTCAACGACGAGGTGGCGCGGCTGTACAAGGACAGCGACCGGGCAGCTCGAGAGCAACCGACGCTGAACCCGATGATCCGCTACTGCATCGCGCTCGGCCGCTACCTGCAGAACCCGATGAAGGAGTACGCAGCCCTGGGCAAGGACGTGCAGTCGCTGCTGTTCCACGCGTGCCAGCACCTGTTGCCGGCCGACAAGCTGACGCGGGCGCTGGAGACGGCCATGGTCGACATGGTGAACCTGTGCGGCGTCAACATCAACGAGGTGGTCAACGACGCGTATGCGGCCAATCTGCTGCCGTACATTGCGGGCCTGGGTCCACGCAAGGCCTCGGCCGTGATCAAGGGCATCAACGCCAACGGCGGCGTGGTCAACTCGCGCGACGAGCTGGTGGGCGACCCGGACAGCGGCAAGCTGGCGGTCGTGGGGCCGCGCGTGTGGAACAACTGCGCCAGCTTCCTGTACATTGAGTACGACAGCTCGAACCCGGCATCGGACCCGCTGGACAACACGCGTGTGCACCCGGAGGACTACGAGCTGGGCCGCAAGATGGCGGCAGACGCGCTGGAGCTGGACGAGGAGGACGTCAAGGCCGAGACGGACGAGAACGGACCGGGGGCGATTGTGCGCAAGCTGTTCAAGGAGGAGGAGCAGGAAAAGGTCAACGAGCTGATTCTGGAGGAGTACGCGGACCAGCTGCTGCGCAACTACAACCAGAAGAAGCGGGCGACGCTCGAGACGATCCGGGCAGAGCTGCAGGCGCCGTACGAAGAGCTGCGCCGCAAGTACGTGGCCCTGGGCGCGGACATGGTCTTTACCATGTTTACGGGCGAGTCCAAGGAGTCGCTGTGCGAGAACATGATCATCCCGGTGGTCGTACGCGTGGTCAAGGACGACTTTGCGATCGTGAAGCTAGACTGCGGCATCGAGGGCCGGGTGGAGGCGCACGAGGTCTCGTACCGGCACTCGATCCGGGACGTGTTGCGACAGGGACAGACGGTGCAGGCGAAGCTGTTGGAGCTGAGCCGCAAAGACTTTAGCGCGAAGCTGTCGGTGCGCGAGGACGCGTTGCGGCGGCCGTACCGCAAGTTTGTCGACCACGAGCGCGGCACCTGGGACTTCCGGCAGGAGGACCAGGACCGCGAGGACATGACGGAGAAGGACAAGACAACGGGCCGGACGCAGCGTGTGATCAAGCATCCGCTCTTCCGGCCCTTCAACGCCACCCAGGCCGAGGAGTACCTGGGCTCGCAGGCAGCCGGCGACATGGTCATCCGGACGTCGTCGCGCGGCAATGACCACCTGGTCGTGACGTGGAAGGTGGCCGACGGCGTGTACGAGCACATTGACGTGCTGGAGCTGCAGAAGGAGAACGAGTTCTCGGTCGGACGGCTGCTCCGGATCGGCGGCAAGTACTCGTACACGGATCTGGACGAGCTGATTGTGGACCACGTCAAGGCCATGGCCAAAAAGGTGGACGAGATGATGCAGAACGAGAAGTTCCAAAAGGGGACGCGGGCGGATATTGGTGAGTTTTTGCGGTCGTTTGGGTCTGTCGTTGGATTGACTGTTTGCTGACGCCCTGTAGAAAAATGGCTTACGACCTACATGGACGCCAATCCGAACCGGTCCTCGTACGCCTTCTGCCTCGACGGCAAGCACCCCGGCTACTTCTTCCTGTGCTTCAAGGTGAACCGGAACACGCGGGTGAACGCGTGGCCGGTGCGGGTGATTCCCAAGGGCTTCGAGCTGCTCAAGGTGGCCTACCCAGACATGCGTGCTCTGACCAACGGCTTCAAGATGCGGTACCAGAATGAGATTCTCAAGATGCAGCAGGGCGGCCGGTAGGCCGGGCCGGACGGGATGCGGAAAACGGGGTTTGTAGGATTTTCTATAGTGACATCTGTATGTTGGCACGTCTGGCGACGTGAAGGCATTTGTTTGATTGTAATACCATGAGCATGTACTCGGTGCTCCGTACGGGTTATTGCATATTGTGAGTGCGTAGTAAGTAAGCTTAGTAAGCAAGCTTAGCACGCCAAGGCTATGGGCTAGAAAATCCACGCCAAAAGTAGGAGCTTGTTCCCCGGACTTTTTACCTGCTTGACACTCTACCCATCGTATCGACAGTGTGGCAGCAGCCGCGAATCGGCAAAGATGGCGAGCTTCCCGGACTTTCTGAACCAAAAGGCGCCCGAGAACTATGTTGCGGGCGTGGGTCGAGGCGCGACGAGCTTCGTGACGCGGTCGGACTTGGGACCAACTCATGTCGGGCCGACAGACGAGCAGATGAAGGCGGCGATCGCCAAGCGGGCACAGCAGCTGCAGAGCAAGGCAGAGGGGGAGGGCAAGGAGGGCGGTGGCGAGAACGAGGGCGAGGGTCGATACCAGGATCCGGACAACGAGGTCGGGCTATTTGCGGGTGGCATCTACGAGAAAGACGACGAGGAGGCGGACAAGATCTGGCAGGAAGTAGACGAGCGGATGGCCAGGCGACGACAAAAACAAAGGGAAGTACGAGAGCGGCTGGAAGAGGACGAATACGAGCGACAAAACCCGAAAATCGAGGCACAGTTTGCCGACCTGAAGCGGGCACTGGGAACGGTGTCGGCAGAGGAGTGGCTGAATCTGCCGGACGTGAAGGACATGACGGGCAAGACGAAGCGAAACCGAGAGGCGCAGCGACAACGGTTCTACGCGGTGCCAGACACGGTGCTGGCAGCAGCGCGCGACGCGGGCGAGCTGGGGACGACGGTGGCAGACGACGGAGCGGCATCGTCGAGGAAAGACGGGACGATGACGAATTTTGCACAGATCGGAGCGGCACGCGACAAGGTTCTGCAGGCACACCTGGACCAGGCATCACAGACGACGAGCGGGACGAGCTCAGTGCTGGGAACGTCGACGAGCGTGGACCCGAAGGGGTACATCACGTCGCTGAACAAGCTGGAGACGGCAGAGAAGGCGAGCGTGAGCGACGTGGACTTTGCGCGCAAGCTGCTGAAGTCGGCGGTGGAGTCGAACCCGACGAGCGCGCCAGGATGGATCGCGGCAGCGCGGGTGGAGGAGCTGGCAGGCAAGCTGGTGGCAGCACGCAACGTGATCGCGCGGGGATGCCAGCACTGTCCGCGCAGCGAGGACGTGTGGCTAGAGAACATGCGGCTGAACGAGAGCCGGAACGCCAAGGTGATCGCGGCAGAGGCGATCAAGGCGAACCGACGGTCCGTGCGGCTGTGGGTAGAGGCGATGAAGCTGGAGAGCGACGTGCTGTCAAAGAAGCGGGTAGTGCGACGGGCACTAGACCACATGCCCGAGTCGGAGGCGCTGTGGAAGGAAGCAGTGAACTTGGAGGAGAACGCAGAGGACGCGCGACTGTTGCTGGCCAAGGCAACCGAGCTGATCCCAGCATCGATCGACCTGTGGCTGGCGCTGGCGCGGCTAGAGAGCCCAAAGAACGCCAAGGCGGTGCTGAACCGGGCGCGAAAGGCGGTGCCGACATCCCACGAGATCTGGATCGCGGCCGCACGGCTGCAAGAGCAGCTGGGCGAGACGAGCAAGGGCAACGTGATGCGGAGCGCGGTGCAGTCGCTGGCGAAGGAGGGAGCGATGCCGAAGCGGGAAGAATGGCTGGCCGAGGCGGAGAAGTGCGAGGCCGAAGGGGCGGTGCAGACATGCGGCAACATTGTGCGCGAGACCGTCGGCTGGGGGCTAGACGAGGACGATGACCGCAAGGACACGTGGATGGAGGACGCGCGCGAGAGCACGAACCGGGGCCGATATGCGACGGCACGGGCGATCTACGGCCACGCACTGCAGGTGTTTGTCAACAGCCGGACGCTGTGGCTGGCGGCAGCGGAACTGGAGCGAAGCCACGGCAGCCGGGAAGCACAGTTTGGAGTGCTGGAGCGGGCGGTGGAGGCAGTGCCGCACAGCGAGGTGCTGTGGATGATGCTGGCAAAGGAGCGGCTGGCAGCGGGCCATCTGGACGAGGCGCGACGGGTTTTGGGCCGGGCATTCAGCCAGAACCCGAACAACGAGGACATCTGGCTAGCCGCGGTGAAGCTCGAGGCCGAGAACGGCTTTGTGGACCGGGCACGAGAGCTGCTGGCGACGGCGCGGGAGAACGCGCCGACCGATCGGGTGTGGATGCGCAGCGTGGTGTTTGAGCGGCAGCACGGTGCCGACGGCGGGAGCGAGGCAGCGCTGACGCTGGTGCAGGAGGCACTGCAGCTGTTTCCGGGTGCAGCGAAGCTGTGGATGCTCAAGGGGCAGATCTACGCGGAGGATCTGGGTCGGGTGGCCGAAGCGCGAGCAGCCTATGCGGCAGGCGTGAAGGCCGTGCCAGGTTCGGTAGCGCTCTGGCTGCTGCTGGCACGGCTGGAAGAAGCAGCTGGAGCGGTGGTCAAGGCACGCAGCGTGCTCGATCGTGGTCGACAGGCCGTGCCTCGATCACCGGAGCTCTGGTGCGAGCTGGTCCGCATCGAGCGACGGGCCGGCAACGTGGCGCAAGCCCGGGCGCTCATGGCCACGGCGCTGCGCCAGATGCCGCGCAGCGGACTGCTCTGGGCCGAACGGATCTGGCAGCTCGAACCGCGCACACAACGAAAACCGCTCTCGCTCGAGGCCATCCGACAGGTCGACGACGATCCGCTGCTCTTCGTCGCCGTGGCTCGCGTCTTCTGGGCCGAGCGCAAGCTCGAGCGCGCCCAGAACTGGTTCGAAAAGGCTCTCGTGCTCGATCCGGACGCCGGCGATGCCTGGGCCTGGTACTACCGCTTCTTGCTGCAGCACGGCACGGCCGAGAAGCTGGCCGAGGTCGTCGCCAAGTGCGTCCAGAACGATCCCCGCCACGGCGAGCACTGGCAGGCCGTCGCCAAGAACCCCAAGAACGCCGGCAAGACGGTCGAGGATGTGCTGAAGCTGGTGGCTGCCGGACTCTCGTGAGAGGGGACTTGGGAGAAGAAGTGACCTGAACCTGCGATCTAGAAGGACTGACCTGTTGATGACTAATTGTATGGATAATTACATGAAACCTATGGACCATCCATATATGCTGATTAAGCACACACACTACTTCCCCCCAAACCAGCTAGACACGTTGCTCTTCGTCTTGGCCGCAGTCTCCTCGACCTTTTTGTCAAAGACGTCGGCGCCCTGGTTGATGCGGGCCTGCGCGTCCTTTGCGTAGGCCTCGGCCTTTTTGGCCGCGTTGTCGGCAGCCTCGCGGGCCTCAGCCGTGACGCGGGCATACTGCTGGCCTGCCTTGTTTCGCTGGGCAATTGGTTAGCAAGCTTGCCGAGAGAGTGTGGGTGTGCGCGTAGACAAGGGAGACCTACGGCCTCGTCGACCTTGGCCCCAGCCTGGGCGCCAAAGTTCTGCGCCTCTGTGTGCGCCTGCTGGCCGCTGGCGGTGGCACTGTCGCGAACAGACCGAAGATCGGACTCGAGCTTGGCTTCGGCCACCTTGGCATTGCCGCCTGCGCTGTAGAGATAGTAGCCGGCACCGGCGACGACGGCGGTACCGAGAACGACGGGCATGCGAGAGCGAGACATTGTGTAGACGAATAGCCGTTGTCCGTGGTGGTGTAGGTAGACGGGATGCAAACAGAGCAGTAGACGACTGGAGCACAACAGAAGACGTGATCGGACGGGAGAACATGTCACGACGCAATGACATGATTCTGTTTTTTATAGCAGTCGCTGCTCCATTCGCCATGACGTAAACGCTGGTTTCGGCAATCGCTCCTTCCCCGCAAGCAGCATTACTCGTCAGCGCGTGTGGGCCCAGAGTGGAGCAGCTGAGCTCTAGGCTGTACTTTTCCTGAGGGCGAATGATCTCGCACTTCTGCTTCCATCGCGTCATTCCTAGAATTTTCCTAGAACCTACGTCCCGCTATGCCACCCTGCACCGGCCGTCCGCGATGCCAAGGATAACGAGTCGCAGCTCGCGCCGTGCTCCTCCGCTCAAGGACAGCGACTTTGACCACGAGATCCACCTGTTTGACAATGGGGACGATGGGGACGACGGCAGCTCGCATCTGGCGCCTCCGCCGGTGACCATCACGGTGGCATCCGATGCTGGCAGCAGTGCGGCTGAGCAGCCGTCCTTCCGGGTCCCTCCTTCATCACCGCGTGGCCGCAGCGATCTACGACCAGCTGCTGACGCCGGCGTCGAGACGGCCGAGGCCGTGGACGTGCTGTACGAGAACGAGCGCGGCTGCTTCCTCTGCGGCGTCGCGCTCTTCTCAGCGCGGGCGCTCGGCAATCTCGACCCGTCGCCCTGGACCAACGCGGCCAACAGGACGAGCCCGACCGACATCCGGACGGCCCAGGTGCCAGACCCGACGTGGCAGTGGGCCTGGCCGGCCTGGCGCATCAGCCACGACGACGGCACCGATGAGGACGGCTGGCAGTACTCCTTCATGTTCGCTCGGCCCTTTGCCTGGCGCGGTCCGACCTGGTACAGCTCCTTTGTGCGCCGCCGCGTCTGGACCCGCAAGCGCGTCAAGCGTGCCGTCCTGTCGGCCACCGCTGCCGGTGACGTCCCTGCCCATCCCCACATGCTCACCCCGGACTACTTTGTCGTCTTGCCGGCAGCCGAGGCACGCCGCAGCTCTAGCAGAAGCATCCGGGACAGCAGGCCGAGCACAGCTCGGTCCAGCATGGATACGGGCCAGCTGGACGGCGCAGGTCCGGAGGAGGCGGACGAGGGGGAGAACGAGATGGAAAACGGCCAAGCCGGAACGGAAATAGACGACTCCGACTCCTCCTTCATGGCCATGCCAGACGTGTTTGACAACACGGACGTGCTGATGCGGTTTCTGCACAGCGCGCGCATCGACCGCGAGAAGATCGAGGCGGTCGATAACTATCTGGCACACGCGGGCGAAGACCTGGTGCGGCTGCAGGACGTCATGCACGAGATCATGGCCCAGTTCGTCTTCCAGGCGCCGCGACGGAAGCTGCTGACTCATCTGACTGCAGCCTGCGACGCGGCCGTGGAGGTCCAGGACCAGGAAGCGAAGGGAGGAGAGGAGCAAGGCATCGACGAGGTGCAGCAGCGGCAGACAATGAAGCGCCGTGTCGGCTATCTCGCAGCAGCCGTGAGACACGCCGACGAAGAGGTGCGCCGGCTGGAGTACTGGAGCGACGTCAAGGCCGTTCCGCAACACGTATAGCATTTATTCATATACCCCCTATTGCAAGTGTCCACCATACATCGGAAGAATACTTATCCGTGCCGCGTATCGCCGATAACGAGGAAATATTCGTAGACCTGAACGACACAAGACCGGTTCAAGGCCGAACAGCGAAGACGGCCCAGTACTACAGCGCAGGACCCGAGAGCGAGCCCTCGGCGAGACCGGAATTCCCCGACGTCATGGTCCCGGCATTGGTATAGCCCCGATGCATCAATGCCCCCGCGCGTGGAGCTACAATGGAGGAGAGTGCGGCCCCTCTTTCCGGGCGCTGCAGCAGCGCTCAGCGGCAGCCGAGGAGCGATGGCGACATGTCACAGAAGAAGGGGGACAAGCCGGTGGTATAGCAGCGGTGGTGGCGTGGGGATGGTGGGAAGTGGCGACCACAGCGTCCTGGCAGCGACGACGACGACGGCCAGCGAAGAAGACGGCCAGTCGGTGGTGTCGTGGCCGACGCTGGCACGCGAGGCCGAGGATCGACGGTGCCGGCAGCTGGCGGCGGAAGCGGCCAGCCAGGAGGGCAAGTGGGCCAAGAGAGCGGGAGAGACGGACAGCACAGGATCTGGTCGATCGGCTGGCGCAGTGCTGATGGACCGTCTTGCACGTGACCAGCTGCAGCCACCAGGTGTTGAAGGGTCAGCGTCCTCGCTCTCGGCGCTGGTCGAGCCGTGTCGCCGGTACGGCCATCCAGGCGAGACGCGTCGGAGCCAGCTGCGGCACCAGCGCTCGCTGATCCGACAGGCCCGTCTCGAGGCCATCCGGCAGGCCCAGCTGCGGCCGCTGCCCGACTGGCGGGCCATTCTGCGTCGGCTGGCCGAGGGCACGGCGGCCGGCCAGACAGACAATACCAGCCAGGCGCTGCTGCAGCTGGCCCTGCCGCGATGGACAGCGACCGCCACGTCGTCCTCGTCTGGCTGGCATCGCGAGGCCGTCGCGCTCGTGCTCGGCCGCGACAGCTTGGCTGCTGGTGAGCTCTTGCGCGGAACCGACGGCAGCCTCGGGGCCATTCGCGACCGCACCGACTGCGTCCTGCGCATGTACGAGCAGCAGACCGAAACGCCCGACAGCAGCACAGCCGCCAATCATCACTGGCTGCTCACGCTGTCCGGCACCGCAACGGCCATCCGACAGGCTGCTGCCGAGGTGCTGCGGCTGGCTAGAGACGCCGTCCCCATAGATGTGCCGGCTGGCTTGCCGTCCGACATCATGGCTGACAGCGCGTCTGCCTGGCGTCTCGTGTCCACGTCCCTCCGCCGCGACGACGCCCAACAACGAAACGACCCCGTCTTCCGGCCCTACGTCCTGCGTCACGGCGTCCACGATATTCCTCGACCACTCACCTGGACACGTGACTCGCTCGAACACTATGTGGCCGCGCTGACAAATGGCCGTCCCGCCCGACAGATGGCCGACGACGATGGGCTCGACCTCCACCAACACGACGACGAAGCGCCACCGCCGCCACGCAACCACTGCCGCGCTGTCATCGACCTGCTCCAGGCCGTCTTTGCCGACGACGCCGCCCGCCCGGCCCTCTCGACCGCTGCCCTTCGCATGGCTCTCGGCTACATGTGCCGCATCGGCGAGGCCTTCCGGCCCGACGCCCGCGCTCTCTTTGTCCGCGCAGAGGCCCTTGGCCTGCCGCTCGACACCGCCACCTTCAACGCCATGCTCGCCTCCCAGGTCAAGACCCAGGACTTGCGCAACTTTGGCGCCACCCTGCTGCTGATGCGCGGTCGCGGTCACGCCCCCGACCTCGACACCTGGCTGCTCTTCCTCCACCTGTTTGCCAGCGAGGAGGTCAAGCGCCACATCCTTCACGCCATGCATGCCCGTGGCCTGCTCGAAAACCCGGCCGCCGTCCGGCGTGTCGCCCCGGAGTTGGTCCACCATGACGCCGAGCGCGCACTGCGGGAACATTGGCATGTTCACGTGATTGATCACGTGCACCAACCTCAATCACAACCACCATCACCATCACCATCACCATCCACCCCCTTTGACCTCGACCGCTTCCTCCATCGCCAGTCCGATCGCTACGGACACCGCTGGCTCGGTCGCGACGCCGCCCATCGCATCCTCGATGTCCTCGCCTCTCACGGCTGCTTCCACGACTGCCAGCGCCTCGTCGCCCTCATGCGCCCACCGCTTCCCGCCGACCCCGACGAGATGCAGGATCGCCACGACGGCAACCATCATCGCTACATCGGTGCCCAGCCGCCCAACACCACCACCTACAACGTCATCCTCACTCACTGCAAGGTCCAGAACTCTCTGCGCAGCGCCATCGACGTCGTCCGCCAGATGCCAACCGGACAGCTCGCGTCTACATTCTCATCCTCATCATCCTCGCCATCCGCTTCATCCCCTCTCTCGGCCACGTCCTCCACCTCCACCTCATCCCCATCATCATCCCCACCCTCAGGCCCACCCCCAGCCTATCCTGTCGCCCCCGACGACGTCACCTACCTGCTGCTCTTCGAGATGGCCTGGCATCGCCGGCTGCCTCACGTCATCGGCGTCGTCTGGCACTATGCCAGCGCTGCACGCCAGACCAGCCACTGGATGCGCAAGCGTGTCAGCCAGTTGCTCGCTGGCCAGGGCGGCGGCTCCAATCGTGGAAAACCCGCCGACAAGGAGTTCCTCTCGCCCGAAGACGAACAGCGCCTGTCCTATGTGCTGCGAGCCGGCATCGTCGCCGCCTCGACCCCGTCGAACACCCCTGCCTGTCTGGGAAACACCATCAGCGGCCGTCTCGCCCATCGCTACCAGGGCTGGGCGCCCATGATGCCGCTCGGCGACGCCTTGCACGAGGCCCTCCGGCTCGACAACGAGCTGCTGCGCGAACGCTTCACCGGCGGCAACAACACCATCCACAACAGCAGCAACAGAGGCAGCCCCAGCGATGAACTGTCTCTCTTGCGCATCCAGCTCCGACGGAAACGCTCCAAAGCCACCCCCGAGACCGAGAGCCGATACCGAAACACAACCCCCCCCAAAACGGCTTACATGAATATATACGTGCGCAAGTCGCCGCCACGCCATCCTGCAGCCTGATGGCCATGACCACTCCCCAAAGGAAAGACAAAACAGAAGAGAATCCTCTCCGACATTGTACGATTTCATGCTAGACACCCTGTTCATACAGCTGCACTGCTGCAAGCCTTGCAAAAATAGACCTTGTATTGTACCCGATGCTGCCCCACCTCTTTTCCGTAACATACGTGACCCTCCTTCCTTCTTTGGCGCGCCCCACACAATCATCTTCTGTCAACACTGTCAACACTCACCACTCCCAACCCAAACCACACGACTGCAGCCACGGCTCGTCAAGGACATTATGCAGGGTCGCCGGTCCGGACGAGAAAGGCCAAGTCGGATGATTTGTTGATATATGAACACGCGCAAAAACACAAGAGCAAGACCCGAGGAAAACGACGAGAAAAAAAAGAAGGCATAAAACATCTCACGGAATACACAGACACAGACAGCTCGACTTCTTCTCCTCCAAACCCCCCCGGCCAATTAACAAAGAGAGCTCAATCAGCCCGTTGATTCGGCACCGCACCGCCAAAACCACACTAACAAGCCCGTGGCAACGGCTCCTGATCGTCTCCTTCGTCGCCTCTTCATCGCCCTCTTCATCGCCTCCTCAATGCCCTCTGTATCGCCCTCCCCTGCTCACTAAGACTTCTTCTCCGCTTCTGGCGATTCCTGCTTCACCGCACCCGTCGTCGTCGCAGCTGCTGCTGGCCGCGTGACCACGTCTGCCACCTTCACTTTCTCCTCTGTGCTCTCCGTCTTCACCGCCACCTTGTCGTCTCCGTCAGACTTTGTCGATGCCTTGGACACTTGGCTGTCCAGATCCTTGTCTTCCCGGTCAAACATCTCCGTGTCGTCCGAGTCCGTCAACACCTCCGACCCATCTCCCAGAAGAATGATCCGCCCGTTGTGTCCACCAACGCCGAACGAGTGTGCCCGTCCCTCCGGCTCGGTGTCAAAACAGCAGTCGCTGTCGTCAAAGTTGTGGTGCACCCCGGGACCCCGGAACTCGGCTGCGAGGCGGTAAAAAAACGTACTTGTCAGGAACACGTGCCAGAACAGGAAGCCGATCAAGCTCGCGACAACCAAGACTAGACTACTTACCGTACTCGGGCGGTGCGCAAGGCCCGTCTCCGTTCGCCACTCTCCGCGCAATCTCCTCGTACCACTCCTCTTTGCTCCGTCCCCGCAGGAAGCCGATGATGAGCATGGTCATGTTGTCACATCCCACACCTCCGGTCTCCGAGTTCGAGGCCAGACAGTTGTCCATCAAGTTCTCGCAGATCTTGTCCAGCTCCTGCTTTGCTGCAATGCCCCTTCTCACAAACTCGACAACAGCCTGCGACGATTGGCAGTCCCAGATGCCTACACACAGACGGTCAGCATGCACGCATGTAAATTCAGCAGCAGCTGCTGCTGTTGTTGCAACCAGTACGTACCATCGCATGCAATCACGAGGAACTCATCGTTGTCGGCCAGTTCGTGGACAGTCACATCCGGGAACGCAGTGACAATTTGCTGCTCGGGGGCCAGCTCGGCACTCTTCTTAAACTCAAAGTCGCCGATAGCACGAGACAGAGCGAGGTTGCCGTTCACCCGGCCAAAGTCGACAAAGCCGCCAGCGGCTGTGATCCGCGCCTTCTCCGCTGCGTAAATAAACATGTGTTAGACAGCCGTCCAGCGGGCATGAAAATGTAGCTGCTCCTTACCATCGTTCTGTGGTTTGTGGTCGAATGAGAGTGGCTTCGCACGGCCCTTAACGCCCAAGACACTTCTCGAATCACCAGCGTTCGCCTGTGCATTTGATGAGCCTACAATTACTACTGCCGTGGGAAAGGAGGGGAGGACCCAGGCTCACAAGGTAGATTTTGTCGTCTGTGATGAGGCCTACACAAGCCGTGCAGCCAGAGACCTCCTCTTCGTATTTCGGGTCTGTGATGACGCGTGTCAGTAATCCAACCAAAACAGCAACGCCCTCGTGTCCTCTGCACCGTCTCCACAGTTGAATGCGAGCTCTCTTGCCTACCGTTCAGAATAGCCCGGTCCGTAGCCAAGAAACCGTCCTTGAGGGCCTGGTCGTAATTGGCTTTTTTGAAAGCGTCTTGCTTGGACACGATCTGATGGATGTTATCTCCGGCAAATAAGGCGACTTTGTCTCCCCCATGACCATCAAAAACACCAAAAAAGCTGATTTTGGAGCCGTGGCCCTTAGCCTCGGCAGCGTTGTTTTCGAGCAGGTTCAGGACGGTCGTGTGTGCATCTTCCATGCTGATGCGCCAACCTTGCATAGCAGAAACGCCATAAATGAGGCGTTCATCTTCGCCCTTCTCTGACGTCTAAAAGAAGGAAATCTCGTCAGCGACCAAGCGTCATGGTTTCTTCATGCATCAAACAGCTGAACAATGCGACAACAGCGCGTTAGCACGGCGGCAGTGTGTGCCGTGAGGGGGTTGGCGGGGTATGAAGCGGGCATTGCCGCAAAGACGTGTCCGAAAGTCAAAAAAGGGAGCCCCGGATATTGGACAGGGTCGTTGCAGGGTTGAGGCCACCGGACTAGGCACCGGGCACTGGACGATCCGTTGAAGCGCGGTTGGGCCGTGAGGGTGCAAAGACCAAGGCGCACGCGAGAGCCGTATCAGGCAAAAGAGGGTGGATTTGTCACGCGGCATAGACGCCAACAAAACAAGGTATTCACTGCAGGCTACCGGGGCCAAGGGCCGAGACGTGTCTGAACATACCTTGTCGACGATAGGTTCGGATAGTGTCTGACCCATGGTGAAGACGTGTGTGGTATGCGAACGGCTGCGCGGGGTTTTCTGGCTCGGAGACGAAAAGGACGAGGTTAAGGCGAAGCCACAATGCACCCACAAGAGCGCACGCGCCTCAAGGAGGGGAGAGGGGGGCAAAGAGCGAGGAGGAGGTGGGGGGGGGTAGTGAAGCGGCGAAACGGCGAGACAACGAGACAACGAGACAACGAGACAACGAGACGGCGACGCGGCGGTGCGGCGATGCGGTAGAACGGCGAGACGGTGGTCGGAGGAGGGAATGGGGGAGGGCTCTCTCTAAGAAGAAATGCGGAGTGGCTGTTTTTTTTCTCTAGTTGCCTTTTTTGTGCTTATTTTTGGCCGTGTATTAATTAAATTTGTTGACAGGAGATTGTCAGGGAGAAGATTTTTCAGTGGTTAACAATAACGTTTGGGATTTAGGTGCCTTGCCGGCGAGCCAATGTCCCTAATTTGTTAGAACGAGCAATGTACGAGAGCGGGGTTAGGCACACGTAGAAGAAGGACGCCCGGGGAGTTAGGCAGCCGGCCTGCAGACCACGGGAAAGAGAATAGAGGGAGGGAGGGGGGACTTGCAGTGAGCAAGCGGTGTCAAAAGGCCACCAATGAGTTGTGAGGAGGGAGCAACGAAGAAAAAGGCCGCCACAACGTTGCGTTCTCGGGTTTCGCCGTCTAGGAGGCCGGGCGTTGCTGAGCGCTGACTGGTTGTTGACGGGATCTTGACTGATGTCGGCAGGATGGCTCTAGTCTGGGCAGTCGAGGCAAGGATCGGACGGGAGGCCGGAGAGCTGAAGACCCGGCAGGAGGCTGGAGCTTGGTGATCACTGGGCGGTGGAGACGGCCGGATGGCGTGATGGAGAGGGGGCTTGTTGGACCGTGACCGTGTCTTACTCGTACAGAAGCAAAAGCCAGACAAGGGCCAAGAGAGAAGGACGAAAGTCTCAAGAAAGAACGGGAAAGACGAAGAGGCAATGGCGAAGCTGACGATAGTTGCAGGTGGGCCTGCAATGCAGAGGAGGGGCAACAGGAAGGTGCAAAGGAGGCCGGGCACAACAAGGCAACCGCAGGCGACTTTGTTGCGCCATTCGGCCAGAGCGACGGAAGTGAGGGTACCTAGTATGCCACACTCACTGGTAGGCCGTGACGGTAGCAGTACATTGTTCAACGGTCTAGGCCCTCTGGACGGCCATTGCTGGGATTTGGGCAAATGAGGTCTTCCATCAGCAAGTCGAACGGACGAAGGACGTTGCCGGGGCTGAGGCAATGATATCCATGTGTACGAGGATCGTACCATTCACGTCTGCTGTCCCCGGGATGGGCCCGGCTGGTTGTCGGCCGAGGAACGGTGGGTGTTTGACCATTTCCAGCGCATCACGACACCCAGCCTCGCTGGCGACCTCGATGCGGCCTTTGGCGCGTGCTCGTCCTCCAGGTCTGCCACACGGACCGTCTGTGTGCCACGCCCCTCTCGCCGTCAGCCGCCAGCACGAGGTCATACAGGACAAGGACAGAGAGACCCTGCTGCAGCTTCGAGGCCGAACAGCAACATCTCGATCGTCAGTTGACTCAGCTTCGTGTTGGCCAGACCCGTTTCCGTGTCAGCCAGTCGGCCGCCGTCTTTCATGCTCGAGACGCGCGTCATACCGGCGCTGTACTACGTGGTTACCAAGTACCGCCACCCGTCAGTGCGATGTGCTGCCTTGGACTCGTGCCCTGGAGGACGGAGAGCTGGCCGACCCGGCGGCTTTGGGCTGTTTACGGCAGCACAGAAGCAACCAGACACAGAGGCGCCCATTAACATGCAGACGAAGCGTATCACAGTCGAAGAATAGCAGAGTCAGGGTGATGGAACGGCAAAGAACAGAAAAGAAGATGAAGATTGTCTATAAGATCGGAAGGACACTAAGGAAGGAAAGGAGCAAACGGGATGGCGGGTTGCGGCGGCTACTCGCGGGAAATATCGCGGCCGAAGAGCTTGGACTTGATCCAGTCGTTGATCACCAGCAGACGGTTGCGGCCTGTCGGTTTGGGGTTAGCCGAGAGCACGTAACAGACGAGAAAAGAAAAGAAAAGAAAAGAAAAAAGAAAAAAAAACTCACTGCTAAAGACCATGGACAGATAGGCGCTCCGCCAGAACAAAAAGGTCATGCTGCCGCCCGAGGCAAAGTTGCCGTTGAACCAGGCAATGTCAGCAACGGCCTTTTCGCTGCCAATGTAGGCCAGCGAGCCCTGGTGCGAGTAGTGGAAGGGCTTGATGTCCTTGATGCGGCGCAGCTGGCGCTCGGCCTCTTCGATCTCGCGGCTGGCCGTCGGCGCATCGGTGCCGGGCTGCAGGTTGAGCGACGCGCTCAGCGTGCGGACGCGGTCTTCCAGCACAGCCGTTCGGGCCATGTTGTTGAACAGGCGGGCCAGAAAGGCGCCCTCCTGCGAGGCCACCTGGGCTGTAGGCGCATAGCCGGCGACAGCACAGTCGCCGACGGCCCAGATGTCGCGGGCACCCTGCACGACCAGGTACTCGTTCACGGCCAGGCCGCGACGCGAGTCCTTCTGCGCCGGGATGCGGCCCATGAGATCGCGCACGACCGGTCGCAGCGCATTGCCGGTGGCCCACACGAGCAGACCGTAGGGAAAGACGACGCGCTCCTTGGAACCGTCTGGCCGGCTGGCCTCGGCCTCGACCGCCTTGTCCGTCACCTTCTTGACCATGGTCTTGGTGTGGATCGCAATCTCCTCCTCCTTGAACGTGCTCTCGGTGTAGTCGATCAGCTGCTTGCTGAAGCTCGGCAGCACGTTGGGCAGCGCCTCGATCAGCGTCACGCGGAACCGATCTGCAATGTCCGGAATCAACTTCTTGATGTCGTCCTCGAAGAAGTCGTGCAGCTCGCCCGCAAACTCCACGCCCGTCGGCCCGCCGCCCACCACCACCATGTGCAGCAGCCGGTCGATCTCCTCCGACGTCTGGTCCTTGAGCGCTGCCGTCTCCACACAGTCCATGATCTTCTTGCGGATCCGCTGCGCGTCGCCAATCTCCTTGAGGAAGCACGAGTTCTCCAGCACGCCCGGAATTCCAAACGTCGCGTTCTCTGCTCCGACACCCACCACCAGCATGTCGTATGCCACCTCCGATTCCGTCGTCCGGCCCCGCACGTCCGCTCCGTCCCGGATCTTGACCACCTTGCGCTCCGGGTCCACCGAGCTCGCCTCTGCCTCGTAGAACGTCACCGACCCGTTCTTCGTCCGCGCAATCGTCCGGATCGGCTCCATGATCGACCGGTGCTCAATCAGGCCCGTCGTGCATGACGGCAGCAGCGGCGTGAACAGAAAATAGTTGCGCGGCGAGATCACCACCACGTTGTAGTTCTCCGTGTCCAGCTTCTTCAGCAGCGACACCGAACCCCATCCGGTCCCCAGGATCACCAGCGTCTTCTTGTTGGGGTCCCGCGGCAGCACCTCGCCCGGCTGCCGGTCCTCCCACAATGAATACACAATGTAACCCGCCAGCCCCAGTCCCGAGAGATAGGTCAGCCGCCAGAGCCAACGCAGCTTGCGGAACCGCTTCTTCGGCTTGACCGTCGTCGAGCTCGTCACTGTCGGCCCGCTGGACGCGTGTCGCACCAGCTGCATGGCTGCTGGCCGCCGCCCGACTGCAGTTGCTGCTGCTAATGCCGCTGATCCTGGCGCTGACGTCAGTCTCGATGCTGTGCCCACTGCGCTTCTGCTGCTCGCCCGCGACAGCATGCTGGCCCGCAGCCCTGACGACATCGTCGACAGCCGCCGCACCTGCTGCAGCTGGGCGCTGCGCAGCTGTGAGCTCGCCATCAGAGTTCAATTAAAATTCGGGACACGGAAACAAAGGAAAGGCCAGGAGAGAGAGAGAGAGCTGAGGCGGCAGCTCGGGTAGTGCTCTTGTGTCGGGACGCAGGTCGCGATAATAGCGACGCTGGATGAAAAAAAAAGGATGATACGTGTACGAGTGAACGACTGTATTCCTCGCTGGGTGCGGCCAGATAATTTCTCAAGCGTTTCCCGCCTTTATTACCCTTTTTTGACCGTCCTCGCCAGTTTTTCCTTTTTGGAACCCCTAATTTTTTTAAGCTCAATTGCTGTGCTCCCTGGAGCCCCACCTAAAACACCGGCGAAAATCCGCACTCGGGGTTGCCCCAATTGGATAGAGCACTACTGCTCGATAAGAACAGGCCCGGGATCCCGCGAATACTCCGCCGCTACGAAGAACCTGCACTGTACCAAGTACGGAGTACTCCGTACAGTCATTTTTCGCGTCAGCACTCCCCGGACCATCTCCTTGCTTAGTCACACTCCCTTCCCCGCCTCGATCCTCTTTTCCTGTTCTTTTGCGCCTTTTAACACCAAAACTAGCCCCCCAATCAGTCGTCGATCATGTCGCCGCCTCTCCTGCAAAATAAAGTTCGACACATCGAAGCCGCCGTTCCGGGGGCATGTGTCTGTCCCCAAGTCAGCAAATACGAGAACGTGAAAAGTCTTATCGTCGCCTCCTGGGCCACCCCCACAAATGGAAACGCTTGCCAATGCGCCGCTGCTGCGAAGTCGGGCCAACGGGAGTTGGCCAATCCGACAAGCCAGTCGCCATTGCGTAATGGCACGGCCAGAAGTGCGTGGCTGGACCGTATATGCCGTTTGGGCCGTTTGGGCAATTTGGGCAATTGGGCAACCGCTCATCGATCCGTCATCAATCCGCCTTCCTTTCACCCCTTAATTCCTCCTCTTTCTGCCGGGCTTTCCTCACCATGCAATATAGCTTGCACACGGCCCCGTCATCGTCGCAGGTCAGCTCCCTCACAAACTGGAAGCCCCATCGCTCGTAGATCGCCATATTGGGCTGCGCCTTGCTCGACTCGAGATAGCATGGCATCTGTTCAGCATCGGCTCTGTCCGTCACCACTGACACCAGCTTCCGCCCGATGCCCTTGCCCTGGGCCTCTGGCACTATCGCAATCGTGTTGAGGAAATAGTAGCCACGTGGCTCGATCCAGATGGCCTCGATCGCCTGCGCCTGTGCTGCCTTGAAGATGTAATATCTCTGGCCTTTGTTAGACACGAGAAAGACCCTGCGTAAATCGGGGGCACTCGAGAGGGGATACCTTAACATTCAGACCTCCCCGGCCATGCCAGATGTTCACGGCCAGTTGCGAGAACCAGAAACGCCATGAGTTTGCCCATTGGACCCAGGACAGCTTTTGGCCCTCAGGTCGGGGCCGGAGCCACATCGCCACACCAAGAACCTTGTCGCTGCCCGCTTCCTTGGCCACATAAAAAAGCTCGTTGTGTATGCCCAGTTGACACCGTGCCGTGAGCGATGCGCAACTCCGTTGCGGGCTGAACTGATGTCGAGGCACAACGTTAGCATCGAGCAATGCAGTTGCAGCAGGTGACCTATCTGTGAGCATACCGTTGACTGGTAATACATCCATCTTTGGAACGACCTGCGCGTTAGCTGTCTCGCCCAAGAGGTGACGGTGGAAGAAAGAAAGAAGCAAAGTCGAAAATGGTCTTGCTGGAAGTCACTCACTCCTCATAAGGATCATCAATGAAGCTTCTCCTGTGCCCGTTCACGCCAATGGTCAGCCACTGGTTCAAGATCGCCTAATTGCACGAGAAAAACAATATCCAATGCAAGGCTGCGCTGTCTGCCGTCTATAGCTCGTCGAAGACCTGCTTTCTTCGTCCCGTTTTCCTTCTGGAAGCTCGCTGGGCTTCAGGCGGAGGCACTACGACGTAGACCGTCAAAATGCAGACTGTGATGTGACGCTTGTCTCCCGGAGAGCAACAACGTGCAGGGTCGCGTTGGACGTTTAACATACTGGATAGCTGCCACTGCGCCAGGAATATCTGCCTCAGTAAGGCGAGAGATTTCAATGGCCATGATGTATAGCAATAGTATCCGATCAGATAGAGACTGCGTCAAGGTTCAGACATGACCCTTATGTCCCAAGGGAGTCTGACTTATACGTTGACGTTACAGTGAGAAGCTGGAATTTTAGCCAATATTTAAGCTCTTTGTTCAGTCCTTTGCACGTGACCTTTTGAACTTTCAACCACATCCGGCCAGACGAAGCAGCCTCAACATGAAAGTATATCCTAGGTCCGCACCATCTCGTTTAGATGAACCTGGTATTGTTCCCATTGTCTAATATACATTTACGCAGTGCTTCTCACCGTGTTACGTTGGTTGGTGTTTCAGGAGCCGGGACTAGGTATTTTCGGGCTGTACAGCGGAGTACAGGGCAAAAGAGCTGCTACAGGGGTAGCTAGAGGCCGCTAAAGCGGTTGGTGGACCAGGTTGTGTATTATGTATAAACGGCCCAAACCTGATCCGTACTCTGAGGGCATCAGAACTTACTCAAGCTAATGACATCATCCGTACTTGGCTTTCCGGTGTATACGAGAAATGGCGGCCTTAGTTGGCAGGTGGAGAAAGTGCGCAGATTCTATATCGCCAAGATGCAAGGGCATGTCAAACATGTTTATTGCAAACTAAAACTTTTCGTCCAAATATGCACGAGCGAGAAACCGCACCCGGCCCGGAGTATGTCCCACACCAAGTACTGTGGAGTACCAGACGGATGACAGCCAAAACCTAGGAGCATGCAGCGCTGCGGTCGACAGAGCCGGGGTCTTTGGGGATGACGCCGGCCTCGACGGCCTCCTTGTAACTCCAGCGGTAGTCGCCGAGCTCGGTCTTCCAGCTCCAGAAGAACCAGCCGAGGTTATGCTTCTCGTAGGACGAGACTTGGGCGGCGAACCACTTGGTGTAGAAGTCCTTGTTGTCGCTTGGGGCCCAGGCACTGGTTTTCTCCACGTTGTCAGGCGGGCTGAGACTGAACTCGCCAACGATGCCGGGGCTATCGGACTGGCTGGCGTCATTGCAGGACGCCGACAGGTACGCGCTCTGGCTGACGGACACGCTGCTGTCGTACTTGAGGTAGCGGTGGTCGTCGTAGGCGACGTACCAGCCATTCATCCACTCGGTCGGATTGCCGCTGCCCCAGTTGTCGTTCATGACCAGCAGGTGCACCTGTCCGTTGCCCGTGACGCCAAGGCTGTCCTCCTTGCTGTGCACCCGGTCCCAGGCGTCTTTGTAGTAGGACTCGCGCATGCTCGTCGTCTGCGAGCCCGTGTTCTGCAGCGGCTCGTTGACCAGCTCAATCATGCCCACATTTCGGTACTCCGTATTGCTGTGCACTTCCGTCACCAAGTACTCGAGGAATTTGAGCGCCCGCTCGTACTGGTAGTCCACGTAAAAGCCCGGCGTTGACGCGTACTGGCCCGTGAACGCGTTCTGCGCCACCTGCGCGCCTGGCGCGCCGTGCATGCCGAGCACAATGTAAAAGCCGCGGTCGCTGGCCCAGCCGCAGATCTTCTTAAGGTACGACAGTGCGCCCTATACAGAGTTGATCAGCCCCGGAGTTGTGCAGATGCTCGCTGTTTCCACGTACCTTGGGAAAGTGCTCCGAGTCCGAGTAGACGATGCTCTCGTCCAGCCAGTAGCCCAATGGAATGCGGATCGCATTGAGCCCGTAGCTCTGCATGTCGTTGAGGTCGCTCTCGACGATCCACGAGCCCCAGTGGCTCTGGAAGGCCGAGTTCGCCGCCGACTGGCCCAGGTGGGACACGCAGTCGAACTCCGAGTTCTGCCCACCGCAGCCCATGCTGCTCCACGTGTTGCTGGCCATCCACGGCTCCAGGATGAACTGAGAGCCCAGGTTGACACCGCGGAGAGGCTTGCCGTCGGTAGTCAGCCAGCGGCCCTCGATTTGCTTTGTTGTGTTGAACAGGTTGGAGCCATCGCGGGCTTCCATGCGATCAACGTTCTGCTGAGGGAGCCAAGCACTGGCCACTCCCAGCAGGGAGAGCGCCGTAGCAATCGATGTGACTCTTGAGATCATGATGTCTTGTTTCGTGCAAGAGGGCAACTCAAATTACAAGACTAAATGGACAACTCTGATGGTCCGATAGAGAATGGCCAACAATTTTGCTTGGTTTGGGGAGCAAGCCGCCTTTTATAGAGAGAAACAGCGAGTCTGCTGTGCAAGGAAGCCGCTCCTTCGACAACCTGTTGCCTCATGCCGTCTGATTCAAGACAGAAACAAGGCATAGTGGCATTGCCGGGTAAATCCTTTGTTGTTGCAAAAGAGGGAAGGATGACCCGGTTAGCTTCAGGCCGACCTGCCTAATTGGTAAACAAGAACATGGCAATTCCAGCTATTACAAATTTAGCACAGCAAAAAGGATTCTGGCCGACGTCATTTTAAGTAGAATCAAGGATGTTTTCTCTCTCACCGTGCTTGTCCCGGCTTCACCGAGCGATCCTGGTTCCGATGGCAATTTAATCTGCCCTTGGAGGCTTGGCGTCCGGGGTTGAGAGCTACACGTGGGAGCATCCGACGGATGTTGATGCATGTATAGTGTTATTTCCGTCATCATCGCCACGTCTACTGCCAGCAAGTCCTGGATAGAGAGCAACAAAACCTGGGAAAGATGGAAAACGAGATTGCTAGTGGTCCTGCAAGAGAATCCTTCGCCATCTCTCATGGTAAGACAAGCCCGACGACTAGAAACACGACGCGCCGGAACTGCTTGGCTCGTTGAAGTTCTGGTTTTAGTTTGTAAAATATGTAGGTGTGCCGTTACAACGGCCTTGCGAGAGTTCCCATTCCTCAACCGTCCAGAAAGCCAGTAGGAAAAGTCCGGAAAGGTCGGCTACGTTGCATCCCAGGAACAGAAGGATCACAACATTCGGCCCCGTTTAGTCCGAATTTAATGGGGCTTGGGCGGGACTTGCGTCTTTTCTTTTGTTCCAGTTCCAAGCATCACCGAAAGCAGCTTACTACATTACTAGTATGTCGATCAGAACTGCTCGAATCGACTTACTCCAATTAGGACCAATGAGCTTCGGGCTTCTAGGCTACCAGCTCGGCCTCTATGAAACGCGTTCCTAAGCTAATCATTGGCCATTAGCTGAATCAAGGTCGTACGACTTGCGGTGCTGATGGCTGCCAGCTGCCGGTTGATCGCCAGCTGTCAAGTAGGCGACCCCGCAGTTATCTAATCTGTTAGCGGCCAAAGGATCTGCCCCTGTGCCAGATTCCTGGCCCATTTTCACCTGAAACGAGGCCTGAGACATCAGCGATCCACACGCAACGCCCGCGAGGCGCATCTCGTGCTTCTCTCTATGAGATCGATGAGTTGGCGCTGATCTATGAGGAGGGTGAGATTTTCTCGAACCATGGGCCTAACCTGCAATGTACGATGTTCTTCCGTCTTCCCTTCTCTCTCAGATGGACGGTTCTGGAGAAAACCAGCGACTGGGCAAGCTCTGATTATGTGGTTGGCTATTCGGGGAATTAGCCTAGGGCAGCCGAGCGTCGATGAAGCGTCTTAGGACGCCGTGATGCTACCTGGCTAGGCAATGCGCCTAGAGTCGCGTGGTCTCCAGACGGGCGCACAGATGAGGGAAACACAAGAGTACCCCTCGTAGTGAAGTACGTCGTAGACGCGTGTTAAAACACGAGTACAATGAGACGCACTGAACCGTGGTTTTTTGTCATTCGACTTGCCGAAAACCGTCGCATCGCCTCCATCCTCATGTAACTGGCAGCGGAGCCATACTACATACTCCGTAGTATGTATGGAGTAGCAATCGAATCCACCTGCTAGAATACCCACTCCTGGTGTCGATTCCTCTTTGGCCCCTAGGCCTGTCTTACTGTCTCTTCTTATTCTATGTGTCGAGTATGCGCCGATTGAGATGGCCCTCTGACCCCTTCTCTTCGTACGTCGGATTAGGCTCTCTGGCCCTCCAACTCGAAAGGCTGATCGCCGGAGCCCTGTTACAACATGTCACTGGTACCCATCTCCACTGCGGAAGCGGGTTCTTCTCTTCCCTCTTACACAGGGGCCTGTGTCGTTTTGCTCTTTTCCTCCTTGCCATCTGCACTCTTCTACAACCACTAGCATTTTGCTGCTTCACTTTTCTTTCTTTTCTTCACCTTTCTCTTCTCCAAGGCCGGCCCTCCCGATATTCTTATCTTTTCCCTCGCTAGGTTCTTCACCAGCTCCCCGAGGTGACTTTTATTCTTTCGTTTATCAACACGTCTTTTTGCATACAGCGTGCAGTGACCTAATATTCATTTTCTTCTCTTCTTCGCTACCCTTTCTTTCTCATCACTTTCTTTGTCAGCCGTTCTTGAGTGGCTCGCTTCCACGTCAATTTCGGCTACACCACCCCTCTTCTTATATACCGAAAACCCCACGTACTTCACAGTAACAAGCGAAGCATCCATTTCATTGGGTGCTCCTCGACCTGCCGACAATCTGGCGATACCCCGTGTTTACTTTGGATGCAAAGGAAGAGGGCATGGCACCAGTGAAGGGTGGGCGGTACAGTGCTGGATCACTAGAAGAGCGGACCGGAGGACAGACCACACAGCACAGCAGCGAGTCCAAGGAGGCGCTATCAGAGCAACGAGTCCGACGACGAGACGGCAGGCCAGGACCACCGAGCAGGCTCCGAAGAAGAAACCCTGACAGCAACTCCAATGGCGATGTTAGCGGTGCCAACGGATCTCATAAAGACAACAGCCACGGCAAGGCTAACAGGGAAAACGACGACGACGACGACGGAAGCGACTCTGACGGCAGCGATGGTAGCTATAACAACGACAACAAGGACGGAAACAACGGCAAAGGAAACGGCCACGGCCACGGAAGCGACAGCTATCCAGCCGCCCTTAGTAGCGTTGCAGCTGACAGCATTACAACAAGCAGCATTTCCGGGTTCTTCACGCCTTCCAGCACGAGGAGCAGCACGGCCATCGCTGTAGCCAGCAGCAGAGCCAACGGCGCCGACTCCGATAGAAATGGTGCTCAGCAGCTCACGCTCCAGCCGGCCATAGTTGCAGCGCCTTCAGTCACAAGCGCCGAGGTTCTGGCGCCTGCTGTGACAACAATCGTCCTGGCCACTATTGTGACAGGGCCGGTGCGTCTGCGTGAATTCTAAACCATTCTGTGTCGAAGCTGACAAGCCAGTAGAACTCTGTTGTGACGAGCTTTATTCCCCTCTTGACAACAACGCCACAGACAACCCTGCTGAAGTCTACTCTGGTGGCCACAGTTAGCGCTTCTTCCTCTTCTGCCTCTGACTCGGCCATGACGAGCATACTCACCAGCTCTGACAGGAGGCACAAGACGGCCAGCACCGATTCCGATTCCGACGATACCAGTAGTAACAGCAAGGGAAACAGCAGCAGATGGTCGTCCCACAGATCGGATGACAAGCCGCTCAGCCAAAGTGCCGAACGAGCACTGATTTCGGCTGGCTCAATAGGTAAGGGAATGCTCCTTGCCAACATGCCGACTTGCGTTGTTGTTTACCCACGACTGACGCAAGCTTTTTCTCTCCTTTCCAGGTGCCTTCATCATCGTCTGCTTCCTCTTCTGGCTCGTGTGGCGAGCGGTCCATAACCAAAACTGGCGAAAGCATGCAGGCGCGTTAGCTACTGCTGCAGTGTTTGCTGGCTCCCCTGCCTCGCCGTCTGCAGCAGTGGCCATCCACAGCACTTCCAACAGTGCCACCACGCCACCCCGCCGTCTCTTCAAGAGTATCACTTCTCGGATGCCTTTCTTCGGACGCCGGACTAGGACGTGGCAGACGCTCGAAGACAACACGAGCAAAGAGACCAACGCAACTGTTGGCACCAAAAACTTGGGGCCATCGCAGCAGCCAGCCGAGGTCTACCAAGAGAAAATCACAAACATCGTCAGCAGCAGTGAGGGCCTTCCTGCCACACCGTCCCAGGTGTACCATGGCGACGACCTGAGCCAGCAGAAGGAGCAGCAGCAGCGACAGAAGTATGCAGCCGCTGCCAGCACTGCTCCGTCCTTCATATACTCGCAGCAGATGGCAGTTACCTCTGCAAACCTGCTTGCAGTTTCTCCATATGGCGCTGCTGAGGCGTCTGCTGGCCCTACCGCAGAAGCTGCCTATCTCAGGGCAGGCAACGGCACCTTGATCAATAGCGACGGAGTCAGCTCCATGGGCGACACGTTGCGGTCACGCATGCCCGACCCCTACTATAATCAGTCACAGTTGGCGCGCCAGCCTTCCGACGCCTACGACCCGATGCATCGCCAGGTCAACCGGATCTCAGAGCTGTCATCGTTGTCGTCGGGTTTTGGCGATGGCGAGATTGTGGATCTTGAGCTACCGCCAAAGCGCCAGCAGCAGATGCTGTCCGTCCCTCCTATGCCATCCACTCCTCTGGCTGTCACACTCGCCGGCGCCGGCCACTTCTCCTGGATGCGTGCTAGCAGATTTGTGCCAAACAGCCGTCGTGAGACGGTATACACAGAAGCCGGCGAAGACCAGCCGGCCAGGTTCCGCTCCGTCACATCGTGGGTTCACCAGCAGACAGGTCGCGTACGCCGAGCACAGCAGCGGAGCAACGCGAACAACAACCCAGCTGCGGGAGGACCGTTAGGTACCACAGGGGCCACAAATGTCCAATCTGGTCGGGCCAACATGTCAGCGGAATCCGAGATGCCAGCGACACCCGGAATTGCTCGTCCTATGCCGGAGGAACAGCGGTTGACGATGATGGTAGACGACGGCGAGGAGCCGCGGCGGCCAGAAACAGTTCCAGGCATCCATATGAAACCGAGATAGTCAGGGTAAAAAATAGATGAGGAACAGATGATGGAACGATGAATCAAGAGGGGAGGATTGAGGGTCAAAGCCATCCAGCTCTCCTCCAAGCCAAAAAGTGAAGGAATTGGCTGCTATTTGTGAATTGGCTGCGGCTTTCAAGGTTGATAGGGCTTTCCTCCCTGTTACGCCCATCTTGTGCTTGTCATCCTGATGGAGTTCCGGTGATGAGAGACGTTTTGGAATTTGGGAGAAAAGGCGAATGGAGTTCTTCTTTCCTTTTCTGGCAATAGTCGATCGCCCTTTCTTCACAATTCCTCTCCCTCGATCGTATTCATTTATCTCCCTCTGGCATGACAGAAAGGAAAAGACTCAACTAGACTCTCTTGGTAGCCTATCCTATTCTTCCAGCCTGGTCAGATTGCTTCCAACAGGCCTGGTGCTTGGATTCGACGGATGCTGGGTAGGACATGACACAGTGTGTGACACTGAGCAGCCGCAAAACATGGTGTACCACAAAATGAATAATATCCGATCCCATATAACTATGGGCCATCGACAGACGTCAACGCGCTTCTGCAAGATACTACTACACAAAACATACAACATCAGTTTGCGGGCGCGTTGTTTTCTGCTCCCGTCGGCCAAGGAGGCACGGTCTCAACCGTGAACCTTGCCTCAACAGAGAGTCCGTGGAAAACATCCTTGTCAAGCCTGGAAACAGCCGCTGCCGCATCTTCACGAGTCCAGAAAATCATATATGCACGTTGGATATGACTGTTCTCGTCTGGTCGAGAATGCCGGATTGCCTCCCGGAGCTTTCTCCTGCCTCCCGCTCCCCAGAGTAAGTAATCCCTCAGCTCTATGATGCCGGCATGACGAGACAACTGCGTGACGACAATTATGCAGGTCTCCATCAGCATCTCGTGATGGTTTTCCGGCCCGGGATCTTCCTGCATGTTCTCCGGAAAGGGCCAAACTCCTTCGTCTTCTGAGTCGACGAATCCACCGCGAACAGGAGGCACCGATTCTTGAGGCTCGGGCTGCCGATACTCTACAGGGTTGGGGTCATTAGGGCCGAAATATATACCATTCGCATAGGGTATGGGGCCATTGGCTTGGACAATTTGCATAGCTCTTATCAATGCGCTGTGCTCGTATATGGTGTATGCGGTGACCAACTCGGGACTTATCCTGGAGATGTTGATTCACTAGACAACGAAATGGCTTCGTGGACAACGAAATGGCTTCGTGAGCGCTCAGAATATATTGACTGGAGTGGTTTTTGAAGCTTCACAGGCTGATTGTCGTCTTTGAATTTGAGATTATTGAGGTTTGGGTTTTTTGTATTGAGGAGCACATTCTCGGATTTGAGAGCCCACGGGTTGTAAATACTCGCGGCGGAATCACATTGCATATATCTATCAACTACCTAGAAGCAGCTGCAGGTGATGAAGCAATGTGCCGGCGCCTCAAATCCCTAACAACGCATCTTACGTACATACATAGTAGTACCACTTCCTGTGAGGGTGCATTTTAGATATGTACCCATCGCTGCCACAAAAGAGCTAAAGTAGTCCACCTGTCGTAAGCTCTCAGGGGCCGAGACCTGGAGGTTGGCATGTTGCCAAAAACAAATCAAAGCACTGGCGGGTCCTTTGGACAAAAAAGCCGGAGGATTTGCCTACATGCGAGCTAAAATGTATGACAGCCAGGGCACAAGAAGGAAGGCTGTGCAAGCCAGGCCAAGCAGACCTGCCGTTTTTCATCAACTAGTCTGTGTATTGGCTAATAAGCTCCATCATTCGGGTGACGATGCAGGCAGGACTGCAGGACGGCACAGTATCCCCACACTGCCAATAATAAGCTTCGCTTTTACACGACGTTACAAGCACGAGCAGCGCTCAGGACTGTCAAGACCGGAGAAGTACTCGTAGCGCCAGAAAAGTCTCAGACTTCCCTCACCAATTGAAAGACTGTAGGTGCCAAATCAGTAAACCTTCATTTCTCCACCTAGTCAATTGTGATATGTTTCGGCGAGCTTGAATTGACACCCACGTCATGAAGGTAATGCTGATAGTTGTCACCAGCTGCAGTGATTTCATTGACCGTGTGCCTCGCCCTTCTATCCCTTGGAAGGGTGTCGTGTGTGGAGAAGGGGGTCTCATGCCCTTCACATGCAAGGACGGGCAGTCCTCGGAAGAGCCCTCCTTGTCGATTTGGCCTATCCAGTAGTCGATATGCTGATTCTGGATTCCCGACTCTTTGTTTAGCTGAAGCACACCGCTCAAGCTCCCTTCCATTGCAACCCAAATTTCGTCGTCGCATTGACTCGTGTGAATCTGAAGCTGTATCGCAAATGGATTACGTCCGGGCTGCGAGTTTATGCTCAACCAAGAACGAATGTGTCACAGTATCATCGTATCGCACCACCATAATCAGAAATGTTCCACCATCCAGCATCAAATGTTCGTTATCAGTCGTCAGTCGTCAGTCGCTAGTCCTCCCTCTTGTAGTGGAACGTATCCTCCAGCTCGCTGTAGTCTGAGTCTATTTCGGCAGGAACAAGCTCGAGTGGGGATTCTACACGTTGTTCCCTCCGTGCCGCCCAGTCCTGTAACGTATTGAACTGGGGGAGAGAATCGGTGGAGGCTTTAGGCCATGTCACTGGCTGAAACAACTGGTCATTGCTACCTTCGTCAAGGGTAGCAAGGCTAAACTCGCATCCGTCTGTATAGAACAGTGTTAAAGGCAAGCTGTCACAGGTGACCCACATGGGGCGAAGCTTTCCAGACGTCTGGCCAACAGGAAGACTGCCGTTGGATTGCGGCGGTAGCTGCCGAAAAAAATTAACAGCCTCGGGAGGTCCAGAAGAAGGCGCCCACACGATTCCAAGACCTCGACTTGGATCACCCTCGCATGTGACAAGCAAACTTTGGCGAATTGCGGGGTGCCATACAACATTCAACACGTTTGCATGGAGCATCAAGACTGTGTGTAACTCTGATGTTTCCAAGTCCCAGATCCAGACAGTTGACGGGGCTTCTTCTATACGGGTGGCTAGAAGCGTTGATGAGCTATCAAATGCCATGAGGGAGCACCCTGACGAGAGTGCAACAGCATCAGGGCCGGAGGGAGATGGCCGGTCCGGGGGAAGGACGATATGTGTTGCTTCGACGAAAGAATGGATTGCATCGGCCGAGCCAATCGATGTCCCTAGGCCTATTTGTTCTTGCCAGACCTGGTATTGTCCATAAGTTAGCCAGCTGTCCATTCCCATTATCAAGATTCATATCTTGGTTTGGGCGGATTGGACTTGTGAGATACCTTTAGCGAAGCGTTTTTCTGAGGATTGAGGGCAGTGGGATGCACAAGTCTTGTTGTCTCAACAATAGATGTCATGTCAATAAAGCGGACGTACCGACTGGCATCTCCCACACCCAAAAATTTAGAGTCTGGGGAGAACTGTGCCAGTCTCACACCGGAACCTAGCAGGCTGTCAGGTGCAGAGAGGAGAGCAGGTGACAGCTCCTGCTCCCCTTCTTTGGAAGTTGTGCGAGACACACTGTCACGTTCAGGACCAACGCCGGTCCAAGACTTGTAAAGGTGGCCATCGGGTGTATAAAACAGTATCTTGCGGCCATGGGCAGCCGACTCCCACACGACCAACCAATTTCCGTTGGGGGACCAGGCAAGTCCCTGGGCATCGATCGTGTCAGGGGACCAAGATGTCACTGGAACGGCCGAAGTCGGGTCGTGAACGCTGACCCAATCCTTTCCGGCGGTACGAGTAAGCAGCGCAAGATGGTGGCTGTCTGGACGGAAAGAAAACCCGCGGCTGCAGGCGGCCGTTGGGCTGTAAAGCTTGGGGTTGGCAATCTCCACGGTCTTGGCTGTGCGCAGGCTGAATACAGAAAATTTGATACCAAGTGCGGTACAAAGACAAACTTGGTCGTCCACAGGGCCAAAGCTAACAAAAGCGGGCTTTCCCATACCAGAAAGAGCGGGATTGCGAATGGTGGCATAAAATGGCCGAGATAGCTGTGAAGATGGTCCTGAGGCGGCATTGTCGTCACTGTCCTCGTCGGTGCTGGGCAACGCAGCGAAGATCATGATCTGATCCGCTGTGGCTACAAGCAACCGTCGTGACGAGAGGGACCACTGGAAGCTGACAATGGATCCATAGCTCACATCACTGGGAAGAGCTGCGGCATGTGCTATTTCATCGAGGCTGTCGAGAGCACGGACGTGGATCCCTGACGGCAGCAGTGTGGCCACAAGCCGGCCATCTGGACTAGGTAGACAGTGAGAGGAGGCTGTTCGCTTGTCAGCGGGGACCAGAAACCATTAATTGACACAAATGGAGAAAGGACCAAAGCCGAACTGTCCAGTTTCCCAGGCTTATATTTTACCTTTAAATTTCTTCGAAAATTGCATTGCGACCGAATGATGGAGCTACCTGTAGCTTTGCCAGTTTTCTTACAGACCGTCGTAGTTCTGCAAGCCCACTTTCTCGATCTAGCTTGGCGACTTTGCTTCTGAGTGCAGCTTCTTGTGATCTGTGCTGTGAAGTAAAGCGCGGGGTTTGAAACATTCTCTGTTCATGTTTACCTATTCCCTTATATGGACTAGCGCATAATACTGCCACTAGCACTTTCCCAATCGGCCAACTCCGCGGGGCTAACAATGACGGACGAACATTTTGCAGTAGAAAGTATGGAGTAGGCAAGACCTCTACGAGTAGATCCTCATGATTTTTTAAACCTTGAACATCTCGCACGTATTCAAGTGCCCACTGTGAGTACAAACCTCCGGGGAGGTGGCAATGAAGCACAAATGTGGGCAGCCCACGGAGAATGAAGTGGTTATCACGATTGCTGATTAATACCGGCATTGACAGTGGCTCCGCGTCCAACTAGCAGACAGCATTTCTCAACAAGATAGGCTGTTCGTGCCTTTTCAACTATGGCATCTACTGCGTCTGTATAGTGTCCGGATTTCTGCGTTTATTCGGCATTCAGAGTCATATACCGCCACTGGAATGCCTCTACGGATTGGTGGGCGGCAACTGCTGAGGGCCGATCCCTCCTGGCAGATCAGAAATGGCGCTGGTGTATCTCAAATCGGGAGGAGGATGTTCAAGAAAGGCAGCCCTGCACAAAACATCGTGACTGCGGCCACGGGCAGATCGCTAGACAGGCCACCCACGGTGGGACACGTGCTTTCATCGACGGCAGCAACTACTGAGCCGGCTCTAGAGGGGGAGACTTTCGAAGCACCACAAAAAACAAGACAGGCAGAATTGAAGCATGCTCGACCATTTTCAGACTTCCTCACGGACACCTTCCAGCGTCAGCATGACTACCTGCGAATCTCGCTGACGGAGCGGTGCAACCTGCGGTGTCTATACTGCATGCCGGAGGAGGGAGTGGAGCTGTCGCCGGCGCGAAACCTGCTGACGACGCCGGAAGTGCTGCTACTCGCAGATGTGTTTGTGGGCCAGGGCGTGAAGAAGATCCGGCTGACGGGCGGCGAGCCGACAGTGCGCCGCGACATCCTGCCTCTTATGCGACAGCTGGGCGATCTAAGGCGGCGCGGATTGCGCGAGCTGTGTCTGACCACCAATGGGCTAGCACTGCACCGGAAGCTGGACGCCATGGTTGAGGCCGGGCTGACGGGCGTCAACCTGAGCCTGGACACGCTGGACCCGTTCCAGTTCCGACTGATGACGCGGCGCGACGGACTGGTTGCGGTGCGGCGCAGCATGGATCGGATCTTGGCGCTCAACGCTGCCGGCGCAGACGTGCGTCTAAAGATCAACTGTGTGGTGATGCGCGGGCTCAACGACGGCGAGATGGTTGACTTTGTGGGCCTGACGCGCGACCACGACCTCGAGGTGCGCTTCATCGAGTACATGCCCTTTGACGGCAATCGCTGGAGCACCGGCAAGATGGTCAGCTTCAACGAGATGCTGGAGCGCATTCGTAAGAGCTACCCGACCCTGCAACGCACGACGCCAGACGCACATCATAACCGGCTCCAAGACACGAGCAAGACGTACGAGGTGCCTGGTTTTGCCGGCCGCGTCGGCTTCATCACGAGCATGACCAGCAACTTTTGCGGCGGGTGCAACCGGCTGCGCATCACGAGCGATGGCAGCCTCAAGGTGTGCCTGTTTGGCAATGCTGAGGTTTCTCTGAGGGACATTATACGGCAGACGAACGGCGGTGAACCCATAGACGAAACACGCCTGGAGGCGCTGACACGAGCTGCTCAGGAGGCAGCCTCATCAACGGGCGACCCTGACACGGATCTCCCGATCAGCCATGTACTGCCAAACGCATCGGCACTGCTCGATGTCATCGGCATGGCAGTGAAGCGGAAAAAAGAACGACATGCTGGCATGGACGAGCTCAAGCACATGAAGAACCGGCCGATGATCTTGATAGGTGGGTAGCCCACCCTCCCGAGCCGGAGCTCGTGTGGACACAGGATGCTGCACAATCTAGGAAGGTGGGTTGAACAGGAGGAAGCTAGCGGGGCGAAGAAGCGGTTCGCAGCAGATGTGATAGCAGCGCTTGCTGACGTATATCCAGGCCGCATGCATCAACATCTACGACAGCAGGATGCCACCGGCCGCCTTGTTACAAATTGGGCTGTCCGTCCCAACAAGCGCATACCGATTTCTCCGCAAGAACTTCTGGGGGCATCACGGCCCCGGGCGTATTCTACGGGCGGAAATGGCGGCAAAGGCGACAGCTCACAGCCACTGCCACAAGCCCCACGGCTGACACACGTCTCGGCGTCTGGCACGGCTCACATGGTGCCGGTGGGCGACAAGAAGGTGACTGCGCGAACGGCAGCGGCAGCGTGTACGGTGCAGTTTTCCAATTCCGTAGCAGCGGCACTGGTACGGGCCAACGAGATGGCCAAGGGAGACGTGCTTGGGGTGGCTCGCGTGGCCGGGATCATGGCAGCAAAGCGCACGTCGGAGCTGATTCCCCTGTGCCACCCGCTGATGCTGTCATACATCGGCGTCGACCTGGAGGTTTCGACGGCTGGCGAGGGGTTTGGTGAGGGGTCTGACGACAATGCCAAGGGTAGTTGTGGACACGTGAAGATTTGGGCAACAGTTCGGTGTGAGGGCAAGACCGGTGTGGAGATGGAGGCGCTGACGGCGGCGAGTGCGGCAGCGCTGACGGTGTTTGACATGTGCAAGGCAGTGGACAAGGGTATGCGAATAGAGGGGCTGCGGGTGGTCCTCAAAGATGGAGGGAAGAGTGGACGATGGGAAGAGAAGGGATGGAGACAGGTTGGTGGCAGCGACTGATTCGGCTGATTCGGCTCACGATGTGAAGCGTATAGAAGCGAAGACATTCCGGCTTACTGCGGCTCCATGACGAGTTCCCGTCAAATGACAGGACATGGTGAATGGTGATCGAAGGAAGGATCCGCTCGTGTGGAACAGCCTTCAAAATACGGATTGCCCTTGGCGCATGGCGCAGGCTTTTTCCCGATCGCTGTCGCGTGCTTTGACCTTGACGTCTGCTCCGAACGGCATACTCCGTGCGCGTATTCCGTACTCGTACAGCATGATGACGCTCGTATTTGGCCGTAGGCTCTCTGAAGTCAAGTGCGAAAGAGCGACGGCGACCATTTGGGACCGATTCTGATACTTGCCTCTAGCGGCGGGCCCGCCGTGAAGTTTAGGAGCATGTCCTTAGGTAATGGACTGCCCTTTTAGGGTAGTTGAAAGATTGGCCACGCTTTCCCCCTTGATGGATTTTTGCCCGCAACGGGGCCTCTTGGCTGCGACGGTTTTTTAGGGGCGACCACCGAGCAGGTTCCGAGGTGCCCTCCTCTTTAATTCCGTATCTTACAACGTAAGTACTCAATTAGCATCAAAACAAATTACGAGACCGACAGGCCACACGATAAGAGTGCACCGGGAAGAGGGAGGTGGGCGAAACTGGGCAGGGATCGCGATGTGGCATCTGTTTCTGCCCATGACGTAGTCGTATTTGAACTCGGAGGTCTCGAAATTGTCTTGGCACTCATTCCATCGCCCGTGCTGCACTGCTCGCGGCCGTCCCAACTAGGCCGGACTGGGGATCGTCGAGGACTATGCTGATTTTTCTTTTTATTTCTTGGCTTGTTTTGCTTGCATTTGGGGATTGTCTTGTTGCTGAGTGGCTTTGGAGATTACTGACTGGGAATATCCTCTTTTTAGTGGACCGAAATTAGTGGTGTGGGACTAGTACGACGGGAGAGAAGGCCAATCGCAGGCCGACGATAAGGACTTGCACCGGCGACCAATCGCGGTGCATCCTGCGGTGCAGACAAGAAACGGCCAACGAGGACAGAATGTAGCGACAACCGCCCGAGGCGAGCCAAGTGCCTAGGGCATAGTGCACTTGTGCGCGATTGTGCAAGGTTGGCCCACGTCCATGTGCACAGCCCGGTAGGTTGCCATGCTCGGTGGTGTGGCACTCTTCACCGACGGCGAGGTTGAGAAAGGACACTCGGTCGGAGTGCAGACACACGACACGTGAGCAGCCGGAGGGGATGGGCGAGTGGACGCGTGTGTGGACGTCTGGTCGTACTCAGTACAGAGTAACTCGCTGGATCACCTGCAGTCTTAGTCTGGCTCCCGACAACGGCCCAATCAGCGGGGGGCGAAAGATAAGGGGGCCCACGGCCGCCAGCCGGCTGGCAATCCAGGCTATGTCTCTTAATACATAATACAAAACGGGCGCATGCCGACAGTGTGTGTACTGTGCATAGGAGCTCCACACACTGCCTGCATGCGACCATAGTGGCCTTTCTGGCAGCGGCCGAGCTCCTCCACAAAAAGACTGATCACATTCAGCAGACAGTTGCGACAGATAGGAAATGTCACCCTGAATGGCTCCAGACGGAGGCTCCCAGCGCTGTCGGCGCGGAGGGATTTCCCGTGCGAGGCCAGTGAGAGTCTGGTCCGTGGCCGCGTCCATCTGCTCGATCGGTCGGTCATACTCGTATTACTGAAGAAGCCATGCTAGAGCAGGTCGTACTATGTACTCGGAGGTGTCGATGGCGATGGGGTCCATCGTGTGTCGCTTGGGGTCATGAAACGAACCGCACCGCACACCTGTATGTTATGTACGATACGATGCTCTCCGTACGGAGCACTCGAACGCTCGAGCGGGCTCTGCTCGTCTCGGACTATGCAAGTTGACTGATCTACGCGTGCATAGACATACATACTGTACCAGTCTTATCAGCCGCCTACTCGTACATACATACGATAGTCTGTCGCAGGCGCAGCAGTCGCATGGATTTGCCATATTGGGCCAACGTCGACTTCGTTTTTGGACCAGCCGAGGCCCGCGATAGGGACGATACGAAGCACTGGGATCTGATCTGCTGGGCGGCGTCCCTGCTATCTCTTTGTGTGTACTCCGTACGCCGTACATACTCGTAGTAATGCTCTCCGTGACCGCCCTTTGGCCCCCCTCGGGTCCGCTTTTGCTTGCGGTGGCAGGGAATCGATCACGGCGGGCCCTGTCACCTGTTGTCGAGCGTTGCATTGCAAGTCGTAATTGCTGCAGAGAGAGGGTCTGCCTGCCTGTTGCACACTAAAACTGCCGTGCCTTAGTACAGAGTATTACCACCACCCCTGTTCCGGTGGCGTTGAGTCGCCCCGTCCTGCTAGCGGCGTTTGGCTCTAGCCTCGATCGCTGGCAGGAAGGAGCGCCCGCCAATTGTTGGCTTCGCAGTTCGTTGACCGGCTGCCAGAACAGGTACGAAGTACACGTAAGATCATACAGCACGCCTACGGAGTACCTACCAGAAGCAACTGCGCTAAGCGACCAACGCCCCTCCCTCCTTCCGCCACTGGGAATCTCGCCGACCGTCATATACACGCTATCTCTGGAGCGCTTCTACCTACCTCTTTGCCCTCTTCCGCTTTTCTCACCAACTTCTCTGCCGACACCTCTGCTCGTCTCTGCCTTCGCCTCTTGCTTCTTCAACCACCGCTGCCCCTCTTCTACTGTCTATACTGAGTGGAGTTGAGGAAGCACAAACACGCCTCTTCCTTCGGCATAGTTCTTAGCCGGCGCATTCGCATCGTCTCTGTCTCACTTTTCTGTTCTGCTTCACCTCAGATCTGCGCCCTCTCCCCCTTCCAAAAGTTGCTTGTAAGATCTCTTCTCGTCGTGACGGGAAGCCCTGAAAGAAGCACCACTTTCTCGTCCTCTCCGACTCTACGTCTGCTTGTGTCCGCGTGACGCCCGGCTAGAGTTGCTCTCGTGGCACACGCGACCTCTGCTCTCTCTTCATCCGAACACGCGCCAGTCTACGATAAGAGTTTCCGTCCTCCGGCAACCCGTCCCGGATATCGTGTGCCCTTCTTCGGCCTCCTCTTTTCACTTTCCGCTCTCTCTCTGCCGCGTGCCTCTCTCTCGGCCTGCACAATGGCAACCGACTTCATAATGCCTCAGGTGCCCACAACTTCTCGCGACCATTACTTCCATCAGCCACAACCACACTTCCAGCAGACCCACCGCTACAACAACAGCACATCGCGTACCAGCAATGTCTATACCAACTCGGCCGCCAACTTTGTCACGCCCTACAATCCCCAGATTTCTCCCCTGAGCACCTCCAACAACAGTTCGCCCATAAGTCCCAAGTCGCAATACCACACCCGCCAAGTGCGTCCGCTCTACATCCCGGCCGTCCTACGTCCCAACGAGCATCCGTCGCGTGAGGTCTCATCCAAGGCGAAACAGCGCGGCAAGACCGACCTAGACGGCGACAGCAATGCCGCGGGCGGTGAGGGTGCCGTTGACGACGAGGATGAAGAAGATGCCGAGGGCCGCCGCGTGATGCGGTCTAGTGGCAGCTTCATCAGCCTGACCGGTCTCGGTGCCTTTGGCTTCGGCAGGCTCAGCCGCCGCACAACCAACGACAGCGCCAAGTATGTCGACGGGGTCTGGAACCTGGACTTGTTTCCCGAGGTGACGGAGCTTCCATCCCGAGACCACTGGAAGGTAAGCAGCTCGGCTCCCGGTTGATCACGCTGCTCTGTCCACTAACTCACGAGACAGCCTGATGCCGAGTCGACCATGTGCGATGAACCCACGTGCAAGAAGCACTTCAACTACTTCACACGCCGGCATCACTGTCGGCGCTGTGGCAATATCTTCTGCGACTTTCACTCGGCCTACGGCATTCCCCTCGACGGGAACGCGAACTACAACCCCCGTGGCTTCCAGAGCCGCGCCTGCGCGTATTGCTACCGCGAGTTCAGGGCTTGGCGTACCCGCACCAACAGCAGCGACTTGTCGGCCGACGGCAGCGCCACCCAGACTGCCAACGGGGCTGTTGCCGGTGCCGCCATCGGAAAGTCGGCCACCGCCCCGACGAGTCCCGTACTGGCACTGGCCGGACGTCCAGCTGCCCCGGGCGCTCCAGGCGCACCAACCGTAGCAAAGGTTCCAGACGTTGCGCAGAGTGTGCCTGGCGACTGGAGCTGGAGCACGTTTTAAGACCGCCGGCCCTTCCTTATTCCAAAACCATTTCCTATCTTTACCCCGGGTGTTTGCGCCTTTAATAAGTTCAGCTTCGAGTTGGAATCCCACACGGGCTGGCTTTCATGTCGTCTCCGGAGTTCTAGCAGAGAAGCGTGTGCATTTTCTCTATTTTTTTTGTTTTTCTCATGGGCAGGATCTGTTTCCAGGCGTGCAGGAAACTGTTGTATTTGTTTCGTTTGGGACAGGCTTAAAGGCGTTATCAGAGAGCACGGCCATATATCCCAAGGGTGGTCTTTCCTTTCCTATAGACAGTTTGGCCAGGCTATCACACGCGTGTGAGCCGATTTGCAGTATCAAAGTTATAGAATGGGGACACTATCGAGAGAAGAAGGTGCGCAGTTGTTGCAAAGTGAACGATATGTATTACCAACCAACCTACCAACCTACCCAACCCAACCTATCGACCTAGGTACGCCAGATTGTGCTATGAAAGGGTGTATGTGACTCTCCCTCCGTCCCCGGTAATGCGTACATGAAAGAAAAATAGCAAAAGCCAGACCGCGCATCTCCAGTTCCGAAAAATCCCCGCTCCCAGCGACATCTCTGCAGATTCTGTACATGTACCCGACACCGTGAGGGAACTTGTCCCAATGACCTTTGACTCCGTCCCTCTCAGCGCTCCCCTACCCAGAAATCAGCCGGCCTCCGCTACTAAGTTAAGCCTCCTCGATAAGGTGTCCAGCATCTTCGTGGCGCAGACTTCCTGCGGTCGATCGGCCAGAGCCGTACAGCATCTCCATCAGCTTGCCCTTTTGCCGCGTTCGTACGCCCTCGAGGTAGCTGCCGACATCCTCGAGCCCGCGCACCTGCTGCTCCAGCGTCAGCGTGCTGCTGTTCACCGAGCGCACCAGCGGGGACACCAGCTTGCGCCGCAGGCTCTCGAGGCTGGCCTTGAGCGCTAGCAGCCGGTGGTTGTGCTCCACCAAGATGCCCTTGTTCCGCACCGTCTTGGCACGCACGTCGCGCAGCAGTTCGCGGTTCTTCTCGTATTTCTTGACCTCGGCCGCGTTGGGACCCAGAATACGCGTCCACAGGCTTGTCAGCAGGTCTGTATGCAGGTCTTCCTGCACAGACGCCTCCCGCGCAGCAGTGCGGGCCAGGTTGAGGAACTGGTGGTCGACGGCCTCAAAGAGCCCAAACAGCGCAAGGCTGTGCTGTAGCTCTGAGCTGACGGCCTCCTCCAGCACGGCTAGAAATTCGTGAAAGGTGCGACGCAAGGTGGCACGCGTCCGCTGCGGGCCCGACATGCCGAACAGCGCCATCGTCACGCTGCCCATTCGCGTCGGCAGGCCCGTGGCCGCGTTTTCGAGCACGCCCGCTGAGCTGAGGAGATTGTGGATGTTGTCGTATGCGCTCGTCAGAACCGGCGGCAGCGACGCTCGCTGCTGGGAACGCTCCTGCATTTGCAGTTGTGACAGCTCACGTCGGGCCCAGTCCATGACAATGAGGATGCCGTCGATATCGCCATCGACATTGGCAAAAAACTTGGTGAGCTCGATAGCCAGCGTCTTGAGCGTCTCGCTCAGCTCGTCCAGCTCCCGCACAATGATGGGTGCCGACGTCAGATTGCTGGACCGCACGCTCTCGCCCAGGTCCCAGACCGCGATGCCGGTGGCCTGCAGGTCGCCCACCTGGGCCACACCGTTCTCCGAGTAGAAGATGAGCGGCTCAAACGCTCGCGCGATGCCGGCCACCTTGACCAGATCTGGTACCATGCGCATGCTGGCCGGTTGCGACAGCCACCGCATGGCCGCCACGGAGAACATGGCCACGATCATCGAGCAGAATACGTGGGCCCATGACCGGGTTGCCAGCAGAAACTTGTTCCGCGCAAAGTTGATGGCCGCTTCAATCGGCTCCGTCCGTTGCTGCACTTCAGCCCTCACGGCGAACCGGATATCTGCGCCTGTTAGAGTCGCACACTTCCAGCAGGTGACTGAGGTGACTGAGGTGACTGACAGTTCTCTGACAGCTCCAGCTCTGGAGGCTTCTCACGTTGGTTCTCAATGTCGTCTGTCCTGTGGGCTGTGTCTAGATACATTCTGTCCTCAGCCTCGGGGCTTAGCTCCTTTTCCGGACTCATACTTCGGGGCAGACGGGTGCGCATCGCCTGGGCGAGAATTTCTTCGTCGTCGTCGTCGTTGCCAAACACATCGTCGTCCGGGTCGATAACATCCTCGTCGGCGCTGGAGAAGCCAGGACTCCACTCGCGGGATTGCCGATCGGGCTGATACTGCTGATACTGGGCCGTGTTGACGGGTCGTTGTTGTGCCAACAGGGACGGCGACCAGGCCGGGGTCATCGTGGGCGAGCCGAGGATGTTATCACAGTTGCGCCAGAAGCCGGAACTACGGTCGCCGTTTCCGAGGCGACGCCACGCCGGTGGGCTGTAGCCACCGACGGAGACTGAGTCGCGCATGCTCTCGGTGTCGGTCTCGAGGAAGCCCGAGTGAGTCGAGAGGTAGCCGAAGTTCCTGCTGTCGCTGATCTGCGCCGGCTGTTGTGATGGGTGATTCCGGTGTTGGTGGTGAGGATGAAAGTGAGAGCGGTCTGAACCGGGTGTCATCTGCCGGCTGGACGGCTCGAAATCGAGCGGCGAGACGTCCAAACGTCCCAAGGGAGCCCCAAACGTCTGCATTGCGGTCGACGCCGACGCCGACGTTGTCGTGGTCAATCCGGCTTCCCTTGTCGCTGTCGCTATCGCCGTTGTCGTTGAGTTGGCGGTAATCTGCATACACGCCGTGGCTAGTACGTCTGGAACGCACAACGAGCTCCGTAGAAGGCTCCTGACTGAATCGGCCTTGCCTCTCGCTCCTCTTCTTTGAAGGCGACTGAATGGACTTGAAGCCAGACGTTCTGTCCCTTGACTTCAGCTTCACCCTCTCTCTCTCGTGTTTCCCCGTTCCCGTTCCCGTTCTCGGTCTCGGTCTCTCTCTCTCTCTCGCCTTCCCTTTCTCTGTCCTTCTCCTTCTTGGTTCTGTCCTTTTCACTCCTGCTCTTTCGCCTCACGTAATCGCGCCCGTCTGCGCCAGGTTCCCCGCGTTCCCGTAGCAGTGGAAATGGCGGCGGTGGAGGCAGTGGAGGCAGTGGCGGCAATTCGCGATGGCGCCAGTCCTCAAAGTAGATATCCTGATATCGCTGTCTGCGGATTAAGGCTTGCGCTCGGTCGTCCTCTTCATTGACCTCAAACACCTGCGGATGCGGTGGATTGTTGCGACGCTGACCAGATCGAAAGATGCGCGAAAGAAACGGGAGTCTCGGAATGTAAAGCGCAATGAAGAGCGCAAAGAAGACGAGGACCAGGGTCAAAGAGGCCAAGAACGTGCTGGGGGCGATAGTCACGCTCAGCAGAGACACGTTGTTGTGGACGGCAAAGAGAGGCTGCATGGAGCATGTGGGAGGGGATGTAGAGGCTAAGGAAAGAGAGGGGGGGACGAAAGGGGGAGGGGGGGGGGGGGGTAAATAAAAATAATGGCACAAGAAAGAGAAGTGAATACAGCCGAAGGGGTGGGATACAAGGGAGGAAGGCGCGAGGGTAGGAGCAGGAAGGCGCGAACCGCAAGATCGGTTCTTAGCGAGGGAGCAGGGAGTTTAGAAAATGGGGCAGAATATATTGTATCCTAAAATGCCGTCTGTTTCTGGAGTGTCTGCTTTCTTCTTCCTGGCTTCGCAGCATGGGAATGGGAAATCAAGAGGCTGGGGAGCCGGCCTACACGGTTTGGCGCCCAAGCGGCGTAGCAGCACGATACGTACGAGTACAGCGTTCCCGTGAGCAGCTGGTAAGATAGGTAGGGCGACAGCGCCGTCCATGCAGGTCCACTCCAGCGCCGTCCAATCACAGGCCGTCATCCAAATGTCTCTCCCGTTCAACGATAATGGACAAGTGCCGGTTAGGCCACTTTTCGTGGGCATATCGCTCTCTCTCTGCTCGTTTGACCAATGCCGCCTCTGCGCGTGTACAAGTACACCACCACCACCTCGGTCCACCCGCGCTCATACCGACCGTTCTCTCGTTTCGAGACTGGCGAGCCGACCGTCCAGAGTTTCACCATCTGCATGTCTGGACCCCTCCATCCACTTGCAAAATGCCCCGCACTACATCACCAGCCCGTCCACGTTGTTGTGTCTCGCTATCCGCCTTCTCACCTCGTTCATGGCTCTGCTTCCTCATCTGTATATCGAAACATTCTTCTGTACTGTGCGCTCCCATTGATGCCCGCACTGCCGACGTTGGCGCCATTGTTTTGTCGCAGACAATGCCATTGCTGCCTACTTGGACCCCACAGCGCGATCAGCAATAAACAAAGATGGACAACCACTTAAACACGGACCGCAGCGCGCTGTGTGGACAGCGACTAGCATCTGATTGGCTAGGATCAGCGCGCTTTACAATGCATGCACTTTGCAAAGTTGCCCGTGTCATGTCGATCGCGATTGTATGATATGATAACAGCAGCGTTCGCCACTCTTGGCCAGCACTCCCCCGACTGATTGGCTCTATATGTGGGGCACTAGAAACACGGGACTTGTCGAGGACGAGTCATAACAGAGTGAATGCATTGATTGTCGCTGTCTAAAGGGCCTTAACTACGCTCGGGAGAGACAATAAATAACAAGAAACAGCAGGTCGCTCGATACTGGGGAACGATAAGCCCAAGACTCCCATATCTCGCTGTGCCTGCCTTGAACACCATATTGAAAAAAACAACAAAAAAATGCCGATCGAGTTGACAGGTGCCACCATAAGCACCACCGCGCATCAGAGAGACCAACGAACCCTCCGAAACGCTGACGAGGATCTGGACGGCCGAGCAGTCGACGAGAATGAGAACCCCGATCTTCCAAAAGGCCCCCGTGCAGGCGAAACCGAGCTATTTCTAGACTTCGACGACTAGTCGATCTTCGCGTTGGCAAGGCTCCTCGCCGTCGGATTGTTGAGGTTGTTGACCTGGTTCACTGGTGGCCGCCTATAGAGGCTCTGTTTCCTGAGTCGTTTCCTTGCCACCATCACCGGAGCAGAGCTCTTAGTTACAAGGTAGTTCGAGAATGAGCCAAGGATTACACTGCTGCTGTTAGCGACCAACCCGCTCGCTGGAAAGAAGAGGAAAGAGAAACCGGCTTACCCCTTGAGGGCACTTCGGCCCCGGCTGCCCAAAATCACAAGCGTCGGACTCAAAATATCAATAACCTCTGTCAGAGTATGCCGCGGCGTCTTACAGTGCAGAACCTCGACGATGACCCGGACTTGCAGGCGGGTTTTGCGCAACAATCGGGTTATCCGGTTTGTGATATCCTGCACTGCCCGTTCCCGCTCCTCCTCGGCCTTTGTCCGCTCTACCGGAGACGATATCGTTGTGGACGAGTCACTGTTCTTTGTCAGAAGCGATGGCCTTGAAGACATGGGTGTCCCGCCGCTCAGCCCGGGGCTCGATCCTGCCATAGTTGCCAGGGTAGATAGCGAGGTCATCCCTGAGAGCTTGCTCGGGACTGACGGGGTCGAAGATGATGCGGCTTGCTCGCGCGCGCTTTTTGGCTCTCCCGGGCCATCGGCGGGCGGAATGCCAGTCTCCTCATCGACGCAATAGATAGCCACGAGCGTGTCGCCGTCCCTAACGACCGTGCCTACAGCCCACTCCAGCGCGTGTGTGGATTCTTCGCTGAGGTCGGTGGCAACTAGGTATTTCCGCAGGCGCCGATGCTCCTCCTCGGTGACCTCCTTCTGTATTTTCACAAAATCGCCCCGGTAGATAATGCGCACAGAGCGCGGCACATCTGGTGTCGACATGATGGGAGTCATCGTGAAGGCAAGCTTCTGTGCGCTCTTGATGTCGGTATATTCGGCCTCGTCGTCCGAATCCCACGGCGTTCTAGATGCGGATCTTGAAGGGACATCGAAACTATTGGCCGGGTGAACGCCGGCCTTCGCCGTCTTCACCTTTTCGCCTGAAGGATTTGTCACCGTTATTTCTGGCTCATCGAACAGCGACCGGTACTGGTAATTCTGTGACACTTGGATACCTGATTCCAACGTCAGTAAGGGGGCAGATGCGGCTGTGAAAGAACGAGGAACGTACGCTCTTCTTCCGCGGCAGCCAGCAGGCTCAGCGGCTGCCGCCCGTCTTTGCCAGCAGCGCTGGCTGAGCATGGCAGCTCATCTGGAAAACTTCTGGCCGTCTTCCGGCCACGGCCTTCATCATCCTCCGACGAGTAAGCCTCTTCCTCGTCGCTGGTGTCGGCAAGCTCATCACCATCGGGGCTCAGATAGTCCTTGGTCAGACGGCCATTGCCAATGTCGTTGCCGTCCGAGTGCTTGCGTCTGGGAAGCTCGCTCAAACTGCCACCCGACCGGATGAGGTTGGCATCAGACAGGCGACGGTACGCGTTTTGCATATCGAGCTGAGTTTCGGCAAGTAGGGCACGCCCAGCAGGGCTGAGCGTCCTGGCGGACAGCGCAGCGCCCGGCGACTTGGATCGGGGGTTAAGGCGACCGTGAGGCGACTTCGACTTTGCTGTAGACCCACGCGTGGACGGTTGAGGACGACCGTGCAGGGGGTTCTGGCTACCCGGGAGCATAAGGCCGCTGAGGTCTGCATTCCGGATAATCTCTGCCACGGAGCTATTGCGCTTTGCGGCAGCGGTTGCCGAATTAGCGCCCACATTCTGCATCGCTCGTCTGGGAATGAAGGCCGGGGTATCTCGGCTCGTAATGATATCGGAAAATTGGTAGTCAGCCGAGGGGTTAACGCCCCTGGCATGCGACGAGCGCGGCCCGAAGTTGGCGGGCTTGCTAGATACGTCAGACATGCTGCGCGGATGATTTGACAAGCTGCCGCCCAGTTGCATCCGGTGTTTGGCCTCCGTCGGCGAGTTCTGGGCACTAAACACCTGCTTGATAGGAGACAGAGCCGGGCTAGAGTCGACGTCCAACATGCTGCGGATGGTCCTGGTCTGGACGCGCGGAGAACCTCTGTTGGCGGCTTTGCTGGTTGTCGGCGGCGTTGTCTCCGGGCTGTCATCGCCAAAGTCGAGCATGCTTCGCATTGGTGACCGCACGCCAGGGGTGAAGGGCGAGCCAGACCGGCTGGTAACAGATCTCTGGGCACTGGCCACGCTCGACGACCGCCTGTTCTGGTCGCTGCGTTTGCCAAGCAGCGCAAGAACTTCCCTCCGCTCCTCATCCATCACCGCCTCAATCGACATCGGCTTGTGAGACATGGTGGCGGCTGGTCTGGCTGTGCGAGCCTAGCACACTAGCTGTCGACGAGGTGAAAGACGGGGGTACGAAAGCGTTCGGTAGAGGCGGTCTGTACTCCGTAGCCAATGCGAAAAGAAGATAGCTCGAGAGTATCCAAAATTGTGTAATGGGCACGTCAACACGGGTTGCAGCTGTTGCAGATTGTCCTTGTGTGAGAGAAGAGCGACAAGGCGTGGAAAGCACGCGGCAAGGAGACACTGTCGGCTTCGGGTGATGCAGGTAAGGGGGCCTTAGGTTTCTGGGTGCTTGGCAGTCTTGGCAGCCTTGGCAGCTTGGCAGCTTAGCACAAAGAACAACGACGAGTCGATTGGAGTGGCTATGGCGGTAGCGTAAAAAGGCGACAGCGCGTGTGTCGTCGGAAAGAATAATAGCAAAAGATGTTGGTGCTAGAAAAGAAACAGTACGAGCGTTGCTTAGGCAGCCGAAATTTCGAGGTTGTTTTTCAGGGCTAAAACGGTCTATCGAGGGAAGATTGTCGGTGGATTGAGAGAAAATACGGCTTGCAGAATCAGCATTGTGTACAATAGTGGCCCACTGCTTAAGGTGACGGCATGGCTGTTCGCACGGCGGTCTCGTCGGTGGTCGTTCTTTTCCCAGAAGCCCAGGGAGCTCCTTCCTCGCAGACGGTGGCCGGGGAGCCCCAGTTATTATATGTCTGTAGTTTTTCTTCTCGGCTCTTGCTATTCGGTTAAAGCGGGGCTGAGCACGGAAGGACGATACCAATCAAACCAGGTCTTACTTGTGCCTTTTATTTTTTGGCCTAGTGGTAATAGGATGTGCACGGCTGCGCACAAAAGAGGTGGGCGGATTCGGAGGAGGAAAGGTACTGCTACTCTACCATGTACAGAAGCTGAAACGGTTGGTAGTTTGGAGCTCTGGCAGGAGCGCGGGGGGAGGGGTTGGGACGGCAAGAGAAGGACCCCAAAACCAGAGGAGCGCCTGATAGAAAAAGGTGTATCTTATCTTACGAGACGATCTTACGAGCGAGAGCAGTCTTGACTCGCCGGCCGAGGCTTTCAGACCATCGAAGAGGCGATTTCCCGAGAGTCCGCCATACTCTAAAACCAATAGTGATTCCAATGCCCCACCAGAAAAGGAAGGAGGTCAAGGCGAGCACGGGAAAGGGAAACGATCAGGAACATTTGTTTCTACACAGTAACATAGCTACATATTCCTCCTACCTATATACAGAGTACATAGGTACATACAGGAACAGATTGCCGTCGCGGTAGTGCAGTTTTTGATAAGAAGCGGGGACGCTTGCTAGGGCTATAAGTATTAATAAGCGCCCTGCGCCTCGAGAATGGAGTACTGCTCTGTATATATAGGGCCACAAAGCAATCTAGGCCCAGCTAGGGAGGCGGGGTGCCTCCTCCGTAGTAGTCTGGCGCTGCAGGCTGCAATATGACGAGCACAGACTGCTAATTCATTCTCGTAAGATGCGAGCGGGATCGGCTTGCAGAGGCGCGACTCGAAAAGCCGGACGCAGGCAAACGTTAGGAAGCGCTAAAGCAAGAGCTAATATGCATTGTCCAGAGTATATAGGTGCATCTTAATGCGTACAAAAAAGACTATATTACAGATCACAGCTTGCTTTCCGGAGGCGCGAGGAGGTCCAGCTTCTCCTTCAGCGTCGTCTCGGCCTCTTTCTCGATGCGCGATACCAGCGCGTCGCATGTGGGAATGTCGTGAATCAGGCCGATGACCTGGCCTGCCGTCCAGACCTGTGCGGGAGTTAGCTGCTAGGAAACGAAAAACAACAAGCTGGGAGAAAAGGCGGACGCACGCCGTAGTTGGGGTCGCCGTTGATAAAGACCTGGCGACCTCGCTTGCCGCTGACAAAGGGGGCGATCTCGGCAAACTCGCCCGTAGTGCTGCCATGCTCGACCTGGAGGGCCTCCTCAGTGACCTTGTTGCGATACAGGCGAGTGGTGTTGCGCCAGCGCCGCAGGACCAGGGCGGTATCGGTCTCTTGGGCACGCACGATCTCGTCCTTGATGTTCTGGTGGATGGGCGCCTCGACCGTGCACATGAAGCGCGTGCCCATGTTGATGCCGCAGGCGCCGAGGCAGAGCGCGGCCGCGAGGCCCTGGCCGTCGGCAAAGCCGCCGGACGCGATAAAGGGCACCTGCAGCGTCTGACGCGCGCGGCTCAGCAGAATGAAGTTGGTGATGTCGGACTCGCCGACGTGGCCGGCGCACTCGAAGCCGTCAATGGACAAAAAGTCGACGCCCAGCTTGACAGCACTGACGGCATGGCGGATGGTCGTGCACTTGTGCAGCACCGTGATGCCGGCCTTTTTCAGCTTCGCGATCACCGGCCCGGGGCTGTTGCCAGCCGTCTCGACCACGCGCACGCCCTCGTCGATGACCGCCTGCGCGTACGCCTCGTAGTCGGGCGGCACCAGCGACGGCAGCAACGTGATGTTGACGCCAAACGGCCGGCCCGTCAGCTTGCGGCATCGTCGGATCTCCGCGCGCAGCTCCTCCGGCGTCGGGAATATCAGTGCCGTGATCAGGCCTAGGCCTCCGGCGTTGGACACGGCAGATGCCAGCTCCGCATATCCTGGGGAAGGGGCGCAGCAGAAATTGTCAGCTGCGGTCGTACGATCCGCGGCCCATGCTGAGCAGGAGGCAAAAAGCAGGAAGAAAAGTCACATACCCACATGCATCATGCCACCTTGCACCACCGGGACTGTTCGCAGTGCTGTTAGCTCCCCGGACCACGCTTGCTCAGGGGCGACTGCACGTGTTGCGGGAGATTACCTCTGATCCCCAGCCGCCGCGTGAGCTCCGTATTGAAGGGCATTTTGCTAGGATCGTGTACGGGAACGGTGTGGTAATGTTGTTGAGGCTTCGATAGAGGCCAGGTGTCGGCTGGAGAAGGGGAAATGGGCCGATGAGAGTGTGTTTGGGGGAAACAAGAACTGGAGCGATCTATGCAAAAGCAGCCGATTTAACAGGAGGTGAAGCAGGGCCTGGAAGCTTGCTGTCAGCTGGTTCACGAGTCGGCATGCGGCAGAAAAGCCGAGGTACGGCTTGTCTTACAGCAACTGCGGAGAAGACGTCCCACTGGAATCAACTCCACCTGGTTACTGGGACAGTCACGTGTCAGAAAGGACAGGACAGGACAGGTGACCTGGGCTCGGACTTATCTGCATCCTTTTACGAAAGTGAAGCCTAACGAGGCGGGAAAAGACAAAAAGACATGCACCGTGCTGCCTGTACGCTAACCAACTGCCTCCTTCGCTGTTCCGAGTGTCACCTGCTGCCGAATGTCGACGGTCTTCTCTCGAAAGGAAAGCACATTGCCGCCATAAACTGACAACCTAAGCTTGCACATACGCGCACATATACACAGACGCTCGTTCTCGGCGGCCACTGGGCGCGTACTGCGAGATTTTCTTGTTTGCGATGCCTCGGTTCTCTGTCGTTGTGCGTGATAAGATTCAGAGCTTGCTATCCGCTAGGCATCTCGTACTTGTTCCTTCGACCCCTTTTGGAAGTGCTTCACTCGGCCGTTCAGCAGGGCCTCGCCTTTTGCGGACTGTGTGTCTGTTTCCTGCCTCTAGCCCCCCCGGCACATGTAGGACTTACCGCTGGGAGAAGTTTCCAATCTTGCTCTGTGCAAGGGGGCGTGAACACCGTAGTCTGATGACCAAGCCGCAGCAAAGATAAGCAACCGCAATGTCTCCGCCCGCAGACAGTGGGACGGTCTGCCAGTCAGACCTCGCAGGCGGAAGACAGCCCCGAATCCGGCGGCCGCTTGTATTCGCTGGTCCGATGCAGGAGAAACAGGCACACGACCTGCCTACCCATCCGATTTGCAGGGCCCTGCATGATGCGATGATCCGCGTTGGTCGTATTGGGGGTGCTACATAGCACATACATAGTAGTGTTACTTGGAATTAGGGCAAAAAGCCCAGCGATCCATGCAGTGCTGGCCGCACTCGGCATCTTCCTCATCTGGTAGCAGACAGGTACCGGAACAGGCACACAGACGGGCGAACACCAGGTCTGCACGTTGGACAGCATATCTGTACTGTACGATGCCAGCATCAGCGGTCGTGTCTCACAGGGAAAACCAGGGCCGCCTGTCCGAAAGGAGCGACGGGCTTGCTCCAGTGTCGTTCTCCCAGCGCTGACCTGGCCATGTACCCTGTCCACGTCACGCGTGGAGGAGTGGCGATGCGACAAAGGTCAGCAATGCTGGCAGGCACAGCGTTGCTGGAGTGCCTTGGGCTCCAGCCTCGAGATGTAAGCCCTGCTACGTAGTCAATCAATCCAAGACACACGGATAGGCAGCAAGCCTACGGAGCCTCTCAGCCATGCCTGACCAGACACAGGCGGCCACAAGCAGCGACATGGCCAAGCGCAATCAAACACAGCAGGCTGCCTGACCAAGCCACAGACGGCCAGCCCCTCCTCTCTGTCGCAGCACCCGATGGAACGGCACGGTGGAGGTAGAATCGGGAAACGGTGCCTTACATGGGTAGGAACACGCGGCTATCCCAGCATTGGGCTGTGCTATCTGTATCGTTTGCAGACGCCCCTCCTAGCACGAATGACTTGCCTTGGCGGAAAGGGGCACGAGAAAGGTAGTGGTGGGGAGATAGACGGGGGGGAGCCGGAGGGGAAGCCAGATCTCGCCTAGACAAGGATGCCTGACATTGGAAGATGGCAGCTGGACGAGCCCAATGCGATGGTGTTCCACTGTAAAATTGTGTGCGTGGCTGGTGAGAGAAATGCCGTCATTGCGACGATGGCAAGAGCAGCAGAAAGTCGTCATGGCCAAAGTCAGGACAGGACTCCGTGCTGGACCTAGAAGAAGAAAAAAAAGGCACAGGAAAGTAGGTGTAATCTCGGCAGAGCTCCGGCTACTCGTGCTTCTTTGCTCTTGGCTGCCATCTGTCACGCTGCAATACCCCTTGTGCAAGTCTGATCCTAGTACCAGGCTCTTTCGGGCAAACTCCCGTCCTCTCTCGCCTCGTCCTGCCCGTTGCTGTTCCTGCCGATGGTAAGACGACACGAGGAACACAATGACGGCTATTCCGGTTCCTGCGGTCAGACGGCCAGAATCCCCGACCGCTGCCACGTTGGTCCCTCCTCTCTCGCCTTGGGCACGCCAGGATGATGTTCAGCTGCCGCAGGCTAAAATGGGAACGGTGGAATGGTGCGACGCCGTCGTCGATCAACCGTCCGTCATCCCACGCTACAAGTACAAGCTCGATTGCTGAACCACCCCTCCCCCCCTCTTTATTTCCCGCCTAGCAAGAGCCCCATCCATCTCCGGCCCTCAGTCTGTCCATCACATCAGAAGTAATGCACGGTGTATGCCGATGTACATATGGCATCCGAGAATTCGTCCGCCTCTTTTTATAGCGCCCAGCGCACTGCCCCTCTTTCCACACCTTGTCCCGTTGAGGGGAGGGAAGAAAAAGAAAGGAATAAGAAAAAGAGGGAAAAGGGTAAAAGGAATAAAAGGACAACAAAAAGAATAAAAAGAATAAACGAATAAAAAAACACAGAAATAGATCAAGTGAGCTGGACAAAAGACCACCTACTGCTAACACTGAGCCGAAAAAAAATTAAAAAATAAAAAATAAAAAAAAATAAAACCCAGAGGATGCCCAATCCCCCCCCCCCGTAAAAAACGGTCTACGGCGGTCACTCTTGTTTGCTCCCCTTGTTGAAGAAAGACATACACATTCACCTCTCACAGGTACAGCATGTGTGCTGCATCTTCCCGTAACGGATGCCTGATGTTTGCTTGCCGGCGGCCTGCACGAATAAAAGTAAAAATACACAAAAAGGGTTTCAAATACGCAGAGAAAAGGAGATCGGATGAGCCAAAGTAGGAGCGACAAGCAACCAGAACTCCACCAAGGCGCCGTCTACTCATCGGCTGCCACGACACGCCCAACAACTCAATGGTGTTATTGAACGCTGTGAGCCCAAGTTCTCTGGGATTATATATTAGACCCCATCGTTGTCCGTCCTATGCCGCAATTCTCATTCTGCTTCTACGACCAAACAGCTCCTCTCTCTACTCCTGTCTTCATCACTGTCTGCTCGGCTCTAGCTGTTGCTCTTGCTGCTGCTGCTGCTTTCCTTCTTCTAAACTGTTGACTTTCTCTACATCACTCTCTCTTCTGGCCGTGCTCTTCTCCTTGCCGCCTGTTGTCTGTTATCAGCCAAATCGATCTTTACCACACCTCCCGCTCTCACCCCATATATATCTCCACAATGCCTAGCTCATCTTTGTCCTTGACATCATGGCAGAACAAACTCTTTGGTATGAGAGGCACCGGTCTCCTACATAGTAGTGTGGCTGGCACAGGCTAACATCCGACAACAGAGGCGTGCCAGGGCTGTAACATTGACCCCCCATCTTTCGAGATATTCTCCGACCGACGAGGTATGACTCTTTCTATTTGCCCGCCCGTGTACATCAGGCGATCTAACCCAGTCTTCAGGTGGCCGTACGGCTTGGACAAGCCGCGTCCTTGTCTACGGCTCTACCTTTGAAGCTCGGTTCTGGTACGACGGGAAAAATATCGACAACGCGAGAGAGGACGCCGCCGAGCAAGCCGTGACCTGGCTGACTGGAGGAGGATCCATCTCCAGCTCCCCGCTGACCTCCCAAAGCTGGTAGGGGCACGCTGCAACCCCACGACTGCGCCTGTGCTTCTTTCGGACCTGGAGTGGTCCCTCGTTTACTGCCCTCCTTTCTTCTTTTGCTTTTGCTTGCTTTGCAGTGCATGCTCTTTTTTTTCTTTTTTTTCTTTTTTTCATAAAACTACCCTCCCCATCTTGGTTTTCCCAACCTCGCGGTTCCCTCGCCAGGCTGATGTATGATACAATCGGTTCTTTCTGGAGTTAGGAACAAAAAGGAAACTCGGCTTTCGCCACGCGGCGAATGGAGAAGAAAGAGGCGCGGGAAAGTGCGGAATGCTGCACGCTGTCTTTTCCATTTGAATTTCGGGGTTGACACACTCTCGATACCTCAAGCGTTCTTGTTCTTGTTGGACTGTCTGGATTTTGTCGGTTCACTGTCTTAGACCTACTATATAGTAGGATTGGCTTGCTAGCTCCTGTTTCATATGCAGCTCTTTTCTCCTTACCTTTTGTTTTCTCTTTCCTTTGTTCCTTCTGTTCCTTCCTCGTTTTCGACCCTTGACGTCGACAGAGTCTAGGCAAACAGACGCAAAATATATGTCCGTCCCTCTTGACCGCGCATGTAAAACAGCGAGAGGCGGACATTCCACTGTCCCCAGACGGAACACCTTGCTCGTAGACATGACACAACTAGACGTGAGGATGCAGACGTGACAGACGGCATCCGGGCAGCTGGGCAGCTGGGCAGACGAAGCCGTTATACGAGACCTGCACACCGAAGAGAGGCCCAAGCCGGACTCCCCATCTACGTGCCTGAGAGGGGAAGGTAAGAGGCGCCTTGGGGAAGGCCCGAAGAAGTAGGTGGGGGTGATTGGTAGGTGGTGGATGAGCGAGGCGTTGGCCACTGCAGCGCCGAACGGAATTTACTTTTGGGGAGGCTAGACAAACAAGCTAACAGTGAAAAAGGCTCACAATTGGCAGACAACATCGACATCGTCCTCTCTTCTCTCGCCTCTCGACTGTGCTTTCTTTTTCCCAGCCCAAACCCGGTGGTCTTGTCGTACTCTCTCTCCCTCGTCCTTCTTACGATACCACAACCCCCCCTGTCTGTGTCTCATGGCTTCACCTGACCAGGAGAATCCACTCTGGGAACAGCCGGCCGACCCATCTCTCTTCCATGTCCGCTCCGGATCTCGCGTTCTGCCCCCCACTGGCGCACCCCATGACCAGTCCTTGCGACGCACCGATCGCAGCTATCGCGAACGGAGCGGTGACCGCCGTCCAGGCAGCATGACTAGACATGCGACACTCGAGAAAATGCCTCTTTTCATCCATGTGGCGTGAGTATGAGGCATTGCGACCAGGGCCAGGCTGACGTTGCCTCGTATCACTGCCTACACAGTAGGACTGCAGAGCCGGCCTGCAAAGACGAGCAGCACGCGTGGATATGAAAAAAGCAATTGACAATACGGAGTCTTCATACATGGGAGACGGCTTTTTGGCGTCGTTCCCCCGCCCCTCTTCTTCGTAGGTTTTCGATGCAAGGCCAAAACTAGTGCCTTTTTATCCGGAAGCGATGCCGGCCTCCCTAGAATGCGACTTGGCGTCTTCTATGCTACATGGATAGTACTTAAGATACGAATGAAGAGCAGTTCGTGCTTTCTGGCCCACCACCTTGAGCTTTGGCCTATGACGACACCCGTGTGCCAAGCCTCGGTATTACGGGCTCTTCGACCGTTTTCCCGTAGTATTCGCCGGCCGTGCTGGTGCTGTGATGCCGACGTGAGGTTGTCTGACAAACATTCAAAACTGCCGATCACAAATCTGGCAGCTCTGCAAAACACATGCTTCGTATCAGAATACAGGCTAATACGTCGTAGACACTGTCAGTAAGCCTTGTGAAATCAGCCTCAGCTGCAGCGATATCCGTTCGGGGCTTTGTCAGTTTAAAACATATCTGGTATGGGATAATGTTTGGTTAATAGGCGAATCACTTGATTAGACGCCTGAAATACAGTGAGCTGGCCCGGATCAACAGACGCCCCACTTATTTGGTGATGCCGGAACCAAAAAATATCATAATGAAAAATTTATCCGAGACGAACGATTCTGTTGCGCGACCCAAGCATATCGATTGAGCGGCCACAACCGTGCTTCCACCTCTGCAAGCGTCCCGACGGAGCGCCATATACGATACGATACGAACAATGCGGCCACAACGGCTCGCGGCCCTGTGCCGGAGCACCAGCCGTCTGGCCATACGGCCGCAACGTTTAACGGCATGGTCGATGCCGGCAACATTAGCAGCAGCAACAGCAGCAGCAGCAGCATCCCAGCCCCGGCTTCTCGGACGGGTCCCGCGGACGGCGCTCTTGTCGCGGGGATTTTCCAGCAGCTTTGCGGTGCGGACAGAAGCAGAAAAGGGCACAGCCGGTGCGGGTGCAGATGTGGATGGCGAGACAGCCGTGCTGCAGTCATTCTCGGGCGAAGCACAGCCAGAGCCATCACGACAGACGTGGCAGGTGGGTGGCCAGAGCGTGGAGCCGGGCACGCCAGAGAACGAGGAGGCGCTGCGGCAGCTAGAGCTGCTGTCCAAGGGAGTGGCGCCCTTTGACGCCGACCTGGACGGGCACAAGTTTGGGCTGACGACGGCGGAGACGCGGCCGACGGCGATGGGGTCGGGGGAGGCCGACAGCGACATCATTACGGGGCAGCAGCTGCCGCTGGGGGGCGAGCTGCAGGACCGCTACGACCCGGTGATCTCGCAGCTGACGCGGCTGCTGATGCGGGATGGAAAGCTGGCCAAGGCACAAAGGGTGAGTTTTTTTGGCATTGGCATTTCGTGACAGCCAATTGGATCATCTGACATTGCAGGACATGGCTATGATCCTCAACTTTCTGCGCACGTCGGCAGCGCCCAAGCTGAGCCCGGCCCACCCGCTGCTGCCAGGCCATCCGCCGGCGGCCCAGCTGCCGCTGGATCCGGTGCGCTACCTCACGCTGGCTATCGACTCGGTGGCGCCACTGGTCAAGATCCGGTCGTACTCGGGCATGGCTGGTGGTGGCGCATCGCTGCCGGTGCCGGTGCCGCTGGCGGCGCGACAGCGCCGACGCACTGCCTTCATGTGGCTGCTCGACATTGTCAACAAGAAGCCGTCACGGGGCAGCGGCCGCGGGATGTTGGCACAGCGCGTCGGCGAGGAGGTCATCGCCATCGCCGAGGGCCGGTCCGGTCTGTGGGAGAAGCGCCAGCTGATGCACAAGCAGGGAACGAGCGCGCGTGTGAACGTGTCCAAGGTGAAGTTGTGAGGGGCGAAGGAGGAGTAGAAGAGTAGAGTAGACCGAAGGGAGAGACTGGATGAAGAGAGAGCGATGGAGTCATCAGGTTCAAGGACACGGACATGTATATTATGAGGACAAACAGACATGATTTGCAGTACAATACACCGTCTACAATTCCTATGCGATTTCTTTGGCGTCTGCTTTGTCAGCAGAGCCTCGGTTCATTTTGCATATCCAAAATCGCCGTCACGATCACAACCCCCACCACCACCGCTTACTCAGCAACCCAGACGGCCGCCATGCCCATGCCAGTGCCGATGCACATGCTGGTGACACCGATCTGCTGGCCGGAGCGGCGCAGCTGGTACAGCAAGGTGGACACCTGGCGGGCGCCAGTGCAGCCGAGCGGGTGACCAAAGGCGATGGCGCCGCCGAGCGGGTTGATCTTTTCGGCGGGGATGCCGATCTGGTCGGCGCACCAGAGGCACTGGCTGGCAAAGGCCTCGTTGATCTCAAAGACGTCGACGTCGGCGACCGAGAGACCGGTGCGCTCGAGCACGCGCGGGATGGCCTTGAAAGGACCGATACCCATCAGAAGTGGCGGCACGCCGACGACAGAGGCGGCGACAAATTTGCCGAGTACCGGCTGACCGAGTCGCTCGGCCACGGAGCGGCGCATCAGCAGCACGGCCGCCGCACCGTCTGAGATCTGCGATGCGTTGCCAGCGTGAATGCTCCCATCCTTGGCAAACGATGCCCGAACCTTGCCCAGCGACTCGGCCGTGACACCCGGCCGCACCCCGTCGTCCCGATCGACCGTGATCGTCCGCGTCTCGCCCGTCTTGGGGTCCTCGAAACGCACCGTCTGCGGCGCCAGCTCGTCGCTGAAGAGACCTGCCGCCTGCGCCTTGGCGGCCTTCTGGTACGACGCCGCTGCAAACGCATCCTGCGACGCCCGCGAGATGTTCCGGGCCTTGGCCATGTCCTCCGACAGCTGGCCCATCGACACCTTGCAGTTGGCTGCTTCGGGCACGCTCTCGAGCAGCTCCGAGAACTCGCTCACAGCACCGGGGCTGAGAAGTTAGCGGAGAGGTCGGAGTACGAAGGAATGGGCGGAAGCAACAGAAACTCACCCGTATTGTGTGCTCATGCTCTCGACACCCGCTCCGATGCCCACGTCAATCATCCCGGTCCGGATCTGGTTGGCCACGTCCACACATGCCTGCAGCCCCGACGAGCACTGCCGGTTCAGCGTCCGCACCGCCGTCGTCGTCGGGAAGCCGGCCACCAGCGCGGCTGCCCGCATCTCGGTCGCACCGCCACCCGGCGCCAGTACCGTGCCCACTGCAATGTCCTCCACCAAGGCTGGGTCGATCTTGGACCGTTCCAGCAGCGACTTGAACGCGCCTGCCAACAGGTCCGACGCCTGTGTGTCCTTGAAGCCGCCCTTGCCGCCTCGTGTGAATGGTGTGCGCAGGCAGGCCGTCACAACCACCTGGACACGTCCGCGTTAGCATGCCTTCTCGTCTCCTTTATTCCCTTCTTTGAGGGACCTACATCGTCGGGGCTCTTCTCTAGCAGCTTTGCCTTGCCATCGGCGGCCTTGGCGCCGCCCGAGAGCTGGCTCGAGATTTGGTTCAAACGGTCGAGTGCTGCAGAAGGACATGTTAGCTATCAAGATGGCGGTCACTGGAGGCTGAGAAACGTACCACCCATATTGTAAATCGTGTGAGTTTAAGAAGCGTGTAGGAAGGAGAGAAGTGTGGTTTAAACAGGAAAAAAATAGGGTTGTTGTCGGAGAAGAGAAAAGAGACTTCAAATGAATCGAGGGAGCGGACGTTGGTTTTGAGAGGCTGTTGTTTTGTAACCCCAGATTCCAGATTTGCAAGCTTACCCCCAGCGAGAAGCCGAGGCATCTCTGGGGCAGCCCGGAAGCAGCTGCGTCACCCCGTCTCCGGGGGCCAAATGCACTAGTGCCGTGCTAAAGCCGTAGGCAGGCTTTCACATGCTCCAGCCGCTGTGGAATGAATGAATGCACATAGCTCTCATTGCTGCATATTCCGTTTATCAGATAAGATACTTCCAATGGGTCTACAAAGAGGCTCCATTCCGTACACATGTGATGTCGGCTTGGCACTTGCCTGTGAGAAGGCCCATTATCAGCGGGCTGAACCCCGTGGAGCCCCCGCCCGGACTCCCGTTTCTGGTTCTTCGTCCGAGGTGCGCCAATCTGGCTTACCAGTGAAGAACTGTCGGCTTTTGGGACGAGGCTGTTACTAGCTATCAGTCAGCAACAAATCTGCAGACCGGTTGTAGATGGTATACACTATAGTAATACGGAGGAATAATACGGCAAGAACGACATAGTGGGACCTGCCTGTACAACTTCAGGCGGTCGCGTGCCCCACTTCTCGTTGAAGTAAAAAAGGGCAGTTGCAATTATTGGGCCTTTCTTCTCAGCCGGTCCAGCCTCAAGTCGTTTCTGTTGCAAGAGTCTTTTTGTGCATCTTTGTCTCTTCGGCCAGCTGTTCTGTTCTGTCCGTATTGGACGACCTGTGCTCTTTGGGCGCCGCCCTCGGCCTGCCATGGCTGCAGCAATGACGACGACGCCAGGCTCGAGGTTGTCGCTGGACCGCCTGCCTGAGGACATTTTGTATCTGATCCTAGCATATCTGGACACAGCGCGGGATAATGCTAGGCTGAGCGCGACCTCTCGACGGCTGCACCGCTTCATGCGCGTTCAGGGCTGGCGCGCCTTTGCGCTGCGGTGCTTCCCGGGGGTGGTGACCGCCTCTGTGCTATTGGGCGGCAGCAGCCCTTCGGCTCTACGCTGGGATCAGCTTTCGGACTCTCTGACGTGGCAGGCACGGGCCTGGGATCGTCGGTCCCTGTCGTTCCAAGCGCTGCTACCACGCGAGGCAGTGCCGGCTAGGAGACCGCGTCGACAGGCATCTTTCCGGCCGCCGCTGGTGGTGCACTTCCAGGCGGCCGGCGAGGGGACGCAGTCGAAGAGGCCGGGCATCGACGGCGAGGAGATGGTGCTATGGGGTGCGGGAGAGGACATTGTGGCGCGGTACAGGCGACGAGGAAGATGGGAGGAAAGTGTTGGTGGCGACGAAAGGGACAACGAAGAAGACGACAATGCAGACGATCCGACGGCAGTGGCGCGATGGCGTGTCTTTGACGGTAAGGCGGCGGGTTTCCGGCCTGGTTACGACGATGTGCGCGGCCTCGCGGTTGTGCCGCATGCCATGGGCCGGCCGCATCGTCGGGGCGTGCTGGTCGGCCGGGACAACGGGCACCTGGTGCTGCTATCGGCCGAGGACCGGTCTGACGGAACCGGCAGTCGGAGCTCTGGCTTTGGCTTTGGCCGGACGCTGGCGCAATTCTCTCCAGGCAATGACAGCAGCATTTTGCAGGATCGGATCTACTCGCTAGACGTGGCTTCAGCCGGCCGAGCCTTTGGAGGTCTGGACAATCGGGGCGGCCTGGCGGCCGTCGCCACGACCTCGCACATTGTCTTCTACGGGCTGCCGAGTGACGATGGTGAATATGGAAGCAACGAGGACGACGACGGCAAACTGAAAGCGCCTCGACAGATTTTCCCGACCGCCACCTTTGCCATGGGTGACCGCGGCCTCGACATCTACCAGCGGCGACGGCCGTACAGTGTTCGGTGGATGGCAGCCGACGGTGTGGCGGCTGTCGGCCTGGGCTACAACGCCGACCAGCTCTGCTTCCTGGCGGCCACGCCGACAGGCCTTGCGCTGACGGCCGTCGCCAAGAGCCAGCCGTTCCAGCGCCGCTTCGGCCTCGATGACAAGACCCTGCTGCTGCCCAGCTCGCTGCAGCCGATCGAACCGTTGTCTGTGGCCGGCGGCGGCGGTAATCTGCTGCTCAGTGCCTGGCGCGACGGGACATGCAGGTGGGTGTTTTGATCTCTTGCTCTCTTCGGGATTTCCAGTCCAGTCCAAATTCAAACTGCTGACTAAGCAGACTTCTCGATATCCGGTCGCCGAGTCCATGGGATATGGCCTACCAGGACAACCTAGCGCCGTCGCAGTGTTTCCAGTCATTACTGGTATGGGGCAGTGACCGGTTCGTGGCCGGTAGCCAGGAGTCAGCGGCGCTCAAGGTGTTTGACCTGCGGTGGCCTCGTCGCTACCACCACTCGGAAGCGCTGCCATGCGGTAGCCGGATGCCGTTCCCGGACCCGGAGCTGCAGCAACAACCACCGGCGGACGTGCAGACGGACTGGACAGTGCCAGACCACAGCTACGGCTGCACAGCGCCGATTCCACGCTGCCGAGCACGTTGCGACCCCCTCACCGGCACCCTCTGCACGTGGCACGCAGGCTCGCGTCGGCTGGCCGCCAGACCCAACTGCAGCGTCTATTTGCAGCGGTCGGCCGTCAGCCAGTACCCCGACATTGGCGTCTGGTCGCTGGCGCGGGCCACCACGTCGACCGACGGCGACCTGGTACCATCCAACTTTTATGCCGGGCTCAACAGCTGCGTCGTCGAGGCCGTGCTGGCAGACGGCGGTGGCGAGAGCATGATGCGTGGCCGACGACAACGATCTACGGCCCATCTTCCGCTCGGCGACCCGCACTTTGCTTATCCTGACGTCCTCTGCCAGCGGCCACTCTCGCTCGTGCCAGCCCCTCCACCCGAACTCGGCCCCGAAGCTGCTGCGGCTTGGCGCCGTCGTCAGGCTTTCCTTCAGCATCGCCACCACTTTTATCGCATTGTCGACTTGCAGTGGCACCTGCACGAGATTGGCGATGGCCTTGCCGACCCTCATAACGACCTTCGTCCTCGTCGTCTCGCTATGATGCGCCTTAGCAGGCCGTCGGGCCATCGGCGCATGCCACCCCCTCCGTCTGCTTCGGCTGCTGAGACCGACTGCGACAAGCCTGGAGCCGACCTGCTGGACCCCCATCGCGTCCGGCCCCAGCTTCTCTCTGGTCGACAGCTCGATGTCGACCCTGTCCTTCGCGCGCAGCACCGCCTCGACAACAGCCTGCAGGACCTGGCCGACTTTGCCGACTTCTACACGGCCAGCGACAAGTAGGACATTGGGCACATAGAAAAGAAATCGCTTCATTCTGAAGATTATATAACAGGAGCTGTTTCGACACCAGCTGCCCATATTTGTGACACGTCTGTCTCCTCCAAGCTCAAAATCCGCCAATGTGACTGCCAACGCCCTTTGAACGCGCAAAGTCGATCAGGTGCAGGCCGACGCTGAGATCCATCAGACCCAGCCCCACACTCTTGTACACCACGTTTCCGCGCTGCATCCACCGTGCCAGGTGGTCATCCTTTTGTTTCCGGGTGTCGACCGACGCCTGGCTGGAGCTCCGGCGGTGAAGCTGCAGCGACCTGCGGCTACTGCGGCCCTCGCTCTTGGGCGAGGGCGACGCTGCTCGCCCGGACGATTTGCTGCTGTCCTGTCCGAACACGGTCGACATGGCCGACGAGGACGCGGAAATCTGCATCGACTGCAAATCCAGCCTCTCAAACTCGAGCGACGGCACGCTCAGCGTGCTCGTGCTTGCGGCCGCGGACGATGAGCCGTACTCTTCTTCCTTGAGGTTGACGCGTGACAGCATGACCAGCTCGCCAAGCCTGTCTATCAGTACGTGGTATATAGGGAAGAAGTAGGAGGAAAAAAACATACTCCACCACCTGTCGCGGCGTCAGGCCAGCATCGATGATCTCGCCAGCCTCCTTCAGGGCGCCGTCAAGCGTGTCGACCACGACAACGCCGCCCTCAACGGCATGCCTGTGGTAATGGTGGTGCGGGCGTTCGGTGCGGGTAGCCTGGCGCAGCAGCTCGGACGGCAGCTCGTGCATGCTGCGCATAAACGAGCCAACAGCGACGATCAGACGGCCCTTGCGGCGGCCCTCGTGGCTCGTCAGGACGGACGCATCAAAGAGCGGCTCGGTCGAGGGCGTGCAGCAGAAGATGACGTCGGCGCTGCGCAGGTTCTTGACCAGCAGCCGGCTGTACTCGTTGTAGGCGGGCGTGAGGACGCTGAACTGGGTTTCGGCCCAGCCCTCGCGCTCCTTTCGGTAGGCCGGCGTGCTGTAGAAGCGCTTGAGCATCAGCTGGCTCGACTGCGACAGTCGCCGGCAGATGATGTTGACATGGCGAATGGTCGAACCGCGAAACAGCAGTGCCAGCCGGACGTGCCAGTACGCCTGCATGCCGCTGCCGAAAACGAGCACATTCTGCACAGTGTCACGCCGCAGCAACAGACATGAAGATGCCAGCGCCGTGCGAAATGCCGTCAGCGTGCTCGCATGCAGGACCCCGAGCAGCCGGCCGGCCGGCGAGAAGAGCGAGAGGGCCCCGGTCGGCCGCATGGCCGGCTCGCCATCACCATCAACATCGCCATCGCCATCACCCGGTGGCGCCAGCGTCAATACCTTCATTCCCACGCCGTCGTGGCTCCATGACGGCACAAACACAGTCGACGGCCGCGTGCTGCCGCCTCCCGGCGAGATCGTCGTCCGCGGCGGCTGCTGCACATCGTCTCCTCGGCCGGCCGTCTGCGTCCCGGTCGAGTACTCGTGCAGGGCCGTCTTGAGCGCAGTGCGGAAGCCCTCGGCCTCTTCCAGCGTCAGGTCCTCCAGCAGCCCCGCAATCTGCTCGTCGGTCAGGATGGTCAGCGACATGTAGGCGAAAAGGCGGGGTCGCGGCCGATGGATGCTCTGATGTTGATGCACCGGCGTTGCGCCAGTCGGCTCGTCTTCCCTCTCTCAGATCGGCTGGTCTGTTTGCCCTGCACTCATCCCGTCTGCGTCCGATGGCAGCGGAAAAATACCACGCCGACCAACCAGGCAGGCTCGAAAGAGGGTCTCTGATGCTTGGCAGTGCTGGTAGCCAAGGTCACAAGACGCCGTTCTCCCACGTAGTGCCACTAAGCATGTACTCCGTACATCGTCTTGCCGCGTCTTGCCGCGTCTATTCGTCCTCGTGCAGACGGCGATATTGGTTGTGCCTTTAGTTTGCCTGGTTCATTTTGGCTTGCTCAACACCGTTTGAAACCAGCATGACCCCACCTGCCCCGCCGAATGGGGAAGGCAGTATCTTACCTCCAGCTGCCTGTTTTCTGCTTGTACACCCGTACTGCTCGTTCTTTGTATTAAACTCGCTCTTGCCCCACATCCCCACATCGTACGAGAAACAAGATTCCCTTCAGTTCGGGAAAGACCAGCCGAGTTGCCAGCTGCTACGGCTTCCTGGAAGGAGCAGGTCCAAGCATCGCCTCTCTAATGATCGAATCCTTTGGAATTGTATCGCTATCAGCGCCCGAAGGCAGTGTAGCGCTGAGCAGGACGATTCAAAAAGAAAAAAAAAGAAAAAAAAGAAGAGTCGCCGGCACGCACTGCCAGGCGGAACACAAGCTGAAATAGCCATGAACAAGAAGGTAAGATACAACTCCGATAGCCCGTCGAGAGGCCTTCACCTCCGCTGTGGCTCCACCCAAAAAAACCCATATCGCTTTGCCGTAACATAACACTTCGTTTGCTGCCTCCTGGCTGAGCAATGAATGGCACCTCCCAACACACACACAGACACACACGCAGTGACTAGACTTGGCAGAAGAAGCGCAAGCGATAGTAAACCAACCAGCCAACCCGGGAAATAATCAAGACTCCAGAAGACGTAGCCTGTCGTCATATATAGAACTCCTCATGCCGTACGCCTCCACCCTCTCTCGACAGCTCGGTGATCTGTCTCTCGTCTCACCGGACGGCCATGGATGCGTTGTCGCCCGCAAAGACGAGAGCGGCGTGCTTGCCGCGGACGATGCTCTTGGCATGGGCTGTTGACCTGCCGGTGCCCACGCCGAGATCGTGCATCCGGCCGCTGTCCAGCTCGAAGATGACGCCGTGCACCTCAAGACCGCGCTCCTGCACGGCCTCCTGCACCGTCAGGTTGGCCATCAGCGCCCGGGCCCCAGACTCGACGTTGAGTTCGGCTATGCGGACGGCCCGCGCCTTGACGTCGGTGATGGCCGCCAGCTCGTCGGCATGCTCTCGTCGGATCGCCCGCAGCGGCGTCAACCAGACGTCGAGCACGCCGCCGACTGGCGTGTCGTGCAGGGCTGCTGTCGCCCCGCCACAGCCAGTGTGGCCGCACAGGATGATGTGCTTGACCCTGAGGTGGGCGACCGCATAGTCAATCACAGCCGAGGTGTTGAGGTCGCTGCCCGACACAATGTTGCCAATGTTGCGGTGCACAAACACATCACCCGGCTGCAGGCCGAGGATCGTTGTCTCGGGACAGCGGGAGTCTGAGCAGCCAATCCAGACTGTAGTTGGGTGGGGGTGTCAGAAACATGAGAGAAACAGCAGGCTGTTACCGAAACATCCGAAGAGAGCCCCAGAAAAGGGGGTTAAGGTGAAGAGACAGAGGGTGGGGCCGGGGGGGGGGGAAGCTTTTGAGGCAAAGGGAGCTGACCAGGGGGGAAGGATTATCAGCAGGCTATGACGACTTACGGATCTGGGGTGTCTGGCTAGTGGCCAACTGCTGAAAGAAGCTTGGGTTCTGGTGTGCCTTATAGCCAGCCCAAGCATTGTTGGAGCTCATGGCATACTGAAAGGTCGTTTCTGAGCAGAAAAAGTCGGTGAGCAATGCAGAACGGGAAGATAGCAGCCTGAGAGAAACAGCCACAAGAGGACGGGATAAGAGCTAGACTTACGGATTTCGGTCATCTTGAAAGCCGGAGGGGTCGGGAAGGAGGGGGAGGACGAGAAGGACGAGAAGAACGAGAAGGACAAGAGCCGGTTCTGTTGCGATGCTGGAGATACACAAGAGCAGAGGATGGATCGAAATGAGGCAGTCCGTGGAGGGAGTACAGGAAATAGAGGCTATAAGGACAAGACGAAGCACAGACTCTGCGGAAGCCTCGTTCTAAGCAGACCGATGGGGACAGGTGATGTCAGCACGAGAGGCCGAGGAAAACAGGTGATTGCAATATCCAAGCGCCTGGTAGAAGATTAATCGAAGGCAGGTCAGGGACCAGAAGCCGAAGGCGCGAGGATGATGCCGCGAGGTATTTTTTCTCTGGTAGCACGTTTATGCCTCGATCTCGGTTGACCCTTTTAGGAGCAGGTGTGGGCAGCCGTGGTCCGTATGAGTGAGGGTGGATGTGTACGTTACTCCGTACAGCACAGAGCAGGCCGAAAAGACGAATGCCGCGTTAGCCAGCTCAGTCGTCCAGTCGAAGCCTGCCGGACCCAGGGGAAGGAGGGGGGGGGCTTTATGGCGGGTCTCGTTTTTTTTGTCGGGGGGGTGTCCTTTTCTTCGAGGGCTTCAAAGACACACCAGCTGCAGCTGATGGCTGAATTCGGTCGGCTATGTAAGTGTCTTACTTCTTCCAGCAGGATGGCTGCTCCAGCGGGAAAAATGGCGCAGTCAACGGGCGTGGCGTCCGGTCAAGGCTATGTATGTGTTCCTGGGTGGGCGAGAAGAAGGAGAAGGAGGACAGAAGAGAAGAGAAAGTCGGGACAGAAGCAGACAGTTGGCGAAGGGGTGCAAATATAACAAAAGCCAGCGACTGCAAGTCGCAGTGCCACCCAATCCCGGCAGCAGCATTGTGCACGTCCGTCCGCTTTCGAAGGATACATACCCCGTAACACTCGTACTGGCCTTGATACACATCGAGCAGGCATTGGCGGAAGTCCGGGGTCTAGATAATCGGTAGACATCTGCTGGTTGGCGATATGCACTTGCTGCCTATTGACCGCCCCATCCCCCTGTCCCACACCTCCTTGGCTGCAACACGGTTTGATGAAACTATCATCACGCGCCCGTCCAGACTGGCAGCCGGAACACATCCGAGCTATCATCTGCCCAGATTGCGGCCTTCTCGTCTGAGCCTGTGGGGGTTTGCTGAGGCTTCTGCTCTCTCCGCACTCTCCAGGTGGCATTTCTAAAATTACCGTGTTGGAAAACCGAATTGTCACAATAATAGCTGCCAAAAAAAGAGGGGCCTGTCCAGGGCCAGCCGCAACCGAGCCACTAAGCAGTCGCGGTCAGACCCTGTTTTGTTGGGCGGTTGAGGGTCAGGCCCCGTTACAGAGGGAGAGCTGACTGCTAGCCGACTTTTTAGCAGGGACAGTTGGCCGCCAGGCCGCGCTCCGAGCAGAACTAATCTTTGATATGCCAGATCCAAGCAGCCACTCTGAGATACCAGATACCAGATACGAGCAATGTGGCCGGCAAGGTGGGGGAGCCTGCCACCTGGGAGATGGCAGATGGGCTGTGGGAGATGGGCATCTTGGCGACATCTTGGCGACACCTGAGATGAAGCCTTACCATGCAGATCTGCTGCCGCTGCAATTTGCTTTTCCCGCTGTGCAAACGTGCAAACAGCCTCGACCCCAGACTCGACGCCCTGCTGGCTTCCCCATCATCCAGCCCCTTTCAGCACCGACACGACTGCGAGATAACGAGGCCCGGCAGGGGCACGGGGCAAAGAAGGAAAAGTAAAAAGGGGAGAAAGACCAACGCTCGACCAGGGGGGCCTTGCAGATGCTCCGTACGATGCCATGTATCTTGCCTGCTCTTACGAGTGCCCCGTGGCTACGACGCAGATATCACTCACCGCACTTCACCATGCATAATCTTGTGCATGATCTGCTTAACCTATGGCACGGCTGTGGGTCATCCCCGAAGAGGATTCGGCTCAATGGTGCCAGCTACGACGCGAATGGCTAATCACATCCACAAATACGTAAGGCATCCTACCTACTGCTTGCATATTGCACGCCTCCCGAGTCTGTATGGCGGAGATAGTGCTGCATACATAGTACCACGTAAGATACAGCCTGGGTTACTTCGCGCCCTTCGGCCTTTTGTGTATCCCGCTGAACCGCCGACGGCCGTTTCTTGTCTCCTGCTCGAACGGCTTTTTGTCATGAAGCTCCGATGCCCCTGCAACCGACGGCACACTCGGCTGCTCCACGCCGGGCACAAACCACGTCGTATTATGTAAGATATGTGTAAGCATTGTAGTGGGGGGCGAGGTTTCGTTTTGGGACTTGAGATGTTCTTTGCCAGCCAAAAGGTACTTTTTACTTCTTTTCCATTTTTTGTTAAAAGCTTCGTCCGTGCCAGGACGCCTTGCATTCCCGACCACGCGCCTATCCGAATTTTGGTTTCATGCCTCGGGACGTTGAAAAGGTATAACAAGAAAAAAGCACAATCGCTGCCATCCTTTGTCTCAGCTGCCCGTCTTCTCCCCTTAGACCTTGATGGCCGTCTCAATGGCCTTCCGCTTCTTCTCGATGAGCTTGTTGGCCTTCTCGCCCATGATGCCACCACCCCACCGCTTGCGGGCATCCTCGCCCTTCTCCAAGTAGCCGTCCTTGACGGCCGAGACGAGCTTGGACAGCTCCGTCTTGTCCTCGGAGCGCACCTCGGTGAACGCAAGAACAGCAGCAGTCTGGTTCCACAGTCAGCATGCAAACGGCTAGGCAGTGTAAAGCAACGTAGACTCCGAGTAATCCTCACCTTCTTGTGCACGACGGTGCCGAGCCGGGCCTTGCCCTTCACAATGGCGTACGGGACGCCCATCTTGCGGCACAAAGCCGGCAGGAAGACAACCAGCTCAATCGGGTCGACGTCGTTGGGGATCAGGACCAGCGAAGCCTTCTTGTTCTCGACCAGGCCGACAACGTGGTTCAGACCGTACTTGACCGTGTACGGCTTCTTGCTGACGTCCTCCTTCTTCTTGCCCTCCTTGATGGCCGTAGCCTCCTTGAGGAGACGCTCCTTCTTCTCCGCCTTGGTCTCCGGGCGGTACTTGTTCAGGAGCTTGAAAGCCTGCGCAGCCGTGTTGCGGTCAAGCACGTGCTGGAACTGCGCAATTGCGGGCGGCACCTTCAGGCGCAGACCCAGGATCTTCTTCTGGCGCTGCAGGCGAATGTACTCGGGCCACTTCACCATACGCGACACATTGCGGCGGGGTTGGATGTCCTGGCCAATGCCGAAGTTGAGAGGGCGCTTCTCGATCAACGGGTTCTGTCATGTCGGTGTCAGCACAAACCTTGTAACAGGACAAATCGCAGGGGAGGGGAGTGCTACTGACCTTGGCAACCTTCTTCGCACCCGCACGTCCCTGAGGGAACGGGGCCGGGGCCACCTTCTTACCGGAAGCTTTCGGAGGCTGTCATTGAGAAAAAGAAGACATCAGCATACTGTACGTCTTCTGTTTTAACTCTAAAGAGAACCATACAACGACGACGACAGCATTTCTGCGCAACGACGCCGTAGTATGGACTCCAGCCAAGGAATCACCGGCGTCCATTTCATCACTCCCACTCCGCTCTTTCAACGGAGTTGGAGACTCTGAAGAGGACGACCAGGTGGAATGTGTGCGCAAGATGTGAACTGAATCACACCCTGGCCGTTCTGCGCATGAAGCGCATACTAGGAAGCATCACGATTGAAGCTGTCGAGTTCGTTTATATCAAATTAGCTTACCATTTTGTCGTTTGGCGATTCTATTGTCGACCGGTTGATGCTTGTGAAGACAAGAAAAAAAGTCAAATCGAGACTTAAAAGATTTCGAGACTATTAAATTGATGGGGCCTTCCAAAAATTTGTGGTGGGAATTCTAGGGCTGGTGGGGGGCTAGATCGGAAAAACAGGTGCCGAAAGCCTCTTCGGAAAAACTCTTCACGCTTATGACTCAGCATATGGCATCGCATTGGATGCCTCGAGACTAACAAACGAGAATTGCGACCACGAGGAAAAGTCTCTGAGGTATGGCTCCGGCACTTTGTATGCTCTGCAAGGCAGAGCGTGCCATGATAAAACGACCGAAGAATCATCAGAAGCTCTGCAGGAATTGCTTCATTGCTATATTTGAAGATGAAGTTCACCACACAATCACATCGGCCCGCTTGTTCTACCCCGGCGAAAAGGTCGCAATAGGAGCGTCAGGCGGCAAGGACTCCACCGTCCTAGCTTCCGTGCTGAAGACGCTCAATGAGCGCCACAAATACGGCCTCGACCTGGTGCTGCTCAGTGTCGATGAGGGAATCAAGGGCTATCGCGATGATTCGCTGGAGACCGTGAAGCGAAACGCCGAGCAGTACGAGATGCCTCTGAAGATTGTTGGGTACGGCGAGCTTTATGGCTGGACCATGGACCAGGTCGTCGAGACTATCGGCAAGAAGGGCAACTGCACATACTGCGGCGTCTTTCGCCGTCAAGCGCTCGACCGGGGCGCCAAGCTGCTCGGCATAAGACATGTCGTCACTGGCCACAATGCCGATGACGTGGCGGAGACCGTTCTGATGAACCTTTTGCGCGGGGACCTGCCACGCCTGTCGCGCAGCACGAGCATCGTGACAGGAGGCGATCATTCCGAGGTCAAGCGAAGCAAGCCGCTTAAGTACGCCTACGAGAAGGAGATAGTTTTGTATGCCCACCACAAGAAGCTGGACTATTTCAGCACTGAGTGCATTTACAGCCCGGAAGCATTCCGCGGCAGTGCGCGCAGCCTCATCAAGAATCTGGAAAAGGTCCGGCCCAGTGCCATTCTGGATATCGTGCGGAGTGGCGAAGATATGGCCCGTCTCGTACCAGGAGCGGCACCGCAGTCGTCCTGTGCCTGTGCCGGAGGGTCGGCCGCTGATTCCACGACAGCATCTGCGAGTGGCGAAGGAAGAGGAGGCTGTGGATCGCTGGCCGGCCAAATGCCCGCCGGGGAGTTGGCTGCGATGGAGGCGCAGCTGAAGAGTAATGAGGCGGCAGAATCGCTAGAGATTGACGTGGCTGCAGCGTTGCCAATACAGAGGAGAGACAAAAAAGACGGCTCTGCACGGAAACAGGCAAACGGCGGTCAGGCAAACGGCAGGACGGCTCCGGCAAAGCAGGTGCTGGGAACGTGCGAGAGATGCGGATACATGTCCAGTCAGGCAATATGCCAAGCCTGCATGCTGCTTGAAGGGCTGAACAAGAACAGACCACACATCAGCATATAAGCCTCCTTTCCCCGACTTTAGATGGCATGTGCGGCAAAGAGGCATCTGCATCTGATGAATCTGTTTATTTACGGCAAAAGCGTCTTCGCAAAACTGATTTACACATGCTGGGCGCCGTCGCAATTCGACTTCGGCCCTTGTTTCCATCCGTCCTCCGTGTCTGACTGAGAAGCCGGACCGGGGCACATGCTCGATCTCTATCCGATCCTCGAGGTCTGGCTCCGCCTTCGTAGCACCATTATGAGAAGCGCTTCTCTACCTGTCGTTGCAAACAAGTTATTAGCTGCGATACTCTCCAGGAGACTATAGAACTGGTGGACATAAGCGTACCTTCCAGGCATTGTTCACTTCAAAGCCGGCTGGTGCTGTCGCGTTGGCCGTTTGTCCGCGTAAGAGTCCAGTCAGTCTCCGATCACGGTCCATCACTATTGTAAAGGTCAGCACATCGATCTCCAAGTGAAAGGCTCGAATTGAGTGTCTTGGCTCATACTTTGCTGCAGTGCTTGTTAGCAAAAATTGGTTCCCACAAGAAAGCTTTTATGAGTGACCTACGTTGTCCCATTGATCCACAGACCGCCGCGGCCGCAATCCGCTGTTCTGCATGTTTCGTAGCTTGGACAAACCAGCGCCGGACACTCCGAACATCTATATTTTCTCAGTATACTTCCAATGTTCCGGCCCCGGCCACTCTGGCGCGTTCTTACCACAGTGATGATCGCATAAGGGATCAGAGCTTCGAAGGGGACTGGCATGGTGGGTGATGTATGTGTGCGAGGTGTCCCAATTGAGGATCGTGGCGAGTTGGCTCACTCAGGTGGGATCGGTTTGAGTATGATGCCTTCTTTTCGTTGGTAAAGCCGAGGATTTGATTGACTGGCCGTGTCGCTGCCTCAGGCCGCACCATATCCCGGCAAAACTGGACCTACGAAATCGGGGGGCATAACAAATATTACATAATCAAACTACCCACCTGACTGGTCAGGGGCGACGCCTCACTTTCTGGGGAAACGTGAAGCTGAGAAGCCCGCGGATTTGCGAGCAAAACAAGGGCTTGGGACTCGAAACGGCGACGCCCCGACGCGTTATTTATCACCAATATCGCGTATTTTGCGGGCCAGGACTTTTCTAAGCCACGGACGATCTTCAAAAAGCACGTTTCGCGCATCTTGGCGTTCCAATCCTCCGCGGCGCATCCTGGATCTCGATATACCTGATATCGTATTATAATTTACCTTCCCGTTGCGGCCAACCGTGCCCCGAGTTTTGGGATGCAGCCACTCGCCAGCCTCCATCTTGCGTCTTGCCATGCTCACACTAGCGCTTGACCGATCAGCCAACGAAACGCCGAGTCGCAAAAATTCACTGCGAATATCGCTTTGCGCGCCACGACGGTGACCGAACGAGGGGAGACGACGATGGCAAGCCAACAACTAATGAATGAGGAGCTTCAGAGCAACGTAGTTGTATCAGAAGGGGACGGTTTTCCGGATCCCGATGACAACTCCAGTGCCGGTGGCTTAGAAAGGGCCACGCAGCTCGGCTCCACAAACGGAGACAGTATTGAACAACACTACGGCGAAAACGACGACGAAGCTGGAGAAGACTACGATGGCGCAGAAGATGATGAAAGCGGCTTTGGCTCGGGCTCGGGCTCCGACCTAGGGCGAGACGATGACGAAGATGACGGCTACGACTCTGAGAGCGCAGGCGACGACGAAGACGAGCACCTGGAAGGCCCTGGCTTGGCGAAGCGCGGCCCGAGAATCAAGAACGAGGACGGTGATGAGGATGAGGACGAAGAAGAAGACGAAGAAGAAGAAGAAGACGACGAGGATGCCGAACTGGACGCCGACGCCGATATCATCGAGGATGCAGAAGGTGTCGGCGCTGTCAAGATTCGCCCCGGCGAGACAGACGACGAAGACGATAGCGTAATCAGCGCCGGGGACACCCAGTCGAGTGACGAGGACTGGGATGAGAATGCGGCAATTATAGAGGAGGACGAGGAGGAAGGAGGTGGTGTGGAAGAGGACGGAGCATTTGGAACGTGTGTGTTCTGCAATCAAGACGAGGAGCACGGACCGAACGAAGGCGTCGAGGCTTTCCTTTCATGCTCTCACTGCGTGGGAAGTGGTAAGAAAGCCGATCCCAAATTGATGTTGCCGTTCTATGATCCTCCAGACCTTGCTAACCTTGCAGCCCACGAAGAATGCGCCCACGAGCATGGATTTTCCACGCAGGACGGGGGTAAGTCATTTATAGCTTTTTCGTCCGCCATGTGGCGTGTTATGAGGATATCCGATGGCTAACTTCGTGATAGAGACGTGGAGATGCCCGGACTGCGTCGCAGAAACCGAGCGCGGGTCGGTTGTGGAGGACATCATGGACATCGATGGAGACGGAGGGGCCAACGGTGTTCACGCTGACATGCCGGCCTTGGCAACCCCAAAGCTGTCACCGGCACCGCAAGGTACAAGCGTCAGTGTGGAGTCTCGTCCGGAGGATCATTCAAGCAGTGTTCCTCGATCTCTGCGTAAACGAAGATCATCTCCTATTGAGGTTGATGAGGGCGGCATGTTATTGCGCAAGCGCAGAAAGAACATAGCCGAGGACCTGAGCGTTGATGACAACGGAAGACCGTTGGACTCGGCTACACCATCTTCTGCTAGGTCGCTGCGGGTAAAGCCGACATCATCCTTGGTGTCGATTGAGAAAAGGACAAGGACCAGCCTCATCCTCAAGATACGGGTGAATGGAGCAGAGCTCCGCAAAATCTTCACAAAGCGTCGGAAGTACACAAGAAAGGGTCAGAACAAGGCCGAGACGACTCCCAGGCCGGGCAGTGCGCGGAGTGCGGTGCACGTTGGCCTGGTTGCTGGCGCACCACCTATAATTACCAGCACCCTCATACAACCGTTCTATTCCTTCTTTGACAAGGAGACAGAGGAGCTCAAAGGAAAGCCGTACGGGGGAATACTCACAGAGGCCGAGGCTGAGACAACACGGACGTTTCCAGCTGCGGAAGACAGAAGAAAATTTGGCGAGGCCAAGCAACAAGCCGAGGAAGAACGACAAGTCCGGCTATTGGTAACGCAAGCGGAAGCGGAGGCGCCCAAGAAGAAGCCCAAGAAAGCAGTGGACCCGGCCAGCCAAATTGAGTGCATCGAGTTTGGCGGCTGGGAAATTGGCACGTGGTATGCGGCTCCATACCCAGAGGAGTACAGCAGGAACCAGGTCCTCTATATCTGCGAGTTCTGCCTCAAGTACATGAACTCGGACTATGTTGCGTGGCGGCACAAGCTCAAATGTCCAGCGAAGCATCCGCCAGGAGACGAAATCTACCGGCACAAGTCCGTCTCGGTCTTCGAGGTGGACGGCCGCAAGAACCCGGTCTACTGCCAGAACCTGTGCCTCTTGGCGAAGCTATTCCTTGGCTCCAAGACGCTGTACTACGACGTGGAGCCGTTCCTCTTTTACGTGCTGTGCGAATACGACGAACTTGGGTACCATTTTGTGGGGTATTTCTCGAAAGAGAAGCGTGCCAGCAGCCAGAACAACGTCAGCTGTATTCTCACGCTGCCAATCCACCAGCGCAAAGGGTACGGAAATCTTCTTATCGACTTCTCTTATCTTCTGACGCGGGCCGAGAAAAAGACGGGGTCTCCGGAGAAGCCCCTTTCTGACATGGGTCTGGTGTCCTACCGAAACTATTGGAGACTGGTGATGTGTCGCTATCTCCTTGGGGCCATGACGGAGAGCAAGACGGACAAGCTGGGACTGTCCATCAAACGGATCTCCGACGAGACGGGAATGACGGCCGACGACGTCATTTCGGCGCTGGAAGGCCTTCGCTGTCTCGTGCGCGACCCACAAACGGGTTTATACGCATTTCGAGTGGATCTGCCCTACTGCCGCGAATACGTCGCCAAATGGGAGGCAAAGAACTATGTGACGCTGAACCCCGACGCGCTGACGTGGACGCCATACGTGATGGGCCGTGGTAACGCGACAAACTTCGAGCTGGGACCGGCCCTGACTGCCATCGCACCGCGAGATGAGGATGACGAGCCGAAGTCGGCCAACGAGTTTATCGCAAGGCTGGTCAATGGCATGGACAGATCGGCCGAAGTGAAACGTGCTGGTGGAGATGCTGAAGAGGAAACAAAACCGTTGGACGAGATGGAGCATGGCCAAGCGACGACTGTCCTGGAATCCACGGAGCCCAACGAAAACGGACCCGGAGCAGTTCTTGGAAGCAACGGATGCCCTCAGCATGAGAGCACAGAGGATCAATGTGCCAGTATGGCTATCCGAAGCATCGAACCATCCCAGTCTGTTGGTGGCGACGGTTCTCCATCCGACGGAACACGAGAGGGGAAATCTTGCTCCATGGACAGCAAGGATCCACTGGATGCAGAGAGTTATAGTGCGGGCAAGGTACGGACATCGATGTCTGCAGACGACTGGACAGCACCATATGCAGACGTGCCGGCCACTCGGTTTGTAGTGTTCCCGCCTATATCGGCACGCCGGTTCAACTACGCGCGGACTACGATTGGGAGGCCATCTGCACCTCGGATCAGCAACAACGGGGTGAGAGGAAGAAGCCGGTACGGATCGAACAGCATCCGGCGACTGACGGTGTCCCGACCGAAAACGAACTCGACGCGGAAGAAGTCGGGAGGCACCGGTCGAGGACCTGGCCGTTGGCCCAAGGGGACGAAGAAAAGCGATTATGGAAACGCCGACAGCGGCCCTGGTCTTCCGCCAGCGTGGATTGCCGAGAGACAGGCGCGGCAGACGACGTCGACAACGGCTGAGCCTGCGTCACTGAATGGCAAAGAGCCCATGGCCGAAGGGGATGCTGTGGCCGTTGCGACTTTGATGCTGCCGACAGTAACAAAGGAGGAGGATATGGACGAGCCGCCCGCAGAGGACACCGTGCAAGTCCACACGCCTCCAGCCAAGATGCGGAACGGGCTGAGTGCTCCGAGCGTATCGTCGAAGAGCAGGTCGTCACCGCGGCTAGGCAAAGGCAAGGGGCTGTTGCAGGAGAGCGAGGACACGGTGATGGTAGGTGTCGAAGAGGACGAGTGATTGGGTGCATTGATATGGGTTTTTTTCTTGTAAGCAGCACGAATGCTTGGCTTGTGGTTTTATGTAAGATAAAATACCCCTTTGGAATGATAACTGCTGTCTGTATGTTTGGGGTGAGGCCGTTGCATGAACGTGTTTGTATCGCAATGCACAGCCTCTTTGTGAGGCAGGCTGCTGGGCCAATACAGTCCCGGTTTCATGATCGGCGCATAAGGAATCGGTCGCGCAGCTGACTGCTAGTTGCCGCGAAACAGACGACGAATGAAAGACGTGGCCGCGTCAACTAGGTGCAGTCGTGGCGCCGAAGGCGTTGACTAACAAGCAAACTTCGACCAGAACTTATGCTTGTATGCAGTGGCACAGGGTCCTCTGAGGCCGAGACTCCACTACTAGGCAGTAACGTAATCTCTCGCCACTTCGTACAGCTCGCTAATATCTTTAATTACAAAGACCCCTCCACAATTCCATTTCCCGCCAAAAGCCCGCCACAGGCACAAGCCATTCATTCTTTATCCCTCCTGCAAGTTTTCACCATCGCCAGGAAACTGAGAATAATAATAAACACACACCTGGGCCGTTCACTGTGCCGCATTGCTCTCCTCTCGTCTTCCTCCGGCTTCTAGCATCAAAAAAGGACGGGGAGCGAAGATCTCTCAGGCCTCACCGGCGCGTCTCGTGCTCTTCTACTCTAGCAGCTCAGCACTGTAATATCCCATTTCCTCCTATTACCACGCGCTGGCACCTCCGACCCCGACCCCTTCTTTTTCTCTTTCGACTTGCGATTGGTATCCCATAGCCACCCCGAGGCATTCCGGTCGGCCGCGTCTGATTTTCCTACCCTTATTTTTAACATACCTTCTCGTCTTCGGTTTGGACTCTGTCTAGCGCATTTCTGGAACTTGCGGCTTATTCGTCTCCTGTTCTCCTATTGCGACAGCACGAAAAGGGAAGTCTGTTCGTATACATCATCGTATTCCAGATTGCTTAGCATCGACACCTGGGCTCACCGTTTTTCTGCGCACCCCATTGGCACGGTCGCCTTTCCTTTGTTTCTCGGCTCACCGTCTCGTCTACCTCCCAGCCGCCAACATGTCGAAGGTTATGAGAAGCGTGAAGAATGTCACAAAAGGCTATTCTAGCTCGCAGGTCAAAGTGCGAGAAGGTCCGTCATGGCCTGCCTCCGTTTGTCGCATCGCCCTGAAGCTGCTTGCTAACTGGCTTCTTGTCGTGCAGCTACTAGCAATGACCCATGGGGCCCTACAGGTACCCAGATGAGCGAGATCGCTCAGCTCACCTTCAGCTCGTATGCTTCCCTTCCCCTTGAGCGATGGACTTCTCCAGCACTGCCTGTAGCGGCCTGGACCTCTGGCGACCCAACTATAGTGTCATCATGCTCATACCCTTTGTTTTGATGACAGGTCTGTCGACTTTAGCGATATCATGGACATTATCGATAAGCGGCTGAACGACAAGGGCAAGAACTGGCGACACGTCCTCAAGGCCCTGAAGGTGCTCGACTATTGCCTGCACGAGGGCTCCGAGATGGTTGTGTCCTGGTCCAAGCACAACCTCTACATCATCCGCACCCTGCGCGAGTTCATATACGTCGACGAGGAGGGACGCGATGTTGGCCAGAATGGTTCGTACCAGCAGCAGAACGTGTCCTTTCCGCCGTGCTGCATCCGATAGCTAATATGATTCGATGGTTAGTTCGCATCGCCGCCAAGGAACTCACGGCCCTCATCCAAGACGACGAGCGGCTGAGAGCAGAGCGCAGCGATCGCAGGGTTTGGAAGTCCCGTGTGACCGGGCTCGATGAATACGGCCCGCAGCACAACGATCCTCCGCCTCACCGGCGTCACCGCGAACGGAGGCAGAACGATGATGAGGATGACACCGAGTACAAACTGGCGATCGAAGCTAGCAAGCAGCAGGAGGAGGAAGACCGCAGAAAGCGCGAGAGCCATTCTGCCGACGGCGGCGGCGACGATGACCTGGCCAAGGCAATCAAACTGAGCAAGGAAGAGGAAGACCGTCGACGCCGTGAGATTGAAGCCGCCAATAACAGTAACAACAATGCCGACCTCCTGTTCGATCCAGAACCAGCGCAGCCGGCTGCGCAGCCGCAATTCACCGGCTTCAACCAAGGCTATCAGCAGGGCAGTGCTGTCGACTTTTTTGCGAACCCCATCGACCAGAACCAGATGCAAATGCAGCCGACCGGCTATAACATGTATGCCCAGTACGCGCAGCCAACTGGTGTCCAGAATGGCTATGGCGCAAACGGTTTTGTCGCACAGCCGACTGGCTTCGACCCGTACAACCAGGCGCTTCAGCTGCAGCAGCAGCAGACGTCCTTTTCGAACAACCCCTATGGCCAGCAGCAGCAGCAGCAGCAGCCACAGCAGCCGCAGGAGCCCACACTTCATCCTGGCAGCAACAACCCGTGGGCTACCTCGAACAACACTGCTGCGCAGCCGCTGCAGCCGCTGCCAACGGGCTCGAACAACCCCTTTGCCGCCAACCCGACGCCAGCCCGAGCACAGCCTTTCCGGTCCTTCTCGCCTCTGTCCAGCCTGCCAGAGCAAAAGTCGCTCTCGCAATTCCAGCAGCAGCCCCAGCAACAGCCCCAGCAGCAGTCATACGCGCAGCCGCCGGCACATCCGCAGAGGGAACTTACCGAGCACGAGGCAAGGCTCAACGCGCTTCTTGCCACCGGCGAGGGCTTGGACACGTTTGGCAACACGGGCCAGCTCCGTATTCCCGCCCAGCACACGGCACCAGGGACGTTTGTCAACAGTGCTGGTGCCGGTCTCAGCCGCATGACGGCAGACGCCACCGGCACCAACCCGTTCCTGCGAGGACAGTACACGGGCATACCGACAGTATCGTATGGCAGCGGCATGTCCGGCAATCCATACGGGATACAGCCACAGCAGCATCAACAGCAGCAGGTGCCCCCCCAGGGTGATCTCATCCAGTTTTAGAGAGCGCGTGCCGGGCAGGTTTTGGTGGTGTCCCAGCTCGCCTTTTTTCTGGCGTTTTCTTTTGCTTCTGTTTCCACGTGTCTCTCTCTACCTCTTTTCTATGTTCTCTCTTCCTGCCTCTTCGAATCTCTCCTTCTCGACACTCTGATTTCTTTTTCTTGCATTCTTCATACCCGTTTTGGAGCCGCCGTGAAGCCGGAAGACGGACGTAAGATATTAGGTAGTGGCGGAAAAACAGTTCACCTTTTCTATCTACCGGCTTCCTTATGAGATGCCCTCTCTTTTTTTGTATGCTTTGCGTTTTGGGTAGTTGCATCATTAGTATCTTACACAATATGATGTATCACGCCACTTCTGGTCCTTATCTTAGCATCTGACTCCCAGGAGATGTAGGCAGCAGGTGATCCTTTGCGCGCAGTCAGGCTTTCTGCTTGGAGGGGCGTTTTCGTTGGCTGTCGCGCAGCTTCACAAGCAAAGCTTCGCTTATATGCAGCGCTAAAGCAAGAATACGTCTACCAGGCACAGGTTAGGCAGGCTAGGCAGGTTAGGCACCAGGGCAGTTCGCAGCAGAGCGAGCTGTGATTGGCCTGCGACAAATTGCGGCCAATCAGGACGCAGAATTGGTTGGCTGTACTGCTGCCTGAGGCCTAAGCTCCTGGTCCCGCCAGCCACTAATCCACGCAAATGCTGTGTTCGACTAGGATTGCCCTTTTCTGACTATCCCTTTTCTATTACGCGACTGCCCAGGTTTATGTCTATTATTTTTTTCCCTCCCTCTCGTCGCCGCCCAAATTTTCGACACCTTCCCGTTTCTATCAACCACCCTTTTCTCCTCCGCATCGGCGCGTCCTTCCTTCTGCACAAGGAGAGAAGAGCTTGCCCTTACCGTGAAATTTCCTCTTTTCTTTACTTTTTCCTTGTTTATCGGAACAGTCACAGCCTTTCTTGTTTCTTTTATAATCCACCCTCTTTCCCGATCGTTTTGCGACGCTCAAACATCGCGTCGATTTCCTCTTCCATCAGCAACCGGTCTTGGAGCAGGACCTGCAGGCATACCAACACCCAGGAAAGCCATGCATCTGGTGTCTTCGAACTGCGTCTTGACCACCCTGAATTAGCTGTCTACCATCAGCTCGAGCACCTTGCCTTTGGCCTGCCCAAGCCCTCGACGCGACAGCTTCGACGCGCGCATCACCAGACAGCCCGGCACGAAATATTTTGAGGCTCGCGGCTCTCCATTGTCATCCACACACCCACACTTGGCGACAGAGCTGCGCAATCTCCTTGAGAGAGAACGACCGGGGCAGCCGCAAACACGAAAACTCAGCAGCGAGTCTAGGGAGGTCGCGAACGCTTACCTCACCCCCGTGCTCGACATCAAAATATACTTGAGCTGTTCGAGCACTGAACACTATTACCCCGAACCTGCCCATAACATCTGAGCGACAACTTATCTACTGCGGCTATGTCGTTTGGGTCTGGTGGTTTTGGTGGCTTCGGCCAGCAGAACCAGTCGTCAGGCTTTGGATTTGGAGCAAATGCGGCAAACACAAACACAACCCAAGGTATGTACCTGCTTTACTATGTCGTTCGTCTGCCAACAACCACTTCATACGAATTGTCACGTCACCATGTGCTTTCCTCTTCTGCCTCACACCACGTGCCCGAACCATCGACTCGTCTGTGCGCGGGCCATTCTCCCTGAACACGTCAGGACTAACCGGACCTGTCTCTTTGGCATCAGGTTTTGGATCCGGTACATCTGGCTTTGGAAGCAACGCCAACACTGGTGCTGGCCTATTTGGCAATACTGCAAGCACTGGTTTCGGTGCCAATCCCGGTACGGCCTCGGAATACGCTCTCCTAGACTCTATCGCATCCAGCCATCTTGTAGTCACTTGTTATACCAAGCGTCCATATTTTGCCTCTCGTTTTAGCACTCGTTGTTTTCCTTTGTGGTCTAGAAACTAACTCATTTTATACAGGTGGTTTTGGCTCAACCGGTACTGGCGGCTTCGGCGCGAAGCCTGCATTTGGTGCGACGACATCAGCCGGCGGTGGCCTTTTTGGAGCTACGACAGCCACGGCTGGCTCCTCTGGATTTGGTGGTGGCGGCGGGTTTTGGATCGACGACAACCACCTCAACTACGCCTTTTGGAGGCGGCGGCGCCTCGTTGTTCGGCGCGAGCAAACCGGCGTTTGGCTCTACAGCGCCCACTGGAGGGCTCTTTGGCAGCACAGCGACCCCGGCAACGACTGGGTTCGGCAGCACGGGTGGCGGGTTTGGTGCTGCAGCAAATCCTGGCATCGGCACCAATGTCGGCGACCCTCCTGGCACCGCAGCCGTCGCGTTTCAGCCGTATGTTGAGAAGGAGAACAGCAGCAACCAGCAGAACAGCTTCCAAAGCGTCCTGTTCATGGACGCCTACAAGAAGTGGTCGATTGAAGAACTTCGTCTGGTAGATTACAACCAAGGACGTCGTTACGGCAACTCGACTGGCACTGGTGCATTTGGTGTCAGCTCGAACTTTGGTGGTTTTGGCTCCAACAACAATACCAATACCACCACCACTACAAACACCGCCGGCGGCTTGTTCGGCAGCGGCACCACCACGACCGGCTTCGGCAGCCAGCCTGCGGCTACGACCGGGGGCTTCGGTACAAACACCTCGACGAGTGGTGGCCTTTTCGGCGCCAAGCCCGCCGCGACTGGTGGTCTGTTTGGTAATACTACGGCCCAGCCGGCACAATCAGGTGGCTTGTTTGGCTCTGGTGGTGGTAGTGGTGGCTTTGGGTCAGGCACTACTAGCGGTTTTGGTTCTGCCAACACCACTGCGGGCACTGGGCTCTTCGGCAACGCTGCGGCGCAACCTAAGCCGGCCACTGGATTCGGTTTTGGATCCAATACTCAGACCACAGGTGCTTTCGGGAACACTGGGACTACCAATACTTTTGGCACCGCAAATACTGGAGCCACCGCAAACACCGGCGGCCTCTTTGGCTCCACGCCTACCAACACAGCCACGACCGGCGGTGGACTCTTTGGGTCTGCAGCCCCCCCAGCAACCAGTGCAGGCGGATTCGGCACCGGTGCGGGCGGCGGATTTGGCGTGCAGAACACTCAGGCGGGTGGATTGTTCGGTCAGGCCAAGCCTGCTACCAGCGGCCTGTTTGGCACGGCAACAGCCAACACAGCTGCCCCGGGCGCTTCTGGTGGCATGTTCGGATCAACAGCCACGTCCTCGCCGTTTGGCGCCAACAACAACACTCAGTCGACGTTCTTGCAGAAGCCAGCCGCTACGACAGGTGGAGGTTTGTTCGGTAATGCCACAGCTCAGCCAGCAGGGGGCGGTGGGCTCTTTGGAAACGCGGGCCAAAACGCTCAGCCTCAGCAGCAAGCCCAGCCGGGCTCGCTTTTCGGTGGTAGTATGAACCAGACCCAACCGAAGCAGTCGCTATTTGGCTCCCCGGCTCCGGCTGCGACCGGCTCCCTTTTCGGCGGTCAGATGAACAACCAGCAGCAAACCGGCAACGCGTTTGGCCAAAGTACTGCAGTACAGCAGCAGGGTGGCGGCTTGGGCGGCTCGCTCTTCGGGAACTCGACCCAAGGTCTGGGTGGCTTGGGTGCGACACAGGGCCTGACCACGAGCATTTCTGACGCTGGCGCTTATGGGGCCCCTTCTCTGTTCCAAAATCTGGCTACAGCTGAAGTGCACAACCCCGGGCCTCTTGCCACTCCGCTGTCGTTGAACAAGAGCAAGACCTCCCGGCGGAGCTCCATTCTGCCGTTGTACAAGATGAATCCCGGCTCGGCGTCGAAGTTTGCCACTCCCCAGAAGCGTGGCTATGGATTCTCCTACAGCACGCTCGGCACCCCCAACAGCGCTTCCAGCATGAGCAGCACGCCTGGTGCCTTCAGCCAGAGCTTGCTTGTGGGCGGCGCCGGCCGTGCCCTGTCTCAAAGCATCTCGTCGAGCAGCCTTCGGCGTACTCTTAACGCGGACGACAGCATCCTTCTTCCGGGTGCTTTCTCGACCAGCTCTGGCTCACGTTTCTACGGAAGTGTCGGTAGCAGCAAAAAGCTGGTTATCAACCGCGACATGCGCTCTGATCTTTTCTCCACGCCCACCAAGGTCAAAGAACCAAGCAACGATTCGTCGGACAGTCTGGCGCCCGGAAGTGCACGGAAGCTCCAGAAGCGAGTCAGCTTCGATACCACGGTTGCTAAGGATAACGGTGGCGAGAACGGACGTGCCAATGGCAGCGCCAATGGCAACAGTGCAGACTTGGGCTATCTTCGGCCGCAAGGCCGTTCTGTCAACAACGGCGCTGCGACGGCGACATCGTCGGAGCCTGAGATGACCCAAATCTCTGGAAAGGAACTTGCCGTTGTGCACGAAGAGGAATATTCCCCGGCCAACCGCTGCATACCCGACGACTACACGATCAACAGCAAAGACCTGGGGGAGTACTGGATGTCGCCCTCCAAGGAAGAGATTGACCGCATGAACCGGATCCAGCGCCAGCAAGTTGCCAACTTCACTGTTGGGAGAGTCAACGTTGGGCAGGTTCGGTTCCGCGTCCCTGTCGATCTTACCAAAATCAGCCTCGACTCTATCCCCGGCGGCATCGTAACGCTGATTATCCGCTCTGCCACGGTTTATCCCGACATAAACACAAAGCCTCCTGTCGGCCAGGGGCTGAACGTGCCCGCTGAGATTATGCTTCTGCACACGTGTCCTCGGAGCGGACCTGACGTTTCTGCTGCTAAGATGAAGAAGCACATTATGCGTCTGAGGAGCATTCCTGACACTTCGTTTGTCGACTATGACGAAAAGACAGCAGCATGGACGTTCACGGTCGAACACTTTACCACCTACGGCTTTGATGAGGATGAAGATGACGAAACAGACGCCGAGACGACGATTGTATCAGCAGCAGCTGCTGGTGCTAACGGCTCGGCCACGATTGCAAGCCCGGCTTCGGGCGTCCGGACGGCAGGCAGTGACGACGACTCGTCAGACGCCCGTCGGCGCAAGCGACCCTTCGTGCCTGGTGCGTTTAATGAACAAACCGAGATGTCGGATGACGAAGATAACCGGACTGAGGAGATGTCTTTTTTATCTAGTCGCTCTGCGGAGATGAGTTCTCTTGCTGTTGTGCCCGCTGCATCGACGACGCACGACCTTGATATGGAACCGACACAGGATGGACTGATGGAGACCGAGCACGAGGCGTCTCTTTCTCGTCAGCCCTATTCTGCCGCAGAGCACGACAACGACAGCCTCCAAGATTCGCCACCCGCCCCGGGCCTAGTTCCTGTGATCCCGGAGACGCCTGCAGGCGTTGTGCGGGCTCGCATGCGAGCGATCAAGGAATCGAGCACGCCGATCAAGCTCCAAGTGGCCGACGGCGACAACTGGATGGAAATGCTGCAGAAGACTGTCAGCCCTCAGAAACGTGACCGGGCGGCCCTGAAAGCTCTCAGCGGGCTGAACGTCGACAACAAGCCGGACTTTCGCGAGAGCAAAGTCGGCTTCGACAACAAGGTTGGCAGAGCGTCTATCAGTGCGCGGAGTCGGCTGGTCAACGACAACCGCGGGTTTGCAACGAGCATCGATCTCATGAACTCGCTTTTCGAAAAGGCCAAGGCACCGCCTGCTAAAGCTCCACCAAAGGCCATCACGACAGCCAAGGGCTTCATGAAGGTTGGTGATGCCCTCCTTGCCTAGTCTTGGGATTTCCCACCCTTCTTATCACATTTTACACCCAGCATTTTGTTTTACTCCCCCTTCAGCATCTACTCTTATCCCCCCTGCATTTAATCCCGCTGGCATAATCTGATGTACGAACTTGGGTCTGGCGAATGCCATACTTTGCTCATAGTGTCATTTCTTTGCTTGTATTCTGTACCTGATATGAACAAGTCTGCCATGTTCCACCCCTAGTTTTGTCACAACAATATAAACCAAAACCAACCATCAAAAGAGGATTCGCGGCACATGAGACAAATGCTAAAAACTGTGGTTAATCAATTCTTAGTGGCCGTACAACAGACAAAACAGAGCAGCAGACGAGGACGAGGCCAACATGGAGCCAACAGAGCGAGCTTTCCACGAGTCAATGAAACCGGCCTGGTCTGCTGACGGCTCCTGCATCGTTATCGACGAGCAAGGCAACGGCTCCTTCGAACCAACGCTGAAGCGACTTCGCGTGTTTGATTCTCTCGACCCTACTTTAGCATTCGTACGTTTGCTGCGCTTATACTAGAAGAAAAACAAGATATTGAACCAATGCTAACTGCCATCGCAGGATCCCCTTGAAGGCATTGCAGAGCACAAGGAAGCAATCGACATTGAGCTCGTTAATGGAGTGCCCTCTGTGTCGACTCGACGGGTTCCTCCCATCAAGACATTCGCCGGGTTCTGCGAGCAAGCAAATCGTCGCAGAGCAGCCAATGCCGGGCTGCTAGCAAAGCAGCAGGGATCATACGAACAGTCTGTGTGGGAGCTGGCCAGCGTCCTTTTCGACCCCGTGGATGGCCTACTGGATACGGCCGACGAGACCCGTGCTCGCAAGGAGAATCTCAGCCGGTTTTGGGCCCAGCTTGTGCAGGACGCAACGACGAAGTCACTCGAACAGGCGCAGTCACTGGAAGAGAAGGCGGTGGTTTACCTGGCCGGTCGCAAAGTGCCGGAGGCCTGCCGAGCTCTTGTCGACAGCAAGAATTTCAAGGCGGCAACACTGACATCTCTCATCGGGACCAGCAACGCGTTCAGGAAGGACATGCGGGAGCAGATGGAAGACTGGCAGCAGGGCGACGTTCTGGCCGAGTTCAGCGTACCGATCCGGTCTCTTTATTCGCTTCTGGCCGGGAATGTGTCCGTATGTGAAGGGAAGAAGGGAGGCGGTGTCGAGAACCGAGTGAACTCTGTGGTACTGTCGGAGTGGTTTGGCCTGGATTGGAAGCAGGCCTTTGGACTGCGTCTTTGGTACGGCATCGCTGCCGGGGAAGGCATCGAGACAGCGGTGGCCAAGTTTGTGGAAGACCTGGAGCAAGGACGCGTTCCCCAGCCTCGGCCGTGGTACGCCAACCAACGAGATGTGCCGGTGACATGGGCAGTGCCAGTGAGTGCTGTTCGGGAAGATCTGCTGTTCGGCCTCTTGAAAGTAGCTGCCGGACACGCCCGTCTCGAGGATGTCTTGGAGCCAGAAAGCTCGCAGGCTTCTCCGCTTCGATTTCGCCTGTGCTGGCAGATCAACCAGGCGCTCTCGGCAGCAGGCAACATTGCAGACTCGGCCAAGCTGTCTCCAGCCAAGGCGGACATGCTCACGAGCCAGTATGCTGCAGAGGTGGTGTACAGCGACAGCCGCGAAGTGGGAGACAACGGGTGGATCCATGCAGTCTGGGTGCTTATGCACCTGTCGGACCCGACGTCACGCGTGCAGGCAATCCAAGACGTGCTCGGCCGCCATGCCGGACGGCTGTTCGAGGGCAATCGGAGTGGCCAGCCGGCGGGGACGAGCCTGTACGAGCGCCTAGTGGACGATCTCAAGATGCCGGCGGCCTGGGTATGGCAAGCATCGGCCCTTTACTGGCGCTACGAGCAGAAGCAGCCTGCACTGGAGGCCGAGTGTCTGCTGCATGCACTGGCGTTTGCGGATGCGCACAGCATCTTCGTCAAGGAGCTGGCGCCCAAAGCGATTGTCGAGCGCAACTATGGAGAGATTGCGCAGATTCTCAGCAAGCTGCAACCGCACCGCCACCAGATCTCGGGCTGGGCGCTGGGCGGTGAGGTCTACAGCCGGTTCCTGGACCTGCTGACGCTGCAGCGCAACGGAACGCTCGAAGACCGCGACAACGAAAGCAGCAGCAACAGCACAACACGTCGGACCCGAGGCCAGCAGCAACAGGCCCGAGCCGGCGCAGAACAGGCGTCGGTGCAGCTGTCAGGGGCCGTCGAGGCTCTCGTGTCCAGCCTGCCGGCAATGTACGAAAATGCAGGCGATGACAGGCCGACAGAGGTAGCAGCCATTACAGAAATGGCGGATGTGGTCGCAAAGGAGACAATGGCGCTCGCCAGCAAAGGACGGGTACGTGATATCGCCCTCGTTTCTTCTGTGCCTTATTGATGACTAACCAATGATATTTCTGCTGCAGATGGATTTGAGCAAGATCTCCCGTCTGCCCTTGACGGAAGACCGGCGGCTGCGCTACTCAAACGACCTGGCTTTTGCCTATTATCGAGAGGTGATGGCTGCACAATGAGAAGAGGAGACAGAGGAAGGCTTATATGAGAGAAAATAACGAATCAGAGGCTTTGGCCAAAACGCAGGAATCTGGTTTTTGGGCATTTGTGTATGAGTGGAAAGGCTAATGCGAGACGGTGGTCGCGTGTGCCGTATGTAGATAGATAAAAATGAACCGTAATATGTCTTCGAAATGAAAGGCGCTGAGAAGGCTTACATCTGCGAGCAGATCCGTGTAGGCTGTTGGTTCGTAGCAGTCGAACAAATATTAGTGTGGAGTTGTTCGTAGACAAAACAAAAGGAAATTAACTAGTAAAGCGAAAGAATGCAGATGCTAGAAATATACAGGGCCATATCGTCCTTTACGGTCCCCCCTGGCTCTTTGAGTTTTCCTGCTGATCCGCAGCCGAGCTTCCGTCCCCCCCGGATATTAACGAAAAAAAGAAAAAAAAAGGAACCTCTCTCCGGGCGTGTTGGTGCCAATCAGAAATCAGGCAGTCTTCCTCCACTGGTTGTAAAGACCGATCAGGCTGCTGACGGTACCGGACAGGCCGACGATGCCCTCATCAAAGGCGGTCCAGCCGAGACTGGAGGTGGTGACGGTGAGGTCGCAGACATCGCTGAATAGCTGGAGCTGGCTAGCCGTGCGTTCGCTGGATGCGTTAGCGGAGTGAAGGTAAGACGTTGAGGGAAGGACAGCGGAAGGCAAGCAAATAAAATAAATCCCAGAAAAAAAAAGATCAAGCGAGGTAGTACACGTCACAACACAGCACAACGCAACACAAGCGAGAATTCGCAAAGACACGTACATTGCTATCCGCTTGCTCTCGACGACGCCCTCGCCGTCCTTGCGGTCGATCTGGGCCTCACGGGCACGCAGACGACGGAGGGTGTAGGTCTGGGCGATGACGGAGAAGAGCAGGCCGATGGTCCAGAAGCGGAAGGCCTCGCGGCGCATGCGAGTGGCGAGCGAGCGGTTGGCAAACGGCTTCACGCCGAGCGACTCGGGAATTAGTAGCAGGTCCAGCGTAAGGTACCCGGCATAGCCCATCTGACGACCGATGGTGGCGTAGCGGAGAAGCGGCTCGCCGGCAGCAGCGGCAGCAGCGAGCTTGGGGTCGGCGGCGGCGACGGCAGCCGCCTTGATGTGTTCGACATTCTTGCCGGCCGTCAGCAGCTTGCGGCCTTTTGTCAGCTGGGCGCGCAGGGCTTCCCATGGAGCGATCTCGGCGGCGGTGCCGTTGGTTCGCATGCGATACCAGACGTAGAAGCGGGCAAAATACTGCAGCGTGCGGAGGACTTTGTCGCGGCCGACGGTGGTGGCGGCAAAGCGGAGGTAATGGGCCACCGTCGGGTGGTATATGAGCGCGTCGGCGACCATGATGAAGGCGTGTGAGCGTGTAGAGTTGTTTGGCAGCAGAAAGAGTCGAAAGAGGTTGAGGAGGAGGTCGGTGAAGAGGTCGATGACGACGTCAGGGAGTGTGGAGGATGGATGCGCGGATTCGAGATTGCGCCGAGCTGATTGGAGAGACGGGGCGACACGTCGTACGAGGAGGTGCGTCGTAGGGTGGCCTTGTTCTGATCAGTTTGACAGAACCCTCTCTGTTCGGCCGGATGGCTTTTGGGGATGTTTTAAGCAGGTTTTAGCCTCATAGCACGAGGATGCGCGTGGCTGCTTGCATTTCTCGGCACGCTGGTTCATTCCTGCCCCCTCAGCGTCGGCTGCCACATGCCGAGGCTTGGGTTGTGCCAGAGCTGTGACGCTGGCACATGGAAAAGTTAGCGCCCCCTTGGTTGCATTTGAGAGTGACTGGTAGCTACATGTATGGTCTATATGCATGCCCGGGTTGGTGCATCCGCGTCTGCCCGGTCTGGGCGGCAATTCTGCTCGCCCTTTCCTCCGACTGGCCAGAAGCGCTCTGCTCGGGCCAAAGTGGGCTGGAGCCCCAGCACCGTCCCGGGAAATCTTCTTTGCCTCAAATCGCGGTGCCTCCATTCCCCTCGGCCGGGCCCATGGCTGCAGGGAGGGGAAGCAGCCATGGTGCTGCCATCGCAAGCTCGTGTCCTCGTTCCTCCCCACGGGACAAGGGTCTGGCACTGCCGAAGCGCCCACCCTGCCAGAATAGCCGTAGTTTGAAGGCGAAAAAGCCGGAGAGAGCCAGGCTCCAGAAGCACCAAGCCTGCAGCTTATGCAGGTCGCTGGCGAGAGCCGAACACGGTTCGTTCTCGTGTGAATGTGCTCCGCGTCTTGCGTCGTATATAGATGGCTGTCAGCCTTCTTGTCCGTCAGTCCATTGTACCGTGTTCCGTGCCCTACATCCTCTTTGCTGAACTCGCCTCTTCGCTTGCTATTCCCCCTTCCGAACATCTGCCCCTCCCCATTGTCTCCGCACGCGACACTACGGCTTACATATCATTCTTGCCTCTTTGCGATTTTTCATCTATTATCTCCTAGCGGCGAATCGGTGTTTGAGGAAGGAGAGCTCTGCGCAGCTTGAACGCCGTTTCCTCTTCTGCCAGAACGCGTAAAAACTCCCTTGAGCCGTCATCCATTGTCTCTGCCATCACTTCGCCGACAGAACAGAACAGAACAGACAGCACAACCGCACAAGATGGCGACCAACGGCGACAACACGATCCCTGAGATCAACACCAACATCGTCACCCTCACCCGCTTCCTGACGGAGGAGCAGACCAAGCACAAGGAGGCCACTGGCGACTTTACGTAGGTTTTGTTCTTGTTCCTGTCTTGATCTGTTCTTCTTCTGCTCTCTCTTCTCACACACCCCAGGTTGCTGTGCCACGCGCTGCAGTTCTCGTTCAAGTCCATTGCGTATTACATCCGTCGGGCCACGCTGATCAACCTGACCGGTCTGGCCGGCTCGTCCAACACGACGGGCGACGAGCAGAAGAAGCTGGACGTGATCTCCAACGACCTGTTTGTCGAGGTGATGCGGTCGTCGGGCCGCTGCGCCCTGCTGGTCTCGGAAGAGGAAGAGAACATCATCTTCTTCAAGGGCGCGGCAGCCGGCACGAGCGGCACGCACGCCCGCTACGCCGTCGCCTGCGACCCCATTGACGGCAGCTCCAACCTGGACGCGGGTGTGTCAGTGGGCACCATCTTTGCCATCCACAAGCTGGCCGACGGCTCGACCGGCACGGCGGCCGACATCCTCAAGCCCGGCACAGAGTTGGTGGCGGCCGGCTTCACCATGTACGGCGCGTCTGCACAGCTGGTCATCACGATGAAGGGCGGCAGCGTCAACGGCTTCACGCTCGACAACGGCCTCGGCGAGTTCATCCTGACTCACCCCAACATGCGGCTGCCGGCCAAGCGGACGATCTACTCGGTCAACGAGGGCAACTCGCTCTACTGGGACGACAGCGTCAAGGCCTACTTCAACTCGCTCAAGGAGGCCCAGCCCGACACCGGTAAGCCGTACAGCTCGCGCTACATCGGCAGCATGGTTGCCGACGCCTATCGCACCCTGCTGTACGGCGGCATCTTCGCCTACCCGTCCGACTCCAAGAGCCCCAAGGGCAAGCTGCGCATCCTGTACGAGTGCGCCCCCATGGCCATGGTGTTTGAGAACGCCGGCGGCCAGGCCATCAACGGCAAGATGGAGCGCATGCTCGAGATCGTCCCCGAGCACATCCACGACCGGTCCGGCATCTTCATGGGCAGCTACGACGAGGTCGAGAAGGTCAAGGCCTTCCACAAGTAGTTGGACTGCGATGTCCATCTGCCATACTTGCCATGTAGTAATTGGATGTTCTTGGGCCCTATTGAATTAGCCTAACTTTTTGTACCTTGGATAGCATGAAATGTTGCGTTCATAATTGCCTATTGCAGATATCGTCACAGAAGTCACCTTCTCGTGCTGCCTGTCGTGGTATAAGATGGCTGTCTCCATGCGTCACCCGTTTTGGCAATTACAGAGCAGCGCACCAATGACAAGTCTTGCCTTTCGCGATTCGCCAATTCGAGCGGAGAGACAGGGGAGTTGTCTAACAAAGTGCATAGTCACATGGCACCTAGCGTATGCACTCCGGAGGCTATCACTTACAACGTACCAGCATTGTCGACACGGTGAATTGTCTTTGAAGAAAAGCAGAAAGACACCACGTGCGGTGGCGCCACATGCTTGTCATGATCGACAGACCGTTCCCGACCTTTCGATGCAGGCTCGGCCTACGAACGGCACAGGCAGGTCCTCGTTGCAAGAGGAAGCTGCTTATAGCTGAGCCACACGGCACGAATAGGACCACGAACCGGTCGAGATCACGCTGAGCGGAAGGACTGGTGCTACCAAGACGGCTAGTTTTACGGGAAGGTCGTCCGGATCGACACGCATACAGGCACCATCGCCTGCTAGTGGACGCAGAGACGCCGCCTCTCTTCCTCCGAGACGGCTCCATCAATGCCGGCGAAAAATGGGAACCCCACAGAAGCTCTGACCAAGACGGCCTTCCACCCCAGAGTGTTGCTGCCCGCACGTTGGCCGGAGAGCTGCTGCCATTGGGCCATTTAAGCAAGTCTGTCTGACTGATGCTCGTATTACGTGGGTCGGCGATGATCTCAAGCCTCTGCTCCGTACTCGTGGATGATCAAGTCCATGCTGGTTGTCATGCGGCCGTCATTACAGAGTGACAGTAATGATTTCATCGAGGAGTACTCCGTAAACAACTGCCTGCGATATGCGCAAAACGCCATCGGACTTAGTAGTGCGCATATTTATCGTATCTGACGTGTGCAGTGCGGTATCATCTTATGTTACATGCATCTAGAGATACGAAGTACGTATGCTGGCTATCGGCTTTGGGTCGGCCGTATGAAATGGCACATGGCTAATACAGGAAGGTGGCAGAGTTCGGGGGCGGCCTAAGGCGGCCTAATGCGGCCCGCTTTAGTTTGCTGCTGCGAATACTCCGTACTTGTATCATGTTAGCACTGATAGGTGTTTTCGAGACTGAAGGTGTCGGCGACGCCGAATCCAAGACACGTTTCACCGAGCCGTCTGTCATCGGTGTCGAAGTCAGCAGGGCCATCCATCTGCGCACGAGGTGCGCCATCCGCCCTGGGGCGCTGGGTTTGATTCTTGTTGGTGGGCTGTACTTTTTCCACCAGGGAAAGGACGGATGCTACTTTTGGTTTGGCGGACAATACGGTCGAAAAAAGCTTTTGCTCCTTACTTGCGCTCGCAAGCCGTAGAGGCGCTAGAGCGATGCGCTGACACCATTGGCCGCCGGATGATTAATTGCGGGGTTGGCCGTGGGACATACTGTTCACATGTAAAAAGGCAGAGAGGCCAGGTACAAGATACGGAGCAGACTGCCGTCAACGAGAGCAACGGTCGTAAGATGCCGCAGACGAGACAGACCGGCTCACCGTCGGCGAAGGCGAGGCAAGATAAGGAGGACCGCGGGGCACGGAGGGCTGGCGGACGACGCCGAGGTGGCATGGCTAGGTAGTATCGAGATAGACGCAGCGCATAGTTTGGGTGCAGAGTGGCGGGAACGAGCTGGCACGGAAAAAAAAAGAAGACAGGATTATGGACTGGCTGTTGGGTGGCTCATTCGGGCAGAAGATCGGCGCAGCGTTCTTGCAGGGACAAAGTCACTTGCCGTGCTGACTGGACGCAAAAGGTACTTACATCTGGTTTTACACCACGACGAGAGAAAGAACGCTCGCTGTTGTTCCTTCTGTTTTTTCGTCTGCTTGCTTCTTCTCCACCCACCCCCACAAACGTGTGGAAGGTGCAGCAGGCAGTCCTCTCGTATCGCTCGTTATCAAGCCGTCTGTCATAGCTACATACAGAGCTCCTTGTCAGCGTATCTTTTATCTTAAAGGCCCCCCCCTCCCAACCGCCTCTTTTCTGGACTCACCTTTCCCTTGTTTTTCTCGCACACCCCCCTCCCTCCTCCAGCAGACGAAGAGGCAAGAACTGCTCCAGCACTTTGGCAATTCCTCCCTCAAGCTTCAGCATTGTCCGCCCTTGGCCTCTCTCTCTCTCTCTCTTAACCTCATCATGGGCATGCTTGACTTTAGGAAACGGAAGGAGGAAGAGGAGACGGCGCCCGTGTCGATCTCCGAAATGGATGCGGCCGTTGTTGCTCCGGCGAGCGAGAAGATGGTCACACTCTCGGTTGCTGCCTGTGGTGCCGGTCTCTTCTCGGACGGCTATGTCAACAACGTGAGTCTGGTGTGGTTCCTGTGATGTTTGCGCTTCTCGTGCAGCTTGCCCTTCCAGTCGCTCACTCTCCTGTCCAGGTGATCGGCTCCGTCACCACCGTCCTCAGCTTGCGCTATGGCAACACCTGGAAGCATTCGCACGCCAAGAGCGTCGTCAGTGCCATCGCTTTTGCCGGCACCGTCGTTGGACAGCTCTTCTTTGGCGTCCTTGCCGATCGCTGGTCGCGCACCAACTCTCTGCTGGTGTCCACTGTCATCCTGTTCATCTTCACTGCCCTGGCCGCCGGCTCGTACTTTCATGGCTCTGTCGTCGGCATGTTCAACATCCTGACCGCATGGCGCTTCTTTGTCGGCATCGGCATCGGCGGCGAGTATCCTGCCGGCAGCGTGGGCTGTGCCGAGGCTACGGGCGAGATCAAGAGCGGCTGGCGCCATTTCATATTCATCATCTTCACCAACAGCCTGATCGACGTCGGCTTTGTCGCCGGTGCCTTTGTGCCTTGTGCGTATTTCCTTGGCCACCTCTTTCCCTTTTGGGCCTGGGACTATGACGGAAGCTGACTCAGCACACTCTCAGACGTCGTTGCTGCCGCCTGTCACAACGAGCATCTCGACACTCAATGGCGCACGATGCTTGGAATCGGCTGCGTTTTCCCCTTCCTCCTCTTTTTCATGCGGATTTTTGCCAAGGAGCCGGAGGAGTTTACCCGCAACTCCATGCGCAACGTCCGCACTCCATATTGGCTGGTCTTCCGCTTCTACGGCTTCCGTCTACTGATTGTCAGCCTCATCTGGTTCATCTATGATGTACGTTTCTGGCACCCCGGTTTCCTTCTCATCCATGTTTCTGACACACGCCTAGTTCCTCACATACGCCTTCGGTATCTACTCGTCGGCCATCCTGTCCAACATCTTCGACTCCGATGCTCCTCTGACGACCGTCTTTGGCTGGAATGTCGTGATCAACCTGTTCTACTTGCCAGGCTCTATTCTGGGCGCCAAGGCGAGCGATGTTCTCGGCCCTCGCTGGTGCCTCATAATCGGTGTCTTTCTGCAGGCCATTATCGGCTTCGCTATGGCCGGTGACTACAAGAACCTGTCGCAGCCGCACATGGTTGGCGCCTTTGCCACCGTTTACGGCATCTTCCTTTCGCTGGGCGAGTTTGGCCCCGGAAACAACATCGGCCTGCTGGCCGCCAAGACTTCTGCTACCGGCATCCGTGGTCAGTACTACGGCATCGCCGCCGCCTTCGGCAAGATCGGTGCCTTTGTCGGCACCTACGTCTACCCCTACATCGAGAAGGCTGGCGGCAGCGATACCAACGCCTCTGCCCAGTACCCTTTCTATGTCAGCTCGAGCCTGTGCATCCTGTCCGCCATTCTTGCTCTTCTGTTTCTGCCCAACGTCGGCCAGGACACCATCGCCCTGGAGGATATTCGTTTCCGTGAATACCTCGAGAAGAACGGCTGGGACACTCGCCAACTGGGTATGCGCATGGGTGAGAGCATCGATGTGATCGAGAATGCCGAGGGCGTGCCGGATTCCAAAGCGTAGAGGCAATCGGGACACGGACTTTCGATTGGAGGCGAGAAATTAAGAGAGAGAGCAAAATTGGGTCGTCACGTTTCTGGCCTAGGCCCATTTCTTGGGTATAGATTCGGAGAAGAAGGGTCATTGTTGTGGTTCTTTCTTTCTTGTGCTTTGGTCGGGTCTCTCTCCGAATGTCTGTTTTGGGACGTGTAATTGTCCATGATACCATTTCGATGTTTTAGATTAGCGAACAATGAAGCTACTTGATGCTCTTGTCTTTCGTCTAATATTTTCCGGAAAATGGCTAGACATATATTACGTAATCTCGACTCACGCTAGTCCAGCTCGACGCCGGCGATGGCAGAGCTTATAAATAGATCCCCCGCATCCGCTTCGCTATGGCCGACCTCGCTTTCAGACGTCGGTGGCGTGTCCAATCCCGAACGTCCCATATGGCGCTTCAACACGCACATTTCCACCGTGATTCCAGGCCCAAAGGCACAGCCAACGATGTATTCCTTGGGAGTGCCACCGGGCGCGATGGTATCCATGTCTTTGTCTCGCAGACGGTCCAATACGCTGAATATGGTGGCCGAGCTGGAGTTGCCGTGGTTGATGTACGTATCGTAGCTTGCCCGCATGTGTTCTGGCGTGATGTCCATGGCGCGTTCTGCACCGGTCAGGATGGTGGCACCGCCGGGATGCATGGCCCAGTCAAAATCATCCGGCTTCTGATACGCTGACGGTAGCTCTGGCACAGACGCGATGAGATCGGCAAACGCTGGAGACAGCTGGGCAGCCGTCAGCTGCGGTACTCGTGGTGACAGTACGACCTTCCAGCCTGTTGAAGGCGTGTTAGATTTTTCACCGGTCTAAAAAAGCAAGGAAGAAAGAAGGACTGGAGCATCGCACCGAGTGGATCGACATTGAATCCCAGGTCCTTTTCAGAATCCGGGATCACACGATGATCCCAGCCGAGAAGGTCGTAAACAGGCTCAGCCGACTCGCCGATGCCATTGCTCAGCACCAGCGCGCTCGCACAGTCGGAGAAGAGGGCGACGCCGATCCTAGTTTCTTGGGACGCGTGGATGCTGTCGAGCTCGCTCCGCACCATGATGGTGCTAAGCTCCAGGGCAACGACAAGGATGCGAGCCGGCTTGCGGCGCATGGCATGACCGAGAGCCAGGTTGGCGGCAGTGCGCAGTGCAGCAAGACCGCCGCTGCATCCGACGCCGTGCAGGAGCACCTTTTCGACCTGATGGGTGATGCCTAGGCCCTTGACGACAAAGTGGTCGTAGCCGGGGTTGGCACTGTTGGTGCACGTGGTCGAGACCACGTGGGTGATCTGGGTCAGGTCGATGTGTGCCTCCGTGATGGCCTTTTGTGCTGCGCTGACAGCAAGCGGCACACCGTCGTCAAAAAAGGCCTTGTTCAGCTCGGCTATGGACGGTGCCGCTTCCTGGTTGACGAGCGGATGGTCGGGCTGGCCGATGGACGAGCGCGCGTCTATGCCGGTATATCTGTTGATCGAGAGCACCTTGTCCATCCTGTGCGAGAGTCAGCTACCACCAGGCCGGTGCATCGTCACGTCCATTCGCAGACGTACGCTGGCGACTTGGGGTAGAAACGCTTGCTCACAGCCTCGAGCGAGTCTGGGCCGAGCGCGAAAGGCGGGTATTGGCGACCAATGCCGGTGATGGAGAGGCCAAGACCGTCGAATCGGGCTGCTGTCTCCATAGTCTGGGATGTTGACGAAAATTCAAAATATGGCGCCCAGAAAATCAAGAGTTGCAGCCGAAAAAAAACAGACTTCTGTTTTATGATTTGTCAAAACGCACTTTCCTCGCAGAAGGAAGGAGCAGACGAGTGCTTCAGCGTGGGAGCGGGGCGACTCGAGATAGGAATTGTGGAAGCTGGGCGTGGCTGCGGCTGTAGCTTTGCTCTTGGGGCTGCGAGTAGCTAGATCGAGAATGTCGAGACACAGGCACTTTCTGCTGGCAAGCTTGTTCTTGCAGACGAGAAACAGGAACAGGAAGCGTGGCCGCGATCAGAGCGGGAGGCGAGCCCGCCCTAATTATAGATGGCAGCTCCAGAAAATAAAAGTGACAGGGGCTGCGATTCGGCACTCGTTTAAATCTTAATCCACTGAGGAAATCCTGGGTGGCTGAAATGCTACGACGTACGGAGTACGGAGTACAGATATGACGGGCAAGAAGACGGCCGATCGGCACGGCGGCGGTCCAGGCCTGCCAATTGGGATCGCCAACGAATTTACCTCCAACAAAAGACCTGTGATGCAACGGAAAGGATGCCTCGGGAACGAGCTGCTGGCCGTCGCTTCTGACGGCCTAAAGTGTACTTAATGCGTATTAGTTAGTATTCAACCCGGCCGGCACTCGAAGTTGCTCCGAGTCGGGGGAACTCGTCTGTGCTTTGCCCGAGTCCACTATTTCGTCACTGCTGCGACGTTGTCCTCATTTGATGTTTTTATATTTCCCTGATTCCCTAATAAGCGGCCTGACTTTCTTACACGGCGCGACATCGCGATCTAATAAAGTGTCTGTAGAAAAAAGCTAACTTTCACAGCCTCAACACCGGGTCCTCTTTATCAATAGACCTCGAGGCATGCCACACGTAATCCCTTTCCTTTCCTGGTCTTTTACGCACCCTCTAGCAACTGCTGTTTCCTTTACAGCTCGTCGTGGCCGCTCGGCTCGTCGTCATCGCCGCCGGCCTGGCTGTACATCTTGCTCGTGATAGGGTATGCCCTGTTGGTTGGTGGTTAGCAGACAGCTTCAAAAATCGCCCGCTGGCCCTCTCGGTGCACACTTACACGTTGGACAGCTTCTCCTTCTGCTCCTCAAAGTCCTCCGTATCGGCCGTGGCCGCGTTCTCGTCCAGCCATTCCTGCGTCTCCTTGACGGCCTCGATGAGCGTCTCCTTGTCCTCTTCGCTGATCTTGCCGCCCAGACCGTCCTCGTCGCTGACCTGGTTCTTGAGCGAGAAGGCGTAGTTCTCCAGACCGTTGCGCGCCTCAATGCGCTCGCGGGTCGCCTTGTCCTCCTCGGCATACTTCTCTGCCTCGGCAACCATGCGGTCGATCTCGTCCTGCGTAAGCCGGCCCTTGTCGTTGTTGATCGTGATGCTCTCGCTCTTGCCAGTGCCCTTGTCGTGGGCAGACACCTTCAAGATGCCGTTGGCATCGAGCTCAAACGACACCTCGATCTGCGGGACGCCACGCGGTGCTGGCGGGATGCCGGTGAGCTCGAACTTGCCCAAGATGTTGTTGTCCTTGGTCATGCTACGCTCGCCCTCAAACACCTGGATCAGGACCACTGGCTGGTTGTCGGCCGCAGTCGAGAAGATCTGCGACTTGCGCGTCGGGATGGGCGTGTTCCGGTTGATCAGCTTGGTCATCACGCCACCAGTCGTTTCCTGTTGTGCCGTTAGTAAGACGTGTGCAGAAGGAGAGGGCGTCTTTGTGAGCCACGTACAATTCCGAGAGTGAGCGGGTTGACGTCCATCAGCACAATCTCCTCAGTGCCCTCCTCGCCAGACAGAACACCGGCCTGGACGGCGGCGCCGAAAGCGACGGCCTCATCGGGGTTGATACCCTTGCTGGCCTTCTTGCCGCCAAAAAACTCCTCCAGAAGCGAGATGACCTTGGGGATACGGGTAGAGCCACCGACGAGCACAATGTCGTCAATCTCAGACTTGCTGACCTTGGCGTCTAATACCGAGTTAGCTCGTCCTTCATTCACGGAGGGAAGAAACAGGCAGACTTACCCTTGAGAACCTGCTCGACAGGCTTCAGCGTCTTTTTGAACAGGTCCAGGTTCAGCTCCTCAAACTTGGCCCGGGTGAGCGTCTCGGAGAAGTCCTCGCCACCGAAGAAGGACTCGATCTCAATGCGCGTCGACATCTGCGAAGACAGAGTGCGCTTGGCCTTCTCGGCCTCCCGCTTGAGCTTGCCCATGGCCTTCTTGTCCGAGGTCACGTCGACACTGTTCTTCTTGTTGAACTGCTTGGCGAAGCTGCGGAGATGCCTGTTAGCTCACACGCGATCGTCGGTATACCATACACGGGACTACATACTGGTTGATGATGCGCTGGTCGAAATCCTCACCACCGAGATGAGTGTCACCGGCAGTCGCAAGAACCTCGAACACGCCCTGGTCGATGGACAGGAGAGACACATCAAAGGTACCACCACCCAGGTCGTACACAATGATCTGGCGCTCGCCGTCCGTCTTGTCAAGACCGTAGGCGATGGCAGCCGCAGTGGGCTCGTTGACGATGCGCAGGACATTCAGGCCAGCGATAGTGCCGGCATCCTTAGTAGCCTGGCGCTGGTTGTCGTTGAAGTACGCGGGCTGTCAACCGTTTGTCAGTAGCTGTTCAGTTACGTGTCCCCATGACATCCACAGGCCGAATTGCAAACATACCACTGTAACGACAGCGTGCGTGACCCTGGTAGTCGGTTAGTACGGACACGTTTCCAATGGAAGCCAACAGCCCTGGGGCTATGGAGCATGGCTTACTTCTTGCCAAGGTAGCCCTCGGCGACCTCCTTCATCTTGCCGAGAATCATGCCGGAGATCTCCTCAGGCGAGAAGGTCTTCTCCTCGCCCTTGACGTCGACCTTGACAACCGGCTTGTCAGCCTTGCTGACGACCTTGTACGGGAAGTGCTTGATGCTGTTCGTGCATGGTTAGTCAATCGGAACTTGGTCCTGGAATGCGAGAGACGGGACGGTAACGCACTCAGTCTGGACGTCCTTCTCGGAGAACTTGCGTCCAATCAGGCGCTTGATGTCAAAAATCGTCTTCTCCGGGTTGCTCGCAGCCTGGTTCTTGGCCGCTGGAAGGAGGGTTAGCAGTCGACCGAGACAACAGACACGGCAGAGAAAGCTACATACCATCACCGACCAACCGTTCCTCCTCGGTAAATGCGACGTATGACGGGGTGATACGGTGGCCCTGGTCGTTCACAAGACTGGAAGGCGGAGTCAGAAAAGAAATCCCGCGTTGCTTTGCACCACGTGGAGATAAGGCACTTCTAACTCACATTTCCACTTTGCCTTTTTGCATGACACCGACACAAGAGTATGTCTAGAGAAAGTCAGTCGTACGTAGCAGCTTGCGCCACCGGCAACGAGGCTCGGCGGAGGCTTTATCGCTGGGAGCTCCAACTTACGGTGCCAAGATCCTGTCAGGGCCAATGGGTTAGCATACTGTTCGGAGTCTTTTTTTCTAAAAGCATGGATGTGGTGTCTGTCTGGGCGCAAACTTACAATGCCAATAACGGTGCCATATTCCTGGACCTCGTCTGCCCTCACCTGGCCGACAAAGGCAGGTGAGAAGAGGAGACAGAAAAGGGTGACGAGGGCGAGGCCGAGGCCGAATTTGGGACCCCTCCAAGAAGAAGCCATAGCGAACGAGATCTAGCGATCGCTGAGAAAAAGATGGGCGCGGTGCTGAGTCCGAGCAGTGTGATGGAGCAGGATCAGGGAATCAAATAAAGGAAGGGATAAAGATCGACTGGGCACCTCCTCGCTATGGAGTGACAGGGACCGAGAAGTTGTGTTCTGGCGGGAGTGAAGAGAATGCGGGAGAAAGGTCGGGGGAGAGGTGTTCAAGATATTCTTTATAAACTGCACTAGAGCTTTTCTGTCCTCTTTCGAATAAAAGAGAGGTGGCCCGCTTGAGGACACCTTTCAGGTCCACATACAGTGGTATCTTACACGTGACGTCGCCCCCGCTAGGCAGCCTATGACGGCGCTAAGTCCTACGGCCGCCCTAAAACGTGCTGTATCACTTCAGCCTCTTCCTGTACATTTGCATTCTGCTGTGGTCGTGCGTCCAGAGAGTGATTATCTAACGGCATTTTGGCATTGGTCATGACTACTTTCACAAGACCGCCGCTCTGATTGAGACGAGACCATCGTAGTGAAGCGAGCTTGAAAGCAGTGTCCGGCGCCATCGTCCAGGCTGTCCTCAGTCCGGTCCCGGCTGAAGTTTCCACACGTTTCCATTCGCCAGCACCAGAAGAGGCAAAAGTGGATCCTGCCACAGTGGCCTTTCCCACTTCATAGAGACAAACTTTAAATCGAGATGACTGCGACTCTGAGACAGCATTGACGACACCTGTGCTCGCCACTTGCTTACGGTACGAATAGAGGACACCACCTGCAATGCTGACTATTGGCGCACAAGAGAGGACACACAAGAAGACACACAAAAGAACACATTGCAATCGGACGCATCGTGTCAGCTGTTATCAGCCGATCCTGTATCATACTTTCTCTTCTTCCTGGGGACGTCGTGCTATCTGCCCCGCGCACATGTCGGTGTCGCTCTCGGCTCTCGCCTTTCTGGCCCATGCCGTCGTCGAGATCCCGGCTGCAGCCTCGTTCGTCCTGACACCACAGCGGCAGCTGAGCCCGGCCGCAGCCACGCCAGAGGTGCTGCTGGTGCTGCAGAACCTGGGCGGGCTCCTCGTCGCCTCTGTCCTCGCCAGTCTGGTGCTGGTGGCAAGGGGCCACGCCATCGCCCCATCTACCAGAGGCCTACTAGCCCTGGCCCTGGGCAGTTACCACTTCTTCCCCTGCCGGCGAGCGGCCCTTCGGCTTAGACACGATATTGGCATCAGGGGACCACAGGGCCGCACGCTGGGTGGCCCAAGAGTCCATCTGGTCGTGCACCTTGTCTGTCTGGCCTTGCTTGTTCTGGCCGGCCTGACCGACGTCATTGTTGCAAGGCACGAGTGAAATACAGCGATAACAAAGTCACAGTGGCGAGCGGTTGTCTGGTATGTGTGTTGCGCCGCCTGTAAAAATATATATCCTACAAAACACAAGACAGCAGCAGTCCGCAGCCGAGCCGCCAGCTCAGCTGCGGAACAACCGCAGACCCTCCTCCTCGGGGCTGACGCCGTTGTCGCTGCCGTTGTCGCCGTCGTCGCCGTCGTCTTCGTGCAGCTCGGCACGCTGACCAAAGATGGTGCCGAAGAGCCGGTCGATGGCCTCGGGCTCCCACTGGCGGCGGTCCTCGGGCGCCATGAAGTTCTGCAGCTTCTCGTGCACATTGAAGCGCATCTTGCGGCCCTTGCTGGCCTTGCGGTCGACCAGCTTGCGGGTCTTGGCCTCCTTGACTGCCGAGGCCGCCCAGCGCACCGTGGGCAGGGCGTTGCCGGGTGCTGACGAGTCAGTCGTGCGCTGGTCGACGAGCTCCTTGAGAAGCAGCTGGTAAAAGTCGGCGTCATCGTAGATCTCCGCGTCCTCAGCCACGCGTCGTGCCGCTTGCACCGGAGCACAGGATCGCGGCACCCGTGTCCGCCGGACCAGTCGGTCTTCGGCCGTGGCCAGCTGCTCGTCCAGCACGACTGTCAGAGCCTGTGTCCCGGTCGATGGCTGGAATCGTTTCGAGACCGACGCTGATCCCGCGCCTGAAGCCGATGGCCGCTGCACCCGCATTGCCCATCGGTCCAGCACCCTTCTCCGCTTGCCCTGTGCTGCCTCTTCTGTCTCGGCCATCTGGCGGAAGATGGTTTCGCACGAGCGATCGTCGTTGTCACTCCGCTTCCGCTTCTGCTTCGGATCGGTTGTCGACGTCTCGGTGCCAATGTAAAACGACTGACGGATGCTCTGGATCGATGCCAGAAGCGCAATCGCCTCGGCTGCCGTGCTCTCTGCCACAGCTGCATCCATGGCGCGGCCCTCCTCGGCGGCCACGTGCAGCGAGTTGGACGCCGTCAGCGCCTTTTGCATGCGGATGCGCATGTTCAGCAGCGCGTCAAACGTGCGGCGCTGCTGGCGCACGGCAAAGCCCTTGTCGGCGTCCGCCTTGGCCGACTGCGATATCGGTGCCAGCATGTGTTGCCGCTCCTCGGCCAAGATCTTGCGCGTCTCTGCTTGCGCCTTGGCTGTTTTTTGGTCGACTTCGCCCTCAACTTCTTCGTCATCCTCCATGTCGCTGTCGCTCAGCTCGTCTTCATCTTCGTCGTCTTCGTCGTCGTCCTCATCCTCATCGTCGGCAACCCGCGGCTTTGAGCTACCCCGAAAGGTGAATTTCTGCACCATCTCCTCGTCACTCGAACCAAAGGCCTCATCGCTGTCGATTTCCCCGTCATTGTCATTGTCGACATCTTCGGCACCTTCGACGTCAACATCCTCAGGGTCGTCAAACTCTTCCTCTTCCTCTTCCTCGTCGTCGTCATTCTCGTCGTCAAAATCGCCCTCGCTGTCTTGCTCAAGCTGCTCGCGGCTCACGCGTGCGCCTCTGTAAGCTGGTCCTAATGACAGCGCCTGCTTTTGCCGGAGCTTGGACTTTCCAACAGCGACATAGTGGTCGGTATCGGCCCCGACGGCGTCCTTGCCGTCTTCGCTTTCACTTGCGTCGTCCTCATCCTCAAGCGGCGCCTCTGCCTCGGGATCAAGCTCTGTGGCCAAAGCCTAGTCAGCACACAAGAACATACTCCGACAGATGGACGCCTGAGACAAACCTTTCACTGGGCGCTCTCCGGCGAAGAGGCGGGCACGACCCTTTGCACTCGGCATATTTGACAGGGACGGCAGGATGGGAATGAGCGATCCTCTGCTTGGGTACTTGTAGGCAAAGCTAAGAAGCGTGAATGGAAGAGAAAAAGATGGCGACCTGGTGGACCAAGCTGTTTTAAAAAAAAGTTGCGCTACACCGCCTTCCTCGATTTGTCTCATTCGCCTGATTGATTTTTCCACAAGAAAAGATTGACCGGACCAAAGCCTCTTTTCCGTCGTTCAGTTATGGAGACGAGGTGCACAAATACACAGAGCAGAGTTCGAGAAAGACGTCTTCTGCGTTCTGTCCCTCTGATGGCCAACACGGGGAAAGAGCAAGCGAACAGAAAAAAAAAGTAATGCCGGGCATATTCTGACCGCCTTTGAAATACTGCCCGTTTTGTAAGCTACGGGGAGGCCTGTGACGAGATACCGCCCGGACTAAAGTGCAAGACCAAGGAGCGACATGACCGAAGCAAGCGACAATGTCGGCAGTCCCTCGAATGAGATGCAGCGTTAGACATGCATTGAAACGGACGCCTGGCCTTCTCCGGCCGTTTCAGAGCCAGGCATGCCTGCGTCATGAGAACCCGCTGGTGAGGCTGAGAGCCGAGAGCCGAGAGCCGAGACGAGTTCGAGAAAGGACTCAGGCTGATGATGGAAACAGGGCCTTCCCAAGTCCGGCACACCCCCACGGCTGGACCGACGGCTGCCACCGAAGCCGCTGCCGATCCGAGACGTAGCCAAGGTCGTGGCCGTGTCGTCGGCCAAGGGTGGTGTCGGCAAGAGCACAATTGCAGGTGGGTGATCAGAGAAGGGCAGAACAGCAGGATATCGGCTGACCGAGCATGTTCTTCTGTCCTCAGCCAATCTGGCGCTGGCCTTTGCCCGACAGGGCTACCGGACCGGAATCCTCGACACGGACATCTTTGGTCCCTCCATCCCGACGCTGTTCAACCTTTCGGGAGAGCCTCGACTGTCAGAGAGTGAGTGCTGATGCAGACGTTTTCCGGTCTGGCGCTGTTTCATCTTTTCTTGCCAGCTCACAACCATCTCCCCACACAGACAATCAGCTTGTCCCCCTGACCAACTACGGCGTCAAGACTATGTCGATGGGCTATCTCGTGCCGGCCGGCCAGGCCGTCGCCTGGCGCGGGCTCATGCTCGGCCGCGCCCTCAACCAGCTGCTGCGTGAGGTCGCCTGGGACGGCCTGGACGTGTTGGTGCTGGACCTGCCGCCCGGCACTGGCGACACGCAGCTCAGCATCGCCCAGCAGGTCGTCGTGGATGGCGCCGTCGTCGTGACCACACCGCACACGCTGGCCGTCCAAGACGCCGTTCGCGGTATCCAGCTCTTCCGCAAGGCCAACGTGCCGCTTCTCGGCATCGTCCGCAACATGGACGTCTTCTGCTGTCCGCACTGCCATGGCGAAACCCGCGTGTTTGGCGACAGCGACGCCGTCACGGCCGCCAGCACAGACCTCAACGTTCCCCTACTCGCCAGCATCCCGCTGCACCCCAGCATCGGCGACGACGCCCATCGCGGCCGGCCTACCGTCGTCGCCGAGCCCGACAGCCAGCGTGCTGCCGTCTTCCTCCAGTTGGCCCGCGACGTCGTCGCCAAGATCGGTCTCGACGCTCGCACCGTCTCTACGAGTAGTGGCCGAGAGCCGGAGCGGACACATTAGCACAGAACAGTTAGTCACATGCGTCAAAGTGAAACAATATCACAAAAGGCTGTAGGATTAATTATTCTCTCTCTCTTGTCATGTCACTCGTGCCACTCTGCTGTTGTCTCTGTCTTCAGTCCTTTGCCTGGTTCTGGAGCAAATTCGCACCGGCCGGTCCTTTCGTCGATCCCATTTCAAATGGGCCTGCATGACGGATAGTTCAGACGCCAGCCTTTGCCGTTAGCAATGTTGCGCTCTTCAACAGAAAGAAGGGGGAACCACAGAGAAGCAACCGCCAAGCGGCAAGTGAGGAGATGCGGAGGATGCATATCAGAGAGACGACCCTGTCGTGCAGAGGCACACCCGCCAGAGATCTCTCGGCAACACGGCGCCGCGGCGGATAAGATATGAAAAGGGACGATGCACTGTGCTCAATCGTTAGTCCAGATCCTCATTGGTCTGGTAGATATGTCGACTTCTCGTAGGGTCTTTGCGCATGGCCTGGCCCGAGCCTGTGAATCCGACTGAGACCTGTTAGAGAGACACGAAGTCGGCAGGACAGAAAGTGTGTGAGAGAGGGTACTCACCCCGCCCGTGGATCCCGTCTGGCGTCCGGAACATGCTGTCCTTTTTCGTCATCGTCTTGCCGACCTTGGACTTGCTGTTGAACTCCTGCCACTTGCTCTTGCCCGCCTCCAGCTGCTTCGTCGCTTTGATCTTCTTGAACTTCTTCACCGGCGGCCCGTCTGCCGATCCATCCGCCCCTCCGGTCTTGCCCTGCTCCTGCAGCGCCTGTGGGTACAGCTGGGCCGCTGCTGACGAGATCATGCCGCTGCTGAACCGATCGACCGGTCGGCCAAACGGTGGCGGTGGCGGTGTGCCTGTCCCTGTTGTTGTTGCTGCTGCTGCTGCTGCTGTCGGTGGAGGAGGCGGTGGTGGCAACGAAGTCGAAAGCGGATTTGAAGAGGCCATTGGTGGTGGTGGTGGCGGTGGCAACGAGAGGCTCGAGGGTGCTGCCGATCCGGACTCGACGCTGTCCTGCTTGCGCTTTCCACCGTTGCTGTTGCTGTTGCTGTTGCTGCCACCACCTCCGCCTCCGCTTCCGCCTGTTCCGACCGGCCGGATGTCGCGTGCCCGCAGCGTCTCGATCGTGTCGTACGACTTGAACTTGACCGTGTACATGGGCGCCGCCTTGGACCCCGTCACTGACATGATGCGCGCCGTGTAGAACGATTTGTCGCCCGTCACCCAGCGCGCCAGCACCGTCTCGTTCACCTTGAACGTGACGGCTGGCGGCGCCGAGGACGACGTCGATGATGTCGGCGCTGCCGTCTCGCCGTCTTCCTGGTCGGCTACCATCTGCTGCTGCTCCTGCTGGCCTGTCGCGGTCGATCCCGACGGCCGGGTGCCGCTCTTCGGCTTCATATCGGCCATGGAGTCGATGATTATCTGCAGCGCCGACTGCAGCTCCTCCTTGAGCATGTGTAGCTCCGCATTGTCGGGGTCGTCGCGCAGGGAGCTGAGCACCAGGTCGAGCTGTTCACGTCAGTACGGGTGGATGAGGACAGTGCTGCAGCTGCATGCTCACCTGCTCCTGATATTGGCTCCGGTCCTCCTCCAGCTGGGCCAGTTGCGCACTCATCTTGTCGAAAGGGGGCTTCGTTCGGAAAAAGGTCTGCTACGGCCAGGTCGGTGTTGGTCTGGACTTGAAAGGACTGTCTGCAACACGACAAGATGCTTGCGATTCGGCATTAACGACGAAATTCCGACAACTTGGTCTAGTTTCGTGCCTGAAATTAAAGGCAGAATCACGTGCTCGCCACTGTTCACTCCTGCTTTATACGGAGTACAACACATCAACATTACTGTCTATCTCCTTCCAACTTTACCGATGTGAAGCACGTTCAAATAGACAGTTCCATTTCTTCGTAGAACGACATTGACGACGGGCTTGGTAAACATGACAAAGGTGTCTCCCTCGTCTACTTTTGCGTTTTCTAGGGCAACCCTTCCAATTTCGAATTCTGGGTGTTTGGACAATAATTGCGCCTCTCGTCGCCTGTTACTTGTAGGTGGAGGTTTCATTAAGGCTAGACGGCCAGTCATCAAAGCCAAGTCGTATCACGTATAGATATAGACTCAAGGTAGGTTAAACGATGGCAATTAGGGTTGAAAGAGCAAAGTTGAGACATTAAGGTTCAGTAAGGATAAGAATAGAAGATAGGGAAAAGGACTGGGGGAGGCCGATTAAGCATCTTCCTTTATAAAATAAGAATTGTACGGAGGTCCCTGCCAAAAGCGGCGAGCCCTTTCTTTTAGGAGGGTCCCCGTACATTAGTGAAACGAAATTACCATACTAAGACAAAGTTTCTTTGATTCACAAGTAAAACATGCATAGAAACCAAATCTCAGTACGAAGAGACACCATCCGAGCTAGTGTTAGTATTAGGAATATCAAATTAGAACCCGCACAGAGCCCTTCCACCCCGGACTTTCCCCCCCTTGCTGCTGCAACCTGCCGATTGCAAGAGCCATGCAGAGGCCTAGCTAGTCACCTCTTGGCATGCACTTTCTGGATGGCTAAAAAAGGCAGGCAAGCAGGTGTTGCAAAAAAGCAAGTAATAGTACACAGACAATAGAGGTACCACAAGACGGTATAAAACAAAAGGAAGAAAGGCAGAAACAAAATACGCCTCAAACCAGAAGCTAAGCCTCGGGGGGGTGCTATTCAACATTCTGGTACTGCGGGCAGGACACCATAAAGAACAGTTCCGGAAAGAACTCGTCATTGCCAGACTGCTAGTCCTGACTGGTGCCGAGATACAGGTTCTTGTCCCACATGCTCCGCAGCAGGGTCGTGACCTCGTCGTCCCGGTCGTCGACGATGCTCGAGTCGCTGAGGTGCTGCGGGAGCTGGCCGTAACCAGAGCCGCTACCAGAAGCCTCTGCAGTGGCTGCCCGTGACAGTCCGGGCGTTGGTGGGGCGTGGGTCGTCACCGAGGCGTTGAGGATGTCGCGGCGGATATCGCGCTCGCGGAAGCTCTGGTTCAGACCTGCTGTCGCGTTTCCTGAAGTCGGACGGCTTCCACCACCACCACCGCCACCGCCACCTGCTGCGGCAGCCACTGCTGCGGCAGACATGGTGCCGTTTGCTGCTGCTGCCGGGATGCGCCAGTTCTTGTCGTTGCCAAGGCGGTTGGCCAGGCGGTCGAGACTGCGGGTGACCGGGTTCTGGTAGCGCCGTACGACATAGTACTCCATGCCCGTCTTTTCCATCAGCTTGCCGATGCGCGGGTCGTGCACACCGAAGCCGCCGGCACCCAACAGCGGGCCAGCCGCCGGGCCTTGATGCTGGCGGCTGTTGCGGTCCAGACTGGAGCTGGCGCGCTCCAGGTTGAGCTTCTGCTGGGTGCGGCTGAGCTCGGCCGGGGGGGCTGGTTGCATGCGGGTGCGGCGGGGGTTTGTGCCCCCGTTGCTACCGGCACCGTTGGTGCCGATAGGGCCTGACTCCTCGTCGTCCGTGTTCGTGACCGTTTCACCGCCAATGGACCGCGGCCGGTGGTGGTGGTACGAGACGATGCCCGAGGCTGACGTCATGGCCGAGCCGACAAGATCGGGGTCGTCGATGCGCCGGCCGGTGCCAGGCCGTGAGGACGAACTCGCATAGAAAGACCCGTTGGCGGGCGTGGCCGAAGACGACTCATGGCTGCCGGTGGTGATGAAGCGGGACGTCATAGGTTCCCTATCACTGCTGCTACCGTTGGGGAGGCTGCCTGGAGGAAGCAGCTGTTGCTGCTGCTGACCCTGCCTGGGTTGCTGTCGTGGCAGCGGGCGGACTTGTGAGTGCTGGTCGCTGTTGGAGTCGGATGAGGGCGAGTGCGAGAGTCCTGTGGCGGCGGCTGTCTCTGCAGACATCTTGGGCGGAGCGCCTCGGGGCAGTGTTCGCGGGAGCAGCAGTCGAGTGGTGGACGAGTTGGGGGGCAGGTGGGAGGCCAGAGAGGCCGACGACGATGACGTCTTGTGCAACAGCTGCGGCGTTTGCAGCGGTTGCAGCGTTTGCAGCGTCTGTGGTGGCTGCAGCGGGGTCTCGTGTTCGTGGCCGATGACCGGAGGAGACGACACGTGGACGTCCTGCAGCAGCCCGATGGCAGACTCTAGCTCCGGCTCCGGCTCCGAGTCGTGCACCTCAGTCTCGCTACCAGTCTCGTCGTGCTGCTGGTGTTGCTGCAGCGGATGGTCGATGGCAGTGGACGAGCCGGCGTCAACCCACTCGTCGTCCTGGGCCTCAGGCGTGCCAATCTCGAACCGGATCTGGGCGTTCTTCTTGTTAGCTGCGGCAGCAGCGGCGGCGGATGCGCGCGACTTGTCGGTGCCAGCGGGATGCGATAGCGTCCGTTTCGGCGTCGGGCGGCTGCCGTGAATGGCGCGTTTGACGACGTCTGCGTGCGACCGGTTGCGCTTCAGGGCCGACACGGAAGCATTTTTGTGCAGCAGCGAGGACGTGGAAGACGAGTTCGGGTTGTTCCGCTGCAGCTTGGCCGAGGACGAGGACGTGGTCCGGCGATGGGCGACGGGCGGATGGGCGGACGAAGAGGTAGCCGTGGCGTCGGTTGGGGGAGCTGCGACGATTGAGGGTATCTGGGCTGCGAGATCTTGTGTAGGAGAGAAGGAGAGCTGCCGACGGTGCGGTGGCTGCTGCTGCTGCTGTTGCTGCTGTTGCTGCTGTTGCTGCTGTTGCTGCTGTTGCTGCTGTTGTTGTTGCTGCTGTTGTTGTTGCTGCTGGGCAATCTTGGTTGAGGAGGTCGAGGCGACGTGGTGCAGGTGGCTGTGGCTGTGGTGGAGGTGGTGATGCTGCGACGGTTTGTGCAGGTTTTTGGACGAAGAAGCGCGGGCGTGCAGCCGAGAAGAGCTGCCACCGCCGACAACGCGTTTCTGAGCTTTGGGACGAGGATAGGTAGGGCCAGCTGACGTCGGCGTGATGGGGGTGATGGGGGTAGTCGGGCTGGTCGGTGGGGATTTTGGCGGATCCGATTGTTGCTGTTTCTGTTGGAGTTGCAGTTGCAGTTGCTGTGGCGGCTGCTGCTGCTGCTGCTGCTGCTGACGATTTTGCTGGTTTAACAACTGCAGCGGGGCCTGTGGCTGTGTTTGCCGCTGTGGCTGCCGCTGTTTCTGCTTCTGCTGTCTCTTCACCGCAGAAGAGTCGTCCTCGCTGCTTCCATGCCGTCGTCCCCCTGATTGGCCAGCACTGTCGCTTTCGCTTACGGTGCCGTCCATTACTTCTGTGCTTCTAGACTCTTTTTTTTTCTTTCTTTTTTTTTCTCCAACTTGGCTGACGCACACCCCTCCCCCCTGGGTGACGTTTTGCAGCCGCGTAGATCTGATCTGTCTCGTCGCTTGATCTTCCTGCTCTCTCTTGTCTCTGCTAGCTCAGACGTGCTCAGCTTCCCAGTCCTCTGTCGGCCCCCCAACTCTCACCAGCAAATGCTGACCGTCAATGCTCCCACGGCAGGCTTGCAACTCTGTGGCGCAGCTCCCGTCGTCGCGGGGTACCAAACGGGACTGGCGTTGGACGGCACGAGAGAAAAAACAGGATTGGATTGTGCCGTGGCTGTTTTTGGTCGTATTTTTGCCGTCGGTCAGGTCGGACTAGGGGATGGGATCAATCGGCCGTTCGGGTAGCCGGCCAATCGCTTCGTCGGCAGAGGGTCGTGGCAGGTGTCGGCAGGATGCTGCTCAGAGCATGAAGGAGAAGGAGAAAGAGAAGGAGAAAGAGAGCGAGAGAGAGAGAAATTGTTGGGGTCGGTCCGTCTGGGTCTCTTCGGAACAAAAATAGCGTTGCTGAGTCGATTGGCGGAGTCACGGGGACTGCCAGCAAGCACTAAAACAAATAACAGCAGGGCTGCTCCTTCCCCAGGACGGTCCACTGCACCAGCTGGATTGGCTGGAAGCTTCCCCGCCACGGCGGAAAGATCGACAGCGAGTCGGTCTGGCCAGGTGGAATGCGCCTGCCTTATACGACGTATCACGGAGAACTCCTTAATATTGATTGACTACTCCGTACTCCGTACTTGCACTTCTATTGCTTCAAATTTGCTCCAACATTTCAAATCATGTCTCACTCATGTCTCACTCACCTCAGCTTCCAACACCAGCTCCTCCTCCAATTCAAACGGATCGCTGACAATCCGCCGCCCTGCCTGCGTTGCCATCACGATCCGGTCCACCGGGCTATCCTCGCAGACGAGCAGCCGATGGCGCAGCTGCAGCGTCTGGCCCTCGCGGTTGGTCCGACCAAAGGCCTGATCCTGCTGGCTGTGCAGACGCAGCGGCCCGGTCAGCAGCTGGTAGCTGGCCACGGTAAGGTCGTTGCCCGTGCCGGCATCGCGAAACGTGCCGACGAGCACGCGTGGCACACCAGCCATCAGCTTCTGGGTTGTCGTGTGGCAGTCGAGCCGATTGAAGCTCTGCAGCAGTGCCGTGCGTTCGGCCATCCGCATGTCCGCATGCAGAAAGACGGTTGGCGTGTCGGGCCGCAGCTTGCGCAGCGCCATGTACACAAACACGGCCTCGCCCATGCGCGGACACAACACCACCAGCTTCTTCGCCCCGAGATCTTGTTTCTTGGGCGGCAGTGCTGATCCTGAACCGGATCCAGATCCCGGCTCCGAACTGCCTGTTCCCGTCGTCGTTTTGTCATCTGCAGCGGTGCCTCGTCCTCGGCCTCGGGCTTCGCTCTTCGGCACCCGGCGCCGCTGCGTGTCGGCGTCCATCTCGTCCAGCGTCGCCAGGATCGTTTCCAGATGTGGGCTTCCGGCAATGATCGTGTCCAGGTGCTTCTGAAAAAGCGCCACGCTGGTTGGATCGCGCGTCTCCGTCTTGCGCAGCTCAGTCCGGATCGCTGCCAGCCCAAAGTCCATCGCCGGAGGATCTGCCAGCATCAACGAGGCCGCTCCTGGAAACGTCGCCAGGATCTCCAGGTTCATCAGCTGGTTGAACAGCGAGCTTGACCGCACCACCTGCGCCCAGTTGGCTGTCGACTCCTCGGCTCCCGCTCTTGCCGTCACCATCGTCTCGCGCACCCCTGCCGCCACCCGTGCTGCCACCTGGCCGACGTCTGTTCGCAGTGCTGCCGGCGTCTTGTGCACCACCACTCTGGCTGTCACGTTCTGCAGCTGAAAGATGCGCCGCCCGAAAAACGTCGACGCCTCCGTGTGCCGCATCACCAGTCCGCCAGCAAAGAAGCGTGTCGCCCGCACCCGCACTTCGGCTGCCTGCTCTGTCGTCCCGGTCTCGGCCACTGCACTCTCATAGGCTGCCTGAAGTGCCTGCAGATCGACAACTCGGCCGCCGTGGTGCCGGTGGTCGGCATTGTCCCACTCCGGAAGTTGTTGCACCATGTCGGTCACCGTCTCCAGGTCGGTCAGTCGTGCCGGCAGCGGCGTCCCTGTGATGGCCCAGAAGTTAAAGTTTCCGCCGCTGCTTCCGCCTTGCATGTGCTTGTGCTGCCGTCCCAGCGCCACCGCTCCCTCCCGTGCCTTGTGGAACTCGTCGACAAACTGGATCCCGATCGGACAGCCGTACACCGTCTTACGCTCGCGCGACCCGGCCTTGCGCCTCGCCGGAACGGCAATCTGGAAGAAGTCTATCAGTCGGTCCGGCAGGTGAGAGGCCAGCAGGATGAACCGCTCCGGATACGCGTCCTTGGCCGTGCTGGGCGTGAAGCTGTAGGCCACGTCCGTCACTGTGGGCTCCCAGCTGGCTGGAAAGTGCCCGTCGGCCCCCTTTCCTCTGGCTGGACGCACGTCCATCTGCAGCTTCTGTCGCAGTCGTGGCGCTGGCGCCATCGCCGTGTCCTCCTTAGTCATCTTTCCGTAGAACACCACCGGCTCAAAATACTTGTGCTGCAGCCGGATGTGCTTGATCGTCTTGACCCAGTTGTCCAACACGGTCGGTGGTACCAGGACGAGCGATGCTCCTCGGCTGAGATCGTCGGCCAGCCGCCTCGTCACGCCGCCTGGGTTGGCATAGCACTCGATTCCCAGGGCGTTTCCGCAAGGACAGGCCTCGCTGCTGTTGTCATCGCCAGTTGCGCTGCGTGCAAGATGCTGCTTGGGAGCTGCTGTGCTGCCTGCCGCCTTCTTGTCCTCGTGCTCGCGCATCTGCCATTCCCGCTCCACCTCGGCCCGGTTGTATCCGATGAAGGCCCGCAGCAGACAAACCAGCAGGCAGATGTACGTCTTGCCCGTTCCCATCACGTCGGCCAGCACGCCGCCAGCAAGATCGCGCTCCATCCGGCTTGACAGCATCCAGTACGCCGTCCACAGTTGGCTCGGCTTCACCCACATGTTGTCTGTGCCCGGCACCTTGATCGACCGTATACGCGCGTCTTTGTGGTCGTTGGCATCCAGGCAGAGCAGCGAGCAGCAGCGCTGCCACTCCGCCTCTGTTGGCGACTGTGCCTCCGGAATCAGCGCGTGCAGGTCGCCCTCCATCGCGTCGCCCCGTGCTGCGTTGGTGTCAAGCGTCTCTAGGATTGACGCCGGTGCTGTCGGCTGTGACTCCTCCTCGGCCGGAAACTCGTCTTCTGGCGTCGCTTCGCCCTCGACGACGGCCGGCCTCGGGAGCTCCGACATCTCTGACAGCGGATAGGGGCTGATGTTGGACTCCGACGGCTCCGAATCAGACGACTGCAGAAACGGCCACTTGGGCGACTCCTTGTCCACAAGATACCACGCGTTTCCCGTGCATCGGCCGCATTTGCACCCGGTCCTGCCGGGTCGTCCATCGGAGCCGTTGTGGTGCTCGTCGTCGTCGTCGCCCTCGGCACCTTGTCTGCGCTCCGTGAATGACAGCGCGTACGACCTGCCCGAACTGACTGATGGGGGTGGCTGGTACGACAGCGTCAGGCTTGATTCGAAGCCGTGCGTGTGGCTGCGCATGTCCTCCAGCAGGCGGCCGTACGAGATGGCCACGAGGAAGAAGACGGCTCGCTCGCGTGGAGCCTGAGCCTGAGCCTGTCCTGCTGCTGCTGCTTCTGCAGTTTCTGCTGCTGCCGGGTTTGAGGCCCGCAGGCCCCGGCGGATGCAGTCGAGGAAGTCGTGCATGTCCGAAACACTGTTGATGCGCATGCTGAAGAGCTCCTTGACCTCGCCGTCCGTCACCCCGACGGTCCGCTCCATCTCGCCCGCCCACATGGCCCAGTGTCGCACGCTCTTCTTGTTGGACATGCCGTAGTCGTCCTCCAGGTCGGCTGCGATCTTGTGGCAGTCAAAGTTGTCGACCGAGAAGGGAAAGTCCTCCTGGAAGCTGGCCGCGTGGCTTTCGTGCCGCCACGCCGGCGCCCTTGTATGGTTTGTAAAGTATTCGCCCAGCAGTCCGTTGCGGCCGCGCCAGTCTCGCGCCGAGTAGCCGGCGTCCTGGATCGCGTAGCCCGTTATGTCGTCCACCTCCAGATGCAGCACCATAAACGGCACGTCAGCCAGCGTTCTATGGCCGCCCAGTGTCGTCGTCGTCGGCGTGTCGATCGAAGACGACGACATGGACCCGACCACGGCCTCGATCGCGTGGATCTCCTGTCGCAGCAGCTCGTTGTTTAGCCAACCTCCTTGATTGTCTCCTGTGATGTGCTGTGTCTCCGAGGGATCAGACAGCGCCGCCCGCAGAGGGTCCAGCTCTATCGGCATCGTCATGCTGGCTGGTCTGAGCTTGGCTTGTCGGATGACCTGAATGTTGAATTGTTGTTTCGTGACTTGGGTCCTGGTTGAGTCGGTGAGTCGTTGTGATAATAAATAGCCGGGTGTGTTTGCAGAACCAAAAACCACTGACTGCCTTCGCCGACAGGGGCATATTTATAGCCGTTTGCATGACCAGCTGCATGGCTTCAAAGGGACAGATGCACATGCAAACGAGGTTCAGAGAAGTGGCCGGAAACGGCTCGCCAGAGAGGCACAATGAGAATTGTGCGGCGCGGAAACGAGCCCGATCTGGCGTCTTTGTTGCACGGATGCAGCGTCGTTCTTTGTCGGCAGCCGTGTCGAGAACAGGCCAAACGGATCACATCTGAAGCTCCAACAGGCCTGATACCAACTTTCAAAGAACATCTCTGGCCGGGCTACAGGTTCAAAGACGGCCAACTTCCAATACACTACACCAACACAAGGAAGCACAAAAGTCATGCACAGGCCATCACGCTAAGTCTTTCAGATATCCAAAAATATACACTGGAGCCTTTGTCCTTTGGTCCACGCTCTCCGAGACGCCCAACAGGAAGACGAGAAATCGCGCCAAACAATGAGAGGAAACAGAGAGCCGAGTAGGGTACGGACTCGCCAGACGCAATTTAGCCGTGTCTGCTCGGACGAAAGGGTATTGCTTGGGTCGTTTGAGCAAAGCCGAGACCGCCGTTAGACAGTCCTGTCCGGACTGGAGATCCATTGATCTGAAAGCCTCTCTGATCGGCTAGGCCTTTTCCGTTGGGAGAGCCGAGCCCGCTCACAAAGGATCCGCTGCTTCGAGCAACCACCGTGGCTGCGGCAGCCAGACCGCTTCCGGGCGAGCCAGGCCCTGTGTGCGTCTCGCCGTCGTCTCGCCTGGGCGGCTTGAAATTCACGTCACGCCCCACGCGGTAGACCTCCTGCAGCAGTGCATCCAACACGCCAGCATCCCTGTACTCGAGGTATTTCCGGTAGAGCTTCAGCGCCGTCCGCGCGTCTTCGATAGAGTCGTGCGTCTCCTGCTGAATGTTCTCTTTCAGTGCCCACCAGGCCAGAAAGGCGAGGGACAGCTTGCGCAGCCTGGACTTTAGGAAGAACAGGTCGATCGTGTCGATGATCTGCGACTTGGGGACCTGGATGTTAATAACACGAAAGTCCTGCTTCAGGCCGTGCCCAAGGAACTTGCAGCCCAGATTCAGCAGAACCCAGAGCTTCTTGTACGCCTTCTTGAGCGGCACGAGCGTGTGGCGGGACGTGCGCGGATCGAGGTCATTGCGTGTGATGCCCGAGTAGAGTGTCAGGTAGTCGACTACGGGTTCCTTGATGATGATGTAGTCGTCGATAAAGGGAAGCCCCTCGTCCTGACCCTGGCTACGGACCACGGAGACACGTGCAAGGGCATGGGTCATCGGCCGAATCGTCTCCATCTCTCCCTCCGAGTTCATCTCGATCTCTGGTCGCTTGAGAGCCACAAACTCCGTGTCCAAAGCCATTATGGTGTCCGGACCCGGCCGTTCTGTGCTCGGGTTCAGCGGCTGGTATGTCTCGTTGCCTGTTGGTCGCCTACATAAGAAGATCACTGTCAGCCCGGACTCTCAGTCCATGTGCGCATGAAACGCAAGCTTACCCGTAATCCATAAAGAGGATGGATGTATCAATCCTGCTCTGCCATGTCGTGTCGATCTTGTTGTTCTCGCTCTTCAGCTGGAAGAGGACGACAGACGGTGTCTTCCAGTTCGTGTTGAACGACAGAGCTTCTCCGGTTGACGTCGGGCGGACTAAAAAGTCGTTGAACAGGTGCCACTGGGACTTGGCAAGAGGCGTCGGCTCCGAATGTGCCACTGCAGAGGTGTCAATAAGCTGCCGGCACCAGACGTGGCACTGCTCTGGTCCAAGATACGTACCGTTCACCATCGCTACAAGATGAGGTTTTTGCAGTTGTCCTCCGTTGTCCACATTGACGGCCATGCCCATGAGAGAGTACACCTTGATGTCGTGGATGCCTCGCTGCAAGTGCAGCTTGAGGTCTTCTCCTTCGTAGCAAAAAAATTGACCGGCAGCGTCTACTATTATGCCGATCTCTTCTGGCAGCCAGCCGGGAGTCCCCCACAGGCGACGGAATTCCGGATAGTTCATATTCTGCGGGCCGCTGGCATTGAGGGTCAGGATCGAAGGAATGCGGCTGATCGTCTTCCTGTTCAAGAGTGTCTGATAGCGCTGGCACATTTCACACCAGCCCTTAGTGGATGAATCCTGCTCAACGCTCGACTTCAAAACTTGGGAAAACGTGATTTTTGGCTGCTTTCCTCCCCTGCTGGACTGTCTCTGCTGCGGGAACGGTTAGCTGACCGTGAAAGACACATACACAAGCAGAGAAGTCTACCTACAGGCGCTGGATATTTCAGATTGTTGACGTAAGTTGATACAGCCCGGCTTGTTTCGCTGCGACACTGCATGCATCTCATGTATGTCACGCCTGCCGTTGCCAGGGCTTCTTCCATGGCATTTGAACCAGGCGAAACGCGTCTAAAATCACTGGCGATCTGCGTCAGCAGAAAGCGTGTCAGATTCTGCAGCATTTCGGTGATGGGCGTGTTGGGGTTTTCCTCCTCAATGAGGCGGAGTTGATGAGCTGCAAGAGACAGTTGGGTCAACAGAGAAGCACAGCATATCACAGCAATGGTCTCCCGCTAACCCACCTTGAGGAAGGCTGCTCAGAGTCTTGAGCATATTGGCTGCCTGACAGGTGGCAACCTCGGATTTTTGCAGCATGTCAGACAGGTATCCCAGCTCACACAGGAGACACTGGTCGTCGAGGCAGGAGCTCGCGGCGTGTTGCAGAGCTAGATTGCGGATCAGAGGGGTGAAGTGCAGCAGCTGCAGAAGCGCGTTGGCGTAGGAGTTGGCAATATGGTTCTCTAGGCCGGCATATTGCGAGCGGTTGTAGTATCTGTCCTGTTAATGGCGGGAAGAGGCAGAGAAGGAAAGAAAGACGGAAAAAAGAGAGAAAAAAAGAAAGTGAAAAGAAAGCAGCAAAACAACACTCACCCAAAGTCGAAATCGTCCACACCAAACTTGCTAAACTTAATCTCTACCGTCCTGTACATGCTCGGGGCCTCGGGACCGAGACTAGCAAGCTCCGAGGACTCCAGTACATCCGGGATGGCATCACCGCCGTTGGGGTGGCCCAACGAGACGCCAGACGACTTGGACTCGCGCGAGCGGTCGCTCAGGAACTTGGGCGCCTGGATGGTCTGCGCCGGCTTCTCGTCCTTGCGCGTGTCCTCGACCTGATTAGGCAGCGTGACGCCTGTGTTCGGGGCATACCAGCCGTACTCAAACGGGGTCAAGCTCTCGAGGTAGCTGCTGTCGTAGCGCGGCGGCGGCGCGCCGACGTCCGAGATGAGGCTGGGAAAGGCCGACAGTAGGGTCTCGCGATAAAAGGGCATGCCGACCGTGTTGAGCGGCAGCCGGGAGCTCGGGTCGGCGCCGTCCCTCTTTCGGTCCTCGGTGCTGCCGCTTGCTCCACTGCCGTTGTTGTTGTTGCTGCCATTGCCGCTGCCGTTGCCGTTGCTGTTGCCGTTGCGTCCAGACATATAGGTGTCGTCGTTCTCATCGTCCGACCAGTCCTCCCACTCGGTCTCCTTATGTGGCTCCTCGGGCGTCTCGGTCTCGATCATGGCGGGGAACTCGGTGAACTGGATGCCGGACGGCGAGCCCCAGAGGTGCATGTAGCAGTCACTGTCAGCCAGGACCAGTGCCTCGCCGGTGGGTGAGATGTCGATGCGGGTCAGGAAAGAGACAATGTTGGCCTGCTTGACGCTGCTGGTATTGGGGCTCATCAGGTCGATAATGTGGATCTGGCCCGAGGTCGAGGCCACGATGGCCGTCGTGACCATGCGCGGATGCATGCGCACAAAGGCAGCACAGGGCGGAAAGGGGATGGGGGCCATGGACGTCATCTGCTTAAGATCAAAGAGGTTGACATACGGGTCGAACATGACGGCTCCCTGCTGCTTAAGGGTGGCGCCGCAGGTAACCAGGAAGTCGGCCTGGACGTCCATGTCGTGAATAAAGGCGGAGTGGGCGGTCCAACTCTTGAGGACGGCAAACGTGGAAGGATCGATAATGTCGACGGTGCCGCGCGTCGTGGCGCCGCAGATAAATCGGCTGTTGCGCTTCATCATGGTGTAGTGGTTCTCCGTGTCCAGCTGGCGGGTGATCTCGCCCTCCTTGAGGTCGACCACGAACATGGTGTTTTGGCGGCCAGCCACGAGGACCTCGGTGGCCGCAGTGGACATGAAGCTCATGCAGCAAAGGTCTGCCATGTCGTCGTGTCTGAAATGGGGGATAGGGAGCAAGTATGTCAGGAAGGAGAAGATGAGGGCGGAGAGAGCAACAGGCCGGCAGCATTACGCACCTGCAATTCCACAGCGGGAGGCCGCGCCGTAAGGCCATATGAAGACCCTTGGGCCCGAGAGACACCACGCCGGCCTCGTTGACGAGAATCTGCCGGACCTCGCCGTCGGTCGCAGGCTGCATCATGTACGAGACATATGGCTGCATGTCGGCGCCATAGAATGAGGCAACACGGCCCTGCAGAGAACCGATCGGTCAGGACACCCTTCGGCAAAGGAGATTGCGCCGACATACCTCGTTGTTCCCTGTCCATAGAAGCTCCTGGGTTGTGTCAAAGGCCAGCGCAGAAACCTGCGCGGCCGAGTCTTCTTGACCGCCATTGGACGAGGTAAGGAGGACGCAGGAGACCTATCAGTAGCAATGCATGTCAGTGAGTGGTTCCACAAGGGCTCTACCGCCGCAATCATGCGCCTGACCACCGCAATAGTGAGGCTGGGGGGTGGACACACCTCCGTCGACTCCGGATCCATTGCTTGAGGAACTCGAGGAGGATTACATTCCCGGACGCCTTGTTCGGTCTGGGGGAGCCTTGTCTGCGTAGTGGCGGGCGGCAATCGTGTCTTCAGGGTAAACCGTGCGCGGGCGAGACCGGCTTGTCGAGGATGCAGCAGCCGGACAGACTGGCGATTGAGGAAGAAAGGGTGAGACGCAGCCAAGCAACGCGTCTGAGCTCCGATCAAGAAGGCCGATACAACCAAATAGTCAGTGACGGAAAAAGACTAGCGTCCTTCTAGGGCGGGGTGAGGGGCTTATTTTAATTCTGACGATAGTGTCACGTGCTATCCATTCGAGTGAGTAGTCATGACTGCGCGACTGTACGGAGTTCTCCTGCTTAGTCTTGGTTATGAATTGCTAATTACACACGACTCATCAGTCATGACATTCTAATCCTCGTTCTTTCTGACTCCATCCGTTTCTTCTTTGAAATGTGGTGTCATGGCCAGCGAAAGGAAGAAAAAGGCAAGATAAATGAAATGAAACAAAAAAGAAAACTTGGACTCTGGTATGAACAAGGGCTGGACTGGCTCGGCTCGGATTTACTTGGTGAGCCAACCGAGGTAATCAGCGGCGATCAACGTCACCATGCTGCGGAGAGTTAGCAGGGAAGAAAGCAGATGTGAGCGACAGAGAGATCACTTACGCGTGGGGCGCTATGCGGATGTAGTAGGTGCCGAAGCCGCGGTAGAAGCGGAGGACGCCCTCCTGGCGGGCGACCTTGGCGAAGCAGTCGACCATGCCTTTGTAGGGCAGCTTGCCGTCGGGGCCTTTCTGCTGCTTCTGCAGTCGGGTCTTGACAAAGTCAAAGGGCAGCGAGAAGAAAGAGGCAAAGAAGCCAGCGATGGCACTGGCACTGAGCGTCTGCGTGCGGGTAGACCAGGCGGTGTGTTCCTTGAGCCGGGCCTTGGCCTCACTGAAGAAGGCGAGCTGGCCAAAGTTGAGGCCCATGGCGCGCACGACAGTGGGCGCAGCGCCAGCCCAGAGCGCGCCGACGCCCTCGGTACGGGCGATGGAGCGCAGCGCGTCAATGACGGAGCGATAGTTGTGGCGCTCGGCCAGCGGCTTGAGCCCGTCGCTCTGCATGCGGATCAGCGCCAGGTCGGCCGGGTTGCCGACCACGGCAGCCAGGCCGCCGGCCGTCAGCCCAGCCGCAGCACGGTCACCAAAGCCCACGGCACGGCCCTGTTCACGCGCCCGTGTCGTCAGGCGGCCCATAAAGGTGTCGAAGAAGCCCAGTCGCGCGGTCGTGTAGACGGCTTGACGCAACAGGCCTGCCGACAGACCCGTGTACAGGTCCATGGCCTTGCCACTGGCCAGGATCTCACGCGTCACCGACAGCGGCGTCGGCTTCGGCCCACCCGCCACGCCCTCGCCGGCCAGCTGGATTCGCACCTTGACCATGTCGACTGGTTGGATCACTGTCGTGGCCACCATGCCACTCAGGCCGCCGTTGACAAACGGCAGTGCCGCCCGCACCAGCGGCCGGTGCAGAAAGTCCGTCGTCGTGGCCGCCACCGCCGACACCTTGTTCTCAGCCGCCTCGGCAGCTTGCTGGACCGTGTTGCTCATGGCGAAGGGGAGAGGAGTGAGGGAGCTTGAGGGATCTTGAAGGAGGAGGGTTCGAAGACTGAGAGCTCACGACTGCGAGCTTCGAGACTGAGAGCTTCTGACTGCAGACAAGAGAAGGAGAGTGGGAGAAATGCGGGAGGCTGTCGAGAGCCGAAGAAAAAAGGAAAAAAAAAGGAAAATTGGCAGGACTGCTGACTCAATCGTCGTCGAACCTCGTTAAAGCTTTCTAGGTCCGAGAACAGCCGGCAAGATGGGTCTAAAAGTGCCACTGGCCATCAGTTCAGAGCAAGAACGGACAGAGAGGCAAAGTGACAGTTTTCATGGCCGGCTATTGGCCCGGAGCAATGTTGTCCGCCCAGAGCAAGTGGACGAGGTTGGCCAAACATCTGCCTTTTCCAAGCTTGACATCTGATAGCCGATTGGGAGCCGAGAAAGAACCCAGTAAAAGTGCCCCAGACATGACAGGCTAAGCCGGATAAGGGCAGTCAGACAACGGCGGCAAGCGATAGCAGCATGGGGTACAGAGCGTGGCCAGTCCGAGTCCGTGTAAGTGGTAGGTGTATTCGGGTGTAAGTGTTGAAAGCATGCTGCTATTGAGTCGGAACAGCAGGGGTATTCGGTAAAACTGCGGGGAGGTTTTGGCCTGGCTTCAATGTGCCGCCTGTGGTTGGCCGGTCGCATTGATTGGCGTCCGTGGGGTAGCTGGTAGTGGCTTCTTGCTTCACGGAACGTAGGATGGGCACATGGGGAAACAGGGAGCTAAGGCAAGGAATTATAGCGAGCATCTTACCTGGAAGGAGTGCTTCTAAAGCCAAATATGCAATAAAGCGATTCGAGCAAAGAGTGGCGGCCACGAGGGTCGCCGTTGTTGGAGATATGTCGTAAATCCGACGGATGAGCACGAGCGGGAAGCGAGAACTATTATGGAGAAGACGGCCGACCGAAGAAAAGAAGGATGGGCTGACACCCCGTTGTTCTTGGGCGTTGGACGGTGTAAGCGAGGTGGAGATTTTCGTGCTCACCTAAATGCTTGGGAAATATCGAGAGTCGTAAGTTTGGGCTGTACTCTGAAAATAGAGGGAAAGGACAGAAGATATACCAGTGTGCGGAGAAGAGAGAGGTGCCAGAATCAAGAACTGACTGGAGAGCTAGGATGTTGCCGGCAACCAGATCGAGCCCCCCCTTTGTCTACTGTCCCTTCTCAGTCATGAGCCTGTTCTCTCTGGCAGGCGGACAGTCCCAAAGTCCCCCGTAAGTCCGGCGATCGCCCCCCTTCCCCTCCTTGTGTAGCTGTCCGGCTGGGTGAGAGACGGCCAACATCACAGGCGCATCCTGACTGCGACATGTTCCGAGCAAAGGCCGTTGTGCAACCCCTCTCGACAAGCCCATGTTCTCATTCGTCACCTGCCAACTACCACCGGTCCAAAATTAAGTTGGCACATGTCTTGGTCCAGACTCGGCACATGAGGCAGCAGTTTTTCTCGGGAATTTCTCGCTATCTTTGTTCTCATCGTCGTTGTGGACTATTCGTTTCTACATATAAGAGACCATCTCTGGCCAGCTCTCATGTCTCCAGCAGCCTCCAAGCTCGGTATCGTGTGAAGTGCGGGGTATTAGGCGCGGTAACCAATCATAGGGCAGAAATTGCAGCAGAGACGTCACATGCATTTATCGGTCATTGCTGGCTGACATATGCAGGTATATGCAGTTACCAAAGACGGCGTCCACTAGTCAGCCCATGTGCTAGCAGCCTTCAATTAGCGGCCGTTCTAAAACTTGTCCGCCTATTCGCGCCGATATAACCGGCCAAGCAGCAGCTGTCCCGGACAACTACGGAATATAGCGGCTGTGAATATCGGGATGCGGCTGTTCATTCTCGCAAGGGCCTTCCCTGCTCTAGACAAGGTTTATACTGCTACTATGTATGGTATGTACATTGAGAGCTGCTTAGCTGGGTTAAGATTTGCTTGCAGATGCACTAGGACACCGCCTAGACTCGCGTTAGCGGCCAGGCATCCGTTGACTATATGGGACTTGGCATGCACGGAACGGAGCACGGCAGATGTGTTACTCGCGCATGGGTACTGTGTGTACGGAGTACAGTGGGACCCAAAGGCTCTATTCGAAGTACAAAGCGCGAGAGGAAAGCGATCAAGCAAAGTCAGGCAAAGCGTAATGGTATTTGTCAATAACGTAAGTTTTTCCTCCAATCCATCCACGGTCATAATATGTCGTCAGCGAATTCAGATTACATGGATACAGCAGACAGGAGAAGAAGCGGAGACAGGGCGCAAAACGTAATGTAGCTACGGAAATCAGGACAACAAACCGCCTTGAGAAGGAAGGGTATAGGCGAGAGGGAAAGAACCCAGAAGACAGTAGAGAACAAGGAAAGAACAGACAAAAGAGGAAGACAAAGGACAAGGAAATAGGAAAGGATGGCAAAAAGAAAAGAGAGGAAAAGAAGATGAGAGAAGAAACGGAAACAGAAAGAGGAAACCGATCACGTGATTTTCAAAGGGAATCATCGTCGTCCTCGCTCTCGACTTGCGTCGTCGTGCTGCCACCCCCGGCGACCCGCTGCAGTGGTTTGTTGAGCGTCCAGCTGTCGGTGCCGCTGCGCTGGACGATGCGGACGTCATCCTTCTCGGCCCAGCGCGTCAGCGTCGGGTCGGACAGGCCGCCAAAGGTCCAGGGACGGCGGCCGGCCTCGTGAGCAGTCTGCATGTGGCCAGCGACGTGTTCGAGGCGTTCGGCCCAGGCCTTGTCGCCGTGGAACGTGTCGTCGCACGCGGGACAGGTCAAGTCCGTCGGCAGGCTGCAGCGCACGACGCCAGACCGGGCCTGCAGCCCGACCAGGTCCTCGTTCCAGCGCTGCAGCGCGGCCGGCTCTTGGATCGGCGACGGCAGAGGAGCGGTCGTCGCCGTCTCGTCGCCGGTCTCGGCCTCACTGCCTGCCGCTGCGCGCTTGCGCTTGCTCTTCGCGCTGCCACTGCTGCTGCCACCCCCCTTGAGCGCCTTGCCCGCAGCTGCCTGCGCCTGCTCCCACTGCTGCTGGTCCTTCTTGTACTTCTTCTCGACGGCCTTGAGCGTGTCGGACATGTGCATGCGCCGTACGTGCTGCGTGAACAGGTCCTTGCGATTGAAGATGCCCGAGTTGTTCTGCTCGCTCGCGTGGTAGGCTGTGCCGCTGCTGCTGCTGCCTTCGTTGCGCGCACAGCTGCCCATGTTGTTGCGCATGCGCTCACAACGGGGGTCGTCGCAGCGCCAGTACGTCAGCATAATGTGCTGGGCCATCACGTGGCGCTTCCACTCGTTCTTGTTGCCAAAGGCTGACGTGCAGCCGGCATAGGCAAAGAGGCAGACAAAGGGCCGCTCGCTCTCCTTCTTCCGGTGGTCCTTGAGCTTGGCCTGCAGACTGGTGGACGTGCTGAAGACATTGCAGCTGGGCGCCGGTTCGTTTGAAGCCACGACGATTGCGCTCGGGGCCAGCGGCTTCGGTGACAGCGACGACGACGACGGATAAGCCGTCTCGTCGTGGTTCCGGCGCCGCCTGGAGCCGCTAGCCACCGCAATCGTCGAGGCAGCTGCGGACGAACGCCGGCGCTTGGCCGAGTCTTGGCGCTCGCTCGTGGCGACAGCGCCATGGGCATAGATGGTGCTGCTGTCGCGACGGTCTTCAACGTCTTCCTCTTTGAAGTACACGGACTCCATGGGCTCCGGGCTCAGCGTCCGTGGGATCGAGCATTCTGTGGCAGAGTAGGACATATAGGGCTGGTGTAGATGACTGGCCAGCGACTGCACCTCGTCGTCGAGGGTGTGGCCGGCGTCCTGGGGGTTGTATTGGGGCACGTTGCTGTTGGTACCAAAGCCGTACATGTCGGAATACATGTCGGAATAGTACGGGTGGCGATAGCCGCCATCGGCTTCGATGACCGACGCCAACATGGCATTGGCACTGCTGACGTCCTTGGGGCTGACATAGCGAGTCGTATCCATGTACTCCAGGTGATCGCCGGTCTGCAGCAGAGACAACGGTTGCGGCGACAGCCTGCTGCAGGCGGTGGCAGCAGTGCCCTGACGCGACTGCGGGAAGACAGCGACGGACGCGGCCCCATTGAGGTCCTCTGGCGTGGACGGCGAGGCGTCGCTTTCGTACGCATCGCTCTCGCAGAAAAAGATAGACGGCGGCGACAGGGGACTAGCAGACATCCAGGTCATGTGCTGCGAAAGATTCGGGAATGTAGCGCACAGACTAGGGTCAATGTTCTGGTAGTCTTGCATGTCCGACATGTCCTGGAAGTGCACCGTCCTTCTGTTGCTAGAGAATAGAGCGGCCGCTTCATGTTGCTGATAGCCGGAGGCTGTGTAAGGGGACGCGTCGTTGAGCGAAGGGAGGAAGGATGCCATTGTGTCGAGTATAGTTGGCTGCAAGGGACAATCAAGTTTATATCTGCAAAATGCCAGAAGGGAGTCTCGGGAAGAAAGGGCGAGAGAAGAGGGCGAGAGCTGATAGGAAGAGGGTTTGGTGTAGAAGGAGGACAGCAGAGCTGTCGACGATGATCTGTGAATCAACGGGGGTTTGTCGCCGTTGATAATGCTGTTGAATGAGCCGATACAATAGCCAAGGTTGCCTCGACCGGTTTGCTTTCAGAGAACCTGATTGGCTACCTACAGGCGGCGAGGCGTATAGGCGGTCAAAGCGAACCGTTCCGCTTTCTGGAGTGCTTGGGGGCAGTGCTGTGATAAGCACGATGTGGTGGCTTGGCCAGGCAGTCAGTCTGCCACATGCAGGCGAATGCGGCAAGGGGGGAAGAGTATATAAGCAGCTGACAAGAACGGCGAGACAGTGGGCAGACAATAGGCAGGGCAGCGAAGAGGGTGGGATGGACGCATGGGAGAGACAGCGAAATGGGTGAGCAGGAGTGTGAGGGGGGGAGTGTAAGTGAGCTGAACTCGGGACGGGGTTGCAGAGGGTCTGGAGACCAAGAGATTTAGAGACGGGAAGCAGAGTAGCAGGGAGTCTTGATATATCAACATTTTCGGGTCACAGCACAAGAGCAAGGGCCAAGATCGTATATTCTAGCCCGATTTCATCCTGCGCAGAGCCGCATTAGAGATATCTTATAAAGTAGTACGGTGGGGTTTTTGGTCGGAGTGGTTGCCATTATTACGCAGCGTGGCGTCTAAAGTCAAGTCGAGAGAGGTCGTGGAAATGTATGGGTGGAGACAGAGGACAGGGGTTCGACACTGGGGGAGAAATGGGCCGCCAGTTGGGCCCAAAGGATGGAAAAAAGATGACAACCAAGAACGAGCTAGTATCAGAAAGAAAAAAGGGCAGACGAGAGATCAATAGAATAATGATAATAGAATAATAAGAAATGACGAAGGAGCTGTTCACACTCACGCGCATCTGCAGTTTCTACATAGTAGCTGCAGCGGACAGACGTGCCCTCTGGATCGTTTCGGGTTAAGCGAGGACGCCTGCAATACTCCGTACAGCAAATTGAGCCGTCTGCGGCCTGAATTAGGGATGTGTGGCTAGCCAGTGACATGAAAGCTACCGTGTTGACACCTACTCCGTACGAGTAGTCGCCTAGCTTTTCTTTTTCCTTTTAGCCCGCATTAGCCAATATTGATGTTTTTTTTATAACCGAACTAGGCCGGAAAACAGCGGCTTTGCCCCCCCTTCTTCTGCAGCGAGAAGGCTGCTAATGCACGCGGACGACAGTGTGTACTCACTACGTACTCCGTACCGAGTCTAGGCTTGTCCGGGCTGCGTTGGGGGGCTTCAGTCCGCTGCCAGGCTTCCCCAAAGGCCCCACAGGCCAGCTGTCGGCTGACAATTCGCTTCTGTATAGCCGGCCGTTGTGGCACACACTGCTATTATGTAGCCAGTTCGCAAAGGTCTCGCAACCCAAAAGTCGGACTGCTCCAAATGACCGATATTTTACTCACGGGAGCAGAGCCGCAAAAATCACACCCTACCACGAGATCACGAAGGACTCTCATGTCGTATATTCTCCAGTAGGGTCCTTTCGAAGGACGCCTGAAACTCAGCACAACGCTGTTATTGCGCTGCAAATACTACCTTGTCTCGCGGTACGAGCTTTCCTGGTCGTTCGGTCGCTCCGATGATGCAAGTACATGGATGTTGGGGGCCCTACGACGTATTGTGTGCGCTCTCCGTGCCGTCTTTGCTGAAGTGCCCCCCCCCCCGGCCCCCTCGCCGCCTACGACGTATCTGCCTGTCTGTCTCCCTGCTAGCTCGCCTCCCTGTCGCCTGTCTGCCAGGTTGCCGTCGTCACCAGCACCATCATCACCACGTGGAAAGGTGGTCATCTTGCTCTGGGCTTATGTAAAACGGGTACCGGTCTCACAGGCTTGCCTTTCCTGCCTTCTTCTCTGTGCTTCTTGTACCGTCGGGCGAAAGCCTTGAGGGACAGGTGCTCAATCTTCTCATCGGACGTACTCCTGTCAGGTCCTTGTCATCCCAACCCATGCAACAGGTCCCTTATCGTCTACACAGATGACCGGGCCGTCTAATCCCCATCCGACAATGATAGTCCTCCCAGACACTCCTCGTCAACCGACCCCTTAGCAGTATCAGCTCAATCAAATCCCCGTCTTTTGTGTATGTGCCGCACAAGACCAAGACAGCCCCCACCTCAACTCTTGCATTCCGCTGTTTCCGCCCTCTGTCGACGAACCTGAATTGATATCTCCGGTTCATTGTCCTGATACAAATATACGTTTTTGCCGGTAGGCGGCCCGTAGCCTACTCCGTAGCTGTCTTGACTAGCGTGTTTTGCTCGTCGTCTTTCTGACAGGAAAGAAAGAGGAGGGTGGCGCTAGGAGGATGACGAGGACCGGGATTGGCACTAGGGTTTGTTTCAATGTTCATGACCCTCCCTGTCGGCCGCCTTGTTGCGACGCTATCCTGCCTCTTAAGGCGACCGGACCAAAAGGACGGTGGCCGAACAAGGACATCGGTAGATAAGTAATCCGCTGCAGTGACAGGGTTGTCTTATGTTGCATCTCAGCCGGTCTTCGCCGGGGCAGACTGATATATCTTAAATACGACGCAAGATACAAGGCGTACCTACTCGTAACTTCAACCAGTCATAGGCTCTGTATTGTAATAAGCGTAAATGAGGAGTGAAAATGGACAATGGCGAGTCCAGGTCCCAAAAGGGGTTCGGAACTAGCCATTGACAAAACCCGTTCCCCTCTTCTGAGTGGTAAGCATGAAACCAGGCAGTTCCCGACAACAAGGCGAAAGGCGATCAACTGCTAAAAGCGGTAACGCTAGGCGAGTTGAAAGCGGAGACACAGGAAGGGTATGTAAAGAAAAAGAAAAGAAAGATGATAAAAGTCGACGGAAAAAAAATCAAAACATCAAAAGTGTACAAAGGTAAAGCAAAAGGAAAAGGAAAAGGAAAAGGAAAAAGGCGTATATAGTACGCCGCAAAGAGGCAGATGCAGGAAAGTGCAGGAGCCCGGATGACCAGAGACGGGAGGAGTCCCAGCACTCTTGCACAAGTGGCTGGCCGGACCATTTCCTGTCTTCCCCCCGGTCGAAGCGCTGTTCGGCGATGATGGTGGTGAAGCGGTGGAGGTTGTGCTTGTGATGGCGAATGTCTTTGACGCCCGGGCAATTACTCTTTTTGGGCTATCGTGCTCGCTTGGGCGAACTCGGTCTCCTCACAAGTCATTCCTCTTCGAGATGGTGGGATGGTAGAGACGAGGGGCTGTCTACGGAGTACCGGGCTGGCCAACCAGTCAACTTGCTGACCGACGCCTCATCCGTCCCAATTGCCTGACCGCGTGTTCAGTCCGCCCTGAAGCACACAGCAGATGCCTCATTGTCAGCGTCTTCTCGCGCAGACACGTCGTAAATGAGAAAGCCCTTTTCCGTCTCTACAGTACGCCCACAAAATAAACCTGGCAACCATGGCACCACAGACAGCAGCCTGCCATCGTCATGCCTAAAAGAGGGGGCTGAAGTGGCAGAAAAAATGGCGTGCAGGCGCAGTTCAGCCGCATTTTCCTAAGCGCTCTCTTCAAACCATATCTGCCCCCCCTGCATCATATTCGCTTAATATTGCTTCGTCCAGTCCTCGTTTACTAAATACGATACAGTCAGATCGAAGCCAGAAATAAAATCTAATAGTGCCATGCCCAAGCCCTGTATCTTATGGCCCCCAACCAACAACACAATATATCCAGCACGATGAACAGAATCGGCCAGCGAAGGCTTCCATCCACCACACCCCGAGACAAGACTAGACCAAGGGCAAGTAGATACCCTTCACCTGCTCAAAGGAATAGTCATATTCAAAAAGACATTCATCATGGTCATAACAACAACAAAGACGTAAAGACATAAATACATAAATACATGAAACATGAAACATGAAAACAGGCCGAAAACATGCAACCCCAGCGCCAATGCAACCGAGCGGCAAAGCACTGAGAGGAGAAAGCAGACCTAACAACTGTCTCCTCTCCTCTTTCCTTTCTTAGTTTCAGACTCCGAAACGCCATCGCAGAAGTCGACGAATACGGAAGAAAGACAGCCAATTATGGTCCCCGTCACTCCGTACCGCAATCCGAGCAACGTCTATGACTGCAGCTTTCAGTGCAAACGACATTCGTGGAGGTCTGGAAAGCTTGACACCTGCACTAGTAGCTTGTTAGCCCCCCGGGTTTACCTGTGGGCATGCCGGAAAAGGAAGACGGATAAATAGCAAAGGAAAAGAAAGAAAGAAAGACATACACAGAACCATACCGCCGTCTTTCGTTTTTTGAAAGGCAGCCTACCCCCCCTGCTGCCACCAGCCGCCCTCTCGTAGCCTCGCTTCTGCGCAGCTGAAGATGACGATCCTGCCGCTTGATTGCCCAATCGCCCAGCTGCATCCATGTGGACCCATTTGGATATGTCCTGCTTGTTGTTTTCCCCACGGCCGACAAAATGCGCGTCGATGTGATCAGAGCGCCAGCGCAAGAAGGCGTCGAAATCCTTCGCCATCTCCCCACCCTTGCTCTTGCTCTCGGCGCCTTCGTCGGCCCCCCTTTTCTTGTTGTGCTTCTTGCCTGGTCCACTAAGGCTGCCTCGCAAGGCATTATCACGGTCTGACGGCCCAGGTATTTTTGTCTTGCAAAATCCACACCAGAAACTCCAGTGCTGGTCATGTTTGCCACCGGAGAGGCAGCACTTGGCCTTCTCCTCGCGCTTCCTGGCCTCACATATGCCGTGGTGCTCCTCCAGGTGGCTCATAAACTCCTCGCAGAGGTAGAATCGCCTATCACACAGCTTGGGCTTACCGCTAGCATCGTTGCTAGCTTTGTTGCCCGCCTCGTCGCTAGCAGCACTGCCATTACTTGTCGTCTCCACCTTCTCCTGGCACTTCCACGTCTCCAGTTTGAAATGCTGGCCGCGCTCGTGCCTCTTCCAGTCGTTCTTGCTTCCAAATACCTTGTTGCAGTTGGGCGCCGTGCAGCCATAGGGCCGATCATGGCGTTTCTGGTGTTTCCTAAAATGTGTGCATGTGAGCAAAAAAGGGACCCCTTGCCTTCCTACTCCCTGGTTGGAACTTACGTTAGTGAAGCTTTGGATCTGAACAAATTCTCACACCTCACGCACACATAATCTCCCTTTATTGTACTCTGACTCGTCTTATTCGAGCAGTCAGTCTTGTCTTCTTCCATCGGCGTCGGCGCCGGACGCGCAGAAGCAGCAAGATCCTTCACAACAGAATTAAAGCTTTTGTGATGGGCCAGTGTTTCCAGCAAGACTTTCAACTCCGCGGCTGGCATGTCTTTCACATCTGTTATAGATCGAAACGACAATGACACTGCCGTGGTCATCTCGTGGTCGTCCGGTTGCGCTGTCTCTTGTGTTAAACCGATGACTGTCTGGTCCGTCATTGTCTTACTGCTCTCGGCAGTGCAGTCACTTTCACCCTCGTCTGCGTTCTCTATTCCATTGCTGATGCAGCTGCCTTCTCCGGTTATAATTTCGTCGGCGTTGGTTTTGTCGTGAGTTAGATCGACCCTAACAGTCGTGTTATCTTGGGAATCCTGTTCCTCTTGCTCCTGTGCATATTCACACGTCTCCTTTAGGACTTCACAATCCATGCCACCACCATCGCCAGTCCCAACTTCGGCTTCTGGCAGCGGCTGTGGGCCAATGTCTTCAGCATCGGCTGCCAACGGGCTGTCTGAAGTAGAGTATCCAACTTCGCCATCGGCATACACAGAGGTCCCCGCAAAGGAGGATATATTTTGGGGTAGCATTTGCCCATAGGCCAGCAGTGCCTCGCCCTCTGAAGGGGGCATTCTGCACTCTGCTAGAGATATCGGGACACTGAATTGGTCGTACTGGACCCTGTTTCCCAAATACATTAACTGGTTAGGAGCATCGCGACCCAAAGTCATGATTTGAATGAAACAATCGTCCAGGTCCGGGTGCAGACAGAGGCTCGCTGAAGTCTGAACACCGTCCGTCAATTCCATTAGATCTGCTGAGGACCGGCCATTTTGGGCTTGGTCTGTCCTAGTGCCTGTTATATCTGGAAACGGTTGCCATACTTCGCATTGAGACGGTTGTGATATCGCCGTTCCTCCCACACCAAGCAGAACCTGTGGACTGTGACAAGGGACAGTTAGTCTCCTGGTTTCTAAAACGCAAGAAAGAAGTCTGCACTCACATGTCATGTCGTTCAGGGACAAAATGGTAGTTCAGATCGACATCCTTCTTCAACTTGTGAACATTTATCAGATGACCCCTGAAGTTGTCGGCGCGTGGCCACTTCTTGGCCGAGTTGGTGCATGCCCTACATTGGTAATAGCCCCCATTACTCAAAAGTTTGTCGGCGTGGCAGCTCTTCTTGTGCCTGTCAAGCTCATTACACGTGCCAAAGCCTCTTGTGTTTGTGCAGTTTGGTTCGTCACATCTAAATGGGCGAAAATGGCGGTTGATGTGCTTCCTAGAGGATGAGAGGGCGTTCAGACTCCTGTACTTTGGGTTTCAAACAACAGACTGTCGGGTTAGACTCACTTAAGCTCGGCTTTGGTGCTGAATTGCTTCTTGCATTCATGTTGTGGAATTTCGCACACAAAGGCCTTCGTTCTACCGTTATCACGGCTGCCGCTGTCGACCCCCCCAGGAATACTGCCATCTTGTGTGTCGCTAATGGTATGTCTACGGTCGCCACCGCCCATATCGGGCACAGAGGAAGTCGTTCTACTGTCAGCAATTCGACGCCATTCGGTTTGCACGTCGGTGTTTCCACCCTCCACGCCGCATACAATGCTGCCGGGTGATCTCAAGTTATCAGAATAGGCACACGCCTCGTAGGTACTGCGACCTGGCCCAACACCCGTGCTTCCATAGCCGGAGTCTCGACAGATACTATGCTCAGAGGGCGCAAGTCGCCCTGTCCGGACAGGAACCAGAGTCTGACCTGGAATGACAGTAGTTGTGCCTGCTGTGTTTTCGATGGCAATGAAGGGGTCTGACTCCCTCGAACCAATATATCCTGCCAACTGCGGTGGGGTGGTCCCGTTCGGCTGTCCGAAAGAATATGGCAAGTGATCCATGGCCGCTTTATCCACCGATGATCTCGAGGGTCTTTGCCTTTATCGGGCGAAAGCAACCGGAGAGACTTGAACAACAGCGAACGTAGTCTAGGCGGACTGTCCAAAATCAAGGGTGCGCCACTCTGGCTGGAAGTCAGTCATCTCATCTGACGGTGCTAGTTATGCTCTGCTCACCATCAACGGTCGCTAGGCTGTGATGTACATACCGAATGATCAGGTGGCAACCAAATGCAGGTTAAGATGCCGTCCAAAGCAAGCTAAACAGCGGACGATTCCATAAAAGCGCCCGTTGATAAGGCTTGCAAGAACAGAAGCCGTTCTTCTCCAAAAAAGGCGCCTCGTCAGGTGAGCATATGTATTCTGTGCATTCGGCGATGACACCTAAAAAAGACAAAGAAGGCCAGACTCAGCGAAAAATTGCGAGATGGAAAGTGAGAGAGGGGGGGTCACCGAAAACCCTGCTCTGGTAATCCTTGAATCCTTCTTGTAAAGCGAAAATGAGGCGAGCAAGGCGGCTGAGCAAAGGGCTAGGCGCCTACTACGGAGTACGAGTAGCCTGATTTGATTGGTCGACCAACATTGTTGCCCGACTGAGAGCAACCACACCAAATGCCACCAAGCATGCCTGATTACTTTTGGTATGCCATGACCCTGGTCCCACCGAGTCCGGCAAATCACACATGGCTAGAAATCAGTATCACCTAGTATAGAGTTCGCTATTGCGAACTCTATACTGGACAAATGTTGCAACTGGTTTTCACCGTCTCTTGCGGCAGTGCATGCATATTGCATGCATATTGCATGCATATTGCGTACATATATGCTTATAGACGCCCGTATGCGCATATGCACATACACGGTATTTGGCATATCAGCGAAGAGAATAAAGCCTCGTGCTGCGTTGTGTCATTTCGGTCCTTGTGATCGAGTCTGCAGGAGCTTTCCAAATGACTGAATGAAGCACTTGTGATTGAATGCTTATGTCAGAAGATCAAAAATAGACCGGGTATTCTAAGACAATAGCTATGTGCATGGGAGAATTAAGCAGTTTATTAGCCGTCCGTCCTCGCCTCTTGCCCAGCATTTCGAGCGGCCTGGAACTGCACACATATATGTTCCTTCCGTACTCAAGGAGCTCTGCATAAATCGATTGCTTATATGGAAAGGGGTGTAGTGTGCTCGATGTAACATCATTATCAATTTCTGCAAGCTGTTGCTGTTGCTTCATGTCTTGTTCGGGCCTAAGCATATAACTCTCAAAAACAATACAAAGGGTACAGGCTCGCCGAAAACTTCTCGCTGTATTCTACGTCGTAGTCACTGTACCTTTCAGTCGATATCTTTCGGGAGGGTCGAGAAATGATACTTATGCTATATGGTCATAGACGCAAACTACTATATTTCAGCCTGGAAGATTTTGACGAGCCTCAACTCCCAATCCCGAGCCAACAAAAAGAACAACCCACAATTCAGTCAGCCAGCTGCCAAGCTGTTCCGGTGGAGAGGTAGGCCAGCAAGCGGTGCAAGTTGACAGGCCCGGCATCGACCACGTAGCCCGCCCAATGCGTAAGTATGTAGTCTACTGCATTAGCCTCTGTTCCGGGGAGACGGCTTTTCCTTCCTGCTTACCCGATGTCTGGGCAATGCCACCTAACAGTGTCGTTCAAGGTACTGGCAGTGGAAAGAACAGATGTGGTCTGCTAGTTAAACAAAAAATAAAAACCTTTTTTTGATCATGCACCTAAAGTATTGAATTTTATTCTCGCGGATTTGTATGTGGTCGAGATACGGGAATCAGTCCATGCATCCCTTTTCTTCTGCCATCTCGCGTATTGATATTATGCCACCCCTGGCCCGGGTTGCCCCATTAAGCTCTGGCACATCATTATGCATTGCAGCTGCAACATTCTTCGTAAGTCTTGCCACTTCTCTTACACTACCACCCACTCCTGTCGCAATTTTTTTTTCGTGTGTTGTGAGCTTCATGCCGGCCTTACTGACATTATTGAATCCATACCTCAAAAGTCTCGATAGTTAGAGCGTAGTTTACTCCGTAGATGGGTACTTGCAAGGCATGGCCCACAGCATACCCTCTTCCCCATAATCGGCTTTCCCGTATTTAGCAAGCGCTAGATTACTGTTAGGAGATGGTATCTTGATATTTTCCTTGTCACAAATGACTATTGGAAGTTGGAAGTAAATCTCGATTGGCGGAATCTATCGGTTAAAGGAAGCACGCACCGGTCGAGAACGATCCATGGTTGCCTGAGGTTGGGGTTTCAGATGAAGGTATGCCGTGACCCTTTCTGCCACCCATCCAATCCTACCACACCGTGCACCTAATTGCTTCCCCTTATGTTCCTTTGCATATTATTGTTTCCGGTCTCATCGAACGGCTCCCCATAAGCCACGTCACCATCCGTGCAGTTTCTTTTTCCTGGCCCTACTTCATCAGCGCGCAGAGAGTTTCCCTTTACGGCCGCTCACCACTTCAAATAATTTCGCTATTCCCTCTTACTAAGCTCTTCGGAGCCGCTGCTTCCAGATCGTCAGCAATGGATGTCCGGATGGCCCACTCCCTCCCATACTGCTTCGTATATGCAACTGGTGAATTTGTAGGCGCGGCAGCTTTTCGAACACGCCCAACCACTCGGGGATATATGGATACTTCCTCGGGCTGTAGCATTGTGATTGCACGGTTCGGTGTCGCGGGCGTTAATTTCTTGTGTCTTTTTTTTTTTTTTATCTCCCGCTATTCCTGCTATGTTGCAGTCCATGACCTGAAACCTGCAGCCTACGTCGCTAATTTCAAAGCCCCTCTTACTGGAAGACCACAATCCCTGTGTAACTCCTTACGATGTACGCCACCGGGGAAGTCATCCGAAAGAAATCCGCCCAGTCATCACCCTGAGGTTTACGTGCCGTGATTATTTCCCGAACTGTCAGTTCACCCAATCAGTGAAGTTCCCAGGCCTGGCTCGAGTACCCTTCACGAGCACACCCTCCTCCGTCTACTCTCAATCTAGGTAGCAAGATCTCGAGATACCTGAAGTCAAGAGATACGCAGGAAAAAAGGCATACATGCTGGGCTAGAATCGGAGAACAGACAACAAGAGTCTATAGCAACGAAGCCTAATATAAAAAACTGCCATTTCCTCATCGGTATTAAAACATCTCACATGCAAATTTAGGCCTTAAGGAGGGCCCACACACCGAGGAAGGCAATAGTCGTTCTGCGAAGTATACGTGTCTCGTCCTATGAGCTACGCATATGCACTCAAAATTATGCCCACACACACTCAAATGCATGTGAATGTACATCTTTGTAACTACGTATCCTGGTGAGGTCTCATATAGTATTTGGCGATATACTGCCTTGTAATCGTAATATCTATACGGGTTGGGAGACTTTGAATAAAGAAGAGGGAAAGCTATTAAAGAGAACGGATAGAGGCAGAAATGTAAGCAAGCCTTATCTTCTACCCCCCACCCCTCAAAAAGAAAAATTAGGAGTTAGCAGTAACTTAGTATAGGTATGATTTATTATCTTCCAAGACTTAGCCTTGGATATCGCATAGACGAGATGCTATGCGTCACGCTTTTGCTTCACCCAAGGTATTTACACCCTTTGTAGAGGTACTTTTAGCGCGTAAGGTGACTAATACATCTATGACCTATACTTGTGAAGGTACCAAGCACGAACACGATATTTTTGAATTTGATTGTTTATCATAGTACATAATGGGAGTAGTCTCATTTCATCACGGTGCAGGTGTGAGAGGTCTTCTGAGTGGCTATGATGTGAAGCATGGATGTAGTCAACCCGGAAACAATAGTGAAGAGAAATGCAAGGCCATGACTTGGAAAGGGTGACAAGGAGAAGTAAAGGCCTCCAACGACAGAACGAGGTTTCTTTACGACTGCCTCAATCCGCCTATATATATTGGACTACCCCTACTTTCAAATTCGTGGTTAGAAAGCTGCTACATAACTCCCAAGTTTAAAAACATTTAGACATCAAAGACACCATACATTCATACATTCATACCCATCTTTTAATAAAGGTATTTGGCGGCTTCCTACACCCTTCTGGGATCTATTTTAACTCACAGCCTTCTATTGGACTTCAGGAATATCACAGCAACACCAATATGTGCGAATTCGAAGAATTTGTATTCGACTGCGGCTGTACCCAGACACGGCTTAAGTCTTATTGCCATTTTGCACGCAACGATCCTAACCACCAATGCTTTGGAGTCAAGAAACTCACCCACATGTGGTATCAGCAGACTGCCTGTCAGGCTTGTCTTGTGGCTCGGGCGGCCGCCGCCGCCACAGCTGCCGAGGGGCAGACATAATGCAACCCTAAGAAGAAACAGTAGTAGAAGGGGAACTACCTGTAGCAATACTATTTTGTATCTTTTATGATATTGAAAAAAATGGACACTTCTCAATCCCACAGACACAATAAGTGAGCCGAGCTTTGTTAGCTGAAGTGACAGGGGCATGGTATCTCCAAGTTACAACTGGGGCATGTGTTTCTACTTACGGCCAAGTGTGAACGAAGACCCGGAAGTGTTAGAGTCATGTACTTGGCGATATAAGGAAGGGCCAGAGAACTTAGTTACGGGCGTAGCAGGCAACTGAGCTATATTATTTGCACGTGATATAATTAAGGTATAGCTAGTATTGAGGCTCAGTTTTAGGCGAGAAGATATGCAGCAATAAGCAGCCAGGTTATATGAGACCTGCAGGCAATTTATACAGACACAGCAGCCCTTTTGCAGACTTATTTTCTCAAGAAGATGGAAGCAAACGAATTTCATACGTGTCATCTGAAATAATTCATGTATGCGAATTCCTGCTACGCTTGGCTTCTTATCGACATAGAAATGGAGTGCGGCCACTGTTGCCTCGATGTTGCACTATGCTTCGATTACAAATTTTCAGTTACAAATTGACTATGGAGTAACAAAATGGGGATTGGAGCATTGTATGTGCATTTTCTTTGCTAATCACAAAAACTCGTTTCTTGTGCTTGCTTTTGTTATATGTTTTGCCTTCGTTCGCACCACAGGACAGAGTAAGGATGCTGGAAACAGTAAACAAATAATACGGCAATTTGGCAATGCATTAGCACAGCTAGGGGATCACCCTTTGTACATTAAAACCCAAATTATTTTAAAGCTGTCTTACTAGAATATCTAAAGCGCCGTAATCGCTTTTTGTTGAAGGAGTCTTACAACATCACTTGGAAACATTCTCGACATATGAGTTTACACGTTAGTCGCGCCCACCACAGTACCGATGACATTGTAACGTTTAGAAAAAAAGGTGATCCAGTCGTCCAGCACACCTTGCTCCTTGGAGTCCAAGTCTTTCCACTCAGGCTTCACGTCGGCCGGGTTCGTCGATGATTTGGCCAATGCCCGTGACGCGTCGTTACCGGCAAACACTAATGGGTAAACTGTCAGCAAAAAAACAGAAACTATCAATATAAACGACAGGACTGTTTGAGAGAGTAAGGTACCGTGGTAAGATCCACCCGGCTGGTAAGATTTGTTTCCCGTGACATCGTAAACTTTGCCCTGAAGACAATGTGAGCTTTGGGAGGATCCTTGATTGAGCAAGAGCCGGGGCCATCGTCACAGTTTATAAGAACGGTATGAGCGTACCTTGATGGCAACATAACACTTGCCGCCGTCAACACCTGCAGTGTGGTCAGTAGGCCTGGTCTCCTGATAATCCATGGTCCCGACAGCGAAGCTCACCGGTAGCCTGAGACAACTCCTCTAGGGTGATGGGATCATCCTGGGGAGGGTTCAGCTGAACGGAAACCTTGGGCTCAAATTTCTCAGCCATTTTCGTAGGAAGAAGAGACGTGCTGTGCTTAGACAATACAATTAGCATGTGCTTGAACACACCGACCGTTCCGGGGACGGCGAAACCTCGGCAATTACTTGCTGACATCTGTTCCTATGCCAGATGGCCCTTTCTCACCTGAAAAAACCCCGAAAACTATACTGAAAACTTCTTCCGGGGTAACGAATTGAAGGACAGATTCGAATTGTTTGACGTTGAAAACCAAAGTACGGGGAAGTTGAGCCCAGTGGTAAACAGTGGAGTATCAAGGCGGGGGCGAATGAGGTGCTGCGGAAAGAATACACGTAACGACGGCAGGAACGGGATGCCGCTAAGGCCTCAGGCAACAAGTCTGTTTAATGCCGACGAAGCTCCTCATGCCCCACTATTGTCGGCCTCATCTTTCTCGATGAGTCGAGCATTATCTTTTTAGAGCTACATGCCCACCACATAGACGCCATCCTCAGCCAGGTAACATGGCGGCGCAATCGCTCACAGCGGCACGGACGTGCCTCCACATGCGATATGCCGGGCTTGTACGACCACAACCGTTCCCACGACCGCCATGCCGACCCGTCGACCTCCGGACCCTCCATGTGCGAATCTTCCACAGTCACTATCGCGGCCCATTGCGCACAAAGCCGTTGGCGGTGGTAGGATCCGATATGCGGCATGGCCAATTGCGGCGGCAATCTGAATTTGCGAAGGACGAGGCTGCTCCACAGAGACCACTCCCCCCTCCTCCAAAAGGGCGCTTGCTCTTCTTGCGCCTTCTCATGCGGGCAATCTTCACGCCTTTTCGAGGGCAGTCCCTCAAAAATTTGTATCAGAAAAGCCCCGAGGAAACGGTCCTGGCTTTGGCAGTGTGAGTGCTGTTCTACCAGAGGACGGAAGAGAAAAGCGGCCCTGCTTGCGTGAGGTCACCCGTATTGACGTCGTTCCCAGGCTTGTGGCATTCGTGTTCATATTTGCATATATTGCCCGTATCTACTACACATACTTCAACAGTCGGCAATTCACGCGCTACCCACAGCCCGTGGCAAAGTACTTGCGCCGGGCGTTGTACTTTAGCAACTACTCACCCGACCCGAAGCGTGCCCTCAAGAACTACAAGCTGGCGCTGGAGCAGTGCGACGAGCTTGGCCTTGACCCTTTCTCTGACGATGTCATGGGAATTCGCATCCAGCTAGCTTCTTGGTTGGAGAAGGTGCAGAACTATGAGGCAGCGATCAAGATACTGGAGCTGCTTCTGAGTGACTGCAAGCGATGGGTTGAGCAAATGGAGAGAAGTGTCGACACTGGCAGTACTAAAGACAGCGGGAAAATGTCTGCCCGCCTTCCCGCACCACGGGTGCGAGGAACGGCCACAGAAGACGAAGACATGTTGGAGAAGGACCGGCCCTCGGACGTGGAAACGCTTTGGGCCCGACGATCAAGGATTCTGCAAAAGGCAATTGGAATTAGCGTGAAGCTGGGCGAGCTGTATGCAGACGAGCATGTGTTGAACGCTAATATGGCACACGAGCGGCTGGTCTGGGCTGTCGACGCTGCTCTCCAGGAATTTCAGCGGCGTTCGGTTTCGGGTGTCAAGACGGGAGAGGGCGAGTGGATGAGCCCCAAGGAGATGGGTGCTGCACTGGAATGTGAGAATACCAGGCCGTGCATTTCTCCAGGGTTTCAGAAGCTGACCTACCACTTACAGCTTTAGGACACAGCTATGAGTCGCGATCACAGTTTCACCTTGCGCTGCCGCTGTTTTTCCAGGCTCTGCGTCTGTGCAAGGATCCGTGCCACAGTGCCGTTATCAGTATGTGTTTCTTCTCGCAGGCTTCCAAGACGATGCAACAACAGAGCATGGCAGCTGACGAGTCAAAAGTGAACAATTTGGCAATCTCATTTGCGCAGCACCCGTTGCAGCCGCCCTATGATACGTTGGTGGGTTCGGTGGTAGATAAGCCGAGCTCGAAGCCGCCAACGCAGGAAGAGGCGCGAAAGGCGTACTTGGAGACAGCCCAGCGGTGGGCACTTAACGCCCAACAACATGCGGCAGACGCAGCAGGCGAGGAACGGACGCCCGAATGTGACGAAGCCTGCGTGGTATCTCTCTGCAATCTGGGCGACATTGCGGCCATGCTGGGAGATGCCGGAGAGGCTCGGCGTCGGTTTCGGCAGGGCCGGGCCATGAGTGAGAAGCTCCAGTTTGCTGCTGGCGTGGAGCAGGCCGAGGCCGGACTGCGCAGACTTTCATAGGCTATGAAGAGGACACGAAGACACAGAGACACACAACGATGACTGAGGGTGGTACCTTAGTCCCCCCAGTGGAAGCTTCTGCGGCGGATCCGTGTGCTTGACTGACATATACACACACATCGGGGTATATTAGAGGGATGAATAGGGGGGTGACGGCTGTCGGTCGGCCGACATGAAATGCCTGTTGCAGGCATTAAGCCGCAAATCGAAATGAACAAGGTATGTACGAAGGTTCGGAGACGAAGAAAGAGGTTGGCCCTGTCAGGCCCACCCCATTGGAACAGCACAAATGTAGCCGGTCGGCCGGCACGGTCTCCAAGGGTGGTTGTGGGCGTTCCAGCCACTCAGGCCGAGCCTGTCCTATCGGCCGGACAGCCCATGCTGGAAAAGGGGGTGCAGCTGATTGTGTCAGCACAATTCGGATACGGATAGCATCTCGTCGGACGTGCACCGGTCTGTTGGCCCGCCAGCCAGCGGCTGCAAAGACGTGAGCCGGCAGGCAAACTGCTGGGCAGCCATTCGTGGCTTCAGGGACGTGCCACCCATGACAGGGACTGAGTGGTAGCCGGGAGCCGATGCTGGCCGTGTTGTTGTCTAATAAGATGCGACGCACTTTGCATAGGCGAATGCGGGCAAAATAACAAGCAAGCTTCCCGGTTCATCGTTTAACCATATCGAACGGACCGTCTTCAAAACAGGAGAGCAGGTCATCACCACCCACGGCCTCGTCCACGACGATGGCCGTCATTCTCGGCTGAGTGTGATCGGGATGTACAACCCGCCCTTGTTGACCGGATTCGTGGTTTTCGCAGCCACGCTCTCCATGCCGGTAGTTGCAAGGAATTGGGTCACCGTTTCTTGCTACCCTCCACCCACTTCCCCCCCCACACCTTTTCGGACAGGATGATGAAATGAAATGATGATAATGAAAGAATCTTCCAAGGCACTGTTTAAGCGAGCCGTCGCAGAAATGGACCGCAGAAGGAAAGGACCCACAATATCCGGCCGCGACAAAGGGGATAAAAATAATGCTTTGGCCTACTACGACGTATGGTATGTACCGGTCTGCCCATCAGGCGTGCCGTCCCCACGCAGAAAGACAGGCTAGCGAGCATGATCGAGATGTGCTGTCTGCAGCTTTCCGGATAGGACCAGACGATGGCGAGTCCGCCAAGGCCGGCAGGGCTGGGCGGTGGAAATGCCAAGATACTCTTTCGGGAAACACACGTCAAATGCCCCCCCCACGTCCTATTTTCCCGGGCGAGCGGCGAATCGGGTGGCCCGAATGAATGCGAGTGCTTGCAAACATGTCGACCGTCCGCCGCCGTTTCGTGGTGCGCGGCCGCGACTGTGCACCGCTTGGGGGCGGGGAAGGGTAAATGTGGTCCCCCTGTATCCTTCGCCTTACATAGTACGGGAAACGGCCCTTTTTCCGCGTTTTTTTTCCGCGTTTTGTTTTCTTTTCTCTCCTGCGCTTTCGTATTTGTTCTGCCGTCCCTGCCCCTGCCTGTTCGTTCCTCTGCGCCCTTCAGACACGGGCTTCGCCTATGCAAGCTCGGCCCAGTACGGCAAGGCCAGATTTTTCTCATACACGTACATGATTCGTATACGAGTGTTGTAGAAAAAGGGTCGACCTGACCATCCAAGCCCCCTCTCCATCCCTCTTGTGCGCATCCCCCCTGCCTTGGCCGACTTGCTGTAGTATTTCTATCAAACAGCTGAGCACCGGACAGATCTGAGCAAAGCCGAGACACGAGTGGGGTGGTGTGAAAGAGAAAGCCAGCATCGCTTAGGCAGCCTTTGTAGGGAGGCACAAATGTGCGTGTACACACACATACATGTCCACTGCCTCAAACTGCGTCTAGATAAATTGCGTCCATACATGACCGATGACATATACGAGAAAGGACCGGCAGCCCTCTGTCCCACTGGCTGGCTGATCAGGCAATGAAGCGAGCTAAGGCAGAGGTGAAATGGAATAAGCTCGAGGCCCAGATAAACCGGCTTTTCTGTTCGTCCTCTTGACCCGTTGGAGTATTGGTCTGTCACCTTACATATCGACTGCCGCCAGCTTGCTGCCAGCTTGCATAGAGTCGCATCGGACACTTCGCCCGTCTGCCGGATTAGAAGAGGGAAGGGTGCGAAAGAACTGGGGGATTGTCATCTGCCAGCCTGTAGGATGACAGAACGAGTCTGCAGTACTAGTACTTTCCCCGCTGGTCCTTAGGCTTATCTGTTTTCTTTTCCCCGTCGTTTTCTGCGCGGTGTTGTCGTGGGCCTGGATCCTTGCCCGCTGATGCTGACTTTGCCATTGGGAACTCCGTAACCTCCCAACCCAGAAGAAGGTAGAGGCCGAGGGAATGGCAGCAGAGACGCACCAAGACGAGCGCTAATGCCGGCCGCATGCACAGACATGCATTGTCTGCAACCGTGATCCCCACCGGACACCACACGGCTGCACATGGCAACGATATAATTTAAGCATTGTTTAGTGGGGGCCGGTCCTTTCTCGACGCAATTTCACGTCCATCATGCCGAGGCCGGACAGTTTGCGGAACGGTCTCCGCCCTTCCCCGCCTCGAAACGGTGACGCATTCGGGGAAGAAGCCCGTTGCCAGACCGCAAAACCCCGTGCTCGGAGACCTTGTTCTGCCACGCCAAAGTTTTCGAGTAGCGGAGCCGGTCGCGCTGTCCGTGTCCGGAACGGTGTCGGAACGGTGGCGAAACGGAGGCGCCTCAACAAAACAAACGGATATTCCCGTCCAGAGACTCCGTAGACCAAAACAGCACAGCAGAGACAAAGTTCGGAGGAAGGCCAAGACCGTGGAAGATCAGCTGGCCAGCACGCTTTAGCCGGGGCACCATCCAGCGCACAGAGTCTGCATTATCTCTCTGTCTGAAGATCTGGTGTTGTGGCCTTTGTACCCTGTATCCACCCTGTATCCATACAGAGTATTCTCACCGGGGCTGGCAGAACTCATCCAGTCCCACACACCGAAGCTGTCGGCCCTTTAATACAGCTGGGCATACTTCGTATCGCACAGGCAAGACAATACGGACAAAGAACCCGGCCAAAGCGGACATAGCAGACAGAACAATCAGAACCATTAGAATCAGAACATTCAAGACAATCAGGACATTCGTAACGACAGACAACAGGACTATTACGCCGATCGTGACGATCAGGACAGTTGAATCATCATGACTTCTAGCCCCCCTGACCGATTGCCGTGTCGTCGCCTCCCTTTCCTTATTCTGCCGTTATGTCTCTGCGTCATTTGCACTGCTAGACTGCAGTTGGGCGTTCGTATTATAGCTTTCTCTCAGCAGCGAGATGCAGCGAAAGGCATGCACGTCCCTTGGGCACCTGCCCTGTCTTACGCCGTTTATTCCTTCCCTGCCCTGTTGTTGGCTGGCTGGCAGCTGTGCTGGAGTGGAGAATTGAGGGGTATTCTCGTTTCAGCAGCTGAAAAGCTGCCTCCCGGATTGCACTGCCTTCACGTGCCTCGGATCTCTGTACTTTGCTTGGCAGCCAGCTTGCTTCGAGAGCCTTCGTCTCTTCGTCTCTTCGTCTCTTCGTCTCTCCGCCTGGTGGTGGCCCACCGGTCCGTAGCAGGCACACTCAATGACTACAGCGTCACCATCATCTTGATTCAGGCTGGGTGGCGCACCACCCATCAGATGGTTGATGGCCAGATAGAATCTCGATTCGTGGACGATTACGCGACCGTTGGAGATCTACGGCCCTACGTCTACTCGTACGTATCTTACGGCGTATGCCCTGAATTGGAGACGCCCTAGACCAGGTTTCGCCTAAGGTGAGCTGACCCAAAGGTGCAACCAGTGTTTACTCTGCTGGCCACTTTTCTTTTGTTCCCTTCGTTTGTGCTGCTTCTTGATACTATGAGAGCTTGATGTTTCAATGATTGTGGCGCCTGGCCTTAACGTAACGTAGCGAGAAATCGGCCCGGCGCTATTAGTCAATTGGAGTTGGCGGCTTTGCAGCCAGCACCCTCTTCTTTGTCGTCCTGCCTTTTCCCCTCTGGTGGCCATCCCTCCCTTAGGAAACGGCCTCGAACTGGCGCACTAACCTATGTAAGAAGAGCTCAACAGCAGGTGTCAGGATCACTGTTTGACGTCATAGCGTCGGATTGCTTGCATCGACGCTGTTCGAATTCTTCATGCACCAGTGCACTACCGCATGTTTTCGTCAGTGACACTCGGTTCGTATTTCTACAGCGGCCCAGAGCGATTGAGTCAAGACTACTCCGTAACCCGTTCCTTCCCTGCGCGGGTGAGACCTGCCGCATTCCAGCGTCGAGGCTTTCCGCATTCGCATCTGTTCTTATACGCCTACGCTCTGCCCATTCCGCTTACGGGGGTCATTTGTGGAATGTGACCTCAGGATTGTGTCGTCTCATCCGTTTTTGTCTCGCGGTAATATGGCCCACCGTCTCCAGTCGCCCAGCAGTGGCCTCCCCACGAAGTTTTGCATCTGTCGAGCGGGCTTCAAGCCGCTCCTTTCACTCGATACAGTGCATTTGGTTGAGGTGTCGGGACAAGCGTCCGCTTCTTTTCCTCCCTTTGGTCTCCGCCTAGCTCATTGGCCGCCGCCCTCCAATTTCGTGCTTCTAGGCGTCCAAGGTACCTCTAGTGGGCCTGGTACTTCGTCAGCTCCGTACTGCTAGGGCCATGAGCCTCAGGCTAGTTTAGTCAAGATACGCACATAGCGTACTTATCGCCACCCCTCGCCTCCCCATATTCGCACGCCACACACCCAACCCTTCTCCACACCATCTTGAGCTTGCTTTCCCACACAGTAAAGCCGGGCAAGGGAAAACCCCTACTATGTGCAGCAGCACCAGGAGCGATCATACAGGTAGTATCGGCTGTCCACACAAATGCAGCTCCTGCCCAAGCAGCCGGGTAATAAGTGAAAGGAAAAAAGAAAGGAAAGGACTAGAGCTCTAGTCCCAAGTTGGAAAGGATGTCTTTTTAGCGCTTCGTACTTCTGTCGTACGTTCCAAACCTTCGAGATTCTTTAATATGTCCCCCTCCTCCTATCTTTCTTCTTTTCTTCTTCCAGCTTTTATCTGCTCTCCAGTTTACGCTCACGGCATTCTTCGCAGTCCAACACTCGGTCTAGAAACTGTCTACCACTGCTGTCTGGGACCTCGGTCTTCACAGTTTTATATGCTGTATTTATAACTTTGATCCCCCCCCCCCCCCCCTCCCTCGCCCAAAAGTATTTCTGCGCTCGAGCACTGTTTTCCTTTCCACTCTCCCATTGAATTTTTATTTTCGTCGTCAAACCCTGCCCTGATCAGTTTCCACTCTTTGACACCGAATCCTCATATATCTTGGTCGCGCTCAACAGTCAAACTCTTTCATTTCCTTGGCTGCTCACTCAACACACTGTCGTACCCATGATACCCGCTGCAACCTTTTCGCACACGGACGCCATCATGGACATGCAACAAAACGTCGACGGCATCTCGCCCAATCAATCTGATTTCTTTATTGGTTCTGTTGAGACCGAACCGTACAGCGACCCGAACGTTTATATGGACGCTGCCAATGTCTCGCCGTCGCAAAGCTCTGACACTCCTGTAAGTGCTTGCCCACAACGCAACCGATCAATAGTGTTGTCGAATGCTGACTTTCGATAACAGTATCAAAACAGTCATCCGTTCTTCCAAGACTACATCGCTTCGGACGTCTACCCTAGCCCGGAGATCGAAGCAGAGTCGCCCATGTCTGAGATCTATCAGCAGCACCTCGTTGAGCATGAGCAAGTCATGTCTATCCCTCGCGTGAAGGAAGAGCCAGGGCAGCCTCTGGCTGGCTCAATGGTCCGTGCTACGCCGTCGACCGCATGTGCTTCCGAGAAAGCCACCACGCCGGCAGCCAAGCCGCCTGCCAAGCGCAAGCGGGAAAATCGGTATAAAAATGCGCCCCAGTCTGTGTTGATTCGCAGACGGGCCCAAAACCGCGCTTCTCAGCGAGCTTACCGCGAACGCAAGGATCAACGTATTAAGGATCTTGAACAATTGTTGGAGGAGTCTCAGTTCAAAAGCAACCAGCTAAGCATGCTATTGCAAACGTCTCATGCCGAGGTCCTCAAACTCAAAATGCACGCGGCCGCGGTATCGAAAGCTGCTTCCGATCTCAACCCTGTGCATATCCAGACGCATATTCAGACGCAACACCCGCAGCATCACCAGCACCAGCAACAGCTCCAACAATACCAACAATTCCAGCAGCAGCAGCAGCAGCAGCAGCAGCAGCAACAGCAGCACCTACAGATGCAGCCGCACCCGCACCACCACAGACATAGTTCGTCGGCTGCATCGCATGTATCCCACATATCACAGCTCTCTGTCGCTTCCACGATGTCGACAGCGACGTCGGCTTCAAGTGCTCCAACTCCGATCACAGCTACGTCTGTTGTGGCGGGCTTTGACCCTGCCGCAGCAAGTACAATGACGGTAGCAGCGCACCCAGATGACATAGATTCGATGTACATCTACGCGCAAATGGGGTCGTCATACGATATTTGAGATGAAGCAACCACCAATTTTTTTGGCCACCCGACAGACCGACTAAACCCATCTACTATGATGGAGCGGAGATGCCCTTTTTAGGGGGATAGTTATGGGATGGATGTTATTGCTCAGGAGTACGATACTATCCGTTTAAAGGATATTTGGACGAGGGTGGCGTTTTATGGCGAAGGTAGACTGGAAAGGCTTAGGGTTATGCCTCCGTCCCTTCTTTTTATTGATCTTGACGGCGGGAGGGTAAAACATGCCTCGATCATTTTCTTACACAAAATATTCTTCCCTACAAATAAACTTTTCAATGCAAAAGTTTCACACCAGAAAATGCCAGACCGTACAACGACCAAGTATCATTTCGTGGGAATCTTTGACTACGAACGTGCGAACTGCCGTCACTTCTACAAGCTCGCGGACGAACAGTTTTAAGTCGCCTATACGAGCAGAACCGGTTAATGCCCTAGCGCATTTTCCTCGCTTGTCGCTACAATGGACGCTGCAAAATTGATTAGATTAGTTGAGCGTAATTATGTATGTACCTGGAGCTTTGAGAGCTCCAGGCATTGCAGGACTTTTCCATGGCAATGCTTCAATTGCATGAAAGAGAATGGCCGCTGTCCAATTCGATGCCACATCAATTTTGTAACCTGTGTCAGATTACAGAGCATCCATGCGAGAGATGGTTTCTTGTACCGAAGTTAACTGGGCTTTCAGGGTCCCTTGTATCGCTGATCACACTGTGAGGATGTCGAAAGTCCGCACAGACTGAAAGAGTTATGATAGAAAAGAAAAGCCAGAGCAACGAGTGCAGTAAAAGATGCGACAACGGTTGCAGCAATGTGGTCGAAAGGCGTCCCACCTTTACAAACAGGCCCTTCTCGACCTGCTGCTTAATGAGGTCATTGCCAGCATACTTGAAGATACGGAGTACGCTATCGCGTATTGTACACCCCCACCCCCCCTTCCACACCCTACCTTGTACTCGTACAAGGATGAGAGGTCCAGGCCCGCCCAGCCTTGGGGGGGGGGGGGGGGGGGGGGGGTGGTGGCGGGGTACCACCTTCTTGTTTCCAGAGTTTCTTACGCGCTGTCGTATTGGTTATCTTTGTTGGCCGTCGCCCTGTCCACTGGCGATTTTTCTTCTTTTCTTTCGGGGTTTCCTTTCTTTTTTTTTCTTTTTCTTTGATCTGTGTGCCTCAGCAGCTAATATTCTTGACTCCCACTTTCTTTGCCTCCTTTGCTTAGTTCCCACATCTCGTAATGGCGTCCTTGTTGGCCGCAAAGATCGCCGCTAATGCCGCTAACGCCGCTTTTTCTTTGTTTTACGGTCTGTGCTGTGAGACAGCCCGTCAGAAATGTCAAAGACTGGGGTGTCTCGCTACCCTGCGTCTCCCCTGTGATTCCCGCCCATTATTCCAGTTTCGTCCAGTTGTGCTCCGTATCTTACAGATGCTTCCGCTTCTCGCAGCATTCTCGGTGCACTACCGCCTGGCCGTGTCTTGCATGTTGCAGACACTGGGTCGTTGGGAGCGACGAAAGCTTCGAAAGCTGAAGACGCGAGATTGCGAGCACTCATGTGTATTTTAGCCAGAGCACGCCATTTCCGCAGTCGCCTGAACCAATCGAAGGAAAGAAAAGGAACGGCCTGATCTTCTAACGAGCGGTAACCACCTGTCGGCTGCAGCTCCAGATCAAGGGATGTGCATGTCCATCGGCCATTGTGACTGAGAACTGACGATGCGATGTCGCATTCTGTCCTGTTTCAGTAACGTCTGCCTGCCACAATGGCCCTCCGACCAACGAGAAATGTGGCCACGGCATTTTGTGCAAGCTTCGTCCTCTGACATCCCATTGATTGAATACAGAGGAGAGGCCACACGGCAACAAAAGAGGGGCAATCGGACTAAGGAAGCAAGGGCGAGCGCTCTGCTTTCGGATCTACTACGGAGTATTCGACGGGCTCACGGCTATCCAGGTGATGGTCCATTTCGGAGCCGCCAGCCATGCTATCAGCTTTGCTGCCTGCCGTCTGCACGGATCCGTGAAGCTGAGCAGGCCAGACTTCAATCGAGCCTCGCTCCAAAACGCAGAGGGACAAATGCCGAGCCAACCACCATTTTTTATTCATCTCTCTCTCGCTGCCCCCTTTCTCCCCAGTTCAGCTTCGCCAACACCCTCTTTCTCTTGTCCGCACACCATCTCCCCTTGTGCCTGTTGACCAGTGTCGCGCCAGTGCGCAACGTACATATCACTGGTCTGACGATAGGAACCCGGTCAGCTTCCCCGGTTCTGGCTTGCGATTGTACCACGCTAAGAAAGCGACAACGGGTGATCCTCCTGCAGCAGAGACCGATTCAAATCCATCCGGTCTCCACATTTCTCCAATCTATTCAATGTGTTCCTTCTATTTTCTTGGTTACCAGGCGCCGGCTCGTGGACGCCGGTTCGTCACAAAGGAGCCACCAGAGCTTAGCAGCTTAGCTACCTTTTAAAGCATCCGACACTGGTGTGCCGCCCACTGTTTTCTTCCCCCGGGCATGCCTCGGAAAGCCGCCCAGATGACCATCCGGACAGTCCGAGTAGCAAACAATGGCACACCGATATCTGCCCGCAAAGTCCTCCAGGGAAGGAGCATCAAGATGGAGCCAGGATGTCCCTCCGCATTTCGTTAGCACCCTTGACAGGTACTTATCACAAGCAACTGATTTATGCTCTGCGCGTATGAGTACAACAGAGTGCTAGCATCCAGTCGGCCTCTTTGATAAGGGATGCCCATAAGGTCGGAATCACATCAAAGCTGCTGTTGGTCAGAGGTCGTGTAGCAGGCGTCACACCCTCTTGCGATGGGAGACCCAGAACGTCGGATCCGCACTCCAACAAATGTTGGTCAGACTTGTGGCAAGATTATCAGGCACATTTAGCATACGAGTATGCGGGATAAGATCTCACATACAATACAGGGGCACGTATTCGACATCTTCCGGCATTTTTTTGGCACAACGCACGCCAAATACGTATGCACTGTATCTAATTATGATTATCATGTGAGAAGGAATAAACGGGGCAAACACCCTCTGGCAGTACTTCAAGATATTAGGATGCAAGCTGTATGAGCTGTCCTCGGCGCGAGAGTGCAACTAAAAAGAGGCGGACTGTAGCTGAACTATCATATGCTAGGATAATCACCTGTTGCTTGCAAATGATAACCAACCGTAAAACCTAGCCTCAACTGGCCGACCAACAGCCGGTATCTTATAGCTAAGCATACATAGTTAGCTTTCAGATATAGATTAGCCATATAGATTGACCAATAACGATGCTCTAACAGAGCTTTTTGCTCCGGCAGTTGACCTAGACTGCTTAGGTCTTTGTTGGTCAGCCTTTGCAATCTTTGAAACAAGGTATTGATATGGAATGCGGGAAGTCCGGTTCCATCAGCCGCTCTTATATATATATATATAATTGCACTAGCCTGGATCTGGCCTGTCCGCAGACTTGGTGCGATGATCGACTGGTGCCGGACTGGTCTGTTCGTGCTGGCGGTGGGAGCAAGGTCGTATACCGGAAACGTATTAGAGGTGTGCGTAACGGCTGCATTCGAATTTGTTTTCAAGCATAGTCAGGCTATTTCTCAACATGCGATCAGCATAATGAGAATTGGCCTTTTTTCAGTACATTCAGAGGCACGACTGTGTTTTAACAGCACAAACGTACTTTGTCGATGACATTGATGAGAGACGCTGAATTTTCAACCTAGGTACAGTTATATTGTGTGAAGAGCTGCATGGACTTTCTCTCTTACAGCTGCACTTTGGTACGACGACGTCCAAAGTTGTTATTGAATGGTCTATTTTATGAGTAAGGGAGAACCCCTCGAACGGTTCTTTGAACACTCCCGAGACAGCACTCGGTCAGTTTTTCATCATAAAGCCCTCAGTCATGGCTCTGGCAATTGTTTTATAAACGTTTTAACGATATCTCATCCACAGCTCATCGCAATGAGGACAGTCATACCCGAATTGGATGAGATCAGCCTCCAGCGGATTGACTTGAAAACGCATTGCCAATTATGTCAATATTCGCGATCAGAGCACAACGTATTTTAGTATGATAGCAATTGCAAAGCTGGGGCTGGTTTTAGAACAGTAGGCTATCCAATAGTGTCATCAATCAGTACCTCTCATTAGCCTCTTACTTAAGTTGACGATTTTCGCCCGTTTGGGGATTAACCCTTAGCAGAGCAGCCCCCCCCCCCCCTCTCTCGATTCAATCTCTACTTCAAAAAGAGAAAGGGCAATTGACAATACGACACAAGCAGCTTGTCTTCTGCAAAAAAGGGTTACATAGAAGGTTTTACTTTGAAGCGCCAATTTGCGCGCTTAACGCCAGTAAGGATTATAGATTGAACACCGAATCCAATGCCACAAGTACCGAGAGAAGCTATTGTTATATTCTGCGTGGCAAAGACTATGACTCTGAACTCAAATATGGCTCTGTTACCTCTAGCAGCCGAACATGCCAAAATCACACGAGATATGTCTTTGGTTCTGTATCCATAAGATGCTAGCTTAGATGCACTGATAACCTAGACATACATTTAAAAAAGCGGCTGGTAGCTAGGTCTTCAATGCTATTTTTGTGACTAAGGAAGTATACTAGGAACTGTGCTCCGACATGTCATTAGGGATATTGCCTTCCGAGAATAGTTCGTCAATTTCGCCAATCTTATTCCGAACATTGGACGAGCGGGTGTGACAAGTTGGCCCTGTGCAATATGACCCAAATCGGATCGACTGGCATGGCTATTCCTAGCCGAAAAGGAAACACGAAGACTTGCTAGCCACATTTCTTCTACATGTTGTCTGACTTCTATAGTGGCCGCCCTGTTCTGGGACGTTTAATGTTGGGAATGCTAAAATTATTGTTTTAACAATATATCTTCTTGTGTCAGATCTGGAGCGTGGGTCTCTCCGAGCTTGTGATGCTTATTGGGAGTGGGCCCAGTGCTTCTGGGGGTGTTCTATTCGCGATTATCTCGGACTGCCTCAAGCTGCTAGTATGTATTCTCGTCGGCAAGGGAAAAGAACCCGACCAAAGTTGCAATATGTTTTATACTGCTACAGGACCATGCTTCCGAGGCTGCTGCACATAGTGTGATCGATAAGACAACAGATAGAAACATGCGGCTCTCACTGGTATCACCAATCATTGCAATTTTCGGAGTCGTACTGAAGTCTGTATTCTCTATGACACCGTCAGCGCAAGCAAGCTGACCCAGAGAAGAATACACATATTCCATTCGCATTCTTATTACAACAGCACGATTCTTATGGCAGTACCATATTGTCCTGAAAGGCAAGCATAGCAGGTCCATATTGTCTGTCGATGAAGCCGCTTGCAATTGCTGTGCCACTGACCATCTCTCCCGGCTACGACAAGCTCTGGCCCTGCTGTACATAGCGCTTCGTTTCAGGTGGACTTTTGGGTTCGTGGAACTGAAATCGATTGTGTTTGTCGTTTTGGTCATATCTGTTTTTGCTGCGGTTCTGGCCTCGTCGGCCTCGACCTGAGCGCTTTATTTTAGACCCACATCGTCAGACACTGGCGGCCACCAAAAATGCCCAGGCGACACAGTCTGTCTTTCTGGCTCTGTCCGTTTCCCAAATGAGCACTTCTCTGCTACCGGCGTCCTTCTCGGCTGCGTGAGTGCCACGCGTCACGCCCGATGGTCGGTATTAACATACCTACGCGGCCTTAAATCATCGCGCTGACGCCATGCAAGGGCGACGTGGAGAGAGAACGGGACGGACTGCGCATGTGTGACAGCTGGTTATTCGCACGATTTCTCTCGATTCTGCGGCAAAGCTGCTACTTTGACAAAACATCAAATTTTTGCGTCTGCTGCTCTTTGCTCCCACTCCGAGTCGGTCGTGACTGCCTGCTGCCTGCCTGTCTGCAAGTTGTGCGACCTGCCAATTCGCATACCAGTCTCTAGCTATTACGCACGTGTCTGGGCCTTCTTCAATCAGACCAGAGGAGTGATTAGGGAGCTGACATTCGGAGGAAGGAGTCTCTCTTCTGGGCTAGTCCTGTCTTGGTATGCACTGCGCTTTCCTCAACTTGTGTTGGTGCTTCATGGGCGGCCCGAGTCCATTTTGGCTGACATGCAAGGACTTGAGACTTTCCACTCTTATGTGACTGTAACGCTGCACTCAATTTTCTTACCACGGCTTTTCTATTCATCCCGCGAACTCGAGCCCGGAGAATTTTCAAGGACGGCCAAGGACCGTATGCTGGTGGATACGTCAAAGCATATTGTCTGTTCAAATGTACGCCACTTCACTTCGGCAAGGGAAGTACTCTGAACTCAAGATGGACGCCTTCTGGCATCCTCCCTTCAGCGCCACACAGCTTGGTCTAGATCCTTTGCTGCAACTCTGGAAATTTAATATTGACTAGCCTGAAGTTTACGTTGTATGCCACCGGATGTGGCATCCAGCCGTTAGAGCCTAAGTACTGTTCCTGACCCAAGCATGGCCTTAGCGCTGTGCACTGGCATGATCTTACTTTCGTCATGCATTCCCAACTGGGAAGGTCGAAAAAACTACGGGCTGATTGGAGCCGCATTCATGTGAGCTGCGACGTGCATGGAACGAAATCGGGTATGGAGTAGACGCTTTACGCGTCATTTATCATTTACGTGGACGCAACTTCATTCCAAGCCGTTTCCTAGCCTATCACAACTACTTCCACATCTCCGACCATGCACGAGTGTCCTCAAGCATACACACCATGCTGATGGCCTGCGAATCATATTCTGTCAGCCGAAATTACATCTGATCTAGACAAGTGTTCTAGGCAAGCATTTCAAAATCTTACCTGCCGCTAAGGCCTAATCTTACTAGCAGAGACTGATACATTGAGGCCATCCATCTTCGGAGTCATGGCGAGGCGTGCCGGCTTTCATCCCTCATCTCCCTCCCTTCCATGGTTGTGACCTGCTATAAGTGGTCTATGCGTCCAGACCTCCCTTCCGCTCTCCGTGCCGTTCTCATGCCTCTCTCACAGAGGCCGGCACTATTTATACAGATGGATCTCCCTTTGCGAGGAAAAATGTGTCCTCTCTTTCTTCTACAAGCCAAATCTGATTCGACACCGTTGCGGCTTGCACTCTTTCGCCGCCATAGAGCAGTTATCTGTTCGTCCTTTCTTTCAAACTCATATGTGGCCGTAGTTCTCGCCACTTGCCCTCCTTATCCACTCGTTAAAACTTTCTTTGATTTTCTTATTCTTTATTTCAAACCATGGCTCACTTGTTTCTTCGCCTGGCTACCACTGCCGCCATGGCACTCTCGCTCACTGCTCCTGTCCGTTCCACAAGCCAGTATGTTCTGGACAAGCAGTATGACCACACCAACTTCTTTGACGAGTTTGATTTCATCAACTCGGACGATCCGAGCAACGGCTACGTCGACTACCAAAGCCAGTCGGAAGCGCTGACCAGTGGCCTTGCTAAAATCACATCCGACAACACTATCATACTTGCGGCAGACTCTTCCCTTGTGCCAGACGACAGTGCTCGGGGCCGGAAGTCGGTCAGAGTTGAGGGCTCGTACAGCTTCACTCACGGCCTCATCGTTGCCGACTTTGCGCACTTGCCTGCATTAAAATGTGGCCTTTGGCCAGCCTTGTATGTGGCTCGTTGCTTGTGATCTAGGATTACATTTGCTTTCGACCAACTAATAGGTGCCAGCTGGATGTATGGCGAGCCCTGGCCAACTCGGGGTGAACTGGACGTGTACGAGGTCTACAACCTCGAACAGACCAACGTCATCTCGCTACACACCGACCACGCCGGAACAGTAGGGACTTGCGACCTGGTTCAGGCGAACATGACGGGTACTATCACAACCGCCAACTGCGACAACTACTAATCGAGCGGCACTGAACAGTACCTTGGATAGGGATGTGGGGTGGCGGAGGACGACGACCCCGAGAACCCGTTCAGCGTCAGCGGTGACAATGATGGCGGCATCTATGCGGCCGAGTGGACTGAGGAGTACATCAAGGTGTGGAGCTGGAAGCACGGCGATGAGCCGGCCGATCTCAAGACTGACCACCCCAACCCATCAACCTGGGGCACACCTCGGTCGTACGTGGGGACGCCCAACTGTGACATGAACAACGTCATTTCCGAGCAGCACCTAGTTCTCAATCTTGACTTCTGTGGCGATGGCGCTGGCAACAATTTTGAGGCCTGTTCGGCTCTGAATCCTGATTATGCCGCAACGCCGGCTGGATGCGCCAGCTATGTGCAGAGCCACCCATCGCAGTTTGTCGATGCTTACTTTGAGGTCTCTTCCATCAAGATCTACGGGGAGAAGACTATAGTGTCTGCGGCCACCACGTCGTCGAACTTTTCCACCGTAACGTCTTCGAGCTACCTACGAAGGCGACCTCGAGCTCGTCTACGGCAAAGTCATCGAGCCCTACTGTGACATTTTTTAACCCTATTCAGGCTTCCCTGAACACCACCACGGCGAGCACTTCAGGCCTCAAGGCGACCTCCACTAATGCGACCTCTCTAAACTCGACCTTGTCAGCCACACTGAGCTCTACCACAGCAAAGACCACACCGAGCTACGCCATGACGAACTCTACTGCGGCCCTCACGGCAGGTGCTGTTGCGGCCGTTTCTGTGGACCCCTCGAGTGCTGTCAGCGCCGACGAAATTACAATGTACTCCACCGTTGTTTCCACCATCTACTCTTGTGCTCCGACCATCACGGACTGCCCATATGGCAAGGTGACGACTATGGTAGTCGCTGTGGCGCCGTCATCGACCAGTTCGGTTGCTACCAGCTACAGCACAAGCATTTTTTACTCTACGGCCGTGTCGACGATCTACAGCTGTGCACCAACCATCACAGATTGTCCGTACGGAAAGGTGACGACTATGGTCTATGCCGTGACCACGACGGTGTGCCCAGTGACAGAAACTCTGGGTGCGAGCATCCCGAGCATCACAAGCGTTGCCAGCCCCGCGGTGACTACCCAAAAGGCTGCCACTACTATTGAGTGCTCCGATGCATCGATCGTTACCGAGATCGAGACCAGGACCAAGCCGGAAACATCAGCTGGGTCTAGGGTTGTGATCGCTGTCGTGACTGCTGTCGTCGTGCCCGCCTCGTCTTCACCTGTCTCGACCGCTGCCCTTTACGCCTTTACTAACTCAACCAATGCTTATGCCTCTGCCTCTGCCTCTGCTTCTGGAGCAGTTTTCGTCTACGGGACTGGCTCTGGTCCTGCTTCTACAGTCGTCTTAGCCCCTGTCGTCGACCATGCCATCAGCTCTGCCAATGTTTTCAGTTCTATACCCATTGCTACTAGTGGCTATGTAGCTCCTTCGACCCCTTCAACCACTTCGATCACGACAGCCGTTGTTACTGCAGGCGCCGCGTCGTCGGGTGCCAGTATGCTACTGCTGGCTGCTGCCGGACTCTGTGTCATATTGTTGATCTGATTTAGAAGCGCGCGGGCCAGGTGTCTTCATTGGGGAGGTTTTCTTGCAATACCGGGATTCCTGTGTTTATTACGAGTCCCCTACAGTTGTCATTCTTGGGCATTGTTTATAGCACCGTCTAGTTAACAAAGGATGTCTTGCTTGGTGCTATGAAATTCACACTAATAGACGGTAAGTGCAAATGAGCGATTTAGCGCTTTGTCCTGGTAAGAAGCGCTACTAGTGAGGGCTGATTAAGCGCCTCAGAGGGCTTTATCGCCGATGATTGACAATGACCAGGCCTTTGAACCTGTCAACACTGAATATCGCAGCACGCACACCACACAGCATGCTCTTTTTGCGAAGAGCAGGCGCGCATGTGAGCGCATTATCGAGAAGTACTAGGGCCATGTATTTTCGGACTTCTGGGCTCGCTACCGGCCTGTCGCGAGCCGATCTGTTCCAGAAGTCTTCCGGGGCACTTCGGCCACAGCTCGAGGCGCCGGCTGCTCTGGCCAGACGACGGCCGTTTGTCAGCGCATCACCAAGAGGGTACAACTACGAGCCCAACGACCAACGGCAGGGACGGCGGCAGGTATACAAGGCGGTACCGGTGATGCCGCAAGAGATGCCGCCACGGTCCAGCTTCAACAGCAACGGCCAGGGATATTCCGGGGGCTCGCCTCCACGACGGCGGTCATTTTTGTGGCGGACAATTCACAGCACGAGCATGCGGGCGGTGATGGTGGTGGCCATGGTGGGCGCGCTGGGGGTGTACTTTACGCACCTGGAGGTGGTGCCAGTGTCGGGACGGCGACGGTTCAACTGCTTCGGCGAGGACTCGATGCGGCTGTTGGGCGAGATCCAGTACGAGGCGCTGATGGAGGAGGCGCGCGAGCAGGGCCAGCGCTTCTTGCCAGACTATGACCCGCGCGCCGTCGTTGTGCGGCACGTCATGCGGCGGTTGATCCCCGTCAGCGGCATGTCGGACGGCGAGGGCGAATGGGAGATCCGCGTGATCGACGATGCCCGGATGGCCAACGCCTTTGTCCTGCCGGGCGGCAAGGTCTTTGTCTTTAGCGGCATCTTTGCCATTGCGCGCTCCGAGGACGCGCTGGCGGCCGTGCTCGGCCACGAACTCGCCCACAACCTGGCCAATCACCACGGCGAGCGGGCGTCTTCGGCCATCGGCACGACTATCCTGCTGACCAGCGCCTTTCTGCTCACTGCTGGCTTGGCCTACTTTGTCCTCCGTCCGGTCGTCGACCTGGTCTTTAACTCGCCCATGAGCCGGCTGCAGGAGAGCGAGGCCGACTACATCGGACTCATGCTCATGGCTGAGGCCTGCTATGATCCGGCCCAGGCGGCCGACTTCTGGCGCCGCATGGACTTGGCCCAGAAGACGGACACGCCCGAGTGGACTAGCACCCACCCTTCAGTAGGTTTTTTGGAGAATTGTTTTGTTTACTTTCCGCTTCTTCTTTGTCCTTTTCTTTCTCTTCCCTCGTGCATTTCTTTTATACCTACTTACACTACAGAACCAACACCGACTCCAAAAAATACAAGAGTGGCTGCCAGAAGCCTTGGAAAAGAGAAGCCAGAGTGCCTGCGACGGTACTCAGGGCTTCGCCGAGAAGTTTAAGCGGGCCATGCGGCAAGGCGTCATACTTGTGGCTTAAGCGCGCCCTGACTCATGCATGTCGCCGTAAGCATCGAGGGTGTTGCTGTGGGCGACCGGAGTAAACGGAGTAGATGATGTAGACTTGACTTGATTTGTCAGACACAGCTGTTATGAAAGACTTCAAAATGGTGATCTGTACATTGTACAACATATTTTTAAGTCAGCATACCTACTGTCTCGACGACATGACGCCCACGACTTAGCAGGCCAAAGGCATCGTAGCCCATGTATGGCTAGTCGTCGGCATCGGCACCATTATCGAGATGCTGAATCTGGCGCTTTGTCTCCATGCTGACCGATGCGGATGGCCGCGTTGTCGAGGATACCGTTTCGTCTACGCTGCCTACGGGGAGGAATAGCTAACTATTTGTTTGATCTGGTTTGCCTGGACAGGCCTTCGGCTGTCATTTGTGAACATCTAATGCTGTCTTGCTTATAAAAAACATATCTACTAATGAAATACACTATAATTTCGCATTGGCGTGCCCAGTCTGTCGGAGTGGCCGGGGGTGATGGCCTGCAAGCTTCAGACCTGTGATGTCTTCGAGTGCATCCACTGCCTCATAGGCACGACCTAGATGCACCTTTATGGTGCGGAACCCATGCTGCTTGGCCGCCCTGAGATTCTCCCCAATGTCGTCGAGAAAGACAACGTCCTCCGCTGCAACGCCGTCCTTCCACCCGTTGGCCTTTCCCGAAGGCGATTCGGCATTCGCGCGCGCATACCGGTCCACTTCGCGCAGGGCCAGCCGATACATTTTCGGCTCAGGCTTGCGCAGCCCAACATGAGCCGAGGACACGAATACGTCAAAGACTGCGCGCAGCGGGTGCGCGAAGAAGTCCTCACAGTGGAGGCTGTGGCCCGGCGGAAATATCACTGTGTTGCTTAGAGCTGCCAGGATGTAGCGGCCGCTCGCCTTGAGCGCCTTGATGGCCGGAAATATCCACGGGTCTGGGACGTCGGCCGAGGCCATCATCTCGCCAAACAGGCGCTCGCCAGCCACTTCCGGCACGGGTGGCACCTGCTCTGGCAGCTCGTTGATCGTGCCCCGGCTGCGCTCCTGTGCAGCCTTGTAGAACGCCTCCCATCGGTCCGGGTCACGCAGGTCTTTGGTGAAGCCGGTGAAAAAGCGGTCGTCCATCGGGATGCTTCCACGCTCCAGACGATGCCAGAAGCCGTTTGGCGCCGTTCTGGATATGGAATAGTTTACCCAGCCGGGCGGAATGCCCAGGCCGAGCTCATAGTCGAGGATGGCTTGGAACGGGGACGATACCTGCAGAAGATACCTCGTTTAGTGTACCTTTCCCTTTAGAACACGAGTTTTGCCACCTACACAGACGCCACCAATGTCAAAGAGTATCACTTTCGGCTGTTTATCCGCCATTTTGAAAGCTCAGACCTCTGCATCTCCTAATAACTGTTGACTATAGTAATATAAGATACAACGATATAGGAATTTCATGCTAGCTGTTGCATTCCATTTCCAAGCTTACCAACCCCTCTCACTCCTATAAGACCTCGGCACGCGTTCACGTCGCGGTGGCTAGTACGGAGTGACTGAACTAATCACGTGACCTAGCACACGTGTGAGCTGCGCCACAACGCCACGGCCTTTGCCTCGTCCCCGACCATTCTGCAAAATTTTAGGGTTCGACGTGGGGTGGATCGCAAATTTGTGCGCGAGGTGGGCACTAATGGTTTTTATCGGCCACCCGTCTGGCATCTTTTTTTCACTTGATCTCGTCAACCAACCACCGACATCAACAACCTTGCAGTCCATCACCCGAGCAAGCCGTCAAGATGGTAAGTTGAAAGACAAACCAACGGCGCTACACTGGCTGTAGCTGTCCTGAGGGCTCCCAAACGAGGAGAAACAAGAATGTGCAAGAGCCGATATACGAGGGGAGAATGAGAGTCAATGCAAGATGCTTCGGAAGGAAAAAGGAGGGCCAATCTCTGAAGCGATAATTGCTGACTCGTGGGTTTTTGCTTCGTAGCCTTTCCACAAGCTCGTCAAGAACAGCGCGTACTACAGGTGAGTTGGACAGAGACATCCGCTGCTATGTCGTTGTCCTCCCCTCGGCCATTGCTAATGATTTTCTTCACAGCCGCTTCCAGACGAAGTACAAGCGTCGCCAGCAGGGCAAGACCGACTACTACGCCCGTAAGCGCCTCATCAACCAGGCCAAGAACAAGTACAATGCGCCCAAGTACCGCCTGGTCGTCCGGTTCACCAACCGCGACATCATCCTCCAGATCGTGACGTCCGAGATCACCGGCGACAAGGTCTTCGCCGCGGCCTACTCCCACGAGCTGCGCGCTTACGGCATTGAGCACGGCCTGACCAACTGGGCTGCTGCCTATGCCACCGGTCTGCTGATCGCCCGCCGTGTGCTTAAGAAGCTCGGCCTCGACGAGACCTTCAAGGGTGTCGAGGAGCCTGATGGCGAGTACACTCTGACCGAGGCCGCTGAGGGCGAGGATGGCGAGGAGCGCCGTCCGTTCAAGGCCTTCCTCGATGTCGGCCTGAACCGTACCTCCACCGGTGCCCGTGTCTTTGGTGCCCTGAAGGGTGCCTCTGACGGTGGTATCTTGGTTCCCCACTCCGAGAACCGCTTCCCCGGCTTCGATGTTGAGGCCAAGGAGCTGGACGCTGAGACCCTGAAGAAGTACATCTACGGCGGCCACGTCGGCGAGTACATGGAGCTGCTCGAGGACGAGGACGAGGAGCGCTACAAGGGCCAGTTCGAGCAGTACACCGAGGACGACGTCACTGCCGAGGAGCTGGAGGAGGTCTACACCAAGGCACACGAGGCCATCCGCAAGGACCCCTTTGTCAAGTACAGCAGCGATGCACCGAAGAAGACCAAGGAGGAGTGGAAGAAGGAGTCGCTCAAGTACAAGACGAAGAAGCTGACCTACGAGGAGAAGAAGGCGCGGGTCCAGGCCAAGATTGCCGAGCTGGTCGTGTAATCTGGTGGTGTTTTCTGCAAATTTTAAAAGGACGTCTTGCTGTCTTGCTATTTTCCGGCCCAGGTAGATTGGCCTGGTGGTTTAAAAGGTTGCGAGGACAAAATAAAAAAATCCTAAAATTATCCCACGATTGCTCTGTAAGCGCTGACTACGCGAAAGTGGAACATCGTCGGACAAGATGGAAATGAAGGAGGTGGATTTAGCCCAGCATCTGTTGACAGATGAGGAGTCAAATTGCCCGCTTAAAGCCAATCTCCGGCGTGGGTGTATTATTAACGTCTCCTCACAACGGGACGGGATCTTCCTAGAGCCGCGCGCATTCTTCGTGGACCGATCGTGTTTGACTGAATGACTGATCTCATGAGCTCGGTCTTAGGCTCGCGAGTGCAGTTTCAGGCTCGAGATCCAGATGCAGGCGTCAGTCGCCGTGATGCGGCACGTGGCTGCAGCAGTTCTTTTTTCGGGCTGCAAAACAAGGAAATGCACACCAAATGCACACCAAATGCCAAAAACTTACGACATTCCAGGCCTGCTGTCACTGCAATCAGACCCTGAGGTATAGAAAAATTGTAACTGGTGGGCTGTCTATGGAAGCCCGGGCTAAATTCAGCACAGACCATGTCGCAGGCAAGCGGACCCCCGCACTCACACTATCGAAATACCCATGATGCCCTCGTCAACAGTCCGACGCCCCGGGGGAAATGCTCTGTGGCAATCACTTGTGCATTTACGTCGTACGGAGTACTCCGTACTCGTATCATCAGGTCCAATTACGCGAAGAAGAACGCGAAGCAGTTCGGAACTCCGGACCTGCGAGCTTACGGCATACGAGTACGTGTTAATAAGGGGAACTGTTGTCAAATATAGACCCAGCAGTACCTGGAGCAGCGAAAATTGCACGGCTGCAGTATGCCGTCAGAGATGCTGGAGTACCCCGAAATGACGACGAGGCGGAGGAGGCGGAGCTGCGACGTAGCATTATTTCTCTCATCGGGCTGATCTCGTGGTGCATCTCAACGGATGATGATCTGACGGCCGCATTGCTTGCCCTCTCAGCATCGAAACCCAATCCAACCAGACCACAGCGAGAAGTAGGGCGGAAAAAGCAGCAGAGATGCCTGCTGAAGAGAGACGCCCGGCCAGCGACAACGAGACCGCGCTATCCAAGCGCCGCATCGGCTGGGCGTTATGGAGATGCGGCTGTGGAGAATATTCAGAGATCGTAACAAATGCCATCATCGCTATCGTCCGCTTTCCAGACCCCTCTTCATGCACTGCGACATGTGCACACGTGAGAGGGGCTCGTACGAGTCCGTGAATGACTGCATGTGTCTTCTGGCTGTCCTGACGGATAATCCGCTTTTCTTCCTGATTTCCCTACTATGTATATTCATATGGGAGATTTTGTCTGACCTGACGGCGGGGATGGAAAATTGAAAATGGGTAGGGCCGTCTTGCTCGTCCCCAAGTACGATGTAGTGCGTGAAAATGGAAGGAGGCCGACTCGCCTCGAAAAATGGAAGGAACCCGCCAGAACAGGAGCCCTGGTTGCCTTTTCGGCCCTATGCAGTAGAAAGTTTGCGTGATCTGGAAGGTTGTTCTGGTGGCTCTTTATAGGCCTGCCATCGCCCCCTTCCTACAATTAGGCCCACGCGCCCCAATCTCCCCAGGCCCCCTCACGCTCGCTCTCTGCTGCGTTGCTTACTGAAGAGGTTGCATCTGCTTACAGTAAATACGGAGAACCGTATTTCCAACAAAAGTCGTCCAGATTGCTCTTTGTTCACACCTCCTTGCCCACGGACTGCATCTCGCAATATAACGCCCTACGGAGTATGTCATAGCCCTTTGATCGTCAGCCATTCAAATCGCACCACCGGTCCCCACAGTCTGCAGTGAGCTGTTTCTTCGCATAACACGGCTATCGCATACGCTCTGGGCTAGCAGCTGGATCGAGCTGAAAGTCTTGCACCGTCAGATTGGGCCATCGCCATTATATCGGGGCCGTTCTCATCGCATTTTGTTCCCACCGTTTCTTCTCATTTATCTGCTGCTGCTACCGCGTGAACTTTTCTCAGCGATTCGATAAACACCACCAACAAGATTCCGCTACACTAATTTTTCTTTATGTGGTTTTGCCGACGGCTAATTCGGCTTGAATAGCCTGACTCTGCTTATCTTGGACCTCTTCGCCACTTCATCGCATTGCAATAACGAAACGCAACAAGTTTGGGACCACAAGCAGCTATGGAGCACATTCATGGAATTGATGTCAGCTGGATGTCGCACGGATCAAAAGGTAAGATATACAAGATCACTTTTCTTGGCCCGCTCTTCCCGGCCCGCAAACGGTCAAGAAGCATGGCTAATGTGCCCGTCTTCGAACAGAAAAAGGAGCAAAGCAGATGCCACGCAGACGAAATACAATACAAACGCAAGCACTACCCACCCCCTTTGACTCATCTCCAGCCAGCCCGAGGGCGGCGTCTCCAATCTCGACCTCCCTTGACAACCCAAGCCCCATAACAGAGTGTCGTCCTCAGCATGGCGGCACCACGAAACTGCAACGGCGGTCCTCGTGGTTCTCCAACATTTCGTCCAAGTTTTCGTCCAGCCCGAGCTCCTCGCCCCCTCCAACGACCAACACGGCAAGCAAACCAAAACAAGCCGAGCCTCCAATCCCACGAGCCAACCCTTCCAAAAACGCTGTCCTCCAGCATGCAGCCAAATACGACGGCGATGGCCCTTACATCCCAGCGCCACCCAAGTCGTCACCACAGGCTGGCTTTTTCCAGGTCTTGCGCCGACTTTCCACGTCATCTGGAAATTTAAGTCCGATGACAAAGGGAAATCACGGCCTGGTGGAGAGGCGGGTGCTGAATGTAGACCAACACCGGCAGCGCTGTGCACTGCCGGAGCTAAAAGCGGCAAAGCTGCGTCGTGTTGCTTTTTGTGTTGATGTCGAGATCGCCCCAATGCCCAAGTATGCCGACCAAGCGCCCGTTGTCAAGAAGGCAGCACCAGACTCCGAGCAAAAGCGAAAAGATGCCGAAAAGGGCGAGGGCGATGCGCTGAAGAGTGCGAAACTATCTCTTCCCCCTGACGTGTCAAACGAAAGCCAGCCTAGCTTCGCTCAGACAGCCACACCTCCATCTGCCGTTGCACCACCTCTACCTCTACCTCCAGCTTCTCCAGTCTTAACAGCCACGGTCCCGATCCCAGCTGCCATCCCAACCATCCCAGAGACAGTCCTGACGACAACCCAGACACAGGAGGACGCGCTGGGAACATCTCCATCTGCAACCTTAGATGGCAAGGCAGCAGGAGATAGCACACGGAAGAAAGAGAAGAAGAAGAAGAGCGAAGAGGAGAGAAAGGCCCGCAAAGAGAAGAAGCGGAGGCTGGCCGAGGCAAATGGGACCATACCAATGGAGCTGTACTACGACAGCGACGACTCGGAGGTTGGTGCGGCAGCTCCACCGACAACACCTCGCAGGCAGCTCATGCCCACAGTGAACCCTGTGCGAATATATCGCCGCTGCTGTCAACTTCGCGAGACGCCCATCTTGAAGAATATCGTAGACAAGCTTTCAGAGCCGAATGCATATTCCAGCGATGTCGGTGTGGTTGCGAAGCTGGATCTGACCGGGTATTGGATGCAATTGGCTGATCTCACGACGCTGAGCGATTTCTTCGCCATCGTTCCTATTCGGGAGCTTGTCCTCGACAATTGTGGCCTTACCGACGAGGGTCTTCGCGCGGTCTTGGCTAGCCTCTTGGCGGCCAAAAGCCCCAGAAGAGTGCATCACCACCACCATCACCACCATCACCATCACCTGCGTCAGGACCCCAACCCTTGCGATAGCGAGGAAAAGATACCTGCGCCGGCACTCAGCTTCAGCGGCACGACTCATCAAGGCGGATTTGTGGAGCGGCTCGTGCTCAAGAACAACCAAATAGGCGCTGAGGGTTGGAAGCATCTGGCTCTGTTTGTTTACATGTGCCGGTCGCTGAAAGCTCTGGATCTGTCAAAAATTGCCATTCCACAGCCGCCACAAAGCAGTTCACAGGCACAACTGGCGCCCTTGGAGGCGACGAAGTCGGGCTCGTCGAGTTCGTCGAGCACAGCGAGACAGACGGCAAGACACTCTCAATCTGTAGCCCAGCTTTTGGCCAAGGCTATCGGGGAGCGTCTGGGCGGCCCGACTCTAGAGCTGTTGAACTTTGGCGACACTGGCATTAAGGCAGAAACGGTGGGCATACTGATTGATGGCATAGTCAAATGTGGAACCAAACGACTGGGCATAGCGAACAACGACCTTGACGACGCCAGCCTTGCACATGTGGCTCGATATATCGCTAGCGGCAAGTGCGAGAGCCTGGATCTGGGTGGCAATGACCTGCGTGATCGGCTCGACACTGTCGCCGATGCCATTGGTGCGACCGAGGCACTCTGGGCACTGAGCATCGCAGACTGCAACCTGAAGCCCAATTCGCTGTGCAAGCTGCTCCCGCAGCTGACCAAGCTGCACAACTTCCGCTTCCTCGATCTGTCGCACAACCATGATCTCTTTGATTGCAATCCAAGTGCGACAGCTCTGCTCCGGCGTTTCCTGCCGCAGATGGATTCGTTGAAGCGGGTGCACCTGGCAAACGTGGACATGAATGCCGAACAGGCCATTGCCATCGCTGAGATCATTCCAGAAATAAAGGAGCTAGCTCACATCAATATCCTGCACAATGCGCAGCTTTCCAAGTTGGCCGATGCCCGGACAGAGGAGAGTCAAGAGCAGGCGTGCGCTCTGTATGCGTCGCTGCTCGCAGCCACGCGAATATCGCCAAGCATTATCGCGGTGGACATTGAAACCCCCACTCTCGAGTCGACGGAGATTGTCCGCGGTATGGCAAAGCAAGTGCTCGCGTACTGCCTGCGCAACGTGGACCGTGTCACGTCTCGCAATGCCGAAACCATTGACGGTGATGCGTTGGCTCTTCCCAGAACTGAGTCCAGTGGGGACAGCGAAGATTCCAAGACGCCTACGCCGAGACGCGAGATCGAATATCCCAAAGTCATCCAGCATCTCGTTGGCTTCGACGCGTCATTACTGGATGAGGTCGACGACAACGGGGTGGCACCTGATGACGACTATGTTCTTGGTGGCACGGGTGTTGCCCAAGCGTTGGAGTGCTGCCTGAAGAACCGCGGTACAGAGTCGGAGAGACCGTCGGACGAGCTCGCTCTAGAGGATGACGGATCGGCCACTTCGGCGACGGCAGTGAAGGTGCCCGGGACGAGTAAGGCGAAGGACATGTCGAAACACTTGCTTCTCAGCGCGCGCAAGATCCGATTGCGGCTGCAACCTGCACTGCGGGAAGCGAAGGTGGTGTCTGGCGAGCACACCACAACATACCGTAAGATTGGCCTTTCTCCCGTCTCCCTATGCTCACACACGCTGACGACTGGTATGTCTACAGAACGTCTACTTTTCCTGGACCAAACGCTGGACGGTATCATCAAGCGGTTCGAGAACGAGTTCCCGGAGACACGGGTATCAATCGACGGCAGCATGTCGTTGTCTCTTCCGATTCGGGTAGAGTCCAATCGACAGCATACACCGTCGCTTCATTCCTCCAACGGGGGCGAGCCGGATATTTCGGGGTTGATGATTGCAGACGGCGATAATGAGGGCGAGATGGAGAACGAGAACGAGACGGATATTCGGCCATCAGGACTGGCACGTTCCGGGTCGACAGTCTCGCTGTCGTCAAAGGGCCTCACGAACGAAGAAGGTCGTGCGTTGCGGGCAGGGCACCGGTTCCGGAGCGGCTGGTTCAAGCACTACAGCTTGCTATCTGGCAGGGAGGATATCGGGCCCGATCCGGCGCTCTGCCAGATGTTGGACGAATTGATCCACGAGGTCAATGATGCGGACCTGAACCAGAAGGTGGCAGAGAAGGGCATCGTGCGGGTGTTCAACGAAGACCGGCCGGAGATTCTCGAGATCATCAAGGCGCAGGACCCGGAGCACTGGGAGCGGTTTGTCGAGTCTCAACAGAAGGCGCGGGCAAACTTGAAGATCGAGCTGGATGACGGCCGAAACGCAAGCATGAAGCTAGCAGATGCAAGCTTGGACGAGGAGGCGATTGAAGACGACGACGACGACGACGACGACGACGCGTTGACATTTTAAAGGAACTGATACCTTGTCGGTCTTGTTTTCTTGTTGGCTGTTTATTTAAAGAGAGCGGATCGCTTCTGTGGATGTCTTTTAGCGGATGTATGGTTAGGCCGTTGCCTGTTCAAGGTACAAGCCTGATCATTGGGGGCATAGTTTGCTACTTTTGCAGCTTGAGGTGTGTTTTTGTATCTTGTTTATTTCGTCTTCTTATTCCTGGGAGAACTGTATCAAGTAGCATATGCCAGCCGGCAAAGGTTGAATAACATGAGCGGCCGAAGAGCAATTCAAGAGCGTGGGCGCGCCTTTATTTTATTCTCTAACGTATGTACGAAGTGCTACCAGACAAAAGCCGGCACCTTCGGGAAGGAGTCGACTGACTGTCGGCTGTGCAAGTGGAGGGAGAGACCGACAGAGGCTAGTTTCGCAAGCACCTTCCGGTTGGTCCGCGCTCTCCACAGGACGCAAAGAAGCAGGACAACGTCAGGATGCATCTTGATAGCCAAACTCTGGGGAGGGGTAGCACAAGAAGTTGTGCGAGGAGAGCTGGCTGGTGATCCGGACTTGGCAAGACGCCGATGCTGCACATTGTCTGGAGCAAAGCCATCCGTGCCGCTTAGACGGGAGTGTGTGCATGAAGGATCCTCTTTGGCGTGTTCCAGCAGCCAGACCACCTGCTCTCGGCCATTCCAGATTCCCACTGTCAATCTGAACCGGCTGATAACCCCTCGTCCATCTGATAATGGGTCGGTGGACACCTCTCTCCCTTTATTATGGGATACTATGTAGCCGTCAGCTCCTACCAATCTGACAGGCAGGCAGTTGAGGGCCAAGAGAGCGCCACTGTTTCAAAATACAGGGCATTTGTCACGACTGCATCGCCTGACGTGAACTCTTTCGGAGTACCGTTAATATGTCTCTCTCTCTTTCGTTCTCGCCCCTCGTTCCCTTTTTTGCTTCCTCTTTTCTTTCCTTCTGCTTGCTTCATTGCCCAAATGCACTTCCCATCTTGTGCATCTGCAATGCCATCTCGGTCTTCCCGTACAGCTTCGGGTCAAGGATGAGGCCCAAACAAGGCTGTGCATCGGATGCGCGCTGAAGCAGGTGCGGGAACGCCAGTGGTTGGTCCGCCGAGCAGATTGCTACGGCGTAGCTCCTTTTCCCACAACCTCAAACAGACCCCTGTTATGCGCTTTTTGCGCATACTCCGTAGGGCCAAACAGCCCCTTAATACTGGGAACCAGGGGCCGGGCTGATGTGACGATGGATCTCAGGAGCGCGCTTTCAAACAGGGCAGAGGCAACGCCAAAGCACAAGACAGCCAGTCGGGCTTTTTCTTTCTCTTTCCTGGCCCGTCCCACCGAGTGGAGATTGGCTGACAATGCCGTCCTCGAGGTGGATTCAATTTTCCCCCTGCCGTTTCTGATCGGACGGCGTTTCTGCGACTGCCCGTACAGGAGATTCGACGTACGCCGTATGTAAACTGGGATCTGCCACCTGGAAATATCGTAGTGACTGGTGTCCGATAGACGAAGTCAAGCCCACAAACAGAGCGCTGAGCGTATCGACGCTCAAGAGACAACCATGTCCGTGACATCAGTAAAGACGATGGACCTGTCGCCACGGGGCCATGGCGACTGGCCCTTCCAGCACTTCAATTCGCCCAGGAAGGCGAGTGAACGCGTTGAGCGCAGCAGCCCGACACCTCCGGCCGTCAGAAAACGAAGCAGAAGCACCCGAAGCAGACAGACGGTTCACTGGCCGTTCCAGAGCATCGGCACGATGGACTCAATCCTGACGCTGGCCGAGGAAGACGATCATGAGGCAGCAGAGAGAGCAGTAGCAGCACATCCGCCTGCTGCAATCCGGCCGACGACGTGGCAGCCTCTCGGCCGCCTAGGCCATCTCCGGGGAGCGTATAGCGAAAGTATCAGCGTCGGCATCAGCATCAGCGGCAGCGGCAGCGGCAGCAGCTTTGACCGGTCGCTGGTACCCGACTACGTCGTCAACTATCTGCGCGGCGAGACACCCGAATCGGTGGCCCAACGCCAGGCCGAGAGACGACAGGCAGGCCGGCTGGCAGACGACGATGACGACAGAGAACTCGGGGCCAACCTCGACCGACAGAGCACGATGGCCTCATCAGCCGGCCGATCAGACCGGCTGATGCTGGAGGGCACCGAAAAGGGACAGTATTGGAGGAAGAGAAACCGGAGCCAAAGCCAGAGTGCCAGCTGGACGATAAACAAGAACCTCGGCGTATTTTTCAGAGCCGCCACGACGTCTGTCGACTGCAGCCTCGCCGTGCTCGCATTGCTGTCGTTCCTGCTCTCGGGAGCGGCCATTGTGGGCGTCGTGCTGCTGCGGAAAACTGGTCGGGTCACGTGCCCAACCACGGCTCCACGATTGCTTCTGCGGGCGTTGACGGCGATGGCCACGACAGCTAGCCTGGGCAGCGCGCAGTTCGTCTGGCAGGCCATCGGCAGCAGTCCGACGCGCGCCGAAGTCGACGGGGCACACGCACAGCGCCGGTGGCTGGACGTCGGCGTGCCATCGCTGCGAAACACGGCACATCATCTGCTGACCGGTCGCGGCCGCAATAGGGCCATCGTCTCGATTGTCGTCATGGCGGCTGCGCTGATGCTCGCAGTCCTGCAGGGATCAATCGTCTCCGTCTCGGCCTCGTCGTCGTCCATCTCCTTTATCAACACCACCGTCCTTGCTGCTGTCGCCGGCCTTCACGGCCTCATCGGCATCTGCCTCATCGGCATCCTTTTCCACAACCGCATCCGTCACCACGGCCTTCATTTTCGCCACCTTCCCCTCGTCACTCTCGGCGATGCCGTGGCCTCGTTTCTTCGCGACCCTGATCCAACCACGGCCCAGACCTGCATGCTGTCCATGGCCGACGTCCTGCAGGGCCGGTGGCAGACACAAGCTGCTCAGTCCACATCGCCTTCCATGACAAGTCCTCGCTGGTTTCGCGCCCTGTCGCTGTCACGTTGGCTCGTCACTTCTCTCGTCTGGTGCATCCTCGTCGGCCTCGCTGCAGCTGCTCTTGCCGTCGCCATTATTGGTCGAAACACTGACCTCGGTGCTTTTGGCCACATCACTCGCATCGTCTTTTCGTCCTCCTCCTCCCCTTCTTCCTTCTCCCTCATTGCCGGCTTGCCCCATCTCGGCCTCGCCCTCCTCTATCTCCTTGTCCACGGCCACCTGTCCGTCTACTTTTTGGCCCATGAATTTTCTCTCTTCGCTGCTGTCGCGTCGCCTGGCCGCGGCCGTCCGAGTCGACCGCTCCGCGTCTCTGTTCGCCCGCGAGGCTTCCAGACTTCTTCCCTTTACCTGACATTACCACTGCCTTGGGCCTCTTTGCTGCTGCTGCTCTCTGCTGCTCTGCACTTTGTCCTCGGCTCCAGTGTCGTTGTCGTCGTCTCGTCATCGTTGTCTCTCTCTCTTCTCGGCTTCAGCTCTCTCAGCCTCGTCGTCTTCCTCGCACTCCTTCTGACCCTAGCTATCCTCGTGCTCGGCCTCGGTGCTCGCCGCTCGCCGCCGGCCTTGACCGTCACCATAGCTTCTGACAGCGATGAGCACCCCGTCGTCAATCCGCTGTTCCTTCTTGGCGGCTCCTGCAGTGCCGTCATTAGTGCCAGATGCCACCCGCTGTCTGACGAGGTCGCCGAAACTATGGTCACTAGTGACAATCGAGATAGCAGTGACAGCAGCGCCGGGCCTCTGCCAATTTGGCTGCGCCCACTTGCCTGGGGACCTGTGTCTGCATCCCACCACGACCATCATAACAACGTCAACAGCGCATTCAGTCACTGTACTTTCACCAGCCGTCCGGTGCTCCCGCTGGACCTGTCGCAGAGTTATGCTTGAAAGTGTTGAATGCTTTATTGTTATTGTCTTTTTGCCCTCCTGTCTTTATTTCTTGTAATCTTTTCTTGTCTTTTTTGCTCTTTTTTCTGCAGCAGGGCTGCACGCAACGTAATCGAGACACACGACAATTGCATTTGGGCGCTTGAAAGGAACCCGCGGGAAAATGTCGGGCCATATACCCATGTTGTTTGCTTTTCATATCTTTTGTGTATCTTACATGGACTTAATCTCGGTCGATGCCTGTCTGGGCTCAGATTATACTGGTTCGATCCTCTGCTTGTTGCCGTGACAATGCATCGGAAAGATGACGGCTGTGTTGTCACGCTGAGCCTTCCCGTGGTGTTGTAGCTGGTGCAGGTGTGCAGGTGCGCGCAGACGTTCTCGGCTACATTTGCCGGCTGCCTCGTTCTGTGTCAGTCTTCTCGTCCATCCTGCTTCTCCAGCCGCCTGTCAGCCTGCTGCGATAGCATCGGTGGCGTCCTTTTTCAGCTTGGCCAGCCGCTCCTCCTTGGCCCGCAGCTCGGCGAGCAGCTTCTCTGTCATGCCCTGGACGGCCACCTGTGCGTCCTTGAGCTTTTGAATCTCCAGCTGCTCCGTCTCGCGGCTGTACGGCTGCCCCTCGCGCGACGTCAACGGCACCATGGCGCTGCGCGACAGCACACCGCCGTCGCTACGCTTGCTGATGGGCGTCAGCGGCGTCGACGAGCCAGCCGCTCCGCCGGCAGGCCCGTGTCCGGCTCCTCCCTTGGGCACGGCCAGCGCCCCCGACGTCAGGATCTCGTAAAAGGCGTCGTACGGCTCGTTGAACAGCTGCTCTTCGTACGTCCACGCGGGAATCTCGCCCTTTTCGCGCATCGCCTCGCGCTCCTCGTCCGTACGGCCGTATGGGTGCAGCCGTAGGTGGTGGTACAGCGTCTGCGGCTTCTCGCCGCTCTCCGATACGTAGTACAGCTTGAGCGTGATCTCAAACTCGCCCCAGCCCGTCTCCTGCACCATAAACGGCTTGCCTGGCACCCCGTCGATCACTGCCACCAGTCAGAACCGCAAAATTAACACAACAACACAAGCAACAGGAAAAGGCAAAGCGGCAACGCACTTCGCACGGGATTTGGAATCGACTCGTGCAGCTTGAACTGCACGCGCCGTAGCCAGTACGATATGTCCGTGTCGTCTACGCCCCGCACAAAAACCTGCCATGAGTGCGTGTGGTCGTCCGGAACGCCAGGTGGCTTCGGGTTCGTCTTGGCATCAAACGGTCGCGCTGTGGTCCCGTAGATGAACGGCCGGTATATCTGGCAGCCCTTGACGCGCTTGCCGACGCCGCTCGGTGGGGCCATGTCCGTGGAGGTCGCTTTAGGTGTCCTCGGGATGATGGTGGAAAAAAGACGTGTTTCGTCTTTCGATGTTGGGTGACACTCCTGCTTGAAAGCTTGAAGAGAACTGTAATGCAGAGTTGCAGGTAGTGAAGTGGAAATACAGTTTTTCCGCCTTTCAAGACGCTCTTTCCCTGCTTGCCACAACGTGATGTGGTCCGTGCACCACTGCATCGACCCCACCTGGAGCTTTGACAGAGCTCAGCTACATGACATAAATGATTCGATCGTCTTTTTCTATCAGCAGCTAATACACGAGCACCAATGCACTCACAACTCACGTGCACGGCCACATAGACCGTCCTCTGCACTGTTCCTGTGTCCTTCTCGCCCTCCCGCTCATCAAAGGACAACGGTTTGCGCCCCGAGAGAAACACAATGGCATCATCAGCAGCAACAGCCAAGAAGCTCGTTGTCTGTGGAGGCAATGGCTTTCTGGGCTCGCGAATCTGCAAGGCCGGCGTGCTTCGGGGCTGGGATGTGACGTCGATCAGGTGGGTGGTTACGTAGTCTCCGAGTTCTCTATTCCGGGTCTCTGGTCTCTGGTCTCCGGTCGTTCACTCGCAGGCTGACACTGTCTGCTTTTCCTCCTGTCTGCCAGCCGTTCTGGAGAGCCACAATGGAAGGCCGTGACGGGTTCACCAGCCCCGCCGTCATGGGCACGCCAGGTGTCGTGGGAGCGTGCCGACATCTTCCGGCCGGAGACGTATGCGCCTCTGTTCCGTGGCGCCAACTACGCCGTCCACAGTCTGGGCATTCTGCTCGAGGCCGACTACAAGGGCGTGCTTTCAGGCAAGGACTCGCCTCTGGAGGGCGTCCGCAAGATGCTGGCCGGAAGCCAGGGTAGACAAGACAAGCCCCAGCCGGATTCGTCTTCGTCCTCGTCCTCCTCCTCACAGATGACCTACGAGACCATGAACCGCGACAGCGCCCTTTTGGTCGCCCGAGCGGCTGCTGAGGCCGGCGTGGATGCCTTTGCCTACGTCTCGGCTGCTGCAGGCGCTCCAGTTCTGCCAGCCCGCTACATTGGCTCCAAGCGCGAGGCTGAGCGGCTGCTCACTGCCGCCGCCAACCCCGAGGCCTCGTCCTTTCCCTCGCCCCTTCACCGTCCCGTCTTTATACGCGCTCCCTTTCTCTACGACGCAGCCGCGCGTCCGCTGACGGTGCCACTCGCCGCTCTCGTCGGCGCCGGCGCTCTCTTCAACCGTGCCGCCGGTGGCGCCCTCTCCGGCGTTTTCGGCTCAGCCGTCACCAAGCCGCTCAAGGCCGACGACGTGGCCGACGCTGTCGTCGAGGCCCTGAGCGACGACACCATCCACGGCCCGGTCGAGGTGGACCAGCTCGTCCAGCTGGCCGAACGCGCCTGGCGCAAGAGCATGCTGTGAATCTAATTACTCAATGGGCTCTTTAGTTCTCTGTACATCACATTCAAAAGCACGAAGCAGGAATAAATGCGGAAAATAAATCAGGATCGCTTGTGGCCGTTTCGCCCATTCTAAGCTGTAAAACAAAATCCATAAAATAATAAAATAACAAGCCATTCCCTCCAGCTTTATGCTGTTGATGCTGACAACCTCTTCTTACACGCTTTCCTCCTCGTACAACCTCTCCCCCTCATATCATGGTCCCCCGCTCGAAGCTCTCGCGGATCTCGGCCGTGTACTTGTTGTAGAACCGGGCCAGCTTCTGGTTGAAGTGCTTGTTCTTCTCGTTGATGTACGTGACATCCGCATCGTCGCCGTTCTTGGCCAACCGCTCGCGCTTCTTTCGCTGGGCGGCCTCGTCTGCCTTGCGCTGGTCGTTGACCAGTCGGTCGACAGCCTCACGGCTCGGCCGGTTTTCTGCAAACGACGTCGACTCGGCAGCCGAGAAAAATGTGCCGTCCTTGTCCACCGCGATCAGCTCGCCGTCGGCCGTCTCGACAATCTCCAGCGTGCCGGCCGCTGCCGCCCGTTCAACTGCCGACAGCTTGTCGCGCGTGTACTGCTCCAGGTCTGGCGCCGACAGGTTGTGCTTCAGCTGCCGCTTGTACACTCGGTGTGCCTCCTGCCGGTAGTCCTGAAACGCGTTGTTGTCGCGGTGTATCTCCTTCTTTCGCACCCGCTTGTCCCATCGCTCGCTCTCTTCGGCCGTCCAATCCCACGCCCGCTTGCGCTCAAAGTCACCGCCCGCATCCTCCACCTCCGCCTTCATTATGTTGTGCGTCGCCACCGTTCGCTTCCGCCGCAGCGACGACAGCTCCGACGCGTCGCCCGTCAGCTTCTGTGTCTCCGCCGCTGCTGCCTTCAGATTCTGCTCCGTCGATGTCTTCGCCCGCGCCTGCAGCGCCCGGAACCGCGCCATTCGATCGATCGGCTCCATCTTCGTATCTTCTTTTTGCTGTTCTTTCGGTGTGTCCGCTGGCTTCTCAGCCGATATATCTGTGTTGTCCTTCTTGGCCATGGTTAAGTCGTGTTACAAAGAATTGTGGTCTGTAGCTTTGCAGCAATCGTCAACCAGATCTTAGCGTCCAAAGAAACAGCCGCAAGCAGCGCTAATATACACGTGATATGTCACGTGACCTAACATCGGTCCCCTGACTATGTAGAAGTCAAGTCCAAGAAATAGACAGTCGCCATTGTGCAGTGCTGTTTATAACTTTCACTATAGAAAATATAATCGAACAATATTAGAGATCATACAAGAAATGAATAGACTGGCGTTTTTCAGCCGTACGTATGCAAGTCATATCTTGTTTCGTTTTTAGTAAACCGTGAATTAGTTAGTCGAAGTGCTTGACAATTATTGATACTATAGTAAATACTACTTTAAATTTTGTAAGTTTTGAGTCCGAACAAGGATAACTCTGATATTCCGCGAGTGGCACTTTGCAGTTGTGTCACATAACTTGACTGTGCCTGAACTCGGAGATGTATATAGTGAGTGATTCTAGCTTCTACCTTTTAGCTCGATGCGAATTTACAGAACCATCATTTCATCAGTATCGATGCTAGAAAATCACAGTCATAATACGTCAACATATATATATCATAATGTTAAACCTAATTACAGGGGCTCTGCTTCAACCGCGTGCACCTTTCGTATCCATGGTATCGTAAATAACCGTCTCGTTCTCGGTATGAATGCCGAAGCCATCCTCGACCATAGCAGTTCCATCAACGGCCATGATTTCATCACTGGAAAGCTCCTCCCACTTGAGGCCGCTCTGCCGGATGAGCTTTTGGTTCTCGGTTGGCCAGATCCGGCAGAGAACATAGTAAACGATAAAGCTGCTAATAAAGGAAAGACACCAGCCCAAGTCTCCCATGCGTGTGGCCGTCGTAGAAACGTTGGGTCCCAGAGTTCCCACAAACCCGGTGAATGGGAGGGCGATTCCGACAATATAAGCAAAGTATGCTTGGATGTTCCAGCCTTTGTTGTAGTAGTAGTGTACGTTGCTCTTGCCAGGATCATACAGGTTCCCAACATATACATTGCCGTTTGTCAGGAGCCAATATTCACAGACCATGATGGCTGCCACACTCGCCATAAAAAGCCCATAGCCGGACAGGAAAGTGGTGAAGACGCTGGCGGAGGCAAGAATCTTCCATGGGCAGATGGCGAATGCGAGACACTCGACGAGCAGTTGCCCTCTCGGGATGGTCATGTATTTCGGGAAAAGCATGGTGCAGTCGGAGCCAAAGGGGATCATGCTGAAAGGAGAACAGTTAGTGTGCCAATTTTCTACTATAAAGGTAATGAGGCCGGGGGATGATATACTTTGCTGCGATGTTAGTGCCGAGAATACTGACAGACCAGGTGACGGCCGAAAAGAAGACGGCAGCACGCGTGCTCGACTTCCAATAGCGGTCGAGAATGGCTGACAGAAGATCCCACGGGTTCCAGAGCTCGAGGCCCCAACTGTTGTTGATGGCGGCCGTGGACAGGATTCCGAGTGATGCTGAGAGAGTGACAGCCAATGGTTGGACAATTAGCTGTGACCACATGGGCGAGGTCTTTGTCTTGGCCCATCTTGCAATATCAGGCTGGTTCGTGATCAGGGTAGCCTGTTTTGGAATCATATCAGTCCTATATTGTTTCAGCACGGTGTAGCTCTTAAACGTACCGTGTTGCCCATTCCCGCGTTGATCGCATAGATGATGAACCAGGCCCTGCTGCCCTTGTACGAGGCCGGAATGATGGAAGACAAGTTTCCTTTGGTGTTTGCCATGCAAAAGATGAAGAGGCCGAAGACGGCCGGCATCATGACAACCACCTTGATCCAGAAGAAGGCGCGGAGTTGATATGGCCGGAACGGTGTGACGGTCAGGTGGATCAGCCAGAAGAGGAAGAATGATAGCATCCCGGCACTGGTGATGCCCATACTGGCCGGGATATGGTTCGGAATGTCTGTGTAGCCGCCGCCGAAGATGCACCGGAGTATGATGGCCAAGAAGCTGGCTCCGGAGTACACTATGTTGAGAGGTTAGACGGATGCAGCAGGTGGCGAATGCGGGTGCCGTCAAGGCAATACTTACATTGGATTCCATACCCTAGAGGACTGATGTTAGCTCGGAGCTGTGAGCAGTGACAGAAAGCGGCTTACAAAGGATGGCCAGCATAGCCCGGGCAGCAACCACGTAAAAGGCTCCCCACATGCCAAAAACGCTGCGAGCGACCACGGGGTACCCAATGTGATAGGCGCTGGCACATCGCGAGTTGAAGAACATGGCCAGACTGGAGATGAGCTGCGAAGCAAAGATGATGACGATGGCCTCCCACCAGCTGAGCCCGATGCCGGTCATGGTGCTGCCGAGGGTCCAGTTGCCAAAGGACAGGCCGACGAAGAAGTTGACATAGTTGACCCAAGTCCAGGTGCGCTTTGACGGCGGCGTCGGGTCCAGGTCCTCGTTGGACCAGCGGCTGTCGCGTCCGGGATGGCTGTGCTCTTCCAGCTCGGTGGTTTTGACCTCGGCAAACTCCTTGAAGGCCTTCCAGCTGGAGCAGGCCTGTCGCACGACCGCCCACCGTTCATGGAGCCTGAGGGCCATCATTGCTCTTCGGGTGCGCGCGCGAAGGAGCTCTTGCAGGAAGCCTCGAAAAAAGGAGAGGGGAATGGGCACCACTGCTTGATCGGCCCAGGGAGAGCTACAGTGCCTGACACGGGAGCAGTATTTATGGACACTGCAACGCCGCCCCTCTGTATGATGCTCGCTATCTGGCCTTCCTCTTTCGGCGCCACACTGTCTGGGCACAAGCGTTTTAGCGTCCCTGGTAATCAAGCCGAAGCCCGATAAGGCAGCTCGAATGATGCCTGCAACTATCTTCCCACTGTGCCCAGATAGATAGGGAGCTATCGTAGGATCAGGAATTGCGAAGGCAGACAGCAAAAGGGCCGCACGAAAATTCTTTGCAAAACAGACGACGGATGAAGAAGTTTTACAGGAAAAACACGCGACATGTACGCCATCACAGCTGTTGTGGGCATTCAAACTTTTTTTGTGGTTCGCGCACACGTTCTTATATTTCAACCCTGGCCGACGGCGAAGGCGAATAAGATGTGGGGGGGGGACACATTTTTCCCTACGACGTACAGCGCCAGATAACGTCGTGAAGCACATCGCCAAAGCTGTACGAAGTATTGAAGTTTGGATTCTAATTATGGAAATCGTGTTTGATGCTATATTTGCTGCGACCGTCTGCTGATTCATCTCTGCTTGCGCGGACAGGCTCCGGATATGTGCCTCTGGGCGAAAGTGGGGAAGACGACGTCTCTTATTGGGCATCTCCGACACAGATTCCCTATTCCTCATTCGGACTAGCCGCCAAGATCTTCGCTAAACGCAACTACGGAGTAGTACGGCGGCATATCTGCATATTTCTAGTCAGTCAAGCTAACTGTGTGTCTGCTGGCTATGGGCTGTTATCTTAGCAGTCGAACAAGCCCAGCCTCACGCTGTTCTGTTAAACTTGGTACAGGACGATGATGGCACCATCGAGCAGAAACGCGGCAAGAATGGTGTTGGGATATTGAATAAACGAGTCAAGCCTTTTTCTCGAAGCGAAGCTGATGTGTAGCAGTCCTGTAGGCATTGTCCTCCTAGAGAAGCTCATAATTATATTTACGGAATTAGACACCATCGATAAACTCGGGATGCTCGAAGGGCCAGCAGGTCGAGCACAGCCTGAAGATGGTTCTCTCGGGCTTTCTGAACCTCGGTCAGGATATGGCGGATTGGTCTTCGCTTCACGCCACTATTGTCGTATATGGTATAAATTGCTCACGTCTCACGTCTTGGAAATCTGTACGGAGTACGAGAATTCTTTCTCGCCATAGGATCTCCACAACCCCCAAGCGCATCCCAAAGTTGTCATTATTACTGTCCTTGTCAAAGGCTGCATTTGGGCACATCAGCTCTGATGGATGAAGGATTGTATCAACGTTCAGACCTTACGACCCGCGCTTGATTGTATGCCCATTCTTTAATGTTGAGACGCGAAGTGCACACACAACACACAAGCACAACGCTTTTGATTTCTCTACCCAATATTTTCAGCTCAGCTGTCGCCATAGAGCTTCAGAATGCGTACTGCATTGCCGCCCATGACGGCAGCGGTCTCTTTGCTGCCGTCACCGAGGGCCTTCTTGGCAGCCTCGAGGTTCCAGGTCATGCTTTCCCAGACGCCCTGCTCATCACTGTTGAGCGGAGGGAAGAAGGGATGGTCGGTACCGAACATGAGGCGATCTGCCCCGCTGGCAGCAACGGCAGCTTGCAGGCCGACCTCGGAGTAGATGACGGCATCGAGGTAGATCTGCTCGCGGAGGACCTGCCAGATGGTGCGGCGCTGGGGGCCGACCTTGCCAGCGCGCACGAGGTGGCCGTCGTGCACGATGCAGCTCTCGATGCGACCAGCGAGGAAGGGCAGGGTGCCGCCGCTGTGGGCGAGCAGCATGCGGAGGCCGGGCACGGCATCAAACACACCGGCAAGGTACATGCGCGCGACCGCGATCGTGGTCTCCATGGGGAAGCCGAGGGCGAGCGGCAGCACGTGGCCGTACTCATCGGCCGCACGCGGGCCCCAGACCTCGCTGGGCAGACCGTAGTGTGGGTGCAGAAAGACGGGCAGCTCGTTGGCTGCGAGGGCTGTGAGCACCGGCAGCAGCTCTGGGTCGTCGAGGCCCTTGCCCAGACCCGTCGTGCCCAGGATCACGCCCCGGCAATACGGCAGCGTCTTGACATGGGCCACGGCCTCCAGCAGCGCGGCCGGCGGTGCCGTCAGCGGCAGCGTCGCGAAGAAGAACAGCCGGCCCGGGTGTGCCGCGCACATGGACGAGAAGTCGCCGTTGACCGTCTGGGCCGTCGCGGCGGCCTCGTCGGCCGCCACGAAGTCGAGCCACGGATTGGCCAGCGAGATGACCGAGATGTCGATCTTGTGCGTGTCCATGAAGTGGATCTTCTGGGCCACTGACGAGTAGTGCGTCGTGACCGGCCGGCCCGGCAGGTTGGCCGTGTCCTTGGTCGTCACCGTGTCGTTGATCTCGTCGGCCGAGGCTTCGGATGGGAGGATGATGTAGCGCGGGTCCTTGGCCCCGGCAAACCGCCGGATCAGCGGAATCTCGTCGCGCGACTCCAGGATCCGCACGTAGGCCGGCGGGTACATGTGCGTGTGCACGTCAACCACCTTGTTGCTTGTCGCCATGGCTGCCGGATGGCTGCTAGATGCAGATTGCGACTGGCAGTGGAACGGTGTTTGGGTGGTCGTGGAAGCTTATGTCGCTCCAGAAGGACGGTATAAGCAGAAAATGAACGATTGCACGTACGTTCCGGGACGGATTGATTGTGCAAGTAGAATGACCTCGGTGGTTTGTCTGCGGCGATTGTCTAGAGCTTCTTTTCTCACTGCGAGCTGAACTGCAGCAAACACTAACACTGCATCTTACTTACCCCACTGAACTGCCCCTCCAATATACTGCTATCCGATAATGTGCAAGATAAGATTAGCTGGTTCTATTAATACTCACATTGAACAATTCCGCTATCAAGTGCTCTGAGAATGAGTGCTTCATCAGTGGCAGGCTGGTCGGTCTCAGCAGCCGTTGTAGAAAATGAAACTCTTTGAACGGTCGCAAGAAAATGTGAGTTCAAACAATACGGGGAATAGGACGTGGGTTGCCCCAGTTGGTCTGTCAAATGTAACACGAAAGAAGTAGACATATTGCCTTACTGAGAGGCAAATCACATGATCTACACTTATAAACAGAGCCACTGCAGATAGCTGAGCAACAAGGCTCAGCAGATAGGTTGGGTTTGCGATACCGTCTTCCATTTGGACTATCATTGCTAATGATTGCCGGGGATTGCCGAAAGGCTGCCGGGAGATTAGCAGTAGTTACATGTACGGAGTGGTATCAACGCTAATGTCAATCACAACCATTAATCGAATCCTTCGGAGCATCCGATAATTTATAGCTTACGATGTTGACAACGGATGATAAGCGGCCGAGTGGAGTATTTTGCCGTCCACCACGGCAGCTTGCCTGATGGTCTTAAGTACAATGACATACCAGCACGGAGCACAGGACACCGAGCATCCTCGCCTCATCGTCTATAAGAGAAAGTGGGATCACCTATCAAATGTCTATTTCTTACAGATTTTTGTAGCTCTCATGGTCTCGTTAATGAGATATCCCAAACTCTGTTTTACGCTGGTAAATAGAAATGGTGCCGGAACCTAGGATTGTAGAATGCCTTGATCGGATCACCCAAGAAACAAGTAAGGGCTCTGCGACTCAGCGATTCGGGAGTCGAATTTGGGTCCCTGGATTCCGACATTCCTCCTGGCGCTGCTCGCGCTTTGAAGAGGTCGGACGTGCCGTTGACATTCTGCCTCAGGCCCTGGAGACCTTCAGGCCCAAGCACTCGCCATTCACTCAAGACTTGGGTTTATACTAGCCGTTATAGTTCAGGGCCATCAGTGGCATCTGGTCCGTAAGACAAAACTTTGGGCGGACCGTAATTTTGGCACCACGCAGAGCTGTCTGGAGATATACGCCACAATCTATGACATAAGCTGATGGCCTGGGCAAGAGATGTTCAATCACCTTGGTTTGAAGCCAATGTACTGTAACACTAACGTGATGATGTTCCGCCAACGGATTGCCTATGACGCATGGGGTCACCGTACTATCTGCCTCAGACACTACGTAAGATAGAGACTAAATCTCGTAAGCCAATTGAGGCAAGGATGAGATGGTCTTGTTAGTTATAGTGTTAAGACTGGTAGTAAAAGTTATCCCTACACTTTCAAGTGGGGTTCTGTATTAGAAACATAACGGCAGGAATAAGAGGCGAATAATTCTATCTAATCCGTGATTTAGTAGCAAAAACGAATATCAGCCTTTGCAATCCATCGCCCGTGTTGCCATCTGCTCGATCACCCTGGCCTGCTTCAGCTGTAGTAACCACCGTGCAGTCCCCTCATGTGCTTGTAGCAGTCGTCGCTTTTCTCGAAGGTAGCCAGACACAACCAGCAAAAGTGTACTTTACACTGAGAGCAGTTCATGTGGTTGCATCCGTCTCTCTTCTCGATGGCGACGCTACAGTTTGGACAGTCCTGGAGGCCGAGCGCTGCCTTTGCCTTGCGCATCTCGGCGTCTTCGGCGGCCAGCCGGACGGCACACGGCCTCTTCGGATGGGCCGCATGGCAGAGCCTGCAGGTGCTGGCGCGACAGCTGCGGCAGGTGAAGACGTTGGCGGCGTCGCTGGTGCCGATCGAAGCAGCTGAAGCAGCCGATCCGGCGCGATAGATATGCGTGCAGTCCGGCGTGGGGCAGTTGCGCAGCTCCTGGGCGTGGCGCCGCACGTACGCATCCAGCGAGGCGGCCAGCACGTCCTCGAGCGTGTCCGAGGCCAGGTTGGCGTGCAGCTCAGCCAAGGACACATGATTCCGGCAGCGACCGGCGTCACCGATGCACAGGATAGCGCCGCTGGTGGCGCCGGCGGCACAGAAGTTGGTAAAGCAGTCGGCGCAGTAGATGTGGCCACACGCCAGACTGATCGGCCTATCGGCCTCGGTCACCTCGCCGAGACAGATGGGACACTCGCCATCGACAGCGGCACTCCTGCTGCTGCTGGCCTGTCGGCCTGCCACCAGTCGCAGCGCCGTGGCGTGATCGGCCGCGCTGCCCATGACGATGAGGTTTCGGCTGCCGGTCGGCTGGACATCGATGATGGCCTTGCCGCGGCCTAGATATCGCTGCAGCTCGTGCAGACCGCCCGTGATGACCCAGCGAAAGCCGTCGTCGCTGAGGCGGACCGTGTGAACGTCAGACGAGGAAGAGGACGCGAAGTCGGTCATGAGGGCGCGCACGGCATTGACGATGTGCTCGTACTCAACCTCAGGCCCGAACACACGCAGCTGGCGGCTACGCACGTCGCGCATGAGCAAAACGCCGTAGTCGGGCTCGAAGAGGGTGAGTCGGGCCACCTGGGGGCTGCTGGCATTGCGGAAGGCGTCAGACCAGACATCGATGCCGTTGCAGCGCAGCACATCGCCGGCGACGATGCGGTCGGCGGCGTCCTTGATCTGAGCCACGGCATCGCGGTCCTTGCCCTCAAACTTGACGATGCGGAAGAGCCGGTGCGGCGACATGACGGCGAGACGGACAAACAGAGGATCCCAGGCCTGCAGCTGCTTCTTTCCCTTCTGTCCGATCAGCCCGTTCAGCCGCTCCTTGACGGCCCCGTAGATGCGTGTGGATACGCGGATGCTGACCGAGAAGATCGGCTCGACGTTGAGTCGCAGCCTGGAGTCGCCAAAGGGCAGTGGCTCGCTCTGCAGCGACGACACCGCTTCACGAGCATGGGCTTCGTCTTCAAAGGTCACAAATGCTCGCTCGTACCGCCCACCGGCTCCCTCTCGCTTGTTCCACGACTCCAGCGGCCCAATGGCGGTGAACATGGACATGACCATGGTCGTGTCCATGTCCGGGACTGACTCGTAGCTGGGCTCACCCAACACTACGTCTATCGGACGATCACGTTCTCCTAATGCCACTGAGATCACGCTGCCGGTGTCGACCTTTGGTCCCAGTCCGTGCAGGACGACGATGCACTCGCGCTTCCCCTGCGCCTGAATGTGAGCTTTGCCGGTCGTTGGCCCCAACACGTCCCGGTAGGCTCTGGCTTCGTACGCTTTCTTGACTCGCTTAGCAGCTTCGCGGTCGCTGTAGCGCAGGCGGGCAGTACGTTCAGGCCGCAGCCACGAACACTGCACGCGCCGACCGTCGATGCGGTTCATGCTGAGGCCTGGAGGCGTGGGCACAGCGATCTGCACAACCCCGATGGCCCTGATGGCCTTGTTCTTGCACGTGCTCAATATCGTGCACATCCTCTGCGCAAAGGCTGGGTCCTCAACCTTGACGATGGCATCGTACGTGTCTTTGCTTGGGGGTTCCCGCGACGGCATCAGTCGCACCTCGTCGCGCGTCACCATGATGTTCAAGTCGCCGAGCATCTTCTCGACCGAGGTGCCGACCGGCACGTTGCTGAGACGCACGGCGCTGAAGTCGGATGGCAGCGACACATGGGGCACCATGGCGCCAGGGACAAACTCCACCCATGCGCCACGTAGCTCGCGCGTCCAGTTCACTGCCGGCATCTCCATCTCGTTCTTTTGAGACGAAGAGACACCATTTTTGGGGCCATGGCCACCGCCCTCTCTGGCTTCCCGGGCGATGACGGCCGGGTCGTGGGAAAACCGACAGGACGAACCTTGCCAGCAGCCACGGCCGCTCGCGTGGAAGCGGCAGGGCCTCTTGCTCTTAGTCTGCTGGGGCGGCCAATGAAAGACGGGGCGCGCAACACTGGCGGGCTCGGGACGCGGCGGAGGTGGTGGAGGTGGTGGAGGCGCTTGGGCGCTGAAGAGGTTCCCCATACCGAAATATTCGGAGCTGACAGCGATCGGGATAGAGAAGAGGTACAAGATAATGATAAGCACAAAGTATACCGCAAGAAAGATTGCACAAATCAAGAGAAAACTATAAAGGAGAAGAATCAAGGAAAGAAGCAGGAAGGAAAGCAGAATGAGATCCAACATTCAGTCGGACGAGAAACACTCTGGTCAAATGTTTCAGAACCGTGCCCAGTCCAACGAGCAGCTCGGTAGACGAACAGAAAAAGCGTGTAGAGCTCAAAAAAGAAGCAATATGCGTTGTGCGTGGTCACTTTGTCTCTTATTGCTCACCGTCTGCCGAAAGTCTCAGTTCAATCCCGAAAAAGGCAGACAAATCCAGAAACAGACGCGAGTTCTCCCGCATTCCGGAAAACGAAAAGGGTCTTCTCCCAGTATTTATCCCACGACCCCGCCTTTGGTCGCGGACTTTCGTACGAATGATTGGGCAAGGCCGGCCAACGATCTGCCTGTGAGTGCACGTAAGCATGGAAGTGATCGCACGTTACGCCCGAAACAATGCTCTCGTCTCGGCAAGGTCTGATAGGCTACAGGTAGGTAATGTATCAGAAAATTCTCCATCCACCTGCCCAGTTTCTTCTTGCTTGGACATAGATATGCAGAAAGAAGATACAACCCAGAAAGTCCGTAGGCATCTCCAAGCAGCGACACAATTTCCAAAGTTGTATATATAGACTTTGTGGATTTTTTTTAGTACCCGACTACTAGTCACGCGATCCAGATCCGCAGCACATAAAGCGCAGGAACACGCACATCAGATCCAACGAACATTGTCTAGCCTCCTGAACACTGCCTGTAGTTGACCGTAGAGCCTTGAGAAGTGAAGGCCCCTGTTCAGACCCCGTACTGGCTCGTAGTTGGCGGTGTCGGATAGGTGTACGTGAAAAAGACGTCCTGGAGCCGTTGTACCAGATCGGCGTCCATTTCTACCATGACATTCTTAAACCGAGACCGCACCAATATCCGCGTCATGATCTCGACCTTATCGTCATCATCAAAGTCCTGATGGCTGAAAACGCCCTGCCTGTGCATCTGCTTGTCGACTACCAGCTTCTCCATGGTCACAGCCAGCTTCTCGACCTCAGAGAGACCTGATGCAAGTCAGCTTTCAATTTTCGACTGAAGCCAGATCGTTCATTGACTTACCGCAATTTCTTATACGGCCTGTACGGTTAGCCAGCAATGCTAAGATATGCTTTCTGCACTTGTTACTCACCTGGTGTCTCTAGGGCATACTTCAGCAGAAACCTGTGTTGCATAGCAGCGCTTAAAAAGTCTCCGGCAGGCTGCCATAGATTCACATTCGATCTTTCGAGACTTGCTTCTGTAGTGACGGTTGCGTAAATTAGGAAGTTGAGCCGGTCCGGTCGCACATACGTCTTGACTAGTAGAGCCAATCTCTGTCAGCAAGTGAAGCAAACGGCACGGGGCAGCATTGCACAGACGCACCTGCCGCAAAAATGTTTTCGGGGCCGTCTCGGAAACGGGGATTTCCCAACATCTCAACCATAGGATTTCCCCTCTTAAAGGCGTGCTTGGGGTCCGACAATTGGAGCCGGGTGCGCTTCATGTACAACCAGAATCGCGATGGCGGTGTTCGCAGGTATGCCTCAAAAAGTATGATACGATTTCGCAAGCGAATGGCTTCGTCAACTCCTGCCACGAGGCTCCACGAGTCTAGCTTGATGCGTAGCTTCATCATCAAGCCCGACTGGTGTACGTCAGTGTCAAAGCTGTCAAACGCAATGTCACCGTCTCTGAAGTCTTTGTACGTTGAGAAGAAGGAATTCTCCACGTCGCCATCCAAATGCGATTCCATGTATTCATGAAACATTCTGCGAGTCTCTCTCTGCTTTCCAAAGTCAAGAAAGGGTGTAGGCTGTATCGGCGTCCAGGCGGCTTTTTTCGTGCAACCCATAGTCTTCATGAGTTCTTCCAGCCTTTGCAGATGCTGGCCCAGGGCAGCAGTGCCCATGACGTATTTTGGCTGCGTCAAGTACCACTCCAATGTGCACAAGAAAGCCTTTTCCGTGCCGAAGACGATGCGTGAACAGGTGTATGTGTTCTCTAGCAGGACCTTGTTGATCTTGTTTACGTGGTCTGTCCCTAGGCTAAAAATGCGAAAGTAGAATTTGTCTTTCTTTGAGAGCTTGCCGGTGAAGTCGCTATTGAATATGAATCTGCCGCCGATGAGTTCAGAGTAGCTGTTTTGGGGCTTTGCAATGGGCAGGTCCTCCAGAACTGACTTGGTACCCTCGCCGAAGACGTCTTCCACAGCTGCATAGTGATTCCTTTCCCGTTGGCGGCGCAAAACAGGATCGCTGTCCTCTTCCGGCACCGGGAGCAGAGAGCTTCGCAGAACGAGAATCAGCTTGCTAGAAATGGGACCAAACTCGTGCAAGTTGACGTATGCGGTCGGAGTTATTTCTTTCGTATGAATGTCCTGAGCGAAGCTGTTTGGACCTTCAAAGATGTTGTAGCTGTTGTCCGTCAAGATAAACTCATCGTTGTAGCATTTTGGGGGGTGCATATGGACATGTACATGCCGTCGACGTGCATAATAAACCACACTGCGTCGAGCCTGTACATCTTCTGCATGAGCTCGGCCTTCCAATCTCGCTCCGGGTCCATGTCAAGCTCCATGATCAGCTTCAGGCTTCGTAGCCAGATCTCGAACGGCCGCGTAAAATTGTTCTTGCGCATGTACTTTTGGAACTCTTCCTTGTCATCGGCGCAGTAGCTTTCAATATCCTCGTGCGAAAAGCGGGTGTAAAACGTGGGGCCGCGAAACTTGAGCAGAAACAGAAACTTTCTCAACAGATCCCGCTCTGGGCGCATGAGGCTGACTACTTTGGCGCCATCGTCGTATGCCTTGGTGATGCGACGGAAAACTCTCTGGGCCTCTCCTTCGATATGTGCAAACTTCTTCTCCACCTCGTTCTGCTCCGCCTTGATCGTCTTCAAATTATCACGGTACATATCTGGCAGACCTAGGATGCGATTGACAGGGCTCTCGTCGATTGCATAGGGCGTAAGCTGCATGTTCACGTTGTTGACCACTTTGTCACCCGGGTATCTCTTCAGGTTGCCCTTGTCGCAGCTGGCGACATGCTTCTTGCTCTTCTTCTTCCTTTTGCCTTTCCCATCTCCAACGTCTGTGCCTGGGTCGACGGGAGGCTCAAAGTTGTGCGCAAAGTTTCGTAAGAGAAAAAATTGCGGCACAAAGTGCTGGTATTGCGAGCCCGACGTCATTGCTGATACTTGTAGCTTGTAAAGTATGCGGTCTGGTTCTACAACGCCACGGTTTCTATTCAGACACAGTTACCAACAGCACAAATCTTCTCTTATATATACGGATCTCTGTAGGTCTCCGTGGTCTACGTAGGCCTCTCAGCCCGACCTACATACACATGCGTTCATGCCTAAAGCCGTGTGTAGGCCTCCCAATATCCACCAATGAGCAACATCTCTACGGAGTAGATGTACCTTCAGATACCACCTTCCGGTAGTATTGGCGGCTTGAGGCAATGTGCATGAAAGTATAGGTGGTCGATGTGAAAGTTGTGCAGCTGCCCATATTTAGCCCGGCTCGTGCCATTTTGTTTTTTGAGTTTGTCAACCCCCTCATTTTCATCCACTTCAAGACCTCATTGCCTACAGCCCGTTACAATCACATCGCCAACCAAGATGACACCTGGGGGCAGTATCGCACAAGCACGATGCATGCGTCGTTGTGTCGTGCGTCCACACGGTACTGCCTCCAGGTGCGGTTCCATTATTGTCTCCTCATCTGCAAAACACCGACGCGAATGTCCAAGGCGCCAGTGTGTTTCCCCCCCCGGTGTCTGTGTCTGCTTACATAGACTTTTTGCTGATGCCAACTACCAGATATGACTTTCAGATTGCTTGCACCAGCGACGATCAGCGCCAACCGTTAGAGAATTTGGAAGACAATCAGAGGGACGCATATTTGCTAGGTGTAGCTACATGCTACGGACTGCCTCAAGTATCGGGTCACTCTGCATGTCCTACGATCTCACGATGCGCCGCACTGATCGTAGCTGGCATGGCATCTGTTGACAGTATTGTGCGTCTTCGGACTCGAAGACAGCAGGACCCGGATATTGTCGTAAAAAGGTGTTCTATTGTTTAGTCCGTGACCAAGACCAAGCAATAATGCTTTACAATTACAAGCTCGCATCAACGCACAAAAATTTACAATCTCAGAAACTCAGGATGAACGCAGACCCCTTTCTAGAGGCGTGTCCAGAACGGACGGGAACACCGCCAGCAATACCGCCAGTACCGCCCATACCTGCCGGGTTCGGCCCAGTTCGCATAGAGAGCGGATGTTCCAATGACGTCCAGGGGATGGACAGTGCTTTTGATCCAGAAACTTCGGAATTCACCCACAGCTATTACGGGGTTGAAGACTGCAACGCCAACTCCGGTCCTCTCGGGCAAGATAATTACAATGTCCCATGGGAGACCAGCGATATACTGTCTTCTTTTGGGTCCCCCTACCCCATCGTTGCAGACGGGATGGACTTTGACGACTTCTTCGTCAATACTGATGAGACCCTACCTAGACTGGGAACCTGCCATTGGTATATACCCGGACGCTTCTGTGTCTCCTACTCTTTCGACGCCCTCGGAAGACACGTTTACTTCTTCATTATCTTCGATGTTAGGCAGTCCTGTGGAGTTGCCCACAAAGGCGGTGCTGTCCCAGAAAAACGAGCGACCAGTCCGGCGCTCAATAAGAAAGAAAAACGGATCACTGAAAAAGTATGTGTTGACCGGCAATGCAAGACTCAAGCTTCTAACAGGATAATAGGCGTGAAATCCGCCAGAATGAAAGACCGGAAAAGTGCAAAGTGTGTGGACTGGGCCACCCCTACAAGCGAGAACTAGATGAGCACATGCGTGTTCACCATCCGGACCTAGTGAAAGGGATGCTAGATATCAGTCCCTCGGTCTGTCCCGACTGCGGAACGACCATTTCAAAGGGCAACATGGCTAGGCATCGACGAGCTTGTAAGGGGAAATATAGAAGTTGCTGCTGAAATTTCTCCATTGTTGTAATTCATTTTACTGTATTTCGTTTTTCGCGATCGTGCCATGACCTCAAATATTTACATAACAGACAAGTTGTGTCTAAAGTCGTTACAAATCACCCAAGCTATCAAATTCCAGGCCTAGTATCAGTAAGCCTGCCACATACATAGGAACTTCAATGCTCCTCTGCCTGGTAGCTTATATAATGACTATCTAGACCCGGCTATCTTACCATTTCTAGGGTATAGAAAGGCAAACAACTCAGGAGTTTTCCTACGATATGTATATTCCGTCACTTTGCAAGTGGCCAGTAACAACTAGTCACAATTGGTTTGCCTGTATAATGTCTTCCGGTCGGAAAGCCACACTAATGTCATCTACGATGATATGCCTCTAGGCAACCGGTGGCCATGACCGAAGGGATCATCTCAAGGACGCCGCCGACTTTGGACAGTGGGAGAAGGTTACTGTCTCGGGGATAAAAGGGGGATAAAAGGAGGCAGATCCTGTGGGCTTGTGGAGCTTTCACGGATACCCGCACTGGGTTTTGTAATAGAAGCTAGAAGTTTTGGCCCACAGAGATCTTACTCTGTGCATAAATTGATAAAAGCATAGATACCAGACACATTTTGATGAAAATGAACCTTGTGTTCGAATGTGACCTTTCGTCTGACCTTTCGATGACAACGCTATCCTGACAAACAGATGGTGCCGCAGATGCCGATTCAGCCTGATGGTGATCCGATTTAGGGGATCATCCGCTTTTCTGTAGCGTAGCGACGGTGGCATGCACCTCGTATTTGCAAGCGCTTCCAACGCCTCCCTGGCAATTTCCCGCGTGTCTATGCGCTGGGTGGGGAAGAGCTGTTTCGAAACGCAATTCGAAACTGGGATACGAGCACGACACCAGATAGCTCCCCGTAATAGGTTGGACGCTTCTCGTACAAATAAGGTGAGAACTCTCTTTCATCTGATCCAGTGCGACTTGTTTTCACCTCACTATCGCTTCCAATACTTCCACACCAAACATTTCCACCCTATTCTGCACTCGATTCGCCATGACTTCCTTGATCCGTCTCATTCTGGCCGCTGCGGTGGTTTCCACTGTCACAGCAGCTCCTGCCACCACGCTGATCGACACAGATGCTCCTGACTTTGAGATCGGCAGTCGAGACGTTTTAGCCGCCCGCCAAAGCCCAAATTACAACCAAGATTACACGACCGGCAACACTGTCAGTTATACGGCAGCCAGTGATGGCTACTCGGTCAGCTTTACGGGTGCCTCCGATTTTGTTGTCGGAAAGGGCTGGTCGAAGGGAACAAACAGGTAATGCTTTGCCATCAACACGTTGCCTGCGCATCTGTCCTAACGTTTGCTGTTCGTACAGGAGCATCACTTTCAGTGGCAGCACCACGGCCTCTTCGGGCACTGTGCTTCTCGCTGTCTACGGCTGGTCCAAGAATCCTCTGATTGAGTACTACGTCCAGGAATACAGCAACGGCGCTGGTGCTGCGCAGGGCGAGAAGGTCGGTTCGTACACGAGCGATGGCAGCACGTACGAGATCTGGAAGCACCAGCAGGTCAACCAGCCGTCCATCGTGAGCTCGTCGTCCACGTTCTGGCAGTACATTTCTGTACGCCAGAACCAGCGAACCAGCAGCGGCACCGTCACGGTGGCCAACCATTTTGCGGCCTGGGCGAAGAACGGACTGGACCTGGGCACCCTAGACTACCAGGTGATGGCCACGGAGGGATGGAACAAGGCGACCGGCAGCTCCCACTACACCCTGAGCTCGTCTTAGTACGGTGCTGATTCAGTGAAGAGAGAAAAGGAGTGGCCAGTGTTCATTGTACAAATTCGCATGTAAACATTTATCCCCCATTCGGGCAGTTGTGTCCTGTATATCTTGAAGCAGCATGAAGTTCATTGTGTATCAACCAAGGTAATATCTTGAGTCTTTACTCCGTGCGTGTGTACTTTGCAACCACATGCCTGACACAGTGTGGATGTATTAGGATATACATGAAAAATTGCTTAGATAATGTCTACTGACAATGACTATTGACTACTGACTACTGACTACTCAATAAGACTATCTGAGCCTCAAAGCAATCTTGTCTGCCAATTCTCACCCCAATCAACGCGTGAGAATGGAAAGCATAGTCGTGTTTTCTCTTTGGACCGTGCACGTATGCCACAACCTAGTCGTGCGGCTTTGGCGGGCCTGGCATCCATCGCGGCAGAGTCCCACGTGCGTGCTCGAACGGCTGCCGGCCGAGCTGATCATCGACATGGACGACTATTTCTCTTCGCAAAGCCGAATACTTCTCTCTCGGACTTGCCGCTCTCTGCGAGCGATGCTGACGAACACGGACGACTTCTACACTGTCGGCTGCTCATCGCGTGCAGAGCGTGCCGAATTTCTCTACCTTGTCGCCCGCGATATTCCTGATCGTTGGCTGTGCGATGCATGCATGGCTCTCCACGAAGTGACGGTGTCTGATACACCTCCTTGCAAGAATACCCGGCACTGCAAATTGTATAAAGATTCTTATGATTATGCACGAAAACCGGCTCTTGCTCCTGTGAACTACCGACACGTTCAACTCGCCCTCAAATACAGCCGGATGAAGGATGGCATATCCCGCTACCACCGACATCATCTGGCAAAGCTGCTGGAGCCGTTTTCCTACACGAAGACGGTCTGTCTTCGGGCATACTCCAGCATATTTTGGGCCCGGTGTGAATCGTATCCCAAAGTTGCCATGGCCCCGGACGGCGGACAACATTACCTGCTGCTCACGATTGTTTCGCTCCGCAGGCCTCGCAACCTAGAAGATGCACTCGGAAGGACCGGCAGCGTCAATATCTGCCCACACCAGAGGACAGACAGTCGAGATAAGAAGGAGATTGAGGACTTTAAAAACGAGTACCATGACAACGACCGGGGGCCCATCTCTGATGGTACCTGGCAACCAGACATCGATTTGGCTTTGTATGACATGTTACAGATGGCACGGGGTCGAGGCAGGAGCAATGGCAGCAGAAGTAGCAGCAGCGGTCACAGAAAAAGCCGAACTCGAAGTGGTTGCTACGATGAAGTTTGCGGCAGCTGCTTACTCTGCACTACGGACTATTCCTTCCGGCTGATGCCTCAGAGCATTGAGCTTCGTGTCTGGCAAGATCTTGGGCCGGAGGGCGCTCCCAGTAACAGTCAATGGCAGATGCATATTTCGGAGAAATATTTTTACCACGAGAATGACCGAGGTGACGCATACGACGAGTGGTCGTCTATTGCAGCTGTGCACCGTGTCGACGGAAGTGTGCGGCAACTGTACGAGAGCGATATGAGCGATAGGGGCGCATAGACAGTCGATAGATAGGACTCGATATAGTCTAAAAATACACACTCGTCGGACTTACAGTGCGCAGATGTGGGGCACTGGATATATTTTGACATCTTCCGAACCGAAAATCGACAAGCCATCTGGCCAGCTAACGACGATCTACCAACGGCACGATGAGCGAAGCATACAAGCTCTGGATCAACGGGGAGGAGCGAGAGGGGAGGGGGGAGCTGTAAGTGTGTAACAGCGAACTGGTGGAAGTATCTGCTGACGGGTTAGGATTGATGTGGAAGACCCGTCGACGGGAGAGATTTTTGCGCAGTAAGTTTGGTGAATGGAGACGAAAGAGTGGAGAGTGAGAGGTGGGAGGTGGGAGAGACAAGCAAAGAAGAGAGGAGAGGAACGGAAAAAAAGGAAAAGAGAAGAGAGAGGGGAGCGAAAAAAGAGGCAATCACAGACCAAGGAGCTGACAATCCCAGGAGCCACACGGCCTCGACCGAGGACGTGGACGAGGCAGTGCAGGCGTGCCAGGCAGCGTACGAGTCAGGGGTGTGGTCACGGGCGCCACGACAGCAGCGTGCAGACGTGCTGGAGCGGTGTGCAACCGAGCTGACGGGCGCGCTGGCGCCGCTGATCGCGCTGGAGGTGCAGCAGACGGGACGGGCAATGGCAGAGATGCAGGCGCAGGTGCCGTCGCTGGTGCGATGGTTCCGCTACTACGCGGCACTGCTGCGGACAGAGGAGCAGCCAGTGTTGCCGACGAGCGGCAAGCTGCACAACTTTGTGACGCGGGCGCCTCTGGGTGTCGTCGTGCAGATCACCTCGTTCAACCACCCGCTGCTGATCGCGGTCAAGAAGTTGGCTCCTGCTCTGGCGGCCGGCAACAGCGTCATCGTCAAGCCGAGCGAGCTGACCCCGCTGACGACGTTGTTGCTGGGCCGCCTGCTGCAGCGTGCCGGCCTGCCCGACGGCGTGCTGGCCGTGCTGCCGGGTCTGGGCGTCACCACCGGCGCCTCTCTCGCGGCTCATCCGCTCGTCCGCAAGGTCGACGTTACCGGTGGCACCACGGCTGGTCGCGCCATCGGTCGTCTCGTCGGCCAGAACCTCGCTCGCTACACGGCCGAGCTCGGTGGCAAGGCTCCCCTGCTCGTCTTTGCCGACGCCGACGTCCACGCTGCCGTCAACGGCATCGCTTTTGCCAGCTTTGTCGCCAGCGGCCAGACCTGCGTCGCCAGTACCCGCATCCTCGTCGCCAATAGCATCCTCGACAGCCTGCTCGTCCGCCTCGCCGCCAAGGTCGCCTCCATCACTCGCCGCATCGGCCGGCCCGCCAATCCGGCTTCGGCCATGGGCCCTCTCATCTCTGCTCGCCAGCTCGCTCGCGTCGAGTCTCTCGTCGACGATGCGCTCGCCAGCGGCCTCGCCGTCCCCTTGGATACCGGCGAGACCACCGCCTGCCGCATGCGAGGCCCCAGCTCTCTCGATGGCGCCGACCTCGGCCTCGGCTACTACTATGCGCCCACTGTCCTCCTCTCGACCGATCGTGCCGCTAACAGCATCACCCGCACTACCCTCTGGCGCGAAGAGGCCTTTGGACCCGTCATCGTCGTCGTCGGCTTCGACTCCGAGGACCAGGCCATAGCCCTCGCCAATGACAGCCCCTACGGCCTTGGCGCTGCAGTCTGGACAACCGATCTGGCCCGTGCGATGCGTGTCACTGACCGCATCGATGCCGGCATCACCTGGGTCAATACCCATCACCGCAACGATCCTAGCAGCCCCTGGGGCGGCGCCAAGAAGGACAGCGGTGTCGGCAGCGAGAATGGCGTCGACGCCTATCACGCCTACACCACCATGAAGAGCACGGTCATCAATTTCGCTTCAACTGAGGAGGCCCTCGCAACCGAGGACTGGTTCGGCGAGAAGGCTGCCCCGGTTCGCTACGGGTAGATGGACATGTAGACCATGTAGGGAAAAGGCTTAAAATAGATTCATTTCTCATTTCTCATGTCCACAGCGACGTGATCGTCTTGGTCATAGTGTAGAACTGCCACGGACTTCTGCCATTGACGTTTAAATCTGTTGGTCAGCAGTGACCCAAATAGGAAAGACCCAGAACGTATCTCACCTCCTAGAAATGAGCCCTTGTTGGCTGTACGCAATACAGGGCCAGACGGTGCTGCTGGTCAGCGGCGAATGACAAAACACAGGGAGAGAGAGACAAACCGACTATAGGCACATTGATGCCTATCTGGCCCACGTTGACCGTCCGCTGGAACAGCTGGGCTGTGGACGGGCTGTTGGTAAACAAGGTGCAGCCGTTGCCGTCTGCTTAGTCAGCACCAAACACATCACAGAGTAACAGTATATCACACACAGGATCCTTCACACAGGACCCATCACACACCACCCTCCACCACCCACACCCCACTCACATCGGTTGTTGTTGACCAGCTCCATGGCCTGATCGAGTGTGTCGACCTCGACGCAGCAGAGCACGGGTCCAAAGATCTCCTCCTGGTAGCAGGTCATGTATGGCTGAACGCCCGTCAGGATCGTCGGCCCGACAAAATTGCCCTGGGGATAGTCGGGAACGGTGTAGGCGCGGCCGTCGAGGGCGACGCGGGCGCCTTCGGACTCGGCGGCCGTGATCATGGCCTCGACACGGGTCTTGGCCGTGGCCGAGATGAGCGGGCCAACCTCGACGAGCGGGTCGATACCGATGCCGACAACGAGTGTCTTGGCGATGGCGACGAGCTCGTCGATCCACGCACGCGTCGCGCCGACAAACACGGCCACGCTGACGGCCATGCAGCGCTGGCCGGCAGCCCCGAATGCGCTGCCGGCGATGGCATATAGCGTGCGCATGCGCGTGGCGTCCTCGAGCACGACGCCGTGGTTCTTGCCGTTGCACTCGACCTGAATCCGCTTGCGCGTCGCCCGGGCGTGCTCATAGATCTGCTCACCCGCCACGTCCGAGCCGACGAAGCTGACGGCCCGCACAACCGGCTGCGACAACAGCCCGCTCACCACGCTCGCGCCGCCGTGCAGAATCCCCAGCACGCCGGCCGGAAAGCTCGCCTGCACGAAACACTCAGCTAGCACCTGCGTCACCGATGGCGTCTGCTCCGACGGCTTCAGGATCACCGTGTTGCCCGCCAGCAGCGCGTACGGAATCGACCACAGCGGAATCATAAACGGAAAGTTGAACGGGCTGATCGTCAGACACACCCCCAACGGCTCGCTCATCGTGTGGATCTCCGCCCACTGGTTCGTCTGGTGGCTCCCACTCGGCTCGTTCGACAGCGACACTGCCGTCTCGACCGCGTCCATGCCGCGCTCAAACTCGGCTTCTGCATCGGCCAGCGTCTTGCCCACCTCCAGGCAGAGAAAGTGGCGCTGTCTGCGGTCAGTCGTGTCTTTTACTTCTCCGGATCACCACCCAACCTACTATTCGCGACGAGTGCTGCCGCAGAATCGGTATCAGGTTCATCATGCACTTGCGGCGCCGTGCTGGCGTCAGCTGCGCCCAGATCGGCTGTGCTGCCGCCGCTGCCTGCACGGCATCGAGAAGCTCTGCACTGGTCGAGTCTGGCACCCGTGTGATAAAGTTCTGTGAAGCCTATACAGCGTCAGCTGTACCGGCACATGTCACGCAACATACACAACACACACACTCACAGGATCGTGCACTTTGCTCCATTTCCGCGACTTGGACAGCACAAACGAATTGGCAACAAAGTTGTACGTCACGCCGTACGCCAGCTTCTGGCTGGCTTCGGCCTGGGCCCCCGATTCCGACGCGTTGGATCCCAGCCGCACAGACTGCGTTGTCGGTATGTCAGCGTGGCTCTTCAGCGGACGCATCAGTAGCAGCGGGAGATGGCCGACAGAGCTGTCTAGCACAGCACGCAGCACCCAAAAGACTGGCTCACCCCGTCAGAGCGATATCGAGACGGTCCTGATGCACGCAAGCGGGTCAGTCCTGGCACAACACCACAGCCCCCCGGCGCCTCGGCCGGCTCACCTTGTCCCGACAGTGTTGTAGCTATGCTGCCCGGCGATCCGTCCATCACGCAGAAGAGAGACGTGTGCCAGAGGAAGGCGGTAAGAGATACGATCCTGCTCTATACATAGCCCAGAGACGTGGGCCTAGTCCGGTCTGATTCGGCCTATTCTTGTCGCGGGTGTCGAAGCGGCAGGGCGTGGCCAGTGGAAATTGTTTGCGCTCGCTTCTTCGTGCTGGACTGTGGGGCGGCTAAATCCAGCTCGAACAAAGCCTTATCGTGTGTACGGTCACGTGCACACACTTCCATCCTCTTCTGACTAGATGGATATAATAGGAATTGATAGGATACTAAAATAGAACTTATCAGACAAGCCGACAATTTCTGCCTACGATCAACCTGGTTAAATCGTACGAGTACTAGTTGCGAGCAGCACTCGTGTCAGTTGGCTGGGCTGCAAGACCTTTCTCCTCTTCCTTCTCCTGCTCGTCATTCCCGTCAACTCTGCGAAATGGCTTTTGAAACCGAAGCTCTAGTGGCGCGGGGTCCGTTCTCCGAGGGCAAGTGGGCCATTGAGCCGGTGGTGTTGCGAGCTCTGGGGCCGGACGAGGTCCTGGTCGAGATGGTCGCCTCGGGCATCTGCCACACGGACTTGCACTGCGGCAACACGGCAGCTGATGCCGGGGTGCCGAGCGTGTTTTACCCGCGGGTGCTTGGACACGAGGGTGCGTGGTTTTGTCTCGTCTTCGGCTTGTCTTCCGTCTTTGTCTCCGCGCTGACGACACAGGCTCCGGCTATGTCGTGCAGGCCGGCCGTGCCGTGACCAAGGTGAAGCCGGGCGATGCCGTCCTGCTGTCCTTTTCGTACTGCGGCGAGTGCTACGTCTGCCAGGCCGGCACACCCTCGCACTGCCTGCGCTTCTTTGACATCAACTTTCTGGGCGAGCCGGTCTTTGCGCCCCGGACGGCCGACAGCAGCAGCGCCGCAGTCACGGCCACGATCGGCGGCCGCTTCTTCGGCCAGTCGAGCTTTGCGCGCCACGCCATCGTGAGCGCTCAGTCCGTCGTCAACGTGAGCAGCCTGCAGCTCAGTCGCGCCGATCTGCGTCTGCTGGCACCGCTCGGCTGTGGCTTCCAGACCGGCAGCGCCACCGTGATCAACGTGGCCCAGGCCGGACCCGACGACAGTGTCACCATTGTCGGCATGGGCGGCGTCGGACTCGCTGCCGTCATCGCTGCCCACAACCGTGGCTGTCGTGCTGTCATCGGCGTCGATCGTGTTGAGGCCCGTCTCGCCCTCGCTCGCTCGCTCGGTGCCACCCACACGGTCAACACCACCGGCCGGTCGATGGACGAGGTCGCTGCGCTGATCCGCGCTGCTACCGTCGATGGACTCGGCTCGTCCATCTCTATCGATACCAGCGCCCATCCGCCCCTGCTCGCCGCCCAGATCGATGCTGCCCGCTACATGGGCCGCATCATCCAGGTCGGCACCGGCATGCCTGATGCCCACGTCGAACTGCACATGCAGAGCTTCATGGTCAGCGGTAAGCAGTACTTTGGCGCCGTCCAGGGCCGCGTCCAGCCTGAAGCCTATGTGCCCACCATGGTCCAATGGTGGCGCGATGGCATCTTTCCCGTCGAGAAGCTCGTCACCTTCTTCGAGGCTACCGACTTTGCCAGCGCCATCAAGGCCATGGGCAGCAGCGACGTCATCAAGCCGGTGATTGTGTGGTAGATAAATATGCATGTACATAGGCAAATGGATACTTGTATATATGAATACATGAACAAATGGATAAACGGATACGTGACACAGATTCATCAAAGCACATGCATCAAAGCACCAAGGACAATGGCCTACAAACACAGCTATACCAAAAACAGTGCATTGCCTAAAAATATTTTACCAGATCATTAATGTGCTACATCCTCCCAGCCTTGCCAGCCCCGACCCTTGACATCGACAAGCTCCTTTTCTGTCACCTTTGGTGTGTTTGTGAAGTAGCCAGCATTGATCTTGGCGTCAATCTCGACATGCGAGTCCTCCGGAATCATGTCTGCCAACGGTTAGCGTCTCGTTCGGCCAACGGCTCTCCTCCAGCAAGTACTCACGGTCTGGGATCGGTATGCGCTCCAGGATGGGAATTCCCTGTTCCACAATGGCGTCGTACTTCATGTTGGACATGGACAGCATCCGGTCAATCTTCTTGATGCCAAGCCAGTGCAAGATGTCGGGCATCAAGGCTTGGAAGCGCATCTGGGAACAGTCAGCAGGTGTGAAGACAAGTATAGACCAAGATAGGGGACGCACATCTCTGACACCGGCAACGCCCTCAGTCCGGGCAAAGTACTTGTCAGCCGTGTCGCCGCCACGCTTCCGCGCATTGTACACGAGGTACTTGACGACCTCGCCGAGGGCACGGCCCTCTTTGCGGAAGTAGATGACGACGCCGGAGCCACCGTTCTGGGCCTCCTTGATGGCCTCCTCGATGCCAAAGGCGAGGTAGGGCCGGCACGTGCAGATGTCCGACTGGAACACGTCGGATCCGTTGCACTCGTCGTGCACGCGCAGCGCCAGCTTCCGGCTCTCGTCCCCGACATACTCGGGCGGCCCAAAGATGTACACGGTCAGGCCGCCGATCGGCGGCAAGAACACCTTGATGTCCGGCCGCGTCACCAGCTCCGGGTAGCTACCGCCCGTGTGCTCGAACAACGTGCGCCGCAGCGTGCCCTCGTCGATGCCGAACCGCTTGGCCACGCCCGGCAGGTACCACACCGGCTCGACCGCACACTTAGTCACCCGCACGTCACCCTGCGCGTTGAGCACGATGCTCCCGTCGACCGGTACCCGGCTCGACCGCACCGCTTCTGAGATCTCTGCCAGTCGCATCGTCGCCCGCGTGATCGCAATCGTCGGCCGCACGTCCAGCCCGCGGTCCAGGTACTGCTGGTAGTGCCGCACAATATCGTGGCCAAACGGGTCCATCGACACAATCTTCTCCGCATCACCCCATGCCGGCTGTTGTGGAAAGTCAAACGTCGGCTGCGTGTTCTCAAAGCTCGGCCGGAAGTCTGGCGGGAGCTCGCCCGACGCGATCGCCAGCGCGCTGTACACGCAGTAGCTGCCGCCGTGCGCCCCGATCGCGTTCCGCCGCATCAGCGTCTCGCCGCTGCGCGACACCAGGATCGGGCCCCGCTCCTGCGGATCGGCCGCGCCCCATTGCAGGTTGATCGGGTTGACCACGCTCTGGCCGGGATATGTCGTGAGCTGTGCGGTTAGCAATCAGCAATCAGCAAGAAGCAAGAAGCAAGAAGCAAGAGTAACAAGCAAGAAGCAAGAAGCAAGAGTAACAAGCAACAAGAAACAAGCAAGAACGCATGGCTCAATGAGAAGACGACAACCACACTCACAATAATCCGGTTGGAATACCCTCTCAACGGTTCAGCCGCACGCTCTTGGCTCGGGGCAGTCATCTTGGCTGTGTTGGGACTCTCGGATGCACTCGTGGAGTTGGGCTCGGACAGGTCAAGAGAGTAGGATGTGTTGAGTTGCACCATCCTGAACAAGAGGCAGGCGGGCGCTTTCTTGTATATGTGCGTCTGTCCCGTGGTGGATAAGGTCCTGGCTATTTTCAGCTTGGCCTGCTCAAACTGCCACACGCCCCTGTGCCTTTTCGCGGAGTCGTGCTTTGTCGCTTGCCTATTCTTGTCTGCGATCATTCATCTTTAGAACCGAGATCGTGCATGGAACCGTCCAGATAGGCTGCATTCCACTGCACTTCTCCGCCTCACTGCCGATCTGCGCTAATTCCGTGCATAGATAGAGGATACAGCCGGCTCAGCGCCTGGGCCTTATCTGCTTATCCAGCCGACCCCGCCGGAGCCACTGCCTGTTAGTGTGTTATTTATAGTGAGCTTGTGGGCCACAGTGGCGACAGATAGTGCTTGCGACATATTACTTATCTCCTTTCCGGCTGTTCTTAGAAGCTATGTGGGCTCCCCAACCTTTCTTTAGCCCGCCGTTAATAAATCTTCCATCGATTACGAGCATCCGGATGCACGATCACCACGTGTGGGAAAAGCTCGTTTCAGACAATGTTCTATTTGGGGTTGACCCGTTCCAAGATACCACAACTCACGCCCCCTCTCATGATTACGTAAGCTACTACTGCTGTAAACAACAACACCCACACCCACATCCACACTCCCACACCCCCCTCAGAACAGGGTCCCGTCACCGTTGAGCAGGATTGGGCTGGATTTTGTCTGCGGCCGGAGCTTGGCCGCCAGCTCGCGGCCACCCTTCCACGTGCCGGCCTCCAGCACCTGGGCCATGGTCAGCTTCGTGCCCTTGGCCGCAAACGTTGTCGACACCAGCTTGAAGAGCTCGTCCAGCAGGGCCACCGTCATGGCTCGCCACTCCACGATCACGTCTTCGGTCGGCGAGAAGCGCGGGAGCACCTCTCCGCCCGCCGTGTCCGTGTTGGCCTCGGCCACGGCCGCCTTCAGCGTCAGCGCGCCCAGATCGACAAACAGGCCGCCGTTGCGGTACTCTGGCAGACCCGTGCCCAGCTGGTCGTTCACCACGCCGAGGCCCAGGATGCGCACAAACGGCACCGTGAGCGAGTAGCCGAGCCACTGCGTCAGCTTGTGGAACGGCTGGATGGCATCTGCCGCCGCTGTGGACTTCGGCGACCGCCTCTCTGCCCGCTGTGCCAGCACCTGGAGCGGCCAGGCATCGCCGATCGGCCGGCCGTTGATCGTGGGCCGGTCCTGGGGCCACGCTGGAATTAAGATGGCCTGCAGCGTCGACCACAGCAGCCGGTAGTCCAGCACGCCCTCGCTGGAGTTCTTCAACACGTAGTCTGGGGGGCATTGTCAGACATGATCATAGTTTCGTAGGTTATGGTGGGCGTATCAAGGGAATATCCTCACCAACAGCATTTCCAGGCCGACCAGTGGGGCCAACAATTTCGGGCAGTCTCAAGAGAGAGCTGCCAATTCTGTTCAGCAGCGCCACACGCGAGGACACGCCGACCAACGGATTCTCAGCCGACACCTGGAAGCCCTTGACAAAGGGCCCTTCTGTGAGGCCGACCAGTCCGGCACCTGGGAAAAGCAAGATGAAGAGTCAGCATCATAACGTCGTCATGGGTCCGCAGGTCTGCCCATACCGTCAACGATCAGCGGCTGCGCTTTGCCAGCACTGCTGAAAGCTCCCTCCAGAAACATGTGCAGCGAGGCCACGGCGATGCCCTCGCTCCGGTTGAACGCCCGGCCCGTGGCAGCCTCGTCGTACTTCCAGGTGTCGCCAGCACCGGCGTCCAGCAGCACGGAGACAAAGAAGAGGTCTACCAATCGCCGTGTGAGCTCAAGCTTCGGCACTCCTTCGCCTTCCCATGCTTCCAGCAGAGGGGCAATGCGGTCGATGTCGCCGACGTTGAAGTGCTGCCAGCGGCCGTGCGGTGGGATCTCGTCGAACTTGTCCGGGCCAAAATCGCGCTGTGAAAGATGGGTGTCCTGTCATCAGCAACGTCGTCCATGATTCCTCCTTCGTTAACCGCTCTCGCCTATCGTGCATACCTCGATGATGGCGCAGACAAAACTTGCCACCTCTGGGAGCTTGCTCTCGTGGTAGTCAAAGTGGTTGAGATCGCCTGCCTGTGCGGCCAGGAGCACCTCTCTAGACCGCTCTCGAACCGCTTCCAGGCTGAGGAGGTAGGCCACGGTCGGATCGGTGGGAGCAGCCATGTCTTCGGGCTGCTTGGGGGAGCTTTTGGAGGTTTATCTTTGCCTGGCTTGGCTGGAATGCTCACGGCTCACGGCTGTCGTCCAGTAGCTCGTATAGAATCAGGCACGGGATGTAGGTGAAAGCAAGTCCTGTCCTCGTTGCGGTCTCGGCCTCTGGCAATCCTTTGTAGAATTTGTCGTCGTGTTCTCGCCATGGCCCCGCATCACGTCTGTCGTCCGTCCTGTCTCTCCTCTTCTAAAGCTACACTGTGGGGTAGAGAAAGACGCTATGAGATAGCTCGTCTACAGGACCTAAATTGGAATTTAGCGGGTGGCCGATAAGACAAGTATCTCCCTCAGGGATCTTAATTAGGACCCTTGATAGCACCCCCGGCGCTTATCTGCCCCCACCGTCTGCTATTCAGGGACCGGTTTAGACGGCCAATCCAGGAGAGTGGAGCTGCCATTTCGAGTTGATCCGCGGTCGCAGCAAGACGAAGACCGACCCAACAAGATGGTCAAATATGTCAAATATATCCACGCATCAGTTCCCACGTTCTGATCCAAGTATGGTCATAGTCCTCGTTACCACCGTATGTCAATTTTATTATAATTTTCTTCCAAAGACGAGCATCCTGTCCTCTTTGCCCCTCTTCTCCTCTTGTCTTCAAAAATCCAGCTTTGGCGTTTGCTGAGGTCCCTCTTTCACAGCTCTCTTCCCTTCTCTCTCTTCTTTCACCATGTCATCCCCCATCACAGTCATCGACAGCCCAGCTTTTACTGCGGCATTGGCCAAGCTCCGCGACCTTTCTCTGCGCCCAGCAACAGTCCGGTCCACTGTCGCCGAGCTCACCACATTGCTAGCAAGCGATGTGAAGCCACAGGTGGAGAAGGGCGAGAAAATTGCCATCATCGTCATCCTGCGCTCAGGCATGGCCATGATGGAGCCGTTCCTGTCAACACTGTCAGAGGACCTGGATCTGGTCATCTACCACCTCGGCTTATTCCGGGAAAAGCAGACGCTGCAGCCCATCGAGTACTACAACAAGCTGCCGATGAAGAGCCCGAATATCAAGAAGGCCATTGTTCTGGACCCCGTCGTGGCCACTGGTGGCACAGCAGCTGCAGCTCTTAGCATACTCAAGTACGTCCAGACAACCGGCCGATCAGAGATCAGCGCTCCCAACTCGTTTTCTGCACACAATGCTGACTAATTCGCTTCAGGGACTGGGGTGTCGAGGAGGTCAACTTCTACTGCCTTCTGGCAAGCACACCGGGCTTGAAACGGGTTACGTCCGTCTGGCCAGAGGGCTGCTCGTTCGTTGTCGGCGCGCAAGACGCAGAGCTAGACGTCAAGGGATACGTCAAGCCGGGCGTTGGAGATATCGGCGATCGCCTGTTTGGCACTGCGCTGGACTAAATGCTAGTAAAATCAATAGCCTAGTGCACAATGTCTCCTTTTTTGTCCATGTATACGAGATCAGATGCAACATATGATTGTGGTAAAGTAGATGGGAAATATAAAAAATATGGATAGCAATTAACCACTTGCTTTCTCACTATGCTTTATGCCTATTATCTAACATGCAACCCGATGCTCCGTCGTATAATCAAGTCTCCGTAACCAGTCGATGCATACAAAGTTACGATACACCCCGTAAAGTCTTCAAAAATAAGAATTAAACTAAAATTACTGCATATACTCCCTCGACTCCCACTCTATGGCCATCACTATTCGGTCCCATAAAATCTGTCGCCAAAATCGCCCAGTCCAGGTGCGATGTGGCTAAATAGCACGTTAACAATCCGGATATCCAGAATTGAATGGGAAAGTGTCCCTATACTTACTTGGATGCAGTCAGATCATCATCCACTGCGGCTGTCACGATTCTCAGTCGTGGGAATTGCTCGAGGACCTTCCTGATTCCATACTGCGACGCGACCACGTTGACAAAGATAATTTCTTCCTCGGGAACGCCAGCTTCTTCGAGGATACTGATGGCTTTGGCAGCAGAGCCGCCCGTTGCCAGCATCGGCTCCAGAATTAGGACCGCTGCTTCAGATGTCAACAGCGATCTTTTAAAGGCGAACCACGACCAAACTAGAATCTTACTGTTGGACGCGATGCTTCCAGGAAGCTTGGAATAGATGTGTGTGGGCAGGCTTGTCTCCTCGTTTCTCTGAATGAGGATTTTCCCAAAGCTCAACGGGCCCGTAGCTCTAGTCGCCACGTCAGAACACCGGCCATCTGTAGAGATCGTCGGGTACTTACGCATTTCTCAGGGCGGACTCAAAACTTGCGCCGGCACGGAGAATGCTGACTCCACAGATGGCTCTGGACTGTCGCTGCCCATCATAGTTTACCCCCGTCGGGCTCTTCACAAGAGCAGCCTCTGTCGGGACAAGATCAAGGGCTGAACAGCGGCATGTCAGCACTATTTTCCGTCTAAGGATGCTATGATCGGGCTGGAGCCTTACCTGCTACTATGAGCTGAGTCGCCACCTTCTCAAAGGCATTTGAAAAAGCAGGCGTGGCCGTTTCGCTGTCGCGAAGAATAGTCATGCAGCTGAGGAGGTAGTTGCCCTGATTCAGTAGCAACACGTTCGGGCTGAGCGGTGACTTGACTCCATTGGCATTAGTCATTTTGATGAATTGAAGCTGCTGTCTAAGTGATTCTGGTCGGTAAGTTTCCGCTCAAAGGTTCAGTTATGCTGTCGGTTCGATATCAATATGCGCCATACAGAACAATAGCATCTGCTATCACATCGGAAGATGTTCTAGAAAATAGACTGCATGCTATCGAAGCTGATCCCTGCCCTTATCACTATCCCCATTTAGGTAGATGTGGCGAAAGATGGACTGTGCCTGCGTTATCAGAGTATGTATGTACTGTACTCCGTATCTGCAAAGCATTGTTTACCCCGCGTGTGGAGCCTGTACCTTTTTACGATCTACTCCGTACTGATAACGCTGGGTGTGAAACTTATTAATATTGCGTAGCTAAAAATACATTGCAATTCGCTCACAGTAACACGTTCGACCTCTAGGCAACGAACAAAGCTAATTTGACGTTATGATACGATCCAGTTTGCTCCGACAGGACTAGACTCCTCCTGTCACGGAATTCATGACTGAGCGAGCTAGATTCCTATAAACAGTAGCTGTGACGTGCAATGTGTGCTGCCATAGACCCTTAGCCATGTTCTGTATGCCGCGTTCTCAACAACCCGACCTGCTTGCCATTTACACTTTCTTAGCAGGTCAGCTCAAACAGGAAGTGCGAGCCATGTCTCCAGAGCTTAGACTACTTGCGGGTGTGTGGGCCTCTTGGACCGCAAATATTATGTTTGTATGCTCATCACGGCCAATAGGTAGCAGCCATCGAGAGCTGGCACGGCTTGTCACAGAACGGTAAGATATGTTTTGCATGAAAGAGGCATACGTCTTTCTCATACTTGGCAGAATCGGAAGTCCGTTAGAGGAACTGAAGAACTCGCGCTTCTCCAATGGCGAAACATTTGTGACCATTGGAAAGTCTGTCCGAGGTGCCGATGTCTTCCTTCTCCAGACGGCAGCAGATCCGGTCAACGAGGTTCTCATGGAGCTTCTGATTGCCATCAGCGCCTGCAAGATAGCATCGGCCAAGAGGATCACCGCCGTGCTGCCGTGCTTTCCCTATGCCAGACAGGACAAAAAGGATCGCAGCAGAGCACCCATAACAGCCAAGCTTGTAGCCAACATGCTGGAGAGCGCCGGATGCACGCACGTTATCGTGAGTCGTACAGCTCCGTAGCCCCTCCAGATAGGAGGCTGACTCGCGGCGATCTGACCGGCTCCAAAAGACGATTGACCTGCACGCCTCACAAATCCAGGGATTCTTCAACATTCCCGTCGACAAGTCCGTAGCCCCCTTTTCCTCTTCCCTCTTCTTCCGCAAAGCCACTGGGCTAACGTTTGGCTTCCCGTCGTCCGTACAGCGTCAGTCCACCCCGCTCGAAGAAGACGGTTCGGTAGAACTGACCAGCATACAGCTGTTTGCAGAAAAGACGTTTATCGAGTACATCCGCCGAGAGTTCAGCCTGAAGGACCTCGTTATCGTGTCACCAGATGCAGGCGGCACCAAGCGGTAGGCCTCCCCCGTCTGTCCTCCCTCTCTTCTGCAGGCCTGACAGACGGCGATAGCGCGGCCACAATCGCGGATCGGCTGCAGGTTGACCTGGCCATCATCCACAAGGAGCGCAAGGTGGCGAACCAGGTGAGCCGCATGATCCTTGTGGGCAGTGTGGCCGACAAGGTGGCCATACTCGTCGACGACATTGCCGACACATGCGGCACCCTCGCGCTGGCCGCCAAGATCCTCAAGCAGCACGGGGCCAAGAAGAGCGTGGCATTGGTCACGCACGGCTTCCTGAGCGGTCCAGCCGTGTCGGCTGTCGAGAACAGCGAACTCGAGAGCGTCATCGTCACCAACACGCTGCCGCTGCCTCTCCAAGCCCAGAGCTGCAGCAAGATCCGGCAGATAGACGTCAGTCCGGTGATTGGAGAGGCGATTCGACGGACATTTTATGGAGAATCGTAAGGAAGCCCCTCCTTGGCCCCCCTAAGTTTTCCCCCTTTGCCGAAAACGGCACGCTCGCCTAAAACTGACCAGTCAAACAAAGAGTCTCCATGCTGTTCGCCTAGATGGACCCATTACGTCTGCTCAAGCGAGGAAAATCGGAAAGGAAGGTGGGTTGGCTCGTCATACAAGACGAGAAATTGTCTGATCCGATGCTATTGAAATGAATACCGACGAACTGGCGCCGGTGCCGCAGAGCAACAATTACATAAGAATACATATACATTAAACCTGTGGCCGGACACAGCCGATCATGCCGGAAAAAGCAGACCGGCAGGTCTGTCAAGCCTCCCGCCCGACCACGAAAGAGCATCCTTTGCCGTCTATTTGAAGATCTTCAGGGTGTAGGCCACCGAGACCAGTTTGCGTGGCACTTTGCAAAGCAGCAGAAGTATCCGATTGAGCAGGTTGACGCCGATGAGAAGGCCCAGAACACCCAGCGTGTACCAGGTCCATGGCCGCTCGCCCATCCACATGAGGATGTGCGTGTCGCTCCTGTGCCAGGAGCTGGCCTCGAGGTCGGTGATGAAGGCCGACAGCGCTGGCGGAGTGACGACCTCCACCGTAGGCGTCGGCAAAACCGGCAGCTTGAGCAGATAGTCCTTGACGACGAGGGTCAAGAAGAGCGGCCCGGATGACATCATGATGGCGACGTACGGCTCCATTTTCGCCCAGGTCCGCGTCAGTCTGTAGTAGACGGGCAGCTTGGCGATGGCGTTGGTGAAGGCCGGGTGGCCGGCGGTGGAGACCATAAAGTCGTTGGTGATGCCGGTGGGCGTCGTCGACTTGAACAGAACATAGTGCCCGCCGCCGGTGTCGATCTTGTCGACGGGGAAGGGCTCCTTGCAGAGCGTGTCCATGTCGAGGTAGATCCCGCCAAAGTGGTGCAAAACAAAGTAGCGGATCGCGTCAGCGCGCTGGATGGGAAAGACATAGCCGTCCCACATATCGAGGAACCAGGGGTATTCAATGGAAATAAAGGCGCGTGCCAGATCGTCGGTCCAGTGCTGCGAGACGGGTCAGTGAATGGTCAATGTTTCTGCTGCGCTGTGGATGCTCACCTTGTACTCAAACGCGCTGTAGGCGTCCTTGCAGCTCTGCTGCGGGCCGATCCAGGAGTCAGGCACATTTGCCGTCGCGCTGGTCTGGTGAAGAATTTTGGGGATTTCCATGCGGTCGTTGCCGTAGGAGGCGTAGAGCGTGGCGTTTTCGCTGGCCGCCAGCGAGAATCGGGCACCAAAAAGCTCTTCGTTGCGGACGAGCAAGGTGATGAGTGGCTCGAAGAGATAGATGAGGATGCCGAAGATCATGAAATCGGCAAGGAACAGAAACATGCTGACCCTTCGCACCCGCGGCAGCCGCCACTGGCTCGGCCATGGGACACGCTTCTCGTCCAGCTCATCGAGATCATCGTAAATCGTCTTCCGCTTCACGCTCACCAGACGACGGATTGATTTCCAAATGGCCGCCATCGCACTTGTGGCCGAGGTGTGCTCAAATACACGACAATGGGGCGCGAAATTTCACGCCTGTCTCCGCCTGTGTGCTATATATTATCCGTGATTAGGAGAGAAACAGCAGGGCAAAATAAGCACATAGGGCGGACAGAAAAGGTTTGCGGTACGTCGTATTACGTACGTACTTGTACGCGTCGCCCTCAGCCACTTCGCAGAAAAGCGGGACTGTATTCTCTGGACTGTGTCTCCTGAATGCCAAGCCCCTATTGTCTGTGCCCCCGCAATTACCACTAAAGAGATAAGGACCCCACTATTAGTGTGACTGGCGTTTCTGGGCATCAGTCCCCAACAGTTTCAGGGCCGTTATACCTACAACCTTTTTTCCACATTGCATTAAAGCGTACGTTCGGCCTCTTCATGAAGCCCAATCCACTGCTGGCACCATCAAGTCTGCCCCGCGTATTCACCGCGACGGAACAGGTCCGAAATTAGACTACCAGCCTTTTGTCTACCGCACATCCCACGCTAGGCCGCATAGGATTTAACATGGCTCTCTCCTATTACGGGGTGAATACATGTCGATTCTCGGGAACCGAAGATACAGCCGGCTGGAAAACTCTCACGCGTACTCCGTACGAGGACAGCTTCTGCTCGGCCGGAGCACGTGACAAACATCCCACCATTCCCAGCATGCAGCCCATAGTTTGCCGAGTCGTACTGGCAATAGGGTAATAGGGCATAAGATGAAAAAGCTTGTTTCTGTCTGCCAAAACGGACTAGTGCAGCGCCTCGGCCGCGCCATTTGAAGCACGCGCTGCTACGACGTACATAGCATCATGTACGGAGTAGTAGCCCGAACACACCGCCCGGTCGAGGCGCCTCCCTTATCACAACAAATCCTCTGGGATTGCGGTCTGGGTGCTTCCTGCCGAGCAATGGCCAATGGCCGAGATGGGCTGACGCACATCCTCTCACTCTTGGCTGTCATCACCTCTTCCACTCAGCCACATACTCTGAAATCAGCGGCGCAGTCTTATCGCTGACTTTTGTGGTTGCCTAATAGAACGCTTCTTTTCCTTCTCTACCCCCTGCGAAAAGACGCTAGCAATTTTACCCCCCTACAAACGCGCTGGGAACCGTCACGACCCACAGGTCTAGACCCAACTTGGAGACCGGTTTTCCGTGCTGCCCACGGAATGCCGCTTTACCTCGTAAGATACAAGTAAGATGCCCCGTACGAGTATGCTTAGTCCATGTGGTCGGTCATCGGCCGTTTTATTTTGCGTTCCTTGTAAGACAATATCACATCTGTACGAACATTCGGCCGTTCCTTCCATCTTCGTCGTTCTTGCCCCATTGTGGACCTGTCTCTCTGCTTGATCGTGCTCGCAGACCGGATGATCTTCTCGGCAAACAAGCATAGTGTGGACAAGAAACATAACGCGCGGCCATCGTGGTGACACGAGCAGGACTGTACTCGCATCCGAACAGCACAAGGAGTGTGTTACGAGTCATAACAGCTGTTTGTCGTGGCATCACTTGTACGGAGTATGGCCCGCTTGTTGCCCGCCAAGAGGTCCACGTTTGTCCTGTATTACGTTGTGAGATACGCGGAAAACCATCATGACTGGTGCTCGATGAGGCCATAACATAGGGGTTTCGAGGTCCGTGAGAATTGTATGGATATCAAGGCTTGGCCCCAATTGTGACGCAACGGGCAGATGGCAGTTGTACGGCTCTGCACGTTCGGCTGGCCAACCTATCCACGTAATTAATTCAAGACATTTTAGGAAGCAGAGTACACTGGAGGCAATCAACGAAATATGTGTTAAAAAAATAAACATGCCTTGATATAATGGACTACGGAGTTCGCCGTACAGATACCCTTGACCTTTCCCTTGGTTGCCCAGATCACGTGCTCTAGGCCGTGCTGAGCTTAAATCAAAGTGACCGATCGGGTAAGATACGGAGCACATCGTACGGAGTTTTCCGTGTGTTTGATGAGCTTAAGTAAGCACGGACACCTATCCCATGGTGACGATGCTGCTACGGAGTATGTATTTGTTGGACTATTTATAGCTAAACAGCAGCATTGTGGGTACCGATAAGAAATTCCAGCGCCCGATTCCGTATCTCTGTCCAGAGATGTGCCTGGCGGGGCTTCATTCTTATCCGGCTGTCCAATACGATAAAAGCTGCCTCCGAAAGCGGCAGGTACAGCCAATGCTACTGCTCTGACTGACAAGCTGCCCCTCACTGAGTTTTATCCTCCCTCCTTCTCCCTCCCACATCCTCGCAGCTCTGGGTCTCTCTCCAACACTCTCACAACCGGGCAGAAGACGTGATGATGGCAGGTTCTTCTACGGCTGCTGAGGCGGCGATGCACGGCCTCAACACGACGGCCAAGAGCTTTCCAACCACACACGACAAGATTGCCGAGCCGTTGGTCACGCCATACTTTGTGGACAACGAGTTCCGGCTGTCGGCGACGCGGGAGTTTGTCGATGTGTACGACCCGGCCACGGACAATGTGGTGACGCGGGTGCCGCTCATGACCACGGGCGAGCTGACGGCCGCGGTTGCCTCGGCGCAGGAGGCGTTCCCGGCATGGAAGCGGACGTCGGTGATCGCTCGGCAGCGGATTGCCTTCAAGTTTGTGGAGCTTATAAAGGAGAACTGGGACCGACTGGCGGCGATCATCACGCTGGAGCAGGGTAAGACCGTGGCCGATGCCCGGGGCGACGTCCTGCGCGGCCTGCAGGTGGCAGAGGCTGCGTGTGCCGGCCCAGAATACATGAAAGGCGAGGTGCTCGAAGTCTCGCGGGACATGGAGACGCGCAGCTATCGGGAGCCTTTGGGCGTGGTTGCTGCCATCTGCCCGTTTAGTACGTTCTCCCGTCGTCAGCATGCCTTTTTGCCGGCGTTCCTACTAATGTAGACGCTATAGACTTCCCGGCTATGATTCCTTTGTGGTGTATTCCGATGGCTGTTATTACCGGAAACACGGTAGTGCTGAAGCCATCAGAGCGTACGCCAGGCGCAGCAACGGTGCTCGCCGACATCGCCCGGCAGGCAGGCTTTCCCAACGGCGTTATTAACGTCGTACATGGTGCCCATAACACGGTGAACTTCCTGCTCGACGCTCCAGAGATCAAGGCGATTAGCTTCGTCGGCAGCAACAAGGCGGGCGAGTACATCTACACGCGGGGCTCGGCGAACGGCAAGCGGGTGCAGGCCAACCTGGGCGCGAAGAACCATGCGATTGTGTCGCCCGACTGCGACAAGGACCACTTCATCGCGTCGACGATTAGCGCGGCCTTTGGTGCAGCCGGGCAGCGCTGTATGGCGCTAAGCGTGATGGTTGCTGTAGGCGAAGCAAAGCAGTGGATTCCCGATCTGGTGCAGAAGACTAAGGAACTCCGTGCAGACGGAGGATTCGAAGCCGGCGCGGACTTTGGGCCGGTCATCTCCAAGCACAGCCAGGAGAGGATCATTAGCCTCATCGGCAGCGCTGAGGAGGAGGGTGCTAAGATTATCCTAGACGGCCGTGGCTATGCCCCTGAGAAGTACCCGACCGGCTACTGGGTCGGGCCGACGATCATTGAAGGCGTGACGACGAGCATGAAGTGCTACACGGAGGAGATTTTCGGCCCAGTCCTGGTGATCCTGACGGTCGATACGCTGGACGAGGCGATTGAGCTCGTCAACGCGAACCCTTACGGCAATGGTGCGGCCATCTTCACCAAGTCGGGCGCGGTGGCGGAGCGATTCAGAAAGAACATTGAGGCTGGACAGGTGGGCATCAACGTACCGATCCCAGTGCCTCTGCCGATGTTTTCGTTCACGGGCAACAAGAGGAGCGTGGCTGGCGGCGGTGCCAACACGTTTTACGGCAAGCCTGGCGTCAGCTTTTACACGCAGCAAAAGACGGTGACAGCAAGATGGCCGAATGTGGAGGCTGTGGCGACTAAGCCGGACATGACGATGCCGAATGCATTGGTGTAAGGGAAAGGATAGAAAATAGGCAACAGGAAAAGAAAATGGAAATTCGCGTACTTACGATACTGGGTAGAACGTGCGAAGGCCCACCTGACACGCTTCACCGCCGTCTACGGAGTACTGGCAGAAAGTAGACCAGTTCCCCAGGAATTTACAACGGGTTTAGTGGAGACATTGCGGAGAGCAGCACTAAGTCCAAGTTTGATCGACATCCTACTGGGAGGACGAGGACTTCATTCCAGCCAGACGGGATGATGTCACTACGATGTCAACTTGGTGACAGACAGCGGGCTATCTTGAGGCGCTTGGTGTGGCGAGTATCGATGGGTCAGCAGCGACGAGGACAGCACCAGCAGACAAGCGATGATGGCGGGCATTTATCGTTTGCGCAGCAGCGGCAGTTGGAGGCAGAGGCCGTGCGAAAACGGCGACAGGCGAGCGTGCCACTATACGACATTCCACCGGTGGTGCTCGACCTGGACGCGGAAGGAAGTCGACACGTGCGGCCATACGACGAGGCGATGGAGACGGCCGAGACGGCCAGATGGCGGGGAGCCCACGCATCGATTGACAAGCTGACCGAACGGCTGGCAGCGTTTGCCGAGGAGTCCGAGGCTGCCGATGCCAGGCTCACGGCCGTAGCATTGGGGTTGACGCCTTGGAGGGTCTCGGACCGGGACATTTGGAGTGCGGTGTTGGGAGAGAAGGGATGGGGACTCGTCGAGGAGAAGAGCAGAAACAAGAACAGACAAACGGCTCCAACGGTTCGGTCATGCGTCGGCTTCTGTACGAAAACGGCGTGTCAGATCGAATTGCGGCCGACCCGGCCAAGACGGTTCGCTTCCTGCTGCAGCGACAGGCCATGGCTGCGCGCGAGGGTCGAGACGAGAGCCGGAGCCTGCCTCTCGACAGCGTCAAGGGCTTCTCTGCTGCGCTGGCACGCTGCAGCAGCTTCATCGAGGTGCGACGTCTGCTGACGCTGGCCAGCCATTTGTCCAGCCGCGGCTGCCAAGTGGTGGCCCACGAGGGAGGGACCATCGCGGCGCGTCTGGTCTCGCTGACAGCTTCTTCCTCGCCGGACGCCTCCACCACGACCCTGGTCATGCTGCTGAACCTCAGCCACCGCTTCCAAGCCGAAGACGTCGGCCTGGGCGCTCCCCTGTGCAGTCTCGGCCTGCAAGCGGCCGCGGCCGCGCTGGAGCCGGCCGCCATGCAGCGCTTCCTCGACATCGGACTCGCCCGGGACTACTACAGAAGCAGGGCCTCCGCGGCTGTCGTGCAGGCGGCACTCTCGACCGTCTGCGCGGAACTGCATCGTCGACGGGCCCGTCAGAGACAGGCGGGTGACGGCTCGCTGGCAGACCTTTTTCTCGTTCTGGTCTCCTTCCGGACAGCCGTTCTCGCTGCAGCCTCTGCGACGACAGACGCGATCAGCCTGTCATCTGCGTCACAGCCCTCGTGCGAGGCCTATCTAGCCGTGCTGGCCGAGCTCGGGGCCGTGCGGACGTTGTGGCAGGAGCTGCGGCTCTGCAGCAGCGGAATCGACATTTCCAGTGCGGACATGCTGACTACGGCTGTTCTCCGCTACGCGGAATACACGGCAGGTGAGCCAGACAGCAGGCTGGTCGATGGAAGCGCCGACGTGGAGGACGGTCGTCGGTTGCGTCTGCTGGACCGCCAGATGCTGCGCGCGTATGACGAGACGACAGAGGCAAGGGCAAGGGAAGCGAAAGGGGGAGGGGAAACGGCCGTGCAACGAGGAGCACGCAGCAAGCAGTTTCAGACCGATGTGATCGAGGCTTTCAGCCGGACAACAGCACAGGAAGCCACGGACAGTATACAGGCAATCGTCTGGAAGGTTTCGCCTGTCTAGAGTGACGTGTGTGATGCACACATAGCTGCTTGCCTCCATACTTTCTTTCTGGTAGCTGTAAAATATTGATTTTATTTAAATTATTTTTGTTATTCTTATATTTAGCAGTCATGTCAGCCTCTTCCTTCTGGTGCCCAATGCGCTGCCCAACAAGGCCTGGGTGGCCGCACTGCCGTCCTCGGCCGTTGGTTGGCAGCAGTACGAACGAGACTGCATCGCTGGTCACACGCGGGCGTCTTATGTGCATATCGTTCTTCTGCTGGGCCCTTGAGCACGTCCAATCAGACGGGGAGTCCAGGGTCCTCTGGGCCAGACCACGCTTGAACATGCTCCGAACGGCTGCTGCGGCTGGGTGACAGTGGCGGATGCCAAGCCTCAGCCTTTTGGGTAGTGCCTCTAGGATGTGTCCTGTTCCATGATCTCACCCGGGAAGGTGTTGAAAGGAGGAAGAAAGAGACGAGAGAGACGGAGACGAGAGAAAGACAGACACTCAATTCCAACTCTACTTGCGGCTGTTTGAAGGAGAGAGAGCAGAGGCTGAAGAACAGAGACAGCCGGGAAGAAGCTGACAGACAGCCACGATCCTTCGCCGTCCATGTGGCTGCCCCCTGCCTTTGCCTTCTCGTAGGCTGTGCTTCCTTGCACAGGCCTTTGCTGCAGAGTCGGCTGTCCTCTGACCTCGCCGAAACTGCAGCGTTCGCTCTCTTCGCCGGGTGCCTCTCCCGACGTGATCGCCTTGCTGTCCGGTCGCTCTTGGAACTGTTGCTGTTGTTGTTGCTGCTCCTGCTCCTGCTGCCTGCTCTTCTTGATCAAAGCAAGGTTGCCTCGACTTCCCCCCCCCCCTTCTTCCGTCTAATCTTCAAAACTGATCCGTCTTTTCTCTCGCCCGAGCTTCTCTCGGCTTGGCCACCGTGCCGCTGTCTTGGGCTCCCCTCACGGTCATCCGACAGATCCGACAGATCCGATTCCAAGCCGTCTCGCCATGAAACAGTCCCCGCGTCCACGGGCCAACAGTCCTCGCCGGCTTAGCCTCTTGATCGGCCTCGTTCTCGCCTGCAGCTGCCAGGCACAACGAGATCCCGGTATGTCTCCCCCTCTCGTCCCCTTCCATCTCCATCTTCCCATCCCTCGCCAACCGGCATAGTGACCGACTTCTGCCGCCGCTTCGGCCACCAGACCGCCGTCATCGACCGCCGCCTCTACATCGATGGAGGCCTCGTCAACTGGAACCCGATGCAGTCGGATCCCGCCAACTACTCCAACACCTGGCTGCTCTACCAAGACCTCGACCACAACAGCGACAGCAGCATGCCCGCTCTGCACGCCAACCTGTCCAAGAACAGCACCGTGCCCAATGTCAGCGGCGGCTTTCTCTGGGCCGACGACGTCAATAAGATGCTCTTCCTCTTTGGTGGCGAATACTACCAGCAGCCGCCGCCCGCAAACACTCTCGCCCTCTGGGCCTACGACGTCCTCCACAATTATTGGATCCAGCGCTCTCCTCCGCCTGCCTCTCAGACCAACGTCTACTCTGTCGCCTACGGTGCCGGCGTCTCTGTTTCCGACCGCGGCGAAGGCTACTACTATGGCGGCTGGCTCTCCAACACCTCTGTCGCCGGCTGGTCTGGTCCACCGCTGGCCTCTTCCGGCCTGTTGCGCTACAACCTCGATGCCAGTACCTGGGCTAATAACACTGGCCCCGACGACGTCCGCCGTGCCGAGGGTGTCCTGCTCTATCTTCCTGCTGGCGATGGTGGTCTGCTTGTCTACTTTGGCGGTGTCATCGACCCATATGCCAATGGCACAGTGTCCGAACAGTCTCTGGACACTGTATTCATCTACGACGTCCTAAGCTCCAAATGGTATTCCCAGAACACAACTGGCAGCATCCCTGGCGACCGTAGACGCTTCTGTGCCGGCGTCACCTGGACTGAAGACCGGTCCAGCTACAATATGTGAGCTCTCGTCTTCCTTCTCCGTTCTATTCCCATCCCATCCACATCTTCATCCAATTCCCCCCTCTTATCCATTTCCCTTCTCATTCAACCCCGTCTCATCCCCATCCCATCATCCATTCATTCACTCCATACTCACATCTCAGATACATCTACGGCGGTGCTGGCTTTCCGCCCGCTACGGCCGGCTACGATGACGTCTACGTGCTCTCTATCCCCTCCTTCACCTGGATCAAGCTCTACCCGACCGATGGGAACTACACGGGATCGTATCCCCACCACAGCCTCTCCTGCAACGTCGTCTCCGGCGCCCAGATGCTCATCATCGGCGGCTCCTTTCCGCTGACCGATGACTGCGACGCTGCCTCGCAGTGGGGCACCCACAACGTCGACCTGACCGAGTCGAGGCCGCCCAACAGGGCTCTCTGGCAGCTCTTCGACCCCAATGAGACCGTCTACAACGTTCCTTCTCCCGTGCTCAGCGCCATCGGAGGAGCCGGTTCTGGCGGTGCTACCGTCACAGCTCCGGCTGCCGGCTGGGACAGCCCCGATCTGGCCGTCCTTCTCACCCGCACCGCCTCTGTTGCCGTGCGGACAGCCACGCGCGCCATCACATCCTCCACGTCCACCGCTGTCGGCCATTCAGGCAACAGCTCCCCGCTCAGCAAAGGGGCCATTGCTGGCGTCGCTATTGGTGCTGCGGTGGCCGTCGTTCTGCTGGGCAGCAGCTGCTGGTGGGTGCTGCTCCAGCGATATCGGAGACGACTCAGGGGCGGCACAACAGGACAGGGAGGACGGGGAGGAGGGGGAGGCCGAGGCGGATACTATTCAGGCGGCCACATCCCACCGCCGCAGGTGGGCATGATGGGGATGCAAAGTGGATTCACCGACTCTCACGGCAGTGCGCAGCCCCTCAGTTCAAGCCATCCTGGCAACTGGTCGCCACAGCATCACGGCATCACTGCCGGCTATTCGCTTTCCAGCCCGTACTCGCTTTTTGGATCTGCTGCTGGCGGCGACGTTGTTGTGTCACAGCCGGTCGAGCTGGCCGGCTCTGGGACCAGTGCGCTCGGTGCAACAAGCCCGGTCGGTTCAGGATCGGGCACTGGCAACAGCGAGGCTCTCGAGCGAATTCGCGGCGTCCTGGTCAAGGTCGACGACCAAGACCGTGTCTGGATGCCCACCGAGACCGAGCTGCAGCTGCCACCCGGCCAGACAGCCTCTCCGGCTCTGGCCATCGACACCACAGCGGCCATTGGCAGCGCTGGCAGAAACACACCACAGGAGCTGAGCTCCACCCGCGGCGAGCAGCAGGACGACCGCTCTGGCAGACACGACACCTTTTACCATCCCTAACTGTTCCCGGCTGTTTTGTTTGGTCTTAATTCGGTTCACTGTCCAGTAATGAAGGTCGGGTCGACGGCAAAAGGGCGGGAAGAGATCGACAAGCAGTACAGTATCCAACAAGTAAGACATGTATAATATGTGCCATCTGTGCCGATGCTCGTAAGCCGTAGGCGGTGTGGTGTCCTTACACCTTGACTCATTGATACCCCGATGTCGGCGTCTGGGCAAAGGATGACTCCCAGCTGTGTCACGGGGCTGAGACGATGCAAAGGTTGTTGTATTCTCTTCAGAGCACCGACATCGGAAACCTCCATCTAGACTGCTCGTGAGATAGCCGTGCCATGTCAGACAGCAGAGCTCGAAAGCCGGCATTTGGTCGTTGGCTGTAAAGCGAAGTCAAAGTTGCTGCTGACAATGCCGACGAGCGTCTAGACCGGTTGCGATCTAATCCGTCCGGTGATTTTCCATGCGGCCGGCGCGGCGAGTGGAACACTGCTAAACAGACGCCGTTGCTGCATTTGATTCCAGACAGACGCGCCTTGATTAGTCACCACCGTCCCTCTGGCGCGTCGTTGCTCTGTTTTGTCCGTTGGACTGTCGAGTGGAGAGGAACACAAGCAAGATAGGGACAATGTTGTCCAAGACGTACCTGCAGTAGCAAATGGCCGAGGCAGGAGACGAGAATGGATGATAACGAAGCGCGACAAGCCCACATTAGCTCACGCTGTCTGAGAATACATGCTCGTATGCAGTGCCGTATGCAGGACAGCTGCAATCAGCATGCAGAGCAGCAGCCAGGCGTTGGGCCGTGACGATTACAACGACCGAGTCGGCTGTTTTTTCTTCTCCGAAAGATCCCGCGTGGGGGAGACATGGCTGGAGCTGCGGAAGAGCGAAAGGGTATGCCATTGTGTCTCGTCCTGTCGCCATTCGCATATTATTTCGACTTTCCCAAATCCAAGAGCCAGCAATGGGCCACTAAACCGACGGTTGCCGAAACGGCAGGGGTGCCAGAGATAAACACAGCGATCTAGGGCGAACGGGTCTTAGACAAGTGGGCGGGTGATGCAGGGCGTCCGCCTAGGAATGCACTTTGTGCGAGGTCGTCAACACCCAGAAAATGCCACCAGAAAAGTGACGGCTCATAGCGCCGGTGGCAGTGCTCCACCGACCAAGTCCAAACCGGAAAGATGTGTCGTTCTTCCGGACGAATTCTTCGCACAAACGTGCCCGTTGGTGAGGAAGCGCAAGGGGAGAGTAAGCAGCCAGGGAGAAGGCCGAGATCCACGGCGATGCAGGGCAAGAACTGTCGCTGAGATGGCTCACAAAGGCCAGACTGTTTGTGTCGCTGTGGCTAGGGAGCGTGACCGCCGTGACCGCCTAAAGCGGAAAACCGAGATGGGCTGCCTGCTTACCTGTGCCAGTTTGGGCCGTTTGTCTCACGGACCGACTGTCCGACCAGGCAGCCGTCCTTTCGCGGCACGGCGACGCATTCTCGTTGCAGGAAGCAGCGGCGGATCGGAGCCAGCAGCTAAGCAGCTACTGCCATGTAGGGGCCAGGCACCCCAGGCAGCTAGGCAGCGGTAGGAACAGACAGCTCATATCGCATGGTGACATCGCTGCCACATCTCACGTCGCCGGCGAGCCACCGCCGCCTTCCTACTCGTCCGCGGCTGCCCGGCCTGCCCCCCACGTTTCCGGACATCGAGGGAAGGAACCTCTGGCGAGCCTGGCCTGCGCTGCGCGCCGGCACAATGGCGGAAGGAGCAGTAGGACTGGGCGGGGAGTCGCTTCCCTGACGCGAGAACAGCCCATGCCGACGCCAGAGTCGTGCTTGCCCAGACGCAATGCCGCACAGCCGCCAGATGGATGACGATTTGGCTATGGAAGCAGCGACACAACCGCGCGCTCTCTCGTCACCCCTATGCCAATACTACGCCACACGTGCACGCCGGCATGTCTGCACCAAGGCCCTCTGTCCAGACGCCATCGCCCACCCACAAGTCTTCTCGCCCTGCTGGCGATCGGCCATTGGCCCACGCCCGTGCACGGATGGTCCAGATTGGCAGCTGTCGAGAGGGGATCGAAAAAAAAAAGATTAAACGAGAATGAGTGAAAAATACGACAATTTGCCTCCCGTGAAAATTTTTCACCTGCCAGCACGAACATTGCTGCCGGACAAAGAACAGAGCCCGTCTCTGCAGCCGGTTTGGGATGGAGAAGCCAGCTCTGGCTCGCTCCCAGTGGCCTCGTCTCCGTTCACACCCCCATTGCAGCGGGACAGCGAGTCTGCGCGTACAAATACAACGGTTGGCAGCTGGTCAGCCCATACACACCATTCAGTTGTGTCATTACCCTACCCGCTGCCCGCTATCTTTCACCATTACAAGGTGCAATTGGCCTGGGCCGGCTCGCTTACCTCAGACAGCGCAGCATAGACTTGCCCGTTCTTACGAGTACTCATTATGCTACCCGTACGAGCAAGAGACATTCTGCCTGCTCAAACCATAAGACGCGCGCGCGTGTGTGTGTGTGTGTACACCCCCCCGCGAAGTACGACGTACAGCGGCTGTGGGCGTCGTGTCGTGCGCCCTTTGTCGGGAAGCAGGGACATGGACCAGCTCACCGTGCAGTCGTAAGTTGGACTCGTATTCCACAGTATCAAGTGCCAGCTCGGCAGCCGTCCAGGTCGAGCCATCGACAAGGTCGCTTGCTGCCATTCGCTGATCGGCCCGGACGGCTCCATCCAAGCAGCCACTTTGCAGCTCTGTCGGTGTGGTGAGCTTGCTGTGCTGTGTTGTGGGTGCGGTGCCAGTGCCAGTGCCAGTGCCAGTGCCAGTGCCAGTGCCAGTGCCGATGCAATCCAATGCAAAGTCTATGCTAATGCCAATGCTAGGCGGTACGGCATTGCTAATGCCATGGATTGCGTACCCCATCAACAATATCCAGAGCCTGTGTCAGGCGTTGCCCCTGCGCTCTCTGATTGGTCGTGCCTGCTTTTCGGCACACTACCACATCAAAAGGACACTGGCATATCTCCGCTTTCGGATCTGCGGTGTACTGCTCGTGCTATGGGCGGGGGCCACCAACCAGAGGAAACGGCCAGGCACGCCATAATACACAATCGAGCTATCGAGACTCCCCTTGGCCTCTCCGGCTGAAGTCTCAGAGATCGGGTCTTTAGGAGTAGTCGCACTCTAGACGACCGAAACGTGTTGCAACGGCCTTTGGAGCAATCACGCAAGAAGGAGTCATCCCTCTCCCCCATATAATCTTATCCGGACACCCAACTTCTGACTCTATGCACGCAATCAACTTCCAGTCTGTCTCACACTTTTCAACTTCACTCTTCACTTCACACCTCGACCCATCGTGCTTGCCATACCTAGATTCACTCGCCTGGTCCACTCGTCTTTCGTCCGGCTTCCTCCTGTAACGGCAACAACGTACGTCATCTGAACCGCCAGCAACCTCGTTTCTGGTCCGACCTGATTCTTTTGCTCCATTTGGCCTACGCTTCCTTCACTTTTCAATTCCTCGTCTTCCCCTTATTCTTCTGCCCTCTTGTCGTCTCTATCGGCTACGCAATTGTCCAATCACTCTGGCCTCTGCAGTCCTCCTCCTCCTCCTCCCCCACTCGGCCGACTTGGATCAACCATTGCATCGCCTATCGCTATCCACACCAAAAACCCAACTGCTATCTCGGAAGCCAACACGACCCCCGCGGCGTGAAAACCACACCATCGCTATCTCTTGTACTCCGTACACTCATCCTGTGCGCACAGCCGAGATAGCCTTGAACACAGCCCAGACAGTGAAAAAACACAAGCGAAAAAAGCAAAGAAACCCTGCTGCAGACAAGCCGGTCTGACACCCAGCTTTCCCCCACATACAGTCTCGGCATATCTTTATCTCTTGTCCTCGCACTTCTTCGTGCAACTCTCTCCGCTTCATCCTCCTTTTACTACCTGCTTCCTGCCAGCTCAACTTGTTTGGCCTGCTGTGGATTTCGGACGCTAGAGAATACACACATCCAACCAAAGTGACCACCGTTCGATTCATCTGCCAGAACGGGAAAGCGATTAAATTTTTCCTGCAACCAAGTCTGCAACATTACTTATTTGCCACTGGCGATAGCACAGACGCATCTGCCTGCATAATACCCCTTGAAAAAAAACCGAAGGGAAAAAAAATTTCAAAGTCCACATTGCTCCTTGCAAGGGATTGCTCATTAAAACGACGGCTAGGGCCTTACTTCGTCTGAGAGAACGAGACAGGAGACAAGAGACAACCGCAGTTTTTCCCCTTTTTTTTCCCAACAGTCTCAGAACGGCGCTGCCGCCCATTGTCTCCGCCCATCCTGTGAAAAGGGACGGCGTTGACTAGAAGGATTGCCGCGATAACAAATATACTAAAAATGCACCACACTCGACGCAGGTCTGGCCACGGACTGCCCAACACATCCATGACTGACGTCCGCAAAGCCGCCACGGCCAATGATGTCTCCTCAAAGCACAAGCTGCCGCCAAAACAGACTATGCCTAGCAGTCGCCGGACTTTGAGCTCTCACACTTCGAAGACGGGCAAAGCTGTTCCCTCGGGTCGTGATGCTGAAAAGGAGCAAGAAGAGGACCACTGGTTTGAGGATGAGCGTGAGAGCTTTCCTCAGTTCTGGTATGTTTGATCTCACTACACCTCATTTTCTGGCCTTACCCCATGACACTTTGTGTGGGCGACCCTCGTCGTCACCTGATATGCGGGTGATCACGTTCACTCAGACCATTGGACAACTAAAGGAGGGGAAGCGCCTGGGGGTTTGGGCGATGTTGTTGGGGAGAGGGAACGTGGAACCCTGCAGCAAAGCATGCGACCACAACTATCCCGCCCCTCAACGTCTTCGGCCATTGTTCCTGCATAGACAAGTGTTCATCGACAGATTTGCTGACAGACTTATAGCATGACTTGCGAGAAGCAATTCGTCGCCAAAGATGACCGGTTCCTGTATTGCTCAGAAGCGTAAGCAACACGCATGATTGCCAGGCACTCATTGATTATACTTGCAAGCTGACACTCCCCATAGATGCCGCGACTACGACCAAGAGTATGGCAACACGATCAGCACGCAGCACTTTATGGATACTTATGCCAACAACAGAAGCTATTCCATATACGCCACGGACAACTCCGAGCCGCGGGACATCATCCCGCGTGCTTCACCGTCTCGGCCTAGCTCCACCTACTTCTCCCCTCCGCCCACGCCAGCTAAGACGTCGTCCACACTGCCTACTTCGTCCGCCATCGCCGCGCTGCGATCGCTCTCCATTCGGGACGCAAGCCCACCATCGCCCACCGTCCCACCTACAACTGGAATTTGGCCCTTTACGACTCGCTATGCGGCGGCGAGTCCTAGCTCATACGCTCGGCCTTCGGCAACAGTGTACGCATCAACGTACGATCATGGCTATTATCACCACGCAGGAGCCACTAATTACTATGGATCTGGATCTGGCGCTACCGGCAGTGAGCGGCCTCTGCCCCCGCGGCGCCCTGGCAGTTATTCTCGGCCGAAGAGCATTGAACTGGTGACACCCCTCATCGGACAGTGATGTGGGATACGAAAATAATGAGCATGACCGCGACTATTGTCAGGAGCTCGGTTTTCGTCAGAAGTGTGGGGGGTAGAGGCGCAGTGCAACCCCACCTATAAGCTGGGGTGGGTAGCACTGATGGAGGCGTGAGAAAGGAAGAGACCGCATCTCGCGTTGACGTCGCCCAGCAACTCAGCACTGCACACCATCGCTCCTCGGCTAGCGTCTGTACGAACGATATCGTGCGCCCAGCCGTCTCTGTGCGGATGCCACCGGACGGGTTAAATATTCGATCGCACGCGACTTCGGCACACCTTTGCCATGGCACAACCACACAGCGAGGCACTCACAAGCCGTCCGGTGGTAGCATTGGCCCTACACAATGTGCCACAGAGAGACCCGGGGGAGTCTGGCCATTGGAACAACAAATTTCGATTAATTGCATTGGGTAAAGAGCTTAGCTTCAATAATCTGGAGGAGGGATTACTCCCATACGGCATTGTGTGCATTATTATTTAAATTGGATCGGGCATATTCAGCGGCACAAGATTAATGGCAGGAAGGGGGTCATTTTACGTTTGTGATTGACGGGATACCGACTGCTTTTGGCACAAGACGAGACATGCATGTATATATACCAGCAGTACGTAAGCGCGGGACATGTAGCATTATAAATTCAAAGAATTGAAGAGCAACATGGTCTCATCTCGCACAACCAGGAGTGGTTGTTGTCTCACTGGTGGCCACATGATGATCGAAATCCTGTTTTTGGAACTTCCAGTGGCACGACATATGCAGGTCTGAATCGCAATAGCGAGCGGGAACAACGGTAGCGACCAACACGTCGAGGGTCCCCTTGTACGTTTATTGATCTATGTAAATACAGGGTTATCTCCGTCTATGTATATACAGCAAGGATGATGTTGTTTACGCAGAAGGAAGACAAAAAGAGGTGCTAAAGAGCCAGTCGCGCGTCTAGACGTGAGAGGCGGCCATTCTGGGTAGGAAGGCCCTCGATCTGGCCGGTGATGTACCAGTTCTCGCTTCCAACGCCGGTGGGAGCATAGAATAGGCCCCAGGGATCGAGTGCCTGCTTCAGGGCGTAGAGGCGGACATAGTGGTCGGTGCCGTAAAAGGCCTGCTGGAAGTTGGGCTCGAGGATGTCGGCCTCGCTCATGTAAGCACCAGCAGTGGGGGAGACATCACGCCAGCGCTGCATCCAGTCGTTGGTGAGCTTGAGGCAGGCAGCGGCGATGGTGTCAATGTCTGCCGTGGGGCTCCAAGAGGCGCCGAGGATGGCGTGCATGACGGTCTTGCGCCAGGCCGGGTTGACGGCACTGTCGGGGTAGCCGGCCGGAGGGTTGGCGCCGATATTGAAGGCGAGGAGGGCACCACCATCGGAGATGGTGCTGCGGAAAGCAGCGACTGTGTCGTTGAAGAGGGTGGCGTTGCCAGTCAGCGGCTCAAAGTTTTCACGCGGGAAGAGGCGGCTGGCGGTCTTGACAAAGGTGATGCCGACGGTCTCGAGCGGAAAGTGCAGGTCCCAGGCGTCGTAAAAGTTGTCGCAGGCATAGTAAGTGAGGCCAGAGCGGACATCGATGCCGAGGCGATCGAGATCGACTAGCAGCGGTTCGATCAGGGCGGCGAGCGAGGCGGTGGTATGACTGGGGGCAAAGAAGGGGGCCATCTTGAAGGCGAGGGAGTCGGTGGCGGTGAGAGAGACAGAAAAGTACTCGTAGCAGCCGGCGTCGACAAAAGATGGCAGGCGGGCGAGGTAGGCAGTGACGCCCTGCCAGAAGACGTCGGTAGAGATGTTGGTTGCTGAGCCACCGCCGCCGATGAAGCTGAAGGTGGCGACGGCGACCTGAAGGCGCGGGTAAGCCTTGACGGTCAGCGACGTGACGATGCCAAAGGTGCTGCCGCCGCCGCCACGCAGAGCCCAGAAGAGGTCTGGGTGCGAGCTGTTGCTAGCGGTGATGAAGCGGCCGTCGGGAAGGACGACTTCCATGGCCAGCAGCTGGTCGGATGCCATGCCGTAGATGCTCGATAGCGGCGAGTGGCCGCCACCCAACATGTAGCCGCCGGCCACGCCGACTGTCTTTCCCTCGCCACCGACCACAGTGACGTTGTGTGCCTGGGCAAACTCGTACAGCTCAAAGGCCTGGATGCCAGTGCCAACTTTGATGGCCGGCCCGGTGTAACCGTCCTGGTGCAGGGAGCCGTAGAAAGCGGCTTGCTTGAGACCATGCGTCCACACCGACAGTGCGCCCGCGCCGGCCGACTTGCCGTTGAAATCGTGACCCGTATTTTTGACCACCAGCCGCAGGTTTGTATTGCGGGCAAAGTTGACGGTCAGCTGCACGTGTGCCACGCTGCTCACGGCCACGGCGTACGACGGATAGCCGCCCAGCGTGCAGTTCTCGCTGCCATACGTAGCCGACATGCAGGTTCGGCCCTGATACAGCGGCCACATGACCGAGGTTGGATCATCGGCGCTGGATTGTTAGATATAGATGAGAAGAGAAGATGAGAAGAGGACGAATAAGAAGAAAAGGGAAGGAGGGAAAGAGCAATATGAAGAGGAAGGAGAGAGCTAACCAAACCATGACAGAAGGAACGACCGACTTACTGCATGTACGAGTCGTTGCTCCAGTTATTGGTGATAAACGAGCAATGCTCCTCGTCCTCATTGTCCCAGCTCGTGTAGCACGGAGAGGCCAGGGGCACCGTCTTGATCAGCACGTCGGGGCCCAGCAGCAGACCAAGCACATCCCAGACAGCGGTGCTGGGGTACAGCTGGTCGCCTGGAAGCAGACGGCACAGGCCCGAGCGTTTCACGACGGGGCTGTTGGTTGCGTCGGCAAAGGCGAACAAGTCCGAGCTGGTTAGGTTGACGGCCGTCAAGTTGGACAGAACGGCATCTGTCAGCTGTTGGGCCTCAAAGGGGAAGTAGGCCGTGCTGGCGTTGGTGGCAGTGCTGACATTGACGACAGCGGGAGCCACAGTGTCTGTATTGGCAGCTGGCACATGTACTATGTCAGCAGAGAAAGGGAGAAGGATGGATGACACAAGCTCACCGAGAACGATGCCTTTGACGGACAGAGACTGGGCGCAGACAAGAGGTGCCAGGAGAGTGGCAGCCACGGTGGCAACTTGACCAAGAGAGGACGCAGCCATTGTCTGAGAGAGAACTGACAGGAACCGGAGAACTGGAGGGTTGGCTACAGATGCAAAATCGAGGAGAGACAAGAGTCGGCGAGAGACAGGCCACTAATTAAGGGCACACGGGCAGACACGACAACAGACCGGTCACCAGAGGGAAAAAGCCCAACGCGGCCAAAGCTGGAAGGATCATTTCGGCAATTGTGGCCCGCGACGGGGGAACGAAATCATGCTCATTCTGCGCTGGACAAAGGGAAGCAATAGCGCAGCGGCGAACCAAATTGGGCGAGGCAATAAGCCTGCATGAAGCAAGAAGGATCACCAAGTGCGGGAACAGGGGCAGGGACCGAGACAAGGTACGAGGACAAATATGAAAGGTACAATGCATGGCAAGCGGCAGCATCGATGTTTAAAAGGTGTGGTGACGGGATTTAGAACAATACAAGTTACGGAGTACCTTGGAACAAAGGAATTGGTTGTGGTGCTAGCGCTGCAGGGCAATAAGCTAGATCTGCTGCAGGGCATCTAGTTAGGCCGCCTAGACCACAACGGGTCCATTGTCTGGGTCGTTGTTCTCTTTCGAGTGCTTCCTACCAGGGACCGACTCCTTCCTGTTATACGTTGAATGTGACGGCCTACACAAGTATGTGCGTCGTAAGATAATACGATACATAGAGTGTACGAGCCATGTACGGAGCACGTTGTAAGCTAAGTTGGGGGAAAGAGCAACTGGGCCCGCTCTTTGACCAGTAACCTTGTTCTTTCCTACCCGCAATTTCGGCCGTCGTTGGCCCCAAAAATTCTCCTCGTCGTTCCGTTCTGCCTCTTTTTCCCCTTGCCTTTCTCTTCTCTCTTCTCTCCTGTGCTGACTGCGTCTTGCTCATTCAACCCCCGCCCTTCTCTCTTCGTTCTCTCGAGTACTATAATGTGTATTCGCCCGATTTTGTTCTCTCGGACGGCCTGAGCGTCAACGTCGTAACGGCCGAGTCCAGCTGTAACAAAGGCTAGTTTCCGCTCGCTTTCGACCGCAATTCCATTCCAACCTCCACATCTTAACTTAAGATCCTTCCAGCTATTGGCGCACTTCCCACTCCAGTTAGCACGGTGCGGCTTTGCCCCATCCAGGCCGATCTACTGAGGGCAGACCCCGGAGAACAGGGCATCTCCAGCCGGCGCTAGTTGGGAATGGATGCTCGATCCTTGTCTTGTTTCTTTTGCCATCGCCACAGCGTCTCAGCTGCTGCTGCTGCTGCTGCTGCGCTGACCGGAACGAACGGATCCCACACATGATGGCAACCCGTTTCGTCGCGCTGCTTGATCGCCTGCACATCCGTCATCCTCTACGGGGAATAGGCTAACAGCCAAGGGAGAGAAAAGGAAGAGTCAACGACTTAGGGTCTGCCCGAAGAGGTGTCACCCGTAGGAAGATGCATAAGTGCCTCTTGTCTCACATGCAGTTCTTCGCGCCGAGTATACATCCACACCTCTGGCCCTGGCTTTTCATCCCTTTCCTTGTCCTGCTCTTCTTGTCTCTGATTTTTTTAGGCCTGCTGCGTGTCTCTCCTTCTCTGGCCTTGCATATTCGTATGCCTTGTCTTGCATCGCCGGCCTTCCGCCAGTCATGCCGACGACGACGATTAGCGTGGCGGCCTCGCTGATTGCCGCCGGAACGGGTGCGGCCGATTCCCACCCCTCGTCGCCGCTGCAGCGATTCGGCCTCTCCATCGTGCTCTTCTTTCCCCTGTTGGCCGTGCTTGTCGTCGGCCTGCGCGTCTACAGTCGCCTGCAGACCAAGCAGTTCGGCCTCGACGACGGCATCATCATCCTGGCCGCCGTCCTGTCTGTCGCCCAGACGGCCGCCAGCTACATGTTCATCAAGACAAACTACGTTGGCATCCACGCCGACCACGTCCCCGTTGACTACGACGAACGCTCGGCCCTCATCTGGAATTTTGTCGTCCAGGTGCTCTACAACCCCATCCTGGCCCTCGTCAAGACCTCCGTCCTGCTTTTCCTCCTCAAACTGGGCAGCCAGAAGCAGGCCGTCCGCCTCTCCATTTACGTGCTCAATACTTTCAATCTCTCCCTCATGGTGGCCATCTTCGTCGTCGTCATCTTCCAGTGCCGCCCCATCTCCTTCAATTGGGACGTTTCCGAGCATGGCCACTGCATCAAGCAAGGCGCCTTTTACATGGTCACCGCCGCCCTCACCATCCTGACCGACATCCTCAGTTTGGCCCTGCCCTTCTGGGTCTTTCTCGACCTCAAGTTGCCCCGTCGCGTCAAGGTCGCCCTGCTCTTCGTCTTTCTGCTTGGCGGACTGTCCGTGCTCTCTCTCCCTCTGTGTTCGTCCCGTCGCATCTACTCCCTCCCTATACTAACGTCTCACAGCGTCACTGTCGTCAGCATCGTCTGCCTCGTCTTCCTCTACAGGGCCTTCTTCCAGGCCCCTTCCTCCGATCCGACCTACTCTATCGGCTTCTGCGTCTCGATCATCGAGACTAATCTGGCCATCATCTGCGCGTCCGCCCCGTCCCTGCGTGGCCTCTTGCGCGTCTGGTTCCCCCATTTCTTCTCCTCCAACCGGGCCAACTACGACTATGACTACCGCTACCCCACCGGCGCCAGTCGCGGCCAGCACCAGAGACAGCATGGCGGCCGTGCTAGCCACATTTACGGCAGCGGCAGCGTGTCCACCAAGATCACGAGCCGGTGGAAGGACAGCAAGGGCAGCAAGCCAGGTGGTGGCGGCAGAAGTGGCGGGAGAAGCGCCGACCGCCGCGCGAAGAACGGGACCAATGTCGACGACGACAACTCGTACCCCCTCCGGAACCTTCCGGGCACTGAGGTACGCACGCACACCGAAGTGCAGAGTCACTCGATCAGTTCGAGCGAGGAGGAGATCATGACGTACAACGGCATCGTGCGGACGATGAACGTCAGCGTGCAGTACGATAACGAAGAGCACAATGCCAACCGCGAGCACAGCCAGAGGAGCCGGCCGGGCAGCAGTCTGGGCGAGCGGAGAAGCTTCAGTGGAGGAGTATAGACTTGCGTTGACGTATTCAGGTTTCCCTTTCCTTTGTTCTTTTGTGTAGACCAGTGTGCGGTTTTTATTTAGGTTGATAAATGTAACTCGTAAACGTGTGCTTGGATTGTATAAAGTGTTGATGGATGTAAAAGGCTCTTTGCTTCATTCGGTAGATTGATGGAATAAACAAGTCAAGTAGATCGACATTGGTTGTAAGATCATAGGATTTGGCCAGAGATTTAATACAGCTTTTGAAAAAAAAAAAAAAAAATAGAAATAAGGAGAAGGATGAACAGACTGATGCTTTGCAGGGGGCAAAGGGCCGATTAGATCCGAGTCGCTGAGATTGATCAATCGTTGCATGTTATGTTGTAGTCGGGAGCGGCCGAAGATTGCGCAGTTCGACCTATTGTGTTGGGTCGTATTGCCCTTGCTCACACTTTGGTGCTTGGAGCTGTACGAGGCTGTCTTGTTGTGGAAGTAGATCGGTAGTATTACACCTTGCTCGACTTTGACGGCTTCACATAGAGGATAGTGCAAGTATAGGATTATGTGAAGGTTAAAGGAGGCTATACGTAGCGGTCATATAACGTGATGCACTGTGAGGAGCAGGAGGCTGAATAGGGTCTAGTGTGGGGGAAAGAGTGTTGTGTACTAAGGAAGAAATAGATACATCGCGACCCTTCTGGGGATCCGTATTAATACTAGTGTCAGGCCCCGCTTTTATGCATTCTGACCAATTACAGGCCCGTACGGCCAAGTGGGGCGGAAGGGCCACAGTGTGGCGGATTCCAATGCTTGACAAAAAGCTCGCCAGGGTACACGGGCCGCTCGCCAGGGTACTCGGGCCGCTCGCCTTGTTGGCATCCTGTGTGCCTCTGCGGCTATTGTGGAAGAACGGCGAGTTTCCGGCCTGCGTGCACACGTAGCTGTTCTTCGAAGATGGAAGCCGATTGGGTAAAGAGGCCTTTAATGTCCTCGGGCGAAATGAAAAGTGCTTTGAAAGCCCGGGCCAGGAAAAAAAATGCTGTGAAGTTTGAATCTATGCACGGCGCTACTACCCGTAAAGCTCACATGCAAGGTTAACTTAACGTCACTTATCTTCCTTGGGGGAGGAGGGGATGGGGGGGTAGCAGAAAGCTGCTCTGAAGTCCAATGCAAAGCCAACTATTTGATCACGGCTTCCTATTGATACTGCAATTGATTCATCATTGATTTTGTTCTCACCATAAAGGGGGTGTTAATTCCATGCTAACTGGCCTCCCTGAGGGCATGTGACGGGAGATCCTCGCCAGTGTCTGACCCCTTCAAGTGACCGTATATGGCAGCATGTCCTTCAGAGTTAGTCTTATAGGCCGACAAAGACCTTTAATGAAGTTCTCTAGTGAGTTTAAAATGTCATAGAAGCAACTGGGTGTCTACCAGCGCTAACCTTCCTGTACTTATGTCTAACAAAGCCCCCACTTTAGGCCTTTAAGACTTATTGTACGATTCTGCCTTGTGTATTTTTGACAAGACAAAGGACAATGTAATAGTAGACGGTAATCTGTCAAGCATTGGAATCCGCCACACTGTGGCCCTTCCGCCCCACTTGGCCGTACGGGCCTGTAATTGGTCAGAATGCATAAAAGCGGGGCCTGACACTAGTATTAATACGGATCCCCAGAAGGGTCGCGATGTATCTATTTCTTCCTTAGTACACAACACTCTTTCCCCCACACTAGACCCTATTCAGCCTCCTGCTCCTCACAGTGCATCACGTTATATGACCGCTACGTATAGCCCCTTCACACTTTTCACAGCATTTTTAGTCTCATCCGAAGGGATCTTATGGCCTACCACAAACGTCACATTGAAACACAGCAAAAAAATTGGCGGCTGCCTTCCGTCTTACTAGCGAACCCCCAAAATGAACGCTGCATGTACCAAACCCACTAAACGACGATAAATTGTCCATTCTCCGTAAAGAAGAGGTGAAAAGAGCCTACGACAAGGCAGAGATATACAGAGGCGGTAGACGACCGAAAGAGAAGGCGAAAACAGCTAACCGAGATAGATAAAACGTGCAGATCCCCGAGCCCGCCCGATGTTTCCGTTTTTTTTTTAAAAAAAATAAATAAACAAATTTCTATGGCACCAATGGAGGAGGAAAAACAGGAAGAAAACAAACAATAGAAAGAAGCCAAGAGGAAATCAGTTGGATGCGCCGGCTGTTGAACCTCGCCTTCCAGGCTCGAACCTGGCCGAACAGGCCGATCGGGAGAGTTCTCCTGCTCGTTGCCGTTTAGTTCCTTTTTTTGCTGACGCCTTGAGCTCTTCTTCCTCCCACCGTCCTTCCTCGTACATTCGTCCGTGCTGGCAAGCACGTCTTCTGCGTTCCTCATTGAGCCCGCGACGAGGCCATCTCGCCGTACTGGCCACGATGCTGTGTCGTGTCGTAGGCCTGCAGCACGCGTGTCTGGCTTTCGTCTGCCTGCGAGAAGGCATAACCACGCTGCTTGCGCATCCGCTGCACCTGCCGCACCTTGCGGATAGCTTTTTGGAACTGCTCCATTCTGGTGATGTTAGAAAGGGGAACAGAGGAAAAGAGGAAAGAACCAGGATCTCAGAAAATACATACCTTGGTCGGTAGTCCTGAATGTTGTACTTCTGGATCTCCTGAATGTGGTGGTACGTCTCGGGCCGGTACATGCGCTTGGCATACTTCCAGGCAAAGTCACGCAGCAGACAGCCGACCGACAGGACAACCATCTGCAGCCAGAAGACGGGACTCGCGTACAGCCGGGCCACGATGCCCTCGTACTCGGTCGAGAAGTGCAGCATCGGCGCGACGGTACCGTAGATGGCAATGAAGCCGAACCAGACGGCCATGCTGCCGGGGATGGCAATGACGTGGTACTTCGTCCAGTTGCTCGTCACCAGGGCGGCCTTGCCCAGGACGGTCAGCAACACGGTGCCGTACAGCGCGGTGCCCCAGAGCCAGTGCCCTGCGATCTGGCCATTGCTCTCCATCAGGTCGTCGTACCAGAACAGCTCGCTACCAACGTACAGGACCAGTGAATGGTACGTCGCCGTCAGGATCCAGCCGAGGAAGATCTTGACGCTGAAGAAGGTGTTGCGCTGGCCGAGCCCGTAGAGCTGCGGGTAGCGGTCGAGCAGCCGGGCCGAGACGAACTGGTCAAGGATGCCGATGGCCAGCGGCGGCAGCACCGTGTAGAAGACGTTGTAGAACGACAGCGTCCACGACTCGTAGATGACCTGGCCGGAGAAGACGTTTTGGAAGGTGTACTAGAAATTAGTCAGCAGTTAGTCAGCGGCTACTAAACATACAAGAAATGGAAAACTAAAAACACAAATCACAATCTCACCCAGAACTGCGTCAGATACAGCGTCATGTTCTTGTAGAACGAGTACAGAATGGCCTTGCTGATGCGGTGGTAGCTCCAGGCGCCGTGGACCAGCAGCAGCTTACGCAGGTAGCGAAACTGGGCAATGGCCACGTCGGCACTGCGAGCGGCCTGGAGACCCTCTTCGCCGCTGATGCCGACGCCGATATGAGCCGCCTGAATCATGGACACGTCGTTGGCACCGTCGCCAATGGCCAGCAGGATGGAATCCTTCTGGTACTTCTTGACTAGCTTGACGACCAGCGCCTTCTGTAGCGGCGACACGCGGCAGCAGATGACGGCTTTGCACATGATGGCCAGATCGAGGAAGAGCTTGTCCATTTCCTTTTCCAGCGCAAAGGTCAGCGACTTGCCGTCGATCACCAGCGCCAGGTTCTCCAGCTCCATCGTCAGGCCTTCGCCCTGGTTGCGGATCGCGTCCAGCTTCTTCTGCAAATTATCGCGCGTGGCCGCTGCCGTCTCTTCGTTGACGATCAGCAGCATCATGTCCTCGCTCAGCAGCTTGCAGCTCATGCCGATGTTGATGGCCGTCTCCTGCCGGTCGCCCGTCAGCACCCAGACCTTGATGCCCGCCTGCTGCAGCGTGTGGATCGTCTCGGGCACCCCGTCCTGCAGCCGGTCCTCGATCGCCGTGGCACCCAAAAGGTACAGGTCGTGCTCGATCAGCTCGGCCGCCTTGTCCAGCTCGTCCGCCCGATTGCCGCCCAGCGTCATGGCCGCCTTCTCGAATACGGCCTGCCACTGCTGAAACTCCTGCTCCGGCACCTCGCGTGTCGCCAGACAGAGCGTCCGCAGGCCCTCGGACGCATAGTCCTCCAGGTGGCGCAGCGTCGCCTCCACGTGCGGGTTGTCGTCGCTGAGTCGCTCCAGGATCACCGTGTCGGCTCCCTTGCAGTACAGCCGGATCCGGCCGTCCGGACAGCGGTAGATGGTCGACATACGCTTGCGCGTCGAGTTGAACTCGCATACCGCCAGCAGCTCGTACTGCTGCTCCACCCCGTGTGCCTCGATGATCACGGCCCGCGGCTTGCGTGCCACAAAACGATATCCCAGCATCACGGCCCCGTCCACCAGTGCGCCTTCGTCGGGCGAGGCGGCCTGGTACTTGATTTTGCCGCCCTTGGCTTCGTCGCGTTCCGGGATGACCGTGTGGCACGTCGCCAGCAGCGAGAGGAACTGGTCGATCACCTGACTCGACTCGTGCGTCTGCAGGTTCTTCTGCAGCTGCTTGAAGTCGTAGATCCCGCCCATGCCGTCGTCCTGCACCGTGGCCCGTCGGTCTTCCGGTACTTCCTGCGCGTACATGATCCCGGCAATCGAGCACTGCTGGAACTTCATCATGTTGCATGTCAGCGTGCCCGTCTTGTCCGAGAAGACGTACTCGACCATGCCCAACTCCTCGACCAGGCTGGACGTCCGGCAGTTGGCCGGCGTGTTCGTCTTGTCGTGGTACATGTCCAGGTCGTCGTTGATCAGGATGCCGTGCCAGTACTTGATCATCTCGATCGTGACGAACAGCGAGATGGGCACGAGCGCCGAGAACAACACCCAGTACGTCACCATGTCCTTGAAGAACGTTCCCACCACGGACGCGGCCGAGTTGGTCCGCGTCAGATCGAGGTACGTAAACTCGCTGGCGTGCACGCTGCGCATGATCAGGTCGCCCACCGTGCAGATGAAGCTGAGCCCCAGCAGCACGCCGATGAGCACCAGCACGAGCGAGTTGAGCTGGCGCTCCACCTTGGTGCGCTTGATCGGCGTCGCCGTCGCGTTGCGCATGAGCTTCGTCTCGTGGCCGGTGAAAACAACCACGCCGTGGATCCAGGGCGTGTTGCGGAGCGTTGCGCCGCGCAGCAGCAGCTGCTCCGGGTTGAGCGGCAGCTCCTTCTCGCCGCCACCCGCCTGCATCGTCATCGTGGCCTCGTACGTGTAGAGGCTGCTGTTGGGCTGCTCCGACTGGATCCGCCCGCCCAGACGGCTGAGGTCGCCCGGGCTGACCAGTGCCGACGTCTCGGGAAGTGCCTGCTTGATCTTCAGGTTCGTCTCGCCGTCCAGGTTGGCTGTCTCGATATAGCACAGGCCTTCGGGCTCCGAGCTCGCCAGCAGCACTAGATCGGCCGGGAACGGCTCTTCCGACTGCACGCGGACAATGTCGCCCACATGTAGGTCAATCCATTTGGCGTCTGCAAAGCTGGACCCGCGCAGGACTCGCGCCTTGGACATGTTGAGCGCCCGGTCGGCTTGCTTCCGCCGGTAGTCCTCGACGAGCTCTTTGCCTGCCGACACCATGAGCACGATAACGAGCGGACCGATCGTGGTGTACTGGTTGGTTGGCGACAGGTTGGGGATCTGTTGCAGGCCCGCCGTGAAGAGGAAGAAGACGTTGGCGTATTTGGAGAACTGCTCAAAGAAGAACTTGGGCAGGAAGGAGATGACGTTGTACTTGGCCGTTGACACGTGGTTGTCCACGTACTTCATCAGCCCGTTCTCCGGCGGATTGTTGAGATGGATGATGCGAGGGCCCAGAGTCGCCGGGTCTGGCTTCTTGCTGCCGAAGCCAAACTTGAAGCCACCGCGGGATGGCTGTGGTTCTGCTGGGCTCGCGCCCGCCGGCTCGACGCGTGGCTGGCCGGCTGCCTCTGTCAGTGGCAGGTCCATCTCGGAGTAGCCCTTTTGGCCCATGCCAATCAAGCTCTTTGCCCGGCCAAGCAGGCCGCCTCCGAGGCCGAGCACGCTGTTGCGTTTCCGCGCCATGTCCCGGCCAGCCGAATCGGACATGCCGGGGTTCATGCGGCCTTCGTTCTGGTAGTAGGACTGGCCGTCGTCGGGATAGTCGTCAAAGTCGTCGGCATACCGCTGGTAGCTCCCCGTAGCCGACGCCTGGCCAAGCTGCCCGCTGCTATTTGTGGGATAGGGCGCCGGGCGCGGGGAGGTGAATGCGGAGCTGTCCGCCGGCCGGCCAGGGCCCTTTGCGGATGGGTGTGTGGTGACGCCAGCGCCGACAAAGTCATCGTAGGATACGGAGGGACGCGACATATTCGTCTCGTCATGATCGTGGGTATAGGTGCGCAGGAGGTCGTCATCGTTGAGGTCAGATCGCTGGCCACCGCCGTAGATGGGCTGATCGTTGTCGAGGTCGAGAAGGAGGTCGTTGTTCTGCGCACCGGCATACCCGCCCGAGAAGGGCGGAGGTCTGCCCGCCATGCGTGCAGGTGGACAGATCCGATCACCAAAGTCGCAAAGGGGGCTGCTGTCCCGGCAGACGGAACTACAACAGCGAATGCGCAGTCATGGAGCACGGCCGACGGTGCTGGCAATAAGGGCAGATGCTCGGGAGAGGGGCGGAGTCGAAATCAATCGTGTCGGAGGATGAAAGCGTGGCGTAGACGTTGACGGCAAGCTGGTTGCGACGGTGTCAAGAAGATGATTCTCGCCTTTGTGTTTGTGACAGGTAGTCTAGTTTGGAGAGGATATGGCAGGAACGCATGGTTGCTAGCACAGCCACCCTGGCACGTATTGCCTGCTATAAAATACGATAACCAAGAATAACCAAAATACGGTGGGGCTTCAGGGACTTCCAGTGTGGTTTTTCGAAGGGGGGCACTGCTTTTTTCTTCGTCCTGGCACAGACTGTCGGCGATCTCCCATTGGCCCTAGCCCGACAGAGCGACGGGACCTTCTAGACCGCCAGAGCAGCAGCTTGCACTCGTCTGTTGTTCGTTGCCCGTTGCGAGAACCGCCCGGCTCGTCGTATACTCCGTAGCTATGGTTCATTATCAGCTGTTTGGTTCTGGGCACTTCTGGGTAGCTCTCCAGAATAGACCCACCTGAGAGAGAATAGGGGCGAGTGCCGAGCATTCTGGTGTCTCAGAAGCTACGCTATAAAAATGGGAAACACGCACCAAGAATGAATGGCCCCAGCGGCCCAGCGAATCCGAGTACGTAAGCCTCACCAGCCATCTTCAACGCCACCTCAGCCTCGCTAACGACCAGGCTTTCCGCCACCTTGCAAGCGAAACGAAACACGAGACGAGCTGGAAACTTTGCCAGGCTGACGTATCGGGCATCTGCCATCTTGCATCCGACATCTCAGCGACACGATACTCCCGTATTCGTACACGGACGTCCGTCCTCAACAACATGGTCTGCAGCAGATGCGCAAAGCTCGTGACGGGCACCACCCTCGCCACGCCAGGCGTCAAGAAGAGGAGCGAGCTCTACCACGGCTCTCTCGGCTCTTCGTCCTCTGCGGGCGCGAAAAAGGCGTCCACGCTGGGCCAGACGGGCATCGGAAAGAGCAAGCTGACATCCAAGAGTGCCAAAAACCCATATGCACAATACGCAAGGTCAGCTGCTGGGATCCTGGTTCTTTCCTGTCCCTACTCTGTACTGACACGCCACAGCTCCTGTGACAAGTGCAAGACAAAGGTCTCTCAAGGCCACAAGTACTGCCATAATGTGAGGATTTCCGGTGTTGTGCTCTTAGCAGTTGGAGGTTGGTGCTAATGCAAGGCAGTGTTCCTACAAAGAGGATGTTTGTGCAATGTGCGGGAAGCCGAACAAAAAGTCCAAGTCCGTGCCGACTGTCACGGGCCAGAAGTTTTCTCTGAAGTGAAAGAGCCAAGCATCCGTACGGCAAGCAACAAAATACAAGAGTACCGCTTCGAATCCTGCCCATCTCGGACGCGACATGCACGTCCTTCCTCTCAAACCAGCGCCAAGTGTGCGCGATGCGAAAGAGGAGGTGTGTGTGACTTGGGTGCGTGATACCCCGTACGGGTTTCACAGGCTAAGCATGGACTTCTTTTCAGGAGACAGGGGCAATCTAGACGGGACGATCGTTATAAACTACATAGTATCTTATATAGACAATACCCTAGTGCAATTCGCATTCACCCCGTACCACCTCAGATCGACGCCTTGTTCGTGCTCAGCAGCGGCGCCAGGAAGCTCTTGATGTAGCTGTTCACGCCCTCGCTCGCCTCCCACAGCGCCCAGTGGCCGCCGGGCACGTTGCCCTTGGTGAGGTTCACGATATAGTTGTCCATGTTGGCGGTCAGGGTAGGCGGCAGGGCCGCGTCGGCCTCGGCCGTGATCATGAGCGCCGGCATGGTCAGCTTGTCGACGCCGTGCGGACCCTTGATGAGCACGCGCTCATCCTCATAGTCGAGCTGCGACGTGCGGTACCAGTTCGTGGGCCCGCGGAGGCCGTGCCGGGCGATCTCGCGGGTGTAGTACTCAATCTCCTCCGTGTTCAGCAGCGGTGTCGGGCCCATGTCGGCCAGCCGAGGAATGTCGAAGCCGCGCTCGGTCGAGAAGCAGTGTCGCGGCTTACCGTCGACCTTTTTTTCGTTGGCGCCAAAGTAGATGCAGTCGAGCAGCTGACGGGTCTTGGTCTCGCCCTCGACCGCGCGCCAGAGCTCGTCGCCAGCAAATTGCAGCTGGTACTGGAAGTTGGGCAGCACCTTGACGCGTTCCGTCAGCGGCATAAACGCCCCCGTCGCCGGCGGAAAGAAGGGCGTGCAGACGCTGAAGAGGCCACGCAGCCGGTCTCCGTGCCACAGCGCCATCCGCCAGGTCATCGCTCCACCCCAGTCGTGACCGCCGACAAAGAAGCGCTTGTCGTCCTCGCTGTCGTTGCCCACAACGCCCACGTGGTCCACCAGCGCAACCAGGTCGCTGCACATGCTCTTCTGCCGGTACGCCTCGATCTCGTCCGGCGCGTCTGTCCCGCCGTAGCCAAGCATGTCCGGCACAATCACCTGCAGGCCCAGCTCCTCGGCCAGGACCGGTACCTGGTTCCGCCAGGCAAGACCGAGGTCGGGGAACCCGTGGATCAGCACAATCGTGCCCGTGGGTGTCCGTCCATTCGGTGGCTGTACCAGCCGGTAGTGGTAGGTCCGTCCGTTGACCGTCACCTTGTGGTGCGTGGCCCGCGGGTCCGATGGCTTGAGCTTCTCAAGGGCCATCGTTTCTGTGTGGGAAGAAGAAAAAGAAGGACTGGATTCAGCGAGGCGGTTGTGTAGAGGTCGCCGTTCCTTGCAATCTGGCTAGACGGCAATGCAACAGGATTTGGCCGTGCTTTATACGGACTTATCCAGAGCTCCTTCCGCATACAGAATTTTGGATGCCACCTGGCAGAACTCCTCGGGACCTCGGCATTGGGCCACGTAACCGAGCGGGGGACTCAGAGACGGGGTCTAAACGGACTGCGTAGCGATGCCCAGAAAACAGCAAAGTAGTCATAGAAAGTGCATGGTTACATGCATGGTCTGTTGACAGCTCCATACGGAGTAAGATACCTAAATGACTTTACTCCGTAAACCCGTACCGCAATGTAACCCGTGCGTTTCATCAGTAAGCGTCTCGTGCCCCACTAATCCGCAATTCGTTGCGAAACGAACGCTACAACGGACAGCTGAAGAGCATCATCCAACTGATATATACCGGCACTTGGCTATTCAGGGCGTAGGTGCATGGTTCTTCGTCACTAATTGGTGGGGTATTGCGCCGTAACCCTGCATGATGCCCAATCCCGTTCCGAGCGGTTTCTCCATTGATTCGTTGTTGAATAATCAACAATAGCGGACGACTGGACGCCGTCGACGTGGCGGCCGGCTTGGCTCCAGTTCGCCACTGTCGGTGGTCTGAGCCTTGACTATGCTCCCGCTCCCACAGACGCTCTGATCGGGGGTTTCCAGTAGGAGTTGCGACTCGCCATCGCCGTCCTCTACAGCTCTGCCGCCGTTAAATGTGTCATTGCCGCCGACTCCCATGAGCTGCTCCTCCGTCATCCAGCCGGCTTCGACGGAAAACCGCACAATGTCTGCCGCACTCGCAAAGGACAGAATGGCAGGCGGCGCGTTGGGATCCATGTGGAGCCACAATTCGCGGGTCAGGCGTCTGAAGCTTGCCAGATCCCGTTTCTCGCCGCTGAAGCTGCGTACCAGATAACCGTAAAGGTAGGCCAGCCACAGCACGTTTGTGTACGGGCTAAAGTCCTTCCACGAGATAGGTCTGCCGTCCGGACCATTGTCGTATGGCCGCTGATGGCAGCTCGGAGGCAGATGAACTCGGTCACCCTTAAGCAAGTACGACCGCATCTGTCTGTACACTTTGCACTGTGCTGCGTGCGTGCTGGTGAAAAGGCTCAGATCCTTCTCCAGATCAAAAGCGATGGGCTCGCCAGTAGTTCCGCTTCCAGGCTCATCTGCACGCGATAAGCCGTAGTCCAGAATTGTAATGTCCAGTCCGGAGTAGCCAAACATCACCGACTCTTCGTCCTTTTCGGTCTTCTCTCGCGGGGGCGTGATTTGCCGAACACACAGGTTTCCCTCGTGCAGATCTCGGTGCTGGCAGACACAAACAAATGGCTTAGTCACGCATATACAGAGGAGGGGCAGAAGCGGTGAACAAACCTCGAATCCAGCCTGGTCCTCTGCCCGGGCTAGAGCTATGGCGACGTGAAGAAATACATCCCACAGCTGCCACACCGACTGGACAACAATGTCCTCCAGAGCCTTGCCGGCATCGCCTAGTTCAATGACAAGAAACCGTGTGTCTTCAAGGTACCGGCTCGGCGACGGGTAGAACTGCAACCGGTCGGGATCCTGGCGCTTCGCCCGTCGGTGAAACGTCTGGTGCGTCTCCAGCAGGTCCTTAGTCGTCCGACCGCGTACAATGTAGCGCTCCTTGTAAACGACAAAGCCCGGGATGTCGGCCAGCAGCTCAGATATAGCGAGCTCGCCGCGCAGGTCTTCCTCGTCGTGTGGCTCCTCGTCCACAAGACCTGATTTCATCTGTGCCTTTGTCTGTGGTTTGATTGGCGACGACAATCGGATGGCCTTGATGATGCTCGTTCCCCTCACGTTTGTCACACGATATACCTCCGCGTATGACGCCTCCGCAATCTTTTCAATGCGATCTCCAGGGGGGCACATGTCCGTCCAGGTCAGAACCCGTAGGCCTTGCTCGATGCTGTCGTCAAGGTAACTGTCGAAAATCTCCGAGGTTCCTGAAAGCTGGTCTTCTACTGCGGTGTGGCCGGTCTGATCGACGTCATTCTCTTCAACGGCAACTTTGTCGCTTTCGATCTCTTTGTCGGTCTCTACGAGATGCTCTTGTGGCTCGACCTGTTTTGCAGGGACGGGAGGTGTCGTATGCCCGGACTCAGTCGGCTCGTGGGTCGTGTCGAGCGACACCAACGTAAGCTGCTCGGAAAGGCCGTCTATTGCTTTGCTCTCGATCTGCCGGTGTCTTTTTTTCCTGTCGGTCGGGCTGCTTGGGAGTTTCGTGTAGAACAGTCCTTGCTTGGTTCTGCTCCCGGTCTTTTTGCCGTAAGTCCGCACTGTTAAGGTTCCCAACATTTTGAGGATGTCATGAAGTTTCCATGCTGTACGGAGTATGAGTATGTCGAATGTGTGCTCAAAGCGCGTAGACCATCGCTCCGCACAATGATGTAGTCCTGAATAGCTGCATCATTCCAAAGGCAGGAACGAGTCCCCCGTTGTCAAGGGCAACAACCACCTGTTCCCCACAAGCGCCCCGCTCCTGCTAACGACAGTAGAGGCAAGAGCGCACAGACCAGGCCTAGAAAAGTGTCGTGCTCCTTAATAATGGAAAATTACTGGAACAAACAGCCTATCTGTCTCCTTCGATCCATGCGACTCGACCTGTCCTTTCCACTGCACAGAGGATCAGATTCCGCGGACCGTCTGTCGATCTGAAGCCCACCGCATCACCCGACCACCATGGCACAGTTCCTCAACAACATGTTTGGAGGTGCAAAGTCGGCGGCGTCGCCTGTTCCGTCTGGCGACTCTGGTGAGCTGCTTTTGCCCCAAAGAGCGATTTAAAGATGTGCTGGAGCTGACGGCCAATGCGCGCAGACTTTGCCGACTTTGCGCAGGCCACTGCTGCTGCTGTGTCTGGAGCTGCTGCTGCGGCTGCCTCTGCGGCAGGCACGCCGGCTGTGACGGCTCCTCCGTACACAAAGTGGTACAATGTGCACGAGCGGTACACGTTGAACGATTTTCGCAACGAGGGCCTGATCTTTGTTGTCATGGCCGTCGTCTTCACCGTGCACCTGATCGGGTCACGCCGCAATCGCAGCAAGGCGCATGCCTGGTTCCGGGCGCACGCCAAGCTGCTCACCAGCGAGTTTGCGCTGGTCGGCTTCGGCAGCGCGCCGCACCCGATGACCGACCTCGCAGACGAAGCTGCAGCGGTCGAGGAGCTAGCCAAGAAGACGGAGGCGGCCGACCCCAAGACGCTGATGAAGGAGAACTCGCTGTTCGAGTACGCCACGTACGCCACCGGCCGCCAGAACGTCGCCTTTGTCGATGTCAAGCTCGAGCTGGTCAAGCGCTTCAACCCGTTTGTCACTTTTGCCGAGTCTATCCTCTCCTTCTTCATTGACAGCGTCACGGCGCCCACCGACGTTCTCTCGGCCACGCTCTACTCGTTTGACGGCAAGGAGGCACTCACCGTGCCGCGCTACTCTGCTGTGGGCGTTGGCAAAAGCACCTACGACGGCTTTGTCTGGGCCATTGTCAACAAGGAGCGCATGAAGGGCGTACGCGATGAGCGCTTCGACGTGTCCCTGACCTTTACCAAGGACAATGCGAAGCTGCCGGCCTGGCTGACTGTGATGAGCGAGAGCGCCGAGATCACGGACGCTCTGCTGACCCCCGAGCTCATCCAGGCGGTCGAGGCTGCCGGTGAGGACCTGGACTACATCATCATCTCTGACCAGCCGGTGATCAAGCCCGTGACGTGAGTGGCAATATTCTGTCTGTCTGCAGAATCACCCCGGCTGACCTGCTCTCCTAGTATCGACGAGACTGCCCCGCGCAAGCGCGTTTTCCTCAAGTACCGCCTGCCAGCGAACAACAACTACGAGACCCTGCTGCCGATCTTTGCGTACTTCCTGCGCAGCGCCGACGTGCTTGTGCAGTCGGCCCACCTGCGGCCCGAGGTCTTGCGCAAGGTGAAGAACATCCGCGAGGAGACCGTGCGGCAGATCAAGAAGGCCGACGAGGATGAGAAGGCGGAGGAGCGGGCGCTAGAGCGGGAGCGGCTGCGCAAGCAGAAGCGCGACAACGAGCTCAACGCGCTGGACGCCAAGGCACAAAAGAAGTACCTGGAGCGGGAGCGCGAGAAGGAGATCCGTCGGTCATCCAAGAGGACGACGATGCGCGCATAGTATGGACTGCAGGAGGGGAAAAAGGAAACAAGGGTGGCTGCAAGGCTAATAGGAAGGCACAGGCAAAGCTCGCCTTGCGTTTCTGGGCGGCAGGCGGCTTCGGCCTGTTATAGGAGGCTGTCGGGAAGGGATGGACGGATTGGATACCTAGGCGCATCGAGGGGCATCCATTGATCAAAGCATAAAAGGCAAATAGCTGGAATGTATATATTTGTGTATTCCTCAGAGCTCTTGCAGACGACCGTTCCTATTGATCCTTGTCGAGGATGTCGTGCACTCTCTTGACCTTGTCGGCAGCTGTTTGTTTCTTGTCGGTCCTGAGCAAGTGTGTCAGCGGTGAGACGAAGCAAGGCGGAGCGGAAGGCCGACTCGATCGCCGAAACCTGCTTACCGCGTGCCGACACGCATTGACGATTGCACACGCAGGACGCCGCGCTGGTGTACGAGCGTGTGGGCCTGGCCGATGACGCGCATCACGTCGTCCCAGCTGCCCTCTGGAACGGGTTAGCAGACGGGAAGGGCAGGGGGCAGGATGAGGACCGATGTTCTTATGGCGTGCGGGCACACAATCACATACCCACAGTCGTTCCGCTGGCGTGCATCGTCACCGTGAGGCCAGACGCTTGCAGCAGCTTCTGGACTTCAGCCACGTCCTTGGCCACAGAGACATTGCCCGTACCGACCTGTGACTGACGTCAGTGACATGCGCTGCTGGAAGAGGGACCCGTTTACGCGTACTGACCGGGATCAGGCAAAAGTCGGAGTAACAGGCCGGAGGGGTCGGCAGTGCGTTATAATCCACCATGGCGAAGGTGTTTGGCGGAACGGTGTGAGTGTATCTGGTCGCGACATACAACGGTGGCTTTCTTGCAGGGAGCACAAGTGTGCGGTACAGAGGCCGGAGACTAAGATACATTGCCTGCACGAGTGGGATGGTGGTTGAGTCACTTGTGCGTGTATTATGTGATCATGAATTGCTCCGCATTATTATTAGGTGGCTATTTATTACCCGGCCCCGGCCGATCGGTTTGACCAGGGCCGTGCATTCTATCCGGCAGACCCTGCCCACGTTTCTCTCCACTGTGGAAGACACGACAGTGATAAGCTGCAACTTGCTTTTTGCTGTCTTCGACTCGAAGCGCTGTTTGCAGCACCAATCACGCGAAGCCACCGGGCGACGCTTGGCCGGGTCGTCTTTCTCGGATCGCCCTCGCCTGTGGCTCAGACAATGACACACAATTCCTCGGCAGACCGATCGAAGCGATTGACGATCGGTCGTATGCTGGCGTGCGGGTAACGCCATGAACGAGGTGGGTGGTGGGCTCAGGATCCACCAAGACGATTAATATGATTAACGCATACGACGTGCAGCGTATACAACGCAGATGTACTCGTGTTCAGTCATCGACAACGTCAAAAATGACCTGGTAGGAGTTTCTCGGGCTGATGCTGTAGATGTCGCTCTCGCGCCGCGAATACGTCCGGCCAAAGGTGAAGGTGAAGGAGTCGAGCGCGTCGCGCTGTCGTCGTCGCTCGCTGTCAACATTGATGTGATGGTCGCCAAAGATGCGAGATGAGTTTGCCGTCGACGTCTGGCTCTTGGCCTGTGCCGTTCTGCTGCCGCGGCCATTGCTCCTGCTCTCGGCCTTGTCGGATCCGCTCGACTTCTTGCTCGACCGCGCCCAGGACCAAGACCGGGAGATAAAGTTGCCGGGTGAACTGGTCTGGCTCCGCTTGCCGTCATGATCGTCCATGGCTGTCCCTCTGTCTGCGCTCGTCGTATGGACATTCATCGAAGTGCCGTCGTTCGTGGTCGTAGTGGCATCCGAGCCGGACGAACCGGCCTTGCCCTTCGAATGGCTCCAGTCAATTTTGAAGTTCATTTTGGATGGAAGTATGTGCTCTTGGGAGAGACGTTTTCGCAGGTGCCCGGTAGCGACAGCCGGAGTTATATTGCAAATAACGGACCTTGCCAAGGAAAGGGGCGACCTGTTTTTTAAAGGGAAATATGTGAACAGAAAACTACATGGATGCACAACTGAGGAGTACGGGCCGAGGCCGAGAAGAGTAATACGCCCAAAAAACCGCGACTGGGTTTCGGCCAGACCGGTCGGGCAAACCGCTCATCCAAAATAAACGGACTTTGCCTGGTGCCTGCATTTGGTTATTACAAGCCAGAACAAAGGAGCGGCCGAGGATTGCTAACATCGATGGCGCGAAGAAGCGCGAGCGGTGCCGGTGCTTTCCCTAAGTGGCAAGAAGGCCAGCCGGCCAATCAGCATTAGGCCAACCTCCAGAGACCTTTTCTACATAGCAGCGGTCTCGTGTATTAGAGCGGGGTGTGTGGCGATACTAAATTCTCACCCAGACTATGGCGGTTTGCATGAAAAAAGTAAAAAAAAAAATTGCTCTCCCAAACATGATGATAGGGGCGTTCAGCCCGCTTCGGTGCATGTCTCCCCGGTGTAGAACTCATTTACCCGACGACCCGCTTCGAGAAGCATGCGTTAATGCGACGGGGCGGTCAAAGAGCAGGACAATATTACTCTTACAGGCCGAATAGGGGAATATGGAAGGCCAAGGGGCTGCAGTTGGATACGACATCTTGCGACCGTGTGCATACTGACTCGAACACTGGGGCTCTGCATATGCCGGCATAGCCTGCATGAGAACCAAAAACAAGCATCTCGGTGGCACGTGACATTGCTACCGCTACTGTAGAAATGGCCAGCCGCAAGAGATTCCGGCCGGATCACGCAGTGTGCTCAACCCCGGTAGCGTCCTCATGGCCTTGCCGCAACCGCAATACTGAGCCGTGCACTCTCCGTCTGCGCCAGCATGTATCACCTCGCCAAGGGGCTGTATATGCTCGCCACCAGCAAAGAAGGTAGGCTAGCTGCGCAAGGCTGTTTCCGTGCCCTGCTTTCCAATCTACGGTACACGTGGGGTTCTGACACGCTCTCCGCCACAAAGAATACTCGGTGCTTCTGCTGGGCCTGGACAATGCCGGCAAGACGACCTTCCACGAGCAGGTCAAGGCGCTCTTCGTGCCGGACGGCCCGGAGCCCAAGCTGAAGACGGTCCCGACCGTGGGCCAGAATGTGTCGACCATCTCGCTGCCGGACATGTACATGAAGATCTGGGATGTCGGCGGCCAGATGACCTTGCGCAAGCTGTGGCAGAGCTACTACCAGAGCTGCCATGCCATCGTCTTCATCATCGATAGCACCGACATTGGCGACGGCCACCTGGACGACAACGGCACCCGCATCGGCGTCGGTGCCGGTGATGGTGGCCTCGGCAGTGGCATCGGCAACAATGGCATCGGCAGTGGTAGCAGCAATGGCACTGGCAGCAACAGCGATGCCGCCGTCGACGGCCGTCTCGACGAGTGCCGCCTCGTGCTCGAGGACGTCTTGCAGCACTCCGACACCGAGGGCGTGCCGCTACTGATCCTCGCCAACAAGCAGGACCGCGAAGACTGTGTCGAGGTCGTCCGCATCAAGGAGGGACTGGTCAAGAAGGTCTTTGAGGGCGACAAGGCCGCCAGCATCCGCGACTCGCGCGTCCTGCCCGTGTCTGCGCTGACCGGCACCGGCGTGCGTGAAGCTGTCGAGTGGCTGTGCTCGCGCGTCAAGTGGAACAAGGAGTCGCGACCGCCAGTAATGCGGTAGTGGTCAGCCTTCCTGCTTTCTTGTCTTGGTCTTTCTTCGTGCAGCAGCCTTGTCCGTCTTGTTGTATAGATCTTATATATCCCCTTAACGCAGTCACGATTGGCATGTCTTGCTTTCGTTTCCTTCCTCGTCTGCTTTTACGTGTATCGGTTACAGGGTATCATGATTCGTCTTGGCTTTCTCGCCTGCTTCGCTGTTCCTGGTCGGCCGTTGTCCAAACCCGCATGCTTTATTTACGCCCTTCTATTCGCCTCGCGTCCAGCCGCTCTCACCGCGCGTTTTCGGCCGACAGCTCGGCCATGAGTCCGCCCTTGTTCCTCCTCTTGGCGTCCTCTTCGAGCTTCTTGTCCAGGAAGACAGACAGGTCCTTGGCCTTGGCCAAAGCGATGCTCGTGCACTTCAATATGGTTACCGCCTCGACCGGAGTGCCTCCAAGCTTGGCCACCTGGCAGATCTCGCCGTGTCGGTTAATGCTGATGGTGCAGCTGCTGACGCGTGTCTGCTCCTCCAGCAGGCTGGCGTCGAGCAGTGTGATCTCGGTGTCGTCGGCCTCGAAAAAGCTAAACGTCACGCAGAACGGCGAGTGCAGCCAGCTCAGCGGCACCGGCTCGCGCTCGGCCGGCGTGTACACCGTCAGCACGCCGTTCTCTATGCTCGTTTCGGCCTTGCGGAAGTGGCGCAGCGCCGCGACCACGGCCAGACAGGACGCATCCACCAGGTTGCCCTCGTGCGACATCACATGCACGTCCACCCGGACAGACCAGCACTTGTTGCCGGCCGCGAGACAGAGCGACTCGGTGTCGAGCGCGCCCGACCGTCGGATCGTCTTTTCGAGGATGCGCGACAGCAGGACCTCTGCCTCGCTCGGTCGTCCGGCTTCGAAAGAGGGCGAGGCCATCGGGCTGAGCTCGGTCACGATGTTAAAGATGCCGTCAAAGGGTCGGTCCGAAAAGGGCGTGGTCACCTCGGCAGTGGCTTTTGCGACGACCCTGCAGCGCTGCCTGTCAGAAAAGTCTGGCCCCGTACGCTCCGCATGGACAGGTCTGCCTCTTGCCGGAACTGTGCTCACCTTGTGTTGCCGATCCGGACATCGGCCACGCCAAACTCATCTCCGAGCGTCAGGTCTATGGGCCGGTAGTCCTCGAAACTGCGGCCATCGAGTCTCTGGCCATCTTGTAGCGCTTGCTTCACAAACGCTCTCTCGTTCAGAGACGGCTCTAGTTCCCGAGGCATGACAACAGCGGAATTGCTCCCCTGATCACAGTTGAGCTGCTTGCAAAGCCAAGAGAAAAATCTAGTTGGCGCAGCGATCTACTACAGCCTTTTTTTCTGCCAAAGGCGGTGAAGGGAGACTGCCCAAATCGCCCTGCAGTCGGAGCCTCGCATGAACCTTCAGTAGACAACAAACAGTACAGCAGTCCAATCCCAGCAATGACTACCGCCCATAGACCTACGTTTGACCCGGTAAGCTGGCTTTTCTGGAGGTCTGGTCTCGCACATCCGAGCTTTCTAATCGTTTCTCCCTGCGATAGGCACGTGGCAAGGAAGCTCCAAAGGGGCCTGCCTACCATCAACGCCTTCTGCCTGCACACACGCAGCTAAAATACCGGTAAGTGCTTTCCAGCACGATCGGCGTTCATGATACATGACGTTCCTGATTACTGACACTTCCGGCCCTCACGCTAGAAAGCCTGGGCAGGGCGGGAACACCGACCATGAAGTGCGCGACCTTCGAGCGGAACTGCTGGCTGCGGAGGCATCGCATTTTGCCAAGGTTCGCGGGACGCCAATGGTCATCGATAGCGCGGCATCTGAAACCAGCCGTACTGCGGATGCGGCGCCGTCAGAAAAGCGACGCTTGCTGAAAGACGCGTCCAGCGAGGAAGACTCCGAGGCAAAGCGAAGACGCATATTGGAAGAGACTCGTGACATCGATGCAGACGACTCGGACTCGGACGAGGCAGATGGCTCTGGCAAGGATGAAGATGCTGACGAAGACGACGACGACGACGACGATAGCGACAGCAGTGACGACGAGAGCGACGACGGCACCTCCGACCTGCAGCGAGAGCTGGAGAAGATCAAACGCGAACGGGCAGAAAAACGGGAACGAGAAGTGCGGCCCACTATACTCCGTTTTCAAGTCAATGATTTCTAACAGCCGGCAGGAACAAGAAAAGGCAGCAGCCGAGGCGGAGGCAGAGGAACGAGAAATCGCACGAGGCAATCCGCTGCTAAACAAGCCTGACTTTACGCTGAAGAGGCGCTGGGACGACGACGTGGTATTCAAGAATCAGGCACGCGGCACCGACGACAGAGGAAAGAAGAAGGAGTTTATCAACGTAAGATCGCCGCTGTGATTTTGATTGTCAGACAACTAACACTGCATTAGGATCTTCTCCGCTCCGACTTCCACAAACGGTTTATGAGCAAATACGTCCGTTAAGCTTGCACTTTGGTGGCAGATGTGATTCGCGAGGCGTTTTTGTGGTTAAATCTGCTTTTGAGCTCTTGTATTTCTTGTGTATGTTATTTGCGACGGGTCTTCTGTGTTCGCATCGACGCAATAAAAGGCATCGCCAAATTGCACAACATTGCCTCTTACTTACTGGCGTGGTCTGTTGTAGCTTAGCTTCTTGTGTGATTGTATTCTGATTATAGACGGAAGTACACGGCGAGATTCCTTGGTGAGCCGCAGCCTATGAAGCTTATCAAGTATTCGGCATTACCGCAATCAACGCATCTGTGCTGCAAGATAACTGCAACATTGGCGCTGTCTGGGCATCAAGGTAGTGAATGCTTTGCATAACGTGGACAATCGAACAGCAATCAAGTTCATTCACAATGCGCACTTTCTCCGTACAACTTTAAACGTGCGGATGATATACCGGGGTGCATGTCCGATGTCGTCGGCGTCAAGCCGATCCTTCAGGTGGGTCAGGTGACGACGAAGGCGCTACGCCAATAGGAGGTCTGTAATTCTAGTTGACTTCTGGCAGTTCTGGCAGACTGTACCATGAGATGTCGTGATTACGAGTGCAGAAGAAGCTGCGCAACTTCTGATCAAGAGATAAAAAGCTTTGCTACTGGATGGCAGTAAGGTACCTGCATCTGGTACCGGAACTGGGAAACAACAGCTGCCTTGTTCCTGTCTTTCCATCTATCGTCCTATGGGGCGGCCGAAGCACACGACCAAGTCGCATTATTTCCAGCGGCATCTTTCCGCATTGCCTCACGCATCCTCTCTTTTCGAAAACACAAAAAAATCGCACCCACACTCAAGAAGCGATCGTCCTCTCTATCCACCCGCTATTACGCGCCGACCAGTGACGCCACCTCGCCTATTCGTTTGCGTCTGCGCTGCTCGTGTGATCCGGTGTTTTTGGTCCCTCGATCTGCAATTGGGCCGCTGGCCAGCCCCGATTGACTGTAGCGCATATGGCGGAACTCCTCGTCAGGTCGCCGACGGTGAGCACGGCAGCTGCTCCAGCATCGCCGCGCATCAAGCGCAACACGGTAAATTGCAAATGCGCCCGCTGCTGTCGGTGCCCGCTTTGGGGTCCCTCTCCGTGCTAACATCTTGTGTCTTGGTTAGGCATGTGTGAATTGCAGAGACAGCAGTAAGTGTCTCCCCAGATTACAGCCAGACCGCTTCGGCACCGATACGCCTTCAGCCCTGGTCTCAAGCGGCACTTCGGCAGCGTCGGCCGCCGCTGCAATGCGGCAATGCCCAAGTGAGGTATTGCTCTCTGTGACGAAGTCGGCCTCTAATTCACAATGTTTTCTTACAGAGGTGAAATGCAATGCCAACTCAAACCCGAATTTGCCGTGCGTGCGATGTACGAAGTTGCAGCTGCATTGTGTGGTTGACAAGACGCATAAGAGGGTCAGTCGGCGAAGGTTAGTTCTCTGCACCTTGGCGTCTGAGCTCAGCTCTCCAAGCAGCTCGTATTGACTCTCGCATAGCAAGCTCGAGGAACTCCAGCAAGAGGTGCGGAGCATCAAGGAAGCAGTGGGAAAGTCGGCTACACCGTCACCTATGTACCGCCGCACACTGCCTCCCATAAATGCAAGAGATGGCATCTTGTCTGCCAGCTTGCCGCCGATGCGGCCGTACGATGCGCCCATCTTATTGCCCCCTGTAATGACACCTATGACGGCAACACCAACACCCAAGGCCCTGATCTCGTTGATGCCGGTCGCCGAGCCACGCGCTCTAAAGTCTCGTGCTTTTTCAGGAGAGGATATATCTTTCTATTTTGAAAAGTAAGCGACGCCTTTTGCTGTGTTGCTTTCTAGATGGTCCTAACCTACGTAACCTTGCAGGTATTTTGAGCATTTCCACAGCTATTTTCCCATCATTCGCATCCGGGAACCAGACAGGGTTTACGAGTCGGCGCCCGTTCTCTTTTGGACCATCATCACCATTGCTGCACGTCGTTTTGCCAAGGATGAGACTGTACTACCTTTCCTCACCGAATCCCTATCTTCAGAGGTATGGAGTGGCATGGGAAACCCGCCTCTGTCTCTCGGTGTCATCAACGCGTTGCTCTTGCTGTGCGTATGGCCATTCACAACCATTCGCTTCCTGAGAGACCCATCAACGATCTTTGCGTCAATTGCCATGAGCTCTTGCTTTCTCATCGGCCTTCATACCGGCCGCGGTGAACATCCCGAGCTGGCCAACGCCTCATTTCAAATCCGAAATACTGACGAAGAAGCTACTTATACGTGGGCTGGCTTCAATATTATTTCACAGCGGTTCGCCAGCATAGACATCCGCACGTCTGCCCTTCATGTCGTGCTGACAACTTGTTATAGAGTGTCCGCATATGCTGGCTGTCCCTCGACGGGTCAGTTCTTCAACAAGACTATTGAGACAGTCCTGGATCGGTCGTCGTCAGTTCCCGTCCCCTTGAGTTTTGTCATCTTATTGGAGTGCGCTCGCTTCTCCAACCGAGTCAGCAAGACAACATGCGCCAGCTTGGAGGAGAATCGAGGTATCTCCCACCACATTGTGGACATGTTCGAAGAAGAGTTCGACAAGGTTCAAAGACTTCTTTTCCCAGGAATTTCAGGTAACATTCCCCTCTGTCGACCGCGCCACCAAGACAAGCACTGACAGGCCACAGAGTTGGATTATTTTACCCTTCTGTCTACACTACTCGAAGTACAGTCCTACTACTTCATGCCCGTGACCCATTACAGCACAGAGATATTCAAGCGCAACGTTCTTAAAGCTTACAGCACGTCACAGCTTGTGATACGACAGGCTCTGAAATTGCAGGATGAAATCGGCTTCTTGTTCTACGCTCCTCATTTTGTATGCAGGACGCTTCTCACATCGGCCTGTGCCACTCTGAATGTTCTCCTATCGCCATATATGAAGGACATGCCGTTGCACGCCAAAAATGCCATTATGCAGGATGCTATTCTGGCCATTAAATCCTGTTCGGTACACGAGGGCGATCTTCCTTCCCGAGCGGCAAAAATGATTGAGCCTTATTGGTCGGTCAACCAAACAAAGCCTCCGATGGAGATTTCTACCAAGGACGTGTCGCAATTTTCGCATCGCCTAGGCACTAGTTTTGCCTTTGATTGTATCCGGCGATGGAAGAGAGATATTGAAGCTTCACGTCCAGTGGCAAATAATGCAAACAATAGGAAACAACTACCAACAGGGACTCCAAGTATGCTTACCGATACCAATTGCTGTGCTAGGGATGGGCAGTTTTTCCTCCCTATATCTATACCTGTCTGTATGCTAACTCGTCAGTAACTTCTATTGATCTCTCGGCTATCCAGCCTGACAACGCGCAGCTCATCGATTGGGACGCTTTCATGGACGACTTCGACTGGAGCTTCGCACCTGACTACCTCAACCCGGCCTAGGTTTTTGTACATGGCAACAGGTCACGTACACATTAATCAGTTTGTACTCCGTAGTAACTTTTTATTTGGTACTCCGAATACCCCAGTATGGAAATGTCATTTCGGAGCGGGCCTAAATTATTACAGGAGATGTACTGCAGCAGATTTTCCCGAGTAAATTGACTCATTGGCTGCACTCGACGTCTTCGTAGTAGCCTCATTGGCAGGACTCTTTTTCTTGAATATCCCAACCCCGTGCAAAATGGCTTGAGCGTTGTGAATGCCGAGACAATACTCCGTAGATTCACAAGTAATCGGTAAATTCAGTGTTTTCAGAAGGTAGCGTAGCTTTAATGGGTTCATGCAATATAGCGACCCACTTGTAAATTAACATCGCCTCAACAAGCACGAAAACCCGACGGTTAGATTTCACCGTGTCCACAAGAACAGACTCATACAAGATACGAACGCTTTAGCTGTTGTCAACAAAATAAGGTCGGGATGGACTATCCTTATTACCCCCCTGGTGTAGCGATTCCTGCCTACAGACCTAATGTGACGCCGCTACTCGTGATACTCGCGTCATTTGGCATCATCCTCGGGGCCGTTCTGTCCTTTGCCTTGGTGCTGGCAAGAAGGCTCCGTCCCCAGTTTTGCAATGCGTCTGCGTCGGACCAGTCACGATTTCTCTGGTTCGTCCTATGTACGAGCCATCGTTTCCTTTATCTGTCGATCATTTATTCACAGCAAAATATCCCGCGAGTTGGTAGTTCAAGACAAGCTCACAAGTGGCAGGCGGATCTCTCCATTGCTTCTTTGAGGGTGGGTGAGAAGTAACCTCATCTGCCGAGTAACCTCCCACTGACACCCGGCTAAACCTGGACAGGCTACTTTGTCCTGAACCACGCCACGCTTGCGGGTTCCCAGAGCCTGGTGGCTCAGCTGTGGAAGGAGTATGCACTCTCGGACTCGCGCTACCTAACGTCTGACCCCTTCACGCTCTGCGTTGAGGCCGTTACCGTGGTAGCTTGGGGTCCGCTATGCTGGGCGACGGCGGTGTCGATCGTGCAGGGCAGCGGCAGCCGCTACCCGCTGCAGATGCTGATCTGCCTGGCGCATCTGTACGGCGTGGCGCTGTACTACGGCACCGTTGGCGCAGAGGTACTGCTTCACGGAGTGTCCTACTTCAGGCCCGAGCCCTTCTACGTCTGGGTCTACTTCATCGGCATGAACGCGCCGTGGGTTCTCGTTCCGGCAGGTGTGTGCACTCTGATCTACTTGTTCAATGTCTCCACCTTCATACCTCTCTTTTTGGATGGAAAAAATCTGACGAGCCTTGTAGCCGTCTTGTACGACAGCTTCCAGAAGATACAGGATGCTGTGGCCGGTGCAGCCAAGACCGCTGCATTAATGCAGCCCTCCAGTCGGCAAAGTACCACGAGAGCAGAGCCCAAAAAGCTACGGTAAGCCAGACTGTGTGCATTATTTCAAGATATACAAAAATATATACATACGGCATTTTGTGTTGGTTCAATTAGCTGCCGTTTTGCTTCAGCGCTCATCAAAGCTTTCGAGACTATTGCAGACTCGCAAGGAAGCGAATCACCCGGTCAGCCATCCACAGCTGGGAGTCTGGCTGTTCTACGCTGTGGCTGGCGCCGGGAATCAATCCGGATAGGTCACTGTAGATGCCGGTGGCGCAAAAAGTCTTCCACCGTGCTATGTTGGCAGGCACGTCGATCGTCTGTGGCACATACTCGTCCTTACCGGATGGCAGAACGAGGACTGGCTTGTTGAATGCGCCCCATGAGGCAGCCAGCCGCTCGTCTGGGAGGTCGGTCGAGAAGTAGTCGTCGTCGCCGCTACATCTCCGTCAGCTGTGTGCAATACCCGAGATCAAGGGACGCAGCTCACTTCTTCCCGATCAGCGAGTGCAAGCGGTAGGCAGTGTGGGGGCTTTCGAGCATCTCCGGCATGCCCTCGAGGTGGATGATTTCGTTCTCTCTGCCCTCTTTGATCATCTTCTCTGCCGCTGCCAACGTCTTCTCATACATGCCCGGCTGAAAGGCCGGAGCCATGGCCTCGCGATCGGATACTGGCCCCTGGAGGATGAAGCCGTCCACGGCGGGACTCTGGCCCTTGCTGACAAATTTGGCGTATTCCATCGAGTCCTATGGCTGTTCGTCAGCACTTTGCACAAGACTGCCTGGGATTTTCGTGGTCCCAACCTGGCAGCCGGTGGAATGGCCCAAGAAGACAATCTTCTCGCGGCCGAGGCCCCGGAGATACTTTACCAGGGCAGACAGGTCGGCTACGTCGTCAGTGAGACGCTTGTAGCCAAACGCGGTGAAGGAGCTCGACATCCGGAGCTCGAACACGGAGTAGCCCAGGGCCTTGCCAGCCTCGGTCGTGGCCAGCTGGTGGGCAATCGTCCGAATGCTGGGGACGGTATGGGGGCCGTCTGTAAGACCGCCGATAAAGACGATGGCATTCTTGGCAGTGGGTGAGGTGGCTGTGACGAGCTCGTAGGAGCACGAGTTTCGGGTAGGCGAGTCGTATGGATGCACCGTCACCGAAAAGGGAGTCATTTCAGGAGGGGGAGGCATCCTGCAGCCTGGCCGTTTGTTGCTGCTACTTTTGCTATACTCGCGCGAGGAGACAGATCAGAAGAAGCTGGAAGGCCGACAGTAAGACCGTCTAGGATTGCAGTGTCTTCAGCACGGTCTATGAGCAACGAGAACGTCTTCCGTATGTTGACCTGTGCCAGCAAGAAGCTGTCTCTCAGGGCAGTCGCGCGATTGCGGGGAGCTATACATACCTAAAGATAAGATACACTTCAGGCAGCCCCGCCATTCGTCCACTATTATTACGTCAGGCAGAGCTACGGTTTTTTGCTATGCTGCCAAGCTCCACCTCTCGGCCTTCTTCTGCAAAGCCGCGATACTGCTGTCGAGATGGACCCTGGACAGCGGTTTCGCAACTCTACCACGAAAAGGAGCGAGTTTTTTGGCAAAGTACTTCCGTCCAATAAGCTATCCGTGTTTCGAAACATCTCAGCTGACACAGCTCTACCATTAGCTCAAGCCATGTTGTCTCGAGATCGTCAAGGCTCTTCGGCGAGGCAGCAGCAGCGAGCGGGATGCCGCCTCGACAGCAGGTTCTTTGACCGCTATCACAGAGCAACTCCATGGTATACTCGTTGACCAGGTCGGCTATGACTCCCCCGTTCTGGATGCGGGCATGGCCGACTATGTTTTTTTCCCTCTGCTTCCCATCTTCCAGCACATCGGCGATTATCCGGCTCGCGTCGTTGAAAATGCGACAAAGTGCCTGAGCGTCCTCATACAGCATGGCTGGAAAACATCCATATCGAAGGAGAACGCCCATGAGTTTCTCATCTTGCTCACCTCGGTCGTGACTGGTGGAGCGGACCCTGGCAGCCGGCCGGGAGCCAAGCCAGAGTGGCCCGAGGAAACGGTCGTGGAGGGATACAAAGCGCTGTCGGCCCTCATGAGGGCTGCCGGGGCTTCTTCTGGGCGTGTCTCTCCATTGGTGACCACAAACGCCATTCCCGCGCTGGCGCATACCGTGACGGTTCTGCTGGAAGGCGTCACCGATTCTATTATCGTCGGCGTCCAGCTCGAGGCTCTTGGGGCAGTCGAGGCTCTGTACACAACCGTCAAGGACCAGGAGGCATTGGCTGCCTTTCTTCCCGGAACTGTATCATCTCTGGTCCGTGCCGTTTCGGCGCCCGGCTCCCAGAAAGCTCCGAAGAGGGTGGTCATTCGCACACTCGAAGTGCTCTACGCCGTCCTAGTTAACGCCCTCGGAGACTTGCAGACACGTCATCTACACCTCCTAACAAAAGACACAAAGTTATCCAGCGAGGGTCCAAAAAGTGACATTGCGTCGACGACAAGGCCAAAGCTGGATGCCAGCTGGCTGAGAGCCACAGCAGCCCAGGTAAAGGTGGCTCTTGCCTCTGTACTCAAACTGCGGAACCACGAGTCCGAGGATGTTCAGGGTGCTGTGCGCCAGCTCTGCCTGGGTTTGCTTGACGAGTGCCACATGTCGCTGGCAGATAGCGCATCTATACTTGTCGAGAGTGCAATTGTCACTGCAGAGGACGAGGACCATACTACCACCAAAGATGGTGAGGCCGGATTTCAGGCGTTGGGGTCTTTGGATGTGGGACTTCGTGGCCTGGGACCCCAGACTACCCTCGCAGATCTGGCTATCCTGTACCCTGAACTTGCAGATGTTGCGAAAGAAACAGCGTACAGCTGGGCAAACAGCCTTTCTCGCAGCATGCAAGCCAGCGACGAAGGAATCAAACGGCATGCCATTCGAAATCTCCAAAAGGCGATAGCCATTTTGGAAGTGTTGCGTGTTGATTCGACGACGTTGGAAAATACTCTTTCGTCTGCACTGCGAGACAGCGTGATGTCTCTGGCTCTCGCTTCGGCCTCGCCAAGGGCAGCGGTAAACGATGCAGACACCGATGATATACTAGAGACCGGAGTTTCGGCCATTGTACCACAAGAGTTTCAGTCGGCCGAGGAACAGTCTTACAAGCCAGTGTTACTGGGTCTGGGGAGCCAGAAAGTTACACGTGATGCTCTACTGGGTCTACTAGCTCATATCGGATCATCCTCCCAGCAGGTACGGCTAGCATCGGAGATGCTATATTTTGTACGGGATTCGGATGGGCTGGAACAGGTGGCGGCGTTTTGGTTGTCGTTTGAGCTTGTCAAAGCATCATTTTCTAGGTCTGCAGATATCGACAGTCTCCTGGATCTTGGGGCTTTTGGAGATGGAGATGGCGACGGGCCGGAAGCGGTTTTGGAGGACCTTTTGTCATTTTCGGTTGGGAGGCTTGCATCGCATTCAGATACCGTCGACAACGGCGATTGGCGTCTTGGAGCAGTGGCAATGGAGATTACAGCTTTTGCCGCCTCTCGGGTCAAGGAGGCCTTCCGGCCCGAGCTGATCGATGTCCTGTATCCCATTGCTACCTATCTGGGATCGCCACAGGCAGAGCTGCGGAGCCACGCGATCACGACACTCAACAGCCTTGCCGTCTCATGCGGCTACACGAGTGTTTCGGAGCTCATCATCGACAACGTCGACTACATGCTCAACTCGGTGTCTCTGAGGTTAAACACATTCGATATCTCGCCAGCTTCGACCAAGGTGCTCACTATGATGATCCGTCTCGCAGGACCACGACTGGTTCCCTACCTGGACGATGCCGTGGCTGCCATATTTGCTGCCCTGGACAATTACCACGGATACCCGCTCTTTGTAGAGAGTCTCTTTTCAGTCCTGGGCGAGGTCGTGCAGCAGAGTGTGAAGTCTGACACGCTTTTGCTCGAAAGCGTACCATCTGAGGCAGGGCCATCGCGAAACCGGAAAAGACGAGGTGCAGCTTCTACGACGGGGGATCTGCTCGACATACTCGACGAGCGAGCCAAGCGAAGGAAGACAGACGACACAGAGCACATTAGATCTCGGCCGAAACATACGAAGCAGCCGTGGAAGTCCGAGGCAGATGAGTTATTGCGCAAGCGGGAAGCAGGAGATATGGCAGAAAACGAAGGGGAAGAGGGCACTGAAGCCAAGGCCGACGATAAAGTGACGAGTCCGGAAGACGCCAAGACGCCGACCTACGCCCTTCTGGCACGAATTACGACACTGACACAGCATTACCTGACGTCGCCGACGCCGACCCTCCGCAAAGCACTGCTGGACCTGCTGGCCACAGTGGCACCCGCGCTGGCACCGGACGAGAACGCATTTCTTCCTCTAGTGAACTCCGTCTGGCCCGTGATGATCACACGCCTCTACGACGGCGAGCCGTACGTGGTGACTGCCGCATGTGCCGCCATCGGGTCGCTCTGTGCCAGCGCAGGAGACTTTCTCGCGTCTCGCATCAAAGCTGAATGGCACGCCAGCCTAAGAAGGTGGTGTGTTCGCGTCAAAGCAGAGGCAGCGTCCAAGTCGGGTCGAGCTGGAGTTGGCAGCCGAGAGAGTGGTGTCAACACCGTCAAGACGTCGTCTCTACTGCAAATACGTGGCAGGCCATCAGGGCACAGCAGCATTGCTGCCAGCGGCTCCTCGACAGGTGTCTTGCTCCCAATTCGGTCAGCAGTGGGCGACGTTGAGAAGGTTTCCGAGCTGCTACAGCTTTCGTCTGGCCACGGCAGCGCAGTCGCAGAGCCATCACCTTCTTTCACGGCCGGCCTGGGCAGATTTGCGCAGGCAGTGCAGATCTGGGAGGCTGTGGCCGGCTTGCTGACCGACATTGTGACCTACGTGAAGCTGGACGACGAGATATACGACCAGATCTTGGATCTCCTTCTGGCGACTCCGCCTTCCGCCAAAACAGCTGCTGGACGACCTGTCCGTCTGCTGCCGGCGGCGCTCGAGCAGAAAGCCCGCGAGGCTCTCGAAGTTGTAAATGCGGATGCCGTCTGGTTGGCGCAGCTTGGAGCAGGACAGCTGGAGGATTCGTCGTGGGTCGTTGTTAAGCCGCCGGAGTTGGAGGGTGTCAGATTTGCGTCTTTGACCGGAGTCGAAACTCGCGCCGGAGAGAGTACATTAGTGGATACATAGTATGCCGTAGATCCGGCGTCGCATTATCGAGTATTAACCATGACAGGGATTGCCTGGGGGAAAGGGGGCGTCCGTGGATGAAATAGGTTCTTCGCCGGTTAAGCGTTTGAGACATGTCCACATGGTACTTTCTAATGTATGTTAGGAGACACCTTCAACTGGGCTGTGTCGACAAGGGTGCATTGGGCATCTGTTGTCCGACCGCTCGATTTTAGCTTCGGACAAGAAATGATTTTCAGAGTAAAGACGGCGGATGCAGCTGCAAATCCATCGAATGTCAGCAGTGTTGAAGAAAGTACAACCAGGCAGAACGGGCTGCAGGCCTGGTCACGAACTCGGTCGCCACGGGTTCGTGGCTATTTTTGGTCGACTGGCTCTAGGTCAGAGGCGCAGGTGACATGCATCGCAGCTCTAGAACAGCGTGTTTATGCAAACCATTGCATGCATGCAATAGTACGCGAAATACGTCGGTTATGGGCTGTGCAGAAAGTAGGAGGGGGACTGTTTTATGATCCAAAGTGAACATTCGCTGCTATCTCAAATTGTCGTAAAGATACATAGGACAGTTCGCTCGAGTTAAGCCAGTCAGGTATGAAATCGATAAGAGCACAGGCGCTCGGTGAGAACTTTAGGAAATTGGTCACACGATCAGTGCAAGGAAACCTGCCTACGACGTAGAAGCATTCTAGAAAGAGTTTATTTGGCCTGTGCGGTGCGCCACAGGATTGTCGACCAATAGCAGCGATGGGCTAGCCTGTTAGCGGTAGGCCGGCTCCTACCGGAGGAAGCAGCAGCGCGCATGATATGGCGAGATGCGAAGTACGAGTACGAGGAATCCGTTACACGTCATGCTCATTTGTTCATCTTGTCTCTTGGCACCCCCGCCTTTTTCTTTTCCTTGTGTCTCGGTTGTGGGCCAAGTCGTACTCGCGTGTTTTTGTTCGGGTACTTTCTTTTTCTCTTGTTTTCTATTTTTTTTTCCCTTTCTTCGCTAAATGCGATCTAAAGCTCCATAATTCCGGTTTCTATTATTCAGAAGAGAAGCAGAATGGAGGAATTGCCCGTCTTCGATCGATCCACCCAAAACCAACACACCGGAGACAAAAGATATCCCCCGCAAATCAGGCTCGTACATACATACATACTGAGTGGTACATACTCATAAGTTGATAAAGAAAAGGCAAAAGACCACATTCGGGCGACATTAGTCCAAATACGTCGAGCCGCTTTTAGGCGCCAGAGACCGGACGCTACAGCATCAAGCAATGTAACGAGTACGAGCTTTATAACTTGCCTCATTGGTCTGGCTGACCAAGGCGAACACTGTTTTGTTTTCGTTGCATATTTTGCTCTCACTCTTCCCTTTGCTTATGTTTCTACAGGCTGCATATGTAGGAGAAACTATTTTACTTACGGAGTAGACTAAACCGATACTTCGTACATGTACTCCGTAGTATCCCAAAAATGCATCTAAGCCCTATTGTGTTTCAAATATTTGCGTTGGAGGGCCCGTATAAGCACCCACATGGGTTTTCCCCATATTCTCACTTTTCTCCCATTGAATCTGAATTACGTTTATGATCGTGTCACAATCCAGCGCGTATATCGTATCTGTGGGGTACGGAATACTTTTTCTCTATGGGACGTACTACATACTATCTTACATCGTACAGTAGACATTCGCGCACAATATGTAACAATTTCACTCGTCGTAAGATTTCCATCCTATGCTACGTCGTACGTCGTAGATCGGTGCTTTCGCTCCTGCAAGCCTGCCGTGTGCCGCGGCGCCGGTTCGGAGGTTATGCGGATACGGCACTGCAGCTCGTCTGCGTATAATGCTGCTCTGCCACTCGGGATGCTAGAGCCGATTCCGCTTTTCGTATATCTCATCGTTACTACGTCGTATGTACGTCGTACTCCGTACACTTGTTACATACCTTTCTCCTTCTCTCTTCAGCGACGACGGTTACAGAGTAAGCCTCAGCTTCCCAAAACGGCGCTTTGCAGGCTATCTTATCTTGCTATCTTGATACCCCTGAGCGATTTAACAGGGACATGGTGGAGCTGGACTGCTCGTATGCTACTTGTCCTCTTGTTAAAAGAGAAGCTGGCGACAGGGGACCGAGGAAAAGTCCGTGCAAGGTAGCATTCTACCAAAGCGAGCTTGACCATCCGTAGTCCTAGTCCGCGCCTAGCAAAGTTGGCTGTCCACTAGTGTGTATTTTGCCAGAAAACTGTTCTTCGAGTTCAATGTATACGAGTACGAAGAATTTTACAAAAGCGTGGTGGCCGCCAGACATTCCCGTCGACATAAGGTGTCGAACGGTGTTCTGGAAGCTGTACTACTTACACGTATCTTACATAGTTAGCAGCCCAGGCCGGCGTAAGTGCTGATCTGGTATTCTGGGCTGCTGGCTCTAGTCTCGGCCACACATGTCCAGAAAGAGGCCAGCGGCCGTCGTGGACCTTTGCTATGCGACTTGCTGATCTGCGTTGTACGACGTACTCCGTATGCAGCCCGACACTTGCTTGTTGAGTCATCTACGGAGTACAGAAACCTTCCGCACACTCGAGTGGTACGATGCTGGGATGCTGTGGTCGGGTTGACGCTCTGGCTCTTTGGCGAATGGCGCCGTTGTGATCTGTGTCATGGGGAGCGGGAGCTACTGGGCGATAAATCAGATGCAGCTGGGTACGAGTACTCGTAAGATACATACCTCGTGGAAGATACTGGTTGGGATCGACAAGAAAAATGCTTTTGTCGCTGTGCTGATCCGCTAGCTTCCAAGAAAAGAGAGGGCGCAGCCGTTAAAGAAATTGGGACAGAGGGAAGGTGGCTACCTGCAGGAAGACCCTTCCAGCCGAATTGAGAAGTTGCCCGCACTGCGAGTTTCTTACAAAAACAGTACTCCGTACGGAGTTGTGTTATTGCACTTGTCTTGGGTGTATTGCGAGTAGGCTACTATTATGCATGGCGACTGGTGTGCGCCGGTCGTCGCTGCCATCACAGCGGCTGTGAGAATAAGCCGATCACGGCCAGATCCATTAATCCTGCCTTATCAGCTCCGCTCTCCTGATACGACGTATATGTATGGGTGACATATACGACGTATATATATATATATATATATAATGCGTTTTACGGAGTCTGTATGGCTGAGAAATCTCCCGATACCTACGGCGTACGTCGTTCGAACGTGCTCGACCCCTCCAGGGAAACGCATGCTCTCCTGCGACTGCAAGCGTTGCTGCAGCGTGTGTGGCCAAGAGCGTCTACCCTGGTTCGGCTTAAACTGATACCAGGGCTTGTCGCCCACTAGTGATGTACCTTCCTGAACGGGATAGTCAGCGACATGACTGTCGCTCCTTATTAACAGCACTCTGCAGCGCTAACGGCCATTCGTCCGCAACGGGAGGAGGCAATTCGCCAAGAAAGCCCCGTTCAGCTAGCGCACTGGCGACACATCCAAATGACAAACAGGGACGGCGATACTCGATACTGCTTGTAAGACACTCGTAAGCTGGCCGTGCTGCACCGAACCGTCTAGGGCTGTTCTAGTGTCGCGTGACCTGACAGTAGTGGTCTTTGCCGGGCTACGGTCCTAGTCGTCCGTGATTTGCTCTGGCATGTTATGCAGTTTTTTTTTCAGCTCGGTCACCAAGCCTCACCTCCGCTCAGAACGCCTACAGCCAGGCGTACAAACTACGAGCAAAGCGAAACCGAAATAAGGTGGCAACGCCCCTGGCCAGGCACACGCGGATACTACTGTATCCCCCTCTGTTCTTCGTAAAGCGGCAATGGCTTTATTCTCTGTCTGTGTCCTATTTCAATTATTCATCCTCGTTGGTCCAATCGCTTTCGTAGCCCTCCCAACTCGTTCGCTCATTGGTCTTTGGCCAGAGTTGTGTTAATTTGCAGTGCTACCTGCACGGATGGGGCCCGCTTTTGCTGTCTCCACCCTCCTCCAGGACCTTATTCTTCTCCCAGACTGACACACACCTCAGGCTGGCGAGGCACGCCTCTAAGCTCAGGTGCGCTTTTATCCCCAGGGCTACGCGAACTCCGTACAAGAACCACACGATGCTCGACACCCGGTCCACATTTCTAGCTCCAGACTTTTGCATAGTATGAGTCCGTGCTTGCTCCCGGCTAAATGTACCTGTACTTGTGCTCCATACTCTACTACGAAGCCCCACTCTGAGCATCGCCCTCTCTCTGTGTCAGTCCCTTCCTTCCTCTTTCTGTTCTGTCGATTATTATATTTAAAACTTAGGCCCCTTCCCTGCAGATCCTGGCTCTTCCCCTCGTGTTTTCATGCATGTCTTTCCTTCCTCTCTTACTCTGCAATATATATTAGTCCCAAACACCCTCGTGTCTGGTTTCTTGTATGGTCAAGCTAGTATTTCTGACAGACCATTGACACAATATGTCTGGCCAGTACGACAAGGAGATGTCCGACCGGTCGATCAACCGTGAGAGCGGTGACAAGACTTACAGTATCGACGGCCCTCAAGATGAGGAGGTCGGCGTGGTCCAGGGCGGCCACCAGCTGCAGCGCGATCTGAAGGGTCGCCACATGCAGATGATTGCAATCGGTACGTCGTGTCTGCCTGCACCCCATACTTTCCATGTTCGTCCCGTCTGACTTGATTCTTCCTGCCAGGTGGTGCTATTGGTGCCGGTCTTTTCGTCAGTTCCGGCAGCGCTCTCCAGAGCGGTGGCCCGGCTCCGCTCGTCATCTGCTACTTCATCGTCGGTATCATGCTTCTGTTCACTTGCCAGGCCTTGGCTGAGCTGGCTGTTCTCTACCCGGTCAACGGTGCCTTTTACACCTATGTCGTGCGCTTTGTCGATCCTTCATGGTGAGTGATTCTGTCAATCGTTCGTCTCGTCTGCTTTTCAAACTGACTCTTCTGTGATACAGGGGTTTTGCCATGGGCTGGGACTACGCGCTCTCCTGGCTGACTATCCTGCCATTCGAACTCACGGCTGCCTCGATCACGATTCAGTTCTGGCGCGAGGACCTCAACGTCGGCATCTGGATTGCCGTCTTCCTCGTCGTCCTTTGCACCATTCAGATCTTTGGCGTGCGCGGCTACGGAGAAGTCGAGTTTTTCCTCAGCATGATCAAGATCGCGGCCTGCACCGGCTTCATCATTCTCGGCATCATCATCAACTGCGGCGGTGTCGGCGACCAGGGCTACCTCGGCGCCAAGTACTGGCACCACCCGGGCGCCTTCCGGAACGGCTTCAAGGGTTTCTGTAGTGTCTTCGTCGTCGCTGCCTTTGCCTTTGGCGGTACGGAGCTGGTCGGCCTCGCTGCGGCCGAGTCGGCCGACCCGGCCAAGTCCATCCCCAAGGCCACCAAGCAGGTGTTCTGGCGTATCGCGTTCTTCTACATTGTCAACCTGTTCATCCTCGGCCTGATCATGCCCGCCGACGACGAGCGCCTGCTGGGCTCATCTGGCGCCAACACTAAGGCCTCTCCGTTTGTGCTGGCTATCCAGGATGCCGGCATCAAGGTGCTACCCTCCATCTTCAACGCCGTCATCACCATCTCCGTCATCAGCGTCGCGAACTCGTGCACGTTTGGTTCTACCCGTACCATGCAGGCTCTTGCTGAGCGCGGCATGGCTCCCAAGTTCCTGGCCTACGTCGACAAGAACGGCCGCCCCATCTGGTGCATCCTGATCCAGGTCCTGTTCGGCTTCATCGCTTTCGTCGGCGAGTCTGGTGACTCTAGCACCGTCTTCGACTGGCTTTTGGCTCTGTCCGGCCTGAGCTACTTCTTCGTCTGGGGCTCCATCTGCCTCACCCACATCCGCTTCCGCTACGTCTGGAAGGCCAAGGGCAAGACGCTGGACCAGATCCCGTATAAGCCGACTCTTGGTGTCTACGGCAGTGCCATTGGCCTGTTTCTGAACTGCGTCTGCATGGTTGCCACCTTCTACTATGCTCTTTGGGTAAGCCTTCTATGCCCTCACTAACGCTCGTTGTGCGAAGCATGCTAACATGCTTTTTCTGCAGCCCGCTCCAGGTGTCAAGCCCAGCGCAAACTTCTTTTTCCAGGAGTACCTTGCACTTCCGATTGTCATTTTGCTGTACCTTTTCTGGAAGATTTACAGCCGGGATTGGAAGTTGTACCTCCGCGTCGAGGACATTGACATCAACACGAGCCTTCGCGAGTATGTGCCGGGCGATACGGAGGTTGTCAAGACGTCGGCGCTTAGCTTTTCGAAGCGCGTGTTCCACGGTCTGTTTTAGATTTCCACTTGAGGAACTTTCTTTTGTTCACTCCCCACGCGGCATTCCTGCAAACCCAATATCAGGCTGCATTGGCCTAGAGCACTTTTGGAAAGCTGGCAGTTTGTGCTGCGCGGAGTTTTCTTTTTATTGTATATAGCCCTTCTTGATATGATACCTGATATGTAGCTCAGCAACGGATCTGGCTGCTGAGAACCAAAATGATGATTACCCCAATAAATTGAAGTCATTGAAGTCGTTGCAAGTCATAGCATTGCGGACGAATTTGAGGCGGAAATTGTAGCAGAGCCAAGAAAAGTGGGGTGGGTGGGCTGGAATAGCCGGTCCGTCAGTGCTTAGAGGCCAGCTGGCAAACCGGCTTTACGAGAGCTGCCTCCTTGTTCAGCCGTTGATTCGTAGCAGCATGAAACGACCTACGATACAGATAGCCTCCAGCCCACCGCCAAAGTACGGGGACAAGGAAGCTTCGCCCATTGTTTTGAGCACGGTCGGGTTCCTTTCCTCTCGCGGTTTCCTCGACTATTCATCCATCTTCTGGTCCTGTTTTTTTCCTTTGTTTGTGAGTCCCTGCCCGACGACAGATTGCCCCTGCGTGAAGGGGAGCCATCGACTGGCAATTTGGCCTCCTCTTCACCCTGGAACCGTGACCATCCTCATTTCTGCTGCCTGACACGGGGCGTCTCTTCCCCCCAGCCATCAGGTGGCCATTCTGCGTCGGCACAGATTCGACGAACGCAAATTGACGCAGTTGCCTAGGCCCCTTTAAGCGTCGCGAATTGCATATCTGGCTTCTCTTCCTCCTTTCGTCTCGCTCGAACTTGTCGCCCTGCGATTACGACCGGCTCGCCTGCATCGACACCAACATCAGCACGATCACACGCGCACCGGGATCAACTGCCATGGCGTCCTACGGCCAGGCGATGCCGGTGGCCCGGCCAGGGCAGCAGGTAGCTCTTCCGGCAGGCGGCCATCACGGGCACAGCCCCGCGCCACAGGGGACGTTCGTGCCCGGGACGAAGATCCAGGTGGGCAGCCACCGGGTGGTGATCCAGAAATACCTGTCCGAAGGCGGGTTTGCCCACGTGTACCTGGTCAAGATGCCGGCTCCTGTAGACGGGACGGATCTGGCGGTGCTGAAGCGGGTGGCTGTGCCGGACAAGGACGCGCTGCGAGGGATGCGCACGGAAGTCGAGACGATGAAGCGGCTCAAGGGCCACCGGGCGATTGTGACGTACATCGACTCGCACGCGTCGGAGATGCACGGCGGTGGCTACGAGGTTTTTCTGCTGATGGAGTTCTGCGACGGCGGCGGGCTGATGGACTTTATGAACACGCGTCTGCAACATCGGCTGACGGAGCCGGAGATCCTCGGCATCTTCTCGGACGTGGCCGAGGGTGTGGCCTGCATGCACTACCTGCAGCCACCGCTGCTGCACCGCGATCTCAAGGTCGAGAACGTGCTTATCAGCACCGGCTCGATCAAGGGCGCCCGTCGCCGCTTCAAGCTGTGCGACTTTGGCTCGGCGGCGCCGCCTCGACCGGCCCCGGCTTCCGTGGTCGAGTGCCGCCTCATGGACGAGGACGTGCAGAAGCACACGACGCTGCAGTACCGCAGCCCCGAAATGGTCGATGTGTACCGCCGCCAGCCCATCGACGAGAAGTCGGACATCTGGGCCCTCGGCGTACTGCTCTATAAGCTCTGCTACTACACCACGCCCTTCGAGGACCAGTCGTCGCAGCTGGCCATCCTCAACGCCAGCTACCGCTTTCCGCCCCATCCGGTCTTCTCGGAACGGCTCAAGAGCCTGATCGGTCGGTGCTCTCCGCCTGTCCTCTTGTATCGTCTGCGTCTAACATGCTTGCAGCATCGATGTTGCTGGAAAACCAGCAGTCTCGGCCGAACATTTACGAGGTGCTGCGGGAGTCGTGCGTGATGCAGGGAAAGGACGTGCCGATCAAAGACGTGAGTTGCTTTAGTTTGTAGTTTGTGCCCACAGCCTTCGCTGACACACACTAGATATACTCTGGTCGGTCACATTCCGAGACGAGGGCTGGCCAGAGCGCCATTGCCGGCGCACAACCTGCCGCGACAGCTGTTGTGGGTGCCGTGTTTGCGCCGCCGACAAAGCAGCAGCAGATCATACCCGAGGTTGTGCCGATGCGAAGAGGCCGGCCGACCGCTCCGGCGCAGTCAGGCCGATCTTCGGCGCCCAGGCCGACGCCGTCGCCGAGACCGGTTACCAGCGGCGATCCGTTTGCGGCACTGGACGCGAACACGTCAAAGTCGCTTCCGGCAGACGAGCTGTCGTCGCGATTTCCCACTCTGGACCAGTTCGCCCTGTTTCACGACCAGGGCACGGAGTTCTCCTTTGACGAGACGGCCATCTCGACGTCCAAGACAATTCCGCAGGCAGCACTGTCCCAAGCCACGGCTGCCATCGCAGCGGGCAAGCCGCCAGCCGCGGGCATTAGCAGGACGCCGTCCAATGAGCCGGCAGTCTACCAGCAGTACTCTCGAGGGAGCTCGTCCCCCGAGAGGACGGAAATGCCGCCACTGGTCCCTATTAAGCCCCGTGAGGTGAGCCGGGCTTCGGCGATCATCTCGAGCACGCCGGAGCTCCGGGCGATCTCTGCGCAGAAAGAACAGATGCAGACACAGCAGGAAGAACAGAATCAGGCACCAACCCGACCGGAGATGGTGTCTACGGGGACGATGACGTCGCCGTCGCCGCCTCCACCTCCGCTGCCGCCGAGAGAGAGCTCCCGACCGCGATACCACGTCTTCCACTTCCCGTCCCCAAGCCAGCACCGGGCATCGAGCGTGCCGAGGAAGAACCGTCCGGACGAAGGCGGCAGTCGGGTCTCGCCGCCGCTTAAGGCACAGCTGCAGGCACAGGCAGGCGACGGCTATCACACGTCGTCGTGCCGGCCGTCGCTCGAAGGCGGCCGTCCCGGACTGGAATCGTTGGAGCCGACGGTGATCTCGACGCAGCCGAGGTCTATTCGCCCACGACCGGTTAGTGCCTACCTTGAATCGAACTTGGACTATCTGCGCGAGATGGAGGGCAGCAGCAGCAACAACAACAACAACGCAGGGATCGGTGGGCGGCCGCTGCTGTCGCCGGGCTTCCCGCCTTCCAAGGCTGGCGATTTCAAACCGCCGTCGTCGCCCAGACTAGCTCCGGGCAGTGGTGCCGGAAGAGATGAGGCGGTCCTTGAGTCGACCGTGGACTATCTCCGGGCCATGGAGGACGACAACAAGTGGGACAAGAACCACCACCACGGCAAGCACGGTAACAAGCGTGCCAGCATGACGGCGCTGTCGGGGACAAAGAGCATGCTGGCGGGGAAGTTTGGAGACGCGTTCAAGCGCTTTGAGACGAGCACGAGCAGCAGCAGTAACGCGGCCCCGGCGCGGACACCATCCCCGCTGAAGCAGATCGATCGGCAGGACGGCGTTGGTGTCAGCGGTGGCAGTGGCTACGATGCATACAACGAAAGCGAGAAGACGCCCGAGGACAGCGACGACATGAGCCCAGAAATGCGGCGCGAGATGGAGCGTCGACGGCTGTCGCTGGAAGAGAAGCGCGTGGCAGCAGCGGGAGCGGAATATCGCCAGCGACTGGCCTCGCGGGGTTCTGGACCTGGAGCAGCAGTAGAAGGCGAAGACCGAACGCTGCCAGCACCACCCAAGAGCATCGGTGGGGTGTCGCGGGCGGTCTCGATCCAGAACCGGGTGCAGAGCCTGCTGATCGAATCACAGACGGCAGCGCAGCCAACGCGAACAGCGCAAGGCTACGGGCACTTCACGGACGAAGTGGTGGGCGATACAGGAGGAGGGGGAGCGTCATCGGGCGAGCGGCCGGAGATGCGGAGGAAGCCGTTGGTGCGCGCCAGCACGACATCATCGACAGGCGCGACGACGATGGAAGCTCCGCGCACACACGTTACGGGCAGCAAGCCGGCAGCCAAGCCGAAGCCGCAGCATCTGAACAAGGTGCTGCCTCTGATGAGTGGTAATAACAACAGCAGCAGGGTCAGCACACTGGACAGCACGGCGAGCGGGCGGTCGTCGATGGACATGGCTCGGCCAGGCTCACCGACAACGATTACAGCCTCCAAGCGGCCCATCAATGTCGGGCTGTCATCGTCGTCGTCATCATCGGCAGCGACAACAATGCCGTCGCAGCTGATGGCCATGGATCTTCCCGGACAGCCGGTGCTGGAGGGCATGTCGCTCCAGGACCGGGACGACTACATACAGGACTTTCAGCGACGGTTTCCGAGCCTGACGGCCATCGAGATGGTTGAGCGGGATCTCGCGGCTGAAGAGCAGAGTCGTGGACGGTAGCATATATACATGGTGTACGGAGTAGAGAGAAGTAATTTTCGTCTCTGCCTGTTGCGCTTGTTCTTTTGGTCGCCTAGTCGTTCTGGCTCTTGGTCGTTTTGGCTTCTTGGCTTCTTGCTAGCATATGCATCGTCCTATTATCCACATACACCTGCACCTTTGGCGTGCATATACATCTTTTTCTTTTTCTTTTTCTTTGCTTTCTTTTTTGCACGGAGTGTTTTAGCTTGGGCTGGCCGCCACAGCCAAGAGGCAGCCCGGTAATCGAACCGTTCTATCCGCCGTACTGTCCGAGCACTATGCAGAGTGATGTCAGGAGAGTGAGGCTGAGATTGAGGACGGGGATGTGATGTGATGACTAAGCAACTTGAATCGGCGACCGGGTCCCCGCGACAGCCCACTACTACTAGACCAGAATATCGGCGATGATTGCAGGCCTTGTTCGTTTCCTTCTCTCTTCCTTTCTTCAGACTTCTTTCTACCAAAGACCTCCCCGACATCATCATGTGTGTCCGCACCGGCTGTTCCACCTGTTGTAAGTCATGCCCTGCACACTCGCACAATACATGGCAGCTGACAGCTGTCTCTTCCGACAGCCAAGAAGACCTGGCGTGGCTGCGGCCTGCACATCCCCCAGGCGCTCAGCGGCGTGCCCGAGTCGGAGTGGTGCACCTGCGAGCCACGCGTCACGGTGGACGGCAAAGAGTATCCGCCGGCGGCCAAGTGAGCGGGCAGGCGGCGATGCCTCGAGGAACAAAGAATTGGGTTATCGTCTGCTTATCAGTGCCGAAAGACGGATGTGAAGAGATGCAGGAGAGAAATCCATAATCCGCAAGCGGTGATTAGCTCGCTTGGACGTTCCTTCCTCGCATTTCCATTAGCAATTCAGGCTAGTAGTTGCCGTGTAAGATAAACAACACTTGCTATCTTTGGGGCCAAACCCCGCCCTTTTCTCGACCAAATCGAATGGTGTGGCCTTGAGGATAAAATACACAACTTGTGAAGCCTTTTGGAGAAGCGTTTTGGAGAAGCGAGAGCTCGACCGAGCACCAATAGCGTCTGCCCGCCCTGTTTCCTTCGCCATGCAGCTCCCGCGGCAGCTTGCTGCGCTGTGGCCGGCATCGGCCGCGAGTACCTCACCGTCTGTCCTGGTTTTGGGCGGGTTCATCGGGCTGATTGCGCTGCTCGTGTGGGTGATCAGGGCCGTGAGCTCGCCCTTGGGGCGTATCCCAGGCCCACGACTGTCGCTCTTCACGTCGGCAGCGCTGCGATGGCACGAGATGCGCGGCGGCCGGACGGCGTACGTGCACGCGCAGCACCAGCGATACGGCCCGGTGGTGAGGCTGAGTCCCAATGAGGTGTCGTTTGCGTCGGCGGCAGCGGTCAAGGAGATCTACGGCGCAGCTGGCAGCGGCTATGACAAGACGGAGTTCTACAACCTGTTTACCGTCTACGGGCGCCGCACCATGTTCTCGACTCTGAACAAGGAGAGGGCAGGTCTTTTCTGACTGGTCCCCCACACCTGTTCTCTCGCTGACAGCTCTAGCATGCCCGTCGCCGGCGGATTCTGGCCGACCGGTACGCCAACAGCAACGTGATGAAGCCATCGTCACTGGGCGGCATCGAGGAGCGGTCGCGGGCTTTTGCCCAGCTCTGTGCCTCGGCGCCGGACCAGACCCTCGACGTATATGTGAGTGCGAGGAGAAGCTGATGGACAAAGTCGGACATATGCTGACCAGTTTTCGAACCAGATCCGTAAGATTCGACTCTGCAGAGAGTGCGACGGTGCCGGTGCTCCATATTGACTCCCTCGCAGCTCTTCATGCGTATGCGTTTGACTGCGTGACCCATCACCTCTTCCATCCCTACGGCACGAATTCGCTGCAGGACAAGGCCGACGAGGAGATTCTGCGCGAGGTCACGTTTGACTCCAGTCTCCAGGACCGACTCATCCGTTTCTACAGCCCGCGGCTGCACGCAGCGATCGGCCGGGTGCTGGCACTGTTTCTGACGCCACGCTCGACGCCGCTGGCCGACAGTTTTGTGCTGCAAACGGCTGACCAACCGGAGCCGGCCGCATTCACGCTGCTCAGCCGCATGAAGGAGGTGCAGCGCAAGGCGGCCGGCGAGGACGACGAGGAGAAGAGTTTTGATCTATTGGACGCAGCCGCCGAGAGCCTCGACCACATGGCCGCCGGAATCGACACCACCGGCGACGGGCTGTGCTTCCTGATGTGGGAGCTCTCGCAGCCGCGGTCGCTGTCGTTCCAGAAGCGTCTGCGCCACGAGCTGCGGGCCAACGCCACCAGCCCCAGCCCCAGCCCCGTTGCCCTCGATCGACTGCCCTTTCTCGACGCTGTCATCCAGGAGGGCCTGCGCTGCTTCCCGGCCATCCCCATGTCGCTGCCGCGCGTCGTGCCCGGTCGAGCCTGGGGCGTAGCTCGTGGCATGCGTGTCCCGTCGTCGCTGCCGCCTTCTGGCCCCGACGGTCGCACCATCGACAGCTACTTCGTGCCCGTCGGCACTGTCGTCAGCAGCCAGCCCTACTCGGTCCACCGCCTCGACACCGCCGTCTTTCCCGATCCCGACACCTTCAACCCGGACCGTTGGCTGGCCGAGGACGGCGACGCCGACCGCAAGCGCCTCTTCTTTGCCTTTGCTAGCGGTGGCCGCGGCTGTGTCGGAAAGCAGTACGTGTTTTTTTCAGTCTTTTCCTGTTCCGTCTCGCTTCTGTTGTTCTAACATCACAGCCTCGCCATGGCGGAGATGCGCACGCTCCTGCGCGACATCTACAGCCGCTTTGCCACGGCGCCTGAGGCCTCCATGACTGACGAATCCATGAGCATGGACGACCAGATCATCTCATCCCGTCCACTCGGCCAGCGCTGTCTGCTCAAGTTCATCCCGCTGAACGACGTCGACACATCGGAGTAGAACAGTAGATGACAAATCATGTACACACACCTTTTATACGCCCCACTCATTCTCCACGTGACTGCCATTCCCGATCTGTTTGGCTGCACGGACCTAAGCCGATAGGTGCACGTGCCAGGGTCTCCCTCCTCTTTTTGCCCCTCCCCCATTTTCTGCCATTTCTAATACGGTCGTTTGTGTGCAAATACGCGCGAATCAGGTGGGGGCTGGCCATTTTTTCCTGTTACCACCTTGTATTATTTCCCAGCCGAGCATTTTTTACTTCTGCCTGTTTTTTCCCTCCTGCCTCTCTTCTTCCCAATCGCCTCGATTTCTTCTCTCGAAGCAGACAAAGCCGCGCTCGCAACAAAGAAACACGCAACCCTTGTCCTGTCTTTTGCATCCGCAGACTGTCTGCCGCCTGCCCAAAAGCGTCGCAAAATCGGCTCTCGCTTGACAAAGGCTCGCCAGGAATTCATAACTCCTCGCGTCCTGCAACGGCATCGCCCCGTCGCCTCTCCTATTCCCACGCACCGGTGTTTTTCTTTGTTTTTCTGTTTCACCACGCTCGCATCTCTGGGCTGCTGAACTCGGCCATCGACGCCTCTTCCTATCAAGACGACCATCATCACAACCCTTCACCCCCTTCCCTCTCAAAAGACTGCACCCAGATACAGGTCTTGTTTATGTATCAGCACGACATCATCTCCGAGTCTACTCACTCACCTCCCATCAGGCTGCAAACATTTCGCATAGCGCGGATATCTTGTAGCATCAGTCAGAGCCCTCACGGTTGAAATTATCCGTCTTACCAGCAGCAACAGCGTTTTCGAACTTGCAAAACGTCAAAACGTCATTCCATCAACCCCTTTCCAAGGAACTACCAGAGTTGCCCTAGAACCTTTTGCGTTCATGCCTCCGACGTTCAGGATCCAGCAACAATCTTCCCTTATGTCCACAAAAAGCTTCGCTTTGCACTAACACCCCCTCTTTGCGACTTCTTCATGCATCCTTCGACCTTTGCGTCAATTTAGACAAACGCCAAATCCGCCTCCTCCTCTTCTCTTTGTGAGGAAAATTTTGTCCGCAATCCACGGAGCATCCAGATTCAGCAGCCTTCCGGCACACGCATATACAATAAGCACAGGGGTCAGACTGCATTGCAGCAACTAAAACCGCCATCATGAGTCTCATCAACGTTCGCCGTGATGTCACCGACGTCTTCTACCGCTACAAGATGGAGCGCATCCAGACCAAGATCGAGGGCAAGGGCAACGGTATCAAGACGGTTGTCACCAACCTCAGCAGCGTCGCCCAGTCGCTCGCCCGCCCGGGAGCCTACTTGATCAAGTACTTTGGCTTCGAGCTGGGCGCTCAGACCAACATCGACCCGCCCGACGACCGCTGGATCATCAACGGTGCCCACGAGGCCACCAAGCTGCAGGACTATCTCGACGGCTTCATCTCCAAGTTTGTCCTCTGCAAGAAGTGCAAGAACCCCGAGACGGTCGTGCAGATCAAGGACGGCCGCATCTGGCTGGATTGCAAGGCTTGCGGTCAGCGCACCGAGGCTGATCTGCGTCTGAAGCTGAGCGGCTTCATCCTCAAGAACGTGCCGAAGAAGGGCAAGAAGGACAAGGCCGAGCGCAAGGCTGCCCGCAAGGCGAAGCAGAACGGCACCGCCGGCAACGGCAGCGGCGACGACCCGTCCGGTTCGGCCAAGGGCGACGACGACGGCGGCAACAGCGATGACGACGGCTCTGCCTCGCCCACAACCTCTTCGGCTCCGTTTGCTGCTGCTGCCGCTGCCACCGTGCCCGGCTCTGCCTTTGTCAAGACGGCTGCCGAGGATGCCGGACCTAAGGAGGTCGAGTGGAACGTTGACATGACCGAGGAGGCCATCCGCGCTCGCCAAAAGGCTCTGCCTGACGAGTTCAAGCAGAAGATGCTGCTCAACGGTGCCGGTGCCGAGGATGACGAGGAGGACGGTGAGGGCGGTGGCAATACCGTCTACGACCAGCTGGCCGACTGGGTCCGCGCCCAGGCCGAGGAGAAGGCCGGTGTCGACAACGTCGTCGACATCAACATCTACCTCAAGGCTCGCGAGCTTGGCATCGAGGCCAAGCACCGCACCGTCCTCGTTCTCGTCCAAGCCCTCTTTGACGAGAACATCCTGACGCAGATTCCCAAGCGTGCAGCCATGCTGAAGAAGGTATGTTTTGGGGAGACTGTGGCAGCTTAAAGATCGCTCAAAGATGTAGATGTAGAACGCTAACAAATCAGATGATCACGTCGGAACGCCACGAAAAGGCCCTTTTGGGTGGCACTGAACGCCTCATCGGCCAGCTGCTCAAGGCTCATCCCGACATGGTCGACAAGGTCGTCAAGATCCTGCAGCTGTACTACCACAACGACCTCATCTCCGAGGAGGTCGTCACCAAGTGGGGGACAAAGGCCAGCCGCAAATACACCGACCTGGCCACGTCCAAGAAGGTTCGCAAGGCTGCCGAGCCCTTCCTCACCTGGCTGGCCGAAGCCTCCGAGGAGGAGTCCGAGGAAGAGTCTGAGGAGGAGGCTGAGGAGGATGATTAAGCAGAACGCATGAAGCAGAGCCTGTTTCGGGAACCACAGCGAGCAGATTGTCAGTCGTACTGGTTCCCGTCCAGCCCTCTCATTTCGGTTTAACAAAACGAGCAAGGAAAATGGGCTCCAAAAGGAAAAGGACCGGCCTGTTGGGCGTCTTGTTGTGCAGTCTTCTCTCTTTAACCTGTAATTCATGCTGTAGGATCACTACCATCTTCTCTCCTTCAACAGTTCAGTGTTCAACACGCTGGTGAAGCTACCTTGGCACTGTGCTGGCTTCATACCTGTTATTATCGTGTTAAGCACATTATTTTGACACCTGCACCTTCGTACATCGTGAGCCATATCAAGCCGTGGGCCTCTGGTCTCTGACCTCTGATCTGTCTGCCGACTTCGACGTAATAATCTCTTAAAACGTCCGCGCCCTTCTTCCCTGTGAGACTTCCTAACAAGAATAACAGCCAGTAGGCAGTAAATTCTTCAGACACCGGATGACAAGCACAAAACCCGAACCTGAACATAAATTCCATAAGCACCGGCAATATCTCAGCATTGCACCTCTCACCATTGTTCCGCCTCAGGAGCATCTTTGCCCATTTTGTCCTTGCTATTTCGAAAGGCCGGCGGATCGTGCGAGCTCTGGGCTGCCGTCGGGTCGCCCCAGCTTGGTACAAAGTCGTCTCTGTCATTCACGACCTTCGTTTTGTTTCGTCTCGCTCGACTCGGTCTGTCTCTATTCTCAAAAATATAATCCTGCGTATTTGAAATTGGGTCCTCCCAAGCTCCTGGCATAGATTGATGTTCTGGCCCATTATTAGCTATTAGGGTGTAAGCAGAACAGGGATGCATACCTCGCCTAAAGATCGGCGGCTGTTCAACCCAGCCCCAGTTTCCGGCCTCGCCACTGTCGCGGCGGATTTCCATGCTCTTTTTTCTGTACGCTGAGGGCGGAATGACGTTCGAATCTGAAGGGAGCCCGGTGTAGCCACTGGAGGACCTTTTCCAACTATCATTGTCGTTTGCCGAGCTGGGCCGATCTCCGTTTTGGCCGCCTGAGTTGTCATTGTGCCAATTCTTCTGCGATGCGGTTACATTTGCATTGGCATTGGCCCAATAATCAGTTTCGCCATTATTATTATTGTTGTCGTTGTCGGCACTTCCAGCCCCCCATCTGTCCTCCTTCTGATCTGTGCCCCCCCAGTCGTTTCTATTTTGGTCTGCTTGATTTGCACCAGCATCGTTGTCCCATGCTTCCACCGGGACTGTGTTACCCCAGCTGTCCTCTTTGATTTCTTCCAGTGGCGGTGGGTCATCCCAAGCACTTCTGCCCCATCCTTCACCGTTGTTGGCGTCATTGTTGAAGACATTGGCAGCATCGTTGTTTGAGTTGAGACCTTCGTTGCCCTCGTTGCCCTCGTTGCCTTCATTCTCTCTTGCCCTTTGTCCATGAGGAGGCCGTCTATGCTTTTGGCGCCGATCCGGAGGCGATCCATAGTAGCGGTCGTCACGGCGAGTTCTTGATTTCTCCACCTTATTGGGCGGAGACCGCTTTCCTCGTCCGGACTTCCTCTTCTGGTAGTCATGGCCCGCATGGGCTTCCAGCCTCCCATTCGAATCGGAAGATACAGTTCTGGCTCTAGGCTCTAGTCCCACCGGACTGTAATAAGGGACTGGAGGGTATCCTGGTAAGCCTGGAAGAGAGGGTGCCGGTTGGCCAGGCCAGTATGGCATAGGTGGTGGCATAAGCGGATTCATACGTGGATTGTAAGGCACTCCGAATGGCGAGGCCTCATAGTATGGGTTTGACATGGGATGTGGTGTTCCGACAGGCAGGCTTGCAACTCTATTCCTGTTGCGGATTGGGTACATAGTTCCCGTCGGATTTCCGTAAACAGGTCCGTGGTAAACTCGTATCGTTCCGCTGTCAACATCGTAAAACGAATTGGGCCGTGGATCTTCAGGTTCTTCCACGGCATGTTCGACTTTAAGAACGTGTGCCTTGACAGGAAGTAGGAGGTTCGGTCGGAGGAAGCCTTGGCGCGGAACGGTCTCCGCTCTGAAAGGTGCGGGTTGGACAGCCGGTGCCTTGAGACTCTCCCGAGGCTTTGGAGGCTCGACAGCAGCACCAGTTGCCTCGGTCTCCTTTACCTCGGGGTTCTTCACCTCAGGTTCCTTTTCAATTGCTTTCTCTTTTACTTCTTCGCCTTTCGGTGTGGAATTCTTTGACTGTCAATTTGCGTCAGCATGCATTTGGCCAATACTGACTTTGGGTTTTCCTCACTTGACGTTTTCTGAAATAGCGCCTATGGGATCTCCTTGATCTTCTTCTTCTCCTTGGCGAGTCTGTATCGGTGCTCACATAGGACTCGTAGCTTGTCTCGGACTCGGACTCTTCGGTTTGAGGAGCATCCTCTGGCGAAGCAGGCACAGGAGAAGCTAGCAAATAAACAAGTGTCAACAGAACTGTCATATTCGGGAAAGCACAACAAATGGGGATTCCTTGGCCCTAGATTACCCTTCTGTTTTTTCTTCGAAGCATGCCGCTGCAAACGAGGCCGTGGCAGCTCGTCCCCACTGGTAGCGAACTCATCAGAAGAGCTGTCGCGTTCGAGCTCTCTCAGCTCTTGCAATTTTTGGTTCAGTCGACGATCTCTGTAGCGCAAGCTTTGCTTGGTTTGCTTGGCCTTGCACTTTGGACAACGGCATGGCTCTGAATCGTCTGAGTCGCGGGCACTAGATGCTGACTTGCTCGAGCGGCTTCGACTTCTGTGTCTTCTAGTCCGACGCCGTCTCCGGCCTCGCCCATGGCCATCGCTACTGTAGTCATATTCCAGAGAACTGCTTGTATCTGCGTCCTTGTCAGATACAGCGGGAGCATCTTGTGGTGTTTCTGGCGGTGACGTAGCCGCAGTTTTTTTTATGGCCGGCTTCGGAGGACTGGAGAATGAGACCTTCTTAGCAGCAGGATTTTCTGGTTCTGCAGGCTCGTCTTTCTCAATCCGAACGGCACGCGGATAAGTCAACGCTACCTTCTCGACCTGCAGCTCGTCATCGGTGAACAGCTCCAGCCTGTATTGCTGCACTTCGTTGTTTGGAGGGGAAGGGGGGTAGGGCTTTCGGATCCGTCTGGGCAAGTTCTGTCCGATTATCCACTCCGCGAATGAGTGAGGAGGCATCTTGGGTGAGAGACCTCGTCACTCGTTTCCTAATGTGGTGTTGCCACCGTTGAGGTCGAGAAATATATAACAGAGGAAACAAGTGAATGGGTCAACTTAGTTGGATGTGGGATCGTAGGAATCTTGCAGGACGATAGAAAGTAACAGAAGGCGGGTATGAGATATCGGCTAGAAGCATCGATAACGGCCGATCTGTGACAAGAGATGAGCAGGTGACAGACAGTGTTTCTGGAGTGGCAGAGAAAGCTGACCAGGTGAGGTGGATCTTAGAATAAAGTGAGCAGCAGAGTTTAGAACGGACTAATTGACCGAGTAGAAGCACACGCAATCTGTCAACGAGTGAAAAAAAGTTACTTCGAAGCCCGAAAAGAAAAGACGGCAAGAGTTCAAAATAGTATGGAAGAACAGAAACAGCAGGACTCCTGTGCTCAAAATTCCTAAATTCCTAAATTGGACAGAACGGAGGGAAGTGGCGAGTGAAGAGGAAGGAGGTAGACACATGTGAGAGGTGTAGTATAAACCGTGAAACTGGCAGAAACAAAGCAAGGACTTGAATGGACCGTGAGAAGATGAAAAGGGAAGGTGCGCTGTGGCTGGGTCTTTCCTCTGACTGACACTGGTGTCTAGGCAACGAAGTCGTCTGTTGAAAATATCTCATATTAATGTGTATGTAGCCATGATTAGATAGGATTCCATGCCTCTGAACAGCACTCAAAAGGCACGTTTCATTCACCAACGTGCAGATCCCGTAAAGGACTTGCCGTGTCACTGTACCTCGTCTCAAAAATGCCAGCGGAGCCGCCCATCTTCCAGTGTTCTCGCAGCCCAAAATCAAACTCTGTCGCCCGGTGTTTCATCATACAGTCTGTCTCATTCCCTATTCCGTTACAGGTTCGCCCGTGTGCGCTGCTCCTCTGCCTGCCAGCGCCGGTTGATCCGCACGTTCTGCCAGTATGTCCATGCGGCGGCTGCTAGGCCCAACGGCGGACAGAGCAGCAGCGCGTGATGCCACCAGGGTGGGCTAGCCGCACGCAGCCTCTCCACGGCCGCAGCCACCTGTCGTTCCAGCTCCTCCCGATCGCCGTCGTTCCACAGAACGATGCCACGGGCAACGTCTCGTCGGGGGGGCTTGGCCCCTGCTGTTGCCGTGCCGCTCGCAGAGGCAGATCCGTCTCGCGCAACGCAGCGCCGCGCCTTGTCCCGCACATCGCCCTGACTTCGTACGCGGTTGGTCGCGTCCTCCGCCGTCAGATGCGGATCGCGAGCCCGCAGCCGGGCCATCTGCACGGCCTGATCGCGCACGGCCACCACCATCACCGTGCCGCACAGCACGTCCAGACGGCTCTCAAACAGCAGCGGCACGTCCAGCACGACGGCCCAGCAGCCTGTCACGTAACAGCGCACCATCATCCGGTACATGGCCGCACGCACGGCCGGATGAACGATGCCGTTGAGCACGGCACGGTCGCGGCGACGCTCCGGGTCATCGCCAAAGACGCGGCGGCCCAGTGCAGCACGGTTCAGCGGCCGTCTGCCGCCTGGCTCGGACGCCTCCTGCAGCAGGTCGGGCGTCGTCGGCCCAAAGTAGGCCACTACCTTGCCGTAGGCCGGCGTGCCCGGCTCGACCACCTGGCGGGCCAGCAGGTCGGCATCAATGACTGGAAGGCTGTACGGTGGCGCTGACAGCAGTGTCGAGACGGTCGACTTGCCCGTGGCAATCGACCCCGTGAGCCCGATAAGAAGCATGGTAGGCCGAGAAGCAGGAGCGATCCGTCCGGTCACGGACGGGAATTGGGTCGGTCAAACAGCGGCGTTTCGTGCGTTTGTCGGACTTCCGGTTTACCTTCTTTCGCGCAATTGCTTGGAAATTCATGCGATTGACCAGTTGCGATGAGGTCAGACGCACGTGACCTGTATTTGTGCACTGTGGGGCGCTGCATGCGGGGTGAGGAAGGAGATAAATGATGAATGCATCCCCTGCATCGGTTACAACCGGCGGGCAAGCTAGACTCTTTGGGCAGCATCAAGCCTATTTTACTGCATGAGGCATTTTGATTGCTATCAAGCGCCATCGCGATCCTGTTGTCTACCCATCCACTAAGCTGCAGCAGAAGGGTGATAGAAGGGTGTTGCAGCATGGAAGCAACGTTGCCTTGCCGTGGGTGACTAATCAAAATATCACAGTTGCTGATGGTTTGCGGCCAAAAACAAGCATAAATCGTACACCGTGGGTGTACTCCGTAGAGTGTGCAGTTGTCAGCTAGCTACAGTTCCTCGCAATACTATCTCGCAAAACTACCAGCCACCTTTGTGTTATGTTCCCATCACACCTACTTCTTCACGTATATAAAGGAAGCTTCACTTCTAGACATCGTCCGAATCAAAGCACCACACAAAGCAAGAGATAAAGCAAAAGAAAAAGGACAGAAACTTCCAAATAACTGCGTACCGACCGTCGGAAGAGCCGGACTGAATCCTTAAGGTGGAAAAACTGCTTATGAGGCTTAGTAAGCACGTTGATATGATTCCTGAAGAAAGGCACTGGACAGTCCTTACCTTTGAGGTAGTCACGCAATATACCAAGACCCACCACCAGGTTCAGTTTGGCAGCCGCACGGCGTAGAAGATGCCAGTATCCGTGACGTACCACCGGCAGCCGATGCGGTCGACCGTGGCACGGCTGCGTTGCGTCCAGTTGCCGTCGAGTTCGCGAACCCAGTAGAAGCGGGACTTGTCATCATCGGCCGGCTTGAAATCCTGTGGCTCGTTGAGGTTGTTGGCATATGCAAACTCTAACTGCTCCTGGAGGACTTCGCTAGGCGTCTGTCCCACGCCCATGGCCGCTTCTGGGTGAATTCCCATGCCCTCACCATAGTTACCTGGCATTGAAGCCCCGCCAGGCATCATCATGAAGGTGGGAGGCCCGCCACCGAGACCTCCGCCGAAGCCCCCGCCGGCCATGGGCATCTGCTGTATGAAGGCGGGCTGACCCATTCCTGGCTGCTGTTGGGCCATGTAGGGCATCATCGGTGCGGTCGTAGTGGCGACCCCACCAGCGGCAAAGGGATAGGCGGGAAGGGGCATTCCTTGAGCCTGTGACCGAGTTCATTTTCGTTAGCATTTGTAACTCCAGGCCTCGCAAGAACAGATAGAGGTCCGACAACAGAGAAAGAGCAGCAAAAGAGAACAGATATAGGGCTACATCCACTTGGTAGCAGCCTAGCTCTCCCAGAAGTGATGGGATGTGGTGCGACTTGCATAATAGCTTTGTGCTGAAGAAGGAGGGTAACAGACGAAGGGGGGAGAAGAGAGAGAAGGGGCCAGCGACGGCTGTGATGTCCAGTTGTGCTGGCTGTGCATCTGCTGGATGTAGAGGCAGTAGGGATTGCTGTTGGGTGAACTGACTGTGGTATATCCGGCGTGCGGTGCCTGCACATAGACGATCCCAACGCCGCCTGGGCCTTGGCCGACAACGGGCATATCGTTGCGTGGAATGTAAGTGTGCACCATGGGCCCGTTGGTAGCATCGGGAACAGCAGGGACAAACGTCACCCCGGTACTGGACGGATCTGTGCCGGCAGCCAGAGTGGTGGCGACGGTGTAGGGGAAGTGACCTGTGTTTGCGGTAGCCATGAAGCTGGCCTGGCCTGGAATCCCGTAGGGCATCTGGCCGTATCCCGGGAAGGCGGGATTGACGTGCGTGAAGACCGGATTGACGCCAAGGGCCGGGTTGATGTTAGTGTGGACGGCGTGCAGGCCAGCGACACCGTTGACGCAGGGATTGGCAACACCACCAGGTCCACCCAAGGCAGCAGCTGTCGCAGTAGTGGTCGCCAGAGGAGGGCCTCCGTGGACGTTCTTGGGCCGCGTCTTTGCTTTGGTGTTGACACCGGCACGACGTCTTAGCTCGCTGCTGTCACTGTCGTCGTCGATGTCGGTGGTGTCCTCCACCCTGGCTCGGCGGTCTAGGTTGGGCTGTAGGAAGGGACTGGGGCAGGAGAATGAGTGATGATTGTGGCGGCGACCTTTTGAGGAAAGCGAGAGATTTGCTGCGTTGCCCACGTTGAAGGAGACACGGCGGCCACTAGGCTTGAAATTCCTCGCCGAGGGTGAAGACAGAGTGGAAGAGGACATGGTCTCGTGGACAAGAGAGTTCTGAGGGCGTGTGATCAAATGGGGAAAAGAAAGGGCCGATCAGAAGGGAAAAAGAAAGGGACACAAAAAACAGTTTGGAAAGGGGGGAAGAGAAGGAAGAGCAGATGGTCAAGTGATTGAAAATGGCGGGAAGGACGAACAGAGCAGGAGCGCAGGAAAAAATGGCAGACTGGCGCGGCAACGGGGTTTTGAAAAGAAAATTGAAGAATGCCGCCGAAGACACAAAAACATGGTCAGGCGAGGCCAATATAAAGAAGCCGTGACGTGTCGGACAGCTGGACAAATAGATGACTCGATGAATGCGCCAAAGACGAAACGAAGGGAAACATCAGGCAAGTAAACGACGAATGACCTCGGGCAGTCAATCAATCAAACAATCAGACAGCGGACAACGAACAACGAAGCACGCAGCAATCAGACGGCGGCTTACATCGGCTTGCTTCAGCACCCACTGCTGGCCATTCCACACGTACTGGAACATGCTGCTCTTTCTGTGGGATCGGTAGGGCTGCATAGGATCGTCTTCGAGGTAGACGTCTGCGAAAGGCCAGCAGGGAAAGCAGCACATGTTGGGAAGTGAGTGCTGTGGTGAGTCTCCGAAATTGGTCTTGCTAGCAGGCCTTTGGATGACGACGCGGAGAGGAGTCCTTGCCCCGTGGTTGCCCCAATTAAAAAAGGGCCGCCTGCTCAATTTTTGACCAGCACACGCACGACAGACAAAATAGTGAATATCAACAGTATATCCTTTTACCCTCAAACGCCTGCGACACACGCCAGTGTGCGCCCTGCCGCACGGGCTCTATGTGTAAAGAAGAATGGGAGGGGACCAAGCAGAAAGGGAGACAAGAGAGAGAACAAAAACACGTCTAGAATACAGCTGCCCCAGTGAGTAGAGAGATTATAAGCCAAGATTCCCTCCCTGCTTGTTATGCTTTGTGCACTTTCCGGCCGTCCCAACCGGCGCGATCTCGCCTGCCAGGTGCCGAATTGTCATGACACCCAGCATCTGGGCGCGTGTGTCGTGAATGTGAGAGAGATGGTAGCAAGCAACGGCCGTAGTCCTGGCCAATTGGCCCAACTCTGCCTTATTCATGTGAGTCGGAGACGGGGAAGAATGTGCGTCGTGTCAGCTAGGACAGTTAGTTTTGGTCGGATGAACATGTACATATACGCAACCACAACTACAGGAACAGGAGCAGTATACATACCGCCCAAGCTGCTGCCACCGAGGCCACAATGCCGCCGGAGATCAGCATCGGCCGCACGCCCCGTGTGCTCTTGAAGACGATGCCGCTGAGGGCGCCGGCCAGGACGGAGTTGGCGGCATCGTGTCGTCCCCGCAGGTAGCCAATATACGAGTTGGTGCAGTTGTAGACGATGGCAACGACACCGGCCGAGTTGCCTAGAAAAGGGCCACGCCGCGTCACCGCATTGAGCACGGAGTTGAGCCGCAGTTTCGGGGGCTGGCCGGCCGACCGTCGCAGACCCTCTTGCAGGCCCCAGGCGCCGCCCAGCGAGAGCGCGGCCAGGTACGTGATGCCGGTACCGTAGCAGAGATCGTCGGTGAAGCCGCGCGACGGCAGCGCGGACTGCGAGCCCGGGAGGTCCGACAGCGCCGAGTCTTCCATCGTGATGTACTCGAGCGTCTCGCGGTTGAGGCCGGCGAGCGGGTGCAGCTGCGTCGGGTCTGCAAACGCCGAGCTCTGGAGGAAAACCTCGGCGCCGCCACCACTGCCCGGAGACGACAGCGTCGGCGAGGAAAACACGCTGTGTTGTGGCGAGTGGAAATCGGTGGATAGCGATGACGGCGACGGCGATGGCGATGGCGACGGTGATGCTGCCTCGTCCATGCCGGGTGGTGCGGTCGAGCTGCCGGTGCTGTGAGGTGCCGGAGACTTGCGTCCCGTCAATGCGTCCCAGATCGACATGGTGGAGGCGGACGAGGAGGCGAACGGCGGGGAGAGAGACCAGAGAGAGGAGACAGAGAGGGGGGTAAATCCGAGAAGGGCCGAGATGTTCGTTTGCGCGGTCGTGTCAATGCAGAGCACACCGCCTCGCGAGACTGATCAGACGTCGGGTAGCTGGCGACAAGAGAAAGAGAGAGAGCGCTGCCGTGGCCCTGTGGCGGTCCTCGTCGTGTGCCGGTCGCTTTGGTCGATTAGAGGCTTCAAGTCGTCAGGCAAACCAGAATCATGGAAAAGCAATTGCAAAAAAATTCCCACCACACTTACTCGGCTGGGCCGTGCGTTTTTTTCTTTCCTGGCCCGGATAAGTGGGGCATCCAGCCTCGCTACGTCCGAGGTGCACGTGATCTCTCGGGCAGGAGCAGTCGTCATGCAACGACTGGCTCAAGGAGCCGCATTGGGAGCTGAAGGAATGACATAGCTTGTAAATGTAAGATGTGCTTTTACGTTTGTGACTGTCGAAGCTGGCCGAGACTTGTTACTAACAGTCAGATCGAGGTCGCGATCGGTAACAGAAGTTGATTAGCCTGCCATCAAGGAGCACCATAACCCATAATTCGTATAAATGCGTTGCGCTGGCAGTCTCTTAAAAGAGAATAGAATTCCTAGTTCAGCACAGGCAAGCCTCGCAAGGGGCTACAGTTGCTTTCAAACCCACAAGCGGTTCAGAGTATTGCAGCAATGGCTAGAACAAGACATGTGGATACATCACGTGACACTTTTAACATACATGAAGCTAGTAAAATTTGGCTGTGTTCACGAAGTTTTGCCGTAAATTAGACGAAGCTGTGTTTTTCTAGACGTTTTGAAAAACTTGTACGGAGTACCGTCTAAGCATACAAGCAGCTGGCACGGTGCGACAGCTTTCTTCTTGAACAGTCATGTCCGTATAGAGCTTGTGAAGTTGCATCATTTCGGGTCTCATCTCGGGCAGTTCCTCATTTCTGACCTACGCCCCGCAAAATGGAGCAAGTATCTCTTCCGGATGTGGACGACCCGACAGCCAATGCGAACACGCTGTTTGGCTGGCTGGAGCAGCAGCCGTCGGACGAGTCGAGCGAGTGAGCCGTCCTTTCCCGTCTCCCTCGAGCACAGTGTTTGACCTTTATTCGACAGACTCGCGGAGGCGCTATTTGTGCAGCTGCTGGACCGGGCGTCCAAGTCGCGGACGGCGTCGGTGAACGCATGCACGAAGCTGGTGGGCTTTGTGCAGCACTGTGCGGTGCGTTCGGGCAGCCGCAGCAGTCCGACGCCGGTACGGGCCTGGGCCTTCCGGCCGGCCACGGCCGAGCGGCTCTTCCACTTCTACATGGAGTGGAACGAGAAGGACCAGCACCGGTCGATGCGGCTGGTCCTGGACCTGCTGGCACTGCTGATCCTGCAGAACCCGGACGGGACGGTGGCGGCGGCGCTGCGGGCGCACATTTTGCAGGTGCTGGCGGCGATCATCAGCCACCGATCGACGCGGCCGTTGGTCAAGTCGTCGATGGCGTCGCTGAACCACCTGCTGGCCAAGTCGGTCTTCACGCTCGACGACGTGGCGCGGGCCTACCGTCGGGAGGTGATGGCCGAGACTGGTGCCTGCACCGACGCAGAGGACGGCGACCTCGCGCTCTGGCAGCAGTTCGTCCGCGACATGTTTGCCTGGATGACGCTGCACTACGTCTGTCCGGTGGCCGGGAAGCTGCTGGTCAGCGTGTTTGCCCACCTTCGCGCGGGCGCAGCCGTCACAGACGCGAGTCCAGACGGCTTCAAGGCCGCCCTGTGGCTGCAGTGGCTGCGCGACGGCCTGGCCGTCCACCCGCGCATCCTCGAGGACGTCAAGCTCTATTTTTTCATCCCGCTCTTCAAGGCGGACCGCGACAGCTCGCTAGAGCTGCTGGAGGTGCTCAACACGACGCAGCCACCGACGGCGACCGCCGACGTCGACAGCAGCACGGTCCTGCAGCTGGCCGTGCTTGAGGTCGGCAAGAAGGCCGGGCTGGTGGAGGATGCAGGTGGTCACGTGATCACAGCGCCACCAACACAACAAAAGCACAAGGCGAAGCCACCACAACCGCGCGGCCGGACGGTGATCCTGAACGAGGCCGTGCTGGACGAGGTGCTGGGACGGGCGACGGCAGACGTGCGGTCAGTGGCACTGTCGCTGCTGGTGTCGTCGCAGTCGACAACGCGGCCATTTGCGGCGGGCGTGTTTGTGCTGCTACGGAAGCACCTGCCGGGCTACCACGCCGAGCCAGACGCCAAGTTCCGGTATGAGCTGTTGGCGCACTCGCGCGACATGGTGATGCGGCTGAAGAGTGCGATCGCGGCGATGGGACGGCGGCGCGGAGGCGGCGAAGATGGTCCAGACGGAGAGCGCGTCGACGAGACGCTCGGCCAGCACGAGACCTTTCTGGCCTGGTACCTCGGTTTTCTCTGCGGCGAGCTAGCGCCGACGGCATCGTACCAGCGACACTTTACAGCGCTGCGGGCGACGGCGGCGCTGCTGCGGGTGCGGCGTGACGTGTCGGGCGGCGTGGGCGATGCTTTGGACGACGTGTTGGCGAGGCGGCTGTGCGGCGACGCGGCCTGGTTGCGCGGCGTGCTGGACCTGCTGGTAGACCCATTTGATGACGTGCGCGAGACGGCCGCATCGCTGCTGGAGCAGGTCGGCGGTGTGAGCGAGAGCGAAATTCACCATGCTCTCGCTGCTTTCAGCCGGCGGGCCGATTCCTTGGCTGCACGCACCGCCCGCGCTGACCATTCTGACGGCGCCGCACGCTGTCAGGGGCTGCTGGCCAGCTGGGCCGTCACCGATGGGCTGATCGGCCAGACGGCCATCCTCGACGGCGTGTTGGACCGCCTCGAGGCCAAATTGGTCCATGCCGAGGCCGACCTGGGCGCGGCTGCCGTCAGCAGTCCGGTGCACGGCGACTTTGCAGCGGTACGGTATGTATGGGACGTGCTCGCCAGGCGGCCATACGATGGCCACGACAGGGCTGTTCTGGAGACGCTCATGCTGCGCATCGTGCGTTGCTGCGAGCGGGCATGGCACGTGGTGCGTCACGTGCTTTGCGACAGCTCACCCGAGGGGCTGCTGCCGGACGCCATGGAAGATGTGACCGGGCTAGATTCCAAGGACCTGCTGAGCTATAGCTTCCGGGCAGTGAACGAGTCGAGGTAAGTGAAACTTGCGAGGAAACAAGAAGACAAGTCGAGCGAAGCGAGGAAAAGAAAAGAAAAGAATCCAGAAGTGCTGACTAAGCACAGCAACACGATGCGAGCCATCGTCGGCCATCTCCGATTCAGCCGAGTCAAGGGCACGTTGTGTCCGAGTCGGGCGGTATTTGAGGCCGTGGGTGCGTTGTCGCTAGCCCAGCTGGCGGCCCTGCGTCACCGTGGCGCGCTCTCGGCCGTGGCCCAGACGTTCACGCTGTGCTGCCAGCTGACACAGGACCCGCTGATCACGCCGGCCGACACGGCCTCTGCCGATACGCTGCTGATGGGCTGGTACCAGGCCACGCTCGACTGCATTGCTCAGCAGGTCTCGACGACGCGGCGGTCTGCCGGCATCCCAGCGCTCTTCTCGGGCGTTCTCGCGGCCAACGCCGCCCATCCGTCGCTCGACGAGGCCGTGGCCACCGTGTCGGCCATTGCACGGCAGCCGGCGCTCGTGCGCGAGACAGATGGCTCGCGTCTGCCCCAGGTCCACGCCCTCAATTGTCTGCGTGACGTCTTTCGCAGCTCCTTGCTGAGTAAGCGTGCCGAGAGGCTGCTGCCGGCCTGTCTGCAGTTGGCAGCGAGCATGCTGCAATCTGAGGTGTAAGTCTATGTTTTTTTTTTCTTCTTCGCTTCGCTCGATTTGCTTCTGCTTCGCTCTTTTTTTTCCTCGTTTCGCTCGATTTGTTTTTTGCTAACCTCCCAGTTGGGCTATCCGCAACTGTGGCCTTCTTCTGCTTCGCAGCTTGATCGACTGTCTCTTTGGGACCGGCGAGTCCAAGGCTTCGCTCGAGTCTGGATGGGATGGCCGCACCATTCGAGTCTCCTATAACAAGCATCCGACGCTGCCGGCTGTCCTGCTGACGCTGCTGACCGGCTCTGCCACCACCGGCCAGCTCGCCTCCCAGCAGGCTGCCGCCGAATCCGTCTTCCCGGCTCTCGACATCCTTCGACGTGCTGGCCCGCCCGACGACGCTGCCCGCCGCCTCGACCTCTACCGTGCCGTCGTCGCCCATCTCGCCAGCCGCCTGTGGCATGTCCGCGAGATGGCTGCCCGCACTGTCTGCTCCTTTCTCGTCGCCCGCGACTGGGCCGCCGGTCTTGCTGATCTGCTGTCGGCCGCCGCCGCTGCACCCGCAAACCTCTTGCACGGAACCCTGCTGGCCGTGCGCTTCATGCTGGTCCGCACTGCCGAGGTCGCCCGGGACGAGCTGCCAGGTATTTGCTGTTGTGTTGTGCCGCGTGTTGTGTCGTGTAAAATGCTGACGAATCGGGTCCACAGACAACCTTGTCCGTCTCTGCACCCTTCTTCACTGTCTGGCCCAGCAGAACAGCCTGGTGGCGACCTGTCCTGAGGTCGAGGCCGCCTTTCTCGAGGCTCTCAACACCATCTCTGGTCTGGCTCTGGAGCTGGGCCTCTCCCTCCCGGACGAGCTGCCGACGTCTGTCTCCAACTCCACCCCCAGTTCCACCACCTCCGCCCTCCTTCGTGTCCAGCGGACCCTCCAGGCCAACTGTGCGGCCGTTCATCGCCACGACCGCGACGCCTTGCAGCGCCTGCTGCTGGCCAGCCGCGCTGATCCCGACACGGCCGCGCCACTACTGGACGCCGTGGCGCAGACTTGGTGGCGGCCGTCCGTGTCCGCCGACACGGCCGCCTGGCTGTGCGGTGTCTATGTGGACGTATGTGTGGCCGGGGGGCCGCCGTCGGCAGCTTCGGTGTCATCACAGCTGCGGGCGACGGCGCTGGTGCAGCTGGCCGAAATGATGGACTATTTGTTTGCGGCGATTCCGTCAGCCGCCTCGCTCCTTCCCGATGCTGCCACGCTCACGCGCCTCTGGTCGGCCGTTAGCAGCAGTCCCGATCTCGGGCCGACGCTGTCATGTGCCGTGCTGCGGGCCAGTGGGCCCATCATGGCTGTTCTCTCGTCCTCGACTTCAACCTCAATCTCGACCTCGACCTCGATCCTCTCCTCTTGGGCGACCATGCTCGCCCATGCCGGCGCTGCCGACCAGACGTTCGACGCGCGCATGGCTGCTGCGCAGGCGCTCCGCTCGTTCTGCGCCGCTACTGCCGCCACGACAGACGAACATGGCTTCCTGACCGTCGTGTTCTGTGTTTACGATGCCCTCAACGACGACGACGACGAGATCCGCGCCGTCGCTGCCGAGGCCGCCGCCACGCGCACGGTGCTCGACATGCCGCTCGTGCCCGCCGAGGCTGCCCGCCAGCTGCCCGGCTGCATGGCCACACGCTTTGGCCACCTGGCCGCCTTCCGGACTCAGGCTGTATGGCGCAGCGTTGGCCAGGTCGAGACGACGACAACACCCCCTTCCACGGCCGCCAGCCGCCTCCAGGCTGCCCTCCTCTTCGACGACGCCCTCTTCTCGGTCGAGGAGCAGAATCTGTACGTCGACGAAGTGCGCGAGGCCCGGCGCTGGGCTGCCGTCGTCAAGCAGCTGCCGGATTTCGAGGACATGGACAGTGTATTGGTTTGGATCGCCGACGGCCTTCAGGCGCTCGTCAGCCACGTCCAGGCCCTCGACGACGGCCCCCTCGGCTGGTCCGCCTCGCCCGCCGCTTTTGCCGTCTGTGCACATCTGCTCGTCAGCGCTCGCGCCCTAATCGTCGGCCACGGCAACAGCCAACAAGCCCGTCTTCAGGGCCTCCTCGACCAGTTTTGCTCAGCCGGCCAGGCCAAACACGTGCACGGATTGTTGCTGCAGATGGCCCAAGACTGAGATGCACAACGACACAAGAATAGCAAATAGCAATAACAACAAATAACAAATAACGACAAGCATGCAAATCTCCAAAATATATGCTTGATGCTTCTCCAAATATCGTACACTGCAGAATGAATAAAAAAAGCCAATGTCGGTCTGTCTCCATCTCATCGTCTTTCTACTCTCCTCTCCTCCTCCTCTCCTTCTCTCACACCATCGACTGTCGCCAACTAGCTTGTTCAAGCTCGCTCAAATCCGCATGGCAGCTCCCACAGTACCTTTCGTACCGCTCCGTAAGCATCACCATCTGCTTCTCGTCGGCTGGACCGGGCCTTGCTGTCGCTCTCGCTGTCGTCGATGCCACTTCCTTTGTCTTCCCCGTCTTTCCCGTCTTCCCCTTCTTCCCTATCTTCTCTGCCTTCTCCGTCCGCTCTACCTCTCCCCTCTTCGCCTCCAGCATGAGCCGCGCTCGGTCGCACCGCATGTTCTCGTCCGCCAGCCAGGTCTCCCACTCGGCCTGCACCATCTCCCGCTCCACGCTGTTGACCACCCGCATCGCCACTAGTAGGTCGTGACGGTACGACCCCAGCTTCTGTCGTCCTCGCCGTAGCCGCTGCGCCGTGGCCCGGCTCGTCGTCGAGCCCAGCAGCGTGCCCGCTTCCTCTGATGGAGCGTCCAAGTCCGTCGTGTTCGCAATCGCCCGGAACGTGTCGTAGCACATGCTGTTCTCCGGCCGGTGGCTCGCCTGTCCCTTGGCCATTCCCTGCGACGCCTCCTCCAGGTCCACCACGTACACCGCCCGGCTCATCATCGTGTTCGGCCCCACGCCAATGCGCGTCATGAACTGTGCCGCGTGTCGCTCTGTCCACCATGCCGTCGTCTCTCGCGCCGAAAACAACGCGTTCGTCATCAGACTCAGCGCCAGCACCGCCAGGATCAGCCGGTGTGCTGTCGCCACGTGGAACAGCTTCCGCAGCACCGCAAATGACCACATCACCAGGCTCGACGCCACCGACTCCATGAAGCTGCCCGACGTCTCCAGCACCATCCCCGTCAGCGTTCGCGGCTTCACCAGCGGCCGCTTGAGCGTCTCGCCTTTGCCCGGTGTGAACAGTACCGCCTGCGTCTGCTGTCCGATGCTGCCATACACCTGGATCGCCCGCTTCGTCCGGCTGTGTGCCCCCAGCTTGCGCACCTCGTCTGTCGCCAGCTCCGCCAGCTCCTCCGCGTCCCGGCCTGCCTCGTCCAGCACCTGCCGCTCGATCAGCATCCGCGAGAACTTGAGCGCCTTGTTCCAGTCCACCCGCGTATACACCGCCAGCTTGCACTTCGACTTGGCCACGTGTGTGATCACCACCATCACCACCACCTTGAACGCCTGCGAGCTAGGCATGTGCCACGCCGTCCGAATATGCGTTACCACGTACGTCACATGGTCGCTGAACACTTCGATCTGCTGCTCGTCCGTCACGTCTGCCACTCTGGCCCGCCCCAGAATCGTCTCCGCCTCCATCTTGAACTGGAACTTGCGCCGCATGCCTCCCTTGTCCACCAACGTCCACGGGCCCTGCGTAATGTCATGCGCCCGCCGCGTCAAGTACAGCTTCGCGAAGATGAACGACTTGTCGCCAAACAGCACGTGGAAGCACGCCTTGGCACTGATCTCAAAGTGCCTCTCCGCCACCTTCCGTGACATCCCCTCTGGCTCGTAGATCACCGGCTGTGACGGCAGCTGCACCTTGGCGCTGGGCCGCGGAAATGCCCGGTTCATCGCGCTCGTCAGCTGTCGGCTGCCCGGGCCGTGCTGATGCCGGTGCGACACTGCTCGCCCCGTCGATGTGCCATCGTCGATCGGCGTCATCGCCGACACCTCCTCCCAGCTGCCAACGCTCGGGCTCTTCACCGCCAACTCCTCGCTGTCCAAGTTGTAGAGCGACGTGACGATGTCCGACAGCTCCATCGGCTCGGCCGCCTGGAGGTCGTCGATCAGGAGGTTGAGCCGCGCCTGCAGGAGATACATGTCTTCCAGGAACGTCTTGATCGTGATTCGCGTGAACCCGGTCTCGTTCGTGTCCGATCCCAGGTGCAGGAAGATGTAGTCGCAATCCTTGCCCGGAGCTGCCGTCACCTCGCTGATGATATCCAGGCTGACCGAGTACGCCACCACCAGGCCCATTGTCTGGCTGTAAAAGTACATGTTGTCCGACGTCACGTACACGCGCCCGCTGCCAATGAGCCCCTGATTCGTTGCCCCCTCCTCGGAGGCGCTCGACCAAGCCGCGTTAAACACGAGCACGAGCTTCTCATGGAGCGGCACCGTCGGGAAGAGCAGTCGGAATTGCGCGTGCTGGCCCCTCAGTTCGCTAGGGTAGCCTGCAGGAAATACTTCTGCTGCCGGCCGGTCCACCACTCTCGGATCCGACATCTTCGCCACTTCCACGCTCAGAGTCTTCCTATGGCCTGACGGCATCGATGTCGTCGTCGGCGTTCCAGGACCGCCGCCTGCACTGCCGTGCCCATCTTCAGACTCGATGATAGCATCTAGAGCGCTGGAGCTGTGCGTTGCATCCGTACCATTCGACACGAACCCAGAGCCCCAGAGGTTGCTTCCCCAGTAGTTGGCCAGGATGCCTGCCGGCAGGCCGGCCGACGTTCCGAATCGATTCAGCACCCGCTCGCTGCTTGCCGTCACTGCAATCTTGCTCAAAAACGTCACCATCGGCGACTTGACGTTCGTCGTAGGAGCCAGAGCTGTATGGTGGGAGTCACCGACAAGCAGAACGGGCTGCTGGGGGAGGTGTGGTGCCACAATAGTCGGGACCGTCGGGCTCGGCATCGGCGCCACATTGGATGACGGGTTGGCAGGGAAAGCATTGTGACTGGCAGAAATCAGACTGGCTATCCCGCCGTTTGCACCCGCTTGTGGCGGGGCGTTGCTTCCTGTGCTGCGGCTGCCAGACGTGCTACCGCCGTTGCTGGCCGACTCTCCGGTGGATTTTTCGACGCCGGATCCCGAACCAAAGGTCGCCTTCCGGTGCAAGTCCAACTTTTGTATGATTCGCGCCGCGTGCTCACGGCTACTCTCGCCCTCTTCGCGCTTCAGCTCTTGTCCCAGCACCGTGATCGAGCGCCGCGGCAGAACCACGCTGAGGTCGAAACTGCTGCGGGAAGCAAGCCCGTCGGAAGCAAGACCAGGCACAGGGAGCGCGCCCGAGCGGTCAAACGTCACCGATGTGCTGGAGTCTTCCGGATTGGGGGCGCCGTCGAGAACGCGGGCGGAGAACTCGGAAACAGGCGGCGGCGCGATCGAAAAGGCTGGGTCAATGCTGCCCGGAGCTTGCGGGCTGCTATCGCGTGTCATGCTGGTCTCGAAAGCCTTCTTCTTGGCCACATCAAACACTTCGAGCCACTCGGTAAGCTGGCCCTGCGTCTCGGCCTGCAGCAACATGTTTAGGCTCTTCGTCTTGACCTCGAAGCAGAACCGGCGCTCCTCTTGTACGGCTGGTTTAGCGCTGCACAACAGTACGCCAATGTCATCGCCCTGCAGCACACCATGCGGGCCTTGCACCAGATAGCCGAAGATACCGTCGCGGCAGTAGTACCAACGACGCACCCAGCTCACACGCGCCGGCTTTCCCGAAATTGTCCGCGTGAAAAGCCAGCCCTGATTCTCGGATATCTTGGCCGTCTGGCTCTCCTTGGTCGGCCGAACACTTACCGGCCCTCGTGACCCTAGGAAGGGGACAGTAGACGAGCTGTAGTCATCTAGCTCTCGTGACGGCTTGGTCGAAGCCATGGCTGTGTCTCCAATCTCCCGCCGCGTCATCTGGAGCTCCCGTCTGAGCGAAGCCTCGGACAGCTCCAGCTCCTTGGACCAGCCACGAATGCGGTCCATCTCGTCGCCCCACATCAGAGAGCTTGAGTTAGTGTCGCGTGCACGCTTCATCTCCCGCCAGAAGTCGGCAGACACGCGTGTGAGCAGCTTGTCCAGCGAACAGCGCAGCTGCGGTGCCGTCAGACAGTAGTCCATGGACGCTTTAAGATAATTACGCCGCGTCTCGTACACACTGAAGGCGTCCTCGCGCAGAGCAGAAGGTTCCTTGGTCTTTGCCTGGGACACGTAGCGGGCCAACGTGGCATCAAACGTCTTCTGGGCCTGGTCCAAGGCACGACGTGACTCCTTGAAGGCACGCAGCTCGCCGTTGAGGAAGTTGCGGACAGGCTCGGCATTGATGTTGTCGAGACGGCGAACCGCAGAAACAACCTTTGTCCACCAGTCACGCGACCCATCTCCCACCCTCTTCAGTGCCAGCAGCGTATGATCGGCGTCGATGATGCCGTCGGCCACGCCCGGGGGCGGGGTGAGCTGTGCAAGGTGTCGGTTGATGGACTCTTCGAAGCCCAGAAAATCGTGAACCAGTCTGGATGTGCTTTTGACGTGGTTTTCGAGCCATTTCTCGATGAGGTCCATCTGCTCGTTGAAGTTCACTGTGTTGGCACGGAAGGAGGGAGAGTCGAGTGCGGCCTCGTTCAGTCCGACGGCGACAAACGACCGTGGACTCGACGGCATTGGGGGCAATCCTGGCGTCGGTGGCCATCTCGGTGTCGGAGGCCCCTGGCCTCCTGCTGCTGCGTAAGAGGCATAGGAAACGCCACTCGTCGCCACCGGTGCAACCGACATTGACGCCGGCTCAGCCATCGCTTCCGGCTGCTAATCGAGAAACGCTTCAATTTGAGGCACCGTTGTCTCCACCTGCAGGTGCCTTATGCATTGCTCGTGGCAGAATAGAACGAAATGGGAGTTGCAGTTGAAAGAGGTTTCGTATCCAAGATGGCGTAGATACTAGACAGCTGCAACAAAAACGGAAGGCACAGGTGGCAGTTGGGGGTTGTTCGCCCTTGAGCTTCCTTCCCAACACTTTGCAGAGCTCGTGACGTCGGCCCCTACTTCCTTCCTATACTCCGTACTCCGTACCCCTAATCTCATTGGATTACGGCCCACTAGCTAAGTGCCGAATGGCAGATCACGTGCGGGGACAATGTCCCTAGAGACAGACGGTGAACATCCCTTACCCGAGCCGAGTCTGGTCCTATAATCAGATATCTCGTACGAAGCAGGAGCTGAACCCATAACGCGTACTCGTAGCTAGATGAGCTCTTCCTCTTCGGCTACACATTTCTGCTCGGTGATTCGCCGTGTCAGCCACCCATTCGGCAAAGAGTCCACTTTTGGGCACCCTTCTTAGTGACGCTTCGGTTGGACGGGCGTCGGACGAAAATACGAGTAAGACTCATATTCAAAAAGTACGTCTCGTCTGCGGAGCAGTACTCCGTAAACGATGAAATGTGGAAATGTGCACGATTCATTAACACGACCGATTAGTCATATGTGTGGACGAGACGGAAAGGAGGCGTTTTGCTGTGGCGGTGGAGAAAAGAGCCACATGGGGTAATATGTAGGCGAAAATGTGGGTCTTCCGTTTTTTGAGGCTGAGGTGAGTTTCTGGCCGGCTGCCTCCCACTACTGCAGGACAACACAGCAGGAGGCGAAAATAGACTGCAGAATGCAGGGAAATGCAAAGGGGAAAAAACCAAGGTTGCGCCCCAATCTGGCGGGCTCGTGTCTGTGGGCGAAAAAACTGGGCAGAGACGAGGCGAAGAGACACCATTGGCAGGTAGGCCAGCCACAATGGCCGTGCAGGCTCTAGACACGAGGCTCGAGGCCGTTGGACACTGCCCCGTATCCAGTCGGCACTTCCAGAGAGTAAACCTAGAGAAAGAAGGGGATCGTCAGATGATGGGCACGCACTCAAAACGGCTGGTAGCTGTGTATCCGTTCAGCTGGACAGGGATCCAAGCTTGCAGACATCTGACCATGTCGGTTAAAGTTACGAGTGAAAAGGACCGGAAAGCCTATAGATGGGGACACTCTACCTTAGGACCGCTGCGTAGCGTTTCCGCACGAGTACGGAGTACGGAGTACCAACATGGCGGCGTTCCAACCCACTCGTCTGTCTTCCATTGCCTCCCCCTTGAAGATGCATAACGACAAGAGTACGTATGATGAGAGGCAGTCAGAACGACGTAACCAAGATGGAACAGCTGCGCAGATTGCAGCTCCAGATAATCCTGTTTCAGGGCTGGCTGGTGTTGTCTGCGCCCCTGCCAAAGGATTTGGTCCTGGAGGCGATAAAAGTTTTGCCCATATCGTACATGTAAGATGCCAGACACAACTAGGTGCGAAGTGCAGTCTGCCTGCTACTGATGGCTTAGTTGCAGAAATCACCATCCCTGCTAGAAATTCGTCACAGCGGCCCGCTGGCTGCGGAGAATTTAGGGCCAGTGATGGCCTGTTAGTGCTCCACCATACCGGGTTTGCGCCTAAAGAAGTAAGTCGTTGCAGAGAATCGCGGACATGTGATCAGAGGGTTAGAGGACGAGAGCGAACCCGAAGGCAAGGGCAATACGACCGACCCGGGCCAATGCAGGACGGTCTGTGCAGCTGACTACTATCACGAGCTCTGCAAAAGTCTCCATCTACTCGTACTCGTATGCAAACGTCACCTGTCGAAGGCGACCTGGGTTATGGTCGGAGTCGCGGCCCATAAGTGAGGCAAAGCTGGGGCTCCGGGGTTGATACCTAGAATAAGAGGGGTTTGACAACTGGCAGTCGACGCCGTGTCTGTGTCTTCGTTATTCGAGCAAACTGCCTACTGTAACCCTTAGTTGTGGGCAGTGCATGGTGCTTTCTTGGACCAACTACTGCAGACATATGGGCAGCCTGCGCAATATGCCATCCGCAAGGACGCTTGCAACGATAACAACGAAGCCGTCTTGCCTCATCATGCAAGCTATCGATTGCCACGAGAAGCAGGAGATCCTTCGTGTCTGCAGTCAGGCAATCAAGGGCAAATAAAGTACTCCGTAATGAGAGTGGAACTGCTCGCACAACTTATTCATACGCGGGAGGTCAAATTCCTACGAATTTTTCAGCTGTGAACAGCCTCTGGCCGGAAGTGATGACCAAAGTGATGCTATTGCTGATGACAGGTGTTGTTGTCGTCTTGGCCCCAGCCAGCTATGATGCCAAACGCGTGCACCCCTTTTCGTGACGCGTCGACCCCTCTCTCCTCAACCCCGAGCCAGTATCACGTCTTATCTTGCTCTACTCCTTTTTGCCACCAAACGCCCGTCTAATCAAGCCCTTCCCCCTCAAGTTAGAACGAATGCCATTCAAGACAAGATACGAGCTGGTCTGCCCCCGCCCGCACCCCCCCTCCAGATAGATCGATTATGTACTCCGTATGGTCGTGCCCTGTCCCTGGCCAAATCTCGTTTGGTCATAGCTTTGCTCGCTTGTCGGTCCTACACCTGGCCCCTCTTGGCACCGTCGACAGATTGCCTATCCTCCATTCATCTGCATCGCTTTTGATGCGAGCTCCAGTGCATGACTCCTCTCCATTTCCCATGATGAGAGACTGGCTCTCTCCGGCTTAGAAGCGACAAATGACCATTTCCCGTCATCTTCATCACATCCTGGCTAGACGGGAACTACATGAGCCCGGCTTACCTGGAACGGAAGCTAGGAGACAGCCGAAAAAGGAAATGGATACGCCTACGAGCCGTGAATGTTGGTTCGGTCATTGAGGGGGGTGTGAAAGTAGGACAGTATGAGCAAAGCAGGAAATACTTTCTCTCCCACATATGGAGTATTCTCTCCTCCGTTTTTATGAAAGACCAAGAGCTGATGGTCCAAGACCGAGCCAGTGTATTGATCTCAGACAGACCCAGGGGTAAAACTGGAATGGATATAATATTCTCAAGAGAATACAAAATCAATGGAACAGAAACCACAAGATATTGGCAATGGTATTCAATAGAACTCTGGGTAGCATTCTGGTAAATTCAGCTCGTATTCTGGAAAGGATCTTTCTCTCTTGCGTAGTATGCACAGAAGCTTTGGTAACCCTCATCACGGTAAGTATTCACTGTATTTTTCCCAGGTGGCTTCCGCCCTGACTTCACTTCTTTTCTCACTTCCATCCGAGTGGCGCCGTTCCAGCTCTGGCACTAGAACCAGTATACGACATTTGATTGGCTCAAAACTCTGCGACCTCAGCCAATCAGAATCCTAGGGCAACACTTGACAAACTTTGCCCACCAGGGTCTAAAGCTACTAGGGCTGATACGCAGCTTGATTGGCTAACTATCTATTAAGCCATTTTCATTCCTTTGACTCTTTGTCTAGATCGAGGGGGACCTCAACCGAGTCGACGGATGCAACTACAAGTGCTAGGACAAACCTCTCACAAAAGGGGCGGGATTACTAGTACAGCACTCCTCTGCACGCCAATCCAGGACAAAAATGAGTTTTCAGATAGAGCCAAGACCCCCCTGCTTCTACCTTTTGGTGTAAGAGTAAGATACTTGTCGACTTACAGAGTAGACAGACCTCTGCCCAGACCCCCCCATTTCCGTTCTCTATTCACACCCCCCCTCTCTGTTTTGCCTCCTTGTGCTCGTTAAGTAGTACTATTGTGTTTTAAGAGGTGCCGCTTCGCGGCCTGCCGCCGAAAGTTCCACGTTCCTTTTCTGCTTCCAGAATGGTTCCAATATCAGCTGTCAAACCTGAAGATCAACCCCCCCCCCTCCTTCCACTCTCCGCAAATGTGTCCTGCCAGAGTGGGTTGCGCCGTCGGGGCGTTGTATCTATACTCGCTCAACGCCCGTTTCAATAGGTGTACCGGGGTGGTCTGGTTTGCCTCTAACGATCACACCATCCCCTCTTCTGTTACCCACCCCTCTCCTCTTTGTCTCTGTTCATACCTGTGATTACCTCCTGTCTCCTGCATCCTTTTGCTCCGGTGTTGCCATTCTCGTCATATCGTACCGTTAATCCGCCAGGCACTCCGATCTAGACCTCAACTTGAAGATCTTGTCACAAGAGTTGACCAGGGCAGCGCGCTTATTTTGTTCCATTGGCCTTATTGCATGCTCACGAGGTAAAGGCGAATGGATAGTACCCCTCTCCACCCCAATTGACTTAGTTTCTTTGAATTGTTGTCGGCGTAGGCGTCCTAAGTTAGCTCTGCAAAGCGCTAGGAATGCCACTTACGCGAGAAGCGAAACCAAAGGACATGGGTGAAGAAAGTCACGGTAGCAGACAAGCAATCGAGCTCTGTAATTCAGTCCCCATCACTCACTAGCTTGAAGAAAGGCTGGCCACTGCGTGATTGAAGTCGAAAACAGCCGTGTTAATATCCGTTGCCATCTCAAGCCTTCAAAGGATAGCATCTGACTGGCAGACAACGATAGTCAGCTAATTTCCTAGTCAGATCTCAGTTTATAAGAATTTCCAACTCGGGGCAAGTGCTGCATATCATACAGTGGCTTCGTACTTTCGCAAATGGGGACAATGCGAGATATATGCGGTGCAGATCTAGTCCCGCAACATATCTTCTCAAGTCACCGGCAGCTTAGCACGGCAATATGGGAAACAAGCACACCCACCCCTCGGGGCAGACATCCTTTGCATCCGATGCCTACCTCGTACGACCGGTTATCACTTGCATGAGGAGAAGACGGTTTGTGTACGAGTAAGGGGGCTGGATGTCTGCCGTGTGGACTTGTTCGTCCCGCCGTATCGTTGAAGATATGTAGATGGCAAGATGGGTCGACATCCCAGCGATGGAGCTTGGATTTTACGTAGCGCCAACGGTCTTGTGGGAGACGAGACAACGGCATTCCCTGCTTCCCTGGTCCGATTCTAGGCCGAGATACGTAATACCCATGTCCTGGATGGGCGCCAGCGGCGCAGAAGCCGGCCACGAAATGGCCGTGCATACGAATGGTGTTGTGATATCTCGAAAGAAGAAAATGGAAAAACAAAAGGCCGACAGTATTGACGAGAAGTAACGGCCCATCCATGCTTGGCCGGGGGGCATTTCCGCCGAGCCATACACCGTTGCGAGGTCTCTCCACCTGGTCAAAGAAAGAAGAAAATAGGTGAGGAAGACGAGTACTGCAGGGCCAAGCTACCATGCAAGCGGGACTGAGATTTTTTCCGGGCGGCTAACTGATCTCTGGTCCTGTCACGGAGTCTGTAAGCCAGCCCCGGTAGGACCGGGATGGTGCTGGGGAGACCCTGGAAGAATTTGTGGGAGTTCGGCAGTGGGCAAGGGAGCGAGGCGGAAGTGCTGTCTATCCTGACAGCAGAAGGGTGGCGTTGTCAGAAGAGCAAGCCGAGCCAAATGACACAGAGGGTTCAAAGACGCAGGATGCAGACCATCTTGCCGGGTTCAGCTGCCATCGTGTAATTGGAGCGGTGCGTATGAGCAGCCACGGCCAGCCAGCGACGCTACTCGTACATAGTAGCATTTCTTGTTAGTGTGGTGGCTCCGGCCTTTCTAGAGCTGCATCCATAAAAATATGCAGGTCGCATCTGCACCGCCGCCCAGTTTCTGCACACCTTTGCCGGTTGCCTGTTCGGGGTACTTGTTACTTACACGTTGGCCCCCTGCGCCCGCAGAAAAAGAGCACATCCCATTTTCTGTCTGGTCTGCCTTGGCCCAAATGCCGCGCATGACCAGGAAAGCGAGAGCCAAAGCGCCCTGGAATCCACAACCCAGAACCCACAACCCAGAACCCACAGTATTCGGAGGCCCTCGAAAGCCGCACAGAGACTATGCTGTCAGGCGATGTGGCAAGAAACGTGACCACGTCTGCGAGCGAGAACAGACGAGTGTGAACCGGGAACGGCGCGCAGGAAACGGCGTGCAGCGCTCTTTCCTCACGCAACGCCTTCTGCGCCCGTGCCCACCGCTCCTTCCTTGCCGTGTCCAGCAGACGGAAGGATCGACCCTGGGGAGGCAAGAGCCATACTATCCGTATGTAGTATCTTACGTATCTTACCCTCACAGTGATATGTGACGGTAAGAAGCCCGTGCAAACCCGTACTACGTAGTATAGCACGCTGTCCAGCAGGCCCGAATGCTGTGTGGAGTCATACGTCCCTACTTCGGCGGCAGCCAAAACAAGCAGCGTTTTCGCTGTTCTGGCCGTCAACCCTCCCCCATTGCTCCATTAATCCAGTAACCACTCCGTAATAGTCCCTATTTTTCCTCATCGGCGCTGCCGCTGCAAGCACTGCGGTCGCCCTCCACACCCCTAACCCAACCACCACCCCCCCTGCTTGCGGCCTTCAGGCCCCACTAGCTTTCCGTCCCTCTCTCCCTCTCTGTGTCGTCGTTTTCGACGCATCAGCCCTCTGGCTCTGACGTCCAGTTCAGTCCTTCAGCTCCGCTTCTGGCCCTACCACTGGCACTGGCGGACCTTCTTCAGCCCCCAAAAAGCGGAGGCTGAGGATTTTGTATATCTCTCCCCCACCACCCTCTCTCTTCTGGCTGCCATAATGTTTACGAGCTTTCTCACCCTTCCTGACTCTCTCCACGATCCCCCCCCCTTCACCTTCTCTTCTGCTCTATAGCCGCGGCGTCGTCTTAGTCTCTTTCCTTGCTTCTCTATCGACTATACCCACTTGACTTTCTTAACCGCCTCTGTCTCTTGAACTAGGAACCGCCCGGCTACTTTGTCCTTCATAACCCCCCCTCCTGCTCTTTTGCTCTTTTCTTCTCCCCCTTCTTCTTTTTCCTCTTTTGTTACCAGAGTTGCAGATTGTCCCTGTTATCTTTCTAGACCTCCGACTGCCATGCCTCCACAACTACTTCCGGCTTCCGCCGCCGCATTTGCCCCGAGGGCCTCTTCCGTCAATGTCGTCCTAGGCAATAAGGTGGAGCCTTGGTTGACACAGACTCTCAAGCGCATCAACCGGGTAAAGCGTCCTCTTAACAGTGTGCCGCAGCACCATCGATGCCTGACCGAGACGCTCTCGTCGGAGAACGCCATCTGGACGCTCGCCTCTCTGATGGTCACCAAGGCGCCCGAGTCAGAGCTTCGCCAGGATCCCAACCCGCTCGTCGAGGCTGTCTTCAACTACCAGCTCGTCACTATTGAGGCTTACATCGTCCATGTCGATATGGTCCTGAGGAACGAGGTTGCCTATAAGCTGACGCCCGACACCATCGAGGCCCTGATTGACTACCACAAGGACATTCACTGTGTCGATGCCAGGGCGAATACCGAGTACTGGACCAACAAGGAGCAGCAGTGCAAGAAGCTGCACAACGACTTCATCCAGGCCGTTAACAAGTACGTGTACCGCACCCATGTAACTGCCCTGGAAGGCCTTGAGGAAGACGGTGCCGGTGAGTTGTTGTGCGGAAAGAGCGAGGAAGTCAAGGCCAACATCCTGAGCCTTTTCAAGCCGCTGCTCCCACCGCCACCAAAACCGGTCGGCGTCTTCCGTCAACCACCGCTGCTGCCCAGCAACTCAACACCCAATATGAACAACTTCTGGGCACATCAGTCTCTGGGAGCAGTTGCGAGCTCGCCGGACTTCATGGCCGCCATCGCTGCCACTGCAGCTTCGGTGGTGACTGGGATCCCGGCTCCCGTCGATTCCTGGCGAGTGCTCCCCTCTAGCCCAAGCGTTGCCGTAACCTCCTGCGACCCGAATGCCTCTTCGCTGTGGGCCTCCATGGGCATGCATGAGCTTCAGCACACGCCCTCTCCCGCTTACAGCCAGCCGTACTCGACAGCCGCCCTCTTCTACGGCGGCTCGCAGCTCGTTTCTGCTCCCCTGCCCCAGCTCCCCCTGCCGAGCATGCTGGCTCCGCAATGCGGTGTCAGCGTCGGCTACAATAACTTTGGCTGGGACCGCTACCACGAGTACACGCCTACGATGTGACAACCAGCCGCCGTCACTGGAACTATCACCAACAACGCTGCTTACCCAGAGGCTTCAACCGTGGCGCCAGCCACGACTGCTCCCTCTTCCTACTCTTCGTGAGCAAGAAGCCTACTCAAGGCCTCTTTACAATATCGGTTTTCAGTCTTGCTTCTATCGCGGCGTTGGTCCAGGGACGGCGTTTTACAGGAGGCCACATCGTCGACGGGCCATTGGTTGCGCAGCTCGAATCTTTTTCAGATCAGGCATCAGGAAAGCGGCAGCGCGACCGGCAGCAATCAGACAACAGCGAGCATACTGCATCAACACATACTAGCATTCTGGCGTTCAGCATTACCGATATCATTTCACAATCTGCTTATCACCACTCTGGGACATAATGTTTTCGGCTTTTATCACACTACAGCGGGCGAGCGACTTTCTTTCTGTGCTTTTTTGTTTGTTTGTTTTGCTTCCATTTTCATGGGCCACAGGGAAGAGAGGCAAGATCCTTCACCAGAACGAACCGCGAGGTCGGTAACAAACAGCTTCATATTCTATTTCAGTCCCTTATCATGGCTGGGTCCTCGGGCGGGTTTTTTATTGCATTTTCGGCTGGGCGAATACACAGGCGGAGCTCGGGTTCTGTTTTGAAAGACTATTGCAGCAATGCAGTCTGGCAAGATTCCAGACAAAACATCCGGTCTCTTTTTCCTTTTTTTTCTTCTTTTCTTTGACTATGCGCCATTCCCCTCTGTTTCTCCTCATCCTCAAACACTCTCACCACAACACTGGCTTTCTTTCTTTGAGATACCCCCACTCGCACAATGGTCCGCGGCCACAATGCGCTTCTCTTTCTTCTCGGGCTTTTGCTATTCCTTCTCTTGTCTATATATTTTACGTCCACCTTTTGGCTTCTGACACCTTCTGTCATTTACGAAATGCGTTACGACCTTATCCGATGAATACGCCTTACGCATTGCACGGTCAACCTTTCTACATTGGAAAGCAAGAGAATTGATTTCTTCTACGACGGCAACAGGGTTCGATTCGCTCCGATGTATCTAGAGGAACCGGCTTCTTCTGGCATACACGACAGCAAAACCGGTCAAGCGTCATTTTCATACCATTCCGTTGATAGGCTCGGGGAAACTCGACAAGATCAGCAGAAACGGGCACTTGTTTTAGACAACTGGTTGTCTACATTCAGGTTATTTGCCCCGTTCCCTACCTAACAGGCCGTTTTCCCCGACGCCCAGGACACAGTTGGGGTTCGGAGCAAAGGGAATAGCCGAAGCCCGAACACACAGCCGTGATGACGACAGATTGGGCACATCGACGTTCGCCTCGCATCTGCCGGGTCAGCTTGTGATACGCGAACGCGGTCCTCCACACCGATATGGTCTCCTGTCACCAATCACCTAGAGTGCTCTCTGGTGTACAGACATGCAAGCAAGAGACATGTCTGGACAGGGCCATCGGTGGCTGCCAATGGAAGTGAGAGACAGAGGGGAAGTCGGCGCATGTAGCTCACCTCGCTACAAACCGCCAAGTCGGTTCCACGGCTCTGTGAGCGTGGAGTTTGGCGAGCCGCCTGGAATTAGAGAACGAAGGACAAGGACTAGACCGCTCGCTGTGCGAGTCCTATATCCCCTTTTGATCTAGCGGTCAGCCAACCGAGGTGCTGGATTTCTTTTGTCATATACACATCTCCTTTGTATCTTATAGGAAGGGCTCTCCTGGTGATTGTCTTCCTCCCCCTGGTGGGCTCGATGATCTTGGGATAGCTGTCTCTTCTTTGTGAATCCATGGTCATAGTTAATTCAAACCGAAGATTGAAAATCAAACCATATGTATCACGTGAAATGTAGATCTTGGTGTTTGCATACACGTCGTCGAGGATGTTCGTGAAGTCCAAGAAACGTTTCGCCACGAACAATACAGTACTTATTATCAACAGAGCAAAGTGAGGAGGCGGTGACTCTGATTTATCCTAAATTCTCACTAGCAGGGTCTCACTAGTAGGGAGGGTTATACGATTACGTGGAATGAGCTCAAGACAAAGAGACACTGGTGGCAGTAGATTACAGACCGAAAGAATTCGAACACTCGTGCACATCACAGGCATGACCATTCTCTCTCCCTCCTCCTCTCTTCTTTTCGCCGGATGATCCTTGTCTATGCGCCTTCGGCCAGCTCCTTGGCCAGTCCCTGGGCGATCCACTGGGCCAAGGCCATGACGGTGACCATGGGGTTTGCGCCGCTGGCGCTGGGGAACACGCTGGCGTCGGCGACGAGAAGATTGCGCGTGCCCCAGACGTGGCCGTGCAGACTGACGACGCTGTTTGCGCCGCCGTCGTCGGCCATGCGGCAGGTGCCCATCTGGTGGGCCGACAAGAAGGAGTTGGCTGCCTGCCAGCCGCCCCAGAGCGACGACCGCGACAAACCAGCAGCACGGACGCCGTTGATCCAGGCCTCAAAGGCGAGCGCGTCATCTTCGTCGTGAGAGGAGCCCGTCTTGGCCCTCACGTACGGCTCCACGCCGGCCAGATAGGCGCGGATTTCGTTGGCTCCCTGGACGTGGCAGAGGCGGGCCAGGCCGATGACGCCCTCGACAGCGTTCTCGCGGTCAAAGCTCGAGGGGTCGTAGTCGACCACGGGCTGGCCGGTCACCGGGTCCGGAAAGACACGGCCGCTGTCCCGATCGCGGGTCAGGGCGATGAACCCGTCGTAGTGGCGGTAGCGCAGCGCGGCCAGCTTAAAGTCCAGTCCGCTCGACCACGGCAGCGTCGTCAGGATCGCGTACGGCTGTCGTCTTGTCAGGGCCGGGGTCTGCAAAAAGGAAAGGGCAATACGTACGACCATACAGGTCGGCTCTAGCCTGGGGCCGTGGCCATGGCCATCCATGTCATCGAAGCTGGTGCAGATGCTGGTGATGATGCCATCTGAATCGCGGTTAGCTTTCAGTTCAGGCCAAAACAGAGGACCTGTCCTTACGGTCCATCGGCTTTGTTTCCTCGTCAAAGAAGGCGCCAACCATATTGCACGGATGCAGGTGAAGGTTGCGTCCAATCTGGGGATTCTGTAGGAGGTCACGTTACCGTGTTAGTAATCACGGTCGCCCGTAAAGGAGGCCTCAGCCTCTCTAGCTCGCTCCTTCCTTACCGTAAGGCCGCTCCTGAGAAGCAAAAGCGGGCTGTTGAGCGTGCCGCTCGACACAATCACTTTCTTGGCCTTGATGACGATACGCCTCCGGCGACGCTGGTCTTCGGGGCCGGTCGGACTGCCGGATGGATCTCTGGAGAGCCAGGTGCCCACGATACCGGTCGCCTTGGGTTCAGCAGATGCCAAAGGGATGCTGGTGCTGGTGCCATCGTCGTCATCAAAGAGCACACGATCGACGTCGAAGCCCTCGATGAACTGGGCGCCTGCAGCGGCGGCGGCCGGCAGCCAGCTGACAGCCGTTCCGCGCTTCTCGGACGAGGCACAGCCAAGATGGCAGTAGCCGTCATCATGTGGGAGGCCGTCTCGGGTGTTCTGCAGCAGAGAAGAGGCCTTGAACCGAAGTTTGGCTGCGCCCTCGAGCACGACTTGGCCACGGTGGCAGCGGTCGTGCTCGTCGACAGCAGCAGCAGTCTTTTCGACGCACATAAAGTCGCACACGCGGTCCAGACAGGCATCAAAGGCCGGCGTCTCGAGGAAGGACATTCCGTCTTGGCCGGCCGCCCATTCCCGACGCACCACATCCGGCGTCCGCAGACAGACGGACCAGTTGATGGCACCACCGCCGCCCCAGCAGGAGCCGGCCACGACGGAGACGTTCGGGTTGGCTGACGCTAGCTGGCCGCCATTTTCGTACAGCAGCCGCAGGCCGACATTCTGCGGCATCGGTAGCTGTGACGGCGGATAGTGGTAGCCCTTCTCGACCACCAAGACGCGATGGCCAGTAGCTGCGAGAACTTCGGCACACACGGAGCCACCGCAGCCAGAGCCCACAATGACCACGTCAGTCTCGATGACGGCCGGTTCGGACGCATCGTCAAACTGCAGGAAGCAGAAGTCGGCATGTTCTTGTGCGGGCTTCCAGTCGGCCGGCGTCTCCCGGAAGCTGGAGGCCTGGGGGAAGAGCGGCGATGAGACCAGCCAGGTGGTCTGTGCCAGCACACACAGCGTGCGACCCAGAATGCGCAGGGGCGGCGACCAAGCATTCTTCCAGCCGCGCAAAATGGCCTCACGCACCTCGAAGGGCTGCTGATGAACGGGAGTCCAGTATCCCGTCAGCAGCAGAGAGCCGGCGTGGCCACTAATAAGGCAGATGAGCACGATGCGAGAAGCTTTTGCTCTGGTTCTTGCTTACGTTAAAAGCGCCAGAACATCGCCCAGCTGCTTCCGGCTGGCAGGTGATTGGCCGGCAAGAGTGCGCTTGATGCCTTGGACAAAGACAGGATGGTCGGACGGCCGGTCGGCCAGATAAGATGCCACGAGAGCCGCATCCGGCGGGTCAATCACGGCGGCGCGAACATGGGCCACAGTGGCGTCAAAGTCGGCACGCGACAGGCATTTGGCATTGCGGCGGTTCAAACCGGTCGAACTGGCCGTATCGGCAGCCACAATGGGTGACAGCACGGCGTCGAGCAGCGCCAGCAAGACGGCCCACTGAGACTCGTCCCACCAATCGCCGCTGGGCGCTGGCGCAAGGCTAAGCGGCCTCGGACTTATTTCTGCTGCTTCTTTGCGGCGAGCCATGTTTCTTGCAGATTTTCACGAGCAGTCGGGACAGATGGTCGAGTCGTGAACAGACGTTGATGATACTGTCCCGGAGGACGGCCAGCAGAGTTGCCGCCAGCCATGCCCAAATACTAACAAGCAACTTCCCCGCTCAGCCTCAAGCAGTTGCAGGTTCCCCTCTTTCAGCTGCTAGATGTTCGAGGCGGCATTCACAGTGCGCAATGAAACAAACACACATTTTAACACTCCAACGTACTCGCAAATACTTCTGGCAGATGGGTGCCAATTCTGGCGATATCTCCAACTGCTACCACGAGGGTGGACAGGGCAAAATTAGAGTGAGACGCTTTTGTCTCTCGCTCCACTCAAAATTTGACAAAGACAGACTGCCATTTTGAGACCAGAACCGACAGTCGGAACCAAGATAGATTGCGTTGGGCAGAGGCGTCGGTTTAGACCCGGGCAAAGACACTACTGGACGTTGAACGTTGCGTGTCAGCAACCATTGGCCAAGCCTTCAAGAGGGGAAAACCTGGCAAAGCCTCGGCATGGGACACGAGAGATTTTAAAAGGTTCGAGTCTGAAGTACGGAGTACGCGATTCGCCTAATGGGTTGAGAGCGCCCACAGCGGCAAAAGGTTGGGGATTCACGTGAACGCGCCCGCTTTACTTTCTGGCTTCCCCATTTTGAACTTGTCCCGGCTTTGTCCCGGCTGCTTAGCTTCGCCCTTTCCTGCGCCGCACTGCATTGCATAATCACGCTGTTTTGTTGGGGAAAGAACGGCTACGTATGCGGGGCGTTGTGTTGAGAGGGAACAACAATCGCATCCACGGCCTGCCGGCGGCCCGGGCGCACGGCGCTCTTTCCCGGCGCACTGATGTGTAAGCGATTGCACCCTCCGTCAAATCCCAAGCCCGGTATGTGCGAGCGAATAAGATACGAGCAAAGATGATTTACGGCAGGTGCGATGGAGACTGTTTCGGTTTTGGGTTTTTTTTGGTTTTTTTTGGGGGGGGGGGGGGGGGGGGGGGGCCGTCTCCGTTCGCTCTTGCGTGGATTGGCGGCGGATCCACTCAACAGTCTGACTACGTTCAATCAACAACTACATCTCGATCCATCTCCCACTGCTATGTACCTGTACCACAAGAAGAAGAACAGAGGACCGAGAATGACGATGGCGATACGGACAGATGGACGGCTATGACACCCTTCTCCTGTTCGGGAAATAAAGGCGGTCAACAACTCTATAAGTTCACGTCTCTCATTGGCCAAGATCGACGGTCCCAACAAAAACATATAAATATATCTATGCATGAGCTACAGAAAAAACAGAAAAAACACGGGCTCCACAGAGCTGCGCAGCAGGAACGAAACGAGGAGCAAGAGCGACCGTGTTAGTTGGGCGAGACGCTATTATCGCCTCAGGCGCATACGTCGTAGATACTGCCAGTCATGCACTGCTCCGGCATGGCGATTTGCGCGATGCCGTTTCCGCTACATCCGAAAGATCGAACGCGCGAGGCCACGGGAACGCCATCCCGCCCCGGCCTTCTCGACTCGTAATACATGCAGCTTCGTGGAGAGTATATGGCTGTCTTGCATCTGAAACTGACATCGTATGATGGAAAAGACCCGGCTCCTCGCCGCTCTGTCCTCGTTTGTCGTTCCTTCCCGAACTCCGACTGCGATGCTTGATCGATCGCAACTGCCTAGCCACTCCTCTCTGCTCCGCTCAGCACTTTCTTCGTAGTCTATCCATTCGTCCTCTGTAGCTCTGGTCGGTCTCCGCCGGGAAGCTACTACGCACGCCGGATGCACGTCCCAACAAGGAAGGCATGCACGCATCCCTCTCATCACAGCTTTTCAACCCAGCCGATATGTCATAGCTTATCCCATAATGGGCCTCACAGTCCGAGATCCACTTCTGGATGGACGCCATGCCACCCTTATTCAGGTTTCGGCTGGCCAGTCAGGCTTGTCTTCCGGCGGTCGGCCTTGTTAGAAAGACTCCTTACGTCGCTGTTCAACGTCGTCTACTGCATGCACCTCCCCTGGACTCGTTGAAATAAGCATCTCTCAACTGAATCTCACCCCATCGTCTCTCTATCTAGCTCCCCCTCTACACATACTCCCCAACCCCACAGACCGGGAACAGCTGGCTGTCTTGGTCTTGGTCTTGGTCTTGGTCTTGCCTACACCCCTGCAGCCTTTCATCCGCTTCGAGCTAGCTACGCGAAGTCTCCTCCGCCTACATATCCACCCCGGCTTTCTCTTCTCGAACGGGGGCCTCGCCCATTTCCCTTCGACACTTATATCTACCATTCTCCCTTCCTCGCTTTCTCTCCGTCTTTGAACCTCCCCTCCTTCCCTCTATACTACTCCTCCCGTCCGTCTCGATCATCTTCGAGCTGCTTATACAATGGCGTCCCCAGCCGTTCATGTAGAGCTGCCCTCTGCTTCTCTCTTCCGCTTCCCACCACATCTAAGCCCTCCTTTCTCTCCGCCACCACCAGCGGGCTCAACCTCGTTCGCCCCGCCTATCAACATTCCCGATCACATCTACCTAGCAGCCCTCGATGCTCGCGTGCCATTGACTATCGCCGCGGTCTATGCTGTCACCGCAAAGGCTTTAAATGTCTACAACCGCTCTACTGGACGCCGGCCATGGGCCATCAGCAAGACACGCGCCTTCTTCGTCTTTGTCGTCCTCCACAACATCTTCCTGGCCGTCTACTCGGCCTGGACCTTCTATGGCATGCTGAATATATTGCGTCGCAGCTTTGTCAGCCCTTTTGCCAGCACAGTTGACAGCAGCACCGGCAGCATCAGCAATGGAGGCTGGGCCGGCACCGTCGATGGCTACTGCCGTCTAAATGGTGCACCTGGGCTTGGCAACGGTCTCTTTTTCAACGAGGCTGCTGGCCAGTGGCAGACTTCGTCCGCACTCGGTGATTCTTTCTCTTCCCTGGACCGTTCGCAGCCTGGCCGCATGTGGAACGAGGGCCTGTCCTTCTACGGCTGGATCTTCTACCTCAGCAAGTTCTACGAGGTTCTCGATACCTTTATCATTCTTGCCAAGGGCAAGTTTAGCTCGACTCTCCAGACCTACCACCACGCAGGAGCTATGATGTGCATGTGGGCCGGCATGCGCTACATGAGTGCTCCCATCTGGGTCTTTGCGTTTGTCAACTCGGGCATCCATGCCTTGATGGTCAGTACTCCAGACCCACACTTCATTTTGGATCCCACTAACATGCCTTCAGTATACGTACTACACCATCACCGCCTTCTCTATCAGAGTTCCAACATCGGTCAAGCGTGCCCTGACTACCCTGCAAATCACCCAGTTTTTGCTTGGCGCCTCGTATACGATGATGCACTCGTTCGTTTCCTACACCGTCCCCGTCGTCCTCAAGTCGGGGTCGCAGGCTGCTTCTGGCGGCGATGGCGAGGTGTTCCGACCGATCGACGCCATGAACTCCTCAATGGCAGATGCCGCCATCACTGTCCGGTACGGGCACAAGACGGTACCATGCATTCGCTCGACTGGAGAGACATTTGCCATCTGGCTCAACGTGCTCTACTTGGCGCCCCTGACCTACCTGTTTGGCAAGTTTTTCGTCACCTCCTACCTGCGACGCAGCAATGCCGAGAACGCCCGTGCTGCTCGTCTCGGCAAGAAGGAAGGCCAGGCCCCGAGCAACAGCGTCCACAACTCGAACGCGACGATCGCGACCACCATTGCTACGACTGCTAGCGCTGCAGAGGCCCTTGTGCGCCGCCGCTTGAGCAATGTGAGCAACCTGGCCGAGCAGGCTGGCTGGGACGCAGCCCGGGGTCTTGAGAAAGAGGTGTACGGCGAGTCGGGCGAGGCAATTGAAGAGGACGAAGAGGACTCTCCGCGCCCAGACCTGCTTCAGGTGAAGCCAAGGAGCAGACGCGCAAACTAAAGAGTCCTCGCACCCTTTTTACGATACATGACGCATATGGACATTGCATGTCGGCACGAAATCCACAATTTTTGGAGGCGAGGTTTGGCAGTTTTTTCAATCGCCTTAACTGCCTACTAACAAAAGGAAATTGAGGGTCTGACGGACCATCCCTGCAAGATGCAGGACACCTATTGGGGAGTTAAGGATGGACATACCGGAGTGAAGTGAACGGGGCGTTCATTTTCCATATGAAATAATCCGGGTTGCGTTTGTTTAGTCAAGAATAATCTAAGTACAATGACAAGATTTTTTACAAGTATAAACAGTGTGATTGCGCGAAGGCTTGTCTAGCAACCTCAACTGCATCTTATTTTGAAATTTGTTGTTGATTTTATTTCCTATTTGACGTAGACGAGCAAAGCCTTCTCCGCCCCTCCATTTCTGCTTCCCTTGAGATCTCCTTTATCTTGCTGTTCTCTCCCCAGCTCCCGTCCATCGACATCGAATCCATGCCGTGTTCATAACAACAGAGTGCTGAGAGGTCAATTTGGACCGGAGGGAGATACTCGACGAGAAGACATAAGACAGATAAGAGATGAAACAGCCATAAACCGTCAAAACGCCTCCAGCGAAAATGCAGATATAACCGGAATAAGCACTTCCGATAGCCGAGGAGGCCAAGTAAATCGGTTCGCAGACTTTTCGCCGACCACAACCTCCCGCCTGGGATCCCTTGACCAAGTTCCGCCCACCAAACAGTAAGTCTATCAATACAAAGAAATGGCGCCGAGGTACAGCACCCCTGGTGTGCAGGCCGTCGTTGCAACCATAGCAGCACACGACAAATATCCAGCCCATACCCTCTGCTCAATAAATAGCGGATCTGGCCGTGTCGTGGAGAAAGCCACAGGCATCAACACCATCCCTTACCACCATATTGCAGTCACTGCCGTGAATATAGGGCGTATGTTCTTCCCCGAGCAAAGACAGGTTTCGGGAATGTGGTAAAAAAGAAAAAAAAGAAATGTCATGAAAACGGGGTTGGTGCTAGATAGCACGAAAAATGCCGACATAAACAAATAGAGTAAGGAAATATTTGGTATCATCTGCATGGAGAGACGCACCGGGTTGCGTCTTCCACAATCGCACTCCTTTTTTTCAACAGGACCCAGCCATAAGAAATAGGCAAAGCAGGCGACATATAGGCGGTCAACACACCTAAGCTGCTTCCTCGATCGGCTTGCTCTGCTGCTCTGCCTCCTCGGCAGGGACGTTCTGAGCCTTGACGTAGTCCTGGTAGACGCCGAGGGCCTCGTCAACCTTAGCCTTCAGGGCAGACTCGTCCTCGATAAGGTGCACCAGCTCCTGGTTGTCCATCTCCAGCAGCATGCCGGTGATCTTGCCGGCCAGCTCGGGCTGGAAGTTCTGGATCTTGGGGAAGATGGCCTCGCCCAGAATCTGCTTCTGCTGCTGAACGTTGCCGTTGGTCGCAGTCAGCTGGGCCTGGATGAGGGTGGCCTGGTTCAGCTCCGGCACGGCTGCGGAACCCGACGCCTGGCCCTGAACGCCACGGCCGGCCTGCGGGCCAGCAAAGCCCTGGGCTCCACCGCGACCGGCACCACGGCCACCGCCGTTCTGGCGCGTAGGAGGGAAACCGGCCAGCCCTGGCCCAGCACCCTGGAGACCGTTAATTCCAGCAGGGTGGCTGCCCAGCGCGGGAATGGGTCCGCGGCCACCGGCGGGGGCACCGCCACGGCCAACCGTCTGCTGCACCTGCTGCATGGCGGCGAGGTACTGCGCATTGTTGGGGCCGAAGGGCACACCGGGTGGGAACTGACCCGGAAGGCCGTACACATTCGGCGGCAGCTGCTGGGGAGGAAGACCGCGACCACCCTGCGGGCCGGTAAAACCACCCGGAGCAAACTGGCCGGGGCGACCGCCCTGGACACCCGGAATGCCGAGGCCACCCTGGGGGAAAGCCATGCCGCGTCCGCCCTGGGGCAGGAAAGCCTGCTGCTGGCCAGGCGGGTAGTACACCTGGGGCTGCATGTATGTCTGGGGCAGACCTGCAACGGCAGCAGCCTGCTGCATGCGCAAGGTGTTCCGTGCCTGGATGCTAGCCTCGAGCTGGCTCTTGCGCACCTCCTTCTTCTGGGCAATGGCCACGTAGAGAGGCTTGCCGCTGACCATGCGCTGGTTCATCTCCGTGACAGCCTTGGTGGCATCGTCGGGGTTGCTGAAGCAAACAAAGCCGAAGCCCTTGCTCTTCCCAAGCTTCGGGCGCGCAGCCGCCTGCTTCTCGCCGGAGGCATCGGCCTCACCCTCTGCGGCACCCTCGACCTTGGGCTTCTCCTCCTCCTCCTTGACCTCCTTGACCTCCTCGGTCTCCTTGGTCTCCTTGCCCTCTTCGTCGGATTCGCTGGCCGTCTCGCGCATCACCTTGGCAGACGTGATCGGGCCATACGGAGCAAAGAGCTCGCGGAGCTTCTCGTCATCGACCTCATCATCGAGGTTCTTGATGTACAGGTTCACACCGACATACTTGCTGGCCTTCTCCTGACGAGCTGCCTCATAAGACTTGCGGAGTTCCTCCTCCCGCTCGTGTTTCTTCTGAGCACGGCCAACATACAGCTCCTGGCCGTGAATCTCGCGGCTGTTGAGCTCCTCAACAGCCTTCGCAGCACTCTCGTGAGTCGTGAAGTTGATGAAACCAAAACCACGGCTCTTACCCGTCTCCTGGTCGCGGGCAATCGTCGAAGACGTGACGGCGCCGTACTGCTCGAACAACTTGCGAAACTCATCGTCCGTCACGTCGGCGTGCAGGTTCTTGATGTAGATGTTGGTATAGTTTGCCTTCATCTCCTCGAACTTGCTCTGGCGGTCCTTCTTGGGAATGTGGTGCCCGACGTACACCTTCTTCTCGTTGAGCAGCATGCCGTTAACATGTTTGATAGCCTGCTGAGCGGCCTCATCAGTCTCGTAGTGAACGAAACCGTAGCCCTTGGAGTTTCCGTGCTCATCCTGGGCGACCTTGCAGCTGAGAATGTTGCCAAAGGCGGCAAAGGTATCGTGCAGAGCCTTGTTGTCAATTGCGGCATCGAGGTTCTTGATGAAGATGTTCCCCTGGCCCGTCTTGCGAAGGGCAGGATCGCGCTGCGACCACATGATGCGGCAAGGACGGTTCTTGATCAGGGTGTAGTTGAGCTCCTCGAGAGCCTTCTCGCCGTCGGCAGTGCTGTTGTAGTTCACGTACGCATAGCCGAGAGAGCGGCGGGTGACCGCATCGCGGCACACGCGGATCGAGGCAACGGGACCAATCTGAGAGAATAGCTCAAAGAGCATGGCCTCGGTGACAGACTCATCAAGCTCGCCAACGTACAGTGAAGCAGAGGCTTGGGGATGAGCCGCGGCAGAGCTCGGGGTGGGGCCAGCGGTATCGTTGTCGGCCTCAGCCGTCACATTCGTGTTGATGGCGGGAGCAGCTCTTTCGCCGCCGTTAAGGGTAGCATTGCTGAGATCAGCGGCAAGCTGGTCGACAGCGCCGGCGGTAGTAGAAGCCATTTTAAGTAGGTTGATGAACGGCACAACAGGAAACTGAAAGTTCAACGCCAATTAGTAAAACGCCCGGGAACTTGGTATGGTTGCGGAAACAGGAAGCTGAAGAGATAATTATCGGCAAATCAAAGAAAGGACATTATAGCAAGAGTATAGCACCGACAATACCCCCTCCCCTCCCAAAAAAGGTAGCAATCGATAGAGCAGGGTATATTAGCAGGGTGGGGGGGAGGGGGATAAGATGGAGGGGGAAATGTGCAGGGAAAAAAGTCAAGGCGACAGCAAACAAAGGGCTCCATCGAGGATGGCAATTTGTTCAAACTTTCTTATCCGTGGCTGCGAGCAACAGGACAAAAAGGACAGCCGCAAGAGGTAGCCTTACCTTCAGAACAAAGGGCGAAGATGCTTCTGCAAATCGATAGACTTGTTGATTTCGGTGAGTTCGGTTGACTGCTGTCGGCTGACTGCTGTCGTTTCGTTCTGCTTAAAGAATTCGGGTTTTGTGGGATTTTCAAGTTTTTTTTTCTCCGTCGGATCGGTGGCACGGAGATGTTTTAGAGAAAGTTTTGGATTTTGAAGGGATTTTCAACTTTTTTTGTATAATTTGTGTAGTGGAAAATGCAAGGATGACAAGAACAAAAATCAAGTACGATGCCCGTACTGTCAAATCGTGTTCTCCTTCGAAGGTTGGCAGTTTGTTTATGGAAGGTTGGTTAGAGAAAAAAGAAGGAGGGGAAAGAATTTCACGTCGCTGTTTTAGATTATGTCTTTTTTTTTCTTGCCTCCAATCTTTTTTTTAATACCAGGGCTTTCACTTTAGCTAGCGTGTAAATTTTGGCACGCGGAGAGGCTTATGTAAGGTTATATGGGGGAAGGTGCGGTGTGCAAAGACGTCATATGTGCTTCGTACAGAGTAACTCATAGAGAAAGCACAATCCACCGGCACTGCTACAGATTCTTCCAAGGACTACATAGTAACACAACTTCCTCTATAGGGATACAAATGTTCTTTCCTCACAAAACACGCCCGAGGAGCCATAAATCATTCCTTCCCTGGAGATGAGGCTAGAAGGACAATTCGGAAAGTGTGCGGCATTTTCCTTTTCTTTAACAAGTGCAACTGCCAGCAGCGAACCAAGTGAGATGCTAAGCTGTCAAACACCGTTGGTCAATTACGCCACATGATGACTAAGTATGCGCTGCGCCACTTGAACCTTCGAGAATGATGGGTACGGCTGGGACTGGCAATTAGGCGGACATTATTATTACCAACACCGCAAGATAGCGCCCGAAGCAAGCTGCCTGCCAAACAATCCACCTCACCACAAACAACAAGCCGGCTGCTGTCTGCGAAGAATTCGTCTCTCTTCCTGTCGTGAAACAGAATCCGTGGAATACACACAACTTGATTTTCAAGCAGGTAATACGACACCAGCTCTGTGGCTCAAATCTGTTTGTTCCACCCCCTCGAACGGATCCCCGCTTTCTCTGCGGCTGTCTCCGACGACAGCGTACTGAAGCCATGTTCCCCACGTTCACCGGAAGCTCACGCCGCCCACGAAACGTCAATCTCAGCGGGCAAAAGCACATAAATCCATTCGCTGTCCATGCATCTTCTCCAATCGCCGGATCTGGGGCTTCCAAGACCGTTGCCGATGCTCAGGCCGGCCGCCAGAAACGGCAGCAAGAACGAAACGAGCTCAAGGCTGCCCGTGCTCTGCAGCGAGTATGGCGTGGCCATCGAGTCCGACGGTCTGTGAAGCTTGACTTCCGGCAAGCTCTATATGGTTTATACAGCGGGGCTGTCAATCTCCAGCCGGATCAGAGAGCCGCTGTTGCCTTCCCCTTGCTTCTCGCTAGCTTCTCTAAAGGCGACGACTGCCAGCTGCTTGACCGTTTTGCCGAAGATCTTGCTGAGACGGACTACGGACTTCTTTCATCTGGGAAAGTTCCCAAAGAAAGGCTGTGGCGCCTAGCTCAGATCTTGATATCTACACTGGCTTGGTAAGCAGCTCCCAAGTTACACAAGTTGACGTCAAGTCGGGCCCATGTTTTTTCGCTAACGGCATTTGCCATCCGATTCCATAGCGAGCCAGTCATAGGCCGACGATTGGAGCTTCTTATCCGAATCGTCCACATACGGCCTCCAGGCCTCCTCGACAGCCTTGGCTCCTACTATAGAATGCTGGCCAAATTCTGTGCAGAAGGGGGAAAGTCACCAGCTCAAGTGCTTCTAGTAAAAAACGCTGTTGTTGCTCCCTTGCGGCCCAAAGACGATGTGCCAGGTATGAATGTCTCTGTATATCATACTGGTCAACAAATCTGAAACTGACGGGGTACATTCCTTCTAGTCTCGTTCCTGCGTCGAGCATACTCTGAATATGCAATGTCCTTCTTGACTCACTCGCTAGGCTTGTTGGAGCAGACTATCACTCTGTTTGCGCAAGACCTTGACTTTGAAGCCTTGTACCGAGCCGTGATAGAAGCTTATTGCACCTCGGAACGAGGGTCGGACAAAGCCCCCGATCGGTCGTTGTGGTTACTTGCACACCTAATTGACCTTCAGAAGAACCAAAACGGCGAGACGCCGAGCACTCCGCTTTATCTTAGAGCCATCTACATGCAGCTTTCTGCTCTTTCTAGCACCATCCGAGCGCAGCTGCGTTCCTCTGCGACCTCTGACAGCAGGTCGTCTCCACTGCCCGGTTACCTCTCATCTAGGATTGGCTCTCTCGCAGACAAAGATGAGGTGTCATGGCTGCTTGAGAAGTTCACATCGTATGATCTTGCACCTTTCCTAGTTATTACCGGACCTTATCATGTGCTGACCTGGCAAAGGAGCCAAGCCGATGCTGCAGGACAAGATTATGCCAGCCTACTAGCTGGGTATTCAATCACGCTCATCCGCTGCTTCCCACAGAAAGCTGACGACATCCGTATGCGCCTATTTCTTGCAGATTTTCTGTCTGCGACTGGAGCACAACCAGCTGTGCAGTTTTTCTGGTCCGCCTCGAGTGTAACAAAGCTTTTCGATTGCATTATTTCCTCTCCAAAGGGCGCACTGGACTTTCTGCTCAGAAGAAAATACTTCCCAGCCTCATCGTCGGCGGCAGCAGACGATACCCCATGGGATCGCGAGTGGCGGACCGTCCTGCTATTTCTTGAGCTTTACACATTTGTCATGAGGCTGACCGATGACGACGACTTCTTCTCTGGTCTAGACGGCCGCTCTGCTTTCGAGGGCAATATGTCGTCTCCGTCCCACATCCGTGCCTCTGCTCTCCGCCTCGATGCGTTACAACGGCTGTCTCTGTTCCTTAAAAATCTGGCTTTCACGCTAAACTACAACGCGGCAGAGCTCTTGCAAGGGAATGGAAACGATAGCAAGCCGTTCAGTGGATCGGCTATGAGCCAACATAGCCACTCTGCAGCCTATCGTGTTATCGCAGGCGTTGACTTCGGCGCTTTCAAGTCTCTTGTCACAACTTCCATACAGATGCTTTATGAGCGGGACTCCCGCCGCCAGTTTTTGCCGACTGGGCATTGGCTCATGACGACGAACTTTGACATGGATGGCTTTTTGTCAGCTGTTGTCTTGGAAGAGCAGCGGCAACACGAACTCGAAGAAGATGGTAGCGACAGCGAAATCGACGACAACGATGCTGGTGATGATGACATGACCGACGACATCGGGGCCGAGCAAAGCCAAATGGCTTTCTCCAACAGGCCTCGGACCACGACTTCTCGATACATGCATATAGAGCAGCTCCGAAAGCAGCACAAGAAGGCACATAGGGAGCGGATGCTTGCAGCCATTGGTCCTAAATTGGAGGTCTTGCGAAACATGCCATACGCTTTGCCATTCGAGCTTCGGGTTCGTATTTTCAAGCAGTTTGTTTTCTTGGATAAGCAACGCCGGCGTCAAGGACATGTCGATCCCGACCAGTGGCGTCTATTCATCGCCAGCCAAAATATGGCATCGATGAACAGAAATCACACTCGCGAGGACATCCTCCGCCACAGCGCCAGGATCCGCCGAAACCTGGTGTACGGCAGTGCGTATGAGCAGTTCTACCCGCTTGGAGAGGGATTGAAGGAGCCGATCCAGATCACGTTTTTGGATGAGTACGGATCTGAGGAAGCCGGGATTGACGGTGGAGGTGTCACCAAAGAATTTCTCATGAGCGTAACGAAAGAGATTTTCACGTCGAAAATTGGCAACGTGATGCAGTTTCAGTCAAATAAGGACAACGCTCTCTATCCCAATCCACTGGCGCTCGACCAGGCCAAGTCTTGGTGTCACGCCAATGGATTTCAAGGCGCAGAACAGCGCGACCATATTGCTGCGATGCTGAGCCAGTTCGAATTTACCGGCCGCCTTGTTGGGAAATGCATGTACGAGGGAATACTACTGGATGTCGTCTTTGCAGGGTTTTTCCTTCTGAAATGGTCCTTGTCGACCAAGGACTCGGCCTACAGGGCGAGCGTCAACGACTTGCGCGAGATGGATGAGGAGCTGTATCAAGGCATGTTGCGCCTGAAGAATTTCAAGGGCGACGTGTCTGAAATGGATGTCAACTTCACCCTTGAGGACCAGGTGAGCATGGACGGGTTGCCACTGCGCACAGAGACACGGAACCTGGTCCCAGATGGCGAAGACATTACAGTGACGAATGAAAACCGGCCTCTGTATATCTCGTACGTCGCGCGTCACCGGCTGGTTGCACAGCCTTATCAAGTGACAAAGGCGTTTCTTCATGGTCTCGAGACAATCATCGACCCCGCGTGGCTGCGCATGTTCAACCAAAACGAGCTCCAGCGCCTTGTGGGTGGCGATTCGTCGGAAATCGACGTGCAAGATTTGCGGCAGAATACTGTCTACGGAGGCGTATACGAGATGGGCGATGATGGCCAGGAGCATCCGTCTGTCAAACTGTTCTGGGACGTCGTGGGGTCCCTGCCTGACGAGGACAGGCGTCTGTTACTCAAGTTTGTGACGTCTACGCCCCGGGCACCGCTGCTTGGGTTCTCGCAGCTGAAGCCTGCCTTCAGCATCCGTGATGCGGGTGGTGATGAAACACGTCTGCCCAGTGCCAGCACATGTATCAATTTACTGAAGCTGCCGCGGTATTCGAGCCTGAAGGTAATGAGAGATAAGCTGCTCTATGCCGTCCGATCGAACTCGAGATTCGATCTCAGTTGAAGGCTGGCCCGTATCTGGGGGTGTATTTCGATAAGATAAATCAGGAAGTGGTGCAGTCTGTCTACGATGGAGCTACATTCCTTGACTAAATTTAAAATATAACATCAGGAACTTGGTGCATCTGCAACTTCGTATGTTGGTCAAGAAGAAAGTGGACTGTAACATACGAGATAGGAGTCATACTTGTCTGTTTACTGTTAGATACCTGGCTCTTCCTTGAAACTTTCCCTGTTCTCCATACGCTCGAGAGCCCGTACCTTTGGCGAAAAGGGTGTCTCAGCTAAAGCTAAACGCGATCATGCGCACGTACTCCGTACGATGACTTAAAGAGGAAGGCAGCACACAAGTGACTACTTCTAGATCTGTGCACTCGGCAGGATTATGTAACTGGAAGTCTCAAGAGTTCCTAGTCACAAATCCAACTGGAAAATCTCATAGCTTCCCTAGACCTGGCGCTTCACAATGCCGTTCCATGAAGCATTGTTAGCTCGACGACCAATTCTTGGCGTCAGGGGCGCATCTCCATAAAATCCATGGCTTGGCAAAACGGGGCCTGAGCCTCTCACAGATCCAGCGGTCTGAACTGCCCGAAATAGGAAACAGGAGGTATAAGGTAGCACTGAACTTTCTGGCTTTCTCCGTTCGCCCTTCTGCTTTTCGATTTCCTCACACGTCTTTATCATCCGACGACGCGTTTTGCCCTGCTGGATCTACTACATACGATCCCCGTTTTCTTCATCTGAAGCTGTTCTGCACCGATTTCGGCATGTTGACGGGCGTCTTCAAGAACTAACGGTCCTTTAAGGTAAGGTCTGTGGCTACGCAAAACAAGAGAGCCAACAGAGACTGCAGCATCCCATGAGGAGCTACCGGCTTGCCATGCCTCTTCCGTGCCGTCGCAGCTGCGTGTACATTGCTGTCTTTTGCTTTTGTGCTTCCTGTTGTTGCTGCCAGGTCCACGACACCAAGTCAGCCAGGCGTTACTGTTTGCGCTTTTCCCATCCACGCTCCGATTATCCCCTTCTGGCCCGTTCCCTTTTCAAACGCTCTCGTCAGCCCCAATGGTTTTGACGTTATCCGCTACATCAACCCTCTGATAGGAACTGTGAATGGCGGTCATGTCTTTCCAGGGGCTACGCTGCCTTACGGTATGTTGCGTACATTCTTCTCCACCAAATGGGCTTGTACAGAGTACTGAAGTCTATTATAGGCATGGCCAAAACTGTCGCCGACACAAACAGCAAGGCTGAGAATGCTGCTGGCTTCGTGTCGGATGCGAGCAAGATCACGGGATTTTCTCACATGCACGACTCCGGCACTGGTGGTAGTCCATCCTTGGGCAACTTCCCACTGTTTGTGCATTCTGGCTGTCTAGACGACGATTTTTCCAAGTGCAAGTTCAGCTCCAGGACTTGTAGTGTTGCTCGCATAAACGGCTCAGCCCGCGCCAGTCCTGGTTACTTTTCTGTCGAACTGGAAAACGGGGTCGCAGCAGAGATGACCACAACCCAACACACTGCTTTGTATCGATTTACCTTCCCCACGGTGGAGGATGGAACTGCAGCGGTGCAGTCCGACGGAACCGTCGTGCCACACAGCCCACTGGTCCTCGTCGAACTGGCCGATCTCGCGGTGACGCGCTCTGCAGGAGGCATCCGGGTCCATGCAGACTCGGGTCGCATTGTTGGTGACGGCACGTTTCGGCCGTCATTCGGCACGGGCAGCTACGAGGCGTATTTTTGTGCCGATTTTCAGGGCGCAAGCATCCGAAAAACGGGTATCTTCAACTCCATGGGCGTAGCTAAGGAGACCAAGCAAGTCAGCGGAAACTACGGCTCTTTAGCTGGCGCCTGGATCCAGTTCGAAGCCCCATCAGGCCCCGGCCGTGATATTCTAGCCCGTGTCGGGGTGTCCTTCCTCTCCTCTGACCAAGCCTGTACCAATGCTGAATCTGAGATACCAGAGTGGGACTTTGACGGCACCATTCTCGCGGCACAGGACGCTTGGCGGGAGAAATTGGCGTCCATTTCTGTCGACGCAACGGGAGTGTCAGTCGAGATGCAGACGACATTCTGGTCAGGAATCTACCGGACGTTGCTGTCGCCACAGAACTACACTTGCGAGAACCAAAAGTGGAAGTCAGATGAGCCGTACTTTGACTCGTAAGAGCTGTCCAGTCTCCTTTACCACATATGAATAACTGCGGCTCACAACTCACAACTGCAGGTTTTACTGCATCTGGGACTCATTTCGGGCCCAGCATCCTCTCCTCACCATCATTGACCCGCCAGCCCAGACGCAAATGGTGCGTGCCTTGATTGATATCTATCGGCACGAAGGTATGTGCATATTTGTATTTGCTCTGCACTTAGCCTGGTGTATCTCCCAACTCTGACAGGGATATAGGAAAGCTTCCTGACTGCCGCATGGGCTTTTGCAAGGGCTACACACAAGGCGGTTATAATGCCGACGTGGTAATTGCCGACGCCTTTATCAAAGGGCTCGTTGACGACATCGACTGGGCCACTGCGTACGAGGCCGTCATCTCCGATGCCGAGGTCGAGCCGAGCTTTTGGGGAGTGGAAGGCCGCGGCAACCTAGAGAGCTATCACGTCTTGGGCTACATCCCTTGGGACGATACGGATACTAACGGCACCGGGCCCACGAGCCGCAGCATATCGCGTCTGGTGGAGTATGCCTATGAGGATTTCACCATCTCTCTGATGTCGGAAGGCCTTGGCGATGTTATAGGCAATGCGCGGGCTTCAACTGATGCGGCCAAGTACCGAGAACGAGGCATGAACTGGCGCAACCTGTGGAACCCCGAGCAGCGCGATTCATTCCAAGATCCCCCGGAAGCGATGATACCGAGCGACTTTGTGGGCTTCCTGCAGCCACGACTGCTGAACGGCAGCTGGCGTTACCACAGCACACGGCGCTGCAGCCCGATTTTCGACATGCACAAATGCTACTACGACACGATTCATGAGACGTACGAGGGCAGCCCCTGGCTGTATTCGTTTTATGCACCGCAGGATATGCGCACTCTCGTGCGGCTGATGGGTGGTCCAGCTGAATTCACGCGTCGTCTGAAGTACTTTCACGAGTCCGGAATCGCCTACATGGGCAACGAGCAGACGTTTCTGCCGGTCTTCCAATTTCACTATGCCGGCCGGCCCGGCTTGAGCTTCTACTGGGTGCACCAGTACATCCCAGCGCTGTTTAACGGCAGTGTCAATGGAATCCCTGGAAACGACGATTGTGCCATGGGTGCCTTTTCTGCGTTTGCCTTCATGGGCTTCTTTCCCGTGGCTGGACAGGACGTGTACCTACTGACGTCGCCCTTCTTTCCAGAGGTGCGCGTGCGGTCTAAGAACGGCCGTGATGCTATTTTCCGTGTGCTCAACTTTGATCCAACATACTCGGCCAAGTACATCCAAAGTGCCACCCTGAACGGCAAGCCTTACACGCGCAGTTGGATCAACCACGACATATTTTTGCAGGGCGGCATACTTGAAGTCCAGGTTGGTCCGGAGGAAAGCCTCACGTGGGGAGTTGAAGACGAGGATCTTCCACCAAGCTACTGCTCCTGAGAGTTGCCAAGTGGTAAGCTTCATATGAGAGCCGAAGGAGGTATCGAACTGTCCCAATCAAATTGCATTTTCCGTTGCCATATAATATAGCCAAGCCAGTCTCAACAATGATATACAATAAATTTTAAAAATATGCCAACGGTACCTCAGGAGTCTTCGTCTTCATCCTCGTCATTTTCACCCTCATCACCATTGTCCTCGTCGCCTTCGTCACCCTCTGAATCCGTATCGTCAGCATCATTCGGGTCCGGCCTGACAATCCGGTTCAAATGGGCCACATAGCCAGACAGGGCCTTCATAAGATCGATAATCTTGTCCTGACCATCCACATCGGTGAAGAAGGAGTCAGGAATCCGTTTCATGGCCGTGAAGTTGCGAAGCTTGAGCAGCTCAATGTTGCGGTGGTCGGCAGTAAAGCCCTGCTTAGTCAGCACGAGAGAATTTGTGGTATTAAGTGGCTTTGCTTGCCTACCTTTGGCTTTGTCTTGAGGGCGTCGCTGCTGTTGAGTTTGGCAAAGGCCTTGATAGCCGCAGCCTCGTTGCCGTGCTTGGCCGTCGGCAGAAACGCACGGCGGAAGGCGTCGGGATCGGCGCCACGGCCACCGGTGCCGGCCAGCAGACGTCGCCAGCGATGGGACCGCTCGTCAATGCTGGCGCGCAGCAGCTGAACGTTGGGGGGGTCGGGGTGCCATAGGCCGCCGCCGACGATGCAGCCGGCGGGCTCGCAGTGGACGTAGTAGCAGGCATAGGGGCCCTTGCGGCCGGTACGCGACCAAGCGGCCGAGTAGTGGGCCTTGTAGGGGGTGCTGTCCTTGGAGAAGCGGATGTCGCGGTAGATGCGAAAGATGACGTCGCGGGAAGGCAGCTCAGGGATAGTGTCGTCGACCTCGGCAATGAGCCGTTCGGTGAGCGACTCGACAAAGGACTGCCAGTCGCCGAGCGAGCGGCGGTATTCGGCGTCGTTTTCTGCGAGCAGAGGCAAGAGTCAGTTGGGAGAAGGAGCAGAGGGACAAACGAACGGAGCGGATGTGAACCAGTCACCCTTCAGCCAGACCCGCCGATTGTTGGCCTTGAGATCGCGCAGAAATAGCATCGTGTTGGGGTGGACGTGGCTGTCGGCGTAGTCGACTCCGTTCAGGCCGCGCAGCTGCTTGTGCGGTATGAACGTGACCTTGGGTGGCGCATCCTCGTCAATCTCGTCGTTGTCTATGTCATTGTCATCATTGTGCTTGCTGTTCTCGGGTTGTCGACCTGTTCTGCCGTCGCTTTCGTCATCCTCGGCATCGCTTCTGTCGTCCTTGTCGTCATCTTCCTCCTCTTTATAGACATCTTCGTCACTGTCCTCCACTTTTACCTTCCTTCGAGTCCGGCTCTTTGGCGCATTGGATGTCCGAGCCCGTTTTGAAGGAGAAGGCGGTTTGATGTCTATTAATTCGTCCAAGTCGTCATTGTCCTCGAAGTAGCCGCTCTTCTTCCCGAAACTGGCCCTCGTTGATCGTCGCCTCCCGGATGGTTCCGAAGCTTTCGTAGAAGAGGAAGCCTGTCGCTTTCGTGGAGGCATCCTCGCCAATTGACAAACAGTTGCGAAGGTTGACTTGTAGAGAGAGAACAAAGAACGCTGGACAGCGGCACCGCAGAGGGAAGAGATGACGCGCTGGTTCACGACACTAACCACTTCCGGCAGGGCCTGGTAACGCGGCATCACGTGCCTAATTTATGCCCACTTGGAATCAAACCAGCCCATTTACACGTTACATAGGCGGAGCAGAACTGCATGTAACCACAGATTCCTTTGAGAACGAGAGGAGGCGTTGAAGAAACCGAAGCAGGTTCTATTTCTTTGCGTCAAAAATAGACACAGCTCAGAGCCCATCCCCATCGATTTGGAATACCGCAATAATGACGGCAGATGTACTGGCACAGCAGCTGGAGGAGGACGGGTTCGTGATCATACGACAGCTGGTCAAGGGCGAGGGCCTGAAGACGCTGCAAGAGGCTGCAGCACGGACGGCAGCCAAAGCGCGGGTGGGAGATTGGCCATACGTGCGGACAGTCGGCAAGCAATTTCCACCGTGGGACCGCTGGGATCGGGCAGCAGCGGACAAAGCAGCCACGGCGGCCAAAGCGGCAGAAGGCAGCCAGGGAGGGGGCAGGGGAATCTGGGGGGTGCAGCACCTGCTGCGGCCAGAGCTGGGGCCGGACGCGGCGGTGTTTGTGCGCAGCTACTTTGCGGCGGACGGGGTGCTAGACGTGGCCAAGCGGCTGCTGGGGCCGGGCTGCCGTGACGACGATCTGGTGATGGAGCTCTACAACATGCTGGTGCGGCCTGACTACGACGACTTTGCGCTGCGCTGGCACCGCGATGACATTCCGCCCGAGGCGACCGCGGCCGAGGAGCTGACCCGTCTGGGCCAGCCGGCCTGGCACGCGCAGTGGAACCTGGCGCTGTGGGACGATGCCAGCCTCGTCGTCGTGCCGGGGTCACATCGGCGGGCTCGCACGGCTGCCGAGCGGGCTGCCGACCCCTTTGCCGACCCGCTGCCGGTCGAGGCTGGCAGCAGCAGTGTCGGTCAGCTCGTCGTGCATCTCGGTCCTGGCGATGCCGTCTTCTACAACAACAACATCCTGCACCGTGGCGTCTACCACACGGCTGTCGAGCGGGCTACGCTGCACGGCTCTGTCGGCCACGTCGGCGGCAGCCGCCAGCGCGCCCGCAACGTGCTGCAGCACGGCGTCGGCGACTGGGTCGACCGCTGCGACTTTGGCAGCCTCACCGCTGCCGAGCGCGCCCGCGCCGAGGGCATGCGCGATCGGCTGGTGCTCTTGGGCCGCGCCAGCGGCGACGTCGGGTACTCGCAGGAGGAGTGAGGCGAGAAAAAAACGAGGCATTGGGATACAATCTATAATGGGGCACAAGCCTCGTGAGCGAAGCGAAAAGTCCTCACGCAATGCAGTCATCGTTTGCCTGGTAATTTAGGCTGTACGCTCCCATTACTTAAGCTTTTCAACGAGCAGAAGATCCACTACAGCGCATCATAGACATACGGAGTACTATCCTCCGATTCCACATCCCCATGCTATGTATGGGAAAGAAAGGGCAGACCGTCTTTTTCCATGTCTTGGCGCGGGAGAAGTTGCAGATTCCACGCACTACTCTAATTACGACGTAATCAATGCTTTCTACTCCGTGCCCCACGGCAATGGTAGACTAATAGCGACGAGGACTTGGCACTAATGAGCCTGCTGAGCGATTAAGCATGGTTGTAGGGAGAAGGAGGACCCACCCTCCAAGACAGCGTCTGCTTGGCTGAAAGAACTGTGAGAGACAATGCACACGGCGTAGTAGTATAGAGAGAAAATAGGAAGAAGAAAAGGAGAAGGTAAAGGAAAGCTGTGTGAATTGATCAGCAGTCACCACTGCAAAAAAAGTGCTGACGAAGACACTGTCGCAGTGCACACTGTATTATCTCCGCACGGATTGGCATGAGGCGTGGAGATCAGGAGCCGCTCGCGGGCCCTTTCCCCATTCCCCATGCCGCTCCCCGCCCAAAACCCCCCCTTTCGTCTCCGCAAAATACAAACTAGCGCGGGTGGTGATGGAATTTTGGGGAGCTCTCCAATTAGGACGCCGTCATTCTCACCCATCCGTTGTTTCTTGTAGCATTGCTTTCTCGTTTAAACTGTAGCCGGCCGATGCTGAAAGTCGTCCCGTGGGAGAGGTCATGGTGCCTCTGTAAATTGCATCCTCCTGGTGGAAGTCACATCTTCTTGAGCGACAGGCTCGGCAGTTCTATCGTGTGGCTCCTTCCTTTTTCACTCATAGTCAGCATTAGAAGGAACATCCAGACACTAACTAGCATGTTCTTTCCCAACAGTAATCAAGGAAAAAAGGAGCAAACTACATCCAGCTCATCACCTGTTCCAAACTTCATTCCTTCTCAGCCGGACCAAAACCCGGTCCCAAAATCGGTTCGCACTCTCTTCTACGCTACGACTGTCTTCAAACAAGGGCTGCCTCCTTCTCGCTCTCTACTTTTACTACCATCTTTATACGACGTACTCAAGTACATACTGCTACAAGTCTGCGACGCTTGTATTCGTGCGCTATCCGGTCCCCACCATCCTCAACGTGTCCAGTCCAACTAGATCTTGCCGTTCCCCGCCTCTCCGCTTCTCTAGCACCGCCTCCCCCAGACCCCCAGCATTCTTTTTTTGCACATACACTCAAGCTGCGATCCCCTCCCTGTCAACGGCACCCAACATCACCGTTTGGCTGACTTGCCCTTCTGTCAAGCTTCAGAAATCTATGACCCAACGACCATAAGCAGTCACCTGTCTGCCAAAATTCACCAGATCCTTCCACGCTTCCGTGCACCTGAGACTCCCTCGCCAAAACTTTCTGCCACCCATACAGATAGATGAAAGGAGTAGAAGAGAGAGAGGGGAAAAGTACCAGGCACACGGTAAAACAATTACCTCGGGTTAATAACGACAGCCCCCAGCAATTTCCTTCCTGCTGGCCGACTGGCTAATGAAGCAGAGAGGAGAAGCAAAACGTCTACTGCGTACAACAGTGTTGCATCAGACAATCGGGTATCACGACAGAACCGTTCACAGGAACACCGGTTCATCATACGGGTTCTTGTTTACCTTGCTTCACAAGTCTCCCGGCTGCGTTCTGCCGTCCTCAAGTGTCACCACCAATCACGGCAGCTCGCCTGCTTTGGGCTACTTTTCTCTTCTCGTCAACTTCTCCACAGTCCTCTTGCATTGTCACTGGTCCACGCTTCTCTAAATCAAGCTGGGCTGCAACGACGGCGCACTTTCTTACCCTCCCAGATCTGAAGCGGCCCGTCTGGGCACCATAGACCCCATCTCTTCAACCATCGACCTGTCCTCTCGCCTTTTTAAGAGTACGCTACCATCGGTCTCATCGCTGGATTCCTCCGATAGGCACTCTCGATCAAACATTTCCGTCGTGGTCAGAAGGGCTTTTTCCACCCCTTCCCCTCTCTCCTCCTCTTTCCCCCTGCCTTTCCTCTTCTCCACCCCGTCCACACTCTTGCATGCAATAACAACACACCAGAATGCATGTGGCCTCTCCGAGTTTGACTGGTACACTTATTTGCAGAAAATACTCGCCAAGGAGGCTTCAATCTGACACTGTTTTCCTTTCAATCTAATTCACCTTTTCCCTCTGTTTTTCTCCTCTCCGCGCTTTCTCCTCTCTTTTCCCTCACTCTTTCCCTCGTCACCCCCACTCCCTCTTGTCTTGTGTGACTTGTAACATAGCTGCCCCTCGCCTCCAGGTCGTCGATCTAGCCAAGCGGCACCCGGCGCATCCGTCCCCTGCCTATCAATATTTTCCCCCCCCGGCTCGTGGCCACCTCCGCTCCTAGGCACAATGCCGGCTCTGAGATCTGTCGAGAGCCTTCAAACAATGGGCATGGAGCACAACAGAGAAGGTCGGCCGCTAAAGCCCAAGGCGCTGCCCTGCAAATACTGCAACAAACGATTTAGGTAAATATGGGCTTGTTGAGAATTCCCAACAACGATATTGGCTTACATTCGCTCTTCGTTCTAGACGTGTAGAGCATGTACAGAGGCATGAGAGAACGCACACCAAAGAAAAGCCCTTTGCCTGTAACTGGGCGCGCTGTGGGAAAACGTTTGGACGACGGTAAGAACTCTCTATTCCTATGATAATTGTCGATTTCGTTCCTCTATGCTCTCCAGTCTTTTTTTCTTCCCCTCTGTTCATTTCTCGCTCCTTTCACTGTGATCTCGCCTCCTTGTGCCGTCCCATTTCCGTCCTTGGCCACCTTGTCGAGAAAGTGCTCTGCCGGGGGCTATCCATGTCAACAGAACATACCGACTGTGTTAGGGGACACCACGCAGACCCTTCACATTTTTCGACTGTTACGAACGCGCTTCTGCCTTGTCCCGCACCCCTCTGTCTTAGACTGCGTCACTTGCAGTATACCAAAGCACCATCCATCACACTTGTCCAAACTGGACACCCTCTCTGCAAAGATCAAGAGCGTCTCCATCAGATAATATCCTCATATTTATACTCACATGGATATCAGAGATCTTTTGGTTCGGCATGAAAAGCTTGTCCATCTCAATGAGAACAGTCGAGATGCAGGAAGAACTCGAAAAGCTTCTTCTGTCAGCGGCCCCTCTGGATCTTCCGGCAGCAGCAATACAGAGGTAGCTGTTGGGCTCCAAAATCGGTCTCAGCAGTCCGGATTCAGCGACCCTGCTTCGTCTTCAATATCTCCGCCCCATGCCGCCTCTGCACTGCTGTCGCACTCTTCCTCAGCCGACCCGCGGCTCTCATCGAGCCTGGACTTGCTCTCCGATGCCGCCACACATCTCGCCTCTTCATCCGGGATAACAAATATGCCGCCCATGATACCCGTTCTTACCCAAACATCCGCTGCCACCATGACCCCAGTCAAGGCATACAACGAATCCACACCGCCTCCGTATGGCGACCGCAGACGGGTGTCTGCCCAGGCAGATGTGCTTCTACAAGCATACCCTGGCCAGCCCCCTGCCACCTCTTTTGACGACTACCACTTGTTTTTGGACGAGTTCGCGTCTTCGTCACACTTCTTACCACCATCGCTCGAGGCAGATCAATCGTTGGGTTTGTGGTCGCGACCGGCGGCTGAATTACTCGGACGCGGAGTGGGTATGACCAAGATGGCACCCTCATTCCCTTCAACAAGGTTTCCTTCTGTTCAGCCAGACATGCGTGATCTGGCTGCTGAGACTGCTGCTACGCGAGCACAAGAAGAGATGGCAATGCGGGCGCCGGCGTGGAGGATAGCGGGTACTGATCACACCATCATTAAAAACCGCCTCGAAGAATTCACATCGGTCCTGCCGGCCGATTTTGTTTTCCCTTCGCGCCACACTCTGACTAGATTTCTTGAGGGCTATGTCAGCGGACTGCACGAGCACATCCCGTTCCTGCATCTTCCAACTTTGGTACCGGCTGAGCTCTCACCCGAGTTGATACTGGCCATTCTCGCTGTTGGAGCTCATTACCGTTTCGAGAGTCACCGTGGCAATGCACTCTGGTATGCGGCAAAAGCTGTTGCTTTTGAACAAATCCGCCGTCGGCACAGCCATGAGCTTCACAGCCTTCTCCCAAATGCTTCCGCCTACAGCCCGCATTCGACTCGGCCGTCGCCAAGCTCGAGCTATAGACATTCTTTCAATTCAATGCAGCATGATCGTCCCATGACGCAAGAAACCCACCGAGAACCTTAGTATGTATTTCCCATTCCAATAAGCAATTGCAAGACAACTCTGACATATGGCCTCGCTCCGTTTCTCTGTTTGCAGCTCGCCGAATACGCCTCAGTCTCGTCTTGAGACTATCCAAGCCCTCCTTCTGTTATTCTCTGTTGGTATCTGGGGACCCAAAGCTATTTTGCACGAGGCGCTATCCCTACAGAGCACGCTTGCACTTCTTATGCGGGATGACGGCTTGACATCTGAGACGTCGGCACAGGCGGCTGACTGGGAGACATGGATCCGGTTTGAAGGCAGCACGCGCACAAAACTGATCGCGTTTTGTTTTTTCAATCTCTGCAGCATTGTTTACAACACGACGCCCATGCTTCTGACATCGGAGGTCAACCTGTTTCTGCCACAACCCTCCCGGCTCTGGCGGATGGAAACACCTTGGCAGTGGCACACCACTCGTCAGGCATACCCAAACGTGGAAATATCGCTTCAGGATGCGTTTTCTCGCATCTTGAATCGAAACTCGCAAACACCCCTCACCCATGTGTCGTCTCTTGGGAATTACGTTCTCGTCCACGCCCTCATTCAGCACATCTTCCTGCTGAAGCAAACGTCCTTTGCTGTATCGTCGCACTTTGGTGTTCATCGCGGACTCAAATCAGAGGATGTCGAGGAGGTGGCACACGGCCTGCGCATGTGGCAGATAGGGTTTGAACAACACCGTCAGATGCGCGATGCCGAAACAGCTCAGCAGCAGCAGCAGCAGCAGGCAATGGGAAGCCTCGGACTGATGCCCGGGTTTGACAGTTTTCCTGGCAGCTCGGTGGCTGTAAATGCGACTGCCCTGCTACGGCTGGCATACATCCGTCTATATACAGACCTCAACCCTGGACAGAGGCTAGAGAGTCGGGACCCCATCTTGATCGCGAACGCATTCAATGACGGGTCTCTTCTCGCTCGAAGCCAGCGTACGACACGGGCAGTGGTGCAAGCTATTCATGCTTTGGCCATGCTGGTCAGGGCCGGCGTGAACTACGTGGCACGGACAAAGTCGCTTGAATGGAGCATGCAACATTCTTGTGAGTATGATGCCCGTTCCTCTTTAGCCGAAATCTAATGAAATATATCGAAATAGTATGCAATATGGAGTGCGCCATTTTGTTATCGAAATGGCTCGTTACGCTTGCCTCTATAGGTCCCACGGACCCCCCCATCTCGGCGGAGGAGAGGGCACTTTTGGATAACATGCGGCGTCTTCTGGATGAGACTGAGTTTGCTGTGCCAATCGATCCTTCGTTGGTAGGTACGTCGTTGTCGTCTGGACATGCGTCTGGCGGGCAGCAGAACGGCGTTTCGAGTGACAGTGCCAAGCTGCGGCAGCTTGCTGCGGCCGTTATTCGCCTCTGGGCCGAGACGTTCAAAGGCGCGCATATCTTTGAGGTAGTCAGCATGATGGGCTTGGGCCTGGAGAGCTACGCAGATATGATAGAGAAGCAGCGCGAGCACACGCCGCTTTCTCGAATTTCTACCACAGTTGGTCTTTCTTAGATGTGTGGGAAGTTTCTGCTGGCGTTTCGAGGCCGGCGTTCATAATGGCTGCAAGAGATCGGTCAGGGCAGAAAGGTTCACATTCTATCGCGGGCAAATGTTTGGTATCAGGGACGGATGAGTGTGAAGTCGGATTAACAGCGGATGGAAGTTTTGTATGTAATGGTGCGTGCTTTCTCTGGAAACGAGTTATGATTGGCTAAGCCGGCAACCTCCGAGACTGTGATTGTTGTCATTATTGTCGCTGTTGTCTCTGTTGTTTCTGTTGCTCGTGTCATTGCCTCCACCTCCGTCCTCTCTTGGAGAGTACGACGGCAAGGTGGACGTGGAGTTGTGTAGCTGGACGTGGCCGGACTGAAATCGGGAGCCATCCATTATTGTGGCAGCGGCAGCAACGTCGGAAATGTGGTATGGGGCCACTTGGAGCTGGATCTGCTGCTTTCCTGGTGGGGGTGCACTGACGCCTTCTGCAGAAGGAGGAAGCTCGGAAGGTTCAGGGACCGAAGTGGCTTCCGGTGATGGTGATGGGGCAACGAGCTCTTCATTCTCTGGTCTGAGCGGAGCTGCTGGAATGGGGCCTAACAATGGACTTTCAGGCTGGTCACGGCTTGACGACCCTTCCTGACGATGTCTGACCAGCTTATAGATCTGCAGGGAGGTCAAAGTAATGGTGGCCAAATAGGTGAAGCTAAGGTGCATATGGTGAGCTGGGAAGACAAGACTGGGAGAGCCGAACTGACATGATGGCAATGGCTACCCAGTAGAACGACTGCTGGAGGAGACACAGCCGCCGATCGACCACGGGACAGTTCCCCAGCTGGGATGTAGTACCTCCGGCTGCCAGCAGAGTGGCCACGGCCAGATCGAGGCCGCTCATCAACACATCGCCGCCTACTGAAGCGGCCAGACACAGCCGCAGTCTTGATCCGACCTGGCGATAGGACCGCAGGATGAGGACACAGGAGGCGGCGACATAAATGAGGAGCACAGAGGCGATACCTTCAGAACAGACAAAGAAGATGCGCCGAGTGATGACCAAGGCGCGACCCGAAACATCAGAGCCAGTTTCTGTCGACAGGCCGTCGGCCCAGACGAGCAGGAGCCCGCCAAGAATGACGGCAGCCAGAGAAGCCAAAAGCTGCATGAGACGGGCGAACAGCAGCCAGGAGGCGATGCTTCCGGAGAGCTTCATTGTCTTGAAGTGGAGGTGAGTGTGAAGGTAAGCAAAAAGAAGAAAGAAGAAGATGGAGGGTGAAGATAAAGATGGATTAACACAATGTCATCAGAACATATCTATACTTTCTCCTGTCTCTGTTCTACATTCTCTCGTCCTCTTCTTCTACATCTTGTGCGCGTCGTCATGGTAGCATTGTCTGCCTTCATGCGCACATGTGCGTGTTGTCGTTTTGTGCTGCGAGCTCACTGGCCAGAAAGACTACAGACATCAGCGCCTAGACCGCACAGAGTGGAGGACAAAAGCGTACCAGCAGAAATGAGGTCGACAGTGTTACAAGTCTGTGTATGCTTTTGTCGACTCTGTGACAGAATCACGTCAATGATCGAGCAACAGACGAAGCCTAAATACTGTTCTCAATGCTGCAAATCCTTCACTGCCGCTCTTCAGCAACATCCATCTCCTCCGATGACTGACAGTTCCGAATTCTAGGATCGGTATAGGGCCGGAATCGACTTTATCCAAGAAAATAGAGACATCACAAGAAAGGTCATAGAAAGGGTAGTATTGCACTGTGTTATTAAAAAGCCACTGTTCTACCACTGTGGCTTGTAGCTGTTCCTGCCCAAAACAGCAAGTTCGTCCATACGTGCACGTGATATCAAGTCATTCTCAAAAGATTTTGCGACCAGCAACAAGACGTCTTTCGTAACGTCTTTCCCTGTCAGGATATCCGTGCATGCTCGACAGCCTGGCGCACTCAAAACAGATGGCTCCCCCGTTGGAAGAGGTGGCTGATATTGTCGGCAGCGGTGGCGCGGTCAGTGACGACGACGGCAGCGACGTTGACATCTTTGCCGACCCGCCGGGCTTCTACCCGCCAACACCACCACCGACGACAGAGAAGCACGCGCTCGGCCGCAGCGGCGTGCAGCTGACGCTACATCTGGTGGGTCACAGCGCGCTAGAGGCGCACCGGCTGTGGAACGGCAGCCGTGTGTTGTCGGACTATCTGGAAGAGCAACAGGAGCAGCAGGAGTTGCAACAGCAGCAGCAGCTGCAGGAGCAGCAGGATCCAAAGGAGAACCGGCTCAGAGAGACCCCCATAATCCGCGGCCGAACTGTCTTGGAGCTGGGTGCCGGAGCTGCGCTGCCGGGCATTGTTTGCGGACTGGTACTGGGCGCCCGACGGGTCGTCGTGACCGACTACCCCGACCCAGACCTGGTGGCAACGATGCGCAAGAACATTGCCGAGGCTGAAGCCGGGCTGTCAGCACAGCCAGCGACTCAGACAACAGGCCAGACGGCGTATGCAGGATCCGGCACCATTGTGGCCGACGGCTATGTCTGGGGAGCCGATCCGACGCCGATTCTGGCGCATCTCAACGATCTTGGCAATCCTGACGGCAGCAGTACCCGCTACGATGTAATGCTTCTGGCTGACCTTCTCTTCCGTCACGCTGAGCACTCCAAGATGGCCTACAGCGTGGCCCAGATGCTGGCCCAGAAGCCCGACAGTCGCGCCTACGTCTTCTTCACCAGCTACCGGCCATGGCTGCGCCACAAGGACCTGGCCTTTTTCGCCGACGCCTGTGCTGCCGGCCTCGTCGTCGAGCACCTGCTGGAGCGCCGTCTCGAGCGGCCGCCACTCTTTTTCAAGGACGACCCCGGCGACGTCGACGTCCGCTCCACCGTGTCCGGCTATTCACTGCGCTGGCCCCAGCCGGGCGAGGATCCGGCCGCCTTCTGGCCGCCTGCAGGAGGGGCTGATGGTGCAGCCGAGACACAGACAGACCGGCCAGCACAAGACAGAAGCGCATAGAGAGTGGAAGAGAAGAAAAGAAAAGAGGATTCTCGCTCTCCATTCGCCAGAACACGTGACCTTCTGCGAGAACATAGGAAAGAACGATGACCTCTGAACATGTTTGCATATACAACCTCATTCCATCTCTGCATGGGCCAAACTGGCAGCTACACCGGCTCGCGCTCGACCATCTCTGACGCAGCTTCCTGTCGCCGCTGCTGTCGTTGCAACGCCGCCAGCACGTGCCGGTAGTTGGCGCAGTCGGCCGAGCTGGCTGCTGTGGCATCGTCGCGGCTGGAGATGCGTGGCAGCAGTTCCTGGAGACGCGCGTAGTGCTCGGCAGCACGCTGGTCATGGCAGAGAACATCCGGGCGGGCATATGTGCTGTCGCTGTGGTCGCTGTCGTGATCGAGGGGATTGTCGCTGTCGTCAGAGTGCACGAGGCTTTCGTCGTTGGGCTCTCGGTCGTTCCCGCCAACTTGTTCGCGCTGTCGCCACGCCGTCTCCTCTACCTGCGCGCGGACGACATACAAAAACATCTGTGGTCGGTACCAGGCAGCCGGCAGACCGCCGCGGTTCCAGCGGCTGGCAAAGCTCCGCCAGCGACAGCGCGTCTCGTTCGTGGACAGGTCGGCCAGCCGGAGACGTCGCTGCAGGTCCAGGTAGTGTGCAAAGACGGGCTGGAAGGCGGCATAGTCGCAGTGTGAGAGCTGATGGGCGCCATGGGGAAGAAGAGGTGGGTGGCGTGGATGTTCTGCGTGGCTGTGACAGCCGTGATGAAGTCGACGTCCGCGGCGATGAGAGTGCTGGACGTCCTGCTTTTCGGATGACGGCCTCGCTGGAGACTGTGACCGGCTGCTGGATGGATGCATTGCTGCCATCTTGGCTCTGTCTGATTGCGAGGCGAACACAGCTCGTTCTCGGCAAATTTGGCATAGAGAGACACGGAAAGAAGACTGCGTCAAGACGAGCACATCTCGGAGAAATACCCCGGTCAGAATACATCGCCGTATAACCAGCTTCCTTCTCGTCCTGCACTTGGCCCATTGGTGACCCACGGATGAGGATACAAAAACTGGAGACCAGGCATCCCGGATGATTGTCCTCTGCCCTTCCTAAGTGGCTTACCGGCTGCTTGCTGCTCCGTTGCAGCACACTTTGCCGATTACGTAACCCTTCTGCGTTCCACCAGACGGCAAGTGTGGGTCCCTTGGGTTGTCTACAGCCAACCACGGCAGAGCGATCTGCCAGAATTTGTCAGACCTTTTTAAGGTTTCGCTGCAAGCCTTGCGCTGTAACTGGACAGGCAACCGTTAATTGTCATCCTTCTCCGCTATCCCTCCCACCTGAAGCCGCAGGAGGCGCCGTAGACATTCCAAATCACCATGGCTGTCTGCTGGTGCCACTTTTTTTGCTCGTCGTGTAGCTACAAAGTGAGTAGGGGGTTGCCTTTAGATCGAAAAAACAAACCTAAAGTACGAAGTACACGAGACAAATCCAAAGACGGTCTGGAGGCGTATTCCCTCCATAACCAAACCATTTGTGGGTATCTGATAGGTCGCCAATGACATGTGGACTGGTTCCTTTCCCAAAAGCAAATGCCACAACAGATAAAGACTTTTATGCTCTGCCAACCGGCTTTCTTGCACGGCTTCTACGTATTTGACCCCATTCGCCAAACAGGAAGTCACCGCCATCTCTCGTATCTTTCCTATTGCCGTCCACTCTCCGTATTGTTATGGATGGTGCAGCCAACGCACTCGCAGTCTTCGCCACAAGGACACGTCAGGCCCTCACCGCTGCAGCCCATCACCGAGTAGCTGACAAAGAAGTAGTCGTCTGCCGACAAGGATACCTGATCCTCGCCCACTCCTGACGTGTCCGAAGGTGTGTGCTGCTGTGGAGAAGACCCATCTGTGCTTGGTTGTTGCTGCGCTGCTGAGCCCAACACCGGCAATACTATTGTCCCAGGCGCTACTGTGGCTTGCTTCGTTGAGCGTCGACCGCTGGTGGCTTCGTCCATCGTCATAGTAGACCACGCTGCTTGGACTGTGTTTTGCGTTGCGCTGTTGTACGGATGTGCCACGCAACCAATACACTCGCAGTCGTCACCGCAAGCACACATATGCGATTCTGCACCAGTCTCCTCGGCGGCAACGGGGTGTGTCGATGTCGGCAATGGCGGTTCTCTAAACTGCAAATGGCCTTCAATTAACGCTGGATTGGCCGCTACCGACAGGCCTGCCGGCCATTGTGATGGCTGCAGCGGTGCCGTCATCGTGCCATATCCTGGGTTGTACTTGTACCAGACGGGCGTGCCGTTGCTATTGGTAAAGCCGCTGTACATCGGGTCTGAAGGCAGCATCATCGGACCACTGACAGAATCAGCAGCCTGTGCCAGGGAAAACGAGCTGTCTGGTTGATGGCTGTCTATTCCGTTTGCCTTCATGCCGGCCTGCACCAGTGGCACACTATTCAGAGGCAATGACTGCAGACTGCCGTCGGTACTTTCGGATTTCAGCATCAAGTGCTGCGATGAATAGCTAGAGGACATTGGGGTCGAGGCGGAAAAGTGGACCGAATTTGCAGTCCCGATGTTGCTGGTAAGCGAGTTGAGACTCGAGTTAGGTGTGTGTCCTGGAGACTGAGCTGGCGTCTGCGGCGGCTTCCCCGAACAGCACGAGCGCTTCGGCGCGTCCACTCGTGCTTCCTGGAGCGGGAGGCTGTCGAAGCTGGACATGTCTGCGCCGTTCACGGGCTGTCCCATACCGAGATTTAAGTTGCCGAGGCTGTCTGTGGGCTGTGGTACCTGGCCGAGGGACAGCGACATATCCAAGGCGGGACTGTAGTAGGGATTGAACCCATTGGTCTGGACTCCGTACATAGAGCTGGCCTGGACTGGTGGTTGAAAGCCGTTTTGGAAGGGGCCGGCAGCTTGCATAAACACGGCCGATGGGTCGCCTTGCTGTGTGGGATAAGACACTGCGCCGGGTGGCAGCATGAACGAGTTGCCATTTAGCCCCTCCGACATCTGCATCCCGCCCGTGGCCGGCGTACTGGGACCGTTCCAGAGCGTCGTGGCGGGATGGATGTTCACTTGGCTGGGATCGGTCCTCTCGAACGCACGGGGATCGAAGCGGGTGCGGGTCGTCGACAGGGTCGGGTTCGTGGGCGAATGATGTGCTCGTCTGGTTGGCGAGGATTTGGCTGCCTTCGCGCTGGACTTTGAGCCGCATCCACATTTGCGGGCACGGGGAATGGCGGCCGTAACATTGCCACAAGAGCACGCGTGATCTGGCGGATGGGGACAGACACTCAGCGGTCGGCCAGGTTTCCGTACGGAAACCATCAACCGTTCGTCAGCATGGTTGCACTTTGTAGAACGGTGACCACGAATACATGGCTCGCTATGAAGAGACGACCGATTAGCCGCCGGCTCGCTGCGAATGGTCGTACGGACACACAAGCGTATTGGGGGATATAAGAACGGGACAGCCAAATGAGCAGGACAGGTGAGACCGACTAGAAAGGAAAAGCAAAGAGGGGTAGGGAGGAAAGTCTAAACCAGGACGATGTGAGAAAGAGATAAGGTACATACCAGGCCATCTTGACACCTCTTATTATAGGCATCTTTGCGGTGAGTAATCCTCAGCAGAGGAGCAGGATAGGCTGGCGCGATCTGGCAGAGAACTGACGAGCAGAGCAATAGGAGAAGATCGAGAGCAGAGTGGAGGCAGAGCTGGTGGCTATTCGATGGATCGGCGCGTACCAGGCGACTGTGGCAGCGAGAGAGAGACGATGCGCGGTGCCTTGCAGAAACCTTCTCACGCCGCCTGCTGCTGGCAGACGGGCGACAGGCCGGCAAAGCCGTCTGGACCTGTCTCTTGGCAGACGTTGGTCGAGGGACCAGGCAGAGACAACCAGACCGGACAGGCTGCAGAAACGTGCTCAATACTGATAAGCTGAGGGGGTGGGGCGTTCAATTGAGGCAGTTTTCCGTCAATGACTCGAGAGGTGCAGCGACAAAGGAGGGGAACGGGACGAGAGAAGAGGATAAAGAGTCGACGATCCCTCGGATGAGTGAAGAGAGAGAAAAAGAGAGAGGTGGGGAGAGAGCAGAAGATCAGAAGATCAGAAGACCAGAAGACCAGAGAACCAATGACACCGGTCAGAGGATGGAAATGAGAGATGAGATGAGAAACAAAGTCCGATGTACCCCGTGTCAGCCGAGAAGATGGGTGGAATTCACGGTTGACGGTGGTATTACGACTTGTGCCGGCGAATGTGGTGCTGGCGATCAGGGTGTCTGGTGGTTTGCCGAGACCACAGCAAGATGGAGGAAGAAACGAGGCCGGCAGGGCGAACGATCCAGTTCGACAGATGAGGGCAAATCAGGCCGTCGTTCGGATTCGGCTGCCAGAACGGGAATGTCAGGGGAGCGAGCAGTGGGCGTGCGTTGTAGTCGGTTTCGAAACGATGTATCTTACATTGGTTAGCGTGGCGGCGTCCGAGGCCCTGCGCGATACAATGAAGAGCTTATTGGTGGTCTTTGGTCGTTTCTGTCGTTTCTGCCATTTCTGTCTTTGCGTCTTTTTGTCTTTCTTTGCCGGATTCAGCTCTGTTGCCTCCTTGGACTGGCTGCCACTTCTGACAGCTTAGTGCTACAATGTCCTTACAGACAGCGTCGGTAACGTCTTCCCCAATACAGCCGCCATGGTCGCTCCTGCTCGGACAAGACCTGGCTTCGTGGCCGGATGCTTCCTGCCCTCCTAGGAAGACGCTCTTGCTCGGTGGGGCAGTTGTGCGTTCTTCGCGCCCTGCGAGGAAGGCGGGTAGGCCGAGTGAGCAAGTTTTGATTGGTCGCATGGCGGAGCTGTGGGGTGGCCACTGTGAAAGATTCGACTGGATTTGTCTTATGTAAGGGATTTGCACGTGAATATGACTTGGTATTACGATGACAGAGTGCTTCGAGCTTCGAGCTTCGAGCTTCATGCTTCATGCTTTACGTCGTATGCTTCCAGACTGCCTCACTCGCCGTCGTCTGCGTCTGCGTCGGCAAACATGTCGACGGCGCGCATCCGCTTGCGTGACGGTTTTGCAGCGACAGCGGCGGCCGTGGCGACCACGACTGTTCCCTGGTCGTTCTCGTTCTCCTTGCAGCTCTCTCCATCACCAGCCTCCATTTCCACGTCGCTGTCACCACCACCACCACCGCCGCCGTCCGACAGGCCGCTCATGCCGGCCGCGTCGTCGTCCGACCCGATCTCGCCCTCCTCGCTCATCGCGGCCACGTCGGTGCCGATCAGCGCCTCAATTTCGTCGGCTGTCAGCGGAATGCCGTCCAGATCAAAGTCGCTCATCGGCTCGCCGTCAATGTCCTCTTCGGCCAGACAAGCCAGGTCGAGCTCCTCGTCGTCCGTGTACTCGGACCGGTATGCGCCGTCGTCGCCTTCGCCATTGTCGTCGTCGTCGTCGCCCTCGTCACCGTCATTGGCGTCGTTGCCATCACCATCTTCGTCGCCACGATGTGCTTCTGCTGCCGGCTGAAACCCTGATTCCTCGACGGGTCTCGCGGCGGCCGAGTCGACTGTCTTCCACCGTCCGCCCTTCTTCGACGCACCGTCGGCTGCCGCCTTCTTGTCCTTCTTCGCGCTCGGTGGGTTCTCAAAGCTGCCGACCAGGTACTCCTGGGTCTCGGCCGAGAAGACGGACCAGCCGTCCCAGTGGTCCAGGACGAGGCCAATGCTGCGCTTCCACTTGTCTGCCCGCAGCCGTCCCCAGTGCAGCCGTTCGGCCATCAGCCCTAGGCCCTCAAACACCCGCCGGCTGCGCAGCGCCGTGTCGAACAGCTGTCGGTAGCGCCAGGCATGACGGATCCCGCTCGTGGCCGACGACGAGAGGATGTCGCTCACGACATAGACGCCCACCAGCTTCGCGCCCGATGTGTCGCGCACGGCGCCGGGCTCGCCGGATGCACCAGATGTACCCTCGCCGTCGTCGGCCCGGTGGTGCGCCGGGTTGGCCGCCGTATAGGTAAACGGGGTCTCGATGTTAGAGATGATCATGTCGACAATCTCGTTGGAGCCACGGCTGGCATGTCGGATGGCAAACGACGTCACGCGCGCAATGTCACCTTTGCGCAGCTTCGAGAGCGTCGACGGCAGCCGTGCCAGCAAATGGGCCAGCTTGGCTTTCTCGATCGGGTTAAGGAACATGTCTTCGTCGCCATCTACTGCTGCTGCAACTGCCGCTCCGGTTCCGACTGCCGATCCGCTGCCGCCGCCATTTGTAGTAATAGTTGCATCCATCCCTCGTCCGCGTGGCCCGTCGTCGTAGTCTGAGTCGTCGGACGAGTTGCCGTACTCCGAGTCCGACACAAACTCGGCCACGCCCGTGACAAACTCGTAGGGCAGTGGGTCGTCCGGGATCTTCCATGCATGGCTGCCCTCGAACAAGGGCATGTACCTGCCGTGGCCCCTCTTGGTCTGATGGCCCGTTACCGTCTCCCAGAGCCGGTAGCGGTACCAGACGCCGGCTTCGCTGCGGGCGTCCCAGATCCACGCCCATCGTTCCTCGCGCTGTACCTCTGGCCGGCTCATCAGCAGAGCCTCGAAAGCGGGGCCCTGGCTGAGCACCTTCTCCACCACCCGGTGAATCATGCGCAGCTTCCGGATGTCGCGCGGTGGCCGCACCGGCACGTAGAGCAGGCTGTCGCGGCTGACCACAGAGCTGCTACTGCCGTTTCCGCTGGCCGGAGGCGCAAACATGGCCGGAGGGGGGATGCCGATGCGGCCGCGGCCGTATGTGCTGCGGCTAGCGTGATTCGTGAACTCTGCGCCGTCGAGTCGAGCGGGCGGCACGGGCTTGGCGCCAAACGGCTGGCTGGCCGACGAGGTGGTCGACAGCGTGGACAGAGACACAGCCGCTGTGGCTGCTGCCACGGCCGACGAGAGGTGGCGATGCAGGTTGAGGTAGTAGCCGTAGCCAAGATATCGGTTTTGCAGCGCGCTGACGGCCGCGTCAATGTCACTGGCAGCTGACGAGGCGGCCAGTGTGACGATGGCCGCTGCTGACTTGCGCTCGGTCGAACCTGACGCTGTCGTGGCTGCCGGCAGCATCAGCACGCCTTCGACCACGAGACCGGCCGGCGAGACGAGCGCCCGGACAGCCGCCGGCGACATGTTGGGCGGCAGGCTGGCCAGCCGGATCGTCGGCTTGGACGTCGCCCTCTCTTCGGCCCGGTCGGCCGCCGTACTGACGAGACTGCTGCTGCCAATCGAACCCATTGCTGTTACTGTAGAGGCAGATGCTGCTGCTGCTGCTGTTGTTGTTGTTGTGGAGCTGCCCAAGCCATCCTCCTCGTCGCTGTCGTCGTCAAAAGCCGCCAGACGGCCACCACCGGGTCCTCGCCGGGACGGCACTGCTGCTGATTCTGCTCCTGCTGCTGATCCAGAACTTGTCGTTGGGCCCAGACTGCCTGGCCCGCTGTTGCGCATGGCCGCTGCGCCCGATGTCGGCATGCTAAAGTGCCGTCGACCGCTGCCCAAAAGTGCGGGCGGCTGCAACAACGACGGAACAGCCCCAGCCGCTGATCCAGATAGGCGGCCGCCCTTGCCTGGCATGTCATGGGAGGACGAAGCGCTGTCACGTTCGCTGCCGCCATCGTCAAAACTCTTGACAAAATCCTCGTAAATCGCGGCTGTCTCGGCAGCCTCGCGCTGGCGCTTGGCCTCGGCCTCGGCGCGCTGCCGGTCAAAGACGGACTTTTTGTTCAAAGGCCGCGGCGGGAACCGGTTGTTGGACGCCATGGCGGATCGATGGGGGTTCTAGAAGAGCTCGAAGAGCTGAAAGAGCAGGAAGCGGAAATGAGAAGAGGTTCTGTCGTCGCGTGCGTCACGATGGCGTCAAGCACAGAAACTCCGCATTTAGACGAGGCCGTCAGCCAGTCGTGGTTGTCTGCGCTGCGGCCGTGGGCATTCGCATTGCCGGAGCTGCAGTCTCGTCTGTTGTCGTGCAGCTGTGCAGTTGTGTCGAAGAAACGCTCCTAACGACTTTCCTACTGTAGTTCTTGCTTTCCGTTCTCGTACCTGCCCGCTCTGCACTGTGGCGCACCACAGCTCCAGCCACAGCACTTCTGAGCCCACTATCCCACCATCCCACTCCTTCGCGCCCTTCAGTGCACATTGACAACCTGCTAGTGCTTTCTATTTCGTCCTGAATCGGGGTCGATGCAGCACCGGTGTAAGCTACATATCACATCACGCCTATCATGCAGCTATCTCGGCTAGCATGTCTGATTTGAGTATGACTCCCGGGCCAAAGCTGCCCGCCGCTGCCGAAGCCAATGGAATCCACATATAAAGACACGACCAGACCAGTCCTGTTCTTCTCGCCTAGTCGTCAACACCTGTTATCATGTCCTTTACCCCCCCTCGGTCCATCTTGATCATCGGTAGCGGCGTCTTCGGCCTTAGCACGGCCGACGCCCTGACCCGGCGTCCCGACTTTGCCCATACGACCATCACCGTTGTCGATCGTGGCTCTGGCTGGCTTGCAGACGGCGATGTCGCCAATGATGACGATGACGACCGTCACTTTCCCGCCCGCGACGCCGCCAGCATTGACAGCTCGCGCATCATCCGCCCCGACTATGCCGATCCGGCCTATGCGGCCCTAGCAAACGAGGCGCAGGCGCTGTGGCGGACGCCCGTTGACACTAGCCAGGACTACATCGGCGGCGACGGTCGTTACTCGGAGTCGGGGCTCGTCGTTATTGCCGACGCAGATGTCGACGGCCACGAGAAGCTGCCGGGCCAGAAAAAGACCGGCCTGGACTACGTTCGCGAGAGCTGGGCCAACGTCCGGGCCATGGCCCAGACCGATTCCTACCTGGCCGAGAGGTGAGTCCAGAGGAAGAGAAGGAGAGTCCATCGGCTGACTTCCAGACTCAAACTTCTGCCTGATCCAGAGGCCATTCGCGCTGCCGTCGGTACTGGCGGTACTACCGGTTCTTGGGGCTATCTCAACGGCGCCAGCGGCTGGGCCAATGCCGAGGCCAGCATGGCTTGGATGCTGAAGCGAGTCCGGCAGACTGGTCGCGTTCATTTTGTTCGTGGACGGGTGATCTCGCTATGTAAAGAGATGACGTCAACAACGACAACCGTCACGGGCGTCGCTCTGGACGATGGCCGCACTCTCACGGCTGATCTGGTCGTCGTCGCTGCTGGCGCCTGGACAGAGGCATTGCTAGATGGTGCTCCCTCGTCCTCGTCCTCGTCTTTGTCCTCGTCCCCGTCTGGCCTGGTTGGCTCTCTCGCCGCCACCGGACAGGTCCTCGGCTATGTCCCGCTGGCTGCTGATGAGCACGTCCGCATTGCCACCATGCCTGTCGTGCTAAATCTCAGCAGCGGCTTGTTTGTCATCCCGCCCGCTGCCGACAGTCACGTGCTCAAGGTCGCTCGCCACGGCTATGGCTACATCAACCCTGTCCCATCGTCCTCGGCCCCGTCGTCTGTCCTCTCAGTGCCCTTCACCACCCAGGATGACCCCGACCTCCAGATCCCCAAGGAAGGCGCCGACGACCTGCGCCGCGGCCTCCACGACATCATCCCACTGCCCGGCCTTGCGAGCCGCCCCTTTGGCCGCACTCGCATCTGCTGGTACACTGACACGCCTACGGCCGACTTCCTCATCGACTACCACCCCCACTGGAACGGCCTCTTTTTCGCCACCGGTGGCAGTGGCCACGGCTTCAAGTTTCTCCCCGTCCTCGGCCCCAAGATCGTCGACTGCATCGCCCGTTGCCCCCCCGAGGCCTTCCGCCAGAAATGGGCCTGGAAGCATCGCCAAACCACCGTCGTCGAACCGGAACAAGACGCCGGAAAGGACACTACAGCCTTCTGGAAGGCTGTCGTCTGTCACGACGGAAGCCGTGGTGGCCAGCCAGGTCTGATTCTCCAGGAGGAGCTCGCAAAGGCGTCTTTGCCGTAGATTCCATGCCCGCTTCCCGGCTACATGTCTTCACGAGATACGGTACATCAATGTCTAGTCAGAACACTGGAACAAGACGACAGTATGCTTCTGTACATCTTCCCCGTTCTTTAGTATATTTCGGCTAGGTTTTATACTACTGAAGGAAGAAGAATAATCCCTCCGGCCACCGTGTTCAAACACAATCATACCCGACCATGAGAGCCGAAAAACAGCAAAAGAAACCCTCGTTTATCTCATGTGTCCTCTTCCCAAACTCCCACCTCTTGCCTACGCTTGTAAACGCCGATGCAATGCGACTGAAAAGCAATGTATGTCGAATCCATATATTTTTACATTTCGCCCAGTCCTCATGAAATGGCACGCTCCAGGAGCCGATCAAGATGACTCTTTGGTGATATGCTGTTTGGTGCAGAGGGGAGTAGCAGTCGGCAAAGCGCCAGACGTCTAGCTATTCCGGATGAGCCTACACCTTGCGGAAATCTGAAGCGTAACGCGTTAGCTCGTATTCATTCTCGTCGTATGCACCACGACCGATACGCCATAGGGCTGCGGCCTTCCGGGGCATCACGTACCTTGCAGCACAGGATAGATCATCTCAAAGGCCTGGTAGATCTCCTCGCGGACTTTTGCGCCGGTGAGCACTGTCTTCCCGCTCACAAAGATGAGCAGCACAATCTTGGGCTTAATCATCCGGTAGATCAGACCGGGGAAGAGCTCGGGCTCGTAGGAGCTGAAATTGTGATGGCGTGAGGCCAGGCCTTCGAGACGGACGGGAAATTTGATGTCACATGAACCGACAATGTTCTGGATCTTAAAGTCGGTAAACTTCGCATTGAAGCCCAGCTTCTGGATGATCCGGGCATATTTGCGTGAAGCCAGCTTGCTGTCGTCCTCCGACTTGGCGCCAGTCACCACCATCTTTCCGCTGGCGAAGATCAGGGCTGTCGTCTTGGGTTCGCGGATGCGCATGATAACTGCCGCAAAACGCTGTAGATGACGTTTAGCAGACCGAGCATGTGCAACAACGTTGCCGCACTCTGATGCTTCTCACCTTTGGGTTGTACTCGGCGTTGCGGGCGTGCAAAGCAATGGTCTTCAAGTCAAGACGGCAGGCAAGGTTGACCGTAGCGACAATGTTTCTTCGACGAGCAAAAGGTAAGCCGCGCTGGAACCCACAGCAAGAGCCAGGGGTCGTGACATGAGAACATACTGTAAAGTCGGTGTCAAACCGCTCCCACTGTGCATCGCAACAGGCGTCGCAACCGGAGTTGCTGGAGCCACCTCAGCACCCGAAGCGCCGGCAGCATCGGCGCCAATTTGTGACAGATCACTGGCTGAGCCGAACGACTGCTGCTGGCTGCTGCTGGTGCCCGAGATTTCGAGCGGAGGCGTCAGCTCGCTGTGGCCAGTAGGGAACGATAGCGACCCAGGTGCGGTGAAGGCTTTTGCCTGCAGGGCGTTGGTGGGGTGTGTTTGGATGACCTCCATATTGTGGACGAGCGAAGATCTTCGGGGTAGGATAGAGAAGGCGGATAGAACCTGTGGACACAGCGATACGCACGTTAGTCTCGGCCTTCATATGACACAGCTTGTCGCAGCATATCCGGCGAATAGGAAGTGACAAATAACGGCCATGGGGCTGATGGAAGGCTGGCAAGAAAGAGAAGAGTCTTACCGGCTGTGGGAGATAAACAAGTAAATGTCTCCCCCAGTAAACGTTAATCAAGGCGATGTCTTTGAATGAAGAAGTGACAAGACGAGGAGGCAAAAAAGACAAAAAGGGAAGTGTGGCAAGATGGGAGAGAAATGTCTTGCTGTCTTTTTTTGTTCTTTCTTGTGTTGTCACTTCAGCTGCACATGGGACCAGGGTTTTTTTTTTGTATTGGTTTTCTTCTTCCTCTCTGGACTCTTGAGGCTGAAACCGGGATGAGGCTGGAGAAGACGTGCGAAGGTAGAAAGAAATCTCCCCACAGCGAGACTAAGAGCCTATGTATGGCAGCAAGAGAGGAGAAGAAGAAGCTCGACGACGTCCGAGCAGAGGAACGTAGAAAAGACAATGTAGAACGAGGTCCAGACCAAGTTCGTTTGTGTTTTTTGTTCGCTGCGCACGATGAAAGTGGGGGCAGTGACGACCAACCGTGGGCAATCACCAGGAGCTCTATTGGGAAAGGAGGGGAGGGGGGTAAGGGAAGGTGGCGCCCGTTTCGTGGGGAAGGAGCAATGACGACAACGACAGCAAGGTGCCGAAATGCAGCCCGTGCAAGATCCGAGAACACTCCTTGCGCGAGAAGGCTGGCGAGAGATCAAGAATTAAAAAATTAAAAAGGACAGGGAGGAGGGGACAGGAGAGCAAGGCCAATACGTCAGGGCAGCTCCGCACACAGCAAAGCGACTTGTAGCGGCACCTGGGCGGAGCGAGTGGGAGCTCTGGCTTTCTTATAAGCGCAGAGGCCATGGCGAACAGCAGGGAGGCATGCAGCGAGAGATGGGGAAAGCATTTTGCTAGTGCTGCCGTCCAAACAAAAAAGAGGGCCCCCGGAATCTTTGGCCTGTTGCTGTGGCGGCTGGTCCACTTTAGCAAACTCGCTACCTTGTTTTTATCGCCCATCCTCTTTTCTTTTATCGCTTTTATCTCCTCCCTGCGATGGGGGCCGGCCATGGCTTCTGATTGGCTGCAGGCAGTCGCAGCGGCAGATGAGCCTGCACCCAATCACAGATGGCCTCTCGATGGCCTCCCTTTGCTCAGGCGGTTTTTGATAAGAAATCTCACTTTGTATACTCTGTACTTCGTACAGACGTAAGATAGCGCTGCTGCCTGGGCGACGAGCAGTAACTCGATGTGGCACCTATCCGGCATCTGGCGGCCAGCCCCTCTCCTACAGGCCTGCATGCATGGTACGGCTGCCCGATTTAGCGGCAGCCACGCACAAGATTGCCCCGTCGTCGTAGGCGCTGCGGCGGCTCTTCAGGCATCATATTACGTCGTAATGCTCCGTGCGTCAAGTTCAGCTGCTGAAACACGAGGTCGTCTCTGGTGCCTGACCAGTTTTCGGCCGCTTTTCCCATCTCCTTTTCCACAAATTCTGTCTCGCTCTTCCTTTTCTTCTGTCCGGCAGCACTCTTTCCTTCACTTGTCGCTCTCTACTCCGTATTCTCTTCCCTTTTCTCTCTTCGCTGTTTTCTATCCGATATCTCCCCTCTCCTCGCTCATCCTTCCTCTTCTCCCTTTCTCTACTACCCACCACGCCATTCACGCGTCGTTCGCATCGCCAAAAGTCTTTCACTACCAGCATACCACAGTCAAGTCCCTTGCGGATAGCGCAGCCTCCGGTATATCCATCCTCTTCTCGTGTCGAAAAAAGGGGTCGATCGCCACGTCTTCAACCCCCTTTCCGTTGGTCCTTCCCCCCCGGTCCAAGAAGGACAGCTTTCAAGATATTTTCCCAAAATCGACCGGCCGAGCCATCACACATCCACCCATCCACACATCCACACACCCACTATCACACACACCCCCTTATCCATTTAGCGGAAACAGTATCAATATCACTAACTCCCCCTGCTCCCGCGTTCCCCCCCACCTAGCCTTGCTTATCCTCACACACCACCCGTCTGTGGCTGTGACTCATTTGCTTCGTTTGTGCGCTTCCGCAAGCGTTCTCGAACACAAATCATCAACCAAGACATCGTCGCAGTCATGCGCACATGGTTTCAAGCGTCGTCACAACCCCGTGGTTGGTCAGGCATTGCATGTTGGAAGAGCAATATGTCGGGCGAACTAGGTTCCGTGCTTTGACAGGTCGTGTCGCCATTTCTGCCAGGACATGCAGGCTGCATGTTCTTCGGGCATTGACGACCAGACGAGACACTGCAAACTACGCAAACATATATGGTCTCTGGCTGGCCGTTTGCATTTGCTGACGCACTCGTAGCCGTAATAGGAATCGACGGAAATGACAGCTGCCCAGAAGCTGCGCAGCCAATTCTCGTAGAGCCGTCTTCGGGCAGACGCCAGTTTCACCTCTATGACAGCTTGCCATTCGGCCCCGTACATGTATGGGGAACGGAGTAAGATACAAAAACCGAGCCATGGCACATCCTTGTACACACCTCTTCTGTCCAATAGGATGGTGTGGAACACACTCATTAAAAAAAGGTCATGCAAATGAGACGCGCTCCTTCGCGCGTCGCAATTTTTCTTTTTCTTTTTTTACTTTTTACTTTTACTTTTTGCCCTTTTCCTCTTTTTCTTCGTATCGTCTGCATCGGCTGTTCACAGGGCGGGCCTTCTTTCTCGTATGAGTACGGACTACTCGCCCGTCCGAGGAGCTAAATTGGTTGCAAAAGTGTGAACGTCTCTTATTCTTTTGCCGTCTACGACGTATTATACAGCCAGCTCTCCCCTTACGTCATATAGTACTTTGGGCCTTCGCCGCCCTGGGGCACCTGCCAGTTGATGTCTTGGTTGGGCGCCTTGATATCGCACGTCTTGCAGTGGATGCAGCTGGGTTGTTAGCGAGAAAGGACGGAAAGAAGAAGCAGAGAAAAGAGAGAGAAAAGAAATAAAAGAAACAAAAAGAAACAAAAAGAAAAAGAAAGAAAGAAAAAACCTACTTCTGTGCATTGATCTGGAACCGGACGCCCTCCGGCTGGCTCGCGTCGTCCACATACTCGTACACGCCCGCCGGACAGAACCGGTTCTCGACCCCCTGGAAAGCCGGAAACGTCTCGGCCGTGTGCTTTTTCCAGTCCTTGACCTGCAGGTGCACCGGCTCGTCCTCCTCGTGGTTCGTGCCGGTGCGCGACACGCTCGTCAGAATGTCGAAGCTGATCTTGCCGTCCGGCTTGGCGTACTCGATGCGGCGGCACTGGTCTGCTGGCCGCGTGGCCGCGTGGTCGGCGTGTCGGTGGCGCAGAGTCCACGGCACGCGGCCGCGCAGCACAAAGCCCTCGAGACCGGAGTAGACGAGCCCGCCGTACAGCCCGAGCGGCGTCTGGAACGACGGCCGCATGTTGCGCACCTCGTGCAGCTCCTTCCAGATGCTCGACCGCCGCAGCGCGTCCTCGTAGTCGTACAGAAACACTGTGTTGCCGTGGTCCCGGCTGGTGCCGTATTCTTCTTCCTCGACCGGAGCGTCCTCCTCGTCCGTCGTGGCCGCGTGCCCCATCGCTTTCCAGGCTGCCTCGGCCGCCAACATGCCCGATCGCATCGCGTTGTGTGTGCCCTTGACCTTGGGCACGTTGACGAAGCCGGCCGAGTCGCCGACGATGGCGCCGCCCGGAAAGGCTACCTTGGGAATCGACTGGAAGCCGCCTTCGACCAAGGCGCGCGCGCCGTACGAGATGCACTTGCCGCCCTCCAGCACGGCGCGGAACATCGGGTGCTGCTTTAGCTTCTGGAACTCGTTGTACGGCGACATCCATGGGTTCGGGTAGTCGAGCGCAGTCACGAGCCCGATACTGACTAGGTTCTCGCCAAAGTGGTACATGAACGAGCCGCCGTATGTGTCGTAGGGTAGCGGGTAGCCGAGCGAGTGGACGATCTCGCCGCGGCGAAACACCTCCGGTCGCACGTCCCAGACCTCCTTGATGCCGAGGCCGTAAGTCTGCAGGTCGCTGTCGCGGCGCAGGTCGAAGCGCTTGATGACCTGCTTCGTCAGGCTGCCGTGGCAGCCCTCGGCGAAGAGGGTGACGCGGGCATGGAACTCCATACCGCGCTCAAACGAGTCCTTGGGCCGGCCGTCGCGACCGATGCCGACGTCGTTGGTAGCCACGCCGCGCACTGATCCGTCTGCCGCGTATAGCACCTCAGACGCCGCAAAACCCGGGTATACCTCGACGCCGACCTCCTCAGCTCGCGCGCCCAGCCAGCTGACGAACTGGTTCAGGCTCACAATGTAGTTGCCGTGGTTGTGCATCTGCGGCGGCGCCGGCACCGGGAAGGACATGGTCTTGGTCAGGAAGCGCATCTTGTCCTTGCCAGCCGGCGTGGCAAATTCAAATCGGTCCGGGTTGTCCTCGTCCAGCCAGTTGGGGATCAGTTCCTGCACCGCGTCTGGCTGTATCACCGCGCCCGACAGGATATGTGCGCCAATCTCGCCCGCCTTCTCCAGCAGCAGCACACGGAAGTCCTCGTTGCCAGCCTCGTTGGCCAGCTGCTTCAGCCGGATGGCCGCGCTCAGTCCGGCCGGCCCACCGCCAATGATGCACACGTCCACCTGGTCGCTCTCGCGCTCGATGCTCTGGGGGTCGAACGAATCGGTAGCGGCATTGTCGTTGCGCCGACGCTGGCTCGAGGAGAAGAACCGCAGCCGGTTGGGGCGGATATGGCTGTGCGTCTGAAGCGGCTGGGCTTGTCGCCGTCGTGGGTGGACAAAACTGGGCCGCCTTGCTGCTGATGTCGAGGCCGAGCGTGTCACGGCCGAAATGGAAAATGGTGCCGTGCCGGTGGCTGCTGCTGCTGCTGCTCTCCTCCAGCAGACACGCACCACCACCGCCTGGCTGCCAGACGACGATGTTGTTGCTGCTGCAAACATGGCTCTAGTAGATCGCGCGTCGCAAACGTGGGGTGAAAGGAAGAGCGAAGTCGGGTGGAAAATCGATGTGCTGCTCGGCAGTGCTTATTGCATAATCGGCCTGGTATTATTCCTCGGTATTAACACGTCCGGGGTAAATCGCAAGCTGTATTCCGTGTCTGGGTAGTGGCTCTCCCAGCTGAGTGCCGACTGATACCGCGCCGACAGCTGCACAAACAGACAAGGTAGTAGTGGGTTTAGAACTGAAGCCCAGACGAGAAAAAGAGAGCGGTGACGTCTGCTGTCTTAAGCACGTGCGTGTTGCTGCCCCGGCTAGAAAAAGAGAAAAAACCCGGACGGAAAGCCGCGCTCTGCCTCTCCGAACCGAGGGCTCAGGCCGAGGGATTTCTGGCCAATGACAGGACAGGTTTTTAAGAGCAGACTCAACAGCGGCGTCACGTGCAGCTAGCTTTGCTCTTTCGGGTGGGGTTTCGATTTCGATTCTTGACGACAGCCAGCTCTAGGCTGAGCGGAAATGGAGACGTATTAATAGTCGTGAGGACACGTAGTCGGCGTGAGCGGACAGCAGCCGAACGGACGATGACCGAGCAGTGTCGAGAGGCGACAGTCGAGTATCGGCTGCTTGGACACGGCGGTGTCGAACGATTCGTCGCGCAGCCAATGGCGATTTTCTGGAACAGCATCAAATTGGCTGGCTCCTCTTTCTCCCCACTCCACCCCACCCTTGCACGATTGCACGGTAGCTCTCACGCCTTGGATGGAGCTGGTCGTCGCAGGGCCAGGATGGCGCTGAGCCGCAGCCGGGCCTTGGCCCCCCAGCCAGCAGGGCCGACGTCGACGTCCGGCCGCACGGCCACATACCAGCTCCAGGCGCGGCGGTCCAGCTCGGCCGGTGTCAGATGGTCGGCCCAGCTGTCGTAGAGCAGACGCAGGGCGCCGAGCAGCAGCGCAAGGTTGTCCTCTTTTTCCGCGTCCAGAGCCTTGACCGTCTTTCGCTTCTTAGACACCGCTCCCGGTGCTGCTCCCTCCTCAGCCGAGGCAAAGCTCTTGAGCAGGTACTGGCGTGCGGCCTCGGGGCGATGCGTGGCCATGCCGACCACAGCCGTGAGACTGGAGCCAGGCGTCACGGCCGTCGAGCTGCTGGTCCGTCCCTCCAGGTCCAAGGCCCACAGCGCCTCGCCGCCCAGGGTCACCTCGGCTCCGGTGCGACGCAGTCGGTCGGCCAGGGCACCAGTGACGCAGTTGCGCATCAGACGCCAGCGGTCAGGCCCCAGCATCGTTCCACCGTACCAGCGGGTCAGCACGACGAGGATGTCGACGGCGGCCAGCTCGGCCAGCACGCGCAGCATGAAGTCGCCACAGCCTGACTCGCCGTCGTCGTAGGCGTCCTGGCGCATCCGGTCGGCATAGTCGCTGTCAGGGCCGCCTGCACGAACGCGCGATGCCCAGGCGTTGTGTGTGGCCGTGAGCAGCCGTGGGTGGGCTGCTATCAGTCCGCGGATGAGGCCGGTCCGTTGAGTCGCGTCGGTCATGGTGGTGGCGTGGGCCACAAAGACGGAGCCGCGCAGCGAGATGGTCGAGCTGACGGACCAGACGCCAGGAGCAGGTCGAGAGCCTGTGGGTGGTGGTAGCTGTGATTCTGTTGCTGGTACTGTCTTTAATGAGGGTGTCTCTCCAGTTTCGGGTTCGTTTTTCTTCTCGTCCTTGTTGTCCCTCTGAACCTCGTCTACTCCCTCCACATCCTCCTCTCCTCGCCACGTGTACCCCCCTCGCTTCAGCACAGCCACCTCGCGTCCCATGATGCGAACGCGTGGCTGGCCAGCGCCCCAGTCGTCATCGTTGCTGTTGCCACGGCCGCTGCCCTCACCAGACCCCGAACCACGCCCTCGCTCCCGGGCGATCCCCAAACTGACAGCTTTGGACCGCGCATTGGCGCTGACGACAGCCTGGGCCAGGCTCAGTCGGCTCGACGGCGGCTGTTCCGGCATGGTGTAGCGCAGCAGCTCGACGGCAAAGGCAAGCAGGAGGGGAGCACGGTTGGTCAGCAGGACCGTAGCAGCCATCCGGTCGTCGTCTTCTTCTACGGCCAGATCCAGCGACTTCTCCAGGTCGGCCGGCGTCATGGCCACCGGTAGATAGAGCCCACCAGCCGCCGGTTGCGCAGGCGATGGCCGGGCCCGCTTGCTCTCGGCGCTGCTGCTATTGCCCTCTTGGCTTTCTTGGCTTCCGGCCGGCCGTTTGGTGCCAGCCATTCCCGCCTTGTCCATCTTCTTCACCGCCGCTTTGCAGCTCGTCTGCAGCGCCTTAGCACCCGCGACATCCTTGATGGCTACTTGCACAGCCTCCGCCGGGGCTTCGGCAATCTGCCGGATGCTTGTTGCCGAGTGTCAGCGCGAAAAAATTGCTTGCCTGGATTCACTCCTCTCACCTTCGCAGACTCGCCGCCTGCAGAGCCCGGACTTGGCTCATGGCCTGCAGGATCGGCAGCTTGCGCGTCGTCGTGAGCAGCCGCAGCAGCTCCTGCAAATCTTTCTCTGACGGCACTGACGCCATTCTGAGCGAAAATTGTGTCTCGAGATCTGTGCCGCACCGATGGACGACGTGTCGTATTTCCCAGATCTGGTCCAGAGAATGGCAGCCTGGACGATCGGCCACAGCTCTGGGTCCCACTTTTACCCCGAACGCTCCTTCCTGCTGGAAAGAAAATTGGAGCTTTCTTCTTCCAGCAGCTTCATATCCGGCAGTCCAGCTGCGGCTTTTTCATCACGACATCGACGGTCCGGTCGTTGGAAAGGCCGTCAAAGAGGCAGACTCAATTTGGCCAAGATCGAGGCATTGTGGTGCTGTACGTCCACCAATCGCACGGCTCGTTACAGCATAGACGAGGCAGCTGCTCTAGCCCCCACCCTCGCCAGAATCGACGGCATGGCTGCACTTTTCAATCGGATGGCAGTGCCGAAAGCAGCAGTTCTTTTGCGGAACCAAAGGTCGGCTCTGGTGCTGTCCGGAGGTGTCTTTTCTGTCTGGGCCGCTGTCGCCGCCAGAACATGCCGGCCGCCATGCTGCTCCTCCCACCGGTTGCTCTTCCAGGCGACACAGCCTCGCTACCGCAAACCCGGAAGTCGACCGAATGGCCGTCCAGGACAAATAAGCCACGGAACCTCTGGAGTAGTTCCTGGAGTAACTCCCAAAGTGCTTTCCGGTGCCACTCCAGCCGGTCGTCAACCGTCACAGCCTCCTACGTCTGCACCCGCTAGTCGGGGCAAGCTGAAGTCTCCAAGGACCACGTCTTCTTCTTCTTCTTCTTCTTCTTCTCAACCTCTTCCCTCCATCCTCGCTCAACGTCGTCTCCCCCTCGTGGGTGCCGCCCTTGCTGCCGGCGTCCTGGGCTTCTACATCATGCCCCTTCTCGTCACCTACCTCACGGGCGGCTGCAATGACGACGATAGCGCCGCCGCCACCGAGCACAACCACAACCATAGCTCCGATTCCGTGCCCTCAAGCCTGCCTCCCATGGATGCCGCCGCCTTTGACGCGTCGTTGGACGTGCCCGAGCGCATGATGGGCATCACACAGCTACGCCGCCAGCTGGCTGCCGAGGCCCAGGGCGACGTGCTCGAGGTCGCCGTCGGTACCGGACGCAACCTCGGTTACTATTCGTGGGACAGCAGCAAACAGGATCCTCACGTCACCTCCTTCACCGGCGTCGACCTGTCAGCAGACGCGCTGACCGTCGCCCGTCGGCGACTCCGATCGTCCGTACCCGGCGCCAAGGCCGTCATCCGGAAGCGGCCGCTGCCACAGGAACCCACGGCTGCTGCTGCCGATGCTGTCCCCATCAAAGACCTCCCTGTTGCCGTCCTCGACGTCCTCGACAGCCGCCTGAGGCTGCTCCGGGCAGACGCCATGCAGCCGCTGCCGCTCCCATCATCGTCATCTCCTGCCTACGATACCGTCGTCCAGACCTTCGGCCTCTGCTCTGTCGCCGATCCTGTCGCCTTGCTCGCACACATGGCCGCTGTCCTCCGTCCCGACACTGGCCGCATCCTGCTGCTCGAGCACGGTCGCGGCCGCTGGTCTGTCGTCAACAGCCTGCTCGACCGCTATGCCTCTCGCCACTTCTCCCGTTTTGGATGCTGGTGGAACCGCGACATCGACGCCATCCTGGCCAATGCCGCTACTGCCGTGCCCGGCCTTGAGGTCGTCGCCGTCAGTAGACCCGGTTGGTTTCAGTTCGGCACTCTCTGGTGGGTTGAGCTGCGCGTCAATGCAGCCTAGAAGTTTTGAAAACATTGCACATGCAGACTTGGAAATAGAAGATAGAAGATAGACCCAAAAAGTAGATCAACAAACAAATAGACGCTTTTTTTGCTTTCAGTCTTGGTACATACTGGCAAATGCCTTTTCATATCCAGCCATTTCCGTGAGACCACTCAGGCCCTTTTAAATCAAATCGCCTCTACCCGTTTTCCCCTCCCCATGCCTCGATCACATCTAAATGCAGAAGAAGCAGGCCAAACACGCGCGGACAGCAACCAACGCAAAAACAAAGATAATCGTACAGGCCACAAAGCCAAGACGCGGCGAAAAGAGGAAGACGGAAAACAAGGTATCATGGCCCAATAGCTTTGTCCCGCTAATCTGCCGAAGTCCACCGCCAAAAGCTGTGTGCTTGCCCCTCTTTGTTTTAGCGCCCCATCAACGGGAAGAGAAAGCTCGTCACAAACTTGCGCTTTCACACACAATGCCGACTTTTATCTGCAGCCGAATTCCGGTCGTTTCGCTCGCCGTTCAGTCTTCGTCATGTCCATGTCGACACACTGCTCGCAAGAGAGGATTGGTAGAGATCGAGAAAGGAGGAGGAGAGAGTGTGTGCAAGAGAGAGGAGAGAGGGGTATGGGAATGTTCAGAGTCGAGGTAAGAGACGAGGGAGATGAGTGATGCATGTGGAGCAGACCGGAAAAGACAGAAAAACAGAAACAAAGTCGGGAGATGTCCCCCGTTCGCCATAAAACGCCTCAACCCAAAATGACAATAGAACCTCTCCCAAATAAGCAGATCGCAATCTTCTTCGCCAAAATCGGTGCCGTCTCATGTGCGACAGCGCAGTCATTACAACCGACGGGGCGTTATCTTGCCCACGTCTTGCTCTGATCAACAGAGGTCCTCCAACACCGATCGTGCAGAACGCACACACGGAAAAACACAGCGTCCAATCGATGAACGAGTGATAGATTAAAAGTCGTCGAGGAGGCCGTCGAGCTCATCGAGCTCAATGTTTTCCGGACTGCGGTCCCAGTCGAGCAACGAGTCGAGCTTGGCCCAGCCATCAGACTCGGACTCTTTCTTTTGGCCCAGCACAAAGGTAGGCCGCATTGCCGGACTGGTCGTGCCCGATAAGCCATTGACGCTGTTCACAGACATGTGCCGCGACTCAAAGCCAAACAGCACCGACTCGTCGCGTGCCGCATCGTCCATCTCAGTGTTTTGGCTAGAATGAAGTGCGTCGGTTGCCGACGGCGAGACCACATTTGGTGATGCCGACGGCATCAGCAGTGCATGGCCGGCAAGCTTGCGTTTCTGCAAGCCCTCCGCCGTCTGTGTAAACTCCTTCTCATCCTTCTCCAGCGGTGGCGATGCACCGCGCTGGTTGCGTGGCACATAGCCGCGGTGTGACGCGTGGGAAAAGCGGAGAGATGACGAGCCGATGGGAGTGCCGGGCATCGGAATGTCATCGTCGACATCATCGAATTCTGGCGACGACAGATCCACCTCGGGCGACGGGCTCAGCTCTCGCCGACGCTCCTCTTCGGCCGACTCTGACCCCGATGCGGCACTCGACAGCGGCGGCGTGATGATGCTGGTGCGCGGAACAATAAAGGCAGGCGACGAAGCATCGGGAAGAGGGAGGTGGGCACAGGTCGTGAGAAAATAGTATGTCCGCCGCGGGTGGATGGTCTCGAGCTCCTTCGCCAGGGGACAGCGCATGGAAGCTGACCAGGTCGGCCGTTTCATAAAAGTTGCCAAGCGGGAGGAGATGATGGCGCACGGATTTGCTGACCTGTTGGGGCAGATCCGTTAGCACCATGCAGATGATATGACGGTGAGCGGCACAGCAGGGGAAATGAACATGGGAAATACGAAATGAGGGAAATGAAGGGCAAAAAAGGTGGACACATACTGCTGAACAGATCGGAGATGCTGCATCAAGATAGCCGAGAGCTCCTTGATCAGGTGAGGCCGATTGCCGGTGGCCAGAAGCTGGAGAATGACAGCTTCGACAATATCGTCGTTGATGGCATCGATGTCGATTTCAGTCTCGGTCGCCAGCGCATCCGAGTCATCCATCTCTACGGAGAGACGGCGGCTGTGTTTGGGCGAAGGCGGCGGAGTGGACGCCGGGACATTTGCGCCGACAGCGGTTGCCGTAGAAGCCAAAGAGGATATGGAGCTAGAGCCGTGCGAGCGCTTGACTTTTTTGTTTGGGTGGCGATGCGAAGCGTCGGATGGAGCCTCGTGGATGGCTGAGGAAGGAGGGGAGGGATGGCGGTGTGTGGAGGACAGTGCCGGCGATGCAGTGCCGCGGGTGTTGTTGTGACCCTGGCTTGCCGACGGACGGTGCGCAGAGCGGGCAGCGTGCGTAATGGGCACATGGATGCCCAATGACGGCAACGACAACGACTTGCGACGAGTATTGTACGGCATGGTGGGCAGACTCATTACTCCGTACAAGGAAGTAGCAGAAAGGAGGGGAAAAGAGGGCGGGAGGATGCAGGGCGAGAAAAAAAAAAGAAAAAGAAAACAAGTAAAAGTTGGTAGACAAAAGGAGAGAGAAGAGATGAAGAAGAGGCAAAAAAGAGGAGACAGTAACAGAAACGGTCAGTGGTCTGTTCGTGTCTATGCGCCTCGGACTTCGCGTTGGACGGAGAACGGAGATGTCGGGTAAGGCGTTCGTGATGGCTTAAGGGAGGCAAAAAAGGCTTCACTGTTGGGGGAAACTGTTGGGGACCGTGGGAAGATGCTTTTATCAAAAACTCCTGTCTGTCTGGCTCCCAGGTCTCTCTTTCCTGTTCTGCTAAAGCGATGTGGATGGAATAGGCAGGCGCAGCGTTTGGCTCTCGAACACAACGTCCCTTCCTAATTTGTCAAGTGTTTGTCAAGTGCGAAGTCGCTCTTGGGTCTCGATGTGTAAGGAAAGGAAGGGAAAGGGGGGGGGAGGGGATGAGACGGTGAAATGTGGTATGTCGTATGGTGATGGGCGGTGGCGGCGGCGAGAGGTTGCAGGCAGAAGGGGTAACCAAAAAAATAAAATAAAAAAATAAAGGGCCAGGCGTCACCGTTGGTTGTCGCGGCGCGGCCGCGGTGGTAACTAAGCCTGCAGGGTGCAGGCAGGGCGAGACAGGGGGTGTACGGAGGAAGGAACGGGTGGCACTGTGGAAGCTGAGAAGGGAGGAAGGGGGCGGGAATTTCTGGCACATCAGTCACAGTACGGAGTACGAAGCACCAATAACTCACTGTCCAATACAGCACAGTGATAGTGGGCCCCGGGAACTCGTAGAATGGGAAGCCAGCGAATCAATTGCGTTTGAAGTAATAATGAAAATGGAAACCTTTCTCCAGACCCTTCCGAGGTCTCCTGTTTTTTTTTTCTCTCAGAGTTTTTTTCTTCCTGTACTCCGTACGGTACAGAATCTACGGGGGCAGAGCTGTAGCTTTTTTTTACGGGGCCTTGGGCGACAGGGGGTGGGAAAGTTTTTCGCTCTCGGCCTAGGCCAAAATTTTCCCATTTGGGGGAGGAAGTGGGGATTTCTTCTTTTTTTTTCGCCCTCCTGTATGATTATACACAGTAGTACAGAGTAGCTTACGAATTATGTATTATGTACCCTATGTACATACGTCCTTTGCAATGCGAGGTCGAAATGAGCACGAAGACGACTAGCGGGTCGTTTTTTTTTCTCGGTCTTCCACTATTCTCCTTCCTAGTTGACGCATGGAATGTCCCGGGTTAGAATAAACAGTGCTCACGGAATATTACGACCACCTAATCTCGTTGCAAACCTCTGGGAGGGGCTGCAGTCGCATGGGACCAGTTGGTGGTACGAGCGCTGTAACGAAGGCAGCCCCCTTGACGGGACGGGCTTGAGACTCGTCCTCCCTTGCTTCGACCAATGGTTTGTGTTGCTTAGCGGGCGCAGGTGGAAGAAGTGCAGCACGAGCCGATACATAGTAACAAGTTCGTGTAGTCAAAGGCTTAGCCAGCGAAAAGGTGGGCGGGCTGTGCAGAACAATTGGTTACAAAGTAGAACAGAGGTCGTATTGGAAAGGAAGGTGGAAGCCTGGACTAAGGGTCCGCAGTAGTCGTGTATATAGATTCGTGGTATATACTCGTTGCAGGAATAAGAGGATGGAATATGCATGCAGCACCATGCAAGCCTGCGCTGTACAGCCTAAGCGCATCAGATAATACGCAGAGTACATAAGATACAAACAACTGAATGTGTCGCACATATGCCTAGCCGCAAGCTCCACAGTGCCACGATACGGACGGCGTCAATCGTGGAGACAGATTGCATCTGCCATCCTCCTTTTTCTGGCGGTTGGAGGCGATTAGAAGAAATGGCAGACGGCTGGGATCGGGTGGGGAGACTTATGTCATTGCGCCTCTCACGACTGCCTATTTTCTCCGGACCTGCCATCCCTAACTAGCATGCACAGTGCTAGATCTCTGCGGCAGTCGCGCTGCGCACTTTGTTCAAAACAGGCATTTCTCGAATAACCTCAGCCAACCAAAGCACACAAAAAACGTTAGCTCGCGCAGGCAGATTCTAGGATGCTGCATTACGTGAGTACAACTTGCTGTCGGAACGAAAGCTTAACAGGACAGAAGTTCTGTTTTCTCACCCCCTTTGTTTTCTTTTCTTTGTCTTGTCTTTGGTTTTTTATATTATCCCAGCGTCCGTCGCCCGAAGGAGCGTTTATCTACGCTGAAATCACATTTTATCCCCATCAGGCAGCTCGCAGACATCATGAGAAAAAGATCAGCGCATTGCATACAGCGTATCTTACGAAAGACTTGAGAGGTTTCGTACTTGCTGATTCGCGTCCTCCGTCAGATCTATCCCTCGTGAATATCTCTTTCCACGCTTTGTTGCCACGAGGAGAACCTGGAGCCAAATTTTGAATGCCGTCTTTGATTTATTCCCACTAATTTCTTTTTCACCCCGTTTTTTTGCTCTCTTTCATTCGGCGAAGAAACATAGCCCCCACCTGAGGAGCAACTAGGATGTTTACATCATAAGTTGGTACGGAGTATGTATACGTCGTATGTGACGTAGAAAATGATAAAGCAAATAGGCGGTGAGTCGTGCACGCAGAAAGTCAATACACCATTACGCTAATACTATATCTCTACTTCGCACTCCATTACTCCGTACTGACGTCGGCTACGCCTTCTACGATACGATGCCTCTCACGTACTGAGAAATCGGTGGTGCGCACTCCAAAAGAAGCACCAAAATCCTCTGCCGCGAGAAGGCAAGTCTAAGTGGGATGTTGCCGGTTCACGTGACAATATCCACTTTAAAGACACCAATCAGGGTGGAACAATTCCTGCCTTTTGCCCTCACTTACACACATGTATATAGAGCACCCTCTTCTGTCATTTCGTAGTGAGAGAAAAGGGTATGGAATAATCTTCTTAGAGAAATAAGAAAGTCGCCTACGCTTTCACGAGAGCTTATTTTGTTATCCCGTGCGGGATTCTAAGGTGAGCCCGCAAGGCTTTTTCCTCTCCCTCAGACTAGCCGTCTGTCACCGACCCTCCCGACCAAGGGAGGTCTTCAAGCACAAATGAGAGGGTGGTTGGTAGGTTTGCGTGGTTTGGTTAGTTGAGCTAAGGCCTACCCGATCTCTTCCCTCAGTACTACGTTTCATGCCTTGATTATGTTTCTTTTTTCCTTTACGCTCTGTTTTGACACGTTTGAATATGGGCGGTAGTAGGGGGTTCAACAACAGTACCTTCATGCTCTTTCATTAGTTTAGAAATAAAGCGATAACCTCGTTCGTTGCTTCATCATGCGCAGCAATAACTTTCCCGCAAAACGGATGATCAGGTAGCCGTAACTCAATAACTGCAATATTCCCAGTATTTTCATTATTTTTTAAAGAATAACCCCCCCGAAAGCCGTTGCTAAGGGCGATTGTTACGAGCGTTTTCATCTTCCAGGTTCCCCGTTCTGATAGTGCTTTTACCAGAGTACCTCTAGCAACAGCCAACTGCGTTGTTTGTTCCCGGAGTTATTGGTGATACTCGGTCGTTACTTTATGGCTTCTACTTTCTAGGATACTCCACTTTGCGGTTACGAGAGAGACATCTACTACGTTGAAATAAAAGCAAGAAACGAGGTTTTCGTCAAAATAAGAACTATATTTAAAAAGCATATTGTGAAAGTCCAGACTAACAAAATCAATATAAAGTTGCTATGTACAGAGTGAAAAAAGCCTACACAAGGCTCCAATGCTAAAATGGTGCGTAGCAGTGCTCTGAAAGAAGCAGCATGGGCACGGAGGACCTGAAAGCATTATAAGCTCGTAACAACTTCCTTTCCTTCTGATCCCTCTTTTTGTCAAAACCCGGCATATGCTCAAACATGTCACACTACAAGTAACACACAGTCAAGGAAGCCGATTGATGATCTTGTTTGTTAAATAGTGGGCGTGGGTGTGTTGCTCAACTTGTTTGGCTACCACGACTGTATTATGAAAATTGTAGTTTTAGATGCCTGGTCTAAACAATCGACGTAGGCGATATCATTTCCATAAAAAAAAAATATGGCATGCCAGTCTGCTCAGACTTTTGAATGAGTCATATTTATTTAGAGAAGATATATGATATCGAGAGACTATATCGGGCGGGCTTACGTTGGTGGTGAATGTCTATGCGGGTTTCAATCTGAAAGCACGCAAGACTATGGCACTGTGCCAGCTTGTAAAAAGTACGGAAAAGATGGAACTTAGTATATCGTTCTCGTTCCCTCGTCCGTGTGCATGGCGGCCCAGTGCACTTGCTCTATAGGTGCCAGATTCCAGCAGACGTGGAGAAGGTTATTGAGGCGTTTAAAGATTGGGCTATGCTCTCGTCTTACGACAGAGCAGCCTCTCTCGGCCAATGCAACCTCATGAGAAGAACCCCTAGCACGGGACCTTTCCAGCACACACACCTCCAGCCTGATAGCTACTGCTTCATAGCCAAGTGCGAGAATCTAGTGTCCAGTCCTCCAAAAGATGGAAATCGTTCGATGGAGTCGTCATCGCAGCCCACATGTTTATACCAATTTGGGAGAGACGACAGCACAGGATTTGTTTGGTGATGGCTTACTTGATTCTGCTAAAGCGGTGATTCTTCCTTTTACAGACTCACCCGATGAGACAGAGTCCCCATTTCTTTTCTTTCTTCCCACAACAGACATCGGTCGCCCGATGGTTGATGATAGGGCGACACGCTGCTTAGACGGCGGCTTGTTTTCAATAAAAGTTTCGCCCTTCTAAAAAGTACTTTTACATCAAGTTTGCCATGTCATTGCTCCGCCAGCACCGACAGGAGGTGCCCGGGCATCTTGATGATCTTCAAAACTTGCCCGACTCTACCAAGTCTCTGGGCGTCGCCCGGGCCGTAAATGAAATGATCTGTTCTGTACCAGTTTGCACGGTAAATCAGCTGTCTCACATGCGAGGAGGCTGACCGGTTCTGCGGTGTTTCTATCGGCAGAAAGTGACGACCAGGCAACGACATTGGCAATTGTAGCCAGCACGACAGTCAGCCAGATTGCGCAGGATCCATACGTTTCTGACAATGAAGATGAGGAGGACGATAAGAGGTTTTATTTGTCATCACATTCTCCTCTACGTTTGGCACAATGTTGTTCCAGCTAGGACATTGTCCGGTTGTGGTGGCAACATCGTGCAGCTCTTATGCTGTCACGCTTAATTCATCTCGTCAAGGCTCAGATTTGTTAATATTCGACAGCAGCTTCTATTCTGTGTATTATCGGCACTGTGGCGACATACTGCTCATCCCTAAAACGTCGTGATGTGCTTCTAAGGCCAGCTTAAGAATGCAACACCTTCAATCACCGCACAAACTGAACCCAGCTCCATCGTACCGTCCTCACTACGATACTGTAACCCGGATGCAGGCTCGCATACGTTTGATACTAGCACAGCTCGGATACCTCTCAGGGATTATATACACAACGACCGTAATGGCCGATATTATCTATTGTTACAGTATCAAACACCTGGCTCTCATCGTCCCTCTGAGAAGAGCACCATGCATAGCCTGCCTTGTCGAGACTTGACCGTCTATCCATACGGTGTCGTTTTCCCTCGAAGACGCCTTCTGTTTTTGTTGCAAGTAGAATTCCACTGCAGCCTCCAGTCTCTGATAACGCCATTTCCTCTGGTTCCACATCCCATACCCCCCCGACACAATTAGGTGGTGGTAATTGTCGCTGACAAAATCAAAAGCCAAAAGCTCGGAACCCGGCCCCGGCGACTGAAAAGTTTGGCTTTCACAATTGGTTCGAATGGTGCGCAACTGCCGAGTGCACTGGTCTATGAGCGAGTGACAAGCGACGCAAAGCGCTCTGATACCTGTGAGCCCGTTAGTAATGGCCGTAAGCAGGTAAAAGAAGGAATGTTGCGCCTTACCTCAGGCGCCAGCTTGAGAGACGGTATGTCAAAGAAGAAATATCTCTCGTTCTTCACAAGCTCGATGATGACGACCAGCAACCCCCAAGGCTGCGGCCAGTAGTTAACAATTCGTTCAAAGAGGACCCGGCATATCTGCTCGCGAATCTCTGTCTCCTCTGGCTCTGTCAAGTTGTGTCCGAACAGCTCAAAAAGCGCCTGACCAAAGAAGCTTGTGTGGGCATTGGGATACCGCAGCTGGTTCACCATGCTGAACACGAAGAAATAGCGGCTCTCCGCCGGGAGCTCATGGAGCACCATCGACACCGTGGCCATGTCTGGTGCGTCCGCTTGGAAGACCGGACCGCCGCCCTGTGCCCGTGCTACCGCGTGGTTGCCAATGTAGAGCACCACTGCGTCCACGACGGAGATGTTGGTGTTGAGCGGAGTGTTCCCCCACATGGCCTGTTTTCTATCCGTCTTGCAGATGGCATGCTTGATGTGAGCCACAATCTCCTCTGTCGGCCCCGTCTCCAATGCCTGGTCAAGCAGTGCCGTCAGTCCAATATGAGAAAGAACTGGTACTGGGTCGTAAGAGATGACCGGGGATGCAATGTTCACATCCTCTAAGCTGTCAAGACGCACTCCCGGCTGTTGTGGATCGGGAAGCTTCGTGATGTTGTTAGGCGTGGAGAAGAGAATGATGTTCAGAAGCTGTCCTAGGTACGGTTGGAGGCCCTGGCAAAGCACAACGTGGTTGGCAGCAAGGTACTCGGGGAAGTCGTGGTACAGAATCAGGAGAAGCTTCACCGCCGCGCGGTGCAAATCCTTAATGGCCGCGGGCACTTCCGATGTCTTGAGTTGCTCGCCAATGAAGACCAGCATCTGCTTGAGGATCTTTGTGAACGCGGCCCATCCAGCGTTGTTCGGTATCCGTAGCAATGCCGGCATGAATTCTCTGTGCTTGATGAGCTCCGTCCAGGCAAAGACGAAGAAGGGAAAGGTAGCCGGCCCAAGATCGTTGAAGCGCGTTGCAAACCTCAGAAAAATCTCGTTCAGATCCGCGTCCGAGAGGCGATCCGAGATATGATCGATGGTGAAGAGCAGCATGGAAAAGAGACGGAAAAAGACACGCTGGTTGAAGGCGTCGCCGTGCTTCACATAGTGATGATTCACCATCATGACGGCCAGGGCCAGAATCGAGTCGGTCAATTCGGCGCGAGCCGAGCCTGAAGAACCCTCAGCATCGGCAGAGGCCTGCAAGTAGACGGCAATAAGCTTCGGGATCGAGTCGATGGCAGCATATGCCTCTAACATGGTACCGCCTGCCTGCGAGACGAGCTCAAATCTCTCCACAGACTTGTCGACGGCGACTCTCAGGAAGCAAAACAGGTCCTCGCGGCCTGACACGATGCGCTTTGCCCTCATCTGCTCAACGAAGATGAAGGGGATGCTGTCGGGCACATGTGGCTTCTGGCAGAGGTGAACCCATTCATCAAAGACGTACTCGATCTGGTCTTTGCGGTAAGAGCTGATCGCTCCCTGTGACGGGTCCGGCGATGGGGGCTGCGAAACAGGCGCAAGAACTTTGGCCTTGAAGTCCTGGCCACCGGGCACGTCGGACTCATCGTTGACCCAAGCCCAGGCTTCTGCCAGACTGTACACAAAGTCGGCATACAGAGCCAGTGGAGTCTCACCGATGAGCGCAAGGTCCAAAAGCCGCATCAAGAACATGATCGACCCCTCCTTCCTCTGCTTCAGAGCTGCGGCCATGGCTGCGTCGATGTTTGGCCAGTCCAGCAGATCGGTACCACGCAGGGCTGAGACAAGCGGCAGGTTCAGAAAGACGTGTGCTGGTTGCGAGTGAAAGAACTGGATGACGCGGTTGCTCAGCGACGGGCTGGTGGCGATCTTGCGAAGCGTTTCCAGCACATGGACGAGACTTTCCAGAGCTAGGCTGTCCTCGAGCTGGGAAACCAGCGCCTGGCACACCTGCTCGGCAGCATAAAACACAAAATCCTCCGCTGACTGCTGTGCCTTGATGATTGTCTGCACCAGAGCATCCACCACATCCAGAACCGGGTGCGGTCGAGGCAGGTCCGAGAAATGTTCTTCCGTGGCCTCGGTAGCGGCCCGCTGCAGCTCGACTACCAACTTGGAGATGCGGTCTGTAAGAAGCCGCACATCGACCGTTGGTACCGATTGTCGCCCGTTCACCATGGCTCCTGCAACACCGGCACCTCCCACGCCATTATGCACATGCGGATATTGCTGCATCTGCGAGCCCAACGACACAGCTGAGGGTGTCTCGACCGGAGTGGGCACGTTCGTCAGGGACCCATATTGGTCTTGGAGCACCTCATTTGCCAGCGACCGAGTGGCGTCCGAAGCCGATTGCACGTGCGAAGCGGAAGCAACACCCGCTGTCGTTGGCCGCGGATGGCGAGCAAAGTCGTCGTAGATAGCCATCTGCTCGCTGTTCAAGCCGTTCAGGTTGGGGCTGAGCTTGAAAGGGTTGGGAATCGTCATGGCCCACCGGCTCAGAGAAGAGTCCACGTACGGATCGTTGGGACGCTGAATACGGTGACGACGCCGCATCTCCAGTTCGGGTTCGATCATCTCCTGGATCTCAATGACCGCACGGTCCTCTGTCGCTTTCTCAATCACGCCCGATGCCAGGTCCAGATTCGAGTTCACACACATGATGATTGTGCCCTCGGGAAGACCCTGGGGATTGTCGCTCGAGAGAGAGCGCATATAATTGGTGAAGTTGGCTCGGAGAGGCTCTTTCGAGGTTACCAACGCAAGGCTGCCAGCTGTCGCTTTGACCATGTTGATCGCCGATGTCCGGACACGGTTCTCATCCGGCTCTGTAGCGAAATCTTTGCGAATCATCTGTTGCGTGGCAATCGCAGCGATGGCAACAGAACGGTCGACAACTGGTTGGATAATGTCCTGCAGTGCCCGGATGAGGGCGTCCTTGACAATCTCCTCCAGACGTGAAGCCGCGATAACCATGTCGCTGACGGAGGGCACATTCACTTTCGTGATGAGATCGGGAATCATTTCCAGCATCGCATTCGAGACCACGTTCGGGCCCAAGCCGTGTGAAGACATGCCGGCGCCGACGCCACCAGGTACGAGACCGTTCAGCGAAAGATTGTCAAAGGCCTCCATCGAGTCTGGAGGAAGTTCTGAGGCTTCAGCTACCCGAGCCAGAATTTCGCCAGATGGTTCGATGCTCTTGTGGTCGATGTTGAGAGTCTGGCAGAGTACTTCAATCTCAAACTTCAGATTCAGCTTGAGTTCGGCATTGTGGTACAAATCGATTAAAAAGTGGACAATTTCCATCAGCCAAGGATTGGGTGGCTTGAATACGTTGGAGTGCTCGCCTTGACTGAGCACTTTGCAAACGAATGGAATCGCCACAATCAACCGCTTTGTATCGTGCGCTTCGATCAGCAACTGCTTGAAAGCGATATTTCTCTGCCGGATAGGCTTGTCGCGCGCAAGAGTCAGAAGACCTAGCCAGCCGCCCAAGTTTTTCAGATGTGCCCTGTCCGAGGAATTCTGCAAAGTTGACTCTGAGTTCAGCATGCGCGCAACGCTGATGTAGGTCTCCCGGAGAATCTCTGCCCACAACGACTTGTCTTCAAAGTGGCTGACGAGCTGCAAGTAGACTTTGTGATAGTTCGGCTGCATCTTTGCCCGCTCTTCAACAAGGTGGCTGGCAAACCACTGCTGATGCTTGAATTCGAGCATCGGGCGAATCTCCAGAAACATGGCCTGCAGAGTGCTCGCAGTGATATTGTTGAGCACAAACTGAACCTTGCCCTGAACGTCGTTACTCGGATCCTCAAAAACGGCATTTGGGGGAGGCGGGTCGACCACAACAGAAGCGAATGGCAGATACTGTGGCTCTGCGACAGACGGTTCGTCGCCACTTCCATTGGTCAAATGCTCGCCAGAAGCAGGCGCCCCCTGAATTCCGGCAATCCCTGCGCCCTCGTCCGTCTCCCGGATGATCTCATCGGCTTTTTTCCAGGCTTCGGTCCCCCGCAAGCTTGCACACTGCAAAAGTTGGCTACAGAACCCCGGCCACTCTCTGAACCGAGAGTAGAGCTGCATGAGGGCTTGCATGCCAAACTTGAACATGGGGTGATCCTGCTTGTGCTCCTTGACTGCTTCGAGAATCATACCCAGGCCAACCTTGAGAGGTAAGTCCGAGATAAGCTTATGCGAGATGAGGCCGCCAAAAAGAACCGCGGTCGTGGCAAGAGCCTCAAGCGGGTAATCGCCAAAGTGGCTGTACTCTTCGAACAGACTGTTAATCATGCAGGCGAACACATCCTGCTCCAGAGGATCCTGTGAGTGCTTATAGTGGTCCATTATACCAACGACCTCTCGGACTTCGATCTCGTTGCTGTACATTTTCTTGAAGTGTTCCTCCATTTTCGAGTTCGCTTCCTGCGGTAGATTGTGGCTGTCTTTCTCGCTAGCTTCGATAATTTCGTCAAAACCTTCGCCATAGTTGATCAGGCGAGGATAGATGGCGATGCACTGGCGCTGGAGCATGACAAGCTCGGGAATTGGAGTCTTTGGCAGAAAATCTTCAAGAATATTGAGCAGGGCCGATACCGTTCGCACTTTTAGCGGGACATTTGTTTTGGTCGGAGTGGGCTGGCCATCGCCGCGCTGAGATTCCAGCTCAGACTTTATTAGAAGAAACTGCATCAGCGGTCTTGCGATCTCGGTACTGCGATCAGCATTGTTCTTAGCCCATTCCGCCAAGTCGACGTAGCCCTGGCCGTGTGCATAGGCCACCAGATCGAGCCCGAATCCGTTTGGCAGGTAGATTAGTTCATTGAGCCAACCGTGCTTCACGGCATACTCAAATATGAGGGGTAGCTCTCCAGGCTCGGCTGCGTGTGCCTCGATAAGCCTCTCCATAACCCATTCTTTGTCCTTTCTCCACAGACTGTCGAAGACGAAATCCCAGTTTGGTTGGCGTTTGTAGAGGAAGTTTTCGAACAGAGAGTTTAGCGTTTCAACAGCAGTTGCTGGCCACGGCTTCGGTACACCAAAGGCAGAGACAACAAAGATGTCTAGATTAGGAATTACAACCTTTTGGAACAACCGTCTGGCTTCAACATTTGTGGAGGCATGCTGGGAGGGGAGGGCGACGTGAAAGATGGCAGAGATGGCGGCCAGAGAGACAAGAGGGTGCTTCACTGCTTCGGCGGCACGTTCTTTCACTTCGGGCGGAGCCTGTGCATAGTCGTCCAGAGAGAGGGTCGGTTGAAGACCTGGAATCGTGGTGGCATCGAGCCGATCGGCCGATAGGGACGTGAATGCGCAAATGAAGGAAAGTTGCGCATCAGGGTTCTCCCAATTGCCTCCCCAGAGATGCTGGATATCAAGCGCCCGGGAATCGTCTCTCGCGATCGGAGCGAGTGCATTGTAAAGCCGGAGGAACTGTGATGGAGACACCCGAGCTGTGCGCTGGTCAAAGTAGGTGATCACATTTTGCCATCGGAAGGAAGACGGTAGGATGCGTCGCAAGGCAGCTACCAGAACGGATGGGTTGTATGTCGGGGATTGGCTGACAGCCGAGTATGTCAAGGCAACCGATACCGCCTCTTCGCCAATGCCAGCAAGCGCCCGGTTCTGCAAATACGATACGCACGTGTCCTCGTCTCGGGCGAAGTCTGCTCCGGTCTTGTGCATATGGAGGGCTAGAATGTTGGCCGGCTTATCGACCAAAACACGCATCAGATCCAGAGCAGCCAGGGCCTCAGGCGGAGGTCCGAGGTCGACACGTTCGTAGCGCTGGGTGACTTTGAACATAAGCTCTGACTTGGCGGCGCCGTTGAAATTGGGAGGATGTAGCTGTATGAAGCGGTCGACAATGACAGAGACAAACTCTGGTCCAAGGTCTTCATGATCACCATCTGGTTTGGCCAGGATGTTGACAAAAGCGGAAAAATTTCTGGAAAGGATGGCATCCGCTATTATCAGAGTGCCGGTTAGCGAGACACACACAAGAGAAAGCCACGGCATATGCCGAGGAACTCACCCTTGGTCTTCAGGTCAGAGCGGGGGCCCAGCTTGAAGGCCAGAGCTAGTATGGTCTTCTCTAAAGCATCTAGTTTGAAATACTCCATAAAAGTCGACAGATCGAAGTCCCGGAAGATATCCTCAGTACCAGCCTCGATAGATTCGGCGATCCTGCGGGCCTGCTCAGGTTCGTGTGATATCTTCTGCATTTCAGCTGTCAAGAGCTGGTAGGTTCCCGGAGTACCCCCTGGCCTGTTAAGGCCAGGGAATATTTGGGAAGCACTACTAGCTACGAGACGAGCGAAGTACTTTGTGAACACTTCCATGCCGGACTCATCGATAAGCTGCAGAACAACGGTTAGCACCGAGGGCCCCGCGGCCGAGGGCCAGCGACAGGGAAATTTTGTGAGAATGTGAGCCCCGGACGAAGCTGAGCAGGAGGTGTAACAGAAACAGATATAGCAAACATTGGAAACGTAAGCAAGCACATGAAGCTTCCTGGGAGGTAGTGCAAGGACAGGGAGGGTAGCGCCAAGCCGAAGGAAATGCTGCGACTTGACAGGCAACAACGAGAGGAAGTTCGCATTGCCTGCGTGGAATTCCTAAAGGCAAGAACGTGACTGACCTTTCTGAGTTGTTCCCACTTTGAAGAGTCGTCCTTTTCCTCCTTGATGCTGCTCAGAAGAACAAACACCTGGGCGATGACGATCTTGGAGACGGACGTCGTACCGGTAGGGCTGCCGGTGATTGGGCTCGCGCTCAAGCCTGCGGTCTGTGAGGGATGAGGTGAATGACTGCCGCCCGTTTGTAGGGATTGGGCAGGGTTCGGAGAAAACGTTCCTGCTCTGGGTGGTGGGACCATGGAGGAGGGCTGATGGGGGGGATAAGAGAAGGTGCTGCTTCTATCCAGAAACCGGACAGGAGCCACTTCCTCACCCAATGGAAGAGAAGAGAGAAAGGGGGGAGGGAAGAGAGACCAGCGATGGACACAGAGGCGCTAATGGTAAGCCGCCGGACATGGACAGTGTTGGCCGTATGCAGTGATGTTGGCAGAGCAGAGACGAGGGACGAGTTCAAGGGAGGGGGGGCCGAAAAGCCGCGACAGTGCAGAGACCGGGAAGCAGGTGGGCGGGACACGAGACAGGCAGGGACCTGGAACGGGAGGATACGTCAGTCTCGGACGAGGTGGCGGAGCAGGAGGCGGTCGTGAGGGCGATAGAAAAAAGCGACTCGGCCGGAAGCGACTCACGGCGGACGACAGGTATGGTTCTTGTCACAGAATTAGCTCGGGATCGTGGCGAACAGCTTTTCGGAGGAGGGGAAGCGAAAAGAACAGCGGCCAAGTGTGCAGATGGACAGTTACCAGAGATGCGGTGAAAGAGCGCTGCTTGTCGGCAATCGTAAGGCGGCGATGGAGAAAAGAGAGGTAATGATGGAAAGTTTGTTTGGGTAGATGGTTTTTTTTACAGTTTTTGGGGCGGACGTGGAGGTAGACGCAGGCCTTGCGGTTGCTGCCAATTAGGTTTGGATCCCTCTCACCAGGGCGCGCTTTGGCTATGGGATGGTCAGAAGAGGGGAATTGTGTGCCTGAAATCAAAGGCATCAGAGGAAGCCCCGGCAGCTGTTGGCCAATGAGAAGCCGTACAGCTGCAGCTTGGGCCAGCTGCCACCAGCTAACACCTCGCAGGGCAATGCTTTCCAGAGCCAGAGCCGCATGTGATACAGAGCACCGAGTGTTCTGGCCGGCTCTCTAGAATGCGTGGTCACTCATCTATAGGCCTACGCAACGAGTTTTCCATGCAGAGCCGTGTGACAATCGTGTAACCGGCTGTCCTGCGCGCACGCCATTGATCGCGTGCCGAACTGCGGATGGGGTTTGGGATTCTTCAGCGCAAGTCTAGATTGATGGAGATCGTCTATGTACAGATTTACAAGCTTCATGTTCCCCATGCGTTTTACATATTTATACATCAAGGCAGAAAAGAGAGTCCGGCGTAACAGCCTTCCTTCGGCCGTTTCTTTTCATAACGCTGTCCGATACAGAACCACTGCCTATTTGTTGGCCGCTGTCGCATCAAATGCAGCCTGTGGAACATGAGGGTCTTCAACAAAGGTATCCTCTGGCTTTTTCTGTGCGACCTTCTTTGGCGCTGCCTTTGATGCTGCCGGGGAGGCACTCTGGACCGGCTTGCTGGCGCTGGGCTTGACAGTCTCCGGCACTGTCGCCACGACAGCAGGAGTCTCTGGCGCTTTTTCTGCTGCTGCTTCTGCCGGTGCCGCGCTCTTCACCTTCTCGGTGGCCGTCGGGGTCGCTGGTGCCGCCGGTGTTGTGTTACTCGCGACCGCAGGCACCGGCTCGCTCGTCTCGATAGCGGCCACAGCGCCTTCTTCAGCAGGCACCGGTGTCTGCGCATCAACCTCCTGCTTATCATCTGCTATCTCTGCGCCGTAGATATCGGGGTGTTGTCTGAAGCAGTCCTGCATGTGCCTAGAGATGCCACGTTAGCCGGAGGACGTCAACCGATGGGAGCGCAAAAAAAGTAGATAAAACCTACTGGAACTTGTCAATGCAGTCCATGCCCTTAGGTTCTTGCTCCGAGTACACAAAGCAGCTGAAAGCCGCCTTGAAATCCTCTCCACACGGCCCGTGAGCCATGCCACCGAGGCACGGGCAGTCCCAGTTGATTTCGCCCGTCTCCGGGTTAAAGGCACCCTGCTGGCCAGCCTCTTCCTCCAGGGCTTCGGGTGACTGGGAGCCGACAATCTCGCCGGCATCAGAAGGAGCCGCAGCGCCATCTTCTGTGACCGGTTCGCTCTTCTTCAATTCTCTCGCCAGCTTCTCCGCCTTTTCGGCCTCTTGTCTGCGCTTCTCTTCGAGGACAGCATCAATGCTCCGGATCTCGGTTTCGGGGACTTCAGGCGCTGCAGAAATGATTTGGTCTTGGCAAGTGGTGTCAGTTTGAGTTCGTTAACGATACACCAGAAAACAGCGCAGAATGGACATACTGGTAGCCTCATCGGCGAATATGGGGCTGGTGTTGTACCAGTAAAGGGCGCCGATGGCAACGCCCCATCGCGCAAACGAACCCTTCCAGGTGGACTTGCCACTTGCAGGAGCGGTCGTGAGCATGCGCCTCGCAGCCCCGGCAAGAGCCGGTTGGCGAGCTGCCCGGGCGATGCTGGAGGTGGACGTGCGGAGCGCGGCGCGATACATCAAGGGCAACAATTAAAGGATATATTAGAGAACGTGAAGGCGAACAGGAAAACACAAGGGCTGAGCAGCAATTGAGAAGTGAGAAGGAACGAATATGAGGTCCAGAAGCCGTGATAGCCCGATCAATTGGTAATCATAAAAAAGTGAAAATACGCTCCGAAAGCTGCGACGATATGATTGGCCGATAGAACATGGTGAACGCCCACCGAAGTGCCGGCTGAATAGCAGAACAGTGCTCCGTACGGTGTCACCACCTCGCCGTTAAAACAGCCCAATGTGCATGTTTTCCTTTTCGGGAAGGCAGCAAGTCGATCTCGTACACGTAATAACTGCTATTGTACTAAGGCTTCTCGTTTGTGTATGAAAGATCAAGTTTGAAGGAAGGGTTCGAAAGTACAAAGCACAAGGAATACAAAGTACAAAATCCTTGATTAACGTGCTCAACCCCCCAACTTCCCTCACTAAACCACGTTTCCTGCATTGATCGCGGGATCATGGCCTCCCACACTGAAGATGCCGTCTTTGAGTGGCGCCCGGCAAGTCTTTTCCGGGACGGTCCACTATCTGAGCCTTACGCAGTGATCGTCCTCAACCAACCTCTACGGAACCTGCGTTCAATTAAGCATGTCTGGGCGCGGGGTACGTTGCCCCATCCACCACAAGTATGCGAGCACGCTCCTGTTTCTGACTCTACGTAGCATCGTATCGCGTGGCCGCGGATGGAGGTGCAAACCGGCTGCACGATTCTCGCGAGGCGGCAGGCGAATCATTTGTTGGTATACCGGCGGCCGATGAGGGAAGTCCGGATGGCAACACAGCAGCTCACACAGTGCACAGGAAAACCTCAATGTCATTATCGGGGACCTCGACTCGTTAAGGGATGAAACACGCGCATACTTTACGTCTCTCGGCAGTGCTGTTGTGCATGATCCGGACCAGTACTCGACTGATTTCGGCAAGGCTGTCAAGTACATCTGGGCGCAGCACCCACAAATGCACATAATCGCCATTGGCGGCCTGGGCGGACGGGTTGACCAAGGCGTGAGCCAGCTGCACCATCTCTTCCTCTTCCAGGACGATGGCAGCAGCGGCAAGGACGGCATCGACCGCCGGATGTACCTCCTTTCGAGCGAGAGCATCACATTTTTGCTGCCAACTGGCCGGCACTGCATCCATGTCCGGGAAGAGTCTGGGCCTGCCACGGCTGACGTCTTTGCCAAGTACGTGGGCATCCTTCCGATGCAAGGGCCCAGCATCATATCCACAAAGGGACTCGAGTGGGATGTGACGGATTGGAACACCCAGTTTGGCGGCCTTGTGTCGACGAGCAACCACATCCTGCCGGATACGCGTACGGTCGAGGTCGAGACAAACCGGCCGGTGGTCTTTACCGTTGCATTGAAAGACACGTGATGATTCCGACACTACGGCGCTGAGGCGAATGGAGTTGCGGGCCCACGCAAAATGGTGACTTTTCGAACACGTCAATTTAAACACTCTTGAAGCACCTGCATGACCAGTAACGCCGCGCTGTTGATATATGAGAGCCGCCATGCCTCTGGCAGCTTGGACACAAGCTCGTATCGTTCCTCTTCTCGCGTTCCCTTTTCACTCCGCCGGTCGTCACCTCAAATAATGGAGGCACAACCAGCAGAAGAGCACAAAGATGACGACACCGGTCCAGAAAATCCATTTGTCCTCCCGCGCCCGCCGCTCGATCATGCGGATCGTGTCGCCGCTGATGCCCAGCGTGTTCGCCACTGTGTACATGCGCTTCTGCGTGTTCTTCAGCATGTCCCGCTGACTGCCCAGGTCTCCGAGCACAGCCTGTCCCCGGGCAATGTATTCGTCCAGTGCCGTGTTGGTATTCGAAAAGAAATTCTGCTCCCGCAGCGCATGTGTTTCGCGCGTGATTTCTGCCCGCTCGCTCGCGCTCATCGTCCGCGCGTGTCCAAAGAGCCCCGCGGCCCCTGCTATGCTCGACGACGCTGGCCCGCCCCCGCCTGCTGATGCTGCTGCTGCTGTTGCCGCGGACGCGTATGGATTCTCGGGCGTTGCTGTGACGTACGGCCGGCGCCCTAGCAGCTCGGCGCGGCTCTGTGCTTGTACGGCATCGTCTCGTGATGATTTGAGGCTCTCCAGCTGTGTGCGGTACTCGCCCAGCTCGGTGCGAAAGTTCCGGATGCGGTCAAAGGCCTTTTCCTGTTTTGCCGGATTTAGCTCCTGCTTCGCTAGGCTGTTGTATTCGTCGACGGTTCGCGAGAACGTCGTCAGGCTGGCAGAGAGCTGGCCGAAGGCTGCTGGCATGCGGACCAGAGCTCCATCGTCTGCGGACGGGTTGGACAGCACTGCTGACAGCGAGGACAGGTCCTTCCGGATGGCTGTGCTCTGCTTGAGCGCGCCGTTAAATGCAGTGTTCTGTCGCGTTTAGAAGGCGGTTAGGAGGACATCTGCAGCCACTGCTGAGCGCGCGCAAGGTACGAGGCCTACTGGCGGAGAACATACCATTATGCAATAACTAGAGAGCCCCTTTTGACCCGAAAAAACATCTCCAGAGACGCGGTCACTGCTGCAGCCGTCAATGTGGCTTGTTTGCTCGCAGGCTGTCAAGGCTAGGCAATGGTTGGATAGTGGCCTTGCTGACTTGGCATCTGGCATAAACCCACCCACCCGACAGCTCTCACCGCCTTCCGTGCTCGGCCACTCGCGTTGGCCCTCGATCACGTGATGTTTTACATGAGATTACGCCAATTTGCTACTTATCTTCTTCTCTTCGCCTCTTTGTCTTGACGTCTCGTGTTCTTGCCGCCAAACCAGAATAAGAATACTCCGTAAATCATGCTGGTCAGGCTTCCCAGGTTTAGACATGGTCCGTGAGCCGGATCGCCCGAACGAGATAGGATCGCCTAGTCCACGTCTTTGTCTACTATTCGTGGCATTCTCCCTCGCCTCAGCTAGCATGGTTCGCTCTTTTTCTTTGTCTGTGTACAGGTGTTGTCTCTGTTGCAGCGGCTGGCTATGTTATAGCGGTTGTGCGGGATAGAGGATGTGCGGGGGAAAAGAGGCAACTTGGCCAGCAGAGAGGATGAGGCCTTTTGAATGCTGGAGCGGCCGACGCCGGGAATCTGCATCGGCTAATGGTGAGGAGGAGTGTGAGCCGGTTTTCGTTACAAACAATGACGATCATGCGAGGTTTAGAAGATAGTGAGGTGGCGACATTCTAGGAGCCGTTTTGATTTCTGGCACATAAGTCAATAAATGGCAGCAGATGTCAGTTGGTCGGCAAAAAGGTTGACAATGACTATGTCTAGGCACCATACTAGTTTCTCCTCTTTCTCTCCTTGCGTCTGCCTTGTGCTCATTTCTACTATAGTCAGGGCGCTAACGGAGGAAGTGACAGATTGGCGAGCAGACCGCGATCTAGCTAGACCGATCTGTGAAAGAAGACAATTCGGACCGTCTTATTCAGAGGATGACAGCCACGTTGGTATGTCATGTTTGTTGGTGCTAGAAAGCAGTCTATAGGGCGACTGTAGGATAGAGCAGAGCGACCACTCCCTGGTATGATAAGCTGCTATCGAGGGGCTGCTCTTTTTTCATTCTTTCTGTTCATTCTTCTCTACCCAGTGTTATAAGTCTTGCCTTTCTTCCTAACTTTACTGTACTGCTACTAATACGCACCTCTCTTGAATTATCTCATCCTTAATAATACCAGCACCGTGACCTCAAACGGATCACTGAGACTACTTCCCTTTACACGTCCGTCAAAACCATCACTTCAACGGTTACCTCTTCATATCTGCCCATATTTTATATTCAAAAATGGAAAAGTTCGTCTTCCACTTCCTGGCGCAGAAGCCCAACAAGGATGGTGCCGTTCAGCTTTGTAACGACAGAGAAGGCACACCTTATGTCGGTGGTCTTTCAGAGAAGCCGTTCCTCGGGTCGCATGTGGTCAGACTGACCATTGGGAATTCCTCCAGCACACACACTAAGAAAAAGACACGGCGATTCGGACTGTGTTTTCGAAGCAGTCGGACAGCTGCAGAGGAGACGACGGATGTTGTGGTGCATCCAAAGAAGAGCGCATATGTGCCCACACACGCAGCCTCTGACTTTGGCAGCTTGCCGATGCCGATTACTTATCGGCAAAGTCAGGCGTACGAGTGGCGCCACGGTTATCCTGGCCGCAGACAGAGCGATGCTACTGCTGCAGCCACCATCAGCGGCCAGTCCTCGCCGCGTTCGTCGCCGTCGATGCGCAGTGGCACCAGCGGCTGGAGCGCGCCACCAACACGGTCGAGCGGCCGGCAGAACTGCAGTAGCACTGTGTCTGACCGGTGTTCCGCACACAGCAAATCAAAAAGCTCGGAAGCAGCCCAAGGCAAGCATAAACTAGGTCGGTGGGTATCGGAGTACATCCGACCGCCATTGGTGCAGGACCCAATCAGCACGGAGCGCTTTTCGATACAGAGGTTGGCCTTTTGAATGACTACGACATCGAGGTGATGAGAAGGATATACTTGGCCTCAGTGATACACACATATATATTCATTATAAAACAACGTTTTGTCTCACATGCTCTCAAAAGCAGGAAAACTTGGGTCTCTGCCACGTAGCAATGAGCCTGGGGCCAGCTTTCGAGAATCTCCTTGTCTTATTTATAGTCGTCGACAAGGCTACCCTGGTCCCATAGAGCGCAAGCGCCTGGCACTGGCCCTTCTACGGTGATCGCGAGTGCATAAAATTGTATTTGTCGAGCAGGATGAAGTCGCCCTGCCGCCAGCGGACCAGAACCTGGGTGGACTCGGCGTTAGCGATAGCGAGGTTGAGGTACTTAGCTTCGATCTGCTCGCCGTCACCGTAGATGGGCGACGGGTGGTAGGAGCCGTCGTCGCTGCGGAAGGGAGCTTCGGTTGCACTGTGGTAGACGCTGCGAGCCCAGGCGCTGATGAGGTTGCCAAACCAGAAAGCGAGGCTGGTGGGAGTGTGTTTTCGGATGACTGATGGTGTGGAGAGGGAGAGGGAGATGAGGGAGATTACAACGTGGAAACAAGAAGAAAGACGAAAGACGAAAGGGCAAAAATGGGAAACAATATCAACAGAACAGCAGAAAATAAACATACGAGGAACTGTGTGGGTGACGGTCGGGCTGACGTCGTCGTTCCAAACAAACTCGTCACTGTGGCGTCGCACCTCGGCCTCGATCTTCTGGAGGGCAGTGGCAGCGTCGTAAGTCGGCAGAACGGCCTGATTATAGGCGCCGTAGACGCTTGTGCCCGCGTTGGAGACCACGACGGTGGTGCCGTAGCGGTACGCATAGCGGACGCCGTTGCGCAGCAGCTTGTCGTGAAAAGCGGCCAGGCCGATGCTGGAGTTGACGGGCGTCTCACCACCCGACTCTGGCGTGACCAGGGCCGAAAAGGTCAACCGGTGGAAACGCCGTCCCAGTCAAAGCTGAGATTTACTAGGTGTTCAGCTGGCCGGCAAACGAGAAGTCGGCAAACGAGATGGGCGAAGCCATGACTGCGGATACGGCCAAGCTTCCCAAACTTGATACTGAGTATGCAGCACGCACAGTCCGGCGCCGGGTCCCGAAGACCCGGGATCATGAAGTCGCCATGCTGTGATACGTTGATGTGCAGTGGTGACAGGCAGAAACAGGCCGAAAATGGACTAGCGCGGAAGCTTATATCGAACCAGCGGCTCACTTACGAGAACTCGTCGCATATCGGCGCTCAGCAATGGCAGAAACCGGCGGGAGTCAAATCAGAACCCTGCTATGAGTGGACTACTCTCAATGATTGTTTTTTTGTTTTTGTTTTGGGCCATCCCTGGGGAGAAGTACAGCTGGTTCTGCATCGGCTTCAAGAACACGCTGATACTTGGCGGCACTGGATAGATGCTCTACTCTGCCGCGCTCAACAAAACAGCCGGTACCAGACCGAGTGGTTCATGTATCTTGGCTCGGACGCTTGCGGAATTATGACCGACCTCTTCTGGGTAGCCGAGAGCGCCATCATGATCGGCTACCCGGAGCTCAGGAAATGCGGCCGGTGCCTGTTCTACTGGCTCTGCTATCGCAACAGCTGCAGTATATTGAGCGGCATCATCAACTGGACTTAGGTAAGCGTACATGTAAGCTCGACTGGCGCAAGTACACTGTCTTTGTCGTCCTGTGTATGCTCTTATTAGATGGTTCGCCTGCAAGACCACTGACTAACAGCCTCACAATATGCTTCGGCCGCGACTGGGATGTCTGTATCCTGTGGCAGGTCAACTGGTCACCGACGTACAACTACGCGTACTGTCTCATTGTCTCTGGCATTAGCTCTACCCATACGATAGTGAGGAGAATTTTGCATCAACCACGGCAGAGCAATGATTGAGACGTAGTCCGTTTGCTTTACTTTTAAACAACTAGAAATAGACACATGACAATTGATACCCATTGCCGAATGGAACCCAAAACCTTTAGTTGAGCTCTAAGCGAAGGATCAGACATAATCAGACTATACAGCTTCTACCAGGCTGGCTTATAGGACCATTCACGTGACTTCAATGCTACGGCTTCGTCAAAGTGAATAAGCTGTTGAGTCCTCAGACACAACACGTCTTCAGAGGGGCCTGAAACGTCCATAAGATAGTTTGGATAGTGAAAGATGCGCGACGGATTTTGACAAATCGGACAAAAAGTCTTGTTCAGATTTCTGACTGCCTTCACAACCTTGGCTCTGCGGCTTGACGACCCTTTGTCCACAACTCGGGATGGCCCCTAGGGAACTGCATCCGGCATCGAGCACAACCCAGCCGTCAAAGAAGAAGGCTGCTCTCTTTGACGACTTGTGTGTCTCACCGGATCCAATAAAAGAAGCTGGAACGGCCCATCTGGCCTACGGTTCCGTAGTCTCCACTGAGGCGATAACCTGCTGCGCCAGTTCCTGTTCCTGCATGCCGAGTTCACTAAAGACTCGAGAATGACCTTTTCCGGTCTGCAGCCGGCCTAGAGGGAATATAAATACCACATAATCTGTCAGTTTCACTCATCTTTCCCTCCGACTTATTTCCCTTCCTTCAACCGTTCCAAGTCACACAGCCCGTCTCTCATTCACTGACACAGACATGGAAGCACGCACGAGTGTCCCTCCACAGACGCCCATCGATCTTCTCTGCTCGCTGGACGACACGAGAAGACGCGTGTATTTTTTCTGTCTTGGTAGGCATCCCGGCCTTGTGGCATCGCCGGCCTGTGGCACACATGCTGACCACGAACACGAGGCAGAATATGCTGTAGACAGCGCTATACGCGGCCGAGGAGTCCCGTCGGCCGAGACGTTTGGGCAGCTGACAGGCCAGACGAACATCACGTCGAGCGTGACGCAGTTTGTGCAGGGCCTGGAGGGTGGGACAGTTCTGCGAGATGCCTTTGCGGCCGTGGAGACGCTGAAGCCGCTCTTCCTCAGCCTGCCGCCGGGCCAGGCGACCAGCCACCGGGTATCGACGGCAGCGACGGGAGCACGAATGAGCGACCGGCCGCTGGGCGGAGCGACGATGCGCGACGGCCGGTCCGACACGTGGGAGCGGCGGCTGGCCGACAAGGGAACGTCGTACTATAGCGGGTCAGGGCCGCTGATCGGAAATCAGTACGAGGCGCGCGAGCTCCGGGCCGAGTATGCCAGTCTCAACTTTAAGGAGGTCACGGGCGACCGGCACGAGGCGTCGCCGCAGTTTCCGCAGGCGATCGAGGAGCAGCGGAAGCTGGTCGGCCAGCTGTACGATGCCATCAAGAGCATGGATAACATCCTGGAGAAGAAGCGACCGATCTCACTGAAAAAGCGGAAGCAAGGCGGCGAGGGCGAGGGAGGGGGGAACAGCAACGGCGAGAGTGTGGACAGGAACGAAAACGGCAATGACCAGAACGAGGAGGAGGACGACGATCAGGTTGCGGGCCAGCAGCTTGGGAGACCGCAGATCAAGGAGTCGGTCAGCGTGCGGAAGGTCAAGGGACTGAGCCGGATCGAGGTGGAGATGTTGTGCTGGGATCTGTTAGTGAGTATTTTTTTCTTTCTTTTTTCTTTTTTTTCTTTTTTTTCTTTCTTTCTTTTCTTTCTTTTTTTTGTCTTTTCCTTTCCCCCAGCTCTTACCCCCCCTCCTTCATCCATGCTGACGCAACAGTTTACCGTCCGCGACATCCACCGTGGTCGGCTGCCCTTCCAGCCGTGGAGCCGGAATGACTGGTGCTGGGAGGGCTCCTTTGTCTCGTTCGGGCAGCGCTTTGACGCCGTCGTCGAGACGCTCCGTCAGTCCAAGGCTGCCGTCTGCAGCCTGCTCGAGTCGGACAAGATGGCCCGGCTGGCGGCGCACCCGCGCCGTGAGTACAAGCGCAAGGAGAACAACCGGTCGCAGAACGCGGAGCGCAACGCCCAGGTTTTTGTTGGCCGCCACGCCATCGAGACCCAGCAGGTCCAGGTGAACCGTCAGACCGGCGACCTGCAGGACCGTGACGGCAACGTCGTCGCCGCCGCCGCCCACGACTGCAGCGGCCTGATCGAGCAGACCCGCCGCCTGGCTGATCCGAGCCGCCGCGAGGCCAAGCGCGTCCGCTTCCTGGCGAGCATTGCCGAGAGCGGCGAGGGGGCAGAGGAGGAGACGGGACGAGGACGGACAGAGAGTGCCGACGGAATCGACAGCTTGGCCGGCAGAACAGAAAGACTGCTGGCTGCACCGCCGGCCGCCAACAGCACGCAGCTCCAGGCGGCCTGGCTCGCAGACAGCGAGACAAAGCCTCTCGTCGGCAACCTGGCAGCAGCAGCCCAGACGACCCCAGACAATCACCTGGCAGACATCCTCAAGGTCGAGGAGCCTGTCGGCCGGCAGACGCACGTGCAACATCCCCTGCCGGCCGATGCTGGCTTCCCGCTCTGGCTGCAGACCGCCTGTGTGGACGCGCCCGGCTTCTTTGGCGGCCACGTCGCCCAGCTGTTGGACCAGCCATACATCTTTGGCACAGACACAAACACCTCGACTACGGCACCACCAGCTCGTCCCTCTTCGGCCTCATCCTCTTCGTCACACTCGACCCTCGCACACGGCCCTCCATCTTCCCGACATGTCTCGGCGGCGGCTTAGGAAGCCCAACTGCCAGTATCAGCCGGCGAAGACGGACTGGCATCGCAAGGTGAGGATCCGCACCAGAAGCAGCAACAGCAAAATCTCGTCCATGTCACAGACACAGCTGTCGATGCCGAGACCGAGCCGTGGCATGACCTCCACCAGCTGCAGACTCTCGGCTACGGCGTCGACCTCGAGCTGATGCCGCAACAGCCGTTGGGGCCGGCTCTGGCAGCGACTGTGGCGGCTGACACAAGCTTCGAGCTCGAGCTGGACCCCGGCTACCTCGGCCTCACAGACACAGAGCTGGCCGCAATTGCCGACTATAGCGACGCAACCGGGGCGCTCGAAGATATCGGCCACTTCCTTCGCTGGAGCTCACCAACTGATGCCGAAGACGGAGAGTACAAGGCGAACTGACAGGTCAGGTGGCTGTCCCTATTGATAGATGACATCGTATTCACCGCTATTGCATACCATTAGAGCCCGCTTGGGTAGGCTGCATCTGTTTGTATAGGAAGCCTTGTTAATGCTGACTAAGCAGCGACCAGAGCATCAACAGCCTCATATTGGACTTTTGCAATGTGCACACTACTATACATGATATGCACCCGGAAACCCAAATTCCGTTCAGAAAACGCAGCCTCTGTCTCTCCATCGCTCACCAGTTTCGCCGGCCACCGCGCCCCCGTCCGAAGCCACCGCCACGGCCGCCATTCCCGGCACCCATGTTGGGATCGTATCCGCCGTAGCCTTGACCCTGGCCAGCACCGAAGCCCTGGTTGCCGTAGCCGCCACCGCCACCACCAGCACCACCGCCGCCGCCAGCAGCCGCCATCATGTTGGCCATGGTGGCCGGATCCATCTGGCTGGGATCGATGCCGGACGCGAGCATCTGCTGCATCATCTGCTGCATCTCCGGCGGCATGCCGTCGAGACCGGGCACTGCAGGCCCTCCAGCAGCGACACCACCACCCATGGCCCCCACCCCTGGACCACCCGGTCCTCCGCCTGCGCCTGCACCACCAGACACTGCTCCCCCGGACGGCACGCCGCTCCCGCCTGGACCTCCTGGCCCTCCAGGCCCCCCTGGCCCACCACCTGGCATGCCCATGCTTGACATGCCACCAGGCATTCCTCCTGGCATTCCGGCTCCCGGCATGCCACCGCCCGGCATGCCGCCCATCATGAACATGCTGTTGATGTCCTCCATCATCTTCTTGTTCTTCTCGGCCACGGCGTCCTGGCTGTACTCGCCGCGCAGGGCCTCCTGCTTCTGGGCGTACAGGGCCCAGGTGAACTCGTCGAAGCCGTAGTTGAAGTAGTCGCTCAGATCCGTTCCCGGCTTGCGCCATGGCTTGTCGTTCTCCGGCAGGTCCTCGTCAATGTTGACCTGCGTGATCCGCTTGCCCGTGCCCTTGTGCACTGGCACTGCGTTCACGTCGATCAGTGATGTCGGCACTGCAGGGTACTCGTTACCCCGGGCACCAGCGGTCGCACTGGAGCCAGTGGCTGTCCCGCTGTTGCCGCCACCACTGCCGCCACCGCTTGTGGCTGTGCTGTCGTCCTTCTTCGCTCCCACGGTCGCCTTGCCGCTGCCGTCACGTATATTGCGAATGTCGCTGTATCTGGCTTGTCTGCAAGGCACTGTCAGTCTGTCTGCCTGAATGTATACCGTTATGAACAGGAAGTGTGACGCACGAAGGAGGTGCGGCCTTGGAGCCGTCTTTCCGCTCTATTATGATGTCGATATCCTGCATCGATCTGGTCAGAGGATGTGTCCTTCTGCAACTGTCTCAACAGTGGCCGCTGCTCACCGAGTCCTCCTCTTCGTCCTCCACAGCCCCGACTTCGTCCTCTTCCTCGCCCTCTTCCAAATCATCCCTGCCGCTCTGGTCTACTGCTGCAGTGGAGGTCGACGGAGGTGCGGCTGGTGGTGCCGATTGCGCCGGAGCTGCTGTGTCAATGTCTGCCTCTTCTGGCGCGTAGAAATCGTCGTCCTCGTCAATGTCCATTCTGGCTGACTGTGTGTGTAGCGGTGGAAGATGCACAGATAAGACGCCGAAAGCGGTTCAAGACGGGCTCGAGGAAAGCAAGCTCGTCGCCGTCTGTTGTATCTTATTATGGAGTTTCTTGTTTTGTCAGGATGCGGCAGAATTTAGTGTCAAGTCCCGTAACTGTTGCTTAGCGCAAATAAGCTATGCCACCGCCTAGGATTTGACAACGTTGGGCCGGCACCACGTGACTGTGCCGTGCTACCCTGGATTAGAAGGCGGTGAGGAAGAGTCCATTCCAGCGCGTCGGCTAGCTCCCAGCGTCGTGGCAGAATTGACAGGCGCCAGAGTTTTGCTTCCCCAGCAAAACAAGGAAACGACAACAACGAAGAGAGACAACGGCGGTCGCCCAGCATTCCGCTTGCCCCTCTTACGCAATTGGCTCCCCTGCCATCCAAAGACCGACGCACACAGCCAGTCAGCAGAGACGCCTGCCGCTTTTCTGCTTTCTTTTTTTTCCCCTTTGCAATGTTGGCTCGATCGGCGAGTGGGCCTGGCGGTCTGAGCATCAACACAGGCTCTGCCAACCTCTTGTACGTAGCGTGTCTGCGTTGTCTAGCGGGAGCATGAGCCCTGCATCCAGCAAAGATTGCTAATTTTTTTTGTCACCTTGACCAGCGGCGGCAGCACCACGACCAGCCAGCCTCAAGCCGGTGGACTCTTTGGCAGCACGACCACACAAGCCGGAACAGCAGCAGCAACGACGACAGCAGCGGCCACACCATCCATGTTCGAAGCGGCGGCCGGAACCGGCACCACGAGCGCGAGCGGCGGACTCTTTGGGCAGGCGGCAGCAAAACCGGCGACCGGAGGAGGGCTCTTCGGAGGCGGTACAGCCATGGCGCAGCCAGCAGCAACAGCAGCAGCAGGCGGTGGCGGTCTGTTTGGGGCGTCGACGACGACGGCAGCTCCTGCAGGAGGGCTCTTTGGGACAGCGGCACCGGCAACAACGCCGGCCAGCGGAGGCGGTCTCTTCGGGACAGCTGCACCAGCCACGACGGCAGCCGGTGGAGGCGGCCTCTTTGGCGGCAGCAAACTGGGGATGATGCAGCCTCCGGCACAACCACAGCTGCAGCAACAACAACAACAACAACAACAACAGCAGCAGACCGTGCCAGGGGTGCGGATCGATGTGAGCAACCTCAAGGGCACGACGCGCTTCAACGACCTGCACGAGAGCCTGCAGAAGGACATTATGGCGTTTGACAGCCTGATCCAGTCATATGTGGAGCAGAAGAACCAGGTGGCGGCGTTTCTGCCGGCACACGGCGAAAGCCTGGCGGCGATCCCGGACGACGTGCGGTTTGTCGGGCGCAAGTACGACGGGGTGTCGAGTGCGCTGGGCAGCGACCTGCAGGCGATCCAGGTGCTGCGTGAGACGGTGAAGCAGGATGCCGAGCATGCACAGCTGAGCTTCAAGGCGCTGGACAACCAGAAGCTGCCGGCTCAGTTTCACACGTCGGGCCTGTGGTCGACGGCACCGGGCGGCGGAGGAGGCGGTGGTGGAGCGGCCAACCGCAGAAACCGGGATGGCAGCCGGAGCCGGACGCGGACTCGGCGTGGCAGCGCTGGCGGTGGTGTTGGTGGCCGTGGCGGCGATGCGGACGACCACAACAAAGCGGGCGACGACTTTGGCGGCATCGACGGTGAAGGATCGTCGGGCGGGACGGACCTGATCAACTACTTCTCGCAGACGGGCGACGAGATCGGCGGACAGCTCCGACGGCTGGAGAAGAACCTGGGCGAGATTGAGGTGCACATGTACGGGGTGCAGTCGGGCCTGTTGGAGCAGCTGCAGCGGGTGGCGCAGGACGGTGGAGGCAGCAGCAGCAACAACAACAACGGCAGCGGCAGCTCGGCCGAGGAGAAGGTGGCCGAGCTGGCCGGCGTGCTGCGCGAGTTCGAGGACAGCATCCTGACGGCGGCGAGCGTGGTGGGAGCAGCGCGCGAGGACGTGACGGCACTGCAGCTGGGACGGTATCTTGGGCATTGAGGGATAGGGGACGAGCGAAGGAGGAGAGAGAGACAAGTTGCGGCATGGAGACATAGACGGCAGACAGGATCATCCGTCGGAGTTGGCGCAATTTCGCTGCTTTATTGATGCGTCGGCTCCGGCCAACACACAGTTGGTTGTATTAATAAAAATGCAAGGACAAGGAGACGCTTCCTCCGTCTTGCTCTAGTAAACGCCGAGACTCCAGGAGAAGGTGGTGTTCGACCACTAATACACGCCGTCGTCGCCACCGCCGCCGTCGCCAAAGTCGTCGCCGTAGTCGTCGTCGTCGCCGTTGTCAAAGGCAGCTTCGGCGTTGTAGTCGCCCTCCTCGTCGTCGTCATAGGCCTCGTCCTCGACCTCATCGTAGTCGCCCTCGTCCTCGACCAGCTCGAACTCGACATTGTCCTCGTTGTCGAGCCCGACGTTCTTGAACTTTTCCAGCTGCTCGAGCGCCTTGCGCGTGTCGTCATCACCACCGGCGGCGCTCCGTCGCTGGAAGATCTCCTCGGCCGTGCGCAGGGTCGTGACCTCGGATAGGGCGAGAGTGCGGCGACCGGCCTGTGCACCGCCAAGGGACCGCCGCGTGTGGCTGCCGCGCACGAGACGACGACCGTCATCGATGCCGTCGAGCGTGGGCCACAGCTCGGGCGGGAAGAGCTCCTTGCTAAAGGGCCGACCGGTCAGATCGGGCAGCACGCGGTCCTGCTTCTCGAAGCGGTGCGAGTACAGCGGCACGGCCGTGAAAGGGTCTAGGGTGGCCTTGGTGCGGATGCCGTACTGGCGGTTGATCTGGTCCTGGCCGTAGGCCTTGCCGGAACCATCGCCGTCGCCGTCGCCGTCCTTCCGGATGCGTGTCTGCGTATAGAGCGGGCTCGAGTGGATCTGCTCGCGCATGAGGAGGAAGCGGTCGACCACCTGGCGCTCCTGGGGGGCCAAGGGGGCCGCCGTCGGAACAGAAAAGGGCTGACAGGTCAGTGAGAGGCGCAGAGAGAAAGGACAGAGAAGAGAGAACAAAAAGACCAAAACCCACCGGAAACAGCTCGACCGGCTTGCTGTCAGCCTTCATGCTCGGGTCGTCGCCCCAGGGCAGACCCAGGCCGCCGCCACGTCTGCCGCCACGACCACCACCACGGCCGCCTCTGGACATATTTGGCAGAGAGCGGAGAGCACCAGGATTGGGTTGCGAGCTTGGATGCCAAGATGCTGCTTCTGTCGACTGGCTGAATCGTGCTTGTTCCTGAACAAGCATACGCTTTTTGCAATGTTTTTTTTTCTGCCGCGACAAAGGCATCCACCCACTGGCTGTTAGTGGGCTGCACCTGCCTCTTTCCCCAGGCACGTTAGCGTGTTTTCCCTGAGCCGCAGGCGCCACCCACCCCGCTTGCCTGTGCGAAGTAAGATACAAAGTGTGCTACGAAAGAGGCAACAACGACGTCTGTATAGGCAGAGAAGCAGTGACGACGCCAGACGGTCTTTTCTCGTCATCCTTTTGCTACACCTCTGGCCGTGAGGCTTCTCTGGGGATGCTTGCCGTTTGCCATTAGAAGAACCAGATTCGAGGCAATATATCTTACATTGAAATAAAAAAAACGACATTCGCACACACCACCATGGAATCCTTCGTCCCAGTCACCGGCCTAGCCGAGCTAGACCAGCACCTGGATAGCCTCTTGGCAGCGACAGCAGCCTCGATTGGCTCAGTGCTCGAGACCCGGCCGCTCGTGGATGCCCGCCTCTTTGACAGCGTCGAGCTGCAGCTGTCGGACGCCAACATCCCCGTGCTGGCGCCGCGGCTGCTGCCCAAGATTGTCGCTGTCCTGCAGCAGCAGTCGCTCTGGCCGGCCGACCCGGCAGCCCATCGCGGCGAGGGTGACCGGGCGGCCGACATCCTCTCGTCCATGGCCACGAAGCTGCTGGGACCAGTGCGCTTCGGCGACGTGTTTGCGCTGGCGTCCGAGGCCGATCTGGTGGCGGCCCTGGGCGCAGACGCGGCCCCGGCAACGAACGTGCTGGCCATGACGGTGGTGCACAAGGCCGTGGTGGGAGATGGAGCTGAGACGGCCGACAATCTGCGACGTCTCACCGGCATGTACGCCCTCATCACGGCCTTTTTGACGCGCTGGCTGGCTGCACCGGCGGCCGAGGTCGGCGAGAAGGGCGGCCGCGTGCTCGGCGATCTGCTGGACGTCGACTGTCCGCTGGCACCGCCTTCTCAACCAGAAAACACAACAGCTTCGACTCCCATGATCAACGGCACGCGCACCATCACCGTCGAGGAGCCCATGGGTGGCGGTGGCGTGCTGCCGACCCTTCGCCTTGCTCCCGGACCCGGCGTCCTCTGGCGTCTCTTCTTCCGCGACGGTCTTTTCTACGACCGACTCGCGGCCATTTGTGGTGGTGGTGGTGATCACGACGGCCGGGCCGCGTATGGAGACGACCCCCGCGTCCGCCTGCAGCGCACCATCGCCCAGGGTCGCGTGTTGCGCGTGGTGCCACGACTGGCTTCGCTCAATCTGGCTGCAGTGGCAAGCGAAGGTGCCGCTTCTACTTCTGCTTCTCCCGACGTCCTCTCCTTTGTCGCCCTTCACATGGTCGACCGCTCCGACCGATTGATGCACCTCAGCCTCGTCGACTTCTTCGAAACGCTCGTCAGCGTTATGCGTGTTGCCGTCCTCTCGACCACGGCCTCGGCTAATGCTGCCTACGCCGTCGAGGTCCTGCGCGGTCTTCTTCGCAGCGCCACCGCTCACGACACCTTGCTGGCCGACGCCCTGCAAAGTCTGCCCGACCGCACCGTGCCCGAGGAGGCTGTCCTGCTGCGCGAATGGCTGGCCCAGTTGATCCCGTCGGCCGCACCGCGCGTGACTGGATGGCCGTAGGTAATGGAAGCCCGACGTCACGTGAGCAGTTGGAGCAACACTAGAGGCACCTCTATGCAAACAACCACAACAAGGTGATGGTTTAATCGGGACAAAAATACAGAAATCTATCAAAACACATTGCTCTTGTAAACACCCTCGCCGCTTTTGCACTGGACGTTCTGTCCACCGTCAATGTCTGGTCTGCTCGGTCGTCTCGCTCGGATTACGTCAGCCTACTTCAGCCCCCCCGAAACAGGCGGCGAGTGCATCCGCCGGCCCATCAGTTTTGTGCTGGCATCGCCGCCCTCGTCGTCGACCGAGCTGCCGCCACCAACGCCGCCACCGACGCCGCCCTCGGCGCTGGCCGCGCTCAGCAAACTGTCGCGGCGCTGGCCACCGAAAAAGAAGCCGTCGGGCGCGGACGCGAGGCCGTCGATGCCGAGCCCAACCTCTCCGACACGGCGAAGCACCTGGATGATGGCCGCGCGCAGCTCACCGCTCAGCTCCTTGGCCAGCAGCGCCACCACGGCTGGATAAAAGTCGCGCGTGTGGGCCGTGAAGGCCGGCTCGGGGAACAGCGCAAAACCCTCGAGCACGTCGACGACAACCGGCCGCCACGCCATGATGTTCCGGTGCTGGCTCTCGTCCTCGAGCGCAAGGTAGCCGTGCATGATGTCCTTGCAGAGCGGCACCAGCGCCTTCTCCACGTCGGCCCGCGTCGCTTGTCGCTCTGGCGCCCCGTCGGCATACATCTTGAACAGGATCGCCACATACGTGGCCGCCGAGCCAGACTCCTGCTTCAACAGGTTCGGCGGCTGCTTCATGAAGCCCTCGCGCCACAGCCGCATCCGCAGCTCCTTGTCCGTGTTGAAGCGCCGCGCGAACAAAAACGACTTCTTCAGCAGCCCCATCAGCCGCAGCAGCTCCACCGACGGAATCTGTCGGTATACCGCCTCGTTTCCAAACAGCTCGTTGACCGTCTCGATCATCAACAGCTGCAGCACGCAACGCGAGATGATCCGGTTGAAAAACCGCCGCCGTGCCGCCGTTACCACAACCGGCTGCTGCTGCAGGTTGCTCGATGGCCGGTAGTCCTCTAGCGGGGCTGTTGCTGTTGTGGCTGTTGTGGCTGTCGTGGCTGTCGTGGCTGTCGTGGCTGTCGTGGCTGTCGTGGCCGTCGTGGCCGACGTCGGTGTCCGCTGCACATCTTCTTCTGTCGTCGCCTCTGTCGGCACCACCGATAACATTGATGCCGTGTCTGAGTCTGCTCTCGCCGATAGACCCCCACCGCCAACACTGCTTTCCCCGTTGAGGCCCAGCCCCTTGTCATCGCCAAACGAGGACGCCACCCCTGGCGGCACCGGACTCAACGGATACCCTAGCTCTAGCGCACCCGGCGCGGCCGACAGCGATGCCGATGCAGCGGCCGCCGAACCAGCGCCGGCCGCCGTGGTGGCCGAGAAGAGTTGGTACGCCGTCGTGCGCTCAAACAGCTCGCAGAAGGCACCGACGATCTTGGACCAGTGCGCCGGCGAGAACTTGGCGACGTTCTGCAGGATCAGCTGCTGCAGACAGTTGCTGCCGATGCGCGCAATGGTGTCGTTCTCCTGCAGGATGCAGAGCGCCAGCAGCTCTAGGAATCGGTCCAACATATACTCCAGCGCGTCAAAGTAGTGCGTGAAGAGCGTGATCATGTTGCGCAGCGCCTGGATCATCGTCGTCGACAGCCACACCGACAGCTCCTCGTGGTTCAGCACGTTCGACATCTCCGGCCGCGACCGCAACACCATGAAGATGGGGTACAGCTGCTGTCGCCAAAGGATGTCCCAGAAGTCGGGCGGGAACCCGCCGCCGTATCGCAGCAACGTCTCGAAGAAGTAGTTGAGCGCGTTGGACCGCACCTCCAGGTCTTCGCCTGTCATCAGCACGTCGTGGAACGCAAACAGCACCGGGAACCAGTAGCCCTCCTCGACCGATGTCCGGTTCTGCACCACCGTCACTGTTGGAACGACCCCCTCGCTACCAGCCGCCGGTCCGGTCGTGCCGTTGCTGCCGCTGCTGCTGCCGTTCGTCTTGGCCTTCTTCTTCTGCTGCGACAGTGGGCACTCGGGCGTTTTCAGCATCGTCGGGATCACTGACTTGAGCGTCTCCATCGCCTGCAGGCTCTTCTTCTGGAACCGGATGTTCTTGGAAAACTCGGTCAGACACACGATCAGGTCCGTGAACGCGCCCTGCTGGATCACCACGCCGAAGCGCGTCCGGTACACCTGCGTCACGTTCTCAAATGCCATGTTCACGATGCTTTCTGCCGGATCCCGTGCCGCCACCGTAAAGGCCCCAAACATGGTCCGCCAGCCCGACCGGATATTGCCGCCGCGCGCCTGGATCATCTGGATCAGACAGCGCAGCGCCATGTCCTTGACGTGGATGTTGCTCGAGTTGGACATGACGTGCTCAAATGGCTTCAGAAAGTCCTTTTGGAACTTGAAGCCCGGCAGCTCCTCGATCTCCATGAAGCGCATCGATAGCTGCCGCAGCGAATCCAGCGCGAAGAACACAATCGCCTCGTTGCCGTGGCAGCCCACCTTGTTGAAGTGGTCAGCCAGCACGTCCCAGATGTTGGTCCACTCGAAACGAACCCGCGTCATGTTGTAGTAGCTGATCTCCACAATCTTCTGCAGGCTGTACATGCGCGGATTTTCGTTGGATCCCGACACCTTGATCTCATCCCAGCTGACCTCGGTCAGTGCTCGGGCAAACTGCACGATAGCGTCACCGTGCAGATTCGCCGTGTTGGTGAAGATCCGGTCCATGCTCTTGAGCGTCTCGTCCGACGTCAGCTCAAACGCCACGTCCGCCGACGAGAACCCGCTGGGCCCCGTGGTCATCGCCCGCGACCGCCGCTGCATCGACCGCCGCTGCTGGTCCATCCCGCTAGTAGTGCTGCTGCTCTCGCGAGCGCTTGCGCTCGAAGGTGGCACAAAGCGCGCCTTGGACACGTCTGGCACCGAACTGCCGTCGATGCCGCCGGCCATCAGCTGCAGCCGCTCCAGCTGGCTGACCGACATCAGGATGTCCTTCCACGACTCGCGCAGGTAGTTGCCCTCGGTGTGGCCCAGCTCCAGCAGCACCCGCAGCGCCTCGACGTTCTTGGCGTACATCTCCTGCACGTTGTTCAGGTTGGCCGCGTTGCGAAGCGCCGAGATGAAGGCCTCGCGCGGTGTCGCCAGCTCAAACAGACACGCAATCTTGACCGCCAGCTTCATGCCTTCGAGGCAGAGCCGGTTCAGCTCCAGGTTGTGCGCGTTCTGCATCTGGCTCGAAAAGGCGGAGAAGTACGACATCCAGGTGACGTCAAACATGGGACCGATGTGCTTAAACGACGTCGCCGGCATGAACTTGATGCCCGTCTTGGCTGTGTTGCGCCGCTGGCTGCGGTACAGGTTCTTGAACAGTTGCTCCGACCGCAGCGCCATCTCCTCTGACTGTTGCACATACGCCTCGCGCTGCAGGTCGCGGCCGACGTTGGAAAAGGCCGCTGCCAGGCCCGTCGGCTGCGATGGCAGCGCGCCAGCTGCCGCCGCCGTCGCCCGCTCACTGTTGAGCACAATCTCGTTGGACGCGATCTCGTCATAGATGCCCAGCAGGTACTCCTCCGGCAGGTCGGCGTTGTCATTGATGCCGCGGTTGTTGCGAATAAAATCCGGCTTACTCATCCGCTTAGTCACATTGTTGCTGTGCAGGTCCGTGTTGAGCAGGATGACCGAGTATGCGAGCACGTACGCCGTGTCCGCGTTGGCAAATGCGTTCGGGTTGCCGTCGTTGTAGCGCTCGGCAAATTTGAGCATGAACCGATCGATCTTCTGGGCCTCGCCCGGCAGCCGGAACGACTGCAAGAACTGGCGCAGCGACTCAACAAAGCGGCGCTTGCTAAAGTCCATGGTATCGACAAAGGCGTGCATGATCTCAATGTTCTTGGCGTCGCCCTCGCCGAGATACTCGCCGACCTGCGCCTTGTCAAGGCGCTCGTCGCGGATCAGAAAGCGGGCAATGTCGGCGGGCGAGTCGCTGGGGATGAAGCCCTGCTCGATCAGCATCTTGATACCCTTCTTGGGCTTGAAGTTGAACGCCCGCACAGCCGCAGCCAGGGCAGTCTTGCGGGCCTTTTCCTTCTCCAAGTGCTCCGGGTCATCGTCGACAACGGGTGTGGATGGTGGGATGGGCGACGCGTCCACGCGCGAGACACTGTCGCTGGCCAATGGGTCGATGGACTCGCGCATGTCCTCGGTCGACGAGCGCTTCTCGACGTCGGCCGCCGAGGCGCTGCTGCGGTCAGGCCGGCCGGCCTGCGACCAGTTGACCATGGAGTGCAGCGACTCGACGAGCGAGTCGAGCGCGACGCGCTTCAGCACGTACTCCTTGGGGAACTCGCTCTCGGGCTCATGGTGCGGCACGATCTGGTTGACGGTCAGCGGCGGCGGCATAGTGGTCTTGAGCTGCCAGTCGCTGCCGCTGGTCGTGCCGTGCTTCTCCTCGTAGCCGCGCTCGAGCTCGGGCGCGACGTACACGGGCGTGATGACAAACTTGGCCAGGTACTCGACAATGGTCTGGAAGATGTTGTCGACGTTGCGGTCACAGTCGTAGTTGAGGTACGTCTCGACAAGGGCGCGTGGATCGGCGCAGAGCCGGTTAAGGATGCCGACAAAATACAGCTTCGTCGCGACGGCGGGGCGGTCTTGCGCGCGAGCAGGGCGAGGTAGATCTCGTTGAGGAACACCTCAATCTCCTTCTTAAAGGGCGGCCGCATGAACTTGAACATCAGCCAGAAGATCTCGGAGCAGACCTCGAAGACGCGGTCGACAGAGCTGGCGCCGTTGCGTGTGATGCTGAGGCAGAGATAGAACTTGACGGCCTGCAGGAAGCTAGTCGGCTCATTGTTCTTGGTGTTGGTGATGGTGCAGAGCGGCGACATGAAGACGGCGATGTTGTTGTTGAGCAGCGTGTGGATCAGGTGCAGCGAGATCAGCTTGGACCGCATCGGCTGGCCGCGCAGATCGTACAGCTGATCGGGTGGCAGCACCTTTGTCGAGAGGTTGCAGAAAGAGCGGAAGACGAGGTAGGCGTCGCGGACGTAGACCTCGTCCTCGGCGTCGAGCGACTCAGGCGAGTCGCCGTGGGGACTGTCGGGTGCGGCCTGCTCAGACACAGAGCGGGCAGACGGCACTGGTGGATGCTTCAGATGGGTGACCATGGTCGGTCCATCGCCCAGATTGGAGTCGTCGAAGCTCTTGCGGTGTTCGAGGTCCTTGAGCGTCAGCTTGGCCGCAGCATCGCTAGCCTCGTCGACTTCGGCCGTCGGCAGCTGCGGAAGCCGATGGTCATCGTCCTCGCCATCAGCCTCGCCGTTGTCGTCACCGTCCGCACTGCCGGCACCGCTGCGACTGCTGTCGGTACCGGCGCCGTTGGTGGACAATTCGGCCTGCTCAAAGGTGGCGTTGCTGCCGTTCTGCTTCAGCTTCGCCAGGCCCAGACGGGTCTCCTTCATGTGCAGGCGGGTCTTGACGCGCTCAAAGACGGTGCCGACCATCTGGGTCAGGGTGCCCTGGGCAACGTGCTGGTTGGCCGTGTTGCGCGACAGCAGGAAGACGTTGTAGACCTGGCGGATGGCCTTGAGCAGGCCGGCGCCGTGCACGACGATCTTGTCGTTGAGGACGGCAGCCAACAGCGACTTGACAATCTGCAGCTGGATCTCGACCGGTGTAGTCTCGCCCTGGAAGCAGTCGCAGATGGTATCGATGGAGCGCTCGATCAAAGGAGCAGCTGGCGGTTTGGGCGGCTGAGGCGGATGGTCGGAGGCCTGCGAGCCCTGCTCGGACGATGACGACGGAGGTGGTGGGATGGAGAAGCACGAGTAGGAGATGAGTTTGCCGATGCAGTCGAGCGCGCTGGTGGCCAGAGCAATATTGCCGGACCGCGTGGCCAGCTGCAGCGGAGCGAAGACGATCTCGGGGTCGGGCAACTCGGGATCGGCGGCCTTGATGGCGTCGAGTGCATTTTTGACGGCATCACCGAGGGCGGCATTGTGGTGGGCATCCTTGGACGCGGCGATGACGCCCAGGGACGAGGAGACGAATTTGAGCGAGAGTGAGCTCATGGTGGCCGGGAGGGGCGATTGGAACGCCCAGCCATGCGCAAAGGAGGGGAGCCGGCGGAAAAGGAAAAGGCCGACCGATCGCAGCCGTTCGTCGGCAGAGGGCGAGACGGGGTGTATCGGCTCGGGCGGAGGACGCGGTTGCGTTCAGACGGATGCCGACAGGAAGAAATGGTGGAGATTGTGCAAAAAGACGCGAAGAAGACCACCGATCGTCCAAGGCCGGGAGAAACGGGGGAAAGCAGGAGAAAAGGAGAAAAGGACAGGAGAAAAAACAGGGACAGACGCCCGAGGTCAGCGGGGGTTCATGCCGTGGGGAGAGTCGGACGATGGCTGGTATGTCGGCAGCAGTGCTGGCGATGTCTTATGCAGAGAGACGAAGTAAGATAATAGATGACAGGTTTGTTAGCTGACTGGGACGGGGCCTAGGAACACGTCCCCGAATCCGGCCATTCCACACCATCGATTGGCATATTCCGCGTATGCAACTAGGCGGGCATGGCCTTTGTTCTCCACATGTTCATGGAGCCTCGGGTGCCTGAGGCAGCCACGCTTTTCGGATGATGTCAGCCTGCACGAAACACAAGACGCCGTCCAAGTACAGAGCTAGCAGGACTAAGCGCCCAGCTGCACGAACAGCACAACGGCTCGCCGGGGAAGGCCGTGGACGAGTCTGTCTTCCATCTTGCTGTTTTGTCCATGTCTGTAGCAGCGGCGTGGTCGCAAGCCGGACAGGGCACCGCGGCTCCGTGATCTCCGTGGTCTCCGCGATGTCCGAGGCTGCGCCGGCAACGTCACAGGGCGACACAGTCAGATGCTCTGGCACAACGCCGTTCTCGCAAGCCCCGATTAACTATTTTTGCGATATTTACGGTCCGACACGATAACGGGCAGATATGCTGCGAATAGCAGGCGTGTGTGGGCAGGAGCTACCGCCAGGTTTCGGCGACTCGGCCAATTATACGCCGTAACTCGCAGCCAGGGTGCGACAGAGCTTTCCTCCGGCTGCAGCAGCGCGCGCTGTGGCACACTAGAGCAGCAGCAGCAGCAGCAACAGCAGCAGTAGCAGCAGCTCTCTGGAAGGAAGGCGCGGACGAAAAAAATGGATAATTGAAAAATTCGCTGTCTGCGCCCTGAGCATTGTCCGCACCCCGGATCTGATTTCCTCGTCTTTCTCGCTGGACCGTTCCGTTTCTTTCCTAAAACCCCCTCCAACGTCCACCCCAAACGTAGTCGCCGGCCACACACCTCTCCAGCACCGCCGTTCTGCTTCCCGGATCAATTCTCTCGTGGCAGATCGAGCATTCACATCGTCTTACCCTCTTTGGAGCTCTCTACTTTTTTTTCCCCCCAGCTCAAGTCCGGACGAGCCCATCGGGATATCATCCGACCTGCCACACTTTTTCTCTTTTCCTCTTGTTCTGGCATTGCTTCCTCTCTTGTCTCTCGCATTCTTCAGATCACCACCGCCATGCTCGGTCCTATTCTCCGAAGGCGCGTGCTGCAGCAGCGCCCAGTGCTGCGGTATGCTGCCCCCTCGACGCTCGCCAGATGGTATGCTTCGTTCCCGCCGCATACCCTGATCAACATGCCGGCACTGTCGCCCACTATGACGGTCGGCAACATTGGCGTGTGGCAGAAGAAGCCGGGCGATGTGATTGTGCCTGGTGACGTGCTCGTGGAGATTGAGACCGACAAGGCCCAGATGGACTTTGAGTACCAGGAGGAAGGCGTGCTGGCCCAGATTCTGCTGCCGTCTGGCCAGAAGGATGTTCCGGTCAACAACGTACGTTTTTTTTTCTTTTCTTTTTGTCCTCCAGGCTTGCCTGCTACTACATAGTACACCCCACGCCCCGCTCCCCACTCCCCGGACTGACAGTGTGTCCGTGACAGCCGATCGCCGTCTTTGTCGAAAACACTGCCGACGTTGCAGCATTTGCAAACTTCACCCTGGCCGATGCTGGTGGCGCGGCTGCACCGGCAGCTGCGGCTGCGCCGGCCAAGGATTCCGCGGCTGCACCGACGTCGACGCCGACTGCGGCACCCGAGCCGGAGGAGTCGTCTTCCTCGATCGTGCGGCTGCAGACGGCCCTGGACCGCGAGCCGAACATCGGTGCGCCGGCGAAGCGGCTCGCGATCGAGCTGGGCGTCAAGGCGACGACGCTTAAGGGCACCGGCCCTGGCGGCAAGATCACGGAGGAGGATGTGCGCAAGGCAGCAGCGGCCAGCTCGGCGGCATCGGCAGCTTCGAGCGGCGGTGCGGCGGCAGCAGAAGGCGCGGCCTACGAGGACATTCCGATCAGCAACATGCGCAAGACGATTGCCAGCCGGCTCAAGGAGTCGGTGGCGGAGAACCCGCACTACTTTGTGTCGGCGACGCTATCAGTTAGCAAGCTGCTGAAGCTGCGGACGGCGCTCAACAGCACGGCCAACGGCAAGTACAAGCTCAGCGTGAATGACTTTTTGATCAAGGCGATCGCGGTGGCGTCGCGCAAGGTGCCGCAGGCCAACTCGTCGTGGCGCGACGGATTCATCCGGCAGTTCAACACGGTGGACGTGTCGGTGGCGGTGTCGACGCCCAACGGGCTGATCACGCCGATTGTGCGGTCGGTCGAGGGCAAGGGCCTGGCAGCGATCTCAGCCGCGGTCAAGGAGCTGGCTGGCCGTGCGCGCGACGGCAAGCTCAAGCCGGAGGAGTACCAGGGTGGCAGCATCTCCATCTCCAACATGGGCATGAACACGGCGGTCGAGCGGTTCACGGCCGTGATCAACCCGCCGCAGGCGGCCATCCTGGCCGTTGGTACCACGCAAAAGGTGGCTGTGCCGGCCGAGAACGAGGACGGAACCACGGGCATTGCCTGGGACGACCAGATCAACGTGACGGCCAGCTTCGACCACAAGGTCGTCGACGGGGCCGTCGGTGCCGAGTGGATCCGCGAGCTGAAGCAGGTGGTCGAGAACCCGCTCGAGCTGCTGCTGTAAGCGAGAGCACGAGCGAATGGTGACGATGACACGTGCAAGAGAGCAGGCGAGCCGGTATAGGAAGAATGTGTAGTTTAATAGTCATCCCACGCTGTTCATCTCGTCAGACATAGACACGGAGCATTCGTTCTTTCTGATATTGGTTCTTTGACACTTCTCTGCCAGAAAAGGTTGTATTTGTATCGTACTATGTCAGATACATAGCAAGAGACCATGAGTCATTCACGCAAAACTGCAGCTTATGTGGGGCGGAGTGGCCAATCCGCCGGCGGAGGCCGATGGGGACAGCCTGACCTCAGCGCGTGGCTTGGATGGTCCGTGCGCTCCCTCTGGGTCCAGGCTAAAGTCCGAATGATAGGTGACGAGCAGCCATCTGCGCGAAGAGGTCCGACGGGGAAGCAACACCACCTTCACTCCGCCGGGCAGACGTGTGTTTTCTATCTATTTACACTCGGGGCGACTGACGCGCGGTCGATGTTTCCGCTGCGTGCCGCAATCAGCTGCCGGACACTGCCGATCCTGCGGCCACGATGGAGCAGGGCATGCCTCTGAAGCGAAAGCGGCGGCGCAGAACGCTGGCGTGCGAAGAGGTGAGCATCGGGGGGGGGGGGGAGTGGGATAGGACGAGAAACGGGCGATAAGATGGAGGACAAAAAAAGGACCTCAAGCCAGCGGACGGAATAGACCGGACAGACCGGACAGACGCGCGCTGACAATGAGCATCTACGCCCGCCCCGACCGCAGTGCCGACGCCGCAAAGTCCGATGCGATCGCGAGCTGCCGTGCACCAACTGCGTGCAGGCTTACAAGCCGGAGCACTGCTTCTACCAGCCCGACCCCATGGCGGCACGGTCGCCGCCGCCGCGCCAGACCGAACATGAGCAGCAGCCACAGCAGCCACAGCAGCAGCAGCAGCCGCACCAGCAACAGCCATCAGCCGGGCTCCACGGACTGGCTGCCCTGAGTGGAGTGGCTGCCGGTGTCATGGCCGGCACGCTGGAGTCGGAATGGCCGGCATCGCCGAGTCCGGCTCGCTACCACGGTCACAGCCATGGCAACCACCATGGCTACAGCCACAGTCACGGCCACAACCACGGTCACGGCCATCATAGCCGTCATGACCACCACCGCTACCTGTCGCCGTCCAGAGGCCTCCTGCCCGGCTTCTCGTCCGTTTCTGGCAGCGAATCTGAAGTGTCGGCCCTCAAGGATCAGGTTCGCCGCCTTGAGAGCCGGCTGGCATCCGTGCTCGCCGGCCAGGACCTGCCGCCTCGACCACCCTCGGCACAGACCACCCGCACGGCCCCCATACTGCCGCCTCTGTCGCCCCGTCCGCCCCGGGCTGCTGGTTCTACGCCCGCACACACGCCCACGCCCTCGTCCACGCCGCTGCCGCTGCCGCTGCCCGTGTTGCCGCCGCCGACACAGCTGCTGACCAACGGCTACCGGCTGGGCGGCCCCCTGGATCAGACCCTCGACGGGACGGGCGAGAAACAGTACCACCGCGACAAGACGCAGTACATCAGCCGGGGCCACTGGATGAATGGCGCGCTGCTGACGCTCATGGTGAGTTCCTTCCTCCCTTCTCGGGTTTCGATACTTGTGTCGCTCCTTCCTGTTTTGCTCTTCCAATCCCATCATCTTCTCTATCCTTCTGTCGTTCCCCCCCTCCTATTCTCCCACCTCTCATCTCCCGTTCATCCCACTAATTGTCCAGAAACCCCTATTCGAACAAGTCATGCGCAAACCGGAGACCAGGAATGGCCTCGAAAAGTGCAAGTCTCTTGGCCGTACCATCAAGGCCAACCGCACACCATCGCTTCTGCAAACACTCGACGTCGGCCGTCACGTGCCTGCACGCCAGCTCGCCGACGAGCTCGTCAGCTGCTACTTCCGCACGTTCGAGTCCGTCTACCGCATCCTCCACATCCCCACCTTCATGCAGGCCTACCAGCGCTACTGGGAGAAGCCCAGTGCTGCCAGCACCGTTTTTATCGTCCAGATGCAGCTATGCATGGCCATTGGCGTCTGTTTCTACGACGACACCTGCTCGCTGCGCCATCTGGCCGCTCAGTGGATCTACGAAGCCCAAGTCTGGCAGATGGCTCCCGCACAGTCCGAAAAGGCGCGCATGACCGTCGCCGGCTTGCAGACAATGTGCTTGCTGCATCTGGCTCGCGAGACCTCCAGCGTTGGCGCTGACCTGTTGTGGGTTTCGGCCGGCAGCCTCATCCGCTCTGCCATGTACCTGGGCCTGCACCGTGACCCCAGCTGCATCCCCAAGATCCCGCGTTTTCTCGCCGAGATCCGCCGCCGCCTCTGGGTCACCGTGCTCGAGCTCTCCCTGCAGTCCAGCTTCAGCTCTGGCGGTCCACCCCTCGTTGATCTCGACGACTTTGACTCGCTGCCGCCGGCCAACTTCTTTGACGACCAGCTCGCCGAGAAGAACTGCACGTCCGGCTCCGTGCCCGAATCCGGGCCTGCCTCGACAGTAGGAGCATTGCCTCCTCCCTACCCGCCTGCAACCTTCACCGACACGTCCATCCAGATCGCCCTGTTCAGGTCCTTTCCCACCCGCTTGGCCGTCGCCCACAACGTCAACGACTTTCGCAACCCTGGCTCCTACGACGAAACCCTTCGCCTCAACTCGGAGCTGCGCTCCGGCTGCCAGTCCCTCTCGGCCACCATGCAGTCCTTCTGTACCGCTTCAGGCACGGGCAAGATGCGACCCTCCACCTTCCACCTGCGCCTCGTCGAGCATCTCACCCAGCGCTGTTTCCTGTCGCTAAACCAGGCCTTCCTAGCTGCGTCCCAGAACGATCCAAAGTACTACTTCTCGCGCAAGGTCAGCGTTGACACCGCCCTGAAGCTGTTTCAGGGTTGTGGCAGCTGTCAGACAACATCTACGGGCGCGAAATCTCTTGTGCCAGACAGGGGCACCACACCACCACCCTCTTCCCACTGGAGCGCAATAATGACGAGCAACAGCAATGGCGACTCGGGTGGCGGTGGTGCTTCTGTCTCATCTGTATCTACATCACCGGGATTGAGCAGTCGCGGATTACGGAACCATGGCTTCCCGTTTTCGTCTGGCATCGACATGGCAGACGAACCAACCGACTTCCACCGACTGTGTGTCACCGCATCGGGCGCCTTTCGCTCCGTGCCCGTGCAGTGTTTTGCCACCCTCAGCATGGAGCTTATGTGGCAGTTGGAAGAAGAGCATTCTGCGCGGCTCAGTCTGGGTATCGTCGGCGGTCGTGGCACCTTTTCGGCCTCCTCGTTAGCTGCCGAACTGGACCCCAGCGCCTCTACGTTTCTCGCCATGCCGGGCGTCATGGCGCAATCTGTGCTTCTAGAATCGGTAGAGCAGGCCGTCCTCTTTACGGAGAAGCGCGTTACCGCCGGCGAGACAAACGTGAAGGGCATACTGTTCCTATGCGCCGTGCTTTCGCAGGCGCAGGCGCTCATGCGCGGTGCTGATAAAGAGGAGATGGAGCAAACCGTTGTGGCTGATTGCGACGCACGGCTGAAGCACTGTGTCGAACAGCTACGAGTGGTTGCAGCACGGCATACTGTCGGCAGTGGTGCCAGCAAAGACGATGCACCGACGTCACCAAGCTTCGGGCCCGAGCCCGCCGTTGGCGGGGGCATGTTTGACAGCCAGGGCATGAACGACCTGTCTGTCTTGACAGATGCCAACATGCCGATCGGCGGGGACGGTTGGGCTTGGGAAGACCTGGTAAGTCGCGACTCAAAGTTCGGCCACTGCGCTAGGACGCTTACTAATAAAGAGGTGCAGATGCAGAACCAGGATTTCACCTTCAAGTTCAACACAGGCAGCGTGGATCCTTTCTTTCCCGTAATCTGACTGTAACCTATGCTCTCTATGCCTACTGTCTTGTTAGGTGTCGGTTAGTTGCGGTTTGTGTCTGTGGCAACATCCTTTTCTCCTCTCTCTCCCGCTCTCTCTTTACTCAACCGTACAGCAAAGTGGTAAGGGCTACTGGGTATAAAATATCTTTCTCCTTGCTCACCATCCGAACCAATTCTTCTTCTCGACCTCTCCAGCCTCTCAAACAGTCGAGCAGCCAATTGTCAAGAATACATTCGTTTACTCCCACCTACTCCCCCAACATCTTCCATCATGCGCTCTATCCTCGTTGCCGGCCTTCTCATGGTTGGCTCTCTACTTCCTGAGGTTTCCGCATACCCCAGGATTGTCATTACCACGCACACTCTCCGACAAACCCACACTGCCCATATTTCCCACACTGCAAGCTCCAAGGCGGTGGCGGCCACCGTCACCAAGGTTGCATCGTCCTTTGACTTTGAAGCGCCGAGCAAGCTGGACATCAACCCACACAACAAGGGCAGCAACAGGAAGAAGTACCACGGCAACCCGGCCGGCGGTAGAGTGGTCGCGCGCGCAGAGGTTGCTGCCCCAGTCGAGTATCCCGCTGTGGATGCAAACGGCGACGTCCTTACTGGCTCGGACACGCTGAACACCACGGGCGACACCAAGGTGGTAGACTGGCAGAACGGCAGATCCTCTTCGACGTACGGAGCATCGGAGAACGTCTGGACCGACCTTAAGGGCACGGGCATGTCGATCCTCAAAAAGGTCATGGAAAAGATCATGGAAAAGATCAAGCACCTGCTGGGCGGCGGCTCCTTTGTCGACAGCTCAGGCTTTGATGACGATTCCGACTCGGATAACGAGGCAATTGTCGAAGGTTTCAAGCAGATCTACAATGAGACGACGGAGGAGCTGGAAAGCCTGGGTCTCTCTGACGACTAAACCATGCTCATACCAGCCATCTAAGCTGCCGGCTAACGGGCACGGTTGGTTCTACTGACGCCTGTCTACAATCTTTCCTTCGCGGCATGTCACAGAAAGACGCTTGCTTTCGCAATTCTGTTCGTTGCGCTGTGTCTATCTGGACAGAGGTGCCACCAAAAGTACTGTTATTTGTAGGATATTATTTTAGTGTATCCTCGAATGTTTATGTCTCTTAGTTACAAATTTCAACTTCTTCTTTTCAGTTCTGGACAGGCAAGTGTAGCTGGTTAAGACGAGTACGGCCGGCAAAGGTAGGTGGTAGTCGTGCGCGGCGTGGCAGCAGCAGTGGTGGTGCTGAAGTGGACGACGGGGCCGTGACCACGGCCGTAGCCCAAGGTCTCAGTAGCAAGGAAGCGACATCCGCTGCAGTCAATGTGGACAGTGGTGGCGGTGGTGGCAGTCCAGATGGTGCAAACAGGTCCGGCAGTGAACTTGCCGAGGATGTGTTGGGTCGAGGTGCAGTTGGGGGAACCAGGGAGGAGAGAGCCGCGATCATGGACGAACGGACTGGCAAAGGCGCCAATAGCCGCGATGGCCGGAATGTACTTTGAGACCCAGGACAAGAGCATTTTGGGTAGAGCTGGAGCGTTGAGGAGGGAGACGAGAGGGAGTGGCTCTGAGCTACGATGGGGAAAAAGTTTGCCAGAAGCCTAGTCAAGTCAGCAATTGGATGCTTACAGGTTTGGGTTTAGTTAATTCTGTGCGTTTGCCTCACAGTGTGCTACTGTCACACGCAGACGCTGTAATTTCAGTTGTCTGAAGAAGCTTCTTCGCCTTCCTCGTAAGCGGCCACTCTCTCCGCTCTTCTGGTTTGCCCACGCACAGTCACATGAACATAAAATTACCGAAAATCTTCGAATCTTCGACAAGTTTCTACACAGTGCCGCCGGTTGTTATAAGCAATCACGTAGATGAGTTGTAAACGAATAAAAGTACGTACGAGTCTGACATGCTGCCGAAATGAGACAAAGTCTAGGAATTGTGCTTGGACAGGATCAACCTGGCTCTGAAGCTTACTGACACAAACTTACGGCAACCAAAGACTCGTCACAAGCAAATATTATGTCCTCTTTTACGTCAGCGAAACTCGAGACTGGTGACAGATCGAGGCAAGGATATTGGATACTCTGATTAACCAACCTAGAACATAACACCACAAGCGCTTTGGCAACAACTCCCAGGTCGATACCTGAATGTCCAAGAAGACTTGAAAGGGGAGAATGAAAAGAAGCAGCCGGACGGAAAGGATATACGGTCTAAATAACGGTTCTCAGCCAGACTTTCTATCCCAGCAAATTTTACGTTCTGGTCTTATAACGTATCGCAACTCGGTCTGCGCCAAAAGCTGTCTTGGCTGAAATGCGACCCGCACGTGACAGCTGCGCATATTCTTGCTATTACGAGCTAACCTTCCATCAACCAATGGGCTTGTGGTTTAGTGGTATAATACTCCCTTAGCATGGGAGTGGTCCAGGGTTCGATTCCCTGCAAGTCCATTTTTGTTTTTGTTTTTATTGCGCATCCTTGCTGTGGTCCAGCTCTTCAGACGCAGTTCAGTTCAGGAGATAGAGCTTCAATGGAGGCGCAACCCCATTCATCTGTTCCTTTTTGCGAATGCACGGCAATCAGAGCTGGAATTGAACAGCACATTAAGGCACCATCGAATCTATATATCACCCCAGTTCTGCCCTACAGTTTCGCACCGGCAAAGTTGGAGCCGCCGAGGGCATCGACGATGGTGTCGACGGTGCGCAAAATCCACTCGCTTCCGTCGTCGGTGGCGAGCCAGTCGACACCGCGGACCTGCTCGAGGGCGTCGGCGCCGGTGCCGGCCGGCTTCCAGGAGCCGTCAGCGATGGCCTTGCGGAGGCCGAAGACGTGCGAGAGCACCTGGGGGCCAACGCCCTGCTGAGCACGCAGACACGTGATACCGACGAGGCTTGTGAGGGCGCGTCCGACGTTGGCGAGGCCACCGTCGCCGTGGTGCGGCGGATCGGTGAAGAGGGGGCCGTAGTGCGAGTTGAGAATGTGCACCGGCAGGTCCGGATGCGACTCGGCCAGCTTGTCGAGCAGCTTCTGGTCGACGCCAGCGTAGACGGATCGCCAGAGCGTCAGCCCGCGCGCGCTGATGGCCGCCAGCGTTTCAGGGGTCGGCGTCCGCGTGCTCTGCGTCGCCAGTCCGGCCACCACGTCCGCCGACAGCGCCGTCCGGAATGCCCCCAGCACGTTGATCGTGCGCGGGATCCCGTTGAAGCCGATGCACTTGAGCCCGACCTCGCGGATCAGCTCGGCCGCCGCGATGGGATTCTCAGACCTGCCGCTCGCCGATGCCGTCGTCTCGTCGGTTGCCACGCCGTGCAGCACCGACAGCGACGCCGGCGAGTTCAGCGTGATCGTTGCCGCCGCCTGCCCGCGGTCAGCGTCGTGCTGGAACGAGCTCGTCCTCCCACATACTCACCGAAATCGTGATCCATGGCTGGTTGCCCACGTTGTGCTTGGCCGCGTCACGTGCCACTGCCCGGTATACCTCGGCAATGTGTGCCGGCGCCGATGTCGGGCCCGGCCGCGAATGCGGCGCGTTGATGAGCGCCTTGAGCGACGGTGCGAGCTTCATCATGCAGATGGTGCAGGAGCAGGTCGAAGCCGCGTGGACGATGGTTACGTTGGAAGCAGGCCGGCGGATTTTGTCCGTCGTAAAGCTGCCCGTTAGTGCATTGCCAAGGGCCAGCGCGGGGACAATTTGCGGGAATGGCAATTCTGTGGTGTTTCCTTATAAGACAAAGTAACAGTCGCTGCAACTCGCGGCTGCAACTCGCGAAAACCCAGTGCATATTTTTTTATGTGGACTCCAATCACGTTTGAGGTCTGCAAGCTCGTTTCGACTGCAGCATTGCCTGGCTTGCTGTCGATGTCATATTTTTTAGAGATGCGGAGCCAGCCAACGTTGCTTCAACTCTAATAAGAAGTGCAAAGCACACAACTGGATGTATCAATGGCCAGTCTATATGCTATCATAGATTGCGATGTCTCAATGGATTATATTAACGTAGTTTCGCTACTTGAACTATTCCTAGAGTTACGATCGACCTAGCCTTAGTAGGCAGTTTATACCAAACTAGCAAGGCTGTGATAACCTTCACGTAGTAGGAGGAAGGCAACGTACTACTTCTTATGAGATCTTTGTATTTATTAGCACTGTTGGTTTTTACATTCCCCCGCTACGCTTGCTTTCTCCGACCTTTGCAATACGAGGCGCTGTTAGAAGTTTTATGGATCAGAGTAAATTATAATTCCGAGAGGACTATAATTGCTTTTTCGGATACGTTGGACAATGAAATTGAAGTAACGTTACTTTTGCCTTACTTTCGGTCTTTTTCAGAGTTGTGCTACAAGGATAGGTTGCCTACGCTATGAAGGAAGAGAATAGATCCACTTAAGAAGACGCCGTAGACACAACGTCTTGCAAGATCTCATTTTTGTTTGTCTCATTCGCGAGCGGAAGAAACTGCCGAACGTGGTTCTCCTCTTGCCCTTCGCCTTTTTTAACCTACCCCGCATATCGTAATGAAATTACCGGCTAATAAAGCATGTTTGTAATGTTCAAGGATCGGGATAGGATGGTTGATGAACGACAGGACATACCTAAACATCTACAGCAGATTCATCTTTGTTCCAATGTTGTAGTGAAAACTATAATTGCAGGTACTAAGGCGCGGCCTACGGCCAATCAAGTTGCCGTGTTCATAACTTCGCCACACCGCAGCCTGTTAGAGGAAGGGATGCTTCTGTGCAAAAGCGGGAAAGCATCCTGACGTTAAACACAATAGTACAGAGGAGGTACGACGAAAAGGGAGGTGGCCTATTTCAAGTCTAGAGCCGTTTAGCTTCCATAATTCTCGGCCCGCCTAAGGCAGGGAAGGAAAGGATTCCGGCTTTGCTCTTATTCTCTGATTCAAAATTAACGTAACAGGTAGAGGCGGGGTAAGGGTAGTATCATGTTACAGTCCCTCTAAAATCTCTTGATGATACTTCGGTCAAGATCGGCTCCGCCTTCAGAGTTCTAAACAGCCAATACATGCCGAACAGCTCAGCAACTCGTTCAATATAGTTTCACTCGGTTAAATACTTCCTCAACTGCTAAGCGAGGCGGGTCAGCCATCCATCGGCCAGTCCGTATAGTTTCAAGGTTGCGGGAGAAAACCGGTCTTTAGCAACATGCCACACGGGCATAACAGAAGTTGTAATGGGCTTGCCGCAACAATGGTTTTCCTATATAAAGAGGCTCATGATCCCCCCTCTCTGCATTTGTTTTCATACACAATCTCCCACTTCATCATCAACTGGTTGTCCCAGTCTTTCAAACCGTCGAACTCGTCCCCAAAAAGACACAAATATGCTATCCCGCCTCCTTACAGCAAGCCTTTTGGCTGCGCTGTTTAAGGCAATTTTCGCCTACTCTAACCCGGGTGCTTGCTCTGGCAACTGCTGGGCCCATGATCCGGCGCTGATTGTTCGCGCCTCTGATGGCGTCTACTTTCGTTTTAACACTGGCTCCGAGATTGGCATTCTGAAGGCTGATAGCCTTGAAGGCCCTTGGGAAACTGAGGGTAGTGCACTTCCTGGAGGGAGCACTATAAACCTCCCTGGTAATACTGATTTGTGGGTAAGTTAAACATTTTCTGTGAGAAAACAGATTGTAAAGACAGAACAAAGTTTAACTCGATCTATGATATAAATATAACAGGCTCCGGAAGTCCACTTTATTGACAACACATACTATATGTACTATGCTGTATCGACCTTTGGCTCCCAAAACTCTGACATTGGATATGCTACCTCGGCCACAATGGAAGTCGGCTCATGGACCGATCATGGTAGTACCGGTGTTAGGTCGTCTTCCGGCAGCCCCTATAACGCAATCGACCCTAACCTGATCGAGGCCGGTTCATCCTACCTTATGAACTTTGGTTCATTTTGGGGCGACATTTATCAGGTCCGTTTCTTTACCTTTTCTATATCTTTAAGCGATATACTTCATATATACTGATAAAGTATTTCAAAACAGGTTGCTATGCTCAATCCTACTACAGCATCTTCTGATGCTCCCTATCAAATAGCATACAACGCATCTGGGTCGCACGCTGCCGAAGGGTCGTTTATGTATTATTACTCAGGCTACTACTACCTTTTCTGGAGCGCGGGAACCTGTTGTGGCTTTGACACTAACAAGCCGGCCCCGGGTGACGAATATGCTATTAAGGTGTGCCGCAGTACCTCTGCTACTGGTAATTTCGTCGACCAAGCCGGGACGAGCTGTACAGCTGGTGGCGGTACCACTGTGCTTTCCAGCCACGACTATGTTTATGGTCCTGGTGGACAGGGTGTCTTTGATGACCCTACGCGTGGCACTGTGATCTATTATCATTATGGTTAGTGTCTTCTTTCAGTGAAGGTTTGGAAGCCAATTCGCTAACTTTCCCAACCAGCGAATACGAACATTGGTCTCGGGGATGGCCAATATCAGTTTGGCTGGAACGTACTTAGCTGGCCGAATGGATGGCCGTCCGTTTAAGAGAGATGGACATATCACACGTATGAAGAGTTATAACGGTTATCATACTGTTGTAAGTTGAAACGAATTGAATAGGGTTTGATATCAATCAAAGCACATGGTGAAATAGTTTGGCTAGAGATAACGTAACACGATATGATTACGACCCAGACAGGTCCAACAGAGCAGCAAAGCAATGCCACCAAACCAGACTGCGACTACTCTGTATCCACCAGTGTCTCGGCCGTCTTGGAGCTCTCCCCAGCCTTCAGCTGCGGCACGGCCGACGTCCCCAGCGATCTGGTTAGGGCCGTCAGCATCAGCTTCAGCTCCGCCACCTCCGACCGCAGCTCGCGCACCTCCAACACCGCCAGCTCGTCCTCCACGTTCGGCCGCACCCGCTCGACCGTCTTGTTCCAGCCGTCAGCCTCAAAGTCGACCGTCATCGTGCCGGCCGCATCGCCGCCCAGCCCCAGTCCCAGCTGTTCCCACTCCTCCACAATGTCGTCGTCCGCGTCGCCGCGCAGCCGGTTCACCTGGATCTCGCGTGCCTGCCGCGTCTCAAAGTACGCCGCCAGCACCAGCAGCGGCGAGTACAGCGCCGCCATCACGTAGTCGTTCAGCTTCTCGTATGTCCGCTTGCTCATCCACCACTCAAACGGCAGCGCTAGACAGAAAATCTCAATCAGGTTCAGCGGCGGGATAAACACGTTCTCGTCCGGCGCCCGCACAAACTGCATCGTCTTCTGCGCAAACAGCGCTAGATACTCGTCGTCCGCGTTCTCGTAAATGTCCTCGTAGGCTGAGTTGTACAGCGCAATCAGAATGTTGAGCAGCACCACCATCACGATAAACGTGAAGCAGTAGTACAGGATGATGCCGAACGGATGGCCAAACTGCTCAAAGCCCTCAAAGTCGGGGCTCTGCATCACTGCGTTGGCCATCGCCTGCACGATAAATCCAATGTCACCGAGCACGTGGTCCTCTGCAATATCCAGCCCGATGAACGACTGAAGGAAACCCACCAGGATCACGATCAGCAGCGCAAAGAAGATCACTGATTCCTTCATCATCACCTTGAGCACCACCAGCATCGCCCCGAAGAACCGGAAGCTGTCGAGGTACAGCAGCAGCCGTATCCAGAACATAGGCGCGCTGAAGGCCAGGAAGTTGTAGCTCAGCTCGTTGTAGTGCTCGCGCGGGCCCTTGAAGTTCACATCGCCCGTCGACGGCTTGCTGAATGCCACAAACCGCAGTGCCAGGCTGGTAAGCAGCAGCGAGTACAGCAACCCGTTGAACGCATCCCAGAACCCGAGGATGTAGTAGCCTGCCTTCCAGATCTTGGAAATCTCGTCAAACAGAAAGCCAAACGTAAAGAGGTACAGCACGACCTCCACAAAGTCCAAGTCGCCGCTCCGGTTGATCGTGTTGATCGCAATCGTGAAGAGTCCAAGGTAGATGAGCGAGAGCAGCATCTGCGCCGCGTTCTGGTACATCGGCGCCCGCATCCGGTCCGGATCCATGTGCGACAGAAACGACGTGTCGTCGCGCCCTTTGTAGTCCACAAAGTTCGACGGGTCGTCCTCATCCTGCACCAACCAGCCGCGCCACAGGTACCCAATGCACTTCTGGTAACCCGATGACCCGATCACACGCAGCGCATGCAGGTCTACTGCCTTTTCAATCACGTTGGATGGCAGCGTCGGCTCCTGGTCGATCAGGATGGCGTAGCGCTTTAAAAGGACCGAGTGCATCAGGTACTCGGTATCTTCCTCGTTCTCGATGCTGCCCGCATTAGGTGCCTACCCACTGACAAGAGCCGGGGTCGAGAGAGAGTCTGGACCTACATTTGCTTGGCAATCACCTCGCACGCAATGCCACGCACCTGGTGCATGCTCGCGTCCCAGAGCTCGGCAAGAGCCTGGTGCCGGAACCAACGTTTGCAGATGAGTAGACAGAAGACCTGCCGTATGTCAGACTTGCTCGCTCCTCTGAGCTGCTCCCTCTTCCGGATGTGGGAAACCCACCACACAGCCCCTGTACTCCTCACCGCCGGCTTCTTTCGCTGCTTTGATGACTGCCTTGTTGATGATCTTGCTGTGTGAGCGTGTTACGAGCTCTTCCTCCATCTCGCAAGGGATGCACTGTTCGACCAGGTGGTGGAGCCGGATGGCAATCTTGGTAACCTCGGCAGGCGGGATTGCCGATTCGATGTTGTCCTCGACGTATGCGGGAAGTACTGGAGAGACAACAGGTCAGCACTTTGTTGTGCATGTGCAATTGCCCGCATCGGGGGACTGGAGACACTCACGACGCCGGCGTGTGTCTTCCAGGAGGCCCCGGCGTTCGTGGGACGGGTGCTTGTTCCAGCCCAGAAGGTTGCGCCAGACAGAGCCGCCTGAGCGGCGCGCGCCTCGACCAGTCATGGTGGAAGGGCTGGGACCAGAAACGTTTCGTGGGCCAGCTATCGTGGGTCGGTGACGCTGCTGTGGTCTCGATTGACGAACGGTTGAAAAAGAAGAGTCTGAAGAGAAGACAAAGAAAATGCGGGAATGAGACAATTAATGTAGGACTCCCTCCATTTTCTTCCTACTCAGCCAGCTGTGTTGCCCGCTAAAACAACACCCTTGCAGGAGCATGCTAGTGTGCGAAAACAGGGGGCGAATACAAGGAAAAAGCAGAAACACAGGAAGCTCGCCGAGATTTTTGTGGCTCCCACGCGCGGTGGACAGATGTTAGCTCGAAATGACGTCGGCTGGCTTGTCGCTATATCGCGATCTGAGGTGGGGTTCAGGCGGTCCAACCACAGCGGCGTTTCAGGGGAGAGCTGAGCGCGAAGACGCACGCTAACGGCCTATTCGGCTAGCATGGGCCAGCTGGAACGCCCCCATCATGATCGTGAGATAGAGTCCTGACTCTGTGCCATTTCTGACGGTAGTGGATCACTGCGCCGCACATGGGCCAGGATGCCTGCAGGCGATGCCACATGCGGGAGGGCGTCTTGGATCCTGATACTCGTGTTTTCAGCGGTTGCAATGGGACCCACCCACCGATAATGGCCCAATGGTACTCCGTAATGACGATGAATTTGTAGCACGCAGAGCAGTGTAGCCAAATAAACGGGATCGCGGGAAGAAAATGTCGGACGAGAACATAGAGGAGCTTTCAATGCGTGCTTTGCATACTCGTATTGTGTTCCAGTCCTTTTCTTTTTCTCATACCCACTTCTTGGCTCGAATCATCACTGGTTGAGAGGCTCTGCGACAATGCTGAAAAAGTTGGATTTGCTAATCGTCCATTCTTAACGAAGTGCATTTGGTGCAGCCGACGTGGCAGCTACATGCGCTGGCTTTATGCCCAACACGGCAACGCCGTCTGGTGGTGGTGATTAGAAAGCGACCATCGCTCCAGGCTATTGGAAGGACGGATGCACTCTAACTCTCACACTTGTATGCGCCCAGACAAATTCCTGCAGTCGTCTTCACACAGCCCTATTGCTGCCTAGAGGGCTTGTGAAGCCAACCAATGGCAGGTAGCCGCCGTTTCCTGTCGTTTCTTCCTGCTGCAGGCGTCGGTTCTGGGCCGAGCCACTCACCGCCGCTGCATGGGCTTATCTTTGTGATGCGTCGTCTGTGATCCTTCGAACACGAGGAAGGCCTCAATCAGCAACTAATATACCGTCCCAGGCCGCCGTGGCCCAAGCTTTCCCCAAGGTCCAAACTACTTCCCCACCGAAGCAGGAGCTCTAGGCAGCCATGGCCGGTGGGGCCATAGGTCATACTGCCTAACACCTGGCATACGGAGTATTATTCCATAACGGCATAATCTCCATCGCAGCCTTCCTAGACGGCAATACTTATACTCGGTTTTGCCGTCTTGCTGACCTTTCTTCCCGCTTTCTCATTCTCGTCTTCACACTTTATCCCGTACCTCAATATATCCGTATTTTCCCGTCTGCACTCTCTATCTGTCGCTGTGAAGCGTTGGGTCTGCTTCACAACTGCTCTTCCAGAGCACAAATCACACCTTGCAAATCCTTGCAAAACGCCGAGCCAAGCACTAGAAACGAAATTGAGGCGAGCACCAATGCACTGGCCTTTCTAGTCCCCCAGGCCACGAACCACATACCAGTGATAACCACAGTCGCCCTCGTGGCAGTTCTTGCTCACCGACTTCTCGAACGCATATGTACCTCGCCTTCCTATCAATTTTGAGGCTTGCGTGTGACTGATACGTAAGTCTCCGGTTCTGCCGAGTTGGCAGTACACCCCCTCTTTTCTTCACCACTCTGCTGCCTTCTTCCCGCAGTGTGGCCACGCATCCTTCTTGCACGCTGCTGTTTGTTGCCGCCATCGTCGCACGCAGGCAGATTGCATGTGCACTATTACCTCCCATCTGTCAGTTGCTAAATAGGTTCGGCCTGGCCAGCTGGCTCGCTCCTGTCGCTGTTCTTACTTGATCCCAACCCGGCCCACCTCTTCACACGCAGCAATGCCAGGCTCTTTGCAAAAATCGAGAGCAGAACGGTGCCGCTAACAACTCCGAATCATAGATCACGCTATCCAGTTTTTCGATTGCCCTTCATATTTGTCGGCTGACTGACCGCCTTGTTTTTTGTTCGAAGTGCTTCGTGTCCCGGCCGCTATCGACAGCCAGGTCAGCATACAAATTTTGATCAGCGTCCAACTTTGTGTTCTCTCGAGACTTTACTGCTTTTTCTTTTGCGTATTTGCTCCTGCAACGTCTCCAAGGCCTAAATCAACGTCATTTGCCTCTGTGTCTTCTCGTCTTTGTCGCACCCGCACTGCAGTCACGCTACAGTCACGCTACAATCGCGCTAATACAGCCGTTCCCTAACATTATTTGCGCCTAAAACGTTTTCGAGCCCGCTTCTCCCCGCAATCCTACTATGGATTCTCAGGTTGTCTTGGACGTCTCCAAAACCAGGCTGGGGGACTCCACTAAGGCCGGCATCGACGCCGTCTCCACAAAGACGCCCGAAGTAGATCAGAAGACTACGGACTACGCCGATGCGACCGTTAAGAAGGCGGCCAGGGATAAGTCGGCCGAATCCCCGGAAAAACACAGAAAACCCCATAAGACAAAGCAATCTGCCAACCATGTCGTCGAGGAGGAGTCATCCGATTCTGACAGCGATACAACTTCGTCTACGGACTTGTCCCCAGATAATACGGACGGTTTTGATTCGTCTAGTTCTGAAGAGAAACCAAAGAAGAAATCCAAGTCGAAGCTGCGACATGGCTCTAATAAAAAAAAGGAAAAGCCTGTCAAAGCAAAGCGGTCGAAGAAACTCATCACGATTCCGAAGACCTCTAGTTCTGAATCCGATTCCGACCCCGAGTCTTCTGATTCAGATTTGAGTGTTGCCGGCTCATCAAACTCTGACAGCAAGGAAAATACCAGGGGCTCGAGGAAGAATCACAAAAAACGTCAGCTGCATCTTCTGACCCAGCAACAGCAACAGCAAGACCTCACGAGACTCCTTCTCCTGCAGCAGCAGCAGCAGCAGCAACAGCAGCTCCCACCCCCGATACAGCTGTATGATCCATATCAGCAATACGCGACTCCAGCGTATTACGGGGCTCCTTTTGGGAACCAGGCCTCAAATCCCCTCGGGGTCCACTTGGGCCTCACTTCCAATTACGCACAGCCACCACATCTGGGGAGCCCTCTCGGCGGATACGATCGTGGCTTGGGAATTAGGCCACCTCCACCAGGTACCAACAATGGTCTTCGACGTGGCCGACTGCATGACCTGACAGGCATCATACCAGACAATCAGCGGAAGTCGTCCAGACATAGGCGATCCAAGACATCACGCCTTGATTTCAAGCGTGTTGACCAGGTTTGGGATAGTACTATTCACAACTACAAGCTGCAAGACACTGCTGAGGGGATCACGGACCCGGAGTACGAAGGATACTTGTTCCATGTGCGACGCACATTTGACTGGGAAGGAAAATACAAGCAGACTGTCGTCGACATTAAAAGCAAGCTGCTTCGTGACAGCCTCCAGGAGGTGATAGGCGACGTCAAGGGTGTCAGCTTGGTGGAGGAGGTACCAAAGTTAGATCCCAATCTGCTTTTCTTATACCTGGAGGATATGCGCAAGCATATAAAGGTTTTCAAGAATACAAAGCCAAATGGAAAGAAGAAGGTTGCCAAGAAGGAGCGGAGGACGCTTGAGAAGAAGACACAGCAAATGAAAGTTCTTGTCAAGTATCTTGAAAGGGACTATGAGTCCGTGAAGAAGAGGTAAGAGACCAGTTGCCTAGTGATCTGCGTCCATCTTCAGATCCACGGTTGCTGACTTTCTTAGTCTTCATCCACTTCTGGAAAATGGCTTGATCACATTTGACTTTCTGTGGGCTCTTTGGAAGCCAAATACCCTTGCTTATGCAACTACATATGGCTCAACCGACGAGCCTCGCGTGTTCAAGGTTGAGATGGCTGAAAAGCATTTCAGCGTCATGAAGGGCGACTTTTACTACGTCGAAGGAAAGGCAGGTTTATCGATCTGTTCGAAATAACGTGTGTTCCTTCTGTAAGATCTTTTGCTGACAACTCGGACATCCTACAGTACTTTGAATACGACGGTAAGCGCTTCGGCTTTGGAAGCATGGCAGACGAAATTGGCGAGTTCCGCGGTGCCCGCAAAATCACAAGCTTGCCGGTGTATCCTTTACAGTACCACAAGAATGAGAAAGAGCTTCGCGAAAGACTTATTACTCGTGGCAAGAAATTTGTGGCGCTGAGTGGCGTTCAGTACAAGAGCTATGAAGGCATGGCGTACTACAAGAAGAAGAAAGCAGCTGTCAAGGTCAACATCACCGGACGTATCATGATCGATCCCAGCATTCATCGACGGATCAATCCGAATTACCCCATCTCGATGGTTCGGCCCAGCGACCATGACCTGGCGTCCGGTGACGAAGATTCCAGCAGTGAACTGGATGACGGATGCGGTTGTGGCTCCAAATCAGAGTCGGACTCTGGCCGAGAGCAACGTCACCTCGAGATCTTCCGAGATGAAAAAGGCAACACCATCTTGGCCAAGTCTGTGGCAGATGACAGCAACGAAGAAGCAAAAGCGGACGAAATTGGGCCGGATAAGAAGAGCAATACGGCTAGGCCGAGTAGCGGAAGCAGTACTGCAGACGACACCGACGAGAAGGCTGAGAAGGCCCCTCCTGAATTTGGCGACGAGGAGTACTTGCTGGCCTCGTCGGTTATATTGGGCTTTGCATTTGCCGAGAAACTCTGGCTTGAATTTACGGTGTCGAACGTCAAGGAGATCCAGTGGAACGATACTGCGTATGATTCACTGGTTCTAGAGCCGAAAACAAAAGATATTGTCAAGGTCAGCCTTTCTTTTTTTTTCCTTTTTATCCAGCTTCTCCTCTCTCTAACTCCAAATGTCTGGTGTAGGCACTTGTTGAGTCGCATAAATACCATGCAGCAGAAAGCATCGACGACGTGATTCAGGGCAAGGGCAAAGGCCTTGTTGGTGCGTCTCCCTCCACGTCCTGTCTCCTGAGCATGGATGGAATACTAACATCAGATTGTAGCCGTGCTCCATGGACCACCAGGAACAGGCAAAACACTCACGGCAGAGGGCATTTCTGAGCTGCTTAAGTGTCCCTTGTACATGGTGTCTGCAGGTGAGCTGGGCACTGACTCCCGATTTCTCGAAACGGAGCTGCAAAAGATACTTGACATTTGCCACGCGTGGGGTGCAATTTTGCTACTTGACGAAGCCGACGTCTTCCTTGAAAAGCGCAACATGCACGACATCCACCGAAATGCGTTGGTCAGCATCTTTCTCCGTCAACTAGAGTACTTTCAGGGCATATTGTTCCTGACGACGAACCGTGTCGAGGTATGTGTGCTATTCCAGGAGATTTAAAGCACCGGTATGATAGCTAACACATTAAGACGTTTGACGACGCGTTTCAGTCACGGATACATATTGCGTTGCGCTACGGTAGCCTAGACAATCGTGCAAGGAAGGCCATCTTAAAGATCTTCATCGAACGGGTCCGCGTGCTGGAAAAGATCGATCTGATGCCGTTCACTGAAGAAGACTTTACTGCTCTGGCGCGGTATGAATTGAACGGGCGACAGATCAAGAACACGGTGCGCACAGCACAGGCGTTGGCTGTGAACAAACGGGAGCCTTTGTCGATGAGTCACATCCGGCAGGTTCTTGAGGTGCAGATGTCGTTTGATCGAGACTTGAAGGGTGGGCCTGGATTCCAGGATGCTATGCGCAGTTATTTCTAGTTCTTCGGGTTTCGCCTTTATTTTCGCTACATATAATAGGTTTAGGGCCGAGGCTACGGTTTCTTGCCTTCTTTTTTTTAGTACAGCTACTACGCGATCCCAAAAACGACATCGAGAATCTCCCTTTCTATTTTTTTTATAACTAGGCCGACTCAGATCGTCCTGAGCCGACGGTGGTACACTCTAAACCGAAGGTAGTATCATCCTGAGCCAAGGGTGAGCCATGAGTGGCCATTCTGGTCTAGCGGTGATCCTTCCTAGTCTGAGCAAGGGCTCAAATTTAGGCCTCCGTAACTGTATTCAAACCAAAAGTATTGAAAAGTATTGGTTTTGCCACTGCATCAAGCAACCTACTACCTTTTATAATCTGAAATTCACAAAGTAATTGGAGCTGCCTGCTAGGTGGATCAGTAGAGCCTGCAGAATGCATGACAACATTATGTGGACATAAATATATAAGGGCTTCTTGGCGAAAGGTGTTAAAATGGTTCTTTAATTTATTCTATAGACAATCCCCCTTTTCTCCCACGTAAAAGACGCCCTCTAACTACCTAGCCGCAAATTCGAATTGAAAAGGGGTTGTTGCCGTTCGGGTCTGCATTCTTACTCTTCCGGGTAAGTAAGCGCCTAGCATAGAATGTTGGGTTGTTATATAGTGTGCCTAGATTCCTAGTATATTCCTCTTTTAGGTTCCCCATTCTAAAGTTGCAGTCTAAACGTAGCAATGCCTATGCGGGAGAAGGTTAACGGGCTAGCTAGCGTTCTTACAGAAAGCCTTATGTATTAAAAGACAAAGAAATCGTTGTCGTAGTAAGCCGCCAGTAGGTATGCAATAAGAAAATCAAGTCGACGAACGGTGTCATCGTAAAAGCTAGCCAACTTTAAAGAAACCAGGCTTATGACGACTTGAATGTAAGGGTTTTTGTACTACGGGCCAGCTGTTAGTGACATGGTGGTGGGAGCACTAAAACACTAACGTAACTAGCTTTTCTTTTCTTTTCGAGGGAGAGTTGCATGCTATGATACCCCCCTCCTGATGTAGACATATTACCCGTCTCTTATCTTGTTTCTCGAATAATACGGGCAATATATATGTAAACTATCTAATACAGCCCTTAAAAACTAAATTCAATATAACACTCGCTAATTTCCCTCTCGTGTCCGCCCTAAATCAAAAGATCTGTCTGCTCCTGTACACTGCCTCGTTGTCGGACAAAACCTTTTTGAATGCCTCTGTGTTGCGTGCCACCGTGACAAGATCCGCCCTCTCTAATTTGCGGGCCTCGGCGTGGGCCATACCCATGGCCGTGTACACCGTGTTGCGAATTTGCCGGCCGTTGAATTGCTTGATACGCCCTTCCTGATGGACCCATTCTTTAATAGCGTTCCAGTCTTGGACTATGTCCATCCTTACGAGCTGGTTGAGGAAGTCGATGAAGATGTTCTCGCGCTGGTCGTCGCTGAGTTCTTTGTACTCGATGGCGATATCTAGGGAATATTAAATTGTTCGTCAGCACAAGCCGAGAGGGCATTGCTATTAATATATGGAGAAACTCACGAATTCGACTTTGCACGGCAATGTCGAAGGTCCTGACGCGGTTGGTCGTCAGAATGAGGATCCCCTCGTAGTATTCCAAGATGCGGAGGAGCACTACGCAGTGTGGTAGACGAGGTTAGGTAACAAATCGTTTCGAGAAAGGCCGGGCAACACGGTGAATTCTTTACCTGAGACCATGGTGTTGCGGTGGATGTTGGACCCCTGGGAACTGCGGTCTTCCAAGAAGACGTCTGCCTCATCACTGTTCTTTTCGTTAGTAGTCGCACCAAAGATAAATAGTCGGTTGGCCATCACATACAACAAAAGAACCGCCTCCCACAAACCTGCCAGGGAAAATACCCGCTGCAGGTTCGCCTCCACCATGCTGCTCTCCGTGCCAATGTCCGACACGCCAATGCTAAAGAGTGGCTTGCCTGCCAGCATGGCCACACTCTCCGCCGTCAGCGTCTTGCCCACTCCCGGCACGCCCCATAACAGCAAGATCAGTCCCTTGCCCTTGTTCGGCGTGTAATCCACCACGTTTTGGCTGCCATGCGCTTTCACGGAATTTTTGATCAGTTTCTTGTTGTCATCGTGCAACATCAGCTTCTCATCAAAATTCTTGCTGTCGGCCTTGGCCAACTGCTTCAATCTGTCGATGTCCAAGTGTACCCATCGCTTCTGCTCGAGAGAATAGCCGAGGACACGCGGAGGCAGCATCATATACTGGTCGTCCGACAGTGCGGTTTCCTTTTTGGCCTTGTCCCATGAGTAGCGGTACAGAGCCTCAAAGCGGGCGCGACACTCGCCGCAGGAGCAAGTGACGGAGCTTCCTATCGGGGCCATGGAGCCGAGACGCTCAGCGGACTCGGGCTGGTATTCAAGGTAAGACTTGAAGTCGACAACAACGGTTCCCTTAATCTGTCGTGGGTGTTAGCTTAGGCGTGATAGGCGAGTGAAATCTGTTGCAAAAAGACGCGATTGTCTAACTTACATGATTTGTCGTTCCTGCTGTCTGACTATCTGAAGACGCATAGTTTGTCGTTCCTGCCGTGCTGGCCGTATCCGAGTCACCTGGATCTGCAGTCGAAATTGGACGGAAGAGACCATGATTGCTAGTGTAGAAGGCACGGCCGTCGTAGTTAAACGTCTTTTTTCCCTTTTCAGCCGTCGAGTACTCGACAAATTTCTTTCCCCGCTGAATCAGCTTCACCTTGAGCTTTTCGACGTCTTTAGTAATGTTTTCTACGCTCTTTTCTTGGGGCTCGTTGCCGGCTTCGTCCCCCTCGCTATAGTACTTTAGGGGGTAGAAATCAAGCTGGGATATGGTTTTCTTATCCTTAAACTCCTCAATGATAAAGCGGTACGGCACGCGGTGGAAATTGTTGCCATTCCAGTCGTAGCTGAACGCAGTCACCGAGAGCTTGGCATCGTTGTCGTTTGTGTCGGGGATCTCGCAGGACTGTACCAAGAAGACCTGCTCGTGGTTGAGGAACGGACGGGCAATGATGAAGGAGCCCGGAGGGAATAGCGTCCACAGCGCAGAAAATGAAATGGTGCGGCTATCCTTCATATCGTCCTTGCTTTTGAAGTAGGTGTCGAGGGCCTCATCACCCGATGACGTCGAGATGATGTTCAAGAGAGCCCGCAGATCCAGCCTGGCCTGCTTCTCTTCACCACCAACGTCCTTGAAGTCTGTCTTGGTGGCCTCCTCTAGCTCAGCGGACGTGGCCGCCATCTCTTCTGCTTCCTTCCAGCACCAGATGAGATCTTGGTAGGGGGAGCTCATGTCGGCCACCTTGCTCTTGCCAGCGTCCAGCTTGGACATCACCCTGGCCAACAACTGCTGCAGCGGTGACGACTCAATGTCCACCTCAGAGTTACGGGATTCATTACCAGCTATGGCCCCCAGCCTCCGATTCTTCTGGAATGTAAAGGCCCTCTTGGAATTCTTGGGTTTGGTTGTTGGCTTCACCAGACTCTCGTTGGCTCGTTCGACATACTCGCCCGTATTTGGGTCGTACTCGCTGATGACCACACGATAGCGCCTGTCGTCGTCAGGCTCTTTGTCTTTCTCCTTATCCTCGTCATCTTTTGTTTCTCCTTCGGAAACGGATTCGGAATCGGAGGATTCATCTTCTTCCTTCTCTAACTTTTCGGCCTTCTTGGAATTTGACGAAGCCGTTCCGTTCACCTGCTTAGATCCCTAGTTCATGTTAGCTATTCATTCCGTTCTCACATCATTATGGTCTGTCCTTACTTCTGCACCGGCAAGTTTTCGCTCCAGGTCTTGCACTCTTCTTTCCAGGAGGTCGATGTACTTCTGCTCCAGAACAGAAAAGCGCGAGTCTGTCTTTTCCTAGATACTAATGTTAAAAAACCAGCAAGAAATAAACCCAAAAATGAAGCGATGTTTCTCGTGGGCACGTTCTTACCGAAGCCATGGCGGTTTGTGTCGGTGATGGTGAATATATGCTAAATTGAGCTCAAGCAAGTCCTCTCAAAGTCTGTACACTGGACGTAATAGCTCTCTAAGAGGAAGGAAAACTCTGGGTTTTTTATACTAGTCCTATCGAGTGTAATCCTTCCATGTGTGCCTTTCCACTATTACTGTTCTTCTTCGTATAAGCAATGCATTTATCACCTTCCTTTTTGGTTCCCTGTTGTCCCACGACATGTCAGTTTGTTTAAAATCTTGGAGCCAGTCTCCCTTCCGAGACCCCCCGTTTTTAGCTGCTGACTGCAGTAGCACCTACCCAGAAGGATGCGGCTGACACGGGTATGTCGCACCACTGTGGTATTATCTCACACGTATACTCCGTGATACTCAAGCTATTAACAGTGCCACGCCCCACTTTAGTTGGTGCACGTTCTGCGTGTTCTAATTAAAGTGGGACGTGGCACGGTTGGGGTTTTTTAGCTACAATATGTCTGTTATTAAGGGTTCGAATAGCAGTTAGAAAAACCCCCAAAAACCCCGAACGGTTAGGCGAGTAATCAGAAAAATGTCAGAGACTGTTTTATCCGATTCCTTTCTCGTATGTCTACGCTGGAAAAATTTCCTATTATGCTTCGTAGATAGCACACGTAGCAATGCAGCCTTACGCCTAATAGGGTCTAGCATACAGATAATGATCGGCCAGGTCAGCCTATATATCAGTACTTAGCAGAACAAGATATTTAAGCCTTGCGTGCACACCACTACGATAACTCATAAATTACAAAAACAAACAAATGCACATTTAAGCGTTGCAACAGTGTAATCAATTGTGGGGGATTGCGGCTGCTGCACCCAAGCTTACAACTCTGTGGGCAGTCATAAAACCTGCACAGATGGAGAGTCGGGGTAATAATCAAACCGTATATAGAGGCAGGTAGTATGTAAGAAGAGTTGCTCTCATCGTAGGGACAAATTCATAGGATGAGCAGTTCCAATGGTGATAATTCACATCAGATGCCATAACAAAAATGGACGACGCCAAGAAATTAGCATCCTGGAAGGAGTCCTGGAAGGATTGGGTTAACAACAGCGCGCATAGCCAAGAAGCCAAAAGAATTCTGAAAGAGACAGGACCACGAGTTATAATGGAAGGGGTATCTGATTTTGTCGCCCAGGAATTCCAAGCCATGAAAGGGACAAAGGGAGCAAGAAATGGGACTGACGTCCAAGAAAGCTTGAATTCCATGACATTAGAAGAACTTCGCGAACACGTCAAGGGTGACATTCCCAGGCTTGACGGGGGCGTTGAGCAGTGGAAAGCCAACAGACAGCACGGCGCAAAAAAGATCAGCAAAAAAGTAGTGGAATTTGTCGATGACTTTGATTCTTTTCTCGCCGGCTTCTCTGGCATTGTCGAGGTTGTGAAACTGGTTGACAATCAGTACGGCGGAACTGCGTCTGCTGTGCTGTTTATTATGTTCGCTGTATGTTCATTCCATCCTACACATACGAGACAGACAGGAAATTGACCAACCAGACTGTCAAAGCCAAGGCTTTGAACGACAAGGCCATCCTCTCTTCCATGAAGCTGTTGGCACATCGGCTGCCAGACCTAGACATTTATTACCAGGTCTATGCGGACGATATTCTAGCCAAGATGCTGTCCAAGGCATACGTCGACGTCATTTTGTTTGCGCAAAAGGCCACCAACTACTTTCAAGGACGAGGACTAGGTGGGCGGTTCCAGCGAATTATATCATTTGGTTAACAGGATCAACTAACAAGTCGCTCTCACATTGTAGGTCGCGTTGTCAAGGGTTTTACCCAGCCCACTGTATATGCCGATTTGGAACAAAGCATGCTGCGAAATTTCCAGGACATTCGCTACCGATGCAATGCTCTGGTCTCGCAAAGAATTTCTGAGCTATCCCAGAGTAACACAAGTGAGTATGGGAGATAACTGCGAGTAAAGATGCCAAAAAGAAACATAAAGCATTAACATCCTAACAGAGTTGTCCGCACGAGTTCAAGATCTTGAAGAAACGATCAAGAGTATGCTTCATCTAATCCAGGCAGCCTCCCACCTTGTCTTGCTGACTCCAGTCTAGACATAAATGACGAGAATGAATCTCGCAAACTCCGCAAAAAGCTGCTCCGCAGTGGCCACTCGGAACCCTTGCCCAAGTCCACCCGGAACACACAGTTGGATAATCATGCCAGACTACTAGCACACAATTTTGATCAGTATAGGAACATGTTTACCACCATGACCGTTGCCAAGCTCCAGAGCACCCCGGAATATCGTGACTGGTCCGCGGCCCAATCTTCCATGCTTATCCTCTATGGCAACAACAACACGGAATGCACCCACCCACCCCAGTCGTGGCTCTCCCTAGTAGGAGTAGAATACACACAGCAACTCATCCGCCAGAGTGTCGACAGTGCCATCACAGGTGCCAAAACGAACGATTTGGACAATTTCATCGTCGCCCACGTCGTTGGTCAACGCGGTGACAAGCACATCGGCGCGGAGGAAGCCCTCGAAGCCATTGCGGATCAAATTATTGAGCAGCAACGGTGCGTCCTGCGCCGCAGGAGCGCTGCCGACCACATCACCTTTCTGGCGGACAGCCCAACCCTGGAAGGCCGAGCGCAGCTGCTACTGGCTATTCTCGACCAGTGCCCGCCACGGCCAGTCTTTGTCTTAATTGACCGACTGGACCTGTGCGCTGAGGATAAGACGTCGCGAGTTATCACGCTGCTGATGAACCTAGTACAGCTGGCGAAGGGTCGTCTGAAGATTCTGCTAGTGTTCCGAAAGGAAGTGTGGGACGTGGACAGCCGAAGGGACTTGATAGAGAAGGAATGGCTAGTGTCGAAGAAACTAGTGCTACTACGGCGAGACCAGTTGTAGGTGATGAGATGGTCTGGCTAGTGTGGAATGGGGCTTATTTTACTATTTATTTTATTTCAGTCACTTATTACTCCGTAATTACTCAGTTAAGTATTCATACTTTAAGGGATGTGCTAGAGACAAGAGTCAAAATTCTAGATAACAAGACCACGTGACTTATTTAGGCAGTCAAAACAGGTAGAATACTGAAATTGTCATAAGGCATGATGTACGAATACGTCGTAATTTCGCACACCGCTACGTACGACGTAGTCAAAGCATCACTAACAACCAAATCAGCACAAAATGACCTTAATCGACGGCAGCCTCTCTTTAGAAGCCGTTTACGAATCCTGCGAAGCCCTACTATAAGAAACTAACGCATAGGCTGTACTGCGCGGCTTTGCCTTTGTTGTTATCAGCTTATACCTGCGATACGTCTGGCCGTCAGCCAGACCCTTAAAATGCTCTTGGTGCAGTAATACTGGGCACAAATATTCAAGCCGTACTGAGTGATGAGAGAAGTGCACCCTAAGACCGCCTATGCTGGCCGCACAGGATGACATGTCAAGACCCCTCGCGGGATGCTAACGCGTCACATGACCAGTACCACTTTTCTTAACCAATCAAATGTGGAACAACTCATGCCTTCTGTCACCACTTACACACCTATATGAGTACAAGACACTCTCTTCTTCCCTCTCCTTAAGAGAAGGACAGGCACGCACGTAGGAATCAAGCAATTACCCACGCATATGTGCAGTGCGCTTGTGAAGTATATCAACACCCAAAGCAACAAGCACATTACGCCCACAACTTCGCCGGGCGGGCTCGCCTTGTCTTTCCCTCGCGGGATCCTAAGATGAGCCGGCAAGGCCTTCCTCCTTACCTTTCGGGCCAATTATACACTACCTCGGCTTGTGATGAAGGGAGATGCCTCACAGCACCTTTTTACGTATACAGGTACGTGTGTTGGTAAGTGTGTGTTGTTGGTTCGAGCTGAGGCCTTACCCAACCTCCGCTCTCACTACTTGCACTATTTGTTTAAGTTGCTTATTGTTTAATCTTATGCCAACATTTTAGGCCGGCTTAACTATAAGCACTAAAGGGGATATTATAACTATCAATTTTAAGATTATGTAGTAGCTGATAACAAACCAATCGTGTCATTTTCACTCCCGCCAATCCTATGTTTATTTCGGGAGGTGAACAAAATGGAAAAGGGATTTGCCGCCGTAAGAGATGGCGCGGGCTGATAGTCCTGGTCTCAGTGGCTACCGAGATTTCTCTCAGGGGTGTTTATGAGTGCAGATCAAATCCGTCTCAGCCTACCAACATGTAGATACCCTTGACCCTTTGAAACCGGCCATAAATGCGTCTCGGCCGAGAGCTTGGCGCTTAAAGCGAACGGCAATTAGATGCGGTTGTTATTGCCCTTCCTTTTGGTAATTGTTTCGTGAATCGCAGATCGCAGTCCTTTTTTTATCTTTTCATCTGCGAGCTGTCTATTATAATGCGATAGACCACGGCGACAGAGACCGTTCTCCAAAAGACCCGGATGGCCAATGGCTCTACTAAAGAAACGACTTCTCACTTCCGCATCGCCACTCGTCGGGTGACCAACCTAGCCAAGAACGAAAATCGGTCTTACTCAGATAAAGATATTTCTGAGAGTCGGTATGCGACGTCTGAGGTGGTCGTCGCGTTTCCAATGACCGATTCTGGTGTCCCCATTGTCAAGCCCCTGGATTTGTTCGTCTTTCTACCGGTGCGGCATGTGGGCTTCAACTTCCTTATCCAAGCCGACTTTGTCACTGATGCCAGCCGGCAAGACGTGGTGGCCGATTCTCCTCGAAACATCGGTCTAATCGACGGCATCGCCAAAGCTTTTGTCCAAGGCATCGTGCAGATGAGTGGCTCCTCTGATACAAGCAGCTCCGTTTACCAGTGGATGCGATATCTTCCGCAAGAAGCTGGGCAGAACCGGGACAACCTGTGGTGCACATTGGTGGAGAGGATTTCTGTCGAACTAAACGAAGCGGCCGTGCTCCTCGGCCGAAAGCAACCGGAAAGACGGCCGATCCGTGACCTTTTGCGCCCTACGGGAGATTATCTTGATGATGCCGGAGAGCCGTTATTTGATGATAGCCACCCTGAAAAATTCATTTCTCGCAAGTATCAAACAAGTGACCTCGGCATACTCAAGGAGTACGGCCTGAGATATGCATATGCTGAAGATATCCTCGGTTTTATTGAGGAGGACCTTCGTCGCGGGCTGGCCGGCCGGATGCAATCACCCACAACCACAGAGAGATGGCATACCCTCGCTGCAAAGTTCTTAAGTCATATTTGCGTTGGGAAAATACGAACGAAAATGCTCACAATGAAGCTGCTGCCCTTGCATGATGGCACCTGGGCTCAGCCAGTGGCCAAAACTCCCAGATCGATCTACTTCGCACAAACTGGCGGGCTGGACATACCTCCTGATATTGGTATTCGCTTGATTTCGCCGGATGTGACAAGTCCAGAGCGCAAAGCCCTCTTCCGACTCCTGGGTGTCGAGGAAGTGCCTATTCCATTCGTAACGACCATGATCATCAAAAAGTATATCGAAAGAACCGGAGAACATGCGATCTCCCTTGCCAGCTCCAAACGGCATCTTCAGTTCCTATATTTAACAGACCACGTGGGGTTTTCTGACGGAGACGACTGGGATACAGTGAGAGTCGTAAATCAAGATGGAGGTTTAGAGAGTGGAATAGACGTCTACAAGCACAACAGGGATCCCTACGGCGCCACGGAACTCTTCAAAAGGACTGTATCTGGGCCAAAACCGGGTGATGGCGCTCCAGGCTACGAGGACTGCTCGTTTATCAACGAGAAATACTTTGAAGAGAGCCCATCCACACCACAGGGACAGGACCTTTCATGGCTAAATTGGCTTTATTATTGCTCATTTGCCGAGAGCTATGTCAGACTTGTTCACTTGGGGAAACTTCTGCTTCCTGGGCTTTACGTTCACAAACATCGTCCGGAGAAATTTCTCGGCGCGCTCAAAGTCAACTACGAGAATATCGATGAGTTCAGAATTGATACAATTGGCCTCCTTCAGAGGACGACCGTCCTGTGTCAAGGCTCCGGCTACGCCGAACTTCAAGACGCCTACTATCCCACAACGGAACTGCTGAAGCGTGTTGGCAAGCTCGTGGAGCCTGGCGCCTTCTTTCCCTGGCTCTATCTAGAGAACACCACCGGGACTGATGATGCTGTGCCGACCGATTGGAAGGATTTTCTCACGGCCTTGAAGATCACCGCTCCTACAGACCTTGATTTTGCCCTGGCCATGCTGCGATACTCACGAGCTGGCTTCCCCCCAGAAGCCACGTCTTCCAGCAGATCAAGGCTCTTTGACCTATACGAACACATTGTCATAAAACAGAGCGAGGCGTCGGAAGACCCGGAAGCAGCGACAAAGGTCCAGTAAGCTATACGCATGTTCATAGTGATTTCACCATTATGTACAGTCGCGGAATCTAACATATCGTTTCTCTACAGAACCTTGTTCGAGAAGCAAAGGTGCATCTACATCCCAACCGATGCAGGGGGGCACACCTGGGCATTTCCCCATGAGTGTGTCTGGAATGCGCCGCAGATGCTGCAGACAAAGCATGTCCTACGCCTGCTTTACGAGCCCTGCCATAGGGAAGACAAGAGGGACGATGATATACTAGCGATTCTCTTCAAAACCACGCTAGGTATTGATGACTGTAAGTGGAAGACCCTTATCGAAGAGCTCAAGGGTCTCAAGGAGGCGGAATGCAACGACATTGCCACCCTCTTGCCGATCTACAAGGCTCTGAATGCACGGCGGAAAAATTTGCCTCACAAACATCAAGAAGCCATCAGGTACGTCTTCATGGTCGATTTCAGATAGGAGAACAGAACAGTGGGAACTTACATTCCTAGGCTGGCTTTTGAAAACGACGCCCTCATATGCGCACCATCCGACGATCAGAATCCCTGGCGCAATATCGCGCAGTGCATCTGGTCGACCGGGGCCAAGCTGCGCGGGCGAGCCTCTTTCAACCACCACTACGAGAGCCTCAAGGATTTTTTCGTTGAGTTTTTAGGCGTGAAACTGGTGGACCTGGAAATGGCTATTTCAGAGCTTAAATATGCGGGTGGCGAAGCGAAAACGTCGGTGGATGCTTTGAAGGAGTCCATCTGGATGGTCAACTCTCTGCTATTGTCTACACAACGACCCCCGAGCTCAGAGGACGTGGTCGGCGCCGACATCTTCCCCATCAAGATGCCCAATGGACAGACCACGCGCGGGTCGGCAACTATGGAGTTTTGTATCGTGGATCGCGAGTCGCTGGGCCAAGCATTTTCAGAAAAGGTGAAGCTGCTGGACTTTGGACTACAGGAAGTATCTCGTCTGAATCCGTTTCTCCATTGGGCGCAGCTGCAGGACAGATTCATGTCCAAGTCCGTCAGGGAGTTCACTTCTTTTCATGGTGACGAGGCCAGATTGGTGTCGAAGACGGACCGCCAAATCAGTCACCGAGCCTATGCCCTTCTCAGGTGAGTGTCAGATGCCTTTTTCAGTAAATTTCTGCATACGTACTAAGTGTGTGAAAGAATTGCTTGCCACTTCAGGAGTCCTCGTACAGAAACGAAGGAGGGCGTGCACTCCCTGTACGATATGCTCAAGGGTGCCGAAGTATACGAAACAAGCGGCATTTCATCCGACCTCAAACTCACCCAAGACGACACAGACCACGTGGTCGTTGGTGACATTGCAACCCTCCACATCGACGAAGCGCCGACCGGTCTTCTCAAGGTTTACCTGCCACGGGACAAAGACGACCAGACATTTGTCTTTGTCACAACGCTTGGCGGGAAGCTTTTTGAATGGATGATGCGGCAGCCCAGCGAGAAGATCTCTTTCGGACTTGAAAGGGGGACCAAGACCATCCAAGAGGTCTTGATGGCTCCTCGCTCGAGAACAGATGTGGTCCTCGAGAAGAACGGCATCGCGTGTATCCACGATGTTGAAGACACCGATGAGCAGGTCGACTCCGAGTCCGAATCGGCTACATCCACACCACAGCTACGAGCAGCCGAAGCAGCAGCGCACCTCATCGGCGAGGGGGCTGGATTGGAAGACAGCGATGTCGATGACCTCTGGACGCCGTCTCGCAGCACCTGCGACGACAACGACAACGATAACAACGAAGATCCAGAGCTGCACCAGTCTTTTCGTTCTTCCACGCCGCCCGGTGGACGGCGCCCTTTCGGTAATCTCTCCATCGCGGCCCCGGCCACTCTTCAGTCTGGCATAGCGACAAGAGCTAGTAACACTGCCTACACCGCTCTCCTGGAACGGGTGATCAATACCGCTCAAAACAAGACCATTCCGAGCAACAGGTCGTTCGGCATGAGTCATCTGCTCGCCAGCATTCCTGCGGGCAGCGATGCGATGCTGAAATTTGACCTCCAAATAGCCAGCGCTTCTGAGCGTGATTGCCGCGTGGACGCAGCCGGTGAGCTGTATGTCTTTGAGCTTCTGTCGGGTCTGCCGGAGAAGCTGCCCGGCTTTAGCCGCGACAGCTGGCAGAGCAATATACGCCACTACGTCACGTCGCATCCCAAGTACGCCGATATGGCGTCGTGGTCGGGGTGGGAGATGTCCGACATCACCTACTGTGACACTGCTGGTGTGTTGACCCGCTTGCTGATTCAACAGGGCTACCTGGATGGAGACTCGTGGTCCGGCGAGAGGCCGCAGTACTTTATCGAGGTCAAGACGACTACGTCCCGCTGCGACATGCCGTTCTTCGTAAGCAAGGCGCGGTACAATAGAGTGAGCGGTCCTCCGCTTGCTTGGTAATATGCAACTACGCTACACGGCTAACGAGACCTGCAGATGCAAGTTATGACGCTCAAGCCAAATAAACGAGGCGCGATCTATGTCATTTTCCGCGTGTACAACCTGGGGCAGGCCGACATGGGCCTCGCGGTGTATGTGGACCCAGAAGCCTTGCGAATGGCGAACCAGTTGGAATTTATCGGCGAGACTTGGTTAGTTGTGCCGCGGCAGAGGACCTGGTAGTGGAGTAAAAATGGACAGAAGATGAAACGGGTTTCGGGTTTTCTCAGTATAGTATATATCGTACCTTTTATTATTATAGGTAGGTGCCTTATTGTCCCGTTCATAGCCACGATCGGCCATTTCGAAACCACAATTTAGTAAATCTTGTCCAGAAGCCACGGTATCGAGTCCGGACTAAAACGAGATCACGTACAAAGGCTGAACGGTTTATCAAGAACCTCCAAGGAGAGTAAGGGAGCAAATTGACTGCAGACTGTCTCTTGTCTGCAATAGCATATTAAGGGTCTTCACTGTTGTGATACGGAGTATATATATGCGGATTGTATTGACCGCTGGTCTATTGTTACGCTAATGTAATATCCACTTAGGTTATTACTGCATTAGGCTTTCCGAAGGAAGACACCAATATGTATCAAATTATGGGTGCCCAGTGAGCGTGAATGTATTGTTATTGTTAGGTACTCCCGAGGTATGCCGACGTGCGTCAAAACACGTACTAATAGCCCCATGCGCCACACAGTACATGTATTCTTTCATCACACTGCCTAATCGTGCACGCCCCTCCTATTCTGGTCTGGTCCATTCGACAATATGTATTGCAGTACTATTTTTGGGACATTTGGAGTTATTTGTGTTAGTGGCGGAGGGGTATTTTGCCCCACCTCGGAAGGTTAGAACTTGGATAATGCCGCTTTTGCGGGAAAGCCATTGCTAGTTGTCATTGCAACTGCGAGCCCAACAAATCAGTCACAATCAGCACGTTATCATGTCTTCACGGCCTATCTGCAACGTCGATACCCCGGATCCGTGGATGGTGGCTGCCAATGGCGGCTTTTTCTTCACGTTTACGCTGGGTAACCGGGTTGAGATCTGGTTTTCACAATCGATGGAGGATTTCCACCACTGTCGCAAAACCGTTGTATGGCAGCCAGCTGCCGGGTCGCCATGGTCTGCTGATATCTGGGCACCCGAACTTCACTATCTCAACGGCGCCTGGTACATCTACACGTGTGCGGCGCCGCCGGGCGTCGGAAACGCGGGACACCGCACGGTACTGTTGCGGACATGGTCACCGGATCCCATGGATGCTTCCGGATGGCAATTCCTAGGCCCAATTCCGGGCATGCCTGACCATTGGGCTATTGATGCCACGGTGTTCAGTCCAGACGGCCGAGAGCTGTACTGCTGCTGGTCGGGATGGCCACCCGGCGACCATTCCGACACGGAACAAGACCTGTTTCTGATCAAGATGCGGCGACCCGAAGAAGCCATCGAAGGTAGTGAGGTGTGCATATCCCATGCACAGCATCCATGGGAACGGCCAGACGGCGGGCGACGAGGCGTCAACGAGGGGCCAACGTGGGTCGACTCGCCGGCCTTCAGGGGCATTGTCTACTCGGCCCATGGCAGCTGGACGAGCGAGTATAAACTGGCACTGCTTGCGTTTGTGGGCGGTGATCCTTTGCGCGCAGAACACTGGGTCAAACGTTCAAAGCCCCTTCTTGTCAGCGGTCCTGCCGGAAGAGGCCCTTTCGGCCCAGGACATGCGAGTTTTATCCGGAGCCCTCACCAAGGCGATCCGCGACTGTTCTGCATCTATCATGCGACAGAGAAGGAGGGAGAGGGATGGAATAACCGCAAAGCAAGAGTGTGCTGTCTAGGGCCAGAGTGCTTCTCACACGATGCACATGTTATAGCGCTCTGAATGTGGGCACTCTCCTGCTCAGCCAAGCAAGAAATTGCAGAGGCCTTTTCAAAATGAAGATGTTGCTATAAGGGATGGAAAAGGCAAGATTATGTATAGCTATTTATGCTGACAGTCTATAAAATGAACAACCCTGTCTGCAAATTTCAAGTTGCCGGACAACAGTATTAAGAAGGCGTGAATAAAATTTAAATAGTCGTTTTTGATTCTTAGCTTCTAGATCTCCCGTCTCTCCGCTTACGACTTGTTTCATTTCCTTACCATTCTTGTAACTATCGACAAATGGACCGCATTGTTACACCGTACAGACGTAAAATAGCTGCTGTGGGGAATATAACCCGCAAAACTCGTGCACTACGGAGTATTTATTTACCTTTACACGATAAAAGGCTCTTTAGCGTAGTTTTTTAGCACAAACTCTCCCCGCTATCCGCACCTACAACATATGCCACTAAACCACAGTTTGCCGCTGATGTACGGAGTACGGAGTACGAGTTGGCGGATTGATTTTGCACGTGATACAACAGACCTACCACAATCTTAACACCACGCCCCTTTTTTCGTATCTTCTTCCTTGGTTTGCCTACACACTGTGAACATTTTTGCTTACGTTATAACTGTCATGTCCCATCATCTTGCTCTATTTTCTCTATTACCATTGAACGCGGCCGCGGCAAAAGTTGTCAAAGCCAAGGAAAACATCGGGATCGCCTCAATCCTTGTCGTGGATGGCGTCCGCCGCCATGCCTTGGATATCGGCCGTACTCGGACGAAACTGGGAGACTGTGGGACTCTCGCAACGCTGGGACGATGCGGCGACGTGGTGGTAGACGAGCCGTACATTTCACGCATCCAATGCTCGTTCGAAGTCAATCCATCTTCCAAGATTGTCATGTTCTGTGACCGCTCGCCGAGCCAGACGTGCGAGGTCTTTGGAGATGAGGTATTTTCGCTCGACCGCGGCCAGGGCTTCAGAGGTGCGCGCAAGGTCGCCGTCACGCGGAAGATCAACACCATTATCGGCATGGGAGGCACCGGTGGGGATCTGATCAAGTTCCGGCTTGTGTGGAGGACGCAAAAGGACGACGGCGACCAGACGCTACAGCTGCAAATCGAAAGCCATCTCCGATTCGATGCAGCCCTCGACCAGACAATCGATGTCTGGGACCCAGCCACTACGTTGTCGAACTTGCCACTGCCCAGGCAATCCCGCATACGCTTATGCTCGCCCGAAGGCGACTCTGCACTCGGGGCGGGCACGTTTGGCTCTGTGCACAAAAAGATCAACGTGGACACGGGCAACCTGCTAGCCGTGAAGTATATCCAGGTTCCGCAAACCCGAGACAGAAAATTCATAGAGCATCTGGAACGCGAAGTGCGAGTCCTCGCCAAACTCACCCATGTAAGCTCTTCTCTTAATCTCTCTCCTCTCCCTTTTCTAGCCATGCCTCGGATTGTGGCTTATCCGCCACCCACCAATCATGTAGCCGCACATTGTCAAGTTCCTTGGATACAACCACCAGCTGGTGCCCCACGAACAGGTTCAGGTTATGCTGGAACTCGAAGACGGTACACTCCAGTCGCTTGTCGAGAGGCTCGTCCAGAGTGAGGACCTGGAATTCGGCGACGGTTTCCTCTATCTGGAAGACGTGGTCTGGGAAACCACCCTGCACCACATGCTGCAGGCCCTCGATTTTCTGGCCTCGCACAAGATGATCCACCGCGACGTCAAGCCCGAAAACATTCTCTACACGCTTCGGCAGCCGCGTTCCCCCTTCCCGTCCTACAAAACCCAGAGACCCCGCCCCCAGGATTACCACTTTCGCCTCGGCGATCTCGGGCTAGTCAACTCCCAGGACTATGCCAGCACGCTAGCCGGAACGCCGCTCTTCATGGCTCCCGAGATGGCCCAGATGTTTGAGAAGCTTCAGGCCGGTGGCAGGGACAGGATGCAGACGCCCAACATGGATGTCTGGTCGCTCTTTGTCAGCATGCTGTGGGTGGCCGATCTGTACACCAACAGCGAGCAGTGGTTCCAGAAGAAGCTGCAGGCTGCGAGTCGCGCCGGCAGCCACCAGGTCGGTCGCATGGTGGAGAGTTTGTTGCCAGGGAACCCGGAAAACAAGGCAAAGAAGCATTTGCTGTCGCCGTCCATCGAGGACGTGTTCGACATGGCCTGGGCAGACCCACGGCGTCGGGCATCGGCCGCGCAGATTCTGGTCTATCGCTTTGAAGGGAAAGGTCTCACGACTCCGCTTGAGCAGGTCCCAGAACTGGTACGGATGCCGCCGCCGCAGCCGCCGCAGCCGAATCCACAAGCCCAGGCCCGCTGGCCCCAACACGTCTCCGTATCCGGCCGTAGTAACAATCCTGGCAACAGCCAGGGGACAGACGAGATGGAATTGACGTTGCAACTGGGTTATTTGACCGTGGGACAATTTCCTGACAAGAAATTGGAAAATCTGCCCAACGAGAGAGAGAATCTGTTCAGGTTCAGGTGAAGAAGTAGCCCTCGGGGCAAGTATTTGAAGTTGGTTGTAGATATTCAAACGTAAATTTTAACTCCGGCAAACAAACAGAGTTGGGCAAGCAGAATTGGGTTTGCATAAGGGAGCCATAGTAGTAGTATGTATATAAAGTTATATAGCGTGTACACAGTCTGCCCGCGAATAGATTGTGGTTGCTAGTATAAGAGGAAGGCGAAGTGTTACAGAAGCCATTGTGCGATTAAGGAGGAGTACTAGTTTCATAGAACTAGGTGAGAGCTATGCAGTACGATGAATATGGTCTCGTTCTTGATTGGACCTCATCTACTATTGAGTCGTGTTGATTAGGAGAGGGTGCAGCTAATAAGACCGTGCTCGACACCAGGTTTTGATGAGTGTGTACTTCGTACATGTTGCCAAAAATGCTGTTCCATGGACCACGGACTCATTTGTAAAGAAAGAGATTCGCAATAGTGTTTCAGACTGATTGTTACTGTTTTATTTCCCACCCTAGTCGAGACTTTGTATCGCTAAAGAGGGCCTGATGTCGGTGCACGTGACGTTGCAACGAGCCCAAAACGGAAGGTGCGGACGCTTTCTTCACTATTCTCCTGTTTCCTATCGTTCCTCCTTCCTCTACTCCGTGCACACCACACAACGATGGAGAAGTTGGCGCCAGACTCGTCGGCCTTTCCGCCACCATTGCCTCCATGGGCACAACTGCGCCATGGCCGACTGCGATCGACCGGCAAACGACGTCTTGCGCGCTTTGCAGCAGGCGTCCTGGGTCTCTTCGCGGTGCGCCACCTGACGAGAAACGGCCTCACCTTTCTAGATATTGGCTCGGAGCACTGCAGTGATACCAAAGAGACATTTCCCTATGGACGCTTCCCGCAAGCAGACGATCCTTTCCGCTTCCAACCGTGCACCAACCGGACGCGGCCACCAGCGCTAGACGATGGCGAGCCGGACAAGAGCTGGGCCGGGCTCTACGAACCGGACCCGTCGCACTGGAGCTGGGGCAACCGGACGGAAAGCGATAATGACAGCAGCAACCTGGATCCGTATGCCGGCCGGGGCATCTATCTGTGCGGCTATCTGGACGTACCACTGGACTGGACGAACGCGACGGACAGCCGGATCACGCGCCTGGCCGTGACCAAGTTCCAGGTGTCGGGGCTGGCGCGGGCAGCTGATGGCTCGGGCACGAGCAGCGACCGCGGCGGGCGCAGCGAGCGGACGATTGTGGTGGAGCCGGGCGGACCGGGTGGCAGCGGGACGGGGTACGTGTGGCGGATGGGTGAGCGGCTGTCGGCGCGACTGTCCGGTGGTCAGCTCGACGTGCTCGGCTGGGATCCGCGAGGGGTCAACGCGACGCAGCCGGCGGCGGCTTGCTTTCCATACGACGCGGACCGGGACCGGTGGTGGCAGCTGACGCACCGATACCGGGAGGTGGCTGGCAAAGAGACGGCCGGACAGCTGGCCGTGGCCGACGCCATGTACGCGGCGACGATGCGGGCTTGCCGGCAGACACTCGGCGACCTCGGCCGGTTTGTGGGGACGGCGATGGTGGCACGTGACCTGGACGCCGTGCGCGCCGCACTGGCCGAACCCCAGCTGACCGGCTACCTCGTCAGCTATGGCACTGGCATTGGGCAGACGTACGCGAACCTGTTTCCGCACCGCGTCGGCCGCGTCATCCTAGACGGCACCGAGTTCGTGCCCGACGAATGGCAGCTCGGTGGCTTCGGCTGGGCCTCGCTCGACAATGTGACCCATGCTTGGCGCGACGGCTTCCTCGGCGAATGTCTCGCTGCCGGACCTCAACACTGCGCTCTCGCTCGGCCAGGCCCTCGCAGCGTCGGCAGCTTCCCGCCTACGGTCGACGCTCTTGAACACCGTATGGCTCGCCTCTTTGACGATGTGCTCGCCCGTCCCGCCGTCGCCACTACCGCCACCGCTGGTCCCGCCATCATCACCTACTCCGCCCTCGTTGCCGCTGTTTATAGCGCCCTCTATCAGCCACGCACCTGGCCACACGTCGCCCAAATGCTCTTCGACCTCGAGTACGGCAACGCTACTATCGCTGCCGCCCTTACCGACAACTTCGTCTGGCAGTACGACCCCAGCGTCCCCGCCTCCGGTCCCGAAACTTGTCCGACGGTGCCTGGCTCGGCCCCGGCTTCGGTCCCGGTCTCGGCCCCGAGCTCCGACGAGCTCGGCATGCTTGTCATCTGCGCCGACGCCTTTGACGCCCCCCAGCCCCCAGACGGCGTCCGCTGGTGGGACCGCCTCTGGGCCAACATGACCCAGACCTCCTGGATCTCTGGCAACTCGCGCTTCTACAACGTCCTGCCCTGTCGCCACTACTCTGACCACTGGCCTAAGCCCGCCGGCGTCTACCGAGGCCCCCTCAACCGCACCCTCGCCAATCCGGTCTTGCTTGTCGCCGAGACCTACGACCCTGCTACTCCCTTGCGCAATGGCCGCCGATTGGCCGCCGCCATGGGCCACCCAAACGCTCGCCTCGTCGTCCACCACGGCTACGGCCACTCGTCCAACGCTGACCCCTCCGACTGCACTGACACTGTCTTGCGTGACCTCATCCTCCACGGCCGCATCCCCGAAGACTCCGAGACGCCCTGCTACGCCAATGAGAAGCCCTATCTCTACGGCCTCGGCAAACAAGACTCGCCGTCCGAAGACCCCGTGGCCGTTTGGCAGGACCACATGCGCGAGATGATGCTGTGGAACCCAGGCCTCATGCGCCACGGCTCCTGATCGAAATAGAAAGACCACATCCATTCGATTACTCATTGTCTTCGTCTTCATACATACAAACTAAACATCTCGCTGCTATGAAAAAAAGAAACAAAGAAACAAATGCACACAGCTCCTCAGGCAAGTGGATGAACATATCAGCAGGCAGAAAACTGAGAAAGTAGATCGTCCTCAAAATACAGACTGCCACGTTAGTCCGTTCTCAGAACTTGACTTAGCCACCGGCCGAAGGTCAAACGCCATTCTCCAGTGTGTCCTACAGTACATTTCGCCCATCCCCTCGTCGTCCCGTTTGCCACCCTGCTGTCGCCACAGTATACATACATATTGGATTACATGAAACACACAACGTTGATCCTTCAACTTGACACTGACACCGACTCCGAAACCCAAACACATTCGTAGCACAGCTCCTGTGACTTTGAAAAAAGAATTACAAAAAAAATAACAGACAGAACCCAACTTAAGCGCCCAAATCCAGGGGCGCTTGATTATGCACGAGGCGAGGAGGAGGGGAGGGTTCATAAGAGACATAATAAAGAGAAATCACCGTCGAGCACCGCAAACTTCTGGGCTGCTCATACTCCACCGCCCATGAACGCTGCAAGGTCGTCCAGCTCCAGCAGCTGTCTTTCAAAGGCACTGCACAGCTCCTTGGCATTGATGTCCACACTGGGACCCGGCGGGTTTGGCGACAAGTTTCGCGGCTCGGGAGACTCCAGCTTCCCCACCGGATGCGCAGGGGGGCTGGCTGTGGCCGGTGTGGTCGCGCCAGCTGATCCGCCATTAATAGTGGCAATGCCAGTGCGTCTCGGCGGTGGTGGCTCACTGTTTCGTTCCGTCAAGTTGGCGGCTTCCTGAGACGAAGCTGCGTTCTGCTGCTCATACTCCATGGCATCTGGGTTCGTGTCGGGTTGCGACGAGGCGTCGTCCTTCATGTACGGCGAGTCGTGAACCGGCTTCAATCCGTCAGGCGAGTCGGGATGCTCATCACGGGCGTTGACATCGCGCATGACCTTGGCCATGACTGTTAAATGGCGGTTCCAGGGCATCACCAGTGGCCATGACTCGGCACCGTCGTTCATCAGGCGCAGGCTGTCGCGCACAATGTACGACGCTGTTTCCCGGACGCTGGGCGGTGCAAGGCCCTTGAGGTACAAGTAGGCGATAGTCGAGCCTGCCGTGAAGGCCGAGAACAACATCACAATGGGGAAGCACAGAATTGAATCCTTGTCCGCGCCGGTTTCGAGGGCAACAAGCATGGAGATAATGCTGTGTGATGCCGCAAAGACGTTATCAATCAAATGGCTGTCTGTGCCACTAGCATGCCAATCGTCGGCATTGAAGTTGTCCGTGGTGACAAACTGGAGAATCTGTCGCCGGTTCACGAATATCGTGGCGCACTGAAGCAGACAATGGATCATGGCATATGTGAAGCCACTGCCCATGGTGATGTGGAGATTGATCTGGCCTGCCTTGTCGGCGAAGTGCACTGGAAGGCCTTGGCGGATGGCGTCGATCTCAGCATCCAGATCGACACATCGAGAGTTGGAGAAGTTGTCGATCGTTGTTGTCGTCATCATCTCGACAACACTGCGCCAGATCTTCGTCGCGAGGACAATGTAGGCGAACTCGCCAACGTCGGCGAGTGGAGCATCCGGATCAGGAGCCACGCCAGGTGCAGCACCGGTAAGAGTACGGACAAAGACCGGGCTGCCGAAATTAAAGTTCATATCCTGACAAGGCAGAGCGACGTCTGCAATGTCGAGCGAGGACAAGGCGGGATGGCGGCCAGGGCTGCTGGTCAAGAAGCAGTCGAGGACGTAGATCAACCACAGCGTACGGCGGAAAGCCTCTTCCTTGAGAAAGTTGTCCGCATCGGTCGTTTGGTGCGTCTGGACGATGCGATACATCTGGGCCATGCGCGCGGCTTGGCCGAGGTAGATGTAAGCACGAACGGCATTGCGACAACCCCACTCATGGATCACCAGAAGGCAAAGAGCCTGTATGTCACCGAGGGTGGGGTGGTCGAGGGACTGCATGATCAGATTGATCGTCTTCTGAGCAAAGTGCTCGGCCGCAGCAGTCCCGCCACCGTGACCTCCATACCGGCGGGTCAAATTTGGTGAATACCTAGATACGTTAGTAAAGCTCTCGAAGAAAGGGCCAACAGAGAAAAAGGCCAGTAGTAAATAGAGGCATTGACACGTACCGAGAAGCAATGGTAAGTAAAGCGTGGACCATAGATGGGTCGAGAGTAGCGCTTTTGAGTTGTTGCAGGAAAGACGGCTTATGAAAGGCCACACATGCTGGGAGAGTCTTGGAGATGACTCGTTCGCATTCGGCCATAAGCTCGGGAGTGAGTCTAGAGCCATGGTTAGTAAAGCGCTTGAAGTGATAAGAGCAGGTGGTGTTTCGAGAAGGGTGGTGGGGCAGAGAGTAGTAAGGATAGCAGCACCGTAACAGGTGTCTGAAGACGGGGTGGTGCTGTATGTACTACTCCGCAACACACGAGAGGACACATTGGGGTAGACTGTAGGAATGTTTCGTAGGATGAAGGCGAGCGGGTCTAGACTGAAGTGGGGAAGTTTGCAGGGAGAACCGTTACAAGACAAGCTTAGAGGCCGATGAAAAGGCTAACCGTCTGCAAGAGGAAGAGAGGGTAGACAGAGGGCATATGCAGCAAGCAGACAGAAGGGATGATTTTCCAGGTCACGGAAGTTTCGACTGAGACAAGAAAGCAGGAAGGGAGCTAACGGACGGCGAAAAGAGTAGCAGTTGTAATGCAGGTGTGAAACAAAGAGAATATACTCACTTTTCAATGCCGATGGCAGGATGCCTCGATGCGGCCGACAGGTTAGGAGCTGGACGGTCGGCACCAACACCGCCAGTAGCCCGGCTGTCACCCGAAAGGGACTCGCGGCTGCGCTGGGGGATCCGAGCTGGAGAGACGCCATGACCACCATGGCTCATGGACTCCGAGGGCAAATAGCATTCGTGCATGCCCTTGGCGCAGTTTCGACACGGTGCTCGGCCGTTTTCGTAGACGCACTTTGTCTTTCCCTTGCGGCAGCGGACACAGGCGCCGCCGGCGCGAAGGGCCGTGGCGCGTACGATGGTCGACATCGTGGGGTGGCGATGCAGAAGCGAGGATGAGGCGGCGATGCGGAAGAAGCTGGGAGTGGAGGAAGACACGCTTTATTGAGCAACAGGTGTGCGGAGGTGTGAAGAACAGAGACAGCAGGACGAAAGGGATGCGCGAGTCCGGAGACAAAGCCGGAGTGGATAGGTGGGAAAAGGGAAAAGGAAAAAGAGGAGGAAAAGAGGGAAAAGAGCGAGAAGGAAGAGGCCGGCAGGGGAAATAAGAGACAGGTGGCAAAGAAGACGGCCGGCGACAGCTACGGAGCTTCGGGCGGACAGCACGCGAAACGCGCGGGGTGGAGAGGCTGGGGAATTTAGCTGGGTTGCTGCTAGGCAAGCTGGGCGCCTTCAGGTAGCTTCGGGATTTTTGTTGCTGCACGTCTCTCTGCCGTGGCCGATGAGACTTGCCGGTTCGAGGGTCGACGTGTGAATTGGGCGTGGGATGTGGGAAATGGAGAAAGGAAGATGGAAGAGAGGAGGAAGCCGTAAGATTCTTTCCAGCTGAGAGGGAAAAAACGGAAGGTTGTGGAAGGAGGGGGCGGTAGAATGAGACGGGCGGTATGTTGGCGGTGCAGCGAAGGACTTCGCGCGGTAGGAGGAAGGTGCGGTGGGCGGTAGGCGGTGGGCGGTGGGCGGTGGGCGGATGACGGGATAAAAAATTGGGGCCTGAGGAGGACGAGAGAAGGAGGCGGACGGACGGGGCGGCGGTTGACGATTTTGGGGGGTGAGGGGGGGGGGTGCGCGTGGAGGGGGGGGGCAGAGGGAGAAAAGGGGGGCGTAAGTCAAAGCTCCGATGGACAGCGCAAGGCGAAATAAAGCAGCAAAGGACATAAAATAAAAATAATAAAGCGCAGTGGTGGACAGGGAAGACGGAAAGGAAAGAGCGCCGCGGGCGGATCGGGTGATGATGCCGGGGTTCGAAGGGGAAGGGACGGACGCGAGCAGCAGAGCAGGCGAGAAGAAAAGTGGGCCCCTTCCATTGCTGGCCAAGAGCGCAGGGACGCAGGGGCTTGGCGTCGCCGGAGCACCAGGTCGCCACTGCCTCTGACGGCCAGAGGCGGTACGATTCGGTACGAGTACAAGTATGGAGCCTGTTGCAGGCAGCTACGACCGGCGGAGGCGACGGCAGGCCGGACGGCGGGAGAGAGGAGAGAAAATCGCGAAGAGTCAGGCGAAAAGAAGAAGAGCGGAAAAGATGAGAGAGATGAGAGTTGAGATGCGCGATGCAGGACGCGCTGAGAATTGCATTCAGCTGTCGGCGCAGCACGAACGCAGCCGCAGGTCGGCCCGGCGAATGCAGATGCGCAGGCAGAACGACCAGAGAAAGCTGCACAAAAGAAGACGAGACATGGAAGGGGGCAGCAGGCTGGCCCGCCTCCGGACCGTGCTGGCGCCGCAGATCATACTGTCTCCCTCGGGTGGGCAGTGGGCAGTGAGCAGTGGCTGTGGGCTGTTGGTCGTGCTGGCAGCGTACGTTGCCGAGAAGGAGAGGTGAGGCGGCGGCGCCGCTGGGCAGCTGGGGCCGGGATGGGCAGATGGGCTGGGCAGCTGGGCAGCTGGGCAGCCAGGCATCTGGGCTGCTCAGTACTCCGTATGAGTACCATGTACAACGACTGTGTACATAAGCGGCTGCTGGGGGCGGCTGCTGGGCTGCTGCCGGCGTTTGTGAGCCGTGGCAGCTATCGTCTGACGCGGTAGGCGGTGGACGGCAGGGGCGGTGGACGAGTGGGCGGTCATCGTCGTAGGCCGGTCGAGGCCTGGCCCAGCAGCGCAGTGCAGCCTGGCCCCCAAAGGAGCGACCGGCAAGAGGTGTGTGCCTGCCAGCTGCCAGGTTGTACTCCGTAATTGCAATTGTGGGGGCGGCACTCGTCGGCTTCCCCAAAGCTCTTTTACGAGCAGCTCTAATTTCCCGGCCGCGACGCCTCGTCTTCTGCTTTGACGAGCAGGGAAGACAAACGGCGTGCAGACCGTGCAGAGAGCGCAACGTGTACGGAGTAGAGGGCTCTTACATGTTACGAGTCTCGTATGTGGCCTCTCCTTTTCGGCAAGCTCCTACGACGTACGGAGCACACCGTTTCTCCTGCCCGCCCCTTTCCCCTTCTCCTCTCTCCTGACAGCCAGAGGGGAAAGGCGGTGCCGGTGTCCGGCGCCAGCGCCTGCACCAGCCTCGGGTGGCACATGGTGCCTAACGCTGGAATGGCCGCATGCTAGACCAGGCGTGTGCCATTCTCGGCGCCCCGGCCTGTGCAAAACCCGCCCCCCCCCTTCCAGTGTGGTCGCATGCCCGGCGGGCGGTAGAGACATGTGCTTGCGAGTATTGTCGCGCACTGCCAGACACGAACAGGAAACACGGTACTCCGGCCGTCGCCGTGAGGAGCGACGTTCCTTCCTCGACGCTGGTTGGTCGCGACCGCCCTGTTCGCTGTGCAGGGGTAGGACTAAAACGCGGAAGGCTTGGGCCACAGGACAAAGACGCGAAAAGACGGAAAAAACGAAAAAAAAACAGAGGTAGGCCAGAACAAGAAGGAAACAAGAAAAAGCAAACAGCCAAAAGAAAAAGAAAAAGAAAAGAAAAGAGAAAAGAAAGAAAAAAAAAAACGCCTCCAGATGCAGCCGCCATACGAGTACAAAGACACCATACATGGCAATGTCGTACGCCGTGCCGCTCAGCAAACAGACGCCCCTTGCCCCCCTCCATTTCGTGTCCCCGTGCTTCTGCTGATGCTCTCTCGTCCTTCGTCCTGGCCGTACGTCGTAAGTGCACCCACCTGCGTCGTTCTCTGCGCTTTGTCTCTCTTTCTGTTCCTCGTCCTGTCCATTGCTGCCTCCACCCCCTCCCCTTCCTTCCCTTTTCCCCCCAAATAGCTCCGGCCGCCAAGACTGAATGGCAGGCCCCATATTTTCCGCCTTTCCAAAATGGCGCTGGGCATGGATTGCTTTTTTCGTCGGCCGTGTCTCTTTCTGGCGCATAATCCGTTCCCTCTCCTGCTGTCTGGCCTACGTGTCGCGGTGCAACCGGGCCCGAACCAGCTTCCAGAGCACGGAGACGGTCGGCTGACCGCTTCCAGAACCCAAATACGAACTGTCCGGTGCCCTATTGCTCCTTCACCCTCTTCCTTCCTTTCCCTCCATTCGGCCCCAGACGAAGAGATGGCGATCTGATCCATCTTCGCGGGTTCGCCGAAGATCATCCGTTCTTCTCTCTTACCCCTCCTTTTCTCTCCCCATCTCTCATTTCCTATTTCCCATTTCCCGTTCCCTGTCCTCCGTCGCGCCGTGTCTCCTCACGCCTTACATAGTAGACAGCCGCCGAGCAGAACGCACAATGGGCGCAGAAGCGTCGCAAATGGTCTGGCAGCAGTTCCATCCCGCGACTCTTTCGGTTGGCGCTTATTGGGGCGTGACTTGTTGGCTGCTCGTGGCCTCTGGGCCCTCGTAAGACCACCCAGCTTAGCTCTCCACGTCCGGTTAAATCACGCGCACATCTTTCGATGCCGGAGCCGTGCCCCCATTTCGCTCCCGGCCAGACAGTCTCCTACGTCACTGTCCGCCGTAGCCGACGCTCCCTGGGCCGTACTATGTGAAGTGCGAGATAAAAATACACTCACCAATAAGAGTACGAGCGAGGAATCCGGACCAAGTCTGGCCTGCGATATTGGTGACGCAAGCCGGGATTCCGAGGCCTCCCCAGTTTTCTGGCCTGTCTATTTTCTTCTGGGGAGGCACAGTCGAGGTAATGTTATCATGTTATTACATAGTACGAGTACTCGTGCATCTCCTGGAAGTCTCGGGCTGGTGGCCCCAGCGCAGCACAAGCGTTTACGAGCGTTTACGAGCGTTTACGACCAATTCCGAGCCGTTTCCCATCGGCATCACTCTCACCCCCTCTTCCGGCTCTGGCGGCTCTGCACAATTCTCACCCTCGGCTTTCGTCACCTTGACTAGCTCGCTTTTTTAAGCCTCCCCCTTTCAGCTCCCCCTATCTTATGCCCCCGACACTTCCTCGGGCTCGTTCGGAAAAGCCCAGCACTTTCGGTGCAGAATAACGGCCGGTAAGATGACGCGCTAAGCAGCAGCCCGAAACCGATAACGCGTGCAATGACATCTCCGTCTGTTCCGTCTTGTCCTGGCCCGCGGTCCTCTTACGGATACGAGTGAGCGGTGCACTCGGTACTATTTTCCCCTATTAAACTTGCTTTATTTTATTGTCCCGTATCTCGCCCTCGCTCTTTGCTCGGTGCGCGTGCTCCCATTGCTGGCCTTAGTTTGTCCTGTCGCCCCATTCCTCACTTGCAGCTCTAAAGTCTGCGGTGGCCGACAAATAGAAACATGGACTAAAGCATCCGCCACCCGACCCGGTGATGTATCTTACTTTGATAGCCTCTCGCGCTCCCCCAGGGGCCCCGGCAGTGAGCTGGCAGGAAGCCGAAGCCAGAGCGAACACGTTGACCAGGCGAGAGCCAGATAACAGCGCATTGCACATATGTATGATTACGTTCTGTGCGGCGCCGATCGGCCGGCCATGACCTCGACCAGCTCCGCCTCTTTACCGCGGTCTTGCCGTGGTCCAGTTATGACGGACGGCCAGCGAATCTGACGGTCGACACATGCGCTCACATCTTCTCAGTGCCACGGTATATGCTGGAAGAGAGGGGTGCTGCAAATGGCGGTCTCATCCATCGAGTCCGGACTAACGGCCGGAAAGACGTGTTTCTGTGTGCGGGACTTTTGCGCTCCAGTTACTAGCGCACACGGTGCACCACAGCTCTGCCCTTCTCAGCATTCGGTCAGACACTTCCGGGTGTCGCCGGCGCACAACCACTGATAAAGTTGGGTCCAGACGCCGACAGCTCCGCTCACTACTACATAGTATTTGCCGGAGTGCAGAACTAAGCCCGGTGAGTGTCGCGGCGTCTACGTATTGCATACACAGGACGCAGACGCCGAGAACGGACGTCTGCAGGGCAATGAGTGACGCGTCAGAAACGAAGCCTTCCAAAACACACAAAAGAAAATGCCAAAAAACAATACGGACTACGGAGTACTGGGAACACAAATGAATCAGCAGACACAAAGCGGGCCCTGTGCGCACGTGACTTTAGCACATTTTAATCCAATGTGTTTAACCAAGCCCATCACTGCGATCGTTCGGCTGTATTAGAAAGAGGAAATGAGAAAAAGACCGAAATGAAAAAAAGAGTGCGTCCGTTCTTTATTGGAGAGAAAAAAAGAACGTGACCAAAAACGTACAGCAGCGGGTATTCGCTGGTCGTCACCGACCCAACTACTAATCCGCCGATTACTGGTTTAACTAGGGGAGAGCGGACGGGATCCCGTGCTTTCCAGTATCTATGGCCGTACGTGGAATTTCGTGCTGCAGTGCAAGCTATAATATGACACTAGCCAGCATAAATGTCGGCCTGAATGTATAGATCACGGCAGGCCGAGTACAACGTCAACCTTTCAACAAGCCGTCAATGTACAGCGTACAAACTGCTAAAAATTGACCCCAGCTAGTGCATGCTTTTGATCTTCCAGCCGACGTTGAGCTCTTCACGCCGTGACTTGCTCTGGGGTCGAAATACGGCCACCCGCCTTGGGCGGTGTAGTCATCAAATGTTTGGCCGTGTATAATGTATAAGACACTCCGGTTGATCCAGATAGTTGTCTTGTTGGAACCATGTGGGAGACGATGGGGACGAGCACAGCTGAGGGAGAGAGACTCACCAATATCGTTATCAGTCTGCCACTTGAAGCAAGCCTGAAAGTCATGATTTTGTGCACTAAGTCGAGGGATCATTCCAGTAGATGGGCGCTCTCTTCTTTGGTCACGTCGTTAAGATCATTGTGATGTTCTCGGGCGAGTTGCGCAGGTTGTCGTACAGCTTGAAACCGGCGTGCTTCGAGTGAAACGGCCGTAAAAGCCTGCCGCCAAGCGTCGAGAAATCCTTCTTTGTCGCATTTAACGGGGGTTTCTAGCCTCTGTCCGTGATTGCTTCGGCCATGAATATCGTCGGACCGGATCACATTTCTCGAGTGATAACACGACTCTACGTCTACGTTTGTCGGTGAGCTTTTTACAAATTACGAATATATACTATGCCTAGCAGATATACTGCTCCCTAAGCAGTTGGATCCAAGGTATTTACTGATATAGAAAAATAAGTTTCTGGTCATAGATAAAGACTAAACATGTTCACTTAGCATCCTGCCTCCTCAGCTAATAACAACGCACTATGTTTGATCATCACGGGACGCTGTGGATGATTGACCCTAGCATCAGCTGGAAGATGATGAGGCTTCTGCAGAGCAGTCTATTATACAGTATGAGTACACTGATGCAGTTTGTTCATACCCGGCTGAGCTACCTTTTCAACTTCAACTGTCTGAATTGCGCGTCTTTGGTCCATTACTACATCTGCTATTCTAAGATCCCCAGGTTCTACGACGAGCTGCTGGTCAAGGGGATGCGTTGTGTGTGCCGCTATGGAAGGACGACTTTGTGCTGTTAGGCGTGAGCCGCTTTTTCTCTTTACTCTTTATCTTCTCTCTTCTTTGTTTTGCCCTTCTTTAACTCCCTAGAACTACGCCGTTTTACACTCTCGCTCCCCTTGGTCTGGCCACCGCTAGTTACTTGCCGCCTTGTGGATGCCGACGGCCATATTTACTACTATCCCGAGGGCAAGGCTATGTAACACAGCCGGCGGATGACCGTCGGTCGACGTGTGTAGTCAGTCGGGTCAAAAGTTGGCGGCAGGAAAAAGTTCGATTCACCGGTAGCCATGCGCGAGGCCACCTCGGCGAGATAGTGCGTCTGGCAGCGGGCCACACAAGTCTTGTCACTCTCACTCTCTCCATCGTCCCGTTGTCTCTTCTCCGGCACTCCAACAAGCTCAATTCGATCACGACGGTAGTCGCGAATCATATGCGCTCGCCGCTCTCGCCCCATACCTTTGTGGATCTGTAGCGCTAGATCGCGCACGTAGCTAGGATCTGAGGCTTCCGCCACCGTCACATAGACGACCAGCGCAAACAGTGGCCGCTTGCTGTCATACTCGTCGGTCGTGTAGGCCGTGAAGATGGGCGAGCCATCATGACTCGGCGCAGCCTCGACTACCGGATTTTGGTAGAGTTTTGCACCCGGCCGCCGACTCGCACGGGGCCGACAAGTTTCTGGTTTATGCTCCATAGTGTGATGAAGGCGGCCGGTGGAAGTATGGCGAAAGGGCTCAGATGTTACGACCGAGGGGGAATTGGATTAGGTCAGCTGTGTCAGATATTGGCTCAAATGTAAAGCACCGCTGACTTATATTTTCAGCTGGCCTGCGCCACACAGTACAAGTATTGATGTCTTCGTACTCGTATCTCTGCATAAATCCTCATTGCTCACATATTCCGACAGACTTCACGGACTCTACCATTGTTGAGCGTACCGATAGACAATACTGATGTTGAGAGGAAGCAGAAGAGGGACGAGAGAGTATTAGAGAGGCGGCGAGGCGACCGTGTCTGCAGAGAATCTTGGCTGCTAGTCACATACTCGGCCGATATACTTCGGGCTACGTAATAATACGCGCAGTGGAGAAAAAGCTTATGCAGCTACGGAGTACGAAGTAGTCGCGTCTTTATCATAGCGCTAGCTCGCTTCAGCTAAGTCAGGCACAAATGCAACAGTATTACGGCGGGATCTAGTCGTTTTCAGCTAGTGGACTGCTGTTAATGGTATGTAGGCAGCAAGACCGCACGACGGTTTATGGAAATAGTAGACACAGCAGACATGATAAACAGGATGTATCTGCAGATTTACATCTGAAACAGCATACCGAATTGGCACTGGAGCTTGGTCGTCATAACTGACTGACTACGAGACCTCCGTCACCACCGCTTATGGTACCGAGACATCTGACCGCTGACTGACGAAGACTACGTGTCCATGCACACCATCCCCCAATTATTGTGCTACTACTACGACTACAGCTGTCTCGAGGATGCCACCCGAGGGAATTCGTATATGAGGCGATTGGAATTTGGGCGAATCGGAGCAATTTGAGTGTGTTCTTTAGTCTTTTACTTGTTTTTGCTTTCTTCAATTTCTGCCCCTCAAACTCTATCAAAGACGGTGGCTCCCTCATCTTCGCCGACTGCGACGTCGAACAGCTTAGGTGTTATGCTGGTACAGCTCACTTCAACGACGCGGCATCATCTCCGAGTATGTCTCGCTGACATCGAGCTGCAGCGCCACGGACTACCCCCTGACCACGACAACGCCAGCCTTTAACGGGGGTGTCTCTTCCCCTTTCTTGCCCCTTTACATTCCTCTTTTACTGCCCAACGCGGTACCACCGCCACTTCTGCCATCTCGGCCATAGGATCGGCAGCACCCCCCTGCACAGGCACTTCCTATACTATTCAGCCCGGAGACGCCTGCCAGTCCATATCTCAGAGCTAGGGTGTGGCCACGATGCGCCTACTTATCGACAATAGTCTTCCGGCTTGCTCAGACTCGCTCTGCATCGAGCACATCTGCTCGACCTACACAGTCCAGGCCAATGATACCTGTACATCTACTACGGCTGATCACGGGCTGTATTACGCCCGGGTTCTCGATTGGAACCCGCATTTTGACCTGACTTGCAATAACATCAACAAAACTGTTGGCCTCGACAGCTGCATTATATCACCCGGACTGACGCAGTATGTGATACCTAACGTGACGTATGCTGACGGCACACGCACTGCTTGCGCACTGGCCCTCATCATGTTTAGAATCTCTCTTGAAAACCTAACTGCATGGAACCTGAGCCTTGCCAATACCGCGTCATGAACCTCGCCATTGACTCTGGCATCAATTACTGCGCCGAATGGTTTGGCAGTATTCTGACGACGACGTACTCGAAGTTTCCGTCTGTTCTGGAAACTGCTGTAAGTACTCATTTTTCCATTTTCTCTTCTCCACAGACTCCCTCCATCCAGGACGGCCAAACCTTTGCCGACGACCTCAGGTGCGATAATCTATTCCAGCTCTGGAAAATCACGCTCAAACACCACCGCCACCATCGTCATCATCTCTATTGCCATTGTCTCGACCATGAGCACTGTCACGTCGCCGGGTCCAACTAAGGCCAAGTATGCGCCTAGATTGGATTCGTAGAACGGTTGGCTGGAGATGCAACTCATACGCGTATACGTACACGAAAATATATATACGCTTGCTTCTTATCAAAGTAGTTAACGGCAGAAGTGGACAAGGAACCTGGCCACTGGCATCATCACATCATCGCATCATCGCCTCTACACCTCTTCGATATGCCATGCAGAATGCCATGCATATTTGACCTTCTACTGTCTGTGCTTTTATAGACAACGTGGCCAATTGCAATCAACACTTGTGTGCATGGCATATGACATTTAGGCCAACGTGTCGTGATCGATAGAGACAGAACATGACGGTTGTCACCGTCTGGATTGTATGCCGTCTCGGCTTAGAAGGGCCGAAATAACGCCAGATTTTTGTTCTTCTTCACCCATCGCCAAGCTGTCTAGACAGCATGCATGTTTACCAACGACGTTTGAATAGTCGCCTTGGCGGAAATAGTCCATGGGGTAGAAAATGCCTCGGGATGTTGGCGGGATCTCAGATAAAGGCACACGCCAGTTACTGCCTCTCGTCGTTTTGGATTTAGTCGCGTCAACGGCCTTAGCGATCACGAAAGGCCCACCACGTCATAGCACACAAGCGCAGTTGTGCGCAATCACTATCAATGCCGACCAAAGCGTGGAGTATTTTGTTCGGGATGGAGAACGGCCGGCCAAAGGAGATCTCGTTTGCTCTACCCCATGCAATTAGCCTCCGGCGACATCTAACCTCGCAATGACGCAAAAGATAGCAGTTTTGTCCAAGATGTGATACTTGAACTGCTGTCCACTCATGCCGGTAAAATCGCAAGGAAACAGGCACCAATTGCCTATCTAGAAATTGCCAAGATCTCTGGTGCCAATATTTCCATTTCCTTTCTCCTCTACATCATAGGTTTCCGCTCTTGCATGTGTATTAGTTGCCATCCGGACACTTCCCAAGAAGCTGGGACGCGTGGAACATGCGAACAAAGATTCGATTTCCATCCTGCCGATCCCTTCTTTCCGACAGTTCTTGTCCGTCCCCCCCCCCCCCCCCCCCATCCTCCGTATACCGGCTGCCAAGTCTACGTAATGGAGAGGAGCTAGACCGATGCAGGAAATAACATGTGTTGGTGGAAGTAAGGAAAAATGTGATGAAATAAAGAGAGAGAGTGAGGGTTGCAAAGCTTCGCAGCCATGTCGACTGCCCGTCTACTTATGTACTCGCCCCTGTCCTCGTCTGTAACGGAAAGGCCTCTGCCTATGGGTCTTTTTCCTCGTGACTCTTCCATTTCCAGCCACATCATTGCCCGTCCTCATCCTTCATCTGTCCCCCACAACGTCCATCATGTCGACCACCCTGGCCAAGGAAAAGGGAGGAGCCTTCAGCACGGTCGCCCACTCGAGCTCGCTGGACTCGGACGCCCAGAGCTCTACGGGTGGCGTGCCCGAGCTCGGCGCGCCGGTGAACACGAAGCAATTTTGGTTCCAGAAGGCGCGCAACTACGATCCCAATGCGATTGCGACGCAGCGCAGCGTGTTTGACGATGCCGAGACAGCGGACAAGTACCAGCCGCGCACCGACTGGGAGAATGTGCACCGGTTCGACCCGCTCTTCCGCTGGACCTGGGCCGAAGAGAACCGGCTGGTGCGCAAGATCGACGTGCGCATCATGGTCTGGACCTGTGTCATGTTCATGGCCCTGGAACTCGACCGGGCCAACATCTCGCAGGCGTTGACGGACAACTTTCTCAAGGACCTGAAGATGACGACCAACGGTGTGTGTTGATCTCCTTGTCCCTTCGGCTGTCCTTTGCTTCTGACCGACAGACTACAACCTCGGAAACACGGTGTTCAAGCTGGCCTTTCTGTGTGCCGAGCTGCCCTCGCAGCTGGTGTCCAAGTGGGTAGGCCCCGACCGCTGGATCCCTGCGCAGATGACGATCTGGAGCATCGTGGCCTTTAGCCAGTTCTGGATCACCGGCCGCTCCTCCTTCTTGGCCACGCGCGCGCTGCTTGGCATGCTGCAGGGCGGCTTCATCCCCGACGTGATCCTGTACCTGTCGTACTTTTACAAGCACTTTGAAATGTCCATCCGGCTCAGCTTTTTCTGGACGGCCATGAGCATCGCCGACATCATCTCGGCCCTGCTCGCCTATGGCCTGCTACACATGCGCGGCGTCCAGGACAGATCTGGCTGGCGATGGATGTTTCTACTGGAAGGTCTGCTGACCTTTGTCATCGGCCTTCTCGCCTTTGTTCTCATGCCCCCAGGTCCCTGCCAGACGGCCAGCTGGTTCCGCGGCCGCAATGGCTGGTTCAACGAGAGGTATGGCTTGCCTCGTCGCTCTTCCGGTGCCTCCTGTTGCTGACAGGCTTCTGCAGAGAACAGAAGATCATTGTCAACCGTGTCATTCGTGACGACCCGACAAAGAGCTCCATGCACAACCGCGAGCCCATCACGCCGCGGACGCTCTTCAAAAGCCTCAAGGACTACGATCTCTGGTAGGACAGCGCACTCTCCACTTTGCTGACTCATCCATCTGACAACACTTCTACCTAGGCCGCTGTACACTCTAGGCCTCGTCTTCCAGATCCCCATGACGCCTCCGACACAGTATCTGACACTGTCGCTGAAGGGACTTGGCTTCAACACGTTCCAGACCAACCTGCTGACGATACCGTACACCGTCGGACACATCATTCTGATGCTTCTGCTCACGTATCTGTCTGAGATCTGGAACGAGCTGACGCTGACGGCGATGATCGGCCAGTTCTGGGCGCTACCTTTTCTCGTATGGCTGTACAAGGGCGCCACGGTCCAGACGAACAGGTGGACGGTCTATGCCATGACCACGGTGCTGCTGGCGTATCCCAACGCGCACCCGATCCAGGTGGGCTGGAACTCGCGCAACTCCAACGCAGTCCGCCTGCGCACCGTCTCGGCTGCGTCCTACAACATGTTTGTGCAGGCTGGCGCCATCATAGCATCTAACATCTATCGGAAAGACGACGCGCCGCTGTACAAGCGCGGCGACAAGAATCTGGTCGCGATCACGTGCATGAACATTGTGCTCTACCTGCTCGCAAAGACGTACTACGTGTGGCGGAACAGACAGCGGGCGGCTAGGTGGAACGCTATGTCGGAAGAACAGCGGCTACACTACCTGGCGACGACCAAGGACGAGGGCAACAAGCGGCTAGACTTTCGGTTCCAGCACTAGAGGAGGCCTTGAGGCAAAACTGGGATGATTACTAATATCACAACTTGTCTGCCTTGTCTGCCTTGCCGTATATCAAGTGCCAAGCCTGAAAGCCTCGTTAATGACGGTGAAGACAGGCCCGTTGCTGTTTGTAGATAAGCCGGCGATCCCGCGTGGGACTGCCATTTTACCAGAGCGAGCTGAATCTACAATATCGGCACTGCTTACTTTGTATTAGCGCCTACTCTGCTTTTCCTCACGGTTCAGCTGGTGGCGGGACGTATGTCCACCAGGCACTCCACCCAGGGCAGTGTCGAGTCGCTCTCGCGGTGGATGGGTGCCTCTCCACATCTGACCGCCATCTATTTCGTAAAGTCTCCACCGTTTGTAACATTGCACAGGAATGAGGCAACGACCGCAACCTTGGCAATGTGACACCGGGATCTGTGCGGAAGAGCCTCGGAGCTGTACTGTACACTCTGCTTCGCGTTACCATAGACGTCAGCACTAGACTTGGTAAACAACTTCCTATCTCTTCACGGCGGTGCCTCTTCTAGTCTAGCTCTAGTCCCCCACTCAGGTGGAACCTTTCTGCCGCATCGATCGACACTGCTTATCTTCCCAGGGCCGTGATACATACGGAGTATATAATGCATGCGCTGGCATTTACTATCATATATCACAGGTCAAAGCGGCGGGGCCACAACTTGCACCAAGCCAAATACGAATTTGTTTATGTATTGTATGTTACGACTTTTAAGTATGTGTAGTATGTTGTGCTATGATGGAGTATTTTACCATATCATGAAAACATCTTTAATCCGGCCACCGAATTCCATGCAGGAGTTCAACACTGTTGGTAATAGCCTCGGCCCCTCAAGAAAACAATTATACCCAAAATAGTAGGGCGGAGGGGATTAAGACTCGGACGGGGAGAGGCTATGAATTGAAGCACTGCAATGTAAAAAAACAAATAAAGCCAAATACGCCCCTGAGGACAAGACAAACAACGCCAGACCAGATGACAAAAGAAAATGCGTGTTTCCATCTCTAAAGTAGCTGTTTGCTCGGCCAGCTCACCGGTCTCGTTCCAGACATATCCATTTCTTGGACGTCCATCTCTCATGTACTATAAAAAGAAGGAGCAGCCAAAGATCAGACATGTGTAGGCAGTCGAGATGGTGTACTCGAGCTCGAACCAGGCGGCCTGGCCACCAAAGGCGGTCTTCTTGCTCTGCTCGGTCGGGTGGGCAACGTTGGTCTTGGGGTCGCGGACCAGGAGCTCCTCCCGGTCGGGCTCGGACGGCGGGAAGATGGCGTAGGCGACAGGGGTCCAGAGCGACGTGCAGAGAAAGAGGAAGGTCATGGGCGGCCAGAAGGCGTGGGTGACCAGGCATTTGAGTGTGTTGTGCACGGTGGTGTTCTCGGAGATGCAGCGGTACGAGCTGTAGGTGACGCCGATCAAGGTGAAGTAGACAAAGACCAGATGGTAGATGGCGTTGTAGTTGATCAAGATGGTCCAGAGGCGAATGAAGACGTTGCGCCGGCGCTTGGCATCGCGCTCGTTGAGGGCAGAGCCGAGCGAGCCGGTAGGCTTGAAAGCCTGGGCCTGGCCTCCAAGCCACTTGGGCAAGATGAAGGCGCGGATGAGGCAGACGCTGATGTAGGGGGCCATCCAGAGCAGGTAGCGCGAACCGCGCTGGCCGTTGTGGTAGCCGGCGGGCAAGAAGACCAGCAGCTCGTCGACACGGGTAGTGATCATCTGGATGAAGCAGAGCCGCATAAGCCAGCGGAGCTGGTTCGTAGTCGCGTAGGCGATCAGGGTCTTGCCCATGATCAGAATGATAGGGATGGCAAAAAGCGAGATGCTAAAGAGGATGGTGTACAAGCTAAGGAAAGAGTAGAGGAAGCCGGAGAAGCGCTGCGGCAGGGTCATGTAGCGGACCTTCTCGCCCCAAAGACAGAAGTTGAGCTTGAACGAGGTGTCGACGGTGCCGATGGCCCAACGAGTCCGCTGCTTGATGTGGCTGCCGTAGTCGCCGGGGACAGTGCCGAATTGGAGCGGTTCGTGAATAAAAGCCGTCTTCCAGCCCTTTCCAAGCATCAGGGTCGACGTGGCCACATCCTCGGCCAGGGAACCAAGCGGGAAGTGGCCGACATCGTCAATAGCCTCGCGACGGACGACGTAGCCAGAACCTGTACACCAGGCGACGCCGAGAGAGTCCTTGATAGGCTCGATCACGTGCACAAAGAAATCCAGGTTCTGGGCAAGCGGATCGGACCGGGGGGTGTTGTAGAAGAGCTGGGGCGGGCAGGCCAGGGCCATCTTGGGGTCGATGATCAGATGGGGCAGGATAGCCCGAAGCCAAATCCTCTCTGGAATCTGTAGGGGATTAGCATGAGTAAATAGAGAAAGCAGTCGAAGAGAGCGATGTCTTACCATGTCGGCATCCAGGGCAGCAATATACTCGCTAGGCCCTCCGGGGAACTGAGTGACGGCCCCGAGGCCGTAGTTCAGGTTGCCCGACTTGAAATGATGCGGCACGCCGGGGAACTTGGGCCGGGAGACGTAAAAGACATTGCCGTACAGAGAGTTAAGCTGGTTGCAGCCCTTATCGAGGCCCTCGGACTTGCCGTCATCCAGAAGCACAACACGGAAACGGTCACGCGGATAGTCCAGGTCGCAGGCAGCACGAACGGTGTCGAGGACGAGCTCATCATCCTCGCCACAGCAGGTGATGAAGACGTCGACAGTGGGGACGTCTTCGCCGGTCAGCCGAAGCTTCGGGCGGTGTCTCCGCTTGACGGCCATCATGGTCCAGATATTGTGGATCATAGAGGGGATAGCAGTGGCCAGCTCGACGGCAATGAAGACCCAGGCGGGTGCATAGGTGCGGTGGTTCTTGTTCTGGGCCGAGACGACGCAGTAGATGCGGAAGGTGACGTAGACCACGTACGCGGCGCTGCTAAAAAAGGTGAGCAGCGGGGCGAACTTGACGACCTTGCGCTTCCAGCCCTTGGAGATCTCGGCATCGTCCCGACGGTGCAGCTGCACGATGGACTCTGACGGCACGCTCTTGTCACGGGGCTCTGACGCGTTCTTGGGCAGAAAGGCGGCCAAGCTGAGGTGGCTGGGGTTCTGTCGGATGTGAGCGAGAGGCGACCAAGGGAGAGAGAGAAGAGGAAGAAAGGGCAAGGTAAGGGAGAGGGGTTGTGAACTAAGCTCAAACCGGGACTGAAACCTACCTGACTGCTGCGAAGGGACGTGGCACTCGAGGGGAAATCGCTGAGGCTGCTCAGACGATCAGGACCGGGCGAGGGTGCCCAGGGCGGCGAGATCATGTAGTCGAAGTCGACCTGTTGATCGATCGCAGGCTTGAGCGTCTCTGAAGAAGAGAGCAGAGTAGCACTGGCGCTGGGCGAGGCCGAATAGGTCAGGCCTAGAGTGGTGGGCGTGGTGCAGCGTCTCTGACGAGATGACGGCCGCAACTGCTCATGCAGCTCGTGCTGCTCGTGCTGTTGGTCTTCCAGCGCGGCGATGTCGTCGTGCGGCCTCAGGGGAGCAAACTCCGGTACCTCCGGCGTGCGTGGCTGATCCTCCATTGCCTCCGGCTGAAGGGCCCAAGAAGCTGGACGAAGCAGAAACTGAATACCAGATCAAAAAAAGAGAGACGCGTGACGAGGGCAATCAATCGGAGAGAGAAAAAGGGGGGGGGGGTAAAGAAAAGTGCACGATGCCAGGCAAAAGAACGAAAAAAAATTAGATCGTGAAAGGCAGACAGAACGGGGCTCGGCAGAGGATTGGGCGACAAGCGAAAGGAATTAAGTTATGCAAAGCGAGTGACGGATGCCATATGAAAACGAAAACACAACGAGGCCTAGCGACGGTTGGAGAGGAATGATGGTGGGAGGTAAACAGAGTCGGGAAAGGCAGCATCACCGACAGAACAAGACAGGTCAGGCAAAGTAGGGAATTCACCTCAAGCTCGCAAGAGTATTACGAGACATACGGCACAGTACGGAGTCCGCGTTAGGGGGGGGGGGGCGAGGACCGTTAGGAGGTTGGCGCGCAGGCTGGCGTCCTTTTGGTCGCCCTGGTGCTTATCAGGTTACGAGGTCAGAAGTACTGTCGTACCGGGAACCGTGCCTGTCCGAGGCGATCCACACAGGACACGGACAAATATAGAAAGGCCACCAGTGGGCCAAGCGTCGTTATCAACGCCCGCTATGCAAGAAGGAGGCTAGCCCAGGCTGGCTGAGCTGGGAAAGGGGGGGGAGCGGATGGACGGGAATGGAGCACGGTACAGTGTTTTCTTTTTTTTTTTTTTCCTTGCCTTTATTGTCTCCCTTTTTTCCCTTTTTCTCTCTGGCTTGTCGCCTCTTCTGGCGTGATAGCCTTGCCAGGAATGTCCCCCAGGCATCGAGCGACCGGTTGGCCTGGCTGCAGGGGCGCAGCAGCTCATCCTGGCTCGGCACCAGGAACGCAGCAGATGGTCGACTGTCAGCGAATGGACTTTGGTTCGTATGAGGCCCCGTTTCCGGCTTCTGTCACGGCTCGCTCGCTCATGCTCATACGAGCGCGCCAGATCTGGGAGCTGCGGGCTTCCCACAGGGGGTCGAGGTACGACAAGATCGGCACCACTTGCGCGCAAAAGCCCAGTTTTGCTCGTAGTCCATAGCCGGCTAGCTGCCAGGGTCCGTCTGCTGATTACGAGCGAGAGCGCGCCTTCTGGGCGGAGCCGTCCACCTTGGACACGCAGCCGACAGGGGGGCCGTCCTTATCTGTCTCGTCCTGCTCCCACTCTACATATGTACCATTCCGGATCAGCTCGTATTTCGTCTGCCATACGAGTATATATCCACTGACGGCTAGCCCGTGACGCCCGGACCCTCGTCTCTGCTTCCCCCCCCCCCCTGTTCCACTTCCACTTCCATTCCCACGCCCGCTTGCCCTTCCTCTTCCGGCGTCTGCGAGCGCCAAAAGGAAAACACCAAAAAATCTCGTATTAGGCTGGCGTTGGTCCGATCTCGAAAGCTGCTCCGTCACCCAAGTCTGTCCGTTCTTCGAACATGCCTTCCGTCTGCCAGTAACGCACCCAGCATCGCCATGATCGTCACCCTCTTGCTGTCGGTGCTCAACGCCGGCTTGCTGGCCATTCCCATTGGCGGCACGGCCGGCGTGCTTGCCGGCATCGACTACCATCGTCGCGTCACCGGCCAGGCTCCTCTCTTTTCCAACCCGTCCGGAGGCGGCGGTGGCGGCTTCGATGGCGGCGACGGCGGCAACGGCACCGACGACAACAGCACCTATCCCGGCTGGGATGGCGACAAGCCCAACGCGACCGTCGTCATCGGCGGCACCACCATGTCCGAATACTGCCAGCAGTACAACGAGATTGCCATCAACGCTACCGACGGCCAGAACTATACCGGTACGCAGCTCTTCTTCGTCTCTCTTCTCGCTTCGTGATCTCCAGCTAACAGCCGCAGTCAATCCGAACCAGTGGGGTTGGGAACAGGCCAAGGGCGGTGGCCTGTGTCTGAATGTGAGTCTGAGTCCTGTGATCCTGCAGTCTATCTCCCCTCCCTTCTGACTTTTCAGGTCACCACGTTCAACAATGATACGTATCCCACAAACACCACCGCACCCAAGTGGTCTGCTACCTGGCAGTACCCCGTTGGCGAGACCAGCCAGCCTGTGCATGCCTACCCCAACATCATGATCCGAGGCGACGTCTTGCCCGCCAAGCTCGGCAGCCTGACTGAGCTCGGCATCGACATGCATTGGACCTATACCGACAACAAGACCATCACCGTCACCAACACCAACTCTACCGTTACCACCCATACCAACTCCACCAAGCGTGCCGTCGTTTCCGTCGATTTCAGTGCCAATGTCGCCATCGACATGTTCTTCGACAAAAACGCCACCAAGTCGCAGCTCACCTCCGATGCCGACTACGAGGTCATGGTGTGGTTTGCCCAGTTTGGCAAATATGCTGATCCCATCGGCTATTCCGACGGCATCGTCGCCTCCCAGATTGTCGATGGCGTCAATTTGTGAGTATCGCCCGTCTGCTCCTTTGCCCGAGACACAGCACTGACAGGCCAATTAGCACGCTCTACAACGGCACAAACAGCAAGGACCAGCACGTCCTCACCTGGATCTCCGAAAACGAGACGAACAAGTTCAACGGCAGCATCCATCCGCTGCTCACCTCACTTCCCAACCTGGGCCTAAAGTACGCGCCGGCCAGCACTGACTACATTGGCTACTTCAGTTTCGGCTCAGAGGCGTACTACTCCGAGACCACCGTGATATTCAACGTGCTGGGCTTGGAAATGAATGTGTGGTAACGTAATAATGTGCATGCAGCGTCTCGACTTGACGCTTTACGGGAAGAGACAGGCAGGTGGGCTGTGACGCGGATGAACCACCGGGCGCACATGGGACTGGAGTTTTGTTTTTTTCTCTCTGTACAACTACCTGAGGCCGCCCGTTTCGCGGACCTAATGTTTAATAGCCATATACGTGTAAGAGATTCCAATACTAGACGGCGTTGGCTTCGTTGGCTTCGTTGGACATCTGCACATTGCCGCTCTGGATGAACGTTGTGAAATGTAGCATGTCTGTTTGTAGCCATGCAGGATTCCGCTTGTCAAAGGTCCGTGTCCGCAGTGGCTTTCTGTCATCCTGCCCTTTGCACCATCCGTGCTCGGTTGTGCAGGAAGTTGTGCTACGAGCCTGCTCGGCCGACCAGCAATTTGGAATAACATCGCGGCAAGCCAAAGCTTGTCGTAGGGTTCAAGCACCTGGGTGCAGCTGCAACCGCGCTTTAGTGTGGGATGACTTGCAGGGCCGTTGGTTGCCAACCGGCAGTGGAGACGCCGACTCGTAATTCTCTGACAGCGTCTGTTCAGGGGAAGCCCCGAAAGCGTTAGCACCACTTGTAGGGCCTATAATATTCCAACCCCTATTACGCCCAACGACTAAAAGATGCACGTGCACTGGAATAGGTCACTGCGCCTAGGATCGGAGGAATGCGCTCCGTTTTTTGTTTGTTTACTGTATCTTACGTCGTACTAGTGAGGTCCTAAGGCCTGGATCCACTCAAGATGCTTGTGACGTACTCCGTTCGCCAAAACGCATCTACGGTCCTGTTATCCAAGCTTTGTACGAAGATGAGTCTGCCAGAGAAAATGTGTAGGAATTGTAATTGACAGACGGTTTCTAGTATCTTACGATACATCGGTCGGTATACGCATATTACTAGTGCGGAATCACGAACGTACACGGAGTAGTTTAATTACTCTCCCAATCCAATCTAAAAACCTTACTCCGTACTCCGTACTTTTAGCCTTTTTGCCCCAACCCGAATTGCGGCCTAAACTCTTGGAAGTTTCTTTTTAAGTTTGGAACATCTTGCAAGATTACGGTGTTTCGACAATGTAAGGCGTAGACATTTCACCTCCAGTAAATTAAATTACCCGTCTCAGAAAAGCTTGGAGTTTCCATTACTTCTTTTGGATTCCCGCTCAGTTCCGCTGAAGACCCATAGATGATACCACGTCCACATTATTGCATGCTCAGGAGCATAATCCTATTACGTTCTCCCTCATTTGCCGGCGCCCAAAACTCCCTTGCTTGACTCAACCTCATTTTCGTGCTTTCGTGGAGACTTCTCTACCACTTTCAAAAATGACCGTGATTGCGGATTCTGTGTTGCGACTCGTCGCGTTCTCGGCTGACCTTACATATGTGAGCCGATCAGGGGAGTCGAGCACGATTTCTAGGTCTCTGGTTAGGACACTGCCGCGGAAACGCTACAATCAAAGAAAAAAGCGACAGATCGACAACGGAGTAGGCCGAAAAGTAGCACGGAGACGCGGTTTGACACGTACATTTAGAGTCTCTGGTCTACTCTATATATTGCGTAGACGCTTGTAGGCGAGTCCCAACCGGAAGGCTGAATATGCATCCCAAATTCAAGTGTGCTTCTTTGCTGCTTCGTCTCCTTGTACTGAAATCAGATATTCGTATCAGCAGTTTTGTCCTACAGTCGGTAATTGCAGCTTCACTTAAAGAACTTCGGCGGCGCCGTCTGGTCATCTACGGTCCACGATATCAGCCTCCAAAGTATTCCTGTGCCAGACCGAAACCGTATTGAGGGTCTGGTCAGTGACAGCCCTTTCCAGTCGGTTTACTTAACCTCGTCCGGCATAGCAACATAGCCCCCAGCGACTCACATGTGTACTGGCCGTATAAACGAAGGCAATACTCTGCCACTATCAGTGCTTTGCCATAGCTCCATGTAACTACATACATTAAGCATATACGGAGATGCCTGACTCTAAAATATATAGAGATTAGCAATGCGAATTTTGTTAAGGCGCTGGTAGTCTTTCCAACATCTGCCTTGCAGATTTAAGCAAGGTCCCCCATTTTCTCCCAGATAGCCGGGATCCGGCTAGTGCCACCGCCGCGACTGACACGAACTTAAGCAATACCAATATGAATATGTAATCGACGTGAGAACAGTTTCTCGAAGAGTTACTCAATGACATGACAAAGAAGGTAAGCGGCTTCTTATCGGTCTATGTCTGCTTCTATTCTCAGCGACAGCCTGAAACAGTCAAGCTTTGCGATAAATATGGCGGATATGCAAAGATTCCAACTGTAACAGCTAAACTTGCCCACTATGCCAGGAACATCCTTGACGGCAACCAGCCTAGCGATGAGGATTGGGCCAACCTTCAGCAGTATGACTAGTGAAGCAGCTCCATGAGCACCTCCCTCGGATGGAAAGTGGTAACCACTGGACTAGTTCAAGCGCTTCAGGACCATGAGACCAATTGTGATCACAGTTGTGCGCCCTTGGTCGGAAAATTGTCGAAGATGCTATGCCAGGGTCGAAAAGGAACAGCCAGATGGCCTGGGCTATCCTGCTAATATTAGGCAATGGGACAAGGATTACTTCTCAATTGAAGGCTCGCGTAGGAAATGAAAACCACGACGCCTTTGTCGACTGTGTCGTGATAGCCGCAGGAGTGGCCGCCTCTCTTATCAGACTAATGTGGCTCATGCTGTTGGACAGAAATCTTTACGTTGGGCTTGGCTCCACGTCCGCTTCCGTGGTTCTGTTTGATCTTCTTATGGCGTATATCCTCGACGATGACGGCAATTTTCTGTCAAGCACGGCGGTATATACGGCTATTTTGGTTGCGTTTGTCTTCTCGAACGCTGACAAAAAAAGTTGTTCATAATTGGATGAGCACAGAATTCGTGTTCTGATTTCCAATGGCCTTGGGACTGTGGGCGAAGCTACGGCGATACATTGAGTTGGCCTGCAGGTTAGAGCAATGAAACATGAGTTACTTAGTACACAGTCATATGCTACAGGGGTTATGATGACACAGAGCTGCTTCCCCTCATTCTCGGTCAGCAAGATCATACGACCTTGTCATACAGTGTTTGAAAACCCAATCTCTACAGTTGAGATATGTAGAGAGATGAAAAGGCTGCTGAATATAAATGTGTCTACGGACATACACTGCACAACAGGTGGAAAATGAATGCGATAATCAGGTACGTAAACAAAGAATACCCTAAAACTAATACCACGAGGAGAATTGTGTTCGAATATGGAAATGGAGATGTAAAAGCCAGTGGAAGGTGGTATCCTGCAAAACGTAAAAATATCCTCCTTTCGCCTTCACAGCGTCCCACTCCGAGATCCATCCACTGCAAGATTATTTCTGCACCCGCGCGATGCCTGCTCGGATCCGCCGGTCGAGGTTCTGTGCAGCCCGTGCCATGTGTGGGTTGGCCACACGATCAAAGCGCTTCATAGTGCGCTCAATGGGAGGCGAAATGTGGTTCCGGACGGTGTTCTCAACCGGCGGCGTGAGATAGTTGGTAGTAACATGTTCCCAACGAGGAGCCCAGCGGGTAGTCTGACGGGCCATTTGCTCATCCCCTTTGGGTGCAAACAATAAGTAGACGGGTGCAAACCCGACCAGACCAGCAGCACCAAATGTGACGAGCTCTGTAGCCTTAGCAGCAGGGACACGGGCGGCCATGGTGAAGATGAGGGGAGTGAAGCCTTGATAGTATTGTTCTCTAAAAGACAGGAAGACGATTATTGTTAGTGATGGAACACTCCGGTAAAGAGAATACGAGCTTGGATTGGAGATAAACACTTCTAAAGACAGAAGAGTGCATTATAAGGATCAAATAATAGAACTAGGCGAGCTTGGATAGTTGTACGTACTCCTTTTCGAAAACTATCGAGATATGGCGATTTATGCGATGCACAAAGCTGCTTTTCAAGGTTGAGTTGATGAAATTAGCATGAAGATTATAAAACCTTGTTGTAAAGGAAAGAGAACAAGAAGTTATCCGACTTCATGTAGAGAATAAATGAGGAGTAGGGCGACCAGTTCTGGCCCAACCAGCCTCAAGCCCGACGAGTGTGGCAGTTTGTCCGATCCTCAAGGATCAACCACCGTCCAACACCTCTGCGTCACTTACCTTTCAAGAATGTTCTCGGCGCGGTGATCACTGAACCCATCCTCTCTTTCAGGGCTGCCCCCAATGTAGCACATGAGTTACGTGGTCTCGTGCAGTTTAAGTACGTGAGACAAGATTGCAAAGGCAGCCTCCCTTGTACAGTGTGATGCGATATACATACAGACTCTTCAGTCAAAGCCTGTTGTCGCTGTATCCTCTTACACACCTACTTCGCGCGATGTATGCTTCTCTCCTTACACCGTACTCCCTTATAACTCGTTCCGATAGAGACTACGGATAGTGGATTCCCTCCCCAAACGCACTAACAGACACACGCTAACATGGTAGCAGTCGTTAGAATGCGGGGTAAATGAGCCTAAGCTGCATCAAAAGATGGGACTTCCAGCAGTGTCAGCCAACCAGTGACCGAAACAGGCTGCCACCAGTTCAAGTAGCGTTCCATGACCTGCACTGCCTACGGAGTACAACTACAAGCATTAACAGCCAATTGAGTTAGATAGATGGTGGGATGGATTTTCGGGTCTAAATATGTACTGTATGGAAGGGATCAAGGTCGCGAGCTTGATGGATTTGTATCTTAGCTAACGGCATACTGTATATTTGGATGTCTAAAATGAATGAACGCGAAATGGCACCCATCAGGACCGAAGAAATCAATGTTATGACCGGCAGTAGTAGCCCAGCATCATTCAAACTAGATACTTTCATCTAGCTAATACATTCAATTTCTTGATAAATTTATTGGCACGATAATAGACCTAGCGCATGCACTCATGGGCAATGAGAACGCACATAAGATAATGTGGCTATAAGGATTTACTATAATAACAAAGCAGACGATTCGGCTTGGTAAAACGACAGCGAAGTACATTTTAGTATAAAAACCAAGCGTTATATAATTACAGAGTAAGGACCAGGCACTACTTGTATACAGAGTTACTACCCTGGCCTGTTGGTGAAAAGCGGTACGTCCTATCACCACGAAAACACAAATGCCAGGCGGTTGATGTCACGTCCAGACAAGCCGCTGATGCCGATGAGCCGTTTAGAAAGCTTGTTCTTCCACTCCACTTTTTCCATTGTATCATTGCCGAACTCAATGCTTCGGTTGTCCGTAGTCGTAAAGCCGATGCCACCCAGATGGTGGTTGTCTTGATTGTCCCACAGGAGGAGTTGTTTGATGCGTTCGTTCTGGTTGAAGACGAAACAAGTGTGCTTGCTATTGCCAGACGCCTGTCCGGCCAGCTCCTCCTTTCCGTTTGTGTACTTAACACGGACTGCTTGGATGTGACTCTTGGACGACCACAGATGAAGCTCGTGAACATTCTCGCCCAACGGCGCCAGAAGCGTGAAGCTGGCGCCGCTTACGCCGCCCACAAATGTCGAATACACGCGCGAGCGCTCGGCGACTCGGGCCAGTGTGTCCTTGAGCCTTATCCGTGCGTTCTCCCCCCCCTCGCCATATATAACCGCCATGTGCACGTCGAGGATTCCGACTATCGCATAAGACTGGTCTTCCGGGCGCATCGTGTTGCGCCCTTCCATCCAGCGAAATACTGTATTTGGCTCGATTTCGGCCAGAGGTTTGGTCTTGTGCAGCACCTCCACCGGTATGCGGGTGATCTTGCTGATTAATGTATCCAGCGATTTTTTGTCGCCAAGTAATACTCCTGTATCAGAGAAGAACTCGACGTTGGCTGGTGCCAGCAGCTCCTGCAGCGTCCAGCCGCGAGTAAACCAGCGGCTCATTTGAAATGCCTCTTGCCATTTGCCGATCTTACTTACATCAGGGCAAGTCACATCGGCGAGATAGGCGTAGCAGTGAACTGCATTCTGATAGTATTCGTACATACAGTTGATGTTCTCGGTTAGCTCGGCACTGCTCGCCTTGTCGATGCAGCAAGTGTCTATCCAAAAATAGGATATGTTGTCCCGCCGCGCCTGCTCGGCACAGAAGAGGATTTTGCGGTAACCGGCCTGATCTCCAGCCGTGCCATCTTGATAGTGCTTGAATGTGACCTCGCCCTCTCCCCAGGTGTGTGAAAGGATGGCATAGGGCGGAATGTTGGAATGGGCTTCAACTAGATAGGGCTCGCCCTCACCATCCCAGTAAAGAAGACGCATGATGTTTGATACGAGTTTGATAGAATTGCTTCGCGAAAAAGATTGACCATACTGACTGGTTCTATACACATTGTCCGGCTACGGATGTCTCTATTTATCTCTCGAGAAGTGGCAAGATGCAAGCAGAATGACTGCTTGGTTGATCGCGATGGTAACAAGGGTCATGCGGCTAACCGCCGGGAATGATCTGCTCCGACCCGTTTTCCGTGCCTCCAGCCACACTTGACGCCCACAATTGCCTGACAATAGGCTCCCAGCGACAATGCATTGTCCTCTTATCTTGATCGTATATGCTCAGTCCCAGTTATTAGGCGCCGCCCTCTTTTCGCCCACTTCTGTGAAACATGAGCTGAGGACTGATTGCGTCTGGGCGCCGCAGAGAATTGGTATGCGCCCCTAAAAGCCTCTCCAACAGGTGGGTCAAAAGGGCCTGCGCCGCACAGTGTACGGAGTATGCTTCATGCCTCCACACAGCAGTGTGGATTCCTGGCAGACCGAGCGGCAAGGGCAGGCCGTAGGCCTCCACAGCGGCAAGATAAGAGGAGGCGAAGCAAATTGCCAGGTTTTCAAAAAGCCTTTGCTTTTCTGGGACAACGCTATTGGTCCATAGAAAGATCTACGACGTTGTACTGAATTGAATTCCCGTGGATCTACTGGTAGGGCGGCTGTGTGATATCCGCTTCCAGGTGGCCTCCTTCGTATCTTTCACCAATTGCACTGGAATGCAGATTTTCACATTTTTGTACGGTGTACTCCGTAGTCTCCTCTATCTTCCTTTATTTGGGAGGTCTCCTATCTACAGACCAGCATCCTGGTTTCCGATCGTGACGCTCTTCGTAATCTGGTACTCGTCCATGCCGTAGAGGCTGCCCTCCTTTCCGTATCCGCTCTCCTTGACGCCGCCAAAGGGCGCCTCGGCAGCGCTGATCTTGCCCGTGTTGACGCCGACCATGCCGACCTGCAGCTTCTGTGCGACGCGCATGGCCCGCGCAATATCCTGGGAGAAGAAGTAACCGGCCAGGCCGAGCTCGGTGTCGTTGGCCAGCCGCAGAACCTCTTGTTCGGTCTCGAACTCGAAAACAGGCGCCAGGGGACCAAACGTCTCGTCGCGGCTGACGATCATCTCAGACTTCATGCCCGAGAGCACGGTGGGATCATAAAAGAAACCAGTAGTGCGCGTAACTTTGCCGCCGACTTCAATCTTGGCGCCCTTGGCAACCGCATCCGCCACATGCTCTCGGACCTTGTCGACGGCGGCCTTGTTCACGAGCGGACCCTGGGTCGTGGTCGCGTCCAGGCCGGGACCGGTCTTGAGCACCTGAACTGCCTTAACCAGCTTTGCGGTGAACTCCTTAGCCACGCCCTTCTGAACATACAGACGGTTTGCGCTGAGCGGTCAGAAGAAGATCGGATGCGGGAAAAAGGGGTGAAAGAGAGGGGACAAAACGTACCAGACGCATGTCTGTCCGGAGCAGCGGAACTTGCAGAGCATAGCGCCCTCGACAGCGAGGTCGAGGTTGGCGTCGTTGAAGACGATAAAGGGCGCGTTGCCGCCGAGCTCGAGGCTGACCTTCTTGAGTGTGCCAGTGGCTAGCTTAGCCAGCATCTTTCCGACGCCGGTCGAGCCGGTGAAGCTGAGCTTCTTGACCAGCGGGTTCGTGGCGAGTTCCGTGGCCGCCTGCCGGTCCTTGGTCGGGCAGACCTGAATGGTCGCCGGGGGAATGCCGGCCAGGACTGCCAGCTTGGTCAAGGCCGTGCAGGTAAAGGGTGTCTCGCTGGGCGGCTTGATCACGACGGCGCAGCCGGCCGCCAGGGCTGGACCAACCTTGCGCGTGATCATGGCCGCGGGAAAGTTCCACGGCGTGATGATGGCGCATACGCCAACGGGCTCGCGCAGCGTCATCAGCGTCGTGTGCGGCGTCGACGACGGGATGGTCACGCCGTACGCACGTGTGGCCTCCTCGGCAAACCAGGCGAGGAAGCTGGCTGCGTAGAGCACCTCGCCCTTGGCCTCGCTCAGCGTCTTGCCGTTTTCGAGCGAGAGGATGACGGCGACTGCATTGTGGTTAGGATGATGTTGTGTAGAGTCGAAACAAGGGAGCACGGCGGCAGACAGAGACAGGACTGGACTCACGATCGTCAATGTTCTCCAGGACCAGGTCGTTCCACCTCCGCAACAGCTGGCCTCTCTTCGCACCCGTGGTGCTTTCAAAATAGGCTCGCTGTGCCACGTCGGCGCTCTGGATGGCCGTCTGGAAGTCCTCTAGCGAGCAGTTGGACACCTGGCCGAGAACGGCCTCACTCGAGGGCTCTGTATGGTTACATGCAAGTCAGTCTATCCATTTGTTCAATTATTTGTATATGACCCGCTAGAGACACGTACCATAGACATCAAACTTTTTGTCCTTGGTGACCCATTTTCCGTCAATGAGGGCCTCGCCCGAAAACAAGCTCTTGTTCTTCAGCTGTACACAGTTGCAGGACTCGCGTTAGCTCCTATCATACCCAGGCCGCATAATAACATACGCTTTTGATGTGTTGCTCGGAATACGCCATTGCTGCAAGCTATAATCTTGATGTCTGGGATGTTGTAGAGCAAAGTCTTATGACTGTGGTGGTAGAAGATGAGGACAGAAGATATACTGGAAACTCTTCGCAACTTCTCCGTGTACGGTGGAAAAATATGTCAGACGAACAGGCCATGTACTCCATAGCTTCCGAAGCTCATGGTCAACGAGATGTTCTTTTTGTGGGCCATTGCACTATGAATGGCCAGACTTCTCCCTTCTCCCCGAACGACGGACGCGGGTACTCGATTCTAGCGGCAGCACTGACATGGTTGACGTAAGAATCCGGGCGCGCGACACTAATTCGAGTACTCACTACACCTCGTTATGGAAACAGTAGGGTGGCTTCGATCACATATGGAGTAAACAATGCGGGTACGTCGGCCGCTTCGTGAAAAATTTCTGCGCCGCCTATAGCTGCCTTTTTGGTATTAAGGCCATGTTCAAAGCGGTTACATATCGATCACGTGATATGAATCAACATCGAATGCCGATGCATGCGGAGTAGACAGGGGCAACTACGGAGCATGTGTTGAGGTACTCCGTACGGTGAGAGAGAGTATGGTGGAGAGAGGAGAACGGTGGAGAAGATGGGGACTCAGTTACTTAGTAAAATATGTTGGACTTTTTGCTGAAGATTGAGGCTCTGGATTCCTAAGGTAGACTTTGCGGTCATACTAGCATCGACTTTTTCTCAAGATCTCTAATCGATTAGAGTTTACTTTCATTCGAATGGCCTTTCTCGGTCCCAGCATCATTCTCCACGTTAAGAGTCAGACAAAAATGTGGTGTCTCTCATATTCCGACACAACGTATGCTTCCCCTCGGTACTCGCGAGAATCAACCCGGCATGGTATCTGAGTCTCCAAACGTAAAGATCAAAGCTTTGCGCGAGTTTGCTCGTATAGTTGTTTTTTTCCAAATGAACAGACGACGGTTTAGCTAAAAGGCGGTGACTCTGTATTTCGGCCTTGGTATGGGGTTCGTAGCTTTGAGAACCACCACTGTTGCGAGGGGCCGACTCTGCATGGCTGCCGATAAGACCATAATCCGCCACCTCTGCACTCTGCTATTTCTAGCATGTGGAGGTGCTATTACTGCGATTATGAGAATCAGACACTGTAAACCCCCCTACTTCATGTACTTGTGGTGCGATTAGTACTCCTCCATTATAAGTCTACAATATTCAGCTCAGAATAGCTTGCAAAGGTCCAAATCTTCTGACCGTGACTCTGCCTACAGTATATCTTCTTCACTGCCGATGTATCGCCTGTTTTTCCTTAGTCTTGCAGCAGTACTCCTATCGCCCCGGTGTTTGATTGACGATTCTCCGTTGTGGTTCTAGGGTTCCGGGGAGTCGGGGAGTAAAACTCGGCAAGGAAAAAAATAGTGCCTGGTTTACTTATAAGCACAATACTAGTGGTGAGTGAGGTGTAGTTTTAAATATTATACCAATCGAACTACAGAGCATAAGGATTATAAGGACGATGCTAACTTCAGGATCGACTTCGTGAAGTGTGTAAGTGTGAGGAGCAATAGGATCCAGAGGCCCGCAAATTGCCATTTGTGGCCAGAATGGCCTAGTTTCATTCGCGCCGAAAATCCCGGAGTCGAAGTTCGATAGCGATAAGGACCCATTTTACACGTGATATGACTCTGCGCGTCACGAGGTTTCTTCGCATTTGGTGGGGGACGAGCTTCTGCATCAAGAATTTTAAAATCTTGCCTCTGTCGTTTGCTTCACTTTGCGCCAAACACTTGACCTAATCTTGTCTCGAGACTGGAAAACTTCCTCAAGGCCTTTTGAGCGCATGCGCGCTCAGTATTTAACGTGAACCATGGCCCCCTCCGTGAAAGCCTGCAAAGAGCAGGTTGTTGACGAGCTGCCAAAGCGCTTCAAGCGCTTCAAATTTGGGATCCAGTGAGCTGCACCGAGTCATCGCTGCGCTCTGGCTGAACTTGGACTAACGTGCCGACTTCCAGATCAGGCCAAGACATTGTCAACCAAAGCGTCCTTGAAATATCAGACTCTATGCTGTACGATGTCGAGAACAACCGAGCACCGTATCCCCATGGGCCTCTCGACTCTCGCTTGGTTCGTCTTTCGCCTCCCTCAAATCGCTGTCGCATCTTTAACACATTACTTCTTGTATCTAGGGAACGTCTAGCAAGATTGGACAGTGTGCTACGTGTCTGATGCCTCTCAGCATGTGCCCTGGTCACTTTGGGCACGTCCGCCTTCCGCTTCCTGTATTTCACATAGGATATCTAGGTTTTACTATCAAGATCCTACAAAACATATGCAAGGTTTGTTTGCTTCACTTCCACCTATCTGATCTGCTGTTGTTTTACTGACTTAGCCTCTTGAACACTTCAGGACTGTGGGCGCGTCTTGCTGATGGAGTCCGATCGACGAACGTTTCTGAAGGAGCTCCGAAAACCGGGAATCGACAATCTTCGAAAAACACAGATATGCAAGAAGGTCAACGAGATCTGCAAGAAGTGCAAGGAATGTCCATATTGCCAATCTCTGAACGGATCAATCAAGAAAATTGGCCCTCTGAAGGTTGCCCACGACCGATTTGCAGCGTTCAACAAATCAACGGCAGCCAAGAAAATACCCCCAGCAAGAAAGAGGGAATTTGAACATTCATTTTCGGAAGCCAGGAAGAGAATACCAGACTTGGAAAAGCATCTGCACCGAGCTCTTGAGGACCTTGACCCTCTGCATGTGCTGAACCTTTTCAAGAAGATCAGTCCAAGTGACTGTGAACTTCTTGGTCTGGATCCCCTGGACGGCCGACCGGAGATGTTCATTTGGCAGTATCTACCAGCGCCACCCGTCTGCATCCGCCCATCGGTTCAACAACAAAGCTCCAGCACAGAAGACGACCTGACGACCAAGCTGGCCGAGATTGTTCAGGTTTGCGGGTTGATCCGCACTGCGCTGGTCAAAGGTGCCCCTATCACTACTCTGATGGAGCAGTGGGAGTTCTTGCAATTTCAGCTGGCGATGTACATCAACAGCGAGCTTCCAGGGCTTACTGCAGCCCGTCATGGCAAGCCCATCCGAGGATTCTCGCAGCGGCTCAAAGGAAAACAGGGTCGGTTTCGAGGAAACTTGTCCGGCAAACGAGTCGACTTTTCTGGGCGCACAGTCATCTCGCCCGACCCCAATCTGGCTATCAACGAGGTTGCTGTTCCGGTGCTTGTTGCAAAGAATCTGTCGTATCCCGAAAGAGTCAACCACATCAATATCCGAAAACTTCGGAATTTGGTTCTTAATGGTCCGACACAATGGCCGGGAGCGAAGTCTATCCTGAAAAAGGATGATGGAGGATATAAGCTGGATCTGAACTTTGGAAACAAAGAACAATTTGCAAAGGATCTCCGGGTTGGGGACACGGTGGAGCGACATCTCGAGGATGGCGACATTGTTCTCTTCAATCGCCAGCCGTCTCTTCACAAGCTCAGTATCATGTCGCATCTGGTCAAAGTCCGGCCTTGGAGGACATTCCGGTTAAATGAGTGCGTGTGCGGGCCATACAATGCAGATTTCGATGGTGATGAGATGAATCTTCACGTCCCTCAAACTGAAGAGGCCAGAGCTGAAGCACTGACTCTGATGGGAGTGAAGCACAATCTGGCAACTCCAAAAAACGGAGAGCCCATCATTGCAGCCACGCAGGATTTTATCACGGCCGCCTATCTTATCAGCAGCAAGGATCGGTTCTTCACCCGGCACACCTTTGCCTACATGTGTGCGCACATGACTGGCTCGTCGGAGCAGCTTGATATACCGCCTCCTGCAATTCTAAAACCACAGGCACTCTGGACAGGGAAACAGGTCTTCAATATAATGATGCGTCCGAACAAATCGTCCAAAGTGTTGGTCAACCTCGATGCTAAATGCAAGGCTTACAAGAGACGTCCTGGTGAAGCCCCTGACATGGATCCAGAGGACAACTTTCTGGTGGTCCGCAATTCAGAGGTCATGTGCGGGCGAATGGACAAATCAACTGTTGGCTCTGGAAAGAAGGATTCGGTGTTTTACGTCATCCTGCGTGACTACGGTCCAGATGAGGCCGTCACGGCTATGAATCGACTCGCAAGGCTCTGTGCACGTTTCATGGGCAATTTCGGGTTATCAATCGGTGTTTTTGACGTGTTTCCGCTCACTACCCTTCGAGAAAAGATCAAAATTCTTGTTCGGGAAGCCAATTTGAAATGTGATGAACTTATCCACAAGTTCAACACTGGCAAGCTAGAAAAGTCTGCAGGCTGTAACCTGGACCAAACATTGGAAAACTCGATTTCTGGTGTTCTGAGCAAAGTTCGATCTGCGGCCGGTGACCTCTGTCTGGAGACGCTCAGCAAACACAACGCACCGCTTACCATGGCCACATCCGGATCCAAGGGTCTGGCCATTAACGTTGCGCAAATGGTGGCCGTCGTCGGACAGCAGATCATTGGTGGCCAGCGTGTGCCCAATGGCTTCCAAGACCGGAGTCTCCCACATTTTCCCAAAAATGTGCGCAATCCGGCCTCGAAGGGTTTCGTGCAGAACAGCTTCTACTCGGGTCTCCTGCCTACGGAGTTTCTGTTTCACGCAATCTCGGGTCGAGAGGGCCTGGTCGATACGGCCGTGAAGACGGCAGAGACGGGATACATGTCCAGAAGATTGATGAAATCACTGGAGGACTTGTCTACGCAGTACGACAACACGGTCCGGACATCTTCTGGCGATGTTGTGCAGTTTCAGTTTGGCTCTGACGGACTGGACCCGGTGGACATGGAAGGATCTGCCGTGCCGGTCAATTTCGAGCGGAGTTGGACGCATGCAGAGAGCATCACTTGGAGCAATGCGGAGCCTTCGCTAGATCCAGACACAATCATGGCCGTGTGCGACTCCCTACTGGCAGACGAGCGAGCCAAGTACATTCGGCGGCATCTGGTCACTGATGCGTTGTTGGATTACAACGACCAGTCGGATGCCAGTCTCGATCTGCAAGAGGGTGCTCGCAAGTTTCTCGACGATGTACGCCAGTTTGTGCAAAAACGTGCAGACAGACTCACCAATGCAAAAGAGCGTCTGGTCGAGACGTTCGATGCCTCACTCGCATCGCACCGCTCCTATATCGACAAAACAGCAAAAGTGTCAGAAAAGACGCTGAGGGCGTTTGTGGTCATGTGCCTGGACAAATTCCGCAAAGCCCACGTCGAGCCTGGCCATGCAGTTGGTGCCGTTGGTGCGCAGTCTATCGGCGAGCCCGGAACGCAGATGACGCTGAAGACGTTCCATTTCGCCGGTGTGGCTGGCATGAGCATTACTGAAGGTGTGCCACGTATCAAAGAGATCATCAACGCATCCAAGAAAATCAACACGCCGATCATCACGTGTCCGCTCCAGAACCCTCGTCAGATCGAAGCAGCGCACATTGTCAAGGGGCGCATCGAAAAGACTTACATCTCGGACGTCCTGAGTTATGTCGAAGAAGAATGGGACGGCAACGAAGGCAGAATCATTATGAAGGTGGACCAGCAGGCATTGAATGACCTGCAACTGGGAGTCGGTCTTCATGATATTGCACTGTCTGTTTGCAAGCAGAAGAAGCTAAAGATCGATGAGAACCTCGTGTTTGCCGACACTTTCGCAAGCACGATCACGATCATTGTTCGCAACGGCGGGGCAGATTATGGGTCAAGGCGTTCTGCTGCAACCAAGGCAAAGGCCAGTGCGGACAACCAAGACCTGCTGTTTCGCGTCAACTTCCTTCGCCGCCAGCTGCCTGCGATAGGAATTTCCGGCTACCCCGACGCTGCTCGCGCGGTGATCCAAACGGAGAAAGACGAGCACACAGTGTACGTGGAAGGATACGGACTGCGGGAATGCATCAACACAGAAGGCGTCATTGGTACCGGTGTGGTGACTAACAGCATTATGGAATGTCTGGATATTCTCGGCATCGAAGCGGCCAGGAAGTCGATCGCCGTGGAAATCAAGAACGTGATGCGCGACATGAACATTGATCCGCGGCACATGGAGCTTCTCGCTGACGTCATGACGTACAAAGGCCAAGTGCTTGGCATCACGCGCTTTGGTTTGGCCAAAATGCGGGACAGTGTTCTGCAGCTCGCCTCATTTGAGAAGACGCCTGACCATCTGTTCGATGCGGTTGCCGGACTGAAGGAGGATCCCATTCAAGGTGTCAGCGAGTCGGTCATTATGGGACAATCGATGAGCGTTGGTACTGGAGGATTTGGTATGATCCGGCGTCTAGGATTGCAGCCAGATGATTTTGCACCGCAGCAAACGGTTTTCGAGGATGCATGGAATGCGACCATGAAGAAGTAGGCGGTGCGAAGCATCTAGCCAAACCAGCAGAGGCTGGACAAGGCAAAGATTCTCAAACACTTTTCTTACCATGGGTCACGGCTCCCTACTGTGTTCAACAAGACGACAGTCTCAGCTCAGGAGATGCTGGTTTTTGTGACCGTTTGCAGGGAACTCAGCACGCGTAATTGGGCACGCCGAGGTTGTTTACGGCGGTGGAGCTTGAGGATGGCTGCATGGATTGGAATACAGTCTCATTTTTGCCTGGAATATGGGCTCCTAATGAGAAATTGGCCGTTACTGCCAGGGACTGAGGGTGGAAGCCCAGCTTTCCGTGACGCCTTCGGCATTGACTGCCCTGGCGTACGGAATGAAGATCCCAGCAAAGTGTCGCTCTCAAAGCAGTGGCTCATAGCAGGAGTTTATGTAAAATAGCGTGTTGGTTTCCGCTGCGCTGATCAGGTGCAATGTGTTTGAAGCTTTCTGGGGGACATTAGATGGTTTACAGTACAGCTGCATACAATAATGCATTGGGCTTTTTGACGTACTTTCTCGGCCCAGTAATATATGACCATTTGTCGTGCTTCCCCAGAGCCCTGGCTCCCAATCTAAAGAGGTCTACGAAGTACCAACGAGGTCATCTTCTCAAATCGCTGTGGGTGCAAATGCACGCATAGATCATTGTACCTCTCAAAACACACCTGTCACGGCTCAAATTTGGTCTAGTCATCAAAAACCAATTGATGAAAAAGCTTAATTCCCCAGCCAGATATCCTACTTCTACGCACAGATCGCGCTCACGCTATGTGTCCCACGACGATTTTCTCGCGATTCTCGGCCTCCCGCACGGCCGCGGCATCCTCCAGGTCGTCTTCGCTCAGGCCCATTCCCATGCGCTCGCGCCGGTGTATCGCCTCAACGACAGTTTCGTCGCCGGCAACAGCACGCAGATCCTGGTCATGCTCGGCATCAAAGCTCCGCCTCAGATGCTCGGGACCGATCAGGGTCAAGACGATGACATAGACATACACGCAGCCGAGGAAGATGCAGATGACCTTGCCGTACTCGTAGCGGCTGACCTTGCCCTTGGGCGGCAGCGGGAAGCGCTCGCCAATGGTGGACTCGATAGTGGACGAGGCCGAGGAGACGAGGTTGCCCAGCTGGTAGGCCGTGCCAACAACAAAGGTACGGAACGCTCCCGGACTCAGCTCCATGAGGTGAATGGGGATGACACCCCAGGCACCCTGCACGCAGAACTGCTCGAAGAAGGCGACCGCGATGATCCGCTCGTTCGAGACGAAGGTGTAGGGATACAGCAGAGCGCCGCCGAAAATGCACATGACGATGATGCTAAGACGACGGCCAAAGATCTGACTAGCATAGCCAACGAGGGTGCCACCGGTCATGGCGCCCAGATTGGCGACGACCTGAGTGATGGTGACGGCATTGGCCGAGAAGTTGTACTGGTTCGTCAGCATCGTGGGGTAGATGTCCTGCGAGCCGTGCGACATGAAGTTGAAGCCGGCCATGAGGAGGACGAGGTAGGTGAGCATCATCCAGTGGCGGCGCAGCGCAACCTTGCCCTCGCGGTAAAAGGTCTTGGTGACGCTGCCGTCGCCGTGTTCCTCGGCGCTCTTGCGCACGGCCTCGCGCTCCTGGAAGGTGGCCGTCTCGGGCAGCATCAGACGAAAGATGATGATCAGCACGGGCGGACAGGCACCAAACCAGTAGAGTGGACGCCAGCCGTGAGGGGTGGTGTTGACGAGAGCACGGGCAAAGAGCGTGGCCAGAAGGTAGCCAAAGGCATACTGCATGAGAAGAGTGATTAATAAGCAGTCTTTACGAAGAGCAAAACAGAGCAGAGCAAACGTACGCCTTGCTGGAGGATGCCACTCATGATGCCACGGGTGTCCTCAGGGAGGTCTTCGAGAGCGGTTGCGGCAGCGTTACCGTACAAACCGCCCATGGCGATGCCGAAGAGGGCGCGACATGCGAGAAATTGGCGATAGGTCTGGCAGAAGCCGGTGCCGAGCTCGAGGGCGATGAACAGGACGTTGTTGAAAACAAAGGGCCATTTACGGCCGTAGCGGTCGGCAGCGATACCAAAGGCGATGGAGCCAATGGACCGGAACATCAGCACCAAAGTAATGCCCCATGTGATGTCAGTTTTGGTCTTGTTGAAGGTTTCTGCCAGGTCGCTGACAGTAAGCGAGACGGTGAAGAAGTCGAAAGCGTCCCAGGTCTGCGGCGGTCAGTCAGCGACGAGGCAAAACAGGAGAAGAGAGAAGAAAAGGGAAACTGACCCATGCAATAAAGGCAACGGAAAAAAAGGCCCATTGGATGCGGGTGACAGACGCGATGAGGCGGAATGGATTTGGAGTCTTGGTCATGGGCGGCTTCAAAGAGCTGATGCGCGTTCTGATGTACTTGGAAGCAGTCATGTTGTGATGCGGCGGGTCGATGTTGGGTGACAGGACAGCCTGTCCACCGAAAGACTTGTCATACTCTGAGTCTGCCATGGCTGGAAATAATCTTGTAAAGCCTTGGTCTTGAATATGACCTGAGAAATTTGTCGCTCTCTGGTCACTTAGGACGAGACCTTCAAGGGCAGACGAGCACTGAGGAAGCGAGAGGGAACACAAGACGTTGTCTGACTGCTGGGAAGGCGGCCCTTTATGTCCATCGGCGAGGACTAGACTGCCATGGATGTACTCTGTACTCCGTACCATGTACCACGTCGTATGTAAGCTTTGGCTAGCCAGTCAGTGTAAGCACAGACGGGGCAGAAAAGAGTGGGTCTAAATGGCCACACGCAAAACGACGATCTCTTCTTGCTTTCTGGAGGCCCTGGACCAAAAAGGTAGACGTACCCCACCACTATGCCGTCACAAACAAGCGCCTACGATAGGCATGCAGATTTTGTCTGGTCATATGGTCGGTCCTTCGGTCGACTGATACGAAGCAAAGAGGGCAGTGGACAGCAGCAATCGTCTGGCAGACCGCCTTACCAAAGCTGAAGTTGCCGAGGCCAGTCCTATTTACACGATAGTGGTCTGCGATAACAGGTCCAAGACAAAGGATGCGCAGGAGCAATTGTCGGGCTGTTGGACGACGGGCCAGGATGCTAAGCATGCGGGATGCACAAAGTGGTTGCAATGCACCACCAACTTGCAGCAGCTGCATCAAAGAAAATGGCTGCGATGTGCGGAGTTGTTTTACTGACTCTGAAGCAGAACATCTTTACTCCGTATTCCATCCAGCAACCCCAGTTTGCACACTCGACGCTCAGTCACTGCTGCAACTCTGCGCTAGAGAATACTACCATATATGAGGCCTAGAACCAAAAACCCTACACGAGAATCTCAATTGTCCAGTGTCCCCGCAAAGATTTAGTAAAACGGGAGTAAATGCCCCGCGTTGCGTTGTCGGAGAAGACGAAATGAGCAAGAGAGCCGGGTCTTCTCCAATGGGGGAAACAGCGTTCCTCCACATAATGCTGGAGCAAACCCCGTCGCGCTAGCCCTTTTTGAAGAACTAGTGGCCCTTGCCCGACCAAATAAACGAGTGGTCGCAATTTCCCCGTATTTGCAAGGCCACAAAGCCGGAGAAACGACAACGGCAGGAATACTGAGGGGTGTGGCACACTTTTCACATTGTCGACCGGACAGGAGGAAAGAACGGACCGGTGCACCATCTTACGTTTTATTCTCATCTCACGGGGAAGGTACAGAATTTGGGGATTGGGCAGCAAGGCCAATCGCGTCCTTTTTTTGTTCGTCTTTTGTCTTTGTATCTCGCAATCATGTTCCCAGACGGCAGACGGCAGAGTAGCGTCTGGGCGGTAGCTGACTTTACCGTGACCGGCCCCGATACCATGCACGCTCCATCGGCCGCCTAGAGCAGCGGCCTGTGTGGCAGACGGCAATCTAGCGTGGCCGCTATGACGAGAAAAAAAGGAACAAAGAGCGGGAACAGAAAGCCAGATAAAAAGGCACTGGTGGAAAAACGCCACGAAACTACGGTAACGCTGCGTCGAGCCGCCTTTCTCTTCTCGGCCACACCTGATCGGTGAGCTAATCCTGATCCCCAATGAACCTTATGATGCTCCCACTCGCAAAGTCAGAGCCCCTGCGCTCGGGCTTGCGCCGATTCCAGGGGCGGCCTCGACAGCCGAGGACGGGCTACCGGAAGCCTCGACGGCCTGACACGATGGGCAGACAGGACGCGTGTGACCACTACGTTCTACATCATAATGCGGCGACTGTGCCACGAGATAGGACCCGGCCCGGGTCTGTTATTCGTCCGACCCATATGACCCCATCGATCCTCCAGTCAGCGACGCTTTTGTGACTCAACGGTAGGTCAGAGCTATCATTCGCATATCGGTCCAGATGAACGGCTGGCTGAAGTTGTCCTGCAGGCTCGACAGAAGGCTCGACAGCGGACTCGTACACGTCACTAGGCTGTCTTACTGCTACTCCCAGCAGCCCATCTACCCGACTCAGCAGGACAGCTGTAACCGACGGGGTGTCGATGCTGATAGCCTTGCATAACCACGTACTGTCACAGTGTGCTGCCAGCGGACCGTTGAGATGAGAGACCGATTTTCGTGCTACGGTCTGCTATTTGCAGGCAATATTCCATGTGAATTGCTCAATACTTTCGACTTACCCAACAATTGCCACGTGCTCGGTTGGACATTCTACTTTCAAGCACATAGTTTGGGTATAATTGTTACCAAATTTAGGAAGTAAAGACAACCAATCTGAGGACGCGTCATTATCTACTGATTTATCGATGGTACGACATTGCCTATTTCCACCTCTTCTTTGCAGCAGTACCTTTTAGAAGGGATTTTGAAGCAGCCGGTTCACTGAATTCAAAATATGCATCATTTTCGCCGTCCAGTGCCAGCAGAAGCAGAGTGCAGGATCTAGCAGCATTCTTCACTGAAACCAAACTTATATACGCCTGAAACTGTTTTGCAAACCGAGCACGAGAAAAGCAACACATGGATACAACACATAACAGACACGTGTGCCTCGTATTGTCGGAAAAACATGGTTTGTAATGAACCACCAATACGTTACAGGAATTTGTTACTTCATAAGATGTGTCAGACATGGTATACGTAGCAGGGGTAATACATCAAGGCAAGCAAAACTCAGAGTGGAAAAAAAGACAAGACCTAGCACCACAGTCCAAAGGCGCCTTTGCGCCTAGCTATCTGGCAGAACAGCAGAACAGTATCCGAAACAGAAGGCTTAGGTGATATCTCTTATTGCCCCAATACTACACGAAAGACATGAAAAAGGGAAAGAAAGATCACAGACAGCTTTACACCGATTCACCGAAAGCGTGGACACGGTGAGCCGATGTTGACGACAACAGTGATCCCGACCGGTCGTTCTCCTCTTCCTCCCGGTTATGTCTTCCGGCAGTGCCTGGCATCTGTGGTAGCGGGTGCATGGAGACGTCGACGCCGGCGATGGCCTTGTTCTCAAAAAAGCGTGTCTCGGACTCGGTGGATTTGCGCGACATCGAAAGCGGCGTTACTGCGGAACCGTTGCCCGAGTAGTCACGACTCCTCTGAGCTGTCACGATGGAGTGGTTGACCACGATGCAAGCCGGGCCTCCGCCATATTGCGTGTTGAGAGCGGACATGAACGGCTTAAGACATGGCATCGTTGCGGCGGCAACGGCGTAGCCCAGCTCGATCTGTGTGAAGACGGAAGCGAGGATGCCGTGCAGCGACTGGTCGTTGCTGTATATGCCTTTGTGAAGGTATTGCAGCCGGAGTGCGGCGAGAGCGATAAGGCTGGAAGGGGAGGAATCTGGATTAGCAAAAGCCGGAACAGATTCTCGTCTTTCCGGTGACAACTTACGGAAGACGAAGGCCGTAGGCAAAGACCACGACGGACTTTTTGCTCCATGGAAGCTGCAGGCCGTGGACGAGTTGCAGACTGCCAAGGAAGAGAGCGGCCTCGGTGGCGACGTCCAGAGCAGTGACGGCCGACCAGCGGGCAAACTGAGCCGGTCAGCATGTGTAATCAAACACATCACGGAATCACGGAATCACGAAATCACTTACGGTGCTCGAGTCACAGTTCTTGGCTCCGTCGGGACTCCACGGCTCTGATACGTCGCAGCGGATGGCGACAACGAAAACGGAAATGACAAAGTAGCAGGTCGAACCAACGATCAGGGCCCTGGACATGAAGGTGTGGCCAGGGTCGCGTGAGAGGCGCATCAGCAGCAGGGCGATGGAGCACTTTGTGAGCCACATGCCGACGAGGAATAGGATGTCGGCCACGTAAATATCGCGTTGCCAGTCGCTGGTGGCCTTGACCGTGAGATCAGATGAGATACGTCCAAAGCCGCGGGCTATGGCTAGGAACACGACGCTCGTCTGAATTACAGTGGCAGCCTGAGCCGGTCAGCGTTTCCCGCTTCTTCTCTCTTTCTTTTTTTCCGCATATTGTCTTGGTGGCTCTGTTGGCCGTTGTCTCTTACTTACCATACTCAGACATGACAACAAATCGTCACTGGCAAATGCGGCATCGCATTCTATCCGCACATAGGCACGAATCAGAAGCGAGAGGATGGCGAAGACGAGTGCCATGCTGGCTGCAATGGCCAGGATACCACCCTGGTCGGTGGCCGTGACGGCTTTTAGTGCCGGCAGTGCCGTGATGTTGGTCGCGTCCATGTCCATGTCTTCAAAGATATACGCCCTTTGATGCTGTTTTTCTTTGTCTTGTGCTACCGCCGTGCTCGTGTTCTCGTACGGAAAGGGGTCGGCTGAGTTGCCCCGGTTCGGTGAACAGAAATGCGGAGGGGCATCAGAAGGAGTAGAACTCGACAAAAGACAAGATAGATGCTGGGGAAGCACGAGGCAAGCAAACAGAGAGGAGTGGGTATAAGTATATCGTCACAACATGGCTTGCACGATTGATAGACAAGAGGCTGGACGGGGTCCTAGAGAGTAAAGTAGAGAAAGTGTTGAATAAAGTACAGATCAGGCTGCACTCCGACCTCAGGGAGAAAGGCTGGTGCGTGCTACCGCTGAGAGACGGACGACTGAACGTGGAAATCGAATAGGATAACGGCAATCCTCCCCCAAAGAAAGAAAGAAACAAGCACGATCAAGCTATAGAGTAGCGGTGGGAGGTACACGACAACAGACGAAAGACGAAAGAGGCCCGTCTTCATTTCTTTCCTTTTCTTGCTTCTGCCAAGACTACTGGACGGAGAGAGAGAGTCAGGATGTGAGACTCACAATGCCAAGCAACCCATAAAGACGATCTTTGAAAACGTGTGGGAAATGCAAGCCGGCATCGATCAGCGCTTCTACAACCCACATTCAGACCATAGACTCACGACGACAGTCGTGTTATGGGAGGAGTGAGACACAAGCACGGAGAGGAGGAGTCTTTGGATGCAGGGAGGCAGCGCAGGAACAGAGTGCTCACAAGGATACGGAGTAGTGATCTTCAATTCAGAGACATGTCCCCTCTCTCTCTCAGTTGCGGCTGCTAGTCACATTGTCCAAGGCAGGAGTGAGATCCATGAGAGAAAGCAAGCCCGGTGAAGAGACGTAGCGACAATGAATGAAAGTAGTTTCCAATTTAGGCACGCATGGCCAGTTCCTTTCCACGTCAAAACGTCCTCTTCTCGCCGGGTGTTGTCCCCAGTCTCACAGTGCGTGGGAAGACAGGGAGGAGGGGCAACACTTCTCGAGCGTGACAGACCCATGCAAAAAGAAAGCAAGTGGGAACCGATACGCGCATGCGATGCGAGAGTACGCACAGATCCACCAGGCTCGGTCACGGCCATCCGTGGCTTGCTGAGCTGCACAATAGGGGACCCATCAATGTCAGCTCGACGGCATGGTCTGTCCAGATGCAAGAGGCGATATGCAATGTTCTTACGCTCTTTGGACGAACGGCTTTTTGGAGCAGTCCAGCGCCAAAGTGGATTTGTCGCCCTTCAATGCCATGCACAGCACATGTTCTGAGAGACTGCCCGATGGCTATCGCAGGCTACGATATGACAGGGGCACATAGGGCGGTGCTATGTGGTATACGGCGTAGGGGGCGATCATTTCATCGCCCGTCAGCTCGTCCAGGTGGATCATCGACGCCGATCTTGGGCCTTCCAGGCAAGGGACAACGTCAAGGGACAAGGCAGCAGAGGGCGCCTAGAGAGCAGTCCAGATGGGCGAAATGGTCCGGGATTACTTCGTACGAGGAAATATATCGGCAGTCGCGAGTGCAAGTCATTGCTGAGACAAACATATGCACTAATGCATGCAGCCAGTCGATGAAGGGCGGACCCCCGGAGAAGGTGGCTGGGGATGATTGCGAGTCAGTATGCGTGGCCAGAGCTCAGATTAGAGCTGCCACGGCAATACGGAGTAGAGAGGCCGATACTGTTTATGTCCAGTAGACACCTGCGCCCAGCTGAAGGAAATGGTCCACTCTGTTGCACCTGCCGATCACTCTTGCAATTGGCGTACATGAAAGCGTCTGTACGCCAGAAGTACGATTGGCAGCTCGTAGAGAAAAAGCGATGCGGTCCTTTCAGACAGATCGACTGAAAAGACAGGAAGCCAGGTGCTGTGTGGTGATGGAAGACGTCATGGAGGCGATTGGATAACTGACGAGATGTGGTGAATGGCTTTTTTTACGCACGGATCACTACGAACGAAAATAGGGTTTTATGGGGGGGATAAATATCGGAAAAAAGAACAGGGTCGACGGCATATATAACTGCAGGTTAGATAACGTGACGAGCCAAGAAAAAACCCGAAAAGCAAAAAGTGACGAAACGAGGCCAAAAAAATCTGGTCTGGTTTCGAAGTGCCTGTTGGACAGGCGCATCAGGAATTGAGCCCGATGCGGGGGTCGAACCTGGAGGAGGATGTTAGGACTGGTGCTCGAGTTTGTGACGGTGCGAAAGCAATGATGGTATGTACTAACCCGCAACCTTGAGATTAAGAGTCTCACGCTCTACCGATTGAGCTAACCGGGCGTTATTTGTTGTCTGGCTGGCTCGACTATGAATCTATAAGCCAGGGTGCCGAAGTGTGCTGACTAATCTGCTTTGTCATCGCCTGGCAAACTGAACAAGGCAGGTACGGCGTATTACTGTCTGCATCAAGATTCGGCTTGCAATAAAATCTGCTTCCAAAAGAAGCAGCCGGTACATTGATACAAAACCAACAGTTATCGCCATGTTGCATTGCAGGAGTTGCAGTGAAGCAAGCTGCACTGTCATCACCGACAACCAACAGCAGACCCGATGGTAAGGTTACCACAGCGGTGCACCGGAACGGGAAAGCCGCCTTGGTTTGAGGTGCTGCGGCAGCATGGGAGTGACGAGCGGCAGGTTATAATGCCAACGGCCAACAGGCAACAGAGCGCTGGAAGCGAAAAGCGAGAGACGGGACGTCGGCTTAGACTTTCTTTTTCCATCGCCAGGGGTGACGCCACCTCGGAGCTGACGTCGTATTCTGGCTACCATCACACCTGAACACGCTAACCCCTGTGCTTGCAGGGAGAGAGCTGCTTCCAGGGAAGGCCGACAACACCGACACAGGCTTGTCTGTGGCAGTTCAGTAAGCCGACAAGCTTGCCCTGAAGGAGAAAGGATGGGCATCTAAGGTTGATCTTGTTCCGCGAGCTCCCCGTACAGGTAACAAACCTGCTAGCGGGCCCGTGTAGGCTGCAGCTGTGATTGGACGACTCGAGGCAAGAGCCAATCTGCGAGCGACATGCGCGAGAAAAAAAGAAAGACGAGGGCAGTGAGACAGACAGGAGGCAAGGGAGTTCCATCCGCCAGAAAGGAGACGAGAATGCCGAGAGGGTGTTTGTGTCGGTTGCCAGCAGACCGGAGAAGGGAAAGCAGCCGGTCAGCATGAATCAGGCGGGAGAGCGTGCCAAGGAGGGTGAGCAAATACGACGTATTGTGCTGTGTGCCGTGTCTAACAGCCAGCCTTGCGCGTTGGATAAAGAGTCGCGGTAACATTGTCTGCCCATCGACTTCTCGACACGGCCCATGATTTCCGGCAAGGGAAAGAAAATGCCGAGAGGGTGTGGCAGACCAAGAGAAGGGGATCAGCCAAGGCCGAGTACGGTGTGACCATCGAGTTGGGCCCCCCTCCCTAGTGGAAGCTGGTTGTGCACGTCCTGATCGACCGAACGGCTTTGCTAGCCTGAGAGCAGACTTCCTTGTGCCGGCGAGCTCCACGGTGGAATACGGCAACGGCTTCGCCAGAGAGGCAAGACAGAAGAGGTGGACAGACGACAGGACGTCCACGTGTGAGTGGACTCGTCCCTGTCCCAGCCTGCAGGGACTATGTCCTTCTTCCTAGCTGCTTGCCTTTTCCTGTCCGTCTGTTGGGGCCAGGTCTGGGCTCCCTCAGGCTCCCTTCCACAGCCCCCTCCTCTCTCTGCTCTTCATGCCTGCCGTCTCTTCCGGGACCTGCACACCTGCACGCATTCGCATGCAGACAGCCTCTGGCGTTCTCATATAAGCCTGCTGATCCCAAACGATCGTCCCCCGGTCTCGTCCTGCCTACTTGATCACGCTCCACGCCCACCCACTTGCCACGTTGTTGTTCCTTGTCGTCTGTCTGTCTTTCGCCCGTTCTTCTTGTTTTTCCGTTCCTCCCCGCCCTCTTCGCTCCTTTCCCTTCTCTTCTCTTTTCTGCCCTGCCAGGTACGGTTTGCTCCCGGTATCACATCGTCGCCAGCCCACACACGCAGACATGTCGGAAACGGACTACAGCAACAAGGAGTACCGGGTGGAGATCTCGTCGGAGGCCCATGTCTTTGACGCAGAGAAGCCGCTCCAACGGGGCAGCACCAACGCGGACGAGCGCGACATGGAGATGCTCGGCCGCACGCAGGTGTTGAATGTGTGTGGCATCATGTTCTGCAGCGAGCTGTGCGTGACCGTCTGCTGACGATGTCCAGAGAAACTTCCGCTTCCTCTCGACGCTGGGCTTTGCCTGCACGTTGATGAGCACATGGGAGATTGGCTTGATGTAAGCTCTTGTCTTTCTCTTACTCTTTCTATCTCCCCATCGCATGACACTGACTCTCCCAGGACGACAGTCTACGGCCTGGCCAACGGCGGCACGGCCGGCCTGATCTGGGGCTACCTGATCGTGTGGATGGGCTACATGTTGGTGTTTGCATCGATCGCAGAGATGGCGTCGATCTCGCCGACGGCCGGCGGCCAATACCACTGGGTATCGGAGTTTGCACCACCGCGGGCACAAAAGTTCTTCAGCTACATCATCGGCTGGGTGGCCGTGCTGGGCTGGCAGACCGGACTGGCCTCGCTGGCTTTCCTGGCCGGCACCATGATCCAGGGGCTGCTAGTGTTGACGCAGCCGGACTACGTGTTTGAAAACTGGCACGGGACACTGCTGGTGATTGCCATCACGGCCTTTTGCATCATCTTCAACACCTTTTTGGCCGGCCGCCTGCCCATGGTCGAGGGCATGGTGCTGGTCGTCCACGTGCTCGGCTTCTTTGCCGTGCTGATCCCGCTGTGGGTGCTGGCACCTCGATCCACAGCTGGCGATGTCTTTGGCACGTTTGCGAATCTCGGTGGCTGGAGCTCGACCGGACTCGCCTTCTTCGTCGGCCTGCTCTCGCCCGTCTACACGCTCATCGGCGCCGACTCGGCCGTGCACATGAGCGAGGAGGTACGCGACGCCTCGCGTGTGCTGCCGCGTGCCATCATGTGGGCAGCTGTCGTCAACGGCACCATGGGTTGGGTCATGTTGATCACCTTTTGCTTCACTCTCGGCAATCTGCTCGACGTGCTCGACTCGCCCACCGGCTACCCCTTCATCCAGGTCTTCTACAACGTCACCCACAGCATGGCCGGCACCTGTATCATGACCGCTATCCTCATCGTCAACATCACATCTGCCTGCATCAGCACCGTTGCCACCGTCTCACGTCAGACCTGGTCCTTTGCCCGCGACAATGGCCTGCCTTTTTCTGCCTTTATCGCCCACGTGAGTCTTCTGCTCTGTTCTCCTCTATTTCGCTCCCGCTCACCCACTCCCAGGTCAAACCCGGCTGGAATATCCCGCTCAACGCCGTTCTCGTCACCTTTGTCATCACCACCCTCCTCTCGCTCATCAATATCGGCTCTGCCGTGGCCTTTAACGCCATCGGAAGCCTTGCCGTCACTGCCCTGCTCGGCACCTACCTCATCTCCTTCACCTTCCTCATCATGCATCGCCTCACCGGCTCCGAACTGCCCGGCCATCGCTGGTCGCTCGGTCGCTGGGGCCTGCCCATCAACCTTGGCTCCGTCCTCTTCTTGATCGTCGTATGGGTCTTTGCCTTTTTTCCCCAGTACGCCGAGGTCACCAGCGAGACGATGAACTGGAACGTCGTCATCTTTGTCGGCGTCATGGTCTTTGCCGTCACCTACTACTACATGTACGGTCGCAAGTCGTATATGCCGCCTGTGTCGCTCATGAGGCGGAACGAGTAGTCTTGTCCGGCCGTGTTGTTTCTTTGGCGTTTTCTTGCTTTCTTTCTTCTTTCACCATCTCTTTTGTTCATTTGCTCTTGATTACGTCGCAATAGCACCTGGATTAGTGTCATGCTGTACAAAAAGTCGCAATCATTTCCATAAGAGCCTAGAGCTCCTTCTCTTGACTTGGATCACATGGATTCATCGTAAGAAATAATATGTACTCAATATATGTCCACACACTTTGGATATCACATCTACAGGAGACCATTTCCCCTTCTTCACCTCAGCACTGTGTGGCCCCCTCACCCACCGGCGCCGTGACTACGTACTCCAGGTCCAGCCTAGCCGTCCGGCCGGCATAGAGCTCCATGTCCCACGTGACCTGGCCAGCCTTTTTCAGCGTGGCTGAAGCCCGGCCCCATTCCTTGATCGCGGCCGTACTTTCAGAAGATGAAACGCTGCCACTGCCAGAATCTATAGTTGCCGAGGCTACGCCCTCGCCGGCAGCCACGGATGATCCATCGACGGCGAGCCCATGTGGGACTTGGATCTCGACCCGCAGCCTTTCATCCTCGCTGACGGGCACCTGGTCGAGCACAAGCAGCGTGGCCGACTTGCCGCTGCCAGCACGCGTCCTGGGGTTTGTGTTGGTTACTGTGGTGGACCGCCGGAAGGTCCCGCTGTTGTCCTTGCTGATGAGAAGACCGCCACCTCCGCTGGCCCGCTTGATGTCGGGCTTGGGGTACACCACGCGAATCGTCGGATCAACGCCCAGGTTGAGCGAGAACGAGTCGCCTGGACTGCAGCGAGGCAGCGTCGTGCGACCCAGAAATGCGCCATCCAGCGTCAGGCCAGCCAGTCCTCGCAGCAGCGTCAACTTGCTCGCGTTCTTGATCCGCGCCTTCAGATAGGCTGCTGGCTTGTACTTGGCCACAATCGTATGGCTGAACACCACAGTGCCTCCTGTCAGGCTGATGCGTGCCACCCGTTGTCGGGACGTCTTCGTGCTGCACGCCAGAGTCTTCAGTCCTGGCAGATCGTATGTCGTCGTCAGCCCCATCTCCTCAAACGCCGAATCCTGGAAATCCAGCTCCGGTGCCCCCGCCATCGTGTCGTCGTCTTCTTCGTCAGTGTCGTAGTTGCTGGTAGTACCGACTTGCATCCCGTGTCGCATTATCCCGGTAACGTTTGCGGGCTGCGGTGAAGCAGCCGGTGGACAGGCCGCGCCGAAAAGGGTGCCGGTGGTTCGGCCAAATGCTGACCTAGCCGACATAGCGTGTAGCGTCGGCTGTTGTGCCTGTTGAAACAACATCTGGTTTTGTGGCGCGAAGAGATTCTGCTGTCTACTCGACTTGTTGCGCGGCTGCTCATTTGCCGCCAAAGTCGCTTTGTCATTGCTGTATGCGAGCTCCTCGCGACTCTGAGTGATGCTACCGAGGCCGGAAGTTGAAATCAAGAAGCCGATCCTGTTTAGCTTGACGTGCCACGGCACGAGAGTCGGGATGGCATCGTTGAGGCCGGGAAAGGTCGTCTGGCTCGTCGAGAGCACTACCTTGCAGCTGCTCCACGTCTCTGACGTCTTGTTGGTCAGGTCCGCGTCAAAGCACAGCACCGCCGATCCCGTAGTCGTCGATAGCTGCAGGTCGTACTTTGGCGACCAGAACGCCGACGTGGTCACATACGAGATGGTCAAGTCGCATGTCAGGTCGGCCGTGTCGTCCACCGCAGATTCTTCGCCACCTTCGCCCGCTCCTTTCACCCCCAATACCTCTGTCACACTGGCAATCGACGTCCGTCGCGACGATGCCGGCGTGTAGCCCGCAGCATCCAGTGTGATGCGCACCGTGTAGCACCGTGAAGGCCACAGACTCTTCAACTCCTCACTGATCCGGTCCTTCTCCTTTTTCTTCTCCAGCTCTCGCTTCTTCTCCCGTTTCTCGGCCTTACTCGCCTTCATCTCGAGCCACTTCTCTTTCATCTTCCTTCTCACTTGTAGCTGCACCAGCTTCTTCTCCTCGTCTTGCACCTTGGCGATCGTCTTGGCCAGTTCCCGTAACTGGAGCTCGCCCTTCATGTGGTCCCCAAACGCCTTGGCGCGCTCCGTCCGGTATGCCTCAAGGGCCTCACTAATTGCCAAGCTTCGCTCATTGTCAAGCAACTTTCCGTACGCGTCCAGAATTCTCAGCCGGTTCTCTGCGCTGGACACTGTCTCCTTCGCAGCCTTCTCCGTGTCACGCAGCGCTGTCATGCGACTACGGACCTCTTCCAGTTTCACACGCGTCTGTTTCACCTCCACGCTCTCATCCTCGCTCATCTCATTATTACTCTGAGGGCACTCCTCTTCATCGCTTCTAGGATAGATGTCGTCAAAGTCCTCCTGGTTGGGCAGCAGCTCAATGGCAATGTCCGAGATGACTGCAGACCCGGTGCCCTCAACCTTGATGGAGTTCTCATCCGTCGTCGGAGCGAAACCTACAACTGTAAGTTGGTTGGCTCCTGGCTGTAAGGAGTATCAGCAAAGGACAAGATGAGGATATACAGGATCAGGCAAACATTGTGCTTTGTGTTTACCTTCAAGATGACACCCTTGATATCCCGAACCACCTGTGCCCGTGTTGGAAACAGAGAAACTGAGCGGGTGGGCAGGTCTCGGACGAGGAACTCCTGGCTTTGAACAGAGTCCATTGCTGACATCCGTGTCTCGATGTGCTGTGATGGTGTTTTGTATGGTGCTGTGTCCCAAGCCAGACTTGAATGTCTGTGGCCGATTTAGGCAGCAGCTTGCAGAAGCAAAGCAGTGGTGACTGTCAAGAAAATAATACAGAAAAGGGGAGGAGCAACCCACTACTTATAGCTGTATAAAACAAGCGGCTGCCTGCGAAAGCTGTAAGCAGCTGAGGGGGGGGGCAGAGAGCTTAGGACAAATCAGCTTGGAGCATAGTCAAATCAGCCCCGCGGTAAGGCATACTCAGCGCTACAGCTGGCAGTCCCAAGAGCCCAATTAACCCATCACGGTACAATACAGCTGCTGAACTGCAGACTCGACAACGATTCGACGAAAACGTATGTGTCCACAAAACACCTGCAACGGTTATCAGGTCCCAAAGAAGTGCCGAAATATACTTCCATTTGGTGCCTATAGAGCACGGGAGCAAGTCCGTCGTCCTACACTACAACTGTATCTAAGGGCACAATGGACTGCTATGTCAACCATTTCAGCCAGTCTGGTCTTTCGGTCTGCTACACATCCCACAGCTCAGACCCAGCCCGTCACGTGCTAGCTGGTCAAAGGCTACACGCACAGCAAAAAGAATCTAGTGGTGAGAATGCAGAGTTATTAAAGTAACAAGGATCATCTGCTCTGAGCCACTGGCCCTAAATCAAACGCTGTCAATGAACTATCTTATCGTCATCGTCGTGTACGGATCCTTCTCCGATCCCAAGCTCTCGGTCATCTTTCCTCTTTCCTCTTCCTCTCTCCCATCCTCACTTCTTCCCCCAGAGCAAAACCCGCCACCTCCAGCCAGTCAGCTGCTCGAGGTCGCCGTCGTTTAGCGGCTCGTCGCCGCGCTCCATCTTGATGCTCAATTTCTTGAGTCGACGGGCAACGGTACGGGCCACCCGCAGCGTCACCTCGTTGCTGAAGACGTACAGCACGGCAAAGACGAAAAAGGCCATCGACGCCAGCCGGCTCACGCCGCCTCGCTCGGACTTGAGCAAGCGGTCGACCAGCTCACGGCTGCGCGCAAACGCGTACTCGGTGCTGTTGGACGCAAAGACGGCCGTCGACGACGACGAAGACGGGCGCGCGTGCCTTGAGCCCGATGACCGTCGCCGGAACAGCCGCCGAACCAGCGGGATGAACGTCGCCAGGAAGCCGCCCACGAGCCAGCGTCGGAACCGGTGGTTCTCGGCTTCCTTCGCTGCCATCGCCACCGATTTGCGCACGTCACGCAGCTGAGCCAGCGCCACGCCCGTTTGTGCCCGCAGCTCGGCTCGCACTGCTGCCGCCGTCGTTCCCGGCACGTTGGCCGCTCCTGCGCCGTACTGAAGGTGCTGGCGGTACTGCTGCTGCAAGTCTGCCAGCCGGTCCACGGCTGCCTCTGCCCGCGAGCGAGCCAGCTGCATGTTCGTCGTGCTCGCTGTCAACGCCGTCGTGTTCATCGGCCCCGGCGACTGCGTCATCATCGGCGCCCGCAGCGACGCTCCTTTCATCCCTCCAACTCCCCCGACCACCGATCCAGACGTCGAATGTGTCGGCTGCGGTGGGAGCTGCGCCAACGGCTGCGTCGAATACGGCAGTGTTGCATACTGCTGTTGCTGCTGCTGCTGCTGCTGCTGATGCGATGGCGGCTCCGCTGCCGACCGGTAGGGCAGTTTCTGTCGCAGCTCCTGCTGGCTCTCCAGCGGCGTTGATGCTGCAGACTCGTATGTTCGCGACACCTTTGACGTCGCGGTCCCGCTGGTCGTCCCTGTTGAGACAGGGACATACGGCGCCGTGTACGTTCGTATATTAGACGGCGAAGGAGGCGATTGGGAATCCATCTTGCTGTGTCATGAAGCGATGGTCCGAGAAGGTCGAAAATACGTTTGCTCTAGGGTGTACGGAGTATCGGATGCGTAAACCCTTTTTTGCAGTCGCATTAGTTTCATTCACTATTATACCTGCTCCCTTTTAGAATGGCGGGATCTCAGCTACGAAAATTGAGGAGGCTGGGAGGCCTGTTTTAAATATCTCTGCACCGCTCCAGCTGACCGACCACATGTTTTTGCTGGTGGGGCAACGAGCCAGGGTATTCGACATCTCTGCCACCAGCGAATCAGTGTCCCGGCTGCATGCATGATCATGTAAGATACTTATGCCCCGTGTTAGTGTTGGGGCTTTGGACATTGCTGCCATCTCCACTAAGTCGGCATATTTGGCCGCAACGATGGCAAAGAACAGCACAATTCAGCACCGGTTCGTGGTCAACTTATGCTTCAATTATGCAGACGGTTTAAGCATTTGCCATTCACTGTGCCGCAATCTCAGCCATCCCGAACTCATCCCGTCGAAATAGGTACGCCGAACACGCTCCTCAAGAGCGTCCTTTTCAGTCCAGTGAGGCTAAAGTAGTCTCAGCTGCGCCCAGCCACGAAAGGTTGCGGCGACCCATAGTATTTCTTGCAGCATCATCCCGGCGATGACGCCCCCCCCCCCCCCCCGGGCCAAACGCAAAAGGCTTCAGCCCAGGCTTCCTTCCTCTTCTCTGTCACGCCACCATATCACGCGGGTGGAGGCTCGCGCGCAACGGTTCCAGCAGGTCTTCTAGACCCCACCGCAGCATCCCGTAGTTGAGCTCGCCCGTGTGCTGGATGCTCTGGATTGTTGAACAGCAGTCTGTCGTCTGTGTCTTCAGGTCGTCTGTCAGGATTGCAGCACACTCTACTGCCAGGGCCTTGTCACGCCTTTCATATCCCTTGTCGCTCTCATCTTCACTCTCGCTGCTCCCTCCGTTGAGCAGCTTCCAGAGCTGGTACAGCTTCCACATCCGGTCTGCACACAACTGGGCGTGGACTATGGCCTCTCTGGTCGTCTGTGTCCCCAGTGCCGCTGGCGTGCCTCGCCGCCCCAGTCTTGGCCGCAACCACTGCAGCTCGCTCACCCAGAACGAATGGGCCCCCAGCTCAAACTTTGTCTCGTGAAGGGCGCACAGTCGTGGTGCTGTGTCATGATAAAGCCTCTCGCTCGCCTGGATAGCAGTCTCGTTGGCATCGTTATTGCAGAAACTTTCGCTGCCGCTATCGCTGCTGTCGCTTTCGTTGCTGCTGCTTCCATTGTCGTCATTCCCTGCACGTCGCTCTTTAGCCAAGCCACCGCAGTATCCCATGCTGCTCGTGGATTCACCGTTGGAGCTCTCCGCGCCTGCCAAAGACTTTGCAAGCATAGTCACCCTCTTCACACAGACTTTCATCATCCGCTTGTCAGCCTCGGCCACCGGACAGCCGCATAGCCAGCGGGTGTAAACCTGAACTATACACATTTTCGAAGCGCCAGGTCCTTCTTTTGTCTTTCGTATGATACAGTTGCCCTGACCAGGAAGTTGGGTTGTTCAATGAGAAGTTGATGCTTAGTCAATAAGCACGTTTAATTGACTGCTGTGTGTGATGGGGTATCACAAAAAGTCCAGGCGGCAGAAAGAAGATGCGAGAAACGATCGAGCATCCTGTCGTTCTTTTCGTCCCCCGAAACCATATGTGCGTTTTCTATTTTTCTAAGGAAGGTGCGACTTACTTTTGTCAGGAAAGAGCCAATACGGCATCGTGTCCCAACATCCGAAGACCATATTGCCTCGTTAGGAAGGAACCCACCTAGTTATGAATATGGAAGTCGCAACGGATAAAAAGTTCACCGAGATTTGTTGCTCAAACAGAAATCGTATTGTGATTGCTGTACATTTGATCTTGATTGCAATCAGCATGCCCCAACCCTCTCCGTGTACAATTTCTAACCGGTGCATAGGCTCTATTATTAGGAAAAGACGGTACAAAACCAACAAGCAGCTGGACATTCTGCTACATTGCTTTTGGCAGCCGTTGTCATGGGCTGACATGTACGGAACTTCCCAGCCAACTTTATGTGTGGGGATGACATGCAAGTCAGTGGCGACAACGAAGCGGCAGCTAGATCCCCGCGCGAATCCATGACAGGTTCCCCACAGGCATTTGAAATGATGCTTTCGACGAGGCCGGCTAAGATAAGGTTAACGATCGCGCGCTGTGCTGAATGGAACCCAATGGAACGTAGCCAAACTGCTCAACAACTGCTCTGGGAACAAGTGGTTGCCTGAAAAGCATACTTGTCGCTTGTGAGCTGGCGCTGCCGAAAAGAAAGAAGTATTTTACTGCCTTTTCAATATCTCATCTTTATTTGTGCCCAGCATAACTGAACCAGCGGATATGTACCTGGCTCATTATGTAATTTGTCGAGCACAAAATTCCTCAAGACAATGCTCGTAGAGCCATTATTCGTATTAGAACCTTACGACAATCGTTCTTAACCACCACAAGTCAGTTACAAGCTCCATGAAGCGAAAACTATACCGTCAATTCCGTGACGACAGTTGCATTGCATACCATATGTGTGAGGGGCGTTGTGCAACATCAAAGTTACGGAGTAGTTGTGCATTTGCCTCTATTGTGTCTATTCGCTCCGCTCTTCGTATCGCCTGACCGCTTTTTTTCCTCTATGAAGCCGGGCAAGCATCCCAGCTTGACCATCCCCTGCTCCGGTGCCACTCTGTCATTATCTCCATCGTCGTCTCGGCGACGTGACGGTTGGTTTTCATAAAAACCATTTCGTATGGGTGAATGTTGGCGCCGAAGTAATGCCCGTCGACAAGCGGGTCAGCATTGCGCTTGTCGCTTGCACAATACGAGGTAAGGTCCTCTTCGTCGACGCTAAACGAGGTCAGCATGACATCGACGTCATACCCTTGCGACCGGATCAGCCCGGTTATGCCAATTTCGGAATGTACCGCCTTGTTTCGGTCTTCGAAGCAGGCCGTGAATCCAACAGGGTCGTCTTTCCCCCCCCATTTGTCCACATTATCCAAGGATGTTGCGAGCGTACGATTCAACAGGATGGACATGCCCACGTCGTCCGTGGCCAGAACCATTGTCTGCAGGTGCGGGTGTGGGAAGCAGTTGATTGTTGTGCCCACCAGCTATAATTCGAAAGAGCCGATCAGTCTCCAGCCCAGGGACAAACTGCTTCGTGCGAAGAACCGGGAGTACATACCTTGACGCGATCGTTGAGGCGATTGAGAAATGCATCCGTCCAACAGGGTTTCATGTAGTTTGGGAAAAACGGCCCGCGGACACTTGCGTTCATGACAACAAATCGCTTGTAGCTCTTCCACCGATCGCCTGCTAGCAGAACCTCGCCAAAGGCCCCCAGATCGTAGCAGGTATTATTTCGTTTGACCACTTCCACGTTCGGATGACTGGGGATCAGGTCGGTGGCATTTGTCGGCCCGTTGAAGATGAAAACAAAGTCGGCCGCGCCATGGATGCCCTTTTGCACGAAAAAGTCCAGGTTCTCGCGGCTAGTGTCGGATTCCGCATATGCATAAAGTACCAGCGGTCGTTGATACTTCTCGATTGGCGTAACATGTGCGATGGTAGCAGCGGTTTTGTCTCTGAGATCCTGTTTGTTGTGGTAATGAGTATGTGCTTTCTTTCGTAATCGCTGTTTGATGAACTTACTTGAAAGGAAGAGAACTGTGCCAACGAATACAAAACCAACAGGATGGTGGCTACAAAGGCAGCTGCCTTCCACGGAGTGATGTGCAGCATGTCGGTCTATTTCAAGCAAAATATACCGGCTTAGGCATAGAACGTTTTGATGGCTAGGTTGCGTCCTTCTACCTTTCGGAGTACAGATCGCACATTTACGTCTCCTGCGGTACGCGTAAGTCTTGTAAGATACGTTAATTCTCAAACAAGTATAACACATCCCTCTTTGCCAGCGCCGCTTACGGTGACGCTACTTTAAATGCAAAATCTAGCCATAGCAAAAGAAATACGGTACGGATAAGGTATGGAGTACCGACTCTAGCAAGACCTTGTCTCTCGCCGTACATCAGGCACCTTCCAGCGTACCCGTTACACTATGGAGGCCCTGATCGACACCTGTACATGGAGCACATTCTTATGTCGGGTACGTCGGTATACTTGCTAGCTGCGTGATAGTACATAGTAGTCGGGGTTGCCGGTGTAATGGAGTTTCCACACTTTTATCAACAGGGTCAGTTATGCGTACAAAGGGTTAAGTCTTAGGAATGTGGGACCTGAATGATCATCGCCAATTAAGTCCAAAATTAACCTCATTGATAAGCTAAATCAAGCTTCTGTCAAACCTGCCTGGGCCTGATTCCGGACGGAGCAGGGGGAAAAGGAGATGGATTTGTGTATACGAAATACTCCGTAGTACGATGATCTACAGGACACAACCCGGAACTCTACAGTATGTATGCTACCTTGTACGTCGTAAGACGCATACGACGTACGGATGAAACTGGAATGCCCGCATGAGTGCATGTTTCAGCTACGAGCTCAAAAGGGTATAGTTTTGTCGTGTCAAGAAACAAGTGTCGAGCTGTTATTACCTTGCTGTAAAGGAAAAGCCAAGTATCTCCCAATTTACCAGCCGCCAGTCATTACAAAATCTACTCCGTACTCTGTACGTGCTCAGCTTTTGCTTTCCTTAAGAAAAAAAAGTATGCACCTCGTCATAGATAGCACCTTCCCATATCGTACGGAGAAGTGCGGGGTTCAAGCCAGCCTCGACCCCACGCGATTGGTCCAGTTTGACATCTCTTTCAATCAACAAAATTATATGCAGCCTCACCTTGCATGCCGAACGTTTGCGCTTGTCCCCTCTGAAAATGGTAAGAAAAATTGTTGATCGAAACAAAACTTCACCTACGAGAACTATAAGACACAACACATATCCAGTCTCGTAACCATGAGCATCAAGGCAGCCAGTCTCCCCACCTTGTCCAGTCTTTACAAGACTGGCCAGATGGCAGCATCGGCTACTGATTCTCTCGCAGCCTATACGGCCTCCAATTTGTTGAATGACAAGATATCTCTATGGAAAGGCGATATCACGAAGCTGGAGGTTGACGCCATAGTCAACGCTGCCAACCGCGGCTTGATGGGCGGTGGAGGAGTCGACGGTGCTATCCATCGTGCGGCAGGAAGTAGCCTTTTGGAGGAGTGTATCAAATTAAGGGGCTGTGAGACTGGAAAAGCCAAGATCACATCGGCATATCGACTGCCGAGCAAGAAGGTTATCCACACGGTCGGGCCAGTGTACCACGACCAGAGCCAAAGGGACTCACGCGCACTGCTTTCCAGCTGCTATCGCAGCAGCCTAGAGCTTGCCGTCAAGGAAGGCTGCAGCAGCATTGCGTTTTGTGCCATCAGCACGGGAATCTATGGATACCCTAGCAGAGACGCGGCAACAACTGCAACGACAACGGTCCGGGAATATCTTACTGGCCCCAACGGCCACAAAATTGGCCGTGTTGTTTTTGTCGTTTTCGAAGTGAAGGACGTCCATTCATACGAAAGCTGTCTACCGTGAGTTTTTGTAATTTGGTACTTGAAGGCCTACCGATTGTTAATACGTCTGTTCCTAGAATTATCTTCCCTCCGGCTACCAAAAAAACAGCCGATGGTGCAACTGCATTGGCCCCGGAAACAACCGCTGACCCCGATGTCGGCGAGGCGGCTACGAAGTGAAATGCAGCAGCTTCTACTTAAACTTTCCGACGATCTTTTGATGAGAGCAAGGTTGCAGTAAGTGAGACGTGAAGGAGGAGAACACCGCTGGCTTGGCCCAGTAGAGCATTGACGAAGAACGTGATTTGCACGAAAAATATGAAGGGTGAAGACCAGTTATGTAGACTCGAAGATTGAGCGTTATGTGATTTGATGAATGAGCCAAGTTTTACGCGAATTGGCTTGCTCTTGCCCCAACAGCTCTTAGGCTCGTGCTCAATTCCTGGCATCAAATGAATCAGTACCCAAAATGCATCGTTGAAGCGCAAAACCAAAGCGCAGCATTAATTAGCGTAACTACAACCATGATATTAAGTTTTTTTATTAAGAGTTTGTATGCGGCTGCTGTTGCCTATGTCATGAACATGAATGATGCCCCGTTACTGTAAATGGCAAACCGACCCAAACGCCATCATGATGCCAATTAATCCCCGTATCGTGCGATGCATTTATGCAATATATTAAAAACAAAACTGTTTTGCGTAAAGACCGTCTTGCTGATGCCTCTCAGCACGTCAGTGTGTATGATTGCCAGGTGCCGTTCTGGCAAACGCCAACGGGCGCCACGACTGGAGACTCGGTGCACTCAGCATCGCTGTAGAGTGTAACTACTATATGTCAGGACCAATGGCACTGAAGAACAAGACCTGATAGAGTGGACTTACGTGTGCACAGATCGTCTGCCACCAACAAACTGCCGATGGGATCGACAAACGGGAGGCATTCGCCGTCACTAGATTTCTCTAGTGTGTACACGCCCTGGTTCTCGTCAAGGCACCCAGAGACGCCGAATGTACGAAAGTCTGCTTCGTGAGGATCCGCGGCTTGACGGGCTAGCGGTGCGGTGGTTGTGTCTTGCCCTGCGGTCGAGAATGGAATCGGAGAACCGGCAGTGAGCTTGGAAAGGACCAGGGCAGCGATAGTGGCGACGGTAGAGAAGTACATTTCGAAGTCGGTTGTAATGCGGCTTGTAGACCGGAAAAGAATTTAGGCAAATTGCGTTTGTTATCGTGGCAGTTGTGTAGAAAGGCTTGTCTCGATGGCTGATGGAGTGTAGAATCGAATTTTGGCTTTTTGAAAAGGGAGACTGGCAATTCTTCTTTTATATTCTGAAGATCTTAAAATTCCAGCTTACTCGTAGGCAATTGCAATAGTCTGCCCACCGCCTACCCACAACTCGTTGTCTTGCATGGGCTGGCCGATTTGTTGGGTTTGCGTCATGAGATCTTGGCTTGTTCGGGATCTTTTTTTAGCTCGTGTATGCAGTCTCCTCCGCTGAGGATGACCGATGCTTCCTGCTTCCGCTCTATTCCATTCTCGCTTGATTCTCGCTCGGTCAATATTTTTGGGTGCTGGTTCCACATGGGTCAACTGCAGCTCAAGTGGCCAACCACAAATACGGAGGCTGGTCAAGAAACTTGTATACGTCTGCGCTGTTTGCCAGATTGTCGGTCTCGAACATAAATGGTTGTGAAACCAACGGCTAGGCTTAGCAGCGCACACCCTCACCGTCTTGAGCAATTCGCTGTACAGGCAAGTCCAGCCTCTCGTTTTTTCGTAATCGGCTCAAATGCGAAATGCCGATGGCGGAAACCCATTTCAGTGGAGTCACCTCAGCCTCTTCTGGTAAAAGCACAAGTCAGCTGCCCCGCCACTTGCTTCTGCACCTGATCGAACAGATGAAAACAGCACTGGACAACGAGAGTGGCGCAGGCGGATGAACAGCCGAGCAATGTCCATTTTACCGGATCTTGGATGCACAAACCCGAATCAATGAATCCTGCGAACCAAAAATACTTGTGCCGTCAGCCTCTTTGCCAGCACAGGACCTGACGTCATAGACATCATATCTGTGCGGTCAAGCAGTGAGATCCACACGTTACCCGAAGTGGTGGCAAAAACACCAGTTTACGGAGCAGTCCGTACTTTCGCCTGCGTCGGATTTGGAAAGCCAAGCACTGTTTTATACAACCGATGCAGTACGAAGTATGGAGTATGCATATGCACTTCTTAGTCGAGCTTTTCAAGTCGTCCTTACTATGTACAAGCGAGCCTTTTGTTGCCATATTTAAGCTGTTTTATGGCGTCAAGGCGAGCTCAAAAGTGGACAAATTGCCTATGCTTTCGGCCTCTCGGATGAAGCGGCAGGCCATAGGACAACTCAATTTTTGACGATATTCCACGCGCGGCGTTGTAGAAGAGGTGCTGGCAGCGTAGCCAGTCGTCGTCGAGTAAGTTGCAGAACACGTACAGCACCTCGTTGGCAGGCTTGAATAGCGCCTCGATAGCCGTGCGTTTATCAGCAGCAGCGACCGCCTCCGTAAAGGTCAAGCGAACGAGCTGTCGACCAAGCCGGGCGGCCATCCCTGGGCGTGTGTTGTGGTAGTAGTAATCCTACTGCGGGCTCTGTTTAAACAGTCTACGTAACAACTCCTTTGGCCTTTCTAGAATTCTCTCAAATCCTTCTCCGTGGCGGGTTTGTGCTCAAAGTCAGGGCCCGGAAGCGCAATAAAATCCAGCTCTTCTTTGCTTTAGATATCGTGGTCTTCAAACGTCCCGCACGAGATGCGCCCTATCCCAAAACCCATCAAGGCCTACCTCGTCGGCCGTCAAGCTATTCCAGCGGACCATCTTCCCCTCCATGTCAAACCACCCGACATAGATTTCTGCTTGTAGTGTTCCTTTTTTCCCTTCAGCTGACTTGAGAGCTGCGTCGCTTCTTGGCCTGTAGTATCTTACGTCCGCAAGTCTCCTTTGCAAATGCGCGTCGTTCGCCATGCGACCGGGCACGGGCCAGGATATCCATCCTGGTCTTCTTGAGAGAGGCAAGCCGCCTTGACAAGAAGACAATGTTTAACTATCGAGTGCACGTCTATATTGCATTGATACATCGGTAGATGAGAAATCTTGCTTCAGACAAGGAAAAATACCAACTTGCATATCGTTGAGCGGCGGGAAGCTTGACGAATCGCTCAAAAATCTGCATCATCTGCTCGTCGTCCGACACAACTGTTTCGGGGCCCCATTTTGCTATGGGGATTTCCACACTTAATGTGAAATAAACTCACTAGTAGGTAGAGGTCGCAGCCATGCAGGTACGACCGCTTGAGATTCTGGGCCATGGTGATTGTCATGCAGTATGAGTTTTTTGTTAATATCGGCTAAGAGGAAAGTTTGAAGCTGAAGAGAAGAAAACCAACCGCTTCAACGCTACGAGACGGACGCTATAGCGGGCGGTAGGCCGAACGCAAAACAAGATTAGGAATATCGTGTAAGTGAATAAAGCGACGAAATACTCCGTACGCTAAATCACACAGGACAGAGTAGTAGAAGACCAGTAACGCCTCGGTGTGCTCTTTCTTGATCTCGAAAAAGTCATGTTATCCCGTTCTACTATGTAACGGCACCATCCTACCGGTGCGCCGTCGTCCGCCTCTGCGCGCGCCGAATACGCAGCCATCGACAGGCGGAGGCCTAATATTAGGACGTCACGTGTGTCGCATTCTAACGCGTCCCACTGCAGTCGACACTCTACTAGCACCCCGCTATTATGGTTCGCCTAAAGCCAAAGGTAAGATAGCAGCGATACGAGGTCGGCTGGCCCCGTAAATCAGCACTTCCGGCAGTGCGACATGGCCTATCAACAACGGCCTGATGGGGCAGTATCCTGTCGCAGTGTATGCTGTATGGCACCTCTGCACCTTCCTCCTGCGCAGAGACAAGACCGACACACACATCATTTCCGGTTATGTAGTTTGCTTCAGCTTTAGAAGAACACACAAGAAACATACCGTGCCGAATCAGCACTACGGAGTTGTAAGACACGTTGTGGCCATGGCTGTGGGTACATTGTCTCTTATCGCCAGTCTTCACCTTCCTGATTTAGAAGGTTGCCAGGCGGATCCAATTGATCCTTGCTAGACAAACCAAAGCTCCTACGGGTACGTAAGAGATTTGGTGCACACCAGGAACATGGCGGCTAAACGAGAGAGCCGAACGGGATTAGGCATCTTCAGTGCCAAGTCAAATGAGCTCTTGCCCAAACCACGCGAAGGTAGGGTCAAAAGGGCAGGAGGTGTGGCAATGGGTCTTCGTTTTCTCCGTCACCCGAAGGCAACATCAGAAATATATGCAGGGACACTGCAGGCGGCATGAGAGAGCTAGGAGCAAGGGGGTGCTCTGTGTAGCTGGACCCAGACGCGAGAGATAAAAGCACCAAGCCTCCCCCCCTCTTGGCCGCCCAGAGGATGGCACCCCTCTGGTTGTCATCCAGATCGGACAGCAAGTCAAGGTCAGACCGGAAGTCATGAAGTCTGCTGCCTACACTCTCGCCTCTGCCATCCTTGCAGGATGCGTTGCGGCCTCTAGCTGCGATGCCGACAACTGCTTGCGTGTTTTCCGGGCGACCAACATCACCGGTCGTCTGCAGAGTGCCCAAGAGTTCTGCTCCATGTACACGGCTACAGGCACCGCGGCAGCTACTGCGGTCATCCCGGATTACGCTGCGACTGCGTGTGCGAGCAACCAGGTCGGCCCCGAGTCTTTCCGGATCTCGAGTGCCTGCTCGTGCATTGCCACCAGCACAGCGACGCCAACAGCAACCGCATCTCCCACGACTGCGAACCCTTGTGCTACTGTCAGCAGTCTGTGGTCTGCTGTGGCTGCCGTTAGTCGTAAGTCGAGAGCCGATATGGACGAGGTGTCTTCCAGAACAGATTGCTAACAGGGACGCGCAGCCACCCCAACAATCCCGGCTGCTCTTGCCTACGAGTGTCTGCGTTCGGTTCCCCTCCACAAGGACGATGCCATTGAGCTCGTGGAATCTATTGAGCCGTACCTGGAATGGCAGACGGATGCGGCCTACAAGGCTGACCCGCCGGCTACCTACTTCTACCCGGCATACGACATGTTTGCTACGCTTGCTGAGATCAAGACCATGCTTGAGAATGATATGTACACTTCGGAGTACGATTTCCAGGCGGACCTGTATGCCAAGGTCTTTGGCCAAGGCCATGACGGCCACTTTGTCTTCTACCCGGACCTTCTGACCAGGATCTTCCAATTTGGCCGCCCGTACTCTCTCGTCTCGATCTCCGAGGACGGCACATCTCTGCCGGTCATCAAGGTTTACGAAGACGTTCTTTCGTCGCCAAGCACGGCCTCGACCGTGACACACATCAATGGCATCGATGCGGCAAAGTACGTTGAAGACACCATCTTCACCGCATCTTTCAACCAGGATCCCGACGCTGCATACAACAGCATGTTCTTCTCCAAGGCTTCCTCTGGTGCTTCCGATGGATCGGGCTTCTTTAGTGGTTCTGGTCGTATCCGGTATATCTACCAGGGCGCCAACACGACCATTACCTTTGCCAATGGGACAGAGCTCGCCTTCGAGAACTTTGCCCAGGTCAAGACGCCGCTCAATGGCATCACCGATGGCGAGTCCCTTTACACAAAGTTCTGTGGCGCGGTCGACTCTGGGGACCAGGCAACGTCGGCTTCCACTTCTTCCGGAATTGTGGTCCCTGGTTACCCGAATCCTATTGCCATCACGAATGACTCTATCGTGTCGTGCTACTTCCTCGATGGCGAAGGCTATGAGGATGTCGCTGTTCTATCTCTTCTGGCTTTCGAGTCAGAGTCGCCGTCTGAGTTCCAAGCCGTGCAACACGAGTGCATCGTCAAGGCTGTGGCAGCAGGCAAGACCAAGCTTGTCGTCGACCTCAGCGCAAATGGTGGCGGCTACATCCTCCAGGGCTACGATTTCTTCCGCCAACTGTTCCCACACATCGTGCAGGACGGCTTCTCGCGCTGGAAGGAGAACGACGGCTTCATGGCCGTGTCGAAGATCTACAGCGACCTTGTGGCTAAAATCGACCCTTCCACTTCCTCTGACAGCGATCTGATCGAGGACTACGAGTCTTGGTTCAACTACAAATACGACCTCAACGTCACTGACCAGCCGTTCCTCACGTTTGAGGACAAATTCGCCCCGCGTGTGTACAAGAACACCAACTACACGGCCGTTATGCGCTGGAATCTGACTGATCCGCTGACGACGTCCAACTGGACCTACGGCCTGGGCATGGAAATCAGCGGCTACGGCTCGCTGGCCAACCTCACGCAGCCGTTTGAGGCCGAAAACATCATCCTGGTCTACGACGGCTACTGCGCATCCACCTGCACGATAGCGTCCGAGATGCTACGGATCCAGGCCGGCGTCCGGTCTGTCGCCTTTGGCGGCCGTCCTATTGAGGGCCCTATCCAGGGAGTTGGCGGCATCAAGGGATCGCAGACGCTTAGCTATTCAGACATTCACAGCGAGGTGCAAAGTGCCATATCCAACACAGAGGACGCCGAGCAACTGGCTGCTCTGCAGCGATACACTGAGACTCCGATCAAGCGGTCGTCGGCTGCGGCTCTCAACACGCGCGATCAAATCCTGCGGGACAACCTCGAGGACGGCCTTCCCGCCCAATATGTGGTCGAGGAGGCCGACTGTCGGCTGTACTGGACTGAGGAGATGATCACAGACGTGACCGCCGTCTGGAAGGGTGCAGCCAATGCTGCCTTCAACGGCGGGAAATGCGCGGCCGGCAGCATCCCGCAGTCGAAGAAGAAGAGGACCAGCCGGATCGAAGGAAAGCGGCACGTCAACCTGGGCAAGGGCTTCGTCGACTTCAACCGCATCGAGCGCAGAACAGAGCAGAGCCGGGTGAAGTTCGACGCAAGATACAACCAGAAGGTCATTGTCTAGGTAATAGGCGATAGGACGGATAACGTAGTAATATAATAGCGTATGCTGTATGCTTTAAATGAGACATAAAGTAAAACTGCACAGCTATGCCGCTACGTATGGTACATAAACCAGCACATAACACCAAACACCCCAGGCACAGCGAAAAGAAAACATGTGCATCACGCGGTCTGACTCCGACTCTATACGTAGCCATATTCCACTTTGGTCTGCCACCGAAACGCAACAAATCACACGATACGCCCCCCCCTCTTTCCCTGGGTATCAATATAGGCTCAAATCGTGAAGCCTCGCATTTGTAAGAAGAAATGAATAGTGGCATCGACTATCGTGAAATTTCATTCGGCCAAGTGTGTTGACCGTGAAGAACGCCAAATGGACTACCGTGTCGGGATAAACTTCTCAGAGTCCTTCTCCTGCTCGGAAAACGACTCGGGGAATGCGGCGATGCCGGCTATGATGCCGCACACCATGAAAAGAATCGAAACGATGGACCAGACGACACCCCAGCACTGCGACGAACCGCCGTATCGTTTAGAGAACACGCTGGCATCGGATTCGTTGACTTTGCGGAGGATGAGGTCGTCGCAGATATCCCAGACGCTATACAACGACGACATGACGCCGATGAAGAGCTGGAACGGAAAGTGTTAACCAAATTGCCGTCCTTGCAAGACGCAGTATGAAAGAAAGGGCACTCACGACAAAGAACCGCAGCGGTTCGGCGTGCTTGATGAACCAGAAAGCAACAAGTAGTCCGACAGCGAGCAGAATGGTGCCGATGGTCAACCAGTCACGCTTGCCCCACCACAAGGTAAGGAGAAAGCACACGCCCAGCACGATGCTGGCCACCTTACTTGCCACGATGTCGAAGCCGCAGAAGGTCAGCAGAGCGCCGATCAGAGAGGATCCCAAGTAGCCCGCCGGCAGCGTGAGCGCCGCCTTGCCACCCTTCATATGTGTGACACCGCCTTCGCGCGGGTCGAGCGAGATGGAAATGACATGGCCGCCCGTCAGGACCGCCATAATTGCGTGGCCGAACTCGTGGAATGCAATGACGAGCATCTGGACCCAACGCACCCTGTCAGCAAAGGTGGACACAGAACGTGCTCGTTGTAGCGGGCTCACCTTGAAGGGCCACAATATGTAGCGTATATAGGGTATATTCCACAGCAGGGCGATAGCTACGATATAGGCAGCGATGACGCCCAGCGTGACTTTCTGCGTGTTGGACACTGTCAAGCCGCGAGCAGACAATTGGTGGGTCCGGAGATGTTCCGCAGCGCGGTGGACGAGAAGGGGACCGGCAGCAGACAGGGCACGACGAATTGCCGCAGATTGGGCTACGGCACAGAGGACCGGTGCGGCCTGGATGTGAGAAACGGGTGCCATGTCGAAGATGTCGAAGTTTTGCTTCCGTTGAGAGCTATTTCGAGTCAGTGGCCACGTTTAAGGTCGAAGGCTATTTTGTCGTTGACGATGTGTCGTTGACGAGTAAGACGATGGTGCTCGCAGAAGCTGGAGATGGTTGCAACCAAGTAATTCAAGCAATAGCAAGGCCAATGAGCTGGCTGGAGGGGAAAATACAGTGAGCGCCGGCAAAGAAAGGCTGGAAAGCATAAATCAGAAGGGAAAAGGGCACGTTGTATGAGATAGGCCACGAAACAGAGCAAGCAGAATGGGACGTGACACACTGCCGCTTTTGTCTGTCCTGAGACGATCGGCAGGGCAGTGGAAGGCTGTGATGCTAGCAGCAACCGTGCTTTTAGTCGCCGTTTCGACCCTCCTCAAGAACGCCCAACCACTCATTTGCGGTGGGGCACGCCGGATTATGGGCTTGCCGCCCTTGGAGAACGCGTCACCCCCTCCTTCTTACCCTAGACGGAGTTTATTTTAGTGGGAAGAGCGCTGGAATCCCCGCCAGGCTGCGCAGCGTACTGGGCCTGGTTCATTCGTGGCCTACGTGGCTGTGCACAGGAGCACGTACTCGCAGGCTCAGCAGTGCAACTGACCACGTAAGTAATATACGAGTACGAAAAAAAAAACCAATGTCGTCTCATCTGGCCTCAGCCATCATCCAAGAATTGTGTGCTGATATATTTCTGTTACCTTCAGGCTTGAACCGTACGCAGCAAGCATGTGATACGGCACGTGATAATACTGGCGTCGAGATTTCTTGTTACAGACAAGAAAGGGCGAAATATTACGTGCCGTCCTGGCTCGCGATGCGTCGTCAAGTGGAATCTGGGACGCCAACACCCCTACCAGTTCACCTCTTTTATCATCGTCGTCCCGCCCCCGCAAGCAGCGACAAGAAGCCAAGATACGCGAGTGCACCGGGACTTGAAAAAGCTCTAGATCACAAGTACAGCCGGAGACCTAGACAGGAGCGGGGGGTCTTTGAGCAGGCCGGAATTCATAAAATGAATAGACAATGGGAAGACGCTACAAAGTACGAACAGACGACGAAAAGTTTCAGGCATGCTGGATTTTGGGACGATCAAGCAAATTCGGGCCGCCCGTGCTAAGATGCAGCATTCCGAGTGGCTCTTCATCAGATTCGATGGGGCAAAATATTACCCGGGTTTGATTATTGAGGTGGCCAGCACATACGCTACGGAGTAATACTCCGTACAACCCTTTGCTTTAATGCCTTCAGGTCCTGTGTTCCTATATTCCTCTGCATTTTCGACTGGTAAGATACGTTCTCGTTGTAGCCACCGGCTTTACCAATACGCACTGGCCTTATCAGGTTCGTATCGGACTCGCGGGGTGCCGAATGACAAAAGACAAGAACCCAAACAGTAAGGTAAGATACCAGTGCAATGCAGGCGAGGCTTAGTAGATCTAGTAGAGGTAGAATAATTGTTGGGAGAATTGACAGCACATCCTGCTTATTCTCTTAACCCTAAATATTCTCTAGACGCCGAGGGTAGTTCAAGAGTGGCGAACGGTACTTGCTATCTGGGAGACTACTGTCCCAAATTCCAAGTACTCGTTAAAGTCATCAATACGGAGTACATGATGTACACAGCTGGCTACGTGTCAGCTGAAGTATTTTATTATATATCCCGTCAGCAATTTGTACATGCAAACATAGCTTCTAGGAACGAGTGTGGCAAGTGCGGCGACTCTACCAGGGAGCGAGCTATACTTATTCCGGTAATGCGAGAGGGCGGTGAGGCGTTGCTCCAGCAAAAGACAAGGATTTCCTACACTTACTTGTGTTGCCAGGTGGAAGGTCCCACTGAAAAGTTTTTTTTCTGCCTCTATGCTAAAACTTCCACCCCTCCATTGCGCCTACAGTATGCAAAACTAAGTGGTGGTGGTTGGCTGTATTACTGCTATTTTTCCTGCTAAACTCTGGTTATCTCTCTCATTTATAAATCCCTTGTCCACTTTTTTCTCCCAACCTAATAATTCTGTTTTTTTCCTTCTTTCCTCCCTCTCTTCTCCATACTCCCAACTTTCTCTTTCCTTCAACCCTCTCTTTGCTTTCCTTGCCTGAACAGAGCAAGGGAATCAAATATCTGTCGCCGACGTCCTGCGGACAGTCGACAGAGCACGCTTTTCTGCTCATTTCCGGTTTCCCTAAACTTTGGGATAGACGCCTTACGGGCCGGATTCTCATCGACTGGGATAGACATTAGGCTATCTCCTTCCACGACAATACCCTCACCTCAATACCACAATCTCTTCATACCAAAAATCATGGCTTCTGAGAACGCCAAGTCTGACAAGGTCCTCAGCGACCTGGTGCAGAAGCTCACCCTCTCCACCGATGCTGCTGATATCAAGGCGTCGTCTGGTGCGATCGCCACCTTCATCAACGGCGACATCAAGGATCTCGATGTCCCTTCCAAGTAAGTTTCCACACAGATTACGAGTGCTTTTTGGACTTCTCTCGTTGCCTTCACACTTTTGATGCTGTTCCCCACACATACTCCAAAATACACACTCCCCCCACCAACCCCTCGGGCGCCGCTTTTTTTTTTAAAAAAAATTTACGCAAAATCTATGTGGGCTTTTGCAAATAAGCTGTTGGTCAGTGCTTTGGCAAAGCCAAAGTTCTGCCACTGGAGATGTTTACTCGCTTTCTCTTGAATGGTTTCTTGATGATTGTCTTTACGAGCTTGAATGAATATTAACTCGTTTGTTTTAGGACTATCGAGGCCCTGAAGAAGCAGCTGGCAAACAAGAAGGATGCCGGTGCTCGTGAGAAGGCTCTCAACGCCATCCAGGCTATTGCTCAGCACTCCGAGGTTTCGGCCTCGGTTGAGCCGTTCCTGGTTGTTCTTCTGCCTGCTGTTCTTGCTGCCGCTGGTGACAAGATCACTGCTGTCAAGACTGCCTCCATCGCTGCCGGTCTGGCCATTGCCGAGGCTATCAACCCAAATGCTTCCAAGGCTGCTCTGCCGAGCGTCATCGACTCGCTCCGCAATGCCCAGAAGTTCCCCGAGCGTCTGCTGGCTCTGGATTTCATCGACACTCTGATCCGCACATCCCCGGTCCAGATCTCGGTGCGCGTGCCTGAGCTGATCCCTGCCGTCTCTGAGGCCATGTGGGTGACCAAGAAGGAGGTCTCCGCCCGCGCCTACCAGACCATGGAGAAAGTTTGCGGCCTGATTGTCAACAAGGATATCGAGAAGTTTATTCCCGAGCTGATCAAGTGTATCGCCAAGCCGGAGAACGTCCCCGAGACGGTCCATCTGCTGGGTGCCACCACTTTCGTTACGGAGGTCCAGGAGCCCACTCTGGCCCTGATGGTTCCTCTTCTGGATCGTGGTCTTGCTGAGCGCGAGACTGCCATCAAGCGTAAGACGGCCGTCATTGTCGACAACATGTGCAAGCTCGTCGACGACCCGAACATCGTCGCTCCCTTCTTGCCCAAGATGATGCCCGGCCTGCAGAAGAACTTCGACACCCTGGCCGACCCTGAGGCCCGTGACAAGACCCGCCAGGCCCTTGACACCCTCACTCGTGTCGGCAACGTCAAGGATGGCAAGATTCCTGAGGCCAGCAACTTTGGCGATCTGCAGGTCGTTCTTGCTCACCTCAAGACGGTCCTCTCTGGCAAGCCTGCTGCTACTGCCGAGAAGTTCAGCCCCGTCCTGGCCTACGTCGCTGCCATTGCTGGTCAGCTGATTGACGAGCACGAGAGCGAGCAGACCACCTGGATCACCAACCTCAAGTCGTTTGTCTCCGTTCTCGTTGGCGACGCCGCTGCCGAGGGTGTCATCGACTCTCTCCGCAAGAAGGCTCTACCCGGTGCGGCCGAGGAGGCTGAGGTCGAGGCTGACGAGGAGGAGGGAGAGGATCTGTGCAACTGCACGTTCTCGCTCGCCTACGGTGCCAAGATTCTGCTGAACCAGACCAGCCTGCGCCTGAAGCGTGGCCAGCGCTACGGTCTGTGCGGTCCCAACGGTTCCGGCAAGTCCACTCTCATGCGCGCCATCAACAACGAGCAGGTCGAGGGTTTCCCGAAGCAGAGCGAGGTCAAGACTGTTTTCGTCGAGCACGACCTGGACTCTGCTGATACGGAGATGACCACGATTGAATGGACCATGAAGAAACTTGCCGAGGCCAAGGTCGATGTCTCCAAGGAGCAGGTTGAGAAGCAGCTGGAGGAGTTCGGCTTCAGCCCGATGATGATTTCTGGCGAGATCACGGCGCTATCCGGTGGCTGGAAGATGAAGTTGGCTCTGTGCCGTGCCGTGTTCGAGACTCCCGATATCCTGCTACTCGATGAGCCGACGAACCATCTGGACGTGAAGAACGTCAAGTGGCTGGAGGACTACCTCATCAACTCACCCTGCACGTCCATCATCGTTTCCCACGACTCTGGCTTCCTCGACAACGTGTGCCAGCACATTGTGCACTACGAGCGGTTCAAGCTCAAGCGCTACAAGGGTAACTTGAAGGACTTTGTCAACCGCCTGCCGTCGGCCAAGGCGTACTATGAGCTCGGCGCGTCTGAGTTCGAGTTCAGCTTCCCCGAGCCCGGTTTCCTGGAGGGTGTCAAGACCAAGGCCAAGGCCATTCTTCGTGCCACCAACATGAGCTTCCAGTACCCGAACACGCCGAAGCCGCAGCTGTCGGACATCACGTTCCAGTGCTCTTTGAACTCCCGTATCGCTGTCATTGGCCCCAACGGTGCCGGCAAATCGACACTCGTCAACGTGCTGACCGGTGAGCTGATCCCGACGGGCGGCGAGATCTACCAACACGAGAACATGCGTATTGCCTACATCAAGCAGCACGCTTTCGCGCACATCGACAACCACCTGGACAAGACCCCGTCCGAGTACATCCAGTGGCGTTTCCAGACCGGTGAGGACCGTGAGACCATGGACCGTGCCAACAAGATCATCACCGAGGAGGACGAGGCGGCCATGAACAAGGTCTTCCACCTTCACGACAGCTACCGCCGTATTATCGGCATCCACTCTCGCCGCAAGTTCAAGAACTCGTACGAGTACGAGTGCTCGTTCGCGCTCGGCGAGAACATTGGCATGAAGTCGGAGCGCTGGGTTCCGATGATGACGGCCGACAACGACTGGCTGCCGCGGTCTGAGCTGCTGGCGTCCCACCAGAAGCTTGTCGCCGACGTGGACATGAAGGAGGCCCTGGCCTCTGGTCAGTTCCGCCCGCTGGTCCGCAAGGAGATCGAGACGCACTGCGCCAACTTCGGTCTGGATGCCGAGCTGATTTCCCACTCGCGCATGCGCGGTCTGTCTGGTGGCCAGCGTGTCAAGGTTGTGCTCGCGGCATGCTCGTGGCAGCGCCCCCATCTGATCGTTCTTGACGAGCCGACGAACTACCTGGACCGTGACTCTCTCGGTGCGCTGTCCAAGGCGCTGAAGAAGTTTGAGGGTGGTGTGATCATCATCTCCCACTCGTCCGAGTTCACCAAGGATCTGACGGAGGAGGTGTGGGCTGTGCTTGACGGCAAGATGACGCCTTCGGGCCACAACTGGGTGCAAGGCCAGGGCTCTGGTCCCCGCCTCAAGGCGGACGAGGGCGAGGAGGAGGACAAGTTCGACGCGATGGGCAACAAGATCGCGGCCACGAAGAAGAAGGCCAAGCTCACCAGCTCCGAGGCGCGGAAGAAGAAGAAGGACCGGATGGCCCGCCGGAAGCGCGGCGAGGAGGTGTTCAGCGATGAGGACGAATAAGCGCTTCTATGTGATCTAAGCTTAAAACGTTTTGCATCAATGCATGAATGGATTTGCTGCGAGGACGTTTTCTTCGCCTGCCGTCCTGACGAAGAACACCGAAAAGTACCTTCACTGTTTTTTGTTTTTAAGGGAGTTATCCGGCGGTCAATTGGTTTTTCTTACCCTCCATGTTATCTTTTACCGTCTGCACATCAGTCTTCTTTCTTCTCTGTCGTCGACAGTGATAGAGCAAGGTGGCCTTAGGATACATGAAAGGTCCTGTCAGAATCGTGCGATGCATCTAAGATAGAGAGATAAAGGATTGCACAATGAAATGAATGTTAGAATACGCCTTGCTTGAAATTCATGGCATTGTCGCTTATTCTAGCTACTACCAATTCTGTCGAATTCTGGGCGCCCATTGAGAGCGCTCTCTTGTGTGTCGCTACTTCCGGTTGTGTCGACGTGCATGAATTTTTTTTACTCCGTACTAAACAGGCGATTTTAGCACTACAGGCCGCAGTCCATTCGACAACTACACCAACAAGCGAAGGTCACTGTATCACACAAGACTACGAAATATCAAGGAACTAATCATCGTGCCGTATTTTCCAATCAGCTATGAAAGATTACCAGTCCTCATCTAATGACCCGTGAAGTGCTGAAATCATCTCTAAAAACAATAAAGACAGGTACAAAGAAAAAAATTAGACAAGGAAAATACGCCAGAGACCATCGACTCCGACTCCTTACAGCAGGAGAGCACCGGCCAGCATGATGACGAACGCACCGGCGCCCGTCTGCAGGCGGCCAGCACCGGCCGTCACAACAGCATAGGGAGTGCTGGTGCTGCCGGAGCCGTGGACGCTGGAGGCGGAGGCCGTGACAGCAGCCACAGCCTTGGTGGTGCTGGCGCTGGCAACAGCCGTGGTGGCAGCAGCCGGGGTAGCAGTGATGATGCCGGACGGGCCAGCAGCAGCAGCAACCACAGCGGTGACGTCGATGCCGGGAGCGACGCTCAGGACAGGCGACTTGGCAGCAGGAGTGGCAACAACCGAGACGGTGGTGGCGGTCGAGGAGTTCGACGCAAATGCAACAGTGGAGTTGGCGAAGCTAGCACCAGATGCAATCGGAACACCAGAAACGGCAGCGACAGCAGTGGTGGTGGAAACAATGGCAGCGACAGGGACAGCCACAGTGCTGTTGGCACCAGGCACAGCCGGGGCAGAGACAGCCGGGGCCGAAGCAGCCGGGACGGGGACAGCAGCAACACCGGTGGTCGAAGCAGCAGGAACAGCCGAAACAGCCGGCACAGCCACCGACGAGACGGAAGCAGCAGGGGCGACAGGGACGGCAACCGTGGTCGAAGCAGCAGGGACACCGGTGACAGCAGCGACACCAGTCGTGGAGACAGCCGGGACGATGGTCCAGGAACTCGTCCAGGCAGTGCTGCTGGTCCAGGCGCTGGTCCAGGCAGTGCCAGCAGTGTACGTCACGGTGGCAATGATGGTCGCCGAGACGGTGGCAGGCGGCGTGAAGGTGCTAGCAGGCGGCTGCGACGAGGCAGGGAAGGTGCTGAAAACAATCGACTTCACGGGAGTTGCCGTAGGGACGCCAGTCGCAACGGAAGGAGTAGAACCAGAGCCGTTAGCACCGGTTCCGGTGGTCGAGGCGTACGGGCAGTAGACGACCGTCTTGGTGGCAACGATCTGAGTCACGACCTTCTGGGTGAAAGAAGCCGGGCAGTTGACAACTGAGGCAGCGCAGGACGTGATCGTGACCACCTGAGTCTCGAAGTAGGTCGAGGTAATCGTGTGGTCCGAGCTGGCACCCGTGCCGACGACGGAGCTGAAGCCAGTGAGAGCAGCAGCGGAAGTCGTCATGGCAGCCTGGGGCACGGAAGTGAAGGTCGTGCCGGAAGCGACAATCGTGGCCGTGTTGCTGGCGGCCGGGACGATCGAGCCAGAGGCAAAGCCAGCAGAGGCAGAGTTGGAGCCAGAGCCGGACGGGATAGAGCCAGCAATGCCGGAAGCAGAGCCAGACGAGCCCGAACCGGAGCCGGGGACAGAGCTGGAGCCAGCCGGGCTGGAGCCAGCAACGTCAGTAGCAGAGACGGGGCTAGCAGAGTCCGTGACAGAACCAGAGCCAGGAGCGAAACCGGAGATGGAAGCAGAGCCAGCAGATCCAGAGCCAGATGATCCGGAGCCCGAGCCAGACGAGCCCGAGCCAGTCACATCAGAGGCAGACACGGGGCTAGCAGAGCCCGTGGGGGAGCCAGAGCCAGGAGCGAAACCGGAGATGGAAGCAGAGCCAGCAGATCCGGAGCCAGATGATCCGGAGCCCGAGCCAGTCACATCAGAGGCAGACACGGGGCTAGCAGAGCCCGTGGGGGAGCCAGAGCCAGGAGCGAAACCAGAGATGGAAGCAGAGCTGTCCGATCCAGAGCCAGACGAACCGGAGCCGGAGCCAGATGAACCGGAGCCGGACGAACCGGAACCAGCAGCACCAGAAGCAGACACCGGGCTAGCAGAGCTCGTGGCGAAGCCAGAAATGAACCCGGAAATGGAAGCCGAGCCGGACGAACCAGGAGCAAAGCCAGACGGAGCGGAACCGGCAACGTCAGTAGCAGAAACGGGGCTAGCAGAGTCCGTGGCAGAGCCGAAGCCGGAAACGAAGCCGGAGATTGAAGCAGAGCCGGCACCCGAGCCAGAGCCAGGTGCACCAGAGCCGCTAGCAAAGCCAGACGGGACAGAGCCAGCAGCACCAGAGGCAGAGCCGGATGAACCAGAGCCGCTAGCAAAGCCCGACGGCACGGAACCGGCAACACCAGAAGCAGATGCGCCAGAGCCGGAAGCGAAGCCAGACGGAATAGAACCAGCAACGCCAGTAGCAGAGACGGGGCTAGCAGAGTCCGTGGCAGAGCCGAAGCCGGAAACGAAGACGGAGATGGAAGCAGAGCCCGAACCAGAGCCGGGAGCGAAGCCAGACGGCACGGAGCCGGCAGCACCGGAAGCAGAGCCAGACGAACCCGAACCAGAGCCGAATGCACCAGAGGCGGCAGCAGATGCAGACGGCACGGAGCCAGCAACACCAGAAGCAGAGCCAGAGGCAAAGCCAGACGGAATAGATCCGGCAACGCCCGAAGCAGAGGCACCAGAACCGCTGGCAAAGCCAGACGGGATGGAACCAGCAGCACCAGAAGCAGAGCCAGACGAGCCCGCGCCAAATGCACCAGAGGCGGCAGCAGAACCGGAAGCCTGTGCACCCGATCCAGGGAAGCCAGTAACGGAAGCGGCAGCACCGCCAGTGGCAGTCATCGAGACACCAGTGGCGCTGCTGATCGCAACGGCGGTTGTGGTAGCAGGAGCAGTGGCAAGAGCAACCGAAACGGTGGGTGCGAGATCCAGGTCGAGGACGTCGATGCCAATCACATCAACGTTGACGTCAATGAGGATACCGACGTTCAGCACAAAGTCCTCAGCGACGGTGGCATCGATGAGAAGGCCGCTGGAGCCGCCGACGATGAGAGCAGTGTAGTCGAACAGGTTGATCCAGACGGCGACCTCAGCACCGGTGCTCAGCAGAGGAAGGCCAAGCGGGTCGATGTTGGCGGCCAGGTCGATCTCCGTACGCAGACGCAGGCCAACGACAAGAGTGATGTCGGCCGACAGGTCGACCTCAGCACCCAGAGTCACGGGCAGAGTGTTGGCCGCAAGACCGTTCAGCTGGTGGTCGCAAACCGACGACGTAAGGAGGTCGATCTCGACGAAAGAGCCGATGGGGAACTCGACCTCGAAACCAGCAGACACGTCGACAGAGGCGCTGACACTGATCACAAGATCCAGAGCCAGGCCGAGACCAGCCTCAACATCAAGGACACCAGGGATGGCCAGCGAGAGGTCACCCGAGGAGATAAGCTCAACCGTGTCGAAAACATCCGCATCGGCGCGAATGGCGAGCTCAACCAAGGCCTTCACGCCACCAAGGTCCACCCGGAGCTTCGGTGCCGTCAGGAAGTCGAGGCTGAAAGACACATCAACACTACCAGAGATGGCAGCGCTGGGCAGTCCGAGGAACAGGTTAACCTCAGCCTCGCCAGCCACGGCAGCAGGAGCAGAACCAGCGTATAGCGTGGCCTGGTCGAAGCTCTTGCTCATGTCGAACGAGGTGCAGTTGGCGTCCCGAGCTGCCAGGGCACTGCGAGCCTTGGGCATGGGAGACGCATGGCCGAGGCCAGCGAGCAACGCCCCGATAAGGGGGGCGGTGCTGGAAAACTTCATAATTAAGCTGGAAAAACGAGAAATATGACTGACTAAGCAATAAGTAAATGAAGGTGTGGAAAATCCAAAAGAACGACTCGCTTAAAAAAGCTAGAAAGAAAGACTATGGGTGAGAATTAAAGCTCAAGAGAGGGGAGGGGAGGGCGGAGAGGAGGTGGGAGTGAAGGAAAGAAACAAAAAGCCCAGACAGAGGAAACAGACGTCCCTTATAACGACGCTCACTCTCTCCGTGCAAAAGGGCAGAGCCCACGATGTGATGCTAGCGCCGACAGAGGCTCCAACCTCGATGGTAAGTGCAGGCCATCTCGACAGGGTCCCGAATGGAGGCCGCCCCAGCCGAAAGAAGGGGCCTTGTTGCTACAACTCCCTTTTCGGCGTGCCGATCAGCGTATGCAATCTCAAAGAGTGCCGTGCCTGGAGCCAGTCCTATTCGCGGATGGCCTAATTCCAGGTAGAAAGTCCACTTTGGTCATTGCGGTGCATGGACCATCTTTAGGGAGAAACCCAGTTTACGGAGTACTCCGTAGCATCTCGGTATCGTCATCACAAACACCTGACCAGAGGACAAAAACAAGACTTTTTGCTCCAATCGCTTAAGCAATACCATCTAGCCTTTGTCTTCATTCGAAGCTTGCATCAGGGGGAGATGAGATCACAGACGGCGGAGCCTCCGGCGAAGAACCGTCCCATCCAACAGGGCGAGCAATAGGAGGGCTAGAAGCAATAACGGTCTCCATCCGGCAAAGAAAAGACATTCGTAGGAAAGAAGACGGGCCTGCTGCAGGATTGGAACGTGTTTGCATGGAGCCTTGTCGTGGATCTCTGTTTCTTTCCATGCGGAGAACAGAATACAGGGCGGCCGGTATTGCAACAGTACGGAGCAATTGGCATGAGCGTTCCTATTTTCGTGACCGCTTTTCGCTTCTAGGAGAGGAAGAGGACTATGGGTCTGACCGTTAGCTATTTTAACCCACAAGACAATGTCCGGCTGTCGATTGGGATCGCCGTGGAGATTTGGGGCTCAGGGGGTGCCGGCAGATCGGATAACGGCGGCCTGGTTGGTTAAACAGGGTTGATGAGTAGGGAAATCGTAATGTCATTTGTCGTTCTGTTGTAAAGAGAAAGAGAGAGAAGAATGCAAAGCGTTGCGAAAAACAGAAATTGGTTGCGGAGAACAATTCGACCTCCTACGGAGTACGTTGGTGATTTCCGCGTACCACAAAGGCAGGTACGAAGGACTCTGGTAGGATCTTCCGCCAACATAGCATTAGGCTTCTACAGTACGGAGTCTATCTAGGTAAGTGCCACCCTGCCCCTGGACCCGCTTTGCACTGCCCTGATTCTTTTGTGGAACGCTCACTACTCCGTACTATGTATGTAATGTAAGATATCTTACTTGTAATGACAGATCCGCCAAAATAGCATAAAATCGGGTTGTGTACGTCGTAAGACTGCGGCATGTGGGAAAGGTATGGCGGCCGTCCAGACTGTCCGTTACCGCTCCGTACTCCGTACATGCGGCATTGAGGGCTATCCCTTTCGAGTTAGGCAAACGGCCCGCGTCCTCCCTTTGTGGCTTCCGCAATCCATCGTATCGTAAGACACGGTTGCCGGGAAGCAATCCGAGAAGCTGACCAGTACGTCGTATACGGAGTAGTGAGGGAGAAAGGGTCGTGTCGACATTTTCGCCATTGGCCTCGATTCGAGCCAATACAGGGGACCTCTACGGAGTACCCCGTCGAGCAAAAAGTAAGATTCGCTGTAAAGCCGACGAGAAAGTGCTTCAGGCAAACAGAGAAGGCAGATGCAAACTTCGGACAGATGCAAAAACTGGAAGTGATCGCCGGTTTTCCCCTGCATCTCTCCTATACGGAGTACGAGTACGGAGCACGTTTCCAACCTTCGGGGCCTTTTTCACGCCACTTTACCTCACCGTCTCTTCATTTTCGCATCTCAGTACTCCGTACGCCGTGTAATGAAAGACAAGGCGCCAGACCTTTTTCAGAGCCCAAAACAGCGTGCGGCCTGAATCTTTCTTGGCCAATCGCCACTCGGCTGGCCGCTGATCATTTGCAAGCCGGTCTTTGTAGCCAGCCTCTGGTCCACCGTTTCGCGCTCCAACGATAGTCCTCCGGTGACAGCTTATTTTGATGGAGATACTATGTAGTAGCATTTCGTTCCCGAGACACTTCAGGGCTTAGGCCGTACAGCTAGACTCGAAAGGATTAGCGATAATGTTTGATTACTTTTTTTAAATTGCTTCCTGCCAATAGCTTACATTACATAGTATCACTTGCTCTTTCTCTTTTCATACTATGTACGGCGTAGATGTGCCCAGATATCTGATGTGCAATTTGAAATGCAGATCCCCCTTGAGCCTCGTGTACTAGTAAAGCTCTGTATCGCATCATCACGTTTGCCGGTCGTGCGACTGGGTGGGGTGTCGCTCTTGTTGCTCTCCCGATCAGCCTGCCTCAACATCGCGCCCTTTACTAGGCCTTCTCTGCTGTTTCGATATCGAAATAGTCTTCACGACCGGGCAGTCCCCTCCCTGTCTGCAGTGCTGCGGCTGCTTGCCCGTTTTCGAGCTGGAGATTTTGAGGAGCTCGTGATCATCCGAAACTTCGCCGTCTTCTGCCAACCGGCGCCGTTTCCTCAGATTCTTCTCAAACTTGTACAGGCCATAGCCCTTGCGGAAGAACTCAGCCACGGCCACAAAGAGTAGGAGGACAGCGGTGGTCTGTCCAAAATCCCAGTTGTTTTCCGAGCCCTCCGTCTCGCCTTTGTCAGCCCCCCCTATCGGCCAACTCGCTCGCGGTCAGGCCCAACCGACCCTAGTTAGCCGAGCGCAGTGCCACGGCCATGTAAAAATGCAAGGGAAAATGCAAAAAGGCCGCTGTCAGGATAGTGTGTCGCCGGTGCGCACCTTCAAAGACGGAGAAGAGCATGACGGCGAGCATCCAGACGCAAGTGATCCATACGTATGCACGGTCAGAACTCGGGTGATGAGCCCCTGGTGAACTAGTGGCGGCTGTATTGTAGCAGCGGCCGGGTGTGGCCAGGTCCCAGTGCCCCAGCTTATTGTTCAGAAGAACGGCCAGAGCAAAGAATAAGACGGCAAAGGCGTAGGTCACGCGGTAGCGGCCTGACTTTATGAACTTGCGCCAGATGGGATTCTTGCCGTCGTCTCGAAGTACCAGCGTGAGGCCATGAAGGAAGCCAGATGAAGGGGAAGAAGTGGCTTTGTTGTTGTTGATGTTGCTTTCGTGAAACTCGGCTCTTTTGGCCGCACAGAACGTGTAGCAGACGAGAGCTGCAACATTGGAAACGCTGTGCATGTAGGATGCCCTGTTAGAACGTATTTACGTACGAATGTGGGCGATAGCGGGATCGAAGCATACCCTACAAAGCTGACTGTATCGTAGATGAGGCGCAAATGATAGATATCGATTGTTTTGACCACAGTAAACGTAGTTATCATCAGGGCGATGCCTGGACGACCGTCTTTGCATCAGCCGTGCGTACAGCTTCGAGTATTATCGGGTTTGCTTACCAATTGCCATTTGCATGTCGTTGCCAATCATCAAGATTTCCTCGACCATTTCCAGCCGTTTCTTCTCGACGGCGTGCTTGTCGGACTTCACAGTGTGTGGCGTTCCGAGTCGGCCATGCCGTGTCAGAAAAAATACCCAGCAAGCGAGGAAGAGCGAGAGGAAAGCCTGGCCAGCAAAGCCCACGAGAATCTGGCCATGTTAGTAAACATACAGAAAGATGCGATTAGAACGAAAAAAAACACGATCACGTACACCAATGCCGGCGATGTCTGGCATTGGATCACCGACATACTGGCAGACGTCCGATACTGCCATAAACGGGGATGGAGTAATATAGATTGAGCACTATAGCTTTAATGTTGAGTGAGCTTATGTTTGCGAACCAAATTTAGATGTGTAATTCCAAGTATTCTGGCCCATCATAGTCTACACCCAACGTCATGAACCCCGCGTTTGTCAAAATTCACAGGTTGTAAGACCCTGATTTGACCAGCCAGACATGATGTAGTTGTACTTTGGTTGTCTACATTGTGATAAGGCCGGGGCAGCTTCAAACACAATTCAATCGAATAATTCCTCTATTTTCGGGCTTTAATCCATTTTGGCTCTATTTTTACCTCCCAGTTCTCAACTTTAGTTTCCATCAGATATGTTTCCTGTTTATCAAACCACAGCCGAATTGACTCAAAGTTCAGACTGTACAAAGGACCCCGTGGCTGCCAGCGTGGCATAGTACAGCTGCGTCTCGGCGCATATGATCATGCGACCACTGCCGGCAAACTGGAAGTTGGCGGCGCCTGTACCGAGGAAGATCTTTCCCAACAGCGTGCCGGACGGACTCCAGACTTGAACACCGCCGCCACAGCCGACATAAACGTTGCCTTTTTCGTCGACATGGACGCCTGTGAGGCTAGGTGTCAGCATGCATCAGACGAGGCACAGAAGCAGGATGCAAGGAGGCTCACCGTCCGGGACGCCTGTGTCGGCATAGGCAAAAGTCTTGCGATTCTCAAGGGTGCCATCGGCGCTCACGTTGAAGCGGTAACTGCAGCACGGTCAGCCTCTCAGCAGCCTGCCATGTCTTTTCAACGTCTCTATCTCCACCTACATTGTGGCCGGCTCAGAAAAATGATAGTTCCCGGTGAAGCCGCGATTTCGGCCGCTGTCGGTCACATAGGCGTAGGCACCGTCCGGGGAGAAGTTAAAGCCTATCGGCCGGTTAGCAGACTGACAGGTTTGAAATACACAGCCGGGCTGCACATACCGTTGGGCAGGCTGAACCCGTCGGCGACGACGGTGACTGCGCCGGTGTCCGGACTGAAGCGATACACCTGGTTTCGCATGCCTGGTGGCGGTCGGAAGTCCTGCAGGTAGCCATACAGCGTGTCGGTAAAGTACACGTCGCGGTTGAGCGGATGCACGGCCACGTCGTTGAGCGAGCTGAACTGGCGGCCGAAGAAGTTGTTGAGGAGGACTGGAGAGGCGTAGGTCAGCACGGACTAAGCAGTTTCTGTGTGTTCGTTGCATCTTCACCCTCACCTGTGGAGTTGTAAGGCGGCCGCGGGTTGACGAGATACAGGGCTGACGGTAGCTGGTCTCCCTGGCCCTCGGCCGCAAAGAGCAGCTGGCCGCGGTAGTTTGTGCCGCCTGTAGAAGAGGGTGTCAGAATTGGGTATGGACGAGGAGCAGAAGCAGTTAGAAACAAACCGTTCGGGTTGAGCACCTGGGGCGAGGCGTCGACGGTGTCGACCTGGACAAGTGTGCCAGCTGCTGCAGCCTTCTCGACGGCAGCCAGAGAGACCTTCTGGATGATGCTGGACTTGGCCAAACCGGTGCCGGCAGCCTTTGCGCCGGCGTTCTGGACGAAGAATATGTCTTCGGTGTCGGGGAACCTGAAAGGCATGAGCAAGGGGGCCGTCTGGAAGGCGATGTGTCTCAAACCGGGCCTTCTGATGCGTACCAGATGACGGCCTCGTGGAAGAGAGGATCCGTCTCGGACTCTGCGACGAGCGAGAGGGTCGGGTTGGCGCCCAGAATGTCGTAAAAGGCGTCATCGTAGACGTGGAACGGCTGGGCGCGCAGAGAGTCCAGGGTGTGTCCAGGTGGCACAAAGGGCTGAAGACGGGGTCAGCAAGCTCTCTCAGCTCATGAGGCGGACTAGGCCAAGACGTACCGCACTTCCATTGCTGGACGTCACTGGGGGAACGCTTGACAGGACGGCAAAGCTCTTGGAGTCGATGACCTGAGCCTGAGACGGGATGGCGGTCGGCGACGAGGCGAGCATCCGTGGATGCTTTGCATAGACTGACCCGAGCATGGCGACAAGGGCAGATGCGACGGCCAGCGGTGAAGGCCCGCTGGCCAATGCTGAAGGCTTGAACGGAGTCATTGGTCTGTTGCCGAGAGCAGCTGAACTGTTCTTGTGAGATGTCTCTATTATATAGCCATGTCTTGTAAGTTCGGATTACTTCAAGCGGACTACCGAAGCTGTCGCGTCGTCAAATTGCTCACTGGCAGCATCTGTCAAACTATGGGAGCCTAATGTCCGTGGCTGAATGGTATTCCGTACGGAGATTTTCCGATCTATGCCGAGGTGCATAGCTTTCGCTACTAAATTGGTGGACACTTATGCCAAGAGGCTACGTGTATCTTCCCATCATGTGCCACAAGACTACTCCGTACATCCCACTCATTTTAGCTTAGTCCGTTCGACAGCATCGCCGAGACTTTTTGTCTCTAGTGCGTTGAGATTCTGAGGTCTACTGATGCTGGCGATTGCTTGGAAGGTATGGACTTTCGTGAATTTATTTTTCGCCAATGTCAGAGCTCTGTGCTCTCCAGAGTGGGTGCTTGGCTGCTATTGGGAATATCAATATCGTGATTCTCTTAACAAGGAGACAGTCGGTATTGAGGCATCGCAGTCGTTGTGATGTGAATAAGACTGAGCTTCACCGGATGGTTGCACCCGACCCTGCAGGCATGTGCTTAGTAAGCGCATGGGCCGCCAAGAACTAGGGCTAATATCCCTAACTTCTGTGAAGCTCTAGAATGGAGCGCACTGTGATCGTTCTGACTAATGCCAGCAACGCGGCCTCTCATTGGTCAGACAGATAAAAATGGGGACTAGCCCCAGTGAAATCTCTCCACCAGTGAAGGCGCGCCATGTACTCTCTCCTAGCTAGTTACAACACGCAGATCATCAGCCACATCGTGAAGACCCATACAGTGTACCGCTACCCCTGCCATAAGCATCAGTTGTGACAACTTCCAATTTGAGCTGCGAGAACAAACGCGGATTGGACCCCACCCGAACCCCTAAACACGATGCCCAACGCCGAGATTTGAAGTTTACGTTCATGGCCCTCCTTTTCTACCGCTTCCCGGCATTTCGCCGTTGGACTTGCCGCGCCTGAGATCGGTTGCGACGACTAGGAGGAACTGGTGGCCGCCCGACCGGTTCTCCATTTCTACAGGTCCATGAGGGCTTGGTCGAAACGGACGGGATACTGCAGCCGGACGGCCTGTGGTCAGTGTCACGGTCAAAGCGATGACCTTGTCGAATATACTGCCGAGGTCGGTGTCGTAGCTGCAAACACGCAGCCGCCCTCGTCGGTGACAGAAGGCTCAGACACAGATCCCGACCGGCAGGCCTGAGCTTGACCACGAAGTTGCCCATCTTGGAGCTGATTGCACTGCTGGGATCTTTCAGAGTATCTAGAAGTGCTCATTGGCAAAGACGCGGATATCCTGGCACAGTTCCGGCGCCTTTTGCGTCAATGAGTTGTCGGGCATCTGACTGACGCCCTGGCTGGCCCGGAAGCGGTGCAGGTCATGTCGTCCTTGTATGCTGGCGTCCGTCATCGGTGGAATGTTGCGCGATGGGGATGCGTTCTAAGAACACGTAACGCATACAGGAGGCCACGAGGGCTACCTCCTCTACTAATTCCCCACCAGGATTAATCGCTTGCTCAGAAAGGCGCGCCGACCCTCCCGTCTACGAATGTTCTGCAGTGCGCAGCATAGCAAGACTACCCGAATGCATACAAGTACGTCGTATGCGCGTGAGTGGACTGGCCCAGAGGCTTAGCAGGCGCTGTGGCATGGTGGATGTGCGAGGCTGTGATTGGTGGTATATGATTGGCCAATATCGTCGGGCGGCTATGGTGAGCCACGCCAGATGGCAACGCAGAAACAGGGAGGGAGGGGTAGGGCTCCCACCAAGGCGAAATGGGGGGCAAAGCCGCCTGAAGGTGTCGCGAGCCGCCGTACATAACGCGATGTAGCTCGTGGAACAGCTGCATACCTGAGGAGAGGATTCTGCGTTGATGAGCTTGACGTTTCCTTGACCTGTCACTTCTACGAGGATAGAGTGCAAAGGACAATAAAAAGAACAAAAAGAAACAAAACAAAATGCCCCTCGAACCATCCTCGGCAGACTACTGGCAAGGCGTGCCGGACGACCGTGGCAACGTGCTGATCATCGGCATCGACTTTGGCACGACGTATTCAGGTGTCGCTTGGGCCACGCCGTACGACTTTGAGCAGGAGCAGATCAACCTGATCCACAGCTGGCCCGGCATGGGTCTAGAGAAGGGCAAGGCGCCGACGGAGCTCTGTTATGAGGACGGCCAGGTCTACTGGGGCTACGAGGTGCCGGCGGACGCGGACGCGGTCCAGTGGTTCAAGCTGCTGCTATTGCGCGAAGACGACCTGAGTCCAGCCCTGGCCAACTCGGAGCATGTGCGGCGCTGTCGCCGGATGCTGCACGACCAGGCCAAGACGCCGGTCGACCTGGTGGCGGACTATCTGCGGCTGCTCTGGGCCCATGTGCTGGACACGATCAGCCGCGACCGGGGCGACGCTGCTGTGGCGGGCATGCGCCTGCACGTCGTGCTGACGGTGCCGGCGATCTGGCCGGGCTATGCTCGTCAGCGGATGGAGGAGGCGGTCAGTCAAGCGGGCATCCTGGACGCCCGACCGGCCGGTCCGACCGAGCTGACGCTCGTCACCGAGCCCGAGGCGGCTGCCCTGGCCACGCTGTACAACAGCGCGACGGCGTGTCGGCAGGGCGACGTGGTGATCATCTGCGATGCTGGCGGCGGGACGGTGGACCTCGTCTCCTACAAAGTGACGCGCCGCTCGCCGCTCGTCATCGAAGAGGCCATCGAGGGCGTCGGCGGGCTCTTTGGCAGCATCTTCGTCGACGAGGCCTTTGAGCACATGTCGCAGCGCCGGCTCGGCCCCAAGTGGGATAGCCTCAGCAAGGCCGGGGTCAAGGAGCTGGTCCGGGGCGAATGGCAGCAGGTGATCAAGCCGCAGTACAAGCACATGGCCAACTCCCGGCGCCAATACACCGTCGGGATCCCGGCCGAGGCGTTTGCGTCCAAGGCCGAGCTGAACGACGTCAGCCGGGAGCCGCACATCAAGATGGGCCGTTTCCATCTGACCGGGTAGGTCTGTCTCGTTTCTCTCCTCGCTTTTCGAGCGTCTCCCTGACAGTTACAGCGACCAGATCGAAAAGCTGTTCGAGTACTCCTTTGACGGCATCGACAGGCTCATCGACGAGCAGATCAGCGCGATCAAGGCCACAAAGGACCTATCCGTCTCGGTATGTCTAGCTGCCATCGTGAGAGGCCGTTGCTGACAGTCCAGGACATCATCCTCGTGGGCGGTCTGGGCGGCAGTCCGTATCTCCACCAGCACCTGAAGGAGCGCCATGGCTCCGACATCAACGTGCTGCAGTCGACGGGAACGAAGCCGTGGACGGCCATCTGTCGTGGCGCCGTGTACAAGGGCTGCTACAAGACATTCGTGGCCGGCGGCGAGGGCTACCGGCCGCTGCCGGTCACGGTCGCGTCGACGGTATCGCGCTTCTCGGTCGGCCTCTGCTTCTCGCAGCTGTACAGCGAGGCCTACCACCGGGAGGAGGACCGGTACTACGACGAGAAGGAGGGGGTCTACTTTGCCGGGCGCCAGATGGAGTGGTATCTGCGCAAGGGCAGCTCGGTCCAGGCGATGACGCCCATCCGCCACGACTTCTATCTGCTCGTCAACGGCCCCAAGACCGAGTGGACGCGCGAGCTGTATCTCTGCAACAGCGCCGACGCGCCGTCACGCAAGGGCGACGGCGTGGAAAAGATGTGCGACCTCACCTGCAACTTTGCTTCCATCGTCGACCGCCTGCCCTACTACGAGTCGCCCAGCGGGCAGATCTTCAAGAAGTTTGCCTACGAGATCGTCATGATTCCGTCCGGCGCCTCGGTCGAGTTTGCCGTCCTGTACCAGGACCAGCGGCTGGCCAGCAAGGAGGTCAAGGTGTGTTTTGATTAGGGATCGGCCAAGGTGGTGGACCAGCCCCGCCAAATGGTCCGTGCGCGGATGCCTATTAGTAATGCCCCACGTGTGATGTCGCCATGAAGCAAACGTTCTCTCCGTCTCTAACAGCAAGCCGACTTTTGGCTCCGCTGCGACAGCCTGATCAGCAATCGGACATGCGACAATGCAGTCGCCTACCCAGAAGCCATAGCGACGGAGCTCAGACAGTTCCAGCCCTCACACGGCTCCCAGCTTTCGCCCCAACACCCCGCACTAAGATAGCTCGCCGGGAAGAGGGATTTACTGCCCGCGAGGCCAACCAGGATGGCCACACGGTACCGACACCGGCAGGACTAGGCCTCTGACGGCACGGCATTGGCGGATGTTCGATTTGACGTTTTTGTTGGGTGTGCTTCGAGGCCGACTGTTGTCTGACTGCCTCCAGGCATCTGCCTTTCCAGTCCATTCTTTCCTGATTGGCTTTCTCTGTTGGCTTCTTCTCCTGCTGGCTTCGTCTCTGGTTATCTTTGATCCTCCTCCTACTACGTCTTCCTCTATTCCCTGTTCTATCGTCTGCCGTTCCTCATTTGTCATCTCCGTCTCACAAATGGTCACGCGACACATCCGCTATGCCTACCGAGAATCCGGCCTCGCTTCCGTCTATGCCACTGGCCGCGATGCCTGGATCATCATCCTTGCGCGCAGCCTGCGCATGTTTGCCTACGGAGCCAGCAGCCTGATTCTGGCCCTCTTCTTTGCCGCGCTGGACGTATCGGACGAGCGTATTGGCCTGTTCATGTCGCTGACGCTGGCTGGTGACGTCGTGCTCTCGCTCGTGCTCACCTTTCTGGCCGACCATTTTGGCCGTCGCCGCACCATCCTGCTCGGTTCCGTTCTCATGGCCGTCTCCGGCCTGGCTTTTGCTTTTTGCGAGAATTACTGGCTGCTGCTGATGGCCGCGATTGTCGGCGTCATCAGCGCCAACGGCGGCGACTTTGGACCCTTTCGCGTCGTCGAGGAATCCATGCTGTCCGAACTGACCGATCCGAACACCCGCGCCGACGTTTTGGTTTGGTACGTCACCGTCTCGGCTCTCGGCTCGTCTGTCGGCACTGCCGTCGCCGGCCATGTCATTCATCGTTTGCACAGCGGCCCGGCTGCTTGGCCGCTGCTGCGCGTCTATCACCTCTGCTATCTGGCCTATGCCGTCACCGGTGCCCTCAATCTCGGCCTCAGCTTGGTCTTGTCGTCGCGCTGCGAGCTGCAGAGTCGTCACAATGCCAACAGCACCAGCAGCAGCTCTGAAGATTTACGGCTGACTAATCAGACCGCCGGCCGTCTCGACCTCCTCGGATTCCTTCTCGGTCGACTCTGCCAAGGCACCACGCGATATCCACGACTACACTCTCGGCCACACGCCCGACCACACATACGATGATAGTGACAATGACGACGACGACGACGAGCAGCTCGCCACCCCGTCGCCGTCCAAGAGCCGCTTCAGCCAGATCTCCAGCCAGACCCGTCGCACTCTCTATGCCCTCTGGTTCCTGCTCATGGTCGACTCGCTGGCCGACGGCATGGCTACCATGCCCCTCACCACCTACTACCTCGACACCAAGTTCCCCAAACTTGGCAAGAACGCCCTCGGCAGCATCCTGTCGGCCAGCTACTTCCTCGCTGCCTGCTCCTCGATCTTTGCCGGTCCTCTCGCCCGCTACATCGGCCTTGTCAACACCATGGTCTTCACCCATGTGCCTTCGTCTGCCGCCGTTCTGCTCTTTCCCTGGCCCGCCAGCGTCTGGCTCACCTGCGTCCTGCTGCTCGTCCGCGTCGGCCTCAACAATCTCGACCAGGCTCCGCGTGCCGCCCTCATCGCCGCCATCGTCCGTTCTGAAGAGCGAACTGCCGTCATGGGTGTCACTAGCCTTCTGCGTACCCTCGCCTCCACCACCGGACCCTCCCTCACCGGCCTCCTCGCTGGCCATGACCGCTTCTGGATCGCTTTCGTCGTCTCCGGGGCCCTGCGCCTGGCTTACGACTTCGGCCTTTTTGCCATGTTTGTCAACATCCGCCTCTACCAATACGAGGCTGTGCCCAACGCCACCGCTGCTGCCGAGGCCGACAGCGAGCTCAGCCGCAGCACGCGGGATGTCCTCGACGAAGAGGAGAGCATCGGCTGAGAGGATGACCCACCGCCTTTTTCCACTTATCTCTCACACAGGTTACTTTTCTTCTTCTTGCCGCGTGCTGTATACGACTTGGACGAAAGGCGTTTAGTGTGCTTTGAATTTCCTGCCCCAGATAGACCAAAAAACGGGCCTCGACAACCCTTACAAGGCGAGACATGTCTTGCATCCGAGTACTATGTACGGAGAACTTCCCCGTAGTACATTTTTAAGCCGCACTTCTTTCCACATCCCACATTAGCATGTACTGAAATGGAAAAAGAACATGTACCCTTGCTTTCTACCCCGTACGGATACATGACCGACAGGGGAGATCATCCTTCGCCACTGATTATTGGGATTCAGTATTGCAAAAGTGGGTCCGGAGGAAATGGCGTGTCCTTCGTATATGCAACAGCTGGAAGCTTTTTCTTTATTCATCTTGCCGTGAAAAGCGGAGAGAATGTTGTATTCGCAGGGGTGTGTGGACAAGGCTGAAATGTCTGACAGCAAACGAAGCCGGATTCGGCGGAAAACTCCGTCTGGACATCCTCAAGCGGCTCTGCAGCCGTAGAGGCTGATGCTGACGACATAATGATGACTGCATGAAAGGGAAAGAACTGCCAAGTCGCCGAGGTAAGAGCCACCCTGAGCCGCCCTCACGCGACTCGAGTTTGAAAGCCTAAACCAAAATAGGATATCTAGGACCAAATATCACCAATCGTACGTCGTGCATCTTCGACACCTACAGAGCCGACAAATCGACAACGTACAATGGCACTGTCCCATCACTACTGCAGAGCCACCTCATCAGAGCTGCACAACGCCCCACTGGACCAACCTGGCTTTCCTCGTTCGGTTGACAGTGGACGGCTGAACTCTTCGGATGGAGACGTGATCAGCATTTCGTCAGCAAGGGCCTGTCTGGCCTGCTTCGTCTGGGTTTGGCCGTCTGTCTGTCGCCAAAGAAAGTATAAACGGCTATTTGATTCGTGCAGGTTGCACCCCCTTCTCCTTTTCGCGGCAGCCCCTGTTCGTTAGTCTATTCTCTCGGCCGCACACTAATACGACGTATGCACTCCAAGATGACAATGCTCGGAAACACCGCTCTTGGTGCATACTCTGTATACAATATCATGACATGCAAGGCTGGCTCCAGCCGCAATTCATGTCCCGTCGAGTAGCTTTCCCTGAGCCTATTATGCTCTAGACGTTCCGGGCATCTGTATAAGAGCAGACGACCTGCTCTCGTTGCCCATTCACTTGTGTGCAGATACACACTCACGCTGCTGGATCTCATTTCCCGGCCTTTCTCCAGATAAGATAACATCGACAGGCAAAAATGCTCACCCAGCCAACATACGCCGGCCCAAGCGGTGCCAGTTCTGGCTCGAAAATTGATTCGGCCAGCCACCATTCGATGTACGGCAACCAATTTGAGGTCGAAAAGCAAGGCTGTCTCTCGTCCCTACCTCATGAAGAAAGAGAAATCAGAGATCACTTGTCACACTATTTTGGATGCATAGAAATTGGGGAAAGGAAAAACTTCTTTGAGAATGAAGAACTCTGGAAACAATTTGAAAATCCAGATGAAAAAAAGAAAACCGTGGCTGCCAGTATCCTCACACAGCTCAAACGCATACGAGTCTTACGTCAAGCAGTTGGTGCCAAGACTGGAGATCAACTGGAAGATGACGACCGTGTCAATCACAAGTCAGCCCCGAGCCTTGTGGACAACATCACAAAGAGTCATGAAGCGTGGTTCAACTCTAAAGAATGCAAGTATGGGATCGAAAAAGTTCGCGCTTGGAGACAATCGAAACCGAAACGGGAAACTGGTGATAGTCAGACCGCCAACGCGGGCCCCAAGGGAAGCGCAAACAATCACGAACAGGACAAAAAGGAGTGGCAGGATATTGAGAAAAATATCGGCCTACTGGAAAGGTCGAGCATCGAAAAATACGATTTGGAGAAAGACGTCAATTCTTATATCATAAGGTTCAAGAAGAAGGATGGTTACCATGGTCATTCTGGCCTTGAACTGTGCGACTTTGGGCAGTCTGAGAAGAGCGAACATATCAAGGGTCACTGTCCTGACCAGAGGATTGCACTGAAATACCTGCTCCAGGACAATGAAATCATCGGCAGGAATATAATGAAAAAAGACAGCAACGAGAACGGTAGCAACACGAAAAATCAAGAAAGCCAAACGGACAATGCTAACACCGAGGGCGGAAGCAAAACCCCCAACTCTCAAGTTTCTGAGAGCACCACGGCTGACGACAAGGAGGAAAACTGCAAAAGGGCCAATGACAAGAAGGCCAAGGGCAGTAGCAACAGGGACAAGCAGACTGACGTCCGCTACATACATATACCGGCCAACAACATGCATGCAAGTTTTCCCTCCCTGGCACATTCCCAGTCCCTGCTATGTTTGCTAGTAAACTCTCTAACGATATTCAGTGGGTTGAGGTAAGTTCAAGAGTAACAAAAAATATTCTCACCGTTACACTCTATTCGCTTTGGCAGCGCTGACTTAAACGCAGAGCCTTATTGCACGGTACTACGGCGAGGAAGGCGACATATTTGGCGAGAAAGGGGAATCATCAAAGGATTCCGAGGCAAAAATGCTGCTTCGGCCCCAATACTGGCGTGGCCAGCACCACGGGACCGGGAGCAGCGCGGTTCAGGCTCGCCACATGAGACCCATTTGCGAAACGGTGTCATCTGGTATGTCATTGAAAGTCCGCGGTTCCCACATTTGTTAACCAAGTACAAGATCCAAAGAGGGCAGAGGAGGTCGCCAAGAACATGGTGTTATTTGTGAGAGAACAAATCCCGAATCCCATGTATCGTGCTTCCAAAGCGGCCTCGCTGATGGACTGATTAGATGCCATATCTGCATTGGGAGGCCGACAGGAAGCGCGAAGCTGTGGCGCAAATGATAGACGAAAAAGTCGGTAAATTTCACAAACACAGAGACAAGGAGAAAGAGGACGAGTTGAAGGCACGATTAGATGAGCGCAGAGGCCTCGACCGAGAACTTCTTGAACCACGTTTGAACTTCCACCACTTACTCAATGCGGACGAGAAGTACGCCGTGCCTGAGGTGTATAAGCAAAATGTCCAACGGACTAACTACAACCCTGTGGATCAAATTGAGAACGCAACAATGGGGCTTCTGGGAAAGCAGAAGCACAACCGGATCCATGTGGACACAAACGGTCGTATAAAGAATAAGCTGGGACAGTTTTTGCTGGACGCCGCACGTCTGTCCGAAGCCATAAGCAATCACCGGGACAGGGAGATGATTAACAATTTCCTTTTCCACAAGGCCCCACTGCATCCACGGAGAACTCTGGACCAGGCTCACTTCTGGACACTGAAATCGACACGAACTAGGGATCGCGACCAGGTCGTCTACCGTGGCACCAGCATAGATCTTGAAAAAGCCCACCGGCTGAAGGAGGTCCCCAGAAAAAGGAGCAACTGCTGGACGGCTTTCAAGAAAATGGCTGTACCCGGAAGAAAAGACGACGGGTCAGAAATGAAATGGACATACACACACGACTCCCGGTGTCCAAGTCAGAAATCCGACAGAGATTCTAGCATGACTCGCAAGCTGTCATATTCCCTGTCGGCAAATAAGTGCTATGAAGGCGACAATAGAGAAGACGTCACTGCGGAAGCCCAAGCGCCTGCACCGAAATGCTTTAGCAGCAATACCAAGGCTGCTGCCAACGGCTCAAACCAAAAGAAAGCCGCAGAAGAATTTCGGCGATGTGAGCAATGTCGTGACAACATTCGCAAAGTGTCACGCGTCGTCATGGTTGACCAGCTGTGGATGTGGATTTTGGATGAGAACACCATCATCACCTGTTTCCCACGACGATATGGCGTGAACAAGAGGGACGAAACCGGCGTGCACAAGTCCATCCGGGAACGTTTACAAATGGCTCGCGAGTATCAGTTCCGCTCTGTCTACGACATTGCCCTCTTGATTCTTGACGAGTGTTCCAATACGTTCTTCGATCGAACCAAAACTAGTGTAGGCTTGGCATTTCACGCGCGGTCATGGCAGAAGGAAGGCGGCAAGATGACGGCTGACGAACGCATAGGAAATCCTTCCACATGTAATGGACATATTCTCAGAGGCCATAGGCAATGCGGTAAGTGCTTTCCTTTGATGTCAGAGAAATAGCGGGCAAGCGATCTGATACCGCTACAGGCATACAAACAAACGACTTTGTTCCAGCACTTGTGGCATTGGACAGAGGAGGCCTCTAGAATGTACCGGACGAAGGCGTACAGTAATGAATTGAATGGCGTATACAAGGGCTTGCTTGACATCAATCCCGAGGGGAAAATCCAGCGCGAGATCAAGGACATCATAGAGGAGCTTGATATCATGCTACACTTTCACCGCAAGCAGTGCGAGATTGTCAAGCGGTTTCACAAACACGTGCGGTATATTTTGGACCCGAAGGGCTTCAAACAGTTTGATGGTTTGTATCTGGCCGATGAGGATCCAGAACCCCAGGCCGATGAGGATTTACAACCCCAGCAGAGTTTCAGCCGCATCAACAGGTGTTTAAAGCCAAATGAAGAAGAAAAGGACGGACTGCGCAAACTGCAATGGTTCCAGACACAATCAATCGAGCTTTTATCTGACATGGGAGATTGGGTCCAGGAGCTGGAGGGCCTGAAGAATTACGCCCAAAGCACGGCACAGAGCGTATGCATCTTGAGTCAATCACAGGGCAGTGTCTCGCAATGCTAATGCATTTCACAGGTCAACGACTTGCTAGCTCTCAAGCAGCAGCAGGCCAGCGTTGTCCAAGCCTGGCAGGCGGTGCAGCAGTCGGAGGAGACTGTTAAACAGGGCAGGGCCATCATGGTGTTTACTATAATCACCATCATTTTTGTAAGCCTCGTTTGGTGCGGATGTCGCAAATTCTTAGTTCTGCCAGCTAACCCATACAGCTGCCGCTGTCGTTCATGTCCAGTATTTTCGGCATGAACAACACTCATGGAACCGATGGATGGACTTTGCGTAAACAGTTTCGACTGATGTGTGAGTTATTTCTCGTGTCCGTTTCCGATAGTGTTTGACCACAGCCAATTGGCTCTGACACATCAAACACAGTCTCCATCTCCGTAGCCATTATCCTGCCTGTTATAATGCTGGCATACAGCAGTTTGATTCGGTCCATCATATGGTCTCTTTGGAGAGTTGGGTCAAACTATGTCTTCGTCAAGCTGCATATCTACTACGTCTGGCTCGGTCTTCGCGATAAATGGGCTAGCGACAATTTAACTCGGCGAGCGGATGAGAAAGTGCTGAAGCTGCGCAAGAAGGAAGAGAAACAGAGGCAGATAGACTTGAAAAAACGCAGAGAGATTCAGAGGGTGAAAGAGAAAAATGAGAGAGAGAGAAAAGAGAAAGAAGAGAGAGAGAAAAAAGAGAAAGAAGAGGCGAGAAGGAACGCAAGCGCGAATAACCAGGCGGCCATAGATATTGAGGCACAGGTGGTTAGTCGTGCGTAATGCTTTCGTTGGTTGTCTTCATTTTGTCCATCGCTTTTTAGGATATAGTTTATGAAAAGGCCGTTATCTCATAGTTTGTTCCGCTCTTTCACGTTGGTATGACGGACTCTTTATCAATCGGCATGGCGTCTCTGGCCTGTGGAGGCTTTAATACTTTTTGTTCAGCGCATTTCGAACTGCCTGAAAACGATTTGACCAGTATCAGGCCAAGCAGGTAGATCTAACCTTCCGAGTTAGACGATCTGGAAACACGTGCATGTCACTATAATTATCAAAGAACCAGCGAAGATCACCGCCGAGTAAATAAAAGGCTGATCAATGGGCATTCGTGCCTATGTAGTTCCATTCGAATCTACTTGTCATTATTGGTACAAATAGTAAACAGCACCGTCGTAAAGGTGCAAACCATGTGGCACATCCCCTTCTATCTCTAATTTCTCAGTGTGTGTGACAAAACGTAATTACATGATCAGCTTGCCGCCATGGTACTTGTGGCCACGGCCGTAAGTGGAAGAGGCAGCGGCCACAGAGTCCAGGGTCCGCTTAGGGAAACCGTCAAAAGAGATGGCATAGGTGGCGACGGAGTGGGCGACAAGCTTCGTGTTAAGCTCCCAGGCGGTCAGGTTAACATTGGCGACGTCGTCGCAGAGCTGGTGGTAGCACGGATCGTACCAGTCGCCAGCAGTGCCGCCAAAGAGCGCAGCCTCGTCCTTAGTCTTGATGCCCTCGGCACCAGTGGCGATTCCACCGGCGGGTATACCGGCACGAATGAAGCCGTCGTAGTCGCTGCGGCCGTCAAAGGGGATGAGCGAGTAGTTGAGTCCCTGAGCGGTGTACCAGTCGATGTAGAGGTCACGCAGGGCCTGGGAGCCGGCCGGGTTTTCGCTGTCGAGCGCGTCGTAGACCTGGTAGGCGAAGTTGGGGCTACCGAGCATGTCGTAGTCCATAAAGAGGCGGACCTTGAGGTTCTCGGCCGGCGGCAGCGTGGCGGCATAATAATCGGAACCCAGCAGGCCTTCCTCCTCGGCAGCCCACCAGGCAAAGCGCACGCAATTGTTGACGCGATAGTGCGTCAGTTGTGTGGCAATCTCTAGCAGCGAGAGGGTGCCAGACCCATCGTCGTTGATGCCGGGACCTTCTGGCACGCTGTCGCTGTGGCCACCAAGCATTACGCAGTTGTCCGGGTCGCCTTCAACGGTTTGGGCCAAAATATTGGTCGTGTGGATCGTGCTGACGACCGAGTCCATGTAGGCGATGCTGTCTAGAGAGCTGCCCTTTTTCAGCGCTGCCACAAGAGGGGCCGCGTCGGCGCCCGACAGCCCAAAGGTAGCAACTTGCGTGGCTGTAGGCGTGCCCAGCGTGCCGCTGAGAGGGCCATCCTCACTGTTGTAGACCACGACAGCCACGGCGCCGGCAGCACCGGCGAGCTCCGACTTCTGACCAAACGGACAGTCGCCACGACGGACCAGCGTGATGGCACCAGTCACAGCAGCCGGGTAGTCAGACGCTTCGCAGCCAGTGCCCGTAGCCAGCACCAGAGCACCAAAGACGGGCTTGTTGTCGTGTGTAGGCGGTGTGAGGCTCATGGCCTGGGCCGATGCCGGAACAGAGTCGTTGAGCACGAGACGTGCCTCGTACACCTTGCCGGTAACGGCAGGGAAGGTCTGGTTCCACACGCGGTAGTAGCCGCCCTCGCCACCCTTGCCACCGCCCAACGACGAGACGATCGAGTAAATGTAGTCGAGCGTGCCCGTGTGGCCAGCACTACCGATGACACGCGTCGGATGGCCGTAGTCGGGGATGCCGGCCTGAGCGATGCCGAAGAGCGCCTTTGCGTGGCCCAACAACCGGTCAGCGTTGATGGTCTTTTGGAGGCTAGCACTGTCGACCAGCGGTTTGGATTTGTACTCGACATCGTCGACCTGTAGATCGGCATCGCCCGTTGTGGCCAAAGGCTGCTGCTGGTTTTCGAAGCTGGGAAACCCGAGAGCCGTAGCACTGCCCAGCAGCAGAGCTGTGGCGAGAGGGCCCTTCATTTTGGGGGAAGACGCGGAATATAGGAAGCGAGTGTAGGGGTTTGATAGGAGGAAGAGAGAGAAGCCGATGAACCAAAAAAAGAGGGTGAATTGACGAGGAGAAGAAGAGAGACGAGGAGGACAAGACGGGACAATTGCAGGAAGCTAGAAAAGTCACAAGAGGAAGGAGCTCGACCGAGTCGGCAAGGCAACATTAGGCAGGTGGGTCGTCGTCGGTAGATAAGGAGATGGGCCTTGATAGTATGACGTAAGCACGTGTGATTCGCTGAAATTGCGCAATTGGAGGCGATCTACAAGCGCCGAGGCTCAGCTCTTCCGCGAACGGCGCACGAGGGCATTTCGTCCAGTTCGTGCTCGGCCCAGTTCTCAGCAAGCCGGATATTCTGGTGTAATCAGCCCAATCAGATTCTGCAGGCGGTCCTGGTCTTCGGCATCGCGGTTGTGGCTGCGCAATTGCAGTGCTGACAACGCATTGTCCAGTGGCTCGGCCGTGGCCACAGTGACCAAGTCTGGTTGTGCTGACAGCTTCATCAGGCTTTGCACGGCGAGGATGTCCGGCTCGGCCAGGTGCCGTGCCTGCCGTCGGCTTCTGGTACGTCCGGTTGTCGTTCTTGACAGCGAGTCCATAACCCCACCGATGGCATCCTCGAGCACAGAGCAGTCGTTTCTCAGAAGTGGGAGGCGCTCTGCCATGGCCAACATGGTCGACGAGCAGGCGCGCAGGTCGTTGACAACGGCGGACGACCACAGCCGAGGAGAGATGTAGAGACAGCAGCTGCGAAGTATCAGTAAGAATGGCGGCAGCATGGCTTGAGAGTGGCTTCTGTGGACTGACCAGATGGTGATGCCCGCATTAAAGGCTGCGTGGGCAGTCACGAGCGCATGGGAGTGCAGGCCGCGTTGCAGCATGTGCTTGGCGGCCGAGCAGACGTGACCGGCCGCCTGAAGACATCGAGCGACGAGTGAGTCGGGATCGTTGTCGTCGTCTGGGTGCATGACAAGAAGGAACGGCCGCAGCAGCACAAGAATCGCCTTGTTCCACTGCAGCCAGAAGTCGTCGTTGACGGTTGCAGTCTTGTTGGTGGAAGAGGTGGCAGGCGCCTGCAGCTCGTGCATCCACGCGTCTAGAGCCTCTAGGTAGGGGTGCACTTTACTAAAGCGCATCTCGAGCGACTCGTCGAGCGCGTACATGTCCGTGTAGATGTGCGCCTCCAGCTGCCGAAGCTGCACAAACCGGGCCCACGCAACCAGGTCAGTGTCCTCCTCGCGTGTGAGATTTGCAGAGTTTTCCTGCAGGCTCGGCGGGCGTGTGTCCATGTCGTGCCTCGTCAGACTTAAAGGCCGGCGCAGCCACAGAGCGACGCTATAGTCGAGGCAGAAGGCGGTCCAAAACAGCCGTCGTGTCCGGCTCTGTTCGTCTGGGCTGCTCGAATACGATGCCTCTCGGTGCAGGCCGAGGTCAACGCATATCCGCATGGCCAGTCCCGCGACCTGCCAGACTGCCGTGCTGCTGACCGGCCGAGAATGCAGGCCATACAGCAGCAGCAGCAACAGCGCCTCGACACCGGCCAAAGGTGGCAGCTGTTGCAGTGCCCACAAGCGTGGCAGCGCAGCCTCGTAGTAGTCCTCGGACACCTGCTGCTCCTTGTACTGCTGTGCACCACCAATAGCATACACCATATACAGTCGGAAAGTGTTGAGCTCAGCAACAGGATCGGTCCAGCCGGCCGGGTCGACAATATCGTGCCGCTGTGCGTGCAACTGGAGCAGGTCGGACAGTGTCAGGATGGGATATCGTGTGTGGACATGGTCGAGGTAGGCCTGGACCAAGCCGAAGCCGGCCGTGTCTGTCGGCAGGTCAACGCTGTGCTCCGGAGTCTTATCAATGGCCGATGGCAAGAGCTTGCGCCACACGGATACTTGAACGATGTGCTCCAGCGGGAGGAGAGGCGGCCGGTCTGCGATGCTCTCGGGACTGGGAGATGGCTCGGCCGTCTGGCTGCGACTGGGCTGTCCTTCTGTGGGCGTGTGGCTTGCCGGGCGGCTGCTGGCGGGTGACGGAGCACGCTGGCTGCGACGCATGCTGGCCAGCTCGGCATGGGCACTTTCGAGCTGGGCCTCGAGGGCGCGGATTCGCTGCATGGCAGCGTAGTTGTCGTCACGCTGATGCAGCTGGACGGCAAAAGCCGACTGCTCACACGGCTCGTTGGCCCGCTCGCAGTTGGTGCAGATGGGAAAGCCGTAGCATCGCTTCTTGCGCTTGAGGCAGCGCTTGCATGACTTGGACTGGCGCTTATGGCTGTTGCTGGCGCCACTGCCGCCGCCAGCACCAGCGCTGTTGAGACTCATGATCGCCCAGGGCTGTGTGTGAGCCGAAGCCTCCTCGCGGATGAGAGACTTTTCGCTGCAGGCGCATGTGTCGTTCGTTTCTGGCCGGATCGACTCGACACAGTCGGCAGAGACCGTGCACACGACGAGTACAGGTCGGAGCTATGTCGACAGCAGAAAGCAGATGCGTGTACCGTGATTCGCGTCGAAAAAATCCAAAGTATACCTCTGTCCTCCGAGAGGACACCGTCGGAGAACCGACCGAAGACTTAGCACCGCTGCAGGGATGACGTGATCAGCAGCAATGGATCCATTCGCATTCGTGACTTCCCACATTCTGTCGTGGACACCAGGTGGGACCTGCTGGCAGCCTGGATTCTTCGGGGCCGAGAGAGAAGGCGCGACGGACAGCCCACTGAGCTTTTGGACAAAACGGAAGCTCCTCCTTCCTGTCTGTGGTAAGATATCTTATCTTGCTATTATTTCGTCGCTGTCCGTTCGGCTTCCGACCCTGTCTTGGATGTGAGGCTTCCTTTTGGCGTCAAGATTCGCCTTTATAGACCGTGCATATAAGCAGGCCCGAGCAGGGCAGCTTGGTCGTATGTTGCGATGGTGAATTCCCGCTGACTACGGCGGTTCTAGGAAAGGAAGCTGTCTCACAACGGTCGCTTCAGGTCCCCCATCGCTTTCCAGCAAGTGCCCATCCTCGTATTCACACAGTTTGACAGATGGCGTTCGACAGCTTGTGAATGACGCCATCGAGAGTGGATCCCATTCTTGCGTCTCATAGGACGATATCAGCAGCGCAGTATTCAGTTCGTAGACCGTTTTGTCGGCTTTGCGACAGACTTGTCTAGGCGTGTGTCGCCTGAGTGTCTAGTGTGGCTGTGAAGTAAGATGGTGCTGGCATATCTGCTGGTTGTTTTGTTTGCCTCTGACAGTTTGGTAGTCGGACGGCGAGACTTGAAGCCGGACCCACTTGTATATCGTCAGCGATGACCTCTGCACACGTAAGCGCATATTAATTTTGAGCCGCGCCGCAATCTATGAATATCCTGCTTTACTCCGTACTCCGTATTTCAATCTGGTTCTGCTCCACTGTATGCGCAGTCCTGTTCCCAACGCCGGATTGCACAGCCAAACCCGCAATGCATGGCTGGCAGGATCTCGTTCTCGTTTCTCTTTTTATCAGTCGCGTTTGCATTCTTGACAGGCCACTATGGCGCTAAATGCAAAATGGCCAGCCCCGATCCCTCTTATCCCAATGGCGTCAGCTCGCCCCGAAACGGTCGCTGCAGGTTTTGAATCTTGGTCTCGTCAACGCGCCACACGCCCATGGTCTGCTCGTCGTGCAGTTGCAGGTCGAGGCCGGCGGCGAGGCGGTGGAACGTGTCGCGCGCGGCTGTGGCTTTAGGGCAGGGTGCTTCTGCGTCGTCGTGACTGCTGCTGCTGCTTCGAAACAGCAGCGGCTTCCAGATGGTGCCGTTTTTGGCCTCGTGAGCGCGCATGCAGCGTTGGGCCTGTTCGATGCGAGACTTTTCGGCCACGACGTGGCTGAGGTCGCCGCGGACGATGCCGTCGATGACAGGTGCCCAGGCACGACGCGACTCCCACGGATCTTGTGCTTCGGGCGGCGACAGCTGGATGGCGACCGGTGCGTTTTCGACGGCGTCGACCTCGTAGCGCTCGAGCACCTGGCCGGTCCGCGCGTCTGTGGTGGTCCAGCCCTGGCTCCAGACGCCCTCGACGATGTAGAGCGTTTCCCGGGCTGTGTTTGTGTTCTTTGTGTTTTTGGCGTGCTTTGCGTGCTTTGGTTTCTTCTCTTTCCCGCTCTTCCCGTTCTTTCCGTCTTCCGGCTCTTCTCCCACCTCCCTTCCCATCACCCGCGCAGTGAAGGCGTTCCTGGTCCCGCCCCAGGCGAGGCCCTGCCCCGAGAAGACCAGCTCGACGGTGTAGCCGCTGCTGGCGACGATGTGGTAGGTGCCGATGATCTCAGGGTACAGGCGGCCGGACAGGAAGCCGCGCACGCGCACGTCGGGCAGCGGCAAGAGGTAGTCCTCGTCGTAGCGGTCGATGTGCACGAGGGCGTGGCCGACCTGGCGTACCTGCACGGAGCCGGCAAAGGTCATCTCGACACGGGCGTAGCCGTCAGCTCGAACGCCGTGGGTCTCGTCGGCGAGGTGCATGGCCGTGATGGGCGGATGGTGGCTGACCTGTTCGGCCACAAGTCGTGTTGTGAAGGAGGAGGGGGTGCTGCTGCTGCTGCTGCTCCTCTCGTTCGTCCACTCGGCCAGAAAGAGCTCGCCCAGAAACGCGTTGAGCGGCTTCCGGATGCTCGTCTTGGTCGACCCGCCCACGTACACCTGGCTGCGCAGGGCGATCAACATCATGCGCAGCACCAGCAAACAGCGGCGCTCGGCACTCGACTCGAGCGCGGGCGCGGCAAACACGGCCGGTCGCTGGCCCCAACAGTGGCCAACCTCGACAACGGACGAAGGCGCCAGCAAAAGGCTGGCGGTCCGGTCACGTTGGAGAGATCGCCCGTGGTGGTCGAGAGGAACTGGACGGCGAGTTAGTGCTCGCGAGTTCTACTCAGAAACCTGCTGGGAAGCAGAGATCCTCGATGTTCTTGTACTGACCTGCAGAAGCTCCTTGCAGCGGGAAGCAATCGATCGATTGTCCATGTTGGCTGGCGGTTTCGTTAATGCGAAAGAATGGAGAGGTATGGAGTATATCCCGTTGGAATAAAAAAAGAATAGAAGACGAATACATATATAACTCCGAAGCACTACTTCCTGATTCTCCCCTGTTTCACTGCACCGTCTGCAGCTTGGCCGTCCTGCAGGCGAGATAGAGATCATGGTGGCAGTGCAGCTCTGGCAGCTGTCGAACGAACTAGGCCTGAAAGGGTGGGGCGTGAAGACTTGTGCCGATACATGAAGTGTGTGGCGCACGGCCCAATTTAGCTACAGATTTCGTGCACGTTGGCATAGCTTGGAAGTACCCCGTACCTGCCTACAACACACAGGGGCACTCCTAATTTGACAGCGGCTGTGCGGGCGACTGTTGGCCCGTGCTAGGCCTAACTTTGGAGCTATCGGGCCAACAGTGCAGGTCGTGTGAGAGCTAAAAACAAAGTCTAAATAACAGCATCGACTCCATCACGCAAAGTTCACATAATCCCACTCAGCACAGCCAGGATCTCAAAGCACACATGTAGCTTAATTGTCGACTTCTTCTCTGCAAGGCCACCTGGCCATACTCTCCCAATCAGCGTTTGTTCTCACTTTGCTGGCCTTGCACTGCCTGCTCGACAAAGCCGAGAAGCGCGTGGGCATCGTGTGTCGCCTGCATCGTCTCGTCTATCAGCCGGTGATGCTCCAGATGGCGCTGTGCCCAGTGCCTTGCCGCCATGCCGTCGTCCGCCCGGAAGGAAAACTCCACGGCCAGCCGGCTGGTGCGCACGTAGTAGTCGGCGAAGCCCTGCGTCTCGACATAGGCCGCCAGCTCGGCAGCATTGCGAGCCAGTTGCTGCACCCGCTTCTGTTTCTTCTGCTTCTGCTTTTGCGTCTGCTTCTTCCGTTCGTCATCGGCTGCTGCTGCCTCTTCGCGTACTGCAGCCTCCAAGTCGTCTAGAACAGCTCCCATGTAGATGCGGTGGCCGTCGTCTGTCCCGTCGCCAGCTCCATCCCTCTCGCCCGCCAGACAGGCCACACAGCTGCAGTGGAAGCCGTACTGAATCAGCCGTCTTTGCCGTGTCGTCGTGTCGGCTAGCAGCGGCACGTACGTCGTCAGCAACTCCTCACCGACGGCAATGTCGCGCGTCGCCATGATCACCCGGCGGCCAGCCACATCCGTGTTGAACACGTTCGGCCGGCAATCGTGGTTTACCAGCGCCGCTTTGGGGTAGATGGCCACGCGGCCGTCCTGCGTGTTGTAGCCGTTGCTGCGCAGAATCCGCATCAGTCTGCGGCCGTGTGTTTCTTTTTCTTCCTCGCTGCGCTTGTTTCCCTCTTCATCCTCGCTTCTCCTTCCCTCACTCTCTTCTCCTGCCAGCTGCACCTCGTGCAAAGAACGAAACTCGACCTGCTGGGCCGTGCTGAGTCCTGCAAACGCTTCCTCCACCACAGGCTGCATGCTCGACAGCGAGAACCCAACACCCGGAACCAACGGCGGTGGCGAGACCACAAATAGCGGTTGCTCCTCCAGCAGACGCGTCCCCCGCACAATGTCCACCACCGCAAACATGCCGCGGCCTTTTCCTGGCGACGGCCGCACCTCCCACAACCCGTGTGCCTCTGCTGGCCGGTAGCCTGGCACACCAATGCTCTCATGGTCACGGCTGCATGTCTGCTGCAGTGCCTGTTTCCCCGTCAGTAACATGCTCTGTTTAACACCTGCTGGAGGCCTGTCCGACTTACAGGGATGAGAGCTGCTGGTTCCGACGCTGCGCATATCGGAGGAGCAGTGGCCAAGGACACCCGGTTGGCCTCGTGCGAACAGCTCTGCGGGCCTTCAGCCACTGCTGTCTCCTGCAGCACCACTGCAACGGCTGTCCATATCTGCACCCAGTACATGCCTGTAATCATTCCCATGGTTCATGCAATTCCAAACAATTGATTCAAATATCGCCAATGCTACTGAAGTTCGCCTCTTAGTGACCGACAAAACCCATACAAAAGGGGTGGCTCAGCTCTTAGTTTCATCTTGTCCTGATACGAAACAAGTTGCCCGTGCGGATTTGCAAACCCCTGAATACCACCACAAGACAGAATCAAGCTTGGTCTTTTGATGATCTCGTTCTCGTCGCCTGACTCTTTTATTCATCATAGTTTCCTGAATTCTGTATGGAGCTGAGATTAATTATACTTTTTAGCGCACGTCAACTCCACATGACCCAATGTCTCAGTGCCAGTGGCTGCCTCCAGTGTGTCACGACACCAATTTTCCAGCGGTTGTGCCCGCTATGTCGCCTAGTTCTAGGCTGCCAACGCGCTGTTGCAGCCCTAACGCAAGCCACGCGACATGTTCATCACGGGTGTCCTCACAACAAGACAGGATGGGCCATATTAGGAAGGAGCACTCTGCTTTCCCTCTCCTTTTTGTTCTTCAGTTTAGAAGTTGTGCTGGTTAACATCATACTTTCCTACAAGAACACCATCTCCATCTCAAGGGAATGTGTGCAGCCAGCGCCCGTCCGCTCCAACCGCTAGGCGACGTCGACGGGAGCGGAAGAAAGAAGAAGGCGAAGAAGCAGCTTGCAGAGCAGTCAAAGCCGCCGCCAAAGGTATGGATGTCCAATATCATCCCGCTCAACCTGGAGGAGAATCCGGCGAGTGGTCGTGGCCGCTACTCTTCCATGAGCGTGCTGGAGCCTGTCATGCGGATCGAGCGTACCGGCGACATCGAGTCGGCGACTAATCCTCCGAGCGGCGGATCCGAGGCCTCATACCGCATCGTGGTCACTTTCATCTTTGAGGTTGCTATCTCAGGATTTGACCAGGGGTGAGTATGGCCAGGCTGACTGGTCTGGCAAGCAGTCGAGCTGACGAGGATTTGTCCAGCTTCCAAAAGCACAACCGCTTCTTCGACTCTGTTTCCCTGCGGTATCTCTTCCGCCACGGCGAGGAGGTCGATCTGCGGCCGCTGTCCGACTCTGCCCAACACGGTATCACCGTCACCAACACGCGAGACAAGTTGAACTCCATCGACGCCGGCATGTCTGCTGGCATGGTCACTGCCGTGGCACCCACGCTGAGTGTCCAGGCCCAACGCGACTTCAAGCTGACCTACCAACGCAGCATGAACAGCTGGCGCATGGGTCTCTCCTTCGAATCCTGTGAGCAGTCCAGCCTCGCGAACGGGAGCCAGCGTGCGCTGACTCTGTCCAAAGACCCTGTTCCAAGGCCGGAACGATCATGTCTGCCGTTGACATCCATTCTGGCTGCTCACCTGGTATCCAGACAGCAAGCACGACCGAAGCGAGACCGGAAAATCTACAGCTCTTCTGGGCAGGACCTGCGACAGAAACACTTCTTTCAGGTGCTGTCACCTCACAGACAGGACTGCCATTGTCGGCCAAGCCGGCATAGCGGTTGTCCACTTAAATATCGCCACCAGCGCCGCCACCAATATTACAACCGTGCCGCCCACTGGTTCTGGCAGACCGAGGCTTCTCTACGCCTGTGGACGCCCGAGATCTACAGCAGCTTCCGCTGTCCCATTACTGTGATGCGTGAGGTGCCCGTGGCCGTGGCCGACAGAGTGCGCCGCATCGAAGACTTGCGGCCTCTTCTCCACTTCGACTTTGAGGTCGACACCCGTCTGCGTGTTCTCGGCTGTGGCCTCAACTTCTTCAAGAACGCCGTCAAGCCAGCCGAGCTCCGTGCTCAGACCGACACGGGACAGCAGCTGCCCGGAGATCACGTCCGCTTCTGCATCACCTGCTGCGCTGAGAATATCAGCTGGCCGCAGCATCCGACACGAAATCTACAGGCCGAGGCCGAAGAGGTATGGCCGAACGGACGGACCACTTGTTTTCTTGCTAGATCTCTAACACTCCATAACAGGCTCTCGGACCTGGGCCGAACCCGAGACGGCTGCAGACAAACGAAGAGTTTAGCGTTTCTCTCAGGCAAAGAGGCGTGAAGCGGACACGCACTGCACACAGCCGTCTGATGGACGATAGCAGTTCCCGCTCTCCTCTTTTCGAACGCTTCAATTCACCATTCCAGCAGCTGTCTTCCTCCTTCAGTTCTCACCAATCATCGCTGCCTCACGGGCCATCATTCTCAGGGGACTTCGTGTTAGGGGCCGACAGACTACCGCCGCCTACCGTGGCCGACGTGGAGATTTCGCCAGCCTGCTCGCGACGATGCTTCGTGCCTGATCGTGGTTTATTGCGGCGTGACGGCGGCGCGGCAAATGCCGGCTCGACACAAGCACCGCCGAAGCTTGTCGCGGACGATTGGAGGTGGACGCCAGCAGGTCGGTCACCAGAGAGGATAGATCTGCACAACGTTGAGGAAGCCTATCAGCGGTCCGATCACAACCCGAGCAGCGCTGACCGGAGACGACATTATCGCACAAGTGAGGACAAAGGCCCTAGGCCGGTGCTCCGAAGACGGACGAGTTTGGAATTGCTGCTTGCGCGAGAGCGGAGAAGGAGCCCAGATGGTCATAAAGATACAGAATGGAGGCGGGAAGGACATGAGCCCCCAAATTCAGGAAGGCAACAAGTGCGCTTTCAGCCTTCGGAATATACAGATAGTAGGCGATAGCCAATAAGAAAACAGAGTAATAATATCACGAGCCTACCGTCAGCAGCCGAACACGGTGCAGCCTTCGACAGTGGCTCACAATCCGGTGTCGAAGCCACCGCTAAGCCTGCAACCAGGTGTGTGTGCACCACACAGGCTCGGAGCTGTAGGTTGCGAAAGCAGGGTGGAAATAGCCATATGTGCAGGCTACAATAAGAATGCAGCACAGGATCTTGGAGTGGGTGGTGACGAGAATTGGTGAAAGCAAGGAAAAGAATGAAGAATCCTCCCAGACAGTCTCAGCAACAGTCCACGAGCCCATCCCAGAATCTATTACTTTGGGGTCAGTCAGACAAGATGGCGGGATTAAGTACGTAATGTTATGAATGAGGCGAAATGTGTACTTTGCTTAAATGAAGTCCGGCGTCGGACGAGTCCAATGCAACCCCATAACAACAAGGGTGTTCTGTAGTCAATTTTCGATATCTGTGCTTTTCCTCCAGGTATGGAAGCTGCTTGCAGGCTTACCGCGAGGCGACATGACTGAAGCTCCCGAAGATGGCCGCCTGAGGAGAAGCGGAGACCATTGATGGCAGCCAGCCGCTGGATCTCCTCTTCGTTCCTTTTGCTCCACTTGCTAGCCGTTGAAGTGCCCAGGTCCCAAAAGGCCTTGGCTCTGGGGAAAGCGGGACTGGGGATGCAAACCAAAAGCTTAGCATTTGCTGATCCACACGCACGGGGTCGTGCAAGGACAGTTGATTTGAACGACGGGGGTCCGAAGTGGGTTTGACTCTTGCTCTCCTTTTCTTGATGGGATAAATTCTTGTCACAGATCGGTTCAGCCAAAGCCAGAGACGCTATACTGAAAGCCGATAGGAGTCAACATGGGGGACAACCTCAGTCTGGAAGGCCCAGACAGAATGCGCCTTCCTTGCTCGTGCCCGCAGCAGAACACTTGTCGGGTCAGACACGTTCCCCCGATAATGCGATCCTAGTCCCTGTTGTTGTGCAAAGGTGAGCATCATTTTCTAAAAAAGAAGAAAAAAAGAAAAAAAAAAAAAAAACAAAATCTCTTAATCTCTTGCAGCCCCATCCTGTCAGCTCTGTGTACGAGTACGTAGTGGTGCAAAGCTGTGTGACTGATTCATATTTGGGGTTAAGCTGACTAACAGAAAATTTGGAATAGATATTTTCAATGGCTTCATTTGTTTTAAGAAAAAACCTGTAGGCAAGGATATCGAAAGCTCCCCGAAAAACCTCAAGCATCACAAGAAGGATGACATTCTCCAGAGCGATATCGACAGAACCAAGCTCGCCCTCCAATCACGCCACTGGGCCATTGTCATCACTAAGCCTTTCCCGCTTTCCGTACGAATTCCTGCTGTTGCCGTATTCTGGTTCGTACTCGTACTCGCCACGTCTCAACGTAGAGTCTCTCCCACGCGGTTGAAAGGGACTGGCGACCATTCGCGGGCTCGCTTCCAGTGGGCTAAGCTGCCGCTCATACTCACCACGCTCGCTGCTGGAGAACATGATCGAAGGCCCATTGGCAGGTGTGGTGAGCAGTGGGGACTGTCGATTCTGGGGGGCCCTGCCCTCCTGGTAGGTGTAGAAACCACCATTGCTGCCGTTGCCCCGAAGACCCTGTCCGATGGCAGGACTGTTCGGGGGACGAGGCCGGGCGTCGAAATAAGGCCTTTGACGGCCATGACCAAGGCTGCTGCCGTCGTTGTAGCCTTCAAGCTCCTCGCTATCAGCAGTCGCCTGGGCCGTCCAGGTATCGACATAATGATCCGCTCGCACCTCGTTCTCACGGGCTACTTCGCTGTCCGTCATCCCGGCACGCGCTTCGACCATGTACTTGTCGAACGAGTCCGAGATATCTCGGATGATGCAGAAGTGCCGAAGTTGCAGTCGCGGCCCCGGCATTCGAGCTGGCAACGGTACGCCCTCAACAGAACTGCGCTTTCGGATGTCCTCCTCCTCTTTGGCTGCGTCCGCATAAGCCAGGCTCCTCGCGATCTGGCAGGCGTTGCGGATCTGACGGCCATTCCAACCGTTATTCGCTATGCCTCCTGTCCTCTTCCGGCGGTTTAATTCATCGTATTGATCTCTGGCAAACCTCATGATATCTGACTCTGGGATCTCCAGCGGCATCTTGCTCTCGACCTTGCGCTGCTCTTCATCCAGCCACCGCATCCGCCTGATGTTGTTCTCCCATATCTCGATCGTCTGCTGCTTCGACAGTGCCCGGTAGTTGATCTTGCAGTGGATGCGGGACTTGAAGGCCTCGTCGAGTGCGCCGACGAGGTTCGTCGTCAGGAACAGGATGCCAGTGTAATAGTCCATTATGCTGAGGAAGACTGGGCATTTGTTAGCGATGCATCTCTGTGCATTCATCCGTTCATTCATACGTACCTGAGACCAAGGCGTTCTTTTGCATGGCAGAATCTCCTTTGGACCGAGAGGAGAAGAAGGTGTCGACCTCGTCGAGAAGAAGGATGCAGTCCCATACGCCGGCGAGCCGGAAGATCTCCTTCAGCGACATCTCGACTTTGTCGGGCGTCAATCCGAGGTCGCCACAGGTGATTTTGAAGAGAGGCTTGCCGTTTGCCTGGGCAATTGCCTCCGCTGTCGCCGTCTTTCCGACACCAGGAACGCCATACAGTAGGATGAAGAGCCCGCCCCCCTTGCCGTGTATCATGTCCAGGTTTTGCTGCTGTCCGTCTAGTCGTTCCATGCTCTTCTGCAAAAGGTGGCCCTGGACGGATCTCTGTATCAAGTCCTTGGTCTTCGCCGGGATCCTGAGTGAGTCGAGCGCGTCTCGTGTGCCCGAAGACTGCCACATCCGCAGGATCTCCAGCCCAACAAACTTGCGCTCTTGGAAGACGTAGCCGAAGACGCGGCCTGCAAGCAGGCATTTGTCCTCCTCCCGCAGGTACTTTGCTGTCGACAGCTTCCCTCGGTTGTCGTTTTCGATCAACTTCGAAAGCAGGCGATCCTGCAGCAGGAACTCGTTCTGCTGCCGCATGTGCACCCCCGTGACGAGCGGTACAATCTCGGTGATCTCGGCGAGAGGCCTGATTCGATTTTTGTTTGCCCACCAGATAATGGGAAACTCGTCCGACACGATCTTGGGCACGGCTTTCTCCGGTCGAAGTACCTTTCGCGTGGGCTTCCAATGGGGACAGGCTTGGAAAGCTTCAGAAAAGTCCACCATAACATCGCCGTTGATATGCTCGGCTCGGTTCAGTTTTTCACCGCTTGCATCTGTCATTTCATCTCCAGCAGGAGTTCGTATCACACTCCAACCACTATACGACGCATGCTTTGTCTCGATGTAGTGCAAAGCTTTGTTGCCATCTTCCTGGGAATCCCCCAGCACGGATTGCCAGTTTGGGAGAAAACGGATGGGGAAGACAGGCAGGGAGGATACAGGAACAGAGTTTTCATACGGTATGATTCGGAACGATGTGACAGCCGGGCAAAACTCCTCGCCCGTGTATTCGAGATAGTATGCGCGTATGATGAAGTCTGCGCTATCTTCGTCGTCTGTTTCATATCCTCCATGATCCGATGGAGTAGGACGGTACTGCACTGCGCAGGGTTCGATACGGTATGTTTTCCAGATCCGCTTTCCTGTCTGAAAATATTGCTGCCTTGCCAGACCTCCTTCTAAAGGTCGGTATATGAATTCACCTGTGCGAAACAGGTACCAGAGGTCTGTAAAGCGCACTTGTGCGTTGCTGGAGAAATCCAGGTCAACGAAATGGTTGTAGTCGGGCATCAGCCGCTTTTCGACAAACCGTACGTAGGCGCGCATAACGGCCAGTGCCGCTGGACAGTCATCGATGGCCTCGCCGGCGTCGCTATCGCTGCCAGCGTCTTGCGTGTTGTCCGGCGCCTTCACAATCGTTGTGTCGGGAGATGAGTCCATGTCAGGAGATGCATCCATGTCGGGAGATGAATCCGTGTCGAGGCAATGAGCCCAGTGGTCCTCGAGCTCTGCCAGTGCCTCCTTCATTTTATTGTGAAAGTAAAACAAGGAAGTGAAGGGCCGCTCGTACGTACGCGGCCGATTCGACCAAGGCTCGCCTTGGGTCTTGGACATGATCATGAGAAGAGCAGGCGACTGAAGGCGGACGTTGCGAATCCATTTTTCCGTCTGCGCATTTTGGAATGCGTCTACATTTTGCTGGTTTTCCGCCTTAAGGATGGCCGTCCCCTTCTTTTCGTCGCGCGAGGTCTCTTTTCGAGCGGCAGTGCGTCTCTCACGGAACCTCTGTTCCTCGAGTATCTCCTCTTCCAGCAGACGGCCGGAGACCAAGGCGTCGACCGCATAGTGGCCGTGAAACCCGTCAACGAACCGGTTTTTGAACTCCAGAAAGTTACATTCGCGGACTTTAGGAATCGTGTTGGCAGCCGTTGGCAGCGTAAGACGAACAACTTTGTCCTGCACAATATCCGATATATCTGTGCGGCCTGCCGAGTTTCTCCTGACAAGTGCCTCAGCCGGGGAAAAATCAGGTCCGCTGGGTCTCTCATACTCTTCCAAGCGGGCTTCCAGTGCTTTAATCCGCTCCATCAAATTGCCGGTCTCCATTTCTCAGATATTGCAGGCGGTGTAACAGGGACTAGGCGGCTGTAGTCAAGAAAAGCCCAGCTTGCTTGCGGTCAGTATAGGAAGGAGCAGTTGAATCTCCTTCCGGGACTTTGGGGAGAAGCAACTTGCAAGGCCGAAGACTGGTGGCTGTGACGGCCTGAAAAGCAAAAAAGGCAGCCGGAATGTCCGAAAAGCAACGCCGCAAGATCGACACCCACTTCCTCTTTTTCGGTCGTATGCTTTTTTGGATTCTGGGGCTTGCTGTAAGGCTGAGCGTCTCTGGGCACGAATTGGTGGACTCATAAACGAGACACCCACTTCTCGGCATGATAAGCCACGTAATATGCATCTAATCATGCACCTCTCTCCCCAGTTGCGTCTTGCTGCATGTGATAAAGGTGGGTGAGTGCACCCTTGCCAACACAGCCGTCCGGCCGCACCTCGGACTTGACGAAAAAGAAGTGATAAGGCGTTATTATGTCGTTGGCCTACCCCGTCAACTGCGGGGGCATCGAGAATATGCCTGATTTTGAGCCGCATGTCTCCATCTAGGAGAGCTCGCTTGTCAAACCCTTCCTAGCTTCGTGCCTAACAGAGCCAAACCAAAGCCCAAAACCACTCTACGGCTAAATCCGAAGTCAACGCCCAATGGCCAGTCCTATCTCGGTCAAGTTCGGGTCAGTATACTTCAACACTCCAAAACTAAACCACCCTAGCAAATAAGTGCCCTCGGAACATCGTCGTGGCAAGGAGAGATGAAAGGACAAGAAGAGGATATGCAGCCCGCAGAGAGTTCAGTCGTGCAGTTCATCGAGGATCGTGGGCCCCAGTTCCATCACGTCTTCGCAATGCCATCCTACTTCGACAAGTCGACTTCGACTTTCGAGGCAAAGATTGTCTTGTAAGAGATCGGTCTGCTTCCGATTTGCGCTCCGTTTGTCTGTTGTAAGCTAATCTTGTCTTGTATAGCGAGCTTCGCGAGACGATCGAGCGGTGCAAAATACAGACTCCCAACCTGGTTGACTTCAACCTCGATATCAATTACTGCACCTGGGAAGAAGTCAAATTGGAGCTGCACAAAGCTAAAGCTGCCGCGGCTTACAGTCGGGATCGCGCCAAATCTTTCATTCCCGGCCTTTTTTACGAACTTGGAAAGGGGCACGACTATTTCGAGGCAGCCCTCGATGCCATTCCAGATTCAGCTCGAGTCCTTCGTGCAGGCCTCGCTGTTATTTTTTGTGTATGTATCTCTCTCGATAGTGAATGTCCTTGCATGAGGGCGGGAGCTCATAACCGAAAATGTGCGTCTAGTTGGCTCGACATCGCGTCCAAGTCCGGCAGAAGATTCTAGATGCCTTTGAAAACATCCCAAACATTGTGCAGACGGCTGAGCTCAAGCTGAGAACTCTGGTCCGCGCGGGGAAAGAAGAGGCAAACAGGGAGCTGAACGAAAAAGTGAAAGAGTTGCAGAAGACCCTTCTAGAGACAATTCCACACTTGATCGAAGCGCTGAACCCAGGAACCTTCCGTGAGTACCATTCCCCGATTCCATATCCTCCCGCTTCTTTCACGGGTTCTTTAAATTAATCAGGACCGGCACCAGTTCGCAGAGCGCTGAGTCCCTTCCGTGGATTTAATATAGATGAACTGCTCGGGACCGTGTATCGCAAGGCCGACACTGTACACATTTACACGGAGAGAATCAAGGACGAAATCATAACTGATACCCACAACTTGACATGGGACACCAGAAAGCTGTCACGCGAAAATCGTGAGAAGATCGATACCCTCCATGCGAAAATCGACGAAGTTTTGAAGGAGCAGAAAAACTTGCAGAGTCTTTTTGATCTTTCTAGCAGTAGCAAGAACTTTCTGTTTCAATTTCTGATGGACAATCAAAGTAAGTCAGCAAATGTCCCTCGAATCATGTTTGAGCCCAAGCTTCCGCTGACACGCCGCCAGAAAGAAATGGAAGCATGAGCGCCGAATCTTCGGCCGATACGCTTGTGAACGAGCCTCGGAGCTTCGTCCCTGCATACCCGGGTCCTACCTTCACGCCGAACGAACTGCTGGAACTCTTGGAAGTGCCACACCTCGGGCTAAACGAGGACAAAACCCACGTTCTTCGTCATGGACGATCATTAGATAATTCCACACTTAGTGCGGCATCGCTCTTGATCTGCTGTCGGCAGGTCCAGCACTTGTTTGGTACGCCCACGTCTGGCATCGTCCTGGTCGAGGGCTGCGGGGACCGCAGTCAGTCAGCACGTGTCTCGCCCATCTCAGTGGTTTGTGCCACTCTCTCGCACACGCTGCAGTCCCGGCCTACCAGCGTTACTCTGCTCTTTTTCTGCGGACGACATGTAGCCAGCGACGACGAACTGTGTGGCCCTCTAGGTCTTATGCGAAGTCTGCTTTCGCAGCTGATCCTCCTCATGGTGCAGAAGAACTGGGTATCAGGTCTCGCCCGGATCGGTCTCTCGTGTGGTGAAGAGGAGTCGGAGTGGAAAGGCCTCTCTTTGCACGATGTCTGCCAGCTGTTTTATCGGGTGCTGGAATCGATCCCTTTGGCGGCAGAGGTAATCTGCATCATCGACGGCATCTCGTTCTTTGAGCGTGATGAATGGTGCCATGACTATGATCTGGTCATGAACACCTTTGGGACAATCATCGACGAAGCAAAACTCAACCCCAAGTTCAAGCTGCTCATGACGACACCAACGCGAAGCAGTCGACTGTCCAGTCTAGAGCAGCATCAGCGGGTAGCCCTCCGGAACAACGGATCACAAATGTCTATCTGGGCAGCATTCCGGGCAGCAGATCGGTGAGTGTGTAGACTGTGGGTGGTCTTCGAGCTTTAGATAGTGTTGAGTATTATTGTAGTGGTGAGATGTAGTTTTAGTAAGCTTCGGACGTATGTTGTTCACTGCCTGCCACGAACTGTCGTTGAGGAATTCCCAAGTGTATAGGCAAAAGGGACTAACGGTCCCTCTTCTCCTTTGAGTTTCAAGGCCGTACAATATTTTAAACGCTGCGAAGAAGACTTTGTTGTGCTCTTGTCAGGATGCTGAGCACGCATTTCAAAGATGGAAAAAAATTATTCCCCCAGTGTGCGTCAACAACGGGTTATACCGTTTAAGTATGTTTAATTTTTAGATAGTTTAATCAATTTTTAATTTGTCGTCGAGTGTCTGACTCGGTTTCGCTTAAAACATCGATCAGGTCTTGGTTCGAATCGTGGTGTCAGTCGATATATGATTGTTCGGATGATACTGAGTGAGACATCTCGTTGTCGTCGGGGAAAGAGTCGGCGTTTCTTCGTTACCAGCTTGGCCAAGTCGTGTCGTCGGTCCGGTGAAAGGGTTGTTGTTGACAACAATTATAAAGCTCCTGGCCTGAGATTGACGGCCCTTTTTACGGCCGCTTTGCAGAATGTGGCTTTGTCATCTCTTCGCCTCTCTGCACCTGATGACCCAACGATTTGCTGAGATATCAGTTCTGCCGAGTGGCAACAGCCAAGACGACCTTCACTCAACCCGCGTGTGTTGAACCTTGAAGGATGTTAGTCACCGTTGAATTTGGCAAGAACAGACTGCCGTGAAACGTTTCAACAACAGCCACGATAGCTACGTTGTTGTGACCAAAAACGCACTGATGGGCTCCATCGTCATGACCTTCCATGCAAGGAAACTCTTGTGTATAGCACGAGAGAACAGCATCATTCTCTGCTCGTCTTCCAAGTCATAGACGAGCCCAACACCGCACAGCACAGAGTCCCTCTGCGGATTAAAGTCCTACCAAAACGTTACGTGTGCACAAATCGGACCAAGATGATCAGGGTTTCCATTCGGGCACGCGGCGTGTCTAACTCTTTCGTGTTTATGCACAGCTTTGGCGTGGCGGCGGTTGTCCGCCTGCAATGTATGTTTTATGTACCTACTTCCCATATGCAAACAGCCTCCCAGCTTCTCCGCCGGTGACAGCCGTCGTGCAGCATAACCCTCTTTTCTTTTGGTGCTCACCACTTGGCTGCCTTGCTGGTGACAAAGGCCTTGAGGATCTCGACAATGTTGCCCAGCGCCGCCAGGTACTCCCGGAGCTTCTCCTGCAGCAGTGCCTGGTTCGTCGACAGCTTGGCGTAGAAATCCTTACGGTACGGGCAAGCGCTCATCGCGGCAGCAAAGACGGGCTTTATCAAGAAGTTGTGGAATGGCTTGAGCGTGTTGCCGTAGGCGTTGCGGAACGAGTCGGCGAGCTCCTCGGACTCCGCAGCCACGTTCTTCGAGAGCGCCTGGTACGTAAAGTCCAGGCCGCTGACAGGGTTAGCCAGGGAACGGGTATCTGTCCGGACAGACAAAAAACATACCGGACAAGCCACAACAGACCCTCAGCAGCGACGTGCTTCTTGGTCTTGAGCTCGTTGATCACGAGCGCCTGCAGCGTGGCGGACTCGCCGGGGGCGGCCAGCTGGCGTTCCCGGATTTTCTACAGCCGTTAGTCTCATGTCCACTCTTTGGAACTGTCAATTGGCCCCTCTGAAGCTTTTACTTTGATGTTGCCCAGCATGTCGGTCTTGACAGGCGAGAAAGCAACGGAGCCGAGCATGTCTAGTCCCGCATGTTAGTCTGTATTCATCCCTTCTTCAGCGGTTCGTCTTCCCACGCACCAAACATGGTCGTCAGCGACTCAGCTGCCTCGAGGAAGGTCGTCGTGTCGATAGCATTGTCGTTGGCCGCATCCACCGGCACATCCACAAAGGACTTGCTGAAGGTGTCGAGGAAGGTGCCATCGGCCGGGATTACTGCAGTGGTTGCCATGGTTGTAAGGTGTGTCTGTGCGGGAGAGAAGAATATGTCAAGAGAGGGAGAGAGTGGGAGACAGAGATCCAGGTGAGAAGCGTGGCGGTCAGACTAGGTCAATATATTCCGTATCTTACGTCGTAGCTACAACCCGTACAGGAGACTTGTCCAGTTCCCAAAAGCGGTGAGGGGCAGCTTAGAAACGATGAGGACCCCTGCTTCCAGGAGATCTGCTGCACGTGATAATGTCTCTACTCCGTACATACGTAATGCTACGGCATTGTCTCCACAGGAGTACACTATTATTTGCGCGTATGGAGTCCTATTCAGCAATACTCGTACGTAGCCTCGGCCTAACGTCCAGAAGTCCAGTTGTATTGCAACACAACGCAATACGACACGACACAGCAACAATTGACCAGCCCATTCTCGGCCTACGCGTAGACGCTCTCGGTCCACTGGTTTACCTGCAGTCCCGATTCGGCCATGGCTGCGTCGGTTAGGAACTCCAGCGGCATCCAAACCAGGTGGCCTTTGATCTGGTCCAGCTTGGATCGGATATCCTCCGGCGGGATGAACTGGTCGAATATGTGGCCGGCGCGGACGCCCTTTGGCGGCAGGAAGCGGTCGTAGTCGTCGAATGTCTTGACTGTTTCTGTCAGCAGGATGTTGAGCATGGGGAGGGGCAAGAAGACATCAAAATACCCACCGTTATCGTCTGGATCGGCGTGGAACAGGTGTCGGTAGATTTCCGTGTTTGTGGAGGCCTGCGATGTCCACATGTTCCACAGCTCGTCGCTCAGCGGGTCCTCGACAAAGGCCCAGCTGTCGTCCTGGTCGTGCACGTCGTTGGGCGAATCAGTCGACGGCGGCTGGGCGTTGGGATCGTCCGAGCCGTCGAGGCCCTGTGCAGGCAGCAGACCCAGATGTTCACGCCAGAGGAAGCGGCGCAGCGTGGCGGCGTGGTAGCCGGCCTCGTAGGGCTCACCGTCCATGCGTGACGATAGCATGCGCGTGTCCTCCATCACGATGCTGAGCTCGCTGTCATGGCTGCCTAGCTGGCTTCGGTCGTTGAGATTGCTGCTGCCACACACGACAAATCGGTCGTCGACGATCAGCAGTTTCGCGTGGATGTACAGCTCCTCTTGGATCCAGTTCTGCACCTCATCCGTCGCCTCGCCGTCCCAGGGCTCCTCCGACAACGGACCCTCGCCGGCCATCATGTGTTTCGCCAAGCTGGCCGATGCTGCCGATGACTTGCCTTCCCCGTCCCCTCCCTCCTGCGCTGCCTCGAACTTGCGCTTCTTATCTGTGGCCTCCTCCATGTAGTCTGGCTTTCGGCTGTCGTTCTCAAAATCGGATCTCTCCTGTGCCTTGTCCTTGGTCCTTTGTTGGTTGCCTGCCCGGCCCATGTGCGTGTCGCGTCCGCCATCGTTGTCAATGGTCCCGTGGATGCCCTCGCCCATGATCTGTTCTGCCTCCGCACGCTGCACCTCCTGGTACGACACGCCCGATTCCTCTTCAGTCTGCTTCATGGCCGCCGTGTTCGCCAGACGGTCGTAGCTCCGCAGGTTGAAAAGGAAGATGTGCTTTGTCGGATCGACGCCCTTGGCACGGATCTGCTCAAAAATGGAGTTGGGGCCGCGGCAGATGCTCTTGTATTGGTAGTCCATAATGGCGCGCGTACCCAGGGCGGCATCCTCGCGCAGGTCGCCGGCAAAGCCGGGCACGGCCGGGATGAGGATGATGACGCGGAAGTTCTTCTTCCCGCGCTCCGAGTTGCGCACCACGGCATCGACAATAGCAGAGCCGATGGTGTTGTGGACCGGTGACTGCTCGGTACCGGTGGCGGTGATGAAGAACTGGTTTTCAATGTACACATAGTGTTCGGCGTTGCGGATCAGCTCGCTGTAGGCGTTTTGGATCGAGTGCTCGACCAGCGTGCCGTTGGACCAGTCGTCGGCCGACCGCACCAGCTGGCCACGCATGGTGCCGTTGTCCGGCCGCAGCTGCGGCTTGCTCTCCAGCGGCGTCAGCGGGTGCAGAACGTAGTCGCCCACCGGGTGGTCTGGCCGCTGCACGCCGACAAGGGCTTCGTCCTCTCCCTCGCGGCCACGCAGCATGATCCAGTCGAAACGCTTGTCGCGCTTGTATTTGTCACGCTTGATGAAGTTCCAGCGTAGCACAAAGTGCTCTGCAATGTCGTAGACACATGGCCCCACGACGCCCATCGCCACATCGTGCCACGGCATACGGCCGAACTCCGCCTTGCTCAGTTCGTTTTGCTTCCAGTCCTTCACGTTCTGGAAATCCTTGACCCGGTTGTTGTTGAAGTCCTGCCCGGGCCACACCTCATGGGCCACGCTCTCCGGGTGCACATCCGCCAATGCGTGCGTGTGACTGTCCCATCGCCCAAAGCACATGTCCAGCCCACCGATGAAGGCTGTCTCGTAGTCGATCACGATGAACTTCTCGTGGTGCGCCCAGTAGAACGTCATGTCCGCCGCGTTTTCAAACACATTGTGGTCCGGGTGCCGCATGATCCGGATGTTGCCATGACCGGGGCTGCCCTCTGGGCACAGAGCCTGCAATGCATGCTTGGTGTGCTCCGAATTGCACGTCAAGGCCGCCTCCACTTCACGGTAGACGATGACAAAAATCTTAACACCGGCCTCGGCGCGACGCTTGAGCACTTGGTCCAGGCGCCACTCCTGGTTAAAGTACGGCGGCCGTCGCAGAAACAACTCGGGCGACAGCCACCAATCGGCAATGTATATGGTTTCACGTGCCTTGTCAAGCGCGGCCGACACCGCCCAAAAGTAGTCCCGCCCGTCGACGTACCACTTGATGAGGTTGCCTTCCTGCTCCGGGAAGTAGGACTGGAAGCGATGAGACTCGCAGATCTCGGTGCGCTTGGCATCACATTGCTTCTCATGTTCCTCGTCGTGTCGGTGATTGATGTTGACCTAGGAAGTCAGCGCTATGCCGGTAAACAAGAGGGGAGGTTCTCAGCTCACCAAGTTCGCAAGTTTGCCGATCTGATGTCTGTGTAGCAAGATGGTTAGCCATATATCCCAATGACATGCATATGGGAAGGGTGAGGCTGACTTCTTGTGGGTTAGATGGATGTGGGTTTTGTCCAGCTTTTCCTTGAGCTTGTCCATAAAGCCAGAGCTGCCTTCGTCTTTCTCGTCGGACATCTTTTTGGTTACACACAAATCGGGAAGGCAAAGAAAGAGTCGAAAATGAAATATGACGTGAAGAGATTGACCGGAGAGCAGCAGAGCGTTAAATGCCAAACATGTAATTATGCCAAGTGAAAATATGTGTGCAAGTTTGTGGGCAGAGGTCCGGTGACGTCAGCCCACCCGGACCGCCAAGCTGAGCCATAAGACAAGACAACAGGATATTAGCTGGACAGACGGGCACATAATGGAGGTCCGCTTCGCCAAGGCTTTAGGACTAGAAGGAATGGCCAAAGAGAAGCCAGTGCCAAGAAGCTGGAATTCTGAGCTGAGGGTTTACTAAGCACACCATGAAGCTAGCAACAGCGGGGGATCGGCTGAAAGGTGGAACAGGCGAGATCTGAATCGATCCCTAGACAAATTCTGTCAGGTCTTATAAGTTGGCGTTGGCGTGCTTTGTGTGTCAAAAATTTGGATGAAGATAGTTTGCAATACCATAAGAGCTGCATTTTTTATTCTGAAGAAGTGCCGTTTCCGTTTTAGGCAGTCACGGTCATGCATCTGATCTCTCGAATAATATCGAAACTCCGCATTTCCCCATCCCCACCGAAATGATTGCCGGCCTCTCGTATCTACGATGTTATCTCCTGCTTCATGTGTGTTTCGGACAGAGCTTCGGCCCCGACGCCCCGACATGTCGCGATACCTCTAAAACTACAAAGTGTTCGGCAGTTGGTCCAATTTTAGCACACACGTAGCGCAGCTTTACCCGACACAATGGCCGAGTCCAGATCCGACTATCTCGCCCAGCTGCCGTCGACATGTTGCATTGGCGGCTCCATACACGAGGGCACGCCAATCGGCAGCGAGGAGCAGGTGGCCGGCATCACGACTTACGTCGCACGGCCGCCCACCGGTGTCACGGCTAACGGCAACGTCGTCTTCTTCCTCCCGGATATCTGGGGCCTTGCCAACAACAGCAAGCTGCTCATAGACGGCTTTGCAGCTGCCGGATATGTTGCCCTTGGCATGGACTACTTTCGCGGGGTGAGTCTATCCTCGTTCTATTCTCGTAGACAAGTTTCTTGATTCTGACTGTGCAGGACCCCATTTCCAAGTACCGCAGCTCTCACGACGCGAAGCCGCCTCCGGACTTTGATATGGAAGCCTGGCGCGTCAAGCACTTCTCGTTTGCCACGGACAATGTGCCCGTGTGGGTCGATGCGGCCAAGACGATCTATGGCACGACCGGTTCGCGATACGGCTGCGTGGGCTACTGCTTTGGCGCGCCATTTGTGGCCAACCTGCTTGCCGGCGACGCCGTCTCTGCTGGGGCCGTGGCTCACCCGACGCAGCTGAAGGAGGGACACTTTCGCGCTGTGAAGAGTGTGTTGTTCCTTGTCTAGGTGCCTGTGCTTTGTCTACTCTTACTCACACACCTGTGCAGAGCCTCTATTTCTCTCGTGCGCCGAGCACGACCGTGCCTTTGGTCCAGAGCCGCGCCGCAGAGCCATTGACATCCTGCAGGAGACCAAGGTGTCCTACCATCTGCAGCTGTTCTGCAACGTCAACCACGGCTTTGCTTCGCGCGGAAACCTGACTGATCTCTACGAAAGTAAGCAACAGATGGTTCTTTTGTTGGCAAGCACTACTAACGGTAAAGAATGGGTCAAGGAGCAAAGCCATCGTGGCATTACTGACTGGTTCAACTTCTGGTTGTCGCAGAACTGAGCTGGGTGGTTCGTTTGAACAAACGTCATAGCCATAGGTCTTGGGTATCAGAAACGTCCTCCTCAAGGCACTCTTACCAATGATCATTTTAATCCCCACTAAATATGATGTTTCTTCAATATGTATCCAAAAAAGTACACCGTAGACCAAGAATATGCAAAAAGCACATTATTCCGCATCAAGACTCAACACGGCCTCTCTCTTGGCAGTCACAGCCACCGCCGGATCAGCACCGCCGCGTCCCATGAACACACGCGTACCGGTGCCGCCGCTCAGCGGCGCCTGTGCATAGCTCTCCTTGGCCCCCGAAGCCCAGCCAGATGGGACAGTGTCGACAATTGTCACCGACTGGCCGCCCGCGACAAACTCCTGGTCCAACACGACTGTCGAGTTGACAGCCTCTACGCTGCGGCTGTAGAGCGGGACGTCGGCCGTCGAGTCCGTCCGGCCGCCAAAGCTAAACACCTGGCTCGTCGATCCGTAGCCAGTCGCCTTTGACCCGTCGCCGTATTGGGAGTACAGCGCAGTACCGTTGAAGTGGGTACTCAAGACGGAACCGCCCGAGAAGCTCTTCCCTGTCGTCGCTGCAAAGGCCTCCAGCCCGGTGGGAAACACGGCTGCGCCGACGACCTGCAGCTCCAGTCCCTGGTCCAGATCGGCCCACAGCGTCAGGTTTCCCATCTCGGAATAGTTCGTCGTCGTGTTGCAGGTGATGGGATAGTGGTAGCCGGCTCGGTAGATGGTCTTGCCGCCTACAACCGCCGTGTCATCGCCGCGGATGCTAAAGGTGTTGACCTGGTCGTAGCCATAGTCCGATACCACGCCCAGACTCCAGAACGACAAGGCCTGCGACCATGTCGCCGCGCCCGACGACTTCTCCGACTGCACCCGGCCGTGGACACTGAACGCGCGCGACACCGATACCGTGTACTGCAGCGTCTCGTTGGCGCCTGTCGCGTTTGTGAGAACGTCCTGGGACACGTGAATGACCGGCGCCTGCAGGCTCACGGCCGGTGCGCTGCCGGTGGTGACGGAGTCGGCGTCGTCGTCCAGCCAGACAAAGATCTTCCCGGTCACATACCAGCTGGAGGCGACCGTCTTCGTCAGGGATGCAGCTGTCTGACCGTCATCAGACAGTCCTGCCACTGCGATGGCGAATGTGTGTTGATTGCCGTCGCAGAGAACAGGCAGCCACGGCGTGATGTCGATCTCATGCTCACGCAGGTCAAAGACATCGATGCCTACGATCGGTCGGTGTAGCCCGGGCACCACACCGCCAGTGAAGACGACCGGAAATGGCCACTGCACCCCGGCTAGCTGGCCGTCAATGTAGACCTGCACCTCGCGGAACGGACTGTAGCCGGTGAACTGGCCAACCGTGGCTTCAAAGGCCAGGACGTCACTCTGCAGCACGTTGCTCCACCAGAACTCCTCGTCGGCCTGGCCGTTGGCTGACACTGAGAAGACGGCCCGGTTGGCGTTGCGGGGAAAGCTGACCGTGTTGGTGGCGTTGTCGGATGGCAGGCTGAACAGACTGGGCTCATTAGACGCGCTCTTCCGCGCAGAGATAGGGATGATCAGATCGCTCGGCGAAGCACCACCGGTATCCACGTCTGACATGAAAAAGGTTGCTGTCAGGGTTGTGTTGAACGAGCCGGTGTACTTGTCGTTGACGATGTTGCCGAGATCGAAGATGATCTTCTGTGGCGACCTCCACAACGACAGGTACTCGGTCATGTCCTTGTTATATACCCATTGGATTCCAGGAGCCGCAACCGGCTCAGCAGTGCTGGTCCGCCACACTTCCGTGTCGTTAAGGTACATCAGTGCTAGCCGGTCAAACTGCCGGCCCTCGGACGTGACGGTGAAGTTCATCACGACCCGGTTGAACTGGCAACTGGGCGGTGTGTATTCCCCTGTGATGCAGAGAAGTGCAGCGCGTTAGCAGTCGCTCTCGGTTGTCCTGATTCAGCTCAACGCACCAACAAACGGTACGCCATAGCTGTACCCAAAAACGTGATCCATCAGTACCACTGAGCATGAGGTAGCCCCTTCTGGCGTCAAGACGGGTTGCGCAACCTGGAAGTTTTCAAGCACTGCCGCAGATGTTGCAGAGGTGGCGGCAACACCGCGCTCATATAAACCGTTTCCATGAGTGTCGCTCGATTCTGTGTCCAGTGTCGTAGACTGAGGTGGCTGGCAGGAAGTAAAAACTCGCGAGGTGACCACCAAGATGAGACCTGAGCCCAACACTAATGGGAGCAAAAGACACAGCAGCCACCTTGTTCTCGACGGTCGCCCTGGATCAGATGGTGCTTCTCTGTAAAAAGCCTCAGATATCCCTTTCTGCCTCTTTTCGATCAAAGGCTCTGCCGTTTCCTCCATTGTGCAAGTCTTGGATGGGTGGCCTGGGAGCAAATGTCGGGCTTCCCGGGAAAGTCGAGACGATGATTGGTAAACAAAACTGCGACGCCTGTATTCGTTGATCAAGGACAGCCACCAATGCTGGTCACAATAGACCTTCCCGACACAACGAAAGAATAGTTTGGGGTGAGAACGGAGGGGAGAAAGAAGGTCCCAGCGCAGACATGCAGGATATATGGCCACGAAAGCTAGCGAACGGATGAATGGCGAGCTTGGCTCCGATCTGCGATGAGCAACGGGTTCTGGAACGCCCTACTCTTGGAGGCTATCCAATAGCACGGAGTGCTCTGCCTTTCTGCGGGCGTGATAGCATGGGCGATGGCCGCATCGGCGCGTCGTCGGTCGATCATCCACAGCCGCGGTGCAGATAACGAGCTGTTCGAGTCCAAATTACGCTATACTTCCAGTTGCTTTTTCGTGCTAACCACTATCTGTGGTGCAACCGACCCACTGAAAATAAACAGCTCCGCCGCCAGCGGCATCTCGTTCCTGAATAGGCAGGCGAATAGAAACAACGGAACGCAATTATGCAGGCCAATGTCCAGCAGTTATCTTCCAACGCAACAAAGCTCTCCAAAAGAGGCAATTCGCTATCACTCTTCTTCTAAGCCGCATCGGCGTTCTTCCGCTTCGGATACCCTCTCTTCGTTTGCCGACAGTATGCAGAATTGAGTTGACTTGCCGCTCCCCAAACTATATTACACTATTCCATATATACTCATGAACAAACATGCCGAAAGTGCCATGAACCCACCCTCTTGAGACAACCGATCTATCCGTGTGTTCTCATGTATGCAAATCTCCCTCCTGTTTTGATTCCGGTGTGTTGTCAGACTGACTTCTGTAGCCCCGACGTAAGAAAAGTCATATATCCAACGTCCAGAGCATCGGGCTGAGCTCAGGCTGAGCATCGGTCATCGTGATGTTGGCCGGCCTATTTTCCCGGGGTCGCTTTCCCTATCTTCCACCCCCAGCTGCGAAAAATCTTGACCACCTTTGGCGTGACTGCAGCTGTCAGAGGCACGCGCACAAATATGAAGCTCTTGTGTATGGCATATGCGAGTGCCAATTGTGTAGCAAGGCCTGAGAAGAAGATACTCGTTAGCATCAGGCTGTTGATTGGTGTTTAATCAAGAGACAGTCACGTACTAGCTGAGCGCTTGTGCCGCTCTTCAGCCTCCTCAACACCCCAGCCTTCGGTATCCTCTTCACCCGAAGCGTTGCCGCTCTCTTTCTCCACCTTCTTCAGGTTGGACTTGTAGTTGCGCCAAAACTCCTTGACATTCTCTGGGATGACCGCCTTCGCATAGTTCACCACAACATGCTCGATCTCGGCTGTGCTATGTTAGCGTCTGTTTCACGCCGATCGCTTCCTCCGTTCGAGTTGGCCTACCAATCTTGTCGGTGCCCACAGTCCGGACAAGCAGAAAGCAAAACGGGAAGTCGAGCAGAGACAGCCCGAAGTAGACACCAACGGCCGCCCATCCATACTCTCGTGACAGCTTCTTCAGCCGCGCACTAAGACTCAGAGACTCGGCAGCGGCGGGGCCGGAACCAGCACCCTTACCGGCAGCCTCGCCCTTGGCCGACTGCGATTGTGTTTGCGAACGCGTCTTGGACGAGTGAAATGTCCGTCGCGGCGGCGTGCGAAATGAGAGCACGGGCGGTCTCGCCTTGGATGGCGAAGTTCGCAATATCATCTTCCTCTGTGCTGCAGCGCCATCAAAAGACGACATCACCCGCTTCAGTGCCAAGCTTTCGCTTTTTGTTCCACGCGCAACATTGCCGATCCGTTGCAGAAGCGTTGGCTGCTGTCCGCACAGAAGCCCGCCCAAGGCTCTCGCAGATTGTCGCAACATGGTTATTATACGGTGCTCCGGCAACCTGTTTCGTCTGTTTCTCAGCGTACACAGGCCCGCTGACGTCAGATCTCATGCAGGTAGTGTCCCGAAATGTCGCAAAGGCCCCAAAAGCACAAATGGCAAGGGAGGGAGAGTTCCGAGCTTGGTGCCTTCCGAAGTGTGTAGCAGGTCGGTCGTCGTCCTCGGTGCAGGTCTTGGAGGCGTCGTGCAAGTGTGATCTCTAAGGCATTGGGTGGTCGTGTGGACTGTTTCTGTCGTTGCAGACACGTCCCAGCAGATTTTTTGTTCTAGAAGCTCCTGTCGGCGAACTTACGATTTGCGTCACTTGTAGCTCGAGCGCCATTCTGATTGGCCCATTGTGCCCACTCTCGGAATATAGGGCTTCTCCGGTCCGGCGACCGAGATCCCCTTCAGCGCCGACATCAGGAAGTTGCATCAGAAGAACTGGACATGAAGCTGACGCATGAAAAATGACTGGCGTCGTCCCGAGGTTCCGCTAAGGGCCTTGCGTAACCACGTAATACCTGCAGAGCGACATGCATGCAAATGGCTACTTGGCATAAGCCTTGCCGTTTATGCAGAGCACCTCTGACCTTGGCACGTGAGCCGAATCATCGTAAGATACGGAGTACGGAGTACCAGCCAGACAACCACCAACCAGCCCAGGCCAAAGCTGGTTGTTTGCCAAGCCCTCCGCCCAAGAATCTTTGAGAAGCGGAAGGCAAAAAGAGCCCGTCCAGCCAATCACGAAGCGGCTACCACTTTCTAGCGATGCCATTAAGCGCCCGCCAGGATGTTGACCCCAGTGCGTCGCTTTGCGGCCTGTAATTGGATCAATCTGAAAATAGGCACAACCTCGATGCCTTCGGACTAGCTGGGGAAGCAGAGGAGGGTAGGACTGCTGTTATAATGGACTGCCGCACATCGGTCGCTTCCCTCCTCTTTGCTCCTGCTTATTTTGATCGCCTATCTGATTCCATTGCTTCGTGCCCTTTCCGGCTCTCTCAGGTCCTCTCAGTCGTGTCCATAAAGGTGCCCTTCTGCAGATCTACAGTCCTCCAGTGCGGGGCAGCTTATAACCCGCACCTTCCAATCGTACTCACCGTCGCAGGAGCGAAGCTCTAGGTTGCCACTCCCCTAAATTGCTGACAATGGCGACACACTATTATCCCCGTATGTGAACCTTTATGGCTTGTCTGCTTGTCCACTTCCCTTTCTGCCTCATTGCTAATGGCAACCATCTTTAGCACCGCCTGGAGCGGCAACGGGTAAGCCTTCTCACTTTCTTTAATGCTGCAAGCGGGACGAAAAAAAGCGATAAGAGCGTGGGTCTGCACAGACAAAGTGGAAAGATTATCCAGGACTTCGGCGAAGCTTCACATTGAGAAAGACCAAAGGAGGTCTTGTCATGCCAACAAAAGCATTTGCCAACTAACTGCCTTGCAGCCTCAACACCACAGACCTACCCATCGCCACCGCAATCACCACCAGCCAACAGAACAAACTTCTCATATGGCGGCCAGCAGGCACAGCCGCCGGTATCGAAGCCTGCTAACTTCTCCTACCCTCCTCCTCCACAGCAGGCGACACCCTCACCAGCTCCGAAGGCATCGTACCCGCCTCCTCCACAGCAGCAACAGCAACCTGCCTTCTCTCTTCCACCTCCCCAATTGCAACAACCAGTGCCGTTGCAGCAGGTGCAAGCCCAGCAGACAGTCCTTCCCATTCACAGCCGCACGGCTTCGCAAGCCTCGCAGGGTGTGCCTTCCACAGCACAGTTTTCTCCACCGCCGATGCGCGCCCTTCCAGATGCTGGGTTTCCGCCGGAGAAGAACTCATTTGGGTCCGGCAGTCCGGTTGACCAGGATAATCGCAGCCTGGTGGACGCCAGTGGTGCCTTGGGCCAGATTGCTGGCGCACCTGCCCCTGGTGTCTTTGTCGGCGCGACAGCAGTCAATGACGATGTCGGAACCTTCAACGGCGGCAGCTATCGCATCAGCCACCGTGATTGCAACACCATCCTGACGATCCAGCTTGCCATTGGATGCCCTCTGTCGGCCAAGCCAGGTGCTATGATTGCCATGTCTCCGTCCGTCACGCTCAAGGGCGCGTACAAATTCAGCATGAAGAAACTCGTGGCCGGTGCCGAAATGGGCTCATCCACATATACTGGCCCAGGAGAGCTCCTTCTCGCCCCGCCCATGCTGGGTGATATCACCAGCATCCGCCTGAACGGCAACAACGGCTGGTCTGTCGGCCACGACGGCTTCCTCGCTTGCACGCAAGGCGTCACGAAGGACTACAAGCGACAGGGCCTCGGCAAGGCCATGTTCAGTGGCGAAGGTCTTTGGGTGTACAAGATCGGCGGCATTGGTCTACTGTGGATTTCGAGCTTCGGTGCCATCATAAAGAAAGATGTAAGTGCGCAGGATTGTGAGCCGATGTGTATCTGCCTCAGGTGTCCGTTTGCTAATAGCCGGAACAGTTAGCTGACGGCGAGAAATATATTGTTGACAACGGCCACCTTGTGGCATGGAACACGAAATACAACCTTGAGCGTGTGGCTTCGGGTGGCATCATATCAGGCCTGGCCTCGAACGAGGGATTGATCTGCAAATTTACCGGTCCTGGGACTGTGTACATTCAAACTAGAAATCCGGTAAGGCTCTCCCATTTTTGTTTTGCCGCCAACGCAGAATACTAACAGACATACAGAGAGCATTCAGCGGCTTTATGTCGGGGCAGAGTGCGCAAGCTGTGTAAGCTAGGAAGAAGAGCGAAGTTGTTCTATTGTTTTAATATACTATGTATTTTACTTATCTGTTGCCGGCTTTCATTGTATTTTCAATTTCCTTCCTCATAATTCTCCAGGGTCGGCGACTTTGACGCAAGTGCAGTAGCATATAGTGGCCCTTCCCATTACGAATAAGTCTTGCTGGGCTGTGCTTGCCAAACGTAAGTCTTCTGTTCCACGGTGTAGCCTGCTACAACGTCCGCTGTCTGAAAAGCACCACCGGTGAAATAGAGCCTGATCACTGAAGAGAATCAGCACGTACGCAGTTGCCTTTCTATCGTATGCGTGCCTTGGTAGAGGTGTCTGTGTTTCGTTTTGCATATCCGAATCCCTTCGATTGCCTTTCGATTCGATTCTGCGGCAATCAATTTAGAACCATTGGCCGCCTTTACAACCTTTTCCTCTTGCATTCATTCGTCCGAAATTGGCACTAGAGCAGAGAATACGATATTTTGTTTCTTTTTTCGAGTTGGTCTATTGAAGACGGCAACTCAAAGCAGCGAACCACTAGCGATTTCGATACCATTTCCATTCACGGTTTTCCTGCTACCATTGATCAGACTGTCTTGTCTGCCCAATTCTGGACTCTCTCGGACCGTGAGCCTATTTGATATAAGGCTGCGAATATCATATCCGTACATTTTTCTGGGCACTCAAGTAAACGATTGGCGTGTTGTACGCCCGGGCATGGTCAGTATTATCTCTCGCCTCGAGGATTCTTGGTAAGTTTCAGCTGATATTCGCTGCACGATGTATGCGCAGAGGAAGCTTTTTAACAAACAAAACAACGTACTGACCATAACTTATCTTTCTAGTACAATGTTGTCTACGAAAGCACACATATTGAGCGAGGACAGCAAATCGATGAATCGCCCTCGGTTGACACGTTTGAAACCGAAAGGGAAGACTCTGTCTGATCGCCAAAACACCCGGGCCAATAAAGCCTCACATGGCCACGACTTTCTATTTCCTGTGAAACCGAATAGACGCCTAAACGCCATTTTCAAGACGGATAACTGGCGAACTGGAAACCAGGCAGAAACATGCTCAGATTATCCGCAACTATCGTCTAGATATGAAACAACATGCAACGGCAAATCAACGAAGAGACAACCCGATGAAGACAGCAGTAAAAGGGTGCAATCGACCAACTCAGACGAAGCTGACAATTTTACAAATGTCTCTATCTGCGGAACAGAACCCAAATGGGACAGCGAACTCGCCTCGGAAGCTTCTCCGGTAACCCAAAAGCATCCTCTCCAGATCCGTGAAGCAGAAGCAACTGGACATTTCATCGGCGTGATAAAAGGTGCACGGGATTTCATTCATCCCGGGAAAACAGACAAAATTCTGTTTTCCATCACACCTCTTACCAATAGTGAGTTGGAAGTCATTGCTTTGGGCAAGTACAGCCGTCTTCCCCTTGGGAAACTAGCGGCGGTCGACTCTGGCTCCTCACAGAAAACGGCGAGCCTGAGTCCGAAAGCCACTAAAGAGGCAATAAATGATGGCATCAAGCTACTGGGACCATCAACTACGGCCCATAAGTGTCAGGCACAAAAGCAAAACATCGGAGCAGTTAAAGAGGAAGATGTGAAAAGGGAGACATGTCTGGGCCATGGGCACCGGCCTGCAGCTGAAAACAGATCTAGCGAATGCTGGCGGCGCTTTGATACTGTTGTTCGCAGGCTGCAGCTGCGTTTGTCCGGCCAAAGCCAGGACCAGGAGCTTGAACAAGAGGCTGAGCACACACAACAACCGATTTCGTCGCCATTCATCAGAGAACCACGGCAGCACAACAAGGAGATATGTCTCGATGCAAGAGAGGTGCAGCAACGTCCGCCACGTAATGTGTCAAGCTTGACAGATGCCTCCTCCAACGAATATAGCACCAGAAGTTGCCAGAGTCGAAGTTCCAGTAGCCTCAACCCCAACGCAACCGAGTTTATCGCAGAGTTTTCAAGCAGCCAGCGACCCGACGCAGCTGTAAATGCACAACCTGGTGTGACAACCAAGCTCACAGCACCCAGCAGGAATGCCGATGCCTCTATTCAACGGGAGCCGAGATTACCTGTCCCGCTTCAGGCGCGTGTTCCACTAAATCAAGCTCCTTTTGTACAGCCCTTTCAAGGCGAAGTGCCTAGAGCGATGCCGCAAGTGCGCAGGCCTCAGCACATGGCCCCATGTCAAGCGCCAATCAACAACTCATCGGCTGGGCTTATAGAATGGTATCCGGGTCCCACGTCAACGGCGATGCCAAGGCCATTACAGTATCACAACGATTATAATCACGGCTCTCAACTGGGTCCTACAAACTATCTCCCTTGTCTGCCACCGCAGCAACGGCAGGTGGTACAACCTGGACGCATCCCCTTGCCACCGCTCGATGCCATGGACCAACAGAGGATTGAGGAACATATTGAGTATTTGAGATCAACAATTCCCTACTATGCAGACATCTCCAAGAAGAGACAGGCCGCTCGTTGGAAGCTGCAGCAACAGCAACGATGGCAGCGGCAACAACCATGGTGGCGCAGCCAAGTACAACCATGGCCGCGCCAGTACAATCAGCAGCCGCTTTGGAACGCTTCCTGTATGCCTCTGCAGCAATATCAGCAGCAGTTTTCTTTTGTCCAAGGACTTGTGTGAAGAGCGAAGTGGAAGTATTGAGTATTTTAGCGCATCGTTTTAGAGCAGGAACAATACTGTCGAAGGGGGTCTCAAAACGTGTTTTATCATGCATATCACTAAACCAAAGATGAACAAGAAGCGTAAAGGTAGCATAGACTCGATGAATAAAGCATTGCATTGCCCTTCAGTCAAGACGTTGGCTTTTAATTTGAGCCAACCTGTCATGGGATCGTATGGGCGATCCTTTGTGGTCATTAGTTATGCAAGGAACGGTGAGTGTCACACAATAGGCTCCAGCCCTCGTAATGTATATTCAAGCTCTGTGCATTCCCCTGGAATAATTGGCTGGCCTATTTTCGTCTTGCATGGCTGTATGGCACTTGCATAGCAAACAAAAACCGAGAGAAGAAAATACGCTTTTGCAGTGCGGAGTCTCCCCGCGCTTTCTCGCGCCAACCCCGCAATATACTGCATTCGTCTTTTAACGGGGAGCTGATAGCGGGCCCACAGCTAATCGCCCAACCCCTAAACACAGATCAATGGCTTCTGTAACTGACTCGTACTTCGCTTCGACTGCTCTTTTACATGTCTCCCTTTGATTTTTGACGAACACGGTCGATATTTGCCAAACTAGAAAACACCCGGTCCCTACCTCATATCTTTCAGTGTCCTCTGATTCTGCGATCCCTTTGCTTTAGTGAAAAAATTCCACAGCTCCCAATATTGCGCAGACCACACTTTTACTTTTATCCATGCGCTAGCAGTTGCCTAATTCGCTCAACTTAGGATAAGCTGAAAACATAAAAATTCAATAAATCATCAGCCATCATGTGCATACATATGCAAGTTTACTCCTATGTGTTCAATTTTCGTTGTAACCCATTTTCTTTTGAGATTTCTGATTTATTACTTACGCATCGCTGTCTTTGCCTCCTTTTTCGCGCGACTAAGAAAGCTGCATCAATAGGTGCTTCAACGGGATGAACTATCAACACGCTGCCAAGGTACCAGTGTTACTTCCGCAGACGCCACGACTCTCCCATCTTACATGATCTTACATGGCAGCCATGTGGCCATGCACATCACTTCCAAGGCGGAAGTCCGGTATGTATCTTACTTTGATCCTATTGCACGGTCAGACGACAAAGATAAGGACAGGGGCATCCTACCACATACCGCAGCCGGTCGAGATCCTGTGCAAATTAGCTCCCGGAAGACGGCTGAAGCCTAGTACATACCTAACGAACAAGATTGGCGGCTTTCGCTTGATGCCCTGTTCAGCGAATTTTTTGTCACATCGACCGGGACGGCAAAGCGGCTTGGCTACATAGCCGAAAGAGTTCCTACACAGGCGGAATGTGATTGCCGAATCGGAGAGTTACTCACAGTAGCTTGCACCAGCACGACTTACTTGACTACCCCGTTGGCATACAGCGTTTGCCGATTTTCCATTTTTTTACAACTGCTCAGAAGTCTCGGGTAGGATCTGTAGATAGGAGCTCACGCCTCCGGAGCCGATCTCGTCAACTATGTCCTCAACCAGACCAGATAGCCGGCGGTGTAGTCATAGTCTCGCTGTGGAGATCTTATCACCCCGGACAAGCCGGTCATGTTTCCTATCGTATCAAGACGCTGTGCAGGCCATGGTCGCATGCGCGTACTCGTACATCGTCGAGCAGCTCGTCGTACTCGATTCTACACCGACTCATTAACACGGTGTCAGAAAAATCTAGTGTGTCAAACCCTACGACAACTACTCGCATCACATCATCACCCTCTCTCTAGCTATGTCACCGACTTTGCCATCTGCACCGTCGTCCCCCACGGTTTCTGTGCTCGAAGGATGAGCAATGGATCACTCCCAATCGCTCCAATCGCTTCAATCGCCACAATCAAATCAATCCAACCCGCCAGGCCCACCAGGCCGACCAATGCATCGACAGAATCAGTACGATCAATGCATGTTATGCAGGCAATGCGGGCGATGCGGAGCGTTACAGGGAAAAACGTACTCCGTACGTACTTGAATCCTAAACGTGTGGAAATAGTGTACTGTAATTATCTAGCTTGTTATCTCCTGTCTTATCGCGTTTGCCTCCCTCACGCTTCCCCTATTCCTTCGGGAGCATCTCGCAACGGGTTTCCTTCCAGTTGCGTCTGTCGGCCTCCGCCAAATAAGGTTATCTTGCTTTTTCGACCCCCGTTGCTCCAGGCTATGGATGTATGTAACTGCTCATGACTCGCCATACAGATCATGCCGCGTATTCGATACCGCCCTCCGCCGATACTGATAAACCCCATGTTGTTCCGGGGGGACACTTGACGGCAAACTTTGCCTAATCAGTCCAATTGTTCCGAGCGCGAGTATTTTCCCGTTCCTCTAGATATTCCGAAGAAATGCATCGTTCTAGCGTACCTCGGTTGCATGTTCTCTCGCGTTAGTGCAACCACATAGCCGTCCAGTGTGTTTGCCTAACCTGAAGGGATGAATGAAGCTTTTCTCGCCCCCCCTCTCATATCTTTGAGTACGAAGTACGAGTTGCTGGCCAAGACGCCGCCAATAGCCGCCACGGCCACCAAGGCCACCAAAGCCACCAAAGCCACCAATGCCACCAATGCCACCCTGCAATCTCTGCATGTCACCTTATTGTGCCCCGCCAAGCCCCACACGCACAGCCAATCAGCAGCAGTAACGGCCTCGCGCTGGCCGGACTACTACAGGAATTACAAGGGCGGCACAGTGCTTCGCTCGTAAGATAGCACAGACGAGTCAGTGCGTATCTCTCAGCTCAGTACCGTCATCAGAGAAGCGCTCGCACGGTGTGTTTAATATCGCCGCTTATGTGCCCCGTAGCCGTAGAAGTCGTATACGTATCTTACGACTTCCATGTGGCCCGTGTTTTGAGGTCGTACCCCTGGCTCCTTGTCGCATTCCCCGCCATTACGTCGTTGCACATTAGCGGCTGAGCTCTTTCGATTCGGGCCTTGCTTTAGCCACTCAGGGCAGAACGATGGAAAATTCTGAACCAGCCCGGCAGGGCTTTCTGTCCTGTTTTCGCCCCTATTTCTCTGCCTTCCATGCAGGATGGCTGCAGATGCTGCAGCTGCCGCAAAAAGCTGCCATGTCGCGAGGATCTCTGGCTCAGTCAGCTCTTTCTGTTCCTGCTTTGTTTTTACGTCGCACGAAAGCTACCGTACATAGCGCACATACGACGTAGATATTTCCATCTCCATATGTTCTGCGTACTCCGTATCTCGTTCCCTGCGTGGAGACGGGCCCATTTATCCAGCCCCAAAGGATCAGCTAAAGGCTCCGCCAACACCCAAACTACGACGTGCAACCGGCTCGGAGACGACGGCGGCGACGGGCGGTGACCCCGGTTTTATTTAAATAAGTACGGAGTACATGGTGCTTTGTTGGCACAACATTGGTCTGCCCGACGCAGCATGGGGGCAACGCGGGTTATCAGAGGATGGGGGACTATCCCGAAACGCTCCCACGCAGATTAGACATTGCCATTCGCATGATTCGCGTGACTCGCCCACTTTATCTACTCTGTATCTCGCTGTACCACAGCAAAGTACAGGCACGGCGAGAGTATGTACTTCCGTTTACAAGCACAACTGGTGCCAGCCTAGGTACCTCTAGTGGCAGATCTGATTCGTAGTAGCCTGTCTGCATATCGTACGGATGTCAGTTTGCTGTGAGACGTTTTCCGACCGTTGCTGCAACTGTCATGGTGCGGCCGCTTTTAGGCGGCATCTCATTTGTCTCTCGATCAACTGCCTTTTCCATGCTCCGTGCAGCCTGTGAGCCCACGCTAAATTTTCAAATTGTCCCTATCGCTTGTTCAACTACTTTGCCTTTTTCACTTTTCAACCCATATTAATATGCCACCCGCCCCCTTCTTCTCTCGCCATCTTTTTCTTCCTTTTTCTTCACCTCTTCCTTCCCTCTCGTTGCCGCCCTCGCCCTCATCCTGATTCTCTCTTTCTCTCTCTCTTTTCTTTCTCATAGTCGGCCCTCTCGCTCATTCCAATCGAGATTCATTCATAGATTCATTGGTTGCGCCATTTTTTGCCCCACGTGTCTTTTCAGCTATCAATCCCGTGACAGAGCAAGGCTGTTCCCAAGCCAAGATTTTCGAGCCTGCGCCATCGTGCGACTAGAAAAGCTTGTTCAGACCAACAGGCCGATCGACCGACCGGAACAATGGCCGAAATTGTGGCCAATGCCGCTCCGGCTCATCATCCGGCCGACGACATGCTCGACCCCGTCAAGCCGGGCGTCGAGGACAGCGATGCCCAGGCCCTGGCCGACATGGGATACGAACCAGTATGTGATTTCGAGAAAGCGAAACACCTAAATCATCCAGGAATCAACCGCTAACAGCATCTAGGTCTTCCAACGCCATTTCTCCCAATGGACCCTGTTCAGCTTCGCCCTCAGTGTCTCTGGCCTCTTCGGCACCGTCATGACCACCTTCTCGTATCCCCTCGAGGCTGGCGGTCCGGCTTCGGCCATCTGGTGTTGGCTCATCTCCGGCATTGGCGCCCTTTGTCTGACCTTCTCTGTCGCCGAGGTCGCCTCTGCTTACCCCACGTCCGGTGCCCTTTACTTCACCATCAAGTACCTGGCACCGCCAAGCTCTGTTCCCATCGTCGCTTGGATCGATGGCTGGCTCAACCTGGTCGGCCAGATCTGCGGCAGCGCCTCGTCTGAGTATGGCTCGGCTCAGATGCTGCTCGCTGCCGTCTCCATCGGCTCCGACTTCACCTACTTTCCCACCCAGGGTCACATCATCGGCGTCATGGCCGCCCTCTGCATCCTGCACGCCGCCATCAACAGCATGTCGACCGCCTGGCTCAACCATCTGGCCAAGACCTACGCCATCTTCCATATCGCCGTCCTCGTCGCTGCCTGTGTCGCCCTGCTCGCCCTGACAAAGGACAAACACTCTGCAAAGTACGCCTTCACCGAGGTCATCCCCGATTCTGGCTGGACTCCCCCTGGTTTCTCCTTCCTCTTCGGCTTCCTGTCCGTCGCCTGGACCATGACCGATTACGATGCCACCGTCCACATTGCTGAGGAGGCCAAGGATCCTGCCCGCACCGTCCCTCGTGCCATCGTCCTTGCCCTCACCTTCACCTTCGTTGTCGGCTGGCTCTTTAACATCGTCCTGGTCTTCTGCATGGGCGATCCCGCCGAAATCCTTGCCAGCCCCATCGGTCAGCCAGTCGCCCAGATCTTCTACAACGTCCTCGGCAAAGGCGCATCTATCTTCTTTGTCGTCTCTGCCTTCCTCATCATGAACTTTGTCTGCATTACCGCCCTGCAGGCCGGTTCGCGCACTGTCTGGGCCTTCTCCCGTGATCAGATGATCCCCGGCTCTCACATCTGGTACCGCATCTGGTCCAAGACCGACACTCCCGTGCTTGCTGTCTGGCTGTACGCCATCATCTGCATTCTCATCAACCTGATCGGCCTCGGCAGCTACATAACCATCGCCGCCATCTTCAATGTGTGCGCCATCGCCCTTGATTGGTCCTACTGTATTCCCATCCTCTGCAAACTTCTGTTTGGCAGATTCCAGCCCGGCCCCTTCTACCTCGGCAAGCTTGGTTATGTCCTCAATGCTTGGGCCTGCACCTGGACTGCCTTCGTCTCGGTCATCTTCCTCTTCCCTACCGTCCGGCCTGTGACTGCCGACAACGTGAGTCTCGCTGCTTTTTCTCTTTTGGCTTTTCTTGCCTTTGCTAACCTACTCTCTCCTCAGATGAACTACGCCGTCGTCATTCTGGCCTTCGTCTTCATGGTCGCTACCGGCTACTGGTTCATCCACGGTCGCTTCTACTACACCGGCCCCCGGGCCAACGCCACTGTCGACAATGGCATCATTGTACCCGTCGAGAACGTCCACGAGAATATCGGCGATCCCGAGAAGGCAGCGGCTGCTGCTGGTCTGCACCGCCGGAACGTGGGTGGGGATGAGAAAAATTAGTTAATATTTCTACAATCTGAGCATAGGGAAAAAACCAAGAGAATGGAGATACAGATTTTGAATACCTGAGATACCCCGGAAACGATGTCTTACCTCGCTACTTACGATAGAACTAAATATTCCTTCCAAGGACACAAGACAGTACTTATGAGTGATTTTACCAGCAATGGGCATGCATCTTTGGCAGAGAGCAGGCTCTTCTTCTAACATCACTGTCAGCCGGTTGGTTCAGAAATACAATAAAAGCAGACCATGGCACTCTATTTACAAATTGAGGAGAAAGCCCTGATGGCAGGTGTCTGTTGGAAAATGCGAGTTTGATTGTTTATGAAGCTAGTCCTTTCCTTGTTCAATGCCCCAGAGCTTCCATTGCTATGCTATATACACAGGGAATCTTTGACATTGTGAACTCGGATTGCAAGTCCCAAAGGCAGCAAGCAATTTCCGCATCCCCAACCTTTATGTGCTACACGAATCGCTCTTTGTCGAAAGGAGGGATGACTACCATCAAAGTGGAAGATGAAGAGAGTCGGAGAAATCAGCCCGAATCACTCCTAAGCCAGAAGCAAACCGGCAACACCAATGAGACCAACAGCAGCGAGAGCAGACACGCCACTGCGGGTTGCCGATGACATCTTCACCTTCTGGATGCCGGGTCGGTAGCCATCCTGTCCTTCGCCCACCGTTGCTGCATCGAGGGTGTTCTTTTCTTCGTCATCATCAACGAGAGTCTCTGTCTCAGGAGACTCAGTCACTGATACGTCCCGCTCCGAAAGCTTGTGATCATGGTGATGATGGCCGTGGTGATGGCTTTCAGACGGCAGACACAGAGTCTCACCCGGAGTCAAATCGCACTGAGCACTGAGCCAAGAGTTCTCCTCCCTCAGTTGCGTGAGGGTGATGCTATGAGACTGGGCAATCTTCCAGCAGCAATCGCCAGCAGCAACGGTGTACTTCTCAGAGCCGTGATGGCACTTGTGGTGATGGTGATGATGATGCTTCTTGTGGCCATGGTGGTGGTGGTGCTTGTGTGAAGATTCTGACGAAGGTTCTGGTGCAGGCTCTGTGTTGGGGTCACCGCAGCCACCACCTTGGCAAGCCAGAGCAGGTTTGGGGTGACCACAGCCATTCCCGTTGCATGCCGAAGTAGGCTTGGGTGCACCACAACCTCCCCCATTGCAACCACCACCGCCCCCAGTGGCAACAGTAGTCGGGACGTAGACAGTTTCTGTCTCTGTCTGTTTGATGCATTGGGTCGACGTCACCTCATCGACAACAGTGGTGGTGCAGACCCGGACCACGGTCTCGGTGGTAGGGTCGGGAATGTAGAGTGTGGCAACTTGGGTGGCTGTTGTGCAAGCATCACAACGTCTGGTGACAGTTGTGGTGACGGGGGGATGATGGTGGTGGTGCTTGTGGCCATGGTGATGAGCCTTGACAAGAGCTGCAGAGGTGCTCAGAAGTACGATTGTCCACTTCATGATGTATTGTGGCAAGGAGGATGAGCTTTTGGCTTGGTAAATATGAACTTGAGTTGTAGGAAGAAGGGGGTAATTCTGTTTGAATAAGTCTGATGCTGCACACGAGAGAAGATGGATGATAAGAAGAGAAGAAGAGAGGAGAGAAACAATCAGGAAGAGGAGAGCACGAAGTTAAATACACGGCAGTTTCGTCTAGGACTTCTTGTCAGGCAAGACAGGACTACGAGGAGTCGATCCAAACTGCCATTTGAAGAAGAGAAATATGGGAAGGCGCATGCTAGTGAAGTTGTGTGAAATCATTGATATCGTCGGCATAGAAAGAGCCATCGGAGTGTGAGAGCCGAAGGAGCAAATTGACGGGAAGGAACACGCAAGGCACAATACAAACACTCTCAGCATGTTGCTCGAAGTGTATTTCTGGACAAAGCTCGGAAGGAACGCAAAGACAAAACTCACGGAACACTCCTTATTCGAATCTTACACGAATAGGAGCATCTTGTACGGGCAGTACGTATGGGCCTGTAGGATGGCTGTGCGTCTAGGAAGGAACTCTGAAGACTTTTTCTCGTTTGAGTAAAGGAAAGAACGACACCGGAAACAAGGGGGAGGTCAAGCATGTGCAAATATTCCTATTTAAACAGTATCAGAAGGTGCCACCGCTCTAGACCACATACACATACGCCGAATCGGCGATTTTTGTCTCCATTTTCGGGGGTTAAAGACGCTCCTTCCGGATCTCGCCACACCGGTCATGCCATCAGTGCCGTTAACACCTGGCTGGTGTAGTCTTGTTAAATAACAGTCTCTTCTCTTCACCCATCTCGCCGGCTTTCCCAATGACAAGAGCCCTTTCCGTAGATTTCCAAACGCCCGCCCATGCGCAGCAACGACCCAAAATGTAAAAGAATAAAATCAAATGTGTTCAATTATGAATTGTCGTACACCAGTAGTGTCAATGAGTGAGTGGACCAGTTACTCGTCCGGCACGCCTGAAAACAAGCCGACCCGCATGCGATGGCTCTGTTAGAAGCGTTAGTTAAAGTCCCGATATCAAGATGCGTCAAAACAGCTTAAGCTGATTGACCAAACGGGAGATGAGAGCAGCACGAATTTGAGACTTACGTAGGGAAGTTTTGGGATGATCACAGCGAGCAGGGCAAGGAAGTTGATAGTGAAGTAGGTCAAGTCGTAGTGTGTGTAGTGTGTGCTCATCAAAAACAAAACGATTGGTACGCTGAGAAGAAACTTCTTTGCTGGTGTGTATTGGTCGCCGTCGTCGATCTGCTCCCACATGTTGAGATTGTCGTAGGCCCCGCCGTTGAATTCGAAAGGCACGCCTCGCACCCAATGGAACATGACGTAAGAGCCAAACATGTAGGAGATGTTCGTCAAGGTCCACGATGTCTCCTGCGACACGCCCGGCACGATGTTGTATAGAATCTTGAGAAGGCCAATGATGACAAAGTGAACCATCCAAGCGCCTGTAAAAGAAAGGTAGACGCCAGTTAGCTTCCATCCAGATCCTGTTGAAGCTCGAGTCTAGATGCACCAACTCGATTGGTGCGCAGGACAATTACCTTTGGCATTTACCCAATTGGCGTTTCCATTGGGCAGGGCTGACTGATCGTTCAGCTGCTCGAGCGGTTCAAGCGGCTCGTGATAGACCTGGAGGATACTACTAGATCTCCTCCGTCGATTGGTCTGCGGCTCTACCATCATTGCGGAGCGTGATTGAGGTGGTGCGTTATTGCCAGCGAACGAGGCGCTGTTCCTGCGACGCGGCGGACGAGTGCCCGCGTCGTAAGAGACGGTTCGGGAGAGAAGAATTGGGGAAGACAGCTTGGCGGTTTTGGCGAGGACCCCTTAAAGCTTTTGTTGAAAGGGACAGGAGATTAGCAGAGGACGAGACGCGAGTCCTCTACAGAACAGCAGTGTTTGAAGTGCGGATAAGAATCCGATGATCGATGATCAAAAAAGCTGGTGGCGATGGGCGGTCGCCGGGAATCGCCAGAGCAAGGAGAGATGTGCTTTTGATGGAAGCCTAGTGCTACAATATGCAGAACTGAAAACAGGGGTATAGCTGTTCAGACGGCAGATGATGGAAACAGATGAGTGATGTCGACAAGAACGATCTTCAAAAGCCGTGATCGTAGTGTCGTCGAGGGATGCCGTAATCGATAGATTCAGTAAGTTGCAATTGTTGGGAGGCTTGAAAAAGGTGAGGTACGCAGGGTGAGAAGAAACCAAGGGCAGCGAAAGAAGATGTGTGCACAATCGCAGTCCAGACTAAGGCGGCGAGCAAGGGCAGAAACACGGGCCAGAAACAAGGGGCGTCCTATCCTAGCAGCAAATGGAACAACAATAGCTACTAAATATAAAGCTGGTGGAGGTGCGTTGTCCTTTACGAGTAGACGAGGCGATGAAACAGGACTGGTGATATTAGAGAGAGAAGAAAATACGACACCAGAAGAATTCGGAATACGCATAGGGGGAATCAGTTGGGTCGTGTTGCTGGTGTGGAAATTGACCTCAAATTTTAGTACGTCGTAGAGAGCAATGGGCTATCTGTTAAAATGCTGCGCCACGATACTCCCCATTTACGCTTACAAACACGTCAAGGCGAGGTATCGCCGCTGGGCCCGCTAGCTGGCATGCTGTGCGGAGTACGGAATACGGATTTGTCCATTCTCGCGAGACTCGGTGGGCGAACACATGGAAAAATGCGGGACTATGAGGCGAGTTTTGGCATAAAAGGCCTACAGTAGTCGCATCTGCCACCTGCATACGTACTCGGTATGCATACATCTAGATGAATGGTCACTTTGGCTGGTGCCTGGACTCCTCCTCTTCAGGCGGAGCAGGCCGCCCCGAACACCAACCGGCAACAACATTAATCCGACAGGGACAGAAATATCCTGCAATGTGAGCTTCTCCAAATTCTGCTAGCTTCCGCCGATCCCCCTGTATCGACCAATCCGAGTGGCCTTTTCTCCCATTCGAAAGGAACAGTGTGAGGACGTACGGAGTGCGAACACGAGATATTTCCCGACGCTTCATCATATAACTAATACCCACTAACTGACTAGGCGAGTGGAGAGCTCCTATTCGAAACAGGGAGCTCCAATATGTCCAGTCCTTGCTAGCCGCTCCCCCCCTTTAGAATGACCGAAACAAAGGTGCAGCTGACTAGAGGTCACGACCTTCCCCCCCAAAAGTCGGGCACTGAAGCCAACGCCGGTGTCGACATGTCCAATATAAACGCCATGGTACCCAAGCAAGGGGCAGAGTTGACTGTCAAGAAGTTTAATATAGAGTGGAAGTTTCCGCCACTGCCCCATCTGCAGCGTGCCTGCACTGAGGAAGCTGGCCTGGCAGGCATCGAGACTTGGTTCCTGTCGTTTATACAACTCAACTATCATGGCTGGCGCGTATTGTCATCTCACGAAAGCTTCCTGCTCGAGGCTTTCGGTATCACAATGAATCGCTGGCCTTCGGATGAGTGGGACGGCCGGCCCTCTAAAAGTCGGTTTAGGGAGATTCTGCGGGCCTTCTCCAGTAGGGAAGGCTCAAGCGAGAGGGTGAAGGAAATTTTGAGGCAAGGGCTCAATACACCAAATCACCCAATCCTCAGCATCCCATACCCCGAGGCTCAGAACCCTGAGCCGACCATGCCTGTCAGGGAGGTCGACGAATTACGCATGTACTTTCCCGGTGTGCCCGAAGACGCGACATTCTGCATATCGTGTTCATCTTACGGACACCGAGCGAAACAATGCCCAGCGAAAACATGCAAATTTTGCGGTGACAAGAGCGAGAACCATCTCACTCTTGGCTGTCCCAAATATAGAATATGCCAACAACATCAGCAGCCTGGGAATGACACAGCCGTGGGGGTGGATCGGGTGCCTGCAGACGGCAAGTCGGCGACGGAGCCCGAACCAAAAATCAGCTGTGCAATGTGCGGCTCCTGGGGCCATTCCATGGACAAATGCTCCCAGATTTGGTGCACGTATCTTCCATGTCCGAACAAAGCACGCAAGGTCAGAGAGCTGCCCGTCTTTTGTTATTACTGTGGCGAAGCTGCCCATTTCGGCGCAGATTGTGTGCTCAACTATGGAGAGCACTTGTCTGGCCGTCAGTATTCCCTGCAGGATGACATGTGGTCTTCCAAATACAGCGCTCTGTTCATTGACGAAACGAGCCCTAATTTTCCGATTGTCACACTAGATGCAATGGGGGCGGAGGTTGTTTCTGCAGGCCAGGAGGAGACAGATGCGGCATCTCGACAACCAACTCCTTGTCCGAAGAAGAAACGCAGCAAAAAGGATATCGATAGCAACGGTCAGGATAGAAAGAACCAGAAGGCGGCACAGCCCAAGACACAGACCCAACCTAAAAAGAAGACGAAGACGGGACCACCTGGACCACCAAAACCGTCGGACAAGGAGAAGCAAGCCCAGCCTCAATCCCAGCCTCAGTCTTTGCCTCATCCGCAACCTCAATCTCGACCTCAAACCCAAACCCAGTCCCAGACCCAAGCCAAGGAGAAGAGGAAGAAGCCCAGGGCGAAGAAACACGAGCGACAGGCAGTAGCAACTATCGAAAAATAGGATTGCGATATTTAGGAAGCTTGCTTGTCGGCGATTGTGACGTCTGCTGAGGAGAAGCATTTAAGAGGATGCAATCAGCAGTCTATGTTCCCCGAGTACGGAGGACATTGCTTTTTTTGTTTTTTTGTCAACTTAGAACATCTTACGGTGGTTTCTAATCCGAAGCGTGATTTGGTTTAGGTGGTGTGGAAACGACGAAGCATCAGCATAACATTAGACGCATGAGCTACTTAATATTGAATCAAGCGTATCGTTCAAACGGAACCGAATATTCGTATAAAGAACTACGAGGGGCGATATAGTCAAGCAACGAGTTGTGTCTTGTAAAGACCATTGGGTGTCATGTTTACGTTCCACCCTGCGTGTCCAGAGATGTTGTTGTTCGTCACGGACCGTTGAAATAAGACCGTTCGGCTTCCAGTCCTCCATTGCTGTTTTGCAATGGTTTGAAACAACTTTGGGGACGGGTTTGGTATGCATGGCTGCCATGACGTCGATCTCCCGGTAAGAGGACCATGAACCAGCTTGGAGCCAAACACGGATATGATAGACGCGGGGTTGTGGCTAATGTTCCGATCTGCAGAATTTCAGTCCTGGCTTGTTTTGAAATTGACGAGGTTGGCGCCAGGCACACATCCGTACCTGTAGACGTCCATCGATTGGTCGGGCTGGGTATGTACTCCGTACGTACAAACAAGTTCCTATGGCGTGCTGTAATTTTTCCATCTGCATCTGAGCTCCCATCGTTTGCGCCCCGCAAAATGCACAGTGTGTTCCTTGCATCGGCCTCCGGCTTTGGACAAGAGCAAGGTTGCCAACCGGCCGGCCAGCGCAAGTGATCTCCGGAGGCTCCGATGGCATCAGCAAGGCGCTTGTTTCCGATCTGAAAGCCCGTTTGCAGGCGAGGTTGCGACCGTATTTCGCAACGCACGCTGCAAGGTCAAAATACAGAAGTCTTGGCGTGTGAGCCAGACCAAAGACGCGCTAAAAGAAGGACCGCGCCGCGTCTACGTGTCAGTTTCCCGTCAAGTTGGCGTCTGTTCAGAGGCAGCCAATGAGTCCCTGCTGCAACCCTCCCCACCTTTAGTTCGAACCCCACCGCCAACTTGTTGAATGTCGACAGCGAACCGATTGAGGTTCCCTAGTCCGCCTGCATAGACGTGCATTGGCTCTGCTGCAACTGTTTGTTTAGCGGCGACACTACGAAGAGGGGACGGAGAGAGAGCCCGAACCGTTTACTGTCTGCCCAAGAGCAGCCACTAGCCAGTGAGAGGAGATGAAATGGAGAACACCGAGACAAGTCAGGTATTCAGCCAGGAGAGAGTTGGCCACTGTTTGGCGAATCGTGGCCGACAACACACATTGCTCATTTGAATAGGGTGGCAGGTACCCCGTACAGTATTCGAGGTGCCATCTCTCTGGTTATGCTTCTAATCTGGCCTTTTTCGGCCGTCTGCTACTGCAGGCCGACAGGCCACCTCTGCATACGAAAGTATGAACTGTAACGATGATAAGGTTCTCTTTTCCGAATGTAAAACGACCTGCAGGAGACGTGGGCCGAATGAGTCACTCATCAACCACTCAGCTTCTCCGCCGTCAACCATCAAGCGACACGACCTGCCGCACAACGACAAGGCTCTCTTAGCCCTGCAGATCACATGGGATAGGAACGAATCCGGCCCTCGTGGTGACTGTTCTATCCGCGCTCTTCCCCACTCAGCACCTGGTCCAGTCGTCTCGGGACCGCGTTCGTGGCGCGCAGAGGCTGTTGGGAACGGTTGTTTCTGCATGATCCCGACCAGAAAGAGCCAGAGCGAATATGGAGGGGAGGCTGGCGGACAGAAATGGGCGAAGAGGTGCTGCCCAGGCCTTTTTCGCGTCTTGTCCCGTCCCCGATCGCCCATTCGAGAAGTCCGGTATTAGTGGAAACTGGATGGGTGAAGGTAAGAGAACTACGTATAACACCAGGGCCGGATCTCTTCCCTCCCCTTCCTCTTTCTTATTCTTCTTTTTCTTGTTTGTTTCTGTTTCTATCTTCCACTCTAATATCACCTGTATTATCATATCCTCCGGAACCCATCTCCTGGCGAGAACACTGGTTCCTGATTCAAGTGAAGCCTCAACCCAGATCTTAAACATCAAAGTCTTAATAATATACCCTATCTGTGCCGTTCAGTGCTTTTTTATTGATTGACCATTTGTCCATCTATCTGTTTCATCCCAATCGTGTCAATCAAAGGACTGCATCAGTCTAAAGAGGAGTCCCAGAAGAGTGTCCGGCCGCATCGTCATGATACAGACATGGCTTCCACAACACAAACATTCTACTGTCTCTGGCAGGACGAGCGCATCCGGGAGACGCTCTTTGAGCTGCTCGACAAGAACGACATCAGCGCCGTCCGGTCGGCCAACTCAGCCTGCTGCAACCTCGTCACCCGACGCCTCTTCTTGCGCACCCATTTGACCTTCACGGCCAACACATTCACCAAGCCAAGCCGAGTGCAAGCCCTCTCGCGCATCGGCCACCATGTCGAGCATCTCACCTTCTACCTTCCGCACTCGGACGCCACCTTTCTGCCGCCACTCCTCCATCCTCTGACTGGCCGTGAGATCAGCTTTCTCTACACGCCACACACATCCATGGCGTCGGTGCTGACGCGCCCAAAGTACGGCAATCCGGGACTGGGTGATGTCCTGACCCAGCAGTATCCGCCGCTCTTCCACGCGGCGACCAACGTGCCCTCCTTTCTCAATGCCATGAAGCACCTGCCCAACATGCGGCACCTGACCATCCGCTGTCCCGGCCAGGACCCCAAGGAGCGCTACCGCCGCGACATTGTGGACTACGCCCTGATCAGCCTGCGCATCTCGCTGGAGCGAGCTCCGTTGCTCAAGCTGTCTAAGCTCTCGCTGTCGGGAGTCCACCCGGCTGCCTTCAACTATCTGCGCCACGTGCCCGGCTTCGGAGCCATGCCATCGGCCGCCCGTCGCTGGCGCCAGATCCGCAAGCTGTACGTCTCTGTCGATGCCTGGGACTTTTATGGGCCGTCGCCCGGGCTCGACCAGCTCAAGATCATCGACGACTACATCCGCCACATGGCTCCGCAGCTGGAGAAGTTCTCCTTCACCTGGCTTGGGGACGATGGTAGCGCTGAAACGGGCGGACGCAAGGGTCCCTGTCCTATCGCGCTCTCGGGTGATGCGCTCCTTGCGGCGCGACGCGAGGGCCCCAAGAAGCTGTTCAACGAGGTGACTAGCCCGATGTCACCACTCCCTCCAGCGCCACATCGGGAGCCCATGCACTTCCCGCGCCTGCGCTGCTTAACTCTGCGCAACACCACCATGCGCACACCACAGTTGTTCGATCTGGTCGAGCGGCACAAATGTTCTATCCGCGAGTTTAACTGCGAAAACGTCTCACTGGTGGATGGTGGCAGCTGGGAGGAGGCGTTTGCACCGCTCTTGAGCCAGGTCAACAGTCGTGGCAGCAACATTTGGCAGCACAACGGTCACAATGGCAGCAGTCACATAGAAATCGACGGCAGCAGCGGCAGTGGAAGACGAAATGCCTCTCCGGCTCAATCGAACTTCCGGGAGAGCTTGCACTTGATCAATGAGTCCTCCTCGGGACCCCCATCATCAGCGTCCTCCACTGTTACTTACGGGCCATGTGCAGTGGCATCGCCGGATGACAAACAGATACCATCCCCGTCAGCCGCTGTGGACGCTGTATCTCGTGACCTGCTTGAAATGAGCACTGCTGATTTGCAGAGCTATCTCAGTATTGGTTCGGGCCAGTCATTCGTGGTAGAACAGCCACGGCCAAAGGTGTCGGTCCCAGATGCAGATGAGTATCCCATTTGGATGACGCCTCCGCCTACGATTGAAGAAGAGGACGAAGAGTATGAAGATGAACTGCTCAAGGAAGAAGAAGGCGTCAGAGAAGACGAAGAGAAGGAAGAGAAAGAAGTCCCTACCTCGGATATAGCAGCCCCCCACGAAGCCGGCCTCACATTCACAACCCAGCTCAAAAGAAAACATGAACGGCGACGACATAGACGACACCAAGAAGGCAATAGCAGCGAGGCCGGGACCGAAGGGCGCCGATCACGGTCCAAATCTCACGGCCGCCAACACCACCACAGCCACAGTGACAGCAAGGGTACCACAACTGACCGCGAGGCCAAGTCAAAGAGAAGCCGTTCACAGTCACGCAAACGTGAACGCAGCCGGAAGGATGCATTTGTGTCTCGGAGCACAACAACCACGACGCCACCACTGCCTCGGGCCATGCCCATCCATCCCTTTGCCCACCGCATGCCGCCACCACAACCCCGACCGAAACGTGTGGGCCAGCTTGACCACAGCTGCAACAGCGACGACGACGTATTTGGGCCGCAGGCACCGGGACCTCCAGCAGCAGCGCATACGCTGTCCGTCGCATCCGCACAGGTTGCGCCGCTCAACATCTCGGCGCCCGCTGTGGCAGCCGATCCCGAGCCAGTGCTGCTCCGGCCAGCCGTGTACGACCCGTTCACAGCAGCCAGCCCGGGTGCAGCGAGCTCGTTCTACAGCATCATGAGCGCGGACTCGGAGGCGCAGCGGCGACAGAACCAGCTGATGATGGCCGAGGATGCCGATGCGCGGTCGTCGGCGCTCAAAAAGGCCAAGGAGGCGGTGCTGTTGAAGCTGAGCCGCGAGTTCAACCGGCGGATTGGCCGAGAGACGGCGCAGATGGCGGCTGCAGCAATGTCGGCGTCAGTGCGATCGGATCTGGCGGCAGCCCCGATGGCATCGTCGACTTCATCGTCGCTGCTGAGCAGTCTGCGCTGGCGTGAACGGCTGTTTGGCGACTCGTTGGCGATATCGTCGCAACATCACAGCATGGAGAGCAACTCGGCCGTGGTCCCGCTAATATTCAGTCGGGCATAAAACGATCGGCCGAGACGTAACATTACGAAGCATGACTCATGATCGGACGAGGTGAATGGATCAGAGCTGGACGGGGGTGGGACGGCTTTTATTTTGCTTCATTCCACTTATTCTACTTTTTGCTGTGACACTTTGACTTTTAAAAGTATCAAATTTCTCTTCCCATGCTTGATGGATCACACCTTCTTAGTCAGGCAAGAAGACATTAAACCGTTTCCTCTCCACTATTCCGTACATAGTATTGTGCATGCAGCTGGCGAGCCTTACTCATCGTCAGCTCACCGGCTGTATGGAATGCCGCGCAATTTGCGGTGATGCATGCATACCTATGATGAGGTTGATTCCTTTGTACGCTCCTTCGCGTCAGCCATCCCAGGGGCGTCGTTCATCAAACCTGCCAGTGTACAAGTATATCGCGCACCTAGATGCCTACGGACTCCCCTGGCTGCATGCCGTGCCCTTTTGCCTCTTTGTAGCTAATGGCTGTCGCGGTTCTATGAGGTAAACATGGGAACATATTTATTCCGTTCCTACGGACAGCAGGAGCTGCCCATTCTGACCTCCACAGCGTCTCGACCCCACATGGTTGTCTCATCCTCGCCGATATGATAGGTATGTCTCGCTTAGCTCGTGCTCTGACAATCCCTGTCTTAGCCCAGTCTAGCCCGTTCGATGGGGGCCTCGACTCTTATTAAACCGTCGAGCCAATCGACAAAACTGTGGGATAAGCTGCCACCGAAGCCGAGCACGAGCTGTTAGGTCTGTGTACTGATCGCCTGCCGTTCTCTCGATGCTCCTTCATTGTTCTTCGCTCCTTGCCTCTGTACGGTTGCCGTCTTTTGATCAAGTACGGCACGGGCTTTCAGGATACTTTCCGATCCTGCCTTTTGAACTGGCGAGGACTGAGCAGCAGAGCAGCACGCGGCACCCGCATCTTGCCTTACGATAATACGTGGAGAACGGGCGGAGAAAGGCCGGGAAGACGCATCCGTCAAGTCGAATCGGATTTCAGCCAGGTTAGTTGCGTGTGTATACCTTGTTATGCCACCCCTTCGGGAAGTGAGGTGGCATCGAAAGCTGGAAGAAGGGTTGCTTTGTCGTTCAGCTTTTGCCGCTCTGTCTTCACTACTCCTGCCTCCGGTTTCTACTGAGCGAACACGCCAAGCGCCCCGGAAGGCGCTGCCAAGACGCCGCAGATTGCCGACGACAAAGAAAAAGATCCATCATCGGGGGGGATAAACACTGGTGCCGAATACGAGCCAATGTCGTTGGACCAGATGAGAGAAACGTTACCATCGTGCTGACAGCGGATTTCCACAGCCTCCCCTACAGATCTTTTGGCAGACTTTCGGTTCGCGTCTTGCCTTCCTTGCTGCAATCAAAAGGCTGGAGCTGGACAGCCTAGCGAAGTGATAGCAATTGCGAATACGGAGTTTGTTGATGCAAATGCCAATACGGAGTACATTGTCCCCATCTCCACCCCTTCGCTATCGGATCTACGGCGATTTGTTCTCCCTCGAAAAGCTGGTGCGACCCTTTCCTGCCCGACGGACCCCAGCTGCCAGTCACCCTTAATCGACGTCTATCTACAACGACATTCCTTTTAGCCCCTTTTGCATGGACGGGTCGCCATCTTTGGCTCTTTTTCGCGACCCGAGCGAGATACTTGCACTTTGTCCAGCTCAGCTCAGCCCAGCATCAGCATCAACATTGGCATCAGCTCCAGCATACCATCAGCATACGTCGTACATCGCTTTCGGCGCCAGCACCAGCCAGCGGTGGCCATTCATTTCCGAGGAGCACGTGGCATCAGGCCATCAAGGACAACGGGTCAGAATCGAACAGTTCGGAAAAGTCTCCACTCGACTGTTCCCCACGACATGCAGGTGCAACGAGCTCGACCGGCAAGTTCGTCGTTGTAGAGCGGCGCAATGAGGGTCGCTATCCGCGAGCAGCTCGCCGTGCTCGTCGTCTTTGCCGTTCTCGTCGCCTTGGCTGTCGTGTCCATCCCGACATGGGTTTTTGTGAACCGTTTTGTCGGCGACGTGGAGTCCAGCAGCCTGTCGCTGACAGCGTCGCTCAAAGCCGCGCGCGTCTCGTCGGAGATCGACCTGGTGCAGACGACCTGCGAGAACCTGGCCTCTCGCATTCTCATCCAGCAGTCGCTCGTGAACTTCTACCAGGGCAACCACTCCGACAGCAACTGGAGTGATGCCGAGGCCGACATGCAGAGTGCTCTCAGCGTTTCGGGCTTCACGAACATCTACCAGGGCCGACTCTATTCTCGCAATACGTCCGGCTCCACGAACGGTCTCCTCAATGTCACAGGACAGGGTGTCTCCATAGAGCTGCCATACGCTTCGCCAAACGGCTCCGACGTCTACCTTGGCGATCCGGACTTTGGCTATCCGTACGATCTATACCCCAACATCACATACGATGACACCGGCATGCGCAGTTCTGTCGACAACACCACCGACAACTTTGTTGCGTACGCCTTCCCGAATGTTCGGCTGACGAACAACGGCGGCCTGCTCTTGGGCCCGCTAATCATCAACTCCAGCTTCGCTCTGATCTCGTTGACGGTGCCGATCCGCCAGAACAGCAACCAGGGTTTCATCCTCGGATACATGACGCTCATCGCCTCAGCCACCACTCTTATTGACATCCAGGAGTCGAACGAGGGTCTGGGCAAGACGGGCGTCGTGCTGTTCGTCGGGCCAAACACGGTGTGGAATAGGTTCAACGCCTCGTACCAGCCAAGCAACAACACTTACGTACCGGCTAGCAAAGTTAAGTACGGCGAAGTGGATGTGCAGTTCATCCTGCTGCCGCTAGCAGCAGCCTCCGGCCCCAACCGCCACTCACAGCACGACTATGGCGACGGGACATTCTCGCGTACCTTCAGGCTGGGCTCGTATCCAGCTGTACTTGACGCCTTTTCTACCCGGACCGACTCGGTCAACAATGCCAGTGCCACGCTGTCGACAACGAATGAGCAGGGCTACCATGTGGCTGTTGGCGTCGCTCGGCCCCAATCCACGCTCGTCAGCTGGGCCGTTGTGGTCGAGCAAGACCACAAGGAAGCGTATGCGACCGTCAGGACTCTGCGAAAGATTCTGCTGGGCTGCGTCTTTGGCACCGCCGGCCTGGTCATGATCCTCACTGTGCCGTGCGCACATCTGAGCGTGAAGCCCATTCGCCAGCTCAAGTATGCCACCGAAAAGTCCATTGCGCCCCCCGGGTACACGGACGAGGACGAAGCGCCAAGCTCTGCGACGCGGTCTACGCGCTCACGTCTCTCCGAGAAGGACTGGTTTACTCGGATATGCCGCATAGCCGGGCTAGACAAGAAGCCAGCTGCAGTTTTTTCTACCACGAAAGAAGGCAGGGCAGACCATGAACATGACGGCCATACGATTTTCAAGATTCCAGGAAAAGTCCCAGAGCACAAGCACTTTATCACGGACGAACTGACTGAACTCACCAGCACGTTCAATGCTATGAGCGAGGAGCTGTTCAAGCAGTACGAGTCTCTTGATGAGAAGGTGGCCGAGCGCACGCGCGAGCTAGAAATCAGCAAGAAGGCGGCTGAGGCGGCTAACGAGAGCAAAACGCTGTTTATAGCCAACATCTCGCACGAACTCAAGACGCCCCTGAACGGGATCATGGGCATGTGTGCGGTGTGCATGGAGGAGGACGACATCTCCCGCATCAAGCAGTCGCTCAAGACGCTGTACAAGTCGGGTGACTTGCTGCTGCACTTGCTTGAGGATCTGCTCAGCTTTTCCAAGAATCAGATTGGGCACCAGGTCAGCCTGGAGGAGCGCGAGTTCCGGCTGGGCGACGTCCGGTCTCAGGTCCTGTCCATCTTTGACAAGCAGGTCCGTGAGGGCAAAATAGTCTTCTCGGTCAACTACGTCAGTTTTGACCCGTATGAGCTGATGTCGGCAGCAGGAGAGGCGGCAGAGGGCACGGCTGTGGCCACGGATGGTGCGGCCCGCACAACGATGGGGAAGACGTCTGAGCGCAGCGGCACAGACCCGCAGCTTCCTGCGCTCGGTCCTCCTGGCACTGGGCGGCTGAAGGATATGTGCCTATGGGGTGACCAGCAGCGGATTCTGCAGGTGATTATCAACCTGGTCAGCAACAGCCTCAAGTTCACGCCCCACGGGGGTAAAGTGGACGTGCGGATCCGCTGCATTGGCGAGGCCGATCTAGGCGGTGACGATAGCCGAACATCATCCTTCTCCAAGTCAGGCTCGCATCGTGGGGGTCGATCTCGTCTTCGGCTAGGAGGTTCGTCGGTGCAGTCGAGCAACTCCCGAAGTAACAGCAACAACAACAGCGGCGCCGTCTCGACGTCAACACTGACCGCGGCAACATACAAGGGCACGACATCAGGCACAGCGCTGTCGATCAACCCGCTCGACCCCAAGGCAGTGCCTACGACGTTTGTCAGCGTGCACGAGCGGTCACCGACACCGCCGCCAGCAGGTGCCAAGACGTACATGTTTGAGTTTGAGATTCAGGACACCGGTCCTGGGATCGCGCCACAGATGCAGGAGAAGGTGTTTGAGCCGTTTGTGCAGGGTGACCTGGGGCTGAGCAAGAAGTTTGGCGGCACAGGACTCGGACTCAGCATCTGCCAGCAGCTGGCGACTCTTATGGGTGGCACGATCACGCTGAAGAGCACGGTTGGGGTCGGTTCCATCTTCACGATGCGGATTCCGCTCAAATACGTGAAGGAGCGGTAAGTGAGAACAGGCGAGGAGGACAAATGAGAGAGGAGAGAGGAGAGGCGAGAGAACATGCAATACTGACAAATTTACAGAGCGTCGAGCACTGCGTCGAGCAGCATGAAGTCGCGGCCAGCCAGCGTCAGCTCTGTGGACTGCGACAGCCGGCGCAACTCGTTGCTCAAGGCAGCGGGAGCGGAATCGTCCAAGGCCAAGCAGGCGCCGATGCTGGACAAGCAGGCGCGGCTGGTGGGTTTGAGTCAGCCGTTTTTCATGGCCAACACGGTGCATCATCCGGTGCAGAGCGCAAAGGACCAGATGGCAGCGATCGACAAGGTGCTCGCCAGCAAGGCGAAGAGCCAGGACCGAGTGCGGGTTCTGGTGGCGGACGACAACTCGACCAACGTGGAGGTGGTGAGCCGAATGCTGAAGCTGGAAGACATTTACAACGTGACGATAGCCAAGGACGGACAGGAGGCGTACGACCTGGTCAAGGCCAACATGGAGAAGAACCAGATGTTTGACGTGATCTTCATGGACATCCAGATGCCGAATCTGGACGGGCTGCAGAGCACGCGGCTGATCCGACAGATGGGCTATTCGGCGCCGATTGTGGCTCTGACAGCCTTTTCGGAGGAGAGCAATGTCAAAGAGTGCATGGAGTCGGGGATGAACGAGTTTCTCAGCAAGCCGATCCGACGGCCAGCGCTCAAGCAGGTGCTGCAAAAATTTGCCACGATTCCGGAAGAGCCGGAGACAGCATCGCTGATGAGGAATGGGACGCCCGAGAAGGCCAAGCCGCCAGAGGGACTCTCGATCGAAACACTGGACGCTGTGCAGGAGCCAGACGGGGAGCCAGAAGGGCAAAAGGCCACTCCGATACAGAACGGCCGAGCGCAGGCCTAGCGATGGCGAATGCCACATCACCAGAAGCAGCAACAGCAGCAGTGGGGGAATACGCCTGATGCCCAGGAAAGAACTGGGTGCGGCCTTGATACGATGCATGCAACGACGGCTCTGTTGCGGTCCTACCGGGATAAGCAGGGCTTTCCTAAACGGAGTTGGATGGGTAGATACATGATTGGATATCTGTTCACTTGGGACCATGGAAGGGCAAAACTAAGACGCTGTACAACGAGATACAGGCGCGAAGCCGGCGTTTGCATTTGCTTTTGAAATTACACTACATCTTGATAATATGTCTATAATTTATTTGTTCTCAATGCTGCTGACTACTGCTAGACGGTATTCTTTCAAGGCGTTAGCGGGGAAGGCGCGACCGCCGCAAAGATAGCCGAAGATCGGCGGAGGAGCTTCGGCAAGTGCGGCGGGCTAGAGTTTTTCCCCAGATTTATAGCTCCCGGAGGGGTTGTTTGGCCTCATCTTCAGGCTTTCAGAAGGTGATTCGGGTTGAATCGGGATTGTCCGAGTGCATTCAGGTTCGATTGGATTTCCTTTAGGGCTGCCCAGGGTCATTTCGTTTCATTTTGGTCTTTCGGAGCTTTCCTTTAGCATTCTCGTCAGATTCTCCACCTCGCTTCATCCTCTCATCTTCTCGTCGTCATCTTCTCACAACACCGACGATGCGGATTCCCTACGTGCCCAACCCGCCCGAGCCGACGACGGCCGAGGACGCGGCCATTGTGGCCCGCATTGCTGCCCGCCGGGCGCCGCGGCCGCTGCAACCGCTGGACCTGGCGCTGCTGCACGCGCCCGCCGTCGCCGATGGCTGGAACGCCTTTCTGGGGGCGGTGCGCACGAAGACGACGGCTCTGGCAGCTGACCTGCGCGAGCTCGCCGTAAGTCGCGTCGCCGTCGTCAACCATGCCTGGTACGAATGGGGCCACCACGCCCCGCTGGCCGCTCAGGCCGGCGTCTCGGCCGCCGGCCTCGACGTGGCCAAGCTCGATGGCCCCCTCTCGCTCGACCGCCACGATGAGCTGCTTGCAACGCCCGCCGGCCAGCCCGCTCCCCTCTCCGAGACCCAGTGGGCCGTGCTCGTCTACACGGACGAGATGACCCGCAGCGTCACCGTCGCCGACGCTACCTTTGCCCGGCTGCGCGAGCTCTTCGACGAACGCCAGATCGTCGAACTCACCGCCGTAGTACGTCTCCGCCTCTCCTCCCATGTCCTGCTCCATTCGTCTGACTGTGCTAGATCGCCTGCTACAACTGCGTGAGCCGGTTCTTGGTCGCTCTGGATGGTACGTCACAGTATACGCATAGTCCCCCTCCCTTGCACCCAAACTGACAGATTAGTTGGCGAGAGGAACGGCACCGGTCCGGACGCAACACACTGAGAGGTAGCAAGCACTTGTTTGAACGAGGGTTAGATGGTATTTGTGGTGGCTGCGCATCAGGGCGGCTGCCAGACAATTAGATAGGGCTATATACACGACCAGGAAATGCAATTGAAAATAACATCAACCGATATACAGGAGAAATATGGAGCAAGGGAATGGGGTATCTTTTTTTTTTGTTCAGTGGCTGAAGTCCTGGCAAACCCCTTCCTTCGTGCATTGCGGATAGAAATTACGCAAAGGTCGGAAGAGAAGGGGGTAAGAGAGAATGAATATGCAGCTTGGGCTAGCTGGCATTGTACTGGAAAAGAGGGTGGAACAGAAGAGAAAGATTTCGTGGACACGGCCAATGTTTGTGCAGACGTAAGTGGGCATATGCAGGTGTATGGAGGCGTAATTGGGCGTAGATAGGCGTATGCAGACGTAGACTTCTGGAGCGTGTCGTTCGGCCCGAGATTCTTTTATCGTTCTTTCATCATTAAAAGGAAACAGGACGCTCATCAGGTCGTAGATCGTTAAACGTGTGCGTAAAGGGACCAGGTCACCTCTGGGCGGCAGCAGTGGATGTCTCGACAGAGGTGTGACGCTTGTGCAGCAGAGGAGATCGCTGCAGCTCCTGGACGACACCCATCCAACCGGTGCGAAAGCGGTTCTCGTGCGAGGAGGCGGTGGCCGGAGGCAAGGTGGAGACGCGGCGCAGCGCCGGTTTCTGGCGAATACTCTCGAGAATGTCAGAGGGTAGGGCAGGCGGCGAGTTGTGAAGGAGGTGGCTCTGACGGACAGGCGTGCGTGGCACTGGAGGCGGTTGACCCGGATCAGACGGGGACGAAGGCGGAGGTGGTAGTGGTGGTGGAGGTGGAGGAGGTGGAGGCGGTGGAGGTAGTGAAAGGTGCGAAATATGTGGAGGCTGTGGGGGAACCCAGGCGGCCATGTGGGCAGCATAAGAGTAGTCGAGGGCGGAATGACGAAAAGCAGCAAGACGGTCATCGATGGCACCGAGGGTGACCATTTTTTCAAGGTTGTGAGGTGACGAAGGAAGCGAGGACGTATTGACGGAAGAGGCGGCAGACGAAGGTGGCGGACTGCTGGAGAAGGCAGCGCTCTTTTCGACCTTGTCAGCGGCAGCAGCAGCAGAAGCGGCGACGATGCTCATATAGACGACGAGAAAGCGCATGCGGAGAAGGTCGAGACGACGCAGCCGTTCCTCGAGGCGGACACGTCTGGCTGCCCAGAGGATGCGAGCAGAAGTGGCGAGACGGGAAGGGGGTGAAGGTGACGACGGTGGCGAAGACGAGGAGGGTGACGAGGAGCGACGCTGGAGGCCACCATTTTGGCGACGACGAGAAGCGAGTCCAGCAGCAGCAGACGGATAGGATGGCGAAGAAAAGGAGAGCTGAGAGTCCAGCTGCCGGTTTTGCTGTTCGGCTGGCTGGTTGACCAGGACGGCGTTGAGGTCTTCGCGCAGGTCGTCGCCGGCTCGCTGGATTTCGCGCAGCAGACGGCTGAGGCGAATGCGGTCGTCGAGGCGCGGAACACGGGCGACGTCGCGGTCGTAGCTCTCGTTCTCCAGCAGCGATGAATCGGCCGAGTCGAGCAGGGCGGTCATCTCACGGGGAGCAGCCCAGTAGGCGGCGCCGAAGCGGGTGACGATCTGGGCCAGCACGACGACGGAGAGGAAGAGCGCGGTCAGCACGAGCACCAGCGTCCACTGGCGCGCGGCCGAGTCCGACATGGTGTGGCCACGAGAGCGGGTGGTGATGTCAGAAGACTCGGTGAGCACGGTGAGAAGGACGAGAGCGGAAGCGGCAGAGAGGCCGGGGTTAATGGGCGAGGTGGACGTGCGGGCATGGGGCACAAGCGGGCGAGGCTGGCTGAGTTGGGGAAATGCCGGACAAGGGCTGCCTTATGCACGGAGCGGAAAGATATGGATGAGAGAATGCGAAAGAGGGTCAGCAGAAGCGGGAAATTGGGTGGCGGAGATATGCAGGAGAGATGCAGGTGAGCAGAAGAAAAAAAATGGGGGAGAGAGAGTGAAGAAGGCGAGAGAGAGGGGCGGTCTGAAAGAAGGTGCGAGCAGAGGCTTGCGATTGGAGAGGGGAAAGAGCACTCGGGGAGGCTTTTCGTGGCACGTTGCCGTGTTCTACATTATATACTCCGTACTGCCGATTGCTCGTCTGCTTCTACGACGTACTCCCATCATTGCATCGACTGTTCCACCTCTGACCGCAGCCTGTCTCAACCGCTGTGAATCTACGAAATGAGCACTCTTGGTCTGGTGCTCCCTGCTTGCCCGGGTCTCGGAGTACCTCTCCACCGTGGTCTGATTGGCCTGGCTGCCATTAACACGGATGGAAAAAAAGAAGGAAAAAAAAGAAGGAAAAAAGGAAAAAGGGTTGAGCCAGACCCACCAGCCGACAGCTGTTGCCTGCAGCCGCACCAGCAGACGCAGGCAGCAGCGACAGAGGCTAGGGGCACCGTATGTTTGCGTACTCGTATACGGATCGGACTGTTGCTTGCTGACTGCTCCGTCCGCAGTGTGCCGTACGTCGTACTCATGCCACAGGCACCTAGCGCCCTGCGAGCAATCTGCCCCTGCAGACGAGGAGGTCTTGTCACCATCCCGTGGGGTCCAACCCCACCAAAACGAGGAATTCGCACGGAGCAACAGTACCAAAAACCGACAAGACACCATCCATAACCGCACCACAACCACAACCACAACCACAACCACTTCCACACCCTCTTTCATAGTTATGGACGCCCCGCTCCCGCGCATACTCACCTTTGCCGCCTCGGCACCGTATGAGCTCGTCGCCCAGGGCGCCGAGGCCCGCGTTTATCGCACCACCTATCTGGCGCCCGATCGGCCCTGCGCCCTCAAGTTCCGTCCGCCCAAGGCCTACCGTCACCCCGTCCTGGACGCCCGTCTGACCCGCCAGCGCATCCTGGCCGAAGCCCGCATCCTCAACCGGTGTCGCCGCGAGGGCGTCTGCGTGCCGGCTCTGTATGCGGTGGACGTTGTGGGCGAGGACGAGGGAAAGGGCGCCCAAGGCGGCAGCTTGCTGACTGAGTGGATCGAGGGCGCTCCGGTGCGCGTCTGCCTCAACGCCTGGCTCGATGACCATGCGGCAGACACCGCAGATGCGGCCACGCTCGCGTCTGACCCCGATCTCGTTAGTCTCATGCGGCGCATCGGCTCGGCCGTCGGCCAGCTTCATCGCGTCGGCATCGTCCACGGCGATCTGACGACGAGCAACCTGATGCTGCGGCCAGATGCTACCACTGCTTCCGGACACCTCGACGGCGACGTCGTCGTCATTGATTTTGGCCTCGCTAGTCAGAGCTCCTCGGACGAGGACCGTGCCGTTGACCTCTACGTCCTCGAACGCGCCTTTGGCAGCACCCACCCGCGCGCCGAACATCTCTTTGCCGAGAGTCTGCTGGCCTACGAGGCCGCCTTTAAGCAGGCCAAACCGGTGCTTCGCAAGCTCGAGGACGTCCGCATGCGCGGCCGCAAGCGGAGCATGTTGGGGTGATGTGAGAGAAAGAAGAAAAGGAGAGGGAGAGAAGAAAAAGAAGGCGAGAAACAGATCTATTGCGTTTTACGAATGAAAGCAGATACCCTCTTCGTACGAAGAAAGCAGCCGGACGAACAGAAAAAGCGATCAAGGCTAAGAAGAAAGCTGCAACGCTGTTTCCAACAGAACAGAAACGCCCAGAGCCAATGCGCCAAAGTATACCAAACGAACGAGTCCCGTGTGAAGCTCAGACAGCCCGCAGCGACGCACCGGCAAAGTATCCCTTGTTCTCGATCACGCCGCGGTCGCGCACCACGGCCGTATACTTGACCACCCACTGCGGCGTGAGGTCGCCGCGAAGGGCCTCGCTGTCGCCAGCCGGCAGATCATCGACCGGGCCACCCGCCAGCACGCCGGCCCCTTGCAGTCCAGGTCCCAGCAGCTCGCGCAGCGTGCCGGGCGGCAGCACGTCCGTGCAGTCGGTATGCACCAGCAGCTCGATGTTGTGCCGGCGGGCCAGCGTCGCCAGGTCCGGCGGCACGCTGCAGCAGCGCTGCAGGTTAACCTGATCGACGGCCGGCGCCACGGCCACGCGGTCGAGCAGCTGGCCGAGCTGTGCCGCTCCAAACTCGGCCACGCCCAGCCGCGCCACCTTGCCCTGGGCTTGCAGTGCTTCGGCCGTCGCTGCCCATGTGGCCGCCACGATGTCGTCGCTGTCCGAAGGAGCCACACTTCTGCTGCCGCTTTCGTCCTCGCCTTCGCCGCCGCCCGGAAACGAGATCACCAGCAGGTCTGCCCGGCTGATGCCCAGCTCGCCAAACACCAGCCTCAGCGCCTCCTCGGCAAACACCCCCCGCTCGGCCGGCGTCGCCGTCTGCGCTCCCGACACAAAAAAGAGCTTCACCGTCGTCTCGTACTGTGACGCCTCCTCCGACAGCCCCGTCACCGCCCCGCCGTCCGTCCAGTCGAGCCGCGGTACATACAGCACCGAACCTTCGCGCTGCGTCCACGTCGCCAGCGGTGGCCGCCGGCTGCTGCTGCTGCTGGTGGTGCCCGTGCCGTTTCCAAATGCGTGCAGGTAGGCGCTGCCGTTGCCGAAGCCAATGTCATCACTGTCGCTGTTGCCGCTGGCCGTCGCCAGATACTCTTCGTCCTCCTCGGCCGCGGCAATGTCGGCCTCAATATCGGCCGCTGCTGCCTGTTGTGCGGCCAGAAAGTTGCTCCGGAGCGAGTTGGTCAGCTCCAGGTTCGACCGGTACGCTCCGGGCTTGCGGATGATGGAGGGTCCGCCGGAAACAATGTTCCTACAACCCGGCACCGGTCAGCAATGCCGCAGAGGGGCCAGAGGGGCTATGACGCTCAGACTGCTTCGTACCCGGTGGAAAGAATTAACTTGGTCATGGGGGGCGGGCTGGAAAGCCTCAAAGGTCCGGCCTTGTTCGCTATGGCCCGTTCTACTGTAGTCGGTAGAGGCAGAGGCGGGAGGCAAACATGTGTACACGGATAATTGTTCAGGCAAAACGCAGAAAAACAGAAAGATCGAAAGGGCGACAGCAGCCCAGCCAGAGAAATAGTCTGCCGTTTAGCGCCAAAACGGAAGAAGGCAAAAACAGCTGAAGATACGGAGTATAGGGAATACTACGCGTGCTCCATAGGCCATTCCGTGCTGGCGCCATGCATTACTAAGCAGGCCTGCCGCATCACGTCAATGGCAAAGGCGTGCTTCCGGGCCACGAGCGCAGTTGGCCCAAGACGGCAGCCGCAGCGGTTACAGCGCGCAATTCTGTCTGTTAGTGGCCAGTTGCCCCTCCCACAACACCTGTATTTCCCGTTACCCCGCCGTAGGGGTTGGACGTCTACTCCGAACTGCGAGCAGTGGGCCTCTCCTTCGACCTGGCCGCCCCACTCGCCAGATCCAGTATTGATAAAAATAACACGATTCTATTCCATACCGCCGCATCCCCTTTCGCACCGGCACAACCGCAGCTTCGCTCTCTCCACCACGCTCACGCCCAGCTTGCGCGCCCGTCTCGACCGCCCGACCCGGCCGTTTTTTCTGCCTGTTTCTAGCCATGGCGATCCAGTAAGGAGATCGGAGCCCCTTGCTCGCAGCCCCGACGTGCCGTTTCCTCTGACCTCTGCTCAACAGCTATCTCATCCTCCTCTCCCGGCAAGGCAAAGTCGTGAGTCCTGCCACGCATCCTCTGCCGGCCTGTCCGCGTTTCTGACCCTCTCCAGCGGCTGGCCAAGTGGTTCAGCACCCTCTCTCCCCGCGAAAAGGCCAAGATCGTCAAGGATGTCACCCAGCTCGTCCTCGCTCGCCGCACGCGCATGTGCAACTTTCTCGAGTACAAGGGTACGCGGCCCGAACAAGACCGGCTTGGCCTGTGGCTCTGCACGCGCATCTTGCTGACGGCCTCGGCCACCGCGAACAGACACCAAGATCGTCTACCGTCGCTACGCATCCCTCTTCTTCATCACCGGCTGCTCCTCCGACGACAACGAGCTGATCACGCTCGAGATCATCCACCGCTACGTCGAGCAGATGGATAAGTACTACGGCAACGTCTGCGAATTGGACATCATCTTCTCCTTCACCAAGGCCTACTACATCCTCGACGAATTGCTCTTGGCCGGCGAGCTGCAGGAGAGCAGCAAGAAGAACGTGCTGCGCTGCATCGGCCAGCAAGACTCCCTCGAGGACATGGAGGTATGACCCAGCCCGCGCTTGCTTTCCGTCTGCTTGTCTGCTTGTCTGCTTCCGTTCCCTCGCAACCCGCCCCCGGCTGCCTTGCCTTGCTGTTCTCCACCGCGCCTGTGATAGGCCGCCCACCTTGCTCCTCTCACAAACGCCTCCGCAACTCCCCCAAAGCCCTCCATTCTCCTCGCTGACCCTTCCACCTCTGTCTTGTTCAGGTTGAGGACGAAGTCACAAAAATAATGTAGAATCTCCAGACGTGACGGTGTTTACCGGTGGTGTCTGAAGACCCCCGTGGCTCCCGCTGTCTCAGCCATGGATCATGCTGTCTTATTTTGCCGTCTTTGTCCTGTCTCCGCCTGTCTGCCCGTGCAGACCTGTCACAGTCTATATTTTCGATCTACCGTACGCCTGGATGTTGCTAACGACGGCCCTGTTCTTGGTGTCGACAGGATGCGGAACGAATCAGGGGTGCTCTTCAGGAAAACGGCCTTTACTGAGCGTGGCCGTCGAGCCAAGACGGACAATCCAGGGCGAACAAGCAAAAGCGAGATGGGCAAAGACAAGACATGGCCAGGATACAACGGCAAGGAAATAGCGGCAAGCAGCGATGCTACAATTGCGCCGACATAGGGCGACGGCTTCATTAGGGTGCACTTTGCACAGGGCGTTTGGGAACAGCGGCGCATTGCGACCATGATTGTTTATTATTGATATTTGAAGATTATCTGCATGGCCGTTCCTCCACACGTGGAGATGCTAGCAACGACTAAGTAACTCGTACATTCACCATTGCTTCACGTGGCGACATGCCGAACTGCTGTTTGCTGGCGGGAATTGCCCATTACTAATCTTGGCGGCCAACTAAGGCAAAGTACCCGGTATCTGACGATACGCCGGGCCCTTTGTCTGGTGACGCGATAACCATGTACCCCTTGCCAAAACGACATCACCTTATCAAGACGTAGTGCACTCGTCATAGAGTCAGCTGGCGCATTGCAACCCCCCTCTTCTTCCCGGCCGGAAGATCGCAGAGTGCGTGTTCCATCCACTTTACCTTTGCTCCTTCCTCCGTCACATCCAGTCCTCTGATATCCACCTTCCCCAGCACGCAATCCGCTGTTCCTACCTTCTGTCCCTGTCTGACACTGTCCAATCAACTTGCGCCTGGTGTCGTTGTGCTCGCACTCGACCGCCTCCACACACGTCGCCACGTGAACCTGGCAGTCGCATCACTGCTGCATCGATCATCTGCCTCTGCATAGTACAGAGTATAACTCCGGGCAAACGCCTCTCGCTCCCCTCGTTCACTCCAACAGTCAATCCTATCAAACACATTTATTGTACTCATTATTGTCACCGCATCAGGCTACTGCAATCCTATCAGTTCAGCACCGCTCGCCCGAGCCCGATCAGCTGTCAATCTACGATCTACTGTCCTATCGCCAATCTCCTTTCAGCCTTTCCGGAAGAGACAGCATCGTGTCGGCCTTCTCTGTATTCGATCCGTTTACTCCCCATCGGCTGATCGCATTTAATTCCCAGAGCCCCCATCTTACGCCGGCTCTGTCCCTTATCGCCAATTTGTTTAAATGCTTCACAGACTCGCACCGTCACGATGAAGGTTCGCTTGGCTGATCTCTCACCGCCCTTCCCTGACAGGTCGCATTTGCCCATCCTCGTCTCCTCTCGTGCTGACCTCAGGCCACCTCCAGTTCATACCTCTGCGCGACTTTGACATTGTTGCCAGTGCCCTCAACTTTGACACTGCCGACTGCCACGTCACCGGTGGTTGCGACCTTTACACAACCAAGGCCGCCGGTTCCGACAAGAAACTGTATAAGAATATCGACAAGTCGCTTGAGTCACAGCATGCCGCTCTGCTCAAGCTGGGCGCCAGCCTGAGCCCGCCCCAGCGCGAGTCGCTCGCCGTCAGCCACAACCTGTCGCGGTCCAGCCCGTTTGGCAACCTCGCCGAGATCTCCAGCCGCCGCACGTTTGCCTATCTGATCGCCACACTGAATGCGTCGCATCCAGACTACGACTTCTCTCATGTGCTGCGGCCAGCCGACTTCCGTCGCGAGCGGAACCTGCGCCTGCTCATGAGCACGATTGACAGCACGCTTAGCAACATGCGGCCCAACTCGTTTGTCGACAGCACGCTAGGTTCCGTCACCGGCACATCGGTTGGATCCACAGCGTCTTCGACATCGCCGCCGTGGGGCCCCCAGATGTGGGCCCTGATCAATAAGGAAATGCACCTGCAAGATTGCACCGCGTTTTCGTACCAGCCGGCCGATAACCCGTTTGACGAAGAGGACGGTGCCATCTGGGCATTGCACTATTTCTTCTTCAGCAAGAGCCGAAAGCGCGTTGCCTACCTGTACGTGCGTGGCGTGCCAGTCTTGGGGCAGAGCCCACTGCTGCTCTCCCGGCAGCAGCAGCACCGGCGCCTGTCCCATTTCAGTATGAACACACCGACCACTGCTGGCGGTGGCCGGGCCCGGTTCGGCCAACACCGCGGCAGCCGGAGCGGCCGGCAGGCAAGCGCCGCGGGTATCAATGGCGAAAACAGCAGTCTCTTAACGTCGGCGACAAAGCGTCCGGGCATAGCCATCCACGACGGCGGAGATGCAGCGGGCAAGCGGGCGCGCTACTGGCTGGGCGACCAGGCCGACCAGCTCGTGTCGCTCGAGGAGAACGGCGACGAGGACGAGGATGCAGAGATGCAAGACGTCCTGTTTTGGAAACGGGAGGATGACAGCGACACGGACCAGTACTTTGACGATGCCGGTGGGTTTTTGACGGACGACGACGAGGACGAGGTCAACAATCTGTCCATGGACGAGCAGGACGAGGACGAGGACGAGAACGTGGGCAAAGGCGACCACTTCGACGTGAGCCACAAGCGAAAGGGACCGGTTCGCGCCATGAGTGAAGACATTGCCGCCCGTATGGACATGTAGTGCTCTGTGTGGGGCGAGTGGACGAATATGTCGGCCTGCGAACAAGGGAAGGGTGGAGGCATATCATAGTGTCGGGTATTTTGGGCTTGCTTTGTTGTTTTTTTCCTTCTGGGTGGTTGCTTGTCCGTGTTGCTTTCGTTTTCTATTCTCGTTCATACTAGTCTGGAGGTGATTGATACCAATGGAGGGCGGCGAAGGGCGGCGAAAGGCGGCGAAAGGCACAGGCTTGTGAGAGATGATGCTCGAGTGGGAGAGCATGATTGAACCGCACTGCAGGTATAGGATGGCCGGTATGGAACAGGATAGCATGGAATGGCGTTGGGCGGAGCAGGCGGGTCAGGCTCAGCAGGCTGTACTCATGGTTGTCACTTGTCGTGTGCATGAGTTAGTCGGTCAGCTTTTGACGACATAAGTGTTTCGCATGAAGGCAAATGAGACCAAGACGGACTGAATGAGTGAAAAATATACTGCAATGTGACCTAATCATGCATGCATTAGTTCAGGCAAGGAACATTTTGCGTATACAGTGTTATTTCATTCCTTGACACTGTATTCCAGTCCCTGTACTCCACCTGTATCTTCGCTCCAGTAAGTAAAATGCACAGTGTACAGATATACATTCTTACGGCCTGACATAAGGCCCAAAGGGTGCCGAAGCTTCAGCCTCGTTTTGTTCCCACTTGACGATAACAACGGCCGGCTCGTTTCCCGTCTCCGCAACGCGACGACAGTACAATGTGAAGCACACGCCATAGGCAATTACTCGGGGTCTCGTGGAACATTCATCGCGCCGTGCGCCTGTAGCTGCCGCGACACACCGACCGCCAGCTGCGACTATGTCATTTGCAGCTGCGGCCACTGGCAGCAATGCTGCAGCAGCAGCTGCTGGCGATGTGGTCGTGCCGGCGCAGCTGGGCTTTTTTGCCATCTACAACCCGAGTCTGGGCATGACGGACGAGACGATTGACGACCAGATCGTGTACTACGCCTCGGGGCCGTCGTCATCTTCGTTCTTCGCGCGGCGGAACAGCAGCGCCAGCACGAGCCAATATCGTCACCACCAGACGCCATCATCGACCTCACCGCCCCTGGGGTCATCCCCGTCGTCGTGCGGCCTGCCATCAGCCTCGCACGCGGACGAGCGCAACGAGCGGCTGCGGCAGATCGGCCTGGCCCAGGGTATGGTCGCCTTTGGCAAGAGCTTCTCGGGCGACCAGCCAGTCGACACGGTCGAGACGGACAAGACGCGCGTCGTACTGCACGAGCTGGAGCCGGGGTGGTGGCTTCTGGTGGTGAGGACGGACCATTTGTTACTGCTTGCTGCCTTCTGCCTTCTGTTGCTGACTGCTGACTGCTGACTGTCCCTCAGTCGATCAACCTGACGAAGCTTCCGGCCCTTCCCGGAAACACAAACAACACAAACACGACCGAGTACTCCTGTCGGGAGGTCAAGCCGGCCACGCTGGTGCTGCAGGATCTGCTGCGCGCCCATGCCGTCTTTCTGCTGCACCACGACGCGTCGCTGTCGGCGCTGTATGCGCGCACGGCCTCGCCAGCCGCAGCGGCACCGTCGCGCTCGCGCTTCACTGCCCTGCTGGCCCGCTACTGGGATGTCTTCCTGTCGTCCTGGTCGGTGCTGCTGCACGGGAACCCCGTGCGCGACGTGCTGCCGGGCGTGCGTATGGCCGCATGCGGTGAGCTCGGCGTCGGTGTTGGTGAAGAAGACCGCGGCAGCGGCGAGCGCGAGGTGCTCGAGGGTCTGGTCGAGCAGACGGACGGACTCGTCGACCTGGTCGTGTGCCGGTTCGGACGCGCCGCCGACGACAATGAGGCCGATGAGCTGCACCAGGACAGCAGAGACAGCAGAGACAGCAGAGACAGCCAGGCCGACAGCCAGGACATGTTTGGACGCGGCCGTCCGCGAAGATCCGCTTTGTTCGACGACTACCATGATGCCAGCAGAAGCAGAAGCAGAAGCAGCATCAGCATCGGTGGCGGCAGCAGCGCCGACGACAGCTACTACGACGACAGACGGACCAACAGCAACGCGTGGCTAGGCAGCGGACGCGGCATCGGCGCCGAGGACGGGGCCATCTTTCTGGGCGTCGGTGCCCTCTCACGGCCGTCTCTCCGCACGGTCAGCTACTGGATGGAGGACATCTACAGCTGGGGGAAGCACGCGTACGGCGTGGCCGAAGACCCGTCGGTGCTGCCGCGCCACGCAAAACGGCGCAAGAGACGAAGCGGGACGATGACAAGCATATCCGAGCAGCAACAACAAGAGGAGCAGCAGCAGCAGAAGCAGAGACAGAAACAGCGCGCACGACTCGCAGACCTTCCTCCTCTCTTACCACCACCGCCAGTGACGCTTCTCGCACGGCGAGCCAAGTCTGTTTCGTCTCCGATTGCCACGTCCAGCGTGTCTCAGTCCAAAAGGGACGCTACAGAAGAGGCGGCTCTGTCGGTGTCGCCCGCCAGCTTTGGCCCCATGGACAAGTACAGGTCCTTTATGAAGTTCGGCTACGGCACATACTGGAGTCTGGGCGCAGGAGGAGGAGGAGGCGGTGGTGGTGGCAGCAAGAACGACGACTCCGTGGACCCTCTGACTGTCTGTCCCGCAGAGACGAGCACAGATGCGATTTCGAGGGCAAGCAGCGTCACACGCAAACGTCACGTGCCACGCACTACTGTGGGGCAATACCTGATTGGACTGACCAGCGAAGGAAGCACAACCGAGGCAAAGAACGGCGGCGACGACGGCCAGCAGCGGTCCAAGACGGGACCGCGAACGGTCGTGGTGGATCTGATTGAGAGGAGAGTCGGCCGGCCGTCGTCGCAGGACACGCTGCGCTACTTTAGCGAGCCGCAAGGCCTAGACGACGACGACGCAGACGACGACGAGACAGCAACAGCAACAGCAGCAACAGCGACACCGACGCCTGCAGCAGACAACCCGGCCGTCCGTTCAGGGAGGCTGCGGGTTGTCGTCTTTGCCAAGCAGCCCTTCCTGTATGCCTTCTTCTTCCAGGCAGCCGACGGCGAGGGCGCAACCAAGGACGAGGAGACCGTCCAGACGCTGCTCAGCCGCCAGGTGACGGTACTGCACAAGCCGCTGCTCGCGTCGACGTCGTATCGGCCCAGCCGGCCGAGCCTGGCCGGCGTCTCGGCACCGTCGCCGTCAGCATCGCTGCTCTCTGTGGCCGTGGCGGCCGCGCCTGCCAACACCATCTACGACCTCGTCTGGGATCCGCGCGCGCTGACGATCCACTCGACCATTCCCAACATCCCTGATCCCGGCACGGTCAGCATGCAGAGCGCCAAGCGACGCGGCAGCAGTATTATCGGCATCGCGTCGCCCTTGTCGGCGCTGTCTTCGCCCTCGCCCTCGCCCTCGCCCTCGCCGTCACCTGCATCGTCGTGGTCCCGCGTCGAGGCCCTCAACACGCACATGCAGCTGCTCAGCACGTATGCCACCACGCGGGCCAACGCGGCCGAGCTGGAGCGTACCTGCAAGACCAGCCGCGGCTGGTGGGTGGTCTGGAACCGCGTCGTCGAACGCTCCTCGTCGTCGGCTGCCGGCAGCACTGGCAGCACCGGCAGCGTGTCCGATCCGCTGCTCGAAGAGGACGAAGACGACGGCAGCGACCGCAGCGGCTTCAAAACGGGCTCCGACGCCTCCCGGCCGACCACTGCCACCGTGGCCACCGGCTACGCCGTCAGCAAGGAAATCTTCTTGCTCAGACGCGCCGGCGATCATGTCGAGAGCAGGCTGGCCGCTTCAGCCATGCGGGCCATCAGCGGCTCGTATCTCGGTCGTGGAGGAACCGCTGCCGATGGCGCCGCCGGTGGCACCGGTTGGACCGATGGCGCAAGCCGGCTGACACAGGGCATGGGCGTAGACACAAAGAGGTACATCGAAGGGCTGCTGAGCCTGAATCGGTGATGGCTGGCATGGATGCATAAATTGGATTACGTAATGGTGATTCCGGATAGACAGAACGCATAGAATAGAAGGGCGAAAGCGCAATGTTTTTACAGAGAGCACATAGGGGACAGTTGTGCAAAGTAGCGAATGTGATTTCCTATACATGCAAACGAATGTCTATGTATCCCCTGAATTGCCTACCGGGTATGTCCCATATAGATGTGTGATGCCGTCCCTAAACCTTCATGCGCCTCCCCATGTTTTGGGGTCGGCGGTTGGCCATAAATTGTTGCCCCGCTTGTGCAAAACCATCTTCTTCCATTGGCGGCATCGCAAGCGACGCTCGGCCTTTTTGTTCCTCCAAATCGGGGCTTGCCATTTGGAAGTAACGCCATTTATACATTGTGGAGGGTACACAGTCAACTCTCGCCTGAGTGTGAAGGTTGAGAGAAAAGAGCCCTTCCGCATAAATGACAAAAAATGAAGCAGGATCAACTGCCCAGAGGATGAGAACCAGAAAGTAGGGTCCCAAAAAGTATAAGAAAAGAAGAGAAGAAAAAAAGAGAAAAGAGAAGAAGATAGGAAAAAAGAAAAAGGGAGTGTAAGAAGAAAAAAAGAAAAAAAGAAAAAAGAAAAAAGAAAAAAGAAAAACCCTCAAGCCCATTCATTCCTCTCTTAGTTGTTGTACCACCAGGTGACCTCAGAGCGGCCAAGGTCGGTGCTGCCAAAGATGGCATCGAACACGGTCTCGCTGACATCGATGGCGCCGTAGGCACAGCCCATGCACTTGTCGTGGACCAAGGCGGTGGCGGTGTTGCCGTTGGCGCTGATGGTGATGGTGCGGCCGCAGTTGGGGTTGTCGTTGGACAGAGAGCCCATCTGTTCGACGTTGATGGCGACAATGTTGGTAGTCATGTCAAGACCGGTGTCGTCAATGCCGCACGAGCCGAGGCCAATCTGGTAGTAGGTCATGTCGCCGGTAAAGGTGGTCTTGCCAGAGCTAGAGCCAGAGCTGGCCGTGGTAGCAGCGGCAGCAGCAGCAGTGGTCGATGTAGTGGCCGGGGCGACATAAACGCTGCTGAACGTGGTAGGTACGACAACGGCAACGGAAGAAGTGGTGGGCGTGTAAACCGGCGTGTAAACCGGCGTGTCCACGACAATGACAGAGGTGGTGGTGGGAGCAACGGGAGTGGAAGAAGTAGTGGGAGGAGTGTAGACCTGCTCAGTGGTGGTCGGCTCGATCGAGGTGGTGGGAGCAGCCGTGGTGGGAACGACAGGAGCTGAAGAGGTGGTGGGAGCAGCCGTGGTGGGAACGACAGGAGCTGAAGAGGTGGTGGGAGGAGTGTAGACCGGCTCGATGGAAGAAGTCGAGGTGGTCGACGGTGTGGGCGCAACATACACCGAGGTGGAGGTTGTGGGAGCAGCAGAAGACGCGGCGCTCTCAAAGAACTTGCCCGGAGCGACATCCGAGGTGGCGGCAACAGACGAGGTCGAGCTCGAAGATGTCGAAGTCACCGTTGCGGTCAACGAGAGAGTGGAAGTGGGAGTGACCCACTCGGTGGAGGTCTCGTCAATCCACTCGGTGACCACAACAGTCTCCCACTCAGTGGTGTACTCAGTCTGGAGGTCACGCTTGTTGTGGGCGCGGATGTGGGCTCGGTGGCCGCGAGGCTGTGCCAAGGCCATTGAGGCCAGGCCGAGCGAGAGAATGACGGCAGTCTTCATGGTGGTGGTTGTAAGAGGGTGAAAAAGGATCGTATGGCAGAAAAGCCGGTGCAAAAGGAACGTTGCAGTGTGGTCTGAGCGACGGTTATGGCGAGTAGCCGTGATGTGGTAGCTTTCTTGGAATATACCGAAGGAATGTCTTCTCAGATGAGCCTGCTCTGAAGGAGAGAATGAGGAGTGGGTGGTAAAACGAACAGGGACAGAATGCGGTTGAGAGGAGAGAGGGAGAAGAAGGGAGCCGAAAGGGCTGGGGGTGTGCCTTCTTATTCTGGGACGAGAGATCACCAGAAGGGGCAAGGTCCAAGAAAAGACGAACCAGGGGATCAGGGGACAGAGCGCATGGCTGTGGGATGGGTGGAGCCGGCAAAAAGGACGGCGAAAATAAGGACAAAGCAGAGAGGCCGACCCCACAAGAGCGAGCAATTGTAGTGCGTATGTACTGTGGTGGTACGGAGTACTTCGTACGACGTAAGATACATGGCGTATTGTATTACGCCGACATGGGCTGCCCTACTATGTAGCAGGGAGACTTGGACGCCTGAGAGTGGCCGGGAATGTAAGCCCAACACCGAAAGGGTGGGAACCAGGGACTGGAGGGTAATGTTTCGTTTCAAGCCAACGGTAGCAGACGACGATTGGCTGGACCGTCCGGCTGGAGCCAATCGGAGGGTGGGGCAGGGGAAGTGCAAGGAACAGCAGGGGCATTCCTGTCGTTCCTGCCGCGATAGTCAGGTACGGCCACTCGCCAAGTGGAAGATTCTTTTGCTCCAGCAGCCGCAGTGGAGTCGCAGCAAAGCCCCCATTGGGATCTGTTATTTGGCGCAGCCAAAATTGCCTACGGAGTACTACTATGTACGAGTAATACGGGCGTCGGATTAGGCGCAATGGCACTCCGTAGGGGACCCCTGTCCTATCCACCGGGGCGGCCTCTGGCAGTGACCTTCTCGGGCGTGTTTTCGCGCTCGAATACGAGCTGATTGCTTGCATGCGGTACGAGTACTATGCACTCCGTACTCTGTACGTACAACTACTCCTATCCGTACCGTGCGAGTCCACCGTGGTGGAGCGCCTCTGCTGCTGCAGTCCTCGGCCAGGACAAAGAGTCCAAGGCGAAGCGAGGACACTGTGCAGCACCGGCGCCGAGCTATGCGTCGGCGCAGAGTGTTCTGGCCAGGCCACGGTCGCATCCTGGCCGCTCGCCGCCGTCGGCTGATGGGTGCAGGGAACAAAGAGGGATGCTGTGCCACGTACCCCGTTGAGTCGCTGTGCACTGTGCGCTGTCGGCAGATGGCGGGGTACTCTGCCCACTGCCCTGGCACAGCAGCGAGCCCTGTACCTGCTAACAGGCCCGCTCCAAGTACCCAGTCTGCAGCCTGTTGATCCAGTCAGTTACATGCCCTGTCCACTTAAAAAAAAAAAAAAAGAAAAAAAAAAAAAAACTTTTTTTTTTTTTGCTACGTCGTATGTACCCATTTTGATGCATCTGCGCGTGCCTGGACGGCGCGATCGGCATATAGAATGCCCTCTTTCTCTTACGTCTTCTATTGCCTGATCCTGCCTCGACAGAGATGCTGTCTCGGCTGTCCGTTGGGGCATAGACGGTGCAGGTTCGTCCTGTTGCCACACAACGCCTATCCTGCCGGCCCTTCTGTCCGGCAAGGGAATCCTGTGGAAGCGACACGTGCCGAAAGAGAGCGAAGGATTCATGCGGTGAAGCATGCCAGAGCTCGTTGCTGGCATGGTGAGCCTTGGACGGGCCGCTCGGAATGCCAGCAAAACGGCTACGGAAATTGAGAGGCAGCTTGCCTTGACTGATATGCGGGAATCGTAGTTCTAATCTAGAAATGGAAGTCAGATGTTTAAGTGCCGCCTTCGACGTCAAGCTTGAAGCAGAAAGTGCTAGCTTTTTTCACGGACGGATGTTGCGAGTGAAAGTTAGCAGACGAAGCCTTGAGCAGCCCATAATTTTCACTTCGCAATAATAGCAATGCCTAACATGGCAGATGCTTGTGAACTCCTTACTCGTAACAGGACGCAACCGGGGAGAGCGGGGAACAGTAGAAAGAAAAAGAGGTGACTTTAGCAGGGGTGATGGTTGCTTGCTAGTAGGATGTACTCCGTACGGAGCAATGCAATGCTTACGTGTAAATCAAAAGCAAATTGATGTTACGTTTCGTCTGATCGCACTGCAGATACTCCGTACAACGCACACTCTAACCAGAACTCAGAAAGCTCCATAATATGCAGGTCCTTGTTTATTCCATTTCCATCGCTTATCCTTTCAACATAGATTGTGTACTCTGTAGAGAAAAAACGCTTTGTCTTGTTTTATTTAATTTTAATATTGGCTCGTCACTTTTAAGATGATATTGGCTTATGATCTACAACACAGACGTCGTTCAAGACACACGCACCACTCACACTCTCTGTTGGCCCTTGCGCGTGATGGAGTAGAGGAACAGGCCCTGCCGGCTGAACACCGGCCGGTCCTCGTCGGCCAGATCGGTGACGCAGAAGCGCTTCTGTGCCTTCTTGACAAACTGCATGTCGGCGCGCCGGCGCTTCTTGAAGCTGAAGTAGACGGTGACCGGCTCGCCGGCTTCGCCTAGTTGCAGCAGCTCCTCCAGCGTGGCCATCAGCAGCGGAAAGGCCGGCTCAAAGTAGATGCAGTCGGCTGCCAGCACGACGTTTGGACGCAGCGCGCGCACCTCTTCTGGGAGAACATCGCCCCTGGTTGGTTAGGGTAGGAGCGAGAAAGCGAGAAGATGAAGAGGAAAGAGTGAAATGGAAAGAAAGAAGAATAAATTGAAAACAAAACAAAAGAAACCTACCAGTTCAACACCACTGCCCGGGCTCTGTCTTGTAATCCATTTAGCGCAATGTTGTGCTTCATCAGAGACAGCATCGGCTCCTGGTCTGTCACGAATATCGAACTGCTGTCGGGACGAGTAGTGGAAGAACAGGATCCGCGGCAGGCGAGTGCCAATGCCAAGCCGACGAGGCCACCGCCAGAACCCAGCTCGAGGCTGCCGAGTGTTAGCAAGGAACTTGCACCTATGTGTATCTTTCTCTCTTCCTTTTACTCTCTTTCGTTCGCCTTTCCCTCTCTTCCTCTCTCTTTTCGTCTCCTTTTGTCTCGTTTCTTCTCTCATCCCATCCCATCATTTCTTCCCTCTCCTCTCTCCTCTTTTCCTCTCCTCTCTCCTCTCTCATTCTCCTCTTTCCGTCTTCTCTCTCCCCTCCTCTCCCCACCCAAACTCACATTCGCGCTGTCTCCATCTCCGCCCGTCGGTGCCGCAGCAGATGCCGTGCCAGCACCATGCCAGCCGGCCACGTCTGGCCGCCACAGCCTTCGGTCAGGTCCTCACGCAGTCGCAGCGCCGGCGCCGGCCGTAGCAGCCCGTCAAAATCGAGCACCGTCTCGCCCGCAGCCTTGTACTCTGGTAGCGGCGCGAGCACGTCACTGTCGGTGTCGGTGTCATTGTCACTCCGGCTGCCCCGATCGCCCAGCCGGAGCGGGTTGAGCTCCGGCGAGGACGTCGGGCTGGGCTGGGCCCCTCTATGCACGATGCTTTCCATACGAGCGGCTGTATGGTACTTCGTATTTTACAAACTGTCTCGTGCCGTTCCTCTCTCTAGATAATACTGCTCTGCTCCTCTCCTTCTCGTCCCCTTCAGGCCCGGCGTGGGCGCCGAAATAGGTGGGCGGTTGGCTGATCGAAAGCGGTCGTTTTGTGTGGCGCTGAGAATTCACACACAAATGAGATCCGCCCATTTTCCCTTGCTCTTACATAGTACTACGGCGATATCCATCCTGATTCTGTCTCCTTCCATTCTCGTGCTATTTTAATGGGGTTCTCTGTATCGTCACCGCCTTGGACTGTCTGCCACTATTTGTCGACAGCCCGATTGGACTGGTCACGTGTGGTTGTACAGCTGCGGACTCTACGGGAAGTATCACCACCAGCTTCCACTGGAATGGTCTTTATGTAAGCCTCGAAGCAAGGCAGTCGCTCGTCCCTCGTCCTCTCCCTTTTTGTAGCCAGCCTGTAACCTGTCTTGGCGCCCCCTCCAATTTTTTCATCCCTTTGCCAGTCGCGCGGAAATCGAAGTCTCACCAGCTTCCAGCTACCCGCCACACTACGACCTCTAGCATCGCGTCTTGTGTTTCGCGTCTCGTCTCTAGTCGTGTTGGAGAGAATACGGAGCCCGACACACCCGGTCTCTTCCCGGCACCGTCTTCCCCCGGCAAACTCTGGCAACCCCGCAAAAGAAGTCAGCAAAGACCGCTTAGCAGCCCGTTCGCTCTTGGGGCTTCCATCGACTTAAATACACATGCCAGAGCACATGCAAGGGCAGAGAGGAGAGTCCCTTTGTTGAGTACCGCTCAGAACGAATCAGCCACGGCCATCCTCCTGCTCTCCCTGCCTTGTCGCTGGAATGCCATGGACGGTGCCTTTTCACCATGCTATATAGCTCCCTCGAACTATTTGCAATCCAGAGAAGCAGTAGTCGCTCCGTCAGACGTTCTCCCTCCATGCCAGAGGTGCCCTTCCTGCCCTTTGCGCAGCACTTTCTCACATTTGGAAACCTGTCTGTGCAGTGACCGTGATGCTCACGGGAGGCAGAAGAACATGTCCGGTCATGTCCTCTTCATCCCTCTGGGGCGACATCGTCCCGCCCTGGGATTGCGTCGCCTTTTGTTATTTCACCGGCTCGTTCCCTCGTCCTCTTCGTCCATTTGTTCTCACCTCTTGCCACTTTTTGATACTCGTAATACCCCTCTGCGACTTTTGTCCAGCCTCTCTTTTCTTTGCTTGTCTCGTCTCTGCCTTTTCTTTCCCAGCCTCAACCTCCGGCCTCCTTCTTTTCTTGTGCCTATGCATCAGTGATTCCAGAATCTGCATACTGCTCACCTTCCTTTTTCTCGCTCTTTCTGTCATCGCCAACCGTTATGGTGATAACGCTCTTGGTCTCTTCGGTCGCAAACAAGTGCTTCGGACGGCGTAGCCTGTCGTCATCAGCCGCTTAAGCGTCCACGAAGACACCGTCTCTCTTCCAGTCTTTCGTCGACCTTCGCCTTGATGCAGCCACCATTAGTGCTGCTCTTGAGGGCTGCAGTCTTGATGAGCCTCGCCAGGCTCGCTCATGGCTCGCCCACTGTCAGCTTCCCGTTCAACTCACAAGTGCCTCCTGTGGCATGGATATCCCAGCCTTTCTCTTTCATCTTCGCGGAGAACACGTTCACTTCTTCATCATCCATAAACTATTCGCTCAGCGACCCCCCAAGCTGGCTCTCCATCGACTCTGATGCGCGCTGGCTGCATGGAACCCCCAAGGAGAGCGAGGTTTTGGACGGGGATGTCGTTGGCTATTCCTTCGGTCTCGTGGCGACCGACGACTCTGGCTCCGTCTCGCTCAACTCGACACTTGTCGTCTCGCGTAACAAAGCACCGGCCGTCAACGTGTCAATCTCCCAACAGCTGGAAGAATCGGGCAACCCGTACTCGGAGCCCTCGTCTCTCCTCTACTACCCGGACAGCCCGGTGAACTTTACCTTTTCACCCAACACTTTTTCTCCCTCGTCTGGTCTGAACTTCTATGCTGTGTCGGGGGACAATTCTCCGCTGCCCTCGTGGATGGCCTTTGACGAGGACGCTATTCGGTTCAGCGGCGTGACGCCGTCGAGCGATACGCTGGTGGAGCCGCCGCAGACGTTCAACTTCCAGCTGATTGCTTCAGACGTCAACGGCTTCTCCGCTGCGGCTGTGTCTTTTTCTGTCATTGTGGGTAGTCACGAGATCACGGTGGATGACCCGTCCGTCGTCTTGAACGCCAGCATCGGCAAGACGCTCAAATACGACGGTCTGCAGACTGGCGTCAAGATCGATGGGAAGCAGGCCAGCTCCAAAAACCTGACAGCGACTGCCCGTTCAGTCCTGCCAGACTGGCTTGTCTTTGACAACTCTACCTGGGAGATCAGCGGCACACCGCCGTCGTCTGCGCAGAGCACGGCCTTTGTGGTCAGCTTCTCAGACGTCCTTTCCGACATGGTCAACGTCACCGTCCAGGTAGATATCGACCAGGGAGAAGTGTTCCGCAGCAACCTGCCCAACATGCAGGCGCAGTATGGTAGCGACTTTTCGCTGGGCCTGAAGCCATACCTTCTCAACTCAACTGGCGTTGAGATCACCGTGCAGACGCAGCCACAGGAGGACTGGATCGTTCTAGACGCCCGGAATTTAACAGTGACAGGCAATGTTCCGCTGTCTGGAGCCCCGTCTTCGGTCTCTGTCTCTGTCCATGCCGCACGGAATGGTTCCAACACCACGGAGAGCCAGACGTTCATGCTGCAGATTGTAGCTGGCGCCGTTGCTGCTAGCCCGAAAACGACAACCAGCACGACTGCGACTGCAGCAGCTTCAGGGACAGCAACAGCTGCCACTGCGACGAATCGGACGTCTACAAAGGCCATTCTGCTGGCCGTGCTCATCCCCACAATGCTCCTCTGCTTCACGCTGTCCTTCATTGCCGGCTGCTATTGCTATAGGCGACGAAGCCGGCAGTGGGAGCGTGCCAATGGCGCCGCTGCAGGTGGCGGGCTGAACGAGAAGACAGTGGTTGGAGTAGCCATCTCCCACGATGGCCGCAGCAGCGATGGCACGACGCTGACGCACACGCCAGAGAAGGCATACAAGGTCACGGAAATACCTGCCATATGCATTCAGCCGGCTCGGGAGGGAGCCAAGAACCACTCACATCCGGCCAATGTTGCCTCTGCTACGACAAGGAACTCTATTATGACTGTCGACCGCGAGAGTAAGCTCACCGGCGCAGATATCCCAGAGTTTCCTACACCTCCTAAGCACATGACGCCTCCAAGAACGAAGGCCGCCAGTAGCGACGCCGGTACTACCGGGCAATGGCCTTTTGAGGAGTCGACGTTGCTGTCCAGCGCAAGCAAGGCGTCTAATCACGGTGAGCTGCAACACAGTGACAATGACAGTGACAGTGCCGGTGTCCAAGGATGTCGCGATATTCTGGGCATCTCTGGCGAGACGTCCACACACAACGGAGGCGGCGCACCCGTGCCGCCAATAGAGTTCTCTCTTCAAAGGGTCAGCGCGGGAACGCCTGTCACCCAGCAGGAAAGCCCTGTCCTCCCGCTCGGCTACGGGAGAAGCCTCTTCCCGGAGGGAAAGGTGGAAAGCCAAGAGGCCATCATCGACAGCGGGGATAAACGAGGCTCAATGTTCGTGGCCGCCGGTTCGTTCAACGAGTCGCGGTTCTCCGTGCAGAGCATCGATGATGACGAGCATGTCGCAGGGCCTGCACCGTCACATCGCATTTTGGGCGGTCTTGCCGCCAAGATCACCAGCCGGTTCAGGAAGCCCAAGCCAGAAGGACCGCCTCTAGGGCCATCACGAGGCCCTCCGCCAGGGCCGCCACCACAAGCACCACCACCACCACCACTACCCACAATTGAGCTTATCCGGTCGCCGGTCGCACCGTCCGAAGATTCAGACTATGGGAGTGTCACGTTCGGCGACGTCACGATGGTGCAGCCGTTTCGGCCGCGGCCGGTTTTCATCACCAGTCCGAATCCCAGCCGCATAATTGCCGAAGAAGAAGAGGACTTGACTCCCCCGCGGCTGCTAGGAGGCGCATCCGTCTCCGGTTCCCGGGCTGTCAGCCAGGGGTCGTCTGCACCAGCAAAGTCGCTCGTCCCGCCTCGGGAACCCGAGAACATCGGCAGCATCCAGGAAAGGCGGCTGTTGGGATTGCGAAAAGTATCGCTATCGACAGGTCACAACGACCTGGACGATGACAACGCTGAGGACGAGGCCAGTGATGCAGCCATCCGCCTTGACCCACCCAGGCCCGCGTTCCTCGGCCCCGTGTCGCCACAGTACAGCGACATGGACCTTTCACAGGAGATTGCCCGCTCCATCTCGCTTCGCAGCCGACGGCCGATAAGTGCCAGCAGTGACTTGAGCGGAATTTCTGCTGCCATGGAGGAGGTACGCAGCCTGTTGCTGCTGCCGTACGACACGGCCGATCCCAGCCGGATAGGGTACAGCCGAATGGGCTACAGTGACGGGCTGCAATCGCCGTCGTCCGGGTCGTGGGAGACGCTGCAGTCTGCAGAGCCGAACTGGACCAGCGTGTTTGACAACGTGGCGGCGCCGGTCCGCCAAACACTTTACGGCCATGACCTGTCCACACCTTTCGCGCAGTCAGGACTGCAGCTGTCACATCCAGGTGGTGATAACAGGCCGTTCGTCTTCCCAGACACCGCATATAACTATCCCGTCGAGGAGTCGATCGCTCCAGAGGTGGAGATGTGCGATGCGGATGCAGTGCTGGGAGCCTATCCGGAGTCACAGCAAGAGGCCTCATCTTCCGACAGTTATCCCGAAGGCTTCGTCGAAGCTCATCTGCAAAATTACAGTCATTCCCCGGAGCTTCGGCCAAGAGGGATCGGCTTGGCTGTTTCCAAGTATTCGCAGCCGCAGATGGACTCACACAACTCTCTCACGTCTCGTGCAAGCAGCGGTGTGTTGGCGTTTATCTGAAGCGCTTGTGGCGAACGAACAAAATAGGCGACTGAGAAAGGGGCTAGTATTATTTGCTGCCTGATTTGAGATACCTATATTATTATACCTGTATTATTTTACTGTACATTATACCAAAGGAGGGGTGCATTTCTCTATGAAAGCGGCTCCGGCGATGGTATAGCCGGGCTGTGGAGGACTCTCAGGAAAGCCTGGGGGAAAGCCTTGAAATTAAAAGGCCAATGGGATGTATTAATTGACACAGCGGTGTGATATGAGTCTGTGACGATCGTCGTAATCGTACGTTTGCTATACTAAAGGTAATCCTATAGTATGTCAGCCACGATGCCTAGGCTCCCGGCTGCCTTTGTTGAAGAGGCAATTTGACACAAGATGATACAACTGAGACTCGTGGGAGGCCTGTGAGGATTAAAAGTGCACTTTTGGTATCGTATATTGTTAGGCTCAGTTCTCCCCTCCTAGCTTTGCAAATTCGGTAGGCAGTCCAAACCAAACCCAACATTGAAAGACGTACTCGACTACAAACTTGTAGAGATGCGACGGGCAGTCACCTTCCCTGTCCTGTCGAAGGCCTCCTGGCCTGAGGCTATGGCAGGGCCCTCCGACTCAGCGGTCAGGTACGAACGGAGCTGAAGCAGGAAAGACTGGCTGGCTGGCTGCATCCACGAGCTTGGGCATAGAGCTGAACAATATACGCTAACAAAGCAGCTGCAGCCAAACACAGAACGGGCTCACTGGCTGCCGCGACCAATCAACTGCGCCGTTCGTCATCAACGCCGCTGCTCTCGCAGCAGCACTCGCTGCGGCACCGCCTGTCTTGGGCTGCTCATACTCGCAGAGCAAATGGCTTCTCGAGTCCGAGCGCCACGAACGCATAGCCGTGGGGGGTCTAAACCAAAGTGCCATCATCCAAAGTCTGGACGAGATGCTGCACAATACCAGCCAGTGGCACTTCGAGACAATCGCCAATTACGTTCCCTTTTGTCCCCGTCACTCCGAAACGGGCGTTTTTGACACATTTGAGGGCTTTCGCAAGAAGGCTGTCACTTGGCCGCGGTTCGAGAACGAACGGGCGGTGGAAGAGCTGGTGCGGCGTCAGCTCGAAGCTCACCGTCGTGATAAGCATGGGGTCATTTCGGAGTAGCTCGCGGGAAGGGAAGGGAGTTATTATCGTCGCTGACTTTGCTGGCACTGGCGTCGTTTGCCGCGGGTTGCGCAGCTTCTGAACCGGAATCCGCTTGTCTGCCTGCGTACCATTGTTTTTCCTCTTCTCTTGTTTCCTTTCTTTCGGTCTATGTGTATGTTCGTGTCTTCGCCGCCTGCTAAGACAATCTGTAACAAAGCTGCATTGGCCGTATCTAATTCAACCGTTTTCGAGGAGGTGGGGTACGCTGGATATATACAGTCAGCAGTGGAACGTGTTAGAAGTTTCGAACTGGGTAGAAGCTTGGGCCACCAGCTGTAGTCAAAGTCGCCCCAGCGCCCAACTCACAGCATAGCAGGCAGTCGTCATCCCAGCTGTCGCCTAGTGACATTGTACCCTTTGCATGTGACTTGCGGGGAAAGGTACTTGGACGAGCAGCCTTAGTATCATGGCGGCATTGGCCACACCAGCACCTCTCTGCCTGGCCGGACTACTCTTACCGCCCTCCCCCCCCGAAACGTCGTTCTTGCTGTGTGGCCCAAACTAACCTGCCCAGGCTGGCCCTATTATTATCTGTCTTTCCGGAATCCCAGCACCCTTGAAACCTGTCCCTCTTCATTATTCACCTCACCTCCGGATTCTGTCGACTTCTCTTCTACTTGCAACTTCACTTTGCTCCCGCTTGTGTTTTTGCTTATATTCGAAGAGGCTCCTTCCGAGAAAAGCCACTTCCCCTTTCCCAACCCCAAGAGAGCCGACCGAACCAAGCTCGAGATCCTTCGGCTGTTTGCACCCCTCTGTCCGTGAACGACCTTGTCGACATCGTCGACCACTCTACAGCTCCATCGTCTGCACTTCTGGTTAGATCCGCATTCACCATGGCTGACAACCACGATGCTGCTGTTGCGCCGCCCAAGAAGCACAAGGTCAACTTGGCGTAAGTTCTGCCGCTTTCCTCTGCTGGGCCGTCTTTTCGACAGCTTCGTTCGTTAAACGGCATAAGCTAATGGCTTATTTTCGACACAGTGATGCTTCCGGCACCGAACACCGCGATGTATGTTCTTCCCCGCAGTTGAATTTTGTCCCACGAATACTGGGTCCAATCGCAAGAGAGCCAGGTGCACGGCACTTGGGCGTCGAGACCAGCAAGTACTGACCAAACCGTAGGAGGACGACACTGCAACGGCCATTCTCAAGAAGAAGAAGAAGCCCAACCAGTTGCTGTATGTCACCCTTCATCTCGCTCTGCTCTTTTTCCATTGTGCTCAATTCTGTGGTGTTCGGTCGGTGAAATGGCACTGACAGCAGTCTCAACTCAGCGTCACTGATTCCGTGAACGATGATAACTCCATCATCATGCTGTCGCCCACCACCATGCACACCCTTCAGCTTTTCCGTGGAGATGCCGTCCTAGTTCGCGGAAAGAAGCGGAAGGACACCGTGCTCATCGTTCTGTCTGACGACGACCTCGATGAGGGCAGTGCCCGCCTCACCCGTGTTGCTCGTCACAATCTCCGCGTCAAGCACGGCGATGTTGTGACCATCCACCCTTGCCCAGACATCAAATATGTACGTTGGCACCCTCTTGTTACTTTTTGGAATTGAGTTTACGCTCGGATGGTGGGGGTTTTAGGCTGACCGCATTCTCTCGTATAGGCGAAGCGCATCGCGGTTCTGCCTATCGCTGACACCGTGGAGGGCCTCACTGGTTCGCTGTTCGATGTCTTCCTCGCCCCTTACTTCCGCGAGGCCTACAGACCCGTTCGCCAAGGCGACCTCTTCATGGTAAGAGGTGGCATGCGGCAAGTCGAGTTCAAGGTTGTTGAGGTGGATCCCCCAGAGTACGGAATAGTCGCCCAGGACACTGTCATTCACTGTGAGGGCGACCCGATTCAGCGGGACGAGGAGGAGAACAACCTGAATGAGGTCGGCTACGATGACATTGGCGGTGTTCGCAAGCAGATGGCCCAGATCCGCGAAATGGTCGAGCTTCCGCTGCGGCATCCCCAGCTGTTCAAGTCTATCGGCATCAAGCCCCCTCGTGGTGTCTTGCTGTTCGGTCCTCCCGGTACCGGTAAAACTCTGATGGCTCGTGCTGTTGCCAACGAGACCGGCGCCTTCTTCTTCCTCATCAACGGTCCCGAGATCATGTCCAAGATGGCGGGTGAGTCCGAATCGAACTTGCGGAAAGCCTTTGAAGAGGCCGAGAAGAACTCTCCTGCCATTATCTTCATCGACGAAATCGATTCGATTGCACCCAAGCGCGACAAGACCAACGGCGAGGTCGAGCGCCGTGTCGTGTCGCAGCTGCTGACCCTCATGGACGGCATGAAGGCCCGTTCCAACGTCGTGGTCATGGCCGCTACCAACCGGCCCAACTCCATCGACCCCGCTCTGCGTCGTTTCGGCCGCTTTGATCGCGAGGTGGATATCGGTATTCCGGACCCGACTGGTCGCCTCGAGATTCTTCAGATCCACACGAAGAACATGAAGCTCGGCGACGACGTCGACCTAGAGCAGATCGCATCGGAGACCCATGGTTACGTCGGTTCCGATTTGGCTGCCCTCTGCTCTGAGGCCGCGATGCAGCAGATTCGCGAGAAGATGGATCTCATTGACCTTGACGAGGACACCATCGATGCCGAGGTGCTCGACTCTCTCGGCGTCACCATGGACAACTTCCGCTTTGCCCTGGGTGTTTCCAACCCGTCTGCACTGCGCGAGGTTGCCGTCGTCGAGGTGCCCAACGTGCGCTGGGACGACATTGGTGGTCTCGATACAGTCAAGCAGGAGCTCAAAGAGAGCGTCCAGTACCCAGTCGACCACCCGGAGAAGTTCCTCAAGTTCGGCATGTCCCCATCCCGTGGTGTGCTTTTCTACGGACCACCCGGTACCGGTAAGACACTGTTGGCCAAGGCCGTCGCCAACGAGTGTGCTGCCAACTTCATTTCCGTCAAGGGTCCTGAGCTTCTCAGTATGTGGTTCGGCGAGTCTGAGAGCAACATCCGTGACATCTTCGACAAGGCCCGTGCCGCTGCTCCCTGTGTCGTGTTCCTGGACGAGCTGGATTCCATTGCCAAGGCCCGTGGCGGATCTGTCGGCGATGCTGGCGGTGCATCCGACCGTGTTGTCAACCAGCTTCTGACAGGTATGCTCCGTTATTCTGATCGTTGTGTTCTTCACATTTACTGACTATGAACAGAGATGGATGGTATGACGTCCAAGAAGAACGTGTTCGTCATCGGTGCTACGAACCGACCGGAGCAGCTAGACCCTGCTCTGTGCCGTCCGGGACGTCTCGACTCGCTCATCTATGTGCCCCTCCCAGATGAGGCTGGCCGTCTGAGCATCCTGAAGGCTCAGCTGCGGAAGACACCGACTTCTCCGGATGTGGATCTCGCATACATTGCGTCCAAGACGCAGGGCTTCACTGGCGCCGATCTGGGCTTCATCACCCAGAGGGCCGTCAAGCTGGCTATCAAGGAGGCGATCACCGCCGATATTGAGCGGACAAGGGCTGCCGAGGCTGCTGGCGAGGACGTCGAGATGGACGACGAGGCGGAGGACCCAGTGCCGGAGCTGACTAAGCGTCACTTTGAAGAGGCCATGCAGATGGCCCGGCGGTCCGTTACTGACGTCGAAGTGCGTCGGTACGAGGCCTTCTCTCAGCAGATGAAGAACACAGGCCCGGGCTCCTACTTCAAGTTCCCCGAAGGTGGTGTTGATTCGGGTCCGAGCAACGCCGGAGGTGCTGTTCCGGAGGGATTTGGTGATGCAGGCCAGGATGACGATCTCTATGATTAGATAGTAACGCAATAGAGCGAGCTGGCTTGGATCCTTTCAAGGACTGAGAGAGGGGTGATTACGCCGTTACAAAGTTGTATTTTAGTTTCTTACTCGACGTTGTTTACCGCAAATCTCTGCCACATGGAGTAACAGAAAGTACGAGTAGAGTACCGTTTTGTGCTCTGATCGATACCCGGAGTAGCACGACGGTATACAATGTGTACTTTCTTCTCGCCCTTGCAGATTGTACTCTGTCTGACTGACGGACGTGTGACAATACGACGAGCATCACGAGTCGGTAAGTAGCACTATTCACCTAGACCGAACCCGTCTGCGAATGAACAGAACAAAACAATTGCCATTGAGTTTAAGAATGCATACACTATACCGAACGAGGACATATCCAACGAGCTGTTTTCTCATCGTAGTCCTCCTCTGTGTCTGTCTGTCTGTCAGCCTACCAGTACCGAGTTGGAAGCACGTGAGATACGTGCTCCTGCCTCTTGTCTCCGCTTGCCCGAAAGCACTTGTACACTGGTTGCACATGCAGGCCGCCTTCTACCGGTGTATATGTGAGACAAGGCTGATGAACGACTTTAAGCTTGCGACGATGCTTGATAGGTCGGGCTTATGGCCGCGTAGCAAGGGAAACATCGTCCCGATGGTTTGTGGGCACAGGGAGTAGGAATTGGTGTACTCGTTTAGTTTAGAGCAGCGGTCGTGGCAGAGAGACAGGGTGAAAAGAAAGATGGATGCAAGTGTAGAGTCGCAGAACGCCCCGTTCCAAAAGTCAAGCCGGTAGAAACGCCTCCCATTTTTTGGAGCCATCCGAAGGTAAGCAAAGCAAGTAGCGAGAGCTCGCAGGCCTCACAGGGACCCGTTCTCTTCGATTTCGCAGACCATCTCCAGGCTTTCGCGGGTGACCCGCAACGCCTCGTCGACGACGGTCTTGGGCAGGGCCAGGGATGCGGCCGGGCTGCTGCCTTTCTTGTCTGCGGTGCCGTCGCCGTTTGGCGTGGCGAGGGTGTCGCGGCGGATGTCGTCCATGACGCGTCGCATCAGCGCGGGAAAGTTGGTGTAGTCGCCCGAGCGCAGCAGCTGCAGGGCGTGGGCCTGAATGGCGGCCGGCCAGTTGGACGAGTCGGCATGGAGGATGTGAAGGAGATGGTCCTGGATCCTGTTGCGATGGTGCGAGCAAGCAGGCCTGGTTAGCGAGGCGATCTGGACAGAGAAGGGGGGGGGGGGTGGCCACTCCGGGCTACCGCTACCTACTTGGAGACGTGGCCGTCGCGGATGAGCACCATGTTGATCTGAGACCGCAGGTCTGGATCCAGCGTGGCCGGCGTGTAGCTGGCCGCAGCCGAAGGCACCTTGACCGGCGTGGATGGCGCATTCGCCGTCGTGGCCGAGGCCGATGTCTGGTTGGCCATGGCGGCTGGCAGTGCCGCCGGCGAGGACAGGCGAGAAGGAATGGAGAGGGGGACGTCTTGTCCTGCTCGGCCGGTTTGCCGCGTGTTGGCCCGATGCGCAAGAGGAAGGAGGAAGAAGACCGGCCGTCGACTGCAGCGATTGCACCAGTCGCGTCCAGACCGAGTCCGCCCAGAAGCTAGCTGCCAGGCCGGCTGCAGGGAGAGAGAATGCGCGAAAAAACAGGCCCCGGCCCAGGCCCGATTGCTGGTCGACAACAAGTCGCCCGGACGAAATGAAGCTGAGGATCAGAAGGAAGGAAGGTGCAGCTTCTCGGACGGGGTGCCGGTCTTGTATGTCTGTCGTGCTGTCTCCCCTTGGTATATTCGTGTACGGAGTATGTGTGTATGTACGAGTATGTGCGTGGAGGTGTGTGTGTGTGCTTGCTCGGATGAATTGTGACAAAAATAGTAGGGTGGCACCTGGACAAACAGAGCGACAATCGCTGGCCATTTATTGGTACATAGCGCGAAATAGGGACGAGGCTGACGCTTGTACGCAGTAGTCCGCTGTCGACACCACCAGAAAACAGTGGGAAACAGCAGGCGGTGTCGCCCCACTCTAGTCTGTGGAAAGGCTACCAGCCGCTGTGATTGGATCTGTGTCCCGATCGCCGGATCGCCTACGAGTCGAGTCGAGTCAAGCGAAGCGGGAGCATCTAGTTTGCGGCAGACGCTGCTGCAACAATGGATTCCGACTTACGTACACGATCACCAATAGCTAGAATAACAAGCAAAAGCCAATGTCTAAATGTGCAGATGGGAATGACAACGAAAGGGAAAGACCTTAAAGTACACCGACAATTGCTTCTTCATTTATACCCTTTTCTTTTACGGTGTCGTCTATGGAGAGGTATTCATCGGGTCTCCGCCTGGCACAGCTCCTGTTGCCACAGCCGCCGCTGTCGTCGCAAAGTACCGCACATCGACGTCGTCGTCCTTCTGCAGCTTCTCCAAGCTCGGCAGGATCCGGCTCTGAATCAGCTCGGCCCCTTTTGTCGATGGTGCTTCTGTGCTGCCCTGCTTCTCAAGCGAGTACAGTGTTCCCTGGTCTGGCAACCGCTTAAGCACGTCGATCAGCACACCGTACGTCTTGGCCACATTGAAACGGATGTTGGGGATGTCGTCCACAACAAGCTTGTCCAGCATCGGAAGGATGTGCTTGTCGATGACGTTCAGGCTGACAACGGAGGCGAGCGTCTGGAAACAACGTCAGTAGGCAAAACGAGGAGCCGTAATCGGACACTTTTCGGGGGGCACGCACCGTTATGGCAAAGCAGGTCGTCATGCGGTACAGGTAGTTCGTGTGGCTGCCCATGGTCATCACCTTGGGAATGATGGCCTCGCTGGCCCAGTCGACGCCAAACACTTCCGTCAGATTCTTCAGGTTGTGTGTGGCCGCCTCCCGGATCGAGAAGACTGTGTCTCCGAGCCATCCCATACATAGGTTGCTCAGCTTCTCATCAAAAAACTGCACGCCCAGCTGGCTGGCCAGCAGTGGGATGTACTCGATAATGGCAAGCCGCACTCTCCATTGCTTGTCCTCGGCCAGCTGCACGATTGCCGGCAGCAGCGACTGGGAGAGAAGCTCGATGCCGATCACTAGAAACACTGCGTGAGCATGTCGATGCCACCCTCGCACACCTCTTCGGCTGTCCCGTACCTTTATTAACTAGCTCCAACTTGGAGATGATGTGAAGGCGTACTTCCGGGAATTCGTCCTTGAGCATTTGGAGGAACATGGGCAAAAGATGGTCGATAGTCCTGCATTTGCGCATTAGCACTAGAAATAGCCTTCCACGGCCGGGGTCATATCTTGGGGCCGACGCACTCTTGCTTGCCCAGGATTGGCGCCAGGCCCGAGATCTGTGTGCCGAGAGCCGCGCGAACATGCTGCGACGTGTCGGACACGAGGTCCTCGACACTGGGCATGATCTCGTTCAGGAGAATCTCGCGGTCCACCAGGGCACAGAAGCCGGGTATTTGGCCGGCAATGGCCGTCCGCACCTCGGCCTCGTTGTCTTTCAGCAGCTTCACAAATGCCGGGACCAGATCTCTCGCCACAACCTCCTCGTCCACAGCCTTTGCGATCTACAACGATCGCGTTAGTCACATGCAACGGCAAGCGCGGAACGCGCGGACGAAAGCATACCTCTTCGAAATGCTCCGCCACCATGTAGCGAACTCTCCAGCTCTTGTCTTCTATCAGGCTGCGGAGGGCCGTCAGAAGAACGCCGTGGCTGGCCTGCTGCTCCTTCGGGACAACTTGGGCAATGGCGATAAGGATCTGGACAGTCAAGAGGCGCACGCTGTCCTGGTCGTCCTGAGCCAGATGTTGAAACAGGGGTATCATCTCGTCAATCACAATAGCAGCGGGCATCTCCTTGACGAAGCCAGGCATGTGTGTGGCGGCCTGGCGCCGGACCATCGGCGTCTCATCGTGGACAAGGTGTCCGAACTGCTGGCGGAGCTGTTCCTGTACAGTGGGTGGCACCTTCTTGTAGGGAGTGGTGTACAGGCCACAGCCCGACACCTTGGATGTGAACCAGTCGGCTTTGGACAGCCGAACGGTCAAGGGGACGAAGTAGTCCTCGACCTGTTTTGCCGAGAGCTGCTCGCAGATTTTGTTGAGAGACTCGACAGCCTGCAAACGACCGGATTAGTCAGGGAAGGGCGATGACAAGGGATGGATAGCAAGCTCCCGTTAACAGCACGAACCTTATCCCGCACAACGGGCTCTTCGATTGCCGCCAGATTCTCCAAGGGCGACAGCAGGACATGGCCCCATTGGGAACCGCCGACATACTCGATGAAGTTGCCCAGCTCCTCGCTCAGAGCAACGAGCACCTCATCTTCATCCTCGACCGATTCTGTGATAACGGGCTGGTCAGCGAAACACGGTCCCACATCCGAGAACTCGAACCGTCCATCTTTCCGGCATCCCTGGCCGTCCACGTCGCGTCATCTGCTGGCGGTCCTGTCGATCGTCCGCTTTCGCCAATAATGCCTCATCCTCGCCCGAGACGCGAAAACACACCGCGACAGACGGGAGGAAGGGACAGATGGGAGGAGGGGTGATAAGGAGGTGAAAAGAGACAGAGACAGTGACACCGACCATCGAGAAAGGGAATCAGCTCATCCCGGGTGCGCTCTGCGCCGAGAGCGAGGGCGATTGTGGAAAGGCGGTGGATGGCATTCAGGCGGAGCAGAACATCGTCGTGCTAGAAGTAGCGGCAACCGAACGAGCGAGACGGTCAGCCTATATCTCACAGCACGTCCCGGCCGAACGCTTCCTTTCGGAACATACCTTGAGCTCGTCGATGAGGACGGCGATGGGGTAGAGCTCGTCGTTGGTGGGCGCGTCTGCCATGAGAGCGGGAGGCAACGAGTCGCAGCTATGGAGGTGGGTATATAGGTTGGGTGGTGGACAGCAGTGGGAAAGGGGGATTGAACAGGCGCGGCGGTGGACAACAGAAGACAGCAAACACGGCCGGGACGAGGGAGGGGATGAGCCCAGTTCTCAGGCTGAAGCAAGAAATGGCCACGGCGGAGGAGGGTCGGAGATGAGTCCGAAGCGAAGTCGTCGGAGCACAAAGGTCGAGATGATGTCCAAAAGGAAGCAGGTCGGCAAGCCAAGCGGGTCTTGCCAATGTTGTTTGTGTTTTTCGGGTTTTTGTTTTTTCGCTCCTTTCTTTTAATTTAATCTCGCCCTGTTGGAGGGGCCGGCTGAGAGGGGGCGTGCTTTTAGGGGGCTGTTACAGGGAGTTTTGATCGCGTGTAGCGGGGAAGACGATGCTTTGGGGAGTCACGCAAGAAGGGCTGATGCAATCAACCCGGCTTGTCTCGAAGGGGGGGACCCTGTATAAAACGTGCCAGTTGCGTGTACGCCGGACACCGGTCTACGTACTCCGTACGGTCTGGTCTGGTCTGGTCTGGGCTGTCAGAAGGACTTGAATGCAAATGATGCTCACACAGCGGTGTGGCGGGGCTTTGGGCTCTGCATGCATATCTTAGAGAAGCTTAGGCCAGCCGGCTCCATCCACTTTATAATCTCGCACAGTTAGCCCACTCGCCATTACGTGGGGTTTCAAAGTGTCAACTGGCCCTCAGGGCGGGGTAACAGGTGTAGTATCTTAGTTCACTGCCCAAGTCGCCCAAAGGCCTCCCTGGATCGGACGAAGCCCGACGGCGTATGCTCGTAATCATCAATAAAGGAAGAGTACTCTGTACTCCCGTATGCTTTGCCGCATTTAGATGCGGCACGTGATAATCAAGAAAAGGAACGGGCATACAGCAGCCTACTCCTTCAACATAAAACATGGGCGGGTAATCGCTGCCAAACAATGCTTTATCAGATACCATGGCAGCTACAAATTGCCGCTGCCTCCTATACCAAGGAGCTTATAAAGGTGCCGCCGTCTCATCCGTCTCAACGTCGCCATAAGGATTGTTCGTCTCGACAAAAAGCTGTCCCGGAGGCACCGGGACGCCGGAAACACATTGTGAGTGCGTGATGACGCTGAGATCATCGCTGGACGGATTCGAGTCTTCGGTGCTTCTCGTGACAATGCCGTCGGAATCGCGATCGTCCGAAACCATCCTGGGCGATATCTCTTTCTAAGACATGTCCTTCATCTCTTGTTCGCTGCTGTCACTGCTGCCGGCTCTGAAAGACTCGCTCCGCCGCTGCTCGCCACCTGCACCGTCGTGCTGTGGAGGACCCGATGCTGCCTTCAAGGCGCCGGCAACTCCCAGGCTGCCGAAAACACCTCCAACCTTCTGCCCCAGGCCAAGGCCGGCAATGCCGTCCCGCAGGACTGTGAATGTGCCGGCTTCGTGGGCAGATGCACTGCGGTTGAGACTGGCCGGCACCTCATCCGGTGGGTTGGCAAGCATGGAGCGAGCCGTGGCGGCTGTCGGTGGCGTCTCCAGCTCGCCTGCTGCTGACTGCGAACTCTGTAGCGACGGGGGTGGCATTGGACTGGCACCCCGGCGAGGAGAGTCGGATGCGCCGTCCGCTGTGCCCAATGTCCCTGCCTCGTCTCCATGCTGCGTCATAACAACAGATGCCAACCCGGCAGCCACGGTGGAGTGGTAGGCAGCGCACTTTTCTTCGGCAGCTGCTGCTGCATTGAGTGCCGCGTTCATGTCCTCGTCTGTGCGGTTGAACACCTGGTGCCACCATCGGATATCTTTCAGTCGAGGGAACAGAAGTCGCTCCTCCTGTCTGTCGGAACCATCGATATCCGGTTTGTACTCTGGGTTGACGAAATCCTGCCGACGTGAGAGGAAATAGTCCCATACTGATGATGTTTTCTCCCGCACGTGTGCGTCGCGTCTCTGACGCTCATTGTTGTACAGGAAGGTCCCGTATTGGCATGAGTAGAGGTGGTAGAGAAGCCGCCGGAGAAAGCGCTCATTGTACTCGAAGCGAGCAGGATGCTGCCTCAAAAGCTGGTATGTGGCGTCGAGAAATTGGTGGAAGACTGGGCTGATTTCCTTGGGCCGCGTGGTCTGGCTTTCCTCGGCCGACGCTGTCTTGCTTACACTGCTCTCGTCGGCTGTCGTAAGACTGTCCGCATCCGATTCCTCCTTGTCCTGGCTGAGGCTCTTTTTGAAAAAGCGCCTGGCGCTGGCCACGGCGTTGTCGAAAACCTCGTTCCGTCCTTCGCCTTCGCCAGGCTCAATCTTGGTGCCTGCCATCGCATCGTTCTGGACTGTGAACCACTTCTCGTGGTTGAGGTGTCCGGATCTCTGCTGAAACATGTGGCCGAACGAGAGCCAGTCCTTCTCCACAAGAACGATAAATCCTTCGATCGTTCGAAAATACGGATCCAGCATGATTTGAGACAGGCCGCTCAGTTGGCTAGTGCGGTCCCATCCGTCAGAGCAGTGGATCAACACATGTGCTGCGCTGACGCCCACTTGCTTCGCGATAATCTCAGAGCCGGCAAGGATGCCTCGGATATGCTTCAGCCATCCACTCTTAGCAAGAAGATCACGGTTCGGAGGGAGCGGCGATACGTCGGCATCCCGCACAGCCTCGATCACCTTGTTGAGGGAATCCCTCATAACATGGATGTTATCGATACTCAGAAACATTTTGGTAGCGCACTTATAATATTCCATATTTTCAGAACCCTTGCCGACCATCTGCATCGCGTAGGAGTTGATGGCAGGACGTGCGTCCACAATCAAGTTGTCACGTCGCGCACCAACAATCCGACTGCCAGTCTTGTCATCAAAAGCGACGTCAGCTGCAGCCAGATCGTCGTCGAAGCGCTCTGTATCTGAAGTAGCATCAGAACCAGGTCCGTCACATGCGGCCACGCCAGCTGTACTGCCTTCATTGGGCACGCTACCATCGTCGCCAGTAGAAGGAGATGGTGTTGCGTTTCCGCTGCCAGTACTGCCGCCAAAGACTTCCGTCGATTTGGAGAAGCATGCACTGACCAGGCGCTCGTCCTGGATGCTCCGGTTGTTCCGGACCCCGACGAGCGGCTGTGAGCTTCGTGTGATAGTACATTGTGTTATTGGGTGATAGTATGTCAGTGCTGGGATGCGGGCGCGCGAGCGAAATTGTCCGGCATATTTGAGCACGTTGTCAGAAATCTTGGATGGAACCACAAGCACGTCTGGGTACGTTGGTGAGAAAGAATAGTCGAGGTTGATAGACGAGATTCGCCAGCCTCTGTCCGGAAGCTTTTCGCTTATACCTTGCCGCCGAAACTCGGCCCTGGCATCGTATATATCCCAGCCATGAACGTCCTTTTCCAGCCGAGGAGGGCCGTATGAGAAGGCGTACAGCTTCTCGATGCATCCCAGGCGGCAAGTCCTGTTACGGATGAAGTCAAAAGCCTCGCGTCCCTGCTTGTCGTTAGGGATGTTGAAGCATACATAGTTGAAGTCGCGACAACGAAGACGGATAGACGATTGCTGACCGCTGGACGGAGGAGTTGGTCGGAAGGTACAGTGGGAAATGATAGGGTACGTAATCCACGACTCTCTGTGTCGTACTGGGGGTGAGTGGTGCTTCTGTGGCTGGTCTTGCGAATGCGCTGATGGTGGTTTTGACGACGGCACTGGGGCAGAAAAGATGATGTGGAAGTTGGTGAGCTTCAGGGTGCCCAACGTCGACGTCCCAGCAGACAGGGCATGGACGCCTTCGATTGTCTGAAGTTGACGGACAATACTATGTTAGCTGTGCTCGAGATGCGAGCTTGTGGGGGGGGCACAAACCAGCTTGGCGTCCATCCCGACGTCCGGCACCGCAGTCAGGTCAACGAATAGCTCTGGCGAAGATCAACAACCGACTCGATTGGAACTCTGGACAAACGTTGCCAGGGAGATGACGCGGAACTAGACCATATGATGCTGGTGCCTAGAAAGCTTGAAAGATCAAATTGCGTTTTGCAGTTGTGTGTAATCCGTACGGCAAATAAGTCTGGCAGCCGCAAGAAATGTACACTGTTATCGCAACGTCGGACGAGGAGGGGCCCAGCCAGAGCTGTTTTTGCTGATGCCTCGCTAACCGGATGTGGATGAAGATATCTTATATCAAGTACACTAGGTGATTGGAGTCTCACGTGACACGAACATCAGGTTGGCTTGATTGCATCAAGGTCCCGCCAAGCTACAGGCTGTACAGGCCGTACTATTATCATTTCAGTTTGACAAACTACAATCGCTCAGCTTCAAACACTCTGGGCTACGGATCAAGCGATGCTTAATTGTCCGATCGAATGCATATGGTTTTTGGCCGTGATGCAGATATCACGTGCTTGATACTCCGTACAGATTATGTGGGGGTGTGAGATCGGTCGTTCGTGGCTCGGGCTGCCAGGTGCCAGCTCGGGCCTTCAGCTGGCACACGTTTTGTGGGCCAATACTTGTTACTAAGCATGTTAGGGCTTCCCCCACCAAACTTTCAGCAGTAGTGGGACCCTGCCAGAATATTTTTCTTTGATGGCCGAGAAGAGGGCCAGCACAGAAAATTAAAAACGTATCGATCGTGAACGGAACACTCTGAGCCTATTTCGACCAGATACCTACCAACCACAACTGTACCGTTCGCGCTCAGAAAAAATCAATCATGGCTGCCCCGGGTGTTCAGATGTAAGTTTCATACTACCTGGATATGCATTGGAGGGGCAACGAGGCGTCGTGGCTGGCGAAGAAGAGACAATGCAAGGATGCGGATGATGGGCGGACGGGGAGTCTCGCAACAAGAAGGGCACACGCTGACTCGATTCCGTTTCGTCTGCAGTTCCAAGCGGAGAAAGTTCGTTGCCGACGGTGTGTTCTATGCCGAGCTGAACGAGTTCTTCCAGCGCGAGCTGGCTGAGGAGGGCTACTCCGGCGTCGAAGTCCGCGTCACGCCCACCGTTACCGACATCATCATCCGGGCCACGCACACGCAGGAGGTTCTGGGCGAGCAGGGTCGCCGCATCCGCGAGCTCACGTCGCTGATCCAAAAGCGCTTCAAGTTCCCCGAGAACAGCGTGTCCCTGTACGCCGCCAAGGTCCAGAACCGCGGTCTGTCGGCCGTGGCCCAGTGCGAGTCGCTGCGGTACAAGCTGCTGAACGGCCTGGCCGTCCGCCGTGCCTGCTACGGTGTCCTGCGCTTCATCATGGAGAGCGGCGCCAAGGGCTGCGAAGTTGTCGTGTCCGGCAAGCTCCGTGCCGCCCGTGCCAAGTCCATGAAGTTCACCGACGGCTTCATGATCCACTCCGGCCAGCCGGCCAAGGACTTTATCGACAGTGCCACCCGTCACGTGCTGCTGCGCCAGGGTGTTCTGGGCATCAAGGTCAAGATCATGCGCGGCTCCGACCCTGATGGCAAGGCCGGCCCGCAGAAGACCCTGCCGGATGCCGTCACCATCATCGAGCCCAAGGAGGAGCAGCCGGTGACCCAGCCGATCAGCCAGGACTACGGCGCCAAGGCCGCACAGCAGGCCGCTGCCGCCGAGGCCCAGCGCGCCCTCGAGGCCCAGCAGGCCGCAGCCGCAGAGGAGGAGGCCGCGCCCGCTGAGCAATAGGATGCTCGACGTGCAGCTGGTGGCGACGGTGCCGGTCTCTTGGATGGCGCTGGACCTGTCGCTGGGGAGGCGTTGGGTGGAGCAGCGATGATCGGACTCGGGCCTGTCGGAGTCCAGAACGACGGTTACGGCAGACACGAGCGGACGGCTAGTGCCTCGAACTTTTTCCGAAGCATGGATGGTGCAAGCTATGAGACCTCAATCGGTGCTGTTGCCAACGCTTTTACCAACCTTCAAGAACAGCCAGTCGGCGAGCCCTACCTCGGCACCGACCATTTCCAAGACTTCCGTACTGTGGGGATGGACACTAACTTGGACGAGAACTGGTGAACACCGGAAAGGCCGGAAAAGGGAGGTTGGGGGCCCGGAAAAAGTAAAAAATAAGGGACATGGAGGCTTACTGGGAGGAGGGGAGGATTGTTTTTGTTTTCTTTTGTCTGTTTGTCCTATGTCCGTCATTTCAACGGCGTTTTCCCCTTCTCCCAAGGCTTGCATCAACTCTGCAAACAAATCACAATCTTGAAAAGAAAAAAAACACGGACTCAAATCGTCGCGAGGAATGTGCAATGTACCCGTACGTCGTCGGAATTCTAATAAGGGAAGGAGGCCTCAGATGTTCCACACGTCCGGGATTATTGATAATTTAAAACAGCGAGGGTCCAACGCGTAAGCCTTGCTAGGCTTTAGCGACCTCTCCTAATCGTTCGTCCTATCACTAATTCGTCCAGCAAACGACAACAGGGCGGCCTGTAACAAACTCCATTCGAGAGATGCCCTTCGTGTTGGTAAGTATCTTACGGATAACCCTCCCAGAGCACGCGTATCGTACAAGATAGAAGAGCCTGTTAAAAACATGGAAGAAATTGACAAAGCAAAGAATGACAAAGTAAAATGACAGCGCGAGACCGAACAATCCAAGCGTATCGGCCCAGCCAGAGCGGTTTCCGCTTAGGTATAAGCGGGAACCACGGAGTTAAAATCCAAAAAAAACCAACGCCTCCTATCGACCACCTGCCTTCCATGCCGCTTCTGCCCCTTGTCATCCCTATTCGTCGACAACTTGGTACACATCCCATATGCCTCTGTGAACAACACCTGTAGTAAAAAAGAAAAGCATGGAGTAAAAACCCCCATTGCAAAACAGACCCCCTTCCAATCCCTCAGTAAATAATAGGAGAGCAATTATCCCCTATGTTAGTGTACCATTCTAGCCGTCATGTCAAAAAATAGAAGCGGCAGGAAACCCCCGTAGCATGTCATTACCAGAAGTGGTGTGTTGAGAATTTACAGCTGTCGGTATCCAGCAGCCCGGAAGCCAAACAGTGGGCGGGGGAGGGTGCGAGATGTAGAGAGTAAGAAAAACCAGACCGAACCCAAGAATATGCTTCTTATATATGCACCACGAGCAAATGGCCGGTGGGCAACGTGAACAGTGAAAAAAAGGAAAGTTGTGCATGTCGGCGTCTTGTAATTTTGCATCATCGGTCGGCAGGCTTTGTCGACTGCTCTATTGAGCCCTTAGGTTGTGCGCTGCTCTTCTTGAATTGGCCGTTCGCAGAGCCGTTTGACGGGCCGGTCAGGCCATCGTGCACGGTTCCGTCCTCGGCGTAGTCAGTAAGGTCAGCCAGGCCGAAGCCAGCTGCCTCCTCTTCATCATAGGCTCTTATCAGGCCTTGTCGATCACCGGCGCTGCCGTTGCTGAGGCTGCGACGGTGGCTGGGGCCGAAGCTGCGGCGAGCTTCCATGCTCATGCGAGTCTGGATGCTCGAGATCATGTCGGTGCCAGTCGCATCGGGTCCAGATCGGCCGGCCATGCGAGTGCCATCTGGGTCGCCGCGGGAAAGATTGAGCAGGTAGACCCCAGTGAAGGTAATGAGAAAACCACAGATCAGGGACAGAGTGTTAACCGTCTCCGTGGTGTTGAAGCCGCTGAAAAGAATGAAAGATGCGCAAAGGGTGGCGGTTGTGAATGTGACATAGTAAAGTGGGTTGACACTGTGCGGTTAGAACCCCCAACTCAAATCAGAAGGAGCTTTAACAACCGATACTCACATGTTTGTTGGGAACTGGCTGAGGGCTTTGTTGAAGTAGTTCATCTGCGTGAGAATGCACACGCCGGTGACAATCATGAACACGTAAGTGGAAGGGTGAGTGAACTGGTTGTTCCCAGAAAATGTGAGCTTCAGGGCGATGCCGAAGGCCTTGACCGACATGACAGAAACAGAGCCGACCAGCGAGCAAATGCTCAGGTAGATCAGCGGGTTTTTCTTTCCATACACAGGGGCCACCTTGTAAATAGCGACGACCGCGTAAACTGTGACGGCAAGTGCATACAACAGGAAGCCTGTAGCTACGGTTAGCATGTACATAATAAAACGGAGCGGTGCTGTTCGGCGTACCTGGCTTGATAGCATCGTTCAAAATCTCGTCAATGGTGGAGATTTCCTCGTCAGCTGGCGCATGGAGCACAATTATCACAGCTCCGATAAGGCAGATGGCACTTCCGAGCTTTCCTAATGTTCCCAATATCTCGTTGAGGAAGTATGAGCCGAGCACGGCACCAACCAAAACACTGAGAGCGCCGAGAGGAGTGACGAGGATAGCCGGTGCAAAGGCGTACGCGGCAAAGTTGCAAATCTCGCCAATGACCACTGTGCGCATATGAGTATTTGAATGTAAATGAGGCACAGCTGTGGAGAGTGGCAATTACATGTTGAGATACCTGCCCACCACAATGGGCTCTTCAGGTAGACAAAGCCATCCCCTTCGAATCCGTGCCGTTCCAAGGCATGGTTCAGACCCTGCTTTCGTTAGAATGTCATACAGTCTTCTATCCCACCTCCGCTCTAGGGAGCTTGTAGTATACCTTCTTCGTGATTACAAAACTTGTTCCAATAGCCAGACTGGACATCATGGCCAAAGCCAGTCCAATGTACCTACAGGACGAAAGTATTGTCAGCGATCAGGCGCTAGGCGAGGCGGAGAAGTGCCGGCCATACTTGTCTTCCAGCATATTGACTTCGAGCGAGCTGGAGTCGGCAATACGGTCGTGAAATGTAAGCCTCCGTTTCCCGGACGGTACTATTCGGAGAGAGAGGCCGTGTTGCAACAAGAAGCAGTGGGATCTCTGTAGTGGTGGTGATTATATTAAGTCTGAGTCAAGTCGAATAGTAGTCGTTCTCAATATCGTCCGCAGTGCGCATCTGCCTTTTGTCGACTGTTGACTTCTGGGCAGTATAAGGATCGTAATACTCGCGCCAGGCGAGAGGAGAGAAAGCGATCGTGTTTGGTGAGCGAGTGGGCGGAGCGAGCAGAGGGCGGCAGGGAGAGAAAAGAAGAGCGACCCGAATTCCTCACATCTAACACATACGAAAGGGCGAGAAGACGAGAGGGGAAGAGGGACCGATAGCCTCGGAGGTAGAAGGAACGTCGTCTGGGATGTCGAAGAGTCGACCTGGTTCGCGACGAGGCTTGCTGCAATCGCGGCGGGATGGCGATGGCTACCAATATAGGTTCTGGTTTGGAAGCGGAAGCGGACGGGGACGTAAAGCGGGTGTGCTTGAAAATGACACAGGAAATGGGCAATGCGACTGGAAAGGAAGAAAAGGCCACAGAGCAGCGACACACAGACGTAGATGTCAGCTGCGGGTAATGCTGGGGCTGGAAAATCGGGGCGTCGTGTTTCTTCTCGCTAAATGAGGGAATGTGCTGGTTGACCCAAATGCGAGAAATAAGGAGAAAAGATGGCGAAAGACTTCGTGTCCGATTAGTTTTTTTTGGTCTCAAAGTCCTTATGCGGTAAACGCCAATCGTGCTTTCTCTATTTTAGCATCTGGAAGTGCGGAAATACGAACACGAAAGAAAAAACAGGTCATTCGCCGGTTGTAAAGATAGTTTCTATCCTACGTAAGACAACTCGTACTAAAGGCTCCCGCTACCTACCTCCCTCCATCCCTTGCTCTCTACAAAGTACAGGGGACGGCATCCTGTTTCTACATGGTTGGTTTCAGAGCTTAGGGGCTTTGCACACGCCACTCCCCCTGGCTAGTGCACTAGCAGCACATCCAGGTCCCGCTGTGGAGTCGCGGCCGCAGCTCACTGACGCGTAAATTGGCATTTTTCGTGCCCGAGCTTGCATCTATAGAGATGCTAGGTAGCACGGCCCCGAAGAACTTTCCGACATTTGCCACGCCAATTCGTCCCCGGATGCTTGTTTTGCCTCATGTGTGCTCGATAGGAAGCTGCGGCCGCCTTGAAGATATCTTAAATCTATAGATGCGGGTGCCTCCCCTGCTACAAGCAGCTATTTCGACTGTTGCCGGCATCTTATCGCACTTCCTGCTCTCCGGAACGTCGGTTCTGCTATGCATCAGTTTGTACTCGTATCCTGCTAGCAGAAAATGTATACCCTGCACTTACATAATCAGCACTGTCTAAAAAATAAGGTAGCATTGAATCTGCTCATAATATTTTGTACAACGAGTTCAGTCTGCTGCGATACTCTAGCTTCACAGACAGCTTCTCGCATTCTGCAAGCATATATGAAACCTTTGCTTTTCTGACACAAACAAACACAAAAGCCACACCCTGCCTCTTGCGATACTGAGCTCTGACCTAGAGAGCTCCTCCTCAACAAAGACGTATGTTGCTGCTTTCTGGCCCTGCACCATCAATAACGCCAATACGCCGGCCGTTTCCCCTGTCCGAAGCAAGCCGGCCCATTTGGCCAAAAGTCAACTCTCTTCATGCCGTTCGCCTTGTTGTAGAGAGAAAAACAAGACTTACTCTTGTTTGCTTTTACCCCGGTTCTAGCTAGTAAAATCAGATTGCAGTCATTGCCTGCAGCCAAAGACAAAGAAAGAAAAGAACAGAAAAGAAAAGAAAGAAAGGAAATGGGACGGCCAAAAAGCTTCGTGCTTCGGAGGTGCGATCTCCGGAGAGCAGAATCACAATCGTTAGTTTAAAGCCCAGATAGCTATGCTGGCAGTTGAGCCTATAAAGGCTGTGATAACAGTGCCTGGGTCGAGCAGCTATCCTGAATGCAACTTGATAGTCGTATATGTTGGAGTCACCTACCTTTTGCAACTAATTCGATACTGCGATAAGCTGCTTGGTTATAAATGGAGCAACGAGGGGCTGTTCTGCAGAGCCTTTCGCTGTTTTAACGTAAGTTGCCTAATACGAGAAAAGGAAATGGAGGGCACGGAGTGGCAGAGCCAAGGTCGCAAGAATGTGAGGACGCCACATGAAGGCGCCTTGAGCTAAACGTGGAGAGAGAAAGAGAAAGCATGTGCATGGGGGCGTAGGGGGGTTTGGTTTGCAGTACAAGTCGAACTACAACTGTGACTGCCGTAGGCTGTGGAGAATCAGAGTCGTAAATATTGCGAGATCCGACTCCAAAGACTATCAGGCTGGACTCTGTTCAGTTCGATGACGTTTAAGATCTAGATTATACAATTAGCAGCGGTTCATTGCGACACAATCAGGGAAGTGTCTTTTACCTGGCAGGTCATCAATGAGATAATCTTCCAAGCCTTCATCTATCCTTGTCCGTTTGCCAGTTGCTGTTGCTGAGGTTGACGCTGTCTCGCTGGCAGCACCGTTCTTATCGTCGTCGTCCCAGTCAATTTCATCGGGCCCTGCATCTGCGGCAGCAACGGACTCTGGCACATCCGTATTGTGAAGGGTAGCTTCGGTAGACATCATTCGGGCATCCTCTCCAAACTCAGTACCGAGCAATCCAGTAGTATCGCGGTCCTCGTAGTCGATCTCATCATGGTCTAACGTAGCGGTAACGCTGGCATCAAGTGACAGATCCATCTCATCGAGGGCTGCCTTGTCGTCACCTGCCCATTCGGACACGGTCGTTGGGAGTAGAACGGCATCGAAGTCACCGCTGACATCTAGAAAGCCGTCACCATTGTCCTCCTCGCCCAGGGCTTGCAAGTCGCCCAACTGGTGGCCTTGGTCAATAGCTTCGAGCCCGTTGGCGGGCTCGAGATGGGCCAATACTGAGTCTTCCAGAGGATCGTCAGATATTCCGCCGTTTGAGATACTAAGTACCGGCTTGTATAGTTCGCCATCTTTTTCTTGGTCTGGTGATCCACCAGTTTGGTCCAGGGGTTCCATAATATCCGATTTAAGGTGTTGATCTGGATTCCCGACCTCTTCGGCCGTTTCATGCTCGCTAAGTTTGCTTTGTTGCTCGAAATGGCCGTTGCTAGCCTCGCTGGGTGTATGACCTCCTCGTGCCAACTCAAGACCACCAGTGGTCCGGAGGGACACACCGCCAGTATCGTCTTCCTCTTCATTCGTAAAATCGACTAATTCGGCTTCTTCTGCGGCAACCTCCACGCCGTGGCCACCTTCAGTCTCGACATCAACATCATGGTCGACAGATTCAGTGCCATCCTCTGCAGTAGCAAGTTCGGCTCCTTCACCACCGAACGGCTCTGTCTCCTCAACTGTTACATCAACATCGGCCATTTCTGCTTCCGGAGTCAGGGCACCACCCTCTTCCTCTTCAACTCTGTCCATTAACCCATTATCAGAGGATTGCTCGTCAGACTTGTCAGCGTGGTCGTCCGAGTCAGAGGAAGCGTCCGAGTCAGCTGCCGTCTGCTGACAAGACGAAAGGCCCTTCCCCGAGCCTGCTTCACTGACAAGCTTCTTCAGACGCAGCAAGCAGTTCGGCCGTGTGCCAAGGGTTATATGCAAGCCCTTTGAAAGTGTAGCATCATCGTTTGTAAGGAGTGTGTTGTGCAACGCAATCAGGTTATGGAATGTGACCTGGTCGAGAAGCGCTTCCGTTGTAGTCTTTTGTAATGGATTAGTTGGCCGTTCAAGCATGAGGGAGGGTCTAGCGGTGCCTGTTCAAAACATACCTCTCCAAATTCAAACCCGAGATCATCGATGCGGATGAAAATCTCGTCTTCCGCATGCACCCACGACGCAATTCCACTCCGTATTGTGAGCAAAAACTTTGACAACGGATAATTTGCCGCCTCAAGGTCTTCAAGGAAAAAAGAATCCGGACTGTCAACTTCGGATGTCTTAAAGAGGGGGCAAACTTCAGTGCCCCATGTGACGGTAACATCGGCAGTGGACGCTGAGTGTGGGCTATGCAGGTGACCGAGTCCAACATTTAAAGATCCTTCTGGGCTGTCCATCTCTTCTGCGTCATCATCTCCATCGTATTCTTCTCCGCCATACTCTCCTTCGTCCTCTCGTTCACCATCATCTTCGCCGTCCCCAGCTTCTTCTTCAAACTCTTCGTCGTTCTCTTCGCCCTCTTGGCCGTCATATTCCTCGAATTTGCTGACACCCTGTACTTCATGATCGCCTTCATCGAGTGAAAATTGTTCTGTTTCACCTTCATCTACCACATCATGTTCTGGTGAATTGGGAGCTGCCCTGTTTGTCTCGGTTTCAAAGTCAATAGCATCGTGGGCCTCCTCTGCAGTGTCCACTTCCTGTTTCTCGTCCAACACGATATTGCCAGCACTCAAAGAAGTAGTTTGGAGATCAGCCTCATCGTAGTCAATCTCATCGTCGTGTCCGGTCTCATCGTGTGCATGTTCGTCGCCGTCGCCGTTTTCACCCCCCACGGGCGCTCCGCCACCTTCGTAGCCTATCTCATCCTCGTCTTCGGCTTGTGCCATATGTGATTGGAAGTCTTCTACCACTTCTGTATTGTAGTCATCACCGTTTTCCGTCAACAGCCCAAGTGTCTTGTCATCGCCCAAGTCGAAATCGAAATCGTCTTCGGTATTTCCTCCATTCGACGGGCTGCCAAACGTATAATCCGCCTCCTCGATCTGAACCGGAACGATAGTTTCAGAGGAAACTTCAGCCATGGTGTATGATGTAAGACAGGAGAACTTGAGCGCGTTTGTTTCGTCGTCTCGCATCGCACTTGTGATGAACTGGCGATGGTAAGCAGTAAGCGTAGTCGGTCCCCAAATAGCTAGCCCTCAAATATTTCCGATGATGGTCATCTTCTGAGCGCAAAATATTACGCAGTGATGTGTTGATGCGCGGTGGTTGATACCAGACAGTGCCCTAAAACGCAACAAGAGGCACACAAAGTCGCTTGACAGAGTCGTAAGCGGTAGTGGAGTCAAAAGTAGCCAAAGAAAAGAAATTATCAGTTAGATGGTGAAAGTCTTTGTTTCGGCTCGATCGTTGAAAGCTCATCAAGCCCGTGATAACCGATAGTTGGGTGTTAAGAAGAGAGAAATTATTATGCTAGAAAAGTCATTTGCCGTTTCCCTGTGTTTAAAGAGGGGGTAACAAACGCGAAGTGATGTCGTGTGGCGCTTTCCGTATATGGACTAGCGCGGTTTCTTCTATGCTGTGGGCACGGGCCACATACACAGAAAGGGACAACTATGAGGTGGGAAAAGCTCCCTATGAGGGGCGGCGGTATGGGTGCATCTCTTGTTCACAGCCTGATACAGTTTACTTTCCATCAACCTCCGGCCTATTCGGGACTTGTCCAAACGACCAGATTTATTTGAGACAGGAACAATGGTTCGTATCCATAGTTGCTCGCTGCTACTCTCACGAGGCGTGGACCTCGCCACACGCAATTTATCGCTAACATTTTCCGTCTTGTCCCCTTCCTCAGGTTGTCCTCGCTGCTTCCATTTGCACCCGCGGCGGCAAAGCCGTCCTCTCCCGACTGTTTCGGGACATGCCACGGTCCAGGATCGAAGGCCTCTTGGCGTCTTTTCCCAAGCTGGCCGACAGCGGCACGCAGCACACCACTGTCGAGCAGGACAACGTTCGCTTTGTTTACCAGCCATTGGACGAGCTGTACATGGTTTTGATCACCAACCTGCAGTCCAACATCCTTCAGGATATCGATTCGTTACACCTCTTCGCACAGGTGGTATCGAGCGTGTGCAAGAGCCTCGACGAGCGCGAGATCCTACGCAATGCCTACGAGCTTCTGAGCGCCTTTGACGAGCTGGTGACCCTCGGTTACCGCGAAAACCTGACTCTCGGTCAAATCAAGACATTTCTGGAGATGGAGAGTCATGAGGAGCGCATACAAGAAATCATCGCGCGTGTATGGATGCCCTTTTGTCATTATACGTACATCGGTCATCGAATGTCGTGCTGATGTCTTCAAACAGAACAAAGAACTCGAGGCTACAGAGGAGCGCAAACGAAAAGCCAAGCAGTTGGAACTGCAACGCAAGGATACTGCACGACGAGGCGTTAGTAGTGCGCCTCGCACTCCTGTCTATCCCACGTACAATGCTCCGACACAGAACACGGCTACAGACTCGTACGACTCGTACGAGGCCGAGAAGAAAAAGGCCCGGTAAGGACAACCAATTTGCAGCCGTGTTTACATGATAGTCGAGAGAAACTAACTTGGCATGAACTCGGTTAGTCCGGCAGTGGCTCTCAAGGGCAAGGGGATGCAACTGGGCAAGAAGTCGAAGACTACAGACATGTTCGAGCGCGTCCGCGGCGACCTGGGGCCCGAGGCCGAGATTCCCGTAGCCGCCGCCCCAGTAGCGACACCAGCAGCCGATCTGGCGGCCTCTGGACATCTGTCGACCGCATTGGACCACGACGCCATTCACATCACCGTCAACGAGACAATCAACGCAAAGTTGGCACGCGAGGGCAGTGTGACCTCGCTAGCCGTCACCGGCGATCTCACCTTGCGCGTGTCGGATGTCTCGCTCACCAAGATCAAGCTTAACCTTGATGCGCACCCAACACACGGCGCACAATTCCGGACGCACCCCAATGTCGACCGCAATCTGTTCAATGGGACCAAGGTGATACAGATGAGCAACACGGCCAAGGGCTTTCCTGTCAATCAGGCCGTAGGCGTGCTGCGATGGCGGGCGGCTCCGAAGACAGAGGACCCGTCAGCTCTTCCCATCAGCTTCACCGTCTGGGTGAACAAGGGTGGTGACGGTAGCTCCACTTTGACGGTCGAGTATGAGCTCACTGGCGGTGACCCACTCAAGGATGTGAGCGTGGTCATCCCGTACGCAAGCGCGGAACCCTCAATCTCGAGCTTTGACGCCAATTACGAGGTGTCCGGCGACTGCCTGGAATGGTCGATCGGCTCGGTGGATGAGAGCAATCCGAGCGGGACCTTTGAGTTCGAAGCGCAGACGGACGACGAGAACGACTTCTTTCCCATGCACATTCGTTTCTCCAAGTCGGCACCTTTTGTGGACGTTGACGTAAGTTTGCCTGTTTCTGCTATAATTTGTCCTGCCGGTTTACTAAGTATTCGCTCAATAGGTCACATCGGTCGAGCTGCTGGAAATGGGCGAAGAGGTCACATTTTCCAAGGAAATCAAGTCAGCGGCAGATTCTTTCCTGATTGAGTAGATGCAACCCTAGAAGATGTGACAACGGTGAGAGGTGGGAGGTGGGAGGTGTGAAGATCAAGATTACCTGGAGGAATATAAGCAGAGCGGGTCGGGAGGCCTTCTCACATGGGTTTTGTTACGCAACCGATGCAGTTGACATGTCGGATATAGGAGATTTCAAAAATCCGACACGTGCATGGCTGGCCTAACTATTTTTGCGTATCGATGGACGCCTGAAAACTACAACATAAGGAGGATTGCACCCATGACCTAATGCATAATCAGGTATGTCAGAGTGAGTACGGAGTACGGAGTAGTCCTGGTAAGATACGGAGCACATGAAAAATGCTGGGATTAGAAAGCACAGCCATGCGGAGGTCTCCGTATGAGCTATCAGATGTCTATATGAGTTCCCACAATGCCATATATTCGTGTGACAACTATCATAATACAGCTAGCCTTATACGTCGTATGGGCCCTGTCTTTGAATGTATCCTATGTAGTATACGGAGTACGGAGTACGGAGTAGAGGAATGCTAATCGCACTGCAGAAGTAGATTACTTGCACTACAGGCGCATAAGCCCACTCCCACTGACTTAAAACGTGGAAGCTTCAAACCTCCAAGCTGATTAAAGACAAAACAAAACAAAACAAAACCCCTGCAGTGTTTCTGCTGGTACTGGGTAAAAGACCGTCGTATCTTACAATAAACAGGTGTCTGTCGATAGATCATAACAGTGCGCCTGCACCAAGTATATGGGTACATAGATGTATATTGGTGTGCACATTCGAGAATACAGGATAGAAAACAAAGACAAATAAGGACCAACCCAAGCCCGTAAAATACCAAAGAGTCAAAACAGTCCCTAATGAACGACCAAGTACTTCCTCACAGCCTATGAATATCCAAGCGAATGTCCGTAACCCGTCGAGTGAGATATCCTGTAATGCTGGTGTTTCGCAAATGCTCCAGCGCGGGTATTTTCCAATAGTCCCGTGTATTCCATCCCATGCATAACCATATGCCCCCGGACACCGTGCCTAAAAGATGGATGCTGATAGGCTAGGAGAATAAAAAATCAAGGGGAGGAACAGGACACCGGCCGGAAAGAGCAAGCCTTGAGACTGTGGAAAGATGGCAATTATGTTGCATGCAGCCCAATGCATAGGCCAAGCCACACTGCGACTGTAATGCATGTTCCCGACCCAGTGTTGTAGTCATAAACAGCCTGCATAATGTGTCTGCATCCACCACACTTCATCTGCCCCAGGCTTGTCCAGCGTTCTAGACCACGGGGTCACTACAAAAAACAAGGCGAAACATGGAACAGACAAAAGAAGGTAAGGGAGGAATATCACCAAAAAAGGCTATGCGAATGAAGATCCAGCCTCACATGTGGGGCACCTGGAGGTCGGGCAGGTCGAATGCAGAAGAGGCAAAATGGAACGATAGAGGACAGCGTGTGTGAGGGGATAAAGTTAAAAGGAAATGAAGGCACACAAAGCTGAGCCAGGGATTCCCTGACACGGCCGACCAATAGTGTCTGCTGCTCGACGCATGTAACTGTCGGTGAGCGGAGCTGACCTTGTCTAGGCCTGTGGGCTGATTGGCGAGAGTGCTTGGGTGAAATGGCGACGACACAAATGGGGACGACTGAACACGCAAGAGGGAGGTGCTAATCGTAGTGAGGAGACGCATGGGGGTGCATATACGTCGTAGATGCAAAGTAGCCGACAGTGCGGTTTTGGAGCTCATATTCCACTGCTGCTGCTGCTGCTGCTGCATTGACCATTTGCCTGCGAGCGTCCCGATGCAGAAAAGACATGCCAGCATTAGTACGTGTCTCTCAAAGGCTAGTCGCTCGTCGAGACCAGCACTTTCTCTCTCTGACGGCGGCATCGCGCTCGGGGGGTTGCCTCAGTGTCTGCAGCACTTATGGCAACCGTCCCAGCCACTGCCACAATACTCGTGGGAGCCCCAGTCGGCAGCACGGCAGCAATAGGGGCAACAGAAGTTGATGAGCTCTTGTGCCTCTTTGATCTCCATGATGTAGTATGGGTTGGGGTGACTTCGTGAGAAAGGTGTGCAAAGAGATATGCAACGAGAAGTAGTGGAGTAGTTGTGCTGTCTGTGAAGGAGGCAAATAATTTGTTAAGAGGATACGAAGGAGAATAGAGGAGAACGGAGAGAAGTATCCGAGGGGGTTTATATAGAAAGAGAGCGAGGCAGTGAATTTGGTTGTTATACAAATCGTGTTTGGGCTCAATGGGAAGGCCAGAGGTTATGTAAGATATGTACTCGTAGTCAGAGGCCAATGGTACGAAAGGTGCAGCTAGCTCGGTTTCGCGCTTTGTATTTCTCGGCACCTTTCTTCTTCCCAGTTTGTCGTGCTGATCGTCACATTAACCGGGGGGAGAGCACGAAAGCAGTCATTGACATAAGGAATTGGTGTCGTCACTCAGCGCATTGCTAGTTGTGGGCCCGCTCAGTCAACAAGGGGGGGTTTACATAGAGCGCAACGATAAAAAGAGAGATAAATTGATGTCTTGCCCAATGACAAGGCACATGGGGCGAAGAATGTAGCGGCCTTTCTGGGTTGTGCAAGAAGATTTGGCTGTGGCCTTCTTCTAGCGGTGTGCCGCTGAGAGATGACGGAAGTACGAGCTCTTTGACCAGACGTTACAAGTCACGCGAACATTCAGGCGTGGCTTCTCATTTGTCCAGGCGGCGACGGATAACGCACAGCTTAACACTGTAAAGTACTTTTCTCAACGAGGGAAAGAGCAGACGAATGCAGTGAGGGGAAGTAGCACTCCGTGGTGTGAACTACTCAGCTTACATGGCCGGAACCCCCCTTGTAAGATATCTGACAAGGCCAACAGCCCACTTCAAGGTTCGGAGTGGTTCCTATTTCTACCTTCCACGCCAACGTTCTCTGTGACTTTTTCGTCTTCTTACGTCGTAGTGGGAGCGCCCGTCTGCATCGACCATGCAACACGCAGCCGCAGCAGATAAGTGATCTCTGCTGCCTGCGAATAAACATACGTACACGTCTTACTTTGCCTTCCAATGGCACATGCTTCTGGCGATAATATCGGCCTTTAGAAGGAAGGCGCCAGCCACCTCTACGCTCTTCCTCCTTCAAATTTATCCCTGTATGGAATAGGCAAAACCTGTTCCTTTCCGCTGATCTTGTCTGTTTGTGTTTTCTGCTTCTGACTAGTATTACTCGTACGGGAGGCTTTGCACGTTCATCAAATCCTTGCCATGGTAGCAATGTCCTGTAAATTACGCTCTGGTCTTATTTCAGCTCCCCTCTTCAATGTGCTATGGCATTGGCGGCTAGTCTCGAGCTATTTCTTGTACGTAGAATTCTGCAGTGGTTTTTTCGTGCCGTTGTTGTCGGGCAAAAGTGCACAAAGATGAAGACCACATCCCACGTGGACAGCGTGGATCATTGCCCGTTCTTCTTCGCCCGCCTCGTGTGCAAACAGCGCTAATAACGGGGTGCAGCTCTATCACAGCAGAACCGATACGAAGTACAGACGTGCCGGCTATCGCTCAGATGCTAATGCCACCCTTCCACAGCCGGTGTCGGTCTGGTGGACATCAGCGGGCACTGCCCTCCTCATCGATGATCGATTGGCCGCACAATTTCTTGCCCCGTTCCGGCGAGTTTCAACGGGAAGAGATATGGGAAAGCCCAAGCGGCAGGAGCCCTACTTGGACATCGGCTATGCACAGATCAATCCAACTTGATTAGTGCCTCTACAGAGCCCAATGCAGTTAGCCTCCGAAGAACACAACGATCCGGCAATTGACCTCGTTGGATGCCACCTCACCAACGACCGGCTTTTCGTGGCTCTCCAGCGACAATGCATATGCACTATGTAGCCGATATACCATGCCACCTCACTTGCGCATTGGTGTTATACTGGAGGGCTACCTATCGAGGCTTAGAAGTAATCGCGGCATGGCTTCTTTATTGCTTCGTATACATCAGTTCTACGAGATAGCCACTCTTTCTGGCTTTAAATTCGCTGACAAAAGTAGAGATCACAGTTTTAGACGAACATTGTTATCAAGTGCCCAGCAACATTCTAACTGTCCTACCGGCCCACTTCGATATCAGCTGGGGAGGGACACTCGAGGGCGGAGCCTTCATCGCAGCCCATGGAACGCCTACATAGTATCCATATGGTTGGGGAAAGGCATTGCGGAAGTATCCGAAGATCAATCGTAAGATACTACGGAGTATTTCGTTTTCAGCCACTAGGATTGAGGTCATAAAAAACAGAAAGTCGAAAGTAGGGCAAGTATGTACGAGTACAAATTGTGCCCCACAATCCTTCTCTCACGATATCTGATGCGTATCTCTTGCTGGCACGGAGGCGATGAAGACGTGTGGGCATTTGGCGCCAATAGAGACAGGAACTGGTAACTAGCGATAGCTTCTTTAGCTCTTGACTTCTAATCTATGTCGTATGCTCTCTCAGCTTTACTTGCGGGAGAATGCAACATATCAGCTCAGGTTTGCGCCAAAGATGACCTCTTCTGTGCCAATGGGTATTGACGCCAAGACCCTACTTCTGTATAATCCTCAAAACCCTTCGCAGAGTATGTTTTCCCTCTTCTTTATCCCGCCTTCCGACCCGAAGACAGACTCTGTTTCCCGTTTCTCTTCCCTTCCCTTGGGCTGCTTTTCGGGAGAAAATGCATGATCTGCGTTGCGCATATCTGAGGCGGCCCTTTCTTAGGCCACTCATATGGTGGGCTTGTCACGGAAGATTATGTTTGCTCAGGTTGTATGCTAGGAAGTGGTCACATTACTGTATCTTGCCACGGCCAATGTGGTCGCTTCCCAAGGCCCTAAATGCCTAAATGGGAATGCATCGTAAGACCATAATGGTTTCAAGAAAGCCGCCAGTACCGCTGACCCTACTGCGCCTCATGTGCGACACCGTTCCCAAAAGCTAATCATTTCTGGAGAACTAGCGCCACATACGGAGTTGACGCCGAAGAACTGTTTTACTGAAAGAGCGAATGATATGTGGTTCTGTTTGATCTATCCATACTATGGCCTTGGAATAACGGAGCGCAATATACACCATTTCCACTTTTAAATAATAAGGCTACTGCTGAGATACTGCCGGGCCGAGCAGCAAGCTTAGGGAAACGGCTGCCAAAATAGCTGCTGGTACCCATGTTTTTAATCGCAAAAGGAAGCTACGATAGTGATCGGCACAAATACGAGAATGCCGAAACCGGAGCAAGTTCTCTGATGTCATCGTACATTCCCCACAATACACTCCCTTATTTTCCTCTTTTTGTGCGCCTTTGCAATTTTTGTAACCTACGTCTTGTTTCCATAGTATTGGTAGCGGTGTATTCCCTAGATCAAAAGCGGTGCTGACAAAACCCCCGTCCATTGGCGAAAAGGTGACTGCTAGGCCGTACACAGCCCTCCTGCTCATCGCAGCAACAGAATGGCATTGCCTCACTTTCCGGTTACCCAGCCAAGCAACGTTACTATCAGCAAAACCCTAAGTGAGAGAAGTCGGAGTAGATGCCCGACTACGTCGTAGAGGCGTACCCAATGCCCCGTGCGTGTTACAGAGTGGGTTCTAATTTCCCTCAGAGTCCAGAACTTTTCCGAAGATATTCTCCGCAGAATGATTTGCTATTGGGCAATTGAAGTACGGAGTCGGCATCGTGGAATTAGTTCAGCTGCATGCTCTCGGGCGGTGTTGCTCCAACTAAACTAATTGCCACCTTACCGGTGTGTTAGCCCACGCCGATCGATTATCTCCTCCGATTTTGCCCTCGCTTTATGGAGTTTCCATTCTTTCGAAACACACCGACCACGAGGACCCGCAACCATGAGGCTGCCGAGCGCATGCACATCTCGTCACTTGTCAACGCCTCATGACTAAGTGTTCCTTCTTGTTATTTCGAGCTTCCCACTCCAGTTCCGAGATCGCATCGCACAAAATGAATCATGGGGCGTAGCACAGAACATAGTATTTTAGCGTAAATCCCAATCTGGAGGCGCGTACGAGTATTGGCGCCCAAATTGTTGAGGGCCAGTATTTGGCATCATCCAAGTGGGCCATTATAGGTGAAAAGACCGGTGTGTGAAATCATGGGCACATATGTTTGGAACTATAATCCGTGAATCAATTCGAACAGCTGGTGACCGATAATACTTGGTACTGCGCTTGCGTTTTCACATGTATGAGATTCAAACAAGCCCAGTTCGGGATGTTGACAAGCATGCAAGATCAAAATGCAACGGTAGGAGATCAAAATGATCCATGAACAATGCTTTCTTGATTGTTTGCCGTTTTGCGGTGGAACTATATACTTCTTCGCAATCACCACCAGCGCCCCAGCTGTGCTGGCGAGGTTGGTGGGCAAGCTTCGGGTGCATAATTGAGTAATGTCGCTTTCAACATCCATGAGTGAAGCATACATTAGCAAAGTACGGGACTACAATCGTTTTTCAACACATGTACTATTGTTCTGTGCTCGGAACGTGTGCGTAAATTGCCTTGCATATTCTTTAAAACTCCTGCAGTTTTGTAATTAATTCTGCTGAGCATGCGTCGTGACATGGGTAGTTAAAGGCTCTTGCGCGATGCTTACCCAATGCAACTTTATTCAGTTGTAGGAAAAAACGAGAGACAGCACAGCTATAGGCGTAGCTGCTTTCAATTTGCAGTATTATTCTTGTTCCCGACTCTTCTTTGGTTCGTTTTTCCCTGTCAGGTATTGTGATATTTTTACTGTTCAAAGAATAAAAAAAAACCAATTGCGTCTCGGGCTTTTTTTAAGAAGGGGGGAACTTCAAGCACTAGATCAGTTCATATAAGGCTAACATCAAGCACAGTCGACCTCTTTAATATACGTCTACGGCTTACAGGTATATCGTTAGAAAGGCCGAAGGTTTACAGGTGTTTTGTTAGCATAGGTAGACAGAGCGGCGCTCCAACTATTGAGTAATAGTTACTAACGAGGCAAGATTTCTGACATCACACAGCCATATCTGAAATCGAAGAGCAGCAGCTTTTTAAAGTAGCATGATCGACATTCCAAATGAGTCGAGTTTCATTCTCAACAAAACATACCCTTCTTTCTAGTTTCAGCTCGTTGCCTCTAGTAACAGAGAATGAAAAATGATAACACCAACTATCAATTCCAAAAAGCAATTGCTTAGCTTCAGCCTCTAAAGCGACAGGTCGATTGCTTATAGGACTGTCCCATGTTTTGGATTAATAGGCTGACTCCTATTGGACGTTTCGTTGCTACCACCGACGGCCTTTAAGAAACAGGTGCATATCGTCGATATTCTGGTGGAGATGCAAGGCTGTGTTGCAAGAATCCTATAAAAATGTTGAAGCAATATAACGTCCTGTCTTACAGAGTTCCAGCACGTACGGCCATAGATACTGGAAAGCACGGGATCCCGTCCGCTCTCCCCTAGTTAAACCAGTAATCGGCGGATTAGTAGTTGGGTCGGTGACGACCAGCGAATACCCGCTGCTGTACGTTCATTTTTTTTTGGACATATATTGTAAGATACCATCCTTCCGCTACCTCCCTCTTCTACGAGGCTTACGGCCTTATGCGTAATTCTTAGCTAGACGGACGTGTCACATCGTAGTTTTACTGAATGTGACTTTTGAGAAATAACAGTTACTAACATTTCTTAGTCGATCCCTTCTATGGAGTATCACATACTGTCCATTTCACTGTCATAGAAAGCATCGAGCTGTTCAGAACCAAGGCAAAGAAAACCTCCACCAGAGTCGCGGGCCGCGGCTGTGAATTGGCCGTTGGCTGATGTTGGCCCCCAACCCAGCCTTTATCCTATTGCCGCTCAGATATCCCCAGGGACGATTCCTTTTGTCAGCCAATCAGAGCAGCTGGCCAGGGGATGTACAGTTCGTCGCCCGCATAAGCTTCTGTACTCTCGCACCTCGTTGGCTAGCCCCTTCTCCATGCCTTCCAGTCACAGCACACACACACACGGAAACATGCCAGAAATGAGACGCTGCGTGATGAAGATAGCAAAGGACCAGGGCCAGGGCATTCGCAGCCTCAACAAATACCCCGTGCCTCTTGACTGCTATCTGTACGCTGTATGCATGTAGTCACAATCCGTCGCTGACGGCGACCTGCTTCTCGCCGCGCTTCCTGCCCGCCCTCGATTTTTGCGTACCGGATGTCAAAGATCTGAGGCTGCAGAACCGGCCACTTTAGTTTGCCTGGCCTCCGGGAATCGTTCACAAGTGCCAGTCGCCAGATGCATTGCAAGATACTCCGTGCACACTCCATGATTGGCAAATTTGTTGTTTCGACACTACAAGCTGTAGCTTGGCGATCTCGAAGCTAGCAGTTTGGGTGCTTCAACCCATCACTAAAAAGGCCATATTGTTGAAAGGTGTGCTAAAAGCACCGCATTTGGGCGCTTACTCCGTAGGTCTCGAATTGCTAGCAATTATATGGGAAATGAGTTACTGATTTATCATCCATAGCACACGAAAAGTAAATGATGCGAGCACAGTCGCCTATACTGAAGACAGAATGGCCGGCTGACACTCGGCGTGCTGTCTCGATATTTAATGAGCGCTCTGATTACTATGTAAGCGGTCGCTAAATGCCCCACGTCACAGCAGCGGGAAAAGAGAGCAAGCAGCCCACCTTCCCACCCTTGGTCCCACATTTGTTCCTGCCGCCAACTAGCAGTTCCAACCCCCTCCACCTTCTCTGTTCGACTCCTGTGATTTGTATCGCTTCACGGCCATCGTGGGCGGCTAACGTTTCTTCTTGGGTCCGTAAATTGGACAGAAGTTTCGTCTGTCTACCGCAGCTCGCAAGAAGGTGCGCTACCACCGGTTTTGTCACCCCATCCTACCTCTTCGCATTACGTTGCTGCCTTACCACCCGACGAGTGCGCCCGCCGATACCGTTTTCTCATTTTCCTCTTTCTTCGAAGATCGAGGTTGTTTTGTCACCTCCGGAACGCCACTGTCGGTCCCCCGAAACACCTGGGTCTTTCAATCGCCACCGGCATCCAAAGCTCCCGAGCTCCCTTCGTGCAGCTCTGAACACAAGGTCGTACTGCGCAACCATATAGAAGCATCCGGCCGCCCACCTTTGCTGCCTGCCAGCTTCGAAAAACTACAGATTTTCCGTTCCGCCACGATATCCGTTTTGCGAAATCCACCTCGATCGCTACCATATACCCTGCCTTCAGGGTCCTACGGGCTCAGCTCGCAGCGCGCATCTGTCTGGGAATCTGCAGCCCGGATCAGGGTTTGACACGTCGGGCCACTTAAGCTTGGTGGCTATCATTTGCTGCCAGGGTCCTAATCCGGCTTAACAATGGCCCAAGTTCCCATGATCTCGGTGCCGCTCAAGGCCACAAACGAGATCGATTGGGTTCTCCCGCTCAAGTCATACATCCGGGACACCTATGGCGACGACCCCGAACGCTATGCAGAAGAGTGTGCTACCCTCAACCGCCTCAGGCAGGACATGCGAGGTGCCGGCAAAGACAGCAGCTCCGGAAGAGATCTACTCTACCGGTATTATGGCCAGCTAGAGCTTCTCGATCTGCGGTTTCCAGTCGATGAGCAGCACATTCGTATCTCGTTTACTTGGTGCGTTAGCCCATTCATGAAGCGCGCGGTGGCGGTAGGGCGACTACTTGAGGCAGTCATGTCGTGCTGGACATACAAGGACGGTCCTTGCTAACTGGGCCAGGTTTGACGCATTTACACACAAGGCGACCTCTCAATTTTCTCTTGCTTTTGAAAAAGCGTCTGTCATATTTAACATATCTGCCGTCTTATCCTGCCATGCTGCTCTTCAGAACCGTTCCGAAGAAACGGGCCTGAAAACTGCCTATCACTCCTTCCAGGCGTCTGCCGGCATGTTCACGTACATCAACGAGAACTTTCTCCACGCCCCCTCCGCAGATCTCAGCCGGGAAACGGTGAAGACACTGATCAGCATTATGCTGGCCCAGGCGCAGGAAGTTTTCCTCGAAAAGCAGGTTGCCGATCAGAAAAAGGTTGGCCTTCTGGCTAAACTTGCTAGCCATGCCGGCTCTCTTTACAGCCAAGCTGTCGAGGGTGTACAAGGGAATGTCGAGAGAGCCATATTCGAGAAAGTTTGGCTCTTATTCGTTCAGGTACGACTCCACGTCACATTCGCTACTCCATAATCCACTCTTGCTAAGTATGCATTTCCGATTAGATTAAAGCCAACTTGATGCACTCCATGGCACAGTACTATCAAGGTTTGGCTGACGACGATGCAAACCACCATGGAATTGCAGTCGCACGCCTGCAGCTCGCGGAAGATTTGGCAAAGGATGCAGCTAGAGCTGCTAGCAGCTTCCCTGGCTCCGTGCCTTCAAGCTCGAACCTGGGGGCAGATACGAATGCCTTACTAGTTGGTCTAACTAAGAGGCATCTGGTGACAGTCCAGGACAAACTCCGCGGCATGACCAAGGATAACGATTTCATCTACCACGACACCGTACCCGACTCCTCGAGTGTGTCTCCTGTCGCTAAGCTGCCGGCTTGCAAACCAATACCCGTCAGCGAGCTCTACGCAGGACAGGACATTCAGCGAATTACAGGTCCTGACCTATTCTCCAAAATCATACCCCTGGCTGTCACAGAATCCGCAAGTCTTTACGACGAAGAAAAGGCCAAGATTGTTCGTGCTGAAACCGAACGGGTGGACACAGCAAACGGTGAGATGGAAGCCAGCCTTGACTACTTGCGTCTCCCCGGAGCGCTGCAGGTGCTCAAGGGTGGATTCGACCAAGACGTGCAGCCGGATGAAGAATTTAGCACCTGGTGTGTAGACGTGGCCGATCACGAGGACCCCGACATGATCTTCGACTCGTTGCGCCGGGAAAAGGATGCAATCGTAACCATGCTCGACAAGAGCACGAAACAGCTAGATATGGAGGAGAGTGTTTGCGAGAAGATGAGATCCAAGTACGAAAGCGAATGGACTCAGCAGCCGAGCTCGAGGCTTACAACTACGCTTCGCAATGACATCCGGAATTACCGAGAAGCTTTGGATGAGGCATCCAAGAGCGACGGTATGCTTGCCACGAAACTTCGGCAAAATGGAAGCGAGTTCGAAGAGATGCGCTCTGCAGCACAACACGGCGAGATCGACGCCTTCTTCCACCGCGCCTTCTCCAAGGTGCGCGGTAAATTGAGCAGCCAGAACACTAGCCCAAGCGAGGGCAATCTGCTGGATGCCGATTTTGAAGACAACAGTCCCAGCGTACCGGACCAGATCGGAAAGGTGGAGGATATCCTTTCAAGTTTGAATCTTGTCAAGCGAGAACGAAACCAGATCCTCAAAGATCTCAAAGACAAGGTAAAAAAAATAGCCCGTTACACACATGAAGAGTTTCTTTGTAGCTAACTGCCTCTGTCTAGATTCATAACGACGATATCTCACAGATTCTGATTCTGAACAAGAAGGCCATTGCGAATTACGAAAGTCAGCTTTTTAAGTCTGAGCTGGAGAAGTTCCGCACACATCAAAACCGGCTTATTCAGGCAAACCACAAGCAGGCTGCACTCTTGAAGGAGCTGACAATGGCCTTTAACAGCCTGCTACAAGATAAACGTGTCCACGCCGAGCAGAGCAAATACGAATCCATTCAGCGCCAGCGGTCTTCAGTAATCAACAAGTACAAGCGCGCTTACCAGGAATTTCTCGACCTGGAGGCAGGCCTGCAGAGCGCAAAGCGGTGGTATACTGAGATGAAAGAAACGGTAGAGAGCCTGGAGAAGAACGTGGAAGCATTTGTGAACAACCGGCGGTCAGAGGGCGCACAACTCCTGAATCAGATCGAGCAGGACCGCGCCGCCAACAAAGGCGCCCAGGCCGAGCTGGAGCGAGATCGGTTGCGTGGCTTGATGGAGCGGATGAGTCTGGAGAAGTCGACGCCATCACCGCCGAAGCACAGTCAAACGTCTTCAATCTCTGGCCCTGCAAGTGCCAGCAGCCGGCCGACTCCTGCACCACTGTACCTGTCCAGTGCTTCAACACCCCAGTACTCACAAGCACAGTATCCGAGCCAATATCAAATCCCAACTTCCCCTCCCGCCAACCAGGGCGCTATGCCATCGCCATATGCGACGCAGTTCGCTCAGCACGCATACAATCCTAGCGCACACGGCCGCATTCCAGGACCGGCGTCGCCACCACCTACAGTCACAAGTTTCGGTGTCAATGCGATGCGGCCGGTGGGACCAACCTCTCCAGCGCCTACTCAGACAACATTTGGCCAGCCGGGCAACCAGTATAGCACGTATGGAAACCAGCAGGCCGTGACACCAGGCTATGGATTTATGCCGCCACCTCCCCCTCGAGGGCCTCCTCCACTGGGTCCTCAACAGACTTATCATGTTGGACAGTCTGACTATTACAGCCAGCAGCAGCAGCAGCAACAGCAGCCGACATCACAAGATCCGTGGGCTGGGCTGAACTCGTGGAAGTGATTGCAGAGTGGCTGGATGTAGAACTGGTGGCACGGAAAATGTGATTTATATATTATATAGTATCTATATCTCACATCGGGTAGAATTCAATCACTGTTCATTGTTCAGTAGTTAGGCCCCCTTTTTCCCATTATGTAAGGCAAAGCCGATTTAGTGGGGCCAGAACGTTGCTCGTAAAGGCGGATTGTTCGGTACAATGCGATAAACCTGCTCTCTAATGCACCTCGCAGGTCGGACTTCCCAAGAACTCGTGACGTCCAACGGCAGCAGACAGACGTGCTGGGTTTTACATCCGCGATGCTTTCGTTTATCTTGATCCAAAACCGGCAGTGAGTTTCTGGTGCTGCTGGCACTTTCCCGAACGCATCAGCGCTGACAATCCCCCTCCCCCTTTACAGAGGCAAGACGCGGCTTGCCAAATGGTACGTTCCGTACTCGGACGACGAGAAGATCAAGCTCAAGGGAGAGGTAAGACAGTGGTGGTGATGGGGATGTGCGGGCGGCCTTGGGCTGACTTGATGCAGGTCCATCGGCTTGTGGCGCCGCGCGACCAGAAATACCAGAGCAACTTTGTCGAGTTCCGCGACCACAAGGTGGTGTACCGGCGCTACGCGGGCCTCTTCTTCTGTGCGTGTGTCGACACGAACGATAACGAGCTGGCGTTCCTGGAGGCGATCCACTTCTTCGTCGAGGTGCTCGACGCCTTTTTCGGCAACGTGTGCGAGTTGGATCTCGTATTCAACTTTTACAAGGTGTATGCCATCCTGGACGAGGTCTTTCTGGCCGGCGAGATTGAGGAGACGAGCAAGCAGGTCGTGTTGACGCGATTGGAGCATCTGGACAAGCTGGAGTAGGGCGGAGGACGCAGGACGGAGGACGGAGATGATACCATTGAGGACGCACAACCAGGGAACAAATGGCTGCATAGGGATCTGGCGTTTTGTGGGTGCTCTGTCTTTATCGGCAGCCATTGACTGTCCGACTTGCTTGCTGGGCTGGATCTGTATTGGCATATTTTGCGTCTTCAAAAACGTCAAGCAACTTTGGCCTGCGAGGATTATCACGGCCTTGTGGTGGGAATACAATGTGGACTTGGAAAAAGAGGACGCGTCTTATTATCAAGGATGGATACACTTATGTGTGACTATCTGGCCACACATGTCGCTTCAGCCAGCGACTTGGCCCTCTTCCAGCCAACGTTGGTCTTCCCTTGACCATGGACAGCTGGACGGGGGTGATGGCGATGGTGACGGGGCACAGAAGCTCTCAGGCCACATGTCCAGCGCAGTTGGCCTCCTGCTTCGCGTCGGCATGGGAGCCTGGTTTGCGAAAAACCGGCCGAAAGAGGGGGTTTTTCGACGGCAGTCGATTGAAGCAGGCAATTCTTGAAACGAAAGCACAGGTCTGTCGACACATACAAATGGGACATTGGGCTCAATGGCCTCAAAGTAGAGTTCCGAGTCGGGGAGAGATTCCGGGTGGATTTGGGGCAGAAGACAGGAGTTCTAGTCGTTGTTCTGCGGCTGGTAGTGGAAATCATCGTCGTCGGAGCCGTTCGTTTGCCAAGCAGGAAGACTGCGTGTCTCGCCTTCCTCTTGGCTCATGAAGCCGTCTCGATGGACGTCTTCGTAGAACAGCTGGCTGGCGGACATATTCTGCAGATTGCCGAGGGCCTTGGCGACCTTTTTTCGGAGCCGCCGGCGCGACTTCTTCTTTCGAGGAGCTGCTGTCCTTTCTTCATCCGCAGATATGCAGAGGACAGATAGACTGTCCCGAGCTTCCGCTTCGTTGTTCTCAGCCTTTGAAAAAGTCTCTCGGTCATGGTCATCCCGGTCGCGCTGCGGTTTCTTGGCGGACCAGTCCAGAGCAAAGTCAAAGTACTGGCGCACAATGGAGCTTCTGGCCACGCGTCTGTCGTCCTGAAAGCGGTAGTATGCCAAGTCTCCTGTCCGATGCCGAGTTAGTCGTATGCTCTCCGGCCTGCCATTTGTCACCCGGGACAGGATTATCGCTGTGCCGTTATAACCTTCTTCCATGGTCAAATGCTCGGATTCGGCTCGCGGACCTGCTCCTTTGGGCTGACGGACGTGGACGAGGGTTTGTAGTTGAAGTCGCGACACGACGCGCTCGCGAAAAGGGCCGAAAACAGCGAAGCTGTGCACATGTCGTAGTTGACTAATCTTGGACAGACACAACACGAGAAGAGACGCAAATTGACTTGTGGTAGGCCATCCCGCGTATTTACAAGGCGAGTGAAGGACTCGAAATAGCAAACGAAAGGCAGCAATACAAACGCCACAAAAGCACGTCATAAGATCGTAGTATGTACAGGAGGTCCGGCTGCTAACTACCGCTTCAGGCTGGCAAAGCGGCGGGCCAGCTCGTCATCCACAGTGTCTTTTTTCTTGACGACGAGCCGTCGGGCAGCCGGATCGGCGGCTGTGATCCTCGGGGACGAGGTACCCGGCTTGAGCTCCTGGGAATCGAGCGTGACGCGAGGATGGATGTTGTCGGTAGACGGGCTGGGCGGATTGACGTGCAGCGGCAGGACTGCCGGGAGGCTTCCGACGGCTGTTTTCGGAGGCGTGGCGCGCGTGAGGTCTAGCTGTTCCCTGGCCTCCTTGGCCGAGGGGCGTGGCCGAGAGGGCGTGGCCGGGGCGACGGAAGAGGCAGCAAGGGGATGGTCGCCGTCGGTCTTGTCGTCGTCGTCTTTGTCGATATTGTCCAGATCGACCAGATCGAGAGCCAGGGCTTCGGGCGGCGGCTCGAGCAGGGCATCGTCGTCGTCGTCGGCTCGGGATCGCGGCCAGCGGACGCCGTAGGCCTTGGCGATCTCCTCGAGGTAGCCCTGGACGAGCTCGTCGCGCGGCGGGACGACGCTGAGCTTGCGGACGACCTTGGGCGAGACCTTGCCGCCGACGTTGTCCATGGCGGCGACGAGAAAGTCCTTGCCGTAGCGCTCGGCCAGCAGGACGCGGACCTGGTGCAGCTCCTTGATCTCGGTCTTGGGCGCCGCGTACATGAGACTCTTGACAGCCTCTTCCAGGCCCGGGTCGCAGACCGGACTCTCGAGCAGACCGGCACGAGCCAGCAGCAGCTCACAGTACAGCTCTAGCATCTCGTGCAGCTCCGTGCTGATGTCCGACCGGATGATGTTCTCGACCCGGATGCGCGCGGAGTCCTCCTTGCCCGCCTCCAGCAGCTGCGCCATCGCCCGCCGCGATGCCTTGGACAGCGCCTCGTCGCGGTGCTGCACCATCCGCAGCCGCGCAATCGACAGCTTCAGCTGCACCTTGATCCTCGTCTGCATCCGGCCTGCGGTCAGCTCGGCACGTCGGGCCACCGCGCCATCGCACACGCGCGCACAAAACGGCTCACCACAAGATTGGCCGGAGGCATGTTGGCCAACGACAGATACGCAAATCGTTCGTGTTGTGGGAATCGCTCTCGCAGAAGGGTCTGCTCCTTGCAGGAACAGAGACGATACTCGACTGCACGATGCTCCACTGCGGCTTAGCTGCTGCCACAGCCGTGCGCGCGGGGTCCTTTGACACGTGATCGTCGCGCTTGTTAGAAGGCTGTCGAGGCGCTAATCGTACTCCGTACTTCGTAATCAAACGTCGTGTCTTCTTTGGCTTCATTTCTGACGACTCTGTCTCTTGCCCAGCCATGCACAGATCCACCTGAGCGACCCCCCTCCGAATCCGCCGACATGTCCAATCTTCTGTCTCTGGTCGGCTGGAGCTTCCTGCCCGATGTGAGAGCGCAGACACCGCCCCAACGCGCGTCTACTCTGATCGCCGTCCATTGACTGACCTGCTCTCCTTCTCTCTCTCTCTCTCTGCAGCTCGTCACCGGCTGGACCCAGTCGCTCTACTACTCGCTGGCCATCCGTGCGGGCGAGCCCCATCCGCGGCCGGGCACGCCACGCTATGCCGAGCACCGCCGCCGCATCCACATTCTCGTCGTGGCCATCTATCTGGCCTACACCGTCTACGAGGCTGACTACGACCTGCAGCGGGCTGGCTCCTTATACGGCGACCTGGGCGTGCCGCTGACGGCATCCGAGCGGGATATCAAGTCGCGTTTCCGCCGTCTGGCCGCGCTGCACCACCCGGACAAGGTCGCGGCCAGCAGCAGCACCGACAACAACGCCGTCAACGCCTACTTTGTGCACCTCAAGACGGCATCGGACATGCTGCTGGATCCGGCTCGCCGCTTCGCCTACGATCGCTTTGGGCCCGACGCCGTTGTCTGGGCTTCTGCCGGGCCGCCGCTGCGCTGCGTCTCTGTCCGCGACTTTGTCGTTCGTGGCCTCCGCACTCTCTTGCCCTACTACGGCGCCGCCGTGGTCGGACTCTACCTGCTCGGCCTGCTCGGCTACCTTTCGGCTCGCGGCGCCTACGAGCGCTGGCTTGTTCTTGCCTGCGTTTTCGTCTTTGAGCTCCACGCCGTCTCACGCCCTACTCACCCGCGCATCCTCTCCGCCTTCGTCAACCCGACCCTCGCCCTCGTCGCCCCTAAACACGCCCCTCTGCTGCCCTTTCAGGCCGTCCTGCTCGCCCGCAAGCTGAGCGTCACCCTCTTTATCGGCCTCTCCCGCATCGCCCCTCTGCTTAGCGCCGACACCCGCTCCGGTCAGATCGTCGCTGCTGATGCTGCTACCACCGGCTACAGCTCCGACAACGGCCCTAATCAGGCTGCCCTGCTAGCTGCCGTCGACCGCCTCGATGCCGTCGGTCGTGCCCTCGACACCGATGCCGCCCGCCTGCTCGAGATGGAAATGGCCCCCTTTGTCGGCCAGGAGGACGTCCTCAGCAATATGCGCGGCAAGATCAAGCAGTGGCTCGTCCAGAACACGATCCGTGCCGATCCAATGGTGCGCGACGCCGTCGGCCGGTCTCTGCAGCGACGACGGGCAGATGCGCCGGCTGGAGCACGTGGCACGAGGTAGTGGCGAGAACGCCTTTCGGGAGTGAAAATAGCTTCATTTCGCATATTCGCATAGCCAAAAAAGGTGCCACCCAGGGAGTTACTGATCGGAGTTAAGACCTTTTTAATATTTAAAATTCAATTCTTTTTAAGTGCAGCCGCTATATTGCCAGTCTGACGACCTCTGTCTATTCTTCTATATTACTACCCGAACCCCCAATCCACCCAGTCTACCCAAACTACAACCGCTGTCGGCCACGCGTCTCAATCGGAATCAGCACCATGCCGACAAACGCCAACAGGATCAGGGCTGCCGAGAGGTAAATGGGCGCCGTAGACCCGTCGCCCGGCAATGTTGCTGCCAGCACAGGCGCCACCAGGCCTGTGATGCGGTTCAGAAAGCTGGCCACGCCCGTTCCGGCACCACGCACAGGTGCTGGGAATATCTCGGGCGTGAAGGCGTACAGGACGCCGTACATGATGTTCTGCGAAAAGGCCTCGATGCAGGAGAAGACCAGCTGCGACCGCGACGAGTGGCCAAACGTGACAAAGACAAACAGAAAAACCGCTGACACCAGCGTCGAGATGGCCAGCGTGCCACGGCGGCCCAGAAATCGCGACGGGCTGTCGACCGTGTAAGCGGCTAACAGGCTGCCGGGAACGCCGACAATGCTGGTGATGGCGTAGTTGCGGTACGTCGTGCTGGAAGTCAATGTTTGTGCGGCCGCATCCGACGGTGCCTCTGCCGACGAGTCGCCATGGGACAGGTATTGCGGCAGGAACGCGTTGAACAGCGGATATCCCATGCCGATGGTGGCCCACACGATCCAGATGATGACTGTCGCCATGCCCAGCTGTCGCGACTGAAACAGTGGCCGCAGACGCTCGCCCGAGAAAGACTTGAGCCGGCTGTGGACCAGGTCCAGCATCGTCGTTGCCGGCCGACCAGTTGCCGATGATGCTGTTGCTTGTCTGTTCAGCGGCACACCAGGAGCAGCCTCGTATCCAGCCGCTTGGTATCCGGGTCCATCTCTCCAGCCGCTCCCTATACTCGTCCCGTTGTTTCCGCCGTGTGCGACCGCATCGAGAATGTCGCCCGTCAGCCACGTCTTGGTGCCGTTGCGGTGAGCAAGCCCGTGAATCACCGCGACTGCTTCGGCCTGACGGTCCTGCGAGAGCAGAAACTTGGGCGACTCGAACAGACGGAAGACGAAAAAGCGGATCAAGAACATGGCAAACGTCAAGAGGCCGATCGTGGTCACAAATCGGCGCCAGCCACTGGACGTGCCGCTGCTAACATCGGCAATCTGCATCCAGGCCAGCAGCGATGAGCAGAGTTGGCCCATCGGCCACCAGACTGACAGCAACGTCAGCAGCGAGCTGGATGCGTCAGGTAGAAACTCGAGGAACAGAGCTCCGTCGACGGGCAGGTTTCCACCCACACCAAAGCCGAGGGCGGCGACAAGAGCACAGACGGATCCCCAGCTGGGCGCATATGCTGCAGCAGTCCCGAATATGCTGGTGATGAGGAGCGTGCAGTTGAACGCAAGCCGACGCCCCAGAACGTCCGACCCGATGCCCCAGAAGAAGCTGCCAAAGCAGAGTCCGAGAAATAACGCGCTGGTCGTGTAGCGGACCGTCTTTTCGCCAATGCCAAACTCGGCCGACAACGATGGCAATATGAGGGAGATGCCCTGAGATGTGTGACCTGATTAGAACGGCAAGCACGGCAGCGGAAGCAAGGGGATTGCCACACAACATACTTGCATCCATAGGCTGTCAAGATGCAGTCAGCAGCTGTCCATGCAAACCAAAGAGGGAGACACTCACTTGTCGGCAAACCAGCCGAAGCCGCAGAGACAGAACAGCTCCCAGTTGTATCGACCCATGCCGATATCTTGGATTGCCTTGTTGATGAGCTTGGATTTCACTGTTCACCTTAGTCTCTATTATCTTTCTGCTGGGAGCTGGCTGCCGGGCATTGCTCACGTTCGTAGTCGGTCCATGTCGTCTGGCTGCCTGGGCTGTCTTTCGGGCTACTCCGGACTTCACGCCGCAGCCCCTCGATGCTATACTCACACGCCCGCATCAACAACATCCCGACAGACTCTGCTTCGACGTCGCCGTCGCCGTCTATCGTGTCTTTGCCACGCTGATCCAGTGCCTCCTCGTCCTCGTCCACATCATCCTCGGCCAAGGTTTCATACTCGGTCCGTCCGGTGCGAGCTGAGTGGCTGTACAGATGGGCCTCTTCCAACGGTACCAGAGTGCCCGGGTAGTCCTCAATAGACACTTCCCGGCGAGCGAAGGACAACCAGGTCGGGCGCAACATGACTCGAGCGTGATCAACGAGCCCTGCACATCTGTGCACCCCAATGAGAAACGTGCTGGGCCGAATGATGAATGAGAGGAAACCAGTATTACCAATTTGTCAGATGTGGGGGCCAAGTTGGGAGGAAAAGACACAGGGTCGTTCTTGCATGTATGGGGCGCGGGAAAGGTGGAGAATACGGAGTATCGTACGGAGTACATTTTAGCGCCATCTCCCAAAATTAGTGGGGGTCACAATGGTGTTCATAAAGACATTGCATAAGCTGTACTATGCTGTATACATAGCACAATGCAACCGTAGAAAAACATGCAAGCTACTGTCTATTTCCAAAACGAGTAGCTGAGAAATTCCCGTCACGAAACGCCTCGTTGTCTCCAATTCCGAACACCCAGTCCCAGAACCATCAGTGTGAATCGTGTTAATGTATCTTATATCAACGACGACGGCAAACCCAGAAAACCGCTGCGCCAGAGAAATGGACAGAGCGCAGAAGCAGAGGCTCCTTAAAGCATCACGGCCTCGCCGTCATCGCCGTCATCGTCTCCATCGTCGCTGAAGTCGAGCTGCTCCGCCACCGCCTCGGCCTGCCGCTGAATCTCGGCCAGACCAGACAGCTCCGTCACATACTCGCGGTCGCCCAGCGCCTTTTTCACAAAATCCCAGCCTTCTTGCCGGTAGGCATTCAGAATCTGCGCACTGCACGCACTGCAATGCGGGTACGCCGGGCCCTGGATGAGCATGTTCTGAAAGTTGGCCAGGAAGCCTCGAATCTGATGTGGCACCAGACCTAGAGGATGGCTCTCCGGGTCTCGCTCGTACGTCGCCACCGAGTTCCCTGGCCGGCTTAAGGGCTTGGGTGCCGGTGCATAGTGCCGTAATGGGTGCTGCAATACGCTTGTCAACAGCTCCACGAGCAGTGCCGATGCAATAGCAGCCACGCCGGGCCGCGTGACCGTGCACTGCTGATCCAAGGTCTGGTCTTTGACAGACTTGGATGTAGGACAAGAGTCAGCAGTAAGCTCAAATTGCCAGGACAAAGGCTATCAGAGGGAGACTCACATCTGCTGGGGCGACAACGTCATTGCAGAAGTAGCAGCCAAGCGTATCCTCGAAGCCTTTGGCAGGTGCCGGACCGTGGCGCATGACAACATATGTGTCGAAACCAAGAGCTGCATTCATAACGATCTTTCCCTTCGCCTTGGCTATTATGGTCGGGAGCCATCGTGACTCGCGCGTGTCCATAAGCAGGAAAATAACATCATGCTTGTCAATCAGCTCCTCCAGCTTCTCAAAGTCAGCCCGCGTCTTCTCCTCGTCCAACACCGGGTGACCGAGCATTGGAACAGAAAGGACATAACCGGCCGACTCGACCCCCGGATAAATCTGCTTCAGCGACTCCGCCGCACGCGTCGCCTTGGGTGCACCGCCGTGGAGACAGTCCTTGAACTCAAAGAGCGGCTGGCGTACAGGGTTTGAAAACGACACGGATCCGTAGTCGACAAACGTTATGCGCCGGACACCCCAGCCCATCAGGTTCCGGGAAACGTAGCTTCCCAGCGTCCCTGCCCCGAGCAATAGACACGATACGTCCTTGATGCTGTCCAGATCAAGGTTCGGTGAGATGCGCCACTTCATCAACTTCAGGTTCAGATCCACAGCCTGGTCTGCGAGCCGTGTTGGGTCCATGTAATCTGCCAGATTGACCATGCGTGCCTGCAGCTTTCCATTGACATTGCGCTCCCAGCCAGTGACCTTTGGCAGATCAGTCGTCTCCCTGCTGGATGCCTCATCCATCGCCACAGGAAGAATCACACTGCGCGGGTCGTCTCGCCGCCCTTGCGTGTCGCGGTAGCAGAGAATCCGCGCCTTGCGCAGGTGATAGCGCTGACGCACCAGCACCAGGAGATTGCGCAACGGCCACGACGGATTCTCTGGATAGGTAGACGGGTCGACAAACGAGATCAGTTGATCCTCCTCGTCCACGCCATTAAAGAAGCCCGACTCGAAATCGCGTAGCGAGCCTACTACCCACTGGAAGCCCAAAGCAATTTCATCGGCGTGGAGGTAAGCATTTCTTGCCTCCTCTTTGTCGCCGCCTGCGCTGTCGATCCGCACACGCTTGGCAAGAAAGAAGCCGTGCTGCCGGTTGTCTGTTGCATAGCGCCACGTACCAACCTTGTCGACGAGAAGGGTGGTTTCCTCCCGTCCTAAATGCTCGATATCGCCAACCCTTTTCCACTGTGGATCTGAATGCAGTGCGGGAAACGCAAACCAGTACGTGAACCGGTATTTCTTCAGGTCGGCAAAAGATATGATGTTGAACGAGGAGAGGAGGGAGGGAACTTCGTATATACTGCCATCTTTGATTTAGCATCCCAGATCTGGTGACCGGACGTGGTCAGCAAACGACGACGATCCTTGCTGTTTCGTGAAAGGCACAAAACATTCTGTACACACCTGTCTAGCCGCAGTATGAAGCATGGCTGCCTTGTCAGCTTGCTTGAAGTCCTCAACCGTGTTGAAGTTCTTGATGATGCCCTCTGCGCGAATCATGCCAGCGGGCGTCCTGGGAGAGGCAGTGTTAGCCGACAGGAGGCCACAAATCAGTTAGACCACGTCAAGCTGGCGTACTGGTTGCTGGTCAGCGCTCCACCGAGAATCTGCATCTGGGAGCTCAGACCCGGATCCTTCTCGCCCCGGGGCTCGTAGAGGCCGAGCACAGAGCGAGCCGAGTCGTCCAGCTTGTCATGGTCGAGCTTCGAGGCAAAAAGCGCCGTGTAGAAGGGCATCTCAATGAGAGAGTTGAACGTGGCGAACTGTAGGCCGGCCATGTTGGGCGACGTATCTCGGGTCTCTGATCAGCCGCTTCGCGTCCGTGTCTTCCCGTTTGGCTGTGTCGGACGAGTCGATATCGGATGCGCCGAGGGTCGGACGGATCGAAGGAGGCACGGGTCGCTCGGTGAACGTGTGGTGAGGGACCGTGGTCGTTTCGCAACCAAGAGGGCGAAAAATCAAAGAATCAAAAGTGGGTGGTACTGTGTCGAGGAGCAGAAGATGGGAAAGTGCGACGTCTTCGCCCAGAGAGCTTCAGTTTGTTATAGTGGTCACGACAGTGAGCCGTGAGGGGGCGGGGTAACAGCCGCCATAGAAGGCGCAGGGGGCTAGCGTGGGCCGTGGCTGCCTATGACAAGTCACACGCCGCTCTCGTCTACTACTAAGCAGAGTTGCGTCACACGGGGCCTTTCCAACTCTGTACCCATTTTCGGCGCCCTGTTGCGACTCTTCTACGACCTGCTGATCCGTGGACAGGAAGCGTGAAACCCGCAATTGGTCACCTGAGCATTCGGCCATAATCGTAGTCATTTTGCCACGACACTGGACAGGCCCGGTGCTCCTTTCTTCAACGAATTCTTAGTCAGCCCTCCTGCCGGATCGGGCAATCATAGGCTAACAAAATAGTGCAGCTGCTATGGAAGGCAAGTGCACCAGCTACATACATAGCTTTGCCCTGTCCTACATAGTACAACTTAAGATCTTAGTTGCAGGGTCCGATTTTCTAGCACTATCCACCGTCGCCAGCAATGGGATCCACGCGGACTGCGCCGTATTACTCGTCAACGCGTTTTGCGCGTTTTGGCGTCTTCCATTGGTGTAAGGGGCCTTCCACCTTTTGCCAAATGGCCTTTCTGCTCGGCATTGCAGGGCAACAAACAGCAACAGCACCGATCGTCTTTGGGTGAAAGGGAAGACATTCGCAAAGTAGATCTGTTTCAAGGAAGCAAGAGCCGGGTGCTTTTGTTTTCCGTCTCGACAATGCTCATCGGCATCTGCGGCAGTATGGCACACACACCCATCCTCTCGGCAGCAGCCGGGTTGCTGACATCCCAACTTAGGCATATGTGCTGGCAAGAGCACGGTGGCCCAGTACCTGGTGGAATGCCATGGCTTCACCCGCCTCTACATTGGCTGTGAGGGGAGTGCCGCAGACGCCTCGCCGGTGAGCTCGACGTCCTCACCGACTGTCTTTCCGTCTGCCGGGACGCTGCTGGACTTTGTCACCACCCGCTGGCGCGAGCGCTGGGTGACCACAGACGTTGCCGGCGAGGCCACGCTGGACGTCCTCGTCGGCCGGCCCTTCTTTCTGCTCATCAGCGTCGACGCCCCCCTGGCGGTGCGGTGGCGCCGAGCCCAGGCACGGGCGGTGAAGAGCGGAGGAGGCATTGCCGACGAGGACTCTGTCTCGCTGGACGACTTTGTCGTGCAGTCGGACCTCGAGCTGTACGGCGGCGGCGACGCTAAGCACCCGCCGCTGCTTCCAGTCATGGCCCGATCAGCCATGCGGCTCGTCAACGGGGCGCCTGGCGGGTTCTCTGAGGCGTCACAGGAGCCTGTTACAGGGCCTTCTTCTTCTTCTTCCTCGGCTCTCTCGGCTTCCCCGACGCCTGCTCTACCGTCCTCAGCTGCATCGCCCCCCACCATGGCCACGTTGTTTGCTGCGCTTGAAAAGGCGGGTCTGACAGCCGCCGGCGTCGAGCAACTTCTCCGCCCTTCATGGGACCGCTACTTCATGTCACTGGCGTCGCTGGCCGCCCAGCGCAGCAACTGCATGAAGCGTCGAGTCGGCTGTGTGCTCGTGCGTGAGCACCGCGTCGTCAGCACCGGATACAACGGCACGCCCCGTGGCCTGCGCAACTGCGGCGAGGGCGGCTGTGGTCGCTGCAACGGAGGTTTTGGTGCTGGCCTCAGCCTGGCCACCTGTCTCTGTCTGCATGCGGAAGAGAATGCGCTGCTGGAGGCCGGCCGCGAACGCATCCCGACGGCGTCGCTGGCCAACACCATCCTCTACTGTGATACGTGCCCCTGTCTGACGTGCAGCATCAAGATCGTGCAGGTCGGCATCGGCGAGGTCGTCTACAGCCAGGGCTACAGCATGGACGCAGACACGGCTGCCGTCTTTCGCGAGGCTGGCGTACAGCTGCGGCAATTCGTGCCAGTATGTTTCTCCTCTCTTTCAGTCCTGCAAACACAATCACATACTGACATCTTCATTCTAGCCGGCACAAGGCCTGATTCACTTGGAGAAGATCGAGTTGTGAAGCACTGTACTTCGGACCGGTGCCGTCTATACTATCATTACCTCTGGATGCATCGATCACTAGGTCAATCGTAAAACGCAGATATAGTAATGCTTTTTTTTTTCAATTAGAACACTGAGAACAACGTATCCAAATAAAGCTTAGTAAGAAGAAAGTGTTCTACAGTGATATATCAGCAGAAACATGAAAATACAAAGAGGTACACATCAAGCCGTTGCCAACTGCCCCCAACTTAATCCAAGCTATCGACATGCGTTCCGCGACCAACTTGGTTATGCTGAGAAAAGAAGGGCTGACGTGTTTGGTATATTTCCCCGATCAAGCGTAAGAATCGGTATCGTCCTCGATGCAATGTATTGCTAGCCTGTCGGTTTGCCGAGTTGAGTCGAAAGCGGCCGCGCAAAGCATTGACACATTAGCAATGTGATTTGATGTCTTGTTCCGTGGAAATGTTTGCTTTCGTATCGTCGGCAGGAAACATCAAGTACAGAGAATGGAGATTGACGCCCATGACGGGGTTCTCCGCTTGAAAGTGGCGAGACAACGTGGCCGCCATGCTGCCACGCGTCGGAACGTCTCATAAATTAAAAGGTTCATCCACACTTCACCCTCTCCTCCCATGACTCCCCTCCCCGTTCACCATCTCAGCACACATAACGTCATTCACTGACATCCCCTTCCTCGTTCCCAAATCCCATACATTAGTCGGTATTAGTCGTTTAAAATGTAGGCTTTGCTGCCTTGCGTGCGGCCAGCTTCTTGTGAATGAAGAGACCAATCAGACCGACGGCAACAACAAAGACAATGCAGAACACGACGATAACACCAGCCTCGTGACCGGCCCAGTTTGTACGCTTAGCGAGCTGAGCGAACTCGCTGCGGGCAAGAAGAGCGGTGTTGATAGCGGCCATTGCGAAGGATGGGAGGTACTGATGAGGGATTTATATTAGCTTGGTGTCGAAGGACAAAAATTTCAAAGCGGTATGCCGTGCAGCTGCTAGAAGGGAAAGATGATGAGGTGTAACAATGTGTAAGGGCGATGTGATGGGGCGCGTCCAGCGAGGTGTTGTTTGAAGTATTGATCCAAAGCCGTTAGAACGGCCCTGTTATTTTTCTCGCTCGGGGGTATCTATTTTGTTTTTATTTCGCCGTATTTTTTTTTATCGCCGCGAATTCCGAACCAACGGAGTAGCTTAGCTCTTAGACCTGCCTCATAGGCTAGGGAGCTAATGAGCGCGAGAGGCGAGCAATGTCCGAGAATGCAAAAAGGAATATGCACAAGACAAGAGCGATCGTTGGGGAAGTGGAAGGGACATATGTAATCGGAATGATAGAGGACGACTGGGCGGGCAACGGAGCCTTTGTTCTTACCTGGAGGATTGGAGGGTTGGGAGGAAGATGTCTGAGGAGCTTAAAGCTTGCGCGGACAATATGCACCTACTTGGGATTGACGAACCAAGAGCTTGAGTCTTGGCAAGGTGGGTTGGTGCGGATTGGAGATGGGAGCGAACAACACTGGGAGAAGAGCAGAGGGATTGGAGTGGAGATAGAGGAGAAGAGAGGTGAAGGTCTGGACGTTGAGTGCGTTGGAGAGAAAGGAAGGGAGAAGAGAGGAAGGGAAGAGAGGAGAGAGGGAGGAGAAAAGGAAACGGGACGGCCAAGGACACAAATAAGAATAAAGAAAAGAGCGCGAGCGAGGGCGAGCAAGCAGATAATAGGCTGGCTGGATTGGTGGGCACTTAGTGTGGTATTATCTTACATGGAGTTAGTGGTGCTCTGGGATTTAGTGGTTATGGCTTCTAGTCTGGACTATTTCCTAATTTTTTTTACTGATTTTACAGTATGGTATTTTTTTTTTATACCGCAACGGAATAGCACCGATGCTGGGCGTTTCTGGTAGGAGGTCGGTGCGGGTGAGCCGGTAGACTAGTGGAGTGGTATCTGGCTGCAAGCGGTGCGGGACTGAGACTGGGGCAGAAAAGTCAGCCAGGCCAGAAAAATGGGGAGGGGGTGTAGATGATTACAGAAACCGGAAGACGGAAGGGCCTGGCACATCGCCAGTCGGTGCGCGAATTTCTGCCACCGATATGGATGGAGCACATAACGATAACGTGACAGGGATTGCTCGCCTCGCTTTCGTGCTAGCAGGCGGAAGGAAGGAACAAGGTCACTCTGGTGCGGTGGGAACGACGCAAGGTACATTCCTGCGTAATGACGGCGTAGCAAGCGGTTGGCCATGTCTCGTGCGCATGTTAAAGGAACACGCAGGACGCTATTTTCTGGCGCAGGTACTGTGCTCCATACTCAATCTTGATATGTGGCATTGGTCACAAAGAGCTGGTCAGCACAGCATTGTGTCGTTACTATGGTGTCGATGACATGGGGTCTGGCCCGCTGTATCTTACATACTATGTAAGATAGTAAAAAGCTTCTCTGGCCTGTGGTGGATATCTGTTGTCGTGCTCATCACAAGAGCAAGATGAGAGCTTGCTGCAGGGTATATTACTCATGGCCATGGCAGGCCGTGTGGCCAGGTCTGGCCAGGACAGGACAGGACAGAACAGGACAAGACAGGTCCATATCATTACGAGTGCTCCGTAGAGTCAAGAAGGTCAGGCGGTGAAAGGGGCCAGCCATCGCTGTTTCTCTTACCGCTGGGTGTGGCCTGTATTTGCCTCGTAGGGACTCCTCACTGGTGCCTGTATACTATGCAAGATGAGTACTGGTTCTTTGTCTTGTTGCTTGCGGTGTTTTGCCAGATAATTATGGAGCATACGGACCCACTGTGGGTAGCGTCTGAAAGCCGAGCTTTCCCGTGGAAAACAAAAAGCAAAAAGACCGTACGGAGGAATTGGTCAAATACGGACGGAATTGACAACAAGGGGTAACAATAGCAGGAAAATAGAGAGGCGAGGAGAGCCTGCGGGTCTGCATATTCCTACCAAGTTGGGCGAGGACGAGATCGATTAGGAAGGAAGAGCTTGCACGCATACGAGCAAGTGCGTCTGCTGCTTCGCATAGTAAGATAGATGCGTGCGACATTGGACCCCCGTGCTGGAGGAATTCCACCGAGCAGGGCACGTCGTCATGACGCCAATTCGGCCTAAAGATGAGCTGCCGACGTCCGCGTTTGTCGGCGGGCACCTGGCAACCAGGACGAGTTTGTTTGTGTTGCTCAACCGCAGTTCATGCCGGATGCCCCGAGTTCCCCACTCTTTTCCTACCAAATCACGGACGGGGAAAAAAAGAGGGAAAAAAAGAGGAACGCCATGTTATTACGAGTCCACGGAGTTTGACAGAATAGGCAAGCCTTGGCTCTTCCTCGGCCCCAGGTTCCAGGCCCACTTCGATCGCTCGTAAGACGCGAGAAGCCAAAAGCGCGAGGCGCGAGGCGGATGCGCGCATTGGCCAATCTCTACTTATCATGGAGATGAATCGCAAATTGCGCTGGCGGCGAACCCATCGCAGCAAGGCCAAAGACTGAAACGCCATTGGCCGGATGCTACCAGTATGGTCGCCGTGTCCAGCCGCGCTCTCGCTCACGCTGTCTCGACATCCTCGACGACATCTTGGCAGCCTCGTGTCTTGGCATCTTTTGCTGGCCCGCAGTCTTGGCGGTGTGAGCCCAGCTGATCCGTGAGCCCGTAGATGCGGATGGCCGATGGATGTGGATAGCCCTGCCCGATGGCTGCGATGACGACGGCGCAAAAGCTGCCAGGTCCGGACACGCGAAGACTCGGCAAACGCGACAGCTCGGGCGCCACAGCTTTGGCGCGACAGATGTCGGCAGCGACAGACATCTCACATCCATCCATGGATCCTCCTTCACGGCTGCGCCGTCCAGCCGCTCATTATGGCCCCTTGCGCAAGTGTTCAATTGGCTTGTCTCAGCTGCTGGAAGCTGCATCCGACCGATGCTGTCTGCTTGTAAGCATCAGTCGCAATACAACTGTCTTCGATATGAGACCAAGTTGTTAAGATACAAACCATTTGTTACCGTTGACGTCAGGATGCACGCATGATCAACAAGAGGACGATCTTACGGAGTACATGGCATGCACCTACGAGGCGAAGATGATCAACGACTACCTAATAACGGCCAGGAACGCCGTGGTGAACCAACAATGACGTTATCAACAGAACTCATCCTCCTCACAGGAAGCATGCACTTTTCGACGCGAATTATATCATCCACACGAGTACCCGGCGAACGATACTTGTTACACACGGTGGTGGCAGCGATATGGACAGAGTGCAAATGACATGGGTCTGCTAGAACACGTTGTCCTTGCTCTCAGGGGCCAAGTACCCGGAATTAAAGTCTACAGAGGAGACAAACTGGATATGAGGCTGGAGAGATGTCCCGATAGATCAGGAACGGCCAAATTATCTGTTCGTGGTCAAACGTTGACAAAAGTGAAAGTCTACTCTGTAAGCTTGCGGCGAGGATAGTCGGGGAACTGACGAGCGGCAATTAACAATAGTCGGCTGTTCCACCATACGTCAATTGAACGGTAGCGGTGAGATCTCTAGGGTGCGTAATGTGCCCCCATGCTTGCAGGGTGAGATATACAGGCGATGGGGCAACGGACACGCGAAAACTGGGCAGCCCGTCCATTAAGTCTATTCGCTTGCCTGGGGAAGGCCTACCACCAATACGAGTATAAGCGAATATTCTTGCAGCAGATTACGCGAACACATGCCATAGCAGTACATGGCATAATAAGATACAATATTGCACGGAGCCCAAGAAAGTGAGATAAACATGTGGGAGAGTCACTCCTCGGGCAAAAGAACACATAAGGAGTTCGGAGGTAAAATACGAAAAGGCCCGACAAGCGGTTCTGGTTTCCATGATAATATGACACTTGCCGGGATGGACCTGCCGGGATGGACCTACCAGGATAGGCCGCGGCGATGTCATCGCGTCATGGCCCACAGTAAAATACTCGTAGCATAATATCTTGCTTAGATGAATATACGTCACGTGATATGTCTCTTTAGCTGATTATATTGCATACTGCCATGTCGCCAATCAGGGCCTTGCAATTTGATCTGGGCAGACGGGGCAAAGCTAATTCCGGCCAATTCCACAACTTCACCTTGCTGTAGCGGAAGGAAGTCAGACGGACGAAGATATCAAAAACACCGCCGCCAGACGACGAGACGAGGAAGCGCCGTACCCGCCGCATTAACAAACTGGATCTGTCCGAGCTGCCTCGACCTGTGCAGCCACCTGTCCACGAAACCGCTCGTCCATCGACCGGGTTCTGATTTTTCTTCCCTTCTTCCGGTTGGGATTGCCCCGGCTCCGAGCTGCTTCTTTTTTTTTGGCACTCGCCTCCCCCTCCCCACCCCCCCTCCCTCTTCCTTCTCTCTTCTTCACAATGGCTGGCCGGCTCTCTCCAGCTGCTTTCCGGCTGGCTGTGCGGGCGGTGTGTGGGGCCTCGTCGCCGTCGGCCGTGGGGATGGCAAAGGCCGGCGGAAAGCCCATGCAGATGCGGGCTCTCTCGGCTTCGGCGCGGCGGGCCAGCGCGACACTTCAGGTGGTGCGTGTCTGATGCTCCCATGGCGGTCTCTCGTGTTCTTGACTGACGGCTGGGCAGCACCGCAACACGGCCGACAACAACCCCGACATCCCGTTCCAGTTCTCGGCCGACAACAAGAATGTGATCCAGGAGATCCTCAAGCGGTATCCGCCGCAGTACAAGAAGGCGGCAGTGATGCCGCTGCTGGACTTGGGCCAGCGGCAGCACGGATTCACGAGCATCAGCGTGATGAACGAGGTGGCGCGGCTGCTGGAGATGCCGCCGATGCGCGTGTACGAGGTGGCATCGTTCTACACAATGTACAACCGCACGCCGGTTGGCAAGTACTTTGTGCAGGCATGCACGACGGTGAGTGCAGGCAGTCGATACGGCCGAGAGGAGCGGCCGCACCAGACAGGGCACCGAAGCTGACTTCCTGCGACCAGACGCCATGCCAGCTCGGCGGCTGTGGAAGCGATGTGATCGTCAAGGCCATCAAGGAGCACCTGGGCATCAAGCAGGGCGAGACGACGGCCGACGGTCTGTTCACGTTCATCGAGGTCGAGTGCCTGGGTGCGTGCGTCAACGCGCCGATGATCCAGATCAACGACCACTACTACGAGGACCTCACGCCCGAGACGGTCAAGTCGCTGCTCAGTGGCCTCAAGGCGGCCGCGCTCGACCCGTCTGGCAAGACGCCCGAGCCCAAGGTCGGCCCGACAACCGGCCGGCACTCGTGCGAGAACAGCGCCGGTCTGACATCGCTGACGGACAAGCCGTGGGGTGTTGAGACTACGCGGAGCGATCTCTGATGGCAGCATGGGGATGTCGATGCGGGAAAGAGAAGAGATCAGAGACGACTTCCCGAACAAGAGAACAGAAAGCGAAAAAAAACAAAAAAAAACGAGAACATGGACTTTTCCACGTAGAGCCATGATCTAGTGTAGAACAAGGTCGCAGGCTCTTCTCTTCGGAGGCTCTCTTGTACATAAAGACTCTGATATATATTTTTCGTCTTGCATTGCAGCCGATTGCTGATGACAACTTTGACTAAACTGGCTCGATATATGCTGAAAGGCACGTAAGCAAAACCGGTCCTGAAAAAAGAAACAACGATATCCAAAATGTCCATACTGGTCATATATCAACACCCGCACCCATGTCCATTCCTCGTTCAGCTCTGCTCGATCGTCTCATCTCCCAGCCGTAGAATCCAGGCATCGCCCAGCCGGTTGTTGGTGTCGTTGAGTCCGCCAAAGATCACAATAGCATTCTCCTCCAACTCTCGCAACGGCGCACTGGCTGCCCATCCGCGCGGCCCAGGACCGTAGACGTCGCTGCCACCGTGACCCTCGGCCTCGGCCTCGTCTGCGTCATACGGCGCCGTCACCAGCCGCGCCCATCGGCCCTCACCCTGCCGCTGTCCGGTGCTGCCGTTCAGGCTGCCAAACCAGCCACGCGGCAGCTTGCTGCGCACATTGTGAACGGCACTAGTCACGGCATCGGAGACGCCGGCCGCGCTGAAACGATCGGACGGCACCTGGAATGCCCATACGTCGTCCCAGAAGACGCCAGCCGCCTCGTGACCGGTACCACTCGGCGACCGCTCGCCCAGTGCCAGCAGCAGGTACTCCCAGCCGCCTCCGACAGAGACAGACTCCAGACTGGCGACAGAGCGAGCGCCCGGCCAGACGTCTTCTGGGCCAGAGACAATAATGGTGGGAGCCGGAGCGGCCGAGACACCCGGAGCAGCCGGAGTGGTCGTCACGGCTACGGCTCCTTTGTACTCTGTGGATGCCGATACGTCGGTGGCAACAGTTGTAGGCTCTTCATCCTCTTTTTCCGCAGCTTCAGCAGAGACGGCAGCAGCAGCTTTGGCCTCTTCCTCCTTTTCACGGGACGACTCCACGGCGACAACAGTGTCCGAAATCAGGCTGTGCCATCCGCCTTTGGCTGCCACAGTGACCCTGACCGGCTCGGCGCTCGTCTCTCCCGATGAGCTTAGTCCCAGTGCGAGGAAATCCAGACGGCCACCCTCCTCGGACACGCCATTGTAGCCACCGAAGCGGTACAGCCGACCGCCACTGAGGCAGAGCGCAGTTCCACCCCGCGGAAGCCCTGGTGCGGAAGGAAGCTCCTTCCATGTGCGTGTGCGGACGTCAAAGGCCCACAAGTCGTTGGTGCGGCTACCATCGGCCAGACAGCCACCGTGCACAAAAAAGGAGCCGTATCCATCGCTGTCGACATCGCGTGCGCGTTCGGCAATCTTTCCCACGATGGGCCGCTGTGGCGTACCCACCTCAGCACTGTCGCCTTCGACCCACTCTACCCAGCTGGTAGCACGACGGTGACGGTTGTTGGAATAGGTAGAGCTGCCCGGCTGGTTCCAGGCTACGGCAGCATGATAGCTGCGGGCTGCCGGGAAGACGGGACGTGAGGCCGCAGTGGTGCCGAGACCAGTGTCGCCTTCTTCTGGCATGGCCTGCAGAGGCGCAGCCACAGGAGGCGCCAGCGGGTCGAGGAAGCTCCAGGTATGGGCCTTGGTATCAAAAACCCATACGCGGCCACGCTCTTCAAGTGGTGCCATGGCGGGGCCGCCACGACCGCCAAAGAGGAAGATGCGGTTCCCGATGACGGCAGTGGCGTGGCCAACACGCGGCTCGGGCACCGAGCCCAGAGCTGGGCCGGACAACGGTATCTCCTCGACAGGCTCTTCCTTGGCCTTGCCCTTGTCGACGCTGCGCTTCTGGCCGTCGGCATCCTCTTCTTCCGCCGTCTCTGGCTCGGAAGTGTCCACTGGCTCTGATTCGGATGTCGGCTCCTGGATGATGGGCACCGAAATTGGCACCACAGGCTCGGGTTTGGCAGACACGGCCTTGATGGCGTAGTAGTCGGCCGTGGCGCTGCCGGTAGGAAGAATGATGGCGTGCATAGAGTTGTCGGTGGGCTGGCGAGCGCTGGTGCTCTCGCCACCAAAGACGTAGGCGGTGCCGGCAACCACATCCATCGAGTGCGAGGAGCGGGGAAGGGCCGGAATGGCGACGCGCTGCCAGGTTCCTTTTAGCGTATAGTGGGAGTCATGGCTGCCGGGCTTGGTAAACGACGACAGCGCCGAGATGTGAGGCAGCCGGGGCATCTGAGGAAACTGAGGCATCTGAGGAAGCGACTGGGGAATCGACTGGGGAATCGACTGGATCATGTCCGTTGTGCGGCGTTTTAGCTGTGTGATTTGCTCCATCTTGGTAAGTGGAAGAGAAGCTGCAGTTTGAAGAGGGCAGCTGCGAGATGATGAAGCTGGTGAGGGCGCTGGGGGAAGATAAGAGCTCGCGGTTGACTGCAGAAAGATGTAGCCTGAATCCTTCAGAGCTGTAGTTTTATGACGCCTTTGCTCGTATTCTTGGCCGCGCTCGTATGACGTAAGCGGGGGTACCAGCGTTTCACGTTTCCCGCTCAGTCAAATCTGTCACCTGTTCCTTCTTCAGCTCCAAAACGGGATGAAGGGCCGGCAGGTGCGACGGAGAGTCAAAGCGGGGCAATAATGCTGTATTAAAGCACAAAGTTGTTAGCTTACGCAAATCCGTCTGTTCTTGCTGCACCATTTCGCCCGACCTATTGGCGCTGTTTAGTTTCGCTACCCTAGCGACAAAGTAAGACACGGAGTACTTATTTGCACTTGAATCGTAGCCTATTGATATTTGCGTGTCCGTTGAACTTTCTCCATTCAATAAGAACGTGACACCATGCTCTTGGATGTACGTAATCTGTTACATGTCTTCCAAAGTCACACGATCTTCACTTCCATCTTTCTGACTTGACAGAGTAATTGTGCGGCCTTCTGCTACATAGTGTCGCCAACATGTGTTTCAGTCTACCATACCACTGCACTGCTACTAACCACCACCTTACAACGACGGTGCTATTCCAACGTACTCCGTACGGTTCTTTGCAATGCTCGTAAGATACTCGGATCTTGCAACTGCATCCCACTACCACATGTAGACAGCCTGGCTGTCCTTATCTTATCGCCAGTGGCGTTGCTCAGCACCGGCTGTTTACCCTACTGGGCTAGCCAATGAAAGCATAGCTGCCTAAATCCGGGCTTCTACCCCACGGCAAACAACGGCCAGCCCAAGGCAAAAAGGCGTACACGACGTGAATTTTCTCTCCTGCTTCAGTCTGTCGCAGGCTACGACGCCGGTTTATCGCTCTTTTGTATCGATGAGGTGAGACCATCTGCGTTTCTGCTTCTACACCTGAGTCCTAAACGGTCCCAATCATCATCAGGAAGCCTGGAAGTGGGCTTGGATTTCGGCCAAAAGATACCCTTACAGCCAAGGACAGTCCAGCCTTTGACGGTGACCAAGAGCGGCCATCTCGCACAAAGAGCCAGCAGAAAAGGAAGACTCGCGAAGAGCTTGCTAAGAGCTTTTGTGACCTGATCCGATCGACCGCGTCCGATCAACCTGACGCTTCTAGGTCGCAAAGTGCCCTCGGGGATCAGCCCGTTATGGCACGCTCACGCAGCGAGTCGTTTTCGGACGACGACCTGCTGATCGTGAGTTCGCAAGCTGTCAACTCGATACCTTCTTCCCCACCGCGGCAGAACGCAGGACTGGACAATGTTATCGACATCACCAGCAGTCCGGCAGTAGCCCTCACGCCTGGAGCCAGAACTGCGGGCGACAGCGGCAGAAGCATCAATGCCGGGACAGCGCGGCCTGTGTTTGGTAGGCCGACGCAGATGACGCCAACGGCGGCGGCACGGCAAAGGGACAGCGTCCTCTTCAACAACAACAAGAACCGACCTGAGCACCACCGTCCCCAGAGAATCACGGGTCCGTTGGCGCCCAAGCACGCAGACCGCAAGGCTGCTCCGAAGCCACTGTTCTCGTCTCTACCCAACGGCAACACAAGCTCTTACCCGGTAAGCTCCTTCTACGACAAGCAGCAGCCGAAGACGACGGCGGCGGCACATGCGGACGTGGATTTTTACGTAGACCCAAACAAGGCAAGCGAGGACCTGAAAGCGCTTCTGGAGGGCGGCATGGAGGATGACGAAGAAGAAGAGGAGGAGGGTGGAGGCGGAGGCGAGGAGGGAAAGTCAAAGGAAAGCAAGGCGAAGAAGGTGGTGGAGGGACTGGAAGATGGGACGATTGCCGGGATCAAGGTGAAGCTGTTGCCGCATCAGGTCGAAGGCGTGCAGTGGATGAAGGGCCGCGAGCTGGGGCCAGTCAAGAGGGGTCGAGTGCCAAAGGGCGGCATTCTGGCCGACGACATGGGATTGGGCAAGACGCTACAGGCGATCTCGCTCATCATGACGAACTCGCGGCCAGAGCGCGACGGGCCTGGGTGGAAGAAGAGCTACGAGCGGGTGGAGAAGAGCACGCTGGTGGTGGCTCCTCTGGCACTGATCCGGCAGTGGGAGGCGGAGATCAAGGACAAGGTGTCAGGCGGACGGCGGTTGAAGGTATGTGTGCACCACGGGCCACAGAGAACGACACGGGCGAGCGATCTGGCCGAGTTCGACGTGGTGATCACGACGTACCAGATCCTGGTGTCGGAGCACGGGCACTCGAGCGAGGCGCTGAAGAGCGGCTGCTTCGGCGTCAACTGGTACCGGGTGATCCTGGACGAGGCGCACTCGATCAAGAACCGAAATGCCAAGGCAACCAAGGCGTGCTGTGCGCTCTCGGCAGAGTTCCGCTGGTGTCTGACGGGGACGCCGATGCAGAACAACTTGGACGAGCTGCAGAGCCTGGTCAACTTTCTGCGCATTACGCCGTACGACAACCTGGCGGAGTGGCGAGCCCACATCGACCATCCGCTGAAGAACGGACGGGGCTACCTCGCCATCCGACGGCTGCACAGCCTGCTGCGCTGCTTCATGAAGCGACGGACGAAGGAGATCCTGAAGGAGGAGGGCGCGCTGGTGCCGGGCGGAAAGAAGGCGCTGGACGCGGCGGCGGCCTCGAGCGAGACGCCGACGTCTGGCTTCAAGATCACAGAGCGCAACGTGGTGGAGGTCTCGACGGAATTCTCGGTGGCCGAACGGCGGTTCTACGACCAGCTGGAGGAACGAGCGGACAAGAGCCTGGAGAAGATGATGAAGGGGTCGGCGATGAGCTATGCGAACGCGCTGGTGCTGCTGCTGCGGCTGCGGCAGGCCTGCAACCATCCGGACCTGCTGAAGCAGCAGCTGTCGCGAGACAAGGACGCGCTGTCTACGGAGCCGGCACCAAAGGCGTCTTCGGCCGGGGGAGACATGGACGATCTGGCCGACGCGCTGGGCGGTCTCGGCATCCAAGCGAAGCGATGTGAGGTCTGCATGGCGGAACTGTCGCGGGCAGAGCAGACGGCCTGTGTTCCGGGCGACGAGCTGGTGTGTTCAGGTTGTCTGGCTGACCGTGAGATCTTGGGAGAGGGAAAAGAGAAGAGGAAGGAGAGGAAGGAGAAGAAGGAGAGGAAGGAGAAGAGGAAGGAGAAGAAGGAAAAGAAGGAAAAGAAGGAAGAGGAGAAGGTGAAGAAGGAAAAGGAGAGGAAGGAGAAGAAGGAGAGAGAGAAAGAGGAGGAAAAAAAGGAAAAAGAGAAAAAGAAGAAGAGCAAAGGGAGCGACCGAAAGGACAGGTCAAAGAAAGACAAGGCAAAGAATGGGGACGACGAGGCGCTGGTGAGAGCAGTGCGGAAGCCAAGAAATCGACGCGCTATTATCGACAGCGACGACGAGGACGAAGAGGAAGATGGCAGCTGGTTGGTGGGCGAAGAGCAGAGGGGCTCATTGCGTCTGGGCAAAGCAGGCGGCTCCGAGGACGAGGATGCCGAGGGGGGAGGCGACTGGATCGAGAGCGACGATTCCATCCACCACTCGGAGGACGAGGACGACGGCAGTCGGCTGAGCAGCTTTATTGTGGACGACGAGAGCGGGAGTTCAGACGAGAGCGAGACAGAGATTGGAAGTGACAGTGAAAGTGAAAGTGGAAGCGAGAGCGAAAGCGAGAGCGAGAGCGACAGCAACAACGACGACGACAGCGACAACGACAGCGACAGCGACAGCGATGCCAGCACTGCCAGCACGTACAGCAACTCGCTCGCGTGGTCGGCCAAGATCCGCAAGACGCTGTCGATTCTGCGGGCCGAAGCAGACGAGCACAAGTTTATCGTCTTCTCGCAGTTCACCTCGATGTTGGATCTGTTGGGACCCTTTCTGGAGCGAGCGGGACTAGGTCACGTGCAATATGATGGCCGCATGCGCAACGACGCGCGCGAGGCCAGCCTGCGATCGTTGCGCGAAGACGCGGCCACGCGCGTGCTGCTCTGCAGCCTCAAGTGCGGTGCGCTTGGGCTGAACCTGACGGCGGCCACGCGGGTCGTCATCCTCGAGCCGTTCTGGAACCCATTTGTGGAGGAGCAGGCCATCGACCGGGTCCACCGCCTGACCCAGACCGTCGACGTCACCGTCTACAAGCTCACCATTGCCGACACGGTCGAGCAGCGGATCCTCGAGCTGCAGGCCAAGAAGCGTCTGCTGGCGGCACACGCGCTCGAGGAATCGGCCGGCGGCAGCCGTGGCGGTCGTGGCGGCAAGGGCGTCAACAAGAAGGAAGCCCTCAAGCTCGGCCTCAAGGAGCTCATGGATCTGTTCCGCCACGACGCCCGTGGCCAGCCGGGCGACCCCGACGATGTGCCCGGCATGGCCGGCCCGCTCGAACCCGTCGTCGACGGCGGACTGCTGCGACGCCGAGACCCCGGCAGCAAGCCGGCCGGAAAGACGGCTGCCGTCGACAAGCTGCCGCAAAACTCGGCCTACAGCCGGCGATGGTGATGGATGTGTGGTGCTTTCATGAATGTTTATGCTTATGAACTGGTCCAGAGGGCTACAGACTACGGGTATACGAGAACACAGTGAGAGCCACAGGAACACAGGACAGACGCGTGTTTATGCATGGGAATAAAGAAAACAAAGATTGAAAATGCCCAAGAGCCGCCATCTCCAGCATACAACCAAGTAGGAAAACACCCCCAACACCTCCATCTCAGTAGCTCACACGACCCGTCCGACGGTAGTAGTCGTCCGCAACCGGGCCGCCCGGTGCCGTAGGTGCATTGGTAGACGGCATGTACGCCCGGTACTGCGGCTGGTCGATCGAGGCGCCAGGAACGGCTGGTGCCGAGGGCCCTGACGGTGCCGACGGTGCCGACGGTGCCGGCGGTGCTGACGGTACTGACAGTGCCGCTGGCACGTTGGCGCTCGCTGGGATGCTTGGCAGCCTCTGCCGGGCATCGTAGTAGTTGTCAGGAGCAGGTGGCGGCGAAGTCGTCGGTGGTGCTGGTGTGGCCGTTGTCGGCGCCTCGGGAACCGAAGAATACGGAGCCTGTGCTGTCGGTGGATGCGAATAGCTGACGTAAGCAGGGTAGCTGGTCGGCAGCCTCGGGGCGTTATCAGGCGAAGGACTGCCGGGCGTCGGGCCCGAGGGAGCAAACTGGTCCGGAGAGTGGACCGAGGACGTGTAGGTGGCCGCAGAGGCAGGTTCAGTGCTGGCGCTGTGTGATACGACGGGAGAGTCGTAGGCAGAAGTCGAGAGCTCCTGTGGGTTGCCATGGGTGCTCTGGGGACCGCCAGCCATCGGCGCTTGTTGTGGATGATAGGGCATGTATGAGCTTGTGGCCGGCTGCTGGGCCGAAACGTTGGTCTGGAGAGGCGACGGCTGCTTTAAGCCACCGTTGCCGCCCGATGGAATCCGATGGTGTTGTTGGCTTTGGCTCAGGTAGGCTTGCTGCTGTTGCTGCTGTTGCTGCTGCTGTTGTGGCGACTGTTGTTGAGGAGGCAACTGCTGCTGGGAGGACTGCTGCTGCTGTGGTGCTGCTTGTGCCGACTGGACGTCGCTGTTGGCCAGGTAGAACGGCACAGGGGTCGCGGTAGCGCCTGGCCGCTGGAAGTTGGCTTGGTCTAGGTCTCGTCAGCAACAAGGTAACATGGTGAGCTTCCTCCCTTGTCCCCACCTCTTCTCTCTCTTCCTCGCTCGGTACGATCTATAACTGACCCTGTCGTGGTCCTGGAGTGTAGTATCTCTGATCTGGCGGGCCGGTCGGAGCTGCATAGCCGGTCAGGCCGCCAGGGCCAGCAGCATAGCCCTGTTGCTGCACCTGCGGCCGTATCGCGTACTGTTGGTAGCTGTGCTGTGGCGGATGGGCCATGGATGACTCCAGCAGGGCCTCATAGTCACGCCGCGCCTTGATAAACTTCTCGTTGAGCTGGGTGAAATCGTCTGGCGAATAGGACTGTCAGCATACACAAAGACCAGACCGGCTCTGATAGGGGCAGTGAAGTGACAAAACACGCTCACCCTTTTTCTGCGAGTACTTCTCGATCAGCTTGATCAGCTTCGGCCGGATGGCCAGCGTCTGATGGTACAGTTTCTGTCCCGTTAGCAGGGCGACCAAAGGAAAGAGAGGGTCTGGGCACAACCAACCGAAATCTCGTCACTGTCCTCCTCCCGGGATCCCACGTTGGAAGCGCTCAGGAGGGTCAGCAGCTTCTCCACGTTCTTGATCTCAGCAAAGACCTCGGCCTCCATCTGCGCCTCACGCTGCAGCTCATCGGGCGACGGGTCAGCCAGGATCTCCACGTAGTTGAGCGGGAAGATGCCCGTACGACCCTTGAGCGAACCACGCCACCAGTCACGGTAAACCGACTCGAGCACGGCGATCACGTCGCCCTTCTTGAAGTCGAGCTCGTCGGGCTCGGACGCGGCAAAATCGAAGAGCGCCCGGACGCGGGACACCGTCGCCGCTGTCGAGCCCTGAGGAGGCGCGCCAGAGTCCGACGCTCCGGGCATCTCGGCAGGGCCAGCGGGACCGCTGCTGCTCGCGCCTGCAGCCGATCTGCCAGCCGCAGCAGCCGATGCGCCGCCTGACGCGCCCACGACTTTTTTGGACTCGTCGTCTTCGAGCGACAGCTTCAGCGCCCGCTGCAGATCCTCCTCCTCCCGTTGTCGGTCGAGGTCGGTGAGACTATTCTTCTGCGGGGCCGACGGCGGCGGCTGCAGCTGCGGCTGTGCCTGCTGGAGTCGCACATAGGCGTCCTGCATAATGCCCAGGTCGGTGTTGCTGCGGAACATCTCCGTCCACTCCTTCATGCGCTCGAGGATCTTGAGCCGCACCAGGTTGTGCGTGTTGCGGTCGTTGGCCAGCTTGAGGAGGGCGTCGGTGAAGGCGCGCGATGCTAACTCGCGATGCAGAGGCGTGCCGCAGTTTTGACTCAGCGCGTTGGCCAGCTCCAGCGTGTAGAGCTGCACGTTGGCATTGCGATGGGCGAGCCGCTTAATCAGGCTCTGCACCGCCTCCTTGGGGCCGTTGGTGGCATCGGCTGTCACCCGGTCGCAGACCTCGATGATCGCGGCCCAGTCCTCGGATGTCGAGTTCTCGTCAGTCGCCTTGGCTGGCAAAGGGAGGGCATGTTAGCAGCAGCTGGGGAGAGGGCGAAATACGGGAGGCGAGCATCTGCGTCGCATCTTGTGCAGTGCCGGAGACATACCGACAGCCTCGTCAAAAGGCCCGGGAGCTGCGGCGCGAAACATCGTGGCAGCGCGACAGAGCTACAGCGGTGAGGCGAGGAACAGAAGAGAAGATGACGTTCTCAAGCCTATTCGTGCCTGGGAGAAGACTTCCGAGCAGGCTAGCTTCTCGCAGTGGTCTGTTTTTTTTGGCAGGCCGAGGAGTGCGACGGGAGGTTCGGCAAATCACGGCTGGTGTAAAGCCTAGAAATCGAACTCGTGGGAGGGTCGTGGGATGGTCGTGAGGCAAGATGACGAAGGGGGGGTTAAAAGCAGAAAAGAGGAGAGATGGATGGCTAGTTCAGAATACGGCAAGGATGACTGGAACCAGAAGGCGCAGCAGAGTGGGAAGGAACTGTAAGATACGGAGTACGGTAGTGAGCTCGGCGCAGGAGCCCCGCATAAAAACAGGCATCCATTCAATCGCTTGGCCTCACGTGGCATGGCTGGCTCCCGAGGGAAAGAGGCTACGGCCATTACGCGCCAATGCATTGGAAAGAAAGATGCAAATGTCTGACGATCAGCCTTCTTACGTGTACTCGGAACAGCACATCGCACAGGCCTAATGCACCGTTTAATGGCTGTGAAGAATCTGCGATGCTATGCTGTCAGGACATGGAAATGATGACCTGAGTATACGAGTACTTGTCGTCATTGTCGTAAGTACGCCGTATCTTACATATGAGCCCATAGGCATTCCCGGAATTAGAATCAGCGAGAAATAAGGGAGGTGGAGTACATAGCTACACGTGACCATGATTCTGCCATGTTGTTGTCAGGCTTCCCCACGACCGCCTGAACAGGCCAATAGGAAGCAGGCTGGCGTCTCCAGGGCTCCTCTTTTCGACCTTTCCGCCCTACAGTTGATTATATTATGTCTCCCAATAATATCGGCGAGGGGGAGGCAAAATTGACTTTTCCCTCAGAACAACAAGCCTGCCCTCCTGACGGCTGGAAGCGATCGGCTCAACACGACACACCACAACGAGCCCTTTTAAACCTCCGATCCGAAACGCAGCCGCCCAACCGACGCCATGAGCCACAACGGTCCTGTCGAATACCCCGAAGAGCTGCTGAGTGTCTTCAAGGCGGCCGCATTGTCGGTGACCAAGCTCTACAAGACGTCCACAACCGCCCAGGCCAAGGCACGGGTCGACGGCTACCAAGACTGCCTGGAGGACCTTCTGGCCCTGCTCGACAAGGGCGGGTGCGATGTCCGCGTAGTGCGACGATGGGCCGCCGAGCGGCTGGACGGCCGAGACTCGATCGTGCCGACGATCGAGAGCGAAGACGAGGTCGACAAGACGGATGCGACATCGACGCCAGAACCCCAGCGACGAGACAGCCGCGACAGCCGCAGCGGGCCTAGCAGTACCGGCAACCACGACACCGCCATGCGGTCGGACACCGGGTCGCCCTCACCATCGACTCTGCGAACGGCAGCGATGTCGACGACAAACGGCAGCAATTCAGCAGCCGCAGCCACAAGTCACGCCGCCAGCAGCAGTAGTGCGGCCGTGAAAGCACCTGTGGTCTCGGCCAACCCCGGAAAGACGTCATCGACACGAGCACGGTTGCCATCGGTGGCCGAGAACAGCGACTGCGACTACCTCGAACCCGTCGAAGTGTCGGTGCCTATGCAGGGTGCCTTTACCTTTCGCGCGCCCATGGCCTACCCGCCCGAGTCGTACCTGCAGCTGGCCAACCTCGACCTGTCCGACAAGTTTTCTGCCGGCGGCCCTGCCAGTGCCAGCGAGCCTGGCGCCGATCAGCAACAACACACCCCTTCCGCGGCCGCTTCGCCCACCTCTTCCGCCTCTTCCTCCTCTCCACACGGCTCGAAGCCGGCCTTCCGCGTACGGCACTCCGGCCCTGCACGCTTTGGCTCGCGAACCATAAACTCTGCCCGCATCGGTCGTGGCAACGCCGCCGGCACCAGCCAGAAGCGGAAGCTCAACGTCGAAGAGATCTTTGACCTGGCCAGCTTGGGCTACGGCAAGGATGTCTTTGGCCGGGCCGGGCCTAGCAAGCGCCCTCGCCAGGGCTAGCTGGCCTGACGCTGCTCTCTTGTCCCTCCCCCCCCTCCCTTTCCTCGACCCTTCTCCCCATTCCACCTTCACAGCTGCTGCGGCTGCTCGCATTGGACCTGGTGGCACATTTAGCAGGATTTTTTTCTTCGGCATACAGCCATACCAGTTTTCGGGCAGATTGATAATTTGGGCATTAATGTTTTGAAATGACAGCAAGAGGAGGCCAATGCGTTAGAAGCGGGTATAACTAAACTGTGCTTAGGTGTTTACTGTAGAGGGCGAGTCATTTTTCCCGGTCTGTTCTGGGAGCATGTACAAAGGCGAAGGAACTTAGCATAGGTACATAGGCGACGCGGTTATGGGTGTGGAGGGTCTGCATTCAACAATATCGCTTGGCTAATTCGTCGATGGCACTGACAAGAGCGTGGCACAGGAATACAAAAAACACAAGCAACACATGATGAGCCTCCCAAAACGATACAGAATGTGATTGGCTGTCTTTTAGGTCCTATGAGTGTGGGTAGACGACACTGTAAAGAGCAAGGCTCAGAGCTTTGTCCTATCGGCCAGAACGTCGAGAATCAAGGCAACTTCATCGTCGGCTGCATCGAGAATGTGTGTCGGTGGATAATGAGGCGTCCAGCCGACCGACTTGCCGTGCTCTGGTTCGAACATGCATCTACATGCAGATGATCAGAAAGCTGCCGAACAAGGATTGAGGGTGTACTCTGACTTACATGCCGCCCAGCATCAGGCGGACCAGCTCTGCCGGCTGGCCAAGCGCGGCACCCACGTTGGCCAGCGCCGTCTCGTCTGCCGTCTTTACGCTGGCATCATCGACGATGCCCCAGCGGGCCAGCGCTGCCGCCATGGCGACGTATATGTCCTGCCAGGCGACGCTGCCAGGAGACGCCAGGTAGTATCCGTTCTTGCCGTAGTCTGGATTCTCTTCGGCCAGGATCGCCCGCAGGAGGTGGAAGTAGAGAGTGGTCGTGTCGAGTATGTGGCAGACAGGCCAGATCTGAAGAGAGAGATGTAAGAGAAAAACTGCTCTTGGGAAGATCCAACTCGGTTGTCCTCACCGTCTTGTCAGTGTCGACTTGATACATCTGTCGGGTTCCCTGGGCGGCCTTGACAATCTCTACCGTCTGGATAGAGATCTTGTTGCCGAAGCCTAGTCCTTTGCCATCTATAATCGCCTCTGGTCAGATCTTACTCGCGGTTTTTACTGACGACCGTCGGCAAATTTTGCATAGCACATACAGACGATACACAGAACAAAGATGTATGTGCGGATGCCCTTGGCCTCGCCTTCTTCCACGATCGTGTTGTTCGTTTCGACGGCCTATAGCTTTAGCATCTCCTCCAGACACTAGCAACCCTGAGAGCTTGGGACGCTTTCTCACCATTCGCATAAGATCCTGGCTAGGTATCTGGGTTTTCTGAAGAGCATAAATGCTCAGGTCACTGTCTGAGAATGTCCGGTCTGATGGAGCGCCCGCCATGTCAGAGAATATCTTTGCACCGCTTGTCTGCAGAATACGCTGTCAGGAAACAAGAGCCTATCAGAAGTGTCTGATCAGCAGCATCACCATACGTGCAAGAGGTGAACATCCTGGCCCGTCTTTCGCCGGACCTCTGCCAGTGCATTGATAAAGTAGAGCTGCGCCTGGGGGTGCATGACATCCGACAGCCAGAACACGACCGATATGTCGTGGCCAACGACGGCAGTGAGCACGGCAGCCGGGTCGTAGGCGTCGAAAGTGAGGCCCTCTGCACCGTACGCCCGAACGGCTTCTTCCTGTTCGGGCTTGCGCACGAGAGCATAAAGCTTTGTGTTTTCCGGGAGCTGGTCTCTGTGTTTGGCCAGATAATATAACAGGCTGCCGCCCAGATATCCAGAGCCGCCGGTGATCAGAACATTGTGTCCCATTGTGATGTTGAAAAACAGAAGAGTTTGGTATTCCCGACCACCGTAACCCGTCTGCTCGTCTTCATTCTGCTATATATTCACCCTACTTCTCCCTTCTTTTCCTTACATAGACATTTATCAGGATCTCGTTCACTTGGACTGCTGACTAATTGGCCGATGACCAATGCGGCTGACCGTTGACCTTACTAAAAAGACATGCCAGAGATAGCAACTGGGATATTGTTGCGCCGGTGCACAGAGAGCGATCTGAACCTGTCTCTTTAATTGATTGTACCAATTGCAACTCTGATCGTGAAAGGATCTCTTGGCGATCTGCCCCGTCGGATCATCCTTTCGCCTCGCTGTGGCATCACAAGGCTAGCCGGTCTTGGCAATCTCGGGACGCCCCGTCCTGGTAGCAAGAGAAGAACGACCAACAGATCGATGGCTGACAGCGAGTACGTCGTCCTCCTCCCGGACGGAGGGCCGCCGACGACAGCCGCAACGACGCCGGCAGCAGCCCGCTGGACGCGCTGGCGTCGTCAGGCCCAGCACTACCTCGAGTCCAAGGAGAAGCACTACCTGATCCTGGCGCTCGTGAGCCTCGATGTCCTGGCCATCCTGACCGAGATCCTGCTGTCGCTCATCACCTGCGACACCGGCACCGAGGACCTGCCGTGGGTCGAGCCGGTCGAGAACGTCATCAAGATCTGCGGCCTGGTCTTTAGCTGTCTCTTTCTGATCGAGCTTATCGCCAGCGTCTGGGCTTTTGGATGGAGGTCAGCCTTTCTTTCTTTCTTTCTTTCTTTCTTCCCCTTCCCATTCCCTCCATCACTAACATCCCACCCACAGCTTCTTCTCCGCGTGGTTCCACTGCTTCGATGCCTTTGTTATCCTGATCAGCTTCGTCGTGGACGTGCTGGCACACGGTGTCATCGAGGAGATCGCGTCGCTCGTCATCGTCCTGCGACTCTGGCGTATGGTCAAGATTGTCGAGGAGCTGAGCGTTGGCGCTTCTGAGCAGATGGAAGAGCTGGAGGCGCAGGTCGAGAAGCTGGAGCAGGAGAAGGACGATCTTGTCGCCCGAGTGCGCGAGCTGGAGCAGGGCAGCTGAAGACGCGTGTGTGTCCATTTGTTGCGATTTCGATCTCTGCATTTTCTCATGGATTTCTGCTTCTCCGAATGATGTACGCTTTCTGTCTGACAACTTTCAGCTTCACAGGCCCTTCCCTCTCGTTTTGTCTTTCCTGCTTCCTTCCACTTCCTTGCCCAGCTTGTTTTCTACCCTCTGCGCTAATGATAATCATACAAGAATTATAAACGAAAAATATATATATGCTGAAACGATCCCCTCTGCCGCAAACCCTTAGTCATCCATAATGTTTTCGTCGATATCCAGGTCCAGGGACGCAATGATGTCGTCATCGACAATGGGACGGTGAATCGTTGGCAGGCCGCTTTTCGTCGTCGGCCTCTGCTGCAGCTTCGCCAGGTGCAGCAGACCGCCGCCGTTATTCTGTGCCCCCAGCTGAGGTGTCCCGTTGGCCGGTGTCGTAGCACCACTGCCAGCCTGACTGGCTGGCTGGCTGGCCGGCTTCTTTTCGGGTCCCTGGTCATTCACGTCATGCACGAACTTGGCTCGCGTCCGCACTCGTCGTGAATGGTCCTCCTCCACTTCCTCGCCTCTCTCGATTTTGCGATTGATCGCCCGCACCTTCGCCCGCTCCTTCAGCTGTGCCTTGCGCACCGCTTCGGCGTTGCGTCGTCGGTTCTCAGCATTTAGCTGTGCCAGCCGCTCCTGCTGCGACAGACCCCCGCTGCCCTGATCGCTGCTGTTGCTTGCCTGGCCAACTTGCGTCAGCGATGTCTTAAACGCCAGCCGCGGTGTCTCCAGGTGCTGCAGTTCCTCCTGCAGCTGCTCTGCGCGCACAAAGTTGCCATGCGCCTTGGCATCCTTGATCCCATACTCCAGCTTCATTCGCTCGACCCCGTTGAACCGGTTCTTGAGCGCCTGCTGCCGTTGCACCTTCTCGGTCAGCTCGTCCTCGGTCCAGCTTCGATTGATCAGCTTGTTGATGTCATCTGCCTTGTTGAGAAGGATCCCCTTCTTAGGTATTGACACGTTATCAACGTGGCATATCTTCTGGTAGCGGGTCCATTCAGACTGACAACTATGTTAGCTCGATAACAGACAATAAAGCAACAGGAACTCGTTCTAATCCTCACCTCGGTAAATGGACCGTCTGAACACGCAAGGAAAGGCCATTCCCTCTGTGCCTTTCCGTGCGCTGCCTGCACGTACTGATCCGTGACAAGCAGTTGGCCCTGGACTCCTGTGATCGCATAAGGCTTGCCCTTGGTAAACCCCTTGACTAAAGCCATCCGATACACCGGTTCGCGAGTCTCCGGGTCTGGGCCGATGGAGATTCGAACAAACGTCCCCGAAATCGCAGTGTTGAAACCGGGATAAAAGCAGACTTGGCTGAACCGGGTTCTACTGAGCCGCACCCGTTCGATGTCCCGCAATTCCACCGTCTGGATCGCTTTGGCTTCGGGCGAGCGAGATTTGCGTGTTATCTTTGCCCACTCCACCTCGCTGTCGTCGTCACCGTCCTCATGGTCGTGGCCACCTATCGGGGATGACCGATCCTTCCGGCGCTCGCGATCCTCCTCCCGTCGACGGTTTCGTTCACTCTTTTCAGCCCGCCGGTTCTTCAGCGTGTCCATTGCCGAGTTCGTCTCCCCCACCTTGGTGCCGCCCACTTTGGTGCGTACCCGCGATGTCTTTCGTTGGCCTTCATCCAAGTCTGCTGCGCTCGCCGAACGCTTCTTCCGTTGTTCATCGTTACTAACGAGCTGCCTGAGAAGCTTGTTCTGGTGGATGCGGTCCTTTTCTTGAGCCCTTTCAGCCAGAATCTGCTCCCGTTCCACCTCGCGCATGTTCATGATTTCTTCCTTCTCATCCAGAGACATAAACAGTCCGTCGACGGGATACTTGTGTTCATCGTCGTCGTCGTCATCGTTGTCGCCGCTGGCAGCGCCTCGGCCCTTTCTAGGGGCCGCACCAGCATCAGAGTCGGAATCGGACTCATCCATGGGGGCTGACTGAAGTGAAGCCGGAGAAGCAGGTGCTGAGGAACTGTGAAGGAAATGTGAGCCCAGGGTCATTGACTTTCGAGGCGTGGCGCGAGCATCGAAACAACATCCATACGGAGGAAAGAGGCACCACGAAACATTTGTTAAGAGGCACTCCATGTCCTTAGAACCACTTACGCTTCTCCTTCCTCCTCCGACTCATCATCCTCATTTGCACGCCGCTTAACCTTCTTCGCAGGCGTCTTCTTAGCGGCTGCGCCTCTGGAAACAAGCGTATCATTCTTTCTCGTTTCGGGCGTGGCATTCCGCGATTCCGAGCCGCTGCGGCTGATGTTCATTTGAACGTCATCGTCGTCGTCGTCGCCTGAGTGCCGCCTCTGGTGCTGTTCCTCTTCGTCCGACGAAACATCGCCACCAGCCAGGGCGAGCAGCTCGTCATCAACGTCAGACATTTTGTCTCAACTCTTCGGCTAGATGGAATGGTGGTATGGCGTTGAAACGGTGATGTGGCTCCCCGTCCGTGGAGAAGGCTGCAACGGAGGCGCGTCTGCAGAAAGTCACAATTCGAATGCAGAGCCTCAAGAGATGAATTGATCTGTCACTTCGTCTAACGCTGTTCCAATAGCAATTATGTAAATACTATTCTGGAAAGAGTTGTCGCATCTGAATACCAAATGCGTAACTAGTCGAGTTCTAGCAGCTGCTTGTCGTTGCCAGATTGTTCGAATTTCTTTGCTGATATATCATTCTCTGCGAAGCTGAGAGGCATTGGTATTCGCGTTTCTACTCCGTACCCCTACTTCCTCCATACGACTACTCCTTAGCGCTTTTGGGTAAGCGCCGCTTTCGGTTAATTAAAACTCCGATGCGGATACAAGTAGTCATCATGTGGCGCATAGTGGGGCTAAGCCACTGAAGCTATTCGAGGCTTCTCCATGAAACGATTCCAGCACGAGCTTCTCTAGCCCTGTCACTGTGCTGGTAGCTTCCTCTCATATCTTTAGAGGGGTATAAATATTAGACTGTACGCAATGTCACGAACGACGCTCCAGGCTACCCGTCAATTGGGCAATCGGATGAATCTGTACACGCCTAGTGCACCATTTACTTCCTTTCAATCTCGATCCTGCCCGCGATGCGGGTTGTCCACTGTATCAGCTCGCCGTTTCGCATCGGTAGCTTCTGGCACCGAGGCTGGCAATAAATCCGCTGCGATGCCCCCAGTACCTCCACCCGTCTCGATTTCATCGAATGGGGATAGCAGCAAGCCGAGGCGAAAGCCGCTGACCCAAAAGCAGAAAGACTTCCTCTCGTCTGCGGTACGTATAACACTGCTCTTGAGGAACGGCTACATCCACAATTGGCATGCACAAACTGATGTGCACTGTTTGTCCAGCTCAGAGTCAACCAGACCGGCGAGTTGGCTGCAACGCTCATCTACGCAGCTCAGATGCCGCTGCTGACCCGCACGCACCCACACTTGCGGCCCCTCATGAAGCACATGTATAACCAAGAGAAGGGGCATCTAGACACGTTCAACAAGCTCATCACAAAGCACCGTGTCCGACCGACGGCGCTGTACCCTTTCTGGTACGCCGCAGCAACCGGACTGGGCTGGTCTACAGCATTCCTAGGTCGCGAAGCCGCCATGGCCTGTACAGAGGCCGTGGAGACGGAGATTGGCACACACTACAATGGGCAGATCCGTGAATTGCTCGAGATGACTTCTGAGTGGACGGCTGAGGGGTACGATGTAGGACCCGAACTGACGGACCTCATTGAGACGCTGCGACGCATTCGCGACGAGGAGCTGGAGCACCTCGACCACGCCGTGGAAAACGACGCCAAGAAGGCCGAGCCGCATTGGCTGCTGACGGGCATCATTCGAGCCGGCTGCCGTGGTGCCATCTGGGTCAGCGAGCGGGTCTGAATAAGGACTGGTGTTGGCTGGATGGCATTTCTAGTGTATATTGTGTACTATGCTACCATTTCATCTCCCGTATCCCGTTCATATACGCACACAGTGACAAATAAAGATACTCGATGAATTTTGCCCCTGACCAAAATCCCAAAAACGCCGCGAATGTATAAGCAAGACCCAGGAAGCTCCTGCAAACACTCCTTCGCATAGAATACCACTCTCTGCCCGAGCGACGCCTATTGTTGCAGGGCCAGCCGGTTCGCGCGCTCCCTCTCCACCTCGTACACAAAATCAAAGTAGCCCTTGTCGAAGTGGTGGACACGGACGTAGCCGTCCTCTCCACCGCTTGCGTAGCCCTTTCCGGTCGGATCTGCCGCAACGGTGTTCTGCATGCTGTCAGAATATGCTTCACAAAACAACATAGATATTCGTTTCTTGAATTTGAAACTTACCAAGGGGCCGAAGTGGCCACGGACACGACCGATCTCGTCCTCGAAAATCTTGTGGTAAAAGCGTGCCTCGAACTTTCCTTGGCGAGCGGCAGTCTGTGTCACCTCCATAGCAGCCTGACCACCGCCAAGAACGACAAAGTCCTTCTTGGCCGTTATGCAGGCACTGTTGAGGGGTGTGTCGGCAACATAGGTCTTGAGGACAGTTAGGTCGCGGGCAGCAAGAAGCTTGGCGGTCTTGTCCTTGGACGCGGTGATGAAGTAGGTCCGATCCTGTCCCCATTGCAGGTCCGTCACTTGCATGTTGAGGTCGTGAACGGCAACGTTGTAGATGAGGTCGCCAGTCTATGATGTGATTAGAACTAGTCAACATGGAGTCATCAAACAGGGGACACAAAAAACGCACCTTGCCGTCATACTGCGAGACAGAACCATCCTCGTGCCCAGCAATAATGTACTTGGACAGGTAGCTCCATCCAGCCACAGTAGCCTTGCTCTCGTCGCAGACAATTGTCATGGACTTCTCTTCGCTCTGCTCAGCCTCTACATCGACCTTGATGTCCAGCACAACGATCGTGCCAAGGTAGCCCATCCGCTTCTCGGTCACGCCCAACAACTTGGTTCCGTCCTCGTTGAACTCGACGCGCTTGACCGCAGTGGGGAACTCCCACGTCTTGAGGCATTTCCCCGTCTTGATATCCCACAGCCGAATCGTGTTGTCGGCCGAGCCGCTGGCCAGAAGAGTAGAAGTGGGGTCGGAATCGATGGTCCAGATGGCACCCTGGTGACCGTGGTAGGTTCCCAGCCGCTCGCCGTTGTGGGAATACCAAACGCAGATGTTGTGGTCCTTTGAAACTGAGAATATCAAGTCGCCGTCGAGGTTGTATCTAGAAGCAGGAAGCATTAGCCGAATTCGGCCGTGTCGTTCACGAATCAAATAACATACTTCACCTGGGTGAGCGCACGCTCGTGCCCAGATAGCAAAATGGGCCGCATGTTGAAGGTATCGTGAAACTAACGGGTCGTGGTGGTGTCTTGGGTCGGACCAGATTCGTCGTCGTCTGTGGCGTCGTTGGCGATGTTTTACTTTTTACGTCTTTTTTTTCAGGGCGAATCGAACTGCTTGTGGAGTCTTGTGCGCGAGAGGTAGAATGGCGGGGCAAAGGGACAGTCATCCAGGGCGTGATCATCCAGTCACGTGTAAAGTGCAAAGAAATTTCAGGATCATGTGACTGTTTGTGGAGTTGCGTATTATCTTATCATGACTCGAACGTCAAATCACTTATGTATGTACACTCCGTACCTTGCTGCAAGATGTTTCGTTGCCTCACCAATTAATGACACATATGTTTGAATTTCAGTCTAGACATCCCATCGTTTTAGTAGAAGCAGCCTTGATATTACCGATCGCAAGCCATGTGTGGCAATAAGATGTTACCTTCCTGCTCCGTTGCCTCCATCTGTTTCTAGAGCGCATTTGGCGCTATTCTTACAAATAAAGTACCGGCTCGTCATGGTGTTACTTTAGTTGAGTATAGCGTTTATTTCCTCTTATTCTTTTCGTGTACATCGTCCCTCTGTGCTGTGTGTCTTGATCTCACCTTGACAATCCTGTTGGAGTTAAAAGGCTTTGAGTTTCTTACAACTTTAATTGTTCTTGCATTTAGCAACTAGGCTCCGCAAACGGAAGGAACCATACGTTCGTCTCTAAATGGCCTTCTGCTAAACGCCAGTCTAGCACTTTTTCGAGTCAATGGCGGGTCTGGGGCATTGCTCCTAAAAACAATTTTTTTTTTCAGGATTGCCTGTTTAGGCATTAATTCCTAAAGAAGATTCTTACCAATTGCCTCGTTTCATTACCCCTCCGATCTACTCCAGACAAGCTACGGCCAAGCGCGAGCAATGGCACCGCTGCTGCAGCATCACAGGGCACTATTGGCTGGCGGTCATGCAAATAAGCGAAACCTGACAGCGTCGACCTCGGAGATATCTCTGCGTTGGAGTGTTGGTTGCTCAGTAGCGCCCATATCCAGGTCCGATTTAAAGCGCTATCGCAAACATCCACTGCCAAACCCACGAAGCATCCTTCCTCACTGCACGACATATTGCCTGGCCGAAGCCTACCCCACTACGACCAGTAGGTATTACGTCGGTCTTGATAACACCAGCTCCCATCACTTAAGGGCAACAACGGTGTCGGACCAAATCCCCTTTCTGGCAAATTCTTACTCTTCTGGACGAAGCTGTACCACAACTGCCCTTCCCACCTACAGCAGTGTATTGCGCGCCACGTCTGCTGCATGCTCAATTTCCCGTCCACCTGCTTCTGATTCTCGACGGTTCTCTACTTCTCCTTCCACGATGGCGGCAGTAAAGCTTGACGGGACTGCGATCGCGAAGAGCATTCGGGAGGCGCTTCGTACCGAGATTGCTGTGAAGCAGAAGGCCAATCCTTTCTTCCAGCCCAGCCTCAAGATCATCCAAGGTACGGATTCCTTCTCCTAGTAGCCGCAATTCATGTCCCTGCCTCTGCGTCTTGACTCATCCTTTTGCTGACATGACTGCAACCACTGCAGTGGCCGATCGGTCTGACTCAAGTATGTTGACCCTTTTTTGCTTTCAGCGCCTGCACGACGGGACAAGTTCCGTCTAACGAGACCCGTAGCAACCTATGTTCGCATGAAGTTGAAGGCCGCCGAAGAGGTATTGATGCTATGCTTCCCATTGACCACTTGGAATCGACAGACTAACTTTTTTTTGGTAGGCTGGTATTAAATGCGACCTTATCCACCTCCCAGAGTCTACGACGGAGTCTGAGATTCTTGAGGAGATTCTCCGGCTCAACAGAGACCCCAGCGTCCACGGCATCTTGGTTCAGCTTCCTGTGCCAAAGCATGTGTCGGAGTATGCTGTCACGTCGGCTGTCGCCTTGGAGAAGGACGTCGATGGTTTTGGCACCAACAACATTGGCGAGCTTTCCAAACGCGGTGGCCGCCCTCTCTTTACCCCCTGCACGCCAAAAGGCGTGATGCGCCTTCTCAAGGAAACTGGCATCAGCTTGAGAGGCAAGCATGCCGTCGTTGTTGGCCGCAGCGATATTGTCGGCAACCCGGTAGCCTACTTGCTTCGGCATGCGGATGCTACCGTGACCGTGTGCCATTCGCAGACGGCCGATCTTGCTTCCCACTTGAAGCTGGCAGATGTAGTTGTTGCAGCCATCGGCCAGCCGCAACTGATCCAGGGTTCCTGGCTGAAGCCTGGTGCTGTCGTAATTGACGTGGGAACGAACTTCATTCCCGACGCAACCAAGAAATCCGGTCAGCGCATGGTTGGCGACGTTGATTACGAGTCGGCGGTCCAGGTAGCGTCATACATCACACCTGTCCCAGGTGGTGTCGGCCCCATGACTGTGGCCATGCTCATGCAGAACGTATTCGATGCGGCGGATAACTATTTCAAGAGCCAGAAGGACCGGCACATTGTGCCGCTGCCTTTGAAGCTCCAGGATCCTGTTCCTTCGGACATTGCTGTGTCCCGGGCTCAACACCCGAAACAGATCACGCGGGTGGCTGCCGAAATTGGCATCACTGAGGGCGAGCTCGAGCCGTATGGTGCCTACAAAGCCAAGGTCGACCTCAGTCTCCTGAAGCGTCTTGGACACCGTCGTGACGGCCGCTACGTTGTGGTCACTGGCATTACGCCGACGCCGCTTGGTGAGGGCAAGTCGACGACGACCATGGGTCTTGCTCAAGCACTGGGCGCCCATCTGGGTCGCGTCACGTTTGCCAATGTTCGCCAGCCGAGCCAAGGTCCTACCTTTGGAATCAAGGGCGGTGCCGCTGGTGGTGGCTACAGCCAGGTCATCCCAATGGACGAGTTCAACATGCACCTGACCGGCGACATTCATGCGATCACGGCTGCGAACAACCTCCTGGCTGCTGCCATTGAGACCCGCATCTTCCATGAGAATACACAGAAGGATGGACCGTTGTACAAACGCCTCGTGCCGGCAAAGAACGGCAAGCGGGCGTTTGCCCCGATTATGTTCCGGCGGCTGAAGAAGCTCGGCATCGACAAGACGGACCCGGACACTCTGACGACGGAGGAAATTCGCCGGTTTGCCCGCCTGGACATCGACCCGGAGACGATTACGTGGAAACGCGTCCTGGACGTGAACGACCGTCACTTGCGCGGTGTTACAGTCGGCACGGCCCCGACGGAGAAGGGCCAGACCCGGGAGACGGGGTTCGATATCTCGGTTGCCAGCGAATGCATGGCGATTCTTGCTTTGAGCACAAGCCTAGCTGACATGCGCGAACGGCTGGGTCGCATGGTTGTGGCTACGTCGCGGGCCGGCGACCCCGTCACTTGCGACGACATTGGCGCGGGTGGTGCCCTGACGGCTCTGATGAAGGATGCCATCAAGCCGAATCTGATGCAGTCGCTCGAGGGCACGCCGGTCTTCGTGCATGCTGGGCCGTTTGCCAACATCAGCATCGGCAACAGCTCCATTCTGGCCGACAAGCTGGCACTCAAGCTGGCCGGCACAGAGCCTGACGAGGACGCTTCGACCAAGGCGGGTTTTGTGGTGACGGAGGCCGGTTTCGACTTCACGATGGGTGGCGAGCGTTTCTTCAACATCAAGTGCCGGACATCGGGACTTGTTCCTGATGTGGTGGTTATTGTGGCTACCGTACGTGCACTCAAAGTCCACGGTGGCGGGCCACCGATTTCGCCGGGTGCGGCCTTGAATGCGGTCTACCGTCAGGAGAACGTGGAGATTCTGCGCAAGGGCTGTGTCAATCTGCGCAAGCACATTGAGAACGCCAAGAGCTACGGCGTGCCTGTGCTGGTGGCCATTAACAAGTTCTCCAGCGACACCGAAGCCGAAATTGCTGTCATCCGCGAAGAGTCGATGGCTGCTGGCGCTGAAGATGCCATTTTGGCGAACCACTGGGCAGAGGGTGGCAAGGGCGCGATCGATCTGGCTCGTAGTGTGATTGCAGCGAGCGACTTGCCCAAGAACTTCCGACTTCTGTACGGCCTCGAGGACACGGTGCAGGAGCGGATCGAGAAGATCGCCAAGGAAATGTACGGCGCGGCAGCGGTCGAGTTCAGCGAGCTGGCGCAGAAGAAGGTGGACACATACACGCGCCAGGGCTTTGGAAACCTGCCTATCTGCGTGGCCAAGACGCAATACTCGCTGTCCCACGACCCCGACCTGAAGGGCGCTCCTACGGGCTTCACCATCCCGATTCGGGATGTCCGCATGGCTGCCGGTGCAGGTTACCTGTGAGTATCTTTCCTTCTCATTTCTTCTGTCGTATCTCGCACTCTTGCTAACTCGCATAGCTACGCACTTGCTGCGGACATCCAGACCATCCCGGGTCTGCCAACAGCACCGGGCTACCTCAATGTCGATGTCGACACAGAGACGGGCGAGATTGACGGCCTCTTTTAGGCGAAGACGGAAACTGGCACTAAAACGCATTGTGGATCTTCAACGGCATCGCATTGCATGGCTGCCGTACTGCTGTGAGAGCAGTGGTTGCATTTGTTAAATCTGGAGCGTTCTGGGCGGCGAATCATCATATGTTCTACTTGACATAGAGGGGGGTCATCTTTCAACAAAGGTGCAAGATTTGGATATTCGGATATATTATTCAGAATCTATAAAAATAAAAGAGATTATTACAAAGGAACTGCCGCCAAAAGTAACTGCCGGCAGACCACGTGTATTTTACCGTGTTCCGCACAGTGCGTGAACTGCTATTATCGTACTTCTCCGACCTCGTCATATCAGGTGCGAATGTCCCGTACAGCCGGCATCCCGCAACAATGGAGGCCCAAGTCAACCGGCTGGTGGAGAAGCTATGGGTAAAGTATCTGGATACAGCCCCGAGCCAGCGACTGTGTGAGTCTGCGTATTTGGGCGGATGGTCGGGCAAAAGGACGAGTGAGCCATGAAACGAAGCAAAAGTTGGTGCTGACGTTGGGTTGATCGATATGCAGTGATCGCCATCGGCGGGATCCCGGGCTCTGGGAAGACGACGCTGGCACGGATGGTCGTGGCCGGGGTGAACAGGCGCCAGGCAGCAGAGACGCCGGACGCCGAGCCGGTGGCCATGGCCGTTCCGATGGACGGCTTCCATCTGACGCGAGCGCAGCTGTCAGCGATGCCGGACCCCGAACGAGCGCACGCCCGGCGTGGTGCCGAGTTCACCTTTGATGGGGCGGCCTTTCTGGTGTTGGTGCAGCGTCTGCGAGCGGAGGTGTCGGTCTCGTCGTCCCCCTCATCGCCCACTCCCTTCATCCTGGCCCCCTCGTTCGACCACGCGGTCAAGGACCCGGTCGCTGATGCCATCGCCATCGGATCGCGCCAGCGCATCGTCGTGTTCGAGGGCAACTACGTGTGTCTGGACCGCGAACCCTGGCGCTCGGCTGCACGGAAGATGGACGAGCGCTGGTTCGTCGATACGCCCGATCTCGCCGTCGTGCGGGCACGGCTGGTGCGGCGACACGTGGCCGCAGGCATCGTTGCAGACGAGGCTGCTGCTGGGTTGCGCGCAGATAAGAACGACCTGGTCAACGGGGCCGAGATCTTGCGCGAGCGGCTGGCAGACGTGGACGAGCTGATCGTCAGCCGGGAGGATGCGTCATGGGCGTGAAGGCGATGGAGGAAGGGTATGCGGGGTGGAAAGGATCCCAGTGTGGTGACGTTTTTGTTGTGCATCAGCTTGGATGCAGCACTACGTCGGCATGGACTCTGTCTCTGTTTCGTTTGCAGTTCTTTTTTCAAGGCGTTTCGTAGCGTCGGATCAGATTGTTCTCTTCTTAGGACATGCAACTAAGCAAGTCTGCTCGAAATGTCTCTCAACGCTTACGCTATGTTTCGCCTGGCTGGATGCTGCTGTCTCGGCAAGAGGCTACACAGCCTCGGTACGTGTCTCGTTGCCCCTTGGTATGCATTAACATGTCCCTGCGAGCTGTTTACCAACCTTGGGTTAGATCACATAGTAAGCTTCCGTACTAAGCTGCCCTCGGCAGAAGAAGACTCGACATGGATTGTGGGTCGATTGGGGAAAATACGATTCGACACACATTTCGTCAGTCGGTTGCAAGCATTGTATCCCCACTGTCCATACGAGCAGCGCTTCTTTCTTCTTTGCAATAGACTGCTAGTTGCACCATGTTGATCTCTCACTCGACCTTCATTCTTGAAGACCTATCCGAGTAGCCTACCACTCTGGCACGCAGTGCGCACATACCTTTCCCGTTTCACGGTGTACGGCTCGTGATCCGGTTTTCCGTTGCCAAGCGAGGCGGTGGTGAACAGGAGGAAACCCAACAGAATGCCAAGAATCAATTGGGGAAATATCCGTAGTTGGTGGGTTAGCAGACGTCGTAACCACAACGTTAGTAAGGGGGGTCCCATGATGGAGTATTTAGGCCCATCACGAGAGTTGGGTTGGACAACACGACCATGGCGAACGTATGGAAAGCTGCTGACAGGTTGAGGGAAGCTGGGCCACAACCACTGGCAGACGGTCCATGTTTGGGCTTATATCTTACCTTGTGAATCCGTAACGCGCACTTTGCACGCCGATCAACCGTCGAATTCTTCGGACGGCTTTGTGACTTGTCCTGCTGATGAGCGGGGTGTTGACGATCAACTGTCACTTGGCCTCACAAAGTATCAATACGTCCTGATAAATACGAAGTGTGCATCTGTTTTCAGCCCGCCAACCCCCTTCGTATAAAGCTTTCGGGTGGTGGGGAAACGGGCAGTGACATACCGTATTCATTCTACCATGTACCCTTTGGCTACCAAAACTAATCCCCCGTAGGCCTACAAAGAATGAGAGCTCTGCGGAGTACTCTGTACCAAGTGAGCCAAACACTCGTTCATGATCTTGCATGCCGCCTTACGACGTACGTCTATGCTATAATAATGCCAAGGAGCGGAAAACTCGTATAGGAATACGACACCGGACTTTAGAGTTAAAATAGGATGCCAGTCTTTTTAAACGCAAAGTCATACGACTAAAAGCCCTACAACTTACGTCACGCCTAACTCATCTTCTATCCATTCTACGGAGTAATAATGCACTGTTTGTGAGCTCTAGGTCTCACACCGTAAACAACTAAAACTGAGACAACGGCCGCCACCGGCAAGTGAGACGGACACTTCAAGACACGAACCGCTCACTGCCGTAAGCGTAAATGCACCACCAAAATGCGCGGGCTTTTATCTTCCCTGTTTTACTGTTGTCCCCGTCCCATAGAACAGGCGATGTCACTGAAGAGTCTACGGAGTACTAGGACGTACTCCGTATACTCCGTACAGACGTTCGGTTGGGTACGTATCTTACCATACCACACCCTCAGTTGAAGCGGCTGGCTACGGAGTAAGCGGTGGAAACCTCGAGACAAGCGGAACTGAGAAACGATCGGCTGCCTTATTATTTTTCAGTGGCACACAGGAAACGGCGAGGCTGGTTGTGGGTGCATCCAGCACAATTAGGCCCTTTTTCGATGACATGTGCTAATTTGTGTGAGTCACGTGTTTTTTGTTTTTGTTTCTGCACCAACAACAAGTAGTCCAGCATTGCACGGCCTCTGGAACCCGATAAAGAAGGGGCCGGCGTCTTGTTTATTCTCCTGTACTTTCAGTCACGCAGGGATCTTCGGAATTGCAACGTCGACTCTGCCCATGACAAGAGTCCGACGATCTGTGCCGTGGTAAGATACAAGCGCGAGCGCTCCGTAGGGCATCGATTTAAAGTACGGAGTTTTTTTGGGCATGGTATTGAACCTCCGGCCATACTCCGTACTGGGTATCGCGACCGCCTCCCCTGTCAATCCAGAACCGTCTAGGCCATCCGGCCGAATCCTCAAGCATGGCGTCCGTCTGTTCTTATGGCGGCAGTACGTGGTGCATTTTGAAAGCTACGCCGGAGTACTCCGTATATCTTACAAGCAGTATGATTCTGTCTATGCACTCAGCTTTTCTTATGTACGTCGTAGAAACAAAACTCTAATAGAGCCTCCTTGCACCCTAATATCACCTGGGCTTTGCATGAAGCAGCATTTAACTTCGACGGCGACCAGTCTTTTAGCTCTTCACCCCTGCGGGTAAGACAGTTGAGTCTCTGTGCACGCGAACCAAGTTTACTTGCTATCTGGATTTGCACAGATTGTTTCCGGCATTTTCACTAGCCGAAAGGCAAATGATGAAACGTCAAAAATGACGGCGCAATTTTATTGGTCTAACGCTCATGAAAAGGGGCTTGACCCCCACATCAAGCCTTCCGCAGGTATTTAATGTCTTGTTCGGGCCTGAAGATGTAGATCGCTCCCTTTCCTTCATTACCGCTGCCGGCAAATCCTTCTCGGCAAGAAGGCGTAAATGATGTGATCCTGCAAGATAGAAAGGTATACCGTTCTGTACGGGATACCCCGTACAAGTAAGATACGTGTATGTTTCAACCAGAGACAACCCTCAATATTGAGCCCGGCGCTTCAGCCCTTCAATCTAGCATTCCTCCCCACCTACAATTTACCTGGTACGGCGCAGCATATCAAGCGAATCCCACGCGGCAGCCGAGCGGCTGGACAGCCTTCCCCAAGCAATGGACCCATAACAACGAAATCGGCCATGAACGCCACATCCATCTTCCTGAACGACGGGTTTGGCGGAAGGAGGCCTTTGAATAGTACACGTAAGCACTTGCACGGTAAGTGTTAGCGCATGCTAGGTATGATCGTGATTGGGCCTTTGGCCTGCATGTCCACTGCAGCCAAGACCTCAGTAATAAGCTACAGGAGGGTGGCTCGTCTTGGCAAAGCATACATCCTGCGACTACGGAGTATATAAGATATCTTACGTATTTCAAGACGTGTACTCTATAGGGGCAAACAGGGGCTTGATGCTGGGTCTATGGGTTTGCATATTCCTGCTTCATCTGCTGAGCACGAGAAAGCATGGTGAAGCAATGGCTGGCCAGTTGCTCGTTAGGACTGCGAAGCCTTGCACGCAACCTGCATCGTTGCTTGATGCGCTCGTGTATCTGCTCACATGCCTCGGTGCCAGACTAAGAGCGGCACGAGCCCGAGTGCAAGTTCCGAAATGTGACCACGCGACCACACCCCCGAGAAGCCACACTTTTGTGTGGGTAACGAAGGTGATTCCTACATAGTATGTATGTACTCCGTACCCCCCCCCCCCCCCCCCCCCACGCCCGCTATCAGCGGCTCTGCATGCAAATCCTGCATTGGGTACGGAGTACGGGGTATGTAAGATACGTCATGTCCATACGGAATATGAGTACACGTAGTTTGCAGTACCATTCTTTTGCAGGTGATAACGCTGGTGTCGGTCAAGAAATGTGCGAGGAGCGAGCTCCGGTCTGTCCGAAGCGCTCTTGGCAAAAATCCCTGGATGAAGCTCCTTGGCAGGTGTCTTGGCAGGTGTCTTGGCAAAAGCTTCAGGTTTTTGTAGCGCGTTAATTCCGGGGCTAATTGAGAGCAGAGGCGTACTATGTATCTTACGCGTGGCATTTCCCCATATAATGGGCCAGGGGACCGCCAAAGTAGCCATAGTCGTATCGTAGCTTCTGACTAATCCATGATTGTAAATTCCTTCTCGGGGTTCCTGGCGATTTGGGTATCTTATAATGTGCTAGAGATCTAGTGTTCGGTACCTGTATGTATGTGCATTTTCGAACAATTTACCGACATTTTGCCCCATACTTTCAGTACACGAGTACATTACGCGGACCTTTAAATACTCACGCCACGAGTACGAGTATTCGTAACTTAGACCTGAGATGGCACCTCGGAATTTGTACGAGTCGTCACCAGCTGTCAACTTTTTTTAGGACGCTTCGGCTGGTGAAGGAACGGATTGCCCCGAGCATGGCTACTAAATTTCTCCCCGTATCAAGCTAACAGACAGAACGCCACATCCTGCTCAATACTCGTACGGAGTAGGCCACAGGCCCACGGCCTCTATTCGTTCACGTCCTGATTGCGTCTCCTGAGCAAACGCCAAGAACCTAGACCCATTAAAATGCCTCTCTTCCTCATGCTGTCATACCTCAAGTAATAAGTAAAATGTTCCGGGCAGCACAGAAATTGTTTTGGCCAGGGGGTAGAAGTGGCCCATCAGATTACATACCCCGTACCCCTTTCTCGTTTCTTAATACGACCCTTCGTTTTTAGCAGTTACTTATATCCAGCGACAAGTCCACTTTCCTTATAGTGCTCGTCGAGAACAGCATCTGCGAGTGGAGTAACGGTCTCTCGTTTGCTCTTCTACTTTAGCTTTCTTTGATGTCACTCGTTCTTTCCTGTTCCTTTATATTCTGCCCGGTTGCCTTCTGGTACTTTCATACAACTGCTTGTATTCGTGTTTTCTGTCTGTCTTTTGCCTCCTGACTGCAGACTTGACGACTAGCAAGGACAGCAGGAACACCGAGACCCTGTACGAGGGGAAGTAGTGTGTTCACAGTGCGAGGGGAAGGGGAGACACATTTTGTCGCAATCGAGCTTCTAACAGCAGGGTTACCCTTACTCAGTCGGACACGCACAATCTATTCAGCCGTATTGTGCGAAGCTGCGTCCGACAAAGAGAGACACATTGTCCTACTCGAGCCTGTCTTGCGCATCTCTGATCGGGCTTTGCCACTGCGTCTCTCCAGAGAAGTGGTACAACACCGGCAGCGCACATGGCTATAGGAAAGGAAGGAAACGTCAAGTGGGTTGATGTATGTGGTCTCTACTGCTCCAGTCTCAGTCATCGTCGCGCTCGTGGAGCAATTCCTGACCAGCTTCTTCACAGGGCCTACGCGGTCTCGCCTCTGCCACAGTCGTGTTGACGCACTTGACCCGCGCCTTCGACCTGCTAGCATTCGACTCGACTGGAGCCGAGGGCGAACGCCCACGCTTCATACAATGGCCTTTCGTTCGCGTCTTCACACAGGGCCGTATTGGCGTCACCATCTTCGCCATGGTTACCGGCTACGTCTGCGCCCTCAAACCCATTAAGCTCTGCCGCCAGGGCAATCAGGAAGCAGCCTTCAAGTCTATGGGCAAGTCGGCCCTTCGTCGTGTACCACGCCTTATTCTACCCGCTGGCATCGCCACTATAATAATATGGTTTGCGTGCGAGATGGGCGTCTTCCACGTTGCCAAACATTGCGACAGCTGGTGGATTCGTGAGACCGGTCCGTCTCCCGGATTGAGTTTCGGTCATGCTATCCGAAGCCTGGTCAGCAACATTGTCGGCACGTGGACAAACGGAGGCAACCAATACGATGCGAATCAATGGACAATGCTGCCCCTGCTGAAAGGGAGCATGGAGGTCTATGTCTTTATGCTGGCGACAGGCTACATCCGGCCGCGGTATCGCATGATGGCAGCTATGGGCATGTGGCTATACTATTACTTTGCCAATGATCGTGAGTGTTGCAGAACGATGGGAGGCTGCTCAAATCGCGGGGCGGTCCTGTGCTGACAATTTTTGCAGCCACCTTTGGAATGCAGTTTTTCTTTGGAATCTTCCTCGCCGAGCTACAGAACCACCCGGCCGGCAACCAATATCTCGCTGACCACTCACGGCTGTGCAAATTCTTGTCTCCTCTCTTCTTGACACTCGGCATGCTCGTCGCCTCATACCCTGAAGCCCATCCCGAGTGGGTGCCTTGGGCCAAGTCCATATACGACATCTTCATGGTTATTCTGCCATACAACCCGGATTTCCCTCGCTTTGGTACCGGCATCGGCCTCCAGCTCATCGCAATCGGACTACATTTCTCTCCCTCCACCCGCGATGTCCTTTCAAACAGGGCTTTCTTGTGGTTGGGCAAGCAGTCCTTTGCCGTATATCTGCTACACGGCCCGCTCCTCCGCAGCATGCTGGCTTGGATGGTATTCGGGTTCACGACGTTGCCCAACACGCAGGATGAGAAGGGCGAGACCGTTGAGCATTACACACCGTTTCCCGGATACACTCACCTCTTAATGGTGCTGCCGTTTTGGCTTCCCATGAACTATGCGGCCGCCGTTGCATGGACAACATACGTCGACCCCTGGTGCGCCACCCTCACGGAGAGAATGGTCAACTACGTCATGCGCGAAGACCAGGAGAAGCCGGAAGCACTACTCCCGGCGTGAGTCAACACCGTCTTGATAATTGCAATATAAGCTATCATCCATAAGGCGTTCTGGAAGGCGTTTTTTTGTGTGTTTTATATATGGGGAAAACTACGTCTACAATGAAGATCGTCCCTTTTTTTTCTTTTTCTTTTTTTTACGCATTCACGACGGGCTCGGTCTTTTATTCAAAGTGAATCAAGACTTGGAACCAGAGAACAGGCTAGGAAAGTCTGCTTGTTGAAGTTGGAGGACAAGATTCCTGTTAGAGACAGGAGCTGTTAATCTCCACCCCCTGGATTTCTCGTGATTGATTTCACATATTTTGGCCTCGGGGAGGTTAATAATATACTCGTCTTTTAATAGATGAAGAAATGTATATTATTCGACTAAAAACAGTTTCAGCTACGCTTGGCAGCTCAAAAGTAACATTTGGTACAATATCAAACTAGATGTGATGGACGTAAATTCCAACATTGGCTTGGCTTTTAGGGTTTAACATACTGTCTGTGCGGAGTGTTTATCATTAAGTTCGAGCACTTGCTTCTTGACCTGTGAATCAGGGCAAGATGGATATGTCTCTGACGCTGTCTAGGAAAAAAAAATGGAGTAGGTTTTATGGAGTGAGGGAACAGGATATTTTAATACGGTCTCCATTACTCCGTAATTCTCTTGAATATAGCGACACAATAAGGAAGCTTGCTGGTAAGGGGAAAAGGCAGGTGCTCAGCGGATGTAAGTACGGAGTAACGGGAACAAGGCAAATGCACTTTGTGGCCATTTGTCATGACAGGCTGAAACGCATAGGGTTGACCCGAGCCGTATTCTTGGCCACTACGGAGTACGCTCGATGATCTTGTTATTAGTCGTTTTTTACCCGCAAGCAAGGTTACATCATCATGTATCAACTTCGCCAGACTCTGTGGAAGCTACACTTTAATCTTTGCCAGGCTATGAGCAGATTTTACGTTGCCTTCCTTACGTACGTACTCCTAGTGCGATGTCTTGAGATTGCGCGTCCTGCAGTATGACGGCCGGCTGTGACCCTAGCTATTCCTTCGCTAGTCGTTCGTCTTATGGTTCGGCGCCTTCGGGCCACACATCCCCTGCGCCAATGCAGAAAAGGAGGGGCGCAATTTCATTACCCAAGCATTCCGTACTCCATACTCTTTTAGTTTGTGGCGCATGTGATGCTTATGCCTGAAACGACCTTCTAGATCTGCACGAGTTTCTGCAGTAATCTGCTGCTTGCCCTTGGCGTGTGATATTGATTTCCAAGGGGAAGAAGGAGGAGAAGCATCATAAAATGCTGCCTTGCTTTCTTACCTTCCCCATCTCCAAATGGCTCCATAACTACCCGCATTTCCTAAAATGACGATCGCTAGAGACCTAGGTCCTGCTGAAGCATATTGGAACGCCAGACCAACTGCAAATTTTTTTTTCAAGTAAGATACTATCACATGTACAACTACAAAGGAACGAACCCCGGGCACGACTGATCCTGTTCGTACTCGTACTCTGCCTGTGATGGATCGCCAAGGGACATGGGCTGGCATTGGTTCAATACTCTGTGCCTGGATGAACGAGCTATTTCCTTTTGACGTGCCAACACTTCTGTCATCTGCCATTTAGACGTCTTTCCCTCCTTCCGTTTTTTTTTACATATACACCGCCTACAAACAAGCAGTGAAAATACTGACCAGTTTGTGCCTTCAACAAGTAGTCTTGCAGATGCAGCAACAGGACATGCTCCTTATGTAGGACCGACTCACACATTGACACGCATGTCCGCTGTGCTTCTGTTTAGCTACATTGCGCTAGTCCTCCCCCTCATCATCGTATCATCGCTTAGAGGATCGGCTCTGCACCGTAACCCATCGCCTACGTTCTCCCCTCGTCTCACACGCATCATCGACGAATGGGAGATGCAATCGAATATACTGAATGCGCGTGACAAGGTTGCCAACGCCAAAATGATGCATGTTCTACCCCTCGATCTCGGGTATTCTACGTTCACATCTAATGCCAGCCAACTTATTGCACACTTACTAATAAGTTGGCTTCGCGAGGTGCCCCTCAGGCTGATCTCCCGAACGATGACAGCCTATTACAGCATAGTCTAGACCACATGATGTATTGCTGTTTGATCGAGCGGGCATGTGGCCTATCTCATTGGCTATACTTGTTGACATATGTGCTGCTCCTTCCTATTCTGCTCTCAACCGTCGTAGGAGCTTAATACGCCCTTCCCTGTTTCGTACGAATCGAGCAAGAGAAGTACCTTTTGCCGCCGACCTCTTTCCACAGGGTATCGGTTCTCTGTCCCTGGTCAACTTCCGCCTTCCTAAAACGACTTGGCCAGATCTGAGAAGTCACATTGCCCATATTTGACCACAATCTCTGAACTTCTCTGAAATTATTCTTCTGCTCTTGAGATAACCCACTGGCTTGACTCTCGTCCGCCCCCCTGGTCTCTACACTTGTCGTCATGCATCCTAGGAAGAACCTGGCAGTTGGCCTGCTCGTTTGCTTATCAACTACTGGGGCTTCTGCTGATTCTCCCTTTTCACCACTTAACCCCCCTGCCATTCCCCTTGCCGTAAGATCTCCATATCTCAGCACGTGGCTCAACGGAGACTCCGGTGGCTATTTGGCTGGATCTTGGCCTCGTTTCTGGGCGTAAGTTGTCTGCCGGTACGCGCCACTCCTCGTTGAAGTTATACTAACATAGAGTATAGAAACGAGGTTACAGGCTGGCAAGGGCTCGTTAGAGTAGATGGAGTCACGTACAACTGGATGGGAGGAGCCCAAGGACCGGCAACTGCGACGCAATTGGCTTTTAACTATACCTCTACAAAGAGCGTATTCAAATTCGCTGTTGATGGAAAGGTGTCTTTGACGGCTACTTTTCTGTCACCCGTGTACCCTGACGACCTTCTTCGTCAGTCAATGCAGTTTTCATACCTGCATGTTTCTGTTGCCTCTATCGACGGAAACTCTCACAATACTCAAATCTATTCTGATATATCTGGAGGTAAGCCGTCACTGTCTTTTCATTGTCTGTGTTAGATCGTCTCGTGGGAGCTGAACCAGATGGTATTAGAATGGGCAAGTGCCAACACAAATCAAACCATCGACTGGGACTACAATGATAATAAAAGCGTTGCCTACCATCAATTCTCTCTTTCCCAGCAGGCTGTATTTGTAGAGGCATCGGATATGGCTCAATGGGGAACTTGGTTCTTTGGTACAGGTAGTAGTGTCGGGGTAAGGCTCCCTCTTTGTCTCTAAGTTTCCCTTGTCCACCCGTTGTTGACACTACACACAACTACACAGTTAACTAGTCAGACTGGAAGCTCCGACAATGCAACAAGAGCCCAGTTTATCGACAATGGACGTCTCAGCAACACCAAGGATGTCAACTACAGAGCCATTGGCAATTCTCGGTGTGTGCCTTAATCCGGCTGATTCTTTACCACTCCCAGAGTACTGACGGATCGGCCTAGACCCATTTTTGCCTTTTCCCAAGACCTAGGTTCATTGGATGGGACCGAAAAAGATGCTCTCTTTGTTGTCGGTATTGCTCAGGAGCAAGTGATCAACTTTCGGGGTGCTTCTGACTCTACCGAGGCTCTCGCTGCACTCTGGACAACCAAATACGGGTCTGCCCAGGACGCCGTGGCAGCTTTTTACCAGGATTGGGAGAATGCTGCGGAGGACTCCGCAAGTCTTGATGCCAAGATCCAGAGCGATTCTGAAAAAGCGGGTGGCAGCAACTACGCCACTCTGACAACACTAGCTGTCCGACAAGTGTTTGGAGGTCTGCAAGTGGCACACGGATCGAGCCAGGACTACGTCTTTTTGAAAGAAATCAGCTCCGACGGCGACTGCTCAACTGTTGACGTCTTATTCCCGGCACACCCCATCCTACTTTACCTGAACTCTACCCTGTTGAAGCTTCTCCTAGACCCGCTGTTTGAGCATCAAGAGAGCGGCCACTACCCTAACCCCTGGTCGATTCATGATTTGGGTGTCTTCCCCAATGCTCTCGGCTATGCAGCGGGTGATGATGAGGCTATGCCAGTGGAAGAGTGCGGAAACATGATTATCATGACTCTGGCTTACGCCCAACGTTCTCACGACCACTCGTACTTGGCGAAGCACTGGCCGCTCCTCAACCAATGGGCGCAGTTTCTTGTCAACGACTCGCTGATTCCAGACAATCAGCTGTCGACCGACGACTTTGCTGGTACCCTGGCAAACCAGACCAATCTAGCACTGAAGGGCATCATTGGCATTGGGGCCATGTCCGAGATTGCGAATCTGAGTGGTGTTCCAGCTGCGTCTTCGTATACCACGACATACCAAAACACGGCCGAGGACTACATCGAGAAGTGGGCCAGCTATGGCATTGCTGCGGAGGCGAATCCACCTCATACCACACTGGCGTATGGCCAGAACGATACGCACGGACTGCTGTACAACTTGTACGCAGACCGCCTTCTTGGGCTGAATCTGGTGCCGCAGTCTATTTATGACATGCAGAGTGACTTCTACCAGACAAGCATACTGGACTTTGGCCTGCCACTGGACACGCGGCATATGTGGGCCAAGGCAGACTGGGAGGTCTTTGTAGCGGCCATAGCAAAGGCAGACACACAGTCGTTGATTATGGAACGGCTGATACACTTTGTGGAAGCAACGCAGTCGAACCGTCCCCTGACAGATTTATATGATGCTACTACGGGGAATTATCCCGTGGATGGGCCGTCGTTTATGGCGCGCCCGGTGATGGGTGGAGTGTTTGCGTTATTGGCACTGCCCAGCTGAGAACGAGCGATCGAATGTGCGAAGCGGAGAGAAGAATATAACTTGACTCGAGGGCAAGTTCCCTTAGGCTTTGACTTGAGGTATACTTCTATTTGATATAAATCTATAAATAGCACCGAATAGAATGAGCTAAGTCGAGAGGAAGAATTGGTGAGGGCAAGTTGCAACATGGCATTGCACATGCAACAGATATCCGGACGATTGCACACAATGTTCTATTCTCAGGTCAAGTGTTAAATGCAAGTATGGCATGGCCTTTGTCTTGACATCGGAGAGCTCATCTTTCTGTGCCCCATGTCTACTACTGCTTCCCATCGCGAAACTTGCTGTTTGTACCATACAATACGAAGTGTAGAAAGAAGAGAAATGTAGCCACCTCCTCGAAGCAAAAAAACGATTCTGTTTTGTCACGAAGAGGGTATACCGGCCAAAACGCCATGTGTAAAAAAGTGTATCCCATCCTAGACGCCGCAAATGAAAATTCCAACCCGGGTTTGCCTCCTAAGCAATGCAATAGCGAACTTTTTGTTTAAAAACAAAGATAAGAAGAAAACAGTGCCATTCGCTTCTCAACATGCCCATACCATAAAAAGAGAAGTCGTTTCGAGAGAGCCGTTGCATCATGAGTGGAGAAGCGGAGATGATCGATTTAAAGGGGTTATTGGGCGACCATCTGCGCCGCATTGCTGCTGCTGGCAGCACTGATCTTCTCGCTCAAATGGAACGGGTTGCCAGCGGCAGCAACGGCAGCAGCAGTAGCCGAAGCCAGCAGTTTCTCGCGCTCCTTCTCCTCGGCAAAGACGCGGCGACTCATGGCGAGGACGGACTCAAAGCCCTCACGGCCCTTGGCGGCGTTGTCACGGAAGCGCGTCACGAGGCTGTCCTCGATGGCGTTGCGGATGCGCTGCCAGCCGCCGCAGAGCGCGGTGATCTTGGCGTCCTGGACGAACTGGGTGTGATGGGGAGAGGGCGAGCCGGGGCTGTTCTCGGCCGGCCGGTAGACGACCGTTTCCTGGACGCTCAGTAGGTTGGACCAGGTGACGTTCTGGCTGACCATGGTGACGGTGCGGGCGTTGGTGTTGACGTAGGACGTCTCGAACACGTGGCTCTCACCCCCGTTGCAGACGACGTTGCCCAACAGGGTCTTGAGCCAGTCGGGCACACTCTGACGGCACGTGATGAGCCGCTCGGTCCGGAGGACGCCTGTCTCGGGGTCGACGGAGCGGGAGAGGGTGTCGACGGCGATGACGTGCGTCGATTTGTCGTTCCACGGACAGTACTTGCGCCAGTTGGCCGTCGAGACCTCCTCCCAAGAGTAGTCAAAGGTGACGGAGTTGGAGAAGACCTTCATCTTGAGCTGGTGCGTGCTTCCGGCAGAAGCCTTGTGTTTTCAGATGTGTTTTATTTGTTTGGAGACCGGCTGTCTGTCTAGGCGGTTCTTCCAATTCGATTCGAATAGACAGACACGAGGGTTGAGTAGGTTGCAGTCAGACAGCCGAAGGAGTGCTATGACTGAGCGAGATTGTCGGCAAAAAGGAGGAGAGCTCGGGTTTCGGCAATTCTTTGATGTCTGATTAAAGAAAGTGGGATATTGGCCGTCTAATTAAGGATGGGAGACAAACAAAAGAGAAAGAGAAAGACTGAGGAGGATGCCCTTGTAGGAAGGATGGCAAAGAGGAAGATGGACAGGAGGATGGACGGGGAGGAGAGCACTTCGGCTTTCTAAGCGGCGCCCCGAATAAATATTCAACCTCGCTTTTTTTTCGCTTCTGATTCCAGATGCGCGAAGTCTTATCGGAAAGGACTGTGGCGGAAAGTCTCGTGCGCGAGAACGGCGCTACGGCTATTGGCCCAAATCCGCATCTATGTGGACTAGTGCAGAGGGAAAGAAAACTCTTCGGAGCAGCATGGGGGCGGGGGCAATGACCGTTGATTGGCTGGAGAGAAAATGGGCCTTTGTCAACGCCGAAATACCGGGCTTGGGCGCCGATCCTGCGCGAAATGTCCCCGGCGCACGGGAACCCATGTCCGGATACTCCCAGAAGCTTCTCGGGCACGTGCGCGCCCCAATTTTCCAGAGGCAATCTGGGGATGGCCCTGTGACCGTTGAAATGGATGTTTCTTTTACTTGATTCTATCCGGAGTCTGCCGGGCATAGTGCCTCGGATATGGGATACCGCAAAGTCGGGCAAGATTTCTCCTACGAGGATGCGCATCCAGTCTAAAAGTCGTCGCCACGGCTGATGACTTCCTTCACCGTCGGGCGCAGAAGAATGGTCTGAACGGGCGTCAGCGGCGGGTCAGAAGAGCAACAAGGCTGGGCGCATCTGACTCACATGTTCGAACTGGGCAGTGTAAGAACCCTTCTTGTCTACCAAGGGAGGGTACGCCTCGACAATGCCGCTTGATACGAGACTGTTCAGCTGGGAGATGTCAGCACAGCGGCAGCCAGCCAGCAGGAGGGTCGACCTACCCCAAGAAGGTACTTGTCGTGGCCCAGACGGTCAATGTAGCGACGACAGAACGGCAGGGTGCCAAAGTTCTTGTTGATCACGTTGAGCACAGTCTTGGCGGACGAGAGACGCAGATTGACGTTGGGGGCATCGGTGCGCTTGGCGTAGTGCGACACCTCGCCCTCGTCGCGCACATAGCCGTTGCCAGTGCTGCCAAAGGTCTCGATGGCGTAGATCTCGCCCTCCTCCATCTTGGTGGTGTCGGCAGACTTGACAATGGGCACGCTCTTGCCGCCGTGGATGGTGTGGCGCTCAATGGTGTGGCCGTTGAGGTTGCGGATGGCCTTGATCGGGTACGTGGTGCCGTCGAGCTCGACCTCGTACGACTCCATGGTCTCCTGGATGGCGGCGCCGATCTCGCCCAGACGGACGTCGATGCCGGCCTCGCGGATGCCCGTGTTGGTGGCCTCGCGCACGGCCTCGAGCAGGTTGTCGTAGCGTGGCTCAAACGCGATGGTAAAGGCGCTGTCGACAATGTAGCCGTTGACGTGCACGCCAATGTCTACCTTCATCACGTCCTCCTGCTGCAGGATCGTCTTGTTGCCCAGGTTGGGCGAGTAGTGTGCCGCGATGTGGTTGATGTTCAGGCCCGTCGGGAAGCCCATGCCGGCTACTATCGCGTCGCCCTCCTCCAGGCCCTGGTGGCCCACGAGTGCCCGCACGCTGTCCTCGATGTTGTTGGCAATCTCCGTCAGCGACTGGCCCGGCTTGATGTTCTTCTGCGCCCACTGCCGCACCTGCCGGTGCGTCTCCGCGCCCTGCCGGTAGTCCGAGAGGAAGTCCGCCCGCAGATTGTCTAGGTGTCGCTTCTCTTCGCTCGTCGTCCGGTATGCGTTCTCGTTGACGTACGGCACCTCCTCGCCCTTGGGATAGCTGTTGTTAGGGAACAGCTGCGACATCAGCACGCGCGGCGGATCGGACTGCACCGTCGCCCCGCCGTTGCCCGCCTTCTTCTTCTTCTTCTTCTTGTTCTTCTTCTTCTTCTTGGCCGCCGTGGCCGCCGTTCCATCCGCGCCCGCGCCACTGCCGTTCACGCCCGCCTCGTCTGCCTCGTCCTCGGAGTCTGAGTTGTCATGCTCTGCATCGTTTCCACTGGCCGTCGGGCCTGCTGCCGTCTTGGATGCAGCGATTGAGCCGCCGTTCACTGCACAGGCCAACCGTGTTAGAAACCCCATCTTGGCGTGCACTTGCAAAAATTACAGGGCTGAACGTACCGGAGAGCTTCTCGAGCTCGGCTGTTGGCGCCTTGGCCGCCATGTTGAAAGTCTTCACCGCGATGCGTCAAGGACGTGCTATCTTGTCTTGCTCCTGTTGCTTCGCCGACCCTGCAAACCAGACATCTACGTAACGACGTCTGGCTCGGAAAAAATGCCATTGAAAGGGCGTGGGGCGAATGCTGGAGTGGCGTCATAATGCGGGACACTTGTCAAGCCACAGGTGGCAGCCACAGCTATGTCATCACCTGGAATTGGCTCCTTCCGCCGATCTACGGCATAATCTGCGAACTCGAAAGCTGCCGGCCTTTGATTCTCGACTCTGTCCGTCTGCCAGTTTGCTGCGTCAATCCGCCCATCCGCTTCCCCTTGTCACGACCGAAGAAGGGCACAGGACAGCTCCTCCAGAGATGAGGAATGACACTCTTCCGCCTCCCCACGTCTCTGCCGGCCGTCCTACGTCCCCACGTGCTCCTTCATTCCAACCACCATAGACAGCCTCGATGCTCTTTACCGACAACGCTTTCACCTGTAACTCAGAGGCCCTTTCAATCCAGTGGGCGCTGTCTCAGCGACCATGCTGTACCAGCACACAGCCCGTCGCACTATGACACCCTAAACGTGCCACTCGACGCATCGATGGCCGACATCAAGAAGTACAATCTGTGTTTCGATACCGCCCAATTCCTGACACAACCGACTTACTCTGATCTTTCTTCCGTCCAGATCCTTCTACAAGCTCTCAAAGGCTCACCACCCTGACCACAACCAGGATGACCCCCATGCGTCCCGCCGTTTCGTCCGCATATCCGAGGCCTACGCCATTCTCGGCCACTCGGAGAAACGCGCCGTCTACGACCGCGATGTCATGAGACACCGCCTGCAATCGCGGCATTCCGCCAGCCATGCTGTCAAACACCACACGAGCTCGTCTTACCACAGCACCGGTCCAGCCGGTGGTCGCCCCGCGTCGGGGCTGAGTCGCAGGCGCGGCACTTTCAAAGGTCCACCGCCGAGCTTCTACCGCAATACCGGATCCGGCGGAGCTGCCAGGGCAAGCGGAAATTCCAGCGGCAGCTTCAGTGGCGGCAGCAAAAGCAGTCCCGGCTTTGGCACCGGATCGGGGCCTGGAAACGTCAACCCAGATGATTTCGGCACGCGACTGCATCCAGACACGCCGCATTTTGACCGCGCATCTTCCGAACGGACACAACGGCGGCTCGATGAGCGCTCGGCACGCCGACGAGAAGCTGCTGAGGCGGAACAGGGAATATCTATTGGCTCGGACTCGTCCATGGTGGTCGGCTTCTTTGCGATCTGCGTGGTGCTGATGGCTAGCGTGGTTGTGCCTGTGGTGGTGTTTGGAGAATGGCAGCGCAAGAGAAAGGAACCGGCCAGTCCAAAGTAAGTATAGCTGTATGATTTGTTTCCTTGTACTCCGCATATTGGAGTGTACGACTACATAGACCTTGACGCCAAATTCACACGAATCATATTTGTTCAAACATTCGATGTCCCATATGATTGCCGATTTTTGTGTCAATTACTGCAACCTACTACTAGTTGGTACAATCTGATGTTCGAAGTCTAGCTTTGAAGCTACCTCCCAGCTTCCGGCTACACAGACCGTCCAAGAGATATCGGGTTGAGGCGCGTTTAGGCCTGGAAGGAGAAGCTGGTGCCGATCTGATTGAATTGTTAGCAAGGAGGCTCTAGACAGCATCTCTCGGATTGCGGGCTACATACCTTGTGGGTGGCCTGGTCCAGCTTCTGGGTGTCGAAGGAGGCACCAATACCAAAGGTCACGCCCTCGCGGAGGAGCACGTTGTAGGCAACAGCAGCGACACCACGGTCGTTGATCTTGGCCTTGACAAAGGACAGGGGGTCCAGGCGGTACTTGGTGGCGACCTCAAGGCCGACGGTGTTGCCGCTCTTGCTGTTCCAGACGGCCTTGGCGCCGGCCTCGACCTGGCTGTTGACCTTGTGGTGGTAGCTGGCGGCGAAGACGCTGAGGTTGTCGCTGGCGGTCACGGACGTGGAGTAGGTCGAGGCCAGGTAGCCGACGGCAGCGCTGTAGTTCGTGACGGCAGCCTTGTTGACGTTGTAGCCGGCGGTGGCACCGGCAACGAAGCCGTCGTGGCCGATGACGGCATCGACATTGGCGATGGGGCCCTTCAGCAGGTCAAAGAAGGCACGGCCGTGGAAGTTGCTCTGCTTGAAGTGCAGGTTGAACTTGGCGCCGCGAGCCTGCGTGGCCGGCAGGAAGGAGAAGATACCCTCAGCCTTGAGGCCCTTGGCAAGGGAGTCGGCAAGCTCGATTCTGGACTCGAGCGCGTTGGCCGTGTTCCAGGTCTGGGTAACGGACAGGCCTGGTCGTGAATACCTCATTAGCAATGTTGACGTTCTTGGCGTCAGCAGCACCATCGCATCAACCGGTGAGCGGCTGTGCCATCCACCAACCGGATATATGGCAAGGCACGGATCATATGAAGGGGGGTAGACAGAAGTTCGTGAGCGGGAGGAAGAAGCAAGGGGAGTAGGAGCGGTTGAAGATGGAGTCTTAGAGGGGAAGGAGAAGAGCTTTGGCGATTCCGCCTTGCGAAAATCGCCGCTGCTCTTGGGCTCTGAGTTGAAGCCTTGGGACTCGACGTTTGAAGCGTAACCGCTGGGTATGCTGAAGAGGCTGCTACTTGAGATATGGTGTGCATGTGCTGGTGCTGGTGCTGATGCTTGTGTTTGTGCTGGTGCTTGTTTTTGTGCTGATGCTTGTGCTGGTGCCCATTTCGTGCTAGGAGGTGTCGTACCGAGAGACTTGTCCACGAAGCGACCTTCTATCTGTAGCGAGGCTGTCAGCTGGACAGTCCTTCTCAAAGCCGTTTAGAGCCCAAGCTGCCAAGTGGAGCCGGTGATCAACAGAGAGCTGCAGCCAGCAACAGACGAAGATGGGCCACACTGCTGCCACATTGGCTTCACAATGTTCCAGTCCTACCAGCCGCCATGCGATTGACACCACCCTTCTCTTCTCTTTGCTGCAATCCAGCTCTCTGTTGCCTCTCCTCTTCGCCCCACTCGCTGCCTTGCCCATTGGTATAGAGAACTTACCACACCAGATGTCGACTTCTCGTGGCTGTTCTTGCCGGAAACCTTAAAGGCAACATTGTTCGGGGTGTTGCTCTTGACCTCGAGGGTGCCAGCCGACAGGTGGTAGAAGTCCTTGTTGAGCAGCTATGGGCAAAAACAGCAGACATTAGCGACGATTGGACTGTGGATTGCGCAAAAAGCGATGGGCCACAGTAGTGGTTGTCCGGGGGGCGGGACGATCTCTGGACGCGGAGCAATTGAGAGAAGAGCAGAAGAAGCAGCGGGCGGGAGCTCACGTCGTTTGCCGCCTTGGCAATGTCCGAGAAGTTGGGAACCGACATCGTGACTGATTTGGGAATTCGTGACGGGAGGCAATGCGATTGTTGGTGAGGGAGAGTGAAATTGATGGGAATTTGCGGAAACTACGAGTGGAATTAGGAAAAAAAAAAAGGCCAGGGGTTGAACTGTGTGTGACCCGTTCTCCCGTTTGGGCCGGTTTCCCGTTTTAGCTGGCCGTATTTTTCTGCCAACAGGTCCCTCCGGCCCTGAGAGAAATAAATTCAAGTAGGCGTTTTAGTGGAGAGGCCGTCGGCTCAAACCGGACACAAGAAAGACAAAGTCCCCTGACAACCGCAAAACGGCCAGCCGGCAGGGCGCCCGCGTGGGAACATCCCTCTTGAGGTAAGAATGGGCATCCACGTGACACGACAGGCGTCTGTTCAACCTGCACGTTTCGCTTGTAAAACCACGTGACTACAGTATGTTGCGTCTAACTCCCAGTCTATTTTCTTCACACCCAGATTTACGAGCATACCAAGACATATGTAACCAAGATTCACGGCTGCTGTCTATCAGAGACGGCAAGAACAGAGGCATTCCCTTAGTCTACTCGGTACCGTCGTATTTGGCGTTGTGGATGGCAATGGCACTTTCTGATGTCAGCTGGGGCTCTCGGACCAGATCACAGATGTGGAGATAAATTATCAAACTCACCGGCCGCTGGGATCGGTCTGCTTGGACCAGGTCGGCGTCCATCGCATGACGGTGGAGGCGCACGACTGCGGGAAGTGCTCGTCGAACATGAGGCGGTACCAGTAGGCCTCCTTGGAGTCCGGGATGTCGTCGCCCCACTCGGGCTTGGGGTTCTTCATCATCTCGTCGGTGACGTGGATCTCGGCGTTGTCCTTGAGCGCATCAATCCATCCGTATCCGACGCCGTCGGAGAACTGCTCCTTCTGGCGCCAGAGGATCTTCTCGGGCAGGTACGGCTGGGCATCAGGCTCGTCCGAGGTGTCAAAGGCCTTGCGCAAGATGTACTTCTCGATGCGGTCCTTGGTGATCAGCTTCTCCTGCGGGTCGATGTCCATGGCGACCTCGAGGAACTTCTTGTCGAGGAAGGGCACGCGGGCCTCCAAGCCCCAGGCGGACGTGGACTTGTTAGCACGCAGGCAGTCAGACAGGTGCAGGTTCTTGACCCGACGGACCGTCTCTTCCTGCAGAGCAGCCTTGTCGGGGGCAGCGTGGAAGTAGAGGTAGCCGCCGAAGATCTCGTCGCTGCCCTCGCCACTCAGTACCATCTTGATGCCCATGGCCTTGATCTTGCGCGACAGCAGGTACATGGGCGTGGAGGCGCGTATGGTGGTCACGTCGTAGGACTCGAGGTGGTAGATGACGTCAGAGAGGGCGTTGAGACCATCCTCAATGGTAAATGTCATGACGTGGTGCTTGGTGCCGAGGAACTTGGCCACCTCGAGGGCGGCCACGTTGTCGGGCGAGCCCGGCAGGCCGATGGAGAAGGAGTTGAGCTGGGGAAGGTACGTGACGGTGGAGAGCGTGTTCTCGTCGTCAATGCCGACCAGACCCTCGCCCCGATCCATGTTGTCGTGGTTGTCGTCGTCGGGCGCGCCAAAAGACGCGGGCTCCTGGCCACCGTTGGCCTCGGCCAACTTCCGCAGACGCAGGGTCTCGCGCTGAGCAATGGAAGCCACCAGGCTGGAGTCGAGACCGCCCGACAGCAGGACGCCGTAGGGGACCTCGGCCATGAGTCGTTTCCGCACGGCCTTCTCCAGCGTCTCGCGGACGAGCTTCAAGTCCAGCGGCGTGGTCGGCACCCGCTTGGGGTCCCACCACTGGGGCTGGAAGTAGCGGGTGGTCTCGCCCGTCAGGCTGTCGTAAATGTGACCGGGTAAGAAGGCCTCGAGCTTGTCGCAGACGGGGTGCAGGCACTTGAGCTCGGAGCCAAAGTACACCGTCTTGGGCTGGGACGAGTGCCAGCCCTGGTAGAAGGGGATGACACCAATGGGGTCCCGCGCTGCTATTGTCCGATCCAGCTTCTTGTCGTACAGCACGAAGGAGAACATGCCGTCGAGGTACTTTGGTGCATCGAGGCCGTATTCCATGTACTAAAGGGCTGTCAGGTGCATTCTCCTGGTGCATACACAGTGGTGTCGCCGAGGACTCACCAGAGGAATGATGACCTCGCAATCGGACGTGGTCTTGAAGTGGTAGGAGGTCTTGAGATTCTTGCGAATCAGACGGTGGTTGTAGATCTCGCCGTTAACAGTGAGGATGATGCTTTCATCGGCGTTGGTTAGGGGCTGAGCACCGCTCTCTGTATGTATGTAAGAATATGGACGAGGCAGAGGGATCTGCCAGAAAGGACTTACCAACACCGACGATGCTGAGACGCTCATGGCACAGGACTGCAGCCTGGGTTAGAATTTGATAACTACCCGAGGAAGTCTTGGCTTGGGATCAAAGACATACTCGTGTTGTTGGAAGTGACTTGTCCGCCTGTTGTTTGATGTCTCGTCAGTACTAATCCGCATTCAATCAGCGGAATGGTGCATACTCCAATCGGGACCCCGATGCCGAATACTGAAAAGGCACAAGTAAGTAACCAAACAACAGAACGGCACAAAAGGACCAGAACACTTACGCCTTTGCGAGCCGGAGCGCGGTCGGCTTAAATTTCACGACGTCGGGGTGACTGGTTGTGGGTTAGCAAGAACGAGTCAATTGGACACGGATACCAGCCTTAGAAGCTTCTGTGCAGCATCGGAAAGTGTGAAGCTGTTATTGTGGTAAAAGGGAGGTTTGCGCAACAAGTATGACTCAGTGGCTCAACGGCCAGAAAAGAGAACAGAGAAGAGGAAAGTGACATACCTGTGACAAGCGAAGATGCCACACATGGTGAACGGATGGTGGATCGAACGAGCAGGCGATATGTTTGTAAAGCTGTTTGGAAGGTCTTGCGTGTCAGTTGCTGGACTGATTGCGCCTCGCCTTCCAAGATGAGGCGCATTGGCTTTAAGTCGTTTAGCTGGGAGGCACAGACCTGTAGATAGATAAACGACCACTTTCTTTGCAAAAGCGGGGGTAAGAAGGAAGAGAAACGGAAAAAAGGGCAAAAGCGCGAAACGAAGACCACAAGACCTGCCTCCCACGCAGACGAGGAAGAGAAGTAAGGCGAGTTGTGTGTAGATGTTCGTGACAGGTTGCGGCCGAAAAGTTGTGTGACACATCTTCTAGTTTTTATCTGGTGGCCCTTTCTCTTTGATAAGATAGAACCACCCCTCCATCGCCCCTGATGTTTTGCCGCAACAGCGCTCTGTGCCTAAGCTTTAGCTGGATATTTCAGTTATCTTCAGTGTAAAAAAAGGAAAAAACGAAAACTATAGGAGATTAGCGAGGCTAGCAGCTGAGGCTAAAGATTTCAATCGCTCTTCTCTCATTTGCTGCCGGTATCGGCATAAGCTCTCGAAGCGGCTGGCAACCAGTCGCACGTATCCGAAGGGAAGAGGAGGAGCGGCTGGGCCACCGACACGGGTCACGCTTAGATAGGCCCAGGTTTTGACTAATACCGTGTGGTGGTAGCATCTTGCAGCCCACAAGCCGTTGTGCGTCCTAGGAATGTTGATGTGTTCTCTTTGCGTCCTTTTACTGTGACCCACAAAAAGAAAGCTATACTTCTGTGTCCAAATTCGGCATCTACCGATCTGGGGGTACATAGTGATGCAGTTCCAGATGCTAAGACGAGTCGACATCACCGTCGCCGAGTCACGTGCACACACAACGTAAAAATATGGGCCAGCAACCTTTGCGGTTGTCTTCTGTCAGCGAGCATCTTGCAACGATATCTGCAATCGGGTTTCTTCACCAGCAGAGCCAGCTACGGGAATGTGGTGTTTCTCCCGGGCTGTCGCTTTTCAGAGGGCTGCATGCGGCGGCTTAGCGGGCCGGCGGCCTTGTGCATTACCTCCGCCTTGCCGGCGACAACAACAGAGCAAGGCTGCTGGCGAGCGGCTGTTCTCCAAGGGCCAACCGGCAGCATCAGCGGACGGTGCAGTGTCCAGCGGCCGGCCGAATCGGGAGACGAGGAGCAAGCCATACCTCGCGGCCACAGCTGTGGGTGTGGGTGTCTGTATTTTTGGCTATGTCTGCTACCGCAGCAGCAGCAACGACCAGACAGCGCGTGGGCTGAACGGCGAGTCGTTTGCGCCGTTTGTGGTAGTTGGCCGCGAGCCGGTTTCGCCGACGGCAGTGGTGTTGACGCTGCAGCCGGGGCGCATGATGTCGCCGGCGGCTCGCGAGGTGACCCGGACAGCCATTGCGGAGGCCTGGCGTCGCGGCAGCACGTGGGCCGTCGAGGCGAAGCAGCCGCAGCTGCAGATTGCGCGAGAGTACACGCCGCTGCCGCCGCGAGAGGCCGACAACATTGACACCGTCCGTCTCTTTGTCCGGGTCGTGCCCGGCGGCGAGATGTCCAAGTATCTCGTGCAGCGTGCGGTCGGCGACACCGTCGGCCTGCGTGGACCTCAGCTGGGCTTGGACGTGGCGCGGCGACTGAGCCCCGACGGCGGCCGCGTGCTCTTTCTCGCTGCCGGCACGGGCATCGCGCCCGCATTGCAGGCAGCCTCGGCGGCACTGCGGACGGATGACACGAACAAGCGCAACAGCAGCACGTCCGTCACCATCCTGTGGGCCAACCGGATGCGTCAGGACGGCGACGGCAGCCCCATCATGCGGGACCTGCAGGCCATGCAGCAGCAGTATGGCCATGACCGGCTGCAGGTACACTGCTTTGCCGACGAGGACCGCTCGTTCATCACAGAGGCGGCCGTGCGAGAAAGTCTGGGCAGCCCGGGAGAGCGGACATCGTGGTGGCCGTGGAAGCAGCAACAGGGAAACGAGAAGGCGTCCGGCACCACAGAGACCACGTTTGTGCCGGCGACCAGCTGCCAGTTCCACTCGACGACGGCGCTGCAGAGGTTAGCGGCAAGCACAGACGTGAATAACAACAGTGGCTGTACGTGCAGACCTGTTCCAGGAGACCGGCCGAACGTGCTCCTCGTCTCCGGACCGGACGGTTTCGTCTCGTCCTGGGCCGGGCCCAAGAGGTGGGCAGGCGGCCAGGAGCGACAGGGTCCCCTGGGCGGCGTTTTGGGGGCACTGAAGATGCGGTGTGCGCCTGTCTTGGATAGCTGGCTGGTACTCAAGCTGTGAAGATGGAACGGACAAATGTAGCCGGACACCAAGCATTTGTGTATTAATACATGTAGACGCCGAAGAGAACAAACGAATCGACACAATCAGAGACGGCAGTCTTGCCCACGCAGAACAAACACCAAACGCCCTCTTCCCTTTCTCCTCCTTTCTCTCTTCCTTCTCCCTTCTTCCCTCTTATATGCTCTGCACCTTGCGATAGGATGGCGGCTTCATTGTGCGGCTAATTAGCTTGGCGGCGTATGGCGGTATCAAGGAGATGGCGCAGATGGCAGTGACGCGCCACAGGAAGCCGCTGATTGGTTAGTGGATGAAGAAGGAGCAAAGAGGAGTCAAGACAGAAGCGGAAGGAGCCGAGCAAAACAGGAAAAGCCGGAAACAGGGAAAGAACTCACAGCGTCATGATATAGCCCAGGTCAAAATATCCCCCCAGAAAAGGTACGGTCCCAATGTACAGCAGAAAGGTGCCGATGATGCAGACGACCATGACGACGTGCCAGGTGGTGATCTCGATGGCGACCATCAGCAGCTCGTTGAGCACCAAGGCGGTATAGCTGACGGCAACCATGCGTGGTCCGTCGACGGCAGTCAGCAGCTGGGCCAGGCCCTGGATCATGCAGCCCTGGTAGACGGACACGAGGACCCAGACAAAAAATGTGCGGTACGACAGCGAACGGCCCTCGGTGAGCTCCTTGTAGAGCTCGGGAAAGAGGCTGGCCAGGTCCTCGTCCACGTCGCGGTCCAGCACCAGCGACAGCACCGGCATGGCCGTGTACACGGTCGCATAGCCGACCATCAGCCAGTCCTTGTACAGGCCTTCAGGTTCGAACCGGATCGCGATGCTGTACATGGTCTGGCACACGGCGATGATGAGCCCGCGGTGGATGACAAACTGCGCCAGCTTCGCGCTGCGCTGGTAGCTGTTGCGCCCGTGCCACACCAGCAGCTTGGTCAGGTGGCAGAACTGCGTGATGGAAAAGTCGGCGGCCAGCGACGCCTGCCGGCCTTCCTTGCCGACGATGCCGACGCCCACATCGGCCGCCTGGATCATCGACACGTCGTTGCCGCCGTCGCCGATGCAGCACACCCGCTTGCGCGTGTACGTCTTGATCAGCCGCGCCATGTCGGCCTTTTGCGTTGGCGAGCAGCGACAGGCTACGACAGCCGGCAGCTGCACGGCCGCTGCGATAAACGCATCTTGGTGCTGGGCCAGCAGCAGCCCTAGACTCTCGCCGTCGATCAGCAGGCAGGCGTCCGGCTTGCCGCGCAGAAAGTCCAGGTGCTCCTGTGCGCTGCTCGACCGCTTCAGCTTCGTCACCGTGTAGATGAACTGTCCACGAGCCACCAGTTTCGCACTGATCGCCACACAGCGTGCCGTTTCCACCTTGTCGCCCGTCAGCATCCAGATCTTGATGCCCGCATTGCGCAGCAACTCCAGCGACGGCTTCACGTCCCGCTGCAACTTGTCCTCCACGCCTGTCACCCCCAGCAGCTCCACGTCACGCTCCAGGTGCTGGCCCATCACCCGCTGCATTCCCGTCTCGCGTCCGGCCATCGCCAGCGAGGCCTCCTGGTATCGTCCTGCAAACTCTCGGTACTGCTCTGCCGATAGCCGCTTGCGGCCCACCACCAGCGTCCGCAGGCCCTCGCGCGCCATGTTGGCCGTTTCCTCGTCCAGCCAGTCGTTCGCCATTACGATCGGTGCCATCACCGTGTCTGCTCCCTTCTGGTAGAACCAGATCTCGCCCTCGTCTTCGCTTCGCGTCGTCGATGTCAGAAATTGCACAACGATGCCCATCCGCTTGCCCTCCGACGTGAACGGGAACACGTCCAGAATCCGCACCTGCACCACTGTGCGTCCTGTCTCGGTCGACTCCAGCGTCATGCTTCGTCGGTCGCGTGAGGTCAGCCGCAGGCCCATCGCCTCGGTCCACCGCACAATCGCAATCTCGTCGGGTGACGATGCCTGGTACGATGTCACCGGTTGTCCGTTCTCGTCCTCGTCTGTCGTCGGCGTCACGTTGTGGCAGAGCGCCAGGGCCAGCACGATATCGCGTACCCGTGCCCCGATCTCCCGCCGTGTCCGCGTCGCTCCAGCTCCGGCTCCGGCTGCAAACGTCGACGACGGCGTGACTAGGCCTGTGTCTGCGCCGCCAAAGCCTTGCCGCACATATGCTGCCACCTCGTCCATCGCCTCGTTCGCGTACGACACCGTCCCCACGTGGATCTTCTTCATGTCCATCTCATTTTGCGTCAGCGTGCCCGTCTTGTCGCTCAGCAGGTACTCGATCCGTCCGAGGTCCTCCGGGATCGTGCTCGTCCGCACTACCGCTCCCGGCATCCCTGGGTCCCGCTGAATCAGCCACGAGTACACGCTCTTGCCCATGTCCAGGTTGACCCGCAGGCTGATCGGTACAATCGTCGAGAAGAGCACCAAGAACCGCATCACCTTGACATACCACACGTTGCCCGCTGTGTGGTTGAAGCCCTCCAGCATCACCAAGATGAGCGACAGTGCTAGTGTGAGCGCGCAGAGGATCTTGGTCAGCGAGTTGATCTCGTACTCCAGGAGACCCGTCTTGGACCGGGATGGCGCCGTCGACAGGGCTGACCGCGTCTGCGGGCCCGTGTACAGAATCACTGCTAGTGTCGTCGCATGCGATGCAATCACCGTGTTGGCCCACGCTGTGTTATCGATCGACAGCGGCACCGACGTCTCGGCCACGTCAGCGTCCGAGTCCGAGTCCGTGAGAGCACTCCGCGCCGGCAGAAGCTGGAGCGTGCCGGCAAACTCGTTGACCTTGCGATCTGGCTTGCCGCCCAGCACCCGCAGCCGCACAAACTCGGCCGTAGGCAGCTGCTGGGACAGCGGAGACGCCAACCGCAGCTTCCAGTCCGTCTCGCCGTCGAGCTGGTCTGTGCGGATGAATGTCTCGCCGTTGGGGCCACTGCTCTCTTCGGGTGCCTTTGCCGGTGGAGCACTGCTGCCCTCCTCGTGGTCTAGGAGCAAGAGAGAGCTCTCTGCCGGTGCTGACACAGTCTCCGTCTGCACGTGCGACTCCTGCGACAGGCACTTGAGGATCGCTACGTCCGCAGGCACGCGCTGTCCCTTTGTGAGCTTCAAAACATCACCGACCCTCAGGTCACGCGACTTCTTGGCCACCTCAAACGCCCGAGATGACGGCTGCAGCCGGCTGCCCACGCCGTCGCCCTCGAGCCGCTCTTCCTCCTCCTGGATGTCCGACAGCCGTTCCCGCTCGACAGCATTGAGTCGTCTTCGCTGCGCCTTTGTCGAAGCAGACGATCGCAGCGCCTTTGGCGCCCGCGGCTGACTATCCTTGGCCAGATCGGCGAACTGAATTGTGTTGTACTCCTCCGAGTTGGCCTCGTTGTCTCGTCGTCGCCGCTCAATGTCGTCGTACGCCTCCTTTGCCAGCGTGATGGCCAGCACAAAGGCAAGAGGTGCAATGTACGTGCTGAGGTAGCCGATACGCAGTGCTGGTATGGCTTGGGACAGAGCCACCAGCAAAAAAAGTACATGTTGAAGAAAAAGGAGAACTCGTTGTACAGCGTGACGGGCAAGAACGACCACGCCGTGTATTTGGCGTTGGATATGACGTTGGGCGGGAACCGGGTCGATTGCACCGAGCCGACGGTCACCAGACGTGATGTTGACGGGTCGTCCTCCTCTTGTAAGCCATCGAGGCCCTGGCCATGCTGGTTGTGGTTGTGGTCGTGGTTGTCGTGGCTGGCACGGAAGCCAGGCAGTCGAAGTCGTCGGGCGAGGCCGTGCAGCCTGTCCCGAACAGAAGGCCGGTGCCGTCTGTTGTCGCTGCTGCTGCTGCCGTGATTCTGGCTCAGCAGTGGCGCATCATCGTCATCGGCATGTACATCGGAGCCACGGCGGGAGGACAGGCCGGCATGGTCGGACAGCAGGCCACGGGCATCCTCGTCGCCGCTCAGCCGCCGTCCACTGCTGCTGTTGCCGCCCAGATCGCCGTATCCACGTGCCCGGTTTGCGGCTCGTCGTAACCCGCCCATCCGAAGGTTGCGCAGAGCGATCCGAGCAGGGGGCGTTCCGTTAGCACTTGCCTGGCCACGGTTGGCGTCGTGGGGCTCAGTCGGCTGCGAGTGTTTGGGGTCGAGCTCGTCGAGATCGAGCTCGAGATCGGAATCCGAGTCGTCAGAGAGCCGGTTGGGCGGCTCGGCTGGATGGTAAGATGGTGAGGGAGGCATCCCGCATGCGGGTTCGCGTCCTCGAGAGGGAGGAGGGAAGGCGAGGATCTAAAAGCAAATCGGCAGCCAAGATGCAGGTGGCGTGTCGGGCTGATTGGGCGGGAAGCAGTGTGATGGTTTAGGCGCTGCTGCCGGAAGACATTGTCATCGTGCATCAGCTTCCGGCGAGGTCGCTTGTTGTGTGGATAAGAGACGGGCTTTTCTGGGCCTCTGCTGGTAATATATCGTTTTTTAATGTACGTAGTGTTGTGCTGCAGCGTGTCTCAGCTTGCGGGCCTTTGATTCGTGGCAGCGAGGAGGGTCCTGTCTGTCTTTCTGACCAACCTTTACGCGGCCTTGCCTTGGGCTTCGTTTGTGGAATGTCAATGCAGCTTCTCTGCAGCTGTTGCTTTTTTTCCCGTTCACAGAAGGGGCCAAAGCACCTGCCTGATGCGTGCGTCATCAGTTTAAGAACGCTACAGAGTACGACGCCGCAGGCAAGCCACAGAGGCAGCCGTGTGTATCTTGTGCGGAGTAGTAGGGGCTCTGCTAAAACGTGGCCCCTTTTGCCCCTACATAGAACCATTCTCACTCGCATGCACGTCCAAGCCCCACAGACAGGCATGGAAGGTCCGCTATATGTAATTATTCTAACGGCACCGAAGAATGAGGACAGTTTGGCGATTCGGCACTAATGCCACATCCCTGCAAAACCACTGATGTCCTTGCTCTATTGCGAATTCCTGATGGAACCATTTTGACCTCCTGCCCGTATTCCGCCTCCCACATTATTTATCGTCTCCCATCTCACTGGCTCTTGCCATCGTCTGCAGCCTGTTTTTGCTTTCCGGACCCCTTGTAAGCGCGACCTCTGACAAATTTTTCATCTCTGGCACATGACCAAGATGCCAGGCGCATTATAACTCGAGCACCTTCGTCACTCCTTTTCAGATTAATCCATACAGTACTCCGTACGTCGTCGCGTCCGCTCAACCCCCCCTCTCCCCTTTCGCTATTTGATCCCCCTTTTTATGCACAGGAGCTGCGGACTGTCGCCTGCCGATTCCATGTTGCTGACCTGGTCAGTTTCTGTTGTGCATCTTCGATTCGCTTGTGCTTCCGGCGAGAAGCTTTGGTCTATTTCCCTTTAATTCGCTCCCCTATAGTGCCCGATGCCGTCCGACGAGCCGAACGCGACGTGGCATCCGGCCTTTATGCCGGCGTCTGCAGCGGAAGCCCCGGCAAAGCCAGCTTTAGCACCGCAGGCCCTAGAGGAGAGCAATGCCTCGCACACGGCTGACGAGGTCGTGGCCGACGGCGTGGCCGAAGCCGAAGCCGAAGCCTGTACTGCCGACCACGACGAGACGGCTGCAGATGCCTGGTTTCCCGAGTACGATGCCAGCAATCCGTGGACCGGGCAGCTCCGTCATGCCGATGCGGACATGTCCAACACCCCGGTCGATCACGATCAGGCCACTGGTGCGACGGCCGAACCGTCGGCCGAGCCTGTTGTGTCCGACAAGGCCAACAAGCACATGAGCACCGTTTCCTTTACGCGAACGGTGTCGAACGAGGTCAATTGGGATGCCGACGATGACGACAACACCGAATGGAGCCTTTCACGGGCTGACACGGACCCTTTCAAGTTCATGTCCCCAACCGATCGGACAAACTCCTTTCCCGTCGTTCCTGCCCTCGACACAATGCCTGCAGACGAGCAGTCCGACCGGAGCCTCGACCATCAGCCGCTGACGTCCAACGAGGCCTCGGACATCATCCAGGAAGTTGACCAGGAGGTTAGCCAATATGCCGAGCTGGAACCCAGCCATGCCGATGCTCTGCTCGACCACAGCTATGCCGTCGACCATGCAGCGGCTGCGTCTGATGATGCTCTTGGCATTCGCTTCGAAGAGGGCGTCCCGCTCATCTCCCACGACCACCACCAGGCTGCAGAGCCAAGTCCGCCGGAACACAAGGCTGATGATCCTTTCGGCGAAGAGGCGATTGACGAAGACGACGACTTTTTCAATCACGCTGGACCGTCAGACCGTGAGCCAGCGGAGATGTCGCCGAAGCCTGCTTTTGAGCGAAAATCGACAATACAGGTTCTGCAGGCGATGAATGTGGGCGCACTGGGCCACAACAGCTCAGATTTGGCCGCTGCCATGGAGGAGGAAGAAGAGTCTGACATCGCCGCACAGGTCCCGAAAGCCAGCAGCAAAGACCTGGCTGCTGAGTGGGCTGCTGCTCTCGCCAGCGACGACGAGGACGAACTGCTCATGGACGACTCTGTGCTGGAGACGGACAACAAGGAATTGGATCCGGCTGCCTTTTTTGAAGACGACGACGAGGGCTTTTTGGATGACGAGGTCCCGGAAGTGCCCCAGGTCAACGGGTCACAGCCACAACCAACCGCCAACCGATATGTTCCAGCTGGCCCGCAGATGGTCCAGCCTCTGCAAACGCCACAGCCGGCGAATCCATACCTGCCGACTACTACGTTTTCTCCCGCCCAGCCTGTCGTTCCGTCCCCGTTTGTCACTCCTGGGCCGCCACCCAGCCAGTTTCCGCTCTATGGTAGCACGCCGTCTCAGGAACGGCCTGCTCCAAAGGCCCAGAGCTTTGCCGACAAGTCCAAGGGTGGGTATCACTCGCCTTACGACCTTCCCATGGACGTTGTGAAGCCGAGGAAGCGGCCGAGCATGCAGCACCTGCCCAGGACTGTGGAAGCAGCCTCTGCCCCGCCACCGGGACCCCCTATCCTGGCCCGGAGTACCAGCATGCAGACGCTGACGCTGCCGTCTGTTCTTCAACCGAACTACGAGCAGTCTCCAGCCGCGCCACTGCCGAAGGCTCAGGCGACTCCTTTGAGTGCTCCTGTCATTGCTCCTGTTCATGAGAGCTTCTTCGAAGAGCTGCCCATGGTTTCCAAGGCTCGGCCAGCATCTCGGCATACCCACGGGTCACCGGTTCCGGCCAGTCCATATGGACCGCCGCAGGCCGCTCCCATCCACCCGCCTCCCCAGACGACGCCGCCTGCCTTCTCTCAGCCTCCACACACGCCTTCATTCGCACCCCCGCAGGCTCACTACTCACCCGCGCCGACACCAGCACCCCCACAGGAACAGCCAGCGGAACAGACGTCGGGCACTCCTGACATCGTCCGGCTGGTGGCACCGCCACGGACGAACCCATACGCATCTACTGTATCCTCGAACCTGGCGCCCCAGAGCGCCGCTTCTCCGCAATTGTCGCGGTACTCTCCCTCGCCCAACATGACGCTTCACGCAAACGGCTCCGCCCATGTTTCGCCACCGAGCCGATACTCTCCTGCACCTGTGGCCCGGACGCCTTCGACTGGCTATGCACCCATCCCGGCTGGCGTGCCGCCGCCCATACTCGCCCACCAGCCGCGGACGTCCAGCCCGCTTGCCCACTTCGAGATGTCCTACGACAAGCCAAGGAATGCGTCTCTCGGGCATCCGATTATCCGGGGCGAGAGCAACCTGCCGGAACGGCGAAGCAGCTCGTCTGCGTACGACCCGCGTCTCAATCGGGTCCCATCGCTGCCGCCCACACGAGAGGTGGAAGAAGATGAGTCCCAGGCGCGGCCTCCTACGTCAAGTATGCCGAATCCAGCGCCACCACCGACGAACCAATATTCTCCTCAGAAATCCCGACAGACGCCACCGCCGCAAGCGAGCTCATATGGCCTGTCGACCCAGACGCTGTCGCCTCCGAAGCGGATACTAAACTACACGCCGCACAGTGACCCTATTCCGCAACGTGCTCTCACGCAGTCTCCCGCCAGCATGCTTGCCACCCCCCCGGCCCCTAAGCCAGCCGACAGTGCCCCGGCCAGTATCCCTCTCCCGCTTCGTCCTCGAGCTGCGTCGCAGAACCTGAATCTTGTTCCTCCCACGGACGGAACAGAGCAAGACCCGCTGCAGAGATGGAAGGGGGCGCCGATATTTGCCTGGGGGGTAGGCGGCGTGTTTGTGTCGTCGTTTCCACGAGACATCCCACGCTACGGCATCAACCAGGCACTGCCCATGTATCATCGTGAGGCCGGGGACGTGCAGATCAAGCACATCAAAGAGATCCACCCGCTTGAAGAACGGCTGGCGAGATTCCCCGGCCCTCTCAAGGGCAAGTCGAAGAAGAAGGAGGTGATAGCATGGCTCACGGCGGGGATCGAGGACCTGGCGCGCTCTCTTCCCAGCCAGTCCTTCTCGTTGCAGGTCTCGCACGAAGACAAGCGGCTCGAAGAGAGAATACTGCTGTGGAAGATTCTCCGTGTTTTCGTTGAACACGACGGCGTCCTAGAGGGCGCCCCAGCGGTGGATAAGGCTGTGCGTGACTGCCTCCTGCCATTTGTTGACGAGACTGTCACGGCCGCAGAGGTGCCTGCGTATACGGCCGGCATTGGGATTGCGGGCTTATCGGACGGGCCGTCGTCGGGGCAGATGCAGTCCGATGCAGTGGACCCAGCTGTGGTTGAGCAGATCCGCAAGAACCTGCTGCTCGGCGACAAGGAAAAGGCAGCGTGGGATGCTGTTGACAAGCGGCTCTGGGGTCACGCGTTCCTCATTGCACGAGCTGCATCGGCCGAACTGTTTAAGAAGGTGGCGCAGGAGTTTGTGCGGAAGGAGGTTAACACACCGGGACACAACAACGAGTCGCTGGCGGCGCTGTACGACGTTCTGTCGGGAAATCACGAAGAATGCGTGGACGAGCTGGTGCCGATCCATGCGCGGGCCGGACTGCAGCTGATATCGAGGCAGCCAGCGGCGGGCGAGCAGTCCAAGGATGCGCTGGCCGGGCTGGACAACTGGCGAGAGACGCTGTGTCTGGTGCTGAACAACCGGACGACAGACGACGTGCAGGCGATCAACTCTCTGGGGAACCTGCTGTCGGGGTATGGCCGAGCAGAGGCGGCCCATGTGTGCTTCCTGTTCTCGCGGAACGTGACGGTGTTTGGGGGTCTAGACGACGCGGCGGCCAACTTTGTGCTGCTCGGGGCGGACCACAAGCGTCAGGTCGACTCGTTCGCCAAGGAGACGGACGCAGTACTGCTGAGCGAGGTGTACGAGTACGGGCTGTCACTGGGCGGCAGCGCGGCCGCAACGGGCGGCAGTCCCCATCTGGCGGCGTACAAGCTGCAGCATGCGATGACTTTGGCCGAGTATGGGTTCCGGGACAGGGCGCTGCAGTACTGCGAGGCGATCATGGGAGCGATCACGGCGCAGAGCCGGCGGTCGCCATACCACCACGTGCTGCTAGAGACGGCGGTAGACGATCTGATGAAGCGGCTGAAGCAGGCGCCCAAGGAGGAGTCCAACTCATGGATTCCGAAGCCAAGCATGAACAAGGTGTCGGACACAATGTGGAACCGGTTCAACAAGTTCGTGGCAGGCGACGAGGCCGAGGGCGGCGGAGTGCATCCGGACGGCGAGGGAGCAGCAGAGAGCGGACCGTTTGCACGACTACCGGGCGGCACCCCGACGATCAGCCGGCCGCAATCGTCGGCCGGCCTCACGGGCATGGACATGTTCAGCCCGCAGAGCTCCCAGTTCAGTCCGACGTTTGTTAGCCAGACGAACGGCGGCGTTGGCGGTTCGGGCATGGTGTCTCCGCCTCCGATGCGGTCAGCGTCACGCTATGCGCCGGGAGCAGGAGCAGGCGGCCAGTCGGTGACATCGCCGATCTCGGTGACGAGCCCGTACGAGCCCAACACGACGGGTTTCATGTCGCTATCGGTGTCAGCGCCTGCGGCCGGCGTGCCGAATTTGTACGAACCGCCATCTGCGTTTGCAGCTTCGGGACGGCGATCTCTGGAGTACCAGCCGGCGGAGGTCAGCTCGCGGCGGGCATCGTCGGAGTTGTCGCCCGGATATCTGAGCGGCTACAATGCCACGGGAGGCCAGTCGGACTCGGGTCGCAACGGGCTTTCTCGACAGTCGTCATACACGCCGCTGGTGCAGGTAGAGCCAGTGCTGACGCCAACCAGCGAGGCGCCACGGTCGGAACAGAGACCGGAGCCGAGTCCAGTGGCAGAGTTTGGTTTCCAGCCGATGTCGTACGGATACGAGCCGCCTTCGTTTAGGACGTCGTTTGGGGCCGGGGCCAGCGAGGAGGTCGAGACGCGGCAGCCAGCGCAGCCGGTGCAGGAGGAAACGACAAACGGCGGGTATGCGTCCCCGTCGTTCCAGCCGTACAGCTACGAACCGCCGTCATTTGATGCGGGGGCTGAGCCGGACGCAGAGACATCGAATGGGAACGGCGAGCTGCAGCGGAAGAAGAGCTTTATGGATGACGACAATGATGGAATTGCCACGAAGAAGAAGCCGACAGAGAAGACCAAAGAGGAGAAGGACCGCGAGAACGCGGAAATGTTTCGGAAAGCAGCTGAAGAAGACGGTAGGTTTTTGTTCCATTTGGTTCTTGTTGCGATGTGAACAGAGAGAGCACGAGCTAACAATTCAGCCAAACGAGCGGAAGCAGCAAAGGCCAAGAAAAAGGGATGGGGCCTGCCGGCATGGCTTGGCGGTGGGAAGAAGGAGGTGGTGGAGCAGGCGCCCAAAGCGGTTCGGGCCAATCTGGGCGAGAAGAGCAGCTTCTACTACGACGCGGATTTGAAGCGGTGGATAAACAAGAACGGTGGTTCGGACGAGACGGCCAAAACGACACCGCCGCCACCGCCACCGCGATCGACCTCGCAGTCATCTACGACGATGGCGGCTGCAACAATGGCTACAACGACGGCACCGACGGCAACAACGATGGCACCACCGATGGGGACACCCCCATTGGCATCGCCGCCGATGATGGGAGGTCCACCGATGGGACCACCAGCACGACTGCTGCGGCCTCTGGGGGCGTCGCCGTCGGTGCCGAACCTGCGGGCAGTCCGCGGATCCGGCAGCGTGCCACCGCCACTGATACGGTCGATCTCAGGGGTCAGCCTGCCGGGCAGTGCGTCGCCAAGTCGGCCGGGAACTGGTGTCAGCGAGGCCAACAGTATCGATGACCTCTTGGGGGCGGCAGGGCCGCGCAAGCCGCGCAAGGGCCGCAAGACTGGGCGGTACGTGGACGTGATGGCGCAGTGAGGGTTGAAGGAGGGCGAAGAGTGGGGTATGTGCGACGTATGCAATGTGTGATGGTGACGATGATGTCGCATTAATGTGTATTCTGAACGAGGCTTTAGACTTGGGATATGGTTATGGTTTGTAATACCTACGACACAATAATGGAATCACGTGTTAGGAAGGCTGCAGCACTGCACGTGACTCAAAACAGATCCCTGATCACATCACATTGTATTTCTACCAAACTTGTTTTCCGTGAGCACTTTTTTTTCTTGGGGGAGCACGCCTACTTCTTCTCGCGCTGGCCATACGCCTTGGTGGCATAGTCGCCACCGGTGACGATGAGGTCCTCGGGGCGGTAATCGAAGCGGCCGCTGAGGTAGCTGTCGAGGATGGCCTTGGTGCCGGCCGCATAGCGCTGCTGGGCGTCGAGCGAGGTGCCGGACATGTGGGGGACCATGGCGTTGCCGCCGCCCCACTGGTTCTTGGCGTAGCGGAGGACGTGGTCCTTGGGAGCGGGCTGGGGGAACCAGACATCGCCGCCGTAGCCGCGGAGGTGGCCAGTCTTGAGGGCAGCGGCGACGTCCTCCTTGACGACGATGGCACCGCGAGCCGTGTTGATGAGCCAGGAGCCGGGCTTCATCTTGGCGATGAGCTCCTTGTTGAACAGGCCGCGCGTCTTCTCGTGCAGCGGGCAGTTGATGGTGACGATGTCACACTGGGCGACGAGCTCCTCGAGCGTGTCGACGCGACGGCAGCCGATCTCGGCCTCCTTCTCGGGCGACAGCGGCTGGTAGTCGTAGTAGAGCAGCTCCTTGCAGTCGAACGGCTTGAGACGCCGGAGGACGCGCTCGCCGATGCGGCCGACCGCTACCGTGCCCACCACCTTGCCCTCCAGGTCGTACTCGTTCTTGGCCGCGGCTGCCACGTCCCACTCGCCCGCCTCGATCAGCTCGTGCGCCGGCACAAAGTTGCGCACCAGCACCAGGATCGTCATCACCACGTGCTCTGCCACCGACACCACGTTCGACCCCGTCACCTCCGCCACCGTGATCCCGCCGTTCGTCTTGTTGGCCGCGTTCAGGTCCACGTGGTCCGATCCGATGCCCGCCGTCACCGCCAGCTTCAGCTTCTTGGCCTTGGCCAGACGCTCCGCCGTCAGGTAGCCAGGGTGGAATCTGAGGAGGTCAGTTTCGTCCTGTGGGACACTGAAAACTCAAAAAGGGCATGGGACACTTACGGCGTCGTGATGATAATCTCCGCATCGACCAGCTCCTTGTCAAACGTAGAGTTCTCGCCCTCCTTGTCCGAGGTCGTCACCAGCGTGTGGCCCTGATCCTCGAGCCACTTGCGGATCCCCAGCTCGTTCTCCGTCGTGCCCAGAAGCTCCGGCACCTGCATCACATCACACTCGTCAGCTCATGTATTGCTTAGTCATCAATCTGCTGCAGAGCCGTGCTACCGCCCTCATGCCGATCTCGCCAACATGCCGAGCGTCGGCCGCAGCGTATACCCCGCGTTCTGACGACCACATCGAACACAGACAACATAGACTTACATCACGGGCGTGCTGACCACCATCGTACAGAACGAGAAGAACCTTGACCTATTGGCTGTTAGCAGGACGTGGAGACGATGAAGAAGAAGCTGAGGCGTACCATCTTGACGATTTTGATTATGTGATTAATGGGAAAATGATATAATGAGCTGGAAGAACAGAACAAGAAAGAGAAAAGTAGGACGACGGATCAGCGCAGCTTATATACAACAAGTCCGTGGCAGAGCCCTGGTTGCGCAGCTCTTACTGTGGGGTCATATTGATCATCTGGGCTACGGAATCGCAGACTTCTCGGAGCTATGATGAAATGACGACCCCTCTCGAAGTCCGAGCCTGCAGCCGGAGGCTGGACCAAGGCGCCAATGGGAGCTCACGGCAGACCCGCCTTTGTGGATGCATGGCGTTGAGTCGGACTTTGCTGGAGAGTATGTCATCTTGCATGCTGTACCTGACCAGATTTTACGTACGAAAGAGCGATGAACAGCCGTCTGGAGTGTCCGGAAGCCTGCTCTCGTCCGCAACGATAAGCCCGACGGAACGAGCAAAGAGAAAGACGTTCCTGCCGGTCCGGCTGGCCAAGAAGAGAGAGCCCCAAAAGTGGCCCTCGCGCATTCGCGCAGGTCCCAACATCCCACGCCACGAACGGCATCGCGTGTTCAGCCGGACGCCTCTTCCCCAGCTCCGGAGATGTGTCGGTGCTTCCTCGGGATGCGGATGATACGAATGTTTGACACCATGTGGGGGCGGCGAGCGGGGCCGAACAGAGAACTCGTCGGCTCCACTGTGATCACGCTCGTCTGCACATCCCTCATTTGATGCCTAGGCCGTGATGTCACCAATCCAAAGAGGTACTGACAATGGACAGGAGGAGCTAATGGGCGACCGGAAGATTGCTGCTAGTAGAAGAGGGGGTGTTGTCTTGCCCAGGAGAACAAGCGGCACTTGTGATTTGTATTCTTTCGAGCCAGGAGCCATTCACAAGAGAGCCGCTTCGGCCTTTCCTATTCTGGCCACGAGATCCCAAGTATCACATAATCGTCTGCAGCGTGTGAGCCGAACAGATTCTTTGGCCGCATTCACAGCACCTTCTGCACCAGCTCGACAATGTCAAAGTAGATTGCCTGCGCCTGCGAGCTGTCGCCGCCGCCACCCTGCCCGACGTCCTGATCAGGCTCCAGCCCCAGCCCGACGACCACCGTCCGGCTGTCGGTCGCGTCCCGCAGTGCCAGCAGGCTGCCTACCTGTGCCGCCACCAGCTGTCCAAACGTTTCCCGTGCCTGGCCGCCAGCCCCGAAGAGCGTCTTGGGCGTCAGGTGCGTCGACGGCAGCAGGTCGGGTCCGCTGCTGCCCCGGAGCCCAGCCGGCAGGGCCGCATCCACCGATGCTGCCGAGGGTGCTGAGAGAGGCACCTCGATCTGTGCCACCGCGTCAGCGTGAGTCTTGTCAGAAGAGGTTCTCTCTCTTGTACCCATTGTGCCAACCGGCCGCCCTGGGAGATCAGGACCATGATCTTGTCTGTGAACGAGATGACTTCCACCTCCGTGGGGATGCCGTTGACCGTTCCCAACACCTTGCTCGACGGTGCCGGGTAGGGCGCGGTGCGAACAACAGGCTCTTCCATGTTGTGTGAGGCTGCGTTCTGCGCTCGTGCTGTACAGTGGTCTTGCGTTGTAGCTTCAGCTCTATTCGTAGTGTAGGAAATTCTGATGAATTGGCACCGTATGCACTGTGCCCATAAGCTGAGAGGCACCACCCTAAGCCTATTAAGAAGACCGCTACAATTCTGCCCTAGGTTTTATCGGAATACCATACGTACGATATTATAACAGCAGCTGGCCCTCTGATATAAACTCGGAAAGGCTTGATCTAAACCCTTATTAAAGCTTCAGATTATAGGCTGCTCTAGATACGCCGTGCCGATGTGCTTCAGTCAGGCCAGTTGATATACAGAGTAATTTGACTGCTTTAGGCCAATATTAGGTGTGGAGAGAGTACAGTGCGATCAAAACATTTGAACAGTACACGGTGCTTGCAGGAATAAATGTGGAGAGGCGTGCACGCGCGGGGTACTCCGTACGACTAAAAATACGTATCATATTAGTAAGCATTCTGGCCATGTGATCGCAAAAAACGGGAAATTTAGAAGTCGCTGAACTACGGATAAGCACTCCGATAAGCAATCGGACGAAAGCGCCTTACAAAAAAATTGTGAGTACTCCGTACGTTTGTCGTAAATCTTTGTTTATCGGATAGATTTCCATTCGTCTTATCACACCAAGTAAACATAAGATGGCAGTGACGAAGAAGTTTGTCCCTCGGCAGAGGAAGCACAAAAACGTTGCTCGGGCGAAGAATGATGGGGAAGCCCCAGTGGACAGCAACCGGGCAGAGATCCTGCTCGAAGAACAGCGAGAGCACAACGAGAAAAAGGCACAATTGCGCGAAGAGCTCCGGGCCAGCCAGCCACAGATGAGCGCCAAGAAGGCAAAGCGTCTGGACAAGTACATCGAGCTCAAGCTGAAGAAGGACGAAAATCTCAGGCTCTACGAGAAGCTGGCTGCATCAAGCATCGACACCAGCATGTTTGAGAGCACCAAAAACCTGGGAGTGGGCAGAAAGCGTCGTAAAGCCGAGCAGAGGAAGAAGGAGAGCATGGCCCGGCATACCGGCAGCGACAGTGGTTCTCCGGACGAGGAATCGTCGTCCGAGGCGGAAGAGGCACCGGCCCTGAAAGCACGTCCGAATAAGCCTGCCCCAAAACCACAGGTGGCAACGGAAAACGAGCCGGAAGGGAGTTTGCCCGCAGTGACAACGGCAAATGCTATAGCGACGGCCGTCTCTCTGTTTCCACAGGCGGCCAAGTCTGTACCGGCGGTTGCTGGATCCGGTCTGAAGCGTCCACTGGAGCTCGGCGATGATGGAAGACCAGTGCTGCAGAAACGGCAGAAACGTGGCGGCGTCAAGTCTAAATACCAGGTGGAACAAGTTCACACGCAGGCAAAGCCAATTGTGCCACGGGTGGAGGAAGACGATATGAAGGAAGACGAAGAGGAAGAGGAGTGGGACGGATTCTCTGGCGGAGATGAAAGCAAAGAGGAAGGGTTCGAAGGGAAGGATGTGATCGCACAGGAGACGGCAAAGGAAGATGATACCAGCGAAAGTGAGTCCGAGTCAGAAGAGAGCGACTCGTCCGAGGACAAAGGGCCGTCTATATTCAAGATTTGGGCGACCGAGAAACGAAACGCGGCGCTGGGGTTCCAGCCGACGACCGAGAGCACGACAGCGGCCATGCTCGAAATACCACGGCCGGAGAATTTTGAGCCGCGGCCGATGGAACAGGAACCGCTGCCGGTCGAGCTGCAGCTATCGGAGGCGACGGGCCGGAAGGTGTTCAACGTGGCGGTGACACGGACGGCCGAGGTGGAGGCAGCGCGGGAGAAGCTGCCGGTGGTGGCGGAGGAGCATCAGATCATGGAAGCGATCCACTTGCACAACGTGGTGGTGATCACGGGCGGGACGGGATCGGGCAAGACGACGCAGGTGCCACAATTCCTGTTTGAGGCCGGCTACGGCTCACCGGACTCGCCGACGCCAGGAATGATCGGAGTGACGCAGCCGCGACGAGTAGCGGCAGTGAGCATGTCGAAGCGGGTGGCTGAGGAGCTCGGGTCGCACGGGTCAGCGGTGGCGTACCAGATCCGGTTCGAGGGCACGCACAACAAGAAGACGGCGATCAAGTTCATGACGGACGGCGTGCTGCTGCGCGAGATGGCCAACGACGTTGTATTGTCAGGCTACTCGGCGATCATCGTGGACGAGGCGCACGAGCGGAGCATCAACACGGACCTGTTGATCGGGCTGCTGAGCCGGGTCAACCAGATGCGGGAGATCCTGAACAAGCAGAGAAGCGAGGTGGCCGGATGGAAGGCGTTGGGGCCACTGAAGCTGATTATCATGTCGGCGACGCTGCAGATCGAGGACCTGACGAAGAACACACAGCTGTTCTCAACACCACCACGCGTGATCAGCATCGAGGGCCGGCAGTTCCCGGTAACGGTCCACTTCTCGCGCACCACCCAGACAGACTATGTGGAGGAGGCGTTCCGCAAGGTGGTGCGCGGCCACCGCAAGCTGCCGCCAGGCAGTTTCTTGGTCTTCCTGACGGGCGAGGACGAGATCCAGAAGCTGGCCAAGCGGCTGAGGCGGGAGATCAACGGACTCGACGTGGCGACGGGGCCAAAGGTGCGGCTGTCGACACGAGAGGCGCCCTTTGAAGCGGAGGATATCGACTTTGGCAGCGGCAGACTGGACCTGGACATTGCGGCGATCGAGGGCGAGGACGAGGAGGGCGAGGGTGAAGGTGAAGGTGAGGAGGAGTTTGTGGTGGAGGCGAGCGAAGGAGAAGCCGGAACAGGACCACTGCGGATGAACGTACTGCCGCTATTTTCGAAGCTGGCAACACAGGAGCAGCAAAAGGTGTTCCGGCCAGCACCGAACGGGTACCGACAGGTGATCCTGGCGACAAACGTGGCGGAGACGAGTCTGACGATCCCGGGAGTGCGGTTCGTCTTCGACTGCGGGCGAGCCAAAGAGCGGCGGTACAACGCGGTGACGGGAGTGCAGAGCTTCGAGGTGGGCTGGATCAACAAGGCCAGTGCAGACCAGCGCAGCGGAAGGGCCGGACGAACGGGTCCGGGTCACTGTTACCGGCTGTACTCGTCAGCGCTATACGAGGCCAGCTTCAAGCCATTTGCGGTGCCGGAGATGCTGCGGATGCCGATTGAGGACGTGGTGCTGCTACTCAAGTCGTTCAACGTGCCCAAAGTGGACGTGTTTCCGTTCCCGACGCCGCCAGACCGACAGAACCTGGCGCGAGCAGAGCAGATGCTGCAGCACATCGGGGCGGTGCAGCGGTCGGGCAAGATCTCCAAGCTGGGCGAGGCGTTGATGCTGTTTCCGCTGCCGCCGCGTTATGCCAACATTTTGCTGCGTGGCAACGACGAAGGGCTGCTGCACTACAACATTGCCATGGTGGCGGCGCTGACGGTGGACGGGCTGTTTGTCAAGCGGGTGCAGGCGCCGAAGCAGGACTCTGTTTCGGGCGTGCGAACACAGGAGGACATTCGCAAGGAGGAGCAGCAACGGCAAAGGGCGGAGCAGTACAGCAAGGTACACCGGCGGCTCAGCAGTACGGACGACTACTCGGACGCGATCAAGCGGCTGCACGTGGTGGCCGAGTTTTCGGAGACGCCGACGCCGACGTGGTGCGACAACAACTTTGTGAGCTACAAGACGCTGCTCGAGGTGCAAAAAATCCGGCGACAGCTGACGGAGCTGCTGCGGGCCAACATGCCCGGGCTGGCCAACATGGAGTACACGCCGCTGCTGAAGAAGCCGACGGAAAGAGAGGTGGCCTTGCTGAAGCTGATGGCGGCGGCCGGCTTCGTCGACAGGGTGGCGATGCGGGCCGATGCGATGCCGACACCACCGGCCGAGTTTGTGGGCCGACAGCATCCTCGCCGCGCCATCGAGGTGGCCTACGTGCCGCTCTTGCCGCTGGACCACAAGCAGACCGGCAGCGGGCTCGTCTTCATCCATCCGGCGTCGGTCCTGGCTCACTGCACCGTGGCCGAGTGTCCAAAGTATGTCGTGTTCTCGCAGCTGCTGCTCTCGAGCGGCTCGGCCGAGGCCACGGCAACGGCCCTGGCTGCCATGGCTGCCGGCCAGACTGTCCGCAGCGACGGCAGCACTGCCATCACGCTGCCCAAGGTCCGCATGCAGGCGCTGACCGACATCTCGGCCAAGCAGCTGGCCAGCCTCGCCCGCGGCACGTCGCTGCTGACGTACGGCAAGCCCATCAAGGAGACGTATGTCTCAGCCGACGGTCTCGAGCGTCAGTGCTGGGTTGTGCAGTATCTGCGCGTCGACAGCAGCAGCGGTCTCGGCTGGGAGCTGGGGCCAACGCTGGTCAAGCAGCGCAGGCAGCGGGGCAAAAGCTGGGAGGTTGTTTTGGATTGAGTGGACTGCTACGATATGAGTATCTTTACGGCAACTGTTGAGAGATGGCGTTCTGGTTTGTATACCCGGCATCCAAAAACATGGATTAAATCTGCTCTTGGGCGTTAGAACAGCTATTCATAACACGCTTTTCAGCCGTAGCAAATGTAGCCAAACGAAAGTGCATTTTTGCGTGGGAACCCGTTTTATCGGTCGCTCCTTATTCCGTCATAGAACTGCCGTTTTTTGTACACTACGAGCTGTATGGTATTACAGTCTGCCGTCCATCCACTGGCTACAAACCAGGCTGAGCTGCCGACGCGCCCTTGCTCTTGCGCCGTTTGGCCTTTCCTGGCCCACCAGCCGCGCTCTTTCCGCTCTTGCCGTCTTTGCTAACGGGTGACGTCTTCTTGCTGGCTGTCTGTTCCTGCTGCTGCTGCTGCTGCTGCTTAGAGTTGCTGTCGGCCGAGTCGGCCGTGTTTTCCTGGGCCTTGGCCGCGCTGGCGTTTTTGCGCGAGGCCGCCGAGAGATGGAACTCGCCCGGTCGTCCAGACACAGGCTGTTCATCCATGTACTCACCGCCAAACATCATGTGGATGGCATACGACTCCTCGGCGAGCCGCGGGTCGAGCCCGGATTCCTTGTCGGCCCGGGGGACATCTTGTTCGCGGCCAAGGCTGTGGCTGCTGCCTGGGCTACTTTTGCTGCTGTTTATGTTGACAATGTCGACCATGTCTTCGTCTTCGCTTTCGTCATCGTCATCGTCGTCGTCATCATCGTCGTCGTCGTCGTCGTCGTCGTCGTCGTAATCGTCTTCTTCGTCCTCGCGGGTCGCATAGACGTGTCCACGTGCCGGCGACCAGGATTGCATGCTGTCCATGGCCGGAAAGGCCTTGCTGAGAGAGACGGCAATGGAGGTCTGGGAAGTCAGAGGTATGAAGAAAAGCAAAGGAAAAGAAAAGCAAAATAAAGAGAGGCACCCACGATCCGCGAACTCAAAACGTCCCCCAGCGTCGGCGCCTGGTACACGTTCAAGCCGACGACAAAGTAGTCTGCGTAGACGGTCAGGTCATCGGGCTGGCCGTCGCTGCGCTTCCGCCGCAGCTGCTTGCGGATCACCCAGACGCCCGTTCCCGTGCCCGGAGCCATCTCGGCCGGCGCCTGGTGCACCACGTACTCGACGCCCGACATGCCGCGCAGAAAGTCCTCGAACCGCTCGCGCGTCTCCAGCACCGGGAACATGCTGGCGTTGTGCATCGCCTGGTTGTACACCGTGTTGTTGTTGGACGTCTTGTCAAAGTACGGCGACCGCATAAAGTAGAACAGGATCGAGTTGGAGTGGATGCCCTGCATCTCGTCGGCCGCCGCCGGGTCGCTCCACTGGAGCTCGTCGAGCGTCTTCCACGACATGGCCGAGAGGGAGGCGCAGCGTGAGCCTCGGATGGCAATGGGCAGGAGAGAGGGGAAAGTGAGGTGGAAGCTCTCCAAGCTGAACGGAAGCAGTGATGCACTACGATGCTGATTATGTAAGAAATACCCACTTTATTATTTCTACTATACCATGTCGTCTTTCGATGACGCCGTGCTCACCTGTCGCCCCTTGTCTCCCCTTGTCTCCCCTGCCAGTTGTTTTCCCCTTTCCGACAAGGCGAACCGACGAACAGCCACGGACATCGACGGACGACCGACCGCCACCAGAATGGATCTCGTCTCGACGGTGCGCAAACAGGGATCGCGCGGCGGCGTCAACTTCAGCTGGGACGACGTGGCCACGTCGGCGCATCGCGAAAACTATCTGGGCCACAGCCTACGGGCGCCGGTTGGCCGGTGGCAGCAGGGCCGCGACCTGACGTGGTATGCCAAGGAGGGCGAGGACGGGGGGGCGGCTGGCGACGCCGAGGCCGCCGAGGCAGCAGCGCGCCGGGACGAGCTGCGACGAGTGAAGGAAGCCGAGGAGGAGGCCATGGCTCAAGCCCTAGGGCTGCCGGCAGGCATGCGGCTCGGAGGCACGGCCGGCTCGACCGACGGGGCCACGGGGGCGAATGCGATGGCCGTGTCGGGGCCACTGCGGGCGACGACGACAGAGAGGCCACGGACTGGAGAGCGAGGAGATCGACGAGGAGAACGAGGAGAACGAGGAGGCAGAGAGAGAGGAGGTCGAGGCGAACGAGAACGAGAACGGGAGCGAGAACGAGAACGTGGTCGGGCCCGGGAGAGAGACCATCGACGGAAGCGACGAGACCACGACGACGACAAGATCGACACAGACCGACACAACAAGGTCGACGAGAAGAACGCTGTCGATGATGACCGCACCGACGGTCGCCGAGAACGTCCCCGTCACCGTCGCCACCATCACCAAGAGAGCGAGGAGCACAACGACGACCGCGAGGACGACGAGAAGAACGAGGACGAGTCTGGTCGCCATCACGGCTATCGTGGCCGACACGACGACCGCGACCGCGACCGACGAGACGATCGCGACCGCAGCCGGACGCGGCGACGACGACGTGCCGAAGAGGACGAGGCTCGGCGCCAGAGACGGCCAGCCACGGCCGGCGACCACAGCCATCACGGACGCAGTCGCAGCCGCAGTCCCGGCCACCAGCGCCGGCGACACCGCAGTCGCAGCCGCACTCGATGAGACAGTCTGCCTTGCACTCACTCCGTTCACTGCATAGTTTGGATTTTTTTTTAGCCATTAATACGCTCTATCAGAAGAGGCGCTCTGGGGTAGTCACTGCTAGACGAGGGAGTGCGGATGAGTTGAAGAGTACATGCATTTCCCCATCCTGTGGCCAACAAAGGAAACTAAAAACGATGGTGGAAGGACGAGAAAAGGAAACAAGAGGACGTGCTCTTTGTGGGTGATTTGTGAGTTTGTAGTTGTCGTTGTGGTACTTGCATTTCTTTGCAGCGAGTCGACTGGCTCAGTCGATCTGAGTCGCACATCTCCTGGAGACAACATGGCCCGTTCATGTGCCGTGCATCCGCCGTTCATATTCCATTGCCATTCATCTGCCCTCATTCCTCCGTCGCCTGTGCCTCTGCTGTCGCTTCTTCCGTCTCGGTCTCTCTCGCTTCTGGCACTTCGGGCAGTTCCTTCACAGTGCTTGGTATTGTCGACACGGACACACGCACTGTATCGCTCACCCCCTCGTCTGCCGGTGTTGCCGGTGTCGTCGGTGTCGTTGGCGCCACATCGCTGCCGCCACCGGCATCCGATTCGGCCAGACTGGGCACGCCGCCGACAATGGTGCCAGACTGGGCGCGCTCACGTCGTCGTCGTCGTGACCGCCGCTCTTCTTCGGCCGTCTGGCGCCGCATCTTCCGCTGGCTCTCCCGCTTCTCCTCGTCGGCCTCGTCGCCCCGCATCCCCTGCAGCATCAGTGCCGCTCGTGCTGCCACGTCGCCGCCGTCGCCGTTGTCGTTGGCGTCACCCTCGCTAGGCGATGCCGGTATCGGCGTCAGCGCACTGCTGCCGCTGCCACTCCCCAAAAGACCGGCTGCTTGGCTCTCGCTTCCTCCTCCGGTCGTCGACAGCGAGCTCCGTCTCTCGATCCCGGCTGCTGCTCCTCCACTCCCTCCTCCAGACGCACTGCCCGGCCGTCCCGCCTCGCCGTCGCCGCTCTCGTTCGGGTCCGCCACCTTTTGACCCGACGCTATCCGCACCTGGTGCCGGTCCTTAAGCCGCGCTCGCCGTCTCCGATCTCGCTGGTCACGTGTCTGTGGCGCTGCCGCCCGCAGCTTCTCCAGCAGGCTGTCCATGGCTCCGGCGCTCGTCGGACTCGGCAGCGGTATCATCGGGTCGCCGGCTCCGCCCACACCGCCGTTCGCCTTCAGCTGCGCCGCGTGCTTTCGCTTCATGCTCGCCTCGTTGCGCCGCCGCGTCTCCTCGTACTGCACGTTCTTCTCATGCGATTTCTTCCACTCCTGGATGAACAGCGCCAGCTTGGCGAAAAAGTCGCGGCGCGCATTCTCGTCACGTGAGTCCTCGCCGTAAAATGCCATAATGTCGTCGTACGTTCGCACCATCTCCTCAAGGTACAGCTCCATCTGCTCGGCCTTGCGTCGCGCCTCCTTCATCACCGGCAGCACCACCTGCGCCACGCGGTCTTGTGGGTGGAACCGCTTCGGGTCCGACAGGTTGCCGCTGTCAAACGACCTCTGCACGCTGTTGATGTTGATCACGTACTTCTTCGCGTCCGCCTGCAGCTGCTCGATGTTGATCTTCTGCGCCGTCAGCACTCCCCCAATGTCCGTCGCAAACGCCTCCCACTCCGGATACTGCTGTCGCACAATCCGCTCCACCATGTCCGCCAGCGTCGACTCGTTCTTGTCGTCCTTGACCATGCCCAGACGCGCGAGCGAACTCAGCTTAAATCCGCGCGCCTGCTTGTTCGCGTCGTTCATGTAGTTGCCAATGTCCAGAATCAGTCCCAGCACGTTCATCAGCGACACCGAGTCGCGGATCGACTCCGACACCGCCACCACCTGCCCGATCTTGCCCATGATCTCGTCGTAGTCTGCCTCGAAGCTGCGCGTCAGTGCCAGCGCCCGCATCCGTCCCTTCCAGTAGTGGTGCAGCTCGTATGCCGTCAGCAAAAATATCTGATCCTGTCTCGTCAGCTCTGCCGGGTCTGCCTCGCGCGTATCCTCCTCTGTCCGCGGGCCTGTCCAGTCCTTGCCGTACGGCGCCAGCAGCTTCGACACGTTGTCCGGAATGTTGCACAGGTCGTCTTTCTGCAAAAACTCCATCACTACCGAGTTGTCCAGCACCTCCTTGTCGCAGTGGATGATCAACTGCACCACCCGGTCCACCGACAGCTGCGAAAACTTGGCAAACGCGATTTCTGGCCCGTTAGCAACCCGAACCGTCTCGGAAGCACAACACAACACCACATGCACTCACCATATGCCTTGCGCACATCCGTCGAGATGATCTGCTTCTTGTCGTCCTTCTTCCCGCTGCCACCGCCAATCTTCTTCGTCTCCTTCGCCATAAACAGCTTCTCCACCTCGTCCAAGATGCCCTTGCGGCTGAGCTCCAGGTACTTCTCCTCGCGCTCCTCCGCCGATGGCGTGTGCGCCGCCCAGTGTGTTGTCACCGTCTCATCCACCTTCTCCCAGTGCAGCGCCTTGAGCTTCCGCTTTGGCCTCACCACCGGCAGGCCCACCGACGTCACCGAACCAAACGTCGGCTGCTTAGACAAGAAGTGCCCAGTCATCGACCCGGGCACGCCCATCGGCGGTGGCGGTGGCGGCGGCGGTGCGCCAGGCATCATGCCCGGCATAGGTGGAGGTGGAGGTGGCGGAGGTGGAGGTGGTGCGCCAGGAAGCATCCCAGGCATCGGTGGTGGTGGTGGCGGTGGAGGCGGAGGAGGAGCACCAGAAAGTGATACAGGAGCCGGAGCACCAGGCAGCTGGCCTGGAAAGGGTGGAGGAGGAGGAGGTGGTGGTGGTGGTGCACCGGGTAGCTGACCGGGCATAGGAGGAGGCGGAGGAGGCGGAGGTGGTGCTCCTGCTGTGGTCTCGGATGATGCATCCGTGATCTGAATCCTCGGTGGCTCGAGATCGTTTGGCGTGATCGGTGACTGAGACTCGAGGCTGGGATGTGATGGTCCTGTCGTCACTCCATCGCCGTCTTCCGAGTCGCTGCCGTCGTACCGCCGCACCTTGCCGGCAATCTCGCTGATCAGCCCGTTCTGTTGCTTTGGATCGATCACCGGCCGCCGGATCGATACCATCCGTGGCTTCTCGTACACCACGTCGTCGCCCTCGCCGCCCTCGCTCACACCCCCCTCCTCGCCACCCTCGCCGCCCGCCTCGCTCTCGTCGCCGCCTGATCCGCCCAAGCCTCCGTTCTGGTGCTGCTGCTGCTGCTGCTGTCCGCCTCTGCCCACCGGTCGTCGGCTGATCCGGCTGACGCTTCCCAGCACGCTCATCGGCGACAGCCCGCCCTCGCCCACCCCCAGCAGGCCCTCCACGCCCCGGCCCTCGCTATCGCCAGCGCCGCTGTAGCCCTCCATCTCTTCGCGCAGCGCCCGCAGCCGGTCTGACGGTCCCACCGCGTCGCCCCAGACCCGTCCCTCCAGCTTGTACTGCGTCTTCTGCCGCTCGATCTGCATCCGCAGACGCTCCATAAGTCTCTCGCGGTCTAGGATGCCTTGCATGCGCACCGGATCCACGTCGCCCAGCTTGCCGCCCGCTCCACCGCCAGCTGCCCCTCCTGCCGCCGCCTTCGTCGCTGCTGCCGTCGATGCCGCCACATCCTGGGCGTCGCGCAGCATCAGGTACAGCTCGCGTGTCTCCAGCTCGTTGCGCTGCGCCTCCTTCGCCCGCAGCGTCTGCACGCTCTCAATCTCCGCCTTGAGTGCGTCTGCCTGTCGCCGCTGCGCCTCGATGAATCGCGTCTGCTCGTCCAGCTGCTTCTGCATCTTGGCCACCAGCCCGTCCGCCCCCAGCTCCAGCCGCGCCTTCATCTCGTCGCGCTCCGCCATCGCCGCCTCGGCAATCTGCCGGCCCTCCAGCGCCTCGTCCAACGCCTGCCGCGCCTCAGAGTCCGTGTGCAGCTTGTCGAGCAAGTTCTGCACCGTGAAGTTGAGGCTCTGCTTTAGGTCCATGTCCGGCAGCCGCCGGTCCATTGCCACGTAGCTGACCATCGAGTCCACCAGCTGGAACAGCCGCAGCCGCTCCTCCCCGTCGTTGTCGCGGATCAACAGCAGGTGCTGCAGCGCCGACACAAAGTAGTCCTGCGTCTTCGATCCTTTGAGTCGTTGCTGGATCGCGTCCACGATCTGCACTGGGTCGTTCAGATCCTTGACCTCGCCCTCGATGCTATCCTTTATGCTGCTGTTGTCCCGCTCCAGCATGTCCTCGTAGTCGATCGCCTCATTCGACCGGAACCGCTCGATCTGCTTGTCGATCAGGTCGTACTGGAATGCCTCCATCTTGGCCAGCACCCGCTTGATGCCGCACGCCGTGAACTGCGCCCGGATGTGCAGCCGCAGCTGCAGGTCTCGTTCCGGCGCATCCACCAGCATGTTGATCAGGATGAGCGTTGCCACCGCATATTCCATCAGCAGGTTCTCCATCCCGATGCCCCCGCTGCGCACCTCCTCGCTCGCGCCCACCAGACTGCCCATCTTGCCGCGCCCGTCCACGGTGACCTCGATGATGCGCATCCATGCGTCGAACCGCCCGTTCTCGCCCTGCTGGCTCTTGACGCTGTCCATCGCCTGGATCACCTTCATGTGGCCCTCCCCGCTGCCCCAGTGCGACAAGAACGTGAGCACTTCGCTGACCAGTTTCCGCGTCGACAGCCGCGGCGAGATGAGCGACATGCACAGCGCCACGAGCACCTGCTGGTGCGCGAGCGCGTCGTCCGCACCATACTTGTTGTTCATCAGCGCCTTCAGGCACTTGACAATGTCGTACTCCCGCTCCACATCCTTGTCGCCCTTGCCGCTGTCCGGCACCGTCGGCCCGCGCGCGCTCTTGCGGTTAATCTTCAACAGCACGTTCGTGAGCGCCACCTGGCCCTGGCACTCGATAAATCGCTTTACCCAGCCGATCTGCTGCGTCCGCAGGTTGACCTCCAGGCTGCCCAGGTGCTTGCTGTCCAGGCTGTTCTCCATCACCTTGCGCACATACCACTCCGGCGAGCCCTCTTCGTCCGAAAAGGTCGTGATGTCCACGTTCTGGTACTGGCCGGGCCGCGACGACTGGCGACGTCGCTGTTCGCCTTGCCACTCTGTCAACCGGTCCTGGTAGATCAGCGTCCACTTCTTCGTGGGAGGGTAGGCGATCATCTGCCGTCGCGCCTGCTCTGGCAGGTTGTGCCATCCACGCTTTTGCATTAGTGATACAAACATCTGCTCGATCACCACGTCGTCGTCCGGCTTCGCCAAAGCGAAGCCACCGTCGGCAGTGGTGACTGTTGCGCTGTTGGAAGTCTTGGCTGTGCGATTTAAGTCGCGATACGAGGCGTAGGAACTTTGTGAGGATGCGCTGGGCAACGCTGCGACAATAGGTGAGCACACCGCACTCGGGCATGGGAAAGGGGGAGCTAGGGCGCAAACATACCGGACATGATGCTGGCCTGGTCTGTCGAGGTGCGGCCGACGGATGGGGCATACGAATTGTATCGCGAATTGTGCGACGTGGTCTGGTAGCTGCTCTCGCGTGGCGGACCCCATTGCTGAAGCTGCGTTTGGCGGCCAGTCGAAGCCATGGTGAGGTTGTTTGTGCCCGGCGCAAGCCTCCCGGCAGAGAGGTGAGCGCCGGGTGCTGCGCTGTACATGGACATGGCCACGGCAGCAGCAGCGGTTGCAGAAGAGGAGGCGGGGTCAAAGGACGGATATTGGTGGTAGTCGCTCGTGGCTTTATTGAGTTGGTGAGGCAGTGGTTCGCGACGGCCAGTATATCCCCCGTCGATGCTGCTGGCGTATTCGGTCGTCACTGGAGAGCGATGATCCGGACTAACGCTGTCGTATGGGATTGAGGTCATGACCCCGGCCATCATATTGAGGCCGGATTCGGGTGAGCCGGGCCGGTCAACAGAGATGATCGAGTCACGGTTGTTGATCGACGACTCGCGGTTGTGGTGCCGCGATGTTCGTGCTGCGACAGAACCGGATGCGTCCATGTCAAGCGGACCGAGGAACCTGCCCTCATCGCTGGTATTTCGTTTGTCGGACTTGTGCTTGACTCGGGAGAAGAACGACGGCTTCCCGCTGGACGTCTGTCTGCCTTTGTCGGACGACATGGTGGGCTACAGCTCGAGGACACAGAAAGGTTGGGGTGTGTCCGAAGTACGAAACGGCCCTGTGGTGAGGCCAGGCGCTGTGGTGTGTCTCTGCGCCTTTCTCTGCCTTCCCCCGTCTCTCTTCGACCGGAGACAAGATCCGTATGACTGTTGATTTTTCTTCTCGGCCGTCAGTGGGTGTGGTGCTGTCTCAGAATAAAACAGGCGGATCGCATCGTGCCCTTGGTCGGAAGACACGACCAGGTGGTTGTTAACGTGAGAGAAACGCAGGAGAGGAGGGGGTCTGCATGAACAAAGGTTCGTTAGCATGAGACGGCGCTTGGCGGTAGAGCCGACGGCCTGGCATGGGAGGGGGAGGGCCGCCACCAGCCGATGGTGCCATATATGAACACACCTGAAGTCCGTTTTCCTTTGCCTCGATCTCGAGTAAGCCCGTTTCGGTCGCAGCTGGTAAAAAGCCTACAAAAGGAGTGTGGTGGTCCCTCGGGCGGCCAGAGAGAGCGAAGAAGAGCCGTCCGGCAAGCGCCGGTGGTGGAATCTTATTTTTAGATGGCCGTCAATTGGCTGTAGACCAGCAGATCCGGCACGCGCATTCGTCCGTTGTTTTTTTTCTCTTGGTTTTGAGCAAACCAAAGGCAACGTCCGCTCCAGGTTGCGAGATGCAAAATCGCATCCGGAATCTCGCTATCGATTGTGGGCGAGAAATACGGGGAGGAGCCTGGGCGCTGCGTGCGTCGGTCGCTCCTGCAGACAAACTGTTGTGAAGTTCGACTGGCTGAAACAGGTTTAGCACGGCCTAAAACCCCTGGGTCCTGGTTCTTTCTTCTTCTTCATCCTGCCTGGCACACGCCTCAGGGGGGGGGTACGAGCTCCAACAGCACAGTATGAGAGACGCGCGCTAATCCCAACTGAGCGAAATGCCGTGTGTGGACGCCCCTGCATACCGTCTGTCCTTGCACGCCCAGCTCGCCCGCAAGCATGTTCAAACACATTTCTTGCACGTCGCATTGCGTCCCAGCCCAAGCATGTGTTTCGAACACGCTGCGCACGTTGACTTGAGGGATCGTGACTAGACGGCCGGTAGTCCGTGCCATGGGGATTGCTACAGTGACACGATGGCCAGTACAGTGCGGGAACTATTCTACCACCGCATTACGAGTTGGAAAAATGACCAAGCGCTGTACGAGAACGATAGACGCCTGCTAAATTGCTGGTAATATAATCCAGCAGGGGCACCCAGATGCACTAGCTCCTTTTGTCTCTTACGGCCGTCGCGCTGCCCAACGACCTTTGAGAAAACAACACGCAAAGCGTGACAGAAAGAGACGGACGATCGCGTGAGAAACAAAAGGACATATCATATACGTATGAGATTCTTGCAAAGTAACGTCAACATGTGTGCTATATAGAAATTGGGAGGGGGGAACATACAGCGGACTCTTTCTGGTTTAGGCGCTGTGGCTAATTCTCAGAGCCCAAACGGGTTGCCTCTGTGGCTTGCCGGCTTGTTCCAAAATTGCGCTACATATGTGTACGGGGTACTCGCATCTGTCGTCGTCAGCAGCACCACACATCTAGAGTCGTTGCCGTATGTTGTCGACAGCGCGCATCGTGCCGCCATGTACTGAGAAGCTCCTGTCTGGCACCGGCATCCAAGACCTCCCTACCTTAGATACCCTCTGCAACAATCCAAGATGGGGGCCACACTGTCTATGATCAAGGTGGGCAAGGCCTGGCCAACTGATGCCTGTTTAACATGTACCTGGCTGACTTTCTTCTCCGCTTGCAGACCCTCTTCATCCCCGCCCTGATTGCCCTCCTCGCATACATCATCATTACCTTTGCTGTCATCCCTCTGATCCGGTTCTACCACAACCGGTACAGCCACTACCTGCCACTCGACACCATCACCACCCAGACATCATCGATCCGTCAGCGCATGCAGAGCGTGGCCGGTCGGTTCCTGGTGCCGTCTACATGGCAACAGCGGCTGCGCGATCGGGCTGCCGCTGGCGGCGGCCTAGGCTTTGCCGGTGGCCTCATGGCAGGCGGGTTCCTAGGACGCCAAACGATGGACGACGATACCGAGTTTCTGTCTGATGGCGAGGACTTTGACCACGACATCAATGGCGGCAGTGAAGGCCTCGTCCTGGGAGAAGAAGGCGAAGAGCTAGGCGAAATTCGGCGCGGCGAAGCTCTACTGCGTGGCCTCCCGAGCCAAGGAGCCTACAATACAAATCGGCTTAGCAGAGAGTATGTTATTTTGCTACTTGCGATACCGGTGTACGGCATGTCTGACTGACCCATTTGTGCAGCCTAGAACAGGGATTTATGGACGACAGCGACGATGACGAGCCGCCAGCACGGCGGCGCTGAGTGTGTGGTTCATGGTTATGCATATTTGGTTTCTCGCGTAATATGGGTTGTTCGGTCTCTTTTAGAGCACGAGCCTGCATGGGGTTTACTGTATGAATAAGAAGAGATAAAGCAAGACTCGGGAGCGATGGAACCGAATGGATAAACAAATACAGAGTGTTTCGCGTCATGGCATCTTGTCTGTAGCTGCAAGCTGTCCGGGTGTCTCTATGCACTGTTTAGGTGCCTGAATAATAAGCCCGAAGATCTATTACGTATCTGAGCCGTTGCGGACTTCCCACATCCAACTTTCTGGCCCGCGAGGCTGACCGACATGTTAGTGCCCGTTCCAGATTACTCCTCCTTCAAAGCGCCTGACACATCGGCGTCCCTTTGCCCACACATTGGCGCTGATTGCCGGCTGCTTTTTGGGTCGCTTTTGACTTGCTATGAAAGGATTGCGCCTGACTGGTCAGCCAAATCAGCCAACCGGACACGTGCGGTGCTGGGGCGTACCATTGTTACCTGGCCTGACAGAGGCTCTGGGTCTCTCTTACAACTATTACAGGTTCACAAGCATCCTTGTTGCGCAGGCCTTTGCAGCCAACGAAAGCCGGACCTCATATGTGCCACCCCTCCTTCCCTCGATGCTTCGGGCTGCTCGCGCCTTTTTTCCGCATCGGTAGACACTTTCCTTTCATGTTTCCACAAACATTGTTATCCGTTATGCTTCCACTAACATCGTTATCTTGACTTATTCGGTATCTTATTCTGTTTCCGGTCACACGACCTCGCTGCTGTACCCGATACTTTTCTTACTATTAGTCCTGTCGATTCCGCAGCATTCCACTTTCACTGTACCCTCCCCCTCTATTTTGTCACCAGCTTCCCTGTCGGCCACATCGGTTTGTCTGCCTGCTTGTCCGCCTGTTAGTCTGCCTGCTTGTCTGCCTGCCTTCCCATTTTGCCGTTTTCCCCGTCCTACCAGCATCGCCTCGTCCATCTTCCCTACTGCTCTCTGCTTGCTCCCCATCTAACTCTTGAAAGGGTGTTATGGCAAACATGGCCAGCATTTTCCGCGCTCGGCCATCTTTCTGGCATCGCAACTGGAGAAGCACTACGGCCTTATCAGATGTGTGCACTGGAAACCAGGAGACCGATCCGTGCATGATCTGCTATGTTCCCGTTGGCGTACGAACCCCCGATGGCGAGATCGAGTCATGGTCCGCTTTGCCATGCGGGCACCGTTTTGGATCCTACTGTGTCAAGCGCTGGCTCGGCCTCGCAGAACAGCCTGCATGCCCCATATGCCGCACGCCTATGGTTCACGCCTGTGGGCACCCGGTGCTCCCGTTGCCTACCGTTCCCAGCAAGACCATGAACGGAAAGGCCGAAGAGGATGGATACAGCGACAGTGAGAACCGCTTGAGCAAGAAGGCAGCACTCATGTCCCAGAATGCATCGCCAGCATCACATACGAGCTCTCCTGCGGCAGGCTCCCCCGACGGCTCCACCCTCAGCCGCTCCGTCTCCCGATTTCGTCGCAAGCGGCGTCTCAGTGTTCCAGGCTCTTCGTCTATTCCAGTGCGGGTTCCGCTAGATACGCAGGCGCCGTGTGAGTATTGCTCCGTGTCCCTGGTGAAGCAGCAGTCGCATGGCGGACCCCCGGGTGGCGTGGTCCGGCTCGCGTTTCGTGTCTTCACGCAGCATTCGCGCAGCAACAACAACAACCAGAGCAACACAGAAAATGCATACTGGGAGCGTTGGCGGAAGGACAACAGCAGAGCCTTTGGAGAGTGGTGGGCAACTCAGCAGCCTCCGACAGAGCCAGCACGAGAGCTCCCTACACAAGGTTGGATTATTTAGATTGGATCATACGGCGGCGTCATCGTGGTAGCGCCGGATGCTTTACTTGCTGGAGTTGGATTTAGAGAGAAACTTTCTATATATGCGTTTTGATTCTGTTTTGTCTCTTATTGTTATAATGCTCCTAATACGGTCAGATTGGGCTCTCGTTGTCACCTGGTATGCCTTATCGCAACATTCGCGACAGCCCGCTGCGGGGCACGTAGTTCCCTAACTAGGCAATTGCAATTTACTAATTACAAGCAATACCCCGCACGATTACGTCGTAACAGCAAGTATGCACTAACAGCTCGCGACTTTTCCTAGACGCGTCTATTTTCATTGAAAATCACACCTCCGATTAAGGTGGCCCCAAAGTCCCGTAAGAGGACAGGACGCATCGTGCGTTTTCCCACAGTACCACCATGAAGTTTAAAGCAGATCTTCGAAACAAACGCACATTTTCAAGTAATGAATGATCCTAACTTTCAGTGAAAATCGGACCTACTTGCTATGTGATAGACTAACTCGCAACTCTCGCCTGCAGAACTGGCCGCAGTACTTAATTCGCTCGACAAGATCGTATGGATGCGTCTGGACAATGACACTGTACAATTCATTGTAGTTCCAGACAAGGGGTCGGAGGTTTGGTCGTGCGTATCTCTGCTTAGTCTTCTCCCACGGTCCGGCAGCCGTGCTAACAGCTGGCAGAACCTTCCGCCGAGAATTTCTCTTCGACAACTATCTGGTCCAGTCCTTGGATGCAGGCAATCGTATTGATCTCGAACTTCCCCTGGCTTCTCTCCAGCGCGCCCTCAAGTCTGCCCTGAACAGCACCGATGCCGTTCTTCGTCTGAGCAAGCACGATGGCGTGCCCGTTCTGTCCATGACCATCCACACCATGGCCAACCCACGGGGCGGCCTCGGAGGGTTTGGAGGGGGTGGAAGTAGTGGTAGCGGTGCTGGAGGAGCTACTAGTGGGCGAAGACCGGGAAACTACGGGCGGGAAAACACCTTTGGCGATTCTATCTTTGTCGACCAGGGGACGCAGGGGACGCAGCAGCGGACGCAGGCTGACGAGGAGACGTTGGAGCTGACGGTCAAGCGAGAACGCGAAAAGGTGGTCGTGCAGGACATTCCGGTACGCGTCTTGCGCTTGGACGGAGAGCATCGCACGCTGGAGCCCACAGTGGCCGAGGCAGACGTGAACATCGTGCTACCGCCGCTCATGCAGCTCAAGGCAGTGTCGGACCGGTTCACGAAGCTCGCCCACACGACAAGTGGCGGCAGCTTTAGCGGATCGTCGATGATGATGGGAAGCACGATCGGCGGCCTTGGGGGTAATGGCGGCGGTAGCGGCGGCAGTAGCGGTGGCAGCGGTCCCAAGCTGGAACTCAGCGCCAACATGTACGGCACGTTGCGCCTGCGGCTGGTGACGGACACCCTGAGCGTGGAGACGGTGTGGAACGACCTGGAGAACCCGCCGATGAACGAAGAAGCGCTGCCGATGCCGCTGGCGGAACACCCGAGCACCAAGTTCCTTGAGGCTGGACCGGACAAGTTTGCTACAGTGCTGGTGGACGGCCGGGACTGGAGTCGGGTGCTTAGCGTGGGCCGGCTGGACGGACGAGTCATCGCCTGCTTTAACGACACCAAGACGTTGGTGTTGCATGTGTACGTGTCGCAGCCAGACGATGCAGACGATGCGACAGAAACAAGCTCAATCACGGTATGGTGTTATGACTGTGTTTACACGAACCCCTGCGGAAGTGCACCTATGCTAACTATCTTCTCTAGTACTATGTAACTTCGTACAGCACGTGAGTCTGGGAATATGCCGTCATTTAAACGAATTCAAGTTTGCATGGAAGGCGTTTGAGGTGTCATTGGTTGCGTGGAGTTGACAGAGCCTATGTCAGCAGGCACTTCGATTTAAGGCGATGGTCCAGGAAAAGTGGTTTGAGTTGACTGTAGCCGAAAATCAAACATACAATGCTGATAGTTCTACAAGCGATCTCAAATACAATCTTAATCAACATATGGAATGGTGTGCTTTTTGGGGCACCAGTATCTCGATAGATGGGAAATTAGGGGAACTACGGAGTACAAATCTGACGAGTCATTGGAGAGGGGAAGATGTGGTCCAAACAGGAAAAGACTGATTCGAAGGCATCATTTCCCCACCGGTTGTATGCGTATTTATTAAATCAGATCGAGAGGGTAGAGTACATCCCAAGATGGCTCAAATTCCTTCAATACTGCATCGCCACCGATATTTCACAAGCTCAAGTAGCATCTTATAAAAAACCATGGCACTTGCTGGTCCTATCAAACCGGATATTCGTCCCAAGCTTGACCCCGCGTTTGTCAAGTTTTACGAGGAGACATTGGCGACGAAGCCTGCACTGCATCAGATTCCGCTCGAGCAAATTCGGAGTGACCCCCGTAAATATGCTGCACGATGGGCTCTGGATGCGCTGCGGGAAGGCTACGAACGTGTCAAGGATTGGGATGTAGCTACAACAGACGAGGCCACCATCAAGGCCAGGTCGTACCATCCTGACCCTGAAAAAGCCGGCCCAGGGCCGTATCCTGTGCACGTTAACTACCACGGTGCTTGATTTTCCTTTGCTTCTTTAACTTGGTTTAGTAAATTTACTCGCTAACATCTATGGCAGGGGGTGGGTATATGTTTGGCGATTTGACGAATGATGCCGAATGGTGTCTGCACATAAGAGACGATTTACCCTTGGTGATCGTTGACGTCGCCTACCGGCTCTGTCCGGGTAGGATACTTTTCCTGTTCTTTTCCTTGTATTGCCTGTGCTTAGTACGTATTGTACTTGACTGACCAGTGAAACAAACAGAGGTCAATTATGGCCATAATATCGAGGATGCATGGTCTGCACTCTTATGGGTATGGATACAAAATACAACAATGGATTCTTACTCCCTTAAGAGTATGTTTCTAATACTCGCAGGTGAGAGACAACGGTAAACGGCTAAACATCAACCCTGGTTCGGTCTCTATCGGAGGTCTGTCAGCAGGAGCCCAATTTGCAGCCATCCTTCAACACCGGGCTCGAGACATCAAGTTGCCACTGAAGCTTGCCATTCTTGCCGTTCCCCCAATGGCACCTCATTCTGAATACAGATCGGCTGAGGACTCGCCATTTCCGTCCTTTGCTGAATTTGCCGAGGGGCCAGTGCTGAGTTGGGAGCTGATAAAATACTTCAACCAATGCACTTTCCCCGAGAAGCTACTTCAAAGCCTGCGCCAGACATTGCCAGAATACTACTTTAGCCCTCTGGCTGCGCCCAACTTTCGCGGAATATGCGACACTTTCATCGCTACCGCCGGCTGCGACCCGCTCAGGGACGAGGGAGAGGCGTATGGCAGAAAGCTGATTGAGGGCGGCTCCAAGGTCACCATCAAGAGATACGCTGGGGTTCCCCATACCTTTTTGCACATGACTTCCATCTTGCAACAGTCTGTGGACTATGAGGTAGACTGCATCGCAGCATTGAAGCAAGCACACGATCTGTAACTGTGGCAGTAGATATGCAGAGAATTGTATCTTATTATCTGCAGCGCCCATCTGGCAACTGCGGTTAGCGATTCCAGGGGAAGGCGCCACCACTTAAGCCGCTCCTGCCAACGGCGAGTCCGCCCTGAACGCTCGGGCCACAAACGGCAGGGATATCTTCTTGGTTAGGTAGGGGACTTTGCGGTGTGGCCTATAATCCTCAAATCGCCAGAAAAGCCGTCGTGAGTTTGAGAACGAGCTTGATTCGCACCTCCCGGCCGGCCAAGACCCGCGAGCCCAACGTCGAGCTCTCGTACGAACGGTCTACTTCCCGCAGACACAGAGACCCTAGAAAGAGAACGCACAACAGCCCACAGCCCCGTCTGTCGGCTCGGACCCTCTCCTCTGCCCACTCGCCATGTCTTTCTCGAAATAAATCTACCCCCCTCTTCTCTTTCGGCCACATACACACACGACACACACCCAGACAGAACGGACCGGGAGAGTCACAATGGCGACAATGCAACGGTCCGACCCTTTCCTGCCCATCTCGCCGGCCCGGGTGAAGGCCTTGGTGCTGCCGGTTGGGCCCATTCACCAAGACCGCTTTGCTTCGTTTCTGCAACGACTCATTGGCGAAAGCTCCGTGCAGTTACGCGATATCAGCGCGGACGGCCGGCCAAATCGAAGTGGGTGCAACTGCCTACAGCCCGTCGGATCGATCTGCCGGCTTCCCTGCTGACAGCTATGCTTTCCCTAGACATGTTCAACCCTCTGGCCTTTCCTGTTGGATTCATCTTCTACGACCTGATCACGCACGTACCCCAGCCATCACACCTGGCACTGACGCCGTTTGACCAGTACCGCGAGCCGCTGGTGGTGCTAGCGCTGGCGGATGGGGCGGCCATCAAGAGCGTCTTGTTCGGCAGCCGGCGGCAGTCGGCGGCCGGACGATCGATCGAAGAGCGCAACATCCGCACACTCTACCAGGAGCTCGAGGCGCTGCGTGACACATATCCGCGAGTGCTCGTGCACCGCGTGCTCATCTTCGACTACGAATCGTCGCCGGAGACGCCGATCCCGATTCCCGAGGGCATGGCTACGGTATCGTCGCCGGCACAGTCGAAGCGCACGACAATGCGGATGGTCATGTGTGACGTGTCGTCACTGCTGCTGGCCGAGATGAACACGCTGGCCAAGTCTTTCGAAGCCATGTCCTACATTGAGTCTCCCGCCCAGGCAGGTGGCGGCGGCGGCTCGGACGACGGGCATGGCAGCAGCCACAGCAGCCACAGCAGCCACAGCAGCGCACTTCCGTCGCGCCGGAACTCGCAGTTTGCACTGCCAGCACACGTCGGTGGCGGCGTGATGCGATCAAGCTCACTGAAGGGCAACGACCACAGCTCAGCTGCGGACCGGTCACAGGTACGCATGTCTATGCCGGCACCGGCAAGGGACAGCAGCTCGACATCGGTGACGGGACGGCCGTCGACGCCGGTGCGCAGCGGGCTCTCCGGGCCTGCAACGACGTTTGACGAGATAGGCAAGACCATACCGAGTCCGGAACGGAACGCGTCACCTGCGATCAGCGACTCGGCGGATAGCTTCCGGTTCCAGGGCACGCCGATAGGGAGCATGTCCGACCACCGGGTATCAGTGCAGGGCTTCGGGTCTGGCGGGCTCAACGAGCGGTGGCGCAACAAAGGCAAGAGCCGGGTGACGATAGTGGTGGCATCGCTGTACCTGCAGGCGGGACGCTGGACGGATGCACTGAAGGAGCTGATCGACGGGGCGACGGTGTCGCGGTCGAACAACGACCACGTGTGGCACGGCAAGGCGCTGGAGCTGATCGTGGTGTGCCTTTTCCTGCTGGGCTGGGCAGACATTGAGTTTCAGGTGCCGACCATCTGCCTGCCACCGCCGGAAAAGGGGGCAGCAGCAGCGGCGACTGCACACGCGCTAGAGGCAGCAGAGAGAGCACACCCGAACCAACCGCGATGGCTGCGCAACCTGCAGCAGATCCTACCGGACCTACTGGAACGGATTCTAGGTCTATACGGACGGATCTCAGCGGAGCGGCTGCCGCCCCTGGCAATGGCAGAGACGACGATCCGGTTCTGCAACATTCTGACGGCGCTTCACACAGCGGACGGCGTGTTGGGGCGGGCCTTCCTGGATATTGTGGTGGTGGGACGCAGCAAAGCGGAGGAAATAGTAGCACGAACGATGTCGCCGCGGCCGGGGGTGGTGCCGGGACGGCCACAAATTCTGACGTCAGTGTTGCGAGCGTTTCCAGCGGCAACAGCAGCCGATCTGATGCTGTCGACGGTGGACCGGATTGTGATCCTGAGCGGGATCGCGTCGGTGCTTGGACGGCTGAACTACCGGCGCAAGCGGGCGTTGGTGGTGCGTGAGCTGCTGTCGGTGCTGACGGACGGGCTGGTGGAAGCACGAACGCGCGGAGCAGCGGAACTAGGCATCCACCCGGCAGCAGGGTTGGTAACACCGGGAAGTGGAGGGCAGGGCAGCGGCAGTGGAGTGGCGCTGGACCTGGCAGAAGGCGACTTGGAGACGGGGGTGGAGGCGTTCCTGGGGCTGCTGCTGCGGACATACGGCGTGGTGGAGCTGCAGCCGGGCCGACAGACAGACAACGAGACGGCGAAGTCAGTGATCGCAGACACGGACGAGGCAGTGTTCTCGCGGATCGGCGGACAGGCGGCAGCGCGGCAATTCGGGGTGCCATCACTCAAGATGGACATCTTGCGGGCGTGCATCAACTTCTCGGAGGCGCTACCAGACTTTGGCGGGGTGGCCAAGTTCTCGAGCGACCTGCTGCGGACAGCAGGCAGCGGGGTGGCACCGGGACCGCGGCGGGAGGATGCAGCGGCGATGATCACGCGGGACGAACAGGTGCGGCTGGCGACGAACATTGCCAAGGCGACGGGGCTGGCACGACGACTGGGGCTGGCGGACGTGGCAGCAGAGTACTGGGATGAGTTCCTGGTGCGGGGAGTGCGGTTGGAACTGCCACCAGCGCTCTGCGTGCCGGTGGCGCACTCGGAAAGCGAGCTGCCAATCCGAGGCGGCAAGGCAGCGGTGGTGACGACGGTGCGGACATCACAGGACGTGGACCCGTTCATCCACAACCCGTTTCTGAAAGCGGTCGACAAGGAGGTGGTGGAGCAGACACTGGTGGCGATGGAGCCGGCAACGTTCCGGCTGACGCTGCAGAACCCGTTCGACATGGAGGTGGTGATCGACAGCATCCGGCTGGAGACGACGGGGGTGGCGTTTGAGGCGTTTGAGGAAGGCGTGGTGGTGGGGCCATACCGGACGCAGATTGTGCGGGTGGGAGGAATTCCACAGGCGCCGGGATCACTAAACGTGACGGGGGCCATTGTGCGGGTGCACGGCTGCCGCGAGCGACGGTTTCCGATCCTGAGGCAGCCGTGGATGAGGGAACGGGCAGACAAGATCAAGGCGATCGGGGTGGCGCCGTTTGAGGAGGGTGGCAGTGGCAACATGATGGGCAGCAGCGGAGTGCTTGCAGCCGAGAAACTGTCGCTGCAGGTGATTCCAGCACAGCCACTGGTGGTGGTGCAGTCGACGACACTGGCGCAATCGTCGGCGATGATCCTGGAAGGCGAGCGGCAGGCGTTCTCGGTGACGCTGCAGAATCTGTCTCTGACGACGGCAGTGGACTTTCTGATCTTCTCGTTCCAAGACTCGACACAGGCGACGATGCAGGCGGCGCTGGAGAGCCGGGACGCGTCGCCAGCCGAGCTGTACGAATACGAGCTGATGCTGGCGAAGCGACCGGCGCTGCGGCTGCGAGGACGAAAGGGAGGAGTGGATGAAAAAACAAGCCAAAACCGGTACATCGGTCCCGGCGAGACGGCGACGTTTGACTTTGAGCTCCTGGGCAAGCCAGGGCTGACAGACGGGACGATCCAGATGGACTATGCATACCTAGGCGTGACAGCCGAGGGGGTGGCAGCAGACGTGGTGGCAGGTGGGCAGTTCCACACGCGACAAGTGTCGCTGCATCTGACAGTGACGGTGAACGCGAGCGTCGAGGTGGTGCGGATGGACGTGTTGCCGCTGCACGGGCAGATACCGGGGCCACTGTGGGAGCGATGTGGAGGGGAGAGGCGGAAGCCCGATCCTGACAGCTTCTGTCTGCTTCTGATGGATCTGCGCAACGCATGGCCGAGTGACATGCGGGTGCGGTTGTGGACGGGTGGCAGCAGCGGTGGCGACGGGTCGGACGCGGATGCGACGGCGATCGAGCACATTTTACCGGGCAACACGTGCCGGGTATTGGTGCCCATGCGACGGATCTACCTGGAAGATCCGCACGCGTCGATCCCGGCACTCAACCCAGCGCGACAGCGGCAGTTTGTGGTCAGCACGAGCAAGATCTCGCCAGACATGGAGCGGGCGACCCGGGAGACGTTCTGGTACCGGGAGCGAATGCTGGACCTGCTGCGCGGCGAGTGGACGACTGGGGGGGAAGAGGGCGACTGGGCGAGCGGACACGGATTCGGACGGCCAGCCGTGCGGAAAGGGGCGATTGAGCTGCGAAGCATTCGGCTAACGATGCGGATGATTGAGGCGGTCAAGGTGGAGGAGGTAGGGATTGAAATATGGATGGAGGGGGGTGGGAAAGGGGAGTGGGAGAAGGACGAAGGGAAAGAGGACGAGGAGAAGGAGGGCGAAGAGAAGGAGGACGAAGAGAAGGAGGACGAAGAGAAGGAGGACGAGGAGAAGGAGGACGAGGAGAAGGAGGATGAGGAAGAGAAGGACAAGGAAGAAAAGGACGAGGAGAAAAGGAACCCAATCGTTCAGGTCGACGACTTCATGCAACTGCGGGTACGCATCACAAACCGCACAGCACGGCCAATCCACCCGCTGCTGCGACTGATGCCATCGCTATGCCATCGGCCACACAACGTGGCCCTGGACTTTACGCGCAAGTTTGCCTGGAATGGAACGCTGCAGCAGGGCCTGGCACTGCTGGGCCCGCGCGCATCGACGATCGTGCGCATCGGTGCCACGGCCCTGTGTCGCGGCGAGTTCGAGGTCACCGCGTCCGTCGAGGAGACCCGGCTGTGGGTGCCGGCACGCGGCGAGGAAGAAGAGGCCGAAGCTCGACGAGCAGATCGTGCAGATCAGGCGGCTGGCCGGCCACGCTCCAACACCGAGACCCTGTTGATGGACTCGATGCTGGGAGCCAAGGAACGGCGGATCTGGCACTCGCGGGCGCCGTGTCATTTTGTGGTGACAGACTAGGGGGGAAGCTGAGGAGAACGGGGGTCTTTTGTGATGACTGAATAGAAGCAATTCAAACCCCCAAAATAGTGTAAGTGCAGGCCCCACACTAAATACGTCGAAAATCCGACTTTTCAAGAGCCGCTTTTATGTTTAATGTTTCCTCTTGCTCTGACGGCCAATCGAGCTTTGTGCTGTCCGTCTTCGGCTCTCTCGGGCTCTTTCCCGCTCTCTGTGTCTTTCGGTCTCAGTTGCCTGCATCGCTCTTTCCGTGGTGTTTGCCCCGGTGGCTCCTGCCTATCTGCGTTTTCTCTCTTCCTTCCTCTTTCGTCCCTCTCCCTCACTCTTACCTATACCTCCTTATCTTCTCTCCTCTCTCCTCTCTACTTTCTCCTCTTTCCTCTTCCTTCTTCTCTCTCCCCCCCATCATGGACTCTCGTCCGCGCATCCTCTTCCTCGACGCCTACGACTCGTTTGCCAACAACGTCACCGCCCTGCTCGCCACCTTGCTGCACGCCGACGTGCGCGTCCTGCCCGTCGACGCACCGCTCTCGGCTGCCGCTTTTCGCCGTGAGCTGGGCTGCTATGACGCCGTCGTCTGTGGGCCTGGCCCCGGCTCACCCGACTGTGCGGCCGACGTCGGCCTGATGCGCCATGTGTGGGACGGCGACACGCCGGCCCTGGGCATCTGTCTGGGCTTCCAGAGCCTGGTGGCCGCCCACGGCGGCCGCGTTGTCCGGCTGCCCTGTGGCGGTCTGCACGGGATGGTGCGAGCTCTGGATGTCGTGGACTTGAACGAGGACATGGAAGTTGGAGTCGACCTCTTTGCCGACGTGGCCCGACCCTTTCGCGCCACGCTGTACCACAGCCTGGGCGTCGTGGCCGGCACCTCCTCGTCCTCCGCATCCGACCTGCCGGGATGTCCCGATCTGCTTCCACTGGCCTGGCTCGACGGAGAAGCTGCCATGCCCGACAACTCGCGCATCCTCATGGCTGTCCGCCACCGCCAACGGCCGTTCTGGGGCCTGCAGTACCACCCCGAGTCCATCTGCACAGACGCGGCCAGCCACGCCGTGCTCGTCAACTGGTTTGGCGCCGCACAGCAGTGGAATGCGGAGCACGGACGACTGCCAACCCGAGGCTGCTGCGACGAGGCTGCCCATCAGGCAACACGGCCCAGCCTGTTGTCGCTGCGGCCGTCCATCGGCACTGGATCGTCCGTCGGCGACTTGTGGTGCTTTGCGGCGCTGACACGCGGCCTTGCCTCGCAGACGATCCGTTTTCCCGCCCATGTACAGGTGCCCGACATCGTCGAAGTTCTCCTCGGTGGCCAGCCGTCGCGAGACGAGCCGGAGCACATCGTCCTCGAGTCGACTAGTGCAGCAGCACGCTCAACAGAAACTGACGCTGACGCTGCCACTACGGACGACGCCGCCAGGGGCCGCTTTAGCATCGTTGCACTCGATGCTGCCGCCGCCCTGCGCATCGAATACCACACCGGCGACGCGACGGCAACGCTGCGGCTGCGCCGACCGGGATCTGTTCCACGCTGTGAGACCGTCCCGCTGCAGCCGGGCGCACAGTCTATCTGGCAGCTTCTGGCCGAATTTCACGAAGCCCGGCGACTCCAGGAGGAGGACCCCAGCCAACGGCCATCCTTTGTCGGCGGTTTCATGGGCTACGTGACCTATGAGCAGGGGCTGGACGATATCGGCGTGGCTGCTCCGAGCAGCACCCGTGGCCACAGCCGTCCGGACGTGTGTCTCGCCTGGATCACCCGCAGCATAGTCGTCGACCACGTCCGCGGCCTGCTCTACGTGCAGAACCTCTATGGTGAGGGCGATGCGCACAATGCGTCTGTCTGGGTGGCCGACACGGTCCGCCGGCTGTGCACATCCTCGCAGTGGCGGCAGGCCGACTTCTCGACGACACAAGCTACCATAGACAGCAAGCCGGCTGCAGCCATGGTGGTGCGGACTCCCGACGCTCGAGACTATGAGGATCGCGTGAGAGCCTGTCAGGAACACATTGCAGCCGGCGACTCGTACGAGCTGTGCCTCACCGACCAGACGGATGTGCAGGTGACGACGTCTGTCGCAGCATCGTCATCTTCCTCGTCATGGAGCTACTACCGAGCCCTGCGGCTGCGCAACCCGGCCCCCTTTGCGTCATACGTCCGTCTCGGCAGGGCCACTCTGGTTAGCAGCTCGCCCGAGCGGTTTCTGTCCTATGGGCCGAGCACCGACCGAGACAGTTCAGCTCAGCCCGGCCATCCCATTGTCTGCTCTATGCGCCCCATGAAGGGCACCGTGCGCCGTTCGGCCGCTGTGGCCACGCTGGCCCAGGCTGCCGCCCTGCTGCACGTGCCCAAGGAGGAGGCCGAGAATTTGATGATCGTCGACCTGGTTCGCCATGACCTGCACGGCGTCTGCGGGCCCGCCCATGTCTCCGTGCCTGCTCTGCTGCGCGTCGAACCGCACGGCCGCGTCTTCCAGATGGTGAGCGTCGTCGAGGGCCGTCTGCCGCTGACCGACGCTTCCACCAGCTCCTACACCGGCCTCGACGTCCTTGCCGCCAGCCTCCCGCCCGGCAGCATGACCGGCGCGCCCAAGAAGCGCAGCTGTGAGCTGCTGCACAGGATCGAGTCCCGTCCCGAGCGCAGCCTCTACTCTGGCGTCGTCGGCTACATGTGCGCCTCCGGCCGCGGCGACTGGAGCGTCACTATCCGCAGTCTGTTCCGCTGGGATGACGAGTCCGTTGTGGTTGATGGTGACGGCCACCGTCGCGACCTCTGGCATGTCGGTGCTGGCGGAGCCGTCACCATCCTCAGCACCGCCGAAGGCGAGCGCGAAGAGATGCTCACTAAGCTGGCCGGGCCGTTGGCTGTCTTCGGCGACGACGACTACTGATCTTCCTTTCTCATATACCAGCGAGGCAGCACTCAACGTCTGTCCTCGCTGTCTGGCGTTCCGGGGTCCCACTATTGCGGCTTTGCGATACTACTCAACGAATAGATGATACCCCCCTCAAGAGGCATTTAGAGCAGCTTGTTTGTTTCTTGTTCTTTTCATAATTAGAATTTATGGTGACAGAGCGAGAGTACAAAAAAAGTAGGACGGCGAACAGGTCCCACGGCCTGTCATGCATCCTGCAGTGCGGTCCTAACGCCTAGATGGAATCTGTGTTCTTACAATCCAGTTGCCGAGCAAAAGACCAAGAGAAGCTGACAAAGAGGGGTAAACACGAAGACAACAAATCCGACATGCGGCACGCTCGCTCTGGTTTGTCCATGCGTAGAGTAGAATACAGGCTGCCACGAGGAGCCGCGGATGGCTTTCTTGGCCAGAGAATTCCTCCTTTCAGCGACAGTGTCCCCGGTTTGGCAGTTTTCCAGACTTCCCACGCTGACTTAAAAGTCCTGGTCCTCCTGGAAGAACATGCCGAAGCTGATGATGGTGCCGTAGATCAGCAGGCCACCGATCACAGACATGACCATGGCGCCAGTCGCAATGAGATTCGAGTGAGCAAGCACGACCGGGAGGGCTACAATAGTGAGTACGGGAGACGAAAGGGAGACATAAGGGAGGGAAAATACACTTACCAATGCCCATGACGACAAGGAAGCCAGTGAAGAAGCGGCCGACGTCGAGAATGGCTGCTCCCGGGCTCTCGACAAAGTCGTCGGGATTTGCACACCGGCCAGCTATCCAGTTGGGCAGCGGCGCGAGCACATACGTGGCCACCACGAGCAGGGGGTAGTACACCCTCCAGAGTGCGCACGAGAGGATGACCAGGAGGAAGCCGACGGCGAGCACAAACGAGAGCGCAATGATGGTTTTAAGTCCAGCCGTTGCCATGGTGGGCGGATAAGACGGGAAGGAGAAGAGGGATGTCGCGGGAGAGACGGGAGCCGAGAGAACTGTCTGCGCTCACGGATCGACAGCGAGATGCCCCGCTGCTTCGAGTCCAAGGATCGCTCGGGGAAGCCGGAAGCTGGCGAGACGACAGCAACACAGACTAGTGCAAAGCAGCAGGTACGGAGTACCAGGCAGCAGAATGCCGTGCAGGCAGAGAATCGGCCGAGAAGAGGGAGAAGGATCGGTTCGCACACAGCGGTCGGTCGGGTTGTGACGGGCGATTTGATGGAGCGGGCGAGCGATGCGTTGCAGCTGGTCGTAGTTCGATTGTGCTTCGTAGGCGGCAGCATAACAAACCAGACAGCCTTTCGAACTAGCGCCGCGAAGCCTGTTCCTTCCAGCCTCGAGCGCCGCAGCTGCCTCAGGCCGCCATTCTCTGGGCGACGACACCACGGTGGAGTACAAGTCCGGTGCACGGGCCACATTCTGGAAAGGGAAAGCTCAGAGCACATACGAAAGCTCAAAGCTGCCTGCTTTGCGTGCCTGTATCGAAGAGACGACGAATCCACATCGACCACTTCGGCGTCACCACCAGCAGCGACCAACCCGTAACCGACCGATCTCGCCACACACATACCCTTCTGTTGCAGCTGCTCGGGGCTTTGCCAAAGAAATAAACGCCGCGCCGCCAACAGCCACCACCACGTCTGCCGACCGACAGTCTCGCCGACTCGACTGCCCGCCATGTTCAGAAACAACTATGACAACGACTCTGTCACATTGTGCGTGAGGCCACTGCGGGCCTGCTTTACCCTAGCACCACTACTGCCGTCTGGGCGAGACCGGCTGCTAACCCGTCTCACAGCTCGCCCCAGGGCCGGATATTCCAGGTTGAGTATGCTGCCGAGGCCGTGAAGCAGGGCTCCGTCGTTGTGGGCATTGCCAGCAAGACGCATGCCGTGCTCGTGGCCGTCAAGGTGGGCTTTCCCTTTTCCTTCTCGGGTTGCGTGCAGAGCCAGGCGCTGATGACGCCTTTTGTTTCCAGCGGAATGCCGAGGAGCTCTCGTCGTACCAGAAGAAGCTCTTCCCGGTGGACGAGCACGCGGGCATCGCGATTGCGGGTCTCACGTCGGACGCGCGCGTGCTGTCCAACTTTATGAAGCAGCAGTGCCTAGGCCACCGGCTGACGTACGGTCGCTCGATGCCGGTCCGGCTGCTCGTCGACATGATTGGCGAGAAGGCCCAGGTGAACACGCAGCACTACGGCCGCCGGCCGTATGGCGTCGGTCTGCTCGTCGCCGGCGTCGACGATCGTGGTCCCCACCTGTTTGAGTTCCAGCCGAGCGGCATGACCGACGAGATGACCGCCTTTGCCATCGGCGCCCGCTCCCAGATGGCCCGCACCTACCTGGAGAAGCACCTGGACGGCTTTGCCGCCTGCGACCGCGAGGGCCTCGTCCGCCACGGCCTGCGCGCCCTCAAGGAGAGCCTCGTCCAGGACCGCGAGCTGACCGTCGACAACACCAGCATCGGCATCGTCGGCATCGTGCCCGCCGCCCAGTCCGCTACCGGCAAGCGCCAGGTCGAGCCCTTTACCATCTACGACGGCCAGGATGTCAAGGCCTGGATAGAAGCCGTCGCGGACGATAAGGAGGCCGGCGCCGACGATGACGACAATACCGCTGCGCCAGACACTACAGCAGACGCAGGGGCCGCTGCGCCAGGCGACATGGAGGTCGACAGCTAGACGGTGGCGGGTGGCAGCAGCAGCAGCAGCGACTTGCAGTGTCATAAAAAAAAACACATTTCCGTCCCTCCCTACCTCTCTGTAATACTACTGATGAATGAACTTTCTTTCTTTCCCGCCATCCTTTCGAGACGTACGTGCCTGTGATGTGTGTATGGAGTCGTACGGAGTAAATACAAGCGACTACGGCTGTCTTGAGCCAGGGTGTACACTTGTGGTTTTGTTGTGTGTCGGCTGCACCAGTCTTCAGAACCTAGGCGGAAGCGACTGTAAAAAACGCATGGACCATCATTCCGATATGGTGTAGTGGACAACATCTGACGTTTTCACCGTCGAGCCCGGGGTTCGATTCCCCGTATCGGAGTTTTTTTTTAGTCTTGGCTTCCTTGCTGAGCTATATAAGCGGCAGCACCTGTCTCCATATGCATAGTTGACAAATGTCCATCGGGTGCAGTGTCGGGAAGACTACCAGAGGCAGCCAAGACACTGTACCAGCAGCACCGAACACGGATGTTCTCTGATCAACGAGAGGCACAAGAAAATAAGGTCAATGGGCTTAACTGGGCGCAGATAGAAATGCTGTCTATTCCCGGCAATGTATGCAAGGCAAGAACCCACGTGATCTGAAGTATAAAGAGGAGCGACGAATACGCCTATGGGTCATGGAAACCTCTTGTCCCTATTGCCCCTCTCTTTTAAGCTTTACACTCTCCGCTCCCTCACTCTTTCCCCCAAGCCAGCTTCAGCACGGCTGGCTCTACCTTGTATTCGCGCAGCGCCTGGACCGCATCTTCGGCAGTCTTGCCCTGGACGATAATGTTGGCGGCACCGGGAGCGATGAAGCCGTCCTCGACACTCTTGCCGATCAAGGAGAACAGGCCATTGTAGAAGCCGTTCACGTTCAGCACACACACGCCGCGATCATGAATGCCCAGCTGATTCCATGTGCACGTCTCCAGCAGCTCCTCGAAGGTGCCATAGCCGCCGCTCAGCGCGAGGAAGCCGCTGCCCGGTCCTCCCCGGATAACCTCCTGTGCCATCATGCGCTTGCGCGTGTGCATGTCACGCACTACCGTCGTCTTGCCGTACAGCTCTTCAGCAGGCACTGCCAGACCCTCTTCGTTGATAATATGCGAGCTGCTGCTGTCGTCGGTGCCGTCAGTACCGCCACTTGTGCTGGCCGTCGTCGTCGACGTATACTTGGGGTCCCGTTCGTAGCGCACGAGAGCTTCGGGGATGATGCCATGCACGGACTGGGGGCCGGAAAGAGACACGAGCGTCTTGGCCAGCTCACCCATCAGGCCGACAGTGCCGCCACCGTAGACTGTAGTTTCTCTGCATCAGCATCCATGAACCCGCAGGTGCTGCTTGGACGAGAAGAGGGGCCGATTGGACTTACCGAGACCAATGTCGTTTTCGTGCATCACGCGGGCGAGCTCCCGGGCTGCCTCCATATATACGGGGTTCTTGCCGGACGACGAGCCGCAGTAGACGCAAATCTTTGTGCGTGGCGTTTCGGATGTGTCTGTGGTGGCAAGGCCGGCCGTTCCTGACGCTGACGACGGCGTAGCCGATTCGCCGTCAGACTCCATTTTGCCGGTGAACCGAAATCGAAGGAGGAATTCACAGGATCGGAGAGGCACGCAGTATAGTGAAAGGGCCGATGAGGGGGCTGTGCGCTGTTGCGGAATTTGGCGCTTTGAAGGAGCTGATCAACTTATATAGAAATGGGAAAATTGGGAGCTATGCCTACGTATCAAGACGAAAAGCACACGTAGTTTTACGTAGGAGATACGATGGGCATGCTATTGGATTGGCAGTCAACTGACTAGTCTAAAATGCGCTGAAGCGGGATCCTTTGACACGGCGCTCCGCTGCCTGCCAGCGGGGGAGGGGTTTCCAAGACAGCCGCTCGCGGCTGCCCAATCGGGAGCAGAGCAGACAGCACCAAAAAGGAAGTCGGCATGCAGCAGCCGGACTTTGAGCGTCACATGTTCGAGGAGCGAAGAAGGTGCAGACCGCTCCTGTAGCTGTCGAAGAGCGACTTGTAGTGAGTGTAGGCGGGGTTGAGTGGGCGCTTGAGAGGCTAAAGTGCTTGCAGTGTAAAGTTGAAATGCCCACGGAAACCGGCAAGACAACTGCCAGCGTGCTTCATCCCACGCCCGTTCCGGAATATATTGCATACATATCTGTGACAGCACTCGTCAGCCCAGCGGACAACTCATGCCGTCGCACGACGTTGGTCGTTGCATGCAGAGCGATAGGCTGTGGCATGCAGTCCATCGGGCTACAGTGTGCCTAGTGCCACGACGCAATCTCACCGGGGCTCTAGCCAGTTACGTAATGCCTAGGCTGCCCACTAGAGCAGTGTCGCAAGACGCCATAGTGGAGTGCTCTAGATCTCGCCAGGTCGCCTCTTCCACTGCGGAAAAAAGCAACGTCCTTCCACGCAAACTCTCCATCGCCGCCATCAAGCCGCGCGCGTGTCCAAGAGTCCCACACGCTTTCGACACGATGCCGCAAGACAATGCGCCTGCGGGCAATGCCCGAGGGGAGCAAGGCGTAGGTGCCTCATTTTGCTGCCATCCCCCGCTACACTAACTGACCGAGCAGTCCTCCATGACGACGCGGATCATCCAGATGGTGGCCATGTACGTCGGCATGCAGTTTGTCATGAAGCAGTTCATGCCTACGGCTCAGTCTTCTGTGCAGACGACCGATGCTAGCGGGAAGACGGTCCAGGTGCCAGCCGGCACGACCGTCATCCCGCCGTATCAGCTGCGGCCGGCCAGCCTGGACGAAGGCGCCGTGTACAACGCGGACCCCCAGCGCGTGGCGCCGATCTGGCCCGATGACAGCAAGCTGGATATTATCATCACGGTATCGCATACGCCCCAGATCAAGCCGCTCGGCGGCCGCGACGCCGACCCGGTTGTGCTCTCCGAGACCGGTTTTGGGCTCGGCAACTTCAGCGACAAGCGGGCCATCGACACGGTCATCGACGTGCCGCCACAGGTGCAAAACAATGGGACGCTGTGGGGCCACTTCTTGATCGGCCTCCAGGGCAGCGTGCTGGATCCCTACAACGCCGCCTTCGACCCCGGGGCGGCCTTTTACTTTTCCTTCCCGCTGACGCAGTACATTGCGCGGAAGAAGCAGGTCAAGGTGCGCAACCTACTCGCGGGACCGGACACTGCCGACGCCGAGAAGGAGCTGGAGAACGAGCCGGAGACGCCGTCGGGACCGATCATCGGCAGCTACTACCACGCCAACACGTCGCTCTCGTTTATCCCCAACGGCGGCGTAATGCAGTACCAGCAGCTGCCGCCGGTGGTGCAGCAGTTTGTGCATCTCGAGCTGACGGGGCAGCGTGACGGGTCCGGCCAGAACACGTGGTACTACCCGGTGCTCTTTGTCAACACGTTCTGGCAGCTCAAGAGCCAGATGACGGTGCTCAACGAGACGGTCAAGACGCTGCCGCTGCATCTGGACCTGGGCAATCTGGCGGACTGGAAGTTCAAGTTGATGTCGAGCATCGAGGCGAGCAGCCGGGAGACGGCGCGGCAGTCGGCCTTTGGTAACCCGGCGCCGGGCGGTGGCGATGGCTCGGAGATCGACATGATCAAAGAGATTTTGCTGGACACGAACCCGATCCTGCTGTGCGTGACTGTGGTGGTGTCGATTGTGCACACGCTGCTGGAAATGCTCGCCTTCGGCTCGGACATTGCGCACTACCGCAAGAAGAAGGACAATGTCGGGATCTCGGTGCGGTCGATTTTGGCCAACGTGTTCATGCAGACGGTCATCTTCCTGTACCTGGTGGACAACTCGCAGAACACGTCCTGGGTGATCCTGGGCTCACAGGGCGTCGGCATCCTGATCGAGCTGTGGAAGGTGACGACGGTGGTGGACGTGCGGCTGCGCGACGCACCGGCCGGCTCGCTGATCCCGTGGCGCCTCGCCTTTGAGGACAAGCACAAGCTGAGCGAGACGGAGGAGAAGACCAAGGAGTACGACGAGATCGCGTTCAAGTACATGTACGTGGCAGCGGTGCCGCTGCTGGTGGCCTACGCCATCTACTCGCTCGTCTATGACAGCCACAAGTCGTGGTACAGCTACGTGATCGCGACTCTGGTCGGCTCTGTGTACGCGTACGGCTTCCTGATGATGGTCCCGTCGCTCTATATCAACTACCGACTCAAGAGTGTGGCCCACATGCCGGGTAAGGCCATGATGTACAAGTTTGTCAACACTTTTATCGACGACCTGTTTGCCTTTACCATCAAGATGCCCTTTCTGCATCGTCTGGCCACTTTCCGCGACGACATCATCTTCTTCGTCTATATCTACCAGCGCTGGGCCTACCGGACCGACTACACACGGGTCAACGAGTTTGGCCAGGGTGGCGACGACGACGAGACGGACGAGCCAACTGTGAAGGTAGTGGAGGGTGTGAAGGGAAATGGCGTGGAGGAGAAGGGCGAGGACGTGGCGGATGTAAAGGACAAGGCCAAGAAGGCCGCAACCGGCAAGGCTTCAGGCTCTGACGCAAAGGCTGGAGGCGCGAAAAAGCGGAAACAGTAGAGAATGGCGTTGAAGCGTGACCGCAGCGTGTCGGGAAAAGGAACATGGGCGTATAGATACAAGCGAAGACTTCTGCGGCGATTCAAACGCCAATAGTAGCAAGAATAACCTTTGGTTGAGCCCCTGTTTTTGGCCATCTACGGAATACATATGTAACCACCTAATCTCTTATCAGTTGATTGCAACAGTGCCCATAGCGCTAAAGATCACGGGGCACCCCCGAGGCGTTCTCTGTACGTCACCACCGCAACTACTGTGCCTCGCAGCTGCCACTTCCAGAAGTCAACAAACTAAGATACAAAGTCGACACAACGCGACCGCAAGGCAGGCTGTCGACGTTGCTGGCCGCTTCTTTCGCTTGCCATCGAGGGGATGGACGGATGACCAAGAGAGAGCCCTGCATTCGTTTTGCGTCTTTGTCTTTTTGCCGTCGATTCTATTTGTGCAGCTGCCTCGACGGTTGCCTATCCCGAAACGGCCCCCTGCATCAACTCTCGAATCAGATCTCGACTCGCTCTGCTTTATCGAAAAGCTCACAGCCGCTGTTCCGGCACGACATCAACCCAGATACAGGTCAGCAACCTCGGCGAGATCGCTTCGAACAGGCCTTGCTGAGTGAGCGATGCATCCAGAGAACATAACCCAATAAAAGCACACCAATACTCCGATACCCCCATATACCCCCGTATGCCCAACCCACAATTACCCATAAAACATACCCATACACAGGCACGATGGACTATACACGGCTGCGAGCCGCCGCCCTCCGTGACGGCGAGGCCGAGGAGGCGGTGACGGTCGACACGCGGGCTCTGATCGACAAGGTCTTGGCCCGCTACTCGGGCGAATGGACGACGCTCCGGGAGCTGATCCAAAATGCGGCGGACGCGCAGGCCACGACGGTCAAGATCAAGTGGGAGACGCTGCCATCGACGACGGTGCCGCTGCCGACGGTGCCGCAGCCAACAGCCACAGATGCGGCGGATGGCGGCGACAGAGCCTCGAGTGACCTCCTCCGCCACACGATCCTGCACCACACGCTGCGACGGCTGTTGGTCGAGAATGACGGGCAGGCGTTTGCGGCGACAGACTGGGCGCGGCTCAAGCGTATTGCTGAGGGCAACCCGGACGAGACCAAGATCGGGGCCTTTGGCGTCGGGTTCTACAGCGTCTTTGCCGACTGCGAGGAGCCTTTTGTCAGCTCGGGCAGCGAGGCCATGGCCTTTTACTGGAAGGGCAACGCGCTGTTCACGCGCAAGCTGGTCGTGCCGGCCGACCAGCGCAGCCCGACGGGGGCGACGACGTTTGTGCTCGACTACCGCAACGCCACAACGGCCCTGCCAAACCTGCTGTCGGTCAGCCAGTTCCTGGCATCCAGCCTGACGTTTGTGGCCCTGCAGCGCATCGAGTTCTGGATCGACGACTGGAAGCTGCTCGACCTGCACAAGACGCTCTCGCCGAGCACGGTCGTGCCCATTCCACGTGACCTCAGCACACGCACCAAGGACGGGCTCATGACCGTGGCCGCGGTCGAGTGGTCCAGCGCCCAGATCGACGCCGTCTACATGAACGCCGTCGGCTGGAAGCCGCCCGCGTCAGCAGTCAACAGCGCGTCGGGGTCGTCGGGCGGCAGTAGCTCGGCCGCGGCCTCGGGCAAGACCACCGACTCGTACGGGCTCTCGGCCGCGGATATGCCGTCGCTGCGCAGTTTCTTCTCGCGGCTGACCAGCTCGGCAACAGCGTCGGCGACGGCCCTGGCCAGCCAGCGCAGCAAAGCAGCCCGCGAGGAGAAGGCGGCCCAGGATGCCCTGCAGCAGAACCTTACCGGGCTCGATCGGGCGTCCATCTTCCTCCGGGTCACCTCGGCCAAGGTGCAGACCAAGGTAGCAGCCAGCTTTGCGGCCGAGCTAGAGCGCGCGACCAAGAAGCCACCGCCCAAGATGACCAGCATGGCCATCCTCACGTCATCGTACGAGGACGTGCTCACGTCCGGCGCGAAGACGGTGGCGACCACAACCGGGGCCGACGTGTTTGCCTCGGTGCTGCCCAGCAAAAAGCCCGGCGGGCGGATCTTTATCGGATTCCCAACGATGCAGACGACAGGCGGTGGACTGCACGTGTCAGCGCCGTCGCTGATCCCGACAGTCGAGCGCGAGGCCATCGACCTTAACGCGCGCTGGGTGCGCAACTGGAACATGGAGCTGCTGCGGGCGTCGGGTATCCTGACGCGACTGGCCTTTGTCAATGAGATGGCCGTGCTGGACAGCAAGTTCCGGCAGCACCTCGAGAGCACCAACCGAGGCAGCAAGGGCAGCCGGTTGCCGACGCCGACGGCCGAAGACGTGGCCCGGTTCGTGCCCGAGGCGCTGCACATTCTCAAGACCTACACGTTTGGCGATTCGACACCGAGTGCATACGTCGGGCAGATCATCGAGGAGGCCTTCTGGACGGCGTACAGGGTGCCGGCGATCGACGTGTTCTCGACGCGCGGCGTGCTGTCGACGGCCAAGGTGCGGATGGGCGACGAGCGGATCAGCCGGTTTGTGGACGGGATCCCGGTCGTGGTGGCGGAGATGAAGGACAGTCCGTTTGTGCACAAGCTGCATGAGTTTGGCATCCTGCACGACATCACGATCGACGACGTGCGATCGGAGCTGGAGTCGAAGCCGCTGGACCGGGAGAAGCTGACGCACTTTGTCAAGTGGCTGGCAGCATGTGCAGCATCTGGCGACCTGGATCCGCCCAGCGTGCGGTCTCTGCTTCGAGCCGGCATCGCCAGCATCGCGGAGACGGAGGACGGAGGCGGTGGGGACGACAATCCGATCCAGTCGTACATTGTCGAGCTCGACACGATCCGCAACTTTCTGTCAGGCAACAAGATTCCGGCCAGCCTGCCGTTGCCGCCGACGACGATTCCGTACTCGATCACGAGCACGATTCCGCACAGCCAGCTGCAAGCGCTGGGCTGGACGCCGCTGGATCTGGTGCCGTGGCTGGAGTACCTAATGGGCGCGCGGGCGCGGCTGGGCGAGAAGCGGGACATGACCAAGTCGGCCACATTTGCGGCGCAGGTGCTGATGGTACTGTCGAAGAACTGGGACAACGTATCGGCAGCGCAGCGGCCGGTAGTGTTGGCGATGCTGGAGGCGCAGACGACGATGCCGACGAAGATGGGCATGCGACGGCCACCGGACGCCTTCTTCCCGTCGGTCAAGCTGTTTGATGACCTGCCGACGCTGGCGCCGAGCTGCCACGGCCTCAAGGAGAAGTTTCTGGTGGCGCTGGGCGTGCGCAAGACGATTGACCTGGACACGATCTTCACGCGACTGCTGAGTCAGCCGACAGCAGACTCGAAAAGTGGCGGTGGCAGCAAAGGACCGGAGGTAGACAGCAAGAAATGGAGTCACGTGGAGCTGGCCAAGTATCTGGCATCAGTGCGGACAGACATTCCAGCGCGAGACTTTGCCAGGCTACGGGACTCGGCCATCTGTCCGGCCGAGGCAGGTCCAGCAGGCAAGGAATGGACGGTGCCGAGCACGAAGCTGTACCGAGCAGCAGAGTTGTTTGAGCCGTGTAGCGAGATCCGGGAGCTCGGGTTTGCGATCATGCAATGGCCGGGCGTGCCGGGCTCATACCGACGCAACTCGCCGGAAGGCGGGCTCCTGTCCAGCCTGGGGCTCCGGATCTGTCCGTCGGTGCCGGAACTGGTGGCCAAGATGGCGTCTCCCGACCGCAACCTGCGCGACAAAGCGCGTGCCTACTATATTGCCAACCACCAGACGAACGGATATCAGGCGTTTAACATCTCGCTGACCGACAAGGCGATCCTGCCGGTGGCGAGTGACGGCAGCAGCGGCAGCAGCAGCAACGAGAAGCAGCTGGAACAGCTCGCACGGCCGATGGGATGCTACACCAACCCAGATGCGGCAATTCTCGGCTTTCCGATCCTGCGGGCAGACCTACTGCCGCACGCGGCTAAATTCGGCGTGCCGCGTGACCCTCCCATAAACAGCTGTGTGAAACGGCTGCTGACGAAGCCGCCGCAGAGCCATAAAGAGGCGGTGGTGGTGTTTGGGTATTTCTCGTCACGGCTGGCGGACATCCGAGGCGACGCGCTCCGACAGCTACAGCAGGCGCGCTTTGTGCCGGTGACCAAGCGCAGCGGGTGGACAGACAAGGGTCAGCGGATGTCTATGGCAACGGCAGCAGCGACAGCAAAAATGGAACACGTCAAGCCCGAGGCCTGCTATCTCGGCGTGTCGTCGACGTACGGCGACATCTTTGACTTTGTGGACTTTGGACGCAGCGCGAACGCCTTTCTGTTCCAGTGCGGGTCAAAGATGGAGCCGACAAAGGTAGAGCTGGCCCGACAGGCCTGCAAGGAGCCGGCACGGCTGCTCAGCACGCTGCAGACACCAGAACGGTACCTCAACCTGCTGCGGTCGCTGGCGGAAGACCTGCCGCGACTGAAGGAGGACCGGGAGCTGTTTGGGCTGATGCAGACGGCGCCATTCCTTCTGGCATCACGCGAGGCCGTTCCGACGACGGGAGCAACAGAAACAGAAGAGGAGACGCCAGTGCGGCAGTTCCAGCTGGCGGCAGCGGGCCAGATTGCGGTGTTGGACGACTACATCAGCTACCGGCTATTCAAGGACAAGCTGATGTGTGCGCCGGAAGAGGACGTGTTGGAGACGTTTTACCTGGCACTGGGAGCGCAGGTGCTGAGCAGCATCGTGCAGGAGGAGATCCAGATTGGGCGACACAGCAGCGACCAGACGCAGGCTGCGCTGCTGCGCAAATACGTGCTAGAGCGGTCCAAGATCTTTTTGCACGAGTACCAAAAGTACCGGCGTGACGTGATCCGACACGACCACCGCTGGCTGGAGAAGCACCTGCGGGTAGAGATTGTGCAGAGCGTGGCGCTGCGGCGATCGCTGCGCGGTGGCGGCGGCACGGAGACGCACACGGAGAAGCGGTCGGCGGCGAGTGCGCGCCAGACGGGCGGTCATGTGCTGTACATCTCGGCACAGGGACCCGTGGACATGTACCAGGTCGGCCAGGCGGTGTGTCAGGTGGTGCTGAACCGGCCGAGCCAGCAGGCGTACTTTTTCTTTGAGCCGTTCCTGAAGCTGGACCTGCTGGACTTGCGGGCTCGCGGCTACAATGTTGACCGGATCCTGCGCGAGAAGGCGGCCGAGGCACGCATGGCCGAGGAGGAGCGACGTCGGGCTTTGGAAGCGGAGCAGGAGAGAAGACGAGAGGAGAGGGAAGAGAGAGGGAGAGAAGAGAGGGGGAGAGAGGAGAGGGGAAGAGAAGGAGGGAGAGAAGAAAGAGGGAGAAACGAAAAGGGACGGGGACAATACTCGGAAAAGGACCGGCTGAAACAGCGAGACCAACAGCAGGTAGAAGCAGAAGCAGCAGCAGCAGCAGCAGCAGCAGCAGCCATGACGAGGACAAGAGCACATACACCCGAGCCACAGATGCCGGGAGCATTTGGCGACGAGGGATCGCCGGAAGAACAGCGTTACCAACAGGAACAGCAGCAGCAGCAGCAGCTACAACAACAGGGCAGACGAAACAGAGGTCTCTTCTCGACCATTACCCGTCGACTGGGACTGGACCAAAGCCCAGAGGACGACGAGATGGACCGACAGCCAGACGCCGGATCCATGGACGGCAACAAAGGCAAAGGCCGGGTGACGACGACCGAGGGCGACGGCAACGGCCAGGAGGCCTCGCCGGAAGCCGTGCAGCAGGACATGCGCAACGCGATCCGGTCGGGACGGCCGTACGGGTCATCGACGTTGTTCCAGCCGCCGAGCGAACCGACAGTGCGCCAACAAGCGACATACTGTGACAGCAATCATGCGCACGACCTGGAACACATCGGGCAGGCACCCGGCGGCACGCCCATCTACCTGTCACGTGGCACGACCTCTTCCGTGACGGGCTTTCTAGCCGAGCGCCAACCGGCCATTGCAGCTTTTGAGCGGCTGCTGCGCGACGTTGCCGTCGTCTACGGCCTGGCCAGCACCGTCCTGCACATCTACCATGATGTCGTCGGACCGACGATTGCCTTTAACAGCGGTGGCAGCATCTTCTGCAACCTGCGCTTCTTCGAGCAGCTGCACGCAGCCGGCATCCTGTCGACGGCAGCAACAGCAGTCCAGGCTCGCGTCGATGCTACCGTCTGGTGGTGGGTCGTGCTGGCTCACGAGCTGGCCCACAACCTGGAGCCCATTCACAATGCCCGCCACAGCTTCTACACGTGAGTTTCACAGCCGTCTACAGAGTCCTCCGTCTTGGTCCATGCTGACAACCAACCCAGTGAATCGTTTGTCCAGCAGTACTTCCACGGTATGACCATGCACACGGCTGCGCTCTCGGCCGGCCTAGCCGTCCAACCAGCTGCACTGCCACAGCCGCTCGTCCAGCAGCCCGACGTCGCCCTGCCACCACCGCCTTCGTATCACCAGGCGATGCAGACACGTGGACAGGGCCGGAGCCTGCTTGACTAAGCGATTACTAAGCAAAAGCACAATCAGAAGGCGCAGGCATATGGAGTACAGTACAGACTACAGGTATATAGAGGTTTAGCTATAGCGTAATATTTCCTTCCTAGAGTAGACAAGAGACCATCCCAGCAAGCTAGTCGGCCATTCCTCCGCCATCTGCAACCCCCGACGCAGCCACGGCGACAGCAAGACGCCCCTTGCGTGCCTCTGCCCTGAGCTCGCTGTCAAAGATGTCGACGGCCACGCTGGCCTCGACAAAGTCCTCGAGCTCCTCTGTGACCGTCTTGAGCTTGTCCTGCACGGACGCGCTGGCCTCGAAGCCGACAATGTGGCGAGACGGCGGGTTCTCGTGGCCGCCAATGGCAGCCAGCGCGTGCACCGTTTCCAGGACGAGTCCGTCAAGCGCAGCCGGCGACAGCCGCGGGAACCGGCTAACAGGCGAGCGGCTGGCGGCATTGTTGGTGGCCGGGACAGCCGTGTCGGGATGTGTGTTGAGCACGCGGATGAGCATGTCGCGGACGGTGGGCGCAGCCGGCTCGCCGCCGTTGTTGTGGGCAGGAGAGAGCAAGTCTGTGGCCGCAGGTGGCGGTGCTGTCAAAGGTGCTGGTGCTGCCACGAGGGTGCTGGCATAGGCGGACAGAGACGGGGCAAAGACGATGCGATTCGTGAGCATCTGGACCTCGGTGTTGGGCTGGACGACGGTGACCTTGATGTTGAACGGGGCGATCTCGTAGGCCAGCGAGTCGCAGTAGCCCTCGAGCGCGGCCGTAGCGGCCGTATGCATGGGCATGCCGGGCATGCCGATATGGCCGCCCACGCTGCTGAGCGCGACGACATGGCCAGTCCGTTGGGCCCGCAGCTGCGGCAGGGCCGCCTTGATCGCGTTGACCTGCGAGAAGAAGATGCTGTCGAACTGGTCCAGCACGGCCGGCGACGCCCCGCCTGCGAGCGCCAGCTCCTCGACCGCGCCCACCACCGACTCGCTCTTGCAGCACAGCAGGATGTCGATGCGCCCAAACGCCGCCACCGCCTCCGCCACCGCTGCCGCGCACTGGCCCATCTGCCGCCCGTCGCAGCGGATTCCGCGCAGCCGGTCCTTCCAGCCCTCGCGGTCCCGATGGCGAGTCCCTGCTGGTGTTGTCAGCGGTGTTGCTGTCATGGATGCCATCGTCGTTGTTGCCGTCCCTGTCGTCCCTGTCATCGCTGTCGATCCCGCCGCCGTCCGACACTCGCTGGCCAGCTCGCGGAACTCGGCACTGCGTGCTTCGTCCGCCAGCTCCTGTGGCGGCAGACAGGCCACGACGTAGTCGCCGTGCGCGAGCAGCAGCCGCGTCAGCCGCACGGCCAGCGGCGACAGCCCCTGTGTGAGAAACCAGGTGCGCGGAGAGTTGTGGGTGGCTGTCGTCGGCAACGATATCCGGTCAGCAAACAGGAGTCAGGAGTCAGGAAATGGGGACGAAAACCACCCACGGAAAGAAGGCGCCGGAACGGCGTGCGAGTGTCGCCCGGGCACGGCCTCTGGGTTCTTGCGGTCGGCCATGGTCGTCGGCTCAGTGGAGCCGTGTCATGATGCGCTCATGAGACAGAAGAGAAGCGATGTAGATCGAGGCTGGGATGATTGGGCAAACGTGTCGAGGTCGGGCAAGCGCAAGAAGTCGCAAGAAGCAGGTGCAAAGAGGAAGGAGGAAAGAGAAAAGAGAAAAGAGAAAAGAGCACGACCCAATTCGCAAGGGTGGCAGGAATGATCGACCATGGCCTATTACTCCCTAGGAGGAAGGCACCGCTTAGCTTGGCCCCTCCTCCGGCAGTTGGCAGCCGCGAAGGCCGAACGGTAAATAGCAATTGACCTGACAGAAACTACTCGTCCATCACTTTCTTTCTCTCCCGCTCTCTCGCTCTATTTTCACAGTTGCGCTTTACTTTAAACCTCTCGAATATCATTTTTTTTGGTGGAAGCTCCCCCGATTCACCCCCACGCCCTGCATCCCAATGCTGCTACGAAAATCCGGGGAAGAATGGCACTGGAACCTTTCCGACACGAGAATTGCTGCAGCTAGAGACCTAACCGTTCTAGCCTTGCAACACAGCAAATATGCTTTCTTCAAAATATTTATTATGCGCCCTCCCCAAGAGCCGGAACAAAAATAATAGATAAATTTCAACAAGTGCCGACCCCAGATAGGCTCGACACGCACATAAAAACCATACATCGTTTCCTTATCCGGATCGTACCCCAATAACTGCCGACTGGACGTGGACGATCCATCCCTCCAGGACAAGAATACCGAGACATTTGGGCAACCCAGAGCCAGCTCCCAGTCGCCAATATCTGGCATGGCCTGTCTCGGTCTCGCCGTCAAGTGTATCGCAGAAAAGCGTCCTCAGGTCCCCCCCACCCCGGTTAGAAAACTGGCACGAAATTACGCACTTATTTTTGTCCCCAGCTACACCAACAAAATCCTGGCCTAGATTCCCGTGGAAAGTAGAAATAACAAGAGCAACGAAGGCGAGTTTGGAGGACAGAAGAGAGACAGAGAGACAGGGAGGCAGAGAGAGGTAACAAAAACGGAGGAGTCATTCCTCCTGGCATGATCACGTTATGCATTACTTGCGCTCACTGCTGCAACACCACGTCAGCAATCAGCAATCTCGAGACGAAACGCAAAACGCAGAACACAACGACGTCAACAGGCACACTTACGTGCTGAGCCTCCGCGACAGTGTCTGAAGCTTCTTGTCGTTGTCAGCCTCCTTTGTTGCCCTCTCAAGAGCCTGTTGCCGGTCCTCTACATTCTGGCGAACGACCTCGTCATGGCTAGGCGGCAGCCGCTCGTTCTGCAAATCAATTTTGCGGGCATCCTCAAATGTGCTGATGGCATTCTTAATGCCCTCGGCACCAAGCATAAGCGTGCCTGCCGGCAGGCGACCGCCAGAGACCGTCTTAAGCTCTGTGACACGCTCCGACTCCTCTCGAAGCACCTGAAAGACACGTGACAGACGGCCAATGGCCAAAATCTTGTTTTTGATGGCCCGGCGCTTGTATTCAATGGAGTCCGGATCCATGTTCCCGAAGCCAGGTGTGGTGGGCGGGGATACCGGGCCCGGAGAGGCAGCCTCCTCCTTGAGCTCCTCCTCGGAACACGTGCTCAGAATGGCAATCAGCATATCCGTGATCTTCTCGCCGACGAACGGCAGCGACCAGGTGAAGACGTCCATGAAGTTGGGCAGCCAGTACGGGTGTGGCGTGCAGTTGAACTGGCGGATGTTCATCACGTTGTTCTCGTACTTCAGCACAGCCGCCTTGTTGTTGTACACGTCGAGGTAGTTTGGCGCCGAGAATATCGTCATGACGCTGGGAAAACCTGTCGTACGGGTCTTGCGGTACATGCGGTAGCCGGCGTCCTGCGCCTCGTGTGCGCGGATGATGGACAGCAAATTGTTCTTTTCCAAAAAGGCACAGGCAGCCTGGTACGAGAAGAAGTACGAACAGCCACGCACGTGGTTGTGGAGGAAATAGTCGCTTGTCTTTTCCTGGCCAAAGTCCTCGAGCGGGTCGGCCCAGAGGATGTCGCACATGAGGCCCTGTGTTGGTGGCTCGCGGAAGCGGTCAATCTGCAGAAACACAAATCAGTACGATGGCGAACACGGGAGTGCAATGGTGGGACAGCCGAGACCGAGTTGGCTTACCCGTTTCAGATCGTCCAGCGTGTGCAGCTCCGGGCTGAGACCGCCATGGATGCACAGGAACTGCTTGTTCATGACGGCAGCCAGGGGCAGGCAGCAGAAAGATTCCATGCATGCGTCATATACGGCCTCGGAGTACTTGTGCTTGCACTCAAGCTTGAAAGTGAAGTAGTCTGTCAAGTGACGGCACTCGTGGTTGCCGCGGAGCAGCCAGAGGGTGTTTGGGTAATGGATCTTGAGCGACCAGAGGTACAGCACGCATTCGATGCTAAAGTATCCGCGATCGACATAGTCGCCAAGAAAGAGGTAACGGGTCTCAGCCGGATCGCCGCCAACCTCGAACAGCTTCATGAGATCATAGTACTGGCCGTGGACATCGCCACACACAGTGATGGGAGCGTCCATCTCGAGCATGTTGGGCTCGGCACGCAGCAGCTCGGTGCCGGCGTGGATGATCCACAAGGCCTGCTCATCGGTCAGGCGGCCCTCGCGGTAGAAGTGGGTTTTCAGAAAATTGATGTCGGGCTTGGTATGGGACTCGTCCGTGAAGAACTGCTCGTCCGTCGGCTTGTACGTGGCCGGTGCTTGGACATCTAGGGAAGAAAAAGGGTCAGATGCCGCGAGGCTGGGACAGGGTTGGCCTGCCGGAGAGCAGGGGAGGCGGGCTGACCTTTACACACTCGCTCGAGCGTGCTGACGTTGGAGCCATCTTCCATAACGTGGATGGTGAAGTCCATCTCCGGCACAGGCCGCTTGTCCGTTATGGCACGAATAGCATTGTCGACCTGGATGTTCCGACGGTCTTCAGCCGGAGGGGGAGCGGGGGTGGGGTCCACCGGCGACGGCGTCACGGTGGTGGTTGGGTATTCAGAATCCATCTTGGAAAGGGCGGAGCTGTTTGTAAAATTCGAGCGAGGTCTAAGACGAGGCGGATGAGAAGATGGGCGGCGAGGCGACCGAGAGAATCACCAGGAAAGGCCGTTGAAAGCAGCGAGGCAACAAGGTGAGATGCAGGAACAGCAGGAATGTGTAGGCGGTTTAGGCGCGTCTCTTGAAGCTACAGCTTGCTGTCGACACGTCGGCCGAGGCGTAGCGACTGATTAGAAAGACCGCTCGCAATCGCCGGTGAAATTGATGCCAGCAGGCGGGGACAGTTGGCAATCGGACAGAAGGAGTTCGGCCACGAGAAGAGCAGGAAACAGATGTCGGCGTTTGTGTCTGAGCGGAGGAGCCGATGGGAGAAGAGGATGGACCGGAGGAGGATTCGAAAAGGGCGCAGGATCGTGTCTTGGGGGAGAGGAAGGAGAAAGGAGCGGACACATCAAAATATCGGCTGGTGAGAAAAAGGAGGGGACAGTGTCGCTTCTCCAGCGGGGCAGAAGCACGGCTGGGCTGAAATGGGCAGGCATGGAAAAGGAGAGCGGGAAAGTGGGTCCCAGCCTGTGGTTTCCCCAGCTGCTGATTCGACGACGGCCGAGTTGGCAAGAGACATGCGTCAATGGCAACGGTTCGCTCTGGTTCGCAGCGCGGCAACAGCAGCGGTTCTGGCGGCCATTTTAAGCCTCATGCATGTGGCATAGAGGCCGTTGAGAGAATGAACAGAGGGTCGAGGACGCTGCAGTGCAGACCGACAGTACAAGCACCACTGGCCGACTTGTCTTTTTATACATGGTACTCCGTATCATCGAATCGCTTCACCGCAAGAGAGCAAGCGAAGGAAAAAGGACCAGAAAAGGTGGCACAGGTCAGCGATCAAGTGTCTGAACGAGACAGACAGTTCCGTGTCTGTTTCTACGTCTCGGCCAATCCATCCTTGCTGTCTATCTACGGAGTACTTGTTGCTATTACTCGTCCTCAGATTATCCTACCACCTGTTTGAGGACCTGCGCACGTGGATAGTTCGTATTGCGCCAGCGCGAGATAAAGTCGTCGCGAGCGGCTGGGAGCTGTCAGCAGCGGAACAAAAAGACAAAACAAGCCAGAAAAAAGAGACGCAAAAGAAAACGAGAAAGACTGACTGTATCCGCCACAGATGCGGCGCAGGCCGACAAACGCGCGGCGGCCGTGCATCACGCGCCAGTTGTCAAAGATGAGCACGCGGCCGGGCGTCAGCTGAGTCCAGTACTCAACGTCGGGCCGCTGCAGGATGGCCGACCAGCGGCGGGCAGCATCGTACCAGCGGACGGGGTCGATATATCCGTCGAAAGGCACGACGCCGCGGTCGTCGTTGTTCCAGCGGACGCGATGGACGGCTTTTGCGTCGTCCAGCTCCAGCACCGGGTAGCGCTGGTCGGGCGCGATGGTGATGCCGGCATTGCCGCTGGCGTGCCAGGGCAGCCGCACGCGCGTCAGCACGTCGAAGGCGGCCGGGTCCTCGTGCTGCAGCAGACGGGCGGCGTGGAAGCCGTCGACCAGCAGCGACTCGCCGCCGAGCTGGCCTTGCTGGCCCGGTGGTGACTGGTGCGACAGCAGGTGGAAGGCCTGCAGGCCGGCCGGGTCCGTAAAGTACGTCGTGTCCGTGTGTGCCGGCAGGGCCAGGTTCGTGTAGGCCGTGTCGGCCATGGCCAAGTCAGGCACAAAGTCGTAGAAGCCACCGTAATGCGTCACCCGGATGAACGCGATGCGCTCCAGCAGCCGTCGAGTATCCTCGGGGTCGGCCGACGGCGTGCCGTCCACAAAGGCGAAGCCGAACCGGCGCTGTACAGACGAAGCCGCATCAGTCCCACCGGTCATCGGAGGGAAGAGAAAGGGGGAGGAAACGTACGATCAGGTCCGTCAGCTTGGCAACTCCCACGTCCGAGTCGGCCTTCATCACGCTATCATAGGCCACCGACGGCGGGTCCTGCTCGATAGACCGCCCCCAGTAGTGGAATCTGCACGTGTCAGTCCCTCGTTGCAGAGAGAGTCTGGATGGGCACATACTCGACCGGCTCTGGAGCCCGGAAGTTGTTTTCCTGGTAGAATTGGAGAAAATCCCACGGGTAGCTGCTCTTGTGATTGTCACCAGACCCTGGCCATCGTCAGCATTCAGTCGTTGCCAGGAGAGCGGTCCTTGACGGGTCTTACATGTCACATTCAGGCCCTTCTCGTCGGCCACCACGTCACGTGCGCGAATATTGGCCGGTATCTGCAGAAAGGGGGTCAGACTTGTTCCGTCTCGCCGGAGGCCATCCGAGGTCTGCTTGCCTTGAACGTGTCAAAGTTCCGCTGCGACGTGTCCTGATTCACGCAGCTTGCACACCGGCAGTTGTCCCTAGTTCCCACGCATGAGAAGTCCGTACGCCAAATTCATTCCAGAATAGGCAATACGATACATACCGGAGCCATATGTTTGGTCTGGGAAGAGAGTCAGCATCGGACGGGAGCAATTGGCTGGCCAGGGGCCCAGAACTCACAGCTCAGTACGCTTGACGGTCCCGGATGAGGCAATCTGAATGGACGCATCGCCAGCAGTCACTTTGGAATCACGGCTGAGCAGCAGAGAATACTGTCGTCCGCTGACCGGAAGCTTCCGTTGTGCCGCTTTTTGCGCCGTTAGGCGCCTCAATGCAGGCAGAGTAGACACAGCTCGCCCAGCGGTCGGCATGCGCAGGCCAAAACGCGCCAGAGACGCCAGAGTGACGGGAAGACGGTAGACGGCCATGGTATCTGAGCTTGTTGGAAGAGGTAGAATCAACGACTAACACTTTGCCATAGCGCGAGTTTCTTCTCTCGTAAGACTTACACCAAGCTTTCCCCACCTTTCTCGGCAATTCGCTCTCGCTGCTCTGCGGTTAGGTACGGTCACGTGCAGATCTGCCAGTGGGCGCTTCAGTGGGTCGGCCGCGGTTGGACAGAGCCGTGACAGCCCTCTTGTGAGACCATGCAGGGGCCGCTAGTGGACGAATAGCGCCAGCGCTTATGACAAGGTAACCATCGCATTCTGGAACCGCAACAACACATCTACAGCAGTCACGATGTAGAAGCTCCTTCCTGTATTTTTCATCCTTCATGCCTCCTGTGACCGGCCTTTCCCTTTCCATTCTCTTTCCATCTCAGGGACTCCGTACTCAAATTTTGGCGTCTTTAGCGAAAAAAGCCTCCCTACATCACGATAATCCGCAAGTTTTTGATATATCTTATTTCTCTTCTTCGCTTTCGACTCTCTGCTGGTCCCACCCACTCTTCACGACTCTCCGCCAACGTGGCATCGCCGTGACCATACAAGGGACATAAAACAGGCCGTGAAACAGCACCTGCATATAAGCGCCGTCCCGCCAGTGAAAGCCCGACGCAACTCTGCCCCATTTCACCACCGGCTGGTGCGAGTGCACAACGCTCAATTCGTCTGATTCTCTACTCTCGAGGCTATATCTTGCCCCTGTCTTGTGCTACAACCGAAATGCGAAGGGTCCACTCACAATGATGGCAAAGAAAATTGCCGCGAGCAGCAAGTGTGCTCTAGCCGCGGTCGTGGGCCTTGTATTGCGATGTATATATTTCCTCGTCCGATGCTGCACGGAGGATATAGCTGCATGCAGGGTTCTGCGTCTGTCTGGTTTTTGTGACACGCTTCCATCCTGCTTTGACAAAGCCTCTAGATGAGGCTTGTCCTTCCTGGCTGCCCCTCCTCTTCTCTTCATTTCATATACCTTTCTGTCTTCTTGCAGCTTTTCCCCCTACGCTTTCTGCCTCTTGATGCTGGAGTCGTGCTCACATCTTTTCGGATCTTTTTTCACATCTATCTATTTACTTCTCTTCACGGTTCATTTGCAGTTTTGCAGTAAACCTCTGAAATGCGGGCGTCTACTGTTTACTTCTTTCTCCTGGCTCTCGTGTTCTGCTTCTTTGAAATCTCTATGGGCTTGTGTATTAGCCATGCTGCTGTGCATACTCCTTCACCGGCAATGTCGTTGTCCAAAGCAGACAATAACACGGAATCCCCTGTTGCTTCAATAAACCCCCGCGATGGCGTCTATATCACAGTCTCGACTACCAATTTGAAAAGTGCAAAAACATCGAAAACAGCCACCACGTCCAAAACTACTGCCACATCAAAATCTACAACCACCTCGCATATTGCTACCGTCGATAGCACCCTGTCTACACTGGTCGTAATGACCGAGACACATACGACAACAAAGAACGCCGTGAACACTATAACTGAGTCTCTCCCATCCGCAACCACTTCTGCTCCCCAAACTACCTCTTCCTCGACTTCCAGTAAAGCCCCGAACCACCGCTCCTCCTCCACCGCCATGTTTGCAGCCGGTTGCTTTATGGCAGTTTTTTCTTCGGCGGTCTTCATTTTCTTGATCGCTCGGCTGCAGTGGAAGCGTATATCCCCGATTTTGGCAGCTGTCAAGATGCAATGGAAACGCGTGTTCCGGGCTCTGGAGGGCTGCCACCGCTGGCTAGTCGAGACGGCTGTGTCGGTGATGGCCAGAATGAAGAAATCTACAAACCAAAGCACCAAGCGGATCACCCGCTGGTTTGACTCTGACTTCAGGGACAAGAGCCTGCCGCCAATCCCGTCGACGACATCCGAACGTCAGCCATTATCGTCGGAGCCACTAAATCTGCTCTCCCCGTCGCCAATGTCGTCGTTTGTCCCAATCCGCGCACTAGAACCATCTCCCTGGCCACAGCCGCTTGAGATACGCCAGTACCCGTTTCACTATCGACCCAATCTAAGGCGTGAATGGCGAAACTTCCGCCCTACCGGGGAGCAGCAACAGCCTGCTGAGCTGCCGGTTGTTGAGTTGCCTGCATCGCCGGTACCGTTGCAGTTGCTGCAGGCAAGAGGACTTGGCGTGCATCAGGGAGCCGATACCATGGGGAACGGCTACAACTCGCTTGACGAACCGCAGATCCAGCAGGCCCAGCTACAACGGTTGCATCGTATACAGAATATGGTGCATGTGGTGCGGCCCCCGGCTCTGCAACAGTATCGGCCTTACCGAAAGCCGCTGCAGAGGGTTGCCTCCTGAAGTGTGGCAGTTTAGGGTGTTTCTGGCATTTCAAAAGGCCGTTTTATGATTATGACTAATAAATACCGATATCACCTAACAACCTGTTCATTTCTGCTATTTATGAGTAGTCCCCCAATTCAATATATGATACCCGGTATTATCGCACAAAAGAAATGGGTAAATAGCTGGCGACCAAACGAGGGTATGGAAAAGACAAATGTGAAAGAAAGTCTTGCAGACCAGACATGGCAAATGAACGAACAGATCAGTAGAACAACATTGCAAAAACAAAACAAAACAAAAACAAAAAACAAGACAGAGGAAAGAAGCTTGGGACCCTAAAGCCAACCCAACGCATATTGTATCGCTTGCCAGCATATATTTTTGATCATCCTACCAAAGCCCTTGTAGCAGACTAGCGACCCAGAATCTTATTCCAAATTGAACTGCTCTTCGGCTCCTCTATCACTGCCACAGGAGACACGATCGTTGTGTTCCATGTTTCAGCGCCATCGATAAAAAGACGGTAATGTAGATTGCTCTGGTCGCTCTCTCCGATGGTCTGGTTGATAGTGACAGCCCCGAACTTGCTGTTTCCCCGGTGGATATATCTAGGTGCCAATGTCAGCAGCCGCCTTCCTCTTCTCGTTTTATTACTGATGAGATTGATAGATACACTTACTCAAGCTTGACGTCCTCGTCGTCCCACTGGAAGTAGGAAGGGACTGGGGAATAGAATTGGCTCAGTGGGCTTGCCGAGAACTCGTGCACCGCAACGCTTGCAGGCCACTGAGAATTGGCCGGAGGGGGAAACTGGGTGGCTGCAAACTCATGCCGGTCACCCGACAAGATCACCACTCCAGTGCCACGCAGACCAGCATCCCACATGGCCTCGAAAATAACCTGGCGCTCAGACAGGAAGCCGCCCCAAGTATCGCGCCGATTGATGCGCCAGTTCTTTGTGAAGGGCACCGAAGACGCCACAATCTTCCACTTGATGCCCCGGGGCTCCGGCCGACGCAGATAGTCCAGCAAGTCCGCCAGCTGCTCTGCGCCCAGCATCGACTTATCCGTGCTGTTGAACGGCAGACTGTTGCTGGACCGGTACGAGCGCGTGTCTAGCATAAAGAAGCTTGCCGGACCCTGCGCAAACTCGAAATACGTTGCACCGGGACGCAGGCTTTGAGTACCTGCCTGCCGGGCAGCCGGGGGGTTCGCGCCTGTGTGGTAGTGGTGCCAAGGGTCGACAGCCGCTTCGTAGACACCGGTACTGTTTTCCGACCAGTCGTTCTTGATCTCATGATCGTCCAGCACGTGAATCCAGCTCAGATTTTGGCCCACGGCCTTCCAGTCCGGCGATGCATACACCTGTCGGTACTTCTGACGGTAGTCCTCGACCGACTTGCCCCAATAACGCGGCACGTCGCTGTAAATAAAGTCGCCCAGAAACAGCATGAACTGCGCATTGAGCTTCGGCAAGACGTTCGCCAAATACCGGAGGCCCGGAATGGCCAGCGGGTGGTCGAGCGGGGAGTAAGGCACCCGTGACAGGACGCATGAGGTGGTGACAAAGGTAAAGCTGCCGTTGAACAGGGCAGGTGCCTTGCCAGCTTTCGGACCAGCCATGAACTCGCCCGAGTGGTTGTTGGACGTCTTCCACTCATAAATGCGCTGGACCGGGTTCTGCAGCGGGACGGTCAACACGACAGTGTAGTCGGTCGAATTATCGGTCCACCGTGTGCCTCCGACCGTCTGCCAGACAGGGCTGTCAAATGGCGGCTGAGCATCCTTGATCCGGATCTGCATAGAGACGGGCATCTTGGACTGGTCCGGTTCGCGGATGACAAACTTGGCCTGCGTGTCCGAAATATACCCTGGGCGCACAAACGACAAGTCGGCGGCGGTGACTGAGTGCTCAGAGAAAAGGCGGTCGGCAACCATAGCGACCAGGGCGACGTTGATGGCCACAGCCAGAAGCGACAGCAGCTTGCTTGGGCTTGGGGCGCCCAAGAGAAGACTTCTCCATGGGGATATGGACCTCCTTCCGAGAATCACAGTATCGGAAACGTTCACCTCTCCCATCTCAGAACCGTCTCCATTCTCGTTCGTCACCTCGGTGTCGGTGACAATTATGTCGATCTCTTCTCCGACCACTTCGTATTTGGGCTCAGCCCAATGGCTGAAAATGAATGCTGGCACATTGACGGCGAGGAGGCTGAATATAACCGGGGGGACGATCTGCCGAGCGGTTAGAATTCTTCAGCCCATCGAGGCTCATCTCCCGCTGCCCTATGATTTCTGTAGATCGCAGATTAGCACGAGAGCTGACTTACAGGAGCAGAAACCTAACCGGTTTGGTGTTGTTAGCTAGTAGATCAGGCGAGAAAACCGGGGTTCCAACTGTGCTCACCCAACGAAGGAAGAAATACGATAAAATTCGTATCAAGATCGATGTGATCTGGGCGAGCGCCGTCTGGACAGCCATGGCAACAGCGCGAATTGATTGCCGTAAGGGGGTTGTTTTGAGATTGGCAACCGAAAGGCGGGTCTCTCTGGTCGACTTTGGTTGCTGTTGGTGAAAGGTGAGAATCAGACTTGCTTTCCGGTGGTCTTGCACCCCGAAACACAGTATCTCACTTTGTATCTGAGGTCGATGTCTTTGTAGGAACGGTGGTGCGTTTGTGTTTCACTTCGGATTGGCTGGCATGGACCTATAAACTGGCTGGTTGATTCGAAAGAACGGTGGCTTCGTCATCAGGTGCGCGTAGCGCCTAGCCTGGGCTCGGTGTTGTAGGAACACCGAGTGCTTCGAGAGGATTACACAGCAGCGAGACTAGGAGAGCTCGCGCTGGTTGTTGGTATTGTTCTGTGCAAAGGATATTTGGCAGGTTCCAAAAATGCCATGCGGGTGAGGCTTGGAATGATATCATTACTGGCTATGTAATATGCAACGGTCTTTTGCCAGCATGTAATTGGTCCAAGCTCGAATGCGATTCCGTTTGTAGGTCCCACTGTCTCCTTTTTTAGGCCCCTGAAGGTCCTTACATAGTAGAGCTCGGCCCTGGGAAATCGGATAATCCGCTAATAATTGTTAGTGCCAGCTCACGAATAGTCGTGTCAAGACCAGCTGTACGTAAGCATCCCTTTTCGCGTGCCACGGTTTCCAAAACTCGAGGCTCTCGTTCTTCCGCCTCCACCTTGTCCACACGACCGCCTTCTCGCCAATGCCATTCCGACCACACCACAAGTTACAATGAGGCTTTCGAATGTCATTGCAGGCGCTACCGCCTGGTTCGCGACCGACGTCGCGGCGACAGCGCTGACCTACAAGGTCACGGCGAACGAGAAGGCCTGCTTCTTCGCAGATGCTACTAACAAGGGCGAAAAGATCGCCTTCTACTTTGCGGTAAGTGCCGCGTGTAGCTCCCTTGCTGCGGTTTACGTCCGGATGCTGACTGCGCCTACGTATCTAGGTCCAATCTGGTGGTTCTTTCGACATCAACTATGAAGTGACGGGCCCTGCAGGTGGTGTCATTATCGAAGGCGAGAACGAGCGACAGGGCGACTTTGTCTTCACAGCCAACGAGCCCGGCGAGCACAAGTTTTGCTTCAACAACGAGATGAGCACATACACGGACAAATACGTTGATTTTGAGATTTCCGTACGTGCCTTGCGTCGGTCCTCTTCCGTCCCCAGGCCACCGCTAACAGTACAGGTGGAAAACGAAGCTCGCGTCCAGCTGCCGTCTAAGCAGGGCAGCTCAGACGAACAGACCGGCAAGATCGCCGAGTCTGTGTTCAAACTGTCAGGCCAGCTCACGACCATCACGCGCAACCAGAAGTACTTCCGCACGCGCGAGAACCGCAATTTCAGCACGGTCCGTAGCACCGAGAAGCGAATTATCAATTTCAGTCTCATCCAGTGCGGCCTTGTCGTTTGTATGGGCGCATTGCAGGTGTTCGTTGTTCGCTTCTTCTTCCAAGTATGTCACAGTGCCGCCTTCCCCCACTTAGCCCCAGCATCGCGACGAAGTAACTAACAGAGACACAGGGTGCACGGAAAGGTTACGTATGATCGAATTGGAGAACGCAACACGGGAGGGGGCTTAGGTACACATGGCAGTAATGGACGGCATGCAAGGCGTACGGCACCAGCTGGCGGGTTCTGGATTCGGTCTGTTCAAACTGCCGCCACGAAGGATAGTGGATTCTCGGAGCCCTTTTCGCGGTCTGGGGAGAAAAGTGGAGGGATGTTGTATAAAAGACGTATGTATCATGCACCGAACAGAGAATATGACCATCTTAACTGCTTGGCTGTTCATAGAGAACTTTGTATCTCCTGTAAGGGTCACGTGAATATGAACGAGCGCAAAGACGGGCGTTGATCGACGTAGTCCGTAGCTTCGGTGGAACTAACCAAATGCGCTTATAAACGATCACGTGATTATATGGAAGTGGACCCACTGGCACGTAGGTTGGACTTTTTAATGGCTGGATTTTCGACTGTTCTTTCGACGCCACAAATAGCGACTGCGGCATCCTGGAATCACCACGAGCGAGCCAGAATCTCGCGACACTGCACAGGAACGACGGCGGCAGACGAAAGATCGACGATGTCTTCAATCGCGGCGTCACTGGCGCAGGCGCTACCGAAGCCCAAATACTCGGGCGAGGAAGAGGAGCTGCCTTCACGAGCCGTGCCTCGTGGACCGCGTATCGTCAGCGCCAGCGAACTGGACGAGACACAAGTTGTTGTCAAGGTTTGCGCGTCTCCGGCCGATGCTTCCTGTGATGTTGAGAGAGTAAAGCTGACCTCTTTGCAGAGGGCCGGGCCGCCAGCATACGGGAGGCGAGCAGGATGGAGGCCGCGCGAGGCAGAGGATTTTGGGGATGGAGGTGCCTTTCCGGTCAGTACGCGATGGAGGACACAAATGACTCGAGGTGGCTAACATTTCTGCCGGGCTTTAGGAGATTCTCTTTGCACAATACCCGCTGGGCATGGGTCGGACGGAGAAGACGAAGAACAACGCACTCGCCGTGCAGGTGGACGGGGACGGCAAAATCAAATACGACGCGATCGCACGGCAGGGCCACACAGAAGGACGGGTGATCCACACGTCCTTTAAGGACCTGATTCCGCTGCGGCAGCGAGCGGAGGCCGGCGACATCAATCTCGAGCGGCCAAGCCAGGAGGAGGTCGAGGCGACGGCAGAGCGGACGAGGAACGCGCTGGCAAAGCTCGTGAACGGCGCGGTGGCGGCACAGAAACCCAAGACGCTGGCAGCTATGGGGGAGCGAAAAGAGGCCACGTATGTGCGATACACGCCAGCATCGCAAATGGGCGACACCTCACAGAAGGCCGATCGGGTGATGAAGATTGTTGAGCGGCAACGGGTATGTTTTGCTTTCGAAGGGAACCGCCTCACACGCACATCTGCTAACTCTGTTATCAGGATCCTATGGAGCCCCCCAAGTTCAAGCACAAAAAGATTCCGCGCGGTCGTAAGTCTTCAGTCAGATGCGTCTACCAATGTATCGTTGCTAATTGTCCGTCTCAACAGCCCCGAGTCCTCCACCGCCGGTGATGCACAGTCCGCCTCGCAAATTAACGGCGGCCGATCAGGAAGCCTGGAAGATTCCACGTGAGTCCGAGGACGTCCGCATGCCTCCTTGAGACAAATCTAATGTGGTTGTTGCAGCACCCATTTCCAACTGGAAGAACCCCAAGGGATTCACCGTTCCGCTGGACAAGCGGTTAGCGGCAGCCGGTAAGGGCTTGGAAGATGTCACGATCAACGACAAATTTGCACAGTTTTCGGAGGCGTTGTTTGTGGCAGACCGACACGCGCGTGAGGAAGTGCGGCAGCGGGCACTGATGCAGCAGCGGCTGGCAGAGAAGGAGAAGCTGCAGAAAGAAGAGCAGTTGCGGCAGCAGGCGCAGCTGGCACGAGAGGAGCGGGCAAAGGCGATGGCACCACGGCGAAACGGCGGTGGACGAAGGCGATCGCGGTCACGGTCGGGCAGCTACAGCCGGTCCGAGTCAGACTCGAGATCTGGATCAGATTCCGGCACAGACAGCGAGGAAGATGCGGTGCGCGAGCGTGAAGAGGCACGGCAGGAACGGCGACGCGACGAAGAGCGGAAGCTGCGGCAGTCTCGGATGGGTGCTGAGCGACGGATGCAGGTGTTAGCACGGGAGCAGAACCGGGACATATCGGAGAAGGTGGCCCTAGGACTGGCGAAGCCGACGGCGTCCAAGGAGGGCATGTATGACTCGCGGCTCTTCAACCAGACGAGCGGATTCGACAGCGGCATCAACGAGGACAACCCATACGACAAGCCGCTGTTTGCGGCGCAGGACGCCATCAGCAGCATCTACCGGGTGCGGACGCAGGCGGGCGACGAGGACGACGAGGACGCGGCGGCGGGCGATGCGGAGATGGCCAAGATCCAAAAGACGAGCCGTTTTGGCGAGGCACTGGGCCGCGGCACATTCAAGGGGGCGCGCGAGGTGGAAGCGCGTGAGGGCCCGGTACAGTTCGAGAAGGAGGTCGCTGCACCGAGCGGAGCGGATCCGTTTAATGTCGACAAATTCCTGTCAGAGGTGGAGCAGAGCTCGGCCGGAAAGCGTGGTTACGGACTGCAAGAGGAGGGTGGATCACGGCAGTCGAAGCGGGCTCGTGTGGACGAGGACGAAGATTGAAAGGGAAGACGTGCGAGAAGTGCGAGAAGACGGAGTCTGGATACATACAAATGGGGGTTTGTGCCTGCTGTTGCTAATGTTTGCTCTTTGGGGCTGTGTTTCTATCTTGTTTTCTCTGCTTGATTCTTGCGATCATCCGTCCTTTTGGTCGGCAGCATGGTTTAGGGCACACTGAGCATATGAGTGTGCAGAATATACAAGGGAGCAATGGATGTTCTTACGAAGCCAGCAGAAGAGTGGCATAGCTGATCAGTATACCATATCAACTTGCCAGCCAATTAGAGACACAGGATATTAGCCCCTTTCTTCGTCCCAACTATGTCTGGAGTTGCTCCTGTTTGCCAGTATATTTGGACGTGTACAGCGATTAGTCCCAAGCAGCCGGTGGCCATTTCCGCTCTGTGTATTCCGTACGTAGTGTTGTTTAGACCCACAAGATTGTTCCTGATGCCACGTCAACGACTACTCGGCGTCGACGCGTGGCAGAGGTATCTGAAACGGATTTGCAGATTTAGGATGAACCAGTGGCTCTTCTTCTTACACTCCCTTATAAGGCTTTGAAGAAGTGCGGCCGTTGGTCCAGGCCCAAAACGATTGTCAGTCAGCAGACCCCAACAACCTCTGTTCGTGCCAGCCCTTACTTCATCTACGATCCATACAGAGCCTTGGCAAGAACATCGTGCCCTCTTTCTGTCCTCACAAACCCGCCGACTGTGTTGAAGGATATGATTAGTCAGCTAACAGAAGCAAAATGATGACAATCGGCAGGGGGCCGCATGTAAGTCGCCCCCGCGAGACGGCCGCATGCTAAATATTCCCTGAGCAGCAGCTGGAGCGCGCAGGCTCTCAGATCTAGTATGTGAGTGCCAGAGTCAGAAAACTGGCTTGTCTTAAAGCTTGCCGACGACGACAAAGCCGGAGTCGACCAGTCGCTGGATAGTGTCTGTATTCTTGGACCGAACGGAGTGTAGCGAGGCGTAAGCGCCCGAGGAGGCACCAATGATATATTTTATGCCGATTCTGGGACCTGCATAAGGCTGCAGCTCCGTCTTTGTATATGCAAGCCGCGACTTTTTAAAAGCCGTAGGCAGAGGCATTGACGGCTGGACTCTGGCCACAGATCTCCTGTGTCATGGATGATATGCTCTGCCACGAGAAAATGCAACACGACGGCACTCATGGGCCGTTTTGGTCTGTCTGAACTGTGGCCCCTGAGCACCAGGAAGGACCGAGATCAGACATCGTCAGCTCTGGCAAAGTCCTCTACTTGAGGCTCGGACCGTACGGCAATATCGTTGCACAAACAAGGGTCAAAATGGTGATAACTTCGATAGCTTGACCGGCATTAAAGCCGCATCTATCTCAGAACACACTGTCGAACGGTCTTGAGGGCGGAGTCGGACAATATGAACATAAGAGTAAAGAAGACATCCACATCTCACTGTGGCTGATTTCGGCAAGAACATTGCGCAGATGCTTTCCAGTCGCCTGGTTACCTCTGACAACGCTAAGCTCAAGAGTGCTACGACATTCTTCCAGCATATATCCAGCATATTTCCGGCGGGGTTTAGCGTCGTATAAGTCATCACACGGAGTATTTATAGATCTGGTCAGGTTCCGAGTGCTCCCAAGTCGTCAAAGGTCCGTGTACCCAGGAGTGGCGACACATGTACTCCGTAACGCCATACGTTCTGGTTCGGTATCATCCAAGCATCAGAAACCCGAGTCAATTCAACGGTTCGGGATGTCATGTCCTTTCTAGGATCGCAGAGCGAGCTATAACATGAGTGCAACTGTGAGGCCGTATAGAAACGGCTGGTGTCGTCGATGACTGTCCAATAGAGAAAGCAGGCGAGTCCTCGTCGCCAGACTTTGGGAAGGAGCGATCAGACGTTGTTTTTCGCCCTTTCCTCCTTGAGAGCGGTGGGGCTGCTCATATCTTACTTAGCTCAAGGCTGCTTCAGGTAATACAGCCCGTTGGTATTTCGTACAGGTTTTGGAAGCCATCGCCACCTGCGAGAGACCTGAGATACAAAGCCCGCAGTAGTTGGCCGAGCCTAGAATCGCCATGCGTTGCCTGCCCTCGACAGCCACGCTACAGTGCGCCAGACTCGGCTCGGCTCCACTACAACCCGCGACGCAAGACTAGAGTCGAGACACGAGATGTTGCTATAAGTGAGCCGCGTGTCCTTGTGGATGCAGCTATTGCCTTTTTTCGCATTCTCTTATCTTCGAGGTAATCTACCGCAACAGTCGTTTCGAAACAGCAGCTTCTGCTCGTCCGCTCGCTCAGACGTTCTTTGCTTCCATCTCTCGTCCCCGATTTCGTTTATCTGATCGGCAGCCTCAATGGACGCCTACAGAGGCTACAGTGCGCCGTGGTGGGATGTACGATTCTGGTCGAACAAGATATGGGCCGCGCTGGTCGGAGGCCTTGTCGTGATCATTGTCATTGTCGTCCCGGTCGCCGTGGTCGAATCTCGCAAACACAGCAAGTCGGCCTACCCAACGTACAGCAAGATCAACTACACCCTCTCAGACACATGTAAGCAGTCGCTACCACCTTTCTCTCGTCGACGTCACTGCTGACACGACAAGACTCGGACGAGAACTTTTTTGACAAGTTCGACTATTTCAGCGGATACGATCCTGCCAATGGCTTTGTCCATTATGTGCCTCAGGGTACGGCCGAAAGCCTGGTACGTGAATTCCAGATGCCGCCGTACAGCCACACAGACCTGACTTTCCCCCCTATCTAGAACCTCACGAGCGCCTCGACGTCTGCGGCTGTCGTCCGTGTCGACACGTCTGTCGGGAACACGTCGTCTCCGGATGCCCCGACTGGCCGCTTCTCCGTCCGGCTCACGTCCAAGACCCAGTACGACAGCGGGCTCTTCATCTTTGATATCAAGCACACACCCTATGGCTGTGGCACGTGGCCAGCATTGTGGCTGTCCGAGTATGTACCTTTTTGGTCTTTTTCTTCTTTCCTTCTTCCCTTCTTCCAATCTTCCCTCCGCTGACACGACAAGCCCAAACAACTGGCCCGACAACGGCGAGATCGACATCATGGAGGCTGTCAACCAGGGCACGTCCGGCAACCAGGTTACGCTGCACACCACCGACGACTGCACGATGAAGTCGGTTGAGCGCATCATGTCCGGCACCGTCGACCAGGCCGACTGCCACAACACGACCAACGAAAACGCCGGCTGCGGCGTCACCGGCAAGAACTCCACGTACGGCCCGTCGTTTAACGACGCTGGCGGCGGCATCATGGCTGTCGAGTGGCGCGATGCCGGTATCCGCGTATGGCAGTTTGACTCTGATGCTGTGCCCTCGGACATCAGCAACGACGCGCCCGACCCGAGCACGTGGGGGACTGCTCTGGCCGACTTCCCCGACACCAAGTGCAGCATCAGCAGCCACTTCCGGAACGCGAGCATCATCGCCAACATCGACCTGTGTGGAGCGCTGGGTGAGGCCAAGTACGCCTCGTCAGGCTGCCCGAACAACTGTGTTGGTAGCCACACGTGTGTCGGTGGCTACACGCCCACAAACTGCACCGATTACGTGGCCAACTATCCGAATGCGTTCAAGGATGCATACTGGGAGTTTGGCACCTTTAAGGTCTTCCAGGCGAGCTCATAGGCCTGCTGGAGCTGTATTGTCTGTCTGATCTGTCTGTTCTGTTTGATTTCTCCTGTTAGGCCACAACATTGTCCGAGTTTGATATACCACCGTCGATCAAGAGAAGAGTTTTGATTTGTTATATGATTCCCGTCTATGCCAAGAAAACGCCCCATCCAGCTTTGAGTTTCAATGTGAAATGACCAACCCGCTTCTATGTGTGATTGTATGGCTCTGCACATGAAATTATATACATACATCATCGACCCCTAGTCATCGCTCGGCGGCATCCGCATGTACGCGTCAATGGCTGCCGAAAAAGCCGCGAAACCGGCGCAGCCGATCGCCGCCGCCTGCGGACCACCGTTGCGTGCCAGGATCGCGCCCGTCAGACAGCCGGCCGCCACGCCGTTGCCCATGTCGTTCTTGGCCCGCAGACCCTCGATGCCGCACTCGATGCCGGAGAAGAGCGCGCCGACCTTGCCAAAGTTCTTGGCCGTCGAGTAGCTGCGCGAGCCCATGTCGCGGAAGCCGTAGGCTAGCTGCTGGCGTAGTGGCAGAGACGAGATCGTCTCGGGCGTGAGCACGGCTGCTGGTGCCGCCTTGGGCAGCGCCTTTGCTGTCACTGTTGCTGCCGTCGATGTTGTTGTCGATGCCGTCGTCGCTGCCGTAGATACAACTGCTCCTGGTACGGCTGGCTTCCCTGCTGCCACTGCTGCTCCTGCAGCTCCAGTAGAACCTGCTGCTGCTGCTGTCCCAGTAGCTGCCACAGCTCCCGCTGCTGGCGTGGGTGTCGGCACTGCCGTGTGGTAGGGCGTGTCATACGACATCTACGGCACTGGTAAGAATGCACCCCAGCTTCAAAACCCGCTCCTGACGACGTACTGATGCCATGAACATGCCAAATATACCACCAAGACCAAATCCAGCCACACCAGACATGGCCGTCTTAGCAAAGCACGACTCCATCAGCGCTTGGACCTGTTCGTGCAAACACAGTCAGACCAACACATCCAAATCATAAACATCAAGCTCTCTACCCGGATCGCAGCATCTTGTCTCACCCTCTTGACATTGGGGTCGTCCGCACCGTTTGGCCCGCCCCCAGTCGGAAGGCCCGCCCCTGGGAAGTTCATGTCGCAAACGAGAGGCGTACAAATGTCGAAATGACAGAGGCGACCTGAAAAAGAAGAAAAGGCCGAGACAGGATCGAGCGAATCTTCTGCGTTGCTGTGACCCTCAGTACAGCTAGTTGTATGGACTGGTCTTCCTTCACTGCGACAAAAGTCTTATCGACTTGTTATTTCTGCCGCAGCTCACCGCCCAAACTATCGCCTTCGACGCCGCCGAGGCATCATTGAAATGCAAGCATCGCGGAATATACAGCACATGGGCTCCAACTGTATTTACTGGTACTTTGTGCTAAGAGATGGCCTTTTCCCCCATCCTACACCCTGTATTCACCAACCGCCGTTTAGTGCAAAAACAAATCCTCGATCCCGTTACGCAGGCCTCTTGATCTATCAACATGGTCAAGCCCCAAAAAGTCGTCCTCATGGTTCGTGAGATCCCATAGAATGTCATCTATAACATGTTAGAACTCGGCCGCTCTCGCGTAAAAGAAATTGTGCAAGCTCACCATCTTCCAAATATTGTGGCTTGGAATAGGGCATCCGCCGCACGAGAGCAAACTTGATCTTCTCAAAGCTCTTGCCCTTGAACCCAGTCCGTATTTCGAGTCTCTTCTTAGTCTCAGAAAACGGCTCACCCTAGACATAAGTTAGCTTTGGCCAGTGCTGAACCACTCATCCGCTCCTGGGCTCTGATCAGACGTACCTCCTTGAGCAAAAACCGGAACGGAATGCCGTGAACCTTGCTCGGGTCGTTGTGAAATTGGAACACCTGTATAGTCTGCGCATCCTCGGCCGCCTCGACCTCCTCTTTCGGGATTCGTTCCGCTACAATCTGCGAGTAGTCGTTCAGACTCACAACCGGGTAGTCTCGGGAGAGGTCGCGAGAGAACTTCATGCCGCTTGTCTCATAGACGCGGATCTTTCCACCTTCCGCCTCGCTCGCGATTTTGGCTTTTCGGACGAGCGCCTCAATGAGGTCCTCAATCGTGCAATTCTTGCTGACGAAGAGATCAAATGTTTCCTGTAGTACAACGGAACGTTAGCGTCTTCCCGGCCATGGATAATTCGAATTTGGACTTACGTCTTTTGTGATGCCCTCGCTCAGAAGGATAAGCCTAATACCCTTCTTCGTTTCCAGCTCGGCTAGGCTCATCTCGAGAACCTCAAAGTAGAGAGCGTCTGTCTTCTGAGAAGTGCCCAGGGAGGCGTAGCCCTGCGGAGTAAGAATGGTGTTGAGATTTTGGGCAACGCTGCGCTTGACAACTGTTCTTGGAGTTCCCGACGCGTTGCTGTTCACAGTGTAGAAACGCAGGTGTGTTGGGTCGACTTGGAGTTGGTTCCCGACCCGCTCTGATAGCTGGTCGTACGTCATACGGATGTTCAGCATGAGGGCGAACGGACCATATGCTTCTGTATCACACCGTGTAGGATGAGGCATGAAGTGGACTTGTCGCTTGTTAAGCAGGAACTCATAGTATCCCTTGGCATCGGCGAACCAGTCCCATTTCTTGACACTGAAACAAGTGAGTTAGTAAGAGAGTCCCAGAACAGGTGTGAAATGCACATACACGCTGGAGGACTTGTCCCCTGTCGATGATTTATCACTGGTAATCTTATCCAGGAAATGACCCGACGGTTTCCGGTCCAGCTGGCGTTGAAAGCAGATGATGTCTCCATCTTGCAGCTCTGCAGCCTTCAGGGTCTGCTTCAGCTTCAAAGACTCGATCATGTTCGGTTTGATCTCCTGTATGTGATATCAGCCAACACCGCTCTCAATGCATTTATTGCAGCAAGCGAAAAGACGACTTACCTCCCAAAGCAAAATCTTCTCACCATCCGACAGCTTGTCACCCCATCCCATCTTCTTCATGATCAGGGGAAGCAGCTCCTCCACCTTCTTTTCCTTGTTCATGTAGACATGCCCGACACCGCTGATTGTCTGCTCCTCAACGTTGAAATATTTGAGGAAGATGAAGATGAGGTCGTTCCTAACCACCTGCCCGTTAGGCTGACTCTGGAAGGTGGGCCAAATGGGCTCGCCATCAGGTCCAACCTCGTCCGCCACCTCAGCCCATACGCGGAGCATGTTGTCTCTGTGAGAAGCTATGCGCGTATACGTCTCCTCGACAGTCAAGTGCACATCCATGATTGGCTGATCTGGCCGGATCGTTTTGTTTTGGCGATTGACCATTAGCCATAACCTCACTTTCTTGGGATTCTCGCTCATATCCGACGCGATACCAGCAATGGCCTCCTGGATCGTTGTCGTACGCAATATCCTGTAAACTCTAGGGGCAGCAGGGTCTGAGTCGGGGATGGCGTCGAAGTTGGTCAGGTCGAATCCGGAGTGACCGCGGAACGTGTCGGTTGAGATGACCTTCATGCCAATGTACAGGTGCTGTTCGTCGCGCTCCTTGCGCTTGGCCTCGCGCGCTGCAGCCTCCTCGAGGAAGCGGTTTTCTACCAATGTCAGTACTCACCAACCCCGACTGGCAGGCAGCTGTGAATGATGCAGAAGGAGAAGACGTACGGATGTGGCTGGGAATATCGGTTTCGGTAACGGGAGTCAAGACATTATCGACCCGCGATTGGCGAATGTACACCAACATGTAAGCGCTGTTTGGACGCATAACAGGCGACTTTTTGTTCGTACCAGGGCGCACGTATGGGTTTTGTAGGGGCGGGTAGGCACCGCCATAGTTCTCCTCTAGGACTTCTCGCTTCGTAGCTTTTGTCACCTTCTCGTCGTCATACCTGTAGAACCACCCGTCCTTCTTCGGCTTCAGGTATGCGTAGTAGTGACCGGCGTCTAAGTCTCCACTATGCACGAGAACACCGTGAAGCTGGTACACCCACGATTCAGAGCGGTCGGCGTCCTTGGCTAGGAAGGGTTCCACGTCGAAGAATTCGGGGAACTCGTGTCGGTCGTTGACCTTGATCGGCGCGTCTTTGTAGTAGTCGTACAGGAAGCGTTTCAGTTGCAGATGCAGGACATCAGGAAAACTCTGGAAGATGACGCCCTTGTTGGCGTCCTGCAGCTTGTGCTTGTCGCCGGCGAAGTACTTGTTGTCGCCGTCCATTCTCTCAACGTTGATGTAGTCCTCGAAGCTCGCCTGCAGATCCTTGTTCCCCGTGACATTTAGCTGGATGTCCCAGAAATCCTCGATGCGACTAGACTCATATTTGACGTTGATGCAGGAGATGTACGTCTTGACCTTGCCACAGAAGATCTTGGCGAGGAAGTTTTCGCCAGCCGTACCCTTCATCTTCTCCTCCATGCGCTCCATAAGCTTGCGACACAGCTCCTGCACATCCTGTTGCACATAGATATGCCTTGATTCCCAACCAAAGGACTTTGTCAGTTCATTGGTGCTGACATCGGTATTTGACGTCTGCAGCTGGTAGAACAGTCGCTGCAGTGTGTACGCGCTGTTGCTGAGACTCTCTTCGGTCTCAGTGGGGATTTCATAGATGGCCTTTGGTGACATGTTAGCAAGGCAGCCGCGAGCGGGACACCAGGCCTGAAATATCGGGACACGACTCACCTTTCGAAAAATGTTGGTGAAGTAGAGGGATTGTAGCAACGAGTTGAGGTAGCAGGTGGCGCCCTGGTTTTTCATACCAACATAACCCGTTTCCTTCTTGGAGTTGTAGTTGATGAAGCTGTGCCAGAGCGCACCTGTCTCGTCCTTTACGATGCGGACGTAGGCCGTAATGTTCACCGTGTCGTTTTCGATGAGAGGTCTTGAGCGGCCTTCGGACTTGTGGAGCATCCGGCGAAGCTCGACGAAACGGGTAAAGCCCCAGTCGCCTTCCTCCTTTGTAAAGCGGTGGTGTGCGGTGTGGTGTGTGTAGATGGAGGGGTCGTTGGGGTTCCAGACGACCAGGGAGAACTGAACGCAGCACACCCAGTCGTCGGGGATTTCGTTTGCGTCGAAACCGTGCTCTAGGTAGACGGAACAATGGTCGACGTTGTTGCCGTAAGGGAAGAGCAATATGCGCCTGTGAGACGTGATACCAGCTGCAGTCAGTATGCAGTCGCACCGATTGAAGCGCAAAGAGCTGGAGAGGACGGTCCTGAAGACCGGGTGAGCTATCATACCAAGGATATCCGCCAGCCTTGAAGACGGGCCCATGCTCCTTCTTACGAAGCGTCCGCCACTGGGGCACCGTCCAGGTGTCGATGACATCATCCAAAATGGGAGGTTCCTCGATCAACGGGGTGAGGATCAGTTCCTTCATAGCCTCGACTGATCATTGGACAACGGTTAGCACTGCAGAGCGGCCCAGCGTACCTCGCAAGGGGAGAGGCTAAGAGGGGTTGGCGACAGCGGAACGTACAGTCATTTGCGAGGGGCTGATCGGACTCTGTGTCCATGCCGATCGGGGCATCCGGAGTTGTATCTGTGGCTGAGTCGTTGTCGGATGTGCTGTTCACGGGTGGGCCGGTGAGCACATCGTCGGTCTCCATGGGGTACGGAACATCCGCATCGTGATTGGGATCCTGTTCGCGTGGGAGACCGAGGCCTGTTTTAGCGAAAGTCAAAGCACACTGTGGCGTGAAGCACATAGCGGGAGAGGGGAGAGACGAGGAAATAGGAGGGCAATGGAAGAGGTAGTATTGACAGCCTCAAGACTAAGCGAGCTGAAGACTGAGAACGGGCCAGGAGGAGGAGGGCAGGGCATGGCGAGTGGGGAAGAGGAGGTGAAGACGGACACGGACAGCCGAGGCCGAGACTCTGACCGGCTTGCACGTAGACGAGAGGGATAAGAAGGGCTGTCTTGGTGCTGGAGGCGACGATGTCGGAAACTTACCATGTCTGCTCAGAGAGCGCGCGGCTTTGCTGATGCTTCTGCCTGCCTTTCCTGGAATCTCTTGCCTTCTCGGTGGGGAGGAAAGAGCTAGGCGGCACGGTCTCGGAGGCCACCAGAAAAAAGTCGACGGCCTAGGAAGGTGGACAGGACGAGAACGACAGGAGGGATGATTGAGAGGTGGGAGACGCGACCCGCGATGGTGAGAGGTAGGTGCGAGTAGAGACGAGGCGAGGAGAAAAGTGGGAGGAGAAAAACAGCACAAAATGGACCACTCGTATTGGGGGGCGTGCGATGGCCACGGGCGTATGACAAATGGGGCACTAAGAAATGGAGAAAGAGAGTAAAACCAAGACGGGCGAGGACTCGCTTTGACGAGAAGTACGGGGGTGGTGCAGGCTGGTGCAGACCGGTGCAAATTGGTGTGCAATTGGGGTGGATGAGGTGCTGATTTTTTCCTGGGTTCTGTCTACTATTTCTGCATCTTACATTCTTCGTGCATATCGGTGCTATAGCCTGGGCGGAGACGCTGCTGCTGCTCCGCGTAAGCTGCTGCAGAGCACGGCGCGGATGGGAAGAGCGAGAGGACCGGACGACGGCAAAACGTGGGGAGAACAGCTAGACTACGGGTGCTTGTCTGCAGGAGCTCAGCGTGGACGAGGGCACGGAGGACAGGGCGACAGTGGTCAGTACACACATCAGAGAAATCGCTGCAACGGCAAAGCCTGATGATATCTTACTTTTTGCTTTCGGCTAGGCCCAACAGGTCGAACGGGTGGCCGCTAATACCGATTTTTCAGCGCATACCCTGGGTGGGGCAGGCATGAACAAGGTAGGAAAGACCCCGCCATGACGTTCGGGCAGGCTTTTCGTCCAGCGCTCTGTGCTCTGTGCCAGAGCTCAGTGGCAGTCTGTGCGGGCGATAAGACGCCTGTCGTGTGATTTGGAGCTGCCATGGAAGCGACCACGTCATCGGATTATCGCCTGGAATCAGGGCCGCCACGAGGCTGCACTACGCTGCAAAGGGACTATTGCACGCTAAGATCCCATCCTATTCTCATGGGTCTTGCGCCATCCAGATGCGTCGTAACACGGCTGTCGTTTCTCTCTACTGTCGTCTCGCAAGACCCAACGGTATCTGACCCGTAAAAGTGATCGATGTGGGGTAATTGGCAGCCTTTTTCCGCCACTAGACCTGAGGACTGTGCTGTGGGCCTGTGCTTCTAGGTGCTGAAGCAAGACCTCAATCTGTTTAGTCGACAACTGAGTCTCACCTCGTCTAGACGACAACACGCCAATTATTGTCTGCCTGGTGCTTCTTGCTATTCGTCGTGTCTTTCCTGGGACCTTACGGATGGCCAGTCCGTCAGGGCGGTTGCGCATCGCCTGCTGTCGTCCTGCTGCTGGCAGTCGCTTCTTCTGGCTTTCGGCTCTGCCTCGAAGGTCTCTGTCGACTTCTCCGGCAGCCTCTTACTCTCCTGACATTTCGAAATGGAGGCCCATCTCTGTTCTTGACGAGTAGGTTCCTCTTTTTTCCCTCTCTCCTCTCCTCATCTCTCTTCTTCCTCTTTCTCCTCTCCTCCTCTCCTTCCTCTCTCTCCTCTCCTCCTCTCCTTCCTCTCTCTCCTCCCCTCTCTCCTCTCCCCACTGACTCACATCGCAGTTGGGTCGCCAAGGAGGCCCGTCCCATCAGCCTCCGTCAGCTCATGGTCTTTGGCCGGTCGTTGACCGAGGCCCGGCTGATCAGCTCGGGCAACTATGTCCGTACCGAGCTGCCGATCCGGCTGGCCCACCGCATCCGCGACATCCAACAGCTGCCCTATGCCGTCGTGTCGAACCCACACATCAGCGCCGTCTACGAGCTGTACTACGACGCCTTTGACCGCCTGCGCCGCCTCAAGGAGATCCGCTCCCTCGACGACAACGACGCGCTCTGCACGGCCATCGGCCACACCCTGCAGGCCCACCTGCCCGTCATCCCCAAGCTGGCCATGGGCATCCTCGAGTCGAGCGGCCTGATGGGGCCCGGCGACCTCGACAAGTTTATGAACACCATCCTGCGATCGGTGAGCTGTCTGCGTGTCTTTGTGTCTGCCTCCCGCTCTAACACCCAGAGCGCATCTCCCGCCGCGTCATCGCCGAGCAGCACCTCGCCCTCACCGAGACCTTTGGCGCCTCCTGGTACTCGCCCGGCGCGCCGCTGCCCGAGAATCACGACTTTATCGGCGAGGTCTTCCTCAAGTGCGCCGCCCGCGACGTCATCGAACGCTGTGCCAACGCCGTCTGCGCGCTCGCCCGCAGCGCCTACGGCCCCCATGTCACGCTGCCGCGCGTCCAGATCGCCGGCCACCTCGACACCACCTTCCCCTACATCCTCAGCCACATCGAGTACATTGTGGGCGAGCTGCTGCGCAACGCCGTCCAGGCCGTCGTCGAGAAGCAGCTCCGCCTCGGCACCGGCACCCCGCCCCCCATCGAGGTCACCATCTGTGAGGCCCAGCAGCACATCATCATCCGCGTCTCCGACCAGGGTGGCGGCGTGTCCCAGGACATGCTCCCGTACCTCTGGTCCTTTAGCAAGGGCGAGCACTCGCAGCGCCTGCTGGAGAACCTGCAAAAGGTGCCCCGGATGAGCGCCACGTTGCAGGAGCTACAGACAGACGATTCGCACCAGCCGCACAAGCACGGCCATCGCCACAAACACGTCAATCCCGACTCGGACCATGGCAGCTCCCTCTCCACCCTCTCTCAGCGCCCTCCAAACCTGCGTCTCGGCATGGGGCTGCCCTTGAGTCGCGTCTACGCCGAATACTGGGCTGGCAGCCTCGAGCTTCACAGTCTCGAGGGATATGGCGTCGACGTCTTCCTTCAGATCTCCAAGTTGGGAAACAAGAATGAGCAGCTGACACGGCGGGCAAGCATGGATGCTGTCTAGACAGCCGGCCGGGGGAAAACAATAGGCGTTTGGGTGCTGAATATCATTTTAATAGTCGAAGATTAATATAGATCCATATACCAGCTAATTTCGCAGCTCGTGGCTACGTTTAAAAGAAAACAGGGCAGCCAATCTCATTATCTGGTATCATAAGAAAGACGGCCATATTACATCGTTACTAGGAACAGCAGCTTGGGAAAATAAATAAAAAAGGCGGAGGGATAAAAAAAAAAGGGCTAACAAGACGCAAGAAAACAGACACACGCACACACAAACGCAGGATAGGATGCTAGAAGAAGGATGTAGTGACAAAAATGTCTGGCCGGGGAAATGACCTCCTTTTGTTGAAAGTGGAAAAAGGAAATAGGACGAGGCCGTGCTACATTCCTTGCTATTTTCCTCGCTTCCGCTCCCACATACCCAGAGAAAAGCTTGTCCGTCAGGCCCGGTGTAGGGACAAACAAGAGAAACGAAATAGACGTGTTCTCGGTACGGGAGCCAGGTACCCGCACATGGCGAGCCTAGCTGTCGGCGCAGTGGCCGGTGTGGTTGGGCCGCCCTTAACGACGGCCGTGGCTGCGAATAGCAGGGCCCTGCAACGAGTCAAGCTCTGCTTCCAGTTGCTTGATCTGGGCATGGGTCTGCTCGAGATCCTTGTTAAGGCGATCGCGCTCTGCGATAAGCTTCTGCTCCCATTGCCGGAACCGCTGCTCCTCGATCTTGACCTGTTCGGTAAAACGCTTGCGCAGGGTCTCCTCCTCCTCCTTGAACTTGGGGTTGTCCAGCTTGCGGGGACGGGCCTCGCCGAACTTGCGCGTCTCCATCTGCTGTGCGCGGTAGGCTTCGTAGTGCAGCTCTTCGGTTGTGTGGATCAGATCCAGCATGTGAGTGCGGATCAGGATGGACCGAAGCTTCTTAAAGTCGCAGTGGTCCTCGTTCTCGACTTCGGCAACACCCCACGAGTACTGCCGGCCCTTGACGATGCGGCCGTCACCCGTCTTCACGTCCTTCTCTGAGCCGATAACCGCAAAGGGCATGGCAGCCATCAGGCTGCGGGCGTGCTGCGCCGCCGCCTCATCGTCCTCCTCGACGGGCGGCTGGTAGATCTTGATGCCCTGGGCCTCGATGACGGCTTGGATCTGCACGCGGTCCGTCAGCAGCCGATGCAACAGCAAAGCCAGTGTCCGATCTCAGGGGGGGCGCTGCTTACCTTCTCCTTGAACCGGGCCAGGTCGGCCGGGCTGAGCGTGTCGGCCTTGGCGATGACGGGGATCAGGTTGACTCGCGAGCAGAGTCGCTTCATGACCTCAATGTCCAGAGGCTTCAAGGTGTGGCCGGTGGGGCGGATGAAGTACAGGCAAGCATGGACACGCAGGTCAATCTTGTCCTGGCGGCGGGGCTGCTGCTCCTGGAGCATGTACGACTCGTGCTGGTCGTCGAGGAACTCGATAATGGGCATCCACGAGTCCCGGTTGTTGACGTAGTCGCCGAAGCCGGGCGTGTCAATAACGGTCAGACGGACTGGGCAGCGTTAGCATCGTGTCGATAGGGTAATATAAAACGTGCCGGACGTCATACCCTTGAAGAACTTCTCCTCCAGCTCGGCCTTGGTGATCTCGATCTCGACCGTCTTGTCGACCTGCTTCTGGTGGCGCCGCTTGTGGTCGGCATAGTTCTTGATGGTGGTCGAGAACAGGGTGTTGATAAAGGTGGTCTTGCCCAGGCCAGACTCGCCGGCAACCTGAAGACGAGAGAAAAAAGGGGGTCAGCCAAAAGAGCGGACAAGACCAGCAGCCGGGGGGAGACGTCTGCACGAGACGTCCGAACGACGGCATTCTTACCATGATGGTAAAGGCAGCTCCTCTCTTGGCCACGATCTTGTGCCGCTGGTTAGGAAGATTGGCGATGCCAATCGGCGAGGCGCTCTCGACGGTCACGGAAGCCATTGCGAACGATATGTACGGGGTCTAGTATAGATGGGGAAGCAAGGTCGGGAGTGGCCCAGCTGTGATGGTTCTTGGGACGGTGTGAAGCTCGATCGAAGCTCGGAGAGTCGCGATGGACAACGGTGAGGATGGCGGAGAGAAAAGGAAGTGGTGCGGGCTTGTTTCTCGTCGGGTTCTCCTTGTTTCTGCAGCAGATAGAAAAAGGCGGGAAGAAGAAGCTTTGGCGTCAGGGGACAGAAGCCAACGAAGAAGGGAAAGTGTTCAAATTTCCAGTGCGACGCACGGGCCAGGCAATCCAGGGGGGAGGGGCCACCAGTGGCTCCCCCAAGTGCCTTCCGTCCTCCAGCTTCTTATTGTGATGTCCCACGCTGGCTACAGGGTCCCCCCTTTTTTAGGTCGGCGCTGTATTACCGAAACGCAACGGCCGTTTAGGGCCATCGAGACAGCAGCTAGCTGGGTGCGCTACGAGCTAGCCCAGCTGGCTGTTGCACCTAGAGCCGGCACGGAACAATGTTTCGCCAGTCCCCGCTAAAATTTTGAAATTCTGCCGGCCTGGAGAAGTCGTACTAAAGTGTCGTCGCAAGAAAAAAAAACGAAATCTCGGCGCTCATCTAGGAATTCGGTGACGACTGGCCAGCAAGGATGAAGACGGATTTCAAGGTGAGCATGGGGCGTCTGTCCGCGGTGGTCGAGCATGCGGTGCTGACGTGATTCGCGCCCACAGTTCTCCAACCTGCTTGGGACCGTCTACTGCCAGGGCAACTTGCTATTTAGCCCAGACGGCACCCAGCTCTACTCGCCCGTAGGCAATCGGGTGACGGTGTTCAACCTTGTCGAGTAAGCGCAACCAAGCCAGCCCCCAAGACAGAGTGCTGACCCGGTCGCAGCAACAAGTCCTACACGCTCCCGTTCGCCCACCGCAAGAACATTGCACGAATCGGCCTCACGCCCAAAGGCAACCTCCTCCTCTCGATCGACGAAGATGGACAGGCGATCTTGACGAACCTGCCGCGGCGCATCGCGCTGTACCACTTTTCCTTCCGCACGTCGGCCTCGGCGCTCGCCTTCTCGCCCTCCGGGCGCTTCTTTGCCGTCGGCCTCGGCCGCAAGACTGAAGTGTGGCACGTGCCATCGACGCCGGATTCCAGTGCCGATGGCGGGCTCGAATTTGCCCCATTTGTGCTCTACCGCACGTACGTGGGGCACTTTGACACGGTGCAGCACATCGAGTGGTCGAGCGACTCGCGCTTCTTCCTCACAGCGTCCAAGGATCTGACGGCACGGATATGGAGTCTCGAGCGGGAAGAGGGCTTCACCAACACGGCGCTGCCCGGCCACAAGCAGGCCGTTGTCGGCGCCTGGTTCTCCAAGGACCAGGAGACCATCTTCACGGCCAGCAAAGACGGCGCGCTGTTCGAGTGGAAGTACCGGCGGCCGCTGGACATCGAGGCCGACGCCGACGACGATGACGAGCAGGCCGACGACGAGGCTGACTACCGCTGGCGGATCGTGAAGCGCAACTACTTTATGCAGAACAACACGAGCCTGCGGTGTGCGGCGTACCATGCGGCGTCAAACCTGCTCGTGGCCGGCTTCTCGAACGGGCTCTTCTGCCTGTACGAGATGCCCGACTTCAACATGATCCACACACTGAGCATCTCGCAGAACGACATTGACTTTGTGACGATCAACACGTCGGGCGAGTGGCTGGCTTTTGGCGCGTCCAAGCTGGGCCAGCTGCTCGTGTGGGAGTGGCAGTCCGAGTCGTACATCCTGAAGCAGCAGGGCCACTTCGACTCCACCAACGCGCTGGTGTACTCGCCCGACGGCCAGCGTGTCGTCACCACGGCCGACGATGGCCGCATCAAGGTGTGGGACGTCGAGTCGGGCTTCTGCATCGTCACCTTTACCGAGCACACGAGCGGTGTGACGGCCTGCGAGTTTGCCCGGAAGGGCAACGTGCTCTTCACCTCCAGCCTCGACGGCTCCGTCCGGGCCTGGGATCTGATTCGCTTCCGCAACTTCCGCACCTTTACCGCGCCCACTCGCCTGTCCTTCTCGTGCATGGCCGTCGACCCAAGCGGTGAGGTCGTCGCGGCTGGCTCCATCGACTCGTTCGACATCCACATCTGGTCTGTCCAGACGGGCCAGCTGCTGGACCAGCTGTCCGGCCACGAGGGCCCCGTGTCTTCGCTGGCCTTTGCGCCCGATGGCAGCGGCCTCGTGAGCGGCAGTTGGGATCGTACTGCCCGCATCTGGTCCGTCTTTGCTCGCACCCAGACGAGTGAGCCGCTGCAGCTGCAGGCCGACGTTGTTGACGTTGCCATCCGCCCCGACTCGCAGCAGCTCGCTATCGCCACCCTCGACGGTCAGCTGACCTTTTGGTCACTCTCCGAGGCCACCCAGGTGCTCGGCCTCGACGGCCGGCGTGACGTCTCGGGCGGCCGCAAGGCTTCCGACCGCCGCACTGCTGCCAACGTCTCTGGCACCAAGAGCTTCTCCAGCATCCGCTACAGCACTGACGGTACCTGTCTGCTGGCTGCTGGCCGCAGCAAGTACATCTGCCTCTATGCCGTCGCCACCGGTGTGCTGCTTAAAAAGTTCACCGTCAGCGTCAACCTCTCGCTCTCCGGCACCCAGGAGTTCCTCAACAGCCGTCTGCTGACCGAGGCCGGTCCGCTTGACGATTTGGACGATGTCGGCGAGGCTTCGGATCGCGAGGATCGTCGCGACCGCTCGCTGCCCGGCTCCAAGCGTGGCGGCGACCCGTCTGCCCGCCGGCGCAAACCCGAGGTCCGAGTCTCCGGTGTGGCCTTCTCGCCCACCGGTATGGCTTTTTGTGCCGCCTCCACCGAGGGCTTGCTCGTCTACAGCCTCGATGCTGTCCTGCCTTTTGATCCCTTCGACCTCAGCATGGAGATTACCCCGGCTGCCACGCTCGCTGTCTTGCGCAACGACCGCGACTACCTCACCGCTCTCGTCATGGCCTTTCGCCTCAACGAGGCCAAGCTGATCGAGCACGTCTTCCTTGCCGTGCCGCACGAGCACATCTCGCTCGTCGTCGATCACGTGCCCACGGTCTACGTTCCGCGTCTGCTGCGCTTCGTCGCCGCCCAAACCGAGCAGTCGCCGCACATCGAGTTCTGTCTGCTCTGGATCAAGGCTCTTGTCGACCGCCACGGCCCCTGGCTGACGGCCAATCGCGGCAAGCTGGATGTCGAGCTTCGCGTCGTCGCCCGCGCCGTCGGCCGCATGCAGGACGAGATCCGACGCCTCGCAGACGAGAACGTCTACACCGTCGACTACCTCCTGCACCAGGCTGCCACTTCGTCGCAGAAACTGCCTCAGATCGAGTCGGGCGCCCTGCTGCCCCTGGTGCCAGACGGCCAAAAGCAGTCTGAGGATCTCAATACCCTCGTACTGCCCGCCGTCCTCGGCGACGATGACGACGACGACGAGAGTGGCTGGATCGGAATGGAGTAGACAAAATAGAGGGGCGCAGTCAGGCGTTTTTTTTTTCGTATCTTCATGTGCGGTTAGCATCAATTGGGTCTGCTGGTTGGGTGTTGTCATTACAAGTCGTATGTCGATCAGTTGTCGCTTGCTCCATTGGCTTAACTTGTCTGTTCTGATTACGTAACGACACACCGCATGTGCGCACTAGTCCTGTTGTGGACAGGTGCAATTGGGCGGGGCAGCTTGGTTTCTTATACTCCGTACGTCGTAGCACTCAATCCAATCGTCAGTGGCCCCTCTCACAGAAAAGGGTGAAAAAAGCACAGACGACAGAGCGAGCCGAAGTCCAGGCCGGCCAGCACTGCTGCGAAGAGAGAACGCAACGAGCCAATTCCAACATGCCGTCCCAGCCAACGACGGCGGGGATCATCACTGATGCCAGCGGCGAGCGGCAGATCCCAGAATCGACACGAGCTGATGGCAGCACTCGACGAGCCATCAAGATCCGGCCAGGCTATCGGCCGCCTGAGGACGTGGAGCTGTACAAGAACCGCACGGCCGAGAGCTTCCGCAACCGGAACAAGGGCGGCGTGCCGGGGGCCGAGGGATTGGTCGACGAGGCTAAGACGGCCGCCAGTGCTGCCGCCAACAAGAACGCGAAGCGTAGGGAAGCCAGGAAGAAGGCGGCCGGAGCAGATGATGCAACAGGATCTACTGCTGCAGCAGCTGCTGCTGCTTCTTCTACCCCTTCTGCGGCCACTCCTCCTGTTCCCCCTATCGACCCAGCAGCTGAGCGCGAAAAGAAGCTGCGCGGACTCAAGAAGAAGCTCAAGCAAGCCAGGGAGCTCAAGAACAAGCGCGATGACGGCGAGGCGTTGCTGCCGGAACAGATTGCAAAAGTCATCCGCATCAGCGAGCTGATCCGTGAGCTCGACGCACTCGGCTTTGACTCCGATGGCGAGCCCAAGGCCGAGATAGCAGCCGCTGATGCCAAGGCAGCTTGAGCCGGCATTCATCTTCTGGCTCTGGCCAGAAGCACAATGAACAATCGACAGCCGGAGGCATCACCTCTCGTCGGCAGCCATCCATCCGCCTTTGGATTCGCAGTCTCTGATCCGAGCAGAGCCTTGAGCCGCCCCGAGGCATCGACCTCAGCCGCCACGACCGCCTTCTGACCGGGCAGTAGCCATAGCGGGAAAGAAGGCCAAACTCACCCAGACGATCCTCGAGCCTCTGACGGCACAGTTGGACTTGGCTTGGGTTGCTGATTTGGACACTGAAGTAAATTGGATACTAAAACGGGCACATACTCACGAATCGGTCTAATCAATTCCTCGCCTCTTTCTTGTCTTGTATCGTATACACATGCGCGTATTTCTAGTGGTCAGAAGCCCTGTGAACGTCTTGGACGGCACTCAGCTGCGTCCCTTTTCGGCGTTGGCAGCGTCTGCCCGCGTGCAGCATTCTTCGATGACGCGCCAAAACATCGGGATGTCCAGGCCGCGTGGGATGCGCACGCCCTCGGCTCCAGGTTCCAGCAGCCGCGCCACCGTGCGGCCGGTCTCGGTCGTGCCAGCAAGCGCCTCCTCGCTGGTTCCGTCGGTGACGACGCGCACGTCGAAGCGTTCGTGGCGGGACCTGTCGTCGTCCGTGTAGTCGTAGAACGGGATCTCAGCCGCGGTGCCGATCAGCACGGCCGCCACAGCCAGCGGGTCGTGTAGGGGGGGACCCTCGACGATGCCAAACACGTTCCTGGCAGCGTGAGCAAGGGCCGGAGCGGGAGAAGGAAGAGGGAGTCCAGACATACTTGTACGTGTCGGCAAAGAAGTTGAGCAGCTCTACCAGCATGGTGCGCAGGGTGGTCTTGCCGCCGGCCTTGCTGCTGCTGGCCTCCTTGCCGACACTCTCAGGCCCGTGCAGCAGCAGGTCCTGCACGGATGCTGTGGCAAGCACGAGATGCGTCAGGTCGAGCGGGATCAGCGTGGTCTTGCGGGCGAGCCGGGGGTTGTGCAGCAGCGCCGCAGCAGCCTCGGGGTCCAGCAGAATATTAAACTCGGCAAAGGGCGTCGTGTTGCCGATGCGCGGTCTCCCGTTGACGGTGCCAGCCACAGCCGCCGTGAAGCCGTCGCCGATGGCGCCGCCCATGATGGAGAGGCCGGCAATGTGCTCGACGAGCGTCGGATGCGTTGCAAACATGGCGGCCACGTTAGTCAGCGTGCCCGTAGCCACAAGCCAGGCTGTTCCGGCCGGCTCGACCATCAGAGCACGTGCCATAGCCTCAACTGCGCTCACGTCGTCGGCCGGCCGCCGCAGTGGCTGAGGCAACAGCGCCGTGCCGTCCAGACCCGTCTCGCCGTGGATGTCGGCTGCCGGCTCTCGCAGTGGTCGCCGCACCAGCGCCTGTGCTGCACCCTCGTAGACCGACACATCCTCCTCCTTGGAAAGGGCCGTCAGCACAGACGTCGCGTTCCAGGTCGTGTGTCTGTTAGAACCAGAGAAAAATGAAAGTAGTCAGCCTCACTGCTCCCCGCTCGTTCTTGTCGGTCGGCCATTGCTCACTTCAGCGACGCATTCCCGAACACGGTCGAGATGCCCAGCAGCCGGATCGATGGGTGGTAGGCTGCCAGAAGAATGGCAAAGACGTCCTGCGGTCCAGCATATCAGTCCATCAACTCGTTCCGGCCTGTCATCCCCCTCCCCGCACTCACATCGTGGCCCGGGTCGCAGTCCAGCCACACCGGTATCTGTTTCGCGGCCATTTTGCTAATCGGTTGGTTGCAGGACGCAAGCTTATGGAGGATTTTTAGCTGCGATAGAAGGCAAAATGCACGGCCAGTGAGCAGACAGAATTCGGGCTACAAATGGCAACAACGTTGCGGCGACGCTCCTTCTCCCCACAGTAACCTTCCTTCGCCTTTAAGGTCCAGCTTATCTCTGCTAGCTGCTGTGAATGTCTAAAATAATCAAAATAGAAATGTGGAGAGCCATCGAGCAATATCACAAATCGCAATGCCAATAATAGATACCTAATCTTCAGATATGCTTTAGTCTTCTACAGAGTGTTTGGTGGTATCCTGTGCCCCGTACTCCGTATTCCCTACAGCCCTCTTCAAGCCCCGCCAGCTCCCTTGCGCCGTTCCAACACCCGCATCACGTCCGCCGCATTATTGCCGTCGCCTTTCCGCTTCTTCGCCCCCCTCTTCCGCTTCCCTTTTTCGCCGCGAGACTGGCCGTCCTCGCCCTTGCCTTCGTCGCCCCACGTAGAGAGCTTGATGTCGCTTTCCTCCATGTCCTCGTCGTCCTCGACCCGGTTGGTGCCAAAGCCCATGTCCAGGTCCTCGGCATCCCGGTCGCTGGCCTGCAGCAGCTTCTTGAGCCGCTCCGTCCTCTCGTCCTCTTTGCTCTTTTCTTCCGACTCGGCTGCCTCGCGCATCGCCTTTGCTTTGCGCAGTGCTGACACCACTGCCGGGTCGTCCATCGACGGTCCGCTTCGCGACACCTCTGACAGCAACGTCGACCCTTTGAAATAGCTCTGCCGTGGCTGTGTCGGCTGTGTCTTCTCTTTTGAGGCGAGCCGCTTGTTTTTCGCATCTTGCGAAGAGTCGCTTGCCTCGCCTTCCTCTTTGTCTCTTGACGGAGACCTGCTGCTGGTCGCCTTCGTTTCTGTCCGGGCTTCCGTCTGTACTTTTGCTTCCGAGTTCGAGTCTGAATCTGAGTCTGAGTCGGAGCCCATGCCTGCCAGCGGATCGTAGTCTGCGTCCGCATCTTCAAAGATATCCACAGGCTTAGCTGCTGCTGCTGCCGCTGCTGCCGCCTCCGCCTCTTGCTGTTTTCGGTAAAACTCTGGCACTTCCATGCCGAGCACCTCGGCTCCCTCGGCCGGGGCCATTGCTTCGCGTTGTCTCTCGCGCTCCTTAGCTTCCCTTGCGTCTGTGCCTCTCGCCAGCTTCCGCACCTTGCGCTTCTCGTGGCCGTCCTCGTCTACAATGATGAGAACCTCGCGGCCCTGGCTGTCGTGCTCGATGCGCGATCCCGCCTTTTGTGGCGCGCTGATTCTTTTAAATCGTGACCCCAACGCAGGCAGCTCCTTCTTCTTCGCAGCTTCGCGAGCCGCTTTCATCTCCGCAAGAATCTGATCTCTTGTCCGTTTCTGTCCGGGGACGAGTCTCGTTGTCGCCAGCTGGCCCTTTTTCTTCACCTTTTCGTGCGTGATGGTTTGTACCTTGTCTTCAACCAAACGCTCAAACTCATCATCAATGTTGTCGCCCGGTTTTGCTGCGCCTGCAGGCTCGCCGTCTTCACTGCCACTCTTCTGCTCCTCGTCTTTTGTCGCCTTAACCTCCTCCCCAAACACATCCTCGCCCCTTCGCACTCTTTCCAGCAGCTTGAAGTCCAGGCCCTTTACAAGATGTGTGCTTGAGAGGTCGCCACCCGCAATTTCGAGCTGCAATCTGTCGTATGTTGCCTGGTCGATCTGCTCCAACTTGAGCGCCTCTTGCAACGCTGCCAGCCTCTGTTCCCGCTCGTCCGTGCTGTCTTCGCCCACTCGGGTCTTTGCGCGGTCGACGTATCCCTGAGCAAGCCGGCTGCCTTTGGGAACCGATGTTCGAACCTTCTTTTGCTTCTCCGTATCTTGGAATCGTTCTGCCATCTGCCGAGCAAAGGCTACTCTGCTAACGTTGCCTCCGGAACGACTGTTACGCAGATTCTTAGTACTTGTGTGCATTTCAAACAGAGGGTCACAAAGCAAAAGGCGCACTCACGGCGTCATCGGTATGCTGGACTTCTGTCTCGATCCTAGAATACCGGGGCTAGGCGACGCTGACGTTTTGCCTGCTTCATCCTTGGGGCCTCCTTGCTTGCCGGCGCCAAGCGCAAGCCGACGAAACTGATCATTGTTCATCTTGCCGGACGGCGACAACGGGTAGAGGTGGTCGTGTTGATGCGTTTAGAAACAACCCAAAGCTCTGAAATTCTGATGGCGGCTTATCGCAGCTCGTCGCAGCGAGATGGTCACGTGTTTTCGCGGAAAGCGGGGCACAGTCATCCCGTAGCAACTTCCACTTTACGCGATTTCGCTTATGACGCGATTCTCCTCCACATCGACACTTTGGTTATGCACATAATAAAGAGTCATGGTACTGTTTTTCGGTTGAACCTGATGTTGTACATCATTAAAAAAAATTCCAGATGCAGATGCAGCTATGGCCAACCAGTTGGATAAGAACTCAACGGTGGTGCGAAAACAGCTAGAAAAGCATGCATTTCTGGGAGACGATGGCGAAGAGTACGGCGCGAGCACGTTTGGGGAGTTTGGAGACTATTTTCGGAGAAAGAAGATCAAGCTCCAAAACGAAGACTATTTGATGCGACAGGCTGTGCAGGGAAGGCCTCAAATCTTCAAGGGAGTAGTGGCCCATGTGGCCAGCTACACCCAACCGCCACCAGAAGAGTAAGTGGGGATTCTGGGCACATACAGAGTACTGGCTATGATACGATGGTGGACGCCGTGCATTCGCTAATATGAGTACAGGCTGCGTCGGCTTCTAGTCTTTCATGGTGCCGGCTACATCAAATATTTGGACTATAAGACTATGGTCACACACATTATCGCTTCAACATTGCCACCAAAGAAGGCAGATGAATGGAGGAGATTGCGTGTGGTGCAACCGGCTTGGGTCGTCGATTCCATAGCAGCCGGAAAGCTGTTGCCGTGGCAAAACTATCTATTGATCGGTGAAGGCCCCCGGCAAAAAAGGATCCAACTTAACGACGGCGGGTTGGTTGTACAGGATGGCCAGGCCAACCAGATGGCTGGATATCGAGTCCAGAGCAAGGCCAGCTACTATACAGACGATATACAGAAGCATTCTACGGTACTGCAGAACGACGAGGTCCACAAGATCCTTTCCTCTGTACACGATGCCCACAGCCCAGAAAAAGGACTTGATAACCTAGACGTGGACATGGACATGTTGCCAGATGGAGATGACTCGGGCGAGGAGCAAGACGCCGAGGCCTCTACGGGCCTACTTCCAAGTCCGCAGAAGCCGGATGCCATGACATCAGAAGAGCACAATGCCTGGCTGCTGTCTGACCCCAAGATACGGAAGTCGTCTACAGCGAATCCTGACTTTCTCAAGCAGTTCTATTCGGAGAGCCGTCTTCACCACCTGTCAACATGGAGGGCAGAGCTGAAGTCCAAGATGCAGCGACTCGCAGCAGAAAAGGGGGCGACAGCACCTGCCAAATCCAGCAAGCAGAAACCCGGAGCCCGCCGGTATATCATGCATGCTGATTTTGACAGCTTCTTCTGTGCTGTCTCCTTGAAGAGTGCGCCGGAGTATGCCGGCAAATCTGTGGCAGTTGCTCACTCTTCGGGAAGCGCGTCTGAGATTGCTTCTTGCAATTATACGGCGCGGCATTTTGGCGTCACGAATGGCATGTGGATGAAGAGAGCCTTGGAGCTTTGTCCAGACCTAAAGGTTCTTCCGTATGATTTTCCTGCGTACGAGGAGGCGAGCCGCTTGTTCTACGAAGCCATCCTTCAGGTTGGCGGTGTTGTGCAAAGCGTCAGTGTGGATGAAGCCCTCATGGACATTACGAGCATTGTGCTTACAGCCGCTGGATCGACTGGAGCCGGTACTGATGAGGGCAGTATCTGGCGGGAGCAAGAGATAGCCGACAGCATAGCGACAAAGCTACGACAACGCGTCCTAGAGAGAGCCGGGTGTCCTATATCGGTCGGCATTGGTGGCAACATTTTGCTGGCCAAGGTAGCGCTGCGGCGAGCGAAGCCAGCCGGACAGTTCCAGGTGCGACCTGGGGAAGTGTTGGAGATTTTGGGTGGTCTGAAAGTGGAGCAGCTGCCGGGGGTTGCGCATAGCATCAGAGGAAAGCTCGAAGAGATTGGCGTGAAGCTGGTCAGTGACCTCCGCGGCGTGTCGAGAGAGCGTTTGGTGGGCTCGCTTGGCCCCAAGACGGGCGAACGGCTGTGGGACTATGCGCGAGGCATCGACCGGACTGAGGTAGGAGGCCATCCGGTGCGCAAATCTGTGTCGGCTGAGGTGAACTGGGGCATCCGATTTGTCAGCCAGGAGGAGGCGGAGGAGTTTGTGCTGAATCTCTGCAAAGAGCTGGAGCGACGATTGCTAAACGAACAAGTCCGGGGCAAGAACCTGACAATGAAGATCCTGAAGCGGGCTGCAAATGCACCGCTGGAGCCTGAAAAGCACCTCGGGCATGGTCGTTGCGACGTTTATAACAAAAGTGTGGTATTCGGTGTGGCAACGCATAGTGCCGAGGCCATCGGCAAGGAGGCTGTGTCGATCCTGCGGTCATTCCGGTTCAGCCCCGGTGACCTGCGCGGTTTGGGAGTGCAGCTGCAAAAGCTGGAGCCGATCAAGCCGATCAAGTCGATGGCAGCGGCGCCTGATGGGAGCCAGAAGAAGCTGTCATTTGGTGGTGCAGAGAAGAGGAGCACTGACGGCGGCCAATTGTCGCCGGGGGAGGTTCCTGCCTTGGCCAGCACGCAATTCGTTCTGCCTCGAGACGTGGACCCGAGTGTTCTGGCAATGCTACCTGCGGAGATTCGGCGGCAGCTTGTGGCAGAGCCAGAAGTGATTGAGTCCAAAGTAAGCGACGATACTGGCAATGGTAGAAACAGCATCAGAAGCACGAGCGGCCCCAACGAAAGCGGCAGCAGGCACCAATCGCCAATCAAGATGTGGTCCAGGGTGCAAAGTCCAGTGAGAGCAGCTGTGACTAGTTTTGCAACGGACGACATGCCAGCCGACATCGATATGGATGTGCTGGGTGAACTTCCGGAGGATGTGCGTGCCGAGGTGCTCGCACAATACAGGCAGCATCAGGGGCGCCAATCGAACTCGCCTGCAGCATCACCCCACAAGGAGAGGAATAGCACCAGAGGTAGAGGTAGAGGTAGAGGAAGAGGGAGAGGGAGGGGGAGGGGGGGGGGCAGCAAAATTATAGGGCAACAAGGCGTCAGGCGAAGTCTCTGGGGTACTCGAGGGGGAAAAGGTGCTACCGTGCTAACAACCCGAGAGCGACAACACGATGCAGCGGCCAATCGGGCTCAATCAACCTTTGTTGCGGAAAGTAGGCAGCCACACGCTGGCAGTAACCAGGAGACTGAAAATAACGGCACGCCACTGCTGGAGGAGCCAGATCCGGCTGTCCTGGCTGCGCTTCCAGAGGACATCCGAGCAGAGGTCTTGGCGGATTACCGACAGAGACGGCTGGAGCATCAGCAGGAGATGGCGACAAAGGGATTGCTGCGGTTGGAAATACCGGTAGTGGTGGCACGACGAGGAGCTGGCGATGGCGATGGCGGCGGAAGCAGCGTTGACAAGATGCAAGCGATGCTACAATTCCCAGCAATGCCAGCCAAGATGACTTTGGGGGCAACAGCGTCAGGATCTCGGCTGTTGTCTGTGCAGGAGACCAAAAGCATGATCCGAACATGGCACGAGGCTACATGCGAAGAGGGCCCACACGAAGCGGACGTGGAGGTGCTAGAGCGGTTTCTGGTCGGTGTCGTGTTAGAGGAACGAGACATGGACAAGGTGCGGAAGCTGATTGCCTGCTTGGAATGGCTAGTTGAAGAGGGGGTCGAGAAAGACGGGGAGGATGGCGAGGGAAAGAGCCTGGGAAGACGGGCCTGGCGGCTGGCTGTGACGCAGATGAAGGATGCAGTGCAGAAGGCGATGGGAACGAGGGGACTGGGGCCGATGCAGTTTGGATGAAGTAGAGAAGATAGATGAGGTAGATGAAGGGTAGAAGGAGGGAAAGAAGCGAGAATAAATCTGGAGATTACAAGTGGGAAGGTTATAAAAGATGAGAGAAAGACGATACAGAGAGGAAGGAGCGGGGACGAAGGAGCAGAAGAGGAAGGAACAGGCGTGAAATTGGGAAAAAACGTCTTATGCAACTATCGCATCTATATATTCTTCACGAAGCATAATTCCATACCCTACACAAGATGCACACCAGACGCTGTGACGATAGCGGCCAGCATTGCCCACAGCGCTCCATGTGCAGCGCCTCCAGTAGCAGCCGCACTCAGCAGGTAGACCTGCGCGGGCAAGGTCAGCGTCTCTTCTCGCGACGGGAGAGAAACAAACAGAAATAGAAATAGAAATAGAAATAGCAAAAGAGGAGGCGTACCGTCAAGCGGAGGTTGCCGCCGCACAGCGCCGAGGTGTCGCCATCGCAGGGCAGGTCGCAGTCGGCGGCGGGTTCCTCGGTGGCCAGGGCGGACAGGTCCTGGCCGCACCAGCACTCGCGGCCGTACTCGAGTCCGGCGTAGGGGTAGGCGGCCGAGCCGCAGAAGGCGAGGCAGAGCGGGACGGTCATGTTGCCGGGAAGAATCTCGTCGGTGCCGTCCTCGATCGAGCGGCTGCCGGGAGCCGTGCCGTTGGTGCCGGTGATCTCGAGGAAGCAGCCGTGGTAGGCGTACTGGCGGACGAGGCGGGACGCGCCCGTCGCTGCGGAGCTGTTGTACACGGTCGGAGAGGCAGCAGAGACGGCAGACGTCGCGGTCGAGCCGGCTGTCGCGGCGGCTGGGGTCAAGGTTGCAGCCGCAGCCGCAGTCGAGCCGGCGAGGACAAGGACCAGCGCCAGACACCACGACCACAACATCATTCGAGCCGGCATCCGCATTGGTCGCGGCAGGCGCGTCATGGATTGCAGGAGGAACAAGTACAGGCGGGCACCACAACAGCCAGATCGCTGTCGGAAAGACACGGGCAACCTGTTCTCTCGCTCGGACTGGACTGCTCTTCTTGCCGAGTCCTTTCGTATTCAGGTCTTAAAATTGTATTGGCGGCCTCTTATTGGTTGGTTCTAATTCAGAGTCCCACTTTTCTAAATGCGGCTGATCTCTGTCTGCACAAGGATATGAACAGATAAAATGACGAGGCCATACGGAGTACTCTCTCTCTCTGACAGGCCCTTTTCACAAGGGTTTCCGGATGAAAAGCATCCATCAGACGCGGCCTTTGTTCTGCTGGAAGGTGTTGCTCGTGCCCCAGCTGCCGACGAGGGCCATGGCGTCCTCGTCGCCGGGAGCGAGGCGCTTGTCGCGCAGAGCATCGGAGAGACAGCGCCAAGGGTCGCGGGCACCGCCCCAGCGGAGGAGGGAGTCACGCAGGTGCTCGCCGTTGTCGCGATGCAGGGCGGCGCCGTCGCGGCCGGCGGCAAAGACGTCGTGCCAGACGCGGTCGGCCAGCACGCGGTCGAAGAGGTAGCTGTAGTACGTGGCGCCATAGCCAAAAAGATGGCCGAAGAAGCCCTGCCAGCAGGTGCCGGGCGGATCGGCCGGTCCGACGGCGATGGCGCGCTGCAGGTCGTGAAAGATGCGAGTCGAGTCGAGGCCGGCACCCTCGGCAGCACTGGCAGGCAGCCCGTGGTACGCCTGGTCCAGCATGGCCAGCACGATCTGGTTCTCGTCGTCGAGACCGGCGAAGCGGCGCGACCGGCGCAGGCCCTCGGCGACCTGGGCGTGGTCCAGCGGCGCGTCGGTCTCGTAATGGCGCGCAAACAGGGCCAGGACTGAGGCGTCAGCGGCAAAGTGCTCCATCAGCGTCGACGGCAGCTCGGCGAGGTCAGTGGCGCAGCGCGTGCCGGCGACAGACTGCAGCGCCGTGCGGGCCAGGACCGAGTGGACGGCATGGCCCATCTCGTGGAAGAGGGTCTCGACTTCGTGGAAGCTGAGGAGTGCTGGTCTATCACGTGACCCGACACGTGACAAAAACCCACCACCACCGCCTGTACCGCTGCGTGCAAAGTCGCAGACCAGCGCGATCGTCGGCAGCTGGTGGACGGCGCCGTCGGCGGTGCGTATGGTGGCCATGCCATCATTGGCGGCTTTGGCGGGCGAGCCGAGGGCACGGCCGAGGTCGCTGTCGGCGGCAGCAGCCAGTTCGGCCGGCGAGATGGTGCGGGCACAGCGCACGGTGAAATGGGCCGGGTTGGGCGACTTGTCGTCGCGGTAGAAGAGGTCGCAGTAGAGGACGGCGACGTGACCGTCAGTGTCGGAGACGACGTCAAGGCGACGCACGTCGGGGTGCCAGGTCTCGCCGGGCGGTGTGGCGCGCGGAACGAGTCGTAGGCCATAGAGTCGTTGCAGCAGCCGCGAGAGGCCCTGCATCACGGTGCCGAGCGAGAAGTAGTGCGACAGCGGAGTGCCGTGCAGCAGCTTCTGACGCGGCGCAGCAGCATCGTCAGCCCGGCGCAAGGCGCGCATGTAAAAGTCGCGGTCCCAAGGGGGAAGGATGTCGGGAGCTGAAGCACTGGAAGCCCTGGCTGCGATCAGCTCGGCCAGCTCGCTCCGTGCCCGCGGTGCGTTGCTGCCCGAGAGCGCCAGCAGGAAGCGGCGCACCGACTCGGGCGACCGGGCCATCATGCGGTCGCGCAGCGCCATGTGGGCGTAGCTGTCGAAGCCGGCGAGGCCGGCGAGCTCAGCGCGTTGGCACAGAAGCTGTTCGAGCAGCTGCACAGTGTGAGGAGAGGCCGTGCGAGACGCATAATACACGGCTTTGCGAACGTCCTCGTCGACGACGCTGCGCAGCGCCAGCGCAGCCTCAGCACTGGCGGTCGGCAGCCGTAGGCGGCCACGGGTGGTCAGACCGCGGGCCACGACCGGATCAAGGCCGCGACAGGCGGCGCTGGGCAGGTCCAGACGAGCCTGAGCCGGCGCCATGGTCTCGACGAAGCGAGTGCCGACCTCGCTGATTCGCTGTGACAGATCGACAAAACGGTCGCGCGATTCCTGCGGCAAGTCCACGGCCGATTTGGCAAAGTCCAGCTTCAGCATGGCGGCCACGGCCTGCTCCTCTTCGCCCCAGCCGGCCGATGCGGCGGCGCTGCCCATGGCCACGTCCAGCTGGTCGGCCAGCACTGTCGTCGTGTTCAGCTGGTTCATATACTGGTATGCCGTGGCCCAGGCATCCGAGGCGGCCTGCTGCATCTGGCTGTCGGGCGCGTTGGCCCGCACAAAGTCGCACAGGTCGATCACCCGACACAGCAGATCGCTCAGCTGGTCCAGGTCTCGCACGATCGCCCCGTACTCAGCCGCCGACGATGCCCGCGCCACCTTGTCCACAATGCCCTGCGCCCGTCCCAGGCTGGCTTGTGCAAAGGCCAGAAAGCCCCGTGGCTCTGTCAGGTATGCGTTGCCAAACAATCCGACCGCCGGCCTGCTCTTGGCTGCCCGCGAAAACGCCGTCCATGCGGCCGACGAGTCGAAGATGGACCGCAGCATCGCGTCGTCGTCTCTCTCCTGGCCCGTGTTGACCCGGTGGTCCGTCGGCAGGGATCCTGCCAAGGGCAATGCAGACAATTCGCTCGTCTCTTGTGCGGACAGCCTGGTCGCCGTCCATGAGAGCGGCCGGCGCTGCTGTGTCTGCCTGAGCGACGTCTGCCCCAGACATCGCCCGCATATCCACGGCAGCGGCCGTACTCTCCGCACGTATTTCAACATGGCCGTCTAGCTGCGTCTTGTATGCAGAAGACGGAGGGGTTTTTCGGCCTTCTTCAGTGGTTCGCGTGTCCCTGCCGAAGCCCAGCGTCTGGACAGCGCTAGGTCCAATATGGCTTAGTCAGTACACGGCGATTGAAATCAGGTCAAAAAAAAATAGAATAAAAATGAATGGGAAGGTGCTCCCGAAAAATAGCCGCAGCAGCTGCCGAGCCAAACGAAGAAAAGAGAGAGAGAGAGAGACAGCGAATTTCCCTGCATCACCAAACAAGTTCAAGTTCATCGACCTCGCCCGTCTCCTCCGTCTGCAGCCTTTCCTTCTGCGGTGTCGCTTGACTGTTTCCTTCTCGTTCGATCGTCTGACCGGGCTTCTTCCCCTCTCTCGCCGCGTCCTCCCCATCCTCCATTGACCGGTCATGGCAGCCAGACTTTTGCAACGGGTATGTGCCTTGCAGTCTAATGCTCTCCCGTCCACCCGCACTCGCCCTGCTAATCAACCATGACAGGGAGCTGCAGCACCCGTGGCTGCAATGCTGCTTGGAGGTGTCGTGCTCTACCCGCGGACGGCGCATGCCGAAGCTCCGGATAACTATGTCAGTCCACCACAGAAACAGAAACAGAAACAGAAACAGAAACAGAAACAGAAACAGAAACAGAAACGGAAACGGAAACAGTTCTGACCATCTCTAGGCCAAGAAGCCCATTTACGACGACTATTACGTGCCCTCGCCTGCGCCGCTGTCCGCGGCCAAGTCGCCCGCTGCCCCGACACCATCCTCCCCCGAGCCATTGGCATCGCCTGCACCCTCCTCCACAGCTGTCGCAACGGTTTTTCCGTCGCCATCGCCGTCGCCAGCAGCACCGATCCGGCATGGCCCCACACCGACCGACCGACTCGCCGGCCAGATCCGGCTCGCCCGCCTGTTCCTGTACCGTCAGGCCCGCGCGGCCGAGGATGGCGTCAACCAGGCGGCCAACCGGGTGTTTGGGCTCGAGCGGTCGTTCACCGAGACGATCGCGTCGCTGGCACCGTCACGCGAGAGCGGCGAGCGGCTCATGCCCGGCTCCGTCTACGTGCTCGTGGCCGCCATGGCCGGCAGCATCGTCACGCGTCGCAGCAACATTCTGCTGCGCGCCACCGTGCCGCTGGCCTTTGGCGTCAGCGCCGGCTGGGGTCTGCTGCCGGTTACCATGCGCAACTGCGCCGACCTGCTCTGGCAGTACGAGGAGCGCGTACCGGTCATCGCCCAGGCCCACCTGCAGACGCGCGCGGCCATTGAGCGGTCCGTCTACTTTGCCAAGCTGCACGCACAGGTCAGCAAGAATTACGCCGACGACAAGGTCCATGCCGTGCGCGAGACCGTCGAGGACTGGGTCAAGAAGGGCAAATAGGCCGGAAGAGAGCGGGGACGCGTGTTCTGTGCATCTGTGTGTATGATAGAAATACAGGCGACGTCTCAGGAAAGGGACAATTCCTGCAAGTCCATCATTCTCGTCCTTCCTTCCATCCCTCAGTCGTGCTTGTCTAGCCGCATCAACAGGTGCAGCACTCGCTCGTAGGTCCACACGGTGATGGTGCTGGCGGGAGCAGCCTTGAGCAGGCTGACGGTGAGCCCGCGGTAGAGCCCGCGGATGCCCTCGCGGCGGGCGATCTTGCGCAGGGTGCGGCCGACGCTGCCGTCGTAGACGGGGATGTTCTTGTGGACGTAGCGGCCGCGCGTCGGGCCCTGGACCTGGATGCGCTTGCGGACGAGGTCGAGCGGGAAGACGGCGGTCTTGGCGGCGACGGCAGCAACGGCACCAGCGGCCGCATCACCACCGCCAAACGGGAGCCGGTCAGCCAGGTGAGCGCGCAGCAGCGGCGCGCGCAGGCCCTCGTAGACGGCAAAAAAGGTGCCCATGAAGGGGGCGATCTGCAGGATGGCAGGGCCGAGGCCGCGGAAGAAGCCGCGCAGACCCTCATCGCGGGCAATCTCGCGCACAGCGTGGCGCAAGTTCGTATAGACACGGTCCTTGGAGCCCTGGGCTGCGAAGCGCGTGCGCAAGAGATCCAGCGGATATGTGGCCGTGGTGGCGGCTGCGCCGGCTGCCGCGCCCGATACGAACGACTCAATGCTCGGCGGCAGCACGCCCGGGCCGCCGGCCGCCTGCTGCACCAGCAGCGTGGCTGTCCGGTAGGCCGTGAACTGGATCGCGCTGTAGCACACGTACATCAGCTCGGCCGGCACGTTGCCCTTCCACAGGCCGGTCAGGCCCTCGTGCGCGATAATGTGTCGCATCGTCGGCAGCGTGCCTTTGTACGTCGGGCCACCGTGCAGGTTCAGCTGCGACCGTGGGTCCGAGAGCGAGTGCGTCTGCAGCTGCAACCGGATCTTGACCACGTCGAGCGGCGCGACCAGGAAGCTGGAAAAAGAGGAAAAAAGGAAAAGACGTCAGCGTCGTGTCCGTGTTCGTGTCTGCGCCGTGCAGCCCTGACCACCACCAAAACTTACCGCGCAATCAGCCCTGCCGTCCCTCCGGCAATCACCACCTGAAGCTTTGAGCCCTGTGTCCACACTGTCAGCCGTCTGATCGCTGCTATCCGGAAGCGTGCGCGATGCCCGGCTTACCTCATCTTTCAGGCGCTCTCCCTTGCTAGACATGCATGCACGTGTCGGGAGACAGTCACTGAGGTCGTTGGAAGGTGTATCCTTGGTTTGGTGTCCAGAGTCCGTCCCAATTGCAGTTGGCGCGCAAATATGATAGACCTTTGGGGTTATGCTTTTTTCTCAGATCTAGTCGAAAAGTGCTATTAACACTACGAATCACCGTTATTTGCCCTGCACTACTCCGTACCCTGCATAGGTAAGATATATAGTGGGGCGAGACAGCATCTTATAATATCTAATTATTCTGCCGTACGTCTTCATCGCATTAAACAATTTTCAGAGTTATATCAAGCGATATCAAGCGATAGTAAAAAGGAACGGAGACATAAACCTACATAGTTGATTACAAAGTCCATACAACGTATATACACTTTAAGGTACGCCGTACATGGGCCTTATTAAGAGCTTAAAGGCGGTAAGTTGCATTTGCACAGGGTACTTCGTACCTCCAATCCTATTCGTGGCTGCTAAAGAGTCAAAGTGGAAGCTACGTCATCACCCGCTGTTGCATGGCAATCTCCAGAACTGCATACAGTGCCGAACCTGCCGTTTCGCAGAATGTGAGACCCCACCGTCTCAGACGCGCATCTCCTATCCAGCCATTGAACCAGATCCTGCTCGTACAACAGACCAGAGACAGAGATATTCATTGCCCAGCCACCTTTGCAACCCCGAGCCAGACTGGTACTCCGTAGACGGCAGATCCATATTAGAAGACCCACAGAAGAGAGAACAAAAAAAGGAGAGGTCAGCAAGTTGCACTGCTGTCTTAGTCACATACGGAGTACTCCGTATAGGAGCTCTAGCTCTAATTTGGCCGGTTTTGCCGTCGGCAGGCCGAAGCCGGGGCAGGTGCACCCCAGAACAAGAGCGCGGGGCCCCAAGGCTTTGTTTGGGAGGTGCGCTTTGTGCCGCTGCTGATTGGTTCCGTCTGCCCGAAGCACCGCAATGAGGGCGGAAGGAGAGTGGCGCACTACGACGTACTCAGGGCATGCGGGCACATGGACGCTGTTGGAGCCTAGCAGACAGCGCCCTAACCCGAATCGGAAATAGGCTTTGGCGAGGCCTCTTGTCTTTTCACTTCTCGCCTCCATATATTGTCTATAGCCCAGGTTCTCCTCACTCAAGTAGCGGCAGAAGCGTCTTGCACATAATACGCTTGCTCACATTACAAAATCATTTGCGTATCTTACGCGTGATCCATTCTAATCGACCCTCACGCTATTATCAAGGCACATTTCCCCTTCTTGTTCCCCTCCACCTTCTACTCTCTCTACAGCAGTTCCTTACTGCAGTCTCGCCTACACACTTATATTCTCCTTTTCTTTCTCTCCCCCCTTACCTCCCCTTTTGTCCCTCTTCCTCATCCTCTCCCTCGCCCTCTCCCTCACCTTCTCCTTCTCTCTCTCCCCCTTCTCCCCCCTCACACACCATGACAGAGGTCATCTGCCCGCTCGATGCGCGAGGCATCGTGGCCCCCCTGCTGCCGTCGCTGCCCAGCGCCGCCATCGCGTCTGAGCCGGCCACGGCCATTCTTCCGCTTCTCACACCCATTCTACGCCAGCGCGTACAGTTTCTCTCGGCATCCAGCTCCGAGCCCTGGATCCGCCTGCTCTCCTACGACGCGGTCAAAGCAGCCAGGCTGGTTGAGATTGCCCGCAGCACCCGGCTCGAGCCCCATCCGCTTTCGGGCGAGGTGGAGATCGACTGGGACAGCGCCGGTGCCGGCAATGGTGGCGACGTCCAGATTCGTTACCAGCGCATCGACATCGAGACCCTGCAGGCCCTCGTCCTCCTGCGAGATCTCGACCTCGTCTTCCGGCTAGTCTACTGCGAAACTGACAACGAAGGGGGCGGCAGCGGCTGGCGTGTCGGTGAGGTCAGCATCCCCGACACTCCTGACGCCTTTGCCTCGTTTGGCGGCTACCAATCAGCCGCCGAGGCCGAGCGGGCGTTTGCCGGTACTGGTGCAGGTGCAGGTGCAGGTGCTGCAACAACAAAAACATCAGCAGACCAAGACACAGATGACGAGGACGACGACTACTGGGCCCAATACGACGCCACACCCGCTCGCACGCCTGCTGTCAAGCGCTCTCCAGCACCGCTGCCGACTGCTGCTGCCACCAGTACCCAGCAGAGCACAGAGACAGAGGCCGACGACGCCTACTTTGCGCAGTACGACACCGTGCAGCCGGCCATGGACAGCCACGACCCCGATGAGGACGTTGGGGAACCCGCTATTGCCACACCTCCTATCGGGTTCGGCCGGCCGACGGCTGTCCTGACGCTCGAGCGCGCTGTCAACGGCAACACCAACGGCAACGACGCCGGCGAGGACAACGAACGCCTCGCCAACCTGATCCACCCGCGGCCTGCCTCGGCCTCGAGCCAGAGCTCCTCGAGCGGATCGGCGGCGGTCGCCAAGCTAGAGCACTCGGCCGACAAGCGGGAACGGGGCGAGTTTGGCGTCAAGCAGCACGTGTCGCGAAGCATCAAGAGCCTTTTTATGCTCGCCAGGGCGTCGGGCATTGACCGCGAAGAATTCGAGCAGCTCGTCAAGACGGAGCTGGACATGTTGGCAATGATGGAGGACGACTAGACGGAAGTTTTCCGCGTCTTTTTGTTTGTTTCACATTGCACTTCTGCACCAGCGTCGTATCCTTTGTTTCGAGCGTCTACATAGCGCTTCGACGGCGTTGATCTTGGGGTCCCTGGCAGGGCATCTGCGTATGTATGGCTGGGTATTGTGGCGTTCGTATGTTTTCGCATTAACAGGAGCGTGACGTTTTCAACAAGATACTTGGATCACCAATATGAATATATCTAGCGTTTTGATTTAATTTTACTTATACACAATGTTGTACTTACGAGTTCCTGAGTCTGAGTATATTCAGACCTACCACAGATACACTGACAGGCATAAGAGGCCGAAAGCTGAGAGAAGGCCTATCTGAGTTTCTTGGACAGAAACATGAATCGAAAGTGCGCCAATGGCTCATTTTGTGTTCAGCTTCTGTCGGAAGCCGGCTGTTTGGTCGGCGGAGTAGCACGTGGGAAGTCTGCAATGCGGAGGCTCCCAGAGTGGATATCTGGCATGCGCTGAAGCTCCTCATGAAATCGAAGTATTGAGTCGAGCATTAGTATAGAGACTTGTCGTTGGACCTTCTGTCCCGCAAAGCAAGGTTAGGTCCGTGAGGGCGGTCAGGCCTGGCAGAACACCACATCTAGCGAAAAAAACCAGCAGCTGCCGATTTTGTGCAGCAACGACAGACGACTCGGTGAAATCACACGATCAAGCGGGCCTGCCACGGACCAAGACCGCCGTACAACTTTGCGAACCTCGTCACAGTCTGTTTATTTCGTGCATCCTGCCGGTGCCATGTTCCGCCCGAGGTTACGTGGGCCGTCGGCCGTCGGCGCGCTCGGCCGCCGGCTCCAGCAGTCACAGTCGACAGCGGCAGCAGTAGCAGCAGCAGCGACGACGTCCTGCCGGCGCATACACCACATGCCCAAATCAAGACACGACGTCCGTGTTGGCGTGCCACACCTGCTCTCGGCCGAGGGCTTCGACCTGGCTTGGTCGCAGCACATGACGCTGATGTTAGCCCGGCTGAACCAGCTGGTAGCAGGTATTTTCCATTACGGGGGGGGATTTTCTTTCTCTTTACTATGTTTGCCTGCCCTCAGCTGACACTTTGTTCCCCAGGCACCGACTACGAAGACCGCGATCTCAAGGGCATCGTCCTGGACTCGGCCCGCTCGCCGTCCCAGGCGGCCGTCTTCAACCACGCCAGCATGGCCCACAACACGGACTTTTTCTTCAAGCAGCTGCGGCCGTCGTCGGACGGGACGCCGGCTGAGATCCCGGCACCCCTGCGCAGCGCCATCGACGACAACTTTGGCAGCGCCGAGACCCTGCGCCGTGAGTTTGCTGCCACCGCCTCGGCCATGTTCGGGCCCGGCTTCATCTGGCTCGTCAAGGCCAGCCATCTGCCGCAGTCTGGCCGCGGCGGCGACAATCTGCGCCTGCTGACCACCTACCTGGCTGGCTCACCGTATCCGGGCGCTCACTGGCGGCGACAGGCTGTCGACATGAATACCGTCGGTGCTGATGGCGTCGACAGCAGCAGCAGCAGTGGCAATGTCGCCCGCCAATGGCTCGACAAACAGGCTGCGGCCGTCTCTGCCGGCGGTGTCTCCTCGGCCACTGCTTTTACCGCCTCCTCATCCTCCACCCATCTCCCCGCCGCCTCGTCCACCGACCGTCGCCCGCCCGGCGGCATCGACGCTATTCCCCTGCTCTGCCTCAGCACCTGGGAACACGTCTGGCTGCGCGACTACGGCCTCGGCGCCGACGGCTACGGTGGCAAGGCTGCCTTTGTCGACGCCTGGTGGAATGCAATCGACTGGGACGCCGTGGCCGAGATGGCCAACCTCAACCGGCCCATGCTCAAGACCTGAGCGGGGGCCGTGGCCAGTTGGGCGTACCCTTGTAAGATAGCAATCACCCAAGCATAAATAAAATGGACATATGGAGTACATTTGTGACCAAGAGCAGAGTCCGTTGTAATCACAAGTGGAACAAGGTAAAACTAACTAAGATCAATTCAAAATGCCGCCCATGACGAAGGAGCGTGGTATAGAACTATTACAAGCAAATCCTCAAGGTCGCCCTTGACGTTGACAAACAGACAAATTCGCAGGCATACATACGTATTCATTCATGCATTCATAATTTTTCCATCATCACCACCTTTCCCGCCTCAAATCATGTTACCATTCACGCTCACCTCGAAGCCCTCGCCCTTCTGGCGCATGGCCTTGGCCAGCATCAGTTCGCGCATCCACTCGATCCGCTCGTCCCGACTCTTGACTGCAAAGTGATGCGTCTTGCCCGTGCCGTTGACGGCATCGCTTGGCGGCGGTGGCGGTGATGACGGCTTCTCAGAGACAGGCGCCGCCGCCGTCGCTGCTGCTGCTGCTGCAGAAACTGTCACAGTCGCGGCAACAGAGCCTGCCACCGAAGCTGGCACCAGTGTCGGCAAAAGAGCTGCCGAGCCACTGACACCTGCACTGCTGCCGGTAGGCAGACTGCTCTCCCGCTTCCTCAGACGCACACCACCGCGTGAATCCTGTGGGATCAGTTGGAAGGAAAAGGCAGCAACGTCCGCCGCCTTGCTCGACTGCATGGGGTCGGCACTTCCGCCGCGTCGGATACTCATGGCTTTGAAGGCTGCGTTCAGCTTGCTGGTCGACGCAGCCATCGATGAGCAGGCAATGGCATAGTCGTCAATGTCCACATACTCGAGCGTGCGGTCGACGTTCTTGGCGTCCTTGTGCACTGCCAGCCGCGTGCCCTTGAGCGTCACAAACCGGTCGTGCCACTCGTGCCGCAGCATCTTGGTCTTGCGCTTCTTCACTGGACCTTGATACGTCACGTGATCCCCTGTGACGTCGTCCCTCGTCCGCACCACCACGTTGCCGCTGACTGACGTCGCCATGGTCGACCCCGAAGCCCCGGTGCTGAATGAGCCAGTCGAGACGAGAGACGAGGACGAGGAGTCTGACGCTTCCGGTGCCGCATGCCCCAGTACAGACGAAATGGGCGCAATGGCCGTCTCAAACGTCGCCCGTTCCGGCGACCACGGGTACTTGATGCGTGGTGGCGGCTGCAGCACCCGCGTGGTAGCTGGCAGAGAGCTGCCTGCCGTCGGAGCTGCCGCCAGAGGGGACGATCGCTGGCGCTGCCCGCGCGTCATCGCTGCAGTCGCTCTGTTCTCGTCTAGCGACGGCAGGACTGGGAACGACGGCCGGCGTGCAGAGGCTCGCGACATGGTCCTCGTCGGTCCCGCACGGTAGTTCATGTCGGGGGGCACAGACTGCGAGACATCACGAGCCACTGGGCCAAGAGGCACCGTCGTCACCGGCACGTCCATCTCCGAAAACGGGGTCCCGAACCGGTACACTTCCATCGGCGTGCGATCCGGCGACTCCTCCATAGCCGTGTGCGTATATGATGTGCCTGATGTGGGCACTGTCGATGCCGTCTGCGCCGACTCAGGTGCCCAGCATGGCTGCCGCACCGTGGATTGGCTGGCCGAGACGACAGCAGCTGCAGCAGCTGTGGACTGCCGCATCTTTGACGGGATCGACAGTCGGGGCAACGACCGCAGACCCTCAATCGGCTGTTGGCGGGTAGGGTAGAGCTCAAACGGTGGCGTCGGTGGCACCTCGCTGCAGGAAGTTATGTGTTGGTGCTGGAAGTCCAGGAACTGTCGCACGTTGTCCTGCGGGTCTCGTGTCTGCACTGTCCGAAGCGTGTCCTCTTGCAATGCCTGTGTGGGTGCCGGCAACACACCCGGGCCCATGACGTCGGATGAAGCCACCACCGACGGCACCATGTCTGACAGCGGCCGCAGGTACTGGTCTTGGCCTTGGTTCTGGCCCAGGCCCTGGTTTTGGTTGTCGTCCTCCACCGCAGTCCACGGACATATGGCCTTTGCCGTCTCCGGGTTGCCCGGGTCGCCCGCGATCATGATGATACCACCCTTGTCCATATCGACAAAGGGATGATCTTTCTTGAACGCCTCAATCATCCGCTGGTTGCGCTTCCACTTGCTGCAGTTCTCGCCCTTGGAACATTGGTGCGGCTTCGGCACTATCTGCTCGATACCCACAATCGACACCGACTCCAGCGGCGTCACAACGTCGTCCATGCGCGTCTTCTTGCGCCGGCTGCTTGCCCGCCGCCGCAGCGGCCGTCCAGGACCATCTTGCTGCCGCAGCTCGCGCCGCACATGCCGATCTGGCTCGTCCTCGATCGGCGTCTCCGGACGCGGCTCGGCCGCCGGCTGCACGTTCTTCATCGCATTGATCTGGGTCCACACATTTGTCCGCACGCCAAATGAAGGAATGCCTAGCTCCTTGAGATCCTCGAACTTGAGCGTAATCAATATACCTCCCGTGATGTCGTTCTCCACAAAACGCTCACACACCTTGAGCTCAAAGCCTGCATTGAGCATCCGCTGTGCGACCTTCTCCGGTGACCACGAATACAGATCCCGCGTGTCCAGTTCCTCGTCAGTGAACTGGAACGGTCCACTGTACGTCTTCTTGGTAGGCAGAGGGGTGATACCCAGCGGCAGCGGCACCTGTTGTTGCGGGGGCCGCTGAACCTGTGGGAGCCCCTCGCCCCTCGGCACTTTTGGAGTCAAGGGTGACAAAGACAAGGCATTCTGGAATTCGGCCTGGAACTCGGCTGACAGAGTGGAAATCCGGAACAAGTGCGGCCCACGGGGGCCCTCGACTTGTTTTGGCTGTTCTACCGCGATGTGGTAATCTGTGGGCATTCGACTGGACCTCGGTGTCTGGGCCTCGTCGTAGGATGACACAGTGGTGAAGCTGGGCTGGCCAGACTGCGTAAATCGTTAGCTAGCAGAACACAAGCTTGTGCGGGTTTATTTCATAAAGTGTGTCAACTTACGTGCAGGCTCACACGTGGCGAGTTTTCACCGTCTTCGTAGTCGCTCAAAATTTCATCGTCCTCAAAGTCAGACTCCATAAATTCAGTCGCCACAGATACTGGTCTGTCTTGGACGCCCTTCAGACTGAAAAATGAGTTATGAAGGAATTGTGAGCCCTTCTGCTGCATTTCTCGTGACGGCTGCCATGCGACAGCAGTGGGCATATGGGACGTCTGGTAGTATATTTGATCAGAACATAGATCGAGACAGTACAATTGGTGGGGCAGTCTTACCATGTTGTTTGTTTCGCCCCCAAGTGCTTGTCTTTGTATGTTTGTGTTTCGTATGTCGTTTGGCTGTCACCTACTCCTCCTTGGTATGGTTTTGTAACGTTCGCGGGCTCAGTCGCCTCCTCTCGCTTGAGTATTTCGGATAGGTCTCGATTTTTTCGTTTTATGATACCGTTGCCAGTGGGTCTGTTTTCTCGGTCAACGAGACAGACAGGAGTGACAGTGTTGTAAATAGGGAAAACGGTACACAGGAGAGGCGGGCTTGGCGCAAGAAACGGGGTCGGCGGCAAACAAAAGGAAACGACCAAAAAGGAGAGCTTGATGGGATCCAACACGCAATTTCACAGAAACTTCGAAAACTCGAAAAAAAGGACAACAGTCGTGAGGATGAGCGGGCGGCTACAGAGAATTATGTATGGAAGGATGGCTGTGCCTGGGATCGTAGAGGTGGTGACAGCTTGTATCTTAGTAGAGAGGGATAACCCTTGAGGTGACAGTGACGGATAAACTAGCAATGATAAGCGGCTTTAATCACAGCACTGGCACATGCAGGATGTCCCGTCACAGTGACTGGCTTTTGTTGTTTTCAAGCCCCCGGCTGTCCTCGCCTCTGTTATGGAGAAGACAGATCTTTAGTCGTCTGAGCACATCATAATCGACCCTCAGTGGCTCGAGAGACTGCCCCCAGCAACGGGAACGCATTGACTGCGAGTCTTTCGTTGGGGGCAAGGGCCGTAACCCAACCTCTGTGTTAGCCTTGAAAAGTATGCAAGAATAGAATTGGTGCAGAGCAGAAGCAGCCCTGTTGACCGCGGAGGAGCGGTAAAACGACTGGCTCAGATGACCAGGGAGGGTCATAGGGGGGGGTCGAAGTGTGAACAGACCAAGATAGCTTGCATTGGCGCGTTGAGAGACGAAGCATCATTGGCGAAACGGGAAGTCGGACAGGGAAGGTACGAGCTGCAGTGCAGAGCGCATTGCAGGAAGGGATCGTCTGCGGCGCCGATTGGTCTAAAAAGAATGTCGTGCCACTTGTTCTGCGGACGGCGCTAACACCCCATTGGACAGAGGGGGCCAAATGGCACAAAAATAACCAGGTTGCAGCAACTGCTATCAGAGGTCTTCTTTGCATGGACTCCTCCTATCTTCACGCCACCTTGCAGTTCCTCCCGCAGGCCCGCCCTGTTTTCACATAAATTGCGTTAAGCGCCCGCAGCATAGAATTTTCATTGGCCGGAATTGTTTCATCCCCACTGCCATCTGAAGCTCTCTTGGGTCACAGGCCGAGGTCCAAGGGCCGAGGCCGTGCCACTACGGAGTATGGCTGTGCTCTGGCGATCGCGGAGAGCCTTTAGGAATCATTGGGAGCCAGATGCCAGCCGGCTTGAAGTCTGAGACGTCTGCGCATGCCACTCTCACTGTCGACGTACGAGCACTGAAGGACCGCAATTCAGGCCCTACAGGGCTCATGGGGAAGCTTGACGTGGCGGGAGGCTTGACCTGGTCAGCCAGCTACTATAACCATGTGCATACATACATAGTACGGAGTACAAGAAAGAGTACGAGTACGTCGTACGCACATATTCTGGCACCGGTGGGGTGGAGCTAAACATGGGGCCGGTCTGTGATGTAACCATACGGAGTGAGATACAAGTACGGAGTACGGAGTCCATTAATATAGCAACGTGCAGTGTAATCGCAATGGCATAAAGGTGCTCAGATATGTATATGCCGTGCTTGCCCATTGCACCACTTCTGCCGTCTGCAAAAGACATCTGTGTGTAGCTAACAAGGGCAGAGAGGACCGCAAAAAAAAAAAATGGAAGTACGCACATGGTTGCAAACTCGCATGATCGAGCCGACCATGTTTCCATCTATTACCGCATTTGGCTGTTCCGAATGCGACGAGAGCGACGAAAACCCTTCCCGGTTGCTGCCGATGAAAGTGCGAAGAATGGGGAGATGGCAACTAGGGTCTGCCATTACGAGAGAGTCGGACCGTACCTTGGCCGACGAGGAAAAAGCAAAGTGTGATGCCAGTGTGCAATTGGTGATTGAGAGATTGGCAGGGCAAAGAGAGGGGCTAGCCGAAGATCAGAATGCAAGCAACGGGGTCGGCTACTCGTAATGCCCGGGTGGGTCGAAGCTTCGCTTCCTTCAGCGCAGCCCAAGAGGGCCATACGGCGTACGGCGTACAGACGAGCCAAAACGCCCGCTACTATGTAAGATACGTCGTAGAGGACCGTTTTAACTATCAATCGAGAGTCACTCTAGGCCATCTCTTACTTCCTTGGCGTCGTTTTTCTTGTTAGTGGCAGGCACTAAAACGGTCTTCGGCCTGTCACTCATCGACTCGCACTGTTGGCAGGGGTGTGTTGCCGAATGTAGAAAGTCCAGCATGGGCACACCGGACGCCGGTTTTGTGGGGGCACATGACCTGATGAAGAAGAGGATTGCGAAGAGAGAGCGGCCAAGGAGAGAGACGGTGTGCGGATGAGCCCGATCTGTCCTCGCCGTTGAGACCGCACAGCTGCGATGGACGGGGATCATCCTTGCTGATCCTCAAGCCAGCTCGGCCATTCTCGGCTGGCCGACTGTGGCAACAGTCAGCCGCTACTGGGGCAGAGGACCCAACCCGTCTTGGTCCCGTGGCAGGAAAAAAAATGAGTCATCAGCCTGCGGTATCGCATCGCACAGAGAAATGTGTGCATGGTATTACGACATGCTGCAGAGGGACAATTTGTTCCTGCATCGCACATTGAAGCAGCAGAACGCAGATGAACCTCTCACCGCAACGTCTGCTAGCCGGGAAGGGTATCTTGCCTCCGAGGTGAAGCTGGCCGCATCAGCGGCCGCCGAAAATCGGGTTACGTCTCCACGCGCAATGTTGGGAAACCGGAGAGAGCTGGCGCAAGGAATTTGCATCCGAAGTGCTCCATACTATGTAGGGTTCAGCATTTTTCACCCCGCATTTCCCGGTCTGAAACAGCCTGGGATCACAAGACACATTGTACTCCGTACAGTAAAGGTCAGCAATCGCCACATGGACGGGCACGATGACCCAGTCGTGACGTTTTCCCCACAAGTGAACAGCTTTCTTCAAAATCTTATGTGTCACTACCGATTTTTTCGCCATGCCCGTCCTGCATGTCCCAGTAGCTGGAAGGACAATGGCTGGTAGCTACGGCATGGAAAAGTTATCCACATCCGCCGTGAAACGCCCATATGGACAAAGGCCGTAAGAAATACGGAGTACGGAGTAAGCTGTGAATACCGGTTTTAGCAGAGCTATCCTGCGTCGTAGGAAGTGCCGGCACCAGGTACCAATGGCCGGAAGCAACCTTGTCTGTGGCAATGAACTTGCCGTTGGTGTGAATTAAGATAAGAGCCTTTCCCGACATGATAATAGTCTTCCCGCCCTCAAAGGCATTTTTGTCCCATGTGGTGCAAAGCTCAATTGGTCTGATCAATTACCATATGTACGTAGTACGGATTACTATGAAATCGGACTGCACAGCATACAACAGCAGTGTAGCTGCACTCCCATCACCGGATGCACGTGCAACCACAAATCGTAGCACCATGGCAGAACTCGCAGAGCCAAACAGAAAATATTTCGTCGCATCTCGTGCGCACCCCATCTCAAAACTAAGTCTCTCAAAAGAAAGCTAATGTTGCCGTTTCTTCTTCCCCGCTTGTCTTGCATAAACAGCGGAATCCCGGCCTCCTCAGCTCCCAGCCTGTTTTCTCTGATCAGTATTTTACCTCTGTCTGGACCGGAGCCCAATGCGCTCCCCTGTCAATTGTAACATCGGAGTGCAAAAAGCCTCAGTTTGCAAGACAGGGGACGACGAGGGGCTTGCAACCATAATGAAGACTCGTATCCGCCGCCAATCACAAGCCAAATGTATCCTACTCCCTGCATATCGTAGTATGCGAGTACATTTCACTGCGTCTGATGTTTGCGCACAATACTTTCAAAACCCAACAGGAGACACTTGCTGTTAATCGCTGCCAAATCTGGCGTTGCTTCACCTCGCTTCAGTCCTTTTTAAAATAGTAAGAACCGTCACTCACAGCTCACGGAGGACCAAGATCAGCATACGGGTGTACTGCTCATGGGGGTGACCTGATCACATTGATTACGCGAAACGAAAAGAAAGAGGAAAATGGCAGATGCCTGACGCTCGTACTCGTAGAAGAACGGAATTCACCCGGTTCGCCATGCCCGTGCGTGCAGATTTGAACGGAGTGCTACGCTGCAACGCGCCGACATTGCATCTTTTCTCATAGCGTCCGGAGCAGGGTTCTCACAGACCATGATCTTCGCCTCTTTACCTCATTCAATCCTCATCGGTGAGCTGCATACGCTAGCGCATGGAGCACGAGTAGCGCATCGTTTCCTGCATCGTACGTGGAAGGCCGAAGAGTACGGAGTACGACGTACTTGTACACGATAAAGCGTTTTATTATGGAGATAGAATGCATAATTCCATCCAGCCATCGAACTTGGCGCGCAATATTGCTCGTTTGGGCATAGCGATAGCAGGGTGCTTAATCTTCAGGCATCCAGGGCTCGTAATATAGTAGTATCTTACGTGTGTCGCTCATCACACACTAGCCGTCCTGGGCCTCAAGATGCGTCGTAGCCAGAATGAGTTGCTCTTACCGAAAAGCAGGTGCAAGAGACACGCCTCGAATGCGAGCATTTGCAGACTCCAGAGTGTGATTGACAGGACGTGGAAATTACACGGCTCGTTGCCCGCTGTCGACGCATGCGAGTACAAGAAGCAGCAAACAAAGACAAGACGTGGCCAGACACAGCGTAGATGAGCTGACTTTGGGAGTGCTGGTATATGGATGCGAGTAGGCATTTTTCAGGGGAAATTACCGCAACAAACGTGCCTGAGTGCAAAATGGCTCACTGAATCTCCCTGAAAGGCAGAGATACCCGTCATCACCTTATTTCATCGGTTTAGTCCAGTACTCGTACCAGAATGTACTACATACTCGCACAGATGAAGTCAATAAGCCCGGTCGGAACCGAACAGCTTTCCGTGATAAGCAAATGAGACAATGCCGTGTTAGTAGCGATGAATATCCGTAGAACCCCTCCAAATCCACTAACCAAGAATGACTTCCCCGCAGTTTGTCTTTACAACAGGACAATGGCTGATGCCAGCCCAAAATAGGGCAAACAGACAAATGGGAGCTACTCCGTAAATAAAAATAGAGCTGCAAGATCTGAACATCGGTCTGTAGCGAGCACACCTCTGGACATGCACAAGCAGGTGCTAAGGTGGGCAAAAATAGATAGCGACCTACATAGTAATACTATCCAGACCAGTGTATTTTTTCTTTCTCGACAGCGGTTAAATCGCTCCATCTGTTTGGACGACGGAAAATGGTCGGGGAGCGCACAAGACGCTCTGTACTCGTACAAGTCACTAAGGGGACGGAAGGACAACGAGAATCCACCCCGGCCGCTAGTCAAGCACTAAAACGCAACTACTACCCGAGCCAAATACCCCGGCCAGCCAATCCGCAGCCGTAACGACCCTACCTCGCGATCCTCACAAGGACTACAATCCATGTCTTATCACAAAGCGCTAGAGACGGTTGGTCCCGGCAGGCCAACTGCATATGCACAGAGCCATCTTTTCGTCACATAGGTTCCATACTTTTGGCCAATCAGAAGTGTGTACAGGGGTTATGCTACTGTGACCCGGAAGTAGCTCGCTGATCATTCTCATCAGAGGTAGATTTTCTTCTTGCAGCCGTCCAGAGGCCGGGCAGCTTTGCCCCTTTTGACCGTGTATGTCCACTAGGCCACGGGCCAACGTTTGTACGAGTACGAGCAACCCGAATTTGGGGGCCAACCCCGACCAAGACAGGATCGTCCTCTATCAAGTGCCTCGCCAGCCAATCCAGAGCCTCTCTGCCAATTTCGGGCCTTTATTCGACAGCCACCCTTTGACCAGGTAATGAGGCAATCCGGCGATCATCCAACCGACAGCATTTGCAGAGAGTCTAATAAAAATAAAAATAAAAAGCAATGCGCTCGGAAAGGCGCCGGTGCCGACGAGTTGCTTCACTGGCCAAAAAGTACCGCTAAGAGTCGTTTCCCGCCAAAGCGCGCAAAGTGCTCGTGGGCGTGGGCGCCCACAGACGAGAGCCACAGAGTGGCACAAGCATGGCTGTGGATGTTGCTTGATCGGGGCACGACATGCATGTATAGTACAAAGTACATGGTATTGGAAGCTACATAGCACCGCTCGCAGGGCGTGAACGAGCGCACGGTCAGACAGCTACTCCACCTGCCCTCCCAAGAAGCACGCTTTTCCTTTAGTCTTTCTTTTTTCTCTCGTTTTTTTCAACGCTACGGCGCAGAGGAGCACAGTATTCGGTATTCTTGTGTGTACGGCAGCCTCATCCCTACGTCAGCAGGGACAGGAACGCCACGAGAGACAGGCGGTGTATGGAGCGTGGAGTAGAATTCATATCTTGCATTGGCGCCTTTGCCTGCTTGATGCAGTCGTAGTACTATGTAGGATCTAGCTCGGATCCTGTCCGTCCTCTGCCGATATCGTGGCGTGTCGTCAGACTTTTCTCTCGTCTCCCCATGTTTTTTCTCTCCCCGCCTCGTCGAGCAGAGGAGCTTCGACCAGCTGCGAGCCAGCCGAGCCAGCCGCAGACGTGGGTGAATAGCGGTAATGGTGTGCGGATAATAGCATTGTAAGATACGCGTAAGATACAAAGGATGTGTGTGAGCACAGACCCGGCCGAATTATTGCCCTCTCTCTCGCACCTGCCTCTGCTGTTCTATTCTAAGTGAGGGAATGGGATGACTTGATCCGGATAAGGAGCCCCACCCCTCGGTCTGTATGTACATACGTCGTAGTATTGGTCACCAATAAGCGCAGAGCCATCGTGCTTTCCTCGTCGAGAGCCTGAAGAAGGCTGCCTGCATGCTTAGTTCGTACTAGCGCGGCTTGACTGCCCACCTTCGTCTCCACCAACACACATACACCCAGGCGACCGGCCGGCCGTCGATGCTTTCCTCTGTGTGGTCGAAATCGAGGGAAGCGTTACTTTGCAGCCAGTCACTCGCGCCTCTCACTCTTCTCGCTGTTCTATTCTTGGAACAGACGCTGGCCGCATCCGAACAAGCAGCCAGCAGCCAAAAGGCCAATCTGCAGGTCTCTTTTCGTGATCGTGCTCATGTATATATCATTGAGCATCCAGCGCCGGCTTCTGGGGCCTTTCGTTATTGATGCTCCCTTCTTTTTCCTTCTTTTCCTTCCATCTTGTTGACCAAGGCCCAGTTGCAATCGAGTGTTCGCCCCGTTTTCTTTCTTCTCTCTTCGCCTCTCTTCCTCCGTTCGGCCTCTCGCCAACCGCCATTGCCGCTCCTCTCCTCCTCATCTAATCGGCTCGGCACCCTCAGACGTCCTCTTTCCCGTGAACAGCAAGCCGGACTTGCTCGGATCCAGTCAATCATTGCTCATTGAGAGCCCTTGTTATTGTTTAATTTCTGCTCGCGAACCACTCTCGCCTGCTTCTGTGTGTTTAGCCCTTGGCTCCGTCGGACTACAGGCTTGGTCCCCTTTGCATTATTACTCTTCTGTCACCTTACTGGGGCAACTGGCTTGGACCCTCTCCTCCTCTTTTGCATAGCTCAATTCCTTGCACACCCAAACCCCCTGCAACGCTTTCCTTCGGGCCAGAGATTGCCAGATACCCACCCACCCATATCTTTCTTTAGTGGATCTGTCAGGGACCAAAAGTGTACACCACTTAGACGACTACCACACTTAGCAACTCTTCCCCCCCCCTTCACGGGTCGCATACCCAGCTGCTTGCTTTAAACGCAGGTACACGCACCAGCAGCAGCATACAAATGTCTAGCATATCCCCCATTGTCAAGGCATCGGCGTCATCCTCGACGGCAACCACAACGACCACAAAAACGACCACAACTGTCAACATGGCAGTCCCGCGCACAACAAAGGCAAAACCCGCCGCTGCCAAGGCGGCAAAGGCCAATTCCGACACAAGCTCGACCAACAAGCAGAAGGCGCAGATGCACCGCCGGTCAAGAACAGGTATGCCACACTCGTCGTCTCTCAGACTCTTCCCCCCTCGGACAAGTTGCTGACGCTTTGCTTCTTAGGCTGCTACACGTGCCGGCTGCGGCGAAAGAAGTGCGACGAGGGCTCCCCCATGTGCACGGCCTGCAAACACCTCGGACTCTGCTGCGAGTTCAAGCGGCCGCACTGGTGGAGCAACAACGAGGCTCGTCGCGCCAAGAAGGAAGAGATCAAGCGGATCATCAAATGCACGAAGCAGTCGGAGAAGACGTCGGCACAGCACACAAACATGCAGTCATCGGTACCATCGCCACCGGGCCTGTCGCACTCGCTGCCCACGTCAGCCACCTTCTCAGACCCGCTCGACCGCACGCGATCGGCTTCGGTGGACTCCCACCTTTCCTTCAACTTCAACAGCCCGCCCACATCCTCGTCCGATTACGGTCTGGGCAGCACCAGCGCCTTCTCCACTCCGCAGCTAAACCCTGATTTCATGTTCAGCGCCGGATTTCCTCCATACGATGTGGACATCAAGACTGAGCGCCAAATGTACGTCGACAACGTGCCCACACTCCACGAGTCCACCACATCCACTTTCAGCACATTCCACACGCCACCGCCCCCTGGCACCGTTCTACCGCCGTATCCATGCGGCACTCCTGGCAGCATCGATGTCATTGACGGCACCTACATGGGCGCCCCGGGCATGGGTGTCGCCATGGGCGTCGCCACTGAAGGTGGTGAGTGGATGGAGCAGGTGTACCTGGAGCGACGCGAGTCCATGACAGAGGAGACGCTCAACATGCACTTCTTCGACTTCTCGCACGGGCCGTCGTCGGACTCGCGGCAGGTGGCCATTGAGCTGGACGAGGGCGACCAGAGACTGCTGGATCACTTTGTGCGCTTTGTGCTGCCGTCCATCTTTCCCATTCTCGAGACCAACCAGCACGGCTCGGTAGGCTCGGATCTTATTCTGCCGGCACTGCAGAGCAACAAGTGCTACCTGCACTGCTGTCTCAGCATCGCAGCCCAGCACCTCAAAGCCATGCTGGGCGAGCCGCACGGCTCAGAGCTGGACGGTGATGTCATGCGCCACCGCTACGCCACGATCTCCACGCTGTGTGCCGCCCTGCCGTGCGAAGAGAATTACCAGCAGATTCTGGAGGCCACGCTGGGCATGATCTTCTTCCAGTGCTCTGTCGGTCGCCTCGACGACGACCTCCCAGACGTGTCGTGGCACCAGCACTTTCAGGCTGCCGTGTCGGTCGTGCAGAAGCTGGATCTTCCGCGACTGGTCACTGAAAGCCTGGAGGTGTCATCCCAGGAACCACTGAAGACATCGTTGCCGCAGCCGCAGACGCCGTTCAACATGACCCTCACGGCCTGGATCGACATCCTGGGCGCGACCATGCAGGGACGGGCGCCGACATTTGCGCACACGTACCGGGAGAAGCACCTGTCGCCGGCACATGAAACCTCGCTGGGATTGCGCGAGCTGATGGGCTGCGAGGACCGGGTCATGTATTTGATCTCGGAGATCGCCTGCCTGGAGGCGCTGAAGGCGGGTGGGATGGACGACATCATGCTGTGCCAACACGTCAGCGTCTTGGGCGACCAGATTGGGCTGACGGAGATGGGTGAGGCGCCGGTCAGGCCGCCCTTCAATGCCAACGGCACCCTCAGCCCGAAGCAGCTGTCGAAGAACATGACGGCAGCCTTCCGTCTAGCGGCCCGCGTGTACCTCTGCTCGCTGGTGCCAGGCTTCCATCCGGCACAGCCAAGCTGCATCGGGCTGGTGGAGAAGCTGACGGCAGTCTTGCAGATGATCCCATGTGGTGCAGCCGGCTATGATCGGAGCGTGGTGTGGGTGTATCTCATGGCCGGGGCCGTGTCTGTACCAGGCTCGCCGTTCCAGGATTTTTTTGCGGAACGCATCGAGCAGATGGGCGATCAGGCATACGTCGGCTCATTCGGCCGCGTGGTGTCTCTTCTGCACGAGGTGTGGCACCAGCAGGACCTTTTGCAGCAGCAGGGCCAGCAGCCCTCGTCGCCTGAGTCGGTTGGCTCATCGATGAGCGACAGCCAACAACAATACGTCCACTGGCGGGACGTGATGCAGATGAAGGGCTGGGACTTTCTCCTGATCTAGTTGGCAGGGTCCTCGCTTCTTTCCATGTTTTTGTTTTCTTTATTTTTATGATGGAAGAGGGGTCTTCTTACCGGTTGGGAAGCATTCTGGGATCATATACCCCGTCATAGCATTGGACACTGGAGTTTATGGAAGTGGCCATCCTTGGATAGGATGATAGGATATTGGCCACCCGGTTAGGTGGGATGAAAAGGATAATAGGTAGTCGGTGCCTGGGATATGGCTCACCGTATCATGAAATACGAAAAATCATATGAAATCTACAATTTGATCGCAAGAATCCTGCCTAGTGACAAAGTGCTTCGAACAGATATATAGACAACGACCGCCTTCATTAAGCGTCCCGACTCGCTTCTGCTCAGCGCCAACCCGAAACAGACGGAAGCAAGGCGGTTCTTTCTGTTCTCGCGAACCTTTCTTGCCTTTTGCCGCCCTCTGGCCCTGTCGCTCAGCTATTTAGCCAGGCCAGAGTACGCCACCAGCGATTGCAGAGATCTCAGCGGTTCATGGAGCAGAGCAGCGATACACGGCCCAAACTAGCATGAAGAAGCAGATCCCGCGCGGCTCTCTGGCTGAGGGTGGGGGAAGGGACATATATGGGATATCTCATTCGTCCGTGTCGTCGATTGGACGTCTGTCTCCTCCCTATGCAACCCGCGCGGCACCAGGGCTATGACGACAGGAGCGGCCGGCTGGCCGCACGGCAGCGAAAGGACACATTGCAGAGCAAACCCATGGCTGCTTCCGACTGTTCTTGCCTGTCAGTCATTGTTTCTGGTGTGTAAAAGCGTGCATTTCAGTTGTTGCGATATGCGTCACTGTCCTCACTTTCCAAGGCCTCACTTTCTACGGCAAGACGGCGAGAAGTTGTTCCGGGAATATTGGTCATACGCTCCTGCTCTTAAGCTCTATGATTCACATATCTTTTACATTCTTGTGACTATGACTTTGCCAAACGATGTACATTTCATCGCTCTTTCACCAATATTTCGAGACTTTCTATCACCAGGAAGCCGTCGATAATTTCAAGGACCGTTGCTCAATCCCTTTATTGCCTCGCCAGTGTTCAAAGAGCGAATTTCCGGGCGGCAACCTTCTTTACAGATATAAACCAATCGATCGCACCCAAATGACAAAGAAAGGCAAAGGACCTACACGCCAGGCACACGTTTTTCCTACAATTCCCATTCAAAGAGGCAGACTGCTGAGATCCAATGAAAGCTTGGGGGGCTGTGCTAAGAATAAACTTTGTGGAGCCACAGGCAACCGCCCCCAACGATTGACGGCCAGAGCTCCTCTAACACGGTAGCGACCAAGCGCTTGCACGAACGCAGATCCTCCCACCCAGTCGTTTGGCCGGCTTCTGTGCATCAACGAAACCACGAGGCGGCAGATGCAAGCGACAGCTCGCAACAAGTGGCTAATGAAACGTCTGCATACGTCGTCTCCTCCTGTCCTGTCGCACTGGCTTTCCAGCCGAAGCTCTGTCCGTTTGTTCACGACTCTATTCGTTCGCAGACATACCGTGGATCGGTCTTTCCAGTCCTTTCAGCTCCACCTCTCCTTGTGCTAGCAAACCAGACATCTTGTCGTTTCCTTTGTGCCTCGTGCACTCCTTGGCATTCCGATCCAGCAAAGCGGCATGGTCCACATGGCCAGACAAAGAGTCCTAGTGACAATGTGGCGATCTTTGGTGCATGAACAAACTGGACTGCTCACTTAATCCTGGACCCAGAGAACCAGTCGTTTGTTCGTCCCTCTCGTGCCTGCCTCCTTCTAGAGCCTGCCCTTGGCCTTTCACCGTCTTTCTTTCAGACCCCAACACTGTTCGTCCACGAAACCGCACGTTCTTTTGGCTGCGCCTTTCTACCCTCTTTTATTATCCTTTGGTATTTGAGGTAGCCCACTAGCCTCACCTGGTGGCTTTGGTTGGGCCCCTTGAGGCCCCAAATCGTGCTCATGAATCACTCCATTGCTGTGGCTCCGTCTTGTATTTCAAGGCACCGTCTTGCCGCCAACCTCTTCCCGTTCATACCTTGCTGTTTTAGTTCTGATTTTCAGCTCTTCCTTTCTGCATACCTCTCCCAAATCCTTGTCACCCCCAACACAATTCCAGCCGTGCTGAATACACCACTGACACCCGTACACCTCACAATCACACATATTCTACAAACAACTTATGCCATCAGAGCGAGAGCTTTAAACACATACGCAAACGAACGAGCAACCAAATCGATATGCCTCGCTCAAATATGTCCCGAATACCAACAACCTGGACATTCGTGATACTGGTCTCCATTTGGACACCGCACAACGCCTTTGCTTACTCAGTTTCTATGGATAATCATCCGCTTCTAGTATCACGGTCAGAAGGCTGCTCTTCCAACTTCTTCGCATGTGCAGAAAGCAACCTTCCAAGCAACTTCTGCTGCCCTTCCGGCTCGACCTGCGATGTCCTAGCGGGAAACACCACCATCCTCTGCTGTCCATCAGGAGAAAGCTGCTCAACTATTCGCCCGATTTCCTGCGACATAAGCCTACAAGATGTGGATAACTATCCGAACGCAAGTGTCAAGACTACTGCGCTCAACGGAGTCTTGACACACTGCGGCTCTGGTACTTGCTGTCCGTTTGGATACTCTTGCAACAGTTCCGGAGATTGTACACGGGACGCCGACCAGAATACAGCTCCCGTCACAACCTCACTCACCACGTCAGCAATACCGACAATGACAGCAGGAGCCACAACAGTTTTCTCTTCCTCCACTGTACCGACTTCTTCAGAGACGACTGTCGCCGTAGTGCCGACTACTGACTCGTCACCGACGGCTGCCTTTACAAGCACGACTGGTGCTGGCACCACGACCAGTAGTGAAAGTGCAGCTACAAGCACTAGCAGCAAATCAACCAAACCATTTCCTACCGCATCGGTCATCGGCGGCGTAGTAGGTGGCCTGGGAGGGCTCCTGCTGATCGGCGCCATGGTGTGGGCTGGGAGCTACCGTCTCCGGCGCAAGGGACAGCCGAGCAGTGGGATGCCTGGTGGAAGAAGCTACTACAAGCGGTCCCGGACAGTTTCCTCGTTTGGCAACATAATCAAAAACCCACTGTCGATCAGTTCGCCGATGCTACAAGAGGACACGGCCTTCCGGTCAGATTTTATTCGCAAGCAGTCGACGTCGCCCGTGTCGCACTTCTCGACAGTGGCCAGCGATGGTGGCCAGCGAACGATGAATCCTGGTTTCAGTGGCGCTGGGAGTTACAGAACAGTTTCACCTCCAAGGTCCAGAGGGACTGCTTCTCTGGATGCTATTGTTGTGCCCCCGATTCGAAACATGCGAGGTTCGTTGTCCCGACATCAACAGGAGCAGTGGAAGCAAAGCCTTCCCGGGATGGAGGAGATCAATGTTGGTGCAGACCCAAGCATCGTTGCACATGCTGGCTTCCAAGAAAGCACTATTTTTCCTTCAGCTCTCCAGACACCACCTCCGGTGGCGACGGTAACGGGCAACAGTGGATCTCAGCGGCAACAAAGTGGAATTCGGCAGACAACATTCTCCGACATGATGGCAGCAGCAAGCCTGGACCTCGGCCACTATGTGCCAGACAGCGTGCAATCAACGCCGGACTTACGGCGAAAGTAGAGCTCCAGCCCTTCTTATTTTTTGTATTACTTTGTTTCCTTCGGCTTTTGGGTTTGTTTTGAGTACTTGTTTCTTTATGCATGCATATGATACCAGACAGAGCCTTTAGGGCTAGCATTCGTTTTATACGGCACTGCCACCTGTTCTTTCTCTCCCTACTCGTTTTCGGGTTTGTTTTAAGCTTTGACTTGGGCGTTTGGATACTGCGTAGGTGTTTTTAAGTAGAGCAAGATACGATACAATTGCAGAGCAATATCACTCTTTAATCCATCTTACCAAATAGAAATACACGCAGCTGGTTGTCCACTATCCTAATTCCACTCTTTGCTTGTCGGCTTGTTGATTTTCCTAATACTCGTGATTTTTTTTTGCGTGCTTTGATCTGTCGCAAGGCTTTCGCAGGTATGGTGTTACTACCGTTGTATTGGCTGTTTTGCTTGATCTGGCACGTAGGCGACGACTAGACTGTAATATGTACGAGTCCCATATCACGGCTGTTGCCGGCATTCCGACGATGCCGTATCAGCTGTTCCCAATTTACCCAACACACACAGCCATGCAGGCCTTTTCCCTCTCGTCCTCTGATGCGGAAGCCCTCACTGCTTCTTCTTGGTGCTGGCAGCATTGCTGCTGCTGGTAGCATTGCTGTTGTTGCTGTGGCTGCTATTGTTGTTGTTGCTGTGGCTGTTGCCGTTGCTGCTGCTGTTGCTGGGGCCGGAGCGGCGCTTGGTCTCGTCGTCGGCCTCGCGGCGTTCGGCGTGCCACTGGCCGATCTGCAGGGCGAGCACGCCGACGAGGATGAGGGCCAGGATGGTGTTGGAGGCAGACAGAACCTGGAGGCTGTCCTCGCGGCCGAGGACGACCTCGCCGGTGAGCGGGCCGCTGATGGTCTCAAAGGCCTCGGGGTCCTCCCAGATGCCGGCGCTGACGGTGCGTAGGCCCTTGACGATGTTGGCAATGTAGACGCCGGTGCCGATGAGGTAGAGCACCAGGCTGGCGCCGTCAAACAGCACGTTGGCCTCGGAGGGCCGGAACAGCTTGATGAAGAAGCCGGCAAAGCCGACGCTGATGATCATCGACAGCAGCCGCGCAATCAGCGGCGGCGACTGGTGCACAAACTTGAGGTGCGTCTCTAGCTGGTCATAGTACGCCGGCGGTACCGGGTCCGACGTCCAGAGCAGCGGGAAGTCGTACGGAAAGGAGGCAAAGAGGATGCCCAGAAAGAAACACACGGCTGTCGGCGCAAGAGGTCAGCGCAACGTCGCGAAGAAATCACACGCAAACAATAAGCACCTACGGCCAATGATCATAAACGTCGCAAATGAATTGGAGCCACGGTAGTCCTTGGACTGCGTGGTCTTCGTCCAGTCGACCCACTGCGTGTGCGACATGATGCTTGCGATCGTGCCTCGTCTTTTCACTTCGTTCTCGCGTCTGCCTTGATGCAATGCTTCTGCTGGCGCGCTATACAATCGGGCGTCAGAACCGTGTTGAGATCGGAAGATAGCGCTGTCACAGGATGGCCAGGGGCAATTGAGAGCTGGACGGAACAGGAGGACAAGATGATCACCAAAAGAACAGATCCTGATGAGACTAGGTCGCGAATATTGATTACGTGAGAAACGGGCAACCTAAAATTTCATGCGCTCAATCCAGCGCGATTGCGGAGTAAGAGCTATTACCTATTCGAAGATAAGCCCCACTTGCGCTATTCCTAATACAGAAGGTCGGCTTTCCCCAGCTCAGCCTTCGGTGGACGAAGTTGGATGGTACTCCGTACGGAGTACATATGGTTGGTATCTTATATATTATGGCGTACGATTTCTCCATATGGAGCATACTTCTGCTTCAAATAGGGGCTTTCCAATACGTATGCCAAAATCAAAAGGCGGGCGGGCTTCCGCTGCGGATAATAATACATTAGTGCCACGTGCTTGCCAGACGAAAGAGGTTGCTGACGAAACAAGCAGTTTGAACGAAACAGAGGACAAAATAAAGGTAAAGAGGTCATGCCTACAGTAGGGCAAATAGGACGATAAAACGCGGGATTTCGTAGTATCACGGTAAGGAAAGGACAGAGGAGCTAAGTATAATACAGTTGAGGTCGGACGGGGCAAAGGGAATAAGCAAGGAGACCCAAGAACGGGCATTTGTTAGTAGCAAGTAGAGCAACGAGGGCAGCAAACAAAGGCCAGTCGAAAACGTGGGTATCATCGCACTCATAAGATAAGATGCTGCTCATGCGCGCACGGCGCTCTTGCCAAGCGTCAGCTGGCCCAGGCTGAGAGTCCTGGACGTCTTTCGCTGCTGCTCGGGGCTGTCGCCACCGCTGGGGTCGACGTTGCTGCTGCCGTCTTCCCGGGTCGACGGCCGCTCGAGCTTGCCCATGGCTTGTGGTAGCGTGAGCTTTGTGGCGACAGCGTCACGGATGCTGCCTGTGCTTGACACCGGGGAGGACAGAGGCTCAAGGCTGCGCTTCTGCTGTGCTGCCGGGTCGCGCACGATGGCGTACATGGTGGTGGAGAGGACGTTGATGCGGTCATTCAGCTTCTTGACCTGGGCCTCGAGCGTTTGGCGGGCAGCCCGCTCTGCTTCAAGCTGTGCTGCCATCTCTGCGGCTGAGGCTGGCGACGTGCCGCGACCAATGGAGGCGCCAAGTGCCGGCAGGCTCGCCGCTTCTCTGACTGTGGCTGCGACTGACGGTGGGAATGCCGGCATGGGCACAGGCTTCACCTGCGTGGCCGCCGTCGATGGCGGGTGGAGCGAGCCGATGTAGGTGCGACCTTCGCCAAAGGACAGGTGTGACTGGTGCATGTCCGAGTCGAAGGAGGCGGTGGAGTTGCCGGAGCGGTCTGAATGGCGGCTGCTGCAGCGTGATGAGGCGGCGGGAGCAAAGCGGTGCTTGGCCGATGTCGAGGCCGTGTAAATCGGCCGCATTTCTGCTGTTGCCGTTGCTGATGGCGAGGTGTACATGACCGTGTCGTTGGCAAACGAGTGCGCAGATCTCGGGTGCTCCTTGAGCTCGGCCACGGCGTGGAAGAGCTGGTCGACGACATGCTCGACGCGATGCATGCGGGACTCGAGCATGTCGAGACGGGAGTTCATGTTGGCGGTGTGTGGCATTTCGGGCAGGCCGGATAAGTTGCCAAAGGAAAACGGTTGCATCGCCGTATTCGGCGAGTCCGGGGAGCCAGGTGTGGCAGGCAGGCTGGGCAGAAGGGCGCCACTGAGCCCGCCATTATTGAGAAAGTCCGAAGGGCTTCCACTGTGCCGACGCGCAAGATCGCGTTCACGGATGTCGTCATCGTCGTCGTCGCCGTCCCGGCCCTCAATGCCGTTGTCATCTGCGTGGCCTGTGCGAGTCTCCGGGCCGTCCGCATCCTCGTCGGAGAGAGGAGACATGAGCGTCGGATCGTAGCTCTCACGCCAGTAACGGATCTCATCGCTGCGGCGACGGGACCTGTCCCGACCAAAGGTCAGGTCGCGCAGACCAGACAACGACCGAGAACGTCTCCTGAGACCCAAGTCTGTCGCTCCCACCAGGTCAGATGTGATGGCACGGCCGATCTCGTCAGCGCGATACGGCACGATTCCGTCAACATTGCCTGCCAAGTTCCCTCGGCTTGTGGCAGCACCGCCACCCAGGCCGGTAGATGAGAGCGGATGGTGAGTAGCTCGGGCATGCACGCTTGCAGGTCGGGGAGACAGGCCGGCCCACTCCCCCCCGCCGAGAATGTCTCCGCTGCTTCCGTAACCCCCGGCACCACGGCGCAAGTGGTGCTGTGCAATACGCATGCGGGTTACCGTCGTGGCCGTAGCTGCGGATGAGCGACTGCGAGCGGCGTCGTCTTGGACCGTTGACGGGCCGTCAGCATGTAGGGACGTCCGCACGCTGTCAATGATCGACATGGCGCCAGGACCGACTGAGTGCGACCGGAGTGCGCGACCATACTCGCTGAGGGGAAGCGAGGTCGAACGCCCAGGCTCGGCCTCCTTTGAGATGCTGAGCACAGTGGGATCCTTGTAGCAGTCAGTATGAGGAGGCGCAGGCGGACGACGAAAAAAAAAAAAAAAAAACATACCGAACGCACGCTGCGGTGCAGTGGGGGGGTGTCGTAATGAGAAGCTTGGCTGCTGGGAGGGGGCAAGCTATCAACGTGCTTCCGGCGGCTGAAGAGCTTGCTGAAAGCGCCACGAAAACCAGACTTTTTCCGCTGAGGCCTTATGTCGCTGCCGGTATCTCTGCTCTGGCTGATTCGGGGGTTCTCCGATCTGGCGCTGGCTTCAGAGTATCGCACGTTATTTGGAGGGGCACGTTGCTGAAGGGCCGAGGAAACGCGTTTTGAGCCTCTGGCAGTAGGAGGGGAGTCTGAGAGCAGAGTCGAGCTGGTGGCAATGGCATGTGGTGGCGGTCGCTTCGAGAGAGGGCGCGGCTGTGGTGTGGAAGCGGGTGATAGCTGGCTAGCCGATGCAGGCGAGCTGGTGCCTGCTTCTCTCTGCAGAGGGGAGGGAAGCAGAGAGGCCGATGCAGGCGGAAAGGTCGTTGCAGGGGGTCCGGAAGCGTCGGGTACTGATGCGCTCTTGGCATTCTCGACCGGTGCCGCCACCACAGGCACGACCTCTGCCGATTCCGGGTCGAAAGAAGCGGACTGGACTGGCTTTGGCATGGGACTCGGGCAGGACTCATGCACAGCACCAGACTCACTGGGGACGGACTGCTGCTCTTTGAGGTCAAGGGGATCGGGCATGGGGATTGGAGCCGAGATGCGTCCCCGGACAGACTGGCGCGAGGCCCTGGGCCGGTCTACACCCGGGCTGGAGAGCGGCTTCAACATGGTGGCTCTGTTCATGACCACGAGAGGCGATGGAGTTGGCGGAAAGACGAGGTCGCGGGTTCGTGCCGGCGTGATCCATCGGGCACCGGCAAAGACCGCTGCGCTGGTGGTGGTGGACAGAGAGGACTGAGTGCTGTGCGGCGTGGACCAGACACGTTGAAACGAATGGATGGCCGCTCTGTCCCAGCCAGAGTGGAAGAGAGTGACAAAGGTGAGAGAGCGAAAGGGCGAAAGAGCGACAGAGCGAAAGAGCAAGAGAGAGAGAGAGAGAGCGCCGTTCGAACCAGCGGCAGACAATTAACAGAAACAGACGCTGTGTAGATGAGGGTGGGCGCGACCGTCTTAAGGGGGTGTACTCTGGAGAGAGAGAAAAGAGTGAGTATGCGACACGAGTTCAAGTAAGATACCTGCAATATAATAAGGTGGTAGTATGCAGGGATCCTAGCTGCTGGTTGGCATGCTAGGGCGGTGGGACGGGGGAGAAGGGCCCAAGCCAAGCTTGCAGAGCGTGGAGGAAGGGGAACGGTCCGCGAGCAAAGAAAAAGGCGGGCTCTGCGGGTTTAGAAATAGAAATGATGATGCGATGTATCTGAAGCGGGCGGGCGGTGGCGATGGCCAGGAACGAGGCCAGACGCTGGCAGAGCGAAGCGAAGGCTGTCTGAGAGTTTGAGCAGTTTGACGGGGGGGGAACCACACAGGCCCCGTGGATGAAACAGCCGGAACGGCGCCAAAGCAAAGAGAAGAAACAACGGCGGAGATTCGAGAATGGAGCGACAGTTGCAGCAGGGCGCCCAAAGAGGTAAGGCGCAGCTGCTGGCACGGTAGGATTCAACGTTGCTGGTGGGCCCAGTCGATGCAGGGGCCGAGGGTCGCAAGAGGCCCAGCCATTGTTTGTGTTTGAGCTTTACGCCGTATTCCTTCTGCAGTGTCAGACGTCGGATGTGCCAGGGTTCGGCGAACGGACGTGTTTGCGGCGTGTGTGGTGTCACGGATGGGTCGGGTGGGAGGTCTCGCACCGTGGTTGGTAAGGCTGCAGTGGGAGAGGAGGAAAGAGAGTATAGATGAGGATGAGAGATGAGATTGAGAAAAGGAGAGGATGAATGAAAAGGGAGGAGATGAGGATGAGCAAAGGAGAGGGTGAAAAAGGAGAGGTTGAAGATGAGAAGGGAAAGAAGGCCAAGTTACGAGCTCGTGAGGCCGGACTGGGAAGGCACGGCATCCGTCGCACAGCGGGACAGCGAAACAAGCAGGTGCGACCGGTCCTCCGTATTCGCATACCCGTTTTATGTACAGCAGGCATTACGAGAGCACGGCACGATGCGATGCGCCGGAAGAGAAGCCCAAGCCGGAAGGTAGTGATTAGTCAGCAACAGGGACTCAAGGCTCGGCTGCGGCCTCGGACGAGTCTGGATAGCGCAGATCGGCATGCTCTTCGAGAAAGGCCATCCACTGTTTGAGGAAGGTGCTTCCTCTGGCTGGTTAGCAGTTGAAAGAGGAAGAAAGAAGAAGGAAGAGAGAGGAGGAAAAGAAGAAAGAGGAAAAAAAGAAAGAGGGGAAAAAAAAAAAGAAAGCTCACCGTCCTACAGTCTCAGAGTCGCCGATGACGGTGAGCGACCGTTTTGGCCGTGTCATGGCCACGTTGAGGCGGCGGCGATCGGCCAGGAAGCCGACGTCGGCGGTCAAGTTGCTGCGCACCAGGCTGAGCACGACGGCCTCCTTCTCGCGGCCCTGGAAGCCGTCGACGGTGCCGACCTCGAGCCCGGCCAAGGCGGTCTTGAGCGGCGCCAGCAGGGCCACCTGGGCGCTGTAGGGCGTGACGACAGCAATGTCCTGGGGCCGGACGCCGGCGGCGACGAGCGCGCGGACGTGCTGCCGCACGAGGGCAGCTTCCAAGGTGTTGTGTTTGCTGTCGGTGAGTTTCCCTCGGGATGTCTGCTCGCTCGTCTGGTCCCCCTCGGCAAAGTCGCCGCCTTGCGTGTCGATAAAGACGAGCGGCTCGCGCGTGTCATCCGTGTCTGCTACCGGACAGCCGTCGTCTGCGTCGCCGTAGCGCAGATCTCGCAGCAGACGGCCGGCCACAGCCTCGGCCGCCACCAGGTGGCCACCGTAGAGCGTGTCGGACGGGAAGCGCATGATGCGCTCGTGCATGCGGTACTGTGTCGTCAGCATGCGCTTGATCGAGTCGCCGTGTAGAGCGAGAAGGCGGTCGAAGAGGGTGTATTCGAGGGAGAGAGTGGTGTGTGCTTCGTTTTCGGCTTCTTTCCCATCTTCCTTTTCGCTCTTTCCCTTCTCTCCTTTTCCACTCCCTCCCTTTCCCTTTCCTCCCTTCTTTTTTCCCCCTCCCCCTCCACTGCCCCTCGACTTCACCGTCGGCGGCAGCTGCAGGTGATCTCCCGCACACACCACCTTGCGGGCGCCCAGCAGCGCCACCCAGCACTGTGCCTCGAGTGCCTGGCCGACCTCATCGATGACGACCACGTCAAAGTTGCGGCTGGCCTGGTCGCCGGCCGCCACCCGCAGCTGGCTGCCACCGGCGCCATGCAGCGTTGCCAGCACGACGCGGCTGCCGGCGACGAGGTCGTGGACGCAGCGCCGCTCGCGGTCGCGGTATTCGCGGCGAAGCGCCCGCAGCTCGCCGTAGACAGAGCGACGGGCCGCACGTCGAGCGGCGGCCGACAGCTTCTGGCCTTTCTGCAGTTGCCGCAGCTCGTCCTGCTGTCTGTCCATGTCGGCACGCACGTCGCGCACGATGGCGCCGGCCTCGGACGTCTGGGTCAGCACGTCGAGCGCATAGCCGGCCACAGACGGCAGCAGGCGTGCCGGATGGCCCAGTCGCACCATAGGAACGCCGTGTGGTCCCAGCCGTTCGACCAGGTTGTCAACCGCAATGTTGGACGGCCCGCACACCAGCACGCGCTGGCCGCGACCGACCAGCTGCAGGACCAGCTCCACCAGCGCGTGCGTCTTGCCGGTGCCAGGCGGCCCGTGGATCAGGGCTACCTCGGGCGCTGCCAACGCAAACCGCACGGCCGCCCGCTGCGATGCGTCCAGCGAGCCGTCAATCCAGCGAATCGCGTCCTCCTCGTTCTCGCGTGCCGCCGGCGACGGCGATGCCTGCCCAAAGAGCACCCGCATCAGGCTCGTGTACTCGCTAGATGGCATCGTCTGCAGCGTCTGCATCGCCGCTGACATGCGCCGGAAGGTCACGTCGTCCGCCAGCTTGACCAGCCAGACGCGACCGGCCAGCAGCACGTCCACGGCTTCTTCTCTGCTGCTGTCGCTGTCGCCCTGGTCGAGCCCCACGTCCAGTCCTGTCCGCCGCACCCGCGTGATCACGCCTCGTGACCCTCGCTGCTCCAGCTCCCGCATCTCCCGCTTCTTCGCGCTGCCGCCTGGCTGCTCGGCCACCAATACAATGTCGCCGGTCCGGAGGCCGTGTTCCGGCAGCTCGCTGCCGTCTTCACTGTTCTTAGCCACGCTCAGCGCTCCGTCACGCACCAGCGTCAGCACAGTTCGCCCGCCCATGCCTGTCCGCCGTCCGTCCACGACTAGGTTCGTCAACGCCAGACCTGCCCGCTGTAGTGCTGCTGGCGTGTGGCTGCCAATGGCCGTCGCCGTCTCTGCCATCTCGCTCTGCAGCTCGGCCGTTAGCAGGTCCAGCTGCGCGGCCGCAAACGCCGGAATGTCCACCGCCATAGGCTCTGTCCGCTTCTCCGTGGCCGCCATCGTCGTGTGTGCTGGTGCGTTTGCGTGTTTGCGTGTTTGCCTCCGTCGTGAAAGCTGTCGTCGAGTATCACGTGGGGTTAATGGGGATACAGCTCACGTGACCCGCGCTTGTGGATCCCGTGATATGCAGCAACCGGAATATGTATGACACGGGCAGTATAGTTATGTACAGCACGTAATACGCCTGAACATGTCCTACAATCACAACAGACCGCTACAATCATCATCGTCGAGCAGCTGGCAAAGCAGTGACGAGGCCGGCTGGTGGCAGCTCCAGTAGCTGCAGTGCACGTGCTTTCCGGCCTAGCGCCATTCTGCGTCCGTTGACGTGATTTCCTCTTGGCAGGTGCATATATTATACGGAGTACATAGTCTGCACATACGGAGTATATGCACAAACATCAAGATGGTCCAATGCGATGATTCAGCCCGTCCATTCAGTCCGCCGAGTCCCAGTCCAATCAACCCGCAGAGCCCCAGTCCGTCCAATCCGCCGAGCCGTCCTCTGAGCCGCACCCGCTCTCCAGCCTCTGTCCGCCCGCAAGACCGCATCGAGGTCATTCTCGAGATTGGCCGTCGACGCGCCAATTCTCTCTACGACACCGACACACCGCGTGCTCCTGTCGTTCCAATGGAGTCTCTGCTCCACAATGACAGTGCCGCCGGTCGACCGATCGACTATCAGAGCACGGCCGTGACCTCAGCCAGCAGCACACCCCCCCGACGACGCAGAGCACCGCCTACAGCGACGTCCGAGGCCAGTCACGACAGGCCAGACGGAGCGGAACAGCCGCTGAGCTGGTGGGCGTCACTGCTGGCTAGTGTGCAGACGCTGGAGCTAGAGAACAAGGGGAGTGTGGCAAGGGACCATTTGGCATTGGGTGAGTGTCTGTTGTTTTGATTCTGTTCTTGTCATCATCTTCCTTTCCTCTCTTCTCGTCTCCTCGCTTCTCTTTTTTTTCTCATCTCGTCTTCTCCTCCCTCCTCCTCCTCTCTCCTCTTTCTTTTCTCCTCTTCCCTCCCGCTAATCCCCCAGAACGAACTTTCCTCGCTTGGCTGCGCACCTCCCTCGCCTTTTCCTCCATCGGCATCGCCGTCACGCAGCTCTTCCGCCTCAGCACCTCCTCCGACAGCAGCTCGCAGCTCGACGCACTTCACCGCGTCGGCCGGCCGCTGGGCAGCACCTTTCTTGGCATCAGCATCTTGATCCTCTTCCTGGGCTACCACCGCTACTACCAGAGCCAGCAGTGGATCCTGCGCGGCAAGTTTCCGGCCAGCCGCGGCACCGTGCTGCTCGTCTCCGTCGTGGCCTTTGCCCTGATGGTGGCCTCGCTCGTCGTCGTCGTCGTCGTGCAGCCGCACGGCTGAATTGGTGGCTGTGACGGCTTTGATAGACCCATATCTGTCTCAATTGACCTTTTTCTTCACTCCTCTCGTCCATCACCCTACCACTACCGCCGCCAGCCTCTCACCGTCTCCGTTCCACAGCGAGATGCACGGCACCACCGGCACCGACGTCCACGTGATCGCCGACAGGCTGCAGCTGGCCGGGTCCACGTACACCAGCTCGGCGGCCGTGCCATCGAGCAGGGCCGCCTCAGCAAGCGTGCCGGCGTCAGCACCACGTGGCCACATGCGCACTGTTTGTTTCAGGCGGCTGTCTTTGACGGCCGTCTCGTATTGCACGAAACCGCTGCCTGGGCCATGTCTGGTGGTGTGCTGCTCGATACTACCGGCGGTCACGTGACTGAAACCAGCAAGCGCATGCCATTCGACCGCAGCTCCGCGCGGCAGCTCCTCGACCTCGGCCAGGAAGACAGGCGGCACGGTCGAAGACGACGCGGATGCTGGGGCGACCGCCGTCCAGTCTGGGAGCTGCAGGGCCGTGCTGCTATTGTTGCTGTCGTCGCCTGCTAGCTGGTAGTGCCGGGCGTCAAAATGGCGATCCCATAGGTCCGGTCCATCGTCGTTGTCATCGTCGCTGCTGTCTGCCAGCTCTGGTCGCCACGCATGGGCAGCCCGCCAGGCCTTGGCGACGTCGATGGCCTGGCGCGACAAGCCACCGGCCGCCAGACCGCTCTGCCGCGGCACGTAGGCCACAGCACCAGCCCACCAGCGGACGTCAACAGCAGTGCCGACGCGCCAGAGATGCTGCAGGGCCAAGGTGGCCTGAAAGGCGAAGGAGGCGGGAGGAGACGGGGCGCGGACGGACGACGATGCCAAACCGGGGCCCGACACGACCAGTGGCAGCAGCTGCTCGCCAACCAGGGCACCGGTCTCGACCGCGGCATCAGGCAGGTCCATGGAAGCGGGGACGAGCGGGATCTGGCCGGCGATGCAGACGAGACGGGGACCGTCAGCCTGGTCGACATCGCCATCGACATCGACATCGACACGCACCGAGACGGCCTGGCTGTAGGGTCCAATGTTGGCGGGCGCCCAGTAAGAGCGCGACTGCACGTGCAGCCCCTGGCGATCTGAGGAGAGAGTCGGGGTTGAGGTCAAGGCGGCCAGAGGAGGCAGCAGCACGGTCAGATGCACGGCCACGTCCAGGCCGTCTGGCAGCAGATCGCCGCACGAGATGGCCACGCGAGCCGGTGGGTTCGGCTGGGCACTGCCAAACAGCCGGCCGTAGACCGCGTTGACGGCAGCAAAGTCGGCCATGCGGCGCAGCACGACGAGCGTGCGGATGATGCAGTGCGTCGGCTCGGGCGGTGATTCGGTTGTCGGCCACAGCTGCTGCAACCGGACGCGCACCTGGTCGACGACCGACTGGGCCGCCTCGCCAATCAGACAGTCGCACTGTTCCGGGAGGACAGACCAGGTCGAAATCGGAAGAGACAAAGTAGGGAAAGTCGAGATCGGGATAGACGTCGATGAGACCGTCTCAGCAGCAGTCAGACTCTTCATGTCGGCCAGCACGCTCTCAAACCGCGGATCCAAAATTCCAGGCACGCGTACCTGAGCCGTCTGCTTGTCCTTTTTTTCGTCCTCGTCCTCCCTCCCCTTTCCCTTCACCACCGCCTTCCCAACCTGCAGCCACGCACTCCCGCCGCCCTCTCGCACCACCCGGCAGTTCTCCTCGGCCACGGCCACGGCTCCGACACGAAACAGCGCCCGCGGCCCGTCCAGCACCAGCGTCTCGTACTCGCCACCCTCGCCCAGCAGCATGGCCACGCTGTCATCCGCACAATTCTCTCCGTTCAGGCGGCCAAATCGCTGCAGTGCCCGCTGCAGCCGTGTCTGGCCGCTCGCGCTGGCCACATCGGCCCACAGCATCTGCTCGTCCAGGCCGCCGCTGGCCACCTTGACGATCCGGGCATCCAGGCCGGCCAGCCCGAGGTCGCCCAGATACGTCGACCGGCTCGACGACGACAGCTGCCGCGGCAGCTGCCAGAGATAGGCCAGCGATACCAGTCCCAGACGGCCGGCCACCGACTCGACCCGCGTGCGCTGGTACGTGCTGAGGATCGCACCCGCACACACGGCCTCGGCTGACGGGTGGGCTGCCATCACCCGGCGCAAGAGCCGCGTCATCGACTCGGTCTCGTCTCCCATCGTCCCTGTCGTCCCCGTTGTCGTCTCGTCCGCCGCATACTCCCGGCCCTGCTGCACTGCTTGGCCCTCGATCGCCTGTCGGTACAGCGGCAGACCTGTCACCTCGCCGTACAGCGGCACCACCTCGTGACCAACCGTCTGGTACATGAAGCTGTTCAGGTCGCCCTCCTCACCCTCCTCACCCTCGCCTCTCTCGTCCCCTGGGTACAGATTCGCTAGCGCCACCACCTGGTGTCCCTGCACCAGACAGTGCAACAGACTGTAAAAGCTGTCCTTCCCCCCCGACACCAATCCGATCACCTGGAGGCCCATCGTGCCACTATACCTGGACTCTTCACACCCTTCTGGTAACACCACACCGGGCAATCTCCCTCTTTGGGAACACTCTCCGTTGATCTGATCACCTTTCAACTCAGCCGCTCTTCAATCCCAGTTTTACACTCACGCCCGGGCTGGCTAGCTGGCTGGCTGGCTGTTGTGAAATTGCGTCCTGGTAGCCTTGGCAAATGTGCCCGACAAAAAAAGCAAACTAAAGTGGGGCTAAGCCTCGCTTTTCTGCCTGTCTGACATTGTCCGATTTGCCCCAAATACTCCGGATGCTTCCTCACGTTGTATCCTTGCCACAGCTCTCCGTCTTTTCCCAACTGCAATTTTGTTTCCTTTATTTAGCTTCTGCTCCGCTCTTAGATCCATGTTTCCTCAAATTAATTTGCCCGGTCCACGCCGTTGTCTCCCGATCGCGCTTTGGCCGTCCCGCCAGGCTTCTGATAAACCTAAACAGGGAAAACGGGAAAAAGAAATTATCACCGATCTAGACCAACTCTAGTTGGTGTCGCCTATTTCGATCTACACACACAGACGTACGCTATGTTGCGGCTGTAGTACACCATTGTCACGTGCTGGACCGATTATTCCATTTCGCCTACCATCTCCTTGACAAGTCATAGCACCATCACTTCACAGAGCACACATCACAAGCTCAAGAAAGTCTAGCTGAATACTGATTCCAATTTGATTTGTCTCCGTCTGCGACTGTGACCTGCACACTCCTTGACTTGGGGGGGAAAACCAGCGTGAAAAACAAATTCGAATCCAGGAAGAGAGACAGAATAGAACACAGAAGTACAACGGGGGAAAAAGTGAAAAGCTGGCTGTCTGGCTGCAGTTCACCGCCAGCACACTCTTATCTGCCCTTCTTTCAGGTCATGAAGCCAGAATAATACTTCATGCCGTCAACGGTAGAGCATTCCTTCTCGACAAGCCTCCCATACCACCACCTCTCAAATACAAAATTTAGATGTAACTCCTCCCCTTTTCCAACTGTGATGACGCTTTTTTAGCAAATCGTGATGGGCTCTTAAACATTCGACAGTAGAACAACAAAACAAGATACCTTTCGGCCGGAAACAGACAAGGGGTGTTGATACAATATTGCAATAATATAAAACCTGTGAAATGCCACAAACCCTTTTTTCCTGCCAATTTTTCATTGGGTGTCCGCGGCAATCAACAAAAGCGCAACACGGCGCCTCTAAACACCACAGCCAACCCTAGGGACCGTTCCGCATAAAAGTAGCGGTCATCGGTCTGAAAAGAATGTGTCATCAAATTCGTATCGGACATGCGATTGCCAGGTCGGCTGCCCAGAAGCAGCCGCAGCCAGCCGAAGAGCCAGTAAGCAAGCTTACTCAGACCGCTTCCGCTTCTTCTTGCCCTGGCCATCACCGCCGTCGTCTGATGACACTTCGCTTGCGCTGCCCGGGATCTCTGCAGCCACCTGGAACAGCACCCGTCCCATGTTGGAGAAGTCATCGCCCATGGCAGCCGCATGCTGCGCATACATGGGGTGTGGCGGATACGATGCTGTTGCCGCCGCCACAATCTCCGCGTCGTCGTACAGGTTCATGACGAAAGCACCTGCACCATGTGTCCGGGCATGCTGCGCCAGGTTGTCCGACCGCGAAAACTTCTTGCCGCACTCGTGGCAGCTGAACGGCTTCTCCTGTGTGTGCAGAGACCGGTAGTGCCTCTTGAGGTGCTCCTGTCGGCGGAACCGCCGGTTGCAAAGGTCGCATGCAAAAATCTTCGACGGGTCCTCAGTCAACGACTGCTTGCGGCCCCGACGGTTCGTCGAAACCGGAACGCTCGGCGTGTTGCTGTTGCCATCCATGTTCTCTGGGCTGGCAGATCCTGCCGAGTCTGTGTTGTTGTCCGACGAGTCATTCTGCTCGTCCGAAACACTGGACACCTGCTCTACCTCATTCGAGCCAGCAGAGTCTGACGCGGCCGTGAAAATGTTCATGCCGGTGGACACTGTCCGCTGGCGCTTGTGCGACTGCTGGGCCTCCATCTCCAGAGATGAGTCCCAGGTGTCAAAAAACTGATCGCACTCAAAGTCCGAGTTCGCCGAGATCGAAGAGCTGGAGCGTGACCGGCTGGCCAGGTCCGCGGACGGAGATCCCGCAGAGATAGCAGACAGCTCACCACCAAGGTTCACCAGCCCATTTACAAAGTCATCCTCCGACTCCAGCTCCGGAAAGTCGTCCAGGCCAGTAACACCGTGCACAAGAGATTGCTCAAAGTCAACAGCACAGACAGCCACACCATGTGCTTCAGGCGACAGCGGCTCCGTCTTCAAGGAATAGTCGTCATCCACATCAGAGTGCAGAGTAGAGAATTCTGTCGACAGATCACTGTCGACCGCGCTGACAGTCAGGTTCCGAGGGTCACAGAAATCGTTGTCCTGCTCAGATGCAATGGATCTCGGGTACGGGGAAGGCGAAGGTGAGAGAGAAGGGCAAGCAGACACGGAAAGCAGCTCGTTGTGCACCGAGATGGGCGCGTGTGAGTTGTCAATAGGCAGAATCTGTTGTGCGTGGGAGTGGACAAACACTGGGGAGCATGCGTTAGCAACGGTTGTTCACTAGTGTTCGGGAGACACAAAGACGGAAAGAATTGAAAGGTGCAGCGAGGGGCCCGCAGAAATTTATTGTCATGTATGTGAGACCACCTCGGCCGCTCATTGGTGTACGGGCTGCCGCTTCTGGTCCCCTGTGGAATTGAATGGGATAATCGATTGCGGAACCAAGACTCACCAGGTGTCAGCGGAGGTGAAGAGCTCCATCCAGTCATGGACCCATTATCGGGCACAAAGTCGGTCGGGCACGCCTCCTTCAGGTTGCGGAAGCTGTCCAGCCCTGAGAACATGGGGTTCAGCGGCGTGGCCAGCATGTCACAGCTGCCGGGGCTGCTGATCGCGCTGGACACCGTCGACAGCGGCGGTGTGGACGGATAGTGCAGGCCATCGGCGTCGCAGAGCTCAGTCTCCAGCATGATAGTCGGCTTGTGCATGATGTGGCCGTTGATAATGGCCGAAGATGTTGCCGGCGGCGAAGGCATGGGGGCCATGATGCTCGACGGCACACTGGTCATTGATCTGAGCGGCTGCATCTGCATCTGCTGCTGCGAGCACGACGAATTTGGCCGCGAGTAGATGGGTGTTGACGGCAGAGTAGGCACTGCGTACGACATCTGGTGGTGCTGCATGAAGTGGTTGTGCTGCCGGGCGGCCATGCTCTGTTCTGGGTTGTAGCAGTAGAACGCCGGGCCGATGTTGGACATCATGGACTCCATTTCGATCCTGTTGGGATGTTGTTAGCCTCGTCCTTGCCGACAGCGGTGTCGGACGGGGTGACTCACGAAAGGTATACCTGGCTATGCCAAGAATTGAAGTTATAAATTAAATATACAAAATCCGCAAATGTGAGGATAGTGTAGTGGTTTGGTGCAGTGTGTTAGTATACAAGTTGTTCGTATTGGGCTGTTGCATGGGACGGTGGCCCAAGGAAGGACGTTGACCGTTCGGTTCCTGTCAGTTGAAAGGAGTGGATGCGAGGCGAGTCTAAGTTGTAGTCTCGAAGCTATATTGAGGATAGGTCGAGGCTGTTGCGAGTGCTGATGTACATTAACTACCCTGTCGATACTAAGTCGCTCTTTCCTTTGACTGTCCAGTAAGGTAGGCAGTATAGCAAGGATGGGTGGGAGGGAAGAATAGTATATATATAGAGCGCAAACGTCGAGATATTTTGTGGACGAGCGAGTGGGAAAGAGCAATGTCGTGATATAAATGAAGGGCAGGAACGAGTTCCAAAAGTCGAGTTGCTCTAACGAAGGATGAACCGCGAGGTGTGAAGTAGAAGCCGGTAATGAACAGAACACAAAAATACAACACGGACTAGATTCCAAGTAAACGGATCAAGAACAACCGTGAGCAGGAGAGGTGGGAAGACAAGCGAACGAGCGTGGTGAGGGAAGGGGAACCGATGGAGGATAAGTAGTTTGCGACGAGGGTACGAGGATATGGAGAGTCAGAATAAAATAATAAGAACTGAGTGCATGGAGGAGCCAGGCCACACACACCTCAGAGCGATCAACGAAAGATAAAAAAGGCCGTGGATGGGATGTGTCGATAGGCAAAGTGGAGCGCGAACCGACCAAGAGGACAAGAGGCCAAGAGAACCCATATGAGAGGGAGGGCCATAACGGACGGTTGGAAGAAGGGCTCCACCAAGCACCGCGGTGGGTTGGACCTGGAGCGGGGCCGTCAACCCATACACCCTAGTCGAACATGTCAGCGTTTTTGGTCCTCCATGGTGAGACAAGGGTGCTTCGCTGGCAAGAGAAGGGGAGGCAAGTGTGGGCGGGGGTGTGTAGCAGACGGGGGGTGTTGAGAATTGAGAATTGGGGGGGTGGGGGGTGTGGGCACGAGCAAGAACAACCGACCCCTCCCCTGTCTTTATTTTTCCCCTCGCTCGGTCCACTGCCTTGCTGCATGCTGTTTGGGGGCAAGACCAGAGAAGCAAGGTACGTCGCACCCCATCTGCATGGTTGGTGTGTACGAGTAGGGTCAAGGAAGCAGGAAGGCGCAGCACTGTCTACTTTCGTACACAAAAAGTACGTACTATTATTCCCATGTTCTAATTCTGGACAGCGGGACCACCCCCCTGGTGGTCCCATTGGCCAGCACACCACTGCGGTCTGTAGCCACTGAACGGATAGAGGCACTGTACGAGTACGCGAGCAGAAGAGAGAGGAGTACGGGTACCACATCTGGGCCCAATGGAATCGGGTGGGCCCTCGCCAGAGAAGAGACGAGAGAAGAGTCGGCGAGCACACTGCACACTGCACACTGCACACTGCACAGTGCCGATATCTGGTTCTCGTACTTGACCAAACCCGCTGGCGACGTGCATGCATCCGAAAGCCGTCGAGACAGCCACTCACGTATGCTGAGTGCATGCAGCACTGGCGTTTGGAACCGGCGAGCGCGATAGAGCAAGGCGCCCTCTCTAAAAAACCGCCTGAGCCAGAGGGTCCTGGTGTGCATCGCCGCCAAACCTGCATATCCGGTTGTGCGGCCCCCTGTCCTGCTGGACCTGCAGGCACACTTCTTCTCTTTCTCGCTTTTTCCCACTGGGTACAGGTATCGTGGCGTACGAGTAGTGACTTATGCCTCTCGGTCGGAGGCCACCGGTAGTTGCTCGTATCTTACGACCATTTTGCCGTGCTTGTGGAAGGGCTCGGCTTTTTTTTGGTGCAAAACTAGCGTGGGCAGATAGGACGTCCTCAAAACGACGGAGCTGCGGCTGAATGCCGTATGTGGTCTGTCTGGCGGTTTGACGAAAAAGATACTGGAAAAATTCAGTATCTCGAATGGCAATCCCAATTCTGTAGTCCAAGCGCTGAGCATGTGGCCAAGTGATCGAACAGCTCATTTTTTAGGATAGCTTCACATCCGTGCTTGTTCTGCTGGTTGGTCAGGCGAAGGATAAGCCTCCAAGTGATAGCCTGAACGCGTAGTTGGAAGTCGACCAGTCGAATCGGTCGTCACCCAAGACAGAGACAGGCGCCAGAGAGAATATGGAAGATCCCAGCAGCTATTGGCTCTTTGATGCAAAGGCCTTCCCGTCACATCTAGTTTTCTGGAGGACTATTCACAGTCACGCGTTGCCGAGCTCCGTAATCCTACGCGCCAAAATACGCGCCGTGTCCAACAAACAGCCTCCGACATATTTTCCTTGGTTTTTTTCTCAGCCCTTTCTTCAGCAGCAGGCTTTTGCACTCGTAAACCCCATTCCAGCCACGAGGCAAAGGGAGGTTGTTAGCGAGGGATGCAAAAAGACACTGGCCAGGCCAGAATGACGTGGAGCTTTACGGTACAGGCTGGCAACACCTAGCATCGTATCTTACTTGGAACAGACCGCTTGCCAGAAGCAGCCGGACGTGGGAAAAGTTGGCGCGAGCTCCGCAGACCGTTTGACGCAGCGATGCTGCAATAGCAGGCCTGCTAAGAACGTGGTGTTATTGGTATACCTCGTAGGCATATAGCATAGCGCAAGCCGGGGTTACGTGCAAGGTGGAAGGAAGGTGCCGCACTTGGCAGCGAGTGCATCTTTTGACACAACTTGCCCCCTTTGGTACTGGCGCCACCAAGCCATTCTAGTGCCCATTGCGCAAATATTGTGAACACCCTGTCCATACCTCCAGACTTAGCACAATTCCTATTAGTGCTTATGCACGAACCGCCAGACAAGGAACAAGCGACACAAGACGGTCCACTTTTGCAGCGGAACGAGAGGGAAAAAATGGCGCCGACTGTTGGGCAAGCCCATTTCAGCCATTCTCTGGTCGGGTGCCCGTGCTGATACATAGCCCGATATCTCAGCAACGATACCAAGATACGAGATGCAATTCGTACGGAATACATTCACGCTCGCAGCCAGGCCGCCGCAACGATGCGATACGTTCCTGTCTCTAGCGTGTGACGGAGAGTCCCCGTCCGATGCGCCCCGGCTCTGCAAGTATTGCTCGTACGCGTACGCTTGCTCATGTTCGCTCGTATACGGAGCGCTCTTCCGTGGATCTGTCTTCTCCACGCCAGCGAAATCTTACGTTCAGAGTCCGTCCCATCTATGCCGCGTCCGGGTGTATGTAGCCAGGGTGATACTCCGTATGTACTCGGGACGGCGGTGAGCGTGAGCTCAGACCACTCACACGTCCCGCTCCAAGACGTGCGGGGGAATGCGCATGCATGCAGAGCGAAGAAGCCAGGAAACGGCGGCCGCTGACCGTATCCCCATGACGCTTGTGATGCATGGACCAGCCGACGACGGTCAGAGCAACTGTGTCGCCAGAGGACGGGAAGGACGGAAGAGACGGGGCGGTTGTCAGTAGTCACCGGTCGCGAGCCGTATCGCTCTTGACTTGGACCTGGCCACGCGTGTGTGCGAGTACGAGCCCCAGAGCCAGAGCCAGACTCGATGCTTACTCGTAGACGCCCCAGTTGCCTGTTTAGATCAATCAGCCCTGCGGTGTTGCCACCGCTTTTGTTCCTTCCTGAAACGGTTATTTGTACCAATAAGATACGAGTACGCGCACTATGCACGATGTTCATGCCTGAATCTATGGCAATCTCACGCTTTTTACTGGTGGCTGTCTCGTTGGCATATTCGCTATCAACATGTTCAGAGGCGCCGAGGGAAAAAAAAAAATGAAAAAAAATGAAAAAAAAAAAATCACGAGACAAAAGAACCGCAGATTACGCATCTGTACGAGTACTTCCCTCCGCATGACACGTCAAGCCCCCAATGGGCGGTCACCAATACATACCCCGTACTGTTCTTGTTCGTATTCAGCAAAGGCCTCATACGGTGTACACCCCGTAGGAGTACGGAGTAGTCTGTTATGGGGTTGGCCAGCACCGGGACAAGTTCCGCCTCGGCCGGCCCCTGCGACATAGCATCGCCAGGTACGAGTACTCCGTACGGAGTACTGTCGTTCTTTTCTTTTCTTCTTCGCCTCCTCACGCTACACCGTACACGCGATCGCATGGGCCTTTTTTCGCATCTTTCTTGCATGCGCACTTCTGGAGGCTAATAGGCTCTGGCCTCTACCAACGGCGGCAGTTGGTCTCCTGTCTCTTACGGTTGTTTCAGAAAATGGGGCGCCCTGCTTTTTTAGTCTCTGACCCAGAAAACGCAAACAGAAGGCCGCCCATACTTGCTGGCACGGTGCGCCGAGTGGTGCTCACCAGTAAATATCGTACTGGACGGGGCACTGCTGCAGCCATTCACAGCCTGAAGGCACCTCTGGTTCTGCGGCCAGTATCAGACTTTACTGCCTGATTCGTGCCGTCTGTCTGCGAAACTTGATCCCGCATGCTGCTACCCTATCGTGCTGCGCCTCACTACAACCCGCCACTCGCCCTCCAACGTCGGCTCTCTCCGTGCCACTGCCATTCGTCTGTCTGGATCGGCGAGTAAGGTAAGAGCCACTATCAGTTTCATGGCTGGCGGCTTCCTCTTCCTCCTACCACCAGCTAGGCCGAAACAGGCTTACGTTGCATGGCAGGCACGGCTTCGCGCCATTTGTGGCCTGTAAACGCGTCACAATCCCCTTCCCCCCTTCCTTGCATTAGTTGATCAAAACATGCATGGGCAAAAAACCAGTGCACTATTACTCGTACGAGCTCAGGCCTCCTCGGCCATGCATAGGTTGCACTACTCGTACTCGCAATCCATCGCGTTTTTTTTTATCCTCTTTCCTTTTTCCACCACATCAGTAATGCATGAGGGAGGCCCTTGCACAAATCGAGGGCGATACGAGTCTTGCGTCACCGGAAATAGTCAAACAGCCTCGGTCAAACGAGGGCGACGACAAGCCGACCGCCCCGAAGTTGTGGGAACGCTCCGATCTGCTGGCATGCCCGGCACCGCACCAAGCGGTGGCTCACTGGCAACCTCTGTACCTGTATCTTGCTCGTGCTCGTACGTCGCTGCTAAAAGCCGATTGTAAAGTACCTCTGTACCGCCGGCAAGACATCTCGCCACGGCCAATCCTCGTATGCGCGTTGCCACAGTCGTCCCGCAGATGCAACTGCACCTGCAGGAACTACAAATCATATGCAAGGTACGCGAACGAGCACATTACGATACGCCCCGTGTCCTGCTCGGCTGACAGGCTAGAGTCTTGCCGTGTCTCCTTCCTACCTATCCGAAGCAGCGCACGGTATCATAGCCTTGTCCATTGTCGGGCACGAGCGTATTACTGGTATGGGAGATACCGTGTGGCACGGTGTTTTGTTTTGTATTTCGTGTTCAATTTCCGGGAGGGTGCCTCGAGCAGGCTCGTCTCTCTGCCAGAGTCGCGCACTCGAATCTTACAAGAGAGAAACGGTGTTGCACTGGAAATGGAACGGCCTGCCGGCCGGGTTCGATGCTTCATTTTGCATGGTACGTTATATGTCGGGGAGGAAAATCGCCGCCGCTGTCCCATGTCACGGAACCGATACCCGGGACAGGCCTATCCGGAAGGGAAAATTGAAGACCAATACAGAGCCGTATAAGATCACCGGTCTCGTACCAGCAATGGCCAAAAGTCATTTGTTGCAGGCATTGCATATGCCAATGCGGCATAGCGTACGAGTAGCCTGTATGTACCTACAAGGTCCCCTGGCTCAGACCCCTGGCCCAAGGCCCAAGGCACGGGCGTGGGCCGCGTCCAGGCCCGCCTTCCTTCCCAACCCCATTGGTCTCTCATTTCCTCTTTGCGGACAGCAGAGCGTCGCCTCCGGCCAAGGGTCTGAGAACAACGGAAGCTTCTCCTCGCCACAGTCTCGGGTTCATGGATTTGGCTTGCGACGTTGTCAAATTCCGGCGGGCAGACTAGTTGCATAGTGTCAGAGTTGGAGATTTGGAGCGACAAGCCAGCCCTGCAAGTCTTCATTTCAGATCCGGCGCCCGTACCGTATTCGGTTTGCCCATAGGCCCACCAAAACGATACGCCGGCTGCTCTGCCGGTTGCCGTAATTCAGCCAGTGCAACTCCCAAGAGATACCGCTTGATTGAAGAATACCCATACGTCGTACAGGCTCTCACCGCACGCTAGGTCGGTATTCAGATCTACAGTCTCGTTGATTCTAACGAGGGTTGTGCCTCATGCCTCGGCACCGAGACCGCTCTTTGCGCAAGAGCGGTCAAGAGCGGCGGTGCGCGGTGAAGGCGCCGGAAGCTCTGAAGCACTCCGGGGCCGGGGGGCCCGCCACGGGCAAGCTGTGTGTGTTATGCACTGCTCGTACCGAGCTGCCGTCGTTTGATCTGCCAATGCTGGCACACTGAGGGGGGGGGTTCTGCCGCTCACACAGCCGGACCCGTTGGGCAGACTGCTCCATACATGGAAGGCCTCTGCGAAAACAGAACAAAAAAACGGTCAAGAAGCAGGCATTACCGTTACGTCGGCGGTGGTTCTCGACTAATCTTGCAATTCCCAGGGCGAGATATACCCGTACGATACATACCGCCAGTCGCCAATCACCCAGCCGGAGCAATATAGGTCGTTTTGGGAGCGGGGTTTCGTCTTCCGGTAAGATAGGATAGCTTGTACCTGCCTCTCGTCGCTACGCTCTTTTGTCTTCCCCACACCTGCTGTAACCGACATGGATTGGGCAGGGGGGGTCTTCATATCTCCCAAAGCGGAGTAGCGAGCTATATCTAATTGTAATCGAGCCATGCCCATGACGGTTAGCACCGTTAAAGACCGGCAGAGCTGGTGATTTGGTCGAGGTACGGCATGGCCGCAGGTACCACAGCACCCGTGAGCAAGAGAGAGAAAGGTAGAGAGCGAGCAGGCGAGAGAGCATGGAATCATTCTCATGCTACCGCGTCTGTACGAGGCGAAGTGGCAAGAGAGCTGCACGAACGAGAGCCGCCATAGGGTCACATGCACTGCAATGTGGAATAAAGGTCGGTCGCTCGTACGTCGCAGAAAGCCGTTGTCAGAGTCCGGCGGTCAACGACTTGGAAAGCTGTGCAGCGTGCGACGTAGCACTGACTCGGCCGTACGTCGCCTCCAGCGAGGATCATGACTCGCTTGGCCCTCAATCCCCCGCAAAAGATGGACAAGCGCAATCTCTTCAGCGGACGCCGCGGCCGCGGCCGCTGGCAGCTGTCGAGCGCGCTTTCCGACAGACCCATCTCCGCTGGCCGCCACCAGCTCGCAGATGCGCAGGGTTCATGGCTCTCGGTACGGATAGTCGTACATGTTCGTATCATGGCCAGAGTGCCCTCTGTCGGAGCAGCTTTTGCATGAAGACAAAATTGGTGCCAAATTAAATGAGTGGTCCTGGGCCAACCCCTGTCCAGCTCGTTGTCGATACTACTATGTACGACCCATCCCGGCAGCTGCTGGAACAGGTCCCAGGACCCTCGTTTCGTCCTAGCACGTGGGGTCGGTACAGACCATACACAGTACGTACGACGTACTTCCGGCAACAGGCCAGCATGGCTGACGGTCAACTTCGCCAGCATCTGCTAGTGGCCCTAGCGCATACACTAGTGCAGGAACGTCCAGGCCGACCAATTGGGACTTCCGCAGGAACTTCTCGAAGGTTTCAGAGCCCGCCCGGTTCGTACGAGCCTGCCAGCCAGTTCGCAGAAAGAGTCCCGTGCGCAAATTCGTGGCGGAGAGGCAGACACTCGAGTCTGTACTACATAGTATGTAATGTACATAGTACTCCGTATCTTGCGGAGCATGGGCGCGAGCGCCAAGCCTGGCTGGTTCGAGTGGGCTTCGCCAATCTCCGACGCTACTTACGAGGGCAAACTCAATACGCCTTGCTCTTTGTCAGAGCTGTGGCCATGCTCGAGCGCCTTCGCCTTCATTTCCCTTCGCCTCTCTCGCCTCCCTGCATCGAAACGAAAGGCCCAAGAGGCTCGCTACGGGCAAGCGTGCTGGGCAGGAAAGGCACCGATATACGGACGACGAGGAATAGTGCGTACGACGTACGCTGTACGACGTAGTGCGTGGGAGGCTGTCGATCAGGCAAAATGCCAGACAATGGATGGGGGCGGTCTGTCTCCACAGGCTTGACAGAAATCGTCCCGTCCGCCGGTGTTGTGCTATGTATAAACAAGAACGACTTGCCGACTGCTTCTTACCACCTTCCTAATGTGGAGATGGGAGGGAAGATACTCGGAAGCATTCTCTTCCAGAAACCATTACACACAAACTTGTAAGATACGTACGCAATCATTACTAGAATAGCTCACGCCTGCTTAGTGTTTCCTGTGATAATTACTGTCTCGATAAAACACTGGGACCCCCCCCCCCCCCGAACCTACTCAAATTGCTTCGGAGGCTTCCAATTGAGGTCGTCGGTCAGCTGCTGTTACGTAAATGCTTATTGCATGCGCAAGCACGTGTGGCAATCCTATGCGGGCAGACGACACAGCGACGACAAGGCTCGATGGGATCCTGTGACTTTTTCCTCTTCTTGAGCTCATCGCCACGGGAACGTTTCGGAAGACGCGAGGCGACTGATCCTGGAAAACCGTGCGGCTGCTTACGGAGTACGACGGGCCTGCGGCAGCTCCCGCCTTCTGACTGCGGTCTCAGAGCAGAGTAAGACATGAGAATGACATGCAGTTTCGAGACATCATGCCCAGTTGAGTTGAAAGATAACAGCCCCCCACTCTTGTTATCAGCGTGCACACCGACTGAAACAGAAGATATCATGCTGCTGGTGATGGGAAGATTGAGACGACACCATCGTCTTCCATCGACCTTCTCGAAAGGCAGCTAGCGCGGGATAGATGGCTGCGGCACACCTATCCAGTCGTCAAGACGCTCATTGGGGGGGGCGGAAGGCGCGGAATGGCAGCTCTGCAGTGATGCCTAAAGGAGATTACGTTCCCCGCAGCCTGGACATCCCACGAGATAAGAAGCGGCATGTCCGATTCGAGAAGACCGGCGGCCTGCTCTCTTGTTCAATGCCGTATCGCATCGTGTCGTGCCGTGCTCGTACGTGCACCAATGTCCTCCGCCCTTTGCATGAGCGGTTTCTTCGAATGACGAGCTTCGGACGCTTATGGCGACTATGGCAAGCGCGTGGAGGCAAGCGCGGATGTCCGTATTTGGGGATGAGGTCTGTTACGTATCTTGCATCCATCGAGCTAGAACGCGAAAACGCTTCTTCCCGCTCCGAAGATACGAGTGAATGGAAGGGTGTGCGTCTTGAACCCCCCCGCTCGATACTATCGATGCAAGCGTGGACCAAGCAAGAGAGTTGGCTAAAACAATGCGCTTTCGATATTAGTTTTGGCAGGCTGCTATTACATACAGTAGTTAGCCAAAAGGACCAATAGTCTATAGCGGCTGTCTAGCGCACGCAGCCAAGCGTTCCCGCCCAAATTCCAAGTCGTTGGCTTTTTAGCACGATTCGTATCTTTGCCACCAACGAAAGACCAACCAGCTCGAAAATCCCGCACAGATAGTGCACATGTTCTACGTTCTTTTGTTTGGCGGGTGTCCGGGTCCGAGCCAGTGTCTTTTCGGCTCGGTCAGTGGGAAGGAAGTCATACTACTTACTCGCTTGGATCAGCCGAGACTTGTCAGATCGTGGCATGGCTTCTAATCGGCCAAGGAAGACAGCGTCAGAAAGGACCAATAGGTCTATGGGCGGAGTATTGACTACGGCGACATGCTTCCCTGTTCTGGCCAGCAGCCGCTCGGGCTTGACGCAAAATACAGTATAGGTAGCACTGCATCATGATGTGTCCGCTGAGGTGCCGAAAAAGGCCATTCCCTGGCATAAACACGCTGCCACCCTACGAGTATGTCTTTCATGCAAAGCCAGTGGGGGCAGGCCTTGGCCGACAGCCTCTGAATGGCGGGCAGGCCGGAGGCTTTCTGATCTAACGGCAGAAGAGAAACGTTTGATGAAACTCAACTCACACGCGGCCGGCAGAGACGGGCAGAAAGCCGGGGTAATCGAGATTGAAACGTGATGAAAAGGGGTCGGCGATTCTGGGACTGGCTCCGGTGCATTACGCGTTCCTGTGGGAGGTCTGCGGCCACTATGTACGGCCTGGCTGTTGGGCTTGAATCTGTGCCTCTAACCATGTGTTGCCCATGCGCCTTGACAGCTCTTGGAGTAGTGCGTCTAGGGGTCTTTTGGCCAACAGCGGCCATAAGCCAGCTTAAACCTTATCACATAATCACCGCCCGCAGCTCGTCACACTTGCTGTCACAGTCACGGGCTTTTCATTCGCGGAACCTCAGCCAGATTTCCGTAGACGGGGGCTGGAACAAGAGGCTGGCGAGAGAGAAAAGGGAGAACCAAGGGAATGAAAAAGGGCAGGTCGCATTATGTCTTTCAGGGGGGCGGTAGCCAACAATACAGACCGAGAGCCCTGCGACGTAGATACGAGGCACGCGTTTACCAGCCCGCATTTGCCACACACCCGCATCACAGCTTTTAAGAGTGCGGCACAGATGTACCTCTGGTGCTTCGCTACAATGCAAGTTCTCGTTCATGCAGGTCCTAAATTGCCACACACACGATCATCACACCGGTAGAAAACTCTTTGCACAGTTTGTGACGCGTCAACAGCGGAAACGATGGAGAGAGAGAGCGATTCCAATCCGCCGCGTTTCGCGTTGGCAGCTGTTTCGTTTATTTATTTTTCTGGCTGCTGATGCGAAGTTGTTGGTGATTGGAGTACGGAGTGTCTACTGTTTACTCGTACCTACACCGCTACTAGAGCTTGCTTTTTGGGTCGCCGACTACTATTGCGTGCTGAGTACATACATAATACGAACGAAAAGAAAAAAAAAAAAAAAGAAAGAAAAAAAAAACACGCCCCCCTACATCAATAGCAGCAAGGAGTGTGTTTTACATCCGAGCCTTATGCATCTCCGCCTGCTGACGACGCTGTGATGAACTTGAGCCCGAGTGGGATCTTATGAGCAGGATGGACACTCGTAGATTAATGGGCTGTTGTTCATTAGACTCGGAGAAAGAGCGGGCTACGAACTTGCAGCTTGGGAGAGGTGCGGAACACTAGTACAATGTCAGAAGCAAAAATCCGACATTTTTCAACCGATGCAGTGATCGGCAGCGTACACTCGTACGAGTGGCTGAGAGAAGAGAAAACCCCGAAAATAAAGAGCCGGAAGCAAACGGCCAGGAGGATTGTCCGGATTGAGGGAAGTCTTGGATGTTCATCTGGGTGCCGAGCAATCGTGATGCGTGCTGCTTTGCCGATCGTCGAGACGGGAGGAGAGCTGTGAGCATTGAAGGGGAAACTAGCGACGACCCCATCAAACGGCCAACCGTTTTTCAACATGCTACTCTGTGTCGGGCGGCAATTCTGCGATTACGCCTTTGTTGCCGGCTGATCATACTACTCTCGAGTGCCTTATCGGGGGAAGTCTGCCTCTTGGCCGGTATCCCGGAGGTCTGATCTCGTCTAGTGTGTTGTCAAGCGTCCATGGACCAGAGGTCTGTGCTGTGCTGGCCGAGATCAGCAGATGGAGCGAGCAAAGGCACGATGAGAGAGGAAAAAGAAAGGAAATGGCGAATGAGAGCTGTAAATGTAGAAAATGTAAAAAAGAAAGAGGGGAAAAAGGCCTTGGAGAGATAAAGAGGGAAAAAAGAGAGCTACATGCATACACACAAACACGGGAGCCACGATCCAAGACCTCTTATCTGCGAGCATGCAAGATGCAGGCATCTTACTGGGCGGAGACACAATGCCGGTGGCCCGGATGCGAGGGTCAAGAAGAGGCCGCCTAGAGCAGTATGGCGTACGTACGTCGTAGACCGGCAGATGCGCTCCTCCGTCCTTTGATGTCCTACGCGTCTCATCCTGGAAGTAGAGGAAGAGACGTCTCGGACGGCCAATCGAGAAATTGCACACATAATCCCAAAAAGCAAGACCAAAAATCAGAGACGACAAACGACAAGTCGAAAAAGAAAGCAGCAGCAGCAGCAGCATGGTATCACCTGCAACGGTCCCTCTTGTTTTCTTTTCTCTCGTCGGAGGGGGGTGGCCGTTACAGGAGTCTTCGCCCTCGCCGTCAGCCCTTCGCCTCCGCCTCTTACCTGCATGCGTGTCTTGGTCTGCGACGATGCACCCGCAGCAGCGCCGCACCGGCTGGCCGGCCTCCGCTGATCTGAGCACTGACATTGTCTCGCGCATTTTTTTCGTTCCTTTTCCCACCCTCTAGTCTCGGGATGCGGGCCTCCCTTGCTTCCTCTTGGTCTGTCCGCGTGGGCCTTGGCTTTCTGGCCCGCACGGTGGTACGCCGTAGAGGCCGTCTCGGGCCTTTTTTACCGTTTCCCTTGGAGCACAGGGAGGAAGCATATCCCCAGGCTTGGGGCTGGCAACGGCTGGCTGCTGTCTCTGGAACGGACGCTTGTTCTCGCCCTCCATTCCACAGCCTTCCAGATCGCTGTAGCCACCCCCTTGCTGGCGAGCGTGGCCGGCAGCTCCGGCTCTCCCTCTGCACGCTCTGGCTGTCGCCAGCCTCTCGTCGCGCCCTAGCAAGACATGCTGCACCGCCAACACGCACAGCCCGAGCCATAACTGTGATGATATTTGCTGTCTGTGCGATCCACGTACATGTCTGCGACCAGAAGCCCGCCCTGTCCAAACTCGGTCCAGATACCCCGAAGCAAGCCGGCCAGCAAAACTAGGCGAGAATCTGCATCTCCTCGACGCGGTCCTTGGCATACACATCCTTGTGCTCGTCCCAGAGGTGCTGCAGCTCGGCGACGTAGAGCCCGTGCAGGCGCTCGACCTCGGCCGGGTCCAGGGCGCCGGGCGTGGCCTTGTCGACGGCGATGGGTCGGCCGACGACGACGTTGAGCGGCACGCGGTAGGGCATCAGGCCGTAGTCATAGTTGAAGATGCCGCGGCCGCGCATGAATGGCAGAGTGAACTTCCAGGCCTTGAGCACGTACAGCTGGAAGCGGTGCAGCAGCGGATGGGCGTCGCCCTGGAGCTGCTGGTACAGGTCGACCTCGCCGAAGCCGAGCACGGGGACGAGGTCGGCGCCGGTGGCCATGGCCACCTTGATGAAGCCGTAGCGGCCGTGCAGAACGAGTCGCATGGTGCCGGGGTTGGCCTGCAGCGACTCGCGCGCACCGCCGACGACAATGGTCACGGCCCGGCCAGCACCGTGGCCGTCGGGCCCGCCGCGGCTCAGGTGGTTGACGATCGACTGGCGCGACACGGAGCGGATGCCCGCCAAAAGCAGGTACTCGCGGTAGAAGGGGATGCTGAAGTTGGACTCGAGCGTCAGCAGGCTGTTGGTGATGCCGGGAAACTTGGCCGCAAAGCCAAGGCCCTCGGTCGCAAACGACGCCCACGCCCCGTGCGAGATGATGCCGTGCGGATGGTACCCGAAGATGTACTTGCGCTCGGCCGCCAGATCGGCCGTCTTGTGCAGCTGTGCTGGGAAGTATGCCCCAAACCAGCGCCACAGCGGCAGCGACCGAAACCACTCCGACCGCCAGTGCAGCCGGCCGTCCGTGGCGGCGGTTGAGAAGAGCAGGTGCAGCATGTACGGAATCAGCAGCGGCCACGCCAGCGGCACCGCGCAGCAGAAGAAAAAGAGCGGCAGCGATACCATGATGCTCGTGCAGTGGATCAGCACCGCCAGCGTCTGCTTCCGTCGTCGCAGCGGCACCCGCAGCGGTGCAAACCGCACCTTGGGCGACTTGGCCGGCCCGTCTGCATCGGTGCTCGTCTTGGGCTGCGTCCCATTCGTCGCTGTCGCCGCCTTGGGCTCGATTATCGAAGCCGTAGACATGCTCGTCTGCAGGTTCTGTCTGCTGTGCTTTACTGTGCTGTGCTGTCGAATTTCCTCTCACTGCTTCCCTTTATGACTGTCAGCGACTTAAACCGACAAGAAAGTGCAAATGCCATTTTCAAAGAGAGTTGCTATTTGCACCGTAAAATTTGGCTATCTGCACCGTAATTCACTGATAAGAGATATAGTACATAGGGTGGGTCCCTGCTTTCACCCCTAAGGACCCATAATATAAATTTACTTTTAGCCAATAATATTCTCGCACCGTTGTCTAGTTAAGTACAGAGTACTCTGTACTCTATACTCTATACTTTGTACTCTATAGGCAAACAAAATACATAATTGAATTATATTAGCGATAATATCCACTAAGCTCTAGCGCATTATCGCTAATAACTTTCTCTGTATAAATTACACTCTGCACTATGTATTGCTATAGTTATAGAAGAGCAGTAAGAACGAACTTTTAGTAGGGACCTCCGTACGTTGTAAAAAGTACTCTGTAATAGTAAGCAACTTTTTTTACGGCAAAAACGTAAGTCTATTCCTATTCTAGTATAGCGCAGAACAAATTAACCAATCAACTAAGTTTTCTTAAACCCACCCTATGTACCATATTTCTTATCAGTGGAGTACGGTGCAGATAGCCAAATTTTACGGTGCAAATAGCAACTCTCTTTGAAAATGCCAGTCTACACCATGCAACTCACCCCGACAACCTGCTCGGGTCTTTGTCTCACCTAAAGACAATGCAAAACAGCTCTGTCTGTTTCTCCTGCCGCCTAAATGGCAGAGCCGACGAGCCCTATGTCGAATGCTATTCTTGTGCAGTGTGCCGCAGTGCTCCGACGCCGACGGCCACCAAAACCAGTATTCCACGCTGTGGCCGGAAGCTCGCGGAAAGATGACGATAGATTGCTCTCAAAATCAGTGTCAGGTTTGTCCCCTGACTAAAAATTGCCAGCCTATGTAGGTCCCTGTCGCGTAATGACGTCAACCACTGTGGCTGAGTGAGGCGTCCCTTCTGCTTTGGCACAATTTGACGAATTCGGACAATTTTTCATTCAAAATGTCCTAGAACACATAATCCATATAATAATACAGTGGCTTTATATAAACTTCAACATGTCGCAAACCATACCGTCCGCCTAGCATCTCCCCGGTGATCGTCTCCCACACACGTTTGGGGCTGTTCTTTGGCGGCCAAGAGGCACATATCAAAAAAACGCTTCGAGACCGGCTACCGACTCTCTCAGTCGGTTCGCCATGGCAAACTTTTTTTTCTTTTCACGGAAACGCTTGGCATCGGCCCTCCTCCCAGCGCCTTCCAGACAAGCAAATAGAAAGAAACCCCGAGAAAAACAAGCAGGCAGGGAAAAACATGCAAAGATACTTATGCAAATGAAACGCCAGACACTCGACCCATTTTGACAATAAACCCCCTCCATGATAGATAGACAGCACAAGTGCCACACAGCACGCAAATTTCACCCGGATTAACAACAATCACGAAAGAAAGGGTACAAAAACAGACCCATCGGGCGGGGCTGAGCGGGCTTGACGTTCCGGCAAAACCTCCACCGGGTATGGCCCAATCGCTTTCCATTAGCGGCCTTACTGCTGCACGATTGCATTCTCCAATTGCTGCCCGATGTGTTGTTCCAGCTGTTGCTCGGCATGTCGCTCTGCCTGTCGCTCCGCTTGTTGTTCCGCTTGCTGGTCTCTCTGCTGGTCCGTCTGCTGGTCTTCCTGTCCAATATGCTGCTCGGCCTGCTGTTCCATCGGCGACTCCATCGGCGGGTCCATCGGCGGTTCCATCTGAGATTCCATCAGCGGACCCATTGTCGGCTGTGTATCTGGAACCGGATCGACGGAAATCGCCACAGCCTGTGCTTGGCCGTCGGTCGTCGTCGGTTGGCTGCGCGTGCCGGCGGTCCCTTTCGTTAGGCTGGATATCTGGGCCTCATATCCAAGCTTCGATGCTTCCAGAAGCGCAATACGCTCGTCCTGCAGCTTCAGTTTCTCGTCTTGCGCCTTGAGCTTGCTCTCCAGAGTCTGAATATACGTCCACATGCCCTGCTCGGACGAGAAAATATTCGCATTGGTATCCCCATTGCCACTGGGGCCATTGGTTTTGATCTGCTGCAACGGGTCTGTGGAGGATAAGACTAGAATTGTCAGTAAGAAAAACGCACCGGACTCATCAGAGCGTCTCGGGCAGCAGCAAACGCACCATGCGGCTCCGCCAAGTTGGGCCTGCGCAGCGTGAACTGTGCCTGCGTGAATTGTGCTTGTGCACCCGACGGTCGGAGAGCATTCGAATCCGGGCCAGCAGCAGGGCTGAGAGGCTTGGGGCTCTCGGCAATTCCGTGCTGCGAGAAAAGAGAGGCACTGCCTGTGCTGATCGGGATCGACGGCATACTCGTGCTTGGCGTATGGCCCCTTCCGGCTGCTGTCGTCGTCAACGCCCCATTTGTCAGACTCGGAGTCGAAGACGCCCCAGGGGGCGTGCGGTCGATGCTCGGTGGATAAAGGCTGCTGACTGCTGGCCCTCTCTGTCCGTCTGACATGAGGGGATACGTCCGTGCATGTGCGCCAAACACGTCTGTGGACGTTCGGGGACCCCGGCCATGCGGCAGCTTGTTGACCGGCAGACTTAGGCGTCTGCGCTCGTCGTCATCGGTATTGTCGTACTCGATGCCAGTCATGACCGAGCTGTCTGCATCGGCAATGCTGGAGGCATCGAAGCTCTCGTCTGCGGCCGCGCCACCAAAATTGCCCGACGAGCTCGACCGTCGCCCAGCACAGCCTCCTGCACCCTTGCTATGCCGAGCCAGGGCGTCGCCACGAGCAAACTTGCGGTCGCATCGTGGGCATATGTGGGGCTTCTCGCCCGTATGCAGTTTGCTGTGGCGCTTGAGGTCGTGCAGCCGTCGGAAGCGCATGTCGCATCCTTGACAACTGTACGGCTTTTCTTGGCTGTGTGTGAGGAGGTGACTCTTGAGGTTGTGGTGGCGTGTGAATTCGGTTTCGCAGTAAGGACACTTGTGCTTCTTGTTGGATGGCGATTTGGGTACCAGCTCTGAAAATGCCCCTGGCCCAGCCAATCCGTGCACATCGCCAGTATCCGTCTGTGTGGAAATGCCTGGGGTAGCGTACAGAGAGTTCGACCGGTTCTGCTGCGTGTCCACGCCCATCTGTTCTGCGCTATGGCCGTGACCGTGACCATGGACATTGCCTTCGCCGGCAGCGAGCCCCTCAACGGCCGCTTCAGCAAGGGCAGTGGCGTTGTCGGCAGTGATCTGCGCATCAGCATCTTCGGTGTTCTCAGCGCCTGCGTTTTCACCCGAAGCAGCAGCAGCAACGGCAGCAGCAGCCTCAGCTACCACTTCTGTAGTAGCGGTCCCGGACGCGGCTTTCTGAGACATCAGGGCCTCAGCTCCGCGCAGGACTGATAGAGCTGTCTGTGCCGCGTAGTCATCAGCGCCTAGGGGCTGCAGCACGGAGGCACCCTCATGCGCATGTTCTTGTTCGACGCGTTCTTGGCCATCGTCATCGGGAGGTTGGGAGGTCAATTCGGCGGTGGCATCGGAAAATCGCGAGCCGGTAGCGAGCCGGGCAATCTTTTTAGGTGATAGGCCAATACTGGACATGTCTGCGGCAGCAGCGGATGAGCCGAGCGAAGGTGAGCGTGGACGCTTGATTGATCGCGTAGCTTCCGATGCAGAGGGGTCGATTTCAGGGTCGATAACGGCAGAAAGGGCAGAAGGGTCTGGGGAAAACGCCGGAGTTGGGGGGCCGGGAAGCGCAGCATGCGAAGCCCCTGTGGCTACGGGACCCTTTCCGGCAGAAGCCATGGGTGCAGCTGTTCAAAGGTGGTGGTGGTGGTGATGAGAGAAAGATTGGCGATGGTACGTCGGCGACAAAAATAGTAGAAAAAGGGGGGGTGGGATAATTCTTCGCTTTATCCAAGAGAAAAAACGAAAACTATCAATGTTCCGTCAACAGTCGCGTGCAGGGCCGTTTTTTCGAATCCCCGTTGTTCTCGCGCCTCGTCAACGCAATCCAAAGGGCATCGTCAAATGCAACGGGACTGGGGAGGCTGCGATCGATGTGTGGCTGAAGAAACGTGGCGAGAGCTTCGTTCGTGCCTGTTGGGAGTCAGGGAACGTTGGTGGAGGAACTCGCACACAGGCAGAATGATGCTAGTAAGAACAATTTTGATAGCGGCCGCAGACGGATGTGTTCTTGGCGGTTTTGTGGACAGGTACGAGTTTGCGCGGGTGTTCTGGGGAAAATGCTGCAGAGCTGCAGGATTGGGGTGAGAAGGGAAGAAAAGAGAGAACTGCCGGACCTGAATGGCTAGTGAGGCTGGAGGTCGCCGTGGCATGAATAGTCAGATTTTGTCGGGTGGTGTAGCGGCCTACAGGCGGTTCAGCGCAGTGCTAACTAGCGTAGTGTCACTGTGCGGTTATGTCTAGCCGATGTTCCCATTGGCTGCTTGGACAAGGTGCAGGTGACATTGGCTGCTACGGGCTGCTGTAATGTGCCCGACAGGCGGCCAGTGCGAGAAACAAAAATAACCCGGGAAGCCGGGGGCAAGCGCGACCGAAATGTGGTGCACTTTGTTTAGCCTCAGGGAAGTAGCCGTCGAGGAAAAGGACAAAGTCCGCTGCCCTGAGATCGGATAACACGCAAGATTCAGCGCGACGTTCCGGGGCGCCACACTGGGCGTCTACTCGTATACGTGAAATTTGGATGGCCGTTCAGCATTTCCCTTGCTGCCTGTCGCCTACACAGTATGCTATTGGCAGAAGCAGCAATGCGAGGGGGTGTGCGCAGGCAGCTGAGAAGGGGCTCGCAGGCCGTGATTACGACTACATGTCCCTACGAGTAGAGAAACCTCTCTCAGATGGTGGAGGACGGAAAGATGATGGGGGTGTGGGGTGATGCAAATGCGATTTTGTGGCTTGGTGCGGCGACTGGTCTGCGCGCCGTGGTTGGCCCGCCGCTGGGAGAGGTCGTAGCTGAACTGACTCGAAGCAGCGAGCCACAGCACGGTTGCTCGCTTTTTGCGCAGCTGGCATCGGCATCAGGCCGCGCGAGACGGCTGGCGGAGTTGCGCTGGGTGGCCGCAGGGAATAGCGGCTCGATAAGCTAGGCCGACGACATGTCGCTGCGTGAGAAGAGGCTCCCGTCGTAGGCGAGATGGTTGCGAAAAAGGACAAATGGCCAAGTGGACCGGAACCCGGCTTGACCAGGAGCCTGTGCGTGCTTGTCCCCATGATCTTCCTCGAGTCACTGCAAGGACAGAAAGAGCCTCTGCAAATACAGAGAATATGTGCTCGCTTGCACGGAAATATCTACATCAGAGCATACGACATAATACGACGTCCTCCTGAATCTATTTCCAGAACTATCAAATTCATGCGGCCCCCACTGGTTGTATGTGGCTGTGTCGTTGTAGATCCGGACAGGCCTTCCAGCTCTCCAGGCTTCGTAGCAAGGAGCAGGCTCCGTGCACCGTGTGTGGCTGAATCTCATTTGACCGAGTAACTCGCAGTTGGCTTCTGAACAGACCTCCGTTCCTACAACACCGCGAATTGAGTGTATTTGACATACACCGGACGTGAGTTACTCAGGTAACCAACTTAGCTGTCTGTGTTCTGTGCCCAGAGGTACTGTTCGTATGTCGTGGGAAAGTAGCGTCAAGTTATTTGTTGACCTGACAAAGCAAATGCTGCCACTTCCTTCACTTTATTTCCTACTATACGATATATGGCTTGTACGGGCTTTTCGACGGTCCATACGGAGTATTCTTTTCTCGTATATGTAGTTCTGGTAATCGTTGGTCCTGCTTCCTCGTGACTGCAACAGATTCGTAATGGTTTACGGGACTTGTGTTCATCGTATAATTCGGGCAAGACAAATATGCAAGGCAAAGGTAGACTTAATTAATATGAAATATCGCGCATTCAACCTTTGAAGGTAAATAACAAAAGCACAGCAGATGTCTGCAGCCAATTTACGGAGTGTAAATTGTAAAAACAAGCTTGGCATATTAACATCAGTAATCCCTACATGACTTCCAAAGTACGGAGTACATTCAAGCAATCGTTACGAGAAAGTCTTGCATGTCTTCATAAGGCAACTGACTATGTCTTGCTTAAGTAAAATGCCCTGTATAGGGATGCTATTATTGGCCTGTCTTCAAGCCACCCGTGACTAATGTCAGTGATGATGCAGCCTTCAGCCTAGACATAATTGTCTTCGTCCGTACGTCGTAGCAACAATTAGGAGATTTAGCAGCTTACGAGATACGGAGCATATGTTCATTGAAACACTGGTGGAAAGAGCTACTCGTACGGCTGGCAAGGTGTCTTGACCGCTTGCTTACCCGCTCAATAGAAAGCTCGACAACACGCTATATCAGGCGCTTTTTACCCTTCAGTCCGCTTAATGCCTTTTGGGAGAGTTTAGTATTCGGAATAGCATCTGTAATAAAGACAAAAAATCGGAGCAATTTACCCTCTGATATCCGTACCAAGGCTATTGGCACTCTACACAGTAAATATAAGTCCAGCCAATTCGAGACCACGCCGTGACTTTTATGCTCCAAACTAACTAGCTCATCATGCCGGCCATGTCAACAAAATTCCACTTATGACGCAGCGAAACCAGTTAGCCTGTTGCTGGGTCCGACCATTGTTGTAGCGCATTCATGTCAGCGATCTCTGTTTGCACGAGCATGCTATGTGTTTTACTCTGTACACGTGCTTTGCAATCGTACGAGTACATACCACGGCCACGTTACCTACTGGAGTGAGCTGGTCACACTGGCTTTTTTTCTGGGATGTCTTTGTGATATTTCCAACATACTAATTGAGAAACCGCGGCAAACAACGTTTCTTGTTTCTTTTTCTTTACACTACTTCGGCATGGCGGCAGGCACACATACTTGCTTATAAAGAGGGCTACAACCACATCGTTGCATTGGACGCAAGGAACTGCCTTGACCACCGCACATTCCAACGTGCCTAAGGAGACACATGTCTCGGGCGTTGGATGACAACAGCACTATTGGCCTGTGCGTCAAAAGCCTAATTGGGGGATATTGTTTCATCTCCGCCGAGCATTGTCATCTTTATGGTTGCACGAGGCCTTGATTTGCCGGTTTCAGTCAAGAGAACAAAAGAGTTCCGGTGTCGATTGCAAAACAGCGAACACCGAGAAAAACAGGCTTGCCTGACGTCGCATTTGCGAGCTTTAACGGAGTATGATTGCTTTCTCTGCGCAAGCCACTTCGGCGTGCCGTAAGATACGTCGTACATCGGATGGAGAGAGCAAAACAATACACTCACCCTTACGAGTCTTCACACGTAATATACACAGCGGTAGCTATCCGCAATTGGGTGGGCGCCACCCGACCCATGAGCTGCCGCGTGCGCCTGCGAGCTCCGAAAAATGTTCTGGCCCAAGTGTGGCACTTCGTCCAGCGTGTTGTTCGCTCAGACCGGCAATCGGACCCAGAAGTGTGGGCTGGGCTGCGTACTCCGTACTCACGGACAGAAGCTAAAGCTCGTACGCGTATCGTGCTCGCAGACACCCCAGAAAACGAGTCGGATTACGTGTGCACTACACGACTTGCCGGTGCATTGTACGATTCTTGATGGGGTAGAGCTAGAAGGAAATGAGATTGAGGTCGCAGAGTGGCCAGCAGAGCCACGTACGCCTTCTAGTATTCCGTAACGTGCCTACATGTACTCCGTAGGCATGTTTCTGAGAGTCGGAGTCGGATATATCAGGTGCGCTATGCGGAAAGTGGCTGGGACGACAATTCGTGCAAACAGGTTTTGTGAAGTGCGGATAAGGTTGAGAACAGCAGCGAATATACGGAGTAAAGGAGAAGAAACAGGCGAAGAGTACGGAGTAAGCAAGGCGATACTATGCGAGAGCAGGCTCCGTAGAACATACGATGATGTAACAGTACGACGCACAGAGCAGGGTAATACTCCGTAGTATCGAGATGTTCGTACGACACAAACGAAGGGCAACTGGCTTGGCTGCCATCAGGAATCAAGTTCAGTCCGGCGATCCCCATTCCAAGGGTTCCTGTGCCAATCCAAAAAGGAAATAGTCCAGGTACCGCTCGCGCTGTCACGAGGGAAAAGGGGGTCCTTATTGCGGGGCTCAATCATTGGACCAACTGCATGAGGCAAGGCGGGAAGACAGGGTAAACGTCCGACCTCTTTGGTTCCTTGTAGCTGCTCTGCTGGTCGGAGTACCTTTGAGACTGGCTAAGGCGTGGCTGATGCGCGCAGTACTTTTTCAAGGGGTGCCGGTACTTTGGCCGTACGAAGACCTAATCGACACAGTGCTTGCATCTCTATTTCCCGCCTAATCTACGACTCTCGTCTTTTGTCAACATTCGCAAGCCTTAGCAACATGTCTGTCCGGATTTATTTGCCCCTTCTCTGCGAGTGCCACGTTCCCCTCGGTATGGCAACAGCGCAATCATCGCAATCATGCTATTTCTAGGATTTTCTGGCTGCCATTGAGGCTGGCACGGCTTCCTTGGCTTCCTTGGCCTCCTTGGCTTCCAACCGGGTCTCGGAACAGGAACACTCATCTCATTCCAATCCACACCCCTCCCCCCTGTCGAGCGACAAGCACGAGTAAAATACTATGTACCGTGTTGACGACGGCCGCCGTGGGGCGGAAAGCACGCGCCTCTGCTTCTCATTTCCCCTGTCTGGTTCTGCCCCTTTCGTGGGGAATGCAATTTTATCGGGACCCTCTAACACCCAGTTAGAGAGGCTGCTTCCTCTCGCGGTCTCCTGTCTTTCGGGCGGTGGGCTAAACTACCTTGGCAATGCAAGCACATGATTAATCAGGCTGTTGCCGCTCCCTTTCTTTCCTCTGGTTTCTTCGTCTTCGGATCTTGCACTCGTTACCACCCACGCTCGTTTCCCGTGCCATCGTCAAACCTCACGACGCTCTTTTGCTGTCGACGCTATTCTCCATCCAACAGGGAGCCGACGCTCTCTACCACGCTCATTTGGGGTTTCACGAATAAAGACCGGTCCATCGAAATACGATAATATTGCCCCAAACAATTCAAAAAGGTGGGTTTACTTACCAGGGAGGGCCGAGAGGGGAAAATGCGGTGTCAGAGCACCCAAGCGACGAGTCAGGGTGACGGAAGCCATGGGGCCATATGTGCCAGCTTGAGGACACTCCTCTTGTATTCCGAAACTTTGTTGAGAGAAACACCGACCGATCGATAGTCAATGCTGACGCGACTCTTGCAGACCTTCCTGACCGATTGCGCGATATCAACGAAGGTTTATCTCTCTCTCCCGAGGCGGACTGTCTGATGCCGAATAGAAGTTAACGCTAGGTTGGGGAAAAAGGACAACACAACACCATGAAGGGACTCGCCAACATCGCCGTCGCTGCGGCCTTCGTCGCCAGCGTCGCAGCCGACTCTCACGGTCACCACCACGCGCGCAGGCTGGCACAAGGCAGCCCTGTAGCCAAGCGTGCTGCTACTGTTGCGTACGAGACCGCCTACGTCTACGCGGACGGCTCGCCCGTGTCTACGGACGAGGCCCACGAGTGCATTGACGACGGCAGCTGCATTGTCCTCGGAACGGCCACGCCAGTCTACACGTCGCCTGCGCCAACATCGACGTCGACCTCTTCCCTGAGCACCAAGGAGGCCCAGGAATTCTTCGAGTCCAAGATCACGAGCTCGTCCACGTCGAGCTGGTCGACCTCGACCGCCTGGACCTCGACGTCCACGAGCACCAGCACGAGTTCGTTCAGCACCAGCACCAGCACCAGCTGGAGCAGCACAAGCACGAGCTGGAGCAGCACGAGCACGAGCTCCTCATCGACGTGGTCGACGTCTACTATCAGCAGCACGTCCTCATCAGCGTCTGCAGCGGCCAGCAGCAGCAGCAGCAGCACCACCACTGTCTCGGGCTCGGGCACGAAGTTCCCCAGCGGAACGGTCAAGTGCAGCGAGTTCCCGTCGGCGTACGGCGCGGTGGCCGTTGACTGGATCGGGCTTGGCGGCTGGGCTAGCATCCAGACCACGGGCAGCTGGACACCGGGCTCGCTCATCAGCGACATTGTCGAGGCGGTTAGCGGCGGCTGCACGGAGGGCTCGTTCTGCTCGTACGCCTGCCCGGCTGGCCAAACTAAGGCACAGTGGCCGACGACCTCGCAGGGCGCAACGGGCCAGTCGATCGGCGGTCTGTGGTGCAACAGCGACGGCTACCTCGAGCTGACCAACGACAACTTTGACACGCTCTGCCAGGACGGCCTCGGCGGCATCACGATCAAGAACGAGCTGTCGGACGAGGTGGCCGTGTGCGGTACCAACTACCCCGGTAACGAGATGATGAACATCCCGGTGCTGGCGGGCGCGGGCGAGACGGTCACGCTCACCAACATGAACGCTAAGACGGGCTACGAGTGGGAGGGCAAGTACACCAGCGGCCAGTACTACGTCAACAACAAGGGCGTCACGCTGGAGCAGGGCTGCGTGTGGACCAGCGCCGACTACCCCGACTCTGCCGGCAACTGGGCGCCGGTCAACATTGGTGCCGGTACCGACATCTATGGCGTGACGTACATCTCCATCTTCCCGAACACGCCGACGTCTTCGGCCGAGCTCGACTTTGACATTGAGATCACCGGTGACATCAACGGCGATTGCTACCTCAAGAGCGGCTCCTACTATGGCGGCGGCAGTGGCTGCACGGTACGTAACATGTTGATATTTCTGATGTTTCTGTTACTTTTGACGTGTTTGGATCTTCTTGCTAACGTGTGCACAGACGTCTCTCACCACCGGCGGCAGCGCTGTCATCAAGTTCAAGAAGTACGGCAGCTAAACTGGCCGATGAGGTGGAGGTGCTGTTTTCCTTTGTTGGCTTCTTGCTATAATTATATTTCCATTTCTCACGATCTACGGGCTTCGTCTGAGCGGACCTACTCGCTAACTGGAGATGCATGATTCTGTGCATCGCACGGGAGATCAACGGACAGGAGAGCGGCCTGTCCCCGTTTATTGTAATTGTGGTTTCTGTGATTTGGTCTTGTTTTTTTTTGGTTTTGTAAATACAATCTAGTGATTTTATTTGTGTTTCTACGACTGGGAGAAGATACGAAAAGGCGAACCGGGGTATTAGAGCGAGGAATAAGGAAGGGAGAGGTGCGAGGATAAACGTCTTATTTACCAGAGCAACCAATCCTGACCGCAGCGAGCCAGCGTGCGAGCGGTTCTTTTCCGAGCAAGCTGGATCTGGGGCTTGCAGTGTTTCTCGTCAGCCAATAGTCTAATGCTCCGTTTTGCACATCCTGTGGGCAACCTCGAGTGGACCGGTATTAGCTTAGCCGTGACAAGATATGCCATGCATGAGACGGGAACGGTTTCGGTGTAAGGGCTGAAGCTGAAAGATAGCACGGAGTACGGAGCGTCTCCGCCCCCGCGTCCCCATGCGCGTTGAAGACGTCAACGACAAGAGGCGAAGAAGCTGTTTGGACTTGGCACAGCGCCGATCGCCGGCTGCTGTTAGGATGGTACGGCGTCCCGGGCGTCATGCTGTACGTGGGACAGCGTAGCGGGCTATCTGAGCGCTAAGCCACCTGTTTTTGTGGCTCCCCTCACCAGCCACCCCTGTAGGCAGAAGCCCTTGCTGCTTGCTTCTTTCTGCAGCTACGACCGACTAGTCAGCGCGCCTGGCCGTAAGGTAAGGTCTTTCTCCTTTCCAGTTTCTCATTCTCGTTTCCCATCGTCGGCCACGTATGCGCATTGCCACTCGACCATTCCGTCTTTGCCGCTCCATCGCCCTTCCAGCTTCCATTTTCTCTTGACTATCCTGCCAGGCGACGGCTATCTGCACATTTTATCATTTGAGCTACCTGGCGGGCGCCCGCATCTCCTGAAGTAGCTTCTCTATCATCGCTCAGTCCCCGCGCGCATTTCTTTCTTCCCTTTCTGCCTTTCCGGCTGGACGACCTATGACCGTCCCGATACAAGGCTGACCATGATGGTCCGGAGAGCTTTACGGGCAGCGGCCGCACTGGCCGTGCCTTTGTGGTGGGCATTGGGCGCCACGACAGCAGCCTGGGCTGCCAAGGACGACCCCGAGATCCACGTCAGCTCGTTTTCCTACACACCCGACAGCCTCAACTACTTTGAGGACTCGGACGTGATCCTCTTCCACGACTACGTCGACGGTGTTATATTCCGGTCCGTCGATGCCGGCAGCAAATGGGACAAGGTGGCGGCCATCCCGGCCCAGGAAGCGTCGCGTCTCATCATGCACGACTTCGACCCCACGCGGGCATACGTGATGACAGAAGGCGTGGTGCACTACCGCACCGACGATCGTGGCAAGACGTGGCAGACATTTTTCACCGATGCCGAGCCCAGCTTGTTCCAGTCCGATTTGCTCGTCTTCCACGCCCACGACCCCAACCGGATCATCTTTAACGGCATGGACTGCATCGCCGGCAGCTGCATCGAGGTGGCCATGTACACGACAGACGGCTTCCGCACGGATGCGCGGTTCCTGCGCGGCAATTCAGCCGGCTGCTGGTGGGCCTGCTCGACCGATTTGTTCAGCACCGGCTCGGCCGACCTCGACGCCAGCCGGATCCTCTGCATCGTCAAGGACCCACGGTCGATCCTCAAGCAGGACCAACGGCTGGTGGTGTCGGATAACTTCTTCCAGGCGACGACGGCGGACGGGACGATCCAGGAGTTCGAGCCCAACCTCGACACGGACCGGCCGATCCAGGGAATCGTCAACGTGGCCCCGGTGAAGAAGTACCTGCTGGTGGCGACGACGTCGCTCAACACAGACGAGATGGCGCTCTTTGTGACGGACGACACGCTCCGGTGGCACCGCGCCGTCTTCCCGACGGACCACCAGATCAACCAGGAGGCTTACACAGTGCTGGAGAGCACTAACTACAGCCTCCAGATCGACGTGATGACGACGCGGCCGTCTGACCCGATGGGCGTGCTGTTCACGAGCAACTCGAACGGCACGTTCTTCACGCGCAACGTGGAGTACACTAACCGCAACCAGCGGGGCCACGTGGACTTTGAGAAGATCTCGGGCATCCAGGGCATCTTCCTGGTCAACCGGGTGGAGAACGGCAAGGCGGTCGACAGCGACCGCGCGCAGAAGAAGATTGTGACGGAGATCACGTTTGACGATGGCCGGACGTTTGCGCCGGTGACGGTGGGCGGCAACGACCGACTTCACCTGCACTCGGTGACGGATCTGAGCAACATTGGGCGGGTGTACTCGAGCCCGGCGCCGGGGCTGGTCATGGCCATTGGCAACAAGGGCGAGTCGCTGGGCCGTTATGCGGACGGGAACCTGTACGTGTCGGACGACGCGGGTGTGACGTGGATCGAGGGTCCGAAGGGCCCACATAAGTACGAGTTCGGCGACCAGGGCTCGATCCTGCTGGCGGTACACGACGCAAACGACGTGGGCGAGGTGACGTACTCGCTGGACCATGGGCGGACGTGGCGGACGGCAGCGCTGCCGGAAGGCCTCCGGGTACGGCCGCTGATCCTGACGACGACGCAGGACTCGACGAGCCTCAAGTTCCTGCTGGTGGCGGACACTAAGGAGAAATCGCTCATCATCGCGATTGACTTTGAGGGCCTGCACGAGGCGACGTGCAAGCCGGACGACCTGGAGGACTGGTGGGCGCGGGTGGACGACAAGGGCCAGCCGACATGCCTCATGGGCCACACGCAAAAGTACCACCGGCGCAAGAAGGAGGCAGCGTGCTTCCTCAAGGCAGACTTCCGAGACCCGGTGGTGGAGACGACGGACTGTGACTGCACGGACAAGGACTTTGAGTGCGACTACAACTTCCGGCGCAACGACAAGGGCGAGTGCGAGCAGGTGGGACCGGTGCATCCGCCGGAGGGAGCGTGCGGCCGCGACGCGAAGGCAGACGCGACCTTTAAGGGGTCGTCGGGCTGGCGGCTGATTCCGGGCAACACGTGTCGGCGCAGCAGCGGGCAGCAGAAGGACGAGCTGGTGCAGCACAAGTGCGCAGACTCGGCGGCGCCGCCGGCAGCACCAGCATCGGGCAAGGTGGCGCACACGACGCAAGAGCTGGGACTGCAGCGACAGTACGACGGGTTTGAGAAGCACTACCTGGAGCGCGGCGATTCGAGCGCGGTGGCGGACGAGACGATCATCATGCGGCCGATCAGCGGGACGTCTGAGGGCGGGCCGATTTTCGTGACGACGGACCACGGCAAGACGTGGACGCGGCCGGCAGTGTTTGACGACCTGGCAGTCTGGGCGATCGTGCCGCACGAGTTCTTCAGAGAGGCAGTCTTTTTCGTGACGGCGTCAGGACGGGTGATCTACACAATCGACCACGGCGAGCACTGGCACGAGTTCCAGGCACCGTATCCACCCGACATGCGCAACCGACGGACGCCGCTGTCGTTCCACGCGGACAAGAAAGACTGGCTGATCTGGGTGGGCGAGAAGTGCGAGGGCACGGGCGAATGCTCGGTGGAGGCGTCGTACTCTTTGGACCGCGGCGACAACTGGCAGACACTGCTGCGATACGTGGAGCGGTGCGAGTTCATCGGGTCGAGCGCGTACCGGGTGCGGTCAGCCGAAGAGGTGCTCTGCCTGGCGCGGGCACGCGAGGCGGGCGGGTCAGCGGCGGAGAACCCGCTGCAGCTGGTGTCGAGCAGCGACTGGTTCCGCGACCACAAGGAGGTGCACGAGCAGAATGCCAAGGGCTTCGCGACGATGGCCGAGTTCATCGTGGTAGCGGCCGAGGACGGCGAGCGGAAGAGCCTGCGGGCGTTGGCAAGCCTGGACGGCGAGAAGTATGCGGAGGCACAGTTCCCGGCCAACTTTGACACGCCGGAGCAGCACGAGTACACGGTGCTGGACAGCTCGACGCACGCGGTCAACCTGTTTGTGGCGACGGAGACGCGGGAGGACCAGCGGTACGGCACGATCCTCAAGAGCAACTCGAACGGGACATCGTATGTGCTGAGCATTGCGGGGGTCAACTGTGACAACCGATACTACGTCGACTTTGAGAAAGTGCTGGGGCTGGAGGGCGTGATGGTGGTGAACATGGTGGCGAACCGGGACGATAAGGACAAGGCGGCGAAGAAGCGGCTGCAGACGAAGATCAGCCACAACGACGGGGCCGAGTGGGCATTTATGCCGCCGCCAGAAAAAGACCGGGAAGGCAAGGCGTACGGGTGCCGGCCGAAGCTAGGGGCGAGCGAGGGCGGCGATCCGGCGTGCGCGCTGCACATTCACGGCTACACGGAGCGAGAGGACAGGCGCAAGACATATTCGTCAGCCGGTGCAGTGGGTCTGATGTTTGGCGTGGGCAACGTGGGCGACAGCCTGGGCGAGCTGGCGACGGCCGACACGTTCATGACCACGGATGCAGGCCTCTCGTGGCGCCAGGTGCTCAAGGGCGCGTGGACGTGGCAATTTGGCGACCAGGGCTCGATCGTGGTGCTGGTGCCGCGACACGGCAGCACGCGGACGGTGCAGTTCACGACAGACGAAGGGGCGACGTGGCAGGAGTACCAATTCAGCGAAGACGAGGTGGAGGTGCTGGATATCACGACGCTGCGGTCGGGGGCCTCGCGCAATTTTCTGCTGTGGTGTCGACGGGGAGGCAGCAGCGCGGCCGTCTTCACGATCAACCTGGACTTTACCGGCCTGGCCGACCGGCCGTGCGAGCACAACGACAAGGACGCCAAGGCGTCGGACTACTACCTCTGGTCGCCGTCGCATCCGCTGATGCCGCAGTCGCAGTGTCTGTTCGGACATGTGACGCAGTATCTGCGCAAGAAGTCGGACCGGACGTGTTACAACGGCTTCCGGCTGCAGCACCTGTACAACACGGAGAACTGCACGTGCAGCCGGCGAGACTATGAATGGTGAGTGAATTTGGTGTGGGTGTAGTAGTGAACAAGAAGACTGACAGACAGTGACTACAACTACGAACTCGACAACCACGGACAATGCTCACTGGTGCCGGGGCTGGAGCCGCTGTCCAAGGAGCAGTGGTGCAAGGATCATCCAGACGCCGTGGACTACTACCCGCCGTCAGGCTTCCGGCGCATTCCGCTGACAACGTGCTCGGGCGGCGACGAGTTCGACAAGCAGACGGTGCCGCAGGCCTGCAGCAACCACGAGGACGAGTTCCAGCGCAAGCACCGCGGTCCAGGTGGCCTGGTCATCTTCTTTGCCGTCGTCATTCCGGTCAGCATGGCTGCTGCCGTCGGCTGGTGGGTCTACAGCAACTGGACGGGCAAGTTTGGGTCCATCCGGCTGGGCGAGAACGGCACGTCACGTTTTGCGCTCGACGGCAACGCTCCATGGTTCAAGATCCCGCTGATGGTGCTAGCCGGCGCTGTGGCTGCCTTGGGCACGCTGCCGCTAGTAGCCTCGACCGTGTGGCGGACGACGACGGACGCGTTGGGGCGCTGGACCGGACGCGGCAGTGGTGGTGGTGGTGGTGGTGATCGCGGCCGGGGAGCCTGGAGCCGGATTGGCCAAGGCTTCGGCTTTGGCAGCAGTGGGCGTGGTTCAGGCGGCACGCGACGGTTTACCACACGTGACAGCTTTGCACGTGGCCGGGGCGACTATGCGGCCGTGGACGACGACGAAGGCGAGCTGCTGGGGGATGACAGCGAGGATGAGGTGTAGGGGGAAAGCGAATGGAGAGAGGCAAGAAGAGAGGGAGAAGCCAGAGTCAGCAGAAGACGGGAAGACGACACGAGGCAGAAGAACCTCGAGAGGGACACTCGTCCAACAACACAAGACACACAAACGCACCTTTTTGTCCTTTGAATACCGTTGCTGCACGGTGGAGAGAGCTGGTGGAGGTGTCTGACATTAGAGCGCTGTTCACTGTTCACTGTACTCCGTACACTACCATGTATATGCCCTCAAGTGAGATAACCAGCTGCCTACAGAGAGCTGCCGTCGGTGATACACTACTACGGTCGCGCCATGTCTCACGGCCGTGTGTGCCGCCGGACTGTCTCTCTCCAGTGTCCGGGCTGTCTCGGCGGAGAGAGACCCCATCGTTGTCTAGGCGAATGCCTTGGCAGAGCTCAAAGGGAGATCCTGATGGACAGCTTATACTCTGTGCGACACGATTGCGTAAGCAGAGACTATCACAGGTCACGTGCATGGCTGACGGAGAAGTCCGGATCCGGAATCCCCCAGCCAAAGAAGGACGAAAAAGGAAAGACAAGGGAGAGAATCCCTGCGAGGGCAGATCAGACATCGTTTGTTATGCATCTTACATAGTACTTTGTACTCCGTACAACACACCTGTATTGTTGTTGGGATTCCTGAAACACCATGCACTACTGCAACCCGGGTGTTTGACGAGTGCAGAATGCATGCGGCCTGCAGGAGTCGAAGCAGGGTGGTAGCAGCGCAGATGGGCCTCTGTGCTAGACTTGCGCTTCCCAACGACTGTTTATCAAGAGACCTCGTAAAGACGGGAACGAGAAGAAAAGAAGTACGAGTATGCGGGACAGCTCCGACCTGACGCCACATTCCGCCTCTGCCGAGGCGTCCATAACTTGCTCGTGCTCGTATAGCCAGAACGACATCACATTCATGCAAGGGCAGGTGGAATTGACTGAGAAGCGAATATGCCAAGGGCAATAGAGTATACTAGGTATAATATGGGTATTTTGCATGTGGAAACAGTCTGTCAACACGACAAGGCGTCGTTGGTCGGCAAGAAGGTCTACCACCAAAAGTGGAAAGAGCAAGGTCTATAGAAGGAGTGGATAGCAAAAGCATCGCTGGCTAGTAGAGCAAAAAGAGTGTAGGAGACGTCCGTCATGAGAAGCCAACCGCCCAGAGGCCAGAAAATGACAAAAGGAGAGGAAAAAGCAAAAACAAGCAACAAGAAAAAAACCGAAAACCGAAAAAGCACAAAAAAATAATAACAAAAAAGAAATTAGGACCAGATGTATCGCAATTAGGAGTTGCCTGACGCTGGAAGCCACTGTGGATCAGGGGCCACTCAGGATCGCCGCATCCGGTGCCAGAACCGCTTCATCATGCCCTTCTCAGGCGGGTCTGGGCCCCAGTGATCGATGCCCGCAAACAGCTGGTCGATGCTGTCCTTGGGCCGCGAGCTGCTGCCCATGGCCAGGTCCTCGCGCAGCGGCGACTGCGACTTGCGGCCCAGCGGCAGCGGCTGCGGCTGCCAGCCATACATGAGCTCCTCACAGGCGCGTAGATCCGGCCGCGTCAGCGTCATGCGCAGCGTCATCTCACGCGACGACATCGGCGCCTGAGCGTAACTTTCCGATGGCCGGTGTCCGGCGACCACGGTATCGGCCGTCGAGAACAGGTTCGGCGTCCGTGGCGATTCGGGATCGGGCACCGAAGCCTGGTCCGTGTCTAGCCGGTCGTCATCGTCGTCGTCCAGGAACGTCTGCATCGTGTTGGAGTTGTCCGAGAGAGTGCGGCGCGAATGCATTCGGCTCCGGCTCCGTCTCGGAGAATTGGCATCCAGCGCTCCAGTGGCCGCATCCGAGACCCCCTCCGTCGACGGAAAGCCAAACTCGATAGCCTCGTCGAACTTTTGCGGCGAGGCCAGGTACACCCGCAGCTTCAGGCGCGCCTCGGGATTTTGGTAGTGAGCTGCACCCGGGTCGATCGAGGAGAGCGATATGTGGGATGTATGTGCCGTGTGTGCTGTGTGCTTGGGGCCGATCAGCGAGAGTGCCCGGGACTTGCGTCGTGGGTGCTGCGAGGCCACTGGTGACTGCGGCGGCACCGTAGATGGCACCGTGGATGGCACTGTGGGAAACGGTGATGAGCTCTGACTCGGGCTCGGCGACACCGACGCAGTGGACCGGGTGTCCTTCACCGGTGGCTGACTTGGCTCGGCCAGCGGCAGGCTGAAGGGGATCTTGGACACAGACATGCGGCGCCGGAACGACGGATGTCTCTCCTTGTTATGCTGGGGCAGTGCTTCGCGGAGATTGGCGTGGTAGTCGTCGAGGAAGAGACGCAGATCCAGGTCCTCGTCCTCGTCTACCCACCGGAAAGAGTTGTAAAATGAATCGGGCACGGCACTGGCCCGGTTGCCGGCCAGGTCGAGCGGCCCAATGCTGCCGTTGCCTACAGACTCCATGCTGCGCCGAGTCGACAGTGAAGGACTGTCAATCTGGATGTCCGGAATGAGCTGCCGGGTGCTGGCACGCCGTCCTATCCTGTACACGGCCTCGTCGGCGGCGTCGAGGATGACACTGGCACGGAGCTGTCCTGCTAATATGACCTGCTCCTCGCGGCTGAACTCGCGCTTTCTGAGCTTGTCGGGCAGGGCGGCATAAATGAACGAGTCGGTCACAGGCGATTCCCGCAGCGATTGTCGCCTGAGACGGCCAGAGATATTCCCTGAGCCGCTGGGATACTGGCGCGACTTCCGGCGCTTCAGATTCTGTGCAGAGATGTCGTCGTAGTGCTGGCAGATCCCGTCGACACCGGAGTCCTGAGCGAAGCGAAGTCGTTCGAGCGTAGAGAAGTACTGCACAGGGCAAGAAGAGAAAGCATGCGTTAGAACCCAGGCATTTTGTTATCTCCAAAAACAGACAGACAGGCCAAAAGCAAACAGAAAGAAGCAACTGCCAGAGCAACACGGTAGGGCTGCTGGCCGAAGATCATCAGGCAATGAAAGCAGAAAGCGGGACGCAGGGAGAGAGAGGCAGGTTTAATATAAGACGGGCAAAAAAGGTCGACCAAGGGAGACTATTATGGAGCCAATGCAGGTGAAATGGACTGTGTGAGAAACGCCACCAGACTGCACGAGAGCATCTTGCAGCACGGAGTACTCGTGCGTGCATACAGAGTAGCAGGCATGCAGCTGCGGGTCCAATGTCCAGATCTCGTCTGGCCGTGAACAGAAAGGGATAAAGGCAGAAAAGACAGGGAACAGGCGCCCTTGACAGCTCAAAGACGGCTTAGAGCCGCCCCTAAAAAAGCTTGGGGTGCATGGGGACCGAGCATGCAGCTTGATCGAGTTTGTGACACTGCAACGTCTGTGATGCCTCGCTGCCTTCTTCTGGCGTCGCAGTGTGCTGTGACGAGAGCACACTTGGCACATACTAGGCGCAGCCGAGTCAGACGAAAGTCTGGCGTCCACTCGGAACAGCAGCGCGAAGCCTAACTCGTCCAGCTCGTCTTGCGAATGATCCAATCGCTTTCCTGGCCTGCAGGCTAGACAAGGGACAGAAGGGGTGATCTCCCACAGCTTTTCCACTTTAGGCTGTAGCCGCTGGAGCCACCAGCCACCAGCTACTCGTCAAGAATGAGAGTGGTGCTATTTGAGGGAGGGGAGCGCGCCTCCAGACGGCCAGTGGCGAATGGATGCATTGCAGTGAGTGTATCGCACTTGCTGAGCTGCCTGTTCTGGCCTTCCTTGCTTTTGCTCGCTGGCGCGGTTTCGCTGCTTTCTTTTTCCATGCAGTGAAGGGAACTAAGGGAAAAGGCTGGCTAGCACAGTATCTTACCTTTCTCTGTATAGCAACGGGAAGTGCCTCGAACTCGTCCCGGGACAACGGTGGCGGCACGCCCGACGAAATCGATGCGCTTCTGGCGCTGCCATAGCGCGTGTCGTGGGTGTTAGCGCTGTAGCTGCGGTAGCCGCTGCTGCTGGACGAGCCAGCACGACGATCCGATATTCTCGCTGGTCTGCCCGATGGACTCTCGCTCTGGTGCCGCCGTCCTGCACCTCGTGCCAGCCGTCTGAGCAGCGGGCTGGGCGAGATGTTCCGTCCGGTCGAAGGGGCGGATTCTGGCCGCCACAAGCCCGTGCCGAGGATTGCGTTGGCGTGCTGTTGCGCTGCAATGTTGTGGTGGTAGAACGCGCCGTTGGCCGATGCGGCGGCGACTGTCATGCTGTCCATGCCGCTGTCGTCGCCAGGCGTTGCCAAAGCGGTCTGAGAAGGCATGTCTGCAGCCGGTCGGCCGTGCTGTTCTGTGGTGTCGGTGTCGGTGTCGGGACGGTGTCGTTGGGCGAGCTCGGAGCTGCACGTGGGCGGTGAAGTGGGTGCGAGACTTTTCTCTGGCAGCTCTCCTTCACGTCGAACTCAGGGGACAAGCTGGCAGTTCTGTCGACAGCAGGATGAGATGGTGAGCAGAATGGAAGACAGACGAACAGAGAGGACGAGAACAGAAACGTGAATGTCTGCAGAAACGGCAATGGCACAGAATAACAGGCTCAGCAGCCAGGCGGGAGAAGTCCAATTCCTCCCGCTGACCCCGTCTGTTCCTCCCGACAACGGTCACTCACTGGTTCAGACGGTACAACCAGAGCATCCGTGGTACGCGCGGTACTCAGTGCTAGCCAGCACTAGCAGCCACCCAGAACAGACGCGACCAGACCGTCCTCACCTCATCTCATCACGCCGGGCCAGGGCCAGAGCCAATCCGCACGAGCCAGCTGTACGAGTACCCGTACATCGTACTTTGTACGGGCGAGTACGAGCAGACGAGCAGACGCAGAGCGGATCCCTTCACCCAGGACCGGCAAATGAGGCAGACAGGACCGGGGGTCACAGACTGCTATCCACCGCCACCGGCCGCCAAGCCAACAGCGGAACCGGCCTAGCTGGTGCTTTTTCTCCATATTGCTGTCAGGGGTCGTCAACTGGTAGTCAGGGGTTCAGGGACAGCTGGGGTGGCGTTAGCGTGCCAACTTGGTCGTAGGGCGGGAGAGAGGGGGTGGGGGGGATGTGGAAGGTAGATGACGCTGCTGCATATCGTACGAATAAAAACGTATAAGCAAAACTCAGCAAGTTGTTCGAACGTGCCCACAGAAGTACTGGGTTTGGAGATGGGTTTTGTCACTATTTTGGCACCGCGATAGTTTGGGGCTGTTCCTGTCCTCTGTGCCTTCCCTTCCTGCCGTGTCCAGACGCGTCCGACGTGCCTTCCGCAAAAAGACGCGTGGGCTAATTGCATGTTACAGATACATGCATACGTAGCACTCTGTATTAATGCATAGTAGCAGTGCAGAAGATTACACTGCCGAAGCTACATGCGTCGTAGCACTACGTTATAGTGGTCAATTCTGGTGATGTTCTAATTAGTTCATTTAAACACTAATCAAAGCTGCAAGGAACCCCAGCATCGCTGAGACGTGCCAGGGGCCGTGATGGCACGGCGTTCTGCTGAATGCGCAGGCACCGTTCAGCACATTTTTGCCGCCCGTTCATGCAATGCAATGCAGTTCCGCTGCAGCCATGTATCGTACATAGTATCGTGGACATATACTCGCACACGTATCGTCCATCACGAGCAGACACTCGTAAGATGCACATGTTGCCTCGGTGGTCCAGCCGTTGGATACGAGCAGCGCTTTTTGCAGGGAAGCATCTCGAACATCAGAGCACGTCGTTCTGCCGCCGTTTTTCTGCTGTACGCGTACTTTTTCCACTTCGCCTGCATGGACAAGAAGTAGCTTGCTTGCCTGCATCCTATCGTACTATGAGCAGCCGCCTGCCTTGCCTCAACGATATAAGATACTATTTGAGAACGAGTACCGGCTTTGCGGGTCCCAGCCGCTATCCAGCCAAGGATGTCCAGTCTCACTCGCATCTCTGACCGTTTATGACAAGCCCCACGCCCATCCGAAGCGTGAGGCAATCTGCAGCGCCGAAAAGGACGGCATATCATTGCCCGTTTCGATCGGCCTGGCCGATCTCTTACGGAGCTCACATCGACAAGCCGCCCCATCAGCTCTCGAGCTTACCTCCGATACACCCTTCGTCTTATTGCATCTTGTTTGTAATTAAACGCATTTCCCATCATCCGCTACCACTTCTCGCTTCCAAGCTTCCAGGCTTCCTGGTTTCCTTGGTTTCCTGCTTTCCTGATTCCAGCTCCGTTCTCGCGCCTGTCGTCTGTCTTGGACGTATCCTCGGGCTTTCTTCTAGGCGTCTTCCATTGCAACGCTGTCCTAGAACCTGGACTTTGGCGAGATATCATGGCTACTTCCGTGCGCAAAATGGGCCGTTGCCATACCAGTGACATGGATTCATTTGCTTAGTGGCAGTGGCTGACCCAAATGACAGGTCTTTGGGAAATACTGTGCCCCAGTCCTAGTGCACGAGCACTCATCTATAATCAAATATGCCGGCGAGTTTCCAGAGACCTCTCCGGGGAATCTTGCTGCCGCCTGTGCTCAGACAAGGGCTTGGCTAGTGAGTGATTACGTAGTCGAGTGTGGGCAAAGCGGTCCGGATGCCGGTTCTCGCGCTCTCACAGGATCATCGCTCGTGGAACAAGCCGGCATACTCCGTACTATGTAGAGAGAGATGGATAGAAGCACGATCGAAGAAGGGGGAGACGCCCCAACGGCCACCTATTGCCACCCTGCGGCGTTTCCGGCCCCGGCAGAAAGCCCCATTTCTGATGTTGCAGTGGCTCCCAGGTGAGATGATCCATCGCTCCTCGCTCTCTCGTTCAACAGCTCGGGCTGGCGCCCGTACAGAGTACGGAGTCCGAACAGCCACAAGCAAGATCCCCAGCGTGACATCGCTACGCCGCGAGTCATACTCGTTACTATGTATACAGAGCCCGGAATATTAATACGCACAGAACGACACCCTACAAGGCCCCATGCCTCCGAAAGTGGGTTCTTGCAAAACTTTTTTTACCTTTTTACCCTCGTATCATCTCTCAAAGATCCCTATCCGCAGGGTTCCGTGTCCAAAACATGCGACAGGGAAATCACAAGACCGTACTCAGCTGGAGGGAATTTTTGGGCTCAGACTTGAAAACCCACCCTGGCAGCCATGGGGAAGCATTTCGGATGGAGGCCCTGTCTCTGCTTCGCCCCGAGCAGATGTCATTCATTCTGGGGAGATGGCAAGATATATACGGAGTACGGAGTAGCTCGGGTGAGATAGCCGCCGTTTCTCTCCAGTTGTTCCTCGTACATACGTACATAGTACGACGTACTCCGTACACCGATTGTTGAGCTGTGCTGCTAGAAAGGGGTGAATCAGACATGGTTTCGGCTTCCTGCAGAAGTGGGCTCCTGATTCGGCTTGTTCCAGCTACGACTTATGTAGTAGGTCCCGATTTTTGGGCGGCTCCTTGGGCGTAGGCTTCCAGCGAATAGTAGCTGGTATCGGCCATCGTCGAAAGGACTGGAATCGGCTACGCTCTATATGCTGGGAGTAACGGTGTGAAGGCAGCCAACCCGACGAGCACATTCAACTCTACTGGATTTAAGCGATGTTGGTTTGCATTAGTTGGAACTGCTCACCGTGAACAACCGACTCCATAACTGGTAATCCTTTGGTACGTTCACATCTGATGTCATGTGTCTCTGGCCGAAACTAACACAAGAACCTTCCTGTTCGCTTTAACGCAACAGCATGACAAGCCCCCCATGCAACACACCGCATCATCGGGTAATACCGTAGCTGTCCATTCTTCATAGGAAGCACTTTCATGTTGCCTCGTACCAGAAAAATATGATACCCAGCAGCAAACTCAAATATTGCACACCCCATTTAGATGGCACGTCCATACAGTAATCTAATAGCTATTCATTGACCCAAATCTAGTGACCTTGTTCTCTATCCGGTAATCTATTGCCGTCAAGCCTCCGATGGCTTGCCATCGATAGCATGCCATTAATAGCAATGCATCAGGCAGTACTCCGTAATATATATCTAATTCCCCAAGCCCATGGTATAAAGTGCAATTGTCACTCCAAAAAAAAGACACCGCCACCAGTCCGTATGTAAAAGTGCTCAGCACTTCATTTCGAGAAACGAGGTGGACTGTAGATCCCCTCACGCGCTCGTGGGAGTGGTAGATGGCACAGGAAGTGCATCCACAGGATCGTAATACTCATACACCTTGTTGTCCTTGTCTCGGCCAGTCACTGCAGGCGCCATGAACCGGGAGACCCCAGTGTTGCGGTCGTAGTCAAGGTGCGAGCAAGCCAGACGCTTGCCACCACCGCCAGGCAGGTCCACGACGAACTGCGGCATCATGAAGCCAGCAATAGAGCCCCGGATCTGAGCCTCGATGTCCAGGATGGTCTGGAGCGGCGTCCGGAGGTGCTCTACCTTCTCGACCATGTCACATTGGTACACATAGTACTGTGGAAATCGAATAAGCCTATGATTTCGGACATCCAGAAAGGGGGGGAAGGGAGATTTGTAGTTCCTACGGGGAAGATGATGTTGTCGGCCAACTTGCGAATCAGCGTCGACATCGTGGCAACGTCGTCGTTGACACCTCGTAGCAGCACCGTCTGGTTGCGGACCATTATCCCAGCCTCGGAAAGCTTGCGTGCTGCCTGTTCCGTCACCCACGAGATCTCGTTGGGGTGATTAAAGTGCGTGTGCAGCGCCATCGCCTTGCCGGCCTTGCGTGCTTGCGTGGCGACATAGCTGAGTGCATCGAACCAGCTGTCCTCTGCATCGAGGATGCGAGCAGGCGCCACGGCCACGCCCTTGGAGGCAAACCGGAACCGACGGATGTTCGGCATGGCAATTAGACGCTCGCCCACATACGCCAGCTGGTCAGGAGTCAGGTAGTAGGCGTCACCGCCAGAGACGACAATGTCCTGCAGAGCAGGCTGGCTTTCAATGTAGGCAAACACCTCTTCCCAGCGACGCTTGGTCGGCTTCATCGATGCCTTCTTGACCGACTCGGTGTTACCGCCCACGGCATATGAACGCGTGCAGAACATGCAGTAGGTCGGACAGACTGATGTGGCTATCACGGTCCAGAATCAGCCAAGGACGTAAATGATAGCAACCAATTGCAAACTCCAGACAATAAACCTACGCAAGAAAAGAGCCTTCTCCGGATAGCGGTACACCAGACCACTGACGGGAGAATCGGCAGACTCGTGCAGAGAGTCGAGCGTCAGCTTTGGGTGATCAGGAATCATTCGCGATTTGACCGGCAGAAACTGGCGGAAGATAGGGTCATTGCGAGGATCCTTCCAGTTGATCCGGCTGAGCACATATGGCCTATACGAAGTCAGCCATTGTCGTCAAAGACAGGAAAAGGCGAGTGGGGATTGGGGGCTCAGCACGTCATTCTGGTCGACATTGTGGCCGCTTTGATGCCGTCCATGACATCGGCTACGAGATCCTCGCGTGTCTGCATCTTGTCACCAGTTTCTTCGTAAGGTACAGCGTCAGGCAGCACGGCCTCGAGGAAGTTGGCGAGCTTTCTCTCTCCTTGGACGGTCTGCGCCACCTATCCGTCAAAATCAGCATTTTTCTTTTTTTGTATTTTCAATTTTCGTAGGGTTACTAACGCTCCATCGGTAGGAGAGAAACTGATCCTGGGATATGTTCCCCCAGACGGTGATCTTTCGCCAGAAGCTATCATTCAGGGCTGTTGGTGCTGCTGCCATGTTCTTCTGGCTCTCCTCGGTCTGGATTTCCTCGATGGACCTCTCCTTTAGGGCTGTCTGGGCCCTGCGAGGCAAAGTGGCAATCCCGCGAGTGCCTCGGAGACAGGCTGCATTGGCAGTAGAGATACAGCCGAAGTACACTCCAAATTTGGAGTAACCCATGTTAAGAAATGTCGGGTTATCGGAAAGGGTAACAAAAGACTGGACAATCGACATTAGAAAAAAAAGGGGGAGAAGTGGGAGAGACCGGAGAAGGAAATTAGATACGCACAGGAATTATGTCAGTTTGGATGTAGTGAATGAAAATATCATATCTCGGCTCCTAAAAAAAGTTGTAAAAATGTTCCCATCCCAATTTCAGTCCAGTTGAATATCTGGGTTGTGTTTCCTACCTTCGGTGAACTTATCTGGAAAGGACATTAGCTATAGTTGCAGAGAAAGCAAAGAGCCAAACCTACAGCTTCATATAGACTATTTGAGACAAAACGGGAAGCAATAGCTACGTTTTTGTATAACTACTGTGTAGCTAATTATGTCTGACAATGATAATATACCTGTTCCTCTGCAATGACCACTGATGAACTCTCTCCAACCTACTTCAAATGAGTTAGCATTAGTTAAAAAAACCCCGACCCTCAACGTATTCCGGTTTCGATGGTAGATGATGGTACCTAGAAGTTTCAACGAGCCTTGAAGTTACTTCCTTGGGCACCTCTCCTGACTGATAGATGTGCTAAGGGTGCCTATTTGCATTGATAAAGGTACCAAGTGAGGTTACAATCGGTCAAGTTTCCCTTCAGACAATCTGAATTGTAAACGAAAGTTCAACTTGCCAACTTGCCCCCAGCAGCTCTTGGCACCGGAACTATCCGCCTGTGGTCTGTCGGGTATCGTCGAGAGATATTTGATCGGATGATGTAGCCAATGATGTACATGAAAGGCGAAAAGCCAGAAAGAATATAGAAGACGATGTGATGCACGTCTGCAAATGCTGGGACGGACGATAGGTAAGGTTTGAATACATATAAATTGGAGAGGAAAAAGGTGCACATATGAAAAGCATAGTCAGATGGGATTTTCCTATTTATACTTGTTCGGAGCGTCTGCCTCAGTAGCAATGAAGTTTGCTCACCGATTAAAAGGCAAAGGGATCTAAAACAAAAAAAAGAAATTTGTTTAAAAAAAAGAACATCACATAAAGCAAAGCAAACTGAAGCAAAATAAACAAATTTTACGTACTCTAGCTCAAAGACCTCCCTCCAATAACGAAATTGTTTTCGAGAATAAAGCAACCTCTCTGCAGACAAGGAAGGGAGACCGCAACTTAGAGTATTTTGAGTGCGCCACTACCTACTACATCTCTAAACTACATCTTCAAAACTACTTGATGCAGTCTCTTGCCCGGTCATGATTCGTATCCTCGCCACTCACGTGCTATCAGTGGTGCTCTTCTGTTTTCTATGTCAACTTTTCAGCAACATGCAAGGCATGATTTACCAGTACAGTTGTTTATTGGCAGTGTAAACGATCGCTTAGGTGAGAGGTCACTCTCTTGAACCTTGTCCATTTACACCTCTTGTCAGCCCAGGTTTCCTAAGACACAAACACCGACCGATCATGCGATGATTAATGTAAGATACTCCGTACTAAGCCTGCATTTCAATGCTTCGCCGGCAGAGGGAGACGATCAATTAGATCGCATATAGTGCCACGTTTCTAGATCTAGAGTGGAGAGCTGTATGATTTTATCTAGTCAAATGTCAAGAAAGTCCTCTCTCGGCCAGTCGATTTTGATACTGTGGTGTATATTATATTGAAGGCATCTCTACTCCGCCTTTGTTTTCTGTCATATCGTATCGTGGCCATTCAATTAGCTACTTTGTACGGAGTACTCCGTGTTCTTTTCTCTTTTTCGCCGCTCTTTTCAGCTGAGCCAGGGAACAACGAATTAGTGAGGTGGAGAAGCTGATGCATTATTGGACAATGTGACGCAAGTAAATCGAGGAGGGGCTGAGTTCTAGTCTCCTGCCAGCTACTGGCAAGGGCAACACTCGAATGAAAAACAAGACTTTTTCTCGTTCTCACAAGCATTGGGATTAGAGACAGATAACACAGATGCAGCCTGTTTGTAGCCTTGCAAGTACAAAACACATTTGAGTAACGAGTCACCTTAAAGGGTATTAGCAACGTCAACAACCTTAATCTTGTCACACGTTTAACAAAAGTATCCTTTTATTTTCGAGGGGACTTGCTTTTCAGCACGTGCAGGCGTTTCTGTTGTGGGTAAGCTGAAATATCCCTACCTTAGTAGTATCGGCTGCTGCTACATCAATCATTATACACACGCCACAAACCGCCTTGCGTCATTAACATCGATCGATCGGATCTGTTTGCTTCATGCTTTTTTTCAACTTCCCCCACGTAGCAGAAGAAGAAATTATTGTAATACTGCTCTACCAATCTCGGCCGGATCTAACTGTTCTGCTGTGCCGAGAAAACATCTTGGACTGCGGCACAGAGATCATTAGTTTAGAGCTTTAGTTCACAGTCCAAAGAAACGTGCCAAATATGCCAAGGGGTTTAAGAAAATAGGAGAAATGTCGAAAACATGATGGTCTAGCTTCACACCATCCCCCCCCCGGTAGAAGCAGGGCATCGAGTACATCTCGACAGACTCTTATACTACCACTCCCTATCTGGACAATTTTAATCAATTCTAACACCTGCCTCCGGCCACCGCCGTGACTCTAAGGAAATATGGTTGTGGGGGCCACACATGGAAACAACTCTGCGTGGCTGCATATGTCCAAATGTTGGCATGGATACGGCGTCAGTGGGAGACAACTTGGCCCGATAATAGGCGAATAACAGATAAAAACAAGAAACTAGAAGCGGTGAGTCTTTTCATGAGGCCCCTCTTATCTTGCTTTAGCTGAATTTAGTATCAAAATTTTGATTTTGAGGTTTTCATCCTGGTGTGTGTGGTGGCTACTTTCAAAGGTCTCTTGTGGCCCCAAACAGGAACAAGCAAAATCATGCCAACACCAACAATTGAGCTGTTGGTTGGCAGAGCTCGTATTCCTCGTAAAGATCAATGGTTGTTGTACTTCGTGGATTCTCCTTTGACTTTGATCCCAAGTTTGATCCAATGGGATATTCTAAGCAGTACGACGAAAGAGCAACATGTGCTCGCTTTTGCGTCCCGTCCAGAAAAAAGAAAAGTCACTGAAAGCAGAGAGTCGAGAACACGAGCCGGCACAGAGACATGGCCAATCCATTCGAATCGGGTTATCTACCTTTATAGGCTTGTTCTTCATTCGTCCCGGACTGGCCACAGTTGGCTTATCTTCTGGGTTGACGCTGTTTTTAGAACTAGTCTCACCGATGTCTGCTGAAGAATGATGTAAGTTTGACTCTTCGGCACGCGTAAACACTCCGAAGCGGTCTAAGATCAGTGTCTCGGTGGCCGACTTCATCCAGAGGTATCGTAGAACATAGAGGCGCCACTATACCAAACACAACGCTTCAAGCATCAAGCTGGGTGAAACTGGTCAAGTTGGGAATTTAATGGTAGAAGAAGCAGTGCTTAGAACAGATTCATATGATAAAAATATATCTCTAAGAGAAGAAGGCGCTCCTACGGACATCCAAAACAAAAAGGTCACGTGTGTATCACAATTGGTTCTTGTTCACACCGGGTAGCCCGAGCATCAGGAGCAGTCCGCACTGTAACAATACCGCACGGGGCAGTCAATTTGATATCTAAACAAGTCATTCCAACATGATTTAGTGTCGCTGGTATAGTACAGGCATTGGAATTCTATGGCGCTTTTTCGTACGACAAAGTTCGCACCCCTCTGCTTGTTGGGTCGCTCGTTTCAGGTCAGGAAGGCTCTATAAGGGGAAAATGTCTAACGAGAAGGCCTCGATTCTCGTGACAGACACACGTCCCATTCTGGTGGCGACTGGCCGCCACCCTCTTACACAGATGTGCACAATGATGCCCGTTGTTGTCTGCATCGTGGCAGAGACAACAATGACGGCCGCACGCCCAGACGGCGCATACTTTCAGCGCCGAACAGCCGCGGCCGAAGAGGTCGTCTAAGGGCCAAGAGGGCTAGGGGAGAGGCGTTAACTTTGGTTTCATTTCTCCCAGCGGAGAGAAGCCACAGTGTGGACAAAGATATGCATACCCGAGATAGTCTTCGTTGATGGTGCCAATTGCCCACATCTCACCGACTTCGCTTCGTGTGCCCATGATCTTGACCCGGATATGTGTTCCGGGCTCGATCCGGTAGTCCTCGTTGTCCGTGAACTGGGGCGGAGTGGCGTTTGGATCGTACTTGACCTGACTAGGAATCATCTGTCCATGAAGTGTTAACACACTCCACCGTCATTGCTGTCGTTCAATGCTCGGAAACGGCCGAAGCAGGAAATTTCCATACATGAGACGACACAAACAAGCGCAGAGGGCCAGCCTGTGCGAAGAATCCGTGGGGATTGACTGAGTAGACGACGGCATCAACCTTGATGTTTTTTCCTGTGTCAGCCTGTTTCTGAACTCGTTTCTGTACGCCCCTCTCACACGCAGAAGCAGCTGTGCTCGAGACCGGGGCCAGGACTGGCTGCGCATACCGTCTCGCCCTTGAATGGCCGCCATACGACGGCACGGTAGCCCACGGTGAATTCAGCGAGCCCGTTGCCTGGCAGGATCTTGCCGGCCGAGATGTCAAACGTATCCATGATGGATATTATGTAGTAGTTGCCGGCACAGGTGCCCTCGACATCCTTCAGGAGCTTCGTCGTGACCAGCTCGTGCATGTTCCGCCCAAAGTAGGACGGATGCAGAGTCACCCTACGCTCGAGATTGTGTAGGAAGAACATGGCCGGTATCGGTGAAGAGAGCTATGTCGTGCCTGCTGCGTATGCTGTGTCAAGGAGAAGAGAGCGCGTCGATCTCTTCACACAATCCCAAGCTCACTGAGCTGCCACACCGTCCCGAGCACTCGCAGATCGGTCTTGGCGAGTGGAAGAGGAAGAAGCCCAGAAAGAACAGGCGACAAAGGACTACCGACTATAACAGCTCGTTGGGTTGCGCGTTGCTGGCAAGAATCAACGACCTCCTCGGATGGATCGAACAGGAACCCGGCTCTGCACAGGCTTGCGACCGGAATGAGAACGACGTGACGGTTCGGGGTCGGGAATCGGGAGACAATCGAGCGTGGAGGCAGGAGGAAGGGGGCAAAAATAGGGTCGGATGGTCGAGATGCGACTGGCGCTGAGTGGGCGCCCGAAACCCCTTTGGTATCTTATCAAAAAGACGATGCCGGCCCGATGCCTTGGTGGACGGATGTGAGCAAGGGAACCCGCTTTGGGCGACTGGACAAGGACAAAGGCGTGCGGTGTGTGGTGACTCCGTTGGGATGCTCTACCTCCTTGACAAAAAGTTCACAAAGCACGAACCTATTCACGCGGCTGAAAGGGTCCGTGCACAAAGTGTTCGCGACTTGTTGGCCAAACGGTGGCGCAGGCCTTCAAATACTCCGTACACGTGACCCACAGCCACAGCGATTTGTCGGCACTATATGGTGACTTCTGGTAATCGTCATTTCGATATCGAAATTTTGCCTCTTTACATACCACGGACAAGCCATCTCCGCGCACCGACCCCCGAAGATGTGGTAGAGAGACGCCCCATTCGTTATGATTATAGATATACAGTCACATCTGCACGCCTTTGTCCGAACCGAGTTGGGCGACAACGGGCGCGACTTCCTTTCTCTTATCCCTTTCCTGCGCCTCGCAGGCGCAACGAAACATACAGCTTAGATCCTGCAGCCGAGTCACTAGCCATGGCCAGCATAGAGAGATACAGACTGGTTCGCGAGGGGTACCAGCCACCATCACTGCCAGCTGCCCGGCCTGCAGCAGGGGTACCCGCCCTCTCCGTGACGTCGGCGCCAACAACTGTTGCATCTGGACAACCGTTATCGGGAGCACCGGCGCCAGCTTTTCCCACAGAGCTCCGACCACACTCTGTCTCATCCTTACGCAAGAGAGATGTGCCTCCGGCTGCGCCATCACCTCCGACACAGTCCTTAAGAACATCCCCGCCCAGACCGGGGCAGCAGCAGCAGCAACAACAACCACAACAGCAGCCACAGCCACAGCAACAACCACAGCAGCAGCAGCCCCGCAATGGAGCGGTTTCTCCTGTGACTACGCCGCCGTTGGCCAACCAGTGGTACTATACCGAGGAGGAGATGGAGAGCACGCCGAGTGTGCTGCACGGGCTGTCGCCGAGCGAAGAACGGGCGCGGCGAGCCAAAGGTGTTAACTTCATCTACCAGTCCGGCATCGCAGTACAGCCACACGCACTGCCTCAGATGACGCTGTATGCCGCTGCCGTCTTCTTTCATCGCTTTTACATGCGCATTAGCATGGTGGAGGAACATGGCGGGATTCACCACTACGTAAGTCTTCCTGGAGATCAGCGAAGGGGCGCTCTCACCTTGGCATCACCCCCCGCTCACAATCTTGTCTGTCGTGTCTCAGAAAATTGCTGCCACCGCACTGTTTCTCGCGAACAAGACAGAGGAAAACTGCTTCAAGACTAAGCATATCATCATCGCCGTGGCCAAGATCGCACAGAAGAACCTCAACCTGATCGTCGACGAGCAGAGCAAGGAGTACTGGCGCTGGCGTGACAGTATCCTGACGTACGAGGAGCTCATGCTCGAGACCCTCACGTTCGACCTCATGGTAGCCAACCCCTACAACCAGCTATGGACGCAGTTGCGGAAGCTGAGCCAGCTGCCGAGCAAGCCGATCCGCGAGGCGGCCTGGACCTTTCTCAACGACGCCGCCCTGACGACGCTGCCGCTACTGCTGGATGCGCGGGATATCGCGTCGGCATCCATCTTCTTTGCCAGCGTGGCCTCGGGCGTGAAGATCAACGACGTGAATGCCGAGCCGTGGTGGCAATTCCTGGGAGCCAACCAGGACCGCATTACGCGTGCGATCCAGATTATGATCGCCTTCTACACCGAGAACCCGCTCAAGAAGCAGAATGGTGTCATTCAGGGCTCGCCCGTGTTCTCGCTCGAGACTACGCGGGGCGCCCACGAGCTGTCGCAGCTGAACAGCAGCCAGCTCGACGCCGCCGCCTCCGCGCGCGGGAGCCGGCAGGAATCCCGTGACAGTCGCGACGTCACGCCCATGGAGCTTGACCGCAACACCCAGCCGGGCCAGCCGAGCCAGCTGAGTCAGCAGACCGCTGCCGGTGACGATAGCGAAAAGAACCATTTTGCCCCTGCCAGTCAGGCCGACTCGGACACTGCGCTGCTGTCGCAGACAGTCTCGGGCGAGTCGGACGTCGTGCTCAAGACGGTGGCCAACGACCTCGGCGGCCACCATCACCCCCCCAGCTACTACAACGACACTGCCGAAGGCCGACTGCCCTCGCCGGACAAGAAACGCAAGAGCGCCGATCCCGAGATCGACGAGGCGCGCAACGTCGAAGAACCCCAGGCCAAGCGGACAAAGCAGGCCGGTGATGAAGATGCGGAGTAATGAATAATAGCTTGGCAGCTATGGCGTCTCTTTTCGTTTCTGTTTGCTTCATTTCATTGCATTTTCCTGCTGGGCTTTTTTGGTCTCCAATGTTAGGAGGGTTTAGAGACACGAATGTTTTCGGCGTTCGAGACTGAGAGGGGAGGCTTTCTCTTTCAAGGTTTAGGTCTAGTTTTGTCGAGAAGACATGGCCAGTCTGCTATGTAGCTGACCAAAGGAGGGGGGTGGGATGAGGGGGAAAGAAGGGGAGAGAGCAAAGCATACTCGCGCAGCTGGTTGTTTCTTCATGCTCTCCACGTTGTTCAAACATCAATACCAGTATAAATTCATCCACACACTCTTGCATTAGAAGAACATAAATATGCCATGGGAGAGTCCGTCTTTCTAACGGGTATAAGATACAACTCACGACATATGCAAAAACACACGTGATAAAACTACCTAGGTGAAGCCTAGTGTCTATACCTTGGGAAGGCTGCAGGTTACTGGTGGGCTTTTTTATTATCTTCCAAGTTGTTTCCGGCTGTGCCTTAAGGCTTAATCCTTTCGGTTTGATCAAACCAAGCCTTGTGCGGTGCTGGACTGCCCTCCCTACACGGGACGTGGTGTAAATCCTTTTGCTACTTCATTCTCATGTCGTTTGATGGTTTCTTTGATTCTGCCCGAACAGGTCTTCTCAAGGGTATTGTGTATTTGACTTATTTATGCCTGGTAGGTAGAGGCAGACACGTTGCCACCGCGGCCGGTCCAGTTGACGTGGATGTCCTGGCCGATGGGGTACTTGGCGCTCTCGAACTCCGGCTTGATACGGAACGTGTGGGCACCGAAGTAGTCGCGCTGGGCCTGCAGCAGGTTGGCGGGCAGGTCCTTGGTGCGGTAGCCGTCGAACCACGACAGAGCAGTGCTGAAGGCCGGGGTCGGGATACCGAGAAGAGCGGCCTTGGAAACGACATCACGCCAGCCGGGCTGAGCCTTGTGGATGGCCTTGTTGAAGAAGTCATCGAACAGCAGGTTCTCCAGGTCATTGTCCTTGCGGTACGCAGCAGTAATGTCCTTGAGGAAGACAGAGCGGATGATGCAGCCACCGCGCCACATCAGGGCGATGGACGGCTTGTTCAGCTTCCAGCCGTACTCCTTGGCGGCCTGGAAAAAGAAAGTTAGTATGAAGGTTGTCGTGGTGAAACAAATAGACGTCATCCGAGCGGGTGATCAATACACACCTCCTGCATCAGCATGAAACCCTGGGCGTAGGAGATAATCTTGGAGGCATACAGGGCCTGCTCCAGGTCCTCAAGGAACTGCTCCTTGTTGCCTTCAAAGGTGCTGGCGCGGCCGACGAACTGAAGCTTGGTCGAGGCCTTAACGCGCTCGTCCTTGATGCTTGACAGGCAGCGAGCCAGCACAGCCTCGGCGATCAGCGTGACGGGCATGCCCAGGTCCAGGGCGTTGATGGCAGTCCACTTGCCAGTGCCCTTCTGGCCAGCCTTGTCGAGAATCTTCTCCACCAGGGCGGTGCCATCCTCGTCGTTGTAGTACATAATGTCACGGGTGATCTCAATGAGGAAAGAGTCCAAGACGCCCTTGTTCCACTTGGCCAGTGCGTCACCAATCTCCTTGTTGGTCATTCCCAGACCACGCTTCATGATGTCGTAAGCCTGCATTGTAAGGGTCAGCACGGTAATCCAAGCAGGAGGAAAGTGGGTGGCAATCAGATGCGAACCTCGGAGATCAGCTGCATGTCGCCGTACTCGATACCGTTGTGGACCATCTTGACGTAGTGGCCAGCACCCTCGTCACCGACCCAGTCACAGCAGGCCTCGCCGTCGCTCTTGGCGGAGACGCTCTGGAAAATGTCCTTGATGTGAGGCCATGCCTTCTCATCACCACCGGGCATCAGGGAGGGGCCGTAGCGGGCACCCTCCTCACCACCGGAAACGCCAGAGCCGACAAAGCTAAGGCCCTTGGTAGCCAGGTATTTGCATCTCCGGTTGGAATCGGGGAAGTGGGAGTTGCCACCGTCAATGATGATGTCGCCCTTCTCAAGAAGAGGAAGAAGGGTCTCGATCCAGTCGTCGACAGCCTGGCCAGCCTGGACCAGGAGCATGACCCGACGGGGGGTCTTGAGCTTGGACACGAACTCCTCGGTGGTGTGGGCACCGACAATGGACTTGCCCTTGGCTTCGTTGGCCAGGAACTTGTCGACCTTGGACACGGTGCGGTTAAAGGCGCAGATGGTGAAGCCGTGGTCGGCCATGTTAAGGATCAGGTTTTGGCCCCTGTCAAGCAAGACATGTTAGCTTAGTCAAGGTGATGGAACTGTGGCTAGGAAGCTTCAGAATTGGACTTACATGACGGCCAGGCCAATGAGGCCGAGATCAGCGCTTCCAAGACAGTTAGCATTGCCATACTTCAAACTTCGCAGTATATTTCACGTTAAAGAAGACGGAGGGATACAGAGAGGGGGAAGCCAAGTGCATGTACGACAGAGCGGGTGAAGGACAGAGAAGTAGAAGGGGTAGCTGATGGAGTGGACATTGACAGTACAGGGGAGAGGTGGAGGTGGAGGGGGTGCCGAACACCCCGCCGAGCATAGCTAGGCGGGTTCTGCGTCGTCATTGTTTAGCCATTGGGCATGTAGATGAGCGCTTCAGACCAATAGCCCAAAAAGGAAGGGAATGGATGGGTGACGAAATGGCTCTTTTACGAAATGCTTTGCTGCCGTTGCATCTGTCCACGGCCCTTTTGGCTTGTCGCGATGTCTCACTGACACCTCCAGCCATCCTGAGGTTTGAGCGGGGGTGGGGTAGTTTTGCTGCAGCAGAAGCAGCTCTGCTCCAGCACGGCAACGGCTGAGAGCGGCGTAGTCGCGACGATGCCGGCGACAAACGGTAGCGTAAGGAAAGACACGCTTAACTTACACGGGGCCAGACATTGCTCTGCTGTAGCGGAGAGAAGACTGGAAATATGCGAAAAAGCCTCACTCGTCGAGAGGAGCGATGGTGCAGAGAAAGCCGGGGTAGCTTGCTTGGGGCAGATAGCTTCCAAGAAGTTGAGAGCAAGGGGGGTTATAAGAAGATGTTTGATAAGAGAAGATGAAGTAGAGGGAGAGCGAAGGAAGGGAGGAAGGAGGAAGACAGAAGAAAAGGAGGAAGAAAAAACAGGACGTCCAAAAATATAGACAGAGATGGAAGAAGGAACTTTAGAGAGGAGAGGGCACTACGGTCGCCACAGGAGTGAAGGACGATCCGGTAGTTGCGACACACGGAAGGAACCACCCCTCTCCTCTCTCGCAGGGTTTCTAGCGAGGTTTCCAGCGAGGTTAGTGATACCTGGGGCAGCTGCCCTGCTGGAAGTTGTTGGGCGCCTTCATCGGTCAACAGCCTTGTAACTTTGTAACGGCACCTGGGCTAGCGGCGGAGATGGCCCTCCAAAACGCCGGAAGAAGGTGACGGAAAAATGCCCCCTCCTCCAGGGAGTGGGGCTGACTGAGAGCACCTCCCCGAATCCGAAGCTGCACTCCGACGACCCACAGATGGCTTACATGTATGATGTATCGTACATGCGGCCGCATGGCAGCTACATAGTAGGAAAGGCAATTCTACAGTAAGTTACAAATGCGATGCAGCAGGCGCGCATCGTTGCATTGCCACGCTCGTCGTGTCCGCTTTTGAGCTCCGGCTCTTCCGGCCTTTTACTCCGTCGCTGTCCGGGACAGCCGACCAGGAGGACGAGGGACCAGCTACACCTTTTCGACCAGCCACTATGACACTAGGACGGGAGACGAGGATCACTGTGCTCCGGCCTGCACTTCGGGGTTTGTCGTCTCCTTCGCGGTATTTTCTCCCGCAGTGCGGTGATCCAAGCGAGAACCGGAGCTCCTAAGTGCAAGGTTGGAGTAAAAAATAGGCAGGTGGGGGGAATGGGGGACAAAACTGATTTGTCTTGGCTTGCTAGTGTGAAATGGACGTTCGTCGAAGCGCCTCGTCGGGAGTTCACTAATAGTTCACTAATAATACGAGAAATGCGGCTGCAGGGCCACGTCAAGGATGACAAACCCCACGACGTTCGAAACGGTCATGACACAAGTGGCACTCGCTACGGGCCATGATGCTGATGTCGCGGGACTTTGCTTTACGTCGTAAGTTGCACATGTGTGAACTAGGATGGCTCGGACAACAGTGATTAGAAATCCGACGCGGGTGCGGCTTCGGGAGTGTAATCCTCACGCGGAGTAACCATTGTTCCGTCAAAACGGAAAAAGTCCGGCGCTTTGCACGGCCACAGATAGCCACGTTCTGTCAGCCACATATGTGACTTTTCCGGTCGGATCTCACACGCAAGGCGACGACGACGCGGCATCTCGACGCAACAGCAGAGGCATCCACTCCAGCACATCGCGCATCTCCGAGACCCGAGCGCCCTGCTGGCATTGCACTATCTGGCATCACAGGTACGTTGTGCGTCTCCCGCGGACTGCGGTCACCGCCTCTCTTGCTCTCTCTCGTCGAAAATATCCAAATTTATCATGTCGTCCTTCGGTCCTCCAGGCGTCAGCTCGCCACATCCATCGCTTCCTCCGCGCCCGCCGCCGTCGACCGTTGCCGCGAGCGCACCGGAATACTCCTCTACTGTGTCGGCACCCCCGTCATCGGCGGTCCCGATAGCTACAACCTATGGGCCATCTGCGCCTCCCCCTCCATCCTCCTCATCTTCCTACTATGGACCAGCTACCGGCCCACAGCAGCCACAACAGCCACAGCAGCTACAGGGCCAGGCACGGCTGGGATACTCCCGCACCTATGCGCCTCCCGTAGGTGGCGACCGCGGCCGTGGCGGCTACGGCGGGTACAATGCCTACCCACAACAACAGCAACAGCCGTCGTATGGTCCTCAGACAGGGCCCACGACCTATGGGGCCCAGTACGGGCCGACGGCCGCTGCCACCTCGGCGGCACCACATATCCGCAATCCCTTTCCGACCCCGAGTGTGCAGCAGCAGCAGCCGCACTCGGGCGGCTACGAACAGGACCCGCAGATGGCTGCCCAGATTGCCAACTGGCAGGGCGCCTACATGCCCAAAGAGAACAGCAGCTACGGAGCAGGAGCTGCCTCGGGCTACGGCTCGTACTATGGCGCATCTGCTGCAAGCCAGTCGCAATATGCGGGCGCCGCAACCTCTTACGGACCCGACGGAAGCGCAGTGGCAGCAGCGGCAGCAGCAGCAGTAGCGGGAGCATCGACGACAGCGGGCACGGCAGAAGCAGATGTCGGTGGCGGCAGCGGCAACCAGGAGAGGCAGAAGACGGTGTATCGGTCGGGCGGCGGCAAGACGTGGGCGGACGACACGCTGCTGGAATGGGACCCGAGCCACCTGCGGCTGTTTGTGGGCAACCTGGCCGGCGAGGTGACGGACGAGACCCTGCTCAAGGCCTTCTCGCGCTGGAAGTCGGTGCAGAAGGCAGTGGTGAAGCGGGACAAGTGGACCAAGAAGTCACGCGGATACGGGTTTGTCAGCTTCAGCGACGCCGACGACTTCTTTCAGGCAGCCAAGGAGATGAACGGCAAGTACATTGGCAGCCATCCGGTGGTGGTGCGCAAGAGCAAGACCGAGATCAAGGTCGCTGCCGTCAAGGAGGACAACAAGAAGGGCGGCAAGAAGGGCAGAGGCAACGGCAACGGCAACGACAAGAACAAGAAAAAGTCGGCTGGCAGCGGTGGTGACAGCGGCCGACGAGACCCGTACGAAGCGGCACTCGGCCCCGTCGCTTCGGGAGTCCACAAGCCAGGACAGAAGACCAAGGGCGGGCTGAAGCTACTGGGCTAGAGAAACGACGTGATTCGGTGGCGTTGGTGGAACTTTTGTATTGAAACGGGTTTTGAAAGTGCCCCGACAGAGAAATAATAGCAGCGATTGATAGAGTGTCCTTATGAAGCCGTAGTCTATTATACAACGCATATCCTGTGAAATAACCTTCTTCCAACGCCATGACAATGTGTGCATCCTTGCTCTATGCAAAAACCGGCCAGCCTATCCTGGCTCTGGTCCTGGTCCTGACCCTTATCTTAGAAGCTCTCCGGCCTGGCGACTGGGGGTGTGTTTGCGAAGCAGACCCGCGTTCTCGGCCTCAGCCTCAACCTCGACGTCGCTGTCGTCGCCAGTGGCTGCCATGGCCGGCGACGAGGACGATACCGGGGCGAGGGAGGGATAGTAGTGGACAGAGGAGGAGTCGGAGCCGAAAGAGGAGGAGCGCCGGCGCTCCTGGTGGACGTGCTGCTGGGCCTGCTGGCGCATCTTTGTGATGTTGATGTAGTTGTAGGCGATGATGGCGGTCATGGTGACGACGAGGCCGAGGATGTTGACGGTCGTCAGAGTGTCGTGGTAGACGAGAGTGGAGGTGGCGATAGTAACGACCTCCTTGAAGATGCCAGCAATAGAGAGGGTGACGACGGACGTGCGCTGCAGCAGGGCGAACTCGGAGGCGGTCATCAGAAAAGCAATGGTGCCGGGGAAGAGGACCAGAGCGGGGGCGCGCAGGGGGCCGAACTTGTCGACGAGAGTGCCGAAGCCGGCAGAGAGGGCACCCAGGCCTTCGGTCGGAACGGCCAGGACAAAGAGGGTGGCGAACATGACGGGGGCCAGGTAGAAGATGCTCGAGAAAGGGTTGGATGTGGCCGGGTGGCGAAGCAGCATGATCTGGGTCAGAGCCCAGCGGAAACCGGAGAAGAAGGCGGCACTGATGACGAGCAGAAAACCGCCCAGCTTGAACTCAACCTCGCCGGCCACCATCATGACCACGCCGGCCGTCATGGTGGCAATGATGGCCACAAGCCGCAGAGTTGGCGTCTCGAGCCGGAAGGCAAAGGCGAAGAGCAGCACAAAGGCCAGCGAAGACGACTTGCACATGGCTGTAGGATGATCAGCGTCTTGGTTCAACCTGTCCTTCTTCTTTCCTCTTTCCTCTTCTCACTCACTGTAAAATGTCAAGGTGATAAACTTGAGCGACGTGTTGCCCAGACCAATGTCCAGACCAGTAGCCGCACCACAAGGACCGATGCGCGTCAGGTAGAACATCTTGGTCATAAGGGTCGGCCGCGGTTCAGCCTCATGCTGCGGCTTGTACACGTCGTCGTCTTCATCGTCGTCGTCATTGTAGCTGCCATCGTTGTTGCTGCTGCTGCTGTTGTTGCTGCTGCTTCCGGCACCTGGCCGCAGAGAGGGTACAAAATAGAGCACCGTGCTGGAGAGGGTGAACTGCACCAGCATGTGGATACAGGTAGTGAAAAGGGGAAAGGGGAAGTTGAGGTTCTGGCCGCCAAACATCCACTTGTTGTAGAGCGAGATGCTCAGCGAAAAGAGGTACCAGAGACCGATCAGGGTACCGTCGATCACCAGGCGCCGCACCACGGCCTTGTCGGCCAGCTTGCGCTCGTCCTCGCTGATGGGCACAGCCGGTCCGTTGCCGTCATCGACGATGTGACCGGCCTCGATGCTGGCACCGGGAACGACGCGCTGATCCAGCTGTGTTCGTTGCCGTCGCACTTCTGCTCGGCGGCGGCGTTCCGGCGCCGTCAGCCCGGCCTCCTCGTCGAGGTCATCAAAGCCATCGTCCCACGCGTCGTCCCACGTACTGTCGTCGTTGTCGTCGTCACCGGTGCCGCTGCTGCCCCCTGGCGCGTGCTCAGGCACAGCTATGATGCTGCTGCCTCCCGGAAGCGACTCGCCCCGAGGACGAGTTCCTCGTTCTCCATTGAGGTGGCCCAGATGGCTGACGCTGACCTGGCTGGCCGCCCCGTTGGCTGCGCTGCTCCTACGCCGCCGGTGGCCGGGCGGCACGACAGAACCCATCTCAATGTCCGCTGACGGCCGCACGAGCGTGTCGGGCGAAGGTGTCACAGACACGCTCGGAATCGAAGCCGGAAGAGCCGCAACAGCTGGGCGCCAAGTCGACACTCGCTTCGGCGACGGCATGCTCTTTGAATCGTGTCGTCGTGGTTGAGGACGAGGGCGTGCGTCGGCTGCTGAGCATGGTCCTGTGGTCGGTGTGTGAAAAGGAGCGTTGCTCCTGTTGACTCGGTGAGGTCCTTATGGAGTTCTACTATGTATGTAGCAGTTTCAGCTGGCAAATGGCCTGTGGCCAAAATGGCAGTGCCCCACTCTTCCGGACTTGGGTAGATTGGCCAGGCAGTCTAGGGCCGTTGGCGCGTGCGCGACGCCCTGACGTACTGGGGCTCCTTAGTGGATAGCAAGCATGGCGGGGCCATTGTTGCAAGAGACACTACGGTGCAAAAACGGCCGTGGAAGCGACGGCCTTTGAAGCTCGCCGATCTTTCCGTGCTTTCATGCATATGCATGATAACTCCGGAACGGCGGGCACATCGGAATGTTGCTGAGTAAGTAGCCATAAGCATGCGCAAACCATGGCTTTCTGCTGGTCCATTGCATATCGAGTTCCAGTAACTTGTTTTGTCCGCTGTTCTCTGTTTTCCGACCACCACAAATCACTTATATTGAAGACAATTGCTTCATCCGGCGTTTATGTACTATCAATTTGCCGAGACTGCCGAGAGACACAAGCAAAATACATCAAGCTCTACTGTCTATTGCTTCGTATCCAATACGCTTTCCTTCTCCGTTGTGTATAAGTAGACAGACCAATCTCACCGGTCCCCTTCTTCGTCCCTCTTTGCCGTTTGTTGGTTACACATCCCACAGCCTTCTGATTAGTATCACTGTCCCCAATTCGAGTTCCCCAACCTACGACGTACAGTATACAGGCGGAAGCAATGGCATCGCAAGATTCGGCGGGCGACCCTGTGAGCGCTATGCGTCAGCGCTTCGGTGGATATCTGCCGATCGAGAACTACGGCATCATCGGCAACATGCGGACCTGTGCTCTGGTCGGCATGGACGGCAGCATTGACTTTATGTGTTGGTAAGAGGAAATGGGAGGGCTTGGAGAGAGAGAGAGAGAAGAAGACCGAATTCTGGCTAACCTTGCAGGCCGGATTTCGACTCGCCGTCCGTCTTCTGTCGCCTGTTAGACAAGGATAAGGGCGGGCATTTCAGCATCTCGGCGTCGCCGGAGATGGCCTGCACCACCAAGCAGCAGTATCTGCCTTCGTCCAACATCCTGCTGACGCGATACATCCACGAGGACGGTGTGGTGGACATGGTGGACTTTTTCCCGCGGCCCAAGGCGGCCGCCGTGGTGACCCGCGGCGTCAAGCAGGGGCCGTTCCGCGAGGCCCAGCGGGTGCAGGAGGAGCTGAAGAAGTGGCTCGTCCGCCGGGTCGAGTGCATCCGGGGGCGCTTTGAGCTGGGTGAGACGGCCTTCTGTGCTGTATGCGTGTAGCTGTCCGTGTCTCTGCTGACGATTGCGGCAGACGTCGAGATCTTCCCGGCCTTTGGCTATGCTAAGGAGCCGCACACTACGACCATCGAGCAGGACGTACACCACGTGAACAGCCCGGCGAGCAAGACGGTCACCTTCCGCAGCCGAGACCTGCAGCTGCAGCTGGACATTGCCGTGGACCGCGACGTCGACGGGGCGAGCGGGACCGCGGATGTAGGTCCCGACGGCCTGCGCGGCCGCACGAGCAGCGTGGGCAGCGGCGGCGGTGGCCCGACCGTCGTTTTCCGCAAGCAGCAGCGGACAGGCATGACGGGCGAGGGCGTGGTCGCACGCATCGTCCTGCACGAGGGCGAGAGCGTGTCGTTTGTGCTGCGGGACGATTCGCCCAGTCACGTGACCAGTCACATCACGACGCAGGTCCTCGACAGCCAGCAGCACGACACGCAGCTGTTCTGGTACAACTGGATCGCCAAGAGCCGCTACAAGGGCCGTTGGCGCGAGGTCGTCTCGCGCAGCCTGCTCGTGCTCAAACTGCTCACGTACGAGCCCACCGGCGCGATCGTGGCCGCGCCGACCTTTTCCATCCCCGAGGACGTCGGCGGCCGTCGCAACTGGGACTACCGTTACTCCTGGGTTCGCGACAGCAGCTTCACCGTCTACATCCTTCTCCGCCTCGGCTTCAGCGAGGAGGCCGAGGCCTTTGTCGCCTTCATCAGCGAGCGCATCCTCAAGTCCCGCAGTCCCGACGGCGGCCTCCCGATCATGTTCACTATCCGCGGCGAGACCGACATCCCCGAGATCGAGCTAAGTCACCTCGCCGGCTACAAGGGCAGCCAGCCTGTTCGGATTGGAAACGGCGCCGCCTTCCATCAGCAGTTCGACATCTACGGCGAGCTGCTCGACGCCATCTACCTCGCCAACAAATACGGGAAGCCGGCCACTTGGGACCAGTGGGTGTCTGTCCGCCAGCTGCTCGGTACGTGTGATCCCGCATAGGTCATACTCATCTGGACAAGCCACTGACTCTTCTAGATTATGCCCTCACCATTATGCACGGTAAGACGAATCCCCATCGTCCGACCAAGACTCTATATGCTGACTAAGCAGATCCTGACATGTCTATCTGGGAGGTCCGCAACCACAAGCAGCACTTTACCTACTCGCAGATCATGCTGTGGGTGGCTTTTGATCGCGGCCTGCGGCTCGCCGAAAAACGCAACCTGCCGTGCCCCAACCGTGCCAAGTGGCTCGAGGCCCGGGACTACATCTACGAGGCCATCATGGAGAAGGGTGAAGCTTTCCCTTGTCTCTTTTGCTACATTCATAGCTTGTATGACTGTGCTGACCATGTTCAACCTCTTGCTCACAGGCTACAATACCGAGATGAAGTCGTTTATCCAGAGCTTCGAGAACAACACCGCCCTAGACTCGTCCATCCTCATCGCCCCTCTGGTCTTCTTTATTTCGCCCTGCGACCCGCGCTTTCTGTCCACGCTCGACCGCATCCTGTTGCCCCCTGAGAAGGGCGGCCTCACGAGCACTGGCCTTGTGTACCGCTACGACACGGAGCTGTCTGCCGACGGCGTCGGTGGCCGCGAGGGCGCCTTCAGCATGTGCACTTTCTGGCTGGTCGAGGCCATGTGCCGCGCCAGCGTCTACGAGCCGCGCTACCTGGCGCGAGCTGTCAATCTGTTTGAAAACATGCTGAGCTTCGGCAACCATCTCTCCATGTTCTCTGAGGAGATCTCGCGCAGCGGCGAGCAGCTCGGCAACACGCCTCAGGCCTTTAGCCACTTGGCCCTGATTAGTGCTGCCTTCAATCTCGACCGTGTCATCGAGTCTAAGAAAAGCGACGATAAGTTGTGATGAGATAATGGCAGATCAAACATGATTTATAGAGAAAGCCTTGCGGCACTCGGGAACTTCAACCTAAAACAAACAAAATGATGACGGACTGAACAAAAGGCACCTGACATATGCATCGTGTATATACACTGGCACGCATTTGGTCCCCCTCTTCCATCCCAATAGTAGCCAGACAACGCCAAACGCTATGCGCCATACCCATTTTAGGGAAGCAAAACCTGTTCTACAGCCGCGTAGTCGTATTGCTGCAGCTCTGTCACGATGGTGGCACAGAGAACTCGAGCTCCATATCCTCCATTGACCGGTCGCCAACCGAACTGAGTCCTGAGCTCGGACTTCTTCCTTGGCCGCCCTCTCCCTCTGCTCCTTCCTCGCCTGGCGCCGGCGTTGCAGGTGGCCGCTGTCGCTCTTGTATACGCTTCTCCTGCCACGACAGTATGCTGGGGAACTCGCCGCCCTCAACCACCACGTCGCCGTGCTCGTTACCGCGCCCCAGGACCGTGCCGCTGTACTTGGAGTCTTCGCCCGTCTTACTGTGCTTCTTCTTCAGGACTGCTTTGTTAGCTGACTTGGGCGGGGAAGATGAAGAGCGAACAGAGCAAAGGACACCCACCACTCAAATAATCCGTGTTTTCATCGTCACCGTCCAGAGCCACCCGCTTGATCTCCCGGTTCCGCGGCCCACACACCCAGTCGATGAACTCGTCTGCACTGCGCGTGTCGTCTCCCGGCCAGTCCGGACCCTCAAAGGCGGACGGCGGTGCCAGAGCGCCACAGTCCTCCAGCGCCATGCGCACGTCTACGATCGTCGGCACCAGCCCCGTGAGCTCTGTGCTGTTGTGCGCCGCGTTTCGCGCCGTGGCCTCGCACAGCGCCGTGAGGTACCGCGCTGCCATGTCTGTCAGGCTGTCGACGACTGACGTTCGCGCTGCGTAGTAGCCCTGCGCCCGGAGGATTTGCAGCACGCACGGCCGCAGCAGGCTGTGGAAGAGCGGAGGAGGCGGCGCCATTGCAGAGCTATGAAAACACGCCCTGTCCAGAAGGTCTTGGTGGAGTAAAGGAGGAAAGCTCGGAGATGTTGAGAACGGTCTGAGTGAGACTGAAGGCAGAGGACGCGGTGCTGCTGACAACTTCTGCATCCAGCTGCTGCTTCCAGTGGGTCGTCGTCTCACGGTCGGCTCCTAGATCGGCTCAAGCTCCCCATCACCGTCGTAAAGCAGCTGTTCAGTTGTTCGAATGCGTCGGTCTTCCGCGTGCTGTCCTGTAGTGTAGTCCAAAATGCGATGAGCCCCCCAAGATTTAGCCAAAATACTGACTGCAACGGACCCACTTATTCATGCAACTTAGCGCGAAAGCAGGTGATTGCTGCTTCCTTTCTGTCTCTTCCTCAATGCTCCCAGTTAGCGCAAAGCAAACGCCATCTATTATTGTCCTTTTTCTCTCAATCTTCTCGTTTATTCCGACAACACAGTCTCGACGACTTCGTCCCTATAATCGAAGATAGAGGCGAACACCCAGGGCAGTTTACGTGCCACAAAAGCTCAATTTACGACGGCTGATTCTCGATGACTCAAATATACTTCTTTTACGGCATTTCCTAGCCTCGTTTTCAGTCATTCTTCTCCGCACTTCTTCTTTCCTCCTCCTAGTCTTCACACCGCGCGCTGCAATTATCCTTTCTTCGACTTGTCGTGATACTTGCACGCATCCTGCTCTCACCACCGGTACCTAGTCGACGAGCTATGGCCTCTCCACCACTCCCGCCGGCAAAGCCGTCGCGACCAGTCACCTTGAAGTTGAAGCCTCCAGGATCATTCTCGAACTCGTCGAACGCCCGTCCCTCCTCCATAAGTTCCTTACCACTGGTCGGCACGCCAACAGCCATGTCACCGCCGCCTGTATCGGCAGGTGGCACCAAGATCATCCTCAAACGATCCCAGCCGTCGACGCCTGCAGCCGTTTCCGACCGCGCTTCCAGCTTCTCTGGAGCCACCGCCACCCCCAACGTGGCCCGAACACCGGCCTCTGCTTTCCCGTCAAGTATGACTATGACTCAGAAGGGACGAGTCTCGAAGCCCACGGCGAAGAAACGCGCGAGAGACTTGGACGACAGCGAGGACGAGAACAAGCCCGAAAGCACGACCGCAGGGCCCCCAAAACGGCCCAAGCTGATTGTGAGAAAGTCGATGAAGCCCAAACCGGCAAGCATCGTCCTCAAGCAGATACCGAAGGAGATCCCCCCTCATTCCAGAGGAGAGGGCTACGACTCAGAGGAAGAAGACCGCGAGCCCGACCCGACCATCGAAGAAGAGTTTGTTCTGCGCATGCTCCCGGGTGAGCATTGCGACTATCTGCGAAGAATGACGGAAGAGCGAAAGATTGGTGTTCCCGTGAAAGAGGGTGGCGCAGACTTCCAAATGAAATGGCTTCCAGGCGTAGAACGACGCGCTCTGGTCACCGTTAACGGCACCCGCTTCGTTGGCGTGCTGGTCGACCTGCCGACAATCACCGAGGGCATGAAGACGTGGGATAAGCGGAACTTTATGAAGAGCGCCGATATCTGCCAGATGCTGCTCGTCTTTGCCACTGTGGCGGACGATGCGGAAGCTAAGAGCCTCCCTCTGCCAGCCATGGTCACCAAGGACTACCGCTGGCCACACGGCCTGACGCCACCGATGCACGACTGTATCCACCGACGCTTCCGCAAACGTCTGTCCAAGAAGGAAATCAAGGACAAGGAGGCAGAACTCCAGCGGCTGCTCAACGAGGATAGGATAGCCGTCGAGACCAAGTGGGAGCTTATCGACGACGGCCGTGCTGCGACCGCAACGACAACGACGGCTGGAGCTGGCGGGGCTGGAGCTGGTGGCGAGTTTGATGATGGCGAGATGGAAGAAGGCGAGGAAGACGCCTACGGCGAAGTGGACGAGGACTACTTTGGCCAACATCAAGATTCTGCCGCTCCAGACATCGATGACGCCGAGCTCGAGGCTATGTTTATGGAAGAGGACGGTGATGGTGACACTGCAGCTGCCGCAGAGACGCCGACGACACAGACTGCCGCTACTGGTGCAGGGAAGCCAAGTGGAGGAAACGGTGCTGCTGGCGCTGAGAGCGAAGCGTCCGATGCGGATGCAGACGAGGACGACGATGAAGAGGACGACGACGATGACGATGACATGGACGAAGACCAGCTGGCCCAGGCCGAGCAGGTCAAGGGCGTGCGGGAAGACATCAACGAGCTCAAGAAGCAGCTCCAGTTGTTGGACAAGAACCTGGCAGCAACGCAGAACATGCTGTTGCGAAAGCGTATCGAAGAGAACAAGAAGCGCGTCATGTCGGAGCTGCGTCTAAAACAGGCCTCCATTGGAGAGGTCGACGAGGAAGAATGAGCCACCACGGGTCCTGGCATCCGAGAGCGGCCCCAAAATGGACAGAGTGTCTAATAAAGGTACAGTCGTGGGCTTTGTACGTGCCGTATATTTGTTACAGCTGTCAGGCATTACTATTTGGCACGGCGTTAACTGCGTGGTTTTGTTCTTGGTCATATATCCAGACTCTCACGGCGGAAGGGCTCGTTGCCGTGTACGGATCAAGGCAAAGGGCGTCATCCCGGTTGAGAAGACGAGCAAGGCGTTCTGGCGTATTGTATATCGGCCGGCGCCAATTTTCTGTTGTGCCTCCGGATTTGAAGACATCTTGAAGGGGGAAAAGAGGGAAAAAGTACATATTCGGCAGCGACACGTGTGGGCATTTTTGGATATGCATACATGTTCTACACTGCACTATATTCCAAGCCTTTTGCCATGCTGCCAAGGAGAGCCTCGAGATGGGGTCTACTTTTGTCTTTATATTCATACAGATGTGTTCCCTCGACATGCTACCTCTTGCCAGCTGCCCCAAGTGCACATCACATTGACCGCAGGTAGTTGCTCTCTTTGATCGTGGCCCGTCGTTCTTTGCGCAGCGCTACCCGCAGTTCCGTGCGTTTGGCCGCCGCCAGCAGCGTGCTTTCGAGATCCTCCGGCCCGCCCGTACCGACGGGCAGGTTGATCGTCTGGTGCTGCAGCGGGATCTTGGGTGCCAGCGCTTCGAGGTCGCCCGTCACCAACATCTTGGCCTCGAGGTCGCGCTGCCGCTTGGCGGCCATCCGTCGCTGCTTTTTCGACTTGGCTGGGAGGGACGGCGTGTTAGCTGGAGCAGCAGGTTGAGCAAGCAGCACTGGTGGATCACCTACAGAACTCGTCACCGGCGTCCTCGTCCTCGGCTGTCGTGGTCTTCTTCATCACGTCAAGGCAGTCCCACAGCCATGGCGGATACTCCTCGTCGGCCAGAGCGACCGGGTCCGTCCGGCCCTTGAAGTAGTTGAGGCCCGCCAGCACCGTCCCGGCCGGGCACGAAGACTTCTTGGCATCGGACTCTGCTACGGCTGCCTCCCCTGCTCTTCCTGCGACCGGGGCGGCCTGCTCCTGTGCCGGTGGTGGAGGTGGTGGCGGTGGTGGTGCCGCTCGCGGACTCGATGTGGAGAATGACAGGACTCGCCGCGGAAGAAGGCGCATAGCTGGGGCCGGCAGCGCCTGGCGACAAAGAGCCCAGCGCATAGCCGTCTGGCAAGCGCTCATCGTGTGGGCCATGGCGAATTGGAGATCACGAGGGAGTGCCAAGTCTGGTGAGGCCGAAAATCACCAACACGCAAAAAAGAGTCGATTTGAATTTTAGGCCCCATCTTTTCCGCGATTGGGATCCATAGCCTTGTAAGATGGAAGCACGTGACTTTAGCTTGGAGGTATCCCACCAAGCCGTCAAGAGGACGGCCAAGGGTCATGAGGTAATGATGACAGCGGCAAAATCGAACAAAATCAGAGAGAACTGATATAGGGGAAATGGGACGAGGCTTTTAAAAAACACATTGTTTGCGTGGCGCCAATGTCAAGACACATCGCTTCCATTGGTAGTTGTGTGAGGATACTGAGCCAATCAGAATGCACCCGTTTCTGGTGAGCTCATCCCGACCAAAATCGAGATGCACTTGGCCACGAGTTTGAGCCCGAGAGTAAGAGGTGGCTACGCTGTCGCGAGGCAATGAGTGCGTCCTTTCAGGAAGGCTTTTTTCATAGAATTGCATTTCGCCAAAGAGTTTATATGTACATATCCCCGGGCTAGGCATACCAATGCCTGGCTGTGATACCGCGCAGCTAGACTGTCCCAAAAGTCCATTGCCATCTCGCTACTCGTCGTTCGAATCAGACAGCCTGGACGCATCTTCGAGGTCCCATATGGTGTCGGTTCTGAGACGGCAGATCTTGGCCGAGGCCAAGGTTGGCAGGGCGCTTTTATTGCTGGGCCTCCTGCTTCGAGATATAGTTTTGCTGGTCGAACAAGTAGCCCTTGACTCTTGCCGTCTTGAGCAGCTGGAGGTACCGCTCTGCAGCAAAAGTTAGCCGGAGCATTGCCCCTTTGTCGAGAACGGCTCGCGTGCGGCAGTCCTTCGAGATTCCACCTACCGCGCAAGTGGCCGCACTTCTCCAGGTGGTTGACACCCTCCCGGTAGTAGCATTTGCCCAGCTCTTCCCGCACCAGCCGGCCCATCATGACCTGCACCCATTGCTCGCGAATAATGGCATCTTGGGCCTGCTTCAAGCGCTTCGAGTCATCGTAGTCAACGCCGTCAAAGGTGGGCGGGACGGTCGGCTTCCGAGCCAAGAAGGCGGCCGATTCGGGAGTCGGCATTGTGGCTGGGCGAGAGATATTGATGTAGTGAGCAGGGCCCTTTCCGGTTCGGAGAGCGTGTCTCCAAAGAATAAATTTGAGAGGGGGGATCTGCCAGTTTGAATCGAGAAGATACAACGGCTCGACGCTTCTATGGTTAACGAGTCGGGGTGGATGAAAGATTAGTTCTAGCTCGGCAATCCGGTTGGCCTGGACGCCTGACAATCCAGGACTCAAGAAGTAGTTGAGTAAGCAAAGCATTCACCGCCGACCCCACACAACCTCTGCAGCTAGATCCCAACCACGCTAATTTTTTTTTCCTGCTAGCAGAAAATTTTGCCGTATCAAAAAAAAAATCCGCATTTATAGCGAGGCCTACTCCCTCCCCAAGAATTTCAAGCTTTCTTCAACATCCAGATTTCTTCTTTCTAAATTTGCTCCTTTTTATTCAAGCCCTTCTATCACAAGCAATTCCCCCTTTATCCATAAACACATCTCAAAATGGGCAAGACCAAGGAAGTCAAGGTCAAGAAGAGCGCCGAGGCGGCTGCTCCCAAGACGGTTAAGGCAGCTGCTACCCCGTCCAAGAAGTCTGCCAAGGTTTCGAAGAAGTCCAAGAAGGAAGAGTCATCTTCTGAGTCTGAGAGCGAGGAGGAGTCCGCGTCTGAGGCCTCTGCCGACAGCGAGGACTCTGACGACTCCGAGTCCGAGGCTGAGGAGAAGCCCAAGACCAAGACCAACGGTGCCAAGGCAAAGAAGGAAGAGTCTGACTCGGACTCGGACGACTCTGACGACTCGGCTGACGAGAAGGAGGAGAGCACCGACAAGTCGGACGCTAAGAAGGACTCTGACGTGAGCATACCCCTCATTTCCACCATCTACACCCTACATATCGGTGGCCTCCATGCTAACAACATGGCAACAGTCTGAGAATGACTCTGATGACTCTGACGAGTCCGACGCCGAGGAGAAGAAGACTGAGGAGGAGCCGTCCAAGAAGCGCAAGGCTGACGACGAGGAGCCGGCCGCTGCCAAGAAGGCCAAGACTGAGGAGGAGGGTGAGACCTCTTCCACGCTCTTTGTCGGCAACCTGAGCTGGAACGTGGACGACAGCGTCCTGTATGACGAGTTCAAGGGCTTCGATGGTCTGACTGGCGCCCGTGTCATCACGGACCGCGAGACCCAGCGCTCGCGCGGCTTCGGCTACGTCGAGTTCGACTCGGTCGAGCACGCCCAGGCTGCCTTTGACAAGATGACCGGCTACTTCCTGGACGGCCGCGAGCTGAAGATTGACTTCTCCACCGGCCGTGCCAAGAGCAACGATGCCAACCCGGCTGCGTCGCGCGCCAAGAAGTACGGCGATGTCACCAGCCCGGAGAGCGACACCCTCTTCGTCGGCAACCTGTCGTTCGACGCCGATGAGGAGACCGTCTCGGCCTTCTTCAGCGAGGTCGCTAACGTCAAGAGCCTGCGTCTGCCTACCGACATGTAAGCATCCTCTCTCGCAATTGCCCCGCTCTTCTACATGCAGCATGCTGACTCATTTTACTTAGGGAGTCTGGTCGTCCCAAGGGCTTTGGCTACGTCTCGTTCTACTCCCTGGAGGACTCCAAGAAGGCGTTTGACACTCTCAACGGCCAGTCCTGCGCAGGCCGCAACGTCCGCCTGGACTACTCTACCCCCAAGCCGAGAACCGAGTTCGGTGGTGACCGTGGCGGCCGTGGTGGCCGTGGCCGCGGTGGCGGCTTCGGTGGTGGCCGTGGTGGTGGTGGCGGCTTCGGTGGTCGTGGCCGGGGCGGTGGTGACCGTGGTGGCCGTGGCCGTGGCGGCTTCGGTGGTCGTGGTGGTGGCGGCTTCGCGGGCAAGAAGACCACCTTTTAAGTGGAAGAGAAGTGAACATGAAGGGGGGAAGACCGGATCAGACGGAAGAGAGCGTGGTCTCTCGGAGGTCTGGTGGCGGCTTCCCTGCCTCGCCGCATAGCAATGTCCGGAGGGCTCGTTGGCACACTACGTTGGTTTTGGCTAAGTTGGCTGTCGGCTCTGCCGGTCTTTAGCTCCTGCTGCTGTCTCTGGTCTGCCAGAGAGGGCTGGCGGCTGCGTGGACTGGGGAGCACTCGTGAGAGAAGGCTTCCTGACTCTCTCCCCCTTTTTCGGGCTGGGGGAGGCGAATGGGGGCTGCGATGATGCAACTGAGGGCTCGATTCTATCTGTGGGCTTGTCTCTTCTCGGAGACTTGATGACCTGATGACTGGTTGGCTTGCTGGCTGCTATGACATGGCTCGTGTGGCTGTGGACGTTCTCGGGGAGGACGATCCCGGTCGGTTACCGTTTAATGTTACGTGATGGGTTTTCTTCTCGTCTTTCACGCTGGATATGAGGGGTTTTGCTTCCGAATGGCTGTGGGTTTCTGAGGGCTTTCTGACGTGTGCCGTCGAAGCTGCCAAACGGCACTCGGCGGTCGCGGCGACGGCTGCTGCGTTCCCGAGGGATATGTGTTCAAAAGTGTTGTCAGAAGCGAGGTTGGGTTGGCAGATACTTATCGAAATGGATGCTCATACTGCTCCGTACGGGCTTTGCTGTATCGGGGGAAGTATGCTGGTGATGGCTCTTTCGTCATCATCGGTGCTGCGACTGGTTGGCTGGCTGGCATTGATGTCTTGTGAGAGTGATCTCAGAGAATAGGTGTTTAGCTGGTAAGTACGGAAGCTCGTCCCCCCCACCCGTTTCTTCTCTCTCTCTCCCCCCTCCCCCCCGTTACCCCTTCGTTTTGTTTTAAAAATACCCTGCCCCTTGGATAGACCGCATCAGACAGATGGCGTTTTGGTATAGGAAAAGTAAATTTATTCTTCGAGTAAACAACGAGTGCCATCGTGCCACATGTTCGCCTCAGTGATTGGGTGGTGGAGTTATACGGTAGAGCAAGGGCATATTCACGTGTTGAATGCGAATATCGTTGCTAAAAATGGATTTTCCCGATTATTATGCTCGATTTATTATATGGTATTAATTTTCCCCTATCGTTCTTTCTGGCCGTATCGGCAGCCTCGTCGGTGAATTGGGCTTGTCAACTGCCGATGTCGCAGTGAGGTGCTGCCCTCGCACTCAGCTATCCTCCACCACCTAAGCTAGCCCGCAATTCCTTGCAGATAGCTCTAGCGCCCGTGTGGCGCAGAAGTATCTTGGCTGCGCAGATGCTACGATACAATACATACTCCGTAGTACGAATAGTATGTTTTTGCCCACCCCCCAAACCCGGGCAGCCGCGTTTCGTATCTCCTTGGATGGGCTGACAACACTAGGCCGCTGAGATAGGGCAGAGCGTGACTGGGCCAGTGCAGCTGGCTATTGGCCTGTCTGACACAATGTCTCGCTCAGCCATGAACCCCACTGTCTCGTGCGGTATCTCATGTATCTTATGTGCGCATGCATGCATTTGCCGCATAGAAAAGGTTCGTGTTGAGGCTTCGGGAGCAGGACATCGTATGAGCAAGAGCATGTTTCTTTCCTAGGAGAAGGCGGGCTGCCCTCGGTGTCATCAAACGCAAAAGTGCCGGAGTGGATAATGGGAAAAAGGCCGCAAAGCTTGTGTGACAAAGACCGTCAGCCTGTGGTGGCAAGCCTGTCTGAGAAGCCTGGCAAGCCTGGCAAGCCGGGCGCAGGCTGGGGAGCAAAGCCTCTCTCTTCTCAGCCGGCCCTCACCGCCAATACTAGGGAGAGGATACATAGCAGAAGAAAGATAGGTTGAATGGGCGGAGGCTACGCCATGCGAGATAACAATATACACCGCCCGAAGTCGCAACAAGTTCTGGAAGAAAGCACAGGCTCGTTTCAGGCAGTGATTAGATTCTGGGTGGGGCAGAGTCCTCTGGGAAATGTAGCCGGCGCATAGAAATAGTGCTTTCTCGACGGATTTCTTGTTCGAATCGCGTCATTGGCACAAGAAGTGGTGCCGGTGCCGTCGACGTTGTGGCCTTACTGGAGCTCGACCGCGGCGTCGAGCAATGGATCTGTAGCATACCCCAAACAGCGCAAACGGCTGTTTTCCCAACAAAAAGGACACAATAGAGAGACTTTCCCTATATTCGTACTCATGGAAGCGGAGAGGAGGTGCGATCTGGGGGTCACACCCCCACTGCCAACAAAACCAGCAGGCGTCTGTGGTGAAGAGATCGGCCCCTCCACGTCGAACTACTCGTACAGAGCCTAGGTGCCAGTGGAGATGAAGGGCGTTATCCCCTAAAAGGAGAGGAGGAGACGCTTTTGCCTCTCTCTTGGCTCGGCTGCATCATCAAAGCGGCTTGCATAGCAATACCCCTTTCTTCCTGTCCGTCCGGATTTCCCATTTCCCATATCCCATTTCCGCTCTATCCAAGACCTGCAGATAACGCAGGGCATTGCCAAAAGTGGACGAGCCTCACATAGCAGCTCGGAAGACAGCAAAACGGTGACAAGATTGAACACAGTATAGGCCGTATCTTTGGCGACCAACACAACAGGCGGGGGTGGCTTTCCGATTAGGCTCCAAGGACAGGCCGACTGAAAGGGGCTGGAATTCAGGTGTGGAAGGACGCCCGGACCTCGTGCTTCTCCCTGCGGTTCGCGCCTTCTCTCGCTGAAGCAGTACTCCGTACCGGTAATCATCACCCGCCCCGCTCCTTCCTCCTGCCTCGTTTTCTCTGGGGCTTCCTGGGCTATTTTACTCCCATTTTGAACTCCGTCTTCTTCTTCATCCCACCCATCTCTCTGCACATTCATCCGGCCACGGTTTTGTCCAGCCAAAATGAGCTCCGCCTACGGACGTGATCCCCTCGCCGGCGTTGACCGTTCAGCCGCCCCCTCCACTAGTCGCATGGCGACCACGTCCGCCGTCAGCAGAGCGTCTTCTCGCCCGACAGCACAGGTTCAGACGGCACAGCTGGCGACGACGAGCAGCCGCAACGACGGTCAGTATTGTCCACGTCCGGGCGATGACGGCGCTGCTGCCGCCGCCGACGGGACGAACGACCGAGACGACTGTGAGTCGCTGACACCCAGCACAGAGTCGTGGGTTGAGATCGACTCGCAGCCGTCGTCTTCGTCGGTGTCGTCCATCGCAGACGAGATCGTCGTGACCGGACTGCGCGTTGGCCACAGCGCAAACGGCCGCAGCGGCAGCAACCTGGCCGTCATGCCGCAGCGGCGTCGACGTCTGTTGCAACAGGTCGAGGCTGAGGCTGTGGCCGTGGCTGCCAACCGCCCGCCAGCATCGGCCTCCATCTCGGTGTCCGTGCATCTGGCTCCCTCGCCGAAACGCGCTAGCACAGCCGTCGTGGCCGCCTCGCGCGGCTCGGCAGAGAGCAGCCAGGAGGAATACGACGAGTCGGAGAGCGAGGAGGAGCGGCTGATGACCAGCTCAACAGAGCACGTCCACGTCCGCCATCCTCCCACGCCGCCCCAGCCGTTTGCCCTGCTTCAGCAGCAGGCACAGACGCGGATGCAGCAGCGGGCGGCTGCCAGCGATGGCGACGACGAGGACGATAAAGACGATGACGACGGAACAGCGCTGGGCACACCGGCAGCTGGTGCCCCGACCTTCCGCCCGCAGCCAAACGCCTTCTCCCACCCACCGCACCACCTGCAGCAGCATCGCTCCGTGCCTTCGCCCCCCCACCAACAAGCGGCGGCGTCTTACACGCGGCCGTCGTCGCTGTCGCAGAGAGGCGGCTCGCGCGGCTCGCGTGGCCCCAGCGGCGCGCCTCGCTTTGGCACGTCCACGTATCCGCCCAACCACGAGGACAATGACGCTGCCCTGCGCGCATCCCTGACCACGCTGCTCTCATGTGCTGCAGCTGCCCGGGGCCTGCCCAAGAAGGAGGCTGGGGCGTATGGCGAGGCATCGGGCATCTCGTCAGGCCTTCGATCCAGCTCCCAGCCAATGGACCTGCGGCTCGTCCCCGAGTCCGAGCTCATGGACGATGTCCCCACGGGATCCCGTTCTCATGTTGCCTTCCAGTCGCCGCGGCTGCCGTCACGGTTGTCACCGCACGGCGGTGCAGCGCAGCCTCACCGCAGCGGCAACGGCAATGGCAACGGCAGCGGCGGTGCTTCTCGCTCTGGGCCGCGCTCCAACATGCGCACTGTGCCATCGTCTCGGGGCAGCGCTGTGAGCGCGGTGTCGTCGTCGAGCAGGAGCAAGCGGGCGACCAAGAAGAAGCGGACGTCGTCTTCGGCCTACGGCGAGGGCACGGCCACCACGTTTCTCACGCCGACGATGCTCACCTGGGTGGTCAGTGCCGGGGTGGTAGTTCTGGTGTCGGTGGTCGGCTTCGGGGCCGGCTATGTGCTCGGGCGCGAAGTGGGCAAGCAAGAGGCCGTCTCGGCTGGCGGTGCCTTTGGCAACAGCGCGGCGTCCAACGCGACGTCGTCCTGCGGCAACGAGATCATGCGGTCGTCGACGGGAAGCACGCTGCGGCGGTTCCGTTGGGGATCCGGCATGACGAGAAGCGCGGTGGCGTAGCTTCCATTTGTTGGCGTTTTTTTTTACTGTTTCGTTTCCGTTTTTCGTTTTCTTTGCTTTCCGTCATGGGACACACGGGCGCATGACATCGGATCTCAAATACCACATGGACGACGCAACTGAGGAGATTGGAAATGCACACACACGGCTCAGTGCTTGTTTGCAGACGGCGCTTTTCCTGGGCATATCCTTGACACATACCCTGCTGGACTCGGTGCTTTTATTCGGAGGATGCTTCACTTTCGGGGCGTTTGCATGTTGCATGTTGCAAGGATTGGATATCATAGGATGTTTTTAATGTATTGTCGATTTTGATTGTTTATTTCTGGAATAGTAACGCACACTTTTGACTTATGCGTGGGATGTGCAATTGCATGTTGTGCCTATTCCTATGTATGTCTGTCATTGCTACCGGTTTCTATCGACAATGAAAAAAACAAAATTTGAGAAAAAAAGAAATACTGCAAAGTTGGGAAAAGGCGGACAGCCTAGGCTACTATCTATGTAAGCAAGGCTGCCGTGAACTCGTGCTACCCACAATCTCTCCGGTTCGACCTCGCTCTCTCCGTCCCGAATTTCCACGCTACGTCAGCGAGCTCAAGTCGAGCGGTACACTGCTACCCCGTCCGGCCCGATAGCGCTTGATGCCGGCCTGAAACTCACGTGCCTTGGGCAGCTGGTCGTCGCTTATAAAGCGCCACCGGGTATCCTGCACAATGTAGCGCCCCGTTCCACTGGATTGTGCCCGTGGCGACACGGTGCCACCGCCGTTACGCGTTGGCGATGGACCGGGCGCGCCGCTGCTTCCGTTGGACGACAGCGTGTAGGCAGACGGGTCCAGCATAGACACGCGCATTGGCGGCGGCACGGCCGCGAGGTGGTTGGCAGTTTTGCTGCTGATCAGCGGAGAGAGGGAGACGGACGTCGAAGTGGACGGAGCCGGCGGAAGCAGAGATGATGTCGTCGTGGGTGCCTGGCTGCTGGGAGGTGGCGGAGGCGGTGGTGGAGGCGCGGACGACGGCGACGGCGCGGGTGCCGACGGTGGCGGCGGCGGCGGTGGTGGTGGTGGTGCGGAAGGTGATGAAGAAGGGGAGTTGGAAGAAGCGCGTTTGGCGACCTGGGCGACAAGGCTCTGGCTGAACATGCTCGGAGCGGAAGAAGGCGGCGGTGGAGGCGGTGGAGGAGCAGGCGGAGGAGCCTGTGGCTGAGAGCGAGAGGGCGGAAAGCTGCCAGGCGCTGATGGAGGCGGAGGAGGCGGAGGAGGTGCAGGCGGAGCCGAAGAAGCCGAGGGAATCATGGGTGCCGGGGCTGACGGAGCGAACGGCACAGGCGGAGCAGGTGCCGACGGGATGGCAGGAGCTGCCGACGAGGGAAGTGGCGGCGGATGAGATGGTGGCAGGACAGGAGGCGTGGACACAGACGACGAGGGCTTCCTAGAGCCGGGTGGAGGTGGTGGCTTCTTGCCGATGGGAGGAGGAGGACCCTTGTTGAGGACGATCTGAGAAGCCGAAGAGTTTGGTCGCAACATGTCGGTTCGGCCAGAGGGTTTGCGCAGGTTCACAATGGACGGGTGGAATGTTGGACCGCTATGATGAGGCTGAGAATGGGAATGAGGATGAGGAGCCGGAGCTGGTGTGGGCGGTGCCGAGACTGGTGGTGGAGGAGGTATACTCGGGGCGGGAAAAGAAGGCCGGCCAGGAATCGGAGGAGCGGCGCTGGCAGGTGGTTTTGGGGCCGAGAAGGTCGGTGGTCGAGGAGCACTCTTTCGCGAGTTGTCTTCGGAATCGGATAGATGGGACACGGCTGCACGGGTCAGAAGGTAGCAGAGACGGAGAGCAGAGGAAAAGTAAAAGAAAGGTAGAAAGAAATAAATACCTCCAGTCTTGACACCTCCTCCAGTCTTTCGCAGCTTTGGCATGCCGCCGGCAAAGAGGCCACCGAGCTGCGGCGCGCTCATGTCGGCGCCGCCTACATGCTCGCTGTTGCTGCGGGCCCGGCTGGCCATAGACGGAGGGTTCAGGCCGTTGCTGCTGGGGCCAGGAGGCCGAGGAACAGCTGGAGCGCCACCGCCCAAAGGTGAAGGACCAGCGCCTCCAGAGACCTTGCCGACGATGGGCGCAGACCGGTCGTTGGTCACGGTTTTCTTGAGGGCTCTGCCTTTGTGGATGTCACCGAGAAGCGCATTCTGGGCGAGGGTAAAAGGAAGGGTGTCAGCATTTCTGCAGACTGCCAAAGCGGCTGCTCTCGTCCAACTCAAACTCAACTCACCCTAGCAGGAGGCGCTTTCGGCAAGCCACCCGGCGGCGGAGGCGGAGGCGGTGGTGGTATGCCTCCGCCCGGCGGCGGTGGAGGTGGAGGCGGTGGAGGCGGCGGCATGACGACGATGGTGAGAGAGATGTGCCAAGACTTGGACACTGGTCAGGTTAAAGAGAACGTCGTATCGCCAGCGAACAACCGAAATTGAAACTGAAAAGCTGCAAGCAACCAAAAAATATTGGGAAAAAAGGAGAAGCCAAAAGCGGCGATGGCGGATCACAAAAGACAGACGGCGGCAGACAGCAGGGCGGTGCCGAGACAAAGGGAGAGCGGCCGAAAAGGAGAGGGAGCAACAAGAAAGAAGATGGATGATGCTGTCGATGAGATGGTGGGATAGGAAAAAAACGAAGGTGACAGCCCGTCGTCTTAGCGCTCAACGGACAGACAGGACAAGACAGACGACAGGCAGGAGCAATCGAGGAGAAGTGGATCCTACGCAAGGCATGACTCCGTACCACGCCGGATTTCGTCACTGCAAGGCAGTGGGTACAGTGTGTTTGCGCGGCGATACTGTGCTAAAAACACTGCTGCAAATCCCTGCAAATTATGCGTCTCGGTGTAGAGCACGCTGTACGGAGCAGGACAACACACGGGGCAGCATACGAGCGAGCACGTCTCCGCTTCGAGGACGCCGATCACACAGCACACAGGTACAGCAGCATGTTCCGGCCGCGGATAGGCCGCCGGCCGATGGTCGGGGACCTTGTCGGCCTGATGGCCATGGGAGGCAGCATGCGAAGAGCAGCAGCGACACAGGCGAGCCAGCGTCTTGGGCCGAGGGCCTTGCTGTCCCAATGGGACCGACAGACAAGCAGACCACAGCCGCCTGTGCTGCGAGCAAGCAGAAGCAGCGATAGGCGACGAGCGATGGCGACGACAGCAGGCGCAGCTGCCGGACTGCCAGATCTGGACCGGGTTGTGACGGTGGTGCGGGGAGCGCGCACGAGGCTGCTAGACCACCCGGGAGTGCCATCAGAGGACGAGACGGCGACGGCGCTGCAGATCTGCGGTGCGGCGGCCGACCTGATCATGGACGCGTCCGTGCAGCCGCAGCTGAACAACATGGACCACCAGGCCGACACGGCCGCGTCGACGCTGCTGTCGCTAGAAGGCCGGAGCACGACCGAGTGTGTGGCCGAGACGCCGACATGCACACCAGACACAGCGTCCACATCCGCACCAGACTCCACGGCCGCAGGGTCGCCTCGCCTCCGCGACGTCGTCGGCCAGATCTCGGACGCAGCCTATGCCGTGATCGAGGACCGCCGCGTGCACATCACGCCACAGCTTCTCGCGCAGTACGTGGCCATCCAGGCGCGGCTGGGCCGGCCGGCATCGCTGCCGCACGTGCTGGCACTGTTCGCGTCGAAGCCGGTGCCGCGAGCCCGAAATGCTGGCCAGGTACACTACCAACCGCAAAACCCCCGGCGTCCCGGCGCGGCCGTCGATCCGGACGTGGCCGAGGCTGCGCTGGATGCGGCGCTCGCTGCCCGCGACCTCGATGCTGCCGTCGGCGTGGTCGAACACTCGTTTGCCGCTGCTGGGTTCGTCCGCAACAAGCTGCTGCACAAAGGCTTCCTGCCTGGCTTCGCCGTCGTCGCCGTCCCGCTGGCCACGTACAGCCTTGCCACCCAGCTCGCTGCTGTCCAGACTACGCTCGATGACGGCGCTGCCACCGCCATGGCTTTTGCTGCCATCCTCGCCTACGTTGGCTTCACCGGCGCCATCGGCGCCGTCGCCAACGCTACCGCCAACGATCAGATGCGGCGGGTCACGTGGTCACCTGGCACACCCCTCCGCGAACGCTGGCTGCGCGAAGACGAACGCGCCGCTTTTGACAAGGTCACGTGCGCCTTTGGCTTCACCGACGCCTACCGCTACGGCGAGGAGGAGGGTGCCGACTTCCAGGCCCTGCGCGAGTACGTCATGCGCAAGGGCATGCTGATCGACCAGAACGAGATGCTCGAGGGCATGAGCTCCTGATAAAGGCGCGTGTGTATGTATATAGAATGGACTAGACTTGTACCGATCAACCGTCGCTCTATTGTGTCTTGTGTTCCTCCTCGTTATGCCCTCGCGGCCCGTCCAGTCTGGATGATCTCGCCGGTCAGCCGGTCGTCGCTGCGCAGCACCGGCCACGAGCTCACGTCGGCCTTGGCCAGCACCACCTCCAGCTTCGTGCCCAGCACCTTGAACGACGAACGCGCCGGGTCAATGGCCGCATACAGCGGCACTACCGTCTTGTATCGCTTGACCGGGCTGTCTGTGGTCGGCAGGTCGAGGTCGATGGCCTCCTCCAGGAATCGGATCACGGCCTTGTCCTTGTCGATCTTCTTGAGGAAGAAGGACACCGTCAGGACCGTGGACGATTGGTAAAAGTCCGTCCTGCAAGGTTAGCATTGTGTGTGTGCCTCTCTCTTTTTCTCCTTCTGCCCCCCAACTCACCTCACTGTCTCCAGCAGCTCTTCTCCTGCTCCCGAGCCCTTGTCCTTGCGGCCACTCCCGACAAACAGGTGCCGGCCCTTGGTCTGGCAGCCCTCAATCTTCATGAACTGGTCAAATTCAAGCACCCGCCGCTTGCAGCACGTGTATCCCTTGCTGCCCTCGTGAAAGATCGGCGCTCCCGGGTGGTGCACGCACGACTCGGCCTCGCGCGACCCGCCCTTGGCGTATGCCACTCCGCAGCCCCGCCGCCGGCACACTCGTCCGACCGGAATCTCCAGGCTGGGCTCATCGTCCTCGGATTCGGGCGGCGCCACGGGTGTGTCCGGTGCTGATGGAGCGCCCGACGTCGCTGTGCCTGCTGCTGCTGGTGCTGCTGCCTTCTCGCGCACCGGCACGTTGATTGGGTTCCGAGGCACGGCTGGTCCGAACTGGGCATCGACGGCAGCCGCTGCTGCAGCCGCTGCTGCAACTGCTTCGGGCGACTCCTTCTTCTTCTCGACCTTGGGCGGCAGGTCTGTCGTACTGTGCTTACCCTCCGCACAAGGCGTGATGTCCATAAACTCCTCAAACGTGAGCACGCGCGGCTTGCAGCACGACCATCCTGCAGCAGGGGCACGTATGAGCAAAGAAGCGGATCGAATGGCCGCTGGCCTGCCGTGTCTGCTTACCTTTTTGGCCTTCGTGGAAGACAGGCGGACCGGGATGGTACCTGCAAACCTCGTCTGCGTCCGTGTACGTCTTGCCACATCCCTGGTGCACACACTTCTGGGCCATTGCTGTACAGTTTGGCAGTCTTCCTATTCGGCTGCTTTCTTCGCGGTCTTTCCTCGGCCTCGCAGATAGCCCAGTATCAACCAACAGGAGGATGGTTGAGAGAGAACGGTGGTCAGGCTAGATTGACGAGAGAACAGGTCACCATCGGAAATTCGCCAAGCTCAGTGCTTCCCTTTTTGTGTTCTGTCGCTTTCTTTGCTTCTATAGCCTTTGCCCGTTTGGTCGAGAACGGACGGCGATGTTCTGAGAGCTTCCATGACAACAGAAAAACTACTACTTCGGCCGGCTTTAAGTGACCGTGTCACTACTGTGCGGACACAGTGCTTCGATCGTCCTTGGCCTTGTCTTTACGGCGCGGACTCGCCATAACAAAGAGAAGTTGGTCTGCTCTACACGCCACTTGTTCCTTCCCGCAAGTCTCTGTTGGACGACACCGGAAAAGCAATAGACGTGCCTGTCCTGCGCCTCTTAACACGTTGTGAACCCCTCTAAGGCGCCGCCCACCTGGTTTGCGTGAGAACTGCCGCCCAACACGCAAACCCACCCTTCCGAAGCCTTGCCCCTCCTGCAGCTATAACCTGCAGACCGCCTAGACTGCTTTGAGATATAGTGCCTGTAGTATCTCACCTGTATCGTGGTCGCAGCACATCTGATCTCGCCCGAAAATCATTACACCTGCCAGCAACCAGAACAGCTCCCACCCTTCCCGACACCTCTTTTTGCCATGCGACCATCCATGCGTCTGCTGCAGCAGCAGTCGTGCCGCATCACGCTTTTCACGCGTGCCCACTGCGGCCTGTGCGTGCAGGCCAAGTCGGTTCTCTCGGATGTCTGGGATGTCCGGCCGTTTGAATTTCGCGAAGTCGATGTTGTCCAGCCCGAAGCCAAGGGGTGGCGCGACCTCTACGACCTCGACGTGCCTGTGGTGCGTGCAATTTTTATTTAATTGGTCTTTGAATGATCTGCTCGCCTGTCCTGACACACTCTCAGATCCACATCAACAAGGCTTCTGCCCCTGAGGAGGATCCCAAGCGGGCCTCCAAGGCCGTTAAGCTCATGCACCGCTTCTCGCCCGCCGACGTGCAGGCTAAGATGGACCTCGCCGACAAGGCCTAGACTGCTCCGGGCGAGTGGCCGCGGGCGAGTGCGACAGCCACCGCCGCCTCTGCCTGTAGTGCCAGCACGTCAGTCGACACGTTGACCATGTCGAAGCCAGCCGAGGATCAGACAGCCAATGTTGCTAGCTAGGCCAAAGGGCCCGACAAAGCAACCGTCGACGAGCGGCACGATCGCCCCGACCCGCCCGAGGAGAAGCACGCTATCACCAACGACATAACAGACTGGCTTGCTCAAGTTCCCAAAGACCGGCCTGTTGGTGAGCTCTCCTTCAAGAAGGCTAGACCAGCGGAAGTCACGGTGGCGTTCGACATTTGGATCAGTGGGGAAGCAGGACTCCTATACCGGGCTTAGATGCCAAAGTCAGCTCGCACATACGCCTAGACGCAGTACCACCACGCTCCCGCTTTGCTCCCCGGCCAAATACAGCACGCCGATCGACCTTGACCCAGACGGGGAAGAAATCGTTTACAAGGACGAAGGGGATGAGGGCGCAGACTCGGACGACAGCTAAAAATTCAAACAGGGACACTCGGGCTCTTCGTTCCGACCGACGCCGACAGCAACCGTGGACGCGGGAATCCGGGGTGGAGAGACCAATCTTGGCTCACTTGAAAGTCATCTGGAAGGAAGAGAGGCAGTCGTCCGATAAATAGGCATTTCTCTGCTACTTTGGATGAGAAGTTTTCCCGTTTTTTTTACAGGACGCTGAGAGAGACCTAGATCTGCGACGGGCTGTTTAATTAATACGACGTTGACTTATTTGCTTGAATCTGGTCTTTTCCAAAATATATGATTTCAACCCCTTTCAAATGGTTGTCCCCTCCGCAACCTGACTACATCAAAGGAGTCAAACCGCGCCTGTTTCCTATCCACTAAGTACCCAGCTCTTTACAGGATGACATAAGGTCAAATGTCTTAGCCCATATAAGCGGAGAGTCCTAACCGAGGCTGAACTACAAAGCGCCTACGATGGTACTACTCCTCTCCTGTCTTTGCTAGAACCTTTCTTCCCGTCCGTACCGGCCGTTGTGAGCCATCGGCGTGAATCGGTGGAATGGATGCAGCCGTCAAGAATGACCATGTTTTGACGGGTGTCTCGTATTAATGCGTAGCCTAGAGGGAGCTCTAACGCCCTAACGGTTGGCGGGGTAGAGCAGTCCATCTCGGTAACAAAGCAAAACAGGTCGGGCATTCCTTTATTCTATGGCTCTCAAAACCGCCTTGAAGATATCCAATCATGAAAAAACCAAACGAGGGATAGTATAGCGTGATTCTCCACGAGTCTTTATGTGTGATGCTATCTGCTGTTGTCTCAATTCACTGAAGCGCATTGGAACACAGCTCTTATAGCTGTCATTGTGGCTTGTGTGACTCTGCGCCACATGTCTCTCTAGGGTGTCAAAAAATAGTCCATGTCGTTCTTCTGCAGCAACCACGACGACAAGGCGACAAGAAGAAAGCACCGGTAATCTTCTCGATCCCCCTCCCACGGATATCCACCTGGCGACAAGACCAACGAGGGATATATGCTGCTCGTCTGCTCGTCTGCCTGTCTGTGCCCTGTACTCGACTCAGCATTAGGAAGGAGACTCTGGTAGCTAGGCAAAGGGCCCACGGCCACCTTCACAATCATGTCGGCCCTTTTATACGGCTACGTCGAGAGTAAGATATTTTCCCATGTTTCGTCTCATCGCGCCTCCGCTCCCAGCTGACTTTCCCCCCAGAAAAGGTACTCGTTCTCACGGTGGACTCCCGCATTCTAGTTGGCACCCTGGCATGTATCGACAACTCGACCAATCTAGTAGGGACCCTTGAACTTTCCGGATGTGCACACCGGCTGACCTCTTTCAGGTACTGCAGTCTGCTATCGAGCGTGTGATCAATACTCCTGACGATGCCGAGCCGTCGGCCGAGGTGCCACTGGGCCTCTACATTGTGCGTGGTGATAATGTGTGCAGCGTCGGATTGGTGGACGAGGAGCTGGATGCGTCTATAGACTGGAGCAAGGTCAAGGGCAGTGTAATTGGAACGACAAAACATGTCTGATACAGCACGCTGAGCGCAGACATACTGCATGGGCGGGGAAGAGGGGCCAACGTCGAATCGAGTAACGCCGCGTGCGGTTTATGCCCGCTGCCAGGAGAGAGCATGTGGTCAGTACCACGATAGACTCACCAGACGAAGCTAGCAGGTCAGGTTGCATCAAGGTCGGCTGTCGCTTCTGGAGGCTGGAAGACTCAAGGGAGTGCGGAAAGCCTGCTACGGGGGTTCTGGCTGACGGTCCCATCTTTCGACGAGTGGATTTTTATACGATTTACCGACACATCTGTTGGAAAAGACAACTCTGTCCACTCTTTACTCCAGCTATGAACAGACGGTTCGGTCTTGGCGACAAAAGAGAGGAGAGAGGGGAAGATATACCCTGAAAGCTAGTTACGTAAAAAGTTGACTTGAGTTATTCTTATATATGGTTATATATGGCATATATCATCATATTAGCATTCAAAAATCCTCTTCATCAGGTACCCTGCAAAGACGTCGACGCCTGGCGAGCCGATAATACGGTTGATACGGTTGCCTCTTCTGGTGCTCATCCAGCCCATGTCGTCGCCAGGAACCTCGCCGATCTGCAAGTCGTCGCCACCGGGGACAGTCTCGGCCGTGATGGCGGCTGCGGCGACGTTGGTGTTTTTGTCGTCGGGCCGGTCCCGGCCACGGCGGTCGACAACGTGCAGGCCACGAGTCCACTGGCCAACGGTCTCGACGCGGATGTCCTCGGGCCTAGCCACGGGCTTCCAAGCCGGGTCGTCGCGCTGCAGCATGTACCAGATGCACATGGGGTCGTGGAGCGAGAGGCCGAGCTCGCCGCCTTCGCCCTCGATGGACGCGATCTTGCGGAAGGTACCGTCCATAAACGAACGGACCCAGCGGGCGAGCGGACTGTCGGCCTGCTCGGTCGCCGCGATCTGCGCGTGGAAAAAGGGTTCGTCGAGCAGGTGCGGTGTCGTAATGTCGAGCGGGAACAGCGTCAGCTTCAACTGCCGCGGCAGGCTGGCCGGATACGGCGGCAGCACGGACTTGCCGTGCAGCAGCGGCGGCATGGTTGAGGCCGGCGTTGGTGACGTCAGCGCGTAGACGCGAGCAGCCGCCACCGCGTCGGCATAACAGTTGAACTCGGCCGACGGCGTGATATTGCCCGGAAAATCAACGGCGCCGCCCATGACGACGAGCTCCTTGACCCGCAGAAACGCCACTGGGTCCTCAGCTGCAGCCAGTGCCACGTTGGTCAGCGGCCCGATCGCCACAATCGTGATCGTGTCGGCCGGCTCCTCTCGAAGGATGCGCAACATCTCCTTGTGGGCCACCGTCTTGCACGGCGTGAAGAAGGCCGAGAGCGAGGCCGTGTCGGCCGGAGGCGCGGCCGCGCTGGCGTGCTGGCTCTCCTCGGCAAAGAGCTGTTTCCACGTGTCCGCAGGGCTGAGATCGGGGTGCTAAATCAAGAGACAAACAAAGGCAAACATGTCTCAGCGTGATGACGTCAACGATGCCGAAATGGCAGAGGCCGAGAAGAGGCCGAGCAGACTTACAGCCTCGTGCACGCCATGCAGACCATCGGCACCGTCTGGACAAGTCCCGTCAGTCAACACGATGCAAACCAGACTGGTGACTCGGCGGCAGACATACGAAAATGGTCGGCCATCAGCAGCTCGTCCTCCAGCGGGTGCTCGGCGCCTAAGGCGACAATGGGCTTGTACGTTTTAAGCGCTCCAAAACCCGGACCGGAAGCCCGGCCAGTCGAGCTGCGCCATGCCAGCTCCTTCTCCAAGACATGGAAGAGCGCCACGACATTGCGCAGACAGCTGCGGCCGTCCTTCTGGTCAGCAGTGCACGGAGAGGACGCGAGAAAGCAGGATGGCCAGATGAGATACGTGCCTCTGCAGCGGGACATTGCCATAAGTCACCGACAGCATCACCACCTCTAGCTCCTCAGGCGAGGCGCTGAGGGCCAGCAGCATGGCGAGAACATCGTCGACACCTGCGTAGTCAGCACGTGACACGACGATAAGCGGGGACCGAAGTCCGGGTGCGGGTTCTCACCGGGATCAGTGTCAATGATGATGCGGTTTTTGGGTGCCATGGCTTTCTCTCCGGCTGTCCGTATTTCGGGCCCTTGTTGCTGATCGCAGTCCGTGTTATTACGGAGTCTATGGTTTTGGTACGGAGCGGCGCTCCTTTTGGCAGCCCAACGGATTCTCTCGAGGAAACCCGGCCAGCTTGCTGGTGGATCCGATATTGCGTAACGCCCCGGTCTTATCGCCCCTCTAATACTGTCTCCTCCGAGGCGGAATGGCCTTCAGACCCCAATTTCACCAACACGTGGTGCTGTGGGAGCACGAGTATGAGTAAGTCGATGAGTAACCTCGTGCTCTCACACATGGCATGACCAAGAAGCGGTAGCCACGGTGAGCCGCTGGCTATGGAGTACGAACAGCTGTGCCAGCTTCCTTCCTTTTGGGGCTTGCATCCCTCTTTGCCGGGAATACAGGCGCACGGCCCTATGACAAATGCCATTGATTACATGCTCCGTAGTATCTTACATGCCACGTCGTTGTAAGCGGTCTCGACGCGTTTCCCGGGCGGACAAAGGAAGGGCCCAACAAGCATGCTTGCCATCGTCCTTTCGAACGCGAGCAGAGTCGTGAAGCAGCAGCAGCACGCTTTGTCTTGCAGCTGACTTGAATCAAGCAAACAGTGCGAATACGCCACAGGGTCGCCCTCACGGCCCGACTGGACAACACGAAACCGGAGCGAGAGGGTTTGGAACAGGGGCATCCCTTGCCAAGATTGCGTGGTCAAAGTACTCCGTAGGAAGCCAACGTACAGAGCATTCGTAATACAGAGAACAACACCGCCGGATTGGCACTGATTGAAAGATGCGATACGAGTACGAGCGAGTACAACGCTTCTCCGGCGTCTGCTCTTAGTCCCAGAGCAGAATAAATGCTAATAATCCAATTAAAATAAAATAAAATGCTGCCAAAAGAAGCTGAAGCCACCTGTTTATTTCCACCGGGACCTGCCCCAGTCGTGCTTGCCCCATCACGCCTCCCATCTTAGCCCGAATCGTAAAAGAGCTCCTTCTGCACTCGTTACAATCTGTCCACAGGGGAAATCGAGACACGGCCAACTATCCTTTTTTCAACCTCCGCTCCCCAACTTTATATTTTTTCCGTTCTCGACCCCTTCCCTCTCTCCTCCATCCTCTTGCTAGAGCCCCATTCCTCCACCTTCTATCCATCACCCTTCCGTTTCCTTTCATCTCTTTTGACGCCATAGCTTCACCTTTGGGTCACCTTGATCGCGTAACGACGCTTGCAAGTCATCATCTTGCCCCCTTCGCCACCATATTGGCACTGTCTCTTACTGTCACACAGCGCAAATTTGTGTTCTGACATAAACTCTGGCCTCACCCAAACCCTTCCCTTCCTCTCGTCCGTCGTTCTACGACACGCCTCGCCCATCTGTTGCACAGCCATCACTTCCATCCACGATATCATCACGGAGCCTGTCTCAATACGAACCAATCCGCTTCCAGCGTTGCTGCAAGGCGAATTGACCACCTCCAACCTATTTCTCCAACATTTCCTGCCAATCGGTTCCAAGACCACCATATCCGATCTAGAGCCGCACGAGCACAACGGGAAGGTGCTGCAAGCTTTTGTTGGACACGAGCTCTTCTCTCGTAACACTTGCGAGGCTTGAACTTGTCGGTGTTCTCTCATACCGCCCTCTTCACTACAAACTTTGCCAAGCCTTGATTCGCGAGCTGCCATGGGTGTCACTCTGTCTACGTTAATCGGCTGGGCCGCCGTTCTGGGCCTGTTTGGTGCCTACAGCTTCCGCGAATGGAGCAAAAGCCATCCGGCACAGCTTGCCAAAGTAGCACAGCAAAAACAGCGGCAGGAGCGGCATTTCCCAACCCAGCGGAAGGAACAGAAAGAAGCCAAACCGAAGCGGGCACGGGCAAGCGAGCCTCCGCAGGCCGCAAAATCGGCAGCTGCCACAGTGACAGCACCTCCGCCTCCGATCATCTACACGTACAGTTCTGATGATGACGCTGCCAACAATCGGGAGTTTGCCCGCCAGCTTGCCAGCGTGAAGCAAGGAACCAAAATCTCTAGCAAGGCAAAGGACGACACCCGGCAGAAGAGCGTGAAGCAATCCCGCGCCGAGGAGCTCCCTGTGACCACTGAGACTGCCGCCGCCGTCTCTGCCCCATCGTCTACGGCTGGCATTGATGCCGATGATGACCGCTCGTCAGTGGCCTCGCCTGTCCTCGGCGCCGTCGCGGCTGGAGGTGTCAGCGACATGCTCGAAAAGCAAGCACCAGGCCCGTCGGTTCTGCGCCTGACCGTCTCAGAAGACAAGCCGGTGAAGGCAAAGAAGGCAAAGGCGGCACCGGAGCCTGTTGAGACGAAGAAGCAGCGCCAGAACCGGAAAAAGGTGGAGCAGGCCAAGGCAGCACGCGAGGAAGCTGAGGTGGAGCGCAAGTCCAAGCTGGAGGCGCAGCGCCGGACTGCACGGCTCGCCGAGGGCCGTGCCGCCAAAGATGGTTCCGCCTTTGTGGCAGCACAGACCAGCGCATCGAGTGCATGGACGGGCAATGGCGTGAAGTCATCTGCGGAAGCTTCTGCTGGTAGCGCCACCTTCATCCCCGCCCAGCCGCTTGACACGTTCGACTCGAACGCCGTGCACACGGATGCCTCCAAGTCGTCGGCACGGTCTGGCGACAAGGGTGAAGACTGGATGTCGTCCCTTCCTTCAGAAGAAGAGCAGATGGAGATGCTGCGGAAGGAAGAAGAAGAGTCGTGGAGCACGGTCAAGACCAAGTCTCGCAAATCGAAGGCTGCGGATGCCGGCGAGAACGGACACGCCGATACGGCTGCACCGAAGGTGGCACCCGTGTTTGTCGCTGGCAGCGGGTCTTCCGCCGTGAAGTCATTCACACAAAAGTCGGCATTTGCTGCCTTGAGCACTGACACACCGGCCGAGGAGGAGGCCGAGTGGGATGTCTAAGCTCCACGTCCGAGCTACTCGCCGTCATGCACGCTTCGCGATCTTCCTTTCCTTTACTCCTTTTATTTTGTCCACGTCCGTTAAAGACGGCCCCCGCCTTGCGTGAGGGGCAGAGGCTGGGACAATGCGGGTTTGTGCACAGCTCAGCTTGTTATTTGTGTATATATTACGGTCGGACAAAAGTGCTGCATGGCTGTGGGGTGCGTGATGCATTTGGCATTCCGCCAGCATCCAGCCCTGCGTCTTAGGCAGACATGTCTTTGATATGTCTGCCGCTGAACAAAGCGTGCGAGGAATTGCCCTCTGATGTTTGGAATGGTTTGGAGTCGCGGGATAAGAGAAAACAGCCTCTTCATGTTGCTGATATAATTGCTGATCTTTCTATTTCCCCCTATTTGTTGCTATTCACGTTTTCAGTGTTTGGCAGAAACGACAGCCCAGTACCCATTGTATGGTAGCGAGCGAAAAAAGATTACGTCGTACAAAGAATGCTCGCTTTTTCCTTTTGCTTATCTCCCGCATGCGAGGACTCGTAAGGCCCCGGTTTGTAAGAAGCCTGTGGAGAGCGGTGGAGAGGTGCATATGCAAGACACGTCTTTGTTCTGATGGATGCTTGCAGGCACAGGTGGCCATTATTATGGCGAGCACCCATTAGTGGAGAAGGCGGTGATCGCATGAGGCTACGCCGTGCAATACAGATTGCAAGAACCAGGCTTCAAAGGAGGGACGTCTCCTATTTCATAAGACGGAATAGGTGACGATGAGCAGATCGGCGACCAGGGTCTTTGATTGTATCTGGTGTGTGTACGGAGCGCATACGTAGGAACAGAAGATGCAAGCTTAGGAGGACAGAGAAGGCCGTAAGAGAACATGGCATAGAGTCTACGGAGTACGAGCCTATTCAAACAGCGCATCCAACGCGGTCTGTACTCGTACTTTCACGTGAGAAAAAGACGGTGAGGAGGTCCTTAAGCCAGGACTTGGATCGGGAACGGGAAAAGCGACGGGAACAGCAACGAGAGAAGCGTGGCAGACTATCGCTCTCAATGGTTTATGCCTCAAGAACTCCAGGACGGCTAGTAGAAAACAGGGCAAGACTAATCAAGCCGGTTCATCTAGCCTATCAGGCTAAAAGCCACGAGGAGATTTGCAGTGTCTGCGAACCCCAATTGTTCTTTGTCCTGGTTTTTTTTCTTCATTGTTAGGGTGGGCCGAGCACTTGCCGGCTAGCTCTAATACGTTTCAGCTGACGCTGGTTAAGCATAGATGAGCAAAGATGCTCTACCGTCTGTCGGGTGAGACAGGCATTCCCAAAGCGTGCTGAGAGAAGAGTTTACGGGGTTGGCAGCCCCCCTCCCCCCTAAAGCCGTGTCCGTGCTACGGAGTACTCCGTAACGGCGCAGGCAATGGGGTGGCGGAGTGCTATAAGATGGCCATGCAAGGAAGGCGTATTGCCCTCTTATTACGCCGTGCCGTCCAAGCGGCAGGACCCATCCTGGGAAAGAAGGACCTCCGACTTGCTTGGCGCCTGCCTTCGAAAGATCCCTCGCCAGCTCGTAACCTCGTCTCCACTGATAACACAGGCCTGGTTCGTGCTTGTTCTTCGTTAATTCTGTAGCGCTAATAGATGGTATGGATGGCCTTCTCTCGTTTACGCTCCCCCCCTCATTTCCCCTGAACGTCCAACAAGTCGAATCCTATCTCACATTCCGCCCCGTGTCCCCCTCCTAAGCAACGATCCCGCATTTCGCATTCACTCGCTTTCCCCTTCTTGTTCTATGGGGTATATCAAGTCTCCTCCTAGATTTCAAAGTCTTTCGCCGTGCTCTTCCTTGCCATCGGCTGGCCAGAACATCCTGTTTCTGGCTCCTCTCTCGTTTCTCCACCCAAACTGTCGCTAAAGATACAGAATCTCACCCAAACACACGCCAATAACAGCTTCAAACAGGCCTCCCATCCAATTTCGTTCGAGTGCCAATTGCGCTCCGCCAAACACGACACTGCCAACGAAAGGAGGTTGGGGCATTGCTACATCTGCAGGGCCTTTCTCGCGTCAATTTCTCATACAGGGCCCCCCTCCCTTCCTCTACGGAGCACTTCCGCACCACACTGCTCCCCCCAAAAATAGCTAGCAGGACAGGACCAGAACAGAACAAAACCGGTGGCCCTGCTATTACACCCACCGCCATTCGCTCATTCGACAATCCGGCAGGACCACGCAACGGCCGTCTTCTCTTGTTGTACCCAAGACGTATCTCTTGGCCGTCGCTAGAGCTTCAGCCACACCTCTAAATCGTCAGCTCATTCGAGCAGGAAGACTCCAGCCCACCGCTTTCATTGTGCGGCTCGCGCAGCGAGTCTGCTAGCCACTCGATCCGCTTCCTGCCTGCAACGCATGTTCAGCTTGCAGGAAGTCCGTTCCGAGATCCTCCTTTGTGGAGCTGGCATACGCAGCCAACATATATCCGTCAACACTGTCTCGAACCCAATCGCTTTTCCGACTTCCCTCCCGAATCTCAGGTGCACACATGCTGAGTACCTACGGTTGAAATCTGCATTGCCAGACTTTCGAGAGTCTGTGCGGACAACCGGAAAAAGGGGAACCAGGACAACTGATCTGGAAAGACTGAACAGGAGGGTGGGCAATAGAAGAGGTGTCGGAAAGGAGGAGGAAAGAAACGTGGTCCGAAAGTTCCCATTATGGCTTTCCCCGTCGCCATTCAGTCGGCCCTGTTCTATGTCTTGGCCTGCACACCATGCCTTTCGGCCCGCAGCCGCTACCGGACGCGAAAGCAGTCTCGCCGGGAACGCAAAGAGCGAGCACGCCTGGACGATGAAGAGCCAGATCTCTACCGCCATCCCAGCCCCTTTAACGTGAATCCCTACTGGCAGGAAGAGATTATGATGGGACCCAGTCTGCCAAAGAAGGGACGGGCTGGTGGCACTAGCAAGAATACCAGTCAACGGAAACTTACGAGTGCCGGCAAGGATAGCAGCCTAGTTACACGCAGCAGTCTTGCTAGTAGCAACACGGGCACGCCAATCGACTTCAGCTGCCCGATAACCGACATGGGTGGCGGACCCGGAAGCTGGCCGGGTGGAGCTTCCGCCTCTACGCAAGGCAACGGGAGCGCCAACAGCAACTGTCCGCCGCCTTCGAGCCCGACTCTGGTGCCGGACGATACGCACAGTATAAACATGGTGGAGGCGTCGGCCACAAACACGACGTCGGACGAAGGGTGGAACCACAAGCGGTACCAGCGGGAGGACGAAGAGCTCTGGGGCAGCGAGCTGTCTACAAAGAACAAACTGATGGATGCGATCGCCAAGGCCGGCTCGTCGGCTGGCCGTCTAATCGAGAGCAAGCTCGGCAAGGAACGGCCGATCACGGACGAGGACCGCGCCAACTTCTACGCGCCCCCAGTGAATAACCCTCCCGTCAACGAGTACCACCCGCCCGTGGTCTCTAGCAAGCCGGCACACAAGGACGGGCTGCACTGGATGCTGCAGCCGCCGCCGCCAGCCAAGGTGATGGAAGGCAAGGTCCCGGTCAGCCGGAGCGGCAGTGTTGCGAGCTCGACAATGACGAAGGGACGGAGGTCGAACGCGGCCGGCTCAGAGGTGTCTCTCCCGCGCAAGATGGCCATGGAGGCTCGGCGGCGCAGAGCCGAGTCCAACACTAGCGCTACCGGCAGCTACACGAGGGCTGCGACGCCATCGGCCGATGATGCGGGAGACATGGCGGCCGGCAGTCGCACACCCAACCGGACAGCAGCCCGAAACCCGTCGGGGCTCCGGCCAAAGAACCAGCACCGAAGCAACAAGCAGGGCCGGACGCGCAGCCAAAGTGGAAGCGGAAGCTTGGCATCGTCGATCGAAGCAGCCGAATGGTCGTCGGACGACGGCGACAACAAGCCGAAGACGAAGACGGCACCAACTACGGGACCTGTGGTGAGGGCACCGGAGCCGGCGCTGTCGCCGGACCATGCGTCGACGATGCGGCCGAAGCTGTCGACAATTGTGAGCTCTGACGCAGGCAGCACGATCAGCGCAGAGGGACAGGGGACAGTGACAGCAGTGGTGGAAGCCGGTGGCAACAAAGATGGCGCCAAGGGCGAGCACCCGCGGTCGGCCAGCTCATCGCTGGACAGCGGGCTAGCATTGGCAGCCTAGTGTCCTGCAAGCCGTGTGCACGAGGCAACGAGATTGCGTGTGTGCTCGTTTGCGTCCTCTCATTTGCGTTGGGATTTCTTTTGTCGTCAGACGGATTTTCTTTTGTCCTACTATTTGGTCTCTTCCTTTGTCCTTCCTCTTTTGTCGTTTCTCTGTCGTCATATGCATCAAAGGATTGGATCCGGACACGGGGTATGAATATGGAGCAAGGGGGTTCGCAAAGCCGCATTGATTTACTCTTATCATTCGAGTCATTTTTTTTTCGTGTCTGGTCGGCAGGGCGTCTGGGTCAAAAGCATGGCACTACAATTTGCAACAGAGCATTGGAACAGGTGTTTTTCATTGTTTCGAGGGAATAAAACCAGATATCGCTTCAGACGCTGTTTGGGTCCAACGCGCGGTCTTTCAATACAAACGTCGGGTTTCTAATCGAGCCATTGTGGATTCGAGGATTCGGGGATTCGGGACCAATGACAAATCAGGCGGTGAGAGCAGATGACCGTGGTCCTCTCCATTTGTAGCATGCCAACACAGCAGCAGGCGACGAGGAGTTGAGGCATTTAGGCAGCCAGGACAGTCACCAGATTGCTGGCAGGCTCTGGGGCTGTTTGCAGCCATTCGGGCCGCGGGCAAGATCGACGAGGACGAGTACGATAGGAGGACAAGGTAGAACGGGGTCCTCGTTCAGACGGCTCTGCAATACGGAGGTAAGACGACGTCAGTCGGCCGACCCACCGGCGTGGGGTTCAGAGCGGCCAGGCCTTTCGTTATTGGTGACCATACGATCGATCGGGCCTCTTGCCCACATCACGCGAATTGCAGGGTGCATTCGCGCGCAGTTGTTCTCTCCTTTTCTGCCTGCTGTTGTCGTGACAGTAGTCGTATAGGTGCCGCGGGTCTTGGCTCTTATTCGTTCTCATTCTCTATTTCATGGCCGCTTTAGATAGCGTCTCTTCGTTTTACTAGCATAGAGTTTCACCTCCCTTTGCATACATCCCCAGATACCCGTCGTTTTTGTGCGCATTTCAGCCGATTTCCGATTTCCGATTTTGGAATACCAAAACCATGGGCTCTATCGAAGAAGAGCGGGACGAGTATACGGTGCTCGTGACGGGCTTTGCGGTAGGTTGCATTTCCAGCGTTCCGTGAGCTGTGATGTTGTGGAGAAGAGTTGTGTGGTGGGGAAGAGGAGACGAGAGATGAGAGCCAAGAGACAAGAGGCGAGTTGTCTGCTGACGATGCTGTTTCTGTCGCTGCAGCCGTTCCGGGACGAATACCCGGCGAACCCATCGTGGGAGATTGCGAGCAGGCTGCCGGCCTATCTGCCAGCAGCAGCGTTGCCGTCGTCGACAGCCGACCAGGAAGGATTCCCGCCGGTGCGCATCGTCGTGTATCCTGAGCCGATCCGGGTGGCATTCCGAACGGTGCGTGACCTGGTGCCGAAGCTGTGGGACGGCCGGACGGTGAAGCTGAGCGGCGGTGGCGCCTTTACGCCGCCACGGCGCATCGACCTGATGCTGCACATCGGCATGGCCGGCCCGCGGCTGCACTACTCCATCGAGCGCATCGGTCGCCGTGACGGCTACCGCATCGCCGACGTCGACGACTGCCTGCCAACGGTCGACAGCACGAATCGGCAGTGGGCTTGGTATGGCGTGCCGCCGTCGCTGGAGTCGCATCTCGACCTCGACGACGTGCTGCCGCGCTGGCGGGCTGCTGTTGCCGCCGTGTCGCCGGAGTCGCCGCCGGACCTGCGTGTCTCTATCGATGCCGGCCGCTACCTCTGCGACTTTACCTACTTCTCGTCGCTGGCCCATCTCTACCGCCGTGGACGCGGCGATCCCGTCATCACCAACGACCAGGTCACCCTGCCCGATCCCGACAGCCGCCTCCGCGTCGCCTTTCTGCATGTGCCCGCGTCGGCCGCGCCCGAGCGCATCGCTACCGGCCGTGCCGTCGTCGTCGAGCTGCTCCGGGCCCTCGTCGCCTCCGACCTGGCCGCCCGCGCGATGACTCAACCTGTGGTCGTGACCGCCAAGCGGGGGAAGCAGCGGATCGTACAGGCCGACGACGACGCCCCCGCGGCCGGCGTGCCGACGGACAAGTGGTACTGCGACTGATGAGGCTGGTAGGACGGATGGGACTGGTGGGAGAGAAGGCATCTACGGGAGCAGAAATGCTAGGCCTTCTACTCCTGCATCACATGACTCGACAGGCTGCGCCTTGTGCGGAAGGAGCGCGTCTTGCAACACATACACGGGGAAGGAACGGATCAGAGGCCAGGGGCCCAGTTTATGTCATGATCGTTTCTATTGGCGTTTCTATGGCGTTTTGCCGCTTCTGCCTAGTCTTTCGTCTCTCGTCTTTTGTCTTTGTCTTTGGTTTAGAAATGCAGCATTCTTGTTTAGTTTCCAAGTGGCCCTCTCGGTCTATAGCGGCTGTTGCTTCCAGTGCGCCCGCGAATACTGCAGCGGCCACTTGACGTCGACGTCGAGCTGATGGGCCGCCCAAAGAACGAAGTCAGGCTGGCGCAGGAACTGACGCCCAACGAGAGCCAGGTCGGCTTCGACGACACGGCCACCAGGCACGCCGCCCTTCTGCACGGCGTCGCGGGCGAGCTCCGGCGTGGTGATCAGTCCGACAGTGCCGAGCAGCAGTTTCTTGCTGCCCGTGTTGGCACCAGCGTCGGCGTCCAGCTCCTTGCGGATGTGCGCCGCAATGTCGGTCTGGAAGTGCGGGTGCACGTCGATCTTCTGGTGCGGGCTGTTGCCGCCGCTGCTGACGTCCATCAGGTCGACACCGGCGGCCGGCAGAAGCTGCGCCAGCCGGATCGTGTCCTCGACCGTCCACGACGGCTCGTTCGTCACCTTCTCGAGCCACTCAGTCGCCGAGACGCGCACAAAGACGGGCGTCGTCGACGGGACCACGGCACGGACGGCCGCAATCACGGCGAACAGCAGCCGCGTGCGGTTCTCGAAGCTGCCGCCGTACTCGTCCGTGCGTTTCTGGGGTGGGGAGGGGGGTTAGTTGGTTGTCTAAGACCGAGATCGACATCAGGTTTCTTTGTGTCTTGCAACTCACATTCGACTGCGGCGACAGGAACTGGTTCAGCAGGTAGCCGTGCGCGCCGTGGATCTCCACCACGTCGAAGCCGGCCTCCATGGCCCGCCGTGCGGCTGCCGCAAACGCCTCGACCATGTCGCGGATGGCGGCCAGCGAGAGGGCCGCCGGCGTCGGCGTGCTCACGTCGTACGCCAGCGCCGACGGGCCCACGAGGTTGTCGGGCCAGCCGCCACCGGCTGTCTGCGCCACCGTGCGGTGCTTCGCTGCAAACGGCGCCATCATGCTCGCCTTGCGGCCCGCGTGAGCCAGCTGCACGCCGATCTTCTGGCCCTGCGCGTGCACAAAATCGACGATGCGCCGCAGCGGCGCCACCTGGCTGTCGGCCCACAGCCCCATGTCCTCGGGCGAGATCCGCCCGTTGGGCTGCACCGACGTGGCCTCCACAAACGTCAGGCCGGCGCCGCGCAGCGCGAACTGGCCCAGGTGCACGAGGTGGAAGTCGGTCGCGTGTCCGTCGTCGGCCGAGTACATGCACATGGGTGACACCGTGATCCGGTTCGCCAGGGTCACGCCGCGGATCGTCAGCGGCGTGAACAGCGTCGGCACCGGCTTGGTCTCGCCGTCTTCGGCTGTCTCTGCCGTGCCTGTCGGCGGTGTCTGGGCCGGCGTGTAGTAGGGTGCCCCCGGGGCCGGCAGGCTGTACGTGTTGAAGCCGCGCTTCGTCACGCCGGTCGGGAACGAGATCGATGACGACATGGCAGTGGATGTGATGCGGTTTCTGCAAAGGGTGATTTCTTCCGAGAAATGTGCTGAGGCTCAGACAACGCTGGACAACTCTCTGGCGGCTACGCTTCCTTTTATCGTCGAGGTTTCCGAGAAATCCCCTGGCACCGATGTAAGGATTGTAGGATTGAAAATACGATGAGGTCAGCAATCTGTCGTCATGTCACCATTACTAGTCCAATTAACCCGGCGCCCGATGGCGATTAATCAGCTTCATTTGGTTGTCGCAACGGCACAGTTTGCCGCTACGTGGCATATCACACACAAGGACATGTTCATCCAAGCTGGTTTGCCAAGCACGCCGAGATTATGGCTTTGCGGCGGACTTATATCGGCTAGTGCCGAAATGGTGCTTTGGAGGCGAATACCTCGCCTGTGTGTCAAATACCAACAGCCTTCCAGTCGTAAGCCGGGCTCGGAGGTGACCGTTCAGCCAAAGAGCTCTTTTCACGCTCACGATGCGAACACCTATGACGGCACAGGTGGCAACAAGACGCCCTTTCGGCCGTGACATGAACGGCGTGTCCGTCGGGCATAACGAACAAAACGGCATGTTTGTGCGCATTGTCGAACGTCTCACCGCGCCATGTAAGACGTCTTGCTAGGGCGGCGAGCCTTGGCAACATGCAAATGCTGCGATTGCTGAGTGAGTTGTCGGCCCATCGCCATGATGACATGGCGGTACGGTTTCCCCTCAGCAAGCATCATACAGCCTGGTTACTCACAAGCCAGGTCTTAGGGTCGAGACCGGTAGGTCGGACTGTTATCTGAACCAGAATGTGCCTAGACCGTGATCGTCCCAACAGACCAGTAGGGACTCGACCGTCGGCTCCCCAAAGTCGTAAGATATTGCTATCCGTCACATTGACATGACAGCTCACGGCGGCTAAGACCTAGCTCGGCCAATCGGTGAAGAACTTCAAGCACTACTCGTACTAGGACAAGGACAAGGATGAGGCAACATGTCCTATCGGACCCATGTGGGATAGCAACATCGTCTGCACCTACCTCTCGGGCCAGTAGGTGACCTTCTCTATCTCTAATCCCCGCACAGCGACCAGAAGGCATTTTATTAGCGGATCAACGGAGGGTTTGCAGAGGTTCGGTGGGGCTCTGAAGGCTACGGGTCCACTAATAACCGAGCAACGGGCGCTGGCTGCGGGGAAGAAGCGTTCGGTGGGGGAAAAGTCCAAGTGGTGGAGGAATAGACGTCTGCGTGTTCTGGTCGAAGTCTGTCTTTTTGGCATTGCATTTCAACGAGCCAGGAGGCAGAAAACGTGTTTGTGAGACAGTCAAAGCACAGACTACACAGTGATGATGGCGACCAGGGGCATTGACGACAAGAATGCGGTGCAGCAGGTGTCGGAAGATGCCAGCGAGAAGAGTACGGCCGTTCCGCCGGCAATTGTGGGCGACAATGCGGAGCTGTACCGCGAGGCCATTGCGCGGTATCCGGACGAGAGCTCCATCGACGCCGAGCTGGAGCGGCAGGTTGTGCGCAAGCTGGACCGCCGCATTCTGCCAGTGCTGGGCCTGTGCTATTTCTTCTACGTGAGTTGCGTCTGCCATCTGCCATGTCCGCTTCCAGGCCTGCTGACACGGCCAGTATGTCGACAAGACCACGCTCTCGTATGCGGCCATCTTCGGGATCAAGGCCGACCTTGGCCTGCACGGCCAGCAGTACTCGTGGCTCTCCAGCATGTTTTACTTTGGCTGGCTCTTCTGGTCGATCCCGTCGAACCTGCTGATGCAGCGAGCCCGTCCGGGCTGGTATCTAGCCCTGAATATTTTCATGTGGGGTGTCTTCTTGATGTGCCAGGCGGCGGCGCAAAGCTTCGGCGCCGTAGCAGCGCTGCGGGTCATCTCGGGCGCGTTCGAGTCGATTGCGGACCCGGCCTTTATGCTGTACACGTCCATGTTTTACACGCAGGCGGAGCAGCCGTCGCGGATCTCGGCATGGTATGCGTGGAACGGGATAGGGGTGGCCGGAGGGGGGTTAATTGGTAAGTTTTCTGTCTATCTTTTTTTTTCTTTCCTTTTTTTTCTTTATATGTTTCCCCTTCTCTTCCTCTCTGCTGCCCCTTCTCACACACCAGGCTATGGTATCGGTCAGATTAAAGGCGGACTCGCGTCCTGGCGCTACGAGTTCCTCATCGTCGGGGCGCTCTGCTCGGGCTGGGCGCTCTGTCTGCTGGTGGCGCTGCCTAACTCACCGACGCGGTTCCGTGGTTTCTCGCACGACGAGCGGCTGGTGATGATCGCACGCATGCGGCGCAACCAGACGCGGTTTGAGCAGCGCACGATCAACTGGACGCACGTGTGGGAGGCCTTCGCCGACTACAAGACCTGGCTCTTCTTTCTGCTCGGGTTCGTGTCGAATGTGCCAAACGGCGGCATCTCCAACTTCTCTACGCTCGTCATCCAGGGCCTCGGCTTCAACACGCTGCACACGGCTCTGCTGGGCATTCCGCAGGGTGTTATCGTCGTACTCTGGATTGGCCTCGGTGCTTGGGTAAACCGGCATATGCCGCTCAACAGCCGCACGCTCGTGTGCGCCGCCTTTATGCTGCCCACGATCGCCGGTGCCCTGGGCTTCTTGCTGGCGCCAAAGGATGCCTACGTCGGGCGTCTGATCTGCTTGTGAGTGGCGCTGTGTCTGTGGCTGTGCCCTTGTCTGTGCCGGTCTGACCTCGGTGTCTCAGCTACCTGACTGGCTCGTATCAAGCGTCCTTTGTGATCTGCCTCTCGCTCGTCACCGGCAACACTGGCGGCCAGTCGAAGAAGATGATTGTAGCCGGCATGATCTGGGCCGGCGCCTGTGTCGGCAACATCTCCAGCCCGTTTTTCTATCGGAGCAAGCAGGCACCAACATACCACCTGGGCATCGGGTCGCTGCTCGTGGCCAACTGCCTCGAGCTGCTTCTCTTCTTCGTCTTTCGGGCCGTCTTCATCTGGGAGAATCGAAAGAAGGAGCAGCAGCGGGCAGAACTGCGTGCGGACGGGGTCGTGACAGACGACTCGTACGGGCTCAACACCACCGCCTTCGGGGATCTGTCGGACAAGGAGAACATAAACTTTGTCTACGTATACTAGCGGACGACAGGCATGGACATTCTGTAAGCGACATGAGGCCAATCCAACCAGGGCAATGCTATCTTAATTGATCTACGGAGTACGATACGAGCATCAATAGGCGTGCGGCTTTTCGTCACATGTTGTGCCCGAAACCTGCTCCGTAAACACAGCCCCATTGCAATTTCGTGTATCCACAGCCATGAGCTTGAGCGAGAAAAGCTTAAAGCCAAAGCTTGTTGGAAACGGCCCTAGCATGCACCGTCTTAGTCAGGAACGGCGGCGTTGCTGGCGTCTGGCCAATCAGGCCAGGACTAGCCGTTCTGCAGCGGGCTAAAACCAGTGGCGCGCGGGATTAGCGGAATATGTCGTCCAGTAGCAGGTCGCACTAGATGACTGACAGTGATGTTCCAAGCCGCCAGTTTCTTCTATTTTTGCCGCACGCACCCCCCCTGGCCAGACACGGACGTTCGAAACGAAACGATGGTTAGTCGAAATAATGCAGGAGCGACAGAGGGGCCGAGCAATGGGGTTCTTATCGCGATCGTCTGGGATCGACAGGTAATTCTGGAAGGATGAAGGGAGAAGGAGGAAAAGAGGAAGAGAGGAAGAGAGGAAGAGAGGAAGAGAGGAAGAGAGGAAGAGAGGAAGAGAGGAAGAGAGGAAGAGAGGAAGAGAGGAAGAGAGGAAGAGGGGAACAGAGGAAGGCGAAGAGGAGAACGAACGTACGAAGAAGCGAACGAAAACCAGACAGGCAGGAGGATACGGAGTACGGAGCAAAGGAGGCCTGCTACCGAGCAAGCGCCCCCTCTCTAGCTGTCATGCATCGGCACTGTTGCCACTCTGGGAGCTAGTGCAGGCTCTTAACGCCTCTTTGACGCGAGCGTTCCCTTCTTTTGGCGGCTCTCCTCTTTCGCTGCGACGGTCTGGCTCGCTGGCGCTCCCACCAGGCAGGCACGGCACGCGCTGAGGTGACGCTGGGGGCAGGGCGTGTGGTTGGATGCTCGCACAGGCAGAGGAGTACAAGAAGCGGCCCGTCTGCTGGAGGGAGTGGTTCGATCTATCGAGACCCAGAAAAAGAACCGAGCGAAAGCGAATCGAACGACGGACGACACGCATCGAGCCATCTCGTGGACATGGCTGACCAGTAGGTTTCCCGAACATTCGATGGATTCTTTCATTCTTGTCTTTTTCGTTTTTTGGTCCTTCGTCCTTTGTCTCATCCACTAACCTCTCAGCTGTCCTGGCGACCTGGTCCGCGTCCGTGTCGGTCCCGACCAGCGCGAATTTGTCGTCCATCGACGTCTGCTGTGCGCCTCGAGCGTCCTGTTCCGCGACAGTCTTGCGGCCGTGCCTGAAGGCCTGGCGTCTTCGGCCGCCTCGTTGTCGTCATGTCCGGCCTCGGTGTCGCGGCCTCGGACGACGTCGTCGGCCATTGTGCTCTGGCTCGCAGCCGAGTCAGCCGGCATGTTTGAGCTCTTTGTGTTGTGGCTCTACCGCGGCCATGCGTTCCGTGCGGCCATTGACGACATGGCCGGTGCCAGTGCCGAGGAAGAGGTGCGGCTGCGGACACCACCCGGACTCGCATCGCCGTCGCCATCTTTGGGTGCAGCGCCCTCCCGCAGCGACCTGCACTGGCATCTCGTGTACGCCCACCTGTTTGGTGCCCGGGCCGACATCCCGGCCCTGCAGGACGCCGCCATGGACGCGCTGCAGGACCTCTACCTGCGGCTCGACTGGGAGGCCACGCCGCAGCTGATCGGCTTTCTCTACGGCGACTGCGACGACGACCCGGTCGCGGCCTGTCGGCTGCGCAAGTGGGCCGTTGCCCTGCTGGCCTGGACGCTGGCGAATCTGTCGAGCCGCGGCGACGCTGAGGATGCGGCCGCGCTCGGCCGCCTGCTGGTCACGTTCCCGGCCCTGCGCGCTGACTACGACGCCCATATCGACAAGATGGCCGCCAGCGCTGCCGACGTGCGGATCAAGAACCCGCAGCTGCGCATCCCGAGCAACCATCTGCGGCGCGATGACCGCCACTTTGGCTTCCGCCAGTGCTCCTTCCACAGCCATCGCCGCTCCGTCGGCCAGGGACGCTGTCCGCACAGCCCGGGACTGCGGCAGGTCGCACAGGCTCAAAGTCCACAAGCTCAAGCTGCACAGACACAGACTTCACAGGCCTCACAAGCTTCACAGTCTTCACAATCGTCTCCACAGCAACAACACCATCAACACCACCACCACCACCATCGCCATCACCACAGCAGCAGCTCCAAACACAGCAGACTGGAACAGACCACTGCCGTCCCATCACCAACGCCCTCGTTCTCGTCTCGCTCTCACTCGGCCTCACTGTCCTCTTCTACCGGCACCTCGCCCTTCTCCCGCTCGTCCCACACGTCGTCACGGTCTAGCGCCACCTCGGACCCGCGTCTGGCCGACCTGTCCATCTGGCCGTCGCCGCCGGTCACCACCCCGAGACTGGCTCCCTTGGGCATGGAGTCCACCATCTGAACCTGCTCTTCGCTTCTCGCATCCCTTTACTGCGTGCATACTGGTCTCGTGCACAAAACTTATGATACTCACGTTTTCATGGCCGGTCGGGATGGCGTTTCTGGTTGTTTTCCTTTGTTTCAGGTGGGAGTGGATGGTCCGTCGTGCGGCCTCAAAGACTTTGTAGAATTCATATTGCTGCTTATTCATCGAATAGAACATGAGCATCGTCTTGTGTGTGTAATCACATGTAATTCCCAATTTGGCAGTTGCTGCCAACTGCAGACTTGCGCTTTCCTCGGGACGGCACATTTCTCAAACCGAATGTGTTCCATCTTCTGGCCATTTTCCATTTGTGATCACACCAACCAGGTGGCTACCTAGATAACGTCCGAACAATTGATTTGCGCCATTTATCTCGAAGATACCCAGGACGACCGGGGCGGCAAGCCTGTCATTTCCCTCTCGTGCCTTGCAGCAGGTCTATCTGTGACAGCAGCAGTGATTGCGGAGACGGAGTGAGCAGCAACAGCTTTTTGGTTGACCAGCCTCGGCTATACCTCGCTCTTTTCGTCCCAGTGCCCGTAGGCGGCCAGGTCTTCGCGAGACGTGGTGCCGCCGTCGGCTGCGCGCAGGTGACCGGTCACGAAGTGGACAGCGACGTGGTAGAGGAGCGAGGCGCCAAAGTAGAGGGCGCAGCCGAGGACGACAGCGAGGGGTCCAACGAGGGCAAAGACGGTGAAGCCGGCAGCCAGGGACTGGAACGCGGCGCTGTCGGCCAGGCGGACGGTCGTGAGGCCGGTCTGCAGCGCGCTCAGCACGACGGCCATGTACGCGACCAGCGACGCCAGCGACCGCACGTTGTCCTGGAAGAAGCGGCCGATGCGGTCGAGCCGGCCGACGAGAACGGGCAGCAACCCGCCGCGACGCAGCTGCGCCATCTCGCGCAGCCGGTGCAGCCACAGCTCGCCGTACCGGAAGCGCTGGTGGAACCGGCGGCCGCGCACGTCCGCACACGTGGCCACCTGGCCGACGAGCACGCGCCAGCCAGTCCAGGCGACTTCGGCCGGCAGCAGTCCGTGGTGCTGGGCGAGGCGAAAGTCGCTCTCGCACGGCACCAGGGCTGCGTACGAGTAGAGAAAGCCGAGGGCGCATTCCCAGAGATGGTGTTTCGGGCAGTGGGCGTGGGTGTGTGAGCTGTCTCCACGGTTGCACGACAGCATCTGCCAGAAGCGCACGTCTAGCAAGAGACGCGGCAGCGGCTTGACAAATAGCAGCGTCTGCTTGGCACTGCCACCACCACCGGCACTCAGGCCCAGGCCCAGGTGGCGGTCCAGCCGCTCCGTCAGACAGATGACGCGCGACTTGTGCCTGCAGTCGTGCAGCGGCCGCGGAAGAGCCGGCGAGTCCAGCAGCCAGAACCAGTGGTGGCTGTAGTCGTCGAGACGACCGAGGTCCAGCTCCGCCGTCAGATACGCCGCCGTCAGCGCCGGCACCGTCAGCACCGACTGGCCCGCTTCGCGATAGACGCCCGGGAGGAGCGATTCCAGCGGCGGCCGAGCAGAGCCGTCAGCCGGGTGCAGCACGTCGACCGAGAAGGGCGGCTCGGAATGGAACGAATCGCTGCTCATGCTGGCTTGTGTTGGACTCAACATGTTGTATTGCTGCTTCCAGATGGATGCGTACGGGGCATGACTATCTCATATAACAAGGGTCGCGGCTTTCAGCGCACAGCGGATAGGCCATGTGAGGCTCGAGGCAGTCATCTCATTGCAACCTTGCAGGCTGCAAGGCTACCTACACAAAGCAGCACGTGGCATTGCATCGCCACCATCACTTTATGTCCTGCTGGACATTTGGACAGCTGCTGTTAGACGTGTGGACAACTGCTGGTGGTTTACTACTATTCGGTGCTGCCAAAAGCGTTGGAAACGAGCGGCTGCCTAGAGCTAAGAGCACTTGCGCGTGGTCACATGAGCGGCTGTGGTGGCTGACCTAAGCACGAGGGCTGAATGTGAGACAGTGCAAATGATCAGGCTTGTGAGGAGTCGAAGTATGGAGATACTCAATGGAGCAACAAGAGCCTCCTTGACACTCCCGTATTTTGCTCCGTACGGAGCATCCTACATACGAGCCGTTTTATAGCGGTCATCCACTACTCCGTATGCTTCCCGGTTAGCGGTCTGAACAGCCAGGCCTAGAAGCCTCCTTGACCCATTTATATCGTGACCATGTTGCCCGGGGCTGAGCTCTTCCACCGGCATTCGCAGTGAATCGAATGTCGTCCGTATAAACTGCATCTTACCTGTCCCCTGCATAAGCAACGTGTGGAGACTGGTGTAGACACAACGGTTGCTTCAAAGTCGCCAACGTCGGCTTTTTGATGGGTAGCACCAAATACCGACCATGAAGAAACAATTCTTTTCACTGGCCTCTTAGGGCGCAATTATCGCCCCCAAAATGGTTGCTCACTCTTGCACACATCCTATTGGCTACAATGCTCACTACGCACCAATACATGCTGCCAGCGCGAAGTGCTGAATGCGGCGCGTACGAGCAGACGTACAATTAATGCCATTGGAAGCCGCTGCATCTACTCCGTACTCCGTACCATGCACTCCATAAGGAGCAAGGGCATGGTTTTCTGGGCCAGGGGTAAAGTGGGTGCATCTTTTTCGACTACGACGTAGCATCGTGCGGAAGCCACTGCACGTGAAAGTGCAATCCGGAGCGGATGCAAGTAAGGTGGCTGCACGAGTACGGAGCATGAGTATAACTCGTTCTGTTTGGCTCTGGCGATCTCATAACCACAATCTTGTGCGATGTCAATGCGATGTCTGTGAGTGTAGAAATAAACGGGGGCGCCATACGCGTATCTCAAAAGGAATTGCAAAGGTGTCGCACACATCTTGCATCCCATTCCACGTAGTATTAGCTTCTCACCGCCCTATCTGCTGCTGTCATGCAGCTTTGGCTGCCGATATCATGTGTTTTTGGCATCAGCCCCTGTCCCCTAATTGTCGGCGGCCAGGGGCCCAAAAAAGAACTAGTTTAATTAGTAATAATATGTAGCCTCCTATGCTTGTACATTGTAGCTCCTCGAGCAGGAACACTCCCTTTTCAGCCAAATGCCACCCTGGCCCTAGTCACAAACACGACTTCTGATTGGCCAAACTCAATCCACGAAGAACCTCACTTTTAGCGCAAGGGGTAGCAGCATCCACTCGGCCACATCCAGCCAACCTCTCTCCACTTCCGCGTTGGCGACTCGTCAACGCCTGCAACTTTCCTGCTTGATTCCTCCTGTCTTTTCCCTTTCTTGTGCCAGAGGACCCGCCCCGCACGAGCCGAGAGGCGCAGGAAGGACATGGGGCACATGGAACATGGGGCCGACACTGCTTCTTTTCTTCGTCCTACAGACGCTCTCCCTTCAGCATTCCGAGACGCGCTGTCCTCCTGTCCATCCCTCTCACCTCTTCACACACTTCCAACACCCCCTGCCCCTCTAGCCAACACGCGTCATCCAATCATTATCCGGCCGCTGGAGATGGGATGACGGCCAAAATAAAGCCAGGATCGCAGGACCGATAAAAACAGAATCGGGAAATTGACAACCGCCAGACTGGAGCCGTTTGGGTGATATCGACCGGCCGACCTACCGAGCTCTCTCTTCCGTCCAGCAAAGGCGAGGCGTCGTGCTACTCCGCCGTTGCGGTAATGATTGGCGCCAGATTCTCCATTTTCTCTCTGGCTTAATCTTTCATGTCGCTTTATTTCCCGGCTTTGCCTGTCTGAGCACTCAATCCTACCCTCTCGTCACACGCCATCTCTCATCCGTGCACCATCGACTTTGCACGCCCCTTCTGTCCAGCCAAGCGATGAGAGAGTGCCAGACCAAGCAAGCCGCTTGGGTTCGCTACCCTCGAAACTACGCTCACCACCAATAATAAATACCATCATGGCTCTTGAACTGCAACACCAGGGGACGGACCCCCTCCCCCTACACCCGACTTCGTCCTCCTCCTCTCTAGCCTCTCTTTGAACTCACCTGCCTCCCTCTCTCCCACGTCCCCTGACACTGCTCGCGTTGGCGCCGAACACTCTGCCCCCCCTTTCACGCCTTTTGCTCCGTCTTCCTTTGAGTCTGCTCGCCGGCCATCCACCCGGCCGTCGCCCCTAACTCTCGGCAACAGCAGCAAGGACAGCTACCCGCACCAGCCTAGGACGTCTTCGCTCAGCGCTCTGCCAAACGTTGCCACTATCACTGCCGTCAGCAGCGAACGGAGGTCCCATAGTCTGGCCTACCCCGTGGTTAAGCCTTGCTTCATCCCGCCAGCGCGTCCTGCCTCGTCTGGGCTCTCTGGTCCGATTCGACGAAAGCCTGTAGCCAGCACAGCCTCATTGGTTGAGCAACTCCCGGTCGTGTCCCAGGAACACCAGCCTATCAAGGAAGAGGACGAGGACTACGTTGAAGAAGAGGAAGAACAAGCAGAAGATTACGAGTATTACGAAGGAGACGAAGCAGACGAAGCAGACTACGACAGTCACGACGAGCTGCACTTTTTGGATAGCATCGCCGACCTAGACGGTCTTCAAAATCTAGGGAATCTAGACCATCTGGGCGTCTTCGACGAGCTGCCCCGGCCTGATCAGAGATTTACGCGCTCGTACTCCATCGACAGCCCGACGCTGTACGAATTTCCAGGCCAATCACACAGGACTCACGACGGATTGTCATTGCCGCCTTTGCCGCCTTTGCTGGTGCCGTCCTCCTTGTCTGTTTCGAAAAAGCCAGGCGACGTTGACAAAGAGTAAGCAACACTCGGCATCGTGCTTTTGCCTTTGTGTGCCCCTTTCACCTTAATCCATTTGCCAATCGCGTTCTGCACCACTGACCAGGGTTCGCAGATCTCCGACCGCCATTCCGGATTCGGGCTATCCCCAATCCCAGGACGCCGACTTTGAAGAAGCTGCCGCCCTGACCTCCCGAAACAGTCTGTCCTTTACCCCTGCACCCCCTCAAACAGGTACAGCCGACGTTTCGGCACACCATGATAACGGTCTCGTCACGAACACAGCCCGTGACCAGATCGACGTAAGACACTCATTTGAAGAGGACGAGGAACGAGAAGAGCCCAGACTGCAGCAGGAGCAGATCAAAGAACCGGAAGAAGACCAAAGAGAGCCCAGCCCTACCATGTCCCTTTTCTCACGTAAGCCACCTCATCTCAGTTTGGGAACGATTAGCAGCAACCACAGCGACAAAGACATCAAAGACGCGCAAAAATCACCCTCTGGCGATTCTCGGTACTCTACGTACCAGGACGAGCAAAGCCCTGTTTCTTTCTCTCGCCAGTCAATCAAGTCATTGACCCCGACCATCAAGCAGAGGCCCAACACCCTCAAGCCGCTGCCCAAGTCGCCGGGCTCGTCCAAGCTCGGCAATTTCTTTGGCTGGGCACCCTCGCCATCGACGACCGAATTCTCTGACCAAGAATTCTCTCCGCTCTCTTCTCCCTACGCACTGCAAGCACCAGGCACCGTCGGCACTCATGCCTCCATCTTGTCTACAGCAGGAACCAGCATCACATCCGTCTCCTCACAAGGCAGCGACTACAAGAACGGCGAGACGCATGCCGTCAGAGACGACCTACAGACACCAGCGATCATTGCATCACAACCACAGCATTTACTGTCATCGCTGTCATCATCCAACGAGATCGAAGAGATGGAGGAAGAGCTGAAGGCCATCAGCGCCGAGCTGGCTTCGTCCATCCGGCGAGAGATAGACCTAGAAGACCTTGTGGACAGGTTGCAGACAGAGATCAGCAACCCACAGGCACCGGGGAAGCGCACGAGCGACTACTATTCCGACTCCGGCTACAGCTCCAGCCGGGCGATCAGCGACTACGATGCCGCAAAAGAGGAAATCGCACAGGTGCAGCGCCGTGCCGAGCAGGAAAAGGCGCAGGTGCGGCTCGAGCTGACCCAGAAGCTGTCTGACGAGCGGACGCGCCGCACGTATCTGGACCAGCAGATCAAGGAGCTCAGCGAGCGGGCTACAACTCTGGATCTCGCCCAGACCCAGCGCAGCAACGAGGAAGTCAGCGGTCGCGTCAAGCAGCTAGAAGGCGCCTGTGAAGACCTAAGGCGTCGCCTGGCGGAGGAGCGGAACGTCAAGGAGAACTTTGAGGACTTGCTGTCGGCCATGAAGGGCGAGCTCCAGAGCGCCACCAACGAGCGCGACAACCTGCGCGATGAGGTGGTCCCACAGCTGCGTGCCCGCGTAGAGGGTCTCGAGACGCAAGCTGCCGAACTGGCACGTCAAGCCTACGAGACCAGCAAGATGCAGCAGGAGCTGCAGACGCTCAAGGAAGAGAACTCGAATCTGCGGGCCATCAGTACCAGCCTAGCTGCAGCCGAAGAAGGCGAGCAGCAGGACGGAGTTTTCAAGCTGCAGCGGGCGCCGGCAGGACTGTCTCGGTCGAACACGCTGTCCCGATCCAACACGCTTTCGCGGTCCAACACGGTGAAGCGGCAGCAGCAGCAGCAAGGCCAGGGCGCGGCAGCCCCGACAAGCACGATCAACGAGTCGCGCGAAGTACTGGCCGAGCGGCTCCGAGATGTGGAGGCGCAGCGCGATGCATTGCACAACGCGCTGAAGAATCTGCTGGAGCGCCAAGACTTCCAAAATCGTGAAAGCAGCAAAAAGGTGCGGATACTGGAGATGGAGCGCGACCGACTGTTGACGGCGTCTCCCAAGAAGGCCGGATACGAGCGTGAGGTGGCATCGCTGCGCGAGGAGGTCAGCATGCTACGGCGCCGCGCAGAAGATGCGTTGGAGCAAAAGTGGCAGGTGGAGAAGGGCCTGGGCGGTCTGAAGATGGATCTGGACCGCGCCGAGGAGGAGATTGCAAGCCTGCGCAAGATGCTGCAGCAGAGCGACATCCTGATCACGCCCTCCAGCCGCGTGGTGTCTATGGCATCGGGCGACTTGGACGCGAATGCCACACCTTCGGGACCAGCAACGTCGGCTTCGCTGGAGGCAGCGTATCGGAACCTGCAGACATACTACAACGAGGCGCTAGAGCGTATCCGGGCGCTGGAGATCTCGGCGTCCGACGGCACGATCGTTGCGGCCATGGCAGACGAGAAGACGGCGATGGCCATTCGGCGTCTGGAGCAGGCACTAGCCGGAGCCGTGGCAGACCGAGATGCAGCCCAGAGCCAGTTGGCGGATGCGGCGGCTGCGGAGGCTTCGCTGATGGCGAGCGAGCGCAATCTGGCGGAGCAGCTGGACGCTTCAGCAGAGCGGGTGACAGATTTGGCACAGCAGGTGCAGGAACAGCTCTCGACCAACGCGCTGCTGCGCGAGCGGCTGACAACGATGGTGGCTCGACGAGAGTCGGAGCAGCGATTCAACAAGGAGCGCATTGTTGGTCTGGAGGCACGGCTGCGCACGCTCGAGGAGCAGCTGGTGGCGACGCAGACGGCAGCGGAAGACGGCGTGTCGCGGCACGAGGAGCAGGTGGCAGCGCTGCGGGAGGCACACTCGTCGCAGCTGCAGCGGCTGCGCGACGCGTCAGGCCAATTACGGGCGCCACCATCGTCGCCGCGAGCCGGAGCTGGACTGGTATCACCGCGATTCTTCGCGGGTAACGGCGGGTTGAAGTCGCCGTTGTCGCCGATGTTTGCCATCAACGGACGGCTGGTGCCATCACGGCCGAGCAGCCGGAACAGCATTTCCGGTGCAGGGACGGGATCGGGCGGACGAGCATCGCCGACGGTCGAGGCCGACCAGCAGATGCAGGTGTCGACTCTGCGGGCACGCGTGGGCGAGCTGGAGGGAGCGCTGGCGTCGGCCGACAGCGAGCTGCAGGAGGTGGTGGGTCGGATGAACACGGCCCAGATCGAGGTGCTGCAGCTGCAGGAAGAGCGGGAGCAGGCTGCTCGGGAGACGCGGAAGTTGCAGCAGCTGCTGGAGGCCGAGCAGATCAAGCACTTTGAGGAGCGGTTCCGGTCGTTGGGAAGGATCTCCACGATGGCATAAACATAGGACGAGGTCGTCTATGTCAGATCAGCATCAACGATAGAACATCGACATAACATCAACATTATCAACAGCATCAACAGCATTGGCGCTTGAAGACTTTTGTTTTACTTTCCACATATGGATAGGCTGGATTACTAGAACGTTTTGAGACCACAAAACCGTCCAGGGATACGGGCGAGAGTAATGTGTTTTATTTATTTGCTAATATTAGCTGGATACCAAAAGAAGGAGTTGATCCAATGATGCTCAGTGCTCGTACCTTGGATGGAGACTCTGATCGGGGGTACTTTAGCTCCATCAAGTTCATGCGTCGGTGTCGCAATGTGTTTAGGCTGTGTCATCTGCTTGCAGAAGCTGAGTGGGTCGACGTACGAGTCTTTCTGCTGATGGTTTTGTTCTAGAAGGAAAATAGGACGAGAAAAGAGCTACTCGTAGACCGGATATTGGGGCTAGTATTCCGTAGGCTGTCAAGGAGGAGGCTATTACGGCACAAGCTGTGTCTGCAAGAGGAAGGCCGTAGAGCGAAATCGGTATGCTATATTCATCGTCTACAGCCCAAGGCTCGGCATGGCCGGGATGCTACGGGAATAAGAAGGCGATGAGGACAAGGAAAGGCCAGCAGACGCTTACGCCACGCTTACACGTAAAGCTTAATGTTTGCCTGCCTGTCTGCCTGCAGCAGCAAGGACGGGGCAAGGCCAGGCTAAAACGGCAATATCGCCGCCTTCATTTCCTGTGGGTGGAGCAGACAGAGCGCTGTCTGTGACATGAGCATTACGCCGTCTGAAGTAGTGTGTATCTCCACAGAGCCGTTCGAACGGCCGTCCGGTCTTGGCACGGGTGGCGAGGATCTCCTGGCAAGGCCGTTCAGCTTCGTGAGAGCTAGCAGCTCGTGTGAGCGACGATCACGGCTCTACGAGTGCTCACAAAAGACAAGACATACGGAGTTTCTTACATAGCACGGAAACTCGTCCGGGTGGAGATGCAGCTGAAAAAGAAAAAGAAGGGGGAGTGCCCCGGCATTTGTTCTGCCACAGTCTGCACCCGCACGCGTGATAGGATCCGGAACGAGATACGGAGTAGGTCGCGTCGCAAAGGGGCTGCTTTGCCATTGCTGACTGACGCTGTGGGGGGCGGAAGTGTTCACGATGTCCACAATGGCTTGTGCTTCAGTTTCTGTCTTTGGTACCAGTGGGGCTACAAGCACGCAAGAATTTGTGGCGGAAGGCGCAGAGCCGGACGCGTCACGGGACAGGACAAACACGGAAGGCGCAGTGTCTGCGAGAAGGGGCGTCTGCCGCTCCGACTTTTCTTGTCCGCCTTGTCGCTTATGATCACCGTCTCACACCTCCAACCAATAATGACCGGCAGCCAGTCTTATCTTTACACGAAAAATGGGCAAATCCCAATGTCGGCTGTTATCTCTTGGCCTGCGGCTGTCGCGCTAGTCCAGACATAGAAAGGCTCAGCATGTGGGTGGAGCTTGTGTCTGCATTTGGCAGTTTCTGTTTTTCATGGTTCTTTTTGGTAAACGGCTCTTATATGGGGTTTTCCTCACTTTTGTCACATTTCTCATTCTTTTTCTTTTGTTTTTCTCTCGCCTTTCCTTTTACCTTTGTCACAGGCGACCGGTTCCCCACACTGGCGTCTCACAAGCCCCTTGTAGTGAAGGACTCGGTCGAGGAGAAGGCCGCTCGGACTGGTCTGTACGAGTCCGCATTTAACTTCCACGTAAGACGCAGGAATGGTTTGGGAACTGCACTGCGAGCGAGCGAGAGCTGTACTATGTAGCTCCAGCTAGAGAAAACAGCATCTGGGCTTGATTGGAACGATAACAAAGTGGTTTCTTCTTCTCTACATCCTTGCATCTCCTGCATCTGCACCTGCTCGCGTGTTTCACTCTCTCAGAATCTGCGAAAGGGCTGCCTCTTCGACCAACTAGACTCGCCGTGGGATTCTTGCCTCACACCCTCTTGCACACCCTAGGAAGGCTCCGTAACGGAATACGCCACTCTAATCACCTTCCCAAAGACAGACCCCGGTTCAATCACACCCTGCTGCGTAATCCCCGTTTCCGTTAAATAACTGCTACGCTACGATGTTCCAGCAGCGATCCGCAAGGTCCATGGACTAGGTGATGGGGACGAGGCGGCTTTCCATACGCCATAAGCCCCTTCTCCCACCAGGCACATCGACCCTTTTTAGGGCCGGCCACTGGGGTGAGATCTGAGCTATACACGCACTTCACACCACCTGCCATCGTCTCGTCCACTCTTATTTCCCTCGTTCCCTTCTTCCCCTCTCTGCCTCCTTCTCGTTCTGCTCTGGCCCCAACCACATCTACCGTCTCTCGTTCTGGGAGCGACCACCACCCAGACAGCAGCAGCAGCTCGCGACCTCTTCAACCGCCCATCATGGCTGTCATCGACGGCATCGACCTCGACGCCCTCGATTACGTTATCAAGGTCCCGTACAATGGCACCGGCGCAACCGGTGGCGACTCCTTGACGGAGAACCTCAACATCTGGTACGAGGTAGGCATCTCGGGCCGACGGGCCCTGCCACCATGCACAATGCGTATCTGGCAACGGGAATACTGACAGGCACACAGAGCGGCGATATCGGCTGGATGATCACGGCCACGGCCCTCGTCCTGCTCATGATTCCGGGTGTCGGGTGAGTTGCAGCGCAAAGGGCGCATTCGTTCGTGTGTACACGCTGACACCCGCCAGATTCTTCTACTCCGGCCTGGCCCGGAGAAAGTCGGCCCTCTCGCTGGTCTGGCTGTCGGTCATGGCCACAGCCGTCACGACGTTCCAGTGGTTTTTCTGGGGCTATTCGCTTACCTTCTCGCACACGGCCAGCTCGTTCATGGGCAACCTGCACAACTTTGGCTTCCGGGGCGTGCTGGCCCAGCCGTCGGTAGGATCGTCGCGCATTCCGGACATTCTGTTTGCCGTGTACCAGGGTATGTTCTCGGCCATCACGGTAGCCTTAGCCACAGGCGCAGTAGCTGAGCGAGGCCGCATGCTGCCGTGCGTGATCTTCATGTTTGTGTGGGCCACGGTGATCTACGACCCGATCGCCTGCTGGACCTGGAATCCGCACGGCTGGACGAGCAAGCTGGGTGGCCTGGACTTTGCCGGCGGCACGCCTGTGCACATTGCCTCGGGCACGGCCGCGCTGGCCTACTCGATGATGCTGGGCAAGCGACGCGGCCACGGCACGCACGAGCTCAACTACCGTCCGCACAACGTCACGCATATCGTCATCGGCACGGTCTTCCTCTGGGTCGGCTGGTTCGGCTTCAACGCCGGTTCGGCGCTGTCGGCCAACATCCGTGCCGTCATGGCCGCCATGGTGACGAACCTGGCAGCGTGTGTGGGCGGGATCACGTGGTGTGTGCTTGACTACCGGCTAGAGCGCAAGTGGTCTACTGTCGGCTTCTGCTCGGGCGTCGTGGCCGGACTGGTGGCCATCACGCCTGGCTCGGGCTACGTGCCGGTCTGGGCGGCCGTGCCGTACGGCGTGCTCGGCGCAGCCTTTGCCAACTACGGCACCAAGCTCAAGTTCATTCTCGGGATCGACGACGCGCTCGACATCTTTGCTGTGCACGGCATCGGCGGTCTTGTCGGCAATGTGTGCACGGCCTTTTTCGCGGCCGACTACATTGCCCATCTGGACGGCGTGCAGGTCATTCAGGGCGGCTGGATCAACCACCATTGGGTGCAGCTGGCCATCCAGCTGGCCGACTCCTTTTCTGGTGGCTGCTACTCCTTTGTCGGCACCTGCATCATCCTCTTCGTCATGAACATGATTCCCGGGCTGCATCTGCGGGCCAGCGAGGAGGCCGAGATTCTTGGTATCGACGACGCCGAGATTGGCGAGTTCGCCTACGACTATGTCGAGCTGACCCGCGAGGTCCTCAACGAGGTCGACAACGAGAACGGCTCCATGTTCTCCAACGACGCCATGACTGGCTATCCGCCCGCCCCCGAGAAGAACAGCATCCCGCTGCGCGACGCCCGCATGTTCTCCGGCCAGTCGTCGTATGCGCAATGACGGCGGCTCTCTGACGGAACTGGGGAACGGATGGCTCGCACTATCTACTAGCCTTTTATTCTTCGTCCCCGATCACGCATTTCTGGTCTCACCCATATACACACAGGTTCCGTCATCTACCAGAGGCCGAATACCGAATCCGCACTTGTCACCTCGTCAACGTGCTACGAAAAGTCGGACACACCGTCTCCATCTTTTCCCTGTTCGAGTCTGTTCGTTCTCCCACTCTTCTTCACGACTCCCTTCCTCGTGACCCCTTTTCTTATTATCTTGTGCTATTTTGCGTCGACTACGGCAGCCTGACCTCGGTGGACATATCTCTTAGGCGTTGGATCCAGACAGACAGCGGGTCTGTTTAATACGTGTACGTGTATATAGGTGCATACGTGAAGACGAGCGATGGCGTGGTGATGAACCTGTATTATTATTACCATTACTATTTATTATCTTACTCACCGAAATGGACTTGATACCCTCCGAAGACAGATCGCGCCTGCCGCGCTGCTTTGTTCGCGGGGCACGCTAGTCCACCGTGTGACTTCCGTCGTGAACTAACAAAGCGTCACGGCTTACAAGAATTCACACCAACTTTGGTTTTTACTGGTTTCACTAGGCATCTCACAACTGCCAGCAGTCATGTCCCTGGAAGAAAAGGTTGCCCTCTTTGCTGCGTGGACGATGTCCGATGGCGAGGATGGCGACCAAGCACGAGATGGACAACGAGACGACGACTTGGACTCGGACGAGCGTGAACATCGTCGAAAGAGCCGTGCTTTTGCGGCTGCGGCAGCCTTGAAGAGAGCGGCCAGAGATGGCGACAACACGGCGGAGACATCCGGCCGCGGCAGTGCTTCAGTCGAACCGGCAGCCATCCGACCAGTCTCGAGCCCGTTACCGTCCTCTGATGCTTCTACCAGCACAAAGGATCTGAAGCGAAAGAGAGGGGCCTCCAACACGAGTCCAGAAGGCGACACATCTAGGTCCAGCGGCATCTTTGACGGCCTCGCATTCTACTACATTCCCAATGCCAACCTTGGCCCACGGAAGCTGCGCATTGCCAAGGCACGCCAGAACGGCGCCCAATGGGTGCAGCACATCAGCGAGGCCACACACGTCATCGTCGACAAGAAGCTGTCGTGGAAGGACATACAGGTTGTGCTTCGAGACGGCACGGCGACGCAACCATCGATATTGGTCAACGAAGAATACCCCCTCGACTGCATCAGGTTCCGCCGGCTGCTCAATTTAGACCAGGGACGGTATTACATTCGAGGCAGCCCTGCATCAACAAAAGCAGCGACTGCGACGACCAAGGCCAGCTCACAGCGACAAGAAGCACGGTCCGACGACAGAACGCATCCGATCAAGAGACAGCATTCACGACACTATCGGCCCGTCACCCCGTCTCCGCCACAAGAAGAGTCGTGGGCCAAGAAGCAGCGAAGGCAGAAGACGGACTGACAGGCTTGATCCCTTTTCTCGCTTTTTGGTAGGCAGCACGTGCCGGACAACTTGGAGCCCCAAAACTGGGATCCACTACGTAATACTCCGTAATGCTCCATCCGCAACCAAAGCTCACTAACACCGCAGTGCCGAAGCAGAAACCCAACCTCGAAAGGGCAATCGGAAAAATCACTCGACAAACACGACACGACTGCCGACGAGCGAAACGGCCGCGCCATCAGCTGACAGCGACGACGACGACGACGACGACGAAAACGGCAACGACACCGAGCGCGCCGACATCTCCGAGGACACACACGTCTGCATTTGCGGCACCATGAACGTGTTGCCAACCCTGCCTGAGGCAGCCGATGCCCCCGCAACGCTGCTGTCGTGGTTCGTCTTTGATGACGCTATGCAGGCTTGGGTGGATGTCCGGCTGGAGCCACTGCCGCCCAGTGCCAACAGTGCGAGTGGTGCCGGCCATCCCGCGACCACCATCGCTAGCGAACTCACCCTGGTCACCTGGAACGTGGACGCCTTCTCGCCCCAGTCGGAGGACCGTCTAGCCGGAATTCTCGATGCCGTTCGCGGTAGTGGTGGTGGTGGTAGTGCTTTTTCTGCTGCTGTTGCCACTCCAACCCACCCTGACATCCTCTTTCTGCAGGAGGTCTCCCCATCTGGCCTGGCCTACTTACTGCAGGACCCTTGGGTGCGTTGCCACTGGTATGTCAGCGACACTGGAGCAGCCCAGCCAAGCGACCCGAACGGCTTCTCCATCGTCAGCCTGGTGTCGCGGCGCTTTCTGCCGGAACATTGGAGCAGCAGCAGCAGCAGCAGCAGGACGGCTGGCATCCCCGTCCTTGGCGCGCTCTGGCGGATCGACTTTCCCAGCCTGTTTGGACGCTATGCCATCTGCTGCGAGATACGCATGCCGGACCCGACAGCAGCGGTGGTCCGCTTGGTCAATGTGCACCTAGACTCGCTGCAGATTCGACCGAGTCGACGGCCGCGACAGCTGCAGATCGTGGCCGACATGTTGCACTGCCAGCAGCCTCGCTCGACGTCGGCCGTGGCGACAGCTACATCGGCCATGGCTGCCCACGGACTCGTGGCCGGTGACTTCAACCCTGTCCTGCCCGAAGAGGACAACTTGCTGGTGGCGGCCAACGGGCTCGTCGACGCCTGGCAGCACCTGCACCCCGACGAGAGCGGCGTGACATGGGGCATCGACGGCCAGCAGCCGTATCCGCCGGCGCGGCTGGACAAGGTCGCCGTTGTCGGGCTGGAGCCATGCGCCATGACGGTGCTGCATCCGGGAACGGTGCGGCTGCGGGGAGGCAACTCATCCGCTCTGGACAAGACAGCCACGGCACAAGCAGCAGCAGGCTCCGACAACAGCAGCAACGAGCACCGCTTCCTGCCCTGGAGCGACCACTCCGGCCTGCAATGCACCTTTCGAGTAGCTGCTCCGAGGCGATCGTTCTACCAGGACTGAAGACGGACCGTTAGGATCAACGACTGCGGGGGGGCCAAGGGCAAAGGAAGAAGCGCACGGCAGTGATGAGCAGAACAGGCCCTTCCCTCCCGGATCCTGGCTTCTGTGTCAGACAATGCAGGGATGCCGACACCTTTCTGCACGGCCGCTGGTGTCGTGGCTGGACGCTGAACCTGCAGCTGCTGCTTCGCGTCAGGAGAGCCGAAGAAGGAGCTCCTTATGTTACAGGACAGGCTTCCGCTCGTGGGATCGAGGTTATCATCATTAGGACGTCCCAAGATAGCGCTGTCTTTTACGTTGTGTAGAAGCAACCTACGGCAGAGTGGCCGGACGATGATTTGCCATCGGCCTTAGGCAAGTCTCGAATGAACCGTCCAGAAGCTCGTGTATTATCCTTTTGGGTTTCCTGCTATGCTCTAAACAATGATGCCTAATGTTGCTAGATGACAACTTGAAAGTTGACGAGTAGAAGAGAAGAAGGAGAAAAGAAGAAAAAAAGAAAAAGAAAAAGACAGAAAGGCAGAAAACAGAAAAAGCATGCCCATTCTATCAGCTGTATGTAGTCGTATCGGCAAGGCCTCTTGGGCTCAAGCCATCAGGGGAAAGTTGGCCTCGTTGAGCAGGCTAGTGCTGGCCACGAAGCTGAAGCCACCAAACGGGTCGTCCTTGAAGCTGCCGGCACGTCCAGCCGGCCGGCCAACGCCGCCGAGGCCGCCCGGTGAGGCCGGGTCCCAGCGACCGTCGGCCGTGGAGACGACCGGGCTCATGGGCAGGTCGGTGAACTCAGAGGCAAAGTTCTCGGCCAGCTCAGGATCGGTAATGACCGGCTGGATGGGCGGCTCCATCTGACGGGCGGCCAGACGCTGCCAGTCGATCTTGCGGAAGAAGCGGTGGCCCTTGAGCGTGGTCAGATCCTTGGGCATGTTGGCGCCTAGGCGCTTGCGCGGGTTCTTCTGCAGCAGCCGCGTCAACAGGTCCTTGGCATCCGGGCCGAGAAAGTACGGCAGCACCAGCTTCTGGCGCACAATGTTGTCCTGGATCTTGGCGTTGTTCCGGCCACGAAAGGGCGGGTTGCCCGTCAGCAGGTCGTAGCCCAGCGCGCCCAGCGACCACCAATCGACAGCCCGGCCATACTTTTGGCCCTGCACCACCTCGGGCGCCATGTACTCGACCGTGCCGAGGATCGAGTGGCAGCACGCACTGTCGTCGGCACCCGGCGCCGCGCCTTCACCCGGCAGCGCCACCTTGGACAGGCCGAAGTCGGTCAGCAGCAGGTGGCCGTCGGCATCGAGCAGGCAGTTCTCCGGCTTGAGGTCGCGGTACACCACGCCCAGCGTGTCGTGCAGATGCGACAGCGCCAACACCATCTCGGCCATGTAAAAGCCGGCGGTGCTCTCGCTAAACATGCGCTCGGCGCTGAGGTGCGTGAACAGCTCGCCGCCCTGGCCGTACTCGAGGATCAGGTACAGCTTCTCGCGGTCCTGGAAGGCGTAGAACAGCTTGACCACAAAGGGGTGGCGGTTGACCGACTCGAGGATCTGCCGCTCCGTCTTGGTCTGCTCGATCAGCTTCTTATGCACCACCAGCGACGCCTTCTTGAACTGCTTCTGCGCGTAGAGCCGGCCGTTGGCGTTGTGCTTCACCAGCAGCACCGTGCCGTAGGAGCCCTTGCCGAGACAGCGCAGCGGCTCAAAGTCGTCGGCCGTCATCTTCTTGGCTGGAGGGACGCCGTGTTCGCGTGGCGTCGCCTTGCTGGCGTACTCGTCGACGCTCGTGCCGGTCGTAGCATCAAAGTTGGCGAGCGGGTCGTCGTCGTCGTCCAAGTCCCGACCAGGACCGGCGCCGGCTTCTTTGGGGTGACCAGTCGCAGCGAGGGCGTCTTGGGCCGTCCAGCGCACGTCTTCGCGCGCGCTCTCGCTGATAAAGTCGGATCCGAGCTGGATGACATAGCTAGTCGAATCGGTGCGGTCGCCACGGTCACGGCTGGCCTCGTCGTCGCTGGTGTTGCTCGACAGTCCGCCGTGGCTGGTGCTCCGGCTGCTGACACCCGTCAGGGTGCGGGAGGCGTTGCTGTCGTTGCTGTCGTTGCTGTCGTTGCTGCCGCTCGGCCGCTGGGGCTGCAGTCGGTGTGTCCGGACTGCTGGCACAGGCGACGTGGCACGTGACGAGGCGGTTGACGTGTCGAGGCTGAGTGGCTCCAGCTGCATGCGCAGCTTGGCGATGCCGCTCACGGCCGGCGACCCCGACGGTCGCAGCTGGGGACTGCAGTTGGTGCTGACCACGTCGTTGATGGCCCGCATCTGCTGCTGCTGCGTGCGGCCACGACGGTGAGCCGTCTTGCCGCTGTGATAACCCCCAACGCCATAGTCGCTGTCTTCTTCGTCGCCCGAAGTGACAGGCGTGCCCTGAAATCCGCGCACCGTAGTCCGAGCGGGAAGCGGGGCGTCCATGGTGTGGCGTGAGGACGTGAGGGCGTGAGGCAATGTGAGGGAAATATGGGAAGACGATGAGAAAGTTGGGAGCACAAAATCTCAAGAATCACCTCGACGACGTTCGGCGTCGCAGCGAGCGTCGGAAAGAAGGTTTCGGAGCAGTCTCTGTGAGTTCAGCATACGCATCTGGTACGTAAAGAAGGATGGGGAGTTGTCGGAAGAAGAGTCTATAAAATGCATTGGGGGAACCTGCTCGGGCGGTCGACTGTTGTTTCTTGTGGATTTGGTGATGCGCTGAAAAAGGGAGGAGGAAAGAAGTACTCCCGTATTGGGTGCAGGAGGAGATTGAATGCATGAAAAAAAAAAGCGGCGAGCGTAGGGATTAACGGGAACGGACTAGCGCGGTCCACTCGGGGTGGAAGGAGCGAGTGACAGCACACGGAAAGACCCCCGTGATCCACAGCGCGTAAGATACAGTCTTACGTTTCCAGCCCTGCGGCTACTGGCGGCATTGATTACTAAGCATAAGACCGGGTATCTAATCTCTTGTATCTTACTAAGCACGATCACGAGTACATGTCCGATCCATCGTCGCGACCCCAGAGCTTGACAGTCTTGTCGTGGCCGCCGCTGACGATCCAGCGACCATTGCGGCTGACGTCGACGCTGGCGACGGGGCCGGTGTGACCGGTGAGCGACTGGACGAGGACCCAGTCGTCGGCCGAGTAGATGTTGATCTTCTGGTCGAAGCCGCTGGAGACGAAAAAGGTGCCGGATGTTTTGGGCTGCGGCAAGCCCTTGTCGTCGGGGCCAGGCGGCGTGCCGAGCAGGCCGTCGTCAAGGCCCTTGAACCAGCGGACATCGGAGACGGAGCTGGTGTGGGCGCCGATGCCGCCGGCACGCTGGACCTTGCGGACGTCCCAGCACTTGACCCAGCCGTCGGCCGAGGCGGAGAGGAGGCGGTGGCCGTCGGCGCCCCAATCGAGCGCGTAGATGGGCTTGATGTGGCCGTCGAGCGGGCCGTCAAGGATCATGACTGTGCGGCCGGACCGCAGGTCCCAGATGCGTCCGATGCTGTCGAGGCCGGCGCTGGCGATGAGCGAGCCGTCAGTGTTGAAGCTGACGGCATAGACGCCGCGAGAGTGGCCTTCTTGACGAAGGAGTTCAGCCGACGAGGCGTCCTCGCCCGCTCGCCGCACGTCCCACAGCCGCCACGAGGCATCCTCGGAGGCCGAGGCCAGGAAAGCGCCCGACGGGTGGAACTCGACGCGACAGACGCGTGCTGTATGGCCAGCCAGCGTGGCGACCGGGGTGTCCTGTTCGAGCGACCAGAGCTGCACGAGGCCCTCGGCACCGCCCGAGGCCAGGTTGACGGCACCGGGCCCGACATCGGACGTCGGCAGCGTTGCCCCGGGAAACCACGACAGGCCGCTGATCTTGCCGGTATGGCCGCGCAGGCTGCGCTGCAGCTCGAGGTTGGGCACGCCATAGAGGCCGAGCGAGCCGCCAAAGTTGCCGGCTGCCACCAGCTGGCCGCCCGGTGCGATGCGTGTCATGCTGATGTTGCGGTCGCCGGTCGGCTGGCTGGCCTGCAGCTCGAAGCCGCGCAGGCGTGTCTTGACCTGGTCGCGGAACCGCACCTGGCTGCGCAGCGGGATGTGCGCCTCGGTGCGCTGTAGCGCGATCTGGCGCTGTGTCCGCGGCAGCGAGTAGTCGACCAGGCTGCGCCGAGCCTGCTGCAGAGCCGATCCGCCCGGCGTGTAAAACTCTTGTGGTCCGTCGTCGTCGCTGTCGTCGCTGCTGCCGTCGCCGTCTGCGTAGTCGTCCATGGCCACGTCCTCGCCGCCCTGGGCCTTGCTCGCTGCTGCCGCCCGCTCTCGCTCCACGCCGATCGCCAGCAGCTCCCGCAGCCGCGCCTTGCGGTCGGCTGGCCCTTCGCCAAACTGCGTCGCCGGCTCGCCCAGCTCTCGCAGCCGCTCCCGCACCTTGCCGTCCTCCTTGGGCACCGCGATCGTCGCCGCAATCTTCTTTCGTGCCAGCTGCGCCAGCAGCTCCGACGCCTTCTCGGGCGCCATGCCCGATGCCGTCACCGGCATCTCGTAGTCATGCTCGAGTGCTGCAGGTCAGTTGCTGTCTGCCGTGGAACGGAAAAAAAGGACTGCTCACGTACGGACGCTTGCCAGGTCGATGCCGCCTCGTCGGTCCTGTCCATCGTCAGCACAATGGCAGGCAAACCCAGAGCTTCGGCGCAGACAACCTACCACGTCCTCTGCATCCTCCACATACGCCAGACGCGATGGATGGATCGACATCGTGCAGGTCGACAAGCCGTCCGGCCTGCTCTCTCCGCGGTTGGCACGCCTGCAGTCGTAGAGCTCTAGCTGTTCGAATTTTGCCGCCGGTTCAGCTCGCCTCCGATCATGTGTTCATTTCTGCGCTGTCTTGGCTCAAATCTGCTGCTGGATCATGGCCACAAGCTTGGTCTGTTCGAAAAGTTGCAACTGTCAACGCTAGTCACGTGCACCTCCCTAGCGCCAGCTGCCGTCACCTGACTAGCTGATTTGCTGCATCGATGCCGAACTTGCTCCACATCGGCGAGCGCTGAAACCCATTAAAACGCAACGACGCCAATCATGCAGCCAGGAAACAACTTTGCGGCCTAGCAAAGGGTCGTCCTCCTCTGCTGCGTATGCTCTGTGCTATGTTCACGACCGTCTGCCGCCCCTCCAGGTCTCACTTCCAGCCTTGAGGGCTCTGTCGAGTAGAACAGCTCTGTCTGTCGACTTCTCGTCTTCAGCCTCTTGTCCGCATCCCCGACCTCCTCCCTCTTCGACAGCCGCTTCCGATCGCGGCCCCAATCGGCCTCCCGTGTTACCTGCACGTTGTGCCCGGTGTTTCGGCAGTGCGGCCGCCAAGCCACAGACACCATGTCGCTCGATCTGGAGAAACACCTCGTCTTTGTAAGTTGTCCTTGCGAGAAGCTCCGACGGCGAGATCGCCCGGACTGACTCTTCTGCCTTTAGTATGGCGCATACCACAACGACAAGATCAATCAGGGCATTCACATGGTCTGCGTGCCCATCATCCTCGGCTCCGGCTTCTGGGTCGTATGTATACGTTCTTTCTCTCTCATACTCTTCTCCTCAACTGACTCTCAATTGACGCAGGCTGCCAATTCTCCCACAATCATCCCCCTTCCCGCCTGCCTTACCGTCACCAACCTGCAGCTCAATCTCTGCACGCTCGGCTCGCTGATCTGGGGTGGTCTCTACGTCCTCCTCGAGCCTGTCGCCGGCACCGCCCTCGCTCTCCTCTGTGTTGGTTCCGCTGCCGCCGGCAACTACGCCTACGCGCATTACGACGCCTACACGCTCACCACCTATGCCCTGGCTGCCCACATCGTCTGCTGGATCCTGCAGTTTGTCGGCCACGGCAAGTTTGAGCGTCGTGCCCCGGCCCTGTTCGACAGCCTCTTTCAGGCCATCTTCTTGGCTCCGCTGTTCGTCTGGCTGAAGCTGCTGTTCGCTTTTGGCTACCGCCAGGAGCTGCAGGGCCGCGTCGATCGGGACGTGCGAAAGGCCGTTGCCAAGTACCGGATGTCTCGGAATGCCACGGCGAACGGCACGGCCAAGTAGACGAGCCAATTGACTCCACAACAACCATCCACCACCCACCCATTCGCCGCCTCCCATCTCCATCCTCTTCTTTTCTCACCGATATGCCGCCAGCCTAGGACAGCATGCACCACAAGACGGCATGCTCGCTTCCACAAAAGTCCTACTTTGGCCGGAAACACAAAGAGGACAGGCCCATTCCGAAGCAAGTGACTTTCACAAAAATTGCATAGCGTGCGAAGAGCATCTAATACGTGTATATCTATCTTTCGACGCATTTTTCCATTTCAATCTAAATCATAGTAGGTCAGAAGCGCAATCCGCGTTCTTTGGCATGACCTTGCATGCTTTCTACGTAGCTCCCACGCATCTCTCTCTCTCTCCTTACCTTGCTTACCGTCCCGACTCGATCCGCCGGGCATCCCGGCAGACGAGGGATTCATCGCTCTCCATGGCCCTGGGTGTCAGTACGCTGAGAACACGCGTCGATAGACGGGATCGTCGGTGAGCCGTGTCCACCCGAAGCCCTGATTTGGCTGCAGCTTCTTTGGCCCGCGACGGCTTGGTTGGGTGGCTGTTGTCGCCGGCTGGACGACTCGTGCTGGGCGGGCTGGTTGAGCTGCGCTTTTGCAGCTTGTTCGGCGTGCGAGCGGGAGGTGGCCGTGAGGGTGCAGACGGGCCGGGGCCCCAGAGAGGCTCGGCCGGTGGCGGTCTGGCCGGTGGTGGCCGAGAGACGCTGGGGATGCTGGCATACCTTCTGTGTTCGGTTCTGCTACGGCCGGGAACTGGCTCAGACTGTCTCCGCTGTGAGTAGTGGGCAGGGCCCCGGGGCCCTGTTCCAGTGGTGCCCCTGGCACTTGGTACAGGAGCACACACGGCAGTCTTTGGCGGACGGACGGTCGGAACGGCTGGGGTGGCCTCCGGGGCTGATATGGCAACACCGATGGCGTCGCTGGGAACGGCCGTGTCCTCGACGTGACGGCGCTCTCGCTGCCGACGTGCACTGCTGCTGTCCATTAGCCCGTATTGCTGTCTCAGGTCGTAGACCCGGAGGCACTTCGGACACAGCTCTGGGATGTACTGACGTGGCAGCTGAGGAGGAGAGTTGGGCGCGGGCATCCAGGTGCTGAAGACGGAAAGACAGCCGCGCGGTTGGACCGACCGCTGCTCCTCGCGGCAGCGGCAGGCGTAGATATTGACAAACGAACCTTGAGACATGTGGGTGTTTGAGGATGGAGATGGCTTTGTGTGAGGTGTCCTGTTTGGTGCTTGACAATCGTCTTTGAGCGTCAGGCCGTCTCTTTGTCTGTACTGTTATTGCTAGGTTTGATGACACGCAGATACAGGCAAGCAAACTTGGCGGAACTGTGGGCAGTGACGAGGGAAGCTTGTTTACCTGAAGTGCTAGTGTTGGGAAATTTGTTGATACCGAGATCTGAGGATGCGTGCTCCTTGGTGTGTTTTATACGTAGTGACTGCGTCTGCTTCATTACGTCTTGGACAGGAATATGCCTGGACTTGTTCAGTGGCCTCAGTGAACATGGCTCTTCGTTGCGCAGACGTCGGTGCTTGTTCTTGTTCTTGTTCTTGTTCACTTTTGGGTCTGCAGCCTGTTCATACTTTGGGTAGCAAGCCGAGAATCTTTGCCGAGTTTGCTTGTGAGCCATTGCAAACTTCACCTCACGCGCTTTGACGATGGACATTGATTTAGCAGCAAGTAAAGCAATACAGTCGCTGCTGGTAAATCGTTCTAGATTTTGTTATGTGAGGTCTAGCATTCCGTTGCGATTCCTCGGCTAATCATCATAGCCATTTTCCACATTTAACGAGCACAAGAGTTGAACGGCTAACTGAATTCTAGAGTGGTTTCTTTGGCACTTGCTCCTAAACACGCTTTATTACAACTTTCTCAATTTGCTCTGTACGGCCTTGGAAACACAGCATACAGCCCTGCTTCTGTGCACAACAACCTAGGACTGTTTAAAAGCAGTATAAGCAGGTCTTTAAGTGCATGCTGAGTACGGAGTAGCTTGCTCTATACTGTCTTCGTACATAGCCGTAAACCCAGTATCATTGGTCTACAAAGACTCGTAGTCGCCGTTTCGTCCCGCAAGTTTCCCCGCTAAGAATCGGCGACGTCCGATAGACAACTTTCAACCCCGCCTTCGACACCAAAAATCTAGGCATCATAGAAAGCGTACAACAAAATATCTTTGTCTTTCAACATTTTCTTTATAGACAAAATGAGTAATGCGCCACTTACTATTGCTGCCAAGGCTGGCAATGTTAATGACTTGGCGGAGGCGTTAGCTGCCGGCGGCATCGATTTTAACCAGCGCGACGACGATGGCCGCACGCTACTGTCGTACGCTGCCGAGGGCGGCCACATCGCCGTGGTAGAGCGGCTGCTTATTGCAGGCGCCGGCGACATTGACCTAAACCAGCGCGACCTTGATAACTGCACGTTACTGTCGTACGCTGCCGAGGGCGGCCACATTGCCGTGGTAGAGCGGCTGTTTATTGCAGGCGCCGGCGATATCGACATTAACCAGCGCGACTACAATCGCCGCACAGCACTATCGTACGCTGCTAAGGGCGGCCACATCGCCGTGGTAGAGCGGCTGCTTATTGCAGGCGCCGGTGACATCGAAATTAACCAGCGCGAACGTCATGGCCGCACGGCACTGTCGTACGCTGCCGAGGGCGGCCACATCGCCGTGGTAGAGCGGCTGCTTCTTGCAGGCGCCGGCGACATCGACATTAACCAGCGCGAACGTTATGGCCGCACAGCACTATCGTACGCTGCTAAGGGCGACCACATCGCCGTGGTTCGGCTGCTGCTTGCTGTGGGCGCTGACCCTAACCTGCGAGACCTTAATATGTTAACGCCGCTATGGTTCGCGGCATTGAAAGGCTGCACAGCGGTTGTTAAGCTGTTGTTAGAGTGTGGTCTAACTGACGTGAACCCGTGGTCTGGTCGCATCTATGAAAATAGATTTGAGACCCCCCTTGCCCTCGCCTTGAAGAATCGCCACCAAGAGACGGCCTAGCTGCTGGCCCACGCAGACGGCATCGACGCCCTCCTAATATTAGGCGACGACTATTCCCCAAGCGTGCTAGGACTGGCCATTGAGTCCGGATACCAAGAAGTGGCCTTAACCCTACTCCTTAAGTGTAGGGGAAGGTTGGAACGGAGCGCTGCACCCCTGAGCGGCGACCGCGATGTTGCCGTTGAGTCGGCTTCGCGGCTGTTGGTCTATGCCTCTAGCGCCAACTGCCTTCGAGTCGCCGACGAGCTTTTGAAAAAGCATGGCGCAGACGTGAATGCGGTCTGTCGATGTGGACCGTTCGATCTTAGTCCACTCATGGCGGCTTCTAAGAAGGGCAACGCAGAATCAGTCAGCTTTCTCCTTACGATAGAAGGGATCCTGCCAAACGTCTTCAATAGCGATGGTTCTACGGCACTTATCCTAGCGAGCATTGAGGGGTTTGTCGACGTGGTCAAGATGCTCGTATCCGACGAGAGGGTGACTGTTGACCAAAGTGACAAGAAAGGGCGCACTGCTTTATCACATGCAGCCGAGCATGCTCGCGAGGACGTGGTGGCCGTGCTGTTGGACACCGGCCGGCTTGACACCAACTCCAGGGATCAGAATGGCCGCACACCACTGGCTTATGCCGCTGGGTCGAAAAGGAAGAACGCCGTTAACGCCGTTCGACTGCTACGGAACGTTTCGTCGACTGAGCAAAACCCAATGGACCACGATGGAAACACTCTGCTGATTATTGCTGCCGCTTGCGGCAACGCGAAAATGGTCGATCTGCTTCTTACGGGATCGACAAGCATCGACATCAATCTACAGAACCGACAAGGCATGTCAGCACTACACAGGACGGCCAGGTCGAGTCTAAGTGATTCGGAGGAGGAAAGCGACTCGGAGGAAGAAAACGACTCGGAGGAAGAATCAGATTGGGCAGAGGTAATGCGAGCACTTATCGCCGTCTCCGGCATCAAAGTCAACATTGAAGACCGTATGAAACGGACGGCGCTCTCTTACGCGGCAGAGGGTGGCAATCTCAAACTAGTTGAAATTCTTCTTAAAGCCGACGGTGTTGATCCAGACTTGAACGCGGACGGCCGAAGCCCGTTATCGTGGGCGTTGCCTAAGACTGCCGACAGTCAGGAGTTGACAAAACGGCGTGAAGAAGTGGTGCGGCTGCTTTTAAGCAACTCGAATGTGGACCCGAATGCAGAAGACGCCGAAGGGCTGACACCGCTGATTCGGGCGATCCAGTGTCGTAACCGTGTCAAGTGTGTCGAGCTGATGCTCGAACGCCCAGACCTCGACGTGAACCAACAGGGACGGAATGGTCTCAGTCCTCTGGCCGTGGCAGAAGAGATCGACGACACGATTGTCATTGAGATTTTGCGCAGCCGTGGCGCGACCGCACCGGAGAGGCCTTTGTTGGATGCCAACAGTCAAATTAATGTTGAAGGCTCGCCCGATAATAGCATGGTACTCAGTAAAGGGGGCCGCATATCCCTAGGCACACAGCAGGAATACATCGACGAGTGGGCGGACGGCACAGAAATACTGTGTAGATACTGCTCGGAGATCGATCTAGATGATGCCTTTTCAAATCACGACTACAGAGAGCGCATGCATTCTTTGGAAGGTGAATCACTGTGTCCTTTGTGTCGTCTGTTAATAGCGGTGGATAGACAATACCTCTGGGACGTTCACTTGATAAGCAACTCGAGCACGCAAGGCTGGATCTGCGGTAAAATGTTTTTGGAAGCTTTAGAGTCTTTGGAGGCCCCTTGGTTTGACACTATGGTGCTTGCCATTGGCGGTTCTGGGTGGGAATATACGGGCGACATTTTATCCACCGGCATGATCGGCCGCCTTGGATCAAATTGCCCGGAAAAGAAGTACGCCATAACAATCCCACGTTTGCTGGGTACGGATGAGGGGAGTGCTGCACGCATGAGGACAGCCAGAGAATGGATTTCGACTTGTATAAAACACAAGGAGTGCAACCCTCCGGACAAATTCGCTATACCGCCACATCTATACCTTATCGACTGCAAAAAGCGGCGCATCATAAACCAGCACGAGTTCGAGGGTACCTGGCCGCCGTCATACGTTGCATTGAGCTACGTCTGGCGCCTGTCTCCGGTTGATGAGCCGCATCTAGACGATTTAGGTGGCGATGTGGCGGCTGTCATCAAAGACGCTATTAACGTGACTCTTGAGCTCGGCTACGAATACCTGTGGATCGACCGGTACTGCATCGTACGGGAGAAGGGCTATGACGCTGTTAAGAACGAACAAATGCGGCACATGCACCCCGTCTACCTCAACGCCGAGGTGACCCTGGTGGCAGCCGCTGGCGAAGACGCATCAGCTGGCCTACCCGGTGCACCAGGACGTCCAAGATCCTACCAGCAGCCCGGGGCTTTCATCAAGGGCCACAAACTCGTCGTCATTCCTCCTGACCCCTATACAGTTATCAAAGACTCGACCTGGGATTCGCGCGGCTGGACCCTCCAGGAGGGCTTGCTCGCACGCCGTCGTCTCTACTTTACCGACTACGAGATGTCGTACGGGTGTCGCAATATGCTTTGTCGCGAAGCCATACAGCTTCCACCCGGCCGAGAACGGAAAATACACAAACACAAACCGAGTACGCGGGAGCCGTTGTGGATGCATGACTCCTGGCAACTGGCCGAGAACGCCGTCAAACATGGTGCCAGCGGCATCTTTCGTCTTTTAGGGGACTACACAAAGCGACAGCTGTCCTTCCAGAAAGACGCCCTGAATGCTATACTTGGCGTCCTTCAACTTCTTGCCGATAACAAGGAACCGCTGTACCACGTATGTGGCGTTCCTATACTGAGAGATTTTGAAGACAAGGAAAAAGAAGAAGACAAGGAAAAAGAAAATGATGCCGCCCTCACCGGTTTTGTTAACGGACTCTGCTGGACTCTCAAGCGTCCGACTCGTCGGCGGCTCGGATTTCCGACTTGGTCATGGACCGGATGGACGGGACAGGTCGACGATCGTGGCTTAATTGTTGACCAAGCACCTTTCAAAACGTCTCTAAACCTCTCCATTGTTCCTCGTGATGGAAAAGGCGGTTCTGGCGTTGCCCTACCATGGGAAATCTACTACGGCTTACGGCACGAAACAGACGACCACAACAAGGCCACCTGGTCCGGTCAAACTCACATGTTTGAGATCACAGCTGCTGCAGCCACAGTTCAGATTCACGCTTCGTATAGCTATCATGGCATGGTGTGCGTTGGTGACCGTGTGTGGAAGGGTCGATTCAAGCTCACTTGGAACGGCGGCGACGGTAGCGACGACGACAGGAAAAGGAACGATGACCGTGTTACCGACTCTCTGGAGACGGCGCTATTTCAGAAGCCATGGGAAGGCACTGTGCTTGGAGCATCAACACCCTCCCCTCCCGAAGATGAGTCTCCCTATACTTATGTGCTCGTCGTTCAGAAGCAGCAGCAGACAAATGAACAGTTGCCTCCCAACGCCCAAACGCGCTGGGAGCGCCTTGGTATTCTACGGCTTGAACGCTGCGAGCTAGAGGAAGACATGTTGGAACGGAAAACTTGGTTGATTGTGTAGTACATCTCGCCATTCATGTTACTGATCCTGTTGAATCGTTACTATTTGTCTTTTGTGCGTTTGTTTTCGGGGGGTGAGATAGTTTGGACTGGGAGATATTTTTTGGAACATTATTGTCTTATGCCAGTCAGCATGGTACTGGACTGGCGATATGGCGTCATCAAGGGTCGAGAAGTACATGAACAGAATGTTATACCAGATTTGTTATGGCTTGTCATAGGTAGCACTCAGTCTTCCCAACCTTGGCTTGCTGTGAGTGAAGGTGAGCAGGTGCGCCGTCTAGATAGAGGAACCCGAGAAACCATTGTCTGATATTATTCTCGGAGAGCACCTTGGGACTGTTTCAGGTTGCGCGTTGAATTGTGCAAGCGCCCGCTTACTGCAGTAGAGAAGAAATTGCTTTGAAAGCTACGTATTGTTCTCAGTGCACTAGAGTCGTTACCCAGACGCAGTACCAGCTTGATGCCATGCATGACAATTTGATTATTCTTCCACTAACTACGATTGACCCTTGATTTGTGCAAAACAAAAAAGGGCAGAGGACGATGCCTCGCACATGTATTGCTACAGCCACTCCTGGGAGAGCTGTCTTGCCATGCCACCGATCCAGATTCCAGCGGCCTCCTTCACACGTGCCATCTTGCCAGGACCGGCCGGTCGTCTAGATCGACTTGAGCAGGTCGGTGATGAGGGTCGAGAGGACCGGGCCGATGATGGGGATGCCGCCGATGAGCGTGATCACGTCCTGGATGAGACCTCCGAGATCAGACAGAGCACCCTCGGCCTCGGAGCCGCCCAGGACTTGGGCGACGGTCTCGAGCTCGTCAAAGAGGTCTGGGAGGGGTTAGCGAGATACATCTTGCGGGTGAGGGGCTGGCGAAAAAGAGAAAAAACTGGCTTACCAGAGCCGGAGCCGAGCTTCTTGATCTCCTCCAGAATGTTCTTCAGGCCGGCCTCGAGGCTGAGCAGCAGGGAGTTGATCTGGGTCGCGCCACTGAAGCCGAAGAGGCCGAGTAGGCCGTCGATGACGGTGATGGTGGCGTCGGCAGCGTCGAGGTTGAGCTCCTCGATGACGTCGACAACGATGGTCAGCGTCTTGTTGAGGCCGGTGATGTCCTCGAAGATCTTGGTCAGCGAGGTGGTCGAGCCCGAAGCGAGCGACGACACATCCGAGGCTACAAGAGGTCATTGTCAGCAAAGAGTCGTGGGGGGTGCTGCTCTGTGGATTAGAAAAATCTTACAGATGGAGCTGGCCTCGCTGACGGCGCTCGTGAGGGCGCTCGTGAGCGTGCTCAGGATGTCACGCTTGACGACATCGGGCTTGGCGACGAGGCCAGTGTTCGCGACAGCCGGAGCAGCAAAGACGCTGGCAGCCATGCAGGCAACGGTAGAGAAGATGGAAAACTTCATGTTGATGGTAGGGAGTTGGGGAGGAAGTTGAAAGAGAGAGAGCTGGTCTGAAAGACGGACAAGAGTGACGGATGTGTTGAAGCTGGTGAAGATGAGGATGAGGATGCAGATGGTGAAGATGGTGAAGAAAGAAGAGATTCGGTTCCTCGAGCAGGACGAAGAGCTGCATTATATACTCGGAGAAGGGCCATGCTGCTGCTGTTGCCCTGCCTCTCGCCATCCCTCTCCTTCTGTCGCCATCGAGCGGTGGGTATGCAGCGAAACAAAGCCAGGCCAGAGACATCGGCTCATGCCTCTCGCGCCAGTGGACCCAGACGATGGATGTGCAGCGAGCCGGCGCAGGTGCTCACTACGCACACAGCGGCGGCTGGGTCGAGCTAGCCGGCTCTGGGAGCAAGGGAGAGGTCGACGGCTGGAGCTGCTTCCGTCCAAACTGCCGCTGCTCGATGTCGGCCGATCTGGCAATACAGCGTAGTGCCAACACCCAGTCGTCTGTCTCGTCTGACATGGTCGCCGAGCCGGCATGGGACGCATCATCGGATCGTAGATCCCACACAAAGGATCGCCCATTGTTCTGTTCCACTGTGCCGTGTCTCGACCCGGACGGCAGGTCTCGACAAAGCTAGACACACGACCAGAGCAGAGCAAAGCGGCCATCTTGCACGACAACGTGCAGTCAACACACGGCGCACTGCTGCCGACACTGGAATGGGAACTTGGGGCAACGAACACAATGTCTCAATCGTGCGGGCACATGCTCGTGCCACTTTCATTGCATGTCTCTGATCGTCAACTCGTCTGGAATGCTCGGCGGCTAGCTGGTCAGCCCGCCGCCTCTGGCCCCCACTCTCTCCATCGGTCCACTCTGCTGCTGTGTGCATCCTCGGGCCTGCCTCGTGTGCCGGCTGCTGCTGTGTATGGAGGCATGTGCAAGAAGCCTATCTCGGCGCCTCTGCTCGATCGGCAGTTCCTGTATACCGGCCGGCATGCTTCCCTCGCCAAATCGGTCCGTGTCGCTCATCCTAGCACTCCTAGAGCCATATGCAATGATGCGATGCTTCTCGGCTCCGTCCTGTTCGCGGAAAACAGACCAGACAGAGGCGTTAGGCTGGAAGTCGGACGTGTCTGCGTGTTGCCCGCACGCCCGTGTTGTTTACTCCCATTCCGTAGCGGCCAGCAGGAGAACAAAGGCGGGCAGGCCGCAAGGGGTGAGAGATGGCAGCATCTCAGTGATCTTCATACGCTGACCTCGGCCTTAGCGGAGTCCACCGCCGCTTGGTCTCGGAGGAAAAAGAAAAGAAAGTCTGGCCAACGTGATGCCATGCGCAGTTTTCGGCCACGATTGTCAATCCACGCGACGCCCTGCCTAGCAGCCATAACCGAGGTTGCTCGTCCTGGCCTTTGTCTGCTCATCGGTCGCTGTGCTGTCTCGTGTAGGGCTGCCGTCAGAAACTCACGGCAAAACGGCTGCCCAGTCGTGATGCTCATTGCCACTGCCAGCAAGCATGCGCCAGCTATCCTGAGCTATCCTCCTTCCGGCTGTCATGTCCGAGGAGATGATGGGCACGATCTGCCGATGAGCCGCCCTTGTCTGCTCTCCCGTGAAGTCTGAGGCGAATTGGCAGCCTGTACGAAGTAGCTGAGGGGTTTGCATTTGGATTCTGTTGGTTGTTTCTCTGCCCAGCCAACGGGTCTGCAGTGTCTCTCTCTAGTCGTCCAGCTCGCGGCCAAAATCAATCAGGCGCAGTCGGGTGGCATCGCGCGGGTGAAACTGGGCCACCTTTGACCGCACGAGAAACCGGGCAGCTGCCGACTCGCGTGGAAGCGTTACATAGGCTGCTGACCCATCGCCAGCCGCTGAGGCCAACGTGTTCAGAAGCTGTTCTGTGAGGTCCTGCATCTCCGCGCCAGCTGTGGCTGACTCGTCTCGATTGTCCTTTTCGTTTGCATCGTCGTCATCGCTGTCCTCCTTCTCTCCCCCGTCTCTGTCGTTTGCTCGTGGCCCCCAGATCTCGTCGATCCGCTGCTGTCGTTTTGCGTCGCGCGAGCCAGCTGCCGCACTCTTCGCGCTCTTTGCACCCTTTTCTCCCCCCGGCTGCCGCTGACGCCGCGGCTTTCCCTGCGCGCTGAACCCGGCCACCAGATCGTCTGCCCGCACGTCCACCATGGCGCCGACCACGGGGCCGCCCAGCTCTTCGGCCGCCAGCATCGGTCCCAGCCGCTCGTGGATGAAGCCGCGGAGGGCTCGCAGCAGCGTCGACGTCGCCGTGTCGTAGCCGTGTCGTTGTGCCTTTAGTGCCTCCAGCTTCTGCTGGCGTCTCTGCTCGGCCGTCGTTTCTGTGTTTGCTGGGCTCTGCTGCCGCGCCTCTTGGCTGCTGCGCAGCGCTGCCAACCGCCCCTCCAGCGCCCGGTTCAGCGCCTTCTGGTCGTCCAGCCGCGTCTGCTCGGCCGCCAGCTGTCGTCGCGCTGCCGCCAGCTGCGGCTCCTCCTGTGCCGTCACGTGCGCCCACGACTCGGCCGCCACCTCGTGCGTCTTGCGCAGCGCCAGCAGCGCCGGCAGCACCGAGTCGACATACGGCAGAAACGGCTCCGACACCGTCGCCCGGTCGTAGCCGGCCTTCATGACGGCCAGCGACGTCGCCGCCGACCGTGGCAGAGGAACGGCTCGGCTGCGGAGCTGCATGCACATCTGTCAGCCTCTCTGCCAAGACGATGAACAAACATAAAACATACACCCACCTCGGCTAGAGCATCCTCGCTGTCGGCAACCATGCGCTGGAGCTCACGCATAGACCGCTCCACGTGAGAGCGGTGCAGCTGCTCATCTGCCGTGAGCATCGCCTCGTGCTCCATCTTCGACAGCGGATGACGGCAGCCCCTTTCTCCAGTCAACACGCCAGGGGCTGTCAGAATTCCAGAGCCACTAATCTTTGGCTCAATGGTGTCCGTGCTCGAATGATTCTCCTGCTCGCACCTCGGGTCTGTATGCTCTGTGCCTGTCTGCTCGTTCGTTTGTCACGGACGCGGAAATACGTCAGGAGTTGATGACGCAGGCCGTCACACTGGGCAATTTCAACCTCTCTCTGCACACTGGTGGTACCAATATATTGAGTGTCGTGTCCCGTCCCACTCGCATTGTGCGATGCTCGTCAAACACGGCTAGGTGGCATCCCGTGATGAAGTCGATTCGAACGCGTAAAGAATAGCTGAGTACAAGAGCCTGAAGTGGGTCCTGCTAGGCCTGCGCTGCTGGCTTTTGCTCTGGCCCTAACGCGTTCCCCAGTGGTCGCCCGTACACCGTGCATCTTCCCATTCTGCTGCCCGGCTTTCGTACGGTGCAAATTATGGGTCATGCCCCCATCATTTGCGCAATCTCATTGGTCAAATCCCCACCGCCTGCAGCCGCCCATGCTGAAAATTACTATTAAGAGAGGACAGACAGGCAAGTCCTCACACAGTTTCATCAAAACCCGCCCTTTCCTCTCAACCTCCTCCGCTCTTTGCCTCCAAAACACCGTTCGAGACATTTGGTGCCGTTGCTTCTCACATATCCTCCCTTCTCCAGGAACCGGTTTTGCTCCCTTGCCTAACCTGCCTCTTAAACCGTCGTTTTGATCAGCGGATTCATCCCCAATCTCTCCCTCAACACTTGCTCGCCTTTTCCCTTCCTCATTCTCTCCCTGCCTCGTCGTTTCATCATCTCCATCCGTTCTGGAACTCTCGACGTCGCTCGCTCTATCATTCTTTCTCTCCTGGCCATTGCCCTCTAATTTCCAGCCGTCTCCCGCTCTCCGTCCTCCGTCCACCGCTTGCCGGGCAGTTGAAGTAGGTCTCCCGCCAAATTAAATTCGCATCAGCCGCAAGATCACGGCTTGTTTGCGCAGGAATCTCCAAGACAAGAAACGCGCTCTGGTTGCCGTTTGCTTTGGGTCGCTGGCCGTGTGACAAACAGCCGAGGAAATAGACAAGAGGTTTGAGAAAACGGGGCTTCCCTCTTGATTCTCCTGCTGCCTTCTCTTCTACCATCGTCACCCATCCTCGCCTCTTCCTTCTTATACTCTCAGTTTATCTCGTCCTCTTCCTCCCCAGAGCTCAGAGCATTTCTCCCGAATTCCGCCACTTTCGCTCCTCCATCCCGCCCACATCTTCCTTTTCTCAAGAGAGCTGTCTTTGGTCACTTCACCCGACCTCCTTTGCCATCACGCGAAGACAGCTTAGTCGCCCACTTCAACGAGCCATTACCATCATTCTTCCTCGCGACCCTCCGATCAGCTTTCTACTCCGTGCCCAGCTTCTTGCCCAACTTCTACCCAGCCACGCAGACTTCCCAATCCGACCCCGATCCGCCACTACACCTACCCGTTTTCTTTGCGAAAACCCTGAGAGGTGTAGATAGGCACGAAATATCTATTCAATTTAATCACGGCTTTTCTGAAAGAAAGAAACAAAAATCGGGAAAGAGACACAATCTCTTTCTCTTTGCTATAAAGCAAGAACACGTGACAAGACAGCAAGTACGCATTCGCCCGAAGCAAGCACAACCTGACATCATGTCTGCCTCTCCCCAGCACACCTCGACCAAGCGTCCTCTCGAGGACGTCTCGTCGCCCTCTAGAACCGGCGATCAGCCCGACGCAAAGCGACCTGCTCTCGACAAGGTCGTGCGGAACGACGGCGAGATACGCAAGGAGACCAATGGCCTTCCTGCTATCCCGCCCATCCCCATCGCCGACTCGAACGGCACCAACGGCACCAACGGTGCCAAGAAGGACACCAAGGACGGCGAGGATGAGCCTACGGCCGAAAGCACCGAAAGCAAGGCCATTGCCAGCACAGCCAGCAGCAACACAGCTCCGTCGCAGACTGCTCCCGCAAACGCCCACGACGAGACATCCTGGATCCACATTCGCGCCGTCATTTCCAGCCCCGAGGCTGCCACCATCATCGGCAAGGGTGGTGAGAACGTCTCCAAGATCCGCCAGATGTCCAACGCAAAGTGCACCGTCAGCGACTACCAGAAGGGCGCTGTCGAGCGCATCCTGACGGTCAGCGGCGTGGTGGATGCTGTTGCAAAGGTAAGACAGCCCTGCGCCGTCTCTATCAGCTTGTCTCCCTGCTAACATCGGCAGGCATTCGGCCTCATCATCCGCACATTGAACAACGAGCCGCTGGGCGAGCCGTCGAATGCGCACTCAAAAACCTACCCTCTTCGCCTGTTGATTCCTCACATCCTGATCGGCTCCATCATCGGAAAGGGCGGCTCCCGGATTAAGGAGATCCAGGAGGCATCTGGTGCGCGCCTGAACGCGTCGGACTCCTGCCTTCCCATGTCTTCCGAGCGGTCGCTCGTCGTTATGGGCGTCGCAGATGCCGTTCACATTGCTACTTACTATGTGGGCAGCACTCTGCTGGAGCAGCTGAACGAGCGCTTCGGTGGCCCGGCCGCCTCAGCCTATGCTGCCCGTGGCGGCGGCCCTGTTGGCGTCGTCCCCGGTGGCATGCAGGTCGTCCCCTACCTCCCCCAGCCTGCTGGTGGAAGCTACGGCAGAACCGAGAACTACAGCCGTCGCCAGGATCCCCGTGCTCAGCTGCCGCCCCAAGGATACGGTGCTCCATACGGTGCTCCCATTGCCCACGGTCCGGGTCCTGCAGTCCCCATGTACGGCGCCCAGGCAGCTGGAGCCTACGGAGCGCCGCAGCTGCCGCACCAGAATGCCGCTCATCACGGTGCTATGCCTCACGGTCCCCATGCTGGTCAGCCGCCACACGCTGGCCCAGGTGGCCACCCTGCCATGGCTGGTGCGCCCTTGACACAGCAAATCTACATCCCGAACGATATGGTCGGAGCTATCATTGGCAAGGGTGGCCAGAAGATCAACGAGATCCGGCAGGTTTCGGGCAGTGTTATCAAGATCAACGAGCCGCAGGACAACAGCAATGAGCGTCTTGTGACCATCACAGGCACTGAGGAGTGCAACCGCATGGCGCTGTACATGCTCTACTCTCGTCTTGGTAAGCCGGACACCCCCATTCCACAGTCTCACGGCGTTGCTAATCATTCTATCGTACCAGAGAGCGAAAAGCACCGGACGTGAGCGTCTTGACAAGCTGCATTTGCTTCCACCCGCCGCTATTGGACGTGCGCACGACGACTTTTACTCAGATGATCTCCTGTCACCTCGCGGACAAATCATTACCTTTTATGTGACTCATAGCCACAATTATGTTGTTCCAATAACTGCTGTTTCGAATTCTTGAACAAAAAAAAATATCGAGAGGAGTTGATTTGTTTTCTGTGCTTGTTTGTCTTCCAGTGTTTCACTTGCCGTGTTGTAAGACTTGGAGTTTTGAGGAGGACGGTCCGTTTGGGTGTTTGCCGAGTACTTGATAAATTTGACAGCTAGACTGAATTACCGGATAAAGAACGGAAATCAGTCCAATCCAAGTCCTTTGACCAACGCCTTCCTCTTACCACCTTGCTCCATTATCTAGCCACAGGTGAATTGTCGTACAAGTTTCAGCTTTCCCATCATGAACGGCGCGTACCGTGTTATATATTTAGTTTGACCCATCTCTTCACGTTGATATACTTCGGTCCTTGTATATCGCAGGCAAGTGTAATATGTAATGTCAAATTGATTGTCAGAAAAATCACCCTATAATAATCGAGCTCTTGTTTGAAGATATTCAAGTAAGCTAAGGCAGCCCCACTACAGCTATTTCCCTGCCAACCGGTCTTCTGTCGACCGCTCCTTCCTCACTTTCGACAGCAAACCTGTCGCTTCCCATCCTCCATTCCAGCTGTCAGAAAGGAGTGTCAGAATTGGCCTAGCCGGATTATATAATTATATTAGCTGCAGCCCGACATCTGACAAGCGACAAGCGACAATCGAGTTGCGATGCACCTGGGGCGAGCACTGCTGGGGCTACCGGCCTCTCTGGTGCTGTCGCTGGCCGTCCTCGCGCAGGCGGACGAGCAGCGGCAGCAGCCGCGGCAGCAGCACAAGCCGGTTGCTGTGCGCAAGATGATGGATGAGGGCGAAAAGTTCTTCCCGGAGCAGTACTTTGCCTTTGAGGAGGCCGACGACCACAGCAGCAGCAGCAGCAGCAGCAGCAAATCGCTGGGACAGTTGGGGTCCTTTTCCGAGCGGCGGTATCGTCCGCCCGTGCAGCTTCGCCCGCCGACCAACGGGTCGTCGCCAATGCCGCCGCCATTTCTGGTCCCCTTTGCCGTGCACGAAGAGGACTACGACTACGAGACCGAGCTCGAGCTGGAGCCTGCGCACGCCGACTCTGCCCTCTCGCCCCGCGCCGCCCTCGCTCGCCTGCAAGGTCGCGACTGGAGCTGTCCGACCGGCACGGCCAGCTGCTCGGCCATCGGCTACCCCTACAGCTGCTGTGCCTCGGGCGAGACGTGCTACGAGATCGAAAACGTCGGACTCGGGCCCGTTGGCTGCTGTCCGACCGGTGAGTCCTGCTCTGGCTCGGTCACCACCTGTGGCGCCGGCACCACAGCCTGCTCCGAGGCCGACGGCGGCGGCTGCTGCATCGCCGGCTTCGTCTGTGCCGGCATCGGCTGTGTGGTCACAGCAGCCACCATCACGACCACGTCCACCGTCGCGGCCACGCCCTCTGTCGTCATCGTCACCGTCGTCGTCACCCAGACCGCCAGCGCCGGCGGCATCACCACGCTTACGTCATCGCTCACGTCCACCGTCACGCCCACCTCTACGACTGTTGTCATCACGACCACGGCCACGGGAGGCGTCGCTCCCGTCAAGCCTACCTCCATGCCTGACTCCTCTACCTCCACCTCTACTTCCACCACGACTACGACCACCTCTCCCGACTCTACTGCCTCCTACTGCCCTGTCGGCTACTACGCCTGTCTCGCCCTTGCTGGCGGTGGCTGCTGTCAGACCGGCCGCGATTGTCACACCACCAGCTGTCCGCCTGCTTCGTCCTCCTCCACCGTCATCAACGTCAACGGCATCACCATCGCCGTGCCTGCTGACTCGACCGCTGCTGCGGCTGCTGCTGCTGCCACGTCCGCCGCCACCTGCGCTACCGGCTGGTTCCTCTGTTCCTCCGACTCGACCCCGGCTGCCGGCGCTGCTGCTGGCTGCTGTCCGTCTGGCTACGCCTGCGGCACTGCCAGCTGCACCCTGGCCGTCGCCTCGTCCACCGTCACCGCTACCGTGCAGAAAGAGCTTCCCAGCACAGCCAGCGCCGCCAGCTCACGGCCAGCAGCCTCGGAGCTGTTGTGGCTGGCCGCCGTCGTTGCTGTTCTCGCCGGCTCGCATCTCTCCTAGCATATCCATTTGTTTTCTCGCCCACGACATGTATGAATAACACGATTGGCGCATCAGCGTTTGCCTTGCATTTCCCGCACTATAGACAGAAGTTTGCATGCAAAATTACACATGTATTAGTCATCATTTGGAGAAGGAGACGTTTCACGTCTCTGCTCGGGTTTATTCCTGATCTTATTGTAGAAAGTACAGCCGGTTATTTTCCCGCTTAAGACGCTTACTCCGGCATGTGCTCAAACGGCTTCTCGAGGTGCTCCTGGCAAAAAGGCAGCTTGCCGACCGTCCAGATCTCGGTGTCCTGCGTTGCCTGTTAGTTCCGAGCACAACGGCTTACAAACTAGGGCGGTGTGCAACGTACCGGCTTCAGGGCCTTCTTGATGTCCGAGTCCAGAGTGCCGCCCTTGATCGCAATGATGGCCGGGGCTGCGTCAGGGTCGTGGGCGATGGGCGAACCGCACTCGGAGCAGAAGATGCGGTGGACCGCCTTGCCAGACGTTCCCAGGCCGGCCCAGCTCTTGGTCGGGCCCTTGAGCGTGAGCTTGTCCTTCAGCACGACGGCGACAAGCGCTGCGAGGAGCAGTCAGCAATGTGGAGAACCAGAGCACACCCGTGCCCAGCTCTGGACTAGTCCTTACAGTAGGTCGAGCCGGTCTGGCGCTGACAGTCGTCACAGTGGTCGTAGCCGACGAGGAGCGGCTTGTCCATGTCAATGGAGTAGGTGACGGCCTTGCAGAGGCAATGTCCGGTGAGAACCATGATGGCGGCTTGGATGGAGAAGTGAATAGGATGTGAGAAATGAGAAGCTGAATGGATCTGAGCTGCTTTTGGCTTCAAACTTGGTCTGCTACGTCGTTGCTTATGCACTGACGGGAATGCCAGGACAGAGAGAAGAACTCGGAATTATATAGCTATTTTCCCCTCTTATCTGACCACCAACTCTCAGACCTGACTTCGGCAACAGAGCTTTGCTGCTGTGCTGCATTGGGACCAGAGAGACGTCATACTGCCCCGCCTCTCCTTCCTGCGTCTGTCCAACAGGCGCCCCTTCCTTGAATAGCTCCTAAATTATCTGTCATTTCGACATGCCGACCTTTCCGTCCTCAGAATCTATCGACCTACGACTGACATCCAAAGATTATCGTGCCCTTGTGTCTCTCATCGAAACACTCTTGCATCTGCACGCGCAACCTCAGTCAGCCCCTATGCTGTATCTTTAAGGTGGGGTTGCAGCGGCGAGGCTGCACTAGACCTATCGGAGCTGTTGGTATTTGGAATTTGACGAAGCACTGCTATGTATTCGCACTGCTGTCTCGTCTAATCAGACTTTGAGGACAGCCAAACAACCGTACTCTTTCAAGATAAACACGACTCGAATTTGCGTCTATCGGAAAAAAATATCAGTACTGTATTATCGGCCCATCACTTCAACTGCTTCCGGGTCGGTTGTATATACCGTGAGACTTGTGTACCCACAGTGCGAGGTATACACCCTGCAGCACCTGTATCTCATTTGGAATTGCGCACGGCTGAGAACGTCTGTCTCTGTTGGCCGCCCCACCGCACCTCCGAATGGGCAGGCGTCGACTCTCTGCTTACAAGTGCATTACCTTACAGCGTCCCGGCTATTCCAAATAACCGGTGTGACCCTCGAGCGGATAAGCAGCATGGAATCATTTGTCTTAGTCAACTCCACAGAAGCTGCAGATTCGGATGTTCAGCCGGCTGCCTAAACTCAACCATGACTGCAAGCTGACAGGACCACTTCTACTGCTGCCCACGCCACCAGGAGCCGCACCAGGAGGCACTGGGCCTGGAAGACGCGGTAGGAACCGAGCGCTGTCCTGTCTGCCAGAAATACGGCCAGAACTGTGGCCCTGTAACTTCTGCGCAAGTCTCGACCGGCCTCGTCTTTGAGGGCGAGCACGAAGCCGTCCATGGCAGAGAGCCGGAAGCCCCGGAGATCGCCCGTGGAAACATACGAAGAAGCTGCACCCGGCAACTTTGCGGGGGGGGCGAGACGCTCCGGTCGTCGTCGCAGCCTCTGGATGGCCTTGAAGAAGAGAAAGTCGATGACTCCCGTCACCTGCAGTGGCGGTCGTGGCGTCTTGGCCAGCACCAGCTTCGCCAGCAGCTCCGGCCGCGACACGTCAATCGTGCAGCTCTCGCGCAGCTCGCAGAAGAGCGCCTCGACGTCGTGAGCATAGCACACGAACCGTCTGTAGAAAACCGGCGTCAAAACCCGGATCTCCACCTCGTCCACGTCTTTGTCTTGCTGGCCAGCAGCTGTGCCAGAGAGTATTCGTTCTGATGCCACCCCCGGGATCCCACACGGAATGTACGTCACAGCTAGTCGCCGCGACGGCGCTGCCGCCGTCGTTGCTTGCTTCTCGACCACGTGTTGCAGGTAGCGTCGAAAGGCCGTCTCGAGCCGGAGCTCTATCCAGTCTGCTGTGCGAGGTTTTTTCTTCTGCGCCAGATTTACCTCCTTTTGGTCAACAAATAATCCGAGCCACCACGTTGTGGCCACGAGGCGTAGTGCCTGCCACGCCGTCATCTCCGTGGGATCGACGACAGCTTCGGCACAGAACCTCACCACCAGCTTCTCATGTCCGTGCAACGACTGGAGAACGAGGACCGTGTTGATCGGAACAGGCCCCTGAGCGTTGGTAGCTAGCGGATCTGTTGTTGTTATCGAATGCAACCCCGTGCGAGTCTGGTAAGCTCGGGTCTGGGGAGGTGCAGCTCCATAGTCACTGTCGTCCCTATGCGCAGCCTTTGCCAGCTCTTTGGGCCGAGGCCCTGGACGGAAGAAGTATATGTGCCTCTCGCCAATCGTGCTGTCCACTTCTACAACAACAGCTGCGAGTGCCTCGGTTTTGTCGTAGAGATACCAGAACGAGAATGGGTTACAATGACCGCCCAGAAAACGAGCTGCCGTTACTACGTACGCATATGGATAGCTGCATGGATCAATTTCCTATCGGCATGAGCAATGAAATTGTGATGGGCAGCGGGGAAAGGCAAACGCACCTGAGACTGCAGGTATGTGTCTAGTTTCTCCCGTAAACTTGCATGGCCAGTGTCACGTCCAAGATGGCTTTTGGGAGCGATGAGGAACCAAGATGTCTTCTGTCACAATGACGTCTGTGGACCAGCTGGTACCAGCCTGCTCACAGCGCCTTCCCAGGAGACAGGCTGCCCGACAGCAAGGAATGGACGTGTAGACGGGTGTATCATCCTACAGGGATAGAGAAGCACATGGCCAGGATCATCGCAGCTCATCCAGGTCGCTTTCCCCCACAATAACACACCAACGAAAGCAGTGGCAGCAGTGAATGTCCACAGAACTATGGCTTGGGCCGTTTGATATGCGCCATCGCCTTTTAGCCAGAAACCTCCTTTCAGTAGCAGACAGTCAATATAATTTCCAAAGACATTGTAATACAGCAACCCTGTCCCCATGAAGGCCAGCATATCGAGCCACGACAGAAGACCCAAGAGCCGCCACGCCATTGGGAGATCGGAGGCAAAAACACGAAATAGATCAGAGGTGCACGTGTGGTGGTTTTCACATTCGGATGATCCAGCTTGGAGAGCTTCGTTGGGCAGTTACTGCAACGGTCCGGGGATGCACCCCCCATTTGTAAGCCTACACGTGACCGTACCCCCAGGGAGGGGTCGCGCCACATTCTAACGTCCTAGCCGCCGGATTGAGTCAGTCGGCGTCCGCGTTCGAGGCAAGAGCGGCCCTCTTCATACCCACAAAAACTAATCCCAATCTTCTATCAGCTTCCACGGCGTCCTTTTTCACCGGATTCCCTCCTCCGTTCAGCCTCTCTTCCATCCCCGCCCTTTTCTCCTCAATCAACACCACATAAGACCGCGCAAACAAGCAGGCGAACGTCAAGAACGACTCTGGTATTTTTGCGCCATCTGCAATTATCATCGACAACCCCAATTCCCGATTCACGCCCTTCACCTCCAACCCTACCGCCCATCATGTCTGGCCTCGACTGGGACCACGTCACCAAGATTGGCAGCAAGAACCGCGGTGGTGCTGCCCAGCGCGAAACCGTCGTCAAGGGCCGCAGCGCTCTCAACGCCGCTCAGCGCAGCGGCAACGTCGTCGCCACCGAGAAGAAGTACGCCGCCGGCAACGGCGCGTCCAAGCCGGCGGTTGAGGGCCAGCACCTGACCAAGGTCGATCGGTCCGACGACATCGTCAAGGTCAAGGTCCTCGGCAAGGACGTCGGCGCTATTATTGCCGACCGGCGCGGCAAGATGGAGCCCAAGCTGTCACAGAAGGACCTCGCGGACCGCTGCAACACCAAGCAGGCCATCATCGCCGCCATGGAGCGCGGCGAGGGCCAGCCCGACCAGAAGGTGCTCGGCGCCATCGAGCGCGTGCTCAACGTCAAGCTACGGGGCAGTGACATTGGCAAGCCCAAGTTCGAGAAGAAGAAATAGGTGGCGGATGCCCAATTTCGAAACTCGTGAGAATAAAGACCAAAAAATTGAATAAAAATTGACCCCTCAAAAAACGACGGTGATTTCGATCCCCATCAGTCGGACGACATTGTCCGCCGCCACCCTCTCTCAACGATTTTCGATCGCGAACTATCCTCAGCCCGGGTATCACGACGTCTCCGTCCACATTCTTCAAAACTTCATCTCCGCTTTTTTCTCGTCTGCAAAGCGAGCTCCGGTTATGCCACGCGTGGCAAGTCACAACTCTGAGAGAAGGACTTGCATGACCGGCCTCGTACTTTTCTTGCCTCTCGTCCTCTACTCACGAGGCGCTCATGATGCATATTTTGGGATCATACGGACGTGCTGGTTATCACTTGCTCATATATATTGTTTTGCGCTCAACTCTGGGGATGTGACAAGACACATCGATCAGGCCTGGGCCTCGTCTCGGCGGCAGATTAGCATAGCGTTCAAACCACTCACGGCTGGCTCGAAAGATCACTGGCATATACTGCTACGAGTGTCCTGCATAGATAATAGATGCTATTTTGGTATTATCGTTTTATTTTTCTCGTTTAGTATAGTATGAGCAATACTGTTATGAATCGCGGCGACAAGTATCCCAGAGCAAAAGGCTTCCTATTAATCCGCAATGCCATTTAAAACCAAGGACCTTAGGTGGTATAAAAAATGCAGTACCGCAGGTGATGCTTCCGCGCTTCCAAATGCCGGTCTCCCCCCTACTATATTGATCCTGTCTCCCGTCACTGGCACAAGCTTTGAACACGGCTCTGCATGGCCGCCTTGCTTGGCACGAAGTCTGTCAACATGATGACGATCTCCCGACCGCCCATGCTGACGATTTGAATCCACTGAGGCGCGATCTCCTTGGCCAAGAGCCGAACGCATGCTGCACCCTCCTCGCGCGAGATAGGTAGCCGGAGCGAGTCCTTGAGCTTGGTAAGGATGGCAACCATGCTAAACGAAACCCGGTTCTGCTGGCGGGACGACGTGCAGAGCATTGACAGCACCTCGGCAATATCGCATGCCCGATGTAAGGCAGCGCGCCGCTCCAGCTCTTCTGGCGTCGGCGGTGCAGCACCGGACGTCTGCTGTTGCGTCCGCTGCATCTGGCGGTACCGGATGCGGTCAAGCAGACCCATCGGAGTCCCATCTGCGTTGACGGCCACAGACGGCGCCTGTGCCGACTGCTGCTGAGTGGCCTGTGGTTGTGCCTGCACTACCACGGGTGCCTTCAACAGGGCCTCCCTTGCCTCCTTTTCCTCTTTTCTCAGAGCTATGCCATGCATCAGCTCTTCCAAGGTTCGCTGTCCCTTGGCTCTCAAGGCCGAGGTCTGCAAGAGCGAAGTGCACTTCTTGACTGGCGCCTTGGGAAGGTTCTGGATGAACGCCTTTATGGCAGCGGGGTCACGGCCAGCAACCTCGGACCAAAGGGCCCGCAAATTGGTCTCAAACATCTGGTTGAGCTGATTGCTGAGTGTGCCGGTAGATGCTGCATTGGGCTGCAATTCGATACATATTTTCCCACGGCCGTAGTCCGACAGGAAGAGTGCGCTCGTGTCCTTCTTGGTTGTTGCCACGCCAATGCAGCGCTGGATATCCTCCCGTGTGACCCGCCGCTTGCCCCAGGCCTGCGCTATACTCGGGCAGAGAACACGTAGATCGACAGGCGCGTTGGTGCCATGGTGGGCGTGGTGTAGGGCGAGTGCCTTCGCGAAGGAAGTTTGAAGCTGGAGGAGCTCAGCAAGGTCGCAAGGAAGGACGGCGGCCTCAGGACAGCTATCTGGTTCAGTCTCCGACTCGCAGGGGGTTGTTGGAGCAGTGCTGGCTGGCCGCGGAGAGGAAGATGTCGAGCGTGGTAGGACTGACGGCGAAGGTGAAAGGGATGCCTGGAGATTCAGGCGTGAGAGAAGATGGCTGGCATTCTTGTCACTGCCATCGTCCGATGAGGAGGAAGCATCAGATGTCCTTCTTTTCTGTTGTGAGAGAAGAGCTGCAATCGAAGGGGCTTTGGTGTTTCTAGGGTGACGGGCACGCTTTGAAGAAATTTCCGACTTTTGCGAAGCATCGTTATCTTGCTCGCTTTCCGAGGCTCGTCGCTTGCGTGATTTCGGAGTGGCCGCAGGCGAGACCGCTGCTGGCTGTTTGGAGGAAGGAAGGGCTGGAAGCTCGATTCTGATTTGTGCCTTCTGTGCCTTCTGTCCGGCCAGGAACCGCTCGGCAACGACCTCGTTTGCACCTGCCTGCTTTTTTGTAGAGGAAGGCGTGACTCGCTTTGAGACGCGGCCAAAGGTGTCAATGCTCCGGACAGGAGCGGGAGTCGTGACCGAGTTGGACGGCCGCGCTGCTGCTGTCCGAGTCGACCGGGAAGAGCGAGCCATCTTGGTAGCAGTTTCCTCAAGATGCTGAAAACGAGGGAAAAGAGGATCTACAATAAGAAGGATTGACTGTTGGGTTGACCGTTAAAAACTATAAGCGACTGAAATTGGAAGTAGCCAGTGTGAACGCAAATCAAAAATGAAAGAAAATCTCAAACTCCATATGTAAAAGGGGAGAAATAAGGAAGGAAGAACCGTGCTTCCTGATGCTGAACTGTGGACTATTTCTACTTGTGGCTTTGAGGCCCCACAAGTCGCGTCTTGACGCGTCTCACAACGCGTTTACTAAGAATTATTCTTGTAGGATGCGTGAACGCGCTAATACCACGGCCGATTCTTAAGACCCGGCGCGATCGAGAAATATGGCGTACGACGTAGGTACTCCGTACTCTAGTATTAGGTCTGCATACATAGCTCTTTGAATGCATGCTATCATACTTTGAAGATACCCGTTTTATTAACAGATGCTCCGTCTTCTATTCTTAGCACCAGCAGCGCGCAAAACGAAATCGAAGAAAGACAGGTATTGCAAATGGTTACTACACTCCACCTAAACTACTCCCTAATCACAGAACAGCGCACCACTATAGGTGGTGTTGGACAAATTTTCAGGTTATTCTTGCTCTCGCAGACTGCCAAAAACCGAAAGCAGGAAACCAGACTATGCTCTGGAGATCCTGCCGTGCAAGAGGGCCTGCGATTAGGCCATTAGGAGCAAGAATTCTAAAGCTTGACGTATGAGTTGAATCGAGCCGTTCATCGTCTAGTCGGGCCCTTGAATTTATTACGGGGCAGACACCAGGAAAGAGCTGGCCGATGACTCCATCGCCGTAAGTCCCGAGGTGTGTGATGGGGATCGGGTTGAACGATACGTTCAAAAACCACCTCTGGGTATCAGGTGCGGAAGTTGAATCGTCCATTGGCAAATCCTTAAGGGCGTTGGTTCACCGGCCAGTTGAGATATGCGGCGGAACATGGGCCACGGCCGATAGAGCTGGCGCGACCGCCATAGGTAACCTGTTAAGTATCATATTGGACCGCGAGACTTTTACTAACAGAAACATTGCAGGTCCCTCTACGGAGTACAAATATTCTGGTGCTTTTTGCTAACAGCAACAGGCTGCGCTTCTGTGTCATATATGATAGAAGCTTCAGTATTCCCGCGGTATACACGATACGGTAAGCAGCCGCCTTCCTTCACGTTGAAACCGCGATCCTTTCGAAAAGGAATGACAACAGTAAACAATTCAGATGTATAAGCGAATAACCTAGTAAAAACAAACTTTTCAATACCTCCTCTTTTGACCCTCCGTAGTAGCCCATTGCGAAGCCCCTTTCAAAGAAGCGCACAAAAAAGAAATAGCTCAAATGAGAGAAAACTGCTTCCAGGATGATTCTCCATATGATCATCAGCCACCCCTTGGCAACGGTTTTACCGTACCGTAGGTTGTGACAAGCACGGCTCAATAAAGTCAACGTGTCACGACAAGTACCAGCGCTAAAGCAAGCCCAAGCAAAGAAAACAAAAAGGTACCCCGTAGAGAATCACCCGATGTTGCTGCCAACTCATAGTGGCTCTAGCATGGGGTCCTCCACTTTAATGGCACACGGGCGACACGCCGTTATTTTTTGCGACCGACATCGCAGTAGGCCAATTCTCGCTGCGGAAGCTGACGGGACTCGGTGGAGGAGGCGCCGGCACGGTGTAGTCGTCCTCGGGAATGGTGTAGTAGGGCATATCGACACTGAGGCGGGTGCTATTGCCGTTGTACTTCGGAACGGATGGTGTGGCCAGCGTTGCATTTAGGCTGGCAACAAGGTCTGCAGATGTGAGAAGCTGCAGACCCTTGCGCTGCGAAGCAGCAACGGGAACGGGAGCGTAAATCTGGCTCGGCATGCCGGACTGTAGAGTGTGCAGTCGATGTGTTTGTTCTCTGGGTAATGTATAAGCAGCGTAGGTGGCAAAGTGAAAGTACCGCAAAACGTACTTAGTTGTTGCCGTTGGAAATATAGTGGTTTGTTCGCGGTAGGCAGATGAGAACGGAAGATAGTATGGGCAGTAATTTTTGGTATAATGCGTAAGAGAGATGCCGAAGTGTCGACGATCTAGACTGTCTAGACAGGTGGTTGGGTTGCAGGTCGGGGGAGTTGGGAGCAATTGTGAGAGAAAAGCGAGTGAACGTTTTGTATGTGGTCTATGATGAAGTGTCCCTAGTCTGAGATTGGAGTGAACCAAGGGGTGGGAGAAGGAGGGGAAAAAGAAATGAAACAGGAAAGAAGCAAAGCAAGGGGAAAGAAGAGAGAGAGGGGGAAATGGGGTGGTAGGACGAGGTGAGAAACGAAAAGCAGGTTCTGTACAAATCGCGGTGCGTTCTGCTCGTTATCTTACGAAATACGTTGGTGATATTGCGCTTGTTGGGAGCCCGAATAACAGAAAGAGGACGGAGTTTGCCGAGTGGATGGATGGGTGCATATAAGGGGGAAGATGGGGAATCGGGGAGATGGAGAGAGTGCGGGAGAATATAAGAGAAAGAGATCCAGGCAAGACGAGACAGGCCTATGTTTAGTCGTAAAACCGAAAAGGCCAGTCCGGCTTCTCATCGTGGGCCGAGGCGAGTAGAAAGAGGCAGCGAGAAGCGAAGCCACTCACGTCCCCCAGCTTCCGCAGTCCCCGGGCATTTGCTTTCTTCCCTGAGAGAAAAAAATAGGTTACCCATAAAATCCCACAATATATTTCCTGGGGTACATTCTCGACTTGGCCAGATACGCCCAGGGGTGCAGGGGTTTTTTTTTGCTTTTCTTATTTATTTATGGGGGGGAGATACGAGAAACGAGGTCTGACTGATGACTGTTGTCGGTCTCTGTTGTGACGAGTACGAATAAGAGGGAAGCCGGAGCGTTGCTGGGAGCAAACAGCAGACCGAAAAGGGGTGTGGGGGCCACCTCATTCGCCCATCGTTGCTGTACATAGTACTCCGTACGGACGAGCGTTTTCTCCTTCTCCTTCTGCGGCTGTCGTGGCGCTGACTTGTGCAGATATGCCATGTTGACATGGCTGCAGTCCTTCTTCGCTGTATGTAGCAACACCGCCTTCCGTCTGGCCACAGGGAGACGTGCGTTGGACACTGCCAATTGGTGCAGTGGTGATATCGCGCTGGCGGCAGCGCTTTCGAGAACATGCCACGATCCCCTGTCTGCTACGTTTCTGCAGAAAAGGGCGGCTGGCCCGTTTTCCCTGGCAGCCTAAGCGGGGAAGACGGTTCATATGAGGGCCGCTTTTTCGGGTCGACATTCGTGCAAAGGCGTAAGAAAAAACGTAAGACCGCGACTGTTCGCGTTTCTTGTCCGGCTCGCTCTTCTCGGTGGCTTCCCTTTTCCCTGCCTTCTTCCCCCAGAGGCACGGCTCGCCGGCCACAGCATTATAATCCCACGCCCCCAACAGGCTTGAGCTTCCCAGTTGGGAGCTGCTGGAATGTGGGCTCGGCTGTGGGTGGAGTGGATTGTGTGGGGTACATAGTAGCGATTGGGGCCGCAAGCAATCGACGGTTTTCCCGTGGGGAAACCTGGTTGGGGAAAGCTGATCGACCCCAAGGCGAAGAGCCAATATTTACCAGTAACACTGCTCTTGGACGAGATACATATGACTCACGATTAAACCGCTCCAGAACGCCCAAAAGAGGGCACGGTGGGACGCAGGATTGCGGTAGGGTCGGAGGGAGGGGTTTGTGTGTCGAGTGCAACAGAAGCTCGTAATCAGGCCAGTCGTGGCTGTTGAAGTACTGGTCAGATTCGAGGAGCCTGCGCGAAGAGCTGATGCGGTGCACTCGCACTATCACGTCTCAGTTCCCTATCTCTGTCCTCAGGTAAATCAGCCCCCCTTTCCCACCCCGGCGTTACGGACGCTTGGAAAAGGCGGGTGGGAAACCTCTGTCTCTTCTGTCTGTCCAAGTTTCTGCACCTGCCTCTGTGCCCTGCTGAGTTATATTTGGATGCTCGACTGAAACCCAGGACGACGATCTCCAAGGACTACGGAGTATTATTTTATATCTGCCAGACGTGTGAGCATAACGTTTATTCGGTGTGCAGCAGCTACTTGCAGGCCCATGCTTTCTGTAAGGGCAAAATTGCGGTGTGGCCCGTCTGGTGTATCACACGCATCGGTGCAACCTATTTGTCTTAGTGACTGCATAGTCCGACGAGCAAGATGAACCCGCGGATATGTCTCCCGCCAGGCTGCTCGTAGGATACAAGTTGTGTTCACCGCTCACTGCTCATGTTCACTATTTCTCCGTGTCCAGCCCGTACGCCTTGACGGCTGTGCCCGCCCAGATCATTGCCTCGTCGTCCTCGCCTAGCGTGGCCATGTAGCACATCTGTGCCACAATACGCCGCCATTTGTCCCAGGCGCCTGCTTCGGCTTTGCTGATCTTCTTGTCGGGTGTAGTAGCAGTGGCAGCAGCATCTTCAGCATCACTCGAAGCGGTCCCCTCCACAGCCAGCAGGCTAGCATAGCGTGCCGTGCAGACGGGCCAGTCGCTGCCAAACATGAGCCGGGACGGTCCTAGGGCTGCTAGCAGGACGGCAAACCAGGGAAAGGTGGCGACGAAGAACGCGTTGGATGGCTGGTTGCGCAGCGCGTCAGGCATCTCGGAGAAGAGGCCGGACATCTTGACAAACACATGACTCGGGCTGGCCTTGCCGAGCGCAAACATGGCGTTGCGCCAGGCAGCAAAGCCGCGGTCAGCCGCCGGGTTGAGCACCGTCAGGTCCGGCTTGGCCAGGTGGTTGACCACCAACACCACTCTCTCGGCCTCGGGCACGTCGTCGCCGTGCAGCCGGTCCAGCAGCGCCTCGGTCTCCTCCATCTGCGTGCGGCCGCGGCGGTGCTGATCGATGCCCAGCTCAAACACGAAGCCCCGTCGTCCCAGCAGCCGCAGTCCGGCCACAAAATCGTCTGCCAGCATCGTGCCGTGCGGCTTGTCCTGCACGACGTAGCGGAATCCGCGCACCCGCGGCCACGCCACCGGTCCGGCCGCCTCTTGTACCGCGTCTAGATAGCGCTCTAGCACCTCGGGCCCGCTGTGCACCGGAGCCCACGGCACCATGGCTAGACAGCGCGCCTGTGATGAGGCAGTTGAGCCAGTCGAGCTAGACTCGCCCTCGGCCTCGATGATCTGCCGCATCATCGTCACCTCGGCCAGCGGCTGCGTCCAGTCGGCCCCGCCGTCGTTTGCACGGTCGCATTCCACAAAGATGTAGCCCACGCGCGGACCGTCGCCAGCACTGCTGCTCTCCTCAGCTTCCGGAGCCGTGCTGTTCACGGCTTCCACATAGTCCTCAACCGTGCACCGCCGTGCCAGCGTGTCCTCTGGCTTGCACCATGCTAGCTTGTCAATGTCGCCCGAGTCCCACAGATGAATGTGCGAGTCGATAATGAAAGGAGGCGGAGGCATCGTGGCGGTTTCTGTCTCGGGTCGTTCAATGCAGGAATGTCGAGACCGAAGCTGCTGGGCAGAGCGAAAAAGGAGGCGGTGGGCAGAAACAGAGCTAGAGAGGCCCAGTGCAGGTTGGGCCTCGAAACTGCAAGAGCGGCGGGGTCGCTCGCTCTTGCTCTTCCCGTGCAACTTGCGACGACTTGTTTCGTGCTGATTTGTGCAGATCCAAGCGCCCCCGCTGTCAATACGAGTTCGCCTCTATCGTGCACAAATTGCAGACACAGGAAGACAAACAGCAGTTTGATGGTCCATCTCTACCCCAAGGGTCCGAATAGCAACTATATCAAAGTCGTACCATTTAGCAGCACCGCGCCGAATGTCGGTGAAAAAGCTATGGCTACGTACACGGAAACCGACATAAGAACCGCGAAAAGGCGGCGTTAACACGACCATGACTCCTGAAAGGCGACCGTCTTCACACCGTGCTCACCATGACGCTCCAGACCCGGGTGCAGGGTCTGCTAAACCACGAGGCTGGCACCGAGCAACCTTTGGTCCTTGCACCGAATCGGGAGGCTGGCTTAGATACTGGTCCAACTGCCGTAGCCGGGATTGAACACATCCATATCAACTAGCAAATCCAGAGATAATGTAGTACATTTCGACATAATTTTTCATTGAATAGATTCTATCGTCGTCTACCCTTTTCCATGAGACACTGCTATATAGCGCTTTGACATCCGTCTCCTTCCGTCTCCAGAATTTCCATGGCTGGCTCAGGCGTGCTTCGAAAGCAGGACACCCAAATCCATGGCTTCACAATCCTTGGTAGGTCCCTTTTCTCTCCCAACTCCATTAAGAAGCCAGAAAATACCGGGTACTTCGGCGATTGACAACTAAGAGACGTGCCCAGAGGCTATCTCTAAGAAAGTGGCGACGAAAAAACAAACAAAATCAACGACAAGACAAAGGGGACCACGGTACACAGAAACCTTGATGTCGGTCAAGAGTTTTGGCGGGTCTCTGTGAGGGGCTGCAGTATCGACCCAGCTTGTCATGTTTGTTGTTCGTTTAAACAGTCAGGGAAACATTAAGAGGTAGCAGCCCTACCTCTACAGACGTCAGTGAGGGAGCAGATTTGCGACAAGAGCACCAAGACCAGCTTGATGCTCTTGCGGGCAGAAGTTGTACTGCTTCTCCTAGCGACGTTCCGCAAGAGATAAGTACTGCCAATGCGATGAACAAAAAAACAGCCACTTCTCTGCAACGGGCAAGGTGCGTTTCTTCTTTCCTTCTCTCTCTTTTTTTTTTGTTGCCGCGGCTCGACAAAGGAATGAGCCGAGCCGCGGCTCAACAGCCGCCGAGGGACGGAGGGAATTGTCTTCGTGGACGATCTAGCAGATGTTGGCACCTCTGCGGACGCGTCCACTCTTCCCCCCCGTCACCGTGTGTTTCGTAGCAACGCGAGCGAGCCGCATGCTGTATCGTCGTTTCACACACTTCGGGGCTGGGGGTTTTCATTCTCTACTTTCTTTCTCTGTGCCTTCATGCAGCAACGACAATGCCGTTGCGACGCGACGAGTGCTCAACGTACTCCTCGTCCTCCGAGGACGAGCACGAGTCCTCGTAACCACAGCGGGCACCGCCACAGTCGATGCGCACGCGGTCGCCCTTGCGGGTGATGCCGTAGCGCTCGCAGGTGCAGGAGCTGTAGTCAGAGCTCGGGGTCGAGTAGCCAGACACGCTGGAGTACGCGCCCTGGCTGCTGCTGTCATCGGAGGAGTAGGACAGGTCCGAGCCACTGCTGGACAGCGGCGAGCCGCTGAGCACGCCCATGTCGGCGGTGATGTAAGCATCCTCACCGGCGTAGTCATCGCCGTAGACGATGCCAACGGCGGCCTCGTCGTAGTCGGCCTCGTCGATGCCCGACTTGGCCAGGTGCTCGGCAAGCTCGTCCACGTCGTAGTCGTCAGTCAGGATGTGGCGCGTGGCGTGTGGCGAATGCGGCTTGGGCGACTTGATCTGGGAGACGGACAGCGGGCGGCCCTTGGGGACCTCCACGTGCGAGTGACGGCTCTTGTCCTTGGACGAGTGGCGGGACGACGAGTGCGAGGAAGACTTGTGGCTGCTGCTGGAGCTGCTGGAGCTGCTGTGCTTGCTGCTGGACGACGAAGAAGACTTGACCTTGGGCACGTCGAGCACGTTCAGCTCGCGGCCGGTGGTGGGCTCAGTGGTCGACTTCTCGCTGGGGTTGTGCGAGGTGTGGTAGCCGTCGATGATGTAGTAGTACCAGTAGCGCTGGCCAGCCTCGAGCGTATTTCCCGGGAAGCGGAAAGTGCCCTTCCACGAGCCGGACTTGGAGGACTTGCTGTCTTTGGACAGCGGCAGCTGGCCGACGTAACCGTCCCAGGAGCCCAGGAGGTGCACCGTCTTGACGCCGGACGAGACGCGCAGAGAGAACGAAAGCTGAATGGTCGACATGATGATGGTGAGATGCAAAAAAAAGTAGATATAATTGATGAGGCAATGAAGAAAGACGTTAAAAATTAGGACGAAGAAACCGAAAAGTGCCGAGCGAATTATTTGTTCAAAGGATCAACCTTTAGAAATTATCCCCAAATCAGGTTTGTACACCGGAAATGATGCTATAAGAAAGCGGGAACTTTGGGCGAGCAAGCGAAAGCCAGAAGATGCTTTGAGTTTATTAGGGGGGTTTCAACGCAGAATTGACCAGCAAAACTACGAGTGTATGAGAGGTATCGTGAAAAGGTATGAAAGTGTAAAAGGTTGTTTTTTGGTTTGTGTATATTAAGCAGAGACCGGCTCTGATGAAAGAGTAAAAGGGGGGGAGGAGGGGGGAGGGAAAAAACCCGAAAACAAAGACTGGCTTTGGAGTGTTGAAAACTTGCTGAAGAGAAGAGAGGGAAGAAAGGAAGGCCAGGAGAGAGACGGGTGGCGGCCAAATATATGAAAGTGGTGGCCAGAATTAGAGGCCTCGATCACATTCATTCCTTCCTTCTCTGAACTTACACGGAGGGGAAAAGGGAAGGAGGGGCGAGAGACCAGGCCTTACTGTGGGTCCAGCCGTAGTGCCGGCGATCGACTACAAAGTACAAGCAGCAAGAGAATAGACTGGACGACGCAAGGGCTGGCCGCATGGGCCTTGCAGGTGTACCCAGCATAAAAACAATAAAGGGAAAGGCAGGCCGGACCAGCATGCAGAGAGAGGCCAATGAGCAACGTCAGCCTTAGGCGAAGGGCGGTTGGACTGGTGGAGTCCGTGCTGCAGGTCGATCCGGCAGTATCACACGCAATGGTATGTACAGGCGAAGAGAGGCTGATGCGGGATTAGTTGACCGAGAGAGCGTGTACTATGTACAAAGGATCCCAGGCTTTGTTCTGCACTACTGCAAGCACCGGCGGTTATGCCTGTGACGAGAGGGCCGTGGTGGACGAGATGAAGGCCGCCCGGCATGAGGTGATATGTGCTATTAACGGAAAAGAGGAGCGGGATGCAGTGGGCGTCTAAAACGTCGTCGCTATTGGGTGCGTGACAGGCCCGCGTGGACGTCTGCAGGGCTGATTGGCCTGCCGTACGGCGGGATCCACTCACCTATAGTTCATGTTAGCCAATCAGCCGCCGCATTCCACCAACTATCAGCATCATCACCACAATGAACCTTGCAGGCACCGGCAGCCTCTCGGCGTGCTTGAACTGGACGCCCGACATTGCCGCAGGCGCTGCCGATGATAAACAATTGAATGCAAACAAAAGCAGAAAATACAAGCCCCTGATGCAAGTCCAAGGGGACGGCCTCTCGGCTCTCTGCTATCACATCCGTCGGCCTGGACAGATTCCATATTGTGCGCCTTTTGTCTTACGTTTGCTATCGGGTCTTCTCTCGCCTGATGGCCGCATGAGCTTGGTGGAGACAAAGAGTGCTCTCCGACTGGTCGGTCGTTTGCTCGTCACATTGCGAGGACGACCAGCCGACCATCTGCAGCTGATATCAGATAGAGCGATTGCAGATTCTCTCTGCTGTGAAGCAAGAATTGATCGCAGCTCACAGCACACAGCGCACGGCGTACGGTGCACAGCGGTGAGGAGCAGTATCACAGCAGCCGGAACCATGCATGCATCAGACATGCCTTGAAGGGTTGTGAGCTCATTTGCGAGGCATGTGATCACTTGATACAGGAGCAATTCTTCTGCCGGTGTAATAGTGTCGGCACACGCCGGAGTTTTGCTGCATGCGGACCGTCCGCGCCTATGCACTTCTGCTCCATTTCAGCAAGGTTAACCCCTCTCTTCCCCACCCTTCAGCAATACTATGTTGACATATTAAGCCTTCTCCTCGGAGAATCTCTCGAGGCAACATGACCAGTTGTGAAAGACAGATTCGACTAGAGCCGGTCCTGCTCCATGGCCTGAAATCCTGGATGAAATTATGTTGCCTCTCAAAGAAAAGACAGACAGGCGTCGGCTGTTCTCGGCATCTTGTCCCAGATCGTACGTATGGTCTGATTGGCGACATCTCAATGCCTGTAGCAGGATTTGATGACGAAATCGTGGAGAATTGACTGCAACCTTGTATCTTGCTTTGCGGAGTACATACTCGTAGTATCTTATATCGTCCGTACATATGACATCGTCATACATGCGCCATATCTCTTTTCCCTCCCCACCAGCGCAGTCTCCTTCCCTTCCTTGACTTATTTTGCGCGTGCGCTGCCTCTCACCAACTCGCCTCTCTAGTCATCTAGACTAATGCATGTCAGCACCTGCAGATAGGCTATGCGGGCGGGTAACTCGCTTCGCCGTTCTGATATGCCAGGCACCTTTTGTTGTCCCGCCCCTCCCGTCGCAACTGTCGGAAAGTTGTCTCTCCATGCAAACACTTGCCAAGAATCTCGGCATGTCGGGTTTTCAAACCTATCATTTTCCCGTCCACATGGCCGTAGCGATGGATGACTCTTTCCATGTCCAAAACAGGGTGCTTCTTGCCTCGTCGGATGAGATTATCTCTCAATTCACTGTCAATTCGGAAGGTGCGTTCGGTCTCTGGGAAAGGAAAGCTGCAGGGAAGCAAAGCGTCTTGCTTGTCTTGTCAGCTTGCGGTAGCATATATAGACCATATAAACAAATACACTTTCGCTCTCGCAACAACGATTTTAGGCCTGTCTATGCTTTCTTGGAACAAACATCTGACCGTATCGCAATCAAGAGCATTCATTGCATCACAGTGCGACCTACGAGAGGTCTCGGTTATCAATCACATTTTGGATGGAACAAAAAAATGTTGCATGCTTTTACCAACTCAGACACGATTATCCACAATCGCATCAATACAACGATAAACGAGAATTATCATCCACGGCCCACAAGAACGCTACGACCTTCCTCGATTTTGTCTATTTCAGACGAGACGCAACTTCGAGGCCGATTTTACAGACTACGGAGCACCGTTGATCTGCGGAGCTCGTCTTCCGACAATTGGCCCGGAACAAGAAGCAGCAATAACTCGTCAGAGGGCGCAATATCCTGTGACTGGACCGGCCCGAGAGCGTTTGCTTCCCACACCATGCTGTCTAAGGCACCACCACTGAGTGTGTACTCTTCCAATATGAGGGGATGTTAGAAACCACCACCGAAGGCACACCAGCCGACCCGGCCCAACAATCTTGTTCAAAACTCCTGCAGGCAAGATGAAAATGTTTTCCCGGGCGCAGGCTCGAAGAGAGGCGTGGACGTGAAGAAGAGCCCAGCGTATACCCGGCCAGCCTGTGAGTTCATACCACCCAAGCTTTGCTACTCTAGAAGTCATGTCTACGACGTAACGTGTTTTTCAAGAAGACAGCTAAAATGAACTCCTTCTAGACAACCACCCTGACCAGCGTCCAGCGAACGCATTGCGTTCCCCATCACAATGTCTCCCAAGCCAGAACTCGTCGCCACCGAACTGTTCATTGGTAGGCTTTTCAAGCAGAAATTGGTGCCACGAAGCAAGAACGGAGCCAGCATGGGAGCAGATCAGCTGCTCGTACAGCCATTCCAAGAGCACGACCCCCGAATCCCACAATGGCGACTCTGATAATACCCGGTTCAATTCCTTCCGTATTGAAAACACCCAATTACTGAAGCTTGATTCGACTTCTTTCTTGGGGAGCGACGACTCGGGGTCCATACATTTGCAAACAACAACTGTGAGCGAGCATAATGTATCCACAAGGAAGCAGCCTCTCTCGGCGAGCAAAGATATCCTCCCAACCACAGTCCGCGAAGTACATAAACCAAAGACAGGAGCTCTACCAAGACTCATGGGGCCACTCCAGCCGTCACCTAGTGTGCAGCCGTTTCGCATGTCTCTTGCACTGGCTGGGTTGATCCTACCAAAGCCGGCACTGCAACAAGCCGCATCGATATCGGTGGAACATATGCCAATGCACCTCATAGCACCGTCGGTACAATCCAAGAATATGCACAGCGAGCTCACAAAGGCAAGCAGTGTTCTATTCGACTCGTCCCCTGTGGCTCCTCCTCGCAGAAGTATCCCACCCAGTACCCAAACTTCTGCCAGGGGATCTTACGGGACTTTCGAGAGTCAGGGTCACGACGAAATGTACGCCCGTCATACGCATATGCCTCCTTCCCATAATGACCGAGGGAGCCTTTTTCCCCAGAGAAAGTCGAGCACGGTAGCAGATCTCCGAAAGATGTTTGAAAACTCGACCACCAACATTGTGCCGCGAACAATTCGAACAGTACCAGCTGTCAAGAAAGCACCAGCATTCTATTTACAATCAGCGCTTCTCACGCCTTCAAGTTCCGGTATTTCATCGGGCTGCTGCTCAAACACCAACACCACAAGACATGCGGCAACTTGCAATGCATCGACTCCGCAAAAGTCGTGCGCCTTGCCAGCAGAGTCAGAGCTAAGCACGCCCAGGACGTCTTCGGTTATGATGGGGGTAGATGGAACCTGTATGTCTATGTCAGGTGCAGCTGCATGGAAAGCCTCAGAATCCCCACTCAAAGACAGAATCCATCTCTTTGAGTCGTTGAGCCGACATGAAAGTAGTGTCGAACAGCTGGAGCCTCAGGCGGAGCCTCAGAGTGGGGAGAAGACAAAGACGCGCAGTATTTCAAAAGCACGGCTGAAGGCGTTTGTGCAGTCCAGGCATCGACTTGGCGGCTGGCGCCGAATTTCCCGTTCTAGGAACCCAGATGATGCACAGGTGAAGGGGTATCAAGAGCCTGATGATGCACAGCTGGCCCATGCTATTTCACCCCAGGAAGTGCCGGTGGAAATGCCCAGAATGCCTGCTGCTGCACCTGGGCACCGCCACATGTGGTCTTGGGGCCATATTCACGGAGGAAAGCAGCAGTCTGGACCTGCTTTGCAGTGGCGAGGACTCGCACGTCAGCCGTCTGGAAGCCGCCACCGTGTGCGGAACTGGAGTTGGAGCCGACGGAAGTCTAGCCAAGAGTTTAAAGAGGACGGAGCTTGCGGTGATGGAAGCGGTAGTGCCCATGTTGCCTCTACCAGCAGAGGGAAGCGAGGAAGCAGTGGCGCTTGGGACGAGGCAGACCTGGCGGTAGTAAAGGTCAACTGCGACCTGGAACACCCGCGACCGGTGCGTGGTGACGATGTTGACAAGCTGGTGACATTATGCAAAAGCCGAGGGGGCACCCTCTTTGGGCCGCTCAGAAGCAGCAGCCAGGGTTGGTGAAGCTGACGAGGTATTATCATAGAGACAGTCGTTTACAGCAGTAAATTAGTAGTTAGAGAAGTGGCATGCAGTAATTTATTTCAAATTGCCATGGTCTATTCTGGACAAGCCTGCTTCTTTCAAGGACGCATGTGGGCCGACTGGACGCCGATGGCTCTTTAAAAAAGACGCCTCAGACAGAGGCCAGGCCCATGCCACGGGCAACCTTGCGGACGAGGGCCTTTTTGAGGTACCACTCGCGGGCGAGAGAACGGGTCATCTTTGCAAAGACAGCGGGGCTGATGCGGCCGTGCTCGACGGCACGGCCGAGCATGAAGACAGAGTCAGCAAGGGCGCGTTCCTCGGCGACAAGGTCATAGAGCTGACCGGCAACAACGGTGGGAGCGACGAGAAGGTCATCTATGGCAGGAGGACGGGTCTGGTGGCCACGCTGGATGACGCCGTCGGCAGCGGCTAGAGATTCGTGGAGGAGGTTTGTGTTGGAGGTCAGCAGGGCCGACAGCTGGGCCACCTCGGACATGTCCTGCTGCAGACGGGAGGCGGCGTCCAGCATGGCTGAGCGCTGAGCCTGCAGTCCGGCCAGGGTGGATGCATCCTGGTCTCGGCTGCGTATCCGAGCCTGTGCCAAGACGCGGCCGAGTTCGTGAAGCAGTATGTCTTTCTCGGGGTTTGGTGGCACTGGTGGCGGCGGCGGTGGTGTCGACAGTTGTTCATGTGCTGGATGGTGCTGAGAAGATGCATCTCCTGGTGTCGTGCCCTGGCTGGCAGCAACAGCAGCATTGTCGTCTTCGTCCATGATGTCGGGAGGAGGTGGACCCTTGGGCCGAGGCTGTGGCTGCAGCTGCTGCCACGGAGGTGAGGGGCCTCCTTGCTGTGCATATGCCAACTGCTGTTGTTGCTGTTGCTGCTGCTGCTGTTGTGCATATGCATAGTAAGCAGCCGTTGCTGGCTGACGAGGGTCATAGGTGGCAAAGGAAGGGGGAGGCTGTGTTTGGAGTGGTGGTGGCTGCTGTTGCAGAGGCAGATCAGAGCGAAATGAGGTCTGGTATTGTTGTTGCTGGTTTTGTTGCTGTTCATGAGAATGATGTGGCGGCTGGCCTAGAGGAGACTGCTGATATGAGGGCCTGCCGGGCACAGGTGGTGGTCGTGGGGGAGGGGGAGGAGACGGCGAGTGGGGAGTCTGGATGGCAGTGCCAGTATAGCTGAGACGGGCATCGTGCAGCATTCCCGCAATGGAGTTGGCAGCAGCGGAGGAGTCAGCATGCGGATGGGGTGGAACCGGAGGCGGAGACGGCGTGGGGCTGGTTTTGGGGGAGTGGTGCTAGTGGTAGTGGTGACGTTGGCGCTGGGTTTGGGCGGAGGTGTCGGCAGCTGGAAGGCGGCAGCAGAATGGTGAGCAGCCAGCTCTTGCGGGAAGGGTGGAATGGGTGGAGGGGATGGTGTTGCGGCAGTCGAAGGCGATGGCCGGACAGACTGGCGAGCAATGACAGGCGGCTCCTTGGCGAAGACATCGCGCAAGATGGCCAGGAAGTCGACAATGCTGGATTTCTGCGAGCGGAGCGGCTGTCAGCATGCAGAGCCGTCAATAGATTGTCCCGGCTTCACGGGTTCAGGACACAAAACGCACATCCCAAAACTCGGACCAGCCCACGAGATAGGGGTGGTAGACCTGGCCCTGGGGGTCGACGTGCTGGCCAGGACGGACCATCATGTTCTCGGTCGGCGTGACGTAGACGAGCGGCGCCTCGCGGGGGTATGCGTGGGGGACCCAGACGGAGATGGGATAGCGGTAGGTAGTGCCACGGAAGACGGCCGGCAGGGTGCCGGAGAGGTGGAGAAGCAGGGCCGAGGCGCCATTGGAAAAGGCTGGAGGAAAGTCAGTCAGCGAGGCTGGGATGTCACCAAGAACGCCGGGGTGCCGACGGAAAGACATACTGTGGACGTCTGTCCGCGGCGACAGGGATGGAAATTGGGAGAGGGCCTGGGCCACATCGTTGTAGGTGCGGTTGACGTCTTGGTATTCCTGAAGGGGGGGGGGGGTCAGACTTTCGGAGGAGAGAGAGAGGGGACAAGCAGATGGGCGGAGCTAATTACACTGGTGAGGACACTGTACAGCCAGTTGAGGACGTGCTGCTGGACAGCCATCGTTTCTTGGCTATTGTGTCGACACACGGGGTGTCTCGTGAGTGAGATGGACGGCAGCCTTGCTTTGGGGGGGTGAGCTATCTTTGACGGCGATGGAGGCGGTTAATGGTGGCTGGTGAAGCTTGGCACGTGGCGGTGCGCAGCTTGGCAGCTTTTGTGGACACGAGTCACATGATATACACACCCCACGTCGGGTCGCGAGTACACGTTCTCGTACGGAGTAGACATGCGATACTGGGTCTAAAGAGTAACAATCTATAAAGAAGAAGCATGTTTACTCCTTGCTTGTGTCAAGCTCCTCCAACCTCCTCAGGTCCATGGGCTTCTCTAAAAGCGGGAGAACGTAAGGATCAAACGTTTTCCAGTACGGGTTTCCAAGGTGGTATTTCTGGCTCTATTGCTTATTAATACACGTCCTACACAGAGAGTTGTATACGGAGTGACAGCGTACGCTTTCTTGCTCGTAGCGTTCGACAATGGTAAAGGCACGTGGGTCTTTGACATCTTGCATGACAAACCAAGAAATCGTCTCCTTGTCCTGGGAGTATACGCGACTGGCTTCGATGAGTTTTTTCGAGAGCTTTTCGATGCTCTCTGCATCGTCCTTTGCGTAAAGGTGGACAACGATGGTGTACACCATGATTCCAATGTAGAGCGATGTAGTAGGACGGTGATGGATGGCCGGATAGCGTGTGAAAGAAAACAACGTACCGAGTCAAGGCAGAAATTGGAAAGAGGGGAATTGCGCAAAGTATTTAGTTTATTCGCAAAGCCCCACAAATCCGCAGTTGGCGCAACCAAGGCAAAAGGCAAAAACGTGGAGTGACGAAAAAGTGACAGAAAAGCGACTTTAGCAAAGAGAAATGGCGCTCGAGCAGATTCGCGGCCACACCATACGAGCACATCATACGAGCAAGCCACTCTGCACCGACGATCCGCCCGTCAGCGGGGAAACAAGGATGCGGAAGAAAGGAAGCAGACGGTGCAGAGTTTTGCGAGTGTGTGTCAGAAAAAGAAACGGCACTACTAGGCTTTCCTCTAGCTTCCCTGGTTGCAGATTATAAACTCCAGCCTTTCCGGATTTTCTTATAAAGCAGCCCGGCGCCTCTTCTTCTAAGCTCATGCTTTCCCCTCAACACTGGCAATTCGGCTCTCCCATCGCTATAAGCTCATGGTCTTGGTTCGTTCCGCATCTCGCAAGGCTGAGGAGTATCACAGAGATCAATCTGTATACTCCTTGCGTCAGGACGAGACTTAGGTCAGCAGAAACTGCAAACAGACACAGACCATGCTTCCTCCCATTCCTGTGCTGGCCGATTACGGCATCTCGGCCAAGCACGGCTTCCTGCCCGACGACCTGCCGCTGGCCCGGCTGCCCGACCCCTACTATAACAAGTGGGAGGCTGTGGTGGCGAACCTGCAGGCGCTGATCCTGAGCCGGCGTCTGCGCGGCGTGGTCGACCGGCTGCCGGTGCTGTCGACCGACGGGCTGGAGCACGTGGCCGAGTGGCGTCGTGCCTACTGTATCTTGTGCTTCATGGCCCACGGCTACGTCTGGGGCGGCGATCGACCGAGCGACCGGCTGCCACCACCGCTGGCCGTGCCGTTGCTGGCCGTGTCGACACGACTAGAAGTTCCGCCGGTCGCTACCTTTGCCGCCGTGTGTCTCTGGAACTTCAAGCCGCTCTTTGTCGACGAGGGCGTCGACCGGCTCGAGAACCTGGCTACGCTCAACACCCTGACCGGCTCGCTCGATGAGTCTTGGTTCTACCTCGTCTCCGTCGCCATCGAGGCTCGCGGCGGGCCCATGATCGCCATCATGCTGGCCGCCATGGCCACAGTCCGACGAGGCGAGCAGCAGGAACCGGACAGCGAGGCAGACACGGCCGCCACCGTGACGGCCTGTCTCTGCGCCTTTGCCGAGCGGCTCGACGACCTGACTGGCCTGCTGCAGCGCCTGCACGAACAGTGCGATCCGACCGTGTTCTACCACCGCATCCGGCCCTTCCTCGCCGGCAGCAAGAACATGGCCGACGCTGGCCTGCCCCACGGTCTCATCTACGACGATGGCACCGGCCACGAGACGTACCGCCAGTACAGCGGCGGCAGTAACGCCCAGAGCAGCCTGATCCAGTTCTTTGACATCGTCCTCGGCATCGAGCATCGCCCGACGGGCGACAAGGGCGACAAGAACGACAAGGCCGGCACCCTGTCGGCTTCTGAGCCGCCTCCCCACAACTTCATCATGGAGATGCGTCAGTACATGCCCGGGCCACATGCCCGTTTCCTGCGCGACGTCGCCGCCGTCGCCAACATCCGGCCCTACGTGCTGGCCCGCCCGCACGACCGTCCGCTGGCCATCGCCTACGACGCCTGCCTCTCGATGCTGCGCGCCCTGCGCGACCGCCACATCGCCATCGTCACCCGCTACATTGTCGTGCCGTCGCGCGAGGCCATGCGGGCCCGCAGCCGCTCGCGCAGCCCCGAGACCGTGCGTCGTCAGCCGGCCGTCGCCCAGCCGAAGCCCGTCAATCTCGCTCGCCCGACCGACTCGAAGCAGCTCAAAGGCACCGGCGGCACCGCCCTCATCGCCTTCCTCAAGCAGGCCCGCGACGAGACCGGCGAGCCGGCCGTCGAGGACTGGGCACGCCGCTTCCTCGGTCGCCAGGCTCGCGGCCCCGGCAAGAACGATTTCTTCTTCGGCAAGCCCGATGAGTCGCCGCTGACGCCCGAGGTCGCCGCCGCTGCCGTCACCGATGACGAGGAGGAGATTGTCGGCGGCATGGCCGGCACTTGGACCATCGATGACGACGTCGGCGGCCTGTGCCAGTACTGATGTTGGATACAATTGTGCCAGAGCATCGGCTCGGACGTAGAGTCGAGTGTTGCGGAGAGGGGCCTTGCGATGGGAGAAACGGTACTTTGTAATTAGGTGTAAACCACTGCGAAATAGAAGTACCTTGTTTCAGTGCTTGAAGCCCATTAGTCATCCATCCACTCTTGTACCACAAGGGAGGACAATCAAACCCTTTCTCTGTGCCTTCCACACAAACGAGTCCCATTAATCTGAGCTCAAGTCAAGCGAGATTTCAAGGTTCTGCAACCCTCTTTTGGATCCATATACAGCGGATTCTTACAAGGAGACTCTGTCTATCATTTGACTCTTAACTTGGACGAAAGTGAGATATAGAAAGCTGGCAAAGTAAGAAGCGAACAGACGAAAGAAGCCACCCATTTTTCATCTGTCTATTATCAAATTTCTGTCCCATTTATGTTGCTACCTCGATTTCTTTACAACTCTGCAAAATGTCTTCATAACAGATCCTTTACTCTTCTGTCTTGATTCCTAATTTATTACAAAACAGGTATGGGGTCCCTACTCCGTACTTTACCTACTTTACCTACTAATGTAATTAACCTTGCAACACAACTCTTTATCGATCTATCCACCATCCACAATTGTCTCTCGCAACCGCTCATGGCTGCAGTGCGGACGTGTATTCGGAATTGGCCGGACACGATACATCAATAAATTGACTAAGGGAAATGTTGGCATGTGGCCGTGAGCCATATGCAGACGACACGAGATCCGTTGAAGATATGGTTCTGACACGGGATGGGCGCACGCTATGAGCCAGGAAAAAGGGTCAGAGAACAACGGAATGAAACAGAGTGATATTGGATGTTATCACAAGAAACAAATAGCACTTTTATGTAACAAGTTTCTAAGCAGGTACGATAATGGAAAGAGGGTTCTGCATGCTGAGTTTAGAAGTTTATTTTTCAAGTCATAATATTGCTAGACTTTTTGGGACATCCGTGTAACGTTTGGCACCCCCTACACTGGCGTCTTGATATGAAAATTCCCTAATTCAAGCAGCATACAGCTTCACGGTTTTCTAAAGTAGGGAGAGTGATGGCTGAGCACTTTTTGTTGGTCCGCTCGGCTTCTCTACAGGCAATGAAGTCGATGATACTATACAAAGGCGCACCTCTTGAATCTTTGCAAGCCGCACCCTTTGAGCAGTAAAACACTATTTCTTGACGAGTGCACATTGTAGGTATTGTGGTGTCGGTTCTGCGGAGGTATTGAGAAAGGGATTATTGTTGGTGGTATTGAATTGTTTCGGAATGTTTTGTTGTTTGTTGATGAAGATTGTAGAGAAAATGGCTGTTAGAAAGCGAGCACGTTGATGATAGTTATACTTTTCTAGAGACAGACAGCAATACGTTCATACTCTCTCTTGTCATGGCCTGTCCTTGCTCGGTGGCCTTCTTTACGACTGAGATAGGTGAAAATGACTACTTCCAGAAGTTATATCATAGATTGCAAGCTAGCTGGTCACCGAAATATCAATGTTTGTAAATAACTAGACGAGATACTGGTCGTTTTCGAAGCTTGTCACAGAATTTGATATATTCTTTCTTTGACTTGACCGAAGCAGTGCACAAATCAATAGAGGTAGTGAGAACAGTGTACTGCAGTGACATGAAACTATTGTAGGCCTTAATCGATTACCTCTTAGTTCTAGACCCTGTCTATGCTAACGTTGACTGCGATCCCAACTTCGCCGTGTGTATGACAGGTCGTGTAGGCATCCTGGAGCTGTTAGGGAAGTGTTTGCCAGCAACTAAGGCTGCCAGGTGTAGACAGCTGTTCAGGCATAATTTGTACGGAAATAGGCTCTCTTATGTACTCAAGTCCCTGTTGATGTCAGCAGTACGTCTCAACCTCGGATTTGGCGTCTGACTGTATCGACAATGCCAAAAGCGAAAAGATGACAGCAGCAGCCGTGTAGGATATAAATGTGCCAAGTCTACTTTACAGAGAGGAGGATTCTCTAGTATACTCAAAACAATTAAGCACTGAACTAGAGCTGTTCCTGTCGTCCTTCAGTGTCTGTTCCAGCTGATTAGACCTGATTACGTCATGGTGCCGGTCGATTTCGCCATATCCCGAAGGAAATACATTTCTGCATGAAGGCGCCAAATCGGGTCACTTCCGGACTCCACAGAGATGACAGCGTTTATCGGCAAGCTCGCATTCGTTGGATCTGCAGCCCTGCAACTTGGCCATGTGCTCCTGCACCCCATACGCAATGCACTTGCGTCGTAGCTCCCCACCGTATCTGTCCCACTCATGTCGGAAGCATGATGTCTTACGGCCATCTGACGATCAGAAAGGATTTCTGCCGGGTGGGGAGTTGTTGTCCGAGTGCTTGCTATTGCTCGTATCATCCGCGCCTGATGCATTTGGAGTCGCAAGACACATTTTATCTACTCATCAGTATCGCCGCTTGTGACTTTCTTAATACACACGGCATCAATCAAAGAGCATTCCCAGCTCTTTAGGCTAATGACACTACAGCTTCTTTTCTTATTACCCAAGCAGGGTACTGCCGAGTCTAGATCTCGGTACAGGCTTTAACGGTCTCTGCACTGTATTCCAGTTTCCTCGGAAGATCAAGAACTTGACTCTTACCATCTACATGAAGAACCCAAAATTTGGCGGCATCCAGTACGAGAACAGGTAAGTCTTTGAGCCCCAATAAACAGTTGATTGCACGAAGACGTGGATGGCCAATATGCACATTAGGCATCCCGGAATGGCATGTGATCTGCCCGGTGTCTGTATGCTCTACGCTGTCTCTCCTGGCCAGTGGGCCGGGTTGACTAATTGCAGCATACCAGTGTACGTTTAAGGACTACACGCAATGGCCCGAATTTTACTCAGCCGGCCAGGACATCTTGGCGTACATCAAGTGTGTGGCCGAAAAGTACCACATAGACCGCTACCTCAAGCTGCAGAACGAGGTGATCGGTGCCGACTGTAGCGATGCGTCGGCAAAGTAGACACTGCACGTCCAGGACCTAACGGCCGGCACGGTGTATGCCAACAAGTGCGGCTTTCTCGTCGTTATCCTAAGCCTGCATAACTTCAATGGACGGCAAATGCACACGGCCAACTTGGACGAGCCGTACGACATCGAGGATAAGGAGGTCATCGTCAACGGCAGCGACTCATCGGCTCTCCAGGTTATTCCGACCTTCCAGCCCAAAGTAGCCCAAAGTGAAGCGGCTGGACAATTACATGCAATCCAAAAAAGTGGATTGCCTCAAGCCCCCGATTGCGGGAACTGTAGGTTGAGCCTGCGCATCGTGCAGCCTGTCGAGTCCCCGTGCTCACCGACGGCATCGAGACCATCGACGGCAAAGTGCGCAAGGTCGACACCATCGTCACGGATACCGGCTTCGACTCCTACCTGCCGCGCTTCCCCATCACCGGCACCGGCGGTGTGCTGCATCTAGGAAGCTCCCCGAGGCCTATGCTAGCATCCTTGCCGATAAGATGCCCAGTTTCTTCCTCTCGCTCGGCCCCGACAGCACTCCACCCACCGGCTCGGCCATTGTGGCCATTGAGAGCCAGTGCCAGTATATGATCGACGTCATCACCAAGTGCCAGCACGAGGGATATAAGACCATCCAGGTCGAGTAAGTCGCCGGGTCGTCCAGTCGTCAAGCTACTGATGATCCCTGTACTACTGATGCCTGCAGGCCATCTGCATTTCGTGAATTTTCCGACTTTGTCGACGCAGACATGCCACAATTTGTCTACGTCGAAAACGTAGGTTCAGGCTTCTACGGGGTCCCAAATGGATGTCGGATTTCGGTGTTGACGCGTGGATGCAAGTCGTGGTTCAAGCAATTAACGTTGACATTCGAATAATGACTCTCTAAAACTCTCTACCCCGGCTCGTCTCTTGCCCTGCGCGAAACGCTCCTTCATCCCCGCTAGGATGATGTTTGTTTCGTTCCGTTGAAAGACACGAAGGAGAATCCGTTTGCGTGGATCAGTCTGTAAATGACGCCGGGTCGGTTCGAGATGAACGATACAGTGTCATTCGTACCTGAAAAATGTCGAGGTTTCGGCTGTCGAGGTTCTGTAGTTTGTCGTTTGCGTTCGTAGATCATTAACCGTCAAATCTGGCGTACGGAGAGAGTACGGAGTATTACGGAGTAGTGGAGGCTGACTACTGCCATTTGGTGGGTCCAAGCCACGTGATGATCTAATGGATGTAGTTCCTTTAAAGTAGCGCTGACAGCAGCGTATGGGAGTATTTTAAGCAATTTACAATAACAGGGCGATCGTTTTAATGCAGACACAACATTCAACGTCAGGTACGGAGTATTTCATACGAAGTATGAAGTAAGATACATATTGTCCACTTACGGGAAAGCGGGCCATATCATTGTTCTGAGATATGGCTTTGCTTTCGTCATGTGTGTACTTCAATTTGCAGTCCACACCATGTTGATGCTCTCGATAACCTCCATCCTTTTTTTCATGCTATATCCTTGTCCAATTTTGAATGCCTCTGGCTTACTCCCACGCCTTTCCTCCATCACCGCGTGACCCAATCCCCCCCGCTGCAATCAACTTTCAGATTCGGTGCTCCGTATTCTATATTTGCGCACTTTAAACTTCGAACACGTATGTATAGACCTCCGCAAATGTCTGCTGAATATGATTGTTGACATCGATCGCTGATTGACGAACTCGGATAGAAGGAATATTGCAGATAAAGAAGAATAAAGGGTATGTGATGGGCGGATGCAATAAATAAAAGTGTGATGTATTTTGTGAATGTAGGGAAATGAGAGAAAACGGACGTTGCACTCCTTCGCGATAGAAGACTTACTTCATCATCAGTGTAAAATGGGACAAGTTGGTCCCTGAGAGTTTCCCTCCCTATTGCTCTCCCTTTGGCCATCTCAACGCCACGGTCTGCCCGAATCACATATATTCCCTAGCGGGGTCATGATGACATACTCACTGGTTTTGTCCCATGATAATTGGCGTGCTGCTCCATGGATGATAAAATTCTCGACAGCCTTGTGTTGGATGCCGAACTCTCTTACTTAGTAATGAGCCCCCCGGATCTCTAATCCCCCAGATGCCAAATCCCCCGGATGCTATATAATCCCCCAGGCCGAATACGGATCCCCCGGAACGAACTTTTGTTTTTTTGTTGCAGAAATCGGCCAAGCAAAAAGCATATAGACGAAATGCAGTCTGCATTGCACATAGGGAATATGCATCGATTGTGGGCATTAATCTTGCAATAACTGAGTGGGGTCACCAGCATGGGCACAGTGATTGAGCATATGACGATGCACGACTTGTTTGTGCCTAAGGGCTCCAGCTTGATTGCTTATTTCTGGACAATATCAGAAACGAGTGCACATGAGGGATACAAGGCAGGTGAGTAACTGAGACGGGGGGGGGGGGCCTTGTGCTGTGGTCGATGATGATGATGAAGAAGAATGAATCGGTTGAAAGAAAAATGGAGAGGAATATTAAGACGAGCGAGAAGTGAGAGCTGCGACGACTCTTATACCGGGGGCTTCCCTTGCGAGAACATGAGGGCGTTGCAGAATCGCGTCTTCCTATTTTACATTGTTGTTTACGTCACTCACGTTATCTTTCTATGCTTTTGCCCTCAACAGGGACGCTTGCGGTCCAGCTCGACTGATCGTGACTTCCTTCACCTCTACAGCTTTTGGATGTCACTGGCTTGGTAGCATTCACTGGACATATTCATATTAACTATTGCTTACAGGAGCAGCCATCCGATAATGGTGCTCAAATAGCAATGATAGATCTGATCTGTGATCTTTTCTGGAGCAGCCACCAAGCTGGGTTTATTTTGTGGCGTGTCTAACATACTGGCGTTAATACAAACTGATGATGGATCGCATCTGGGGGCTTTTACTCGTGTGGCCACCCAAGAGCTTAAAAGCGAGTGTTCGAATGGGATGGATTTCAAGAAAGCGACGATAGATCTGATCCGTGATCTATACCGGAGCAGCCACCAGACTGGGTTTTGATTGTGGCCTCCTCTTCACACTGATGATATGTTGTATTTGTGGGCTCTCTATTACTTTTACAAACGTGATCTGGGTAAGACGGTATATTCCGATAATGCAATCAGAACGGCATAGGGAACGACTCAACACGGTGCTGGTGAATGATGAAAACGAGGTGCAAAACATTTTCTTCCTGTTTTTCAATGGTGCACCTTTGCAAAAAGGATCGTCCTTGAAAGAGGCTGAGAGCACGCGTCTGACACCAGTGTCCTTTTCCGAGGGAAGTTGCGAACGGTCAAATCAAGGAAGTAAGGCGGGGACTTTGCATTTTACTCGCATGATACTCATGATTCGCACATCGGTAACAGCCAAGTGGCAATCTAAAAACAGCGCAGAAAAGAGAAGATCGGATGTCTTGTGTAATTCTGTTTTTGTCTCTTTACCCGAAAATGCGCATTAAACGTTTGTTTTGCGATCTACTAAAGTAAAGCAGGCTCGTCCGACTTCACTTCGTTTCTATCAGCCATTGCGCAGTTTTCATGCACAAGCCTCTCCTCATTTTCTTGTGAACCATCTCGTCGCTCTTTCTCTCACCTGCGTCAACGGTAAGACGCCGTTCAGATAAGTCTATGGCAGGAGAATTGTAGCCCACGGGTTGTCATGACGCAGTTCACAAATATCATCTCGTTGAGGTATATCTAATATAGAAGCTGTCATGATTCCGGGACAACCAATGCACAGAGGATGTAAAGCCCATACATCCCATATATATCAAACACCAAGTCAGAAATCAGCATCGAGGCATATCCAAACGCAAGAAGAATGAACATCAGCCCAAACCGGAAACATTGAACTATTATCCGCCTTCGGCGGAAGTTCTTCGCAATAGTGTCCTGTAGTTTGAAGTCTTCGATAAGCAATGAAAAGAGAACGAAAATATGTAGAGCTGCAAATTGGCAAATGGGCAGCCAATACCATATAAACGCGTCAGGAATTACCCAAGTGACCAATTTTGCATACCCTATGCCAAGCAAACAGAGAACTGCTACTGTAACGAGAAAGATGTCCAGAAGAATGAATACAATGAAGCCTTTAAACCAGACCGATTTGGTATAGTAGTCTCGTTCCGGGTGATCTCCCAAACCTCCAGCTTGTACTACATCTGTAAAGTGTATTTGCATTGGTTGTATATCTGGCAGGAGTGCATCTCTGTCTTGTAGTGGATCACTCTGGTCTGATTCCCAATTCCGACCGTCTGCAATGCGTAAGCAGAGGGCGCAAATGTTGGCTATTCCCGGGCTACTCACCCGGATATAAATACTCGAATACAGCTAGCAAAGGAGCTGCGAGGAGCACAATCGGAACAATCTGACCAAAGGTCCAATCGCCGTTCTCGCCATCAATAGTCTCAAGAATGGTCGTAAGGTTTATGACCCCCCAAGCAAATCCAGCAACTAGCCACCAGACCTTCTCAAATAGTTAGCATGCGAATAGCAGAAACTGGGTTCAAATTCTGTTCCAAATAAAAAATTGGGTTGGAGTAAGCATGTCTGTACCTCCAATGTCATTGATGTCCATACATCAACGCTGACCCGCAAGACAAGGAACACTGCTAACAGTGGCCTGTATAGTGCTCTGCGATTGAAACGCTGAACAAATAAGTTTCGTGGGCGGTCTAGGCTAAGTTTGTGGTAGACCGCGGACAAACATTTGCGAAGCCAAAGGCTAGTAGTGCGTCTCACAAACCCAACAAAATTGACAGAAAGACATTTGTGAAGTTTGACTGTGCGAATGATAAACCCGAGACCTGGAAGAAGCATGGATAGTACCATAGAGGCGAGTGCCAAGTTCGGGGCTTTGATACTTTCGCTGGCTTGGGTTCGGTTGTACGAGAGCAACTCGTGGTTGACTGGGTAGAACTGGCAGATTGCATAGTCGGTTGGAAGAGGCCATTTATAATTGTCGAAATAGTCAGGTCCGGTAAAATAAATCTCATCATCGTATATAGAATTCATTCCAGTCCAGTCGTAGCTTCCAGTTGGTACAATAGCAGCCAGAAGCATTATAAGGAACGCGGCCATTGCAATCAACCTCCAAGCCCGTTGGGCTGGCCTATTATATAAGTAGTTCCTAAAAAAGGTAAGGCAGGACAAGTGCGTCAGACTGGAAAACCAGGCCAGATACACCAATACCTGCCAATGGTATGCCGAAAGGCCACAGTGAAGTTGTGAGAATCCACTAATAAGGATGGAAATACCGGTAAGGATCTGCATGTCACTCATAGCCAGGACGCACTAAAAGGACGAGTCAGTATATTGGGCTTTGGAATGTACGATGAAAACATGCCTTACTTGGAGACATGCATCCTTTAAACGGGTTCCAAAATCCCGCCTGCGAATAAAACCAAGAAACACGACGTCCACTGGATTTGGCCGGAAGTGCTTTCGCCGAACTTCGGTCTCAGCGTAGTGTGTATTTTTTTGAAATGGATCATCCGTCGGGATGTAGGCTGCTAGAAACGAAAGAGTGATAATGGCAACCGCGATTCCGGCCGTTATGACATAGCCCAGTACAACCTATAGTTTTTGTAAACACATGAAAATCTGGTATAAAGGCCATGTAAAAGACTCACACCTATTCCCGATATATCTGCGTACGGTGGAAGAGTCGTTGGGCGCGCGAGAGAGCAGTTGTAAGTACAGGAATTGGTTGCCATTTCAATTTCTCTGTCAAATGGAAGAGAATAATCCTCAGGTAGTTTATAGAGTATCGTGTAGAACACCTTGCAATTCCACCGGGGTATTTGTAGGTCTTAACCAAGCTAGCCGGACCTGGCCTCGCTTTCTCCGTATTACATGCTCTGAAAGACAATTACGCCCGACGCTATCTATATCAAAGGATACAACCCTGCCAGTCCTTTATGGAAATTCCGGGCCTCTACACTGATACGACACTTCTGTGCGATTCTGACTAGCCAATAGAGTCATTTTCTCCGTCAGCCTTCCCTATCAGAGAGACGACGATATCACCCCGCCCCCACAGCTATAACGGCTGGGTAGGTAATGCGTATTTTACCATGACACCTGTCAGAACTTGATTGGCAAGGTAGCAAGCGAGATTGGGCTTCTTACGCCGCTAAAGCAGCATCTTGCAAGGTCGCCTGTCAAGCTGCACTGCAGTCCGGACGCTGATGACCGCGACCTCATTCCACGGGCCAACGGTAGACGTCCTATTGGCCTTACATGTGCTGGCCAAGACCAAAACGTCAGAGGGAAAGGCCGTATGACTCCGATGCCGGCAATGTACTATCATTTCATTGGCTCCAAGCTCATTTCATTCAACGCCCACCATCTCATGCAGGACCTCCAGTCTGACCGACCCTGTTCTATTTACGCTCTCGATCCTTGGGGCCGGTTCTACGTGCGGGTGGTAAGATTGAAGCACATGTGAGATTTATGTTGTTCAGGGTGCAACAATGCTAGCAAGCATACTTCCGAACGGGTCACCACTCTCTTCTCGCTAAAAATAACGGCGGAAAGAACCGTACTTCTCTTGACAATGCCACTCTCGTTATTCTGGAACGCCTTGCGAAGTCCATCCCTTCCAATCTATATCAAAGACAACTTGGCCGCAGAAGGGCCTCGTTTAATATTGGCTACACACTTGATATCTTCAGTCAGTCCTCGATGACGATTCCTCGAACAGCTTAGTCTTATTACGATACATTTCATGACGCAACGGAGGCACATGCGACATCGGGCCCGGATTGTAAAACAGCTATGATCACAGGCGATTGCGGCTTCAGACAACTTTCTCTAGGACTCGAAACGAAGTACGGTGATGAAGGAATACGTGATTGATCATTAGGAGGTCAACTACACATGATCAAGTAAATGGCTCTTCTCCTCTGTGTGACAGTCAATCAAGTAGCATGCATTTGATATAAGTTTGCAATCGTTCCCTAGTTTTTCTTTACCTACTCCTATCTGCCGTTTCCTCCCTGCAATGATCTGCTCACCACTCCCTACTCCGGGAAGGCTAGCAAGATTGAGCCGCTCTTTGTCTGTGCCGTAACGTTGGACGCGTCCTCACCGGGCGCCACGCCCTTGGTACCAGCGATGTGATTTCCCCGGTGTGGGGGCCAGTGTGGCCGGTCGTCTGGCAGTACGTGGACGTCCTTACCGAGCAAGGCGACGTGGCCACTCGCCACGGCCGTCAGCTGAATCCGGCCGGCCCACGACGATGGGTAGTGCAGCTGGATGCCGCCTGAAACAGTGCAGTGATGCGACTGCAAGAAGTCGAGGGTGGCGTCGTCGGCGTACGAGAGGCCCAGCTTGATGGTTCCGCTGACGGCGCTGGTTTCGAGCAGCGCCGGTGTCGTTAATTCAAGGAGGTGCAGCGCCAGATGCTGACCGCCTGAGATGGAGTTCACGCGCGCGAAACCGGCAAAGGCGGCCGACGCCTTGATCAAACCAGACTTTGAGCTGAGCGCAAGGCTGTGGCCGGGCGCAGCTGCCACAGACGGCATCTCGGTCAGGGTGATGTCGCCTGAGATGGTGCCGATACGGAGGTTTGGGAGGCCGACATCGAGCGGCTGAGCAGGCTCCAGCGGCTGGTCGAACGCGGCAAGGTCGACGAGCTCGGCAGTAGCGCTACCGCGCTCCTCCACAGACACGTGCACGTCGCCGGACACAGTCGAGAAGTGCAGCTGCTGGCGCAGGCCCCAGGATCCCCGGATGCCACCCGAGACGGAGTGCACATACACGCCGGCGGCATCGAGCCAGAACGGGGAGTCGGCACCGGGCAGTGCTGCTGCGGCCACGATGTCGCCCGAGACGGTGTTCAGCTGCGTTGCCACCCGTACGGATAGGTCAAGCCCCTCAGCCAGCAGGATGTCAAGATTCGTGGCGCTGATGCCGAGGAAGCCGAGCGCCACCGTCTCCTGGTTGGCTGGCACCCAGACCGTGATGCGGGCCACGAGGCAGGGCGTGCTGCCGTGTGTGCGGTCGTTGTCGCGGTCGTCGAGCCGGATGTCGTCGTCAATCTGCACGCGCAGCAGCTGGTCCTGGCCCGGCTCGACGCCCAACGCGATCAGCTTTCCGATGCGCTCATCGTTGGTCATCGTCTCAATGTCGACGGCACCGGCTGCGTGCGCCGCGTCGGCACGTCGCACCACTACGGCGCCCGACACGCGCACGTGCTGCCGGCGCTCGTGCGGGCCGTTGTGGTGATGCGTCCTGCTCTGGTGTACCGTCAGGTTGTGACCCGCTCCGAAGCTCAGGCCGTACGATGACTGCGCGTCCACGGCGTCGCCCCAGGCCCGGCACTGCTGGCCAGGCAGCTCCAGTGGGCCGCTGAGTGGTGTGCCCGTCGCATGGGTGGGCGATGTAACGGGACTGCACCGTCAGCCATGTTTAGGTGCTCAAACGCACTCCTTGCATCTCACACCACAGGCTCACCTCGTCACAATATGCCGAATCGATGGCGAGATCACGTGCAGAGTCACAACCACTACCAAAAGCGCGAACAGGATGCCGTGCATTGGCACAGGGCGTCGGCGGAGCGCCTGTGGGACTATCACGGGCGCCCCAAGTGGCACGGACTCATACCTATTGCCCAGCAGCGGCCGGTAATCGCTGTAGGCTTCCTTGGGCATCATGTTCTCTGTGTAGAAGATTGTGTTGGAAAAAAAAGATGACTAATACAATAACGCCAACAGGCTTAGCAGAGAAATATCAATATGCTGTCCAAAAACAGTCCCCGTCTGCCCACGAACTTAACTACCCCGCCGTTAAACGGCTGCCTGGCATGACGCGAAATGCTTACATTCAATTATCGTTGTAGCCCTACAGAGTACTCGTAAGATGCAAACAGCTCAATTGTTTGGCCAGTTCTAAGCACCTGATTGCCACCTACTGGGCAAAGGCCCCGTCTTACTTGCTTCCTCCTTCCCTTCCTGGGACCGCTTGGGCTAGCCTACAAAACGTGTTACTGACAGCAGCAGGCAGCAGAATTGTTTAAGAATTTGTGGGTCCAGATCACGATCATGTTAAGATCCCGCGTGGCGACGTCAAGTTATAACGCGCGATTTCTGCATCTATGATGAAATCCTTTGAAGACAAACTTTCAGATTATAGGGTCTGCAGATGTGTACGGAGTACGGAGAGTCTTAACACTCCGTGCTTCCGAGAAAGTATTAGGCCTGCCCATATCCTTTTAGCAAAGAAGTGGGGCAATCCGGCCTGCTGCATTTTCGGGAGAATTCGATCAGTTCTACATCTCCATTAAACATCCTGCTCAGCGATTTAGTGTTGTCCAGATTAAAGGATGTCTGGTGTCCAATGCAATTGCAAGCGACAAACCGGTAGACACTCTCGAGACATCAGTTGTGCTCACCATAAAGTTCCAGTCCTCCATCGCCTCCGCAGCCTAATATTACTGCAAAGCCCATCCGCAGCTCCGCTCCTTTCATCGCCTTCTCCCGACTCAAGGCCACCAACGTCTCTTGCAGAATCGGCAAGCACTTCTAATCCGTGTTCTCCGCGTCCCATCCATCAGTCTTGCCCCTAAATTCTTCACCAGAGCGTGCATCAAGTTCTCACAGCACCCGCAGACACCACGCCTTCGATTCGCGGATCTTGGGAGGTTTTCCTCCCCCCGTAACTAAGTTCGGAGCTCGACTGAGGTAAATAGGGACACTTGGATGGCTACGGACGGGTAGAAGCCAGAACTGCAGATTGCGACCCGCAGCTGGAGCTGATCGTTCCCGTCCCAAGCGCCATACTTTGAGCGATGACATAAGAGCCACCTTACAGGAAGGGCATAAGCGGTCTCGTTCAGTGACGAGTTAGAGGAAGACCTAAAGCCTGGTAGTCGGGCAACTTCCGTCGACCAGAGGCCGGATAGCTACTCAATGGCGGGACTCCACTAGAAGCCCAGCAACTCGAGCCGAACGTCTTGGTGAGGCTGCGGGTAATGGAAGTCTGAGGCTGACTAGATAAGCCGCTCTTACGAAGGTGAAGGTGCCAGCCAGCCGTGAAAGCGGATGCTGCGTTCTTGTTGTGCCCGACAGACGTACGCAATATCGGCACATACATACGTCGTGCACGGGCATGGTCGTTTCCGGCCTTGAAAGACTGGTTAGTCCGCTAGTGATGAGAGCCATCGTTTAGGGTGGCTTTGGGAATCCCCTTGTGGTATATGTTCAAAGGCCCTCGCTGCACTTCTGGCCAAGCTTGCGTCGTACAGACGCCGGCAAAAGATTGTACAGTCAGTGTGCAAGGCATTGGCTTCCAGAAAAGGTGGTCTGTGCACTGCCAAGCACATAAATACTCCGACAATGCGGTAAATTAGCCTCTTTCCCCTGACTCTGCCTTTGTGCACCTCGTCTATCATCGCGTCGTCGTCGCGGTCGAGGCCGCCATCGCCCAGCCGCTCTGCACGACCGTGCAGCTCGGGCTCGTCGACTAATTTAAGCTAAAAAGTGAAACTAATATCGCATCGATGCCGCTGCAAACGCCTTAGCCAAGGCACAAAAACAAATGTATAATTTCATATGATCAGAGAGTTTTGAATGCCCATGGAAAATGCACATAACGGGTTAGCCTCAAAACTGTTAGACGAGTATACAAGACCTATTTACGGAGTATTTCCGTTCCGTCTTTCGACCCTTAAGGCTTAGACAATAATGACCTGTCGCATCATATTGTAAACACGAGACTGTGTACTTCGGCGCTCGTACTCTGTGCTTTTCTGTGTCAACGCGTTAAAGCAAAGGCTATTAGCCTCATACATTGTGGTTTTATTTTGATGTTAGACCTAACGGAACAAGGGACGGCACCAGGTCTTGAACAAAGTGCTTGATGGAATTTATGTATAATGATCCTGATCGTCACTTCGACCAAGCGTTACAGCCGGGAGAGCGGCCAACAGCGTGGGGCCATTGTGCAAGTGGTTAGGCCCCTGACATATCATTTTGTACTCCGTAAATCAAACTCGCATTTTTATCTCTGTCACATTCTTTACTTTGTACCCATGTTCCGATACAGCCCCTGTCACTACGACGTCCTCGTACGTATTTTCATCCGCTCTTTACTTGTACTACGTATGAGCATTGCTCTCATCTAGCACAGAAGCTGTCTGCATTAAAGCTGCGAGTGCACCATCCGCCTGACACGGATTGATGCCGACATGACGGCGCATCTTAAGCACCTGTGCCTTAGTCTGCGTCGATGAGAGATACACAGACCGGTGTCTACGACGTACCAGAACCATAGTACGGGTTGCTTAAGCCCCCGCCCCCTTCCACCCCACTGCAAGGATGTAGTAGATTGGATGAGCGGCACGGAAGTACGGAGTATGGAGAACAGAGAACGGAGAACGGAACTCATACTCGTACGAGTAATTACTCCGTGTCTGCTTCTCGGTAAAGAAGGCTAGCATCTCGCACTAGCTTCTCTAGGTAATTCTCCGTCATCCCCGCCACAAACCAGCTCTCAAACACTTCCACTAAAACCAAGGCTGTCAGTGTTTTGGCCGTATCTTAGGACCTTGCTCCGCAAAGAGTCCTTGTACACGTACTTGTACCTCATACTTGTAGTCGTACAGGCATTCGGACCCCCAGCCAACCAAAACACTCAGTCCCTTTACCCCCACGGGAGAAACGGTCGAAAGGAAATCTTCTCTTGCCAATCGTACGTTTTTGATACCCCCCTTTTACGTGCGGCCTGACTCTCCAACCCCAATGCAACAGAGTGCTGTTTTGATAAGCCGGATCACACGACTGGTCTGTTTGAATACTGCGCAAGACCGAAAGCCATGCACTCCAGAGCTCGTACGAGAGCGGGTTGAACGTAGTATAGGATCCGGAATACATTTCCCCTTTGAGCAGAGTGTAACACATAGCCAGCATGGGTCGGATGCAGTGAATCATACGCGCACAGTACTTGAAAGGGATTAAGGGCATCGTTTAATGATTACATAGATCTACTTGAACTGGAAGGACATAAACTTTGAAGGTGCTGAAAAGTGGGAAGGCTATTCCCTCTCTAGGAGGGAAACTGGGTCGTGATCTTCCATGGCCGCCACTAACCGCTCAACAATAGCCCATACCCGCTCCTTCTTCTGCATTGTGTAAGGGCAAAGGACCCATGAAAATCCAGCCATCGACGATTTGCGATACTCCTCCATCACTTCGGGGTTCTTCCTTGACAGCTTCGGTCCGCCAAACACATGCAGCCGCTGGAGATAGTAGTCAAAGATGTCCATCTCATACTTTCGGCGGTCTTCGATTGTCAGGGCCGTCATGACAAAGTAGGCAATGTCCGTGAAGCACGATCCCAGGTGGATGATCTGCCAGTCCACAAGCATGGGGGCCTTGATCCTGTCCGACCATGCGGCGTTGCCGAGATGTGCATCGCCGTGCAGAATGCAGCGGAACTTTGGGTTCCGCGTGGAAAACCACGTCTTGATGGCGGCTGTCATCCGCCGCTGGTCCTTCATGTACGCCGGCACAGGCGGCCGGTCCTCAGCCAGCACGATGGCATCCCACATGCCGCACAGCCCCAGCACCGAGGTGTCGTAGTGGTCGTCCAGCCAGGGTGTATCAGTTGCCTTTGTTCCCCAAGTGGCGCCATGCAGAGCGGCCAGCTGCTCGACCACCAGCATGACACGGTTGACCGGCCAAGTATCGACGGGGTCGGCAAAGACAAAGCCGCCAGTAGCAGCAATGTCTTCCATGATGATCACCGCATTCTCCGTGTTCTTGTGAGCCCAAAGCTTATGTGGCAAGCTCAGGTAGGGGATATGGGGTGCCACGTTGGTGTAGAAATCGACCTCGCGCGCATAAAGGGAGAGAATAAAGGGGAACTGTGAAAGCATGGCTGGGTTCAGGCCGCCCTTGACGCAGAGGTCCATTGGCCTCTTCTTGGTGTTGTCTTCATCCTCTGGTGTGACTGTCATGAGGACCAGGGTTGCCGTGCCCGTAACGAGCCTCTTGTTTGTGATCGCTGACCTCGTAAGGCCTATCTTGGGGCAGAGCCATTCGGCAGTAACATCCTCAGGGAGGCGGGGGAGAACAACAGTGTCGGCCATGGCGTGCGTTATGTTGCGTCGCTGGTATTTCTTGGAAAACTGGAGTATGAGAGTATAACAGACAGATTATAATAGAGGATGATCACTTGGTATGGAACTTTCTATGGTTTCCTTTCTTCCCTTAAGCGGAGTATGTACTTTATATATATAGCCACGAAAATAGGTGGTGGCCCCTTATACAATCCCAACTACGGAGTACTCCGTAATCTATTGAGTATCGCCTTAAAAGGAGACATTGGCAAGGGGGGGAGGCAAACTCGGGAAATACGTGTACAAGTACAATTATGACATCAAACAGGGGCTGTCTTGCACATACTGGTACTCGTAGGTGAGTTGATCCTGCTGTCGCCATTTCCGCCATTTAACGGTACAATGCAACCGCATCAAAATTACCCATACTAACACAAACTGTCAGGCCATCGGTATCGTACATGCTGCTGTTTTTATGATGTCTATGTACCTATCAGTCTTAGCCACGCTTTCTTGTCATATCTGGGGTTAAACGTCTTCAGTTTTCCGTTTTGTCATCTGGGAACTGTGCAAGCATGATGCATTGGCACCGACATGCTGGAAATGAACAGGGCCGTGTTACCGCTGTAAAGGCACTCGAACCGTGGTTTCAGACGATGTCGTATTGCTGGGTGGAGTTCGCGTACCCTGGACACCTCCTGTCAAGGCTATGCTCCGTATTTACCACAAAAGGGTCCCGGCTTCGTCACTCCGTACTCCGTACATGCTATGTAGTAGCCAATAATGGTAGTGGAGCCCGCGGAGAGTCTTTCTCGAAGCCGCCGTGCATGAGGTTACAGTGGCTAGTTTCGGCCGAGTGCACGACGTCAGCACTGCGATGTATCTCAAGTACTCCGTACCTCTGATCCCGCTCCCTGTACTCCGTAGGGGTGCCATCAATGTGCCGCAAGACGGACGATGGTGTTGGTATCGCAATGCCTGTCTTGGTTCCCCCTTTACTGTCACGCAACTGACCGCTACTACCAACAAGACCAACAAGATGTAGGCGACACTGGTATGGCCTTTAACAGACAGGCCATTGGCGGCTTCTGTACGGCCTTTCCTCTCTTCATGTTATCATTCGTTCTTTCGTTTCCAGCTGGGGGAAGAGCCAACTAAATTAACCCGAATTATGTTGGCCCTCGAAACGCTTCGCGGTGTCATGGCCGCCTTCATGGCTGTGGATCTCATCGTCGTTTGTGTGCGCCTCTTTGTGCGCATCAAGTTAACGACGCCCGGAAACGACGACTACTGCATCGTCATAGCCCTCACCGGCTTCATCATCATGTGCTCCTTCGCTTTCGTGGCCCTCTCGTACGGCTTCGGTATCAGTGACGCTGCGAAAATCGCCACATTCAGAGGCTACGATCAGATAAAAGCGTCCAAGTTCTTCACCGTCGCCCAGTTGACGTACGTCGCCAGCTTTCCCATCGTGCGCATCAGCGCGGCCATGGTTCTCCTCCGCATTGTCCAAGACGCCAAGCCACGCATCAAGCACCTACTCGTGACATCCATTATCGTCATCGTTGTCTACTCCCTGGGCTGCATTCTGGTGGACGCGCTGCAGTGTATCCCACTAAAAACCGCATGGGGCGACGGCACGGGGAAGTGCATCTCGTCCCAACGCTTGGCGGGCTTGGCCTTTGCCGTGTCAGCCCTGGATATCGCATCGGCACTGTTTTACGCCGTGCTACCAGTATTCTTGCTCAAGGGCTTGCAGATCGGCCTCAGGACCAAGCTCGCCATCATAATACTGTTGGGTCTCAGTGTGGTGACTGTTGTTATCAGTATTGTACGACTCAGGAGTTTGATCCTGATAGTCAATACCACTAGTGTTTCAACCACTTTATCGCTCGAACTGGAGTCTTTTGTCTTGTACGCCTTCGAACGTCAGTTTCCTTTCTTTCTCGTGCTTTACCTCGACTGACTTGAACTTCTTCTTAGCTCTGCCCTCGAGCTCGGTATATCGATCTTGACTGCCTCCTTGGTAGCTCTTCGCCCCCTCCTCAAGTACATGCCGTTTGGCAGTCGTGGGCGCAGCTCAGGTGCTCGAGGTCGCTCCGCCCCATACGGAACCAGCGGACTATGTACCAGCGGCCCGGCGGAATTTGAGATGGGTCATCGCCTTCATAGCGAAGTCGCAGACGCGAATAGTGACGACGCCGAGAGTCAGCGAGATATATTGCGAGAAGATGGAAACAACGGGGTCTGGAAGCGCTCCAAGGTTTCCGTAACTTACGAAGCAAAGCCGAAGGATGGTGGAACATAGAATATAATACATCCTCACTTTCCCCGAGTACAATTGGTCATTAGACTTTCTATGTTCCATATTTCTACAAGCTGTAGCCAAGTGTTAACGCATTTGATAGCATAGTCGTTAATAGTGGTGTGTGGTACGTTTGTGTGGGAGGATTGGATAATCTAGAATAAAGCATTTGCACCAATCAATGAAGAAGGGAATATCCGCCGCTAGAATAGCTGCTAGATCTTTTTTGAAGAAGTACGGAATAGCGTTTCTGCAATGCACCAAATGGTTGGCTGCACGCGACTAATTGCTTATTAATACATGGTGTTATTCCGTTTTATTCGGCGTACAACTGTGTGGTTTTAGCAATCGCCGTCTTGACTTTCTTTCGATGCATGGTTTTTCAACAAATTTCTCTAGCCTCTTCTTTCCCCCTGCGTTCATGGATCCCGGGGATTTAGAAAGCACACCACTTTCCACCTCTTGCATCTTTTTTTTTCTTTCCTTTTCAACATGTTGCTACTATGATTTCGAAAACCCCAAAATAAAGATCTGCTACTTCGCCTAACGTCAAACAGAGAAGTCCTTAATTGGGAAACATATGTAGATTTCTTCTTGACCGACGCTTTGATATGGCACAACACAAGGGATGGCCACGATGTCGAAATAATTATCCTTAAGTAAACCCAGTATACCCTAAATCGACATCGAAAATGGCTTATAGCCAGCCACATAGCCTACTAACAGCCAGTCGGTGCAGTTGGGCCACACCTTCACAAAGTCCTAACGTCCCTACTTAGACAGGCAGCCCACAACATCGCTCGTTTGTCTGTATCGGTTGTAGAGTCGAGCACTTCTGATGTTCTCCTAACCAGCGCATAGTACCATGCCCCGTGCACTGAGAGTGTTTGATTGGGGCATAAACTGCGAGGCCCCAATATCGGGTCGCTTCATGGACGTCAACCATCTAAGATGAAATGACCAGTATCTGGCTCGTATCAGTTTCGGTTCCCTCTTCTCCATCTCTGTGTCACGTTGGACATGTTTTCTTGTTATGTATAGTATACTTCTCTAAACCACCATCAACAATCGGAAACTCATTATTAAAAGAAAGAAATGTCCCTACCCAACTTTAAGAATCACACGTCTCCCTGTAAAACGCTGTTCAAGTAGCCAGAGTCACGACCCAATCACGATTTTTTTCACTTATTCCCAGAACGTCTTCTGCCATCACTTACCGGGCATGGAGAAGTGCACCAAGAAGGCAAGGCTGCATGGCTGGTCTGAGGTTGACAAGGCTCGCAGCAGGCACACCAGCCTCAACAACAGCGTCCCTGTTGCCGTCGACCAGTTTAGGAAGAGCATGCCGAACCATGCGCCCAAGTGGACCTGCCTTGGCGTTGCCATCCTAGCGACCCCAGGCATGAGATCGAGATTGACTGCGAGGCATACGGGCATATGCTAATCATAGATGTCCGGTCTTAGCAATATAAATGTGAGTACTCTGTACCTCGTACTGTGTGGTTATTCGTTCTGTGTGGCGCAGCAGTTGGCCGCTCTTTGCGGAGTATTCCATACTACGGAGAACTCCGTACTTCGTACCTGCACAACGGGCCCATATGCTCCGTACAGCAACCCCGTAATCAATTATAACATAGCGATCGGCCTTCCAAATTCAAGTACCGGTTGTTATGCATTTCGTTCTTACAGCAGGTCGATCAAAATGCTGTGATCGCTAAGGACAAAGTCTAAGGCCTCGGTTCCTGCGGAGCTCGATGATGCATTTTTGTCGTTATACGCGACATCGTTCCCAATCACGTTAATGTCGCCACAGGAGCTCTGCGAGCAGACGCTCCTTATCGTCTACGGCGGGTACCTGGAGCAAGGAAATTCTATCTGCGCTTTGAACAGCCAGGCCTTCTTACCGACAGTTCGTCTAGTGCTTATTACCCCTGTAAGCGTTTGCCGGGACAGGGGTACTTACGGAGAACTGCCCCTAAACTACGGCGTAGGCGATCATGTCTCCACTTTAGCTTCCCTTCTAGTGCACCCCCCTGAACATCATTTCCAGCTGTTTGGGTCTGCTACTACGGAGCACGTCGTAGGCGTAATTTGTTCACAGGTTTCTAATAATAACTGCCATCACTCTGCACTGATCTCCTTCAGAAACACGAGCGTGATAAGGAATAGACCTAATTACGACGTACTTAATCCACTTTCTTATATGACTGCTTCCACTGCCTGCCATAGTGGATATACGTAGGGATCACCAAATGGCAGAATTTGCGAGAAGCATACAGCTGCAACCCCCTTCTCTCGATCCACAGTCCAAAAGCAGTTGCAAAGACCTGTTGCCGAGCCTTTGGTAAATGAGGCAGCCCCTGGACTGGTCTGGAGAAGCATGGTGAGACCCCAGCCGTAAGTTTCCAAGGCCTCGGTCGGTTCTGCTGTCGGGTCATCGCGTATGCAAAGATCGGGTCTGCTCGTCACGTGCGGACCACCGGTGACGTATTTTCCCATGTAGTCAGGTATCTGGTTCCTGAACATCTCGTCGACAGTCTCGCTCGCCAGAACTCTCTTCTGTGTGTGCGGCGATACACCGTCGCCGAGGAGCATAGCCAGCACTCGACTGTAGTCCGTCACGGTGCTCAGAAGTCCGGCTGCATACCAGTCAGGCAAACACAGATGCGGAAGGGAGGCAGAAAAAGTGTGCGGTGCTGCACTGACCACCGGCAGACTGGAAGTAGTCCTGCCCCTCTTCCCGAGCTGGACGATAGAAATGCGGCTCTGCAGTCAGATTATCTGCTCTCCGGTGGAACATGGCCATTCTAGACCGCATGTCTGTAGAGGGCATGAAGCTTGTGCTGGTCATTCCCAGGGGCTGGAAGATGTTAGTTTGGTAAAACTCTTCGAGAGTTGTCTTCGCGCAACGGTCTATGAAAACACCAACCCAGTCAATTCCGACCTGTATAAAGCCTTGTTAGCACATGCATCGAACAGGAAGAAGCGGCAAAGCTTGCTGAGTAATCATGGCTGGTGCCTGGCTCGAAGACAAGTGGCTGCTGTATGCCAGAGAAGTCTCCTTGGAACTCATCCATTAATGCGTCCATGTGGAAATGGCTTCGCCAAAGATCTTCATGGTAGAATGAGTATGAAAATCCTGCTGTCTTAAACCACGTTAGCTATTATTGGTGCAGTATTTCGTAGACAGGCCGTCTGGCTGCTGACATGAGTCATCAACATCCTTAAAGTGATCCGGTTACGCTTTGGCCTAAGCCTGCCGTCCTCGAGAATTTGTACCGTCTTCAGCTCGGGGACCATTTCTTCCAATAGGTCTGCTGAGTCCAGATCGGCCTTGCCCTGCTCGACCAGGATCATTAAGGCAACTGCCGAGACCAGCTTCGTGCACGAGGCTATCCAGAATACGGTGTCGGTCGTCATAGGCTTAGTGGATCCGAGCCCTTTCAGACCTGCTGCACCGGAATAGGCCGAATTGCCATGACGGTCGACTACCTGCAGGACAACACCTGGGACATGCTGGGAGTTGGCCGTGGCTTGGTGCATCAAGAAGACAAGCCGGGCCGCGAAGTCGGACGTCACTCCAGCCATTGAGACGATCTCGAGGTGTGTTGTTGTAGGTAAACAGATTCGGGAGCTCGCGCCTGCGTGAATTTAAATGTTGCAGCCAGTCAGACTCGCCAATCGGGTATCTGTTCGTGGTGGTGGTGTGGATCTTCTCCGAATCGGATAACAGTTCCGACACAACTAGCTGCATGCTGTGAGATGATACGGATAGAGCAGGCATTGAGGCCCATTGCACCTTCATCATAGTAGTATGAAGCCAAAACCGGAACATGTTACGCTGACAATGGCATCGAGTTCGGGGGAAAGAGAGGCCTCCAAGTGCCGGGCGATTCTTTGAGACTTCATGCCGAAGAGGTCGCACTGGCGTATAGAGCTGCATTAGGACAACAAATGGCAATACTTCTTGCTGATATGCTGTTGTATTGTCAAAGGTACTTGCGCCATACTGCAAAAGTAGGGATCCCTTACCTTCTATCGTAATAGGCAGGGTTGTATGACTGATTCTGATTTAGCACCTGCGAAATCGAATTTGATGTGCTAGGCTACTACTGTAATCGGAGCATTACAGGAGTGCCCTCTTCCGTAATTGCGTTGCAAGTCCTGCTGCTTGATTTTCTCCCACCCGGAGCCTCTTCTGCCCTGCTAGTGGTCCCTTCACATCCGGTTTTCCGTCACAATTATAGAGCAGAGTCTGCACAGAAGTTACCGCTGTCGTATATGTGCGTATGCCATCAGTAAGAATGGTCTGAAGGCTTCGGACCAAATTGGTGTCCTCATTAGCCGCTAATCACGCATTATCAGCGCATAGGGTAGGCCAGGTGGCTACGCCCTTGACGACAACGACTAGCATGCTCCTCCGCATCAGACAGCCATTCAAGGCAGGTCTGCGAATGACCGATACAGTCTCCAGTGGAGGAGAGACAGACGCCCCGCTGACGCGGACGGACTGATCGGCAGGGCAGGCCTTAACGTAGGGCTAAACGGCGAAGGGATGGGCCCAGACGCCCGAGCAGACGGACCTGAAAACAAGGACTGGCCGCCAGAAAATCTGGAGTGCAGCACTTGCGACAAGACGACTGTCCCACTCTAGGGAGTCACCCTGACGTGCGGAGGGGGTCGAGGGGGCATAATCGTCGGGTGCGGCGTCATAATCACGGACGAAGTGGCTACAGTCCTTGAGCCGAACGCTGGAGTCGACTGCACTGCCGCAACGTTGGTGTCGCGAATATCGGCCAGCGTGATGAAGGTGGAACTGCCTCACGAGCGGCCACCCAACTAATGCCTACCTCGGAATTGTGCAGCCAGCGCGTTCTGGAAGTCAGCACGGCCACGCCACTGCTCACTAACCACGCAGGCGTTTTTGGGCATAAGGGCTTTACCATCGGGGAGCAGTGATCCGACGGGCTAAAAGGCCACAACAGCAATAGCACAATCCTAGTGTTAAGACAAACGCACCACGAAGAGTCCAACGCATGAGCCGCGACGAGGAGCTGGGCAATGTCGGGAGCCGCCGTGGCCGCCGTGGCCACGAATGTTGCCAGCTTATCCAGCACCGGGTTTAGAGAATACGTAGGCAAGAGTAGCTGCCCGGCCTAGACGCGGTTAGAAGCGAAAGCACCGCTGGGCCCCCAACGGAATTTACGGCAGTCAGCCGCTGCAGGGCTAAGGAAGCCGTAGACAAGCGGGTCTGATTTCGCGCCTCGTCCACAAGAGTAGTCAGGGCACCGTCCCGCGAATAGGTCCCCTCTAGCAGGTCGCCGGTGCACACCCGGCCGAAGGCACTGGAGGCAGACGCTAAGCATTGCAGGCCAGCCTCAGCCGGAGACAGAGAGTAGCCCACTGGCGGGAGCGCTCCGGAAGAAGCGGCGTTGCGTAACAACGAGGTCGCGCTGTTCCTGGCGCCTTTCGTCTGCGCAGCAGTTGAGATGCGGTTATCTACCTGGACGAACGCTGTTGCGAAGTAAATCAGCAAACAATGCTGATCCCTCTTTCTTATAAGTAATTGATTGCGTCGTAGACACCATGGGCAACGTGTGGAGTGGTCTTCCTCCTGCAGTTGCCGTCGTGCAGGATTAATCGAACCGTAATAGCCAGTGATGGCGGTTTGCTCGACTGGTTCGCCTCAATGTTTCCGCAGTCGTCGGAGATGTAGACGGGAAGGTTCATCCACCCTACCACCAGTTCCGTAGCCGTCTTCTGGTTTGTTATGTAAAATGCAACCGGTAGGACAGGAATCTGAGGCCGAGCTACATATAGAGCTTGTCTGGTAGATATACACGCTTTGGTTGCTCTCTTCCTTGCATATGGTGTGCATCATAGACCAGCGTGTAGGTTTAGTCGGGCAGTACAATATATTGCACTTGTCTGGCCATTTGAAGTCCATTTCCTAGAGAAGAAAGGAGCTCTACTATGGCCGTGTCATGCGTTTCAAGTTTCGTAGCTCTTAGCGCTCGGTCCAATGTTGTCTCGTGCTCGTACCGCTTCGGAACCGGCTCATACTCCCTAGCCTACCTAAACCGCCGATTGTGAGTTGCTTATACAGGTTGAAACAACGAGGGATTGACGAGTTTTGTTAACTAACCACTGTGACCATTGTATGCAAGCGTTTTATGGAAGAAAGAGAACGAAAGCTAGCGATATGCGAATGTGTATTGCAAATCATATCGGATCGCAATACTTTGTAGGAACATTGCAGGGTCTTCTAAGACTCTATTCGATGTTAGTGCTTTCGTTGACAGGATGTTCTTCATTCTTACATCTGAGATGGCTCATCCGCCACCATCGTATTGCTGATCAAGCTGACATCCCGTCACACAAGCCGCTTTATGCGCCCATGTTTCGCTTCTTAGGTTCCAAGTATATAAGGTGCCTTTTCTTTTCTCTGGCAACAATTCTCTTTAGTACGTTAGTACCGCCCAGGCTAAGCGGACGAAGAGATACAGGACAATATCGTATTCTCCTTTATACTGCACTCCGACGTTAACATGTCGGGTTTAGCTCCTGTGCGTCTGACGATATGTGTTACTTGAAGTGATAGATCAGTATGTTCATGGTATATGCCATACGTAGACGTACAGTGGTCGCCGAAAACCATGCCTTGTGGCTTTTTGTGGTACTCGTACCGCTATTAAAGTAGAAGAAATACGGGAGTACTTCGCACGCACTGTAACTTTTAGGTCAGATTTTCTCCGCATAATGTCGAGCACGAGAATGGGGCGCACTGTGGATTTACCGGCTAGGGCTTCAAAAATGGTATTTCAATGGCCAGACCTAGGAGAAGCTACTTAGGGCTTGTGGAGTGTGGCCAAACACGTAGTAGGCCTGAGCTACTGGCCGATGAGTAGCGTGTCAGTAGCCACCTGACACGCTAATGGTATCTAGCTTCAGTGGCCTAAATAACTCGTACTACGATGCTGTAGTCCATGCTGCTTACGTTGATGGGCACACAGATAGAATCTAGATAAGTTAGAATCATACATCCACTGTGATAACAGGCCTGACAACTCACCACAATGAGGACCGTTGCCGTAAGACCGTTCAGTATGGATAACACGGCTTAGATTTAACCGAATATGCTTAACGAATAGGATGTCCTTTCAACGCCGGCTCACGGAGTGCAGAGCATCGCGAATCCAGGCGTAACTACAGCAAAATTCAGGTTAGTGAGAGTTGCCTAAAATGCAGTAGGGTCCGACTGACCGTAGCTTAAGATCTTGAAAGCCGTATCGATACCTAGAAGGCATGAAGCTAGTGAAATCCAAGGTATCGGCAAGTGTTCAGTAAGTATGTATCTGTACAATAGCGCAGCCGGTCAGGATCATATAGTAGATAAAGCCAACTATCGCAGTGACAAGAATCACCAGATGGCACGACCAGAGACAAACGTTGAGCGTCGGATGCACTTTGGTCTTACTTATTCAGCCTGTTAGTTTGAGGATCACCGTCAAAGGGGACAAGGCACTGAAAGCCCAGGACATACCTGGATCGCAGAAACTTCAAGCGAGTGTGAAACCCTGCCGTCTTTCTGTTAAGATGCCGCCACTTATGCTCTAAAGGTAGATTTAGATAGGAGAAAGACCATGAAAACGTATTAAACAGCTGCGCCTTCAGTGGCGAGGCGGCAACTTCAAAGTTCGCAAATTTGAAGCAATCATCAGTATTGAGCCACACTGCGCAGCTGCGCCCAAATATTAGCGGAAAACAACTCACCGGGTATACGCATTGATGACTGCGTCATCATTTGTTATGGGGAAGTTGATGACCAAGTACCAAACCGTCCTAACAACAAGCTGCACCACAATTGTTATGTAGAGAATCGCGGGACCATACGGGTCTACTGTGGGATCTCCTTGGCTATGTGGCGAGAATCATTGAGTACCATCAGAGCTATCGAGCTGTTGTAGAACCTTTAGACAACGGGCATGGCTAAGGATGAGTTGTCTGACTCTTTGGCCACTATCGGGAACACAGATGCGGCATCGGTCTGGGCGCTTTGGCAAGTAGGGCTATAGATAATCCTGTAAGGCCTATCACGGAAACCAGCTTGGGGGTCAGCACTGTTTAGGGGCAGGGTGAGAAAAGGAAGAAAGAAAGAAAAGACGCTTCTTACATCCGACATTTGCAAGGGTAGAAATGATGCCGCGAAGAAACCTGTTGATGAGCCACGCCCGTTTCTTGTGACCCCGACATAAACAAGGAACAGCTGGTACCGGCAATTATGGGCAAAAGAAGGCCTGCTGTAGCACTAAGGCGAATATCATCGAAGACACAACGGCGCAGCATTCCGTCGATGCCAGCGACCAGGCCAGAAAGCTCATCCAACCAAGAACGAAGTCCGGAAAACGGCGAAGGTTGCGAAGTGGTAGGTATCCTCTAGGTCCGATGGCTTGTCAGACAAACAATGCGAGAGAGACAGACAAAGAAAAGACATGACAGCCGGAAAGACAGGCACACTCAGTCACAAGGTTGCAATACCCGAAAATGCCCGAAGCAGAACTTGGAGTGAGAAGAAGAAGACCCACAAGCCGTGTAAAATAGCCAGAAGTCTGTGATCAGACCAGGGTATTCATTCTTTACGCAAGATACAAGGCCGTCGTGTCTGGTTTCGCACACCGTGATGCTCTCATTAATTTCAGTGCCCCAGAATATTCAGTCTATGTAAGTGCGGTCAGCGATGCTCAGGCTCTGTGCCATGCCAAGGAAACCCATTTATCTCGCACGCTGTGGTAGTCGCCCTGGATCACAATAGCTTTTCCGTTCATGCTTCAGCCGGTGATCTTCGTTGTAATGACCTCGACAATCTTCTCAGGGGCGTGATCGCTTCCTTCTGGGAAGAGAGACCAGCCGGTGCTGCTCACCAGCCCCGTCAAGACGTTACATTGGTTGATGCAGTTGATCCGGATGCCGTCGTGGCAAAGAGCCTCGGGGCAATTGAGCGCAGGAAGCCCACACAGGCATGCTTTGCTGCAGATACGGCTTGTCTCTGTACGGACAAAAGGGTCCGGTCGAAACCGTGATCGGAATGCGTTTGTCTACTTCATTCTCGCCTTTCCGAAGAATATGCATTCCAAGGTAGCACGTGACGATAACACTGTCAAGGTCGATGGCCAACGAAGCGATATCCGGCTTACGGAGTAGAGGGGAAGCCAGATCCATGTCTTTGTGGTCCCAAAACAGCTCGTGATCGGCGATTCCGGCACTGGCACTGCTTGTTAAACATGGTCCATGCCTGGACGACCTGGAGGTTGTGTAGCGCAAATACCCCGGGGAACGCATTACCTGGCTGCTCATGGTCGGAAACATTGACCAGGAAAGACTCAGCGCCAATCTCGTCGGCAATCTCCGAGTCGTCTACGACAGAACCAATGATTGCAACGATCCAGCCTTGCAGAAGCAGCGACTTCGTAACGGCAAGACCCATCCCGGACGCTTCTAAAACCGATCGTCAATACGCTGCTCCATTTTTGGCGGGCCTACATAGGAGGTATACGACGTACCTCCACCCATGATCACCGCTACTTTCTTTGACATGTTTGCCGCGCTAAAGCTTTCAAATCATTGAGTGCCGATTATTTTGATCAGTAAACGGCGGGCTGGTCCCCCCCCTGAAGACGTGAATGGTGCCTTGTCCCTAAATTCTCGAATGTCGTATGCGCATTCAGACTGCTGCCTGCGGCCTGATTGTTGATGCGATCAGCTAAACCAGAAGAGGGTTCCGCTCATGACATCTTGTAGCACCAGACAGCCAATAATATGAGGCGTTTTATCGTCTGTTTGGACGACGGGTCTGGAAGCTTGTGGATAGGCTTTATGCCAAGTGCCAAGTATGCAGGGGTCGGAGCATTTCCGGCACTTCGGCATGGGCAGTTTGCACGGACATCGTTTGTCTTTGCTGGGTGCTTGTGTCTTCAACATTGCAAATTAACTTGCTGATGTTACGAGAAACGTGTTTGAACCATCTGGGTCTCAATTTGAGCCCTTCAATAGACAATCGTATTTGATGCTTTCCCAATACTTCGTAAATTCAATGCAATATGTACTTCGTAAGATAAGATACAACGTAATAAATGAGTGCTTTAGTGGGTCGTAGCACTATCTCCTAGCAGAGTAGCAGCCAAATGCGGCGTCGCAATGTTCCCCATTCTGGGGCACTGTACTCTGGAACATGCAGCCGATGTTTCACGGCAGCTGCATCATTCTCGTTCGCTTCACCTCTGGGCCGTCCTTGCCCAAGTATCTGGGCGTGTATAGGCTGGAAGATGTTAGTCGAGCAAAAACAAAAAGAAAAAAAGAAAAACACGGCTAGGAATCGGGGACGCTCTGCTGCGCGCAAGTCTTACCTCCAGTGCAGGTTTCCAAGGGCGATATTGCGACAACCTTCGACGAATTTCACAACGTCGCGATCGATCTTCTCGCCCCAGAACGGCATATGGCTCAACGCATCGAACCATCTACGGTAGCAGCCGTACAGCATCTCGCCGATTTGGTCAGCGGCCTCCTGGTCGCTCATTCCCTGGTCCTTGAGAATAAACATAATATTGCTGTCCTCACCCTTGATCAGGTCTTTCTTGTACGAGCACAGGTCATTTTGCCTATCGCAGCTGTCAGTCTGGAGCCAATAAAACACGACAGGAAATGGGAGATTGCCTACAACGTGACCAGGTCGCATGTAATCCGTGAAATGGCCTGCATCGACGGGTGATCCATAACGTGCTGTGGTATATCGATGCCCTCAGCGTACCTATGTTACAGCGAGTTAGCGCTGTAAGTGGAAAGACGAGCCAAATTGCGCAGTCGCAATTTGCGCGCACTCACTCCATGAGGCCAATGCAAGGATATGCTCCCACGCAGCCCGCACGCATATCCATGTATTCGGCGACTGTTGGCCGGCTGGCAGAGGCCTTGTTCTGAATACCAACCTGCTGCAACACGCCGACGCAGTACAGCGTCAAGTGCCGCTTCCAGCGGTACTGCAGGTTGGGGCTGGCTCGCTCCTTGAAACGCATCCAGCAGGATTGCAGCGTATGCCGCAGCGGATTCTCCTCTGCAGAGACTACCGGATGAACGTCATCCAGCATGGAGAGTGTGTAGATGACTTCCTCGGCTGCCCTGACAGGGTCACTGGCAAAGTCGCCTTCGTCGAAAGCTGCAGAAAACGTCATTCCAGTCAGCGGAGTCCATGCGCAATTTCGGTAAATGTTAGTGGCCTGCCGCAGATCGAAATGTGCTCTAATAGGCCTGACGCACAGTAGCGCGGCCCCCAACGTCTGATCGCAGCCCCCAATGGCCCCCAACATCTGATCCTGGGTGCTGGAATTGCAACTTACGGTCATCAAAGGCAAACACCCAGCCGTTCCAGTCGTTCATCAGCTTCAGCGTCTCGGCATCGGCGTGCGGTGCCAGGATAGCGCTCATGTAGGCAATGTCCAGCCGGTCCCAAATGTTGGCTGTCTTGTCGTCCATTTTCAGGGCACTGTTCTTAGTCAGCATTGTCGCGATCTCTTGCGCCAGAAACACACTTCAGACAGGACTGCCTCCTTACTTCCGCAGCCACGCGTCAGACTGTGCCTTTGAGGTTCTGTGCATGGGGTTGATTTCCGGTTCCACCGACATGATGGACGAGAATAGCGCCTCCGGCAGTTTGATCCACCGGCCGTGCGCATACTCCTGGAGCTTGTCGGCAGCCTGCGCCTGGTCGAGGCAGCAAGCATCCGGCGGCGTGAGCGTGCCGGACCGGCTGGGGGGCGGTGTAATCATTGCACTGGAGGCCATGGCTTGCCAACACGTGTCGTTTAGCGTCCTGACAATTTCACTCGTAGAGGGTCTGATCGCGAGCTCCGTAGGGGAACCAGGGAAACAAAGAGATTGGAGGCTGCGGAGGATACAGGAAGAACTGGGATCTTTCGTCCAGAATGTCGCTGCTTCACACAGAATTTGTAAGATATTCGCAGCAGAGCTACGACGTGTATCCTTGATATTTATAACCTGCACTAACGGTTGTCGTCTGGCTTTCTGTCCCATAGTACGAGGAGCATTGTCTCGACCTGTAGAACGCGTTTAGGATTGGCTCTAGACGAGGAAAGCGGAACGCTTGCCCACAGAAACGGATTTCTGTCAATAGCTCCTCGCACGACGCATCAGTGTTGCCACCGCAGTACAGCCTTCCATCCGACAAGTCACAACATGCTCGAAAGGAAGACGGGCGAAGCGAGGAGATTACTGGAGCATCAGGCCTCACCGCCATTACACATACAACGTTCAGGGCTTCATTCGGAAAGGATGCCCCTGAGGGTCCTGTTCGTTTAGCGTCAATGCCCTCAAGGGGTGCTACGGAAGCTTGCAACGGAAATGGCTTCTGCAGGGATCGCGGCCGGCCAGGGGCAGGGGTGTTTGTCATCGACACCTACCATGTATTCGTACTCCGTACGTCGTATACGGGGCAGAGGTATGGAGTGGAAATAATACACCGTACGTAGTCTTCTGACCGAGCTTATTTCAAAAAGGCACCACCCTGCTTATTGGCCTGAGGTGAGCAAAGCAGGGCCCATGCGAGCTAGCGACGAGAACGTGCGTCGGATAAAAAGCCGCAGGATGGGCTCATGCAGCTTCGTGTCTCTCCTTCCTGACGAAGCTACCTGCATGAGTGCCTGCCGATGCTACGATGGCGTCCAGTGCAGTGCAAGCGAAGATACATTACATAAAGTTGAGCACATCTCGGGACGAGGTACGCTTCCTGGAAATCGAGCCAGCCAGCCAGCTCAGCGACCAGGTCGTCTGCCGCCTCGTGTCACTGCCTCTTCGCGACGGCGTCGAATTCATCGCCATCTCCTCGCTGCTGGGAGACCCGACCGTGCAGGAGAAGATCCTCCTGGACCGAGCATACATCCCCGTACCAGTCCACATAGCGCAGGGCCTGAAGCATGTACGCGCCGTCTTCTACCCGGCCCTTCAGAAGGCAAGCCAGGAAAACCTTGCGCGGCGAAAGGAAAGCGCGGCGCCAGGATGGCTGCGAAGCTTGCTCCGACACTTTGGCGGACGGGAATACGACGGAAAGCCGAAGCTGCGGGTATGGATCGACTGCATCTGCCTCAATCCGGCGGATGCGCGCGAGAACTCCAAACATCGAGTCATCATGTATCACGTCTACCAGCATGCACAGATGGTGGTCGGGTGGGTCGGACTGAAGATTCCGCAGACGGAGCTTGGCATCCAGCTGATCCAGGAATTCGACAAAGCCATGCCGCCCGAGTGGCAGGAGCCTGGCGACAAGGAGGCCCATCCGGAGAACTACTCGCCCTTTCACGAATGGGCAGTGCCTGTCATCGGCCTGTTCGATCCCGGAGCCGAAGCCGCCATTGGCTGTGCCGACTTCCTCAACCGCGACTTCTTCCACCGCCGTTGGATCCTCGAGGAGATGGCCATGGCACGCGTGCCAACCTTTTTGATCGGCGATCGCATCGTGTCCTGGAAGCAGATTTTGCGCCTGAACTTGGCCATGGAAGAGTTCAAGGATTTCGAATCCGACGTCTGTCCTGCCTCCACGCGGCCTATGATCCACGAGTTCCCTCTGGGCACCATCCACGAGCTGCTGGATGAGTTTGAGAAGCGCAAGAAGATGTCCAAGATGGCGTCTCTGAACAGCCAGTCGATGACGGGAAGCACCCGGAGTTCCGACTCAAAGGCCCGCTAGAAAGTTGCAGCAGTGAGAGGCGGACGGCGCGAAATGTCCAAGTGACAGCCTGATGCAGTCTTCTGTTTCGTGTACTATACACAATTGCCTGTACTATTTTTTTCCTTTCTATTCCTTTTCTTTGTCTTGCACCATCATACCCATACTTTGCGTTACAACAACCTAATTGAGCATTGTTTTCCGCGTAAGCACTGTTTTAGACCAATACAATCCAGTTACCAAGATCCATGCATACGTCGTCGTACCGACCACGTGTTTGACAGGCGCGCTACACCGGCTTCGCTTACACCATAGAGCCGGTTCTTGAGCTTTGTCGGCTGTCACACAACACCAATCGGCTCATAGAGGCTGTGGGCCGGGCCGGAAGGAGAATAGTGAGGGTGTCCGTGCCCCAGAGACACGTAGGATATTGTCCGAAGAAATACATTTAGATTCCACCCATGGCCTCTTCTTGCATATGATTTGTCAAAGATCGTCGCTTTTGGAAGCCAAGCAGGCATAAAACAGGTCTGAAAACTCTGCCATGTGGCCCGTGCATTGTTACTCTGGTATCTTGTCTTGTAGTTGGAATTCTTTTACTGTTGCCGCCGGACTCGATTTGCCGCCACGCTGGACTGATCCGGGACGGATGGGACTGCGTCTCTGGAAGTGGGCTGATAATATACAAAACAGCTTGATCGTCTGTGCAGCTATGTAACGGTATGGCTTTGGAGGGTTTGTGGCGACGAATCATAAAGGTGAAGCAATACTTGTATGGAGCAGATGCAGACACCAATGGAAAAAGAAGCATAGGGACAGATCAGATCTGGGCATCCTTGCATCCTTGGACTAATCAACGGTTCCCAAGATAACAAAACTCCGGTTGCTGCGGGTTGATGGGAAGAATTTGTTCTATTGGCCAGCGCTAACCCTAAATCGCATTAGCTAGTGGCCAAAGACGTTCGTTTTTACACATTTTGAGTACTCCGTAACTTACGAATGATCACTTGGACGAGCTATCGAGAATACGATACTCCGGACGACGTGGCGGGCAAGAGGACGTAGACGGGCAGAAGCCGAAAAAGGATGTCAACTGGTCTACGGAGTACTGTAACGGTCGGTTACACAATCATATGGGATAAGGCGGGTCGTCTCGGCTGCAATTCTGGGTTTCGTGTTGCAATCAGTGGATACAAATGTAACTTTACGTCGTACTCCGTAGTCGGGTTTACTCCATAGCCAACATGGACATCCTGGCCTTCCAGAGTCAAAATCCAGGCCTCCCTGAATCGTCCTTGAGGAATTGCGCCATTTTCAATTGCCCCTTATCAAGGCCTCCGCTGCTAGCTTCCTCGAGGCCGAGGCACATGTCAATAAACTAGCTCTCGCCGCCGGCACCGTGCGTGCGAAATTCTTACCGAGGAAGATACATGAGCCATACCCGAGTCCAAACTGGTACTTGGCGTAGATGGCAGCGCAGGATTCGTTCTCGAGCCAGCGTTTCGGTCGGAAGTCCTCGAAATCCGGCCCATGAATTTCTGGGCCATGGTGCACAACATACGGTTTGCAAGTGATATATTTGTGGACCTTGGTGATCATAGCGTACCTCTGCGCAGCCGGGTGCCATTTTTCTATTAAACTCTAGCCCGCCCTTCGGAGCTGGGTGAGGGAACAAGCTCGGAGCAGGAGGACATAGATGCTGAGTCTCCTTGGCACAGGCCAAGTCTGTGCCATGCTTTAGCAGGAGTATGTGGAGCTGGGGGGGGCGGACAGCCCGGGAGAGAGAGGAAGAGAGGGGAAGAATGATTGTCCAGGCACACTCACAGTAAGGACAGTTCTCCATGACCTCGGCTAATTGGGAAGTGTTGCTCAGCTTCCCAAGCTGGGTGCGCTCGTCCGGCTCAGCCATCGTTCTGTCGTAGGCTCTGGCGTCGCGCATAATGTAGCTGAGGAGAGTCTGGATTGTCGTTGCGACAGTATCTACGCCAGCCACGTTAGTAGCAAGTCAGAGGGCATTTTTTGGCGCTGGGAACGGGAAGAAAACAACGGCTCGCAGGATGATACAAACTGCTGTTTCGATGTGCTCAAATTCCAGGGACTTTCCATCGGTCTTGATTTCGAGCAGCCTGCGAGAACATGTCAGCATGCTTGGAACGGGATTCGGTCGTATACTATCAGCCATACAATTGGAGCAGGTCAGATCTGCCGTCAACATTGCCAATCCCGATGTCTGAGATTCTTTGGTCGATCAGCTTGTCGCGGAACTATAAGCCGTGAGCAAGATGGGACCAAGAAGAGGGGAAGAGTGCGGAGCTTATGCCTGCATGACCTTGCCGATGCCATCGTCGTTCTGCGGCCGGGCGATCTTGCACTCCTGCTGCTGTACGATCATCGGTTTTCTGCCCTGAATCATCACAGCATCGCCACATACCTCGTCGACAAAGGAAAATCACCAGGCGGCACAGCCGGCCGAGAAGCAACGAAACGAGGTTGTAGGGTCGGCCGAGAAGCATGGCGTGCCGCCAGGCTACTATACAAGCTTCCGATTCCTAGGTTCGATGCTGGAAGTGGGCCTTGGCCTTGTGACCAATCCTGTCATACATCAGCGCGAATCTTAGCCCGGACAAGAATATCAACTGGTTTCACCAACGACCTGCTGCTCTTCCTCAAAAGCCTCGCGCACCACAGCTGCCAGCTTCACCCTGGGCGAGATCAGCGGTTGCGTGTCTTCCAAGCTGATTGGAAACGTCAGATATCAGTTCGTGTTTGCTTGTCTCCTGCTCTTCTTCCTTTTTCTGGCTTTCTTTCTGTATTCTAATTTTTCATAATCCTCTTATTCAACCCGCTTGCACTTTCAAACAGCCGGTGCATCTTGCACCCCAACACAGAGCCGTGATATCGGCATCTCTTCGCTGGCACTGTCCTTGTCGGCTGGTGTCATCTTCTTCAACCTACCCACCATTTTAGACCAGACTGAAACCTGCACGACCGCAGGGCTCGGGGACTCTTGACGTACAGAATATCCACCATATGCTCGGTCATCTACACTGTCATACTCGACAACTGGCTGGCACACACAATCCTAATACAGTGTCAAAGGCCGTCGCTGCTAGCCTCCCTAAGAGCTCAGTGGCAGCTTTCTTGACGGCCTTTGCCGATGAGACGACTGCTGCTTTCGCCACCGTTCAAGGCCTTACTCTTGAGTTGGAAAACACGCCTACAAAGTTGCCAACATAGAGGCTTACAAAACCGTGTCTCTGACCCCACTGGAGTTTAGTGGACTGGCCATTATCGCGTCTCTGTCTGTGGGCCGTGAAAACTCAGGTCAATCGATGAAGTATCTATAAAACTGCAGTCCGGTTCAAGGAAGAGGATGTGTGAAGTGCAGATGCCCGTCACTGTACTTTCATTATCTTAGGGCATATGAGATATATGTACTCTGCAGAACGATCCATACAGGCACGGAGCTCATGGTGCTTCCGTCGTACGACATGTTTGTTCTGCTGCAGTCACGTTACAACAACAGTTATGCCTATGTTGTGCAAGTATCATGCGACAATATAGTATCTAAATAACCGGAAGGTAATAACGGCCAACATCCGGCCGTTTCCTAAGAGGGTGTCCAAAGCCGTTAGCGCCTTCATACTCGTACGAGTACAGTCATGATCTGTTCTCCACCTGATGCCATAGTATATATACTGTGGGATGCTCGGGATAGGCCCGCTATTAATTCGTTTCCACCTCTTTCCCACTTTACAAACGAACATCTTCAACAGCGGCAGCGACAGCGACAGCGACAGCGACAGCGACAGTGGCAGAGACCAAGTGCGACTCGACTAAATTATGGCTGAATACACTGTCGTACAGGGTCCGATGCAGGTAGACGACGTAAGTAATGGCAAGCCTTCCGCGAGGTCTCGTCGCCGGCACTAAAACTTTATTTCTAGAATCGCGACGATGATCTAGGCTATGACGATGGTGCTTCGTAGGTCATGGATCTGATAGAGTCCTCTAGATGCCTGCTTTTTAACAATATTGTAGGGAGGCATCCGCCAGCCTTGTCTCGTCCCTGAGCTCAAGTATTTTAAATTACAGGCAAGCGCAACTTTCCCCCTAATTTTGCCGCTACGTGGCAAGATCGAACGCTAAATGTTTGTCAGATATGAGGTTCGTCCGAGACTAGTTTATCGTGTAAGACGTTTTATGTGACGCTAATATGAAGGCCCACGAGTCAGAATGGGCGCCGCTACCATGCCTTTCGAGAGGGCGCCTATCTAGTAGTAAGTTACCAACATATGCCACTTCTTGGATCAGGCCATTTTTGACACTGCGTGGTAGCCTAACGACGACGAAGAACAACAGCGAATGGACCTGGGCCACCACATCTACCGCCTGATTCTTAAGGGCGATCTTTCACTTGCCCCTATTGGCGAGCACCGGCAGCACGTACTCGACTTAGGCACAGGGACCGGTATCTGGGCTTTGGACTTTGCCGAGTTAGACACCTTACCATTTGGAGTTTGAAGTAACTGCTAACTACAAGGTTAGCCAATATCCCTCGGCCGAAGTTTTAGGCACCGATTTAAGCCCAATTCAGCCTCAGTGGTACGTCGGCTCGGCTCTCAGCTAGAATCCATGTTGATAACTCTTCTTATAACACGTTACTTACCCGAAGATAGGACGGCCCCTAACTGCAGCTTCGAGGTGGACGACTTTGAGGAAGAATGGACGTATCGTAGGAAGTTTGATTACATCCATGCTCGTGAAATCGAAGGCTGCGTTGGCGATCCCGACAAGCTCTTCCAGCGCGCTTTCGAGAACTTGGCCCCCGGTGGCTACTTTGAGATCCAGACCGTCTGTGCAAAATTCGTCACCGACGACGGCTCGGATAAGTTTGCAGGGAGCGCTATGCAGTGGGCCTCGCTTATTTCCGAGGCATTGACAAAATTCGGCAAGCCTTGGGATACGGCGTCCGAGTGGATGGATAAGATAAAGGCGGCTGGGTTTACCGACGTCCAGCAGGTTATCCGCAAGGTAAGCCGATTTTACTTTCCAAGACCGAAGATTTCCAACTCACCACTGCCATAGTGTCCAATTGGTGCCTGGCCAAAGGATCCAGCTCTTAAGGAGATTGGAAAATTCCAGTTTGTCCAGCAGCAGCAGGCCGTCGACTCCTATACACCAGGTATCCTGTCTAAAGTCCTAGGCTGGAAGGAGGACGAGATACAGGTTCTTATTGCCAAGGCGAAGAAAGACCTTCGAAACCCAAACGTACATCTATACATCCCTGTCTACTTTATCTGGGGCAGGAAACCGTGATCGTCAGTCTGTTTTTGTGTTGCGAGCTTGGTCTGAGAATGGTTTGATATATTCTTATAACATATTACTTTTCACAGCTTTAGCGCTGTCTAGGATGGACCTGGTGTGTTTATTTATTTAGGAGGTAATTCGCTATGCCGTCTTTGGTGTTTCAGTGATTACTTTGTGATTTTCAAAGAAGGTGTGGACAGCTCGAAGAGAATGACAGAGATGGCCGGGGAAAGTCAGGGTGACCGGATCGTGCTGTTGGGGCCCAATTAGTTCCCGACACAAATCACATAATAACATCGGCTTAAACATGCCTACAACCAGAGCTGAGCAAAGTCTCGGCTGACAGTCAGGCAGGCGCCATAGGCAACCGTCATTGATTGCAGCGTATCCCCCCTGTATGTAGGCCTCGCGCGAGATGACGCAAAGTGTATCAAGTGCGGATTGACGATAGCCTCACAGATGGCTGCCTGCCTCGTTTACTGATATCCAGAGTTGCCACCTTTCGCACTTAAATCCAATATTCGATAAGTTATCGTCAAATTCTTGTCTAGCTGAAAAATGGCGAGAATTGAAACTCTCCCTTGAGGATGAGACCAAATGCGTCTGCCAGTGTTTAAGTATCCTTGTCTGTATAGATAAAGCTATGGATTCATTTGCTATTGTGGTGGCCTACTATGCAAATGTGTTTGTGAAAAAAGAAAGCCACACGTACTTGTACCCGTAGCAGCCCATATACCAGTCACCTCTAGACGTTTACGCTTATACCTCTGTCTGAAGAAACCTCAATACTTACTGCATATGGGGACTGCCTTGCTAAGCTTATGTTAGATGGGGCGATGTGACCTAAGAGGCAAGCTCCATTATACATAGTTGAGGTGAGGCCGGTGACTAAACTCTAAATGTGACCGGAGGATTGCAAATTGCTTGGCACTGGTGACGCCAAGCCGTTGCGAGATATATGGGCGCCTAGCATGGATATATACTCGTCTTTATCCCAGTTTTCGATCAGAGATATGTCCGGACCTGCGCATCGGACAATTTTTGGGTGGCTACGTCGGTGTGCGTAAAATATGGCGTTGCCATACAATACGCTGCTTCCCAACTTCAACGGCAGCTCGATTGTTGTTATTATAAGTAGTATAATTGTATTTCCGAAATGGCTGGAAGCGGCCTTCAACAAAGTCAGCGAAAAAACTTTGGGAGTTCACGGTCGCCATGTGGCAATACGTCTATCCCGAACTCCCAAACTCAGCAAGAGCGTTAGTTCTGCGGTTTATCGGGGCAGCGCGCAGGAAAACCGGCAACGGACACTTTTAACAGTATTCTGATTGCGCTCACTATCCTATATTTTTCTCGAACTTTGGCGTATCGGTAGACGGAAGAACGCCACGGATGTCTCTCTTTACTATGCCGCTTTCAGCTTCATTGCGATGAAGCAGCCTGCCTTGTCCTGGGGGTTTGTGTATTCCGGAGAATCGGAGAAAATGCTCCCCACGCGACTTACCTTCGGCGACTGACTCAACATTTCCCAGACTGCTGCCGCTTGATCAATGTTTTTGATCCTGTGAGTCTGGTCTTGACTTTGGTTGCGCTTGAAGGTGTCTTTTCACCGATTACTAATCACATCCAAGCTTGCATGCCTCTACTACATCCCTGTCGGTAGACGGAAAGCAGTTGGCGTGTATATCTTCTTCTTCATCGCCGAATTTGCCCCGCCCCTCGCCACCGGCATAATTACCGCCTTTTATGGTTTCAAGCTTTCGGATGCCGCCTGTCTTTTGGTGCCACGTCTTCTCGGTTGGTCCGATTGTACCATACTAGGACTTCACAGAATACTCTGCCAATGCGCAGATGCCGATTTACTCAATGCCTTGACCTTGACCCTCCAGACGGTCATTTTCTCCGTCCTTGGGGCAACTTGGGCTTTCCGGCATCACGAGGTCACCGACACGGATGGTGATATTGAGGGCCTGTTTATTGGCTGGCTTGTCTTGGACAACTTTGTTTTTGCGTTTGTGCAGTCCGTCCTGCTATGTGCAAATTCGTATGGAGGAAAAATAGTGGCCCGCACCATCAGCCTAGGGCAGAACATAGTAACTTCAAAAGTTGAGGCTTTAAACAAGTGCAACCATATAAATTCTCAGAGTCGTGCAAAGTATCTATCCCCTTGGGAGACCCCATGCGTACGCATGCCAGAGATAAGAATACAGTGCTCGTGCAAGACTTCATACGGGCCTATAAGGTATTGTGCAAGAATCCTAGCTTGTCTTGGTGTTATATTTACGAAACGAACATGTGAAGATGTGGCGAAATAAATACAAACAAGGAGCCCTGAGAAAAGAAACGATGAATGCTATTTAAATACAAAAGACAACCCAAGTGACGTGGTTATTGCTTCAATACCAGGACCTTATGTTCTTATCAGTAATCTCCTTCTCCATTGTATCGTATGAGCGGAAGTTTTGAACAACTTCTCTGGCAGCCACTTCACTCCACTCTGGAAATCACATCAGTGGAACGTGGCAGTTCCTAAAGTTAAGGCCGATCTTGGCTACTCACAACCCTCTATCAACCCCTCTTCAACTTGGGTTTCACCGGGTTTAATGCATCTAATAACAGTGTAAGTAGATGCATCATCATCACGACGGTGGGGTATTCCGACAACCGACGAAGCCTTTCCTCCACCATTGCAGCTTCTTCTTTGAGAGCATCATCCGAAGGCGATATGGAAACGCGAGCTTTCTGTAGTTCAGCCGTAGCAGGAGAGACATAGGCCTGCTTGATATCAGACCGTATCTCTGATTTCTCTGAAGCTGAAAACATATCAAGGGCCCCTAACAATGTGTCCGTCGTAGATCGCTGGGACAAACTGCTGGAAGGACTTGACGGTAGTCCCACAGGAGGCTCCTCTCTTAGCGTCGCATCAGCTGCAGAGTTCACAAGTGTCCGTGTTCCACTAGAAAATGAAATATCGGACTGCGAATCTGGCATCACGGACGCAACCTCGTGTTCGTTCTTCCATTTCATGGCCGTAGCCAGGCCCTCCGCGACGGAGTCCAAGGAGCCTTCAGACTGATGCTCAGGGCCCAGGTTCACAAGTGTGAGGGCTATTCCTTCTTCCTGATGAGCTCGGGCGGGAAACTGGTATTTCAGGCGGTCCGTCAATTTCCGGAGCTTCCCTGCTATCTGGACCTTGATGTAAAACGGTCGCGCCTCGTGCGTGATGGCGAGTCCGGTGTGAAACACGTTGCTATGTAGAGGCTGCGCGATGAGATCGTTTTCCTCCAAGTTCCAGATAATGGTGTTGTAGCCGACCCCAGGAATACCGTGTCGGCTGCGGCCGGCAAGAGGTTGGCTGCTCAGAATCCACCGGCTCGAACGGTTGGTCGTCTTTTCAGACCTAAAACCGATTCCGCCAATGCTGCAACCACCAGCGCCGAACTCTGGCGTGGCATTGATTGTGGTTTTTTCTTTACGAGTAGACGGCGTGCCAGTGATCATTTTTGGGCCGTATTTCTCTGTGACAGCAAGTCGACTGACCATCGCGTCCCTCACGTCCTCCTTGCTTCTGCGTCCCCGCCGGTGAGATCGGGGGCGCTCCTCGTGCTCCTCATAGTCCTCGAAAGATATACACACACTCGCTGATGCCAATGTATATTTCTCTGGCTGGATGAAGCTGAGGTCGACATATATAATTCCCGCTGGCGTGGCCGGCTCGCCTAACGTGCCCCATTGACATTCACCGCAGCGCAGCTTGCAGTCGATAAGCACCTTGCCAAGACTGAACGAGCCCAAACTTCCATGCTCGATTTTTCCCCACCGACAGAAGCGCGACCTGGTCTTTCTTGCGAACGACGGCCGCCTCGGAACAGACGCGTGACCGTGTTCAGAATTCATTTTGCTCCTGACACCAAAGTTTGTGATCAGTTGAGTGGAACAAGAGCTAAACGACCTTGGTGCGGGAGGCAGACACCTATAAGAGAGTGACGGAGGCCTTATGCCCAGCCTTGCCTGGTCGCAGGGGGTGACACTCGTCACCCGTGTAATCCCGTACTAGATATCTACCCCTCATCCACCAGATAAGAGACTGCTCTGACCTGCGCGCATAACTCAGTCCGGGATTCAGTCAAGTAATATACTTTGAAATACAGCCACGAAGGCTCCAGATGGCGTTAGTGCGTACTACGGGACGTGCGTCATGTCCGGATATTTATCCTGAAGAGATAACCATACGGGTCTCACTCCGGGAGGGCACAAATTCATCCCTTATTGCGTTGCAGCCTGTAGTGCACAATGTATAAGCCATAATGCGACCTTTCGGCATCCTGTGTTGGCCAATAGAAAGAAAAGACGGCAAGTCATGGAAGACAAGAGAAACAGTGCGGCTGGTGGCACCTTTCGCCTGCATAAAGCGGGATTTCATCACACCCGAAGACTCGCATCATGTTGTCCCTGTCCTTCTTTAAGTAGGGCCTTTCTTGCAGGCAGAGTAGACAATTTCCTCTTTCGAGCAGACAAATAGCACGATACGATGTCGTAGGTCATGTCTCTCTCCCCTTCTCGTGTCTTCAGGCCTAACGGAGCAGTGCAGCGGCGACCGCGGATTTTGCGCGAGGACGGCGACCTCGTTTGGACATTAACAAATTGCTAGCTGCCGGGGACGAAGCTAATATTGTTGCACCCGACTCTAGTCTCGTAAAGCTCCCTGCCCAGGCGGTGCTGCGGCCAGAAAGAGAGCGACTCCGTACATCTGATTCCGAGGTTTCGTACGCCGTCGAATCCCCACCTCGTGAAAAAACCAACTATACAAACAGGAAGGCCCGGAGTCGACTGGATATGTTTGAAAGTGAAAGCGACTCGGATTATGATCATCAGGGCTCCTACGTCAGACATAGGAGCAACAGTCTCCATAGGGCTACACATTCCGGCAGAGAAATGTTCACTTCCGTCAGGACGCCAGGGGGCGAGGAAATAAGTACTAGTGAAGGCCGGCATCATAAACTGCCCTTACCGAGCGTTAGTGACGCTGTAATCTGGGACCCTTCCTTCAGAAGAGACATGACGATTCATCTCGAACTTGATATTGAAGAGGACATAGAGAGCAAGATGGCCGAACTTGACCGTCTGAGGCGACTTGGCAGGTTTCGTGAAGCAGACGCATACTTACAGAACAATCTTTCTGGTCACCTCCAGGATGTCTCGGTAATTCTTGTATATGCAAACCTACTGCTTGAACAAGGAGACTATGGCCGTCTCTTTGGCTTCTTTGCCAGCGAGACCGACATCAGCAGGGCATCGACCGATATGGCACCTGGACAGCTTTCCGACAAACCAGCCGAAGAAGTCAACCTTGCTTTGTTGTTACAGCTAGCTAGGTGTCGTAGCGACCCGGATCTGCAGAACGCAAATACCATAGCTTGTATCGGCTTCAACTTCTTGCAAGAGCAGGCGGTTCCAGATGGCGTGGGAACGATAGAGGTATGTTCCCCTCTCCTTTAAAACGATAAACTGCATATCTTATAATTCTGCAAGCTTCAAATTCTTTGCCGTTCCCTCGAGATCTTCACCACGATCTACTATAGTTCGGATATTATCACGGCATTTGACTTTGATTTTTATGCAAGCGGCTGGCAGAAGTGGGTAGGCCACTACCGCAGTTTACTTAATGAGGGCCGTCATTGGGAGTTGCGTGATATCGTCGTTGCTTTTGTTCCAGCATTTGGGCCTGTGCAGACTTGCACCAGTCTCTTTAAGACGGACTCGTTGGTCGCTGGAGTTTCCAAACTCGTCCACGAATGGGCGGTAGCAAGTGTTGACGACGAGACGAGCAGGATCTGTCTTCTCGATATCCTTGTGTCCATATGCAAGGGAATCAACTTTTATCTCGTTGATGACAGCAGCTTTCTCGAGGTTGCTTCGTTTGCGTTCAAGCAAGCTAGACTGGTTGCGGCTTCTCTCAAGGAGAATGATCCAGGAAACATCAAGTGTCGCTCTTATCTCAGGTGGATAGTAGCTGAGACAGAGCATTCAAAAATTGTCGACGGACATTGGGGGAAGAAAGGCAATCTGTCGTATCAGTTCTTCAGAACTTTTCCTGGACGAAAAGTCTGGTACGGATTGGAAGTTCTTCCGATGTATGCTCCCATGGCTGCGGAAAACCCCGGCTGGCCGGTGATAGATGCTGAGAGCTCAGAGACGTCGCTTAAGTGCGACGAGCTGTTGAAAGCTGCATTGGACGCGGCCCGCGAGCTTGGAGACTTGACCACGCAGGTGGCATGTTTGAATGAAATGATATGTCGCTCGCACGACCCCAGATCCCTATTCGTGGATCTCGACCATCTGCAATACTTGGAGATGGGCGATAAGCTCGGAGCATTGCGGACGCGACTCAATAAATACTTACTAGCCACCAGAGACGGCTATCGAAGCGAACTACGACGGGAGCTGATCGAATTAGATCCCGAACTGCCTATCTGGAACAAATTCATGCACCCGGCGTTTGAGTATGTCTACAGCCGGGTCATGTACGCGCTATTGCTGGCTGCCGACGGTGACTCGGAAGAGTCGCGAATCACAGACAGTCGGGCAGATGAGATGGAAAAGCACTTTCCAGACAGCTTTCCCGACCTGAAGGTGCCTGATCCCCATCGCCGGCTTCGAACCAGGGTGAGCCCAGCACAGGATGCAACTGTCGAAGAGCCACGGCTACCAAGAGAATACTATGAAAGACGACCAGCGAGCAACGGCGATGTTGATATAGGTCAAAGCGGACGTGGAAACGCGGCGGAGCGTTTCGCGCGTGCTTCACAGTGCGACCAGGAGCCTACGTTCAGCTCCCATGAAGTGCCCAGATCAGGACAAGAAACTTCAAAGAAAATATCTCATAACCTGGTCATATCACAGAGAAAGTCTCTAGGCGAAATAGAAAGAAGCGGGCATGTGGGCGGGTGAGTGAATGAGCAAGCGCAAGAGTCAGCATCGCCAATAAAGCAGATGTCATTATTGCAAGTACGAAGTATAAAGCTACTGCTGGTGATGTAAAAACAATAACTCTTTGCTCTGTAGTTTAGCAGGCAACGATTATAGCTGCATTGGCGTACTAGCGCGCACGTCTAGGCAGTTTTACCTGCGCCTTGGCTTCAACCATCATGTAGAGCAGCCCACTCAATACCACAATATCAACAGAAAGAACAGAAAGACAATCCCAATTATTTCCACCTTGGTGAGATCGCACCAAACCTTATGTCATGCGTAGTCTGCCGACTTTCGTGTCTTGAACGCCAGCATCCGACCGAGAACAGGTGCCCACAAATTCGACGTCAAAACAAAAGAAAACGTGAACAAAGGAAAGAAGAACAGAGACAAGAAGCGAGCAACAGTTCTCTTTTCCATCACGCCGCCACAAATACAGACGCAAAATGGAACCCACCACTGTTGGTTCCGCAATAGGCGGTGGTGCCATCCGAGTTCTCAAACGTGCACGGCGTGCTGCAGCTGTATGTCGTCGAGCTGATGGCTGTCGATCCTGACAGGATGTTGGCGCACGTGCAGATGGACTCAGTGCCGCCCGTCGTCGCGTTCGTCCGTGATCCCAGCGTAAAGTACATCGTCCTCCCCCCGTTGGTGCCGGCTGTGTTGCAGAAATCAGCGCATTCGTTGATGGACTCGGTGATGATTTCTTGCGCCAGTGCCGGGTTTCCGCCCAGGCTTGGAGCAGACACGGCCCAGCAGCCCCAGTACTCATAACCTTCGTAGTGTGCTGAGTCTGTGTCGTTACCGCTCGCGCCGGCAGGGCCCTGGGGACCTGTAGCTCCATCTGTGCCATTCGTGCCATTCGTTCCGTTGATTCCGTTAGCACCTGCTGGGCCTGTAGCGCCTGTAGCGCCTGTAGCACCAGTAGCTCCAGTGGCTCCAGTGGCTCCAGCAGCTCCATCTGTGCCATTCGTGCCATTTGTTCCGTTTATTCCATTAGCACCAGCCGGGCCAGTAGCACCCGAAACGCCTGTAGCTCCTGTAGCTCCAGTGGCTCCTGCAGCTCCGTCTGTGCCATTGGTGCCATTTGTTCCGTTGAAACCGTTGGCACCAGCCGGGCCAGTATCACCTGTAGCACCCGTAGCTCCAGTAGCTCCAGTAGCCCCAGTAGCCCCAGTAGCCCCAGTAGCCCCAGTAGCCCCGTCGGTGCCGTTGAAGCCAGATGGCCCAGCCGCACCATTCGCACCAATTGCACCAGTTGCACCAGTAGGCCCAGCTGTTCCGTTGTATCCAGCCGGACCTGCAGGGCCTGTAGCACCTGCCGTTCCGTTGATACCAGCAAGGCCGGTGGCCCCGGTAGCTCCAGTGGCTCCAGTGGACCCATTAGTGCCACTGCTACCATTCGTGCCGTTTGTGCCATTACTGCCGTTCGTTCCATCAGTTCCATCGGTGCCGTCAGTGCCGTCAGTACCGTCTGTACCATTCTCTCCATTGGCACCAGCAGTACCTGGAACGCCCTCAACTATCACGGTAGCCCCTCCAGTACTGCTTCCAGTACTTCCACCATTACCAGGAGCACTGGGACCGCCGCCAGCACCACCAGCACCGTCAGCACCACCCGGTCCCCAGCTGCCTCCTGTCCCTCCAACATGGCCGCTGCTGCCGCCACCGTTCGCTCCAGAGCCGCCAGGTGCAGAGCTACCACCATAGCCTGTACTGGCACTGCTCCCAGTGCTTCCAGAGCTGCCAGAGCTCCCGGCTCCGCCACTTGTGCTTGACGAGCTACTGCTTGAGCCGGAAGAACTAGAGAAGCTTCCTGAGTGAGCAGAGCTCGAGGAGCCCCCACTTGTAGAGCTCTCAGCGGAACTCGAAGAAGATCCACCATAGGAGCCTCTGGAGGCTTCTGTGGAGCCCCCAGAAGAGCCCCCATATGAAGCCTCCGAACCGCTTTCGGTACCCTTGGAGAGTTGTCCTGAAGCTGCGGAGCTACCAGAGCTTCCAGAGGAGCCTCCAGGGACATCAGAGTAGTGGCCGGAGGAGCCTTCAGAGGAGCTTTCTGATGTGCTTCCAGGGCTTCCAGAAGATCCCCCACTGAAGCCTTCAGTTGAACTTCCGGCAGCAGCCGCAGCGCTTCCGTAGCCTCCAGAGGAGCCTCCAGAGGAGCCTCCATTAGAACCTCCCTCTGAGCTTCCAGCAGAACCACTCCCAGAACTTCCAGCAACACTTCCTGGAGTTGTTAAGCCGCCGGGGATTTCAGAAGAGCTTCCCGAGGTACTTCCGAAGTTTCCGGAAGGTCCCCCAGAGGAACTCCCAGAAGAGCCGCCTGTAGAACTTCCAGAGCTGCCAGTAGACCCACTCAAATCTGACCCCCCATCGTAGTAGTTGTTCTCCGTATTATAGATGTTGATTGTGGTGGAGCTACTCTCTGAGGCCGAGCAAAGAGAATCTGACCTGTCAGTATATATTAAGATAGAAGACGCTTCGTATGCAACTCACATGGTATGTAATTAAGCGTTGCCTGGACGCAATTTCTCAACCCCTCTGATGCAACAAACACTGCCACAACGGTACTAGACTCTGGTCCTGATACCGACAGGCAGAAACTTGCGTTGCCGCTGGGGAAAGTGGTGCTTGACCACTGCAACACGCCTTCGACAACGGCGAAGCCACTGTCGACAGGGCCAATACCAACGCTCCCGACTGGTCCATTGAGTGGCTGGTAGGAGATGTTTTCTGGATCGGCCGTGACCAACTGGCCACCAGAATACAGCTGGTCGCCAATGAGGGAAAAGAGTGCAGCTTCTTGACACGGAAGGCTTGTGGTGGCTGATGTGGTGACATACACGTCAGCGGCGATCGCCTGTCTTTTCTGATATCGTTGGCGCCGGTTGATGGTAGAAGAGGCACTGCTTAGCTGTACTTGCAGCAGGAAAGGACCAGGAGCCGGTCTGTTGTCAGAGAATTAGCTGTTTTGTGCAGAAAGTTTCGTACAGCAACTTGCACCTGGCAACGCTGAAAATGCGTACGGTGAAGATCCACCAAAGGATAGGCTATTTTTAGAAGGCATCGACACAGTTCCTGTTGGGAAGGACCCAACACCACCGAGTAGTGTAAGGAGGGCATCAAGCACGCCCATGATTGAAGGAGGGACTGGAGACTGGGTATGCAATTATGGTGAACCAGAAGCCAGAGAATATCTCGAAATGTATTTTTGAACAGGACACTCTGAATTAGAAAGAACGGCTGAGTATTTGAAATGGAAAGAGAGAGAGACAAACAGATACTGAACAAAACAGTGTATGAAGGACAAGAATCAGAGTGCCAGAGTATATGTACAGACCCCATTTCGCTTACATCGCTCATTTGTTGTGTACAGATGCCCCTTATCCAACGATACTTGAGTACGCGTCCGCTCGCGGCACGTTCAGCACCCGCAATGCAAGCTGCATCTGTCAGACGCATACCTCTAATGTTACCGGAACTACCTTGAGAGGACGAAAGCAGCGTGGGCGCGTGGTTGAGGAATGCCTGGCGGAATATTTCGATCAACGCATCCAGCGTGGAAGTTGAAGGGATGTTAGAAAATGCAGTCTCCGTCTACAAATCTCAACGTTCTAGCCGGTGGAATGCAAATTCAATTGCGAGTGCTTAGAAGATGGGGGTGGAAAGGAGGTGAAGTCAACATGCATCGGAAAGAGTTACATGAATGTCATTCCCTGGTATGCGACTGAGACGGAAATAGAAAGCTGCTATGTTGATCTTGCGAGAAATGAGGAGCAAAAGAGATAACAGCGTTAGTGAAAATATAGAAAGGAACTCTTGTATAAACTATTGTAGAGCGTGTTTGCCACGAAAGGGAGGCCGCGTAAATTGACTTTCATTATGTGTCGGGAACAACCTAAGGGTTATTATCGTATTCGCAAGAGCGGTCACCTGGCTTTAGAACTGGACAATGAGAGAGTGGAGATCGTGTCTTGGTTTTGGGGGCCGTTTCACATTTTCTTTTTCTTATGTCTCCTACATTTCTGACCTGCTGACTCTGCCTTTTCCCCCTCTTTCCTTCTCTACCAGCGCTTACTTTCTGTTTTACCAAGGAATGTGAAGTTGTCTTGCTGTCATTGGTGCAGATCTGCTACGTATTGTCTTGGATTTGGTGGGCGGAAAAGGAAAGGAAGAACGCAAAATACGGCAGAAAAAGCAGAAAAAGCGGAAAAAAGGAAGTGGCCGTTCTTGTTGTTGGACTGATGATCTTGTTGTTGGACTGATGAGCTCTGCCGGTTGAAATACTGGAGATTAAAGAATCTATTGCGTGTGGTACGGCCTCTCGTACGAAAAATCTACCATTCTCAACGGTCTTGATGCTTTGATTCATTGATTCAGCTATCCGGTACATAGGTAAGCGCTCCTCCACTAAATCTCAAGAAAACTATTCTACTCCCTCGTCGGAAAATGTCCTAGCCAGAGTAACTTGTTTACTGGGCCTCCCATTACTCTCATGAAGTGGGTTCCTAGCTACCGCTCATTCCGGAATCGTCCTTAGATCGCCACTGACCGCTGCCGTTCCGTCTGTCATGAACTTATGGAGGAATGCGAAGTGCATCGCCCTTGCATATTTGAATACTGAAAGTGACAGCTCACTTCGCCTCCATAGCTGAGCGTAAGTGGTACAGGCTGACTAATCTTAGTTTGCCTGATACGGTATGTTGTACTAGAAGAGACTCGGTGTGCTTTACTTCTTTGTCCTTCAGCATATGTTCCGGTGATCCAATGCAGTGTCAGTGCGTAACCCTCCGACTGCGATGATCTCTCCAGTTTCTCGGTTTCAGACTCCGCTTTTCGCATCTTATTTTCCGTATTCTTTGGCGGTTCGATAAGCATCTATCACCATGGGAAAATAACTGGCGACGAATCCTAGACAAGCCAGAATAGAAGCCACTGATTTGTTCGTGTAGATCGTCATGTTGCACTGGCCTCGTCCACGTAAGGGAAAATCTCAACTCTGGTGTACTTCTTGTCAGTTCTTGTCTTTTCAATCGCTCCGTCGGTATGTAATTCGCACCAGTCAATGCAGGGAATCCAAGACATCTTCCTGTGATTGTCGTGCGTTTGAAACAGATTGCTCTGGATGTAATCTGCACCCGTTATTGCTTGATTGGAGGCTTTTTTCCCATTGTGTGGTGTCTCGAATAGTAGGCGAATGGATTGGGTAAACGAGAGGCTAAGAGGGGATCGTGATAGAGAGTAATACAGCTCAGCAGATGTGGCAAACTGTGAGATAATTCCCGCCACCGAAAGAACCATACCTCTAGAAAGCTGCCAGGCTGGCCAGGAAAGAATATATAAGCCTGACGAGGCACCCTTTCCTGAAATTAGAAGATAGAAAGAAGTCATCCATCTCAAGTCTTCAACACTTTAAACCCTTTTTCAAAGCTCTTTCAGTCTTTCCAACAACAACCCTTTTATATCACCAAGCTTCATCTCCCATTCCGAAAATGATGTTCCAACAGACCGTTTTTGGCCTTGCTGCCGCTGCCCTGATGGCGCTGATCCATCCCACGGCTGCCTTCACCACTGCCTGCGAGTACCAGGAATACAAGTGTGGTCAAACTCTTTTTACTTCCGATGGTAAGATCTTCGTATACATCTGCTATTTCTTCAATCCGCTCTTCTGAACCTTTCTTCGGTGTGCTGAATCTTCCAGGCTACAACATCACTGAATTTGAGACTGCCGTTAATGCCACCGGCACGATTCCGCCCCTGGCTGACAGCCAGCTGCTCAACGTGCTCTATCGCTGCATCGACGTTGAGGGTGGTCTGGTTGGCAACTCGTATTGCATTTCTGGCTGCATCACCATGGGCGATCTTGAGAACGATCAGTGCGCCATGTAATGATCCTTCCGGGGTGGAAGAAAATTCCCTCAACGCCTTTTTCATTCTTTCGTTTCCTGGGTCTCAGGATACTGGATTTCGCCGTGAAGGCTTGTGTATCAGTCTTCTTTTAGATAGTTTACCGTCCTGCCTTTCCCTGAGCAAATAGGAAAGACGCGATCTGTTTCTATACAGGATGCACGGTAGTATGGTGTTTGAAAACCTTAGAAGAACAGCTACAGGATAAAATATAACATGTTCTTACTATTAATTTGGCCTCGTAGAATGTCAAGGATCGATGTCACAATCTCTGCGCCACCTCGTGCAGCTAATGGCGTGCATCATCTACAACCATTATCAAGGGCTTCGGTTGGTTTTATCTGAGAAGTATCCTCCTTATAGATGACTTCGTTCAGCAAAGGCTTCAGGCCTGGCAAAGCGGGATTGTCTCACGTCTGAGAGGAGAGCTCAAATCGCCGTCGGGAGTTTACCACGATAAATGTTTGCTGGTTTTATATTCTATTTAATTCTGAGAGATAATTGGAGAACAAAGCCGATCGGGCGGTCCCGTTATCGGCAAGTCTCCGAGCAAAAGCCGACAGTCATTATCACCAACTGATCATGCTGCAAAAGTCCGACGTCCCAACAGTCCGTCTCAGTAATGCTCGTTGGCAGTGAAAACCTACTAAGTACGGCAGCATGATTGAGGTCACAAAATATTGGCTCTCACCAACGGCACTCGTTCCAAACTCGCCATGGCCGTTGCTGCACTACAAAAATGTTCTGAACAAAGGGGACGACAGCGAGGCCTGCGTTCCGATTGAGGCCTGGGACAGATTCACCGGCAATGGATGGGAAGTCCAGTGGCTGTACCGCTATGGTCAGACGCAGGACTCGCACTTTCATTCCGGGGTCCACGAGTGCATGGCCGTCCTCTCAGGTACAGCAACGATACGATTCGGTGCCGGCGACAAGTCAGAGGACCTCGACGCGAACACGACGGGATCGGCCTTTGAAGCCGGGGGAGTGGAAATCGAGGCCAATGCGGGCGACGTCTTTGTCATCCCAGCCGGCGTTGCTCACAAGACACACAACACCCGGCCAGAGAGTGCGTTTCGACTGCTTTCGCCCGGATGCGGACGCGGCGTCGAAGCCGAGAACCCGAGACAAGCTCTGGTTGGGCTGCCACTAACAGGCTTTACCATGATCGGTGCCTATCCACAAGGCAGCGAGTGGGATGCACTCCGAGGCGGTGGAGACTTTGAGGCGGTCTGGAGGGTTCCCAAGCCGGAGAGGGACCCCGTGTTCGGGGAGGCAGTGCAAGGACTGTGCAGTACCTGGGCTCATCAAGACAAGTGAAATTGGTAGAGCCGTCTAAGCCCTCTCTGAGTAGCGAAACCTAGATTTCATTTCTCTGATCGCGGTTGAAGACTAAATGCAAGGCGATTTCGAATGGGATCCATCTGTATCCTGACGGTTGATGAAACTGGGTACTAACAGACCAGCTACCATTTCTGTTGGGCAACTTTGCATGTCTTGGCGGTCCAGTTGGAATGGCCCAGTGTAAATAGACGTGTTATTGGCTTCAGCTCATCCCTGAACCCTGGGTGCACAAGATTTGGGGTTCAGCAAATAAGGATCATCCACCGTGTATCATCTGACAGTTCGTATCACCGTTCCATTTACGCCATCTCCGTCTGACGGAAAGTAATAATCCATTTGAGCCTGTCTCGTTCGTGAGTCTGTATATTCATCAACAGTTACCCTTTTTGCCTGTCTTGCTCACTATGAAGTTTCTCGGACAAGTCGGCGCTCTGCTGAGTCTGGCCCACCTTTGTTGGGCACAGGAAGTGGAAGTGGATGTGGCTATTATTGGTGGAGGTGCCAGTGGCTCCTACGCTGCCGTCCGTCTGCGGGAGGACTTCAACAAGACTGTCTTGGTGATCGAAAAGGCAGGCAAGCTTGTTAGTTGCTTGATCCTGAGCCGTGCCTCTTCTTAGCTAACACAAGTTTGCTCACGAGGGGGGCCATGCAAACGCGTATCAGCCTGCCGCCGGGCGGCCTATCGACTATGGTGTGGAGGCATATCTGAACCGCGAGACGACCATTGCGTTCTTCAAGCGCTTCAATGTCGGGCTGATCGACCCGACTCTGGCGAGCGACATTGAGCTCTTGCTCCTGACCAAGAATGTCGACTTTAGCACAGGACTTCCAGTAGATGTCAGCTACGGTCCTGTCGATCTCGTCGGAGTTCCCGTTGCCTTTCTGGAGTACACATCCTATGCCGTCAAATATCAGGCCTGGTTTGCCAACGGCTACTTCCAGACGGGCGATGTGCCCGATGACCTCCTGCTCTCCTTTGGCGATTTCCTGGCAAAATACGATCTCGGCGGGTCCCTCGGGATTTTACGGAACCTCCTGTGGCTGTCGGATGCGCTGAACATGCCGACCTGGTTCGTCATGTCGGTGGTGGGACTACCCCAGATCCAAGCCTTTGGCCTAGGCCTGATCGGACCATCTTTCAAGTGGCCCGCAACGTACTCGGCCGAGACGCTGTATGAGCGCGTTCTCGATCTACTGGGGGACGACGTGCTGCTCGGGAGCACGGTCGTGTCCAGCCAGCGTTCCGACAGTGGTGTCGAGCTGACGGTGCAGACACCATCTGGACAGAAGACGGTCAAGGCGAAGAAGCTGCTCGTCGCAGCGCCACCGTCACCCAACAACGTTGGTAGCTGGGATCTCGACGACAACGAGGCACTGCTCTTTGGCAAGTTCTCATGGGAAACCCTGTTTGTGGGCGTCGTCCAGGACACCGGCTTTCCTTCCCATGCGACCGGCATCCGCAACGCGCCAAACGATCCGTCTCGGTACTATCTTCCGCACGGCAGCTTTACCGATGCCTTTAGTAAGGCCGACACGGGCACCGGGGCAGACCTTTGGACCACCCGCGTCCTTGGGGTTGCCGGCCTCAGCGCCAGCGAAGCCCAAACGATGATCTACCAATCTCTGACCCAGATGGGCGAGGCGGGCACATACGACATTGCTTCACCCTCGCTCGTTGCCTTTACCGATCACGGTGCCAACGCGCCCAAGGTCTCTGCGGCAGACCTCAAAGATGGCTTTTACAACAAGCTCTACGCGCTCCAAGGCCAGCGGAGCACATACTGGACAGGCTTTGCCTGGGCACCTGATTACTCGTCGATACTATGGGATTTTACCGAGACGCTGTTTCCTGGAATCATCAGTGGCATTTGATCCTGTGCTCTGACATAACCTTCTCTGTAGAAACAGACAGCAATATGTACCGATACCTCTCGTATTAGGGAAGCTAGCGCTAGTCTAGGATAGGAGAGGGGTATGTCTAGTGGATGATTCATTTTGCATCATTTGGCATCAGTCCCACCTGCGGCCTTTTGTAGCAAAGGCGGCTAGACTTGATTACGGCAGTGGACGTTTGGAGAACCATCAGTTTATGCTGCATCCAACAAAACTAAGTGACGCCTTGTAGATAGTCTTACATTCTTGCCCGTTTTGACAGCATGAAAGTTACATCCATTTAAAGTCAGTGGTGGCGATGTAAACAACGTAGTTGTCTCGGGTATGCTCATTGGTTTGATAGAATTATGGCTGGGGGAAGTGCGGACTGTATACCCAAGAGATTACAGGATAGAAAACTGACAGTGCCCAATGACTGAAAATGATTCATTTGCAGTCTATCATGTATAAGATGCTTCTCATCTTATGTTAGAGCGCCGTACTGACCCGAGTGATAATATAGATAGTGCTCGACGTGCAGGACAAGGACGTCGTTCGATTGTATATAATGACAATTTGTACTATATCATGATCCAGGTTAGAGCTTGGCAAGTCCTCTCCCATACATTCACAGCCGGCTATTAAGTTATCTCTATTGCCAAGAGCAAGGTCAATATTCATGTCAACTCTACTGAAACGGTAAGTGTCGTTCGTTGCTGTAAAAGCATAAGCCTGCATGAATGAAAACGTATTCTCTATTTTGAGAACTTGCACAAGGCTTCTCGTCGAAGCTGGACGCAACATATGAAAGGAAAACACGAAAATGTCATTGAAGAGTCGACATCGTCTGAGAACGGCTGCAATCATTGTTCTTTGTACTATTCATCAAACCAGATCAAGACTATAACTGACATCCTACATCTGCGCTAGATTATGCAACGTCGTCGCCCGTTCTTCTTGTACAATTTCTCTTTTCCCCCCCAACGTCGCCGTCTTTCCGGCCGACATTGCCCAAAAGCATCTCTCGAAGCGCAGCCGTCTCCGCTTCCTGGCGGGCCAGTTGTATTCTGAGCGCATCACGCTCTTGCTGCAGCTGGCCTACTTCAGATTCGAGTTCGCTGATCCGGTCGACCTTTTTCTGGCGATATTTGCGGGCAGCCATGCTGTTGCGCTGTCGCTTGAGCATCACTTCTGGATCCTCCTCGGTCTCAAAAGACCGGCTTTGTCGCTTGTTGAGAGCCAACCCAGGCACCACGGCCGAGGCCGCTGTAGTGTGATTGTAGCCAGAAGATGACGAGATCGCAGCGGGTAATGAAGCAGAAGAAGAAGCAGGCTGTATCGCATCCAATGCTCCAATAGAAGACGGCACGTTGAGGAAGGAAAACAGCGGGAAGTTATCACCATTGTTTCTGTGGGTCGGGACATCTGACAATGTGATTATGGGGGGCGTAGACGCATTGTAGGAAGTCGAGCCCGCTGGCGAGGTCGAAGATGACGGGATAGTTGTTGAAGAGGACAGTGTGGCAGCCGTAGCAGACGCATTGATGGATGTGGATGCAGACACGGACGAGAGCGCAGAAAGAACCCCCGCGTCCGCGTCTGCTTCGGCCGCAGCCGGATCCATAGTTGTAAAGACATGCGGCAGTGTATCTGCCGATGGAATGACAATGAACGCTCCCCAGTCCACCTGATCGAAGGAATCCTGCGACTGCTCGAGAGGAGTGGAAGCAGAGGAGGTAGGAACAAGACCGTAAAGAGGGTCGGAAACAGACAAAGAAGGAAGTATCGGCCAGGCCTCGGCTGTGGCTGTTGTAAATGAATCGCGAGTGGGAACTAAATCAGAAAGAGAAGAAGAAGCTGCAGAATGAAAGAAAGAACAGAAATCACTGCTGGTGTCGGCCCAGGAATCACCACCCGCATTGAACGGCAACGGGTGAAGGGTTGTTCTTTGCTGATTCCAACTAGTCCGAGTCGATTGGGACAGACTCCTGGGAGGGCCGGAACCAGATGTTCCTGGAGAGACGACGGCAGGCGGTGGCTGATACTCCTGTTGCTGCCATTCTTGCAGAGTTTATAAACGGCCTCAAGAACGAGGCCGAAGTAGAGGGAAAGAGAAGGAGGGGGGAGCGAGACGAAAATCGGAACAACTCCGTTCTCTGATATTAGATTAAGAGGAGAAGATTGAAGGTTGCCACAGCGAAAGAAGGTGGGAGGCTTTTATAAAGTAGTTGGGTTAGATTGGAGATTCGTTTCTCCATTTCGGCTAACAATAGCCACTAAGGCCGAAGAAACCCACACCCCTCTAAGCCCATTTGGTGAGTCACCCATGTACAGGTACTTACAACTAGCCGATCGTTGATCGACGATCGTTGACCGCTGATCACGAATGCTGATCACAGCTGTTTACGCTAACAATTTCAAACCTTAAGCAAAGCACAACAACGTTTCGTATAGGACATAAAAATTCAGAGCGCTGTGTCCACTTCAGTTCAATCCATCCCAAGCAACGCGAATGAAGGTTTGGAACCAAAAAATAGATAAATGAAACTTCCCTCCTATATACTCTGCTCATTAGATCGGCCACTCTCACTTAATGATACATTTTTCCGCGCAACGACTGCCAGCGACTGCTGGCTTCGACAGGTTCTGAAACAGCTCGGCCGAATTGGAGATCAAGTCGCCGACAAATGCATTTGAGTAGCTAGATGACTAACAAGAAAAACAAGTAAAAAGAAAAGTAGATATCGAAAGACGTACATCGCAGACAGCAAACGTACTTCCGCCTTACATACACATCATCAAACCTGCCGTCAGAATGACAGCCAGGCTCATCGAGCCGGAGACTGACGAGGCAGCACCCGTCACCACTGACAGAGTCGAAACTGGGCTGCTGGCGCTGGTGCCCACACTGCCTGTCTTGCCACTGCTGCCGCTACCGGCCGTGCTGGCAGCAGGGGCCACGACTGTAGTCAGGCCGACCGACGGCTTCGACAGCGAGCCAGTCACAGCTGCTGCTGCAACGACTGGGTACGTCACGTTGCCGTATGGCTTGCTCACCACGGGGGCCAGAACAGGCACCGAGACGGCCGGAATGACCGAGACTGTAACAACGGAGACAACGGGTGCAGCAGAAGCCGCAACGGCCGGAGAAGACGTCACGACCAGCGAAGGAGCCACAGCCGGGGACGAAGCCACAACCACAGCAGCCGACGAGGGCACACCGGCGTTGCTAGCATCACTCACCGACAGAATGGACTCGGTCTTGGCTGCAGACGATGGCACCGTGACAGAAACAACAGTTGTGCCCACGGCCACAACTGTGCTCGACACGCGGGCCGGGCAGTTCGTGACGGTCGGCGCGCACGATGTCATCGTCTCGTACAGTGTGCTGTAGATGGTGCTGATGCTGGCAGTCACGGCAACCGGGACAGTCGGTGCAGTCGATGCCGTCGCCGTCGTCGACGAGGCACTGACACCGACACTGCCGGTAGCCGTCGTCTCGCCCTCAGTGGCCGTCACGGGGCAGACGGTCGTGTACAGGTCGACAACGACGGTCGTGACCTTGCCGTAAGGGCAGTTGGTCACAGTCGGGGCGCACGAGAGAATTGTGCTCGTCACGGTCGTCTGCACAGTGCTGGTGGTGAATCCAGAGTCGGAGCTCGAGACAGAGCTGGAGCCCGTGCTAGTTGGCGCCGGGCTGGAGACAGCAATGCTGGTCGCCAAAATAGACGAACCGGGAACAGACCGGATCGGCGAGATCGAGTACGTCGAGTTGCCGCTCGCAGAAGCGGTGGGGAAGCCGCTCAAGGAGATTGCCTTGGAGCCGTAGGGAGACTGTGTCGGCACGGAGCTCTCGGAAACAGTGTCGATCTCGCTCGAAGAGACTGCCACGGATACTGCGGTGGTGGAGACTGCTGTAGTGGAAAGAGTTGCGGAGAACAGGACAGAGGTAGCAGACGACGTCTCGCTTGCGGTCGTCGACACTGAAGCAAATGCGCTCTCCGTAGACGCGAAAGAGGCAGTAGTGTTAGCCGAGGCGACGACAGAAGATGTCGTAGAGCTGTAGTAAGACTTGGTCGAGTAATCGCAATCAGACCCGCTCAAAGAGGAAGCAGGAGCTGTAGACGAGACGCTGGTCTTCACGGTAGTCGGAATCACGGTAGACGTAGCAGATGTAGACTCTGAGCTCGAAGCAGACGACGTGCTGATCAAGGTGCTAGAAGAGCTGCTAGTGGACGAGCTCAGCGTGCTCGTAGCCGAAGTGCTGGACGAGGTGCTGCTAGCCGACGTGCTGAAAGAGCTGATGGTGGAGGTGGAAGTGCTGGTAGCAGACGTGCTGGTCGAAGTCGTAGCCGAAGTGCTCGTAGACGATGTGCTGGTAGAAGTGCTCGTCAAAGTGCTCGTGGACGAAGTGCTGGACGAGGTTGAAGTGCTCGTCGAAGAGCTGGCCGAAGTGCTGGTGGCCGTCGTGCTTGAAGAGCTGCTCGTCGACGTGGTCGTAGTCCAAGTGCTCGTAGCAGACGTGCTCGTCGTGCTCGTTGCCGTGGCACTCGTCGACGTCGTCTTCGGGGTTGGGCACACGAGCGACTGCACGTAGCCAAGGTAGTTCTGACTTTCCGAGACCGTGTTTAGCTGGGCCCAGTACTCGTCCCAGAGCATGACACCACCAAAGTTGGCGTGACTGCTGTACTCGGTAACCAGCGTGGCCAAGGCCTTGGGCTCAACGTAGCCGGAGCCGGCACCAATGCTGCCAGGCAGACCGATGAAGAGCGGAGTGTCGGCGTTGGCAGAGCTAGCCAAGTGACGGACCCAGTCGTCGTAGTTGAAGCCGGAGCCGACAGCGTCGCACACGGGGTTGTTGTAGAACTGAATCCAGAGGGCATCAAACTTGGACTGGCTGATGATGTCGCCCATCTGGAAGCTGGCGTCTGAAAATGGGCACTGCGGCGCAGCAGTGACGAGAAAGTCACCCTCGACCGTGGCGAACTTGGAGCGCAGCGAGGTCACCAGCGTGTTCCAGGGGCCCTGGTCGGCAAACAGCTCCTCGATGTCTAGGTCGAAGCCGTCGACATGATTGTGCTGCACGGTGGAGCCGTCAACAACGTCAAACGGCCGCGGGCCAGCATACGCGGCATCGTAGGGACCAAAGCTGCCCCAGAGAAAGTCGACAAAGGCCTCGGCATTGGCATCAGACGACAACGTGTAGTTGGAACCCAGGCCGAAGACGCCACCAATAGAGAGCAGGATCTTAGTGCCACTGTTGCGGCAGGCCGCAAGACCACTCGTGATGGGCGGGCAGTCTTTCAGCAGTTCGGAGTTGTCGTAGTATCCGGCCCAGCAGTGGTTGGCAAAGTTGTCCCCAGCGTAGCCGGCCTTGCCACCGTTCTCCGGCGTCACATCCACAAAGGCCAGTGTCACGTAGTCGACACCCGTGGCACACACCTCGGACAGCTCCGTGTTGCCGTTCTGGCCGTAGTACACGTTCACCTGGCCGTTGCTGGCCATGGCCGCAGCAGCCGAAGCAGCCACGGCGAGGGCCGTCTTCAGGGAAGGCATTTTTGCTATTTTTGATTTTTGATTTTGGGGGGGGGGGTTCGGTTCTGGTTCCGATGGTCTCAGGGAGGAATGAAGGAGGGGAAGGGCCACGAGGGCAGAACAAGAGGCAAATAAAGAGTGTAAGTGATCAGGCGATCAAAACGAAAGGACGCAAACCAAGAGAGGAATGCACGGCTGAAGGAAAGCAGGCCGGTCAGAATGACAGTTGACGGATAAGGTAAGGAGAGAGAAAGAGAAGAGAAAGAGAAGAGAAAGAAAGGCTGCCAGACGGGAAGAGAGTCGAGGTATATCAGGCCCAAACCCAGGCAGCCACATCCCGAATGTGGGTATGGGCGAGTGGTCGAGGCCAACCGATAGACACCCACTTCCTGGACTAGAAAATCTCGTGCGGTCCTTTGCATCACTCCTACTCTTAATTTTGTCAGCGACTAATAACGGCTCAGACATACAAATGCGGGAAAGGTACCACTCACGATGCCAGGAACAGGACTAGCGGCAGGTAGCAAGGTGGTGTGGTGCATGTTGGTACCGAACATAGTATGGGTCAGTTTCGTATTAGTCTCTCTTGCTCCGTCCATACTACATGTATGCAATGGGCTGCACGAAGTCAGACACGGCTCAATAAAATGCCATCCTATCCGCTCGCTGGCCGGAGATAAGTAGCTCGAATCTGAACCGGCTTTCAGCAGGTGGACCGCTGGTTTCATCGCGAACCAAAGCGTGCACGCCACAGCCATCGGTCCTGGATCTGCAGCATCTTCTCGCAAAGCCATGGTCTCCAGCGGCTATATTCTCTTTCTAAAGCCGAGAGAGCAAGTCACTCAATGTACAGAGTACAGAGTATTGCCAATAATCTCACCATCTAAGTTGCATGCAGCTAGTCTTACGCATGAGGCACAGTCGGGGGGCTCAATTGCAGGGGGGGGGAGTGTGGTGGAGTTTAGTCGCAAGTCCGATCGCATTGGATGCCCAAGGCGGCATAACGTCAGAAATAAGCTAGATCATCTTCTCGGATGTGCTCCAATCAGAAATCAGGAGAAAGGGGCAGTGGTCCTCTGATGTCTCTGCCCTACGGAGGTCCCTACCAAAAGTTATGCCCACCCTGTTTCACCGCTTTTCCTAATAAAGACATAAAGTTACAGTATATAAGGTGTTACGTGCACTGTACATTTTCGGTAAGCTATCAGCACGTATTATGCTGTAATTTCCTTATATGCAGTAATTCTTAGTGGGACTATAAGCTAACTGTTATCAGTCTATCGCTAAGTTTGTTCTCCGTGCACTCAGCAAATCAGACTGTATACTGCCGATGTCACATCGAAGGGGGTGGGCACGACTTTAGGTAGGGACCTCCGTACATACAACACCATCGCCCCTTCCCCTTATAGGCAAGGTTAGCATTACGCTATCCAATTTCTGCCTGAGCGAAACTGGCAAGTGCCCGCAACATGTCTGGAGCCTTAGCACGGGAATAAATTACAGTGTGAAGATGGAACCGCACGAATGCGTGAAATAATCCCTATTTTCTTTTCTTTGCCGCTGCGAATTTTGTTCCTGCGTACACGGCGAGCCACTAACCTGTTGAGATCACGGCATACTGTCACTCCAATGTCATACTGCTCCCCTTTTTTGCCGTTACTGCAGCTTTAGCCTCTTGTGCCCCAATATTATCGTCTCATTACGTTTTCCTTCTCCGTCCGTACGAACTTCCAAATGCGGGCAGTCTTGCGAGAATGGCTCATCCTTCAAAGCTACCCTGGAGCGTACTTTTAAGCGCGCATACGTGAAGACTTGGCTGCAGACGTGAGATCAAATGCCAAGAAGGTGCCAAGGTCGACACGGAACAGTCTTCAATCAGGTATCTCCCCGTATTTTCATAATTCATTTAGACTCGACTGCGCCCGACCTCCAAGCCCGTGCAGCACCGATCTTTCTCTCACATTGGAACGCTTGTGAAAGTCTGTGCCAGCACGTGTAATAACGGTGCAATAGCAATCGCCAAAGGTACACAAACAACAGCCACTTCGCTTTACCGATGCCCAAGACGGTGAGCGTTATGCGGCAGTCCGGAAATTTATACTGGGTACTCGTGCCCCGCCCCACCCAGGGCGCGCGTTTTTCAACGCGCACCACTATAGGTGGTGCTAGCCACCCTAATGAACAGACCACCCTAATGAACACTTTTTGAATTATCACCACCTCTAACTTTAACCTCTCTTTGAGCGACGCATACGCTTCCCAGACTCCCGAATTTCCTGTGGGCTTAATCTCCCTTCAATTCTTATTCACCTAGCCTTTTTCGCGGCCTCCATAGACCACTTCTTCATCGCCATGTAGTACTTTTTCTCGGCGGCCTTGATTGCGCGCTATTCCCTGGCCTCCTTCTCTTCGTCCTTTTGTATAACCATCTCGCGGGCTGTGGTTACGTTAAGGGTCCATCCTAACTAAAGGCTGGTGTTTGTGTCAAGCATTGGAATCCGCCACACTGTGGCCCTTCCGCCCCACTTGGCCGTACTGGCCTGTAATTGGTCAGAAGGCACAAAAGCGGGGCCTGACACTAGTATTAATACGGATCCCCAGAAGGGTCGCGATGTATCTATTTCTTCCTAAGTACACAACACTCTTTCGCCCACACTAGACCCTATTCAGCCTCCTGCTCCTCACAGTGCATCACGTTATATGACCGCTACGTATAGCCTCCTTTAACCTTCACAGTTTGCTCTAGCCCTGGCTTGTCGTCTTGTTAATTTAGCAAGTTTAGTACGGCCTAGGTCTTTTTTTGTCTGTACCAATTCTGCAGCAATAGTTATTAATCCTTTGATTAACTAGCGAAGCTTATCGTAGGTCTCTTGGTCCAAATCGGTGCTCTCCTCTATCTAGCCTTTAAGTTTATTTGCTACCTTATTAATATAATATAAGGTGGTTAGTGTATTAGCAGGTAAAGATAATATGTTTAGAGGCGGTGTTAGAGTACGCTATCAGTATTGCTAGCTTTAATGTATTTTAAGCTAGTCAAGTATAATATAGGGGTTAAAAGGCTTAATACTAGTCTTTTTAAACGCAAAGGTAATCGTAGGCTGCTTAAATGCTTGTCGTCGGATCTCTTATATAATTGAAAGGAAGTTAAGCTTGCTAAAGTCTATAAGTTTATCCTAAGCTAAGATATTAAGAGCTTTAGCATAGTAGTGCTTTAACAGCTTAAAAACAACAACGTTAAGGGGCTAAAGGATACAGGTAAGATGCGAAGGGAAGCCAAATAGTATAATACTGTTATTGTTATAGTATTCGATGAATTGCCTTATATAGTGACTGCCGTGCCTATTAAGTATTAACAGTCTCTTTAAACCTATTATACAGCCTTTCGAGTAGTTGTCAAAGTGCTATAACTAGCAAAAGATAATCTTGTTATTAGTATAGCCGGATTTGTTTAGCAAAATTAAAGTATCTGTGTTAAAGGTGTACTTGGGTAGGCCAGGTAAGTCAGGCAGGCAAGGAGGTATCTTCTTAACAGGAGGAAGCAGCCGTATATTCAATAGCTAATTCTTGCCTTCTGCACTCTAAGGGAGTGCGGGAGGCACTCTTTATCGTAGGCGCACCTCTGGCGCACCAAGTGCGCAGGACAGGCGCGACCCCGTTTCTACTTGGCCCGTGCGCTAGCACGTGCTGTGGCCTGTGCGCAGACTGCGCCACGCAGCCTGCGCCACTAGCACCGCTTCTAGTTCACGATGTGCATCTAATACGCTGTGCGCATACTGCGTACGGCTTGCGCGTAGCCTGCGTCGGTCCCCTTCCTGGGGCGGCGTTACAATCTGTAAGAGGGTGGTGTGCAATGCGTGGTCACGAAGGCTTAACCGGTTTGTACTGTTGTATTAAGACTTCAACTTAACGAACTATAGGAGACTGGTAGGCGAAGGCCTGCCAGCTAATATATACGTGGCTGGAAGATGCGGTATAGCGCAAACCCAGTGGGGCGTGGCACAGCTAAGTGGCTGTGCTAGTCCCGTGCAACGTGTCAAGATAGTTCGTTAAGTCCGTCGCTTGGTAAGCGACTGGTTGCCGAACCGGTGCGTAGGGACGCGTGTGTGGAATACCCTTACAGTATCGCTATGCAGCTGCGGTAAAGTATACTAGCGGCTTATATAACGTTTGCCGGCTAGAATCAAAAACGTAGGAAGATGCTAACTACCAGCCGAAATAGCTTTAATCGCTGTTGCAGACTCTTTGTTTTCTGCCATACCTAAATACTATGCTCTCTTTCGCTTAGTAACAACCAGCTAATCTTTGCCCATCCTAATCTAAAACCCATTTTCGTCCATGTTCCATATGTTGTATAGAATAATACCTTTGTCTGCTATAACCTTTTGCAGCTTTTCAAAGTACCCCTTTATAACAGGAATGCTCTCTTTAGTTTAGCAGTTTATATTCAAGGTCTTTTGGCGCATAAATTGGTATTTGTAGCGCTGTATAAAGCGAGCAGTCCAGTGCTCTCCAACAGGTTCGTAGTTATCACTAAGGCGCTCATAAAGAATCGTATTAGCAGCCTCTATAATAAGCTCGCGCCGCACCGCAAGATTTACTGCCTCTAGTCTGTCGATATATCTGCATACAGCCGCCTCTTCTGGCTGTAATAAACGCGTGTGTGTAGCAGGGCGCCCTTTTGCTCCCAAACCGCCACCAAGGCGCCTAGTAAGCCGAAGGCGCGGGACGTCGAATTCCCGCGCAACCGTAGCAACTAGCGTATTCGGGTTTGCTTTTTTAAATTGAATAGCCTCTGCTAGTCGCTCCTCTATATCGTCTTCGTCCATATTTTTTTTTGCGAATTCGTGGTGATTTTTTGAAATTACTTCGCAAGAAAAAGTGTTCATTAGGGTAGTCTGTTCATTAGGGTGGCTAGCACCACCTATAGTGGTGCGCGTTGAAAAACGCGCGCCCTGGGTGGGGCGGGGCACGAGTACAGTAAATATCAGACCAAGAGCCAACATTACAAAAAGGCACGGCTATATCCTAGGATCTCAAACCGACCTGTTACTCTAAACTTCGGCTAATTCGACAGGTTGCCAAAAGCGACTCCCCGCCGGCCATATAGGCCCCATTTGTTTCAGCAGTGATACATGGCACCATCTTCGGCGTACCTTTATGCTCTCTGCAGCTGCTGCCTGCGGTCTTCTGCTCACTATGTACTGTGAGTCAGCCCGAAAATAACGTCCTCGGTCTTTCATGGCACGGTCACGAAGGCAGTAGATACGACAAATGGGTTATGCACATATATACAAGACCAATCAGATAGATACAATGGGAAGGAGGATAATCAGAGCGCGTCAAAACTAGAGGCGCACAAAGAGCGAGAGACAAAAGAAATGACGGAACCGAGCGACAGCGACAGGGAATCATCCAGGTGCACATCCAGATTCCATACAGACATACAAGTTCGGACCACTCCATAATACAGCTTTACCGACTTTCAAATTCCAGAGTCATCCTGGATAACATCACCGGCAGTGGTATAGGTATTCCAGGCAGCGCAGGTGGACTCCAGCGTGGTAGTGTCGATGGTGGCTAGGATCTCAGACTCCCGCTCGAGGATCTGGACGGCTAGACCCTCGGTGGTGTGCCAGGCAATGTGGCAGTGCATGAGCCAAGCCTGTGCTGTCAGCAAACGAAGACGAAAAGGAGGGGAGACGACAGAAGACGGCAAGATCAGACTTACACCTGGGTTGTCGGTATAGAAGGCGATGACGGCGTAGCCATCGCCGGGCAGTTGGACGACATCACGACGAGGACGGTTGACGAGAGAGAGGTTGGCCGTGCTGGCGTTGTAGGTGCCGGTGCCCTGGCCGAGGATCCAGAAGTCGTGGCCGTGCATGTGCAGCGGATGGGGCGCGTTGTTCTTGGTCTGGATGACCCAGTAGACCCAGGTGTCGGCATTGGGAAACTCGTAGACGTTCTGGGAAGCGCCCCAGGTGTCGTTCTTGTCAGCAACCTGCTGCAGGGTCGGGTAGTCCCACTCGTTGACAAAGGTAGACGAGCCCATCTCCCAGAGGAAGGCGTTGTTGCTTAGGGTGACCTCGACGTCAAAGCTGTCGGTCACGTCAGCGTCAGAGGCGGCGATGGCGAGGTAGGGCACCAGCAGAGAGGCATCCTCGTCGTAGCAGCTGTCGACAGCGGCGGCATCCCAGGCGGACGTGGTCGGGTCGGCCGTGGAGGAGCTAGAGTAGCGGACGATGCCGCGGATGTTGTCGGCGTTGGCGTTGTCGCTGCAGCTGGTCTGAGGGATGGCACGCAGCCAATAGTCGTCCGTGGTGGCGTTGGCCGTGATGATCACGTCGTAGCGCTGACCCATGGTGATGCTGACGACGTCAGTGGCATAGGGCTGGATGGGCACGAAGTCGGTGGCGATGACCTCGAGCGTGTGGTTGTCGACGGTGAACTTGAAGACGGTGTCGGCGGCGCCGTTGACGAGACGCAGCCGATACCGCTTGCCCTCGCTGAACTGGGTCTCGAAGCGGGAGCCGACAACGGTATCGTCCGTGGTGGTGTAGACGTTGGTGCCGTTGATGAGGCCGTTGTCCAGCGTCTGCGGCCCCGACGCCTCGGCCTTGAGCAAGACCTGGTCGGCCGTCTCGTGCGTCCAGTCGTTGAGGAAGAGCGAGCCGAGATCCTCGTCATAGTCGGCCGTGGCAGGGCCGTTGATCACGATCCCGCCAAATACTCCGTCCCATGCCTGCACGTAAAAATGCGAGTGGTACCAGGACGAGCCGTACTGCGTCGCCCGCCACGTGTACGTGTGGCTGGATCCCGGCGCCACCGGGCACTGCGTCACCGACGGCACGCCGTCCATCTGGCTCGTGTAGTTCTGCCGGATGCCGTGGAAGTGGATACCAGTGCCATTGTTCTCCATCGAGTTGGTCACGTGGACAACTGCATGTGTCAGCGCGAACCACCAGCACTTGCGTGTTATAGACAAAACAGGTATACGTACCAACAGTGTCGCCCCAGTCCGCGATGATCGTTGGGCCCGGAACTGTGCCGTTGACCGAGAGGACGATACGCTCCACGCCGTCGGGTGAGGCGGTCGTGTTGACAATGTCAAACCAGTACTCGCGGGTCACACCCGTGTCGGGCACCTCTTCGTAGTAGTTGGTCGCGATGTTATAGTCGCCCCAGCAGGAACGGCTGCTGGCCGTGTTCTCGCAGCTCGCACTGCTTGCCCGGCTTACCAGGGGCGAGGCCACGACAGTCGACGCCCAGGCCGCTGTGAGGGAGAGGTAGGAGAAACGCATGGTGTAGCAGGTGTAGAGCGAGTAGGGACAGTATATGAAATTCGAGCACAAACGGGCGAGCAGGACAAACGAGCTCGAATGAAAGACAAAGGATTGGATGATGAGATGAAGATGGGATGGAATATGTAGTGAGGCTCTAGGCAGCACGCAGGCTGGTCTTATACCTCTGCTCGTCGGTCGCGCAGCCGTCATGTTCGAGCAGGTAGCAAGACCGGCTGTTCGTCGGACATCGTCGGCCATCATCGGACATGGCTATCGGGACGGAAAGGAGGAAGCTATAGTCTTCATAGCCCCATTCACAACCACAGCAGCATTTCCATGGTTTCATGGTTCCTCATTTCTGACGGTGCTCGGCGCAGCTGCAGGAACCTGCACACACATGCATTCCGCCATCGTGAGCACGGCTCGCAATCTTCAACAAGAACGTGGCCGGACGGGTCCATAGCCCGCACAAGGCACAGCGATCAGGCCAGCTGAATAGTCCCGTCGAGCGCCATGGACAGAAACGGAAAGTCCCAGTGTGAGTATTGAACGCGTCATGGCGCGGCTGATATTGGCTGCATGTACGGGCTGCATGCAGGATTGTATCCGCCAGGTGATTCCTCAGCTCCATGGCATTGAGAGGGGCAGCCGCGCGGTTTCTACCGTCTACATGGCATTGAGAGGGGCAGCCGCGCGGTTTCTACCGTCTACTTCGGCTCCCGTCTGCGCAGCGGACAATATTGGAGAATACTTGCCTCGGCCTAACCAAGTATCTTGCAGCGTAAAGAAGCATAGAGATGACACAGACAAGACTTACACGATCGTTCCGCACGGACTGCATAGCGCGAATAGCGTCGTGGGGCTAATGGCATACGTCTGGCAAGCGCCTCTGTTTCAAACTGATAAGGGCCGTCCACGTTGACACTCTCCACATGTCTGGAAATATTTGAACAATCAATGCAACTCACCCCGGACCCCGGTCATGTCTCTTTTAAGACTTTGCAACTTGGGGGTTACGACCGTTGAGGCTTGGTGCCTTGTCCCAGTGGGGCTGTCCGGTCATTAGACGTCACTCAACCGACTTCAGCCCCAGCCTGTGCCAATGGCGTGCCGTTGATACAGCATTCGCAAGCCGCCGCAGAACACCGGCATGTCCACGCGGCGCGAGCCACCCTATTAACGGCTATCTCCTGCATGTGTCGCCCTCTTTTGGTACCTATGGAGACACCGTGCAGGGGTACCTTGTCGAAACTTCAGCGACGCAGCTGCATGCCGGCAAAAACGAGACGACAAGGCATGGTAGCACATGGCCGCCTCACCAAAAAGCAATAAAAGGGGGGGAATAAGGCAGACGATTTCAGCTTCGGCTGGTGACAGAACCTTCGGCCGATGCGGATGCATCGGGAAGGTGGACACCCGCCTAGTTGACTTGTCACTCGTGCAGGAAGGCATACGCAAGTGTCGCCGTCATCACCAGCCTTGGCGTCCTGTCTCGGCCAGACGTTGAGTCCGTGTCTTTCTCGTGTTGCTGATGTATCTGCATTTATACTCTTCAAGGCTCCCTAAAAGCGGATTCGGGAAAACACTAACACTAGCAATTCCCCAACTATTTGCTGCTGCTGTCTTTGTCTCCCTCTCGCTCCATCTTACCATCGCCCTTTGCCTTTCCGTTCCTCCTGTCTACTTTCAATACTTGCAGCCTCTCCACTCTGAATCTTGCATCATGCTCAAGTCACTTCTTTTCGGCCTCTTCGGCCTTGCCGCTGCAGCCGCTGCGGCCCCCCAGAGACGTGCGACTGGCTCAACCATCTACGTCTATGGCACAGGCATCAAAGGCCTGCCCATGCAGGCAACCAGCAATGGTGAGCTTTCCTCCATCAGTCCCAGACAGACCCTTTCATCTAACCGAGCAGGAACTGTCTTTGTTACCGATGATACTTCGCCCGGACTCTACAATGTCTCCCGTAAGCTGAACTGACACCCCTGATTTTATTTCCTCGTCTGCCAATAATTTTCATATCCATGCACAAGCACATGCACAATACTGATTCTTCCGCCTTCTCCTGTCCGACCAGTCAATGTTGCTGATAGCTCGACGCCGTGGACTTCCACCCTCGCCAACAAGTCCGCGACCTTGTCGGGCTATTCGTTTTACATCATTCCTGCTGAAAACTCCTTCGCCGCCATCGGCTTCGTTCGGCCCGATGCAACTGCTCCTACCGGTGCCGTGACGACCGGTTTCGCGCTCCTTGGCACTAACATCCAATACGCCGATGGCGACACTTACATCTCTCAGTTCTGGGCGCGGCCGTCCAACTCGACTGCGTGGGAGATTCTCTGGAACTCCAGCGGTGACAGCCATAGTGACAGCATCCCTGTGACCCTCAAGCTCACAGCACCCACTGTTGTGGAGCGTGACTAGGCGAAGTTGGGCTGAGTTCAAAGCCGAGGGGGAAGCCAAGGGGGCAGTTCAATTTGTCGTATATCTATACATCGTATAGAGAGCTGCGGGAGATGAGAGGGGCAGAGGGGCAGAAGAGCCTGGGGGGAAGGTGGGAGGAGAATGAGCTGTCTTGTTTCTTTGAGATGTAGAACACTTGCTTAAACATGAGAATTGATGTTTGTAATAAACGAATATCGAGACCAATCGCATTTTTTTCCGCTCTCTCCAAGGTGTCTCATGATCTGCTCGGACAACCATCAGAGTACTTCGTAAAGAACGGCCGAATATTCTCGATTGCTTGCATTTCAGCTCGGCACTGTCTCTGGATTGGGATTAGTTTAGAGTGGAACAAAGAAAACAAAGAGGAAAAAAAGAAGCAGAAAGCATAAAACGATGTCGAGCGCCTTGGAGAAGTTCGACAGATCATCTTTGCCGCGCGGCCCGGTGACATTACCAAAATGTGGCTTATGCGCAGAACCAAGCGGCACTGCTACGTATGCCGGCAAAATAGAATAAATGTGCCTATCTCATTGACGTCGGCCGTGCCTTCGGATGTCTCCGAGCCAGGAACCGGACGCCAGGGCATGGAAGCATCCGTGCATACGAGACTACTACGCTGCCACCAATCCGTTTGTTACATCGTTCGGCCTAAATCAGCAGGATTTGGACGCTCCGATTAAGTGGCAGAAGGATGCATACGTACGTCCTGATGTTTCGGGAGATGGCTTAAGCATACAAAAGTGGACTATCATCGAGCAAAGATCTCGGCCTTGCCATTTTCGAGCTCACTACCGATCCTTGTAATATTACTACTCCGTAGACGTACGAGTGCACGGGTGGCAATCGATGGTGCAACATAACACATGGGGAAATAAGAAATGCGTCGTAAGCCATGCCTATATCAAGCTTAATAAGAGCGGAATGTGGTGGTATATTCGAGAAAACTGCTGCACGTGAGACGTGATTCGCAGCCCGTAGTTTCAAGTCATCAGAAGGCTTTGTGAGCTGGGATAACCAGCAGTCTGTGTGCTGACTGGTCCAGGTCATATTCCAATTTCCCATTTCCACCCTGCCCTTGCTCTATCGTACAAATTTGCACGTGGCTGCTGCGGCCATGGGTCAGAAGGCGAGAGGAGTTGCTGCTCATGCCTGATATCGACGCTGCCAGTATCGTTGCAATTGGTCGGTTCGGTTCGGTCGGTCCTTCGGCGATCGGTCGGCCCGTTGAACAACGAAAAGTAACTTATTGACTATCGATTCGGTCAGTAATGGGTTGCGCAGCATATTTTTATCTGCTTTGCTCCGAGGAAAAACATACGGCGGCAGGAGAAACTCAGCCCAGGAGCTGGCGAGAAATGCGGTACCGACCTAATGCCCACAGTCAGTATGGAGCCAATATCGTATTTGGTGGGAAAAGTCAAGGCTTTGCACTCACTGCAAATGCCGCGATGCTGCGAGCGAATGCGGCGTTCTCGGGAGACGCAACACTGTCGTAGACGCTCTGGAAGAAGCCCTTGGGCCGCAGCGTGCGGCCGGCCCTCTCCACCTGAATGATCTGCTTCGGCTGGTACATGTTGAGCGGTTGCAGTTGTGGATGCGGTGCTTGAACGGCGGGAACGGGGCGGGAGGTCGTCGTGGTGGTTGAATCGTGCTTGCGATTCTGTTTTTTAGCTTCTTTGCATTGACAATGAAGTTTTTGCCGCATTCTCCAGATGACGTAAGCAACATAATGCGGGACGCATGTTAATGTATACATGACAGTACTAGCAAGTAGCTGCAAATCAGAAGTCCGTACTAGCAGCTACAAGCTAGGCTACAATCGGCCGTTTCAGACATTAATGGTTGGTCACTGAGCCTCAATGCCGTCAGACATCGCCAAAGCCTTAAGCAGCTTCGCGATTGCTTCAATTTGCTCAGAATCAAATTTTGTATAAACCCAAATTGCCGACCAACTCTTCAGGTACATCTTCTTAGAATGGCAAACTTCTCTTCGCCGTCCACTCCCGGCCCCGGCGGCTTCATTCCTGACCTAGGACTCCTCTCGCCGTCACCAAGCCAAGCTTCGTCTGTCCGCAGTCACACTCCAGGCCTACCGCACCCCCGTCGGAATCCCTTGCGTCCTGGGTCTTCCAAAGAGGACCTGGTCCGGCGCTATGTTGAGAGCCGACTGCTGTATATCAGCCGGCGCTTCGTCAAGAAGTACGGCATCGCAGAACCCGACGATGAGGTGGTTGGCTACAAGTCCATGACAGAGCTTGGCCGCGATGTGGACGACCTCTTGAATGTTATTTGGCTGTCGGGAACACGTCGGTTTATCTCTGTCCTCTTTTCTGATTAACCGAGCTGACGCCTCTCGCAGCGAGCCTCCAGGCACCCTACCTGCTGAATATCGCAGGCGAGCTGGTCTCCTGGGTAGGCGGCTTCCAGCCTGCGCCCAGGGTCACATTTTCAGTTCTGCAGAAGCTTGATCACTGTTTCGCTAGCCTGCTAAGTGGTGCAGATGTCGAGACGGGCGAACCTCTCCCCGGCTTTGAAAGAGGATTGCACGTCGGCATGACTCGTACCGACATGGTGCGATGTAGGAGCACGGCCGAACTGACACGTGTCGTGGTGGCCGATGTAATAAGTCGAGCATCACCGGACCCGGCAGACGAAGCAGAGAGCCGACGTCCAGCAATGAACACGAGGGTAGATCCCGTCAACAACGACGACGATTATGAGCAACGGCAGACGGGGGACGAAGAAGGAGCACCAGACTTCCAGAACGACGAAGATGAAGATCTTCATATGGACGTTGCCAAGGTTTACGAAATGACGCTGGTCAAACTGGGCGAGGTGCTTGGTGATGGGGGAGGACGAATTGGTGAGATATTGGCCAAGGACGACGTCGACATTGACGATGCCGACGATGCCGACGATGACATTTGACCCAGAAATTTGCCGAGGAGCAACTGATTATCAACTGCAACAGCCTATTCTGGCGTTTTGTTTTTCAGGTATGATACTACTTCAATAATGAGGTTAACGTCAAAAGGTAGCAACAACAACGAAAGGGAACGGAGAGTAAGCATCAAGCCAGGCGTTTTCTCAGCGACTCTGGAAGGCGGAACACTGGAAGCTGTACCACGTTCTCGCTGGAGAATAATTACTGTGCTGCTACGGACTGGGTGACGTGCATGGACTCGTCTTAGCTGTCAATCTTCAGCTTCCTTTCCGTCAAGTCTTTCGGGATGTATACTCATTTTGAAGGCATTTGTGGAAATGTGATCGGAATTGATCTACGATGTAACGGTGCAAACAAATATTCACATCAGGCCAACAATTGCCCCCCAACCGGGCTCAAGACTCGAAAGGACAGACCAAGACGAGGCGACATAGTTTCCCACAGTGGAGACGAAATGGCGTTCGCCATGGATGCAGCGGCAAATATGCCCTTTACCAGGGGAGGAGGCAACGTGAATGAACCGAATGGATGTGCTTGGGACATCTGGCTCTGCTGCCAAGCTGGCTTGACATGCGCTATCCGTACTGCTCTGCCAAATCCTTGTCGCCAGCAATCATTAGCAATTGATCATCCCAGTACGCTGCTTCTTTTTCTTCTGTAGAGCACGCCGGGCCTGAATATCTGCTATGCCTACAAAGGAGTTACTATGTTGCTTATTGCACCGATCTTCAATCCATAACTAACCAAGTCGATAAAGTCGTAGCACCTCTTCTGAAGCACCGTGTCTACGACACTGTTCTGGTCAAGGATATTGTATCTACGGATCGCGAAATAGGCTAGATTCGATAGTCTGTCGGATCAGAATCTACCATATCCGGCAATTCTCTGCATAGGATTCAGCAATCATACAACACACCGTCGAAGAAGGGCGCAACCGGTTAGTCTGCCGACGCTACGCTCTGTCAATATGGGTCCTCTCTTCCGTACTGGGACGGTCATGGCAATTGTCACAGCTGGCAGCCGGAGGCTTGATTCCTCTTTTGTGACCATTGGTGGCCAATTTGCAAGTATCGAGGCGTGGTGATAAGATCGGGACTTTACGATTTGACGATGCTGCGTTTCCAGCCGCAGATGGACCTTGTCAAAGGATCCCCCATGTCAGAACAGTATCGGAATGGTCCCAGCCATGTGGATGTCTACCTCCCGTTCTGCTCCGTACGGAGTACCTCTCGATACTACTTCATGGTAAAGTGGGTGCACGTTGTATCTTACGTATGCAAACTACGACAGGCTGCAGGCCTTATCTGACTGCTTCTACGGGAAGGGAAATGCACGCCAGATACACTGCAACGTGGGGCGGGCTCTGGGGCCAGGCCAAGTCGCTTTTCTTCTGAAGAATCAATCTCACCCGGGGCAGCGTGCGAGTGCCACAACGCGCAAACATCGCCACTGATATCGCGCCAGAGCAGCGTAGTGCCCGGGCTCGGTCTTGTCTGGGCGTGGTGTGCTCATGTATGCGCAGGCACTCCGAACACAGGGATGGCATGATCTCACTCAGCCAGCTGATCAGGCACCAGGCGGCAATTGGGCGATTTCAGGCCCAAAAGCTCAGGCCCAAGTTCGTCGGCCCAGCCCGACATACGAGCTCGTGCTTGGGCTGCATTCTTCTGGGCTGTTTCTAGAAAGAGCGAATTCGGATGTCTGGTGACTTGGCGAAACATGAAACGGTCTCATCGAAACAGTCGCGTATCCCCATTGGCTTTTGGCCGGGGTCGCAGAAGAATGTGTAAACGAAACAGACAATAGACGGGGCAGTAGGGAGTAAAGGCGCGAGACGCCAGCGCTTTAGTGGCCTATTAAAGCGCGCGGCTTGTGGTCCAGGGCTACGGAGTAGTTCGCGCGCGCGATTGCGGCCACGTATCTTTAAGTGGATCTGGCAAAAGAAGCAAAGGAAATCTGAACGACAAAAGGGAAAAAGTATTTGGGGGAAGGGAGAAGGGAGGAAGGCGATGCTATGCTATGTAGTCTAATTCTCGAGCTTGAATGCTGCTTACTGTGCGAGACGGGGCGGCTGGGCGATGGCGGCGCGAAGAAGGAACGACCCAGGGAGAAATTCTTTTCGATGCCAGCGCGATCTCGTCCTCCCTTGGAAACAAAGGAAACAAAAGACAAGCCAGACGGGAAGGCTGCAGAGCGTGTGCTGTCTTCTGCGCGTCTGTTTGCCACTCCCGCATGGCCGTTGTAAACGGCACACACAGCTTTTGCCATTGGCCACGGGCCTCCATCCACCCATATTGTCCCTTGCAGTGAGTGCCCTGGAAGTATAGTGTCTACTTTGCGGCTGGATCAAGTTTCCGGTTCGGGACAAAGAATCCTTCTGGGACGGATTGCGTGCCACGTCGTCGAGTTGTCCACGCAGTCTGTAAGATACATGTGCCGACTCTTCTTTGTTTCAGGTACTTGCGTCGCACTCATACGGCCGGCCGACTCTCTCCGCTATATATTAAGTACGGAGTTGGCATCTGCGCCAGTTCGTTGGCGCCAACGCCGGAAGAACGAATACTATCGAAAATACCATCCCGCAGAAGTCGTCTTCGATAACGGCAGCATCGATTCCGTATGGACTGCGGATCACGAAGGCGGGCGTCTCGCTGCAGAGGCTGGCCAGCGGCTGCAAAGATGAGGGATCGGCATTCTACGTTGCATTTTCTCGCTGAAGTTCTTTGCGCAAAGCCACCGATGAACGTGCGCGACGATCTATCTATGTACCTCCTCGATCTGTCGTCCGTTGCGCGCCTGGTGGCCAGCTCTGCGGGGCTTTCCTGCAGGTCCTCGTACGCATACGAATGCTAAGATACATTGTACCGGCGAGCACATGCATCTCACATAGGCCTCCTTATCTTGGGGCGGCGCCAGTTCCCATTCCAGTGTCCACAATTGTTTCACAATCGGCTTTTGTGGGTTCCTGTGGAGGAGATAAAAGGGGGCTTCACGGGAACCCCCAGCAAGAACAAAGGAAACCCCTGGGGGTTTGCGCGCCTTCGTCTGAATTTGCCTCGGAATTCTCTGCTGCAGGACTCCTCCCCTGGAAAAAAATCTATCGATCGTGGCCCTGAACGGAATTATTCGCAATGCAAGCAATATAAGCACCATACGAGCGCGTATCTTACTACTATGTACGAGGTATGTATCTTACCTCCTGTCAGCTGTCAGGATCCTGGATTCCTATAGTCCATAACCCCCCCCACTCCGCCACAAGACCCTTGCTGCGCAATGACATCTGGGCTTCGCCTCGGCAAGGGTTTTTATTAATCTGTGCTTATTATAGCCAAGCCGAGCCTGTCTCTCATCACAGCCTCTACAGACACGTCTGGTCGCTCGTACAAGAACGTAGAAGCAAGAGGAATGAACGGGCTGGGCAGCCCTGAAAGGGGTTTCAACGCATTGGGACTAGACACTTGTTCTGCTCAAAACAAACGCCCTTCTTTGCGCTGCTCTTGTTTCATGCTCGTGCGAGGGGCATCTCTGACCAAACCTTTTTAGGGACGTCGGCCAATCAGAGTGCAGAACCTGTTCCTCTGGCATCTGCCCCCCCTGTTTGCGGATCCAGTTAATTGGTAGCTTTCCTCATTTCTCCTTTTTTCTCTTCCTACCCTACTCAGAGGGAGGCCTACTTGCCTCTTTCGCATTGGTGTGGGCGTCGTGTCTTTCCGGGGTTGTCTGCTCGGTCGCTATCCACTGCATCCACCTGGAAGGCGCTCGGTGGAGTGTACTTCGTGTCCACGTCTGCTCGGTGCAGGTCAGCCAGGTACCCTGCCCATCGGACAATTCGTACTCGTAGTGGTGGTGGTGGCTCCAATAATCGTTTGCCTTGTACGGAGTATAGGCCGAACTATCGGTCTATATATGGACCTGCAGTCTTCCTTTCTCACACCGTGGGCCTGGATTCCTTTCTCGCTCTCTTACCCTTCCTGCTTACCATTCTGTTTGTTCTTTGCGACTACCCGCAGTCCTTTCTTTCTTTCCCGTGCTTCTTCAGGATACAAGAAGATCACATTCCTTTTCAACGGTCCACCCTTGTAGCAGCTTGTCTGTTCGCCTCCTTGTATCCTATCACGATCCTTTTTATCCCACTCTTCAAGAGCTCCCTCATTGCCTGTCCGGTACAACGCATCATTGACTGTCCTTTGACCCTCCTGTCGTCGCAAAGCCTTTATATCTTTCCAGCAACTCTCAGATCTTAAGCGGTAGCTAGTTTCTACCCGAGCACTCCAAATTCTTTCCTCAACTCAGACTCCAGGATACATCCTTTGAAAGGACTCCTGCCTCATCCTTCTCATAAAGCACAGCCGGGCTTGCATATCTGAAGCAAAAAAAAACACCCGCACAAAACATCACGAAAAGAACAAGAACAGAAACGTCCACCTTACCCCCCCAAAAGTCTATCCAACATGTTCTCATCCGCTCTCATCGTCTCTCTCCTGCCGGCCCTGACCGCCGCGTTCTCGCTGCCGTCGTACAACGGTCTTTCGACCGTGTGGCACGACGACTTCTGGGGCAACGCGGGCGACTCGCCCAACGTCACCCACTGGAACGTCATCACCGGCGACCTGGGCCTGAACAACGAGCTGGAGACGTACACAGAATCCAACGAAAACTTGCAGATCAGCGGCGGTGGCACGCTGCAGCTGATCCCACGGCGCAACAGCTCGACCTCGTCGGGCTGGACATCGGCGCGCATCGAGTCGGTCGACTCCTACACGCCGGTGCCGGGCAAGAACACCCGCGTTGAGGCCAGCATCCGCATGGGCACCGGCAGCAACAGAACCAGCAACAGCACCAGCAGCACCATGCAGGGTATCTGGCCCGCCTTCTGGATGCTCGGCCAGTCTATGCGCGAGGGCACCAGCTGGCCGCTCTGCGGCGAGCTCGACATCCTCGAGCAGGTCAACGGCAAGCTCACCGGCTACGGCACCGCCCACTGCGAGAACCACTGCGAGGAGCCAACCGGTCGCCAGGGCTACACATCCATCCCGTCCGGCAGCAACTTCCACACCTGGCGCCTCGACTGGGACCGCACCTCCAACAACTGGCAGACCGAGTCCATCACCTGGTCGCTCGACGGCGTCGACTTCTTCTCCATCAACGGCACTACCATCGGCGACCAGGCCACCTGGAGCACCCTGGCCCACAGCCCGTTCTACATTCTGCTGAACGTTGCTGTCGGTGGCACGATGGCGTATGTTCTTCCTTTTTTCTCATTACTTATACTCTGTGCAGCCGGCTAACAGTATTCTTTCTAGTGGCAACCCTGACTCCAACACCCTGGACGGTTACGACAGTATGATGGAAGTCGCATACGTCGCCGTCTACTCGAGCTAGTCTCGCCTGGACCTACGCCGCTCAACGTTCATGACCACTTCTTAGACTTCAATTCTCTTCACACTGTTCAGCCACCTTTTACCCACTTTCTGTTCTTCAGTTCTTTTGTTCATATTCTATAACCCCTGATTTTTGCACATATGGGCCATCTATCTTCAAGATCGGCGTTCGCATGGAAAATATCGACTCAGATAACCATCATGTACAAGCGCAACTCGGCCCGTCGACTAGGCTCGCAGTTCGACTTCTTCTTCTCTTTAACACTCGCTTCAAGCATTTTTTGACTAAGCTCTATGATACCACATTCGTTCAAATACTTGCCAGCTTGCTTCGTTGTGTTCCAAAATTGTACGTTCTTCAGTCAAGTAGTGTCGTTTCGTGTTACTTTAAAGTCACGTGAAGTAAGTTATCTACGAGCACAGTGTGGATTAACCAACATGTGACGATCTCCGCATCTGCGCCCAACAACCGAACACAAACGGGGAGATTCGCATTCCCTGGCTTTCTGTTGGCCTCCCCCACATTTCTTATTGTCACAAGCCCAAAGTACCACCAGCTCATCAACGCCGAAGACGGGACATTGCAAGCAGCCGAGGCCCTTTCAACGACGAACAACGGTGGCAGGTAACAGCCAAACCCATGTGTTAAGAGACATCAGCAAGCTTTAATTCCTATCAGCACTACCCCTCGACAGAGAAGATGGTTTCCCAAGACAGGAGATTATGCTTCAGCAACCGGTAGCCGGTATCAAAGGGAAGAGACAAATCCGAATCCTCAGTCCAGTTCTCAGTCCTCAGCAATACAAAAGTAACCCATGATGTCGTAAATCGTCTCCCGGGGTATATTCCGAAATTCCTTGTTCCAAGAAGGGTAGTTGGGGCTCCTTTCCAGCCTCAAGAGAAGAACCGGCACAAATAAAAAGTTCCTATCAACCCCATTTGAACAGCGCGAACACTAGAATCCGTCTTGGCAGGAGAAGCTTTTTCGATATTTTCTTTGGAGACGTCCGTCAAGAATCAGTGAGCCCCCTTCCCTCGTTTTCTCCCTCGTTTATTTCCATCTTGTTCCAGAAAATCAAAGAGAGAAGAGCGCGAAACCAATGACGCCGTGAAAACGCAAGATCATGATAACTGTGTCCATGGCTGGAGACGGGAGACTTGGTTAAAAGAGACCAAGCGAAAACGACGATAGAGAAACGTCCGGACATGCAGGCATGCCTAATAAAAAGACGAATAAAGGAAGTAAGAGTAGGTGAGATGCTTGGAGTGGAAGTGGGAGGATGCAAATGTGGTAAGCAACGCAAAAAAGCAAATGTTGCCGCCGGCAGGTCGGTGGCCGCTCATGCTCTTGGAAGAGAGCACGCAGCAGGTACGATTCGTGGCCAGCCCAGCTGCTTCAGCTGGCGATTGGCGGTCACCGCCTAGGCAACCGGAGCGATGGAGGGGACGACGGCCGGAACAGCAACGGCAGCAGCCTCCGGGATCGGGATCGGAATCTCGGCACTGACTTCGCCGTTCGTGTTCTTCTGAGGGCAGTCACGCGAGATGTGACCAGCCTCGCCGCACTGGTAGCAGGTCTTGCCGGCAGTGTTCAAGGGACCGCCGTTGGGGGCGGTGCACTCGCGCGAAATGTGGCCAAGCTTGCCGCAAGCGTAGCACTTCATGGCCTGAGCCTGGCAGTCACGAGCGAAGTGGTTCGGGCCACCGCACTTGTAGCAGGTAGCCGGGCGAGGACCACCGACGGCGAAGCCGCCACGGCCGTAGCCGGCAAAGCCACCACGGGGAGGCAGGGCAACGCCGCGGCCGAGACCGGCAGCATTGGGTGTCGGGCAAGCACGCTGAGCAAGGGTCAACTTGGCAGCACAGGGACGATTGACGGATGGCCTTGTGCCAAAGGAACGGAACAACTTACAGCCAGGTGGCCCTGCTGGCCACAACTGTAGCAGCGACCGCCAGTGGCGGCGCCAGAGAGGCGAAGCGTCGGGCAGTCTGCCTGAACGTGGCCGAGACCCTGGCAGTGATAGCACTGCTTAGCATCGGTGGTGCGAGGCAGGGGACAGCCGTTGGACTCGTGGCCGGGCTGCTTGCCTAAAGCGACAATTGAGGTTAGTTTCTGCTTCTGGCGAGGCAGGTTGTTGTGCACAGAAGTAGTGGCAGCAATGCTTACAGTTGTAGCAAAGACGCTCGGCTGACGAGCAAACCTCGGCGTAGTGGCCGACGTTGCCGCACTTGTAGCATGCACGACGCGAAAGAGAAGACATGGTGTGAGGAGGAATGTGTTGTTTTCTGGGATATGTTAGTGCGTGTCCCTCATAATCCTGTTTTTTTTTGTGCAGCTGCCGTCTCATGGCTCATGTCACGCAGGGCTGATGAAGTATGTGTGATATCGGGGGCTGAGAATAAGAAACGAAATGCAGGAACGGCTGGATGTTATGGGCAGAAATCCGAATATGGCCGAGGCAAATCCGAGAAGAAAATTCTCGAAACACTGGACGAGGTTTCCGATCCCAAAATTAGCTTCGCTGGCGGTGCATAGTCGCATCAGAAGGAATGCCCGCGTTACAAACTGATGCAATTGCAGCCGAGCCTTGCACAACGACGGTCTTCGGGCGGAGTATTTGGTCATTGCGACGTGTATGACTTTGTGGTGAGCCCAGCTTTCCCGGGCGCAACCGTCGCACATGGCCGGCCTAGAAGGACCTGCATGATGCAGGATGCATGAGGCTTGTGCAACCATGCACTTTATAACACTTCTTTCAGCTGACTCTCAATTTTGTTGTCCAAGGCCAGTGCAGCGCATCAGGGCTCGAAGGTGTTTATTCAGGCTGTGTTGGGAACTCCATCCCAACCGAAGGCAAAGGAAGTCCGGGAAGTACGCGTGATCGGCGAGGAGCAAAAGACAATAACATATCAAGGCGATCGGTTGCTCAGATAGCCCAATGGCCGGGACGCCAGCCACGGAAGAATAGACACAGAAGCGAAAAGTAACCGGCGAATTTGTAGCGGCGACAGCCCGGTGGCGAAAAGAGAGGCGATGTTTCGCGCAGCACAAGGACAATGCCGATTTGGTTGCTTGGGAGAGCAAGTGAATGAAACAGCGGGTTGCGCAGTGGTTGGCTGGCTCATTACGATAACCCGGCGAAATGGCTATATTTGAGACCGGGGGCTCATAATGCTGAAGCCGTGGCACAAAGCGAGGTTGCATCATCGTCTCCGGTACTTCTTGTGTCGTCGCAGTCATCGTCGCAGTCGTTACTTATGCTGCATGCTGGTGCATCCATGAGGGTGGCATGTTGTCCCGAGATGAGTGGGCGCAGTCATATTCCGGCTTGCGGGTCATGCGCAGGCGCAGTATGCGTATTTCTCTGTCATGCCAATCGCAGACTGGCGCAACGCAATACTGAAGGCCGTGATAGGGCGACTGAGGGGGTGTAGACACTGATGCGCGGAGAAAAAGGCGTCTTTCAAGTTCCCGCAATTCGGTCCGGAAAACTTCCGCGGCAGCCGAGAATACCAGAGGCGACGCAAGAAGAGGAGGGAAAGCAGAGTGCGCGAAGACGGATGGTAAAGAGCGAAGGGGAAGGGGAGCACTGAGAGCGGCGCAACGAGGAGAAGTGGCAACGACAAGAGAGAACTGACCGTGAGAACAAAAAAATCTTCTTTTCAAAACCCTTCCAAAGCTTCAAACCGTTCGACTTCGACAACAACCTTCGCAACTTCTTCCGACAGCAACACCTACAACAACCCGGATAGGAGAATTTGGATGGTGATGATCAAAACAAGACAAAGTGGTGTGGATCGTGAGAGGAGAAGAGGGAAGAGGAAGAGGGAGGGAAGAAAGAGGGGAAGATATAAAATATAAAATTAAATTTTAAGGGAAAAACTAAGCAAAGAGGAAGGAGGCGACATGGGATTACCTCCTGCCTGGGGAGGCGATTGTGGCGGCCAACAGCTAAACCGAACGTTCATTTTAGCGTCGTCGTAAAAAGAAAAAAGAAAAAAGGCAAAGAAAGGCGCGCGAGAGGTGGTCGTGCGGAGTATTGGCGCGCAGAGAAGCAAATTTTCTGCGATGGACTTGTGTGGGACTCGCAGATCTCCGCCCAGAGAGAGAATATACAAGACATTGGGCAAAGGGCAAAGTACACGACAAGTCACCAGCCGTTTTATTTCTCATGATGGTGCTATTTTGCTTAGTTTTATTTTCTGGCGTTTTATTTCCCGTTTCTCTGTTTCTGTGGGATTGGCGCCCACACTATCTCAACCGGTCGAGGAAGGTGTGAGGGGGAGGGGATGTGCTTTCCCTCTTGTCGCGCGACAACAGCAGGTGCGGTCTAACGGCGTCTTGAAGGTCTGGTCCCCTGTGTTCAGTGCGTCCTGCACTCGTACGAGCTGTATATGCTGATCTGTATGCCCTGCGCCTCTGTAACACGCAGCGCGTCCACTACGAGTACACAGGCGCCAGCGCAAGAACGGTCCTGTTCCGTAAGAGATCTCACGTACTCGTAAGCTCTGGCAAGTGGCAAGTGGGACGAGCACCACGGCAGCTTTGCTATCGTGCAATATATTAGGGTTTCGCCTCAAGGCCAGAGACAGAGTCAGAAGGAGAGGGAAACCAGCTTGCGCCCAAGCTAGCGCCGTCCTTTCCCAGTGGGTCGGTTCAGGCGGATACGCACTCGGGCATGGCATCCCCTAATGAAGTTTTGGGTTAGGTCTCAAGCGGATGGCTTCGGTCCAGTTTGGCAGGGGTCTCTTTTTCCCGCGCTTCTTCCGCCAGGATCACTGCATGTTGCTGCTCTCTCTCACCTTGCGGGCTCGGCAGCGAAGCATCCCGGCTGTCGTCTCAGGCCAGAATATCTCGCTTCGGATGGGCCAACACAGGACACCAGGCCCAAGTCAGCGCACCACGTTTGCTAGGGATAGTCCGTCATCGCGTCTGCTGCCGTTATGAGCAGCACGGGACGAGCGGAAAGCTGCACACAACATTGACGGTCCTGATGTGCCGGTCAGCGACGGATCTGGGCCACAGCTCCTGCTGACAAATCACAGACCTGCCAAAGATGCATGCCATTTGCCCGTTTTCGGTAGTATGTTGGCGGGCACATCCCAACGCAGTAAGAACCATTTTTATCCTCGGCGCAAGAGAATATAGGGCTAGGCCGAGTCACCCATTGCTATGTAATATTACGTCGCAACGGGCGCGATTCGCCACCTCGAGGTGTGGCTAGACGCCACATCCGGCAATCGACGACGGCTCACAGGACAGCATTGATACGAGCAGCGCAACTTCTTCAGTACAAAGTACTCGCATAATACACGGACACACGGACAGCTGTGGTTACTGTTCACGTATCTTCTGAATGCAACCCAGCACAATACGTCGCCCCAAACGCCTCATCGTGTTAATCACACGCTTTCCCGGCACAAAGCAAACAGACACGAATACGCATCCGATAATCATAATACAGAGAATCCAGCCCTCTCATCCGTTCCACCGTGCCTTTTTTCTGCATCACCATTGTGCCGGCTGGCCCACGCGGCCCTCTTCGGCTGGGTGCGTCAGGGTTGGCACATCCGTCGTTGGTGCTATCGACCGTGGCTGAGCCTCTACCACGTAGCTCACACCATCCTCGGACGCATACGATGGTGGGCGGACAACCCCGTCACCGCTGCCCCCACGCCTGTGCTCAAGGCTGGCTTCGACCTCGGTGCTGCTGGTGCTCCTGGTGCTCCTGGTGCGGCTACTGTTGACCTGCTCGCCGTGGCTGCTGCCGTTGCCATCATTGCTACCGACACTTCTGCTGCTTCGGATGCTCCTGCTGCTTCTGCTGCTTCTGCGACTGCGACTGCTGCCGTTGCTCTCACCGCCAGCTGTCCGTGGTGGCGCCTCGTTGTTGCGCTGCCAGTAGATCCGGTTGGGGTCGACACGCTGGACTTGTCAGTACCGAAACCAAAAAAAGGAACCTTTAAGACCAACAGGCTCAACCTACCACAGTCTCCCGCCACAACCCGTAGGCCGGTGGCTGTGCCTTTGCAGCGACGCTCTCGACGCCGGCGGCCTCCTCGTCGCGGGCCAGCACGACACGGATCGGCTGGCGCGGAACGGCATAGCCGCCGGGCGTGAATAGGTCGGTTCCAGGGGGAAAGGCGCCGTAGCCGGGGCCACTCATGGCAGTACTGCCGGCAGCACGCGCGCGGCGCTGGCGGAAGCGCTCGTCCTCTTCGGGCGTTGGCGGATGCACGACCATAATGATGATGCGGACGAGGCTGTGGCAGAAGAGGACGATGACGGCGAGCGAGACGAGGAGCAGCAGCACGGAAAACTCGTTGTTGTGGATATTGTGTGTCAGCATCAGCGACAGGTACATCACCAGCAGCAGGAGCAACAGCAGTCCCGACACGGAGCAGCGGCAGATCTGCGCTCGCATCTGATGCGACTGCACGTACGGGAAGCAGAAGAGGAACTTCTTTGGCTGCTGCTGCTGCTGCTGGTCTTGCAGCAGGCTGCGCCGGTGCCTTCGCCGCCGTCCGTCCGCGGCCATGTCTGCCAAACGCATCTCGGCCGGGTCAGCGCCGTCGAACCGTCGCCGCTGCCGACGACCGCTGCCGCCCGACGTCGTGCTGCCCGCACTCGAGCTGCGCATGCGCTGCGCTGCCGCGGCCGGCATTGCTAGAGGGTCCTGGCGGCTCGCATCGTCATATGATGGCGGCTGACTAAGCCGCGAGGGCGGGCTGTTGGAATCTACGTCTTCCTGGAACTGCGGCGTCTTGGGCGACACGGTCTCGCCGGCGCTGCCGTCATACGGACTGCTCGTCGGCTGGGGTGCACGGCCTGCCAGCCCGACCCGGCGCAGCACACTGCTAATGGGCGAGGACCGTGCCTGCGGCTCGCGCATTTCCTGGGCCTCGCGGGTTTGCTGCTGCTCCAGGTCGGCCGTGTCGGCCTGGCCCTGGCGACGAAGGTTCAGGCGAGCGTTGCGGAAGATGTTCATGGCGTCAAGATTCTCCTCCTCGGGGGCTGGTAGTGTGTGATGTCTCGTCGTCCTAGCAGCTCATGCTTCGTAAAATTGTTGTAAATGTGTTGGCCGCCTGTCAACTGAAGTTTACGTAAGCCAACCTGGGCCGTCGAATATAGCTGTCTGCGTTCGGATGGGACCCGGATGAGGATGCTGCTGTACCGTCGTCTAGCCGTCGGTGGGGTTGAAAGAGGGGGGATAGGAAAAAACAAAGGAGATGTGTGTGTTGTGTAAATGAAAATGCAACTCTTGAGAACGACCCTGTCGAAGATATCGAAAAGACGGCAGCAGGAGCAGAAATGAAGAAAAAGAGTGGTAAAGGTTGTAAAGAAAAAAAAGGGCTCGCAGAACCGGTCTGAGCACGTAACGAAGGGAAAAGGAAGAAGGGAAAAAAAAGAAGGGAAAAAAGAATACAAAAAGCGTGTATGGGATTTCGGCCAGCGGGATGAGAAAGATCAAGGAAGAGAAAAAAAGAAATGGCAGAGCGGCAGAGAAATCTGGGTGCCCAATGGTACAAAACCAGCAGCACATGAACAGGCCCCTCCAGTCAATAGAAACAGGGCCTGAACGCCATCCGTCTGACGACTGTCGACAGGGGGATAGATTGTGGAGGAGCTCTGGCGGGTGGCAATCGAGCTGTACGACAGGATCCGCTTGCTACGGCTGCGAAGGGTCACAACGGAGAGCTATCATGGTTCGCGAGTCCTGAGCGCAAGAAATACAATTACGGAGTGCCTCTACGAATTATATGCATCCTATCCTTGCCCTTCTTCAAACCAGAGCTTGCATGGAACAGGCTTGGGGTTGCATACCGCGTAGGCTGCGTAGAAAGCGGTCGCGCAGGGCTGCGTACATCGTGTCTGTACATGCTTATTGCTCGTATCTCGAAATACAGCATGTCTTGCATTCGGAGGCGACAGGGACCTTTGGCGCCCTCTTTTGCGCCGGCATCTGTGGCAGCCATGTTCTTTTTGGTGCTAGCGAAGAGGCTATCTCTTAATACGGGGCAAGAGGGGGGACGATAGGGCCCTTCTGTAACGCGGCCGAAGTGTCGCATAATAGGCAAAAGGGGCCCTGATGATAGCAACGAGACGGCCGGGTCGTGTAGTTTTGTGCAGTCTTGGTAGAGATGCAGGGGTTGCCAGGGGTCCTTGTTTCAGTAATATACGGAGTACCTGGCGCAGCGACACGAGTTCCGTCCAATCTGGCTGGCGAATAAGCCACAGCTCGGTGCTGCGAGCTCGGACCATCTCCGTTATCCGCCTGCTGCGGCGAGAAGGTCTCTTTCCTACAGTCGAGGCAGCAAAGATCCGTAAAAAACAAAACCAGCCAAGCAAAAGTGCATGTGCACGTCAATTGCAAACATGCCCATTCTTGCTGCTACAGCACCGCTCATCTATCCTTATCCTTATTCATATCCATTGGAATTGCGCCATCCGCCGTCATGCGCTGGAGCCATTACTTGTAAGCTGCTGCTATGGAAGATTTGTAGACAGACTCGCCATCCGCCACAATCAGAAAAGGCTCGTCTCAGCCGGGCGCCTCGCAGTTGCCCCCGGCATCCCAGCGCATAAAAAAGGGGTCCACCCAGATGGCACCTCGCGGAGCAGTCCGTCCTGTTCGTCGGCCATTGTCGGAGCCCGGATGCCCGCCATTGAGTGCAAGCAGGACACGTGAACGAGCAGCCAGCCGGGCGATCACGAGCCTTGTTCAGCACGTCGGCGGACACGCATGGCCTATGACCCTCCCTCGTCTAGTCTTGCAGAGGGGCACAACGCGCATCTCCCGGCGCGTGAGGGAGGGACAAGGGGGGCTCTGCGAATCTGTGCACGTCATTTCTGTTCGTGCACTGGAGAATGGCCTCTTTATTTGAGCTCGCCAAGTAGCAGCGTCCTGTCAGAGGATGCGGAGAGGACTGGAAGGACGTTAGCAGGGAGAAGCAAGGCTGGGAGCGAGGGAGGACGCACTGATCGGTTGGTCCTCAGCCGGCGAAAACTCGGCCGAGTTGACGGAGCCCTTGTGCCCGGGCAGCTTGTAGAGCAGCTTGCCGTTGTCGCTGGACCAAACGACGACGGTGCCATCGCCGGAGCCAGCGGCAATGCGGCGACTGCTGGGGTCCCAACTGGCGTGCACCAGGTTCTTGTCCAGGCCGGTCTGGGCGCCGTCAAACGTGCGGATGTGGCGCTCGGTCGGGGCAAATGGCCGGATGTCCCAGGTGCGCGCCGTCGCATCCATGGCGAACGAGAGCAGCGACTGGCTGTCGGGCGACACGCGCAGGCCCGTAACCGTGTCCTGGTGGCCGTGCAGCGTGTAGACGACCGCCTTCTTGCGCACGTCCCACACGTGGATGTCGTTGTCGATGCCGCCGCTGTAGAGCTCGTGGCCGGCCTCGGCCACCGCCACCGCCGTGACCGGAAAGTCTGTCTGGATGTAGTCGGCCGCGTTCTTGCTGCGCGGGTCCCAGATGCCGAGCGAGCCGTCATCGGAGCCGCTGTAGAGCAGCTCTTCGCCGCGCCGGCTGATGTCCAGCGTGTTGACAATCTCCTCGTGGCCCACGTACCGTCGGATCCGCTGCCCCGACGTCAGGTCCCAGCTGGCCAGCTGCGTGTCGGCCGATGCCGAGAACAACACGTCCGAGTCGCGTGACCACTGCAGGTCCAGAACTGCGCCGCGGTGGCCCGTCAGCGCCCCGTAGTTCTCGCAGTCGCCGTACGTCCGCCAGAGCACTGGATGAGTCAGCAGATGCAGCTTCCGAACAACGATGCACAATGGCACGTAGGGGATCACACAACGCACAGATCGACCGGTCCATCGACCCAGACGCAATCAGATGACCCGCCGGATCAAACTTGGCGCAGAACACCTCGTCTGCATGGCCGCTCAGCTGCATCACCGGCGCCTGGAGGCCGCTCGTTCGTGGTTCCTGCGCCCTGCCGTCAGCATTGGCCGCCACATGTCGCTTTGCTGCGTCGGCACGCATAGAGTAGACTAGCATACCACCTGAATCAGCGCATTGCTGCCTGAGCCTCCCGCCTTGCTCGATCCTCCGCTGCCGCCACTTCCTCCAAGATTCGGTCGCTTCACCAGCTGCTTGCTGGGATCCGTGTTGGATGCTCGTCTCTTCTCGGCCGACATTGTGGTGCACTTTGATATACGGAGGGAGGGCGTGTTGATTCGGTTTCTGCTGACGGAGATGCGGCCAGTCGACAGAAGCACGCAGCAGAGCCGATTGTCGAGAGCTCGTCGCGACAGAAGCGGGTTTGCTTGTTGTTTTTTGATGTCTCCACAAGTTTATCCGTCTCCGCATAAATTTTTCCATCCCGACCGTTGACAGCCTCCAAGCAAGATCTGCAAGAAAAGCGTTGACAACGGATGAATTCTAGCAACGCAATAGCAACGCAATAATACGTTTGTCTGTTAGATATTCAGGTTATAGTTCATGCCTATTTCCAAGTTCTTTTGGCATTTCACGCTACAGTGTTTCCCTCCGTTTACGTAGACCTTGCAATTGCTAGTTTCTGCCGATTCTGGTAGACATAGGCTTACAGGAACACTGGCAATACAACTTCAAGTTTTATGATGTTTTTATACGTCTGGCCAGGTCGGTCCAAAGTCTATACTTTTATTTTCAGTAAAGCTATAATATTTTGTGGGATACTTATCATGTCCAGCTTCTCAACTTTCAACATTCTTATAAATTCGGTAAAATATAATAAATCCCGGAAGCATTTATCAGCTTGGTAGACTGTAAAAGTCCTATTATGATATGGTAAAGCCTTTTTGCCCAGTCTCCGAAGGCGATCAACATCCTCAGTAGCTTCTATCTACTGAAACAAACTACAATTTATGTGGTCGTGTTTTGGTTACAACGCTATGGAAGCAAGTTCTCTAAGCTAAGTACAATGCTGAGTCGGTGAAACTAACTACATGAACAAATCACGCAGACTGTAGTCAACTCGGCATTGCCAGTATTTGGCATCAGCGAAATTAAACTAATCTTGTCAAGTGACATTTCAAGGTCATCCATCGTCTTCATGAATTCACTATTGAAAAGACGTGTACTGGCCAATCAGAGCTCTATACGATAAATAAGAGCGTCACGTGAAGCACATGATACGTATATGACTAATCAGAACGTTCTGGGTCACACCGCCGACGATTGGGGCAGTTCCGGGCTGCTATACCTTTCATCATCAGCCACCCTGTCTGCGGCAAAATCGACCTTCCCGCGCTTCTTCTTGATTCTCCTTGAGAACATAGGAGTAAATCGGTCGGCGATAGAAGGAAGCACGAATTGCTTCTAGCGCGGCAAAGGAGATGTCCGCTTCCAAAGCTGCCCGTTTGGGCGAAGAGTACGCACTCAATCTCTATCCTCTCTCCCCCCTCACTGCCGTTTGATAGCACGTCCTTTGATTGCATAGGGAAGCTGACCGAGTCACAGAATATGGAAGTATGCAGACGCTCCGCCACAGCTCCACCGCTCAATCCGTTCGCCTCCCCTCCTAACCTCTCTCGAACCTACCTAGAACCCGGATAGACAAGGTTAATGCCGAGCTGGTCACCCTGACGTACGGCACCATCGTTGCACAGCTGTGCAAAGACTTTGATGGGGACTACGTCGAGGTAAACAAGCAGCTCGACAAGATGGGATACAACATCGGCCTTCGCTTAATAGAGGATTACCTTGCCAAGTCTATCACCATGAAGAGGTGTTCCAATTTTCGCGAAACTGCCGATATGATTTCCAAGGTGTCTTTTGCCCCTACAATCACCTCATTTTGTCCATGTTCCTACTGCCTACATACTCTCTCGCTAACACCTCAAGGTTGGCTTCAAAATATTTCTCAACGTGACTCCCACCGTCACCAACTGGACCAGCGACGGCAAACAATTCTCTCTTGTCTTCGATGAAAACCCACTGGCAGACTTTGTCGAGCTGCCGGACGATGGCCGTGCCCAGGACGAGCTGTGGTTTTCCAACATTCTATGTGGTGTCTTGCGAGGCGCACTTGAGATGGTACAAGTGCAGGTAGAGGCACACTTTATCAGCGATGTGCTCCGGGGCAACGACACGACTGAGATGAGGATATCGCTGATCCGGTACATCGATGACGAACTTCCACAAGAAGATGACTGACGAAGAGAGGGAAGAGCGTGAGAGAAAGAGGTCTGAGTAACCACGTGTAAAGGGCGAGCACTGCGGCATCAGCTCAAAGGATGCTGGTGGAGATCCGCGCAAGGAGTTATCTGAGCTCCGGACGTGGACAACTGGATTATTGGAGCCGAGCTGAATTCAGCCCTACTGGCGTGGACGTGAACTCCAGCCGAATGGTGCTTCTTACGACCACTGATAGACCATCTGGTCGATTGTTGTCCAGTGTTGTGAAAGCAAATACCAGAAAAACACCCATAATTGAACCGAAACCAGGGGGTTGGTCGACATGAATGGACATGCTTCTGCTCCGCAATGCCGTTAAAGACGCAGCATGCCCATCCGTGATTTGCATCAGTTGTCTCACGCCTCGTAAAGAGCCCATATAGGCACGTCTCAACTGTTTCTGATTGAAGCGTCATGTTCTCGCAAGGGTGAGACGCAACTAGGATCTTCTGGATGGGGTATTCGTATGTGGCCCTTGCTGGCAAATCAAATGATATCTGTCACTGCGGGGGGGAGTAGCTTGTAATGCCATGCATGAGATAGCTGGGACTAAACCTAGAAATTTGCTCGTACGCCCCATATCACACGAGATAAAATAGTACGTAGTTCGTACGGGACGTATGTAAGATACTATGTAGTAGAGAAATGCCAGGATAGTATATGGATCAAATATAGAAACAATAAGGCGGACCCTTGGTCATGCTAATCGATAGGGCCTAATTTCAGGAGGTTTAATAGATGGAAATTCCGGGGTCCCGTTATTTACCTTTGAGGCCAAGTCTCGGCGCTGCGTGATTATCCAAACAATAATGCTTGCTCCCTTGCAATTTTCCCTTCCGCCCTTATTTTTACTCTACACTATTGTTTCTTTGTCGTGTACGTCTAGTCTGCTTGTGCTTGGCGTCCCTTCACACTTTCTTTTTCCCGCGAGACATTTGTATTCTGCAGAGAGAAAGGCTTCAATCGAGGAGCTGTCGAGGCGTGGCTATCTGAAAAAAATGCCCACTAACTGTCCCCGGCAGTTAGGGGCCGGGTAGGCTAGACCGGAACAAGCGAAGACCTGCAAGCTCTTTCGGCAGTGGCCGATCATTTTGCTCTGCTTCCCCCGTCGTGGGAATCAGAGCTCCGAATGATACATAGCTTGTCGTCAAATGCCAAATCGCGCCTCGAGCGTTCAAATGTTACCACACCCCGCCCATTACCACCAGTCCACAAAAAAGAAGCGAACCTGCGGCCTTTGCTTCGGCCGTACTCCGTAGACATGACGCCAATGCTTTCGTTTGCCTTCTTGTTTGTTGCTGAGATAGCACGACAATACTCACCCACCCTGTGCATGTCATGATATGGCGCCAGTTTGTACGTAATCGCACAGCTCGTGTAACTCACCCATTGCCTTGTCTTTACTGTCTGGTCAGGCTTTGCCTCTGGGGTTTTGTTTGCTGACTCGGTGGACTGCTGCTTGCTTCCGTGATTAGACGGCCTTGTCTGTCCACATGCCATCGCTTTTTTCGGTTTGCTCTGTCAGGTTGCTATCAGGCGTGGAACCAAACGAGCCGGTGTACTGGTGGTGTTTGCCGTGCCATTTTTAGCCAATTTGTTAATGTGCGTGGCGAGGCAAACTTTTTCAGACGTGTTTGCTTTTGGGCAAATGAATCCAGTTGACTGCTCCGAGTTTGCGCCCAGACGGCAGTTTGGAAATCTGCTGGCACCACCATCCCAAGATAGCCATGACCCGACAGATTGCCCACGGGTATATAAATCCAAGTGAGGCTCCTCTCCTGCATACTCAAAATTGCGTTCCCATCACTAGCCCCCCTAATAATTGTCGCTCTCTCCGAGACACCTTTGGTGATATCGTGGCCTCAGGCACGAATGCAGCAGTAGGCTGATCCGCTAGTCTGATTCGGTGCCTCGTTGCTTAACACCTAAGGCACCAGTACCAGAATTACGCTTTTGCTCGCTGCCAGCCCATTCCCACATCTGCGCGCAAGACACCCTTTTCGCACATTAGCCCCCCAGTGTTGTCCGCGTCCACCACTCTTTACCAACGCCAGCTAACAACAGAGTGCGACGCTGCTGTGGTCCTGGTTCCCTTCGCAGGGCCTGTCCGCTGTTCTCTTTCCCAAACGCTCTCTCCGAAAGCCTCTCAACCCCGTTCCCTCCCAAATTCCCTTCCCACATCTTGACGTTTCTCTTTTTGCTTCTTGTATTTCCCGGTCTTTTTCTCTCCTCTCCCCTTTACATTTTTTTTGTTCCAACCGCCTGTGTCTCTCTCCCCCCCCAGGCTGTCTGCTGTCTCTCATCTACCCCCATTGACAGCCTCCCTTTTGATGTGTCCACCCGCGTCCGCGCGATCTCTTTCGCAGTCAACCGATCGGTTTAGAGATCGAGTTGTGGGTGTGGCTCCAACCCAAGCAGGAGGCAAAGGCGTGACGGCCACAACCTAGGTTCTCGTCCAGAGGCAGTCCGTGCAATCTGCAGCCAGCTCTCCGCGTACTGCATCTTGCAACCCGCGTCCACGCCGTCGCAGCGCTTTCGTACTGCCTGCGGAAAGACGCCTTTTTCTAGGCCATCGCAAAAATAAGGGATAGGGGACAACGCAGATTTGCTGTCGCCACCACAATCCGACCACCCTCAAATCCGTCTGTTTGCCTCCCAGCATTGGAAATCCAGACGAAACACTCTCGACCCCCCTTCTGTCTTGCTCCACCGTCTTGTCGACGCTTCGGTTGCCATTGTTTTTGCGCTCGGCGCTCCATCGTCGCCGACTTATTTCGATACCAATCGACTTTCCACAGTCGTCTCATTCTTCTACCGGCCACCCAGCACCGCTCATTTACGTCACGAATATCCCTAAAACATACTACTGCAAGTCACATCATACACTGCCAGATCGGGCCGACGCGACCTCTTTTTCCCTCTATACCCCCGCTTAGCTGTCTAGTCGGCGAAGGAATCGTTCTGCTTATTTAGAATTGCTTCCCAAGTGAGAAGACCTCTCTATTGCACCTGCACATCCCGTTTACTAACCCTTCATTTGGCTGAGCAGGTTCCCGTTGGGTTTACTTATTTTAAAGACTCAAGTAAAGCACAGCCCCACCGCCCGTGCAGACCACATCAGCACAATGAACAACGTCAACATGGCCAACATGAACGCCATGGGTGGTGCTGTCGGCGTCCCGATGAGTATGATGAACAACGTTGGAGCGCCTCCTGGGTCTGTGGGCCGTGCACCCCAGCAGCAGCAGCAGCAGCTTCAGCAGCAGCAGCTCCAGCAACAGCAAATGCAACAACAGCACATCCAGCAGCAGCAACTCCAGCAGCAGCAACAACAGCAGCTTCAGCAACAACAGCAGCAACATCAGCAGCAACATCAGCAGCAACATCAGCAGCAGCAGCAACAACAGCAACAGCAGCAACAACACCAGCAGCAGCAGCAGCAACAACAGCAACAGCAACAGCAACAGCAGCAGCAGCAGCAACAGCAACAGCAACAGCAACAGCAACAGCAGCAGCAGCAGCAACAGCAACAACACCAGCAGCAGCAGCAGCTTCCCATGAATGACATCAACAACCGTGTCATCTTGAATACGTACATTTACGAATACTTTATTCGCTATGAGATGTTCGACTGCGCAAGAGCCATTCTGACACACCCGAACAATATTCAAAAGCCTGGTCCAGGGTCTCGAAGGGACGAAAACGGAATCGTTGTTGGCAACGGCATCAACGACGATGCTATGGACACGGATACGAAGGACGGCATCGAGTCCAAGCGTCCCGAGGACCTCCCGGCACCAATCACGGTGATGCCATCTGACAGTTGCTTTCTGTATGACTGGTTCTGCCTTTTCTGGGAAATGTTCAATGCCCAGAAGGGCAAGGCTTCGCATCCTGGTATTGGACAGTACATTCAGCACATTCAGGTTTGTTGTCCCTCCACTTTCTTGGGCGTTCTTCATATCCTGGGCGTAGTTCTTTAGCTAACCGGGCGTCTTGTGTGCAGGCACAATCACGTCTTCGACAAGCGCATCAACAGGACATGCTTCGCCAGATTCGCCCCGAATTTCAGCAGCAGTATATGATGCGGAGCATGCAAAATGGGGCGATGCTTGGCATGAAACCAGGGAACAACCTTCCGCGTACGGCTATGGCCAACAGCCAGAACATGTGGGTTTTCCGAGCGTGCCTGGACTGACTACGAATTCATGTATTGACTCTACTATTTCACAATAAAGACCGCAAGCGATGAACATGCTCCAGGCGAAGCAGGTCCAGATGCAGCAAAACCCATCAGACATGGATGGCAACCGGCCGCGGCCTTCGTCTCCTGGTTCCGCCGAAAATGCACCCTCCCCGTCAAAGAGACCCCGCATTGACGTGCCCTTCAATCCTAACCAAGCTGCTCTGATGCACAATGGTAGAGTTGCTCAAGGCATGCCTGGCCAACAGGTAGGATCTGGTCCTATGACTCTTCAGTTGCAGAACATGCTCCTCGCAAACGGCATCAACCCAGCTTCTTTAAACGCCGAGCAGTTGCAGGCTTTCCCCAACCAGTCCCCGGCCTCCCAAGCTAAGACAATCCAGGCATACTCACAAAACTTGCAACAGCACCACAACGCTCAGCTGCCCAATAAACCAATGCCCCCAAACGTGACCGGTCCGCAGGGCCAAGGCTCTCCCATGGCCCCGCCAGGTCCGGATGGTGCCACAATCAACGCTTATTACAATGCTGGTGAAATGGGAGGCCAAGGCATGCGCGCTGGACCCGGTGCTGCCCAGGCCGGTGGCGGCAGCAACCATGCTCTTCAGGACTACCAGATGCAGCTCATGCTTCTCGAGCAGCAGAACAAGAAGCGGCTCATGATGGCGCGACAGGAGCAAGACGTTATGGGCGGGATGGGTCGTGGAGACGGCACGCCTGGCGCGGCGGGTGTGCCGGGCGTGCAGGTGCCTCCGGGCGCCCAAGGGCCACCAGGAGCTCCCGGGGTGCCTGTGGTGGCCGGGGGCCCTGGCGTGCCGGGAGTCCTCGGAGGGCCGGGGGCGCCAAATGCTAGCCAGCCATTCCAGGGTGCTTCGCCTCAGGGTGGGCGGCCAGGCGCATCACCCAACCCTGTTGATCAGATAAAGCGCAGCAACCAGCAGATGGCCAATGCCGGCATGGGCTCACCTCTGCCCGACAACCCACAGTCTCGTGGCTCTCCCAACAGCGTCAACTTTATGGCAGCACACATGGAGCAGACAATGGCACCTGGCTACAGCATCGTCGGACCGCAGATGAACGGAATGCGGACACCGGGATCCCACCCTGGGATGCAGTTCAACGGCCAGATGAACACACAGTTGATGGCGCGCCAGCAACAGCAACAACAGCAGCAGCAGCAACAGCAGCAACAACAACAGCAACAACAACAGGCGGCTGTGGCTGCAGGCCAAGGCACACCGCAGATGCAGTGGCAACAGCAGCCCGGGGCACCGAATGGTGGCCAGATGGGCGGTCCACAAGGGCCACAAGCCCAGCAGGTGCAGGGCACGCCGCAACAACGGTCCATGCCACCACCGTCGGGACCGGTTGCTAACGCTGTTGGCAACACGAACCAGCGAACGCAGACAGCATCGCCGCAGACGGGCACAGCTGCACCACCGACGCCACAGCAGTCCTCCAAGGCCAACCCGAAAAAGAAGGACGGCAAGGGTGCCAAAAAGGTACGACCTTACAACGTGACTCCCCTTGGCGTATTGATGCGCCTCGATTTAATAGCTGAGCTGATAAATAGAAATCTCAGACGGCCGCACAAAAGAAGTCTGGCACGAACCTCAATGCTGCAGCTACTCCGGTGGCTGAAGCGTCGGTGGAACCTGAGCCTCCCACCCCTGCCACTCCGATCACGCCGGCCAACCCGACACTTTCGTTTAATGGAAAGGTACCTGGTCCGAACGTGACGGTGCCCGCTGGCCAGGCCGTGGCGAATGGACAGGCGGTCCCTCCAGCTGCATCTGCGGCAGTAGCACCACCGCAGCAGATCCACGCTGATCCGAACCAAAACGCGTTCACTGTGGAAAACACGCCAATGGTACGAGACCGTGCCACTGCTGCCATCATGATTGTGCTCCGTTGTTTGCTAACACCACTAAGCAGGGCTTTGGGCTTGAGTTTGCTGACCCGCTCACGACTACGGACGTGCTAAACGACTTTGACTTCGACACCTTCCTCCACGACAGTGCGGATGACCCGAACAGTTTCGACTTTGGCTCTGCAACGTTCGGGCTGGAAAACCCCGGCGAAATTGGAGCCGAGTAGATCTCGGACTGCGCTGCGATATGATGCATGTTCGGCGTGTCGTCTGATTTGAGGTCCGGGGGTTCTGGTCTGATTCCCTTTGCACAAACAAGCCGTGCGTTTGTGTGTTTTCGCCTTGTCCTGCTGTTTTGTCTGTTTGAAGGTCGGGATTCCTAAATTCTTAATGGGGCAGCATTTTATTGCAACGGCGTTTGCACGGTTTATTATGTTACAATGCTTCTGACGTATTTTACCCTTCCCTTTCCCCTGTGTCTTTCGAGACATCTATTCTATTCTCCTTTCTACTGCGTCCCAAAACATCCTACCATTCATTTCCTTGTCGTTCAACAATACTCGGTCTTTTTCCTTTGTGCACGAGGGCTCCTGCCTGTCTGCAGAACTTTGTTTTGGAGTCATTACAGCTGCAACAAAGCAAAAACAAAAAACACACACAAAATCACAAAACATCAAAGTTGAAAGAGTTCGAAACCGGGGTCTCCCTCATTCTTTTCCTGTGGCCGAGTGGCTGGTGCCATCTCGGTTGTTCCTTGGAACAAGCTGAGGAGTCTGCCCGGAGGCAGAGTCGCATCGGGTACAGAAATGAGGGAGTCATCATGCCCTGCGCGATCTGCGCTAGGGAGGACTGTATGTATCTAGTACAGCTGGGTTTTGTTTCTTTTTGCCATCATGCCTCTTCGTCAGGCTCTATATATTTTCTCATAGTGTTATTGTTCCTCGGCCGGGAAGACCGGAGTACGTTGCAGGGCGACAGGGCTTGCGGCGCTCAAATCGAGTATTGGTTAATTTCAGTCTACACCATTGTTCTATCCGCATGTGCAGCGCCAGCAGGTCTTGCCAGAGGTGCGAAAGCATCGTGCGTACTCAACTTCCGAAGAGCAGCCATCAAGATATAGGATATGCGTGCTGGCCAGGCGTTTGGGGACGGAAGGTGCTCTTTCCTTGGCCCCTTTCTTGGTCGCTCCTTCCGCGTCTCTGCACCTTCCCGACGTCTGTCCTATCACCCTTTCTACTGCAACATTTTCCAATCAGGTCATGATGATCCGTTTCTTCCACAACCTTCATCTAACGGGAAAGCAAGGCAGATTGCACGGATGACTTTTCGGGCATCTCAAGCGTCTCTCAAAGACACGGCCTCAGCAGATGCCATAACCACCGAGTTGCCTCACCTACGTCTTGCGTCTCTACTTATATATGAATCAAACATGTGGCCACGGCCACAGCCACAAGCGCAGTCTCTCGGACGAGACGGGGCCCCTTGGCGGTCCTGGAGCGGTTATGCTCGCCTCCCATGGACTTCTGCGGCCGGCGTCGTGCTCCTACACATCCTTGCAATCTGTATTTTGCTGGTCGCCGTGGACGCTGGCTGTCTGACGGCATGTGACGATAGTGTATCGGCCGTCCTTGCAGACACGAGGGCCGATATTCCATCGACTGCCGAGTCCAGCGCAGACTGGGGCAGAGCTGACGTGGACAAGGCGAATGCAAGCTGCCCGACAGCTGGCTGCATTGCCTCCGTAACAGGTGTGTGTCCGAACTGGATTTGGTGAGACCCAAACGGTTGATCTGACTGTAGACAGGCGACATCACCCTATCGGGACCGCCCATGACGGGTGATTTGCAAGCACTGCTGTCAACCTCGACCGGGTCTGTGGCCGTTTCGAGCAACGCGAGCTCTGTCTCGTCCGCAGCCACAACGAGCACGACACCCAGCGAGGCGACCAGTGTCGAAGTCGTCTCGCCGCCGTCCTCCATGTCGACGTCTCTGTCGCAGTCTCTGCCAGCCCTGTCCCAGCCACCTGGCACTCCAGGTCCATCCTTGCCGCCGTCAGCCACGCCGACGGGCGATGCCACCACGCACAAACCTGTCGCGACCATTCCGCTGGCTGTGGGTGTCAGCGTGGGCGGCGTGTCTCTCGCGCTGGTCGGTATTGCAGCGGTGCTGCTCTGGCGACGCCGACGGAAGCGCAGCGGTAGCGACGACGATGACGTTGACGAAAATGACAACGGTGGCGGCGGCAGCGGCAGTCTCCCCCGCGCCGAGTCTCCCCCTCCACGAGATACGCCGGACGGCCTCCACCCCTCGGCGTCCGGGCTGCTCTTTCGCGGTGGCAGCCTGCAGAGCCGGCGGCCGAGTGGTGGCGACACGAGTCAAGACGGCGGCGATGACGGAAACGAAGGCGCCGCAGTGGCGGCAGTGACCCGTCACTATCGCACCAGCAGCCTCCGGCAGGGAAGCATTCTCAACGGTCTCTACGCCAGCAGCCGGTTCACGCCCGATGCGGTGGCCATGCACGACGTTCCGCGGGTGCCATCGGTAGGACCAGAACGGCAGTGGCGTGGCCCGTCGCCGACGTCGCCAACGAAGCCGCCCGAGATCCCCTACGACGGACGACGCTTCCCACCATACTACGGCATCCCCGGCATGGAGCTGGACGGGTATGCCGAACTTCCTGGTTAACATGCAGCCAGACAGACGCAAAGGGACCGGGGGAGGGAGTGATGCAGAGGCAGAGGCCGAAGCAGAGAGGAGTCTGTCTTACATGGCCTCGGTCTTATTTATTTGTATCTTTCGCCTTGTCTATCTTGGAGGGGGCTGACGAACCCCGATATTGTTTGCTTCTATGCCTTTGCGGTGTGATAATGTATCTGCTCTCTATCGACAATGCCATTTATGTTTTCCGAAGCCGGGACGGCCGGGCAGCTCAGGTCTTTGATGGGCCGGCACCGTTGGTGGACTCGGAGCCAAAGTCCTGGGAGAACATGCGCTGCCAGACGGCGAACCACTTCTCGTGCTGGGCGGTGGGCAGCTTTCCGGGCATCTTGAAAGCGCGCGACAGCATCTCGCGCAGACGAGCACGCAGGACCTTGATGACCAGCAGGGTCTTCCAGTCGGGTGCGGCAAAGCGAGCGCGGTTGCCGTCTAGGATGAGGACGCCCGAGAACATCTGGATAGTCAGAAGCGAACAAGAGCACAAGATAACAGAACAACAGAACAACAGAACAACACTCACATCACATCGCAGGTCACCGCACAGGAGGGCAATCGGCAGGGCCTCGACAGCGGTGGTCTCGTGGGCATTGTACACAGACTTGGCCTGCATGATGTGGTAGTACGACAGCCAGTGCAGGTCGTTGCGGCCCCTGTTGACGCTCGAGGGGTGCAGCCGGATGGTCTGGTTGTTGCCAATGTTGCGCAGGCCGGTGCCGCCACCACCGGCATCGCGCACCAGCAGCTTTGGGTAGAAGCTCCAGGCGATGACGGCCTGGGCCACGACGTCGACGTCGCTGTTGCTGTTGACACGCTGCGGCACGTCGAAAAAGGCCTGTCGTCGGCGGCCACCCCGACCGGAGGAGCCGGCATAGCGCAGACGGCCGAGATTTCGACGCTCGTCGTCGGTCAGCGGCAGGAAGCCAGAGTCGACTAGCGACACCAGCAGCTGGCCCTTGAGATCCTCAATGTTGGCCAGGGTTTGAGGGCTGAGAAAGTTCTTACGGCAAAACTGAAACTCCTGGCCACTGGCCGCACCGGCAGCCGACTGACAGACTCGCTTCCAGGCCAGATATGCGTTGTAGATCGTCAGCAGATCCGAATCGCCGCGACGGAAGCCTAGACGCACGGCATCGGCCTGGGCGCGCTGGCCAAACGGCGCCACAAACGGCGACTTGGACGACAGCACTGCAGCCACGGTGATGGCCATGTCCAGACAGCGAAAAACAGTCCCCATCAGCACCAGCTTGCCGAGGAAGACGTCCAGTGGCAGTCGTGCGAGCTGCATTCCCAGCGGCGTCAGCTCTTCGCCAGCTGTCAGCGCCCGCACATCCACCAGCGCGTCGATGGCCCGCCGCATGTTCTTGGCCGAAGGCGGGTCCAGAGCCTGGCCCAGCGTCTCTTCGATCGCCCCGATCCGACACATCTTGACGCGGATGGCTAGATCCTGCAGCGACAGCCGCAACATCTCCGGCGTTTGCTGGTCGCTCAACACCTGGTCGTGGCGATACCGCGTGAACAGGTGGAAGCATAGACCCTCCTGCACACGGCCAGCTCGACCGCGGCGCTGCTTTGCGTTTGCGCGCGAGATGAACGTGTCGATCAGCCGCGACAGTTGCCGCCGCTCGTCGTATCGCATCTCTCGGTGCTTTCCCGTATCCACAACGCACGTGACATCCGGAATCGTGATGCCCGTCTCGGCAATGTTGGTCGCCAGCACAATCTTGCGGAAGCCCGCCGGCGGCACCAGAAAGGCCGCCTCCTGTTCTTCCGTCGCAATTGTCGAGTGCAGCGGGTAGATCAGCCAGCCGGCCGCAAATGCCCGGTCGCCTACCAGCAGATCGTTCAGCGCCCGGATCTCCGCAATTCCCGGTAGGAACACCAGGATCGCCCGGCTGTACCGCTCGTATTCCGGATCTGTTGCCACTCGCCCGATCAGCTGCACCACCAGCTCAAAGGGGATCTGATACTCGTCCATCTGCGACAGCGTGTTGCGTGTCCGGTTCGAGTAGCCCTTGAGCGTCTTCAGCAGCTCCGGCTTCGACGACGTCTCCGTCTCGTCTGCCACCAAATCATCGTCCAGATCCACCACACGCTCTTGGCTGCGCCCATCGACCGAGTATCCCGTCAGCTCCACCGCATCCTCGAGATACCGCACCTGCACCGGGAATGTCCGTCCTGGCACATTGAGCACCGGTGCCCCTCCGAGGTACTGGGAGAACCGGTCCGCGTCCACCGTCGCCGACATCAGCACCACCTTGAGGTCCTGTCGCCGCACCAGCAACTTCTTCAGTACGATCAGCAGAAAGTCGCTGTCGATCGACCGCTCGTGCACCTCGTCCAGCACCAGGTGCGTGATCTCCCGCAGCTCGTTCGACCCCTCCAGCATCCGCATCACAATGCCCGTCGTCGCATAGACCAGTCGTGTCTCCTTGGACGTGTTGGCCTCCAGTCGGATCGAGAAGCCCACCAGCGACCGCAGTGTTCCCACATCGTTTCGGCCCTCACCTAGCTCTTCGCTCACCCGCCGCGCCAGAGAGATCGCCGAAATTCGCCGCGGCTCCGTGCAGTACACCTTGCACGGCTTCCCCTGCGACAGCTGGTGCTCCAGCAGGAACGACGGCACTTGCGTGCTCTTGCCGCATCCCGTCTCACCGCATACAATCACCACCTGTTCGCGGTCCACTGTGTCGAGTACTTGCTGCCGAAATGCCCACATCGGCAACTGCATCCGTGACTGCAGCATCGCCTGGTACCGTGACGTACTGCTCTTCTCCTGCCAGATCCGCTGGTAGTACTCCGCATCGTGGCCACCGCGACTGCCTCGCTCTGCCCCAGAGTCTTCGCCGTTGTCTCCGCCGTTCCGTCCTGCTGCTCGTCCACGGAACGCTCCTTGGAGCACCACGCCGTCCTCCAGCTCCTGATCCCGTCGTTTCCGCACGAGATCGCGGAGCTCCTTGACTGCTGCCCGGTCGTGCGCATCCGCCTGGTTCTTTCTCGATTCCGCAAACTCGGCCCACAGATCTCGCCACACGGCCGGAAGCCGCAGCGCCACCTTTTCCTCCTTTGTCGACGTGCTGAAAATCAGAAAGAGTGCCGACGTCGCTATGAAGGCCTCCGACTGCTTGCTTTCCGGACAGGCGACACCAGACATCTTGAAAACGAACCGGCTGGGCTGCATTGCAACCTCAATGTGCGGAGTCGGAGGCAGTTGTGGCATGTCTTGGGCCTTCGCCCAATTTATTACCACTAAGTGTCGGTGCGCAAACGACGCCTCTGATACCGTCTGGTAGCCAATCCGAACTGACGAATCGCTGCATCCTGCTGTCAGCTCACCGCATCGTACAATCGCCCGTGCCATCGGCCGCCATCCCTGTACTCACCGTGATCTGCATGCTTCTTCAAGCACTCGCACCGGACTCATGCCAGTCCATTTCCCAAAGTCCCGGATGATGAGCTTCGATCCGTCCGGATTGTTCACCACCATGTTTGTCTTGCCCGTTTCCGGATCAACTTCGTTTACCGGCAGGCTGGCAAAGAGATCGGTAAGGCCGTCGTCATCGCTGTCGTCCTGTGCCAGAATTTCTGCTGCCACTCGTTCGGCTTCTGCGTTGACATCGCCGTCTGCCTCGGACTCTGCCCTGCCCGTATCTGCTACTGCTGCTGCTTCCTCGGCCTGGTTGCGCACCTCTTCTGCAGCTCTCTTGGCTGCTTCTGCGTACTCTCGCTCTAAGATGATTTTCTTGGACCGCCACTGCAATTCAGCTAGCCTCTTGTCGAACAGGATGTCTTTCTGTATCCGATCCAGCTTTCCCAAAAGTTTCGAGATCTCAACATTCTCTGCCTCGGTTTCTACTGGTGTCGGCGATACCTTGGTGGCTTTGCCCTTGGCCGATTCTTGTCGCGGTCGCTCAAGAGCAAACAGCCGCTCCTTCGCGGCAAAGTACATTGGCACCAGCTCCTCCGGCTCAATGTCACCATCGTACTTGATTATCGCTAGCCGTGCAGAGGCAGCGTTCGACACCCTCTGTGCATTGCCGCCCTTGCCTCTCTTCTGCTGGCTCTCAGGCGCCAGCAGCAGCGGCGTCGTTGTCCCAGAAGAAAGTGGGGCATCTAACGGCGTGTCTACAGCGTCATCGAAAGTTAACCAATGCCAGGGCTGGTGAGATGGATGTGCGATGCAAGAGCCGTACCTGCTGCTTGCCCCTTTCCTCCCGAGCCATGCCGCTTGTTGTAGTCTGGTAGCTCGTCGAGGGAGCTTTCTCGGGCGAGCCATTCCAACGCCTCCTCCATACCCCATATGGAGTCCTTTCCTGGTGCTCCAATCTGAGTGGAGATATGCAAAACGTAATTCAGCACGCTCTCGACCTTGGTTTCGGAAAACCCTGCAGAGATTAGTGTCTGTTGTAGTGTCCACAACTTCATCGTCAGATCCTCCTCAGGCAGGAGTCGCCCCCCTGGAGCACTTTCGGACGGGACATTGGATCCAGCGAATCGACTTTCCGACTGGATCAGATCCAAGATCTGGTCCATGAGATCTGGTGGAATCCACTTCTTAGAGTTGATCGACTCAGCCTGTCCTCTCAGCAGCCGGCGATCGGTCTCGAGCCGGTTCATCTGTCGCTGGGCATCTCGCCGGATCTTCTGTGCGTGCTTGTCCACGAGGATCTGCAACTCTGATTCTTCGAGCTGTCTCTCAAACTCCTCCGGACTCAGAGTCTTCTGTGCAGTGCTACCGGAGCTGTCCGCGGCAATGTTGCCTGTTGCTGTCGCTGCCGCCTCTTGTGGTGCCGCTCCCTTGGCCGGTAATGTGCCGTCTTTTCCTTTTCCGGCGGTGGCGTCGGGGTCCTCGGTGAGCTCGACTCGTGGCTTGGAAGCAATGGAAGTCGTAGCGAAGCCTCTGGCTGCATTGGCCGCGGGCTTCTTCTTTTTTTTGCCGCCGGCCATCGTAAAAGCAAATCGGTAGCGAAGACAGATGTGCGACTAGGATCAAGACGAAAGCGAAGGGCAGGGAGGTCGCGGTAGTAGAGAGCGAATGCTGCGCGAGACGCAGGGTATCTGTGAGACAGGCGAGGGGAAATAAGGCGAAGCGAAAGAGAAAAAGAAACGCGGCAAACGGCCACACGTGCGAAAGAGAAAAGTGCCAAAAGAGCAAAAGCCAGACAGATGTCATTGAGCAATGACTGCTATAAGCTACAACGTTTTTACAGCGCTCTTTCCTCTTTCTGGCAGGAGTTCCCCGCGATCGCTAACACACTCTTGACCGCCTTCCAAGTTGGGCAGGCCCCCCCACCTTCCCTCTGGTGGTGGGATCTGAGCCCTAGCTGCCTTGTCCCGGACTTTACGAGAACTGTGAGATGGACAAAAACGGACGTCTACTTTGCGATTTCTGAGTCAGGCAAAAAAATTCTCGCCAGATCTCGCAGACCCGCACGACGACCACGACCTGCATCTCGCGGAGCAGGACACTTTCACCCGGGTGGAACTTCTGGCCAGACGGACCTGTTGGAGCTGGTAGCTGCTGGAAGCCATGCCAGCAGCGCAGCCACAGTGCAGCTGAACATGACTGACTCTACAACCACGGTCACCAACGGCGCCGTTGCCGTCGGCCTCGACCCTCTCTCGACGCGCGTGGCCCTGTTGACCTCGTCCAAGACTTCGCGCATTGCCCAGCTGCGGACCATCGACGACAAGATTGTCCACGGAAGTAGGTTCTGCCGCCAGCTGTGCCCGAACTGAACGTGAAATCCGGGGCTGACTGTCGCTTTCTCTCCTTAGATATCGATCCGACCGGCATTGCCAAGCTTCTGCCCATTCTCTTCTGGACCCATGGCTCTTACGAGGACCGCGCCTCGCGACGGGCTGTTCAGCGCTGCCTGGCCTCCATCTGCGACAAGAAGGACGCTGCCCTGCTGACGCCTCTGGTGGCTGCCATCCGTGCAGATGCCCTCAAGACAAACACCGCTGTCGGTGGCACCTTTGTGCTCACCGAATGGTGCAGTCTCCTGATGCAGCACCTGGCCGGTACTTCCCTATGGGACTCTTTCAGCAAGGACATCCTCCAGAGCCAGGCCGGCGCCCTGGAAAAGTGCACCCGCTCATCGGTCCGGCCAAGCGTCGCCCATTCGGCTCTTGTTATAGCCCGCCGCGGATTCAGGAAGCTCATCGCCCTTGACGGCACCCGCGAACAGAACATCAAGGAGGCTGTTCAGCTGCTGGCCGCCAAGGGCCCCCACCCAACCGCTTTGAAAGCAGTCTTCCTCGGCGTCATCGCCGGCGTCAGCTCTCGCAACGCCAAGGCTAAGCCCATCTTCGCCGGCCTCAAGTCGCAATACTTTGAATTCTACACCCGTGAGATCACCGGGTCCAAGGTGCCCCTGGCCAGCAACGTCGCCGACGGCCTGCACGACTTCTTCGCCGCCTTTGTTGCGGCCGAGGACCTCCAGACCGTTGTCGTGCCCGCTTTGAAAAAGGGCCTCCTGCGTGCGCCGGAGATTCTGCTCGACGACCTTATCACGCCTCTGGTGAAGGCGCTGCCCCAGAGCTACGATCTCTCCAAGATCCTGGACGAACAGTTATCCAAGCCGCTGCTCTCCAACGTCAAGTCAAGCAAGGAATCCGTGCGCAACGGGTCCCTGACAGCCTTCCGGGCCATTTCTACCCGGTGCACAAACTTGATCGCAGTGGGTCACGTGGTGGATGAGGCCCTCGTCCCTCTCCAGACCGGCAAGCTGTCGTCGCCGGAGCACAGAGCTCTGCATTCCCAGATTCTCGAGGTCTTGCCCAAGTCGGACGCCACGACGGCCAAGGTGGCCGTTGGCATTGCCACGGCAGCATCCAAGGAGGGAAACGAGGCTGCCTTGGTGGCGGAGACGTCTAGCCTGACGCAGAGCACTATCACGCTTTTGAAAGGCACGGCTGACCTGGCAAAAACCGTGATCGACGCCTATGTGAAGGGCATGTCCGACAAAAAGCCACCAGTCCGTCGCATCTGGATCATGGCTGCCGGAGAGGCTCTGTACACATTTCACACTTGGCAGGATTCTCTGCCGGCCAATGCTAGCAAGTTTGCCGAAGCCGTCTTACCACCACTGCTCGAAATTTACACAGAGGTGCTCACCAATCCCGCAACGGCTTCCCAGAGCGGACTCGTCATCGGCGGCTTTGTGACCTGCGGCATTGCTTCACTTCTCGAAAGCCCGTCGACGCCAGCACTAACGGCCTTGTCGAAGAAATTTTCCGTCAAAAAGCAATGTCTGACACTTGGACCCAAACCATCGTTTCTCCTGAGTCCCAGGATATACACCAAACTGACTTCTGATGGCGACATCCAGTGGTTGTACCGAGCGCTTCTGGCTGTGTTCGTCGCTTTAGAAGAAAACAAAGAGTCTGCCACAAATGTAGCGTGGGCAGAAGCATACATCTACGCGGCCACTTCTACAAACGGCGGCCCACTTCTGCGCAAAGAGGCCACCAGCGCACTCACCGACCTCTACTTCCGCCACCAAGCTCGCGTTTCCGAGATTGCCATCGCTGGAGCGTGGCATTGGCTCGAAGCCCTGGACGCAAACGACAAAGAGAGTGCTCCTGTTCTTTCCAAGGCGCAGAATGAGCAGCTGCTTCCGTTTATCAGCGCCATATGTCGCAAATCAAAGGACTTTGTCAGAGTTGTCGGCAAGGAGCCGGAAAAGAGCCAGCTCGAGCTGCAAATGTGCTCCCTTGTCGTCCTGGCTCGCTCGGTTTTGATTCCTTCGTGTAGCTGGATCGAGCTCTGTCTGCGTGTCGAGGTGGACCCAGGCAGCCTGGCAGAGCATCACGAGGAGCTACTTCTCCAAGAGATTGCGGCAAGAACGGTCTTGACGCAAAAGGTGAGCTAAGCACAAATTTGCGATTCCCGAATTCGTCTCCGCAGTTGCTAACCCTGCCTGATTTGACAGTCTGAGCCAATTAAGTCGGCAGCTTACGAGGCTGCGGCCGAACTGGTCTTTGTTGCTCCGGACAAGATGGCACCTCGCATTGTCGAGCTGATTCGCCAAGACTTGGATGCCAAGGACCTGCACTCCATCGGTCCAGTCGAAGCTGCCATTTTCCGGGCGCCCGAGGGAACGACCTTTATCGATGTCCTGGCCAAGAAGCAGAGCAGCCTCCCGAGCAAGAACAGCAAGGACTACGACGTGCTCAAGTGGGAGGAAGAGCTCCGCACCCAGCTTGCCCAGAAGAAGGGCCAGCAGAAGAAGCTGACAGCCGAGGAGACGGCAAAGGTTAACGCGCAGCTGAAGAAGGAAGCGGAGATTCGCAGACAGGTCAGCCTGCTCGAGGCACGTCTCCTCCGCGGCCTTGGCGTTATCCGGAGCCTTGCCCAAGGCCCACCGACTGATGCGACGTTGTGGATGGGTCCGTCGGTCCGGGCGCTCATGGCGGCCATCGAAGCAGGTGCTTGTCTGATCACGGGCGACGTGGCCCCCCTGGCCTTTATTGCCCTGGCGGAACGAGTATCTTCACGGCTGGGTTCGCTGCGTACTTTTATCGGAGTGGCGACTCTGCGCGCCCACGGCATCACATCTCTGCCGGATGTCCTGCAGGAAGAGCCGCTTCCGGACCTCGTTACGCGAGTACTGTACCGACTTCGTGGCGCGGGAGAGCAGCGGCCGTTTGACGCGGTCTCCCTGATCTACATGGTCCCCCTGCTGCTTCTGATTCTTCAGAACGGCGGATTTTCCGAGGCTGCCGATGAGCGTGACACCCAGCTAGTTCTGTCTGTCGAGATCCTCTCTTTCCACACTGATGTCTGCTCGGACGAGGCTGTCCCCCGTGCCGAACTGCTGGCCATCCTGACCTCGGCCATGCAAAAGTACAGCCAACACTACAAGATCATCAAGGACTGCTTTTCGGACCTGGTTCGGTGTGTTGCTCCCAACATCAGCGAAGAGGAGGTTGGTGTTCTGGTACAAGGAGCGATTGTGCCACAGGGCACTGTCCGGTCAACGGTGCTTCAGTCGGTTAATGCCGAGGTGGACATGAGCGATCTCCCACCGTCAGAAGAAATCTGGCTAGCCTGCCACGACGACATTGAGGAGAACGTCGATCTCGGTCGTGAGATCTGGGAGGAGAGCGGATTCAAGGTGACGGAAGAGCTGCCGGTCAAAACACTGCCTTACCTGGAAAGCAAAGATAGCCAGCTGCGACGGGCGGCAGCACGGTCTCTGGCCGAGGCCATCTCGGTGCTCCACTCACCAAGAACGTTTGACAGCATTGCCGAAAAGTTGCGGGCTTCGTACATTGAGTCTGCCAAGCCGCGGGTGGCTCAGCTGGACGAGTTCGGCATGCCGAGGAAGATGGATCTGTCCGACCCTTGGGAAGCACGACATGGTATTGCGACGGCCTTCAAAGAGCTTGCTCCCAACCTGGACAATGAGCAGGTAGAGCCTTTCCTGCACTTTTTGATCGAGCAAGGTCCTCTCGGCGACCAAAACGGTACGGTTCGGGGGGAGATGCTGGATGCAGCGATCAAGGCGATCGAGGTGCACGGAAAGCCGATCCTGGCCAAGCTGATGCAGACGTTTGAGACGACGCTTGCGGCACCAGACAAGAACTCGGAAGCGGCAGACCGGGTGAACGAGGCGGTGATCATCATGTACGGCGCCCTTGCTCGGCATCTGAAGCCCGGGGATGCCAAGATTCCGGTGGTGATCGAGAGACTGCTGGCGACGTTGAGCACGCCGTCCGAGACGGTTCAGTACGCCATTGCCGAGTGTCTTCCTCCGCTGGTGCGGACGTGTGGCGACAAGTCGTCCAAGTACTTCAACCAGATCACGGAGACGCTGATGACGGCGAAAAACTATGCGGTGCAGCGAGGTGCGGCATACGGCCTCGCGGGCCTGACGCAGGGCCGTGGCATCGCAGTCCTGAAAGAGTACCGGATTCTGACGACACTGCGGACGGCGATGGAAAACAAAAAAGAGGCGAACCAGCGAGAATCAGCACTGCTGGCATACGAGCTGCTCTCGACCATTCTGGGGCGGCTGTTTGAGCCATACGTGATCCAGATCGTGCCACAGCTGCTGGTGGGATTTGGCGACGGCAATCTCAACGTGCGAGACGCGTCTCTGGCAGCGGCCAAGGCGTGTTTCGCCAGGCTCAGCTCGTTTGGCGTCAAGAAGATTCTGCCGACACTCCTAGACGGCCTGGACGACCCGCAGTGGCGAAGCAAGAAGGGCGCGTGTGACCTGCTGGGCGCGATGGCGTACCTAGACCCGCAGCAGTTGGCTGAGAGCCTGCCAGATATCATCCCGCCGCTGACAGCAGTGCTGAACGACAGCCACAAGGAGGTGCGGGCGGCGGCAAACAAGAGCTTGAAGCGATTCGGAGAGGTGATTAGTAATCCGGAAGTACGGAGTCTCGTGGACATTTTGCTCAAGGCGCTCAGCGACGCGACCAAATACACGGACGACGCACTCGACGCGCTGATCAAGGTGCAGTTTGTGCACTACCTGGACGCGCCGTCGCTGGCGCTGATCAGCCGGATTCTGCAGCGCGGCCTGGGCGACCGGTCGAACACGAAGCGGAAGGCAGCGCAGGTAATTGGCAGCCTGGCCCATCTGACGGAGAAGAAGGACCTAGTGGCCCACCTGCCAGTTCTCGTGGCCGGACTCAAAATAGCGGTGGTGGACCCGGTGCCGACAACACGGGCAACGGCCTCGCGGGCTCTCGGGTCGCTGGTGGAGAAGCTGGGCGAGGATGCGCTGCCAGATTTGATCCCCGGGCTGATGCAGACGCTGAAGTCGGACACGGGCGCAGGCGACCGACTAGGATCGGCACAGGCGCTCAGCGAGGTGCTCGCAGGACTGGGCACGACGCGGCTGGAGGAGACGCTGCCGACAATCCTGCAGAACGTCGAGTCGTCGAAACCGTCGGTACGGGAGGGCTTCATGTCGCTATTCATCTTCCTGCCGGTGTGTTTTGGAAACAGCTTCTCGGCCTACCTGGGCAAGATCATCCCACCGATCCTGGCCGGTCTGGCAGACGACGTGGACTCGATCCGCGAGACGGCACTACGGGCAGGCCGACTGCTGGTGCGCAACTTTGCGTCGCGGGCGGTGGACCTGCTGCTGCCGGAGCTGGAGCGCGGGCTGGCAGACAACAGCTGGCGGATTCGGCTCAGCTCGGTGGAGCTGGTGGGCGACCTGCTGTTCAACCTGTCGGGCATCACGGCCAAGCAGGACGGGGACGAGGACGAGGAAGTGGAAGAGGAGGCGGCACGCGAGGCGGGATCGACGCTGCGCGAGGTGCTCGGAGTGGAAAAGCGCGACAAGATCCTGTCGGCGCTGTATGTGTGTCGCTGCGACACGGCGGTGGCAGTGCGGACGGCAGCGATGGGAGTATGGAAGGCATTGGTGCCGAGTCCGAGGATCCTGAAGGAACTAGTGCCGACGCTGACTCAGCTGATAATTCGCCGTCTCGGCAGCGCCAACATGGAGCACAAGGTGATTGCGAGCAACGCGCTGGGCGAGCTGATCCGTCGGGCGGGCGACAACATCCTATTGACGCTGCTGCCGACACTGGCAGAGGGATTGCGGACGTCGTCGGCGGACTCGGACGCGAAGCAGGGCATCTGCATTGCGCTCAAGGAACTGATCTCGTCGGCGAACGAGGATGCGCTGGAAGAGCACGAGGCGATGCTGCTGGCAATTGTGCAGTCAGCACTAACAGACGCCGACGACGAGGTGCGCGAAGCAGCAGCCGAGGCATTCGATTCGCTGCAGCAGATCATGGGCAAGCGGGCTGTCGATCAGGTGCTGCCGAGTCTGCTGCGGCTGCTGCAGGACGACGGCGAGACGGCACAGAACGCTCTCTCGGCACTGCTGACGCTGCTGACGGACAGCACGCGGAGCAACATGATTCTGCCAAACCTGATCCCGACACTGATCCGGCCGCCAATCTCGGCTTTCAACGCCAAGGCGCTGGCATCGCTGTCAACTGTCGCCGGAGCCGCGATGAACCGACGGCTGCCACACATTCTGAACTCGCTGATGGACAACGTGATCGAGACAACGGACGAGCAGCTGCGGGCCGACCTGGAGACGTCGTTCGACACGGTCGTGCAGTCGATGGACGAGCACGACGGACTCAACACGGTGATGAACGTGCTGCTGCAACTGCTGCGTCACGAAGACCACCACAAGCGCGAGGCCGTGGCCCGGCGACTGGCCGTGTTCTTCGCGAAGGCCCACGTGGACTACTCGCGCTACAACCAAGACCTGATCCGGGCGCTGCTCATCTCGTTCGACGACCGAGACCAAGACGTGGTCCGGTCAGCTTGGGGTGCGCTATCGGAGCTGACTAAGCGACTAAAGAAGGAAGAGATGGAAGCACTGGTCGGGTCGACACGACAGACGCTGCAGCAAGTGGGCGTGGCAGGCGTCAATCTGGCGGGTTTCGAGCTGCCCAAGGGCATCAACGCGGTGCTGCCGATCTTCTTGCAGGGGCTAATGAACGGGACGGCGGAGCAGCGGACGACGGCAGCACTGGCGATTGCAGACGTGGTGGACCGGACGAGCGAAGCGTCGCTGCGGCCGTTTGTGACGCAGATGACAGGACCGCTGATCCGGGTGGTGACGGAGCGGTCGACGGAGGTCAAGTGTGCGATCCTGCTGACGCTCAACAATCTGCTGGCCAAGATGCCGGCGGCGCTGAAGCCATTTTTGCCGCAGCTGCAGCGGACGTTTACCAAGTCGCTGGCCGATCCGACGAGCGAGCTGCTGCGGTCACGTGCGGCTCGCGCGCTGGGCACGCTGATCCGGTTTACGCCGCGCGTCGACCCGCTGATCGCCGAGCTCGTCGCCGGCTCCCGCACGGCCGATCCGGGCGTCCGCAACGCCATGTTGACGGCCCTGTTCGAGGTCATCAGCAAGGCTGGCGCCAGCATGGGCGAGCCGTCGCGGACGGCCATCCTGGCCCTGATCGACAGCGAGCCCGACGGCCACGACGACAACATGGCCATCACCAACGCCAAGCTGCTCGGCGCCCTCGTCAAGAACGTCCCGGCCGAGGCCGCCACCAACCTGCTCAGGAACCGCGTCGTGCCACCCAGCCCGACCGGCGCTTCCGCTCTCGCCCTCAACGCTGTCCTGCTGGAGTCGCCTGAGCACCTGCTCGACAGCGCAGCGGCCGAAGACCTGCCGGGGGTGCTCTGCCAAGGGATGACGAACAAGAATGTGAGTTTTTTCTTTCCTTCTTTCCTTCTTTTCTTCTTGCTTTCTACTTCCTTTCTATTCCTCCTCCTAACATCACAGCTCTTCATTGCCGACAACTTCATCCTTGCCACCGGCAAATACCTCCTCGGCGACCGGCCAAAGTCCTACGAGGACACCAAGGACATCTTCGAGACCCTGGCCACCATCATTCCGCCCGGCGGTCCGGCCAACTCGCGTCGCCTGGCCCTCGTGCTGGTGCGCACGCTAACCCGCGTGCACCCCGACGCCGTGCGGCCTCATCTGGCCCTGCTGGCACCGCCCATCTTCGCCTCCGTGCGTGACATGGTCATCCCCGTCAAGCTGTCGGCCGAGGCCGCCTTCATGGGCCTGTTCGACGTGCTCAACGAAGAGGCCAAGGTGTTTGACAAGTACATGAGCGGCCCGGCTGCGGCCGAGCTACCACCCAACACCAAGCGCGTCATGGGCGACTACTTCAAGCGCGTCACCCTGCGTCTGGCCGCCCAGGGCCGCGAGAGACGCGACGCCGAGGGCGGTGCCGGCGGGCTCGGCCTCTTTGACGACGAGGTCGAGGACGAGCGCGAGATCTGGAGCGTCGGCAAGGTGGACATTGTGGCAGACGTCTTTGGAAAGGAATAGGAGTTGTGGTATATAAAGCAATGAAGGCATACCGAAGTACTTGCATCTTGCCTTGAACCTATTACCGTTTGAATGCCTACATGTGATGTCTAACACGTGACCTATCTTGTGATTGGGGGTTGCCCTCAGGTGTATCCTAATCCGGACTAGCACACGGATTTCCCACAAACGAGAAATGTGTGCCTTCCCTAGTGTGGGCGGAACCCCCTCCTACAATTTTTTTTGTGGTCGGGTTTTTTTTGTTGCTAACGAACCCTCTCTCATCTTCTCAACCTCCATCCGACAACAACACCCGAAGAATCGCTCCAGGACCACTTCGAACAGTAATTCAAGATGTGAGTGCCAACACCGATTGATTGCGGCTTCGACCTGATGGGAGCGGCGCCGAGTCTGGTCTGGTTGATGGCAGACGGGAGACGGAAGCCGGAGGACGACGACCGATCAAGAGAAAAGCAGGGCGAGAGGAGATGCTGGCGTTGTTCAGCCATCTATCCGACTGCTTGGTCTTTTTTTTCTTCCTGCGCCGAGACTAATCCGGCGTGTTTTGCAGGGTCAATTTGCGGACTCAGAAGCGTCTTGCCTCGTCCGTTCTGGGCGTCGGCAAGAACAAGATCTGGCTGGACCCCAACGAGGTCAGCGAGATCTCCAACGCCAACTCGCGCAACTCCATCCGCAAGCTCGTGTCGGATGGCCTCATCATCCGCAAGCCGGTCACGACGCACTCGCGGTCGCGCGCCCGGGAGCTGAACCTCGCCCGCCGCATTGGCCGGCACCGTGGTTTCGGCAAGCGGAAGGGTACCGCCGATGCCCGTATGCCTGAGTGCGTATAGCCCTTGATCGCGTGGGGAAGCAGAGACGGCAGAGACGGCAGAAAAGCATCTGACACCCGTGCAGGCAGGTCCTCTGGATGCGCCGCCAGCGCGTCCTGCGCCGGTTACTAGTCAAGTACCGCGCCTCGGGCAAGATCGACAAGCACCTGTACCACGAGCTGTACCACCTGGCCAAGGGTAACACCTTCAAGCACAAGCGCGCGCTTGTCGAGCACGTACGTTGGCGATTATTTTTAGTATTTGTTTCTCTCTCCCTCCTACTAACACCCCCAGATTCACCGTGCCAAGGCCGAGAAGCACCGCGAGAAGCAGCTCAAGGAGGAGATGGACGCCAAGCGCGCCAAGACCAAGGCGGCCCGCGAGCGGAAGCTGGAGAGACAGGCGGCGAAGCGGCAGGCGGTGCTGGAGGATGACGTGGAGGAGAAATAAATCAATGCGACATGAAAGCAGAGGAGCCGGCAGGAGGCGCGAAGAAAAAGAACAAGAAAAACACGAGACGAGGCGCAATGCCTGTACGGGAAACAGCAAGGCACGGCTACGGGACGGAAGGAATCATAATGAAACATTTTTTGTTCTGTCACGGCAGCGGTGGCTCTGGCTGTTGTTGTCTACCTCTGTCTCGCTCCTCTCTCTCATGGCGATGCTCCGCCCCTCCCTCATCCTCACTCAGCCTTCTTTCTGGGCCACAGCTTGCTTGGCACCACGGAGACGGACACCTGCATTCGGCGTCTTCTTTTTGGTTGGGTATCTTCTCTGTTTTGATTTACACGTCTCTATCGCAAAGACTCCGCCCGAGATCTTGTTTTGTGTTTGTGTGTACGGCATACAGGTGGCGGGCCTTACGACAGGGAAACCGAAGACAAAGGGGGAACATACGAGCTTCAAAAAGGGTGTGATAGTTAAAAGAGGCAAAACGAAAAAAAAAAAGTTGATAAATCACGCGTGTAAGAGTGCAAAGTCTCAAGTAGTATACAAGCAGTTAAACGGAAAGCGTAGAGATTGATGAAGCAGGCGACACAAATGTAAAGACAATGAACAAACAAGACAAACACACACAACTACTACTTGGGTCAGATGCTTCAAATTGTCCTTTGTAAGGTGGTTGGGGTGCCAGGACATGTCAACATGCTCCCGGCCAGAAGCCCAAAGGCGTCCCGGCGGAAGCTAGTATTGAAACGAAGCGGGCTCATCACTCCCAGTTTAGTTGTTGAGGAAGGAAAAAGAGAAGAGCAGGAAGAAAAAAAAAGGGCTGGCGCGAAATTATACGGTGGGCTGTTCGACACGTGACTGTCGGAGCCGGCAAGCGGGCAAGCCTGCTACAAGATAGGCCGTCGGGCAACCAGTAAGGAAGACGGTGACCTCACTTGCTGTGGGGCGCAGTCTTACCATTCCCCCCCGCTCTTATTGGAAAGCTGCAGACGATCGGACGGGCACAAAAAGAATAAAACCGAGAGGTCGAACCACTGCACTCTGAGCCGTCATCCGCTGGTCGACGCGGTCTGAGCAGACGCTGAGCAACAGAGTGATCGCTGCGCATTGGATCTGCTTACGCGGAGGACTGTCGACTACGAGTACGGGTGCCAATTGCAGCCAAGAGTGCTCGTTCTGTTCGGACAAATTGCATCATGATGTCGTTCCCCATCGTTCGCAGCACAGCACGTGCTTTCCAACGGCCATGGGCCACGGCCAGCGCACAGGTGGCGCGGATGCAGAGCCGGATGGTGTCGTCGCAGAATCTGGAGGGCCAGCAGCGCGTGAGTGGACACCATACAGCTGTTTGCAGTGGAGAGGTACTAATCTGGGTGCAGTTGTTGGCGGCACATCTGCAAGAGGCCGATCCGACCATGTACGATATCGTGGAGAAGGTATGGCCGTCTCTCGCGTTGTCCGTCACTCTCTCTCGCTGACATGGCCAGGAAAAAACACGGCAGAAGCAGTTCATCAACCTGATCCCGTCGGAGAACTTTACGTCACAGGCGGTGCTGGACGCTTTGGGCAGTCCGATGCAGAGTACGTTTGTTGCGTGTGGCGAAGATGGTGGGCGAGACTGACTGGGCGCAGACAAGTACTCGGAAGGGTACCCGGGGGCGCGATACTACGGCGGAAATGAGTTCATCGACCAGTCAGAGCGGCTCTGCCAGCAACGAGCGCTGGAGACATTTGGGCTCTCGGAAAGGGAATGGGGCGTCAACGTGCAGGCGCTGTCGGGGGCGCCGGCGAACCTGTACGTGTACTCGGCGCTGATGAACACGCACGACCGGCTGATGGGGCTGGACCTGCCACACGGCGGTCACCTGTCGCACGGCTACCAGACGCCGACGAAGAAGATTTCGTTTATCAGCAAGTACTTTGAGACGCTGCCGTACCGACTGAACGAGCGGACCGGGCAGATCGACTACGACAAGCTGGAGGCGATGGCACTGCTGTACCGGCCCAAGATCATCGTGGCAGGGGCGAGCGCGTACAGCCGGCTGATCGACTACCAGCGGATGCGGGCAGTGTGCGACAAGATCAACGCGTACCTGGTGGCGGACATTGCGCACCTGTCGGGGATGGTGGCGGCCAAGGCGATGCCGGGGCCGTTTGGGGTGGCGGACGTGGTGACGACGACATCGCACAAGTCGCTGCGAGGGCCTCGGGGGGCTCTGATCTTCTTCCGACGCGGCGTGCGGCGCGTGAACGCAAAGACGGGCGAGGAGGAAAAGTACCAGCTGGAGGCGGCCATCAACGCGAGCGTGTTCCCGGGCCACCAGGGCGGGCCGCACAACCACACGATCGCGGCGCTGGCGGTGGCGCTGAAGCAGGCGCAGACGCCCGAGTTCCGCGCATATCAGGAACAGGTGCTGGCCAACGCACAGGCGCTGGCACGACGGCTGGGCGATGCCAAAGACAAGGGCGGCCTCGGCTACTCGCTCGTGTCGGGTGGCACCGACAACCACCTGCTGCTGGCCGATCTGCGGCCACAGGGCATCGACGGTGCTCGCGTTGAGCGCGTGCTCGAGCTCGTCGGCGTCGCCGCCAACAAGAACACGGTGCCGGGCGATCGCTCGGCCTTGACGCCCGGAGGCCTGCGCATGGGCACGCCTGCCATGACCACGCGCGGCTTCACCGAGCACGACTTTGCCCGTGTTGCCGACATTGTCGACCGCGCCGTCACCATTGCCATCCGCGTCGACAGGGCCGCCCGCAAGGAGGCTGAGGCCAAGGCCGAGAAGAGCCCCGGCCGTCTGCGTCTGTTCCTCGACCACCTCGGCGGCGGCGATGCCGTGCCCGAGATCCTGCAGCTGCGCAGCGAGGTCGCCGACTGGGTCAGCACGTATCCGCTGCCCTGGACGAGCAAGTGAGGGTGTGTGAATGATGGTGTGGCGAAAAGAACAGACAGACTCAACTCTGTTGGCGTTTTGGTTAACGCACGTGACGTGCATTTGTATTTGTGTCTACTCTAAACCTTGACAATGCACTTCTCACTCGTGACATACACTCCGCCGTTACAGCTTCGCCACACAGCCTGTTGCCGGTACCCGCACCGTCACTGCCGACCACGGCTGCTGCTGGGCCCTACTGCCGCCGTCCAGCACCGTTTCCTGGCAGTCCTCGGGTCCGACTCCGTTGGCAAACTGGAAGACCGCGTAGGCCACGCTGGTGCCGGACGCGCCGAGCGCCGCCATGGGTGCGTGCCATGTGCCGGCACCGTACGTCACCGCCTGGTCGCCGCGGGCCACAAACGCGCGTAGGTTGTGGACGTCCGGCGGGCCGCGTCTGTCTCTTTGCGAGGAGGAGGGGCCATTGCTCGCCAGCGTCGGCGCCACGATGACGAGGTAGCGCGTGTTGCCGCGGGCCGTCAGCGGTACAAACGTCTGCGTCGTGTAGGGGTGACGCTCGAGGATGGTGACAGGAAAGAGGCCAGCTCCTCCGTGTCTGCTGTGCTCGGGATCCTCTACCAGCGTCCTTGCTGCACACACAAACACGTTGGCCACCGCGGCCGAGGGCTGGCCGCTGGGCGCGCCGTCGGCTGCATACCGGTCGGCAAGCCGCGACACGTGCTGGTACTTGATGGCCGAGCCCTGGTTGGCCGAGACGGGATGGAAAGGTGCTGCAGACAAGACAGACCCAAACGCCTCGCCGTACTGTCCCGGCTGCACGTCCGGCCGCGGGTTCTCGATCACGTCGCCAAACGGCGCAAACGCCGCCACCGTCAGCGGCTCCGCGAGCACGCACAGCCCGAGATCCGACACGTCCAGCCGCGCAGGCATTGCCAGAGGTGGCCCAGAGGACGAAAAGCAAAACGAACGTCGAACAGGGCTGAACCGGCGGACGTGTTGCAGAGACCAATGCCGTACGATTGCCGCCTTTGCCGTCTCGCCGCCCTGAGATTCCGATCGTCGACACGGCCGGTTGGAGCGCTGACGTCCTTTGTGTATGTCTTGGCTGGACTTTTCGACACTTTGCTCTAGATATCAATTCGACATATTCACGTGTCCGGAGAAGGTGCCACTCTTAGAGCCTAATTTGGCTTACGTAAGGATGGGTCCCTCTGTAAGTTGTTTGAACGTCGTCTCCACGACATTGTGTTGCATGATGGACTCAATACTATGTAGCTCAAGTTCTTTACCTAAACTATTCGAGACGGTTGCTAGACAAGAAGCCAGTATCATCCAGAGTGCGGGGCCGTGAGATACACCACACATGACAATCTCTGCATTCGCGTTCTGGCGCGCGGTCGCAACTACCTCGCCGTGCGGATCTCGTCTGCGAGCGAGTGGACAGACGTATAATCCAAAATCTCGTCCATTTCTCGACCTTTTGTAATTTCATTTCACTTACTGTCTCCTGTCAGCTACCCACCATGGTACCACCACTGGAATCGACAGATGTTAGGAACAATTACGAGGACCTGTCTGGCGCGGAGATCCGGCCGGACGACAATCCGTACGAATCGCTGATCGCTGCCAGCAATGATGATCCGGTCCGTCTGCCAAAGGAAAGCCAGTCTTAACCTCGCAGTCCGACTCTATTAACGCGCAGCCCCTGCAGACGCAGATGCAGGCCCGCTATGCCGTCCACCGGACCACGCGCAACGCCCAGCAGCGCGCCAAGTTCCTGGCGTCCGACTTCCAAGAGGTCCTTGTCGATCCCTTTCTGCTGCGCATCGAGAACCCCAGCATCGAGCCGGCCTTTGAGGACCCCAGACACTGCGTCGTCTTTTGGGCCCGGCCGCCCGAGCACATCCTCCGTCTGGCCGACCGGGTTCAGCAAATGCTGAAAAAGGCAGCACCAAGTGAGTTAGAGTTGGAGGGGAAAGGAAAAAAAAAAGAATGGAAAAGAAGAAAAAAGAAAGTTGAAAGAAAGAAAGAAAAACGCTGACAGGCCAGACCTCTGGCTTATGCCTCTCTACCGCATGCACATGACTGCCCTGGAGATCTGTCACTCGCGCACGCCCGCCGAGGTCGACGTTGTCCGCCGCACCATGGCCTCGGCGAGAACGGCAGAGTCCGACGAGAACGGCATCGCTGCCCTCGTCAACTACCCCTACCGCCACCGTGCTCGTCTCGTCCGACCCATGATCTCATACGACCTGGCCGCCATCGCCCTGTCGTTTGTCCCCGCCGCCGGCGAGCCCTCTGCGTCACCACCGCCTGTGGCTCCGGGCGTGACCCCGCTGTCGGGAGTTGGATCCTCCTCTTCGTCTTCGTCCTCTCCAGATGCCTACACCTACCACCACCTCCGTCGAGACCTGTTTACCCGCGCCCGCGACTCCGGCGTCGATGTCGCCTCCCGCTACGTCGTCCCCAGTGCCCACATCACCCTCGCCCGCTTCCTCTGCCAGGACGACCACGCCACGCTGGCCGCGCGCCACGCCTGGATCGACGCCCTGGACGCCATCAACGTCTGGCTGGAGCGCGTCGTGTGGCCGGCCACCTGGCAGCCTACTGCCTCCACACACCCGCCGTCGCCACCACCTCCGCCGCAAGACCGTCTGGTCGGAGAGTGGATCGTCGGCCAAGAAAAGGGCCTGGATGCTCGCGTCGGCCCACTCTGGTACGGCCAAGGCCGGACCGTCATGCTAGGAGAAGGTTTTTGAACGAGAAAAAAGAAGGGCAGAGCATTTGACGCAGACAATCAATCACACGACTCATTCTTCACTATCAACTCGCCCGCTCCAGCAAGCTCATGGCAAGAGTGTCTTTTGATCATTTTTTTGTCTTGTTTGATTTCGTCTTTGTACTGGCCGTGACTCTATGGTTGGGCTTGGGTCCTAGAGTCCGCCCAGACCATACACAGTCCTTCCTCCTCCTTTCCAAGCCGTTTCCCACTCCGTCCCATATTTTCGTATTTGCCAATTAAAGTGTGCAAATAGGTCCACCACGGTTCGCCCTCCCCAGCCAGAAAACAAACACAGGAAAAATGGCAAGCAGCCACCCTTCTCTGCCTTTCCCCGGCCGTGCCAAGCTCTCTCGGACGACCTGGCGAGGAGAAGAGGAGAGAGGTCGGTGTGATGAGTGCGAGTGTTGTGCGAGTGAGACTGGGACCGGCCGAGCCGAGCCGTTTTTCGAGCAAGGGTTTCAACAAAAAAGAACGAATACACGAGGGACAGCGCTTAGAACACAAGCGCCGCGCCCTTGGTCTTCTTGTCGCCACTGCGCTGTTGTTAGCCATCGTCTCATGTCATGACGCGGCAAGCTGAGGAGAGTAAGAAAGCCACATACCCAAGCTCGAAGTGCTTGGTCCGCTTCAGCGGCAGCTGCTTCTTTGCCTTGCATGACGTGCACTCGAGACGCAGCACGATCTGGAAGAAGGCCAGGTAAGCAAAACGTCTCCATGGCACGTTGCGGATCTACATACCTTCTTCGTTGTCTTGGCCTTCTTGTGGAAGATCTGCTTCGTCTGACCACCATAACCAGACTGCTTACGATCGTAACGACGCTTTCCCTGAGCGAACAGACTGGCCTTGCCCGTCTTGTACTGTGTGACCTTGTCTGTTGGAGGAAAGACGTGATGTCAGCGACTGCGTTGCTCTCTATTGTCCGCACCCAAGCAGGAACCATTCGACCACCCCAGGTTTTCCGCTCCGGGTTTGCTCTCGTCCCTTCAGGTCATACGTACGCTGGGTGTGCTTCCGGCACTCCTTGCCCTTGCCTGTATTGCGAGTTAACAATCACAATTCCCATGTCGAGGAAAATAGCGAAGCAGCCAATCCAGATCGATTCGTCTCGGAGCGAGTGCTAGGAGCAACATGGTGCGAACGTACAGTAGGTCTTTCTCGTCTCTAAAATTCAGAAGTCATGGTCAGCAATCTGGGTCCAATAAAACAAGAAAACACGATTCGAGCTCGTGGCAATGCGCTTTCGTGGACGGCCGCCAAAGGCCAGGTTCTCTCCCAATCGACCGAGACCACGGGATCCTACTCACTCGGAATGTTGACCATCTTGGCGGTGTTGATGTGGTGATGCCTTTGTGTCGTGATGCGGATGACGGAAAAGAGGGGAAGGGAGAGCGATATGAAAGTCGTGAAAAGGGTCGTCTTGGAGTTTTGACGCCCTAATTTTTTTTAGAAAATTTCTGTGTGCGTGCCCCAGATAATCGGCGCGGACCCACAGGGCTGTTGAGCCACAACTCAAGCCACATGGAGATTCACAGTGCGGTAACGCATTGTCACCTATTCCAGACTGTGAGACTGTGAAATTAGATAAGCAGATTTCGTGAGGATTATGTAATCAATGGAAGTACATCGTACTCCGTGCCTATTTCCGGAATTGCACTCCGTAAATGGTGACTGCAATCTCCAGCCCGTGTACTCTGTACAGCGTATTCTCCAATATTCGGTGCGCTTACGACATGAAGGAACCTATCCACGAGTCCGGAGATCACACTACGTCATATGTACGGGTGAGCTTTACAGAGTATCAGCGGAAATAAGTAAAGAAAAAGGTAATTTGACAGCATCGGATGAGACAGTTCTGAACCAAGCTACTCCGTGCACTTCGCCTCCGCTCACCGACTGCCGGTGTCTTTCTCGCGGTCCGAACTTGGCTTTCGGGCAATGCGCGAGTTACGCAAGATACGAGACTTCTCGTGAGTATGGGGTATGTGTAATGGAATTGTCAGAGTACCGCCAGTCTGTGTTGCTGCCTCTTGATTACGAGATTGAAGTACTGGTAGTGGCAAGATGCTCATTTACTGCTCGTATACGACGTAATACTCACAAGCACCCGTCCAATTGCGAAATACCGACATGCGGTTGTCTCGTGCACAAGCAAATACTATGTACGAGTACTCGAAGTGAGCGGTGGAGTTGATGCCGTGGATCTGATCTAGGCGAGGACACAAATGCACAGCTATTTCGGCCGGCGCACACCAAACAAAACAGGATGATACAGTACTCTCAGCCAGTGCGATTCCTGATTGCCCGGTCCCGCCCGAGGCGAGGTGGCAGGGTATGTTACAATCCTTGCTCAGACGCAACCCCGACTCGTCCTTCACCTGATTAGTTTTGTGCTTGTGGGGCAATCGGCCGTTGACCCTTTGTGCGAGAAGGGCCTGGAGTCGAGTGCATCGTCGCTTGACACCTGCAGGTTCTGGGTCGGATCTAGGCGCGCCGCGTGGCATTGGGAAGCAAGACAAGAGTGTCTGGGGAAGGCAGCCGATGCGAGTTTGTGCATGCAGCGAACACCTGCAGTGCAGACGCTCCAGGCTGTGTGATGAAGGGGGCTACCACCTTGTTTCAGCGGCTAGCCAGCCTTTTGCATAAGGGCACTGGCCTCAACATGCTTGCTCGCCCTCTGTCGATCACCAGTTTCGTTTCCCGTCCTCCTTTCTGGTCTACGACTCGACATCTCGCGCTCGGTTGGCGGCAGGCCTCCGTTCCGCATCCTACACCATCTCGGACTAACTATGCTCAATGGGGGTACGTGGTAACCCAATTGAGCGCCGCAGACGAGGTCCTTCTATACCCATAGCTCATCCAGAGGCAAGGATACTGCTTGTCCAGAAGGATTCCGGCTCGATCTGCAGCGCCGCCTAGGATCTAACACGCCGAAATCATGGGTATAAATGGGTTCGTGCAAGGTACTGAAATTGGAGCGAGACCTGGTGGCGAGGTGCCTGTCTCTTCTCGAGGTGGTCATGCTGCTGGAAGCTGTAGCGTAGTTGTGGAAGGACAGACTATATATCTGTTAGTAGACAAATCCCTAATACAATCAACGATTAGGCTTCAATTCCGATGTTGGAGCTGCAACCTATCACTTTTCGCTCCTTTTGACAGACCCATTTATCCGGGTTACAGGTGAGAATGCAGGCGGACGCCGTTAGCTCTTTCCTGCTGTTATTGGCCCAACTCCATCGCTAGCACGGCGAAATAGGGAACTCGACGCAACCCTCACAAATCCCCAACGGTGAATCAAGCGGACGACGGAAATGTGCCACCGAAACGGCAGCAAAGAAACGGCATCTTCATCAAGACGAAACCGACTTTCTCCTGCGGCCCACCGCCTATGACTTCGAAACGTCAAACTGCCTCTTGCACATCACCCTGCTAGCTGTTGAGCGTGTTAAGCATAGCGGCACACCTCGTTTCGGCTTCATTTTCTGGCTTTGCATCCCTGTCTTCAACCTGCTGTCTTCTGATTAGCACTACACCCTTCATCCACGATACCGGCTCCCGGGCATCTCGGCTCGCCGTCCCACGCCGCCAAAGACTGCCGCCCCCTAATAACCTGCTGGAGCGTGTTCTGCTCTCTCGACAAACAGCCGTCTTTCCTTTCCTGCTTCTTTCTCCGGATCAGAAGCATGTGCTTGGAGAGTAAGATACGCTAATTACAACAAAGCGGACACAAGCCAACATTAGTAGAGTGGAGCTATATTTTCCTCAGCTGCGCAAAGCACTGCCTTCCCCGCGACAGCGCTTTGTCCCCTCGCGCGCACTCCTCATCCATTCTTCTCTCCGTCGCACCCAATCCCGTCCCCCTTTCCCCAACCGTCATCAGAGAGAACCGCACTCGCCGTCGAGCGGCGAGAGCTAGGATGGTGAAAGCTCCACGAAAACACAACACCACCAGAAGTGACCGGATCGTCTGCTGGGCAGCTTAGCCAGAACCCGACAATATTGATAAAAAAGAGTTCCACGCACTGCTGTTCCTCACCGCGAACCGTCGATCTTGGGGGCACTCGGCAGCATTCGAGCCTTTCGAGTCCTCCGGCCGTCCACCGATTGTACAGCAAGAACAGATGGCTGTGTATTTCAACAAAAAGAAAAAATACCGGAGCCTCTCGGTCGTGACCTGCTTGGCAGAATAACGGCTTCTCGGGAGGGCAGGAAAGTCATGAGCAGCAGCTTCAAACGATGAAGACCTAGCTCTGACTTAACCCTACCCAAATACCCAATAACACAGCTACCCAGCTATCCAGCTATCCAGCTATCCAGCTATCCAACTCCCCCCCCCCCACCGCCATCTACAATGGATGAGCACACTTGCTCAGGCCACGACCATGATCGTGGACGGGATCACGACATCGTAACCAACACACTCGCACGTCAACACCCCACCTCCCCACCCGCATTGCCCCCGCCGCTGTTGCTTGACCGGCCCGCGATGCAAGCAATCTCAACACCCATACCGCTCCCCCCGCTTCCGGAGTCACCGCTAGCCACAACTTCTCCGGCTTCAGTCCCGCGGACGACCGGCTTCCAGTCGTATAGTGGCAGCCCGTCCAGCTCATCGAGTACATCGAACACAGCCAAGGTCACACGCAGCGAACCACCCAGCGTCCGTACGGTCACACCAGAGCCCATGGAAAAGCGCAAGGCAGCGCCACTCGATCCGCTGGACACAAGCGGTCCGAACACAGGCGCCCCCGTCCCTGTGATCCGGCCCTTTGGGTCCATGTCACCCCAAACCTCGCCAAGAAGCATTCCCGGTGCCAGCAGCACCTTGTCTCACCACAGCAGCACAGGCAGTCGCCGTCAGGGTGTTGTGTTCAGTGATGCAGTTGCTGGATCCTTCGACAGCACCTCATCCAGTCCTCCTCCCCGTCCCGCCTCCTACCGTGTCCGGACGCATACCATGGACGGGGCTTCCCCTTTCCGCGATTTCCAAACACCAGGCATTGCGTCCGAACCCAGACATCGGGTCTTCTCATGCTCTTCAGCAGGTTCAGGGGACAATCAGCGAGGGCCTGCGCTGATGCAAAGTCCCTTTGAATCACTAGGGTTCCCTTCAATTACTCCATACCGCTCTGCCGAACCGCCGCCGACGATGCCTGCAGCTATAGCTGCGCTGACTGCATCTTCGTCCGCGACAAGCGTCATGTCTATAGGGACCATTATGCCTATCATGCCAGTTGCATCCGTTCCGGCAAAAGAGAAGAAGTCGAACCGCCGTCTTACCAAACGTACATCCCGCCCCACGTCGCCCATCGTCTCTGCACCGCCTTCTGTGGATTCGCTACCGGTCCCGATGCCAACGGATGATGCTAATAAGGTGCTTATGTTGATGAAGACGTTGTGTGGCAGGATGCGTGGCGAGATCGAATACCGAGATTCGGACGATGGGCCGTGGAGTCAAGGCATCTGCTACATCGAGGAAGAGAAGGGATGCCTGATGTTCGATGCCGGTAAGCAAGGCCTGTTTCAGACAGCCATCGTCTCTGATCTTCGCGGTTGTCGCATCTGGCCGGTACGGCAACCAGGGACGAACATCCGATATTTGGCATTGTCCAACGCACACACTTCTGCCGAGATTGCCCTTCGACCTATGGTCAGCGCCGAATTCGATCTCTGGCTGGCTGCGTTGCTGTGTTGGCAGCAGCTCTCTCCAGCACCCGGGGCTACGTCTCCGACAATGCCTTGGGCTTCTGGCAGCCGCTCGGTGGCATCACCGACAAGTGATCCGAAAAGCCGAGGGCCGAATGGGAAGCCGAAGGATGGGGCCATTATCAAGGTCGGCAAAGTTCTCTTTTGGGACAAGGGGATTGCTACCTCGCCGCGTGCCATTGTGAAGCGGCCGTCGACGCGGGACCTGAGATCCTCGCAGAGCGCATGGCGACGCGTCTCCTGCATCCTGCAGGGAAACGGAGAGTTCAAGCTGATGACAGAAAACGACGTAACCATCCTATCAGTGATTGAGCTCACGCAATTGGCTCGTTGCGCCATACAGCAGCTGGACAAGTCCGTGCTTGACGAGGAGTATTGCATTGCCATATTCCCCATATACGCGACCACATCTACACATCTATCCATCTTTCGGCCCGTCTACATTGCCCTCGACTCCCGAGTGGCTTTCGAAGTCTGGGCCGTCCTGCTCTGGGCGTTTGCCGTTCCGGACATTTACGCCATAGACAAGACAAACGACGACGTTTTCTACGAAGTAGCCGCAGCACACATGGAAGACAATATTGGAGAACAGCAGCATTATCAGCTTTTCCGACTCGAAAAATCACTGAGGCTGAGAATCACGGAAGCAAAGATCAAGACCCGTGGGTCAGCAGATGTCATCAGCAGCTCTGTTGATCGCCACGAGCGTCAAGGGAAGGGAGAGCCAACCGATCCGCTCGTCGGGAACTATCTGGCTGAGGTCATCTTGGACGGAGAAGTACGCGCGCGCACAACGGTAAAGACCGACACCAAAAATCCATTTTGGCGGGAGGACTGTGAGTTTTCTTACCTCCCGCCGGTTCTGCCATACCTTTCTGTCGTGTTGAAGCGGGTGGAGGGCAACCTGGACAGCCACACGCACCAGCTACAAGCCTCGCTCGGTCTACCGAAATCCGGCAACGTAAAGGAGCTCATGTACGGTGCTGTCGACATCCCCCTGAATAATCTAGAGCGCGGCAGGGAGCACGAACAATGGCTGCCCATATACGATGATCGGCCGCAGGCCATTGGCTCCATGCTGGTCAAAGTGCACCACGAAGAATTGGCAGTTTTGGCAGAGCAGCAGTATAAGCCACTTCTGGACCTCTTGCACAACTTCAGCTCCGGGCTCACTCTCCAGATCGCCTCAGTCCTGCCGGGTAGCCTGAGGCGGATTGCCGAAGTGCTCCTGAACACATTCCAAGTCACGGGCAAAGTAAGCGACTGGATCATGGCCATGGTCGAGGACGAGATTGATGGCATAGGCAACCAGGTGACAATGAAAAAGATTCGGTTCAGCAAGAGGCTGAGGTCAAGCGATTCGATCGAGTCAGCCAGCGATCGTGACCAGATAGTGCGCGACATGGGACGATCGCTCCAGGGAGAGGCGAACCTTCTCTTCCGCGGCAACTCGCTACTGACACAGGCTCTGGAGTTCCACATGCGGCGTCTGGGACATGAGTATCTCGAAGAGGTTCTGTCGGACAAGATATTCGAGATCAACGAGATCAACCCGGACTGCGAGGTAGACCCGGGCAAGATCAACCCCGGCGACGACATAAACAAGCACTGGGATCGGCTCATGCAACTGACGACGGAAGTGTGGACATGCATCACATCGTCAGCAACCCGATTTCCGGCCGAGTTGCGACACATTCTCAAGTACATTCGTGCGGTAGCCGAAGATCGATATGGAGACTTTCTGCGCACCGTCTCGTATACGAGCGTGTCTGGGTTTCTCTTCCTGCGCTTCGTGTGTCCTGCGATTCTAAACCCGAAGCTATTTGGCCTCTTGCGAGACCATCCCAGGCCTCGCGCGCAGCGGACGCTGACGCTCATCGCAAAGGGCCTGCAGGCCCTGGCGAATATGACGATGATCGGGAGGAAGGAGACGTGGATGGAGCCGATGAACCGGTTTCTGGGAGCACAGAAGCAGTCTGTCAGAGACTTTATCGACGTGATCTGCTCTATACCGGCAGAGAAGTCAAACACGCCGGTTGTGTTGCCTCCGTCTTACTCTACCCCCGTCACAATCATGGGCCGCCTCTCCTCGGTCGCTCAGGAAGGCTTTCCCAGACTGCCATATCTCATAGACCTTCCACGGAACCTAGCTGCTCTGGCCAAGGTCTGGACCGACGCCCACCCGCCATCGGCACCTTCCAGCCACTTCTTCGACGGAGAACTGGAGGAGTTTAACGTTATCTGCCTGGAACTTCAGACCAAGTCGGATGAATGCTTTGCTCGTGCAGATTCGCTCCGACAAGCTCCAGAGACGTCCAGTCAGACGACAGAAGATGCCCTGGTGGATGCCGTTGACAAAGTCAATCTAGCAGACGGCATCAACCTATCATATGGCAGTGTGCCTGCTTGGTTGGAAGATGGTGGCGAGTTCAGCAGCAGCTACAACGCCTTCGGACCTCGTGGGGGAGCAGGGATCATTCCGCCAGGATCCTCTGGAAGCGATGTGGACGAGCATCCGGGACGGGACCGGAAGAACCGGCAGGCAGAAGGCAGCTTTAGCAATGGGCCACCGCTGGCCGAAGGCGCCGGTGCGACCAAAAGTCTGCGGAACGGGAAACAGGCGAGGAGGTTCCTCAGTGGTATTATCAGTCGCAAACGGACGACGAGTCCAGACCATTTTGGAGACGGCGCCCTTGTCGGAACCTTGCGAGGACGAGATCGAGACCGAGATCGGGGCCGGGATCAGGGCCGAGAGCCAGGTGTGGACCAGCCAGACCGAAGCCAAGACCAGGAGACGGAGTGCGACGACAGCTACGAGCGCGAGCGGGAGGCCAATCCGGGTCGGGAGAAGAAAGAGGACAGAAAGGAAGACAAGAAGTGGGAGAAAAAGGATGAGAAGAAGGACGAGAAGAAGGAGCATCGCAAGCGGGATCGCGAACTGAAGAAAAGCCGCGGGCGAGCCCATAAGCGGGACAGCAGCAAAGACAAGAGCCAGAGCCGCGGTTTTGTCTTTAGCGAACCATGGGGCAGCTCGAGCTCGAAAGGGGAAGCTGCCACGAAGGGTAGCCATACTGCCGCATGAGGCATTGGGCTTGATTCTATTATAATGCTGCTTGCTGCTTCTTCGGGACAAAACAGTACCCCTGAAACGTATAGCATCCTACATACCGAACACATATCACACACACACACACACATACGCGCATACATCTCTTTTCTCAGTTTCAATATCTTTCACACTCATACAGCCAGTTGCAAGCGGCCATTGGAGGCGTTGGGGATTTCCGGTGGGCTTGTTCTGTTAGGCAATCGGTGCCACCAATCTCTCCAAAACTTATGGTGCTGCATACACTCGTTGGTTGACACTGTTGCTCTACATGACACCTGCATTTGGGGCACAACTACTTTATTTTTGGCGTCTCTATCGATGCCGTGCCTGTTCTGTTGCCTCGTTAAAGAAGAAAATAAACGCTACACATGATTTAATATCCGTAAAAAAAAAATAAGAAAGCTAAGCAACCATTTTCGCCTTATCGGAAGTAAGCACCAGTTTTCATTGTCCATATTCTCTTCGCCTAAACCCCCTGGTTCCGATGGCCAGCCCTGATAGTGCTGGTACTTGACGGCCGTGAACCTAGGAAAAGAACTTCTGGTACTGCTTCTTCTCCTTTTCCCGCCGCAGCCGCACAGCATCCTTGACAGCGGTCAGCTCCTTGAGCACGGCACCATCGGCGGGTGCCAGCTTGTGAGCAGCAGACAGGTCGGCCAGGGCGCCGTCCTCGTCCTTGAGCTTGAGTAGGGCCTGGCCACGGCGGAAGAGGGCCTTGGCCTGCTCGGCAGGGGTGATCCCGGCGACCTCGAGGGCGCTAGTAGCGGAGACGCGGGCGTCAGCCCAGGAGGACAGCTTCAGCTGCATGAGGGCGGCATTGGTGTTGACGCTGATGCGCAGCTGGCCAAAGGCCTCCTTGGTGCCGGCAGGGGCGCTGTCGAGGTCGGGGTCCTCGTTGAGGTAGCGCAGGGCCTTGTGATACTTGTCGAGGGCAGCAGCCCAGTCGCCCTTCTTGAAAGCAGTGTTGCCGAAACCCTTGCAGTCGGTGGCGATCTTGAGGATGCGCACGGCCGAGAGATACGTGCCCGAGGCGCCGGTAATAGCGGCCAGAGGATCTGTAGCAGCGGCAGCAGCAGGTCCAGCGGCGGAGTCAGCGGTGATGGGCGGTGCCGGGCCCTCCGACTCGTCCTCGGGAAAGTCCTCGTAGGGGTCGCCAAGAGCATTGGGCTGGCGAGGAGCCTCGCCGAGGACGGCATCATCGCCGGTCAGCTCGCCACAGTCGGCGATGACGACGTCGCGGGCAGGCTTGTCGCCAGTCTCGGTGGGGGTGTTTTCGATCTGGCGGACGACGGACTTGCCGGACAGCACCTGGCCGAAGACGACGTGCTTGTTATCCAGATGCGGTGTAGCCATGGTGGTGATGAAAAACTGCGAGCCGTTGGTTCCAGGTCCAGCATTGGCCATACTCAGCAGAAAGGGGCGGTCGTGCTTGAGGTCAAAGTTCTCGTCGGGGAACTTCTCGCCGTAGATGGAGGCGCCGCCGGTGCCGTTGGCCGCCGTGAAGTCACCGCCCTGCACCATGAACTGCTTGATGACGCGGTGGAAGATGGAGCCCTTGAAGTGCAGCGGCTTGCCGGCAGCCGTGGTGCCCTTGTCGCCGGCGCAGAGCGCGCGGAAGTTCTCTGCCGTCTGGGGCACCACATCGCTGAAGAGCTCAAACACGATCCGGCCCGCCGGCTTCTTGCCGATCGTAATGTCAAAGAAGACGCGCGGCCGCTGGGCCTTTTTGCCGTCGGCCATCGTGAGAGGATGTGCGAAGAAGAGCGACGAACAGGTGGAGATGAAGGTGGAGGAGGCAGGCAGGCAAGCAGCTGGCGGCTGACAAGGCTGTGTGTGTAAGGGTGTTTGCTGTGCGAGGAGGAAGCGATGCTAGGCTGCGGCTCGACAAACGGTCAGAACAGACAAGATGTCCCTGTCTCGACTGGCCTTTTATTTCGATTTGCTGAGGACGCAAGAGAAGTCGGAAAAATACTAGCAGGAATTCTTTCTAGTGGAAGCTTCTAGACGGTGCAGCTCCCAGAACGGAAGGAGTACCCCGCCTAGTCCAAGCGGGGCAGTTGCCCGAGCGGCTCTGTCTACAGATGTAAGAGAGTGTGCCTCGAGTGCATCGAATGGCTGTCCGACGGCTGTCTATTGGTTCTACAGAGTATATGCATCACCAGCTCGGTGGACCTCAATCCACCCCATCCTGCGCTTTCTTGTCTGGATGCGGCTTTGGCTGGGCCGATACCTCGATCGTGACCTGTCGATGTCAGACGTGGAGTGATACGCGGGGAGACGGCAGAAGACACCTACCGGCCCATCATTCACCAGAGCGACCTGCATCATGGCGCGGAACACGCCGTCCTGGACGCGATCGGCCTGGTAGCTGTCGCGCACCTTTTGCACAAAGTAGTCGTAGAGCCGCTTGGCCTCGTCCCCGCCCATCGCACCGCTAAACGACGGCTTGCTCTTCTTGGTCGAAGCGAAGAGCGTGAACTGGGACACGCAGAGCACCTCGCCGCCAATGTCGGCCACGCTCTTCTTCCACTAGAACGTACATGTCAGCAAGACAACAAATAACACGAACACGTCAGACGGGATTGTCGCGCGCACTGTGCCTCCCTCGTCATCATCCCACAGCCGCAGCTTGACGATCTTGGCCGCCAGCGAGTCGGCCTCCTTCTCGGTGTCGCCCGGTGCCACGGCTGCCAGCACCAGCACGCCCCGGCCGATGGACGACACGAGCTCCTTCTCGACCGTCACCGAGGCGGAGACGACGCGCTGCAGAATCGCTATTCATAGTAGGACAGGTCAGCAACCCGAACCCGCCCTGCCGGCTGGCATGGACCGTCGGCCAGGCTCACCTTTCATTGCTCGTGCTTGTACTCCGTATTTCGTTTGCACAGCCAATTGCGCATCCCTGGTCTGTCCGGTCTCGTCACTGTCTCACCACGAGAGCTACAAGGGGCCTAGACACGGCATGCCCGTCACAAGAATGCTGTCGCACTTTCGCGGCTTAGATATCTTAGCCAAAGCCCACTGTTCGGCCACGTGACACTGCCAGCTGTAAGATCCGAGTAAGATACAAGTCAAGATGCCAGCAGAAGCGTCCCACAACATCCCCGGCCAGGGCTTGGCTCGTTTGCGGCAGGCAGACAGGCTTCCGGGCAATGTGACGAGGCGAACGAAACGCTTCTTACACCTCGTTTGCCCCGTCGCATCCTTGCGCCCTCCAGCGCCTAAAGGCTGGTGCTCGCGCCCCACTTTTTCCAGCTCGTCAGACTGGCCGCTTTTCCTTTTTCCGTTTTCGATCGCGCCTGCCAACTATGAACAAACGACTGAATCTTCCAATCCACGGCCCATATCATTTCGCTCCCTTCTCAAGCTCGCCTCCTCCTCCACATCACATCCGGCAGCACATACGCCACCCCTCGCTCTCCCCTTTCGTGACATTGCCGGACTCGGACACGAGAGGGAATCGGTACGTGGACCCTGTATTTTACCCAAGGCATTTATTAGGCACCGCATCTCGACTCCGCCCTTGACGTATGACAACCGGGAGGGCGAAAGGCTCGAAAACTCTTCTCGCCGGAGCAGCATCATCGTGCCATCGATGGACGGAACGGTCCTGTGGTCCTCCTCTAACACGTACACCGTCTAGTCCCGGGAACCAGCCGCCGGCCCATCTTCCCTGCTCATAGCTTCAGGGCACTCGAATAGCACCTATACCCTGTACCGGCCTCAATTCTTTGTTTTACTGCGCCAATCGACGCCGCGCAACGATCTTGCTACCGGCCAGAGCAGTCACTCTCCCCCAGGCAGCCGGACGGGCCTTCATACACTACCGGCGCCATGGCGGCACGAAAACTGCAGCAAGAAGTGGACAAGTGCTTCAAGAAGGTGACGGAGGGCGTGTCCGAGTTCGACGCCATCTACGAGAAGATCGAGCAGTCAAATAACCCGGCGCAGAAGGAGAAGCTGGAAGACAACCTGAAGCGCGAAATAAAAAAGCTGCAGAGATTACGAGACCAGATCAAGACATGGGCGGCCGGCAACGAGATCAAGGATAAGGGCCCTCTGATGGAGCAGCGGAGGCTGATTGAAACGGTTGGTGCATGAGCATGGTAGCTGAACGGTCCGTCTCGGCTAACACTGCCGCACACAGCAAATGGAGAGGTTCAAGGCCGTCGAGAAGGCCATGAAGACAAAGGCCTACTCGAAAGAGGGCCTGTCGGCCGCAACAAAGCTCGACCCGAAGGAGCAGGCAAAGGTCGAGACAGGCGAGTTTCTCAGCTCCCAGGTCGACGAGCTGGAGCAGCAGATCGAGTCGCTCGAAGCCGAAGGCGAAGCCATCCAGGCCACCGTGAAGCGAGGCAAGATCCACGGCGCCAAGGCCGAGCGCATGGCCGAGATAGAACGCATCATCGAGCGGCACAAGTGGCACCAAGGCAAGCTGGAACGGTTACGTCGCTCGCTCGAAAACGGCGCCATCGACATCGAGCAGGTCAACGACCTGGAGGAGAGCATCCGCTACTACGTTACCGACAACCAGAACGACGATTTTATGGAGGACGACACCATGTACGACGACTTGAATCTCGACGAGGAAGAAGAGGGCTTCGGCCTGAATGGCGATGACAGAGTCTCCTCACAGGACACGCAATCCATACAAGGCGATCTCGGCGATCTGGACGTGAAGCCACCAGGGACAAGTAGTGGCAAGGGTCGTGCCACCACCGATTCGGCCTCCATCTCTTCTTCTGGCCGCCGCCCCTCCGCACAGCTAAAGTCCCCACTGCCAACACTAGCAACTCTGCATACCCCTCTACAAACGCTTAGCAATGGCATCTCTACCGCCGTGGCCATGAAGCCGGCATCCATACCGGCACGACCAGCGGGCGAAGGCCTGAAGTACGCGTCGGCCGCTGCGGCCGCTGCCGCGAGCGATAGACTCAACGTCGGAATAGCCCCGCTACCGCCACCGCCAGGCGTAGTCGGGCCCTCACAACAAACCCAGCTGCCAGCCGCCATTGCACCCTCGTTGCCCGCCGCGCAGGCGAGCAGAGCGATCGCAAGCGCAGCAAATTCCCCGAAGCCGCCGTCCGCTCAGCCGCATCAGCACCATCAACAGCAGGCAGAGAAGGTGGTCCCTCCATCGGCAGCAGGTGCAGCGTCAGGCGTTGCATCGGGATCTACGGTGAAGCCGGAAAACGCACGATCGGCGAAGGCAAGGAGCGCTGCAGCCTCTACATCCGCGTCCACGACGTCAACACCGGCACCCGAGCCGGCAGATGCCGCAGGCAAAGGTAGGGCAGTGCATCGGACCTCCAAGACAGATCAGCTGCTAATGAACCCTCGTCTCTTCAGGCTCTCATACGAACGGTACCACGAACGGAGTCAAGACCGCCACTCCTGTCACCAAGGAGGGGGAGCAGGCCGAAGAAGAGTCCATCTACCACCTGCCTTCCTCACTACAAGACCTGGTCGAGTCATTCGAGGTGACAAAGAGCCGACCGCCACAGTCGAACCCGACTACAGGACTACGCATGTTGGCCCAGTCGGTAGCCAACGCGCCCGAAACGATGGATGCAGAGCCTCCACGTCGATACCACCCAGAGGTGCGGTTCCACTCGTCTTCGAACTTCCCACAAGAACCGCTGGCACTGCTGGATGACCCTCGGCTGTACGCTCGCATCGAGCCAGACACGCTCTTCTACGTGTTCTACTACAAGCAGGGGACGTACCAACAGTACCTGGCTGCCAAGGCGCTCAAGGACATGAGCTGGCGCTTCCACAAGCAGTACCAGACATGGTTCCAGCGGCACGAGGAGCCCAAGAGCATCACAGAGGAGTTTGAGCAGGGCACCTACCGCTTCTTCGACTACGAGAGCACATGGTAAGCAGGGTGGAGACCATGTTTTTGTCGTACCCCTTCCTTTGCTGACACGCGGTACAGGATGAACCGGAGGAAAGCAGATTTCAAGTTCGTCTACAAGTTCCTGGAAGACGATGTATGATGGCGCAACGGCGAGAGAGCGGAGTGACGGCGTAGTTTTTACTGCCGGCTGCAGCAAAGGCTCTATCAGTTTTGAAAGCTCTACTCTTTTTCTTTCCATTTTGTCCCCATGACGTGGCTTGGCTTGCTATTTGACACTCGTCGGTCTCTTCCATCGAGACAAGGAACCCGGGTACGGTTTATTTTCGGGTTGTCAGTTTTAGTAAAAATCATTTGACTGGAGTGGACCGGGAGAGGGGGAGGATGCATGGGTTTGGGAACCCCAAGAAATCGGCAATATTAGAGCGAGGGCAGACATGGCAGCTCGGCCTGCTTTCCTTCTGCTCCCTTCCTTTCCTCTTTCTGTCGCCTTCATAAGCACAGGGCGAATTACATGGCATTGTTCAGAGAAGTAGAATTCGACATGATCGTGTCCTGATTGGTCTTGGCTGCCTATTGGCTTGTCCGTCTTGCTCTCGTCCAAAGGGCCTAGAATGCCTTGCCTGATCTTCGTGTTACGACAGGCCGCCATCCAGGCTGCAGTGCGCCGTTTCACCACGACGAGGCTGTCATGAGGACGATGCCAAAACGGCTGGCTTACGGCCCTTCCGAGATCGACTCGTTGGTTTATGTGCAGGAAGATGACCTCAATGTATGCTCCCTCTTGGGTAAGAAAACTGCTCGCCTGCATTACCTAGCGCCGCCTAGGCTCTTCCACTCCTCGCCTTACGTTTCTGTGTCCCGGTCATCCTTTCGCCTTCCTGACAGCCTTTGCTTTCCTGGCCTCGCTCACTTCTGCCGCTTCGTACTCGGGCTTAAAACGCACTGTGAACCTGCAAGCAACCCGATGGAAACAGGGCGCCGCGCCCGCTCTACTGTAGACGAAAATGCGAGTAAAGAACGGTACAGCTATCGATTGTTCCGCACTGCAGCCTTGTTGTCTTGCGTGGCATCTACTAGTGCAAATGTGCACATATTTCACGTCTCCCAGATGGCATATGCCTGCATGCATTGCTGAACCCCAACATCCAGTATCCGGCAAACAGAGAAGGAGTCTGCCTGACTCGTGTAAGTTCTCCTTTTCTATCTAGACAGGTAGATCACCATTGGGTTCCAATGCTGGGATTGGCGGGGCAACAACGAAGCAGAGCAGGTACCAGATATATAGAGCATTGGTTTCCGTCCCGTTCTGTTTATTCCTACTCCTCTCTGTGTAGTCGAACCTGATGAAGCCCCATCCCGTGCCCAAAGCACAACTTGCAGCCGTCTAGGCCGGGACGCATGTCCTGATGTTCAGTCTTGGGTTTGTCTTTTGCACACCTGACCAAGGAGGACTCCGCCCTCTCTCTTTAAATATTTATTTCATTCGCGTGATAGCTCTCTGGACGGCGTGCTTACATGTGAGTTGACCCTTTGGGCTTCAAATGGCTTCCTACTCTGCATCCACAGTTGTCAATCTTCTGTTTCGGGTGTATTTTTTCTAATTTATGTCGATGCTGTGTTTCATGCCCAATGTTGGCGTTATTTCGTGCACACTATCATGGCGCAGGCAGATTTGTCTGTCTGTCTCTGCTCCTTTGACGTGTCTCTAGGTTTATGCCTCCATAACCAGCCAGTCCCGTGATCTATGGTATCGGCGGCATGGTTGTCCTAGAACGGCAATTTACGAAAAAAAGGCGACGGCGAATCCAAGGCAGTGCTTTGCGTTGTGACCAAAATGCGAACCAGTCAGCGGGACGGCTTACCAAGTCTCGTCAAGGGTGTGGGTAGCCTGCATGCACCAGCCTTTGAGCAGCCACACAACTAGGCTGTGCGGAAACTGCGCAGCCTTGCGCAGTCGCCGGTTCGCTCCTTCCACTTCCGCGGCACCCCATTCTTCCTCGACGACAGTGTGTTGATAATTTTTTCCAATTGTTTTTCCGGTTTGTCCCACCAGCCCCAAGATCTCCTTTAGGCCTCCAGACTTGGAAATTCTCTTGTTCCTCTTTTCTTCGCGGCAGTGCTCGCCCCTCGCCGAGATAGCCGCCACGGTGATACAGTTTGCAATGCTGCAAACCGGCTCGTCCACACAGCAAGCAGCAAGCCGCAAAGCCGGCCAGGCAGAACGCCAGGCGTCCGAACAAGGCATACTTCCTACGTGGCAACGCTTGTTGGCCCCATTTTCTATACCCCCGTCCGGTCCTCTCGGTCTCGACTGCTCAGACGAAGTGGCCGGCTGGTGGAATGATCTGTCGTGTCCCGTCTCAGTACCTGTGACTTGCGTTTTTCGCCCTCCCTGTCCGCCGAAGCGGGTGACGAGCGAAAGTATCCGGGTCCTCTGCAGCTCTCGTCTCGATCTATGGATGTCCACCTGAATGCCGAAAAGGTAGGGAAGGCGCTTGTTAGTGGAACCCCTGAGGCGCCTCTTTCGGAAGATTTTCACCACGTCTTACGTACCCTCATTCGTGCATAAGTCGTCTCCACACGACCTTCTCCCCCAGACAGCCTCGTTTCTACACTTTACACAGCGTCAGAGGCGTGACTCACGCGCAAGTTTTTCTTTGTTTTCCCTGCCGTCCTCAAGCTGCGGTGTCAATCCCTCCTTGAACGATGCCCTGACATGTTCCCACTGTCTGCACACCACACTTGTGCTCTCTGAGAGAGCCCCTTGCGGTTCTATGCTTAGGCAAACTTTGCAGTTTCGGTGCACTGCCTATGCATTTGCAAACCGACGTCTCAGCCCGTCCAATCACTGGTCATCTAATGACGGCACCCATATTCGATGCAAGTGCAAGGGGGCATCGCCACAAGACAGCACATGTATCATATGTCAAAGTATACTTTCAGAAAGGGTTCCTCATGTCGTCTTTGAAACCTTATTGTTTAGGCACGCCTCGCTTTTTCTAGGGATCAGGCTCAGCATCCGCCACCATTCAATCTGCCTGACTTACAGACGTGAAGAAAGGGTGGGCTGTTGTTTCTCCCCTACGGAAGATAAAATGCCCAAAATGCAATCTTTCCGACAAAGATAATAGCGACACATTCGGAAATGTGAGTCTGATATATTTCATTCTTTTTGTTTATCCACAAGCCTCGTCTTAATAGTGTTCGCCTCGACTAAATTTATGTTTTCCCGCCAATTCTGACGTTTCGAAGTTGTATTCATACACAAAATCTCCCACAGTCTAGTTTCTTCTGCCCACCTTGTCGGACACCATCTGTACACATTTGCCGTGTTATACACACTTGGGCATTAATAGTGGGCTTTCCCCATCGATGTCCCTACATCTGAAGCCATATCTGCCTATCCATCATCTTTTGTACACCCTACTACTACCTCATGAGTTAGTTTTGCTTTCTTTCTACCTTAGTATATCTTGTTCGCCTCGTTTTTGTTATGCTAGAAAGTAACCGTTTGTGCCAATAGTAGATATCCATATATGTCTTGACGTGGCCTTTCACACTCTTCTCTGTGTCCAAAGCCTTGCCTTCGATCAGGGAAGCTGTGTTATAGCCAGCACCAAGCCTCATCCATGAACCGCTTCGTTTTTTTCAATTTTACAGCTATATATATAACAAGAAGTCGAGGCTAATCCACTATGATCAACTCCATGGGCACCACCAACTGGACAGGCTACGACCTTGAAGCTTACAGCCAGTTTGGTGATACTTCTTCATTCATGACCCCTTCGTTATCTAGTGGAAGCTCTGGAAGCTCTGGAAGTATCTCAAGAAGTATCATGGACGGCGATGAGAATATGACGCCAGGCAATTTTGGGTACGGCGAAACTGGCGTATCCTTCGATACCAACTGCTTCAATGAGATCACTGGGCAGATGGACTTGTATCAGCCCGATTGGGAATGGGAACCTCAGGACGACGCGTACTTGAGTCAGTTTTTTTCAGACAACGCGGAATCAAAATTGGAACTGCCCAACAATGACGACATACCGCTCGCCATATCGTCAAACCAATCGTCGCAGCCGAGTATGAAAGTCCATAGAGGCAAGAGCGTCAAGAATCGGCAGCCTCCGAATGGTGCGCCGAAAAGGAGGCACAAATGCCTAGGCTGTGATAAGAAGTTCTCACGAACTGCCGATCTTCAGCGCCACGAAAAGCATGTCCACCTCGATGAGCGCAGCAAGCTGAATATTGTCTGCGACTATACGGAGTGTCCGCGGAACAAGCAGCCCTTTTCCCGCAAAGACCACTACCGCGAGCATCTGCGCGACTCTCATGGCGAAGATATGACGAAGCGGGGAGGAAACGTGCATCAGTCAGCGGGACCGCCTAAAAACATGGCATCTTCTGCCGGCAGCGGCAAGGGTAGTAAAGTGGGGGACAACGGAAAGGGAAAGGCCGTGAAGATGGAGCTTCCAGAGAGCCTCAATTACAGCAACTATGAGCAAGATGACGACACTTTCGAGAGAGAGCACGGTGACAATGCCGTCAGTAATGCCGACGCACTTGGTTTCGACTTTAATGCGAATGGCGAAAGCTCTACTTTCAATGCATTAGCCGACAAGGAGGAAAAGTCGGGCTCGGAAGAGGAGAGACTGCGAAACTGTCGTGTGGACCTCAGCTGGTGGCGGTGCTCTCGTTGTTTGCTGAGGGTACCGCTCATTAGAGACGATTACAAGCTGGACTGGACGTGTGGTAACCCGACGTGTAGAGTCGACATCGAGCCAATAAGGAAGACGATACGCGAAGAAATGGCTGCTGCTGCTGCTGCTGCTTCTGCCAGGCAATGTCCTTCTGGTGATGGGGTGAAGCTCTGGGGGACCGAGCTGAATCATCATGGTTACAGATAACAGGGTTCCTATCTTATGCGTTCTTTCTCTCTTTCGTTTCTTTTCGTTGATCTTGTTCTTTCCTCTGTCTTTCGCATTTCTTGTTCTCCACCTATATATGACTCCTAACGAATCGTTTCTTATTTGTATTTTGGTTAGGGTTCTTTTACTTGTTAGCTAGACTGCCTCTTTTGAATTTGTGAGATATTCCGTAGCTCCAATATTATTCGCTTCTCAGAATACTCCGTACATGGCACGTGAGACACTAAGCATGATCGATTAGTCAGCACATGACCAGCCCGGAAGGCCGACAGTGAGCAAATCTACGGAGTAGATTGCAAACCTACGATGTTGCCGGTTGCTATATGGACAAGTATCTCGTGACTACAGTTTGGTATGCGAAAGCGGGGAAGAGGCTGGCATCTACAAGCGAGGCGGCACCGACAGTCCAGAGATAGCTTCCCCACGCCTTTGCCTATGTCGTATGTCCGGCAGCCCACACACCTGCCGTTTTAGGCCAGCTCTCCCCCGCAGCTTTCGACCCCTCCTTTTTGAGCTTTTCGCGGATGAGAAAGCAGAGGAAGGCGTAAAGACGGCAGGTTTGGTCACCGAGGTTAGAGAATGAAAGTACAAAAACAAGTCCACATCAGCTTCGCCGCCTTCTACAGTACTCCATACAGCCATCCTACAAGCGAAACCTGTGCGACTTTACCCAGGAAGTACGGAGTAGATCAGGTACGGGTTTGGCAGACGTGGAGACAGCTAGGAGCGAAAAATCTCAAATTTTCAGTCAGAAAAAAGCTCAATCCGCCGATATCGCCGCTTTATTTCGCCCGTGGCCAACGAATGGACAAACACGCAAGCAGGACAGGGTGAAGCACGTTTATTAATCGTGCACTCGCCGTTCTCTGGCTTCCCTCTCTCTCGGCATCCCACCATTCTCCAGCGCTTCGCCATAGCTCGCCAGCTCCACCCCAATCGAGCCTCAGTCCCCAGACTGGCTATTTATATTTCCAGAGTATCACTGCCAGGTTGTTTCCGCTCGGCCGCCATCCGACCGACCTTCTGCTGCTCGCTGCCGTTCTCTCCCGGCTCCCCGTCCTTCGTCGCACTATAATTTTCTAACCGCGTTGATCCTCGGCTATTGGCAACACGACCAGCTCCGAGGACCTACGGATAAGGCATATCCATCTTCGCTGCCTTGCGTCTTTCGCCATACCCAATAGCGTCAGGGAATTTTCTTTACGCTCAAACACACGACCGCACGGAACACCCCGTATCGCTCCCCTCGTCCCCCCATTCGTCACGGCTTCTTCCCCTTCCCCTTGACAGCCACTATGAGCGCCCTTAATCTGCTCCGGTCGCCTCTTGTCAGCCGACGCGGCTCCGCTGCCGCCGGCCCGGTTTTCTCTCGTTCTGCCAAGGTCCTCACTTCATCTTTCTCCTCCCTCTCCTCTTCATCCTCTCCCACCACCTCCTTTGCCGTCACCCGCAGAGCCGCAGCCGTAGCCAGAAGTACCCGAGCAGCACAACTTCCCTTTACCAGATTCCCATCAGCAATCATGGCATCCCAGCAAGCCGGCGTGGCCACGACGGCCTTCCAGAAGATCAAGGTCAAGAACCCAGTCGTCGAGCTTGATGGCGACGAGATGACCCGTGTCATCTGGAAGGACATCAAGGACAAGCTGATTCTGCCCTTCCTCGACATCGACCTCAAGTACTACGACCTGGGCCTCGAGCACCGTGATGCTACCGACGACAAGGTCACGACCGACTCGGCCGAGGCCATCCAGAAGTACTCTGTGGGTGTCAAGTGTGCCACCATCACGCCTGACGAGGCCCGTGTTGAGGAGTTCAAGCTGAAGAAGAGTATGTTTTCGCTACCCTCTCTCTTCCCCTCTCCCGCTGCCCCTCTCTCTCCCTTGACCCGTTTGGCCCAAGCGGCTTGCTCGCACACCCTTTCGCCCGTCAGCGATGGAGCGGCGGATAGATTGACTGACGGATGCAGTGTGGCTGTCCCCGAACGGAACGATCCGCAACATTCTTGGTGGCACCGTCTTCCGTGAGCCCATTGTCATCCCGCGCATTCCCCGGCTGGTGCCTGGCTGGGAGAAGCCCATCATCATTGGCCGCCACGCCTTTGGCGACCAGTACCGCGCCAAGGACCGGGTGATTCCGGGCAACGGCAAGCTGTCCATGGTCTTCACCCCGGCCGATGGCGGTGCGCCCGAGGAGATTGAGGTGTACGACTTCAAGACCGGCGGTGGTGTTGCTCAGACCCAGTACAACACGGACGAGAGCATCGAGGGCTTCGCCCACGCCTCGTTCAAGCTGGCTCTGGACAAGGGCCTGCCGCTGTACATGAGCACCAAGAACACGATCCTGAAGAAGTACGACGGCCGCTTCAAGGACATCTTCCAGAAGTACTACGACGAGCAGTACAAGCCGGAGTTTGAGAAGAAGGGCATCTGGTACGAGCACCGCCTGATCGACGACATGGTCGCCCAGATGATCAAGAGCAAGGGCGGCTACATCATGGCGCTGAAGAGTGAGTTCCCGGACGGCCGACAGGCACCGTGCTGGCAGAAGACGGGCTAACCAGCGGTACAGACTACGACGGTGATGTGCAGTCGGACATTGTGGCCCAGGGCTTCGGCTCTCTGGGCCTGATGACGTCGGTGCTGATCACGCCGGACGGCAAGACATTTGAGTCCGAGGCTGCCCACGGCACGGTGACGCGCCACTACCGCGAGCACCAGAAGGGCCGCGAGACGTCGACGAACCCGATTGCATCCATCTTTGCGTGGACCCGTGGTCTGGCCCAGCGTGGCAAGCTCGACGAGACGCCGGAGCTGATCGCTTTTGCTGACGCCCTGGAGCGCGCCTGCATCGAGACGGTCGACACGGACGGTATCATGACCAAGGATCTTGCCCTGGCCTGCGGCAAGACCGACCGCGCGAGCTACGTCACCACGACCGAGTACCTCAACGCAGTCGAGCGTCGCATCACCAGCAACCTGCAGGGCAAGCTATAAGCGGTTTCTGTCGCGGGCGTCGCTCGCCGATTTTCCCGACCGTCTCTGCCTGACCTTCACTCCTTGAGTCGTGTGTATCTCAGACGATACCAAACCTCCACATGCCTTTACCCCCGGCCAAATTATTATACGTTCTTGAGGAGAGAGGAACAAACTAGACGGGATGACACAACCAAGACCAGACTACATCTAGACGTTTGTTGACTTTTGTACAATGCACTTGAAGCGGAGACCATGGAAAAGTTGGGAAGGGTGTTGTCTTGCTCTGTGGCCCATCTGTCGACACAGCGAGCATAGCCCGTGTTTCTAGAACTGAAGCCGTGTGTAAATAAGGCAATGGTAAATACGATCAGATAGAGACGAACAAAGAGTAAAAACAAAACGAAAGCAACGATTCAAAGCGATTACTTAAAGTCTTTAAATTTTACTCCTAAAATAGGATGTTTTTTTATAAAAGTAATAGGCTTGCCGCAGCCAGGTGTCTTGCATAAATTCAGATATCGTACAGAAGGACGAGAAGAAGCGAGAGAAGGAAGAAAGAAGGGTGAAAGAGAAAGACAAAAGACAAAGGGACACATGGACAAATGAAAAAAAGAGAGAAAAAATATAAACACCGAAAATACCCTGCACGCTCCTGTTTTGAACTCCTGACTGGTGCCAAATATCCATGGATTATAGTAGCCCGTAGCCCTTCCATCCCGAATGTTCCCATTGCTACTTTCCCATCCCAAATACCCGGTCCCAGTCCTAGGGGCCAGGGTTCTTTGCTCTCTGTCCCTTGTCCGTGGCCGCTCCAGACATCGATACGACATCCTATTCGGCCGTCGATGCATCGTCGTCTTCATCGACGTCGTCGTCGTCATCCCCGCCGCCGCCGCCACCGCCGCCGTCTGCTTCTGCTTCACCTTCGGCCATGTCCAGATCGTCTCCGTCTGCAGCTGCCACCGTTTCGGCCACATCGACTGTTTCGGCCGCTTCTCTTGCTGCTGCTACTGTCGCCGCTGCTGCCGCGTCTCCGCTCTTACGCGCCTTCTTGGCCGCCATCGATGACAACGTGCTGGTGATCGTATTTGTCATGTCGCCCAGACCGCCCTCGCTCTTCCGCTTCCGCTTCGTCCCACGGCCACTGCTGCCGCCGGCTCCAGTGGGCGTAGCCCCGACACCAGCTCCGGCCCCGGTGCTTGCCCTTGGCCGGTAGCCGGCATCGTCGTCCTGCATTGGCCGCTTCCGCTTGCCACCTCGGCCACCGCTGCCCGTTGGCCCCATAGCCCGAGGCGTCGCCAGTTCATGCGACAGGTCGTCTGATTCCACCCCGTCCACCGCCAGATGCTCACGCAGAGGAATCACCGCCGAGGCTCGCTTACGTCCTCCACCACGGCTGCTCGCCGTCCTCTCGACGCCGCTCCCACCCACGGACTTGCGGCCACGCGCTGTCGGCGCTCCACTGCCGCCACCGCCACCACCAGCACCGTTCTGGTTACCAGCACCGCCATACGAGTAGTGGTGGTAGTCATCGCCGTGATTGTAATGACCGTTGTTGCTGTTCTCGCGGTCGGCTGCAGCAGCTGCCGTAGCCTCACCCTCCTGCAAAAAGACGGCCTTGGGCGCGTTCTTTTTGAGCCAGTTGAAGACGCTTGTCGGGTTGCGCAGAATGCTGTCGCGCGTGGTCGCTGTCATTGACGCTCCGTAAATTGATGGCAGGTCCGTCTTTGAGATGCTTCGGTTGAAAAACTCTTCCCACCCACTGCTACCACCGTTGGCCGTCGGCGTGTGCGTGTCGACCATGTGTGCAAAGGGGGCCAACGTCGGAAGCATTGGCGGCGGGGTCTGGCCGGCCAGAAGAACATGTCCGGCCACGTTGCGGTCGACCTCCCACAGGTAATTGTCGATGTCATCGGCGGACAGGAAGCTCTCCGGATAATGCTTGAGCTTCTGCTGTGGATGCTGCTGGGGAGAGTTTTTTCCGGTCGGGACAACAAAGGCGAGCTTGTTATCATCGCCTGCAACCAAGTCCTTGAGGAGTGACGGTAGACCGCGATTTGCGGCGGCAAGATTGACGTGTCGCACATCATGGAGTAGTGACTGCAGCGACTTGGCAGGCAGTTCGGGAGGTGGTGCCTGAGGGTCGCTCTTGTCGGAAAAGCGCTTGGCCCAGCCGCCTTTGTGGTCAATATCGAGGCTGGTGAGCTTCGACGACTCGTCCGATGAGGTCAGACTGAGATCGATGCGCTTGGATCCCGGGATCTGAGCCGAATTGTTGACATCGAGGAGCAGGTCGAGAACTCGGCTGTTTACAGTTTGTCAGTACAGACAAGAACGAAAAGACAATGCGCGCGGGAGGCCTTCTTACTCAATCTCTACTGCTAGACGCTTGCTCGTCTGGATGGCCTTGACCTCCTCAGCATGCAGCCTCGCATTGGCCTCCATCTTCTCCTCAAAGGCAAGGCGCATCTTTAGGTGCTTCCTCTTCCACGAGCGGTAGGGCATCACGCCCTGGGACGGCTTTGTCTTGCTCTTAGCATCGTCGATCTCGGCGTTATTATGGGAGGTTGAGGATGCTGCAGTCGTAGGCAGTGGTGATGCCGCTACTAGATCTGTCGCGGTCGGGGCGGCTTCCTCCATCTTGACGCCTCGGAATGATATTGTGCCTTCGCCGTCCATTGCCTGTCTCTCAGAAGAGCTGGTACGTGCGGCGGCGTGTGTTGGGGAGAGCTCGTTGTGTCGAAATACTCGACGGAGCCGATGAAAAAGGCGAGGCGGATGGTGATGAACCTAACCGCGAATAGAAGATAATGGTAAAAGAGGGAAAACAAAGCTGGGAACGAGGGTATTAATCTGAGGACTGGAAGAGATTCAAGGGAGCCGATGCGAATGAGCGGATGCTGCCCATCAGCCGGACGCTTCGAAAAATAGACAGCAAGGAAGAATGGCGAGCATGACAATGTGCAGAGCTTGAGAGGAAAAAGGGGTGGGAGAAATAAGGGCGAAAACACGGAAAAGTGGCCTGCCGCGAACACAGGTTTGCGCTCTGTCGCGCTAGAATCGATCACGGCCATCAGAAGCTGCACAGCGGCTCATTGCCGGAGCAGGCATGCGGACTCGAGTAGCTATGGGCACGTGATTCGTCTTGTTGAAGTAACCGCCAACAAAATTCACGTGGACCCGTTGCTCTACGGAGTTCTTCCTACAAAATGAGATCTCTATTTCTATTTTTAACCTGAAAACATACAATCCTTTCAACACGCCCAACCGCAAATACATTCAATCTCCCTGTTCTGCATTTATAGTAGACAGCGTTGAATGTTTCTACTACGTTGGACGGCACGAACTATGAGCGAACAGGTAGCAAAGCGCCTCAAGATGGACAACATCACAATCGCCACGCACAACGGGCACTTCCATGCCGATGAAGCGCTGGCCGTGCACATGCTGCGGCGCCACGTGCCCGAGTATGAAAATGCCCAACTGGTCCGCACGCGGGACCCAGCCAAGCTGGCCGTGGCCCACACTGTAGTCGACGTTGGCGGCGTGTACGATGCGGCAGCACGTCGTTTCGACCACCACCAGCGCGGCTTCGACACCACGTTCCCCGACCGATCGACCAAGCTGTCGTCAGCCGGGCTAGTCTACATGCACTTTGGCCGCGACATTGTCGCACGGCGGATACAGCAGCGGAAGGCCAAGCTGAAGCTGAAGCAGCAGCAGAGCGAGGCCGAGGCCGAGACAGACGCAACCGAGGCAGACGTGGACCAGCTGTACCGAAAGCTGTACAGCGGCTTCGTCGAGGCTCTCGACGCCCACGACAACGGCATCGACCAGTACGACCCGGTCGAGCTAGCCAGCGCCGGCATCCAGAAGCGCTTCTCCGACGGTGGCTTCTCGCTGGGCGCCGTCGTCGGACGCTACAACGCGGCCTGGAACGACGTCGAGGCCGAGGCCCAGGGTCAGGCCGGCGAGGATGTCCGGTTCGTGCAGGCCAGCGCCCGCATCGGCGAGGAGTTTGACAGCAGCCTCAACTACCTGGTGGGCGCCTGGCTGCCGGCTCGCAGCCTCGTGCGCAGCGCCTTCGCCGCCCGCCTCGACTTCGATCCCAAGGGCCGCCTGCTCGTCTTCCGCAACCAGTCATGTCCCTGGAAGGATCATCTGTACGCGGAGGAAGAGGCTGCGAGCCAGGCTGCGGCCGACGACGCCGATGTCAAGGTCCTCTACGTGCTCTACCCCGACAAAGAGGACCGCTGGCGGGTGCAGTGCGTCCCGGCGTCCAAGGACTCGTTTACGAGCCGTAAGCCGCTGCCCGAGGCCTGGCGTGGACACCGCGACGGCGACCTGGATAAGCTCCTGGAAGGCGAGGTGGTGCCCGGCGCCGTGTTCGTGCACGCGGCCGGCTTCATTGGCGGCCACCGCACATTTGAGGGCGCCCTGCAGATGGCCAAGAAGGCTCTGGAAGTCTAAGGGCCATGTCGAAGTAATCCAAATAAAAGAGAAAAACTATTCGCACTATCAGAGTTCGTACGCCCTATTGATTTGCACTGCGCAAAGAAATATGCTCGCATTAATTAGTCAGTTATGAGGCTAATTCGAATCGAGTAACCGCTATGCACGCGTATATTGCGAATTATATAGCATTGCTACGGAGTACTATACCCATTAAATATCAACTACCTTTTTCATTGATGTAAAATAGGCAGTATATGAAGTACATGCTAGAATGTTGTTAAGTATAGTGTAGAAGCACTGCCGTATGTATTACATATACGCAGTGTGTGTGTTATACTACGTCAGCTGTGCCAATCTGTGCCTAGTCCTTGTGCTAATCCCTATGCTAGTATCCGTGCCGGTCTCTCTATAGCAAAATGGTGAAGTAAACTCAAAGTTCCTAATAACTTGTAGACTTGCTGTTGTCGATTTTAACAAACAATGGGTACCCCGTAGACGAAAGTCCAATGCTGAAAGAGAGCGCGAACGTGGGTGGAAGTAAACCTATATCGGTTAGATACATTGAACTGTTATAGGTTACATGATTGCAAATTTTAAGGCGGCATTGACCGACGAGACTTGTATTCAGATGTCACGTGGCTTCGATTCCTCCGCCTCTCACATCACCAGGCAGGGACCACCAATGGTTAACAGCCACTGCAAAACTTACAAGGCTACAACATAGTGACGAGAAAGGCGTAAAGGGGTGCCCAAGCATATCCAAATCCCTTTTTGACTGTTTTACCTTTTTTTTTGCTTATTGCTTTCCTTCTCCCTTTATTGGGTCCTAGTCCGCCCTGGTAACGCCCGGATGTTTGGCAAAGTAAAAATCGACAGAAAGAGTAGCTAACATGTTTGACTCCCAAAACTTTCCTCATAACACATGACCGAAGAAAAATGACAAGAAAACAAAGATGGCATTGCAGCACGGCAAGGACAGAAGGAAAAAGCCATTGTCGCCCTCCTTCTATCGCCGAATCGGAATGGCCTCCGAATGACCCTGGCCGACAGGCAGGTTTACCTGTCTTGCCGCCGATACGCTCCCTCCTGCAGCGTTGCCGTCCGTATCCAAGTCGGCCGCGCTCGTCTCGCGGTTCAAAAAGCTGCTCTCCTTGACGGGGCTGCCAGCCTGCAGGTGGTGTCCAGCTGCGCTAGGAATGCCGAGTGTGATGCCGCCTACGCTGCTGCCTCCATTTCCAGCTAAGCTGTGATTATGACCATTGCCGCCTGGGCCTGTAGCCGGAGGCGAAGACAGGTGGGGGATCTTCTCAGGGACCGGATGTTGTGAGCCGACGGTGCCGGTGTCGACGCCATCGCCCTTACCGGCCTTGGACATGGCATAGTCGCCGCTGTCAAAGTACTTCCGCTCCTTGAGATGCTTGGCAAAGTGGTCAGACCGGCTCGGCAGCTTTCCGTAGAGCCGGAACAGCCGTTGCTCCTCCGGGGAGAGGTTCTGTTGAAGAGGCACGGGTGTCAGGATCGGGCAACACCGCAACCCACATGTTATATTGGGGGCCATTCTCGTTTGGGCATACTCACGCTGACGTCAACCTTGTTCTTCTGGTGAGGATTCAAAGCCATTGCAGTAGTTGTAGGTATGTCTGCCTTTTTGTTGTTTCTCGAGAATGGGAGAACTGGAGAAAAAGAGCAGAAATAGCGGAAGTAATCACGTCTCGCAAGGAAACTGGTGCTGTGTTATGACCTGTCCCAGCCGGGTCGATAATCGAGCGTTTCGTCTGACCGTTTGCTTTCAATGTAGCTTCGACTGGTCGGACAGAGAGAGCGATGTCGTCACAGTCCGCCTGACCTCGTCTAGTGCTGGTGGCTGTGTTAGATCTGAAATGGTAGTCAGTGACTGATTGCAGAAACGGTTGCCTATGCGGAAGGGTGACGAGTGGTGTGGTGGTGCACAAGGGAAACGGAAGAGGCCCACCTGTTAGAAATAACCCCTCTTTTGCTGTACGTCACGTGGGGGGGCAGTTGATCCAACAAAGAGCAGATTGAAACATGTAAACGTACAAGTCTTAAAAGACAGAGGTCTCTCTTTAAATACTCAATGGAATTATTCCCCTCTTACTCAAACGTCATCATACCGCAGCTGTTGTTTGTTGTGGCAACCTTCGTCAACAGCAACGAGTACTGAAAGTGCTGTGGGATTTAAAGTAATCGAGGGGAGCTCGCGGAGTGGCCGACCAGGTAAATAAAATGGGGCTTCATGCGCTAAAGAAGAGCTCAGACCGACTTTACATTTACGACAATGTTGCTTCAGTGACGCCTATTATGGTCATGCTGAGAAGGGTAAAGAAAGCAAAGTGTCGCCGTGCTCGTACAGAACTCATGTAGAGAGCACGTTCGATTCATTTCAAGGGTGTGGTCCGAAATTTACCTCACTCGCACGAATCATGTGACCTTACCTATGAAACCATGCACGTTTACATCTACGGTCGATAAACACAAGATGATATGTGTCTGAAGCGTACCAATGAACTAGCAATATGTAGAAATTATATCACATATGAGGGCGGCTTATAATTTGAGTACCAAGACACTCTTTTTGTCAAAAAACATTAGATGAACATTAGATGAGCCTTTCCATAAACTACCATGTGAAAAAATGAGGCATACCATTCATTGCCTTTATTTCTGCCGCAATTTATACGATGCTGCTGGGAAATACCTGGCACATTTGACATAAACGCGTTAATGGATGACCGAATTATATATATATATATATATATATCGGGACGGCCATCGTTCCTTCCTCGCCTGGCTATCCGTACCAACGCGACCAGAGGTAGCGATGCTTATCCACGCGTTTCTCCTATGGTATCGTTCCTTCCATATTTGATTCCTTAAAACGGTCCGACCAGGGGCGTGAGCGTTTCTATAACAACCTCCGTCGCCTCTCATCTTACGTTCGTTTCTTAGGACTGTTATCGGTCATCATCCTAGCAACGTATACCGTTTGCGCGACCGCTCTGTAACCGTCCTCTCTGTCCTTGCTCCTTCCTGTTATAGAATGAAATAAATACCGAAGTAAATACTCATATTTTGACCACCTTGTGTCTCTACAATATTGTTTCTCGGCACCGCCTTCTTTTACAGAGATCAGCTTTGCTTGAATTATCACCGCTACCTAACGGTAAGATCGTTTTCAACAGCATTTAACAGCATTTAGACCCGCTTTGATTTTTACATTGATATGAGTGCTGCTTTATACGTCGAAGTTGTGCATATCCTTTGTTGCTGGTTTCTGCGTCCCGGAAAGCATCGCCGAGTCCTGCTTGCATTTTCAAATCCGTATTTCCTTTTCTTTCCAGTTGCTTTATTCCTCATGCTATTTGTGATAATCAGTCTAACGCAAACTGCTTTCACAGGCCGCATCGTATTGCTCCATCCCTGATACTGACAACGAGCTGGTCACTACGAATACCACACCATACAGACATCAGCATGGAAAAGCCAAGTGAACAGTCCATTGTGGAGGCGATGAAGGTAATCCTTCCTGACTATTACGCGGATCGCAAAACGCTCTGCTAAACCAAAGTAGTACGACCTAGGTGCCAGCCGTGTTGACGACCTCAAACTAGAGAATGGTCGGAAGGGACACGCTGTCCGTGTCGGAGCTATACACTCTTCAATAGCCAACGTTACGGCTCCGATACCTCCTAGGAAGCCTCAAAATTCTCTCGCAAACAAGTGGTATAGTGCGCTTGCTCCTGCCAAACCTTTGTACACAATCATCTACCATTGAGTCTAATACTAACTCGCCCTAGATGCAATTTCTAAAGGAGAATTTGATGATGATGATGCAGAAGCAGTGAAGGGCTTAGATCGGATTTGCGGTGGGAGGCTCCATGCTCTGAGTAGCAATCAGCAGCCTTTGGCTCAATCTTACCCAAACCATCGCCAGTACAATGAGTATGGGCCTGAGAATACTCAACAAATCGCCAGACCGCGCTAGATCAACAAGTAAATGCTGACCGCCTACAGACTTTCAAATACGTCTTTTGCGCAGCCTGCCAATGGCTTCTATGCCGGACGATTGTCGAGCCATCAAACAGCCCCGTGCCCTGTTAAACCTTCAAGCATGGGGGCCAGATTGCCGGGCCAGTATGCAGCTCCCTATCTTGCCAGAGCTCCAAACATGGGAGTTAGAATGTCGGGCCAGTACGCAGCTCCCAACCCCGTGAGCTTCTCGAACATGGGGGCTGGAGGTCCTGTACAACGACTTGCTCCCGGGCAGGCACAGAGCACTGCAGGCCGCAGACACATACCCGATTATCCAATACGACTTGCACCCGTGCAACGAATTGCTCATCAGAGCCAAGGACCTCAAAAGCCAGCCAGAAGTGCGACGCTTACGTATGGCATCGCCGACAACAAGACGACAGCTCCTCAGGTTCCTTCCCATGACAATCGAAGTAAATCATCGCTTCAAGAATTTGCTGGACAGATCTCTGCGGCGGCAACTGAGCAGCCCCCGATATTATTCACCCCTGATCCTGTACCTTCCGAGTATTTCCACAAAGCCAATATTCGCGTTGCAGACCGCCTCGCAAAAGGAAACGGAGTAGCATACCTTTTGGAGAAATCTCCGACAGACACTGGGACATTTTCTGTCTTTCTCGAAGGACTCAAGTACCTCGAGTATCCTATACTGGACATGGTCAACTATATTGCTAACTCCCAAGAGCTCTGTCCGCAGTTCAAAGAGGCTGATGGTGTGTCTATAATCACCACGTCGCTTGTATTCGGCTGTCAGAGTGAAATTGCTTTGTTCATGAGCAAAGTTCGAGCTCTACAGGAACGGAGACCTGCTGTCCCTGACACCAAATCTGACGGTATTCTGCCAGCAAACGAAATTACCGCCGGAGTTTGTGCTCCACTAGAGCCTTCACGAGCGAATCTGAACAAGATCCCTTGCTCACCTGGGAGTGCCTCTTCAGATTTTTTACCTGAACCAAAACGACAAAGACCTGCAGTCTTTGCTGAAACAAAGACGAAAGAAAGACTTGTAAAGCAATCTGGAGGGACAGCTCAAGGGGAGAAAGCCACAGCCTCAAACGGGACTACTTGGAGCAAATATTTCCCAAGTACTCTGGCAGCAGGAGAATCGCGCGAGTGTGCTGCTTCCAAAGCAGCGGCTCCTAAAAAGGACGTTTGTACTCCAGCTACGAGCAAGACAGCACTTACGACGCATGCCTCAGCTGGTGCTGCCTTAGAGGCTAGCCTCGTTGGTCTTTCCCTGTCCCCACAAGTGCTTCCACCAAGACGTATAACTAGCTCCGGAAGCGTATCGTCATATGCGATGGATCTGGGCACCCTGGACTTCGCTGTCAAAGATTGTGACAACGAACAGTCTCAGAGCGCACAGGTGGACGAAACTGATGACCTGGCACGCGATTTGCAGCAGATCTTACCAACTTTCGAGAAGGTGAGCCAGGCGCTGGTTTCTATCAGCGAAAGCAAAAGAGAACTTGCTGCAAAGAGAGTGTTGCAAAACCTGAAAGGAGCATCTGGCGCAGATGAACTTCTCCGCACGTTGCTCTTGCTATCAGCCAAGTCTGGTGCGGAAGCTTCTCTTGAAACGGTACCGTCGTGCTGCGGTCCAAAGTACTCCCGGAAGAAGCTTCTTCACTTGCGTTCAAGTGCCTGCATCCCGCCGAAATGGGTTTTCCATACCGGCTTTCTCCCTGTCAGACCCCAAAGAAACGCAGAAACCACAATCAAGGCTACAGGAGAAAGCGGTCAGCCACAAAAGACGAAGGAAAATGAGACGGTGACAAATGTGAATGCCGGAACTCAGATGGATAGAGAGCAAGATTCAATGTCTATGACGAGCATTTTGACGGCCCTGGTGGACATCATGAAGACACCTGTATCCATGTTGGACAATTGCGAAAACCCGACAGCTGTGCCTGAAGTCAGTCAGGTGGTGCCATCGACCCCTGTCAAACAGAAGAACACTGTCGGCACTGATCGCGGTAACAGTGTGACGAAAGGCCTGAACAGCTCCAGATGGGCATAAAGGGCCTATTTTGAGAAAGGCGATGGCTGTTTGATACATGTAGATGACAGGTACAACCGGATGGCCGGCGGGCTGTCAACTTCTTGGTGAAGTAAAAAGGGGATAGATGTACCAAATCACGGAGTAGGCGCTATTTGACAGCTGTCCGTTGTGCTCTGGACACACGACTTGAAATTTGTTTGCCATATCTGCCATGTATACTCGGTACGTCGTTCCTGTTCTCCTATAACCCACCGGCCTTGTTTTTGAAGGCTTGTTTACCGGTGGAGGGGGTTTATTAGAATCCGAGGCAGACAGACAGAGAGATAAGGTTAATGATATTTGGCAAATATTTCCATGGTATTGTGTAATGCAGTTCGTTATGACAACCCCAAACGCTCTCCGATCCCAAATTCCTAACCGGTACCGTAGAGCGGCACTTCTCTCATGATAAGCCCAAAGAAAGCATGACAGATAATGAATTACTTCGCGTACAGCTCATCTTTGAAGGGTCCTATCACCTATTATTTATATCAACCGCCCCTTCCTTCTCAGCGGGTGGGCTGAGGTAGTCTCCCTCCTCGGCAGCTTCATACTCGGCGATTAGGTCAGCCACGACCTCCCTGGCTTCATCAAACTCGTTTAAATTGTCGGAAAATGGGGCAGTCTTTCTGTATGCATCGATAAAGGCATTTCGCTTTCGCATGCCGTCGTACTGGCGGACGATGCGTTTGAAGAGCTGGATGGGATGAGCAAATCTACAACGAAGAGGTGAAGCACGGGGGGGATAATCATGCGACATACCGTGGCTATGCTTGTGTGGTTGGCCAGCATCAGTCCGCTCACGCGGTGGCTCATGGGGACATAGGGGCTGCGCTTGGTCAAAGCGACCTGGATGCTGGCCGGTCCCCAGGGAATGAAGGTGGCCAGGCGGCGCTCGCGGATACGCAGCAAGCTTTTGTGGACGTCGGTGGGGTCGACTTCGCCCTGGATGACGTTGAGGATGGAGATGTAGCAGCTCTTGCGGCTGGCCTTGCCACCAAAGGTGGTAGACACCATGCGGTTCTTGGGCTGCAGCAGACGGCGCATGACGTCGAGCACGGTGGTCTTGCGGACGGTCTTTGCCTGTTCGACCTGGTCGCCGGTGAAGGGGGTGTAGGCAGTCATGAGGAAGTGGGAGCGAGGGGTTGGGATGAGCGAGGCCAAAATGCTGACAAGGTCGTTGTGCATGTAGCTGGGGTATCGGAGGGTGGTGGTGCTGGCTGACATGACGGTGGAGACCAGCTGGTTGGTCTGCTGGAAGGACGGCTCCTGGACATGCAGACGATCGGCGGCGATGTGGGACAGGGCGCCATTGTCGAGGACGACGACGGAGTCGGCATTCTGGACGAGGCGGCGCATGGCGAGAATGCTGTTGTAGGGATGGACGACGACGTCACCGGCGCTGCTGGTGTCGGGGAAGACGGAGTAGGTCTGGATGACCTTTTTTGGGGGAATCGGTCGTTGAGGCGCTCGAGCAGGAAAGAGCCGAGACCGGAGCCGGTTCCACCAGCGATGGAGTGCAGCAGCATGAAGCCCTCGAGCGAGTCGCTGCCGTCAGCCTCGCGGTCAATCATCTCCATGATCTCCTCGTGGACGGACTCGCCGGTCTGGTAGCCATCGCCCCAGTTGTTGCCGGCGCCGATGCCGTTCTTGCCAATGAAGAAGTTCTCCGGGTTGTAGATGTTCTTGTAGGGGCCGGTCTGGATGCCGTTGATCACGCGCGGCTCCAGGTCGATCAGGATGGCCCGTGGAATGTAGCGGGTGTCGTCGCTCTGATAATAGAAGACATCTTTGCGGTCGCCGCCCTCGGTGGCAAACTCCTCGAGGTTGCCGTCCTGGCTGATGCCGTGCTCCTGACACAGCTGCTGCCAGAACTGACTGCCAACTGAGAGGAGTCAGCGATGGGACATGCAAATATGGGCCATGGAAAGATACGCACTGCTGTTGCCGCATTGGCCGGCCTGGATGGTGATGATTTCTCTGGCCAGGTGTCAGCGCGGGTGGCTTCATGAAGAGGATCCGGTCCACGGTACTGGCTTCCTACCTAGGCATGGCGACTCGACATATGAGGGCGATGGGTTGATGCGACGACGGCGGGCTCGACGACTTCACCGCAGTTGAACGACGCGTCGACCTTTCGCGGCTGCCAGACGCGTGTGGAGCAGATACAAGATACCCCTCTATCGCGTGTTATCTGCACGTGCGACGACGACGGGCTCACCGTCAAATATCACGTTAGTAAGATTGTCGGCGTCCTCGCTACTGTAGAATACGAGTGGATGGCGTATTGGGAGTCGTATAGCTGTGAATTTCTATTTCTATCTATAGGTCAATAAGAAAGACACAGGCCTGTTCTGGGAGACACCGGCCGAAAACGGAAAGGGCGAGGCGGAACTCTGCAGCGCTGGAGCTCGCTGGTATTACATAGTAATATGGGTTGACCATCACTAGTGGACCTGGCCTAATTTCCAGGTCTCCAGCAATGTAGCCCCCAAAGCCATGCTGGATAAAACAACAATACCCCTTGCCAGGACATTGCTCGACCTCACCGTCCCGGTGACCGCCAGACGAGTAAAGACGTCGATCTTCCCGGATCTCTGCTACAGCTCGCGGGCCTTTTTCTCTCTGACTGCCGTGCTTTCAACCGGGGCTCAGAGAAAGGCCGAGAAAAACGATAATACGGAACGACTCGAAAGCGGCTGCACAACACTCGACCGCTCCAGAACATCACTCCTAGCACTGCAGAGTTCGTGGAAAGTGGTATACCGCCTTTTGGCCTTGCCTTCTGTAGGCCGGGGTGTTCCCCGTGAGTTCAGTCCTTGGGCATCTCCTTGTCTCTGCATGTCCTTGTTCTTTTCAAACGGTCTTGCTGATGAGCGTAGCTCTACGTCTTCTGCATCAGGATGGGAACCGCTGCGGAGGATGGCTCCCGGCTGTCGTCGAATTCGGCGGCGAAAGACACAGACCTGCCATCGATACCCGAAGCGCCCTCTGCCGAAGCCAAAGCAACCAGCGCGGGAAACGGGCCAGCCAATGGGGCCTCCTACAACAGCGAGGCCAGCGACGCCGATGGAGCACCGACAATGAAGAGATTATCTTTTGCGATGAGACTTCCCAGCCTTCGGTTTGAGGCGGAGGACTATCTAACTGGCGGATTTGCACACAGCATGGCGGTGTCCGCGGGTGACGAGGCTGCAGGCGGGACTGCTTCGCCAGGTGGCATGTCTCCCGGAATATCGCCAGGAGCCATTGCCGGACGGGCAGACGGCATGACGACGCCACAGATCCTAGAAGAGGGCGAGCTGATGGAGTCGCCACCGGGGACACCAGGGCTGTCTGCCCGGCGAAGTGTGCAGTTCTCGGGACCGGATATCGTGGTGGACGCGCCATTTGGCTCACACTCGCGGCAGAACTCGCTGGACGCGGGCAATCCGTCGAGCTCGCGATCACGGGCGTTTATGGCCAAGCTGAAAGCACTGGCGGTGCAGGGAGGGCTGCCATCGCCTCGGTCGCCGGGGACAGGATCGACGGGTATGGCAGCCGACACGGCATACTCGTCGGCCACGGGATCACCAACGATGGCCCGCGGAAGCCGTCGGGCGCGGAGCCTGCAGGAAGAGGGCAGCGACGAGGATGCGGACGCGGAAGAGACGGCGGATGAGGACACAACGGAAGAGACAGCGGCGCAGTCGAAGAAGCGGAGACGACGGACACACTACCGGCCACCACCGCAGCGGCTGTCGACCAGCGGGGCGCTGTCGGTGGGCGGGATTGCGACGGAGCCAGGGACGCCGGTGCCGACGAGCAACCGTCTGCAGGCGCTGCTGCAGCGACGGGCAACGATGCCAGATGTAGCACAGCACCGCGGCGGACTGTCGGAGGGCGAGGGTCGCGACCAGCTGGACCGACAGCACAACTGGCGGCGCGGCAGCATGTGGATGGGGCGGTCGGAGGAGCACGAGGAGGCAGACAGCCAGGGCGGCGGACGGACGGTCGGCCACTTGCGACGGCGAACAGCGTTTGGCGGCGGGGCATCGGACAACGAGGCGGCACTGACGTCGCGACGGACGTTCTTCGCGGGCGGCGAGAAAGCGACGCTGTACGGAGCGCAAAAGTGGCGGCAGGTGAAGAACACGTGGAAGTTTCTGCGGCAGAAGCGGGAGGACCGGTTCGACTACCTCAAGTCAGCGGAGCTGATGGCGGAACTGCGAGCAGGAGCACCGGCAGTGCTGATGCTGGCGAGCATGATCCAGCGCGACGAGCACGGCAACAAGCGAATCCCGGTGCTTCTGGAGCAGCTGCGGCTGCACGTCAGCGACAGCACACCGATGCAGGACGGCGACAGCGAGCGACACTGGCTCTTCACGATCGATCTGGAGTACGGCAGTGGACCCAGTCGGATGAAGTGGACGATCAAGCGGACGATCCGCGAGATCCTGGAGCTGCACTGGAAGTACAAGCTGGCGCTGCGCAACGACAAGTACCTGCACACGGTGCTGCCGGTGGGCTCACGGCCGAAGCAGCCGCGGTTTCCGGTGTCGGTGTTTCCGTACGTGCGTGGGCTGCGTGGGCTGGAGATGGACGACGAGGACGACGCGGGCAGCCTGCACGGCGAAGACGATGCGGCGGATGGAGCAGCGGATGGAGCAGGAAACGGGGCGACAGACGGGCCGGCAGACAGAGGCAACGCAACAGCCGGCGAGATGACGGCTGGCGAAGGCACGGCGACTGATGTGGAGGGCGGCGGTGGGATGCGGCAGCGCCGAAGGACACGGATGACAGTCCTAGGCATGAGTCGGCGATCGTCGGCAGTGATCGGAGCGGACGGCAGCGGACTCAACGCGGACGGACAGGCGGCACAGGACGAGGCGGCATTGCGACGCAAATACGTGGATCGACAACAGCGGGTGCTGGGAAAGTACCTCACGGAGATGATCCACTGGCTAATCTTCCGGGCAGACAGCAACCGGCTCTGCCGTTTCTTGGAGCTGTCGGCACTAGGAGTGCGGCTGGCGGCTGAGGGCAGCTACCACGGCAAGGAGTGCTTTCTGCACATCCAGTCGTCCAAGGGGCTAGACTTTCGGCGGGTGCTGACGCCCGGCAAAGTGATCGAGCGGCACAGCCGCAAGTGGTTTCTGGTGCGGCAGAGCTATATTGTGTGTGTGGAATCGCCAGAGAACATGAATATTTACGACGTGTATCTGGTGGACCCCAAGTTCCTGATCGTGTCGAAGAACGCGAAGCGGAAGCAGGCCGAGGCGGCGGCAGCGGAGAAGGACCGGACTCGGAAGGCCAAGAAGGCCAAGGCCAAGGGCACGGGCACGGAGCTGGACCTGACGAGCGAGATGCTGACATCGAAGCACCACACGATCAAGATCACGACGTCGGAGCGCAAGGTGAAGCTGTGGGCGCGCAACCAGCATCTGATCGGGCAGTTTGAGGACTCGATCGTGGACATGCTCAAGCAGACGGCATGGCACCAGCGCCACCGATTCGACAGCTTCGCGCCGGTGCGCGACGGGGTGTTTGCGCAGTGGCTCGTAGACGGGCGCGACTACATGTGGAACGTATCGCGAGCGATCGCGATGGCCAAGGACGTGATCTACATCCACGACTGGTGGCTGAGCCCGGAGCTGTACATGCGGCGGCCAGCGGCAATCAGCCAGAAGTGGCGGTTGGACCGGTTGCTGCAGCGCAAGGCGGGCGAGGGCGTCAAGATCTTTGTGATCATCTACCGCAACGTGGAGGCGGCGGTGCCGATCGACTCAGAGTACACCAAGTTCTCGCTGCTGAACCTGCACCCGAACATTTTTGTGCAGCGGTCGCCGAACCAGTTCAAGAAGAACCAGTTCTTCTTTGCGCACCACGAAAAGATCTGTGTGGTGGACCACGACGTGGCCTTTCTAGGCGGCATCGACCTCTGCTTCGGGCGATGGGACAGCCCGCAACACACGCTGGTGGACGACAAGCCGACCGGATTCGAGGCCGCGATGGATGGGTTGCCCAAGGACGCAGACCACTGTCAGCTGTGGCCGGGAAAGGACTACTCGAATCCGCGCGTGCAGGACTTCTTCAGCCTGCGCGAGCCATACAAGGAGATGTACGACCGGACACGGGTGCCGCGGATGCCATGGCACGACGTGGGCATGCAGGTGGTGGGCCAGCCGGCGCGTGACCTGACACGACACTTTGTGCAGCGGTGGAACTATGTGCGGCGTGGACGCAAGCCGACGCGGCCGACGCCATTTCTGCTGCCGCCACCCGACTTCCGACGCGAGGATCTGGAGGGCCTCGGGCTCTCGGGCACGTGCGAGGTGCAGATCCTGCGGTCGGCGTCGGCCTGGTCGCTGGGCGTGATGGACGTGGAGTGCAGCATCCAGACGGCGTACATCAGCATGATCGAGGAATCGGATCACTTTGTGTACATGGAAAACCAGTTCTTCATCACGAGCACGGAGACGCTCAACGTCAAGATTGTCAACCGCATCGGCGACGCGCTGGTCGAGCGGATCGAGCGGGCACATCGCAACGACGAGGACTGGCGCTGCGTCATCATCATCCCGCTGATGCCGGGCTTCGAGGCGTCAGTGGCCGACCAGGAGGGCACGAGTGTGCGGCTGATTCTGCAGTGCCAGTATCGGAGCATCAGCCGGGGCGAGAACAGCATCTTTGGCCGTCTGCGGGCGGCCGGCATCGAGCCAGAGGACTACATCCAGTTCTTCAGCCTGCGGCAGTGGGGGCGCATCAACAACAAGAGCGTGTTGACGACGGAGCAGCTATACATCCACGCCAAGGCCATTATTGTGGATGACCGCGTGGCGCTGATCGGGTCGGCCAACATCAACGAGCGGTCGCTTCTGGGCGACCGCGACTCGGAGACGGCGGCCATTGTGCGTGACCGCGACATGATCTCGTCCACGATGGGTGGCGAGCCGTACCTGGTCGGCCGGTTTGCCCACACGCTGCGCATGCGTCTGATGCAGGAGCATCTTGGCCTGGACACGGATGCCATTATGGAGGAGGATCGCCAGCGCGAGGCCGAGTTTACGGCCGACATGGACCAGATGTATGGGAGTGGCGAGGGTGAGGATGAGGGTGAGGGTGGGGGCGAAGGCGACGACGAGGGCGGCTATCGGGACGTGGAAGACAGCGACGACGGCGACGTGGATCCGGGGCAGAGCAGCACGGCGGCAGCGCGGGCGAGCGAGCAGGTGCGGGCGGCACGGATGAGCGCGCAGGCGAGGCTGAGCGGACTGAGCGGGCTGAGCAGACTGAGCGGACTGCAGCGGTACAGCGTTAACGGCGCGGTCGACTACGGCGAGCTCGCACGCAACATCCGGCTGGCGCTGTCGGGTGAGGACGACGACGACGAGGAAGGCGAGTCTGAGGCAGCCGAGATGCAGAGAAAACAGACGCATGACGTCGAAGGGGGGGGTGAGGACCGATGGTCGGCAGCGAGAAGCATCGGGGGAGATTTGCTGCGAGACTCGACGGTTGTGGATGGTCGAGAGGTGTTGGTAGGAGAGGGAGAGGGAGAGGGAGAGGGAAGGGAGAAAGGGAAAGGAAAAGAGAAAGAGGAGGAGAAAGAGGAGAGGGAGGACGAGACAGAGATGTGGCAAAGCGATGGAGAAGCCGAAATGCAGGCAAACGACCATGTTCAGCAAAAGGAACCCCAGGAAAACGAAGCAAACGAAGCGCAGCAAAACGAACCCCCGTCGACCTGTCCGCTGGCCTTTGACATCCGACTGGCACAAATCACAAAGGAGTGCATGCGAGACCCAATCGACGGGGCCTTTTACGACGACGTGTGGGCGCGCGTGGCCGAGAACAATACCAAGATTTACCGGCGCGTGTTCCGCTGCATGCCCGATTCCGAAGCCACCAACTGGCACGAGTTCCAGAACTTTACGGCCTACAACCTGCGCTTCCAGGAAAGCATGGAGAACCGGAAGAAAAACACGACGGCCGAGGCCGAGGGCGGGAGCCGTCCGAGTGTCAGCCGGGGCAGCCATCGGGGGCGGTGGTGGTGCCGGAGCCGGCATCAGCGTTTCGGCCGCGATGGCAGACGGCGTCGGCGAAGAGGCACAAGCAGCCAAGCCGGAGATGGAGAAGGCGGCAGCAATGGAGGATGTGCTGAAGCACCGGCCGTCACGCGACGAGTCCTCCGTCCTAGAGGTGCCGAACGAGAAGGACAAGGGGGAGAAGGGCACCGAGCGAAGAGCGACTTTTTCGACACCCAAAATCAGCTACGATGCAGCAGATGGAAATGGAAGCGGAAACGCCAGTGGAAACGCCAACGCCAACACCAACACCAACACCAATCCCAACCTCCTCAACGCCGGCTTCGCGCCCACATTCGGATCGGTCAAGCGACGAAAGCGGGCGACGACGCGCAGCAGTCGGCGTGGACTGCATGGCGTCACAGAAGAGCTGCTGTCCAAGGAAGACGCCGAGACGCTGCTGCAGCTGGTGCAGGGCCACTTGGTGCAGTTTCCGTACGACTGGCTCAGCGTGGAGGAGAGCAACGGCAACTGGCTCTACCAGGTCGACCAGGTGGCGCCGCTGCAGATTTAGTAAGTCCTGGAATGCGAGCTGGCCGAGTTGGACGAGATGCTGACGATTTCCAGTAATTAAACTACGAGCGTTGGACGACAAGACCAGATCACGTGACCGCACAGCATGGCGTATGGGTCTCTGCTTATTACCTTCTTTACTTCTTTTGGCGAAAAGCATAATACGGCGAGGACGCAGTTTGGTATTTACAGGCGACGATAGAATGCATATCTTGCTTTTCTTGCGAGCTGAGGCAAAAACATGGTGATCACCCCACACCTCATCTGGACGCCTCAGAAAGCACGACTGTTCAATCCTCAGCAAAGCCGCCGTGCAACCGGAATACAGACGAGGGCCGGGCAACCGTGGCACGCTCGTATTCCGGCGTCGTGCACATGCCGTCGTAGTCTCACAAGCATGCAGCTGCTCGTCGACCGTCGTATTCCGTCCGTATAAGAGCCGCCTGTTTTCTGTCCGCACTCGCAACATAGGCCTTCCCACCGCACTCCTTCTTACCACGCGCACCACTACCATGAAGTCCAGCTCTGTCTTCGTCTCGGCCGCTCTTCTGGCCGCCTCGGCCACGGCCCAGACCACCTCTGCCTGTGCTGCCGAGAATATTGTGACGGCCTGTCTGAGCACCGAGAATGCCCAGCTGGCCAGCTGCGGCACCAGCGATTGGGACTGCATGTGCAATGCCTATGTGAACATCATCACGTGAGTACCTCAACCACAACGCACCACCTTCACCCTCCACTGACAGCCCAGCTGCTACAACAACTGCCCTGACGACACTGCTCGCAACTCTGCCGTCGGCCAAAAGGAACTATACTGCAGCTACGCCAGCGCGTATCCGTCGGCTGAGTCCACCGTCAAGATCACCGGCACGGCCACCGGCACGGCCGCCGTCACCACCACTGCTCACACAACTACGGCTACCACCGCTCACACAACCACTTCTTCCTCTTCCTCTGTCTTCGTCGCCACCGCCTTCGCTGCCGCTGCCACCGGTGCCGCTGCTGACCACTCTCTCCACGCCGGCGGACTGTTCGCTGCCCTCGTCGGCGCTGTCGCCGCTCTGGTCTAAGCGGGCAAGCAGAACGGGACGGGAAAAAGAGCATGGTTGATGGAGAAAAAGGGGACGGACGTGTCTTATATAACTTTCTACTTACATTTTTTTTACGCTTTGTAATACCAATGTCACGTGCATTACTCCAGCACTAGCTTCGCACAATCAAGAAGATGGACACTTCAATTCTCAGCTTCATAGCCGGCCGTCTGCTGCTCTGGTCTTCGGGCTTCAGTATGTTCGGATTCAAATATGTACATCGAGAAAAGCCGTCGGTCCAGCGGATCGCTAGACAACAAGAGGAGCTGCCCAAATGCAGGCAGACTGCCGCACTACTCCTACACAGAACGTATCCATACAATTTCTGTAGCTTCTCTCCATCCAAACACAACGCAGTAGCATCAACGCACCGCTGACCACAACCGAGACCGCCGCCATGCTTAAGCCAAAACCCGCAACCACGACCTGCGTTGCCACCGGTAAAAAAAAATAGTCTCTTCCCCAGGCCATCTTTTCTCGCTCTAATTTGCCGACCAAGACAGGAAAAAAGAAAAGGCGTCATCATAAAACATGAACATTCTCTTGGTAATAAAAGTGTAGGTAAGTAGGACTTGTGCGCATTAAAGATGTTAGGAGGGAAAGGAGGGTGAGAGAGTGTGTGTGAGGTAGAAGAGAATAAGAGAGCAAGATGAGAGGCGGAAGGAGGGAAAAAGTAAGTTCTTGGTGTGGCTTGCTGGACGAGAAGGAACACAAAAGACGCGGCCTGAGCCTGTGCCTCTTATTGTGGCTGCGGGTCGACATTGTCTGTCCCTGTCACCGGGCTGACAAAGGCGACATGCTTAGCCTCGTCCTTCTTCAGCTTCATCGCCGAAGCAGACGCGGCACTGACCCGATGATGGCGCAGCGGCCGCGGCGTCTCGTGTGCCTGGTCCTCGTCCTCGTCCATGTTGATCTCGGCAACGTCCGACATCGACTCCAGGTCCGTGTCGCTAGTCTCGGACGCCGATCCGTCGTCAGAATCATCATACTCGCCATCGTCACTAACAAGCGACGGCGCGTTGTTGCTCACACTCGTGTTGGGGCTCAGGTCCACGTCCATCTCGTCATCGTCGTAGATCCGCCCAACGGCCGTGTGTTTCACCGTCTTGTTGTCAAAGTCCATCGACGTACATACGCTGGCCGAGCCAAACGACATCTGCGACGACACGCTCTTGCTGCTGCTACGTCGCGAGGACGAGTCGTCCGAGACGCCCGCGTCCATGCTGCTCGCGAACGACACCGTAGCCTTTGCCTGTCTGGCCGGCATGCGCTTAGCAGCAGCTGCTGGAACTGGCGTCGCCGTGACTGCCGACGATGGCTCCGGCGTGAGCTCGTCGCCCACGTCGCCCGTCCACCCGAACTCATCGTCCAGGTCCATCACCTCCTTGGCATCGTCCACACACGCCTGCAGGTTGCCCGAAAGCTTCTTCTCCTGCATGAACCGAGACAGGAACGGCGTCTTGTCCGAGCCTACAAAGGACGCAGCAGCAGCAGAAGCAGCAGCATGGCCAGCCTTGCTCTTGGTCGACTCGCTCTTCGCCGGTACAGCACTCGATGTGCACTGCTTGAACGACTCTTCGATGTGGCGGAGAAGCGAGTTGACCGCATCGGCATCACTGCGCGCCAGAGGATAGACGTGACCGGGCACAGCGCTGCTGTAAGCATTCGGCGTATAGGACGGACCAGGCATGGCTAGACTAGCCACCACAGCAGCAGTAGCAGCAGCTTGGGCAGCAGCCGAGGCAGTCGCCGATGCTGTGACAAAAGACGGTGTGGCAGTCGATGGTGAAGAGTGTGGGGTAGCGACGCCAGCTCCACTTGCAGACTTGGGCCCCGAACCGGCCTGAGGATCGCTCTTCTTCGGCGGCGGAGCGTCGGCGTCAATGGGGTGGCCACAGTGCACGGCAGCCTCCTCATGGCTCTTGAAGTCGCGCTTGTGAGCAATACGGCAGTGATTGATGAACCCCTGAGTGCTGGAAAAGTTCTCCCGATGGCAGTCGATGCAGACCAGCTTCACAACCTTGCCGTCGGCCCGCTTCAGCACGCAAGGGCCAGCCTTGTCCTTGGGCTGCGGATATCCGTTCGACAGAGCGTGCAGCTTCTGGCCGGCTAAGCCACGCATCGGACGTCCTCTGCTGCTATCGGGAAGGCTATTCCGCGTCGCCCGCGCTTCTGCCGTTGCGAAGCCCTTGGACCGCGCTGAGGGTGCAACACCCGGCCAGTTGGGCAGCGGCCCATCGAACACCGGATCGGGAATGAGCCACTTGGCGTAGTGTCGTGCGTACGGACCGTCAACAACCCCAAACGGAGCAGCCCACTTTGCCACCGCAGCGCCGGGTCGTGGCCGTACGGCGGTGCCGCGACCAGTGGCAATATCCAGCATCTGTTCCGGCGTTGGGCACGCGGTGGGATACGGGATCAGGTGACAGCGTCGCAGTTGCTCCAAGGCTACCTGACACTTGGCCATCTCCTGTTCGATCAACCGCAACTCCTTGTGCTTCATCAGGATCTCGAAGCCGAACTGGTATTGCACCACGTCCTTGACGCTTTCCATCGCAGCCGCATCAGCCACAGGCAGCGGCGCCGGGGAAGACAGCACGGGTGATGAGGGCGGTGACGCGATATATGACGCCTTGTCGCCTGTGCAGGCATCGTGGCTGTCGCATTTTATGCGCTTCACAGGCGCAAACCCGAGCTGCAGAGAGTCATGTACGGAAGTGGGTGATGGCGGAAGCGCGCCCGCTGTTGACGGCCGCTTGCGCTTGAGCTGGTTTGACGCGCCACACGGCACAGAGCCGTGAAGGGCGTTCTGCACAGAACCAAAGCAGTCGCCCGACATGAGTGGTGGTTGAAGCTGTTGTTCTGGTTCCACAGTGCGGTCACTTCCCCGAGATTCGGTAGTCCAGAAACGAAACATCACCAAGCAGCACGCCAGGATCCGATGGCGCGCACGGAGCTGAAAGAGCGGAAAGAAGAAAGTGTATTAAAAAGCGAATAGACGGGAGAAGCGTGGCGGGCGGTGAAGATATGCAGGAGAGACGCAGAAACGAGGCGAAAGAGGGAGAGTTGACAGTGTGGCTTTGCCGAGTCGCAAAGAGAGTTGTCGCAAGGCAGCCGCGTGTGTGGTGAGACAGATGCGCCACGGTACGATGGGGTGGGAGAGGAAGGAAGGCGAGGGAAATCGAGCAAGGGAGGAAGGTGCTCCGGGCGTTGGGTTGGAGTGGGGCCCCCAAGTCAGGCAGCAAGCGGTGATTGGCGGTAGGGGCGAGCTGACGTAAGGAACCGGCACAGAAGGTACGGGGTGCTTCGTATTTGCGGGAGCCTGGATGACGAGTGGGGCGCTTCGGGTTTTGCAGGGATTCGGTGAAGGGTGGTCGCTAATGTAGGCAAAAGGGAGCGCGCTACTTGTCCTTGCAGGCGGGCGGATTTAAAGGGGTAAGGCGGCCGGACAGGAGGTTTTTGCAGACCCAACCGAAACTGGGCAGCAGCGCAGCGAAGCAGTAGTGAGACCCAAAAGGAGGCGAAGCAGAAAGTCGGGGGTCAGAGGAAGCGAAAGGAACCTCCGGGATCTGAGCACAGGAGGCGGTCTCTCGCGTGAGTCGAGACGAGCAGAGGCAACAGAGAGAAGAGCGCGAAAACTAGTAAAAGCCTCGACGCGAAGGTGACAGAAAGAGAGAAGACCAACTAAATTCTGGATGGCGGACACGGAGAAGAGGCTTTGTTGCGGTGGGAAAAGTCGCCGTGTTTTGCGACTGTTGGGAGAGAGAGAGAATGGGAAAGAGAAGATATCGCGAGAGGAGAGAAAAGGGGGTGGGTGTTTGTTGTTTTGGTCGAAGGTTTTGGTCGAAGGAAGGAGCAGGTGGGAACCGCAACTCAGTGCAAGGAAGGGATACGAGTACTGGGGCGGGCCTGGGCGGATGCTCTCTGTATCGCAGCTCGCAGGAGCGGTGGAAATGGGAGGGAAAGAGGCGAAACGGGGCGTGAGATGGTAGGAAAGAAGGAGCATGATTGCCCAGAGACGCAAGGGAGGGCGTGGCCTTAGCGAGCTGGGTGGAGTGCTGCTCTGAATGGTGTGTCGGGGCGTCCCAAATATGCACTAAAGCGGAGCTTGTGGAGGGCGGATTTGCCTCTTAGCGGCTTCGAGTGGGGTGAATGTTTGCATTGTCGATGAATAGGAATGCGGCCGGCCTTTGACGGCTCTGGCGAGTGGACACTGTGGCAGCAAGAGCGGTCGGTCCTGTGCGATTATGCGAGAGAGAGAGCCGCCTGCCACTTGGCGACTTGTGCCCAGAGACAAAAGAAGCAAGAAGCAGCAGCACTTTCCGGCAAGACACTGTGAGCGATCACGGCCTTGGTCCGGCCGAGGCGAAAGAAAGAGCACGGAGTACAACATACGAGTGCGAATTGCGCCAAGCTGTCCGCATTTGTAGCAGGTACGACATCGTTGCCGAGGTTGGGCGCTTGTGACAGGTCCTGTCCGCGGAGTACAGCGGGTTGCTTAGTAGCAGCTCCAGTAGCTGATCAGTAGCGCTGCGCTAGAATCATTTAAGATACAGCGCTGGCTCGGAGCCAAAAATGCGCGGTTTGAGTGTCCAGACTCGCTGCAACTTACACATGTACTCCGTACATCGCACTTGCCTTTGCTTATCTAGCAATGAGGCAGAGTCGCTTGGTTGCTCGTGCTCCTCTTAATCTATCTCCTACATGCCGGCAGCAGCGCTTCAGACAGTCATGTAAACTTACGAGCAGTTCTGCAATTCCACTGAGCGAACAATATACAACCCGGCACACACGGAGCAGTCATATCTCTACTCATATGTATCTTAAGATACATCGTATCGTGACCGTGGTCCCTATCTGCCGACCCCTGCTTCAAAGCGACAGGGGTGCGTCCCTAGGCTTGAGTTTGCGATCGACATACGACGTGAGAACCAACTGCATGCAGCAGCACCGTGTTTGGCAGCGAATATTAGACATATCTAGCAAACGGAAGGCACTTCTGGTTATGCCGTCAGACTTGTCGCCTCGATGCATCAAATGAGTACGACGTACGTACGAGTACATGCTCGTAGGCGTATCTCTCTGTAGCTTAAGATAAGTTCGAGCTGCATACGTAAGATAACGGGACCGTTCGTCTCTTAGCGCGAGTCTGTATTAGAGGCACACGAAAACACGCCCAGCTTTTGCGCCATATTTACGCCACCAGCTGTGACGAATCTCCTTCGTCGTACTCCGTATTTCGTGACGAAACGAAAAGTTGCCCCCTCCCTACAAAATGTAACCACCGGCTTTATCAGGCCTTCTCTTCCACACTCCTCTGCCCAGGCGAAGGCATCTGACTTGTGCGCGACAACCAAACTATTTGTGAAATTGGCACGTGCACGGGCCACGGCTGATGCAGGAGAACAAAGCTCTAGAAACCGGCCAGCAGACGCGCTCTGCTAATGATTGGCCAGAATATGTCCATGCGTTTGTGGGGGAAGGACCAGTCACTTTTTTCAGAAAGGAAAATAAAAATTCGATGCAAATCCGGAAGCACAGCCCGAGCATGAAACACGCACGTCCAAACGCTCTTGAGTGACTCTTTGAGTGACTCTAAGTCCCTGCTTCGATGTTGATAGTATCAAGGCCGTACCTTTGAAGATACTATCCGTCGAGTTCAGCCGCCTGTCTCGTGCCCGCGGCCTGCGTTTCCCGTCTCTAACATTGCTTCGATCTCGGACGTTGAGCCCACGATAAAGCCCACCACACAGCCTCGCCCGCTGATTGGCAGGACACGTGCTACCATGTCGGGCAACAAGCGTGCGGCTGTCACGGCGACTAACAAGGCGACTACAAAGAAGGCGAAGCAAATTTCAGCCGCAGCAACGAAGTCATCAGCACAAGGCAACAAGGCAGCTCGAAATGTACCCTCCTCTGCCACGACGCCCGACAAGCGAAAACGGACTGCGCCCTCCACGGACGGGCCAGCGAGCAGCAAAACGCAAAAGACAAAAAGCCTCCTTGCTGCTACCTCTGCTGTCTCTTCGAAAAATGCTACGGTTGTGCCTGCAACCCCAGGCATGAGGGTGGCTACTTCCGGAGCATCACTTGAAGCTGTACCAAACACTGCGAGCCAGGACGAGCATAGTCAGGACGAGCATGTGGTGCCAAAAGTGCTCTTTCAGCAAGCAAAAGACGGGCGTGGTGCCGCTCCATCCGGACAGAAAACCCCAAGCAAGTCGAAGGCGCCCAAAAAGGCGAGTCAGCAGCAGCAGCAGCCTACTTTGCCGTTAGAGCCGCACGCTGCCGTTCTGGCGGACTTGCGGCCGCGGCATGACGTTCTCGTGCTGTCTGTGCTGTCCTCTTCGAAGATGGAAAAGCGAATTGCCTCCGTCCTGAGCCACTTGGGCAAGCCATCCTTGGCAACTCCGCCCACTCCACTAGGTATTGTCTTGCTACATGCGCGATCCGCCGATTCTGGCAAGCTGTTATCGGTTGCCGAGATCGCCAAGCGTCGCATACGTGAGGGCTTTTACCGAGAGGGTGTGCAGAGCGAGGACCACACGACAGCCCTCGCATGGTACCAGTATAATCGGCTGTATGACGTTCAGACGGAAGTGAAGGAGGGCCACTCAAACGAAGAGGAGGACGAGAACGAGGACGAGGACGGCTTCCAGCCCATGCCCCAACAATTTCGAGCAGCCATTGGCGATGCGACTGCAAAGCAGACGGTCACAAAAACGTACATGTCCATCATCCTCTCTCGAGTCGCCCTGCCAGAGCTGCTCAAACATCCCGATATCACATGTCAGGCAAGCGCCGATCCGGTCGAGCGAGAATACCAGAGCTGGATGATTCCAGGAGCTTGAATCTTTTGAAGTGTACGGGGCATGCATAACCCGACAAAATAGACTGAAGCTTGCAAATGATGATACCCGATATCCGTAACCCAATACACATGCGTCAATCAACACGAAATGAAGACAACATCCCATACTGGCTCTATGGCTCCCGCGTTTACTGTAAGACAAATGTACCACGTTCTATTTCACATTTCTGCACAAAGAATTACTATTCAAGATAGTTTTACCCAACCACTGCATGCTTCCAAACAATGCATCCAAAATCTCTTCATATACAGACACACCCGCAGCTCATATTTCTAACGCATGTCTGAAGCTGTATAGCCTTGTCTTTCTACCCTCCTTTTTCTTTTTTCAATTGTGTAATGTGTAGATTAGAGGTAAGATGATTGCGAAACCTAGTTGGCGCAGGTGCACCCACAGATTGGCCAGACAAGTGTACCACTATATTATCTGAGGTGTGGTAACCAGACAAAGAAGAACGGTCAGATGACGGCACTATGGCCACTTCTGCTCCTTCACGGGCTGCCTTCGCTGGGCGTTGACGAGTAGGCGATCCGCAGGACAAAGTTGACTACGATGGCCAGGACGAGGATAATAGCGAGAAAGGTTGGACCGAAACGGTCGTCGAAGCCTGCCTGACCGCGCCGCCGTATGGATTTGGCACGCCAGTGGTATGTGAACAGGGCGTATAGCATGGTGATGAGGGCCACGCCAGTGAAGAGAAAGGCCGAGATGAAGGCCGGCCGGTCGCCGAAATTGAGCATGCCAATCGCGAGGGCGCCGAGGATGACGGTGAAATTCATCCATGAGAGGAACGTGCGCTCGTTGGCAAAGAAAACCTTGGGCTCGACACGCGTCGGCAGAGCGATGCGCTTGCCTGAGACAGAAAGAAGCAAGGTCAGCATGATGCGCCGGTCAATCGCCGATCAGGGAGACCTCGGGAGACCGCTCCAAAAAAACATACCCTGAGACGTCTGCAGCAGCGGCTGGCTCGACATGATGACTGGGGGAGGAAGAGGTGGTGGAGAGTAACAAAATAACCCAGGAGACTGAACCCAACGATATCACCCAAAAAATAGCAGTCGGTTCAGATCGTAAAAATTTTCCGACGCGCAGAGTTTGAAAAACAGAAAACGAAGAGATAGGATTCAAAAGGGAGTGTGAAAGAGAAGCGACGGAAGTCAATGCAAGTATCTGAAGGCGAAAAAGACCAAAAAAATAGAACACAGAAATAGAGAAATAAAGAGGCGCCAAGTTGCTGCTGGTCGCTGTGTGCTCGTAGAAGTCTCAGTATCAAATTCAGCTCTAGTACAGAGTAGATAAGAAAGTCAATTGCGACGAGCAACACGGCAAGTGAGGCTTTTCTTGCCAAATCGGTGATCAAAAGAGAGGCGGGCTGGAAGACGAGCTGCGGTCCTATTTAAACGGACAGTGCAGTTTTCTTTCAGCAGCCAGTCCTGGGCGATTAGCGAGGGAGCTTCTGGAGCACTCGTAACAGGAAAAAAGGACCACGAGGTAACAGGCGCACCTACTCCATAGAAGCTTTGTTTGGCCTTTGGATTGAGCACGTGCGTGTTTGATTGGTCCGTAATAGCTCATGAGCACGTGAAATATGGATTGACATTATGTAAGGTACGGAGTACGGCGTATATGCCTAATATTTACGGGGCAGAAGGCCTGAATGCCGAGATCAATAGTGGCTGCTCCGCGTTATGTCACAGCTAGCTGGTCAGCGTGTTTCGTAACGCACAGAACGGCCATAATATGTAGCACGCAAAAAGGACTGTTATCCTTGTACGGAGTACGGGGTAGGATACGATTATACCGTAGGAGTAGTCCTGCTGGCGGAGCCTCGCCGTCTGCGCCGAATGAGATCGACCCCTTTTTACCGCTTACAGCCTTGCCTGACTCCAGGCCCAATCCATTTCTTCACCGCCTTTGGCTCGCCACATTATGACCACTTTGCAGCCACTGTTCCTTCTGTTTATTTACTTCGCAACCCCGTCGAGTCAAACCACCACGACAGACGGCATATATCTCGAATCCATTTTTCGCCATGGCTAGCGCTCCGACCAACAGTGTACGATTTTGCGATGCGCTTCTTTCTTTGACATTCGCTGTTCTGCCGCGTGCACCAAGCTTGAAGGATACTAACTTCCCCTTTATAGCCCATCAAGCCGACGCGTCTTAAGCAGATCGCTGAAGATGTAAGCCAAACCCGTTCATTCCGCCCGCCACGCCCCCGTATGATGTTCTATAAGCGGATAGGAGAGGCGAAAAAAGGCGACAGAGAGACAAGAAGCAGAAGAAAAAGAAAAGAAAAGGGATACAGGACGAGTTGGGGGATGGGATCGGATGCCACAACGTTATAGGTTCGAAGCTAACGCAAGGGATATAGGCTTGCCAGAGCGCGCTTGGCAGCGCCGAGTTCTACGAGCACGACAAGACGGAGCAGTGGAATACGACGATTATCGTACGTGGTCGCAGCCGTAATCTAATAAGCGCTTTTTGCGACTGACCGGTGTTGCCAACAGAACTCGATCCTCAAGGCACTAATCGCCGAGTCGCCGTCGGGCGTGGCCGGCGCGCCGACGTACAAGTTTGCGGTCAACAGCACGATTGTGCAGCATCTGATCCCGACATCGCAACTGAACAAGTCGAGGGGGGCGGGAACGGGCTCGGTCGAGGACGCATCGGCCGATGGTGAGCAGAAGAAGGTGACGCCGGACGCTACGAGCACAGACGGCAAGCCGCACGTGGGCCGGCGCGGGATGCACAGCGCGCAGGCAGCGTACTGGAACGAGAAGACGGACGGCATGTGGACATACAAATACGACGGCGGCGAGAGCAAGGGCCTGGACGTGGTCGTGATGGTGCTGTGGGTGGCTTTTGACCGTTGAGAGCGGAGGAATGGAGAAGGAGGTGGTCAGGACGGTTTGTCTGATTGGCCTGTATACGAGTACGATAGAGTACGATACGGCATGGCGATATCGCAGTTGAATGTGCATTGTTTTTTTTTTTTTTGATTGAATTCGTGTTGCAGGACAAGTGACTTCTGGGCTGCATATTATTATTTCCACTTGGTCGCGTGGTTTGGCTGACTACGGGCTGCAGGCGAACATACGAGGAAATGACGCAGAAGAGACGGCCTGTGCATGGCGTAGATAGATCTGTCTGCGAGTGGTAAATGCAGCCGACACGGCAGCCGTGCCGGGACTCAGCCAACAGACTTCCTGACTGTATCCGACCTGGTACTATCCCGATATCTTTTCGGTCTCCATATTTCCCAGTCGGTCTGACATCATTGGTGGGTGAATTCATGCCATGATGCATCTCCTGTTTGATAGATAGTTGGGTGATCCGAGTGGCAGGTGCACGAATCTGCCGATCAGGGCGGCTGGTGGTTGCGACATGCCAGACGGCGGCAGCTTCTTCCTTTTCCAAGACCGGACATTTGCTCTCGTGTCCGTGTCCGTGTGCCTGTTACTCTTCGTAGTTTCGTAGTGGTACTACGGGCGTTGTGTGGCAAAGATCTGCCTGCTTTCAGAGTCGGAAAAACAGGGAACGGAGCAGGGCAAAAAATGCGGGGTCTAGACCTCGAGGACTGACGTCGCCGTGGTCTGTCCGTATTGTTGTACCACCTGCGCCGACAGAAGGCGGTAAGATACCTGGGACCGACACGCTAAGTGATTATAGGGGGGAGCCGGCCATCTTTCCTCTGAAATTTCCAATAGACCAAAAAAAGTCGAACGCAACAACTCTTTTTATAAAAGCGGCCAGCAGCCCAACCACACCATCTCATCTGCATCTGCCGCCCTCCGCGCACGTCCTGGTCTTATCTGCTGCAGCGGGGAAGACGACGCGAAAAAAAGAAAAGAAAACAGCGAGACGGGCCGTCGGCAAGCCTCTTCGACCAGTTGCGTGGCCTGAATTCGGGGTCATACGACCATCTTTCCTCCCATCCCTGCTTAGAATCTGGCCTGTCGCTTTGGCCTGCCCCTTCTGGGTATCACGTATTCCGATTCGGCCTACGAGTATAACTGGAGCGCCGTCGTTCTCCGTCTGGGGATCTCGCCTTTCTTCCTCCTTCCATCAGCCGAGACCCATCCGCCTTTCCCTTTGCAGCACCGGGAAGCCTTGTTGGCGGTTCCAATCTCGATCCTGCTCGCTATATAGCCACGGGATATTTCGCCGCCTTCTGATGAGCTTGCTATTGAGGAACCCCCGCGACGTACTCTTTTCGACTATTGGCTCCGGAACTTGAACGGCATCGTCTAGAAGCATTTGATCCCTCATACAGCACCTTTTCTCTCTTCCCACACACAACACCATGTTCGAAGGACTCTACCGCTCTTCGGGAGGCTCGGCCTCGCTGCTGGCTCGCGAGAAGTCGGCCGTGGCCGCTGGCATTCGACCGCCCCGACGTGCGCTGTCGACTAATGACTTTATCTATCCCACGCCACCGTCACGCACCTTGCTCATCCAGACGAGCGGCCTCAGTACATGTTCGCCCGCAGACGTGACGCCACAGCGGCCGCCCACCATCGCCGAGGAGACGGCAACGGCCATACTATCGCCCAGACGCAGACGGTTGCTGCCAGCACAAGCTCTGAACCGAGAGTCGTCGCCGGCACGGCCGCAGCGGCCCAAGCTGGGCGCACCACGACGTTCGTATTCGGTCATGGACTACGAGCCGGTGCCACCGACACACCAGCCGTCGGCCAACCTGCAGCTGGCCGATTTGCCGGCTGAACTGCACTATGCCATCTTTGACTTTCTCGATCCCATCGACAGCACTTGTCTGGGACTGACAAACAAGCACTTTTACGCCATCCACCGGCGCATGCACGGCACTGTGCCGCTGTCAGCACGACGCACCGGCCCCAATGACATGGAGTGGGTGTGGCACAAGGCCGGACGGTTATCACCACCACCGACGCCACCGGCGTCGCCGCCCGGCTTGGACAAGATCCTTGTCGGCATGGACGCGGCCACTCAAGGCACGGGAACTCCGATCACGACCCCGACTTCACCCAAGGCGCTGGCCCTGCTACGGGTGCGCGGCCAGGCGCTCTGCCGCAAGTGTGGCGTCAGCCGCTGTGAACTTCATACGCACATCCAGACTTGGATGGGCCCTGGCTACGAGTATTGTGCAGTGCGCGACAAGTTTGGCAAGCCGGCACTCGAGGGTGCTCGGGAATCGTGCTTCCGGAGCAGTCCCAAACACCCGAACCGTTGCGGCCGTCATCACGTGCCCAAGACACAGCCGATGTCGCCGTAGCAGAGCTTTTCCATATCTTTCTTTGGTCGTTTGGGCCGTCTTGTATTTATGCTGGGGTTATCGGAACATTCACAGGACGTAGAGCACAATCTGTCGAGTGGAAGCGAGGCGTCTCTTCGAAACATCTCGAGGAAGGGAACACGATGGCACATGATTGGCCGTGTCATTATTATCGTAATCGCAGCACAGTTTGATGGCGATGGAAACAAGCATTTATATGAATACAATCTCTCTTACAGCGCAAGCGAGCAAGCGCTTAGAGATGTTAGTGCGCCGGTGATGGAAATCACGTGTTATCTTACATTGCTGATGAGATCGGACAACTACAACATTCCGACACAGTCCTGGGGAAGGAGCGAGGGCTCTGATGACGGCACCAGGAGCCGGCCATACAGGTGTGCCTATTTGGTCCCGCTGGAATCTCAGGTTTTTGTGCCTTGTCCATAATCAATTTTGGATGGATTGTAAAACCCTCTCAGCCTGTTTTTTCATCTCCTTCGTTGGAGGCCCAATTTGCGTCCTTCCGTCCCTCCCCCCCTTTACGACGACTGGACGGGCCCAGTAATTATTACCACTTTTATTCCTTTGGTTCCCAGGATCCGCATTTCCCTTTCCCTACCCACTCGGGCGACTTCTCGCCGGCACATTTCTTCTTATCCCACTTACCACCTGTTCTCAAGCTGGTGGCGCGGTCTCATTTTACGTTATACTTATCTCATTCTTCCATTCAATTGCATCCAGTGCGAGCACGCGAGCGGCCTGCACAGCTGTCTGTCATCTTCTGACCCTGTCTCGTTCCGACGCCTGCCTGCTGCTCTCGCCACCTTTCTCTCCCCTCGCCAAGAAGGAGCAGAACGAGGCAAGGATGAGCTCTCCGGCCTCTTCACCGTCTGCGCTCGCCGCTGGCAGCAAGCGCAAGCGTGCCGGCGCCGAGCAGCCGCCGTCGCCGTCGCGGGAGGACAGCCTCGATGAGCCTTCTCGGATCGAAGACGAGACCGAGCCGGCTGCTGCCCAAGATCACGACGAGCCCAAAGACGACGAACCCGCGGCGACATCCCACAACCGTCGCAGCCATCGACATGGCGGCCACCACCACCACAGTCACAGCCACCAGACGACCGCCCAGCCGCTGCCGCCTAACAAGCGCCAGCGGTCCAACAACGGCACGGACGGCCGTCGGGCCCGCAACGAGACCGATCCGAGCGACGACGACGACCAGGCCGAGGACGGCGACAAGACGTCGATGCTGCCGCCGCCCATTGGCAAGCTGACCGACCCGGTCGGCTACAAGACCAATTTGCCCCCGGTCGGCCGTCCGGTGCGGGTATATGCCGACGGCGTCTTTGACCTGTTCCATCTAGGGTATGTCTCTTTGGTCGTCTCTCTCCCGTCTTTTCTCCCGTCTAACACTTCTAGACACATGCGCCAGCTCGAACAGGCCAAGAAGGCGTTCCCCGAAGTGTATCTCATGGTCGGCGTGACGGGCGACGAAGAAACACACAAGCGCAAGGGTCTGACGGTGCTGTCGGGCAAGGAACGAGCAGAGACGCTGCGCCACTGCAAGTGGGTGGACGAGGTAGTGGAGAACTGCCCGTGGATCGTGACGCCCGACTTCCTCGAGGCCCGGCAGATCGACTATGTGGCCCACGACGACATCCCGTACGGCGCTGCCGAGGGCGACGACATCTACCAACCCATCAAGGCGGCCGGCAAGTTCCTTGTCACGCAGCGCACTGAGGGCGTCAGCACGACGGGCATCATCACCAAGTAGGTCGGGCACAAGCTGCGGAGCAGGAAGCGGTACAGATGGATGACGTGCTGACACAGTTTCGTACTTTTCAGGATTGTCCGCGACTACGAAAAGTACATTGCGCGGCAGCTGAAGCGCGGCACATCGCGACAGGAACTTAACGTCAGCTGGCTCAAGAAGAATGAGCTGGAGCTGAAGCGCCACGTCCAGGACCTGCGCGACAATATTCGGGTCAACTGGACGACGACGGGCCAAGAGCTCAGCCGCGAGCTGCGCCAGTTGTGGCCGTCGAGTCGGCCGCAGAGCCCGGCGCCACGGCCGTCCCTACGGCTGGCATCGCCTTCGACGTCGACGCTGGCAGCAGGCAGCTCGATGGACCGGTCGCCGTCCAGCCCGACGCCGACCATGGCCACTGCAGGCGGCGTGGCCACGCCCAAGTCGCCGGGTGCTGGTGGCACCAACGACTTTGTGGCAGGTTATGCCTTGGGCCTGATTGGCGGTGTTCGCTCGTGGGTATGTGAGAGGGGAGAGAATGGAGAGACCGTAGGGGGAAGTCCTGCTGACCAGACACATCAGATGACCAAGAGCCGTAGACAGGGCGGCCCCAACTCGCAGTCCCGACAGGTCAGCGATGACGAGTCGGAGGAGAATGAGGATGGCCACAACGGGGAATCCCCGACAACGACAACCAGGACAAGCGCGAGAGCCACGAGGACCACGAGAGCCATCCGGACGGCGGCAGCCACAACAGCCACAACCGCCATCACGGCCACGGCCGGAACGCCAAGGGTGGCAACAGCCGCGTGTCGTCGTCGTCGGACCTGCGGCGAGCCGTGCGGGCAGTCTACTAGATCGGGTGTGCTGCTTTTTCTCTTCTTTTTTCTTTTTTCTTTTTTCTTTGTTCCCAAAACCCGTGGCGTTTGCATCCGTAATCCAGAAATCACATCGGTCTGCCCCCAAACGTGGTGACAGTAGAGAAAAAGAGACAGCAAGACGAGATGGGCCGTAGATGCACGGTATTTTCCTTTACAAAATCGGGGTCTCCGTCGCTTTGCGTCTGGTCGTGCAGTGATAAGGACATATCTTGGGTAGGTGAATGACAGAACTCTCTTCTCCCTTGATCACATGACATAAACGGAATGTCCGCATTAAGATGGATTATTAAGCAGAAATGAAAGTAAGCTTGATACTTTGTACTTTGTACAATGACACGCAAAGCTCGATGAAACAAATGGCATATCCAAGTCCAGATCCAAGAAGCAGGTTTCATTTCCGAACAGCCGGCCCGGCTCAGAGCCCGCGACGGCTGCCTGTGCTCATCAGCGTGATCTTCTGCTTCTTTTTCTTCTTCGGTTTTGCCAATTCTGCAGAGGCTGTATTGACAGAGCCTGCAGCACGCTCTGCCGCCCCGACAGCACTGCTGCTGCTGCCGCTGCCGCCTTCCAGGCCGAGGGCTGCCATCTGGGCGGCGACGTCGGCGTCTGTCAGGTCGCCAGCCGCCAGCAGCTGCTCGTCTCGCAGCCAGCCGTCATCGACATCGGCCAGACGGCCCTGGCTCGACTGGGCGGCTGGTCCCAGATGCGGCGACGATGCCACAATCCGCGTGCCCCAGACGGTCGTCGGGCTCGTCGACAGATCGGCCAGGTGGCCAAAGCCTGGTCGCGGATTCGGTGGCGACGAAGACGTCGACACGTTCTCGCCACCACTACCGCCCAGAGGCAGGAAATCGCTCATGTCGACCACATCCACCAAGTCGGCACCGAAAGTACTGTCCAGATCACGTCCACCGCTGCTGCGACCACCACCACCACCCGCTCCCAGTCGTCGTGTGCTCCGGGCGGCCGCCAGCTCCAGCCGCTCGGCCTGCAGCCGCTCGCGCTCCTCCTGGGCAGCTTTGTCGCGGTTCCGCTTGCGGCGTCGCTCAATGTCGCCGGCAAAACCTGCCAGCGTCTCGGCCGGCACAATGTCGGTCCAGTCGCACTCGAGAAAGGACACGACGCAGCCGGCCGGCAGGTGGCCCAGGTACTTGGCGCGGCGACGCATCGCATCGTCCACCGTGTGTCCCAGCGACAGGTGCTCAACCCGTGGCAGCAGCGTCGACGGGAAGCTCGAAAAGGCTCCGTACTTGGTCTTGAGAATGCGGATGTCCAGCGGCGAGAGGTAGAGGTGTGGCGGTGCCATGTAGAAGAAAAAGTCCTCTTGCTGCGACTGCTGTTCGTCCGACCGCAACGCCGGCTCCTGCGCTTTCTCGACCGCAGTCCGGCTGCTGCTCTCCTCCTGCAACATCGTCTCTCTCGCCGTCCGCACCGCTCGCGCTGCCCTCTGTGACCACTCGCCGTCCTCGTGGAAGAGCAGCTCGTCCTCGCGTTCCTGTCGTTCCAGCTCTTCCAGCTCCCGCTCATACTGCTCCACCATGTAGTCGCCTGTCCCCTTCATGATCCGGGCGTAGTCCAGCACGTTCGCCGCAAAGTGCCACGGGATCCCGCTGCCGCTGCTGCCTTCACGCGGAAGTGCCACCGTCGAGCTGGCGTGCCGCATAATCAGCCGCAGCACCACATCGTCACCTGGCCGCGGCAGCGCGCACTCTTGTCCGGCATAAAACCGCACCGGCCGCACCTCTGCCAGGTAGATGCTGTCCTCGCAGATCGGACACTTTTTCCACTTGGCCCCTCGCCGCTCCGTCGTGCTGCTGTTCGCTGGCCGCACACCACCACGCCCTGGCTCATCCGCATCGGTGCTGGCGTGCATGAAGCGGATCAGACACGCCAGACAGAAGATGTGGCCGCACTTGGCCATGCGCGGCGCCACTGGTTCCGACAGGCAGATCGGACAGGCCGACGCCTGCGACTCAGTCGACGCCAGCACCTGCAACACGTCGGCCCACTCGACATGCTCGTCCGCATCGGCTGCCTGTCGCGTGTAGTCGCCTGTCGGCGACACCACAAACCGGTAGTTGGCGTGCACGAACCGCGCCTTGTCCACGGCCGTGCTGTGGTGTCCGTGGTGGCTGTAGTGTCCGTGATGGCCGCGGTACGACTGGCTTGACCGGTAGTCGTGTGCTCGCTCGAGATACGCCCGTGACGGTGCCGCGTAGTTGAGCAGATGCGTAATCGACGTCTGGCCTCGCCGGCTCGATGAGTTGCGCAGCGCTCGCGCCTCGGCCATCGCGTCGTCGTCGTCTGGCCGTCGGTACGCCTTGTTCGTGTTGCGGTGCTGTTTTCGTGCGCCCTGGCCCTTGCGTGGCGTTGCCACTGTGCTGCCTGCCGTGCTCGCCGCTGCTGCTGCGTTCGACTGTGCTGCCGTTCGCCGGCTGCTAGAATCGAAGCTCGCTGACGATGCCGATGATGACGACACGATCGCCACAGACGGTCCCACCGGAGGAGACGAGACGGCCTTGCCCACGCCCAAAGGTAGCAGGCTCATTACCGTCCGGGACTGCAGCTGCGATGTAGGAAGATCGATCGAAGTCGTGGTTGAGGTCGATACTTGCAGACAGAAAAGACCTCGCAATCTCGCTTCCGCTCCGTCCCGTGATGTCAAATCAGTTGGATTCTATAGCTCTGGTCACATCGCCGTCGGCTGGCATCTTCATCACCGCCACCTCTCTGATTCGTGCTGCTGCTGCTGCTGCCGTTCTTTTTCAGACGGCTCTTCGATGGAAAGGGAGAGAGACACACGAGAGAGGCCGGTTTCGATTCGTAGCCACAAAAAGGCCGATAAGACCGGAAGAAGTCGTAAAGGGAACGAAAAGAAAAGCCAGATAGATAGAACGATCCCCCAGGAAAGGGGCGCTGGAGAGGGGCAGAGGAAGGAGAAAGAAGCCTGACAAATTGAGACCAGAGCTGGAAATACGCAAGTGACCTTTCTGGCGGAAGAAGCCAATCGGCGACAGAGTCACACCGGCCAAGGCGGGGCATGAAATTCCGGCATCGACTGTATCCGGTACCATCACGTGACTACTCACCTTACTCTACCTTGCACCTCTCCTGTTCTCGCCATGGTAAGATGATGTGTGTGCTATTGTGTTTTCTACCTCACTACCGACCACATTCGAATCAGTCTTTCCAAAACTATCTTTGTATTACCGACACCCGTCTCTTTTCTCTCGTATCGGTCGCCTGCAACAGGCGACACACTAGCAAATCACAACGACAAATGAAACTTCGACACCCTGGGGAATCAAGAAAATGAATAATGGAAATCAGAATGAGCGAGACCCTGAAAACAGCGTACAGCGCAGAAAATCGACAAAGAAAATTATGGTGGACTTGTAGAGTCGGACGTATGGAATCCTGCCGTCCCTTTGACGTGCACAGACGATTATGGACCTGAAATGGCAAACAGTGTCGGATTTCAGTCCCGATGGGATATAGACGGCGTGGGAGGCGGGAGGGCTTTTGACAAGGACTTGTCTATTTCTTCTTGTCGCCGCCGTCGAACCGGTGAAGAAGCTTGCTGAAGAAGCCGCTGATCCGGTGCTTCTTCTTCCGCTCAGTCGACGTCAGAGACCCGGCCGATGCAGTCGTCGGCGCCACAGCATTCGGAGATGCTGCCGGAGCGGAAGACGAGGCATCCACGACCTCAGCAGCTGGAGTAGCCGCGAGGGTGTCCTTGTCGTTGACCACAGCTGCCGTGGGTTCCGTCGTCACAGGTGCAGCAGTCGACTCGGCAATCGGCTCAGCGACAGGCTCAGCGACGGGCTCAGCCACAGACTCGACAACGGGCTGGACAACAGGCTCAGCGATGGGCTCGGCGACGGACTCGACAACAGGCTCGGCGACAGGCTCAGCAACGACTGGCACGGCCACCGGCTCAGATGTCTTCTTGAGCAGCTCAGCCTCCACCGCGCTCTTCTCCTCCACGGCAACCGGGTTCGCTGCTGCCTCCGGGCTGACATCGGCTTCCTGGATCGACTCCTTCACCTCGGCAGGCACCTCGGCCGTGGTCGCAGGACCCTCGGTCGTGGCGCTCGTGGCGCTCGTCAAGGCAATCTTCTCCTGGACGGCAGTCGGCAGCAACTGCTTCACCGACACCGGCAGCTTGGTAGCAGCCTCACTCGCAGCAGCAGACGCCTTCTCAGCGGCCGGCACGCCGTGCTCCACCGCTTTGTCCTTGGCTGCTGTGGCAGTGGCGTAGGCAATGGTGCCCAGACCAGCGACAACCGCAGCCGCACCACCGACAACACCGGCAGCCGCAGCCTTGGTGTCCGGGGATGTCGTCGTCGTGCCGTCTGAGGTGACAGGTGCTTCGGGAACCTTGGACAGCAGCTCCTCTTCCACCAGCTCCTTCTCCTTCACCTCTTCCGGGACGCCAGACGCCTCGGCAGGCACATTGGCCTCGGCCTGGCTCTCCTTGACAATCTCAGGCACCTCGCTAGTCACAGCAGTCTCGGGTGAAGAGACGACCGGGGCCGGTGTGACAACGGCAACAGCAGCAACAGCATCGGCCTCGTCCTTCTCCAGAGGAACGGCTGCGGCCAGAACAGCCGTGGTTGCAACGGGGGCGACAGAGCTAATCGTGACATCATCGTGAGAGGCGATGGGCAGGCTGGACTCTGGGATCATGTTGTTGGACACGGGCGGTAACTGGTCAAGAGTCACGCCACCGACCATGGCGTCAGCCTTCTCGTACGACTCCGGGTCAAGCTTGACATTCGTGTTGACGTCGGCCGTTGTCAGCGACTCGGGGATCTTCTCGCCTGGTGCCAGCTTGATCGGGTTCACACCTCCCGGTGCAGCCGGCAGGGGGTTGATCAGCTTGACGTCCTTGTCCAGCTCTGCAATGGGCGTTTCCGGGAACGCGCCCGGAACTTCGCTGCTTTCGGACATGGTCGGCTTTTCGTCTGAAGACTCGACCGTGGTGACGGTAGCAGCAGCCGCAGCGGCAACAGGCACAGCCACTTCGGTAGCAGAGGTCGGCTCCTCAACCTTGTCCATGGTCTTCTCCTCGGCAACAACCGGCTCAGCGACTGTTACAGGCTCAACGAGTGTCTCAGGTTCTGTGACCTTGACCTGCTTCTTCTCTTCTAGCGGCACGTCTTTGGCCAGCAGAACAGTTGTCGATGTCGGAGCAGCAGATGACAAGATGGTAGCAGTACCAGGTGCCAGCTTGACGATATTTTCCGGCGTCAAAACGTTGTTGTCGTTACCACCCTCGTCCTTTTCTTTCGGAGCGTCACCGTCGGTAACCCACTCGCCGTCAACGACAAACTATATATGATGGCAGGTTAATACGTGTGAAAGGACACGGTACCATGAAAGGTGAACGGCAAGCACAACAGCTGATGTAGGATCGAGATGCAGGATCGAGATGTTTGAGAGCGGTGAAAGAGGGGGGTGGAGGGGAAGAGATCGTGCAGACATAGAGGGGAAGACGGCGGGGAATGTGGACTGGGGAATGTGGCATGTGGTGTGCATTAGAGCTGCGTGCCCATGTCTGCTCTAAAACAGGGAGGTTGGGGCTGAGAAAAAAGCACATGAGCTGGCTAGCGAACGACGAGGGTCTCCGCAGGTGCATGGCCCTACGGCGGCCACTGTTGCCCCTTGCGTCATACATAGAACGCTGGAAAGAGATGTGTTATGGATGTGGGTGAGACAAATCCACGCCAGGCTAACCTTGCCCCTCCGATCGACAGCAGGATGCACGGCTGGGGCCCCGGCCTCAATGGCCATTGTGGCAAGTGGCTGCGGAGAGAAAGGGAAGAGAGACGAGACATGATCACGAACAGGGACACGCAAAAATCAGAGTCAAAGCAGGGACCATACGGTCATACGGAATCAAGATACACACCTTGTAGTAGATCTTGGTGGAGGCATCGGCGAGCTCGACCTCCTTCTCAAACGAGTCGACGATCTTGTCGAGCTTGACGGACTTGGACCAGTCGTCAAATGTGCCCGTGACGTAAACCTCGTCGGCATCCCTCGGCCTGGTGCAAACGAGGAGATATGTCAGCTCGGAGGAATGCGCAGAAGATGGAAGAGCGCAATTCGGCTGCCTAGGGCTGCCACCACAGAGACGTGGCGCTGGTAGCAGCCGCTTTCACAACGACGGCCATCATCATGCGACGACTCACCACTTGAAGACAAAAGTGCCCATGATGTTTTGTTGAGCGTGTTCGTCCGGCTCGCTCGCTGTTTCTGGCGCAGGCGTAGACCGAAATGCGGCAGGACGCTGTAATGTGACCTTTGTTCTCGGTAAACAGGGGGGGCGAGTGATCGGAGTCGTTTGCGCGACCGTTTTTTGGTTGCTTGCGCTTTCTGTTGGGTGTCGCCGCTGCGATTGATGGGATCGTCGACGAGATTGGAGATAAAACCCGGAATTAAGCAAGACGGACCAATCTGTCGGATTTTTGCCTACTCCTAAAGCTCGTGACGCTTGTGTCCGTTTTGGAGCTGTCGATAAATGGACAGAAAAAGAAACCAGAGGGGAAAGGATGAAGAGAGTGAGAAAATAGCAAGGGAATCCAATAGAAGCGAGATGTAGATTAAGCAGGAAAAAAAGAGGAGCTGCCCTGCTAAGGAGCAAGAGTGCTCCTAACTCTGGTGTCCGAGCTCCCTGTCCTTTCTTTTTTCCCACTATTAATTACGCACTCTTGACGGGGCTCGCCTTGCAACGTCCCTTTATCGTGATTCCCCGATGTGGACATGCTCTAACGGAGTTTTTTTAATTAAAGCAAATTATGCGTCCGACAAAGAAATGAGAAGCCCGAAAGCACCAAGTATCTGACCAGTACTCTTTAGAGTTGCTAACAGACGTGGTGATTGCCAAGTTACATTTGTTGAGGACAAAGAGTGGTGGCATCTACGGTACAGACGGACTGCACAGTAGGAACGGATCATGATAAGCATCGGCCGGGCTGGCCTTGCCAGGAAAAAGGGGAAAAAAGACGCGCGAGCAAAATTGAGAGTTGCAGGGTTGTCGCGCTAATCTCAGAAAACGAGCCGGAACAAGCGACGCCAACAGCGCATACGAAGTGCTCGTATTAAAGTCCAGGTATAAACTCGGAAAAACAGCGGCGTAAGGCAGTGCTGTGTTCAGCGCCTGAGTGATGTCGAATTGCCTAATGCGGCACCTAATTTTTTATGCTGTAGTATAAGATATGTTTTTTTTTTACGATTATTAAATAGTCGGTTATGCCATATACCGTCTTCCATCATCTAGTAACTCTATGCATGTTACACCGTACTCCGTACCATTAATAGTAAATCGCCTACTGGCAGTTGTTGAAACAGGCCTCTCTACTTCTGGTTCACCCGGCTGCGTTGGTCGCTTTCCACAGCAGCCCGATGTCCGGGTTTCATCAACGAGGTGGTCTGGTAAAGCAGAGGCGTCTGCGCGCCTTAGCCTCGGTCCAACGGCGCCATTGTATATTCAGGAGGCACCGTCTCTATTGCAGTCTTGAAAAGTTGGCAACGCTGGACAGCATAAACTGCAAGGAAGGGGGGGAGAAGAATTAGAAGAAGAAGAAGAAGAGAAAAATGGGGAAGGAAAAAAAGAAGGGGAGGAAATATGAAAAGAAGGAGTGTGGCCAGCGCTCTCGAAAGAGCCCGATGAACTCTCGATTATAGAGAGGCAAGTAACTTATGGTAGCAGCTGCAGCTGTAAAAGAAACGGTGGCGCCTGCTACATTCAGTCCACCTAAGCGAACAGCCCACACAGGAAAACGGCCTGAATGAGCTCGTCGCTCCAGTCAGATGCCTTTCTGGTCAGCGTTGTCAGATAATGTGAACCCCGAATAGCGGAGAAATATACATGCCTACCTCACAGGCCGCCTGCCAGGTGCCGTATCTGTTGGCATTATTGTCGTATTTTTCATAGTCATTTACAGGATTAGTAGTGTTGTCGCCATCGTCATTATCGACGTTGTCATCATTGTCGTTCTTGTCGCCAACACCATCGTCATCTCCTTCCACATCACATTGCCTCTGCCCCTTCTTTTGTGCACTCACACCACCAATGGACAGAGCCGCCACAGCCTCCCGGGCTCTGCGTTGAAGCGATAAACTGGCATCGTTCCAGTGTTGCTGTTGCCGGCATTGCTGCCGGCAATTTTCTCTCCACTGCTCGGCCTCTCCAAAACTTCGGCGGTGTATGACAGGACTTACCGGGTCAAACTCTTCCCAGTAACTGTCTACAAGCACTGGCGACGCTTGTTTTTCCCTGGTTTAGGCAGCGGCGGGGTGTCGCTTCCAGAAGATGACGGGGCCGACGAGGCCGTTGACAGGAGCGGTGCCTGAGCAGCAGGGCTAATACTCTTACTCCTGCTTCTTCTTTTTCTTATCTCACTGTTAGCCTGTCGTGGGAGCACGCTGTCCTGTTCGCCGACTAATGAGGCCTGTGGAGGGATTGATGCCCGGGCATATGTCGTAGCCAGTGTGCTCTCAGCATCCCCGAGAGCTGGTGCTAAGGACTCCCAGCCAGACGAGTTCTCTGGCAGTGGTGTCACGGATAATGGAACGCAGTGATGATCGTCAAAGAGCGAGTGCAATGTGTACGGATAGTTGAAGCTCGCGTTTGTGTTGCCGCCAGCTAATGTGGACCATTCTGGAGCTGAAGCACTCTTGCCGTATTGATGTTGATGCCCCTGCGAGCGTAGCCGCAGATCGGTCGCATGGAGATAATCAGAGGTAAAAGTAACCGCTGAGCTAGCTGTGATTTCTCGTCTGCAGAACTGAGGGTCGCCAACATAGGCAAGCAAGTCCTGCGCAGCAGATGCTCCGGCAGACTTGGATGTGAAGTCTGGCATAGCCGGGGCCCGGGTTGTGGTATACGCACCTCGTTGCCGGCGAGGCGAATACTTCATCTGGCCATCATATTGGCTCTTGGCAGCACCGTAAGTCCCTTGACTAGCTGTATGCGGGTTGGTACTCGCGACACAGTATTGCACACTCCTTCTTCCACCAGCATCATGTTTTCCCATCATACTGGCAGCCAGATTGTTCACTTGGTCACCATAGCCGGAGCCAGAACCTCCAGACGAGTAATATGAGAACTGTTGTTGGTATTGCTGGTGGTAATGCTGCTCTCGGTCTGCTGCTACTCCTTCTTCAGCATGACGCTGGCCTCCTGTCTCCATCTCCTGGTCCTCCCCCCCTCCCTCACTGACATAGGCGCTTTGATACCCCACGCTGGAGTCGATTGACTGCGACGAGTCTCGGCGTGCGGACAGTCCAGGCTCCATGCCACCACCCGGGGTGAGCTCTTCTCCAGATCGGCTGTGTATGTGGGTCAGTCTCCTGATTTCGTCGGCTTTCATCGCTTTCTGCACTCACTGTCTTCGCTCGTGGCGGCTGAGAAGATCGGCCCGGTGGAAGGAACGGCGACACTGGTGGTAAGTGCACTGAAAGTGCGGCGTCTGGTGGCTCAGTTGGTGACGCCTGAGGAGAGAGATTAGCCATCCGTGACTGGCCGACCTTGCCTCCTCATCTTTTTCTCTCACTTACCGCAAGTGCTCTGCCCGCGTGAACACCTTGGCCGGGTGACAAATGTCGCATGTGTGCACGGGAACCCCTTTTTTGGCCCGGCTAACACGACGTGTGACTGGCGTCAGCCGTACTTCCTCAGGGTAGCCTCCAGAACGGCCATCACCCGGAGACGCTGCGAAGAACGTCTGTTGCACGACCATGTCTCCGCTTGCACCAGTCATGGCGTATCCAGCAGGAATCAAGGGGCCCGGGCCATATCCGGCCTGGTTTCGGGCAACAGGCGTCTCATAGGCTAACATGCCTTCGGCGACCACGCCGGGACCAGCACCTAAGGGGGATGATCCTACGCCGTGCATTTCCATGCTGTACGGCATATTGTGACCGCCGCCGCCGCCGCCTATGTTACTTTGGCCGACATGGCCAGCATGATTGTCGTGGCTCTCACCAGAGTGACGGCCACCGTCACTCGCGAGGCGGCCATCTCTGTGGCTGCTAGTATAACCTGCAGTTCTCTCGTCGTACCTGTCATAACTCAAACTGCCGTACCCACGCGTGGGAAGATAGGGTGAGGCAGCCCTGTATGCTCTCTGATCCATGGTTGAGCTGGGGTCAAAGACGCTTTCGTTGTCGACGGAGGTTTCGGCTGGCCTGGCCTTGGACTCTGTGGAGCTACTCGTAGAGCTGCCTGTTCGGTGGCTCTTGTGGTGGCTGCCGTGATGGCTGCTGTGATGGCTGCCGTGGTGACTGCTGTGGTGGCCGTTGCTGTTGCTGTTGCTTCCACGGAGGACGACTTGTGAGGTTCGAGGCGTCGACCTTGACGGAGACTGAGACTCCAGCTCGGCGTGTCTGTGTGGACTACTGGTGTCTGCTGAAGATGACGGGGGCGGGCCTTTTATTAGTAGACTGAAAGTAGGAGGGGTGAGGTGGGAACAGGGCGAGACCACGAGCGAGAGCGAGGGCGAGGCAGAGGCAGAAGTGGGAGCAGGAAACGATGCAGGTGGGCATAAGGGTGGCAACGGAAGTGGCAGTGGTCGCAAGCAGAAAGAGGAACAGAGGGAAGACGGACAGCGAGACGGGGGACTATGATGATCGGCATCTCCCGCATCCTCCAAGATGTACTTCAGGTCTGTTTTAAAGTCTGCCATGATGAGCCAGACGAGGTCGCTGTGGGTGCGGCTGCGATGCCAAATTTGGAAATATGAGCCACGGGCCGAAGAGGGGGAAGGGAAGGCGGCCGGATGCCAGCCGGGCCAGGTGGCCAAGGCCAAAAATGCAAAAATACGAATTTGGACGAATTAGAATAGACAGGCTGTGTATAAAAATAAACATAAGGGGAGGGAAAAGATGAGAAAAAGGAAAAAGAACGAGAAGCAAGGCGGCGGTTGCGCAGATGCGTGTCAGCAAAGGGGGGGGATGTTCAGAAAGAGGCACGAGCCGATGACAAGGCTAGCAAAGTGGCGCGAGGAAGAGGTAACGAGGTTGATGGGAAAGCCGTTGCATGCGCTGGACGTGGCGTAGCGGGAGCCAGGAACAAAAGCGGACGAGATGAGCAAGCGTGGGATATGTAGTCTGTTAGCACAGCCGAGCTGAGCTGAGCTTGCGGACAGTATAATTAAGGATCATGAGGGGGGGGATGAGAGCATGACGGCAGAGAGAGCAAGAAGGAAGCGGGAGGATAGAAATAAATCAGGGAGTCTGAAGCGCAGAAGGGGGGTGTGCATCTGCAAGGGGGTGTAGAGAGGCTGAGAGGTGGTGTGTGAGGGTGGGGAGAAGACGGGTGAGGAGAGGATGGAGAGAAGAAAGGAGTAGAGGAGGAAGAGAAGAGGGAGGAGAACAGAAGAGAGGAAGAGAAGAAGGTCGAGAGGCAGAGGATGTGAGTGAAGACAGGAGAGCGAGGGAGGACGAGAGGAAGAGAGGCAGCGAGAAGGGAAAGATAAAGAGAGGAAAAGAGGGAGAGAGAGAGAGGAGGAGGAAAAGACAATCTACGAGGACGAGAGAATAAGGCGAGAGGATAAAGGGGACAGACAGGGCAGACAGGAAGAGACAAGGCTTGCAGGAGCGAGGCGGGTGGTTGCCGTTTCTGCTGCTTCCTTTTTTGTGATAGTGACCATCGTGCCTACCCGAGTTCCTTCCAAGCCCACGGCACCAACAACACTACGCCAGTCGTATGCAACATTGCATCTTCGCCGTGTTCTCGTCGCCCCCAACGCGGTTGTTTGCTGACGTCTCATTCACAATTTTACGCGAGGAACCTCGACTGACTAGCACGGTGGTGGTGGTGGGAGAAGGAGAGAGGGGCTGTTGCAACAACAGCACAGGTCGGAGCCGACGAGAGACGGACTTGCAATTAAAAAGATAGGCCAAAAAGGGAGAGAAGAACGAGACGATGGTGATTGGAAGGTTGAGATACATAGTACTATGTACAGGCCGAGACCCATGTCGCCGAACGGATAGAAGCAACAGAGACGAACAGGGACGAGCGAGGAAGACTGGACCGAGGCACTCTCTCCAGGGCCGAAGACGGCTAGGAGCGCGAGTGGGAGCAGGAAAGGGGACCAGAAGATGAACAAAGGACAAGGAGAGAGGGAGAACGAGAGAGAGAGAGACGGATGTCGGCTCATGGGATGTGGGATATGGAGGCGTGTACGAAACCCACGCGCACTACAACGACGGCCCCCAGCACATGGCCCAGAAGGGGAAGAAAATGGGGGGAAAAGAGAAAAAAAAGAAAAAGAAAAAAGGGCCAGAGAAAAGCCTTGGCATAGACCAGGGGGGGGGTTGTTTCTTCCGCACAAGGCTAGCCCGGATGAGAGACGCTCTGTACTCGTATAACAGGCCATACGATAGACGATACAGGGTACAGGCGGTACAAGGTCGTGAGGCTTTTGGCTAGCCTTTGGTCTTCGGTCTGGTCTCCTGGCCAGTTCCGTCGGCTTGCGCCGCTGCAGATCGCGATGGGGGCCCCTGGAGGGGTGGTGACTAATGCTGAAAAAGAAAGGGGACGAAGCAAGATGGCGGCAGGTCGGCCGGTCGGCCCAATAGTCTCGTTCATGCCCTATTCCGAATTGACAACTGTGCATGCTCTTGCCGCCGACCTTCTCTTGCCGCATGCAGAGTGGGGGCAGGGAAAGGGAAGTGAAGGCACGGAGTACTAAGGGGGGTGGATGGAGCAGATGACAGGTGACACCACGGATGGTGGATGGCAACTCGTACTGGGAGGGTTGTGGAGGAGGTGGAGGTGTGTGCAGTTGTGCAGGTCGTGTTCGAGCAGATATTGCTTCGGCGGATGGGAGACGGATGGATTCATGGCATGTCAGCCTGCGGGCTCAGCCTGCCGAGGCGCAGCAGTTTCGGCGTGTAAGCGTCTATGAGTGTGCTGTAGGCTTCTGTAATTGCTGTGTGCCGTCTGTGTGCTGCCTGCTGCCACCTGTCGCTGCCTGCTGCCACCTGTCGCTGCCTGCTGCCACCTGTCGCTATCGCCCTGCCACCTGCTATCTACCCGCTGTCTGCTCTCTCCCGGCCTCATCTCACCCACCTTGGCGACAGCCGGCCCCCATGTCGGACACGACCATGTACGGAGTACTCGGACGGAGCCCGACTTCCGTACTCCGTACGACGTATCTGGCCATGAACTCGATGCTAGCTGCTTCTGTGCTCGGACCACGCCCTGGTCCTCACGGCTCTGTTCCCCGGAGCTGCACAGCTGTCTTCCATCCCCACAGCCCTGCTTCTTCCACTCTTCTTCACCTGTTCTTGCCCCATCGGCCGGCCTGGCTCCGTACGGAGTACACCGGTCTCTCGCTCCTCGTCGCAGCATGTGCCTGTTGGCCCTGGTCGCCTGCGCCTAGTGCCAACAAGGCAGTCCGAACAGGTCCCCGGCCCCCCCTGTATGTACGATAGCAGTAGCGACTCGGGGGCTACAGCTGGCTCCTGCGTCCCACTGGCCGCCCGATTGCGTTTCCTATCTGCTTCGTACGACGTGCCGTCCTCCCTCGACGGACATGCAACATGCAGGCTGCTGCAGCCCCCCTCCGACAGCCTCATCGGTCGCCGCGTCCTGCTCGCTTGCCTGCCCCTCTAAGCGGAGACGAGAAGAAATTGCTCGTACAACGGCAGAAAGAGAGCTGTTGGAAAAATTTCGCATCGTGCATGGAAAGAAAAGTGGCACCGCCGCACTTCAGGAGAACGAGAGAGAGAGACAGGTCGTATGCCCGCCCGGATATAAGCCTTTGTGGCGCTGGCCCGCTAGAGCCAACAGCCACCTCGGTGCAGGCAGCTCGACAAGTCCGCCGCTCGTACAATACGGCACGCATCATCCGGACGGACGAAGCATCGCTTGCGGTCAAGTCCTCCCCGTACACAAGAGTCCCGCTTTTACCTGTCAAAAAAGGAATCTGCCCGGCGCTACGGCTTATTTTTATTTGCTGCTGCTTATGAACGCCCAACAAATTTGTCTCTTTTTTCGCTTTCTATTCCCTTTTTTTCCTTTTCCTTTTGCTCTTCTTTTTTCCCAAACTTAGTCCGCCTCTCAGAGCCTTCAGCTAAGCGCCGCACTGCCCACCACCCAAAGGGAGGGTGGCATGCGTTTGTGCGCAGCTTTAGGCCGGCTGACCACACCTTTTCGCGTCCGTTGGCCGTTGGGCCTGCCGTTGGGCCTGCCGTTGGGCCTGCCGTTGTCGTCGGGGGCCAGGGCACCAGGATCTTAGGCTGTTGGGGGCCTGTTGGTTGCGTCGCGTCATGACGCCGGACACGAGGGGACCTGCTGGCCGCCAAAACGGCTGCAGCGGGAGAAGATTGAAGCGCCTGGGGAAGTCTTTGTAGTCAGGCTCATGCTCATGGCCGACAGGATGATCGACAGCCGGTCTAGAAGACGGCTAGGCTCAAATCGGATCATTCCATTGAAACGCCCGTCCGTTGTATCGTATGGCCTGGCTCTCGTCTCAAGCCAGAGGGATCACTAAGAAAGAAGCAAAACTAGTGCAAAAGCACAAAATACAGGCGCAGCAAATCGACAAGTCCACCGTAGAGAATACATAGACAAAAACACAACACATCTACCTCTTCCTGCCCTTGGACTTGCTCTTGGCGTTGCCTGCGTTGGACTGCGTCGAGGCCACGCTGGACGCCCGCGAGTTGGCTGCCGACTGCGTCTTGGTGCCGTTGGACTTGACATGATCTAGTGCTTTGTTCTGTGTGCACGTTAGCTCCCATCCGTGTCGTCCCATCACCATCATCCCACCACACCACTCACTTTTGCCCCGTTCTTCGCCTTCTTCTTCGGCGGTGCCATGCCCAGCACGCTGTCCTCGTCGTTCTCTTCGTCTTCCACCTCCCGTTTCAGCTTGCCGTTGCCGTGGCCGTTGCTCTGGCCGTTCGGCTTGCCTATCGCTGCCGTCGTCGTCGTGTTCACGTCGTCAAACTCCTTGACAATCGTCGTCAGCAGCGTCGTGCAGCGCCGGCTCAGCTCGCTGGGCGTTCGGCTGAGGAAGAACCAGTCGAACCGGAAGAGCGGGCTCTCGCGGATCTCGTCGCGGATCTTGTCGTAGATGCCCTCCGAATCAATGCCCAGCCGGTCCAGCTGCACGAGCAGAAACCGGTCCTCTTCCTCCGTATACACCTTCTTGTTCGTCGTCGAGACGGAGTAGTTGATCTTGAGCTGCTGCAGCGGCACCCGGTACTGCTGCATCTTCTTGCGCAGCATCTTGCGCTGGTGCTCAATCTTGCGCAGCTTCTCCTCGCCGTCCTCAATCGTCTTGATCGCCCGGTGATGGTCGCTGATCTCCTCGTACCGCTGCCAGAACACCTTGGCGTACTGCCGCACCTCGGCCGCCGTCTTGCTGTCGACTTCCGTCGTGATGTTCTCGTAGTCTGTCCGGCCGAACCGGGCTGACCCGTTGATGAACTGCTGGTAGTCGCGTCGGTTCCAGTCGCCGAAGCCCATCTGCGATAGCCGCTGCTTTTCCTCCTGCTCCTCCTCCGTCAGCCGCCTACCGCCTCGTCGATCTCGCGCTGCTCCGTCACCTGCTGTGCCTGCCGCTCCTCCAGCGTGTCCTCGTCGCCGTCGGCCAGCGGCACCTTGTACCCGATCTCCTTGCGATAAAAGGCCGTCTCGCGTTCCTGCAGCTCGCGCAGGGCCTCCGGGTAAAACTGGTAGTCCTGAATCGAGATCTGCTTCGGCGCCCGCGGCGCCTTGGGCTTTTGTTCTTTCGGCTGGCCCACGTGGCCATACATGGCCTGTCGGTAGTACTTGTCGATCGAGTAGATCTGCTCCTTGCGCTCCCGCTTCGCCGGGTTGATCCACGTCATCCCAACGTCCTTCTTCTTGGCCGCAAAGTTCTCGCCGTTCCAATCGTATGCCGACTCGGACGTGAACTTTTGCAGGTCGTCGATCCCCAGCTTCTCGTACCGTGCGTTCAGCTGCTTCGTCCGCGACTCGCCGCTCGTCAGGATCGCGTCAATGTCCTCGTCCGTTAGGTGCATCCCACCGTCCGCGTTGCCCTTGTCATTTGCTTTGCCGTTGTCGCCGCTGCCGCTGCCGCTGCCGCCGGCTACCGCCCCCTTGGCCATCGTCCCCGTGCCGCCCTTGGAGCTGAACACGGCCTCGGCCCCGTGCTGGATCATCGACAGCAGCTCATCCTTGTTGGCCGCCGCCTTGGCCGCGATCTGCGCCCGTCCCTGCTGGATCACCAGCTGGTCTAGCCGCAGCTTCTGCGCTGCCCGCTCTAGCACCTTCTCCTCGATCGCATTGTCCGTCACGAACCGGTACACCACCACCTGCTTCGTCTGCCCGATGCGGTGCGCCCGGTCCATCGCCTGCAGGTCCGCCTGCGGGTTCCAGTCGCTGTCGTAGAGCACCACAATGTCGGCCGTCGTCAGATTGATGCCCAGACCACCGGCCCGCGTCGTCAGAAGAAACACAAACTTCTCCGACCCCGGCTTGTTGTACTCGTCAATGGCCGCGATCCGGTCCTCGTGCGCCGTGCTGCCGTCGATCCGGCAGTATTGGTACCCGCGAAACACGCAGTAGTCCTCCAGGATGTCCAGCAACCGGCTCATCTGCGAGAAGATGAGCACCCGGCTGCCCTGCTCGCTCATCCGCTTTAGTAGCCGGTCCAGCACCGCCATCTTGCCGGCGTTGTACACCAGGTGCTCGTCCGTCGTGTACGGCGGCCCCGGCTCGGCGCCCTCAAACAGGTACGGGTGGTTGCAGCACTTGCGCAGCTGCATCACAATATTGAGCAGCCGCGTCTTGGACTCGCGCTTGCCGCCTGCCCCGTTCACCGCGTCAATGTCCTTCTCGAGGATCTTCTGGTACCACTTGACCTGCATATCCGACATGCCCACGTACACGTTCATCTCCTTCTTCGGCAGCAGGCTCTTCTCCACGTCGCTCTTCACCCGCCGCAGCAGGAACGGCCGCAGCACCCGGTGCAGCTGCTGCACCACCGTGTCCTGGTCCCGGTCCTGGCCCGAGAACCACTGGTCAAACGCTTCCGCATCGCCAAACACGTCGGGCAGCAGAAAGTTGAGCAGCGCCCACAGCTCGTGCAGGTTGTTCTGCAGCGGCGTGCCTGTGATCAGCAGCCGGTTGCGCGAGTTGAACAGCCGGATCACCTGCGCCAGCGACGACTCCTCGTTTTTGATCCGGTGGGCCTCGTCGATGATGATGTACTCCCACGCGAACTTGCGCAGGTGCGCCTTCTCGCGCAGGATCATCTCGTAGCTCGTGATGCACACGTCAAAGTTCTCGTCCACCAGCCGCTCCGCGATGAGCGTGTGGCGCTCCTCTTTGGCGCCCTGCAGCACCAGCACGTTCACCTCGGGCGTCCACTTGGCAAACTCGCGCTTCCAGTTGTCCAGCGTCGACTTGGGCACGATCACCAGGTGTGGACCCGTGGTGCCCATGATGTGACGCAGGTAGCCGAGGAACGAGATCGTCTGCAGCGTCTTGCCCAGGCCCATCTCGTCGGCCAGGATGCCCGATATGCCGTTTTCGTGCAGCGAGATGAGCCAGTTGAGTCCGGCCACCTGGTAGTCGCGCATGAGGCCCTGAATGAAGGCCGGCGACTCGCGGAACACCGTCTCGGCCGACCCGCCGCGCTTCTCGTCCTTGAGCAGCTCGGCGTCCTCCTCAGCCTCCGTGCGACGTTGCCGTCCGCTGCTGGCGCCACCCTGGCGGGCCGCCCTGGGGCCCTTGGCTGCTGCCGCGTTCTGTCGGTCGATCTCCTCGACCACTTCGCGCACCTTGGGGTTCGGATTGGTCTCGATAAAGTGGCGGAAGAGGTCGGTCAAGCCGAGGAGATACCGGAATCGACGAATCGTGTCGTCTTCCTACAGAGTGGATTCATGTCAGATCAAATCGTCTCCTTTCTTCTCCTTCCTTCAATCTCTCCTCTCTCTTTACCCACCTTTGATTCGCCCAAACGGTCGTGTTTCCGCCCAAAGATGCTTCGGCGCAGCTGGCTCGCCTCGTCCCGGCGCTTCCTGCCCTCGGGCGCATGGTCGCCGGTCACGCTGCTGGCCGTCGTGTTGGGGTTCGTGTCCGAATCGGTGTAGTCTTGTGTATCCTCGTTTTCCTTTCCAGCGGCCGTCAGCACAACCAACTCGCACAACTCGCACACTTCATCCCTCATCCTGGCTTACCTCTTCAAACTGGCGTGGCCGCACAGCCGGCGCATCCTGCATGGACGCGTCGGTCTCGTTGCCATCACTCACGCGCGGCGCCATGGCGTTGTCGTTTGGGGCGGGAGATGGAAAGCCGCCTGCTGGCCTCTACGCGTCAACCGAAGCGCGATCTGCCGGCTCTCGTCTCGTCTGCTGTCCCGGCTTGCCGTCTTCCTGCGCTCGGATGGTCGTCTTCAAACGTGCGCGTCTCCTCCTTGGTCGGTTGGGGATCAGGGATTGGGGAGGCGGAAAAAAGGTGGACAGGGGAGGTTGGATAAATCAAGAGTGATTGGAAAAAAGTAGGAGAGAGGGAGAAGAGCTTGATGACGAGATGACCGGGCTGGCCTACACATATTAAACAGTGGGACAAAATTTCGAGGGAAGTCGCGGCGCGCAAGGGGTGGAGGGGAGGGAACGACTGCCCTGAGGCGTGTCTGGCTAATCAGGATGCACTCTGGCGCTGAACAGGCCGGCTAGTCGGACGCGCAAAAAGGATGTGCCGATACGTAGTCACGTGATGGAGATATATCGGCTGTTAGTCATCGCTCGTCATCTACACCTCATCGCACCACAATACGTGCATCATGGCGTGATATTGTAGATATCTCGAGGCTGGGTTGGAAGATGTATACCATGCCCTTACCACCTCTCTCGTTCTGCTCCAAACCGTGAGCCGTCCACGCAATGGCCCTCTCCCCGGTCGCTGCCCATGTGCTCCACAGATACCCAAGATGATGAGCCTACAGAAAGCACAGATAGCTAGAACATGGCATGTATGTAAAACAGGATATGGGTGTCCATAAGAAAGCATACGAAGCGGTCAGAAGGAGGAGCAGGCAGTCAATAGAAAAAGAGGAAACAACAAGACGAGAAAGACAAGGGAGAAGGAAAAGACGAAAACCGAGAACCGAAAAAACCGAAAAAAAACACGAAAAAGAATGCAAAAAAGCAAAAACGCCCCGTCTCGCGACATTCTCCATGTGTGGTCCCGTCCGTTTGCCCTCTGGGCAGTCGGTGCCCCATTCTCCCTAACCACCAGTCACTGCTTGCCCGTCCTGTCTGCCCGCCTGATGACCGCCTGCCTGCCTGCCTGCCTGTACCCCCTGACGACCGCCTACCTGGGAGGAGGCCGTCTAGAAAGATGGATGTGCCAGTCTATATTTGTTTGCAAAGGGTGAAGATCGAAGTGAAAACAATGATGAATGCGAGAACGCCACGAGAGAAAGAGAAACAAGATCAAATGTAAAACAAGTGGAGATTTCGACAGAGCACCATGGAGCCATATGGGACAGCCAGAATAGAAAGACAAAACCTAGGTCCGCCACTCCGATGCGGCATGTCCGCCCGGTCGGTCGTGTCGGTGATGGCGGTGGTGATGCTGCTGGTAGTGCTGGCTGATGTTGCTGCTGCTACCACCACCGCCTCCACCACCACCACTGCTGCCGCCGGCGCTGTTGTTGTTGTTGTTGTTGTTGTTGTTGTTGTTGTTGTTGTTGTTGCTGTTGCTGTTGCTGTTATTGCCGCCATTGTTGTTGCCGCTACCGGCACCGTTACCTCCAGCAGCACCCCGGCCGTCTTCGAGGCTGCGTCGGTACGGCTCGCGGCCAATCTCGGAGAGGTCAAACACCAGCGGCTCATCGTCGGCCTCGCCATCACCAACGTGTCCATAGCGTCCTCCAACGCCCAGGGTCGTGGTCGACCGCTTCTCGCTGGTGGTGCTGCCACCAAGACTGAGGGCCAGGCTGTCGGCGGTGGCCTCCTTGCGGTGCTCCTGCTTCAGCAGCACCTGGTGGCGGCTCGTGTACCGTCGGCGTGGTTCCGTGCCCGTGGCCACGGCCGAGGCCGGACTTGATCGGAGGGCCGACGACAGAGACGATGCTGAGGACGTAATGGCTGCTGGCACGCCAGATGGCAAGCCAGATGGCACGCCGGCTGGTATGCCAGAACCGACGGCACCAGCACCCTCAACAGGCACACCACCCGTCGATGCTGTCGCGGCTTCCGGCTCGGTTGTTCCGCCAGGAGCTGCTGCTCCCGACGCTGCTGCTGTCGCGCTAATGCCAGCACCGACACTGAGGCTGCGTCGCTGCTGGGCAAAGGCCGCCAGATCGGCCACGTCATCGTCGTCATCGTCGTCATCGTCGCCGGCACCATCACTACCGACGAGTGTGGCACGCTTCTTCTGGGCGGTCGAGCTCGACCGACGGTCAACCGAATGGTGTTGGAGCAGCCGTGGCGAGAGCGGAATGTCAATGGCCGTTGTGCTGTCCCTGGCTCCGGTGGTGCCGGTCCCTGCTCCGCTGCCGGTGCTGCTGGCGGCCGTCCGGGCCAAGCCTCTGCCCGTCCTGCCGACTGTGCGCGCTCGATGGTCGTCCTCGTCGTCCGCCTCGTCGTCGTCGTTTTCGGCCGAGCTTGCAGTGATGCGTACCGTGCTAGACTGCTGCCCCTGCTCCTGTCCCTGCAGGCTCTCCTGTAGGCTCTGCAGGTTCTGTGGCGGTGGCTTCGAATATCCCGGGTAGTCGATAATGGCGTTCTCGCTCAGACGAGACGGCACTGCCGGCACGTGCGGAGTGTGAGGTGACATGGGCTTGATAGGCGACAAGGACACCGACATGCCACCACCTGGAGAGATGCCCAACACACCCGAGACTCCGGAGACGCCCGAGGTCGGCGACCGTGCCGGCAGCTGCATCGACAGGCTCATGGAGTCGGTCAGGGCCACGTTGGATTCGCGCATCAGCTGGAAGCGCGACAGCTGGGCGGCCGTGCGACGGGCCGAGTCCGAGAGGCCGCGGCGACCGGCGTTTCCGGGCTCGAAGCTCTGCAGCGTCTTCTTGCTCTCGAGCGCCTTGAGAAAGTCCGAGATGTTGTCGTCGTCGGTTTGAAACGAGCCCGAACTCGTGCCGCCGATGCCAATGCCGCCGCCAGCCACCTCGGCCAGCAGGCCTGATCCGGGCTGTGCCATCGATGAGGCCATGCTCTGCTTGCCGCTGCTCATCTGGTCGTCGTCGGCACGGCTGGCTCCACCAAAGGACGACCGGCCGCGCCGATGTGTGAAGCTGCTGCTGTAACGGCTGCTACCGCCGCCTCCACCGAGACGCGGCGACGGGCTCTGGCCCGGGTCGATCATGAGCGCTGCGGCAGCCGCTGTGCTGGTGCTGCCGGCTGACGTCGACACCGGGGGCGCACCGCGCAGTGATGCGGCCATACCTGCCGTCAGTGAGCTGCGGTTGCGTGCCTGGGCCAGAGCGACAAGACCAGACGCCGGCCGCGAACCCGACAGCGGCGACGACGGCAGGGTGAGGTCTTCCAACGTGGTCCGTGGCGACCCGGACAGCGAGCCGGCCTTGAACGGCTGGAACGACACGGACGGACGCCGGCTGATGCCCTCCATGTTTCGCAGGGCCGCTGGCCGCGAGGAGATGGATGTTGAGGACGTGCCGGCACCAGCACCAGAGGAGTGGTGGTGGTGGTGGCGGCGGCCGGCAGTGATGGGCAGCGAATGTGGTGGCTCGATCTGGGGTGACCGCTCGAGGCTGCTGCTTGGACGGATGGAGTCGGTGGGCGAGCTCGTGTCGGAGCCGATGGTCCGCACGGCCTTGAGGGCTGTGATGGGACTTGTGCCCAGAGCACCGGCTCCGTGGAAGGTTGACAGGCTGCCATACGTCTGCTGGGGCTGTGGATGGTACGACAGATCAGATGTGGTGCGGCCGTGTCGATGGCGGGAGGGCAGTGAGCCGACGATCTCGGACGAATCGTGTCGCCGGTAATGGTCAAGGCCCTGGTTGTGCTGGTACTGTTGGTTGTATGGATGTTGCTGTTGTTGCTGTTGTTGCTGATGTGGCTGCTGCTGCTGCTGCTGCTGCACTTGCACTTGCTGTTGACGATGATGATGATGGCGGTGATGTGGACGATGTGGCTGTTGCTGCTGGGCCGGCAGCGAGGGCTGGAAGTAGTTCTCGTCGATGCCCATGAAGCGAGAGCTGAGCAGGGACTCGGAGTCATCGATGCGGAAGCTGCAGTCGTTGCGATAGGCGACCGAGGCCGAAAAGCGGCCAACGGGCACCTCGAGATCGCCAAACATGTAGTCGGTGGTAGGGTCGCGGCCGCCGTCAAAGAAGAGCGGCTGGCGGAGGTTGTCGAAGCCGGTGGCGCTCATACGAGCGTCGGCATCGGCACCGGTGAGCACGCGACAGCGCACAGCCAGAGCCGGATGGACACTCTTGGTGGAGGCGTGGCGGGAAAAGCGGTAGGCCGGCAGGACGTGTGTGGTGACGAAGAGCGAGCGGAAGAAGACGATGCTGCGCTTGTAGATGGTAGGTAGGATAGGACCAAAGTCGTCCATCTCGAGGTCGACAGGAGGAAGAGCTGCAACTGCAGACGCGGCAGCAGAGGCGTTTGTGCCACCTCCACCTCCACCACTGCCAGCTGTCCCTGCAGGCCCTCCACTACCAGTGCTGCTGCTCTTTGACAGGCTCGGGATGGACTGCAGCTCGACCTTCCAGCGTTCGAGGATGATCTCGGTCGAGCGGGTGCGGATCTTGTTGGTGTCGGAGCGGCCGCTGACGCCGACACTGGTGTTGCCGTTGCTGCTGTTGCTGCCGTTGCTGCTGGCACTGGCAGACGACACGTTGGAGCTGTTGAGGGCCTCCAGCGCGTCCCAGCGCTTGCCGTTCTCGTCGATGACCACCAGGGCCTGACCGGGAGCGAGCCGCGAGGCATCCAGGTACGTCTCGATGACCATGGGCTGGCGCCGCGAGTCGAAGCTGCCACAGTGCTTCCACACGCGGAGCTCGTCCTTGAAGTCGTCGATGTCGTCTGTCTCGATTTGGAACTGGGCCTGTCAGAAAGGAAGAGGGATGTGGGGGGAGGAAGCGTCTAGAGGGGACCTACCCATTTGTTCGTCTTTCTTCCACGGCCGCTGCCCGATGGGGTGACGGGCATGCGAGCCTGGACGATCAGCACGGCTGCCTTGAGAAAGAAGTTCTGTGCATGTCAGCAACGGACGTGTGATGGGTCCAAGGTCTCAATGCGTACCTGTATGATCTGGTCCAGCTTCTTGATGGATTCCCGCGTTGGGCCACCGACGGCAAGCGAGGCCGAAGACGGCGGCGAGACCGCATCGCTGCCCCCGCCAGGGTCTATCGACGGGGCGGGCAGGGCGGCTTCGGAGGAGCGTGTGCGGCTGATGAGGGCGTCTCTCGAATTGTTGGTGCGTGTGGGATTTGTCTGGGGCGAGGTAGCCGGCGATGAGCCGCGAGGCGGGTGGCGAGCCTGTTGATGCATTGTGATGGAGAGGCCGTGACGAGTGGGAGTGGATGAGTGGAGGAGTCAGCTCGATGTGGACTTCGGCCGGCTGGACTGGATTGGGCGACGGTCGGTGAGCGTCGAGCGTCGAGCGTCGAGCGTCGAGCGTCGAGCGTCGAGCGTCGAGGCGTCGAGCGTCGACAGTCGTCGACCTGGCCGCCCCGAAGAGGAGAAGAAGGGGGAGATGACGACGAGGGCGGACGGGCTACATTTATCCCGGACGAGACCAATTGTGCGCGATGCGAGGCCGTTGGTCGTCGTCGTCGTCGTAGGCGTCTTGGCAGAAGCGTCTCCGGTCGGGAGCAAGGTTCGTGTCGTGCTGTGGCTTGTGGAATTGTGTGCGGTGGCTGCCAACCGCTGGCTGCTGGCAGCTGTTGACTGGCTGCTGGCTGCTGGCTGGCTGGTCCTGCTGGCCGGCCGGTCGGTCCTGTTCGTAGCGGAGCGACTTTTCGGTCTGGCGGGTTGGCGAATCAGAGCGAGATGGCGTGTGCTTTGCAGTCTGCCGTCTGCCGTCTGCCGTCAGTCTGCAGTCTGCAGTCTGCAGTGCAGGGATGATCGGCAGGCCTCCTGGCTGCGCGGATGGACGTGGACGTTGAGATGAAGTCGTGTGACGACGATGGCTGAGAGCCGGTTGTGCAGTGTGTGGATCCCGTCGTAGGATGATGCAGGACAATGGTGTCAGGAGACTAGGGGAAATGGAAGGATGGCGGACGGGAGCAGAAGGAAAGAAAAGGAAGAAAAAGAGAAAAAGACGAAAGACGAAAGACGCCAAGATAGGGAAAGCGACAGCAGACGGGGGAAAGGTACGAGACTGTGGGCGTGAAGAGGGCAAAAAGAAAGGAACGCGGGAGCAGACGGGCAAAGACGTCTGCAATCAGGCCCCGGACGGCAGGTCGTCGACGGTCAATCGCGACTCGAACAGAGAGAGACAGAGCTTCCTAGGGTAGTTTCGTGCTCCGTGCTCGCAATGCTGCGATACGATGGAGCCTGTTTGTTATATCCTTGTAACGGCCTCCCAGCCTACGTCGTAGAGCCCCGTCTCCCTTGTGCCTTCCCCACCGCAAATACCAGGCAATCAACCGTGCTGGAGTCGCTCCGCACTGTGGCCCGCGGCCTGTGACTGGATCGGTCGTTGTTGGATTACGTAACACGATCCATTGCTCTAGCAGTGCAGTATTGGCAGTATTTGTATTACGTAGCTGCACCATCAGCCAAACCAGGCACCCGACTCCAACAACGCCTTCCAGCCAGACTCCGCGCAATGCAGTAATCGCCCTCTCCTGGACGCCCTCCTACGCCTTGTTGCCACGACCCCGATTCTTGGGCCGGGCTTTGCGGGCATTGTCCCTGTCCTTGTCTTCTGGCCGCACTTCCTTGCCTTTGGGACCTCTCCCACCGCGGCCTCCCCTTGTCTTTCTCGTACCTCTGGTATTTTCTCCTTCTCTTTCTCCTTCTCCCCTTCCTCCTCTTCCCTCCGCTTCCTCTTGCGCTCGCCGGCTCTCCTGGTCCCACCACTCCTGAAAGGCCTGCTCCTGTTGGATCTCCTGCAGGCTGCGCTTGGCCACGGCCTCCCGCATGCTTTCCTGCTCCAGCTGCTGCTGCACAATGATGTCGGCCATGCTCAGGCCCAGAATCGGCTCCGCCTTTGGTGCCGGTCGCAGGTACACGCGCGAGTGTGGAACCATCGGCTTCGTTGTCGACGAGGGAGAGGCTGTCGGCTGGGATCGAGTCTGGCCGGCAAACCGGGTGTCTGGTGAGGCTGCTCGGTGGATGTGGGCTTTAGGGAGAGGTACCAGATGAGTGCTTGTAGTAGATGGACTTTTTGGACTTCCAGACTCTGGTCGCGGAGGGTGAGCGCCCATTCCTCCCCCTCCCCCTCCCCCTCCCCCTCCACTCCCACTCCCACTCCCACTCCCACTTTGTCCCTCCATCTGCCAGGGTCCAGACGGCCGTCTTCCTTCGGATGTGTCCCAAGCCATCCCCTTGGACTCCCTTGTGCTGGCCGTCTGGCTCATCTGCTGCTGCTGCTGCTGCTGCTGCTGTTTCTTCCGCTCTTTCTGCGACAGCTTTGCTGGCGTCATCTTGGCCGTGGCCGCCAGCCTTTGGGCGTCGATGCTGGCTGACAGTGCTGATGTCCGGCTGGCCTGCGAGGCTGCTGCCGGCGGCGACGATGTCACCAGCGTCCACTCGACCGACTCGGTCGACATGATGGCGCGCAGGTCCTGCTTCGGGGCTGGCTGTGGTGCCCAGGGGGTGGTGGTCGTCGTCGTCGTAGGTGTACTCGACGTAGTAGTACTCGTAACACTCAAAGGCGTAGTAACTCTCCGCTGACTAAGCCGAATGGTCTTTTGTGATGCCATTCGGCTGACCGGACTCGATACACTTTCGCCCACCTCTTCCATAGCAAACATCAAGTCGGCCTGCGATGTCTCTGGCTGCAGAACCGAGCTGAAAGGTTCGTTTCGTCGTGTCTTGGGTGTCTGTGTCTTTCCAGTCCCTCCTCCACCTCCACTTCCACTTCCTCCTCCTCCTCCTCCTCCTCCCCCCCCTCGAAACGCCATCTCGCGCACCCGCCGCTGTCGCTCCTCGTCCATCTCCTGTGCCAGCCTTGGGTGTCGCTCCAGAAGCTCAGCCTCGGCCCGTCCGCTGCGTGCAAACGGCATCTGGGCCAGCTGGTTGACCCGCACGACGCGGTCCAGCGCGGCCACCAGACGGCCGTCCAGCTCGTCCAGCAGCTGGTTCTCCAGCATGGTCTCCATCTGCAGGCAGACATATTCGAGAGCAGCATCAGTCAGCTGGCGCACGGCGTAGCCGCCTACGAGGTTGAGCATCTGGGCCACGCTGCGCGTGTCGACAAGCCGGCCGATGACCCGCTGGCACACCTGCGCGAGCCGGTCGACCGTCAGCTCGTCAGCCATCGCCAGCACGGCCAGCACGACGTCCAGAAAGGCCTCCAGGCTCGGCGCCCGCAGCTCGTCAAAGAGCGCCGTCCCCACGTCGGCGTACAGCTGCTCCAACACGAAGCCAAACGCGGCCGCGTCCATGTGCCTCAGATCTAACCGCACTGACTCTCCTGGCTGCAGGGCTGCTCGTCGTGCTGCCAGCCAGCGTCCGTCTGAGCGGCCGTGGAACAGGCCGTCAAACCAGCGACATCGTCGACACATCAGCACGCTGTGTACCCGTGCTGTCGCCCCGTCCTGGAGCTCCACCACTGCGTCCCCGTCGGCAAAGAAACGGCTGTCTTGCATCGCTGCCCGCATGTCTGCGTCTAGCGTTCGCTTCGGCTCCGTCTGGATTCGCACTGCACTCTCTAGTGCTCCCATGTTCAATCGTGTCGCCAGCCGCATCACCTCCGTTCGCACCTGTCGGTATCGATGTGCCACAGGCGCTGCCTGTCGGCTGTAGTTCCACACTGGAATCACCCGGTCCTCGTACATGTACAGCACCATGTTCAGCAGGCTCAGCAGATCCAGATCGGCAAATGTGACGACTGTCGTTCTTTCGTCGCTCTCGAGCCCCGTCTCGATCGAGCAGACCTCTGGGACGTCCCGATGCTCTGTCATCGCCTCTCGCAGCACACTGCTTCGTGCTGTCAGAATCCAGCTGTGCACTGGGATCTGTAGTTTCGGTGCCAGCGAAGAACACACCACAACAGCCCCTAGATCCGTCTGCTGGTGACATGCCCACACCTCCAGATGGCGCGTCAGATCCGCCTCCAGATCGCCTGACCGCAGAATCTCATACGCGATCGGCCCCAGCGTTTCCTTCAGCACGTCAGTCTTCCAGAACTGCAGCGTGTCTCCGCCCGCCGACGCCTCGAATCCCTGGAGCACATGCAGTGGCGCCACGTCGTCCCATAGCGTCTGCTCAGCCACTCCGATCTGCTCCTGGATCACCGCCGAGTCGCATCGAATTGCCGCAAACGCCCCAAACGCCGAGCTGCGCACCGTCGCCACGTTGCTGATAAACGGCACCCGCTGGAACTTGTAGTCGCCGCCCTTTCCCTTGGCCTTGGCCCGTCGCACCCGCCGCCACACCGCTCCCGAGTACGTGCTGATGATCACAGAGCCCTGCTCGCCCACTCCAACTGATCGCACTCCATCCTTGCGCGCGCTCCAGATGCATCGTGCCGGCGTCAACGCCTCACGGATCTTGGACGGGTTGGTCGTCGATGTCGATGTCGATGTCGATGTCGTCCCCGTCAGACTCATCGTAAACAGGTCCCCCCGACTCGTCACCGCCGCGATCGTCTCGCCGCCTGACGCGATCTTGTCGATCTGGCTGCGTCCCGGCTCAAACCGTCCGCTCAGTCCGCCGGCAAACGGAAACTTGACAATGTTGTAACCGTAGCTCGTGAACACACACACCGTGTGGTTCGCCAGCAGACACGTCGTCGCCCTGTCGATCGCTGACACTGCCACGATCGCTGACGAGAACAGCGACGCCGCCACCCGTCGCGGCACCGCTTGCACGTCTAACGACCGCGAGTCCGCGTCCATCAGCGCCAGCTGACCCACGTTGCGTCCCCAGCAGTACAGAGAGCTGCCCGTGTGCGCCACCGAGTGCAGTCCCGACGCTGCCACTCCCAGGATCCGCTCCTTACGCAGCGGTCCAAACACCTGTCGCGGTACTGCACTCATCGCCTCCTCGTCCGTCCGCGAAGGCCCCCCCGCCAGCGTGTATCCCAGCTGCGCACTGCTGTTCGATCCCCACGTCCACAGCTCGCCCCCGTCCGTCACCGCCATCGTGTGGTTCTGCCCCAGCGCTACCGCCGCCACGTGCTTGTCCGCCAGCGGTCCCTGCACCGGCACAAACGAGAACCGCGTGTTCTCGTCCCCGAGCCCCAGCCGTCCGCCGCGTCCGATCCCGCATACGTACAGGTTCGACACCGCGTCCGTCGTCAGCACCGCGCTGTGTAGCTTCGACAGCACCACGTCCTGTATCACCAAAGGCCGCCCCTGTACCAGCACCGGAATGTCCGCCACGTCGTGCCGTGCTTCGTCTGTCGGGCTCGTCGTCGTCGTCGTCGTCGTCATCCTTGCCGTCGCTTCCAGATGTTCCTCGTAGAACCGGTGCAGCAGGTCGTCCGGTCGTCGGAGATACACCCGTTCCGGGAACTGCCGGTCGTCGCCGTCACCCAGCCCCAGCGTCAGGTTCTTGTTGCTGCCAAAGAAGAAGAGCTCCTCTCCACTTCCCAGTCCTGACTGTCCGCCCGCTTGCGCCTTGTTCTGCTGCTCCGCAACCTCGTCGCTGTCTGAGTCCTGCCCCGAGTCCTTCGTCTTGTCGTCCAGCGCCTCCAGCATTCGCTCGCCGATCGTCGAGTTGTACAGCTCAAACGGACTGTTGCCCTCGTGGTCCTTGGTCTTGATCAGCTGTCCTGTCCGGCCAGTCGGAGCCCCCAGCGTCTGGCCCGCCATGTCCATCCGCTCCTTCTGCAGCAGCATCCGCGCAATCCCAATATTGCCCGCATACAACGCCCGGTGCAGCGCGTTCCACCCGCTCTCCGCATCCTGCACGTAGATGTCGATCGCCGGGTGCTCCAGTAGCGCCTGCACAAATGCACCCGCCCTGTCCGACGTCGACGAAGCCGCCCGCAGCAGAATCGTCAGTCCTGCATGGTCCACACTGTTGATCGCGCTCTTGCCCACGGTGCCTGCTGCCCCCGCTTTGGCCTGGTGACCCGACGCCTTGCGTGTCTTGTAGCTGCTGCTGCTGCTGCTGATGATGCCCTCTTCAAAGCTGCCGCTTCCTCCAATGCTTCCGGTCCCGCTGCTGTTGGCATTCCACACCGCTACCGCCTGGGCACTGTGGCCCGTCAGCGACAACAGCCGCCGGAACCGTTCGACATTGTCCGCGTAGTAGCTCGCCCACAGTTGACTCATCGAGAACACACCAAAGCCCCTCCTCCACGCTTCGCACGCGCAACCTCGCTGTGAATCTCGGCGGATCACGGCTTGTTTAAAGGTGCGGAAAGGAAGCGCGCCGAGAAGAGGACCTGCACCACCAAATCCGTCTCGATGGATAATGGTCGTCGCAGCTTCGCCGTAGGGCCTGCCGTCTCGGAAGGAATACTCGGGAGGGCGTCGAAGCGATGCTGCTATGATCAACTTGGAATGATCTTTGTAACTGGGAGACGACCTCAGACGGTACCGATGTCCGAATTTCTAAAAATTGAAGCGCTATCGGTGCAGGGATTGTTGTGCTGGATGCGACAGCTACGAAAGGCTTATGTGGTTGATTAATGGGTAGTAGAAAGAATTATGGAGAATTGCCACGGGGAAATGGCCAGAATTGTGTGTGACGCGCTGTGATAAGCCGGACCGGACGCTTTCCAGCGGGCTGATTGGGCTCGCCTGCACTACCAGCCAATCGAATTGGCAGGTGCCTAGAACCAGCGATCCCAAAGGCTCTCCTCAACAGCCGAACTGCTGCGCCTGCTCGATATATCATCTCACTTCTCCCCGCTGCTCGCCGTCCTCTTTCTAGTCACTGTCGCTCTCTGATCATCTCGCACGCTCCCTGCAGCCGATTGCGGCTTGCAGGGCAGCTCTCCACTGTTTTGTTCTCGACCCCGCGCGGCCGGTCTGTCGCCGCTGCTTAGTCATCACCCTCCCACCATCGCACGCAGAATGTCCTGCATCGTTGCAGAGCATGTTCGGCATAATCCCGCGGGAGAGGTTGCCACATGCAGAGGTTTCGGACTAGGAAGGCACAGCCGCGCTGTCTCCTGCCATGGCCCTAGACAAGCTTCTGCATAGCTTCTTACCGATACCGGTTGGCAAGTGGATGTTTCCGTACTGCCTGCCCTGTGGAAGCGCGTAAGGTACCTGTAGAGCAGACATGGCTCCATGCCAGCGCGCCTTCCTGCGGGACCCTGGAACAATAACGCTATTTTCCGCAACTATTTTTTCCTTTTCTTGCATTATTTTGGCTATTCTTTTTATTGCTACTATCCGGGCCCTTTTTCCTCATCGCAATCGTCCTCTCTTGTCTGCACCCTCTCTTTCCTAATCAGCTGTCAGTCCCTCGTCCTGGTTTAGAATTGCAAAACAGCCAGTCCTCGTCCTCAGCAGCCTTTCGGCAGCCTTTTCTCGTGTATATTCGCCCCGAACCCACCCAATTAGCACCCGCCGGCCGTGCCCGATAGCCTCGGTCAAGATGACTGAAAAGCCGCTTCCGTTCATATACCAGTTCGCCGCCGGGTATGCCACTCCCAGCTCCTCCTGACCCCAGCTGGCTCTCGTGGCCATAGTGTCATCTGGACACTACCGTCTTGTGTGGTGTCTGCCTTCTTCGCCGATGCTTCAGAAGCCTACATTGCTGACATGGATATGAACCAAAAGTGCGGTCGCCGGCGTCTCTGAGGTCAGTGGATCTGAGCCAACAACTGACATCACGCCCGTACTGACCCCATGTTTAGATTCTGGTCATGTACCCGCTGGATGTCGTCAGTACGTAGCTGCGACAGAACCCCCAAAGCCACCCGAAACTTGGCCATGACTGTTGCTAACTGCATCTCCCCTCTAATCAGAGACTCGTGTGTAAGTTATTCAAGTGCGCATGCTTCCGCTTCTGGTTGCCAAGCTCATAATCACAGGCAACTACAGACTGGCACGGCTACTGGCCCCGACTCGTACAACGGCATGCTGGACTGCTTCCGGAAGATCATTCGTCATGAAGGGTATGTCATACAGCCCCATAGACCGTCCCCCAACGCACAGTCGAAACCTGAGACTCACATCCAAATCTTTACAGCTTCTCGCGGCTATACCGTGGTATCTCCGCCCCCATTATGATGGAGGCACCGAAGCGTGCCACCAAGTTCGCGGCCAATGATGAGTGGGGGAAGTTCTACCGCAACCGTATGTGCTGCCATGGCGTCCTGAGTCAGCCTTGCGTCTTTATGGAGGCTAACGATGGTCAGTCTTCGGCGCTACACACATGACTCAGAGCCTGAGCGTGCTGACCGGTGCTACCGCCGGTGCTACCGAGAGCTTCGTGTACGTGGAAACCCAATGGATTACGTAATCCATATCTCTGGCTCGCAACTTTTGCTAACTCCCGCAGCGTCGTCCCCTTTGAGCTTGTCAAGATTCGCCTCCAGGACAAGGCGTCCAAGTACACCGGAATGATCGACGTCGTCACCAAGACGGTGCGCAACGAGGGCGTCCTGGCCATGTACCAGGGCCTAGAGAGCACGCTCTGGCGCCACATTCTCTGGAACGCTGGCTACTTTGGCTGCATCTTCCAGGTTCGCCAGCTGCTGCCCAAGGCCGAGACCAAGCAGGGCCAGATGGTGACCGACATCACCGCCGGCAGTACGTGTCCCACTCCGTAAGCCTTGTATTTTGCCTTCATTATTACTGACCCCCCTTGTTCAGCTATCGGCGGAACTGTCGGCACAATTATCAACACGCCCATGTGAGTTTCACCCCTAGTTCTCTCGTGCTGACCGCAATGGCTAATATCGTTCAGGGATGTCCGTACATGACCAGAGTCTTGCTCGCTCTAGGCTCACCCCTTTGCTCCCCCCATTGTTCTCGTACTAATCGTTTTCTGCAGGTTGTCAAGAGCCGTATTCAGAATGCCACACGGGCGGCCGGCGTGACCCCCAAGTACAACTGGGCCTGGCCATCTGTCGGTCTGGTCCTTAAGGAGGAGGGCTTCGGTGCCTTGTACAAGGGTTTCCTGCCCAAGGTTTTGCGTCTGGGCCCTGGAGGTATGCATCAACTATCTAGCTGAGATCCGAACCCGCCTCGTCCTACTCTGACCTTCTGCTAATAAAATAACAGGTGGCATCCTCCTGGTCGTGTTCCAGGGCACTATGGACTTCTTCCGCAAGATGCGCGAGTCAAGTGCATGAGCGAGAATGGACTGTTTGTGACGGAGTATTCTAGACGATTGGACTGCCAATTCTCATGTAAATGTGGCGCCCCGTAAAAAGTTGGCATGATATCATGTTACTGTTTCTTTGGATATGCTTATTGGTGGCCTCAAGCCGTCTGTAAACAAGGATTTCCGCGCAAGGGTATATCTAGACGAATAAAACGAGTATAAACAATAACCAGGAGGAGATTCATAGATGCTGATCAGCGGAACCACCAGTTGACGGATGCATTCAGCCTTCCGTCAGCATAAGCACTCTTGACGCTGTGCCACCATCCCTTCGGAATGAAGAGCATGTCCCCAGGCTCGACGTGGGCCTCCTGTATGGAGGTCATTGCGACTGTGGCATGGGCCTCTGTCCAGATGGCATCGTGCAGAGGTCGCCGCTCGGGTCCCTGCATCATTTCCTCGCCGCGGATGCGCGAGTGAGCCGTCGCTGCTGTGGATGTCACGCTCCTCGCCAACTCCGTCTGCACCTGGCGGAATATTGGTTCGCCTGCAGCCGGTGGAGCCAGCCGCACCGTCTTGCTGCTGCATAGCTGGCAGAACAAGTTTGGGTTGGGGTCGCGGTGCCACGGCGTGTAGGTTGGCTCGAGACCCAACCAGAGGCTCGTATCGTATATGTCGCCTCGGCCGCCGTGACGGACAAGATGCGGCGTGGGCACATCGTCCCGCAGCTCGGTCGGGAGGTCTGACAGCGACGCCTGGGCGATGTAGAGCTGCGTCAGGAGGGGCATGCTCGACGGCCGCGTTGTGGGCGTCCCGGCGAGCGCTTCCCGGTTGTACTTGAGCGCCTCGATCAGCAGGGCAAGCGGCGCATGCAGCTGTACAAGCCGCTGCTCTGCTCTGGAGGTTTTCCCGCCTCTCAAGAGGTGGTGCCTCACAAGCTCAGCGAGACCCTGCCGTAGGCCGCTATTGCAAGGATTTGAGTCCAGCCACGAGCTGAAGCTTTCAAGAGCATCTCTCGAGCCGGCCTCACTGTGGTTATCCAAAGGTTCTGCGCATCGTGGAGGGCACATGATCTCGTACGGAAAGAAAGCCATGGAAAACTGCTCCAGGTATGGACTGAGAGTCACCGTAGCTGCCGCGGTCTCAGAAACGAACCAGCGGCTGGTGGCGGCAAATTCACCTCCTCGATCATTGGAGACATGCCGCCCCACGCCATTTCCAGCTCTGATGAGGAGCGGCCGCTCGGGCAGGAATGCAGACCTTCGGAACGCATCCAGGTCATGAGTGGACAGATTCACTGCGGGAACCTGCGAGACATTCGAAGAACTGCCGCTGTACCGTCTAGACAACATGTCACAGCGCCTGGTCAGCCCAATTAAAACGTGACGCATGCATCCCATGAGTGAAAGTTTCGCTGGCCGCCGAATCAGCATGTGTAGACGCAGAGGTAGTGCAAGAAGGTATGCTAGACTTCAGGTGAAGCAATGTTTGCTTGAGCACGTGCCGTACCACGTGTCTCTTCCAGGTAGGACTTATGTCGACAGGGTTGTCGCGCACGGACCAAGTGGCGTACTCCCACCAAGGTCGAGAAAAGTCTACGGCAACAGGAGCAAAACATTACCCTAAAAGCCCAGCCAAAAGCCTATGGGAAGCCGGTCAGCCAGCATTTCTGGAGTCTTCGCATCGTTCTGGCAAGTCGGTATCCAAAAAAGGGTACAGAATCTGGCCTGCTGCCAGCCTTGTCCACTGCACACGCGGACGCAGACACACGCAGCAAGCGGCTGATCAACGCCCGAAGCACCATGTTTGCGCCGTTATCACGACCGTTGTCCGCCTAGTTGATAAATTCGCCAGACTCGCCGTTCGCCGATTGCTTGCGCGTCCATCGACAGTTCTTCCCTCCCCAATCCCAAAAGCCTCGCTCTTTATTTCTGTCACCCCGCCATCCAGCCACTCTGAAGCGAAGCTTGCAACACGCTTTTGACGATATCCCACGGCCTCGAGCTGCAACTGCTGCATCGCCGTGTCCTATCCAGGGGAAATCAGCGGGGTAAACTGACCCGTAAAACGAAGGCCAACCAGAGGTCGAAGACGACCGGGAACAAAGAGAGAAAGAGAGAGAAGATGTCGACGTCATCAGAAACCCCGGAGACGTGGATAGCGTCGTTCTGCTCTCTGCTGGGACATGAGTACTTTGCCGAAGTCTCGGAGGAGTTCATAGAAGATGATTTCAACCTTACGGGTCTCCAATCCCAGGTGCCGCTGTACAAGGAAGCGTTAGAGGTATGTTGAGACTGATTGAAACGATAAAGGGGAAAAGGGGCGACGCAATTGTCATGGTGATGGACGAAATTGAAGGACGGATGGAAGTAAATGCATGCCAGACCAGAGAGCTGACGCGTTTCGAGCAGATGATCCTAGACGTGGAGCCAGAAGAAGACGAGGAGGACGAGGAGGACGATGAGGACGATGAGGAGAACGAGTCGGGCGAGGAGCGGATGCGGCAAGGCGGCGAGCGGCGGCATCACAGCCGGATGCCGAGCGACCTGTCGATGATCGAGGGCTCTGCCGAGCTGCTGTACGGCCTGATACATCAGCGGTTCATATGCTCGCGTGCGGGCATCCAGCAGATGTCGGAAAAGTACGAGCTGAGCCACTTTGGCGTATGTCCGCGCACGTACTGCAACCTAGCCCGTACGCTGCCGGTCGGACTCTCGGACGTCCCCGGCGAGGACACGGTCAAGCTGTTCTGCCCCTCGTGCCTGGACGTGTACGTGCCGCCCAACAGCCGGTTCCAGACCGTGGACGGGGCCTTCTTTGGCCGCACCTTTGGCGCGCTCTTCCTGCTCACCTTCCCCGAGTACGACCTGTCGAGAAACGGCGCCGAGGCCTTGACGACCCTGACACACAGCGACGTGAGCAGCACCGGCAGTGGCAGCGGGCCGACCAGCCTCATGGTGAACGGCATGTACGCGCGCAACATTGCGCCGGGGCTAGGGCGCGGAAAGATTTTCGAGCCCAAGATCTACGGCTTCCGCGTCTCGGAGATGGCGCGCTCGGGTCCGCGCATGCAGTGGCTACGGGACAGGCCAGAAGACACGGCCGACCTGGACGAGGCCCGGCGCTATGCGGAGGAACACCCAGACTCGGACGAGGAGCACGACAGCCGCAAGAAGAAGACGGCGGCTCCGGTCGATGCCAGCCTGACCGCTCATCGGCGGCCACCAACCGCCAGCCGCACCACACGGCAGCAGATACAGACCAAGACCCAAACTTTGTTACAAAATACGACGCAGCCAGCCCAGCGACTAAGGCAACCCCTGAACGAAAGCTCCATGTCAGTCGATGCTACGGCCATCGAGTCTGAGCTGTAGCTGCTGTCCGTCTACCCATCTCTCCTTTGTTTTTCTTTCTCCTTTGTCACAGGTTACTCCTCTTCTCTCTTATTTTCCTTCCTATTGTCACGCCGGGGGTTTTTATACTGGCATGCGGGAAAGGACCTGGAGAAGGAAGAGAAAAGAAAGAGGAAAAGCGAAAAAAATTTGAATTTTGTTAGAGACGAGGCAACTCTGCAACGACAGCAAATCTGGACTGCGAAGCGATGAGTGGATAGCATAATGGCGGGCACTTTTGGAGAACATTTCAAATCAATTGACAAGAGAAGACCAAGACTGGCAACGAAACACAACCCCCATTTTACAAGGACCCTTTGACCTTGCCATTTCCCAGTCATCTACGGAGGGGCCGTTTTCTCCCAGCCATATCCCCTGTTCTGCCCACCCTCGAGTCATCATTCATATTTCATAGATCTAGCGCCTGTGCTTTGCGCTGCGTCGTGTCTTTCCATACCATCTGTGACTTTTTGAACTACCTGTTTCTTTTCCTCATCACTCCTGTTGTCATTTAATCATGTGTGGTCGGCGAGTTTCTGGCTCGGTCTATGGTGGCGTTTCATGTTAGTTGTGTCTCTTACGCTTGATACCGTCTGGGCTCTGATTGTACGGTTGATGATAGGTGAAACAAACGCGTAGTTGCTCTCTGTGACTGCCATTTTAAACTTGACTATCGCGGTCGCTGTACTCAACGTGATGTCTCTGTAGTCGTGTTCGCGCCCCTGCTATTTTTCTCCATTCCCTTTACACAGCGTTCTGCCGACCAATTGCCTGTTTGGTGGACTAAAATAAGTTACTTTTTACTAGGGATATATGGTTATTGAGCATAAGGACTGACGTAGAGACTGGCACAGAGACTGGCACAGAGACTGGCATCGAGAGGTATCAGAAAATCCCGTCCGCCAAACAAAGTATACTAGCAAACAGACAATGGCCCATTTAATAGCCATTAACAGGCACGCTGCCACGGTCAAAGAACGATCGATCTCTCCCTTAACAGCAAGCTTTCTAAACTGCACATTAGCGAATAGTAGAGTGTAGCGACATAGGAGAATAGTACTTACAATAAACTGCCGTAGTCTTCCCTCAGTTTGGCAATCAGCTCGTCGGCTGTGCGCTCCATCCTCTTCTAGGATTCCTATTAGGCCCTTTCCTGCGCCTCGGCGACGTTACAAGGCATCCTGAACCCCTTGTCAGATGTTCCCGTCAAACCATTAATCGTATGGTCCATTTTGTCTGAGCGTGATTGACACGATCCATTGTTACCTCTGCCTTTTCCATCTGAACATAAATGCGGCGGCTTATAGTGATTCTCTGGGTTACTATACCAGTATCAGACAGAATTTAGTTGCTGCCAATCTGTCAGGGTTTGATTCGAAATGAAGCTGATCCTCATAATCTCACACCCCGCGGGTGGATTGGGTGTAATGTCCCCAGATGCCTTAAGTAGAATGTAACGTTAATATCAACCCGTATTTCACATGGAAAGCAATATGCATACCGCTTTTCATGTTGAGGCTATAGTTGGAATATGTGTCGAATCTGTACAGGAAATGTTCAAAAGGGAGTGAGATGAGAAGATGGAGAAAGTAGAGTGAGATTCTCTCGGCCCTTTTTGTAGGAAGGGAAGTTTAGCGCTCCTTCCTTGTTGACTGCTCTATGACTGCCAGGGTCGCTATTTCCTCAATTGAGTAGATGGTGACAGGGTGGTTCTCGGGTCTTTGATTCAGCTCTTGCAGCCTCTTGCAAGAAGAATCGGAAAAGTAGTGCTGGTCTTGGGCAAGCCTGGATCTGGCTGCACTCCCTTTCACAAGGCTATAGCCAACCAAAATTATGACTACACCTAGACAGCAAAGTGCTATATAGCCCATTCACTATCCAGCAGCTCGGGCGCTATCGCTGTGAGCCGTCTGCAACCAAGAAGACGGCGTCTATCATGCTACGCTGATAGTTCAACATACCCTCGCACTTGCTCTCGATATCAAGGTTGCAGGCAGCCTGGCTGCGCACCATCATCTTTGCTGCCGTCCTGGCCACTGTATATATGACTCTACCAGAGACGACAGAGACTGCCTTTCAACGGACGATTCACGGCGCTGTTTAGGAATATTTTTTTATGTCTCAATCTCCACCCAATAACTTGCGTAAATGATGGTGCCGGTAGCACTACTGTATTGGCAACATTTATCCCACTTTGCTGTTTTGTTGTTATCATGTCTGCTTGCCATTTCGTACAACCCTTACAAGATGATGGACTGAAACGAGCGAAACATCATTTTACACTAAGCCGCAATGACCATTGACACGGCCCTCTCACGCACAATACACGGCAGCCCGTCGTTCATGGGCAGGGTCAGACTGGTCTTGGTGACGCGGTCAGGGCTGCTGCTGCTGTCGGGCTGCACGTCAAAATGCCAGACGACGGCGGCCATGATCTGCACTGCCATGGACTCGGCCATCTTCTTGCCCAGACAAGTGCGCGGGCCGCCATGGAAGACGGGAAACTCGGAGGGGCTGCGGCCGACGAGACGAGCTTGTTCATGGGGCGTTTCAACCAGCCAGCGCTCAGGCCGGAAGTCGTCGGCATCGTCGCCCCAGGTCTGACGTGACCGGTTCATAGCCCACGAGCACCAGAGCACGAGAGCACCACAGGGCAAGAAGGTTCCGTCAGGCAGGGTCAAGCCGGCGGCGGTCTCGACCTGCTTGATCTCAAACGGGATGGGCGGATACAGGCGCAGGCCCTCGAAGAAGACGGCCATGACGTAGGGCAGGGCGGCAGGCGTGAGGGCAGACAGGGTGAGGCTGTTGTTGCTGCTGGCAAGCAATTGCTCGATCTCGAGACGTATCTGGGCGACGACGCGGGGATGCTTCGTGAGCATGTAGAACGTCCAGGTGAGGCCCTGAGCCACAGTGTCTCTGCCTGTTACGGGTTAGCGACAATGACGGTTCACATTGGGTCGTCTCCAAAGAGAGGCTTACCAGCAGAGAGATAATTGAGGGCGGCATCGGCGACAATGTCCTGGTTTGGGATGGCCTCGAGCAGGGACTGGATCAGGCTGCCCGAGACTTCGTCCAGCTTGTTGTCGGCGTGGTCCAGTTGAGCCGCTCGATCGGCCACGGCGCTGGCGACGATGCGACGGCCAAAGGCCCGGACAATGGCCAGTTGGCGACGTAGATCGGCACCGCTGCCAGAGAGCAGATCGGTCAGCTGCCAGAGTGGGTTCTGGAAGCGCTTCGTGGTGGCGGCTGAAGCACGGTCAAAGGCGACAGAGAAGGCGTCCTCGGCGTGCATTTCCATGTTGTAGGCCATCTTGCCCATGATGCAGGACGTCAGCTCGTGGAAGACGGCCTGGAGATCGACAGCGGCCGTGGTGTCGAGAGCGCGCAGGCGGGCCAGCGTGCCGGCCAGGTACTGCGGCAGGGCCACGTCGGTGAGCACGCGGATGTTGGCCGTGTTGAGGAAGCTCTGGCCGGCGCGTCGCTGAACGCGCCAGACGTCGCCGTCAGAGTTGACGATGCCATGGCCTGTGAGGTTAGGTATGGGTGAGAAAGAATGGTGGATGAAAAGTAGTCGCCGACAAGAGACAACATACCAAATAGATCCCACAGCATGCCCTTGACAAAGCTGCCCTTGTTCACGAGGGTGCCCTCGCTCTTGAAGATGAAGTCGAGATTGCGCGGATCGCTGATGACGACGCCTGGCGGCAAAGTCGGCACGGCTATCTGATAGGTTTCGTAGCCAAAGTGGTCTTGGCAGCGCACAAACCAGGAGAAGAGCTTCTGCCGCGCCTGCAGGAAGCGGATGCCATTGCCGGCCAGCGGCAGCGTGTCGGCCGGTTTTCTGGACCGTCAGCCAAAGAGCGTCAATGACCCAGCCCGATGCACCGTGAATCTCACCTCAAAGGGACGCCGTGGCGCCGGAGGACGGGTGTGCTGAAGACGGAGCGCAGCACGAGCGCCAGCAGGATCGCTGCCGCTGCATACAGCAGCCGGGGCCCGTCGGACAGTCCCATGCTTTGGTCTGGGCACGGATCGGTGTTGATCGGTGTTGATCCTTGTCGATCGGTGTTGCTGTTGTTTCGGCCTTTGCCAACGATTGCGAGGCGATCCGTTTCGCTGGGCTGGACTGCAGCCAATCTCGTCCACCGCGGTCGACTCGTCGTTTGTGTCGCTGCTTACCCTTCCATATCGTGTCGTTGCAAACGTATTGCTCACAGGTCAATCAGCCGTTTTCTTCTCTTTCTTCATCTTTCATTTCGCTTCTCGGCAATTAGTCTAGAATATGGTAGCAGAACCTGGCTTTATGGTCCAATTGGCCCAATGACACTCGGAGACGGCCCAGACAATCAGCCCGACACGGCGATTCTTCGTGAACCAACATCTGACCCAGCTTCTCGTTTTCTTGTTATTCCCCTTTCCCAACACCATCGACCACTCTTGTTTTCCCAACTTGGGAATACAGGCACAAAAAGGGCCAAGTTCAGGACGGCAACCACGTCACAGCACATCCTTCCTGATCGGGGATGGTGGAACGATATGTAGCAAATCACTTCAGCATATTATCTTCCTGAGGTAGCATCAAGCCGACTACTGCCACTGAAGAAGATGACCGACCAATTCGTCCAACATTGCAGATTTGCAGAGCAAATGCCTAAGCTTCTAAGCTTCTAAACGCTATTGATATCGATGTCTTGCGAGTACTCCATACAGAGTACACTACTTGAGAACAGCACTCGTAGCCGTAGTCGTATATCAGAGATGTCTCTTACTTTTGCTTCTGGTTGTACATTACGTGAGAAGCAACCGCCATCAAAGAAAATTGCACAACAGGCCGTTCCGACTACCCGCAAATGCCCGGACATACGCTAATGACCGCTAGTTCCGATCAAGGCCATGCCATACTCCGTACTCCGTACTCCGTAGACATTTTTCATTGCTCTTCACTTGTCTCTTTCACTGACTTCTCTGGCGCCTTTGAATGACTAACGAGTCTCAGGTCATGTCTGACAGGTAAGGCTCTCATGGTAGGGATCCCCTCATGATAAGACAGCTTACGGCAGATAGACACAAAGCCGATACCGATGAGCTGATTTTGTTAGTGCTACTTTTCTTTCCTATTAGTGATCGTATGAATGTCCGTTGCATAACTGGCGACAAATCGCCCGTCTTATCAGCCCTACCACAGGCCAGCCCACTCTCTCCCCAAACTTTCCCTTATCTTCGGCAAAAAGTGCCCTGTGCACAAACCCAGCATAGCTGCCCCAGAGACCCGCTATCTACGTAATATCTCAAGGTCCATCCTTGAATTGCTCACAAGTGAATTGTGCCAGGCGCCCTGCCTATAGCCCCATACTGTACTATTTCTAACCCAAACCTGTCATCTTATCTTGAATACGGAGTAGACTAATACCTTGTTTGCCCGTATATACGCTGACGCTTCTGGATGGAAGTCGGTTTTCCGGCCTGCCCGACAGCTAGCCCTTTGTGCCTCGTTACTGCAAGCTCTCTTTATCTCAAAGCTTTCCTCGTCATGTCATGAAATCCGACAGGACGGCTGCAGCTTTACCTAATGGGAATATATCGCGTGCCAGCAGGCCTTGATTCGCCGGCACATCGCTTGGGCCTCTCACCATTGTCCATTGGCCTGATCAACGGCACCTCCTGTCATGCTGCTTACATGCTCCGTTGCTCCCGTGGCAATCCGCGCCTGTTACGTTTCCGTTTTACGGTCCTGTCTCTTCTCCGCCCAGGGTGGTGACAACCCGAGCTGTAAACCCGCGGCGTTCCTTCTTATCCCAATCTCTTAGTCGTCTTTCTTTTTCTCTTTCCTAATAGTAACAGGCGGAGAAAGCCATGCTTTTTTTTCACACGATAAGCTGCTGCTGCTATACTGTAGACGAAGTGCAATTGTCAGATCGCCGGTGCATACAAAAACACTTCGTACACCGCTCCCGGGCGATTTTCTTTCTTCCTGTTCTGCTTCTCTCTTCCTGACCGATGGAATCTGCTCGACTGTAATCATCAGTACTTGGTTGCCCCAGCTTCTTGACCAACCACATCTTCCCCCCTCTTTATCCCACAATGCTGTCCAAGAGCGTTGTCGCCCTGTCCTGCTTGGCTGCTGTGGCTTCTGCCCACGGCGACCACAACCAGCAGAAGAACGTTGCCGGCCCGCTTGAGTCGCTTTGGTACAACACTCTGCCGGGCGATGGTGGCACCCAGGCCGACTCCGTCTTTTCTGGCATTTCTACCTTTGGTCGTCTGCCATACCAGCCGTGTCTGGCTAACAAGAATGTCAACTATGACATTGCCTTTATCGGTTCGTGCACTGGCCCTCTCAGACTGCCTCTGCTTCTTCCATGCTGACTGGCCAGGTGCCCCCTTTGACACCGGCACGTCGTACCGGCCTGGTGCCCGTTTTGGTCCGTCTGGTATCCGCCAGGGCTCTCGTCGTCTGAACCTCTAGTATGCGCTTGTGCCTGGCTCTCTCTCTCTTTCTCTCTCTCTCTCTCAAGAGCTGACCAAAAACAGCGGAGGATACAACGTGCCCCTGCAGACGAACCCGTTCAACAGCTGGGCCACCGTTCTCGACTGTGGTGACATCCCGGTGACCTCGTACGACAACACGTACGCGCTCTACCAGATCGAGGAGGGCCACAATGCCATCCTCTCACGGGCGCCGGCCACGGACGCCAGCGAGGTTGGCCCGGCACTGGGCGGCCGCACGCTGCCGCGTGTGATCACGCTCGGAGGCGACCACACGATCACGCTGCCGCTGCTGCGGTCCATCAACCGGGCCTATGGCCCCGTGTCCGTGATCCATTTCGACTCGCACTTGGACACGTGGAAGCCCAAGGTCTTTGGCGGCTCGCCCTCGCACGTCGCCAGCATCAACCACGGCACGTACTTTTACCATGCCGCCCAGGAGGGTCTGCTGCGCAACGACTCCAACATCCATGCCGGCATCCGCACCACGCTCAGCGGCCCGAGCGACTACGAGAACGACGGGTACTGCGGCTTCGAGATCGTCGAGGCCCGCGAGATCGACACCATCGGCACTGACGGCATCATCGAGCGCATCAAGGCCCGCGTCGGCACCAAGAACCCCGTCTACCTCTCGCTCGACATCGATACGCTCGACCCGGCCTTTGCGCCTGCTACCGGCACCCCCGAGACTGGCGGCTGGTCCACCCGTGAGCTGCGCACCATCCTGCGCGGCCTCGAGGGCATCAACTTGATCGCTGCCGACGTCGTTGAAGTGGCCGTGAGTGCTTCCTTGTTCCTGGCCATCCTCTCTCTCCTTGTACTGACAAAGTGTAGCCCGCTTATGACACCAACGCTGAGCACACCACCATGGCTGCTGCTGATGCCATTTACGAGATCATGAGCCTCATGGTCAAGCACGGCTCGCTCAGCATTGAGAATGAGAAGGCGTCCGATAACGAATTGTAAATAATAGCCTAATGACTGGGCCCATGCTTGTGAGAAGGAGTTTGGAAAGGAAGTGTCGGAGTATGCTGAAGCACAAAGGGTCGTTTCTGTCAGTATCTGCGACGGCTGTCACCCAAAAACGACGTGCAGAGGGTCTCACATGTTATTTCAACGTGTCAGACGACCGATCGACATGAACTATGCATTACGAATAGGATAGAGAATAGAACATGATGCGAAGCATCATGTGGGCGAGACACGTCGAGTTCTAATGCCTGTCGGTGAAGGTGGAAACGGTAACTCTTAAGGTGGTCCAGAAAAGAAGCGGGATAGCGACGTGGAGAAGTGGACCAAACCATGTGACCTGAGCACACTTCCTGTTCCGGACATCCTCTGTCCATCGGTACCAAATATCGTAGCACTCCGTCCGTCGTAGTCGCCGGACTGCCTTGTTTTTTGAAGCCCTTTCCAAGCTCTCAGGCATGTTTACTACTACTCATACTCCACAGTGGTCTGGTCGCCGCTCATCGGTTCATCGGTGGCTGGGACTGCTGTGACATATCTTACATTCTGTTAGCGGCCATGGCAGCCATCTGCCCCACTGGCATGGACACCGAAAGCGGCAAGAAGCTGGCACTGATCTTTCTCGTCCTCAACAACGTGTTGAAAACAGACGATGCATCCGTACTCCGTACAAACGCCACTTCAAAGTGTCCATCATTGCAAAAGTACTCGTACAAAGTACAGTTTGTTTCAATTCTTCCCGTATTTGATCCCGCCCGATATATCTGTACGACGATCGGAACCAATCGCGAATCGCTCCTGATACAATGTGCTCTAGCATGTCCAAGGAATGCAAGATACGAGGAGAGCCTAAGTTCTAGTTCCGGGAAAGTGCATGCCAGTTAACGTTTTGTGCCTTGCATTTGAACCTACCCCGTGGGCCTTATTCACCGAATGGCCCAGTCAGGGTTTTTATACTCCGTACGCTCCCCGAGACCGTCTGTCAATACTCCATACATCGTATGGAGTACCTCAGTACCTCAATACCCACCGGGACTCCATGGCTGTCAAGGTCACTGTCTCACGTATTTCCGGACAGGAACCACGAATACTGTACTAATATCAGAGGATGGCTCTGATTCGGTCGCCGGCCCTCCACCAGAAAGAAGGTGGCTAGACTGGTGGAGAGAGTGTGTGGAGACAGCGCAGAGTACTCCGTAAGAACTTGCAGTTGTATGTAGCTGCTCATACCAGTATGGCGGCATCTCGCGCAGTGGAACAGCTGAAACTGCAGACTTGACTTCAGTTCATCGACGAAGAGGAAACGGGAAGTAGCGATCGTCCTTCTTGTCCCAGCTGATCCCCACATCTTTTCCTGTTCCTGGCATCTTCGGCGTAGTCGGCCTCTTTCCTCTGTCCACTAATATCCCTCTGTTTTTGCAGGTTCTTGCGAGAGCTGATATCTCGCTACTCTTATTCACATGTCCGCTCGTACGCGTACCTCCGTACGTCGTACTCCGTACTAGCAAGACATGAATTTAGGGTTTTAGCTTAAAATATCCGTCCAGGCCCCCTGTCCACAAACAAGTTTAGTGCTGATATGCAAGCGCCCCTTGCGTTTTCCTTCGTATTGGAAGACGCCTCAGCTGTTCGCGGCCAGCTCTCGTATAAAACTCACCTGTACAATTGTATCTTACGTGGTAGCTCTTTCCTAGTCTCCTGAAACATTCTCGTCTCGTATTTGCATTTCTTGCACAACAAAAGGCTCAGTCAAGATGATCGGCTCTTGCCCCCGGACTAATATTAAAAGGTCCATTCCTTCACCTGCCTCGTTTGTTCTTTCCGTTACCGAATTCTCACAGATAAATAGTAGCAACCATTTACTCAATTTCTTCCTTTCTGATTCACAACAACATCACATCTTCACAGCCTCCAAACTATAGCTTTCTTTTTTCTCCTCATCCAACTACAGCTCTCCCGTCAGAAGAAATTTCCACATAATCAAAATGAAGACTGCTACTTTCACCCTCGTCGCATCCGCAGCTGCTTTTGCCAGCGCCCAGGTCACATATAACAGCAGCACCGGTGCATTTACATGCGCTAAGCCCGATGTTGCATACTGTGCTGGTGACTCGCTGAAGACCGATATCATCATCCGTTGCGACGCAAGTGGTGTTGGTCAGCCCGGCCGCTGCAGTGATGTGAGAATCTCTCCTTTGATTGTCCTTGGCCTTTTTCGTCCAGAACGCATACTAATACAATTGACAGAACCTTGACGGTGAACCTCCTGTTGGTAATACTCCGTCGCTGTGCTGGCAGGCGAACAATTCCAGCGGTGAAGCGGCTTGTGAGAAGAACTGCGTTGTCTACGGCGGCTCTGGCAACTATGACGGCACCTTTACTTTGCCAGCAAGTGATTGCACGCCGACCTACACAGCCTCTGCCACAGATGTGGCCTCTTCGGCCGAGCCAACATCTGTCACCGAGAGCTCTTCTGCCTGGAGCGTCATTACGACCCGAACCAGCTGCTCGTCTGCGGTCCCTGCTCTCGCCACTGGCGGTGCCACCCAAAGCAGCAATGTCACCATTGTGGGCACCGGCTCGGGCTCGGGCTCTGCCCCCGGAACTGCCACAGTTGGCGCAAGCAGCAAGACCCCCGTGGGTCCGACTTCCTCGGCCGGCGCCAGCGTTGTGCCCGTTTCCGGTGCTTCCATCAACAAGGCAGGCGGCATGCTCGCGGCTGTCGGCTTCCTCGCTGCTTACTTCATGTAAGACTGGGAATGCTAACGCCTCTTTGCTTTCGTTATACCTGGGACTTGTATGATTCTGAGACCGGCCTATCTGGACTCATTCTGGCGTTTTGAGGGACACTGTCATATGCATGTTTCGTCTAGGCATGATTGAGGACATCATGATTATGAGACATTGTACGTTATGCACGGCTTGTTCCGTTAGCATATGGTTTTATCCGTGCGATCACTGGTCTTTTATATTTAATCCTAATGGGGGCGAACAGTCTTGGAAAGTCGTATCACGGCACCAGGGGTATGTTAGTTAGATGATGCAAAGAGAGTGCGCACTATCACGATGACAATAGAGCACATTGTCAGACAACAAGCCTTTGCACAAGTTTCGGTAATGTACACAGTAGACTTGACTGAGGGGTCTAATCTCGAATCGAGTATTGCACAACGATGCCTTACCCCAATTGTTTTTCTTTTCCCGTGGCTAGGCAGCACAACTTTCACAACGTGAAGAAAACACGTGACCTATGAGACTGGCAATATTTCATCATATGGAGTACAACTTGCATATATACGACCAGGCCTAGCATATTCTGTCCTCTAAAGAAAGCTAGACCAAACGTTATATGGCTGGTACGACGAAGCCGAGAAGACTAAGTTAGGAGATTCAGTGTTATTTTATCTTACCTGCCTCACACGACCGGCATGCCTTCCAAAACATAAGTCGACAGACGTATCTGCGTCCATCTATCTCAGCATGGCAACTAGTCTTTCAGCACGGGGACCGGCTCCAATGGATCAGCCACGGCCACGGCATCCTCGTCGCGGTACCACTGGAGGAAGACGTGCAGGCGGTCGGTGCGATCGCGGGCGAGGCGACGGCCGGTAGCAGTCTTCATGCGGGACCCGACGTGCAGCAGCTTGTCGTCAAAGTGGTCGACGCTGGTCTGAAGGGTGCGACCGCCGCGGGCGGCGCCGTAGGCGAAGACGCGACCGATGCCGATGGCGCCGATAGAGTCGAGCCGGTCGGCGTCTTGCACGATGGCCAGCTCAGGATAGCGAGCAATCAGATCGGCGGTGGCGGCGATCGAGGCGGCCGTCTTAGTCTCAAAGGACCAGCTGACGTGCTGACAGAGCAGGGGCACAAGGCGGACGAGCTCTTCGGGGGCACCGCAGCGACGCAGCACGACGGCGGTGGCGCGGGCACCCGGATCGGGAAACAAGGCATGGAGGGCATCGTCGGCATTGTCGGCATCGCCGCTGCTGCTCGCAGTTTTGTCTATGTCGAGGTACTTGTGGTCGCCGACGTCGTGCAGGAGGGCGCACAGCGTAATGAGGCGGAGGTTCAAGACGGAAGGACCGGCCTGCTGCTGCTCATGTTCGGCCAGATAGGCAGCCGTGCCGACGACGCGACGGATGTGGGAAAAGTCGTGGGAGCCGTCATAGCGGGACATGTGCAGCCGCACGGCTGCAGTGACGGCCTTGACGAGAGGGTCGGCCGTCAGCGAGACCTGGAAGCCGGACGTCGGGGAGGTCATGGCCACGAGAGAGTTTGAGCGAAAGAGCGAGAGGAAGAAAGAAAGAGAAAGCCTCGTGTGGATCGTGATGTTGGGCCGCGATGGGAAGCTTGTGGTTGATAGTAGTGAAGCTTCGACCAATCAGAGCTGCCAATCAATCGACGCAGCTTAACAACGGCCCCGCTAGCCGCAAACGCAGTCACCGCTTTCGACCGTGATACACAACAACGGCGGAATTCATGCCGTGCTCAGTTGGACAGAACGAGGACGTCATTGTGGCTTGTCATGACTCGTTCTGGCAGGTCGTATGGTAACACCTGGGCCGGTCGTCTGGGTGGACGCCATAGTCAACATGACGAAGCTGAACGATGGCGTCACTTCATCTCACACGCTTTGTGCACCGACGACCGACATTCGCAGCGATTTCGTACGAGGGCCTCGAGAAGGACGGAGCTGCAAGGGAAGCGATCGTCCCGGCTCTCCCGCAAGCGGCTTCACAAGGCAAATTACGACTTTACTCTCTCAACGGCGTACGAGTACATATCTTGCATATGGTCAGCCCCCACACACGGATCTATGACAACTTCCTAAAAGGGCAGCACACCTCGCTGTGCTGGAGCCCTGCCAATCTCCCACGTGGATCCCAGATTTGCAGAGACAAGCCGGCCGAGCGAGAGAGCGACCATATCTGCCTCGGAAGCCTCTGATCGACGGGGACCGGCCGAAATTGCTGTTTTTACATTGCAAGCGTCGTCATTGGCCAGGGTGATCATTAATACACTGCCGTCTGCTAGCGATGCTGAACATGATTTGTTTCCGTCCGTTTTAGTGCTGGTGTTGAGCCGTTTTGTCCAATCGTCAACACACATGCAACCGATTACGATGCAACCGTGCTCGTCATTTTTCCTCTTCCATATCCTGGCGCCCCACCCTTTGCATATCAAGCAGTGCCGGACAAGCATCCAGAAATGAGCACGACAGGGGTCGTCTGTGGACAAGATGGTGTATCTTACTGGGAGAGATGGGGGCAGAGCACGATGGCGCGATAGTATAAGGGAGAGTCTCGCTCTCACGAGGACGAGGAGCTGGATGCCCAAGACGAAGACGGCCGACAGACGATAGACAGAATCACCATGGCCCGTCTTGCAGCGATTGCCAAGGGCGTGCCAGTGCTGGCAGCGCTCGCACATGCGGTCAACTATCCGGCTAAGCCAGCCGACCTGACGACGCCGGTGCAGCAGCGGATTGCGGTGAACGGGGCAAGCTGTACGTGATGACGGGATGAGTGCGAGGAGAGGAAAGAAAGAGATGTTGATGCTGACTAAGCAGCCATATCGGTGGGCTGGAACACGTACGAGACGCTGTCGCAGGCGTGTGTGCAGTACGGACTGGCAGCAGATGCGCTGACGCTGGAGGCGTGCTCGAACACGTCGACGACATATGCGACGTCGCGGACGTACTCGCACGCGGTATCGTTGCCGAACCTTAAGACCGCGACGACATACTACTACAAGATTGTGTCGACCAACTCAACGGTCGAGCAGTTCATGAGTCCGCGGCAGGCCGGCGACACAACGCCCTTTACGATGAGCGTGGTGATCGACCTGGGCGTCTATGGCAAGGACGGCTTCACGATCGCGATGGACCACACAAAGCGCGACCTGATCCCGCTGGTCGACCCGTCGCTCAACCACACGACCATCGGCCGGCTCTCGGCCACGGCCGACGACTACGAGTTTGTCCTGCACCCGGGCGACTTTGCCTACGCCGACGACTGGTTCTACAACGTCGAGAACCTGCTGGTGGGCGAGGCTGCCTACGAGGCCATCCTCGAGGAGTTCTACGGCCAGTTGGCCCCCGTGGCTGCTCGCAAGCCATATCAGGCCTCGCCGGGCAACCATGAAGCAGACTGCGAGGAGCTGCCGTACACGGCCGCCCTCTGTCCGGCCGGCCAGAAGAACTTTACCGACTTCAACAATCGCTTCGGCCGCTCGATGCCCACGGCCTTTGCGTCCACCTCGACCAATGCGACGGCCCGCGTGCTGGCCAACAAAGCCCAGCAGCTCGCTCGGCCGCCCTTTTGGTACTCGTTTGAATACGGTATGGTGCACGTGATCATGATCGACACCGAGACCGATTTTGCCAACGCGCCCGACGGCCCCGACGGCAATGCTAACCTCAATACTGGCCCGTTTGGTGCTGACGGCCAGCAGCTCGCCTTCCTTGAGGCCGATCTCGCCAGCGTCGACCGCTCCGTTACGCCCTGGGTCATCGTCGGTGGCCATCGGCCGTGGTACTCTACCGGCGGCTCCGACAACATCTGCACGGCCTGCCAGACTGCTTTTGAGCCGCTCTTCTACCGCTACGGCGTCGATCTCGGCATCTTCGGCCACGTCCACAACTCCCAGCGCTTTCTGCCCATCAACAACAGCATCGCCGATGCTAACGGCCTCAACGACCCCAAGGCCCCGGCCTACATTATCGCCGGTGGCGCCGGCAATGTCGAGGGCCTCAGTTCCGTTGGCGATAATGCCACTGCCAACGTCTTCGCCTACGCCGACGGTTTCAGCTATGCCACCGTCTCCTTTGTCGACGCCTACAACCTCAAGGTCGACTTCTTCCGCTCGTCCAACGGCGAGCTGCTCGACTCGTCTGTGCTGTACAAGTCGCACACGGAGCAGTTTGTGGACCAACAGTAGCAGTAGCAGTAGCAGCAGCCTGCCTGTGCCAGGAGGAAAGGCTTCATTCTTGTATCTGTCGCTCCATAGTAGTCCATAGTCCACCAGACGTCATCCTCGATCAGGCAGCCCCTCACCAATCGCCCGCACCGTGTCGTAGCTCCATCCCATGCCACCGTGGCTCTGCCGTGTCTCGTCCCACTCGCGCAGTCGATATCGCAGAGGCGGCAATCCGGGCACGGCCATCGGTGGTGGACACAGCCGTGGCGTCGTGTCGGCCGACGTCTCGCTGTCCTCAAACGAGAATATCCGGTAGTCCGCATTTCCAAACATGGCGCCGGCCACGGCCCGGCTGAGAAAGGCCGAGTGCGACACCACGAGCACGACGTCCTCAGGCCGACCGTGCAGCTCTTCGAGCACCGTCTGTGCCCGCGTCACCAGGGCCTGTCGTGAGTATGCATAGGCCTTTGCCTGGGGCGAAGTCTTGTCGGGGAAGACAGGATCGACATCGGCAAAGTCCACACCGGGAAAGTCGAGCGCCAGCACTGCCGTGTCCGAGCCGATGTCACACGCGTGCTCCGTGGTTTCCTGCCAGCCGGCATGCGCCCGGATGGGCACGGCTGCCGCAGCTGATGGGCCGACGAGCCAGTCGAGCGCCTCGACAGCCGTCTGCAGCGTTCGGCGCATCGGACTGACCAGCACCAGCTGCACGTCAAAGCGGCCCGGCAGCGCCTGCTGCAGCGCTGCGCCCAGCTGGCGGCTCTGCTGGAAGCCCCGTTCGGTCAGGCCGGGGTCGCGCAAAGCCCAGTCGTGTGCAGGAAAGAAGACTAGTTAGCTGGAAGAGAGCATGGCGTCGTCACGCGCAAGATGGAGGAAAAGACGTATCCGATAAGTTGTGCAGCGCCTCTGCATGGCGGACGAGGATCACCGTCGGCGGCATTGGCGTTACCGATGGAGACTGGCTGGAGTAGAGCGAGCAGACGTGGACAGATCAGGGGTCAAGAAGGGAAAACAGAGGAAAAGGAAAAAAAAGAAAACAGGAAAACCTTCCGCTTTGACCTAGATCATCCACGGAATCGTGACTGCCTTCTGTTTCCGAAAGAGGCAGTCTTGACGTGTAGCTTGCGAACGGCAAGAGCGAGAGTGATTCAGCCGCACGGTCGTCGCTGCAGGTCCGACAGTTGGCTGGACTGCCCACTATTACGAGTGATAACGCGCTACCACGTGCCGACGCCAACTTTGGACATGAGCAGCTTCTTACCCTTTCTCTCCGTCCATCTTTCTCCAGCCAAATCTGCTTGCGGCCTCATCTGCCAGACACCATGACGAGCATTGACGAGCTCTTCAAGGTGAGATTGCCGACCAATTCATTTCTTGTCGACGTCTTGGCCATGCCACGCAGGCAGCTGACACAGCTTCTGGCCCCAGAAATCCGGCATCCCCAGCAAGCGCAAATTGGAGCCTCTCCGCGACCCAAGTCAGTTGCGCTGTCTCTTCTCGGTCTTGGTCGCCACAAGCTGACCATTCCTTCTTCTTTGCGAGCACAGATGAAATATACAAGGCCGTGAGGCTCTCTGGAAACGGCAGCCACAACCGCAACGGCAACGAGCGCCACGTGCAGATCGACGAAAACGACCAAGACGAGGCCGGACCAGCACGACCACCAGCTGACGGCGACGATGGAGACTACGGCCCGGCAGCACCACCAGAGGGCGATGATGAGCCAGGCGACGACGACGAGGGCCGGTTCTTTGGCAGTGGCATGAGCCGGACCGAGGCCACCATCATGGACTACGTCGAGGGCCAAGATGCCGGTGGAGGCTCTGGGGGAAAGGAGGTGGCCGAACAGCCGCCGCCACCAGAGACATATGACGCGGCGTGGCTGCGGCGAACGGTTCTCAGCTTTGAGCGGCGCATCAACCGAAACGCTGAGCTGAGGGCGCGGTACGAGGCTGAGCCGGCCAAGTTCATCGCCAGCGAGGCCGAGCTGGACGTGGAGATCAAGGCGCTGTCGATCCTGGGCGAGCACCCGGAGCTGTATCCCGAGTTTGTGCGGCTCGGCAGTGTGGCTAGCCTCGTCGGTCTGCTAGCTCACGAGAACACCGACATTGCCATCTCGGCCATTGAGATCATCGGCGAGCTGACGGACGAGGACGTCGACGCGACAGACGAGCAGTGGAATGCACTCGTGGCTGACCTGCTGGACGCCGACCTCATTGGCCTGCTGGTGTCCAACCTCGACCGACTCGGCGAAGACGCCGACGAGGCTGACCGCACGGGCGTCTACTACGCGATGGGCATCGTCGAGAATCTGTCTTCAACGCGAGGCGGTCTTGGCGAGGAGGACGAGGACGAGGACGAGGAGGGAGAAGAAGGAGAGGTAGGAGAAGTGGAAAAGGATGGCGAGACAGCTACGAAGAGCAAAAGAACACGCGCAGCCGCTGCCTTGGGCGCCCACGAAGGCCTCGTGCGCTGGCTGCTGAAGCGGGTGCAGCGGGTATCTTCGAAGGCGGGAGTGCCGGCAGTGACGCAAAACAGGCAGTACGCAGCCGAGGTACTGGCAATCCTGGCACAAGCAGAACCAGAGAACCGACAGCGGCTGGTGGCACAGGACGCAGTGGACACGCTGCTGCAGCTGGTAGCAGCATACCGACGACGCGACCCGGAAAAGGGCAGCGACGAGGAGGAGTACATGGAGAATTTATTCGAGGCATTGACCTGTCTGGTCGACGATGCTGGCGGCAAGCAGAAGTTTGTCGATGCCGAGGGCGTCGAGCTGTGTCTGCTGCTATTTGCGGCGGGCCACAAGAAGAGCCTGACGCCGGCACTACGGCTGCTGGACCACGCTGCTGGTGTTGGCGATGGAGACGGGGCGACGGCCGAGGCAGCAGCCGATGTTTGCCGACGTATCATCGACGCGGGCGGGCTTAAGGCCATCTTCACCCTCTTCATGCGCGGAGAAGGACACCACAGCAAGAAGCACGGAAAGAACAGGAAGAAGGCCTTGGCAGAGCAGACGCTGCACGGGGGCCTTACGGCTGAGCACCTGGTCAACATCTTTGCGTCGATGCTGCGGCTGCTGGCGGCGGAGTCAGCTGAGCGAATCCGGCTGCTAGCCAAGTTTGTCGAGAAGGACTACGCCAAGGTCGAGCGACTGTTGAGCCTGCGACAAGAGTACAGCGACCGCGTGACCGCAGCCGAGCAGCGATTTGGGGATGGCAATGGAGATGAGGCCGAGAGGCTGGCGCAGAGACTGGACGCCGGTCTGTTCACGCGCCAGACGATAGACGTGATCCTGGCCTGGCTGGTGGCCGAGGACGACGGGGCACAACGCAAGATTTGTGTACTGCTGGCCGACCGCGACGAGACTCTGGCCACGCTGCGGCTGTCGTTGCAGGAGAGGCGTGACGGCATCGATCCCGACGTGGCCGACGGCCGGGACACACAGGAGATGCTGACCACGCTGATGGGCTTTTTGGAGGGGTAGTTGGGGGAGAAGGTAGCCTTGTTTATTCTGGCAGACAGCAGACACTTGAGACTGACTGCCTGTAAGTCTGTAATTTGGGCGAGAAGACACAATGGAAAGACAGTTGGAAAACACAACAGCGGAAAGACGACAGACACGACCAGGCCTGCTCATGCTTTGGACGGCGGCACGGCCTTGGCCTCCAGCACGCCCGCCAGCAGATTCTTGATCACATCGTCCCGGCTGAGCTTGCCAGCCTCCTGGATCTCCGTGATCTTGGCGTCAGCCGCGCGGTTGGCCTCCTCCTCGGCCGCCTTGTTGCCCTCGGTGTGCTTCGGGGCTGTTAGCAGAGGCAGGGACAGCGAGCCGGACACGGCCAGAAAGACGGTTTGGGGTGCTTACGGAAGCTTCAAACTCCTTGAACTCAGCCTCCTTGGACGCCTTGTAGGCCTCGATCTCCTTGCGGGCCTCGTCACGGGCCTCTCTCACGCGCTTGGTGCGGACTGTTGGTCAGCATGGTGTGTGTGTGTGTGTAGTGAACAGGCAAGGCCGCATTGGTAGAGAACGTACATTCCCGTGCTGCATCACAGTTGTCTGGGTTAGCTTCTGCTCGACCACTGCAGGACAATCCGCCCTTGGGGACGCTCACCTTTCTGCACGATCTGGGCGGCTTTCTGCTCAGCCTGCACAGAGATGGGGGTTAAGACGGTCAGTTCAGGCTGTGTGGGTGTTGTCGAGACGGGCCAATGGGGACACTCGGGGACGCATCATACATCGAGCAGGGTCTGGATGCCGGTCGAGTTCTGGGCCGACTGCAGACGCCTGTTAGCCACAACTGCCGTTTCTGACGTCCATCGCGGGCCAATGCACCGTGGCTGGAAGACGCAGAGCTGTCTCTGCGACGGCCAAGCCGACCAGACCGGGACGGACGAACCATTGTGATGGGTTTCGGGGGAAAATGGGCGCGTCAATGGGAGCGACGAGAGCTTGTTCGAAGAGGCCTGGCCTGTCGATTGCGGTCGTGCGTCGGCCTGGGTGCTGTAGCCGGCCCGGATTGGCTTTCGTGCTTCGTCGTCGGAGCGCAGTCGGCTTGGCGAGATGCGGCGTGATGCAGGCAGAGAGGACGGAGGACGCAGAACGGAGAACGGAGAACGGAAAACGGAGAACGAAGAACGGCAAGGGAAGCTATAGCGAAGGCCAGGATACCGATTAATTGCGCAGGCCAAGGCAGCGGGCGGTGGGAAACGGCAGAAAAAGCTGGTGGGGCGGTTGAGGTGCAGCATATATGGCGTACGATGTAGAGCTCTTGCGCGCCTCTCCTCACTTCAGCACAGCCTGCGATCTTCGTCTGCCGATCCATTGCTTCCGTCTGCCGCCGAAAAAGACCATGTCGCGCGCGTCCAAGCTGACGCTGCTGGGGACGTCGGCATTTGCCGTGGTCACCGTGGTGTTTGTGCATTTCCAGCAGGATGCCGAGAAGAGGGTGAGTGGAGGGGAGAGAAGAGACAAGAGCGGAGAGATGGAAGAGAGGTCAGAGACGAAAAGACGAGACACATGCTAACGCCTCCAGGCAATGCACCAGGGCGTTGTCCGTGACATGGAGCAGCAGCGCGTCAAACGGGAGCGCCAGCTGGACTTTGACCTGCAACGCGTCCTCGAAGAAGAATACCGCAAAGAACAGACAGTGCGCGACGTGACGGCCGAGATGAGCCAGGCTGAAGTGACTGGTGCGGGCACGACGACGGCTTCGGCGAGTCCGGCAGAGATCAAGAAGAACAGAGGGCTCTGGCGAGGATGAGGAAGAGGGAAAGGAAAAAGAAGAAAAAAAAAAATGTACGATAGTGTTGCATGATCACCACGACTTCGTTTGGATACCACCAATACAATGCATAAGCAAATGGGCATTCTATGTATTACGCTTCCGGAGGAAGAGTCGGGCAAAAAAGGCAACCAATCACGTACTATACACAGTCTCTTCTCCCGTCAGCAGGCAGAGAATCTCGTTGGATTTTTCCTCGCCCTCTTGATGGCCATAAAAGAACAACGCCGTCGGTCATGCATCCATTCCCCGATCCTCGTAAGATTTCTCGCCCATCGTCCTCAGCGGATCGAAACACCGGAGCGGTCGGTGAACATGCGGGCTGCAATGTTCATGGCGGCCAGCTCTTGGAACAGCAGCTTGGCCGCGTAGGGGATCTGAACCTGGGCGATTCTCGTCTTGTTTTTGCATGGTCGGCATTCGAATGATTGTTTAGTGAGGTTTCTAGGGGGGTTAGTAGGCGGTCCATGAAAGAAGCAGAAATAGAGTGAAGGACAGCATAAGAAGACATAACCAACACAAATTACACAACACACAAACCACAAACCACAAACCACAAACCACAAACCACAAACCACAAACCAAATCAAACACAAATCAAACACACATAACAAACGCTCAACAAAACAAAAAGACTCACGCTATCGGCGTCATCAGCCCACAGATCTCGCAAATGTGCACCCGGTACGCATCCGAGACCTCAAACAGGCGCTCCTTCAAAAAGGCCGCCGCGCCGTGTGCAATCATGCAATCACGCTCCATCTCGCCGAAGCGCAGACCACCATCGCGCGCCCGACCTTCGACCGGCTGTCGCGTCATGATCTGCACCGGCCCACGGGCACGCGCGTGGATCTTGTCGTCGACCATGTGGCGCAGCCGCTGGTAGTATGTCGGCCCAAAGAAGACCTGCGCCCGCAGCTTGCGGCCGGTGTGACCATGGTACATGATCTCGAAGCCACGCGACTGGTAGCCGTGCTCGCGCAGCAGCCCCGACACCGAGTCGACCGTGACATCGGTAAACGGCGTCGCGTCACCCTCCATGCCCTTGAGCGTCGCCACCTTGCTCAGCAGACACTCGATCAGATGCGCAATCGTCATCCGCGACGGGATGGCGTGCGGGTTGATGATAATGTCCGGCAGGATGCCCTCGGTCGTGAACGGCATGTCCTCCGATCGGTACGTCACGCCGATCGTGCCCTTTTGTCCGTGACGCGACGCAAACTTGTCGCCGATCTGCGGAATCTTCGTCGTGCGCACCCGCACCTTGACATACCGCAGGTTGTCCTGGTTCGTCGTCACCACCACCTGGTCGATGATGCCGCTCTCGGTACTGCGCAGTGGTGTCGATGCGTCCCGCTTCACGTGCGCCTGCGTCCGCTGTCCCATCTCCTGATGGTCCGGGTTGATCGGCGACGTCTTGCCGATGATAATGTCCTCGCCCGACACTCGCACGCCCGGGGCCACGATCCCGTCGTCGTCCAGCTTGTCGTACGTCCCGTGCTTCAGCCGCAGCGTGTCGCTTCGGAACGGCTTCTCAAACGTCTCCACAAAGTTGATGCCCACCCGCTTCTCCGAGTCGGTGTACGCCCGGAAGAACAGGCTGCGGAACAGCCCCCGGTCGATGCTGCTCTGGTTCATAATCACCGAATCCTCCTGGTTGTAGCCCGAGTAGCAGAGGATGGCCACGATCGCGTTCTGGCCCGCCGGCAGCTCGCGGAACTTGAGGTACTCCATCGACCGCGTCGTCGCCAGCGGCTTCTGCGGGTAGTACAGCACGTTGGCCATCGTGTCCATGCGCCGCGGGTAGTTGGTCAGGAAGAAGCCCATGGCCTGCTTGCCCATCGCCGACTGGTACGTGTTTCGCGGCGACTGGTTGTGGTCCGGGAACGGGATGATGCTCGCGCAGATGCCCAGCAGCATGCTCGGATGGATCTCGCAGTGCGTATACATGTGCGTCGTCGGGTTCATCTTCGTCTTGACCCGCTTGTTGATGTCCTCGTCGTTCGTCTCGTCCGGCAGCACGTATCCGGCCTTTTGCATCCGGTAGTTGTCCAGGTCTTCTGGCGTCATGCAGATCATCGCTGTCTCCTCCTCCTCGGCGTCCAGGTACTCGATCGCGCCCGCGTCGCAGATTCCGTCCCACCCAAAGTACTTGGGGTCGTCCTTGCTGAGGCCCTCGTCCGCGTCCAGCCGCTGCACATGCTCCTTGGTCAGCACCAACATGCCCTTCTCCACGCCCGAGTCCGCGTTGTCTTCCTGCTCAATGGCAAAGAGCGGCCGCATCACCCGTCCAGCATCCGAAAAGATCTTGAACTCGCGGTCGCGAATGTCGCGCACCAGCGACACCTCCGACTGGATCACGCCCTTGCGTCGCAGCCCTTGCACCAGACTGACCAGGTGCTTCGGGTCCTGGTGCACGCCCACCCAGCTGCCGTTGACAAAGATCTTGGTCGCGTTCGGATACCGCAGCGGCTCGTACTCCTCCAGCACCTCCATGTTCCGTGCAATCATAAACTCCACAATCGGCTCGGCCGGCGTGCCCACGCTGACGTAGCACATCAACGACAGGTTCTTGACCAGCCCACACGCCTGGCCCTCGGGCGTCTCGGCCGGACACACCAGCCCCCAGTGCGTGTTGTGCAGCTGCCGTGGCTTCGCCAGCTTGCCGTCGCGCCCGATCGGCGTGTTGGTGCGCCGCAGATGCGACAGCGTCGACGAGAACGTGTAGCGGTTCAGCACCTGCGACACGCCGGCCGTCGAGCTCATCGCCTTCTTCTGGTCGCCCCAGTTGCCCGTCGCCAGCGAGTACTTGAGCCCGTTCGTCAGCGTCTGGTGCCGGATGCCCACCCGCAAGTCAAAGTGCTTGCCCGTGTCCACGCAGCGCTTCAGGTGGTTCATCAGCTCCTGGTACATCTTGCGGATGATGCCACGGAACAGCTTCGCCAGCAGCGAGCCCGCCAGGTCGAGTCGCTTCTTGCCAAAGTGGTCGCGGTCGTCCACGTCGCGCCGGCCGAGCGCGCACTGCAGCAGCTTGTGCACCATGTAGCCGAGGAAGAAGGCCTTGCGCGTCTCGCAACCCTCGCTCTGCGAAATGTGCGGCAGCATCTCCTTCTGCAGAATATCACGCGCTGCCCGCACCCGATCCTTGCGGCTGATTCCGTGCGAGTTCTGCCCGCGCTTGCCGATAAAGTCCAGCGCCACCTCGCGGTCCTGGATGCAGAAGGCCTCCTCGATACACGGCCGCAGCATCTCCAGCATCTGGCTGTCATTGCGGTCGTAGCAGATATGGTTCAGGATGTCCTCGTCCGAGACCACGCCCAGTGCCCGGAACACCACCGCGATCGGCAGCTCCGACTTGATGTACGGCAGCGTCGTGTGCACCGTCTGCCCGAAGCTGCCGCGGCCCGTGTCGCCCTTGGCCACCAGCATGATGCTCAGCGACGAGATCAGCCGCGAGCCCTTTTCCAGCGCGCTGCGGATCTCCGCCGTGTACGAGAACTTGCTCGGCTGCGCCTTCTTAAACACCTGCACAATGTTTGCGGCCGACCGCTCCTGTGCGATCAGCACCTTCTCCGACCCGTTGATAATGAAGTAGCCGCCCTGATCGTACGGGCACTCATTGAGCAGGAACAGTCCATCCTCGTCCTCGTAGGCCAGGTGGCAGATCTTGGACTTGACCATGATGGGCAGCCGGCCCATGAACACCATGTCCTTCATGTCCTCGTCAGCCTTGTCCTTCTCGTAGTCCGGCAGGTCAGACGGCTCCTCTTCCCAGACGATGCGCGTTGGCTGCTCGCCCGTGCGCTGCATCTCCTCGATCTGCTCCTCGTCCAGCTCGTCGTCCGGGATCGGCTCGTCGACCGCCAGGGACACCTTCTTGGTGATGCGTGCATAAATAGGGCACGAGTACGTCAGGTTGCGGTCCCGGCACTCGTACGGTGTCAGCGTCGAAACCCGGCCGTCGCCCTCGGCGAATTGCGGCTTGGACACCATGATGTTGCCAAACTTGATCTCGTACCGTCGCAGCTTGACCGGTCGGTCTGACGCAATTGGCGGGTTGCTCTGGTCGAGCGTCAGGAGGGAGTGCTCGTCGATTAGCGACTGCACCGTCGTCGTCGTGAACTCGTTGAACGAGTCAATCTGCTGCGACACCAAGCTCTTCTTGTCAAAGTACGCCGAGATGATCTTCCAGCTGTCCTCGGGCGTGATGCCCTCATCGAGGTCGCCCTCGCCGTCCATGGCGTCATCGTACTCGTAGCCATCGTCGTAGTCGGCCATGATGTCGGATAGATGGCAGCGGAAGAGGTAGATGACAGGTGGCGGTGCCGACAGAAGCGGATTAGAAATCAAGGAGAAGAGCGCGAGACGCGTTTCTGCTCTCTCCGGCCGTCGGGGCTCAGCGCATCAAGGAGAGCGGGGATGGAGAGCGTGGTCGATGAAGCGAGCCGGAAAAGCGACGCGCTGCACAGTCCAGAAAACGGGAGATGCGGAGGAGGAGAGGCGAAGGTGACGATGCGGTGATGCAGACGGGACGTCTCGTTGCAACCTTCGTCTGTCCCTTTCGTTTTTTCTCAAACCTTACAAACAGAACGGCCGGGACGCTAAGCTGGAAACAGATCGCCCATCGCCACATGGAGGCGCGAAAACGTTGTTCCGACAGCTGAGCTCCAGAGACGTGCTATGGCCACGTGATTCAACCTACGAGCTTCCATTCGGGTGTTTGAGTCACGTGATGTGGTCCATGAGCTTCCTTTACGAAGTCGGACGGGCCTCTCCTCAATCAAAGACAGAGTGATCAGTCACGGCAATTTCAGAAAAAACTGATGGTTCTCTGCTGCGACCTACAACATGTGTGAGAATTCATATTTTGAGCATGCACGAGCAGTAACCACGTACAGCTCAGGCTTTCAGCACCAAGCTCGACAGCAGACAAAACGGAGTGCATGACAAGGCCAAGACTGAATGAGTGCCAATAGCAAATTCTTCAGGATTAGCAGCAGACGAATGTTTCCCAATTGGGAGGGATGACCGGGATTGGCCATGCGGACGTCAAGCCGTGTTGACGCTCTGAGCGGGCTGCTGGCGCCGACGCCATAAGCACCAAAGTGAACAATACTAAGACTGGGAGGGACAATGGTAAGAATCCCAAGCCACCAGTTCCGCACGATAGACAGTGGTCGAATCTGTCACTTTTGCAGCGCCTGGATAATCACCCCTTGCCAGGAGGCGGCTACGCGGGCTCCTCTCGTCCTGCAGCCCGACGTTGGTCTTGGTATTGTTGTGCCATTGGTCGTCGTATCTGTGTCATTTCCACGTTCTCACAGCCGCCGGCCAGACCTGCTCCTGTGTCATGACATTCTGATGGCAGTCTTCTCTGGCGGGAGATGAGAGATGCCAGCACCATATGGTCGACCTGTTTAAATACCAGATGTTCCCACTCTGCATCAGACGCTGTACATCTCCAAAGCGACCGTCTTGACAACACAAACGAATACCCAACCGTTTCCATCTCGTTTTCTGCTATTGCTACTTTATACCCATCCAACGACTGATCATGGACCCGTTCAACCAGACGATCACGCTGCACGGCCCCGGCGGCCAGACGATGGTGCTCTGGCTGCCGGCAATGGACCGGGTGCAGCGGCAGCTGACGTCGACGGCGATCAACTACAGCGTGCAGATGGGGGCGAGCCTAGTGATGCTGGCGGTGCTGCTGACGCTGACATCGCGGGTGCGGTTCGGACGGGCGTCGACGGTGCTGCACGCGGCCAGCCTGTTGGTGAGCACGGTCCGCTGTCTGTTTCTGGCGCTCTACTTCACGTCGTCGTACGTCTCGTTCTACTCTTTTTACGGCGGCGACCACTCGCAGGTGGCACGCGGCGACATCAACGTGCAGGCAGCCGCATCCTTTCTCGCGGTGCCGCAGCTGCTGCTCATCGAAGCCGCCCTGATGCTGCAGGCCTGGGCACTGGTGCGCATGTGGCCGGCCGGCCGTCGGGCCACGCTCGTGGCCGTATCCGGGATCGTCGTCGTGCCCGCCCTCGCCTTCCGGATCTTCCGCGTGGTCCAGTACATGCGGGCCACGCTCAACCATGGGCGGGCGCACCGCTACGTCTGGCTGGTGCAGTGCGACCTCGCCTTCAGCACAGCCACCGTCTTTTGGTTCTGCCTCGTCTTCATCACCCGCCTGGTCATGCACATGTGGACCTGTCGCAGCGTCTTGCCGCCCATCTCGCACCTCTCGTCCATGGAGGTGCTCGTGATGACGAACGGCGTGTTGATGCTGATTCCGGGTGAGTCGTTTGTCCCTTTTGCCTCTCTCTCGGCGTCTCTCCCGCTGACGGATCAGTTATCTTTGCCGCCATGGAGTTTGGCAGCTTCACCAACTTCGAATCCGGCTCGCTGATGCTGACCTCGGTCGTCATCGTCTTGCCCCTCGGCACCCTCATCGCCCAGCACATGACAGACGAGGCTGCGCGACGAATTTACGGCCGGGTCGGCGCAAGCGAAAATAGCGGTAGTGGGTACACACGGACGTCAGACACGGCTGCCAGCAACAAGAAGCGCTTCCTGGGCTCTTGGTCGCATGCATCCGACTCGACCGCCCTCGTGTCGGGTGGACTGGCCACGCAGGTGAGCATCCACACAGGCAGCCGACACAAGAACAAGGCTGTTGGGAAGGACGAAGAACAGGAGCTGCAGCAGATGGACCTGGTCGAAGAGGGCACAGCCAAGGCCAAGAGGGTGTGGGTGGGCCACGAGATTGAGGTCCGGCAAGACGCCGTCTGAGACAGAACAGGATTTTGGCGGCGGATATCTGGTTTTAGTACTGCTGGTGTTTCTTGAGTATGTAGTTGCGGTAAAGAAATCTCCCGTCGCTTGTTGGCCAATTGATTACAAATTCAGTCGAGACGAAAGACCCTTTATAAAGCCAGGAAATGGTTGTTTCTTCGCCACCTCGCTATTGGCTATGCCAGTCATGCGAGCGCACCTACCAGGCCGCTTGGCGCAATGGTAGCGCGCGGTCCTCCTATTTCGTCTTGATGAAGTCGGGAGGTCAGACCGAGGTTGCGGGTTCGAGTCCCGTAGTGGTCGTTTTTTTCTATTTTTTTTTAACGTTTTGGTGCTTTTTTGCATCATCTTGGGTCGTTGTAATGCATCGTTTTTGTATGTCCATCAACTCTACGGAGTGCTCCGTCCACTCTTCTCTCTATGGTCGAGTACTCTGTAAATCAACGCTCGCTTCTCACTCCCCCACTCTATTTCCTTCTCCTCATCCTACTCACTTGCTCAGGAACTTCTGGAATGCGCTCTGCTCAATCGTCACGTTGCCGACGGCCGTCAGCCGTTTCCGGCCGACCTTTTGCTTCTCCAGCAGTTTGCGCCGTCGCGACACGTCAGCCGCGTGCAGCTTCGCCAGCACGTCCTTGCGGAAGGGTTTGATGGTCTCGCGCGCGACGATCCGGTGGCCGACGGCCGCCTGAATGACCACCTCAAACATCTGCCGGTCCACGTGTTCCTTGAAGCGCGTCACCCATCGCCGGCCAACGCGCTCGAGCTGTGACCGGTGCAGCACCCGGGCGACCGCATCGACGGCCTTCTTGTTGACCAGCAGCTGCAGCTTGGCCAGGTCGCTCGACCGCCAGCCCGCGTCCTCGTAGTCGAGCGTGGCATAGCCGCGCGATGCGCCCTTGAGTCGCCCAAAGAGATCGTCCACCAGCGCCATCGCCGGCAGTGCATATCGCAGGATGACCTGCTGGTTTGCCGTCGCGCCACCGCGACCGCCCATAAACTCCAGGCCCAGCTGCTCGCCCCGACTGGCCTCGCACAGCGTGATCACCCGCCCGAGATACGCCTCCGGTACCGTGATCGTCGCCGTCACAAATGGCTCCTCAAACGTGGCGCCACGGGCTCGCGGCTCGTCTGCGTCGGGGAACTCAGCCGCGCTCGTCAGCACCTGCTCGCGCCCGTCACGCCATCGCACCCGCGTCGGCACTGCCGGCTCCGTGATGATCACGCTCGCCCCGTGCTCCTGGCGTAACCGGTCCTGGAAGACCGAGCAGTGCAAGCTCCCCAGAAAGCCCAGCCGCCAGCCTGCCCCCAGCGCCTCCGAGTGGTCCTTCTGCAGCGTGATGCTCCGGTCGTTGAGCACCAGCTGGCTGATGCTGTCGGCCAGCCGCCCGTGGTCGCCTTGGTCTGTCGGAAAGGCTGCCACAAACACCATCGGCTTCGGCTCCTCGAATCCCGGCAGCGGCGCCACCAAGCCCTCATCGCTTGCTCGTGCCGTCGTGAACGTGTCGCCGATCTTGGCGTCTTGTATCTGCTTCATGCCTGGGTTGAAAAAGAGATAGCCTACCTGCCCGGCTCGCAGCTCCGGCTGTGCTACTCCATCGGGAAATTGGATGCCCACCTCGCCCACCGTGTAGCGCCGTCCCGTCGCCAGAGATGCCAACACGTCGCCGCTTCGTACTGTCCCGTCGAAGACCCGCACCAGCAGCACCACCCCCCGGAAGCTGTCGTACCACGAGTCCACCAGCAGCATCCGCAGCACCCCTTTTGCGTCGCCCACTGGCGGTGGCACCCGCTCCACCACTGCCCGCAGAACTGCTTCCACGTTTCGCCCCGTCTTGGCGCTTACCAGCACTGCTCCTCGTCCTGTCTCTGGGTCCACGTCCAGCTCAAACGTGTCCCGCAGCTGCTGTAGCGCCCGCGCCACGTCTGCTGTCGGAAGGTCTACCTTGTTCACCACCGGCACTAGCGCCAACCCCTGTGCAAACGCGTGGTAAAAGTTGGCTACCGTTTGCGCCTGCACGCCCTGTGATGCGTCCACCAGTAGCACTGCTCCGCCGCAGCTCGCGTATGACCGCGTCACCTCCGCCCGGAAGTCCACGTGACCTGGTGTGTCTACCAGGTGCAGCAGGTAGTCCAGCCCCTTGTAGCGGTACACCATGCTGCATGTCTGTGCCTTCACCGTGATCCCCCGCTCGCGCTCCACGTCCAGCTTGTCCAAGATCTGTTTGTTGTCCCCTCCCGCTGAAATCGTCCCTGTCACTTCCAGCAGCCGGTCGCTCAGCGTGCTCTTGCCGTGATCAATGTGCGCCACAATGCAGAAGTTGCGAAACCGCTCCATCGGAATCGCCGAAATCCGCTGCTCCAGCTCTGCCGGGATCCGAGACACTGTTTGTCGTCGTGGTGTTGTCTCTGCTGTCGGCTCTGTCAAAGTCTCTGCAGACAGGTCCGCAGACACGGCCGCCTCGGGCATGTCTGCCTTTGCAGACTGCATCCACCGCTGCCATGGCACGCTCCTCAGTGCTCGCCCGTCATAGACGCTTCCCCGCCAGGCGGCTCTGCTTCCGCGCACTAGACATGGCAACGCTCGCTGCTTTCGGAGGATGGCAGACTGCAGCAGCCGCACACATGGCCGCATTGAGTCCGTTCGTTTTCCGTTTCTGCCTCTTAACAGTTCCCGTCCACTCTGCAGCAATCGTGGCCGCTCGTGTAGAACGCTATCTTGGTTGGAGAGCGAGAATGTGGCCGGTTCCAAGAAGTGGCTCGCAAGCCAGCAGTCCGTTGTTCGTCTCCAAACGTGCCGCTCGATTTTCTGGCCGTCCGCTTAACATCTTATCGCTTATCGGCAATGGCACAAACAATATTCTTCTAAGCGTTATTGTTCCCCGCTAAGTACATATCAATACAATTCTATTGCTTGCCCACATCATCATAGCCAAGAACATGTACGAAGCTGCAAACTCAAACCAGACGTGAATAAATGCAAAAGCGTACAGCGCACAAATTCAAATAATGCAAAAAATGCAAAAACAGAAACAGAACACGGCCAGACACTGTCCTGGGTGATGGGCCGTGTCTGGGCCGCCGACTATCGCTGTCATCATACGTACAGGGGAATATTGCAGGATATATACAACTCGTAGACCAAGCGACAGACATTCATGAAGGAAACAAGAAACCAGCCACACACAGCCGGGACAGCAGTCAGGTCAGCACCCACTCGCTGCCCCGCTTGACAAACTTATCCATCAGCAAGGACACGTCCGAGAGAACGAAGCGACAGATGTAAAAGGCAAAGAACTCGGCTGCGTTGCGCGTGCAGAGTTCCAGTCCGACCTGCGTCTTGTCGGCGTGACGGAGGCCGGGGTCTTCCACCTGGCGGGCAATTTGGTCTGGGAGCGTTAGCAGGGGAAAAGCACATAAAAGAAGAACGTAGAAACAGCAAACACGATACACAAACGCAACACACAAATAAACTGACCAATCGACTGAGCAGCGTCAAACAAGCGTGCCAGAGATGCAGCATAATGCGCGTATGGACCTGCAAACTTGGCCGCTGCCAGATCGCGGCGCACCGGTTTGCTCGTCGGGTTCTGCGTCATCGGCAGTGAGGACAGCGTCGTCGAGGCTCCGCCGCCACTGCTGCCTCCTCCACCAAGACCATTGCTGCCGCCCTCTTTCGCCGCTGTCCCAGACGCGCCCGAGAGACTCTCCTTGCGTCCGCTCGTCGACGTGTAGCTGCCGCCCAGCGCTGCCGCCGAGTTCTTCGACCGCAGCCGTCGCCAGGAAAACGACCGGCTGCCCGTCACGCTGGCTGCTCGCGGCACTGCTCCGAGGCCCATGCCCAACCCCAACCCCAATCCCGAGCCTGTCCCGCCGTTCGATCCCATTCCGCCGCCGCCGCTGCTGCCAACGCCACCGCCAAAACTACCGCCCGCATCGCCGTCCCGGACCATCGACGCGTCCTTGAACATGACGCTGCTGCTGTGCACGCCCACCTCGCTGCCTAGCCGCCGTGTCAGCGTCGCCTGCACCTGCTCCAGCACCGTCTCAAACGACTGCATCTCCACCAGCATCGCGTCTGCGTCAAACGTGTCCACCCGCGCCAGCTTCAGCAGCGCTGCCGTCAGTAGGTCGCAGTTCAAAATCTTTTCGTCCACGTTCTTCAGCTTCACGCCCTTGACCCGCCACACGTCGCTCGGCACAAACAGCCGGTTGCTAAGGTAGCCGCCGCGTGGGTGTGCCAGCGTCTGGAACAGACACCGCATCAGCCAGAACGGCCGCAGCATCGAGTCCGTCGGACACGGTTCCAATGGTGCCGGCGCGTCCGAGAATACCATGTTTGGCGACCCCGGCGTGCTCGGCGAGTGGAAATCGCCCTCTAGCAGCGACATCCCACCCGTCCCGCTGCTCGTCCCTATCGCCATCCGCTCCTTGAGCGCCGCCACGAGCGGCGTAGCCAGGCTTGAGGACGGCAGGCTTGGCAGCGCTGGCAGCCGGCCGTTCAGCGCAAAATGGCTGCTCAATGGCGTGCCTGGCGACATGTCCAATCCGTCCTCCAGATTGCTCACCGATATGTTGCGACCGCGCATGCTCCTCAGGCTAGACGACGAGAAGTTCTTTCGCAGCGCCGGCCTGCCGTTGCCAATCGAAGGCGAGCCTGTCCGGCCCGTCGTACTGTCTACGTCCGCAAACGTCGTCCCTTGCGGTATCGGTGGTGTGGGTGGCAGGAAGCCGGACTGCACTGTTCCGTCGCCGGGCGCCACCGGTGCCTGTCGAGAGCCAGGCCGCATCGTCACTGCAGACAACACTTGTCTCTGCTGCGCAAGAAAGCCGGCAGTTCGCACCGTTGCCTGTGGCACAGCCGTCGGACCGGCTGACATCATTGAGGGCGGAGCACCCGTCGTCGTGGCCGGCTGTCGCATCCCGGTTTTCACACCTGGCGAAGACGTGTCGATCTTCAGCTGCGTCATGCTCTGGCCAGAAAGACGCCGGTTCCGCACCGTCTGTTCCGATCGGGGGCTTTGCGTCGGCGTGAGACGGGAAGCCAATGCCTGCGGCGGCAATTTCGGCAGCGCCTGTGTCGGCGGCGGCTGCATTGTACCGGGATAACCCCCCTTGGTTGCCGACACGACCGCCGGCATGGAAACCGTGTTCTCCGTCACCGTCGCCAGCACCGTCTTGTTTGTCGGCTCTACCCCTTCGGACTCGTGCGAGTTCGGCTTCCCATTGACGTCGGATCCAAACGCAAAGTCTTCTATCGCATAGCCATTGGTCATCTCTTCCAGAATCCGCTCCTCTTCGTCCGAGTCGTCTGCCGGGTCGAGGAAATTGTGCCTCGTGCGTTCTGCCATCTCCTCATCCTGCTGCCGACGCTGCTGCTCCCGCATTTGGCGGTCGAAGCGCATGGCCTCCAGTTCGGCCTCGCGCATGCGCTCTCGTGCCAGCTCGGCCTTTCGTGCGGCGTCTGCCAGATAGCCATTGCCATACTCGTTCGCGTCTGACGTCCCGGGGCTCATCGGATCGTATCCGTCGTCGTATGCCGCCTCGATGGCGTCATCCAGGGCTGCGTCGAACTCGGCTTCTGTCGCTCCGCTGGTCGCTCGGATATGCTTCCGTATTATCCTGGACGAGGATCGAGAGTGTACGGACGATGCGGCTGACCCGCCAGACTCGTCGATCGGGTCCAACCACGAAATCGATTCGTGGCTCGTCGACCTGGCATGGTTGCTAAAGGATTTTGATTCTGAGCTGTACTCTGGCACCAGCCACTTCGGCTCGCCAAAGACAGGCGCTGACGGTGGCGGATGGGCCATTCCAGCCGTCGTCGTTGGTGGTATCCGTCGAGGGGACAGTGGTGGGGGCATGTATGGGGAGGCTACGTCCATCGGAGGCTGAAGGGAACTGTTGAACGCAGTCGTGTTGATGACACTGGGCCTGTGGAATTCTCTCCTCGGCGAGCGCGAGAAGGAGGACTGCAAGGTGTACTGGTCGCTCAGCAGCGTGTCGCCATGCTTCGAACTATCGTAGCTGGCACTGAAGGCCGACGGCTGCAACCTCGGCGATGCTGTCACTGGGGTCGAATAGTAGTCTGCAGAACGGGATACCACTTCGTCTGCCCGGGCTGCCTCGGTGGCATGACGCCCGTATACCATGTTGTCGTCGTCGTTGTCGTCATCGCCGTCATCCTCGGATCCGTCGTCGTCGTCGCTGATTGCGCTGTTTATATTGCGAGCTGCGCTACTCTGTGGTCGTTTTGGAAGGGGACGCGTATCTAGCACCTGTGTAGGGGCGAGCTGATTGAGCTCTTCTATTCGGGCCGTGTATGTCACTCTCTGCTGCGGTTAATACAATATGAGTAACTGGGGGTGGGTCAATGCAGCTCTCTGCCATGTAACATACAATTGCCTCCAGTTTGCGCTTGTCCTCTTCGCCTTGTGTCTTGAGCAGAACGTGGTGCAGGAGTCGGCAAGCCTCGGCGTAAGCTTCGCGCGCGCCCTCAATGTTGCCGGCATTGTCGAGCTGCACGGCGGCGTTGGCCTTTTGGAGGGCACGCGACAGCATGGCTTTCTGAGACGGCGGCTTGTTCGCCCGGTCCCTGCTCCTGCTGGAGTCCATGCTTCCCTTGGTTCGCGATCGGCTCCGACCGTACGTCTGGGCCTGGTCCTGCGCCTGTATTTGGGCCTGCGCCTGAGCCTGCGCCCGTGCGGCAGCAGCTTCAGACTCGCGGCCATACATACCGTCCATGCCAGCGCGCGACCGGGAGCGGATGGGGGACTCCGGGTTCTCGATAATCTGGTGAGCAGGCGTGGATCGGCCGGTGTAGGTGGCAGAGGCAAGCGCGTCGCCAAAGTAAAAGGACTTGATGTTGTCTTCGGAGCTGAGCTGGCGAAGATGAGGCGGCCGGCGATGCTGTGGAGAAGCCATCAGGTCAGACAGCGAGCCAGTGGCTCCGTTCTGTACCTCCTGCTCGAGCGACGGCAGGGCGATGATGGGAGGGAGAAAGCGCGGTGGGGAGGCCTGTTGGCGGTAGCTGACGCGCGACGGTGACTGGGCTGACGAGAACTCCTCGTGGATGGGTGTGGGCGCGTCTGCCGTGCCGGGACAGCTCTTCTGCAGTTTGCGCGGGGTCGGCTCGCGGTCCTTTGGCGGCGCCGGCGGCGGAGGCGGTGAATCGGTGGTGTCGCCGAGACGGCCGGTGGATTCGACGCTGAGACGACGACTGAAGCTGGCAGACTTTTGGTGGCGGTAGACGAGCGAGTGGCCGGCTGACAGCGAGAGACGACTCGAGCCGGTAGACGAGGACCAACGGTAGAGACTGCGCAGGTTGTCGGAGCCGCCGCCGACGCTGCTGGAGCGCGAGTGCCGAGTGTCGCGCAAGGGGACGGTCTGTGGTGGTGGTGGTGGTGGTGCTGCAGTGTCGTCCTCGTCCTTCTCAGGTTCAGCAATGGCAGAGAAGGAGAGCGTCGCGGGCGCATGGACCAGGGGCCGCAGTAAGAGCGGAGAAGACGCGGCGGCGGTGCCGGCAGACAGGCCGGTTCGGCCGAGCCGAACAGCGGGGAGGAGAGAGGAGGATCGTGGCAGAAAGGCGGCAGAGAAGGGCTTCTGCTTGTGCCTTGGTCCCAGCTGCGTCTGCGTCTGGGCCTGCGGCTGCGGCTGCGGCCTCTGACTGGTCGAAGGGGACCCCAATGCGAAGAAGGCTGTGGCAGCGGGGGTAGCAGATGCTGACTCGACACGGTCGCTGTTGGTCGTGGTAGGCCGGCTGGTGATACTCGTGTTGCTCACGTTGCTGACGATACTCGCGTTGCTCACGTTGCTCACGTTGCTCACGTTGCTGTTGTTGCTGCTGCGGACGTTTCCGTAGTCGCCGAGATCGCCGTAGTCGAAGCCGCTGCTGCTGGTGGAAGACGGGGGGAGGGCGGCAGGAAAGGCGGAAACGTCGGGGCGCGAAGGGATGCTGTAGGAGTGCTCGTACTCGTACTCGTAGGCTCTGGGCTGCTGTGAGGCGTCGAGCGCAGATTCAGGGACCACGATCGGCAAAGAAGTGGGCGGCAGGGGTGCAGACACGGTGGATCCGGCAGAGGCGGCGTGCAGAGGAGGATTCGCAACGGCGGTTGAGGCAAACTCGATGTGCGGCGAGGTCATTGCTTCCGTCGGATCACCAACGAAATGCGTCGTCGTCGCTCCCTGACAGTTACTTCTCGCAATCGACCTTTCTGCCCTGTGGCCCTTCAATCTCGCTGGGCTTGCCCACGCGCCACGCTCCTCTCGCTCCTCTCCTTTCCTCCCTTTCTTTCTTGTTTTATCGCCTGTCTGTTGTTGTGCTGTGTTGTGCCGTGCCGGGGGGGGTTTCCTTCTGTTAGCCCGTGCTGCACCCTTTCGGGCTTTGCTCTGCACTAAAGACACACACCCTCCTGCTCGAGCTTCGTTTCGCAGTCGTGCACTGTTGGTCGAGTGGTATACGGAGTATGGACAGGGTGTGGACGAGTGCACAGCAGGCCTGGGAAAATCTCGGCCTCTGCACGCAACCCCAGTCGGATTCTGCTCGGTTGTAGGGGGGTTGGTCGACAGGCGTGGCAGAGCATCAATCTGCCCGTGAGAGTGTGCCGTCCAGACAGCAATTCTGGATGGTTGTGTTAGTCTGTTGGGACCGGCGGTTTGACCGACACATGGTTTTGCGTCCCCTTCTCCGGACACCTTTTTTCAGGTTCAATTCGTCCCCCCCTGGTCCAGAGTGGGGAGAGCGAGAGCAAGCCACAGACGCACGACAGACAGCTCGGCCACTTATTCACCCACACCCCTGCCGTCATTCCCCCCCTTCTTTCTTTTCGTCTTTCTTCCTTTTTGCAGTCGATCGCGCCCTTTCTGACTTCCGTTTCCTGTCGCGTTTAAGCCCAGGCGGCCGGGCCAGAGCTAATCACTTGGCCGTCACGTTGTCCCAAAGGCAGTAAGATATCTTACTATACCAGTATCGACCAGGTCGTGCAACGCAGTAAGATGCTCTGCTCCGTCTTATTGGACAATGCGTGTGGTCTGTCGGTGAAGAACACCAGAGCTCGCACAAAAATGCCATTTTTGCCCGTTGTTCGCCGTTGCACCTGGCCGTCCTGCTTTCTTCTTTCTCCTTTCTCCCTTTCATCCCCCGATCCCATGTCCTACGCGGACAATGTGCTCCCGAGGCCAGCGGTGCGTGCGTCTCAGTCTCGTGTTTCGTGCTCCATCCAGCAGACAACAGGGCTGGATGTGACTCGTGTAGCGCCCCTCCCCAGCGCTACTTCTGCACAAAGGGCGAGAACATGCAAATCTGCTAGCAGGCGTTCGTAATTCGCCCCAACGGCTGCGATGATCACAACTGGAACCGGATCGACTGCTTTGGTGGACACAAAGACGAATAAAAAACTGTGGCACAAAAGGCTGAGCCATTTCCCACCTCTTCTCTAATCTTGCTTTGAGATACGTCCCCGATTCCCCGATTCGGGCTCCGTCGCGGTTTCCCCTCTGGGACTTTGACGATCGATTCACTAAAGAGGAAAGCTTCAGCACGCGCCCCTGCCCGAAGTACGAGTACGAGGACTAAAGTACGGTGAGCAACCCTGTGGACTGGCCTGTTCTTTGCTTCTTTTGGTCCTATGTGCACTTTGCCCGGTCAGACGCTATTGGCTGCCTAGCTAAAGGCCACTTATAAACCACTGTCTGCCCCTGAAAAAGACCCCAGAAAAGGGGTAGCGTCCAAAGCTGTCCCTGTTTTTTTTCTTAGTAGAGTGCTGGAGACGACTATGCGCGTGTACCTGACCGCGCTGCTGGAATGGCTGACGGAATTTGTATCACATCGATCATCCACCTCGCGCACGCCCTTGGCAACAAAGGGGTTAAAGTTTTCGCGTTTCGGTACTTGTATCTAACCAGCCTCATAATCCGTACAGTACCAGAGATGGAAATTCCAGATCATGCATTCTCGCCGCAGAATTAGGAGGCGGACCCGCGCAGCAAGGGCCATTTCCTGAAGCGACTCTGCGCAGCTGTGGAGCTGCTGCAGAACCGCGTCGCAATGCAGGAGAGGAAAAGAAAGAAGAGAACGCGATACCGCGAGTCGGTACGAAGTACGACGCACAGCCAGGTCCCCATACTTTCACCCGCTACGACGAGTCGATGGAGTATATGCAGGTCTCTCTGCAGCCCATGTGGCAATACGCTGGCCGCTCGCCGTGCAATCACGAAAAAAAGGCTTGGCGACTCATCCCCTCTCCCAGCCTGCAGGCGTCCTGGGGTACATGGATTTGCCGGACGCCTCCCCGTCATCGTAGTCGTAAGACCAGGCTACAGACTGGCCAACGACGTCGGCCTCGTCCTCGATCTCTTCGGCTCGGTGGACAACCCTTGCAATCGATCGTAGCCAGCGACCAGATTTCTACGGAGTATGTAGCGGCTGAAGTGGCGAATTTTGGCGGAGCGGAGACGTTGAGACAGGCCCTGATTCGGAGTGGCGCCCCTATAATAACGAGATCTTACTGGCACAACCGGAAAAATAAGGTAGGGAAACACATGCAACCAACCCCACCTCGCTCGACGACCCTACATACGACGTAGTACGGAGTTAATGTTTTTATATCGTAAGGAGCCTGGAAAAGGCTTTGCAAAACCCGGCACTGCGAACGTATCGTAAGATACTCCGTACTCCATACATATCGGTCGAGGGACTTCTGCTTACGTGATGTATCACGTGAGGCTCTTCGTCTTCGAGAAGCATTATCACTCAAGCCGTTGCGATGCAGCTTTCCAGTCTTTCGATGTTTTGTTACCCTGTGTTGCTGGGGCCCTTGTACGGTTGATAAGCTCAGCAGAGGTGTAATGCGACGCTTGCTGAACTCCGTACTGTATGTAGGCTATCAATCGGCTATCTAGCCTTGGAATTGCCACCGATCTACTCTGTAGAGACACGTTATCTTCCGGGCATTTTGACCCCCATCTGGTGTATTTTAGCTTGGTGGGAAAATATCCGCTACCTATCCGATATTACCCCCCCTCCCCAGTTTTAATTAGCAGGTAGCATTGAGTGCCGGGCCACCTGACGATATCAAAGCTCGGGATGCATATCTCGTACGAGGTACGAAATCCATGTTGAAGAAAACCAGACGACATCGGATCTATAGCTCCGTAAGCCCATAAGGCCAGGTAAGGCGTAAGAGTACTATGTATGTAGCATCTTTCACGAGCTAACCTTAGCGAGCAGACTCAACTCGGTGTAGTAGTAGCATTCCCTCGGGACGACCAATCAGGCCATAACTAGGTAAGTTAGTCCTTATAGACGTAATGTCCTTAACAAGCCAACCAAAGAGGAGGACATGCCAGGTTTAATAGCACAAGGGCAGCCCCAAATTCAGCGGCCAAGACCAGCCAAAGCCAGAATCACTGCTACCTTTCGCTAATAGCCAACATAATAGAGACGACAGCTAGTATCAGCAACGGGACATCAGCCTCACTGTCGCCTAACATTTCTACAAACCAATATTAGCAGCTATTTAAAATCGTCGCCGAAGTACACAATTCGCATCGCGGCCGCTGTAAATGCAGAGAGCTCGGTTACGCAAAACCATATAGACACTTATTCCAGCTCGTAGTAGGCAGCCTTAAGGTGCTTCACTGGCTGTAGTACTGCCCGATTTAGCCCAAGATCATCTAGTCATGCACTTGACACTGTCTAGGCGTATTTGTCGTTATGTGTATGTATGAATTGATCTGTAAAGCGCTAGTTAACGACCAGACGAAACTAAAGAGCTCACTCGCTTTAGATAAGGGAGATTTGTACTCCGTACTATCGTTGATGATACAAAGGTATAGCTTCCCATTTTTCTACCAGAATCAATGATGACAAAATCTCTATTTTGCAAGGTGCACCGCTTGTGCTAGAGAATTACTATAGATTACTATAGCATGCCGGTCGACGGCGTGGTGGTTTGGCCAACAATGAGGTGGGAGCAACGTCTGATTCCTTTTCCATGCTCTCTAGGGAACATTTCTCATTATACCCGAGATTGCAACGGCAACAGCTTATGTTAAATGACGCTGACAAAAATGTGACCTACTTCAGTTTCCGTCCCCATGTTGGTGTATTCGCTGTACTGTGCAGGCATCAGTCTTGGTCGGCCTATTAGTTGATATATTTGCAAACGTTATGAGAATGCTCGCCAAGCTAGAAGCTGGACGGCAGGTTGACGACAAAGGGGACTGTGTGACTTGGCTCCCTGCCCCGTCAGTCATCGTCTGTCCGAGAAACTGGAGCTGATACGCAACGGAGGGATTAGGTAGACCACCTATATATCACTACTCTGATTATACAGTACTTTCTAGTCAAAAAATGGTATTAAACAAACAAGCACTGTAAAGCGGCAAAGTGACTACGTGGCCTTGACAGAGGCAAAGCTCTGCCGTCAGTTATGAGACTAAGAAGACCACGTCAAGTACCAGAATGATTAAAGTTATTCTCTATCTTCCATTCACTTGCTGACAGAAAACTGATCACTTTCAGCCAGTGTATTCAAACAAAGAATATAATTATTTTAGACCTTTAGTTTGAAAAGTAGACATCACCCTCTTTGTAGATTTTTTCTATTTCATTTCACCAGGCTCTCAGAGACTTGCAAGACAGCAAACGATGACGATCCCTTTGCGCCACACATTGCGCAACACGCAGTGCCTCATGGATTGGCTGAACAGTTCTGGGTACATATTCAAACACCCAGCTGACGATCCTCCGGACAGTGGAATTTGCGCTATCGAGAAGCTCCCGGTCGAGCTTATCTGCTTCATTACAGCGCACGTCAGCTTCAAGGACAAAGTAGTTTTGTCTTGCGTGGACAAGTTCTTTCGAAACGCAGTTTTCAGCCAGGTGTTTGCATCTGTCCAGTACAGGGGCGAAGCGACAAACCCTTATTTTGCGTCTGTTTGCAAGTGAGTGAACTCGGCGGCAAACTGTTTCAACTCTTGGTTAGAAAACGTTGCTGACGACTAGAGGTCTTTGACATTTCGCTTTGCCAACTGGGAGAAGGTGATCGCCGAGTATTTGACCGGTTGGAAACAACTGAGACACATTATGATCGAAAGCAGGACCGGATGCGGAAACTCGGGTTTGCCTCACAACCAGCTGTTCTCCGGCATCAAATCGACCAGTTTTATCAGTGAAGCGACAACCGCCAACGCAATAGGCATTTCTGCATACAATGTCTTGAAGTCTTTTCCAGAGATTACCGGACTTGGAGTTACCACCGTGGCAGATCCACATGGCGATCGCTGCCTTCAATATGCTGCCGCGCAGCTTGGGCTTGAGACTCTGCACGTAAAAAAGCCAGTTTTGGGCTCCTCGGAAATACGTCGTGAGTAGATGCTGCGTCCCTAACGACAAAAAAAATAAAAAATAAGTAAGAGAAAGGCTGGGTAAGAAGCATTCTAACACAAGACAGAATTGGCTCAAATGTTTCCAGCATTGAAAACGCTCATCTTGGAAGGGGCAATATTTAATAACATATTCGGGGTATGTTCCATATGATCTCGTCTCTTCATACCGAGTCCTAACCACCGAATGTTTTACAACCCAGGATCTTCTCCTGTCTGTCCAGGCTATGCCACAGCTCGAGGTCCTCGTCTTCCCGAAAGGGAGCATTCGACACCCATCTGGAATCATCTACAACCTGTTTCGGCATTCTACACTGCGACGGATCGTCGCCGTCGAAGAGCCGGAGCACTACACCAAGGTCGCCGAGCTCCACCAGACGGCTGGAGAAGGGACCTGGACATACAAGCAGAAGAGCTTCTCGACATATGCATTTTGGATGAGAAACTATGCGCGGAAGGAGAACATCTATAGCCGCGAGTTTAAATGGGCTGTTGGGGCATGGCCCGAGGGTGCTCCATCGCCCCTCGATGTGCTGTAGGGCACCCGGCTGTTGCTGGCAGGGGATCATGCCGTTTTTTGCAGTTGACAAGCTATTTTCAGACCCTTTTGTCTGGATGGACACACAATGATTCCCTTGGCACTTCTCTTAGTATACAGCGGAACATGATGAATATGCTACTTGGACGTATGCAATGATAAATTCGGCTGCTGGGAGCCCGTTCAGCCTTATCGGCCAGCTCATTCAATATCCAAGCCGAGTCCAGCGACCTCGAGGATGGACGCGGCCAGCAGAACACCGACCTCGTCTCCGTGCCGGCCAACAATCTGTAAGCCAACAGGCAGCTTCCCGTGGCCGTCCTCGACTGTGGCCCAGCCACCGGGCATAGACAAGGCAGGATGGCCGGAGACGTTGAAGGGGGCGGTGTTGCCGGAGACGCCGAGGGCGGCACGATAGCGTTCGAGGACGCTCTTGCCGGCCATCTCGCTGTGGCGAGGGCCAACGGAGGGGGTGACAGGCAGCAGGAGGACGTCGACGCCGCCGGCCTCGGACGAGAGGAGGGCATCGTAGGAGGCGGCCAGCTGGACAGCATGAGCGAGGGCCTTGTTGCGAACACGCACGGGGAAGCGAGAGCGGTCGCCGAGGTAGGCACTGCCAAAGAGGCCGGCGACGACGGTGGGTGCTGCTGTCGTCATCGCGTCGTACCATTGCTGGGAGGGTGGCGGGGGGGCGAAGCCGGGGATGGGCAGCGAGAGCTGATCGGGCGCCTGGCCGGCGATGAAGACGTCAGCAGCGGTGTCGCGCATCGTGACCGTCCAGATAGCCGGGCCGTGGGCATGCAGGGGTGCTGATACGTCGACGACGGTGGCGCCGAGGCCAGCAAACCGGTCAGCAGCCGCACGCACCACAGCGGCGACGCCAGCGTCCAGCTCGGGCCTCTGCAGAGCCTCGCGCAGGAGGCCGACTCGCAGACCACGGCCGGCCGTCGACGGAGTCCAGAGGCCACGGGCCTGGCGGTTGGCAATGGCTGCCTGCAGCTGCTCGTGGTAGGCCGGCACATCTTGCCGCTGTAATGGTGTATGTGGGCTGCAGCGCGGATCCAGACCGTCGTAGCCGGCAATGGCCGACAGCAGCAGGGCTACGTCAGCGAGCGATGTCGCCATGGGTCCAACATTGTCGGCGAGCGGGTGCAAAGCGCCGATGCCGGTGTAGGGAACGAGGCCACGCGTCGGCTTGAGGCCGTAGACGCCGGAATAGGCCGCAGGCTGACTGTCAGTGAAGCAGAGGACACAGTAGACGGATAGACGGACAGACGACACTCACCAGCCGGATGCTGCCACCCTGGTCGCCTCCCAGAGCCAGATCGACCCCCTCACCCAGATCCTCGACCGGCAGTCCTCGCTTCTCACGCCAGGCCTGGACCTGGCCGATGGCCAATAGGGCAGCCGAACCGCTGCTGCTGCCACCCGCCGAGTAGCCACGCAGCCAGGCGTTTTCGACCGGGCCCGTCGCACTCGTAAACGACAGCCCCGACATGCAGTAGTTCTCGCACGTCGACGTGCCCTTGATCACACCGCCAGCCGCCACCACACGGCTGATCACTGGCGCGTCGATCGTCGGGATCGGATACGGCGCGTTGGCGCAGAGGTGAAATGGCGCCGTGCCCAACGTCAGAGGCACACCTGCCACCGCGATCGTGTCCTTGACCGCGACCGAACGGCCCGCTAACAGGCCGTTGGCCACGGCAGCTTCGTCCTTGAGCTCGAACTGCCCCCCCTGTTAGTGCGACCAGCAAGACGAGCAGCAAGGAACCGCATCCAGAGTGCACTCACCCGGTGACTCCAGCCGTTCAGCCGGTTGTCTTGCTTGTCCGGCACATGGTACTTTCGTCCCGATAGCGGCACCGCTTCGCTCGGCTTCAGACGCGGATCCACGTAGTCTGGCAGTCCTTCGATCGTGCGGACTTCGTCGTCCAGCTCCTGCATCAGCTTGTAGTACCCATCCGCATCGTCGCTCTTCATCGTCAGCCCAAACGAGGCCACGATCTTGTCGAAGCCCTCGCGCGAGAGCCCGTTTCTGTGGGGCCGTCAGTTTTGCGTTTCCCATCCGTTATAGGAGATATAGTACGGGTTATTCTCACTGTGCTTCAGCTGCAGCCATTGCGTTTGCGCAATCAAAGTGACACGTCGCCAAACTGAGCCGCAGACTAGGATAGAAGCGTAGAAGTATTGTCAGGCAGAGCTCGACTGCATCTCCTCCACACAGCTGCTTAGTGACGGCGGGGATATCTGTAGCCAGAGAAAAGTCGTCGTGTAAGCGGAAGTGTGCCTGTTGAGATAAAAGTGGGCTGCTTATTCAGCTAAACAAAAGGGTAGTTTTGCGAATCACGTGATGTATAGACTATATATAGTCAATATGGCCCAGAAAGTTTTCGGTTCGGCCGAAGCCAATGAAACCATGCACTAACCCGATTCAATCAATAGCGGAACCTCAAAGTGGAACAAAATGACACTTACCCGACATCAAGGCCGTCGACACGGCCCTGGCGATTGTCATTGAGTTCAACGGGCAGAACGTCGTCAACAAGACGGTCAAGATCAACGTCCCGGCCGAGTGGCAGTACACAAATGACTCTGAACGAGCCGGCCTCCGGGTCCTGTGCGAACCCTTCATACTGAACTACCAGAAATTCAACAGCAACACCGGCTGGAACGACGACTCCATGGCCTGGGGTGAGGTCATGCAAGCACTGAGCCACCTCAGCTACCACATCTCTGGCGGCCAGCTCGTACTTTGCGACCTTCAGGGCGGCATCTACCGGCAAAAAGTCGTCCTCTCTGACCCTGTCATCCTGTCGCAGAACTAGGACTACGGCGTCACCGATCTCGGCCCCCGTGGCATTTCTACCTTCTTCAACGAACATAGCTGCAACAGATTCTGCCGCAGCAGCTGGGCCATGCCGGCCCACCCGGTCGGGTACTTCAGCCCTGTTGCCGGCCCCTCGATGACGCGAAGCTCCGTGTCTACCGCCCGGCCCCGATCCCCGCACTCCGACTTCTACTACTTTGGAGCATAAAGTGCATGCCGGCGAAACGCATTTAGAAATGTCATTGGTCTGATTCGTGCAGTAAAAGATCTGTCTATGTATGTTCATAATGCAGTAACCATAACGATAATCTAAGTCGCAGAACCCACGCTAAGATGCGAAAAAACCCCCCAAAAACCAAAGAATCAAAAAAAAAATCTAAGGTGCCAAAACCCATAACCCAAAAGCGAAGAGCATTTATGCCTCCTCAAAATCTATTTTGTTTTTTTGTCTATTAGCGCGCCGTGTCAGAATTGCCGTTGGCGCGCGTTTCAACGTCGTCTGTGCTGTGGTTGATGCTGTTGTTGTCGGGATCCCGCGTAATCACTGAGGCCTTCCGAGACAGCGTGTTCGCATCCCCCGACAGAGTCACCTCTTCAGAGTCTTTTGCTGTAGGCGGAGGCGGAGGCGGGGCCTCGGCCAACGCATCGGCCACGCGCTTCCGTGTCGACAAGAAGGTCGTCAAGTGGCCCAGGACCCACCACGAGAACATGATGGGCAGCGCAATGTAGTCTCTCCGGTGGCAGCCGTTGCTCCAAATCTGCACCAGAAGCAGGTAGGTCTCATGAGCGGGGAACAGGTAGCTGAGACGGAAGAAGCCGGGCTGCAGCTCAAAGGGGAAGATGGTGCTGCCCACGTTCATGAGCACCCAGGAAAGAATGAAGAAGGCCATGAACTGCAGGGGGATGAAGCTGCCGATGAGCGACTCGACAACAAGGAAGTTGATCTCCATGTAGAACCAGAGCACCATCCAGGTGCGGAGGAACATCAGGCCGGTCACATCCCAGTCCTCGCGGAAGGCCCAGACGACGCCGGTGAAGACGAGCGACAGAATGAGCGCGTGTACCTTGGCGATGACCAGCCGCAGCATCCAAATCCGGGACGGTGCCATGTTGACGAACACACCCATGCCCGTGAAGATGCCGTTGAGGGCCATCAGAAAAAAGAACTGTGTCAAGATCGGCAAGACCATGTAGACGGTGTTGAGGTACATGTGCGTGCCCATGCTCATCGGTGTCAGGTTGACTGACGTGGCCTCGAACGGGTCCAGGTACGCCATCAGGGCCGCGCTGTCAGTCAGGTTCATGGTGGCAAGGCCGACGTTGCTGCTGTTGCTGTTCCACTGCTCGTAGAAAAAGTCGCGGCTGGCCCCGACGAGCGTGGCAAGGCTGGACTTGACGTAGGAGTCGCTTATCGCGGCATAGTGCGTCTCACTGTACACGTAGCTGACCGCGTCGGATGAGTCGTAAGCGGTGGAAGCCTTGCTGCTGATGGCGTTGCGAAACCGGTCGGTCGCACCGCTGTGCGAGTAGACGGCGCCCCAGTAGTTTCCGTGGCACACGGCCGACTGCACGGCCGCAGCGTCGGGATAGTCGGCCGTGGAGGCGAACTCCAGCGTCGGAAATTGTCTGTCGATAAAGGCTGCGTTGTAGGCCGTCTGGGTCGCGGCGCCGATCGCCCCGCCGTCAAGATCGACCATGAGCACCCGGAGGTTGTGCACCCGGTACCGCATGTCAAAGGACGAGCCGAAGAACCAGGACATGACGCTCAGGAAGAGCACTCCAATAAGGAGTGATGCCGGGATCACTGCCTTGAACACCGCCGAACGGTGCGTAGGCCACCATTGCGGCGACAAGGGCGTCGTTCGTGCCATGTAGAAGGTGTGGTTGCAAAAAGATACAAATCACAAATCAGAATAAAGAAAACCCCCCTGAAAGCTGAAAGGTGGAGAGGGAGGAAGAAGACCGGCGAGTATAAAGAGGTGTTGGTGCAGATGTACAATAAAATTAGGAGCAGATTGCAATAGTAATATAAAGGCGTTGATTTAATGAGAGGACTGTGATGAAAAATATAAGATGATGCCTTGTCCGGCCGGAGCAGGAGACAATATCAGGAAACACTGGTTGTTATGTACTACAAAATACGTCTAGTTGCTGCAGGCCCCAATTCTCCGGCTAGGAGGCCGACCCGCTATTCCGCGTTTCTAGGCGTTTTGCTGCCATTTGGGCCGCTTATGTAACCGGCAAAGGCTCAGAATCTGACGAATACTTTTGTGGGGCAGCTGTACCGCCATGCCAAAGGCGGTAAAGCCTGCTACGACATAGCGGGAGAACACGCCAAAAATGTTCGGATGCGAGGTTGCTGCTCCTCAGGGGCAAGACGCCGTTCCTACGTCGTAAAACCGAATAGCCGGTCGACGGAGTGCGAGAGCCCGAATAGGTGGCCGCGCAAAACTCTTACTGCAGTAGCTCCCGGATCTTCGATCTTAGTCCCGCGCTGGCGGGACCTGTGGCTTTTCGACTGTCGTTGCCACGCCGCCAAGACTGTCCGATTCTTCTGCAGGCCCTCTCCCAGTGAGACTCATACCTCTCAGCCAGCGTCTGCATCGGCTGGTGGTGCAAACGTACTCCCCGACAATCCGGCATCGCCCATTGCCGGATGGATCCTGAGACACGTCGCTTCGCCGGCATACGTAGCACCGTATCATGGCATTCAAAGGCATGACGGACCGGACTCCAAGGACCGCTTTTGTGCCCTTCATCTCGGACTGTTGGCCAACCCCGGCGCGTTGGGCTGCCCAACGGAAAGGCAGCCCCCCACTATCTAAAGATTGCCCATCTTTCTCGTCCTATCTCCACCCCACGTCGCTGTAACCGTATGATGGATGCCTACGGCCTGTTCTCAGATGCGGCCCAACAGGGCAGTGCTCGTCCATACGACGGACGGATACGGACTACGCCATCATCAATCAACGGTCTCCCCGATCACTAAGCAGTTTGGCCGGCGACCAGAAGCAGTTGGGCTGCCACCTGGCCCGTGCAAATTAAGGCCGCCTGAGGGGCAGCGCTGTAAACTAGTTATTTACAACTATGGGTATATATTCCGCAATCGATCCAGGCTCTGACGTGTCGAGGCCGGCCAAGACCATCAGGCCGGACCTGACGAATGGCAGCCAGACCAGCCGATAGAATTGCTGACTCAACAACACAATCTACTCCGTACACCCGACAAGTTGCACCACTTCCCGAGATCTGACTTTTAGTGCGTGCGGAGTTAGCACCTTAATTCCGTACACACTCTTCAGTGGAAGCACTTAATCAAAACGCTAATATAGGCACTCCTTTACGAAGTACTAATGGCTTAACAAATGGCCTGGACGGACACTTGAGTATAGCCCGAGACACTAGCTACGTCGCTTCATTTCCAATATGGAGTAGACATTCTATTTTTGCGTCTGCACGACTTGGTAGCATTCGGTCTTGTCAAGGGTCCGCGGCCAGTATGATATGTTCAGAATCTGCAGTGCTTCTCCTTCCTGTCTTTGGACCGTCAGGTTCATCATCGCCTCAATGTCGTCGCCGGCTTCCCAATAAAAAAACTGCTCTCCAGGATCTTGTCGCCCTCCTTCAGGCCGGCCTGGTCAGCCCTGCTACCCGGCTTGAGCCCTCGGATTCTTCGAGTGTTGATAGAGTCTTGACTGAACACAAACTCCAGCACCTCCTGATCTTGTCGAACCAGCTTCATTTTGTACTTCGCAGGCGGAAAATCGGCCGGAGGAACGACAAGAACTCCGTTCGCCATATCGTGGTACTCGTCAACTCCGGTGTGACCGAGTTCGCGCTCGATTATAATCAGCCAGTCCTGCAACATGTGCGACTTCCCTCTCCGTTTTCTCTCCAACAGCTCGTACACGATGCTGTCTATCGAAGTCCTCCCGGCAGTCTTTTCCCACACCTGCGCGCCTACCTTCAAGAGATACGTGAAACCTCGGCTGTATCGTAGCCTCAAAGCGTTAGGCTCTTCCCAGGACCGTCTTGTAGCCTCTTCATTGGTCATCTTTATGACAGGGTTCGTGTAGTAACCACTCAAATACGAGTTCAGCTCTCCGAGAAGATACTTCTTGTTGCGCAGACCAAATCGTGCGGCAGCATCATCTGGTGATAGATTGCAATGCCTATGCAAGCGATTAGCAGAATCCTGTTCGTGTTCGTTTCTCGTATATGAACATAACTGACCCTCAGAGTACCAGTTTTCGTCACCCGTATCCAGGTCATCGTTCGACCCATCTGATTCCTTGTTAAGGAGAGGCCAGTTGTGGACCATCTCATGCGCAAGAACTGGGAAAACAAACCGCTCGAGACGCAGAATGTCCTTGTCGTATTCAAACATAAAGCTTCGTCGGAAGGCCGTGCCGCCATTTCCTCGTGGAGTTTCTCGCAGGAAAATACGATAGGGATCCGCCTCAGAGGCGCTTTCGCCAAAAAACAGACATCTTGGTGAACAGTTTCTGGGTGTCTCTGCCTAACTTTTGAACATCGAATGCAGGGTTGCCAAACCAGAAGACATTGAAAAGGGCACCCGAAGGGGTTTTGTCATTGTTCACAAGGCGTCGGAGTGGCCCGACACCGAAGACGGGGTCCCGAAGAAGACTGGGACTGCCCTTTCTACGGATAGGACCAGTTCCCTCTCCAAACGAACAGACTGTCCGCGTCCCATATGGTGACTGACCGAGGTCCCATTCAATCGTGGACTCGTATTGCGCGTCTGAGTTTCGATTTGGCGGCAAAGGCAGAAAGCTTGAACCAACGCCTAGAATACCGCCAAACTGCTCTCGAAGATCGACCCGGGGGCCGGGGGGCGTATCCGCATCAACAGGACGGGGAAGGGCATTAAACTGAAGGCTTACGTCCCCACACGTCGCTCTCTTGACGAACCACACGCGCTCATTAGTAGCGTCCGAGACGGCAAGCTCAAGCATGCCCATGTTATCGAAAGCCTGGAGCGAGTCTTTGCCATACTGTTGGCTGGGCACATTCCCAATCATCTTCGGTAGGGTAACAAGCACGTCATGCCGGCTAAGACGCGGTGATGCGAATGTCATGACAATGGAGAGCTGACGTGGCTGGTGCGATGGGTCGTGCATATTGAACACGGGAATTATCAGTAATCGGATGGCACGAAGGTCTCCGGGGGCCCCGGAGCCGGCGGGGACGCGAATGAGCGTCATGGCGGACGGAAGGGGAAGGATATACTCCGTAGTACGGATGGAAATGGGAGAAACCAGTATCTGCAGTATGCTGCGACGTTTGCCTCTATATGTACAAAATACGAAGTACGGACATGGAGGCGTGTTTGCCGGCAGCTGCCTAAGCGGCCTTGTAACCTAGGTGGGAAGGTGAAGTTGCTGGGTGGACTTTCCTTATCGTCGTGATAGGCTGTAGGCCAACCTTTTACGCTTGGTGGCCTTAGCAAGACGTAACAACTATCGAGCGTAGTACACCATGATGTGCAGCGACTTGAAAGGTGGCAATGTATAACGTACGGTGAGAATTATTAGGCTAAAACTCATCGAAAAACTACCAGCCATAACGCTGCCGAGAATGTAAGAGAAAGCAGGGAATTCTACCTCGTAACTCCACTCATGATATGACTCGAAAAGTGGAGAAATCATGCTACGGAGTACGACATCGCACGTCGTAGAGATGACCATCCACAATTACAGCATTGTGTCCTAGGCGTTTGCGCGGCTGGCGAAGCAAGGCTAGCAGAAACCGAGAAAAAAAGAGCAAAAAATGTACAGCAGCGGGTATTCGCTGGTCGTCACCGACCCAACTACTAATCCGCCGATTACTGGTTTAACTAGGGGAGAGCGGACGGGATCCCGTGCTTTCCAGTATCTATGGCCGTACGTGCTAGTTATAGCAGCAGTTTGCCTATATGATACCGATGCAGTTGCATCAAGTAGGAGTGGATAAAGTGACTCGTATTCATGCTTTTGTAAAGCCAATATTGATATTTCAATCGTAAACAGGCCCAAATCCCGGTAATTGAAATGTATAAAAGTCGGTGCTGTTTACTGTAATATTGGAGGAAACATTGCCTAGAACTAAAGTATATCGTTTCCGCATCTATTGGCGAGCCCTGTTGAAGACGGCCTTATTCTTTTCTTCCCAGTCGATATTGTTCATGGCAATAGGTGTTGTGTACTGGCTGACGAGCATGAACGCATAGCAGGCCATTTGTCCAACAGCCAAGCCTTTGGCGCGCTGAGTAAAGTTCAAAAACCTTGACCGGGTAGACAAACGTGAGCGGTGTCCATACGAAGCTGTACGAGCCCAGGAAGAGAAATATGATGGCCATCATGCCATTGCTAGCGGCCTTGTTGCTCCCATCGCCGTACAAAGCCGACAGGACGGTCATGAGGCAGCTGGCGCCGAGCAGCATTCCCTTGCGGCCCATGTAGTCCATGGCGAAGGGCCCGGCGATGGCGCAGCCAAAGTTGAAGATGATCATGCCGATATTAGTAATCAGCTGCTGGCGGGTATTGGTAATGCCAGCCGAGTCGAGGACGTTGCCGATGTACGAGGAGACAATGTTGGAGCCGATCACCTGGGCGGCAATATTGAGGACGATAACGATGCCGAAGCGGCGGAAGTTGGGCAGCGGACTGACTGATAAGAGACTTGAACGACTGGGACGGCAGCGTCTGCTCGTAGGCCAGCACAGATGATATCTCGTGGCACTCGGCCTGCACGAAGCTGTTGTCGGCGTCGCCGTTGCCGTGCAGGACGGCCAGCAGCTGCAGGGCCTCCTCATGGCGGTCCTGAGAGACGAGCCAGAGGGGTGACTCGGGCGTGAAGGGCAGCAGGCTCAGGGCGAAGAGGGGTGACTCGGGCGTGAAGGGCAGCAGGCTCAGGGCGAGGAGGCTCGGCACGGCCTGGCCGATAGAGAGGCCACGCCACGTCCACGTGGTGTTGTAAAAGTACGTACCGATGGAATGCCCGAGACGATGGTGGCGATAATTTACCAGATGGCCATGTAGAGGTCGCCCAAAAGGCCGCGCGTCTTGGGATGGGCAATATCCATGACCCATGTGGGCGCAGAAACGCCGTTCAAGGTGACGGCCGCGCCGAGGAAGAAGCGACCGATGCAGAACATGGCCTCATGGACGGCAGCGGCCTGGATTATGCCAGCCTTGCGGCCCCAGCGATCACACACCTGGTCGGCAGAGAGGCCACCAATGACGGAGCCTGCGTTGATGATGGCGACGTTGAGGCCCAGCAAATTTATCCCCAAGATGAAAGTCTGTAGATGATGAGTCAGCACGATATTTCTCATCTAGGAAACGATAGGAGACGGGAATGTACAGCTGACATATGTGTTGACGAGGTTCATGTTGTTCATGGAAGACTGGTCGTAGCCCTGAGTGCAGTCGTTGAAGACGGCCGTGGCAAAGACCAGGGTCAAGATCACGGCTGACTTGTCGGACACAAACCTAGAGCCTGAAACCATGGCGTATTACATCCGTGTTTGTGTCTATGTCTGTATTGATTATTTTCTTTCCTTCTTTTCTCCGTCTGTCCCCATGTTTCTTCTCCTCCTTGTTTACGATGAGGTATCTATTCCCTCTTTTCCTCTTTTCCTCTATTTTTTTCCTTGGCCCTGACCCTTTCTCTGCGCTCTATCCTTATCTATGTCCGTCTTTTAGCCGTCTTACAATCGGTGACCGCTGCTCATCATGATCTTGGAGACGGCCAACGTCGTGCAGAAGAGTGGAAAGAAGCTGACTATCCTGTGTCTTGGACCGTTGACCAACCTGGCCTTGGCAACGATGAAGGACCCCACACTATCACAGAAGCTGGACCGGGCGTTTGGTTTCTACGTCACCGGGACGACGCGCAGCACGGGCGACATTCTGGCCTCCGAATGGAACATTTATGTTGATCCAGAAGCGGCCTCTCTCGTGTTTGGCACTGTGCTTGATCTCTACGCGTTAGGGCTGGATGTAGCCACAAGGCCGGACGTGGAGTTCTCGGCTGAACATTTCCAGAAACTCCGAATTCCAGAAGAAACGAACAAGCCCGAAGCCAGGTTTCTGCTGGGAGTCATTCAAGCTGCAAGCAATGTCGATGCTAGAGGCTTTTTAGACTTGCTAATCGACACAATTTGTTAATAATAGACAATACCGAGTTGCCTCAGACGTTGTAATAGCCGAGCTATCGGAGTACGTCTTTACGACTCATATTTTTAGTTTAGGAGCTATCGCTTCTTAGCCGCTTTTATCTATAATTACGGCAATATTTGCGGAAAATGGAAGTATCTAGGCATAGCCATGCCTAAACGTTCATTAGTATTGACTAGCCATCTTTTATTAGCTAACACCCCGTTTCGCGTGTCGTTTATTCCACCTCAAGGAGCCTAGGTCCTTGGAATGGACTGTCACAGACGGCCATATATACAATCATTAGGAAGTCGGACACACAGTCAAGCAAAAAGATGGCCTTTTCGTTATCCTATGCAATACAGGAAACAACAACAGGTCCGTATTACTTGCTCTATATGCAAATAGCATGTAAAGTTCACAAAAGGCGAGTGCCCCTGCCATGAGCACTTTACTGCAGCGTTCCACCCAGTGTCTCAAAGTCGTCCCAATACATGACAGCTCTGATCTAGAAGGTTGACAATGTCAATCTATATCGGGGCTGAACTACCTGAGACATTTTTTAGCCATCTACGTTGCCTTCCGCCTAAAAGCCCCTGCCGCTGCTCCCTGACCTCTGTACAGAGTACATGTGAGCGATTGAATGGGGATATCGATTGGGCATGGACAGTAGGACTCAAAGAGAGTTCTGGCCAGTAAATCAGAAGGTACGGTGAACAATAATACGAAGGGAAAAAGGGCGCAATTTTCCCCCAAATTTCTTTCGTAAGAGGGACTTACATGATCTAAGCTGATATGTAAAAGAACCATATTGTGACTTTTATTTTTTCTCACTCTCAAGAGAGCTATTACACACAGTTTAAAATCGAAACAGTCACTCAACCCTGGCACAATGGAAGTTTCGTAGGGCCTCTTCTTTTGCCCCTTGATGCATAAATGACATAACAACACTTAGTAGAGGCACTAGAATGGGGTCTTTTTTGTCATTAAACATTGCTTAATGACGCTAAATTCGTCTGTGACTGTACTACACAGTATAGTACGGAGTATAGAGGTCCTTACCAAAAGAGTAGTCCAACTTCGATATAACATCGGCAGTATACTAGGTACTTCATACCGTAAAACATTTATGCGTCCGGAGAATGGTACTGCTTGTATAGCCACCGCGTTGATCTAAAAGTGAGAAGTGACGGAAATGACAGGAAATTCTAAGAACTTACACTAAAGTACTGAGTGATAAGAGAAGTCCCCTAAGACCACCTATGTTGGCTGCACGGGATGACATGTCAAGACCCCTCGCGGGATGCTAACGCGTCACATAACCAGTCCTACGTTTCTTAACCAATCAAATGTGGAACAATTTATGCCTTCTGTCACTACTTACACACCTATATATATATAAAAACACTCTCTTCTTCCCTCTCCTTAAGAGAGGGACATACACAGAGGAATTAAGCAAATACCTACTTATATACGCAGTGCACTTATAAAGAAAAGCAACACCCAAAGCAGCAAGCACATTACGCCCACGACTTCGCCAGCGTCGGGCGGGCTCGCCTTGTCTTCCCTCGTGGGATCCCAAGACGAGCCCGCAAGGGCCAACCATACACCACCTCGGCTTGTAACGAAGGGAGGTGCCTTACGGCACCTCTCTACGTATACAGGTGCGTGTGTTAGTAGGTGTGTATTTTGTTGGTTCAAGCTAAGGCCTTACCCAACCTCCGCTCTTAGTACCAATAATTTTTCTACAGCGGCGGCGTACTTTATGAACAACGCTGCCGTCTACCCTATAGCCACCCTATCACTTCGTAAAAATAACCGAATGTTCCATTGTGCTAAAAATTGACGTAAGATTTTGATCTCCGCCGCCAATTTGTAATGGACGATCAAGCCTAATAAACGATCAGAATAAAGCTTCTTATAAGTGCGATTTGTATAAAGAGCTAGATTGGGAAGTTCTGATGGAAATATTGGCGGTTTTGACAATGGGTTAGGAAGACAGATACGTTAAGGTCCCATGTAATATGTCATCGTATTTTGGACTCCCTTGTCATTCTTGTACAAGTTACCACAGTCAGACTAGCGTGGGGACTGCATAAGCAGTCCTGAAGGATATTGCTATCACGTGGTCTGATTTTACAACCTATATACACACTCTGTCTCTCTTTCCCTCCCTGCCTACAATTACGCACAAACAAACAGAATACACACGACACCCAGAAATACATACAAGCAGACAGAGATGCACACAAACAAGAAATACGAAAAGAAAATCACAGCCACCCAAGTAGAAGACATGAAACTTTGCTTGACTCGTCGAGTCTCAGGCCCCGCTAAAGAAGATTGGCCAAGGTTTTTGTGGCACTGTCTGGTCAGAGAGCGACGAGAACAACGCAACCGATGATTATGAACACGAGCATCCCCAACTCGCTCTTAAGCGAGAAGACGGTGGCCCAGGACGATCCATTCAAACGAGCATCAGATACATGGACAGCTTCTTAGAATTCTACAAAGTATTGGTGATGATGAACCTGGGAAATTTCGAGTCAATATTCCCTTTTGTGAGGGTCTCGTTAGAAAAGAGTCGCCATACTGGCCAGGAATTCTCTCGCGGCTTCCTCCAGGGGTTGAGCCCTGCAATGCTCTAGCCAACGAGAGGATTCCGTCTATGCCTGACCACATCCGCAGATTACTATTTCGCAACTACTACCCAGAGGCGACGAATTCCTCTGCGGCAGCCACTGCGACTGACGACTACTGCATAATTCGCCCATATTTAGGACGTCGTCGACACAAACCACAAGCAAGCACCACAAGGGCACGACCTGGTCGGTTGGTGATGCTTAGTCTTCGCAACTTTCCTCTTCATCTTGACCAAATCGAGCAGCTAGACCTCCCAGCCAAGGAGTATGCTCTTGCTATGGCAAACACCCTTGCTTTTTTACACTGGACGGCAAGAGTCGACGCAAACGATATAGAGTTTGTTCTAGCTCCTGATCGCAAGGTTTCTTCAACTTCCGCGAAATACAGCCCAGGGGTCGGGTCTATTAAATTCCAATCTGAGGCTTTCGGCACCCAGGCCATATGGGTGCTTGATTTTGATTGTTGCAAAGATATGACGATGGACAAGACAGGGGTCAAACAGGCGTCTTAAAGTTTCTACGCAACGATCCCTTCTATCCTAGGCCACCAAGCAGTCGTAATAAGTCGGCTCTTGATGAGCAACTCTGGGATATATTTCAAACTCGCTTCTTGAACTCGAGCAACTCAATATTGAAGGAGGAGGAGGATTCTATTAAACAGCTACCTGCGTTGCTTATAGAGGAAATTGTGCTGAGTTCCAGAGAGAAGTAAGACCTAACGCACGGGATTTTCTCAGCCATAGCTGACAAATGCGGTGGAATTGATGTGCAAGACGACTCGTCCGTTAGGTTGCTCTTTAAGTTCAGAAAACAGTGTACCAGTATATACCTATTTGAGTGAAAAGAAAAACAATACAGAGTCTAGCTTGCAGAAAACTACAGTAGAGTAGCAGCAATGCTTATCAATACGGTAAAATTGGTGGGTGGTTTCATAAATGTGACCTGAATTACAACCGATCTGGCAAATAACCAGGTCTCGTCCACCAGAAAGAACGAAAGTTAAGCATCGAAAGGACCTTTGAGCAGCAATTATTCACACACAAGTTGTCAGCAGCATCACTGGTCTGGTTTATACGTTGGCACAGCGAGCTTATATTACACTATTACAACTGCATGTCAGCGACATCATCCAAGCGCCGAAATCTAGCCTCACCTTTGTACGAAACTTCCCAGGCCCCACAGTACACGCAACGTTGGCAGAGATTTTCCTCTCCCAGAAGCACTTCGACCAGGTTTTCTTCGCACATGTCTCTCAAGTTTGGCGACTGCGCTACTCGTTTGATGCCCCTGTATTGCAGGATTGGGGGTTCTGCAGTGAGCAAGTCGCTCAACGATACCGACATCAAGGTCTGCTTACGAAGTCGAAAGTGCGGCTGTGGTAAGACGCAATATGTTTATGCTTATTATTGCCCGGGTCGTGCTCACGTGTCCTATCTGCCTCAGGCAACTTACGTATTACTTGTGCAGATTTCGTAGAGGCGGGCAGGGCAGTATGGTGATTTCGCATCGAACTCTAATTGCGACTTGATACATAGCCCAGGATGGGAATCAAAACACACAAAATGGCACAATCAAAAGGAAAATGAATTTCTGTCTACCCTGTCCGTCTGATCCAGTGATACAAACGGCAAACCAATGCAGCATGCGAGTTTACATACAGCCTTCATACGCGACTTCAAAGAATTTAAAGGAGCGCAGCCACACCAATGACAACCGCTAGGCTGGCAAAGGACAGACGGACCGAAGAGGCACCGGCTGTCGCAAAGGTAGCCGTGCCGCTGGCCGCAGAGTCCGTCGCGGTCGACTTCGAGGTGGTGGTGTGGGCTGCGGAGGTCGCAGTCTCCTTGGTTCCGGTAGCAGCACCGGTAGCAGTGCCGGTAGCCGTGCCGGCAGCAGCGCCAGTGGCAGCGCCGGTAGCGGTCTCGGAGGCAGCAGTGCCAGTCTTGTGCGAAGAGCCGCTGGCCTTGTCGGTGGCGGAAGCGGAAGCAGAACCAGAAGCAGAGCCAGAAGCAGAGCCCGAGGAGCTAGTGGCAGAGCTGAGAGAAGAAGACGAAGCAGATGAAGTGACAGCCGGGCAAGTCAGGTTCCAGCGCGGCGTGGTGTTCAGGTCGTCGGTGATGGAGAACTTCATGGTCTGGGCAGAGTCGGAGTCGCGCAGGATGTACCAGAAGGTGGTGGTCTGGCCGAACAGCAAGTCGCAGCCGACCTCGTCCCAGTACTGCTTGGCGTTCTCGACGCTGGGCACGGCCTTCGCCCAGTCCTTGCCGGTCCAGGGCCAACCGGTCTCAGTCACCCAGACAGGCTTGCCGCCCGCAACACCGATGGTGGCCTGGTAGGCCTCCTTGAAGAGCGCAGCCGCGTTGCCAATGGAGTTGTCGACGGTGCCCTGGTAGTACGGGTACTCGTCCACGCCGAGCCAGTCGATGGCGTCAATGACGGCCTTGTTTGACGAGTTCGTCCACGCATCCCACGTGTCGACGTGGCCGACCGGCACAGACGCGAGCCCAGTGCCGGAAACAGCCTTCTTGTAGGTGTTGATGAAGTTGACAATGTCGTCCGGCTGGGCGGCCAGGCCGGAGTCGTTCTCGACGCCCGTTTTCGAGTTGCGGTACAGGTCCTCGCTGCCGATGGACATGCCGATGACCAGGTCGGTCAGCTCGGTGCCGTACGTCTTCACAGCAGCCAGCAGGGCGTCCAGCTCGTTCTGGATCGTCGTGGTGCCCGAGGTCCAGATGCCCAGCAGCAGGTGGGTCTTGGTCTCGATGGCGGCCTCGAACGCCTCGATCGGCGTGTTGGTCGAGTAGGCCTGAATGTTGGTGTACAGCCGGACGGCGTTGAAGTCGCCGGGGGCACCATCCAGCTTCTGTGCTGCCTCGAACTCGGCCTTGAAGTCGGCCTTGAACTTGGCGCTGTCGTCGTACATCTTGGAGCCAGAGCTGAAGCCCAGGTAGTTGGTGGCGCTGACGCTCGTGGCCAGCGCGGCCAGAGCGAGGGTGAGCGAAGAGTGCATCGTGGCTGTGCTTGTTGTCTCGTCAAAGAAAGATATAACGGTGTTTTGATGTTTTCAGGGAGCAGAAGCCGTTGAGGAAAGCAGGCTTCTATGGGGAGGGAAAGGAACGGCGTTGAGCCAAATAAGGAGTGACTGAAAAGAAAAGGACTGACGGTGCTACAAACAGGAGCAAGAAGCAGAAAACAGCACAGTCGCAAGTGAAGGAGTGAGTGATTGAGGAAGAAAGAAATACGAGATGCAAAAGGCTAGTCAAACATGGAGTTAAGTACTCAAACCAACGCCAAGCCCCCCTGATGGGACCCGCTATAAATCTAAGTAATCAGGTCCGTTGTTTATATATAGCCGGCGGACAGTGTGCGATCTGAGCTCCCTGCAAAAGTCGGCGGATCAGCGGTGAAACTGTCTCTCTTGCACAGTGCCATTTTTAGCAAACAATTCTCCCGACACAATCTTCCCGACGGGTGATGAACAATGTTGACTTTGATCGCATGCCACCACTCCGGCGCGTTGTGAGATAGGATCTTGCATGCGATTCTACTCGAAGCAAGCAGGATTCTTCAGTGATGGCAGCGCTATTGCCGTTCGATTAGCTGGAACGGCGGGCGGCTGAGTTCGGCATGATATCCACTAAAATTGTTCTTTGGCCAATTACTCCGTATTATTGCGTCCCCTTTTAATACGAGAATCCCCACCTGCCCTGGGCACCGTCTAATTTTAATTCTTGCAGTTGGCATTTTAACTTGTCCAATTTACAGTTGTTACTCGTAAGATGCTTGCTTGTTTTAGCTTTGCAGCAAAACGTAGGCTGAAGGTGGAGGTCGGATCTGCTGTTACCAAAGTACTCCGTACGACTGTGCTGTTCCGAACGCTTGCCCGAAAAGGCTGAAGGACGTACATAACTAAAGTATATTAGCTGCACTCCATAACCACGGTACCTGCAGAAAACTGCGGTGAGCTTTGGCCGATGCACTGCCTGGGCGGAATACGAAAATTCATACTCCGTAATACGGAATACTCCGTATTCTTTACGTCGTTCCAGTCTAATTTGAAGGATCGCCAGAATGCAGGGCCACCATAGGCTAGTGGATGCCGACACGTGACCACGTGATAACAACACACTGTAATGTCACTCCGCTCCACGCGACCTCCTGCATTTCTTCAATTTATCACATGCCAGTTATGTCACAAAGCAGACATTTTAACTCTTTAAAATGAGAACGATGAAATTAAGTTTGGCATTCGGAGGTCCAGACGGTCGACGAAGCCAAGCCAACCCCATCGAATGCCGCATGTCGGCAATAGCCAGATTGTCTCGGGAATGCAAGAAAATGTTAACTCGTGAATATTCCGTAATACGTTACGCATTAAGCTCAAGTACTCTGCATGTCGAAACTACTAAACTTAACACTTTAATTATTAACTGTATCTACACATGATGCCAGAGTAGTGCTCGCAAATAACGTCACAGATGAAACTACGGCCAACGTCGTCGCCGTTTCCGTTGCCAGCTCAGTCGTCATCGCCAGCAAATTTATGGCGCCAGGCCCGCAGCGCAGCTCGAAGTCGCTGCAGGAGCAGGTCGTGGTGCAGCGAGTAGCGGCATTGCGGGCGACCACCACAAGTCGTTGGTGTCATCCAGAACATAGCCGTAGTGGCAGCCGGTGCACTTGGCGAGACAGTTTCGGATGTACAAATTGGCTCATTAGTTCGAGTTCTCGGCGCTTTCGGCAGGTTGCCCTCGTCAGAGCTATCCTCGTCTTCGGGGTCTTCCCGTAAGATCATCCGTTTCTCTGAGGCTAGAGTGACAGCTTCTGCTGCCTTGTGGACTCGACGTGCCGCCTTAGTCACCTCATGGATCGGCAGTTGCAGCGAAGCATCAACACCGATGTCTTTAATCCAGGGAACCCACAACACTTGAGATGGCGAATTGGTGTTACCGCCTACACTAGAGTGTAATAGTATGGACCTTGTATCTTGCCTTGAAGCGTGGTTGGAAGGTTATACAACTTTACTTATAAAATAAAAATCAGGTCAAGAAAATGATCAAGCAGAGAGGGAAGAGGCGTTTGTACTCGCGATGACGCCAAGTGAGGCCAACTTTGCTTGAGTGCACGCAAAATATTTCCACTACGCAACACTGCTGAGCAACGGACATGGCCCTACTATCGGCGTACACCGACATAACTCTTTTAGAATCAGTGTGAACATTGCGATCTTTTCTGTATATTTTAGACTCTATTTAAGCGGGACGTCTTCTGGCAAATACGTATCAGGAACACATGCCTGCCACCAGTCTCTAGCGTACACATAATTCTGACCCACTTCCTTACTAATTTGAGGCCAGCTCGCTCAAAGGCCGGGACCAATTCGTTGTCAGATCAGACACTGGAGAGTAGCAATAATGATAGTGGGTCTTCAAAAAACGACAGACTCGTCACTCTAACTTTGGGTGTTGCCGCAATCGTGTCACGATATCGTAGCATTGTGTGGTGATAGCCAAGCGCAAGGGGGTACAGCTATCCTCATTTGAGAGGTTCGGATCGGTTCTGTGGTCTCGCTGTAGCATATCTACCAGGACAAGCGATCGCCTGTAGACCGCCATGAACAAGGGCGACCATCCGTGGCAATCGGAAACGTTGGGATCCGTGGCCGGGTGCTCCAGCAGCAGCCGTACTCATTTTTCTCCGGCACGGGAGGATGCATTTGTAGCCCACCACAATGCTGTGCGACTATCGCCGTCGACTGCATTTGGGTTGATGGTACCTAAGCTAAGTAGCCGTTCCATCACGGCGACTTTGCCCCGGCTGGCGGCCTTGACCAATGGAGGTTTTCCAATCTCCTGCACGGCACCCTCCCTCTGTAGAAAGTAACTGTAGTAAGCGCCAATAACTGGTGCAGTTTTAGCCTCCTTTGTTATCCTGATCGTTGCCGTACGCTGCTTTCGACCTGCAACGTTGGGGTCTAGATCAGCACGTCTTAGGAGAAGATCTGCTACCGCAGGCACTCTGTCTGTCTTGAAAAGCGAACACGACAATGCTGTGCCCCTTGGGCCGCTGATGTTGATGTCAATATCGCTTCGGGAGAGCAAAAGCTTGACTGCTTCCATGTTCTGGGTGAGAACTGCACATATAAGGGGAGTCAAATTGTGGCAAAGGAAGTTGACATCTATCCCATCAATGGATAAAAGCAGCTTCATTCCATGGGCGAAAGCTCTGATGGCATAATGAAGAGGATGCCAGCCTTCGTAGCTAAAGTCGTTTATGTTGACTGGGTGCCGGCCTAATAGAAGTCTGGTCATTTGTGCATAGCCTTGAATTACTGCCACGAAAATCGACTGGCGCACGGATTCGTAAAAAAATGCAGAGGCTCGCACTTCGGGACGCTCTAGCAGCGGTCCTATGGCCTCCACGTTGTTTCCCCTCGCGGCAAGAACCAATGGAGATTGTGACCTCGGTCCGATGCTGGCGTCGACCTTTGGATGCTGCAAGAGTAAGCTGACGATTGAGCGGCGGCCATTAAGCAGCGCAGTGTAGAGTGGTGTATATCCATTCCGGTCTTCCATGTTGACATCCACGTTATCGTGCGAAAGAAACTCCTTTACCAGGATGGTGTAACTTCCCGTGCAGGCTATATGCAGCGGCGTCCCCAGATTCCAATTTATCATGTTCGGATCGACTTCTTGCCGAGACAGCAGCACGCGAGCAACTCTATATTCGGATTCCAATACAGCCTTATGCAGCGGTGTTCGGCCTCTTGTATCCATCACGTTCGGGTGTAGTTCCGGTCTTTGGGCGAGTAGTACAGCCGTTTGCCTGTGGTTTTTTGTCATGGCTACGAAAATGGGCAGCTTGCCTTCGTCGCGGCCGGCATTGACATCGACCCTGTCCAGAGAGAGCAAAAACTCGGCGACGCTAATCTGGTCATTTTCTATGGCATCTGCCAGGGAGAATCCAAGATCGACGCCGTTATGGGCCAAGGTCCTCACTACTTCCAAGCGACCTAAACATGCTGCCGCCTCCATTGGGGTGCCCAGGCGCCCCTTGCTTATCGCGGCATCCGCACCGGCTTCGAGCAGCATCTGCACACAGGAAGGCTGTCCAGCAGATGCAGCAGCATACAGCGGGTAGCCAAACAGGCTGTTATTTTCATTAGGGTCTTCGCTCGCCTGAAGCAGTGTTTGGACGACGGACAGATCGCCGGCAGATGCGGCAACCGAGAGGCAGCTGCTTAGCACAAGCAGTTCCAGAGGCGACTTCATGACTGGTTCTTGGTCGTCGATACGTGGGTCGTCCAGCATCAAGAGTCTTTCTTGCATCAATTTCTTACGCGTCCACTCGAGCCCAAAGTGCGAGACCATTGCATAACACGCGGCCTTGATGTTACGCACGTCGTCGCAATATTCCTGGTTATGAGCTTTCCATAAATGGATGCTTAGCATCGCGATCCGGACGTTAAGTAGCGGCACGGTGAAGTGCTTTTCTCCAAACGTGAATTTTGTTGCGAATAGCCAAGCGGCCGCCTCCAAGTCTATTGCCAATATCACGTCTTGACTTAGTTCATACTTGTTCCCATAGATCTTCCGAAAACAGTCCCGCGAAAGAAGGAAGTCAAACCGTCCTAGCCAGTTTGTTAGACAGTGAAGCAAAGTCTAGAAGGGCAACCACGATTCTTTACTCACGGCAGACCAGTCGTAGCCGAAGGAGTCCACGGAGGCGAGAAGAATGGTATGCGTCCCACGAGGCTGAAACGACATGGTGGATGATGTATTCCAAAAGTTCCACTGGAAGCCGAGCAAGCGCCATTGTGACAGACGTAAGAGCGCCAGCTTCATGCAGCCGAAGGTTGTAAAACAGATGAGGATTGGGAGTGTCTTACTTTTGATGGGTCTGGGTATTCTCTAGACTAGTTTTACCGCTTACATAGCCTATGTAATGACTTAAGGGCTTAGGTGCTAGCGTATTTAGCACTTAATAAGGTACTGCTAACTAAGATTGCACGATGAGGAGGATGCCAAAGCGCAGGTCGTTCGCCAGGTCTTTACAGCAGGCGAGTCCTGTCATTTACGCCCCTGCTAAATGATTTGTCCCTTTTAGGGGTGAGCACAGGTGCCAATCGCCTCTGCAGGTTTGTATCGGCCTGTGCTTACGCTGACTTAAGACGTCTTATTTTTTTATCAATCGTGTCCCGATGAAATTTGCACTTGTATATAAGAAAGCCAACTTTGGCCCAGTTTGTTTTTCGTGACAAGAAATTCAAACAATCAGAAAGGGTACAAAAATGAAAGAAAACAACAGCTGCACGCATATCTTGGGCACAACACACGTAATGTTCTATCCTTTCAGCTCGTCTAACAAACATGTCGTGTAGACAACCACTCTCACGCTCTTCACATTGTTTACCCAATTTTTGTACAACGCTTTTGCGTACACAGCAATTCGGTCTCCAGACTGCATGCGGGGAATGAACAAACAGTCGTTGCTCTCACTGTCTGGACAGTTAATAGTTTGGTATACCGAATCATCCCTTGACAGAATCATACGATGATCTGTTATCCGACCGAAGGCGCGCAGGTTTGGAGTTATGCTGATAGGCCTTTGGGTGCGTTGGGTGCCTCCATCGGCGGATAAAACATTAAACGAAAACCATGTGTATGACTGATCGTAGCTGCTTTTCATATTGATATCAGCATGTCCTTGGTCTTTACTGGACAGGTAGAAGCAGATCTTGCATACGGGCCGCAGCTTTCGTCCCAGAAGGGGCGGAGTAGTCAGATAGACAGGATCTATCTGGCTGCGGTCTTGGTTGTAAGACTGCGGCTCCTCACGGGACGCCGTCAGTTTCAGCCAATATCCGGCGGTGTTCAAAATATGGACGATAATTGTGTGGATAGCCACGCGTGGCTGCGATGAAGACTGCCGAGACGCTCGGAGCATTGATTGCAGTACCAGGTATGCCCGAAACACATCGTCGGCTGTCTCTGGCCAGTACTTTCTGTCGTTGTCGAGGCTGTTGTCGCTGTCGTCCATACTATTTGCATAAGTGCGAATTTTCGATACCAGCTTTCCTTCCAAGCTGCCCGGCAGTGTTCCTGCACCATCGACTCTAGCCACTTGGCCTACGTCAAGTACAGCTTTATCCTCGGGATCGATAAGACTGATATTGGCTCCATGGAATATTAAGAAATGCGCCAATGGCAAGGCACCCTTTCTTATGACCTCTGACAGCATCCATTTTCTGTCTACGACCTGTTGCAGTCTTGCCTGTCGTTGGACGGTGTTCGTCTCCATCATTTTCGTAAACAGATCCAGTACCCAAGGGTCGTCAGCGACCAACCGCCGACGGCCGTCGCTGTAGGGCGGCAAGTCGGTCAGAGCCATGACCATCGCGCGGCAAAAGGTACTATGCTCATCGAAGGGGCCGGAAAACGGGTCCGCACCGGCCTTGAGCAGAACTTCGGCCACGGAAAAGTGCCCCGTGTGGATGTCATTGGGCGGAGTGATGCCCATGCCCCAGGCCATCGCATCGATCCCAGCGAAACCCTGCACGTTCGGGTCGGCTTTATGCTTCAAAAGAAGCTCTGCACTGGCCACCGTTTCACAGTGGGCACAGGCGTGCAAAGGCGTGTTTCCCGTGACGGTCTTCCGGTTGGGATCTCCGCCAGCTTCGAGGTAGTTGCGCAAGTAGTCCAGAAAGTCGAAATGCGCTGCCACATGCACATCGGACGGGAAAATATCACCGTCTCCTGGCATCATGAGCCGTGTCCACCGCGAAAATGTGCGCTCGGCTCGGTTCCCCGTCAGATGGGAAAGCCAGTCTGCATACTCTCGCCTGGCCGGCTCGTCAAAAATGCGCTCGCAAATCGGCGCCAGCAGCTTGGAGTCGTCCTGCGTGCCACGTCCAGTTATGCTTGCACGGTCGATCAGCACAAACAGAGCCGTCTGCGCCCATCGAATCGTGCTTTCTTCAGAGCGGCAGAGTCGCAGCAGCGATGCCGTTGTATCGTGGCTCAAAGGACTTTCCGACGCCAACACGTGCCAGGCCCACTGCGTCGTCGCATAACGTTGCAGCATGATTCGATCCAAATAGGCATCAGCAGTCCTCTGGAGAGGCGCTCGATCGGTTTGGCGAGGTTCTCCTGGGAGAAGGTCGGCTTCGTAGGGAAACGCAGGCACGTTGTTGTAGCACAGATACGTGAGGCATATGCGTGCCATCAGTCCATGGGTCTCTTGTTCGTCCACAATGAGATCGCCGAAGATCTGTCCTCGATTGTCGGGATCGGCCAGATATTCCCTGGCCGACTCATGAACCAACGACACTATGGGATCGGTTGTGTTGCTCGTTACGGTAACCATCGAGCCGCAGAACCCAAGCAGTTCTGGCACGCTCAAAATGCTGCCGTCGTTGCTCTTCCCGTAACGAAACGTAGGCTCATCGACCGTTACCTGAAGGGCAGTCGAGATCTCCTTCAAAGACAATGGTCGCGCCGCACATGTCAGCAACCGCAGAATGAACTTTGAGTGTCTGCGCACGCTCTGTGACCGACTCCAAATGTCCCCCAGTATGCTGCGGTACACATCGTTCAGCTGAACTGGAGCCTCCTCAATCTCGGAAACGTAATCCTCCAGTAGACAGTCCTGAAGAGTGCGAACCATAAGCTCTACCCACAGAAACATACCATTGGCGCGTCGCTCAAAAGCGTGCATAAGTTCCTTCTGCATCTCTGCAGACGTTTTCTTCAAAGTCCCAATTTCCTGCGCAGAGAACTTGCGCATATCCCCTGCCGTATCTGCAGGGCTGATGTGAAGCTGTTGGTACGTTTTAGGCAGCGCCCCATCCACGAGCTGAACAAGGTTGTTGGACAGACGGCTGAAGATGGCACAGGGCGCGTTCTGAAGCAAGATGGGCAGCACCCCGGTGATGAATTTCTTGCGGTCGTTCTCAGCGCATTCGTCCAGTCCATCGAGAACCAAGACCACGTCCTTTTCCCGGCGAATGAGATCTACCAGAATTTTCTTGAGGGTGAACAAACCAGGATCGGGCTCGGACATCCGGGCCTTTGTGAGTTCAGCCAAGCCTTCTGCATCCCATGTGCACTGTTGCATCAGCTGCCACGTCCATGTACGCAGGATGGCACGAAGCGTTGTCGTTTTTTGCTCGCGGGTCTCGCAATAGAAATAGGCCGTTTTAAACATTTTCCCTCGAGTGGCCTTCCCAAACTCCTGTACCAAACTCGTGGCCAGGCTCGTCTTGCCTGAGCCTGGAATGCCCGTGATCCATAGTAATCGTCTGGCTGCATCATATTCATTTTGCTCGTTCGTTTCCTGCCCGTTCGCACTGAGTGACGATATCCACTTTTGGTATGCCTCCGTGTGCAGAAGCCATTGTCCCGATCCAACCACGTTGGTTTCCGAGCGCTCGTCAAACCTATCCCTCGTTGCCACAACCGGATTCAGCCATTTTGAAACCTTTGCCAGCGCAATTTCGCGGTCTTCCTTTTCTTTCTTTTCTTTGTCGCTCTTCAGAACATTTTGCATAGAACGCGTCACTTCGTTCGTATCCTTAACCGTTGCGTGGATATCAATACCCAGATTCATGTCGAGCACGTCAAGGGAAGCTTGAACCTTTTTCCGCAGAACCTTCACCTTGTCCTTCACAGTCATCCGATATCTCACCATGTCGTACTTCCGCTTGGCGCCCTGCATCACACCAGAGTGCCTCATAGGTCCTAATGTGTCGCCATACTCTTTGATCAACTCATTCTGGAATGCGAGCACGGCGGCGAGTATGGTTTTTATGTCCGTCTCAGGAGCTGCTTTCGGGGCAGCTTGCAATCGCTTAAGAACCTTACCTACCGAGCTTAACCATTGAATCGTTTCTTGGAATTCAACAGCAGACCCATTGGTTTCACTGAGCGCATTGGCGACTTTGCAGACCACATCGATGGCAGCGATGAGATCGCCTACAGACCAACCGAAAGACATCGTGGTGGAAGGTTGAGGCTGGATGAAAGAGGCAGAAGAGTTGAAAATAAGACTGCGAACCCAAAATTATGGCTGGGCAGCAAATAAATATGACCAAAGTTTTCGAAAAGAGGGAAGAAGAGAGGCTGGGAAAAGGAACACTATGACCTGCAGGGTTACCCCTCCATGGTGTCTTATCAACTGCGATGCATGTATGGCAAATTGCAGGTTGCGGCTGAACTGCATTAATTCCGGAGTATTTCTGATACGGCAATAAGGAAGTGATCCTTCCTACGGAGTGCTGTGTGCATCACGCCATATGCTTGTTGTCTCCCAAAGAAGGAAAGGTGCTTCCTTCGTGCTTACTTTTTACACGACGTTTTACCTCCTAAGTACACGAAACCAGTTAGTGATCTTGTATTCCACAATAAGGTACGGAGTACTCTCAATCTTTTAGAAAATATTTTTAAAAAAGAAGAAAAAATAAATCAAGCAGCTTAGGGAAGTCATGCACAAGCAACCAACGTTTAGCTAAAAAAACAAGACCCTCCTCAAGAAATTAATGGGCTGCACTGTACGTTCTAACTTTTTTTTCCAGATGGTGTATCAGTCATAGCCATAAAAGACATAGTATCGATTGAAAATTGGTAGCACCACGCTGGATGATTTGTTCCTTAAGCTTAGAAGCAGGGAAAGCGGAAGCGGCATTCGGATGGGCACAAGAACAGCTTTGAGTAACACAGTTGATTCAAAGTTTCACACATATCTTATAATAAAATCGGTGGGTGCTATTACTCTGCACACGCGTTTAAGTGGTCCAATATTACAGATTTCGTGTGCGATACTCCGTACGAAACCCAAATCTTCAATCAAGACCTACGACAGAAAGCCCCGTTGCTCTGAAGACTGACTGCACAAGAACAGGATACATGGTCAGGCGTAAGATACTCATTTTGAAGGCACGCAATTTTCCGGAGTGTGCACTGTACGTAGTGGGGCGTAGCACTGAACGCTGGCAACGAAGGATTGGCATTACGTTCGGCCTAGATATGCCTTAGCTTAAGAGATTTCAACGACTGGTATCTTACCTCAACGGTCGTATGTCTCACCCCTGACCGTCTGTTTCCCTTTCTCTGAAACCTTTTTGGGCTTTCCAGGGCAGTCTTTCCTACTCCGTACTGCAACCATCATTCGAAGCTGGCAAATTGTTGCGGTAGCATTCGCGGTAGCATACAGGGGTCCACTCTAAACAGCTGTTCTAGAGCTCTTGTCAGGGGGTAGCATTGGTAGGCGGCACGACGTCACAGCGCAGTCCCGAACTGCCTTAGTCAAGATTTCCCTCACCATCGCGAGTGCGGGCAGGCGACACCGTTAACGTCGCGAACTAATTGGCTTTTGCCTGCTTCTCTCTCCAGCTTCATCAGTTTCGGCCCAATCTGAAATCCTTTACCGTTTTTCGGTCGTCCACGATCTCATTTTCCCATTCTCCCATTCCACACTGGGGTTTCCTCCTCTCCCCATTTGCTTAGTTCTTCCATTCTCCCAGAGCTGTTTACTTCTTTTCCTCTACTTGGACCGCCAACATGGCGCTGCTCGATGCTGCTCCGCAGACTTCTTCGGGACCGACTTTATTTGGCGTGCCCATGAAGCAGGTCTCTTTGATCACGGTAAGCTGATTTGATCGTCCCCGTTGTACTTCCCCAGAAGCTCCTGTCTCTTCTCTAGGTGCCCATCAATTGATTCCTGCTAATCGGTACTCCCACTCGCAGCTCACTTTTCAAAATTCCGCCCTCACACTCGTACGATCTGGCCGTCCTCCCCCCTCCGACGGATGGCCTTGGGCAAGCAATGCTGACCAGAGCCAGATACTCCACTACTCCAGGATAATGCCCGCACCCGGCGACCACCGCTACTTTGCCTCGACTGCCGTCTTTCTAAACGAAGTGCTAAAGCTCGCCATATCCCTGACTTTTGCCATATATGAAGTCTCGCGAACTCTCGCTCCACAAACCCCCGCAAGCGTTGTGCTCGAACAGATCTACAATTCCGTCTTTTCGGGCGACAGCTGGAAACTGGCGATCCCGGCAACACTGTACATCCTGCAAAACACCCTGCAATATGTGGCTCTCGGAAATCTGGACCCAGTCCATTTCCAAGTTCTCTATCAGCTCAAGGTGCGCTAACGTCCTTCCGCTCTGATCTTCCAATTGAAGATCTCAAATGTGCTGACGGCTTGTTTGTTGCTGTCCACAGATTATTGCCACTGCATTCTTCAGCGTCGTCATGTTGCAGCGCTCATTGACGACCAAACGATGGATCTCGCTTATCCTTTTGACCATCGGGGTCTCCGTCGGCTCTCTACCCTCTCCCGACTCCAAAGATGCAACTATCATGATTCACGACTTCAGCGACCACTTTTTTCCGCGCTCCATGCACGAGCTGGGGCAGATGACAGGCAGTGTTGGCGATGTGGCCCGTGAGCTGACAAAGAGGGCTGTCGGTGGCGCAGTGGGCGGGCTCATGGCGCGCTCAGCCTCTTACCAGGGCATCGACGATGATGAGGATACGCACCCGAAAATGGTCCGTTCCGTCGGCGTCACAGCGGTTCTTGTGGCCGTGACGGTATCAGGACTGACAAGCGTCTACTTTGAAAAGGTCTTAAAGGACACGAACGCACCCGTCTCCATCTGGACCCGGAATATCCAGCTGTCTTTCTATTCCCTGTTCCCTGCTCTTTTCATTGGCATCCTCTACAAGGATGGGGAGGAAATAGTCCAACACGGCTTCTTTGATGGCTACAACTGGATCGTCTGGACCGTCATCATCTTCCAGGCTGCTGGCGGGATCCTCACTTCTCTGTGCATCAACTACGCCGACAATATCGCCAAAAATTTTGCCACCAGTATCAGTTTCGTCATTAGCTTTCTGTTTAGCATCTGGTTCTTCGAATTGCATGTCACTTCTTCTGTATGTTTGTTGTCTCCCATTGCTGATCACCTCGTCGAAGCAGTACACTGACTGAACTTCCAGTTTTTGATTGGCACGTCACTCGTGCTCGTATCCACATACCTTTACACGGGCCCTGATCGGAGACGAGGACGGCCACCACCTATCACAATTGTCAACTACGAGAAAACTACCGTCGTGGATACCCCAAATTACACCGACGAGGCAAAGTTGTCTCCTGACCTGCTGGCAACCGCTTGAACAGGGGGATTGTTAACATTGCGCCCGGCATCACCACCACAACACCACAGCAGGGTTCCGTCTGGCAATGACAAAGGCCGCGATAAAGGAGTTCCAATTATTAACTGAACTCAGCATATCTGCTACCTTGAGATATGGATGTCAGCAATTATCGACTAACGTGCGATACTCCACCCAAACAATGCATTTTGGGGATTAGTAGATCCTCACTATTTGTCTTTCATTGTGCTATTTTCCCTTCCGGGTCGGAGAGTCAGTTCGGGTTTAGAGGGATATGAATGTTCAGTGCATTTTTCTATTTAACGGCACCAGGGTCAATGCATGGTTAAGGAATGGAGGCTCTACGAAAGGTAAAGGAGACGAAGCCACAGATGGGTTCCTCTCACTTCAATATCATCTTACTGTGCTCAGTAACAGCTTAATCGTAAAAACATCTCATTGCGGAACAGACACGTGCGTACGCGTCAAATTTGTAGTTGATTTTCGTTCTATGAGGAAAGAGCTCCGGGTAACAAGGAGGCCACCTGCTCACCCAGGCTGCTCCTTCCACACCTACGAGTATCTATACAAAAAGCTCTGAAAGTTTTGAGCCAATCTTCCTCCTCATCCTGGCGATGTGAGCTGGGAAACACAATTAACTCGACCTCATATTTCTGTATCTCGCCAACGCACATACCTCAACATGACACGGACCAATCGGCCTTGCTTTCCAAGCTACTTTCCCAGCAAGCGCATCGGCCACAAAACCAAACTGCAGAATAATCAGCGCACCTTCGGCGATCGAGTGCAAGATACGGAGGATGACGTTGATGAGATACGCCAATGTCACAGCCACCCTAATTTGTTTACAGACAGAGATCAAAGTATGGGTCGAACGTGCGCCAGTGAGCACGGACAGCGCACACAGCCAGATAAACATAACCGTGTTCAACCTTCAGACTTGACACCATTGCCCGCAGCACAGCAAAGCCTACATGGATTGAGCATATCTGAGCGATTTTTTTACAAGGAGGCACATAGATCCATGAGCGGACAGTCACAGCCAGGCGAACAATATAATTATCATGACAGGCCCAGAGCTTTGAAGCAACCGACAGAGCCTGCGGGCACCGAGTTTCCACGAGTCATACGCCCACTTTATGGTAATTCTTCCAGAAATCAACTTCTTCAGGCAGATGATGTTCTAGTAGTTCAACACCAAGAATCAGGTATGTACTAATTCTGAAAGTGTTGAGATTTTCAGCGCTGATAATTATGGCAGCGTGCCATCGTACCGGCATTGGCTTTGATAAAGACAACAGCTTCGATCTTCGACCGAATGTCCATTCAGATACAAGACACAATCTAGGTATTGCCCCTCCTACACCGATATATTCATCGCCTGTATCTGGTTTACATCAAGCTACGATCTCCGTTCCGGCGCCGGCAGCAGTGAACAATGTCGAGTTGATCAGCCCACTAACACTTGACAAACAATCCCAATCTGTCTTCCCATATCCCACTTTCAATGCCATGCAGTCGTCATGTTTCTCCAATGTCTATGGATCGAATTACAACGTGGTTGTTTCTGCGCCAACAGGCAGTGGTAAGACAGTCATATTCGAACTGGCCATTTGCAAGTTGGCGGCACAAAAACGGAAAAATGACTACAAGATAGTCTACCAAGCCCCTACAAAGGCACTCTGCTCCGAACGAGCACGCGACTGGCAAGCCAAGTTTAGAAAAATTGGTCTGCAGGTTGCCGAGTTCACAGGAGATACCTCCGCATTCGAGGCTCGGAGAGTTCGAACCGCTTCAATTATCATCACGACCCCGGAGAAATGGGATGCGGTCACACGGAAATGGGCTGATTACGGGATTCTTCTGAAAAGTGTGAAGCTTGTTCTTATTGACGAAGTGCACATCCTAAAGGACGTTCGTGGTGCCACGCTCGAAACTGTCATTTCGCGGATGAAATCTCTTGGAGTTGAAGTGCGATTCGTGGCCCTCAGCGCTACGATCCCCAACTCCAACGATATTGCGCAATGGCTCGGTCTCAATCACACAAGCCCACAGATTCCGGCTAAAAAATTTGTGTTTGGTGACGAGTACCGCCCAGTACGACTCGAAAAGATCGTTCATGGCTACGTCTTGAGCGGCAATGACCATTCATTTGACAGCGTACTGGACAACCAGCTTCCAAAAATTATCACACGATACTCCCAGAAAAAGCCGGTGCTCGTGTTTTGCTTCACACGGAAGTCGTGTGAGAGTGCCGCTTTGATTCTGGCCGACTACTGGGACATGTGCTCTTCCGAAAGCAAGCCGTGGCTAGCCAAGCCTGCGGAAATATGTGGAAGCGCAAGGCTCCAAGTCTTCCTGTCGCGCGGAGTCGCTTACCATCACGGAGGGATGGAACGACAAGACAGAGCCAGTGTAGAAGATGCGTTCCTGCGAGGACATCTCAGTATAATCTGCTGCACATCGACTTTGGCAGTTGGAATTAATCTACCATGCCACACAGTCATACTTAAAGGAACTATGGGGTACCACAACGGAAAGTTGGCTGAGTACGACGAATTCGAGATTATGCAGATGATCGGACGGGCAGGTCGACCCCAGTTCGATACCAGCGCTATCGCAATCATCCTCACTCGGGCTGAAACACAGGATAAGTATAAAGAGATTAGCTCCGGCAGCCAAGCCATTGAAAGCACATTAAATCTCAATCTCATCGAACATCTCAACTCGGAGACGGTTCTGGGAACGATTTCGTCACTTGAAACAGCCGTGCAGTGGCTGGAAGGGACCTTTATGGCTGTTTCGTGTCAGAAAGAATCCGAGTCACTACCAGATCCCCGGATTCAACTCCCGTGCGCTCAACCCCGATGAACAGTTTCGGGAGATATGCAAGGATGCCATTGACCAGCTTGCTCAAGCAGGGCTGATCAAATATGTGGACGACGATGCAACGACTTTTCACGCAACAGACTACGGCCGTGCCATGTCTACTTTCATGGTGAAACTCGACACAATGCGCATGATTCTCAACATGGAAAAGCATGTTGATATGGAGAAGTTGGTGAGCACAACTGAGAGTCGCCTCGAGACTTGGGGCATTTGCACTGACCATAAAAAGCTGAACACGATGTGTCGTGCAACTGAATTTGACGAGTTCAGGATCAAGAGCGCCGAGCGGCCAATACTGCGAGAGCTGAACAAGACTCATGATATACCGTTCAAATTCAAAGAAAGCATCACAGAAACTTGGCAAAAGATATCTGTGCTGATTCAGGCCGAGCTTTCACGCGGGGCTCTGCCACACCAGCAACGAATTGCTATCGAGGCAAAGCAGGCCTCTGAGTGCTTACAGAGGCTTTTAGAAAGTTATTCTCTATGCAAAATTGCTAATAGTGATTCTCGTGGGCTAAAAGTCTCTTTGGAACTTACAAGAAGTCTTTCTGCGAGGGCGTGGGAAGGACACCATACCCAGCTCTGTCAAGTGCCAGACATTGGCCCTGCGAATATGACTAAACTAGTGGACAAGCATATATTTACGGTATCGGATTTTTCCGATCTTACTTCCGTCCAAATCGAGAGTTTTCTTTCCAAAAATCCGACAACAGCTTTAAAAATATCTGATGCTCTAAAGTGCTTCCCGCGTCTACGTCTGGAAGGTCATATTCTAAGGCATCAAAGCCGCAGTTCTGACGAGACGCCTGAACCGAATGCCATTGCCAAAGTGACATTCGGCCACATGAACGAGATGGGCATACCGCGCTGGAAAAACAAAGTACCATCGGTGACATTTTTCGCCGAGTCGGGGGACGGGAAGCTGCTACATATATGGCGGGGAAAGCTACAAGAGAAGACGCACCCAACCTCATTTTTAGTCCCCGCAAAGGATTTAGGAAACGTTACTTGCCATATAGCCTGTGATGAAGTGGTTGGAACGATGCAGTCAGAGCAGCTTTCTTGTCTGGAAGGGACGTCTGATGATCTAGAGCTGATGGCAGTACCAAACAGCGTAAAACTTTCAGAGAAGGTGAAGTTAAGAAAACTGCCACAGGCCGAAGGACTCGAGAGTGCACCCAAACGCCAAAAATGGAACACGACATACAAGGTGTCTTCCGTTGTCGTTGGGGACAGGGAATTTGCTTGCATTGACCTGTCGTCTGTGGAAGAGGGTACCACCACTCAGGAGATCTACAAGTCCCCACCTCCAATAATGCCACGGAAATGCGAGAGGGAAGACAACAGTTCGTTAATGTCATCTGTTTTGTGGAGCAGCAGTGTCCGTACAACAATGTTTGGGGACACGTTTGGTGATGGAACGTCGCTAAACCCCTGGACAGTGGCCGGTTCTGAGACGACGGATGATTTTGACACGGATATTTTTGACGACATGGAGCCGCCGGCTGTGGAAACCTCGATGGCAGGTGTTGAGGGAAAGTCTCAAAGTGGATTGTATAAGACCGGGCAGGAAAAATTCAACACTGAGACAGGGCTCAGTAACGCGATGGTGCAAAAGGACAATTACGTGGAGGAGGGCCCAGCTGCTAACGCAAAAAAGGCGAATGGTCCGGATACTGCGAATACAATAGAAACTGGGGGTGTTGATGCGCCACAGACAGGTTCGCTGCAGCAACTTGTCGTTGGACAGGATAATATTGTTACCCCGAGAGAGGGCTTGGCAGAGAAAGCCACCGATATACAGAAAGATACATCCGAGCCAGCTTGGGTTGATTCCTCTGATAGGGATGTGATTGATTTCTTGCGAGGACACGTTAAGTTTGTTTGAAAGGAATTTTCATTTTCAATTTGGGTGGCGGATTTCCTACAAAGTAAAGTTGACTCTAAACCAGACAGAGATAAATGCATTGTCATTCCCTAAAATATCCGAAATGTGGGCCATATTCTATTATAGTATATATATACAAGCAGTGGGCCCGCTCGCATTCGCGAGCAAAGATTTACGTTAATTAGGAGGGATTTTTTTACGTTCATTACTAAGTGATATACGGTGTGTGATTGGCTACGTTTAAGGATAGGTTAGTCAGCTGTTAGCCAGTACGGCTGTTTGCTAGTCTGCTTGCCAGTCAGTCTCTGCGCCAGTCAGTCTCCTAGTCAGTCTCTATGCCAGTCGGCCTGCCAGTCAGTCTCTATGCCAGTCAGCCTGCCATTTAGTCTCCCAGTCTCCTAGTAAAACGTACCTACGTTATAAAAGAAAAGGAGGAAGAAAACAAAAAACAAAAAACAATCATACGAAGTAAGCAAAAGCAGCTTACATAACAATCAAACTATACTATTACAGCTCAGTATAGCCTAATATAGCCTAGCTTACTCTAGCGCATACGCTAAAAAACGTACAGCCAGTTAAAAGAGCGTAAATTTTCTACGCTAGCACCATATTAAGGGGAAATGGGTGGAGAGGAGGTGTTTGACCCGATAACTACTGTAAGTTGCCTAGCGGGTACCCGTAAATTACCGGAATAGGTATACATTTTGTGTAGATCTTTGCCTAATAGCGTAATTTGGCGACAGGGGCGTGCCCCGCAGATAGGTCGTTGACATAATAGATTTTATAAGCGCTTGCTAGTAATAAATTTAAAAAGAGTAAGATAAAGTCTTACTTTTACCTTTTTTATACTTTTTATCTTATATTTTATCTAGTTATAAATTGTATGCTTAAAATAATACTTATTATAATTCTTTATTTTCTATAAAGGTTAAAGGAGGCTATACGTAGCGGTTATATAACATAATGCACTATAAGGAGCAAGAGGCTAAATAAGGTCTAGTGTAGACAAAAGAGTGTTATATACTAAGGAAGAAATAGATACATTGCAACCCTTCTAGGGATCTATATTAATACTAGTGCTAGGCCTTGCTTTTAGGCTTTCTAACTAATTATAGGCTTGTATAGCCAAGTAGGGTAGAAGGGCTATAGTATAGCGGATTTTAATGCTTAATACTCCTTTTAAATATACTATGTAGGCGTACTACGATGCACTAAAATTATTCTTAGTAGCCCTTTTACGGCTGCTAGCTTATTAAGCGAGGTAATAGCCTCTTAAACGCTGCCTTAGGTAGCGCCTTTATTATAATATTAGTAATTCAATCTTTAAACTTTACGTACTATATTATTAATAAGCTACTTAGCACGCTTTTATAAAAGTAGTGCTACTTAACGCTAAAGTGCTTTAAACGTTCTTTAAATTTAAGCTTCTTTATAATGCTAATTATAAAGGTATTGTCTATAAACATCTAGATGTTAGCTTAAAAGCTTATTTTAAGTATAAATTACTTAATCTAGCAGGCCTGCGTTATTGTGTAGTAAGCAGCGCTATATTTAGCTTTATAGGTAAAGGTGCTAATAGTTAGAAGCTTTTTAGCTTTTTAAGAGACTAGCCCTCTTAAGATTTTAAAGATAAAGCTGTATATAGAGTAATAATTAACTAGATTATTAGCTTAAGACGTATTGACCTATCTTTTAACGTAGATATGCCCTTTTAAAGAGGGCTTTTAATAGTAGTAAACTATTATATAGTCCTTTTTACCTTATCGGTAGTAAAGCAATTGCTTAGCTAACTTAGTATATATCTTTTTAAGTAATTTTATTACCTTTAAGTACTAGTATATAATAAAGAAGATATTAAATCTCATTATTATACTAGTATAGATTAGCATACTATTTATATATTAATATTAAAAACTGTTTATTAAAGGTTTATACTTATTAAGAGTTACTAAGTATTAAAGGTATACCTAGGTAAGCTAGGTAAGTTAAGCAAGTAAGAAGGTATCTTCTTAACAAGAAGAAGGAGCGGTATATTTAATAGCTAATTCTTGCCTCCTATACTCTAAAAGAGTACAAGAGGCACTCTTTATTGTAAACACACCTTTAGCGCACTAAGTACGTAGGGCAGGCGCATCCTTGCTTCTACTTAGCCTGTGCGCTAGCATGTGCTATAGCCTATGCGTAGACTACGCTATATAGCCTACGCTATAAGCACTGCTTCTAGTCTACGATATATATTTAATATGCTATACGTATATTGCGTATAGCTTGTACGTAGCTTGCGTTAGTTCTTTTCTTAGGGCAGCGTTATAATTGCTTCTCTTTTGTGCCTAACTCTTTTAAGGTAAGTTTTAATAAAAGGCTTATAGCCTTTGTTTTTAGTAGTAGTAGTGCTTATTTGTTTATAGCAGCCTTTTTATACTTATTAAGATTGCTATTAAAGGTAACTTAAGGCGCTTTTAAACCTTTTTATTTAAAAGGTTAGTCTTATAATTAAATTAAATTATTATAAGGTTTAGTATTTAGTTACTTCTTTTAAAAATAATAAGTTTATCTTTTAGTAGTAATATAGCTACTTTTAATTCTAACGCTTTTATACTTATAGTAAGCGCCTTTAGCGCTTTAGTACTTGCTTTAGCCTTAACTCTTACTTTTTAATACTCTTTACTTTTTGGCTAAGGTGCTAGTTTTAGCTATACGTAATATATATATAAGGCTTATACTAGCTTAGTTTATTGTTTTATATAAACTATAGCGTACGCTATACCTTTAGTTAGGCTTTTAGTAGCTTATTAAGGTATAAAAGCTACTTTTACTAGTCTAACGCTTTTAAGGTTAGTAGTAGCTACGCTGCTAGCTTACCTTTAAGTTGCCTTAAATAGCTTATTATATATATAGTACTTATATTACTTTCTAATAACTCTCTTTATAAAGTTACTTAGCTTTATAGCTATATTATATATTTATAATATTGCTAAAGCTAAGCGCTATAATAGCTACTATACTAGTAAGCATAAGTAGTATAAGCTAAGTCTTTTTTAGTAGCTATAAGCAGCTTAAGTAGCTAATAAGATGTAGGTTTTCTTACTAATAGTTACTAACTAAGCTAACTTTAAGATAGTGCTATATAGTCTTAATAAAAAGCTTTATAGCTAAGGTTTGCCTATAGTATGCATAGTACTTACGCGTACTATAAATGCTTTTATTACTACTTTATTATAAGTAAATAAGTAGTAGCAGCTTACGTTACTAAAGGTATTATTAGCTACTAGTATTATATAAGTAAAGCTTAATCTTTATTAAAGCATTAAGGCTTAAAAAAAGGCTTAAAAGGTAGCTTGCTAAGTAAAGGCTTAGTAAGCTTTATTAGCTTAAATATACTTACTATTACTATATATACCCTCTTTATCTTTACTGCTTAAGCTTACTACTTTAACCTTTTAGTAGCTCTTTTAGTTATTACGCCTAATGCCTAGTAATACTAGTTATGCCGCCTTTACTATAGCCTTTAATGCTTTTTTTAAGGTAGTAGTATAGGCGTATATTATAAATAAGGCTTATACTAAGGTAGTAGCTAGCATAGCGTTGCTTTAAAGGCTTTTTAAATAGTTTTACATAGTCTTTTATAAAGCCTTTTAGCTAGTTAAATTAATTTAAGCTTTTGCTTATATGTTTTTATTTTTACGCGCTTACTATGCGTATACTACTTAATTTCTATATACGCATTTTTTATATCTTCTTTTAATACTTACTAGTTGTATTTAGTTAGCTAGCCTATTTAACGTACTAAGTATTTAGTCTAGTTAGCTTTATATCTTTTATTTAAGACTATTTTTACTTTTTATTTATTATTTAGGTCTTTTAACGCTAGCATTATTAAAGGCGCTTATTCTACGCCTACTCTACTCTTCTAGTGCTTTAATAGTAAGACTAAGAAAACGTTATATAGTTAGCTATATTATTTTAGTAATGCTAGTTAATATGCTTATTTGCCTATAGTCTTAAGGATTTTAAAGAGCTTAATGCGTCTTAGTGCTAACTTTTTGTTTTTTTAAGCAAAGGTTTTTTATAAAAAGGCTTACTAGCTTTCTTACTATAAAGCTTATAGGCTAGTAGCGCGTATTATAGTAACGTTTTTAGTGCTTTATTATATGCTCTTAGTTTACTGCTAACCTTTTTTATATAGCTTTTAGTTTTTCTAAGTAGTTATATACTACTAAGACTATATTGCGTATATTCTACTCTTATCTTACAGTTACGCTACCTTTAAGGCAAGTTTGCAAGTCTAGTTTCTAACTATATAGCGCTTTAAATAGGCTAATTTTAGTTGTTGCGTTAATAGCGTTATTATAAGCATACTACGCTAAAGATAATAAAGAAAGCTAATTTAATTGCTTTTTTGTTATAAAGTAGCGTAAGTACTACTTTAACGTTTAGTTAAATCTTTTTATTTATCTATCTATCTAAAGGTAAAATGTAGTTAATAGCTACTTATAAGTTCTAGTTTAATAGTAATATTTACTTTAAAATTTACTAGTAAATATACTTCCTTAGTTAAAGATTATACTCTTTAGTATTATACTATATACTAGTTTTATATATTAGTATATAAGGTGTATAAAGCCTTTAACTATTAGAGTAGTTTGTATAATAAAGAAGAGGTTTATCTTTATAAAGTAGTTAATAATTACTAGAATTATATTTACTTTGCTACTTATACTTGCTTTAGCTACTAGTAGCCTAGTAATTAAGTTTATAAAGATTTTTTACTAAGAACCTTATAGTAATAGTAGTAAGTTTAGCTTACTATATTGTATATACTATTTAATTATCTATCTTTAACAAACTAGGTATAAGGCAATATAAGCCTTTATATTCTTCTTTATTTCTTTTTAATAAAAGTAGCAACAAAGTAGTTTTAAGGTCTTAGTAACTATAAAGTACTTAAAGATCTAGCTGTTATAGTAAAGCTATAGTAGCTTTTAATAAAGAATGTATAC